CAATACATCATCCCCCGACCTTCACCCAAATTCAACATACCCTATTTTTATCTCTCAATTATTTCTCAATATTCCATATCATGATCATATCCACATAAAATGATCTCAATTATTTCATCTACAACCTTACTTTTTTTCTCTCTTTTTTTTTTTCCATTAATATCTACACATCTATTTCTCATACATACAATAATCCCGATCTTCCTCAAAAATTACTCACCTAATTTCTCCGCCACATTTTCATTTCCCTCTCCTACTTAACAATCTTATCTATATTAAAATTTCCCAAATATTTCATAAACAATCTTTCTTTTTTTCTCTCACTTTTTTTTTCAAAAATACATGACCCCCTACCATCGCCAAAATTCATCCAACCTGATTTCCCACCATATTTTTTATTTCCATCTCCTACTTAACAATCATATCTATATTAAAATTTCCCAAATATTCCATCAACAATCCTCCTTTTTTTTTCAATATCTTTTTTTCAAAAATACCTGACCCTTAAATTCACACACATACATGACCCCCGACCATCGCCAAAATTCATCCAACCTGATTTCCCACCACATTTTCATTTACATCTCCTACTTAACAATCATATCTATATTAAAATTTCCCAAATATTCCATCAACAATCCTCTTTTTTTCAATCTTTTTTTTTGGAAATACTTGACCCTTAAATTCATCTTCAATATAATACCCCGACCATCACCCTGACTTTTACATGGCCCATTTTCCACCACATTTTTATTTCCCTCTCCTCTTTTTTAATCTTAATCATATCAAATTCTCCAAATATTTCAACTACAATCCTACTTTTTCCATAGGGACCTCTTTTTCAAAAATATTCTATCCCTCAATTTTTCATGACCCACGGCCACCGCACAACATGCTCCACCACATTTCTCCCGCAAATCTCCTTCTTATCCTCCAATATTTTCAGAATCATCTCAAACTCTTTGAAATATGAAAATGATAACACTGCCTTCAATTTCTGACTTCATATACCTCCACAATTCACACATCATCTTCAATACTTCTCCACTTTTTTATCCTTTATTTAAAAATCATCCTCTTCTAATCCTTACAATACTCACACAAATCTCAATCCTCGCCATACCATCGCTTTCTTCAATATCAGACATATATTACTCGCCTGATAAACCCAGGGGTATGTCACCCTTCTTCGTCAAATTCCAAAGAATTCCTCTTAATCATGTTAAATTTCTCCAGATTGCGCGACTGTATAGCTAGGTAATTAATATTGAAAATTCACAAAATAAATCGTACAATATCTCCTATTTCGCAATGCCATCTCAAACATCCAAGAAATCTGAAATTTACCTCATTTTTGGACAAATTTGAAATTATTTTTCCCCAGAACTCCTTTTGAATGACTAATATTAAAAATATACACCTTTACAAACATAATAATATCAAAAACATCTTCAACACTTAAAAATTGCCTCAATTAAATGTCTTCAATTAAAAGAACCACCTTTTTGGAGTACATGAATACAGGGTGTCCGCACCCTCCTGAATCCACAGACCGGCCGACCATCACTACCGGTCTGCATCACAGACCGACCTGCCTACCGGTTGGAACCACTTCCACGGCTACTTGGTTAAATGACCGTCCAAAAACTATCAAAACAGAAATCATTCTTTAAAAGCAATAAAATGAGCTATATATGTACACCCTAGCACAATATCTTACTTATTTTTGCTCAGCATTTTCTTCAGATTTTCCCAATACCATTTGCAGCGATTTCTACAAAATAGTCATTTGAAAATCTCTCCTGATTCTGCCACTATATAGCTAGGTGCACTAAAACAGGGATACTACATCTTTGAATACTGGTGATAATGTATGTTCATTGCGGGGGATGTGACCACACAACACCGACAATGAATTTTCAAACACAATCTCTAGAACGTTAGTATTAGAATGATTTTGCATCACCATCATGATCTTAACCATTGTTATCCTGTCCATCATAATCTTAACAATTGTTATCTTGTCCATCATGATCTTAACCTTCATGATCTTAACCATCACTGTTTTCTTCATCAATACCTTGATTATCTTCACAACAATCTTCTTCACAATCGCCATCTGCACTATCAACATAATCTTCTCCATCGTCATTATCTTCTCCAACATCTTAAACATCAAGATCATTTCCATCACTATCAATATCTCCAACATCTTCACAATCATTAACATCTCCACCACTATCGACATCGACATCAACATAATCTTCATCATTATGATCATCATCATCTTCACAACTATTAGCATTATCATAATGATCAACATCTTCACCAACCCCATCAACATCATTTCCATCATTATAAAAATCTTCATCATCTTCATCATTAACATCTTCACAATCACCATCACCAATATCAATGCCTTGATTATCTTCACCCTCACTTTCAGCATCACAATAATCACCAAGATTGTCTCCACAATCACCATCACCATCTCCACCAATCGAAATCATCATTATATTGTCTATCATCACCACTATCAACATAACCTTTATCTTCATCATTATCATCATAAACATCATCAATATCAACATCTTCTCCAACATCATCATCAAGATCATTTCCATCACTATCAACATCTCCAACATCTTCACAATCGTTAACATCATCTGCTCCATCCCCATAACAACATTTATTGCCACAATCTTCACAAGCAACATCATCACCTTCACCACAATTGACATCATCATGAACATCTTCACAATCATCTTCACAATCATCATCAACATCTTCAACATCTTCATCATCATCTCCATCATCATTATCTCCACCACTATCGACATCTTCATCTTTATCTTCACCACAATCAACATCATCATTATGATAAACATCATCTTCACATCCATCAACATCTCCAACACCATTAACATCAACATAATCTTCGTCATCTTCTCCATCATCATTATCTTCTTCACAACTATTAGCATCATCATAATCATGAACATCTTCATTATCTCCACCACTATCAACATAATCTTCTCCACCACAATCGACGTCATCATGAAAATCTTCATCATCAACATCGTTGTCTTCTCCAACATCATTAACATCAATATCATCATTAACCTCCACCACTATCGACATCTTCATCTTCATCATCACCTTCTCCACCAAAATCGACATCGACATCAACATCAACATTATATTGTCTATCATCACCACTATCAACATAATCTTCATCATCATAAATATTATCTATATCAACATCTCAATTTCATAATCAACATCATCATAATCAACATCTTCTCCAACATCATCATCAAGATCAATTCCATCACTACCAACATCTCCAACATCTTCACAATCGTCATCATCATCTTCTCCATCGTCTCCATCTTCTTAACCACATTCATTGCCACAATCTTCAGAATCACCTTCTCCAATATCAATGCCTTGATTTTATTCATCTTCACCACAATCGACATCATCTTTATCGCCACCACCACCATCATCATTAATATCAACATCTTCATTATCTCCACCACCATCATCATTAATATCAACATCTTCATTATCTCCACCACTATCGACATCATCATTATGATAGCCTGCCATGCTGTTGAAACTGACCAATTGCATGCACCAGTATCTTCCAAAATCCAACCACGAAACCATGAACATCATATCCAAAAGATCTAAAATTATAACATTCAGCTGGATATTGACCAATAACAGTCAATGATTTGAATCAAATGTGAATTCTTGAGATACAAATAGCAAGCCACAAGTGCAAGCTCATCAAATATTGAAAAAATGATCAGAATAAATTCTATAATTGTTTCCATTCTATTATTAGACCTCAAACACTGCCAAGATGTTTGTTTTATGTCCCGAAAACATTATCAACTCATATACATATTCATCATAGCACAAAATATCCATAAATTTACCCATCCAAAAGTACGCCATGGAAGATGCATCCCTCCAATTTTATTATTAAGCTTTTATCACATCAGTTTCCTTCATGTGCTATGCCCACCAAAAATCAACAACACCAAATCACCCTTCACACTGAAATCCACAATTACCTCGTCCAAAATAAACAAGAGGTTGTGACCTCACAGCAAAAAGTTTGTGGCAAATTAAATAACTTTTGCCACTCTTCATCTCATTTGTTCCCTCTTTGTTATGCACTACTCTTCAACTTTATTTCTCATTCACTTCCTCTCATTTGCTCAGTGTTAGACATAAAATATTTGATGAGACCAATTTTTGTATTTTTTTTTTGTTGTGGTCGGGTGACACACTTTCATAAAAAAAACACACTTTCATAAAAAAAAGATTACAATTTCTAGCTCTCCTGATTGAACCACTCATTTGAAGTGACAAAAGACCAATAGATTAAGACGTTTATGAATATTCCAAACCATAATAGCATTTCATTTGACGGTCTGCTTTATTTTGCATTTTTGAGAATCCATCAGTCAGCATGCGCCGTTAAATTAGATGCTTTGTAATATATTGTGCTGCTTTTACATATATGGCGAGACAATATTTCTGAAAAGAAACATGAGTTTAGAAGGAAGTATTGAAAGAAAAAATAAGTTGAAATCACACAAAATCAGGACAATACTTTTCAAAAAAACTCACAGCGACCCTTTTGTATAATGGAAAACCATTATGTTGCGAGCACAAAATTTTCCACAAATCTGATATATAAATAAAGTCAGGAGCTTCGGGCAATATTCCAGGCAATATCGTTTTTTGAGTATAATCGTCGGTCAAAATCCAGTAAAATATCGCTTGACTTGTGTGCTTCATAGTTTTGTGGCATGGTTCTTTATCCTTACTAGTATATGAGTGCTTACCCCCACAGCCAAAGCAACTGCCTTTTGGAAACTGCAAGCTCTTCATTTGGGTACTTGCTATAGGTTTTGATCCTCTCAACCCCTCGGCGAAATTAGGCAAACCATTTTCTCGGGACCATAATGTTTTCATTATTTCTTGTTTCCATTTCAAGCAGAGAAAATGTGGGTTTAACTTTCTGTCTTTGATTTTCATGAAAATCAATTCATATTTATAAAGAGGAACATAGGGAAGGTGCTTGGGGATTTCAGGAGACTTTTTAAAATTTTGGTACTGTTCAATACTTTTCTTGTACTCTTCTTTTTTAGTGAAAGTATTTTTTATTATTTGAATTATCAAAGACTCACTTCTCAATAGAGACAGCAATTTTTCATCAATGGACCCTTTAAGACAAGGAAAGTGGCGAAAATTGGTAATGTAATTCAAAAGAATGGCATCATATATAACCTTGAAATGACACGACCCGTCAAAATGATACACATCTTTTGAAAGGCGACACTTGTGACAGATGGCATAATCGGTAAAATATTCGAATGTTGCTAATATCAATACTGGCAAGTTTTTTTGGTCAAAGACTATGAATGGGAGGTCAGTGATACCAACAACAGAGTTTGAGAAAGAGCCAGCTTGGACGATTTCTTTGAAGATGACAATATCCAGCTTGAAAGTCTTCTCTATCTGGTTGTCGCGTGGAAGACCAGTTTCCAAATCTGAATGAGTTTCAACCAAATCATTACCCAAGTCGTCATTGAAGTGATCAGGATCATCTGTGAATGAAGCAGAATGGCAAACCTCCATCAACCTGTCATCTGTGAATGAAGCAGAATTGCAAACCTCCATCAACCTGTCATCCTCAATGTTACAACAATTGAGGCATCCCTTATTTTGAGTTCGATAAAAGTCATTTACTTGCCTGGTGATGCAGCTATGATAATCAACCATACCTTCACGGATATGTTTATCTATGCAGTGGATAATTGACCCGCCAGTGCGAAGTCTCCCGCATATCTGAATATAAGTATGGGGCTCAAAATTGCCACATATGATGATCTTATTTAAACGGGGAATATCCACTCCAACACTTAAAATCGTTGAACACACCACAATCTGAGGAAAGTCATTATCAGCCAAACTTTCTGCCAACTGGATTTTTTTTTCGGAATTATCATCACCAGTAATTTTTGCCACAGAAACTAATTTATCTAGCCCTTTTTGTACCAAGTCGCCATAAATCTCATGAACTTGGTTTTTGTACTCACAAAAGATGAGAATCGTTTCTTGGAAAGTTTTGGAAACCCCAAAGATGAGTCTTTGGCAATGAGCCCAGTCCTCCAATTCCACTTTCAACAACACTTTTTTTTCGAGGGGATTTTCAGAAATTGATTCCAATTTCATTGAACTTGAGAAATTCATAATTTTTTCCAACTTTGTTATGATTTGAGGCTCAAATGTTGCTGATACAAATAAGCACTTGTTGAATTTGTCACCAAGATTACATAAGCTACGCTGAAAGCTTCGGAAGCCATCCTCCCTAATTAAAAGGTCAGCCTCATCCACAAACAAATGATTGAGCTTTTTATTAAATATGAACCCGGTCTCAATTAACGTTCTGAACTTTTGATTCTTTAATAGTTCAAATGACCCGACGATATTTAATACACCGTGAATATTATTGATTGGATCCTCCATTAAGCGGTTCCACGTTATGGATTTTTTAAACCTTTTATTTAGATAGCCCACCAACATCACATATGGCGCTAATACAAAGTTTACACATCCATGCTTGTTGATGTTATGGACTAGATTGACGATTGTAGTTTTTCCAAAACCACAAGAGGCTGTTAAGAAAACCGCTTGTTTGTTGGTATTTGCAATGTCCAAAGTATACATTGCTTGCTGGGCGGACCTGAACTCGAAGCTGGCTCCATATAATTGTTTTCCACTTGCCAACAACTCAGTACTGGAGATGTATTTTTGTCGTTCTTCAGCCTCGGGTTGGTTATTTTGAATTGCGATTGGCGTGCCAATAAAATCTAACCATTTTTTTGATAACAGTTTTTGGACGTCAAAAGAGGAAACTTCATTCAATGCCCTTCTTCCTTCAGGCCCCATGATTCTTTGCCCATAAACATTGTTACCCGTGGTATTGGAATGATCGGCAGCAATATTGACAGCATCAATAAGTCGAGCCATTGCAGCATTTTCAGGATTATTCATGAAGCAAATAAATGCTTGGCGCCCAACACGGATTCCAAAGGGAAAGATGTTTTGAAATATATTGTTAAAACTTTGCTTGGTGATGAAATTGGTACCGGTGGTGAAAATACAGGTGGATAATAAGTTTGAAGCAGCAATCTCAATGATTTCGCCATTTTCATCATCAACAGAAATATCAGCAAAAATGTTTGAATCAGGCAAGGGCAATCCCTTTTCGTCCAACTCGTCAGTTTCAGGGTATAGTTTGAGTATCTCAATAAACACCGGCCGTAATAGAAGTAACCAAATTGTTAGTTTTGTAGTGGTTTGGCTCAAGTACCTCATCTTGGCAGAACGAACTCTTTTCTTGGAGTAGTTAGCAACCAAGAAAATTGTTTGTTCAACGATGTCCCAATTGAGACAGATATCTTCAGCGGCAAACTTGGAGACTTGGACCTCAGGGAATCTGAAACTTCCAGCCTCCAAGAAGAACAAGTTCAACAACAACGACGACAAAAAAATGAATGTTTCCTTGATTGATTTCAAAATATGATTTGGAAGATTTTCTTTTAAGCCAAACCTCAAGTCATCGGGAATTTCCTCTCCAACCAAATTCAAAAAGGAGTGGGAGATTTTATTTTCCTTGGAGAGTTTGACAAAGCTATCAAAAATTCTGTCAATGTTGGTATCCCCCGTGACAAACTCTTGCATTCTGCCCGCCTCTGCAAAAAAATCGGTGCACAATTTTTTATGGCCTTCAGACAACTGTTGCTGCGTTATGGTGATGCCATCGACGACCACGGTAGTTGAGTCCAATAAAATACAATCAAATACCCTTTTCGTGCCCTTTTCTTTTACTAATAGGGTGTACAATACTGTCAACCAAATAAAATTGGAGCCTTGGATCGGAAAATTGCCAATGTACTTTATTGTTGACTCCACATCGCGGTTGACATAAGCGAACCGGATAATGTGTTTGAGGACATCAAGACGCCTCAAGATGGTTTCATTAGACTCAAACCTTTTGATGGTGGTATCGGAGATATCAGATGTTTTCTTGGTAATCATCAAAACCACCAACTTGTTGAGCAATGAGTGGTAAGCTTCAGTTTCAATCAATGAAAAAATAAATTTGGCGAGAACTTCAAATCTGGTTTCTACATCTTGTGCATCATTCAACTGCTTTTTTGGGTCCAACGTGGAGGTCGGGTCATCTTCCGTATATTCGAATTGCGCCATATACTTGAAAATGGGATAGATATGTTGGAAAACGGCTGCATAGGCATGGACAGTGTTTGGGTCAAGAATTTTGTAGAAATTTTCAAAGCCCAAGCCAAAGGACGAAGCAATGATGATAGGAGGGTTGGTTTGTGTTTTTTGGTAGCCAAAAATGAATAATTCCGATGCTTCTTCCTTGATGTCGTGGGATTGAAGCTGGATTAATAAGTGCTTATCATTTTGAGACACCACGGGATCTCCTAAGTACAGTTTCAAAGCTGTATTGGACTTAACAAACTGGATATCCTTGGAGGATCCCATGATATCGTAAGCCATGCTAGAGTCACTTTTCTTGCGATGAATCAAGTAATAGTTCTTGTTACCAGCTAATTTGATAATGGTGGCTTGGTGCTTGGAGGAGCCGCTAAATTTACGGCTCTTGGTTTGGTAACGACCATCTCTACTTTTTTTGATGAATACTTCTGTCATTGTGATATGTGGGATGAGCTCAGAAAGATCGTGGAAGCTAACATTTGTGGTACTGAAGGTGGAATGGATATCTTTGAGATCACACGCTGAAAGATTCTTCTTCAGAGCTTTGCCAAGCTTGGTAATGAGTTCGGAGCTCGTGGATATGATTCGCCATTCTTTTTTATCTATAATGAATCCGTCAAGGACAGATATTCTATCTGAAACTTGATTCATTTTGGATAAAGTTTCTTGTACGTTGTGGTTCAAGGTTTTTTCTTTTCTTTTTTTTTCTTTTTTTTTGATTTACCATAAAATGCAAGTTCGTGTTTACACTACCGCATCTCCATACTCTATATTATAATCTAATCTTCAATAAACATCATCATATTTTCAAATAAAAATCTTAGTTTTTTCTTGAAGATAATATTTCTTGAAACATTTTATCCCTCAATTTCATATGACCCACGGCCACCGCACAACATGCTCCACCACATTTCTACCGCAAATCTCCTTCTTATCCTCCAATATTTTCAGAATCATCCCAAACTCTTCAAAATATGAAAATGATAATACTGCCTTCAATTTCTGACTTCATATACCTCCACAATTCACACATCCTAATCCATCCTAGCTTCAACAATAATCACATATCATCTTCAATACTTCTCCACTTTTTTATCCTTTATTTAAAAATCATCCTCTTCTAATCCTTCCACAATACTCACACAAATCTCAATCCTCGCCATACCATCGCTTTCTTCAATATCAGACGTAATACTGCTCGCCCAATACAAAGGGGTATCTCACCCTCGTTAGCTCTCAAATGATTTCTGCTGAAGATGTAGAGAATTCCGCTGATTGTGGAACGGGGTCCCAAACCCCCTGCATATTTCCGCGGATTATGCCAAAACATTATGGCTGATTGTGCAACGCACATTTCAAGCGCCAATATCTCTACCACATTATATTATTTTTCAGATAAAATTATATATTTGTGCTCAGCATCCTCTCCAGATTTCAACAGCATTATTACTAGCCATTTCCACCCAGTATTCATCATTTAAAAATTCCGGCTGATTGTGCTGCAATGTATGGCATTCCGGCGGATTGCGCGACTGTATCCCTAGGTAATTCCCCACTTTTTCACCAAAGAATACATCCTCTTTTTACCACTAGACACATCTTATCAAAATTACCATTCTGCCTATTTTTCCACCACATTTCAACCTCAATATTTCATATTATATTCTTATCCATATCAATTCTTCCACATTCTCAACATATCTCCTTCACTTTTTTCTCAACTCCTTTTTTTCATCAAATACCCAAACATTCAATTCTCACTTATCCTCATATATGACCTTCCATCATCAAACATTCGACATCCCCATTTTTCCACCACATTTCAACCTCAATATCTTATTCAACAATCAAAATCATAATAAATATCCCTAAATATTCCACAAACAATCTCACTTTTTTTTTCACTCTCTTTTTTTTCAAAATATCTCATCATTCAATTCATCTTCATACATACATCCGCACCATCATCCAAAATTTGACATTCTCATTTTTCCACAATATTTTGATTTCTCTCACCTACTTTTTAATCTTAATCATAATAAAATCCTTCAAACTTTCCATAAACAATCTCACTTTTTTTTTCACTTTTTTTTTCACTCTCTTTTTCTTCAAAATAAATCTCCCTCATTTCTCCACAATACATCATCCCCCGACCTTCACACAAATTCAACATACCCTATTTTTATCTCTCAATTATTTCTCAATATTCCATATCATGATCTTATCCACATAAAATGATCTCAATTATTTCATCTACAATCTTACTTTTTCTCTCTCTCTTTTTTTTTCATTAATATCTACACATCTATTTCTCATACATACAATAATCCCGATCTTCCTCAAAAATTACTCACCTAATTTCTCCGCCACATTTTCATTTCCCTCTCCTATTTTTTAATCTTAATCATATTAAAATTTCCCAAATATTTCATAAACATTCTTACTTTTTTCTCAATTTGATTTTTTCATAAAATACCCTACCCTTAAATTCTCACTTATACTCACATATGACCTTCGAACATCACCTCATTTTCCCACCACATTTTCATTTCCATCTCCTACTTAACAATCATATCTATATTTAAATTTCCCAAATATTTCATCAACGATCCTCTTTTTTCTATCTCACTTTTTTTTTCGAAAATACTAGACCCTTAAATTCATCTTCAATATAATACCCCGACCATCACTCGAAATTTGACATCCCCATTTTCCACCACATTTTTATTTCCCTCGCCTCTTTTTTAATCTTAATCATATCAAATTCTCCCAAATATTTCAACTATAATCCTACTTTTTCCATAGGGACCTCTTTCTCAAAAATATTCTATCCCTCAATTTCATATGACCCACGGCACCGCACAACATGCTCCACCACATTTCTCCCGCAAATCTCCTTCTTATCCTCCAATATTTTCAGAATCATCTCAAACTCTTTGAAATATGAAAATGATAACACTGCCTTCAATTTCTGACTTCATATACCTCCACAATTCACACATCTTAATCCATCCTAGCTTCAACAATAATCACATATCTTCTTTAATACTTCTCCATTTTTTATGCTTTATTTAAAGTTTATTCTCTTCTAATCCATACAAAATACTCACACAAATCTCAATCCTCGCCATACCTTCGCTTTCTTCAATATCAGACATAATACTGCTCGCCCAATACAAAGGGGTATCTCACCCTCGTTAGCTCTCAAATGATTTCTGCTGAAGATGTAGAGAATTCCGCTGATTGTGGAACGGGGTCCCAAACCCCCTGCATATTTCCGCGGATTATGCCAAAACATTATGGCTGATTGTGCAACGCACATTTCAAGCGCCAATATCTCTACCACATTATATTATCTTTCAGATAAAATTATATATTTTTGCTCAGCATCTTCTCCAGATTTCAACAGCATCATTACTAGCCATTTCCACCCAGTATTCATCATTTAAAAATTCCGGCTGATTGTGCTGCAATGTATGGCATTCCGGCGGATTGCGCGACTGTATCCCTAGGTATTCCATATCATGATCTTATCCACATAAAATGATCTCAATTATTTCATCTACAATCTTACTTTTTCTCTCTCTCTTTTTTTTTCCATTAATATCTACACATCTATTTCTCATACATACAATAATCCCGATCTTCCTCAAAAATTACTCACCTAATTTCTCCGCCACATTTTCATTTACATCTCCTACTTAACAATCATATCTATATTACAATTTCCCAAATATTTCATAAACAATCTTCCTTTTTCTCTCTCACTTTTTTTTTCGAAAATACCTCACCCTTAAATTCACACACATACATGACCCCCGACCATCACCAAAATTCATCCAACCTGATTTCCCACCACATTTTCATTTACATCTCCTACTTAACAATCATATCTATATTACAATTTCCCAAATATTTCATAAACAATCTTCCTTTTTCTCTCTCACTTTTTTTTTCAAAAATACCTCACCCTTAAATTCACACACATACATGACCCCCGACCATCACCAAAATTCATCTAACCTGATTTCCCTTACACATTTTTATTTTAATCACCTATTTTATGATTATAATCATATTAAAATCTCTCAAATATTCCATAAATAATCCTCCTTTTTTTTTCAATATCTTTTTTCAAAAATATCTAGACCTCTATTTCTTACCTACATTCATCCCCACTCCCATCAAAAATCATCCAACCTGATTTCCCACCCCATTTTCAATTCCATCTCCTACTTAACAATCATATCTATATTAAAATTTCCCAAATATTTCATAAACAATCTTTCTTTTTCTCTCTCACTTTTTTTTTCAAAAATACCTGACCCTTAAATTCACACACATACATGACCCCCGACCATCACCAAAATTCATCTAACCTGATTTCCCTTACACATTTTTATTTTAATCACCTATTTTATGATTATAATCATATTAAAATCTCTCAAATATTCCATCAACAATCCTCCTTTTTTTTTCAATAACTTTTTCTCAAAAATATCTAGACCTCTATTTCTTACCTACATTCATCCCCACTCCCATCAAAAATCATCATCATCCTCATTTCTCTCCCACATTTTCTCCTCAATCCAACATTTTACATCTCAATCTATATTAAAATCAATCAATCATCTCATAAACAATCTTACTTTTTCTATTGAATAAAAAATAGTCTCAAAATATCATCCCCATAATCTCCTTCTCTACTACACATATCCCATCAAAATTCCATATTATCCTCATTTTTCTATCACATTCTACTTTCCATCTGATATTTTAGAATCAAATCTATAATACAATCTCTCAAATATTTCATAACTGATCTTACTTTTTTCATAAATCTTTTTTTTTCTAAATTACATAGACATTCACCTCCCATCTCTCAACCACACACCCATACAAGATCCCCGACCTTCACCAAAACTTTACCATCCCTATTTTTCCGCCACATTTTATTCTCAATCCTAACTATTATCATCAAACCTATATTAAAATCACCCAACTATTTCATAACTGATCCTACTTTTTTCATAACCTTTTTTTTTCTTTCAAAATATAGGATCATCTCATACATACACCCAACCCCGACCATCAAAACTATCATCTTCAATTTTTCCTACATTTTCCTACGATTTTCTCCATTTTTTTGACCTAATCAATTCCAGATCTCCTAAATATATTGATGATATACTTACTTTTTTTCCTTATCTTCTATTTCCCAAAATAATTCTCATTACATTCAAACTTTCATCACCATATTATCACACAAACCACCGCAATTCTCCGCCAACTGACCGCTCTGATTTTCAATATAAATACCCTGATCAATCATCCTATCCTCATAATATATCAAATCACCTCCACTTTCTCTTCACTCATCTTCTTTTATATTTTAATTACCACACAAATCATCCAGCTCAGGCCCCGATCATCGTCCTTTTTCAAACCTCAAATTCCCCGCTCAGCCCGCTGCTCTGGTACATTTCCACCACTGAACGGGTCCCGCACCCCCGCTTTGCCCATTTTCAATATCCAAGATATCTCAAATATAAAGACATTATAAAAATACTATTTTTCTCTACTCCACATTCCACTTCTCAGATCCCAAATATCCCCACTTAAAGTGCCCATAATCGCCATTGCGCTCTCGCTGCTAGCCCATTGCGCTCTCGCTGCACTCTGCTAACAACCATTTTTTCGCCCCATACAAACCCGCTGCGCTCTCGCTGCAAAAATGTATGCGATTGCGCTCTGGCTGCCTTTATCTAGCTATATGTATGCGATTGCGCTCTGGCTGCCTTTATCTAGCTATATGTCTCTATTTTCTCCATTGTCACGGTAACAAATATCGACGCACAAGAAAAAAAGCTCAAGGAATTTTTTTCGGAACAATTGTTAGTGTCAGATTTAAATCAATTTCAATGGCTACTTCTTTTTGGCTATTATTTTTGTATTATACTGAAGAAGTCCCTATAGGCAACACCCATATATGGGAAGAGGACACTGTATGAGAATTAAAAACTCTCTGCGATGACCTTTTCTCCTAGCCACCCTGTCGGAAATAACTAGACATTGCGTAAAGAAATAACGAAAAATGAAGTTCAATTCCATAGATAAGATGGACACCTTTATTGAATATGTATTTGTAATAGTTAGTAATACTTAGAAAGCTCATGTTTGGTGTATTTCCGCTTTACTTTAGACAGAAACTTTTTTATAGCTTTAAAAAATTAGCACCTGTCCGATGCATGATTTTCGTCTATCTTTTCTATCTTTCTTTAGCTCTGCAAATTATTTCAGGGACATCCATTGCATTTTGGAACCCCAAACTGTATTTATTGTTATGCTGTATCTGCTGTGCTCTATTTGCTGTGTTCTATTTCTTGTGTTGTATATTTTGAGTTGTATTATTCTTTGACTTACTCGAGTGTTTTGCGGTTGTAATTTATGTGCATGAATAGACGTTAATTCGCATCGGCGATCTTATCGCTCTAGGGATATCGTCCATTCCATGTTTGATTGTTTTTTTTTTCTTCAAATATGGATAATGACATTTATTTAATGGTCGACACCTCCAACAACATTCTTACTTTTTATGCCAATAAAAGAAAAAATTGTACCTTCAGGTGAAAAATAAAGATATAGGATTTTTAAGTTAATTGATTATAATGACAGCTCCTTCTTCCTCCACTTGGTCTACACAAAAAATAAAGATCACAATCATAGGTGGGGGAATCTTTGGTAATTCTGCTGCAAACAATCTCATAAAGGCCCACCCACTGTACGAAATCACCTTGATATCGAACAGGGACTATGCCCTAAACGTTATGGCCAGTCACAGGCTTGTTGTTGATGGGTTCAATTCAAAACAAGTTACAAGACCTCTTTCTTCAATTATCAATAACAAGGTAAAAATTGTCGTGGTACAGGATATTACAAATTTTGATGATAAATCTACCGATATCATCCTGATGGCAAGCAATCAGCAAATCAATATCCCTCATGATATCCTCATTCTAGCAACAGGTTCAATTTGGACAAATCCCATACTCACCAATGAATTTGGGGCCAATTTGGGTCAAATGGACCAATATGTTAATGAACAAATGGAACAACTCAAGACTGCTAAAAAAGTTGTTATTGCTGGGCTAGGATTCGTTGGGATTGAGTTAGCAGGGGAATTAGGCCATAAGTTCAAGAAAGAATTAGGCACAGGCCAAAAAAAAATTATCTGTGTTCATCCGTCTGATAGTGTGTTGGATGAAAACTATAAACACAGTATTAGATCCTCAATTAAGGATTATTTGAGCGAAATGAACCTCACTTTGATGTTCCATGATGTGGCATTATTTGATGAATCTGATCCTAACACAGTTATCCTTAGGTCCTCAAATACCGTTATAGAAGATGTTGATGTTTTTTATAATTGCACTGGTCCTAAACCAAATTTGCCACCAACCACTTTACAAGAATTGGATCTTAGTAATAGAGGTTTTGTTAAAGTCAAAAAGACCCTCCAGACTTTAAATTACCCAAATATTTTTGCCATTGGTGATATTAACAATGTTCCCGGCAAAAATATGAATTACCGAGAAGAGCATATCCAAGTCTTGAAGCAAAATGTCCATGCTGTGGTTACCAGCAACAAGAGTGGTTTCAAAGATTACGAAGCAAAGGAAAAAGCTCTTGGAATTTCAATCGGACCCAAAGCCGGGGTTGGTCAAGCCCCAGTACCAGTTGTGGGAACTATTAAAGTTCCTGATATGCTTGTTGTAATGTATAAGAGTAAAACATTGTACACCGATAAGCTAAACAGTATTTTGGGAAAGATTTGAACTTGACTTGATTAATTCCAACTTTTTTTTTAAACACATCTATTCGCGTGCAATTGATTTTCGCTTTTTTGTCATCTTGGGGAGTTTTTTTTTTTTGCTTAGCATATTTGGGCTTTTTTTGATAGGTTTGGTTTACACTTATCCCATTAGTGTAATGTCAATTTTTTTTCTAGATAATATCATGGGACTTCAGAACCCAGTTTGTTTTTGATTTTTTTTTTTTTGGTTCATAATTATTAACACCAGTGGGCATTTCATAGACAGAGAATTTAACTCCATCAACAATTTTGATTTTGTAGATCACCTCAAACGTGAAATTGAGCAAATTTATCCCCAAAAATTGTTTATGCCAAGATGCCCAGAGGCATTTTCGATTTTTTTCTTTCAACAATAAAAGTGGGGGAATCCACGTTATTGGTCAGACTCTCGAGTATATTTTGCCACAAGGGAATTAAAAGTGTTCCAATAGAATCATCAGGCTATTTTCAATACCGAAGCAATTATCGGATTGTGGATTGTGCCGTACTCTTTATTAGATGTCATCAATATATGTGCTTGATCACGAGAGTATCGTTTTTTTTTTGTAAGTTTTTCTCTACTTTCCCCATCTCATCGGTTGGCTATAGACATCAAAGAAATCATCAAAGAAATCATCAAAAGCTTCATTGAAATGTCTTGATCTTTCGAAGATTTCTCTTCATCATTTTTATCTTTGAATTTCCTCGCCATTTATGGTATATTGGCCTCACTCGTTCGAAAATTTTTCCCTGGCTTGTTCAAATTTGCTCACCATCACAGTTTCGGTAAAATGTGCTCAAATGTTAAATACTTCCCAAGAAATATTATAAATACGAGAACAGCATCATGGTGAACCGCAAAAAAAAAACAATCTATTTAACCAGAAAGCACATTATTTGTTGCAAGTATATTAACTTTACCATGGTTTTTGGGAAGAGAGACCTATACGCTGAAGGAGTTTGGTGTATCAATGATGTCAACACCACCTTGTATAAAGAACTAAAACATAAGTCTCAAGCAGCTCATCCTTGGGCATATCAAGCCGAATATGGAAAATACATGACTTATTATTTGGTGGTTATCATAGGGCTATTCATCTTCAAAAGGCTTCATTTTAGCTACGTGGATGAGGAAGATTTAAACAATAGATCCAAGGTATTTGGTAGACCAAATTTTTTCAATAAAATCGTTGCATTTAATAGGTATATTACTTATCGAAGACTCCCAATAACCCTTTGTGAATACCTTGGGCTTCCTTGTTCGGTTGCCAATGTTACAGTACTATGTCTGACCCTATTGTATGTGTTATGCTATACATTCATACCCAAAGTCTGGTATAGAGCCTGCAGCGGGTTTGGCAGTCCCCCTTTGGCGATCCGTGCTGCTCTAGAATGCATGGCATTTATTCCATTCATCCTCATTTTATCAGGGAAGTCAAATATCATCAGCACTTGGACAGGAGTGAGTTATGAGCGACTCAATGTTTATCATAGATGGGCCTCTTTTATTGCTTATTTTTTGGCGTGGGTCCACATTATTCCATTCTATTACCAAGCATATAAGGAAGGTGGAGCTGGAAGAGTGAGCTATAAGCAGAGGACGGATGAGATGTTTGTTAATGGTATTCCTCCAACAGTATTTTTCACTTGGTTATGTTTTGCATCTTATACATCCATTAGACAGTGGTGGTACGAATTATTTTTTCATTTGCACTGGCTCTGTGGTATCGGTTTTTGTATAAGTTTGTATATTCATATCTACCCAGAATTGGGCTCTCAAAATTACTTATATGCTACAGTTGCATTATGGGGAAGTCAAGTGTTATGGAGGTTTGTCGTGAAAACTGCTTTGAAACCAGGAAAACGATTTCTAAAAACCAGATCATCCAAGGCCAGAAAATTCTTGGTTAAGAATGGATCACGAGTCAGTGAAAGCTTCGAAATAGCCATCGAAAATAAAGGCATGGATTTCCATTGGAAACCAGGCCAGCATTTATTCATTAGAGTCCCAGGAATGAGAATTTTGGATAACCACCCTTTTTCCATATGCAACATTCCAAATGACGACCAAGAAAATATCAGACTCCTAGTCAAACCAGAAAAAGGGCTTACTAGAAAAATTTATAATCAAATCCCTGAATCAATGACCAGTGATATGAAGGTATTTATTGATGGCCCTTATGGTGGTACCCCAAGAGAATATGATTCTTTCACAAACTTGTACTTGTTTGCCAATGGAACTGGTGTCTCTGCCGTTTTACCATTCTTGTTGGCTGGTTCTAGATCAATGATCGATAAATATTCCAGGATTCGTGAAATTAGGTTGGATTGGATAATAAGGTTCGATGAAGATTTAGAGTGGGTCAGAAATGAATTAGAATCTGTTCCTAAGAGTCTTATTGAATCTGGCATTGTAACAATTAATGTTTATTGTGTTAATAATATCGAAGATTCAAATGCTGCCACGAATCCTCTTGATTCAGAATCTATTTCTTCTGAAGAAAATCGTCACTTTCAGACAAAGCCAAAACAACCCTTCTTGCCCAATATTACCAATTCCAATAAGGGCAATAGCTTGCTCAATCTTTTTAATTTCAAGCCTATAATCAAAGATCTTTTCATTGATATTAAGGATTCTTTGGGCAGCAAAAATATGATTGTGTGTTCTGGTTCTCAGTCGATGAAATTTGAAGTGGGGAATAGTGTCGCTGCGCTACAAACTAGTGTTTTGGAAAAGAGCTCTAAGGTTAAGGAAGTCTACTTGCATACTGAGAATTTCGGTTGGTAGTTTCTCATCCTCTTTTTCTCCATTTCTTAGTTTTTTTTCCTTCCTTTCCTGTCTGTTTTCTGCTTTCAAAAGCTCGCTTAGTTTCAATAGCAAAATAATTTATGCATCATATCGAAATCCTATCATGAACTGAAGGGTTCTAAATAAATATTACATATGCACATTTCTCATCATTTCGAATTGTTAATATATATAGTGCCTCCTGGAAAAAGGCTATTTTAGTCACAAAACAGGTCTAAATGCGACAATTAGTAAGAAGGAACTTTTTCAATATACATGGTTTCATCCTGGTCTTAAAAGCATTTTTGATCTGGCCGTTGGGTGGATCGTGCTTTATTATTTATCAAACTAATATATATATGCATATATATAACATTTATATCAAAATGATTAGCATCTATCTATATTACAAATGTCACCAAAAAAATAAAAATAAGGAATAAAAATAAGGAATAATAATAATAGTTAGGAATCAGTAAATTACTAAGAAAAAAAAGTTCTCAACGCTTCAAATTTTCAAGAGATTCCTCGATATTTTCAATACTCTTGTTAGCAGTGGATCTCAATCTAGCAAGTTCTTTCTTTAAATCAACCAATTCTTTCTCCAAAAGTTCGGCTTCAATTTCTCTATCATCATGGATGATGGCACTTTGGCGTGGTGTTTCATGTTCATTATCTTCCGTCTCGCGCGGTGATTGACCAGTTCCATTAGCCGCGTCCTGTACTGGACTAGCTCCCTGGGCACTCAATAGCTCGTACAAAAATGAATTCTCATCATTGAATAATTCATTAAAGGTGCCAGTTTCTACCATTTTCTTATTCTTCAAAACAATAATTCTTGTTGCAGACTTGATAGTTGAAATTCTATGAGCAATGGAAATGGTAGTTAACCCTTCAATGTTTCTTTTATTGATGGTTTTGGTAATTGCATTTTCAGATTCAGAGTCTAAAGCACTGGTGGCTTCGTCCAAAATTAAAATTTTTGGCCTCAAAATTAAAGCTCTAGCTAAAGCAATCCTTTGCTTTTGACCCCCAGATAGCTGTGCACCTTTTGGACCAATGACAGTCTGTAACCCATTAGGAAAACTGGACAAGAATTTGTTACAATTGGATAGTTCTACTACTCTGTCGACTTCTTCTTTGGTGGCATTTAGGTATCCATACTTGATATTCTCCTCAATGGTGCCACTGAACAATAAAGGTTCTTGTTGCACGACACCAATAATTCTTCTAAAATTTTTCAAATTGTATTCTCTGATATCAACCCCATCAAGTTTCACTGCACCGGTAGCTGGATCATAAAATCTCAATAACAAATGCATAATTGTTGATTTACCCGATCCGCTTGGCCCAACAATACATACATGTTCCCCTGATTTGATTGTAAAATCCAATTCGTTGAAGATAACTGAATTTGGCCTAGTAGGGTAGAAGAATTTGATATTATCGAAAGAAATCTCAGCCCTTAATTTCAGAGAATCTATTTTCCTACCAGTAGTGGAATGAATTAATGGTTTTCTATCATTAAGTTCAAACACACGAGAAGCGGCACCCAAGCCCTTCATCAATTCGGAGTAAAAATTGGAGACCCCAAACATAGATGAACCAGTATATACAGCATACATCATGAATGAAGTCAAATCACCAACAGTGATTTCTCCATTTCTGACCATAGATGTACCCACACTAAGTAACAAAAGCAATGCACAATTTCCGATAAAACCAGTAGTACCGAAAAATAAACCGGTATATTTCGCATCCAAGAACCCAACATCAAAAACCCTCCTGACTTGTTTAGAGAAGTTATGGATTTCGGTGACTTCTCCATTGAAACTTTGAATGGTCTTTGTTGAAGACAAACTTTCTTCAGCGACCTTAGTCAAAGACCCGACTTCTTCTTGTAACTTTCTAGAGATATTACGAACTTTTTTACCATATACTGCTGCTCCAATAGCCAATGGTGGACCCAATAACATCAAGTATCCAGTCAACTTGAGGGAAACAAGACACATCATGGATAAGCCAACTACACCACTGATTACAGCTCTAATACCATCAGACAAATTTTGGGTGACAGATCTGGTAATAATAAAGGAATCATTTGTCAACCTGGAAATTAAATCACCGACTTTGTTGTAATCAAGGAAAACAGCATCTTGTTCCAATGACTTTTTCAAGATACGAACTCTTAATCTGGCAATCACACGTTCACCAATAGTTTTCAATAGAACAATTCTTGTACCATTTGCAAGCGCTCCAATAAGGAAAACAGTACCCAAAGTGACAAAAAAGACATTCAACGGTAATCCAAAAATTCTGATATTCTCAACATCTTTATCGACCAAGTTTCCTTTGCTCTGAAATGATGACATAAAGTTCTTTAACCATCCGTCGTTCTCCTCACTACCAGTGGAATCAGTGAAGGCAGCATCAGTATCATTTTTTGCATTATTAGTATCTAACAACTTCCCGATAATCATAGGCAAAAGCATACTGATTGTGGAAGAAATCAATAAACAGAAAAAAGCAATTAATAGCAATTTGGTTTCCGGGATTGCCAAACGGAACAATTTTTTTAAAGAATCAACGTCAGGATATCCAGATTGAGAATCATCTTTCCTTTCGCTTAATTTGAAATTCGCAGAGTTGCTCATGTATTCCAAGTCCCGTGAGTGCTCTTTGTTAGTAGCAATTTTACTATCTTTATCATTGTTTTCCTCTTTTATGGAAAGAGTTCTTCTTGAATAAATCCCACCAATGGGCGATTTGGAAATAACCCCAGCCTGTGATGCGATACCTATATGCAGTCCTTTTGCTATTTTTAACAAAGAAAGTCTGGTATACAATTTCGATGAGTTATGAAAGTACCGTGGCAGCTGATCTTTGGTGATTTGGCCCAATCTTGGCACTATACATTGGAAAAGAGATTTCGAGGACCGATAACTCACACCTCCAAATTTTGTAAATAATACCAGCAGCATGATAAATTAATATTCGGTGCAGTAATTCTACAAAAGCAGCAGAGAACTAAAGAAGATTATAGGAGATCCAAATCGAATTATCAGAAGGGATATTAAATTTAGCTTCTTTGAAAATTATGTGTCATAAATATGAGCCGGATTAATGTCCCTATTTTTCAAACACTACTTCTTTGAACGCCAATTTCTGGAAACGAGAATATAACCATATATCAGACTTCAATTAATAGTTTATACAACACGAAAATGAAGCAAGAATGGCCGGTTGTAGTTTGTGTCCAAAATAACGATATCTATAATATATAAACCGAGATCAAAAAACTGCTCAACAATTGGAAATGACGATTAAAAAAAAAGCAACTAGCACGTGCACGGGGGTACTTACAGCTGGCTGTCCGATACCGAAACAATGTAAATGTTCTCTAACCAAGTTATAACAGGTAAACATAGAAACAATATGATAAGTAACTGTAGAAAAAATAAAAATCATTAGGGAATAGTATAAGACTTTGAGAGAAAAATGAGAGAAAAATGAAATAAAGAAAGAAATAACGTAGAAGGAGCACAGAAATAACATAGTGAGAACAAAAAAGAAAAGCAAAAAACAAGAACAATAAAAACTATTACTATTAGTCTACAACATTTGGATCAGCATCCACAAAAGTGTCGCTCTCAACCTCAGAACCGGCAGATTTTGCAGGAGACGTAAGCTTAAGGTCCAAAAACTGAGGATTACCGCTGCCATTCTCTTCTTCTTCAGAGTGATCTGCAGTTGGAGATTTCTCGATCTCAGAAACAAGTGCAGGTGGTTCCTCCAGATTTTTTGGATCAAGTTTAATAGTAGGTGGAATTTCCATCTTTACTGGTTCTGTGTCAACTTTATCGGTTAATGATTCTTTAGCTTGCCTGAATGGACTGCCATTTTCAGTTGTAACAATAACTTCGTCAATTTTGCCCTCCAACTTGTCAGAATTGAAAGAAGAATTCGTCTGGTTGAAAACTGACATATTTTTTTCTTTTCTCTTAGGTGTGGTTGGAGAAACCACCTCTGGAGCGGGAGTGCTAGAAGAGTTTGTGGAGCTACTAGAACCCCAGAAACTATTGATAATACTATTTCTGTTACTGAATAGCCCACCGTTTTTCATATTGCTAGAGGATTCAACCTCAGTTTCAGAGCCTGCAGTGACTGAAACACTATTTGTAGGGCCATTATTGCCATTATTGTTAACAAAGTTGGCAAAATTAGCCATAATTGGACTGGACATTCTTGATCCGTAGTTACTAAAATATCCACTGGTTCTATTACTAATCCTATCAAAGCCATTAGTCCCCAAACTTTCAGCACCGAGTAATTGACTCAGTGTGAAGGTGAAACTGTTATTGTTGATTAAATTATTGGAAGATTCGATGACACCAATCCTGCTATAAAAGATCTTAGTTCTGATTCTAACACATTCGATCCAATTTTTTTGGCAGCTCAATTTAGTGTCAAACTTCCAAATTCCAGCCTTAACGCCCCTAAGGAAAGCAAATAACTCACAAACCGATCTGACTCTATGCAAACAGTATGAACACAAAGGATATTGATTGGCAATGTATTCTTGAACAATCGTGATCGTGTTTTCTTTATCCTTATTACTAGAAACAAATTTGGAAAAAGCAGTTTGGTTTGGCGGGGTTCCATCTTTTCTTTTTTTAATAGTCTTGGTACCAATGACCTTCAATACATACAACCGACTATGGTCCAAAGTATCATTTCTGTTCTCACCACATAATGAGCACGGATCTTCAAATGCTACTGGTGGCTCATTAATAGAGGCGGCAGCAGTACTATCTTCATCATCAATCTTTGAAGTATTATTGGTGTCTGAAATACTATGTAGTACCACATCAGTTTTGTAAGATTCGTTAATAGACGAAATTGGTTCTATACTAACTTTACCGATTAACATACTTGTGATAAGATTTTTCTTGGATAGCCATGCGACACCTGGGGCTTCATCTAGCCTTAAAGTTGGTTCAATATCATCATTTAAAAGTTTCCTATAAAATTTATGGTCCTTGATTTCCAAGTAGCTAGTTTTGGAATTGCTGGTGTGGTGACCAGCTTTGAAGTCATGATATAGCTTTTCTCCAAACTCTTGAAATAGATGGTACCCTTTGATGTCATATCTCAAAGATTGCACAGTTGGCGCGTAAATAAAATTAGATATACTGTAAGAGTTAATTGATGTTCCTGCCCCATCTGCAGGTTTGCTAATGGACAAATTGCCAGTTGAGTGATTTCTGGAAGCGATTTGTTTCACATCTCCGTCAGCTGTATCAGTAATATTATCATCCGGATAAAATTTAATTTCAATATTGCTTTTATCATGATTACTATTTTCGAAATCAACTGAAAAATCAGCTGTTGTCGGCACACTTTGATCTTGCAACATTTTCTTTAAATCGGTTAATTGGGATTTCAAAATATGGATCAAATTATCTTTTTCGCTGATTTCATTTTTCAATGAATCGTTGGATTTTTTAAAATCAAAAGCTTCCCTTCTTGCTTGAGACACCATGTTATTTGCTTCCAGAAACAATTGGGATGAAAGCTCTTCGGTTTCTTTTCGCAAGTTGGTGATTTCAATATCGGAGAATTTCTTTTCACTTTCGAGGGAGTCAAATTTACCGGATAAAATATTGTAATCGTTTGATAGATCCTCGAACTTTGATTTATAGATCTTCAACTCACTGTTTTCAAAAATCTGTTGATTCAATTCACTTTGTGCTAGTTGAAGCGATTCTTTAAGATGAGTGACTAAGTTATTAGTGGTCAGCGTTGGCGAGTGTATTGAAGCCAATGGAGAGCCATTCTGAATGAACTCTGTGGTTGATATTGTAGGCGATTCCATGGCAGTGCTGAAAATGATTTAGCTTGCTGCTGTGTAACTGGGGAACACTAAGATTTGTTTGTTGTTGTGTTTTGATTCCTGCGGTAAACCCAAATTGTTGGTCACGTGCTCACTTTTCTTCTCTTTTGTGATTTGTATACACCACAACCTCTAATGGCTGTCACCCTGTTTATTAACGAAGAATCCTATACATATCACTTATACATATATATATATATATATATATATATATATATATATTGGATAACAAACATTCCAAACAAGGAGCTCTAATTGATTAAATTGTAATTAGTGGGGGGTGGGGGTAGAGTCGTGAGACGCAGCACTGCAACATTTTACTGGAGTCTGAGAAACCACCCAGAATGCAAAAAACAATAAAACTAGAAAATTGCATTTCAGGTAATTGTATTAGTTAGGAGAAAAGCTCTCATCCAATGCATTCATTCTCCTGCTAAGGTTGTTGCAGTCTTACTACGAATGGAACCGTTTTAACGGCTCAAGGTTTCTATAGCCTCAGGAATATAAAAGGAGGTATGTCGCAGCCACATAATATAAAGCGCAATATAGTTGTAATCATAGTGTATACCAGGGATATTCTAAAAAAAACAATTACTCGATCGAGTAGGCAGCTGTCAATCAATGATCTAGAGTTTTGGCCAATACGACCTGTTTGGGAAGACGCTTCCAGGAAATTACTTCTGAATGCATCCAAGTGAGCTCAAGACTCTCAATATAGTCCTTATTATAATGATATACACTTATATTTTAATAAGTTTCATTTTGGGTAAAGAAGGGGATTATAGTGAGACTCTCCAGCGGGTAAGAGCGCATGTTGAACCATTAACAAAAAAAAAGAGATGAGATAGATGCCTCAGAAAATCATTTTATCTTTCTCATATTTGGATCAACGATGTCTGAAAGAAAAAGTATCAACAAATATAGGGGCAATGAGTTCTATGAGGAAGACTTTGAGAAGCTTCGAAAGAAGCTCAAAAAACAGCAAAAGAACAACAAATCGGGGCCACAATTACAGGATGTTAGGCTAATGGCACCTTTCTCATTGAAATGTTTGAATTGTAATGAGTATATTTCTAAAAGCCGGAAATTTAACGCCAAAAAAGAGACCACTAATGAGCGTTATTTGGGACTCAAGATATTCAGGTTCACAATAAGATGTCCCCGATGTTCTAATGTGATCAAGTATCGTACCGATCCAAAGACTGCTGATTATATTATTGAAAGCGGGGCGGTGAGGAACTATGTGAATAAAAGTAATGACGAGGCAGAAAGATTCCGAAATGAGACTTTGGAGGAAACCTTGGAGAGACTTGAAAAAGAAGAAGCAGAAAATAAAGCAAAAGAAGAGCAGAAAAAGAACGGAAATGGCTCCGTCGATATGAATGATGAGGCCACAGCCATGGAGAAACTTGAAAAAAAGTTAGAACAGAGCCAAAAAGAGCAGGCACTTAGTTTTGAGATTGAATCACTTCTTAGAAAGAATGCAAAAAATGAAAATTCCCGACTGCTAGGGACACTTGCTGATGACGCTGATATCGAAAGTTTGGCGAAACAGGCGTTCAAGAATAAAGGTTCACAATCAAAGATAGAAAATGTGAGTAAATTACAGCTTCTAGGCAATCCTAGCAAGGTATTTAAGACCGTCAAAAAGAAAAAGAAAATAATTATCTAATTTATACTATATAATGAATTATGCGATGACTTGATTAGTTGAATGATCGACGAAGAATGTAAAAAGATAAAAAATGCCCTAAGTGAAAAAAAGAGAAAAAAAAACAAGAAAAAAAAAAAAGAAAGAAAAAAGGATGATAATAAAAGATTATGTGTTATACTCTGATAGATGAGTTTATGCTAGGTACCAAAGTTGAACTGGTTCTTCTAGATGACGACAGCTGAAGGCGTTCAATTTGGGATTTTTCGTTGAATTGAGAGTAAGATGGGTGAAACATTGATGGTTGAAACTGAGGACTGGTGCTATTGGATTTTGTCAATGGCAATTTTAGTTTATGATTCTTTTCATGATCACCAAGCAAGTCCTTAATCTCATTGTTTTTCTGCTTTAGACTTTGGAAGAAACAGTCCTTTAATTTTGTTAATTGTTGATTCTTCATGTCTATCTCTTGATTCAATTGTAATTGTTTAGCAACAAATGCTTTTGTTTGATTAACTAACTTCTCTTCTGATAATTTATTTGAAACTTCAAGATGCCTCTTCAATATTGACTTCTTTAATAAGTTTATTTCATTTTTCGAGGATTCTAAGAGATATAGCCACTCTTTTTCAAAAGAATTCATGATCATTTGAATGCTTTCCATTTGGGATTTGGTGCTGCTCACTGTCACCAAAAGATTCTTGATAATTTCCTCCAATCTTTTGTTCTCGTCGACATATAACTGAATATCGTGAACCAAGGTCTTATTTTCCTGTTTTTTCAATATGCAATTAAAGGCTAATTTATTATTCATGATTTTAGAATCATTATTGGCTTCCTTCAAATCATCAATGACTGAAGTAAGTGCTTGAAGTCCTTCCACATTTTCGACACCCACTTTACCATAACCTTGAACAATAACATTATTTAGCTGTTCAATTTTATCCTTTTTAGCTTGTAATTCCGTTGTCAATTTCAATATTTCAGAATTCTTCAATTTTAGCATTGACGAGCTTTTTTCGGCTAGCAGATTCAATGTTTCGATCTGCTCCTTGTAAGGTTTCAATCTGGTATCTATCACCGCACCTTTATGGTGTTCCAATTGATTGTATCTTTCATTAAATTCCTTTTTAATATAGGTTTCCCTGGTAAGGAATATAGCAGCCATAAAAACGAGACTAACAATAAAGAGTTCCATTGTGAGCATGATGTCTTTGCGGGAAAAAAATGGATAAGTACGAATAGATGTCCAACCAGATTAGACACGGTAACACTAATACTGCCTTTATTGATGGGAAAACAGGACTAACAAGAAAAGAGGAATAAATAATGAGGAAAATGAAATAAATGAGAAGAGTAAAAAAAGAAAAAAAAGGAAATGAGATGGAAGTTGTCAATAGTGTCTATTTTTAAAAGAAGGCTTTTGATTAATTATTGTGTGAAACTGGCTAAGACATACTGGTCGATAAATTATAACATCCCGCAGATACCCCCAATCCTGATTAACTAATAGAGGAAATTCTACGAATATCTTCAAACAAAAAAAGCGAAGCTGAGACTGTTATGCAAATGTTAGTTCTTCGAAGAGAAGTATTGAAAAAGAGCCAGATCAAAGCTTGGAAGATTATAATGTTTTGTGTATATACATGCACGATCTTTTTAACTTGGGTTCCACGAACAATCAACCGAAATCTGCACGTTCCCACTTTAAAGGAGCTTCTATAGAGGATTGAAAATAGATTCCAGTCCACTCTTGCAAATCGGATGGATAAAGCTTACTACATTATATATTCCTTCATTTCTTAGCAGAATATTATTCGGCATTCTGGTTCTCTTTGTTATTAAAGTCCTTCCTTTGGTCTTTCAATGTGACAGTGTCACAACACAACAGGGGTGTAACCTGCATTACTGAAAATCATAAGGCTGGCCGACTCTGCTTAAAATTTAGCAGATACGCATTTATTGAGCGTTTAACAAACCTTAAATAAATCAACTGTTCTTGGTAGCAATCCAGCTTATTTCAAAACTATACCAACAAAAATTAAAAGGAATGAAAAAAAAAAACCCTTACCAAAATAGTAAATATTCCAACAAAATAATCCAGAAACAAAAAGAATTAATCTCAGTCTCTCCACTAGCGTCAAATAAATAATGAAAGGACTAACAAAAAATGCCTATATATACTACAGAAACCTTCAATAAACTTCACTTATTTTGATCCTTAAGCCATTCCGTGTCACATTTTCTAACATGCTCTAGACTTTGAATTCAGGAAACTTCCAAATATCACTAACATCCATACACTGGCATTCTTGTTTAATTCTCAAAGCTCCATTTTTGAACTCTTTACCAGGATCACTACGATCGAAACCCCACAATGGTGATGGTCCCCATGTTGGAATGTAGCAAACAGTTCCATTCGGACATTTCTCACGACAATTAGTGGCAATGGTCCAATCAAGGTCATCAATTAGGTTATTCAATCTGATAAAACCAGCTTTAATTTCTTTGGACAATTGTACCCGATCGACCTTCAATGAGTTGAATTGAGAATTAACAATCTTATGAGACAATCTATACTGTTCAAATACTTCTTGAACAATCATTTCAATCACCTTGGCCACGGATGTCCAGATTAAAATATCACCTTCAGACTGTAGAGGCTTATTTGGTAGAGAGTATTCCCAAACTGCATGCTCAATTCCCTTTTTTTCTCTAAGAGACACATCATGTATAGAAGAATCTTGGTATCTTTTATAAATATGGTAAGTATACATGGTTAGGTTAACGCCAAACAAGCTGATATCTTCATTTTTAAGATAATTGGTGTAGGTGCTATTCATGAGATCCAACACCGGATAGAATTTTGAAACAATGTGATTGGTGAATTTTTTCCAATCCGTGCCATCCCAGTAATTGATATGCTCTTGATTAACAGCAAATAAGTGTTCCATTCTGCCAACGAAATTTTCTCGTACTTCAATTGGAGTATCCCTTAACCGTCTTTTATATGTGTCTGGATCCATAAAAGTTTGGTTCAAAATAGTAGTGAACCCTCTATAATCAATTTTAATCCTCGATTCTGGCTCGAAATGGCGCTCAAAATTTCCCCAGGCTCTGAAATGAGGCAAGTATTTGATAAGCTTATAACGATTATCGTCATCCACCAACTCCTGGTTTTGGTCACCATTATCTATTTCACTCAAAGATTCATTCAAAGGCAATGGAGAAGGAAATCCAAGAATTTCTAGATCATTCATAAAGGTATCATTAGAAACCAATTGAATCTTTTCACTTTCGAAATCACAAAAAATGATTTCAAATCCAACTTCCATTCTTACAATGCCATCTAATCCCCCATATTTAATTTTACCCCAATCACAGATTGACTTGGCCAATGAACGTTCTGCACCACCATAAAAGTAAGTAAAGTTTTCACGAGCTAACACATTATGGACATCCATGGTACCGTCATCATCTTTCTTCGCACTAGCACCCTCCATGACAATCAACTTATTGAGCGGTTTGATGTTGGTAAAAGTAAGTAATCTGGATCTATGTATTTGCCCATCATCAATACCAAACTTAGCCTGAATTTCGTCTTTTAATGCCTGTGGATGGGGTGGTGGGGGAGGCATACCATAGCTGTCATTCAACGGCCTTTTCCCATGCCCCGGTCCTCGTCTATTGGGTTCTCCAGGTCTATGAATCTCCTCACCATGAGCTCCGAAATCATAACTATATTCCCAATTAATAGCTACCCATTCTGGACTAGGAGGAAATCCGGTTTCACCACCAAAGCCAGCATGGTAAAATAAAGTTCCCGCAGGAATATAGCCAGTAAATACTGAAACCCCGTTTGGCTGAATTGTCCCTGCAGGGCCATCAAGAACACTATTTACAGAATTAAACACTGCAGAAGCGTTCTTGAAATCAATTGGTGGTAATTTATCATAGTAATTCTCTTTTGACAACTGAGAAAACTGGTGAACATCAAAACCCAAATTTCTGGCATATTGCGCAGGTCCAGGATTGGGGATTCTTTGGTAACCAAATTTAAGTAACAATTTTTCAACCCAAGAGGCATGCTTGTGGACCAATGTTTGATTATTGACCATTATGGATATTGTATTCAACACATCGCCTTTGAAAAATAATTTTGTAGAGATATAGAACAAGGCCACGCCGAGCACAATAATCCAAGTTCCGATAAACGACTTTGTCGCTCTTGAGCTCCTAGTAGGCACAGAGAGTTTCATATCTATATCTAGTAAGCTATATCAAGAAGATTTGGTTAGCCAAGTTCCTCATAGATGATTAAATACATGGGAAAATGTAATAAATTCTGACTATCTAAATATACACATAAGCATGATAAAATAGGAAAAAAAAACCAAAGCCCCTTTTAGCACTCAGGGCTTCTAAAGACCCGCCAACGGAGATGACGGGTGCCCGCTAAATCCTGAAGATGAGAGGCGATCTTGCCTTCCAATTGTAATTTTTGGTTCTTATCACGGAAACAAAAGCCGCTGAAAGAAATTCGAAAGCTGGAAATGCTGTCATTACCGTCGAATAACAGATGAAAGAAATCACAATCCTGAAACGGTATCCCTAACAAACTGACGGACTTAAGATCTCTTAGCTTTACGATGCTTAGATAAGTTTCTATATTCACATACTTGACAATGTCTTTATTATTTTTGAGATCAAGGGTAAAGGATTGAAGACTTGGTGATATTATGGGGTTTGACAAGTAGTGTTTAAAGCGCTCGCTCAACAAAAAGCTGTTTTCTTCGGAATAGCTGAGGATTATGGAGGATAAAGAATGATCTAACGATGCTGGGCTCTTGTAAACAAATTGGTTTAAGTTAAATGGATAATCCCAAGAGCAATTGATAAGGGATAAGTTGGTTATGCAAGGAAGATGAAATAGTTTTTCATGGTGAGCTTTTTCAAAATCACTAGTAGCATCTTCATAATCCTCATTTTCATTTGTCCCATTTTTGAAGTTGACGAATCTGAAATTCTTTAGAGTAAGGTTTTCAATAGAAGAAAACTGATTTAGGTGCTCAAGGTTGAATAGTGAGTTAATCTTGTCTGTTTCAAGGGTTAGAGATTTTATTGAATCCTTAAACGCGAAATATTTGAGGCAGAATGATGCAGAAGAAATTTTGATCGATAAGTCGTTGATATTCGATAGTTTTGTAATAATTAAGTCTAAATGGTTGAATAAATGCCACTCTAGCTTATTGTTCGCTTCTATAATCAGTAACAGCGTCACCAACAGAACTAGCCTTGTTGTAGATAGATTATAAGATGGAGTGGAATAGTCTACGGTCGGCGCTCGTAAATTGAAAGCCTTGGTGAATTTCTCAATCTCTTCCCAGCACATGGTGACGCTTCGAAATACAAATGGTAGTAAACATTTTCTGTGTTTCTTGTTTACTAAAGATAAGTTAATAATATCTCTTGGAGATAAACGGGAGAAGATAAAAGACAATAGCTCATTTGGGAAGGACAAAAGATGAAGTTCTTGCTCTTTCCCCCGCTTTTGCTTTTTCCTCAATGGTGGTGACATTTCATTGTGCGATGGTACTTTTAATTTTCAAAGAGTAATGATGGTTAGTTAATCTCTGGGCGGACACAAGAAGACCATGTCTGTAATCATGAAATGGAGGTCAGTCTACAAAACAAATAGTGGAAACGGTGCATCACTTCCTTCCTCATCCGGGTGATCAACCCAAACATAGAGTACACCCAATCATCAGCCCAATTGTTTTTTCCTCAATTTTTTTTTTTTTTTTTGTTTGTGCGTTTTTATTTTTTATTCGCACGCAGGAAAAAAAATTTTTTGATTTTTTTTTCATCGACTTTTTTTTTATGTTGGAGAAATAACTTTCAACCATTTCCCTCTCAGTTATTCACAATTAAGGAGATTTGTTACTTTGCGCAATAATTGTCAAGGTCGTCAGTGGTCTCTTACAGTAGTACACATACTCTATATTGTATTTCTACTGTCCTGTTACGTTAGCTAACTACTTTTTGTTTTTTTTGTGTCTCCTCATTTCTCATCAAGGAAGGCGGTTACTGTTAGATTTCATCGAATCACAGTTCATCTCATCTAGAAACAAGGCAAACTAAGTTAAAGAATAGGGAAAGATATCCTTGTTTAGTTCTACTTAATTGAAAAAGATTATACGAACATTGCCTGCTAATCACTAGTTGCAATTTATAACCATGTCTGCCGCAATTTCCTATGCGAACATCGCTGCTGGATCATCATCCGCTTCAACTCCTCCTCCACCATCAACTGCCGACTTTATGGCTGCTTCTGCTGATTCCACCAAGGTTGAAGAAGCTAGCAAGGCTGACAATAGCTCTTCAGAATCGGAATCTATTGATTCTGGGAAGGCTGCTGCCAACACTAGTGGGTCTACCACTGCCCCTAATGCCGAAAAGGAAAAGAAGAAATCTGCCAAGAAGGCTCAACTAAATCTTGCACCTGCTCCAGTCCCAACCATCAGTGCATGGGGATCTAAATCAGCTACGGTAATTGACCAAGAGACATCTCCACTTGCTCAAAGTATCCAAAAATCAGAAGAATCAACTTCTTCTATCAAGAAACCAGTTGCCAAAAGCAGTGGTAAAGAAAAATGGGTCCCATACGAAGCCAGTGTTGTGATATCGTCATCTACCAATAAATCAAATAAAGCCCACAACAAAAGATCTAATAGAAAGAAACCAAGTGCCAACAGTAGTGTGGCTAATGGTGACGGGAAATCAACTAAGAATGTTTCAAAAGCTGCTAAACGCAAGGTGAGCAGCGAAAAGAAAGAAGATGCTGCCTCTACAAAGTCAGTTGAAAAAGATTCCAAACAACAAGCTAGTGCTCTTCCTGAGTCTACTGGCACTGCCGCAAAATCCGCTAATGAATCTGAGCAAGTGGAAGAGTCTGCTGAAGAAAACTCTTCAAAAGCTGAAGAAACTTCCGCCGAAAATAATTCTGATTCTAATGCATCTAGTACACAATCCTCTAACAAGCCAGAAACCAAGCACAATGGCAATGAAAAAAATAGTCATCGTGACCACCATCATCACCACCATCACCACCACTATAACAATAACCAATATTATGGTAGAAATGCTCGTTATGTCAGAGCTAATTACACTCCATACAGAGGAGGTAAGCAGCATGGTAATAAACATTACTATAACAACAATTATGCCAACGGTGATTTCAAGCATAGCAACGGTAACGGTGCCGCTCCTTCTAGTTCTGGTAGCAATGGGGCAGCTAATCCTGCTTCCACCAATGGGTTTGTTCCATTCAAACAGCAACAACACATGCAATTTGTCCCAACCTTTGTTCCTCAAGGAAATTTCAAACAAATGCCTCCTAATCCATACGTTCCTTACTATTCATACCCGGGTGATTTTTACAACCCGGAGCTTAATGGTATGATGCCTGGAATGCCAGTGAATCCAAAGATGAAGAACTTCAATCAACAACGGTACTTCAATCAACCATCCACAAATGGTAATGCATTACCAAATGGTGGCTCTTTTGCTGGTCAACAATTACAAGCAGTTATTAACCAACTCAGCTACTATTTCTCCGTGGAAAACTTGGTCAAGGACATTTATCTTAGGAAACAAATGAACTCTGAAGGTTACTTGCCAATTTCTGTTGTTGCTAATTTTTACCGTGTTCAAACTTTGAGTGGTGGCAATTATGATTTGGTTGTTGAAGCTTTTGGCCAACTCGAGAAAGTTGAAGTCATTGGTGATAAAGTAAGAATGAAGGAAGGTTATCAACAATGGATTTTCCCTGAAAATGAAAGAGACGAAAATGGCAAGGATGAAGAAGTAAGTGATAGTGTTGTTGAACAGAATGTCGATGCTGTTGTCAAGGGTGTTGAGAAACTCGAGGTATAAATTAGAAATTTAATTAATTCTCTCTTGTTGAAATGTGGATGTACGTTATATCAGTAAAACATTTTTTTTCTTCTTTTCTCTGCGTTGAGGAAGTTATACCTCTGGGAGAATACAGAAAAGAACAAGTTTTCTAACTTTGTCTATTCATTCATCAGATTTTTTTTTTTGCTTTGCGTTCTCTAGTTCTTCCTATAATACTGCAATTATCATACCTATTTGTCTTTTTTTTTATCACTTTATGATCATTAATGGATTGTTCCTCATGCTCTACTCATCCATCAAATTCTGCTTCCCGTTTGTTCATTGTCATCAGGTTTATTGAAAACACCTCACCAACTTCATTGTCATGAATCCATCTCAAGTTTGCATATCATGTTTTGTTTCATCTATTACAATTGTTGAATGTTTATGGCGTATCTCTTGGTACAATTTCCCATTTCAACTTCGCTAATATTCATTTTATCTCAATTGCCTGCATTCTTGAACTGTTAACCCAATTTGTCCCGATGGGCATATTTTTGAAATTATGCCTTTTCTTTACAGAAATGAAGAAGGAAAGGATGTTAATTATTATTTGTCTTTGATTCGTTAAGTTTGAAAAAAAAATTCTAAAAACTCCAAAAAAATTTCAAAAAAATAAATAAAAAACTTCCAAAAAACATCCATCCTTTTTGAAAACAAAGACTGGAATTCAAAAATCGGTGGAAAAAGTAGAGAAAATTATCGAAAAAAATTCCAAAAAAAAAAAAAAGAAACAACCAAATAAATTATTTGCCTTATCTTGTTAGTATAGTTCTATTTTCTCTCTCTTCCTATATTCTATTTGAACCTCTCTTTGTATATTTTGACCTGTCCTCTGGCCGCCACATCTTGTTGTTTTCACTCAGACTTTTATTTCTTTGCCTTTTTTTGTGTGTGTATTATTGTTCCTACTTTTTTTTTTTCATGAACTTATTTATTTGATATATAAATTATTTAAAATAAAACAAATAAAGCAAATACAAACAAAGGACTAAAAGTAATAAAATTTCATGAGCATATATATTACCACAATTTCAAATCTTTAAAAGATTCATGTTGAGGCATCTTCACCTATACGGTTACGGGTGATGTATTACACGTGCGTCCGGATCGGTGTGGTACAAAAAAACTTCAAAATGTTGGTCGAAATTAAATGGGTCTACGCAGTACGAAGGCAAATAGAACGATAATTTAGTTGTAACTTATCACCTAGCTTTTAGGGAAAAAGGAAAAAGATTTTTTTTTTCGTGGATCTAATATTCTTAGCATAAGATCTAGTAATCTCGATAAACAGTGTCTTTGTCTATGCTTGCCGCAAGGTTATTGAGGACCAGAGGGCTTAATAGCCCTTCCGCAAGCTATGTGGCCAGGGGAATATCATCGACTTTGAAAAACAGGTTTCGCCTAACCACAGCTATTCAAAGATCCTTTCATGCTCTGTCACAACAACTAAATGCCTCTGATCGTAATCATGATCCAGAGGAGGCTAAGAAGTTTAAGAAAATGTTTGAAGAATTTAGAAAGCAGGAAACTGATCCTGAGGCTAAACAGGAATTGGATAAATTGATCAAATTACTCGAGGACAAGCAAACCACAGAGAAGCAGGATACAAATTCCACAGATCAGGAGAAGGTGGTAAATGATTTGTTGAATCAATATAAAAGTGGCACTTATGATAGTACAATTGCTCCCAAATTCGTGAAAGACATGGCAATAAATTTGAGAAACAGATTAAAAGATGATACATTAAGGGCTAAGGCTGATAAGTTGCTTTATGAAATGGCTGAGGCGGAAAAGCAAACCTCAAAGTTAATAAGGGAGAAAAACGCTGAGCATGATCAGAAATTGGAGAAATCTAAAAATGCCGATATCGATGATGAGCATATGAAGAAACAAGAAACTCGCAAAGATGAAGAAGAGCAATTGAGGCAAGAGTTGGAGAAAAAAATCAAGGAGCAGGATGAGGAAATCATGAGAAACTTGGAGAAATTGAAAAATGCAGAGCACGTACTGGATAAGAAACAGGATGATAAAAAACAGAAAACTGTCAGCAAATCACCTATAAAGATTGGTTTTGAATTTGAAAGCAATAATAACGGTTCCAAGGACAACAATAAACAAGGTCCTAGTAAGAATGATCCAAATGTGTTTCAATTCAGAATTACAATGTTTGATGTTCTTGTGACTGTTGGTTTGATTTATTTTTTCTCTTCTTCTTCCAGTGATGGATATTCCAAGGAAATCAGTTACCAAGAGTTCAGAAGAGATTTACTTGGTAAAGGCTTCGTGAAAAGTATAAGCGTTGTGAACAAGAGCACTGCTAAAGTTATTCTTAATGAAAATGGTAAACAACAGTTGAATAATCAATCTTATCATTTCAATATTGGTTCTGTGGAAAGTTTTGAACACAACCTCCACAAGGATGAAAAAGAGTTGACTATTGCTGATGATGCTATGATTCCGGTTTCATATGTGCAAGAAGTCAATATTATGAGGTCGCTTTGGCAATTCTTACCAACTTTGTTGATGATTGGTGGTTTAGTTTGGATGACTCGAAGATCTTCCGGTGGAGGCTCTGGTATTGGTGGAGGAATGTTTGGTGTTGGAAAATCAAAAGCCAAGAAGTTCAATTTAGAAACAGATGTCAAGGTCAATTTCAAAGATGTTGCCGGTTGCGATGAAGCAAAAGAGGAAATTATGGAATTTGTTAAATTCTTGAAAAATCCAAAAAAGTATGAGAAGTTGGGTGCAAAAATTCCAAGAGGTGCAATCCTATCTGGTCCTCCGGGAACGGGTAAAACTCTTTTAGCAAAGGCTACTGCTGGTGAGGCTGGTGTCCCATTTTATTCTGTATCAGGTTCTGAATTTATTGAGATGTTTGTTGGTGTAGGTGCTTCTAGGGTACGTGATTTATTCAAGACTGCTAGAAATAATGCTCCAGCTATTATCTTTGTCGATGAAATTGATGCTATTGGTAAAGCAAGAAGCAAAAACAATATGTCTGGTGCCAATGATGAAAGAGAAACAACGCTTAATCAGCTTTTGGTCGAAATGGATGGGTTTGAAACTTCTGACCATGTTGTGGTCTTGGCAGGGACAAATAGATCTGATGTTTTAGATCCTGCTTTATTGCGTCCAGGAAGATTTGACAGACATATCACCATAGATAACCCTGAATTGGAAGGTCGCAAGGACATTTTCAAGGTCCATTTGGCCAGATTAAAACTTCATGATCAAATTGATGATATTAATGGAAAATTGGCTGCTTTGACTCCGGGTTTTTCTGGAGCTGATATCGCTAATGTTTGTAATGAAGCAGCATTAATTGCCGCCAGATTCAATTCAGAAGATATTCAAATGAAGCATTTTGAACAGGCCATTGAAAGAGTTATTGGTGGTATTGAGAAGAAATCGAAATTATTATCCCCTGAAGAAAAGAAGATTGTTGCTTACCACGAAGCCGGCCATGCCATTTGTGGGTGGTATTTACAATATGCTGATCCATTGTTGAAAGTTAGTATCATCCCAAGAGGTCAAGGCGCTTTAGGTTATGCTCAATATTTGCCGCCGGACATTTACTTGATGACAGTTCAGCAGTTGAGTGATAGAATGACCATGTCCTTGGGAGGCAGAGTTTCTGAAGAGTTGCATTTCAGTTCAGTGACAAGTGGTGCTTCTGATGATTTCAAAAAAGTTACAAGAATGGCGAATGCTATGGTAACTAGCTTGGGTATGAGCGAAAAGTTGGGTTACATCAACTATGAACGTAAAAGTGATGATGATTTAACTAAACCTTTCTCCGAATACACTGGGGAATTGATTGACCTGGAAGTCAGAAGAATTATTAATGAATCCTACTCTCGTTGCAAGAACTTGCTCACTGAAAAGTCGCATGAATTAGAATTAGTGGCTCAGGAATTGTTGCGTAAGGAAGTGATTACCAGAGAAGATATGATCAGATTGTTGGGTAAACGTCCATTCCCAGAACAGAATGATGCTTTTGACAAATATCTTGATGAGCAGGATGCCAAAAAGACCGACAAGCAACCTACAACAGACCATTCTAATTAAATCATAAACAAATGAGTTTGTGTACACTTGTATATATTAGTGCTAATAATATAAACGATATTATAAGATTAATTTTTTATTCGGGATATTAATTATTATAACCATTTATATACATATATGAAAAGGTGATCACCGGGTAAACCACAAGGGACAGTGCTCCGGGAAACCCCCAAAATGTTGTTATGTGCCCTGATATCATCTAATGCGCGACCATTTTCTTTTTGGAGAACGATAGTATTAAACACCTAAGCCTAGAACCCACGGCTATCCAAACAACACAAACGCGCGCGACAGTTTAACTTTGATCTGTTATCTCATCTGTGTCCCATTTTTTGTGCTTATTTCAGTGTCTCTTTTGTCATTTTTCACCTGGAATATTCCTTCAAATCAATAATATAACTCTTGGATCAAAGTCAATTTTTGCATCACGAAGAATTTATTAATAACCATGTCTGACAACGCTACCGACGATTATTCCTATGATTATGAATATCTTTTCAAGAGTATGTCTTTATTTTTATTTTTTCTAGAATTGAAGGACAAATCCAAAAAAAAATGTCTTTGATATATTTTGGGGATCGTATCATGGCCCCCTTTTTTTTCCCCAAAATCACAAAAGGAAATTCAGTGAACCGTTACTAACAATAACATTTAGTTGTGTTAATTGGTGATTCAGGTGTTGGTAAGTCTAACTTGTTATCCCGTTTCACCAGAAATGAATTTAATATAGAATCTAGATCGACTATTGGTGTCGAGTTTGCTACCAGAACCGTGGAAATTGATGGCAAAAGGGTTAAGGCCCAAATTTGGGATACCGCTGGGCAAGAAAGATACAGAGCTATTACCAGTGCTTACTACAGAGGTGCTGTCGGTGCTCTTGTAGTTTACGACATTTCCAAATCTGAAAGTTATGAGAGTGTTAGTAGATGGTTGAAAGAATTGAAAGAACATGCTGATGCCAACATCATCATTGAATTGGTGGGTAACAAATCTGATTTGGATCATCTTAGAGCCGTACCAACTGATGAGGCTAAACATTTTGCAGCAGAAAACCAGTTATTGTTCACTGAGGCATCCGCTTTGAATGCTGAAAATGTTGATCTTTCATTCCATCAATTATTGAAGAGTATTTATGAGATGGTCAGTAAACATCAATTTGATATGAACGATTACAGTGGCCCAAAGCCAAGTGGTGGCCCAACCATCAGTTTGACTCCAAACCCACAAGATAGCAAACCTGCCAAAGCCAACAACTGTTGTTAAAATTGATTTGTTGTCATTGAATAGAACAAAAAGAAATAGAACTTTTTTTCCTGCACTTTTTTCTTGAGGTTTCTGCAAAACATTATAATGAAAATAATGTTGGCAAAAATTTTAGTTCCATTAACAAAAGAAGAACTTTAAATAGCCCTGATTCCTAGATAGATGAAATGTGACTAATGGACAGTGATGGAATGTTAAATGACGAAACATTGTTTGTCTCTTTTTCTTCTTTTTTTTTCATCTTGCTCTATGTCTATGAATTTTAAATTAATGATTCCACATGTTTTACTACCAACTCATATTGCTCTTTTCATTTTATTTTATTTTTTACCTTTTATACTTGTCTTTTTTCCCCCTCATTTACTCTACTAATTCTGACTTCACTCTTGTATCATTTGGATCAATGTTACTTGTTTCTCTCTAGCATCCTTTGTACTGGGTTTTGTTTTTTGTACTTCCATTGTTGTTTTTATACTCTCTAGTCGTTTGATCATCATTTTTTCCTTTCTGGTTTGTATAAGATTTCGTTTTATTAAATATTTTTATAGCCCTAAACTTTTCTTTTTTCTAATATATATGTGTGTATGTATCCCAGCTATAAGTGACTGATTGTATTTACAGGAAGCAATTGCAAGGATCTCTAGCACCATAAACTGATAGTTATGTTATGAGCAGTACTAATGAGCGTTACAATAGCTGAATTGAAAAACCTAAAGAGAGAGACAAGAAAAGAAAAAGTATTCTTGGATTAGTAAATAGGCCTCCCATGAGCCGTATGTCAATTCCACATGAGACCTACAACATGAAATTTCTATTACAGAAAAAAAAATCTTCCATTTTACACAAAAAAAATAAGTATACAAAAGGCAATTATTGCTCAATTTTCTTTACAAAATAATATGGTTCTTCCGCATCAAAATAAATCATTCAGGTTTGAAATCTTCGTCATCTTCATCATCATCATCTTTGGAAATTTCTTTTCTCAACTTCTCCGCAGTTTTAGCGTAGTCAATTTTCTTGCCTCTGGTTCTACTACCTTGGATAATATTTGACTCGTCAATTTCCACTAAATCATCATCCAAGTCATTGTCATCGTCATTGACAAACTCCTCTTTTTCGTCATACTCGCTGTCTTCTTCTTCTTTGTCATCTTCTGGAGGTGGAATGTCATCATACTTTCTTCTGTGGCGCTTCTTCTTGTGGCTTTTGTCTCCAGAACTGCTGGCTTTACGCTTTTTGTCATCTTGAGGCTCTTCGATTTTCGCATTTTCCTCAGTCAGTTTGGATTCTTCAGCCTTAGGCTTTTCAACCTTAGATTCTTCAGCTTTGGTTTCTTCAACCGTTTCCTCCGCTTTAGATTCTCCAATTTCAACTTTAGAGTCTTTAACGTTTTCTTCAATCGAAGTAACTACCGCCTCTTTACTTGTTTCAGTGGTCATTTTGCTGGCTTTAGATTTGATCAAATTGTGATACAGAAAGAAGCAAAGCTGACATCTCAATCGCGACGCGAATAATGATTACAGGAAAAAAAAAACCAAGGAAAAAAATCAACCTTCCAACCACCGCACAATTTCTATTGCGCGCACATCAGTAGCTACCGAATGATGAGGAGACCAAAAGACTACTCAAAAGATTTTACAAAGTAATGGAAATATTAACCGTCACAATAATAATATGAAATTTAAAGAGTTAAAACTATTTAGAAGTAAAAAAAGCAGATGGATGAGAAACATACAACAGTAATGATGAGGATAGGATAAGGATGAGAGAGACCTGAAAAGAATTAATCAATACAATTATTTCTTACCAGAGAGTTCTGCCATTCTGTTCAAAGCAGAACCGGCCTTGAACCAACCGATTTGTTCTTGGTTGAAGGTGTGGGACAATTCGGAAGTCCACTTTTCACCGTTAGCCTTGGTAACTTCGTAAGTCAAGTTCTTACCTGGGGCGAAACCTTCCAAACCGAGGATAGAAATCTTGTCATCTGGTTGGATCATGTCGTAATCTTCATGCTTGACGAAGTTCAATGGCAACAAACCTTGTTTCTTCAAGTTAGTTTCGTGGATACGAGCGAAAGACTTGGTGATGATAGCGAAACCACCCAAGTATCTTGGTTCCAAAGCGGCGTGTTCTCTAGAAGAACCTTCACCCATGTTTTCAGCACCAACAACAACCCACTTGATACCGTGGTCTCTGTAGTAACCAGCAACTTCTGGAACACCAGCCCATTCACCGGTAACTCTGTTCAAAACACAGTTAGCCTTATCGTTTTCGGAGTTGATAGCACCAATCATGTAGTTGTTAGAGATGTTTTGCAAGTGACCTCTGTATTTCAACCAAGGACCAGCCATAGAAATGTGGTCAGTGGTGACCTTACCCTTAGCCTTGATCAAAATTTGCATTTCAATGGCATCCTTACCATCCCACTTCTTGAATGGAGTCAATAATTGCAAACGGTCAGAGGTTGGAGAAACAACAACTTCAACGGAAGCTCTGTCAACTGGTGGGGCTTGGTAAGTGTTTTCACCGGCATCGTAACCCTTTGGTGGCAAGCCAACACCACTTGGTGGTTGCAACAAGAATTCATTACCATCCTTGTCCTTCAATTTGTCAGTCATTGGGTTGAATCTCAAGTCACCGGCGATTGCGTAGGCGGTAACCATTTCTGGAGAAGCAACAAAAGCGTGGGTAGCTGGGTTACCGTCGTTTCTGGAGGTGAAGTTTCTGTTGAAAGAGGAAACAATAGTGTTCTTGTCACCCTTCTTGATGTCTCTTCTGTCCCATTGACCAATACAAGGACCACAAGCGTTAGCCAAAACAACACCACCGAATTCCTTGAAGGTGGCGATTTGACCATCTCTTTCAATGGTAGCTCTGACTTGTTCAGAACCTGGAGTGACGGTGAAAATGGACTTAGCCTTCAAACCGTGACTAGCAGCATCCTTGATGATAGAGGCGGATCTGGTCATATCTTCGTAAGAAGAGTTGGTACAAGAACCAATCAAACCAACCTTGACTTCGAATGGCCAGCCGTTAGCAGCGGCAACTTCCTTCATCTTAGAGATTGGAGTAGCAAGATCTGGGGTGAATGGACCATTGACGTAAGGTTCCAAAGTGCTCAAGTCAATTTCGTGGTGTTCATCATATTCACAACCTTCATCGGCACTCAAGAAAGAGTCCTTGTAAACGGAGGCAAATTCAGCAACTTGGGATCTCTTGGTAGCATCCAAGTAGTCAACCATGGACTTGTTGAATGGGAAAACAGAGGTGGTAGCACCGATTTCGGCACCCATGTTACAGATAGTACCCATACCAGTACAAGAGAAGGTTTCAACACCTGGACCGTAATATTCGACAATCTTACCGGTACCACCCTTGACGGTAGTAATACCAGCCAACTTCAAGATGATATCCTTTGGAGAAGCCCAGCCGCTCATCTTACCGGTCAACTTAACACCCATGACCTTTGGAGCCTTCAATTCCCATGGCAAACCAGACATGACATCGACGGCATCAGCACCACCGACACCAATAGCCAATTGACCCAAACCACCAGCGTTTGGAGTGTGGGAATCGGTACCAATGATCAAAGCACCTGGGAAGGCGTAGTTTTCCAAAACAATTTGATGGATAATACCGGAACCTGGCTTCCAGAAACCAATGTTGTATTTAGCACAGGCAGAAGCCAAGAAGTCGTAAACTTCTTTGTTCAAGTTGATGGCTCTGGTCAAATCAGCAGCACCACCGACTTGGGCTTGAATCAAATGGTCACAGTGAACAGTGACTGGGGTGGCGACTTGTGGCAAGCCAGCAGACATGAATTGCAAAATGGCCATTTGGGCGGTAGCATCTTGACAAGCGACTCTGTCTGGTCTCAATTTCAAGTAAGAAACACCTCTTTCAATGTCTTGTTCATGAGGCTTGTCCAAGTGACCGTATAACAACTTTTCAGCGTAAGTCAATGGTCTCTTCAAACGTTCTTGGACAATCTTGACATTTTCCAAGTTTTGTTTATAGTTAAGGTAAGAGAAATCTTCAACCAAGTTTTGGAGGACCTTTGAGTCTGGGGTTAATTTGCTGGAGACAGAAGCAAATCCACGGGAGGTAGACTTGTTCAAGAGTCTCTTTGAGTAAGTTCTAGCACCGAGCATTGTGATGGTAAATAGGATCAACTTAATGATTTGAGGTTCTACAACGCGATCCAAAGAAAAAACCCAGCAAAAATCGGTTGCCTTATATAAAGATGGGGATATTTTTTCTGGAGTCGTGGTGACGGGCCCGAATCTTGGGGAGGGTCAGCAGCCAATGGTTTGCCGGTAGTTTGTAATTGGAGGCACGCTTGGTGTACGGGTTTTTGTCCTCGGGGATGACATGCGGCGCCGAGGTCGGTGTTCTCCCAATAAATCATTAGTCGGATTACTGTTCTTGCACGTGAAGTGTATCGTGACCCGGTGTTTTCTTATCGATAAGATCTTATCACAGCATGCAGCACTATCTATCCATTTTTGTTTTGTTCAATCTATTATGGGTGGGTATCCCTAGCGAATGAGCCCATCTTGTTAATCGTATGAATTTGTGCTTAGAGATAACTTGTTCTTTCAAACATTCAATTTGAAGCTCATAGTACATTGCAGAAGCTGAATGCTAGGGTAGAACATTTTTCGCAGCTCGACTATTCTTTTGAAACTTTGGTTAGCATGGAAACATGTATCTTTCAAGATCTATTGTAATTTGTACCAATACTGCCGAAAGGGAATGTGACCGATACATTGTGCCGCTGAATTGAGCTCAAATTTTCATAATTAACATTGATAGAAAAATTAAAACAAATAACAGAGAAACTTCAGTATGGGAAATAGAGAGGCATATTGCCTAATTGTATTTTGATACCTAGAATAAATATAAAATTCTCAAAGCAGTGGTCTCAGAGTTATCATCATAAGTAGAAGGTTTGTATTGCCGTTTCGTAACCGGTACCTTATAAAAAAAAAAAAGAAAATCAGATGATAGCTGATTCTGATCTCTTAGTATTAGTCTTTGAAAGAAAAGAAAAAAGAGAGAAAAAAAAAGGAGAGGGAGAAACAGCTAGGTATTTCACTTCATTGATTTGTTTTTCTTTTGATGGATCTAATATGAGAGTCTCAAAAGTTCTCGAAAATAAGCTAGTATGAATATAGTAATCAGAATGCTGGTGACCATGCCCTAATGATGTTGTCTCAGAGGAAAATCGTGATATTATAATGAAGCATGAAAATAAGCGTAGTTCCTCTATTGTATATATTCATGTTTTCAAATATGTCTACTTCGGGTTTATGACTTTGGAAAGATGTTCAATATTGAGAATTGATTAACGTTGTCAAAATACCACGCGTGTTGCTATTGGTGTTCACGGTGGCGATACCCCAAAGGTCCTTGAAACATACAACTTAATGTCTCTTAAATATTTCACTCACTTTTCCCCAACTTCATTTATTGCTGGTACTCCAACTACTCAAATAAAATTCATATTTTTGTTGTTCCTCAAAAATAAATATCATTATTATCAATGTATGACACTTTTAAACTCACAAAAAGATGGATTATGCTGGGCGCCCAATTTCCATAGCGTATACAAAAATAGATGAAAGGCACTGGGTTTCATCAATGAATCAACCAAGGTTCTCACAAATTATTCACATACCATCAGTTACTGATAGTAGAAAAAAAATATGAGAAACCTCCAAGTGGCAACTAGATTACAATGCCAAAAACTACAACCAAGATGCCTGGTTGAATAAGGCAGAAGAGAAAAGAAAAGCCGAGATGTCTAAATAAATCGTGAATACATGATTAAAAAAAAAAGTGGTTAAATAAAAAAAGAAAGTACACCTGCGTAAACATAATACAACAATAAAATCCAAAAACTAATAGCAGTTCAATTTTTCTTGAATCCCGGTGGCGGCTGGAATTTCCGTGGCCCTTGGTTGAACCCACCTCTCACCGTCTTTATTGGAGCCCTAAGAGCACTTGCCAAAAATTTGGCATTACTGTCCTTCTTCACCTGCTTTTCATTCAAAGGCTTCATCACCCCACCACCAGTGGTCTTTCCTACCCCCATACGAGTGGCTTTATCTACTGGTGGTTTACTTTCGATAGTAACACCCACGACATTGACCCCACGAAGAATTATCAAACCCAAAGCGCGCTTATCTTCTTTGACAAGGTCAGCGGTGTTGATGGCCCCCAGGCGTTTGGCATCCCTTATGGCATATTTGGATTTATTTGTGATTCTGAATTCTTCGGCATCAGCAAGAACTAGATTCATATATTTGTCAAAGGCAAGGAGCTCACCAATAATATTACGACCGTCGAGTGTCGTCACCTTGATACGATAATGAAGGAGATCTGTTAGACGAGTTTTCCGAGACACTTGGACCTGGTTAAATGTTAGTAAGCAAGAATCAAATAATATATGTATATATATATATATATATATACATTCACGAAGGAAATAATCAGAGCCCAAATTGATGGCATCAACGTACCATTTTTTGTGTGAAGGTTGTTTTAAATATTATTGTAGTTATGATTATTACTACTGACTTGTTTAGTTTTTTTTTTTTTTGCAGATGAGATGAAAATGGGCTGCAAAAAAAAACCTCCTCCAATGATGTAGATCAATGCATATACGCGTACATACCTCATGGACGGAGAGAGCGTTCTTACAAATGATACTTTAATAGAAGGAGATATGCTGGGAGAATAATATGTAGATAAAACTGATCACACAAGAATATAATTACAAAAGAATGATATAAAAAAAGGATAAATAGAACGACAAACAAAAAAAAGAAAAAAGAAAATCCAATGCAAATATATGACAGCCCCTAGAAATAAAAAGAAAGTAGCAGCAAAGGAAGAATGGAATTATATAAGTCAGCTTCATATTGTTCTTACTAATTTTGATTCAATTCAGACTAATCTGCGAAAAAATTTTTCTGCTTCAATCTCCGCCAAAATTTCCATGCCTTCTAAACGTTCCTCAAACAATTGCGCTAATTTGTTGACTTTCCCATTTTCAATTCCCGCATACTTTTTCTTATCTGCAATAATGAATTCTTGGGAGGTGGCTTTACGAACCACCTTCGTAATTGACGGCTTCTTCGTGAGGGTCGGAGTGCTGTTGATTGGGTTTGAAGAAAGTGAAATTGTAGAAGGCTTCCAACCAGCAGAATATACACTATTGGACTTCGGCGAAGAAAAAATGTCATTATTGATACTAGACATAGAGCGTTTTGAAGTGACAGATGCTAAACTTTCTTGAGAGCTAGCATATTTTAACCCAGGAGATGATGAGCGTAATGGAATCATTGGTTTTTTGAAAACTGCATCTGAGCTACCGTTGCTGTTTTGGGAACGCACTGGGGAAGAGGTCACAGAGTTTGAACGAGGAGGTAAACGAGGAGGAGGCGGGGCCATTGGGGTTATTTTGGGTTCCTTTGCTAGAGAAGAAATTGTTTTAGCTCGTTGATGCTGTGGCTTTTTCTCAGGAGGCGGTGGTGCGGCGCTTTTGAACCCAAGGCTGCTGAAGGATTTAGAAATAGAAATTTCTGCAGAGCTGGTGACACTACTAGCAAAATTCAGGTCACTTAGTGGGTTGCTGAAATAGGTTTTGAAATTGCTGCGAATTTTATCGTTGATAGACTTGAAACTAGTACCTTCAGTTGCATAAGATGCCTCAACTGGTTTTTCATTTTCTTTACCATCACCCAATAATTCAAGATCAGCAAAAGTAATAGTATTGATTTGAGCAAGATTTTGGTATTCAAAATCTGACTTTGGTAGAATATTGAAATTATTTAGGTGTTTCTGATCTCTGAGTTTATCGTTAATAGACACTTTGTCATTAAGAAATTCCAAATTCCTAGAAATTAAATTTGTATGCATAATATAGTCATATAAGTTCCTAGTCAACTCACAATTTTCAACTGGGGCTAGTGGGGATATATTTAAATTGCAATGATTGGCACTGATTCTTGGTGTTGGAGGTAATGGTTTATTTGTAGGAGCTCTATAATAATTGACGTCAAGATATGGCCAATAACGGATTAACTTACCAACATACTTGATCCCGGCCTGACGTTCGTCTTCTGAATAGTTGACAAGAATGCCACACATGAATTGCATTAAAAATCTGCAAATTTTGGTGAAATATTTATCCACTATTTGATTTCCGTTGTTTCCTTTTGAATTTTTCACAAGATGGTTTGTATCATGGATTATCATTGGAACAATAAAAAAATTCATTATATCATTCAATAATTCATGGTACCCATTTAATTCAAAAATTCGGTTAGTTAAGTCATTAATTTGCTCGAAATCCACGAGTTTATTTTTATTCATAATTACTGGTCCGAGTGGTATCATTGCATAATCGTTCTTCAAACGTTTAAGGAAATACCTCCAGGTACTGAAAAGGGTACTGAGCTCAAATTGATCAAGAGAAATTAACTGGTTTCGCGAAATCAGATCTTGAAGAATATTGCTTTTGAAACTGAGTGATGGCGAATTATTATGGAACAAAATTAAGTGTAGCTGCTGTGATTTGATATTGTAATCTGGAAGATAATATAATTGGAGAAATTTCACAAAGATCAAATTATAGTAATACCAACTTAATTGGTTTGATAATGGAGAAATTGCCACACCAAATATATCAGGTATATGAATGGGTATCACGACTTTGGGAGGTGTTGATGGTTCTTGTTTTCTGATATTAAGAAGAGATTTCTTATTAAGATTATTTTCTGAATTATAAATCTTGAAAAATTCGTAGCAATAGTTCGTTAATGAAATGTTAATCTTGGTAATATCCAAATGTTTCAGTAACTCACTAAGATTTGATACATGAATGATTTTTTCCCGATTAAGAAATTTCAGAGATACCAAGTTCTTGACCACTTCGGTGAGAGCTCTGATCCACCACGATTCGTGGATAATGTAAATCTTTCTAAGGAACTTTCTCTTTTCAGGAGGAATAAGCTGAAAAGTTCTCACTCCCCATATCCACGAGAATTTGAAAGTATCTGAATTGTTTTCTTGACAATCTATCAAATTTTTATCATTTGAAAGTCCTGCAGTGAAGAACACAAGAACATAGTTTGAATCAGGAATCTTATCGACAAGGAGTCCTATGAGTGCTAAAAAGTTGCACTGTGCAGGGTTTGGTAAAGCGGTGGTATCAAAAACATAAATAGGGAGCTTGGTGCTTGGATCATAGGTGGCTGACTTGAACAATATTTTATTGAGATCAAACAGCATCTTAGTTGTATGGTGATGGTTATTTAAAAAGAGCGGGTCATTAAAATTTTATGATCGATCGACTAAGAAATTAGCTCTAATTTGATTATATTTATCTATTCCTTTGAAAATAAACAAACAAAACAATGGTGGTTACTGGCTCCTGAAACTGATGCTTGATGGTTGGCGGATATACTGCAACCAACAATTTTGATTTGTAAATACTTTGAAAGAATCAAACAGGAAACAGAGAGAGAGTGTGTGTGTGTGTGGAAAAGGAGAGAAACAATATATTAGGGAGAGTGTGGTGAGCTTAAAAGTGGTACAGAGACCGGATGGTTCTGAAATTTGGTCTCAATAAACAAAAGACTTGCCAATGACATCCATTTGATACCTGTTATTTTGAAACAGCAGAAAAAAAAATGCTACACCCAAAAAGAGCTGACATCAAAACAAAGCGTGCACGTGAAGGCTACATACTGATGAGGTTAATTAAGTAAGAAAATCACAAAGATGCTCATTAAGGTCCAAAAAAGTTGCAAAACTGAAGGTAAATGACAAGTAGCTGCCCAAATCAAGATGTAAACAAACATCACCAATTTCAGCTGAAGGTTACACAGACGCATAATACTCTGCTTATCAACTTCTACTGACAATCTATCTACAGTGTTTACAACGAGTGACAACAAGAATTAATAATAATAAATAAATAAATAAATTAATAAATCATATGCATTAAAAAAATAATAACAATTCAGCTGTTCGACACCACGTTGGTATATAATTGGAAGCACACAAGTACACAATAGGTGATGGGTACGATTGGATTCTGGTTATGTTGAGTGATTCCTAACATTTCCACAAACAAACAAAAGAAAAAGGAACAAAAGATCGCAATCAAACGAAGTTCCAGCCTTCAAAGTCAGCCTTGATATTTTGTTTACAAAGTTCATTGTATGGAGCCACCCCTTCACTGAAGTTCAACATTTGAACCTTTTTACCAGGAATGTTGGCACCCATATACGACGATTTCGCTCTAGGGAAAAGAGTTGTTTCAGCGTAATCATCGACTCTTTTTCTATAGGCTTTTTGGTACGCTGCATCTGGTTCAAAATAGGTGTAGTTACCATTGAAGAACTTATCAAGCAACTTATAGAGATAGTCCATTTGAATTGAGATACAAGAAGGCCCATTACTGAGTGCGGTTGGTGCTTGAGGACCGTATGTGAAAAACATGTTTGGGTACCCTTTAGCGGCAAGACCCAACCAGGTAGAACATCCTTCAGGACCACGCCATTCGTTTGACAAAGTCTGGGTACCTTCGATATTCCAAACTGAAAAGTTCTTGAAAGAACCATCACAAGCATCAAAACCTGTGGCAAGGACCAATAAATCTATTTCATGTTTGACACCATCTTCAGTGACAATTCCGTGTTCATAGAATTCTTTGATTGGAGTTTTGTTGACATCGACCAACTGAACATTATCTCTATTGTAATCATCGAAATATGTTCTTTCTAAAGATGGACGTTTGGTACCAAATGGATGAGGGGCAACTTTAGGGGCCAACATTTCAGCAACTTTAGGGTCCTTAACTCTTTGGTGAACTCTTTTGCGCCAATATTGATACGCCTCATCATTGGCTTTTTCGTCGAAAAATAAATCAGCATAATTGTTATTCCAGAACAAGAATCCTCCTTTCTCGAACAAAGAGTCCCAGAATTTTTCACGTTCTTCTGGAGAAACGTCAAAGGTGTTTATGTCATATTTTTTTTCGAGGAAACCGCCCGGGTGCTTCGAACGTTCTGCGTGTATAGCAGGATAATTAGATTTGTCTTGCTTTGGGGTTTTTTCTTGACGCAAAGGCAAACAGAGGTTAGGAGTTCTTTGGAAAACGGTAAGATGGTCAGCTCTTGGGGCACTTTCTTGGACAATTTGAACACCGGTTGAGCCTGTGCCGATCAAGCCAATCTTGCGGTTATCTAAAATACTATAGTCGTCAGCTTCAGGCCAGTCATTAGAATGAATAACTTCTCCTTTGAATTTGTCGAACCCTGGGAAGTCTGGCTCGTACTTTTTAGAAGCAAACCCTACTAAAGGCATGAAGATCCGGCATTGAATAAGTGGCCCGTTTTTATCTTCGAGCAACCAAGTTCCCGACTCTTTATTAAAAGTGGCGCTGGTAATGAAAGTATCAAAAGTGGTATCCCTCTTGATGTCCAAGACCTTGTCAACGTGCTCGAAGTACTTGCGGATTTCGCGCCAATCTGGGTATTTTTCCGACCAAGTCCAACTATTGTAGACTTCAGGAATTGACAATTCGTAAATTGGGATGTAAGAGTCAACACGGGCACCAGGGTATCTATTTTGGTACCAGGTTCCTCCGAAGCCAGATTGACCATCGAAGATGTGAGCCGATAATCCCCTTTTACGGGCCTCATAAATAGCCAGGATCCCAGAAAAACCGGCACCGAGAATACCGATGTCGTAATATGGGACTTTTGCAGTGTTGATAGGAACTGGCATGATAACAGCAAAAAGAGTAGTAGCAGGGCTTTCGAAACTGTAAAAAAAAAAAAAAAAAATATGATTTGGTAGAGCGTTAACAATAGATGAGATAACCTAAATGGCAATCACACATTAAGTTATTCAAAATGACAGAAGTACGTAATGCTTTTATATCGCTGGAAAGTTTCCCGCAATTGGTCCCACTTGCAGGCATGTTGACGCAGTTTCTCCACACACTGTGGTCAGGAGGGCTGCTCTCCTGCCTGTTACACCTTCAAAAGAGGGGAACCGATTTCTCGGTATCGGCAATGTGTTGACAGCTGTGCGGAGGGCGGCCCGTTTAGGGAAATTGTCTCCAGCCTTAAGTCTGAAAACTTTATGATCTCTCGCCAATCACTCGATGCCTGTTGGTAATAATAATTATAATAATAATCATAATAATAAAATAGCAGCAGTATTAAAAAACAATGCTGGGTGGTTCTGCCTTTGACCGTGATCACCGCCAACATACATACATACGTAATCGTACTGTATGTGGCGATTATCCATTGCCCCAGAAAAAAAAAAAAAACCATCGGGAGACAATCACCACCACGGATTGCGACGATGCCCCTCTTGTTACCCCTCTTGTCGCCCCTCTCAATGCCCCACACTTAGCACGGTGTACTTCAAGATATATAAGTGTTTATGGTGTAACAACCCAGTAAATTTGTAAGAAATATTGTACAATTAGCATTGCATATCCCATCTCAAAAATGTCCGCCCGCCTCGACAACATCCTCAGTAAATATACAAACCCCTCTTTCGAAAACCATGTGCCCTTGGCAATTGCTGCCGTGGTCACCAGAGAAAATGGCCTAGTGTACCTTGGGGCTGCTGGGGCGAAAGATGCCTCCGTTCCTGATGATAAGGTAACCACAGACACTACTTTGGCATTCTATTCAGATACTAAGGCAGTTGCCTGTACTGCTCTACTCCAACTTCTCGAACGTGGACAAATCAAGTCCATCGACGAAACCGTGGAAACTTACATTCCAGAAGCCAAAAATATCAAGATACTACAGGGTTTTGACGAAGAAGATCAACCAATCCTCAAAGATGCTACCGTCAAGCCAACCATCCGTCATTTGCTAACACATACTGCAGGCTTTTCTTATGCTTTCTTCAGCTCACACTACAAGAAGTTGTTGGACCTCACCGGCAAACCAAACATTTTGCTTTCAAGTTGGGAACAATTTCAAACCCCATTAATTTTCGAACCGGGATCAGAATGGCATTACGGTGTCAACATTGATTGGGTAGGTAAGATAGTGTATAACGTTTCTGGCCAGACCCTTGATCAATTCCTTCAAGAAAACGTCTTCAAACAAATCGGCGCCCCATCATTGACATTTACAAGACGCCCTGAACATTATGCAAACCAAGCAGAAATCCACCAAAGAGCCAATTGCACCAGTGGTGACTTGATCCCGCTTAAAGGAATCCACCCTGAAGTTCCAGAATTCCATGCTGGCGGTCATGGCTTATGGGGGAAGCTTGAAGATTATATGAAATTTCTCGAAATATTCCTTCATGAAGGTAAGTGTCCATCTACTGGAGCTGTGGTTTTGAAACCAGAAACTGTCAGAGATTATGCCTTCTCTAATCTTCTACCAAAGGGAATCACTTGCACTCCTAACTTCCAATACGATCAACCGCAACTCAGTAATCCAGTTGATTTATTTGATTTATTTCCAAAGGACAAGATGTCATGGACAGCCAATTTCTTCAAAGTGGATGTGGACTTGCCAACTGGTAGATCTGCTGGCAGTTTGAGCTGGTGTGGCTTACCAAACTTGTATTATTGGATTGATCCAAAGAAAGGAGTTACTGGGATGTTTTGTACTCAATTATTTCCATTCTACGACAAAACTGCTCTTGAAGCATTGACCGAATTTGAAACCGAAGTTTACAAGCAATTCACTTGATCATGATAAATTTTGACATAGATTATATATCTAAAATAAAATAAAAGCTGTATTATTGCATTGCACATAAATTTTGTTACTAGGAGAGAACTCATGCGAATGGTTCCTAAGCAAAACATATCTCAGTTTTAAAACTACCAGCATTCGGCTCTCTAATACTCCGGTTAAGGATAGAGGCCTAGTTAAATATGATAAGCATGTAACATACGGACCGAGAAGTGCACAAAACCAGTACTAATCGCACTCACCCAGTTCCCCCCAAAAAAAGTTTTGGCGAGTGAAAAAATGCGTACGAGAGAGAGCCATCTGAATAAGTTCCAAAGTGAAAATATAAAATAAAGCACAATTGATAGAAATCAAAAAAAAAAAAAAAAAAATGGCTGCCCAAACACTTCCAAGTACTCTTGATCTTATTCTTGATCTTTCAAAAATCAAGTCTCTCACTCCTCAGCAGATTGAGTATCTTTGGATTACCAAAGCTTCATCGGAGATCCCAGCTTCTAAATCAACTCTTCGAGAATCAGATACTAATTCTCGTATATCCTCGATAATCCCATCCTCGCAATTCAAAAGTCTTGAGCTACTTGTTGCTAAAAACAAGCAATTCATCTTGCCGGTACAAAACCCTGCCACCCAACAACTTGATATTCATTATCTCCAGTGGCAAGTTCCACCAAGTCAATCTAGTGACTATTTACAGCTTTTAGTGATCAAACTTGCAGACTACCAACGTCTTGGAGCAGCAGCGCCTCCTCATACTGTTATTTATTTCTATAAAGACCTTAGTGAACCTTATGCTGGCAACAATCCAGAAGATGATGAAAAGCCACTCCAAAATGAGTCTTTAGCTAAAGGGCTTGTGTTAATGAAGGGAGAAATCTTGGAGAAATCGGCAATAACAGTAGAACAACTCCAGTTCCTCATTTTGAATCTTCAGAAGTTCTATGGGGTATTAGATGGAGACTCTGGTTTGAGGAATGAAAGACTAAGATTGTTGATGGCGTTCAATAAAGGTGATCCTCTGTTCGATTTTAATAAGTTGGTTGAATTAGCCATGAATACCAAATAGTTAACATAATGGGCTGAAAATATAAAAAACTTTTGAATTATCATATACATGTATAATATTATAATCTACAACATGGCACTTTTCGCTAGCTTTTTTCTTTTTTTTTTCTTGATAATTTCTTTTTCTTGAATTTCTAATTTACCTAAGAATCGTAGCCTCAAAATAAATCATGTATGACTTATATCTTATATATTAAAGATAAACACTTATTTTAGATGAAGTTACCGGTCCACCCCACAATTGTTGGGGTGAACCGTATATGAGCCCCTGCGCGATGAGCTCCACATCAAGAGAAAAATCTCGAAAGTACATTATGTCTATCACCTACTTTTGATCAAATAAAGCAATTCCCAGAACATATATATTGTTTAGTAATATTATCTTTATCTTTCAAGACTGAAATAATTAATTTTTAATTTTTTTATTTTGTTTGGCTGGTTTTTGACTTGATTTTTTTTTTTTTTTCTTATTTTTAATTTTGCTTGTTAAGGGTTTTTCTGCCTAAGTACTTCCAAACTATTGCCACTGCTTCCAACTCAAAGGAAGTACTTCAACCAACTGAGAAATAAGCTAACTAGAAAGTATTTTTGATCAGGATGACCAAGAATCATTCGTCCAAAGTATCAAAGCAGAAGACTTCTAAAGGATCATCAATATCCATGTTGCTTGCCCAGACCGCTGCCACCACTAGTACTTACGACGCATATTGTGGTTTTAGCAAGCCAGAGCTCATTAATTTGACGATCCAACTTCTCAATGACTTAGGACTTCAAAAATCATCACAGACTCTTCAGGAAGAAGCTGCTCAATTATATGGCCCAAAGAATTCATCACCCCTGGCCTTCAAAGGTAAACTATCAGGTCGGTCGGTACTTGAGTCATTTTTGAACCAAATTAAGGAGGGAGAGTTCGATAAAGCTGAGAAATTGGTTGATAAATTGGATTTGAAATCTGGTCAAAATATAAATCCTAAAGTTAATTGTGCTTTTAGTGATTTAGGGTGGGTGAATGATCATCCAAATGAATTAAACCCTATTTCATCAACACCTAACAATAATGAACAATCAATAAAGAATCAAGTGATTTTCTTGATTAGAAAGCAAAAGTTCCTTGAATTTCTTTTACTTGGTAAAAGTTCCAAAGCTGCGTTGAATATTCTTAAAACTGAGATATCCCCACTAAGTTATTCGCCTCCAAATGAAATCAACATGTTATCTTCGTTAATTGTTGATGATGCATCAAATGTTGCTTATATTCAAGCTAATGGATTTGAAACAAACCGGAGCAACTCACAATCAGCCCAGGAGAAATCCCGGAATTCGTTGATTGCCAAAATATCGGATTACATTGTGCCTCATCTGCTATTACCCCCTCATAGACTACTTACGTTACTTACACAGGCTCAAAATTATCAAAAGTCAATGAACTTGATTACATTAGATGATGATCCATTAAATAATGATCAATGTTCACTATATGAAGACTATATTTATCCAGCGGATAAGTTTCCGTGCAAAATATTACAATCGATTCGCCATCCAGGAAAACAAATTTGGTTTGTGAGATTTGATCCTACTGGGAAATATCTTGCAGTAGTTCCTAATGATTCAAAAATTTTAATATATTCTGTGGGAGAATTTGGATATAATGATGGAATAAAATCTCCTGATAATAATATGCAGTTCAAATTGCATGGGATGTTGACAGGACACGGCAAGGAGGTCTTGTATTGTTCGTGGTCAAATGATGGCACAAAATTACTAAGTGGTGGTTATGATGGACAAGTCAGATTATGGGATGTTGAATCTGGTAAATGTCTTCAAAAGACTCATGTCTTGCTCAGCAAAAATGACTCTCCCTCTGCTAAAGAACCATCTTCTGTGGCTCCATCGATTAAGGCGGTTGAATGGCTACCCAATGGTGATGGTTTTATTGTTGGATCTCCTGAAAAGGAACTTGTTTATTTTAGCAGTGATGGAGAAGAAAAATATCGTTGGTCAGGAATCAGAATTTTGGATTTAGCAGTGACCTGTGATTCAAAATATGTGGTTGCGATTTCTCGATCCAACCTTTATGTATTTGATTTGATTAACAATCGGAAAATTAGGGATATCCATATAGGCATAAAACTTACCACTGTTGATTTATCCAGGAAGAACCAACATCAAGCTATAATCCATGTTATGCCAGACACTATTCAAATATGGGATTGGAAACTTGGGATTCATCTCAAGAAATTCACTGGTCAAAAGCAAGAGGAATTCATTGTTCGATCTACAATGGATCCTTCAGAAAGAGTCCTTGTTTCTGGCTCGGAGGATGGAAGAGTTTATATGTGGAATACCAAGTTTTCTGCTTTGGTACTCGCCATTAAAGGTCATAGGAAGCTCATTAATGCCGTAGATTATCACCCTAAGTACCCTTGGATGTTTGTTACCGGAAGCGATGATGAGACTGTCAAAGTCTGGGGTCCAAATGCTGCGCTTAGAATAATCCAAGAAACTAAAATCACCATTCTGAATGATACCGGCGCCTTTTCTCTGACTTGTGATGATGAAAATGTGGATCATGCTGTGGAAATTGAAAATGACTTGGACAAGGAAAAGAATGGTAATGGTTTAAGAACTAATAATAGAGGAAGTCGAGGATCTTCGCACCCATTGGTTGCAGATGATGATGATGATGATGATGATGATGATGATGATGATGATTTTGGCGAATACAATGATGTCATTGATGATGATGAAGAAGAGGTAGAAGAAGATGATGACGACGAGGACAATGATGATGATGATTATGATGATGATGATGAAGAACAAGAAGATGATGATATGGTAGAATGAGATGGATTGCTAGTTTATTTTCTTTAAGTAATCATTTTTTGATTATTAATTATTTTTAGGTAAATTGTTTTATGGCAGGTCTTTATTTTTTTGCTTTTTTATTTTTGTCTTTTTGATTTGATACAATGTTTTCATATGTTATTCGTAAATATTCACACAAAAACCCGGGAAACATCTGTACCACCGTGCTTGAATTATTGGTACCAACCAGGACAAATACTTCATATCATAACACTTTGATCATTCGTATCAACTAGTAATCAAAAAAAAACTACACATAAATTATTTATGTCTTTAAATGAGTTTCTGCAGCAAATTATAAATACTCAATTTACTAAATATGGTAGCAATTTGCATCCATTGAAATCAGCAGACTCTAATCGATAAATAAACAAAAAAAAATAAATATAAGTATCACTATGGGCGAATAATCATGTATATAATGTCTATCAGGTGTTTATATATTTGTCCAAGGAGGGACCATCTTTCATTTGCAAAACTATTTTGACTCAAGTTTTGCAATGGAGCTTTGAATAGATTCTAAGGCATTCTGCATACTTGAAATGGAATCTTTGATGCTCTTTAAGGCCGTCGCAGTACTATTTGGAGGGGTCTCAGTAGTTGTTTGAGAAGTTGCAGCAGTACTTTTAGCTCCTTGATTTCCACCTACGGTAGCAGTTGGAGAGTGGCTAGCACTTTCAGTGCTATAAGACTTTGTTGAGGCAGCCTTATTATTTCCCATACCAGTCAACACCTGCTTAGCGTAATCTATAGGGCCTGTTACTACTCTGAAGTCGCCTTCTGAAGGTTTGTTGTACTCGAACCAGGAAAATCCCACGTAATTACTGTACTTTGATTGGCTTTGGCTGGCCAACTCTTTGAGCCATTCAGCCTTATATGAATCGTTAATGGTACCGGTTTCCGCAATCACAAATGGCAAATTCTTACTAGCAGAATAGGCTTGATAAAACTCCTGGTAGAAAGAGTCGAAAGTATCGGTCAGCTGAGTTTTGTATGCGTCGATCCCTACAACATCGACGGTGTCATCACCAGGCCACCATTCGGCAAGACTACCAGTATTTTGAGTGTTATTAGGGCTCCAAAACATTTTCACTTTTGGATTGGATTTCACCGCGTTGTAAATGTTGATCCACGCTGTCTTGAAATCAGTCAGGGTACCATGGAACATCCCCGAGGTGGTATAATAATTGAATTCGTGGGCAAAACGAAGCAAAACTGTGATTCCTTGATCAGTGTACTCTTTGACCACCAATGCCACTTGGGCAGCTACTTCAGTAGTTACACCTGATAAACTAACACTGAATGGCATCATGCTCAAAACTGCAATTGCTCCAGAATTCTTCACATCACTGAGTTTATCTCCTAGGATATCGCTGTTTGAGACAGAAAGATCTGCACCAAAATGTGAGTATAGCCCGTAGAAGCATGCCGGGCCAGTGGTGTTAGTAATGGTGTCAATCAGAATATAGCCATTATCGTCATCTGGTAACCATCCTACCCCAATGTTGTTTTGCTTAAGGCAGTTAGCAGGCAATGTGAGGGAAGCTGCGTTTCTTTTTTTCAAAGCCCAGTCTTGGGAAGCCAAAGGAGCACCATTTGCAGAAATTGCAAGCGTAAGGGCTCCAAGAGCCAAGGTTTCAATAAATTTCATGTTGTTTTGGTAATTGGATGAACAATTAAAACGAGGCTTTTGTCTATAGACTTGAAGGGGATATCGAAGCTTATAAATATTACAACCAAACAAATGTGAAATACGATTGAAGAGCATCAAACAATGTGAAACCTTGAAATTCTCGATGCTAGTACTATGGGCTATTGACTTTACGAGAATGTGATTCAAAAAATCAATTCCTCGTTTCCTGCAGTAAGGATTACTCGGTGTTTCAGTTTACAGTTTCAGTAACAAAGTTTGAACGGTGTGGGGCTAATTAGTTACTATATTTTTTTTTTTATCGTATTGTCATTTTTTGATTCTTTCTGGGTAGATTCAAACCCTTGAAAGAAAAAGCTATATTGTTTCAAAAAGTAGGGTGCTTGTTTCATGTTGGAGATATCAATCTCACTTTTTATGAGTACTAACCGTCGGAAATATTTATGCCGACCCACCGCTCTTTTTGGTAGCATCACCAATTTGCACTTTAATACTTCTCTATACCGACCAGAAATGAAATTCGTGCTATTTTTTTTCTGTTGATAGCTCGGGAATGTTTGTTATTGTAGAATTGGTTTAAATAACATTCAGTTTTACAGAATTGCCACAAAAATTGGTAAAAGAAGGATGCTACCACAATCTATAACTTCGTTGCCAAGTGTTGAACTCCTTGAGAGTGACGAGTCCAGGGTTGTCCTTAGCTTCATGATGAGTTGCAATTGGAGCTCAATCCGTAATAGATTCGTTGGAGGTTGGAATAGTTTCAGTATTCATGATTGAGTTGGACTTAGAACTAAATGTCGGTTCATAGATATTAATGTAATGATAATAATAAATATGAAGTAAATGTAAACGTTTAATAATATAGAAATAGAAATTTGGTTCTGAGTCTTATATGTTCTATATACATGATAGCAGTAACTATTGATCGTTAAAAGCTACAAAAGTAGTGGAATTATTTGCGGTTATGAGCCATTGACCATAGAGCCATGTCAGAAGGTCTGTACTATTGGCAGACTGACACTAAGGTCCATAAAACTAAAGTGGAAATATTAAACACAAGTGCGAAAGAAGAACAATTGACTCTTCTGGAGTCAAAGACATTAGTCAAAATGTTGTTCTTATTGACGGACGGCCACACCAATTGTGCAGTGTTATGCATACGTGGTAAATTGAAAGGAAAAACAAAATAAATCGTGACAGCCGATGTCATGTATATCAATACTCTATTTCCCCTCAAACACGCCGATGAGACCCTCGCCATTGCCATTCCGTCGTTGTACTCCCTAAAATGTCAGACATTCCATCTAAAATTTCCCAACTCCTCATATCCCACGACTTGTTTCACAAAGCTTCACAGAACCCGATCCTAAAATCTTTTTTCCAGATTATCGACACTTCCCGTAGAGGTTGGCTATATGGATCAAGGCTTCGTTTGGCGCATTCTTTGACGCTATTGATAATATTCAGCAGAATTCATTCTTTAGAGGATCTCCGGCATAAATTATCAAGAGTTATAATAAATTCCCAAAAACATGGCTTGTCATTGTCGTGTTTTGCTGGTTTATATAAGCTCAGTTTGGCCGTCCTAAAGCGTAACCAAGAATTTGGTACCAATGGCCCAGTACTGCATTTCATTAGTGCATTTGTTTCTGGATATTTGGTTTATGGGAACCAGTTTGGATTCTTTAGTAATGGAATCTCTCAACAGATTACATTATATGTCATGTCAAGAGTGATATTAGGAATTGCTAGATTACTCGGGGAAAAAATATCAGTTGCCATTTATCGGAATGGTTTAAATAATGATATCACTAAATTTGATTTCAACACCATTAAAAATATTCCAGAATTCAAAAAAATCAATAATGAATTAAGTACTCACGCATGGAACTTGACAGCTGCCACCAGTTGGGCTGCAATTCTAGTATTGTGGAATTATAGACAAGATGTTCTAAACACATCAGTGGTCCACTCAATGGACTACATTTATAATAATTACAATTTCCTGAATTTCATGGGATTTATAATCAATAATGATACAAAAAAATAAGTAGTATAAATACATTTGTTTGCAATTACATGCGGTGTTTTCAATTCATACTGGAAATATTCGTACCACCTGATTTTAATCATCAGTACGAACCAGAAATGAAATTGATATTAAAGGCGAGATATCTTACCATTTCTCCCAACCAAAAGAATTTTAAATTTGGTCCTGATCTTTCATTTAGCTACTGCATTCTAACCCTCGATTAATAAAACTTCACTGGACTGGTATCACTTATCATAAAGGGGTTCACAATCGAATAGAAATTTGCATCAGCTCTTTGGAATTTCATGATTGTTTTTGATGTTGTTTCCTTTCTAGTTCCTTTCTATTTCATTTTGGTTGTTGTTTTTTTTCATTTTTTTTTTTTTTTCAAAAGAGTTTCTATTGTAAACAGAGATCAATAAGTTTTGGCGCATGTCTACAGATACACATACGTACTTTTGATATCAACTATAAATAGACTTTCTATTTGATTTCACCATCGATTACTTTCTCACCAATATCAATCACCTGTGAACTTTCAAAATGCCATAGACCTTTAGCTACTATAATCTTGTGACCCTGGAACACCGACCCAGGATAGTATGGCCACGTAATAATCGCACAAGAGAAAAACATGAACATTGCATCGAAAACTAGAATAAAGGCTTCATGTATAATCAAGTATCCAGACCAACCCTGGCACAATTCTGCAACTCTATAGCAACATCTAATGAAAATTGCCATGAAGCCAATCGTCACAACAACTGGTAGTCTTTGGAAGTTCTTGTTTCCTCGAAGTTCTTGGAATTCAGGATTGAACAAATGATCCTTGTATGAAGTGTGATTGAATGATTTTTTCTGAGTTTTGACAATCATTGGATCGATTTCCTTATCAGATTGGAAATATATTCTGTAGAAAAACAAACACCAAAAGATCAAAAACACCGTCATTGAAACAACTTGGAACACAAGACCACCAATCATTATATGAATACCCACTTTGGAATTAGAATGGCTACTAGATTCTGCTGATGCCACTCCTCCTCCTCCCCCTTGTAAAATTAATGAAAACAAATCACAACTCATGAAGAGATAGGAATACATGATTGGATTTTTGAAAATTGAGTACTTGATGCCATAGATTACCACAAATTTCGCGAATAAATAATAATAACCCGCCACTATGAAAATCGGTGCGATGGTGGTTCCAAACATCTGCAAAATATAGAGTCCTCTGTCGTAAGGATTGTTATGACTCCCTAATCTTCCGCCGTACGCTAGAATCTCAAGCAATTCTCCCAAGAATAAGCATAATCCTAGCCATCTCTGTTTATATTTTAAAGCAAGGAATAAATGTGAGATTACAAGCACCAAAAATAGTGCCAAAAACACCGCGTTGCCAGCGATTCCTGGGGTGTTGTGATAGAAATTGTACCGATAATCCGGATCTCGGGTAGTTAAATCTTGCACGATCATTGATATATAGATTCACTGCGACTTGATGGCACCTTGCTAAAGCCACAGAAATATAATATAAAGATAGTAAAAACACACACAAAAAAAAAGGATCTCTTTAGCCTTCTCTCCAAAGTCACTGGTTTTATCATTAATTTACTTGCGCTTGGTTTTGTAGAATTTAAATTTTTTTGTGGAGGAACCGCGTATAATATCATACTGCATTTAGTAATATGGATACGGCTGCCGTATTATTATTACCAAAATATGCCCCCTTACGAAAAACCAGAGAAGCAATACTATCTTTTCTGATTTGATGTCTTTTCTGAATTTGCATCTTCCATGAGCTCCAAAAATCATATGGAAATGACAATACATTTGATTAAACCTTTTTAAAAGAAATTAAAAACACAAAAACTAAATATAGCTGCCCAAAAAGTAGAATAAAACACAACTTAAACATGAGCACAAGTCCAACAATTGTTAGAAAAATTAAGCACACACAAACCTTGGTTAAAATGAAATAAATTAAAAGAAAAAAACAAACCAGAACAGAGCAGAGACAAGTCCCAATGCCTAAAAAGTCACCCAAAAATCCGACATGAACTAAATGGCAGTATATGATGTTTCATCCTCATCTACCAATTCATCAAATCTTTCTGCTTCATCTTGACCTCTGGCTGGATCCAACGAAGCAAAGATTGGAAGACTGATGATCAATAATGCCCACAAAAACCAAAAGCAATATCTAATATTGTGAGTCTTATCAGTTATCAAGCCGACAACAAATGGTCCAAGAATGGAGCTCCCTTTATCAGTGACTGCAAATAACGCAAAAAATAGGGATTCCTTACCTTTTGGAATCAATAGCGAGAAGAGAGATCTAGAAATGGTGGCCAACCCTCCAAGAGATAAGCCGTACCAACTGGCCAAAAAGTACATTTCCGTCTTATGCTTCAAGCCAAAACTTTCAAAGAAAAAGCCAAGTATACCATAAAATGGAATAAATGATGACCATAAAATAATTATAAGCAAAGTATTTTTCAAAGTTATCTTCAAATAATTGTTGAGATAATTTGGAATAACAATTGTCCCTGCTATAGCAAAGATAATTGATAAGATACCAATAATTGCTAATTCATGAGTTTTCATTTCAAGTTCTGTCTTACTAAATAAAATAGCAGCAGAATTGATTGTGGTGATTGAATCGGAAATGACAAACCAGCCAACCAAAAATATGCAAACATCTTTCAATAATTTAATTTGTTGAAAAGCCTTCATAAGGTTTACCCAGCCAATTTTGACATACTCTTTGAAAAAGTACATCTTTCTACTGACATAAGCTAAAACCTGTGCATGTAAGCTTTTGTTATGACCATCATGGTTCCAAGAACTTTTCAAGAACTTTCGCGATAAAGAGGCTGTACTACTGACTTTTCTTGATTTCAACATCCAAATTATTGGGAATTGAAATAAAAACCACCAAACACCAATAAATAAAATGGCATACTGAATAGAGGCGATTTTAGAGCCAGTTTTCACCACAATAATCATGGTTAATATTTGGGCTATGAACGCAGCAAAATATCCAAGACCAGAACACATGCCTGAGATTCTAGAGCTTAGAATAGCCTTAATATCAGATCCTTCTCCATTAGGGTTCTTTGATAAGTCATAATTTTCCACTAATATTGGAAGAAACGAATTTCCGCAAACATTGACCACACCAAAGCAAATGTTAGCTAATATGGCGTATAATCCAGCCTGATAATAGTTTTCAGTATCAAGGAAATAAAACGCAATAGTAAAGAAACTTCCTAAAAATCCAAAAAATAAAAGCAAGGCCTTCTTGTAGTTTCCCTTGTCAGCAAATCCCGTGATAGATATGACAGTTAATGTTTGTAAGAAGACTGATAAAGAAAAAACATATAGCGTGAACGATGAAGGATCAATATACTTTCCAAACACATCTACCACACATCCCACATGTTTAGAGCTGGATATTTGAAGCTCCATCCTTTTTAATAGTTCGTTTGCTGCAAGAGGTACTACAGACATCGCCACAGTATTGTTGCTTCCAGGAGGCCCAGGAGGGAAAGGCTCTACTGGGGGAACTTTACAGCCTCGGGAATGATCATTTGACAATACACCATTGTCTCTGGCAAATTGTTCAAGCAATAATGGCACATAAGTGGAAATACAGCTAACAATAAACGGTTCCGTGGCCCAGCTGTATAAGCACCAACCAAAGATTTCGCTATTGGTAGTCGGTCCCTCGTAGTACGCTGTTAAACTAGAGCCGGTTGTTTCGATATGATTCCCTTCTCCATCATTACCCACAAGAGGCGTCTCTATTTCAGCATCCACGTCCATTAGTATCTAACTTTATCCTTCTCTTTATTGCCGTGATACAGTCACCTCCCAACCAACTGTCTCATCCTATAAAAATCACAATACAGGTCAGCGAAGTGTACCGTAACCATAAGGTTGGAAGACCCGTTATAATGGATTGGTTGTGTAGCCCCTGCACAGTATCTTTTTCCACCAAATCATCATCAACACTTGTACCCAAAAGCTCCAGATGACTTCTTTCAAGAAACCGGTCTAACGTAAACAGTCATTTTTTGCTAATATCCTTACCTTACTAATGCTTTTTATAACGCTGCGCTCTTGATGTCTTCCTCCAATACCAGTTCCACAGACTCAGCAAAGCAGCACCCCGACAGTTTCAAAAACGCCTCCTCTTCCTCTCACAATTATCTAACCATTGACCCTAGTATTGCCGGGATTCAACCAGACTTCAATCCATTTGAAGACTCCCAGAAATTTCAATTTGACTCTCGTTCAATAAACTCTCTGAACTCTTATATACCTCTCCATACAATGTATTCTCAGAGACGTTCAAAGAGTCGGTACAGTAGCACTTCTAATTGCAGCAATGACGAAGAAGATGATGATGAAGATTTGATTGCCTTTGATGGCCAAAATCGCTCAGAAAATGGAAGCACAAACCAAACCCCTTTGCTTGAAGGAGAACATGCTGACCCTAACTTTGATTTTGATACTGACACATTACAAATCTACAATCAAAGTAAGTATCGTAATGATATTTGGTCAAAACTTAAAAGGGCCATGTTTTTCATTAGGATTTCTACTTCTGGTGGTTTTAAACAACAAAAGAGCAATATATCTTTACCAATAACAGAACCTCAACCAAAAACCAGAGATATTTACCCAGGTATGCCAGGCCATGAACAATACCCTTCTAATGCGATCAGTAATGCCAAATATAATGCAATCAGTTTCTTACCAATAATTCTTTATGAACAGTTTAAATTTTTCTTCAACTTATACTTTTTGTTGGTGGCTTTGTCCCAAGCGGTTCCGGTGCTTAGAATTGGGTATTTATCTTCATATGTGGTCCCATTAGCGTTTGTGTTATTTGTCACAATGAGCAAAGAAGCAATTGATGATATTCAACGTCGTAGACGAGATAAAGAGCAAAATAATGAACGGTATGAAATTGTTAACAATGGAACAACAGAGATTATGCCAAGTAGATTGGTGAAGGTTGGCGACTTGGTGAGGTTACATAAAGGCAAGAGAATTCCTGCTGATATGATTTTGTTGCAATCAAGTGAAACCTCAGGCGAATCTTTTATCAAAACAGATCAATTAGATGGTGAGACTGATTGGAAATTGAGACTTGCGGTACCGCCATGTCAGAAAGCAACTCTCAACCAACTAAATGATATTCATATTACAGCAGATGCACCAAATAAATCAATTCACTCATTCTATGGGAACTTAAACTTTCAGGATCAACAATTGCCTTTATCTGTCGACAATACTCTTTGGGCAAACACAGTTTTGGCATCGGGTACTGCAATTGGGTGCGTCATTTACACTGGCTCCGACACGAGACAGGCAATGAACACTTCTCGCCCAGGGGTCAAAGTTGGATTGTTAGAATTGGAAATAAATAGCTTATCTAAGATCTTATGTCTCTCAGTGTTTTTGTTGTCTTTTGTGTTAGTTGCTTTACATGGTTTTGACAAAACTTGGTATGTTGATGTCATGAAATATTTGATTTTATTCTCAACCATTATTCCAGTGAGTTTAAGGGTCAACTTGGATTTGGGAAAATCCGTTTACGCTTACCAAATTGAACATGACAAATCTATTCCAAATACGGTGGTTAGAACCAGTACCATTCCAGAAGATTTAGGACGAATTGAATATTTATTGAGTGACAAAACTGGAACTTTAACTCAAAATGATATGGAATTGAAAAAATTACACTTGGGTACAGTTTCGTATGCTAGTGACTCAATGGATATCGTTACTGATTACGTGAAGAAGAATAGCTGGTCTGCAGATAATAATTCTAAATCTAGAATTTTGGATCAATCAATAAAATCCCGGCGTAACATGGGTCAACGTGTTTATGATTTGATTCTTACCTTAGCCCTTTGTCATAATGTTACACCAACAATTGACGATGATGACGGAGAGTTGACTTATCAAGCTGCGTCTCCTGATGAAATTGCAATAGTGAAGTTTACTGAATCTGCTGGTATTTCTTTGGTTAAAAGAGACCGTACTTCAATGACAGTGTTACAGCAAAGCAACCACATACAATTAAATTATGATATTTTGCAAGTTTTTCCATTCAATTCAGATTCAAAAAGAATGGGAATTATTGCCTTTGATAAACAGAAGAATGAATATTGGTTTTTGTTGAAGGGTGCAGACTCGGTGATGAAAAGTATTGTCGCCCATAGTATTTGGTTAGATGAAGAAGTGTCCAATATGGCCAGAGAAGGTCTTAGAACTTTAGTTATATCTAGAAAAAAATTGAGTAAAACTACTTACGAAACTTTCAAAAAGAAATTCCAAGAAGCGTCGTTACTCGTCTCCAACAATCGTGATCAAATGATGGCAAAAATTGTCAGCCAATATTTGGAGTTTGATATGGAACTACTCGGATTAACCGGGGTTGAAGATAAATTACAAAAGAATGTGAAATCATCAATTGAATTACTTGGAAATGCCGGTATTAAGATTTGGATGTTAACTGGTGATAAAGTGGAAACCGCAAAATGTGTGGCTATCAGTGCGAAATTAATATCCAGAGGACAATATGTTCACACGATCACAAAAGCTACGATTAACAATGCATTGAATTCAATTGAATATTTGAAAAATAATAGAAATTCTTGTTTATTAATTGATGGTGAATCTTTGGGAATATTTTTGAAGCATCATCAAAAGGAGTTCTTCGATATTGTTATACATTTGCCGTCAGTTATTGCTTGTCGTTGTACTCCTCAACAGAAAGCTGATGTTGCTCTAATGATCAGACAATTAACTAATAAAAGGGTATGCTGTATCGGTGATGGTGGTAATGATGTCAATATGATCCAATCAGCAGATGTTGGGGTTGGGATTGTAGGGAAAGAAGGGAAACAAGCTTCTTTGGCTGCTGACTTTTCTATTATGCAATTTTGTGATTTGACAAAATTGTTGTTATGGCATGGAAGAAATTCTTACAAAAGATCAGCCAAATTGGCACAATTTGTCATTCATAGAGGCTTGATCATTTCAATTTGTCAAGTTGTGTTTTCCGTCAGCTCTCAATTCGAACCTTTAGCTTTGTATCAAGGGTGGTTGATGGTTGGTTATGCCACTTTATATACAATGGCACCAGTGTTTTCTATGGTATTAGATACCGATGTTAGTGAAAATTTGGCATATTTGTATCCGGAATTATATAAAGAATTGACTGCTGGAAAGTCGTTATCAAAGGTGTCCTTTCTTCTTTGGTGTATCATTTCGTGTTATCAAGGTTCAATTATCCAGGTTTTCTCTCAGTTATTTACCAGTGTTCTGGAAGCAGATTTTTTGAAAATGGTTGCAATTAGTTTCACTGCTTTAATTCTTAATGAATTGCTAATGGTAGCCATTGAAATCAACACTTGGAATAAAACTATTTTCCTTTCTGAAATTATCACTTGCTTGATATATTTCTCTTCCATTCCATTTTTAACTGAGTACTTTGACTTGAAGTATGTTAAGAGTGTTGGATTTGTTTGGCAAGTTATAGTGATTGTATCTATAGCGGTGGTTCCGATTTGGTCTATTAGGGCCCTTTATAGAAGGTTAAACCCACCAAACTATGCTAAAGTGCAGTCATGATTGTTTATTTTTTTCTACTCTTTGAAGTTATTTTATGTACCATCCCTTCGTTTGATCAGCTTAGTGACTTTGAAATTCCTCTTCACTTGCAGGAATATAATTACTATCATTATTCTTTATTCCCTTTGTGACATAAATTCTGCATATTTACAAGTAGTTGGCTGTCAAGTGCATCATGGGATCTATTCTATGTCATAACAATCATATATTATCAAAACAATTCATCTCAATACCAATTTATCATTCAATAGCTTATTTATATAATCCTTCTCAGATTCAGTAACTTCCAATACCTTCGACTTCAATTCTTCATCACCGTATAGTTTTTCTTTCAATTTAGTACTATTTTCATCACTTTCATCAAACCAAGTTGATTCCACAAAATCTTCACTTTGAAACTTCTTGAAAGATTGAATAGCTTCACTGTATCTGATTTCGTTCTCTGAACCAATGTTCTTCGCAGTCATTTGCACAACTTGGACATTATTCTTGGCTGGGGCCTTTTTTGGTGCCTCTTGGACAGTAGTGCCGATCACTTCACCATCTTTAGATACTTCATTGTGCGTATCAATATGATGGAACACCGGCCGTATTTGCGCAGTCTTATTTATTGGTGTAAGAACAATTTCTCGTTTGCCAGTGATTGGATTGGATTGAATACCCATAATATAAGTCCCCCTTGAGTCAAGAAGATTACCGCCATAAGTCTCTGAGGTCATGGTGCTCCATTCATCAGACTTTTGCTTATCAAAAAATCTCGCGGTATCCAAGGGAACATCGATCTCCACCATCTGTGACTCTGGTTTCACTCGGCAGGCAGGTATCTGGATACCTTTGTTATTGGTCAATGGTTTACTACTAAGCTGAGATATATATTGAAATAAGCAAATATCATGCTCAGAATCGGTCATATGATTCAAGTATAACGGTATCTCTTCAACAATTGGATCTTCAGGCTTCACGATTCTTGGTCCATCTTCATTGGAGTTTTGAGATACTTCCTCCTCCTCTGGAACAAATAAGGACATTCTTGGTAATTATTTAATGTTGTATTTGCAGTAGTCAGTTGCAGTGATAGGCAGGAAAAAAAATCAGATGAAAAAAAAAAAAAAAAAAAAAAATTCTGTGATGGATTCTCGTATTAGAAGCGTTGGCGACGGTACAGCTCGTTCAACATGAAAAAGCCGGCGATTCGAATCCAAAACAGTTCGATACAAAATACAAAAACACATAAACACAAACTTTTATTATTACTCGTCAGTCCCAGGATTCTTCTCCTATTTTTTTAGGGGAAAGATTGAAAGAAAAAAAATCAAAAAAAAAAAAGAAAAAAAGAACGAGATATAACCAAAGAAAAGAATCAAAAATGTAATGATGAAGATAATAATCAAAATGCATCATCAATAGATGTACTAATAGATTTGTATCAATTTCAATAAGACACTCCTAATTAAGTATGATAATTCCTGTAACTCTCGCTCACCGTTCAAATGAAGAATTTACAACAGCCTAGCATCACCATATATGAACAGCTAGAGAAAAAAAAAAAATTGAAACAACACTTCCACAAACCAAGCAAGAAAACAAATGAAGCAAACCCGCTGTCACATTATCCTTTAAATATGATAAAAAGAAAAATTGAATATCATGAAATAAAGCAAAAAAAAAAAAAAGAAAACAAAATGTTAAATACAGAATTATGAAGTGAAGAAAAAAGAATAGACTAAAAGTAGCTGGACATACTCATTGCGTTATCATTAATCGTATTAAGTCCTCCTGAAATTCCATCTCTTTCGGCAAACATACTATTACCAGTAGAGGTATTAATGTTGTTTACGCCGATGGTATCGCTACCATTAGTTTTACTAGAGTTCAAAATCCGAGAGCCAGAGTTTTCCCATGAAAACCCCATTCTTGAATCACTCAATCCGCTGGTGCCAAAACCTGAAAAAGCACTACCAAAAGCGTTACCGGTGTTTAATTGACGCTTGCTAGTTTCAGAGAGCCCAATCTTTGTAGAAACTTGACCTTTTTGATTAAGAGCTGATGTTGAAGAGCTGCCCCAAATAGAAGAAGAAGTTCCAAAAAGTAATGGGTCGTTTTCAAAATGATTGGTAGCAGTCGCATTGTGATTTCCAACTGGAGTGCTAGAACTGGAAATATTAATTGCATCGGTAGACTCGTTGAAAACGTCGTTCAAAGTCAATGAGTTCTTCAACAACAATGAGTTTGGCAAAAGGGAAGTATTAAAAGTGATGCCTTTGCTCGCATTGTTACCACTTTTGCCAGTACCGCTAGCGTTATTCGCACCGCCAGCGGCTGAAAGGGTGCGGTTGGTAACCAAACTTGGGGTAGAGGAATATAACAATGAGTTCCCGAAAACAGTGCTGGAGTTCAACAATGCACTATTACCAGTTTGTGAACTGGTAGCATTAGTGGAATTTGGTCTTGGGACTAAAAAGGATTCCAAGTTCTGTGAAGCCTTGTACTGGGATGTTGACGTAGTTGGTGAAGGGTTACTTGGGGCTGCGGTGGCGTCAGGAACCGCGGACGCGGTGACAGTGGAATTGCTATTGGTCATCAAATTTGCAGAGGAGGTGAACTTGGAATTCAAAGGCCTTGGAGCAAACAAAACAGAGGATGCAGAAGAATTAAAATTAGTAGAGGCAGAAGATGGTGCGCTTGAGTTGGTATTGTTCCTGTAATATTGCAATACATTATGACTATTGCCAGCGTTATTGTTGGTAGTATCCATAGCTTTGAAGTTGGAGCTTGTGCTACTGTTGTCATTAACCAAATAGTTTGAGGTTTGAGGCATTTGATAACCTAACTGCAGGCTTGAGTTTTCAGCGACATTTTCAGTGGTACCAATATGACCATTTAACATCGAGCCTTGCACGTTATAATTCCCATACTTAGGTTGCTGCTGTTGAAATTTTCCAGGGTTTTGGTTAGCATATCCGTTCAAGTTATTTTGATAGTTGAGGAGATTGTTGTTGTAAATGTTAGTGTTGTTACCCTTGGTGTTGTTGTTACTGTTGCTGCTGCTGCTGTTGTTGTTGTTGATGTTATTGTTGTTGTAATGGAAAGCGTTTTGCTTTTGGTGATAATGCTGATTCAAAGAGGTGTTCATATGTAGCTGTTGTTGTTGTTGCTGTTGCTGTTGCTGCTGCTGCTGTTGTTGTTGTTGTTGTTGTTGTTGTTGATCAAGATATTTTTTATTTTTCATGTTTATAAGAGCCTTCTGAATGGCTTTGAATTGGTAGTTGAAAGGCAAATCCAGTCCTGGATCATCTTGGAGGTAAAAGCTTGTGTAGCTATTGCTTAACTCTGTATTGCAATTCTCGTTAGTAAAATTCTGGGAGATAGCTAGTCTATTTTCACATTCATAGAGTATATGCATAGTACTTGAATGGTAAAATAAATCCTCAATAATACTCACTCGAAGTTTCCATCTGTTACTGCCGGTTTTAATCAGAACTGATCGACATCAAAAAGTACAGATCTTGCACAAATGAGGGAGATGGGTGAAAAAAAAAAAAAAAATTTTTACAACAGTTGATGTGCGTATAGTGGTAAAATAACGATTCGACCGTTGCCATTCAACAACAACAACAATTTCACCCACAAAAATTACATTCACAAAGTAGCAAAAAATAACATACAATTAATAAAACACAAATGATAATATCCTGGGAAAGAAAAAATAATTAACGTAAACAACGAATATCTTCAAAAATTAAACTTTAAAACTCTATAGAAAATGAAGAAAAAAAAAAGGTTGAACGTGAAGAAAAGAAAATACCCAAACACAAAAAGAGATCGAAGCAGCGTATATCAATCAACTCTAGCGTAAGCATTTGCCTTTGTAGCATAGAAATTTGAAACCTTTTGGTGGAATGGGTCCATGAAGACTTTTTGAACAGCTTTTGGGCTCATCGGATCTTCATCAGGGAAGCTATTATTCTTGATACCACTAATGTTATTCTTTTCAAATATTTCATCATATTTATCCTTGATACATTCTGGGTTTTCGAAAGCTGAATGACTACCAGCATTTTCGACAACTTTGTAAGCAGCTTGAAGAATTTCGATTGACCCATTAACTTCAATCTCCTTAACAAGAGTCTCGCTTGTGTTCAAGTATCCGTAGAAGACGATGTCAGGGGCATAATCGTTCAAAACATTCAACAACAACAAGAAACGCAATTTTGAAGAAGCGTCAGTGTTCTTATGAGAGAAATAAGACCCAAGTTGGAACATTGTGAGAGCTGCATGCTCATCTTCAGTTGCAAAAAAATCAATAATCACGCGTGGAATATCAATCTCTGTGGTACTAACATTTTCGGAATTATCCAAGCCACAACTTTTCATTACTTTTTCGTAGTCTTCACCATGAATTCCGCTAATAAATATGAAACACAAGTAGGCAATGGCATTCGATTCTAATTTTTCCCCATTCGCAATCCTCTCCTTCTGTTGCTCCAAATCATATTCTAGTCTAATTTTGAATAAGATGCATAAGAGATCATACCCATTTTTTTTGATATAAGGAACCTGCAATCCTTTGGCACAGAAAGAAATCAAAATATGATCACTATACTCTGAATCAAACGATAACTTAAACGACTGCTCAAGATCTGTCACAAAGTCAATCGATTCTGTCTTGAATTCTTGAATTTTAGCGAATAAGTCAGTGTTTTTATCAACCACGCCATTTTTAGACATACCAGTAATGAGATTTTTAACGATTTTTAAAGAGCTTTGAAATTGAACTGTATTAGTTGAGTTGCAATGAGCAATCCCAACCCAGAACAATACTCCCCAGTATCGTGAAATTTTAGTTAAAGCTTCAGAAAAATTGGAAATTGTCAAAAGTAAGCACACGCCCACGATGAAATCAGAATATCCGTAATCACTAATCCAGATTCTATTTTTTCTGAAATATTCGATGATAACCGAATCTGAAATACCTGACTTACACAACATACCACTAATTAAAACCCCTCTTCCCTGTAGTGGCCCATGTTGTCTAAATGCCGCGCTTAACACGTAGCCGGACCATCTCCCTTTCCAAACACTTCTAATATTGAAAGGTTGAAACTCAATGAATTTCAAAAGTGAGACACAAAATGTTTCCAAGTGTTTATAAGCACCGAAAACTTGGTCTGGACGGTTCGAAAGTACATCGTAAGATTCATTCTTTAATTTTACCAACCCAAAAGTCACTTTAGATCCAGGACCAGAAAATTCGTCGATCGTTTTCAAAACATGGTCTCTAGCAACCTCTGACAATCCTTCTTTACTAAGGAATGAATGGAAAACATTGATTATCAAGTTACGAACAGAAATTCTCAAATCATAAGGACCAATATTAATCAACATAGAAACAATAAAACAAATCTCTGGGAAGTAAGTCTCAGCAATGAATAAGGCATCAAAAGCTAAGGATTCGCATATTTTAACAAGAATCTTAGTCTTAACCCAAGTGATGTTAATAGAGACCTGTCTATCATTCTTGAAATTAGGAATGTCCACAATTTGCTTTAACTGCTTGATTACCAAGCCACAAACATCAATTGTTGGAAAAAAAGAAATCACCGAATTAATATTATCCCAAGGCTCGCTTTGTACTTCCTTTTTCAAAGCTTCGCGAATTATATCAGTTACAGCAAACTCCACTAAGTTAGAGTCAACAACTGTGCTCTTCCAAATAAAAGTCTTGAAGGTTAAGAGCAAGTCATCACCGGCTGGTGGAATCTTAGTAATAAATTGATGGATTATATCCTCAACCTTTTGAGTCCCTAACACACGGTTGACTTTATAGTATTGATCATAAATATTTTTAATCCACAAGGAAAGCAACATCAAGCAGCAATACTTACTTTCGGACGATTCGTAACCTTCGGTGATTGCTGAAATAAAATCACTTGTTAATTCAGGATGATTTTTTGCGATAGTACTCGCAATATTCAAGACATATGGAATGAAATCTTTTGGGAATGTTGTACCATCTGCTATTATACTTTTATCAACCTTTAAGTGGTAAAAATCAATAATCAAAACAAGTGAATTGAAAGCGACACGTCTAACTTCTTCCGCACTGGAAACCATATTCAAAAGAACCGATGCTAGCATTGATCCCAAGAATGAGTCCGCAGAATGGTATTCAGACGAGTTAATTGGATAATAATCTACTGCATCACTAACCCTATTCGTCAATCTTGCTAAAAACAAATTCTTCAATATCTCAGACTTCTTAGAGGAAGAAAGATGTAGAATGCCATGACCCTTGACTGTGACCAGAAACTCATTTCCGTCATTATTGATGAAATTCTCGTCAGTGACGTCAACCCAATCATCAACTGTGGATGTCGACGTAACACGAACATTTTGTTGCTCTCCCCCGTAGTTGAATTTCAAAAACTGATAACTCCAAAACACATGCACTTTCCCAATCTTAATCACCACTGGCACATATTTATCTAATTCCTTCGAATATATCAAACAATCTATGGTGATTTGTGTATCCCTGACTACGTCAAGAGAAGCCTTTGGAAGACCAGCAATTTCAAGAGTAGTAATACTATCAAATGGAGAGTAGAAAAGGCAATTAAATTTTCTGTATTCACGGACAGACAGTTCATATTTTTGCAACGACTTTTCCAAGAAAGGGGAATACATTGGATTGACATTATAGTAAATAATAGTGATAGTTTCTGCCCAGAAATTAGTAGCAACATTTGTCATGAAAGCGAAAAATTCTGCGAATTTTTGTGAGATGTTTATGTCAAAAAAGGAGCAATCGACGACCATCACAAATGGTTCATTCCACTTACTATCACAAATCTGAAGGGCGCGGTAAACAAGGGATTCAAGGTCATATTTTGCAACTTTCTGAAAATATTTGTGTGAGAATGTAACCAATAATGTACCATTTCTAGTATAACTTTGAGTAATAAAAGGGGTGGCAAGCAAATTAGGATCCACAGAGTCCTTGAATTTGATGAACAAATCATAAGCCTCTGTAAATTTCTCTTTATTGTTCCTGATGAAATCTGGAATCTCAGGAGAAAATGTCAAATATTTCTGGCCTATGTCAATAGAGATCATTTCTAGGACATTAATATTCTTCATCACCTCTTTAAGAGAATCCTTTGGTTTGGTTATTGGATGCATCATATTTAGTCCAATTTCAATATTTCTATGAATCAATATAGAATAAAGCACAGACAAAGAAGATTTGCTGATGATAAATTTATTTTTCTTTGGCAAAACACTTTGTGGCACAATATCCTTTGATACAATATCTAAAAATTCGAACAAATCTTTCTTCAAAGAAATCAATTCTTGTTTTTTATCACTCAACAAATGCCATCTTATGGAGGAAAGCGAATCATTAGCAATATTCTGGAATACCTTAGCTATTTGCATATAAGATCTCTTTTCCCGCTTAGACGGGCTATTATCAATAACACCTTCAATTTCTGGACTGACAATAGCAGGACAAAGAAATCTCAAAAACAAAAAGGAACTAATCACAAGCAATGCGACCCCATCATCATGGATCTTATTGACAACCAATCTCCTCAAATTGGCACATAAGGCCCTAAGCTCTATTGGTATGACGTCTATGGATGCACAAATATTTTTTATTGTGGCTCTCAAGTAATAGAAAAACTTGGTAACATTTTCTTCAATGATCAAATCATTGTCTTTCTGCAACTTCTCTACTTCAAACCAGTCGTTCTTTTTTTGCATCTCGGCAAACACTGGTCGTAGAATTCCTTGAATATAATCACTGCCTACTTGCTTTGCGTATAATGATAGCATTTTTGCCGGAACGGAAGTGCGACGTAATGTATCAGTCACTTTACTTGGACTAGATATTTCAAGTTCAAATTCCAATAAGTCAGTAATCTTAGGGATTTCTAGGTTCACACTAATCAAAGCCTCTAACAAACTATTAGCGAACCTATCATAATCGGTTGACAATATCCCTCTGGCGACAGCAATCAATAAATCACTGCTCTGACAAAAATTATCAGCAAACAGAGCAAAAGAAGCAGCCTCAAACTCAGGAGTTAGTCTTCTCTTTGATGATTGAATAGTCTCGATAATATTGCTGAAAACCACCAAAAATGAGTGCTTGACCTTAATGTCAGCATGGAAGGACAACGGTAGGGCATAATCAATTCCGATGTCATAGTTATATTCCAACATATTACTAAGAGCCACGATTACCTGTTCCTTGATTAGTTCAACTTTCCGTTCAACCGCAGATAATGCAGCGTTCGATCCAGGCAAAGATCCTCTGGCTAAGCAACTTTCTAATACTCTTGAGAAAAGGTTAAAGTAGTTCAGGAATTGGGTTGTTCTAACATTCAAAATTTCACTGGAATACTGGGCACCAAAAGCATAGATTGGTGTCTCCTTAAATAACGAAGCAATAGCTCTGAGGCATTCAAGAACTAATTCGAAATACACAAAGGAATCCATCTCATGACGCGTTCTAGCCCGGGCGGCAGCAATATCTCCAATGTTAAACAATTTGTCATCTGCATTTACTGAGGATCCAAAGCAGACAACGTCCAACCAACGTGCAAGCAGCTGGATCAATTCACAGCGCCATTTGATAGAGCAACCACGGATCACCAAAGCCACTGCATTGTCTGATAATTTCTGAATAAATTTACAAACTTTAATTTTTAAACGTGTAACAGCAACATCCTCCCCGCCAGTCAAGTTATTGGAAGTCTCCAATCCAAGAGCAATTGGTTTGAAAAGAGAGATTATTTTCAAGGCTATAACTTTAAGATCAACACTGAGAGCAAAATTCACATCTGGCTCACCAAAATTAAGAAACCCAATAATAATGCTAAGATAGGAATCAAGTAATGTGATGTATTTAACAGACAAATATTCTCGTGAATTTGAAACTGGCAACTCACCCAGGTTCATTTTAGCTTGAATTTTCTCTTTTCGTTTGATTAGAATATTTAGATCCTTTTGAATATTCCTAATCATCAATTTGTGAGCATGAGGATGCAACTCATTCGCAAGGAGATCTTTGGCAGCTTCACGTTCATGGACGTCATCCGAATTCAAATGATCAACTTGTCTAGAAATGAAATTTTCAAGCTCCGAGAGCCTTGCAGTTGCTGCTTGTCTCAGGTACTTGGGCTTCATAATCCCACCAAGAACCACGGCAAGAAAACCAGCATAGTTTCTATGCTCCTGCTCAGCCAAACTGGACGGATTTCTTATGAGGTAATATTCTTTCCAACGTTCGTAAACGATATCCATCGCTAAAAGCAATCCTTCTGAAAAAACCTCCAAGTTTTGATATAATTTCTTTCTTATTCTTTTTTGAAGAGCCATTGGGCTACTAACATAATAGTTTTCTTCAACAAGGCTTTCAAAGAGTTTATAATTAACCAGATTTCTCAAATAGGTGATGTATTTCCCTGGTGTATTTAATTCTGTAGTGTACATTGAGCAAATCAATTTCAAGGATCTATAATACTCTGTTCCGGGGGTTTCCAAGGCAATCAATAGTAATTTCTCATTATCAGCAAAACATTTGTGAAGAATTTCAATACCATCAGAACCAATGTTCTCAACAAGGGTGTCCATATCAATTTTATTAACAATGTTAACACGCTTCGACCAGAATAATGTAATAAAAGAAATTGTTTCCAAAAAACTTTTCTCGTGTAAAGACAGCGTCAAAGAAATATCAATGAATCCTGATTGTAAATACAAACTGCTAAAAAATGCAAGATGTGTCTCCACCAACAGGCCATCTTCAGCATCCAAAATTTTTATCACAAGCCTTCTGGCCTTCTCCACAAGCTTCATATCACTATCAGCTAAAGAAATAAGCAAAGGATCCAAAATACGTTTCATTTCAAAGAGAACGGTTTTTGTCTGACGTATTGCTTCTAAATGAACTCCATTTGTCACCTTATTGGTGTAAGTATTGATATCACTGCTATTGTAAATCGATGGTAATTTGAAGAAAAAACTCAGATAAGTGCGAAAAATTTGGAACACAAGCTTGAGAATTTCTCTTGAGAGGAATGCATTATTTTCTACCCGCTTCATGTATTCAATATTCAGCACCGATATCGGTTTGTTGACACGATTCTGAGAATTAAACAGGTGTATACTCATCTTATCGGCATTAAACAGAGAATTAGCATTACCGCTAAGAGACGTCGTCACGGGATTGAAGCTGTTATAGCTATATCCCACAATCTCTCTCTCAGTTTTGGCAGTGTTGGTTGTTTTATTGCTGATAACTGACTTCTTGCTGCTAAGCTTAGGGATACTATTGGAGCTACCGCTTGAGACGGAATTTTTGGAATTTCCCACTGAACGTTTACCCAAAACCGAGAGAAAAGTTTCTTTTCTTGACTTTTTAGTTGAAACCTTCACGATAGGATGGCTCTCAAACGATAAATCAGCACCGCTATTATTATCAGAGTTATTGCCTGGTGAAGAAATTGTATTGCTATTGTAATTCAGAGCAAAATTAGGTGTTCCATTGGAATCAGAAGGAAGCATGCCAGTCGATACTGACTGTGAGGCTTGTGATGCACTTTGGTTCAAGGTAGTTGATGAGTATTTTGAAGACGACAAAGTACGTGAGTCACTGGTGAGGACACTCTGAGAGTATTTCAAAGAATGAGTACTGGAACTGTTATCACTAACTAAGGCATCAAAGTCTGATACAGTTTCACGTACAATTTGGGCAAGTTTTGCAGTATGATCACGTAACGTAATTGCAGTAGTTTCGATCAATTTATAGGCGAATTCTCTATGATAAGGTCTTTTGATAAGATTGTAAATTGCATGCGTGATAATATAGTAAAACCGAAGCGAAGTCTCTGGGTTAGCAATTATGTTAATAACTTTTGGTTTGATAAGTTCTGGAGCAAGTACTATAGCTAGAGAATAGAATTCGATTCTAATTTTATCAATTGCCAGAATATCAGTATCGTTCATGAGAGAATGGTTATTTACTGGATTCAAAACATTGTAGACTTGCAAAACATATGATTTGGCGAACGTGACAACTGGGTGGTTAGGTTCATACTGAATTACCACTGAGGCAATATTAAAAATCACAAGGAAAAATTCAAGAGTTGGGACTTTCTCTGTACCTTCATAAATATTTCTGGCGACTAAATTAAGAAATTTCTGTTTTTTGTTATTTGCGGCCTTTAATAATTTGGATTTATTTGGATTAGAATCAAGGTTATTCAAGAAAACGTCAAATTGTTTTGGCATTAGAACCAAAGAAATAGCCAATGCACGATAATAAAATTTCTTTTCGTCTTCCAAAGAGAATTTGAACTTCAGGTACATTTTCTCAAAATGGCCATCACCAACTTTATTGACAGACGGCTTACTTGTAACTTCTGTAAAATCTTTGGTATAACAAACCGCAAAATTAATGACCGAATCGATGAAAAAGTATGCATGGGTATGTTGAATATGAGCGTTTTTGAAAACATCGGTGAAATAAGTCAATAGTTGGAACTCTTTTTCAATTGATAATGATGTTAGATGAAGATAGGCAAGAAATTCAAGATATCCAAGAATGTCATTGTTATCGATGTTTGCATTGTCAGTAACTGCAATTTCCGTAGCCTTACTGTATCCGGCAGGACTAGCAGCCCCTAAATACCGTGCAAGAGCATCAACGTTATAATCGATATCGGCGACCTCCTGATTCAGACTTGATAGTTCAAAATAAGCCAGATTTCCGTTCAACTGGCGAAGAATAGACCTCGATTTTTTAAAAGATTTGAGCTTGACCAAAACTTGCAAAGCCTTCATCACTAGCTTCGGTTCCAAAGGGTCTGGAGGTATACGGTGAGGGAAATCTTTATCTGAGTCATCAGTGGAGTGTGAAGAAATAGAATTTAACTCAGAACGTTCTTTCAACCGCCAGTTTGCTTCTGTGAAATCCGAAAGAAGAGTTAATACGAGGAATATTTGGTGCAATGAGATGTCAGATCTCTTTTTGATGTATGCGAAATTATCGCGACGGTTCAACTTATCAAGGAGATTGATAAAAGATGAGATGACATAAGGAACACAGGATTGTACCCGAGAAAGACTGAGCAAGGTTTTTTTGCAAGAGATATAAATTGGTTCGCTTTCTATCACAGACGCGTTAGATATTGGGTCACGAGCCACTTCTTCACTGAGGATCTTGAGACTGGCAATTACTGAGTCCACGATGGACACATGGCCGGCCAGCGATAGAGTTAGGCCATGGGATGCCATGTGCGTATTAGTCTTTTCTTGCAAAAGTGGGGTTTGCACAATGGCCATTGGTGACCCCTTTTTCTCTGTTCTTGTTGATAGACAAACAACCGTTTTATTGATGAGCTGCTCGCAGTGAATTTGTTGATTTTCATCTAAATAACCACCAAAGGCCACATAACGGCGCCATCAGTTACCCGGATGTTATCATTTTTCAACATCCTTTAGCACTTTTCTGTTGGTAAAAGTACTCTCCCTTGTACAAAAAAGAAAAGGAACAAAAATAAAAGGAGGAGGAAAAAAAAGAAGACCACTGTATAATAGTGTCCACAAAAGGATTTGTGACAGATGGCGTTGTTTTGTCACCTTATCGGAATATCGGGGGTGTACACCCTTTGATTATGTGACATGAAACCATAATAATACACCAAGAAAAAGTGAAAGAAAGCATTGTATTATCATTGATTGGTGACTCTATTATTAATAACCTGAGAGATATTACTATTTGGAACAAGTCTATTGGCATAATGATTGGTCATTTGTGGGTTGTCAGTGTTTCCGGCACATAAGGGCATGCATGAATTGCTAAACTTGGGATCCGAATTTCCCCTATAGGTCCCATTCATTTATTTACCATAGGCCTGTCATTCATTGGTATACATGGTTTGACGGAACCTCGCAAACTTTGGGATCCACGGGCACATGTGTAAGGTATTTCTTACAAAACGCTATATTCCATCTTTTGCTGTCAAAAAGTATATTGTAATAATACCCAACTATGCGTGCCAGTCCGAAAAATCGCTTAATCAAAAAACCGCTCCAAAGTTTGGATATTCTCTAAATGCGTTCTCAGGCTGTAGAACCTATGTGGCTCGGTAGTATACAACTTGATACGATTTATCAATAGTTCGACACTCTTGGAAGAAAGAAAGAAAAACTACAAAGAGATTTGATGGAGTCTATTTCTATTTTTTATTCGACCCAATTCATACTTTTGCAGATTTCAACAGTTGATAAATCAATCTCTCCTAATTTAATCAAATGTATCATATTATTCATGGTATGCAGGAAGCTGTTCGCCATCCTGGCCATATTTCCATTCGTTATAAGCTTTTCCAACTTGTGTTGAGAAGTCCGCGATTCCTCCTTCATTGAAACTAAAAATTCCTTTCCAAATATACATATGATTCAAGCCAGCATTTTCCATTGTTGGTTTGAACAAAACTGTAAACTTATTTGCTCCGAACCAAGGGGTTTCCATCTTGAAATCGTGTAAATTTGCATTGAAAAGTAGTACGAAATCCTGGAAATCATTGTCAGGGTGTTTCTCAGCAATGTACACCAATCTTTTGTTAGTGATGAATGCTGTCCCATTGGAACCACGACGATATTCTGAGGGCAAGTGTGTAGGATTAAGCGTTAAAGAGACCCTTTTGGGCAGGGAGTGTTTGAGGTGCTCTTTCGGGAGAAGTAGGAAGGGGAGGCCTGCGCTGGTAGTCGAGTAGGTGAGACAATCAAGTGACATCTTTTTTTCACGGCAAGGTTGACAGGAGACAGGTACAATGCTGGGGTATTATTATTATTATTATTATTATTATTATTGCTATAATAATTGTTATTATTCTCTTAAGGATGGAGACACAAAAAGAAACAGCATGGAGAGGTCATCGATTGTTGCATTTGTTTATTTTGTTTTTGGTCTCCCCATTTATGAGATATGCAGACACCCGGCTTAAAGGCATTCATTGCATTATCACATCCAAATATATATATATATATATATATGATACACCTTTTTTGCTCAATTTATTCCTTTTGCTTTTTGTTTTTTCTTACTCTATTCAATCATCATCAAAATTCCAATTAAATAAATAGACCAATAAATAAGTGCTAGTTTAAGTTTACCATGTCAGATATCCTTTCCACCATCGAAAAAACCCTTGCCGAAGCTGCTGACCCATCCCTCAAAAAGAAGAAGAACAAGAAATCTAAGCAACAGAAAAAAAATGAGCTCCGTAACTTTGATAATCTTGACCAGTTCAGAGACTTTTTGAAAATGGAATCCACTTCTGATTACGAAGAAAAGGTGCATGCCCATCTCTCATATTTCCCACCGTTTGTGATGCAGTCCTGCCATAACGACCCAGAGAAAATTAAGCCAACCATGAACAAAAACAACAAAAAGTTTGTGCGTCGTTTATCACAGCATGTCAACAAGCACTTGATTGATGACATTAAGAAGAATTCCGATTTTGGTGACGAGATTGCTTTCGAAGAAATCGATGAAAGTGATACCTTTGATAAATTGGTGTGGCATTTTGTGGATGCCAATGAGCATGAATCTAATGGCAAGAAGTTTAAACTCGAAATGGATGTGGAATGTCATAATGATAACGCTACAGTGGAAGTTGATTACAGGGCTTATCCATGCTAAATTTTCCTTGATTTTCTTTTAATTTTTAATTATCATCTTTTTTTTTTTATTTACCCCCTCAAGACGAAAAATCAGTTGTTATTTTATTCTTTAGAAGGAAATTAATCAGTTGTTATTTTAATCCTTTTTTGTCTACAATTATATTCTCGTTTGGGTGTTTAAATTATGAACGAAATGATATTTTTATTATCTGAAATCTTTTTTTTTTTGCAACATATGAATAACGAATTATGAATTAAGAATTATTAATAAAAACATGTAATGATCCAAAAAGCAGGCAGGTTCTCTCCGCAATTACAGAAAAAGCAATTAGGGACCCCACCTCACCAACAACTTCATCCCAGGCGTTTCTTTTTACCGCAATTATATCAAAAAATTAAACCATATCCCCCAGCTAATTATCCGCCACTATATCACCCTATGTTATGATATCCTGTCAAAATAAAAATTATAGAATATCACCTGCTGTAGACCTCTGTAATACAATGCATATATGGTGTGGCCTTGAACAAAAACCGTTCAGTCATGTGATTGTTGATAAAAAATTCTTGAAATTTTTGGAAACAGTTAATGCGCTATAACAACAACCGCCTTGTTTTACCACAAGTTTGTCCATCGAAGGAAACCTGGACAACCCCTTAGTATACAATGGCTAGTGATGATGAAGATGAGTACCTTTATGGCTCAGATGAAGATAAGCCTGAACCAAAGGAAAATGCAGCAAAAGAAGAAGACAAACCAAATGATAAAGAACCAAGTGCACAAGAAGATGATGGTGATGGCGATGATGATGATGATGATGATGATGATGCTGATGATGCTGATGATGATGATGATGATGATGAGTCTTCCGATGACGACTTTGAACTTATTGTCAATGCCCCCGATGAAAAACAAACAACCTCTATAGAGGTCACTAGTGACGATAAAAAGTCTTTGGAAGCAGGTGGAACACCCACTGGAGCATCCACAACTACCAATAAAGAATCAGCAACCGTTACATTAACGGCTGGTCAGGAGTCTCAAGCGGGGTTGGATATCAATCAGGTAGCATTGTTCGAAGGGAAACCCCTAACACAACTTGATCTTGAAGCATTAAAGGATAAGCCTTGGCGATTACCAGGGGCAGACACCACTGATTATTTCAATTACGGGTTCAACGAATTCACCTGGATCGCGTACTGCTCGAAACAAGATAAGCAGAGGGGACAAAATTCAGGTATCGTGGTGCCTCCCAATGCGATGGCCGCCGCTGCTGGGGTTATTCCAAATCCTGTTGTTGCTGCCGCCGCTGCTGCCGCCGCCGCGGGTGTTACTCCTGCTCCGCACAATTTCGGGTTCCCTCCAGTACCGGGTCTTCCAGCAATGCCAGTTGGTGGATCTGGTATGCCTCCATTGGGTGCTTTCCCTCCGGGATTCCAAAACTTTATGAGCCAGATGAGCCAGAATATGGGTAATTTCAATAATAATTCTAATTATAAAAGCAATAACAATCAAAATTTCAATAATGGCAATTACGATGACAATTATCAGGGCGGTGAAAATGGTTACAACAATAATGGTGAGTACAATGATGAATACAATAATGAATACAACGATGGTTATGATAACGACGGGTATAATGGAGGCTATAATGATGGCTATAATGTAACAGATAATTATAATGGAGATTATAACGAACAAAGCGGACAGATGGATATGACTAAATCATCGTCATCCGAGCCTCCATCATCACTCCCGTCATCCATTCCGGCGCCTCCAACTCAAAAACAATCGTCGCCTACTCCTGGTAATTCCAGCAATATCGGCAGCACCCCAATACCAATAGGGCTTCCAGATTTACCGGCTCGCCCAACAGATAAAAGTAGCACTTCACCGATACCAACGGTCCCTGCGAAAGAATTGGAAAGAATAAAAAGAGAACAAGAGCGGGAAAGGCTCCAAAGAGAACGAGAAAAAAGCCAAGAGGATGTTGACAAGAGAGATAGAGCTCAAGGTGGCTACAATAACGGGTATCGTAGTGACCGACGCAATGTTAGAGGAAGAAGAAGGGCTTAGTATTGTGGTTTTATGATTCTTGATAATGTGAAATTTATTACTCTTGTACGTTATTTATTTTTTATGTTTTTGTTTCAATTCAATTTTGAAGTTGTAGTTTTTTTTTCTTTTTTTTTTGGTTTGTTGACTTGATTTGAATTTACAAATGGATTGTCTTGTAGAACGAAGATTTTGAGGTGTGGCACCTGTCCTTCCAAAAGAAAATTTGTTCAAAAGGAACATTAGACTTTTTAATCTCAAAATTTAATCCTCAAAAGAAACATACATCGTGGAAAAGCATTACTGTGAGGTGAAGCACAACAACCTACATGAGCAATAGTTAAAAACCAAATATTCTCTGTATAGTAATATTATAAAAATCTAAAATTCTAGTATCTATCTTTTCAAAACAAAAAAAAACGTAAAAAAGCAAAAAAAGAAAATTGCAAATGATAAACAGCAAAACATAAGGATTGAAAAAACAAAACAAAATGGAAAGAAGTGAAAAATAGTTGAATAGCAAAATCGGCTAACACCAAAAAAAGATATTGACAAAGCAAATACAAAATCAACAACAGAAGCACCAACCAAAAAGAGATAAAAAATAAAATATTAATCATAATTCAATGTCCAAAAACCCAGCCTTAATTAGATCATTTTCCAGATGATCAACATTTGGACTACCCATATCTATCTGTGATTTGATGTCATCTTCTCCAATTGGCTTGAATACATCTTGATCATTGAAATCACCATCCAAAACTTGGGAGATTTCTTCTAAATCATGCAAGTCCTCTTGTTCGGATAGCACGGATTTTGGATCTGGCAAATGTTCAACTGAAGAGGATCTTGGGGAGGCAGTACTGACAAAGGTATCAGAATTCAACTTAGCAATGGTTTCAAGATTTCCAATGAGCTCTTCACCAATAGCAATGGGATCATCAGCAGAACTCGCAATACGTTCATCGTCAATAGCTTCCATTGGGATGGAGATCTTATTGGTGATAATTTGTGGAGAAAATGGCGCAGCGTCTTCCAATTCCAGAGGACTCATATTGCTAAAAACTCTTTCTTGTTTCTCATAGTTGATATCAAAATCAGGCTTAATCATTTTGAAATCTTCCATAATAGAACCATTGCTGCTCAAATCTGGGGATGTTTTGCCTAAACTACTCATTGGAGAGCAAGTCACAGATGAAGTGTAACCGAATGGATTTTCCATAAAATTTGGAGATTGGGATGCATCAGAAGACTTACCAGAAAAGCATCTTGGGGAATCGGTATTTTGATGACCGAAACCAGCTGGGGTGGTGTCCATGTTTTCCAATTGACAGAATTCGTGATTGAAGCTTAGTTGTTTGTCAGAGAATGAATTATTCTCGACAAGTAACGAGTCTCTTTGAATGATTCCAACACGCGCCCAAAACAATTTGCAACGATGACGACTTAACTCTAAGTAGAGTCTTTTAGAAGATGATTTGTCATGTTTGGAAACACTGTACATGCCCATCTTGATGGTGGCCAAAAACCCGAGCAAATCACAAACAGTACGCGCACGAGTAGCACAATAATTGCAAATTGGATATTCAAAATTTGATTGTTCCGCCACTGGACCAATATAGAACATCCTAGATAAACGCGGGCTGGTATTGTTGGATTTGGATTTGGAAGAGGTCTTGAGCATGTATAATCTAGCATGTTCGTGGGTATGATCACGATCCTCGCCACACATGGCGCATGGTTTTTTGGATAGAAGTATCCCTTGATGATCACTCATCCCTTTGAATTTCGCCATTCTGACATTTTTATTTTCCGGATAAGAAAATGGTTCAATGGAAATTGATTGATTGTAAAAAGCATGGTATAGGGTTTTCTTTTGAAAAAAAGTGAGATGAGGGGAGGTTTCTAAATTCAAAGTTGGGTCAATATCTTCAATTACCATCCTTTTGAAGAAATAAGTGTCTTTGAAGTCAGGTTGGGATCTAGTTTGGAGCAAAAGCTGATTGGCAAACATGTATTCAATGAAAGATTGGTAGAACTTCGAATCAAACCTGATGGCTTGAATAGCTGGAGAGTACAAAATATTGGATAAGTATTTCTTGTTCTGGTAATTCGAAGTGTGATGCCATTTATCATTCACTTCTTCTGGATCATCTTCCTCAACCTCATCGGCTGGTGAACGAGCGAAATTCAATTGCATTGTAGCATAATTGGCTTTTGCAATTTGGTTTTCCTGTTCGAGATCAACAACGGCATTCTTCAAAGACTGAAGTTGATGCTCATACATTTTTATGATGTCTTTTTGCTCATTGGCCTCATTTTTAAGGAACTTATTGACTTCGTGCAACTTGTGTGACTTTTTGCGTTCGATGCTCACCATTCTGTTAGCTTCATTGAAAAGTTCGGAAGAGAGCTCCTCGGTTTCTTTTCTTAGCATCTTGAGTTCGTTTTTTGCAAGCGATTCACTTTTTATAAGGGAGTCATATTCTTTGTTGATATCATTGTAATCAAGGACCAAATCTTCGTAGTTTTCCTTGTAAACAACAAGTTCGGTGGCCTTTTGTATTTGCGATTGGAGCTCTTCTTTAAGGGTCGAAATTTCTTGTATAAGCACATCGTTAGCCAAATGTGTTTCTACAGGGACAATCTCCGCCATGGTAATGGATATATTTATCTTGCTGAGTAACGAAAATGTGTGTTGAATTGGTGGTGAGAAAAAAAATAATGATGATAAATTAAAATAATGATAATAAATTAAAACAAAGATATTATAACTCAGGGATACTGGATGTTTTATATAGATATTATAATCATCGTCAAGTAGGATAGCTGGTCCCTTACACAAGATATGCAAGAGACATTTGTATATGAAGACCTCAGGGACTGGGGAGCTAGGAGTAGTTTATGCTGCATGGTGGAGGTTTCAAGATTTCAGAGCGCACCGCTCGGCATAATGTGTGATCACCAAGCCCCTATCACCGTGTGAGTTTCAAGTTAGATATACGAAACTTGAAGGAAATTTGAACACACACACACACATGGAATGAATTGAGCTGATGATATATTTATTTCGACGCGTGCTACTACTATTACCACTACTAGCAGAATATTTTATTTGGAGTAACACAATCATTCTTTATATGATGGTGATTGTAACGAGGAAAAACAAAAAGATAGTACTTCTATACAAGAGTTTTACACTAAATAGGATTTTGGAATGGTGACCAAAGAGTGAATGAGATGTTTCTTTACATCAGATCATGACGATGGGAATGGATATATGTGGTTTCAAAAGGGGTAAAAATGTTGGTTAGAAATTGGAACTTTAGCGTAATGTCTGTCTATTAAACGAGTGTATCCATTAATGAAACTCGACACTACCAGCCCTTGTTCTCCCCTCTCCTATTATTATTATAATATGAAACCTTCCTTCGTAATTGGTGTTCCAGAATCCACCCCAACGTAGGCAATAGGAAATACAGATACGCAAACTATAGGCTAAAACAAGTGGGACGCGGCAACACCGTATAGGTGATCACGCTTCCGCGACGGAGTTCTTTACAGATACTTTCTATTGTCATATACAGAACAGCCCTTTTTTTAATTGTTTGGGTGCGGTCTACATTGCCACTACTCACAATTGCAACAGTTCACAGGACGTCCGCACGGCTGTTCAACAAGTTCTTAAAGATTACAAAGACATCTGCTATATGTTATAATAGCCACTTCATTACCCGTCTGGCAGAGGCGGCCGGAAGGAAACTGTTATTTATTATGGCGATGGGAAATCTGTATCAGTATGGCAGGGTAACCGATACATCAAGTGCTCTTATTTTTTTCTTCTGAATCTGTTTTGTGATGTTCTGGCCTCCCCCAAATCAAAAAAAAAAGTGTCAGAACAAACAAACAACAAAGGATTCTTTTTTTTTTGCCAGAAAAAAAAATAAAAAATAAATAACAGCAATAACAATACTAAAAGTTGAAATTTACTCTGTTTATAAGAAGACCCAAAGGTCCATGGAAGATTAATAAGGGTTTCTAAGCACGCTAAAATACCATGTCCTCCTCTTCCACATCCCATCTTCCGTCGCCAGACTCGTCGTCAGTAGACTCGTTCTTCCAAACCCTTAACAACTCAGATGACTCGTCACTGGCTTCCTCAACAGCATCATTGGGTAAGCTAGACAAACAACCATCAAATCAACACCAGCAGCTGCTCTTGCTACCCCCTAATCAACAACAACCCTTCTCGATGCAGCCGCCCGGTCATCTGCAATCATCTATCACAAAACACAATCGAAAAAGATCAAACTCGAAATCTCGACGCCAACTAAACACATTGCCCCCATCGTCTCCCTCTTCATTTCAGAATAATACTACCGCCACTACTGCGAAATCTGCAAAAATCGATCGCTCACAGCTACAATACACTGTTGTACTAACATCACTCAATGGAACGTTTGAAAAAAAATCCTTGGTCATTCCATACCACCCAGATGTCCTCAAACTCGGTAGGCCGGCTGGTACCAAAATCCAGCCAACATCAACTAATGGTTATTTTGATTCAAGAGTGTTATCGCGAAATCATGCCCAGTTATTTGCTGATATAAATACCGGAAAAATATACCTTAAAGATTTGGGCTCTTCTAATGGTACCTTTGTCAATGACGAAAAAATCGCCTCTGATAAGGATGCTCAACCAACAGAAATTAAGAAAGGAGATGTGATAGATTTGGGGTTTGATATTGAAAGTCATCAAAATCACCGGAAAATAAGTGCCAAAGTAGAAAACATTCTCATTCGTGCCCTTACCAGTAGTTCGATGGTAGCGAACATCGTGAATAATGATGATAATTCTAATGACGCTAGCAGTATTCATTTATTTGAAATCGAAGATGATGTCAAAAATTCAATATTAAGTAACTCTTTTGATTGCGCGTTATTTGGTGACATTTTGCCGGGTTTTGAGGATAATTTGCTCAACATCAAAAACGATTCGATGACTGGGTTGTCAATTAATTCAAATCTAACAACATCTTCCAATTTGGACTTCCAAATCAAAACATTGATCAACGAAATTTATTTGATGAAAAATTCGATCCTCAAGTCTAAAACAATTGAGGTATTCCTTAAAAAATACATCAAAAATTTGAAAAAAATCGAGATTGAGAAAAATGAAGCGAATAGGAACAAAGTGAAGGATTACGAACAACAATTGGTGAAAACTTATGAGAAGGATTTCACTGAGAAAAAAATGGAATTTGATAAGAAGTTTTTTAAATTAAGTGAAATCAATAAATCGATCAAATCTGAAAACGAAAAACTTGTTCTGGTGATCACCGAGCTTAATGAAAAGGCCTCCAATTTTGAAAAATTTTTGAAGGAAGAAAAGGCTAAGGTTGTTGAAATAACCGCGGAAAATGATAGTTTCAAAAATCAAATTGAAACACAGTCTCATGAGCTCAATGATTATAAAATAAGAATTACTGATCTTGAAGCAAAATTACAAGAACATAACAAGAAATCATATAGAGAAAAGAGCATTCGAACAGACCCAATAAAGAGATACCCTAAACATAGTAACACAGGAAGTTTGAATGATAATGACAGTGACTCCTCTACGCTTAATGATGATGATATCAATTTGCAGAGATTGTCAAAAGTGCTTAACGCTCGCAATGGGGCTGATAATTACCCATCCAACCTCAAAAATACAATTGCCACTGGGGAGGGATCTGATAAAGAGGTAGATGGTGATGCTAAAGAAACATTACAGATTGAGGAAACCAAGACAAACATTCCTTCTAGTAGCAGTGATGAGGATTTAAACGAGAATATGAGAGATGATAGAAGCAACATTATTACGGATGATTCGATTTCTGAAACAAGTGAACCTGAGGAACTTCAACATTATGACGAAAACGATGAAAGCCCTTTCCCATCGCCCAGGGCGGCAACTAATGATTATGTGTCAATTGGCGATCGATTAATGGGGAGTGGCAACGCAGTTGAACCCCATGAAATTGACGGTCGCACTGCTGATGATAAGGGCGTTGTATCACAAATAGATACCAATAACAATATTACAAAGTATGATGATCATGAACAAAATCGCCTTGCTGAGAACTTTGAGAAATTGAGATCTGAAAACGATGAAATTAAAGGCTTGCTTCAATCCAAGGACGAAAAGATCCAATTCCTTAAAGCTCAGCTCGCGGAAATGACAATGAATGAATCATCTAAGCTCCAAAGAAAACAGCTACAATCACGTCAAGAGCACCCCGTATCTCTGTGGGTCCTCGACCGTCGTGATGAACCTTTAATGCTTTCACGGTCCGCATCAAATATTTCTATCAATTCGGCATGCTCCTCATCGGCTACAGGGGTGAGCCTTGCCCCATCACAATCACCATTGTTTGGAATATTTGGGCCCCTGTTCCCACTCCGATCACGTAATGGGTTGGCACTGGGTAGTGCGGGATCTGCTATTGATCTTGAAGATTCTTTGATGGACATTGATGTAGAAGATGATCAGCATCTTCGTCAGTCGATGAACCACTCTCCTAGCGTGAGTAGTTTGAGCACAGGGAGTGCCAAATTGCTTAAGACTGAGACTGCCAAGCAAAGTATTGTCACGGCAGTGGGGATTGTATTTATAGGATTGATGGTATCGAGGTTTTCCAGCGGAGCTGTTTAACCTAGGCTTGTTATTTGTAATTTCTTAGCTTCCTACGGATATGTTCGTTAGCGATACTTTTTATTTTTATTTTTTGTACAATAACGATAATAATCTAGATATACTTTTATGGATAGAGCCTTTTTTATTAAATTTTCTTTACTATTAACTTGACGAGGTTGCAGTGCATTGTAGAGATAGGAAAGTTAGTCATTATATGACCTTGACTCACTGCGTCTTTTGCCCAAGAAAATGAGTCAAACAAACGGACAAAAAAAAAAAAGAGTGCATAAATTATGGCGAAACTCTGTACCCATAGCAAACATCGAGGGTACACGGCTGGACATAGAGCAACACCACACTGTTGTCTGTAGCACCCGACGGGATTTAATGTCACATAATCACGAATAAACCCATAGATATATTTGATAATTGTCGTGAAATGGCACTTAAAACTACGGGAATTGCACAAACAGTCGTCAAAGTTCATGTTAACCACTGCATGACATAAGAACGCACCTCTATTACTTGGGACAACCAGGGGGGTCCCCGGCCGAGAAAATTTTTTTTTTTTTCATTTATACAAAATAAAAATTTTTCGACCTCATCTCTTCGCTTCAACCCTTTTTCTTTTCTTTTTCTTTCTCTCTCTCTCTCTCTCTCCAAAAAAAAACCTTCCACCCAACGACTCCTATAACCGCTGGAAGAGAGGATCAGAGCAAAAGAGAATCTTCAATTTATTTCTTTATATTTAGACACCATGCCAGTAGCCAATCCAGTTTGTTCACCTTTGAAGGAATCTGACCCTCTTATGGTTCTTCAATTAAGGGATGACCAAGGTCTCACCGTCTCTGGTTACTCATTCGGGGCCCAAAAGTCCATGAGCGGTGAGTTGGTCTTCCAGACAGGGATGGTGGGTTATGTTGAATCTCTCACTGACCCTTCCTATGAAGGTCAGATCTTAGTTATTACCTACCCAATCGTTGGTAACTACGGTGTTCCAGATGAATCTGTCATGGACGAATTGTTACAAGATATTCCAAAATACTTCGAGTCTAGCCGTGTTCACATCTCCGGTTTGGTTGTTGCCAGTTACACCGAACAATTCTCCCACTACTTGGCCAAATCTTCCCTCGGTGCTTGGTTGCAAAGACAAGGTGTTCCTGCTATCTACGGTGTTGACACCAGACAATTGACTAAGCATCTTAGAGACAAGGGTTCTACTTTGGGTAGACTTTGTTTACAAAACGACATTTCTCAAAAATTCAGCTTGAAGTCCTCCTTCTTCAATGAATGGGAAACCAAGTTCACTGTCCCTGAATGGGTCGACCCAAATTTGAAGAATTTGGTCGCCAAAGTTTCTCTTAAGGAACCAAAACTTTATAAACCAGCCCCAGAAACCGCCATCAAGAAGGCCAACGGTAAAACCGTCAGAATTCTTGCTATTGATGTTGGGATGAAATATAACCAAATCAGATGTTTTGTCACCAGAGGTGTTGAATTGATGATTGTTCCATGGGATTATGACTTCCTTAAAGAAGAATACGACGGTCTTTTCATCTCTAACGGTCCAGGTGATCCATCTATCTTGACTAATGTTGTTGATAACTTGCGTACTGCTTTGGAACAAGCTAAAACCCCAATTTTCGGTATCTGTCTTGGTCATCAATTGATTGCTAGAGCTGCCGGTGCCTCCACCATCAAATTGAAATTCGGTAACAGAGGTCAAAACATTCCAGCTACTTCTACCATTTCTGGAAGATGTTACATTACCTCCCAAAACCACGGTTATGCTGTTGATGCTAACACTTTACAAAACAACTGGAAGGAATTGTTTGTTAACGCTAACGATGGTTCTAACGAAGGTATTTACAACACTGACTTGCCATTCTTCTCGGTTCAATTCCACCCTGAATCTACCCCAGGTCCAAAAGATACTGAATTCCTTTTTGACACTTTTATTCAATCTGTCGTTAAGTTCCAAGAAACTAAGAAATTGGAACCAGTTCAATTCCCAGGTGGTTTGATTGCTGATAACAGAGCTGCTCACCCAGCTGTCAAGGTCAAAAAGGTCTTGGTCTTGGGTTCCGGTGGTTTGTCCATTGGTCAAGCTGGTGAATTCGATTACTCTGGTTCTCAAGCTATCAAGGCTTTGAAGGAAGAAGGTATCTACACCGTCTTGATTAACCCTAATATTGCTACCATTCAAACTTCCCAAGGCTTGGCCGACAAGGTCTACTTCTTGCCAGTCAATGCTGAATTTGTTAGAAAGGTTATCAAGTTGGAACAACCTGACGGTATCTACTGTACCTTCGGTGGTCAAACAGCTCTTTCTGTCGGTATTGAATTGAAGGATGAATTCGAATCTTTGGGAGTTAAGGTTCTTGGTACTCAAATTGAAACTGTTATCACCACTGAAGACAGAGAATTGTTTGCCAACGCCATGGAAGAAATTGGAGAAAAATGTGCCAAGTCTCACGCCACTTCTAACATTCCAGATTCTATTGTCGCTGCTCAAGACATTGGTTTCCCAGTCATTGTTCGTGCTGCATTCGCCCTTGGTGGCTTAGGTTCTGGTTTTGCTGAAAACGAAGAACAATTGGTTGAATTGTGTAACAAGGCCTTTGCTACTTCCCCACAAGTTCTTATTGAACGTTCCATGAAGGGCTGGAAGGAAATTGAATATGAAGTTGTTAGAGATGCTTTCGATAACTGTATTACCGTCTGTAATATGGAAAACTTTGATCCTTTGGGTATTCACACTGGTGATTCTATTGTTGTTGCCCCATCCCAAACTTTGAGTGACGATGACTACAACATGTTGAGAACTACCGCTACCAATGTTATCAGACACTTGGGTGTTGTTGGTGAATGTAACATTCAATATGCTTTGAACCCATTCTCCAAGGAATACTGTATCATTGAAGTCAATGCCAGATTGTCCAGATCTTCTGCCTTAGCCTCTAAGGCCACTGGTTACCCATTGGCTTATACTGCTGCTAAGTTGGGTTTGAATATCCCATTGAATGAAGTTACCAATGAAGTCACCAAATCTACCTGTTCTTGTTTCGAACCATCATTGGATTACATTGTTACCAAGATTCCAAGATGGGATTTGAAGAAGTTTACCAGAGTTTCTACTGCTTTGTCTTCCTCCATGAAGTCTGTTGGTGAAGTTATGGCTATTGGTAGAACTTTTGAAGAATGTATTCAAAAGGCTATCAGAGAAACCGATTACCAAAACTTGGGTTTCAACGCTACTAATGCTTTGATGTCTATCGACAATGAATTGCAAACTCCAAGTGACCAAAGATTGTTTGCTGTTGCTAATGCTTTGTCTACTGGTTACTCTGTTGACAAGATTTGGGAAATGACCAAGATTGACAAGTGGTTCTTGAACAAGTTGGCTAAATTGATCCAAGTTGGTGAAGAAATTTCTGCCTACAGTGGTAAGGATTTCCCAGTTGAATTGTTGTTGAATGCTAAACAATTAGGTTTCGACGATAGACAAATCGCCAAATTCTTGAACTCTAGTGAAAACGCTATCAGAGATGTTAGAGTTGAAAACGGTATTTTCCCAGCTATCAAGCAAATTGATACCGTTGCTGCTGAATTCCCATCCAGTACTAACTACTTGTACTTGACTTACAATGCTAGCGCCCATGATGCTGACTTTGAAGGTACTAACTCTGGTTCCATTATTGTTTTGGGTTCTGGTGTTTACAGAATTGGTTCTTCTGTTGAATTTGATTATTGTTCTGTTACTACTGTCAGAACCTTGCGTAAACAAGGTATGAAGACTATCATCATCAACTACAACCCAGAAACCGTCTCTACCGATTTTGATGAATCTGACTCTTTGTTCTTTGAAAACATCAACAACGAAACTGTTTTGGATATCTACCACTTGACCAACTCTGGTGGTGTTGTTGTCTCTATGGGTGGTCAAACTTCTAACAATATTGCTTTGAACTTGTACAGACAAAATGTCAAGGTCCTCGGTACTTCTCCAGAAATGATTGATGGTGCTGAAAATAGATACAAGTTCTCCAGAATGTTGGACTCCATTGGTATTGATCAACCAGCTTGGAAGGAATTGACCTCTATTGATGAAGCTCAAGATTTTGCCAAGAAGGTTTCTTACCCAGTTTTAGTTAGACCTTCTTATGTGTTGTCTGGTGCTGCCATGAACGTTTGTTACAGTGACGAAGATTTGAAGAAGTACCTTAACGAAGCCGTTGCTGTTTCCAGAGACTATCCTGTTGTTATCACCAAGTTTATTCAAGACTCTAAGGAAATTGAAATGGATGCCGTTTCCAGAGATGGTAAATTGGTTATGCACGTTGTTTCTGAACACGTTGAAAACGCTGGTGTTCACTCTGGTGATGCTACTTTGGTTGTTCCACCACAAGACTTGTCTAAGCACACTGTTTCCAAGATTGTCTATGCTACTGCTAAGATTGCTGAAGCTTTGAACATCACTGGTCCATTGAACATTCAATTTATTGCTAAGGATGAGGACATCAAGGTTATTGAATGTAACGTTAGAGCTTCCAGATCTTTCCCATTTGTTTCCAAGATTGTTGGTACTGATTTGATTGAATTGGCCACCAAGGCTATTGTTGGTATCCCATTCAAGGCTTATCCAAACAAGAAACTTCCAGAACAATACGTTGGTGTGAAGGTTCCTCAATTCTCTTTTGCCAGATTGTTGGGTGCTGATCCTGTTTTGGGTGTTGAAATGGCCTCTACTGGTGAAGTTGCTGCCATTGGTAAGGACAAGTACGATGCTTACTTGAAGGCTTACATGGCTAGTGGTTTGGCTCTTCCAAAGAAGAACATTTTGCTTTCTATTGGTTCTTACAAGGAAAAACAAGAATTGCTTCCTGCTATCAAGACTATTGTCAAGATGGGTTACAACTTGTACGGTACTAGTGGTACCTTCAACTTTTACCAAGAACATGGTGTTCCAATTCAATTCTTGGAAGTTATGGACAAGGAAGATGAAAGTGACCACAGTTTGAACAACTACTTGGCCAACAACTTGATTGATTTGTACATTAACGTTCCATCTAACAACAAGGTTAGAAGACCAGCCACTTATGTTTCTAAGGGTTATGTTTCTAGAAGAATGGCTATTGATTATTCTATTCCATTGGTCACCAACAACAAGGTTGCTAAGATGTTGATTAATGCTATTGCTAAGTATCCAAACGATTTGCCAGTTGGTGAAATCGATACTTTGAGATCTTTCCCAGAAATCTCTACTGCTGCCGATGATGAGTGGGAACAAGACGTCAGCACCTCTCCAGCTGCTAGAAGATTCTCTTTCAACAAACCTGCTCCTATCGCTAGTAAGGATATGTTTGAACAATCTTTTGAAAAGGTTGAACAAGCTATTGATGAATCTGACCTTGTTTCTCAACCATTGCCAAAGGAAATCAAGATTGCTGGTCCATTGGAACAATATATCAGAGACAGCAACCCATTCTTGAAGAAATCAGTTGCCTCTGTCAAGCAATTCAGCCGTTCTGACTTGCACACTTTGTTCACTGTTGCTGCTGAAATGAGATTGGCTGTTCAAAGAGAAGGCTCTATTGACTTGTTGAAGGGTCGTCTTTTGACCACCATGTTCTACGAACCATCCACTAGAACTTCCACCTCATTCAATGCTGCTATGCAAAGACTCGGTGGTAGAGTTGTTGAAGTCAAGGCTGGTTCTTCTTCTGTTAAGAAGGGTGAATCTTTGAAGGATACTATTATGACTTTGAGCTCTTACTCTGATGCTATTGTTTTGAGACACCCAGAAGCTTCATCTATTAACACTGCTACCAAGTTCTCTCAAGTTCCTGTTATCAATGCCGGTAATGGTTCTGAAGAACACCCAACCCAAGCTTTCTTGGACTTGTTCACCATTCGTGAAGAATTGGGTAGTGTTAATGGTATCACTGTTACTTTTGTTGGTGATTTGAAGTATGGTAGAACTGTTCATTCTTTGGTTGCCTTGTTGAAGCACTACCAAGTAAAGATCAATTTGGTTTGTCCAGATGAATTGCAATTGCCAGAAGACATTAGATCCAGTATCATTACCAGAAACCAATTGGGTAGCGAATCTGAAAAATTGACCAAGGAAATCATTGCTGATTCTGACGTTTTGTACGTTACTAGAGTTCAACAAGAAAGATTCACCTCCCAAGAAGAATATGAACGTCTTAAGAACAGTTATGTTGTTGACAACAAGGTCTTGAGTCATGCTAAGCAACATATGTGTGTGATGCACCCATTGCCACGCGTTAATGAGATTAAGGAAGAAGTTGACTTTGACCACAGAGCTGCTTACTTTAGACAAATGAGATATGGCTTGTTCGTTCGTATGGCTTTGTTGGCTCTTGTTATTGGTGTTGACTACTGGTAATTGGATAGACTAGTTTGCTAAATTAATTGTGCCCCTTTTCATACAGTTAATTTGTTTTCTCTTCATTTGTCTTTTTTCCTAGATCACTCAAACTTTTTTTTTTTTTTTGATTTACATTTTGTTTACATCGTTTGATTTTGTCTTTACTTAAATTTTTGTTTTATATATATAAATAGTATTTACGATAGTATCAATACTTGATTAATGATTTTATTGTTTGATTTGGTAATGTTTTTTTATGGTTTTTGGAGGATAAGTTATTTGATTTTTTTTAATGGTTAATGTTATTTTATGGTTGGGTTTATTTTGCGTGTACAGCGTGTGTAATGTGTTTAGTGTGTGTATTTTATGCGTTGCCCGGACGTTTGGGGGGATTTTTGTACCATTTGTTCAAAACGGGTCTGATACAGAAATTTGAAGATCAAACATCCACTGATTTCACCTTTTTTGGAGTGGAATAACACACCGAGAGAGAAATACCCCCCGATTCACCATCATGTCAAAAGATGACTCTGGAGATCTCAAGAAGTCCAATGACTCGCTTGAAAAACAACTATCCAAAGCGAAAAAAGAGCTTGACAGATACCGTTCTGAAGCTGAGAAATTGAGCGTCAAGTATACTGCTCTTACCAATGATTTCAACGAGATGTCACAGAAATATACCACTTCCCAACGTCTTAGAGTTACCACAGAAACAGAAGTCTCGGGGCTCAGGAAAGAAATCGATGATTTATCCTCCGCTTTATTTTCTCAGGCCAATGATATGGTGAGTACGGCCAGAAGAAGTGAGAATGATTATAAGGTCAAGAACAAACAGCTACAAAACAAGATTGAGGAAAAAGATCTCATGATCGAAACTTATCAACAACAGCTAGAGCAACTAAAAGAAATTTTAGCAAGCTTAGAAGACAAAAAGCCTAGTTCTAGCTCGACGACGGTAAATGAAAAAGACAGCACCACGGTATCAGATGATACCACAGATAACGGAAACTCTAATGAAGAAAGAAAAGCTGATGAAAAATCAACTCTTTCAAATTTATTATACACTCCTCCAGTTCAATGCTTACGCTATGATTTAGAATTGTTTGGTAATTTCGTGAATTTTGCTAAAAACCGGATCTCTAAACCTGGCGAGGATGATTCAGGACACTCAGCAGATTTTAAAGATACAAGGTTCTATAAAAGAATCCTTCATGATGATATTCAACCGACCTTGAAATTGGATATTGCACCAGGAGTTTCATTCTTACAAAAGCGTTCGCTTATGAGTGCTATTGTTAATGGGAGAGTAACAATTGAACCAATCGCCTCAGTCAATGAATCGTTCAAGAGGAACTCGGCAATAATATCCAACGCATCTTCAAAACCAGTGGCCACTCCAGATCCATGCTCGATATGTGGTGAATCCCGAAACGACTCTTTGCAGCACGCCAGACTTTATATGTTGAAGATTTATTCTTCTAAGAATCAAAAGGCCAAGGGCAAGAATGGAAACGGTTCTTTGAGCTCCAATCCTAGCAGTACTAACATCAGTGATCTTAATGACTCAACTTCATCTTTATCGATTAACGAGAACACTAGTGCAGAGTTCACTTACACTTTCCCACTTTGTGCTTATTGTGTTTTCCGCATCAGAAGCACATGTGAGCTTTACGCATTTTTAAGACTGGTACAAGCTGGAGTTTGGAAGTTTGATACAGAAGTAAATCAAAAGAAAGCTTGGATTGAATGTACCAGAATCCGGCTCAAGATGTTTTGGAGTAGATTGGGGATTTGGGATACCGATGCCAAGATTGTTGATAACAAGATTTTCAGTGCTGAGCAGGTAATTGGAGACTATAGTCTGGCGTCCATCTCTCAACATGGCTCTTCTGGTTTTGCATTTCAAGAAAAAAAGACGAGTACTGAGATCAAAAGACAAAGTTATGCTAGTACCATTGGCTCTTATGTCGAGAAGTTTACAAGCTCGGTTTCCCCTGTTTCTACTCCACAAAAAGAGGTTGTTCCTAGCTTATCACCTATTATTATGGAAGACGCCCTGGTAAAGACTGACTCCAATGTTTTGGATGTTGTGGAAGAAACAAAAGAGGGTGATGGTGAGGTGCAAGGTGAAGAAGCATCAGAAGTGGTTCAGGCTAAAAACGATGTTGAGGCTGAGGAAGCCGTTAATGAGTAATTATGGGCTTCTATATTTAAGCATTGACCAATTATTGTTAATGTTGAATTCATTGATTTATTGATTTTTATTTTTTTGAAAGTTTACAAGAAATGTACCATTATGACCTTATATATTATTTGTTTTTTTTTTGTTATTTATTTTATTTCAGAATATCGTTCTATTTCATTTCTTATTTTATATCTGTATGAAGTAAATTGTTGAAATACTTTTGTAAAGAGGAAGTCTTTGGACCATGAGTTGCAAGTACATTCGGTATATAATTCTAATACATGGCTGGCATATCCAAACTTGGTGGTAGGACATTATAATTCATGGTTAGAATCGCGTCCTTTTAGAGAGAATCATAATGTAACAGGATATAATTATAGACCATCTCATGTAACTTAATAAAAGTATTTTTGCCATTGACACGGCATCCATGATGGTTTCGGGGACCCCTAAGGTATCGATGAACCCAACCCGTGGATCTTTCACGGGGGGATCACTGGTTTATCTTCTGAACACCTGGGATGAGGTCTTGACCATATACATACAATAGGGGTAACTTAAAACATATTTGAACACATTATTGTTTCTAATGGCCTGTCTGGTCTAATTATTGCCACAAGTGAAGAAGCCTCCTCCGACCATTTTTATATTGCGAAGACCAAAGTACTTCCCGGGTTTTGACACTCCTTCATAATAACGGTTTTTTTTTTTTTGTTGTTATTATTTTTTGGTCTTGTGGGAGAATATTTTGTGAAATGAGCTGGATTTTAATGAAAGATGACATACGACATTTTGTTGATTCCATATTATCATAGGGTGTTCTTTGGTCGTACGCTAAATTGTGCAATCTCCGAGAATCTGCCGAATCAGGAAATATCCCGCCTCCGAAGCTAAGTACTTTGTTGATCCCAAATATATAAATGCACCCACCCCCGCCCACCATTTACAAAAGAAAACCTTCGATAATATATTTCTTACCCTATATCGAATAATACTGATATCGAATAATACTGTATCGGTTCTCGGTTGTATCACAGCATAGTCATTCTCAGAATCCGGGCAGATCTAACTTTTCACTTAGCCTGAAACAAAAAAAAAAAACGGAAACTCCAGAAATAACTTCCCGAGGCTTAAATACAAAACCCCAATGAAATTGAAAATATTGGTCATTGGTGGATCTTATGCTGGTATTGGAGCAATTAAGACTTTGCTCAAGCTCACGAGCACTACCCAGGCTACTTCTCTGAATAATGGCGTTTCAAAAATTCCGCCGGTTGGTGACCACAAGTTTGAGATCACCATGATCGAACCAAAAGCCGGTTTCATAAACATTATGTCCATTCCAAAAATGGTGGTTGATAAGGATTTCTCATCTAACACATTTGTGGATATCAAGAATTTTGGGATTGCTTGGGACGAGGTATTATTATCGGATAATTCTGGTTTCCAGGTTTTGGATACTTCGAAGAAATTTCACACCGGCCTTGAGGGAGAAACTATTATCAAGAACCCAAATGTCAAAGTGAAATTTATCCAAGGCTATGTCACCAACCTACAGTCTAACAGTGTGAGCTACTCGAGAAATAAGCTCATCAAGAAGGATACCCCACAAGAGTTCATTACTCCAGTAGACGGCCCGAAGCTCGCCGCTTTCGATTTCGATTATTGTATTCTTGCCAGTGGTCGTGGTAGAGCTTGGCCATTAGACCCGGTTGCTTCAAATAGGGAAGAACTCACTGTCGAGATGGATCAATTCAGTACCAAGATCACCAATGCCGATGATATTACTGTCGTTGGTGGTGGTGCTGTGGGTGTTGAAGTTGCCGGCGAAATTAAAGCCTCTCATCCGTCCAAAAACGTTACTTTGATTCATCCTCATCCAAATGTCCCTCCTGAACCAACGCTTTCTAACTCCTATAAGAGCTCTTTAATGGAAAAAATTAAGGAAGTGGGGATTAATTTGAGGTTGAACACCCGTATCAGGGACGAAGTTATCAAGAATAATAAGACAATATTGACCACTACTAATGGTGACGAGATCACCACAGATTTAAACATATGGTGTAACTATCACAAGAATAATATCAAGTATTTGGAAAATGATTTGTTCAAGGACTCTCTTAACCAAGATGAAATCACAGTTTCTGACTTTCTCCAAGTCAAAACCCCTAATCAAACATTTGAACATATCTTTGCTGCTGGCGACCTACCTAAGCTTGGGATCATTAAGAAAGCTGGTGGGGCAATGCGTTTGGCATCAATATCGGCTGCCAACTTATTAGCCATTGCTTATGGTGTTGAACCACTGAAAGTTCCTCTTAAAAATTGGCCAAATAAGATGGCCATTACTATTGGTTCTAAACATCTGGTACAGTCTTTGGGGAATCAAGTTATCATTGACAACCCGAAGGTACTTAAGAATGTGGAGGATTATAAGAACACAAAGTGTGCTTCTAATTTGGGGTTTGAAACTGACCAATTTTCTAATAAGTAAACATAGGTTTTCATTTTTATAGGTAGAGTACAAATGTATTTTGATTATTATTATGATATGGGAATTATTATGATTTTTATTTTAAATTTGTATTTTTTTTTTTTTTTTTTTTTACATTGCATCGATGATGTGATCACAGGAAAGCATTATAACAGATAACGAAACGGTCAGGTCGGAAGCATTGTTGTACTTTAATGATGAAACACCAAGACATAAAAGCCACAACTCTGGAGCTCATACAGAACTACAAACGCAATTGTTTTAAAGGAATTACATTACTTTTTTTAACCTCAGTGAGCCTCCAGGAGTGGTGCTACAAATTATTGATAACAAATCAAAGGATGATATCATAAGTCTTTTGTGCACCAGGACTGCTGGCGTTGCTGATAGTTTTTGTAAAGTTTGAAGGTGCTTGGGCAAAAAAAAAAAAAAATGATGTTTTTAAGATAATCATATTCTTCGGATGACTTCTGACCAATGGTATATCTATAGGTGATTGTAAAATAGCAGCAAGGAACATATTCAATTTAAAATCACACTCATGACATACCTTTCGCAGTGAGCATTAAATCGGACGCGGGCCAATCAGGATGTTATTAATTGGGTCTAGTGACATCAATCTTTTGGATATATGAAGTAATGCTATAGCGAGAGATAATATCAAATGAAATAATAATATTCTCTGTTCTGAAATCGAAGCAAGAAAGAAGACATTCAAAATTCAACACACGTCTTTGAGAAATTGAGACGATTGATTGATTGATTGATGGATCCAGCAACTGGTAACTTTTTTTCGTTTCCTTTTTTGGTATGTCCTCATAAAGGGGGTGTCAATCACCCGAAGAAACAGGGGCCTGTTGTCGAACGTCCTCTGTTTCGTTTGGATATGTTGCCTTAATTTCTTTCTGTTCGTAACTTATTAGTAGTTTTATTTTTCAATATACATTTAATTTAGTTTCTTTTGAACCGTAAGGTACCGGTAGGCTTTGATTTCTGATGGAGGACAGTTGGGCTGAGATTACAAATTCCATATAAGAGAATAATTCAGACAGATGATGAATTAATTCCTACTTCATGTTTGTGTTTTCTGAGGATTGTTTCATTTGCCTATTACCACCAGGCATAATTCTTGTTTCCTATATATATATATATATATAAATAGGGAGATTGGTAGCAGCATATCGATGCATACATATGCGACAGGAACATGTCAATCAAACAATCAATCCCATCGTACTTTATTTAGTTCAGGAACGGAATCCCTGTCGTCGTGAGTGATTTACCGCCCTGAATCTAATTTTAATTTTGAAATTCTTCTGGGATGACAATTGAGCGCGTATTGGCTACGATAATCTGAAAGGTGAAGAAAATCAGTTGGTCTCCCTGATGATACTCTATTGATGTCGGAAAGATAATAAAAAATGTTTGGATGAAAAATAAATAAATAAATAAATAAATAAATAAATAGTCTTGGTATTGGAAAAATCGTAAAATGTGGCGGCACAATGTTTGAAGCTTAATGAATGTAAGCTTAATGAATATAATATAAGGCAAAATAACTAGGAGATAAATGTAGTAGATGAGGTAATATCGTGAACTTTCTATTGGATTTCTATTGGTGATGAACTAAAGAGAAAAAGTGAATCTAATGATAAGGTTAATGGAGTTGTTTTTTTGGAGAATGTAATTTTTTCTATTGTAGAGAATGTCTCTCAATTCTGTATTGGTTGGGATTGGTACATCTTTATAATCATTGGATCATTTTCAAATACCGGAGAGTTGTCTAGCGCATCGTCTGAGTTGTTTTGGTGTCTGAATGGCGAGAACACGCTATCAACACTCAGGCCATCAGAAATGGATGATTCTGTAGATTTGTGAAGTTGATCGTTATAACTTAAGCAGAATGGATTATCGGAAACTTGACCTTGAGCATGTAAAAGGAGATGAAAAGTAGGATTGAACTCTGTAGCCGAGACTGGGTTATTGATGGAAGAAGCTCTTGTGTATTTTTTGACATTGAGCTTTGTATGAAGAGATGGTAATTTTTTGAGAACTGAAGATGTATTTGGTAATGTTTGGAAAGAATACGGGATAACATCTTCATTAGCAAAGACTGGAGAAACCGCTTCCATTGCTCTTCTGGATGAGGCCATTGACCTGGAACGATTTCTGCTAAGAATTTTCTTGGATGCCATTCTGATCTTTCTAAGCTTGTGACGATATGGGTGATTCTGGCTGTGAGTCCCGGGGCTAAACACATAGCTTCGTGGGTTGGATTTTGCGATAATTTCATTTGTAAAACGATTGAAGAGTCTCAAGAGCACAAAGCAAACGACTAACGAAAATGCAACGGAAGCCAAAATGATCACTATATTCATTGGTATTTCGGCGACTTCAGATTTTGGCTGTTGATCTGCTGGATATTCGCCGGTTGTTGAAGCAAAGAGATAGTCGAAAATACCAAGGCCTTTTTCCTCGACAGGTATAAATTTCCCTTCGTCATTATGAATAACGACAAGAGAGTCTAAACCAGTGTCGTAATAGAAGTGCTCTCTAATCACCACTGAGTCGGCTTCTGGAGAAAAAATTGTCATGACTGGATTGTTAACATGTAAACACAGCAACAGCAACAAAAAAGAAGGATCTTAATTTTGCAGCCACAGAAAGTCCTACTCCCTTCCATGTGTCTATATTTATATGAAAAACCGAAATTCACGAATAAGACATGTCTTAGGGTGTCTTGATTGGTGTTACCGTTTCCCAGCCATTAGCCACCGCGAAGGAAGGGGTGCAACACCTCTGGAAACCTCCGGACTAGGGTGTTGTCAGATAATAATTGGATGGCACATCATAAATCCGTCATGAACTTATTATTGGATATATATACGCTGTTTCCACGGAAGGAGTGGCTTTTGTATTGTTTCAATCATTTGTTTATTTTTTAAAGTTTCATGTTTGGCGTCGATCGCCAATATAATTGAAGATCGGTGTAATCCTGGTATGCTTAGAGAAATGCGCCCATGTCGTTGGTATATCGTGTGGAGATTTTTTGTTACTATTGCAGTGGCGATATATCAAATATGGGGGGGTAGATTTATATTATATATCAATATTGTGACCAAAGCAAATCAAATTTCATAGATATATATATATATAAGTCAAAATTATATATATTATCCACTGGTTACAAACTATGAACATCTTCAATTGCATCTGCCAGGGAGATGGTGGCCTTTTAGAGTACAGTGATAAAGCAGTGCTTCATCAGGGTATTCTTGAATCATTACTTTCTCGATACCAAGATACTTTGCCATCTCCTTTAATCTTTAGAGTAACTAATGTATCCAATGGGAAACATGGGTTCGTCGGGGTCAAAGAATTCACAGCTGAGCCCGGAAGTGTATTTTTGCCCCTGGTTGTTCAGGAAAAGATCAAGTTAGAAGGAACCAATGGTGAAGTTACGATTGAATTAGTGGAAACTGTACCCAAAGGTGAGTCCTTAACTCTCAAATCTATGAATCCTGCAATCACTGAAAACATTGTCAACTTGAAGTTTTTCCTCGAGGCGAACCTTTCCATTACCTACACCACATTGACCGAAGGTGACGTTCTCACTATCAAGAATTCCCTTAATGATGGCGAAGTTTTTGAGTTCTTAATCTCCAAAACGGTTCCTGCAAAGACTATTTGTGTTATTAATACTGATCTTGCGTTTGACTTAGAGCCTATAGATAATAATGATGCGCAAGAAATGATGGAATACAAGAAAAAGGTATTAGATAACGTTCAACGGAGAAAGAGGCTTCAGAATGATTCAACGGTGGATTTACAGCAAAATGTTTCAAAATTGAAGGTGAATAATATCAAATTAAATGGAAACGAGAATACATCAAAAACAATAGCTTTCAAAAATGATGAAATAAACAAAATCTATTTAGAGGATGCTGCGCTGCCATTTAATATAAATTTCTCAATCAAGTCTTCAGGTGCTGATGAAACTGATCTCAATAAATTCGACTCACTAATATCAAATGATCAATTCATAGCTAGTGATCAATTCATTTGGTCGACTATAAATACCCTGTACATGAATGAATCAAGAATGCTTACAATTAGGAGTGATGATATCCACTTAACAAACAAGGATTCCTTATTTTTTATCGGGAATTTGTGGGAAGAATCGGCATCGGTTTACGAAATCGAAATATCAACTGAAAAAATCGACTCAAAAATAAAGGAACAAGTTACAGGCACATTGATGACAGATGAGGTATTATGTCCTAATTGTGGGAAAAAATTGAAGAAACAGAATCTGTTCCTTCATGAAAACTTTTGTCTTCGAAATAATGTGAAATGTTCTAAAGGTTGCGGTCAAATCTTTCTCAAAAAAATTCCACACACCCACTGGCATTGTGAAAAGTGTCTGGTATTCGGTAATGAACTAACTTCCTTGACAAAACATGATAAGTTCAATCATCAGCCATTTCATGGCTTCAATTCTTTAGTTAATTATGCCAACTATAAAGCCACGATTTGGGAAAACAAGCTACACGAGTGCAAGTTTTGTCATTTGATAATCCCAAAGGGAAAGTCCGATCCTGAAGATTTAATATTGAATCTATCTCATCACGAAAATACTGTGTGTGGTTCTAAGACTACTGAATGTTATAAATGTGGGAAGATTGTCAAGTGCAAAGAATTGGAATCACATTTGCGGATTCACGATTTGAATAGGCTATCCAGAAATAAGAATTCTGATTACATCCAATGCTTGAACAGTAATTGTATCAATATTATAAAGAACCTTGACTTCACCAAAATCAAAGACAAGCTCGGGCTCTGTGATCAATGCTACAGTCATCTTTATTCAGCGGTGTACGATCCTGATTACAAGAAATTAATATCAAGAATTGAAAGGAGGTACATGATTCAATTGACTCGTGGATGCGGACACTCATATTGCAAAAACAAAAATTGTTTGAGTTCCGGTCTATATGTGAAAGTGTCAGTCAAGGACACATTCAATCACGTTAAGAATAGTTTAATGACAGTTGTTCCGAATTTGCAAGTAGGAGAGACTTTTCAAAAAAAGGCAGGAACCGAATATTCATTTTGCGTTAGCGAGCTGCTCACAAAGCGCAAATTATTGGTGGATCATTACTATCAGCATGAATCACTAGATAATGGCGCCCATGTTAAAGATAAATATCGATACCATTGGATATGCTTGGCGTTCACCGAACTTAGTGCGAATGAGCAAGATTTTGATAGAGTAGATCAATGGCTTAAGGACCATGCTGTTACAGTTGAAGAGGAATCGGGATAATTTCATGGCCAATAAGGCTTCCGGCCATGATTATTATTATTCAATATAAAATATATATTTCAAAAATGGCTATAGAATTTTTAAACTATAAAATATATAATATGTGGGATGTAATAATATGAGATATTTGCTGTTTCAATCGAAAGGATCAAGTACTAGGATTAGTACAGTTCAAAAAAAAAAAGGAAAAACTACAGCTGTAAGACGCTAAAAATAACCCTGGGTGGCAAGGTAAAAAAAAAAAAAAAAAAAAGCATGAGCTAAATGTCGGGTATTGATTGTTGTTGGGCATTCTTGTAGTGGGAGGAGGGGCGTTGGTGGTAATTTTCCCATTCTTGACTCTGAAGTTTTCGATTCTAACGGTGTTTCAGTTTCACGTTTTGAGGTTTGCCCACGAAATTTGACTTGAGCCTGCATTATTACCACCCGGCTGCGGATCAGCTCCAAAACATTATAAAAATGTCATGAATCTCCTGTCATATCCGCAGTTGGACCATGAAAGGTCCCATCTCACTAATATAGGATAATAGAATATTTCACAAAAAAAGAACAAAAAATTTGAATCATTAAAAATGGGTTACGGTGATTACGACAACAACAATAATAACAGTTATGGTAACAATGACTCTTATGGTAGAGGCAATTCCTATAACAGCAACAATAATAGCAGCTACGGTAATAACGACTCTTATGGCAATAATGACTCTTATGGAAGAAGCGATTCTTATAACAACAATAACAACAGCTCTTATGGTGGAGACAGCTACGGTCAGCAGCAGTCATATAGTAACCAACAACAAAATTCATCTTCTTCCTCCCATGGCTCTCACGGTATGTTGAAAGCCGGTTTGGCAGCTGCTGGAGGACTTGTTGCTGGTGCTTTCGCCATGCACGAATTCGATGATCACAAAAATAGCATTGATAATGCTGTCGATTCGGTTGGTGATTCCATTAATAATGTTGGAAACCACATCAGAAACAACTTCAATGACGCTACCGATGGTGTTAAGAATGATTTTGGTAACGCTACTAATGACGTTCAAAACTTTGGTAATGATGTTCAGCAAGGTTTCGATAATATGGGTGACAACATTCAAGATAACGTTGGTAACAGAGTCCAAAACTTTGGTAACAACGTCTCACAATGGGGCAATGATATGCAAAATAACTAGATACAGTTCATAACAATTACATTTATTAATTTTGATTATACAGTGCAAGGGGGTATCTTACCAATTCCCGAGTAAGGAAATTTTGTTGTAGAAGCACTAGCATTCAATCCATCTATTATAATTATTTGCTTATAACTCTTTTTGTGATTTCTTCAATAAAGCTTTGTAGGCTCACATCGTCGGTCAAAATCACAGACCCACCGCCTCCTTGTAAGTTCTGGTTATTATAAGAGTTCGAGGGATTTAATTTAGAATACAAGAATCTTGACTGAGAACCACCTTCATCACAATCAATATATCTTGGTAATGGGAACCTTTCGATCAAAATACTTGTGACTTCCTTTTTTGGCAACTGTAGGAAGTTCTTAAAATGTTCATATTCAGGTTGATCCTGATACCCATGATTCTTCCAGTTAGAAATGATTTCACCGTGATAAATTAATACCTCAAAGTAGCTATCTAACAACAAGATTCTGGTAGGTTTAATAGATACAGAGTCTAATAATACTGGCTCAATAATAGTCTCCTCTGGATTATTTGAGTCTTGCTCGTACGAAAGTAGAACTGGTTGGATGATAATCAATGAGTTGTTGACATCCTCGTGGTTCAAAGTGTGGTTATAATATGCTGATTCATCAGGTGAATAATTGAAAAGACGAAGCAAAAATGATCGGCGCAAATTATATACAAACTGTGGGAACATGCTGAAATTGCTATTGATTTCCAACTTATTCGCAGCACCACTATTGACAGTGGCAAATGTTTTCATGAGATTGACCAAGGCTGTATCAAGCTGCTCTCTAACTTTAGCTGGCTCTTGTACTTCTTTAAAGATTTTAAATGACACTTCACGAACCAAAGCTATAATTGCTGCTTCTTGATCAAAGGAATTAACAAACAATTCTTTGCTGGTATTAAAATTGTAGATTGGTCTAGAGATGGTGGTAACCCTTAGTCTAAAATTCCCGTCTGGATGTTGATAATAACATAAGAACTGGATAAAAGTGGATTCGTTACCTTGCTGTTGAGCATTATTCAAATTTTTATTCATTTCGAAGTAGATGGCATAAGTTGAATTTGTCAAAATTTTTGGTAGTTTCCAGGAGCTTGTTCCTCCTATTCCCACAACCTTATCACTCACATCATTACTTTCTGTCTTGTTCAATGAAACTGCGTGACCAATTAAGCCATTAATTTTCAAATTCTTTGAAGTCTTGACCTCCAACGACCCATTCAACCCATAGGTTGTATTATTATTATTATTTGATTCATGGTCCTCCTCATCATCATCAAAATTCAAAGTTTGGTTCTGCAAAAATTTAATAAACGAATTTTTGAAGATAGATGTTCCGAATGAGTCTGAGAAAATTATAGACCCTCCGGATTTATCACTAAGGGAAGCCATTTCAAACAAGCCAACTTGATCAAGTGATCCAATAAAGAAGTTTGTGATATAGCCATGCTTTGAAGCTCTTTTTGCCAAATCATCGTAAAATATTCTACTGGAAACCTGGTAATTTTTATTCCCGTTTTGGATATCCTTATGGGATCTCAAATGATCTTTCAATTGATCTGAAGTGATTTTCCCAAATTTCCCGTAATTGCATGGGCCTGATAAAAATGCTAAAATTTCCACCCCAGTTTTAGGGAAGCATAGTTCTAATAAATTGAAGGCAAAGGACAAGCACGACCCGGTGGACCTCAATTTTCTTTGTTTAGTAGAAGAATATTTGAATGAATCTTGTAGCAAATTATCCAAGATTAATTGAATTTGGAATTCACAATGTTGTAATGGCTGGAAAAATTTTGAGCCTATGTGTTGTTTATTTTCGCCTAATTTAGGTGATCTCAAATCACTAGATAATAATCCCAACTTATCTCTCACTTCACGAAGAGCATATAACTTCTCTCCGTTAAAACTGTGGCATGTTATACTGTTTGTATTGTTACTTGTCAACTCATAAATGTTGACATGTTTGCCAAAAGTCATTAAACAGATTAATGAATTTTCTGGTAAGATGCCCAAACTTGCCAAAATGGAATCCTTTAATGATGCCAAATTTTCATAGTCAGTGGCCAAGTCTATAATTATCAAATAAATTGGCGGGAATTTAACTAATTTTGGTAAACTGTATTCAACAGTGGTATTTTCCATAATCATTTTCAATTTTTCAGGGTCTTGGATTAATGATTCCGGCAACGGGTTTCTTGATAACGTTAAAGGGCAGGTCCATGTTCTTGAATTATAATCAACATGACAAAATGGGTTTAACACAGTTCCTGATGGTTTATTTGCCATCACTGGATTATCTTCGATTACCACCAACTCTTCCTTCTCTTTTAAAGGAGTGTATAAACATGACAACGGTACTGCCATATTCTGTGCATCAAGACTGGAGGTCGGAAAAGAATTCCAAGGTAATCTTACACCATCAACATCCTCAATTGATTCGAAGTCTATAATCGGTTGCAGCATTTTTTCTTTGTGCTCATATGCCTACTATTTCAAATTAATCAACAAAGAGGTACTTCTCAGAGGTGAGTTGGTGATTTTGTGGTTGGGAGTTTCACCAGCTTTTTTTTTTTTTTTTGTTTGGTGTCTTGTCTGTACGGGGCTTCTAATGCCATACCCATGGGTGTTGCAACATACATGTTTAAACAGCCATGCCATCCAAGAATGCACCAAATGCCATCACACTGGTTTGTGTCGTATGTTTTCGCATCTATCAAAAAAATTTTAGGCTATACTGAGAATAATAAATTGAGAAAACCCTTTTTCAAATATGCAAAGGTCATCCATACTCGCATAAGTCAGCACTAGAAGATGTGGCTTCTACATAAAAATCGATCAATATAATTGAAGCTATCATTTTCAGGAGGGAAAAAAAAAACATTCATTATTCCATGGAGGGTGTATATAAAAAAATACATATATGAAGAGACACCTATGTTTGAAAAAAATCAACGGGCAACTCAAATTCTTTGGTTTTCTTTATTGAAACAGGCAAGGGCAATCCAAAGGCCAAATAATTATCACCATCTTCACCAGCTGCCAATAATTTTCTTTGAGTAATATCATTATAATTTATTTTTGGTTTTCCCTTCCTTAGCCGCTTATTAATTGAATCGCTATTTTTTTCTTCCTCTTGTGAAATATTTATCTTTGTTTCATGAATTTCATCATATGGTTTATAATACATTCTTTTACCTTTAGTTGACTTAAAAAAGCTCTTGAATGACCTGCTAATAATTTTGCGTTCTTTCAATTCATCAACATAATTCAGCTCAAATAATGGGGCGTCAGTGTCAACGTAGGAACTTGGAATTACTATTTTTTGTTCGCCAAGAACATTTTTTCCGTGATGATATACATCATTATCATCAAAAGTTGTTTGAGTATCTGTTAATATAGGACTTGTTGATAATGACTTTTTCTTGTACTTGTTTGACTCTTCGGTATTGAAAAATTTTGCCCCAAATTTTGGATCGAACACAACTTTTGTATTGGCACTCGTATTGAAAATAAATTTCTTTGTGTTAGGAGATGTTGTAATATTAAAATCTCCTTGGCACTCAGTATCTTCTTCATGCATCATATCATAATGTTTAATATATTTCTTTTGGGATTGCTTCCGGTGCTTCAATTTCAATTCTTCAACAGTTAGACTATCATCAGGATCAGAGTATTCATATTCATCTTCGGGATCAGAAATACAAATGTCCAAATAATCAAAGTTTTCAAACTTATTGTGCAATAAATGAGATTTTGAATGAGATTTCTTTCTCCGTGAATTAGCAGCGCTATTATCGGAGGTACTCGAATCTTTCGCTTTTATTAGCTCTTGATGTTCTCTAGCTCTAATAAATGATAGGTATTCGTTCTTGTTGCTCCAATAACCTTCGAAAAATTTTAGAGGCTTATAAGTTTCATATAAGGTCAAGAGAGTAATTTTCGATAAATATTCAAGAATCCGACCAAATTCTTGAAACCTTGAAATGTTTTCTCCCAAAAGATCATCATTTCTAGTAGAATTAGGGTCATTATTAGTTGTGATTTTTTCCAAACTCGACATTACACCTGGATTAATAAATGTCAGTTCTTGTAAAAACCGGATTATTAATTTATCCTTCGTCGTTAGCTGAATTGGATAGGATGTGGTAGTTAAGTCAATTTCATCAAGAATTCTGTCCATAGAAAGAGTCAAATTACCCTTGACGCTATTAGAAGTTGTTCCATTATTAGTGTTCACCAAAAGTTTTTCAAAATTAGTGTAGCTGTTGAAAATGGCCGTGCTTCTCCCTTGGAGACGTTCTTTTTCCTCATCATTCAATGAATAATCGTCAAGTTTAAAATTCAAACCAGAATTACTTCTCATATTTCCTGATTCTAATTGTTCTTTGTAACCTTTGTCACTCAAAAGTAAATTTTTGAAATCTTCCCTATATGTTGGGTTTTTCTGTAGCAAGTATCTTAAGCTGTTATATTGATTCTTTTCTGTGACTTCGTTAGTTTTTTTACTTGAAATATCTTCAGGATCAAAGAAATTGTCTAAAAGATGTGGAAGTTTGGAATAATTTGGTGATTCGCCATCATGAAGCTTGAAGTAGTAAAGGTTGATATAAGATATGATGAACGATGAGTTGCTGGAGAATTCGACATTATTCAAAGTAGTTGATGAGCACGGATTCTGTAAAAATTCTATTAGTTTGCAAACATAAGAATTCATAAGCGCCTTGGAGTCAACATTCAATAAATCAATCAATCTTCTCAAATTCACTCTGAGACTATTGACATCATCTAAAAATTTGGTTTTATCAATAATTGCAAAACTCTTTTCTGTTCTAACTTTCGACTTATGGTATCTCGAATATACATTATCATTCAATGGATCATTAGCATCAACAGAATCTTTAAGGATACTGCTTCTCAGATTATTGTCACTTGGGATTTTTTTCAATTTTCTTCGTAGCTTGATTTTATGAGGTTTGACAATTGTGGTACCTCTTTTTGTGGTAACAGTTTGTGTGGTATCTGATTCATGATAATTGGTTATTTTTAGATTTTTCTTCTCCGATAATAGTTGATAATCAATATCCTGGGATTGGCTATTATTGATTCCGGACGGCCCACCAGTGATATTAATGGAATATTTAGCAAAGTTAAACAATTCTGTTTTACCGCCATGTTTGTACTCATCATCATCTGATATTGCAATTTTCAGCTCATTCAACAATTCAAGATGCGAAAGGTTGTCAAATATCAATCTTTTATCAAAATTAAACATATAATCATCGCGGCGCTTTGATGTTTCATCTTTGAAAGTAGAAACCAAAGACTTATCAATCTTCTTTAGTGAATCGCTATTATTGTCGGTTGAATCCACTGAAATATTTACAAGCGATGATCTCAAAGTTCTTTCGGGAACTATTCGTGACGTTGTTGATTCAATAGCGGGTTTTCCTTCTCTGTTATGGGATTCGACCAGTCTCTGAGACTTCGGCCGCCCAGTCATAGTTTTGATGGATGGTTGGTATCCACTTTGGTGCAAGCTGCGAATTTCAATAATTGGGCCCTCAGTGCTTTTTTTTCATCTTTTAGTAACGCGTTGTGACATTTTTTTGCCTGTGTTTTTTCAGTCTCGGGGTGCGAAAATTCGGAGGAGAGTTTGGAAGTCGCTTTGATGTAAGACATATATCAATTAGCGAAACAGTAGCTCTTTTGAAATTTGTATTTCAGATTAATACTAGAAGTTTCAACTTAAGGAGCTGTTATATCGGAGCTATTGATGCATTTATTCACTTAGAATTTCCCATCAGCTTTTTGAGAAATGCAGTAATAAAATCCGTCCTCCTCATAGCTATTCTTGACAATATCAAAAACCTGATGTTGCATTGCCTTTAATTCAGTGCAATTTACAATGAGCCTTGTAAATAATTATTCGGAAGATTATTTCATGAATCCGGGTCTAGTGTAGGAGGCATACGGGACATATTGCATTGAAAGCTTCTTTGCATGCTTAATTCCGAAAGTCATCAACCATAAAATACTGTAAACTATTGATAGCAGGATCTTATGAAGTTTTTTATATTTTCCTATACTATTAATTTATTTTGATCATTATTCAAGGAATGAGACACGCATACTAAATATCTTAATATGTTAATAATGTATTTGAATAATCTCAAAAATTGATCTTATTTTAGTACTAAAATAACAGCTATACATCTTCATTTCATTAAATATTCCAATAACATACAATCTAAGATAAATATTGATATCTGATTTAAAAATGATACTTTTTAATGGCTTCATAAGTTATACAATAGAAACATGAAAGAAACTGAAGTTAAGGACAAAAATTTTTGACTTCTACTTTTTACAAGAGATCAGCAAAGAAATCAATGAATTGTATATTAACGGATCACAGAAGCTCTAAATAACTTGCAAGTCGGGCTTATGAGGCGGTCTGTAAAAATAGTTATTAATAATAAAAACTTGCAATTTACTCCTCTATAATATTCCTTTTGCAAAGATTAGTCACATCACCGGTAAGAAACTTGTTAATCGCTCCATGTGATTTAGATATAAGGACAAAGAACTGTTCCTCTATCTTGTTCAAAAACAAGTGCAATTTCCATTTCTTACAAATTGTGATCATATGAATCGAAACTATTAATAACTGAGTCAGTAAAATCAAAATAAAGATAATAGGTGACGATAAAACTTTTTTGTTATAATGTATACCAATGGGGCGGTAACATGAGAAGCCTGACATAATATCAATGACACGAATTCAAAAGTAGACATCGAAGCACATGTGGCGCAGTGGTAGCGCAGCAGATTGCAAATCTGTTGGTCCTTAGTTCGAGCCTGAGTATGTGCTTCCATTTCAATAATACCAAGTCAATTGGATAAAGTTTTTTTTTGTTTTTACTCATTATTATCAATAAACTTTTTTGGTGCTTATTGTAACGTGAATGTACATATTATTTCTATTTTTTGTCCTATAGGTTGAAAGCATACAAAAAGCAACATGTATAAAGTACTCAAAATTCGGAACTATGAAACGTTAAGTTCATCAAGTCAAGTAGCCCACATTTATTAAAAACATGTTTTCGGTTTTAGAAGAAATCATATTCTTATCTATAATTCAAATTCCTCATTAAGCTCATCGATATCATCTAAACTTTCATAGGCTTCAGATAATTCATTTTCATCAAAATTTTCGTCATCATCATCTAGCCTTGGTCTTTCTATCGATAAAAATTCTGATCCAGAAGCCAATGAATCGGTACGTTCAATATGTGATCCTTGTAACTCACCCTCCTCGTAGGCACTGTCATCTATATCCTCATTCTCATTACCAATATCATCTTCCTCATTTCTGGCAAGTATTGCTCCTTCATCAATATCATTGTAAGGTTGACACCATAAAACTGGCTCAGAGCAACGTAAACACCTCCAATAGTCAACAAGATCTTCGTTCTTTTTTGTCATTTTAATTATTTTTAAAGTTGCGAGAGTCTGATGATGAGACGGCTTGTGACGCTGAAGCTTCTCTAAGATACATAGATAACTGTAAACATGGCCACAATTAGTAATATACGGATTGGTTATTGGATTGGAATCGACGGTTGGTCCAGTTTTAGATTCATAGCATATAGCACATTGAGATTGCGGTAACCAATCAAGTGTTTTGACAACATTCTGCTCAATATCATCACTATCCTGATCTCCTAAAGCTTCCTCAAGTGACTCATAATTATCATTAAAATGTTTTCCATTAAAAAAATCACTGATCATTTTGAAACCCTTGAAAGATGAACGCTTCTTCTTTGATGCCATTTGTGGTTTTCTTTTACTAATTTTCAAAAAAATTGGCAATAAAAACATCACAAATTCAATGAGAGTATTCCATAGAATTTGCCGGTTTTGAAACTCATAATTGACATTTCCTTTTACCATTTTTTCGAAATCTAAAGAACTGATTTTTGTTTTAATGTTCAATAACTGGAATTTCAAGCTGTTATATTTCCCATCAATAAGAAACTTGACAAAATTTACTAAGTTTAGGATCTTTAGAGCTCGAAGAGAGTACACAATAAACTGCTTTGCATACTTTGATAATATTGATCTCGACTCTTCATTATCATCGTCATCTTCATCCAAGGCAAAAATGTATGACGAGAGTTTCTCGGATAGGTAATCGCCAAACACAAACAATATATAGTATAAGGCTTTAATTGAACGTGACAATCTCTCATTTTTATTATTAACAAGGGAAAGATTCAGTAGATGGAATCCATATGTGTTTGAATTATCCCAAAGAGTATATTTAAATAATAGTGATTTAAGGATCAATTGGATTTCTGATGAATGTGCCGATAAGAGAGATTTATTGAACTTTGATAGCGACGATGATATTTGATTGAATAATAAGGAGTATATTTCTTTATCTAGAAGTATCGAGTCTAACTGAGCAACTCTGGACATAATTGAAGTGGTATATTGAAGTGTATATGGTGATAATATATAATTGATAGTAAAGTACATAAAAATATAGGAAAAAAACAGTCAGAAAGTGAAATGAAAGAGTGATCTGGGTAACCCGAGACGATCGTCACCAACCATGGTCAAAAACCGAAGAATATAGCAGATGGTGTTCAAGAAGCATAAGATAATGCAAAGTTCTTAGTTGCTAAAGTATTTATTATAGCGTCTGACGACTAACTCATTTAGGGTATGGCCTTGTTCACGGCCAATCCTTTGTTCATGGGTATAGTAAGCACCAATGCCTGTAGCAAGGGCGAAGATTGGATCGAGAGTTCTATAGACAGGTTAGTTTCCCCTATTTGTTCAATAATTTTTCACAACAGCATAGTTTACATACTTGGATAGAAGGTACTTGTAGGCCATTATTGGGTTATTAGATGTTTTTTTTGTGTGTGTCAGTCATGTACTGTGGGATCTATATGCTTTTCCCACTTTCTATAGATAAATATGGGGGGAAAGAAAATTTGAAATAATTGGGGTATCGACAGGAGTGCGTTTAGTTACCGATTTTGGACTTCTCAACATTGATTAGATATTCTACCAATGATTCCAAAGATGTGCTCTGGAAAAGTGTCGTTGAGTCTGGATAATAATTAACAATTGTTTAGTACTATTATTTTTATAATCATGCTTTGCTGACTGATATTATTCGTGGTACTGATTGCGGAAGAAATCACCATTTGAAGCAAAATTGAGACTGCTATTCTACTATCTACTATAAAGAACTAAAAATACACCATAAAATCAGCCCAAAAACCAGGCCAATTTCTGAAAAAGAAGCATTATTTTACATGATTTTGATTTTTCAATAACGGTTGTGAAAAATAATCGACCATCCATCCAACATGTTTTGTGATGACATCTCAAAAAAACAAAAAAAAAAATCAGATTTTAGATCAAGGTTGATCAACAAAGTGACAATAAAGAATATACAAAATGAGTTAAAAAGAGCTGAATCCAAAAAAAGAAAAGCCCCACGCGGGGCTCGAACCCGCAACCTTTCGATAACATAGGTTGTTGTTAAGAGTCGAATGCACTACCGATTGTGCTAGCGAGGCTGATAATATTTTATTATTAAAAAAACTGAGTAGCAGAATTCCATAAAATACCAGGGCACAAAACCCATCCGTACACCAGCCATACAGAGCATGAAATCACTACTTGATCTCTTGGGTTTACACTCTTACGGTGTTACCTGATTATGGGTTTGAAAAAAAATATATACCAAGGGGCATTATAAGGGTGACTAAATTAACAAAAGCATAGCAGAACCATGTCTACAGAAGCTCTTGTATCTCATTTAGCATCAGTTTATTCTGACTTATCAATCGACGCCACTGCCAAAGTTGATGTTCCTTTGATTGAATCTTATATCATCTCTCTTAAATCAACATCGCTTAACCCAGAAATAATTGAAGTCATTAGCTTCTTGTTTTATGTAATCAATAATCCAAACTATCATACCATCAGTGATGAATCAGATTGTTTGATCGAATTGTTATCGTCATTGTTATTGAGTTTGTCATTGACCGAGGTGATTGAAATCTTTGATAATTTGAATAATTTTGACTTTAATTCAATTCTCCAGATCTGCCTAGATCAAACAGCATCTCATGCCAAAATCCAACAATTAGCAATTGACTTGCTAACAAAGTCAACCGCGCTTGAAATTAGGAAAATCAGCCATCATGTCATAGTTAGAGTTTTCAAGATATTTTCATCTTTTGAAACACCTTTAAATGTTGTGAACTCCATCGATAAATTCTTCAATCATGTATTATACCTATCTATATCTGATCATACTATTTTTAACGATACATTCACGATTCATAACATCGAAACTTTACTTTCCATGAGATCTACGACCCATTCACCGGTTTTAACCGTTAGATTGATTGATTTGTTAATCAAAATGTTTGAAAAATTCCCACAGATCATGATATCAAACAAGACTATGTTTGCCAATCTTTATATTTTCGAGGAAAAAAGCTTTTTGGAGAACGATGATTTCTTTTATCTCAACAAGCTTATCAATTTACATTCATCGATATTTTCTAACAATTATGATCATCTATTAGACCTGCTGGCTTCCAATAACAAAATATCAAACGAGTACGTTGCGGAGAAATTTAAAAATCAGTTGAGATATATATTCCAACTATATTCATTGAGTAATGATGACACAATGATATATTCGGTGAACGAGCTCATTGAATTTTATTCAGTTTTTTCCAGGTTTGACGAGGCCAAGTTTTTAGCTTTTTCTGAAAAGTATCAGATTATCACCCAATATTCAATTAATAGCTTATCGAATGCAAGTAATGTGTTACTATTAGCCTCAATTAACCCAAAGGTATTATTATCATTTGATCTATCAGGACTTTCATTGACAAATAAATCTCTTCCAATCTTCATCAATTATATATCATACGAAGACACTTTTGAGGTCATTAGATCCAGTTCCCAGTTATCATTGTCGGCAATTTCCAACTTAACTTTGGAGAATACCTTTGAAATAATGTATGAAATGGCGCGGTTCTCATATTCTGCAAAGTACTTGCTCAAAGAACTACCAGTATTGGTTCATAATCACTTAGTCTCTGCTAACATTAATGATAGGGAAAATATAATGGTCAAGAGAAATTTCCGTTTGAACCAATTGAAGATTGAAATTTTGGCTGAATTGGTAAAGAATGATGCAACCAAAGACGAAACATTGCTATCTTTATTGAAGACTGAAAAGAATAAATTGGCTAGTGGTGATATTTATTCGGATACGGTTCAAGCTGCAGTGGGTAGTAAGACAAGTTGAGAACCATAATAATAATAATAATAATCCCTTACATGCTATTGATTTTTCCTCAAGTAGATATCTTTTCTTCTATCCTTAATCGTATCCTCTTCTTCAAGCTCATCGTCCAACTCATTTAAAACATCATATTTTGGGCCCCAGGTTTCAATAGTTCCTCTATCTGTTCCACAATAGTAAGCTTCCTCATTTCTAACAATGCAAGTATATCTGAAATTTATATCTTGTGGTGATTGGATATTCTTCTGTAATGTTTTCATTAATTTGCCATCGTTGAGATCGAACACTAACAATTTTTCCAGTGCTGGATAAATAACATGTTGCTTATTGATTATAGGATCCATTGATCGCAAATAATGGTTTTTTAAGCTAAATTGTTCAATATTGGTCCTTCGTCTCTTTTTTTTCTGGGCTAATTTGCCATCTTTTTCGCTATTGTTGACTTTTACAAGATCGTCTACTCTATTTTCGTGTAATTTCCAATGCTTCATCTTGTTGTCTAATCCAACAGAGACAATACTTGATCCATCATTAGTCCAGCATAATCCATTCACCGCTTTGGAATGACCCGCACCTCGCCACAGAATCTTAGTCATATCATTTGACAATCGATAAATACAACTGTCACTTTTTCTAATATCCCAAACCTTTAACTCTCCAACATTATTCCCAGTGGCAAGAATATTATCATAGATTGGGTTCCATTTTATTGTGATATTTGAACTATGATCTTGTAATTTCTTGTCGAATAAATAACTAGCCAACGTCATAGTTTTCAAATCAAGTAATTTAATGTAACTTTCCCCTTGTGATGCGATTGCTAGTAGACCATGTTTTAATGTTTGACTGAAGTCAATTGAATAAACCTGTCCCAGCTTCGAAGTATCAATTGTAGAGTATAATGTTGATGGGGTCATTTTTGTGTTGTCAAAACTGTACAATAACTTCAATTCCATGGAGTCCCAAATTTTTATACTCTTGTCATAAGATGATGATACGAACATCCCTGTATCAAACGGCCACCATTTCACTTGGGAGATTCCAAATCCATGGCCTGATATATTCCCTCGGTGTCGGTTGGTTTCTTCATTGAACTGAGAGGAAATTTCTCCAATCTCCAACACTTCGTTACCATTACCATCGCTATTATCGCTGGTTTCATTTATGTTCCATATTTTAATTCCCCCATTATTGGAGCCACTAATCATATATTCTTTTTCTATTCCATCCAAATCCATGGAATTAACAATGCTAGAGTTCGGGGTTTGGTTAGGAAATACTCGATAATGATATTTCATATGATGATGCAAGATAAGCAAATCGTTATTCAAATCATTCAAAGAGTCCAATTTATCCTGCCGATTGCTCGAGTTGATCATAGATTCCCGGAGAATCTTCAATTTGTTGATGTTTAAGTTCTCATTCAATTCATTATAACTTATAAGGTTGCTAAAGATTGATGATTTATCGAGTGACACTGTTTGTGTTGGACGGATAGAAATGGAAGGATCTAGTCGTCTTTGGAGTAAAAAATCATGATGGGTCATTATACATTTGATTGTTGAATTGTTGACATTGGGTCGAGCTTAAGATAACCTTATGAAGGTAAGATTGATGATATAGAGTCTTCGACTTTCGCAAATCTTCGATGATGATCCAATGCTGCGGGTCGTTATTTCATAATTACCCAATAGACAAAGAAACGAATCCAAGTAAAAAAGCACAAATATTCACACATTCTATTCATTAATATCTAGATAATACAGAGGGAAGAAAAAACAAAAAACAAAACAAAAGCTATCACTTAAATATTCACAACACAAAGAATAAAACCAAAAACAAAAATAAAAATGAATAATAATTATCGAGGAAAATGTGCAACGACACAGTTAAGAAGTTTTAACAGCAGTTGTCATGTAATAATAAAAGAATGATAATAAAGGATAACAGAACAAATGAATGAAAAATAACAGCAGGAAAAAAATATAGCCAACTTTTTTTTTTTTTTTTTTTTCTAATTCTATCAATTATAATAAACAACGAAACGATATAGACATTTAAAAACCACGCTCAAAGAACACAATGATTATTTTCTATTCGTTAATATAGTCTTTGATCAAGTTAACCTTTTCTTCAAATGTTACATCTTCACCAATCAAGAAATACAAAAAACTATCATTTGTGGAAACAATTTCACCCAACGAGATGAACTGCTTGGCATTAATGATCCCCAAATTTCTTAATTTCCTCAAGAAATCATTAGCATCATCAAGGTTTTTCCGTCTTGCAAGTAGCACCATCATCAAACTATTCATTTGATTAGTGGTATTGCCGTAATTTACCATATCAAGAGGAATACCATTAAGAGTACCTGGCGGGCCGCTACCATTTCCAAGAGCAGTTTGTGCTTCTCCAACATCAGTATCCTGAGGAGAGTTACCGGCAACATTATGCGGGCCAGAATTATTCATCACACTGTTAGGATTGACCCCAGTAGGGTTAACTGAAGTTCCGGATCCATTAGTATGCGAGGGCATGGATGTTGGTGCGCCACTCATCATGGAAAAGCTTCCTCCAGGAAACATTTCCGCACCACCAATACTATTGCCATTGCTATTTGGGAAGTAAACGCCACCATTGTTCAAACTCCAAACCGTGTCCAAAAATGATAGTGATCTTCTAGTCCCACTGCTGACGCTGCTATTTCGGTGCATAGAGTTTCTGAGCCTAATGTATGAGTTTGGATCAAATCCTGGGACAGGATACGGAATACTTGCAGGATTATTTGGATTGGTGGTAATTCCCGAATTGCTTTCGTTCTGATCAGAAGATTCATGGCCAGGTTCCGATTCCGAGCCACCGACTTTTTTTGATTTATCGGCAGTAGGGGTTTCTTCAGAACCTTCATCATGTACAACAGCTCCGTGGGTATTTTCGTCATCAGGAGAGGCACTATCAATTTTTTCCTCAGATTTTTCATTAGATTTATCTTGAGAGATAGAATAACGGTTTGAAATTAAGCTAGAGATCGATGGAGGTTTCCCACCATTTAATATGTTATTCACTGATGCAGAACTGGATATCTGGGGTTGAGAAGTTGCCAGAGCTTGCTGTAACCCCGGTTCTGTGGAAGGGGGGACCAGTGGATTACCCATACTTCTCAAAGGATTAGGTTGGTACGGCATGGATATGAAACCTTCGAAATATTGATTATTAGGGCCCAGAGGAGGAGGTGGTGGAGGAGGAGGAGGAGGAGGCGGTGGCGGTGGAGCATGTGGTAGTGGAGGTGGTGGAGCAGAATGATGATGAATATGATGATGTTGATGATGTTGATGATGCGAAGGGTAAGTAGCATAATTACCATTTTGAGAAGGATAGACTTGTGGTAAAGGTATTTGTGGCATTGGAGGAATTGGACGGGGATGAAGAGCTGCTCCATTAGCGGTTGGTGGAGCAGTATTACTATGTAGTTGTGAAGAATCTGAAATGGTTGGAGTGGTAATTTTTGTTGAGGAAGGTGGTTGACTTGAACTAGAATATAAAGGCATCATATCTATCTGATGAGGATTATAAATTGGGATATTTTCCTCATTCAATTCATCATTTTCTAATGTGTTGCCATCTTCATCAAGGTTAGTGGTTTCTTCGATAGTTTTCATGATTTCTTCGACGCTGGCTGGCCTAAACACTTTTCTCAAACTTAGGTTCTTGAAAATGTCGCTGCACTTTATATTTTCATAATTTGTGTCAATAAAAAATTCCACAGAATGCAAATAAATGTAGTGACAGCCTCCAGAGATATACCTTCGAATACTATTCCAAGATAGCCCTGAATAAACTCCACTGGCGGATTTTTTCTTCAAATCATCAACTTTTGGGATATTTGCGAGATATAGTTTACCTTCAGCGACCGACCACATTACCATACTTTCATTCAACATCAATTTTTTGAAACCTAGTATTTCGTTATTGATTTGTTTTAGCTTTTCTCTCAACTTTTTGATTTGAAATTTATTCATCTCCCACTGATCAGGAAACAACACTTTGAGCTCGTCCTGAATCTTTCTAAAACCGGAATTTGTGAAGCTATTACTGGCTTCAATTCTATGTCCTTTGTTCTTGACCAATAGCCGGCTGAACTCGTTTGTCATTTTCACGGTCCACCGCTTATACATTGTCGGCTCACCCCGATCTCTTTTTCTGTTTGGTCTGACCAGTTTGGATATTGGAGATATGAAAGAATCCGTGGTATGTGAGGTATTACTGATTGAAGAATCGGCAGGAGACGCGTCGCCGCTGGTGTTTCTATTGAGGGGTTGATGTTGGTTTGATGGCACCGTTAGCCCATGATCGTGGTTTACAGATCTTGACGAGTCGGAAGTATCGGTCATTGAGAACAGAATGGAGTATCTTGGCTGTTGTTGCTGTGACGAGGTGAAAAAAAAAAAATGGCGATTCAACTTGGGCGATGCAGGAGCAGTATGACTCTGAGTAAGGAATATTCACAATGCCAGAAGAAGATTAAAGGATGATCTTTATCAAATAACGAGTGGATAACAGAGAAGCTTTAATGATTATTTGTCAACGATGGATGGTTAGAATTAGTCTTGATAAATCCCATAACAGGATTAGGATAAGAAACTTTCCTGTATCAGTTTATATTCTTTTCAATAATGGTAATAATAATAATTTGGATCTCTTGCAAACAAAGAAAAAAAAAACACGGACACCAGCGAGCGTTGGATTTTGGACAGATGAAGATTTAATTCCTGGTGGTTGTTTGGTTGTTTGGTTGGTTGGCTGATCTTGATCTGATTTGGCGGCCGTTGAAGATTCTTCTTTTCTTTTCTTTTTTTCCCGGTTTTTTTTTTATGTCACATTTTCCCCGATACCCCCCCAGATCCCTCTGTACCTTTTATTATGCGTGGTGATTTTTACCTCATTTTCCCGTCTTACAGATAGATAGATAGATCCCTGATAAAACACGTTGTTCTTCCGTGGAAACTCAACCAACCAAACTAAAGCAAATAACACCGAAAAATAGAAAATAGAAAATAGAAATTAGAAAATAGAAAATAGAAAATAGAAAATAGAAAATAGAAAATAGATACGAAGAAGAAGAAGAAGAAGAAGAAGAAGAAGTCTCTAATCGATCATAAAAATTGCCTACAAATAACAAATGAAACAGAAAAAAAACAAAACAGCACAGTAGTCTAAAACATATCATTATTGATATTACCTCCCCCAGCATAGCTCCATCCTTCAAATTGTTGTTGAATTGATCCACTCAAATGATCATTCACTACCGAATCCAAAGGAACCTCATTGGTGAACTCGCTATCAAAATTGTGGGTGTCAAACGCGTTGAACACTAACGGTTTGAAAGGAGCGGTGTATTCTTTATTATTGAGTTTGACCCAATCAACATCCATAAAGAATGGATGCTGTTTCAACTCAATCGATCCATTGGTTCCAAGTCTTTTCCCAGGATCTCGATTCAAAATTCTCTCCAAGAAATCCTTGGCATGAGAATCAAAAATTTCCGGGAATTTAAGAGGGCTTCCAAGGATCTTCTTATACATAGTAGAAACGTCCTCATCGTAGAACGGCGGTAAACCAGTCAACATTTCATATAGTAGGATCCCAAGCGTCCACCAATCAACCGATCTGGTATACCCTTGGCCAAGTAACAACTCCGGAGCTAAATACTCGGGAGTGCCACAAAAAGTATCGGTTCTATCATCCTTTCCCATATCCATTTTACAAAGCCCGAAATCACATAAGGCAATGTGTCCTTGATAATCGATTAAAATATTTTCTGGTTTCAAATCCCGATAAATCACATCAAAATTATGAAGATGTTCGATCGCCAGTAGTAACTCACAAACGTAAAGCCGCGATCGTCCAAGACTAAATCGTCCTTCTTTTTGTAAATGATGGAATAATTCTCCTCCGCTGATATATGGCAACACAAAGTATAGTTTATCAGGACTTTGGAATGCGAATTTAAGCGACACGATGAACGGATTGTTTACTTCAGCCAACACATTACGTTCGGCAAGGGTGTGACCCACCTCAAATTTCGCCACAATAGGGGCTTTTCTAATACTTTTCAAAGCATAAACTCTTTTGGTATCTTTTTTCCTGACCTGCATCACTTTTCCAAATGAGCCTTTGCCAATGACTTTTAACAAGTCGAAATCGTGCATGGCCAAATGGGTGTTTGAGGCGTTAGGTTTGTAATGGATGGAGATACGAACGCTCCCTGAGTTGTTAAGAGTTCTTATAGACATTGGTGACTGGAGCAGTAACCATTCATGGTCCAAAATGATGGTTTCCTCAGAATAATTAAGATTAACCTTGATAGTTCCAATCAAAATATCCTGGGATGGTGTTGCAGGGTTGACAAGAGAACGGAAATTCGTAGGGATTAAAGCGTTAGGGATCTTGATAAGTAACTGGATCACCATTACACTATTGCTATTGACATCAAAATATGAGATCTCATCAAACTTTGGATTGGCCATTTTCCCGCCAGTGGGTTGCACCAACGAAACATTCTTATCCAACTCTACCGTGGCATAAACCAATGGATTCCTAACACTTTCCTCGTTAGCCATGATCGATACCACGGCAGGCAAACACTGGGTAACAATCTCTCCGGGGATGAACTGTTGATTTGGGAAGTTCTGCGACGCACGGATAAGGTTCCTGCCAATACTTTGCAAATCACAATCAATTCCACAACTGGCAATCCTATCAAGAATAAACTCATTATAAACTGGGTCAAATGGAAGCCTAAGATCTTGAGTTTCGTGGAGAATGATAGAAAGCCGTCCAGATCTGAGCGAGCTTGGATTGTTTACATTGTTGCTTGAATCACTACGGGGTTGCGACCTTGATGTAGGAGACACAGGGGAACTATTGGCAGAAGTGGGGGAAACAGTAGGAGAAATGGAAAATGATGAGATTTTGGATGGCAGGACTTTTTTTTTATGGGTTTGTAGTTTCTTCTTCCACGATAACATTGTTACTGAGTTAAGGTCATCGAAGGTGGGATGGATGGATGGATCACTCGATAATAAGATGCTCGGAGAACAAGGGCAAACAACACCCAAGATTAAGATTCTAACGAGTGTCTCTAAAACAATGGAAGGGAATTATTTTTATTATTATTTTTATTATTTTCACGTACGGAAGTCAGTCTATGATGAATGGCCGTTGCTATCTAATAAATGAACCAATTTTTAGGGAGACAAACTCAGGAAAAAAAAAAATAAAAAAACAAAACAAAAAAAACAATGACAGGAAACAACCCAAGATCTATGAGCCCTAACAATAGTAATAACTGTAATAAATATGATGATGATGATAATGAAAAATACGGGTGGGGATGGAAAAGGTAAGGAAATACAAGCAAAGATTAGAAAAAGATTACTATGAACCGTCGGCGGTCGGAGATTTTGTGTGCACCACCAGGCTGGGTGGGACATCGGAGATTGATAACGAGGCTCACCAACTAACCTTAGCATCACCCATAATGGATTAGTTCTCTTCGGTCCCTTCACCCCCAAATGTTGTAAGCAAAAAAGAAGAGCATCCTTTTCCCCATCTACTAAGGTTTCCTTGGTATTTCATATCGAGAGTCTCACCAAATTACTGAATTTCCTCAACTCACCAGCTTCAGAAATGTAATTCTTAGAAACATCCAATACTTGCAAGTTCTCCAAATACCCCAAGTTTCCAATCCTCAGAATCCTGTTGTTGTTAAGAATTAATTTTTTAAGCTTGCTTGATTTCTGCAAATTTTCAATTTTTTCAATGCGATTACTCTCCAAACACAACTCCTTCAAGTTACTCAACCCATCAACCCCTTCAATATTCTCAATCCCTTGATCAATCAACTCCAAATACTCGAGTTTTTTAAGATGTTGTAGGCATTTCATCAGTGCCATTCCTTCTTTGGTATTTCTAAACGATACCCGTTCTAGTTTGGGTAATGATCTACAGATTTTTTCAAAATCAGTGAGTTTGCCAATGGTCCATACTAGTTCCCGCAAATTCCTTAGACTATCCCATTTCCAACCCTCTGCATCAGGGGTTCCCGATGATTCAAGATATACCAAAGATTGGATATCAATGTTACCGATCATGACGGTTCCTTGGTCGCCAGGGAATTCCCTGAACCAACTAGCTTGTGCATCAAGGATCGTCAACCGTTGCAACTTGGGGAAATATTTCGAATTCACATCGTTCAAAGTGAACGTAGGTCTAATACTAAAGGTAATCTTCAAACTTTCAAGGTTCGGATACCCTACCCATTGTTTCCCTACCAAATTTCCAAAACTCAACCGTCCTTCAAATGATTTCAATTGCGGGAAATGATAATCATGGGGTTTAAACCTCGTCAGTAACGTCAGGACTCCTCTTGTAAGCACCAATTTTTCTAAACTATCATTATCGCCACAAATCGGCAAATCTTCTTCCCACGGGATCTCAATCTCCACCAATGAACGAGCTAAACAGAGTCTTTTATCTGTGCTTAATTTTTTCAAATACCGTAGATCTGTTAAAACTTTTGACACTTGACTCAATGATGTCCTATCACATTTATTGATCCCCGCCTCCTTGATGTATTTTTCCAATCTTTTCAATTTATCCAACTCTTTGGTCGAGATAACCACATTGCTCAACCTAATACGCAAATCATCAGAACCAATATTTATAAACTCAATTTCAGTTTCGTCATCGGATATTTCAACCGTCTCAAAAATCACCAGCTTGATGCATTCTAATAACCCATGCTGGTCATGAAAAATCGGGTACAAATCGATTAAAACTCGGAAATCGGTGAATTCAAATATACGATGCAAGATTTCTCTAGGAAGTTCATTCATCGACAATTTCCTCTTCTCTCTTTTCTATTTTCTCTTCTCTCTTTTCGATTTTTTCCCTTTTTTTTTCCTCTCTACAATTATTGCGCGACAAATTCCATGATGGAATCAATAATTGTTGTTTTTGATTGATCTTTAATTAAATCTACTAGATATATATGTCTGGGTATTTCAGTATTGAGACAAATACATTAAGGATAATAATAAATCTACACAAATAAGTTATCATGAAAAAACCCAGAATAGAAATTTAAAATAATTATATAAGTTAGCTAATGCGGAAAATAGATATGGTTTCCATCTTTCAGCAACACAAAAAACCACAAAAGTCTCGCCATTAATGGCATCTGATTCTTCCTAATATGATTCTTCGATATAAATATACTATAGTATAAAAATAAAAAGCAGCAATATTTTGTTATGATACATATAATACAACATGTTTTTTTTTTTTTTTTTGTTTAGCGAAGCAAAATCGACCAAAAAAATAAAAAATAAAAAATAAAACATAAAACACAACCCCAAAGCAAATAAACACCAAGATACCCAAGGCTCACACGTACTAGGATAATTCTATCATAGTCTTGATAGGATGATAGAATTGTAAAGTACAAAAGAATGTTAATGAATTAATATAAACCAACGTCACCGTTATTTTCAGCTTTGTGGTTCATTACCCATCCAAACTTCATCATCTTCTAAATCATCAAAACAGTACATCTTCACCATTCCACTTTCGTCACCCGCAGCAAATCTGCTATCCGTCAACTTGACGCAACTCACCGAAGCTTTGTGCTGGCCACCAAAGGTATGGATACACTTCCCACTTTGCAAATCCCAAACCTTGACTAGTTTATCATGGGACCCAGAAACAATTCTAAAAGTATCAGCAGATACCGACCACACACCTTCAACATGGCCAAACTGAGTACGAATGCAACGACCACTATTAACATCCCAAAGTTTAATTTGGTTATCAAGACCACAAGACAAAATATGGCTTGGCAACGCTCCATTAATTTGCGAATTGACAAGATTACTTGAGTTCTCGACACTAGCAATAGCAGTTGACGCCACAACATTGTTGGTACGAGGAGTATCGTTGTGAGCGGCGCGATTTTCTGGCGATTCAGTTTCTTCGTCACTATTTTCATCTTCCACAATAGTATCATGAATAGTCAAGGGTAGCGCACATTGAACCTGCCCGATATGACCATTTGGTCCACTGAATACTTTCAAACAGGAGTTATTTTCTAAACTCCAAATTCTAATAGTACAGTCATCACTAGCACTGATAATGGTTTTTGAAGGCCCGTGGATTTTTACCGAGTTGACCCAATCGGTATGACCTCTAAGAGTATGGCATGTACGAGTTTCGACATTCCAAATCTTGATGGTCTTATCGGCACTTCCCGAAACAATAGTTTTACCCAACATGTCAACAGACATGATCCCATCGCTATGGCCACGATAAGTGGAAAGCGAGGTGCCAGTGGCAAGGTTCCAAACCATTATGGTCCCATCAAGTGACCCAGTGATAACTTTCTTGTCATCAAATACCAAAGTTTTCACCCCTCTGGTATGCCCAACTAATGTTCTAATGACTTTACAAGTTTTGAGATCCCAAACTTTGACTGTACAATCGTAGGATCCGGTGATTAGAATCTTGTGATTAAATTGAAGACAAAGAATTCCGTCAGAATGACCTTCAAAGCGTTTGATCTTAAAAATACCTTTCCGCCAGTTACGTTCAACTTTATAACGTTCACTGTAAACCAGTTTCCAAGGACGAGTACGAGGACGTTTAGCCACTGGTGGTTTGATCAAATCTTTAGATGAGTTTGGTGCAGGTCTTTTCAAAGACGGTAGTTTACTCGATGATGAGCAAATATCTGAAGGGACATTGGTGATCACAGGGGCATCGGTTCCCACTGGGGTAATTTTGGCTTGGTGGTCTTCTTCTTCTTCTTCTTCTTCTTCTTCTTCTTCTCCTACTCCTTTTTCTTCTTCTTTCACTGGAGTGATTTTCATTTTATCGTCCTTGTGATTTTTTGAAGAGTATTTACCAGATCTGGCCCTTTTCATGTATAATAAAGGTAATCCCCACCCACAATTTGGGCATTTTCTATCGATATGTTGCTTGCAAAGATGATGCCAAACACGGTCATCGTCAGCCAACCTTTTCCAAGTCCTGGATACTTGGGCTGCGTTACAAAGAGAGGCACAGTCAAGATAGCACAATATTTTCAAGCTCAACTCCACGGGCAAGGTGCCAATGAAATCGATCTTGACCAACTCCTTGACTTCGCTACTGAGAAATGAGAGTTGGTGGAAGCAGCACTGCGATAAAATCCCTTGAAGAATCAATATCCGCTGGGAGTTTGGAGCAGCAGAAAATACCGACCAAACGTTGGAGATGGCTTTCTGATCCGAGGATGGGAGTTTATCGATGGAGGTTTGGATGGAGCACATTCTTTGTTGGTCAGCGTCTTTGTTGCACTTGATGTCGGGGTTATGACGGTAGCAATAGCTATGGATGGCTGGGCCGTTTAGACGTTGGGTGTTGTTTGCCACAGGAATATGTTTTGTGAGAAATGGCCGTACGAGGTCATCATCATCATCTTGTTTCATACTTTATATATGCTGTTGGATATATGCCATATATATATATGACAAAAAGCCAAAGAAAGGAATCTTTGCCTTTTTTAACCATTTTGGAAAAACCAAAGGAGGTTATGCCAGTGCACGTGATTGTTAGTCAATCTTGGTGTTTTATCGCGATGACGGCGAGGTGTCTATCTATCGCGAAAGCTTATTATATAATATTATATAATATCGTCATAACATAGACTTTTATGGCAACGAGCACCATATAATCTCTCTTCTTGATGGTGATATGAGCGTTGTACTGTGCGGGGTGCACCACCACGACGGGCGTATATATTCTGAGATCGTCCTGCGACAAATTATACAAAGTAAATAATTATCGTTTGTCCCATCATCATCGTCGTCGTCGTAGGAGTAGTAGTAATAGTGGTAACGCTTCTTGATAACCAAAACCATGGAAGACCACAAGAGCCTCAAACAACAGTTCCGGGAGTTCACATCAGGCACCCCATCACAGGCGCAGTACTGGCTCAACAAGTACAACTGGGACCTTTACACCGCGGTGGACCAGTTCTTGCTGAAACACCCAGACTCGCACAATCGACCAACTTCAGGAAACGCCACCACCATGGACAACGGTCAAGACCAGAAAATAGTCAACATATTCAATAAATACAAAGGTATGTCTATTTTTATTATTATACCATGGGGTATCTCTTATCGTGATCGGTTTTACTAACCCCCCACCCATGGCAGATCAATCTTCTGGAAAGATTGAAATTGAGGGAACCATCCAATACCTCCAGGACTTGGGAATCGACCCAGAAGACCCAGCATCATTGGTACTTTCTTACACCCTTGGGTCTCCTAGCACCGGGGTATTCGAACGTGATCTGTTTGTTGATACTTGGGAGGCCCTTGACTGCACAGACTTACCATCGATGACCACATTCATCAAAACCAAGACCGCCAATTTACACACCAACCTACCATACTTACGTAAAGTCTACGAGTTCACCTTCGGGTACATTTTGGAACCACATCAAAAGAAAGTGTCGGCAGAAGACGCAGCAATGTATTGGCAGCTATTGTTACAAGAAGTGTTTCCTAGAGTGGAACTTTGGACAGAGTTCATAAATGATGATTGGCAAAAACCAATCACCAGAGACGCATGGAACATGTTATTTTTGTTTTTACAGGATTTTGAAAAAGATCCAAAGTTGGAAAATTATGACGACGCGGCGTCCTGGCCAAGCATTATTGATTCATTTGTCGAATGGGCCAAAGAAAATGAAAAATTGGAATGATAGTACTATCTTTTGAAATTCCTTTTTTATAATATAGACTAAAAACTTTTTTAGGAAACATTCTTTGCATTTTTTTTTTTTTTATGAAGAAGCTAATCACAGTTTTTTTTTTTTTTTTTTCCTTCAATGTAAGGGATTAAATTACATCAAAAAAAAAAAAAAAAAAAAGTAACTTTGCTATTGTTTTCCAATTATTAATTTCATGTATTGCCACAATTGCTATCAATTTTTAGGCCAAAATTGAGAATAATAAGTAAGCATTTTATCAACCCCAGACTTTGGTACCAAACATCACCATATTAAAATATAAATGAAATATGAAATTACTAAAGAGTTTAACTAGACTTTCGCTTCACTTTCCTTTGAGTTTAGTTTCTGGTAAATTAATTTTGACAAAAATTGACAAAATGTTTCTGTACAAAAACAATCCCTTCAACACAATTGTGGCCATCGGATCCTGGAAATACTTATTGCGTGGTCGGTTGCTATTTATTTGTTAATTTTCTTATTTCTCTGTAGATGGACATCAAGAAAATTGTTTACTGATGATTTAGTGGATTATTTTGTAGTGACCTTTTGGAAAAGGGTGCTTCCAATAGATATCTAATAATTATTTTGTCTACCGCACAACAAATATCCTTCTAGTCTTCACTTCTACACTCATTCTACTGTCAAATTTGGATTGATTTTTGATATAATATCCTTTCAGTTGTGCTGAAATATCACAGGCGAGACCCGTGGTGCTGGATCCTCATCTCATCACCCACAAATTTCTTTCCTCCCGGGTAACGCCATGTTTTTTTTTTTTTTCTTTTACAAAATTTTTCAGGCCTATAGCTACTACTATTCTGCACATTTTTGTCGTTACCCACTAGAGATCATCGTGCTTTCTTACAGATAATGAGATCCGATTTCCAATTTGCCAGCTTGTTGGGCTCGGTGTATCGTAATGGGAACCTCGAGTATACCAAGGATGGGAAAACCCTTCTTAGCCCAGTAGGCAATAGAGTCTCAGTGTTTGATCTCGTCAATAACTCTTGCTTCACATTTGCTTACCAGCACAGAAAATCGGTACAGCGTATCGCTCTTAACCCTCAGAATACCTTGTTGTTGTCGATTGATACCGATGGAAGAGCGATCTTGGTGAATTTCAGAAGTAGGGTGGTGTTGCATCATTTCAATTTTGCAGCCAAGGATATCCAGGACGTAAAGTTTTCTCCTGATGGGAAATTCTTTGCAGTAGCCACCACCAGATTTCTTCAACTATGGAGGATTTCTGCCTCAGATATCGAAGAAGAAGAAAACCCAGAAGTGGTGAATTACAATGATAGACAATTTGCGCCATTTACGAAATTTAGAAAATTGGCTGGTCATTTCAACGATATTCTATCGATTTCATGGTCCAGAGACTCCAGATTTCTTTTAACCACTTCTAAAGACATGACCACAAGAATTTGGTCATTACATTCCAAAGAATCCCAAGCGAAAATGTCACTTGCTGGGCATCGTGACTATGTGGTTAATGCATTCTTCAACAACAAACAAGATATCATTTATACCCTTAGTAAAGATGGAGCTTTGCTTCAATGGGAATACACCAAAAAGGCAGTACAAAATGATGAGGACTCGGACTCTGAAGAGGAAGAAGAAGAAGATGAAGCCCAAGAGTTGACAAAACTTAGTTGGAGAATAACCAAGAGAAATTATTTCTATGCCCCTGATCATTCGTTTGTGAAGTCTTCTACTTTCCACCCAGGTTCCAACATGCTTATTGTTGGTTTCTCTAATGGTGAGTTCCGTCTTTATGAATTACCATCTTTCACATTGATCCAACAATTATCGATTGGTCAAAACGCTATCAATACCGTCACCGTGAACTCTACCGGGGAATGGCTTGCCTTTGGTGCCGCCAAATTGGGCCAGTTATTGGTGTATGAATGGCAATCTGAGCTGTACATTCTTAAACAACAAGGTCATTTTGACTCAATGAATTGCGTATGTTATTCTGCTGACGGATCAAGAGCCATTACCGGTAGTGACGACGGGAAAATCAAAGTTTGGGACTTGAAATCGGGGTTCTGTTTAGCCACGTTCAGCGAGCACAGAGCCGCAGTTACCGGAGTGGAATTATCGTCAAAGAATGCGGTGCTTTTTTCCAGTTCTTTGGATGGGACAGTTAGAGCCTGGGATTTGTTGAGATACCGTAATTTCCGTACATTTGTGGCTCCTGAACTGAGAGTACAATTCACCAGTGTCACCATTGATCCATCTGGCGAAGTGGTGGTTGCTACCGCATTGGGATCGGACGAGGTCTTTGTTTGGTCAGTGCAAACTGGACAATTGTTGGACAGTTTAACCGGTCATGAAGCCCCAGTGATCCAGGTTTCTTTTGGTAAAGAGCGCCCGGTGCTTGCTAGTGCATCGTGGGATAAAACTGTTAGAGTTTGGGATATCTTTGGGAGAAGTCAAACTTCTGAGCCATTCCAAGTGTATTCTGATGTGGTTGCCCTTGCCATGAGGCCTGATTGTAAACAATTGGCGGTATCGACTTTAGATGGGCAAATTAGTATTTGGGATATCGAAGCGGGAAAGCAAATTGGGAATATCGACGCCAAAAAGGATATTTTGGTGGGTCGTTACCTTGGTGATCTGTTCACTGCCCAAAACTCCAAAAGAGCCAGGTTTTTCAGCACAATTGCTTATAGTTTTGATGGTAGTGCGTTGATATGTGCTGGTAAGAATAACAGTATTTGTTTGTACGATGTTGATAATGAAGTGATGTTGCGCCGTTTCAAAGTTAGTGAGAATATGGCGCTTGATGGGACCCTTGTCAAATTGAATAGTTCAAGATTTACCGAAGACGGGGTGAACTTGGATCTTGTGGATGATGCTGGAGAGAACTCTGATCTTGAAGATAGAATTGATAATACGTTGCCAGGGTCGCAGCGTGGAGGAGACCCATCACTTCGTAATGTTAGACCGGAAGTTCGTGTGACCAGTCTTAAATTTTCCCCAGCGGCTACTGAATTTGTTGCTGCTTCGACCGAAGGTTTGCTATTATACTCGATTGACACTAGAACGATTTTTGATCCTCTTGATCTTGACATGGACATTACTCCGGAATCGATCACCGAGGCGCTTGCCAATGAAGATTATCTTGCTGCATTAGTGATGTCGCTTCGACTCAATGAAGACTACTTGTTGGCGAAGAGTTTTGAAGCGGTCCCATTGAACGATATTCCATTAGTGGTGCGTGATGTGCCGGTTGTTCATTTACCGCGTCTTGTGCAGTTTGTTGGGGAATGGGCCAGCAATGGGGTTCATTTGGAGTTTGCGTTATTGTGGTTGAAACTGATACTTGAAAATCACGGGAAACACATTAGAGAGAACAAGATGAAGTACGGAAGTGGGTTACGGTTAGTGCAACGGTTTATTGGGAGAGTGGCAAAAGAAGTGGTCAGGGTGGCGAAAGATAACGAATATTTGTACGATTTCTTGAGCAGTTCTAAGAGCACTGAGGTTGATGAGGATGTGAATATGGATAATGCTGATATTAATATCGATGATGTGCTTGTGAAGGTGAATGATGATAAAGATGATGATGTTGTTGAGGATGCTGGGGAGAGTGATGACGATGAGGAGAACGAGTGGTTGGGGCCAAGTGACGTGGTGAAGACCAGTGGGGTGACCAGCTTTGGAGATGCGAGTGACGAAGACGAGGAGTGATATAGTCGTGTAATATTAATCTATAAAGTATTTGAACAGAACCCAATGGTTGTAGTAGCCGTAGCAGTCGTAGCAGTTATGCATGGCGACCACCCACAACGTGACGATGGCGTGACGGTTCATGCATGAGGCGTTTCTCACTCTTTGATGGCTGCCACTGCCACCACCGTCCGTTGTAATGTTGTTGTAATGGTGCTGGTGATGATAATGATGGCAGCACTTTCCACGGCTATTCGCTGGCAACCTCGGTGGCTCCCACCAGCCATCTTCCACACGCCGAACATGGGATGCTGTTGGTAATAGTAACCATAACAATACGTAATCGCAACAACAGTAACACCACCACTCACCAATATATCATCAAACAACGGCTATCCAATAATAATGATACAATACAATACAATATAATACAATACAATACAATACAAGACAACACATGACAGGAAAGCTCGCTCGCCCCCCCGCCGTCCACTAACAAATGTAAGCAAATCCTCCTGCCCCTCAGGGGCTCACAACGCAAGCGCGAGCCGCCGGCAGAAAAATTCGCCAACATTTTGAATTTTTATCCTTCCTGCTCTCACCAGCGATTATCCCCCAGTATCTTGTGTTCTAGCGTGCTCAAAATAGCAATATCAGGCAACATCCCCCCCACGTTAACAACCGCTAACCACCTTCAGAGTGCCCGTTGGCTTGTTTTTTTTGATTCCTGATCTTTAGCTATAGCGTCTCGATATTGCGACAATAGGGTGAGTGCTGTATATCAAATACATATATATATATATATATATATATATATAAATTAGTATCCACGCCTTTTTGTTTAAATTGTCCTAGTCATCCCTCCTGCAAGATTAGTTCCCATTGCTAATGCCACTGATCGCTATTTATCAAACATAACTTACTCAATATCTCATAATGTCAGGCAGCATCAATGTCCCTGAAGTGGCCCCACCACCTGTGACTACCACCACCACAACATCAGATAACAAATCATCATCAATAGACCAATCATCACAAAATAATGACACAGAACATACCTCTCTAGACCAAATAGTGAAAACCCAACCCAAGGGCGACTCATCAACAAACTTTTTCCCTCAATTACCTTCGCAGTCAATCACCCTGCCACCGCCCAAAAACAATAATGCTTCCACCCAATTCGACCCAGCAATTTACAACATCGACTCAACAACAGTTGGTCCATCATCACAAACCGCCGATGCCCTCCCCACTATAACTCCCTCAATGGCGCTAATGCAACAGCAAGCCACTTCTGCTCTCCTATATAACCAACTAAATCGCCCAACCATCAACACCAACATCAACATCACCTCCAATAGTGCAGCATCCAGCACCACGCCCACCCCAAGCAGGTACCTGTTTTTACTGCCCACCACTTTAAGTCCCACCACCACCACCACTAACCAAGGTAAAGCTTACACCGGGACAAAACCGGTGTACCACAACGCAAAATCAAGAACTAAAATGGCGTCGGTATATTCGGATAGATTCGAAGCGTTTGCCGCGGCCAACCAAACAATGAAAAATGATTCTTCCAATAGTAAGGCTGCCACCACCCCTGCCACATTAGCCAAAAGAATGAAAATCGACCCGATGTACGCCGCAATCCTCAAGGGTCCTCCAAAAACCTCCCGTTTTTATAAATCGTTACCTGAAAACAAGAGCGACATTAACTCCACCACCCATCATTATAACCCATATCTATACCTCCAGCATCGTACCAGAGTTAATCCTCCTTTGGATTTCAACTATGTCGACACTAGAGAAAATATCATGGAGAATTTCCAATACGTCAATCTCGAGGAAACCGAAGTGTTGATCAATCAAGCTTTTGAGTTTGATAAAATGAACCCCGACGAACAATGCCCTCCAAAAGATTTACCAGTATTTTACATGTCTGAAGATGAATTTCGCGATCCCATCACGTTTATTGAAAAAATCGCTCACGTTGGAAGAAAATATGGGGCAATCAAAGTGGTGCCTCCAAGCTCGTGGTCGACAAATTTTAGTCTCAACACCGAGCTATTTTGGTTCCGTTCTAGGCGCCAATTACTCAATAATTTCAAAAGTGAAATGGATTCCCGGCTCGAATTTTATTACGCGATTTTCAATTTTCATTTCTTGGTGAACCGGAAAAAAAGTGCTAGCTCAATATTGAACAAATTGCCATCCATCGATAAACGAATTCTTGATTTGTATCGTTTGAGAAAATATGTCAAATTAAGAGGTGGATTCCACATGGTATGTAAAAAGAAGCTTTGGGCCCAAATTGGTAGAGAATTGGGTTATTCTGGAAGAATTATGACCTCATTGTCCAGTTCGTTAAAGCTGGCCTATCAACGAGTAATATTGGATTTTGATGAATACGAAAGCAACCAGGAGTCTAAAACTAGTGACACCAAAAATGGAAATGGCAAAAGAACTATGGAAGATACCAAGGCTCCCAATAAGAATATCAAGTTGGAGAGGAAACAAGACCCAAAAAGTGAAAGTGCCCATAATGAAAACCCACAGAATTTACCCAATATCTTGGGATCGACCGTCGAATTCAGAAGACCGAGAGATATCTTGAGATCAAAAGGATTCCATACCTATTTCAACAACACTACCGAGGAGAAAAGAAGTATTTCCAAGAAGGATAAGTACACGTTATCTTCGTATAACTTCTACGATTGGTTCAACCAAAGCCTACTCAATGTATTAGACACTTCATCATATGATTCCAAACTTGCGCCACTTTACAACTTGAAGCAATTCTTTGAAAAAAACTTGAAGTTTGAAGAAAATATTTTACGAGAGTTTGCGGAAGAATTAGGAATTGATCCAAACTTTGAATTTGAACCTTTTAATTGGGGATACATTAGTAGTAACAAAAGCTCTAGAAAGGATAAACTATCTCCATCAGGAATGTTGAATAATTGTAACAGTAGCTCAGCTAATAGTTCAATGATTGGGATGACCTCAGCATCGTCGTCAGCCGGTAACCTGAAAAAGGATAATATCCCCATTAATAGACCTTTCAGACTTGATGATGAAGAGCTTGAGAAATTATATTGGAGAGTAGTGAACGATCAAGTCAACTCATATGAAGTTGAAAGTGGGATGGAAATCGATAGTACGGTCCACGAATCTGCATTCCCAACGATTTCTTGCCCTCAGCCAGTGCATGACGATAAAAAAATTTCCGAGTCCTTAGATCCTTGGAATCTCAATAATTTCCCAATCAATGACCAATCTTTGCTACGTTACTTGGACGATGATGATTACTCTAACCTCACCAGAACTAAACTTTCTATTGGAATGATGTTTAGCACGGAAAACTGGAATATGGAAGACCACTTTCTCTATAAGGCTTCGTATAATCATTTGGGGTCCACCAGGGTCTGGTACAGTATTCCACCAGCGTACCAACAGAAATTTGAAGCGTTAATTAAATCTCACACCAAAGTGAAGAAGCAAAACTTCAATGATGATGATGAAGTTTCTATGGATAAAGAGATTTCCAAGAATGAACAAGCGGCAATGGTATACGATGTCCAAAATAATCTATCAATCCAAGAATATTTGCATTGCTGTGTGGAAAATAAGGTACCATCGGTTTATGACAATGATCGATTTGTGCATCAAAAATCCAAGATTTTTGGTAAATACTTCACTAAGACAAAGGCCGGTTTAAACCAGTATGATAGATCAGGAGGTAAATTCCCAAGCAAACACCGGATCAGGACAAGAATTAAGGACTTGCCGGTGATGTATAATCAAGATACTTTTTTCCCACCGGAATATTTGATCAAGAATGGGATACCAGTTTACAAAACTTATCAAAAACCAGGACAATACATTATCAAGTTTGCCAGAGCTTACACCTCCAACATTGGATTAGGTTTTACGGTGGGTGAATCGGTGAATTTTGCCCCACCAAATTGGATTGACCACGCCTTTGAAGCCGAAAAATGGTTGACCAAACAAAATATCATTCCTGCATTTTCTGCCATCAAATTGTTGATAAATATTGCCAAAGATAAAGATATTGCCAAAAATGATAAATTAAAGGAAAAAATCAAGCCATTATTTGAGAAATTCTTCACTACCGAGACGAAATTACGGGAGAAGTTTTTGCAAATTTTTCCTACTGCTCAACGGGAGTTGATTAAAGATGATAAAGTGGATTATCAAGACACGTTTTCCGACCATAATTTGGAAACTTGCTATCCTTCAAAAGTGATTCTCAAAATGAAGGACAGCGTTTTCCAAGTATCATTACACAATTTCTTGCAAATTTATGATATCAATAAGAAATTTGCCAAAGCCATTGAAGTGGATAAGAAAATCGAGGTCAACTTGCAAGTTTATTATACTACCCAAGAATTGCAAAGTATTCATCAAGGTCTTAGTGTCAGTGGTAATAATACCGAAGAATGGTTGAAGGATTTCAAGAACTTCATGAAGGAAAATCCAAAACCCGAATTGTCCAACTTGAAAAATTTCTTGAATAGGAATTCCAGTCTCTATGATGAAATCCCAGAGTATAGAAGATTGCAAAAATTCATGGCTGAAGCGTATACTTGGGTAAAACATGCGCAATTGATTCTCCGTCGTGATCGCTCCCCTGGTAAATCTTTGTTGGACGCAAGTTTTGTGCAAAAAGTGGTGGATACCGTACCATCATTACAATTCACTTGTCCGGAAATCCAAGAATTGATGACATTTTCTGAGTGGATTGAGATGTACAACAAGAAAGTTTCAGAATTTCTCACCCAGAAAGACTATCATATCAGCGAATTTAAAGCGTTGATCAGCGAAGGTGAATCATTTGGGGTGTCGTTGAAATCGTTGAATATTTTGACAAAAATTGTCCGGCGTATGAACTGGCACCATCTTGCCACTCAATTAGTGGTTCGTAAAGGGAAAACAAATGATTTACGTACCATTGAGAAATTACACAAAGATGGTCTTGAACTTTTTCAAGATGGGGACAAAGAATTGCTAGATCTAATCAAACAGAAATTGGATGATGGGAAGAAATTGGACGCCAAAGTGAGAGAGAAGTTACAAGAAGATTTCATCACCATGGAAGATGTCCAATCATTACTTGTGGCGTCGATTGAAACCCCATTGTATCCAGAAACTCTCAAATTGATCAATGCAGTGTTCAATGATCATCGTTATGTGGAGGATAAATTGGGCAAATCGATCTTCCGGATCCGCCACTGTCAAAAATTGATCAACAGAGAAGTTGACATTCGTTTAAAATTAGAAGAGCGTTACAAATCGCATGAGAAAAATCGTGCCGAAGAGAAAACGAAATTCCTAGGTAAAGAAGATGGGGCAGAACAACAACAACAACAACAACAACAACAACAACAACAACAGCAACAACAGCAAGAGGAAACGGAAAGCTCTCAAGAAGATGAAAGATTCAAATTTTTCATCAAAGGGGGGTTGATTTCAAGATTGGAAGATGAATATTTACACGATTTCTCCCTCAAGTTTGATGGTGGGTTAAGAGACGAACGGCCATTCTGTAGAGAAATGGCGGAACTTATGGAAAGCATCAAAAGGATTTCCATCGTCAACAAGGAATCATTAGAATTAGAGTCGGAGTTAGCGAATACCGAAGTTTGGTCGCAAGAATGTTTCAAATTGGTTGTTCAAAATAGTGGTAACGTTTCCCGGAAAACTTTGAAAGAGGTTTTGTCCGATCTTATTTTTCTTAATAAGGGCGCCTTTGGACTTCATGAACCTGATCCTTATAGACCTCCTGAACCAATTAACCATGTCCTTGGGCCTAAACAGTTGAGTGGCGGGAGGTTGCGTTGCTTCTGTCGTAGAAATGACAAAGTGGGAAGAATGATCCACTGTATGAGTTGTGGGGAATGGTACCATGAACGTTGTTTGCGGAAACGTGGTGATTATTCCATAATCTTTGATGAAGGTTTCAAATGTCTTGTTTGTGACGAGACTTCGGTGCAACGGCAATATATCAGACCAACCTTCCACCAAATCTTGTACGCTTATTTTGCGGGTAGAAACTTATTGATTTGTCCTGATGATTTGTATCTCTTGACGGAGATGATCAATGATGCCAGAGTTTTCTTGAAGGAGGTTTGCACGGTGTTACAAATGAAGATTTATGATGATAGCAGTAACCGATGCGTTCCTGGTCCGTCAAAGACAGAAATTAGAGAAACCGATATTTCCAAATTGAAATTTTATTTGCGGAAATTTGAATCCAGTGGGATCAATTTCGAGACCGAGACCAGGTTAATTAGGGATTGTGTGAAGCATTTGGAAGGTGATATAACGAAGCCTGTGAAGGAAGAGAAGGAGGAGGATGGGAAGAATCTTGGAAGAGAAAAAGTTGACCCTTCATTACCGGAAGATCAAGAGGGAGACCCAAAATCAATGGGATTTGGCACCTCTTCGATTCTTTTGAATTGACGTATTTGTCAATTTTGAATTTTATACTATAACATTTTGAAATTCGTTTTTTTTTTTTTACTTGTGCTTTTTTTTTTTACATTTTTGCAGTATAATATTTTTATTTTTCATTTTTTCTTCTCTTGATATTTAATTCTATTTCTCTTGTATTTTGATTTTTGTGTTTCTTATTAATACTACTGTTATTTTTTTTCTCCAGTTTATATCAATACTCAGCCACTGTAGCCAAAGAAAAGGTCAAAAGGTCAGCAGAAAAAAACGAGCAAACTGTGCCAGTATTGTTACGGGATGATTGAATATATATATATATATGGGATAAGCATAATTGTGGATTGGAGGTAACTTTGGTATACCCAACCACATAGACTAATCTTGTAGGCACCAGGGTGATATGTGACACTTGACTTGTTTTTTTTTTTTTACAATTATCATAATGACAATCTGAGAATTTGCAAAGGCCAACTCCGTTACAACGTAGAGCATAACTAACTTCTCTGGGGCGAAACTTTGTACTTTATATTATTGGGAGCTAACTGACTAATCATTATTCAATGAGCGATACGTGCACCACCAATGTGACGGCGCGTGGTAGCGGTTGTTTTTGATTTTTTGATTTTTCATTGTTTTTCCATCTACTGCTGGAACCATTCTTTTGTTTTTTTTTTTTCTTTTCTACCAGTCTTGTTGTGACTAAGTCAAATTGCAAACGTTAAGTGTTTCAATTGATTGCACCTCCACCAGATGCTCCGGTAATAGTTGATCCAAATATAAAGCACCATAATTGGTGGAAATTGTCCCAGAAATATCGGGAGCAGGATGATCTAACGACGAACAATCCCAAGCTGGAATAAAAATGTCACACAAACCATCCGGCCCCCGATCTGAATCTGTAGTAAGTATTGATTGATAATTATACCAACTGACTGCCGTATGACCACCAACCCGGGATTCAAAATGTGATCGCAATATTCAACATGGCAAACCTTTTATTTCTTGATACCAAGCGAAACCCGATGATCTCAACCCAAATAGAGCCTTCTTCATTAGTATCTCACTATTCCCAAATTTCTTCACATTTAATTCATGACATGTACATTAATTGGAAGCATGATATTAACCGGATTAGGTACATCAGCATTGCTGATGTCAAGTACCCTGTGAAACGCATCTGGTTTTTTTATCATGAAAGCTAGTATGAATCTAAAAGTATTCACATCTAAGGTGAGAAGGGGGGGGGGGATAATTATTTCCATCAGGTAATACTGGTAATAAATTACCCAAAGCGACCAACCTTGATTATTCTATGTGGACTGGTTTCAATATTGCCATGGTAAACGATGTTGTTGTGCAAAAAACTTGCATGATGAAGTACGGTATGAAGGAGGAAGCATCATTGACTTTTTTTTTTTTTTTTTCGTTGGACATAATGCAGGTGTTATGGCTTGATACTTATTATATATATATATATATATATGAAGAGGATAGTTAATAATGGGAGGCTGCAATAGTTTCTTCTTCGGCTATTTTATTTATTGAACGAAGTGTGCAGGAGAGCTCTCTGTTGAGGGACACACAATTCTCAAAGATCTCCTGAAGGTAGGTAAGGTAATAAAATAGTGTATATTGTATACTTTGGTGGGCCACTTCATGAGACGCACAATTCTCGAATATATAACGATATCTGACTATAGTGAATGATAATACAATAGAATATATATATATATATATATACATTACATTAATAAATAATTGGTAAACACTGTGCAATTTCTTATTCTTCTCAATGCAGTAATAAAATAGAAGCCATGAGGGTTCCTGACCCTTCACAACGTCAAACTGCTCCCACTGCCGTTTATCACCCAACTGGGAGGATACAAAGAGCAGCTCATCTACCACAGTTTTAAGAGATAGCCCCCTGCTATCCAAGTATCACCACCCTCGGCATGATATTTCCCCGAGGAACCTTTGTTGTTTTTAATCCAAATGGTGCAACAGAATGACTCGCCATTTTCCCTTTTTGGTGTGAAAAAACGCAAAATTTTTTTTTTTTTTTTTTTTCTTGTGGGATTTTCAGTCATCATCACCATCATCATCATCCCCCTTCTAACTGCAACGAATAGATTTTAACTTCTAGTAGTAATCCTCTCTCCCTCCTTAAACACTAGCAATGTCAACTGCCGTTGTGAAAACTGACCTCAAACAAACTTTGCCGTTCCTCGCCAGAGGTAAAGTCAGAGACATCTACACCATCCCTGACCAATCGCTCTTGTTGTTCGTGGCCACCGACAGAATCTCTGCTTACGATGTTATCTTGAACAATGGGATCCCAAACAAGGGGAAAATCTTGACTCAGTTGTCAATCTTCTGGTTCAATTACCTCGGAGACGTGATCCAAAACCATTTGCTCGAGGCCAACAAGAAGGATCAAAACAAGAATCTTTTGGAAGTGTTGCCATCGGCGGTCTCCAACGATTCTCAGATCATTGGCCAACTTCTCGATAGATCCTTGATCGTTAGAAAATTCAAATTGGTGCCATTAGAAGTCATTGTTCGTGGATACTTGACAGGATCTGCCTGGAAAGAATACCAGCAATTCGGTACAGTTCACGGTGCCAAATACCCACCGGGAATGCAAGAATCTCAACAATTCGAAACCCCAATCTTCACCCCTTCTACTAAAGCCGAACAAGGCGACCATGATGAAAACATCGATAAAGCCCGTGCCGTAGAAATCTTGGGGGGTAACCAGAAATTGGTGGACGAAATCGAAAAAGCCGCTATTGCTTTATACACCAAGGCTAACGAATACGCCAAGACCAGAGGGATCATTATTGCCGACACCAAATTCGAGTTTGGGTTGGATGAAAACAATCAATTGGTGTTGGTTGACGAAGTTTTAACTCCAGATTCTTCCAGATTCTGGTCTGCCGACACTTACAAGTTGGGTCAAGGCCAAGATTCCTTTGATAAGCAATTCCTCAGAAACTGGTTGACCGATCGCAAGTTGAACGGTGTTGATGATGTTACCATCCCAGAAGACATTGTTGTAAAGACTAAGGCCAAGTACGTTGAAGTCTTGGAAAAGTTGACTGGCGAAAAATTCATTGAATAGATGGATTTTCTTAATGTCAATTGTCTAATAAATGTCAATTTTCTTGATTTTTCGTTCCCTACAAGAGTAATTTTTTTTTTTTTTTTTTCCCTCTTCCTTCTCTTATGATATGAATTATACGGCTTACAAAGTAACAGGAATTGAAGCTTTTCTTTCACCATTCTATGAATCTTTTCCCATTAATTCTCCGTTTTTTACTTACAAAACAAAACAAAAAAACAAATATTAGTGGATCTTCAATGATGTTTCAGTCAATGTTGTTGTTCATTTATATATTACATATACATACACATATATATATTCATGCCTTTGATTTCTTTAATTGCAAAGTATACAAAGTAGTGGCAGTTGAGCAATTGGTACTATGGAGGTTGATCCCCGCTTCGCTACCCACTAACTCAATCATTTTTCTATAATACTCGTCTATAATACTTGCGGAATGACTAGCCCCCATCATTTTCTGTCTGATGATGTGTTTTTGCGTGGGTAGTTGATGATGGTTCTGCTGTTGATATTTAATAATACATGGTGGAATAACCACTGGGTTCTGATGGTTAATATTGAGGTCGTTATTGTCATTATTGTTATTGTTGTTGTTGTTGTTGTTGTTGTTGTCGTTATCGTCATTATTGGTTACTTGCATTCTTGGTTTATCATTTGTAGCAAAACCCCCAGGTAATGAAGATGGTACGGTCAGAGAAAACAGTGCATTATCATTATCTGTCTGATTGCCATTATTTGTCTGATTGCCATAATTTGATGACGCCTTTTTAGTGGGATTCAAATTTCTCGAGTTGGGTTGATCGTAGGAGGAGTAATCATCATCATGATCTTCATTTTTCAAACTTTTCTGTCGTTTGGTTTGACGAGGACTTAATTCATCACCAGTGATAATTTCATTCGATGAATCATCATTATTTTTCCGGTGCCTCTGGTCCAAATAATTTCCGCCATGTTGAGGATTGGTAGATGATGATGATGATGATGATGATGACGATGATGATGATGATGATGATGATGTCGAAGGTGCCCCATTACCACTATCATAATAAGATTTTTCCACCTCGCCACCTTTACTGGGGATGATTTTCCAATTTACTTTCTCTAAAAACTCCATCTCCAAAAAATTTAATTCGTGGACTTTTACCCCACCAACTTTGGAGTAATGGATATTAGTGCAGAAATAATCGCAAAGTCCTTTCGACGCCACCGTGGTCGCGGTCAATAGGAATCGATGAACCGTTAGCGAATTGAGACTGAAGTTCTTGTAGTTTGTGGTCAATAAATCGATATAATAAATGGCAATGATCAACACCAGATTCTCCAACGAGTTGTAGTACGCAAGCCGCATAAGGTAATCGTACACCAGAATCGACGGTGGAGCACGCGAATGGAATCGCGTAAGGCTCAGCGACGACAAATTCAGCTGGTTATGGATGATCGGTAGGTATTTGTCATTAATGATGATTAACGACGTTATCATCCGTGATATTAGGGTCAAGAGATCCTCTCTTTGGCAATGTAGGAAGTTTTCTGGGAGTAATTTCGTGGGTAGTCCCGCCTCATTATTGTGGTTATTGTTATTAGTGGACGCCATTACTGTTATTGTATCAATGGGTTATTTAATGTTCTTTTTGTAAAAACTTCATTGCTCCCCTGCCAGAAAAAAGATTGTTCAACAGACAAAACGTCAAAACAATATTAGAATCACTGCTGTCTCGGTGTGTGTGTGTTTTTTTTTTTTTTTTTTTGACAAAAACCTCCAACACGTGGGGGTGTAACCACACAGTTATGATTAATTTTGTTATCTATCGATCACCTATCGATTATTACTATCGCCCTATTGGGAAAATGACGTGTGGGTGTGTAGGGATCTAAAAAAAAAAAAATAACTAATCTAAGATCTTTTCTGTAATTACAATCACACCAATAGGATTATTACTATTATTATCACTAATTATCATTATTATTATCACTATTATTATTATCACTATTATTATTATACAGTTAATATACATAACAAAATAAAGAATTCTCAACCTTCTAGAGAAAAAAAAAAAAAAAAAAAGAATCTTCAATGATCAGCCAATACACACAATAATCACTTCTTACGCTTCTTATAACCAGAAACACCCCCATTCTTAACCTTTGGTGGTCCCTCATAATGCGAATGGCCCAATCTAGAAATCGCGCATTGGTTCACCCATTCGCTACATCGTTGCTGTTCTCGCTCTTGTTGCAATTCACTTAATTCATCCATTTTATCAAAATATTCCTTCTTTTTGGCTTGGTGGTCTTGCAACCTCCGACGTTTCAATTCTCGTTTCGAAGCTCTCTTGACAATTGTCTGTTCAACCTCCAGGTCAACAACAACAGTATTCGGTTGTTCTTCTTCTCCTTTGATTTCTTTCGAAGATTTCCCCACTGCTTCTTCAATGTCTTTCTCTTCTTTTGCAGCAGCCCTTCTAGTACGTCTTTTATAAACCGGCTTCACTTCTTCAATTTCCACCGGTTCTTCCTCAGTAACAGTTTTACTTTTTTCATCCAATTCATCCATTATTTTTTCACCATCACTGTCGTCACTCTCAGAAAAATATACTTCATCAATCTCTTTTTGTAACAACTTCTCTGCTTCGGGAATATCATCAAGAAGCAAAGCTTTTCTTCTCGCTTCAATACTCGCGTCAATGGCACCCTTGATTCTTGCCAACTCTTTCCGCAATTCAGCTTCACGATTACCCCAAGGAACTAATCCTCGAATCAATTGCTCAATTTCCTCTTGCGATTCGTAGAATCTCCAATCTTTGGAAGAGATCATTGGGCACGGAGCCTCACAAATAAGTTTTCTTTGTTGAGTGGTGAGTTTGACCGGTTGCTCTTCCTTATGATCTTTAGTGTTATCTTGTTTTTTCTTCTCCCCAGCATCATCAGATTTCCCACCTTCCTTTACAATTTCCGATCCATTTTCTGTCAATTCCTGTTTAATGTTCGCATTTCGATCATCAGCCTCTTCAGCCTTAACCAATTGGTTTTCGGTTTTCAGATCGCCATCAATAGTTTTAGATTCTTTTACCTCCGGTTTATTGTAAATCACAACCCCATCCTTATCCTTGACAATACTTCCATCTTCAGAAAATTCTAAATCAAATACTTCTTTAGCTGCAGCAACAAAAGATACTGGCAATTTCTCAGTTTTCGTATAGTCTGAATTTTCAATTTTCGCCTTGATCATTGCAAAGTTCTCACGTTGATCAGCGATTTTGTCGACTTTTTCCTCCAAGTTATGTTTAATCTTGTAAAAGTTCTCAAAATCTTTCTGAATCACGTCCAACATAAACATATTATCTTCGAAACTTGGACCTTGAACCCATAAGCGACCCATCAAGTAACGTTCTTGCAGGGCATCGTTAGGATTGTTGACGATGTCCTTATTATTGGTGGCCGCGGCATTATTATCTTTATCTTCATCATCCTCATCATCCTCATTCACTATACTGGAACTTCTGTTGACAATTGGCAACCCATTACTTTCGAACCACCAATAACGGTTATAAAACTTGTCCTTGCCAATGATTTTAACCCTAGCACAATCAAGCTCGGTTAATTTCTTCTCGATTTTTTTTCTAATTTGTCTCAACTTATTGGCTTCAGAAATACATTCTTTTCGGGCATCGAGTTTCTTTTGGTATCCAGCGTTGATATTCCCAAGGGAGATCTCATCTTCACTGGCTTCAAACTTCAAAGTGAAATTACGTCTACGACGTTTGCTATCTTCATCGGGGGGTAATACCAAATTAGTGGCCGACTTATCTTTTTTCCAAACTTGTAACAACATGTTACACTCAGCGTTCAAATCACGAGCTTTATCCATCACCGCTTTGTACTCACGCACTGCGTCTAAACGATCTCTTCTTAACCTCGTAGCTTCTTCCATCGCATTATCAATGTAACTTCTAATGATTTTCCCTTCGATGAGCAATTCACAAAGGACATTCAATGCTTTGATTTTCAAATCGATCGGCATCTTAGTATAAAACTGATTCTGAACCGAAGATGCTGAGGCGCTAACGCCTTTCGGGGCGAGAACGTCGTTGATTTGTTTAACAAGGCTTTTGTATTTCTTGAGATGAGACACTAACGAGAGAACCCCTAGCATTATAATCTGCCAATACCCATCCTTAAATTGACGTTTGAATAGTCGTTCTTGCCATGATATATTACGATAGTTCAAAAGTTTACCAGCATTGTTGCGTTTGTTATCGTACTCATCTTCAGATTCCAGATCTGAATGCGATGGGTCCTCACTAAGTTTGATACCTTCATAAATATCGAAATCGAGACCATAATTAGATTCGGATTTCACTTTCACGTTAACTTTCTTTGGTTCACCTTCGTCTTGTATATCATTTGGTTCGTCATCCTCTAGTTTCAAATCTTCAGTTTTAATCTCTGTAGTATCGTTTTCTTTCATTTCTTCATCATCATTATCATCAACATCATCATCATTACCATCGTTTTCTTCATCATCAGACTGCTCATCAAATATCGATCGTTGGGGAATGGTGACCAATAGAAATTCTTCATCTTCGTATTTACCATTTGTTGGGATCGGAAAATCGATTTCTACCATTGGTTCATCATCCTGAACATTTTTATTAGCAGTATTCCCATTGCCATGATTACTATTCCCCGCTGGTGTCGCATCACCATCATCTTTAATGGCATATTCATATCCATAAATTCTGAGCCCCACGTCTTCGTTTTCTCCAAGAATAAAACAACTAAGTACCGCACAAAATATTTCATCTAATAATGGGATATTTCTTACCTCGGTCAATTTAAAACAATTGATGAAATCATCGAATGTGAAATTATCAAGAATCAAGGCATTGCTGTAAACGTTCAAAAAGATCCATGATTGAAGGGCTTCGGAAATGAAATCTTTTAGTTCGGGAATAGTTTGAGGTCTAGGGATTTTAAAATCATTGAATAATTCATTTGGCGCTTGTGATTCGGGCCAACCCATTGGAATGTCCATATCCTCGATCAAACATTTCTTTGGTGCCACTACATCGAGATACGATCCGAGTCCTTGCACATATGCCATTTTCTCAAGCCCGTCCATTTTATCTATCGATGCCTGAGGAGGTTTTGGACCAAAATAAACCGGTTCTCTCAATTCAATTTTGAATTCTGATGGGTCTTGGAGCGATTGTTTGTTATTTGCATTCATAATATCACCAAGTGGCAATTTCTTGAACCCGGTTGCCCCGATGGCGATGGTGGTCGCCCCAGGGGTCCCTGCAGGGGCAAAAAGCGGTTTAGGAGCCACCATTTTGACTTTATTAGGTAAAATCGGAGGCAACTTAATTTGCTCTTGGGATTCTTCAACTTTCGTATCTTTCTTAGAATCAAGGCGCTTAGCAGGATGTTCAGAATCTTCGTTTCCTGGTCTTTTCCTTGATTTTGGAGAAGGTTTTGGAACGTGCGTTTTCGGGGCAAACGCCAATAAATGAGGAGGGTATTCCATTGGAATTCTGTATTTTGTTGCGAATTGTTCCCGGACGATCCATGGGGCACCGATCTTGCTCGATCTTGAAACACTAAGTTTTATAAAAGTTTTCACAAACCATTTAGTGAAATGGGCTCTGTCTCTAGATATACTCGACTCATCGATGGTCACTTCGGTGCTATTATCAAATAAAACGCGATAACTGCAATAACCGGGTCTTAGCATCCCTAGCTCATCGACAAATGCATTGAACCTTGCCTTCTCTTTTATCTTTGCTGGTTTCTTAGTGTCTTGAAACTTGACCAAGACGCTTTCGCCTGGATAGAAATCATTCTTGAATTGCGAATACACCATATCAACGAGTAAATCTAGTCTTGGGATGGTGGAGAATTGTAAGAATCGCAACACTGGTTCCTTTAGCGGTTCAGGGAAGTTTTGATCGACTTTTTTCATTTCATGCTTTTCTGATTCGAGGGCTTCGAAATAGGTGAAACACGAATTACCGGTGACTTCGCACACAAACTTTCTTCGATTATAATAATCTAGACGATCCAAATACTCTTGGTATGAATAAAACCATTCTTGGGTTTCTGGAATGTGCCATACCTTCACACTCATGTCCTCCGGCAACGGTGGGGGATCTTGGTATATAACTGGTTTTCTCTTGTACAACACCTAGAAAAAGAGCATCGGTTAGTAAAAACAAAAACAAAAAAAAAAAAATCACGATCGAGGATGTTGTTGGAAAGATATATATATGTATAAATATATATCAATTATCATTCATTCAAAAATGGTATGACGTATTCGAGCCTTCGTGTATGTGTATGCTCAAACGCGTTTTTGATGGCACTTACCATGTTGAAAAATTAACGATATGGTGATGTTGTTTTGGTGGGGTTGTTTCTGGTACGTTTTGATTGGGAATCGAGATCGACGGCAACTAAACACCATGTAACAAAACAGGAAACAACAGATCAAATGGAGCAGACAGGTAGGTCTAGGAGATTAGCCAAAAAACAACACAAATTAAAAAAAAAAAAAAAAAAAATACCGAAAAAACTGCGCGGTGCGAATAGAACACGAGCTCATGCGACAATGTGATCTGTGCATACATGTGCATGGCGGCCCCCCCCCCCCCTCTCCCACAAAATATCTATCCAGCGCTGTGGCAATTGGTGTGTGCTGGTGCCAATGGTGGTTTATCAAAATAGTATTATGGTGGGGATCCTGGAAAATGTCCCTTGTTTTTCTTTTTTTGTTTGTTTGAAGAAAAATGGGTGTAGGTGGAACGGTGAGACAATCCAATAACAATGTATGTGGAGAAAAATCAAAAAAACAAACACAACGGCAATGAGTATCGTCTCTTTACACATTGTCTGTTCTCTTTACAAATAATGGTGGCAAAAACCCCAATTGAGGTGTTGATCGCCGACTTCTTGAAGTCAAAAGGGTATACCAAAACTTTGACCACTTTCCAAAACGAAGCAGGAATAACTTTGCCATCGACCGATGGTTACTTTGAATCACTCCAAGAAATTGTCGATGATCGTCAGAAATACCTTGAACATAGTACCCAAGTCTCCCAAGGGTTGAAAAACTTGGCCATTGACGACCACGAGCTACTATCGCTAATCAAACCATGGCAATACACTAACGTGGCTCACCACGCCCCTTTACTGTTTTCTGGCGCGTCACTAGGGTTAGACTTGACGATCATTGATGATTTGAAGATTGGTGGTGATAGTGCTCCTTCCAAACAGTGTCTCTTGGTCTCGGGAAATGATAAAATCCTTAGGATCGTTGATATTACCGACTACTCGACCTTAGCTATAAGTGATCCCATAGACTCTGGCTCGATTTTCAAATCGTTTGTGGCGATTCCAGGAACCAGCTACGTTATGTCGGGAGCCATGGACGGGTTGGTGTATTTCTTCAAAGTTTCAGATGATGATCATAAATCTCCCAAGAAATTGCAACTCATCAAGAAACATAAAATTCACAGAAGGGTGATTTTAAAAATCAATTACCTACCAATTGATGACCATTCGGGGTATTTGGCATCGATTGGGTTCGATCTGTCATTGAACGTTATCAAGTTATCAATTGACCATGGGAGTATTGAGATTAAAGATATCAGCAGAATATATACTCTTAGTAATCCTACTGATCTCTATTGTTTCAATTACAAAGCATCATTTACCAAGCTGCCAATACCACTTTTTTTGATCTCCCGAACCGACTCCACCTTGCTATCATTCTTCACCCTTGATTCTCATGGTTTGAAAATCGTTGAGGTATCCAGAGTATCATTGAACGACGCTGAATTCTCAAGCTATCAGTTTACCCCGGTAAATTTAAGTGTTTATAATCCATCGCTGGATGCCCATACTATTGATCAACAAAGTATTGATGAAGACGTCACAAAAACTCCGTTAATTTCTATTGCCACTTCGCACCAACCATACTTGAGAATCATCACTACTAAGTTCCCGAACTTACAAGTTGAGCTTGAATCCATAAGGAACAATTCTGATGGTGATGATGGTGATGATGCTGTTGTTGTTTCCGACAATTGCAATCAAGAACTAGTAGGGAAAACTCTTAGGGGAATGATTATTTCCAATGTGGTTACCACCGTGGCGCAAGACAAATATTCAAAACATGTAATTCATTGGAAAACCAACGGGTCAGGAGTGTGGATTGCTGGCGATGATGGAATCATTCGAGGGGTCAATTTTTCCAAAAATGATTACACCGAAGTCGCTCAATTGAAAAGTCATGATGGTGAATTTGGGGCGAGAATCATCTGTTTAGCAGGGACCACAAAAGGAGGTAAAGAAATATTATTTAGTAGTAGTAGTGATAAACAAATTTTTGTTTGGCAATAGTGATTTAAAGAACCAATATCATCACAATAAAAAAAAAAACAAAAAAAAAAAAATTATAATCATAAGAGAGTACTTAATGTAGAACCAAAAAGAATACCGTCCTTACATGATGAATAGAAATTCTGTCAAATATATGAATATATATATTCAAGTATTGCTATATTTTTAAGGGAAGAAAAAATATAAAAAAAAAAAGTGAATCATTACTGAAAGTAATAATCAAAATCACAAATCTCTCTGCTGCTGATAGAATTCCTGGTACATTGAATTAAAGTGATTTCTAATAAAGTCACTGGTGACTACACGATAAAAAGTACTAGATCCAAATCTATAAAACCCCATCAAGTTTAGTCCAAACAATTGTACTAACTGTTGCAAGTCTTTGAGTCGTAGATTTCTGGTCATGTCATTTAAATCAGCCTCCGAACTGAATCCCGAGCTCCCAAAGTTTTCGGCCTCTGCCATCCCGTTAAAGAGTTGTTGGACATCACTTTTGAATACCATAAGCTCTTGGGTAAAATAATGATGAATCCAAATGATGTCTTCGATAAACGTCTCGGCACCGCGGATGTAGCACCATGCGCCACAAATCAAGAGCACCAACACTATCGATACCCTTATGAATGTGAGGACACTGTTGATGATGAAAGTGATGGTGGCTTTGAGGATATGATAAGTCACATATAAAAGGATGAGCAGGGCGATGGTCGAAGACACCGTTGGGTAATTGATGTAGAAATAAAGAGTGAATTTGTAAACCTGAAGAAGGAATGCAGATAGAATGGAATAACCATAGAGAATGACAATGGATACTGATTCCCAAGAGGATTCTGTGTCTGTCATTTTGTCGATATTTGTTGTGATCGCGTAAATTAACTATAATTATTAATATCAGTATTATTATTATTACAAAAAGTGATTTTCTATACAAGGCCGCGTGCGATAAGACAAAACATGAAATACATTCTAATGATGATTTTACTCAAAACTACACCACCACCCTTCCCTTCTTTCTCAACCGAATGAGCTTGATAAGTCTAATGAAAAGCGCCTCAAGCTGCTCCTTGAACATGAACAAGAACCCTTGAACAATCACCGCTTTGGAGATTTGCGGCATCAATCCTTTCCATAACCCTAACACCCCATCGGTGTTGTACACGTACCATAGGCATTCCTGGAAAGTATTGAAGTTTCTTTGGGTCTTGACGTATCTGGTTTCCCCAGTGGTTGGATCGACTATTTTCTCGGTTACCACGGTGGTTTTCTTTTGGATCATCACTTTACTGAGAATCAACGGCATGGTGACCACGGTGGCGAGTAATTTAGAAAGCACCCCAAGAGAAAACGATTGGGCTACCGATAAGTTTTGTTTCCCATTGAACAATAATGACCGTAATCTGGCAAAGGTCCCATAAGTGATACTTGGATTAGACGTAAGCACCAAACTGACTTTAAGACCGCTCCATAACCCAGTGATCCCATCACGGCCGACGATTTTCCTAGCGGTGTCCAAAAAACTTGGGTTATCTTTACCATCCTCGCTGATCTCGGTTTGCTGCTTTGTGGAAATCGTCGATACTGGCATGATGAAGACCTGGGACAACGCCGCGGCCACCGCTCCGAGAGATAACTCGACAAGCGTGGACTTCACCTTATTCTTAGGATTCCGAGTTTCATAAATCTTGTGGACAATAGCGTACCAGAAGAAATAAGCGAAATTCAGGGCGGCGGTCGAGCAAAGCGAGGGGACAATGCCAAAGTACCACCCGTGAAGCCCGTGTTTGACAAACAATTTCTTTAGACAGTCGATGCTGTCGGCGTACAAATTGGGGTTTTCCTTGATCTCTTTGAGGGTGTAGGCCTTCAAGTTCTGTTGCGACTGGATCAATGTCTTGGTGATGTCCAATGGATACACCACGGTGTTGGCGACCACTGAGGCGAGTGATCCAATGGCTGCTTTTTCCAACGGAGACAAATTAACGTTGGACATTTGTGGTTGTTATTTTTGAAGTTCAAACGATTGAAAATGTTCCCAGGAATGAGATATGGTAAATAGAAAGAGAGCAGGGCAGAGCAGATCACACGGCCTCTTTTTATACCATCTTGCAAGCGGTGATCTTCTATTAGGGATTAAAACAAATATCGCATATCCACCCGATAAAAAAAAAAAAAAAAAAAAAAAATTGCCAGACAACGTAACGTCACAAAATAGAGATTATTATTATTACTATTCGTATTTATCATATTGTCTATATATACAACCAATAGTTTAATCAATACAAATACAACAATTATCACTATTCTTAGCCAATCCATACTACACCATTCACTAAAATCGGTTCATCGGCCGTTATCAAACTCCGATATATACATACATACATGCAAATAACTAACAACTAGCTAATTACAACAATATCAGACACAGCAAAAAATAAATAAATAAATAAATTAAACATCATTATTATACAGAATTATAAAGGAAGGTTACGCCCTTCGATCGACACCCCTGACTTTTTCGCCAGTCTTTTCCCGCCCCTGTTCAACATCTTACCATTAAGTCTTCGATATTGATCATCTCTACTCAAACTTGCACCAATCCCCGCCGCCGCCATTCGTTGGGCAGAAGTCATTTCCCTAGCCATATTAACCTTAGGAGCAACCTTGTAGGCCGTAGCTCTTGGTTGTGGTGCTGCAGCTCTTTTTCTTCTGGCAGCATTCTCTTCATACGTAGTACGATCGAGGTTCGCGGTGTCGCCAACTTTTCTCTTTCTCGCTTCGATCAATCTGTCGATATCAAAACTTTCTTGCTGAATAATCTTATCATGGTAATTGTCTGACAAGTTCAAGATCGGTCTAGTCCAATTCCCAACAAGCTTATCGGCAATTCTCTTCAATCCCGGCTCTACCCTTTTGGATTTCTGATAAAATAACACAACTTTACCCAACCCTGATTCTCGAAGATGAATGGTTTTAATTGGTAACTCCAATAGCGAGCTGAAAATCACTTTCTGGATCTCGTACGCTGGCAATGATCCATCTGGTAACGGTTCTAACCATACTCGGACACTTTCCAACAAATTGTTATCCAAAATCGAATCGGCCAAGTTTTTTCTGAGCAACACCTCCTTGACCTTTGGCAATAGTTTCAATTTGTTCATGGCAACCCCGGATTTCTCATCGATACATCTGGCGTCTTCAAAGGCCACTTCTTGCATTTGATTTTTCAACCCTTGGATTTGGGCATCTTGCATTTGCTCAAGATCGATATCACCATTCTTCTTACGACGGCGCGAGTTTCCCAGCTTGATCGCCTCATCAAGACGTTTTTCCAACATTTCTCTTTTTTTAGTGGCACTGCTGTCGTCATCAATGGTGTATCTGTCGCCTTCTTCACGTAACCCCCGATCTTTTCTACTTCCCCCAGTAGCATTATCATTATTATGACTGTCGGACACATGGTAGTCATTTTGGCGGGGCTCACTGCTGGATTTCTTGTGACGGCCCATACTGAGGATCTGGTCTTCGTCGTCTTCGTATTCTTCTTCTTCCCCTTCGTCTTCGTCGACGTAATCTTCCATCTCATCGGGGTCATTGTTGTTGTCGTTGTTGTTGTTATCTTGCTGGCCGGCGGAGTCGTCCTGGTCATTTATTCTGGTTTCCTCATCATGAGCGGGGCTATTCTGTATACTTCCTCTCTCATCATCTGAACTCATTATTATATTATATTATATTATATTATATTATATTATATTATATTATATTATCTTATATTTGCTATTGTTATTGTTATTGTTAGATATCCTTCCTGCTGCCTGTCGTTTTGTCACTGACTTTTTTTTTTTTCATCCTTTTGCCCTCCCTCCCTCCCTCCCTCTCTTTCACGGTGACAAGCACCAGCGGGTTACCCGTTGCATTATCCCACCCGCCAGTCCAGTCCAGTGGTGCTTTCCAACGGTTATGTTATATTATTCCAATCACTGGCACCGTTGCTGGTCAAATTCAATTTATCCTGTTTATAAATAATATAGGGGTGGGGGAGAGTGATTCCTAAGTATCCACCATTCATTCATTCATTCATTCATTCATCATGATTTCGGCCAGTCCTTCCCTCCCTCCCAACCGCCAATGACATATATATATATACATATATAGGAGCTCCCGTGCACGTACGTAAGTACCAAAAAAAAAAAAAAAAAAAAAAAAAAGAAGGAAAGTTACCAATACTACGCCATCAAACTATCTCTGTTGGATCAATTCCATAACCTATCTTACACACACACAAACATATATATATAATACAAAAATGTTCGGCCAAGGTGCAGTTCCTTCTGAAGAGGAAAAGAAAGCTCAAACTGCTGCTAGCAACCAAACTCTCCAACAAGCTTTGGTGATTGGTAGTGCTTTATTCATTAGTAAGTAAAAACAAAAGAAAATTGCATCCAATATATATATATATATATATATATCCATCTATTTTTTTTTTGTTTCCTTTGTTTTCAATTTCATAATTACTAACCTCGTCCATAGTCCCATCTATCATCCACTTCATCCAAAAAAGAATGAACTAAGCGCATGGTTTTGAATATCCTAGTCTTTTGGGATCCATCATCATCATCATCTCCTACTGATTTTTGAATGAGAGATAATGCCCCATTTTTTATGTTTGTTTCAATAATAATGAAAAGTCTTTTGTACATATATGTATATACGGTTCTTACAAGTAAGAAATCCTTATGAATGAGTGAATGCTATTTTATTAACTAAATTCTTCCAACTGTAAGTTTTTAATTTGTTTTATTTTTCTCTTGGATATTTCCTTTTTTTTTTTTTTTTTTAATTGATGTTCGAGATAATCTGGATTAAACAATGATGCCAGGACTGTCAATTGAATACATAAATAATCTCATAATTGTGCAAATATATATATATATATATATCATCCTCGTTCATCTTCTTTGCCTCCATGACAAATAATACACTTCATGTCATCCTCACTCACCCCTAAACGTTGGACACACTGATAATGATAACTGTGCCCACACTTGAAAATCACCACTTTCAATTCTTTCCACACTTCTTCATTGAATTGAAGACCTTCCACATAGTCACTACTATTGATTTTCTTATCATTATCCAAAAGATATTGCGTCCTTTTTCTGTGGAACCCCTCCCAATTTTGAATGATTTTGCTGCTGATCATTCGTCCCCAGATTCTTTTACCACATCCACAGCACTCAATGCTATTTGGAGAAATCCCTTTGCCATTTTCAAGCTGAATCGCCTCAAGATTCTTTCGTACTTCAGTATTATATAAATCAAGCACAATCCGGAGAGATTTTTCTTGATAAACATTCAAAAAGAATATCTCATCGATAATTCCTTTAATATCCCCAATCGTGGTTATATCAGAATTACCACCTTTGCTAGTTTCCAAAAACTTGTTGAAAATACGAAGGAAAATCGTGTTGCTTTTGGACTCTAGTGATGGATCAGTTTTACAAACAGGTTCTTCAAAATTGGTATTCATCAAGCTCACAAATACTTCTTGTAATAATCTCCTCAATAAATCAACTAATGATTGGATTCTAGATTTCTTTTCTCCACCATCATCATCATCCAAAGAATCAAGCTGTTTTTCAGCCAACTTGATAAACCTATTCAAACAATCATTAAGCTTAATCCAGGAAGCTTCTCCGGAGACAACACTTCCATCAGAAATGATTTTACAATCATCAACTGCAACCGTCAAGTATTTCCATAAGTTCTTTTCAAGCTTCCCAATGTCTTCATCATCAGTTAAACTTTCTTGAACAAGGCTCTCTAAATACAACAATACCTCATCCAAACAAACAGTATACTGTTTACTAACATCATGTAGTAAAAAGACAATGCCATCTATAGCATTACAATCTCTCAAAGTATTCAACAACCTCCGATTGATGGTATCGTTGAAAAATCCCATATTGATGTTTTTCAAGAACCTCACAATCTGTCCCGAATTAAATTGGCAAAGCAATCCCACATAATGTAATATGTCATCATCTTCGACGATTTTATTTCTCGTAATCTCTTGCTTATCATCAAACACAATTTCAAATAAGGCTCCCAAATATTCAAATTGAGTTCTGAGATCAGTAATGTGATATATTTGTCTATTGAGTTCATAGTTATGGCCATTGAAGGTCTTGATCAATTCTGATAAATCACCTTTATCCGAGGTATTTATCAATTTTTTAAAGTTTTGTTTAACGAGACTCTCTAAATTTTCATTCTCCATAATGGTATTTTCTTGCTCCACTAATTGGAAACATAACTGTAAAATCTCGTAATTAGAGTAGTCTCCCCCATGAAAATCATCATCATCATGATTATTTAGCCACAACTCAAACAATTTACCAGCCTTTTTCTCAGACTTGTACAAACTGAACAACAAATTTTCAAACTCATTTTTTTCAAAATAGAACATCAACTCATCGTTTAAATTAGTCGGATGATAAATGCTTAACAAAGTTTGCAAACTAAACTCACAATCCTTCTTCAATGACCCATAGTCTTTATCCTCATCAAGCTGATGCAAATCACAAATATTCTCAATTAAATGGTCCAATGATGAATCATTGATTGTAATAAATTGCGGATATTTCGGATAGTTCCTAAGGACAAATATGCTTAAATAAATCCGTTTCTTCAAATCAAACAACGTCTCATGTTCTTGAACCATGCTGATTAACACTTCAATAATATATTGACGATTAATTTTAAAAGTCCTTGGAAATTGATACTTTACCAGTCCAGCATCATCGTTAACCATCCCATCTTCATTGAGAAACTCGTCTTCCATTACTTCGTTTAACATCAACAATGTTTTTTCCGTATTAAATTTCAATAATAAATAAAGATAAGGAAATGAGGGCTCATTGATGGGATTATCTGTAACAAAAAAAATTTCCCCTGAGTTTATTGGCCATTCAATAGAAGACCCATTGAAGAGTATATAATACAAATTCATTTTTATATTTCGCATACTCTCTGGATCTTCTGCTTCAGTAATTATATCCAAAGGATACTGTCTATTGGTCAAAATATAAGTCAAGTACGAATATACCTTCATCAGTTGATATTTTAATACTAGTAATGATTCAACATAATGATCTGAATTGTAAGTAATTTTCCTAATAGTAGTCAAGAAATCCATAAATGGCCCAATATAATCTTTGAGTAATGAATTCCATATAAATATTTTGGCATCAATAAGCTTATACTTCTCACAAAGCGAAATAATCAAATCAAGGTCCATTTCTTTGACATTTAGTAAGCAGATCATTTCTTCTAACTGGTGGAATTTAGCGGACTGTGTTTCATCAATTTTGGAGGCGAAGGATATCACCAACTCTTTCAAAATTTTTGGCGACAAGTTCCGGACCTGCTTGGTGAAAATAAATGTTTCTAAAGCTTGGAAATATATTGATTTCAAACTATCAGAAGCTTCAAAGTATTCAAACAATTGCTCATAAATTTCTGAAGAGCAATTCATGGAAATAAGCCCGGTAAATGCTAGCGTGAGCAATTCTTGCAATTCATGAGCACTTTCATCATCAACTTTGTCGTCATTCACTTCATGATTTTCTTCTTGGTTAGAAATATTTTGATTTTGACTAAACCATTCGTTGAAATTCAAGAAAATCAATCTTTGTAGATGCTTGCTGATCAATCTGTGTCTAACTTCATCCTTTCCCATCAATCGATATCTAATTAAATCACAATCCCCAGTATAAAAATTTAAGCATTCCATTAATGCAACCTTTATGGACTTTAAAGTTTTCTCATTGATCGCCGCCACCAAAAAACTTTCCCAGTTGCTCATTGATCCCATTGCGATCTTATTATTCTTGGTTAAGATAAATATATTGTTCTTGAATGTTCTAAATGTATCATCAAATGTATTGAATAATCCAATTTGGCTACTAATAGAAACTTCATTAGCGTAATTATCAACAGGGATGAAATTCTTAATGTAGTTATTATAAATAATATGGTTAGAGATAGCATCAACAGAGCCAAAAAGTCTAAGATCTTGCTTATCATTCAATTTGAATCTCATTAATCCAGTATCAATGGCCAAAATTCTTGACGACACCGTCATCACAAGAATAATTTTCCCGGTAAGCCACAAGACAGAAACGATTGGTTCATCACACACCCATCTTTTCTTGTCTTGAATTTCCACCCTTAGTGAGTCTAAATTTTTATTATCATCTTTATCATTAGAGTTTTTGCTATCCAAATCTTGATTCTCGACTGCTTCAAGCTCTAGAACCGTTAAAATATTGGAGAAACAGTATGCCAATCTGGCCCCCACTTTTCTATTGTTATACACAAGCTCGGGATACCAGCCCAAGCATGAGGTTAAATTTAAATTTTCTTGGTTTTTAAGAATCACTGGCTTCCCAATTTTGATATGGGTTGTCAACTGAGGATTAATAGAAATCACCAATAAAGCATTGGAGGTGATTACCGCAATCAAGTTTAGCAAGTCTAACTTTTCATGAAGTTGGCACAATGGTAATGGAGAGCATCCAAATACGTAGCATTTAGTTTTCTTATCCAAGTAGCTGAGTCTCTTGCTACCCTTATTTTTCGTGTTGATGTCGTTATTATTATTATTATTATTATTATTATTATTATTATTATTATTATTATTATTATTACTTTTCTCTTGGCCAAATGTAAAATCCAAGTCTGAGCTCCCTAGGATTTTCCTGGTCTTGTAATTATATCCAAATATACTTCTAAACCCATCATGAAATAGCACCAATCCATCAATGTCAGTACTAACTATTGCAGTATGACGCTTATTTAAGAAGAATAAATGATTTATAGGCTTATTTACTAGATGTCCTTCTCTCCCATTCACTTTATCATTGATGGTTACGGGGTTGATCGATAGAATTGGCTCCCCGGAATACTCAGGGGTTAATCCTTTCAAATCCCATATAAAGATATTACCGTATTTGTGACCAGTGGCAATATACGTTGAATCTAAGGAGATCGCCAAACTAGTTACTGCCCCGCTGCTGAGCACTTGCTTGTTATTGACTCCCAAAAACCCTTTAATGTTTTGGTTGTAATCAAAAATCACCGTCAACCCACGATTTGTACCAAACACCATGAAATCAGTTAACAAATTGAAAATTGTGATTGCTCCATATTTCATCGCGAAGTTAGGGCTGAAAATGATGTGGGATATTTTGTCCAAGGTTATCCAACGAACCATGCGGTTGTTATTATTATCCTCATCATAATTGGCACCATCTATGGTGCTATTGTTGTCGCTAATGAGTTCCTGTGATATTAGATTATTGGTATTTGAATCTTTTAAAAGAGAATTCAATCTTGTCTTGAATCGATGGTCAAACTTATTATTTGATTGATCTACCGCCTCATCATCACTTGTCCATAGGTTATCATAGGGCTCGTTTGTATGTTAGTGAATTACAGTGACCGTGGTCATTCCCAATACCGTGCGGTACCATACATACTATTTCATCAATGGAGCTATTGATATTCATTGTTGTGTGCTAACAATCACATACATTGATTGTAACGCTCCGCTTCCTTTGTACACTTGTGTGTGGATTTTTCTGGTTGTCAATTTTTAGCCTGGCATTCCGATCCGGATATGACTAAAGAGCACCGCCCGGCCGCACATGCCAGCCCATTTCGGGGTATAAAATTTACTCTATTTTTTTTCGTTCTTTATTTTCCTGTAAGACAAGTTTTTTTGCTCCCTTTCTTGAAGCCACCTATCTTCTCAAAACAATTACCATACTCTACATTAAACAATGGCCGACTCTAATTTAATCATCGATGTGCTTATTGCCATCATCTTGCCTCCAGTTGCTGTCTACATCAAGGAAGGTACTACCTCTCCATTCTGGATTAATCTTATCTTGTGTCTTTTCGTCTGGTTCCCAGCTATCCTTCATGCCCTTTACGTTGTCTTCAAGAACCGTAACAATTGAAGATGGGTAAACACTGACCTGAAAAAGCTGAAGTTTATCGAATTGCACCCAAAATGACAGAGCTGCTCTTTTTCATGTTGTTGTTTCAAGAAACAATTAATTGCTCCTATTTTTTATTTTTTATTTTTATCTCTAACGGTGCATTACCGCGCTCTTTTTTTTTCCCTACTCTTGCTAACAATAATCGGTTTGCAACATGATATTCTTAAAAGATACCAATCAATTTATTTTAGTTTACATTAACTACGCTATCTGAAATGAAAAAAAAAAAAAATAGTACAAAATAATACGAATAAAAACCCAATTTTTGTGTGTGTGTGTATGTGTGTGTTTGTATTATCACTGCTGAACCATTCTGGCGGTTGTGGGTGCTGAGCATAAACAAACGCCTACTCCAGTTATCCGGGTCTTCCCGCCTGGTTACCCGGTGGTGATAGAACACCAACAACAGCCGTGGCCGAAGCATGTCTTCGCGTGTTGCTCCGGTAGTCGTATACAATTATTACTACTTATTCTGCCTTTCTGTCTTTCTGTAACAGTTTCTTGTCTGGTGTTGTATTACAATTTTTATGTAATCACTGTAGTTATCTAGCTATTGCTTTGATGCCCTTCATTTTTTATACATGGGGTTGTTTTTTTGTTTTTTTTTTTGTCTTGGTAATGATCGAGCAAACAATAGGCAATTGAATTGGCCATTTCCTGACACATTCTTAGCATGACTTGTACAGAATTTGACTATCGTTTCAAAAATGAAGAAAATAGATTCATGAAAGTCTTCCTCATTTTTTTTTTTTTTTCCCTTTGCTTGATTGCTGTTTATACACAATTATCTGTCAATACCTACATCGCCAACTGTGTAAAAAAAACCATGGCCTTCAAGTTTTAAATGGAGAATAAAATATTCATGAATCAGTAGTCTATGTACATGGAAAGAAAGACAGAAAGAAAGAAAGAAAGAAGAAAAAAAAAAAAGTTGACCATTTCAATAAACTATGGTGACCCTTAGATGATAGATAGCTAAAAAGATCAGAATGATGATAAAAATTAAAGCAATTACTCTTCAATCCAATTGATGTATTGAGAGTCAAATTCGTGTTCTTTAGTTTTTCTTTCCAAAACATTGTTGACCTTCCAGTTCACTCCTACCTTATTGTGATATTTGGTAGTGAATTTGTTAAGAACTTCTTTTCTAGTTGGGGCATAATCCCTCTTTGAGCCATCATTCCCGGTGATGTAATCTTTAATCTCCGTTTCACTTGGCAAACCCATGTTGAAAGGATAATGTCTGTAAGAATTCAAGAATTGACCATTACCAAAGTCTTGCAATTCGCTATATTTGATCGATGACTTGTTGGTGAATAACGAGTGGATTTCTTGTATTGGGATTTCACTCAATTCCTTGTATTTCCAAGTTGGAGCATTAGTTTTTTCAATCAATTTTTTACTGACACCTTCGATGAAATCATTAGATTGAGAGTTCAACAATAAGTTTTCGGCGACAATCAATTCTTGGGTGATAGCCGCTTTGTTGTTATAATTGGCACCGGCGTTCAACAATTCATTGGCGATTTTCAAGGATAGCAAAGATTTAGATTGTAAAGTGTCCAATAGTTGTTGAGCAAATTGAACAGTGGTTTCACTAGCCTCGACATTGTGGATCTCGTCAATTAAACTTTTGAAAATCTCTTCGGTGTTCTTGAAAGCGAAAATCTTATCGACAAAGTTCCGTTGTTCATTGGATAACTTGAATTTGTGATCGCTTGGAATTGGATCGGTGAATTCCTCAATCGCGTTGTTAACAATAGCATGGTATTCTCCTACTTTTTCATTGATCGCAGAAATATCTTCGAACTTACCTTCCGAGAATGAATTCAACAATTCGTTTTGTGGAATGTTCAAAGCTCCCAATCTTTTAGTCAATTCTTCCAATCTAACACTTGGGACGTAATGGGTAGCAAAACCGGCAATCAAGTTATCAACACCATTCAATGATTCTCCGGTGAAGGCTAAATATTTACCCAAGTTACCATCCATTCTTGGTAAAAAGAAACTGGTTCCAACATCAGGGAAAAAACCAATATCCATTTCTGGCATGGCGATTCTGGTGTTTTCAGTAGCCACTCTGAATGGAGCGTGAACTGATAAACCAACACCACCACCCATTGTGATACCATCCATGTAACTAACAATTGGTTTTGGGTAAATTGATAATAAATAGTTCATGGAATATTCTTTGTAGAAGAAATCAAGAGCAGATTCGGGGTTGCCTTCAATGACATCTTTAGCTGCTTGAGCGACATCTCCACCAGCACAGAAAGCCTTCGAAGACGAAGAGTTGATGATAATGGCATTGGTGGAATTACTGGCACGGTATTCCAACAATCTTGGGATGATTTTATTAACGATACTGGTATTCAAAGCATTTAACTTGTTTGGTCTGTTCAAAGTGACAATTCTGGCAGTATTTTCATTCTTGAAGATGACGTCTTGTTCACCGGCAGCGACGGTGGAATATGAACTTTTAGGAAACTGTCTTGTTACGTATTGGTTCAATCGACTGGCCATTGGGGCTCTTGATGATTTGAAAGCTCTCAACATTGTGTACCTGTATATTATTATTTTCTCAAAAACAAATGACTAGCGCTATTTTGGATACTGTCCCTGTTGTCGATTAGGAGAGGTAGAAGAGGACTTCTGGAAATATAATAACCGGTATTCTTGTGATGAGGGTTGTTGTTCAGAGTACTCGATATACCGTAAGGCATAGTAAAACTTGATATTCCACCCAAAGTTGTTGAAAAAAAAAAAAAAAAGGTGGGCCAGAGATCCTAACAAGCTTTGGGGCATAGCATGTGATGGGCGCCTCCATATGCATGGCCATTTAGACGTCGACGTCTTGCTTGGGCAACAGCTTTTCAAACAGCAGAAAATTGAGCCTATTGTCCTCATGAGAGACTTGGGCTTATTACACTTGTGTTAGGCTTTTAATTTTTGTACTTTCTAGGTTCCTGGGCTCGTCTCTGTTGATAATATGGCGTATTTGTTTGTCCGCAGTCAGATATCTGATTGACACAAAACTTGAAGAAGTCCGATTCAAAATGCCAACTTGTTAAGACGATTATTTTTTTTTTTTTATTTTCATTGCTACAAAAGGAGGTTGAAATTTTTTCCAAGTTTCTGCACTAATATGGGGGTCAGGCATTGTAAAATGTGTGGTTTTACGTATAAAATCTATTTGATGATATCAGACTGTTTTTGTTGGCGGGCGAGATTTTGAATTTTTCTTGTTTTTTTGTTTATTTTTTTTTGGGTACTTTCTTATTTCTATTCACCCTTTACACCATAAAACATGAGCTCCCAAGATGATCTCTACGAAAGAAGAAGAGCTTTGCAAACGTTAAAGAAGAAGAGCTTTGTTCAACGTTAAAGAAGAAGATTCCCCTTTTGAAGAATATGAACAACAAGTGAAGGATATATGGCTTAAAAGGGATACCAAAACAAGGGTTCTCCCAAGGAAATTTAATTTGAATCTAAAAAGGAGCCCCCATCCTCCAAAGTATTCTAATTTGGATTTGAATGATTGCTCTGAGATGGAGAAAAATAATGTTTTCGCTCTCAGGCATGAAACCCCTGATTTTTCAAGTGATACCATCGCTGCAAGAATTCAACAGGCTGCTGAAGAAATATTTGCTATCAACTTCATGTCAACTCTGGATGGAAATCAGGTGCACCCTGGTGTTTCCAATCTGTACGATGAAAATAATGAAGATGATTCGGCAGAAAGTGACAGGGAGGATGTATTGGAAAGCAATACTGAAGAATTTGTATATGGTGATCTAAATGAAGAAGAGGAACCCCCAGAAAATAGATTTGGTTTAATAAATGCACAAATTTTTCAAGAATCATATGTTGATTCCATAGAAAAAAAGCAGAGACTTCTATAATGACCTCCGAAACGTGGTGCTTGAGCGCCCATACTGGAACGCCAAGTACCATGAAATGGGTTTCAATAGCAATAGGGCCAAGAAAACTGATTGATATACTTCCTGAAGAAGATATTGTAAAATCAGTGGGGGGTTAAATCGAAACATGCTAAAGAGAATTCATTGGTATGCAAAAAATAAAGAATTAGAGAAATTTTGGAAGAAGGTGGGGTTCAGATCATGCAAAAAAGATAATGTCGAATTTCATTTTATTGTAGTTCATTTTATAAGGGTTATACATTATTGCGATTTTATAATGTATAATGTATAATGTATAATGTATAATGTATAATGTATAATGTATAATGTATAATGTATAATGTATAATGTATAATGTATAATAAACATTAAATGCTTCGAATTTGGAGGAAAATTTATCAATAATCAAATTTATGTATCCATGGAGGTGGTTCTTCATTCGGCGTGAAATCAGGAGCCTATAGCCCAGAAAGAAGCCTCAGACTTGGAAAACTGGGCGAAGAAGCTTTGATCATCTGATCTTAACTTTTATTCTCTAAGAGCAGATACACCTTTGTCAAGTACCATACCATGGCGTAGATTAAAATCAATGAAGAAGTTAGTTGATTTAATTGTATCTCCTTTTACATTAGTATCCCATCAGGTGCTGAAATTCATTACGAGGTCCAAAGAGGAAGTTATCATCGAAGATAATTCAGAATATAGTTCTCCAGAGCGTATTCTACAACAACAACAGTGAGAATTGATGATCTCACCAGGAAATTTGGCTTCCTCCAAGTTTGAGACTGATTTCCTATTTATATATTGCAATCTATTTGACGATTGATTACCTGAAATATTATCGACTACTATGGACTGAAGATTGTGCTGTGCTACAATAAACCAGATAATGAACATTATAATACAATAACCTCTATACCAAGAAAACAGGAGAAAAAAAAATGAAAACGAAAAACAAAAATATGGAATATTATCGATTATCTATTATTAGTACAATGATAAGTATCTATAATCTATCATCTAACAGTACAATAATGACAAGTTCTAGAACAAGCACAACAACACCCCGCACAAAGATTGCATGGCAAACATGAAATACTTGTTAAGGAAACCATCAGTAGAACTCATTCCTGAGCTTGCCGGTTTGGTATTGGAGACGCTAGTCAAGGTTTTAGTGGTTTCGGTGTCTTCGGAAGAGATCCAGGAATTAACGTCGTCAGCACTAATCTCAGCATCAAATGAGGTGCTGTTGGAAATAAACACAATAGCATTACCTTGAGAGTCGAACACCACACCTCCTGACATTGTTGATTCAGTGTCACGTTCGATGTACCCGTCAACAGAGATACCGTAGTCAATATACCCAGTACCTTGGTAATCATGGATAGTAGAATATAAATGGTTTCTTTCAGTATAGTTAATTGACTCGAAAATATCAAATTCCCCACACCCAGAGGTCCAGCATGAGCAATTACTGTTAGTTGGGTATTGGGAAGTTCTAGGAATATGATCATTTAACAACCAAATGGCAGGCAAATCGTAATAGTCGGTTGAAGTGTCGGTGACCACCGATTCGGTTGGCATTTGGAAAGAAAACAAAAACATCTTGATATCGCCATAAAAACCATGGTAAGCGACGTTATCAGATCTATAAACCCCACAGTCGTTATTGATACCGGATTTCCCACAGCTGACGTTTGAGAAAATCACGTATTCTTCATCGGAATTGATCAAGGTGTTGTTTGCCAAAAGGGTAGAAGAGCTGGCGGAAGAAACCCCGTCAGAATCAGCGTAAGTTAAAGCCTTACCGAGACAGGTCGAGTTGTCCCCGGCTTTTGTCAAGAATGTGACATTATCCGACGTCTGACTGGAAGCATCGAAATAAGATAATCTTTTCCACTCACTACTAGAAGAGTCACCGTAAGTGTAATCGTCGGAGACATAGTAGGCAAAAGATTCCAAAATCAAAGGCCCACGGAAATGCACGGACACCCCTTGGTCAAGAGGAGAAGTAGGGCCGGAAAATTCGACCCAATCGCTGGAAAGTTCACAGGTACAGGAGTCTTTGTACATATTGGAGATTGATTTGACCTGTTGGTAGTAACCAGTATACCCGTAGTTAGCGAACTCGAGGACATCGAATTGCAGAGAGTATTGTTGTGAAGTGGAACTTGAACTGCTCTGGGCACTGGCCTGGGACTGTGAGGCGGCAGGCTGCTGCCCATTGAAGTCGGCGAGCACCTGAAGGCATACGAGAGATATGGTCGATAGGAGGGTTGTGGTGAGCATGGTGCTTGGCAAATAAAAGCGAAGAATATACAGTGTGGTAGTAGATCCGGGGGATAGTTGCACCAGACAGGGGAGGGGGAGAGAGAGATGGGCTGGTCTTTATATATCCCCCGAAAAAGCATATATGCCTATACAGTCCGTCAGTGGTCGGTGGTGCTTCGAGGCTTTGAGGTCGCAGTTACCCCCCTGTCGGCCACTTGCAACCGCTGTTGGGAACGAGGCTGATGGTGGTGATGAAGAGTCTGGCCGCCGCAGGAGGGCAGTACCTATTGTTTTGTCGGGGATCTCAATGGTGTGGGTGGATGAGGTGCTGTTGCTCTGCAGAATACTGTCGATTACAGTTGTAGGTAGGTAGGTGTATTGCACAACAACCAGCCATTCGCCGCGATGTGGTTTTTGACAGTTGATGAGAATTAAAGACCTTTTGCGGAAAGCAAATTGGTGGCACTGCGCCCTCGTTACCGTGCGTCGCCAAAGCCCCGAATATCCACGCTTTCGTTGTAATAACCACTGTACTTATCCCCGGTTGCTACACCAGTGCCGGCTTGTTTGGGAAGGGCTTCCAGTAGCTGGTTGACTGGCAGTGATCCAAATTAGAAAACACAAGGGAAGAAAAGGAAAGAAAAGGAAAGAAAACCATATTCTATTCGGTGTTTGCGCAACCAAGGATTCTTCCGTCAAACACCGAGGCTGTATAAACTTTTTGCTCTGTTAAGGTTTACGATGCCACAAACATGGCGAAGTGTAGGGTAGGCATTCATTTCTTTTTCTTTTCTTTTTTTGTGTTATATTATGTATTGTGTGTTGTCTATTTGCTTTTTTTTTTTTTTCTTCTTCTACATCTCCCTTTATTTCATCTTGTAATCGTTTCTTTTTTAATTGTTTTCAACCTCGCCAAAAATGTGCACCTAAACACATTAATTACTATTGAAGTTCAAGCTAGAGGGACAAAAAAAAAAAAAAAAAAGAATAGTATATTACACCTTGAGACACTGCCATCTCTAAGAAAAAAAAAAATTCTGATATATACATGACAACGTAGTATCCACCCAAATGGACCACAATAATATTAAATCGACCAATTAGCAAACAACACCCTTCAGGTCCTTTTGATACTACTGAATTTATCCAACTCCTTCAACTTCCGGTACTCTTCTAGAGGATCAAAGTCCCCGGTAGACAACTTCTCGTAAGTTTCGTCATATTTACCAGTAGACAATGCCCCATTTCCTCTGAATCTCTTGGACCGATCCACGGCCCCCGACTTGCACTCGAAGAAAGATCTGAACAAATCCTGGCATATTTCTGGCACCTCGTCTCTCAATTTAGGATTGGTCACACATTCTTTTGGAGTATGGCGGTTGATGAGCACACACGGTGATCGCTGGAGGCAAATCGCGAGGGCTTTTTTCTGGTCTTTGCAACTATTAGCGGAAACCCCAGTTAGTCGATTGTACGCAAATAAAAAAAAAATAAAAAAAAAATTAACATATAACTACTACTACTCACCTTGCAGGCATTTTCTTTGACTTATTGTGACCTAATTATATATATATATATATATATTTATTATATCTCCTCGATATCTGTAGATAACAAAGAAGGTGAGAGCATTTTTTCTTTATTTTTTTTTTTTTTTGTGGTTACGCAGCCCGCCGGGCAGGAAGAAGAAATGATAAAAAAATTTTATTTTTGGCATCTGCGATGAGAAAGAAGTTGGTTGAAAGAACGATAACTGTTTGTCAGACCGTCTTGTTGCAACAGAAACCATGTCTGACTCCGAGGAAACCCGCGTGGTTAAGAAGCGGAAGTTGGAAGATAATCCTGTCGCTTCTGACGATGCTGAACAGAAGGATGTCGAAGAAATTGTTGAGATCAACGGTGAAAAACCAAAGAGACCACCAGCAAAAGTCTATCCTTTCACATTAGATACTTTCCAGAGAGACGCGATTGACTGTATTGAAAATGATAGATCTGTCCTTGTGGCTGCCCATACCTCGGCAGGTAAAACTGTGGTGGCAGAGTACGCCATTGCTCAATCTCTTCGAGACAAACAAAGAGTGATCTATACTTCTCCAATTAAAGCGTTATCGAATCAAAAATACAGAGAATTATCAGCAGAATTCGGCGATGTCGGGCTTATGACTGGTGATGTGACCATTAACCCTGACGCCGGGTGTCTTGTCATGACCACCGAAATTTTGAGATCGATGTTGTACAGAGGTTCCGAAGTGATGCGTGAAGTTGCCTGGGTAATTTTCGATGAGGTTCATTATATGAGAGATAAGGAAAGAGGGGTTGTTTGGGAAGAAACCATCATCTTATTACCTGACAAGGTCCATTATGTTTTCTTGTCTGCCACCATTCCTAACGGTAAAGAATTTGCCGATTGGATCGCCAAAATCCACAACCAAGAATGTCGTATTGTTTACACCGATTATAGACCTACTCCGTTACAGCATTACTTGTTTCCAGCTAATGGCGATGGGATTCATTTGGTTGTTGATGAAAAGGGGGTTTTCAGAGAGGAAAACTTCCAGAAAGCAATGGCAGCAATTAGTGATAAAACCGGCGATGACCCAGGATCAGTCAATGGTAGAAACAATAAGAAGGGTCAAAGTTTTAAAGGCAATAAACAAGGAGGCTCCTCGGATATCTACAAGATTGTGAAGATGGTTTGGATGAAGAAGTACAACCCAGTGATTGTTTTCTCTTTCTCCAAGAGAGACTGTGAGTCTTTGGCTCTCAAAATGTCCAAATTGGATTTCAACAACGATGAAGAAAAAGATACTTTGGGGAAAATTTTCAATAATGCTATCAGCATTTTGCCAGAAAGTGATCAAGGATTGCCACAAATTAAAAATATTTTACCATTATTGAAAAGAGGTATTGGTATCCATCATTCGGGTTTATTACCAATTCTTAAAGAAATTATCGAAATTCTTTTCCAAGAAGGGTTACTCAAGGTTTTATTTGCTACAGAAACATTTTCTATTGGGTTGAATATGCCTGCCAAAACTGTGGTCTTCACCTCCGTCCGTAAATGGGACGGTAATGGTTTTAGATGGGTGAGTGGCGGTGAATATATTCAAATGAGTGGTAGAGCTGGTAGAAGAGGGATTGATGATCGTGGGATTGTTATTATGATGATCGACGAAAAGATGGAACCTCAAGTTGCCAAAGGTATGGTGAAAGGTGTTAGTGATAGATTGGATTCGGCGTTCCATTTAGGTTATAACATGATTTTGAATTTGATGAGAGTCGAAGGTATCTCTCCAGAATATTTGCTTGAAAATTCCTTTTATCAGTTCCAAAGTGTTACTGCGGTCCCAGAAATGGAAAAAACGTTAGAAACTAAAGAAGACGAACTTGCCAACTTCCACATTGCTGACGAGGCATCGATAAAAGAATATTACGAATTGAGAAATAATTTGAATAATTATAATAAGGATATGGTCGAAGTTCTCACCCATCCTTCTAATGTTTTGAATTTCTTGCAAAACGGGAGATTGATAAAAGTGAAAATTCCAAACAACGCCAACCCTGAAGAACCATTTGAGTATGGTTGGGGTGCGGTCACTAATTTCAACAAGCGGGTTAATAAGAGAAATCCAAGTCAAACTTACCCAGATCACGAATCATATATTGTGGAAGTTTTGATCACCAAAATGTTTGCTGACTCCCCATCAAACTTAATTAAATTGTTCAATCCTAATTTGCCAATGGGGATTAGACCTGTCAAACAAGGTGAAGAATCGAAATGTGAAATTATTCCAATTACCTTGAATTCCATCGAAGCGATTTCCAAAGTCCGTATTTATTTGCCTAGTGATTTCAAGTCCACCAGTCAAAAGAGAACTGTCGGTAAAAGCATCAACGAAGTGAGCAAAAGATTCCCAGATGGTATTCCATTATTAGACCCAATTGAAGATATGAAAATTGACGATAAAAGTTTCAAGATGTTGATCAAGAAAATTGAAGTATTGGAATCCAAATTGCATTCCAACTCTTTGGCCAACGCAATCAATTTACAAAGCTTGTACGATGAATATTGTCAGAAGATTAAACTTGAACAATCCATCAAAACTTTGAAGAAACAAATCACCGAATCGAAATCGATCGTTCAATTGGACGATTTAAAGCATCGTAAAAGAGTTTTGAGAAGATTGGGGTTCACCACTCAATCGGACGTCATCGAATTGAAAGGACGTGTTGCTTGTGACATTTCCACCGGGGATGAATTATTGATCACCGAATTAATCTTCAATGGTAATTTCAACGACTTGACCGCCAGTCAGTGTGCCGCATTATTGTCGTGTTTTGTATTTGAAGAACGATCAAAGGAGGTTCCAAGATTGAGACCAGAATTATCTGAACCACTTAAAGCGATGCAGGAGATTGCCCTCAAGATTGCCAAGGTGTCTAAGGATTGCAAGATTACCATCGTTGAAAAGGATTATGTCGAGTCTTTCAGATCGGAATTGATGGAAGTGGTATACTCGTGGTGTAATGGAGCAACTTTTACTCAGATTTGTAAAATGACCGATGTTTACGAAGGTAGTTTGATTAGAATGTTCAAGAGATTGGAAGAAATGATTAAGCAAATGATTGATGCTGCAAAGACTATTGGAAATGCCGACTTGGAGAAGAAGATGGACAAAGCGTTGGAGTTGGTACATAGAGATATTGTCAGCTCTGGTTCTTTGTATTTGTGAGTTGTATATCTATTCTTTTTCAAAGTGTATTTTTTATTATTATTATTTATTTTTTGCATAGTTTCATTTTGGAAATTAATTATTACTTGTAGATTATTTTTTTGAACAACCAAGCAATTTTTTTTTTCAATTTTGTGGACGACATTTGCCAGATATTGGCATTTCTTGGCTGCTTTGAAAAAATGATAGCGATTAGGACATTTCCAATACCTCATTAACCCAGTATGGGATTCCTCATTCCTGATGCCAAGAATATGTCTTCATTGAGTTTGGTTGGCAGAGGAATTTTTGCAATTATACGGGGGAACAGGATAATGTGAACAACAGAGGGACAAAAAAAAACTATTTATAACCTTTTGACGTATGGTTCTTGCTATTTCTGTTGCTGCTATTATTCTTGGGGATCGTTTTCAAGCCCGGTTATCCCTCATTCCTTCGTCATTTATGGGGCGTTCATGCGTGGTTGACACGGCGAAAATTCTGAACATGCCAAAACCATTCTTGTCAGCAGTTATCCTCGCATTCCATGAAAAAGACTGCTAATAGATAAACACGATGTCAGCAAAATGTTAGCATTAGCAACGTGGTACAATGCAAGGCATCTGCCTGTTATTGTTAATTGGATAAGAATTGCAAATATTTTACATATATATGTATATATATATATATCCACGACACGCATCTTTTATAGGCCATCAGAAACTTAAAAAAATATCATCAATAACAACAACACAATCATCAAACAAACAAACAAAAACAAAAAAAAATTCCTTTTATAAAAACATAAATTATGAAACTCGCCGCTTGTCTTTCCATTCTTAATACTTTGCTTGCAATCTCCCAAGCTGCTCCAATCAACGAAAAAAGATCGGATGTAACCGACGCTTCCCTTGGGTTGAACGCTGCTGGCTGGTTTACCAAGTACGGTTATCCAGGCCCAATTCCTCAAGATAACTTATTGGTTAGAGACGCGTACGTCACCGCCCCAAATTACTACACCAGAAACCCATACTGGTCTGTCGAACACATCAACGCCGACGCCATCAAAGTTAGCGGCGACATCAGTAGAGACAAGTCAACTTTCCGTGAAGACACCGATGTTCCAGAATATTTCAGATCAAAACTCGCTGACTATAAGAGATCGGGTTACGACAGAGGTCACCAAGCACCAGCCGGGGATGTTCAGTTCGCACAAGACGCTTTGGATCAAACCTTCTACTTGTCGAACATGTGTCCTCAAGTTGGTGTTGGTTTCAACAGAAACTACTGGGCCTGGACTGAAGAATTCGGAAGAAACATGACTGGTAGCTACGATTCCGTGAGAATCTTGACTGGTCCATTGTACTTGCCAACCCAAGGTGACGACGGTAACTACTACATCGACTACAAGGTGATTGGTAACCCACCAAATGTCCATGTTCCAACCCATTTCTTTAAAGTGATCATTGGTGAAGACTCTCAAGGGGACTCTGTCGATGGTGCCGCTTTTGTGTTGCCAAACGAATACATCTCTGAATCCACTCCATTGACCAACTGGCAAACCTCGTTCCAAAACTTGACTAGTATGTCTGGTTTGGAAATCTTGACTAATGTCACTGAAGGCGTTACCGTTAATAACTTGTGTGACAAGGTTGAATGTCGTATTATTACCTACTCTCACACCCGTTACAACCCTTGATTTGTCTTTTTAGTTTTTCAATCATTCTTTTTTCAATTCTCACGAGGTGTTTCGATTCTTCTCATTCATTTTTTCGAATAATTTTCCATTCGTTCTCTGCTTTTTTTTTTTTTTCGCTCTAATATGCTTTTTTTTTCAATTCTTATTTTTGGTGGAATATCTGTTGATCAGAAATTGCCACTATTTAATCAATCAATTTATTATTCTGTTTCGTTGTTCTACTTACAAGACTGTAAAGCAAAGCTCATACGCTCTCCAAAACAAAAACAAAAACAAAAACTCAGCCAAATTAAGAATTATCCTTTGACCAAAGTCAACAAGTCATAGCGATGTATCCAAAAAATATTTTCGTATAATGAATAAGATATAACAGCCTATTCATTGGCTCAGCTCATTATTAACACTTTTTAGTCCAGTTTCAGCTTTAACCATTTGCAGTAATTAACGAGAGAGGAAAAAAAAAAAGAAAATTTTTTTGTAAAGTGTATGCCTGAAACCTGAGTTGCAGATGATCTTCCATAATAATTAATTAATTAATTGCTGCGTCTAAAAAAAAAAAAAAGATGCGGTGTTGATCTCTCTGGAGATACCAGCATCGCCACTACCTACAGTAGAATGAATATCTTCCTGGAAAAGGTTTTTCAAAGTTTTTTGTCTCACATCACACACATAGGTCCCCAGAGGATTCCTGTGTGTGTCTCGTTCTTCTCAAAGGTGATAAAATGGTGCGTAGTATTACGTTTATTGTGTGTGTGCGGGCGTCTTCTTGTCTTACCCCCGGTTTCTTTTTTAGAAAAGCTACCCAAAGCTCATTCATATTATATATTTCGAATTCTTCTCTACCAAGCTGTAAGATAATGATAATAATATTATAGAAGGTTTATGTATTAAGAATCGTAAATACATCGTTATTCTTCTAAGACGAAGCGAATGGAAATATGTGATATGGGTAATAATAAATTGAGAGAGGAGGGGGAAGGGGAAGGGGAAGGGTGATCATATATATAATGTGGTAAAACACATTAGAAAGTTAGTGAAGCGAAGAAAAATTAAAAAATAGCAAACAAAAATCTAATAAGCTCCAAGAGAAAATGTGTTATCAAGCTATAATGTTGATTGATGTAGTCATCACCATCATCAGTAAAAGTAAACGCAGAAACAAAACATATAACCAAAGAGAAGACGAAAAGAAAAGAAAAGAAAAGAAAAGAAACTAAAACAGAACAAAAAACCAATAAACGGGGCCGTGCACAGTTTATGAAAAAATCAGAACCATCTTTGAGGGTTTGGAGATGAAATGTGAGGAACAATAGATTCAACTTCGTCACCAAGAGTTTGGATTTCATCGATTTCACTGATGGTCATGATTTCTGACATGGTATCATTGCCAAACACCATGGCGGCAACATCCCGATTATTTTGATTGAATGAATTAGAACTGTTGGATACCAACGATTGATAAGACATTCTTCTGGCAATTGATGGATCCTGGTAAACTGGGTTAATCAACACTTGACCAGTATGCACTTGTTGGGTTTCTGGAGCAATGACCCCATGTTCAGCCACTGGCAAAATAATATCACCATCCTTGCTTGACACGAAGCTTAATCCCTTTTTATTCTTGTAAACCTTGTATCCGACCAAAAGAACACTGATATAAACCGCAGCAGAAACCCCAGATGTTGTACCAACAACTCCTAACTTGGAATTAGCAGGAACATCGGTGTTTTGAACAGAATCGAAAGAGCCAGTCGATGAAGATGTCAACCCGTCAGAACCACCACTGACATAAACGTCGGTTGAACCACCGCTGGAAGAACTACTACTGGAACTACTACTGCTGATAGAAGAAGATTCCAACCCGGTCAATGGAATATTGATATCAATCAATTGAGCCAAACTGTTTTCGGTAGCATCGGTATTGAAGTAAATCTTGGAGTATGGGGTTTGAATGTCTTCATTCAAGATGTCAACCCAGTCCTTTGGGAAGTAGACTTCAGCGACAGTAACAATGTAATCTAAATCAGAAGATTGGAATGGAACCAACTGCTTAACGGCAACGCTAGAATCATCACTAATAGCATAAGTCAAAACACCTGGCAAGTATTGGAAGATTTGTGCAGAAGCCAAAGAATGAGACACCACAAATGGATAATTCAAACTAGACTTGAACCCAATGGTGATAAGGGTGTAATTATCAGTCACGGAGACTTGGGTAGCTGGGGTAATAGCATTTGGCAATTGAGGTGTCGAAGTCTTAGTACTGGTACTTGAAGAAGAAACGGTACTTGAATAAGCAGTATCATCGGTGGTTGAAGAGGAGGTGGCAGTGACCATAGTAGTTGGCAACCAGTCGCTAGAACTGGTTTTCGTTTTCCCGACACCAGCGCTATTAAGAACACTGAAGACACTACTAAGACTGGCAACAACGGCACTATCCAAAGAAGTAGAAGACGAAGCTGCAGATGCCAATTCACTGGTCAACTTGGAGAAATCGCTCATGGTGGTCATATCAGAGTAATCACTAGAGGCAGCACTGAACATGGAAGATAATTTACTTTCGATTTCCGAAGTTGGCATGGAAGTAACTGAAGCAGTAACTGAAACAGTGCCAGACAAAGCACCAGTGGTGGTAGAAGATACACCAGTGGTAGAAGCAATAGTAAGAGAACCATGAACTCCAGAAGAGGTGGATTCTGCCAAAATTGAAGATTCTGAAGAAACCTCATCGGTAGCAATTTTCGAAGTAGCAGAAACAGAAAGGGTCCCAGATGATGTCAAAGAAGCTGAACTCTCAGTTGTTGTCATTGGAGCCAATGTGGTTGGGCCACTGGTGGTATCAGAAGAAACAATAACGGAACCGGTGGTTTTCACAGCTTCACTGATCAGCAGAGATGATTTGGTAGAGACCAACTCAGAAACAGAACTGGTAACGGACTCAGAAGTGCCAACTGAAGTTGGGAGAGAATTTGTGGAAGCAGAAACAGATACTGAAGAAGCAGAAACAGACTCTGATGAAGCAGTAGTGGTTAGCTTATCAGAGGCAGTAGTGGTTGGTTCAACAGAAGCAGTAGTGGTTGGCTTAGCAGAAGCAGTAGTGGTTGGCTTAGCAGAAGTAGTAGTGGTTGGTTCAACAGAAGCAGTAGTGGTTGGTTCAACAGAAGCAGTAGTGGTTGGTTCAACAGAAGCAGTAGTGGTTGGTTCAACAGAAGAATGTTCAGAAATAGATGAAGAAACCAAAGAAGAACTGGTTGTCGCTATAACTGTAGGATATTCAGAAGTACTGGTAGTCGCAGCACTAGTAGCTGCAGCACTGGTAGTTGCAATAACAGCTGCTGAGTAGGATTTTGAGGATTTTGATGTGGCGACATATTCACTAGATGCACTAGTCAGTTCAGTGGTAGACTCTATTGAAGATGATACGTAGGTATCAGAGGTTGCATATGTCACTTTATAGGCGTATGAGGAAGTAGAGGTTGTGACATCTGAAGATGTGGCTGCAACAGCTACACTAGTGGAACTGGTAGTTTCAATGGCAGACAGCTCGAACTCGGCGCTACTGGCGGATGTCGCGTAAGTGGTGGTTTTTGCAGTAGTAGAGTCAGTGGTAGTGTCATGCCAATCCCACTGAGCACTAGAGGTGGTGGTGGTGGTGGTGGAAGATCCAGGGCTTTCGGCAGCCAGAGTTGTAGGGATATCAACAGCTTGTGATGAGGTGGTGACAACTGCAGCCTCTGTAGAGGAGGGGGAAGAAGAAGAAGAAGAAGAGCTGGCTTCGATAGTGGAGGCAGCTACAAAGCTGGCTACTTGTTCGCTGACGATCGCTGAGGTGATTGTCAGGTACTTGACGGTAGTCACAGTTGTTTTTCTTTTCCCTTTTCCCTTTGTGCTTTCTTCTGTGTAAGGAGACAGGTAAGTGGTATAACCAATGGTTACTTCTGTGGTTGAGTAGTCGTATTGGGTTGTATCTAAAGTGGTGCCTGATGAAGGAGTGTGATATCCAGTACTTGATGTTTGCTGTGCAAGAGATACCGGACTGATTGTAATTGTCAGATTCGTGTATCCCCCAAATGAAGATGATACTGCTGCAGCGGCTGAACTAGCGGCTGATGCTTCTGAAGAGGCAACAGAGGCAACAGCGTCAGCGTCCGAAGAGGCAACAGAGGCAACAGCGGCAGCGCCTGAGCTAGCATCCGAGGCTATGTCTGAGGCAATAACTGAAATAGCATTTGTGCCGGTTGTTGAAGTTTCTGATGATTGGGTGGTGACCACAGCAGCAGTTGTTGTGTCAGTAGAAGTAACATCTGAACTAGTATCTGTGGTGGCTGCTAATGAAGTCACTGAGTCGTATGAGGAGTAAGTATCTTTAGCTTGAGCCAAAGCCAAAGATATCAACCAAAGTAGCTGAAGTTTCAACATGGTTGATTATTGGTAGTGACAAATCTGTATGATAATATTATAAATATATATATATATTATGTATATATATATACATATATATTGTAATATATTATATTATATAATACTATACTATACTATAGTTTTATCAACGTATGTGTGTATACGGGGATCGGAATACCAGATGACAACAGTTGGGCAGAGTGAGAGAGAATTAGAAAGGTCTGGACATGATGAGATAATAGCGGATATATATTGTAGGGAGAATATTAGGGATACTGGTTCTAATTGGGGATTGTCGACCAAAAGCGGGAGGTGCAGATGGTTGGAACTTTAGTCTGGCGCACTAACGCAGATAGTGGTGTTAGAAGCGTTTTGTGACCAAAATGAAAGGAGATAGAGAGGCAGTTTTTCCCAGGTCATATCTGAGTATACCGGTATTCTTGTTGACGATATATGGTGTTACCAAAAAAGGGCTGGAAAGTTTAGCCACCAGGTGTCGCCAGTTGTCATTGCCATTGGGTGGTTGTGGGGCGAATTGGGTTTTCACGTCTCATACGGTGTGTAATTCTAATTTTCATGTTGTTTTTTTAGTGCGTTTGAAGAATGTCGAACCAATGCGCGCTCACTTACAATTCCCAAATAGGCACACCTCGGGCAAGAGATAAGCTCATTTAATGGTCTGGTCTGATCAGTGTTGTTAACGTCAAACACCACAAGCAGAATTAAAAGTTCTGAAACACTGAGTTTTGCGTATTGGTCGTGAGGTCTCACCTCGTAATACACATTCATTTACTTACTTAGTTCTCCCGTTCGCCGATGGGATGGAATGGTACCGACAATCATTTTAAAATAGAGATATAACAATAGCCATACTACTTACACAACAGCAATTAAAAGTAGCGTCCCGGCCTAACTGTCAAAGAACATCGCAACAATAACCGCACTATTATATATATAATAGCAAAGCTGTTTACATCTCCTTTTTTGTATCACTAATGATCGTATCATCATATGTGTAATAATATTATTAAGTCCTAGCGATGCCATTACAATACAACGTTTTTTTTTTGTTTTTTCTTTTTTGATTATCTGATTTTTTTTTTTTTGGAGTTAGGTTGGGTCTTCTGACTCTCTTACATAACCTCTAACAACCCAGCAATTTCTGCCCACGTCTTTAATTTTTGATCACTTACTCTAAAAGTAAAGCATAATCCTCTGGTAATATTCCCAGATATTGTCAAGTGAGTGGTATTTCTGGTCGTTATCAGGGCGCGTATTATTCTAGTAGTGATGGTCTGTCTGTCTTGCTGTTGTTGTCAACATCAATGAAAATTTGTCGTCGTTTTTGATTTCTTGTGTTTTGTTTTGTTTTTTCCCATTTTTTGTAATTTCATCATTTTTTTTTTTAGGCTGATGGCGGTATTATTTTGACATGTTACGATGATGATGATGATGATACGACAAGATAAAATTGAAGATTTTTGTCTTGTCCAATCATTGTGGTACTGTTTCTTTCACACTATAGTAATTATTCCTAGTTTGCAAGTGCCATTTATTTTTTTTGCAATGATCATTAACAAACCACATAGGGCAGTTTTTAGACCGGCTAGTGCTACTGTTGTTGGTGCTAACCTAAACCCAGGCCCACTAGCGCTGCATCTTTGCCTAACTTGTGGGTGTCGATTGCCATCATGAAACCCGCCAGATTGGGTCTCAGAGGCACGTGGCTGCAACGTAACATTTAGCCGGTGCGGTGCGGTGGGGGGCACCCATCCATCTCATCTCATCTCATCTCATCTCATCTCATCTCCTATTGCGAAGCAAAGCATATGATAGCAAGGTGTTGGTTTTCATTTCCTTTTACCATTGTGGCGTTGTGGTCTGTGTTATCCAAATATTCTATAGTTGGCACTGGTTGACACGACGCATTGCTGTCTCCCTCCCCCCACCCCCTTGAAACATGCCAAATTATCAATTGATAAAATTATACTATTACAAATCAAAAATGGCTAAATAAAATAGATAATTTGGCAATTATATGAGTTAGTCTGGTTTGTTTGTTTTTTTTTCTCTAGGATGCTTTTTTTAAAACAAAGAAAGCAAACTAGAGGCAAATCTTATTTTTTTTCACATCATTTACTGTTTTACGCCATCACTTCTTCGGATTATTCTCGGGACACGCACTAGGAGCGTCGTTTAACGTCAAACCAAATTCTCAATGAATATGGGTACTGACAGTGATGCTTTGGGAAGTCTGGGAAATCAAAATCCCTTGGTTCATGATCTTCAATCATCAGAGAGTGTGACATTCAAACAAATGAGTAGGTAACTGTAAAGCAATGATTGCCATCACTATCGTCTAGACTGTAGAAAAGTAATGAAAAACTAGCAATATTTGTCATTTCAGAACACAAATCCTTATCCAATATTAAGTGTGTTCAACGCGCGCCCCATATTGAAAGCAAATTATAATCTATTACATAAGATATCATTTTTGTCTGTTGTTTGTCTTCTTATTGTATCTTTTGAAGGTGCAACACTGCAGTAATAGTGATCATAGTGGGTTTTACTGATAAATTATTCCAGAATTTCACGTTTTTACGCAGAATAAAGGATCATTCTTAGCTGATATCAACTGTATTGTATTTTGAACTATTAGACTTATTACATAACAAGATACTGAAAAAAAAATGATTCTTTGTGGTAGTAATCATTTCCGTACTACTTTTCCATAGTGATTATAGAAATATGCCTCATCGTTGACGCGTCTCACAATTCCCCATAATACATTGGCTAAGATTTTTCTTGAATTCAAGACCACAATGTTGAAGAAAGCCAAAAGAAAAATGAGTCAACCATCATAATTATCCTCCACAATTGGTTAAATAAACAGAAGCAGAACAAATAAAAATTGATTAATACGTACCAATGATGAAATCACAAAGCTGGGGGCCAAAGTTGGATATGTTTATTTCTTTTTCTTGCTCTTATTTTCTTCTTCCAAGAAAAGAGACATCCAAGATATTTTTCTTTTCATTAGTGACTTAAGATTAGAAATATGTTCCCGCATAAATAAGACACTTCTAAATTAATAATATTTCTCTATGAATTACACAATAGCTGGCCAAAAATTCTCTTGACAAATAACAGCTTTCATATACTAAGTATATATATATATATATATATAACGCAGAGTAGTATCAAATTTCCTAATAATTTTTTGACAACTTTATTTTCAGAAAGCCAAAATTTGTCAAGTTTTTGATACTTCGTTTTACTGATCACTATTTTACATCCAATTATCTCTTAAGTCGACGACAGTGGGTGCTATGAAATTTCATCTTAGAACAACATTCAAGCTAATTGTGTTGTTTGTTTCTATTAATATCGCTTCCCCTGCCCCAATTAGTGATATACAAGCCCTATGGTGGAGAGATTGTGGTGGGAAAGACCCAGTTCCTTGGAACGACTCCAAACCACTGATTCCAATGAATAGAAGCAACAATACCTTCCCACAGAATAACAGTAACAACACTTTCCCGCAGAATAGCACCAATACCTCAATTCCTCGCAATGACACCAATAGTACAATTCCTCGCAATAAGAGTAATTGTTCAATCCCTCAAAATGACCCCATCCTTACCATTCGTCCGATTATTCGTAATCCTATGAACCACACCAACCGCCTGATTCATAACAACCACACCAACCGCACCAATAATACCAATAATACCAATCAAAAGAACAATACCAAGCATATTAAAGATGATTGCTTTGAAAAGTGGAACATGCCAGGACTTTATAAAGACCTTTCTGGGTCTACTATGTTGACTATATTATATTGAACAAGATGAAATGCATTGTTTGGTTTCAGTTTTGGGGTATATTTTTGTTTTGTGCGTTTTTTTTTAATAGTTTCTCACTGTCTAGGTTGCAGATAACTCTAGTAATTATTAGTGGCGCAATTGTTTTTGTGTATACTATCGAATAACATTGGGGTAATTTCCCTTATATATGTTGAATGGCTGTCCAGTTCTTATATATATATATATATATTTGATGATTTAGTTTTTGATTATTTTCTATATTATATTTGAGAGTCCAGTTGCGAAGGAGGTTTTTTTTATCTTCTCTTCTTTGTTAGTTGTATATATATATATGTTTTAATATTTGGATTATTGTAGCGATTTGATATTTTGGTGTATTTGGTGTTACAATCATCATCTTCAAAAAATCCCTGCACTTATTTCATCTATAAAACATCTATGCTATGTGTGTAGTAGTATGTCTAATTCAGTGTAACACATCTTCTAAATTTGTGGTAGTCTAATCTAGTATAGTATCTATTCTATGCCGATTTTTGGTACCATCATCTTTGTTGATCATGCACGGTCAGCCTTCTCTGATTATCAAAAACCTAAACAATAAATTGACTGTATAACATCACATTGGATGTAATATAAGCTGCGACAACAGTAAAAATTTTAACACAGCAAATTGAAACAATATACCTCTCGGCTACCTATCTCAGGGGAATGTTTAAACCTTGAAAAGTTCAGCTGAATTCCAGGTATTCTGTATTTGTAAGATGAGATATTTTCATAATTCCTCCATGTGGGACTCAAGTTGATAGGAAATCTGAACTATGGTTTCATTGTGGAAAGACAGCATGAAATATTCATGAAATCCTTGAGCTCAAAGTCATTATGCGTAGAAGACGGATTACCTACCTTTCACTATTTATATGGGCCCACATCATAAAAATAGGAAAAAAAAAAAAGAAAATATATATATATATATTGGAAGTATAGTATATCTTAGAATATTTATATTTATTTGTTGTCTTATTACATTTATTCATTTGGAAAATGTGGGTGGCCTAAGATGACCAGGGCGGAATAATAGCGGCGTGGCGCGAAAAAGCCACAATCAATTAATTGTACCACCGTGATGAGCACATCATAGAGAAAACCAAAAAAAAAGCCAATGGTCTTGATACGCCAAATACCTTTGAAGAATTGATTTAAGCAATGGCAAGATAATTTGCGGTGCCTATTTTTTTATTTTTTTATTTTTTTTTTTTTTTTTGTAGAAGATCAGTTATTTCTGTACAAATAAATTTCCTTGTGTTTTATTATTATGTCACGACTTTTTGAGTGAAATAGTTTTAACCGCGACGATTAATGCCAAGGCAAATCAATAGAAGTCTGATACAAAACAAAAAGATAAAAAGATCATCCAAAAGTATATCCACAAAATAGTTGAAATATTAAGAGGTTGTGGGTGTTTTTTTTGTTTTTTGTTTTTGGCCTGATTAGTTAGTGGACACGAAAATATCCACGAAATGGCCTTTGGCACGCTTTCAAAAAATGCAATAGACTATATACAAAAAAAAACAAAAAAAAAAAACGTTTTAAGATCTCCAAAATCATTCACAGGCACGGTTAAATAGCTAATAGATGTATCCAGAGTAGGTGAACTGTTTAATTATAAGAAAGTTGGCATCAGCCGTGATGTATTAATTTATTGTCTGTCACATGGGCGAATATTCTTATCGCGCAGTCAAAACAATGATAGTTTGACGTCAATTGTTAATTCTGCAATATACATTTTACGGTAGAAGCGAACAAAAAACAATGTAAGGAAAGCATAGGATTGATTTCTATACATTTTTATCGTCATAAATCTCAAGCTAGTAGAAATAATTTATACTGCTGTTGTCTACTTAATTGCATAACTTACGACACACGGGAAAATAACTTTTAAAAATGGGTATCAAATGTTTATCAATAAACAATTTGAATAAACATGGAACAATATATTAGGGTGGGAATTAAATGGAATTGAAATAGAACATCGAGAAGAATAGAATTAAAGCACCAGCATTACAACAACAACATGGCAACAGGAACTATAGCAGCACCGTAAACACCAGCATTATTTTTGTACCCAAGACCAGTGGAGTTAGTGCTGGAAGTAGAAGAGGTTTTGTTGTGTTTAGAAGTGCTAGAGCTGGAGTCACTCTTGGAACTTTTGTGGTGTTTGTCACTAGTAGTGGAAGAGTCTGCGAGTCCAGTGATGGTACTACTACTGTTATCATAAACTGGAGCCGAAGTAATAATGGAAGTGGTAGACACGGTTGAGTTGGAGAAAGAAGCGGTAGTGTGATTGGAAACAGCACTGACAATGGCCAAAAGAGCACCGGAAACGAAAACTTGAGTGAATTGCATTTTGATATTAGATATGGATAAGCTAGAGAGCGACTGGGTTGGAAAACTTTAAGATGAGAAACAACAACAATAAAATAAAAAAAACACCACAAAGAAATACAGCATATATATATTATTATTTGACGAAAAGCTTATATATAAGACAAACAGCAGATTTTTCACGTTTTATACATATAAACAAACACGCATCCATATTGATCAAGAAGTATAACCGTTTTGGTCAAACGCGCAGCAGCCGCTGCCGCTGCCCCTCCCCCCTGGAAACGCAACTAGTCTAGACCTTTTCTCCACGTCCCGCATCCCACCCACCAGGGCTTCCAGCCGCATGCCGATGGAAAGGCCAATATCATCATTTAGACAGACCTTGATCACAAAAGCATGGCACCACAGAACACCAATCCTGCCAAAACAAGCTCCTGCTGATTTCCCACAAAACCAAAAACAGCTCCTCCGGTAGGCGTGGTGGTTGTTCCAGTAGGCGTGGTGGTTGTTCCAGTAGGGACTTCAATTGTTGTTGCATTGGTGGTCGTGGCAGTGGTAATTATCGTGGTGGTGTGATTGGTTCCGTTTATTGTACCATTACCAAATCCTCCTGTACCATTTATAAACGGCGGGAGAACTCCTCCAGTGGCGTTCGGAAACGTATCACCAACAGTAACCTGGGCAAGATTTATGAGGACTGTTAAATATCCGGCAAAGGTTTTCATCCTGATGAAGGTGATAATATAAGTAATGCCCCCTTCTTATGGACCAAGAAAAATATGTGTATGTTTAAAAGCAGCAGTTTAAACTTGTTGTAGCAATTTTAATCAATGATATGACACACTTTTCAGCGATTGGAATTCTTGTTTTTTTTTTTTTTTTCAGCTGTCAACTATGTAATTGATAGTTTGAAAACTGGTAATTATTTGGGAGAAAGTATTTATACTCATGGCTTTACTGGTAGCAAGCAATCTTATCATTTTCGTCATATTGCTGACAAGTGATTTTATCCGAGCAGTAATAAACGCTTGAGACTATCGCAAGAAAACAAAAGAATAGAAAAAAAAGAAAAAGCGTCTATGAGTCCCAAAAATATAAAATGCGAATCATAAATCATCAGCGAAAGCTTGAAACAAAGAAATCTACATCATGGTGGTATTTTATTTGTCAAAAATTATTATTTTTGGTATAACTAATAAAGTTCAAAATAGCTCTTTGTATATTGTTGCATACAAAAACCAGAAAGATGAATAAGGTGGCAAAACTATGACTCAGATAATACTAGAGTTACCATAATTTGTAATTACTGTTAATAATAGGAAGAAAAAAAAAATACTCAAAAAAAGTAACTAGATCAATAGAACGCAGAACTTTTTTGATTGCTATTTTGAAGATTCGTAATCTAGTGGGTAAAAGAACTCCCATGACGCCCTCTTTCTTTTTCTAATCACCAAAGTATAATTTTCGAGAAAAATAATTTCATTTTCTAATTTATGTGGGATTGCAAAAGAAGATCAACTTAATGAAAAAGATCGAAACAGTCAATGTAGCTACTATTTATCTGTTATCGAGATTTGAATTTATGAGAAAATAAAAAATCTATTGTATCAATATATATAAATCTGTTATAAAAATCCAAAGTTGAAGACAAAAAAGAGTCAACAAAAACAAAAACAAAAACAAAAAACAAAAAAAAACAACAGCAGTTAAAATCTAAAGAATGAGAAATGGGATTATCTGGGAAGTTCAACCGTTTTTCGAATCTCTCTATTTTTAGGGAATCTTGAGACATTTCTAGTTAGAGATAGCAGTCAAGTTAGCTGAGCCATCAAATTCTGGAAACTTTTCAAAATCGATATCTTTGTTTTCACCATGAGTAGAATTGTGTTGATGGTGATGATGATGTTCAGTTGAATTGTCATGATGGTGAGGAAGTTCAGTGAAGTTACCACCAAATTGACCCATACCTTCAGTAAAGTTACCACCAAAGTCACCCATACCTTCAGTAAGATTGCCGCCAAACTGACCCATAGGCTCAGTGAAGTTACCATCATGGTGTGGAAGTTCAGTGAAATTGCCATGAACTTTACGCTCTCCAATATGCGTGTGATTACCTTCGTGGTGATGATCATGTCCCTCAGTAGAGTTAAGGTGGTGGTCACGTTCCATAGTGGAGTTATGGTGGTGGTGTTCATGTTCTTCTCTCTTTTGATGTTCGTGTGATTTGTGAGTGGTGTTTCCAGGAGCCCCATGGTCAAGATCAGTGAAATTTCCAGACATGTTTTGCATGAGGTCAGTGATATTACCAGCAGCTTTACTAATTAGCTCAACAGAATTACCAGATCCTTCATGAGATGGAAGTTCAGTAGAGTTACCAGATCCTTCATGTGGTGGAAGTTCAGTAAAGTTACCAGATCCTTCATGAGATGGAGGTTTAGTAAAGTTACCAGATCCTTCATGTGGTGGAAGTTCAGTAAAGTTACCAGAGCCTTCTTGAACTGAATTTTGAGTACGATCCATTTCTCTAACCTCACGAGGAATGACTAAAGCATTAGATGCGCACAACATTTGTGCGATGAAAATAGCGGAAAAAAGATTGATGAATTGCATAGCGAGAGTGTGTGATGTTTTAACTGTTTATAATGATTGTATTTGTTTGAATAATGAAGTATTAGATAAAAGATAAATCGATGCCGATAGTAGTGGGCCGATGCAGACATTTATACTCTGAATTAATGATGATCCATGTTCTGAACTAGTTACAAGAAAGTGTACAAATGTGGCTCTGCAGATAATTTCCGTAGGCTTAGCCTCTATGTCTGGTGGTAACCTCAATTCATGATTTTGCCGGACTAGAGCTAGACTCACACCCATTGGGCAATTGCTTGTGTTATTACGGGCCCCACATGTTGAAACACCGATACGCCCGGCAAAGCCCGCGCCTATGCAATGGGTTTCCCCAGATACCAAACATCGGCCTTTGATCTTCAAAAGTTGGTATAGCTCGTAAATATTTGACAGTTAACTACAAAATATATATTGTAAAAATGTCGGTATCTTTCTTTTTCAGTATTTTTTGTTATTATTGTTGCTGTTGTTGCTATTTTGTTCTTTTTTGTATCACGAATTTTACACGGGAGTTGATAGGTACAGGAGAAGGTGTTTGGTGATAACGCTTGAGTTCCTCAGCTCTGATGGGATATTTCATACAAATGGGCTTTGAGGTTTTCTCAGTTGGATATGGGTACAGACGTATTTTGGGGACCTAAGTGTTTCTTTCCCACACCCTTGGAACAATAGGTGCTGAAACGAGGCGTGTTTTCTTAGGTGTTTCGATTTGCGTGCACCCAAAATAACATATTCGAGCCAAGCAAAGGCGCAAAGGCTCGGTATAGCTCATCTTTTAAAGTCGGATTGGTCTGACGATACAGCACATGAATATTCTCATATTCATTAACGTTACTCTGTTATAATATTAGGTAGCGCGGAATTTATCAGGCACTATATTCGGAGAGTCCACACGTGAACAACACGCACTGTGCTTGTAGTGGACAACAAACGTTTTTTTTTTTTTTTTTTTTTTTTTTGATATCAACAAACTTCGTCTGAAAAGTGATTATGGAGTTCTAGTAAATAGCAACGACGTGCCACTGATGAGCCAATTCGATTTTAAAATACTAGCTCCCTCATTAAAGGGTAATACAGACGGTGCACATGTGGTGTATTCGTATTCTTGTCGTTTGTTCACATACCTTTCGGACTTGAAGATCCAAGATGATGATGATGTCAACAAAAAGACATTTGATGAAATATTAGCACAATTAAACAATTTGGTGGATTTCTATAATAACAATGAAAACTTACAGTTATCAGCAGATCACTTGTCTGTCAATTTGGATAAAATGATTGCCAAGAATTATATTTTAACCTTCAGTTTACTTAAAAATATCAATAATAGTTCATTATTTGATACCGCCAATAAATTCATCACTTTTGTCATGGCCAACGATAAGAAAAATAATTTGTTCACCACTGCAGCAAATGAGACACTGATCAAAAAACAGATACTATCATTGATCATCTTGGAACAATTATTTGAGATTTACGGATATGAGTTGCCTTCATTGGCCCCAATTCTAATACAGTATTGTTATAAATCAATTAAGGTCATATTGTCCAGTTCTAAGACTGCTTTTAGCTGTTATTCAAGTTTGCTCCAGTTATCTAACCTTCTTTCTAAGGTGTTGAGAAATAATGGTGACACAACCATTGATAGCTCAAACCACGGGAAAATATTGAAGGTCACGAAACAATTGATAAAGTACTTAGTTGATGTTAAAGATGTCAAGAATTTCAACTCAACCAACGGAATTAATTTGCCAATTATTGCCATTGGCGATGCCTTTGATATCTTGGGTCATTTGATCAATTCGGAGAAAAAATATTCGACAATTAATACCAAAACCCATAAGGACAAAAATATTTTTGTTAACCAATTTTCCAAAGAATACAACAATTATGTGGTTATGGGATTTATTAGCAACCTCAAACCAATCAGACACGCAGCAACCAAATTCGTGGCCGAGCTACTAAATAAAAACTTGGCGAGGGGCAACATTCCAAATTTGGCGAATGTATTGGCCTATTATAATTCTCTTTACTTGTCCACAGATGATATCACCGTTAGAACCTCGGTGTTTGTGTCATTAATCCATTTTACATCTTTAAATGATGTGTCGAACAAATCGTTCTTATTTGACAGTTTCTTTCAATATTTGGATAGCTTCAAAGAATTGATGTGTTCTCATATGCTCTATTTGCAAACCTTCAACAACGATAAGACTTATTCACAGATTTATTGGTTTTACGAAAATTTTTATTTGAAATCATTGGGTCAATTCAATAAAAGCATAATACTTCAAAAAATAATTGATAGTGAATATTTAAATAATGAACCCTTGTTAATGAATAGTCCGAATTTTGTTCAAGTGTTGTTGAAATTATTGGAATTTTTAATCAAAGATTTGGGGCCAACAATGACGGCATATCAAGAACAACTAAAGATGATCTTGTTAAAATTAATTTGTGATAGGAATTTCTTGGTGAGAATTCAAGCCATCAACACTTTTGTTTATTATTGTCAATATTTCCCCAATCAAGTCCAATCAATCTTGAATCATTGTTTGATCGAGGTTCAAAATGTTTTTAGAAAGGTCACACAGGTCAATAGTGGCACCCAAAAACAGGAATCAGAAGTTCAAGTGGAAACTTCACACTTTGTGATTGACTTTGGGAAAATCCACGGATATGCGAATTGTATTGCCTCCTTAATCAGGATAATCAACAAAGATTATGTTTCTCAGGATGTTGTTGCTAGAACTTTGACATTTGCCTCTTCCCAGCTAAAGAGTGTTTCAACCATCACATCCTCTAATTTATTGGGTAACAATAAGGGTAGCGTGGAAAAATCTATTACCGAGATCCAATTGTCTTTCAACAAAAGGATGATTAGTTGGATATTACTTACTGGATTAATGAATTATGATGAGAGTTTCATAAGAATCCACATTTCTCAGTTTTTCATTTTTTGGAAAAATTTATTGACCCATAATTATCAATCAACTTTAAGCTCCACTAGTGCTCATGATTATAAGATGGTCAAGGCCAGAATGGATGAAATTTTCAGAAATTTGGAAATCAGAAATTATTCTTTGACTTGCTTATTGAATTTTTTGAGCAATATTACCATTACCCCAGAAATTGCTAAACAATCATCTTATCTTTTATCCAAGTGCTTGTCATACATCAATTCATTGGAAGCCAATTTGAGTAGCTTGAGTGGTAAAGAAAGAGAAGAGTCTTACAATTCCGAAAAGGAAAAAGTTATTCTTTTACACAAAAAGAGGGTTTTACAATGTTATGTCAAATTATCAAGTTATATTAAGAATGATTTGAACTCGTCAATCTTGATTTTTGCGTTGAAGAACTTTTCAGACCCAGAAGTTTTCCACGAAGAATTACATTCCATGATCAGCGTTGCCCTTAAGGACAAGGAGAGAGACAAAGAAAAAGAATTAAAGATCCACAGAAGTCATGTTGCAAATGATAAATCAGAAGCTCCTTTAAGCGAAGATTTAAATAATAATGATTTGTATTTGGTGAACGATGGCTTAACATATGGGTTGACCAGTAAATTGAACAACGGCTTTATTTCTGAACTATCAGTTAAATTCTCCAAAGCGGATAGACCTTCTGGACATTCTCAAGAATCTATTGACATAGACAGCATGAAAGCGCCCCCTGGTGCTATTCAATCTAAGGAATCTAAGAGCCACTATGTGACAATTGGTTGGGTTGATAAGTTTGAAGAAAAATTGTTGCTAAACCCATTCACCGCCTCTATCAGCAACGATTATTTACTCAAAATTTATGATGAAAGTTATTCGAATACTGAAGAATTTAGTTATGGTTTGGATACTTCAATTATTGACTTATCTATTGAAATTTTTTCGCTAATATTTCCATACTTGTCTTCGAAGATTCAACAGTCTTTGTTAGAGCAAATGAGAGGGAATTTATTGAGAAAGAAAACTTCGAGAATGAGAATGAAATCCATAAACATCAACTCGTCTATTGCTCTTCATGGTGTTTTATCGATTTGCCAAAAGCATAATGTCCAATTTGAGCCTAATGTTGTGGCTACCATGATGGAGACTTTGAAAGTCATTGACTTGAAGGAGCCTTTTATTTTTGAGATTAATGCCAACTCTATTGCTTTGCTATCATCACAGTTCCCAGACTCTCAAGAAAGAGTTGAGATTCATATCACAGATATAGTCAGTAACAATAATCCTTACACAAGATCCGCAGATGCTTTGATCATTGCTAATCTTTATAAACTCCGTCAACTGCAGTTCAATTCAATTTTGGAAGTGCTTTTATCTTTAATCGCCGACCCTCACCCAGTGGTTAATTATTGGAGTTTATATTCATTAATAACTTTGGTCGATTCCCACTTATCAGCCAGTCCAAGTCTATGCTCCCAAATATTAGAGAGTTTGGAGAAGATCGTCCTCAATGACGATTACACCATCTATAAATCATCAAATTTGACTTCCAATTTTAGCTTGTTTTATAGATCCAAGTATGTGATCGCCAGACTACTTAGATCAATAATTATTGCCTTGGGTCCAAATATCAGGGAGATCAAACCAAGATCTAGGGATATATTATCCAACTTATTGATTAGTTCTTTGTTTATTGATAATGACCCGATAATTTTGCGAGAAACCTTGAAATCAATTCAAAATTTGATGGTTTTTGACAAATCAATGTTTTCCCTCAAGTTATATGTCAAAGTATTGAATTATTTGCTAAAGAATTCTCTAAAGACTTGCTTGGGAAATAAAGACCAACCATTGCCAATTCTCAATGAGACCAACGAAATTTTCACTTTCACATCAGGTACCTGTTTATTGAACACCATTTTGAATTGTTATTCTCAATTAATTAAAATTTTCCCGGTGGATGAAGTTTTGAATAAAGATATCAAACAATTCTTGTGGCTTTGTGTGGATGCCAATCCAGATTCTGCTGATCTAAAATTCTTGATCAAATATTGGTTTGAATCATCGGTAGACATCAGATGGTTTTCAATTTTAAATACTTTGTACAAGGTTTACAGAACCAAGTTGTATGATGAATTGTACAATGGTTACAAATCTATCTTGACCAAACATGATAAAAAGGAAGTTAAGGTTGAACTACAAGATGAGGAAATCGAATCCATGGCGAAAGGCGCAGAAGATAACGTCGAATCTCCAAATGATAATGGTAATAGAGGCAACGCAGACGATGATAACGTTGGTTCTGATGCTGAAGAACCATCAAGCCATAAATTCAAATTATTCGTTCTTGAATTGATCCAGTTGCTATTGTTGAGTACAAGAGAGAACCAGAAACTATATTTGCAATTTCAACCAAGGATTCAGGATTTGGTCAAAGTTGCATTTAGTGGGTGTACGTCAACTATTATGTCATTGAGATTGATTGGGGTTGATATTTTAGGCGACATCATCACAATCTATGGCGATGCCAAGGATCCTTTATATGATTCAGTGTCTTTGTTGGAACAACAACAAGCACAAATCACTGCGGCGTTGACCCCAGCATTTACTAGCGAGAGCTCCACCGAACTTGCTAGCGAAGCAATTAATGTATGTGCTAAGTTTGTCGGCTCAAATATTGTTCCCGTTGATAAATGTGGCAGAATTCTTAGGATTTTAATCAAGTCATTGGAAGAATTCTCATCACAAGGGGAGCCAAAGATTGGCGACATTGAAATATCAACTATTAGAGGAAAGAGAAGAATCAAGCTATCAGTCTTGAATGCTTGGGCGGAATTGAAGATTTACTCTCAAAATCAACAGAGCTCTGCAGAAAACCAGGAAAACTCAGAGCAAATTGGTGCGCTAGTAGACAAGTATTTAGAAATTTTGGTTCCAATGTGGATTTTGTCCTTAAGAGAATACGCCAATTTGAAATACAGTGGGGATCTTGATGGATCTGGGGACAAGAAAGCGGAATTGTTATTGTACGAAGCCTGTTGGATTAATTTTGTTGATGTTATTGGTTGTATTATTGAAGAGCAAGAACAGTTGATATTTTCATTACTTGAAAATGATGCTGGCAATTTCTTCTTTGTATTATACGCTCAATGCATTGAAGTTTTGATCAAGCCTTCTTCATTGTCTCATTCAGCGTCATTGTTTACTAGTAAAGCCAAAAATAACTTCAGAGTCTTGTCAGCGTTAAACAAGCTATTACACTCCAGGATTTCCTCTGATATTATTTTCCAGGATCAAGTTTTCAGTGAAACCATTGACTTGTTTGATAGATTGATCATTGTGAGCGAAGACGAAGAGAAATCGGTTATCATAGATATTATTTCTGGGTTATTTTTGAATTACTTTAACTTGAAAAACAATGTCCAAGATTTCACTGATAATATTGACAAGTTGTTCGAGTTACTCCGCGTCATCATGATTGCTGTGACCAATATAATTCCATTCGTTGGTGATGATTACGTTAGCCAAGCACCACACACATCAAGTGGTGCCGCCCAGTTGACGGACATTCAGCAGACAATTTTGAAGAAATCCTTTAGCGCTTTGGTAGTCATGATTGAAAGATTCCCTATCGTTATGAAAGTTGATTTGATTGCTTGTCTTTTATATATCATGTCATTGGTTTACTTGAACAGTGACTACAGGAATGTGTTGGTTCCAATAATTTTGTCTAATTTAAAGAGTATCATCACGATCTTATATAATAACTCCAACAAGGATCTCATCAATCACTTCTATCAAATGATCAGACCAACATTTGTGAAAAATAACAACAATTCTGTGCTAACCTTAATGGTTCTTGTGACTTCTGTTGGTGATTCGATCAATTTTGAACCAGAAGACATTGATCTTTTAGTTGATAGTTTGACACACTCATTGTTGAACATATCAACTTTACAAGTTGCTATCCAATCGATTAAAAGTCTCATTTTGTACGCTACTAAGAATAATAGCGCTACTGGCGTTGCCATCACAAAAAAATTGATCCCATTGTTGGTCGAATTTTTAATTGAAAAGCATGATGAAATCGAAGATCCAAGATTGATTATCGAAATGATTGTCTTATACTCCAAGCAATTTTCCGACGAACGTGAGTTGGTGCCAATATTTACCATCATCATTACCTTAATTTGCTGGTACGATGATAAATTGGGTAATGATTTCACTTCGGGTCAATTCCGTCAATACCTACACACCAAATTGATGAATTTGCTCATGTCGAACTCGACGAGTTTCAAAATTGTTGTCAATGACGTATTGTCTGCTGATCAAAAAGTCAAGACCGAGAATTTGGTGAAATTCAAAATTGACGAATTCAACTCAAAAGTCTCTGATGATTCCTCGTTTTCTAAAGAGTCTCACATCAAACTAAAGACTTTTGGAAAGTAAATTTGACATAATTAATATTTAGTTTCCTATTTATATCATAAAAATAATGATACATGTTGTAATTGAAATAAAAAATGTAAGGCAAAATAATTTTTTTTTTGTTTACACATTGATCAATTAATTAAAGAGTCTTTCAAGAATTCTAAAGAAAATAATAATAATAATAATAATAATAATAATAATAATAATAATAATAATAATAATAATAATAATAATAATAATAATAATAATAATAATAATAATAATAATAATAATAATAATAATAATAATAATAATAAAAATGATGATAAAATTTTATTCAATACCCAAAATTATAATAAAATATCAAAATCAAAAATAAAAATACCTAATCTATAAGTGCGAGCTCACAAGAAATTATCGCGTAATTGAGCAAACTATAATAGAAGCCAAGAACTGTTAGAGACTCGACGAGTTCTAGGACTATGCTCATTACTACTTCGTGAACTATTTCTGCTATGATGGCTTTTGGGACTTCTGGTTTTATCATTTAATAAGTCATCAATATCCTCTATGGCATTCTCTGTACCCTTAACTAATGAAGAAGATTGTGGTTCAGATTGGCGTAATTTAGAAGCCCTCAACTTATTACTAATCAACCGCTGACTGTAATCCAATTGGCTGTAAATACTTTCTACTGCAGTTTCAACTCCCTTTTCTGCCCGGATTTTGGCACCAATAGCTTTTGCCTTTTCAATGATTCTTGAGTCAGTGGTCACCTTCTTAATTGCATTTGCCAATGATTCTTTATTCAATTTCTTTAAATAGACACCAACGTTCATGTCCTCAATTCTATGTGCATAGAAAAATTGATCACCAAAGAATGGTTTGATAATAATAGGTAATCCAGCTCTCAAACTACTACCAGTAGTACCACTTCCACCGTGATGTACTGCAGCGTCAATATGAGAAAAGAGCCAATCATGAGGAATTGAGCCAGAATTGTACACCTCAGGAGGTAAATCAATCTCCAATTCCTTGTCTCCATCTAGTCTATTAGACCAACCTTTGTTCAAAATACATCTGACATCAGCCTTCCTAACAGCATCTATTATTGCTTCCGTCAATTCTTTGGCGTCAGAAACCACAATTGATCCAAAACCAATATAAACAATCTTCTTCTTATCCCTTTTTGCATTAGCTATGAATTCCACGAGCTCTTTTGGTGGAGTGTAGTTGTCCTTCTCATCCAAAAACCAATAACCAGTGACTGTTATCCAGTCTGGAAAATCAACAGAAGGTGGAAAAACGGTCGGAGAAATGTTATACAAGAAGGGAACCTTGTTTTGTTGTAACTGGTATAAATCAGTTTTGGCTAATCCCAAAGTGCTTTGACGCCACTTGTTAACTTGACCAGAAATACCTTTCCAGAAAACATTCTCAAACATAACATGAGTGAAATAATTATAACTACCACCTCTTTTCAGTTCAGGGACAATAAAAGCGTGAGGATATGCTCTTGTTCGCGTCCACGGCATTGTGAAAGCTCTGAAATAAGGAATATCCAAAGCTTCTGCTATATGAATACCGGCCATAGCAGATGGCGATTCAATCAAAATCTCAGAGCCCTGACAAGCTTTCCAAGAAGTCTCCAATAGCTCATCAATCCATTTGCTAAATTTGCTTTTTGCATCTTTGAGGAAAGAAACACTGATGGTGCTATGATTGCCCATAAATGACATCAATTCTGTCGGACTTCCCGCAATCTCACAGAATTCAATACCGTGTTTTTCAACTACCTCTTTAAATTCACCATGGGTGGCTATTCTTGGACTATGCCCTTGTTCAATTAACTTTTTGCAAAGTGCTAAGTATGGCTGTACATCACCACGAGAACCAATAGTTAAGCAAGTTATTTTGAAAGTTCTCTTCGGCTTCATGTTGGGACTAGCAAACGTAAAATCCTTAATGATGATTGGGACTTGCACTCCGGTTTCCAAGTTTATTTTTTCTTTATTCTTTTTGATATCTTCTGCTTCAATGAGATTGTTTGATGAGCTAGATAGCTTCACACTCTCATCAAGTAGCTCAATGGCTTTGCCATCATTAGTATGCCCCTTGAAGAGATCTAATTGCTTCAACAACAAATATTCGCAATCATCTCTGCTATCATTGGTGCTAAATTCAAAAAATAATTCCTCGTGTCCTTTGATGACCACAACCAAACCACTGTACCCAAAACTGAAATTCTTTTCCTTATAACAGGTCTCAACGTCACAAAGCGGTAAAATCATCTTGGTGTAAACACCTGGTATCAAACTTCTAAAACAAATTTTATTCGAACCAAGATAAATCTTACCATATAATGGGATATTACGTTGCAAGTAGGCATAATAGGTGGCGATTAATTTTTCTGAATCTGGGAGCGCAAAATACTTTCTGAATCTGACAGCAGCACTGCTTCTTTCTTCATCAGAGCTGACGAAATATGGATCTTCCGAACCCCTTTCAAGTGAATTGAGATCCTCATAATGTGTTGGATTGCTAGACCACATTTCAATACCATTATGAATCGTTTGACCGATAACATTTTTCACTATATTCCTTGGATTGAGAACTTTAAGTGCCTTGTTTGCGACGAGTAAGTTGGTTTTTGTTCTGGAGATCTTATTTGGAGCATCAGTGCCGGTAGCAATATCATCATCAAATTCATCATCAGATAATGGGCTCGAAACAATACTTTCAGCCTCACGGATGGATTCTACAGGCACATAATTATCAGATATACTATTTTTCTCATGACGATTGACGTACCCGTCATCAGCTTGGTTGATGTGCTCTTTATTGAGTTCCAATGCATTATTAATGCTTTCGACAGCTTTCGCACAAGAGCTAAAGAACAAGAAGAAATAATCATCTAATGCAAAACTGTCAGAGTTTTCCAAAACTTTAACCCTAATATTTTCAGCATTTTCAAAAATCGGGTTAACTTCCAAATCAACAAGATTTGATAATGGTAACTTAATGGTAACTTTATCATCCTTATTCTTCAAAGCAAAGATTTGTGTCTTGATACTAGAAACCCAAGTAGTTGCAGATGTCAAATTATCAGCAGAAAACATATAAGTTTTGTTTTCAGTTAAAATCCTAATTTTTTGAGGTTTTGTTTCAAGTACTGATCCCAATGTATCACTCCTTGTCCTTATCTTATTGAGAAAAGAGTCTCCTTTGACATCAGAGGCAGCACTAACGGTCAGATTTTTCCTTACGAGCTCATCATTATTTTCATGGTGAGTCAAACTTGCAATTTTTGTTATGGCAGTATGTGCAATACCAGTGCTCTTCTCGGTTTCAACAATCTCAACTTTCAATACATATCTCAAATCAATGCTTAACAATGGGAAGTACAAATCTGTGGAGCTATTGTACACTGAAAATAATGATCCTTTCAAAATACACCAATATCTTTGATATTTGCTACCAATAGAAGTCTTGGTAGACAAATTACCACTCATTATTTGCTTCTCTTCTTGCAAAGCTTCATTCTGATTAGTATTATTAAAGTGGTTTGGTAAGTAAGCAAAAAATAATAAGTATTCCTTGGTGATGTAAAGATGGCCTTGCAAAAGAACATCTCTAAGGAGCCAACAAGAGTGGTCATCAACCAATTCATCACTTTCGCTCACACCGAAGGTAGAGATGAGCTTGTTGCAAAGTGCCGCTGCTCTAGTATTGATATTCTTGTTTGATGAAATGATTTTGGAAGACTGCACACCACAGATGACTTGGCGCTTTGATTCAAGAGACTTCATTATCGATATCTCCAAAGGCGATGCGCCATGGGTCTCTTGAATGTGTTTACTGCCTGATGATTTCGTATCTGACAGAGAGTGAGCAGGATCCAAAGACAAGTTGAGGTGAGATAGTCTCTTCAATGTCTCATTCCGAGAGGTTTCATCAACCTTATCATCAACAGCATCACTATATTCATCGGAGTCATCTTCGTTTTCAACCTCCTTATCATCGACATTCTGTTCATTGGGTGGTATATATTCATTATCATTAAACTTGTTGAATTCCGAATACATGCTTGTTGTTGTTAATAAGGAAATGACAGATCTCCCCATTTTCAATTTCCCCAAGTCTTTGCTATTGTCTTCATCATCCGAATCAGGGTGGTTGTTCGGACTTATCTGGTCATCATTTTTGGTTCTTTTTCGACCGAGAGTCTTGGATCTAGCAAGCGGTACGCTTAGGACAAGGGATTTGGCTGCCTTATTGAGTTTAAAATCCCTGTGCCCCCTCTTAATGCTGGGGAATCTTTTGTGCTCCATATTTTCCGCGGCGAGAACTCCTTATCATGTAAATTCTGGGCAGCTGAAAGGCAATGCAATCAAAAAAAAAAGTACTCTGTGTGTAGGAGGTTGATCTGTTTTTTTCACAATTATAAAAAGAAAAATGTAACAAGGGGAAGTCAATTAGGATGGATAAGCCTTGCAATAATCAATAGAATGAACAGTTGGATGAGAAAAGGGAAACTCCGGAGATTTAAGACATCTCATCGCCAGAAATCACAAGCATCTTTTCGAGCAACTTGCAAAGGTGTGCACTGTCATGCACGTGTACACCAATATGGGGGGCCCCATCTGCTGTCATCACCAAATTATGTCACCAAAGCTGGTTGGTTGTAGCAACCGTTAACCAAGCAATCACCGAGTTACTGTTGTTCTTGCCCTTGTATATATTTTAATATCAATTACTAGCCACCCAGAATGCACTGGCTGGGTTTCCAGCCACGTGTAATTTCTTAGAGGATCTATAACTTGTGGTTACTCTGCCTGAACAATTTGGACTTTTTCCTCTTTGCTAAATAGTCTTACCCTTAACTCAACAAAGATAGTATCTCTTACTATTTAATTGAATTCACACTATCAAACCAAAATTACATTCCAAAAAAAAAAAAAAAAAAAAAATTGTATAATATCCCAAAAGAAACCCGCCATCTATACATTAACAAAAAATAAGAAATGAAAAAGGTAATAAACTATAACAATGATCACTGCGTTACATCTATCGACTGTAATTCTTAACAAAACATGATCGTATGCTTTTCAAAAATAAAACAAGATTCCTATTTTTGTTCAAACTATTCAATACTTCCGCAAGCTCTGATTCAGGAAGTTGATAGCTCATAGAATTGATTTTGTAGTTCCCATGAGGATCTGACAAATCCAAAACCACCTCAAACTCTAGATCTAAATCGTTTTGCAATAAATTGAAAAATTGGAACTTGATTAAGTCATTGTCAATACTGTCAATTTTTAAACCAAGAAAGGACTCGTAAAGTTTGACAACACTCAAATCCTTTTGCAAGTTTCTATTCAAGTTTCTTTTTGAGCTGTTGAGATCTGAATTCTTAATATCTATTTGGCTATCCAAGATTTCTATTTTCTCATTTATCGAGTTTTTATTTTCGATGAGGACCGTCTCATTCTTTTTCAACTCTTCAATCTTCAGCTTGGCGTCGCTCAATGTGTTGAGTTCATTATTCAATAACTCTCTAACTCGTACATCTTCATCGGCAAGTTTTTTTAGTTTCTGGTGAATCTCTTTCTGCTTGGCTACCAATACCTCATATTGAGAGATATATTCAGTCTTGGAATCCGATAGCAGGGTCTTATATTGTTGCATGGTGGTTTTGAACCTCAGATGGAACTCTCCCAACCGCAGATCTATCTGGTCAAGCGGAAGCAAATCTGGCGATGTCATGGTTAATGCAAACTGATACTGGGCTATTTTGCTTTAATGATTCTCTTTAATAATAATAATAATAATAACAATAATGATGATAATAATAATGATAATAGTAATAATAACAACAAAAGAAAAGTAAACAAATCGAAATTTTCTCGAAAAAAAAAAATGTTTGTATGTAGTCATGTGATCAAAATGAAAAGACGCGAAACTCCGGCAATTTTTCGCGTCTTTTTTCTTTCTTCTTCTTCTCCATTTGGATTTATCTTCTCCGGTATATTTATCCTATTCTCTTACACCTACAATATTACCTGACTATATATAAATGATGAGCTCGGTGTCATCCTCAACAAATTCGCTCCAGGATTCACAAGATAATCGAAAAGATGTCGACAATATCACAGAACACGCAGTAGCTGCCCCAGTCAAAAAAGGTCCAAAAGTGTCTGAATCAGACATGCTTTTCTATTACAAGCATCTTTTACCTTTCAAATACATTTTCCACTGGATATCTCACTCGAATACAGAAATTACAAATAGTTTTACCAACAGAGAATTCGCATACGAATACAGATCCGGGGCTTACCAACGGTACAACTCGTACACATCCTTGACTGATTTCAAAAATTCTGTGATCAAGGCCAATCCTACCAGATTTGAAATTGGTGCTGTTTATACTGTCAATCCTAAGGAGAGAAAAACTTTACCAAAAAGTGCCATGAAGCCTTTGGAGAAGGATTTTGTATTTGATATTGATTTGACAGATTACGATGGAATAAGAACTTGCTGCTCCGGTACGGATATTTGCGAAAAGTGCTGGAAATTCATCACGGTAGGCAGTCAGGTCATCGAAAAGGCTTTGGTGGAAGACTTTGGCTTCAAGAATTTCATTTGGGTTTTCAGTGGTAGAAGAGGTGCCCATTGCTGGATCAGTGACAACAAGGCCAGGAATTTGAACGAATCAAAGAGAAGGGCAATTGTAGAGTATATGGATGTATTAGGGAGTCCAAATGGCTCAGGTGGTGGCAGACAGAATGGAAACAGGAATGGCCTCAATATCAAACGTCCACTACACCCGCATGTTAAGCGATCGCTTGAAATTTTGAAAAAGAAATTCAAAAATATCATTCTTGACGAACAAAACCCCTGGGAAGATGATAAAGTGGCATTTGAGGGGTTGTTGCCAATGATTTCTGACAAGAACTTGAGAGCTTTACTCAAGGATCATTGGACCAATTCACCTGGAAGATCAAGCTTTGAAAAATGGAAGGATATCAAAACAATTTACGAAAACAATAGTAGCAAGATTATCAAGAATTTTGGTATCCAGAATTTCCAGAATATGAGAGAAGATATCATTATTGAAACTTTATACCCAAGATTAGATATCGAAGTGTCGAGACAACTAATCCATTTATTGAAATCGCCTTTCTGTATTCACCCAGGAACAGGCAATGTCTGTGTCCCATTTGATTCGAAAATCATGTTTGAAGATTACGAAAACGAATTAGTGGCGGAAGAATCCGGAAACTACGAAGACTATAAGAAAAAAGGATTTGATCCAATGAATGCCCCAAACTTATCATTATTACAAACAGAGTTCGAGAACGCGACAATAAATGGGGATTTCGATGCTAATGATGATGATTGGAATAGGACATCTTTGAAGCCCTATGTGAAGCTATTTACAGATTTTGTTTCCAAACTAGTTGAAGATGAAGAGAAAGTAGCCCAAAGACAAGCCAAGAAAAGAAAGCTTACCGGTTAGAAATGTTTAATGAGAGGAATTAGTTATTTGCGCAACGGAAATTAAAATGAGATTGGTATAGATAGTTCTCTAGAATGTATGTAGCCGTAAGTGAGAGTATCCGGTACGGTACGGCTCAAGTAAGGGGATCCCACCGCAGCGGGGAGGGATGTGCCCACGAAACCCAAAAACGTTTGTGGTACAGCACTACCAAAATAATGACTGATCTCGCTGATGATCTCTGACAACAGGATATGTGAAGCTCAGTACACAAAAATTAATATGAAAATACTGCTTCTTAGCCCTACCAAAGATGTCATATGATAGCTGCGATATTTTACTATATCCTAATCTTTCATACCAAAAGTTCAAGACCTTACCTCATGCTTTACGAGAAAAGTTCAACTCAGAATACTCCCTATTTTCCTCAGGGGGCCACTTTTCTTCTAATAACCGCTTTAACGGGAATTCCAGTATCGACGAGACTGATGATTTGATTGACGGCTTGTGTTCCTTGATGGTTTCTCAAAATGGGACTGCAACGGTACACCCATCAGCGATAACACCTTCAATTTATGTGTCAGTGGATAGTGTTTTGATGATCAAGCAACTTCTTGAATCTTTCACCAACTATTCATTCACAAAGCAAGAAGTTTTCACAGATTATTTTCGACTGTTGCTGGAAAATCATGAGATGGCGTCGGTCTTGGTTTCGGTGGATGGGGACTTTGGCAAAGCAAAAGATCTCAACTCTTTGTTTTTCAAATTCAAGGAAAGTTATCAATCTACGTTGATTTCTCATGTTTTAGTTCAATGCTTGTTGCTTTTTAAGAATAGCTTGAACGAAGAGCTTATAAATCACCAAAAATTTGAACTCAATTTACCGACTTTTAAGCTTGAAAAGTTCAGTTTATGGAATACAAGAAACGAACTTACCAACAACGAGGTCAATAATATTTTACCAAACAGCATTATTGATGTCATTCTCACCCCTTTCCAAATTAATGATATTAATGTGTTAAATAACGCCTACATTTATAATTGCTTGGTGCATTATGTGTGCCACCAAGAAGATATATCTACACATCTTAATTTGATTTGGTACGATAAACTTTCCAAGCTCAAGCTAAACGATTTGATTTATTTCCGGGTATTTAAGAAACTCGACCCCAATTTCGTATTCATTAGTCAAACCGTTGAGACTGATATTGCCAACAAGAGTCGTTTCATTAAGCAAACAAGTCTGAACTACTTCAGTGAGATGGCTAATAGATTGGACTTGAGTTTAATATTTAACACCGAGGCAGAGAAGCAAACTTTTGAAAACTACATCACTATGCATTTGAACTATCATCGTGTATCGAATTTGCAAGATCTTTTGCAACTATTTTGCTTCTTTTATGACTTGCCGATCGCCAGCTTTGTTGAAAGAGGATTTTCCAAAGAGTTATTTGAAATTATAATAAAATTTTTCGATTTGAGGGCTATAGAACCGGATACTAAGGCAAAATATGAAGATAAGATTTGTGTGGAATATTTGAAATATCTAAGATTTAAGACGTTCTTGCTACATAATGATGTCATAGGCCCTAGTTTTTGCCAGTCAATTCTTGACTTGGAGCGACTATTGAATCTAGACTATGATTTTGAAATGGCGTTGTCCAACTTTTCAAAATTCTTTCGGCAGGATCTAAGCTTTAATCCCGGCTTTTTTGATGTCGATTGTTTGGAAAATTTAATGGAGTTGGGACTTGATACGAGAACAATTAAGCTAATTGATTTTTTTGGTTATTATGAATATATTGTTTTCAGATAATCTTTTTTAATATATTGTTTCAACTAACGGTGTTTCAATTTCAATATTTGTGTAACAGAAGAGAGAAGAAAAAAAAAAAAATGAATATTAGGCAAAAACTGAAAATGAAATTAAAATTAAAGTTAGATCTATACGAAAAAGAAGTAATGAAATTTTGAAACGAACTATGAGAAGACAGAATGCAAGAAAAATAGAAAAAGAAAATCAATTCAAAATACTTTGGATGAGTGAAGAACTGATATATGGGTCATTCAAAATTGAATCAGGAACGTTCCTGGCTTTCACTGTGATGTATCTTGGTTGTTGTTGTTGTTGTTGCGCAATAGTGGTGTAAACATACTGCTGTTGCTGTTGTTGTTGGCCTGGTTGAAGAGTTACAGTATACCTTGCCGCCTGAGGTTGAGGTTGATAATAACTCACATACTGTGTTTCATAAAGTGTTGGGTAGTAATAACTGGTTACCATTGGAGCTGCAGTTGGTGCTATGTTCGGTTGGGCAGTTACAATGATTACATCAGGCTTAGTGGCAGTACTCGAAGATGAAGAAGCTTGCACTGTCACGGTGCTGACTGCTCCAGAAGTGGTTGGAGTAAGACCACTGATGGTAATAGTAGTCGGAACTTCACTGTAAGAAACAAAAGTAGAACCACTTTCAGTGACCGTGTGGCCAGAAAGAATGTTGAAGGCAGCTAATCCAACTCCTCCATACTGAAGGAATTTTCCCATGGCATCACCGCCAATAGGATATCCCACGCCATTAAAGGTTACTGTTTTGATGGCTCCTTTTTGAATATTGTTGATTTCTTGGATGGCACTCATGGCACTCTGCTCCTCTGGAGATACTGGAATTGACACACCATTCAAGTTCAAGTTATTATTATTATTATTATTATTATTGTTGTTGTTGTTGTTGTTGTTGTTGTTGTTGTTGTTGTTGTTGTTGTTGTTGTTGTTGTTGTTGTTGTTGTTGTTGTTGTTGTTGTTGTTGTTGTTGTTGTTGTTGTTGTTGTTGTTGTTGTTGCTGTTACTACTTTCAGTTTCAGGAGCTGTACTTTCAGAAGACTGTTGGGCCAATGCAGTATTTTGGGTAGTTGGAGAACTTACCAAATCATTAGTACTCCTCAATGATATTTGGACATCTGTGGATGGGAAAACAGTGGGCTTAGTATCCACTTTTGGAACTGTAACTGTTGGTTCTGCAGCAATTGTTGTTACCTCCGGAGTGTTATAATGCACTGCGGTGTTTTCCATAGCAGCCGGCGTATTTGCCGTGACTAGCACTGTTTCGACTTTTAGTGTATTGACCACTGTTGGATCGTTGATTACTTTTGGAGTTTCAAAAACTTTTGGAGTTTCAACAACTTTTGGAGTTTCAACAACTTTTGGAGTTTCAACAACTTTTGGTGTATTGACAATGGTTGGGGCAGGTTTTTCTACTTCAGGGATGACAGTTTTGACTGATCTGAAAGTCTTAGGTAATTCCGCTAGTTCATTGCTGAGTTTTTTTTCTTGGGTGGACGCCACGGAAGTCTTTGCAATATCGTTTGATTTGAAAGATTTTAAGAACCCGGAAACGTACTTGGTTATATCCTTCAAGTAGTCGCTGGAAGTTGCTTCTGATTTCCCCACGGTTTCGAGAGTATCAAGAGATGCTGCCATGTTAACGGTTTTCCTATTACTTAGGCTTCCCAAGGAGCTCGAACCAATATATTCAGATCCAGCAGATAAGGCAGTTTCTATCTTGGGCTTCAAGATCTCATCGAAAAAGGTTCTATTGGTAAGATTGGCAACTTCGTCGAAAACAATTTCGGTGTACATTTCCATATTCAAAGTGGAAGGATTAGATTGGAAGATATCCAAATATACCATTGATTTATTTCTGTGGGTCAGGTTTACCAGGTCGGAACTGTTTGATAGTCTTGTTGAATTGGTGAACAGTTGAGTTGATGATGATGTTACTAGAGTCAAGAGCAGCATCACTGCCATCAACTCATTGTAGGTAACCATATTTTTTTTTTTTTTTTATTTAGTTTTTTTAACTGCGTATTTTTTTTTGTGTTTGATAAGATAATTTCTCTGGATATATATTTCTCTCCCCCTCCAAAAAAAAAAAAAAAAAAAAAATATATATAATAAATAAATAAGGAAATAAAACATGGATTTCTGTAATTATTTATATAAGTTGCCGCCGAAGGCTAAATAACGATGCATGTTGAAATATTCTGGGCGGGTGCCGTGCATTGCAAAGAATCCATGGAAGGCACCGCCAAAATATGGCTTGATGGACAATGAATAGAATGGCAAAGGTTATGGTGGCTAAAGAAAAACAGTTAGATAATGAAAGTAGGCTCGTTTACTATCTTTATAATCATTATTATTAATATACTGTCGCTGTGTTTATTATTATTATCTTTGATTACATATTTTTAGACTAACTTTTTTTATGAAGAAAGAAAAAACATAATAAATTGTAAAAAAATTGTATTAAATGATTACCTGAGAAATGAAAGATGGCGGAAAAAAAAACAAAACCATAGAAAATAAAACAAAACAAAAGAAAAGAAAAAAAAAAAAAGTCTATTTAGAGCCAACTGAGAAAACGTAAGAACCGTTTGAAACTGATGGGGCCTCAGTGATGGTTTGGATGACATACAGAGTAGATGTCACTACCACAGGAGTTACTGCGGTGATTCGTGGGATTTCAATGGTAGTGGTTGCTGCACTCAATGCACCATTGACAATATCTGAAGTGACAGTGTGCCATTGAACACTGGTGACATAAACATTAGGGTCATTCAACAATGAAGACGCTTGAGTTCCAGTGAACGTGTAAGTAGAAGTGACGGTTTGGTAGCTAGTTGTGAGGACATCACTCACAATTCCCACCACCGCTTGAACAACACCCACTGCCCCAAGCACAATATTACCTCGTTCTATTGCCAAGTTCAACTTGGCATCTCTTTCGTTTTCTGCATTAGAAGCAGAAGCAGAAGCAGCAGCATCACTAGGCTGTGGGGCAGCTAAGGGGAGGGAAACTGAAGTTGTATCACCTAAGGAAATCGCAGCAGGACTCTCTGATCCTCCTTCTGCTTGTAAACTTGAAGCCTCAGACCCAAGGACAGCACCTCCTGCCATGATCCCCATGTTAGCACCTTTTGAAGTGAGGGGTTCAGCACTAGGGCTAGGTTTTTCATTTTCTTTTGCGGATGGTAGAGCTGGGGCTTTTGGGGCGTCGACATTGATGATTGAGGATGGCAGTTTTTGATCTGCTTGCAAATGGGTTTGAGCAATCGGCTGCTCTACGGTAACAACTGTTACCTTTGATTGATGAACAGGCACAAGTGTAACTTGTTGAGATCGGCCGGTGGCGGCTGGTTCTTGAACAGCTGGTTGCTTAACAATTGTTTGATGCGAATCCTGTTGTTGAACCTTAGGATGTGAGTCTACCTTCACAGGATTCAGTAACTTCGGATCTTTAGTTAACTCTTGTTGCGTGGTGTCTGGCAGTGATGGTTTTAGCTTTGATAATAGACCGCTAAAGAGGTTTGAAACCAGCTTGCCCCAGGAAGAAGTATCACCATCTGAAATAGTTTTTGATGCTGCTGATTTATCCAATGTTGATGCTGCTGATTTATCCAATGTTGATGATGCTTTTTCTAAGCTACTTTCACTAAGATCAATGGTCTCTGGTGATATAGATTTTCGGTTGAATATTGATAGTGGTGTGGAATTGGTTGAATAAATAATGGTATTGTTTCTGTTGTTGAGGGAGTGTCCAGACATGTTATTATAGTAGACTTCCTTAGTCAAATTAACTGGGAGCGAAGCCCCATGAGCCGACTGGACATATAAAAGAACCACTATTAGAGCCTGGAAGACTATCATATGGTATAACTGATGATTGAAATGATGATGTTGGAAGTGATGATGATAACAATGGGGAAATAGTGAAAGAAGAAAAAGTATTGTCTCCAAAATTTCAAAGATATTTTTTTTTTCCTTTGAGGGGGACATTCCGCACATTTTGTCGGGGATATTTGATTAATATATTATGGATATTTCTTGTTAATATATGTGTGTGCATGCTAGAGCGGTGCATGCGCGGCAAAGGCTTTATGGGAAGCGGCATCATCCAAAGTATCACACCCTGGCATATATTGTGGTTACTGTTGTTATTATTGTTGGCGTGTTTATTATCTTGTGGTTAATAATAGTCATTATATGTTGTTGTTGCTATTAATATTGCTTATTTCATATTGTCTATTTAATTTATTTACTATTGTTTAATATTAATATTATCCACTATTTATCATTATTTATTCATTATACTCTATGTCAATATTTAGTTTCTTGGGGCTGGCAAAGCTAATTGACCCTTTCCATCACCAATGGCCTTCATTTTATTAGAAAAATCTCTGACAATAATCAGACAGCTCACCTCATGACACATGTTCTTGACCTTGACTGATGAATCCAACTTGTTGAAGAAAGTGAGACCAGACGATCTTTCCAACGCTTCTACTGGAACTTGGAAATCAGTCAATGGAGTGTCGTTGGAAATCTTGTCATTTGGCAACACAAAGGCACTGACGGCAACAGACTTTGGGTCGGAATCTTTCTCACCAACAACAAGCTTGAAGAAATGGGTTGGCACTGCGACGTTAGGAGGGTTACCAATCACCTCGTACACCACTCTGAACTTACCATCAGGGAATTTCTTTGGCAAGTATAGCGGACCAGTAATGATTCTCACGGAGTCGTACTTCTTAGTGAGTCTTCTGCAGAAATCCTCTAAGTGGGCCCAGTAGTCTCTGTTGAAACCGTCGCCGACCTGTGGGGCAATATTGGTCAAATCAAAGGTCTCATTCATCGCCAATTGGTTGAACTTGGCGTCGGCGGCTGGCGCCTGGTGACCTCTATCATACCCACTTTTGAAATAGTCTTTCAACAACGCTCTGAACTTTTGAGGGATCTTCTCATCTTCCTTAAACACTGAGTACTTTCTGTCGACGTCACGGTTGGAGGTGATGGAATCTTTGTTGATGTGTTCCAACACCCAGTATGGGTTTTTATTACGGCGGTCATAACAGCTGACAAACTCTTGTTTTGATTCCAAGTCGTTCACTGGGCCTGGGAAGCCATACTTAAAGAAACCACTAGGGTTGATTCCCAATTCTTCTGGAGATCTGATGGCATTACCAGATTTGGAATTACGAGACGCTGGAGGAGAGACCGGAGCCGGAGGAAGAGGAGGAGGAGGATTGGTATTATCATGGTTCCCACTGGAGAAAAGACCCATAAAAGAGTAACAGGTAGCAAATCCGGCAACAGAGCCGGCAACTTTCCTGTTCATTGTGATTGAATTTCAATGAGTTATTGTGTAGATGATGATGATGATGATGATGATCTGACTATAAGAAAAATTTTTTTTTTTTTTTACTGTGCGCTTTGAATCATTAATCTTTTCATGTGGGTGATTGATTTCATAATGAGTAATGGCATGTGTAAACAGCAGTGATCCTCGGAAATTGGAGGGAATAAACCGCGTTGAGGAGATATCCACGTTTTTCTCTTGACCACTAGGGTCTGGGTGGATGGGTGGATGTTGAGCGGGTCCAATTTGCCCTGGAATGTTGATCAAGAATGCAGGCTTGGAGATGAAAATTGAGATGATGAAGTGGTTGGTGATAGTTATGATAACGAAAACCACCAGAGTATGTTGCTTCTGGTAGTAATTAGATAAACAATACTGTAATAATTCTCATGAATTGTTTTATACTGTTCTCCAGAAGTATATATTGTAGTTGTGGGTGTGGTTGATTCCATCGATTGGGTGTTGGATGCCCTAACGACGCAGATAGAAGAATAGCCGTGTTTTGGTTTTAGTCAAAGAATATATTCCGTGCTAAATCCACAATTGTCGGATTTTCCCTCCTTCTTTTTCTATTTCCTTCTCTCTCTTTCATCTTCTACCTGGGACAATTAATTGATACGGTGACCATGCTAATACAGACCAAACATATGCTACTCTTGGTGTTCACGACGCTGTTCTACACTACGGTGTTTGCCATGACATTAAAGCATATAATCGACCAACCAACCACCCTTAGACCACGGTTCCTATTTGCAAATGAAGCCATGGCAAACCAACAACAACAGCAGCAACAGCAGCAGCAACAGCAACAGCAACAAAAACAAGCCGCAGCGACGTCGACCTCGGACTCAATCAATGAAAATTTAAAAAACAGTGGGATCATCCTTGGTTTCATCACCATTGGGCAAACAGCCATGGGGTATTTGGCAAACTTCATGCCTCTGATTGTCAAACACCACAAAATTACCAAAGAGTCCTCGACAACTGTGGTGACCACCGTGACTCCTAGCACCATGAGTGTCATCAGAACCTCGGACATTGTGGTGTATCAAACAGCTGCCCCGACAGTCACTCAGTTTGTGATTTCTAGTGCTTCTTCTCATTCTTCTTCTTCTATTTTGTAAAGAAAAAAAAATATTATTGTTATGGTGTTGTCTAATAAATATATATATATATATCTATTTAATGTTAGTAGCCCATGTAAAGCCCGTATATATATATATATATTTTCCACCCAGAAAAAACCGACAGAAAACAGTCAGCTCAGCACACACGACAAAATGGTAGGTTTTCCCCACCCAAGCATTAAAATAGAAACTTAAAGAATGCCTAAGCTAAACATTGGTAAAAAAGTCTCTAATATTGGCTCCGGCCAAAGTTCAAAAGTAGAACTATATTATAATGCTACCAGTCGCAAGTTCTATACCGTCAAAGTCATGAATCGCGAGATTAACCAGACTTTCAATGACTATAAAGATAAATGCTTAAAAGAATACCAAATCAGTCAACATCTACATTCGAGGTCTAAATCGTCTCCTACTTCTGCTGAATTTCTTGCCGAGATCCTCGATTGCAAAATCGGGATTCTTTCTAGGAAAGCGTCATTGATCATGGAATACTACCCCATCACTCTTTCAGATTACCTAAAGACCTCCCCGTCAACCATGGCGAAGCTGGTATTATTTAAACAATTGGCATTTGGGGTGAATCATCTACATAGCTCTGGAGTGTCGCATCGTGATCTCAAAATCGATAATGTGTGCTTGGATGTCCATGGGACAATCAAAATTATTGATTTCGGCACCTGTGTTGTCAACGATAGTGAGCAGCCGTCAACGGGGATTTACGGTACTGACCCTTTCATTAGCCCCGAGGCCAATGGATCATTAACATACTATGGGACTAAGAATGACCTCTGGTCGTTGGGAATAATATTGTATATCTTGTTGAACAATGAGTCCCGAAACACAATTGTCACACATTCATCATCATCATTATCGGCGAACGATCAGATTACCAGGGAATTAAACATCAAGGGTAGTAATGTTTATAATCAGGCGATTATTTATCCATGGGACTCAACGTCACCAAGGGATTTGAAGTTTCTTGCATATCAGCTCCACGAGCTACAAGTGGAGCATGAACAGAAGAGACATGAAACAACCACCTCCCCACTTCTCGAGGAAATAGACTCGATTTTGAATGATAATCAGCCACTACCCCAAGAAATCAGAGACTACAGATCGATAACCGAGGATGATTGCACTTATAAACTTTTGAATTTGAAAAATCGTGAAAAACTCACACCTTGTCCAATAGAAATTGGCATTTATCGCCTTTGGCGTAACTTAACTGAAAGAAGAAGTTGGAAAACATTATCAAGACTTTTAAAAATTGATCTGGCACTACGGGGAACCATCGTTGATGTGGTAAATGATGATTGGATTTTAGAGATTGACGATGCTCTTGATATCAAACATGGAAAGAAGTATGATAAAATGGTCCTTCAAAAACTAACCAAGTATTCAACTAGAAAATAGAAATTCCAATCTAAGATTTCCCTTAATACAATGATTAGAAGAATTTTAACTAGAATCATAAGCATCGTAAAGAGCCATATATATAGAAATATCGCACCGATTCTTCGATAAGGTAAGTTTGACCACAAAGCCTATAATAGTAAGAAATATCAGAGCTAATTCATCAAGGTAGCCTCGACAACATCGTTAATACAGGCCCCCCGAAGCAATAGTTGAATGAACCATGTAACAAGTAAATCGACAAAAATGCCACTTGGTAGATAGATGTCCTGCCCTGGGAAATGTATTTCCCTAAAACCCGATGTTTTTGGACAAAACCACATTAAAACCGCATTATTATTCATTAGGGTTTATCGTCTTTTAGAAACGGTCATATCGAGATAAAATTTGAACAAGTGCTGTGTGGAGCATGGCCCCGAGGTGTTGGTTGGGTTAACACCGAAAAAAATGTACCTCAAATTCCGGTAAGACCGAGCGCTGGTTCCCCATAAATCATCGCCAATCTGTCTATCGTAAAAAAAAAAAAAAATAGTATTGAATGGTTAAGTGAAGAAACAAAAACATACACACACAAACACACAAAAACAAAAACAAAAACAAAAACAAAAACAAAAACAAAAACAAAAACAAAGAAATAAAAAAAAAAAAATGGTCAACGTTATTTATGAAACCCTCAGAGACGTCTATCCTCCAAAACCAACTTACTTGCCTGAGCAATATCCAGATTTAACTGGTAAAACCGTTGCCATCACTGGTAATTCTGCTGGTATTGGTTTTCAAACTACCAAATTATTGTTGAAGCAAAATGCCACCGTGATTGGGTTCAACAGAAACCCTGTGAAAACTGCTAACGCTTTTGAAACCTTGATTAAGGAAGTATCACAAGAGACTCAAAAAACAGAAAAGGAAGTCGAGGAAAGATTGCATTCTGTACAGATTGACTTGGGTGATTTGACCACAATTAAGTCAGTGGAGAAGCAATTGGCAGATCTAAAAGTCACCAAACTTGAATATGTCATATTTAATGCTGGGGTGATGCAACCTGCCGATGGTTCAAAATCTGCCCAAGGTTACGAATTGCAAATCGGTACCAATGTCTTGGGCCATCACTTGCTTCTGAAATTACTTCATCCATATGTCATCAAGGCAGCCACCCCAACTTTCCAACCTCGAGTTGTGTGGTTGGCCTCGTCTGCTCATCTTATTTCTCCAAAAGACGGGGGTATTAATTTTGATTCTTTCAAGGATGCTAGTCATTGCACCAGTGTTGAAGTATACGGGCAATCGAAGACCGGAAACATTTATCAAGCTTATATCTATGGGCAGAAATATAAAGACCAAGGGATTATCAGTTTATCTGTGCATCCAGGGTATTTGAGTAGTGATTTGCAAAGAACATACACGGCAATTGGCAAGTTCTTCATACAAAGTATATTACATGATGCAGTTTATGGCGCGTACACCGAATTATTTGCCCTGTTAAGTCCAGAAATCACCACAGAGAAAAACGGTAGTTACATTGGCCCTTGGGGTAATTTCAGAACTTTAAGGGATGATGTTGAAAAAGGTCTCACCGATGGTACTGCTCAAAAATTGTGGGACTGGGCCGACTCTCAAGTCGAAGAATATTGTTGATTTTTGTTTTCTTGTTTTGTTTTGTTTTTTGTTAGGCTTATCACGAATTTCTTTTCTTTTCTTTAGTTTATTATTTCTCCCATTTTCTTTTTCTTTTTCTTTTTCTTTTTCTTTTTCTTTTTCTTTTTCTTTTTCTTTTTCTTTTTCTTTTTCTTTTTCTATTTTAATAATTTTTAATACTATTAGTACCCTTTTTAATATTTCAATACTGTTAAAATACTGCTATTTTTAATTTAATACTGCTCGCTTCCAAATATACTGCAAGTGCGAACAAACAAACCTGCTCTCTTTTAAAAGCAATCAAGGAATTACAAAAATATAATGGCAATCAATGAATTACGGTTACTAAAATATAAATTTTGTCGTTTACAAAATTAAAAAATTTGTGCAAAAAAAAAAGATATCCAATAACAAAATAAAAAAAAAACTAATGAGTGTATAAATTTAAAGAGGAAAATAGTATTATTAAAAACAAATGGAAAACCCTATCTATGAAATGCAAAACTTTCAAAACCTGGAAACAACAACAAAAACAAAACAGAAGGAAAAAAACAGAAGAAAAAAAACAAAAAAAGAACAGAAACTCAATGGATTAATATAAAATAAACATGACTTCAAAGACGAATGGCTAACCAAGAATTGATTGCTTATAACATTGAGCGTCATAATATTTCACCTTGGCATCACCTATTCTTTGAACCATCTTGATATTACTTTCCTGACTGATATCTTTCCCGCATGAATCACACATCATATTGATAAAATATTGATCATAATGTTGTTTGCAATAGAAATGGTCACCATTTCTGAAAAAGCTCTGATCTTCAGAGTTCACATCATATCCAACATTGCAAACCCCACAAGTGATGTGTTTCGAGTGAATAGTTTTATTTCCTGGAAGCTTCACACAAAGATCATCGGTAATTGGAGCTTCACAACAGTCGCAAATCAATCCCAATTTTTTGTACATATCGTATTCACAGAGGATTACCGTCTTGGTTTGACATTGGATCTCAGGAATATCTTGGATTTCTTTTGCTTGAAACTTTCCTTGGTGGTGGTGGTGGTGATGATGATGTTCAGAACTGTCAACTGAAGTACGAGAACTGGTGGCAGATAATGGGATTTCGAACGTCGAAGTAACAGGAGAATCTATTGTAGAAAAGCCACTACAAGACGAAGAGCTTTTTATTGATCCAGCAAGGTCGACTCTCAAAGGAGCGGTGATACTAACACTGTCACATTCACTATCATCATCCACCAACCCTTCGATATCGAATTGGGTAGGAACCGTAATTTCTTGCTCGTAATATTTAGAACCGCATTTCCCACCACAAACATAACAAGTGACACATTCCTCATGATATTTTTTGGAAGCGGTCTGGACCACGCTACCTGAAAGTTTATGATGACACATTGTACATTTGTCTTGTTTACCAGCCTGGTCCCCTTCAATCAATTGGGTACGACGAATGGTATCCAAAGTATGTTGACGTTTCAAATCTCCGAAAAAATCAATAATCGAATTGTTGTTTGGAAGTTCGGTGATGGAACGGTGTTGGGTCAGCATGAATTCCGATCTAAGCCGACGATGGGTCCTGTATTCTTCAGAATCTTTAGAAGTTACGGTCCTGGAACTAAGAAAAGAGCCATCATAACCGTAAGTCTTGCGCTTGTGTTTGCGGGAAGACATCTTGTCTGTAGAATCTTTATCAGGTATTTTACATTGGCTCATGAAACTTGATCGTAGATCATCTTCTTTATCATCATTCATAGATTGGTTTTTTCCCACAGGGTTCTGTTGTAATCTCCGTGTGCTGGCACTGATGCTACTTATATTATCATCATCGAAGTACGGGTTTCCTGGAATCAATTCTGTGTAGGAGTTGAACACATCATCAGAAATTGGCATTTGGTTCAATGATAAATGTCTTGATTTGGAATAGTTAATTGAGGCAATTGACGAGGCATAACATGAGACATCATCAGCAGGAAGGTTCGTCCCCTGATGTGAATGATGGCCAGATGAGAGTTGATTGGCAGGGTGATCTGATGGTTTCTCCGGGGATTTGCCATAATTCACCAGGTTTCTGTTATAGAATTTATCAATTCCTCCGTAATTCGATCCCCACCAGGCTTGCATATTATTTTATTTTTCTTTTCTTTTCTTTTCTTTTCTTTTCTTTTCTTTTTTCTTCAAATAATAATACTTCTGACTTTTCAAATCAAAAACAATTTTTTTTTTTTTTTTTTTAAAAACAAAAATCAATGGGTATCACAAAATTGCACGATTGATTAGAGAGGAGTGGGTCTAGTCTTGAGAGAAATTGGTGAAGTGTGGAGTTGACAGTGGAGCGAAGAAGAAAAAAAAAAAAGAAGTGTAGGAAGACATCTTTGAAAAATTTGATTGTCTGAATAATGACGGCTGGTAGATATATAATATATATCGACTGATCTGGCTGGTCCGTGAAGAACGAGGATTTAGACGTGGTTGGTTGGGCGATGGATGCATGATGCATCATCGATTTTCCTTCTTTTTTTTCATTTTGTCGCACCGCCAGCTCCAGTATACAATACAATAAATAATACAACAGTTGGGATGGATGGATTAATAAGGTATGGCGATCATATTGGGTTGGGTTGGAAGGATTGTACTATCCAACAGAAATAATAATAATAATTGAATAAATGGATAGATTTTTGATACGGGATTATATTCTTCACAGGATTTGACTCTGGTGTTTCCTTTCCCATGAGGTGAAAAAAAAAAAAAAAAAAAAAAAACGGCCTTCTCGTCTAAACATGTCTTAGCAGTCGGGGAATCTCACCCATTGAATGGGAACATCATAAATCATCTGAGAGATAAGGGAAAAGTAAAAAATATAAACGATTCCAGACAATAAAGCATTGGTATTTACTACCTTTTTTTTTTTTTCTCTCTCTCTTCAAATATGCTTCAGATTGCCAGCGACATACACTGGGTTTATCATAAACCAGCAAAATATCCTGAAGTGTTTCCATTGTACACTCACTGGAAGAGATCTTGTCAATTGAAATAAAAACCCTGTGAACAGACTTGTTACAACAGAGTCATGTATGCCTGCCATCTTCGTAGGACAAAACAGAAAAAAAAAAAAAAGAAATTCATTGATGATCTCTATACTGACATGTTCCTGGGCTAGCACGTTGTCAGTAGAAGGAAGGTACCTGCCCTCTATATTTCTGTGAAATATCGATAAACAAGGGATGATCAAAACCGCATAAAGATTCAGGATTTTTTGTCAATGGCTTAACATATATCACACAAACTACAACTATATCACTATATCACTATGAATTAAAACTCATTCCCCCTGGAGAGCCTCAACTTAGAGTCTAAAGATCCCGGCTTAGATACTAATCCTTCCAATTTAGACTCTAAACACTCCAAAGTAGATTCTAACCTAGTTTCCAAGGCTTCAAAATTTGATATTAATTCTGATTTGAACAAACTGAGTTCTTGGTGCGTGATTTGAAAAAGTGGGAATGGTTTGTGAATCTTTTTCATTGGGGACCATCAGTGTGGCACCAGTGTTGTTACTGATAATAATAAGAGCCATCATACACATTAAGGAAAAGAAAATTAGGCTATTAACAATTACAGTAATAATAGTTTGAAAAGCGGTACTAATAGCACCAATATTTACTGCAATAATGCTGATGCTAATGATTACAATAGCGTTATCTATCAACTGATGAATTGTAATCCATATGGTAGGTAGTACTATAACGCATTAGAAAAAACGTTGGGTAATAATTCATTCATTTAACATTATGTATGTAGCCGAGTCCCAGCGATTTCTCTCCCCATTAGTTGACATTATCAAACACCACGACGATATCTGGGTAGGGTCCAGAAAGACATTTTGTGCTATTATTATTTATTTACCTGGGAGGCGATCATGATGAGAAACATATATTGAATGGTGTGATGCACCCCCAATAGTATATCTTATTACCTCATCAAGGTATAAACCACCCAGTATAGGCAAGCTAACGCTGAGGACGGTCGGTCCTCGGGAGCCTCAGAGTGTTGTTGGTTGGGGTGAAGGAAGGGTGGTGGCGGCCACTTCACTGCCTGCGTCGTCACACTTGGGCCTGTGTGTGCTGTCATCAGTGTATATTTATAGAATAGCAAATGATGAGTGTATTCTTTCTTATTTTATTTATGTATTTATTTATCCCATTTATTAATTTAAATTATTAGTATTTAGGGGATAGATACGCTTGTAATCAAACGCGTAAGTAATACGTGGATGGATGCAAATAAGCTCTTTTGAAAAAACCCCACCAAGTAATAATAATAATAATAATAACACTAATAATAATAATGTTACCGTGTCAAACTTCACTATCGACATCAACATTGGAAGCTGCAATCATGAAACACACACACACACACACACACACACACACACAAGTAATTTAATTACCTGGGCTCGCGGAGATTTTGTGTTAGAAGCTAAGCTGTCTCGCCTCAACTCTTAATAAGCTGAATCTTGCTTGGAAAATTAATTGTATACATACCATCCGTCTTGAAGCGTTTGTTTGCACCTTTAAATTAGAAGAAAAAGATAAAAATAAATATGAAATGATGTACCAGATGTGGATGTTAGTTAGCTATTGCGCCCCCAGTCTTTTGTTTGTTGTTGGGTTTCTAATTGGGTTATCTTTCTCGTAAAAAAATCAAAACTTTTGATTGTACGTATGGTACCTCTACGCCTTGCCTACCTTCCAATTCAGGAGTCGTACTGTACAAACAGATCAAACCCCGTACCGTACGGGGCTATACGTGCAAACTGCGGTGCAGACATAGCCCGAAATTCGTAAATAGTAAGACCATCTTCCTCTTTTAGCTTGAAAAAGCTGCCAAAATTTTTCCACCGATATTTATAGCTGTTTCTACTTCCGTATCTGCTACAATACTGCATATTCTAGCATTTTTTATTATCCCCAGCACGGTGGGTGTCCTTCCTCAACATGCATGCGTCGCTCAAACTATTACGAGCACACAACATTAACAGACAATTGATCAACTTGGCAACATTCACTGATTGTTATTGTCCTGTCATGAAGCATTCAAGTATGAATAAAGAAATAGTTCCTTTCAAATCAGCTGCTGCTTTCATCCATATCTTTTTCTGTTTACATTGTACACTTTGGGCGATGGTATTACTGCTTTCGTAGCGTATTTGGATACCTACATTTCTATTTTTATATCGAAAGATAATCTCTAACTGACAGAATATAAAAAAACAAAAACATTTCTATAAATAAACTTTCGGTGATTAATGTCTGGAAATGCACTTCCCGGTGATGGTTACAAAATATATATCCACAAATCTTATATATATATATATATATATATATATCACCGCTTTCTGATTCTTTAGTTGATATCAGCAGATTTGCAATAATAATAATAATAATAATAATAATAATAATAATAATCATCATAACACATCTGTATAATTCAACATAACCCCACAGAAAAGAAGAACCAACAATGAGTGCTTCTTCTACAACTTCGGCTATATCTTCAACTATTACTACAGCTATTGCTTCGGCGACTGCCACGCAAAGCGCCTCTGGCTTTGTTCCTTCAAAATCTGGGAACTTGGCTTTTACTGTGCTATTTGGTATCATACTTATTTCTCATATTGTGCTTGGAATATATTTCAAACAACGGTGGTTTGGACTGACCATTTCTATTGGAATTTTGCTCGAAATGGTCGGTTACGGCTCAAGGGTCGCTTTGGCAAATAATCCAACTAGCCAAGATATGTTCCTATCGCAAATCACTTGCCTTACGGTTGCTCCTTGCTTTATAATGGCTGCCTATTACTACTTGTTGGGGAAACTTGTCATAATTTATGGGCCACGGTTTTCGATGCTCCCTCCAATTTATTATTCATACCTTTTTGTCACTTGTGATATTATCGCTCTAGTAATCCAATCTTTTGGTGGGGTCGTCAGTTCTTCTGCAGCTACCACCGATACTCAGCAACAACAACTCGGAACCCATATCATGGTTGGTGGTTTGGTTTTCCAAGTGGTTAGTATGACTGCTTATTTGGTGTTTTGGCTCTTTTTTTTCTACAGCGTGTATTTTAGATCATCAAAAGAGACTTCCAGATCGTTCAACGTTGGCATCACCAATTTTTTCCACACCAATTACAAAGATGAGCTTTTTAACCCTGACTATTCCCGGATGAGATCTAGGCAATATTTCAAATATTTCCCGCTAACCGTCACCATTGGGATCTTTGCGGTGTATGTCAGATGTATCTATAGAGTGATCGAGTTATCAGAAGGGTGGAGTGGGTATTTGATTACCCATGAGGCCTTTGTTTTTGTGTTTGATGGTGCCATGGTTTTAATTGCAACATATATTTTGCTTCCGCCATTCTACCCAGGTTATGTGTTTGGTAAAAACACCGTTATTGTTGTTCCAAAATCTTTAAAAATCAAAAAGCAAGATACAACTCAAGATATTAATCTTCAGAATTATAGTTATTATAATTCCCAAAGTAAAGATATGCTTGTGAAGAACTAAAAACTCTCAAAATTGTTCTGAAAAAAAAAAAAAAAAAAAACAACAACATCATTGCCCCATTCATTCCCTACCAAGTAAGCTTTTCTTGGGAATCCAAAGTCTTATTTTTTGAAGAAAGTCTTTTGGTGTCAGAATTCAATGTTGGTTGAAAAATATGCTTCAGAAATTGCACAGAATCCACAGCATGGTCGCATTTATTTTCAACATTGGAGTTGTGCCGGTCACTTATAGGCCCAAATAGTTGCTTGTCTTCTGATTGAATAAAGCTTTTCTATGTATATTATATATATATATATATATATATATATGTGTGTGTGTTATTAAATCTTCATTTCCTTGATCAAAAATAGCCGTAAATTAATTTCAAGCATTGTTATTAATTTCTTGGTCGGTTTTCAGTACAAATATTTGGTGTTTCCTAATATATATATATATGTCATGTATCATTCGAAAATTATAAAAATTGAAAAGAAAAATATTGGATTGATCGACATTACTGAAACCCTTTGCAAAATTCCATCATATGTCAAATTCCAAATAAGGAGCATTTTGCACATTAAAAACAAAGAAGAAAATAATAATAATAATAATTATCAAACACACAGCAAAGAAAGCAAAAAAATAAAAAAAAAAAAAAGATAGAACACATAAGTTGATAAACTGTTTACTTGGTTGTTGTTGTTGTTATTTTTGCAACAGCAGCTCATCTAGAAGCTTTCACCATTATCACTTCTGATTAGTGAAACTTTGTCCTCGACTGGCCTCAGCATATTTATTCCTTCTCTCGGTACGCTGAACTTTAAAGACTTTGGAACCACAATTTTGGTGTTTCTTCCAAATATAAATCCTGGATAGAATGGTGGCAACAAAATATACGATGCCAACAAGATCATAAACCCATCAAGAACAAAAACATAGATTTCATGGGTGATCAAGAATCCACCCCAACCTTCTGCCAATTCAATAACTCTGTAGATACATCTGGTATATATGGCAATGGTTCCAAAAGACACTGCAAATGGAAACCATTTAAACAATTTATGTTTTCTCACATGTGCGAATTGTGGGTTGAAAATCTCGTCCTTATAATCAGTATTGGAGAAATTCCAAATTGTCAATTGGTGATTCGAATGGTTCCCTTGTTCAGAAGATTTAAAATAAACATTATAGAAGAAATAACCCCAAAAGAATATAAACACCGTCATACTGGCTACCTGGAATGCTAAACCCCCTACCATGATGTTGGTTCCTAGTTGAGTATCCTTATGGTTTACCAAAGCTTCAGCGGCAGAGGCGGCACCAGCAGCTTGCAACACAAGGGAAATGATATCACTTATAATAAATATATAAGAATAATAGATTGGGGGAATCATAGAGAATTGTGGTCCATAAATCATTACCAATTTCCCAAGTAGGTAATAATAAGACGCCATGATGAAACATGGAGCAATCGTTAAGCAGGTGATTTGTGTCAAATATTCACCATCTTTAGTAGGATTATCGTGAGCTAAGGTTCTGGCAGCATACCCAATGACTTCAAAACCTAAGCCAAAGAAGAAAGTAACCCCTGTCCATCGTTGTTTGTACCACATTGCAAGACCAACATGAGCCGCCATCGCAATGGCAAACAAAACTGCAAAGGCGAAATTACCGCTTTCGGAAGGAATATAAGAGTACAAAGAGTCTAAATCCTTAACAGCCGTTGTAGCTACCGCAGTGGCAGTTGCCAGTTGAATACCAGCTGTTAATGTGGTACTACTACTCATTGTGTTGTGGAGGAAGGGGAGTAGTGGGGAATTGAATAGTAATTTGTTTTGCAGCAGTTCAATAATTCATATATGAATAATTGGGAGGGGCAAGGGAAAAAGGCATTATATATAATATATAGTAAATTAAGTACATTTTTACAACCCTCTTATTATTTAAACTTATGCAGCCAGTAACGTCTTTGTTATGTCATCTATAAGTGTATGGCTAGCTAGTGCTTGACCACTCAACATGAGAGATACCACCGCAGTATTACTAATAGCAAGGAGGCTCTGTGGATTTATATACGTACCTATGCAACAATTATGTGGGCCAATTATATCCCTAGATTACTACGATAGACAACTAAAATAGGTTTGTTTAGTATCAACATTAGGATTGGCGGACACCTATTGATCCATGTAGGGGTTTTCTTTTTACCGTGGGCGGCGATTACACCGGTATTACGACGGTATTACAACGGTATTAAGGCGGTTATTATGCCGGGGATAACAAGCTTTGGAGCGACACCACCGACGGTGCATGCATTAGACACCTGCAGGACAGCACAGGGAGGCGGTGGGTGATATTATTGCATAACGATAATTATGGGTTTTTATAAAAATCAACTTGTTGTTATTGCCGAAGATAATTGATGTCCTCAAACATTGTAAATACGGCTGACCAAAATTGAACTACGCACATCATGGTTGCAAAAAAAGATTTCCAATATCAGCATGAAAGAAAACAACAACAACATATATACAACAATCAATTACTAAACATGAACATCAAGAAAACGGATAATAGAAGAAAAAAAACAACGTACATTGAAACAGGTAAATAAATAAATAAATAAAAAAATAAATACAATTATTTTGGCTACACATCTTCTGGAACTTCGCTATCACTACCTTCGGTAAGTGCCAGTTTAGTGTTATTATTGATTTGTTGTTGATCATCATTCAACCCCCGTCTTTGCAGACTCAACTTTAAGGACTTTGGAACAACAACCTTAGTGTTTCTTCCAAAGATAAACCCTGGATAAAATGGTGGGATCAAGACGTAAGCCGCTAACAAAATCATCATACCATCAAGGACAAACACGTAATTCTCATGCGTGATCAAGAAACCGTTCCAGCCTTGGGCCAACTCAATGACTCTATAAATACATCTGGTATAGATAGCAATTGTACCGAGAAGCACGATAAACGGGAACCATTTGAATAATTTGCTTTTTCTGATTTCCACGTATTGAGGACTAAAAAGCTCATCTTTGTAATCAGTATCGAAGAAGTTCTTGATCGTCAATTTGTGATGCGAGTAGTCCCCTTCTTTAGAAGATACAAAATAAACGTTATTGAAGAAATAGAACCAAAAGAATAGGAATACTGTCATGGTGGCCACTTGAAAAGCTAAACCGGCAACCATAATATGAGTTCCTGAATCTGTTGGCTGGTTATTTTCCATGGAGATCGCCGCCAGGCCACCCCCGGCAGCCTGTAACACAAGGGAAACGATATCACAAGTGATGAACAAATAAGAATAATAAATTGGTGGGAAGAATGAGAATCTTTGCCCGTAAATAATTACGAATTTCGCAAGTAGGTAATAATAAGCGGCCATAACGAAACATGGGGCAATTGTTAAACAAATGATTTGTGCCAAAAATTCATCCTGTCCATTCGGAACATCATGGGCTTTTGTTCTGGCAGCGTACCCGATAATTTCTAGTCCCAACCCAAAGAAGAATGCCACCCCAATCCATCTTTGTTTGTACCATATTCCGAGTCCAATGTGTGCCATTACCGCGATCCCAAATAAAATGGCAAACGCCATATTACCACCTTTAGAAGGAATCATCCCATAATAAGTGTCCAATGACTCAACAGAGGAGGAGTTATTGGCAGCAGCGGCGACAACAGAAGCTGTTGCCAGTTGAAGGGCAGTAGTCAATGTGGAACTGCTCATTGTTTTTTCAATTATTTGGTTATTGATTTCAAATTATCAATATTTTTCAGCCACACAGGAAGGTATTAGAAAAACAGGAAAGAAAACCAAAAAAAAGTAAAAGAAATGATGTTTGGTACAAAAAATTTTCGTAGGACGTGCGACGGAGTTATCGGATACGCTGTTGTGCGCATAGATGGGGTTTGGAGCCAGGGCATTGTGGGTTGAAAGCGCGGGGACCCTGTCGAAAATCAAAATCAGTAAAGAAACGACGCGACCTCCTTCCTTCCTCATCTCTCGAATTGTCACCGCCGTTGATAAATTAGGCAAATATAATGGACCCTTCTAAACCAGCGGAACATTCTCTACAAGCCATTGCCAAAGAGAGACTGGAGCAAAAGACCTTACCTTACACATGGAAACAAACGCTTGAAGACATTAGCGTCACGATCGCGTTTGCCAACTTTACAAAACCTAAAGAATTATCGATTAAGATCACTAATAGCAGATTATGCGTGGAAAACCTCACCACAAAAACACTAATAGTTGATGATGATTTGTTCACTAAGATAGACGAGTTTGAATCTACTTGGTCGGTGGTCGACCAACGGGAATTGGAAATCACCCTCGTGAAAATCAAGGAAGAATGGTGGCCTCATGTGGTCAAACTGGCCCCCAAAATAGACGTGAGAAGAATCGGTCCCCAGAACTCCAGTCTCAATGATTTAGATGGCGAAACCAGAGCCATGGTGGAAAAAATGATGATGGAACAACGTGAACAGAAAATTGCCGATGCTACAGGCAATAGATGATTATTATTATTTTTTTTCCCAAAAATACAATCAAATCAAAGAGCACCGATAATTGGATATATATGTATGTTACCATTGAATTTGATCTGAGGATTCAGATTCCTTGCTTTATGTGCAAGAAACACTGAACTATTCTAACTATTAATATGAAGATAGAGGCCGACAATAGTACAGAAACTGGCGGGATAATTTATGTTAATCGGAAGGTAGAATGAACAGTAAGCTATTAGTGTTATTTTTTTTTTGCAAGAAAAGAGGCATTGAAAATTAATCAAGCAGAACGAACAATTGAAGCCCATCTGTAAATTGCGTAACACATGCAGAAAGCCCTTGGATGATTGACCGCATCCCATTTTGAAAAGCATCTCAATATCTTTGAAGTTTTTCTGTTGAAAATTTTTCCGAGTAATTAGTTCATTTGAAATATTACTATTGATATAACTTCTACACGTAAAATACTCCAATTTATCTTGATGATGACGGGACTGTGGTCGACCTCTTTTATTTGTGCAGATTTATCCTCAAAATATGACCTCAGGCGTTACAAAAATGAGGCCAAAAAAATAAGAGTTCACTGGTATAAAAATATCAGATATTCTTATCAATTAAATTTCGGGTAATTTTTGTTATCCATTGCGTTCGCCAAATATATTCAACTTCAGTTTCAAGCGATTCTTCGATTGCATGATTTTCCCCAAAAAAAAAAAAAAAAAAAAAATTACCAGAAAAATAATAGGTGATGGATGCGATGAGATAGGTAAGGTGATCACCGAACCGTCAACAATCCATCAGATAAGACGAAAATAAGAGAACAAAACTAATGTCATCTCTTGTGCCATTAGACCCATCACTACCACCTTTTTTGCAACCTTACCTTCCGCGTGATGTGTCTGACTCTCTGTTCCCATTTATTCTCCTTACTTGGGCTCAATCGCTTGATTCGAGGATTTCGCTAGAACCAGGTGTTCAAACTATCATATCGCTGAAACAGACAAAAACCATGACGCATTATATCCGGACGCAATTCTCAGGGATTCTTATTGGCATAGGGACTTTTCTAGCTGATGATCCGGGGTTGAATTGTCGATACGGTAATGCTAATAGCATTAGACCGATTATTGTCGATCCTCATTTCCGGAGCCGTGAGAAATTAAAGACTCTGCGACTTGTAAGACAAGTCAATGAAAAAACCGGGTTAGTACCAATCATCCTAATTGACGAGAATTTGAAGGACTCAGTCTGCTCTTTGGGAGATTTTTTAAAAGGCACCGTTCAGTTGGAGTTCTTGCCTACTGATAATAGCGGAAGGTTTAATTGGACTAGGCTATTCCAACGGGTGAGATCCATCGGTATTGGTTCAGTAATGGTTGAAGGTGGAGGACTGATAATAAACAATTTGCTATTGCTGAAACGTGAAAATGGTGAGCCGATAATTGACGCTATTGTGGTGACGATCGGTCCCAGATTCTTGGGAGCAAAGGGAACTGAGGTGAGCCCATTACATTCTGTTGAATTGAAAGATAGGAAATGGTGGGCAGGGGATTGCGGAGATGCAGTATTTGCTGGAAGAGTTGCATAACATGGAAATGAATAAAAAAAATAAGATCACTTTTTTTTTTGTCAGATTGTTCTATCCAGGTACTGGATGCCAATTACAAAGCAATTCAAATAGAATTTATATATTTGGAGTATTTTTATTATTTTCAAAACCCATAGCTCACCATGAGATTTGAATATTAATTTGGTTGGGGGAAAAAAAACAACATTAAGTCAGCCACCTAATCACAAAAAATTAATTTCTTACCCCTCCAAAGACATTAGAAGTAAAAATAACAAAATTAGATTGAAAATAATTAGTTTATGAAATATATTATACAACACATACACAATGTGTAATTTTTATTGTCTCATCTGCCTAGACGATTGGCCTTTTGAAGTAACATGGTTGCGATTTCATCTTCCTCTTCATCGTCTTCTTCTTCATATTCTTCTTCTTCTTCATCATCATCATCATCATCATCGTAACCTTCCCCATTATCATATTGTTCCTGATTATGACCCTCATTTCCCTTACCATAATATTCTTGCTGTTGCTCTCTTTCTTCATATTCACGTCCTTCTTCATTATCCTCACCATCATCCTGTTCATCGTCACTCTCCTCACTACTATCATCACCATGCATTTCGCTAAAACCTTGACTGTACGTGTGCAGCTCGTCCTCAAAAGCTACCTCTCCACCATGTTGCAGAGCTTGTTCTGAATATATATCCCGAGGTGTATAATCATCATCAGTTCTTTGCCTTTTTCGAGCATGTTCACTGATTTCATCATGATACGAAATCCTGTCGCCATTTTCTATATTTTCGTAGTCAACAAATCCTTCTTCTCTGTCTTCCCCTTCCTCTTCCTCTTCCTCTGCCTCTTCCGCCTCGTCATATCCCGTTTCGTCATATCCCGTTTCGTCATATTCTTCGTTGTCATCTTCATCATCGTATTGTTCCACTTGCTCATCATACCCACCTTCTCCTTCTTGTAGTTCCTCCTCTCCATCTTCTGGTTCACTTTCATAATTAGTATTGTCATTCTTATTTTGTACCGCCATTTGATCAATAATCATGTTTCTATAATAATTATTGATGAAAGCCGCTTCCTTTTCCAATTGATTTCGAGTATGGAAATCCGTATTATTAACATCGATATTCCCTCCATGTTTCCCTTTTTGAGCAGGGGTATTCATCAGGGATTGTTTTCCTGAACTTCTAGAGCCCCCATCTTTGTTTTGACAATACTCACATTTACCAATATACTGTACCGCTAGCTCTTTAATTCTATTCCAATGGTACATTTCTGTGATGGCGGATACCGTTCTATTAATTCCTGCATGGTTTGTACCAATATGAGCTTTTTGAATAATTCTCGCTTGTCGTTGAGGCTCCATCACCACCTCTTTACCACGAGTCATGAGCTTACCATCTTCGGAAATTTTATAAATATGAGAATTGTTTCTAATTTTGTTTTTTTCTTTCTTGGAGAATCCTTCTGGATAAGTACGATGTATAAGATAATTTTTGATTTGCCCCCACCGTTCGACATCAACTGTACCAATGACAATGGATATTGGCGGCCCTTCTGGTTGGACTAGAGTTACAGTCACACTGTTGGGTTGCACATTGGTGATTTGTTCATTGACATTTCCAGGATCAGAGTTGGTAATTAATCCAGGAATTTCCACTGGTTTCCCACTGGAATCGATAATTTCTTTATCAAAAAGAATGATATCGATAGATTCTCTAGGGTTGCTGTATGATACAGCAGCATTTTTAATGACCCCAACTTCGTGGAAACCAGATTTCTGAAGTAGGGAAATTGTGGTTTTATTGGTCAGGTATACCGAATCAAAATATACTTTTGTGAACCCAAGTTGCCAAGCCCAAAATTGGAATGTATTAACAAGAACTTTACCAACCCCGGTATTTCGAACCCCTTGGTTTACTAAGAAACTACCTGAGCAAATATGGGCGCTATGGCCTGCAAATTGGGGTCGGATGGTGAAACTTCCTAGACACACGCTTTCCCACGGGAAGTGTTGATTTTGCTGTTCCAACACCATCAAGGCGTCTTCTGATTGGGTATGATCCCCGATGAGCATCATTGCGGTGAAGCTTGCGAACCAATAGCTGCAGAATGTCTCGAGGGACATGGGGTTGATGAAGGCAAAGGCGGGAGATTGTGGTTTGGTGATTTCATTGTTGAATTCGTCACGAAGGAAATTTTGGAGGCCTATGGGCACTTGCGACACTGCTTGATTGATAGGGATTAGAGTTGCCACGGTTATGTTGTCCTTTAGAACCACTGTGAAGGGTTTGGGAAGGTCCCTGGACATGGGGGATGCGATGGGTGTGGTGGTAACCAATTCCTGGGCCCCGCTCACATCGAAATATTTTTTTTTTTTTTTGTTTGAGATGATTTTTTGGGTGTTTGTGTATAATTATGTATATATATGCATATATCATAAGATGAAAATTGTCGATTACGTAATGGATTTAGTAGGATTGTTTATTACTGTACCATCCAGAGACGATTGATGTTCCAATCATCTAGTGGAAGTACTCAAACAAGTGGGTAGTGTTTGGGTACGTATAATGTAATATGATATATACCTACCTGCCTGGTAATGGAATATACAGAAAAAAGCCCCCCCGGGGGGCACCACCCGGGAGGTACCATTTGGGGGGGCAGTCACGAGCCCAATTCGATTGGCAGGTGGTGTGGTGTGCAAAGAGTCAACCAGCTGCTGCAGTATATAAATGGACCATCGGAGATTTTCATTTTCCTTGCTGCTCCTTTCTTCATAACTTAAGAACCATCATTTTTAATCCTATCAATTTATCTATAGATTAATTGTCTTCTACATCTACAATGTCTCTCTCCAATAAACTCTCTGTCAAGGACTTGTCTCTTGCTGGCAAGCGCGTCTTCATCAGAGTCGACTTTAACGTCCCTCTTGATGGTAAGACTATCACCAACAACCAAAGAATTGTTGCTGCTTTGCCAACCATCCAATATGTCATGGAACAAAAGCCAAAGGCTATTGTCTTGGCCTCCCACTTGGGTAGACCAAACGGTGAAGCTAACGAAAAATACTCCCTTAAACCAGTCGCCGATGAATTGTCTAAATTGTTGGACCAAAAAGTAATCTTCCTCAACGATTGTGTCGGCAAAGAAGTCGAAGAAACCGTCAATACCGCTCCTGCTGGCTCTGTCATCTTGTTGGAAAACTTGCGTTTCCACATTGAAGAAGAAGGTTCCAAGAAGGTTGATGGTCAAAAGATCAAGGCCGACAAGGCCAGTGTCGAAAAATTCAGACAACAATTGACTGCCCTCGCCGACGTTTACGTTAACGATGCTTTTGGTACCGCCCACCGTGCCCACTCTTCTATGGTTGGTTTCGAATTGCCACAAAGAGCTTCTGGTTTCCTTATGACCAAAGAATTGACCTACTTTGCTAAGGCCCTTGAAAACCCTGTTAGACCTTTCCTTGCTATCTTGGGTGGTGCCAAGGTTAGTGACAAAATCCAATTGATCGACAACTTGTTGGACAAGGTTGACATCTTGATCATTGGTGGTGGTATGGCTTTCACTTTCAAGAAGGTTTTGGACGGTACTAATATTGGTACTTCTCTTTTCGACGAAGCTGGCGCCAAAATTGTCCCAGATTTGATGGCCAAGGCCAAGAAGAACAATGTCAAGATTGTTTTGCCAGTTGATTTCGTCATTGCTGACAAGTTTGACAAAGACGCTGCCACCAGTACCGTCACCGCTGCTGCTGGTATTCCAGATGAATGGATGGGTCTTGATGCCGGTCCAGAAACCAGAAAATTGTTTTCCAGCACCGTTGCTGAAGCTAAGACCATTGTCTGGAACGGTCCACCAGGTGTCTTTGAATTCGAAAAGTTCAGTGCTGGTACCAAGGCTCTCTTGGATGCTGCCGTCGAAAGCAGTTCCAAGGGTAACACCGTTATCATTGGTGGTGGTGACACTGCTACTGTTGCTAAGAAGTTTGGTGTTACCGACAAATTGTCACACGTTTCTACTGGTGGTGGTGCTTCTTTGGAATTGTTGGAAGGTAAGACTTTGCCTGGTGTTGCTGCTTTGTCTGATAAGCAATAAATTATTACTATACCTTAAATTTATGATTTGAGAAGTTAGTTTGTTTAAACTTCGATTTATGTTATTTTAATGAATGTTATATGAAAAAAAAAAAGAGTAAGAGATGTAGAATATAATTAATTAACTTGATCGAATAGTGAGAAATGGGAGAAAGTATGTTATCAAAGGATTGCTTCAACTTTTTCTTTCCATAATATGTGCTTTTCAACTTTAAAGTTATTGGGTTTAGTATCCATCACTAATATTGTAAAGATCTGGTAGTGGATTAAAAAAAACACCTTTTTTATTTTTCAAGTTTACAAATCTTTACAATAATAAATCAATAAAAAAAGAAGAAAAAAATGTCATTAATTCGATTTAGTGCACAAATATGAATATCCCAGGTTATTTTGCTAATCAACCACATTATAACAATAATGCGAATTACTGATATACATTCAGCTTCCCTAGTCTAACAAAACCAACTATCCAATATTGATAATGAAAGATGATAGAGAAGACAAAATAAGGAGAAAACAAAAATAATAATAATAAGAATAAAGGGCATAACCCCATGCAGGAATGGATGTATCTTGTAAGAGAGGAGCAGATCAGGAGGTTAAAAAGGTGGATTTGGGAAACAAAGAAATAATACAAGGAGTTGGAAATTATTTATTTGCTTGGATCGTTCTTCATGTAGAAAAGGTAACCACCAACTCTGCTATATTCTGGCAACATTTCAAGATACTTATCAGCAAGTGGCTTGCAGTCTTCCCACTGGTTGACGTTACTGACACGGTAACACTTTTCAAGGGCTCTTCTGACAGTCTTGAGGGCAGAAGAACGGATCCATTGTTCACGAAGCATGGAGTCCTTAGCGTCTTTCAATTGTTGACCATTGGCGTAGTCAATGGTGTCGAAGGAAACATTCTTAGATCTGGCGTGGTTTTCTAAAGAATCGAGAGGTTAGTTAAGGTCTAGCTAGTAAAGTTATCATTATAGCCGACAAGAAACACTGAACTACTACTTACCGAGTGACATATTTGACGATGATGGGAAGTTGTTTAGTGTATGATGGTACACCATCTACAAGTTTTTTCTTTGTAAACCGCAAATTTCTACTGGTTGATGATTGGCAGCCAGTTTCTCTCTATTTGCAGGGTGCTACACCCGATATATTGGAGACAGGACTTCTAACCATTTTTTTGGTTAGATGCCCTTTTACAATAATCACATGATCTTTGATCCATTTGCACGTGCTTTATCACATGGTTAAAGGTAGTAATTATAATTACTCTAGAGATGGCACAATATAGCCATCAGAAGCCATTTTCTGTGCTCCCTGTGGCAAAAATATTCATAATTCTGCTCTAAGTCTCTAGGCCCCGCTGATCAGAACCCCCGGCTTTTACTCACTAGCGTTGTTCTCTCCATAGGGCATCGCAACCAGCCACACATTGACACCGGGCGGATAGCGGAAATTCTCAAATTTCCTTACAATCCACCCATCACCACATTTTTCAGCGCCTTTTTTTTTTTTTTTTTCCTAATTGGTGGTTACTCTTTTTAGAGAATAATATACCGTACACACCAAGTAATAATCAAAATCAAGATGAGTGACAAGCAACGGGCTTTGGTGTCCTTCAACGCCAAATACGTTGGGATTGCTCACTCTGTGTGTGCTTATCTGGCCTTCTTGGCTGCCCTTGTTGTTGGATGCTACTTGCACTACTACAAGATTATCGAGAATGAATTCTACAGCTATCCAGAAGAATGGTTTCCTAGTGTCAGTGCCACCATTGGCGATCGTTATCCAGAACGTTCGATCTTTCAGATTCTTATTGCGTTGACCGCAGGGCCTCGTTTTGCCTTAGTTTGCCTCAGTTATTTGCGTCTTTATAAACCAAATTCCAAATTGCCAGCTTTTGGTTTGGTTTGTGGGATTATTAGGACATTCACTTGTGGTGGCTGGGTCTATATCACTTCTACTGATGATCATGATTGGCATGATATCTTTATGATTAGTTACATCGTGTTGACTATTCCATGGGACGTCTCGGTGATCAAACTCACTCCAAGCACCTCCAAATTACGCTCTTACAGGCTTTACACCTGCTTGTCATTCTTTGGGATGCTTGTACCATTGATTTATCTTTTCATTCAACATAAAGTTCACAGAGTTGCAGGGGCCTACTCTTATTATGCGTACTGTGAATGGTCATTGATTTTGTTAGATATTGGGTTTGACACTTGGGCAATTTGTGATCTTAAGGATTTGCAAATCAATTTGGCCACCGACGGCGAAAGTTCTCTCAAGTTGGACTTCTTCAGAAAGATTAGTTTCAATGAAGAAGTTAATTCTTCGGCAAAAGAAATCGAAGTGGTCACCAATTTGGATAAATCAATTTCCAAATTAGACAAGTTTAGCAAGATCAAATCTTTTGAACAATTATTCAGTTACCAAAACATGTTGGTGCATATAATCAATTCTTTTGTCTTTTGGTCCGTCCTCTCAGGGTTCTTGGCGATGATTTGGTATTTCCCATTGTGGGCCATGGGGATTTCCGGTTACGAGGCATCGGTGATTGGATTACTACTCACTTTTATTCTTGCCATTCCATTCATTAGAAACCTTTTGGCTAACTATCCACAAATCTCTAGAGTTTTGGGTGCGGCACTTGGGGTTGGTGCGTACTTGGTCGAAAAACCAGAATATAGATTAGTTACTTCCGCCACAGGAGTAGCTTTCTGTGCCCTTGGTTTGGCCAACGAAACCTGGTATATCAATAATATCAGCTTCTCGGTGTGTAACTCTATCCTTAATACTGAAAAAAAGAGCCAAAATGAAGACGATCAAATTAATGATGAAATTCTTGCCACTCTTTCTAAAGATCTCAGCAAATATTACGCCACGTTATCCTCCGTTGGTTTATTATTGTCTGCAATTATTAAATTTGCCTTTGCTACCAACAATCCAATATGGCCAATCATGCACAAAGAGAATGGAGGCTGGAATAACACCGGGATTATTGTTGGTGTCATTGCTGCCTTGTTGACTCCAAATTACAAAAAAATCAACCAATCATTTAGCTTTGGCAATTCTTCCAAAACTTTGACCACCGCTCCTACCGTCGCTTCGGTAGCCAATCGTAAAGAATCGGTATTTTTTTCTGCCATCTCATTTGGTGCCTTCATTTTTCTCCTTCATGCCCTTCTTACAGACTCTTCTACCATCATTACTTGGGTTTGGGATGGGTACCCAATCAGAGGTCCAATCCCTGTTCCTCACGGTGCGGTATCTCTCACAGTGATTGCCTTTGGTATTTATTGTGGATTAGTTTCTTCCAGATCTTCATTAATTAATTATAAATTCTATAGTGCTGGTGTCATTGGTCTTATTCTTTTATGCAGTTTCAAAGGCTGGATGGGTTACATTGGTGGGCTTGTGCTTTCATTTTATTTGGTCACCATCACACCAATCATGATGGAAAATGTCTCTCGTTTCAACCCAGGGCTCAGTTTCACTCTTTCATTCTTGTTTTATTTGATCTTCATGCTTGCTAGTGTTTGGATTGTTGCTTATGCCTTTGTCCCTGGTGGACCTTTGCTTAGAGAACGTACTGACATTGTCTATGGTGTCCCAATGGTATCTGTTGGTTTGGGGATTCTCAATGCCCATTTATATGGATCTGACAGCATGATTGCCTCTTCGGATAAATCATTTAACAAGATTGGTAAGTCTCTTGGCAGTATTAAGAAGAAGTTCCAAACCTTGTTGTTGCTCTTGACCGTTACCAGTGGAGTCATTGCCTTCCTTCGTTTCCCATTCAATGATCCAACCCCATACCATCCAGAAACCAAATCATTCACTGCCGGGATCTGGACAGTCCATTTTGCCCTCGATAATGATCTTTGGGCCGCCGAAGACCGGATCCGTGACCTTATTGTTGATTTAGAAGTGGATATAATGGGGATGTTGGAAACCGATACCCAACGTATTGTGATGGGTAATCGTGACATGACCCAAAAAATTGCCCAAGATTTGGGTTATTATACTGATTTTGGACCTGGTCCAAATAAGCACACTTGGGGTTGTTTACTTTTATCCAAGTTCCCAATCTTGAACTCCACCCACCATCTTTTACCATCCCCAGTTGGGGAATTGGCCCCTGCCATTCATGCCACTTTGGACATTTACGGAGAATATGTTGATATATTTGTGTTCCATTCTGGCCAAGAAGAAGATGTCGAAGATAGACGTTTACAAACCTTGTATCTTAGTGAACTCATGGGTTCTACCGATAGACCAGCCATCTTACTCAGTTACTTGGTTACTGAACCTCATAAAGGTAATTACAATGTTTACGTGAGTGAGAAATCGGGAATGCATGACATTGATCCAACCGACGACGATAGATGGTGTGAATACATCCTCTTCAAGAGGATTAGAAGAACTGGGTACGCTCGGGTGAGTAGAGGTACCATCACCGATACTGAAGTTCAAGTAGGGAAATTCATGTTAGCAGACAAGATTGCTTTGGAAAACGAACACTTGTTGTACATGAATGAAAGAGTCGACGTTAGCCAAGTTCCAAAACCTTTGAGATTCCCTACGATGTTTGATGGTGATGGGGTTAGAGGACATAGATACCATGTTTTTGATGAGCCACGTTATTTCATTTAAGAGAATTTTTTTTTTCCCTTCCATTTTTAGTACTGCTTTGATTTAAGTTTTAGTCTTTTTTTTTTTTTTTAGTATATAATATATACTATATTTGTAGTATACACTTACGCACGTTGTTCATTGTTGTTCTTTTATTTTTATTATACAATTGTTATAAGATTAGAAGCAATAAAAACAAGGTGAAATACATAATCATTTTTTAACTGGTCTAATCAATGTTTTTCGAAATTCCAATGTTGTATAATATTCTGAACACTGTTTACTATTGTTTTACTGTTTTATATTTTTGATCAACATCACAAAACTTATATTAGATTCCAGTTTGGGTAATATTACACACGCCAATTTAATAATAATATAACAAAAAAAAATATGACTATTTAACAAGAAACCACAATAAATACAGAATAATCATCATCTAATCACTCACAATTTGTAAGGATACCCAATAGAATCGTCCTTACGTTTCCATATCCTCTTCTTCTTCCCAGTGACAACGTGGGTGACGAATTTTTCCTCGCAATACTGATTCTTGAACTTTCTAATGAACCGCGGGTCCCACAATTCTGACCCAATCCCCAAATCTTTACAGCATCTCATCAACGCATTACTTTTACAACCCTCAGTAGCCGTAGGAATTCCTTCTTGATTGAAATAGTCCTGTTCCCCTCGAGCAACACTGATAAGCCGTCCCATTACCACCAACCCGTACTCTCTCGTGATCAATTTCGGGGTGATCACGGTATCCGAACGAGGAATCAACCCCCACGCCCCCGGACCTAATGACTTATTGAGGATCCGACGATACTTTATCTCTGGAAGATAAATGAGTCCATCGGGTTTCATTTCAATATCTTCTGGATCAAGTGGTTGAAGAAGAATATCGATTTGTCGTTGCGAGAGCTGGGTGGTCCCAATACCATGGAACGAGCTGGTCCAGTCTATTTGCGGGTGATGATGTAGCGATTCCCCCTCGGTATTCAAAAGCCCACCACTAGAAGGTGGAGTAAATGGTGGAGTGTCGTTCAAAGTATGGTTGAAAACATCATTGAAAGTCTTGGTGCTGAATTTTGGAGCGGCAGTTCCAGGCGATGATGCCCTAGCGGGAGGTTGGGGATGAGTTTCTGACGATTGAGATTGAGATATAGAAGTTATATTTGTTGTTGTCGATGTAGATAAAGGAGCAGAATTGGTATTAGAGTTGGAAACACCTGTAGGTTTTGTCATCGTTTTAAAAAGAGCAGGTCCCTTTACTGGTGATTTTTTGACAAAGGATGCTTTAGTCGATGATGATGATCCACCACGAAAAGACGATAATGCGTAGGATCTTTTAGCGGTAACGCATATTGAGGATTTTAGAGCTTTGACAGAGTTCAAACTTATGGTATTTGGGCCCATATTTTATCATTAAATTATGGAATTCGACTACAATTTCACAGAGATGCCGATGGTTTCCCTTTTTTTTTTTTTTTTATTTTTTCGTGTGGAATAATTTTTTTTTTTTACAATTTTTGAGGCTCCTGTAGCAAAATCAGGCGTCTTTCTCCTTTCAGCATTTATTGTTTGGTATTGGTGGCTCGCTATGGCAGGCGTTTGCTCAATCTTTCGGGTATTTGTTGGTAGCTAGAGTATTTGTTGGTACTTTTATGGGGTTAAACTCCTCGGTCATTCCGATTTTCCTGCGAAGTCTCGAGAATCTTTCATTATGTTGTGGCAAACATTTGTGGCCTTTGGCGTCTTGTTGGGCAGTGTTTTCAAACAAGATTTTGTCGATCCTGATCCTTTCTAATCTCCTGGAGATTAATTATTAGCTCTCATTTTGTACCTCCGCTATTATTTGACGCTGTCCTAATTTTGTTTTCTATAGAATACCTAAGATATTTATTCACCAAGAGGCGAGCTAAGAAAACCACTGAAGCTCTTCTTAGTTTGCGAGGAGATGGGTTAATTATCTGCAGCCAGAGATTGTATCATTTTGTACACTTCTTTAAACCGCGTCAAAGAAATCGACCGTATTTCAATCTTCAAACAAATTAGGCTTTCCTTTTATTGATAGGCGGATCAGGTTTGCATTTTTTAGATGGAGTAAAAAAAAATGATAATACGACGTTTTGATTAGAATCAAATAACCTCCTGAGTTTAACCAAGAGAAATTTTCTAGTACCACTATTCAAAACCTAATCAATTTCTTCCAAAGACAACTCGGAAGTTTTTGGGATGAAGAACATTCCCCCCATAGAAAAAGAGTCCCCCACTACTGGTCATGGCTTCATTCATTTGAGGCTATGACATACTCAGCACATAATTAAGATCTAATACCACAAAAATATCCCCGTTATTTTTATTATATCTGCTTTGCAATAAATGGAAAAAAAAATCTTACAATTACATTGCTGAAGGGAGAAAAGACAGATATATGTCGAATTTATCAAAAAAATGAATTGCTTCAAAATATCATAAGGGATGATAATTCTGTATGTTTTTTTATCAGTTTTTTCAACAAACACCCCTACCAATGAAAAACAAACAAATAAACTGAGGCAATACCATTTCGTGAACTGCTTATGAGTCATCATCATCATCCTTATACTCCAGGATAGCGTCAATTTCGGCTTCCGGTGTACCAAAGGTCGGGGCTGGGTCAAATTCTAAGTCACTGTCACCAGTAAATATTCTGGATAAAAGAAAGAATGGTTTTTCTATGTTGTAAGTGGCCTTGACGGAGATATCGCAGTATTCAATATTCTTTGTTCTGTGAAATACAATGATCTTGGGCTTGATGGCTCTTTCTTTAATATCGACCTTATTACTACATAAAACAATTGGGATACCTGTACAAGCTCTAGTTACATCTCTGTACCATCTCTGTACCATCTTGTGATGCTCTTCAAGGTCAATCTGGAGCTGACATCGAACATGATAATACAACCATGAGCCCCGGTGTAGTAACCATCCCCTAAACCAGACAATGCCTCTTCACCAGCGGTATCCCAGACATTAAAACTGGTTACACCAAACTCGGTTTGGAAGGTTAAAGCAGAAACTTCAGCGCTCACGGTGGGGGCATGTTTATTTTGGAACTCACTAGTTGAGAAGCGCTTGACAAAACTGCACAATATTTTAAGAGCACGTTATATAACATCATGGATTGGTGGTTATTATAAACGCTGTTTTCTAAAATATACCAGGCAGGCACAGCGATTTCATTTCTTCTTCGCACCAACCAGACCAGACCACAGGAATATTCCTACTAATGGCAAAAAATAATTCATGCTGCACACTGGGCTAATCATTGATTTATACCAACTTCTTTTTTTTTGATTTATATTACAGACCTTCTTCATAATTATTATATACAAATCACACAACAGCTAGCACAGAGATACTTTGGCGTTTAGCTCGGATGTATTATCAGCATGGGGCATTGGAATGGTTACAATTTATCATAAACACTAATAAACACCAACTTTAGTGGCTGTTTTTTTTTTTTCTTAAATTACAAAAAAATAAATTATACAATAAAAAAACATCTCGCAAAAAGACCCAAGCATGAAAAAATAACATTATACAAAATGAAAATAAAAACAAAAAAAAATTGTTTGAATTAATCCTTCTTTTCAAAGTAATCAGTCATTTCTTGGTCCAATTCTTCAAGAGTCTTCTTGGCCTTTTTGACTGGCTTCTTGGCGGCTGGCTTCTTAGCGGCAGCCTTCTTTGGCTTACTAGCCCTAGATGGGGCATTGGCCTTGATTGCCAATCTCTTCTCGTTGGCTTGGATTCTGGCAGTCAAAGGCTTTTTAGTTGGATCCAAGATCAATTCAATTTTTAAGTTGTTCTTACCACCGTCAATTGGGGCACCATTGTATTTGGTGACAGCCTTTTGAGCGTATTGAGAGTTCTTGAAGATAATAGTGGCAATCCCCTTAGATTGGCCTCTTTCATTGTAACTCAAGGCAACGGTGTGAACACCACCGACTTGACTTTGGAAGAACTCTTTGACAGCATCTTGCTTGATATCTTTTGGCTATTATTAGTAGTTAGTATAAAAAATTCTCACAGCAAAAAGAAAGAATAAACATTGGTTGGGATGGAGATAATAATAATCGGGTTCAATTTTCCTTCACCTAGAACACAAAATTGAAAGAACCAATATACAGATCACGAGCAGCACAGTTGATGGAACCACTTTCTGGAAAAAACAGAAAAAAAAAACATCCACCCGTGTCTTTAACAAAACTCAGCATCATCTTGTAACCCAAACAATAAAAATGAGATAGTGACACAGAAATGTTTATTTCCTTGTTTTATCGCTGTCCATATTCTAGGCGCGCTAGATTACAAGGTAGCACTACGCTACTTTGCAAAATAACTAGGGGCAAAGGCAGGCATTACATGTAATTACTTAATTGCAATCTTGCCAAACCTCTCAGAATGATGTGTTGCTTCATCAACATTCATCACTCCAAGCATTAAGCCACAAACGTCCAGTGTCCATAGTTCTGGATTTTTTGATTCACGTCTTGAACAAGATTTAAAGAAAGAATGACTGATAGAGTATCTCAACACAATTTGGTACCGAAAAATGGGGTAACGACGCGTAATTGACGCCAAAATCACCAAGGTAGTAAATGCTCAACGCCTCCATCAGCCTCCATTTCTCGTGAATGGGAGGATCATGTCGTCCTTTTGGACAGTCAATCTTCAAAAGGAAAATCCCATAGTTATGTAGTTAACATCCCGCTAGGCAATTATAGACGCGAAATAAACAGAAATAAACAGGCACACATTCTCATTAGTAAAATACAAATGAGAAAATAATAACTCAGGCAACACATACTAAACCGTAAATAACAGCTTTAGAAGCAGAAGAAGCATCGATAACTTTAGCAACAGCAGCAGGGGAGATGGTTTTCTTAGCACCAGGGCGAGCTTTGTGAGGGGCTTTGCCGACTTTGGCGTTTTTATTCCCGGTTTTCTTAGATCTGAAGGTCTTCTTGACACCTGGCTTGGAGGCAATGATTTCGTCAAGGGATTTATCTAAAGAGGCAGACATTTTTGAAAGTTATATGTTATTGATTAATAGAGAGTTATTGGAGAAACGAGTTCCTTTAGGAGAGGAGGAAAAGACGTCAGTGTAACTGCAAATTCCAAATTTTGCTGACTTTTTTTTTTGCCTTCCGTGTGCTGTCGATCGATGGCGGGCAGGGGGGATTGCCCGGTCATCTGCTGCCATATATTACCCGCCGGTGTTCCCCCGTCAACATGCATAAGCGATTTTGTGTTCTTTCTCAATCGTTTCTCTTTTCTTGCTGTTTTTGGTTAGCCAGAGGCTGCAAAATATTCTGGAGGTTCTTATTCAAAATGCATTTTTCCTAAAAATAGTAGAACCTCAATGTTGGAGGATATTACAAAAAAATTTGACAGTAAAACAATAAAAAAAAAAAAAGAATTACTTCACATAATAAAATATTAAAGGATCTTGATTATGGAGCTGGATCATTTCACCCATATTTACCACTATATTACTTTTTTAGTCGGTTATATCCCAGTGTTATTATGTTTGTATATTTCCTTTTTTACTTTTTCCAATCCTTAACAAGTATCACTAACACTGCTAGATGTCAGCATAGGTCCCATAATTGGTGTACTCATTTTATGGTGTTTAGTTGATTTTGTTGGGATAGGAAAACCAAAGAGAATTCCAGGCTTACCTCAAGTTCCTGGATTGCCAATAGTTGGTAACTTGCATCAGCTCTCTCACAATCCATCACTCGTCTACTCCAAATGGGCGAAAATTCATGGAGATGTTTACCAAACTAGGATGGGATCGAGAAAAGTAGTTGTTGCAAATAGTTATGACTCAATAATGGAGCTTTGGATGCAGAACTGGCACAACAATAATTCAAGACCCACACTTTTCACATTCCATAATGTAGTGTCGAAGACCCAGGGGCTTACCATTGGCACAACGCCGTATTGTGATTCTTATAAAAGGAAAAGAAAGTTTGTCGCGACCAATTTAAATAAGACTGCGGTTGGGAAATATAGTGACCTAATCAGTTTAGAATCAATACATACTTTGGAAAGAATCGATAAATTTTTGAGTGATAAGGAAAATGCACCTCACCGAGATATTAATCTACTTAAGTTCGTGCAGGCCTATCACTTGAAGATTGCACTATTCATCACCTACGGCTATGCGATTGACTACAATACTGAGTATGGGCTTAGTTTATTAGACGAGGTCACCTCAGTTGAGAATAAAATTACGAGGCTAAGATCTCATACTTCTAATCCCCAAGATTATATTCCAATCTTGAAATTCCTTGCCCCCAAGTTGAATACCCCTAATGAGTTTAGAAGAAGGAGGGATAAGTATATAAGATTCTTCGAAGACCAACTCAAGACCCGGTTAGAACACGGTGAAGATGTCGAGTGCTTTGTTTCTCAAGCTTGGAAAATTATGGATGAGGACCCAAAAAGATTGTCACCCGAAGAGTTACAGAGTGCTTGTTTAACGTTAGTCTCGGCTGGCTTAGACAACGCTCCTTTGAATTTCTTTTATTGTATCGGAATGTTAAGCAATTCAGAATTTGGATATGAGATCCAGAACACCGCTGTTTTTGAGCTTCTCAAGGAATATGGATCTTTGGAAAACGCTTGGGAGATGTGTGTTTATGAAAACCTTAAAGTAGATTATATTTGTGCTCTAATTAAGGAGACTTTGAGACATATGACTGTTTTGCCATTAAGTCTTCCTAGGGAAACTACCAGTCCTATCGAGTACAGAGGCTGCACTATACCCAAGGGAACAATATTATTTATGAATGCAGCCGCAGCAAACAATGACCCTAAGTACTATCCACATCCAGAGAAGTTTGAACCGAAGAGGTGGTTGAGTGACGATTTGACATTGGATCCTAAGGCAAAATTGTGCCAATTTTCCTTCGGAATCGGTAGCAGAATGTGTGCTGGTTCTCATTTGGCATACAAGGAATTATACGTGTTGTTGGTGAGAACAATAATCAAATATAAAATAAGAGAGCCGCATAACCTCAATCTAAGAATGAAAACTAATCCCTTTGAGTTAAATGAGTGTCCAGATTCTATCGCCATAGAGCCCGAAAACTTCCTCGTGAAGCTATTGCCAAGATAAAATGTGTTTATGAGTGACAATAATATTAATAGTTTTTCATACAAACAACCTGAATATGTTGTAGTATTAAGCTAGCTTTTTCCAAAATTTCCTCAAACTATTGTCCAACAGCGTTTCAATTACCTTATCACAGTATTTTGGAATTAGTGGAAAAATAATTGAAACGGCCAAAAATGGTCCACCTTTATAAAATATTTGTTTCATAAAATTATCTGACATGCCTCCAAATTTTCTTGCTAGAAATGGAAATAGTCTAGAGTTGCTGGCGAGGCCGTGCAAATATTCATACGTTGTCGAATTGAAAATGTTTTCTCCTGAAAATTTTAGTATGTATTTTATGGCAACACTTGGGATTGCAATGGTTGAAATTGAATGAAAAAGGGTTCTTTCAACAAAAACAAGTTTATAATTAGATTCTCTAGCAGCATTCATTTCGTCTGTTGAAGATTCCAGTCCGAGTTCTCTATAATATTCTTTCATGGTTTCATGAAGCACATCACCCCCTATGTAAGTCCAAGACATAATACCACAAACCTTGATTATTTTCATTTTAATTTTCTGTCTTCGAAATCGTTGTTCATCACTGCGATTTTCCGTCTTATCAAGTGCTCCTGAGATCATCTCTTGGATATCCACCGCTTTTCTTATTCTACCACTAGTCATCCTGACCTTCCCAATGGCTGGTTTCACCATCTGGGAAGTGATCATAGAGGGCAATTGAGATTGTTTAGTCAAAATTTGCAACTCTTGGGATGTATTTCTTGTTTGTTTTGCTACGGTTGTAGCTGACTTACCAAGGTACTTAGCTTGGCTAATTATGGAGGATTCATTGGCTAGAGAAATTGCCCTCTTACCAGCTGGACCAGCCTGTTTTGCCAATATTGAACCTTCTTCAATCAAGATCTTGGGAGCGCTTTCGGACATAAGTTGAGAATTTTCTCCTGATGTCTTCAAAGTTTTGGAAATGGAACTCAATTCTTTTCCTAGACCATCCGATTCGCGAATTGCTCCAAATAGATGCAGTTTTTCCAGGTAGATATATTTCCCAAAATCGGTGAACAATTGCTAAAGTTTTTTTTTTGTTAGTTGAATCTCAAAATACAAGTACAATGTTGTTATTGACATTTCATATCTTACTTTCAATCGCTGACCGTATCCAACATATCGTAAATTAGAGCCAACGGGGTCATCTTCATTATCATCTGATCTAGGCGTATTATGCTTCAATGGTGAGGAATCCATTGTTGCCCCGATATTTTGTCAATCTCCGAGATTGACACTTTGAGTAATATTATTATTCCATGTGCTTACTACGATGTGCGTGCGCCCATAACCTTAAGTAAAAATCACTATAATGGAAATTTACAAGGTTCTGCCAAAATGCTGGTGTGTTGCAGACCAAAAGGTAGCATTTGCCATAGGTTTCATCATAAAAGAGGCTTCCAGTACATGTCACCACTTTTCGCGCAACAATAGCATGTAATTGAAGGTACTGCTCTCCTGTCTGAGTGGGAATAGTTGTAAGTAAGATGGTTCTGGGCTTATTGAATTCAAACTCTCCATGAACAACCAAATTCTTGGTTTCAAACTCTCAATGAACAACCAAATTCTTGGTTTCAAACTCTCAATAACAACCAAACTCTTGGTACAAATCACTTACACTCCAAGTGAACATCTTGAGGATAGTTTTTATACATTAATTAGAAATAAGAACATACATGAACACATTTTATGAATTAGCTTAGTCGAACAAACCGAAACCCATGTCATCGTCAGATTCATCTTCTTCTTCTTCAACGGCTTCTTCAGCGGCGGCTTCTTCAGAAGCACCAGCAGCAGCACCAGAAGCGGCACCAGCACCACCGGTTGGGACAGTGGACAATTTTTCAATACCTTGAGCAATCAATTCTTCAGCGTTCTTACCAGAAATTTCGGCAATCAATTTGTCGAGCTTTTCAGAATCGATTTCGATACCGACGGATTCCAAAACCTTGGAGACGTCAGCAACGGATGGTTCAGCGTTACCAGCTTGAACGAGCAATAAGTAGGCAGCCAAGTACTTCATCTATCAATTACTGGTTAGTATTTCCCCCTGAAAAAAATTAACACTATTCCATGAGTGATTTACATTGATTGTAGATTTAGTGATTCGAGTTGATTTTATAGGAGTGTCAATCGGAAATAATAGTAAGAATACAAATCATCAGTTGTCATGTTTCACAAATTCTCCAAAATGTATCACATACAATTAATCATTTTTCATAAGTCTGTTAGCTGACCCCAAATCAATTCATATAGGTTTCATTTAATCGGTTTGTTTAAACCCACAATTTATTAATGATCCAATACACCTAATTCCAAAATTATGAATACAAATTCGATATTTAGATCTCAAGTGGCCTTCCAAAGCAAGCTGTTGAAAATAATGATTGAATAATATTTTTTGTTTAATCATTCCTCTATTGGTTTTACCAAAATATGGGTCCCATATATTCCATTAATTTACTTGATACAATAACCTTTCGCACGCATTATTCCACACCTATAATTTCACACTAGTCCTCAAATACACAAAACACATAATCAATACCTCTAATCACCTCTAGTGTCTCCAATCATTGAGTTCCCACTTACTTTTTATTGTAGTTTACTATGTTCTTCTCTTTAGACTGTATTCTGGTACCTCTAACTGTCAATATTGAAGATGAAAAAATGAAAATCTACTAACAAACCGTAGTAAACACGTGATGTCGCGGTCACATAGGAAAACTTGACATGTAGCCCTACTAAGTATTGTATACTGTCACGCGACATCGAAGTGATGTTAAGCCGCCCTGAAAACTCTAGCCAGCGTATATTTTTTTTCCATTACCAGTGGCACGTGGAGCCAAGGCGGCGGGAAAAGATGATACGAAATTTGAATTTTGAGGTACCAAAACGATAAATGATATGCCAAATTGACTCAAGCGTAAATATATATCCCGCTCATCGCACAATTACCAAATCGAGGATTCGGGGAATACATAAACATAGGCATTCATCTCTTGACAGACTGATATTTGTCATCAATTTAACATAGTTGTCCATTCCTTGTTAGTATCATTGCGTTGCTAACCCATCCCACAACCACAAAGGTGTTAGCTGTGAGATCATAACTAAGCCATCCAACAGTTTTGCCAACTATGTCTGAAGATGCGCAAACTGAATCTATAATGGTTGATGGGAAACCCCGTCTTCAATACGTACCAAAGTATTCCTACCCTCAGCAAGATAGTGCAGTGATGGACTCACCTCAATCAGCTTCGAGCTTTGCATCACCAATATCATCAAATTTTGCCCAAGACCGTTCCCATTTATCAACACCAACCCCAGCAGGTAGATCGAGAGTCAGTGAGCAGCTTTCAACCATGGGGCATAGTAGATATGAATCTACTGGCTCGCCATTGAAGTCTGAGTTCTCTGCGAATGTCAGTAATGGTGAAATGCCACCTCCAGGTCGCTCAAATTTGACCAGTGGCAGTTATAAATCTGGTAGACGACAACGTCCAAGATCTTTGTACGCCGACTTAGATTCCTATATTAACAATTCTTCCCCTTCATTAATCGTCAAGAAATCTCATGATTCTCTAAGGTCAAATAATGATAGTATAACAGGAAGTCCACAGTGTGCGCAACCGAAACAAATTCCATCTCTCAATACTTTGGCGTCATCAAATGAACCTATTCTTCAATTCTCCCCGCCATCTAATAGTTACTCTACTAAACCTGGAAACAGATCTAGTTTATATTCAATGGGCTCTAACAATTCCCAAAAAGCCTTACATGTATTATCACCACCATCTTTGGGCACGGGGATATCCAGAAGTGGCTCAAGATCAGAATTAGACAATACCAGCAGCTACAATGCTAATGGTAGTGAGATTTTCTATAATTCAAGGTCTAGCTCCCCCGTCCGTAATGGAAGCCCCTCTAAACGAAAGGACTCCAGTTCATCAACCACAAATCCATTCAATTATTCATCTATTAGTATGACCAACCAAAATATTTTACAGAAACCTGCTCATAGAAGGGGTCATAGGTACAAACATTCCTCTGTTTCTATGAACCTCTTTCAAGAGCCTAAAAAGAGGGCCAATTTAAATATTCCAACTTCTTTACCAATCCCTTCAGTCACAGAATTTTTCGAATCGAGCACTTATTCCCAAAAACTAAAGTTATTTTTATGTTGCTTCCATTTGGCTTATTCGTCGGTGATTTTTTTAGCTGGCTTTCAATATTCTTTGGCTTGTTTAACTACATTATCGCATTTAGTATTTTTTGATTCCATTAATAATCTCTTGGTTGTTGTTGTTGAAATTTTCAAAAATTTTGAAGTTTGGGACAAGTCTTCTATCAGATTTCCTTTTGGTCTCACCAGATTGGAGGTGCTATTTGGATTTGCATTGAGTGTTTCTTTGTTTTATGTGGGATTTGATTTGATTACCCACTGTTTAGAAGAATTTGTTGTGAGTTTAATTGATCAAGATTTCAATCACGACAACCACCACAATCACAATAACGATGAGCATAAAAAGTTGTCGGATGGTATATTTTTGTTTTTGGTTTTGACAGGGATATTCATCACATTGCTTGCAAATAAGATTTTGTCTTTTAATGATAATCCTTTTACAGAAAATGGAGAAGCTATTGGTGACGGGAAATTGCATTATAAACGCTCAAATCTTGATTTATTGGCTACCGCGGATAATCCAAAGAAGAAAGGTAGTCTGAATATTGGGATCTTGGAATTTCTCAGGAAGAACAGTTATGATAAATTGATTGACGGAATCAAATATGTAACTGACAATAATACTGTTGTCAAGGATCCAATCAAGTTCTTGACTTTGATATTCTTGGGCTATCTTTTATTTTATCCGTCAATTTCCAAATTCAGCTCTGACTTCAAATTTAATGAGCTCCAAACTTTTGTGATGGCAACTTTAATTCTTTATTTCGCGTTCAATATGATGAAGAAATTGTCTTTGGTGATTCTTCTATCCTTTCCTTACGGAAACCGGATCTTCAAGAAAAATTCAAATGAGATCAATGATGAACTTATAAAACTTGATTCCTTCAAATCAACATTTAAGGTGAAGAAAATCATCATTTCTAAAGTGAACTACCACCTCTTTGTGGTTTTGATCAAAATCAAAATGGTTGGCGGTTCAGATAAAGATGAATTCAGATTACATGCTGACGTTTCAAGGGTGGTGAAGAGAGTCTTGATCAGAAATGGTTTGGAAAATGACTCTATAAATTTTGATATTACACTTGACGTTGATAGAATGTGAATAGACCAATTTTTTGTTGACTCTTTCGCTTTTTCTTTTATTTACAATTTTTTCTTCGGGATATTCCTGTTATTCTTTCTTATTATAATTCTTTCTCATAAACTTTACTACAGACGTTGAAGATTTTCTATAAGAAAATTAACACAGCAAATATGAAAATGTTGCTAGATAATTTATTGTACAAAATATAAAATTACTAAAATAAAAATATTAAATAAAACTGACAAAATGAAACTATTCAGTTAGCTCCGCATCATCTAATTTTCCAACCACTTTAAGAAACTTAGACATCCCTTCTTTAATATGCTCTTCTTCCAAACCATTTTTCCAACCAAATTCACCATCAAGGACTCCGTTTTTGAAATGGTCAAGCTTTTTCTTATCGTTGAGAAGTTTCTCATCAATTGGCTTGTTGAATACCGAGTATCTTGTATATTCATCTGAAGATCCAACCTCAAACGACAACTTGTAACTAGTCTCGTCAATACTCATCTTCATTTGAGAATCAACATATCCATCAATATCAGATTCTTTAGAATTAAACTGATCATCACCGCCTTCTTGATCTGTATTGCTATTATATTCACCTCTGTGATTATCTTCACTACTAGCGGCAGCAGCAGCAGCACTAAGTAACACCAACGAAGATTTAACGTACGGGATATTGATCTTAGAAATCGGTACACCTTCAGTTGGATGGCTCATCAAATAACTTGTCAAGTAATAATTATATTGCTCCTCTGGACTCCGTTTATCCTTTAATGTCAAATCATCTAGGGCAACAAACTGAACAGTCGCCGAGTTCTCTGCTTCGTTGAATTCAATTCTAAACATGTTTTCTTCCAGATTCATAAGTTGACGCACCTTCATTCTATAAATGATTTGCTTCTTGGTAGTGGTAGAACTGGTCACTCTGTCTTGTTCGAAAAGCAACATCATTTCGGTAGTTTTATTATCGGAGGTAATATTGTGCATATGCTTTACCAACCCTTGCACAACCTTATCAACGGTGAATAATTTGAAGGCCTTATTTCTGTAAGCTTGACGCAAGCATTCTTCAAACCATTGATGTTCAATGTCACCATCAATTAATTTGCGCGATAAATTCAAGACTTGCTTGTAGCATTGATTACCAGTAATGTTGATCCCCATTTCAACCAACTGGTGACTCAACAAATCCAAATCCTTAGCGAATGGCACTTCCGACCTGTTATGAATTTCCTTTTCGACGGCAGAGTCCATTTGCTTCAATTCTAATAGTCTAAAATATAAAACCTGTAAGTAGCGGAAAAATACATAGATCGACGTATTACAAAACAAGTTGTACAATGCTCTCTTAGAACGTGGTTTGCCTTGTAACAATGATTCATCCGGCTCCATGACAGTGCTGTCACCTGAAATAGTTTGGATCCATGATTCTCCAGCTCTGTTGATATTTTCGGATATTTCATCATCAACATTACTGTTTTGCTTCATGTTAGAATAGTTAGCGGCATCATCCTTTGTAGGGGAAGAATTAACATCCTTTTTTGAGTTCAATCTCTTATTTCTTCTCAAGACATCTTTCAATAAGTCCGGTTCACGATGTCTCTTCCTTGTGTTTGGTGATCCATTAGTTTCAGGAACAGGTTTTCTTTGCGGCGATTTAAGTATGTCATCATTCTCTTTTTGGTCTCCAGTATCTGGTAATTTGGCTAATGTGGAAGCTACATCATCTTCCAAGTTGAAAAATAAACCGAGAAAAGAATTGAAAAAATCACTCAACTTTAACTTATCATTGTTAGAATATGTACTAACATTGATCCAAGTCATGACCAAACTGCTTATATCAGCGAGGACATCTTTATCTTTAAACTGAAATTCGAGTTGCTCTTTTGGTTTTGGGGCTAATGGGATAAGTCTTTTGCTATTATTACTTGAACCGTTCCCTGAGCCAGTGGAAGTATCAATCTTAACCGTACTGAGCTCCGAAATCAACTGTTTTGTGGTTAATAATTTCTTATCAGTCTGCTTAAAGGTCAATCCCAAATGATCCAATGATTTATAAAAAATCTTAAGCTCTTGTTCACGCCAGTATTTACACCATTCGCGATGTGATTTTCTCCATTCCTCATCTTTTTGTTTTAATCTTCCCAAAACGATTGGAACAGCCAAAACTGGGGCTTCATGTAACGCATCAATGACCTTGAAACCTTTCTCAGGCCCATAAATCTTTCTGATAATCTTCTTATAAATGGTTTTCGAAGTATGCGCCAACCCATTTTCCAACTTGAAGTTGACCTTCTCTTCAGGACTCATACTGGCAATTTTATTAGCAATGGTCTCCAACGTTTGAATGGTTCTCATATTATTTTCCATGTAAAAGTCAAATTCATGCCTCTCTTCTTCAATTCTGAACAAATTATCTTCGTATTGGTTCTTTCTGTGGGCAATGTAACCACTTTCTTCAGAATCCCAGGTAGGATGGCCGACCCACTCGTCATTCAAAACCTCCCAGCACATTTCATCGCGGCCAGAGCATGGCATATACGTCTCTGCTTTAGGCAATTGACGATATGATGGTCCGTATCTTTTGCATAACCCGAGCTCCAATCTGTGCTTTTTAAATTCGCTAATGTTTTCAATATGATATGGAGTGTCCTTAAAACCAACAAAATTCTTGAACCATTGAAACAATTCCACAGAATCACCAATGTAGTGTTCGACCCTTTCCACTAACTCTCTTTTGCTGAGAATTTCACTAGAATACAATGAAAGCAATTTGATAAAATTGTTGTAAGTCGTTTTGTTTCCAATATGCTTCTTAGCCTTATCGAAAAAATTTAATTCATCATCTAAGGTAGACTTAGCAAGATTTTCATCAGCAGTGTTCGTGAATTGATGCTGATGGACCTGATAATGATTTTGAGTGTTCTCAGATTTGATAGTTTCGCGTTCAGAAGAGTAGCCATATTCAAATTCAACTTTCTGGGGACCATTAGAAGACGATCTTGCAGGAGGTGGTTGAAAGTTTCCATATGGTGGTAGTTGGATTTCTTCTTTCCGTGGTGGTGATTGTTGTTGTGGCTGCTGTTGTGGTTGTGCTTGTGGCTGCTGTTGTGGTTGTGCTTGTGGCTGCTGTTGTGGTTGTGCTTGTGGCTGCTGTTGTGGTTGTGCTTGTGGCTGCTGTTGTGGCTGTGTTTGTGGTTGTGTTTGTGTTTGTGTTTGTGGTTGTGACTGTGATGGTGACTGCTGCTGTTGTTGTTGTTGTTGTTGTTGTTGTTGTTGTTGTTGTTGTTGTTGTTGTTGTTGTTGTTGTTGTTGTTGTTGTTGTTGAGGCAGCTGTTCAGAATGTTGAGGCTGTTGTTGTTGTGGTCGATAATCTACCGAATTGAAACGCATTCCCATTGGTGGCAATTGTTGGTGGGAAACTAATGGTGGAAGTTTGTTATGCGTTGCTTGCTGTTCATATTGGTAGTGGTTATTAGGATAAATAGACTGTTCTGGTTCCAGTACAGGATTGGCTATGTTGTCTGGGTCCGGTAAGAACTTTTTAAAGTCTGCTAATAAGTCAGGAGCCGAGTTGAACAATAAAGCCACCTGTTGATAGACTTCCTGAATTGGGCGCTGTTCCCTTCTGTATGTCTGCAACAAGTCTAAAAAGTTTTTATAGATGTGAGGCTCATTGGTAAAGCGTACTTTAATTTTGTTGACATATCCAATGGCGTCATCCATTTCCACTGGAACTTGCTCTAATCTTGCTGATTCATCTTGCGATGTTCGTTGATATAAAGGTTGTTGCAGTTGCGATACTTGTTGGTGTGAGCTTCCATTATTATCTTGGTATAATGACGTTGATTGTTGTCCTGTAGAATCATTGATATTTTTTGGGTTGTCGTTTGTTGATAATGTTGTTGTTGTTGTTATGGTTCCGTTGGGCGTGGTTACGCGAATAGGATTCGGATCATTGGGATCAGAGGAGCACTCAATACTATATCCTGTAGGTAAAAAGGTATTGAACCCTTCTACCAAGACCTTATGGCCTTTGAAAAGACTTGAAACACGTTCTATGACGCCCGGGGTATCAATCCGCTGGGTGTTAAAATCTTTCATGATGTCCAAGAAATTATTGTAAACATCCGGATTACTTTGAAACTGTGACTTGACTTGATCAAGATAGGACAAGGCATCCTCTATATTGAGCCTTCTACCCCCATACATTGAAGATCCTGCAGAGGAAGGTGTTTGGGTTTGTTGGGGTAGCTGTTGTTGCTGATGAGATGGCTGGTGTTGATAGTCAGACATCATGTATCAGTGCCAGATAGGGATATTGGGAAATAACAGAAATCAACAGCACAAAAAGGATGAGTGAAAAAAAAAAAAAGGTCAAAAATTTCAGGGCGCCTCTAAAGATAATAAGCGTAGGTCGTGAAACAGGGATAGGTGATGTCTTTGGTGATAAAAGTGCTGTGAATTCAAACGTTCATCAGAACGTTCCTGATGAAAATCAGCTACTCCAACTGTATTTATTGGCCGGGTAATGTAAACATGTCTCCCCACACATGCGTTTAGTAATATATTTGACATGAAGAACTACTATACACGTTCTTCATAACAATATATTAAAAATTCTGAAAGTATATTATCTAGATTGTTCTTGGTTTTCCAATTCAAGATTTTGTAAGGAGAAGAATCTAAAGCAAATAAAAATTTAAACTAATAAAACAGAAACTTGGAAATGAAAAAAAAAAATGTAAACTAGTAAAAACAGAAGCTTAGAAATGAAAGTAAAAAATTATAAATAAAAAAAAGAGGATGGCGAACTAAACAATAAAGAAATGGGTATTTTGGCTACTTTCCTCATGAACTGGCATCATCTTTTTGAATTGATTCAATTCTACTTTAATTGTCTCAATCAATTTTGGAGTTAAATATAGGCAAGTATTGTGATTATCAGTTTGTCTATCATATGTTGTTTTGGACCAGGTCCTTGAGACATGAACTGTGTTTGAAAAAGAGACGGAATTGGCTTGACTAACATAGCTAGCATCTGATAGTGAAGCCGTCTTTTTCAACGCTGATTTTAAACCGGAGCTTGGAGATGATAGAAATGTAAGTGGAGAACCATTAGAAACGCAATCATATTTCTTGGATGGAGTGAATACTTCTGGAATCTCATCAGTAGTAGAATCAGTATTTGAAGAGGCCAAGGAGGGCAAAGACATTGCATCATTTGATTGTCCAACTTCAATATAGTTCTGTAAGTAATCAAAGCCGTCAGTGTTGAATTCAAATGGAGTTTCTGGAGTTCTAAGTCCTTTAGCAGCATTCGAGATACGAGAGACTCTCTTCTTAGGTCTTGGAGCTTTGACTTGGGGAGTAGGAGATGGAATATCCGCTAAATAGGCATTCTCTCTTTGAAAATCTTCGTATGTATAGTCTTGCTCATCTCTAACGTCTTCAACATTATTCTCAAAAGTAAATGAGCTTTCATCAAAGAAATTTTTATCAAACTCAGCATTTCCAAACATAGGACTATCGTCACTGATGGCACAAACCTTCAAATTATTGAACTCAGAGTCAACTGGATTTGTAACCTCCTTATTCTTGAAGCTGAGGAATTTCGGCTTTGAGGAGGTAAGAACGGATGGTAAGGAAAACTTCAATGATTTTGCTGATAAACAACCTGGTGCCGTAGTATTAGTGCTAATTGAAACATCAAGAGGATTGCTGATATTAGTAACAGATGAAGAACTTGCAACTCCCGTGAAAACTTTTTTTATATTCAACAAACTTTTCATGGATTTCTTATTCAGGTTAGAATACTCAGGTTGACATAAAATCTGTTGAGCTTCTTCATTGTCATCAATATCTTCCCAATCATCATCATCATCATCATCATCATCATCATCATCATCATCATCATCATTATAGATTTGTGGCCCAGCCATAGCGAAGTTCGTTATAATAAAGTCAATTTTTGAAGTATTAGAATCCGGGATGTTTGATGTTTGCCTCACCAATTTTTGTTTGGATTGTGAAACCTCGACAACCGAGCAATGGGACAATTTATCATTATCAACAATATCGGAAGGAGTCTTTCCACTAGAGCCTTTGGATGGATTTGAAATAATTTTGGATGGATTTGAAATAATTTTGGATGGATTTGAAATAATTTTGGATGGATTTGAAATAATTTTGGATGGATTTGAAATAATTTTGGATGGATTTGAAATAATCCTGGATGGATTTGAAATAATCCTGGATGTATCTGAATTAATCCTAGATGGATTTGAAGATCTTCTTTTGTTAATTGGGGTGTTTGGGAGGACTTTATCTTGGTCACAAGATGATAGGTAGAGAGTGCTCTGAGTAATGTTTAGGTTGGCCTTTGAATTGGAAGATTTAACAGCAATATCACTCTGCTGAGTTGGTTTTGTGTTGTCTTGTTTAGCTTGTCTTGATTTATACTTGATTTTTGAACCATTATCATCTTCTACGTTGGATTTATTGTTATCCTTCCTAGATCTTGGTTCTTTCGCTTCTTCGCTCTTAAGACACTCTCTTGGTTTAGTTTTATTTAATAAAGCGGTTTCTTGTCTCTTAATATCAAGCATTTTCTCATGCTGCAATTTTCCGCCGATTTTCCGCTCTCCAACTCTGCTCTGGGGTTCTTCTCTTGGTTTAGGCTGGTCTTTTTTCTGCTTTCTCTCTCTCTGTTGTGTAATTTGTTGTTTCCTGATCATTTCTTCTTGCTTTTTCCTATTCTCAGCATCTTTCTTTCTCCTTTTAGCCTCTTCGTTAGCTTTACTAGCGAGCTGCTTAGCTTTGTTGACAAGCATTTCAGCTTCCCTCATTTGTTTCATGATATCATCATCAAGATTGTCATCATTGCCAGGGTCGGATGGTCGTGACTCTTGTTGCAGTGTTTCAAAAGAGAAATTAGGTTTGGCTTTTCTTGAAGCAGGTTCACCTTGATAATAAGACTTTCTTGGCTGTTGCATAGATTGTGGTCTGTAATATCTCGGGTTTGCTATCGCTGAATGAGGACGCTGCATCACTGGAGCTGGCGTAGATCTTGGTACATAACTCGGAGGGAGGGGAAGAGCCCCTGACAAACGCTGGTTTGTACGATACTGTGTGTTCTGTATGGTGTTATAGGAAGCGACTGGCTCTCTTCTTTTCAGTAAATTGCCAGGTTTCCTGTTTGGCAAGTGGTTTGGCCGAAAACGGGATTGTAGGTTATAGTTGATATCATTATCTCTAGCTAAGAAACGACTATCGATGGCAGATGACATAGTTATGTGTTGATGTTATCTGATAACGGGCAATCAGAATAGTTAGCTGAAATGTAATTCCAAACCTTTACATTTTTTCCAAGTTACCAATTTATATATATGTATATCTATATTGATATGGTTTACCCACACTTCGGGCACTTGATGGTGGAATGGTCCCACCTGTAAGGCTATGTGCGTTTAGCACAAAACACGCCTTGCCCAAATTTTTCTGTGTCAAAATTTCATTAGGACAACTTGCCATTCGTTAGTACCGTGCCTGCTATGAAGCTTGAGATCGACTAGTTGTTAGGTGATTTATAGTACAAAAGGGTGGGTCCGAAAAATTTACCGCAACATTTAGACTATGACTCAAAATAGCACTTCCAGGCTTTCAAAGTTCAGAAAGAGGCTCCACACCATTTCCTCAGAACATGCACAAGAGGCCCATAAGGATCATGATAAGCCAGATACCAATAACAATAAGAGTCACAGCCTAGTAGGTCAAACCAAAGATCACAACAATGAGGCTAACGACTCATTGCTTGAAGAAAAATTTAATGCTATATCTACTGAGCACTCTTCTCCTTCTTCTGACAAAATATTGAATGATGGGGATTATGCACATACATTTGATAGCTACCACAATGCAGGTATTCATTCGAAAGCACTGTTTGATTATGAGCCTTCCACAAATAGTAATTTTATATTTCTTGATAAGAACGGCTCACGAAACAGTAGCGGAAGCTCCTCATTATCAAATTTTAAATCACCAAGAAACCTCAATGACAATGAATCTGCAGATGGTAATTTCAATAGCAGTGATAATGAAACGGGCATTTTCCATGATGATTATGATGATGCGGAGGAGGAGGAAAGTGACTCTAAGTCTTCTATCGGTTCATTCGAAAATAGACCAAGCCTCTTCACTAAGCTAAAAGTGTATGACGATGAAGATTGTTCAGACGATGAAAGAAATATTATTAGGTGCAAGAAGTCTTCACCAAATACGAATGTATTACATGTTTCACAATCTCAATATTTTCAAAATAATAAGATCGTTTCTGATGATGTAAACGGTACATCTGATGATAATTTACCAGAATTTAAATTGACAGAAACTGGGATAGCCGGCTCCAAAGTTCCTTCTAACACTCTTAAAATTTCGTCGCCAATTCTGGCTCAGAAGACTCCAACAAGTCTTACCTTCAAATCCCTTGAACAGCAATCTACTAATCAATTACAAATTATTAATTCTCCTTATGAGATTCACACCAAGGGAAGCAATTTAACATTGACTTTAACCAAATCTAATTCATCAAATTATTCAAATGTCCAAAGGCATCAAAAGATTCCGTATGCGAACGCCACTTCCGCAAATTCTGTGTACTCTAATGACATTGAGAATTGTCTGCCTTTGGCTAATGATATTATATCTGATACCGTCAGCACTAAGGATAATTATGGTAAAAAGGCCCAGCTTCAGAAATTTGACGTTTGTTCAATCCAGACTTCAAATTCTAACCTTAATAATCCCACTCTTAGCTTTATTAATGAATTTAACAGCCAAATTTCCAACCAAACGATTTTGACTGTTGATCAGTATAATCGGCTAATTGCAGGGGGCAAATTAAATGAACCAACTAGTACCAATTCTCTCGAAATCAATCTGTCTGATTTTAGGGATCTTGACATTGCGAATAGTGTCTTAATTACTTCCAATGAATTGGCATATTATTATTTAAACAAACTTCCTGGGGACACAATATTGTACCTGAAGTACTTCTTATTCAAGATTATTAATTCTAAGAGGAGATGCTCAATAATCCAGAATCCACAGGGCGACTCTAAGTTGTACGGTGAGTTTCTTTCCAGTGGTCTTTTTCTTCCTAGAAACTGTTGGATCTTGCCTCTGATTGGTATCAAGAATTGTAAAATTAAGGAGAATATTTTAAACGAGTTGATCGTTTTCTTGAATTCCTTCTACACCAATCTAATCGAGGATGAAAGTTTCAATTTTAATCTGATAAATGCATCTTTGCTTTATTACAAAAAACTATTATTGGCATTCAATGTTTATGACAAAAATACTGCCATTCCTGCTGCAGTGGATGGTCTACATGTCAAATTAGCTGGTGACTCAACCTTGGCTGACGATAACCAGTCATACTACAGTGTTGATGATAGACAAAGCTTATCTAATGTGAGTCATACCAATGTTGGAACTGAATCTCTTCATTCAAAGTTGGCAAATATCAGTCACAAAAAAAGCACACCTAATTTAAGAAAGCATAAGAGATTTTCTTCTTTCCATTTTTATAAGAGAAACAAATCAAAATCAAAAAATTCAACGGCACTCTTACAACAAAATGAAAACGAAAACGTTCCAACAAATTTCCATGATTCAAAATCCGTAACCAGTGAGAGAACTGGGGTTAGTTTTGCAAGTCCTTCGGTTTCAACTTTTGGTAACCCTTCCACAAATGATAATATCAATACTAGTAGCAATGAAGAAAAGGAAGGTTATTTCAATGTATTGACATCGTTATTTGAAATAGTTTCCAAATTAACCAATTATGCTATGCATTTACAATATTTGATTGAAACTGGTGAATCCAATGACAATTTAGATTTGAAATTTGATTTAGCTTTAAAAATTTTGAAATTTCTAGCCAAATATGTTATCCAGTTTATCTTAATTGACATGGTCAATTTAATCAATGATCATATGAGATTGTCTTCTGAGTTTTTCAAGAGTGGAATATTGCTAGATGATGTCATCTCTTCGATATCCTAAAATTGTTTATTCTTTGCTGAATTCTCATAGTTTTATTCTTTATTATTTACTCTCGCCGTGTTATTGCTTGTTTTATTGGTATGCTCCTTAACATTTTTCCGCATTTCCTTTTTACCCATACTCGTATTCTTTTCATTTTTGTTATTATAAAAGACACTGAAGCTATATTATAAATTATTTTGCTTGTTCATTCCCTCATTTTTTCCCCTCCCGTTTGCTCCTGTTTGTTTTGCATTCTACGTTTTTTTGTTGTTATTTTCATTTCGCATTCTTATATAAATAACTTTTCCAGCACATACTCTGTTAAAATCCAAGGCTTAGATTACTATTTATTCCTTTATGTGTTTTTTTTTTTTTTTGTCTGTATTCCTTTATGTGTTTTTTGTCTGTATTGTTTTCTTGCGACTTTCACGGGCAGAATGCGGGCATGCACGCAAAAGAAGCAAAGCTTAGCTTCTGATTTCAATATTCTCTAGTTATTGGTATATTTTCAGCAATAGCCTTACACTCTTTTAACAAGTTAAGTACTTCTGGATGGTGCTTGGTGGATGGCTTTACCAATAAAAGTCATCATGCAATCTATGGTAACTTAGCGCAGCATGCAAGCTGGACCCACAATGGGCCCTGTGTATTTTCTATTTTTATACTTAGTTTACTGATAACGACTGATCGAGCTTATCGGAGCTTCCTTAGTGTTAGGTAGGATCATTTACTGAAGATCGTCTAATTTTTTCTTCTATTAGTGCATGACTTGTTATTTTAACTTTCAAATTTTTGATATACTTCACAAAAATTGAAAACCTTATAAAGGAGAGAGCAAAAAGCTCAATAGTCACTACTGAAGACAACAATACTCAAAATATATGTACATATTAATTTTTTCTGAGTCGCGTATTCTCGTATTTATATATATATATCTATAACGCCTATTATACACTCTTTATTATCGACTATCGTCATTAGTCTAATTGTATTTGTTTGCACTGTACTCTCTGAAATCTGATCTTTTAATTGGACTATGTTTTCTCGAAATTTGTTTGACCTTCGTTTTCACATATTCATCACCAATGGATTCTGCGTAGACATAAATGTTCTTAAGATAATAGAAGCTCCAAGGGAATTGATTTTCCGTTGATAACACAATATTCAATGCATCATTCACTAAACCCATAGAAAGCAAAGATTTTATCATAGCTCTGGCAAATTCAAAATCAAGTTCGTTTTTCTTCTCTATTGATAAGTTTCTGAACCTTGAAGTTTTACGGAATTTACCACGCTCGACCCAGGTATCTTGCATATACTCTAGATCCTTGAATTTTTTACTGACGACAAGTGAAAGCTTGTACAATGCGTTGCTTCTTGGGATCTTGAGTTTCTTTTGATGATCATTTGCCAAATTAATGATTTCAGGTTGACTATCCACTGAAATTTCTTTGTCTTCCTCAAGTATTGGGGTTTGGGTATCATTTGATTGTTCACCATTAGCAGTGGATTTTTTTTCATAATCATAGTCATCATCTTCCAAAGTAATCGTTTTGCCAGGGATCTGTTTTGTGATCTTACTAAATTCAATCCCTTCGTCCTCGAAATATGTTAAAAGGTTGAACTTCTCAACATAATCATCAATTCTTTCCCCATGATTTAGAGAAATCTTCAAGTATGAACTAACATTTTGGACATTAATATAGTGTGGGAAATGGAGTACAATAAATGACCAAATTGCCCTACTTTCCTCGAGTATTTGTTTAGAATTAGTCAATCTCTGAATTGGCAACATTGGTAAAGACTGGAGATCGCCTGATTTCACCATAATATTTTCGTCAAATTTTTTGCTGAGTGTATTAAAGCATAAATTTGAGAAATCAACACTCTCAATCAAATTGAAACGCAAGCTCCTAGTCTTCTCATTAGCATACATAACCGATTGTTTCTGCTCCTTTGGATCAAAATTCTTGTAAGTCTCAAGTAGCAAATTCAAAATTTCAGGACCGGGATCTTGGTTGTTAGCAGCAAACTTTTGAAATGTCTGAAAGAAGAAAATTCTTGCTAGCTCCAAATCTGAATCTTTAGACGCCAATATCATCATAACTTCCACTAATCTCTTTGTTAAAGGCTTTGAACTATTTCCATCAACTTCTAAGTAAGATATTAAAAACTCCCAAGCTTTGAATATATAACGATCATTTGAGCAACACGCTTGTGCTAAAATTAAGAATGTTTCGCCGTTCGCCTTAATTGAGGCTTCTAGCATTTCGCGATACAAATCCAAACATCTCTCCAAGTTTTTCCTTTTACCTTCCAAAAGCAAAATGGAATTATATATATTCGCATCAAGTTTTAAATTGTTGAATTTGCACATATCAAAAACTTCAATCGCTTGGTCGTAATCTTCCAAGGACATACATGCTTGCAAAATATTGGTGTATATGATTAAGTTAGCTTGGATCTTATGTTTCTGCATTTCTAATAAATATTCATTTATCTTAGCTAAGTTATGGTTTCTGAAACTTTGAAGTTGTTTGAACGGTATAGTATTGCCTCTGAATAAAGTAAAAGTTTTCGACGATTTTCTAATTGCCTTAAATACATTTCCAAAAGTATAAAGTGAAGGTTTACTTCCTTCGCTAATCATTTTTTTATAAAAACTATCAATTTCTCTGATATTATCGCAATTATTTGCCTTTGCTGCTAATAATAAATCAGAAATAAATGTTGTGGGTTTGACATTTGATTCCTTCAATAAGTGTTCTATTGTACGAAGTGATTTTTCTCTATCTTTCAATGGTATCGCTGCAACAAAGTCTTGCACATCCTTGACCGGTACTTCCTCAAAAATTTTCGAGTTATTTTCCTTCAAATCTTCAAGTAATAACCCCCAATTTTGATTGAATTTAGATGGCATAAACTTATCAATGTCGACAATTTTAGTAGATATTGCCTCAGGAATGGTTGAATTTTTCAGAATTATTTTCTGTAGAAGTGAATTATTAAGAGGTAAACTTTTTAAATCCTCAGACTGGCCCTGGCCTTCGGATGGCGCCATTATATGTTGATAAATTTCATCAATATCTTTCTCTTCTGCTTGAGAATCTTGTGGTGCACTCAAGCTTTCTTCAACACGCTTGTCTGCTTTTGGAGTATTCAATTCTGATCTTAATTTTCTAGTCAACTCTTGCAAGTTCTTGAGCTTTTGAAGTGTCTGAGTTTCATTGTCGTTACCATTTATCACGTCAACACCAAATGAAGAATTTTGTTGCTCAAGGTTAACCGCAACCTTTTCAGAGATTTTCCTCTTATATTTTGCCTTAGAGTATACGTGAACCGATCTTATCGGTATCCGTACTAGTTTGGAACGGTTTAGCATCATTCACTGGTTTTTATAGCTTCTGTTGATGATCCGATTGGCAATATGCGTATGATTTTTTTTTGAAAATTTTGAATTGGAAGCTCATCGACACGTGAAATATGCATATGAATACTTATATGCACACTTTGTCAACCTCTTGACATAATATTGATAATTTTTGCCTTAAATTACTTTATATATTGCAAAAGAGATGTCTCTGTATATAATTATGGCTATCATTTTATTGTAGTTTGCTTGTTTCACAAGTCTCATTGATTTTAAATGATGCAGTAGATGGACACCAGAATGATCTTGCAAATTTCACAAAGGAAAATAAATGCACTTCCAACCTCTCTAAAAAAGAACTTACAGTTGAAAACTTTGACTGAAATTATTCTTCTTTTTTCCTTTCAAATCATACAGCTCATTATTAAGTCATCGGTTATGAGTTTAAGCGGATATAGTAGTGATAAGATATCACTGAGTTACTATTTGTATTTTTTTTTTTTTCAAAATTCGGATTACAAAAGGAAACAATATATCTATTCTTTTAATACATGTATTATGATAAACTTAGCGTCTCAAATATTTGAGGCTAATTAAAATAGATCTGACAATCTTTAGACCATAGAAAACTTATTTTTATTTTCGTCTGCTCAACTTTTACCTGATCAAAAGAGCCAAAAATGAGAAAAAGAAAAAAACAAACTCATTGTAAAGAAAGAAAATAAAGTAGAAAATTATGAAATGAGGATAATGTGTCTTAAAAAATTTCAATATGATCTGGAAAAAAAAAAATGAAAGCTAGCAATTTATGATTTCCTGAGTAAATTTTTCATGAAAGACTCTATCATCACTTCGATTTTCATTGTTGGAACATTCCAATGGCCATTGAGGAATGAACATTTGCTGGCTAAAAAATCTATCAATTATTATTATTTGGTAGCTCTTCCTAAATATATATTGATCTCGTGGTTAGATTAAGGTAGATTAAATATCCTATCTGAGGTGCAACATTCTAATGCTAGGAACCTCTTATTAGTAAGTTACAAGGGTGCTGCGATTCTGCAGCTCATGACAATATAGAAGTAAGTAGATAAAAAACTAAGAAGACATCTATTCAATAATCCAAAATACTTAATTAAGCTGTAACGAGCACTCTGGCTTACGCCCACTAATAAAGTAGCTAATGGCTATCAAAGTGTTGAAACCTAGTGCCAGTATTATGAGCCAGAAATGAATGGAGGCTGGATCTACAGGAGTAGATAATCAAACTAACGTAGATAATTATATCGGAGTTTGTACTACATCTTAAAAAAAAAAAATGAAAAACAATGAGATTGTATGGATTAGCTAATATTCAAAAGTATGTTGAAACGACTTTTGAGAATGCAAGCTACGGCTCTCTGTACCCTTTAGTTGATAATGCTGTCAATTGTGTGTGGTGCGCGTATCACTTCAAATATCCGAAAAAATGAAAAATCCAGATAAATCACCAATTTATCGAAAGGGACTCACCTCAATACATTAGTAATATAGGAAACTTTGCGACAATACCCTTGGTGGAATAGGTATATTTTATGGTTTGGTACTTAAATATCTTCTACAGACCTCACCAAGATATTTCTTTTATCTCTATCTCTCCCTTTTTGCATTTTTTTTCTATTGGTAATTAGATTACTATCGTTTTGATACACATTGTTAACTTAGAGGATTTGCCATTTAAAGAGGGTTATTAGAAGATCCAACTTTGTATCATTTTTCAAAAAGTTAACACCAAAGATCGATTTTGCGATCTATTTCAAGCACACTATTTACCTTCTATCTTACTCTGATTAACCCCCAATAATGTTACCGAGTGATGCATACCTCAAAAAAGAGAAAAAAAGAAGAACGAAAAGAGCGTGTGATTTCTGCAATTTGAAAAGGTCAAGGTGTGATGGAGAGAATCCATGCTCTCACTGTGTTCTAATAAACAAGCCGTGCACATATCTCCGCGCCGAAAAGAAAAGAGGTCGTGCCTCTGAAAAATATCCAAAGAATCCGAAACGAAGAAAAGATTGCCGCCAAAAGGATGTTGATGAATATGATGAATATAAACCAGATGAGATAATAACTGCTAGCCCGGTGCTTGAATCCAATGTGACTGAAATAGAGAAAACATTAGTGCCTACTAATGTGCATAATATGTCAACCAGCCAGCTGGAGAATCTAGATGGACTACACTATCACCTGTTAACCAAAAAGAACTTAATATCAGCTGATTATAAGTGGCCAAATGAGACTATATCTCTGCCTTCAAACAGCAGCCGTGAGAAGACAGTTTTAATAGAACCACATAGTCCATTTTCGACACCCGAAGAACATGGAAAAGGATTGATTTATCAACATCAATACCGGCCGTATAATTCCCCCGAGTTAATTTCATCCGAGTATGCCTTAAACTTTAACCATTATATTTTTCTGATCGACGCAAATGCTTTCAAATCCCCCACTTTTTTGAAAACTCAGCATAATTATTCGTTGATTGATAATATCAATCTAGACTCCATAACGCATTCTGCTTTCAATGGGGTTAGATACGTGCTTTTATTGAAAGTTTTACCGTACTTACAACAGGTGAATTTACCGGGAAATGTGGCTAGTGACGTATTAGAATACTATTTTGATAACTATGTTTCACCCTCGTGCAAAATCAGTTCAATATTAAGGAAGAAAACGTTTTTGACGTTGGTGAATCCAGTATTGAGTGCCGAGGAACAACCTCACGTTAGAAACACTGGAGAGGCATTGATTTTGACAATTCTTACTACTGCAGTGTTTGATATCAGTCATTTCTTCATGACTGGCCACAAAAGGAAAATGTTGTTTGGCAAGTTGATTCAAATTATTAAAGGCTTGATACAAATCAGCAGCACAGATGAAGATGAAATCATAGACGGGACATTCGATGATATTGTAACATGCTGTCACTTGGTTTGTATTTCACCTCTTTTAGGAAATCCTGCAATAAGCCATTTATGGTTAAGAAGAGGGGTCAGATTAGCAAAGAAGCTACGTATTAATGAAGAAGACTTGTCTGACGTTTCGGAAGAAGTTAGAGAAGAAAGGAGAAGATGCTGGTGGACATTGTATATTCTTGATAAGCATCTAAATATTGCCCTTAGCACTTCCACAGTGATAACAGATCAAGAGTCAAAAGATTTGTTCCATCCTTGTGATGACCTGATATACAACGACATCACAATAGTCAATTTACCATCACCTTTTGAAAATGACATTGACCGTGTAAAAGGCATTCAGTTTAATAGAGTGGGTCCTGGTGTGTTTGGTTGGCTATTGATGGAAAGCATGATTATTGGCTCTTTAGTATATTATAAAATGTATATTATGAACCAAAGAAAAATCTCATCATCTTCTACTTCACCTATAACTTCTGATTCTATGGGCTCTAATGATGACTGCTCAATAGACTTCAGGAACCAGCTCAAAGTACATCTTGATATGCTAGAGTCCAGCTTGCCATCACTACTACAGTATTCTAAGGTTGATAGTAGCTATGCCTCTTTGGTTACTTGCGTTTTAAACTCTTTACTAAACAAAGATGTTTTCTATTGGGAGCCAAATGGAGCATTGAATGATAACGGTACTAATTTTGAGGAAGATTTGGAATGGTGCATTAAATACTCTGAAGCATTCCAGGATTTAATTACTTCTGATCCAGATATGCGGAGATATCCTTTTGTTATTAGGCTTTACATTTTCTTTGCGTGTGTTGATGTTATTAACCTTCTCAATAACCTTGATAAGGGATTTTTGAAGTACAAAAATTCCAATATTGGTGCTCTTGACAGCAAAGCTGTGAAAATGAAGGCAGACGCATTGGCCGTACTTTGCAATAGGATAAAGTCAATGGCACATATAATTGTTAGATGCGTCGAAAGCTGCATGTCAACGTTACCAGCAGATTATTTGAGGGTAATAAGAAACATTATTATGGATGCATTGAGAGATATGGATTGTTTATTATTAGTCAAAGGCTTTGAGAAGCAGTTTGATATCAACAGGGAAAAACGGAAAAAGATTATTTCTGTATATTCTTATGTTGTAAATGGTGCAGGTATCGGATTGTGATACATTTTTATTAAAGAAGATAGCTGAAAACTGTTGACATCCCTTTTATTTTTGCTTTAATTTTCTGTTTTATAATTTCTTTTTTTCCCTTTTTCTTCCACCCATAGTGTGGTGTTATGGCTACTTTTTCACTACTTCTTATTTTCTTAAAATTTATACTATAGGTTTAGACTTCGATATATATATATATTCATAGACACTGGTTGCAATTGGTTTTGCTTTAATTAAATTATAATGGTTCTTTTATTAATTAGAAAATTTCTGCGTAAGCCAGTCCACTAACTAAAACAACACAGCCAAAGTAGTTACAAGGTAAACCCTTAAATAAACTTTGATAAACAAGAGCGAATGAGGCAATATGAGACATAGAAAACCTAGAAGTTACGTATTCAAAATCATTGATTGTACTTTTCATTCTTGTTTGAGATCACGACATCATTTAGCAGCCTGCAAAATAATTGCTATCTCATTAAGAACTAACAAAGAATACGTTAGCTTCTGTCTACAGGAATAATATATATTGCACCCTCGCTTTGGTACCCAACTAAAGGAAGCACAAAAACGGTGATGATCATATATGTGAATTCTTATTATTGGCGCAATGGTGTGATGCACCCCTGATAATATATCTTATTACCGCATCAAGATATAAACCACCCAGTAAAGGCAAGATGGCGCTGAGGACCGCCTCGGGAGCTCCAGAGTGTTAGTTAGGGTGAAGGGTGGTTGGCGGTGCTCAGCGCCAGTTTGCCGCTACCTGCATGGTCACCATACAGTATACGCCAAATGGGTGGGATTTTATTTTATGGGCAACTGAAAACTTTTGGCCTGTACAGTGTTTTCATTTTTAATTCGTACCAACCACCGGAAATGTTCATACCAGTGGCAAAAAATAATTCATACCGACCCCCGGTATTTTTCGTACCACCGCAGTGGGATTTATTCAGACCATCTAAGAAAAATAGTTCATACTATTGCACTTTAATTATTCATACCAACAGTATATAAAATTCATATTAATTCTTTTTTTTTCATGTTAATGGCTCTATAAGCCTCTAAGCTACTCAGTTTAATCAAATTATACTCATTTTTTCCATAATTCTGTGCTACTTTCTACAAAGCCTGATATCTATAATAATATTAATAGTAGTGTAATGGTTTAGTTGGGTAACATAGTAGTTGAAGTATATTAAAGAAGAATAAAAACTAAAAGGAATAGATGAAGTAAGCTTTTTATAGGTGAGAAAAGAAAATAAGACTTACCTAAAAGGGAACTCAAAGGGAAATAAAAAGGTAGTCGGAGATAAGGAGGTTGTCCGAGATAAGGAATGGAGTTAAATAAAGAAGAGAGAAGAAAAGATAAGAACAATAAAAAGAAAGAAAGAGAAAGAAAAGTAAGAAAGTGTCTAGATCATTACAAGTAGCACGTAATAACGGTTTTCAGAAAAAGGGAACGAATGTATGGTAAGAGCTGTTCTCCATATAAAGTGAGCAATTCCCACTTTTATTGCTTAATTCGGGCTCTATAGATCATCAGATTACATACAAAAAAAAAAGCATAAGCTTTTACTACCAAAACTAAGTATGGACTTGAAAGCCAAGTTACTAACTGATGGATATGTTGATGGCCTAGGTAATAGGTTCCACACTGAACCTAGAGAAATGACTTTGGAGTCTGAAATAGCACCAATTGAAGCTTGCTTTAGTTACAGTGACTATAAGCATTTTGAAAAACCTGGTATTATGGAAATTAATCCTATTTTCGAAGAAGAAGAAGATGCTAAGATGGAAACAGAAATGAAAGAACGAAGATATAGAGGTTCGTACCGGTATTATAATCAAGCTGTCAAACAAAGATTTTGGCACTTGGTCATGGAAGAAGGTGTATCAGCTTACAAGGCTGCAAAATTAGAAGATATACCTTTGCAAACTGCTTACCCATGGAGAAGAAATTGGAACAAAATACTTGTTAATGAATTAAATGGTATCTCGAAGCCAACAAAGAAAAGAGGTCGTAAGCCCCTTCTCACTGATGAACATAAAGAATTCCTTCAAAAATTGATAAAGGAGGATTCTACAGTGACTCTCGATTTTATGTTGGAGAGACTCAACAAAGCCTTCACCAATGTAAGAGCCAGGGCTACAACAATCTATAACTTCGTCACCAAGGTTTGTAAGCTTAGTCTCAAACGTATTTCTAAATGGGCTTTGAGAAGAAGTCTGGAGGAATTGAAGAAACAAAGACTCAAGTGGGCAGAGGAGTATAAAGACAAGCTCGACTTTGGTCAAAACTGTATTTTCATCGACGAAGCAGGTTTCAACATCAGTATGCGGCGTGAGTATGGATGGTCTGCTGTAGATGAAAAAGCAGTTCTTACTGTTCCCGTAACTAGAGGGCTTAATATTTCGTTCATTGGGCAATTTCTGTCAAAGGTTGTATTGAATTAAAGCTCAGAACTCCAGTGGCTACATCCAATAAGAAGAGAAAACTTGATTCAGAAACGACCATTGACAAAGTGAGTAAAGGTACTACAGCTAATCACTTCTACAGTTTTGTAAAGTCAGTGATCCAGCAAATAGAAAATAACGAGGAGCTCAAAGGTATGAAATATTTGATCCTTGATAATGCTGCCATTCACAAACGACGTGATCTTCAGTTACTAGTGGCACTGTTTTTACCTCCTTATTCTCCAGGGCTGAATGCTATAAAGAATTCTGGTCAGCATGTAACAGTAAAGTCAAAAGATCAAGCTTGAGCAAGAAGGAGCAATTGACTCCAAGAGTGAAAGAAGCCACTGAAAATATTTCCCTTGATAGTTACAAGGGATTCTGCAGACATGCTTCTAGACATATTGATCTCTGTTTACAACAGCAGCTCTTTTAAAAACAAATACCAAAGATGAAGAAAAAAAATTAGAAAACAAAATACAGAAAACAAACCAAAAAAAAAAAAGTAAAAACTATAAAAAAAATTACATAAAGACACAACAAAGCTCAAAAACAAATTGATGAAAATTTAAAATTTTAAGGAAGGACGAAACCACTCCAAAATTTGGTTATGAGCCTTTGAAATGGTAAATGAGTATTGCAAAGGGGCTTTATTGGGTGTGCGGGTCCCCTGTAACATGTTTAATAATATCAAAGATAAAATATTAATGAAAGCATAAGAATTTTATGCATTTAGTATGAATTTTATATTCTGTTGGTATGAATAATTAAAGTGCAATAGTATGAACTATTTTTCTTAGATGGTCTGAATAAATCCCACTGCGGTGGTACGAAAAATACCGGGGGTCGGTATGAATTATTTTTTGCCACTGGTATGAACATTTCCGGTGGTTGGTACGAATAAAAAATGAAAACACTGTAAATAATACTTGGAGTGCACGTACTGCACAAACACGTAAAAGGGTAAAAAATTCGGGAAATTAAAAAAATTCCAAAAAAAAAAGCTTACGAGACGCGTGTGTTAGAACATCCTTCTAACATAAAATAACCAATAATTAACTAATCTGGGGTGTGAATCGAAAACAAAATGTCATTGTGGGTGGATAAATATAGACCAAAGTCATTGGATTCCATTGATTATCATTTTAATATCTCTAAAAGATTGAAGTCCTTGGCTTCCTCTGGTGATTTCCCTCATTTGCTAGTATATGGGCCTTCTGGAGCTGGTAAAAAGACGAGAATATTAGCAACACTTCAGGAGTTATATGGTCCAGGTGTGAACAGAATGAAAATTGATGTCAGAACATTCAAGACTCCATCAAATAGAAAAATTGAATTCAATATTGTGTCCAGTCCTTATCATATTGAAATCACTCCAAGTGATTTGGGGAACAATGATAGAATCATCATTCAAGATTTGTTAAAAGAAATTGGTCAAACTGAACAGATAGATTTCCAGACAGGTAAACACAGATTCAAGATTGTTATCATAAATGAAGCTGATTCTTTGTCAAGAGATGCTCAGGCTGCCTTGAGAAGAACCATGGAAAAATATTCCACCAATATTCGATTAATTTTGATTTCTAATTCGACGTCTAACATAATTCCCCCAATCAAATCCAGAACCTTGCTAATCAGAGTGCCGCTTCCTACTGTGAACGAAATCGTCGGGGTCTTGAGTAAAATTGCCGAAAAGGAAGATATTCGCTTACCATCCAACGAAGACGAGAAGTCCTCTATATTGGCAAAAATCGCCGAGCACTCCGATAGAAACTTAAGAAAAACAATTTTATCATTTGAAGCCTTAGCCATGACTAATGATTCAATTTCATCTGCCTGCAAGTTAGTCGAATTGGATTGGGAGAAAGTCATTGCCGATTTATCAAAGCAAGTGGTCAAAGATAGATCAGTGAAAAATCTATCACAGTCAAGAAGTGTATTATATGAATTGTTAAGTCATTGTATTCCTGCAAAAATCATATTGAAAGAATTGACATTCAACTTACTATGTGATCCTCGAGTTACAGATCCAATGAAGTACGACATTGTCGATGCTAGTTCATTGTTTGATGAAAGATTGAGTTTGGGTAGTAAAGATATTTTCCATTTGGAAGGGTTCCTTGCCAGATCTATGGTGATCATGGAAAGCAAGAAATGAAAATTTCCTATTTAATTCTACACTGAATTTTAATCGATTCCTTTTTGTTAATATTTATCACAAAATTCGTATATTTACAAGTACCTCATCAGAAAATAGCCTCTAACGACCTCTGTAAAGTCTATATTCATCAGTGTTTGCCTTGATTTCATTCATCATTTCCTTGGATGGGTTCTTTTCTCTTTTTTCAGCAACAACATTCTTTTTTGGCTGTATCTTCCCAATACTCTTCAAACCAACTCTTGGAGCAGCACCTCTTTTAATAATTTCATAAACCCCAGGTAATTTGTCAGAAGCTTTTCTAAATGTTTCTCTAACAACCTTTTCATGTAAATCTGGACCGCCAGCTATTTCAAATAACACTTTACCAGTTGGGACTCTGACAGCCCAATGATCAAAACCACCTTTACCTTTACCCATACGTGTTTCATTACCTTTAATACAAACAGCAATAGATGCCACAAATCTTTTGTAAAGTCTGCCCCCAAGACCTTTGATTTCCCTCAATATACAGGTGTCAGCTTCCTTTAATTGCTTTGCTGTGAGTCTCACACCTTCAGTCTTCAATCTCAAGGCATAATCACCATATACCACTGTAGAACCTTTCATTGAGCCCCCCGTTCTCACAGCAACTCTCCCTTTATGAGCCTTCTTGACTTTGACGAATCTTGGTGCATATTCATGGGTAAAACGCTTGCTGACAAAGTTCGAAAAAAAAGAGGCTGGCTTGGTTTGCAACAGGGCAAGACCGTTACCAAGAAATCTATTGGTGCAGAATGACATCGTCGGTGACTATCGAGAACTACTCTGCCTTGGAACTCTTTCCCGTTACTATCATTACAATTTTCATCAAAGGATTTTTTTTCTTCTTTCTCCCATGGACACCCCAACACCAACCATATTATCCCAATGTGTGGATGTTATTAATCACCAAGCACGTGATTTTTCAAATTTGCCAAAATAAATTCATCAAAACGAATGTCTCCCTGATGGGGGAGTATTGCAGTTCTGGTCTTTGGAAACCAATTTCTAGCACATTATGCTTACATATAGCACAAGACCTTTGCAGAGAGGGGTGTTATTTCATTCTCTCAATGTTTTAGCGCAAAGAAGATGCTACTCAGCCATAAAAAAGGATGATGTGATCAGCATTGATGGGGTAGATTATAAGACTGATGGGTGGACAAACGTTCCTCAATCAATTTTGGACCTTACTGGGAGAAAATTGCACTTGAGAAAGGACCATCCTATCGGGATTCTCAGCAATTTAATCAAAAATAAATTCGATAAAAAGGAATATACCTTTTATAACAACTTTAAGCCAGTGGTGACAACCTTTGAGAATTTTGATGTATTAGATTTCCCACAAGATCATGTAGGAAGATCCAAGTCAGATACCTATTATATCAACAAAGATAATTTATTAAGAACCCATACATCCGCTCATGAATACGAATGCTTTAAGGAGACCAAAACTCCAGGGTACTTTATTAGTGCCGATGTGTACAGAAGAGACGAAATTGATAGAACCCATTATCCTGCTTTCCATCAAATGGAAGGTGCCAGAATTTGGAAAAAAGGTGACATTGAGCAAATAAAAAAGGACTTGAAGAGTATTCCTCCTGTTGATTTAGTGGTGGAAGATGTGGTCAGACCTTTTGACGCAGTTGATAATCCAAAGCAAGCCCATATGACTGACGAGGAAACCGATTTAGTTGGTCAACATCTTAGAAGAACTTGTGAAGTCATCGTAGACACAGTCTTTAATGAAGCCAAAAAAGCGGGAAAACTAGCAGGCAGCACCGACCCATTTTTGAATGAACCTTTAAAAGTTAGATGGGTTGAGGCTTACTTCCCATGGACTGCTCCAAGTTGGGAAATTGAGGTTTGGTGGAAAGGCGAGTGGTTGGAATGCCTCGGGTGTGGTGTTGTTAGAAAGGTTGTTTTGGACAATTCTGGTGTCGATAATTCTATTGGATGGGCCTTTGGTATTGGCTTAGACAGGATTGCTATGCTCTTATTTGGGGTTCCAGATATCAGATTGTTCTGGTCCTTGGACGAAAGATTTTCAAAACAGTTCAAAGAAAACACCATAACTAATTTTGTTCCTTATTCCAAATATCCAGGTACCCAAAGGGATATCAGTTTTTGGCTACCAAAGTCAGTTGAGAATTCTGCTCCATTCCACTCAAATGATTTCTTTGAAATTGCTAGAGAATTTGGCGGAGATTTGATTGAAAATGTTTCTATTGTCGACGAGTTTACCCATCCAAAGACCGGGAAGAGTAGTAAATGCTACAGAATCAATTACCAATCGATGGATAAGACCTTGACCAATGAGCAAGTGAATGAAATTAACGAAGCTATCAGAAAGGCTTTGACAGAGAGATTTGAGGTTGAACTCCGTTAGGAGATATGCTTGCCTCTTGTGTCAGCTTATACGAACGTATTCTTGTCCTTATTTTAAATAGATAAACCCCTCATGTAAATACGGAATATATAAAGTGAATGATCGAGACATATGCAATTTTTGGGCATGTACTATACCAAAGGCATGGGTAGGACACTGGCGCAAACAATAGTTTTTTTCTTTACTTTTTAGGTGGCGACTTACGCTATCAGTAGAATCATATGGTTCCGCTTAATTGTCACTTGATAAGTCATTGGTTTTCTCTTTATTTGTTGTTATTTGTTTTTGTTTTTGATTAATTTTTTTCTTTATTGCTCATATTGGTTTATCTGGAGTTATTTCAAACGGATAATAGTAATAATGCAAAACTCTATAATAGAGTTAAAAGTGTATAGTGCTCACACGGGCAAAATGCTAACCACAAATCCCTACATATTCCTGAACATTCAAGAGTTTAAGGATTGGGTGGCAGAGCAATTTGATATACCCCTAGACTCGCTATTATTGCTAACACCGCAAGGCCTAAAAGTTAAAGAATCAGTGTTCCATCATGCTGGAGAGATATTTGCATTCAACAAGGCAGCAAATATTAAAGATCAATATAATGTTGCGAATAACAACCCTGGAATAATAAAAGAGGTCGAAAAATCTCCATATGATTTTAATAATGATGTGCAGATAGACAAGAAGAATGGAAACATGGAACCTGAGCGAGATATCTTTTACGAAAATAGTGAAGTCATCAGACCCATTCAATCCCCTCTATTAGACTTTAATATCCAGGAGAACCAAACAGATTATCGACAACTATTGAGTATAATAACCACGAATGCTAGCTGGTCGACAGCAGTGCTATCAGACTCAGTGTTCTCAGAGAAGAACATTCACGAAAAGATTGGGGAGATCTCAAATATTTTTAGAAGCTTGGGCATTACTGGAAAATATCTTGATTTGCACCTCAGTGAAATTTCTAATAAGTTTCTGCTATCTAATGATTTAATAGCCAGCCTAGAGAAAAACAGCTTGAGTGGTTCTTGGGAGAACTATTATAGTGGATTACAGAACATACATCTTTTCAATGATAAGCAAGGTAATTTGGCCAGTATAATATCATACGAGGAAATTGATAGAAATGCCAATGAATCAATAAGTTTAAGCAATCAATTGGGGAAAAAAGTCACTGTGATACAAACCAAATTGGACCTGGTGAGGTCTGAAAGATCAACTTTAGAAAAGAAGATTGAGATATTTAAACAGAACTCAATCATAAAAAACTTCAACAATTTGAACTTAAATGATATTGTCAAACAGATAAAGAACTTGAGCAAACTACTACAGCAAGAAACAAAGGAATGTATTGAAATTTTTCCTGAATACCAGACATTCACATCAGAAATTTCAATACCCAAGGAACAACTCAGTAAGCTCTTGAAAACCATTTCTCGCCATCAGCAGGTCTATGTTCCCGAGACTCTTCAACTTGCGAATGACCTATATTATTTACAGTTAAATCTAAATGCCTTGTACAAAAAATTGAAGATTACTATTTGTGAGGTCGTGAGTAAAACCAATTCTATTCAAGCAAATTTGGCAGATGTCCGATTTGGAATGAAGTCAATGATCAAACAAATTGACGATTTACAAGTCATTGAATCAAATATTTGTACGGTAATCGATTTGCCTTTACTATATGGAATATTTTTGTTAGAGAACGTCCGAAGAATTGAATGGGATAAGGAATTAAAGAACATTGTGGGTAAAACTGCGGAGAATTTTTCTTTGATTAACGAAAAAGAGGTTAGGCTCAGAAAAAAGTGGGAGAAGAATTATGGGTTGATTCTCAAGTTGTTGAAATTGGATAATGTTTTCACATTGCATAATTTGCTGACAGTCGACCTCACCACTAATAAAGATGAAACGATTAAGGGTTTGACTTTGAACGTCACACGGCAGGATGTTGCTGATTATATTTCCAACTTGAAAGATAATAATATATCTGAAGAGGCAATTACAATCTTAAAAAATTCTCTCAGAGATTTGAACAATCAAAAGGTTAGCTTGTATAGCAAGTTTGATGGATACTTGAACTTTCAAATTAGCAAAGATTCGAATGCCACCGATAACGAGCTTATCCAAAGTTATCAAACCAGAATCAAGAAACTAGAATCAATTTTACATCAGCATAAATATAAAAATCTAAATCAATGGCCTTTAATTTTTCCACAGACTGCTGGTGGAAATGGAGCTGCTGAACACTCGAGATCCAGGAGTCCATCAAATCACAATAAACGCGAGCATCATGCTCAAAATACCCTGTCTCACGATATCATGAACAAACTCAATATCACTTCCCAAAGATCATTATCCACTACGTCTTTGAATAGAGTCAGTACTGTCACCACTGTTGAGAAAAAAAGTTCTCCAAAAGTCAATAATAGAAAACAGAGCTTTGGGGGGATGTTTGGAATAAAGCAAAGAAAAGCGAGTTTACTATTAAATAATGGAAACATTGAACTTACTAATTCCATCGTGTTGTTGACAGAAAATGATAACACCCAAAATAGAATTATGGTGAATAATGATCCTTCATCTCCTTCTTCAGGAAAAAATAATCGTCTGTATTCTCTAGGTGAAGAAAGTGTGAAAAGTGATGAGGCTGATTTGGATACAGAGTATATTAGGGTAAAAACCTCCGAATGGAATACTTTGAAGAATAAGAATAACGAATTGTTTGTTCAGAACAGTGATCTTCTTGCAGAAAATCAAAAAAACAACGAGGAGATTAAATTATTGAAGCAGAAGTCAAATAATCTAGTTCAAGAGCTTGAAGGCCAAAATATACAGTTAAAAAAGTGCAGTGAACAAGAAAATTTGATAAATAGATTGAATAATGAAAACTCTGATTTGAATCAAGAGATAGATGATATTGTGGGAAAATTAAAGGCCACTCAGTTTGAACTCGATACAAAAACTGAGAAGGTTTCCGAAAACTTCAAGATAATTGATAAGTTAAAAAAAGCATTAAGTGAGGCTGCAAACAATCTTGAAAGACAGAAGGAGCAATCATCGGCCATAAAGAATGACTTGCTTTCTACCAAAAAAGAATTGCATGAGATTCATCAAAAGTCTGATAAGTCTGAGAATAGGCTAAAAATATTATCAAGAGATTTTGAAAAAGCTACCGAGAAGGTTAATTCGCTTAAAGAACAAAATATTGATCACGTCAATATGATACAAAGTTTGGAGGCAGATTTAGTGAAGCACCAAGACCAATTGAAGAATGCCAATGTCGCAGATCTGAGGGCAGAAATCGAATTATTGGAGAAGCAGATTGCCCAAAAGAATGAAGAAATAACAGCGGTTAATGAAAACTTCCAGAAATTAAAGGTTGAATTTCAAGATATTGGCTCTGTGAAAAATGACTTGTTGGCAAACATGCATGCAAAAGAAGAAGAATTTTCTAGAGAAAGGAATTCAACGTCAAAGGAAATTAGTGAATTGAAAGCTAAAGTTGAAGGATTAGAGGATAATGAAGATATTTTGGATAACTTGAATAAAGAATTAGCTTTGAAGAACTCGAATTTGGTTAATATTGTGATTAAATTGATTGATATTATTTCCAATTTCAGGACTAAATTGCATGAGTTGTCCTCGTTATTGTTTGATAATTTCAAATTGATTTGCTCTTGCTTTGAGGCTATTGGTTTGTTAATAACCAAAAATGACTTGATACCGGATTCTGTCCTATTGAGCAACGATATCGTGAAACTTGGAGAATCATTTATTGGTAAAGATTCTGACAAAGGGATTAGGATTCTTCGGGTAAAAGGATTAAGGAACAAAACCAAGTCTAAAGAGGATTTGATTTACTCAAAGCCTGTATCACCATTGATCCAGGTAGTCGAAAATAAGATAGATTGGATTGGCTGTAAGGAAATTTTCGAAATTGACGGTGATGATTTTTCAAAACATGAAGGAGCAGCTACCAATGAAAATGGTATTTTGAATATGGTTTCCTCGTCGGTGGTGGACATAGATAGGATTGTGAATGAAGCAACGAGTTTGATTGAAAATTTTAACAATAACGCTGACTTCGAGAAGAATTATTTTAATTTTATAACTTCAATTGTTGTTGATTATAATTTGATTTATACATCAATGGCGAAGAGATTTGGTGATATTGAGCATTTGGCAAAGAAACTACAAAAGGAAACCAAATCGAATAAGGAGGAGATCCGAAAGTTATTAGGTGACTCACGGGGTAAAATTGCTGTGAAGAATTTCAAACCTGGCGATTTGGTATTGTTTTTACCTACAAGGGATGGTGATACTTCAAAGGATGACGGAGAAAATAATTCAACAATAAATCAGCCTTGGGCGGCATTTAACATTGGATCTCCACACTATTTCTTGAAGGAAAACAACAACATCAACTTAAACAGCAGAGATTGGATGGTCTCTAGAATATTGTCAATTAATGAATTCAGGATTAACTCAAAGAATTTCGATGATTTAGAAGAAAATCCATTCCGGTTAAGCCAAGGGGTGACTTGGTACTTGATTGATGCAAAAGAAGAATTATCTGACTCTCTTACATAGTGATAGAAAATGCGATACCCATTAATAAAAGACGTAATTATTTAATATTTCAATCCCCATGTTTTTCATTTGAGAAAGGGTTGTATCTGGTGCTCATCATCGCAACCTTGTGATCGGAAAAAGTGCGTCTAGAATTGATAAAATTTTTGTAAGTAAGTAAGTTACTTTCAATTTTGAAGGGAACAAAAGGTGCGTTTAAATCATTATTTAGGCACAATTTCCAAGAGAACCTAGAATAATGAATATGAGCGATATAATATATCATCCCCTAGATGCCAATAATCCACAAGATGCCCTCGATGTGAAAAGATTGGTTGATTTGGACATTTCTGAACCATATTCAATCTATGTTTATCGATTTTTCTTAAGCCAATGGCCAAATTTATGTATACTAGTAAGTGAAATCTGAAAAATCTGAAAAAAGATTGGTGCAATTAAGAATATATAATACTGACTACGATATATAGGCAAAGTGTGAAGGCAAGACGGTAGGAGCAATAATAGCAAAATTGGAACGGCATAGAAATGTACGAATGAGAGGTTACATCGGAATGGTAGTGGTTAATAGATCATACAGAAAGCAAGGTATCGCGAAAAAATTGGTGAATCTTGTGATTGAAGAGATGGTGAAGGAGAAAGCTGATGAAATAATCTTAGAAACTGAGGTGATCAATGAGGCAGCAATCGGCTTGTATGAAAATATCGGATTTTTAAGGGTAAAAAGATTGCATAGATATTACTTGAACCAACATGACGCTTATAGATTAGTATTGCCAATAACTGACAAAAGTTCGATAAGATCAGCTTTTCTACCACCACCAGATAGTATAATTTAGTGATTTGGACTTGTCTTACTAATAAATGAAGATTCACATTAGACATAAGGCATTATATTTTTCAGATGATCCATAATTAATGGCGAACGAAATGTAAGAAAAAGAGGAACCCACGAAGAGTAAATAAATACACATAAAATAAATAGAAAAAAGAACAAACGAACTAAAAAAAAATGAAAAAAAAAAGAAACCCAACAAGAAAATTAAAAAAGTAATGAATGAATTTATGCAACAGATTATGAAAGCTAGCTCTCCTCTTCATCTTCATTGAATTTTGGAGCCAAATAAAAGCGCAAGTAACCACTTGGCAATTTGTATTCAAACAAAGCAGGTGTTTTATCTGATAACTTGATAGTGACGGTTGAGGATAAAGGAGTGGCCTTGATAATGTCAGCAATGAATCTCAAACCAAAGGTCAAATCAACAGGCTGCTTCAAGTCAACCTTGACAGATTCTTCTGGTTTATCTAAGTTTGTTTGTGGCTTGATGATAACATTACCGTTACCAGAGTCACCTTTAGAGGCAAATTTGACGGAATCTTTGGTGACCACAATTTGTAACGATTCAGACAAAGTGTTCAAGTCTCTGCAAATTTTTTGGAATTCTGAAGATGGCAAAGTAATAACAGAGTCAAATTCCATTTCATCAATTTCCAAAAATTCAGCATCAATATCCATCAACTTCAACGAGTATTCAGAAGTTTTGTCTTTATTCTTATCTTCGAAAATCAAAGCAACACTATCAGGAGAATCTTCAGCGATCAAAGTCAAGTAATCTTCGTTAGCACCACAACGGATGATCTTGCTGAATGACTTAAGATCAATACCCAAAGTAATATCTCTGTCACATCTGTAGTCAGAGAAAGATTCGGCACCAATTAACAAAGAAACCAACAAGACTCTGGAATCATCAACAGCTTGGACAGAGATACCGTCTGGTTGACAATTGAAATTACAAAGGGCAACACAGTCTTTGATAGAATCAATAACCTTTTTCAAGAGAGAAGCTTCTTCGAATTTACCTTCAAGCATTGTATTGATATTATATTATATTAATTATTTGGAAATAGTTTAAAACAATTGATGTCTCAGTGTTTTCTCAAGGTATACAAAAAGGCAGTAAAAAGTGGAAAATCAGCAAAATCTGCGACTTTATATAATCGAGGTACGTTTCGAGAAAAAAAAAAAAAAAAATTACGCGTCGCGTCGCGCAGGAATTATACTACCCGGATATGTGATTTTATTACAAATATATTATATAATCTAATTGCACGTGATGATAATTCAAAAAAAGATAAAAATAATACCACCCAATTTGCACAGAACAGTAGGAAATGTGCGTTGAGAGCGATAAATAAACAATACTTGACAACTGAAACTAAAGCAATGTCTAATACAGAAACTGTCCAGTTGATACGGTATGTTGGGTGGCTGAATTTTCTTCTGCTATTAGTTTTTTTCTCTCTCTCTAGCTTTGTTCCTTTTTTTTTTTTTTTTGTCTTTAATCTTGTTGATTGACATAATAGATCCTTGAATGCTAACATTTTTCTAGGGCCCTCAGAGCAACCCTTGATAAGACTAATGATGGTATGTTAAATTTATACAACCACAAATTATTATAATGATTACTAACCATATCCATAGAACCTTTGGACGCTGAAAATTATGTCGATGGTGAGACAACAAACAGGGGAAATAAGTTGAAATTTGGGTCATCACATCTTCATAGAGACCAACTCAATGGATACAGCATCATTCCCGTTATCGGGAAAGTTCTTATTAATGGGGAAGAAAGAGAATACATTCAGCGAAAGAGAAAAGCAGATGCGTCTCCAGGAGAAAAAACTGCAAAGAAGCCTAAAGGAGAGATATATGGTGAAGAACCTGCAAATGAAGTGGTAGAAGATGAAGAAGACGAAGATAATGATCCTTATGAAAACATTGATATTAGAAAAATATTGGCACCAATAACTAAGCCCGAGGAGGCAGTGACGAACCCTGCGATTTGCAAGATTTTCCAGGATGATTCGTTGCGAAATTTGGCTTCCCAAGCAATTGATATTATTGAATATGAACAGAATAATTCTATCAAATTATCAAAATTATTGGATTTATTTTTAGGGGAAGACCCAAAGTTCTTGAAACCTGGAAATATGAAATTACCAGATTATGATCATGAGCTAGCTGATGGCGAAACCGTCGAAGAAATTAAGTATAAGGCAGTCAAGCACAAGAATGACTATGTGATTGAATCCTCGAACGACCCTGGAATCATCAATAATGTTAAAGCTGAAGAATACATTAGCTCATTACAAACAAACAACGAAAACAAAAGAATTACCAGAAATATTGACTCTAATTACCAAGAAGTTGATCCTTTTTTTGCTTTACCACAATTTGAAATTGATTCAGATAATGGCGTTGATCCACAAATTGCCAATGAGGTGAGGCAAATTGTGCAGATAATTCTTCAGAGAAACAGAGAGTACATCAGATCATTACAAAGAATAAGATCAGGATTAATCAGGGCCGAACGTTTGAAGGACCAGGTTTACAAATGGTGCAAAGAAATTAATGGAGATTATGATAGTGAAGTGCTACCCCCAGCGATTAATGAAAAAAAGAAATAAGTAACATATAACTTCTTGATCACCACTTTTATCAATTCTTACCTTTGTATACTACAGGATTTTTTTTTTTTGGGATATTCTATTTTATTCAATTAAATTAACTAATAACCACTCGTGGCTTGCTCTAGAACTTTAACTAAATTTGGGCTTTTAATTTCTTCTTTCTCCTTGTTGTAAAATGGACAAACAATTTCATTCACGGCTTCATCAATTAAGCCATAAACCAAAGATCTCAAGGCATCACCAGTCTGCTTGAAGTCTGGGTATGCATTAACTTCCAATAGAGTGACATTCAATTTATCATCAACCAAAAAGTCCAAACCATAAAACTCAAATGCATTTTCGATAGGTTGGAAACTGAATCTGTCGACGTTGAGAGCGGCTTTAAATAAATCTTTGACTATCTCGTAAATTTGATCAAGAATTTGTTGTTTATCTTCCTCAGTCAAACCTTCCAAATCACCAAATTCAACAACACTATTATTCAACTCAGCATCTTCAGAAGTTTGCAAGCAGGTATTAGTTAAGTGCTTGTTTAAGTTCAACTTTTCCATCTCTTCATCAATATTAGCAATATCGGAGCCATTATACGGTTCAGCAGCAAACAAAGACAACATTCTTTTATACACGTAAACTGATAGAGATCCTGAACACAAAACGTATGTTCTTATGTGGAATTTTTTATTCTTATAGGCTTTTAAAAGTAGGGGATTGGCGAGATACTTTTGGATGATGAAATGTCTTAATTGAGAAGTGATAATTCCATCTGAAAAGGACTTAGGTTTTCCAGTGTGGCTCACAGAATTTTCCACTACCATCACCTCCTCCTCCTCCTCCTCTTCTTCTTCTTCCTCTTCCTCATCTTCCTCAAACGAATCGAAGATACTTTGCAATTGTTCGATAGTTTTGAAAATTCTGATACCTTGACCTTTGTCACTCATACTTGGTTTCAAGATCCAGATTTTGTCATTGCTAGAATCAACAAGCTCATTTCTTAATTCACAACATTCATACAAGGCATCATCCAAAAATTCCGCGTAATCAACTTCGATATGGTAGGTTTCTGGGAATGCGGACTTCAAAATGGAGGTAGGATTTTTGACTGTATATAGAAGAATACTATGACTAAGGTAGTGCTTTCTTATTAAAGCTTTTCTGTAGACATAAGCACATATCAAGTAATTAGGGTCCCGAATCTTGTCGAAATTCAAATCTTCGTAGTCACCATATTGGAAGATCTTTTGGCTGGGCTTCTTAGTACCGATTAGCGAGACATCATTAGACAAAGGCACATCTGAAAGCCTTTTGGAAAATGATTGAGTGAAGGCATCATAGAGATAATTTTCCTTATCTATCGAGAGAATAATAGTATCTGAGGACATGTTTTGCAATTTGATTTGAAGAGAAATTTTTACCTAGAGCTCAGAGATACACTTGCAGAAAAGTCTTATACGTCAACCTTGAATGCTCCTATATGGAATAAATCACAGCGGGGTTTGAAGTAATTATGATATACACAGTATTAGTAGTATATGTAAGAAATAAACACAATTAAGATAAATTTTTAGGAGGAGTTCAATACCCGTGGAAATTTTTTAAGTTTTGGAAATCTTTTCTTTTTGAAATGCGAGAGAAGAATTGCAACTTTCAGAAAGTGAAAACTGAAGTTTGTCTGCAATTATCCCCGCACGAACAGGATATGGAAAAATTTTTCACGTGCCGGAAGCTTTTCCACAAAATATTGTATGGTTGTACAAAAATCAAGACGTGATAAGGAAGTTTACTGATACCACATTTGGATGGTAAAACAAGCCATGGCGGACCTTCTTAATCCATTGGCCAATAGAATACGATCACAGTTCGAGAACATAGAGCATGTTGTGCCTGCGAATGTCTCTTACTTAACGATATTCAACCCAGCGTTGAGCAATGATAGTGAGTCGGAAGCAGATTTGGTCAAACTGATCTTATGCTATGTTGTGGGGAAAAATAGCAAGAACCATAGTGAAAGCGATAATCAACCATTAGAAGTGGACAACAATGCTAAGCTACGACAGATTGGTCTCATTCAAGGTATCACAAACTTTGCAAAAGAGTTTTCAGAAGGTGGAAATAAGGATATTGATTATATTGACACTGAGCAAACGAGGATTATTATACAAAAAGTTGAAATTAATTACTATATTGTGGCCTGTATTGAGTTGACAAAATTGATGGACAATGATAATGAAAGCGACTCAGATTCTGGATCGATGCACAAAAGCTTTAATAGTCATATTATGACGCGTACTGAAAGCATCAATATTGAATATAGCTCTGCCAACATTTCTCCTCCGTCCATACTATGTCAGGATATTATGAATGCTTATAATTTTTTCAAGTTACATCATGGAAGCTTCAGCTCTTTGCAGGAGCAACATTCGATTACATTTGTTCAAAAGATTCTCGAACTGTGGTGGTTTAAGTTTATAAAAAATTGGGATTTGTCATTAAACAGTAAAGGATATTTAAAAATCTTGAATAGTTATAAATTATCATCAAAATCAATAAGCTATTCAAATAGCTCAAATATCAAGAATGTCAATTTGATCACAGAGAAACTATCCGAATTCTTTCAGCTGAACTCTTCCAAGCTAATTGATATGATTATTTACAATCCGTTAGACTTATCGACGTTATTGAAGAATGGCGACTCAAGTAACTTCCCCAATGAAGATGCTATCATTGATAACAGCGGCAGCAAGAATAGTGGTGCACATAAAAGTAGAATATTGATTGAAGAATATGGTGTCATTTTCAAGGGTTTTGATATAATTTCAAATGAATCTTTGGTGGATATTTATAATTGGTTGGAGAATAATAATTTAGTGGGTATTGATTCAGAAAGATTGATGATGGACAATTATCCACAAGGCGTAAAAGTTGATGCAAACAAAGTGTCAGAGGCTAATAATGTGGATGCAGATAATAGTGCAATTTTTAATCCCTTTAGCTCAACTCTCAACAAAGTTGTGAATTTCTTTGCGCCGCTTGACGCTCTGAATTTCATGGTAGGAAATAGTGCTGATAAAACGGATGCGGATGGAGATGAGCATCACGTTAAAAATTTGAATCTGATGTTGAAAAAGATGTCCACAAACAAGAAACAAATAAGAGGTCAGTATTTGATTGGCGTAAATGACAAGATACCTGGCGCATCAGTTGGCTCAACCCCAACAACCTCACCTAACCCAGATAGAATTTTGAATTCTCCGTGGAATAACAAAGACATACTTTTAAAAACAGTTTACTTAAAATTATCCAACAGAGATCCTGGAAGTGAAAGTATCTCTATCACAACTTCGAATAACCCCTTTGAAAGATCAGCCATCGATCAAGAATTTTTGGAGTGCAATCTAGTGATCTACGAAATCGGTGGCTTGTTATTTGTGTTGATCTTTGAAAGTGACTACGAGGACTTGAACAATATGGTATTCTATGAACAACTAGAAGAAAACATTATTGAATTATTTGAATCTATTAATGAGTACTTTCATAATAATAATAATCATAATAATAATGAAAATAATCATCAGTCAGTGGGTATGAGAAAGTTTGAAAATTCGAAAAACAAAACAACCCAAAATTTGAAAAACGATAGGGACTTAAGAAATTACCTAAGCTTGAAGACACTCCTGTTGCCATTTGGAATGTATTTCAATAGCTCTGAAACACCAGATGCGATCACAAAACGAACGGATGAATATTTAAGAAGTCACATTGAAGAAGATCAACAGAAGTTGGATAAATATAAATCTACATTCTATTACATTGTTTTCGTGCCTGATCTACAGTTCTATCAAACATCTTTGCCACTCATCCCGAGCCCAGAGGAAGTGCTCTTTGGTAAAAATAACGAGATAATAAGTTTAAATCAAGGAGGTGCAGGTGAATCAGGATTTTTAGATCCAAGATATATATTCGATTTACTGGTGTCCAGAACTCAGTCCCTTCATTTACATAATCAGTTGTGTCAGCAATTCAATTTTGACAATTCTCTGGAAAGGCAGCGAGCTATCGAAAAAATGGTGAGTACTGACAAGTTTTGGTGGATCTATTACAGCAGATCGTTAAGTGATACTGCAGATGATGGATCAACGTCCAAAAAGGTGACTGATTTTTATGGATTAGATCAAAATAATTACTATAGGAGCAATCATCATGACAGAGAGGTTTTTGTTTTGAAAAAGTTCAGCAATTTGAGGAGAAGTAAGAACTTGTTGTTTACTGATAAAAGTGAAGATTTCCTTAGCATGCTTGGAGACAATGTGAAAATTTGGTTCGATAATTGTATTAGCACAGGAAGAGTATGATTACAGGCAGTAAAAGGTCAATTGTTAAATGCAGAATCGTATAATTTTTCATGAGTGATAGCTGAATGCAAGAAAAATAATGGACAAAAAAAAATTTAGACAAAAAGCAGAACGACATAAAATAAGAACGCAAAAATGGATAGCAAAAATAAACAGCAGAGCTAAAATAATTCAATCAACTTTAGCTTTTCCTTGGAAAATTGTACCGTTGACAACATTTCTCGAAAAATTGGAAATGTTATGCAATATCAAAGCAATAAATAAAATAATATTTTCCCAAATAAGCAAAATGAATGATTTTTCCTTTAGAATAGCTTGTGATTGAAAGCCTTCAATTTCAGACGAGATTTCTGTAGTTGAAGAGAATGATGACTTTTGATCATTGTCGGAAACACGAAGCTCAGAAATATATTTCTTCTCAAAATCAATCCGTTCACATGTGCCTGGCTTATCAGGTTCAAAGCTTTCGATAACAGTAAGAAGCTCTTCAAATCCAACATCATTAAATGAAAGGGATGCTTCGTCATTGAGATCAATGGGAACCAAATCAAAATTGTTACTTGGGGGCTCATTCTTTGCTATGGATGACTGGGTGATGGTCTTGGCCATATCTTCATTTGAATTGGAGTTGAGGAAATTAGCTTTTGGGGTTGACAAGCCAATTAAGTCATTATTGTTCAAAACGATATCAGAACAGTTGATTAGTTCATCATGCAAAGAAGCCTTTTTTCTAAGCGGCTTCAAGAAATCTTTGTGATGACCAAAAATATTATTTAAAGACTCATCATAATTCATGCTGCTAAGCTCGTCTTCACTATCAAAATCAGCGTCGTATGAATCTCTGTGTAGAAAAATTTCATCACCAGAAGGCCCCTCATTGCTATAAAGCACATCCACATGAGAGTTACCAATCGAAAAGCAAGTTTCATTTTCATAATCCGAAGCCGATTTGCTTCCCGTGGTTGATGAATTGATAGAAAGATCATTATTGGCATCTTCTTCAGTGAAGCTATTATCTTTTTCCTTAGCTAGAAAATCAAATTTAGCATCTTTGAAGCTTAGACTTTCACAATTCTTGTTCAACAGAGTGCTTAGATGTGACGATTTTTTCCTAAGCAATATTTGAGACTTTGGCTTTTTTAGCAAGTGAGTTGATGATCTAGAATTTTTAACTGATTTTTCAGGAGGATTGATCAGGGGAGTTTTTCTAATTTTTCGTGGCCTCTTTCTATAGGAGGCGTTTGACTTTAATGGAGGCGATAAACTTGAAGAGGAAGAAATAGACAAGGATGAATCATAATACTTAGAATCTTGCAATATAGCAATGTCTTGTAAGCTAGCAATATTTTTGGTTGATAAACTTTGTTTCACGGAACCATTAAGGAAATTAGTGTCATCTCGTATTTTTTGTAATTGAACAGAGATCTCTTTGTACTGTATATCTGTCATAATGTTATCTGAAGCATAGATTTCTGAAGCGCCGGCATCTTCAATGATCATAGAGTCATCCATAGACCCTATTCTTTCCCTAACATTGTTGAATTCTTCAATTAGATAGTTCAATTGGTTATTCAATATTCTGAGCTTTTTACCATGATTATCATTTGAAGAATCTAAGCGGTGAATGTGAGATAATTCAAGTGCCGATTGGGCTTTCAAGGCCTCAAGGTTGTCATCCAATTCACTGAATCCTGATTCTATGTTATTGATGAAATCATATAGTTTACTGTCATCAATTATCCTATCATCATCTAACCTTTTGGCATGAAGATTTTTTGCTATTCTTTTGGATTCTAGTGTTTCTTCGTACATCTTTTTAAGACTTGACACTGAATTCTTGACCGACAATGTCTGCTCAAGCTGTTTTTCCACATATTCAGCATGATTTTGAGCCGCTGTGCTTTCTTTAGCGATTTCTTTTAATTTCAAGTTTTGTTCGTTAATCGTGTTCAACAATTGCTTGTGCTCAGACTCCAAACTTTCAATGACTTGATCCCTGTACTTTAGTTCACTTTCCAAACTTCTGGCGTCACTGATATATCCTGAATCTTGCCGTTTTGAAAGTATTTCCAAAGATGAAGGGTCTTTTTGAAAAAATATGTCGTTCCTTTCAGGCTCTCCCATAAAAGAAGTGTCCTCATACTCATGAGAATAATCAAAGTCTTTGAAGTAATGAGTTTCCTTCTGTGGATGCGATTTAAGAAATGATTCACAAGCATCTTGTAAAACTTTTGTATTCCCAATATCATCTAACAACATAAGAAGATCGTCTTGATTGATTTCCAACAGTTTAGTGTCCTCAATGAATAGTAGGGCCACTTCTCTTGAACTTTGATCTAGAAGTGAAAATTTGGGAATCTGTAGGACCTCCTCAAACAAGTCTATAGCAACAAGAAGATCCTCACATGGAATTCTCCCTGACCTTGAGACATCTATTTTACCCCAAATGTATTCCACAATCTTCAATTGATCTCCCAGAAGAGTCATCATTGACGAAATGGAGATAACAATCTTGGTTATCACACACATGTCAACTTGGGGAAACCACAGACTGTAATAAATCCCCATCACAAAAAAACTCTTAAGCGCACGCCGGTACATTATCATCAAAAGAAAATTTCCAGTCATCTCCACGACCAACAGTAGGATAAAGTGAAATTCTCACTTATACCGAAAGCAAATGGCTGTCAGAATCGCTTCTTCATTAAAAAATGCGTCACTCGGCAGCACAAAGACATACTGTCGTACCGTATTAAACCCACGGTCATCTTTTATAGATGTCACTCAATCATTGAATGATCTCAAAAGCACCAAGAAGTTGGATTTTGAGCCCAAATCACTCCTATTATTTAGCACTCCCCAATACTCAAAACAGTTAGTTTCGAAATTGGTGGACCTAAAAGAGTCTTCAATGGATTTGCAGATCTTGTACGCATCTGTTGACTGTATTGCCCCTTTTTCTTCTCGTAATGGGATTTCTGAGTTATGGCTCAGCAATAGAATGTCAATACCAACATCCAGGTCTATTGAAGAAGTGAAATCAGAGCAGGAGAATACCCCTGCTTCTAAACCAGGAAGAATAATCAGCACAAAGAGTGATGAACATTGGGATCTAAGCTCGAATAGTAACTTGCTGTTGAATGTTCCTTTCATTCCAAGAAATTTGATGCATCACCATTCTCTACCTCAAACTTTGACCAAAATCAAGTTCCAACTAGGATCAACGATATTTCATAACTCAGATCTCTTTACCACTTGCTTCTACTTTGTATCCCAGAAAGAAAGAAAGACTTTGAGCAGGTTGGATATGAAAACATTCGATTATATCAAACATTATCTTGATAATGATGGCAAGTACTTGCATGATTTAGAAGTCGCTCTTCCACCATTGATCTTACCTTCTAGAAATTTATCTATGGACAATTATAATAATTTGAAACCTATAGATTTAGGCGATGATTTAAGAATTTCGGAGTTGACTGGCAATCTTGTGAGAAAAATCAATGGCAAACCTGCATCCTCAGTTATACAAGATGACAAGAAGCTCATGTCACAGATGAATAAAGACAGTAGAATCTATGTCACTATCGAAAATGACGATGAGGAGGAAATGAGAAGAAGATTCGAAGTAATTGCCGGGGGAGGTGCATGGGGAGCTAAAGCTGATACTTTAGCAATTGATCCTGAGGCCTTAGAGTTCATGAGAGTTGGTACCAAGTTATCGTTTTTCTTGTACCAAACAGGAGAAAAATCCTTGAAACAGGAGAATGAGGAGAAAATGAAAATATTCTTTCCTGAGGGGTTAGACTCATGTAATGGAGTCCTTGCCGAAAAAAGTGGCCCACAAGAGGGCTATAATGCTGATAGCGGTATTGCTGAAGGAGATGCTACAATGATTTTGGAAAATGTGTTCGCTTTTGGCAGCGAGAAAAAGCTAACTGTAAACGACATTAACCATGATTCTGACGGTGAGGTTATAAGGTTTAGAGTATAAATTACTGTATATATATGTTAATATTATTAATTGGAAAATGTTCAGAGATACCCAAGTAGATGAAAAAAACTATTATCTTCCAATAACTCGAGCCTTGCTGAACTAGGAGGCCAACTCAATGATACTAAACAAAATGATTTTGAATAATAAGTCCATTTGGACTATTCAAGTCGATAGAAGCGTCACGCACGTGAATACTTATATCTAAACGCACCGTAAAATTTGACTTTTGGCAAAAAGTTTTAAAAATATGTATGTGGCTAGTAAGGGAAGTTAATCCTGGGGGTATTCTTTGAGGAAAATTATTAGAAATCTTGGCCTATGTCATCGAGTGGTGTTGAAGTTGAAGATGAAGGAGCACAATCGCTGCCAATGCTTTATAATGCGAGGAGCGCTCTCTCGCTAAATAAAAATAATCCATTTCTTAAGACGAATAGACTCAGTAATACAGCTGAAACTACGAGGAGTGTTGGCGATTTATCTCTTCTTATAAGAAACGAGCAAAGAGACTCCCATACTGTACTAACATCGACAACCTTGAATAATAGCACCTCTAATATCCTCAAGCCAAACAAAAACAGCTCAATCATCACTCCAACAAACGCCAGATTTGAGTTTGCCAGGCCATTAAATCATCAGGTATCCAATTCATCAATATCGTCAACCTCTGTTAGTAACTTGAATAATAATAATGCACAATCACCAATACGAGCAGTAGTATCTCCAGATAAATCTGTCATGAACTCAATTGAAAGAAATGCAAAGTATCTCAGTGTTATTGATTTGTACGATGATGATAGTGCATCAGTTCCTTCACCTGCCCAACAACCCCAGGCCAACACACCAAGACACTCTTTGCGAATTGAACATCCAGCTATGAAGACACTAGATACTAAAGAATCCATTTATTCACCAACAAGTGTCAGCTCTTTCAATTTTGTTTCTAAAAACTTTGATGATAGTCTGGATGAATTGCCTTTGGGGACCATTAATGATCTTGGCCAAGCAAACCCAATAATTGCTCATCCAGAAAATAGACACAGGAAACAAGAAACTCTATATTATTCGCCGCAGAACTCTCTCAACGATGTTGTGTTAGCTAATGATGGCGTTGCCAAAGGCGCAGTTGACTTACAGAAATCATTCAGTGAAGCATCAAATAATCATAATAATTCAGTAATAATAAGGTCCCCTGAGTCCATAGCTCATAATGGAGTGGATAATAAAACAATTCATGTTCAAGGAATAATATCTAAGGACACGGAGTTGTCCGATCTGAAACAATCCAGACACCCAAGCCAAGCTGAATCAAATCTTCAAAAACAGCAAGGTGACTCTAGCAGTAGCAACACAAAAAATAAAGCTGCCAACCCGTTCTTGGATGTTGATAGTCTAAGTGGCAATAATAGCTCTGAAATGGCGAATATTCCAGCTGAATTGGTTTCTGTGACAACCCCGGCTGGCGTCACCAACATAAATAAGGTCACTAACTCAAAAATCACACCAATATCGTATGCTACCACTCCCTCAATTAATTTAACTGGATCCCCCTTGGCGGCTATTAGCGCGAATGTGACTCAAAGTCTCTCCAATTTTGATCAATCTTCCAAAAAGCATGCTAAAGGTAACTCAATTAATGATCTTCAAAGCGCTACTAGCAATGTGACTGCTGGGAATTCTAGTAATATTAATGTCAGAAATTTTATTAATAATAACCACTCCTTGCTATCAGTTCAATTATCAAAAGAATCGTCTTTACCGCATTCCAATGTTGTTCAAATTGAATCTGTTTCGCGAAATCTTTTGATTGGCGATAGAGATAGATATGGTTTCAAAAAGAAAACTTCATTTGTAAATGAACAGGAATATAATAATTGGTGGATGCAATATGAACCATATCTAATCAGACGCAAGAAGAAGTGGGAGACCTTGATGTCGCAAAACGGCTTGAATCTTAATAAGGATAATCCTGCGAGATTCCCAGCCAGGTCTAACAAATTAAAAAGATATGTTCGAAAAGGTATACCTGCAGAATGGAGAGGGAATGCATGGTGGTATTTCGCTCGGGGGTATGAAAAATTGGAGAGTAATCCTGGGTTGTATGACAAGATCATTGACAATATATCAGGAATAAAAACGCATGATGCGGAAATTATAGAAAGAGATTTGAATAGAACTTTCCCAGATAATATGTATTTTCGAAGTGCTGACCAAAGTAAAGAAGAAACTCCTTTGATTCAAAGTTTGAGAAGAGTGTTGGTGGCATTCGCCATCTATCAACCGCAAATTGGATACTGCCAGTCGTTAAATTTTCTAGCGGGGTTGTTGTTAATTTTTCTTGACGAGGAACGTGCTTTTTGGATGCTAGTTATCATCACTTCTAGATTATTACCGGGTGTTCATGATGTCAATTTGGAGGGTGTCAATATTGATCAAGGTGTTTTGATGCTCTGTGTTAAAGAATACCTACCGAACGTTTGGAACAAGATTGGATTCAATTTCGATAGTAATGGGATGGATGGTAAGCAGAGCTTTAATAATGAAGTCAATGTGGTTACCAAGTTGCCTCCAATTACTCTTTGTACTGCTAGTTGGTTTATGAGTGCGTTTATCGGTATCTTGCCAATAGAAACTTGTCTCAGAGTGTGGGATTGCTTTTTCTACGAGGAGAGCAAGGTGTTTTTCAGAATCGCTTTAAGTATCTTGAAATTGGCGGAGCCAAGGGTTGAAAAGATTAAAGATGAAATGGAAGTCTTCCAAATTATTCAAAATTTTCCAAAGAAGTTACTTGAACCAAAAGATTTGTTTGAATGTTGTTTCAAGAAGCGGAATGGTTTTAGTAATTTAACACAGGAGGAAATTAATAGATGTCGAAAGTTTGTCAAAGAACAGCGTCAAAAGGCGTCTAAATCACAGATACTGACCAAGGCTGCCTCCGGTAATAATAAAGGGAAATCAACCGATGAACTAAATGATGTTCAAAAATTGAGAAAGGAAATGGATGAAAACTTCATTCCTGAGGAATATGACTTTAAAAAGAATGGTCTTGCAGGAGCTCATTGGAAAACAACCCTTTCAAAGAAAATAAGGAAGCAAAAGATCAAAGGGCACCATATGCATTTTTAAATTTGGAAAATTATGTGACTTATTGTTTTCCTATTCATTTTCTTTATTGTTTATTCTATCTTTGTAATATATATCATATCAACCATCATTGGATTATTTTATTCTTGAGACTCAATTTTTAAGGTGCCAGTTATTTAGTAGATAAGATCAAATGAAATTGCCCAAATTCGTAATGCTTATCTAACGTGGTGTATTTAGCATTTCCGAGATCGTCACACCAAACACGCATCCCACTACATGGTTGTTTTTAAATTGTGTGTGTGGTTTTAATTTTTTTAGTGATGATTTCAGGTTTAATCCCGGCCCAAAACAAACCATCAAGGCTTAACACTGAACAGGGAAAAAATGGTGGATTTATCAGACTATCAGCGTCTTGAGAAGATTGGTGAAGGTACTTATGGTGTAGTTTACAAAGCTCTTGACACTAGACACGACAACAGAATCGTGGCTTTGAAAAAGATCAGATTAGAATCTGAAGATGAAGGTGTGCCTTCCACCGCCATTAGAGAAATCTCCCTTTTGAAAGAGTTGAAGGATGAAAATATTGTTAGATTATATGACATTGTTCATTCTGATTCCCACAAATTATATTTGGTGTTTGAATATTTGGACCTTGATTTGAAGAAATATATGGAATCCATTCCACCTGATGTTGGTTTGGGCGCTGAGATGGTCAAGAAATTCATGATGCAATTGATTAAAGGGATTGCCCATTGTCATGGTCATAGAATCTTGCACCGTGATTTGAAACCCCAGAATTTGTTGATTGACAAAGAAGGTAACTTGAAATTGGCCGATTTTGGTTTGGCTAGAGCGTTCGGTGTCCCACTTAGAGCTTACACCCATGAAATTGTCACGTTATGGTACAGATGTCCAGAAGTTTTACTTGGTGGTAAACAATACTCCACTGGTGTTGATATGTGGTCTGCCGGTGCTATCTTTGCGGAGTTGGTCAACAGAAAGCCTTTATTCCCTGGTGATTCTGAAATTGATGAAATTTTCAGAATTTTTAGAATTTTGGGGACACCTAATGAGGAGATTTGGCCTGATGTTAAATACTTGCCAGACTTTAAACCAACTTTTCCACAATGGTCTAAGCAAGACATGAATAAAGTGGTTCCTGATTTGGAAGGTGAAGGGATTGATTTATTGGAGAGCTTATTGATATATGATCCTGCCAGCAGAATCAGTGCCAAGAGAGCCCTTTTACACCCATATTTCATGGAAAAGTCTGATGATGAAGCTGTTGATGATGCTGGTGTTGAAGATTCTGGTGTTGATGATGATACAAGCATTCAAATGAATAAGTCAATCCCTTTGGGCGCAAGTGCTTATCAGTGAGCATTTCATGATATCTATCGTGCACTTAGAAAATCATTATTTCCTTGATAACTTTCAGCATTGTTTTTTTTTTTATATTCTTTTTTTTATTAGTTATCAATGTTATAAATCTATCTGCCTTCACTTAATTACTCTAATGCTCATTCTGTTTTGTTAAACTCATTTTAGATGATATATTTTAATGCTTAATACCCATCTTGATTCAGCTGGTTTTTGTTCCAGTAATTTTTTGAATTTTTTACTTCTGTTTTTCATTCATTGTTGATATATTTGAAAATTATTTTCGATTGTCATTATGATGAAAAAAATCATGAGTGACAATACTTGCCCTACAATTTGAATATGGTATTTCAATTCAAAAAAAAAAAAAAAAAACGTTTGGTTTGCTTGTTAAGGAAAAGCGAAGCAGCTAGGCAAGAACTACGAGTTGAAAACATCTAACAAACCCAACAACGTAATAAATATATGGATTCATGATTACGTATATTACAAGCAGAATTGATAATAATATTTTTGGGGACTATGTAAGAATTGTCGATGAAGTTATAATAATCAGAAGCACACTGCGTGAATCAATAACGTCTAAATTCTTCTCACAGAGCTGCTACCAATTGAGTGACGAGGTTATTTTTCAGAGAGATATAAAGGGGAAGGGATCTAGTGTTGTTTTGTTTTTTACCTGAACAGTTGATTTATTGTTAAAAAAAAAAATCAAAAAAAAAAACTAAGAATAACAGAAGCACAAAATAAACGTATTTGAATGAGTGGATAGGGTGATATATCAGCAGAGGAAATTTTAGAAATAGGAGAGCGAAACTGAGATAGGAGCAATTCTATAGTTAAGAAAAAAGCTATTACACAGCATATTACAATAAAAATAAATAGAGAAAAAAAAATAAAAAGAACTAATGAAAGAAGCAGCAAAAGAGAAACAAACAGCTATTATGTGACATTGATAAATGATAGTCTCGTTAGATATACATTATCAAGATCTTTATGGTTGAAGGTAAAGGAAATTGTCAGTCCCTTTATTTGTATCCTTTCTTGATATTCAAGTCCTTGATTTGTTCTTCCAACTGTTTTATTTGGTGTTGAACTGACTCTAAGTCCAAGTTCATTCTCTGTCTTTCATTGATGATGTTTTGTTCCCATTTTCTGAATCTTCCTTCTTCGGCCTTGACTTGATCAGTAAAGACCTTCTTTAACTGATCTTCTTCTTCCTTGAATTGTGGGTTATTGTTGAAACGCTTAGTTAATTTTGATCTAGAATCGTCCTTGTTGCCATTAGAAGCGTCCAATTTCAAAGCTCTGTAGGTTTCATAATGCAACTCTTCAGTAGATAAAATCAAGTCCAACATATTGGTTCTCAATAACAAAGATCTTAATTTCAAAAAGTCACTATGCTGTTCATTTTCAACTTCAGCAATACCCCATGGGTATTCTCTACCTAAAACCATTTCGCCTTCAGGGTTTTGAACTTTAGTTTCAGAACCAATAATAGCAAAAGGAATAGATTCGATAAGAATCTTAGAGTGCTCAGCACTAGCTTCATCATCAATTTCGATTGGTGGTGAGTAGATCTTGATTTCTTGAGCTTCGATAACAGCTCTAATTCTTTGTTTAAATTCATTGATTTCTCTTGGGGACAAAGTGTCAGCTTTGGAAATAATTGGCACCAAGTTAACTCTGGTGCTCAATTTCTTCATCACTTCGATATCTAAAGGTTTCAAAGAGTGGCCAGTTGGTCTGATAAAATATAGACAGGCATGGACTCTAAGGTCTTTAATTTCGGATCTGGTTGGTTGTTGTTCCTGCTTCATGTAACTATCGTGTTGATCATCAATGAAGTCGATAAGTGGTTGGAAAGCTCTTCTATTGTTAACATTATCCCCGAAACCTGGAGTATCAATAATATTTAATCTGATTTTGAAATCTTTTTCTTCTAATTCAGCTCTGACAATGTCGATTTCAACGGTGGAGCGAATACCTTTTTGATGTCTAGCTTTGTGGTCGACGTGACTTTTAAGACTAGTTTGGAAAAGGGTGTTGATAAATGTAGTTTTACCCAAACCAGATTCACCAGCAACCATCAAAGTGAAAGTTGAACCGGTTTTAGATACAATCTTATATCTGTTAATATTGTTAGTATTGTCTTTTTCAGTAGATCTATAGTGAGGGTAAAGCCTAAAAAACAATTGGCAATGAAAACAATTCATGTCAATAACGCCAGAAAAAGTACATACCTTTGATTTGGCAAATTGGAAATCCCAACAAAGTCAGACATCTTTAATATTTGTATATATAATTATCTGGATCTAATGAACTTGAAAGATTTTGCAATATTATTCTTGTTTTTCAACGTGTTATTTCAGTTTTTTTTTTGTTTTTGGCATGGTCACGTGTAAATATATAACAATAAATTCGATATAGGCGACTTTACAGCAGGGATTTTTCAAAAAAACAATTACGTGGAATAATAGACATCAAGGCAAGAAAATAAGCAAAAAATGAATCAAAAAAAAAAAAGCAAATTGTTAAATCAAGTAAATATGAAGATCAAGAGGAATAATGTAAGCCAAACAGACCTACAACTTTTCGTAGACAAAAAAAAACAGCTTTTTCTAATCATATTTTTCCACCAAATAAACCCCTGTCTCATTCTTATTGTCACCATCAACCTCGTACGTCAACTTCCATTTCATCTTTATTGGACCGGATAGTGGCTGCCCAGGAGCAGAGCTAACTTTAGCAATCTGAGTAATGCCATTTGTGCTCATGCCCATGAGAAAGTTATTAGATTGGGGATTCAACTCAAGCTTGAAACTCTTTGGAAGTGCCAACAAAAATGTTATGTTGGAAATATTCTTTAAGGACAAGTTAGACAACGAGAATTGAAGTGACACTTCACTTGTGGAGGTTCTTGGTAGCACGTTATAGCTGATTTTCATGAAAGTAGATTCATGAACGGTTGCGTTCCCCTGTAATGTACTGGTGCTTGTTTGATAAAGCAATGACTGATTAGTTTGCAAAAGATTGTTAGTTTGACCGGCATGCATTTGTTGAGATAAAGAACCTTGGTTAAGAGGACTTGAAGAAATTTGGTCCAAGTTTTGCAATTGCGTTAAAGATTCGAACGCGCTAGCAGTTGAAGACACTGGTGGTGGGGTTGGAGTGGAAGTATTCGAGGAATTCAATCCCAAAGCAATTGCACCGGTACCGAAATTCAAACTAGAAGTGCCATTTCCAGCAGGAGAAATAGTTCTTGACGCGCTTGACAAGTCAAGATCACCCAACAAATCAATCAATGAATCCTTATTTTTAGGAAAAGCTTCAGGAGCAGGGCTAGCTGAATTAGATTGAGACGCATCGCCATCATCAAAATCGATTAAATTCATTTGGCCACTGGCACCCACATTAATTTTAGCAGCACCGTTTAAATCTTTCTTTTTGATCAAAGAATATTTTTGAACCAACAAATTAATTGTATCATTGACCTTGAGCAAATTATTTACAGTTTCCTGATCATCGTGTTCCTCTTCGATTATTTTCATTAAAGTTGGTTGGGAAACTTTCAAAGAAGTGTATAATTCTTCCAATGTTTCATTGTTTCCGGCGTTATTAGCATCATTTTCATTGTAGTTGTTCACCATGTCAGAGAATACTTCGATTTTGCCTTTAATTTTACTGATGTCTTCAGCGATCTTTTGTCTAGTCATTTCGTTAGTTTTTTTGTCTTCTTGAAACCCACTCATAATTTTCATTAATTTATTGGCCTCTGCTAAATCTTCTGGTCTGCCTCTTCTAATCAATTCTTGCAATTTTGCCGATTGAGCGACTCTCTCTTCTTTTTGAATTTCTTCTATTGACTTCAAATTTTCAGATGGGTTCAAAACTGCAAGATCTGATTTATTGATTTCTGGAAAAATATAGCCTTTCAAAGCTAATAATCTATGCATATCTCTAATGAACCCCAAATCTTTCTTATATCTAGAGCTTTTGCAAATGGTTTCATGCCATTCTTCAATTTGTCCCAAAATCAATTTTTGCACCTTGTTATACTTGTAAGGAGGTTTATCAGGGAATCTTTTCACCATTTCGTTGAGGAATTCTTTTCTTGAGATTTGTAAATGGAATGGGTATCCACAATTTTTGACAAGACAATCTAACAATGTCAAGGCATTAATGCCCACGAATGGGTCTCTATCATTGATAAATTTGACCACAGTCAATGCTGCCTCTCTTGGAGCAGCCCCTTGCTTTTCATTGACCAAGTCAGCGATTTCAAAATTAAGAGCCAAATCAGGTTCCGCGGCCCTACAGGATTTGTCTATAATGAAATGTTAATATGGTTGATCTTCAATTTAGAGCCTTGAGTTCCTATTTGTACATACAAATACGTCTGACCAATCTCGATGGTCCACCTTCCAGTGCAGACATGTTTATTTTTTACTGCTGATGTTTGAGTTAATTATCAGGATGGAAGTGTAAAGAGGGAGATCTCTTTGCCATTTCACCCTTTGTCGTATCTTGTCACTTTACTCTTCTCTTAGTTTACCCGCCTTTACACTGCAATGTCACATACACACACACACCTTAGTTACGAATTAGCTTATCACTATTTTAATATCAGGAGAAATTCGCATTAATCAAGATTATTGATTTTTTTAGTGAATAGAGTTTTGTTAGACTGTCTGATTTATAAAATTCCATCATTTTTTGCTATTCTGGGTTCAGTAATTATTATTATTGGCTGCACTTCAAAGCTTCCGTGCACCCCATTAGTTACACTCCATTAGTTGCAATAAATCGAATCTTTAGCCATCTGTGTATATGGAACCAGGATGAATTTCTGGGGTTCATATCCATTAACAGCATCACTTAATACACATGGAGGTAACTTAAAATATATATTATGTGTATTGCATACAACGGAAGTAAGAGAAACATGGAAACTCGGCTTATTTTAAACAAGTCTATAGCTCAGAATACAGAAGATAACTGAAGATGTGCCGATACTATTAAAGAGTTTTTGATTTACACTTACTTCAATCAACTTTTCTCCGGTTATTTACAATTCCGAGGCATCCTCAAGCCCCAATAACGGCGAATTAAAAGGTAGCGGTCAACAGTATGTGTGGGGTGTTGCACCCTCTTGCTATTATTTCCCTCTTCATGAAATGTTTCTGTCAGTAAATCGAATTGAAGATGCTTGTCAAAATGACTGAGAAACAACAATGACTGAGGATAAAGACTCCAATTCCATATCTCAGGCAACCATCACATCATATGGAACTCTCAAAACGCTGTCAAATAACACCATAATTAATAACGGTGATTATGAATCAGATCAAAGTCACGAAGAAAACGATAATTATTGTTCCAGTGAATCATCTAGAATAGGTAAACAAAACATTCTGGAAGAAGAGCAAAGCTCGGAAGGAAAGCATAATAATGACCACGATATCTTAGAGGCCTCAAATTCTGACAGTGGTAATCGCAGCGAATCAAATGACGGAAATGATAATGGTGGCAATAACGTTCCAAGCACCAATGCTGACATTAACCAAGATCCCTTAAATATCAAAGAATTATCCCTCAATTTTGATTATCTTGTGTATAAAGTGAATGACAGAATCAAGACGCTTTCTGAGAAAGCCCAGCTATCGACTACTAGGTTCAAGGAGAACACAGAGATCACAATTCTTGAAATTGATAAAGTCATCCAAAATTATTATGAAATTATCAAGAAATTGGATGAAATCAACAATGATTTCAGTAAAATTGAACAGTTGTCTATGATCATAGAAGAGTTTGCTCCAAGAATCAAAGAGCTTGAGATGTTCTTTAGTGAAGAGTAGTGTGTATGTGTAACTATTATTATATATGGAAGTATTCATTCAAGGACAGACAGCCCTATCTCAGCTGGCCTGGTGGTTGTTACTTTGTCATTTCTTCCTTTTAGCTTTATTTACTTGATACTTCTTCTTAAAAAACTTTTTTTCTTTTTTTTTTTGGGGGGATATTTTACAATCTCTTCGCTTTTTAACGTTCAGTGATATTTCTACGCGTGTGTCATCATGGTACGTACCACTGATATCAGTATCTATTTGAAGAAAACAAAGATTAACAGGAAAGAGCAAAAAAAAAATACAATAAAAAAAAAGAAAAAAGATTGACTGAGTGAGTGAGCGAGTGCAAAAGAAAGAGAATTCAAAAGACCTCATCAACTTATTTATAATATACATATAATATAATACAAAGTGGAAAGAACAAATTCACAAATCGAAAAAGAGAGAAAAAATCGCTCAATTAGCATTCCATCTTGACCGCCTTCAACAACTTTCCTTTCTTTATACTTTTCTCCACTCTTTTTTGCAAACGAACAGTGGCTAACACAAACTTTGCTAATCCTTTGAAAGTCAATTTTCCCGTCAAGGAATTAGGCTTTGTATTATGCATGCTCTGCTTATACAAGAAGTTATTCAAAGATTTATAATTCTTGAGTTCTGGCTCATTCAGATGTAAAGCAGCAATAGACACTATTGACTCCATTTCCAAACCAATTTTCCCAGTTTTCACCAACTTATTGACATCCAGAAGAATCATTTTATTAGATTTTCTTATCGCCTCATTGAGATATTGGTTAACAAATTTCAAATCCTGGGTCAAGTAGAGCTCTTGATGAAACTTCTCTCTATAATAATGAGCAGCGTTTTCTAATTTTCTCAATTTTTTCAAATCACTCCCAGAAATACCTACTTTTAACTGTTGTAACTCCTTCGACAAATCGTCGATCCGACCATTCATAGATATGTTGGTACCAGAAAGCTCTCTGACTTTAGAACTCATTTTTGTTTTCATTAAATTATAATCAGCTTCTAAAGCCTCTAATTCTCTCTCCTTAGATAGTAGTTTTCCCTTCAATCCAGTCTCAGAAGATTTTGATGATTCATCTTCTAATTCTAAAGAAATATCAGATAATTGATTTTTCAGCTTAGTAGCAGACTTGTACCTTGAGTAAACTTTCTGGTAATTTTTTGTAAGTTTCTCATATTTACTGTTGAGTTCCTTCACCTTTCTGGCTAATTCTTGACGAAGTTCTTCATTCTCCGTCTCGAATGTTTCGATTTTGGACTTTAATGATTCAATTTCTCTTTTCTTTTCCTCTAAATTCTTCTGGGCTCCGCTCGGCTGAATTGAGTCAGTCAAAGATTTCTTCAAGGACTCGATCTCCTTATTCAACATTTCGGATTTAATTTCATAATCACTTCTCAATTTCTCAATTTCAAAATTAAGCATCATGTTCTTCTTTTCATTTTCCATATTTTTCTTCAACAATTGCATGTGTTCTTCTCTTTCAACTCCAAGACTATCAACCTTGAAAGAATCCTTTTTTAGAGTGCTGCTTAAGCCTTCTATTTCAAGGTCTTTACTTTTCACTTCTTCGACTAATTTGGAGATATTTTGTTTATAATCATTAATTTGAGACTCAAAAGAAATTTTTCTGTTTTCCATTAAAATTTCTAGGTCGTTTTTCTGTTTCGCCAATTTTTTGATCTCATCCTTTTCATAAGAACCGACATTAGTTTGTGATTTAGCGAGTCTTTCGTTTGATAAGTCTTCATTTAAGTGTTTAACTTTCAATTGCAAAGCATTTATTTCATCCTTAAATTCTTCCTTTTCCTTAGTTAGTTTTCTAATGGTAGAGGTGGCACTAAGACCATTAACTTGTTCATCCTCATCGGTATCAACATCGGTAGCACCATTCCAGAAGCTACTGAAGAAACCACCATTCTTATTCTTCGTTTTGCTATTGAAAGTGACGGAGCGCGGGTTGCTGTATCCTTTAACACTTAATTGTTTTTTGAGTGAATCATTTTCCTGTTTTAATGAAATTATCATATGATCCATTTCTCTTAGTCTATCCTGGGATGAATCAATCTGCAGTATGGCTTGATCAAGTTTATTTTCCAATTCCAAGATGTGATCTTCATATATCTTTAGATCATCATAGGCTTGGTCTCTTTCAATCTCTACTTGTTCCACATTATGTAAGAAAGTTGAATTATCCATCAAAGTATTTTGATTTTCTTGTAAGTTGGACTGTAATTCACTTATTTCCAATTTGTAATGAGAAATCTCATTTCTTAAATTATTTTCCATAGATCTCAATCTGAGAATTTCATTTTCCAACTCATAATGCGAATCTCCAGAATTAATTTGGTTTTCTAAGGAATGATTGTATGACTTCATTTTAGTCAACTCACTTTCATTCAATGTGTTTTGAGATTGCAACTCCCTGATAGTTTCATTCAATTGCAAAATTTTTTCTGATTTTGTGTTCAACTCATTCAACAATTTGTCAACTTTCTTGCTGACTGTTGTTCCATTACCTTCCATACTCTTAAGTTTTACCTTCAAGTTTGACTTATCTGACTCCAATTTCAATACTTTATTATCCAAGCTATGTATCTTGGAATCTCCATCACTGACTTTGAGCTTCAATTGATGATTTTCATAATTAATATTTTGAATTTCTTTATTCAATGCTTTAAGTTCTTCGTTTTTATCAATCAAGGTTTCTTCTAAGCGGTCATTTTCCTGAAGATCAGCATCCTTCATTTCTTCCAATCTTTGGCATTTGTTTTGAAGCTGAGTTATTTCCAAATCTTTTTCTTCAATCTCATGCGTCTTTGCTCGAAGTTCATATTGAAAATCCTCTAAATTATTTCGTAACTCAGTGATATTATCCGCATCGTCGTCTTTCTCATTAGCGACAAATGATGGAACTTCTTCCAATTTCTGATTCAAAAATTCACACTCCTTCTCTAAAGTCTCTACTTTAGAAATCAACTCTTGTTTTTCATTCTTCATGGTATTCATTTGAATTAGCAAAGAGTTGTTGCTGGTAGCAGAAGTATTAGGTTCACTTTCCGCATTCCTGAGGTTTTCAAGTTGCATAGTAAGTTGGGTTATCTGTGACTTTAGATCACTGTTTTCATTTATCATATTCTTAATATTTTCTGGGGTATTCATGTCAACATTAAGATACTTTGTTAAGCTAGATATCTTAATTTTTAATCCATAGTTCTCCGATTTAAGGCCATCAATAAGCTCTTGTTGCTGTTTTAGTGGATTGGAGCTGTTCCTTAGGAGCTCATCATAATGGGAATTTCTAGTTCTCCCAGAACTGGGCGAAATATTTTCCTTATTGACCACATGCTGGTCTCTCACAGAGTTATTCACTGATGATACCAAAGGAGTCGAGGCAGAAAAACTATCAAAACTATCATCAACGTTAATGTCTTCTCCCCTGTTTTGTCGTAATTTGGAAACGGTATTGAGAAGCAGAGCACTTTGCTTCTTTCTGTTGGTATCATTCAACACAGAAAATTCAAGGTCCGAATCTTCATGTCCTATTGGAGTAAACTGATACGCATTATTATTTCTGTTATTATTTCTGGTTCTATCGAGAGGTGTTCCAATTAGATGTTTATAGCTAGCCATGGTCTAAAATGCTGTGATTTCTATTCAATTTCTCACCATTAATTTATAAACTTATTAGAATTGTGGAACTGGAGCTAAAATTAAGCAAATCTAGGAACAAATTGGGTATAGTATGGCCTTCTGAATAACTGAATCTTTGATGTTTGTAAACATTGATTGTTTACATTTTCCATTATTTTTTTTTTCTTTTATTTATATTTGTTTTGGACGCGTCGCCATGTATAAACACGTGATTAAGGTAGAAGAGTGAAATTTCCTTAAAGAAAAACAAACAGTGTCTATCCTAGATAACTTGATTCTCAACTGGTTATTATTATTAATATTATCATTATTAGCATTATTTTGCTATGAGTGAGAAAAACATTACACTGGATCAGAATATGGACTACATTCTTGATCCCCTCGATACTCAAAAGACAACATATGTGCGTTACCCCAAACTGAGCGATGGATCCAACAGCCCCGCTCCTTTCAACAAAGTGCCATTCCAACCACTTCTAGATGGATTGGAAGATACCAAGGCAATAAAGAGACGTTACAAACTATTTATGAACTACTGGAACCAATGTGAGGAAAGGATCCAACAAATCTTGAATCAATACCACCAACCTTTACTTGATAAGGTAGTGGAAAATCTCAAAACGCCAATTGATAAAAGTAGTTGTTCTGATTCAGGCTACCTTGGTAGTTTAATCCTTGGGTTGAAACCAAAGATTCCAACTCTATTGATGCTTTCCGGGACCAATATTGCTAATCACCAGGAAATTATTGACAGTTTGACTGCTACGGTTGAGTCGAACCATCCTGAGCTCAAACTTGTATCTTTAGACTCCAAGACTTGTGGGAACGTCAAAACTGCTTTGAAACTGATTATTTTCAGTATATATGGTTATGGTGATCCTGATTTGAAAACAAAGTCTCTTGATTTCGATGTGATTCGTCAATTTTGTACCAATTATTATCAACAGGAATCATTGCCTGGCCAAGCTGTGAAGAATGTTAAAACCACAAACTTAAAAATCGTGGTCCTTATAAAAAATCTAAACACTTTTAGCCAAGCGATCCTTCAAAAACTTCTTTTTTTGGTGCAAAAGAATGCTGACGTTGTGCCTTTCAAATTAATACTCAATGTTCCTTCTTTCTCAATAACATATCTTGAATCACACATGTTAAGCTCGCTAAGGCAGCTTATGGTTAGCAAAGTCATCAGAGTGTCTAATGATTCAAATTCAGTGATAGATAAGATCTTTGAAGCAGTTGTGTTGGAACCAAAGCAAAAGGCCATCAATTTAATGATTGGCCCTAAATTAATAAAGACAATATTGGCTCGTAACAAACAAGCGGCATCGAGTACCCAATGTTTTATAAACTGTATAAAGTATGTGGTCATGCTGCATTATTTTTCCCTGCCATTATGTGCATTTTTATCCGGCACTCCAGAAGAACCTATTGATTTGTTTGATGTCCACTCTCGTGGGAAAAACAAGGGGTTTGCGGAAATATATTTAGATTACTTGAGGCATCTACCATCATTCCAGAATTTCGTTGGGTTGGTTCAATTGAACAGTAAACTTTTCAATTCTTCTAGCTTGCAAGAGTTGTTCAATCATTTAATTGGATATAAGGATGACTTATCGCCAATGGAATGTTTGAATTTTCTTGTTGGCAAATTAATTCCGTTTTCTTTACAAGTTTATCAAAATAACAGCGAAAAACTCTTCCAATTCCTAGAATTCTTGACTATTTTACAGGATTCGGTTATTATAAATAACGAGTTTTTACTGGATAGAGATATTTTGTCATCCAACACCACCACTCAATCGTTAAAATTCGAAAAAATTTCCAAAATTGAACTATATTGCTTTATATTAAATTCTGTCAAAGATCAAGACTATATAAAGTTCATCAAACTATTGTTGAACGTTCTCATGACGTTGATCCCATTTTTTTTGGTTAAATTGATCCGGTCTCTCAAAGACTTTTGCAAGCTGAAACCGATGTTTTCGGAATTCAGGGATCAATTAGCTACTCTTTCAAACCAAGTTAAACAGTACGATGAAGGTGGGAGCCATTTCGTTAACATTTTTGCCGCTGCTGAAAGCAGTCGAAGCGATGGATTAAAGGATATTTCACTCACTGGGAAGATCCAGTTTGAAAAATTGCTTGAGAATTTCAATCATATGATTTCCCAGCACTTTTTTGGAGATATTTTGAAAGATTCAATTTTTGGGTCCCTTACCAAATGTGTGCCGAAGGATAGTGTGAAAGAAGGCGATAGTGAGAGTACCAAGTTGGCGAGTCTTATGGATGTATCTGGTAAATTCCATGAAATTAGATATAGTCTATTTAAGGAATTTTTTCTTGTGGAGAACCATGCTGTCAATGTTGTACTATCCCCAGCTTACAGAAAAGCAGTTGAAGGAGCAATGTCTACAACCAGAGGATACTTCCCAATGAGGCCAGCAGATTATCAGGAGCCAGAAAGAAAGAAGAGAAAAACTGATGGGAATACTGCTGAAGACTTTTCAGAAATTTTGGATGCTCTACAGAATCTCAACAAGCCAATGATGGTAGAAATGTTCAAGTTGTACCGAGAAGCCCCACTTCATATCAACATTTTTGATTATTACGAGTCATTTAAATCTGTGTTTAACCGGAAACAATATTTCAAATATCTTTTAAAAGCAGTTAATTCTAAGGAAGCCACAACAATTCTTGGGGATGAAGAGCAAAGGTCAGAGCTCTTGAATTTTTTGCTGTCTTTTAAGAGCAAGAAGCTGGCAGAAGAGGCGAACGTCAAGTGGGATGCGGTTGTTTTAGCTTTATTCTTACAAAACCTTGCTGATTTGCGATACATTGGGATTTTCAAGGAGTCCCGACGCCAGGTAGAGGCGATTGAAAAAGGCATATGGAGATCTCTATAGTGTGAATATAAACAATAGTATTTGTGTCAGTTGGTGCGTGTAGTGAAACTCTTTTTTTTTTTTGACGTGGGAAAAAAAAAAAAGCCGCCGGAAGAACAGAAAAAAAAAAGGGCCCATTTGCTAGGGTGTGGTACCCGGTTCCGAAGTTTCCTGGTTGCCTTCACAAAACTACCTTGAATCTCTTCATCTTCTCGTTCACTGCTCTTCTTTAGTATTACGGGAAAGTATTTCTTGTTCTTGTGACCAAAAAATTTTTTTTTATCGGCGGCCCTCTCTTCATTATTATTATATCTATTTATCCTTATTCATACTCATCTATCTATCGTACGACCTACCCTTCGGAGATTATCCACGGAAATGGAGACCTCGTATGTCAAACTTCTTAATCAAACCCATGCCTATTTTTCAGATTCCGGCCAGTACCCAGTGAGCAAGCGCGATGTGACAAACGCAGTGGTTATAGGCTCGATATTCGCCATCCTCATCATGATCTTCTTGATTCTCTGCTTGGTCACTTTCTGCTGGTGCCGCTATTATCATTTTTTGCTTGTCAATAATCGGATCGTCATCCGCGCTAAAGGTTTCAGGGTCCTTGATGATGAAGAGAAAAACATCGAGCCCTTCAGTGGTTCTCTCGCGGAATATCCTTCTGAAAAGATTGTTATTAAACCCACTGATCCTGTTGATCGGTTTAATATCAATGATATTGGGCCCCAACCCGAGGATGACGGCGACACTACTTACGACTCATTCTCTAGAACCTTATTATTTGAAAAACTTGCCGCTGAAAGAGGCAACCAAGGAGCAGAACTTCCTGATATTTACAGTAATGGTAAAATCAAGATCGGAATGATTGTGGTCGTTGTGAAATATATCGAGGATAAAAAAAGCGCTCTACAAACTTCGGCCATTGAAATAATGTTGGACTTGAAAAGATTAATCAGCAAAGATTATATCAGAATCAAACCTAGCGGTTATACTTATTTGCAAGAAGGTGATATGCTCAGAGTGTATGACATAGACCCAGATACTAAAATCGTGAAAGGTGTTTTGATGAATAACTATTTGGAGTTTAATACTGATGGAATACATATACGACCACGTCCTGTTCATTTTGAAACAGAGGACGATTTATTAAGGACCGCTGGTATCGATGCAATAACCTCAGAAAGCACTATAATTGCAGCACTTTATGACTAAAGATATCCTCAACTTTTTTATTATTATTTTTATTATTATTTTTATTATTATTTTTATTATTATTTTTATTATTATTTTTATTATTATTATTATTGTCTGATGACCCTTTGATTTTCCATAAATTTTCCCTACCCTTTTATTCCTCCTATCTTCAGTTTTATATTTCTAGATGATGGACGTATTCTTCTATTCCTTTTTTTTTTCTTTTCCCCATTCCTGTTATTTCTTGCACATTTTAATGATATTTATGACCTATGATTAATTACCAACCGCATTTTCATTTTTTACATTCTTGTCTACTCTACGTACGTAATTATTTTTGGTTAATATTGCGCATATTATATAATTCTACAAATACAATGCTGTTTGACGTGAGATGAATATAAATATATGTATAAAAGAGCGATTTTATGTCGATTGACCATAATGAGTGTCTCTGAACCCCAGCTCCACAATGTCAATCATCTGATACTTGGTGATCACCCCTTGAAATTCTCCGTGGAAGTTGGTTAAGAGAATGTAGTTGAAATTCACTTTATAAAAAAGATCCGTCAATGTTGTTAGTGGTAACGTTGCTTTAAATACCGGGATAACATCGCAAGTTTCAAGTACATGGTTTAACGATAACGCATCTTCACTATTATTATTTTCATATACCAAACCTTGATCTTCATCATCATCGGAGATCTCAAACTCTGAGAACCGGCCATAATTCAATTGGAATTTTTTGCCTCCTGGTTTGAACGTTACTTTTTGCCCATAATTATATTGTGGAAGCAGGGAAATATTGTCCAATTCCACTTGTAATTCGTTTTTGGATATCCAGCCAATAAGCGTTGGTTTGCTACGAGACGCCAATACCGGGAACCCGCTAATATTATGAAGGTTATTGGCACGGTTTTTGGCATTGATTTCTTCGACTTCTTCAAGAATATCGACTAACGATTGAACGGTGATGCCCGAGGTATCATGCAAATAAAAAATGAATTGGGGAACCGTGGCCACTTGTGAGGCGCTGATGTTTGGCATTGGTTTCAAATCTTTGAAGTTTTGATCGAGGAAGTGGAAACTTGAGAACCGGAGCCATTTCTCATAGAAATTCTTTACCACAATACTATCGTTGATGACTTTGGCAATCAACACCGATATCATGATCGGTAGCACATAAGTTAACGCCCCCGTAAGTTCAAACATAATCACCACCACCGACACGGTGTTCTTGGTGATCCCCGCAAGAAACGACGCTGCGCCAATGACAGCGTAGGCCCCGGTGGAAATACAACTACTGGTGGCAATAGCATCAGGAGCAACGTACGCTGGGCAATTAGCAAAAATCTTCCAGTGTGGATGGGTGGTTTGAAGGTAATCGACAATTAAACCAAGGGAACGGCCAAAACACCCGCCGATGGCGAGCGATGGCATAAGCACTCCGGTGGGGAGAAGGGTTCCATAAGTATACGTTGCCAATACAAATCCTTCAATCCCGGTGAAAATCAATAAAGTGAAAGCTTTCAATTGAAAATCCCCTGGTATTTTCGAGCAAAGCCCACCAATGACATTGGTGGAGTCATTGGCCTCACAATCTCTGAATAATCTGGTGATGAGTAATGATAATGGTAATTTGCCAAAAATTAAAGGATACGTGAGAATCGTGGTGACCACTGCGATCATCAAGATTTCCAACAAACTTTTCTTGACCCCTTGGAAATGGGTCGATCGATATTCAGCAAACTTGAAGTTTAATTTACTGAATAATGCTCCGTACACCCCACCTAATACTCCGAGGATCATAAATGGGAAGATTTCTACACTCAACCAATCTTTGTTGTTAGATACCGTAAACACCACATTGCGGCCATCGGTGAACGGATGGAGACTTTGAAGCACCACCACGGCAATCGTAGCACAAATAAACGATTTCCACATGATATTATTAATTCTCAAGTTGGAATATCCTTGCTCGATAACGAAGAGCACTCCCCCAATTGGAGCGTTAAATGCTACGGCGATCCCCGCCGCGACCCCTGCTGCCAATAATTCCCTTTTCAACGCTTCATTGGAGTGTCGACTGATAATCCAGCTTACTAGTGACATTATACAACAAGAAACGTGGACCAACGGACCTTCTTTGCCAACCCAAAGTCCCGCGCCCACCACAAGAATCAAACTAGCAGTCTTAGCGAAAAGGGTGCCAAATGATAAAAATTCGTCAAAGATTAATCCACAAATGATCATTTTTATTTCTCCGATCCCTGATTTCGCAGCATTGGGATGTCTTCTAGTGATCACGAACGCCATTATCGATAATACCACCGCGGTCAACACATAAATTAGGAAATGTCCAAAAGAATTCAGCGAGAAATCCCAATCATGCCAGTTCTCACATTTTATTCCCTCAGCCATTGCATTACAGCAAGTTATTTTAGATTGTAAGAAATTGGTCTTACAATAGCCATTACGTAGATCGTTGACCCAAATCAGAGATATGTCAATCACCAGGACAATCACCCCGGTAAGTAGGGCACTGGCAATTATCACCACCCATTTCTCTCCGGTATGTTGCATCCGTCTGAAGGTTCCTGATATTCCCGGTATTATATCCATCAGCTTCAGTAGCTGTCGTTCTTTTTTGTATTCGTGAAGCCAGTCAATTTCCTGGAACCGGGTGTAGGTCTTCAATCGGTTGAAAAACGGCGAGTCATCGTAGTTATTTGCGGTTCTTGCGGTATAAATATTGTCCAATGGAGGATCTGGGGTTATCTTGGGCAATTGGACAGTTATATTGTCTTCCATATTGTGGTTCCAAGAGGAAGGAGAGATATCGATGATAATGATAGTCCTAGAGATATAAAAGTTGGGTTTGATTTTTTTGATACATCGCCAGGGGGTGCAGCACCGTGCGAGAATCGATAACGAGCATTATTTCAGTTGTAAAGTGCTGTGTAATATATGGAAACTAATTATTGTATACAAGGAGGAGATCTTGAGAAAAGATCCTTGTGATTTCAAAAAAGGATGAGCTTGTGGATCAGGATTGCTTTCTTTGATATCTGGTTGTCAACGAGAAACAAAATCAAAAGAAACAGAAACAGAAGTAGAGAATAAGAGAAAATAGACAATTTACAAAAAGATACTCAACGACCCAAAACTCAGATCCAATATTAATTTAGTGAAAATCTAGCATTTATTGTTCGCCGTCTACTATACAGTACTGCTATTTTCCCGGATCATTTTTTATTTTCAAGGGTCCTGTCCTCCCTTCCCCAGACCATCAACAATAGGGGGAGCCCCTAGGAATAATGCCAACAAACATATACTAAACGATCTCCCCCACGATATGTCAGTAATGATCTATTCAAAACAGATATATAATCATACAATATTCTGAAAGTGGCGAATTGGTGGTGGCCAAGGCTTATTGCCATTTTGCGGGTAATGCTTTCGGCGGAGGAGGGATTTTGGGGGAAATTCGTTATACGCTTTTAGTTACCCAATGTCACTATTATTATCCACTGGTTTTCACAAGACAAGGCAAATAAAAAGCCACATAACCCAGTGTCTTCGAGTTCGTTTAAACAACTAACTGAAATGTCTCGAGACTACCACCAACTACCCACTGCTGGGGGCGATCTCCCCCTAAACCCACCTTCGTATGAAGAAACCCACAATAGCAACAACAATAACAGCGACCACCGTGACAGTATCGGAAGCCATGGAAGTGACACCTCTTCATTGAGTGATCTTGAAGCCAACATTAATTTCGAGGAATTCGAAATTGACGACCCCAACAATAATTTGTTCGCCCAAAATAATGCCCTGAGGCTATTGGAAACCGCAGGGTCGGTATCGCGGTCTATCCGATCTGGATTTAGTTCCAAGATCGTCCTGCCCATCACCAGGCTTCTTGATCCCATTGCCGACACCTGGCACACCATTACCATCAAATTCAACGTGATAATTAGCAAGTTTGGCAATCCGTTAATCATCAAACGATTCCTCTATGTGTTTTTTGTCTCCACCCTCATTTACCTAGTGGTTTCCTCGGGTCTTTATCCGACAAGTCGGGCCCTGATCAATGGACAATTCAATGATCCAGAAATCTTGCTTGCGTACATTAAATCTCATATGGATCCCCAAAATATGCAAGAAAACTTGGAATATTTGAGTTCGATTCCCCATATGGCAGGCACTGCTGGCGATTTGGCCCTCGCACGGTACATCAATAACGTTTATACCAAAGTGGGGATCAATCCAAAAGAGTTCAGCGAGGTGGAAAGTTTTGTAAATTATCCAGATGTTGCCAGATTGGAATTGAAAAGGGGTGAAGGATATGACGAATATATTGCCAAGTTAACCGAACCTCAATCGATCATAATAAATGACAACAATACCACCGCCGACGAAACACAATCTTCACCAAATCAAGATTTACCATTTAAAGCATTCAATTTCTTATCAATGGATGGGAAAGTGGAGGCACCGGTAGTGTATGTGAATTACGGGCGTACCATTGACTACGAATCCCTACAAAATATTGGGGCCAATTTTCAAAATTCCATTTGTCTAGGCCGATACGGGAAGATCTCTGCCCCTTCAAAAATCCAAATCGCCACCCAGCATAATTGTAAAGCCATGGTATTTTTCAAAGACCCCCAATACATGGATCTTACCCAAGAAGACAATAGGGTAGTGATTGAAAAACAGATGGTATCATTTCCAGCAATTTCTTCAGGGGATGTCTTAACCCCAGGATGGCCGTCAATTGATAGTAATCCTCGTATCCCATGGGAAAATTCAGAAACTGCTCCACATATCCCATCGATTCCTGTATCTTACAATGATATTCTACCATTTTTCAAGGCGTTAAATTCCAAAGGGGTTAATATCAATACTGAGGATGAGAATTTCAAAGATTGGGGATTTGGTAACGATGAAATGATCAAAGAACTCGGTTATTCTCAGCCATGGACCGGCACCGCGGATAGCGGGGCGGCAGCAGTGGAAGCACTACTCGAAGTGCAAACCAATAAGCGCGAACTGAAGGCCCTTTGGAATATTGTCGGGAAAATAGAAGGATCAGAACAATCGGAAAAGGCGATAATTATTGGAGCCCAACGTGATGCTAGTTGTTTCGGCGCGGTTAACCCTAACACTGGGACTGTTGTGTTGCTTGAGCTAGTGAAATTATTTACCGAGATGCAAAAGAAGCTCAATTGGGAACCCCTTAGATCGATTTATTTCATCAGCATTGATGGTAGTGAATATAACTATGCTGGTTTAACTGAGTGGATAGAAGAACGCTTCAGGGAAATCAGAAAAGAAATTTTCGCCTACATCGATTTGGGGGATGCGGTTAGTGGGGATACTTTGGAAATCATGGCTCATCCAGCATTCGAGGCGTTGATTTCCGATGTTTTAGATAATGCGAATGATCCAAATTTCAAAGATCAAACTGAAGATAATGATGAAAATACTAATACTGATAACAAATTATCTGCGGTTTTCAATAATAATTTCCAAACTGTTAGGATGTATGGGAACTCTTACCCATTCTTATCATTCGTTGGGACTCCGGTAGTCCAAGTGAAGTATACCAATGCCAAAACCGAACCAACCGATGAATATTCCCATCGATACCCTAAAAATAGCTGTTTGGATACATTCCAACGGTTCCAAGATTTGCAAGTCGATCCAGATATGAAATTCCATTCGTCGGTAGTGGACATTATATCAAGAATTATGATCAAGCTTGTGGACGATCCGATCATTCCATACTCTCTTGATGCTTTTGTGACTAGAGTGAACTCGTATCTTGAGGATTTGAGCCAATACTGCTTGGCCGTTGCCGAACAGAAACATTTTGATGCCAATCGGGCTCTCAATACCGGTGGTCTTACCCAATCAATGGAAATCCTTAAAAAAATCGGCGATCAATTAACAGTGTGGGCCCGTACATGGACCGATATAGTGTTCACGGAAAACTTGGGGATTGAGCCTTCTTTACTTTCGGTGCATCGTTGGGACTGGAACAGCAAACTCATATATTTGCAAAGATTCCCAATTGTGGAAACCGGTCTCCCAAATAGAGCCTGGGTTAAAAATATGTTGTTTGCTCCGCAACTCTACGAACCAGAAGTTTATCAGGATAAGGAGACCCAGAAGAAGTTTGAATGGTGGACGTTTCCTAGTGTTAGAGATGCGATCTATCAAAATCATTGGGACGATGCCCAAAAAGAAATCGATCAACTTGCGCAAATGATTAAAGATGCTGCCGATGCGTTCTTTGGTGTATAATCTTGGCTGAAATGGCGAATGTTTTGTGGTTTTAACTAAGCTTGTTGTTGTTGTCGTTGTTTGGTTTGGTTTTTTATTTCAGTTCTTGTCGTATTGGTTTTCTTTTACATCTCAACATGGAAGACAATTAAGGAGACTTTTATTTGTTGAAGTCTTGATAACCATACTTCTTTTTTTTTCCTCTCATTTTTAAATTGTTTTGTATTGTTTTTGCATTCATTTTTTTTTTCTTTTGTTTTTTGCTTTTATTGTAATATAGATTTTTCTTGAGTAACCTATTATTGATTGTAATTTACGAGTTGTAATCTTGGACCTTACAAAGCGAAATCAATGTGAACTCAAGTTATTGAAAGTATTCGATTAATAAACATTACTTTAACAGAAACAGTACGCGGAGGATACTTGGTGGAATATGAATTCAAACACACCCCTGTAATAGAAAAACAAAGAATGATATTTAATAGATACAGAGATACCCAAAGAGCTGGAATAAAGAAGGATCAATCAATGATCTCCAATTTTTCTCTCGACCAAGCTCTTTTCAAAAACAATCCGTACTAATACATGATGAAGCTTCACCAACAGCAAAATGAGGGGGGGAGTAACAAAAAAAAAAATGGACAACCGGAATATATAAATGGGAAATGAGATGGAATGATAAATTATTATGATGAAGAAAAAACTGAGCCAAAAAAAAACTTATCTATTCCTTCTTAGACAAGTAGTGGTGGTCCAACCATCTGTAACCTTGACCTAATTGGGCAGCTTCATTAATTGCATGACAAGCAAATAACAAATAGTTCTTTGGTTGGATTGCTACGGAGTATTTCATAAATACGGCACTGTAAACAATCAATGAACCGGTCATTGGACCACTGATCATTTCAGGATCTTTCTTCAAATCAGCAATGGCAGCAAGAGGGATACCAAAGTTGGAGACCGGACCCCAGAAATGGGTAGTGAAGAGGTACTTGAAGTTTTCCTTGGAGAGGATGCTGGAGACAAGGGAAGACTTTGAGGCGACTTGTTGAACTTTAGAAGAAGACATTATGATGATTATTGTATATGTATATGTTGTATCTGTGAAGAGTCTGAAGAGATGATCCTTTTTTTTTTTTCTTCCCCTTCTTCTTCCCCTTCCTTTTTTTTTTTTCTCCACACACTGCAAAATTTCGTCTGCTGACGGAGAAAAAAATTGCTTTCTTTGGGTGGGGGGGAGGTGGGGTATTCATTTTTACTATTTTTCATTTCTTTCTTGTGTGAGGGGCGGCTAGTAATTTTTTGCCGATGATTTTGCAAAATTTGTACTGCTGATGGGATGGGGTAGATGGAGATATAGTGTAATATAATATAATATAATAGACAGGGAGTATGAAGAGAAGTGGAAGTAGTGATACAAGTCCTACCACTGCTAGGAAATTACACAAGCCATCCGACTCGTGGGATGCCGTACTAGATATCCTCCCAACACATCTCCCAGGCACCTCATCGCTGCTGCCTGTAGTTACCCCAGGAATACTGGTCAAGGAGAATAATAACACTGGTGAAAGCAATGGTACAAAAACGACCCAGGAAACAATGGCTATCACCAAACAACAACCAGTTCCCATTGCAGGAACCAATATTGTGTTGAGCACCGAAGATGACATTGCCAAATGGATCGAAGAACGAAAGAAGAACTATCCCACCTCTAAAAGAATGCAAGAAAAGAAACTAGAGAAAGAACGTACCTCGAAAGTTAAACCGCCACCCAAGGCCAAAGGGATCTCATTGGTGCCGAACACCAACAACAAGGCGGCAATGACCAAGAAGAATGTCCAGATCAATAACAAACCACAAAAGCCAATGACCATGGCCATGGAAGGAAGGATCAAAGAAGTCTTGCCAGGGATCACCGCATTTGTCCCCAACAAATTGACCCACCGTCATCACTACAACACCGCTATGGAAAAACTGCGGTTCCAGATACGGTTGCACAGCCAGCAACGGCGGGAGGTACACGAGCAACTCCTTGAGTTTATCCAGGATTTATGTGATAGTGGAGTGATTGAACATACAGAATTATAAATGAATGATATCATAATTGTAACAATAGTGTTCCTCAGCACCGTAGAATGTGACAGTCGTCCTGATCGCTCGCTACCCCACAATCTCCCCCACGATTGCTGCACTGGATGAACGGGGAGGGGACGGGACGACCAGCCAGCATAACCAACATAGTATATAATCATTGGTCTCGACCACTAGTATCTTCTTTCGCTGACTAGATAACCTCTACAGTAACTCTTATTATCCACACAATGTTCGTCGCGAAAAACCCAGTCCAATTCTCCAAAGTATATGCCAGGCCATTCTCTGCATCCGCTTTTGCTCGCCTAGCTATTCCTGCCACCCAAAAGGCGGTGGTGTTCGATACCAACGGCGGTCCCTTGGTTTATAAGGATATTCCGGTGCCAAAGCCTAAACCAAACGAAATTTTGGTCAACGTAAAATATTCTGGGGTGTGTCATACTGACTTGCACGCTTGGAAAGGTGATTGGCCATTGGCAACCAAGTTACCATTGGTTGGAGGTCACGAAGGGGCTGGTGAAGTGGTGGCAGTTGGGGATGCGGTCACCCATTTCAAAGTTGGTGATTTGGCCGGGATCAAATGGTTGAATGGCTCGTGTCAATCATGTGAATATTGTGAATCTGGGTTTGAATCAAACTGTGCTCATGCAGATTTGTCAGGTTACACTCACGATGGGTCATTCCAACAATATGCCACTGCCGATGCAGTTCAAGCAGCAAAGATCCCAAAGGGTACTGATTTGGCAGGGGTAGCCCCAATTTTGTGTGCTGGGGTCACGGTTTACAAAGCATTGAAATCGGCAGAGCTTCATCAAGGTCAATGGGTCGCCATCAGTGGTGCGTCTGGTGGGTTGGGGACCCTTGCAGTCCAGTACGCTAAAGCCATGGGGTACAGAGTCCTTGGTATCGATGGTGGTTCCGAAGAAAAAAGAACCAAAGTCTTGGAATTGGGGGCCGAAAAGTATGTTGATTTCACCAAGACTGATGATCTTGTTGCTGCTGTTCAAGAAGCTACTAATGGTGGTCCACACGGTGTCATTAATGTTTCTGTTTCTCCAAAGGCTATGAATACCTCGGTTGAATACGTTAGGCCACAAGGTAAGGTTGTGCTTGTTGGTTTGCCTGCTGATGCGGTGGTGCATACCGATGTTTTTACTCATGTTGTCAAATCGATCAAGATTATTGGCTCTTATGTTGGTAATAGAGCCGATACTAGAGAAGCCATTGATTTTTTCAACAGAGGGTTGGTTGCTTCGCCAATTAAGATTGTTGGTTTGAGCGAGTTGGCTGACGTTTACAAGTTGATGGAGCAAGGAAAGATTGTCGGTAGATATGTTTTGGATAATTACAAATGAGATGTGCTTTCCTTTGAGTTATTTACTTATTTCTCTCATTTTTATTATTCTAGTTATATAACTTGATCTGCGTTGTTTATGATGATATGATGGTTTAAAAACCAAAAGAAAAAAAAAATATTATTTTTATGATTGTAACTTCTTGTTTTTTCTTTTTACAACCATAGTTGCTCTGTTTCCTCTCTTTCTATTTTCTTTGAATGAACAAGTGTCGAGTTGTTTTTGTTTATTTTCTGAAATTCTGAGTCATTGGTATTTTGAAACTTTTTGTAGTTATATTATATTGTTGATTGTCATATTGGTTCCTCTCGAAAATATTCTCTTCGAAATGTCCAGGCATCAAAGGATTTCATTCATGTTATCCCAACAGAGTTGCTATGTGTATGACGTTATGTAAAAAACGATCCGTATACACTTTGAGACCATATCTTAAGCCATTTGCGTAGCCCAAGTAGGTTATTCAGAAAAAGAAAAAAGAAAGAAACATCTGTAGATCAATTTAATTTGTACGATATTTCACAGAAATAAATCAGCTGTTCTTTTCAGATTTAATTATTGGTATATATGATAGGACTCGATTTTGAAAAAATAAATGTGTCATTGAAAAAACAATTGGGGAATATTTTTCTTTGGCAATTAGATCTTATGGTATGTTCCGTTCCCTCTCCTCTCTCTCCTATCTCATTGAAAAAGATCATCAGCTTCGCTGAAGATCCGGAACATTTGTTCATCTTTACCAAATTGGAGTTTCAATTCATCAGAAATCCTTTCAACCATGATTCTTTCGAAAGCTTTCACATCGGTTAATTTCACCTTTACTAGAAACCTAAAAGCTTTTTCAACCACCACCGCCTCACCAACTAGAGCTCCAATAATAACATCTTGATAATCTTCGATATATGTAGTGAAATAATCTATAAGTCTGTTTGAAAACTGCAGATTTACCATTCGTATCAAAAATTCCCATGCATTGACTCTCAATCCACAAGTCAAGTTTCTCTCATCCAACATTTTCACCACATGTTTAGTAAAGCAAAAAAAAACTTTCTTTAATTCTGTGTAATTATCAAGGGATATACACCATTCAGTGTATTTCAACAACAATTCAATCAAATCATCTAATACTTATATCTTTGACCAGTTTTTGTCACCCGATCTAAATTTTTCCAAATTTCACCGAGATTGGACAACCATCTTGGTTGTTTCATTGTATTTGGCATAATTCCAATAGAATTTAACAACCAAGTAATGTCTTTTAATTCCAATTCTCCCGTTGATAGATCCGCTTGTAATTTCATAATATCCCAATGAGTCCAACATATTTTAACTAACGTTGCTCCGTATTCCAAGGTAATTTGGTGATGATACCTAGAAGATTTTCTTATTAATAAACAAATGAGATGCAAGCACTCTTTTGAAAAACTTCCATTATCAATCGAGGATGATCCTTCTAATTGTAGAACTGGAATGATCGAAATGAAATTCATCCGTGTTAGTAACTCTGTTGATGTGCAGTACTGACAAAATAGATTCAATAATTTAAGAATTTCAATTCTATAAATTCGATGTATGTGGAATTGTGATACCAAAATGTTCATAATCCGCGAATCGACAATGGTAGCATGATAAATAGGTAATTTTAAGAACCGGTCAAGGATACGGAAAGAAAATACTGGGAACCTATGAATGAATTTGGGCATTTGAAATTCAAGGAGCTGCAACTCAAAAAATATTTGGCAAAGCTGGTCAGCCTGCAGAGATGATGAATTTTCAAAGAGTAAAGAAATAAGTTCCATTGAAGAGTTTTGCAATTTCATCAGAGATGTGATATTTAATGAAGAAATTTTACAAATTATCTCTCTTTGTTGGACAAAATGAGGAATACTTTGATTGAACTTAATGTTATTTGAAAAAATTTTCATCACCAAACACTTGACCTCATCATTGTGGATTTCCAATGCCACTGACAATTTAAATAAATATGCATCATCAACATTAATATTAATCTTCTGTAAGGTTATCATTATATTTAGAACATTTATCAAAGTTCCTACCTTCAAATTGGAAACATTATTAGTTAGATTGTTCAAAATTTCAAGGTCCAATAACTCCTTACGTAAGTTTTGCAAGAACGCTCCATCAGTTGAAATTCTTGATCCTACCAATATTAGTTTCTCTAAAAATTCATGGTTGATTTCAGGAGCCGTGGTCATAGTCTTTAAATCGTAATTATCTGTGGTTTCCTTCCATTCAAATGATGTATAAAACTCCCAGTGCAGTAACGCATCACAAAAAGTTTGGATCGTATCTACAACGAAGATTGTCCATTGGCTCAAGTATCGATCTACTAAGTTTCTTTTCATCAGATAGTTTCCAACCATACTAGATTGTGGGAGCTCATAACTTGTTATTGTTAATAATTCCAAAATTATTGCCTCTGATTGATAATTCATGCATTGCAAATTTTCACAGTCCGCTTTCAACATCCCGAAGCAACACTTCCAGATCTTTTGTTTCAAATCATCGCGTATAGTGTTTTCATATTCAACAAGTAAAAACATAAGATTAATACCCAGAAGCTTCACCGATCTCAGTAATTTTGGATGTTGGCATGTAATGCAAACGTCTTTCCAAAGCCGCTTTTTGAAGGATTCTAAAACTTTTAAGATCGTACGGTGTCTCAAGGAATAAACTTTTACATAAAAATCCAAGCAGCTTATGATCAAGGTGTCGTTGGAGTAGAAAAATTCATTGGATTTTGAAAACCAATAACCTGATTTTTCAATAAAACGGCATATTAGTCTTAAAATTTTCTTAACCTCGGGAACAATTCTATCATCATACACCGAACTGTTTGAGAAAAAAGCGGTGAGGTATTCTATTGATGGTAAAATAAATGGGGTTTGATGGGTAATTCCATGCTTTAGTTCCGGAACCACTAATTTTTGAAAAATATAAAGCGTCATATCTATCATAGCGTTATTTATCATCACCTCATCGCTGACACCACTATATTGCATGAACGTTTCAATTGCTTCGTTCCAACAATTGTTTGTTAAAATCAAGCAATGTAATGCCTTCGCCAATCCATCTTTTATCATTATTCTAAGATGCTCAGATGATGATAACCTGGAATGAATGGATTTCAAAAGCAAAAGAGTTTGTACATGTATATCATGTTCCTGCACATTATTATTATTGGTATTTTCCTTTAAAATATCAACAATGAAAGTTTTTAAAAGATTTGACAGTAAAAGCCATGATATTTCATAGTTCGCATTATTTGGATTCTTTGAAGAGTACAATTGGTTCAACCCATATATTACAGAGTATCTAAGATCATGATAATTGCTAGATTGGGTTATTTCGAGGATCTCGAGTTTTTCGGATGGTGATTCAAAGACAAAGTCATTAAACTGATCCACTGAAGATATTAACTGAAAATATAATCCCATAATGACTATATTTGTTATAGTTATTCCCCACTGGTTTTACGGAAGGAGTGCCATCTCCGATGGGGTGATTTCAATCGCAACTGAGGTTAGGCAGCGCTGCCCAGTAAGCACATACAAAATTCTAGTTAGCTCCCTCGCAAGTATATTCATAGTATTTCCTCTCGCACAATTTCCACAAACAGTTAATATCTTTTGTACCCCGTTTATATTACTAATATTTTCTTCCAACTTTGAGAGTTACTCATCTTGCTTCCCATAAATGAGTAACATTTTGGTGATGTTACGCATTACCGGGTAAATCCTTAAAATGTCAAGGCACAAAAAAAAAACAGAAAAAAATTATTCAACGAAAAGTTAAGGATGGCACTTCATAGTAACATCTTCAAATCGATAGTTCACTAAAACACGCAATGTCTGTTGAAGAAGCTACTAAGAAAGTGGAAGCTTTATCTGTGGAAGAAAAGCCAATCCTTGGGCCAGATGGCCAACCTTTATCCAAGAAAGCCCTCAAGAAATTGGAAAAGGAAAAGGAAAAGGAAAGAAAGAAGGCTGAAAGGGAAGCTCAAATGGCCAAAGAAAAGGCTGAAAGAGAAGCCGCGGAAGCTGCCAATGATGTTTCTAAGGGTCTTTATGGTAAAAAATTGATCCAATCTACTGAACATTTGACCCAACCAAGAATCAAGTTTGCCGCATTGGATGAATCTAGTGTTGATAAGCAAGTGGAATTCAGAGCCAGATTCCACAGTACCAGAACTCAATCTGCCAACTTGATGTTTGTGGTTTTCAGACAACAAACTGAAACTATCCAAGCTATTTTGAAGAAAGGTGACATGGTTTCAAAGAGTTTCTTGAAATTCGTTGGTTCCATCAACTTGGAATCTATTGTTGTCGTTAGAGGTACTGTTAGAAAGCCAAGTGAATTGATTAAGTCTTGTACCGTTCAACAATATGAAATTGAAATCAGTGAATTATACGTCACCTCATCTACCCCATCTCAATTACCAATCTTGATTGAAGATGCCGCCAGAACTGAAGAAGAAGCTGAAAGATTAGGTTTGCCAGTCGTTAACTTGAACACTAGATTAGACAACAGAGTCATTGATTTGAGAACCATCACTAACCAAGCCATCTTTGAAGTCGAAGCTGGTGTCTGTCAATTATTCAGAGAATTCTTGTCCTCTAGGCAATTTAGAGAAATCCACACCCCAAAATTATTGGGTTCTGCCTCAGAAGGTGGTTCTAACGTCTTTGAAGTTACTTACTTCAACAGAAAGGCCTACTTGGCTCAATCACCTCAATTATACAAGCAACAATGTATTGCTGCTGACTTTGAAAGAGTCTTTGAAGTTGGTCCAGTTTTCAGAGCCGAAGACTCTAACACTCACAGACATTTGACCGAATTTACCGGTTTAGATTTAGAAATGGCTTTTGAAAGCCACTACCACGAAGTCGTCGAATTGTTGTCTGACTTGTTCATTTACATGTTTAAACAATTGAATATCAGATACAAGAAGCAAATCGAACTTGTGAGAAAGCAATTCCCTTGTGAAGAGTTCAAGATTCCTGACAAGATGGTCAGATTGGAATTCAAGGAAGGTATTGAGTTGTTGAGAACTGTTGGTGGTAGAACTGAATTGTCTGAGTACGACGATTTGTCTACTCCTGATGAAAAATTGTTGGGTAAGATTGTTTTGGAAAAATACAACACCGATTTCTACATTTTGGACAAATTCCCAAGCGAAATTAGACCATTCTACACTATGGTTGACCCAACCAACCCTAAGGTTTCTAACTCCTACGATTTCTTCATGAGAGGTGAAGAAATCTTGTCTGGTGCCCAGAGAGTCCACGACCCGGAAATGTTGAAGTCTAGAATGAGAGAATTCGAAGTTGATCCAGAAGGACCAGGTTTGAAGGACTATGTCGACGCTTTCACATATGGTTGTCCTCCACACGCTGGTGGTGGTATTGGTATGGAAAGAGTGGTTATGTTCTTCTTGGGCTTGAAGAATATTAGAAGAGCCAGCTTGTTCCCAAGAGATCCAAAGAGAGTTCGTCCATGAGCATTGTAAAGGACCCTTCCCCCCTACAAACTTCCTTTGCTTAATAATCCCCCCTTGTCTCATATCATATATATTATCCCTCGCTACTAGTTTTATTATAAATTGAGTTTTCAGTACAATGTTGTAAGTAAACCCTTGATAAGATAAGATAAGTGAAATCACGGCAAAATCGCGTTACGCAGCCCTTGGAGGTTTTTTTTTTTCAGCCGCTTCACACCCGGACACCCCAGCGAATTTTCACCAATTTTCGCTGAGATTCCGAAAAATTGCCCACTAAACTGCCAGCGATAAAGTATGCCCATAATTAACGTGCCCCACCATCCATCAACCTCAATCTCCTCACCAACCAACCAAAAATATCACACTATGGCTAAGTTTCGCTTATTGGACCTTGTGAAGCCATTCCAACATGGACTTCCGGAAATCGAAAACCCGGTGTCCAAGGCTCACTTGTCGTTCGACGATAGAATGCTTTATTCCATCGGGATCGCGATCTTCTTTGTGTTCTCTCAACTCCCAATTTACAGTGTTACTTCTGTCAACTCCGACCCTTTCTACCAGTTCAGACCATTGTTTGCTGCCGAACGTGGCACCTTGGACGAATTTGGGTTATTACCAATTATTACTGCCGGGTTCTTCTGGCAGTTCTTATCAGGATTTAGACTCATCAATGTTAATTTCAACGTGAAGTCCGATAGAGGATACTTCCAAAGTTTGCAAAAGTTGACTGCCATCTTCTTGGGTGGGGTCTATGCTTTTGCTTTGGTGTTCTTGACTGACTATTACAACCCAACCTCTAAGTTTGCCGGTGCTATTGATTACAACATCAGCAGCACCACCGCCGACGCAGTTGTTAACGTTTCTTCTAACATTGGTGAAAAATTCTTAATCTGGTTCCAATTGTTTGTTTACAACTTTTTGTTGACCATGATTGTGGAAATTCTCGATAAGGATTACGGTTTCACTTCCGGGTCCTTATTTTTGATCGGGGCTAATGTCAGCGTCACCTTCATGACCGGTGTCATCGACTTCACTACTATTAAGACTGGTAAGGGTTACGAATACAGAGGTGTTTTCATTCAATTGTTTATCATCGTCAAAAACGCCTTTGGCAGTTTATTTTCTAGCTCTAGCAAGTCCAACTTCTTTTACGAAATTGTCCATTTGTTCAACAGATCATCTTTGGTTAACTTGAAGCAAGTTTTGTTTGGCGTCATTGCTGCTACTTTGCTTTTCTACTTGCAAGCCTTCCACCAAGCTGTCCCAATCAAATCCAAGCAAATCAAGACTCAAGCTCAATCTTACCCAGTCAAGTTGTTCTTCAACGGTGCTTTGCCAATAATATTTGCCTATTCCGTGTTGTTCAACTTGAAGATCTTTAGTTATGTTTCTTATAAGTTCTTGAACTTCACCACCTTGGGTAGCTCTTTGATCGCTATTGTTATTGCTCAATTTGAATCTTCTTCCAGCTTGGTCCAATCCATAATAAAGTTGATTGTCGGTGAATTTTCCTCAGACTCTTTCAACCCAACATTCTCTAAAGCTTACCAAACCTCTGGTATTGCTTCTTATTTCCAGGCACCAACTTCCTTCACTGGTGCTATCTTGAACCCAATCAACACTGTTGTTTACAGCGCCTCTTTAGCTGGTTTGATCATGTTTTTTGCTCTTTCTTGGACTAAGATGTCTGGTTCTTCAGGTAAGGACGTTGCTGACTTCTTCAGCAAACAAAACATCACCATTTTGGGTAAGAGAGATGCTAACGTTGCCCATTATTTCAATAAGATCATCAACAATGCCTGCATTTCTGGTGGTTTGATTTTGGCTGCCCTTGCTGTCATCTTTGACTTTTTGGGATGCCAAGGTTTGCCAACTGCTCTTGTTGTCTCTATTTTGATCATCTTCAACTTTTTGGAATCTTTCTTCACCGAATTGCAGCAGTCTGGTGGTAGCAGTTTGTACAACACTGCTTTTGGTGGTCAAGACAAACTTTTTGGACAATAAGTTTGACCAAACCAATTAATAAAATTGTAAAAAAAATAATGATTATAGCATTTACAAAGTATCAGTGATATATATAAAATAAAAAAAAAAATAATGGCACAATTTAACCCTCCAACTTTATGTTTCCTTATTCCTCCTTACTCTAAAGACCAGTTTCTCTTTTATTCCCGTTTATCCTTGGCTCTTGTTTTTCATCTCTTTCGATATCTACCTAGTACAGTACAAACAATCTGCCTGCCAGGGAATTTTCCGATTGTTTATTATCATAATTCGTTTATTATTTGTATGATCTAATTGAATATTTTGCTTGTTCCCGTATAATATATATAATGAATAACTTCGAAGTTATAATGATTTCTACCCCCCCAGGGCTGCGTAATTAGATAAGAACCGGGTGAGGGGAGCCTATTATTAAAGCGATTCAATCCATGTAAATCTGGGAACCGTCAACCAAAATAGCTAGCCACCCCCAAACCACTGGTCTACTTCTCTCTCTAAGCTTATGTATCCTTGAGCTTTAGACACTGTCGTTTCCTATCATCGTCTGCTGCTTTGTATTTTTGCTATTGGTAAATCTATGAATTTTTTTTTTTTTTTTTCTTTTTCTTTTTCTTGATAACTAAGCCCATCTGAATATTATACATTATCATTCGCTACCATCATCCATTCATCCTACAATAGAACCAATACTTAGCTCATAGCTCTTTTTTCTTCTTCTTCTTGCTAGCTGATTTCCTTTTCAATAGAAGGGCTTTCTTTTTGTTTTTCCTTTTGTTTTTCTCTTGAATATAACCATGTCACCTCAAAGCCATGGCTCGGCATTTAATTCACTCATTAATGTCACCTCGTCGCTAATTATCTCAGACTTGACCAAAAGATTCCATGTTGCTCCTTCACCTTTAGAAAGGTTATCGGAACATCAATCAAAGGTTCTTCGATATGTTGCGATCTCTTCTTCGGTGGTACTGATAGCTGCTGGGTTAGTGGGGTTTTATATGTTGGGAGCGATCGACGCGAGAAGAAGAGTGTTTAGACATCATTTGATTTTTTTCTTAATCGGTTACGATTTTTTGAAAGCTGTTACTTTATTATTCTATCCTGCCAGAGTGGCGTTGGTGAACCATGCCTACTATAATGGGAATTTTTGTGATATTGTGGGATTTTTCACCGCCATGGCGATTGAAGGGGCCGACATTGCAATTCTCTCATTTGCAATCCATACTGCGTTATTGATCTTTTGCCCAAACCGCAAATACAAAAACGGTGATAAAGTCGAAGGTGGGTTGTTCCCATACCGGTATTACGTCTGGGTGTTCAGCTTTGTGGTGCCAATTATCTTTGCGTCTTTGGCGTTCATTCGAAACGTTGGATACCAACCTTTGGTCAGTTGGTGTTATTTGCCAGAACGACCAAAATGGTATCGTTTGGTATTGAGTTGGATTCCAAGATACGTGATTGTCATCACGATTTTGTGCGTTTATGTGGGAATCTACGTTCATGTCATTCGACAATTCAACCGGATCTTGGTTATCCACGAAGAAATCAACAACAAGGAAAGCCACCGATTGAAATTGGACAAAAACTTCTTCAAGAATTTCAAATACGTCATCACTGAGTATTTCAAAGATCATCGGTTCACCATGGAAAATCATCCACGGATGAATTTGAAAAAACGCAAAAGTTCCAAAAGTAATTCTCAACAAGATGATGCTGATAACTCATTAGAATTCGATTCAATGACAGATGTCGATGACAACTTTGGTGAAAAAAGAAAAGATGATACGGTGACGAGCGAAAGTGGTAACGATCCTACAAAATTGCTGAACTCGTTGCATCAAGCGACCATGAATTCGTTTGAACAGCGGCGTATTCAGATTGAAAAACAAATGAAATCGATCTTTGTTTATCCAATCTCTTATATTCTTCTTTGGCTTGCGCCATTTGCCTTGCAATGTATCCAATATGATTATGAAATACGACACGGTCCGGTATATTGGTTGACTGCCATTAGTGCATTTATGCAACCGTTCAATTGTACCGTAGATACCATTGTATTCTTGTATCGTGAACAGCCTTGGGAGTATACGGTTTATAATGTCTCCAAAAAAATCAAGATGAAAAACGGCCATCTTTATGCAAATGACCATTTCAACCAGTATTATGGTACTCATGAAACTTGGAGAAAATATTTCAGTTGGTTGCCATTATACTTTGTTCCCGATGAAAATTATGATTTCGAAGCTGATGAGCCAGTGGTGACAAATGACGGAGAAGATGATGAAGCAATGGCCAGCAAAATCATCAACAACCAAACTCATGATTTCAGTAATATTTTGGGATCGAATTTGAACGAAGATGAATTCAGAGCTGCTCCTTCTTCAAAAGCCGAAGTCCTGGCCAATATTGGTCAGTATGAGGATGGTTGTATCGCCTTTAAAGACACACATGGTCTCTCTAGAAATCATCCAAATGATTTTGCGATCAATCCATTATCTGATCATCCTAATTCACCAAACCAAAATCAACAACAAATGAGGTCAGATACTCTTATTTCCACGAGTGATTTCTACAATATGCCACACCGAATGTCTTCAATACGGTCGTCATTACCATTTTTCCAGTACCGTAAAGATAGCGACCACCAGGGCAAAGAGGTGGGGATATCATTAGATATTGTCGAGTCGACCAATGAATTGCAAGCCAATTATGACAAAAAGAAAGGCTTCTGGCTGAGAATTACCGGCGGTGCAGCGCATGCAAAGGAGACCTCTACTACTGTCAATACCTTTGTGGATATGAATGATCATGATTTGGACCATGAACCATCCAAGAATATCTTTGGAGACTACAAGTTGGAAGATATTTCCAATTCAGACCAATCAAATAAAGATCGTCATGATAATATCCTCAAGTCGCCAACAAATGGTCATCATCTACCCCTGATTGCCCCTCATTCGCGTAGCAATACTTTGAACAGGGCATTCAGAAGGAAATCTTCCTCTAGAAAGACTCCATCTTTAACTAGTCCAATCTCAACAACATCTCCTATCATAAACAATGGAGGGGAAACAATGGTTGATGATACTGATGACTCGTCGCTTGATTTCTTAGATTTCTTGAATCGCGGTCCCCCAGCATAATCATACCATGTATTATTCAAAAATATGATCCATAGGATCCCATATTCAAAAAAAAACAAGAGAAAATTTGAGTGAGTGCTGCTGCCTTTATAATAGATCTACACATATATATTTTTCTAAAAATTTTTCTGCTGCATGTTATTACTTGTGTTCTTCTTTTTTTTATTGTTTTATTTTTTCCGGTTGAACATTATTGATAACCTCTTTATCATTATATCATACGATTCTTTTTTTTCTTTCATTCATTTTCCTTCTCTTTATATGAGAAGCATTTACTATCATCATATTCTATTCGGTTTCTCTTCTATCTCTCTTCCTAATGTCCCTTTTCTTATTCTTCTTGTTATTGTTTGTACTATTATCCGTGGCTTATATTATCTTACTATTTAATCTTATATACTTAATCTTATATATTTCTATTGTTATTTCTTTCTTTCTGTTCAACCTAGCTTCCTAATCGTGCTCGATCAAATGAATGATATTTTCTGGTCCCAATCGCGACATTGATGCGTCGTTTATTCATTAGGTGTTACTATATTTTCAAAAAAGTTCAATGTATCTAACTGGATGTCAAAAATCTCTCTTTGTTGGTAAACAGGACAGATTCAACTTTTTTTTTTTTTTTTTTCATATCTGAAACTGTTCTTTTTTGGCCTTAAAGGCTCTAAAAATTTTTCTAGAGTACCGGCTCCATGCATGCTGAACGGAAGATTTTTTTTGATCTGCAATTTTCTCTCTTTAATAAGGAGACAACGTTATTGCTTCATTTGCACAGCAGATACACGAATATATTAGACATTAAACCTTCCGCTGATCATAAAAAATACTGATTTTGGTAATCTGTTTGTGTTTATTGTAGGCTGTCGGTTCCAGAAACACTTTTTCAGACTTCAGTAGAATATTGCACTTTCCACCAATCAGATGCAGGATATTCTGGCAAGAAATAACCATCTCTCCTTACAGTTCCTATTCAACCATAACTATAGATGATACTTATAATAATGCGGTAATTCTTATCCATTTCAGTACAAAATAAAGTATATTCATACAGAATACAAATGAAACAAGAAAAAAGAAGACAAGCCAAGAAGACTATTCTCCAGTTTTTACACATCTTACATTAGTGAATTCCCAGGGTTAACAGAAATATCAAATAAAATATATTAACATATTCCCATTAAAAATACCGGTTTAGAATCTCGATAGCAGTAAATATGCATCGTCTCATACGCTCAATTAGTTAAAAGCGAGACATTTACTCGTAGATCCAGGACAACATGGAGTGCTTGTAGTCAACCAATTCTTCCTTCTTGAACCACAAAGCAATTTCCTTGTTAGCAGATTCAACAGAGTCAGAACCGTGACAGACGTTTCTACCCATGTCAATGGCGAAGTCACCTCTGATGGTACCTGGAGCAGAGCTCAATGGGTTAGTGGCACCCAAGATAGCTCTACCTTGCTTGACAACATCCTTACCTTCCCAGACGGTAGCCAAAACTGGACCAGACAACATGTAGGACAACAAAGATGGGAAGAATGGCTTGGTGGTCAAGTCGGCGTAGTGTTCCTTCAACAAGGATTCGGTTGGCTTAACCAATTTGATGGCAACCAACTTGAAGCCTCTGTCTTCAAATCTACCCAAGATCTTGTTGATCAAACCTCTTTGGACACCATCTGGCTTAATGGCAATAAAAGTTCTTTCTTCGTTAGACATACTGTTAAAATGGATTGTTTTGTGTTGGATTCGTGTCGAAATCTGGAGAAACAAAAAAAAATATTATTGAACAACACAAATAAAAAAAAAGTTTCAGCGGTTTAAATTTCGCTCGCCCAACAGGCATTACCCTGTACATGATCCTTATACCGTGCCCACGGGAACTTCATACTCCCTATTATATTAATAAACCTCTCATACTTGATGGGCTTTGTAAAATGGGGGTTTTCTAATTTCTAACCCCTAGGTTTTATCATGTAACGACGACTCCAGATTCTCACCAACTCCTCATTTTGACAGAATCATTGTAATAATTATATATCTTTTACTCGGTAGTCAATTTATACAATAAAGAATACTTATATTACTAGGAATTGTTGATATGAAGTAAACTAAAAAAAAACTTAACGAGAGGTAGCTTGAACCTTTTGGAAAGCACCCTTAGCACCTTGCTTGGAAACCTTGGCAGCACCGGATTGACCAGCAACGGCCTTGGCCTTAGCAGCCTTTCTCTTAGCCTTTTCAATCTTCTTCTTTTCCTTAGCGGCAGCCAAGTCAGCGTCTCTGGTAGCCTTTCTGATTTCTGGCTTGACGCTTCTTCTTTCTCTGATAGTTTCCAAAGAGACACCAACAATAGCTCTTTCGTTCTTGATGGTCTTTCTAGATCTCTTCTTTTGGACTTCTTCAGTCATACCCTTCTTGTGGTGTCTTCTGTATAATTGAGTCCAGGAGATTCTTCTTGGGTTCTTCTTTTGCAAGAAAAGGGAAGCAGACTTAGAAGAGTGGAATCTGAAAGTCTTGGAGTCACCACGGACGTACAAAGTACCTCTACCTGGGTAGATTTTGGTACCGGAAAAGGAGTCAAGTTCGATCTTCATTGCTAACCTAAAAATACTTGTTAGAATTTGTTATTCTTTGCTTGAATAATTGTCAATGTTTTGAAAGTAGTTGATTACATGGTCCAATAATCCTCCCGCACTTATCCTTATAAAAATTTTCAGTGGTTCCGCAATCCAAAAAAAAATCAGAACAATTTCTAGTTATTGATCCCCTGTATATATCATTTTAGTTGTTGAGGTTGATTGATGGTCTTGATTCAAAAGTTTATAATTGTTTTATCATCATATGTTTCTCAATCTGTCAATCTCTTGATGAACAAATCACTTTCATAGTCGTTTCAAAAAATTATCCGAGTCACTGAGATGTAATAATGTTTGTTACTCTAAACATGTTGGTTGATTATTGTAGTCTTTGAGTTTCCCCTGATACAAAAAAATAATAAAATATTTTCCCCATGGATATCTATTCTACCATCTCGAAGAATGAAAAATTGCCTTGATACATCTTTCAAACATCATTCCCATTTACAATAGCACATCTTAATCACTAATTGACAAAATCATTATTATCACCATGTATCCCAACTCACTTTCTTGTTCTAACTATTCACTTGAGGCAGTTTACTTACTAATTTTCACTGATGGTTAATAGACCTCTCACTTAGTATATCGCTCGGTTTGTTCAATGTTTTTTTTTGAGAGTTTGAAGATTTTTTGGCCTGGCGGGAGGTGTGGATGTCTCTTAGGGCTCATTGCGCACGTGAATGTTTTTAACCACTTGTGACCGTTTGCAATATTTATTGACACGTGCTTGAGATATTGAGCCCTATATACTTGCACAATCGGTGAAAAAAAAAATTACTTGTCGCACCACATGGTAAATAAAAAAAAAATTTTTTTTCAATATCTTATTTAACTACATTTGTCCAATTCTTCTCTCTATATCCAATATACCGGAGTGCAAACTACATACCTAAACGCGCAAAGATGGTTAGTATTTTCAGTTGATTGATCTATTGGAATTCGTTATTCTCCCCATGTCATTAGTCCTACACTGTTTTATTAGGAAAATGATTGCCTTAAAAAATAGTAATGGCGGGGATTGTAAAGAATTAATATCATTGGGAACTGATTCCTCGTTGTCTCTTCCAATAATATTTATCTAGTAAAGATCCCACAATATAAACAAAATGTTTTTGTAATTGTGCAAATTACTAACTTTCTCAAAAGGCCCCAAAGAAATCTGCTGACAACTTCAACGCTAAATTGGCCTTGGCCATTAAGTCTGGTAAATACCAACTCGGTTACAAGACCGCTGTCAAGTCTCTCAGACAAGGTAAGGCTAAGTTGATCGTTTTGGCTGCCAACACCCCAACTTTGAGAAAGACCGAAATTGAATATTACGCCATGTTGTCCAAGACCCCAGTTACCTACTTCCAAGGTGGTAACAACGAATTGGGTACCGCTTGTGGTAAATTGTTCAGAGTTGGTGTTTTGGCCATCACCGATGCTGGTGACTCTGACATCTTGACCACTGTCTAAATTCAATTGTGTTGACGATTATGGTTATTTGTTTTGATGGAAGATCAAGAGGAAATTTTTGTTAATTAATTTTTGTATTCTAGTAAAATAAATTGTCTTCAGATATTCATTGTATTAATATTGTTGAAATTGTAAGAAAGAAAGTTATCTTTCAATTAGTTCTGTTCATTGGCGATTGCTCTTGTGGTATTTTTAAAGTGGCTGTGATACAATTACCAGTGGCCAAATTATTGGAATTAGAATTGTTATTTGCAGCATAAATCATAAAATAAACAAAATCGAGGGTATCTATAAAATAAACAAACAAGAAAAAGGGAAATTTGCAACCAATAGTAACTAATCACAAATATGAGTTTATATAAAGAGCAACAAACTTCAATCAAATTTGTCAATGATGATGAAACAGATGACGGAAAGAAATAAAGAAAGGAGGGGAAAAAAAAAGTGAGTAGCATAGACACCCTTCAATACCAAGAAAATAGTGTCAAAGAAGTGTCATGTAAGAAAAAACCTGACAAAATCAACATAAAGAAACACTATATATATATGAAAAAAAAAAGAAAAAAAAAAAAAACGACAAGAACCAAATTTTTCCAAAGCTGAGCAGACATCTCGTAATCAGTCTATGATACAATTTCCTGCCACATATATGGAGTGAATACCACGATGGCGGTGTATAGAGTGAAAATCGCTTCGTAAATTGAAACTGGGAACATCACCAATCCATTTTCTCTGAAGTTGAACATTATACTGAAGAAAGCCACCGCGAAAAAGTGCTTGAATAACATAAATGGTTCAGGAACTAACCCACTCAATAAGGCAATTGGGTATGGAATCTTTGTCAAATAATGGAAGCAACCTTTTTGTAGAATCACCAAATACTTGGAATCAGCGCTGAACAAAGAGTACAAAGCGATAGAAAGCACATTAATGACAGAATCTAAAGATTTTCTTTCGTGATGGAACTCCATAAATTGGTCCAATACTTTTGAATGGTCGGCAAATGATTCAATTTTATCTGGAGACAACAATTTGGCAAGTAATACCGCATCATTCAAACCAACGGTCATCCCACCACCGGTCAACGGATGTCTCATGTTAAGGGCGTCACCCATAACGAATAATCCTGGGATTTCGTTTCTTTTAGCCACCAAGTAAGAGTTTGGCATGATTCTAATTCTTGAATTGAGCAATGCGTTTTTATAAGAAGGTCTAATAGATTCAGGAATAATGTTGTAAACGGTTTCATTCAAGTATTTCTTAAGTTTCACATCATTAACGGTTGGTAACTTTGGTGATCTGTAAGCGCACAAGATTCTGGTTTCCACAGGGGAGATTTGATAAATCAAAATTGGCGCCTCATTACTAATAACCACATGGCCATGATTTGGGGATGGTAATTCAGCATTTTCCAAAGTTAAAGAAATGAAATGTGATCCAACGGTAGGGACATTTGATTGTCCCAAAGTTTTTCTGAATTTTGAAAAGATCCCATCACAACAAATGGTCAAATGAGCATTGTATACCACTTTGGAACGGTCAGTTTCATTGACCATCACCCCAGTGACGTGACCAAGGTCATTTTTCTCGATTTTGATAACCGTACCCTTCAAGCAAGTGAGATTAGGTTGTTTTTTAGCAATACTTCTCAAATTACTAATGAATTCCCCGTGTCTAAAAGCCACTCCCACTTCGCGTTCATTTTCCTCAAAATATTTGGCATCAAGGGTGGAATCACTCACAATTTTACTATTTTCATTGGTGGCACAACATGGAACATCTTGGATTTTATGGGACACGGATTTTTCAGGATAATCAATGATCAATTGTTCGCCATGGTAAAAGATGCTGTAACCGTCGACATGGATCGCTTCGATATTGTTGACCGCTTCAATCATCCCAAGGGACTTGAGGGCTTTCAAACCAGCCGGTTGCATCAATTCACCAACGATACGGTCTGGTTGGGTCCAATCTCTTTCAATTAAAAGGACTTTTCTGCCTTGACGAGCCAATGCGGTGGAGATGGCTGGACCCACAACCCCAGCGCCGATGACGATAGCGTCGTATTGGATTGAATTATCGGCGGTGATGCTCATGGTTTTAGTTTATTATGTCGAATTGTTGGTTGGATTTGACTGGAAAGTGTTTGAACTTATCCTTAAAGAAGGAGGAGAATATAGGTCTTGCAAAGATGTTCCAATCACCAGCGAGCGTCAAGGGGATGTGGTTGAATAGAAAACGTGATGAAGAAAGAGAGAGAGAGATAGGATGTGGCAAAGAAAGAAAGAGAGAACAGTATGTGGTGGGCTGCTTTATATATATATATATATGTATATATAATATAATATAATATAATACAGTATGGGTTTGCTGATGTGATTTTTCCAGTCTCGTATAATCAACCCATAGAACGAAGCGAAAAATTCACAGGGAAGAAAGACGAAAAACAGGAAAAAACGCCTGCTAACGATCACATGCAAATGGAATATCGGCAGATTTTTTTCATCGGCAGATTTTATTCGCTTTGGGGGAAATTACTCTCTGTGTGAGTAAACAATCCCAGAATATTTAATTGTTTGTCACAAATGATTGTTTGTAGATGCCGATCTAATAGTGGCTAGAATACGTCACTTTTTTTTTTGTTGTTCTTGTTACTGTTGTTTTTGTTATTGTTGTTGTTTTCGTTGTTATTGTTGGGCACCCAACATGTAATTTTCATATAATATACAAATGTAACCAGATTTTCCTGCGTTGGGTAACACTAGTATAATGTTTATTTTTTATTCCTTAATAAAGCATCAGTATACCTAATGAAAACATATTTATCAACTGTTCCATTGGCGTCTAGCAAAAGCTAGTTTGCCTACTCTGTCGATTCAAAATAAAATGCAGATTCATGTATTCAAGTGATTAGGTGTTGTTGTTATATACAGAAATAAAAATGCCTTGCCATCACAACTCAAATAAAAACAGAAAATAAAAAATAATCCCCAGATGCAAAATAATAATAATAAGAATAAGAATATAATACGAGCCAAAAGAAAAGCATTAACAAATGAAAGAACAAAAAAAAAAAAGTTATATGGCAGACAGATTAAAACAAAGCCCCCAATCCCAATAATATCAACAAACTGATCTTATAATTTGGCCTATGCTTCGCAATCCCAAACAAACGATCTTCATTCTCCTCATCCCCGAAACTAACATTTTTTCCAAGAGCGTTGATCAAATGTGACACATTAAAATTATAGTAATTATTCCCATAGTTCTTGATAAAGTTCGAGTTCAACTCATAGTGCATATTTCTCACCATGTCGTCATACAACTCCCTAACAATCCCATCAACGATAGACGTCTCGCTGGTAATTGAAACTTTGTTATACATCTCATCAAGATTATAAATCATAGAACCAGTCAATGTGAACTGCTTATCCTGAACTATACTGAAGTCATTGGTGGAAACCATGCTTGGTTGGCTAACATGTTCCAAAGTTGTGACTTCTGATGGTGATAAGATCGAGCTGGTTTGATGTTTAGCGAAAAATGAGTTTCTAGCAGCATTGCTGTTCACAAGAGCAATAATAGGTCTCAAGTCAGCAGCTACAATATATGGGGTGCCGTCGATAGATGAATGAGGAACTTCATCAGGAATTTTACCAATAGCATTAATAAATTGTACTTTAAAATCGAAAAACACATACTTGCTTTTATTTGCATTGTCTTGTTTATGACACAGAGTGTCCAATTTCAGAGTATTGTCATGAGAATCAAAAATACCAAACTTCCTTGATGGGGACTCTTGTGAGGATACAGTATCATTATTTTCTTTGGAAGGATCAAAGAAGGTAAAAAATTTCTTGATTGCACCAATACCGCCACTAGCCGACTCATTTTCATCGTGGAATAAATTGCTATACTTGAAAAATCCTTCAAAATTAGCATAATCATTAGTAATGTTTCTTGTAAAGTTATTAATATATTTGATATTTTTATCCAAATCCAAGCCAACCAATAAATCATTGTTGACTTTGCTTTTGATTTCATGGATAAAATCATTGATATTAAAATGCTTTTCATTTGGTAAATTAATATCGCAAATCAAATTCACTTTGCCATCCACTAACCAGTTAAACTTGTTTGCAAGCAAAGAACTGGTTTTCAAATCAATTTCGTGCACTTGAATTCTTGTCATGGTATTACCGTTATTTGCTTCATCCGATGCTTCCTTCAAGTTACTCAAATCAATCAAATGTTTGTGGTTATCGACAATTGCTGGGGATTGAGGGTTGAAATTTAATTGCTTTTGGTGAATCGTAAACAAAGAATTATCAATCGAGCCAGAACAAATCTTTGGTTTCAAAATATCAAGAAGAAACCAATTCATTCTTAACCTTGGTAGTTCGAGATTGAAAATGTCAAACTGAATAGGATGGACCAAATTGAAAGAAGAGTAATTGATATGTACATTTTGGAGTTTGATATTATTGAATTCATAATCGTCGTTATCATTAAAGATCGTTGGAATAATCATTTGGAGCAAGTAATTCTTGTCGTTCGGATTAAGGTCATTGTCATATAGTCTATTATCCAACGACCCACTAATACCGTTAATATCAACATCGTTGACTAAGCCTTTATTCTGATACCATTTGTTAAAATTCAATGTGATATCTAACTTATCAAATTTCAAATCAAATTTGACACAATTGTCATCATTGACGTTGGTAACTCTCAAATCTCTCAAGCTGATAACTCCTTTTCTGAAATCCGGGATGATATTATCTTTGCCATCTTTCAATTTATTGAATTTCAAATGGATTTTCGAACTGTCGTATCTGAATATTGTTTTCAAAATCAAATCATCAAGTATTGTGTTTTCATCACGATCACGGCTCACAGTTTGAAAAGTGTATAGCACCAACGAGACAAAAGTGGTTGTTCCCAAGGCAAACCATAAAATGTTTGACCATACAAACCAAGACACAAATGCCGACAAATCGTCGGTGTTGAAAGGACGGTTTTGACGTATTAGGAGCCATTTTAAGTTGAGTTTGATGGCATCAAGGAATGAGGATGATGCTGCAACAAATTCTTTTCTACTTATATTGTTTTTTCTTGGGGATGGAGGTTCTGGTATTTGCATGCTGTATAATCTGTGAAGCAATTTTGACGGAATGACTAAATGCTTGTAGTTCTTGTGTGTAGCGAGCCTGCCAGTTCGTAGTAGTAGCAAAGACAACGGTAGAGGTCGTCCCAGTAGTGTTGCCGAGCTACTGGCGAGAAGTCTCAGGCAGCGAGCTCTAAGCATCTCTTTATTATTTGGTGTCTATAGTATATGATTACAGTGTCCAACCACTACAGGGAGCTTAGCTTCTTTCCCATTGGCAAATTTTTTAAAAGAAAAAAAAAAAAAAAAGATTTTTTTGTGGCTCACAAGAGCGCCGGGACGGAGTGCGTTTTCTGTCCTTCCGTGGCGGTGGGTGACATTAAATGCAAAAAACAAAATAAATAAATAAAGTACGTAGATATCATAGATTATTATCCATTATTATTATCATTCATTATCATTGCCACAAGATGGAAAACGATAATATAAAAGGGAAAAAGGTTACAGGTGCCACTGAAAAAACTGCATTTGTTGCTCCTTCCAATCCCTCCTCGGCTGTCGCTCCTCCATCACCATCTTCTTCTTCTTCTTCTTTTTCTACATTTTTAACCCCGTCTGCTTCCGGAATCAATGCTGTGCAAATCAATAATGCCCGGGAAATGTTTTTAATGTCAACCCGGTCAAGAAACAATCCTGCTGCCATTAGAGGATCAAAGACCAAGATAAGTCTGTCCAGTCCATCGGCAACAACGGCAACATCAGAAATCAATGAAACTGTGTTCCAAACTAGTTTACCTTCATCGATGATGACCACATCGCCATTCACCAATCCCAACATCAGTGTCCCTGCAAAATCACATGAGGGTGGATGTAAGAACCCCCAGTGTACTTGTTGTGGATCAGTGATAATTCCTTCCCCTGCTTCATCGTTACCGGTCAAGGATTCCCCCTCGATCTCAATAAACGATTGGGAAATTTTCACTACGAGAAAACCGATTTTGAACGCCGAAGAAATTGACCATTACGAGGAGAAATTGAACTTGCCATTGCCAGAAATGATCTTTGGGAAAAATGAAGTCAGAGTGAAAAATACTAAACATAATTGGGAGATTGTTTTCAATTCCATTGATTCTCTTGATACGGTATTGAAAATCGGTTGCGATCCCAATAAATTATTAAAAGTGGCACATTCAAAGGATTGGTTTAGTCATAAACAGAAAAAGGCATCTGGAGGATCGTCTCCCTCAACATCTTCAACATCTTCGTCACTAGGCTCAACATCAAACAATAATAACGCTAGCATTCAGCTTTCTTCGGATATGTACGACACCGAAGTACCTACCGATTCACTCAATGAACATGTCACCAAGATGATCAAGCCTTATGATTGGACATACACCCCACACTATAAAGGTACCCCTTCCCCATCAAACTCCCATAAATTCACTAGATCGCAAAACCAAATCCCTATCAAAAAACTCAAACGCCCCGACCCCATTTTATTCTTTGATGACGTGGTGCTTTACGAAGATGAATTGGCAGATAATGGGATTGCTGTGATGCAATGTAAAATCAGAGTGATGGAAAAAAGATTGCTTTTGTTGTGTCGATTCTTCTTGCGAATTGACGACGTGATTTTCAGAATCAAAGATGTACGACTATTTGTTGAGTTCGAAGAGAACTTGGTGATCCGTGATATCAAGGAGCAAGAAGATACTTATCGAAATGTTTATAACAAGGTGTTGAGATTAGGTGGCGGAGGAGATCCTAGATTTTATTTGAGAGATAGCAATTGGGTTAGCAATCATTTGACCACCGTGTATCATGAAGTTGAAGAGATTAAATTCTAGCGAGTAGTTACGATTGATGAGCAAAATATAAGGATATTTATGATATTTATAATTGCTTCGTCTTGAATTATTTATCTCATCAAATTATACAATAATAGTGCTGATAAAAACTCGGTTATGCGTGATTTTTTTAAGTCTGTTTCGCGGATAAATATCTAAATAATATAGTAATATCTAAGGAAATTATGGAGTTTATTAATATCTTAACCATCTTAATGTCAAATATTAATAGTATTTGTTAGTATATTCCTATTTCCTATTGCTCAGTGTATCGATGCTTATGTAAAAGCCTCTGTAGTCCGGGTGACTGCAGTTGTTTGTAACCACGCTGTAAATTTCCCAGACCAAAATCTTACATGAATTTATCAGAGGCTGTGGAATCCTCCCATCATTAGTGACATTACCTATCCCATCCCAATCTTGAAACACAATGCTTTCAACGATCAAATCTTTATTTTTCTTAGTGTGTCTTTTGAACGTCGCCGTGGGTTTCAAAGTTCACAATGGTGTGGTTTCAGTCGGTGCCAAATCTGAGAAATTCACTTGTTGTGACCCAATAGAAACCCCTGTGTCCATTACCACCGATAAAGATTCTATCGATTTCAAATTCTCGGTATTGGACCCAGAAGGTAAAGAACCTTACAGACCAAACCAGGTGGTGGTGGTGTTATCCAAGCAAGAATCGTCATTGGAACAATCATTTATTCCAAAATTCAATTCCAAAAATGCTGCAAGTGTTTCCATTGCCATCAATGAAATTTCTAAGAACTTGTTGTTTTTCGAAACCAATAGCGAAGAACCAGTTCTTGATGTCAGTATAATATTGGGAGACTATGCCATCAACTCTCCAGTGGTCAAAAAGATTGGATCCATCAAATTTGCCGGCTCCTTGGTAAAGAAACTTTCTAAAAATTACTCCAAACCTTCCAGAAGCACTGTCAAGCCAGAAATCCGTCACATTTTCAGATCTCCTGAAAAGCAAGTCAGCCCAATTATTGCCACTTTCTTCATTCTGTTGATTGCTGCATCATTCTTGTGGTTTGTCGGTACTTTGTTGGCTCACGGTACGGTCAACTTGAAGAATTTCGGTGCCGCCAGTGGTGAACCAGTATTCTATGGTGTTTATAAGATCGCTTTCATCGGTTCTATCATTGCATTTGAAGCATTCTTCATTCAATACTATATTGGAGACTCAATCTTCAATTTGATTTTCAAAACTGCCATTTTGGCTGGTCCAAGTGTTTGGTTTGGATCAAGAGTGTTTAGAAGTTTATTGCAAAAGAAGGTCCAAGATGGTAAGGCTTGAAGGTTTGTACAGTAGTAATTGTTCTAAAAAATAAAAAAAAAAAGGTAAAAAAAAATTAAAACATGAAAGCTATTATATATATATATATATATATATATATGTCACTACAAATAGTTTTATAATGTTTTTTTTTCTTTCAATAAATACAAGAAAAGAGAATAAGATGTTATAGCATATTTTAAAAATGATTCTCGTAGATAGAATATATAATAGACACAAAAACAGTCGTATGCTAAAATGGTAATTTGTTTTTTGTTTTTTCACAATATTCTTATCAAATCACTTTATATATTGTCTAAAGCCAATCAATACCTGTGACTTTTCTCTATAATACATGGTTGAACTTGTTTCTTTCATTGTTCTTTATCTTTGTAAATGTTCTCAATTTTCCTAATATCCCAAGTCCACCACTTCCATGGAGATGAGACATAGACCGCGTATTCGACTTTTCCATTTATTAGGGCCAATGGGACCATATTGTAGACTCTCGAATCCAAAGAATTGTTCAAGTTATCCCCAGTCAACCAGCAATGACCTTCTGGGATTCTTATGAATTGATTATGTGTCGTGCTGCTTTGTTCCTGGTATGTCTTATTTTTGTCCAAAGTGGTTTCCAATTCATCAACCCATTGACTGGTCTCATCGGTGGTGGCATCTCTGATATCTTTTACTCCCAAATTTTCCTTATTCGACACGGCATAATCTTTAATATATTCACTGAAGTTGGTATATATCGATGACTTTGAAGGATCAACAAGAATTATATCTCCAGGCATCCCCGTCACTCGCTTGCAAACTCGACTCATCGGTTCGGTAGGTTTGCAGCATGACACCATATCCCCAGTGGTTATGCCTTTTCCTCTTCTGTAAGCCCTAGATATCACTAGATAGTCACTAAACGAATGAAGGGTCGGGAGCATCGAATCACCATAAGAGGCAATATATTCATAACTGTAAGATGAGGCAATATGGGCCGCAAGAAGAACGTTGAACACTATTGGTGATGCCTTTGCCACGGCGGTAAAATAACGAGTAAATATCGTAGATTGAGTTCTCATATTTATGGCTCCTCCGTGGTAATATATCTTTCGTTTATTCTTGCCTCTCCCACTACTACTAGTTCTCGTTCTTCTTCTTTCTGTCCCAGTTTATTATTATTATAGTTAGCGATGGGGGTGGTTTTTTTTTATTTTCTTGGTTTTTTTTCAAGCACACCGGGCAATCAAAAAAATATCATCACAAACATCCAATTACTTTTGATTGACTAGCCGCTTTAATCAACCTTATAGTATTTGATTATTAATAGTATCAAAGATGGCTGCTGAACAGAGACTTGTTTTGGAACAGCTTTTTGGAAGGGACAACCTTTATAATCTTCCGAGTCAATCATCATACAGACCATCAAGAAGCCAACCACTTAACCTATTTGATAACAGAATTTGCAAATCTTTCCTAGTGGGCACCTGTCCCCATGATCTATTTTCAGGAACCAAAGAAGATATGGGTCGGTGCAAAAGAATCCATTTGGAAAAATACAAAATACAATATGAATCAGAGAAACGAAACTATGAAAAGCGTTTGGAGGCCAGTGGCGGAAAGTTGAGTGAAGATGACAAGAGAATTCAACGAATGGTTGAGGAATTCGAGTACGATTATATGCAAGATTTGGAATACCATATCAATGAAGTGGCCCACAAGATTGTGGTTGCCGAAGACAACCTTCGCCATACTCCGGAAGAGCAACAGAAAATCGATAAGATCACAAAAGATCTTGATAATATGGATATTAGAATTGGGTTGGTGACCCAGGAAGTAGACCTACTCACGAAGAAGGGACAATTGGTGAAAGCCTTGATCGAATCCAACAAATTGAACGAATTATTGGAGCAGCGGAATAAGTTTAGTAAATCGGTAAGAGAAATCACAGACAAGATTGGTCAGGCGAACCAACAGAAATTAGAAGTGTGCTCGGTTTGCGGTGCGTATCTTTCACGATTAGATAGTGATAGGAGACTTGCTGATCACTTTACTGGGAAGATTCATTTGGGTTATGTGACGATGAGAAGTGAATTGAGTGTATTGAGGAAAAAAAGAGCTGCCATTACCAAGAAATAATTGATATGTATAGATATATATTCTAAAAGCTGTGTTGATATGCTTACTATTTGTAATATATGATGATGATATTATTAATGATGAAATGGAAAGTGTGTAAGAAACGAAAAACTTTAAATGAATTATGTTGATATGCGATCAGCCAAAAAAAAATAGAGCCATTAGGAATATTTGCTATCGGATTTCTATTCTCTTTCTGGATTCATTTCAGCATGAGTGTGAATATTTTGTACCTTTACAGCATGTCATCAATGATGATTAATGAATTCTCCTTTGTGTATTTGTCTATTCCAGGATAAAAATTTGAAACATTAACTTACATCATTACTGAATGCCTATGGTTGTAATATTCGAAACTATTTTTTTTTTTTAATTTTTGCTTTTTGATATTGTTAACAATAATCTCTTTAACATATAATTACAAAGAAGTTTTAACATCTTTTTTATCTTCATCGTAGTTGACTTTTTTTCAAAAAGAGTTTCTACAGGCTCTCGCAATAAACTTAGGAGTTGGTGATGGTTGTACCAAAATACGCGACAGAAGCCTGGGAAAAACTTTTGAGAATGCCATACAAAGATTAGAAGCTCCATTTTTTAGGTCATAACGAGACAATAATAGAGATCATACTCAAAATAAAGCAATCACGACTCCCTTTATTTCGTAAAACTTTTCATTCGCTTGCTACACATCCGATGTGTTACGTAAGAAAGGAAAATTCGAGATCCTCAATGTGTATTTTTGATTAAACAATTAACAAGTTTTTATATTGTTTTTACATTTTTACTATTCTTTTGGAGATGGCAACCGGCTCATAACAATTGAAATTCTCATTTATTGGAAAATAGCTTAAATAGAGGGAAATACAACCACTACCGTGATTTGCAGCATTATTAATGAAAGTCAGCTTACGAAAGAAAGAAAAAGAAAAAAAAAGTCAACTTAGAGATTATTAGTGATAAAAACATAGGTAAAAGAGGTGAACCACCAATATGTTCCTTCCCCTAAGAGATCTTCGAGAATGGTATATTCATCAACAATGATTTCTCCTAGACACTTCTTTTATGAATAGTAGCAAAGAAAATGAAAAGCCATTACGGTCTCCATCCTCTTACTGTGGTAGTATTTAATATCTATAGTTAAACTCAATTATAAAAAAATGAAATCAATAGACTTCATCAATGAATTGGTTGACACTTGGTATATATCCAATTGGAGGATGCATGTAAGCCAAACATCAACGCTGGTTGGCAAAAATACTTGAATATGGACATTAGCTGCGTTAGTAGCGAACAGAGTGAGTTTCACTACGGGTTTTCCTGAAGGTCACAAAGGAAATACAACAATTATTCGATGAACACAAGCTCAATTCCCATATCGAATCATACATGGATAACCTTAAATGGACCATCATAACTATAGTTATATAGGATCCGATTTATGTTTCTCTTGATGGCGTCTGCGGTAAACTACCCGTCCGACAGTATAGGGGCTGTTGGATGCTGTGCGATCAGTTAACAATTTTCTCATTTCACGAGCATGTGATCAAATCAAAATTTTGAAAAGGTACATACATACTACGAATAATAGTACAATCAAGAAAACTTGGTGTCAGAGTATACCATGAATATTGTTCTTTCGACTACGAATGATGCAGTGCTTAGTTATTGTTAATGCTCTGGACCCAAATGGGTGTATTCGGATCACTATGTCTGGATTCTCCTGAATCTAGTTATAAAAGGGCTTTCATTTGTCATGAAAGGAAGAATTTATTAAATAAGAACTAAGCTGATTTAATCAGAGAACTGAGCCTCAATTAGATACACTAATAAATAAATAACTGACTGACCCAAACTATTTATCAATCTCGTAATGGATATTTCATCTAATCCTTCCACCGCTGCATCTAATGATGCTCAACAACCGGTTAGCTCTGGTACTACCAGTACAAGCCATATGCTTGAAAAATTTTTGGGTGAGCTTTTGGGAGGGCCCTATGTAATAAGGTGATGCCTTCCAAGCAGAAAAAGGCTGGGTTGCTACAGCTGATGCCGGTACAACAAGGGAAGTGGGAGCACATTTGCACGAAAATTATCATTGGATTGATAGAAAACGAAGGTTGTAGTAGTAACACTTTCAATTCTATTTTAGCGGTGGTGGACCATATTTCGAGCCAGCGTAGTTCCATTGCCCGCAGGATTCTAAGTTAGTCAACCATTTACTATTGGATAATATGATTAGATAATATAGCTACCTATTTATTGTAACCAAGGAAGATTGGATATCCTTCTGTCATCTCCACTTTCTCAACAGTTCTCTCAAGATCAATTTAGGTGTCCTTATCTACCCGCTGAATCCTCACTTGTTCCCAAAGAGCAACTCACTGCCTTCATACATACAGGTATTTTCCATGCCATCGGTTAAGTGATCTATACCGGCTTCTAAGTCATCACACAGCATGCGCGCGCGAACATTGGTTCTTCCATTCAGAGGGGATATTTTTCTTTTGCCAGACCGTCTCTGTCGTGAATCTTGCGCCATGTGCAACTTCTCAGCTAATGTGCATTTTTCACATTGACAATTTCTACTCCAAAAAAGAGTGTTATCACGATAAAAACGTGGACCAAACTTATTGGACAAAAAATTATGAATTTTATCATTCTGAATTTGAGACAGCAGCTCAAACATTGTGTGACAAGAATCTTCTTTGTGATTCACTTCCTGGTTAACATCTTCAAGTGTGAAAGTTCTTGAGTTGAATTCACCTGAATTTATCAACCTCTTAAGATCAATTATATTTTCGACATGATCAAAACGAGTGGATATGTTTGAAAGTTTCCCAATAACTAAGGCCTCTTTTAAGATCGTGCGGAACATTTTTATGATAGTCGGGGTGAATTGTGTATCACTGCAAAGTTCAATTCCTCCATTAATGAAGTCTGGGACCGATTCTCCATTATGAGGCCAGAGTGATTCGACCTTTTTACGTTCTCTCAGACTCTTTTCAGCGTATGGAAAAAACTGTAACAAAGACAGAACCAAATATGTCCAATATCTTTGTCGAGGTAATGGAACACTTTTTGAAAAATTATTACAAGGAGTGGTGTGTAGAGTATTCCTGAGATACTTATCCCAATATATAGGAGCCACATGGAATGAGATTAATAGTCTCTGAATCTTTAATATATGGGCTTTAGCTACCACAGGCCTCAGATCTATGTTGGGGGGACTCTTATTATTCTTAGTGTTCTGCAAAAGTTGTTGCAAATTAGTTTGAAATATACTTCCATAGAAAGTAACATCTGGTCTCAAGATGATAGTACTATCATATCTCTCAATTCTTTCCCCTGAATCTTCAATATACTGGTCAATTGGGGGATTCCCTAGATTTTGGTTATCAAGAGTCTCTGGCTGCAGGCTTTTATTCAGATCAACCCCCAAATGTTGTTGTTGGGGATGATGGAGGTAATTAGACAATACAGGTGGCGCTGTATAAATTCCTGTATAGTATTGTGGTTGTTGGTAAACTGATTGTTGATAAATTGGTTGCTGATGAGTTGGTTGTTGACAAGCAGGTTGTTGCTGATTAGCTGGTACTACATAACCATAACTACCATGCGAGGGCGGTTGCGATGGCGCAACATTGTGAGATTGGGCTTGAAAAGTCTGTTTAGACGGCTTATCAGACAGAGACTGGGGCTGGGGAGTTGTTTGAGGCTGTGAAGTGGTGGCTGTGGTTCCTGTCGTGCTCAACTGTCCAGCTGGACTTGTTCGGGACAAGTCTTCTAGGTACTTCTTAAAATATTGTATTCTTGATCTAATCTGTGCTCTAGCTGTCCAATTCTCTTTTACCATGGCAATGATTTTCTCGAGACTTCTTTGATAAAATATATCGTTGTTCTCCATAATTACCTTCATGAGTTTCATGAAAGAATTTTCGATTATGTCTTGAGAGTTTTTGTCACATTCATCACCACAAGATTCAATTGTATCGCATAAGAGTTTAACAGCTTCTTGTAGCTTAGATGATTGTTTGAGTTTTCTCTCATTCTCAGCAGACTGAGCCGTTTGGGTAAGTTGGTCTATTTCTGTATGTGTTATATCTTCCTTTTTCTGCTGTGGTTCCACGAATAGCCTGGTAATCAATTGGGCTGAATTCATAACTTCATCATTTATAGAACAAAGTTGTTTTAGAACTTCCGCTTTTAGCTCTTCCATTATAAATTGCAGCTTTTCGCCCTTTATTAGGTTTAAATTTTCTGTAATATCCTTCATGTTTTTGATAGCCAATTCACTATGTTTTTTTTTGTCTGGATAGGCAATACTTCACGCAAAGCATGGACACTCATCCCAGCGGTGATTTGGCTATCTAGTAAAGATTTCTCAAGGGCATTTTTTTCCTGGTTTAGACTTTCTTCGGCTTGATGGCGGTAGCTTGCCAACTGGTCAACCGTATTGTGTTGGTGTTGTAGAGCTCCTTGATGCGCGACATGACTGGGGCCGCATTGAGCTGGCTGGGTTTGATAATACCCGTATTGGTACTGATACGGATTGTAATACATTGGAGCGGGATTTGGGCGAGCAAACGAATCAGCAGCGTTGTTTACCACTTCAGTAATAACCGTTGGCTTGCAAATAGTTATCTTTGGCCCATCAAGGCCAACTCTCTCCTTTGCCCTGTTGAAAATTTGAAGCAGGGTAAATGATCTTTAAGATATCTTGAAGAAGTAAGCCCTTACGAGATCTCCGTAAAATGTAATGATTTTACACGGAAAGTGGCAGCAACTAACCACTAGTACTCATATATACTAGTATATAGATTTTTAGATAGATTGGTACTAGATTAGATAAATTCCTGGTGAGAGATAAAAAAAAAGGGTTGGGGCCGGACTTCCGTCAGTTGCAAAGATGGTTCACAGCTGGGAGTCATACATTGCAGACAATAATGCTCTGAAATTTCATCATCGATAGTACCGCTACTATCTATCTATCTACCTACCTATGACCATCGTCCTTTGATCTCAGTGAGATCACCGGCGGCCCTGCTACTGCTAACTTTTTTTTTTCCTTCAAAGTTCGATATATTACTATGATAGGCTACCCAAGTCACCCGGCTCTCACTGATTCACTCTCGCCGATATGGGGGCACTTTCCTATTTGGGTTCCCCAAGATCCGCCAGTTCTCTATGGAGGGAGGAGTCACAAAGAAAAAGAACAAAAAGAATGCCTGGTCTAGAATCTGCTCTACCACCAAGCATTATACAAAAATCTAATTATTTAAAACTGTCTACGAGTATTATTATTATTATTATTATTATTATTATTATCATCAAACACAAACCAGCCGGCCATTTTATCTGAAGATTGATGGCTTGTTGTCTGTGAATTCACGTAGGACACACAGGAAAAAAGCTACCCTGTCCGGGATTCCATTTGTCTCACTTTTCGCCTCTTCATCTTTTGGTGAAAAACCCAGTAAAACGTTGCAGCGACGTCAAAAGGAAAACTAATAATAACAGCCACTACTTCCTCCATGATGAAAGTAACCTCACAGTATTATAGTAACAGATCATCATAAAATGTCTTTGATTACCTCCCACATACAATTTTTTTTCTCTCCCTTGGTTTCTGAGCTGTCCTTGCCTGCGGCCTCTCCCTTCCTTTCTTGATCCTTTGTGTAGTTGGGAAGGAGTCTCGCCGAAATTCTGGCGTCGGCAGCCCGAGGCAGGTGACCTTATCAGTGCGTTTTCACTTGTCACTTACTTGCTGGGTTATTTTTGTAAATATATAAATCTGATCCTCCCGATATTTCCAGGCATCGTATTATATTTTATTTCATTTTATTCTTCTCTCATCATAGATTAAAAACAAACAAACAGCAATTTCCCCCAAAGTCACCAATTTCCAATCCCCTTCTACACTACTATCACTTAGTTATTCCACTTTGTTCTTTCACTTTATATTTCTTCCCAAATTCCCTCCTCTGTAATGTCTACAACTTTAGGCTGGACCATCCAAGACTGGTTGAAATTTCATGCCAATTCAGTTCCAGAAACCTCTCTCCAGTCATTGTTAGATGTCGTCACATTCGTCTCCAGCTCTAAAGATCCTGTCTGGATTTCCATCGCCAACGAAGAAACTATCACCCACCAATGGAATATTTTGCAATCCAAATCAAATAAAGAAAAATTGCCTCTTTATGGTGTCCCAGTGGCAGTAAAAGACAACATTGACGTTCGTGAGTTCCCAACAACTGGTGCTTGTCCAGCTTACGAATTTACCCCTACTGAAGACGCTACCGTTGTCAAACTCCTAAAATCTTGCGGTGCCATCGTCATTGGCAAAACAAATTTGGATCAATTTGCTACTGGCCTAGTAGGTGTGAGATCTCCTTACGGTAAACCAACTAGTGTCTTTAGTGAGAAACATGTATCCGGCGGGTCATCTTCTGGTTCTGCCGTCGCTGTTGGCCGTGGTATTGTCCCACTTTCCTTGGGTACTGATACTGCTGGTTCTGGTCGTGTACCTGCAATGTTAAACAACTTGATTGGTGTCAAACCTTCTCGCGGAGCCTTATCTTGTAGCGGAGTGATCCCAGCCTGCAAATCTCTTGATGTGGTTTCCATTTTTGCTTTAAACTTGAGTGATGCCCAATATGCCTTCAATTTATTGGCGAAACCTGATCTTGCAAACGATTGCTACTCCCGTGCAATGCCAGAAAACCCATTATTCAAATTTTATTCAGGTCCAAATCAAAAAATAAAGATTGCTATTCCTGCGAACATGCCATGGTACGGTGAATCCGAAAATCCAAAATTATTTTCTAAAGCAATTAGTGAATTTAAAACTTTGGAGAATGTCGAAATCTCCACTGTTGATTTCACCAAGTTACTTGATCTTGCCAAGTGTCTTTATGAAGGACCTTGGGTAGCTGAGCGTTACGCTGCCCTTGAAAAATTTTACGAATCAAATCCAGATCCAAAATCTCTTGACGCAACTGTTTACAAAATCGTACAAACTGCAAAGAACTTTGACGCAAAAGATGCCTTTAACTATGAATACAAGCGTCAAACCATCTTACAGGATATCAAACAATCTCTTCTTGAGAAATTCGATGTCTTTATAGTCCCAACTGCTCCATTGAACCCAACTCTCAAAGACTTAGAAGATGAGCCAATCAAGGTTAACTCTTATCAAGGAACTTGGACCAATTTTGTTAATTTAGCTGACCTCGCTGCATTATCCATCCCAACTGGATTCCGTTCCGATGGTTTACCATTTGGTGTTACTTTGTTAGGAAACACTTTTACTGATTATGCTCTTCTTGATTTAGCCCAACAATATTTGACCAAGATCCATCCATCAAGATTTATTGGTGGTCTTAAACACAAAACAGTCGGTACCGGTGACCATCTTGACTACTCTATCCAACAGAGGATTGCTGGTGAATCATCAACTTCAATTGAATTGGCCGTGGTTGGTGCCCACCTTAAGGGATTGCCTTTGAACTGGCAACTTGACAAGGTAAATGCTACCTTTGTTGAAGCAACTACAACATCAAAGGACTACAAGCTTTATGCTTTACCAAAAACAGGTCCAGTCCTCAAACCAGGGCTAAGAAGAGTAGAGGTTGGTGGTGCCAATATCGAAATTGAAATTTATTCTGTTCCAACTTCAAGATTTGGTGAATTCATTAGTATGGTTCCTCAGCCTTTGGGTATTGGATCTGTTGAAACATCTAAGGGCAAATGGGTCAAATCCTTCATTTGTGAGGAAGCAGGCTATACCACCAAAGGTTCGGTTGATATTACTAGTTTTGGTTCCTTCAAGAAATATGTCCAATCCTTAGAATCTAACACCAGTGGTTTGCTTGGTGCTAAAAAGGTCTCATTCAAGAAAGTGCTTATTGCTAACCGTGGTGAAATCGCTGTTAGAATTACTAAGACTTTGAAAAAACTTGGAATCTTGTCTGTTGCCATTTACTCTGACCCTGATAAGTACTCGAAACATGTCGAAACTGCGGACCTTGCAGTTGCCTTGAAAGGTACTACCGCCGCTGAAACTTATCTTGATATCGATAAAGTCATTGCTGCTGCCAAGAAAACTGGTGCTGAAGCAATTATTCCAGGTTATGGTTTCTTGTCCGAGAATGCTGATTTTGCTGACCGTTGTGCCGCTGAAGGTATCGTGTTTGTTGGTCCTTCTGGTGATGCAATTAGAAAGCTTGGTCTCAAACATTCTGCTAGAGAGATTGCTGCTGCTGCCAATGTTCCGTTAGTCCCAGGTTCTGGGTTGATTAAGGACTCTAAAGAAGCTAAAGAGTTTGCTGAAACCATCGGTTATCCTATTATGATCAAGTCTACTGCTGGTGGTGGTGGTATCGGGCTTCAAAAAGTTGATTCTCCAGACGACATTGAACGTATTTTTGAAACCGTTCAACATCAAGGGAAATCTTATTTTGGTGATTCTGGTGTTTTCATTGAACGCTTCATTGAAAGTTCCCGTCATGTCGAGGTCCAAATCTTGGCCGATGGGTTTGGCGGAGCCATTGCTTTAGGAGAAAGAGATTGCTCGTTGCAACGTCGTAACCAAAAGATCATCGAAGAAACCCCTGCTCCAAACTTGCCTCAGGCCACCAGAGAACGTTTGCATGCTGCTGCAGAAAATTTGGCTAAACTGATGAAGTATAAGAGTGCTGGTACTGTGGAGTTCATTTATGACTCTCAACGTGATGAATTCTATTTCCTTGAAGTCAACACTAGATTACAAGTGGAACACCCAATCACCGAAATGGTCACTGGCTTTGATCTTGTGGAATGGATGATTTACATCGCTGATGATGCCGCTCCAAATTTGGCTGAACAGAAAAAATTAATCAAGGTTAATGGCGCCTCTATGGAAGCTCGTTTGTACGCTGAAAATCCTGTGAAAAACTTCAGACCGTCTCCTGGCCAAATTACCGAAGTTAAGTTCCCGGAATTTGCTAGAGTTGATACTTGGGTCACTAAAGGTACCACTATTAGTTCTGAATACGATCCAACTTTGGCCAAGATTATTGTTCACGGGAAGGACCGTGCTGATGCTCTTCAGAAATTGAACAAGGCTTTGGAAGAAACTGTTGTGCATGGTGTGGTTACTAATGTTGATTACTTGCGTTCTATTGCCTCTTCTGAACTTTTTGCTAACGTGAAGTTTCACACCAAGATTTTGGATTCCTATGAGTACGATGCCCATGCTATTGAAATCCTTGCCCCTGGCGCTTACACTACTGTTCAAGATTATCCTGGTAGAACTGGTTACTGGCGTATTGGTGTTCCACCATCTGGTCCAATGGATAACTACTCTTTCCGTGCCGCTAACAGAATTGTTGGTAACCATGAACATGCTCCAGGTATTGAAATGACTCTTGTTGGTCCAACCATTAAATTTCATCATGAATCCGTGATTTCCATTACTGGTGGTAGAGTCAATGCCAAAATTGATGGCGTTTCCGTTAATCTGCATGAACCTATTACAGTTGCTAAAGGTGCTGTCTTGGAAGTGGGTAAATTAGCATCTGGTTGTCGTGCTTACCTTGGTATTCGTAATGGTATCGATGTCGTTGAGTACTTGGGATCCCGTTCAACTTTTGCCCTTGGCTCTTTGGGTGGTTATAATGGCCGTACTCTTAAGTTTGGTGATGTTTTGTTTTTGGGTCAACCTCAATTATCTGCCAACAGCTTGCCAGGTCCAGTCGCCAAACCTACTGCTTTGCCAAAAGCTCTCATTCCAGACTTGGAAACCAAGACTTGGGAAATTGGTGTTACTTGTGGTCCTCATGGTGCTCCAGATATTTTCAAGCCAGAATTTGTCGAAACCTTTTTCAGTGATGAATGGAAGATCCATTACAATTCCAACCGTTTTGGTGTCAGATTGGTTGGTCCAAAACCAAAATGGGCTCGCTTGGACGGTGGTGAAGGTGGTTTACATCCTTCCAATGCTCATGATTATGTCTATTCTATGGGTGCTATCAACTTTACTGGTGACGAACCAGTTATCTTGACCTGTGATGGTCCTTCTCTTGGTGGCTTTGTCTGTCATGCTGTTGTTGCCGAAGCTGAAATGTGGAAAGTTGGTCAAGTCAAGCCTGGTGATTCTGTTAAATTTATTCCAATTACATATGACTCTGCTAGAGAATTGAAGGTCAAGCAAGACGAATCTCTTGAGAATTTTGCTGGCCAGTTCCCATTGGCTCTTGCTGATTACAAGACCGCCCCTGAAGATCCAGTGTTGTACAAACTTGAACAATCATCCAAGAATCCAAAGGTTGTCTACCGTCAAGCTGGTGACCGTTATATTTTGGTGGAATACGGTAATGATAATATGGATTTGAATTTGAGTTATCGTGTCAACCGTTTGATCACCATGGTTGAAAACCATAAGACCGTGGGTATCGTTGAAATGTCTCAAGGTGTTCGTTCTGTGCTTATTGAGTATGATGGTAGCAAAATCCATCAGAAGAAATTGCTTGAAATTTTATTGGCTTATGAAAAAGAAATCTTGTTTGTTAATAAATGGTCGGTGAAATCTAAGGTTGTCAAGTTACCAATGGCTTTTGAAGACAAGCAAACTCTTGCTGCTGTTAAGAGATACCAAGAAACTATCCGTGCTTCTGCTCCTTGGTTGCCAAATAATGTTGACTTTGTGGCCAAGATTAATGGAATGACAAAGCAAGATGTTCGTGATTTGATGTATGCCGCTCGCTTCTTGGTTTTGGGTCTTGGTGATGTGTTCCTTGGTGCCCCATGTGCCATTCCATTGCAAGGAGAATTGACTGCTAGAAGATACCCATTGCCTTTGCTTGGTTCCAAATATAATCCATCCAGAACTTTTACTCCAAATGGTACTGTTGGTCTTGGTGGGATGTACATGTGTATTTATACTATGGAATCTCCAGGTGGTTATCAATTGATTGGTAGAACCATTCCAATTTGGGATAAGTTATCTCTTGGTTCTCATAGTACTGGTGCTGATGGTAAGGAACAACCTTGGTTATTGACTCCATTTGATCAAATTGAGTTCTATCCAGTTAGTGAAGAAGAACTTGAAGTGTTGACCGAACAAACCAACAACGGTAAGTTCAAGATTGATATTGAAGATTCTGTTTTTGATCATAAGGAATATATGGAATGGATCCAGGAACATAGCACTGAGATTGAAAAAGTGAGAGAATCAAAGAAGATTGGGGAAAAGCTCGAGGAATTCAAGACCTTGATTCAAATCTCAAACCAAGAATTGATGGAAAGTTCTGCTCCAAGAATAGTAGAAGAAGAAGCTTATCCAGAAGATGCTGAAATGGTGTATTCACAATACTCTGGTAGATTCTGGAAGCCTTTGGTTGCTGTTGGTGACACTGTTGAAAAAGGTCAAGGTATGGTTGTTGTTGAAGCCATGAAGACAGAAATGACTGTCACTGCTCCAAAATCCGGTAAGGTTTTGAAGATTATTCACCAAAATGGTGATATGGTCGATGCTGGTGATTTGGTAGTTGTGATCCATTAGATAATGATTTTTGTTTGTATTATTTTTTAGCATGTTTTATCTATTATTATTTTCTACGGCTTTTGTGTTTTAATTTTTATTTTTGTGGATGTTCTGTTTTATCTTTATGTATTTAATGATCAATAAGAAAGAAAAAAAAAAGATGTTATTATGTATTTCTGTTTATGAAAAATCATTGAAATGGTAAGTCAGAATTTATGGTTGCTCGCTACTTACTACAATTTTGAATTTCAAATTATCAAGGGCTTTGTCCAAATTTTTATAATACATAATGATAAATCTATTTAAATTTGACACTTCTAGATAAATTCTTCTTAATACCAGTCGCTTCCCCACCATATGGTCCTTGTTGGCCTTGGTAGACTTGTCTGACAGACTTAAGTTTCTTCTTAGCTTGGTCATACTTCATTCTCTTCTTGACTCTTGAGTTTCTCACCTCCTTCTTACGTTTGACAGTCAAACCCTTGTTCTTCAAGATTTGGTAACTAATGGCTCTCTTACCTTCAGCACCAACATTTTCATCAGCCATAATTTCCGCCAACTTACCATCCTTGGCAGCCATAACTGCTGCCTGGTGAGCTTCTTTTCTCTTGTGGCGTTTATCTTCACGGGCAAACTTCACGGAATTGTAATAGTTATCATACTCATTATTAAGGTCCTTGGCCTGGGATTCTTCAGCCGAATCATAATCGGCGCCATCCAAGTTGGTGGCAGCATCACTCTTATCCAACCCACGCTTACGGGCTTCTTCAATGAGTCGCTGTTGACGTTCGTACAAACGTTCTTTGTATGGGATATCTTCATCACCAGCAAACTTGGAGTCTTTCTTAAGGGCTTGCTGATCAATTTTGGAAGTGTAGAAACGCAAGGATTTCTTACGTGATTTCTTTTCATCAACGTCAATGTCATCAATACCACCTTCCATGTTGTCCGATGTACGCACCACTGAACGTTTCTTGACATCACGGCGTTTCAATTTGCTCAAATCTAAATCTTCTTCTTCTTCTTCTTCTTCTTCTTCTTCTTCTTCTTCTTCTCCTGATTCCACATCTTCCTCGTCGATTTCTTGATCTTCATTTATCTTTTCTGGTTTTATTTCTTCATCTTCCATAATTTCAGAATCGACTTCAATAACATTCTTTAACGCACTGGCCTGATTCCATGCTTCTCTAGAACTCAAAATGGTTTCCATGATCGGATGGTCCTTCATACTTAAGGTTTCATCACTGGCATTCTTCATCATTGATGCAAGTAAATTGATATAATTCATAATGGAACCAAGATAAGTTGATAATGCCAAAAACTTCACTTCATCCACCTTTGAAGCCACCTTGGCTTTAATTTTATCTTGTAAAGATTGGAACAGCGAGCTGCATAATGTGCTAAACTCTCTGCAAAGAGGATAATATTCAGGAAAGCTTGTCTTTATAAAGTTTTCTTTGGCTTCTTGATTCAAATTATTGAAATTTTGCCCAGTGACAATCTCTTGTAACTTCTGCTGCTGTTCAAGACTATCTTTATTGTTCAGAATATCATCTTCATATGAAACAGCTTCCTTCTTCCATTCACTCATAAGCTCATTGTCAAAATAATCTTCCATATTCAAGTCTTCCATATGCTTCTTTTGCAATCTAAGAGATTCCTTGACGAATTCTTCCGCCTCTTCCTTATTGTTGATGGCATCAATATCATCACCACCGTAAATATTTTCTTTACCTCCCCAATTTTCATCATCACTTTCTTCTTTGCCAGGTTTCAAGTCATCATCGTCATCTGAGCTGTCTTCGCTTTCATTTTCGGAAATATTCAAGACTTCATCATCACTAAGCTCCTCCGAAGAGTAACCATCTTGGTATCTGTTACCCTTTGATACCTTTAGACGGCTCTCATGGTATTTATCGACTTCATCCAATTCAAGGTCAGACATTTTTCCTTTAAACTCTCGTTTCCTTTGCTGAGATCACCTTGTATTAGCGGTTCAAGTTGAGATGAGCTCAAAATAAAAAAAAAAAAAAAAAATTTTCTGACGTCCTCGGAATTCTATGTTTTTATCACGTTTTGTTCCCTCGGTTATGTGATAAATCATAAAGGGGGTATTTCACACCACGCCAAAGCTCTAATTCATCATTATTTTAGTTATTTTATTTATTTTTACATCTTTTGGCCTTCTCCACAGTATTTTTAGAAGGCAATAAAATCATTCATGTGATTGGGTTGTTCGTTCGTCTCTGAAAACACCCGGATGCTAAAAAGATTCCTTGTTAGGGTCCTTTTCACAACTCTTACCCTGCTGCAAATATCAAGCGCGTACAGCAGCTTGAGTAACACGCTGGATCATTATTGCAACTACGTAAAAAAGACAACAACATCAACCAATACTACCGATTGCCTAACTACCTTCATCAGCACGCGACAAGCCATAAGGATCTGGAGTTTTTTAAAAACAGTTGCTTTCCAAGTCAATTCTTTCTTGAAACTCTTTTTTTCCCCCATTATTCTTGCTTCCAATTTCGCTTTGAAGTGGTAAATGTTTCTCCACATTCAAAGCTTTTGATCCCAACTGAACTTATTTAAAATATAAGATTGAAAGGAGCATATAATATCATCTGAGGCTTTAATATGTCGGGTGTGAACTTAGCTCAGCAGTATGAGCAAGATAAGCAGAAATTGGTCAGGTTCTGCTTCTCTAAGTATGAAGCAGACGGCACTCTCCATGAATCCTATATCACCCACGTTCGAATTATCGAAGATTCTCACTATCCATCAACCAAACCTCCCCCAAATGCGCTGCATACTCACAAGAAGACCAGAATTCTTTCTTTGGCGGTGAAAAGATCCGGAACCGTGAGATTACATAAAGGTAGAGAAAATCCAAATGGTACATTTCAAATTGGAAGAACTTGGAGTTTGGACGAACTATCGGAGATCCAGATCGTTAATGGTACAGACTGTGGGTTGATTGTAACTTTGGGAAAACCTTATTACTGGGAGACTAATACTGCCAAAGAAAGAACAGTTTTTATCAAGAGTATTTGTAACATTTTCCACAAATTCACCAGGGGTGGGTTACCTGTCTTGGTTAACTTTGATAAAAATGCGTTTTCCGACATTATTAAGCTCGGTAATAATGGAAGACCTGCTACCTTACGTTACACCAATGATACTCCAACCTTTGATTCACATGGTCCCGCGTTTGGGAATATGGCTACCAATGCCAGAACCTCTGTTGCCAATTCAAATTACAGTAGTAGTAATAACAAAAACTCTATGATATCAAATAATGGTGTCGCCTCTCCTATGACTCCTATTAATCCCCAAAATGGCTTACCTTCGCCTATCAGTGTTCGAGATAATAGTTATATCACTTTAGGCGGAGCTAATGGCGGGAATAATCAAACTAATGTTAATACTCCTAAAAATGATAATCACAATGATAATAAATCAGCATTGCCTCATGGTCAAAAGAACTATGCTTCTCCTGAAACAATGAAAAATAATCCCCCAGCTCTTACTACAAAAAAATCATTAGCATCCCTTCAAAAAATGAAATTACATGAGCAGCAGCAACAGCAGCAAAAACAACAACAACAACAACAACAAAAGCAGACGATAGCACCAAGCAAAAGCATGGGTAACTTGTCAAACAAGCCGTCGCTTTCAAAGATCAATACCAACAATAATAGCACTTCGCATTTTGGTGCACCAAAAAGCGCAAAGGCATATGATGTGGATTCTACTAAAAATCCACCTCCTTTAGCATTTAAATCACCAAGTTTGATGAATTTATCTGATTCTAAATCAAGGAATACTTCGCAATCGCTTTCTTTCAAGTCATCTTCTCCTCAAGTCAACACTTTTGCTGAAAATTCCAGATCTGCTCTAAAGAATGATATTCTAAATGGCAGTAGTGAAGGTATTGACAGGGGATTCTTGAAAAATGAACTTAATAGTGTGGATAACAATGGTATTGATGCGGCCATTGACCAGTCGAAGAATATGCTTTCACCAGGGAAAATTTTTGATTCCCCAACCCACTCTAGCTTCTCAGAAACTAACTCTAATTCTCTTACCGTTAAGTCGAACCGATCCTCTATTTTGGATGTGGAATTCAAAAGTACATCTCCACGGAACTCCATTCATAGAAAGAATACTGATCGTGAAGACAATGACGATTCAACCGTTGTGATGAATGAGATTTACAAGCAAAGATCTCTAAACAAGAAACCAAGCATGAAGTTGAAAAAGAGCAGTTCCAATTTATACAGTGAAGTCCGTGCCTCCTCTGATATATCTTCAATGCCTCCTCCGCCTACTATCATTCGTACAACCACTAGTGATTCCGATTTTGCTAAAAATGTTCCAGCTGGAAAATATTATAATGATGATGATGATGATGACGATGACGATGATGACCTTGAAAATTCTGGCAACGATCTTGACAATAACAGGAGTAACAATAAAGATGTTGGGGACATTGAAAATTATGGTATTTATGATGATAATATTATTGAGGATAAAAGAGCGGCAGCCGATAACAAAAGAATTTCCATGAGCAGAAGGGATGATTCAACACCTTTAGAAGAACTATTCGAGGAAATTGAATGGGATAGTAGAGATGATTCCAAAAAGGTTACCCAAAAGTTGATGAGAACATTGTTGAAGACTGAATACGAGTCAATTAACTCATTGATCAATATATCTGCGAATTTTAGTGCCATTGATCAATTTATCGACGAAAGTATTCTGCAATGTGAAAAATTAGACCCAATGCTCACGTTCTTTCAAGTGGAATTGGATGGTTTTAGTGAAGAGATTTCTTTCATTGAAAACCAATCTTCAGGGTTACAAGTTACCACCGCTAATAAGAAGATATTGTGGAATGAATTAAAAGATATTCTCAGCAATGTTAGTTTGAGTTCTGAAGAATTAAGAGTTTTGACAACTTATCAAATTTCTAGAAATGAGAATAACATCATTACCATCGAAAAAGTTCTACGCGGGCTTTATTCTGCATTGAAAACCATTAGAGGAGCTGGAGGTGCCAAATCTAAGAGTGCAGATTTAATTGAAAATGATCTTGGGAATATGAGAGCCTTAACGGAGCGTAACAGAGTTTATGAACAATACAGTCAGGGCTTCCTTACTGGAGTTCAAAATTCCTTGTCTAAGGAATTTGGCTCTGTTTTCAATGAGATTGATAATATTAGCAACCAAGCGTTTGGTAGAACTAATGCGCTGATTGACACTCAATGGATAATCAAGACTTTAAACAATCATTTTTCCTCTCTACTTATTTACGCAGGTTTTGTCTTGTATGCCAAAGAAATTTCTCTGGATAAGTTCTTTACTATTACAGATGTTTATCAAAAATACTCAAGAAGATCATTCTATCAATTTATTGAAAATGCTTTGAGTTTCCACACCCGCTCTTTAAAAGAGTGTCTTGGAGATCATAAATACAACTTTTCTTTTGATTACAGAGACACTAAATCTAATCTCACAATTAATCCAAACGAGCGGGCTACTGCGAGAAATGTGATCAAGATATTTGATTCTAAACTATGTGCCACAGTTTTTGACACAACGTATGGTATTCTTAAGTTATTGCAAGATTTGATTGCTCAACAGCAGAATTTTATTGCTGATTTCTTCCATTATTCATCATTGAATGAAATGAGCTTAGACGATTATTTGAAGGTTTTTGAAAATCCAAAAGATAGAGTAACCTCATTCTTGGAAAAAAAAGACACATATCGAATTATGAATAAGCAAAATCATGATGCCGGTTACGGAGATGATACAGAAGAAAGCAAGTCAACTTTGTTAATTGAAAACATCTTCTCCCCTGAAATAAAAATGATTATCAAGCATATGATTAATTTCTCATCTGAAAATTGTCAAATATCTCCTGCTATTGTATTGAGCCTTGAACATAATATCCAGCAAATGGCCAAACTGAATAACGATTTCGTTATTGCGAGTTATTTGAAAAAGGTTTCAAATAGATTCAAAAATAGCTGGTTCAGTTACAACCAGGCACAAACCAAAATATTTGTCAACAATTTGAACTCTAGTCTTTTAATGGACAAACAGATTGGTTTGCTATTTGTTATCAAGTCCTATGTCCAGATAGTTAAATTTCTTGAAAGCTCTTTGACTTTGACAAACTTACCTGAAGAGCTTATAGAAGATAGTTCGGTTAGACTGATTTTGAACATGACTTATAATGATTATAATAACTATATCATCAAGTCCTTTGAAAGCACTTACAAATCCATTATGAACAGCTCTCCAAATATGAAAAACAGGAGAATAACCAGATCTAGTGTTCCTCCAAAAATGAAGAAAGGACAAGGAGAGGAGATCAATGTAAACAAGTCTGTTAATTTGATCGTTAATAGTAATTATTTAATCAGTTCATTTGAACCGCTCAACTTGGAAATTTTCAATGACTTCCGGACCGATTTGCTCGATAACACTTATAAGGAATGTGTGATTTTCTATATTGATTCATTATTGCAATCAAGCTTGAGCAAATTGACTGAGTTTATTGATGGTATTGAATCATTGTTGAAAAATCCTTCCAGAAATATAAGTGTTGATCCAACCAAAAACAACGCCTACTCCAAAGAAAGTTTCCATCAGTTGATCTCCTTCTATAATAAATCAGAAGTTTTCCAGGGAATTCAAATCAATTACAAAAAAGTGGAGAATGACTTTGCGTACTTTAACAAGAGCAATTCCACGGAAGATGAAGAATTACTTTTCTTGGATATTAATGAAAGAGAAATTGAGTATGTTCAAAACAAGCTCATCACAAAAATCTGGCAACAAGTTGAAACTGAATACATTTTGATTTATAAGAGATTGGAAGGCATCATCAATAAGTACTATAGAGATGTTGATGCAGAAGTCAACAGAAATAACTTAATTCAAATGTTCAAAAATGTCAAGAAGAGCAATAGCATTTCTTACTGAAAAATAGTTCCGTCCTCACCATAATACCCTTTAAATAAAAATATTTATGATAGTTTTTTTTTTAGTTTTTTTTTTTCGTTTTATTTAATTGCTGTACTTCTATTTTTTCTACTATTATGGTTTCCTTCATTTATTATGCTCGAAAAATTATTACCTATTACTTATCTTCTTTTTATCATCCCCTGATTATTAATTGTAAGTATTGTGAAGGAAAACCTGACAACCTCGAAGGTCACTAATGTTATGTGCGTATAGCATAATTTGGTAAAATATGAAAAATCAAAAATATAACTCTGCAGCAAAAAAAAAATACAGTTATAATAATGTTCTTTCAGGAACATTCGAAGAGTAACGGAAATGATATCGGTCGATTCAAAGGTATATATAGAGTTTTTGAACTAAAAATTGTTTTATTATTATTCAGAATGTTGACTTTACTAATGCGCACTTCATACTGTAGTCAGATGACAATGAAAGTTTGAGATTCTTCTGTTTAGGAGGTGGTAATGAGGTAGGAAGATCATGCCATATTATTGAATTCAAGGGCAAAACCGTGATGTTTGATGCGGGTGTTCATCCAGGGTTCAGTGGATTGAATGCGTTGCCATTCTATGATGAATATGACTTATCAAAGGTTGATATTCTTCTCATAAGTCATTTCCATTTGGATCACGCCGCCTCTTTGCCATATGTTATGCAACATACTAATTTCAAGGGAAGAGTGTTTATGACACATCCTACCAAAGCTATTTTCAGATGGATTTTAGGAGATTTTGTCAGAATTACTCTGATTGGTGAGGGGGTTAGTGCCACAGTTTACAATGATGATGACTTAGCGGATGCATTTGACAGAATTGAGACAATTGATTATCATTCGACCTTGGAAATCGATGGAATCAAATTCACTGCTTATCATGCGGGTCATGTATTGGGGGCAGCGATGTTTTTTGTTGAAATCGGAGGTTTAAAGGTTCTATTTACTGGTGACTACTCTAGAGTTAAGGATCGTCATTTGTATTCTGCAGAAGTACCTCCAGAGAAACCAGATGTCCTTATTTGTGAGTCAACTTTTGGTATTGCCACTTTTGAAAACAGAGAAGAAGCTGAAAATAGATTAACAAGGCTTGTTCATGGGGCGGTACTGAACGGTGGTCGTGTTTTATTGCCTACTTTTGCATTGGGAAGAGCACAAGAATTAATGTTGGTGCTTGATGAATATTGGTCAGAGAATCCAGATTTAGAGAACATTGAGATTTATTTCTGCTCAGCATTAGCCAGAAAATGTATGACAGTATACAAAACATATGTTAATATGATGAATGAAGAGATTCGAAGAAGGTTTAAAACAGAAAATATGAATCCATTTAATTTCAAATATATCAAAACATTGAGGTCTTTGGAATCATTTGAAGATTTTGGGCCTTGTGTGGTAATCGCCAGTCCCGGTATGTTACAAAATGGTACATCCAGAGAATTATTGGAAAGATGGGCCCCGGACCCTAGAAATGCGCTTATTATCACTGGTTATTCGGTGGAAGGTACTATGGCCAAAACCATTCTTACTGAACCATTAGAAATCCCATCAAGCAACAATCCTGATATTATGATTCCTAGAAGACTTTCAGTGGACGAAATTTCTTTTGCTGCACATGTTGATTATGAACAGAACTCGCAGTTTATTGATCTAGTGAGCCCAAAAAATATTATCTTAGTTCACGGGGAAATAAATCCTATGGGCAGATTAAAATCCGCATTGTTATCAAAATACGCAAAATTTAGAAAAACTAAAAGAGAGGTCAAAGTATTCACTCCACGCAATTGTGATGATTTGAGAATTCAATTTCAAGGTATGCGGGTGGCTAAGGCTTTAGGAAACATCGCGGAAGTCAAACCTAAGCCAGGTGACATTATGACGGGTGTATTGGTTTCTAAGAATTTTGACTTGAACTTGTTGAAGGTTGATGATCTTAGAGAGTTTTCAGGGTTGACTACTACTGTGGTCAAGGAGCGACAGACTATTCGCATCACTTCGGGTAGAGATTTGATGCATTGGCATTTATCCCAAATGTTTGGTTATGTCGAAGTGTTGCACGATAATGAGGAGGAATTTGAATTGAAGGTTATGAATGATGTCACTTTGACATTAGAAAAAGATATCTGCACCATTCAATGGACAAGTGGCTTGATTAATGATACTATTGCAGATTCTGTCATCGCTATTTTACTTTCTGTTGATTCATCCCCTGCATCAGTCAAGATGACATCAAGGATACATTCTCATGACCATAATCACGACCATAATCACGATGGTGAGGTTAAAGTCGAGGTCAAAACTGAAGAAGTCAAGGAAAAGGAGAAGGATATAAAACAAAAACTACTAGAAAGACATGGAGACTCTTCAATAGAAACCCGAGTCCATAGAATTATTGGTCTTCTTAGAGCTCAGTTTGGTGAGTCTTTTTCTACAAACTCAGAAAGAACTGGTGGTATTGTGAAGATTGGACCTACAGAAGCCAAAATTAACTTTATGGATTTGACTGCCGAATGCTCATCAAACATTCTCAAGATTAGAATAGAGCAAATTATGAATAGAGCAACAGACTTGGCAGCTCCATTGGCACAGAAAACAAAAGTTATGTGATTATAATGAAATTTTTTGCTCTTGTTTCTCTATTTTGTTTTTACCTTATGGCACACTTACTATAGCTCACTATGTAATATAAATTGGATACTTACCTTTAAAATAGTATTTATTGCTTGCAAGTTTGTATATGTAGAAGTTTCACCCGCACACCATGCTGCAATCTGCCTTACCCTGCTCTGGCAAGCATGGAAAGTTCTCGAAAAAAAAAGTATACCCATACACATGGGCAGTCTTCTAATACTGCTGTTGATATCAAATACGCTCAATCATTATCCTACTTTGTGCTCCATATTGGGAATCCTCTTCACATAATATTCTTTAACTTCAATTTTTTGTTTACCTTGAACGAAAGTGGTGCATCTAGGCCCGTTAGTTCGGATCAACCTTAGTGATATATTATTTTTTTTTTGGAGTTTTTTTTAGGGTTTTTTTTTTTTTGGAACTTTGCGCGATGAGCCAGCAGAATAGCCATGCTGAACCCAACCAGAATGACATAGACATTGACATTGACCCTATAATAAACAGCGCTGAATTAGTGCTCCCAGAAGAATATTCGCAATCACATCCCTTTTCAAGAACAAATGATACACCGCTAAGCAATGAACTTCAGTTGGTTTCTCCAAGCACCCAATATTTTGGAGTCCCGTCCTCGTACGTCAATATGATTGATGGATATTTGGCATTGGACTCATTAGACAGAACAAACGGTGAATTAAAATCGTCTGATTTGCTCAAAAATGTCAAAAAGGAGATGGATAAGACTCAGGTAATTGATTCAGGGTCAGCGCCAAGCAATACACTTAATTCAGGAAAGTCAAAGAAAGCCCCATCTCAGCCCAAATCAAGGCCTGCTTTCGTGATGAAATTATGGTTGATGGTTAACGACACAAATAATTTCGCTCATATACAGTGGTCCCCTGATGGTAAATCTTTCAAGGTCATTAATAGGGAACTGTTCATGAAAACAATTTTACCAAAATATTTCAAGCATTCGAATTTTTCAAGTTTTGTTAGACAACTAAATATGTATGGTTGGCATAAAGTTCAAGATATGAACGTTGGTTCGAATACAAGCGCCAGTGATGAAATCTGGCAATTCGAAAACCCCAACTTCCAAAAAAATAGAGAAGATTTGTTAGATAATATTGTTAGGAACAAGTCTGTGAAAAATGGCAGAGACGATGTGGAGGAATTAGATGTTAATTTAGTGGTCAACGAATTGAACAAAATAAAAGCAAACCAAGGACTAATTGCGGATGATTTAAGGCGAGTTAGGCAGGATAATTCTTTATTATGGCAGGAAGTGATCCTTGCAAGGGATCGTTATAATAAGCAGAATGAAACGCTAAATACCATTTTGAGGTTTATTGCCTCCGTGTTTCTGGGAAATTCTAGTCTGGGACAAAGAGAAATTGGGTTTGATGGAGTTAATAGCAACAATCCATTGCTTTCTGCCCTTTTTGATGCTGTTAAAAAGAGCAATGCCAATAATAACAACAATAGTACCGTGAGTGACATTACATCATTAACACCGACAAACGAGAGTGTTATTGAAGATAATATAAATGATACCCCCACGGTGCTGAAACCACGATTGATGCTTACTGATGGAGCATATAATGAGCTGCCTCTTGTTGAGGAACCTGCAACTATTCGTACACTCTCGTCCAATCCAAGCACTAGAAGAAACTCTAATATTGCGCCATTGGCGATTATTGATGAGCTACCTAATGATATAATCTCACCCGCGACATTGGGATCCATAAATAGCGGTATCTCCGACCCTACTTCCCTGAATAACAACATAGATTTCAATTTTCCTGAAAATGATATTACCAATACCAAAATAGTTACCAATGAAGCCTCTGCTATAAATAATGACGCATCACGGGGAAGCTCAATACTGAAAGTTAATGGCATATTGAGCAACATTACTTCCACCAATGAAATCGTTAAGTCCAAAAAAAACAATGATGCAACCATAGAATCATTGCACTCAAATATTATCAAGCAAGAAGAATCCATTGGTAATCTTGCGGATTTAATCAGTCGTTATATTCCCGATAATGACTATGATAGAGCACTTTCTCCTGGCGGTTCCCATGAATTTGATGTAGATCAGTTTCTAGCCAATGACAAAGGAGGTCTCGCTAGTACTTCTGACGTGTCTGCTATAAATGGAATTTCGGAGTTGCCTGATAGCGATAAAGTTAGCACTAAAAGAGGCATTTCTGATATTGATGATGAAGAATCCAACAAAACAAAAATGGCTAAGCAATGATGAACCTTTGCACTATTTGGTGTTTTATTCGCTTATTTATTAAGCAAGCTATATAAAATACTTACACTTATATAATATAATACAAAGAAATTTGAACACCAAACTCGCATAAAATAGAGTGTTATATCCACATACATGTAGAAATTGTTCATGCTGCATCTGGGGCTTCTTAACGCGTCGACGCGTTTTTTTATTTCTTATTATTTTTTTTTCTCAACAAAACTCAAGAACAAGGACCACAAATAAAGTGATACACCAGATCTGGGCTTCAATATATCAAAAATAAGTTCTTAGTCTTGTATTACCAGCATGCCTAAAACTGCAAAAAACCCTTTGGAAGATCTGGGAAGAAGAAGATCATCGCGTGTGAGGTTTTCAAACGTCAACTATAATGAAGACGATTCACATGATGAGGTGGAAGACAAAGACAAAGAGGTAGTACAGCAGAATGAGTCTAGTTCCGACGAATCAGAAAGTGAAAATGATAAAGAGAAAGATGATGAATATGTTCCTAGTGGTCAACATAAAAAGAAAAGAAAAGATGCCAGTAACTCAACTAGACCACGCTCCAACCCAAAGAAATCAAGAGGGAAAAAACAATCGTCCAAAAACTACTACAATGAATTAGAAGAAAACTTGGTAGAGAATAATATTTTCAAGTCGTTGGAAGATCCTGAAGTTTCGATTGTTGAACTTGCTAATGACTGGTTGGAAGAATACCAAGAAAATAAAGATATCGCAACCAAAGATTTGATTAATCTAATTTTGAGAAGCTGTGGCTGTTTGTCTCAATTAGAGACACATGATGTCTACAATATCGAAGCATGCTCTAATACTGTTACCGAGCTCGAGGCTAATTTTCAGAATCAAGTACTTCATGAGTTCCCATTTACTAGTAAATCAAGGAATTTCAAGCATTTTAAGAATAACTTCTTAGAATTCTTTAAGCAGACCATTATTCTTTCGAGTGAGAAAAACATTCTTATTGGAGATCCCTCTGATGCAGAAAAAGACGAAAATGAAGGTGCTGAGGAAGAAGGTAGCTTTTTTGAAAATTTGCTTATTTGGCTTTCTCATTTGTCAGCCAGCACCATAAGACCGTTAAGATACGTGACTACTAATATATTGCTAAGTATTCAAACAACAGTTTGTGAGATTTACGTTAAAGTTATTAAGAACCAGGATAAGAATTCCAACAATTTAAATGCTGAAAATGAGAAGCTTGCGGCTACCCAAAAGAAATTGAAAGCCAAAAGAATATCCAAGGCTGAACAGCAAAAATTCAATCGTGATCTTAAGAAGCATCAAAATCATATTGAGTCAATTAAAAAGAATTTGAAACTTTATGAATTCAACAAGTCCGTTTTAGGTGAATACTTGTTTGACCTTTTCGAAACAGTGTTTGTATTTAGATTCAAAGATACTGATACAAAAATTCGGATAGAATGTATAAAAAGTCTATATACGTGGATGGATTTATGTCCGGAGTATTTCTTTGAGAACACATACTTGAAATATTTTGGCTGGTGGCTATTCGATGAAAAAATTTCTGTCAAAGCTGAAGTGCTAAAAGTTTTAACAAAGTTATATAAGAACAGTGACAACTCTATTATTAGCGGCTTGAAGCAATTCACTGAAAGATTTAAGAAAATCATCATTAGCTCGCTTCTTAAAGAAAATGATCACAATATTAAGGCTCAGTGTTTAAATGTTCTTATTGAAATCAATAAGATGGGATTTTTAGATGATTCAGAGATTTTGAAAATCAATAATTTTATGTTTTCCGTATTGAAAAATGATGCCACTGATGTTATCAATGAATTTAACAACGTTCCTGAAATTCATAAGCAGATGAAGAATAACAGCAAATTGTTGAATGAATTAGTCAAGTTTATCAACATTGTTGAAACTGAGAGATCCAGTGATTTAATTGAAAAATTCAAGTTGAATATATCGGTGTTTGAAAAAAATAACAATATTGGTATCCATGAAATCATCAAGTTCAAATCGTTAATCAAAATAGTCAATCACTCCAAGAATTTCAAGAATGGTACTAATTCTGAAGATGAAAATGAAAATGATAAAGATGAAGAATTTGAGGATGGTCTAACGTCCGACATTTCAACGATAGTCAAAAAGTATTCTTCTGAACATATTCCAAATGATATTCTGTCTTCAGGTTTCAGAAAGTTCTTCATTAATGGTAATAGTAAAAATAAAGATGAACTACCGCCAGCCATTTATATCAACGAGATTTTTAGACTTGGTCTTCTATTATATAAAAATTTTCCTTCATACTTCAAGTCTTGGAAATTCTTACTCCAATATTTGACCACGGATTTGTCGTCCTTTAACTTGGAAGATTCTGATAATGCGGTTTCTGTCGATTCTGAATTTAAAAAGCTTCTCGAGTTGAATGAAAGTGAAGAATTCTTTTTATTGTGCTTTTTGTATGGTGTTTTATATGGTGTGCTATCAAAAGAGCCAATCAACTATTATATTGAGGATTACAGTGAAAAGAAGAAAACAAAAATGACAAAGAAAGAACTTGAGCTAAAAAAAGCTGCTGAAATGGAAGCCGAAGAGCTAGAAAATGTAAAAGAGGCTAATGCTAAATTGGCCAAAACTAATATGGATGATGGTGTTGCGGAAGATGACTCTGATCATGAGGAACAGGGAATTGATGTCACTTTTGAGGTCGGCGATGATGGCGCTGATGCTGACGATGATCACGATGATGATATTAATAAAGTTGAATCAACTGAAAAGATTATTGGTCAATTAATTAATCATTTGCCGGTATTGATTGAAAAGTTTGAACCTTCTAGCTATAACTTGCGTGTGATTCTCAAAATCTTTTTTGATTTGGTGATAGATGATGAGAGAGCATTGAGCACATCCAACAATTCTTCGGAAAGTTTTATTATATTTTCTAAGGTTATCAAAAAGCTTTTGACTATCTTTAAAAATATTAGTGGCTCTAATAGTTCAGCAAATGACGACATCTCAATTTTGAAAATTGAATTCGAAAAATTCTTTGAAATTGTTCGAATTGCCATCAATAACGATGAATTAGATAGTGAGTTCAAATTGCTCATTCAAAACTTGATGATTGAACTTTCATTAGAACTCACCAATGTAATGTCTTCAGTGACATCACAAGACACCTCAATGACTAAACTAAATGTTGCCAAGAATTTGATAGATAATGTTGGGTTAGTTATCAAGAAGATTTTGATTGTTGGTCAGTCATTTAACATCTCTGAATATTTGAATGATGCTTTGATTGATGAAATTGGTGATAAAGTTATAAGCCCTCTCGCTTATTATAATTCAGATGATTTACTATATGATTGTGATGTCGATGTAATTGAGATATCGATATCTAAAAACAAAGAGAAAGAGCTGAACAGTTTTTCTAAAAATTTTGAGTTGATTTTAAACCTATATTTGAACTACTGCAGCTGGAAGCTATTGAAATTGTATGACTTCGCTGAAGATCAGTCTAGCACTTTTATCAATCAGTTGGATGATGCTTCACAAGAACATAATGGTAAACCTTCGATAAGTAAATATCTTGGGAAGTATCAGACTGTTATTGATCAATTAGAAGAATTTCTTATTGGTGATGAGTCTGCCAGATTGAGTCAATTGCTTTTTAAATTGAAAATGAAAGCTGGAAAATATTTGGCTGACTTGTTGATTGCTCTCAAGTTGTTTCAAAATACTTTTATGAATACTAATAAATTGAGTGACCACTTCGACGATTTTGATTTCTACTTGGATAGCCAAATCAATTTAGACCTCAGTATTGACTTGAAGAAAGCTTTTGAAACCATTTTTTTGCATTTAGAAAGTGATATGGCAAAGTACTTGAATGTTCAGTTGGATAGAAATGATGACGAAGATGTTGATTTTGGATTTATTGAAGATGTTGATGATAATAAAGAGGCTTCGTTTGAATCCGATATGATGCAGCAACGTATAATTAATCAGGAGACAAATTTGATTAGTTTTGTCCTAAAATTATTGGATTTGAGAAATGTCAAATTAGTTGATAAACTCTTTTTGCAAAGAATATATTTAAATAAGAAGAAGCTTGGGGGATTATACATGAGTGTTGTGGATTCAAAAGATAATGTTGATATATCAGAAGCTCTGACAGCTATTGAGAAACAAGAAAGACCTTATGAGTCCCAGGAAAAGCATGACGAAATAGAAAAGGAAGACCAAGAAACTCAATTGAATAATAGTGATGAAGATGAAATCGATGATAACAAAGAGCAGATAGTTTTGAAAGCGCCTAGAAGACCACCAATTATTCAATCTTCTGGTGCATCCCAACTGATTCAATCTTCCCCTGATGACCCAATCATCGATGACAGCCAAAATGATAATAACCTTGCTCTGTCAGAGGTTGGCAAAGGAAAAAAGAGGTGTACTTCTGAGTTTTTCAAAAAACCAAATGGAGAGGATCTTGATGATAACGATTATTTATTGCTCTCTGATACTGATGCATCGGCTGTTGGAAGCACCCCGAAAAGGAGAAAGACAAGCAGTATAGTCTCCAAAAAATCTAAAAACTCTGATATTGGAGCTAGAGCCAGTATATCATCCAAACTTCGAAACTCAAGAGGAGTTGATGATAATCTTAGTGACCTGGATGTTATTGAAGACTAAGCTTCGCTTTTAATTTTTGGGAATCTTTGTATTTTAACTCTCCAGCTCCCCAGTCTTCTTATACTTTTTTCTTTTTTCGTAGATGTTTTTCTCTTGTGTATCAAATTCTTGGTTTTGATTAATAAATGGGTTTGTGTTTTTGGCTTTTTGATAAATACATGGTTTATATAATTTGTGTTTATGCCATCTTCGATGATTTCAAGTAAAACCGTGGACTAATAAGTAACGTTATTTTGTTCCTTTATCTTTGCGAGAGAATAATGAGCCGCGTTATAGTGATGATACCAATATATCAATATATAACAGGCGCACCTTTTTCTACCATCATTATTGAAAGTATTCAATCATTGATTTGTGTATTACGAAAAATTTGCCGCAGGCAGGGGAATATTGGTCTGTATCAGGAAAGCTGCAATATGTAAAAAGTCTAATTGGTTTAATTGATCAGAATAGGATAGAAAATAGATAGCTGGTTATGTTTACGGTATTTAAAATAGATAAGTGTGTTCCCAATATGTTAGTAACTGTAAAGAAAAAAGTAGATACTCTCTTTCATCTCAATTGTGACAAACAGCAAGGTGGCAGGAAATGTTACCCAGCATCCGAATCAGCTCCTCAGGATGACCATTAGTTACCATCTGGCAGGAATAGTTGTCATCTTTCCTGTTCTTATGTATTTGTACAATAAAATGACCTATTGACTGTTGAGTATGTCGCACAACCGTTATAATAACCACTACGCAGAATTAGAATGAACGCGAGCTATGAGTAGTTGGCGACCAATATTGAAAGATGATGCGGCGATCCATTTCTCCAACACTAAAGCCGCACAGACATACTTATTAAGGCAATCGGTGCTCTTTTTCTTCATAATTATTGTAATAAAAGAAAGAAAGAATTCTTATCTCGTGAACACTACGAAACAAACACTAGACAGGAAAAAGAAAAGACACAAAAATGCAATTGCAAGCAACAGTAAGTAATATCATCCAATGAAGGATGGAAAATATAAGATGATAGTAATATATTAAATATCAATGTAAAAAAAAAAACAATAACTCTTATAGATTTGCAATACATGAAGACACATAACTGGGGATATGCAAAGAAACACCAAAAAGTAAAAAAAAATAGACAGAAAGAATACCATGTAAAAATATATAATAATCAAAACAACACTAAAGAATTCTGATAAAACCAATGCTAGATTTTATCCACATATAATGATAAAATTGTCTATATAAAATAAAAATCTGGAAATAATGTGTACCATCATCAAATCAAATCAAATCAAATCAAATCAAATCAAATCAAATCAAATCAAATCAAATTGTATATTAGTGAGTCACGGAGGCTCTAAATAACATGTAAGCCGGGCATTTTATGCCGGTCTTTCTAATAGGTGAGTAAAATATTATGACTTTCTCACAATCTCACACTCCTTGCTTTAGGAATAATCGAATAGACCAGTGCTATGGTTTTATACCATCACCACGGTACTTTCAAATTTACAAAAATGTATAAAAATATTGTTCCCTAGAAATGAATCAGCGGATTTAGCTCAGTTGGGAGAGCGTTAGACTGAAGCATCAAAATCTTCAAGTCTTGTAATCTAAAGGTCCTGTGTTCGATCCACAGAATTCGCACTTTTTTTTGCTGGAGAAGCCTTTGTAAATGAATAATCAATCACTTTTTCTCTCAGTATCATCATCCAGTTCGTTGCTTATCTATATTTTTTTTAAAAATAATAATGAGTCACAAGAATAACAGACACGTTGCTTACAAAAAAAAACATAAAATTAAACATACATCTCTATAAAATACTGTGAGTAGTTAACTGATGTAGTTTCAAATAACCTTTTCGAATACTCTCTTCTTTGAGAATTTATCTTCAGTTGAAGTTTGTTTATATTCATCAACAAATTCTTTGCTGTGCTTCAAAGCCCATTGCGTTTTAATGAACTTCAAACCTTGGATATTATAACCTAAGTCGTCATTTATTGATTTCATTTCATTTCTCAATTTGTCTTTAACATCAGTTAATCTTCTTTTGATGGCGGAATCCTTGGTACTAATTAATTCTTTGTGGTGGATTCTGATGATGAAAAACAAAAGTCTGCAGACCAAGGACAAATTATTAAGCAAATATTTCTTTTCAGAAGTCCAATAATCCAAGAACTTTAATAACTTGACAGAATAGGAAAATGGCAAAACTAAGATAGCATCTTCAAGATGAGAAGCCTTGATGTTTTTGGTAACTTGGAAAACATATTCTTGAGCGCTAACATTTTTGGCTAACAACATAATATGTCTGTCTGGCTTGATCGGTACATCGTTCAAGCCATTTTTATGTCCATTAAGTTTCAGTTCATAATCTTGTTGCTTTTCAATATCCTCTATGCCAATATCTAACGCTTCCATCAATTTTTCACCATCTTTCAAACTTTCTATGGTTTGCTTATTCACACCTTCAACTTCATCATTGTCATCCTCAGAATTTCTAGGAACAATATCATCATTTTCAAGAGACTCCAATAATGTTTGCTCATATAATTCTTCAATTTCCTTTTCCTTTTCTTCTTCAATAAAGACCTGATCACTGGTTTCCTCCCATATTCTGATACTGTGATCGTGGGATGCAGTAATTACAAACTCGCCAGAATAAGCAATTACCAACGCCCAAACTTCAGACTGATGCGCCGCTAATTTCTGGATACATTCGAATTTGTCACCGTCCCAGTACTTTACCATTCCATCCTTTGATGTCGAGAAGAAATTATGACTCTCTGGCAAAAATTTGACATTCATAATAGAATCTTGATGGGCAAAAATGGATTTATGACAATCACCAAAATCAAGACCCCAAATTTTGATATTCTTATCAGCGGAGGAAGTCACGATAAGCTTTGAGTCGAAAGAAATATCAATTGATAGCACTGGTAACTTATGACCATATAAACTTAAGTAAAATTTCAATGTGGCAAAGTGAAAGACTTTGACGGTGTTGTCCAACAATGAAACCGCCAAATATTTGTTATCTCTAGAAATTTTTATGGATAAAATGTCTTCATCAAGCTCCAATGTCTTAGAATGAACCATCTTCAATTTTCTAAATGTTGAGTTACTGCCTGGAACTGTTTCTTCCTCAACCTTGAAATTCCAGAATTTGATAGATTTATCCGCAGATCCTGTAACTAATGTTTTACCATCTTCAGTCAAATCCAAAGACCAAATTGCACTGTCATGAGCCTCAGTAATTTCTGAAACTAATTCTGATGATGCCAAATCAAACAACTGCAAATCACCAGATCTTGTACCAATAACTACAAGACCATCACCAGGTAAAAATTGACAGCAAATGGAGTAGCCACATGTAATTGTTCTCAAACAGTTCTTAGTCTTAATATTCCAAATTTTTAGTTCACCATTTGAAGCAGTAGCAAGCAATTTATCATCATGGGAAATTGCCATTGACCGGATATCAGTTCTATGTCCAAGTAGATCTACAGCATGTTTCTTAACAGGCTGAATTTCATTGTTAGTGATGGAAATCTTGCGTACCTGTGCTGGCAAGTTAACATGATAGTATTCAATCGAGTTATTGTTTGCGGAAATCAAAATTTCCAAGCCTTTGCTTGTGCACAGACCCCAAGTTGATGATTTTATTTTAGCTAAGGAACGGATAACTGTGATTGGATGTATCAACATATTGATTTTACCAGACTCAATCTGTTCATTTATTTCTTCTTCAGTATAGTTTCCCTTTTCTGATAACTTTTTGATTTTTCTGGATATAGCTTTGTCAACCTCTTCTGATGTTCGTATTCTAAATAACTCAATGGTCTTATCCGAATTTTGGCACATAAAAAAAATGAGTTTTGAACTAAGATACTTGAATTCAATATTGGTTGCTCTTGAATTAGATTGCTTCAAGTAAATCCCCTTTTCAATTAATTTAGAGTCTTCACTTTCTAAGTTAACAAACCATACCTTCAATTGATTTTCCATCCCCGAAGTAATCAAAACCTGGGATTTTGGATCATAATCAAAAGACCAACATTCCCCGGAATGAGCAACATGTGTTTCAACGCAGATCTTCGACTTCAAATCCCATAATTTTATTAAACCATCCTTAGAGGTACTTATCAACCATTCTTCCATTTCATCTATATCAGCATTGTTGTTGTCGCTGGCAAAACTAAATCCCGTGATTTGGTCTTTGTGACCTTTCAATTTAAACAAGCCCACTTCACCCACAAGGTCCCACATAATGATATTAGAGTCTTTTGAGCCAGAACATAATCTTGTACCTGAGTTATCAAACATTAAATGAGTGATTGCAGATTTGTGGCCGGTGAATACGATTAAAACAGAACTTGATGAGAGATCCCAAATCTTGATAGAACCATCAGAGTAACCAGCTGCTGCAATATTTGTTTGTTCATGATATTGAAGGTATGTGACAATAGCTGGGGCAGTCAATGTTTTCGAGTTTGAGGCACCCACATCAACGCCATCTCTAAGTTTCTGAACTAATTCTCCGGTTTTGATATTCCACAATAATATATCTTCCAAACCACTACTAAGTGCCCTTCCGGATTGTTGAGGCATATAAACCACATTACTCAGAGAAGAAATGACACCGAATGAAGCACTATGCTCATATCTAGAATACGATTTTACCATCCTCTGCCTTTTGTAGATTTATCAACTATTGGAAAGAGTACTATAGAAGAGAAGCGCCTGGAAAATTTTTGAAGGGGAACAAAAAAAAAAAATTTGATGAGGCACGTGAATGGAGGGTTCCCCACCCGTATCTCATCTCTCACAAAAAAAATTTCACATCAAAAAAAAAAAAGTATTTTCTATTACACAGTGGAGGATCAAGGTTATTATCTAAACTGGGATAAATATGGGAAAGGCCACTGCTACTAGCTCCAAGAAAAAGGCTCAACACTCTCCTTTATATAGAGATATCACCGAGGATGGTGGAAGGCTCAGAGAAAACCCTAGAGCTTCTAAAAAATCTAAATCATTGAAGGGCGAAAAAGATGAGGAATACATTGATGCTGCCACTTCCCGAAAAATCCTTCAATTGGCAAAGGTCCAACAAGAGGAACTTGAAGAAGAGGAAAATATGTTAAATAAGGATAGCAATATCACATCTAAATATAGATTTCAAGTACCAGAAGATTCAGAAGAAGAAGAAGATTCAGACGAAGCTGATGCTGAAGAGTTCGAAACATTGGGAGAATATGACGATGCTGATGAGGAAATTGAAGAACATATAAGCGAAGAAGATGCTAAGCTATTTGAACAATACTTGAACAGTCAAAAGACCTTTGATGGCTCTCAATCATACAATTTAGCCGACAAAATTATGGCAGAAATAGAAAATAAGAAATCACAACTTCAGAGAACTGAGGAAGGTGAAGAGGAGGAAAGAGGTGAGGGTGTTATGTTACCTCCAAAAGTTATTGCTGCCTATACTCAAATTGGTGAGGTTTTGTCTACTTGGACTCATGGGAAATTGCCTAAGTTATTCAAAATTATCCCAACATTGAACAATTGGGAAGATGTTTTATATGTTACAAACACTCCTAGCTGGAGTCCACATGCTGTATATGAAGCTACCAGATTATTTGTATCTAACTTGGGGGCCAAAGAGGCAGAAAAGTTCATCTATATGGTCTTGTTGGAAAGATTTAGAAATGATATTGCAGATGATGAAAATCACAAATTGAACTACCATTTGTACAGAGCCTTGAAGAAGGCCTTATACAAGCCTAGTGCTTTCTTCAAAGGGTTTTTGTTCCCTCTCGTTGAAACAGGTTGTACTAGTCATGAAGCTAAAATCGCAGCATCAATTTTGTCCAAAATATCTATTCCTGTCTTACATTCATCTGTGGCTTTGAGTCACTTATTGACTTTAGAGTATCACCCAGCCATAATAATTTTCATTTGCACGTTGATCGAAAAGAAATATGCATTGCCTTACCAAACTGTGGATGATTTAGTGTTCTACTTCATGAAATTTAGAAGAGCTGCCAATGCCAATGGTGATATGATGGATGTTGAGGATGATGTGGTAAGAAGGGAACAAAAATTGACCGTTGGCTGGTATAAGGCCTTCCTTGCGTTTGCTCAAAGATATAAGAATGATATAACAGATGACCAAAGGGACTTCTTATTAGAAACTATCAGACAAAGATTCCATAATGGATTTGGACCGGAAATTAGAAGAGAGTTGCTTGCAGGTAAACCAAGAATGTCGGAAGGTATAAAGGAGACTGAACCAGAAATGATGGATATTTTTTAATTTTAAATAGAATTATATTTCTTTTGAACATGATGATTTTTCTTTTTGTTAATGTTGGAATTATTTTGATTGTAAGAGCAGCGTGCGTTTAGGTGAGAGAAAACGCGAAAAAAAAATATAAGAAAACGCATCACCATTTAACAGGAAGGAAGAAGTAAATATACCCATTCTGGGAACAAGTTCTTGCATTTTATATGGTTGTAAGGGTAATATGTACAGTAGCTCAAAACCTTTTAATGGAATACGGTTCAGTTGTACCGGTATCTCTGGGGATTTGAGATCAGATATTGCCCATAAGATCAATTCTATGGGAGGTACCTATTATAATAACTTGATGAGTGATGTTAGTGTTCTTGTTGTCGGTGATACTAATACTGATAAATATCGGTTTTCAGTGCAAAAAAGATATGATTTAATATTCATTGAAGCTTCAGCTATTGTTAAACTTCATAAAAGATGGATTGAAGGGGAAAATATCACCATCAAAACTGCTGAAGACGGCAGTGAAGATCATTCTTATCTTGGTTTCCTACCAAGGTTTAAGCCATTCCAAGATTTAAGGATTTGTATTTCGAGAATAGATGCAAAAGTGTTTAATGTCACAAAACAGCGTCTTGCGGAATTGATAAACTTAAATGGAGGTGTTTCAACCGATAGTTTAACATCATCAATAAATTACTTGGTGACTACAGATAAATCAGGAAAAAGGTTCAGCAAATCTGTCGAATGGGGTATTCCAGTTCTACACCCTAAATGGATCACAGACTCTATTAAACGTGAAGCCATGTTGGAGGATAGATTTTACAATATTTGCACTATCTCTGATTTCAACGAAATTGGTAAAAATTCTTGTGATATTTGGAGAGAGTTTGCAGTGTTCAAGAATGAGCAAAATGAGAATTCAAGGAAAAAGAGAGGGCTGCTTGCTGTCTCTAATGATGATGCGGATGACGATGGTGACAATGAGGAGGCTAGACAGACGAAAAAGAATAAATCCAGTTTGAATGCGTGGGATTCGATCATCAAAAGTTTTAACAAGCCAGTTGATAAGGGACCATCGATTCAACTCATCGAAAAGAAGAGTACAAATGACATTAAAGGGAAACCCTCAATGAATCCTCTATTTGAGGGGCTAAAATTTCAAATATATGGCTTTGATTCAAAGAGGGAGCCAGTGTTGGTCAGAATCATCAGGTCTCACAGTGGGGAGGTAGAGCCAATATCTGAAGCGGACATCATCTCCAATGACAGAAACTTGGATGATACAGATTATATATTAATTCCTCACGATTTGCACAATAAGGAAAATTTGAATAAAATCATTAATATTAAGAGACATGTTGGGAAATTGACAACCATTATCACAGAGTGGTTCATTGAAAGATGTTTATATTATAACAAAGTAAAAAGCGACTTATGGGGAAAACCTATGGTATTTAATAGCCATGCTAGTAAGTGCCTAGGTACTCTTGATGAGACTGAAAAGATAAGGGTCAGCATCAGTGGATTTTCAGGAGCGGAATTATTGCACTTGGAGAAGCTTATTAGTTCTCTAGGCCGATTTGTCATCTTCAGTGACAAGCTTAACAGAAACTCAAACCTTTTAATCATTAATACTTCATTAATTGGGTTGAATGAGTCAAACTCAAAACGTCTCTTTGAGAAAAATGATAATGAAATTTGTACTCTATTGAAAGATGTTGAATGTAATAAGAGCAGTTTACAATCAATGAAAAAAAAACTAGTTTTCTGTCAAAATAACCAAATTCCTATTTACTCGATCAATTTTCTCTATGAATTTTTTCTCGAGTGTTTTGGTGCCAACTACTGTTCCAAAACTTCTTCCGAATTCGAGCTAAATAATTTGAGATGGTGTATCTACTATCCTAAAAATTTGGGAAATAATGACTCCCAGCTTCTAAAGTTTGCAAACAAAGTCTACCCTTCGAATAAGAAACGTAGTTTAGTCAGAGTTGATTCGACTCATCGAAAGAAAGAGTGGGGAAAATTGTCAGGTAAGGCGTCAGAATCATCATTGAATCATGCCGGTGAGGATGCAAAAATTGATGGCAACGATAAGGACTTAACAAAGGAAAGCGACGATGCAGTAACTGGGACTCAGATAGTATATGGAAAAGAGAAGCATGAACCCACTCTGTTGAAACCTACCAAGCGTTCCAGAAGACCAAATATCTATTGATAATATGTATTTTTATGATTACGAACAATTTAATGATTCTTTTTTTTTTGTGTTTTAGAGGTTTCATGATTACTGAGACTTTCCAACAGAATTCATCTATATTGTAAGAAAAATAATAACACTTGCATCAATAATAATAATAACAGTAATGTGAATACACAAATATAGGAAAACAGGGGTGATAAGGGGGTGCGGGAGCGATGAGCTTTCAAAATTTTTTTTTTTGCAAAATTTTTTTAGAAGTATTAGGCGCTGCATATACCACTCTTGTGAATAAACACAGAAAAACTTTCTATTTTGTCAAAGATGAGCAATATAAAAGTGGCTGACGATATATATGTCGATGATGCTGTCACTTTTGACAGCCTTAATTTAGATCCAAGAATTTCGCAGGCCATTAAGCAGTTGGGGTTCAAAAACCCTACGTTGATTCAATCCAAGGCCATTCCGTTAGCTGTGGAAGATAAGAGTGATATTATTGCCAAAGCATCCACTGGTTCAGGGAAAACTGCAGCCTATTTACTTCCAATTCTCCACAGTATTCTTCAAGAATACGGATCTAGTAGTTCCACTCATGAAATTAAAGCAGTGATATTCGTTCCAACTAGAGAACTTTCCAACCAAGTTAATGAGTTTGCAAAATTGCTTCTTAAATTTTGTGGTAATTTAATTAACGTCCTTAACTTATCTAACAATTACAATAACCAAGTGTTAAAAACCTTTTTAGATGCTAAGCCAGAAATATTAATCACCACCCCAAATAAGTTTTTGAAGTTGATCGAAGGGCAAGAAGACTCAGACCCACTTCTCAATATTTCAGATTTACAGGAGTCTTTGCGTTTCATAACTCTTGATGAAGTTGATTTAATCTTATCATATGGGTATCAAGAAGACTTGAATAAGATTGTGGAGTTGTTGAATTTATCCAAATTAAACGTTCAAACATTCTTGATGAGTGCTACTTTGACAGACGATATTACTGTTACTTTAAAGGAAACATTTTGCAAGAATCCTAAAATTTTGAAGTTGAATGATGAGCAAGTGGTGAAGAACAAGGATAAATTGATCCAATATTATATAAAAACTAGTGAATTTGATAAGTTCTTACTTATATTCATAATTTTGAAATTAAACTTGATCAAGGGAAAAATTTTGTTGTTTGTTAATAATATTGAAAGAGGTTACAGATTGAAGCTATTTTTGGAGCAGTTTGGGGTAAAGTCATGTATTTTGAATAGTGAGTTGCCAATAAACTCAAGATTGCATATCATCGATCAATATAACAAAAATTATTACAACTTGTTGATCGCGACAGACGACGTGAGTTCCCTTGAAGCTGACAACGAGGGCCCTGGAGAAATTGAAGTTAACCAGAATGGTGAACCGAAGACCGAAGAACATGAAAGTAAGAAGGAAAATGATATCTCTGAAAAGCAAATAACAAAAAATAACACCAAGTCCAACACTAATAAGAGTAAGTCAGACAAAGAATTTGGTGTCTCTAGAGGGGTCGATTTTAAGAATGTTGCTTGTGTTCTTAATTTTGATTTGCCAACTACTTCTAAGAACTATATTCACAGAATTGGGAGAACAGCTAGAGCCAATAAGTCAGGTATTGCGTTGTCTTTTGTTGTGAATTCTAAGGATTGGGGTAGTCATAGGCAATCATCACTTTTGACTGCCAAAAAGGATGAAAAGATTTTTGCAAGAATTTTGAATAAACAACAGAAATTGGGACTCGAACTTCTTCCATACAAGTTCAACAAGAATCATTTGGATAGCTTTAGATACAGAGTGGAAGATGCTTTCCGTTCGGTTACTGGTACAGCAATTAGAGAAGCCAGAATCAAAGAATTGAAACAAGAAATTTTAACCTCTGATAAATTGAAACGTCACTTTGAAGAAAACCCACAAGATTTGCAGATCTTGAGACACGATAAGGATCTACATGCTACTAGAACCCAATCTCATTTAAAAAGTATTCCAAATTATTTGTTACCGGAGGGCATGAAAGCAGATACCACTAATCCAACGTTTGTTCCATTCAATAAAGTGCAAAAGAATAGAAAGAGACATGGGAAAAAGATGAAGAAACGGAGAGGAAAGGACCCATTGAAGACTTTTAAAAGTAGATAGTATGATCAGATACCGACATCTCATAATATAATTGTATTGCTATTCATATATACACATGTATTTCACTATTAATGTAGTTTTGTGAACATCAAATTTGAAGTTAATGTTGACGTACATTATGTACAGTGATGTAAGAATATGTAAGAGTCAGCATCAACCGCACCCAGCAACATCTAATCTTTTTTTTTTTCTTGCCTCTGAAGAAAAACGAAAGAGCCATCTCATCCGTGTTACATAATAAGCACTAAAATAGGAACACTATTTTAAAGCTGTTAAGCTTGAAGGCAAAGTGGTTATTATTGGATTTCAATCAAATCTCTACTTGTGAACTATAAATAGTATTGTGAATTATTTTTGCTTATCAGATCATTTCCTTAGTTCATTACCAAGAAATCAGCAAAGTCATCCGTGTTATCTCATTGCGTCAATTACCATCATCTCAGTTAAAGCTCTCGATATACCATCCCAAAAATGAATGCAAAATCATCCACTTCGGTAAAACTTGTTCTCTTGGGTGAAGCTGCTGTTGGTAAATCGTCCTTGGTTCTTCGTTTTGTTTCCAATGATTTCCAAGAAAATAAAGAACCAACTATTGGTGCAGCTTATTTAACCCAACGCTGTACGATTAACGATAGAACAATTAAGTTTGATATATGGGATACAGCTGGTCAAGAAAGATTTGCTTCCTTGGCTCCAATGTATTACAGAAATGCTCAAGCTGCTTTGGTTGTTTATGACATAACGAAACCACAATCATTTATTAAGGCCAGACACTGGGTTAAAGAGTTACATGAACAAGCTTCAAAGAATATCATCATCGCATTAGTTGGTAACAAATATGATGTTGTTGAAAATGAGGAAGAAGGAAGTGAGGATTCAAAGAGAAAAGTCAGCATTGAAGAAGGCAAACAATTGGCAAAGGATGAAGGATTATTATTTTTCGAATCTAGTGCTAAATCAGGCTTCAATGTCAATGAAATATTCATGGCCATCGGTCATAAAATTCCTGACACTAGTGCCGGGGCTGCCTCAGTTAACGACAATAGAAATAGCGAGAGAGTTGATTTGACTGTCAACAACGATTCCCCTGTCAATGGGAACGCTAATTGTGGATGCTGAAAATTGTTCTTTAACTAGAATAGTTTACTCATTATTGTTATTAGTTTTTTTTTTTGATACTTTTTGTTTTGTTTTTCTTGAGTTACTTTATCCTCTCTCCAATATCATAAAGAGCTTGCTAAACTGAATCCTCATGCCAGTGATGCTTTTTCATTAACATTTAGTATGTTGAATATGCTTTCATGTCTTCTTGCTCCCTCTGGAGTTCACAGTCATATCTATTATGTGTGCTGCCGGTTTTATCGTTTTATCGTTTTTTGTTTTTATCAGAAAGTCTATTAAGAGTTTCCAGAGCTTTATATGTTCTAATTATTATTTTTTGCAGGGTGGCCCACGGCGCCCTGATTGTTGCCCAATACAATGTTCTTAATCACTTGATCATGATTTGTAAAGAGCAGGCTATTTTTACTAGCTTACAAGGAAGTTTTCCCTTTCAATTCTATTTTTGAGTGAATAACTATAATCAAATTAAATACAAGGAAGAAACTAACTATATCAACGCCAACAAAATCTGCCCAGCGGCTCCTGACCATTAACCATCGATGTGAGGCAATTACCACACACCCTTTTTGACACCAGGCAAATCACCACCTCTAGCTCTTTCTCTGAACTGCTGTCTACACAATCTAAAGGCTCTATTAACAGAGTGACTGTTTCCACTTTCCACACATCTATTTTTAATCTGTGCTTCTCTGGTATAGTTTGGCATGGTTGCTAATTGTAACTGAGCTTCCAATCTCACTCTAGCAGGTAACAAAGTGTTTCTAGAAATAAATTTCAATGCAGTTACTGTTACCTCATGGTCAGCGACTTGTTGTCTCTTGAAATTATCACGAATTATTCTGGTATTAAGAAATCCAACAGGATTCTTTACTTTAATTGGAAATCTAAAATTACCCATGTCCACAACGATACTTTTAATTGAAAATGTTTGATAAACAACACTAGTTCACTAGATGAAAATCAAAGATCACGAAAAGTAAGACAAGACCTTGGGCATTTTTTTTCAAGCGTTTAATTTGATTTATGCCTAACTCTTTTTTTTTTGGCCAAAAAATGCAATGGCTTGCTGTACGGATGTCGCGCACACCCTTACACCGAATTATAACATGTAATAATATAAGTGGGAGTCTTTATTAAGGGGCTCTGCATGCAATAAATAACTAAGATATATGGAAAATAAATGAAAGAAAAAGCAAAAACATAAGAATATAAGGAATTTTAAGTTCCATAATACATAGTGTCAATGTATCTAGTCCTAAACCACCAGTCATTATCACACTCTTTGTTGCGACCATCCATTGATCCAATTCTTGCCAAAACAATCTTGACTTTACTGAATGCTGCCAAAATTCTTCTTGTACCTTGCTCTGTAGCTGAGTAGCAAACAATGATAATATCCTCCATTGTCACCCCATGATCGAGTAGAACTTGGATGGACATGATCACCGCTGCACCACTAATAATTTGAGCATCCATTAAAAGGATTTTCTTCTTCAATGATTTATCTCCAACATTTTTTGGCAACATGATAGAATGTAATTGAGGCTCTCCTGTCTTTCTGTCCGATTGGATCAATAGCTTTCCAATCTTGATTTCCGGATGCGTTCTCTTCAATGAATTCATGAAACAATCTCCCGATCTAATTATGTTCACAGCAATTGCTTCTTCAACAACTTCCAAGGCATTATCGACGGGAACATTTGTAGGTGTGATGATAGGAATATCTGATGGTTTATAAGTTAACAATTCTAATGCTTTACTAATTAATATAGATGAAATTCTATTAAAGAAAAATATGAAATCATCAATACTGGTGGCCTTATTGGTTAAAATGGTATTGATAGCACTGATTTGATTGGTTTCTTTTAACACAATCAAGTTAATAATATTTTTCAATTCAACTTTGTTTAAGCTGTTATTCAACTTCTCTAAATATTTCAAATGTTCTCTAGACTTCCTCAATAATTGCTTCTGGATATGCTTGATCATCATATCGATTGCAATATAATTGTCAGCACCTCTTGGAATCACTAAATCTGCTTGCTGCATAGTTGACTTCACAAAAAGATCAGCATTCGGTTTGACAAAGGTGGACCATTGTTTTAATGCACCTTCTAAATCTCTTCCTCTATACAAGATATCTCTTGATAATCTTCTAGCCAAACATATATCCAAATCTGTGTCCACATAGATTTTCAAATTCATTAAATCAACCAATTTTTGATGATATAATGCATAAATACCTTCAATAATAATCACATTAGCACCATAGATTGTGATTTCCTTGTCGGTTCTATCGTGCTTGGAAAACGAATACACCGGGATTTTGGTCTTATTACCTTCTTTCAAACTCTTCACACACTCATAACACAAATCTAAGTCGACAGCACTTGGTGAATCAAAGTCAAACTCATTACTGAAAGCAGTTTCGCGCTCTTCCGGAGTTAAAGGATTGTAGAAATTATCAAGAGAAATCAAAACTGTCCAAGGAGTATTCAATTCTTCAATAATCTTGGATGCAACCGAGGTCTTCCCAGAGCCCGAAAGGCCGGCAACCCCAATAATATACGGTTGAGTCCAAGGAGGAATATACCGAGTTTCATTAGCACTGGTATTAGTACCGATATTTGAGTCTGGTGAGGTAGCATTTTGGTCTAATCCCGCATCAATATTCCTATCATAAACTGTGTTGGCCGTAGGAGAAAGACTACTACTGGTAAAAAAAGACTCTCCAGATGATGGGGCAATTCTTTTTAGATTCACCTTCCCAACAACTTGTTCATCATTTACCATAGTGATAGTCATGTTAGTCTTCTATATCCCCCTTTAAGGCTTGTTTTGATGGGGGGATGTTGTCAGAAAAAAAAAAAAAAAAAAATATTTTTACTTATGTGCGTTTAGTAAAACCCATAATTTGGGATTTTAGCCGCATGAGATAATTGTGTCTGTATATGTGGTAATTGTATTAAAAACCCTTACAATGCGAGAAAAAATAAATAAAACAATTACTATACATAAAATTCTATCGAATATATAAATAAAATCAAAAAAGAAGAAAAATTAATATAAAAAAATAGTGTCACAATAAAAAAAATAGCGCAGTCATTCTCATTCATATAATCAAACACTACTCATGAAGAAGGTTCTCAAGATTTGACAAATCATTTCTGGTAACTCGGTGATATTATCAACAATAGTGTAGTTCTCAAATGGGAAAGTGTCGAGGTACTTATTTATCTTCATGTCCATATTTCCACTCTCGTCCGTTTCATACTTCACTTGGCTCATATCGGTGATAGATTCTTTATTCTTATTTAATCCATCAATTATAACAAATACAATTAGCAACTTTTCTTCTTTGGCCCGTCTAACTAATCTGGAGATTTCTGAATGGTTCTCACAAATACCATCACTTATAATAATTTCCAATTTATACAAATCAGTGTTTGAAGAAGCATTACCATTACGGTTAAAGATCTCAATGGAATTTTCCACTAAATCCTTCATATTCGTGACGGTATCATCAAAACCAAACCACTGGAAGCATTTAGGACCATCTGATTTAGCATCAAATTTTTTATTAAAGTTGTGGATGATACTGGTGTCCTTACCAAACTTGACAATGGACAAATCACCAGATTCCAATTGCGTCAATGCCTTGGAAACCAAACTGATTGTGTCATAAGTTAACTTCACAGTTTGAGGATTTTCTGACATCGATTTGGAATCATCAATGGAAATCATAATCTGGTAGTTTCTCTTAGATGGCTTGGTACGCTTCAACCAGATTTTGTCTTTTTTGAAATCAGAAGCGATATATGATATAATTTTCCTCAAGTTCAATCTTTTACCATTCTTATAATCACCTTTAAGCTTTGTACTGATAGTTGGGGAAAGAATCAAACGTAACTGCTCGCATAATAACATTGCAAGCTCATTGGTAGCAAACTCTGACTGTTTCCATAATTCATTAGCACCCTCATAATCAACTGGAGGAATGATATCTGCCCCGCATTTTTCCAAGTCAACGATATTGGAACTGCCATATTCATCTTGGCCATCCCCATTATCAATTTCCTCGGAATCTTGCTCAATGCTTTCATCATCATCTAGTTCGATTTCGGCAGAATCATCTTTCTCTTGCTCTCTTTCAAGATCATCCTGGTGCTTCTCATTATCAGCCTTATTCATTTCCAAATCTTCATCCATTGCAATTTGGTCATCATTTTCTTTTAAAGTTTCTGAATCCCTATCTTCTAATAAGCTCGTATTGTCATCATCTTTTCCTGCAGCATCATCCTCAGCACTACCGTCTTCAGCTTTATCTTCTTCTTTCTCTTCAATCATCTTGTCCTCATCAATGGTTTGGAGTTGGTCCTTTTCGGCATTACCCAACGCTTGAAGATTATCGTCATCGTCCTTATCCAAATGCTGTAATTGGTCTGGATTTTCGGCAGCATTTTCGATTTCCGTTTCATCAGATACCTCATTAGAATCTAAGATTTCTTCAGATCTCTTGTAGAATTCGTTCAAAGAGTCTCCAAGTTGTTTCAACGACTCCTTCAATCTTTCGTCGTTCTTTTCCTTCTGCTGTTCTTTTTGTGACTTATCTTCATTCTTTTTGCTATCCGATTGGCTGTGGAAATCGCCAACTGAACCTGCGGTGTTGGCATTATCGGCGAAATCTTGATCACCTTCACGTTCCTCACCACTAGCTTGCTTAGCAGAAGCCTCCGTGTCAATATTCTCATTATTCTCATCAATATTTGACTCAATAGCATCAACGGCATTTTCATCAGCATTATCTTCACCAGCTTCATCATTTTTCTTAGATTCATTATCTTCTGCCATTTCTGTGTCAAGATCAGGATTTTCAATATCTTCATCTCCATCTTTGTTATCATCATTTTCCTCATCATCTTCGCCTTCACCAATTTCTTCACCAATTTCTTCATCTTCTTCATCATTCAAATCATCTTCTCCAAGATCACCCTTCATTTCTTCATCTTGGTTTTCTTGCATGTCTTCGTCTATATTCTCATCACTTTCATTGATATTCTCTTCTTTCTTTTCCTCTTCCATGTCAATCGCTTGGTCCAAGTCGTTATCCATATCAAAATCTTCATCACCATTTGCTTCGTCCTCTTCTTCATCATTCTTCTCTTCGCCATTATCCAAATTCAAATCTTCAGGCAACTCCAAAGCCTCAGTTTCAGGAACAGTATCTTCCAATTGCTCATTTTCGTCCTGAACGACTTCATCATCTTGTTGGCCAACATCTTCCTCCTCATCTGCCTCATCGTCATTTTCATTGTTTTCATCGTCATCCCCATCTTCGTTGTTAGGATCCTCATTATTTTTACCTTCACTGGCCTCGTTATCTTCATCCATAGCTTCAAGGTCATTAGAATCCGGCTTTGAATCGTCAGGCATATTGTTTGAGTCTTTTTCCTTTTTATCATCCTGGGTTTCTTCATCCCACATTTTATCATCGACGGCATTAGGGTCAAGATCATCTAAATCATCAACCTCTTCATCAAGATCTTCGGCATCGCCTTCATCCTTCTCTTCATCATCTTGGGCTTCCATATCTTCATTTTGGCCTTCCATATCACCTTCAATGTCAATAGCCTTATCTTCTTCATTGTCATCCATACCATCATCCTTTTCATCTTCATCATCCTTGTTGGCAGTAAAATCATCTTCATCTAAATCATCTTCATCGACATCATCGTTTGTTTTACTGTCAGCAGCAATACCATCACCAAGCCCACCACCGGAACCAGATTCGGTTTGCTCATCCTGTTCAGATGAGTTTTGAGGAGAGCAGAATCCATTAGTGGCAAGTCTAGACAAAGCAGTAGCTAATATATAAGTGGATTTTGAAACATCGACATAATTATCGACATATCTCTTGGCAATGGTGTAGGTAAAATTATTGTATTCATTGATAAGTGGCAAATAATATTGAATCACCGACACAAAAGTACCTTCATGATTAGAGTTCGAAATTTTGGAGATCAATGAATCCATCTTACCAACAATTTGATCGAGATATAAAAGATTTTTGTAGCTCACAAATCTTTGTTGAGTTTTAATAAAATACTTTTCAGTATCGACGTCAATTTCCTCAGATTGTAGTTGTTTAATCTTCTGCATAGCCACCGTAATAGATTTACTTAAATCAATGGCTCCTTCAAGAACAATATCAAATGCATGGATGTTTAATTCCTTTTCATCAGAAACAGAATACTTAACGCCTTCCTTCGTGCAATTATCTAATAACTCGAAAATGAATGATAGCTCTGGAGTTTTACCACAAACCTCCCTCAAATTGACGCTAAAATCATTCAATCTATTCTCAAATTCACTCAATAAGTTAAGCTTTGACACGGTAAGAATAAGGCTTGGATCATATGAAGATTCAAATTCAATGAAGCTACTTCTTGCGCTATTAAGAAAGCTTAATACGTCACTAGAAACAATGAATTTCAGCATCTTTGTACTTCTTTGAATAGTTTCTAATGCAAAATCAATCAATTTAGGTAAGAATTTTGAAATAAAAATTAAAGCCTTTTCCTTGGATGAGATCAAATTTGAAGGCTTAACAACATCATCATTGACCTGCAAAGCAAAAGCTTCCAAAATTCTAATATTATAAGTCAACTTCTTTTTGTAACTCAAAAGCTGCTTCATAGGTTTTCTCAAAGAAAATAAGGAGAATATCAAATTTTCAGTAATAGCAAGACCCTTAGCTGCATCTTCTTTAGGAACATCCTCGGCACATTCAGCCACAGAATTTCTCAATCTTGGTAACAAATCCAAAACTCTAAAGAAAATGTTATCATCGACTTCTTCAAAAGCATCTCCTTTAGCCAAAATAGAAATTGCAGTCAATTTGTATTTTTGAATTTCTTGAGTCTTCAATCCCATATTTTTCAAATCTTTGATAGTTGAGCTTAACAATAGTCTCTTCTCTGTCTTCAAAGCACTAACAATTTTTTTATTATCATCGTTCATCTCCTTTGGTGTTGCTTTTCTAAGACGATCCATTTCACCCAAAATAGATTTGCAGAACTCTAATAATTCTGGGAATTCTTCACATTCCAATTCATTGTGAAGCACAGATACCTTAGGAAGAAAACTAGAAAGATTCAATAATAATTTTGGCTGATTCAACCAAATATCATTAGCCAAGGCTAACTGAGTTGTCTCCATTTTCTTTGTAGGTTGACAAATAAACTCTATTTGACTCAACTGATAATCCAATCCACTTTCAATAATCGGACGAACATTAATAGACAAAGCAGTTCTATACTTCTTAACAACCTTGTAAAGTGATCTTTTAGACTTTCTGGATGATTCCTTCAATGCATCAATGTTAACATCCTTCCAAGATGCTAATAATATAACTTCATTGATATCTTTTGTCAATTTAGATACGGTCTCTTCAAGGCAAGTTTTTATAGATGGTAAAAACTGCTCATAGAAACTGATAATATTTTGAAGGAGGTCCGTTTCCATCTTGAATGAAAGTTGGATATAAACATCAAAGGCTTTCAATAAGTTCAATTTACCCTCAAATTCACCCTGTGTGGAATTACTCATAAACATGTTCAACAAAGACACAATCTCTTCAATCTGCTTCTCTCCACTGGCATAACTAACAACAAGCAATTCAAATAAGAGATAGTAACTGTCAACCAATTTCTTTTCGATGAGCTCGTGTTCATTGTTAATCAAATTGTTGAATGAGCCAAGTTCAATCTGCCTCCAACTAACAATCAATGAAGTCACTCTACCAATAAAACTTTGCATCAATTTCTTATCTAAATTGCTAGAATATTGAACAAGTTCATCTAGGAACTTAAGGATCTGTTCCATTTTCGTTATCAATCTGGCGAGAGTGGTTGTAGACTTGTAAGTTCTCAATTCATTGCAAGCAGTACCAATGTTTATCAAAGTTGCATTCTCTGGCCATTGTTCAAGTAATCTCAACACTTCTGTTCTGATGTCATCAACAATGCTCAAGCATTTGTTGAATTGATAAATATTTGGCTTGAAGTAGAAATCAGTGCTTTGCAAACTTTGAGACTCATGGTTTTCAACAACCTTCCACATTTTATTCAACAAACTAGAAACCATTGATGGAGTGGCAGTCCCTGACTTTTTGGAGGAAGAGAATGATTTTTCGTTAATCACGTCAACAATTCCGCTTATAGTCGTGTCAGATCTTGACATGAAAACATTTGAGAACACGGTGGAGACAAATGGGCCATCATCAGGATTGAAATATTGAACTTCATCAGCAAGAATAGAATTTTCATCATCATAATCTGGGAAGTAAGATTGGTAAGCGTTTTCAGGGTCCTCTTCTTCTTCTCCCTTAAATTTGTAGACATTTGAGGCTTCCTTTTCTTCAGCTTCCTTTTTGGTTCTTTCTGTTTTCCATTTTGCGAAAGATTCAAATAAAATACTATTAAGAGTATCCAAGAAAGCATCGTTATTCATTTTTTCATTGAAAAAAAATCCAAATGATCTGAGAGCAGTACAAGCATCTCTATTTGAGGAAAAGAATTCACTGAAAGAAGTCAAAGAAGACAAAGCATCAGATTTTATATTACTGGTATGCTCCATGTTGCAAAGGGAAAACCCAAAATTCAAACCCAAAATTCCACCTTTGAAGATCAAGTTCAAATCCATATAATCAGTAAAATTTTCTGCTAAATTGAACAAAAATCTCTCACTGCTCTTATGAAGCAATGAAATTTTATTTGACTTCAAATCTGTGTTTAAGGCACCTAAAAGTCTTTCAACTGCCATACTTCCAACAGATGAGTCCATAAAAGATGACCATTCATCAAACAAATTCTTGATAGACTCTCCTTGTGGTCTTTCAACACGCGGTTTAGGGATTTTCTCGAATTCCTCTTCATGATTGCCTTCAAAAAAGATTCTTTGGTCACCACTAAGAATTCTTTTAATAGTCTCTATGGCAGCCTTATAATCGTCGGAATCTTGCTTCTTGATGGTAAAAATATCATACAAAATGAACTCACAAATAGCTGGGTCATATGGCGCACTTGGGATGAACAATTGAATCAATCCAGTGCTGAAGAAAATGAAAGCCTTACCAAGCTTATCATAGCTCAAATTATCTTCGAAAACAATCATAAAAGATGGCATAAAATATTTTTCAAATGTCATCAACAATTTAGAGAGCTTGGAGTTTTTCTTCATCTTAGAAAATAAGAGTTCTAGTTGAGCTTGACCTTTCCAAACAGATTCTAGAATTTCAACGAGGTCTGGGAGCTCAATAATTTGACTCATGATAACTTCTTTCAACCACAAACTGAGAATTTTTTTATAGTAACTCAACTGATCAGTGATGATAATATTTGAATTCTTCACGATTTCACCAAACAAATATTTAACATCCATAATAGAATCTTTAATATCAGCACCAGTAACATTATCCAAATCAAATAATCTTTCAAACGTGGCCTCAACAAATGGAATACTACCCAAAGAGCTTTCACTGTAAATATTATTCAAAGCAACAGGATACGGCTTTACCAACTTTCCGATATAACTGTCGGTTAACGAAACAAGATCTCTTCCACTCTTCAAGGAAAGCATCAATGAAGCATCTGTAATATTAAAGTCACCAGATGCAGTTGTAGAAGACTCTATCAATTTTTGAAGTGAGTTGAATACGCTAATAAAAGAACCCTTTGAATTCATATCAATATTTTGAGACTTCTTGAACAAATTCAAATCTAATGAAACTCCACTAATTCTTCCATTTTGGTATTCTATTCTAATAAATGACTTCCAAGATTCAGGCAATGCTTTGATTAACTTTTCGAACAAATCTGGCAACAAGACAAAGTGATTCCAAAGACGGGTCATAGAGTCAGAGTTCAAGACCTCAAAAGATTTGAGAGCATTCAAATCACTATAGCTAAAACTTTTATCCACAGAATTCAAAAGCTCTAAAGAAGATTGTATTTTTTCAATGATAAAATTGAACTTTTCTGGTTCCTTTATATCTATAGCAAGAGTACCACAAACACAAAGAGTAGACAAAATGCCATAGCCAACGTCAGAAGTTTTCCTAGTTACAGAATGCTTCAAAAATTCAAAAACCTCATTCACCAATAAATATCGTTTTGATCCTTCATCAATTCCAGATTTCACAAAAACTTTGAATTTTTCAGAAAATTCAAAAAAGCCGTACAAAAACTTGATCGATGCAAATTTGGTTACATCACTCATTTCACATGAATTAATTAGAGCATTTGCAAAAGCAGACTGTGGAGTTTCATCTTCAATACAGGAAATGTCCTTTAGGAATCCCAAAAATTTGAATAGCTTCATAACCAATAGCTTTTCACTTGAATTAAATATCCCACATCCATCAACGAATTTCACAAAATCTGAAATCTCTTCAAAGAGCCCATAAGGAATAAAGCTTGCAACAACATACGCAACCTTGTCTGGGATCCCCAAGTTGGCGGAAGCGTTGTTCATGACATCTAATAGCATGGACAAATATCTTGCTGAATACTGTTTAGAACTAATAAAGTAACTAGAGAATTTTTCCTTTTTCCATTCGTGACTTCTAGTAACTGCAAGCTTTGAAAATGAACTTTCAATGGTCTCACTTTCTGTGGTACTTGGCAAATCAACTTTCTCATCCAATCCTAAAAATAATCTGTCAAGACTTGTCGCTCTCTCATCAAATGCTTCCACATAAATTTCGGCACACCTATTTCTCATAGCTCTAGAAAGCTCTCCATACTTTGGGTTCATGGATAGGAATAATCTAAAGTTAGGGTGAGGCTTGATAACCTTTGGTTGACCATCAGCTGAGCCACTCTCGCTAACAACTAAGACACCATTGTTTTCAGTCAATGAGTTTAATCTATCCACAATAGAAGAGTTCACAAGATTTATGTTAGACAAATGAAGCCAATATCCTTTCTCCAATGCATCTACCAATATACCATCAAAGAATTGGAATTGTTTACTTTTACTTTCCCTTAATTTCTTTAAATCATTACCAAATGCTACTAGCCTTTCAAGCTCCAAATTGGAAGTCAAAGCATTCAAGTTATTCAGTAATTCGTCTAACTTGACATCGTACTCTTTTTCATCGTGATTTGAAAAGAATTCACTCAAGTACTTCAAATAATCCAAGAAATTGCAAATAGAATAAGACTTTACCAAATCCACTTCACTTGCCAAAAATTCTTTGAGGAAAATCTCAAGGCCTTGGATTAATGGAAAGAGCTCTCTACTGATGTGGTATTGATCGAGGCCTCCAACCAAGTCAGTTATATCAATTTCACTATGGATATGAACCGTCTCTAACCTAGCGCCAATAGCATTTGCAACATATTTCACTAAATCAGATTTTCCGCCCAAAGTTGGACCAACCAACAATACAGGGAATTTTTTCATTATAGAAGTGAAAATTGACTCAATCAATGGAATATTGGATTGTAATGGAAGCAAGGAGCTATCAATTGAAAATGATGTGTTTTCTTCCTTTTTCATCACGGCAGTATTGGCCTGAATAAAATCTGGTCCCATATGGAAATATGAGTCTTTAGCAGGAAGCGTTCCAAAAATTTTCTCATAGATACTATAAACATTCTTTCTGTCTTTTTCCAACCTGAATTTTTGAGCAAAGACTAAATCCAATGCATTAGAGCTATCAACATCAAGAAACTTGATAATATCTCTGATATTAAATTCCCATGGACCACCAGTCATACCCCATAGCTTTTTGATGTTGATTTCTTTCTCCAAGTCAAAAACAAACCTGATTAACTTATTGATTGTTTCTTCCGGAATATTTGGGTATATGTGATGACAAATCATTTCCATGTCAACATCTGTCAACTTACCAATATAAACATTAGTGAATCGATTAATGAATGATTTAGGCAACCCCTTTCTTCCACCACCTTGATATTGAGGATTTTGGGCAGCGAAGACTCTAAAGTTCTTATGACACTCAAATTCTTGATCAAGTTCAGGAATATAAACTCTTTGTCTAAAGTCGAACACACTATTCAAAGCCTCTAACAATGAAGGAGAGGCCAAGTTCATTTCATCCAACAAGACCCATTCACCGCATTTCATAGCTCTCAAAAATGGGGCATCCTTCCAAACAAATTCACCAAAGTTTCCGCCTTCCATAGGGGCATCAGAGCCGAACAAATCAACCAAATCGGTCTGATCCGACAAATTGATACGCGTTAACTTGTTATTTGTGGCTTTTGCCAAAGCATCAATCAAACTTGATTTACCAACACCAGGATCACCTTCAAGTAAGATAGGCTTTTTAATAACCATGGCTCGTAATACTCTCATAGCATTAATTGCTGTAGTAGGGGCCAGAAGATTGAATGATAAAGAACCACTTGAGATAGTAGCAGAGCCCCTTGGGAAATCATACAAGCCAATTTTCAATAAATCATCAGTGGCTGTGACAGATACCTTCTGATCATAGAGGTCTAAGAGCTCTAATTTAGAAAATTCTGAAAGTTTTCGTACACATTCTTCTTTGATTTCCCTTAATCTCGTAATGTCAGATGCCAAATAAGCAGTATTATTTGTACCCAAGGCATCTACAAACACCATACAAACACCACCAACCAATGAAGCCTCGAGACCGACTTTTTTATGGACGTTATTAATGAACTCAACCCAAGCTAAAATATCTCTGATGGAAATAACACCATTATTAGAAGATGAATTATTATTGCTGAATTTGATGCTGAACCATTCTGAAAAGCTGATTATCGATTCAGTAAAATGTTTAACTGAATCATTCAACTTCGACTCAACAATCAAAGCAACGTCCGTAAAATCTGACATTGAAGGAACATATATTTCGGTAAATCTGTTTCTGAGCGCAGGAGAAAGTTCCTTTTTACCATAATCACCACCTGGATTCATAGTAGCTAAAAATTGGAACCCCTTTTTTCCGACAATCAAGTTTTGATCAATATCATTTGAGTATTCTGTCAAATACAAAGTCTTTTCTGGTTCTAAAACTGAGTTCAATCTTTCCAAAACAGAATCTTCAGCCAATGAAATTTCATCAAAAAGGAAAATATCACCATTCTTCATTGCATTTACCAATGGCCCGTCACTCCATTCAAATAGAACCCTTAAATTCTTCAACAATTTCTCAATTTCACTGGAATCCTTGACAGCCAGCCTATATTCCTCATAGATCTCTACCAACTGGTTTAAATCACAGTCATTAGTAGCACTAACATCATAGTCTATAGCGGACAATTCTTTCAAAATTTCAATTCTCAATGTTTGTTGTAACTTTGATCTGTTTCTCAATGGTCTTTGAGAACCAATAATATCACCCGTTTCGATGTTTTGATGAGCATTTAAGAAAACAAGATTCTGATTGTAAAAATTCTTCGCCAAGTTGTTGCAAACTGTCGTCTTACCACAACCTGTTTCACCAACTAACAAAATATTTTCACTATTTTTCAACGCATTGATAATTAATACTGATAACTTTTTCATCTCCTTGGTCCATACGACTTCAGTTTTAGCTTTATCATCAAGTAAAACATCTTTCACATTGTCGAATTTGGTTGAATAAATTTCATCGATGTCTAGCTTAACTTTCATTACTTTCTCTATAACGCTTCTAATGATTGACTTTTCCTCGAACTTTCTGTTCTTTTCTGCTAACAACATATAGCCATTGGTTGCAAGCTCTTCATACCCAACTGCCTCTCTCGAACCCCATCTGAACAAATCTCTCAATGTTGCAAAACTATTTTTGGTCTCGAAGATTCTGTTTGAAGAACGTTGGATAGTCAATTCCTTATATACCATAACAATCTTTTTGGCATAGCTTGGAGGAATCTGACACCTATTACACAAGATAATTTCAAGTTCGTCCTGAGGGATATCATCAAAATTAAGTTCCAAGAATCTATTCTTGAAAGCTTTAGACAAGAACTTTCTACCACCATAAACTGCACCTGGTGGGTTCTGAGTAGCAAATAGCAAGAAATTCTTATGTGGCTTAATCAATTCTTGTGTTTCGGTTAGGAAAATTTCTCTGTTGTCGTCCAACAATCTATTGATACCTTCTAAGATTTCTGAGCTGGCCAAATTCAATTCATCCAAAATTATCCAATAACCTTTTTTAAGAGCTTCAATCAAAGGACCATGTTTAAATACCAATTTTCCTGTTTCACTATCACTGACATAAGAGCCCAAATATTCTTGAAGATCAGTATGCTCATGATTATTAATTCTGATGACCTTGTTACCAGTGATCTTAGCTAAATAGGTGATCATGGAAGTTTTACCTGAAGAAGTTGGACCTTGAATAAGAATAGGAAATCTCTTGGATAAAGTGGCTCTGACAAGATTCATCAAATTTTTCTCAACAAATGGGGTAATAATGTAATGTGGCTGTTCAACAACATCAAATTCACCTTTTTCCAACCAATAATATGCAAACTGAATGACTCTATCTTCTGATAAATGGCTTGGTCTTGGTGGGATTCTTTTGATGATCGACTTCACATTTTTGGCCTTTCCAATGGTGTATTTATAAATAATTGGTTTAAGAATCTGCTCTGAGCTTGAGTCTAACAAAGTTAACAAAATCATGTTGAATGCTTCGTACAATGAGCGTCTCACGCCGTAAGTTCTAGCAATGTCTGTGCTGAATACCAATGCTCTTGATAAAATTCTGATGTTTACAACGATCTTATTCTTTGAGCCATCAACCAAAAGGTTCTTATCATTCAACGCTTTGACTTCATAATATAAGTCAACAACATCATCAATCGTTTCATTATTTGAGAAATCATCGCCTGCCAAATGATTCCACAAGTATTTATGAACAATAGACCTCAAATCGTTTCTGTTCTTGTCTGGGCTGTCAACGAATATTTCGTTAAATCTGGAACGAATATTTTCTGCCAAGTTCTTCTTTCCGACATCTGTTGAAGGATTCATACAGGCAAATAATCTAAATTCAGGGTGAGCAATGGCTATTTCATCTTTTTCACTATCAGTTGAGGCCTTTTCTGTTAGTAACAATCTTCTATTATGTGGCTCATTGCTCAATAAATCAGAGATGTTTTCCAAAGTCTCACCAGAAGCTAAATTTATTTCATCTAAAAGGACCCAATCACCATTTTTGATTGCTTTTACCAAAGATCCCTCAATAAAATCAAACTGAAGAGAATTAGCATCGCTAGATGATCTTTCGAATTGGATTTGGAACTGGAGAACTTCTTCCTCGAAATCTTTCCATTGCTGACGCAAAACCAATTTATCATTTAACTTTCTCTTCTTCTTCGAGACAGAACTATCATTCTCATTGCTTTGATTATCTTCAGAAGATAATTTCTCTTGTTGCTTGTTGATGTAATCGTGAGCCATACCAACAGCCTTTTTCCAAAGCTTGATGACGTTACCAAATTTTTCATTTTTGAATTCTTTATTCAAGATCTTCATAAACTTCTCGTTCTTGAGTAGATTGAATGTTTGTCCAAACAACTCTAAGAAATTATTGTGAATAGGTAAAATGATAGACTTTTGCTTATTCAAAATTGGCTTATACCCACCAATCAAATCATTTGATTCTGTCTCTTGAGATAAATTGAGAACAACAATTTTTTTCTTTAATAATTTAGCAAAATTTTGAACCACAGTTGTCTTACCACAACCTGTCTCACCAGAAAGCAACACGGGCTCAACTAGATTGACACTAATAGAAAGCTTTTCAAGTAAATGTAACGAATGATTAGTGAGAGCAAAATTTTCAAGGGTCTTTTTAGAATCTGCCTGATAGTTGCTATTAATTTGATTAATAATCAATTTGTTTCTACCAATATGTATTTCATTGTCGAATACTTGCAATTCGGGTTGATAGTTGCTACTATCAATATCTGTAAAAAGCCTAATTTGGCTTGCAGGAATCTCCAAAAACAAACCAATTTTATTAATGAGGAAATTCTTGATGGTATCATTTTGCAAACTTGACGTAAAGATATCCAATGCTTCGGTGAAAATTTTCTCCATGAGATCGTTGACAGTAACATTGTTATTAAGAGCTTCATGGTTATTTTGGAAAAGCAAATTGATTCGGTTTGCCAATCTAATCAATTCAAAATTATCTATTTTTTTTAAACTTAGTCCATTGTTCATAGCGACAAATGATCTCTTGGTAAATATCTTAAACCTCATATAATAAAATAATGATATTATCTTTTGCCAAAGTAAATCATTTGGTAAGGCTAAAGATATTTCTTTATACTTAGTAGCTAATATCACTAGCAAATCTGATGGTGTTGGGGATTCATGGTACACCAACTCAAATTTGTTCAAGGAGATCAAATCTGGTAAAATATCTTTTCTATCAGCCGGGTATATCGGTTTTTCAAAATTCTCGAAAAGGACCTGCTGCCAGTAATTGAATTGTTCAACATCCAAAACATTGTCGCCTTTAATATTCGAATTGCTATTTAAAAGTTTAGAAAGCTGATCAGTGTCGTCAACACTGATAGTAGCGATAAGTTGAAAACCATTCTTAATCTTGACTCTTTCATTACCATTGATTTTCAATTCCTCGCTTTTTACTAAACTGCTAAATATACTGAGGATTTCGTTCTTAGCACTGTCAATATCCTCAATTACCAACCATTTGCCATTCTTCACAGCACTCGTCAACACACCATCTTTCCAAACGAATTTCCCAGGTTCGTGAGATGAGACATAGGTACCCAATAATAACTTGATATCAGTTTGGTCATTAAGATGAATCGTGACTAAATCATTATCATTACCCCTGATCAATCTATGGAGATGGTTAAGTATAAGCGATTTCCCAGAACCATTCCCCCCAAACAATAATACTGGTTTACCAACAAGGATTTTTCTTGTCAACTCCGTTAAAGATTTAACAGCTGATTCGACAGGCACAAATTTATTTATAGAGAGTTTTTCTTTACTAGCAGTTCGTGTTGCATTGTCTATACTAGGAACCAAAGTCCCATAGACCAATCTAATATGCAGACTAAGGTTTTCAGGCTGAATTGTTAAATCGTGTTGTGATTCCTCAGTATTCTCAATGCATGGAAGAGACAAAAAGTTTGAGATTCTTTTACCTTCATATACATCTAAGAATTCGTAATTGAAATCATCCATGGCTTCAAACTGACCAACATAACTGACTTGACCAATTTGTTCACTGATTAATTTATTTTGAGTTATGGTGGAATAATTGAGAGTCTTCACTAAAATCTTGATTGCCAATAATTTGTTTTCTGGAGTAGAATCAGAGTTGTTGATGATCAAATTAATAACTTTGAGGCTGACATATTTGCTGAAAGAATGGGAATGGCACAACAATCTATAAAAACTGATCAAAATCAAATTAATTTCTAGTTGGCTCAACATTTTATCTTGATCTTGAAGGAAAATAACATCTCGCAAAAGCATTTCTATCAACGCAATGGCACTAGCACATCTATCGTGATCAAAAAGTGCAATATTTTTAGCAAGTGCATATAAAACCAATATCCCATGCTTTTGTATTTCAACAACATTCTTGGACTTGAGATACGACTGTTCAAATACAGAAGGATCTGATACCAAGCGGGCAATAATTTCATAAATTATTTCCTTGAAGCAATACACCACTACTGGCGAATACTTAACATCAAGAACTAAGAATGTCAACTGGTTCAAATAATCATCGATTGACTCAAAATCATTTGGATTCGGTAATTCGCCAACACTTTCATTAAACAAGGATTTGGAAATAATAGAAAAACGTTCAGCTACCGTTTTCCGCCTGATAACTAAGGAACCTGACATTTTTTCCTTGTTGAAATGGTGGCTTCTGCTGATGTTGAAGATATCACTGTATCTCTACTACATTACAACCAAAAAAAAAAAAAAAAAAAAAAAAATTTTCTACACAAAAAATTTTCGATGAGCAGCGGTGCTTATAGTATTTTTTGGGAAAAACCTGAACTCGGATAACACAATAAGAGAGTGGTAACTACAATAACGCTAACTCTAGTTGCTGTTCTGATGAATTTTTGATATTTTAATATCTTACCATACTAGAATGAATTAATATCTGTTTTAGATTAATAGAATATTTTCTTTTTTTTTATTCGCCATACCAACTTAGGAACTAGGTTTCTATCCAGCAAGAGAAGAAGTATGGAGAATACCTACTCAAGATGTTATTCTATGTATTGCATAGTCATCAACAGGCAACATTGGATGATTTCTGTCATTTAGATCCTTCGAATTTGTTCCTTTTTTAAGTAAAATAAATAATTATATGTGGGATGAAGTGAAGGTTGCAATCGAAAAATTGAAATATGGATGTAAATACATATAATAAATATCGTGCACGTACACATCCTCAATGTAAGATTTATTTTTTTCAAAAACCATTTCATGATCCTATATAGAGTAGATACCAGAGAATAATAAAATCTAGAATGATTATTACAGATTATATTCAATTCGCTCAGAATAGTCGTTATCTATCGAATGGTTATCAAGCTGACATTAAAGAAAACATATAATACATAGTACATGTAATACATAGCACAAAGAAAAACAGGCAAAATTAATAAACAAAACCTAAGATTTTACCGGCGACGTGCTTTCTCTTAGCTTCTTCATGATCCATAATACCTGCTGATGTGGTTAAGATAACGAAACCGAATTGTCTAGCTGGCAACAAATTGTCAGTCCATTTTTCAATGTCATCAATCTTAACGTTATATCTTGGGGATACAATACCACATTTGTTGAGTCTGCCATTCAATTGAACAACAATTTTGTTGGATCTGTGGTCATCAATCACTTCAAATTCCCCAATGTAACCTGATTCATGTTAGTAAAAACAGTCCTAGTCAATAATATAATAACTTTTAAAGTGCTAATGTTTGACAGAAGAAAAAATTGTACTCGTCCAACAAAATGGAATATGAGTTAAAGATTGTAGAGAAATATTAAACACTCATAAAAGTGGGAAAATACCTTCTATGAATGCGTAAGATTTCGCAAAATTGATCTCCCGGATATTTAAAAGACAGAAAGGGACTAAATTACAAGAATTTTTCATCCTGACCGACAAGCCATCCAGTTATCAACCCGGGTTCTAGTAGAGAAAAGAAGAAAATGGCAAACATTGATAATAAGAGAAAATGGCAAACATTGAAAATGAGAGAAAGAGGCAAAGAAAATAAAAAAATGAACGAACATACCATGTTGTTGCATAACTTGCAAGAACTTAATGATGACTTTAGAGGATGGTCTAATCAACACTTGTCTTTTGCCGGTCTTAGAGGCATTGTTGATAGTGTTTAAAGCATCGGCAAGGACAGAGGATCTAGTCATTTTCGAACGATACTGAAACATGTTAGTAATTTCTTTATGAACTGTAAGCGAACCAACATGAGTGTCCTTGTTTAAAAAAAATAAGGATTCATGAGCCCGATTCCACCACTGTACCCTACATTTTATCAGAGCTAAAATGTAAGTTAAGTGGAAAAATTCTGCCATTGCAGTCATAGATTTCTAGGATTGAGTAGTTATACTCACTAGTTTTATCGGATTCAAGAAAATGAATTATAATTTTTTCAGATACTCAGCCAGAAATAATCGATCCTATTTCAAGTTTAATTGGTTCAAGAAATAATACACGAATGCCTTTCAGTTTTAGTAAACTAGTGACAAAGTATCACAGCACTCCACGTGAAGCCGTGAAAGCACAGGCATAAGTTCATTAGCTCATGACTTACTTGTCTGAGTTATAGAAATGGTTTGGTTTAATAGTGGTTGCAAATAAAATGTAAGAAGAAAATTTTTCAGTAGAGAGAAAATTTATGCTTTTTTTTATTACTTTCAGAGATTTGTTGGTGTGTGGGTGTGTCTGGTCATGTGGTTTTGTGCCCTTGTGTAGTAAAGATGAGCACGAAATTACGTAGTAACTGTAGTTATAATAACAATTGGAGTTTATAGATATCCTACATACAGCATGACGGAATTAGCGGTTCAGAAACACATTGATTATGTGGTGAATCTTAACAAACATACCAGGGACTATGAATATTGGTTGACTGAGCACCTACGATTGAATGGACTATATTGGGGGTTGACTGCTCTTTTCATGTTGAATGCACCGGATGTGCTTGATAAGAAAGACATAGTAAAATATGTATTGAGTTGTAGAGATTCTAGAAGCGGGGCATTTGGAGCTTTCCCTAAACATGATGGTCACTTATTACTGACATTATCGGGCTTGCAGATTTTGGTGATGTTGGGAGAATTGGATACCGCATTAACTGATGAGGATAAATCGGGTATTATTAAATTCATCAAGGATAATCAATTGCCTGATGGATCATTCCAGGGTGATAAATACGGGGAAATTGACACCAGATTCGTGTATAACGCCATTTCTTCCCTCTCTCTTTTGGGTGAGCTTACGGACGATGTTGTTGAACCGGCAGTGAAATTCATTTTACGGTGTCAGAACTTTGATGGAGGTTTTGGTCTTGTTCCAGGAGCTGAAAGTCATGCAGCACAAATATTCACATGTTTGGGTAGTCTCGCAATTGCTGACAGATTGCATTATCTTTCTGAAGAAAAACAAGAGCTTTTGGCTTGGTGGTTAAGTGAGCGCCAACAGGACAGTTTCAACAATTCCAAAGAATTCGAAGGAGGTCTTAATGGCCGTCCAGAAAAGCTTCCTGATGTCTGCTATAGTTGGTGGGTGCTTTCATCACTATCCATCTTAAAAAGGGTTGAATGGATCGATAAAGACAAATTGAGACGGTTTATTCTTTCTTCTCAAGATCTTGAAACTGGGGGAATTAGCGATAGACCGGACAACCAAGTGGATGTATTTCATACTGTATTTGGTCTTGCTGGATTAAGTCTAACTGGACATCCAGGATTGGACGCAATTGATCCTGTTTACTGTATGCCAGTGTCTATCACTTCCAGTCTTAAAAAGTGGAAGAATTGAATTCTTGTGAATCAATCTCCTATGCATATTCGAATAATAGGAAAAACACTCAGCATTATCTTTTACCTAAATTGTCTGCATCCTTGGATTTTTTATTTTTTATTTCTTGTTCTTTTTCTTCTGTTCCTCCACATTGGAATGTTTTGCTGCGACTTTGTCATTTTCCTCAATATAATAACCGTGAAGTGAATTTTCTGAATACTAAATACTAGATGGAACTCATTAGAGTGCTATCGCTTATAGAATTACTATATTCTAATGACAATTTCATCCTTTCAAATGAAATTCTGTTGTTGTGGATTTGTAACAGAGGCCGATATTTGCTGCGGATAGCTTTTTTGTCTTTCGTGAGCCCACTCAATGTATTTCTTCCTTCATGTCTTTTCAAGCAACAGTCAATGAATCTATGTAACCTGTATGAGTGTTCGCTTATTCGCAACCATACTGTAAGAGACTGAATTAAAAAGGAAGTTGTAACTATAAGAGCATTTGATATCTATCAATTATCTTGTACTATTTTATTATTATTACTAACTATCATTATCTTCATCTTTATTTTCATTTTTTCTAATGCAAGGTTTATGGTATCCAACCGAATTGGATGTAAACTTTCTAATCAATTCATGTCTGAATAATTTAGTTTAAAAGTGGATTTTCTGATTTGAAAACGTGTTTATCTTATTGCTCCTTGATTCTTAAATATTTAACATCAATTTTTTTGATAATATCACAAATACATCAGTACTGGTAGTTATGCATTGTATATGTACATAAGCATTTCTTTCTGGCTCTGAAAAACTATTATAGTGGTAGTTTTAGTAAAACATATAACACGCCCCTATATACACGGCTTACAGCTGGCGCCATTAGAAGTAAAATACTATTTTGCGAAGAAAAAAAGTTGCAATTTCATCATCTGTCAGTTTAATGATGACATTGTTACTGTTTGATTGTGTTTTTTTTTAATTGTGAAATTCCCCAAAATGTACATAATATATATATATAAATAACAGTTTATTGCTAACACAAGTAAAATTTGAAATAAAAAAAAAAAAAAAAACATTATTATAATTATGCATGATGTACTATTCATGTGGCTTATGTTAAATTGACTACTAGCCATACATTTCAATGACGAGTGATGTCTTGTTATAATAGCGGGTGTAGAAGTAAATAGATAAACTTCAACTATTTGGTTTTAACTACGATAATAACAAAGATCCTACCGAAACAAACTCCTGGTGGTAGTATTCCTGATCAATGTATCAAGATTCCTCAACCGTCAGTTCAAATGATAAACTTGCCTGCAATACCTTAAGCATTACTTATGCTACATTCAACACAGTGCTAATAGCGTAGCATGTCATTATCTAAAACAAGGAATTCCTTTAAATATACAAAATAATAAGGCTAATATGGATGTTAGCACATGATAGCAATAAACCGTTATGTATATATGTCCGGCCGGATCGTAAATTTTTCATGCTGACCAATCCCTGCATTCTTATTGGATAATATCTAATGATGACCTCTGGAGAATTGTGGACTACGAAGAGAAACCGAATATATCAGTTGAAATGGTACAAATCTTACTCGAATCCAGAAGGCTATTTTGATGCATTTTTCTTGGTTTTTTGAGAGGATATTGGTGGAAAACTTGTTTTTTGTTATCTGGTTCTGGCGATTTTTTTCTTAGAAATGTACAAAGTTTTCTGCACGAGCACTATATAATTAGTACATGTAATCCCTGACTGGATTTTTTTGTGTTGTTATTTTTTTTTTCACCAAAATTATTTTGTTGTTTTGTTATTTTTACTTTTACTTTGCAATCTCTTCTTCCTACAAGACAATACTTGCCACACAAAACAGAGTATTACAAGAATAGAATTTATCTGAACCCTACACACTAAGCAAATTAAAAATGTCAGTGGTTGGTCTTAAGAACGTTATTGCCAATGTCCTCTCCAAGGATGATTCGAAGAACAACAAACTATTACTGAGAAGCACACTGCAAAGTAATTATGGTGGTATTAATACTTCTGAACTACTAATACCTTCTGATAGGGGTGCAGAGTTAGTATCTGAAGAACAATCGATTGGTAGTCGCGGCTCAAACTTTTCTAATCAAACAGCATTCACAAGTTTCCTTAATAAATTTGATCCAAGAGTGATGAGTGACATTATCATAGGTTTGAGTGATGGTTTAACTGTTCCATTTGCGTTGAGTTCTGCTTTGACATCTTTGGGGGACTCGCAGCTTGTGATCACTGGTGGTTTTGCAGAATTAGTGTCTGGTGCAATCTCAATGGGCTTGGGTGGTTATTTGGCTGCGAAATCCGAGAGTCAATACTATCATAATACTGTCACAAAAGAAAAGCAATCCTTCTTCAAAAATCAAAATGAATTAGAATGTGAAGTCATTGACATCCTTGAAGATATTGGTATAACAAATGAAAGTGCTATAAACTTATTTATTGATGATTTAGAGAAGAAGCCAGCAAAGTTGGTCGATTTTATTATAAGATATGGTAAAGGCCTTGAAGAACCTGCTGAAGGGAGAGAAATAACATCTGCCCTTACTATTGGTCTCTCTTACTTTTTTGGTGGGTTTGTTCCTTTGATTCCTTATTTTTTTGTTGCTACTGTTCAAACTGGCTTGATCGTTAGTTGTATTGTCATGGCCATTGCATTGTTTATCTTCGGCTACGTTAAAACAATCATCTCTATCGGTAATGATTGTGGTCACTGGCAAAAGATATCTGAAGGTTTCCAAATGTTGTTCGTTGGAGGGTTTGCGGCGGCGTGTGCCTGGTTATTGGTTAGGTTAATTGAATCCTAAGCCTTCCCTATACTTCTTATTTCATTTTGCGATTTCCCTATATTTGCTCGTTTGATGCACATTCTATGCTTGGATCATTATCCTCGCTATCCTATATTTTAACTTCAACTCCATTGCTTTACCTGAGTACTACTTCCCCTACATTTTCTATAATATTATTCTATTTCAGTTCGGCTATCCTCCTGCCGTTGTGTTTTTCTAAACCAATTTTCCTTTTTATATTATACAGGGTAGCATTTCTTGCTATATCTTGATTTTTCTGATTCTTGTGAGACCAATATTTTGTGTTTGTATTATTGTCCTGTTCAATTATTTTGATTTAACCAGATTCGCTTAAATATGTAGAGCAACAATTTGGCATAACCGAACTTCTCTTTTTCTTTTGGCAGGTTTGGCAGAGAATCGTTTTCGGCATAAAAGATCCGTTTTTGGGGTGTAGATTAGCGGAGAACTGTAGGGTGCGCCACTCCTGTGGTACAGCCTCTTGTTATTGACGTACTTGTGTACCATCGTACATACTACGAATATGGTCACCCTGCTTTACATTTTATCGTGTTAAATTATTTTGTTGCTTATTATTATTTGTCCTCCTTATTGTTATTAGAAGACAAGAACCAATCCTAATATTATTATTCATTTAATATATTTACCTTCTTTGATTTATTACTGTTAATTCAGCCTAATAGCCACTTGTTTGAGTTGTGCGTTCTATCAGATAGTTAGATGCCAAGTACGGTGATAACATCTGATCTTCTTATCACATATCTAACGCGAGATCGAGTGAAGATATGTATCAATATTGGATTAAGAAGTCAACTCTCCATCCCTTTCCTGTTCATTTCACCGTCTCACGTGAAACCAAACATAAAAGTACGGACAGTCACTCTCTGGGGTCATGTAAGGATAATCATACAATAAAGGTGTAGCTGCAGAAGAAGAGAAAAAACAAAAAAAAAAATTGTTCCCAAAAAAATGAGAAAATTCTCTTGGGGGTGATTCGAACACCCGATCTGCGGATTATTGCAGGAACTTTACAGTCCGATGCCTTACCAACTTGGCCACCAAGAGCAGATTAACGGTGCTGCATACTTTTTTACCAAAATAATTTTTAATCATAAATACCGTCGTTTTGGTATATAAATAACAAAAGATTGATATATTACTGTACAATAGTGGTTATTTATAGTTAATATATTAATATATTTATATAAGAGATGTAATAATAAATAAATTGGGAAGTTGAACTCTTAATATTACAAATAGAATAACGGTGGCGTGTTTAGACGTAGAAATGGGCGATAATAAGTAATGATTTTATTTAGAAATTCTGTGACTCGTTAGTATTCAATTCATTCATTCATTCGAAAACATAAAGAAATTAAAGGTTTTAGTGTTCTGATTTATTTGTCTTTAAACATTTTATATGAATAAGTTTTTTTTTTTCCACAAATATTGTAATATAAGCTTGAACTCATGTTAATCGACGGTTTAATGGTCTTATATCATAATTCGATCTACTAATGATTATATCAAATGAAATAAAATGAATTGTTGAAGTAAGTATAAATACTGTGTAAATGGTTTAGGTGTATCCTCTGAATTAAGAATAATAAAATGGAAAAACGACAAAATCGAACTATCTAAATAGTTCGATTTTCTCTTAGAACTATTGGATGGTTCTAAAAGATAATAGAAAATAATATATTATTATATTGGTATGTATTACAACTTTTTATTTCACTCAGATGAATGTTTTTTTTTCTAGTTTTACTGATTTTGAATTCCAATTATATGGTATTTTTCTATACCATATAAGTTTTCTTCAAACAAATGGCTTGTTAGAGAAGGCTTGTTCGGACACGATCTTGCAATTCCCTTTGCGGTTGTAATGTCTTCAAAAAAAGTTAGTTATACAATGTAAAAATATACTATATCTTTAATAGATTGTCATTAGATTCAGTATTTTATTAATGTGCAAGATTCAATGTACGCTTTTTCGCAGTAACTCACTTAATAATGAGATTCATTAAAATTTCTAAGAAGCCATGTATGTCAAAGGAGAATAATCAAAAAACGAACAGCATATTTGTAACTATTATGACACCCTCACTCCACTCTGCGAGGCACTTCAAGACAAAAAATGAGAGTTCCTTAGATGGTAGCTGCTTCCTGCCTTATATAGCGAGTTCCGTATAAATTGGTAGCATATATGAATATAATTACGCCATTTTTGGTTACAACAATCGCTCGCAAAGTCATTACACTACCAATATGCTCACCAAATGTTGCCAAAAAATAACAAGTCCTCTATGAATGTATATAATAGCTTAATATAGGCAAGTTTCAGGTTAGAGTACTTCTAGGCTAGAGTAATTTAAGGAAATAGTTCAGAACCTTAAAATGATTGAACTACAAGATTGAGCCATAAGATTGACCAATAAGATTGTGTATAGTGTGGAATATCTTTTTTGGGTGTGTGTTATTAGTAGAATAATGTATAAAATGACATATGGTGCATTGGCCATTTAAATATTCTACACGAAACAATAGGAATTGCAATGAAAAATATGAGAAAGAAATAATGTTCTATGTTTTAAACAAAAATCTATACTAAAACCATTATTGAAGACAACCGATAAAAAACAACAAAAGCATACGGAAACTTGATTCAAGTATTTCCACTAGCGTTATTAATCAAGTCAGTGACACGAGCCCATAGTTCGCTGGAAATCTGACAATCTTGGATAACATCAACGTTCAATGTACTTTTTCCTCCAGCTTTCTTATTATAGGCAGTAATAGCAGAAGAAAGGCTGCTATAACTACTACTGCTTTCAAATTTAATGTAGTTTGAAGTGTCATTATATGTAATACCATATGAAGATATACTTACACCGCTACCAGCGAATGAATCCTTGAAGGCATAGTAACGCCCAGTTGATACCTGTTCAATATTAGTTGCAACATTTTTCAACCAAGTAACTCTATTAGAAGTAACACTATTAGTAACATCGGGTAATTCAGCAGCGATAGCTTCATATGCACCACGGAAAGTATTAATCTTCGAGTAAAGTATTCCATTAGTGCCAAAACTTTGTCTGAACATTCCAGAATTGTTGAAAAGCTTCTTTTGGAGAGTTCCAACATTCAGCATATCAGATGCAGTAATAGAATCTATGACAGATTTTTGAGATGATGTAGCGTTTGGTTGCAATACTGTGACAATCTGTTTGAAGAGATCAACACTCTTTGCGGAACCAGAAAGCGTACCGGATGATCCTTTAAGGAGCAATGATGAGCCCGTCAATCCTCCATCTTTGATTTGAGAATAAATATTAAAAATAAGAATTAATTGACTCGCCCAATCGGAGCCAACAGCAATTTCAGAGGTAGAATTTGAACTAGAATTAGAAGTAGATGTAGATTTGGAAGCGGTTTTTGATGAAGCAGACCTAGTATCGGTGTTATTTTTTGTTGTTTTGGTGGCGTTCACACTAGAACTAATAATAGAAGACGAGGCTGTTAAAACAGAACCGCCAATAAAACTGAATCCCTGTAGAGAGGTTGGAATTTCAACCAGAGAAACGTTTCCACTGTAATCACCAACAGAAGAAGTGGAAGTGGCTTGAGTAAGTAGCTGTTGAACTTGTTTTCCAACGGGCAAATCTGTCACCAGAGACAAAGAGCTAGATAAATATTGGGATTGTGTAGCACCACTGTCACCTATCAATAAAGAAGATTCGGTGCTAACAACATTAACAGGAATAGCTGCTTGATAACTGAGACTGATGAGCAGTAAGAATGTGGTGAAAAAGAGACCTCTAGCCATGATGATTTGATTCTATTAAGAGACTTTTTATTAAATAGACCCTTTAAAGACCCTTCTATTAATTATGAATATTAAAGCTACCAGAAAAACAAACAAACAACTTATTTTTTGAGTTCCAGGGTTCTCTGGAATTTATTTATATCGTTGGTTCTAGCTCTCATGATGTTTTATGTTCCATGTCCTGCATGAACCCGTTTCGGAGGATCAAACAAACCAGGCCAGTGGTACATTCATGTGACATCCTGAGTTTTGTATATTGGAACTCATCATTCTCCTCTGAAGTTTCATATTCCATTTTAATTCCGTATTATATTTGAATATGATTCGTATTTACTGATATAGAGTAATCAGTAGAACGTGTACAATTTCAGATCAGTGCAAAAAAAAAGCTCAGTATAGAACGGCTTTAGACCAAGAATACCATTAAGTACCAGAACCCACAATGTTAGATTTTCAGTTTTGGGTACCGAAGACAGAAACAGCGTATAAGCTAAAACAAAACAAACAACAAACAAACAAAGGAGAAGTTTTGTTTCTTAGATTTAATTAGATCCTCTGGGCTTCCACCTCAGATCTTTGGTGACAAAACAAAAAAAGCTTTAAAACAAAAAGGAAACCCGGACATCATGACATCCACAAATTTAATGATTTTGTTGAGATCAGTAAGTGGACACAAAAGACTTGCACTGTGCTGGCACCGCCACAAAGTATTTTACAAAGTGCTGCTCTTACACTCAAGGAAGTAGAGATGTCAATATACTATACCCGGTATTCAGAATCTGTTTTACTTTTTAAAAGCTTTTCTTCAAATCTGATCTTGAAAATTGATGCATTTGGGCTGTCGCTAGTGCAAAATGATGCATTTGATCATTATAATTATTACTTCAACACTTTCCGGAAAAATATAGGCCATTGTCTTGGGATAGTAGGTGTGATCAATCTAGCCACATCCAGATACGTAATCGTGGCACTGGGAGCTTCAGTTCAGACCAAGGTATTGGCAAATAACGTCTATAAGCTCTCTGGTTGTGAATTTATTCCAATAAAGCTTGAAAGCGTGCCTTTCACCAAAAGTTCGTCCAGCAATGATGATAGATATTATGTCAACTTGTTAAAATACCACTTGACTAATAGCAACTTACTTTATTGCCAGTCGCTCGATTTGTCTCATAATTTCCAATCGCTTTTCAGCAAAGAAAATGAGGTGACGAGAACTACAATAAGTAATTTATCCACATTTAATCCTACACCAATGAATAAGGACCTTATTAATTCTTTCGATTCTGATTACTTCTGGAATGAATACTTGTTATCTGAGCTTATTGGTTTGTCAAATGAAAGAAACAGTGGCCCTGTTTGTGAATTTTTGATACCTTTAATTTACGGATTTGTCGAATTTACACAAGTTCCAAGCCTGAATGTACATGAATCCCGACAAATTTGGTTTGGTGTCATATCAAGAAGAAACAAATATAGAGCTGGAACTAGATATTTTAAGAGGGGTGTGGACTCTCAGGGAAATGTCGCTAATTTTAATGAAACTGAACAAATTGTTTTGGTAAAGGAAGATAATAAAGTGTCAGCATTTAGTTTCTTACAAATAAGAGGATCTATCCCTATCCATTGGGCAGAAATTAACAACTTGAAATATAAACCAATATTATCATTATCAAAAAATTCCAATCTCAACAGCTCGGTTCTACATTTTACTTCTTTGAAAGAGAAATTCAGTGATTTGGAAAAAGTCTACATTGTTAATTTAATCAATAGCAAGGGCCATGAATTACCGATCAAAAATGCATTTGAATCAACAGTTTCAGAACTAATAGCCTTGAGAAATAACGATCAGAATTTACCAGCAATAGATTACATTTATTTTGATTTTCATGACCAGTGCAAGAAGTTTAATTACCAGAACACTAATTTGGTGACCGAAGAATTGAAAAATCACAGATTTAGTTTCAATGATTATTTCAGCGTTGAGTTTACTGGCCAGGATTTTTTTAAACAGAACATTGTTCCGCATGGTATCATAGTTAACGTTATGTCCACCCAAAAGAATATTGTTAGAACAAACTGTATGGATTGTTTAGATAGAACTAATGTAGTTCAAAGTGTTATTGGGAAGTGGATTTTGACTGAGCAGCTTAATAAATTGGAATTCAACTACTATCCAAATATCCAATATAAAATGGAGTCTGCCCTACTGGATGTGGAAAGCTCTAATCACTCAATGGTCCCAACATTTACTTCAGCATTCAACAATATCTGGACAAATAATGGGAACTATATTTCAAAAGCATACTCAGGAACAGGAGCTCTCAAGAGTGAATTCACCAGAACCGGGAAGAGAACGGTGGATGGTGCTATCAGAGATTTGGTTAATTCCATCGTCAGGTATTTTAAAAATAATTTCTATGATGGCTACAGGCAAGATTCGTATGATGTATTTTTAGGGAACTTTCAACCCTCATTATTCAATGAAACCACAGATTATAAAAAATATGACACAAATTCCACCACAGCCAATAATTTTTCTTCAAGAATGTCCATCGATAAACAGAATACTAATGAGGAAAATATATTGACCACAGCCATTGACTCCTCGTCCAAGAGTGGCCATAAGAAAACCAATAGTGTGTTTATGGGAAATCCAAGCAGATTTTCAATGAGCCAAAACAGCAACTATACTCCTTTTGGTTCGCTCACAAATTTTCAAAGCGCTCACAGTCTCATTTATCCTTCAAACATAAATATGAGCTCTTCACCATTTTATGATTGCAGACCGTTCAAATATCAACTGATGCCTTATTTACTTGTTTCTACTACTGCACTTTTCTTTCTGGTGATATTCTTTCCTAAAGATAATTCAATTACCACCAGTTCGAACTTGATATTACTAGGTGCGTGCTTCGTGATAATCAACTGGTCAGTATTATTTATTCTTGGAAATGGGTTACAGTTTGTTGTGTGGCCCAAATTGTGCGATATTGGATTTCTAAGAAAAAGAAAGGTTATTGGTGAAGCTACAGATAGTGATGATGATGGGGTTGAAGGATTTGAATATGTTATTGCAGACGAATTCACATCAGGGATGGCTAAACTTGATTGAATAAGATAGTCAGATTTTCAGTTAATCCACTTTTTTTTTCTTATGTGTTTTGTTATTTTTTTTTCTCATGTGAAAAGGCCAACTAGAACAGGTATTACAGACTTTGATAGAATTCAGAAGAATTTATAGATTGTGATCATATACTAGGTAAAAAGATTTCACTAAAAAACATGCTGCGTATAAATAAGCCCTGTGTTTTTTTTTTTTTTTTTTTTTTTTTAAATGATAATTGTCATAGAATAAATGATCTTTGGGAAATCAAATATATATCATGTATATGGAACAACGATAAGATGAATGAAATCTGTGCAAAATGAATTCAGAAGCTGCACACTCATCACATAAAGAGGCATGTTAATGTGCAATAAATAGGAAAAGAGAAGGGACATTTACAAATTTGAGAACGACCTACAAGCTGTCACATATTACGAGTTATAATATATCATAGTGTTAAAAAATTAATAGAAAAATTTATAACAAACTAATTGGATATATATTTTTTTTATGGAAAATAAATCAAGCTTCGTTTAATTCCTTAATCAACCCTGCTGGGTCATTGGCCTTCATTAAGGCTTCACCAACCAAGAAACCTTGTATGCCTTCCTTATGGTATTTTGCGGCTGTTTCCTTGTCAAATATACCAGATAACGCCAACAATATAGAATCTTTTGGCAAAAGACTGACCAAACTTGAAGATTTATTCAAGTCCACATTGAAAGTTGTCAAATCCCTGTTGTTGACACCAATAACTTTAGCACCGAGTTCTACCGCTGACTTCATTTCGTCAACAGTGTTGACTTCAACCAATGGTTCCATACCCAAAGAAACAGAGTATTGGTAGAGTTCTTTCAATGTAGCAACATCCAACATCTTGACAATAAGGAGAACAGTGTCTGCACCAGCAAGTCTAGCTTCAAGGATTTGGTATTTGTTGAAAATGAATTCTTTACGCAAGAGCAAAGGTCTAGACCCAGTGTCGGCACTGTGTTTATCTAGCAACTTGCGGATATTTTTCAAATCTTCAATAGAACCTTTAAACCAGTGTGGTTCAGTGAGAACGGAAATGGCAGTGACACCAGCTTTTGCATATCTTTCTGCTTGATGAAGAGCATTAATATTCAAAGCAATGTCACCTTTTGATGGCGAAGCTCTTTTGATTTCTCCAAGTACGGAATTCTTCTTTCCGATGTTGTCTTTAAGGGCCTTATAGAAATCCAAAACACTAGGAGCTAATCCTAAACTATACAATGTTTCCAAATCATTAAAAGTCTGACCAGGAATAGCTTCTTGGATTTTGTAATCTTGTTTGCGCTGAGCATAGATCTCGTGAAGGATGTTCTTTTTCCCAGATGACACAATATTTGATCTGGTGTATGAAGATTCCAATTTTTCTTGTTCTTCCCAAGTAGCGGCTGAATATGATAACAAATTTCTAATCATTAAATGTCCTTCTTCGGTGAGAATAGATTCTGGGTGGAATTGCACCCCTTCAATAACATACTTTTTATGACGAACACCCATAACAATGCCGCCATCAGTTTTTGCAGTCAAAACCAATTCATCAGGCAAAGAACTGATATTACCTGCCAATGAATGATATCTAGTGACTGATATACCTTGTGGCACACCTTTGAACATACCCTTACCATCATGAGTAATTGTGGATGTCTTACCGTGAACAATTTCCCCGGCATATTCTACAATACCGCCAAATACGTGGTACATAGCTTGTTGACCTAAACAAATACCGAAGATTGGTTTTTTACCAGCAAAGTGTCTGATAATATTTTGACAGATACCAGAATCAGTAACAGGATGTCCTGGCCCAGGGGAAAGGACGATGATATCATAATCTTTAGCTTCTATTTCAGAAACTGAGATCTTGTCATTTCTGTAAACCTCGACATTGGCACCTTCTTGACATAAATATTGATAAATGTTCCTATAATCATAATTGTTAGTATTTCCCAAATAAATTTGCTTTCAGATCTATTTTCCATGGATCACAACCCCGGCAAAGAGTAGGAAGACTTACCAAGTAAAGGAGTCATAGTTGTCTACTAAAATCACCCTTTTAGACAGGGCCTGTTTCTGTGCACTCATTTTCTAAGCTCTAAGTCGTTGTTTTATTAATCCTAATGAAGGTGACTCAATACATATTATTTATTAGTCAATTTTTTCAGTAGTTGATTTTTTTCGTGATGGACAATCATCCATAAAGTTGGTGCACTGTGTGCGTTTAGAGGAGTTTGGCGAATTTTCATTTCTTATAGAAAAAAAATAGTGCCAAACGCAGCCTATTTATTAATAACAAGAATCTTTATTGGAATATCACATAGTTATGGATGAATTGACACTCGTAAATGGAGCACATTCAAAGAACACGGTGGAAGTATTATACCAGCCAATAAATCTTGAGATTCTCATTAATTCTTGTTTAAGGCGCCGATTTACCCCAGCAAGTTTCAAATTATTGTTTATTCAATTTGATACAAAGTATAATGTGTCCATTGATGAATTCATAACGGTGGTATCGAATTTCGCCACATCATTGGAAAATGAATTTCTCTATGAATACATTTACGAAATAGTGATTATGCTGCATGGTTCCAATGCTAAAATAGGTCTAAGTTCTGTGTTTAGCAGGTTGAGTGATACCAATCAACTATTTCAAGTCCAATTTTTAAATGGAATAGTAAATAATATGACATATCTCAAGAGATTGGTGACACAAATATTTGACTCATATGACAAGGAGAATAATGGAATAGGTCAGCTGTCTTATAACGAGTTTTTCGTAAACTTGAACCAATTCATCTCCAGTGCAGATACCGCACAAATTGACCTTATTAAAGAAATAATATATTTCCTCGGTGTTCTAATTGAGACAATAATATCATTAAGCAAGTACCCAAACAATAAAATCAAAGACAAACATGATACGAAACATTTGAAAGCAAACAAAGACTTGTTTATGATACCCAAGGAATTTATTGAGCACATATATGAATTCATAAACAAGCTATCACAATCAAATAAGGAACTCAGCTACTTATGCACATATTTAGAGGACTTAATCAAAAAGTATTTCAAACATTTGAATCATATTTCTTCGCTATCCTACGCCGGCTCATCACATAATGCATTCAAAGCCCTCAAGTTGATATGGCTCAATAATGTTATCATGAACATGCGTATCAACGAAGAATTCTTTTTATTGACATTTGAATATTTTTTGAAAAATGAATTGAAGATTTTGAATATTAGAAGTGATGGCGATGATATGAAATTATTGATTAATAATTTAATAGACACACTGATGGAAATGTACTGTGTATCGATTGTTAATAGGTCACCATTACAGATACTCAATAAATGGAAATTGTTCATTGAGAAGCAATTGCCACTATTGATACTTCGTATAAAGGAGAAACGAGAATGCTTGCTTGGAGAAGGTGAAAACATGGAGAAAATGGACCTCGAAGACCTCAAATCTGATGAGGAACTTGAAAAATCAATTAGTCTCTCAAAAACTTCCAGAACATCTCCATTTTCAAAATCAATTCAAGGTGCTATTGTGGAATCCATCTCATACTTGGATTCGAAAATTGTAAAAATTTTAAAACTTTTTGCCAACGATGATCGACAAAATAAGAACGACTTAATCACAAATCCTGAGGCAACACGCGCGGTAATAGACTATCTCAAAATCCTAGAAAAAAGTGAAAAAGTTGATATTTTTGCCTCGCTTCCTCCAACTATCGTTGATAGTCGACAAAGTTTCTTGAGAAGTTGTGTCGCTTTGAATTTGATCACCACTGAAGATTTCGCATCTTGCTTAAGAGATGATGTGAAGTCAGAGATGGTAATATTGAATACAACCGATGTTGCAAAAGATCCTCAAAGCGGAGAATTCATCTATGACCTAACAAAGCACATTAACGATATATTTCTATCAAAAAATCCAGAATTTGATGCTGTTGACGCATCAGCCCTCACGAGATTTTTATACCACATTCCTAGCTTTGAAGCCACTACACAATATCAAATTTCACTCACTTTACTCAACACTTTGAAGTCACTAATCTCCGACAAGAAGGATCTATACTTGAGGAGGTTGTCGCTCTCGTTACTCTTGAATTTAGAAAGTTTGGATATTATTATTTATTTTTTGAGTCCAATCAGATTTGTGGAGCCAATATTGAACTACTTAGATAATATGAAAGAAGCAGATGATGGCGAGGAGGACTTGAACTTTCAAGATACTTTCACGGATTTTGGCTGTATGTTTTTATTTCTTTTTGCGATAATTAAGAGGTATGGTGTTAACCTCGAAGATATATTGGAAATCAAAAGCCAAGACAATTCATTCTGTCTCTATTTTCTATCAAAATCTGGCAATAAGAAAGATACTGGAGTGGAAAATTATCACCAAGATAAAACACATCTTAATTTAGGTCAAGAATTGATCAATAATTGGATAAGTGAATTATTTTATTCTTCTAGCGGTATATCTGATGAGCTAATAAGCCAGTCTTCTGCTAAACAATGCTTTAGGTTGATTCCAGTTATTTTCCAGCAAGCTTTTTTGGCATATAAACAAGGATTAATTGATTTTGAAATTTTCAAAAATGGGGTTGAATATTTTTTCCAACCATTCTTGTTGGCACCTTTGTTGGATATTTTTAATTGGTTAGATAGTTTAATATGGAGCTTAACACCTATAAGAGATGAAAATGACAAGAAGGATTTTCAATTAATTTTGAATGTTTTGTCATATTTGTTGTTCCCAGTGGTGAATGAAGAGGCAAAAGTTATTCACGGTTTAATTTTGCAATTTGTTGCGCCAAAGCTTTTAAAATCCATCAGCACCGTGGAACAGATTTATAATTCCGATACTGTTTTGCGTAATAGATTAGGAGGACAAATAATTTTGAGTCCAAGAATTTTTGAATTATTGAAACAAAAAATCAACCAAAATAGCTATTCATTTAATTTGAGCTTAATAGTTTCCAATAATCTATTTACCAGCAATGATTTAAGGTTACATTTTGATATTAAACTCTCGAATAATGAAAGTAACACGCATGCAAACTCCAACAGCGTCAGTCAAAATCCAGAGCCTTTTAACGAGTCTCCTTTCAGTCTACTTGAGGAACAGATTAACTCTTTAGTTCTTTGGTCTTATTATTCCCATCAATCTTCAGGAACTCCTAAATTCGATCCTTATTTAATACATTTAGCAGTAATGACTGCGAGTGGGAAAGAGGTTATAAATTTCTTCATCTCCATGATAATTGCTTATGAAAAAATTTTAAGAGATTTATATGTTTCAAGTACCAACACTGACTCAAAGGAGGGACTACTGAATTCCATAAACACCCAGAGCAGGAATTTTGCAGTGGAACAACTAAAAAAGAAAATTCTTGGAAGAAAAAAAGGACAGAGTCTTACAAACCAAAACATCCATGAAATCATCTGTGCTCTTGTGGATGTTCTTGCGACTCATATTGCTAGTTACTGTGATACTAGCGACAGGGAAAGAGTTATCTATTGGCAAAATAACCTATCAATAGCACTGGCTGGAGAGGAATCAACCGTTGTTGATAATACTGATATTAAAAATGAAAAGGATGATAGTCTGTCGCCAGAAGCCAAAATGATTCAACAAAAGAATACAGAAGTAATAAAACCTTTGAATAACTGTTCGCACAAGGGCAAGAGATCTTTTGAGCTGTCCCAGGATGAGTTATTTATTGCTCTTAAACAAATACAAAAGGAGCTTGACGCTGGTCAATCCAAGTCAACAGGGGAAGTGAAAAGAAGAAGACAAGTGACAGATAATGGGGAATCTAGAAAGAAGACAAGAACGGTTAAATTGTTAATTGATGGTGTACAGAATCAACTACTGCAATTTACCTATAGTTCCAAATTGAATTGAATGAAACAGTACGGTAGAATAAAACTATCCAATACATTTGTAACCTCGTTAACATGAAAATCATGGCTTGTAGACTGATGATGTCAAAATCAGGGCTAAAAAAGATGTGAAACGGTGAAATTGTCACGTGGAACACTCATCTTTTCTTTTTTTTTTTTTTTTTTTTGGCACATCATTTTTATGTGTGCACCCAGCTGAGCTATGGTAATTCAGGAACTATAGGAATATATGGAAAAAATAATGAAAAACAACTTTAAAGTAATAAGAAGTATAGATTGCTGATACTAAACATACGATAGCTATGCATGGAACTGTTCTTGGGTGGGTATATATTTGCTAAAAGTAATATGATAGATCATCCGTGATTCAGGATTGCGGGCTAAAATTGTGCGTGTTTGGGAATCTGTTACTGTGCATGCCATATATATAATCTACAAGAGCCCCCCTGACTACGGGAGGTGACCGGCAAACCAGATTTTTTTTTCGGTAAATTGTTGACAAGATTTCAAAAATGGAGCCGTTGTACTATACAAATGCTCATAATGATTACTTCAAGTCGATCTCCAAGAGATCTAAATCTCAAAAGGAAAAGGACAGGAAAAATCGGAGCTCTATCACCAGCTTTTCACTTCCTCCTCAAATGAATCAGACGAACCAGATGCTTCAAAGCAGCCAAGTAAGCCAATTGAATTCATTGGCTCAAATAAAAGAGACCCCGGACAGTTTCCAATATAAAACTCATTACAAAAAGTTTTCTAATCTCTCTGCTAGTGCTCCAAAGGGGGGAAACGGATTCATTAGTTCACCAACTTCTTCTTCCACTCCAATATCAATTTCAACCAGCCCATCATCCAAAATTCCTACAATAATCTTAGTTGCGGCTCAAGATTACCAAGCCAGAAATAAGAATGAGATCTCAGTCTATTCCAAGGAGCATTTGAAGTTGATGTCAAGAAAAGGAAATGGCTTAATCTTGGTAAAGAATATTAGTCGAATAGGTATGCCAGGTTTGATTCCAACATCATTGGTAAAAATTGTGGATTTGGATAACAGGGTTGGGAATGGCCCAAGACAAAAATATGATATGAATTGGTTGAATACTCCAGATACTGTGAGTCAGTATGAAAAAAACAATTACGGATATTCCACGGAAATAGGATCTCCTCAACCATATACGTCCTTTTCGGCTCCTGATACTACTCCAACAAGATCAGGATCTTTGTCGATTAGCAAACCAACGCCAATAAATTACCAAAAGCACAATGCTTCGACTCCAGAGCAAAACTACAGCTATGATGGCAAAGGCCAGTACAGCAAGGAGTCTGCAGAAACAGTCAATTCATTTGATAAGGATCTTAGAAGAGTGAATTCTAACTCTACTATTGGCTCGACTGTTTCTTCAATACATTCGTTCAATTTGAAACAATCGTTATCAAATTGCAGCAGTCCTGCCCTTAGTGATGATGAAGGCCTTGAAAATGACATCAATCCTTACCTAGAGGAAGATCAAGATGATGATTATGATGGAGATTTAACGGGATTTTATCAGGAACATAGTGATTCCAACTATTCTAACATTCTATTAGAAATAGATAGTGTTTGCGTATCTAACGTTTATAATGCTAATGGCCGGTACTGGTATAAAGTTGAAATTTTTTTCAAGAATGGCAACAAAAGATTCTTACGGCGTTACTACCAAGACTTCCATGATTTACATACGTGTATCGCGAATTACATTAATAATGCAGAGAACTACATGGATAATGATCTTCATTTGATGCCAAAAATGCCAGGTCCAATTCCTAGACCTGACCCAAATAACCCTTCGAAAAATTTGCTACAGAGATGCCACGATTTAAATATCTATTTCCACCAATTATATCTCAAGTTGGTAAATGACGGCTACAATAATGAAGTTTTTGAGGGATGGGTTCATCCAAGATTTGGTGATTATGATATGAATGGTGATGACCCAGCTGCTGCCTCTTTGGATAACTCTATTATTTTTGAGAGGCCAATTTGTGCCAATGATCAAGAAGGCAGCTTGTCTAACGATGATCATGACAATTTTAGAATGCAGCAGCAGCAAACAAAATATAATACAGCTTTGGGATCCCCAAAAATTGCAGTTCCAAAATCAGAATTTTCCTCTTTTAATGGCGGAGAAGGTCAAATGGATGATTATTATCATAATAATAATAATAAAAACAGTCTATATACTCATAGTAATACTAGTGCTAATAGTATGAATGTTCCTCAACAATCTGTTAGACAACATAATAGACCCCCAATTTCGGCTGCCTCATCACCAAAAATAAAACAGCAAGTTATTAATAAGAACTTGCCACCAATTCCAATGGGCGACTCTTTAGCTCCTCCAACACCTGTTTCGATAAAAAGAACTCACCCAACTCCAATATCTACCAAAAATAAACAACAATTCAACCAATTGAAATATTCTCCTTTTAGTCAAAGTGAAGAGGATGATGAGGAGAAAGAATATTCAAAGTTTTACAAATCTAATAATGATATCATGCAAGAAATTGAGAGTGAATTGAGTATCGGAAATGTCAGTATCATCGACAATTCCCAAGCTTTATCTTTCAAAGCTTCTTCAAACCCATCACAAGCCCTTAATCTTGCCATCACTGTTTCTACGCCTACTTCATCTACATTTTCTTCTTCAGAGAATTCGACTGAAAGCACCAACGCTGATGCACTGTTAAGCTTCTCTCAACACCAAATTTCAGGCCCACAAATCCGAGTCAAGGTGTTCTATAATGATGGTGAAGATATATTTATTACAAAGGTCCCTGTGTCACTTAATTTGTACCAATTGAAGAATAAAATTTTTGTCCGTATTAAGGCTGATTTTGAAAAGAGAAGCCCTGCTCTTAACAGAAAGCTAGTTTCCGATAAAAACATGTTCTTGTTCAATAAGGATTCCAATGGAGTGTATAGTGCTATTAAAGATGATATTGGATTAAGAAACGTTATTAGAGTGTCAAAAGGTAAAATCTCTGTCAGAGTTGAATTAGATTGATTTTTAGTTATTTTTTATTTATGCGTGTTAATTTTTTAGATTTCTTTTCCATTTTTGCTTTGATATGTTTCTGCTTTTCTTCACTTGTTCGATTTTGTTTAAGTAATAAATTAAGGGTAAATTTTCATTTTCAAACATCTCTGTAGGAGCAGGATTATTTAAGATCATTGAGCTCTGTTTATCCCAATATACTAAAAAAAAAATGAAATCACTGTGTACCGTACACATACAAAAAAGTCCAAAAATAAATTTTTTAGAATAGAAACTCCCAATACATAATGTTGTTATCATATTGAGATATTTTTATGTCAACCTCTTGGCACATTTCAATATTGTTTAAACTATGAAAAATGTGTGTCTGGTGTAGAACAAACCCTCAGTACACATGTTATTACCATATTGGGGTACTTTATTCCTGGCATGTTTCAAAACTATGAAGAATAATAACCCCCATTATACACACTAAATTTGGTGCAAACATCAAAAATAACCCCCTTTTTACACAGTGAAGAAATTCTTCACCAAAAACAAAAAAAATACAACCCCCTATTCTGTGATGCTAGCAAATATTTACACGTGATATTCACGACATTTTGGCACACTGTAGCGGTCGGTACCTTTTAGCAATATAATTAAGTCAGGTAGTTAAACAAACCGAGCCAATCAAGACATTGTATTCAATTTAACGATATGTACCTTTCAGGATTAAGATGTAAGATATAATTCTATCGTAAAGAGATAAGATATAATAAATAAGTATTAATTAATTGTTCGATGATTCTCATATAAAATGAGTAATAATAAAAGAAGATGAGAAAATAATGTGATCACAAGCTGCAGCTTTTGAAAAAAAAAACTCACTGACCGAAACGAAGTCTCTGAAATGTGACAAAGTTTGATATCCCAATAAGGTAATAACATATGTATTGGGGGCTTTTCAACATATTAACTGATTACGGATAACACTTGCTTGAGATAACTTACCCGGCCCAACAACATCAAAGCATTTCATTCCCCCTTACACACGATTGTTCTATAACTATCTTTGAAGCATAAACTCAATTCAACATTTAGTTAGATAGTATTTCATTTTATATTTAGCAGCAATGAATAATGGCCCACAGAAACCAAGTACCCTGCGTTATTCTGAATACTATACCAAGTTTTATGAATTGGATCACACTCTAACAAAAGAAGAACGAATTACTTTGAGAGACTACTTCTCAGAAATTGGATCAAAATCGAGACTAGGATGCATTGCTGCGTTCGGTTTGGGATTTGGAGCAGTTCTATTCAGGAACCGATCGAAGATTAGCTCAGCAACTCTGCGTGTCAAAATCTTGAGGAATCAAAGCCCACACTTGACAAATGAGGAACTCTTTGCCAAGTTGAATGACCTACAAAAGCAAAAGCAGAAACAGAAACAGAACAATATTGGGGTCAAGGCTTTTCTCTGGGGGTTAGGTAGTGTTTTATTGTTTTTTCCTGTCACGCTCAAAGTTTCGGAAAGTTCAGCTTACAATGGGTTGGTTGCTAACCATGCCCCTGTGGATGGCGAGAAGGCTAAGGTCGTTAAAGTTGCCGATTTGTTGAGCCAAAATAACAATATTTTGCAATGGAGAGTGTACTACGAAATGACAATCCGTCACCCTGAAAAAGCAATAAAAGACCCAAGATTGAACCAGCAAAACAGGAGAGTAATTGACACGCAACAACAATCTCAAAGACAACCAGAAACGATGGAATCGCATGAGGAACCATCGATAGGGTTTTCTCAGGAAGTTAGAACTCCTGCTGCAGCTTCTCCAGAACCACTTTATCCGAAAACAATTGATACAGCTCCGTCAGATGACACACCTTCCTACGTTGATAATTATCAATCTGGCGATGGCTTTGGAAATAGAGACTCTGATGATGATATTTTTGAAAACATGGGTCTTGCTGCTGGCGGTAGCTCCAATTATAGTTCTGCTAAGGGCAAAAATGAAAATACTTATTCTTCCTCTTGGGATAGGATTAGAGCTGAAAACAATGTAGAGGGTGGAAATGAGGGCGGCTCTAGTTGGGAAAAAATTAGAAGAAACTCGAATTGATATTTTCTGATGGGTGATTTTGTAAATATTTTATGTGTCATGGAAACATTCACATTATTAAATATAATAATAAGCCAATACATATATATTGATAGCCGTGTGCTGGCATGAAATCAAATATAGGGATTAGGGATACTCCTGGGTCTAATTTAAAGATAAATTTTGTTTAATAAAGAAATATATATTATAATAAGGAACTCAAATGTAAACTTTCAGAATAACAAAACAAGGAAATGAATGTGCTATTATACAATAAAAAAGAGATTCTTTCGTTTAGAAGAAATCAAATAATGGAAGAAGTAAAAGAAGAACCAAAAGAGATAAAAGGTTATTTTAAAGAGGAAGTGTTATTAGGAAACTAATTAGATATGTCTCTATAATAGTCTGGAACAGAGGTTGTTCTAATAATTGTCTTGTTATGAAATTGGGCTTTCTGAGGATGAATTCCTTTTGACATGGCTTGTGGATCATTATTAGCAACAACATTAGCTGATTTCACTTCAGTAAGTGCATTAGTTGAACCTTTTTCACGTTGAATTCTACCAGATAATGAGTGATCTGATTGAAAATTTGAAGGATCTAGGTTTTCTTTGTTTGAACTAAATGTACTGACCGATGCAGATCTCTTAAATATATTACTTTTCTTCTTTGTCATACTCTTTCTTTGGTTATAGGATGATAGAGACTTGACATCAGTAAATACAAACTGAAAGTTTGTGCCCTTGTTTTGCTTCTTCGCTGGTGCCAAAGGTTTTGAAGTAGAGTTTGATTTGCCAAAGGTCCCCATCATTGGAACGGACTCAGCAGAAGAAGGAATATAGGTATTAGCCAATCTATTTTTCTTTTCATGCTTAGCGGCATCTGGAGTAGGACTGGCTAGATAATCCTTCTGTAAAACACTATCAGTTAGATTTTTCTTTGTACTAGTTGCTAAGATCGTCGACGGAGAGTCAGTCACACTCCCTTGCTGTTTCAATGGTGTTCGGGATGAATTAGCTGAACTATCAACAGAGGAACTGAGAGTAGGAATATTGTGAGGAATCATTTGCCCCATATAAGGATAACCCATATTTGGATGCAATGGCACAGCACCCGCCATGTAGGGTCCCTGTATTGACACTGGAGGAAAAACGTGCAAAGGAAAACCTGGTGGTACTGGGCCTCCCATCGGTATAGGATATGGCAAACCTTGGAAACCTGGGGGAACCAGTGCAGGTGGTCCTGGGGGAACCAGTGCAGGTGGTCCTGGTGGTAGTCCATTTGCGAATTCTATAATTGGTTGCTGGATTGTGTATTGACCCATTGGGGGTTGCACGAACATATGACTATTTTGGAACTGAAAATTAGCCATTGAGGGATCAATGGATTTGGCCTCCTTTGGTGCTTTATCGCTGTCAGGTTTGTTATTGTTTAAAGACTTATTTTCCTTATCTTTGGTGTTGTTTTCGATCTCTCTTCGTGATACGCTGGTGGATAAAGTTGATCTCGAAGCCGTAGAATTTCCAAGAAGTCTCAATTCTTCCTCGATATTTTCATCGAGATCTTGAAGATTATAATTTTCAATTTTCTTTTTTAGACTTTTTGGAGTTTTGAAGTCCATCAAGACTCTGGTAATATAATCATCCCCTAATCTAGATTTTGCATTCCTCATAGGTGTTTGTACTGGCGAATCTATTTGTGAGAAATTTCTTTTCTTTGAGCTGGTTGTACCCAATCTCAAAAATGGAGAAAACCCCTGGTGTTTATAAAGATCAAAATCATCACCATTATTAAGATCATTAAGAAGATCAACATTGGAATCTATGGTTGCCGAATCTTTGGGTTTATCTCTAATGCTTTTAGTGAGGTTGAGTTTTGATGCTGATTTCTTGAGGGATTTAAAAATTGAATTTTGGTTCAAGTAACTGAAGTCACCACCCAGATTCTTTTGAGGCGTGACTGTCAAAAAATCACTTAGATGAACAGATTTATTAATGAACGAAGGCATGTTATCGATGTCCTTGTTTTCAGCAGCACATCTCGGGGCTGAGGGACTCGATGTTAGGTTAAAGAGGAAGTCATAATTTTTTCTAGCAGGGGAATTCAAATGCAGAACTCTGTTGACAGAAGATGTTATTTTGCCGAAAAAAGGCGTTACCATGAAATCACTGCTATTAAAATTATTTTGGTTCAATATTTTATTGGAATATGGGGTGCTTCCGAACAATATAGAGTTGTTGTTGGCGTCATTCTGTGTAACTGGCTCAGCTTGATGATTTTTCGTTTTAGTGTTTTTATCAAGCGATAATTTAGTCTTTCTCTTTTTCCTTGATTGTTCATCTAATGACTCAAAGATTTCAGAGTCTAGCACATTAGCCATAGAGTTGTCTTCTAAAGATTTGGAGGTCATCCTTTTGGTATTATTGTTGAATTCTTTTGTTTACTTTTATGCTGCTATGTTGCATGACAAGCAACGCTTTTCGTTCTCTAGTTTGTTAGTTTGTTTTTCCCAAGATGAGCCGGAAGCAACGGGAAGGGTCGAGTGGCAGTAAAAGTTTGTCTTTGACAGATTTCGTGATAAGCTGGCTAGAAATTTGTTGATAATAGCTGTTGTTGGTGATAGCAAGGAATAGAGGAATTTGTTTACAATCAACCCACTCCTGAAACTGTAAACAAAACAAACACGCACGTGATCAAGCACATACAATATTTGCGTACAAAAATCATTTAATTTAAGCAGACGCCTCCTACAATGCTGAGGGGTTTAATGGCCAGAATGATAAGAACATTATGTGAGTATAGTAATAGCAAATTAGTATTAAAAACATTGAACTTCTTGAGCTTTCACCCATAAACTCTTTTATTTTGTACATTAGACAAAAAAAGAAAGCAATCCCCTACTAATATTATATAGTAGATGTATATGCACGTGACCATTTTCTCAAGGAACTGAAAATAAATATTCATTTGGTGGGACTTTGGGAGGATGAACTGTAGACTTTGTGAAAAAAAGGTACGCAAAGATGTCAGAAAACAACCGCACAGATATTATCAAACCTCTTGACCCCATAAGTGGATCTGCCCAAGATCAACTGCCGAAGGCACCTGCTGCAGCTTCTTTACAAAGAGGGAGCATAAGCTCAATTTTGAATTACGATGATTCGACGCCTGCTGTGATAAAGCCCCAAGTCGAAGAGGAGACTCACCAAGATGTTAATAATGATGAAGACCCATATGCTGACCCAAATCCATCAGTTGGGGAGTATGAGGAGGCTCAAGAAACTGGGAAAGCTGAAGAAAAAGACAAAGATACGCACGTAAATTCCTCTGAAAAACCTAATCCCCAAGAGCAAGCGAAGGAAACAGAAGCTTTTGATTATGAAATAAACCCTAGAAGACCAAGAAAAAGAAAAATCATCAATCTGAAACCAAATGCCTTTTCTTTAAGAAGAACGAACGAAGAAGAGGATGAGAAAGAGCAAAAAAAGGCAAAAGTGGTGCTGGTTTCTCTTCATGGTGAGCATACTGAACAAGAATATGTGCGAAAAAATACAGATCAAGATGAACTTGATTATTCTGATCTCCAAGGTCAGCCTTCGCAAAACTTGGACAGAAAATTGAAGCGTCCAAAGGGAAGACAAAACGTTCACGACCAAATGAAAAGGGCACAGCTTCAAAGAGAAAGGGAAGAAGAAGCTGAACAGAGGAATCTCAAAGTGGAAAGACAGCAATTGATGTCACAGGAACAAGGCAATGTCAATGATATAGTAAGAAGTCATTATAATCAGCGGACTCATTTTGCACGGAAGGAAAGAAGACAGGATTCAGCCACTTTCAAGCTTAGGAATTTCAATAATATCCTCAAATATATGCTTATAGGTAAATTTTCCAAGCCAGGTAATAAAGTTTTGGACTTGGCGTGTGGAAAAGGTGGTGATTTATTCAAATGGCAACAAGCTCAATCTTCTTTGTATATTGGATTAGATATCTCACCTGCATCTATTGAAGAAGCGGTTAGAAGATCTAACAATATAAGAGACAGAAGTTTCCTGGTATATTTTGCTGCTTGTGATGCCTTTGGTGGCGACATCAGGGAAGCGCTTTCTGTTTTTCCTCCTGGGACCATTGAGCTCCCAGTGGACGTCGTTTCAATTCAATTTGCGTTACACTATGCGTTTGAGTCCGAACAAAAAATTCGTAATACTTTGGCCAACATTTCCAGATCTTTGAAAGTAGGAGGTCATTTTATTGGAACTATTCCATCTTCTGACTTCATAAAGTTTAAAATTAAACATTTGAAACCAGGAGAAAAGAAATGGGGTAATTCCTTGTACAGTGTGGAGTTTCTCAAGGATCCTCCTGAAAATGGTAGTTTTTTCTCCAACCCCTATGGTAACACTTATATTTACAATTTGCAAGACGCTGTGGATCATGTTCCTGAATACGTTGTTCCGTTTGAAATTTTAAGATCTCTTGCTGAGGAATATGATTTGGAATTACGTTATAAGAAACCGTTCTTTGATCTATATCGTGAAGAAATCCCTGAATGGATGAACAAGCTTTCACCAAAATTGAGGAACGGCTTGAGAAGATCTGACGGGAAATATGGATTGGAGGGTGAAGAAAAACAGGCCGCTGAATTTTATTTAGCATTCGCTTTCGAAAGAGTTGGTTACGCCTGAATTTTGCTTAGCTTTTCGTTTCTTTATTGTCTAACTATTAATTTAATGATCTTCCAGGTTTCGACCTTACAACCACACTTACTTGCCATCTTCCAAAAACACAGTCTAGTAGAATTTAATATATATATATATCTATATTTCGAAAAGATTAACCATCAATGTCAAACCTCACGGCGTACCCGCTGTTATCAAGATAGTTTTTCACGTCCATAACTTTGTATTCTTCTCTGTGGAACATTCCTGCCCCCAAAGCAGCATCGACACCAGTTTCTCTGAAGACTTCCAAGAAATGTTCAGGCTTACCGGCCCCAGAACTGGCAATAACAGGGATATTCACTGATTTCTTGATGAAATCAACTAATTCTAAATCATAACCGTTCTTAGCACCATCTTTGTCAATACAATTGAGCAAAATTTCCCCAGCTCCCAATTTTTCGCAACAGGTGACCAATTCAAAGGCACCAACTTTTTTCGAGAACTCTCTACCGCCTTTAACACTCACTTGGTAATAACAGTATTCTTCACCTTTTGGACCAGGGTATTTAGTCTTAAAGCACTTAAATGGCATCGATTTTGGATCGGCAACGTAACTTCTTTTTGGGTCTACCGAAATCACCACTGCTTGGTTCCCGTAACTTTTTGAAATCATTTCAATTGGAGATTTCCCACTTGGAACTTCATTGTCATCGTAATACTGTTCAGCGGTATAAACAGCATCAGATCCAATACTGACCTTATCGGCACCGGACTTGAAGTACATTTCAGCAACTTTCAAAGCCGACACAACCTCCCCGTCAGGTTGCTTGAAGTCCCGGATACCACCCCCAACAGTTAAAGGAACAAAGACGGTCTTACTACTCTGCTTCAACACTTCCAACATAGGCAAGTCTTGCAAAGGACAGTTCTTGAATGATGTGATATTCAAAAACGTCACTTCATCGGCACCTTGCTTATAATAGTTTTCAGCTAACTCGACCGGTTTACCCAAGTTTCTGACATCTGATTTACCATCAGTTGATTTCTCACGGACATCATATTGATCACCTTTAGTAACCACCAAGTCACCATCGTCATTAGTACGTACATCAAGACAGGCAATAATTCTGTGGGTTAACCCGCTAATATTCTTTTTGACAGGAGCTTCTGATGGTTTAGCATCAAGTTTAGTCAATTTTTCCCCGTTCAAGAACAGTTTGATTATCTTAATACCAGCTTTACCCGATTTTTCAGGATGGAATTGTGTTGCAAAGACATTATCTTTGCTAATAGCCGCCACAAATTTTTCATCACCATATTTCCCAATAGATAAATTGAAACCTTGAGATAGAAGCTTTTCGATTTTTTCATCGTCAATGATGGCAGCATACGAATGGACAAAATAGTACCTTTGATTGGCGTTCAAGCCGTATAATTCATATTCACTGGCTTCATTCTTGGCTATGCCCTGAATGTATAACCCTGCAGTATTATTCCAACCAATGTGTGGTACAGATTTCGTCGAGTTCTTGAATTTAGTCAATGAAAGCCCTTCAACGTACCCCAAACCTTCAGAAACGTTATTATCTTCGGTACTACTTTCAAGTAACGTCTGTAAACCTACGCAGATCCCGAACAATGGTTTACCAGAAGCGATATATTTTAGTATTGGTTCTCTCAATCCCTTTTCATTTACCTGCTTAACAAAGTGACCGTAGTTCCCAACCCCTGGCAAAATCAATTTGGTGTTTGGATCGTTATTGTTGTCGATAAGATCCATCAATTCTTCACCATTGGTGAGATATTTCACTTGGTAGCCGATGTGCTCGATAGCATTTTGCAATGATTGTAAGTTTCCACTGTCTACGTCAATGACATAGGCTACTTTTTCGGAGCTCATATTGGATTATGTGTTTCAATTATCAACAAACGACGATCTAACCAAGCACTATTGAGGATATTTATACACATATACATCCAGATGATGACTTGCAGCAATGACTAAACCCACAATAAAAAAAAAAAAGAGTCAGATCCCTGTCACGAGACTTTGGTGACATGTTGTGCAGCAGGGTAAAAGCTGCCTTTAAGAGTTACTCATCAAACAATTGATTTTTTCTTCATGATTATTACAAAAGGAATAAATAATGTAACATTGGCATGGAATATGATTTTAAAAAAAAAAAAAAAATGTTGGTAACAATAATGAAAGATAATATACAAATAAAATATTCGAAAACGGTATAAGAAAGAAAAAAAAAAGTAATCAATAGAATGGTACTGAGACCAGAACAGCAAATTAGCCACGATTGGTCAACGAAGTTCTTTCCTTGTTTTTCATCTCGCGTAGCTTATCTTTAGCCCTGAGAGGCTGTTGATTTTGTTGTGCCATCGTATCATCCTCCTTATCAATTCGCAACTTTTGCAACATATTTTGAGCTCTGGTGGTAACATCCTCACCGTTCGTTGACTCTGGCGAACCATTGCTACTACTTTCCGCTGGTGCAATTGCTCCGTACATGCTAAGTCTTGAAAAGCTCCCAGCAGTAGGGGAGTTCAAAACAGATGCATCACCAGATATAAGGCCATAAGATGATAACCTTTGTTTCCTTTCAATTCTTCTTCTTGACGATGCGTTATTTGATTCAGGTCCACTTTCCCGTAACTTCTGTAGCAATGTGTCGATGACGGCAGTACTGGCATTTTCTTCCTCTTCGGCAGCATTTTCCGCATCATCTTCATCACCATCATCTTCATCTTCATCTTCATCTTCATCTTCATCATCATCATCAACAAGATCAGGAACATCATCAGCTTGCTTCCCATCATTATCAGCTTTCTTATTCTTGATCTTCGCCGGTTTTGTCGTACTATTAATATCTGGAGTATCGGATATACCGTTAGCATTATCATTATTCTTCTTTATTCTACTTTCAATCAATCTCTTTCTTATTTCATAGGCCCTCTGTTCTTCTTCACGTTGAATGTTTTCTACGTGTGCCTTCTTGTACTCTTGAATAAAGTTTGAAAACTTTTGGAAAAAAGTATTACGAGCAGTAACTTCCGCCGCATTTTCACCAAAGTAGACCATCAAGTCATTATAATTATCCAATGTCCCCTTCAAGTGGCTGATCAATAATTTAGACTTATTATGTGCTCTTGGAATATCTCTCTTAATGACTGACAATACTTTATCATCCGGATGTAGCTTATCTGTATCACTTAGATTACCTCTAGTCACAGAATCATCAATATTTTGAATTTGTTGCTCAAATGATTTACAATCATTTTCCAATTGCTCAACCGATAACTTTGCAATTGCAACAGCATCCTCCAAATCATCCACAAATTCACCAATGTTTGGGAAATAAGTTCTAACAATTCTTTCAATGTAATGCAAAAATGTCATAGTATTTTTGTCATCCTTCATAAACTTCAATCTTTGTAAAGTTCCGATCTTAAAACCTTTTGCTTGTTTAGTGATATCATTCATGAAATTACCAACAGAACGCACAATATCCAAAAGATCTTTTAGAGCAGCAGAATCTTTGACTGCATCAATTGCCAAGTCCAATTTTTGCAACTTATGTTCCAAATCTTTATAATCCTTAGAATACGTACTCCGGACCAACAACGCTCTGGATCTCGATTTCCAATAGTGGCGCAAGTTGTAACATAGCTCAACATAAAGTCTATCCGCACGATCCAACTCCTCTGGGTCTTTCTCAGGTCCAGTTGGTGGCTTAATGGTATAGTTAGTACTATAAGGTCTAAAGTTTCTATTCAAGGTATCGCTGACATCAACTAGATCGTCTTTTGTGAAAAATTCCAACACATTGATATTTTCAGTTACGGACTTATCACATTTCAACACTGAAGAAACGAACTGCATCTCTGGAATATTGGCAAACATATGTAAATTAATTCCAAATTGTTGAGCCAAATCACGATTCAAAAAGGAAACCTTCTCACCTTCAGCAATGTTGCTCTTGGTTTTGACCTTTATTTTGCTCTCCTTCGCTGGGAAATATGTTTCAACTTCTTCGAGAACCCCCAATTTCCATAATTCATCAATCATATTAGCCTTAACCTTATCGGCCCAGAATGTCGGCTTGACGTCATCAACCTTATCCCAGTGAATTTGTTTCAACTTCTTTTTTGGTTTTGGCACATACGCGCCTCCACTACCAGCAATAGAGTTGACAGACACCGATCTTGTCATTGATAAAGTGTTGTTTCCAGATGGTGGCGGCGGAGGAGGAGCAGGTGGGCCCCCTTTATTAGTTAAGAAACCAGGCATTGGGGGTGGAGGAGGTTGAGAGCCACCTGGAGCTAAGAACGAAGGAACTGGAGGAGGAGGAGGCGGCGGAGACGAAGGCGATAAAAACCCTGGCATTGGTGGCGGAGGTGGCGGTACAGAACCAGTGTTCAATTTAGAAAGTGTAGGAGGAAGCGGAGGAGGAGGAGGTGGTGGTGGTGCAGCACTCGTTTTTGAAGGTTCTTCTGGAACAGAAGAAGCCTTTTCTGCAGTTTGAGGTGTTGCCGATGAAGATGAGTCTTTTAAATCATTAAAGTCAGTCTTGTCTGTGTTTAATTGTTGCTTCAAAGTATCTTCAAAAGGAGATAAAGAGTTATGGTTCGAAGCTTCTTCTTTCATGGCTTCATTAATGCTAACAGAATTTATCTGGGATGACACTCCATTATTGATATTTGGCGAGCCTTGATTAGATAAGTTGAGGACATCGGCTAAAAGACCAGCAGATGGAGATCCTAAAAGAGACATTCTCTTTATCGCTTGTAAACTTTGACTTGGGCCTAATAGATTAGTATTGATTGTATTTGAAGAGTCTGGCTGGACTTTATTTTGAGACTTCACAGTGCCAGAGCGCGACATCTTCACCGGGCTTGAATGGTTCGAATTACTGTGATGGTTGGCATTGATCAACTTTTGTAACTTCTTCTCGTAACGCTCATTTTCCAATTTATGTTGCTTTTCCAAATCATAAACTCTTTGATTCAACTCAGAAATCTCAGAATCTTTACTTTTGATGTCAGCTTCATTAACATTAATCACCTCTACAAGCTGTTCAATTCTCCCCTGAGATCCCAACTTCAATTGTTCACGCAATTCATTTCTTTCTTTTTCGATTTTTTGTAATCTCGCACTTAAGTCTTTAGACTCAATCACTGCACGGCGTGCAATGTCATCTGTTTGCATTCTATCCATAATTCTTTGAATTGCCCCATTCAAAACATTTTCAGAATCAAGCCCGGGCATGGAGCTTTCAGAAACAATATGATAGACAACAGAGTCAATCAAAGAATACATTCTATTAAGATCATCTTCGGGATTCTCATCAGTAACATTACCAATTCCGAGGCCCTGGATTTTATTTTTCTTTTTTGGCTCGTTTGGTGCGCCACGGTTATTCAAAAGTAACAAATTTTGAACAATAGACGATAAGTAGTTTTCACGTTCGGTACCCTTATTAGTTTGAATTAAATCTTCGGTTATCTCTTCGATTTCCACGGGAGTATCTTTCTCGTGGCTTATATTCATCAATTCTTCGTAATCAAACGTAGCATACTCTTCATAACGATCAATTTGTTCATCAATTAAGCTATATTTCAAGACTCTCATCTTTTCAAAAATTTCAGTGATGCTACTATTCTTGAATAAGCTTCTGATTCTCATACGTTCTCTTAATTTATCAGAACCTTCCACGAGGGATGTAATCAAGAACAATGTAGTCAAACAGTAATCTTGTAGAGAATTCGTGCTTTTAAATTCATCGCCTGTACTTCTCACCACCGATCCAAGTAAATCCTTACTATCAAGAGATTTCTGAACCACAGACAACCATGGTTGGAATATAAACTCCTCATTTTCAACGACGTTACTATCGAACTTCTCAAATTGTTTCAAAATCACATTGCGGCCAATTGGAGGCTTCCAATAACTTAACAACGCCAAAATTTCTGTATCCAACTTTCTTGTAGAAAGACGGGGCGACACTAAAGAAGATGTCAATGCCATAATACATTGGGGCGTATCAATTGCCAAGTCAGCCCCACGTTGATCGTTGATGATATTTTTAAGGCACCCTAAGATTATGAATTCACGGTCTAATTGCTCATTAGTTTTAATACTTCTCCTAGCAACTTTAAGCAAAACCACCGATAACGCCACATGACCTTGAGCGGTCAAAAATCGGGTCAAAAAATCAGGAGGGCCTTTCTTGAGTTTCTTCTGGAGATTTGTGAGTTGCTTATTATTGAGATTCTTATCCATAATGATTTTAACATACCATTCAGGATCCCCTTCCTTCACCATACCAGTGTGTTTTGGTGCCCCTTTACCATTTCCGCTTGTATTAGAAGCAATACTAACGAGAGTGGGAGATGAGAAATTGTCATTATATAATTCAAGCCCTGCAGTACGTTTCTTTTTACCGCTGTCAATACTTGAGACGATACTTGGAACGGTTCGTAATTCATTTGATTCCGCTTCTGTGGTATTCCCACTTAAATTTCTGCCTCTTGATTCCATTGCTAACTCACCGCTACCATTTCTCCCTGTATTAGGACCGGTCTTCTTAACCGTACCTCCAGAAAACTTTCTTAAAAAAGATTTCTTGTTCTGTAATTTTGGTGCACTTCCTGGCTGAATTGCACCACTTCCACCACGTTTGCTTATTTGTATCTCTTGACCAATAGTATTCCCATAAAAATATGATGTGCCTTGATCGGAGTCTGGTGAGTCGTTATGTTTTTTCCTGCTACTTCCCGACCCTGTAATACCAAGTTCGTTGGTGGATAATTTCTTTCGGAGTTTCTTTCCTTCTGATTTGATAGTATCCTTTAGAGACTCGATAGAGGATTTTTGAGCTAAAGCATTGTTATTAGATCGTTGAATCTCCGTTGGTGAGACCATCTCGTCCCTGAAGCTTGGTTGAACATTATTATTCGTCGATAGCAGTAAACTACTATTAGAGCCCGCAAAGTTGCCATTATATATGTTGAACGCGGGTTGTGCTGATACAGAATTTAGTTCTGGATCATATCTTTTAGGGGTGGTGTTGTGGATTCCCGATCCACCGCCACTCTTATTACTATGATACGATGATCCGGTATTAGTTCTTTTGATCCTTGAATCATGATGGCTGTCTCCATAGATGACATTGAATGGACTATTACCACCAGTACTGTTTTGACCAATCTGGCTAACGTTTTCCTTTCTATGATGCAGTTGCTGGTGTTGATGGTGCTTAATAGCCGCTGCCGCTACCACCGCGGACTTATCTTCTGAGCCATTTTTGTTTCTACTAGGTAAAAACATCACTTCTACAGGAGCATCTTTCTCCTCGGTGGCATCGTACTTGACTCCAATAATGTTTGATTGTGAGCTATTGGATGATGACGTCGTCGATGATGGTTTCACATTCTTCTTGTTGAATCGCCCAAAAAACCCGGTACTTTTCTCCTGCTTCTTGGCTGAGGGCTGAGAATTGAATACAATACCTGGTTGACCCTCGTGAATTGGTGAATGTCTGGATTTATATCCACTTTTCTTTGAGCTTTGTCCTGACGATGCCGAGCTTTGAGGTTGCCTGCCGTTAGTCATCATGCTTATGTTTTCTCCATTACGAGACCGTACGACCTTTATACTATCGTCTCTATCAATCTTCGGTACATCGTCATTAGAAGGTGGATGTTTTCTGTGGTTTGGATCTTCGCTGTCAAAGGTGAAACTCATATCGTAGGAAGTATCAATATGATTATCGATGCTTTGACGAAACTCGTTAACGAGACTGAACTGTCCCGAGGTGTGCCCGCGCTGGTGGGACATTGACGAAGTTGTTGTTTTTTTCTTTTTCTTTCTGATGTGCTTTCTTCCACTTAACAAGAATATAAACTGAAATTTCCGCGTAATTCTCTAACAATAGCGAGAGGTTGATAACTTAACAAACAGCTATCTTCGTGGCCGTTTAGGAAAAAAAAAATAATAATACCATACAATAGGATAACGTGGTTATATGCCCTGGCGAAGCCCTTCCCAGGAAATTGCTTCTTCCACGGTTATATAATAATAGAAAGGATATTAATATTAATATTGTTGTTGTTGTTGTTGTTGTTGTTGTTGTAATATGATTTAATTAAATAGTGAATGATACTTAATCGAATCTACCGAGGAAAGGTTTGAATGTAACTGATGAGTACATTAATATCTAAGGAAAAAAGCGCTGAATAATCTAGAAAAACGAGGAAAAACAAAGAACGAGAAGTGAAAGGAGGAGGAAATGCGTAGACACATTTTAACAGAGAGTTTCTAATATACATAAGGGAAAAAATAATTAAGCATGAGGAGGAAAATAGTAATAATAATGGCAAAAGCAACCAGGCAAGATTGTAATATTATTTATGGTAATGTTCTAACTGGAGTTGTAGAGACGGAATTGGGCTTTACCTTTGGTGAGACCCACTGTGCAACCATCCGATCCATCACCGTTATATTTACCATCTTCGTAAACACAAGAACCGGAAACGGTGGCAGAACCATCATAAGCAACAATCTCGACGTTGTAGTTCAAAGCATCGTAGTTGTTTGGATTTGGAATCAAGGACAAGTATGCGACCCCGTCAGCATAACTGGCCCCGAAGTTCAATGGAGCCCAATTACCATACCCAGATCCTGAAGAGCCCCATGAACAACCGGTTTGCCAGGCAACCCCAGCGTTGTTCACATAATATTGAGCAGAGGTTGGATTTCCTTCCCATTTATAGTAAGTGTCTTGATCTGGAACCGCAAGTGGTAACTTATCACCAGCATCAACGACAGTTGGGATCACCATATTTTCAGTACCAGGATAATCGGTACGACACACCGCAACTTGTTCAGAGACTTGATTATTAACATAAGCCATATCTTTACCCCATTCACACAAGTAATCGGTGTCGGTGTTGGAACGATAAAGCTTACCGTTTTTACAAAGCAATCCCCCAATAGAAACACCGGATGAAGGTTGATCGGATGGCCATTGAGTCTTTGACATCCCCGATTGACAAGCATAGGAACAGTATGCCCCATTACGACAGATGCCACCGGTTTCAATGTTATCGGAGGAGTGGATGTATTCAATACCAGAATAACCACCAAAACCCAAATGATCCAATGGAATAACACCTTGACCTGAAGGGAATGCGTCACAGTCAATGGTACCATCTTCGAATTTGACTGTTGGATCAGAAAAGGCTTCCAAATCACCAGTAGGAGGTTCGGCTGTGGATTCAGTGAATTCAGAAGATGATGATGAGCTTGCTGAAGAGGATGCTGACGAGGATGCTGACGAACTTGCTGACGAGCTTGCTGGTGAGCTTGTTGAAGTTAATGATGATGAACTGGGAGATGCGCTGGAAGATGTGCTGGAAGATGACTTAGATGATTGAGTATCGCTAGGAGCAACAGTTGTGATAGAAGTGCTTGGGATAGACTCAGTGTAGGCTACTTGAGAGCCACCGGCATCAACAAAGACAGTGACGGTCTCGAAAGCAGTAGCTACTGCTCTTTTGTGAGCATGGATGTACTGTGTGGTTGAACAGTCATCGGCTCTAGCAATTGAGGCCAAAGCTAATGCGATTGGTAAGATATATTTCATAAGGAAATTATTGTTATTTTTTTTGGAGAGATTGATACAATATTTTTTAATTGAAGTTGGTTAAATTGAGTTCTTTGATGAAAATTGATGAAGTATTGAATGATCTGATACCGATGTGGTCAGTATAAACAGTAATATGATGGAATATAACCAGGAAACTAGAGAGGAGAAGAAGAAAAAAACGATATTTTTGACAGGATTCCAACCGAGAAGAGAAGATCAAGAAAAAAGAGAGAGAAAAAAGGCATGGCAAGTCCGTTTTGTAAAATATTGATTCAAAAATGTCTTGATAGCTTATGTTAAAACAATGCATGAAAAGGGCTGGTTGTACCTACACGGGGATCAAACGACGCACAGACGACGGAGGCGGCGCACCAACAGCTTCTTCTCTTTTTTTTTTCTTCTCACATATGTCTGTCTTCTTTCACCATGATCGGGATTAAATTTTTTTTTTATTTTCTTCGTGATTCCACTTCTGTGGTTCTCATTTCTTCTTTTTATTCCCTTTTTTCTTTGTTTCTCTTTTTCTGTACCGTTTTCTAGTAAATCGAGATTGATTTACCACGCATAGATACTTACTGTATTAGGTAGAACAATAAAATCAACCACCTTGCCTTGGTATATACTGAAAAACAATACAAGATTCACAAAATGAGATAATATCCACTAATTTAATAAATCTCCTGGAAATCCAGAGGTCTTATATACCAAAGCCAGGCTGTCGTCCCAATTTCCGTCCAACGCTTCGCCGCCAATCGCATCCATGGAGGCTCCTGTGCAGCGGGATCTCTCACCAACGCAAAGCCAAGACACATTCTCCCATGGATCTCATGAGGTTCCTTCCCACACATTCTATGGGTCCAAGCCACGACCTACATTTCTCAACAAAACACGGATACTGGGTGCTTTGATATGACAACATCAAACGTTAACAATAGAAATAAAATATATCCACATTTTCTTTTCTTCTGCAAAGCCTTGCCAGTCACCTATGCGTTATAAACAAGAGGCAGAAAATAAAAAATTTGTACAGGACCTATAAACCTGAGCCACCATTTTTTTTTTCTTTGCAATAAAGCCTCTTCGCTTTTTCTACACGTTTAATAAATCAAAAGCTTTAAAATTAAACTGTTTTTCAAGATAAGTTAGTAATGTTCAGAAAAAATCATAAATTCTTCCTTATCTGGCTTTCTACAAAGTTTAAAACCTTATTCTCAAGAATTGTCATCAATTCCGATATAATATAACATTCCTTTGTATGACTTCATTATTTCTAAGACATATTCATTCTCCTATTTTATTTGACTTTAATTTTGGAGTAATCTAGTTGTTCCTCCCATTCAACCACAGGCCATTCTTCCACGTAACCAATATCCTTAGAAACCATATTTTGAGATGGCACGAAATCTTCAACATCGGTAAATACCGAAATTGTTCCCCATTCCATACCTTCCATGACATCACGTCCTACTTCAAGATCGATGATTGCTTTAGGCATAAGCTGAAGTTCGAACTGTCTTTCAGATTGGCTGTTCCATACTGGGGCCGGAGCACCATTTTCGATCTTGGTCTTATTCTTACTGGAATAAATTAATGGTTCTCCTCCAAGTTCATAACGCAATACTTGGTTAGGATTATGTGCTACTCTCTTAGAGAAAGCTTGGAATTCCAGATCATCAAGTATTTCACTTTTGAATTCCTCAGTCTTTGTCGACGAAGCTTTCATCACACTGTCGGCGACATCGGCTTCTTCGAATTGAATATTGTCGGGAATTGGTGGTAACACATCGTCATCAGTGCCAATTCTCTCTTTTTCGACATACAAGATATAGCCAGGATATTCTGATAACTTGACATCTTTTTCAACTGTGGTTTTCTGCTTTGGAGCGCTTTTACTGGCGATTTGTGAAAAAGATGGTTTTTTGACATCTTTCTTTTCCTCCTTGGTTTCTTCTTTTTTTGGTTCCTCCTGTTTATCAAATGTAATGCCACTAAATGGATTGGCACTGGTACTGGAAGATCCAGCAGCAAAAGGATTGCTACCACCAAATGGATTGTCATTATTTTTGTCTTTGCCAAACAAGCCGCCCTGTAATTTCACCTCATACTCTTTCTGTTTCTCCATGTTCATCTTTTCTTCAACACTCAATTCCACTTTTTTGAACTTCACTCCCTTGATACACCTGATGCTTCCCTTCTGTCTAGTACATTTGTAATTTTGGCACCCAAAGACGTAAATCACTCTATCATTGGCAGAATTTGGAAGTGGGGCATATGATTGTAATAATAGACCAAGTCCTGAACCACAGTTACCACAGGTAAGCATTTTGGAAGGTGGCAATTGACCATCAAGCCAGAGTGGATTGCCTCCGATAAACAGATCCTCTAAAGTAGGTTGTTCATCGGCAGAAATTGGGACATCAACATAACCAAGAAAAGTTTTGGAATTGCTAGAGGTTTCAAAAAGACTTTCTTCGTCAGAGAAATTTTCGGCCATTTTTTATGTTACTAATATTATTGAGCTGGAATATAAATCAAATATAAAAAGGAAAAAAAAAAAAAAAAGCGGGGGCTCTTGCTGCTTCTTATATCATCATCTCCATCTAAGAGATCAAAGAAAAGTTTGTGTATGAGAAGAAGAAGAAAAAAAAAAAAAAATTTGATGCTCTGTCACGTGCAAAAGCTTCAAAAAAAAAAAAAAAAAAAAAAAGAGAGCGGGAGAGCGAGAGTGATATCACAGGTTCTTGTTGATTGTAGATACAACAAAATACGTCAACAATACTTCCCTTCCCTTTTCATATTTTTATACCACGAGAAAACAGTATGTTCAAATCTAAAGCCATTTGCTCTCTTCTTGATGCCACTATCAAGTCCCCTTCCTCAAGCACATCATCAATTAATCAACCGCAAGCGCTAGCTTTAACAATCCTTTCGCTGAAGAATGGCTCTCCACTTCTAAGTTCTATCACCGTTGAAAAACCATTTTCTGTGAGCTTTGACTCCTCTGAAAATGGGGACCCTTTGTACGCTACTTTCTTGGATCAGTTCACTTCCATTGACTATCAAAAGATTAAGGCGATCAAATTACAGGCGCAGGCAGAGGAGCTTGGGAACGATATTAGTCAAACCACCCTTGAAGCGTCACAATTTAATAACATTGGCAACACCACGTATGGAAGTATAAGCCAGCAACCAACCGAATCGTCTGGATTCGAATATACGAAGCAGAACCCCGACGCCAATGGATTTAACAAGGATAATGATTTCAATAATAATAATATTAATATTAATAGTAACATAAGCAATGCTAGCTTCACCAGTTCCACCAGTACAAAATTAGCAGATGTTGTCAGTGATGCTCATTCATCATTAGAACTACTTTCTCATTATGTTTTCACCTGCTATAGCGCGTTCAAGAGAGACTACCTTCACTATCAAGAGTTGCAAACCCCAAAGAAACCAGTGGCCACTGATATCGACTCCCCTGATACCTCGATGGCTGCGGGTGTCGGTGGAAAATCTAAAAAGAAGTCTGGGAAACACCACAAGAGGGATAAAGATACAGAATTGGTAAGGCTGTTGATAGAAAATGTCACTTCTGAAGAAAAAGTGAACGGGTTGCGGTGGTTCAATATTCAAATTGATGGGAAAGATGTGTTTTTGTATTTGATTTTCAACTCAAAAACTTCGGAGGATTATTTCTTGCTATACGTTTGTGAAAAGGGATACCCTAAAGGTTTGGCCAAGTTGAAGTTGGAAAAACTAGAAAGTTTGTTGAAAGAGAATGGATTTTAGGTGGTATAGGGTGAAAATATAATCATAAAATATATATGAAAAGTCATCATGAGTATGGGGATGTTGTTTGCTCTTTCTTTTTTAGTTTTTTTAATTTTTCTGTTTTATTGCTTTCTTGCACTCGTTAATTATAGGTCGATCATTTATTTTTTTTTTTTTTTAAAAAAAAAAAAGATGTATTCTTACAAAGTTGATGCAATTTTCTTCTTTAGTTATCATGGCTTTTTTAATATAGTACACACACACACACACACACACACCCGTTTTACACCAGCAAAAAGAATAAAATAAAATACAAATCAGAATCATAAACCAAAAAAAAATCTTCACAAGCCCCTGCCATCATTTGATTCCCCTTTTCAAAGTTTTCTTTACTGGCGATTTAGATAGCGATCTAGTTGGTGACTTGTTAGGTGATTTGAACGGCGATGGAGTTTTTCTAGTATTTGGCGGTCCCATATTACTAGCATTTCTACTCTTCAATGGACTTTCGCCACTTCTATCATAAAAATTGGATGACGATCCGTTGGTAAGTTTGGAGAGTTTGGGTACGTAACTTTTTGAAGGCAGGCCTGAGTTTTTCACCCTTGATCCAGGACCATTGTGGCTGCTTAATTTAAGTCCAGCTGACCGCTTCGATAACGAAGAAGAGATATTGAGTTCTTTTGATGTCTTTTTAACAACATTGGCGGACGATGTTGAGGTTGATGAATCGATGTTATTAGCGTTGGTGCTGATGGCATTCAAAAGTGTCGCAAAGTTGACTTTTTCGTGACGTTCAAGTTCAATCACGTCCCGAAGTTTAAGATCCCAGTATTTCTTGGGCACAAGATTTAACCTGTGCTTTATCTTGTTTTCAAGGTTCGCCACCAAAGCGTCTTGCTCGTATCGAAGTTTCTTGATCCGTTCGTTCACTAAAATCATTGCGATTAGTTAGTAATCTGGGACCTTTTGACTGGCAAAGAATTAGCACCTACTGTTGAACCTAAGTTTCAGGACGATCTTTTCCTTCTGTTCTTTCGTAAATGTCCCCATAGTATATCTCCAATGTTTGTTAAATATATTGCTGCCCCCACTGTAAAATCACTGTTTATGTTTATAATTTCTGTTTGTGTTTTTGTCGTGTTTTTTTTTTTTTTGTTTTTTTTTTTTTTTATTTACGCAGAGGGGTCATGTACCCCCTCTCTTACGTATAAGTACCAATCCCACGGGTCGCACAGCGGGTTAGTCATTCTCAAAGAAAAATCGCTTACTTTTTTTGAAGACTCATCCTATCATTATTCTTATCAGTCAACTTCCATAGTAAACAATATATAAGTGGAAAAATGGCTAAATTCGACTTATCCACCCTCGTGAGACCAAAGATATACTCTCTTGAACCTTATCGTTGTGCCCGTGATGATTTCAAAGAAGGGATTCTTCTCGATGCTAACGAGAACACCCATGGTCCAGCCCTTTCCAAGGCTTCTTCATTATACCAAGCTTTCAAGGACTCAGAACTCAATAGATACCCTGATCCTCACCAGATTGATTTTAAGACACTCGTGGCTCACTTCCGTAACAGCGAAGCCCAAACCCCTGGGGCTTTAGTCAATTTGACAAAAGACGATAAACCTTTGAGTGCTGCCAATATGTGTCTTGGGGTTGGCTCTGACGAAAGTATCGATGCCTTGATCCGTACCGTGTGTCGTCCTGGTATTGACAGTCTTATTATCTGCCCTCCAACTTATGGAATGTACAAAATCAGCTCACAAATCAACGATGTGGAAATTGTTTCGGTTCCATTGTGTTTAGAAGATTTTGAAATTGACTTGCCAAAAATCCAAGAAACTTTGGCCTCTAGAGGAGATTCCATCAAAATGATTTTGATCACCACCCCAGGTAATCCAACTGGGAGACTCGTTAGTCCAGCAAAGTTGGAAAAGCTCCTTCAATGGTCTCTAGAAAACTGGAACGGGTTAGTGGTGGCTGATGAAGCGTACATTGATTTCTCCGACATTGGCAGCAGTGTGTCAGTTTTGGTCAATAAATATCCTAATCTTGTAACTTTCCAAACATTATCTAAATCCTTTGGTTTGGCGGGGATCAGATTAGGTATCACATTTGCTAGTGAGGAACTTGCTGGGGTGCTTAATGCTTTGAAGGCCCCCTATAATATTTCTACATTGACATCGACAATCGCCCAAGAAGCTTTGACACCACAGAGTATTGCTCAAATGAGAAGCACCGTCGATATTATCAAGGCCCAGCGTTCCAAATTGATCCAAGAATTCAAGGAGATTGACAACTTTGGGAAAGTTATTGGTGGCGGATTGGACTCCAATTTCATCTTGGTGGAAACATTGAACAATAATGGCAAGCCGGACTCAGCCTTTGCCAAGAAAGTATATGAAAACATGGCAATCAATAAGAAGACTGTGGTCAGATATAGAGGTAATGAATTGGGCTGTGTTGGTGCCCTAAGAATTAGTATTGGGACAGCTGAGGAAAATAAGACCTTGGTGGAAAATTTCAAAAAAACTTTTGCAGAATTCAAATAATTTGCTATTTCAATGTGATAGGTCGTTTTGTTTTGCTTTGTTTTGTTTTATTATTATTATTATTATTATTATTATTATTATAATCAACGTTGAAAGGTAACACTACATTAAAAACTCTATAATATATTCAAAAAAAAAAAAAAAAGGGTGTAACTATTGTCATTTCTATTTCAAACTTTGGTCAACATAAACTGCCTCCCTAGACAACACAGTAACTTTCTTGAAGAAACTTCTCCATTGTAAGGGGTCACCTTTAAACTTATCGAACGTCACTTTCTTCAAGGTGATGTTCCCAATTTTTGTAATTCTGATGTAGCCTTTCATCGACCCTTTCCTACTGTCCATGGTATCAATCTTGATCGTGGCGTACTGGTACTCGTCTGAACCCGTAAGTTTCTTTGCCGCCTTAATTTTGGGCAAACACTCTTTTTCTGTGATTTTCAAAAGGGTTTCGTCGGTGATTGGTATACTTATGCCCATTTGATGTAGCGAGTCCAACAATATTTCAAGAAGCGATTCTATTGGTAAAATTGAAAAAAATCTTGTGAGTCTTTGAGCTTGGACAAAAAAATCTTCCACTACGGCAATTCTTCGTCTTTTTGGATCGGATTCGCCATCGTCACAGTTTTGTTTGCTGGTATATTGTGGACTTTGCATTTTCGCTTGTAGACTAAACATGTTGCGACGATCTGACGCATTGATAAATTGCAAAATTGCAGGGTCTTTAGAAATCATTTGAAATCTCAATAAATCACTATCCCGACGATCTAATTTCTTTTCGAGTCTTTTACTATGCTCTGTAAATTCTTGCTGTGAGGCAGCAAATCCGGGCTTTGATTTGGTGGCGGCCAATGCGGGTAGGGCAAACACACCATCTTTATCGTCACCGTTATTTTTATGAGGATTTGACCCACTAAACATTCTTGCCTTTGGAGCCGTGGGTTGAGAAGTAGCGGTTTTCTTACCTAAATCAGCAATCATCTGTGACATTTGTGTGGCTTGTTGGGTTACTCTCATGAACTCGTCATCTCCCAAATCAACTTTCATACGAGCAATAAGTTTTTTCACCAAAATTCTTGGATCATCACATAACCCTTTGGAATTGGCAAGTTTATTATCTCGGTTCACCCAGGGGTGTTTTCTAATTTTTTCAAATGAAAACCGGTCTTTGGCATCAAATTTCAAAATTGATTTCAACAATGCCACCACTTCGACACTTAATTTTGACCACGGGTAGCATAAATCTATTTTATTAGTGTTTTCCAAATAATATTTAAAATCAGGATCAAAATCCGTCGGTTCATCCCATAATGTTTCCCCAGTTAGTAGCACATACAATAGCACCCCACTCGACCAGACATCGACCATTTCTGGATCGTAACCCTTTTGGGTATCTATTTTCGCAATCTCCGGGGCCATATATGGTGGTGACCCACAAGCTTTCAGCTGGAATCGTTTATCGCCATTCTTCTTTCTAAACACACACGCCAATCCAAAATCTGCCAATTTCAAATCCCCATTTTTATCTAACAAGATATTCTCTGGCTTGATATCTCGATGAGAAATTCCTCTGCTATGCAAGAAACTCATTGCTCCAACATACTGCTTGAAATAAAAATGGGCTACATCCTCTTCCAATCCCACGTCTGGTTCGATCTTATCAAACAAATCCCCCAGACTGGCGTATTCCAAAATCATCCAAATGAATCGCTTGTCTGAACCAATGTCCAAAAGTTGGATAATATGAGGATGACCAGAACAATTCTTGTGGATCATTACTTCTTTGCTCATATCGTCGTCGGTGAGTCCCATAGAACGGCATTTGGCACGGTTAATAAACTTGATGGCAAATGTTCGCGATGGGTTTTTCTTTAGATATGCGAATTTGACATAAGCAAATGTTCCTTGGCCAATCACTTTGCCTTGCACCACCCCTTTGATTTGAGTGGTTTCTGGTGTGTTGGAGGATGTCTGTGTCTCCGATGGTTTTTCAGTTGACATTTGTTTTTTGTCTGGTTTAGTTAGTTTTCTTTTTATCTCTAGCATCTGCGTGTACGATGAGCTTTATGTGGATTATTTTTTATGGAAAAAAAAAAAAATGACGCCAAAAAAATAATAATAATAATAATAACCAGGTGGGGTTAGATTTCAACATTTGAGGAGGCAATAATATAAGCAATATTATTAACGAAAATCTAGTTGTTTTAAACAAATCCCATTTTGTTTTGCAATCAATGTAGTTTTTTCTATTGTAGGTTGATTGTTGATTGATTGTGAAATCGATGTAATTTGAGACGCGTTTATGTTTGCTTTGCAAACTATCTATAACGCAGTGCATGATCTTCAACCATTTTCTTTCCATCAGTTAACGAAATACACTGACAATGATATACATATTTACATATATATTTATCAGAATTTCTCTTTGACTGTATATTTAATTGTATTTGTTATCTTTGTTTTGATAAACTTGCAATATTGTTGTTGTGTTTTGAGTAACACTTTTTCAAATGACATACTAACATATGAATTAAAGCTCTATGCTTAAGGCATTTCTCGATAATAGTGCATTTGATAGAACGATCATTTAAAATGTACGTTTTCCTCATAAATAGTTACTTTCATTTATGAAGTAAAGCATTTTTTGTGGTTTATTTTTGTATATTTTTTTTTTTGTCCTTATTCTCAGAAGAGGGTTCATCATTCGTAAGGAATAGATTTTGAAGGGTTTTGGTGATTATGCTGAATAACAAAATCAATTAGTCTCACGAGCCTCTTATAATTAATTTTCTACTACTTGTCAAATATTTTAATTAGCTGAAGATGTTTTTGTTTCATTAAATTGTAATACGAAGAACTGTCGATGGAGCGAAACATTTTCTACAAATAATGATACAGAATATTGTACATTATCCAAAGGAAAAATAGCGCCACTATTTTACCTTGTTATGTATCAGAAAAAACATAATATTTGAAAATAATTAATTTAATAGTTTTCGAGAAGATCTAAGCATAGTATAAGGTAACGAGTGGGAGGTTACAAGAGGGTATTTGTTAAAAAACATAGGGAGAAAGAGCTCATCATTATCGATTACAAGCAAGCACCACATAGGAATGATCTTTTTACTATTATTATTAACAAGCAATGAACCACTTCATTCTTTAGTTAACCAGGTCTTCCAATCTGTGAATGTTTGCAAGTTCCTGAGCTTTTTGATACCAATATGTGAGATGGTAAGCCATCAAGTTCCCTTTTTTTATTCATCATGAACTCCGGTGGAAGCCATACAAACTCCGTGATGCGAACAATTTTTCCCATTTGGGACGCGAAAGTTGGCAGGCAGTGATGGATGATTGATCCAAACCAACGCTGCCGTGGTTTCATTGAGGCAACATGCCTCTTTAAGGCAATAAAATGCAAACAAAAGGGGTGTGTCACACCTATACATATTCAATAATACCGTCATATCATTCCAATATTGTTACTGTAATAGACCCAATGAATTAATCCCAAAGAAAAGCCACCACCACCGTCCATGGCGATTAAATTCTCACAAAAAAGGAAAGGCGGACCGCCCGTCCGCTCCCCGGGAGTGCAGCAGAGACGTGTTCCGCCAATGCATCACATCCGCCGCGGGCGGGATCCTCACTAGCCGCCGCTCCCCCACAATTCACGCACAACCCCGAAGATGGTGGGTGGGTGCTCTTTGGACACTATTACAGTTATTTTCATCTATCACACTGACAACACAAACATTGTCCCATAGTATATTCTTTTGCCCCTTGTAAATTGTATTCTATCATCACTTCCCTAAACAAAATAAATTATTTTAGCTTTGTCCTGTTTTTTCTTTTCTTTTTTTTTTGATCTTTGACCATACTTTGCAAGATAGCCTACGATGATAACATTTCCAATAGAAAACTAAGAACCATGATCAATCATCCCCCGCAAAAAACATATATTCCACCGGGCATTCATGTCTAATACGTAACAGTACTATAAATAATCACCTTCTTGCCCCTCCCGAGCTTCATTTTGTTGATCAGATTTTTTTAGTTTCACTTTATCAACCTTTCACTTTTAATATTATTATTTATTTCCCATAAAATGTCAACCTTTCCAGATATTACCATCACCGGTATCGAAACTCGTGATATTCGTTTCCCAACAACCCTTGAAAAAATCGGTTCTGATGCCGTCAACGTTGGGGACTATTCCGCCGCGTACGCCATCGTTAAAACTTCAGACCCAAACCTTACCGGTTACGGTATGACTTTCACCGACGGTAAGGGCCAAAACCTCATTTGCGAAGCCATCAAAATCTTAGGTGAGCGTATTCAAGGAAGATCTTTCGAGTCTCTTTTCTCCAACTTTGGTGCCACTTGGAGACACTTGATCTCTGACAAACAGTTCAGATGGTTAGGTCCAGAAAGAGGTCTCACCCATATGGCTTTGGGGGCCCTCGTCAACGCATTGTTTGATCTATGGGCTCGTTACCTCAAGAAGCCAGTTTGGCAGATGATTGCTGATTTTTCCCCTGAAGAAATTGTGAGATTGATCGATTTCCGTTACATTACCGATGCATTGACCCCGGCTGAAGCCATCGAGATCTTGGAAAATGCCAAACATGGTAAAAAACAACGTTTGCAAGACGTCCTTGAAAACAACGCGGTTCCCGCTTACACCACTTCTGCCGGTTGGTTAGGTTATTCCGATGAAAAAGCCGAGCGTTTACTTCATCAAACTATCGAAGAAGGCTACACCTATTTCAAATTCAAGGTCGGTAGTAACTTGGACGACGATAAACGTCGTCTTGCCCTTGCCCGTAAAGTCTTGGGTTATGACAAAGGTAACACTTTAATGGTCGATGCTAACCAAGCTTGGTCAGTTCCTGAAGCTATTGAATGGATGAAGGCTTTGAAAGAATACAGACCATGGTTCATTGAAGAACCAACTTCTCCAGATGATATCTTGGGTCATAAAGCAGTTCGCGATGCTCTCAAGGACACCGGCATTAAGGTTGCCACTGGTGAAATGTGTCAAAATAGAATGGTTTTCAAGCAAATGTTCCAATGCGGGGCCATCGATTATGCCCAAATAGACGCTTGTCGTGTAGGTGGTCTTAATGAAGTCCTTGCGATCTTGCTTATGGCTAAGAAGTTCAATGTTCAAGTGGTTCCTCATTCTGGTGGGGTTGGTTTACCAGAATACACCCAGCATTTGTCTACTATCAACTATTTGTTGATCAGTGGTGAAAAATCCATTTTGGAATACGTCGACCACTTGCATGAACACATCAAATACCCATCTATTGTCAAGAAAGGTTACTATCAAACTCCTAAAGATCCTGGTTACTCTGTAGAGTTTTACGAAAAATCTATCGAAGAATTTGTTTTTCCTAATGGTACTTGGTGGCAATCTGAAGCCGGAAAGAAGTTGTATACCGAGACCCAGGATAATGATGTCAATGAGCCAATTTTAAAGGATATCAAGTTCTAATCGGAATATTGTGCTTGAACAGCTGGTCATTTCTGCTATGTACTTATCCTATACCTTTATTTAAAATTGAATTTCTTTTGTGAATTGATAAATGTCATTTGTAGATCATCAAATAGGAACTGAATACAGCTAGAATAATAATAATAATAATAATTGAGAGTGTTTATGTATGATACTGGCGATTATAAAATGCTTCAAACAACTAAGCTACAACTTGTGGATAATTTTCAAAAGGTATAAGCATCGCAATTACCTTTGCATCTCAGTGGAAGAAAATCCCTCTTTAGAACTTTATGATCTCCATGAGAATTCCTGTGCACATTACTATGCTACGCGGTATTTTTTTTATTTTTTCACCCAAACGCGTTGTAGCTATGCGACGCGTACACGTTCAGATGGTCTCTTTTTGTTCCAGTAGATTTAGGAGATATATATAAATACTCCCAAATTCCGTTTCTTAATTGCTCTTAGTTTTAAGGAGAGTCAAAAAGGGGAAAGATAAAGAGAAATAGCAAGCGATAGGTTATAGACATGGACACAATCGTACTTAAGAATCATCATCATCATCACCACCATAACCACCATAACCACCATCAACCACCACTACAGCTGCATCACATCGACCCAACACAACAACAACTGCAACATAATGCTAACATATCACGGAGCAGGCCATCTAGACTAATAAAAGATAAGGAGAAGGAAAAAGACAAAGATAAAGAGAGCAATGGAAAATCCCATATTGTCAACGGCGAGACTTTTGACGCAGAATACCTCTACGGTTGGCAACTTAGTTGGAAACAGATCATTGCCAATTCCGTGATTTATTTAGATGGAAGTACAGGCTCTACTCGGCGCTCAGACGGTAACAATTCCAAAGAAGGTTCTATCACTGAAGGAAATAATAGTACCGGTAGCGACGAAACTGTGGTGCTGCCTGCGGGACGCGATAAGACCAGATCACAACTCAAGATACATTGTTTCCACTACCATGCTCGGGTAGTTGATTTCTTTAATGCCAATGAAGTGACATTGATTATCACGCGAAGAACATTCGATCCTCAAGCCAAGTATCAACCAAATGATATCTTTTATCACAACACCAAGATTCGTATTTGGAGCTTTGACAAAGCAGTGAAGTTTTTCGCAAGATTAAGCACAAAAATTGAATTGCAAGAATTATCAAGGCCAAAGAAAAACGTTATCAGTTATAGATATCTAAAAGCGAACGAAATTAAAAGATTCGAACAAGTTAAGATTGAAAATGTCGATGGTCAAAAAGAAGAATCTACAGACGCGGCGGCTACAGAACAAGAGAATGTCGAGAATGTTGAGAATGAAGTGAAACCAAAGGAAGAAAAAGAGAAACCAGAGAAACCTCTTCAGAAGAGCGTCACTCCCTTGAACAACACAAGCGCTATTGCAAAGAAACCAGATCTAAAAATCATGTACGTTTCCCCTAGCGATATACATAATGATAATAGAATGTCATTGATTAAAAGTCTACGCAAGTCTAGTCAAACAAAGAAGATAGCTCAAGCGCCACCTCAAAAACAAAAGCAAAAACTTAATTATCAACAACAAGTGTTCAAGATGATCAAGTCCCAAAAAGCCCAAAACCACCATTACCAGGTGGCTCCACAAAAGACATTTTCTCGAAATCTGGGTTATAAGTCAATTTATCCCAATAAATCTTCATCATATCAAACTAATGACAAATTGGCAACCCTTTTGTCTAAGGAAAAACTTTATGGTCCAACAGATCGTGATATGACCATTCGACAACACGATTTTGTGTACTTTGAACATCCATTTGTTTTTTTTCATGATCTCAAACAACAGTACCGTCCAATTGTTACCAAAGAATGGCCTACCAAAGGATTTTCGAATTTGGCGATCGATGCTCCTTGGGCGAGAATCTATCCTTCTGTGGATGGCAGATGCTTATTTTTGGCAGATAGTTTTGATCCCGAGCACCCAACGATTATAAAACGAAGAAAAGTGATGTTCGAAAATCGTAAAAAGTTTAGAACAAAGCTTAAGAAAATGTTTTGCGATGAAGAAAAACAAAATGACAAAGATTTACAGAGGTTCAATTATTATGAGGAGGTTTTGGATGAGTACAACGAGTATAGCTCTAAATTATCGATTCAGAGATTACCGACACTGACTAAAGCTGCTGTTATTAGTACCACCATCTCTGATAAGCATGATCAACCAGTTGCTTCAACGCAAGTGGATATCAATGCGATCAACTCCAACAAGAGATCATTCTATGAAATGAACGCGTCAGGAATCACCCAAAGTAATAGTCAGCTGGTATTTGCTACCAGTACTACCTTGGGTGGGAGCAAATTGGGATTGAATGGTGGTAACGGATTGGGTCCTATCCATTCTCATGTTGCCTCCAAAGAATTCAAGAGTTTGAAGAAGAGAATTTATGAAAAAACAGATGATGACAAAGAAAACCAACAAAAGAAAACAAAGGAATCGCAAGCTGATGAGGCGAATGTCGCTGATACCAAGAGCATTACCACCAAGATTATCAACAAGAAAATCGAGCCTTGTGTGAACCAGAATAATAATGAAAAAAAGGAGAAAAATGACGAGCAGCCAAAGAATGGAGGGTACTGTGAGAATTGTCGGATCAAGTATAGTGATTTTTCCAAACACATATTGGAGGCCAAGCATCGGGAGTTTGCTAAAGACGATAAGAATTTCGAGAAGATTGATCGTTTCATCAGTTATTTGCAAAAGGAAGCGTATTAGTGGTTTCTTTTCTCCCCCTCTTTATTATTGTTTTGTATTATATTATATTTACAGGTTTTTTTTTTTTTTTTCCCTTTTTCTTTTTTTTTTTTTTTTTTTGTCAATAATTTTGGAGATAAAGTTTGAGTTAATTAATATTCTCTTTCTTGGTATTGTGAACCTCTTGTAAGTTTATCGTGAGTTGGATCCGTTATTTTCCGCTTCTGTCGATAAGTGTGTGTGTGACATTAGGCTGGAACTTTGAAGGTAGCGAGGGAGGATGAATGCACACACACACACACACACACACACGCACTATTTATTATCAATATGATATGGGTAATATTATAAGATGTCTAACACTGATATTCTTTCCTTCCCTTCAATCATAGGATTGCTTTTATTGGCTTGTAGAAGAGGCGATGATAGAAAGCAGAGGTAGACTGGACTAGAAAGTACTGGGATAATATCTAGTGACAACATTTATTATGGATATTATATTTATTATAGATATTGTTTACATTTACCATAGATATTACATTACACAGACACCAGACCTATTTATCACTATTGATGGACTGATTAGCAGGGAGCTCCACTGATTATTTGTAATCTATAAAGTGGTCTTTCGATAGATGGCTCATGTATGGTATGTATGTGTATAAATGAACAATTAAAAGCCCGCAGCCACACCGTTTCAAGAAAGGGAAAGAAATGTTTTTCATCCAACCATTGCCCCAATTACGAGGACTTTTTCGTCCACAGGAGAACCTTATTGCGGCGACCCAAAAAGTGTCTATGCGCGCGGTGTTTCAGGACTGTTTGAGCTTGGGATACGTGGACCCAGGACGAAAAATATAAATTTAAAGTCCCTACCATCTCCTCGGAAAAAAGTAAAAAAAAAATATTCCATCGTGTACAAAAAATTGACCACGTTCAATAAATAGAAAAAGAAAATCAAACACTTCAGCAATGACAGAGGAACCAAGACAAATCTCATTCAACGTTTCAGATTACTACCAAATCCTCGAAATCGTCGGTGAAGGGGCCTACGGGATCGTTTGCTCGGCCATCCATAAGCCAACCGGGCAGAAAGTGGCTATCAAGAAGATTGTTCCTTTTGAAAGATCCATGTTCTGTCTTCGGACCCTTAGAGAACTTAAGCTTCTCAAACATTTCAACCATGAGAATATCATCAGTATATTGGATATTCAGAAACCTCTTTCATACGAAACTTTCAACGAAGTATATCTTATCCAAGAGCTCATGGAAACCGATTTGCACAGAGTCATCAAGACTCAACAATTAACTGACGATCATTGTCAATACTTCATTTACCAAACATTGAGAGCCCTTAAGGCTATGCACTCTGCCAGCGTGCTTCATCGTGATTTGAAGCCTTCCAACTTGTTACTCAATGCCAATTGTGACCTCAAGATCTGTGACTTTGGTCTTGCTCGTTCAGTAGCCTCTTCCGAGGACAACTTCGGGTTCATGACCGAATACGTCGCTACAAGATGGTACCGTGCCCCAGAAATCATGTTAACTTTCCAAGAATACACAACTGCCATCGATGTGTGGTCGGTTGGGTGCATCCTTGCGGAGATGTTGAGCGGTAAACCACTTTTCCCTGGCCGTGATTACCATAACCAATTATACTTAATCATGGATGTTCTTGGGACGCCATTGATGGAAGATTATTATGGCATTAAATCTCGCCGTGCTCGTGAATATATCCGTTCCCTCCCATTCAAAAGAAAGGTTCCATTCGATCAAATGTATCCGAATGCTAATCCTCTTGCGCTTGACCTTCTTGAAAAATTATTAACCTTCAACCCGGCCAAACGTATCACTGTTGATGATGCTTTGAAACACCCATACTTGAAATTGTACCATGATCCAAACGACGAGCCAAATGCTCAGCCTATCCCTGACGACTTCTTTGATTTCGATAAAAAGAAGGACGATTTGAGCATTGACGAACTCAAACAATTATTATATAATGAAGTGATGGCGCCATTATTTTGAAATCTCACGGATTATTACCTAGCATTTTCATTCTCATTCTCACTCTCTTTTCAACATTCTTCAAGAAAAGCTTTTTGGCATCTTGTTAGTCTAAACAAGTCTGCAATCATTTTTTAATTTACAGCTTTCTTACTTATTCGGTTTATTTTCGCATTTTTTTATTGTCTCAGTCGTTCTTCACTCACACATGTATATTATTACTTTTTACTAGATATCGATTCATTAAGAATTATTTTTTGTTTTCTTATTAAATGAAGGTTTAGATTTTATCATTGAAAGTAGGTAGATAACAATTATTTGACAAGCACTTGGTTGTTGGCGCCAAAAAAAGGTTACGAGGCGATGTGTTTTTTTTTTGTTTACTTTTCCTCGATGCCTTGAGTATTTTTTTTTTTTTTATTGTTGATGGCACAAACTATAACTCATCAATACCCTAAAGCAACAAAAAACACCATTAATGACCACCTCTCTATCCCATAAAGAGGCTCTAAGCCAGGCTAAGAATCTCAGCGTTCCTGAACAAATCACCCGATCCTTGGCTCAAGTGTTCCAACATGCCCAATCCTCTTATGTTGGCCATCGTAAACATTTGGTGGTGATGAGAACAATTCAACAACGAGCATTTGATTTGGGGTTCGAAGACGCGTTTAATATCTCATTCTGCCGGTTGGTTAATAAAGTGCTTCCCATAAAGAAGGCTGAGCAGGTAGCTGATCGGATTGCCAAATTAGTGGTTAATTTCATATCTAGTATCCAAGACGATGAACCTACAAAAGAAGGAGAACAGGAAGATGAAGAAGAGGAAGAGGATACTGTGGGTTCACGATTTACCAAGTACTTTATTCACCATTTGCTTCGAGGGGTGGAGTCCAAAGACAAGAACGTTCGGTATCGTGTAATGCATCTTCTTTCACTTGTGGTAAATAGTATTGGAGAAATTGATAATGAATTATACAACGTATTGATCTGGGAGGTTCATAAGCGGTTGTTCGATAAAGAACCGAACGTCAGACTAAAGGCCGTCCTATGTCTTACGCGATTTCAAGAAGAAGATGTGGATCTTTCTGACGAAAATAGCGCGATTGCCAAATTATTATTTGTGATCCAAAATGATTCATCGGCCGAAGTTAGACGTGCTGCTTTGTTGAACTTGGATAAAAACGAGATCACTTTACCGTATCTTATGGAAAGAGCCAAGGATGTCAATTCCATCAATAGAAAATTAGTGTATTCAAGAATTGTCAGAGAAATCGGGGATTTCAGATTGTTGGATCGTAAAATGCGTGAAAAAATCTTGACTTGGGGGCTCAAAGATAGAGAAAACCTTGTTCAACAAGCTGCCATCAAAATGTTTTGCTCCCAATGGTACGAGAATTGTAATAGTGACTTGATGGAATTACTTGAAAGATTGCATTTGATAAAAAGCGAAATTGCCGAAACCGCCATGAAGTTCTTTTTTGAACAGCGGCCACAAATGGTGCACAAAATTCAATTTGAAGATGAGTTTTGGAGAAAGCTAAATGTTGAAGCTTCATTTTTGGCAAAAATGTTTTACAATTATTGTATTACAAACGACTTGAACGAAATGATTGAAAAAAATTTCCCAGTGACAACGGAGTTTGCTGGCCTATTAACCAAGTACTTGAAAGTTAGAAAGGCTACGGTATCGGAAGATACAGAAAATATTGATGACATTAATTTTGTCATTGAGCAACTATTATCGATTGCCAAAAATTACGACTTTGGTGATGAAGTTGGAAGAAGAGAAATGCTACAGACCTTAAGAATGTCACTATATGATGATTTAACTGACTCCCAAGTGGAGATTGCTTTAAAAGTCCTCAAGAAAATCTCGATCAATGAAAAAGATTTTTGCCAATTGGTCAGTGAAATAATTATTGACATTCGTGATGAGGACGAAGAATTCAGCATGGATATGGAAATGGATTTTGAAACCACGGATGCTGAAGAAGTGGCAAGCAATAAGCTTAAAGTTAATAGAGCTCTTCAAATTCTTTCGATATGCCAACATATGCTTGAATTGACCCATGAGCCACTTCGTGGTAACATTCCAGTGACTTCTTTGTTAGATAGCGTTATCAATCCGGCAATTCGTTCGAAAGTTTCCGCAATCCGTGAAGGCGGGGTCAAATGTCTCGGGTTATGCTGCTTGTTAGATGACATGTTAGCGACAGAACAGCTTGCATTTTTTGGGATCTGTTGTGCTAAAGGTAACGGTGACTTGCACTCTCTATGTTTAAAAATCATATTTGACATTTTATCGGTGCATGGGCCTAAAGTGTTGGACGTTGAGGGGTGTGTTGATTCTCTTTCCATGCATAAGTTACTATTCAGATCATTAAAGAAATATGAAATTCCCGTGGTCCAAGCGATTACTGCAGAGGGATTATGCAAACTTTATCTTAATGACGTTTTCAATGACGAAGAATTGTTCGAGACTTTGTTATTGGCGTACTTCCATCCTCAAAACTCAACAAATGAAGATTTAATTCAAGCTTTATCATTTTGCTTGCCAGTTTATGCTTTTTCTCATCCAAGACATCAAGAAAAAGTTGCAAAAGTTGCAGCAGACTCATTCAGTAGACTGTTCAAGACATTTGAAGAACTCCAAGAGGCCGAGGATTCTGCAGGATTGTCCATGACTTCTCCATCAGTTATAATTCAACAATTAATTCATTGGACAGATTCATACAATATTGTCAACTGCTCAGATGCCACTAAGGAATTGCTGAAATATCATTTGATATTCGTGATGGATTTACTCGATACCATGTTAAAATCGGACAATAAACTTTATTGTAAAACAGTGGCGATGAATTTATCCAAGTTCATTATCTCTGAAACTCTTACTAAAGAAGATCTTGACAATCTTTACGATAAGGCGGTACAAGCTAAGGACGAAGTCGAAACCAACGTGGAAGGTATTGACAAAGCTTCAATTAATGCTTTGAATAAATTTATTTCCTCAATAGCAGAGGTCCTGGCAATCATTGAAGAAATCGAGAAAGATAAACCAAAGGAAAATAATGAAGAGTTTGTGAAAGCGTTGACAGAACCATCGGAAGAGGAAAAGAAGCAAGAGAAGGGAGAGGAAGATCTGTTGGAGGCTATTGCAGGCGAGGCAAATGAAGATGATTTGGCTATTCCGGAGACTTCGCTAATGAAACTACCATCGAACCAGTCCATCATTATCAGGGAATATGATGATGATGACGATGAAGATGAAGAAGAGGGAGATTTTGATAATGGAGACATTTTGGTGAGCAAAGTAGAAAACACAGATGATGATGAAGTGTTGCAAAGTGCAAATAATAGCGCATCAACCATAAAAGGTAGCAAACTTGATGCGGATATCGATAATTCACCGACTGGCAGTAGAAGACGTATATCTGGAGCAACAACCAAAAACGATACCAAATTGGGTTCCAAAAAAGATGAAAAAGATGTAAATAATGACGGGGAAGAAGATTCTGATGAGGAAGAGTACGATGAAGATATTGACCATTCTTCAATAATGCAAGTTGATACCACAAATAACTCGAGTGATTATTCTGATGAGGACGAAGATCTATCACTGGATTGATTTCTTAGTTCATGAGATGTACAATAATTTTTTGTTTTTGTTTTAAGGAATAAACGTGTGTAATTGATTATTATAGCTACTTGTAACCATGGAAATTTCCGAGTATCGATGCTTATATATTGAAAGATTTTTTTTTTTTTTCATTATTTAAGCAGTGTTGCTTCCGCATTTTGTTGCAACAGCATAATTAAGTTCATGGCTACTCCTTATTATTCTTGTACAAGATTGAAGAACTATCTTTTCAAGCTCCTTAAACTTTTCAAGGATTTTGTCCTCGAATAGCTCTTGTCTTTGATGATGATCTTCAAGCATTCTAATGATTTTGAGGTTAGATTCTCTCATTTGCAGTTGTATCGAATCAAGTTTAAGAACATCAGCTACTTCTCTCCCTTTGGATACAAGCCGAAGAGTATCGATATTAGTTTCAATTTTCTCATTGATGCTATAAAGGGTTTGGATGATTTCTTCGCTAACAGCTCCAGTTAAACCAGTATCATAATTTCCCACATTATTATTAGAGTGGGAAATACCCAGAACCACTTCACAGATAGCTCCATATGCTTCATTTATAGCTTTGGGGTTAATTTGAACATATCGTAATAATTTTTTATTCAAAGTATTAACACCGATGACTAAAATGTAAGCACAACACACACCGAGCACTATATTAGATGTCGTAAAATAAACTCCTAGGGAATCCATTTTTTTTGTGGAATTTATTTTTTGTGGAAATTTTGAAACAATCTGCATTTCTTTCAGTAAGTGGGAAATTCCCATCATCTTTTTCAGGTTCTCAGGCTCTATTGAAGGCTTGTGTTTCATAAGGGCGAGTGCATTGGAAGGACGTTCAATCTTTGGAATAAATGGTAATTCTATGGTTTCACGATTCGTTTCATTAGAGTTACTGGCTATAGGTTCTATAACCGAATCGAATTTGAAACTATTCCCATTATTGTAGCTTGTTCCAAGATCAACATAGGTATAATTTAGCAATGGGCTTAATTCATAATTTCCTTGGAGATCGTTAGCTTGGCTCCAGAAAAGCAGGTTCTCTGCTATTTGTAATGAGGGCAACAATTTCAAAGAACTTAACTCCAAACGATAGAGAATGTCTATGTCTTTTTAGTTAGTAATGTGATTCTTTGGAGATGACAAAAGGAAATCAAATTAGAAATGAAGAAATTAACTACTTTTAACTGTGCTATTGATCGGTGCTACTCTCAATGCGAGAGATATCAATATGGTTTTCTTTAAAGCCACTTTGAAGAATCCACGTTGGACAGCACGAAGAAATAACATGACTCAAATTAGGATTAGTTTTCCCTTTACTTCTTTGTCAATCACTGTAGACCAACCAGCAGTTGAAACAATTTTTGTTATCATCTCAAATAGCTTTTGTGTCTGCACAAATGCATGGTCAAAAAAAAAAAAAAAAAAAAAAAAAAGAGTTATGACACATACAGAAATATACATATACTAACATATATATGCTGTATACAGCTGCGCAATGGGGTTACTAAGCACTGGTGACACCTGTTTAAATCACCAAGTTTGGATCAATAATGGAAAAAAAATAGGAGCTACGGATCGCGAAAAGAAACGATAATACGGATACCTGTTAATCACCATTGAGAGAAATTTGAGAACAGAATCGTAGTGAATCAGCGAAGATGTACCCCTATAACAATTTCGGAGGGTTTCAGAACTCGCAGTTCTCTAATGGGTACCCACAGAACCAAAACCAGCAACAACAACAACCTATGAATGGATTTCAAACTAGTTTTCAACCCCAGGCAACCGGTTTCCAACAACCTCAGGTAACTGGCTTCCAACAGCCTCAAGCCACTGGTTTTCCACAAGGTTTTAACACTGGATTCCAAACCAGCTTTCAAGCACAACCAACCGGTTTTCAAACATTTCAACCCCAACAACAACAGCCACCGGCATCTTTCCAAGCGCAACCAACCGGAGGTTTTGGATTCCCCGGGACATCTTTTAATCAAGCTCAACCAACTGGAATGACCGCCCAACCACTTGTGTCCCAACCAACTGGCTTTAACGCTTATGGTGACACCTTTTTGAAAGCCCAACCAACCGGTTATGCATCCAAGCCTATCAATGATGAGTTGAAACTTCCAAATACTAGATTGTCCTTTGTGACCATGGAACAACAACAAAAGTATGAAAAATTGTTTCTAAAGAGTGTTCCAAGAGGCGAGCGCTCAATTTCTGCCGATATTGCGAGAAAGATTTTACTTAAATCGCAATTGCCAGCTTCCACTTTGAGCCAAGTTTGGGCATTAGCAGACACAAACAAAGCAGGATCATTATTATTTCCTGAATTTGTATTGGCATTACACCTATGTAATGTTGTATTACATGGTGATAAATTGCCAGTTGTCTTGCCACCAAAGATCAAAAATGAAGTGACCAGTTACGTTGATGAAATTAGTTTCTCTGTTCCAGATCCAAGCGAAAGATCTAACAATGCGTTCGTTCAAGATGAACAGCAACAAAAACCAAGTACTGGTTTGATGCAAATTAATCCAACTGGATTCCAACCTCAGGCTACAGGGTTCCAACAAGCTCCTATGACAAGCTTCCAACCTCAAGTTACTGGCTTCCAACCTCAGGTTACTGGCTTACCAAATACTAGTTTTCAACCGCAAATGACGGGAATGCAACCGCAAAATACTGGTTTCCTTCCTCCTACAAGTTTCCAACCTCAAATTACCGGGCTCCAACCTCAGCAAACGGGCTATCTTATGTCACAACCAACTGGTCAAATCGGGCTAGTTCCCCAAAAGACCGGTGTTGTCACTGCCGGTTTGCAAGCCATGCAAAGCCAATTTATGGGTAATGGCCAATCACAGAATTTCCAATTGTCCTCCAACCAGATTGGTAATGTTAATGAAGTGTTAACCAAATCCGAAATTCATGTTTTTTCTAACATTTTTAAACAACATTCCAAGTCTGGCTATCTCGAAGCGGCAGCTGCCATCGAGGTGTTCTCGAAATCTGGCTTGGCTAGACAATTTTTGGAACAAATCTGGACTTTGGCTGATATTAACAATAAGGGTAAATTGACAAGAGAAGAATTTATTGTTGCTATGAAGTTGATTTACAACAAGTTGGCAGGTATACCAATTCCAGTGCGTTTACCTCCTGAATTGGTTCCCCAATCTTCCAGAATTATTGATGACGTCAAGTCTTCCCTCAAGAGCTATTCATCATCAGGTAACACATTAGGTGGCAAGAAGAAGTCTACTGATGCTGCAAGATTCAAGAATGATGATAGTGCAATCCATTATAGTTCTAGCGCTCGCCACAAGAAACCTTCTAAGGCACCAGTTTCTGCGAACTCCTCATATTCCAATGATGTGTCATCCTCTGCTAGTGGTGAAGAATTAATTAATCAATTGAAAAAATCTATCCGCGAAAAAGAAATTATCTTGCAAGCTTTGGATGCTAAAGAAGATGAAGCAAATTTGGAAAATCACAAGCAACAATCATATGATGAGGCCGAAATTAGTAACTTGAAACACAGAATCAAGGATGTTCAGAATGATATTAATAAGATCCCAGACAACAATAATATGTTTAGTGCTACTACCATGAACACTAAGGACGAATTATTGAAAAAGTTGAATTACTTGACTGCCAAGGTTCCAGATCTTATTTCCAGTATTCAATTAACAGATAAGGAAATCAACTCAATGAAGATTGAATTATTCAAGTCTGATTTATTGAAGAAGAATCCAAACTCTAGCTTTGGAATTAATAATGTTGATCCAAATGATAAGAAAGCCTTATTGAGAGCGAGAATCAATGCTTTGACCAATAAAAATAGTGGAGCTGAATCAAACGACTTACTATTAAGCAACGAAATCAATAGATTGAACCAAGAAAGTTTGCAGCAACAACAAATAATTGGTGACATTGAAGGTAGTATTAGAGATTTGGAATCAAGCTTGGAAAACAATCTCAAATCAATGTACGGAGCTCAAGATCAAGTTGGGTTTGAAAAATGGGAGCAAGGGGTTGGCATTAGCGAAAGTGTTAACTCTTTTATTTCTGAATTGAAAAATGGTAATTTCTCTTCTTATCCTAGCACTTCTACTTACAATCCTTCATCGGCTCCTGCTACCCCAAATGTTGCTACAAAGGTTACGTCTACAGTTGCCAAAAAGCCAGCTGCCAAAAAGCCAGCTGCCAGAACTCCAGAGGAAAGATCTGCATACATCAAGGAACAAGCTGCGAAGCGCATGGCTGAGAAGTTAGCAAAATTTGGCTTGAGAAGCTCGGTGGCCTCCTCGTCACCATCAACCACTTCCACTCCTCTGAGAAGCGAGACCAGCTCTCCTGTCAATGGCTCTCTTTCAACTCAAAGAGCAGTTGCAACTCAGCCAGTAGCTGTAGTTCAACCAGTTGCCCCGGTCACACAGCCGGCTGCAACCGAAGAAGATGAAAGCTCCGATGAATCTGATGATGAAGAGTATCAAGAATTATTGAGAGAGAAACAAAGATTGGAACAGGAAAAAATTGAAAAAGAAAAGGCGGCAGCAGCAGCAGCTGCTGCTATGACTACCCCAGCCAAGAAACTGGAAAAAGACGAAAAAAAAGAGAGAAAGAGAAGAGAAAAGGAAGAACGTCTCAAAAAATTGAAGGAAGAAATGAAACAATTGAAGGCTGGAAATACCCAAACTTCAACCCCTACCTCTTTTATCTCTTCATCAAATGGTACTCCGCTGCCTGCTCCGGTTACTCAACCACCGCCAGCTGTCCAAAATCATTCGTACAACCCATTCGCTAAGAGTGCTTCTGCTACTCCTGCTAGTACCCCTGCTCCGGCTACTGCTCCTTCTCCTATTGCTACCCCACAGCCTCCAAAGGAATCAGTTTCAACATCGTCTGGTAGTTCTAATCCATTCTTCCGTCCACCACCACCAGTTGTTGATCCTAAGAAGGAGGAAAAGAAACCAGAAGTTAAGAAAGAATCATCACAGCCATTCGATATTAACAAAGCTATCGCTCAAAAGCATCGTAGATTTGATAATGATAGTGATGATGGATGGGGTGATGGCGAGGATGATAAGGGTGACGAAGATGAGGAAGATTTACCAATTAGAAGTAAAGGTAATAATGGTTTAGGTAGCTTGCTCTTTGGTGGATCCCCTGCCCCGCAATCTGCTACTCCACCCCCTGTTGCTGCTGCTCCACCAGCTCCACCAGCTCAACAGGCACCGGTCGCTCCTCCTATCCCTGTTGCTCCACCTTCACCAATTGTGGTGCAACAACAAGATATTCCTGCATCACCAGCTTTATCGGACGCTTCTGATTTATCATTACCAGACTCTGTTGAATCATTTGAAGATGCTGTTGAATCCAATTCTCCAGGAATTCCATATGGCGCTCCACCGCCAATTCCAGGTACCGAAGCACCATCGGCTCCATTTGGAGCACCTCCTCCTCCCCCAGCTCCTTCTACTGAGTCACCATCTGCTCCATTTGGTGTACCACCACCACCACCACCTCCTCCTATGGCTGCTGCTCCATCTCTTCCTGCATCAGGGCCTTTCAGTGCCCCACCACCACCTCCTCCTCCACCTGCATTGTCTAGTACTCCTACTGGTGGCGCACCTGCAATGCCACAAATGAATGCTTTATTTGCGCAAATTACTGGTGGCAGATCCCTAAAATCTGTTCCTAAGGACGAAATGCATGTTGTGGAAGGTACCGTTGGTAAGGTCTTGGATTGATTTGGTATTTTTTTTTTCTTTTTCCACTTTGTTTTTCTACTATTTTTTTTTTTCTGTTTGAAGATCTTACAAATTACTTGATCGAAAACCATCGTTATGTTCATACTTTTCTTCTATTGTTTACTTTTCTAAAAATATGATTGATATCATGTTGAGACTCAATTAAGGTGATTTATCTGTAGCGGTATCATATATTTAGGGTCCTGTACCCCCTTTAATTTTCACCACCTTGATTGGTCAGGCCTCTGTTACCCTGCACAAAATAATTCAACACCCCAGAGAAAAAACTGAACAAATCAAAGCTTCTTAAAAAATCTAATAGATGAAGGACGAGTTCAAATTTATAACGTAACTACAGAACCCATATCTCAAAATGGCTTCCCGCATGTTCATCAGATCTATGGCCTCAGCTGCCAAGTCCGTCAAGCCACCAGTGCAATTGTTTGGTTTGGAAGGTACCTACGCTTCTGCTCTCTACAGTGCTGCTGCTAAGGACTCCTCTATTGAGGCTGCTGGCAGATCTTTGAAGAGTGTCACTTCTTTGTTGGGTGCTGACGCTAAGGTTGGTGAAATTATCGCTAACCCAGCTCTCTCTTTCGAAGACAGAAAATTCGTTGTTGAAACTCTTTCCTCCAAGACCGTTGGTGACAAGTCTGTCACCAACTTGTTGAACGTCCTTGCCGAAAACAACAGATTGAACTTGTTGCCAAGCGTTATTAGCCAGTTCCAAGTTTTGGAAGATGCCCACAACGGTATTGTTGAAGCCGTCATCACCTCTAGTAAGCCATTGGAATCCAAATACTTGAGAAAGATCCAATCTGCCATCTCTGGTTCTACATTCGTCGGTGAAGGTAAGACTTTGAAGTTGGTTAACAAGATTAACCCAGAAATTTTGGGTGGGTTGATTGTCGAAGTTGGTGACAGAACCGTTGACTTGTCTGTCAGTGGTAAGATTACTAAGTACAACCAAATCTTGAGTGAAGCCATCTAAGTTCAATTTTGAAATGGAATCAAAAATAAAAAATCATGAAAATCCTTACAACGACGTCATAATGCAAAATATATTATCTCATACTAGCTGGCTATTTTAAAGCAAAGGAGATTGTCGTTTTTGAATGTTGCTTAATGTGTTTTGTTCGGTTATCGCAAATATTCAATATTATAGTACGTACACTCAAATAAAAACTATTAAAAAATTAATCAGCGGAGTATGGGTGAATTGTAGATTTTGAGTAGCTAAAAAGGGAACTCGAAATGGTGAGATACATTGTAATGGGATCCGAGTAACAAGTGTTCTTAATGTTCAAGTTATCTTCTTACAACTTGTACCAAGTTTTTTTTAAATATCGTTGGCAAGGAGAGAAAAAAAAAATCTATATATTTAGTCCTAAAAAACTATAATAAAAAATAAACTTATAATACAAAATCACTCAGTATCACCAAAAATGCTTTGTTTGAAAATTTCCTTGATCGCAGATAAGGTGTCACCAGCTTGTTCTCTGATCAATAAATCATCATCCTTTTCCTGTGCATATGCCAATAATATGATGATTTTCTTACCGTAACCTTTTGGAAACTCTTTCAAATCAATCTCTGAATAAACCACGCTATGAAGTAATTTTATGGCCCCCCTACGCATCGAGACCTCGTCTTCTGTGTCCTTTAATTCAAATGTTAAAATCCCAATAACGAGATCTAAAGTGTCCTGGAGATACTCATTTACCCCATTTAAGTTTATTCTGAAGCATGATTCAAGAAGTGAAAGTGCAGACACACGAATTCCATTACTAATCTTTGGTGTCTCTTTTGGGGGAACTTTGACTAAATTGATAGTCGTATGACAAACAAGTTTGGTCAACTTTGAAGGAAACAATAATGAAGAATGACGATTCGAATAATCAGAATATAAAGGATTCAGTTCATATTTCAAAAGCAAAGCATTTATAACTTCCCCAATTTTTAAAATTGTGTCGGTGTCATACTCGTCATTTCCATCCCTTTGTGTACCGTAAATTTCTAAGAGTACTGGAAGTGCAGTTTCAAGGTCGAATTGCAAAAGTGTAGCTAAGCCCTTAATTGAACTCAAATAAATGAAAGGGTCTGTATTTTGAAGTTGTTCCAAATAAATTTTGATCCCCTGTTGCAACGTCACAATCTTAGATTTTTTGAAAATAAGCTCATTAATAAGTTGAAGACCATGCACTCTAACGGGTACGATCTTGTCGTTTAAATATTTCATGGCCTTTTCATAACCTTTCAAATCATTCTCGTATTTCTGTTGGATTTTATTGAGCTTAATAATCGTTTCTTTTTGTGAAAGTTCATCATCATTAATATTTTGCTCAAATTTATTGTTTATATCCTTGAGATCTTGAATTGCCTGCTTTAAGCTGGCTATTGACGCAGAAAGCGACTCATTATTTTGGCCAATCAAGTTGAGTTTATCCATTATAGAATCAAGTTTTTCGATAATTGCAGTTTCAATCAACTGATAGGAGCTATTCTCTGATAGTATCGATGAAAGAAGTTCCAAAGTAATTGTCAATACTGTGTCATCATTATTTCCCGAGTCATCTTCCACCAGTAAATTCTTAGTTTTTTCGTTTATCTCATCTACTTCATCATCAGAATCAACCTCTTCTTCGTTATTTGCATCCATAACTTTGGCATTATCATTGGATTTATAATTGGCTAACACAGCATCCACAATTTCTAAAATCTCAGTCATATTTTTATTGTTGTTAATTTGATCCTTGAACTTTAATGACATACTTTGTAACAACCTAAGATTTATTAACATTTTGAAATAACCAACAGCTTCTTCCTCCTCCTCTCCAATAAATAGTTTTTGTGAGATACCATCGCCATCTTTTAAAAGCCATCTCTTCAATATTAGAATGAAAAGTTCTTGTATCACTGAATCATCAACCTGTTCAAGAATAATAAGGTACAAGTCTGTCGCCATATTTATCGAATCAAAGATCCTTTCTTTGGTAGTTTGTCCTGATTTAAACTCCTTTGTATCAAAGGATTGATACTTCACACAAACGGATTGGGTTACCACCTCATTACTATCGTTATCATGATCGTTAAACTCTAAGTCAAATATCCAGGGAAAGTTATTCAAACCGATTAGTAGGTTATCTAAAATTGACAGTAGGAGCCGCACTTTCGAGTCACTCGTCACCAAAGTAAAATATAATTTAAATATTTCCAATATTAATTCCTTATTATTCGTTAAGCTTTTCTGTTGTAAAAATATTAAGTAGTTCCACAAACATATAGTCAAGTCATTTTTCAGGAATAGGGAATCAAGAACCTGGTTATCGCTATTATTCTTGGTGATTGAGAATATCACATTTAACAAATTATCAAAATCTCTACCTTTGATCATTATATCTCCATCTTTATACACTTGCTTGTTAAAATTTGGGCGAAGCGCAACATTACAACGGTACCATATCTTAACAAAGTAGAAATCTTGAACAATTCTTGGGTTTCTTTTGAACAATGACTCGATAAAATTGACACACACTGATGCGAGGATCGGACGATTCACCAAAATAAGAATGTTATACATTTGACTAGAAATGTTGTTGAAATATTCAACAGTCGACACTTTCGATGGCTTGTTGAGTAAAATTCTGTTGACATGACCGACCTTCTCCACATTGACATCTTCATTATATCTCATGCCGGTTAGGAATTCAATAAGTGAGATCACGCCTGACGTTTTCCTTCTTAATGGCAAATAGGTCATCTTCTCAAGACAAACAGCCTTAAACCATGGAGCCACATTTGTAGGATTGACAAGCAAAGAATAGAGCTCAAATAGTTCAAAAGTTGGCGAAATGCTTTCAATTCTGTCATATAAATTTTCCCAATTAGATGGTTTGCCAGTGATATCAGGATTGTATATGACATATAGAGCGCAAATTAACAAATCACTAAAGCCCATCCCTTTAAGTAAAAGTTCTTTTACGTCATTAGCTCCATCTGAGTCTTCAAAAACCACAAGAAATTTATTCATGATCAACATTAATAATTCAAACCTTTCTCGATCGTTCTTTATTCTGAAAATTTTAACCGCCTTGAATCCCTTCTTATCCTTTTTAAACTCGTTTAATCTTCTCTTTTCCAAAGAAATTCCAATATTATTTGGTAACGCTGAATATATGCCTTCGACTATAATCAAGTTTAAAAGATGCCCGAAAGTCTTCATATCATGCAAAGAAATCATCAACGTTTCCCCGTACTTGTTCTTGAACTTTGGTTTGTCCTTCATGGTAAGCTTTTTGATCTGGATCAATTTGTGTAAAAGAAACTTGATAACAGAAACCCGCTTTTGGAATTCTTCGTCTCTCTCGCACTGGTTTTGAAATTTGACAACAACATCTTTCAAAGAGAACGGAATAAAATTTGTTTCATCATCTATGTCCTTGTCTATTTTTGATATTCTTTCGTACAATATGTTGATGGTATCGTTCTGGTTATTGTCCTCAATTTTAAAAATTTCGGTCAATTGGATAAAAAGTAAGTCTAGCGGCTTTTTGGAACTAAATCTAGGAGCCACTAAACCTTTCAATTTCTTTGGAATATGTTTCTCCGATTCCTCGGCCATAGTTTTACCCCCGTAAATGGCTCTATTCCTCCAAGACTTCAACCAGGGAATACTTTTTTTTTTTTTCAATTCATTTTGCCGCTCAAACGTTCGGAGATGTCTGCATGATGATTGCATAATTGTACTTTATAAATAACAATTGTTATTTAATTAAGGTATCAATAAAGAATTTATTAAAGGTTAATAGTATAAAAGATGAGAGTCATGTAGCTAAAAAAGAATATTATAAAATAGCAGTCAAAATTTTGAGGAAGGATTAATTTGGATGAAGGGGAACAAATAAAAAAAAAATCTATTATTGAAAGAAGTACTCGAAGAAGTAAGAACAAAAAGTCGTAATTTGAGGCCAGTGGTATATCTTAGCCAATGAAATTGAGTATTTCCATACTCACACTGCCATTTTCAAGCATCAATTCAAATATGAAAACAATGCAGTGAATAGTCGCATAACTTTCACTTCACTCTGTCCTTGAATAGGTCATCATCACTATCATTGATAATAGATTGAGAGCCAAGAACATGGGCAGCAGCAGTATTTGTGTTGACATTTGTCAAACCACTAACACTACTAATTACACTATATCTATCTGGATTAGTAACCCTTAAGCCAGGAGCACCACCTGCCGCAGCGAGACTAGTGGTAAGGAGTTCATTTGGATCAGAAAAGTTGAAGACATCTATATCTTCCTCTTGTTCAGCTATGCCACCTCCTAATACAGCGTTGGTATTATCGTCGAAAGATAAATCCCTTGACAAACCTGAATCATTCACCACTGTTCCGACCGAAGGATCTTTTTGATGGCCGCTCGTATTGGGGCTGGTGGAGCTTAACAATGGAGAATTCGTCCTTATACCCAATCCATCATTAAAGTTGAATCTACTACTTGGATTTCTTGAGAAATTTGAAGCGCCTGCTGAAGTGTTGTTGCCATCACCAGTTGAACCAATCACTGGTCCAAACTCTGCATCTTCATCATCCACAGGATCATGCAAATTACTGAATCTTTTCTTTTCTGGGTATCTTCCTGAATGGTTGTTGGCGATCATTGTGGCTGCAATGGCTGCATTTTGAGTTTTTTCTAAATTTTTTGATTTCATACGCTGTCTCCAAATAAACAACAATACTGCCAAAAATATTAGCACAGCTGCAATCGATCCGATGGTAATCCCTGCAATAGCGCCCTTCGCTAAACCATTGGAGGATTTATTTTTAGAGTTTGTCTCTCCAGCCAGAGAGCTAGAGGTGCTAGAAGTCGCTGGAGCAGTATAAGTGACATAGACATTAGAATAACTTAATGTGGTTTTGATAACCGTAGCTGACGTTATTGTTCTGCCATCGTTAGTACTGACGGCAAATGATGTGGTCTCAATAGTGGAAGGGGTTGCAAGAGATGATGAGCTCATAACACTATGGGATGAAGTTGAAGTTGAAGTTGAAGTTGTACTAGAGGAGGAGGAAGAGCTAGACCTAGAGCTAAGTGAGCTTGAAGATGACGTTGTCGCGCTAGTTATTGAGGAAGATGAAGTTGATGCTGATGTTGATGCTGATGCTGATGCTGAGGACAATAAGGATGATGCAGATAAGGAGCTCAGTGAGGACGATGACAGTAATGATGAACTTGATTCGCTATCACCATCGGAGTAGACAGAATAATAATCATCTCCACCACAAGTATCCTGTGGGTAACCCAGACATGAGGTGTCACAATTCAGCTCAGAAGAAGATGAAGTAGAAGGAGCAGAGTTTGAGCAAAGACAGGTAGAACCGTCAATCATCGCAGCGTATGAGTAGCCACTGCATTTATTGGTGCAGTAACCTTCACTTTGATAAGTGTATGATGTTCCAGTTCCCGAAAATGCTGATTTTGGATAGCATCCCAAATAGGTGAAAGTTGATAAGGCTTTCTGAAGCTGTAGTAGCATAAAGCATATGAATAAAGCTTTAGAATTCATATTGGTGTTTCTTTGTTTTCGGTTTTCGGCTTTTCTATAAATATATTAAGGGAAAACCAACGTTTGGAAATAAAGAATGAAGGGATGAGAAATTAAAAGAAACAGCAAACAAACAAAAAAGCAGATTAATAGAACTATTAACCAAAGATGAATAACAAACGAGCGTAATAATTTTTCCGGTAAGCCTAGGTAAAATTCTTTGGAATTTATCTTTTAGGTCCTCATTTACAAGACTGTATTCTGGCCAAACGAGCTGTTTCCAGATGAATGTTTCTTGTCGTGTTCCAGGCACACACACACACACACACAAGCAGTTAGTATTATTCCGGAAGAATAAAGAAGAATTGTATATAGCACAAAGCACCCTGGATGTTTCTTATAAACTGAAGTGCTGGCAAATGGATAACTAATATCCTTTATTTCTCTCCTATTTACCCAAATGTCGTAAAAAAAACAAAAGGAAAAAAAAAAAAAAAGAAAAAGCAAACATTAAGCTTTCTCACGTGTGCTCCATTTACACGGTTCCGCATTTCCCCTTTTCTGATGTGGAATGCTGATTGTTAAGGTTTACAAACAGTATGCAAATTTCATTCTACTCATGGTTCTCGACCAGCCTCTCAAGAACTATTTCTAAGAAGCAGCGCCTATCCCGTGATGACCTGTTTATTTTTTGGAAATGTTGTTTATTCATACAATTCCTACACAAATGTAATAACTCCAGATGCTTCTATCTTATGAGCTCGTTCTGTTGATGTATCAAACGCCCATCGTAACAACCCCCCAGGGAAGAATTCAGTAGCTCATTCTGTCCACTGTTTCCTTCTGAGTAAATTTTCTTGTCTTTCCGGGACAACATACCTTTCAATGTGAATATATGGTACTTGAAGCTGAACAGACTCAGTGTGTTGGTAACATCAGTGAGAGTCTTAGTATCTTGTGTATCTTCCAAACTGTTATTTTCACTTTCGATAATATTTTCTTCAGTCTCTAAGTCCAGAGGTGGATCGGATGGAATCTCAGCCATATTGCTCTTGGATATCTGGTTTAAAGGTGAAGAAACGAGACAATAAGTTCTACAGATACATCTCTTATCGATTCCTCCTTTCTGACAACTAAGGCATCTCATAATTCTATCATCATAATGCCCTTTAAACTTCCCCCTTTTGATCAAGTATAGCGGAATGCTATTTTCTGAATTCATCACTTCTGGAGCATCTTCTAAATCACTTTTTTTTTCATGGTTATAGTTCTCCTTAATTCTAACGACAACTTTCCTATTCACCTGCTGGCTGCTTTCAAATTGAATCTTTGGTGATTGCGTAATGGGTTTCAATTTGACAGCATCTTGTGTTTTTTTATCTTTGGGCGGGTTGTTGATGAGTGCTGCTTCTTTTTCGCCATCATCATCATCATCATCATCATCATCATCATCATCATCATCATCATCATCGAGCATCATTTGCATTCCCAAAGTGTTCTCATTATTCCTTTCCACATTTTTAAAGGAAACCTCGAGGATTTTTGGAATTCCATTCTCTTCCCAGGCAGACTGACTCTTGTATTCCAAAATATCGGTGGCGTCTTTCCCCCTTGACACGGGCCTTTCCATTTCAACGTTTTCTATTAGATATTTATCAGAAAGTGTTTTTTCGTGAATAAAGCTGCTAGATTTGATAGAGTGTTTCTATTCATTATCCACAAAAGACGCTAATTTGTCTTGCGGTGATTTTGCTTTATCAGCTCCAAGAAGAGTTTTTTTTACCTGAAATAAATGATAAGTGACTGAGGCTGAAATTAATTCAATTTTAATTTATCAACACGGTATGGATATATTTATATATATTCCCATTAAAAAATTTACTTTTTTTTCTTACTTATTTCCATCCTCCCATTTCAAGCAAGTAATGAAGGAAAAAAATGAACAGATTGCGTAGTGAGTGCCACAAAACTCCTAATAATAATGCATGTTGGAAAAAACACAAACAAAAATGCATCTCACAAAAATTATAAATAAAGCTACGAGCAATCACATCATAAAGTCATTAAAATTCATTATCTTAGAATATATACATCTAAGAGATTTATAATTGAAACCCCGAAAAACTTCCAATGATTTAAAAAAAAATGAAAAAATGAAATCAACAAGTAACCAGTAACAAGGAACAAGAAAAAAAAAACAATGCAAACGTTATGGAAAAAAGAAAGTCTAGTGAAATCAAATCAAAAATTCCATTACACATATAATACATTCGGTATCAGAGAAAACAAGGAAAAAATCACGTCTTCTGAGAAATAAATCAAACAATTATGCAACAATATCTTTATGAGAAAAAGTATCATTCAAGATTTCGTCTTAAACTTGAACTTTAATGGAACAGCTTTGGGCAAAGTGTAAGAAGCTCGGCATAAAGCACAAACAGCTTCAGACTTTTTAGAAGTTCTTGAGTGTCCAAAAGCTTGAAACAAACATTCAAAGCAATAACAGTGACCACAAGGCAAAGCAATAGTCTTTTCAGGGCTATCAAAGCATATAGGGCATTCGTATAGTTGGAAAGATTTAGCATGGTCATTTTGCTTAACTTTATCAGAATCTATAATCTCAGTAGATTTTTTTGCCTCACTCGTAAATATAACATCATCTCCTTCATCTTCTTCGTCTGATGATAATATAGTTATTACTGAATTAATATTGTTGCTATTTCTCAGTTGCCTAGCAGGTATCAGTTCAGAATCTTCCTCATCCTCATCACTCTGGACAAATAAGGAATTTCGATTCTGGTTCTTATTCTCTCTGCTGGACCTTTTATGGTTTCTTATTAAGGGATCACTGGATGCTCGTACAGGATCTCGAGAATTGAGTTTTAAGAGCTTGCTTCCATTGTGATTGTTTTCAGTCGTTATTTCGACAATGCTTGATCTTTTTCGTTTATTGCCAAGTGAGCCCTCTTGGTCACTAGTAGTTGCCAAAGAAGTTTTCTTTAGCTTCTCTCTTCTGCCCGGCATTCTTTTGATATAAGACTCGACGCTCTCATGTACTTATTTGCCACTCTGAAGACGTACAAATTTAGGTTGGTAGGTAATGTTAAGGTGTATGATGTGCTTGAAGTGGCAAAAATGAGCTAGTTTCTTGACTGGCGTTCAAATCTTTGGTTGAAAATTATTTGAGGTATCACACAGGGTATAATGGGACCACTAAGGTGTAGTTAGTGCAAAAACAAAAAAAAAATATTAAATTGATACATAAACCAGCTAAACCATATTGTTGTTTTCGTAAGTCTCATCTCCCTCATCACGGGGGAAGAAAAAAACAATTTGTGATATTCATAACTGCCCTGCGTTTAGTAATTTCCATTTTAGGAGTTTGATTTGTCGCCCTTTTTTGAATTTAGTCTCGTGATCTGTTTTAGGGCTTTTATATCGGATGATGATATTCAGATGTCACAGAGTCATGTGCTTTTCACATTAGCCATTTTTTTTTCGAATGGGGGAGGAACAGAGAGATTCTGAGGAAAATCAAATTTTTTAGAATAGGACATTTGAATTACATAGAAGACCTGCTAGAAACCTCAATACAATAGCATAATATCAAGAAAAAATGTCTGCTTCAGGTAACAAATACCGTATTTCTGTATGTGATGAATAGAATAGAGAATTAGGATCATTTTGGGAGATATGTACTTATCATCAATGAGTGGGATTGAGTTCATCTAGTGGTTTTCAAAAAATATGGGATTTGAAAAGTGAAAAGTGTTGAACTATTGTAATGAATGAAGAAGGTTACAGTACTTGATGATTGCCAGCAATATTTTAAGGGATTATAGAATGAGGCCAACATGAGAAAGTATCTGAAAGTGGTGAAGAATTTTTCATATGAGATGATTTGATACTTCTATTGAAATAATTTTGATCAATTTATTGAAAAGGTACAATTAACTACGCCTTCATGTTTGGAAATAGACTAAATTCAAGATATTTCATGAGATAATCCGTCTTTATTTTACTATGAATAAAAATTGATACAACCGTGGATGATTTGAGGTCATATTATAAGCAATATTGAAAAGAAATATTCAAATAGATACTTATTGGCTATATTACTCTTTTTGAACAGAACTTATTTCACGTATATGAAAACCATAAAGAGACTCATCTTAAATTGCTGATTGGTTTAATATCCTCCCAACCTCATAAACCAGTGGGTGCTCGTTTGGAAAAACATTCTTACTAACATAATCTTATAGCTTGGTTTGCCAGTCGGTGCTGTCCTCAATTGTTGTGACAACTCTGGTGCCAGAAACTTGTATGTCATCGCCGTCAAGGGTGCTGGTGCCAGATTGAACAGATTGCCAGCCGCCTCTCTCGGTGACATGGTTATCGCTACTGTTAAGAAGGGTAAGCCAGAATTGAGAAAGAAGGTCTTGCAAGCTATTGTTGTTAGACAATCTAAGCCATGGAGAAGAAAGGATGGTATCTACCTTTACTTCGAAGATAACGCTGGTGTCATTGTCAACCCAAAGGGTGAAATGAAGGGTTCTGCTATCACTGGTCCAGTCGGTAAAGAATGTGCTGACTTGTGGCCTCGTATTGCTTCTTGTTCCGGTGTTGTTGTTTAAGTTCTTTAAAAATAATACTTGCTTTGTAACCTATCTTTATTTTCAATGAACATCTAATCTAATGTGTCATATATAAAAAAAAAAAAAAAAAGAGAACCACTGTAAGAGTAATCATATAATGATGAGCATATTTAACAATTTTGTTAGGAAAAGTGTTGTATTCATTAACACAGTTTATGATCTGAAAAAGTGAGTATATCAATTATATTTTCCTGGTTATGATATTTTTATTTTTTTTTCTCACCCAAGAAATTTGTATGTGACCAAAGATTTAAGTCAATAGATCACCTCACATTGTCCAACCAGCCTTCAATGCAAACCATGTTTGCGCGATCCAAAATGTGGCAATCCCGAACCTTAGTTCGTCTGATATCAACGTCCCGTATCTTGTTGAAGGCCAAGTCAGATAACTCGGTGCTTCTTCCTCAATACAAGTTTAAATGTGGGTTGGAGATCCATTGTCAGCTAAAAACTGACAAAAAGCTATTTAGTAATTCGGGTCACACCTTCAATGAGCTTCCCAATTCAAGAGTATCTTTCTTTGATGCCGGTTTACCTGGTACTCAGCCTTTGGTCAACCCTGAAGCCGTTCTCTTAGCATTGGTTGCTGGGGTATCTTTGAATTCGAAAATAAATTTGCAATCGACATTTGATAGAAAACACTACTTTTACGGTGATCAACCATTAGGTTATCAAATCACACAACATTATAACCCAATTGGTAAAGGTGGCTCCCTTAAATTGCTCAAAAAGTTTGATGAAATTGATGAACAGGAGAAGACTATAACGCTAGATCAGATTCAGATAGAACAAGATACTGGTAAGTGTATTCATGTTGAAGCCGGAGTGTCTACAAATGAGTATCTTAATGGTATTTTATATTCAAAAATCGATTTGAATAGAGCCAACACTCCCCTAATTGAAGTAGTGACTAATCCAGACTTCGATGACCTCAAGCAAGTAAAGGCGTTTATTAAAAAATTTCAATCATTAGTCAAATTCCTCAATATTTCCACCGGGGAATTGGAAACTGGTGCCATGAGAATTGATGTCAATATCTCGATAAATGGGGGTAACAGAGTAGAAATAAAGAACCTTTCATCAAGTACTGCTATTATTGAAGCTTTGAAGTATGAATATAAGAGACAGATCAAGGAAGTGGAAAGTGGGAATCATATTTCTCAGGAAACCAGAGGCTGGAATGGCAGCAAGACCGTCACTCTAAGAAAGAAAGAAAGTAAGGTCGATTATAGATATATGCCTGATCCTGAATTATCCTCTATTCTGTTAGATAAAACCATAGTTGAGGATATCAGAACAAATTTTGTTAGTACCTTACCTGATGATATGATCGAGATGTTGACCAGCAAACCATACGGGTTGAGAATTAAAGATGCAAAATTATTAATAAACAATACTTATGACGGGTTATTGGATTATTATATGGACGCGTTTTCTAAGACTGTGGGTATGAATGACAAAGTTCCTTCAAAAATTCCAGGGAACTTCATTTTACATGAATTGATTGGTCAATTAGGTAAATTCAACTTGAAGTTTTCTCCACAAATCCTTCCGGTTTCCAAACTTTCTGAATTGATCAACGTCATCTATATTGACGGAAAATTAACTAATAGTAGTGGTAAGTTGCTATTGAAATATATTGTCGAGAATCATGATGATACGGCCGTCCAAAGTATGACCATTGATGATTTGATAGCCGAATTTGAGTTGGAAGTACCCGAGCAGAATGACGCTGATTTGAATTTGGAGCTTGGTGAGCTATGTGATGAAATCCTCTCTAATCATGCTGAAATTGTTGAGAATTTAAAGAATGGTAAGAAATTGGGATCATTACAGTATTTGGTGGGGCAGGGAATGAGAGCTACGCAAGGGAAGATTCAAGCCAAGGTATTTGAAGAGCACTTTAAAAAGTCACTTGGTTTAAAATGATGATATAAATAGTAAATAGTCTGTATTATAAAATTTCTTGAACTTATTACATGTCGTAATCAAAAATATTGTATTGTTGTGTCAAAGTTTGTGTCAAAGAGGGAAAAAAAAAATGGGTGAAAAACTAAAATAAAAAAAAAAATTGGACATAAAGGAACCAAGAGAATCTGACAGTAGAGACGAAAAAAATGAATTCAAGTACAGTAGAACCTACTTTGGAAGAGAAGGTAGAAAATCTCAAAGGTCAGTTATCATTTTTAGTTTGTTAATATTCTAGTCATCAAACAATTACTAACTGTGAGCTCAGTGGAAAATACCGAAGAAAACGAGGTAGAAGCTAATCCCGAAGCCTCAACTGAAGAGAAGAAGAAGAAGAAGAAGAAGAAGAAGAGTGGTAAGAAGAAGAAGACCGTTGTTCCAATAACGAACTTCTACCCAGATGAAAAGTATCCTGAGGGTCAGATAATAGAGTATGTGGATAATAACAATTACAGAACCACTGATGAAGAAAAAAGATACTTGAACAGACGATTAGAAGAAACAAAATGGAACGATTTCAGAAAAGGTGCTGAAATCCACCGTAGAGCAAGAAGAAATGCCAAAAATAAGATCCAGCCAGGTATGACCATGATTGAAGTTGCAAACATTATTGAAGATGCTGTTAGAACATTCGCCAATACTCCTGAAACTAAGGTTGCCGGGGTTGGTTTCCCTACCGGTCTTTCATTAAACGACTGTGCAGCCCATTACACACCAAATGCTGGGGATAAAATTGTTTTGGGTTACGATGATGTCATGAAGGTTGATATTGGGGTTCATGTCAATGGTCATATTGTTGATTGTGCATTCACTCACACTTTTAACCCAAAGTACGATGGCTTATTGGAAGCTGTTAAGGCTGCCACAAATACCGGTATCAAGGAAGCTGGTATAGATGTGAGAATGTGTGACATTGGTGAAGCCATCCAAGAGGTTATGGAAAGTCATGAGGTTGAGCTTGATGGCAAGGTTTATCCAGTTAAATGTATTAAAAACTTGAACGGTCATAATATTGGTGATTTTCACATCCATGATGGTAAAACTGTTCCTATTGTCAAAAATGATGACGAAACAAAGATGGAAGAAGGTGAAGTTTTCGCCATTGAGACTTTTGGTTCCATAAACGGCTGGGGTTTTGTTCTTCCGGAAGGTGAATGTTCGCACTACGCTAAGAACTCTGGCGCTGATGAATCTGGTGTCAGATTGAACTCTGCTAAAGAATTGTTGAAGACAATTAATGACAGCTTTGGCACTTTACCATTCTGTCGCAGATACCTTGACCGTACTGGACAGGATAAGTATTTGTTTGCCTTAAATAGCTTGGTGAGAGCGGGAGTTGTGCAAGATTATCCTCCATTGATGGAAAAGAAGGGCTCTTACACTGCGCAGTGGGAACATACAATCTTGCTTCGTCCAGATGTGAAGGAAGTTGTTTCCAGAGGGGATGACTATTAACATCATTATTATTATTAATTTTTATTATCAACTTTAATGTCTTTGTTTATTGGTATAATAATATAATAACGATGCTCAGCAGAACCACCAATGTGCCTTCATCACGTGTCGTAATCGCATCTCCCAGAAATTTTCGTTTTCTCAGGGATGTCAACACAATATTCACGTAGATTGTACCACTTTCGTTCCAAACAGTTAGTTATCACACAAAATCCTCAACATGGATCGACAACCACCCTATGACACCAACAATTTTGACCAGTTCAGGTACCAGCTGTTCCCCCAGATCCTGAATTTCCTATCACAGAATCAACAACAACAACAACAACAACAACAACAACAGCAACATCAACATCAACAGCAGCAGCAACAACAACAACAACAACAACAACAACAACAACAACAACAGCAACATCAACATCAACAGCAGCAGCAACAGCAGCAGCAACAGCAAATCCAAGTCCAACAGAATGTGTTAGCACAACCACAACAGCCGGTGCTGCAGCATCAGCAGTACAACACACTGATGAGTGTCCTTGATGCGTTACCATCAGGTGTCCCAGGGTCCTTGAATCGCTCTCATCAGTTGGTTAATTCTCTACAACTTGGGCAATATACATCTGCTGCTGGATCTCATCCTTCTACTAATCAACAACAGCAACGACAAATATCGCTTCTTCAAAATGACGCCAATCGTGGTATCGTTCCTGAGGAAACTGATGATAGCAAACTACCTAGAGCAACTTTAAAGCAAAAGATTGACGTATTAGACTGGTATCATGCTAGTGAAAAGAAATCCCAACAAGTGACAGTAGTTCATTTTCAACAATTCAAAAAATTTGCGATTACAAAATCATCGCTAAATAGATGGGTCAAAGATGAACCGAAACTCAGAGAAGAGTTCAGAAATTTATCCTTCAGTTATAGAAATGTCTACAAGAACAAGCCTAATTTGAAAAATCCCGAAATCAATAGGGCTTTGGAATTGTTTTATGAACAGAGCTTGTATGAAAAGGGTGCGGAAAAAATCACTGAGAAAACCCTTTTAAAGAAGTTTGAGAGCTTTGCCTTCAAGTTTGATCCCTCGTTTGATCCAGATAAAGCCAAACGATCTAATGGTTGGCTACATCATTTCAAGAAAAAGAATCTGGAGAAAAAAAGGGTCATCCAAGATTTTTTTATTGAGAATGATAATATTATATCGATCAAGTATATCAATCACGAGAAATTCAGGCTTAAGAATGTTCTTAATGATTTCAAGGCCAGTGACATTTACCATTTTGATGAACTTATGGTGACTTCTGACTTTCCAGGCCGCAAGCTCTTTGGCAATTCCCATGTGATGATCAAAAAATTAATGGTTGGTTTGTGTGTCAATGCTGATGGTAGTGACTTTTTGGGACCATTGATTATTGGTAAGGAGGCAATATCTGAGGATACCAGGACGAAGAATTATATTTATTATTCACACCCTTCGTGCAGCATTACCAATGAAATTTTTTATGATTTTCTTTCTAAATGGGACCAAAAAATTGATGCTGCTAATCCAAACAGAAAGATTGCATTGCTTTTAGACACAATTTACTCTCATATTGTTCCTAATAAGGACTTAAAGCATATAAAGTTAGTGTACTTTAGTCCAAACTTTGCTTCGTCTTTGACTTATCCTCGTGAATTATTTATCAAAAATATTCTTTCAGTCAGCGATAAAATAACCCAAGAGGACAGTTCTGTGTTCAACCTTGATATTAGAGATATACCTTTGATGAACACCAATGTCTCCTCCAGTAAAAGAATAAAAATTGATCGCCAGGATCCAAACCCAAATATCAGAATAAATTATACCCTGGAAATTCAGCCAATCAGTCTTGGTATCTCAAGAGTTTTCAAAAGTCATTTCAAATTGAATTTGTTTGAATATTACTTGTCACAGCTACTTTGTGTTGATAGTACTGATATGGGAGCTATTGGGAACTTCACTGTCGATGTTTTGGCTTCCGTCATGAATGGTATCACTGAGGCCGATTTGATTTATTTCATAACTGAAAGTTGGGATTCATTCAAGCAAGAAAATGAGAGCTATGAGAACAGTGCCACTAGGGCCGAAAATATTGAACTGATGGTAAGAGGCAACGGTCTTCTCGAGCAGCATCCAAGCGGATCATACAAAAGAAATATTGTATCCAATTGTTTCAAAGATAGTGACATTTTGCCATTTTATAATGTTCTCAACACCAACCAGACAGCTGGTGATAGCTCGATCGCCTATTTTGATGTTCCCAAAGAGTTGAAATTATTGAGAATTCTTTCGATTTTTGAACTGAAGAATTTAATCAGCTTACGGAGAAGACAACCATTCTTATCCAAGACAGTTGAACGGCCGTCAGATTTTTTTTCCTTGACCATTGAAGATATCCTTTTCCCACTTGAAGAGTTTGTGGTCAACAAGCATCTAACAGATGAGGAAATTGTTAATTCCATCAAAGAGGAAGTCGGTGCATATAATGAAATTCAAGAAGTATTGAAGAAAAACAGTGAAGAATTTGAAAAAAGGAAGCAGGAACTAAAATTGAAAAAAACCTTAACCAAAAGCCTTGATCCCACAGAACGAACTACTATCAACAATATTATTGATGAGCAAATCAGGCGTATTGATGCTGAAAGTCAGTTAGGACAAATCAGTTCACAGTTATCTAATCCAAATAACTCTTTACCTTCAGATACAGTTCCTACAGAGATTACTGGAGAAATTCCGACAAACCAATCAATCAATGCACAAAGTTCGGAGATGGATATAGCTGGAGGGTATGATATGGATATTCAAGAGCTTCTCAAGATCTCCAAGTTTTTAAACAATGATATGAAGAATTTTTTGAACTCACATTCAAGAAATTACTTGGGTAGAGCCAGAAACCATTTCCGGAATTTCTTGCTTTCATTTAATTTAGAGTTCAATGATTTGTTACTAGATTTTGGTGATGTGATGAAGTTAGAAGGTATGGGTCGTAACTACGATGCGTTTTATGTGAACCTGAATAAAAAGAACTCTAAATTGAAACTACGACCTACTAACAACCAGGGAATAACTTTTGAAAATACTAATAAACTAAATATGGTGAAATCATCACTGCAGAGCAATGTTTTGGGGGTTGATGATTATATTTTGAGCAATGCTAACAAAAGAGATTACGCGAGTGTCTATGGCATTGAAATCAGTGGAACAGGGGAACAGGTAGAAAAACGCCAAAAACAAGTCGCATCAGGATTGAGTGGCATGATGAGGAATTTTAATGGAAATTTATAGGGATATCTTTAAGAACTAGGGGGACAACTTACAAAGGAAAATTTCATTTCTCATGGCCTATTTATGGGAAAAAGAGTGTGCGTTTATCTTTTATGGCAATTGTGGTGTTTGTGATCTAGTGCTTTTTATTTTGATTTACATTGGGGAATATAAATTGGCCGGCATCAATTTTTGATGAGTAGTTTTTATTTTCTTTTGCTGTAGTTTAGTCCATATTCTTGGTGAGTCCATTACGGGGTGTAATACCCGTCACGCGTAAAGTAATATTACCACCATAATTTATTGTACCACAAGTCACCAATGAATGGTCCACAACAGAGTTTTAATAAGGTCACCTTAATGTAACAGCTTAGATTAGATTATATATATATATATATCTCTCCCCCCACTAACTTCTTTTTTTTATCATATTATTTTATGCAGCTTGCTTCAAATAGGAAAACATAAAGTGACAAGCAGTTCAGGAATCTCAATGTAGAAAATATTTTGCCAGATAAAAAGATAAGCTCTTGAAATTATTTTAAAAAAAAATATAAGAAGAGTGAAGTCCTCTTTTACCTATTATTAATATATAATCTGTGAAAATACATAACTACTTTTGTACTTTATCATGTACCATTGCAAACTAGTGATATTACTAATTAGTAACAACGTGTCTCCGAGAATAAAAGTTAATATGGTTAAAAGGACACAATATTATGGATATTTTTAACAAATAATATTCATGGCTATTTTCTGAGATGTGTTTACCATAGTGGCGTATTGGATTACGCTTCTTAAACATTAGCTAGCGCTAACAAGTTTTATTGCTGTGATAGGGTTTGAAACAATTATACTTTTAAATTTGCATTTACATAGGTTTCAATACAATAATTATTTTCATTTAGGAATAGAATTGTCAATATTTTGCTTCGTATGCTGGACTCTTTTAAAACCTTCAAGCATGCCCTTTACAAAATGGCATTGATTTACAGAACACGAAACGGCTTCCAATTACACTACAAATAATAACTTGACCTACTGATTAAAACATATGACTAGTTTATTTTCAAAACTGAATTGATCAATAACCAGATATCAAAATTAGAATCTGAAGTTTGGATCGTTTGCTACAGCCAATTTTCAATTTTCCAACTCTGAATTCAGCATGTTATATTACAGAGACTGTTAAATCTTTTTGGAATGCATAAACGAATTTGTTTTGCAAAACTGTAAGATATTTGATTTAACGGAGGTAAAAATAATACTGCTAATGTTTCGGAAGCCTATCAGTTTTTGTTTCCAGGCATCTTTATCTTTTTAGCACATCACTTTTGTCATTGTATTTATTTTATTATTCAAAACCATGTTTTGTAAAGTTACTATCCGTAGAGAATGAATTGAATCAAAGCTTGCTTAGCTTTATTCTCCTGAAGACCTTACAAATATCAAAACATTATTTTAAAGAAGAATAGTAAAAGATGGAATATATTTAACATATTTCACCACTCTCTTATGGGCATATTATAATCCGATTTATTAAAAAACTTAATCATCATAGATCAATTAGTGCTGTATAGCAATACAACTATGAACTTTTTGAAAGTCTAAATAAATAAAAAAAAAGCGCGTCTTCTTAATTATATTTATGATGGAAATGATCAAAAAAAAATTAAGGAAATACGGAAAGCAGGGATGATTCTTTTTAGAATTTATCATAGTGAAAATTATGGTGTGCCATTTATTGTTGAAGGCTACATGTATTTTTCTTTCGTGACACGTCTGGTGTCAAGGGCTTCGAAGCTTTATATCAAAACCTAGCTACAAACAGAAAAAAATATGCCATATCCAGTTCAAAATATAATTATATACGCAACCATATTTTATTTATAGAAGTACAACATATGTATTAATTTTCGAAACGAAATAAAATTGTGTTTTGCAAAATTAAACTGACGCGAAAAAAAGCAAGAACTCAAAGCATCCTTACAAAACAACCTTTTTTTAAAGATATATTACTAATGTACACAACCTAAATGGATTAGATAAAAAAATTAAAAACCCATACCGAATCTAACAGAAATATTGAAAAAAATTATAATAAAAGTAAGAAAAATTTAAGCAGAAGAATACTTGGTGACAGCACGAGTACCTTCAGAGACAGCGTGCTTAGCCAATTCACCTGGCAAGATCAATCTAACAGCAGTTTGGATTTCTCTGGCAGAAATAGTAGACTTCTTGTTGTAAGCGGCTAATTTAGAAGCTTCAGTGGCAATTCTTTCAAAGATATCACTGACGAAAGAGTTCATGATAGAAATAGCCTTTTTAGAGATACCGGTATCTGGGTGAGTTTGCTTCAAGACCTTGTAGATGTAAGTGTTGTAAGTTTCCTTTCTGGTCTTAGATCTCTTCTTACCATCAGTAGAGGAAGCAGCAGTCTTCTTAGCAGCAGGCTTCTTGGAGGCTGGAGCCTTGGAGGCAGGTTTCTTTTCAGCTTTTGGGGCCATTGTGTAGGATATAATATGTGTAGTAAATTAAAAAAGTGTTGATACAGAGACGGAACTGAAAGAATGAGTTTTTTTTTTATTTTGGATTTTGGGTGGATTATATACCTTCAGTTACAGATTGTTGAAATGTATGGTTGTCTGTTTTGGGTAACTGCAGTGCGGATTTCTAAATGCAGCAGCCAGAGAAAAAAAAAACATTTTAAATACAATGTGGGGTTTTTCATCAAAAAGAGCGCGTTGCACACATGCTGAAAATTGTCCCCTGTAGGGGGTAGGTTCCGGAATGTGAGCCACTTTTGGGATTTAATAATCTTTCAAACATCTGGACGTACTTAAACCCCAACGTTTCCACCATTCCAACTTCTAATTGTGCTTTGGTTTAATATTCTGTATCTTTGTCAAGATAATATCTTTCATATTCACACAATAATAATTCTATAACATAATGTCTGGTGGTAAAGGTGGTAAAGCCGGTTCTTCTAAGGCCTCCCAAACTAGATCAGCCAAGGCTGGTTTGACTTTCCCAGTCGGTAGAGTCCACAGATTGTTGAGAAAAGGTAACTACGCTCAAAGAGTTGGTTCAGGTGCTCCAGTTTACTTGACTGCTGTTCTCGAATATTTGGCCGCTGAAATCTTGGAATTGGCTGGTAACGCTGCTAGAGATAACAAGAAGACCAGAATTATCCCAAGACATTTACAATTGGCCATCAGAAACGATGAAGAATTGAACAAGTTGTTGGGTCACGTCACTATTGCTGAAGGTGGTGTTTTGCCAAACATTCACGGTTCCTTGTTACCAAAGAAATCTGGTAAGCCAAAGGCTTCTCAAGAATTATAAGCTCGACCTCAACGTCTCAGCTTTTTCTCTCTTTTAGTTTTGCATTTTCAAGCTTTATCATTTGAATGCAGTGTACAATAGATTTTCGGGGTATTTTATTTGGTATAATTATAAGATGTAAGTTTCGCTGTATTCAATTCGTATTTTAATATTTGTTTTGTTATACATGTGGGCATTTACCACATGTCTTCATAGAACCATGTAGTTGAAACAAAAACCATGACGTAATAATCTTGATAATATATAGACAAAACACTAGCATTTATAATAGACACCTCTTGTTGGTTAATATCTACAAAGCAGCATTTTGCTTACTATATCACCGTATCCAGCATCGCCCATAACCTTGAAGCACACGTGTAAGTGCACGTGCCAAAGCTTCAAAGAAATTTCTCAAAAAATAAAAATTTGAAGCATTTCAATAGGAATTGAATGGTGGAGTTTTCTTTCACATTTTAACATCAATCGTCAACTATATACAAAGATGTTCCAAATACTTAGAACCCGAGCAATCGGGGCCTTTTCAGGTGCCAGACTTTATGGTCTTCCTACCCTCAATAGATCATATGCCACCAAAGGTTCCAACTCAATTACCGAACTTTTAAATTTCAATTCGATCAAGTCCAGCAGTACCAACAAATTTAAAGAGGTTTCTTACGATAATATATTGAAAGAAAGTAAAACCAGAGGCCCAAGATCAAGTGTTTCCTTTGGGGTGCAAGAAGTTGTTGAAGATTTTAAGAACCAAGTTCGTCAGATGCCAATCGCTAGAGACTCTGCCAATGTTTATGTGAACGTTCGTAATTCCAACACTCTTGTCTCTGATTTTAAAAAATTGGAAGGTATTGTTGGCAGAAACCAAATTGCCCAAGACAAAAGAGACCAAAGATTTTATGTTAGACCAGGGAGAAAGAGACGTTTGGATAGATCTAGAAGACACAGAAAATTGTTCAAGGCTGGATTCAAGAACCTCCTTGGAATGGTTAAGGATGCTAGAAGAAAGGGTTACTGATTCTCTTGAAAATATATTCAACTTGGGACCATATCTTGTATATATATAAATATGTCTATATCTCTTGAGGGTTGTTAATGTTTTAATGATGCACTAATTATTGTTTAAACACTTGAAATGTAGGAATATTCGAAATTATTAATGCCATGCAATATCTTTTAGGTCAGGAGTTATTTTGTGATTATGCAAATACTAATAGTACTCCAAATCGCCAGTGCTCATCAATGTCCAGTGTACCAGCATGCTTTCTGTATATGGCAATCAGTCTTTTCCCCGATAGGAGAAAAATCACAATTTTTTTTTTTTTTTTTTTTTTCCCCTCTAACTGATACTAAAATTCATGAGCTAAAAAAATATTAAATACTTTTTAAAATTGTTGCTATTTCTTATGAATACTTTGAAAACCAGAAAGCGGCAATAGCTATATATTAAAAAATAATGTCCAGTGCTTTATCAGCTTCAGTTAACCTTCTAAATACCATCATTGGTGCAGGGTTGTTAGCCATGCCGTTTGGTATCAAAGCGAACGGCTTGACGTTGGGGGTATTTGTGATCATATTTTGCGCTTGTTGCTCGATGTTTGGGCTTTATTTACAAGGAAGATGTGCTAAATATAACCGTCCTGGACATTCGTCGTTCTTTGCTTTAAGTCAGTTGACATATCCTTCCTTATCGGTGTTGTTCGACTTGGGGATTGCTGTCAAATGTTTTGGGGTTGGTGTTTCTTATCTCGTGGTGATTGGTGATTTACTACCAAAGATAATGGAATCATTATTGTCCGACGATACCCTTCAACAGAAGCCTTACTTGGTGGAAAGAAATTTTTGGATTAGTATAGTCATGTTCATGGTGGTGGCACCGTTATCTTTCCTTCGAAAGTTAGATAGCTTGAGATATGCCTCAATGGTGGCTTTATCCTCGGTTGCATACTTGTCAATATTGGTTGTCGAACACTTCCTTAAGAACGACATTCCCAACGAAATCAAGGGTGATGTCAGATATTTCACTCCTTATAGCGCCACTTCAATGTTTTCAGCTTTCCCATTATTTGTGTTTGCTTACACCTGCCATCAAAATATGTTTTCTTTATTGAACGAGCTCAAGGATAAATCTAATGGGAATATTAACAAAGTAATCAGCTCGGCGATATGTACGGCCATGTTTTTATATATATTTGTTGGTGCCACAGGCTACCTCACTTTTGGTGATAATGTCCAAGGTAACATTATCGTGATGTACCCAGCAGCAATTTCGTCAACTATTGGCAGAATTGCTATTGTTGTGTTAGTCACCCTCAGTTTCCCTTTGCAATGCCATCCAGCAAGAGCGTCAATCAATCACATTGTACACTATATCCTGGTGCGGAAAATTGAAATTGAATCAAGGGCAAACTCCGTTAGTTCACATATTCAAAGAACCGCTTCGGGGATATTCAGAGCTTTATCATTCAGCTCGACTAATTCTGGAAGTAACTTATTGACTCCGAGAGCTAGTGGGTCCAGAAACTACTCGAGCACCAATTTAAATAGTGATCAACAGGCACCACTTATACCAAATACTTTGAATGCCAGTGCCCCAGCAACAGATGTTGAGGATGAAGCTGATAGCCTAGTGATCCCAAAAATGAGAAAAAACAAGAAGCATGCCACTGTGGTGGAGCTTCCAACTAAAAAATTCATCATTTTGACCACTATTATTGTGTTATTCTCTTATATCCTTGCATTGAAAGTGAGATCTCTTGAACATGTATTAGGATTTGTTGGTGCTACTGGCTCAACGTCAATTTCCTTTATTTTGCCAGGGATATTCGGTTACAAGTTAATTGGATCGGATTATCCTATTTATAATGACAATGAAGAAGATGAAGTGGTGATCGATTCGCAAGACAACGAAGATCCATTCAGCTTGCCAATAAAGAAAGTTTCTAGAGCTGACTTGTTGGTTAAGTACTTGGCTGGTGCATTGGTGATTTGGGGAGTTTGCGTGATGATTGTTTGTTTATCAGCAGTCATATTTTTGGGTGCTGGTCATTGATTAAGAATGATAGATAGATTGTGTTGATCACTGAAAGATGTGTATTTTTGCTGAGTGAATAATTCAATGTGATGATTACTCTCTACATATTTTAAAATATCGTAGATTTCTTTCTTGAGTTAAAACTATAGTAACTGAAAAACTGAGCTATATATGTATATATATTACACTGCTGAATACTATCATCATTATAAAAACAATAAAAAAAAAAAGAGAAAAATTGATAATTAAAAGAGAAATAATGAAAAACACTCTTTCCAATTAATAACTTCAGATTTTCATGTTTCTAATTTTTTTTTCTTTTTCTTTGTTCAGCCATTTAAAAAATTCACTTTTCCACGATTCCAAAGTGTGTTCCATTCATCAACAACATATAATCAAGAAAGAAAAAGCTAACGTAACAAAAACCAACTAGGTCAACAAAACTAAAAAAAAAACAAACAGGTTAACAATAAAATATCAATCAGATACAAAAAAAAAATGGCGATCGGGAAAAGGTAATGAAATGATAAGAGTCCATCAATCAATTATGAAGTCAAATACAAACATAACTCGGAGAACTTCAACATTCATAATCAATGACAAAATGAATACATGGATAAAGTACTAGCAGAAATAGAGGAAATAATTGTAGGGGAATTGAAGTGCTTGAAAGATCCAATGACACATAAGAGAGAATAATCAATACGTATGCTCATTCATGATCCTAAACACAAGGAAAAAAAAACGATAAGCAAGGAGGAGTTGAGTATAAAGGAAAACCTCATTTATACAAAGTAACGGGATGGTGTTGGTGGTGGTGTTCTTATTTTTCTTATTTTTATTTTCGCTGTTTTCATGATTGTTATGGGGATGTGTGGGATAAAGCAGCATAGTTGAATCCTCTAAAAGAATAACCAGGCAAGGATGAAAGTGATAAGGGCACCAAAGATTGCGAGTTGAACAGGAATTCCGCCGGCTTCTTCGGTGACGGCAGTTTGAGATTCGCTCTTGGCTGCGGCAGATTCAGTTTTTTCTTTTGCTGTTTCCTTGGTAGCATTGGTGTTCATTTTAGCGCTAATTTGATCAATTTTCTTTTGTGATTCGCTCAAATCTTTATCAACTGCAGCAGTGCTTTTGGATATTGGTGATGAAGTAGATGAGTAGACACTGTCATTAAGAGTAGTTTCATCGTGAACAGCAAGAGATGATGCTTTTGGTGTTGGAGTTTCATTCACAATCTTTTTAACTGGTTCACGAGGAGCGGCATTGCTGGCCGAAGAGGCACCTTGGCCGCTAGAAGCTGGCTGAGTCTTGAACATAACACGGATTTTTTTAGAAGAGGATTCGGCCTTGAATTGCTTTTCCAAAGTAGGCCATAACTGGGCAACTGGTTGAGAAGTTTCATTGATTTCGTACGGACATGGCAAAGAAACAACCAAAAATTTGTCTCTACATTTATAACCTGGTTCAGGTTCTTGCTTTAAACCTTGCAAAATGATTTGAACATCCAATTTCTCACCTGGTGCAACAGTGGCGGCATTAGGTCTGACACAGTAGCTAAAAATCACTTGTTAGTATATGAAAACCATTAAAATAAGACCCCAGATTGATTTTTCTTTTTCTGCTTCGATAGATAACATCTAATGATGATTAGAACAAACCAGCACCACAGGCTGAATAAACAAAACAATCACAATACGTACAGTTTAGGGGCAGTGGTCTTGACTTTAAAAGCAAGAGTTTTGTCACTTTTATTAGCCAAACTGATAATCTCAGTGGAGGATTTGGTGAATGGGGCTATAGATTGTTAGTAAGTAAATCTATGATAATGCAAACAAACGGGTAGCAACATCAAGAAATAAGACACCAAAATAATAGTTATATCAGCCAAGGCTGTCAAAGAAGAGCTTTGTTTAACCGCAATGACAATCCATTGGTTGCTTCAAGTAGCCGAAAAGGGAATTATACAATTCGTTTTGGGGTGGCGGTTGCACTTCTTTTAAGAGATCTGTTGATTTGCCGTCACATTTTGTAGAATTCCATCTGATAAATTAATTTATCACCAGACCCACAATAGGGGGTAGAATTGTGAAATTAAAGAAATTTACTCACCCTTGAACTCTAAGAAAGCTGGTGAGATTTCCATTGCGAAGCAGATTGATTGGTTGGGCTTGCTACTGTTGTAGTCGTGGTGGTGGTGGACTGCTGATAAAAGGAGAGGAAAGAAGCTTTCTTGCTTGTGAGGGAAAAAACCACAAGCTGATGTAGTGATGTGTACTTTTTTTTTCTGCTCCCGTTTCAACGTCTTAGTGAAATTACCAAGTAACTTGCAACAACCGGGGATATTACAAGGGGATTTTGTTACGGATATATATGAAGAAAAAAAAAACCAGAGAGAGAAAAGCCAGGTGAAAAAAGAATGATAAAATATGGAATGAAAAATCCAGGCTTCTTGTACAATTGCTGTTCAGCAATGGACCCAAAGCACGGCACCCACGCGACCAGCATAACTTTTGGCGGGTGGCAGATGGGGGGCAAAATGAAAAACAACCGCGGCCGTTTCGGGGGGTGATGCCGGACAGGTATGATTATTAACTTCTTCTTTGCAGTTTTTTTTTCTGGTATGCTACAGGGTCAAATCATCGTAGAAGACATCATTGAATGGAAGAACTATGGATGGGGATCTTGAAAGAACGATAGGTACGTGGATCGCTCTCTGTTTTTATACAAAAAAAGACGCGTACTCTTGCTAACACTGTTTTAGAGTCTCTTTTTTCACCCAAAATCAAAACCCGTAACGATGTGTTGGATCACCTAGAAAACTCCTTGGATTCCCAGAACTTTACCAAAAATATAGATAAAAAGCTGGCTGCTTCTTTAATCAATGGGTTGTACTCGTCAATTGAAGTTGATTTAACCCTTTTGCGCTCAGGCAAAGGCTCTTCAAGCGCCATTGAGTCAAGGCTTGTTAAAGCTTCCAGAAGTATTAGAAAATTCCTTCAGAACAGAGGCCCAAAGTTGAAAAATAACCAGATATCCAAAATAATGGGTAGGATATTGTCGACTTTTGAAACTATTCATTATAGACCAATGTCATTGGAGTTTGCTAAGAGCTTGTCATTCTTGACGTCTAAGACCTTGTACATATTGTCAATGAGAGATCCAGACTATACATCAATAGTCAAGTCATTGATACGAATATTGAACAAAGAATTTCAGAGACATGAAGCTTCCAATGGGGATAACATCATCTGTGCGGTTCTAGAGGCACTTCACAACACCATATCATCCTTTGCATTGTCGTCGCCGAGATCAAGCTTATTCGCCAAATCTAATGATTTATTGATATCTTTAGTGGAAATGTTGACGAAATTTATCGAAAGATTCCAGAAAAGTTCTTTGAATATGGTGCTCGCTTTCAAGATGGCCAATTTCATCATTATCAATGGCTGCTTGGAATCAGTTAAATTGGTACATCGGTTGATTCTAAAATTTATGAAGGTTTTGCCCTGTCTTCAACTATACAATTATTCTTCTCTTAAAGATATAGTTCTAGTGTTTTTGAATTTATCTGGAGATTATATTATTTCCTATCATAGAGTTCCTCGCCAATCTCAATCAGAAAATATTGCCGAGTTGGATGACCTAAAAACCATCAAGACAATGATTGTTGAAATAATTAACTTAATCGACTTACAACTTATTAACTCCAAGGACCATGAGTACGATCTTCATATAAAATCAATAAATTTCTATGACAGCGCAATACATCATAATATAAGCCATTGGTTTAAACTTGATTTCATTTTCCTCTCGCCCAAACAAAAAAATCAACCATTTCATTCAGACCAAAGGGCATGGTTGTCTAGAGTAGTTACCGCGAAACTCGTAGCTATCTACTTTGAGATTCTAAAGATGAATGAAAATCAAGATGATGAAGAGGAGCTGCAGCAAAAGCCAATGTTAAAAAAGAGAAAGGTGGTTCATAATTCATTTTTCGGGAAAATGAATGGTGGTGCTATAACCGATACTGATTTCAATTTAGTAGAAGTGTTGAACCAATCTAGTTCATTTATGAATTTTTTGAGCTTATTGCTCAAGGTAAACAAAGAAGTTATTGGTTGCCAGATTCTATTATTCTATCTTTCTATGAAGCCAAGGTTAGATATATTAAATGATAATTCATTATTAAATGTGGTTGAAGCAATTTTTTGCAAGCTTGATGATACTAAGCTTTCGGGTTGGTTATTATTGGCTTCAAAAGTGATTTTGGAGTACTTGTTGGTGCAGGACATCTCTAGAATTGAAACCTGTTACGGATTCAAGGGCCTTGAAAAATTGTTAAAAATTTGTTTACAATCTTTGAATAATAGTACTTATGGATCTGTTTGCTGCTCTACTGCCATTACCATTTTAAATTATTTTGAGGCAAAGGATTATATGAAGCTCAAATTAGCAAATGATTCAATTCTAAACCAAATTGTGTACTCCATGATCGATCTAGCGGAAATTAGGGGCCCAGCTACAGTGAATAACCACAGCTTTATGTTTTGGTTCAAGTTATACGCCAGCTTTGGTAACCACTCCAAAATTGGCAATATTATTAGTGAAAAGGTATTGCTTTGGCTTTTAGGAAAATTTGACAGAATGGTGTCTACATTGAATGATAACCAAAACTCGATACTTGGTACCTTCTTAGTATGGATTTTGGGAGGCCAAGGGATAACTGTTACCAATGATCAACTATATGGCACGGATGGAAGTTTTTATGATTTCAAAACTTATAGCAGAAGCTTTATGAATTATTGCGTGCTATGGAAAAGTAGTGAAGAGTTTAGGGATCGACTCGCCTTGAATTTTGTTAGCGCATATCAACCCGGTGACAGTTTACTGGTTGGTCCTCTTCAGAAATCCTCAAACCTGCAAGAATTAGTTGACCAATTATTGTTAACTTGGTTCAAGTCATTAGATGAGATTTCGACGGGAACCCAGTTAGAACCTAGCGCAAGTTCAAAGGGTGATAATTCTACAATTTCTACTGTATTAGCTTTACAATTACTTGATGTTTATATCTTGAAGCTTGATGACACAGTGTTGAAAGGCAGTAAGCACAACATTGAATTTAAATTGGAGTCTGTTTTGCAGGAGAGACTATGCGAGGCCTCAGCATTATCTTTGCTTAATAACTTCTCTTTGTTGAATAGTTACTGTCTGCAAAAGACCGAGATTCATAAAACAAGGAAGGTGAATCTTCTAAAATTCATAAATTTGAGGAAATTGGTGTTCAATACTTTACAATTACTTAAGAATGGAGAATCTGAAACCATTGAAGGATCAAGATCCATGAGATACCACTCTCCAAGCCCATTGCCGAGTGAAGATCCCGATGGGTTTGGGGCTGTGAGAAGACATCGTGGTGATCTAGAATTTTCAGATACTGAGATTAATCACTTCAAGTTGGCGGAATTATATCTGAAAACTTCTTTACAAGATCAACTTTTCTTGTTTGTAGCTGATATCATTAATTCTAGTGACCAAAGTGAAAATGCTATTGCCGAGGACTTTAAAGACTCCGTTGACTTCTTGATGCTATTGACGCCATCTCAGTTTATTGATTGTTGCGGGTCCTATTTCAAGATATTATCAACTACTGAACGTCATAAGTTGCCGATGGGCAAGAAACTTGTGAGATTGATCGGTAACAAATTGTTGGCTTCGGACCATTTTGAAACCAATGAAATTGCTATCTGTTTTGCGTGCCGCTTACTTTCAATAATCACTTATGAATATTACAAATTTGAAAAAGATTACAACGATGTTTTAAAGTATCTTTTGGAACTCCAAAAATCAAAGTTTCTTAACACCGCTGATTCATTGAAAGAATTTCAAGCGTTGCTTTTATTGTTAATACCCGAAGTCTTCAACCTCCAGCCCGGCACTGATGAAGGAATCATCCTGCCGTTATTTAAAGTTGACCTTGGAACTCATATCACTGTTGCGTTCGATAACCATGAGGCAAATTTTTTGCGATTAAACTTGGCCAATGAGTACTCCAAGTTCTTTGAGAGGGCAACTTGTGAGATAATTACTGCGTCTTATAACAAAATCTATAAAGTGTTTGACTTACCTCAACAAAGCCTGGAATGCTTTTTCACCTTTGCCTATTTCTTGGCTTCCAGCACCAAAAATTCTAAATATACCACCAGCTATTACTTGTTTAATGTGACGGAGTTCATCTCGTTCCATCATTTAGAGGATTATATAGTCATGTGCTTTGACCTAACCGTTAAGAAATTAGGGTTGAAGAACAGGAACGAGTTGTTTTGTCAGTTTAGACTAGAGATTTTGCAGTTTTGGCATCAATCAAAGTCGCAAATGACCGAGTTCCCGTTTGCGCTTTTTGGATATAGTTCAGAAAAAGAGTTCATTTCAAGAAACTACCAGTATATAGTCCCGGTTATTTTTTCCGGAAAGAGATCAGGAAATAGTGAAGATATGTTAAACTATATTGTATCAAGTACTGGCAAAGAAGCGAAAAAACTTGTGTTTGAATGCTTGCCCACGATTGTTTGCTTGGCATTCACGCAAAATGGAATAAAGAATGATGTCTTCAAAGGGGTCTCCTCTTGTGTTGGTAGTGATCAAGTCAAACTGGTTTTCCGCAAATGGTTATCAGACATTATCTTAAGCGTGATCATCTTCTGCAATTTATCTGATAGAAAGGCACTATCAATAGTTTTCAAATCGGCCAATGAGGATGATGGATTACAAGAATTCAAAATAAGGGACACAAACAGCTTGATTCCATTAGAGGCTCCAGTAATTGGGATTGCTCCGAAAACCGCGAAGGCATTAATAAAGGTATTATTGGAGAATTTTTACAAGGGTGATAACTTTTGGAAACTGTCTACTATTTTCTTCTTGACCACCAACATTTTGCGGCTACTTAACGATGCTTTATCAATTGATGACAAATTATCCAATTTGAGGAAATTGAATGTTATTTTGTCATACACCATGGCCGAGAGCTACTCGCCTGAAATCTTAAAAGCAGTGATTTATGGACTATTACCATATGTGTTTGATTATAACTTGAAGGACGAAGTGTCATACATCATGTTAAAAGCTTTGGTGGGGGGTTCAAAGTTGTTGGTGAATTGTGATTTAGTCATATTTAAACTAGTAACAGCTTTGGCAGGAGAGATCTTGGAGACAGGTAATAGAGTCGAAGCATTGGAACGTTGGTTTATCAAATTTTATAATGAGTTGCTGGATGATACAGAAATTATAAATTTGGTTTTAAGACAATTAGTTAGTATTTTGAAGAATGAAAATTGGCAACTTACAGCCCCACAGTTAACCATGATTATCAAAAAATGTTACAATGAAAAAGGATATGCTCAGTGGTTGGAAGAATTTGTCCCTATTTTGTTTTTGTCAAATGATAATGACTTTTCTTTGATCATTGATTCCGTTTCTCCAGATTATACATTGGCGACATTTCTCTATCACATGAAGCGGAAAAAAGGGTCATCGCCTAAATTTTTGAGATGGAGGGCTAATTATTTAGGTTGTTTTTACTCTGAGACTGGAGTGGGGTTTGAGGTAGCTAAACCTAGGAAAAATTTGTCGTGGCTTAAATCAGCATTCGAGAAAAAATCTGTTCATTATGTCATGTCTTTTTTGTTCAAGGATTTGAAAACATGGGTTGATGAGAATATTAGTAAGTTCGATAAGAAACAGTTATTGATGCAAGACACTTTAAGGGTGTTCTTTAGCATCCATTTGCAAGACCAAGATATTTTTAGTAAGGTGTGCAGCTTTAATGAGATTTTCGGGGAATATGAAAATTGCATCGTTCCTTTAGACTTTTCAGTTTTCGCAGTCCAACATCCAATGGAATTAGAGTACCATAGTATGGACTTGGCGAGATTTGTGGAAACTGATTATTTCGTTTCATTATTCACTGCTGACTTTGATAAATGGTGCACCGAACTCTGTTTATCATTGATTGATGGTTTACTGGGTAATGCGGTGTACCTCAGGCCTCTAGCGGTGCTATTTAAGAACTCTCCGGATTTTAGTAAAAAATTCCTTCCTAACTTAGTTGTGTTCTTTCTTGATCAAACTCCTCAGAAAAATGTTACATTGATCAGCAAACTAGTTGAGAAGTATTTGTGTTTGGATGAAGCTTGCATGTGCCAAGAGTCAATGGAACTCTTTGTTGATTTGTGCTTAAGATTAAGAATTGGCAGCAAATATAACGACAAGAAGTTTATTCAAGCGTTTCAAAATAGGTTTTCTGAAAGAGTTTTTCTATTGGCGTGCCGATTAGAACTTTGGATTATTGCGTTGATGTTTTATGAATCATTTAAAGGTGATTTCAACAACTTGGAGCTGGTGTTATCTTTTGAAGAGACAGAAAAATTGTTAGATAAGGCATATCATTGTATTGATGCCGAAGATATAAAATACTCTTTATCGGTAAAGCCAACTCTCGAATACGCAATTGCTGCGATAAATGAAGATAGTGACCTGATGAAGAAAGTGATGATCAACAGCGCCATCTTTGAATCATTGTATAACAGCAATAACTTGATTTCTAGCAAATCAATCGTTAATTCTGTGGAAGGTTGTGGATTATCTGGGATTTCTAACCTCATGAATGATTATTTCAATGATAAAAATAATGATGATATAGAGTTCGACAGCAGCTACAGGTGGGCATGGAGGCTTGGGAAATGGGATCTTCCAGATTCTGAAACCAGGTCATATAATTCAACGATATATAAGAAGTTGAAATCTTTGAAACAAGATAAATTGACGATGGAAAATGACAAAATCCTAGAAGAAGCGTTGCAGATGTGTGACCGCTTGAGTACTGATCATGAAAGGAATTACAAGAATAAATCAATGAATAGTGATTCATCGAAACTTTTAGGATTTTTATGGAACGTGGAATCGTCGCTTAAAATGGATAAACCGTATATCAAAGGGATTCATAAGCTACAAATCAATTCCGACAGTTGGTTGTTTTCCAACGATTTCTCAAGGTATGAAGATTTTTTGGAGGCCAAACAAGTGGCTTTGGGTTTGCAGTACCAGCAGGTAAATTTCGGAAAACCTGGGATCCACTCTTTTAAAATTGCATTGATGAGGATCATTGAATTATTCACTTATAATAACTTGGCGTGCCTAAATAATGAGCCGCAAAAGGCCACAAATTCTATCATGAAAATGGACAAGATCTTGAAGGATGATATGAGATACGATGAAGATGATAAATCTATCACTAGCATCATCAGGGACGCCACGATTATTTCGCAATTTGCCATTGCCACTACTCTTTGGAACCAAAAAGAAACCCAAATTCCTATTGTGATGTTGAAAAAATTGAGATCAGAAGTTAGCGATTCGCAATATTCCGAAATTGCATTGAAGAATGAAATAGTCAGCAAAGATCTTCTTGAATCATTATTAGTGGAATGGCTTTTTGAGCTGAAGCAAGAAACTCCGTCATCGATAATGAAAGAGTATATCCAGACTTTTGATTCGACGGAAACTGGTGCTCACACCACCAAATTATGCCACACCTTCGCAAAATTCTGTGATAATCAATTGAAGCTTTCGAATATTGATGAGGAGCTTCTGAGATATTCCAAAAACATCAAAAGCATGAGCAATGACTTGAAAGAGGCTCGGTCTCACAAGAATTCGGAAATGTCTAGATACTCAAACAAATTGAAAAGCCAGTTGCTTGCTGATGACACTTATTACAAATCATTGATGGAAGCCAAAGAAAATTTCATTAACCTATCGGTGAAATTCTACGTCAACAGTATCCTTACAGGTGATGGGGCTTTTGATTCGGACGTTGACAGGTTGTGTGCGTTGTGGTTGAAGTATTCTGATTCTGACATGGTTAATCTTGAGATTGAACGGTTGGTATCTGATAAGCGATTTTCTTACCATAAATTTATTCCGTGGGTCAGTCAGTTATCATCTAGATTGGCCACGGATGATTCGCTTTTCCAAAGATGTTTGAAGAAAGTTTTAATTAACTCGAGTTTAAAGCACCCGTACCATACCCTCTTCATTTTGAAGAGCTTGAGATTACAACATGATTATAATAAAAACCCTGATGCCATCATGAAGTCTAGAATCACTGCTGCCAATGAGTTGTGGATAGAATTATTCAACCATAGTAATCAATTCAACAGGAAATACTTGATGCCAATTGACCAGTTTTGCAACAATTCGGTGGGTTTGGCGAATTATGAAGTGACAAAAGATCAGAAGGGTTTATTGTTGAAGAACCTCAATATTGGGAAATTTTGGACTGAGAAATTGCCAAATTTGGGGGTTCCATTGCCAACCAGAGAGATTGTGATAAGGAAAGATGCTGACTATGAAAACTGTCCGGTGATCAAGCGGGTTCTGTCACAAGTAGACATAGCCCCCACTGGTATTAGTAGACCCAAAATTGTGGTATTTGAGGAAACCGATGGATCGATTGGTAGGGCATTATTCAAAGGTAACACCGATGATTTAAGACAAGATGCGATTATGGAACAAGTGTTTGAAAAAGTAAATGTTTTATTGATGAAAGACAAAGAGGCCGGCAAGCGGAAATTACAAATGAGAACTTATAAAGTTGTTCCGATGGGACCACAGGCAGGGATGATTCAATTTGTTCCTGATTGTAAATCGTTTTTCGATATTGTTGCCCCATACCACGCGAAATATGATAAACTTAGCCATAGGGATCTTGCTAAAAGATTGATGAATTGGGAGAAGTTGCCGGTGAATCAAAGAGTGATCAATTATGTACATAAGATTGACAACGTTATTAAACCGGTATTTCGAGAGTTTTTCTTTCGAGGGTTCTTGAACCCTTATGATTGGTTTGACAAAAGATTGAATTACAGTAAAGGAACTGCAGCATGTTCTATGGTCGGTCATATGCTTGGACTAGGGGATAGACACGGGAACAATATTTTGATAGACAAAACCTCTGGAGAACCGATACATATAGATCTTGGGGTAGCTTTTGACCAAGGGACGTTACTCGCAATACCAGAAACCGTGCCATTCCGACTCACCAAGGATATTGTTGATGGGTTTGGGGTCAGTGGAGTCGAAGGGGTTTTCAGAAAATCCTCTGAACATGTGTTTAGAGTATTAAGAGATCAAAAAGATCAGATCGATGGGATTTTGAATATTTTGAAGTGGGATCCGTTATATATGTGGTCGATATCGCCACTCAGGAAGAAGCGTTTGGCAGAAGTTGGGAATTTGCATAATATCAAACAAGACATTGGTGGTCTTGAGGCGTCGCGGGCCGTTGCAGGGGTTCAACTGAAGTTAGTTGCCCAAGGATTGAGTGTGGAAGCTGCAGTGAGACTGTTGATTCAAGAAGCGTCTGATGTCAAGAACCTTGCGTTGTTGTACCAAGGATGGTGTCCTTTCTATTGAAACATATTTGTTTGTGAATGAATAATTAATATTACCGTTGTGATTATTATCATATGAAATGATACTTGTAAGTATATAGGGTGCAATAAAAAAAAAAAAATGCGATTTTGTGCTAATGAGACATGTGTGCATCGATGAAGTACCCAAAAAAGGCAGTACGCAAAAATAATGAAAAATAAAAAATAAAAAATAATGAGGTGATTTGAATTTTCTTACTCGGATATACGTAGATGATACCACAAAAAGTAAAAGAAGATGATGAAATAAAAGATAATAATGACAGTTTAGGTCAAATAATAAAATATTGAAGAATAATAAAGCACAATATCTTCCATTCTCTCTCTTCCTCTCTCTATTTTTTTTCTATTTTTTTTATTTCTATTTTTTTGGGTCCACCCACCATTGCATGGGATGGTTGTTGATTAGCGGTACAAAGATTATCAGCTGTTATGCCAAAGTATTGTAGAAGCAAGCAGGTCTCTCACGTCAACGACGCTAACGAGAATGGCTTGAGCAATGAGTGCGGATCTAATTTATATTTAAACACCTGTCACTTTCCCGAAACTCTCTTGGTGTTTGTTTGTCTAACCATAAAATATTGGCAAATATATAACATACACACCCATATATACCACATCGCGCACATACAGAAGATGGTTCTGAGTTTACTACAAATAGCTTTAATTGTGATATTACTAATAGGCTGTATCGAGGGTCTTTCTATGACTTACTTCCAGCTCATGACAGCTTTATACACAAAGACAAAGGGACCCAATGTTATCCAGGATGAAAATGCCACCAGCTGGATGGATGATGACTCCAGTAACCACCACCCAGGGGAAATGGCTACGGATATAAATGAAACGCACAATACATACAAGAATAATCATGGTAATCATCATCAACATCATCAATATCTTGAGTCGACTAATAACAATGCTCCCATCTTGGGTTTATTGGAGGAGAACGGGATAGCTAGACTATTCATCGGAGGACAGAAGTTCCGGCCATATTTTTCCATTTGTTGTGCTCTCATTGGTTTCAGTTTCTTATTACAAGCATAAACATCATCAAGATATGGTAATTTTCATTGTCTTGTCCTTTTTTTGTTCTTTTATTTCACTTTGAATTCATTCTATCACCATATAATCACATATCATAGAAGGTGGTTTTGTTTTAGGGTCTTTTTTACTTTATTTTTTTGTTCATTTTTCCTTCTCTAGTTAGAAATGTATTATATTATATAGCTATATATATACTCATAATGTATATTCTTGTTGTTAGACCATGATGGCATTATTATTTTATTGATGCCATAACAGTAGCGAGGATAATTACCGCCCGGCTGGTTGGTTGGTTGGTGGTTCTCGAGGGTGCATAATTAATGCCGTTTTTGAGGACGATTGATGCCTTTGCAATCACAAATGAACCAAATTTCAAAAATAGAAAAAAACAAAACAGAACAAGACAACAAAAAAACTCAGAAAGCTGGATATCATACGTACCTTTTTGCTTTCTTCTATTTTTCTCTCCCCAATTCCAAGGGTCTTCAACCAACACATGGAACAAATAGATGGCAATCTTGAAGAGCATCCGACAAAATTTTGATCTCTCATATTTTGCCAATGGTAAAAGATCCCGAAATAACTCCCACGCCAAGTATATCGAGTTAGCAGTGGGTTTAGACACCCCGAAAATCATTCTCCAAGGGTCAGAAAGTCAGTCTACCGGATTTGTTGTCAATGGACTGGTGAGTATCATATCCAAGTCCCCAGAAATCATTGGGTCGATCTCGGTTAGTAATCTCAAATTGGAATTCAACCAATTGGTGAAATACTCTAAACCGTTTTTGTTCAATGATGGGGTCGTTGGGACTTGCAAGAAGTGCGGGAACAAGCGGAACACTATTGTAAAGAAAAGCTTCGGAATAAATTCCGATGAAGAGAAACTAATATGCTTAAACGACAACGATATCGTCAACTCAATTCCGTTTTCATTTTTAGTTCCTGGGGATACCCCAGCAACCACGGTGCTAGGGGCTAATATGGATACCTCAATCCATTATGAAATCAAATGTATTCTACAATTCAAGGTTGTACCGACAAAAAGTGAATCAGATGAGCAACAAGAACAAGACGAATTGATAACCACAGAATTCCCCATAACCGTGGGCCGAAGTATCTCGAAAACCCCGGACTTGGTGTACCTTCGGAAATTCTCACAAACAGATATGGACGCCCGAATAGTACTACCCAGTGTGATTTACAGTAAAAGTGCTGTGCCACTCGAATTGATCATTGAAGGATTACAAATAGTGAAAGACGGCAAAATTGTTAGAAAATGGAAACCGAAAAGCATCAAGTGGAAGTTGATAGAGTTTGTGGACATTACAGAAGACCCATGCCGTCAACACTTTGCAACCTTGGAGGAATTGAAAACCCGAATCAATTTTGCTAAAAACCCTTGGAAATTGCAAACAGACAAGTTCTCAACGTTGGAAGTCATAAGGACCAATAGGCTGCAGAACCATGATCTTACAAATGAAGAATACAGTGAGCAACCCGAGTTACTCTACGCTGCCAGCTCTGTAGATGATGATGTTTTGAATAGAAGTCAAGATAATGGGTTTTTCCACCCGTTAGATCCCGATAGACTACGTCACAATTTCAGAGCCCAGCAGCAACCTAAGAAGGAAAATCTATTGTTGGTTTATAGTGATCAAAAATTGCTAGCGTCTGGAGAAATCAAAAATGGATGGAAATCGGAGTACCAAACAGGATCAACAGGTAAAATACATTTCGAGACGGCATTGGATACTGGCCACCTATATACCTGTGATTCCGCTTCATACTGGCCCAAAGTATCCAATGACACCATGGATGTATTTAAAGATATCTACAACGAAGATATTGGCCACGCAAATTGCTCGACTGATATCTCGGATAACTGCAACGAGAAGCAACATTTCTCGGTGTCACACCGGTTGTTTATTGACATTGAAATCACGGATGAGTATGAGAAGAAGAATCCATTGTCTCAGAGCGTGATGGCGAAGATCATGAAGATGAATTTCCCAATAACTTTGACTGAAAGAAGTGGAGCAACGGTAGCATGGGATGAGGAAGTGCCTCCCACTTATTCGATAGTGAAGGGTCAGATGCCACCACCCCAGTACACTGCTGTTTGACGTAAACCCGCACTGCGCCCCCGGAAAGACAAATATACAAAAAAAAAAAAAAAAAAAAAAATTAAGTAAAGTAGCAATTATACAATTTTTATCATTCCTGCTCTTTTCTTGTTGTTGCTTTGCTAGCCCCGGTTAATTACTTACTAAATAGATAATACACTATTAAATATGAAGCTTTCCTCGATCGTGTTTGGTGCCACAATGGTAATGGGAGTTTTGGCTGATGATTACATCATCTCGTTCAGAAACTTGAATACCCCAGATTCGTGAGTACTTCTTTTGGTTATGCCATTGGAATAAATGGTACGGTTTACTAACAAGATTTCAATATTTAGGGTGTATAATAAGGTCAAGCAGAATGTTGTGAAGAAATTCAAGGGTAAGATTCTCAACGAATATACCATCATCAAGGGGTTCACAGCAAGCATACCTAATGTCGATGTTAAGGTTCTTGATATGAATTTGAATGAAGAAGATAGCAGTTATCCTATAGTGGTTGAAAAGGACTCAACTGTCACAATTGCTGAATAAATTTGAGAGGATGATTTTCTTATTGTTGATTGCGTTTTCTTTTTTTCCTCTTTGTGGATTTTGATACTCTCTATCATGTTACGAATTGCCATGTTGTACGAAGAATAAAATGATGATAAAATAAAAAAAATAAAAATAAAAATAAAAAAAAATAATAGTAATGGTTGGCTGGTTGTTTGTGTTGTTTCCCTTTTGCTGCCTTTTCTGTCTTTATATACTCAAAGAACAAGCTGAGTTTAGAGTATTTTTTATGTATTTACCAATCAAGATTGAGTATTTTTAATGATGTAAAAATGTTTTTAAAATAAGAACGATTATATTATATGGTACACATGCAGTAAAAAGGAAAATAGCAAGAGAAAGCTTTGATAATTGAAAGAAATAGCAATTGAATGATTGTAGCGAAAGTTGTCTGAATTTAGCTTATGAGGATTTCAATCTCTTTCCAAATTGATATTATCACCGAACTTTGCGTATAACTGGCTCTTCAATTTGGTCAATTTCCCATCGATATCCGATAACTGGTCGTCCAATTTAGAGATTTTGTCGTCGTTTAAGTCATTGTCCTTATTTGCCCTTTCGGTGGCCTCGGCGTAACCCATGAATACCAAAGTATCCCCGATCTTGTACTGCACTTTTTTAGATTTATCCAAGGAATCATCAGTTTCGTCTTCCAAATCATCATCATCGTCGTCTTCTAGTTCCAAGAGTTCTAATTCGCCAATGACGTCTGTAAGGTATTCCTTTTCTTGTTGGTACAACTTGAGATCGTCCATCAACAAGTCCTTCTTTTGAATCAAGGTTGAGAACTCATTGATATTCTTCTGGTCCTCCCAAGTGACCTCGATGTTATTTTCTTTTCCACGGGGCAACAAACTCATATTTGACCACTACAGCTTTTCCTGTTCTTCTCTCTCCTCCTCCTCCATCGTCTCTCTTCCTCAAACAAAACCGCCGACTGAAAATTCGAATTCACATGCACGTGACCAGAAAGAGATATTCCCCAAGATGCTGTGGGGATTGCTATTGGCGGTTCTTATATTTATTATTGATTATTGATCATTGATTATTGTGAACACAATTGCAATGTAACTTCATGCTGTAAAACCTTACACTTTCATATGCTGTTGAGGGGAGGGGGGGGGGCCTATTCCCCATTCCCCGGTAAATCCCTCGCCCATATCAAATACGCCGATAGATCAATTCTCCTCCGTGGCTGGAAGGAGAATTAAAAAAAAAAATTCACCCACAAAAAATTCACTCAGTGGGAATCTTCTTATTACTAATAACCTCCACTGATTATATCCTCCAACAATGGTCCTCTGCCACAAATCCACCAACCAATATGACTATAGCTTCCCTATAGTATCATACTCCTGGCTCAACCGTTATCCAAACCCTTATGCCAAACATGTTATTTCCGTCGATACCTTGGACAGCTCTGTCGACGAACATGGAAAGCTTCATATCACCAAACTCATTAGGAAATCTGGCAGTATCCCATCATGGGCCAAACCATTCCTCAGTATAACAGACAGTTGGATTGTCGAAAAAGCCGTGATCGACCCAGCAACACAAACAATGGAAACCTACACCAGAAACTTGGACCACACTGGGGTGATAAGAATAGAAGAGTTCAACAACTACTTCTTTGACGATAAAGATGAAAAAACTTACGTCAAGTCTAGCGTCAAGTTTACTTCCGCTTTTAGACAATATTATGGCTTCAGCATCAAGGATAAGATTGAAAACTGGTCGCACAGCAAATTCACAGAGAATATCAAGAAGTCCAGACAAGGGTTGTTGTTGGTGATGCAGAACTTCCAAACCAGAAGATTGAAAAACAATGTGTGATACACTATACTCAGAACCTTTTATCTATCACGATGTTCACGACCTTTTCGTTTTTTTCTCCTTTTTTTTTTTTTTGTCTTATTCTTATTATTATTATTTTGAGTATTTCTTTGAACTTTGCTCATTTTTGACGGTTGTCAGTCATGTATATATAGTGGGCACCCATCCATCGCAGTGATGATGACAAGCCTGCAGTTTTTATTATTTTTATTACTACTTTTTGTTAATTGTTCCATCATTCATCTATCTATCTATCTATCTATCTACTTGCATTATAATTCTTTGTCATCTGAATCTCTTTTTTTTTTTTTTGTAATGTTGAGTCAACAACTGAGTGGTGTCGGCACCCTCAGAAAGTCGCATCACACATACATTAAACAAAAAAATAAAAAAATAAAAAACCTGGAGGACCACCGCTTCCATCTTATTTCGTTGCACAAAATGTTGTAATATCTCATAATAAAAATCGCTGATACTGGATATTCAAAACATTCTCAATTGATAAATACCAGGAGGAAAAGAGTAGAGGAAAAAAAACAAAAAAACAAGGGAAAAAGAAAATCAATAATATTAATATGCTTTCCTCAAGGCCCAAGTATGGGTCGAAACAGCAGACCTCATCAGCATCGGATGACCTATTTACAAAGCGCTATAAGCTCTCACATCCTCCAGACGTCTTTTCTTATAATGGTAGCTTGCCATTCGATCAAAGTTTGATTGATATGCTATCTCCGCCAACCTCAAACACTGATTCCATAGTTTCCAACTACCCAGATTTCATCCCATGGTCTCACAACAAACAAGAGGACGGTATTGCAGCCAACAGCCTTCAGAAAGGATGTGTAGAGCGTCAGATTGTCAATAATGAACTAAGATCGGGAAGAAACACTATGCAGAATTCTCTCAAGGCGTCCGTGTTGACTAGCGATGGTAATCTGACCAAATCCATCGGCCTAAAACTGGAAGATCAGATTTCTTCCTCCACTTCCAACATTTCCAAAAGCTCGGTGACAAGCTTGTCAAACTATATGTTGGAAGCCATAAATAAACGGAACAAATTCAATAGGATATCCAGTAATTCAAGTTTCAAGCCCCCGCCAAGAGTAACGTTAACCGAACAGAAGAAGGAATTATGGTTGAAGAATTTAGCAGACAGTTCTATAAGTCTACGAAAGTTGTCGCGTACCATCCCCCACGGCATCAGAAATAAAACTCTATTGGATCAGCTAGTAAGCAAAAGAGTACCAGTGAACAGAGCGATATGGTTCATAAAGTGTATAGGATTGAATGAATTGCGACAGTTAAAGAGAAAAGGAGGGAATCTTAGCTATAATGAAAATAGCATCCCCATTGGCGGGAATCTTGGCAGCAGTAATGAGATAGATAATAATGAAATGTCTTGGATTAACGAGTGGACTAAACAATTGATCGATTATTTGGAAAATACTTTTACAGGCACTCTTGTTGGTCCAGAAAGTTTGAAATATCAAGAAGCTAATGATCTAGAAGACGTATTCACCAGTTTGTCAGACTCTTCTTCTATGAAATACAAAATTTTCTACCTAAATAATTTGATCCATCAGTTATTTGCCGAAAACTTGATCAACAAGAAATTATTTCTAACTATTTTAATTAGCAAGATCTTGCCGAGCCATAAATGTGGAACTTTGCAAATCACTAATGAAAGTACTAATAATAAAACTACTGACACCAATACTAATATCGTCAATTCTACCAGTGCTACGAATACTAATACCAATGCTAATAAGAAGAGTATTGGCAACAGCAGTAATAAAATGAATCATACCAAGAGTTCTAATTCAAAAGATATAAATGATAATGTCATCGGTGGCGATGATAACCATGCTGCTTGCTTCAATAAGAGTTGTGATAAGATTACCTCCTCCAACGCGTCAGGAAGCAATCCCCAGACCTGTGATGTGGATAACAGAAATTTCTATCAAACCTATATATTATTGACGGTATTTATAAAGGGTTTAATGGGACACATTGTAAAGAACTTCATTATGGAAAACTATTACTCCAAAAATCAGACTGCTGAAGATTTGTCCAGTAATGATATTGATGATAGATTATTTTACACTAATTTGTTGAGACAGTTGATTGAAAATTTGATTCTCAAGTACGATTTTATTCACAAATGCTTTACACCGGAAATTGTTTTGGCAAATAATGGCCTGGTAGCGACAACAAAGAATATCAATAGTGATACAAAGCCAACCTCAAATAACTCCGTTGCAAGTAGTTCAAATACTCCTCTAAGCGCCTATAGTAAAGCAGGCATGACTCCAATTCATCCTGTTAGTGCCACAGTCAAAACCCCAAGTTCGCTATTTTTCAATTCTAGTAATAATAATGGTGCACTCCTGAGTCCCTACGGTTTGAATTCTATCAACTCGCCATTCCAGTATACTTTTGCAAACAATTATCCTGATGCTGAAAAAAATAACTCTATTTCCGCTGAGAAAGATAGAAATTCTGGGTCCATCCTTGATTCTAACGATGAGCTGATGATTAAGTTGCATCAATTGGTTAAAAAATTGAGAAAAGTAATACTCGTGAGTATCAAGGTAATATTGATGAATTTGTTTGTATTGAACAATGGTGAATTATTCATTTTACCTAAAAAGAATTGGAGCTTATTAAAGAAGATTTTGTTGACTTATAATATTTTGAATACGAAACAAAATTTTGAAAACTTAATCATTCTGTCAAACCATGAAACGAAAAAACCCAATGATGACGATGGTAATAATAAGGATTGTTTTGATGGTGTTGCTCTGGGCTCAGAGGCTTCATCAACATTCGCTAACAGTCCAAATCCAAGACTAAATGAGAAGACAAAACAAAAGAATGGTATAATTATGAGCAATGCGGGAACCCCAACATCAGGAAATATTGGTAGCACTCAAAATGTCATTAATTCAAGTAACATACTCATTGATCAAGAACTTTACAGCGCTAACTGTCAAGAAAAGGTTAGCGATGACTTGGATCCAACTAATAGCACAATTATCACGGACAGCAACTCCATTTTAAAGCATGGTATAAACTTTGATATTTCACATGCTCAAGAGAATTTCATTATTCAAAATAATTCCAGAATCGTATTGAAAAAACAATTCGAGGTCATCAGTAGTCGAAATGATGCATTATTCAACAACATTTCCAATTCATTCAAAGACTTGTACAATTTTGAAAAAAAAGCCTTGTTGATGTTGAATAATGAAACCTCACTTAATGGAAAAGAGAATTTTAGTGATACCAATAGAAAGGGATTAACTTCTAACGCAATGTTAAAAGATGGTGAATCAAATACCAAAAGGCTTCCTGGTCTTTTCATTATCAAACCACTGAATTCCAAATCAATTTGCAACGCCAATAATGTATATCTAAAAATTGTGAACCTGTTGTTTTACCTTTTGAATTATGATTTTTTCTACTTAGTGGATTTGAAAAGTGTCAAATCTGTCAACGGTAATCTTAAAAGAAGTTTTTCCATCACTTCCAACAATAGCAATGCCTCAACACCGGTTTCAAAGAGACCTCCGATGATATTAAACCCAAAAAATTACAAAGCTGCTGTTAATGAAGCAGCAACTTCAGTAAATCCTGGTTTCGGAAACCCAGTTGCTGAGTCTAGTATGCTAGAGTCTGTTGAATTGAATTCTTTCACAGAAAAAATTGATGAGCTAATATCCTTAGTGTTTTATGATTTTAAGCAAATCACAAGCATTATGAGCAGAAATGGCTCGAATGCGAGTGCCACCCCAAAATTAGGTTCTATGGGTAATAATATTAATTGTCAAGAAACTGAAACAAAATTCAATTCCAACTCTGATGACGCTGTGTTAAAGGATATTAGGAAAAGATTGCATATCTTGCTAAAATTCTCTGTGGTTAATCTATCAAAGGAAGCAATTTCTCAGCTGCTCGATATTTTTGACACAAACACCGAGGCTTATGATGATTATGTTGCCGGCAATATGAAGCGAACCAAAGACTTCAAGAAAGTTTACTTAGTCATTTACATTATTAAGCAATCGATTAACAAGTTCAAGCTGGTCTTGGCTGTGCAATATAATGGCAATAATAACGTTTCCAATGAAGGAAACACTAATTCTGGAATGGATGGTGCATTGAACAAACCATCGCCGAGCAGTCTTTATCCTAGCAACTCATCTGCTATAGTCGAAAATGAAGATAACTCCCCGACAATTTCATCGACAACAAATGATCCCAACATTATCAAGCTTGTGAAAAAACAGGCTAGTAATAACTTCAAGGCTTTCTTGCAAAATGAAATTCTTCAATTCATCTTTCACATCAATAATAATTATGCCTTCTTCAAAAATATAACAGACATGGATAATGGTAAATCAAGCCCAAAAATGAAAAGTGAAAATAGCAATCCAGGCCATGATGATGAAAATTTTTTCATTGTCTTGCAATCAATCATGGGGGAAACCAACGCAGTTGACAATAATATCACCATGATTGGTGCCGAATTAATAGAAAAGCTCGTGAATATTAGAGTAAAGAATTCTGAAAATAATTCAAAAATAATTACAAATTCTGTGGAGAATTATATGCTATCTTTGAGTACTGTCAATTTGGAACCATTGTTTTATCTAATTCTGTCGTTATTTGATTCTAAATTGCTTTCTCTTACCACATACATTAGAAAGTTGATTTCTTCAGGGATTTTGTATTTGAAAAGTTTGAAAAGTTACTACGACTTGAATTTACTACAGTATTTGATCTTGAGAAATGTCGGCAATAAAATCAATGCCAATGGAACCATAAATAACAATAACAACATTCAACTCAACTTAATCTTGAAAAATTTGAAAGATAATTTAGTATACTATATCAATCACCAACCACAAGAAAACTCCAATTCAAAGTTTGGCGGTTTGTTAAATATAAATGATAGATTGTTGGTTGAGGAATTATTCAAGAATATTGATGAACCAACGAGCTCATTGATCATTTCAAAGATTGAGACTGGCAAGAAATTGCTCACTGAGAAGGTCATCAATAGTTTTTTTGATGAAGGAAATGATCATTTGACTACTGAACTTATTGAATTGAAAAGCTTGTTTAACATGGAGGTCGCAATCAAAAACCACTTGGCGAATTGGCTATATTATCAATTTCAACAAAGATTATTGAATAATGGAGATAAAGAGAATCTTTTATTGACGGTTTCCAAATTATCTATTACAATGGGGGCCTTTTCCAAGTTAAATAAATTGGATTATTTTTTCAACATTATCAGAATCATTTTAACTATCAATATCAATAGCGATTTTGCATTGTCTGGGATTAGTCCTTCTGCTAGCGGAAATTTTTTGGTGAGCAACACTTTGAAAGAAATTACCTTTGGATACCATGAATTGTATTATATTTTGAACATCATCTGGTATAATCATGATATGATAAACTATTTAACTGATTACTTGGACATCAAGATTCATTTCGAATCCAAGTACTCTTTAATCATCAAATCAATTAAATTGAAGCCAGGAAGCTCAGTTAAAGAATATTCAAATATTTGCCTAAAAACTGTTGACTTTTTGAAATTGGTGGTTAACAACTACTTAAAATTGAATGATATTGCAACTAATTTATACGGGGGGTATTCAAATTCTCCTGACAATGCTAGTGATTTCAAGCTTGATACATCAATGCGGATGGTCAATTCTTTTGATTTTATCAAATTTTGGAAATATTTTTACAATGGCCTTGATAACTATGAATCACATTTGAAAAGAGAAAGTGATAATCATGGTGGTGGCAATTCCAATGTGCTTGGCAACAAAGTTGCGGTCTCCGGATTTGAAAATTCAACTTTGAATAATGTTAAGAATCAATTGGCTTATCTCACAACAGAACCGCTCTTCTATTTTTCTCTGGTGGAGCAATCTTCTCAATTATCAGAGTTCCATAAGCTTATTTTGCAGGTCTTAAAGAATTGTGACTTGGAGATAGATGTGGAAAGTTTTTTCAATACTGAGGAAATTATCAATGTCTTTCAAAAGTTAATGGAAGCATTTGTCAACTTCGCAGTTCAATCTAATATTGATAATAGAAAAGTTATCAAGATGGCAAAGCTTTTATTATTATTAAGGAAATCTAATGCCCAGAAATTTGATTTTTTGACTGCAAAATATGTCCATAAAAAAGCCTTGGACATAACTGAAGAGAATTACTTTACAATTGTCAAGATCTTTTACCATTTGATCATTCATGAATTAATAGATTTCAAGGGTCTTTTTGAATCATTATTAAAAGCCAATGTGGATGAGAAGACTGAGAACCAGAATAAGAAAGACGACAAAAATATTAAATTGGGTAAAAATGATAAAACCCATCCTAAACAAAAATTGAATGTCGATACCAGTGATCAAAAATTTGTTAGTGGAAAAGGCTTTGAATTGTCGAGTAGTTTTAAATCTATGGTTAATCACAAAAATTCCAAGATATTGTGCAATCTTTTTTACGATATTTTGAATGATGAAAAACAATGCATTAGTTTATTATCGCAAGATTATGATTATCAAATGCTACAAATCAGAAAAGAATTTTTTAAGTCTGAGAATTTGGACGATTTTTATGAATTGATGCTATTGGTTTTATTTAATGAAGATCACAAAGAGTTGTTAATTTCTAAATCATCATACAAGGAAAAGTGCTTAGAATTTTTTGTGGGCGCTAGCGAGAAACATTTAGATTTAATTACTGAGAAGATCATTTATAGCAACCTGGTTGATAATGAGGAGTTATTTGGTATTTGCAAGACAATTTTATATTGCTCTATTAATGAGATTGATGATTCTAAAATGGTATATGATAAGGAGGATCTCTATAAGATTATGAATGTTGTCAACGAAAAGAATTTGCCTATTTGTCAATTGATAATTTCGATTGCTTTTAATTTGGAAGCAAAAAGATTAAATAATCATGTGGAAGAAATTAGAAGCTTTGTGAGACAGGTGTTATTGAAATTTTTGACATATTGCTTTGCTTACAATATTGCAAAAAAGCCGTGTGCTTGTATAGCCGTAGTTGGCGATTTATTTCTTTGCTTGAGGGATGACTTGAAGTTGATCATGTTGAATGAGGTGGAGGTTTTGTTTTTAAGGTCACATAGTTTCCCCAAACTCAGTTTGATAACCGACTCTCATGGGGTTTTTTTCAATAATAACTATCCAGATTTTGGTGACAACAAACAGGGGCTATCTTTGGTCAACAAGTACAATAATTTTGTTCCTTATGTTGCCGTCATTATTGACTCAATTTCTAGAAGCTTGAGCACAATGAGTGGGATTCCGATTGCTAATGAGATTTTTACACAATCTTTAGCAATATCTTTGGAAAAAATACTAAAATTCTTATTTCATTATCAACAGCATCATAAAGGCGGGAACCATTATACTACAACTCAAGAAGGCACTGTCAGTAAAAGCATATATGTATTTCTCAAGATCTTGTCGCTTCATAAAGTTTCCATTATCCATTTATTGAACAACAGACATCCGATCATGAATGAAAAATTCGTTGGTAATTTGGTGATATTATTGAAAACCAAGTTTTTCATCAAGCATAAGCAACTTCGAAATATTTTGTATGATTTCTTGTTTTCTGTCAAGTCTAACTTAAACGAATTGAATAGGTTGAGGACTGCGTCGATACGTGCCCACCTGCAACAACCACAGAACCCCCACAATCCTACGAATATCAATTTTGTTTTGCCGAAGCTTAATTATGACAATTTAAATGTCGAATTGACCAAAGGGTTGTTGCTTTATCTCAATGACAATGATGAGCTTATTTCGCAAAGTAATGATAAACTCTACAACGATTTGATTTTACACGATAAGACCGCAGAAAAGTACTATGATTTGTCACTAAAACCGTTTGATTTTTTGGAAGATTCTAATCCAATTGTCAACATCAATGATAGTTCCATTAACTTGAAGTATTTTGGAGCCACAATTGATCGCAAAAACCCTGCATGAAGATCATGACTTTTTTTTTCATTATTATTATATATTTATTTCATTTTATTTGGTTCATTTTATTTTAACTGGCTTTACTGCACTTTAGTTTATTTAGTTTCATGACGATTATTAGAAATAAACGACCTGTATGATCTCATCTTCTATCTTCTTGGGTTAGACGAGTAGAAACACCATGGTGGTTTCGTACCGTTTACCGTGGAGGTTATGGTTATCTGTCGGTGGGGCCGTCTTAGCAACTTCCTAATCAGACCGTAGGGTGTCCTGCACCCCACATAGTTACGTAGCGGGTGTTATCGCTGGGCATCCCGATGACTGGTATTTATTGCCACCACTCCCCCAGCCTCATCTCCAATTGCCCCCCTGCTTCCTCCAAAACGACAATCATCACCATCACAATCTTTTGAATTCTTTTTCAATGGGTAACAACGCCTCAACTCATACTTCTTCTTATTCCGCTCGCCGTGTTCCTCCACCTTCGGAGAGCACTGACTCTTTCAACGAGAAGGAGTACCTCCAAAATGAAGACTTGGTCAACCGTCTTCAAACTCACTTGAACCTTGATGATTATGCCAGAAACCAAGGTCCATCGACCTTCAAAGACTTGCCTAATCCAATTGTTGCGGAAAACATCAACAGCTGGGAATCTGATATCTTGTCGACTCCAAAGAACTTGTTTGCCATGAATGCCTTCACCAAGAACGAACCAAAGAAGTTGTTGACCAAGAGATCCAGTAACATCAAGGATAACGAAAACATTTTCAACTTGAAGGTGGATTTCGAAGGGAACCCAGTGACTAACCAAAAATCCTCTGGTCGTTGTTGGTTGTTTGCCAGTACCAATATCTTCCGTATTCCGGTCCAAAAGAAGTTCAACATTAGCGACTTCCAATTATCCCAACAATACTTGTTTTTCTACGATAAGTTGGAAAAATCCAACCAGTTCTTGACCAATATCATTGACACCGCCGAGGACGATTTGGACGCCAGAGTGGTTTCCACATTATTTGCCGACCCAATCAGTGACGGCGGTCAATGGACAATGGTGGTGAACTTGATTGAAAAATACGGGATTGTTCCAAATACCGTTTTCCCAGATGCTTACTCTGCTACCAGCAGTGGTACTTTGAACCTTGTGTTGGTGAACAAATTGAAGCAAGATGCTTTGGTGTTGAGAAAGTTAGTCACCAATAAAAGAACTTCAAAAGAAGAGATTTTGGAATTGAAGGAAAAATACCTCAAAGAGGTTTACAAAGTTTTGACTTTGACTTTGGGAGTGCCACCAAAGGCCGATGAATCCTTCAGTTGGGAATTCGTTGATAAATTCGACAATTTCCACAGGATTGATGTTACTCCAGTGGAGTTCTTCAAGAAGTTTGTTGGCTGGGATTTGAAAAACTATGTTTCATTGATCCATGACCCAAGAAACGAATATTACAAGCTTTATTCTGTCGACAAGTTGAACAACGTTGTTGGTGGCGAACCAGTATTATACATCAACGTGCCACTTGATGACATGAAGGAGGCAGTTATCAAGAACTTGAAGAACAACCAAGCAGTGTTCTTTGGTTCTGATGTTGGCAAATTCTTTTCTGGTGAAGAAGGTATTTTGGACTTAGATAACCATGATTACGAGCTTGGTTTTGACATCCAATTGAAATTATCCAAGGCTGAAAGATTGAGAACTCACACTTCCCAAATGACCCATGCTATGGTAATCACCGGTGTTCATATGCAAGATGGTAAACCAGTTAGATGGAGAGTCGAGAACTCTTGGGGTAAAGATTCTGGTAAAGATGGGTACTTGGTAATGACCGACTCTTGGTTCGATGAATATGTTTACCAAGCCGTTACTGACTTGAGCCATGTTGACAAGAAGATTGAAACCATTTACAAGGGAGAAATTTTCAAGACTTTTAACTTGTGGGATCCTATGGGTTCTTTGGCCTAATCTCTAGATTCATTAGAGAATACTTTTTTTTTTACAATAAAATTTGATTCCTGTTTTTTGTTTTTCTACCAGTTCTACTGCTTGGGGTTTGCTTTTTTTTTTTTTTTTCTTTTATTATGATCATGAACAAATCTTTTTTTTTTTCCTTTTATTAGTCGGTTTTTTTATACATTTAGTTTTTATTTTCTACAGAATTAGCTCACTATTGGTGAGGATAAAATGGAAAGAATGATGTTCTTTTTTCTTTTTCTTGTCTGACGCTTGTTTAATGTTTAAGCCTTCTCGCAGATCTGTAAAATACCATGATTGAGCCTGGTGAGAGAATAAGGAAATAAGGGAGTATTGTTTCGTGGTTTCCAGACAATGAAGGATTCAGCGCCACAGGAAATCTGGCCAATCACTGAACTTCGGCACTGAACTCTAAAGTCTTCGTGTCTCAGCTGTGTTTTGAGACTATATGATATAAGTATCAATGCTACTTTTCCAGTAGATAATAGCATTCGTATATACTATTGTCTGCAATGCCCATGAATAAATATCCCTTCATCCTGAAAACAGTCGGTTGGAATGTGTGGATACTTCACTTAATGAACCGCTAATTAAGATTTCGCCCGTTTTTTCCTTTTTTTTGAGTTTTTCTTTTCTGTGTGTCAGTCCCGGTATGTGCAGTACCTTGCAGTGCAATCACTTCTCCACTGTTTCCTGATCCCTTGGACAGTAATAGTATATAAACCACAAACTTTTCTCCAATTTCTTCCAGCTTTTCATTTCATTTCTGTTTCCGATCTGTAGACACAATCAATCCAACTTTCGTCACTCCTTGACCAGCAAATACTACATTAACTAACTTATAGTCATTCCTTACAAACTTTAGTTACCAACCCTTTCTTACTATACCCCTACCACTTTTGTACCATACTATACCACCTATATTTTATCTGTTCCACTTGAAAACTGAATCGAAATTAAAAAAAAAAAATTGAAAAATGAAGTTCTCTATTATTTTATCCATCTTGGCCTCCACTTCCATGGGCTCTGTCTTGCATCATCGTCATGTCAAACGTAATGATATCGTCAATGGTGCAGTTGTCCAAGTCGTTTACGACGAGGAGGTCACCTATTACATCAAGAAGGGACCTCAAACCACTGCCACTGAAGCCGTCGGTACCCACTCTTCTTTCTTCACCACTACTTATGGTAGTGCTTCTTCGTTCACCACTTCTACTTCTACCACCACTGATGCTACCTCAATTCTTGAACCTTCTAGCACTGTGGAATTGTCTTCTAGTACTTTTACTTCCTCTTCTGATGCCACTTCTTCTTCTTCTTCTACTATTTCCTCTTCTGCTACTATTTCCTCTTCTGATGCCACCTCTTCTTCTTCTTCTTCTTCTTCTGATGCCACCACTTTTTCTACTGCTACTTCTGTTTCTTCCTCCTTCTCCACTGAGATCACATCTGCCTCTACCGTTGAGCCAACCAGCTTCTCTTCTAGCTATGTTTCAACTTCTTCATCTGCAGAAACCACTACCACCACCAGCGCTTCCTCTTCTTCCTCTTCCTCTTCTTCCTCTACTGTTTCAACTACATCTACTGAATCCACCACCAGCTCATCTTCGTCTGCCACCAGCTCCGTCACCGTCGATACCACTTCCAACGATTACGGGTCATCTTTCAACAAGGACATTCTTTATGAACACAACGCCAAGCGTGCCTTGCATGGTGTCCCTGATCTCACTTGGAACGACACCCTCGCCACTTATGCCCAAAACTATGCTGATGAATACACCTGTCCATCCGATGGTTCTTTAGTCCATAGTGGTGGTCCATACGGTGAGAACTTGGCTTCCGGTTACGCTTCTTCCTTTGCGGTGGTTGATGCCTGGTACGCGGAAATCAAGGACTATGATTTCGCTACCGCTGGTACCGATGGTTTCAGTGAATCCACTGGTCATTTCTCCCAAGTTGTTTGGAAAGATACCACTGATTTGGGTTGCGGTTACAAGAAGTGCGGCACCTCCTTTGGCTATTATGTTATTTGCTCTTACTACACTGCAGGTAACGTCATTGGTGAAGATTGGACCGAAGAAGTTCCTGCTCTTTTATGATTGGTCTCCTCGAGGCTTTTTTTTCTTTCTTTTTTTTTTTTTAAGATGAGTTAATTAAAGCATATAAACATATTAAACGCATATATGAATGATTTATCTCTATCTTCAATTGGTTTTCCTCCTATTTTGTAGAAAATATGCTTATTATAGCGCGTGTGCGTGCACGCGTTGGAAAAGTAAATTTCCTCATGCATGTTGTTGTTCCGTGGCCACCCACTCATGCAGCAGCTTCTTTAACTAAAAACAGGCATGGAAACTGGAACAGATATATTGATGGAACATCAATGAGCATAACAAAACATGGAAATAAAAAAAATAAAAAACGATGCCTAGAATGATATTTAAGAGAACTGAAAGATACAAAAAAAAAACAAGTTCAGCAAATAACAAGAAAAAATAAAAAGATAAAAGTATGGGAGTCCCCACTATCTCATGAAATAAAAAATCTTTTTTTTTATACAGCTCTAATGAACAATGGTTCTCTTTGGGTATGTTGTAAATCCACACTATTATTGGAATCAAATATTTGTTCATCGAAAATTGCACCCCATTCGTATTCACCCTTATCCAAGATGACCACCCCCAAGTCAAAGTCTTTACTTTCACCAGGTAAGATTCCCTCTTGGCCAATATTGAGCTGAAGAACCCCATTGTACAAGATTTTCCGGTCTATTGGTCCGTGGTTGTTCAGAATTGGAACATGGCGAATGAAACCTTGCAACACATAATTGCTACGGTTAATAATCTTAGTTCTGATCGTCGCGAATTGCTCAGTCGACACTTCCCAATAAAGACCATTGTTCTTGATGTTTTGATGATCGTTCAAAATTTGCATTTCGATCCCAATTTTCTCAATTCTAAGAACACTCACCATCCGTTGCGACAATCTAATGCCTCGTAATTCAATGTCACCTTGACGTTTACTTCCTTCTTCCACCCAGTCACCCTTGATGTGTCTAAGTAATTCCTTTCTGTACCAGAAGGCTTCACGGATGTACTTGAATTCTTCCTTGGTGTACTTATTATCTTGAACAATAAATTGCTTGTTTCTCAAACTAGGAATAGATCTTTCCAAATATTCATTGGAAAACTCAATCCGCTTAATTGGCAAAATGAATCTTTCAGTGTGTCCTGGGGCAATGGTTTCACTGATACTGTAGAAATCATCATCATCATCATCATTGGAAGCCCCCATTCCTTTATCATCAGCCTCATCTAACACAAAATCACTGGACTTTAATGTCACTTTGAATTTTTGATTCCAAGAGTTACGCAAGTCAACAACCAATAAACAATAATCACTGACTTTGTTATTGGTTTTCTTATTCAAATATGCCCAAATATTCTTTTGTTCTAATGCAAATTCTTTCATATTTTGTACAGCCTTGCTCAGTTCACTCTGAATCACATTAATTTTGTCCTCATTTAATTCCTTAACATTATTGAATAATGGAATCAAATCACAACCTGCCAATTCAATACTTGGAGAAACCGTGACACTGATAGGAATACTAATTCTTCTGAAAAAATTAGAGAATTGTTGCGCACTCTTTTCATCTTCCGAAACATCCTTATTATTTGGATCAACGCTATGTTGATTCCCATAGTCCAAAATAATATGGGCATCACGCATACCACGTTTACCTCTTATGTCAAAGTTCAAATTCAAGTAGTCCAAAGGCTTAATGAACTTCAACTTGTTGATCTCCGATTTTTGGATCTTCAAAGGCTTCCGCTTCAATAAATAGTATTCAATTTCATAAATTTCATTGATCGGTAAATCCTTGGATTGCAAAGCTTTGGTTAATGGTTCGATTGTGGAATCAAGGAAGCTAAATGCCAAATAATTGATTTTAATGTTTGACAAATTTTTCAATACAATCTTGAATGAGGATTTTTCACCTTCTAACAACATAATCCATCCATTATTCAATGATAAATCAATGAGTGACAAGATCGGTTGTGGGGTGATAACCACCAAATTCAAGTTCTTGAACTCAACACGGTTAGCAATTTTCGCACTTGATTCATCGCCATTGACACCGGTGTTATTCGATAATGGTGAAAGTTTAGATTTATTCGACGGTAAATTTGCCTCAATACCAACTTTTTTGATTTTTTCCAACACTTCATATTTTTCTTTATGAATGATTTTGAATAGTTGACGCTCACAATTATTGACCTTCATTTCAGCACCAATGATTTTCAATTCACCATAATTCAATGGTCTAACAGCAATTCTCAAAGTGGTGACAGAATCAGCATTGATTGTGAATTGGTTTTGGTTGTTATTCACCAAAGTCTCTAACTCAAGTTCTTCGTTGGCTTTAATTGCAATTTCACTTAGCTCAATGTCAAATTCAAAGGGATTTTGAACCTTAACCAAAACTGTAAAAATTTCATCTTGAACAAGAACAATTCCTTCGTCATCAAAGTTGTCCTCTACCACATCCTCATATTCTTCTTCTTCATCACTATCAACGTTATCACCATCATTGCTTGTAGTGGCCGTACCATCTTCTTCGTAATCTCCTCCTTCCTCATTCTCTTCTTTGATGGAGCCAGTAAGACTGGCAATGCTTGTATCAGCGTCCACATCAATCACTTTACTCGCCCTTCTGCTTTTTGGTTTCAAACCAAGCCCAGAGGAAGACAATCTTTTTGAGCTTTTTCTTTGTAGTTTGGCCCGATTTCTTTTATTTTCTTCAAATGGGTTATAAATCACTGCACTGCTCATGACTTTATCAACATTGGTCACGGAGGATGATTCTTTGCCCAATGGCTTCTTATCAGTTTCAATGGTAGTATTGCTTCCGGCTGGTAGCTCCTTTAATTTAATAGGCATCAAAGTTTCATCAAATTCATTCAATAAGGTGATATCTCTCACCAAGAATGGATCCCAATAATAGCATGGTATCACTTGATTGACATTCTTGGCCTTTTGTTGAGTTTCTCCGATTAATGAAAACAATGAAATTTGCTCTTGTTTGGTCAATGCATTGATATACTTTGATAATAATATGCTAGAAAAGAAAACAATTCCTCTAAAATCAATTATTGATTTACAAATATCAATACACAAATTCAACACTGATTTATGAATTTGGAACCATGGGGCCCTTTTGAAGTTGTTAGTAGAATTCTTTGGGGAGCTTCCAATTCCATAAATTAATAATAGATTGTTTAACAACTTATGAAGCAGTTCATTGTTGTTTCTACCGGCTGATGATCCTGAGTCAACATCGTTCAATAATTTAGTGTTCAATTCCACTTGGGTTTGTAGCTGTTGATTTTTTTCAAAAATTTCTGCTGATCTGGAGATCAATTCATCGTCTTCATCTTGATCTTCGGTATTTCTAGATTCACTGACAGCTTGGCTCTTAGTCAATTCAGGGATCAATTTCAAAAATAATGTTCGGAGAATAAACGTTTTCTTTCTATAAAGTTCCAAATCATCATAGACACTCGCCAATGAACAGTATATTTTGCATTGGGAATTCAAACTCATATTCTTTAATTGAACCTTGAATAATTTATTGGAAAATGTAAAAATGTCCATTTTGGAAAAGAAAAATTCGTTAATCTTCTTTTCAGGAATAGGAGTGCCCATAACAATATGATCAATAACATAAGAATTAAAACCATTACCAACATGTATTATTGTCATGAATTTAAGAAATCTTATGATAGTTTCACAGTAAACTATCTGGGGAACATAATCTTCATGATTGGTGAAAGTCAAAGAGTAATAAAATAGTAATTTGTTGGTCAATTGGTCAATGATTTCTGGAATTTGAAGATTCAATTTATCGATTGAAACTAACTTGGACCCGCCCAAATTAGAACTTGAACCGGTATTGGTCTGGGAATTGGCCTGACCACTAATGTTATTCATGGTGCTAGATCTTGATAAAGAATTTCTTGGCGAAGCATCAGGAGTGTTTTTGGAAGAAGAGTTTTTTTCCTTAGAATTTATAAACTTCAACAATGATTGGGGTAATTGATATGGAACATTAAGATGTGTCAATAAGGTCAAGCAAATACCAATGTACTCGAGACAACTTGCCAACCATAAATAATCACTTGAAGACTTCAATAATAATATAGCATCACCAAACTCTCTGAGAGCATCACTATATCTCCCTGCTAGTAAATAAAAGTTACCTAATATTTTTATGTGTCTACCTTTATTCTTTGTATCCTTAATTTTCTCGGTACCCTTTGATCCCGATGATTTTTTCACGGCATCAGTGGTAGAGATTTCGGTATTCTCATAAGCGCTGGTGTGATCGGTGATAGTGATCTTCAAGACATCATTAGAATTGATAGACCCAGGTGATCTTAAAGTGACGTGTTGGAAAGATTGGGCGTAAGAGTTCAACGCATTAAGGAAATTGGAAGTGATATCGCACATTATAGGGTATTCTGAAGCATTATTGTTGGAAGATTTCTGGATGTGGAAAATATTATTTGCTTCTGGATTGATCAAATCTTTATTTTCGGAGTCAAACACCACAATATTGTGAACAATGGAGTATTTAAACACTTTCTTCAAATTCTTCAAGTGTAAATTCAATTTGCTTAACGTTAAGCCATCGGAATATTTGATGAAACCCACCACCACAAATATCTTTCTGAATGGTTCAAAATCTTGCAAGAATATTTCCTGATTATCGATCTGTGCTAGCTGATGATCATATAAAACACTCCCAAGAGGAAATCCTTGAGGACTGAACTTGTTGACGGTATTTGCTTCGCTTCTTGGAGTGACATCTACTAATCTGACTTGGTGCTTATCCTTAAAGTTCTCAAAACATGCCAAAAATTGATCATTTGGCATGTCGGCAAGAGGCAAGAAAAGACTCTTTACCCTTGCCGGAGATGTATAGGAATATGGATCCATCACCATCTCTTATTGTTGCTGTAATCGCCGAGGGGAGAATTCCTTTCTTTTGTCGTTTGAGATCAAATACAATTAATTAACAGGCTGTTCGGATCATCACTTTTTTTTTTTTTTGGTGAAAAAATGGTTGCGCAGCCCGTGCAGAAGGTTTTCCCATTGACCTTGAAAATCACCAATTTGCCGTCTTCTAACAGCAGCAGACCATGGAGGATCCCGGTGAGAATAGATTGTTATTTATCACATATAAAGATGGCTGGATTAAGCTTCGACAACTTCCAAAGAAATCAATACATTGCCTCCAAAGGGGTGGCCATGCCTAAGGCTACCTCCACAGGTACCACAATTGTTGGTTGCAAGTTCAACGGTGGCGTTGTGGTAAGTATCGGCTTGACAATCAGAGTGATCCTTTCAAAATGTATTTTTAGTTGAAAATTCAATGACAGTGGCTCATGGAAAGAGAAAAATGGAAATTGGTTATTCTTTTGCTTGTTTTTCTCTTTTTGATACTAACTGTTCGTTATTATAGATTGCTGCAGATACCAGAGCTACTGCTGGTCCAATTGTTGCTGACAAGAACTGTGAGAAATTGCACAAGCTTTCTCCAAAGATATGGTGTGCTGGTGCCGGTACTGCCGCTGACACTGAGATGGTGACACAATTAATAGGCTCGAATTTGGAGCTTCATTCACTTTATACCAATCGTGAACCAAGAGTGATAGCTTCTCTCACGTTATTGAAACAACATTTATTTAAATACCAGGGCCACATTGGTGCCTATTTGATTGTTGCCGGTGTTGATCCAACTGGAGCTCACTTGTTTTCTATCCACGCCCACGGGTCAACGGATGTTGGTCCTTACCAAACTTTGGGTTCTGGTTCTTTGGCCGCCATGTCGGTTATGGAAACTCAATGGAAAGAAAATATGACCAAAGAAGAGTGTATCAAATTGTGTGCCGACGCCATTGAAGCTGGTATTTGGAACGATTTGGGTTCTGGTTCTAACGTAGATGTTTGTGTCATGGAAGTTGGCAAAGATGCACAATTGTTGAGAAATTACATAACACCAAACATCAGAGAACAAAAGGCAAAGAGCTATAAGTTCAAGAAAGGCACTACTGCCATTTTGAGGGAAAGTATTTACAATCTTGTTGATGTGGAGGAAACTGAGATTCCCGTTCCAATGGAGGTAGACGCTTAAAGATGGAAGGTAAATTGTATTTTTGTTTTCTATTATTTTATCAAGTATTATTGGTTTATGTCTCTTTATTAATATAAATTTTTCAAAGGAATTAACAAAAAAAAAAAAAAAGGAATCATCTTATTGCAGGTAGCTGTGTAATTGTTGTGGGGGCTTTGTAATAATATCAGTTGCCATGAACTGGTAAGTTCACAAGCAGAGAAGTGGGCGTCGACTACAGTTTACAAATTTAAAAACAAATAAAGACTGTATAAAAATTGTATAAAATTAACCAACGTATATCATATCAAAGTTTTAAGAGCTAATACTGTTCCTTCAACAATACCATCGTGTTCAGCGGCGTGTACTCTGGCTTCATATTCCTCCAATGTTTCTCCTTTAATGACACTTAATTCCTTGACAAGTAATGGCTCACCCTTGTCAACTTCAGGAATTACTTTATGTATCATTATACCGGTCTTATCCACTTCTCCATCCTGGGCAGCCTTCCATGATCTTTCAATGGCATTGATCCCTTCGAATTGCCCCGGTAAAGCTGGGTGCAAGTTGATGATAGGGATGTTGTAAGGATGCAAATTTACAAGGAAATCCTTGGACAAAATCAACATCCACCCGGCACAAACGATCAAGCCTGGTGATTTGTGTCCTGATGAGAATGGAGTAGCAGCCACTGATTCCTGGGAGGCATATTTGTCTCCGAACAAAATAATATTCAAAAGATCTTGGTTAAACACCTCTCTGGCCTTGGCACGCTGCTTCTTTTTTTCTTCTGGAGAAACGTCGGCTGGAATCGACAGATAGTACGATTTCAAAGTATGTATTTTTGTAGGGATGTTGGCCTTTGCGGCTCTTTCAAGACCGTAGGCGGTTGGTGAAGATGAAATAACTAATGATATCTTGGCTTTAATAGTGCCCTCGGCGATAGCATCGATAAGAGCTTGCAAGTTCGAGCCATTTCCGGAAATCAACACGGTTATGTTAGCTAAAGCTTCTGAGGTTGCCATATTAGAGAATAGTGATAATGACAATAATAATGAGAGCGATGCCTTCAGTTAGGAAGTGACTCAATATTTCGCTTCATCTAAAAAAATTTCATGAAAAAAAATAAAAAGTTATGCACATGATTTGTGTAGCTTCTTCTTCGATCAACGATTGATAAAATTCAGGAAACAGTGTTCTTGGGAAATTAGAGACTGAAAGAACCGTTAAGAATATTCCTTGGTGTGTTTTTCCACTCTGTTGGTCTTTCGAGGCTCCTTCAATTTGAAATGTGTTACCAAATATGCGGTAATGTAATGAGTTTATTTAGCAAGCTTGACGAAAGTACATCATATATCTAAAGTAGAAGAATTGCTCTTGGTCACAAGCTTTTTGGTATTCCCCGGTGGAAATTCCTGAAAATTCTCCTTTGATTTCCTAATCTAATGAATGAAAGATATCAAAAGCCGAGCGTTTCCATTTCAGGAAGCCTGCTAAATATTGAAGAAAAAAAAATAAAAAAGAGCTTTCCTTTTAGCATTTTACTCATAAAGCCTTTTGGTTTGATCTGCCAGAATATTATATTTTTTCAGTTTTTGGTCTAATTCTCGCTAATAATATGTGGTAATCAAGTTTGTTGCCCTTTGGCATGCCCACTGATCTGTGGGTCTTTGATGGTGATTGCCGAACATCAGATATTTTTCTTGACGCTTTGGACGCACCAAAAAGAAGAAAACAGAGAGAATAGGGTGGTCGATAATTCTATAAGGTTTCTATATACACAATGCTATCATTTATTATATCGACTGATACATAATATTCAACACAAAAACTTATAATCTACGGTGGAAAACACTGTTGATGGTGATGATGGCATTCATTCGCTGCGCATACCACTTCGGCATGCATGGCATTCCTCGTGCTCTCAAAATGGAAGTTTATGGATTCAATGGCTTAGGAAAGGCCATAAAAATACCAGCATATTTGAGTGCTTTGGGAATTGAAGGTGAGGAGGGAAAAAAAAAGAAAAATAAGGTATAATACATAACATCCTCCCGCCACTTTTTTTCGCTCTTCAGAATTCTCCCGATATTTGTGTGCCTTTTAGTGTGATCAATATTATATCGATATACTACACCCTCACAGACCTCCTGTTCATTCTTTACTTCCGTCAAACACAAGGAGATCTAAGACATTCATTCGTTTTAATCAAATAGTCACACATTCAATCAATCAATCAATCAAGTTCCCTCACACATCATCAAAAAAACAAAAACAGGAAAAAAACTCCTTGAAAGCTGAATTATGATCAAAGCCCTTTGTTTGGTGTTATTACTCGCCTATTCTCCAGTTTCTGCGGAGAAGCATGATAAGAGATATTATATTAATGCAGCAGATTATGGTGCTACCACTTTGCCTGCGTACCTTACAACAGGTACCGATCAGTGGAACAAAGCTACCTTAACCACCATCAATTGGAACACTTGGGATAATACATGGGCTACTGCATCAACCTATGACACCACTCCAACTTGGGATACTACTTTAACTACTGCGACGTCTTGGACTTCAACTTCAACTTCATCTTCATCTTCATCTACTACTTCTTCAACTTCAACTTCATCTGCCACTTCTGATTCTAGCACCAAAAATACCGCTGAATCACAAGAGCAAAATAGCAAGGATTCCCGTAGAGCCAAGATTGTTGTCGGTGTGGTTTGTGGGATTGTTGGGTTTTTGGGTCTTTTGGCCGCAGTTCTTATGTTCCTTTGTTGGGCTCAAAGAAGAAAAGCCAAGCTCGATGATGAGAAAGATATCACCATCAAAGAGGTCGCTGGGGTTCCTAATTATTCTAATTCCAGATCCTTAGGTCCTGGTGCTGCTACTGGTGCTATTGGTGCTGGTGTATCTGGTGTAGCTGCCATTGAAGTTTTGGGTGATGATTACCATGGCAATGATGATATGGAAAGAATTGAAAGTCCAATTAATGATAATGCTAGTACCGTTACCGGAAGCTTTGCTTCTTTGTCTGAGAAATTGAAAGAAATCCAAGAGCAATACTCTAATGACGGTGATAATATAAGTACTTTCTCTACTCTTGATGGTGGTGATGATGACAGATACGATGATGTTGTTGGTGGTGCCGCCGATGTGGTAGTTACTGATGCTACAGGTAACAGATTATCACATGCTAGCTCTTCCTCTTCTTCCACTAACGGTTCTGACAGATCATCTATCAGCTCATACAGATCTTCTCTCAAGGAAGTGAGCCCTTCACTCAACAATCAAACCATGAGAACCATGTCCCCAAAGCAAACAACCTTTGCTGAAAATGTTACTTCCCAAAACTCTTCTGAAGCTCATGAATCTGATGACGAATTATATGGTGACAGAAAGCTTGATTCCTCCACCTCTTCTGATTATGAGGGAAGATTCAGTGCTGCTGATGCTGATGCTGTTGCTGCTGCCGTGCCAGCTGCCTCCAATACAGAAAAATTAAGTCCAATGATGCAACCAAGAACCAACTCTGAAAGTCCTGCAACCATTACTACTACTAGTACTTCTGTCCCAAGTGGTATTGACAGTGATGCAGCCAGTTTTGAACAGGATCAGAACTTCCCTAACAAGTACAATAATTTCGCTACTGAATTGTTGACCGCTAAAGCCGGCAAACCAAAGTTGGTGCTATTGAATAACCCAGGACAATCAGTATCTGAGCCATTGGAGCCTGCTACTGAAGAGGACGAAAGAAAAGAAAGCATTACCACCATAAAGGATGTTTCTGACAGTCCACAATCCAACTTATCCAAGAAGAGGGAATCACAATTTGATTTTGAATCTGGTGATGATGATGATGAAGATGAAGATGAAGAAGAACAAGAAAGAGAAAGAAAGCCATCGGAAGCAACTTTCTTTACTGAAACTGTGTGATCGCATTGCTTTTTCTGATCTAATAATGCCTTCTTTGATAGAGTAAAAGATCTTCTGCTGGTCAGAAGATTGCTCGTTCCTCAGTCGTGTATATTCTCACTTATGCATTGATTGTCATTACAATTGATATTTTTTTTTGCCTTCTACAACTATTTATTTATTTTTATTTTATATTTTATTTCCATCCTTTAATTCCATCTACTTCACTAAACTCTTTTGTTTATGTTGTTTCTATCATTATTTTTTTATTTCTTGCTCTTCTAAAACACTATAATTCTTTAGTATTGTCTTATTATTATATCCATTTCTTATATACTTTTATAGCTTCTTTTTTTTTTTCCTACTAATTCCATAATTAATCGTTATTCCTTATCATCTCTTGTTTTATTCTTCAAGTAGCATGCTCTAACTAACAATCGAGGGGTCTTCTTGTCATTTTGCCCCATCGGGATGCTCAATTGGCCCGTCCCCACGGTGTAAATCAGGGTACCCTTCACCAGAAAAAGTGCAAAAATTTACGTTGAAAAATTACAAGAAAAAAAAAATGCCATCCCCAATAGTCAGTCAGGTAATAATATATACATCATATTAGAATATCCCACCACACCAAAGAAAAAACCACATAATATTTAAAAATGGTCAAATTAACTCAAGTTGATGACGATGCCTCCGCTGCCGCTGCCGCCACTGAAGCCACCAGTGCCGCTACCTCCACCACCAGCGAAGAAACTCCAAAGACTGCCGAAGTTGAAGAAAACGACGAAGATTATGAAGACACTTCTGACTCCGACAGTGATGACGATGATGAAGAAGAAGACCTTAATGAGGAAACTCTTTATGAAAGAATTGTTGCCTTGAGAGAAATCATCCCTCCAACCCAAAGATCATTCATCAGCGACGCCGGCAGCAGCATCAAATCTTTTGCTTCTAGCAGTTTCCTCAATGTCGGAAACTTCTTGTGGATTGCCACCTCCAGTGCCTTATTGTTGGCTATCCCAACCTCCTTGGCTTTGCTATCAGAACACCAATTAGTTGAAATGGAAAACGAAATGAAATTACAACAAGAAAGTGCTAGCGTTCTTGCACCAGGCTCAGAAGGTGCTTTTGAACAACCTAAAGAAACTAAGGCTTAGAATACTCTCATTTCCTCACCCTTTTCTCTCTCTCTCTCTCTCTCTCTCTCTCTCTCTCTCTCTCTCTTTCTAGTGTTCTAATTTTTGTTTTGGTTGACCATGCTTGTTTTTATCATTAAATTATTCTTTTTCTTCTTATTATTATTATCATCATTATTTCCCACCATCCCTCCATCATAATGATTTTGTTATGACAAAATTAATGACTTGTTCTGTATATATTGCGAATATATTGTATCTATCCTAGTTATATTTGGAAATCTTTGTGTATGTGCAAATGGTCAAGAGAAAGAGCGGAATTCGAATTCAGTCACGTGTATGGGTTTCTCTGGACATGAGCCCCTACAAGAGGTTCATTGGAAAAAATCACCAACAAACTGAATGTGGATGGCAAATCCAGTTGATAGGTTTCTCAAACAGATTGTTTTGGGACCATCGATATTTTATTCTCATTGTTTTTTTCTTTTCTTTTTATAAAAGCTTTTCACAATTGATAGAGAAGGTACTGTCGGCGATTCAGACAAATAACAAATATTACATACAACCAGGATGGCAACAGCGACAACTCATTATGGTGGTATCAAGCCATTCTTCGTCCAAAAGATCCAAGATACTCAGTTGAAGATCGAGCAAAAGACACACAATTTACGCAGATTGGAGGCCGAAAGAAACATTCTTAATACGACTGTCAGATCTTTGAAAGATGAATTGAAGTTATTGCAAGAACCAAGCTCGTACGTCGGTGAAGTTGTGAAAGTCATGTCATCTAACCAAGTTTTGGTAAAGATCCATCCAGAAGGCAAATACGTCGTCAATATCTCTAGCACCATAAATATCAAGGATATCAAGCCATCTTTGAGAGTTTGTCTTAAATCAGATTCGTACACTTTACATCAAATTTTACCAAATAAAGTCGATCCATTGGTGTCATTAATGATGGTGGAAAAAGTCCCAGATTCCACCTATGACATGATTGGTGGTTTGGACAAGCAAATCAAAGAAATCAAAGAAGTTATTGAATTGCCAGTGAAGCATCCGGAATTGTTTGACTCTTTGGGTATCCAACAACCAAAAGGTGTGATCTTGTACGGGCCACCAGGAACTGGTAAGACTTTGTTGGCGAGAGCCGTCGCCCATCACACCGAATGTAAATTTATCAGAGTAAGTGGTTCGGAATTGGTGCAAAAATACATTGGTGAAGGGTCCAGAATGGTTAGAGAGTTATTTATAATGGCCAGAGAACACGCGCCATCCATTATCTTTATGGATGAAATCGATTCTATCGGTTCATCAAGAGTCGAAGGCGGTGGCTCAGGGGGTGGTGATTCCGAAGTCCAAAGAACTATGTTGGAATTGCTTAATCAATTGGATGGGTTTGAATCGTCAAAAAACATCAAGATAATAATGGCCACCAATAGATTGGATATTTTGGATCCAGCGTTGTTGCGTCCTGGTAGAATCGATAGAAAAATCGAATTCCCTCCACCGACCGTCACTGCCAGAACTGATATTTTGAAAATTCACTCAAGATCAATGAATTTGACCAGGGGAATAAACTTGAGAAAGATTGCGGAAAGAATGAATGGTTGTTCTGGTGCTGATGTTAAGGGTGTTTGTACCGAAGCCGGTATGTACGCTCTTAGAGAAAGAAGAATCCATGTTACTCAAGAAGATTTTGAATTAGCTGTGGCTAAAGTTATGGCAAGACATGATGATAATACTGCCGTCTCATTGGCTAAATTATTCAAGTAGTTTTTGGTTTTTGTATTATTACACTATCACCTTATATTTTTCTTTAGCAATATAGTATTTCTTCATTTTTGATCGCTTTTTTTTGTACTCCGATCATGATCTGTTCGATTGGTGACAATCAATCATTCCTGTTTTAATATGATATAAAAAAAGTCAAGGTAATAAAAAAATCGAAGCTGAAATAATAGTTGCAAAAAATTAAGGGCCGAGCAGGGAATTGAACCCTGGACCTCTCGCATACATGTGTATGTTGTACTCGAGTTTCAACTCGAGTTCGCTACCCAAAGCGAGAATCATACCACTAGACCACGCGGCCACTTTGTTTCCAAATGCGCTTCCACACTTTCTTATCCAGTGAATCATTATAAAACCCGCCGCGCTGGTATATACACATTCTTTGTTTCACCTTCTATTTACATAATTTGCACGGTTATTTTAGTTATTTCATTATGATAATTAACAGTTTCTCATTAAGAAGCCCATTATCATGATTTTTTTTTTTTTTATTATGTTTTTTACATATTATTTTTCAATTTATTGTTTACCCTCGATTACTGAACACACTCTATTTGGTTTTATTTGACTATATTTGATTTTTTTAGGATGAGTTTTTACTTTCTATTTCTATTTCTATTTTATTCTACTTGAACTTGCCATACCATGTCATTGAACAGATCATCTACTCTCTCGCCCTGGATCAACTACCTGACAAAGATCATCCTATTATAACCAATAGCTCAGTATCCCTATTTGTTAATATTTGTGTATTCTAAATATAAACTATGTATTTATTACTATATGATAAATTCAATAAGAATGCTTTATTTTTTGTTGGTTTTCTATTCATCGTCATTTATTTGCGTTGATTTCCTGGTTTTGTTCTTGTTAATTTTTCTTGAGTTTTGATGGCCATTGGATTGGACACAAGAGATTCATATTAGCGGAACCTATCCAGATCATTTAATTTCGCACTTGTATTAAGTATCGTTAGACTAAAAAAATTCCTAGGTGTCTCAAATCACAGTGCCTTTTTCTTCGATGATTGTTTATGATTATTGTTTTCATTGACGTTTTGCTTGAGGGAAAATTAAATAAAGAGTGGTAGAAACTACTAATCAATTTTATTATTCAATATATTTTGGGGAATGTAATCTATATCGCCAGTATTGTTCATCCTTTACTGAATTAATTACTTCTTATCAGATCTATTCTATAATTATATCTATCTCCTGATCTCTTATCTTATCCACGATCTCATTCTACCTTATTCCTTATCTCATTCCTTATCTTATAACCAATATTCTATATTAATTATCTATTTAAAGAGGTACTAAACAGCCTATTCGTTACATATTATTTTAATAAAAAATCAAGTTAATATTACAGGGAAGGTAACAGTATGATATGCAAAGGAAAGATGTACAACTCGCAAAATCCAATTCAAACCATCAACGGAAATCAGACAAGAGTTGTTACGTATTTATTGTGGATTCCTCTTATCATTCTCTTAAATAACTACAAATATTTCTGAATTTCTTGAACCAATTATCAAAGATATCTTTGTACGTGTGGTTTTTGTAAAAATGATGCCATGAACAGTCGCATTATATTATTAAAGATCAAATATCGGCAACAATATTCAAGATTTAGAATCATTTAAAATTTAATACACCTTCTTATCATTTTTGCCCGAAATTATAGTACTATTAATAATACTGCTCAATGATATGAGGAGCCTCTCACAAATATTGTAACTTCAACGTCATTCTTCATCACGGGGGTCCACAAAAAAAAAAAAATAAAATAAAAATAAATGAACCGATAACATCAAAATCAGGAGAAAGAGGTAAATTCCTATAGATATATTACCATAATTAAACAAACAAAGAAGAACAAGAATTGATCTTCTCGGGATTCGTGGACCCCTATATTTCAATCAAATATAATATTTATTCTCTTTTCTTGATAAGAGTACCACATAATGTCTAATATATCGCATAAACTATCAGAGCTATCACTGTTGATCGAGAGATCATATTCTATTCTTGAAGAACGGAAGAGAATGATACAGTTGGATATCAAACCGTCTATAGGGGATGACCAAGAGTTGACGAGTGGTTTGAACAAAATTGTTAAAAAACTAACGTATTTCGAGGATGATTTGATCGATTTAATCACCAGTAATGGTAAAAAGCTGCAATATCATAATGGATCAAAAAAGCTTGATACGTACAACAATAGTAATCTAATGGCAACCGTTAATCAGTTAACCATGGATTTCAATAACAGAGTTTCACAGTATGATAAACTTTTGGATAATATCGAGTTTTCGTTTGAAAAAGAAGAGATCAACCATGGGCATAACCATGGGGAGAGGATAATAAATATCGATGATTATCGATTCATTAAAAAACAATTACCAGAAGTGGCTCCTGTGGTGAAAACTGTGAGGTTTAAGGATAATCTAATTGAAGAAGAACAACCAGCTTCTTCATCAGATCTTCACAAACAACCGTATAAGGATGATGATGATGATGATGATGATGATTTGAATATGTTGAATTCGTCGATTGGTTCAGTGCATGTATCAACAGCAACCACTGTATCAGATGCTCAGGATTTGTCGGCCCATCAACATGATCAGATGAAAGCATCATTATTCCGTCCCTATTCTGACAATAACAATCCATCATCGATATCCAATGATAATAATAACAATAACGATGATGATAATGCTAGTACACCATCTAACCATCAAATGCTTATCCAGCAACAACAGAGTTTATTGCAGCAAGACGATGCTTTGGATTCCTTAAGCCAATCGATCCGCCGCCAGCGAGAAATGGGGCTTTCAATAAACGGCGAATTGGACGACCAAATGGTGATTCTTGATGATCTCGAGGCACAAATGAATACCTCTGAGAGACGATTGCATGACGCCAGGAAGAATTTGCATAAAGTTAATGTAAAGATGAAGGAACATGGTCATTGTTTTATCATCACCGTATTGGCGCTTATTTTATTTGTTTTGGTTGTTATTTTGTGAGAGTGAATCATTGTCTTATTATTGCTATTATTTGGTCATTATTGTGTTTGTTTTTTGGAAGAGTAAATTTTTAGATTTTACTAGCATTGCTTTGGAAAAAAAAAATTAATTGGATTAGGGAATAAATAGTTATAAATAATAAAAATTATAACGAAGTGTTTCATTTAGTAAAACAATTGTGAAGATGCGTATATATAGATTAAACATTTTAATAAATAAAAAAAAAAGGACAAAAGAATAATATAGTAGTAATTAATAATAAAAGACACAGTATAATTATAAGACATAATGTAGAAGAATTCAAATATTTTCATTGAAATCATAAATGAAAAAACACAAACCAATAAAAAAACACACACACGATGAATGAATAATATAGTGGCAAATGAAACAAAAGAGATAGGTCACAATATAACAAAACTGAGCCCCCTTGGGGGTTTTCTATCTTCACCTTTGTAAAGCCAAACTAAAAAAAAAAGGTGACAAAATTAAATTAAACAAAACAATTTCCATATTTTATGAAGCAGGTATCAAAAAAAGAATAAGTAATATTTCATAATCATATCATAATAATCGCAGCCCAAATAATCAAACAGACAAAAAAAAACAGAGAAAATATTATCCCTTGCTATCACATCAGATCCACCAATCAACAAGAGAGAGGGAGAGAGAGAGAGAGAGAGAGAGGGAGAAACAAAAAGAAAAAAAAAACAAAACAAGCAAACAAACAAACATAAAAACAAGTTTTGCAGAATCCAAGAAAATGATAATTAGAGGAATGTCACAAGAAAGAAGCAAAAAGAAAAGAATAAAACAGCAAACACAGACTAACTTTTATAGCACATTAAAGAAGAAAATTAACAGAACAAGAAAATATGAATGATACTTTTGTGTTTCCCCACCCCAAAGACAACAAAATAAAATTAAAAAAAGCATATCCAGAGAACGAAGTATTTCCAAATTGCGTAGAAAGAGATATGAGAATGCTTGAATCAATGTGCCTTTTTTTTGTATTCCCCCAATAATCAGAAAGGAAAAAACATCAGTACAAACGGTTGTTTCTATAGTTGTTGTGGTTGTTGACTGATCTAACCATATGATTATTGTTGAAGTCAAATCTTTTCTTGTTGTTATTGTTGTAACCGTGGCCGTACATTTGGTTTCCAGAAAACACATTATTAGAAGAAGGGTTGAAAGAAAGGGAGTTTGATTTCAAGTTTCTAGATTGATATTGATGAATATTGTTTTTGTTGTTGTTGTTGTTGTTGTTGTTGTTGTTGTTGTTCATTGAGGCCTGATTCAAATGATGAGTAGAAACATGGTAGTCATTTGAGGTGATGATATTATTGTTGAAGAAATGTTGCGGGGAGTATTGTGGTGGGTATCCTTGGGTGGCGGTAGTAGTAGTGTTTTTCATTGGAGTAGATAATTTGGAAACTTTGGTGATTGGAGACAAGTACAGCTTTTCTGGGTTGTTACGCAAACTGGCAAAAGAGTCGTAGTTTTTTTCTGGGGTAGTGGAGAAAGATGAGTTAGCGGAGATTGGAGTCGAAGATCTGGTCGATGACGAGTCCAAAAAGTCAGAAGCGGTGTTGTGAGCAACTGGACAAAACTCAATGTCGTCCTGGAAATTAAATGACTTAAAGGAGTCCAAGTTGTATCTGGCAATGAGCACTGTTTGAGATGTTAGTATTACTAGCTAATATATGTAGATATTGATAAAAGAGAACGTACCTGGCAGACTCTGCTTTGACTTCTGGAGGAGATCACCAGGCAAAGTTTTAGTTTTGATATCGAGCATGGCTTTAATATGAGTTCTTGTGATTAATTAGGTGGCGGATAGTTGATGATTTCTGTTCTTCCAGTGGTTTTGGTACCTTCAGTGGCGAAGAAGAAGAAAAAAATAATAAAGGAAAAAAAGTAAAAAAAAAAAAAATGAAAAAAAAAAAGTAAAAAAAAAAAAAAAAAAAGTAAAAAAATTTTCTGCAGAAAAGCGTTACATTGTGGAAACTTTCTTCTGAATATTGTTTAAGTACAAGAATATTTATTATTGCTATTGCTGTTGTTATTAGCATTGCGTACATTATCATCGTGATAATTATCACTAGTCTTTTGTAATGATTACCACCAGTCTTCCGTAACTAAAAAACCACTATTTACTCGATTTATCTATCCATCTATTTACCATTCATCGACTCTCCTCTTGTAGATATTTCACTGCGCCGTTGAAACGATCGATACTCTCTTGTTGTCCCAAGATATCAACCAAAACATCAATGCTAACCCCCGGATGACTTCCAGAAAGTGCAAACCTTAACACTTGGAAAAGTTCCTTCTTCTTCACTTCTATAGAACTGTACTCCCCAAGCTTGCTGGTGAAGCCTTCCAAAGTCTTTACCGAGGTCAAATAGTCACTGGCATCTTGTAAGATCTTGGTTACCCTCGTCGTGCTTTCACCAATATTTTGGACAAACTTTATAGCATCATTACCACCCAAGTCTGGCGATTCAAACAAATACTGGTACGTCTCCCCCAATAAATCATTTATCGTCGTCAAGTTTTTCCCCAAATGTTGCAAAATCTGTACTCCTTTCTCGTTCGTGATTGGAATACAACAACCGTTCGCATACTTTGAATTTAACCCGTCAACGAGTTGGCCGACACATTGTTGGAAAAATTCCGGATCAGACACCAATTTCTGGTGCAAATGGACCTTATTGAAATAATATAACTTCTTGTCATCAACCTTGGCATTGCCTTTGGTCAACTCGTTAATAGAGAAAATCTTTGACAAATCCTTCATACTGTAAATCTCTTTTGTTGGTTCTCCAGGAGTGGTTCTTTTCGGCGACCAGCCAAACAACACCGAGAAGTTCACCAACGCTTCTGGTAACACCCCTTTTGCCGCCAAAGACATCACATTGCTATCACCTGAGCGCTTACTCAACTTCTTGTCGCCAACTGTGGTCAACAATGGGATATGGATGAATTCTGGTTTATCCCATCCAAACGCATCGTACAACGCAATATGTTTTGGGGTCGATGCCAACCATTCTTCTCCACGAATAACATGAGTTATTTTCATCAAATGGTCGTCAATAACGTTAGCAAAATGATAAGTAGGCAAGCCATCACTCTTCATCAACACTGGGTCCTCGTATCTCACATCATTTGGATTGATTTGTGGTTGGAGATCGATTTGTCCGTGCAACAAATCAATGAATGGAGGATATTTGTGGGCGGGCGACTTAAATCTGATGACAAATGATTGATGTTGGCTCTTATCGTTTGATGCTTCTTCCGTTAAATGTGTACAATGTCTATCATAAGACACAGTGGTTGGTGGCACCAACTTCTTCGCACTTTCCGCAAGTTTATCCAATCGATCTTTAGAACAGAAACATCGATACGCCAATCCTTTGTCAATTAATTCATCGGCATATTTTCTATAGATGTGCGAACGTTCTGATTGCTTATAAGGCCCATATTCACCAACTTCTTTGATCACTTTCCCAGTACTACGATCGATTTCGATTGGACCCTCGTCCACTTTGACCCCGCACCATTGCAAAGTGTCCAAAATGTTGGCTTCTGCTCCTTGAACCAATCTTTTCTGATCAGTGTCCTCAATACGCAAAATGAATGTCCCGTTGGTCGACTTTGCCAATAAATAGTTGTACAATGCGGTTCTCAATGATCCCATGTGAAGGAACCCTGTAGGCGAAGGAGCAAACCGAGTTCTTGTAGGGAATCGTGGTTGGATATCATTTTTCTTTGACTTTTTCAGAGACTGAGTGTCTGTTGAGGAGGATTTATTCTTTGTATCTTTGAAAAGCTTTTTAGAAGATAAAAGCGAATACTGTTGTTTACCAATAATGGATAATATTTTCTTTCGAGAAAGAGTGCCCATCATTGACAATATCTGGGCATTAGGAAAATACATGGTTAATGGTATTGATATTTCTCCCTCCTTATCCTATTGTCTCCTTCCTACTCTCTATGTTGATGATCTTCTTCTTCATCATAATCACCCACTTTACAATTTTCCAGTTTTTTTCTTGCGGGTGTGTACAACCCCCCATGCTAGACACAGAAAGTAATTAGAAAACATCAAGAAAGTGGTAATTAAACATCTAAAAAAACATATTGAGGAAAAAAAAAGGTAAGAGTGGTTGATCTATTCAAGAAAAAACAAAAAGTACCGTCATAACGAGAAAAAAATATATATAAAGAAATAACACAATGTATTACGAAAAGGAGAAACCACATCACATATATCGAAACCACAGCCCATTCATTGTACTTTCATCCTCCCCCAAAATAACGTACATATTTATCATCAATCTTCGGTCTCAAAACTAAACACCCCAATGAACGGATCAACTTTTTCAGGCCTGCAACTTGGACATGGTCCTTGGAAAATGATATCGGGAACCTCGACTTCGATATCATCACGATTATTGTTATCTTCATCATTATTATTACCACCGCCTATATTTTCACTATTTCCTCCATCATTATTAGTAGTATTATTGATATTATTATTATTATTATTATTATTATTATTATTATTATTATTATTATTATTGTTATTATTATCATTATTATCATTATTATCATTATTATTATTGCCATCTTCTCTTTTGATAGAGTCAGCATCTCCTCCCACAGGAGACACGGATATGTCACGATCATATCCGTTATTATTCTTCACAGTCTCGTTAGTCAAACGATCCACTTTCCCTTCGTTCTTGAAAATACGAAAGAAATCTATTCTGAGCATGTTATTCTTATCGACAATCCCGTGGATCTTGAACTTCTTTCGCTTGAAATCCTCACCATTGTTATAGTACACCTTCCCCTTGGTTTGACCGGTTATTCTCCCCATGGTGCTGCCAATACCAACGATCCCCGAGTTTTTGATGTTGATATAAAGGGCACTCACCCCAAACGGCGAACAGTAGATCTCCAAATCGCAAGAGTTGGCAAAGAGATACGTTTGGTCTTTTTGGGTGGGGTACGATGTGGCCAACGGCACCGACGATGGTTCTGGGCCGCTGTTCGTGTTGTTCTGTGTTGTGTCTGACATGCTTATGGAGAGGTGTTTGATATGATACAATATATGCTATATAGTATATGAATCACTATGGTGGTATCGCTGATAATTTCGTAATCTTTATTTTTTTTTTCTTAGGAAGCTGGAGGAGCCACCAGGGTGGGTGGAAATGAGGGCAAAAAAAAAAAAAAATTGGGAAATTTTCATCTTTGCAATGATTATCGGGGATAACAATTATCATATCATAGATAATATATAATGGGAGATTTACCGGTGTTTGATATCGTCGAAACCTTGGATGACAATGATGCTGTGGTCTCCGCCACTGTGACTCCCACCTCGGTGTATGAAGACAATTTTCAAGCTTTTTTGGAAAGGACTCAGAATCAACAACCCAAGGAGACCCTAGAGGACAAAGCTAAGAAAATCGCAGCTCAAACTAGAAAGAACACCAAGATTAATGATGGCGGGGCTGCTACCAAGGTCAATATCAATAGAATCGTTGGTAAAAAGCGTAAACAGAAGAAACTCATAGAAATCAACAACAAGTACTTTGCCGATAATGATGATGATGATGATGATGATGATGATGACCATCATCAAGTGCTGACAAATGAAGCAACAGAAAGTTCCACCAAAAAATCAGTACGATTCGGTGATCAGAATAACAAAGAGCCCCAGATTTCACTGTTTCAGTTATCGAAAGATGTGGTAAATCAGGATTTATCTAAGATGTCCTTTGAAGAGTTTAGAAAAAGCTTTATCAAAGAGGGAACAAACTCCGACCAACCAGAAGAATCAGAAAGAATCGAAATTATTGTTCCTGAATCCCCTGCCCCTGGAAAAGGATTATACGATATTTTGGAGGAGAAAAAGAAACAGAAGTCAAAACCTTTGATTTATAAGCCCACAACGAAAAAATCAACTCCAGTCAACGACGACGAAAAGCTCAAAGTGTTGAAGAAATCAGGGTCCAAATCTTTCGGATCCTTGAACAAAAAACCCACCAAGAAATCAAAACCAAAGCCGAAAAATTTTATAAAAGTTCCAAACAATAAGCTTCAATTTTCACAAAGTTTGAAGGATGAGCGAGTTGAAATTTCATCGTCGCTGGTAGAAAAAGTGATTTCTGATGAAAAGACTGAAGAAATTGAACAAAATGCGATAAAAGTAAATGAAAACAATAATGACAATGATAACAGTAATAATAATAATAATAATAATAATAATAATAATAATAATCATGATGGTGACGATGATAAAAATAATGATGATAACGCCAATCCAGACGTCCCGTTAACCAAAGTCGACTTCCAAGCTCTCAATAATGATATGGACAATATGGTTAATGCGTACATGATGGGCATGTACGAGGATGACTTGGGAATCGAATATGATATGCCAAACTCCATCATTGAGGATATCAAGGATATTGAAAAATACAACCAGCAGGTACTACTAGTGGAAGAAGCTATCCGTAATGCTGGTGGCGATCTGGGAGAAGAAGCGAAACAAAATAAAGAAGACAAAAATCAACCTGATGATATTGATTCTCAACCGTTATTGAGTGATTCGATTGTCGAAAGAAATGTTGATTCTACGGAGTTTGAGGACAAACTTAATAATTATTATCTCCTGGAAAATGGAGAATATTATGATGATGATGACAACGATGAGGATTATAATTTCAAACCAGATATTATTAATCAACAAATTGCCGAAAGTTATCAGAACCTTCGTCAATATTTCATCAATTCCAACTCAGGGTTCACTAGGAGAGCCGATGAAGAGCAAGAATTGGAACCTATTGATGAGCATGGAAATCCTCTCAAATTCAGTAGGTTTAAGGCTGCTCAAGTGAATCCAAAAGTCGATTATTTTGCATAGTATTATTTATAAAATATTACAAATATTAACTCTCATGAATTTAAAAAGGAACTTGTCGTAAAATGTATAAGTTAACAAACGCGAAAAAAGAAGAGGAAAAAAAAAGAGAGAGAGAGAAGATAAACAAAAAAAAAAAGATCAATACCAAAGAATTATTTAGCATTAAATAAGGACTAAAGACAAAAAAAAAGAGGAAATGGAAAATAAACAAAGAAAAACAAGCCATCAACATTTATAAAGTTTACACCCCCTTGAATATCACAATGGAATAAGAATAATTGGACCAGAAAGAAACACAAGATGAATAATAATAATAGTATAATAATAATAATATAACAAAAGGAGAGACAATAACCATGATGGAGACTAACAACCGGAATGATCCAGTGTATTTTGTTTCTTTCATAATTTGCATAGCCATTTAATAAGTTATCTCTCGTTAACACTTTGTTCATTTCATTTCATTTCTTCTTTTTTTTTTTTTTGCTCATTATAGGATGAAAAGATGGCCAGGAACAATATTAAATAAAATAAAAAATAGTAATCATAAATAAACACCAAGTAAGAGAGAGGGAAGAGATATTAATAATGGAAAAGAAAGGATCTTTTGGAAGGGGAAGAAAAATAGAAATAATGTAAAAGGTTAAAAAAAATAAATAAGTAAATAAATTAAAAAAAAAGAAAAGAAAAATAAACCATTCATATCATCAGCTTCGTAGTCTTGTTCATTTTCATAAGAAATAATCACTTCTTTGTTGTTTTTCCGGAGCCATCCGTTGAGAATCGTCAGGCACCGCACTGAAGATTTTAAATTGTGGGTTCAAATCTTCTCCAACTTTCATGACACTAGCAACATTACCGCATCTATAACAATAATTTGGTGCTGACCACACTGTGACGACATCTTTGTCCTTGAAATGATACCTGAACCCTTCCATAACTAATTGATGCGCTCTGGCAATCAACTTCAAATCATTGACATAATTGAACTCTCGAGCCACGGCAGACCCGAACAACCAACCGGCCCCTCTTGGACTGACCGACCAATTTTTCACGTTATCGGGATCTGACCACACTAAATCACAAAATCCCCCTTCGTGAGGAATTTCTTGGGCCCTTGACAACACTCTAATTTGGTCAAGCATACGGATTTCTGGTGACAACCCTCCATGAATACACAAGATTTTACCATCGATGATCGCTGCCAACGTCAAGAAATCAAACACTTGACAACAGTACTTCCATACGGTGGTTGACCCGTATTTCGTTAAGCACTCTTCGTAAAACCCATATACTTGGGTAATTTGTCGAGATTCGTGGTTCCCTCTAACCAACGTGATTCTTGAAGGATACTTCACTTTCAAACACATCAATAAAGTGAAAGTTTCTAAAGAAAAGTACCCTCTATCAACATAATCTCCTAAAAAGATATAATTGATATTATCAGGAAATCCCCCGGAAACCCTGAACAATTCCAACAAGTCATGGAATTGCCCATGAATGTCCCCACACACCGTTACCGGGCTCTTTACCGGCTGGATATTAGACTCCTCCATCAATATTTCTTTAACCATTTCACAAAGCTCTTTCATATCGTTCTCATGTAAGGCCTGGCATTTCTTGATAGTTTCTAGCCACTCATCGGGGCCTCTTCTTCCGGGCATCTTTGTTAGATATTATTATTGTTGTTGGAGGAAAGTGAGAGAACTTAAAAATGACAAAAAAAAAAACTGATAATAATAGTTATAGTTTTCTGTGATTCGCAAAGTCTAAAGGAAGTAATATAGGAATCATATAATGGAGAGGATCGCAAATGAACAAAACAAAAACCTTTGTTTCCTTTTTTTTTTTTCTTTCTGAATTTGTTATGGGACGATGGGAAAGGATTAATCTTTCCTGTGTTTGGATTTTGTAATAAATTGGGATAGATAGATATATATACAGATATATATATATATATATACATATAAATATTATATATATGGGACTTACCATGATTATGAGTTTCACCATTTTTTTTCTTTGTTTTTCGCAGTGGGATGAGGTCCGGGTGGGATGCCTGGCCGTTAAAGACCCGCATGGATGGTACACTCTGAGTTTATAATCACATATTCGCTGAATAACCATAAAAGTACAAGAGAATTAGGGAAAGATAATTTAAGAAATAGGAAGAAACAGCTAATAATACTGATAATAAAAAGGAGGAATAAGGGAGGGGACAAAAATAGTCAAAAAATTGGGCTAAAAATTACATGGAGAAACACAAAACATACTGACATACACACACCAAACTCACAACGAAAATTCGGAAAAAACCATACAAGATGATCAACTAAGAGTCAATCGAGGAACGCCAATCATCTGGGTGAAGCATCATGCCTCCTGATTATTCAGATTCACCCTTTCCACTGCCTCTTTAAGCTTGTTAGTAGCAACGGCAACGGCAAAGGCATTTACGGCATCAACCACATTCATTTCAACTTCATTTGAAGTTTCTGGTTTCACCTTTCTGTCGTCACCAGTGTTGTCAGATCCTGAAGATTTTTCTTTATCACTATCATTAGCTGCGGTCTCTTTAGTGGCGGCATTATCTTCTTTCTTGTCATCTGGCTTTTGATTTCTTTTGGAAGTGAAGTCAGTGGCAAAGTAATACGGTACTGTCGGTTGCATCAATGCAGCAGCGGCAGCTACCGAAGCTTGGTTGGTAATCTGTTGGGTTTGAGCAGCGGTCAATGTCGCAGGCTGACCCATGGTGCCATTGTGGTTATTCTGGTCTGGGTTTCCAGGATTGTTTGGTCCGATAGGAGTGCCAATTATTGGGCTCATAAATGGGAACATTGGCGGCATGAAGCCAGCAGGAACAAATGGTGGATGAGGATGAGGTGGTAGAAATGGCGGATGGAACATCATTTGCATATTACCATGGCCATTGTTATTACTGTTATTATCATCACTATTGTTTTTGTCCTTTGATTCTGACTTGGTATCCTCATTGGAAACTTTTTCACCATCTTTCTTTTCTCTATTGTCATTAAATTCGTTATTATCGTTATTGACATTGTCATTATTGTTGTTGGAATTGCCATTATTTTTGTAAAACTGCTCGAGGGCAATCAATTGGTTCTTCAAATTGCTCACCTCATATTCCAACGCCTCGATGTATTCGGCCGATTTCTTCAACACCAATGCCTTGGAATCGTAACCTGATCTCACGGTAGGAACCACCGCTCTCAACTGGGAAAATCCGTCTGTTATTCGTTCTCTTCTTCGTTGTTCCGATCTAATGTGTAAATGCTTGCGATCTTGATCAACTTTCGTCACTCTCGAGCCACCGCCTTTGGTAAGAACATGAGGGAGGTTTGACGAGGTTGGATGATGGTTATTATTGTTAGTGTTATTATTATGGTGGCTCTCACTTAACGCGGCGGCGGAACCCAATGTCGAGTCAATGACAGCAGCATAGTCTGCTGATGAAGGAGACGGGGTATTCTGATGATTATTTGCCTCGGCAAAGTTGGTATTTTCATCGATTTGGTTGTCGATTGAAGGAAGTTGGTAAGAAACTCTTCTATCAGCCATTATTAAAATGATTCGTTATTTAATTTCCAATTCTTTTTGTGTCTTTATTGTCCTTGTCCGGGAATCTGTTGAACCAACATAAATATATCCTTTATTGCCAAAGCTCTTCTGATATAAAGATGGTGGTGACAATCAATTAACTTAGTTTAAGCACAGTCACACCAATACAACCTTCACACACAGGATATTGCAAAAAAATTGCAAAAAACGCGAGGTAAAAAAAAAAAAAGTCGGAGACACCAACAACAAATTGAGCCAAGGTATTTCAAAAGCAGATATTTTATTGAGGAATGCTGTGGTATTATTTCACGACACCGTTGTCCTGTGTAATTTTACCAATTAATCTGTATATAATATATTGGGTCCCCAACAGTAGATAAACCAATCAATCGTCTCTCGAGAGAAAAAACAAAGAAAAAAAAAATAAAGAAAAAAGCCGGAAAGTGCATTCACGCGCCAATCAGCTGAGTCCATGTGATTTTTTGAATATATACATGTATATCACGTGTGTTCCATACATGCGGGACCTTCTTCTATGTACTGTGCTTATATAGGTGTACCATTATTATAATAAACCTTCATCTAGGGAAGGTAGAATGCAAGTTGACCATCTGCTCTAACTGTTTATTCCTCTCGTTAAACAAGCTCACCAAATTCCGGATATCCTCAATCGACTGATCCAAATCTTCCTCCTCTCCTGTTACTTTCTTGGGCACCTTGACCGTCCCAGCAATCGGCGCTTCCGAATCCAAATCAATCGTGCTGTTGGTGCCCTTTATAACGATATTGGTGGTATTTTCGTGATTGTTAGGCCCTTCAAATGATACCTTATTATTCTTCATTCTGCTGATCTCATACACTTGCCAATTGTCACTAAGGCACCTTGATCCAACGATGTTTTCCCCTCGGTGATCAAAGTCTAATACCACCACGGTATCGTCATTATTGAGTCCCTCTTGCCCCACTGGGTGGTGGTGGTGATGATGGTGCCCTGCACCATGCTCAGCCGGAGATCCATTTTTGATGTCTTCCAAATCATCGACAAACTTGTACCGTATTTCTGGATACACATTGATTGGGGCCTCAAACAATTCACTATTCTCAACACTATTTCCCAATATCTTATCATACTCAATTGATGTGAATTTGCTCATCTCTCTATTGTTATCATCGCCATCATCACGATGGTTATTGTCTCGTAGCCTACCCTGAGATTTATCTTGGATCACCACATAAAAGGGAAGCTGCAGGCTCTTCCATGACGACTCATTCTCCATATTCACATATATTTCTATTAGTTATCAGTGGTGTTACCATCTACTGTTCCCTGACCAACTGTTCTGTTGTTGTTGTTGGGCAAGATAACTCTCAGTGCCACCAACCAGCTCATCGCGCGTGCGCATTCCAATTTAGTTTTTCTTGTTTTGTTGTAGCGATTATACCTTCTACAATCAAATAAAATAGTGTTTATATTTTCATTCAAAGAAAGATGTATTGCTTCTTTTCGGGGGGAATAATAATAATAATTACAGATGTTTAAAGAGCTTGTGTTTTTAACTATTCCCAAAAACTCTTCCAAAGGAATTATCGCTCATAAGCGAAAGGTTTTCGATATCCATGGTGCGCAAATGAAAAATAGCTTGACCGAGAGAAATGTTGATAAAATTACCCATATATTGATTGATTACCAGCAATTGAATAGTATTCGGGCCATAATCACCAGCTTGAAACTTGAAGAGCTATACAACAAAAATTTCAAACCAGATGCCACGGCATTCAAAGCAGAAATCATTGATAAGTTGATAAAAGTCCCGTTCATCAAAGAAAGCTGGTTCAATGATTCCATAGAAACTGGCAAAGTTTTGAGCTTGACGGCTTATCAGATACCGGAAGTCCACCAAGAACTTTTGAATGAATTTGAAAATTTTACAAAAGATGGGAAATCCAGGTCACCAACCAAGAAGCGGAAAAAATCTGTATCACTATCACCTTCTGAGCAACCAACCAAGAAGCAATATCTCGATCAGGATGATAAAAATACAGGAAGATTGGCCGAGCAAGAAAGAAAAGCCCTTAAAAGAGATTCAAGACGGGAAAAAATAAAGTTATGGATTAGAACCTCTTTGAATGATCGACTATTAGAACCGTCAAAAGTGAAAAATAACCCCAATTTGCCAGTGATCAAGGCATTATCAGAATTCCAGGCATTATACGATGGATTAGGCGATGATTTTAGAGTCCGAGGGTATATCCAAGCCATCAACTCCTTGTTATTAGAACATAATAATCCAATCGTTACCTATCAACAAGCAATCAAATTGCGAGCAGTGGGACAAAAAATTGCGAGAAAGATTGCCGAGTTTGCTAAGACAGGGAAAATTGCCCAATTGGATACATTAAAACAAGATCAACAAGTTCAAATCATTGTGGGCTTGACAAATATATTTGGAGTTGGTCCTGCTATTGCTAGAAATTGGTACGAGGCATATCATATAACCCTGATGGATGACGTCAAGGCAAAGGCCAAAAATGGGACTATCAAGTTAACCAAAGAACAAAGGTTGGGAATCGAGTACTATGATGACTGGAATCAGTCAATAGAGAGAGAAATGATCGATCTTCATTACGAAATGATGAAAGAGGTTTGCAAAGAAGTGGATCCCAGCTTAGATGTTCATATTATGGGAAGTTACCGAAGAGGTCTTAGTCGAAGTCATGATATTGATTTTTTTCTTACCAGTCCAAATTATAAAACTAAACACCAGTTGGTCAATTCTGGAGTCGCCAAGAAGTTAATGGGTAAGTTAAACGCCATAGGGTATTTGCAATGTGAGTTGTCGGGTTCCGACACCAAATTTTTAAGTGGTGCCAAGTTGGTTGATTATAATGATCGAGTGAAAAAATTCTTGGAATCTCGGAAAAGTGCTGGCGAATTAACTGAAAAATTTGGAGACGAAAAACGGATCTGCCGACGAGTTGACTTTTTATTTGTGCAATATAATGAACTCGGAGCGGCACTTTTATATTTCACGGGCAATGATATTTTCAATAGAATGGTGCGGTTTTTAGCACGATTGGAAGGCTATAAACTTTCTAACCATGGTTTGTTTGATAGGTCAGCATTAACCATACCAGTAGGATCAGAGCCAAGGAATAATTCTAGGGCTAAGAATTCTAATTACCAAGAGAATGATTCCTTTTTCGACGAATCTGATGATGATGATGATATTGAGGTGAGTCCTCAAGGATTGATTGAAAGTTTTGATGAAAAGAGGATTCTTGATTTGTTGGGGGTTGTATGGCACACACCAATGGAAAGAAATATTGGTGAGTTCAAACGACTTGATTTCACAAAAAAATAAAATGAAGGTAGATCAGGCGGGTGCCCAAAAAAGTTCATCCACCGGTAATTCAAGAATGATCATAGTGGTGGAAAGTTGAGAAATTCAAGAAAGCAAAACCAATTCCTACTCAAATTTTGTAGCCTTTTATATTCCATAGCCCAATTTTATTGTGAATGTTTTCAAAATAGCCATTTTGGGGGATCTGATTTGAATTCACATTCTAGAGCTTTTGATTGAGGATCAATTAGTCGATACTCCAGAGCATGTAAGTAAATCATCATTTTCTCCGGTTCATCAAAAGAGTTCATCATTTTTTCTCCACAAACATCACAAACGAGATTTTCAGACTGATATTGTTTGAGTCTGTCTAAGAACTCTTTACTTACTGATTGGAAAAGTTCATTACTCAAATTGTATTCTAAAGAATTCATTTCCTTATTAATCAACTCCTCAATTGATTTTCCATACTTTAATGATTCCAAGATCCCCATTTCGATCGAGTTTCTCAATGGTCCAACGGTTTCATGCCCGTAAGTGGGATCGTTAGAAATAGGGTATCCCAAGTTTCTCAAATGGATTCTGATCTGGTGGGTTCTGCCAGTTTCTGGGATACATTTCACAATACTTTGATTGAGCACCCGATCATAAGATATCTTCTTAAAATGGGTGATCCCAGTCTTGATTGAAATAACAATAGACTGTGAAGTTGATATATACTTGTGTGATGGGTTCACCCGGAACACTGGATCATGGCAGGTGGTTTCATCAGGAAAGTCTCCTGTCACTCTTGCTAAATAATGCTTGCTGATGCGCTTGAAACGGAAATGATCTTCAAGGATTTTAGCCGCCCTATGGTTTTTCGCAAAAATTAGAATCCCTGAGGTTAGTTTATCCAATCGATGGCACGGATAAAGATTGTCGATTCCCAATTCGAATTTCAAGAGCTCAGAAAGAGTATTGTGAAAGAAGTTCCCTGTTGGATGGACAGGAATCCCTGAAGGCTTGTTCACCACCAATAAATCCTTATTCTCATACACTATTTGCACCGAACATTTTGCCTTATTGAACTCACTGTAGAATAATTTTTCGGTGGTATTAGAGTACAAATAATCACCAGTTAATACCGGAGGTTCGTGCTTGTGAACCTCATTATGAACTACATCACCATGACGTAGCTTCAATTCTTCAAGATCGTCTCCTTTGTAAGTTTTTGAATTCTCATGCCGTCTAACAACGAAGGATTTCCCAGAATCCACCAATTTCTTATAGTAAGGTTCGGAATACCTCAACTCTTTGGTCATGACTTCAAATAACGATTTACCCACCCAACGTCCTTTCGTATTGGTTTTGAAAGCATGAAAATAAGGACGAACATATCTAACCCCTTTTGAGATCGAATAAGGCAGCATCATTGTGGCATTACTATTATTCTGGTTAGAACTTTTACAATTGGTGATCAATATCCCCTAAAAAATCTAAAAAAGTTATCAACCACCCACGGTACCGGTGCATCTGTGGAGGGAAAGAAAAAACCTCAGAAAAACTCCACGTAAAGATTAGATACAAAACGATACATTTTATTTAGTCTCTTTTATAGAAAAATATCATGGAAGAAAATGGCAACTGGAAAAGCTGAATATGACTTATCTGAATACAAGGATCTAATAACGGACGGTTTTGCTGCTTCACAGTACGCTAATGGCTTGTTACTATCGACAAATAACTTATATTTGAGTCAATTGAATAGTTTAAATCAAAGTGTATTATTAAACGAGATTGAAAACGACAATAGCTCTGAAAACGAATTGGATTTAGTCACTGCTATGAAAAAGATCTCATTCAGTATTAAAGATGTGAACTCCAAGATTGTCAAGATTTCTTCGAGTAATTATGATGTATTGATCAACGAGTTTGAAAAAATCGAGTCGTTTCAGAAGGATTTCAACAATACTTTACAAAATTCTTTGAAGGAATTGAACCATTTCATGGAAATATTGAATAGAGATTTTTTAATGAATTATGAAAGCTCGCAGAAATACATCAGAAGGTTGAAAAATATCCATAAAACATACTCCCTTATAAATGACTTGATCCTATTTATCGACGGAGTGAAGAAATTCAATAGCAGTTTCAGAAATATACAGTTAGATAAGACTTACAACAACATCGAATCAGTTTCCCCAGAAGAATTGGGTACACTCAACAAGAACTTGATGAAAATGACAAACCATTACTATTTCTTGAATAAGCTACTACACGAGGATGAAAAGTTGTATGATTCTGGACTGCAAAGTAGAAATTCATTCAAACAATTGAAAATCGTCAAGAATTTCAATAAGGTATACAAGATTGAAAAAATCGATCTTCTCAATAATTATTGTCTTGATTTATTGAAAAATGATAATTTCTTTGAAACGACCGCCGATGGTGAACCCAACTCCGAGGATTATAAAGCAAAAGTTATTGTCACCGTGATTATTACTCTAATGATTATCAATAATAACGATTCTTTTGTTGAAATCTTCCATCGTTACTACAAATATGAACTCAATAACTGCATGAACTTACTCAAGAAAATATTGATCTCACCTAAGAGTTTTGATAATTCAATGATCAAAGTAGCAAAGAAATCGGACAAGATATTGAAGATCATGAGAATATTGCAGAACCTCAGGTTACTCAATTATGATTCCCTGTTGATGAAAAACAATCCCTTTGAAACTTGTATTATCAATGATGATCTGAACAGCTCTTACACTTCTATTGGTGATAAAAACATAACTAGAGAAACCACTACAGATCACACATTGTCATTAGACGTGTTTATTTTGAAAAACATGCCAGTATCATTAAACAATAATTCGTTATTCACGAATTTTTACAAAGACATATCCGTGGAGTTCGAAAGCATGATATCGGGAACATTATTGAAAGGTGGCCCGGTGGCCAAGAATTTGAAGAATAACTATTCAAAAATTTTGGCGTCAATTAAAAAGAGAATATTGGAGAATAGTAGTGATTTCTACAAAATATCGGAGAAGAATATCGAAGTGGTGATGATGTGCAACTCAATTAAAAAGTTGAATACCAATAAATAAGAACTTGCTTTGTATAGCATTTTCATAAACACAGAATAATAACCTATAAAGTACTGTTTTTTCATTCCGTTCTGTATTCTGGCTTTTTCGTTTGTGTAGCTGTTTGTCCATCCTTCTTCTTTTTGTTCTTTTTCCCTCCTCTTTTCTTCTTTTGATTAATCATTTTTTGATGCTTCTTTTCCAAATCTTTGATGCTCTGCTTTCTTAGCTTGACATTTTTCTTCGCAAGAATTCTATTTTTTCTAGTTTTCAAACTTGGTCTCATTTGAGCCTTCTTTTTAAGCTTTTGTGAAGCTTCATCAATTTTCGCATTGTATTGTTTCAAATCTGTCACTTTCCTCTGTGTTCCTCTCCAAGTGTAACGGTTATCGAATGTATTACTGAATATATCATCATATTCTATGGCAGCAAGCTTGAATGACAATAGCTGCTGTTCTGTGTATTCTGGGAAATAATAGGTCGAAGGGCGTGACTGTATGATTGGCTCATCATCAACAGCGTCATTCAAAGTGACCTTCATCAAACCAGTTCGCGAACTTTCATCATCTTTGCTAGGGGTTTCTGATGTAACTGGGGCCAGCTCAGTTGCAAAAAGTGGGAAGAAAAACTCTTCGGGGGCATCATTTGTCTCTTCATTCGAAATTATAGGTTCATCTTGATCTTCTTCTGGTTTTTCGTCTTCTTTAATTGGTTTTGTGGTATCGACAAATTCAAAGTCGAGGTTTGTGGGAAGTTGGTATTCCGTATCACTGGTTTCACTATCCGACATCTTTGTGCTCCGTTAAGTCTAAGTATGGTTGCTTAAGAACATATATTGATGATGATAATCACAGCTTTTCTCACATGAGAATTTTTTTTTGGATTTATGAAAAATTTAGTGATGCATCAGCACAGCTACGGTACTTCCTTTCGAGTTCCCTAGGGTTGAAAAGACACAAAGAGAGCGGTCTATGGAGGAGCTAGATGACTTGATTACATACAGACTGTATCAATTACAAGAATAAAATCTTTTTTTTTAAATTGTTTTCTTTCATAAATTGTTTTTAAAAAGACGTTAGAATGAAATGTTGTATTAAGTTACATAAAAGAATTAAGCGAGAACAATAAACACACAGCATTTAAGATCTTGGCTTTTCCTTCTTTTCTTTCCACAAAGCCAACAAGGAGACACCAGAGACCTTGACAACCTTGAATCTAACACCTGGAATATCACCCTTAGCCTTACCCTTTCTACCGAAACCAGCCAACAAGACTTCGTCGTTTTCGTCAACGTAGTTCAAACAACCATCGTTTGGAACGAAAGCAGTAACTCTTCTAGAGTTCTTGATCAATTGGACTCTGACACACTTTCTGATAGCAGAGTTTGGTTGCTTGGCTTCGACACCAATCTTTTCCAACACAATACCCTTAGCGTGAGAAGAACCACCGAATGGAGAGGACTTGAAGGCAGTACCTAACAATCTGGACTTGTAAGATTGATCAGCCCAACGGCTATAATAAAAAAATTCGTTAGTATTGGTAATCACATAGAATAAATATTATCATAGACGGGAATGTTGATTTGATGAATCGAATGTGTAAATTGAGAGACAATTCTCTAAAAATCACTTCTTGTGTTGCTGTGCTTTCAAATAATTGACACCGATGTAATTTGCTAACTAAATTTAAGAATGCCCAAAACCATTTTCAAGTGATGGTGGTATTGAAATATTTTTCTTTCCAAGATTTGTCGAAAAATTTATAGTTGGAAAAATTTTAAACTTGATCCAATGAAATGATACTTCGTTATTAGGTTGTTTTTTTTTGAATTCACTAGTTCAATGATGTATTGATATGCTCTTCTGTTGATGATTTTCAATTGTTCTTTCATATCTTGATAATTGTTGACTTAATCTCACCACATTTTTGATAATCTTCAAATCCACAATACAATCCTCACCATTCCTTGCCATTTGAGTATTTCTTACTTACTTGTTTCTTCTGTGGACTCTCAATTTTCTAGCAGAGTTAAGACCTCTTGGTTTACCTTTACCCATCTTTGATTATTCAATTTGTTACTTGCTATCTATTTTCTTCACAACGGGTGTAGAAATTACATGAAAAGAAAATTTTAAAAAAACCTACGCAGACCGCCATCCACCTCAACGATCACGGTCACGTGGAGAGTAGCTCACAGATTCACCTGCTACCTTACAATCAACGTCACTTAGAGTGCCCTATATAAGGTCACATGATAAAGTTAAAGTTACCATTTAGGGCGAAATATCTATCAAGAAGATTCAGTACAGGTTCCACTCCCATGGATCGGTCCGCCCCTTCTTCGCGTGACATTTTTGAGCACACAAACAAAAAAACTGGCCATACCAGCAAAAGCTCGCATTCAATAGTTACCGAAGAATGGTGTTATTGTTTTATCAAAGATGGTGAAAAATTTTGAATTTATTCATTTCTTGTATCCAACGTATGCGGTTTTTGCTTAGTCGAAGATTAAGACATTTTGAAATGATATTCTATAGATGTACGTGGCGTGTTCGATGATAATTCTTTTAAGGATATTATTGTCATGGCAAGGCTTGCTGATGCTTAATTCCATTGCCATATTCGACTACCTTGTATTATATTACCTACATCATGTAATTTCCTTATTTTAAAGGAGAAGCGGGGAATCCTCTCATTTTATATGCAATAAAGCGTCTTAAATTTTCTTATTTGTGAAATTTACTAAAAGTATCAGTCAAGGAAGGGCCTGTGCAAGGGACTATACATACCGCAAAATTTGAACCGGTTTTTTTTTTCAAAAAAAAAAGTGAAGCTAAATATCAAAACCATTTCAACTGTAGCAATGATTCTACGATTAATTTTTGGAAGTATTATTCTTAATGAACGTTATTTCAAATAGACAATAATAATGTCACTGCAATCAGACAGCCCTCATCACCATATCCATCCTCTCCATAATTTAATCAGCAGCAGAATCAGGCGTGTAGAGGGAATTGGGGAATGTATTATCAATATATGACAAGAGACTCGCTACATTTTCTTGTGGGTATATGTAATTCCAATAAATAATGAATATATATATAAACCAAATCCAAAAAACTCAAAATTTAAAAATATAGACCATTATATGGTTCAATTAATAGTTATCATCCATACTCCAATAATTAAATCCTTAATTATATATAAAAAAAAAAATGTAAAAAAAATAAAGAGAATAAATTCCGTAATTGATGTATCTACTCATTACCATTATTCTGAGAGCGTTGTACTTCATTGAGACGCTGTTTGAGATGACTTAACTCAAAAGGGTTTCTATCGTCATTATGTGATGTGCTGTGTGATGGTCTTTTACTATGAACGCTAGCGACGGCTTCAAGAAAGTTTAAACCACCGGTTGATTCATAATTTTCATTCAAGTTTCTTAGTCTGTGCAAATTATTACTGCCAGAACGACTTTCCCTAAACCTTCCCAATGCACCTGAAGGAACTGATGGTACCACACTATATTTCCGCTGGCGTCCCGAATTACTCAAATCATTTTCTTTCAATCTCTTGGTATACTTAAATTTATCAACTTTGAAAAAACTATCCTTGTGCTCATCATATTCATAGAGTGACCAATCAACACCGTATGGTTTTGGTTCAAGGATATACACCGAGTGTAATGGAATATCCAAGTCGCCAATATGCTCCTTGGAAATATTCAAGAAATAACCAAGCAAGATTCGCGAAACAACACGATGAGTAATTAATAATAAATGGTCTTCAGCACGTTCTATTTCTGTTATTATTGGCTTAAGTCTGTTGACAACATCCAAGTACGATTCGCCTCCGAGTCCAGGGTACCTATATGTCAATTTGTTTTCGATTCGAGCTTCAAATTCCTGGGGATATCTCTCCTGAATTTCTTTGTAGGTTAAGCCTTCCATTTTACCGGAACCAAGTTCGTTCAACATTCGCATTTCTTTAACAAAAAATTCATCACTATTAAAATATTTCGCGGTATCAATACTTCTTTTCAACATTGAAGTCCAAACACCAAACGTCTGCTCAGAAGTCTCATCATCGTCGCTAGCATCACCTTCTTCTTTGTCATGGGCTTGAACAATATTTTGAGCTGCCTCTTGAAGCTGAATTCTGTTGAATTCATCACGTTTTTGAGTTACGAAATTGGTGAGTGCTTTTGCGAATTTAACACCTCTAGCAGTTAACCCACAATCACCACCAATTCTCCCTTCAACATTATCAAAACTTTCCCCATGACGGGTCAAAATGATAAGTCTATCTTTGAGATTGAAATTCAAAAGAAATTCAATAGTTTGACAAGCAAGAAACCCAGAAATTTTGAACGTGATGAATTTCTCTCCAACATTAATCATTTTCACGTATCCAATATGCTTCTTTTTAAAGATTTTTTTTTCCTTGGTTTCATCTAAAGTCTGATAAACTTTCTCGTAGTTCGATAGTCTTTCCGTGAAATCAATGAGGGCTTTATCCTTGTCCATTTGTTTGTAATCTGGACCAGAAAGCTTTAGTCTAATATTACTCTGAATTAAAGCTTGTTCATCACAATAACTTTCCAAAAATAGAATTTTCAATCTATTTTCTGATGATTCATTAATACGTTGAACAATTCGTTCACGTCTAGCATACGTCGAATTGGTGGCATCAAAGATGCCAACTGCTCCAGGGCCGTACAACACATATTTCAACAACTCATCAAGGGTATCCATTGCCCATTTTTCACGAATGTCCAAACTCGACTTGTTATCTGGCGAGAAAAAATTCGCTGAATGACTAGTATTCTCGATATCCGTTAATGGTTTTGACGATGGGCCCAAATTATGAGAATCGGTTTTTCTTCTGGTGTTGCCAACGTTGAACACTTTGCAATCATGATGCATCCAGTTTAAATAGCGCGCCAACTTGTTGGTGATGTATGATTTTCCGCGTGCTGGTAAACCAACCATGACAATAACAAGCTTGCTAGCCACATCTAATGAAGCAATAGTGCCATCAGGGGAATCTCGAGATTTTGTTAGACCAGGAACATCGAGGGTAGTGGCACGACGTTTGGGCCGTTGGGTCTGGCGCTCTATTCGGCTTTGGGGTACCACAGTAAATGGTTTTTTACTATCTAAAAATTTCTTGGAAGCAAGAATGGGATCTTCTTCATCACTATCATCGTTATCGGCATCGTTGTCAGCCTCCTCAAATAATGCGCTAGCGTTCTTTTGAAGCGGGGTGTGATGAGGTTTCGATGATGCGGTGATTGGAGATAATGCCAATTCGTTGTCACTAATGTTTCCCATCGGTGTATTATTATCGCTAGATAGAACAGGCAGAGTATGGTTTGAGACAAATGGGGTATCACTTAAAGGTCGCTTATTGAAGGCCGGTAATGGGAGAGCTTTGATATTTCTTGGATGCATTTCGGACGATGAATAATCTGGAACTCTGAATTGTGAGACAAAAGATGATGCCAAAGTGTCACTTAGAACTTCATTGGATCCATTGTCATTTTTCTTGTGATAGTGGTCTTGTTCCTCGTCAGTGGTGACAATAACGTCTTCATAACTGGCATTTTTGTTGATGAAGACTTTAGGATCTGTCATACTATAATAACGATTATTGCTCTACACTGTAGGGGAGAACGACAATATGCTTGCAGGTAGATCTAGAAGGTATCTAGCACTATCCCGGTCAAAATAGAAAAGAAGAGAAAGGAGAAGCAGATTTCAATAATTTCAACACCTCTTTGCTACTGTTAATCCTACCACTGCAACAGTCACCTAAGAATGATGACCATCGATTGGACAAAAAAAAAAACACAAACAATACGGTTACGCTGCCCGGCATTATGACACTACGATTAGGGGAGGCCTCATCCATTTCTCCTTTTTAATATATATACATCTTTTTGCTCATTAGCTTTCCAATGAGGAAGACTTTCGACAATAATAGCTGGGAAACCGCACAACGTTCCATTAATTTCCTTCCTTAATTTCGTTTCACATTGGGGATCGGCGTATATCTGCGTGTCTCCCGAAATTACGAGCCCCAGCGCATCATGTTTGACACATTCAATAGTATAACTGCCAGGTAATCCATTATTCCTTTCCAGTTCGTACAAAGTATCTGTATACGATATTATAGATGATATTATAGATGATATTATTGGTATAATAACTTTAACAATCATCTACCGAGCGCAAGATGCCACAGTCTTCAGTGCTAATATGATACTCCACGGAACATCATCCGAGAAATATATGTTGATCCAAGTTCGTCACCACCAAGGAAGTTCCCATCCACAAACGTTCAAAGTCAACACTGCCGTTAGAAAACACAGGTTTGGTACACGTCTCATGGAGGCCTCCATGACGGAACAAATGCGTCGTAATGGTTTCGGAAATCCAAGATCCAAATCCCACTGAGCGGAACTCCGATAGTATCAGTGGGCGTCTTTGTTCCTTGGGCGGCATTGCGGTCAAGAAATATATCGATGAGAGCTCTGATATTGAATCTTTCAAAGGGTCAAACCCTCATGCATCTTGTATATCCAGTATCAGAGTATATCACGGTGGTGTTATTGCCCTTGTCAGCTGGTGGGGATAATAAGCTCAAAATAGAGCCCCACTAAATACCATAACGTTTGGTAACCTATTATCAATTTGCATAGAGATGACTGCCACCATTAATGTCATACTACTTCTTATAGTTGCAACTATGCTTGCAAGTTATTCTCTATCTGTATTAGGTTTAAACAGAGGGCCATTTGATAGCATTCGGCACTAACGTATTTAATTGCCATATTAATTACTAGTTATGCTGTAAATGTGTATGATCTAGGAATAGTAGCATATGTTTACTGTTTGAAGGGAAAATATGATGATTGAACTAAGTGAACTAGGGTGAAACAGCCGAAAAGAAAGTATTAAAGGAATTGAACAGCAGAGATATAATCTCAGTATATAGTAACAGCAAGGCTACATGAGTCTACAAATGGTAAATTTTTAGTTTGTTGCCTCAACACTGGGAAAAGTCTCCAGTGCCACTGTTCTGAAATATATGGTGGGGGCGACCACATTAACACTTATAAATAGTAATAAACTGATCAAGATGTATATTCTCCTAATTTAAATAATCTTACTTGAGCTTAGGAAGCGAAAAAAAACAACACAAAACAACCATGAAATTCAGTTTTGAAATTTTCCAAGCCATGGCCACGCGGGCCAAGAATTCCTGTGTATAAAAACTTGGCAAAGTTACGCTCTACTACACATATTGCTAATATATTCATCTCCTTGACTCTTGTGATAGTTGTCCTATTTATCATCAAATGCATCAAGTGTACGCCGGTTTGAAAAAACAGATGATTATTATTTTTCCTAGCCTACAACGAGATGTTTTACCTTACTAGTCTTTAAATCTACACAAATGAATTATCCATTTCAAATTCTGAATTCTAATTACGGCTACTGGTTCAGATCAGGGGCTGAACGACCTTTGGTTCTGTATATCCCAACTTGAGGTTGTGTTCGATATTGGACTAATCTTCGGTGAGAATGTATCCTAATATTTTGGTAAGACATCTTGATAATATTAAATAAGATATTGCGATAGAAATTTATTTGTCACCAAAGAGTAGTATCGGATGTAAAGTACGAAATGTCAAGCAAATTGTAAAAAATCTTTTCTTTGATCTCTCGAAAACTTCAGAGGAGATACGAAAAACAGCAAATGACGTAAACATTTATAGTTAATAACCATGAAGATAAGAATAGAGATGATGATAACCATAAAAACGTTTGATGAAGTTAAGACATAGCATATACAAGTAACAACCTTCAATCCCACTACCACCATTAATATCATACTACTTCTTTTAGTTGCAATTATAGTTGTTTTTTCTATTCTATTGAATACATCATCAATTATGATATGGTCAAATCCATTTTAGAGTTAACACATCGCTAACTATGCTGGGCACCAAAATAATTATGTAGTGAGGTTGCCAATCGGCTCCGCCATATTGGAACATACGCAATTATTGATAGTAAAACGGATAAAATAGAAGGATGATAAATATAGACAGAATAAACTATTATTATTAACCATCGAATTGCCATGATCAAATGATAAGTTGTATGATTTTCTTAATTTCTTTCCGTAATTTCGTTTCATAATAGGGATCGGTATATATCCGGATGGCTCCCGAAATTACGAGCCCTAGCGCATCATGATTGACCCATGCAGTAGTATAACTGCCAGGTAATCTATTAATCCTTTTCTGTTCATACAAAGTATCTATATTCAAGTTTATACTCAATTTTATTTATAATTATATATAGAATATCGATATAATGTCTTTACAAATCTTCAACCAAGCACCAGGTGCTACTGTCTTTAATAGCGATGTCATTCTCCACGGGGGCTCATCCGAGAAATATGGGTTGATCCAAGTTCGTCACCACCAAGGAAATTTCCCCCCACAAACATTCGAAGTCAACAGTAATCACTTCAAATTGCTTGTCCATTTGGTCGAAGGTGAAAATGAGCTCATATTCACCCAATACTCTGGAAAATTTGTCAATGGTGTCCCTCATTATGATCAAGCTTCTAGGTACAAACCAATTCAATTGATATACCACTTATATTATAGAAGAATGGTGGAAAATCCTTCCATAAATCTTTGTCTTCTTTTGGCCAAGGATTCTCCAGGAGTCTTCGATTCTCCAAAAAATAAAATCAACACTGAGGGTAATAATGTCAACACTGCCGTCAGAAAACTCAGGTTTGGTGCACGTCTCATGGAGGCCTTCATGACGGAACAAATGCGTCGTAATGGTTTCGGAAATCGTTGTTTTAGATTCACTGAAGAATTCAGCTATGACTCGTTATCATCACAGGAACGTGGTAGTGTGCAACGTGAGACTGTGAAAGTGCACATTATTCGAATGGATCAAACCGTTGCAGAAATCCAAGATCCAAATGTCGCTCAACAGAACTCCGATGCTGACAACCCTATGGGTCTTTTTGAGTGGGCCGCCGATGCAATTCGGCAATACATCGCTGATAACCCCCATCTTGAATCATTTAAAGGAGAGACCCCTAAGGCGTCTTGCATGTTCATGGACGCTCATTGGGATCCTAACCAGGATCTTATTTTGGGGCACGCCGCTCTTGCTGGTAATTATGGAAAATTGCGTTTAACGACTTTTGGATCCCAAGGTCTTTGGTCATGGCCAAGCTGCTATGAGGAATTGTATTCTGCCTTAAGTGATTGTACCAGGACTGATACTCTGGTATGTGCCAATGACTGCAATAAAGGTGAGAGTGCTTGGGAAGCCGCTACTATATCTCTTGGGGGGTTCTTGGACGTAATTGGCAAGCATTTGTACTGGCCAGATCCATCAGATGGGATCTTTTTACCTACTTATCTGACTCTCAACCGCTCATTTATGAGCCGTGAATTCCCTTGCAAGAGAACTGGGGAACTAGGGTACGAACCAGTCTTATCTACTGACGAATGTAACTGGAGCAGATTGAGCATCATGAGATTTTTGTACCTTCCAGGACTCCGTATCCCTGCTGATTATCACGATGATACAATTATTTGGAATGCTCGGGAAATTGCCGAGGAGCCCACCTTCATCGGTGTGGAAAATCGCTCGATCTTTGTTACTAGTAATACAGGGATTTATCTTGTGGAAGTTCACGTTGATGGCGAAGCGCGTGCACAATTGGAATTTCAACCAAAGCGCAGCAATAATGGTCCTGGTCCACAAAAAGAGTTGAAGCTCAGTTACAGTGATTTACAAAACAATTTGGACCCAGAGTACCAAGGTAAACCAATGAAATTGGTGATTCTTTCCCTTGGATTGAAGCAGCTTGTCGTGGAGAGTGATATCTGGGAGTACCTTGAGCCTGTCCACCATGATTTCGGTTTGGGTGGAGGTATGCTTGAAGGTGTCTCCACCGAATGCCATGGCGTACCACGCGCGGATGAGACTGGGATCATTCCAATTTATGGACCTGGAGAGTTATCCTGTATTAGAGTATATCATGGTGACGCTCTTGATGGTATCGAATTTATTCATCGGAAAGGGAAATCCCATCACCACAAATTTCATTCATCAAAAAGCTCGACACTTTTCGGAAACCGTACGCAAGATTACTCTGATGTTCCTATCTATGATGGTGAATCATTCGTGGGTTTCAAAATTAGATGTGGTGCGTGGGTTGATGCGGTCCAGGTAGTAACTAACAAGAAAGTTACCCCCTGGTATGGTTTTGCTGACGGAGGCCATGGTGCAGTCATTGAAGCTCCAACCGGCTACCAACTTGTGGCTCTTAGAGGTACCGTAGGCCCTTGGGTGAATAGTATCCAAGGTATTTACATTAGGAGATAGAAATAGTCTCGAAATTTCTACTTGGTTTTAAAAAGAAGGGCATTATCTCATAGTTTTGAATTGCAAGAGAACACAGAAGAAATAATACATCCAATTATATTAGCGATAAATATAAAAAAAAATAATAATGAGATCAGAAGAACCAAGTATTTGTAAGTTTCTATTGCTTCAATACCGAGACAGTGAGTTCAATTCACAAACATTGTAAGAGCTACTTGGAATGGGGGATTGATTATGCCCATGGATTTGATTGTTGATGTATCCCAAGTTGGTATTCGAGATATACTGAGAAATTGTCGTGTAATAATAATTAGTTGCTACGGGTTTAGATTGGTCTTGAGTTCCGTGCCTTCTAACCTGATCTTGATTGATACTGGATTAATCTTCTCTTGATTTCTTCTTCTTACCGCAACTCTCATGCCGATTCACCATTAAATTCTCTATTGTGAAAATGTAATCACTGCATCTTCACTGTGATTATGTATCTCGACATGCCAATGCTACAGATCTCTGAACAGGGGCTGTAGCATGTATTGTAGATGCTGTTGTGAAACAGTATTTTTACTTGTTCACACAGCTCCCCTCTCACCTTACGGTAAGATACTCCTTTCTATATACTTGCTATATATACTATGTTGTAACCTGAGTCACACAAGCTATGATGAGCTGATTCAAATATTCCTGATGTAACAAAATCTTTTCACAGAGGACTTAACTGAAGGGTTCTAACAATAACTGCAAATACATGATTCAGAAGAAAATTTTGACTTGGCAATTTTGAGCCTTTGACATTTATTCAAGTGCGCTTAGCACGTTTTGCACAGTTAAATGGAACTCCATCGCGGTTACGCTGCCCGGGATTATGACACACTGTGATGGCTGATGGAGGGAAACTTTGGTCCATTTTTATCATACACAATATCGATCTATTAATTCTCCTGTTAACTGAGGAAGCTCCTCGAAGAAAATGATTGAGAAATCATTCAATATGCAATTAATTTCTTTGCATTAATTCTTGTTTAATCCTGTGGAGATCGACACCCTGTCTCCTTGAAATTACGAGCCCTGGCGCCGGCTATTATAAAAACCAAGCAATAGTTATTCCTTTCCAGTTCATACAAAGCATCTGTATATGATATTATTTATGATATTATCGGTATAATGACTTTAACAATCATCAACCAAGCGCCAGGCACCACCGTCTTTATTCCAGATGTCCTTCTTCACGGAACCTCTTCCGAAAAATACGGGTTGATCCAAGTTCGTCATCACCAAGGAAATTTCCCCCCACAAACGTTCGAAGTTAACAGCCATAACTTCAAGTTGCTCGTCCATTTGGTTCAAGGTGAAAATGAACTTATCATCACCCAATATTCTGGAAAATTTGTCAATGGTGTTCCTCATTATGATCAAACTCCTACATACAGGCCAATTCAATTGACTTACCACTTGAATTATAAAAAAATGGTGGAAAATCCAACCACTAACCTTTGTCTTCTTTTGGCCAAGGATTCTCCAGGAGTCTTCGACTCCCCAGAATATAAAATCAAACGTGAGGGTAATGATATTAACACTGCCGTTAGAAAACTCAGGTTTGGTGCACGTCTCATGGAAGCTTTCACTCTGGAACAAATGCGTCGTAATGGTTTCGGAAATCGTTGTTTTAGATTCACTGAAGAGGCCGCAATTGACTCATTATCTTCACAGGAACGTGGGAATGTACAACGTGAGACTGTGAAAGTGCATGTTATTCGAATGGATCAAACTGTTGCAGAAATCCATGATCCAAATGTCGCTCAACAGAACCCCAACGGGAATAACACTGGGGCGCTTTTTGGCTGGGCCGCCGATGCGGTTCGCAAGTACATGAACGAAAACCCTGGTCTTGAATCTTTCAAAGGGGAAAACTTTCAAGCTTCTTGTATGATCATGGACGCTCATTGGGATCCTAGCCAGAATCTTCTTTTGGGGCATGCCGCTCTTGGTGGTAATGCTGGAAACTTACGGTTAGCAATCTTTGGATCCCAAGGTCTTTGGTCATGGCCAACTTGCTACGAGGAATTGTACTCCGCTTATAGCGATTGTACCAAGATTGACACCCTGGTATGTGTCAATGATTGTAATGAATGTGGTAGTGCGTGGGAAGCCCTTAATATCTCCCTTGGAGCGTTCTTGCACGAAATTGGTCATCATTTGGGTTGTCCGCATCAACCAAACGGGGTTATGTTACGTGATTACGTGATTCTTAATCGTACTTTCATGACTCGGGAATTCCCTTGTATAAGAACTGGGAAACCAGGATACGAACCAGTATTACCTACTGACGAATGTACCTGGAATAGATTGGATATCATGAGATTTTTGTACCATCCATCGTTCCGCATTCCTATTGATTTCCACGACGACACAATTATTAAAAATGCCTGGGAAATCGCCGAGGAGCCTGTCATCTCAGATATGGAAAATCGTTCGATCTTTGTTACTGCCAATACTGGGGTTTATCTTGTGGAAATTCACGTTGACGGTAATCCACGGGCTCAATTAGAATTCCCGCCAAGGCTCAGTAATAATGGTCCAGGTCCACAAAAAGAATTGGTGCTTAGTTATCAGGATTTGCAAAACCATTTGAGACCAGAGTTCCGAGGGAAACCAATGAAGTTGGAAATTCTTTCCGTTGGCTTGAAACAAGCTACCGTGGAAAATGATACTTGGGAAGATCCCCAACGTATCGAACATGATTTCGGCTTGGGTCGTGGTACTCTTGCAGGTTTCGTCACCAGATGTCATGGTAACACAAACAATGATGATACTGGGATCATTCCAATCTACGGACATGGAGCGTTGTCCAATATCAGAGTATTCCATGGTGGTGCTCTTGATGGTATTGAATTTGTGCATCCAGAAAGCCGAAGCTCTACACTTTTTGGAAAGCGTACCAATGGTTACTCTGATGTTCCAATAGATGCTGATGAATCAGTTGTAAGTTTCAATGTTAGATGTGGTGCCTGGGTTGACGCGGTACAGGTAGTAACCAATAAGAAAGTTACTCCTTGGTATGGTAATGCTAACGGAGGACATGGCGCAGTCATTCAATGTCCAACCGGTTATCAACTCGTCGCTCTTAAAGGCACTGTTGGTGGTTGGGTGAATAGTATCCAAGGTATTTACATTAGGAGACAGAAATAGTCTAAAAACTTTTAGATGGTTAAAAGAGATTGTTTTGCTTAAAGTTTTGAATTACAATAGAGTATAAAAAAATAATAGATTTTATTATTATATAATATGTCTGCAAATAAATATGTAATATGAATTCGAGACCAGAAAGAGTAGTTACTAAGGAAAAAGCAATAGTTCTAACATAGATGTAAACGCTGACAAAAAGTCAACATTAAAGAAAGGTTTATCGCTGAGAGATGAAAAAAATGCAACTATATATTTTGAATCAATCAGAAGATACGGATTATAGAACAGCCAAGGAAAACAAATATTCATTCATAAAACATCACAAAAAGCTAATAATAATAGTAATAATAATAGTAATAATAATAGTAATAATAATAGTAATAATAATAGTAATAATAATAGTAATAATAATAGTAATAATAATAGTAATAATAATAATCTCAATAAATGAGAAAACAGATGAAAAAAGAAGAATTAATTCCGCAATACATTGGGCTGGTCATCACCTTAGAACACACATCACAACAGGACACCCTGAAATAGCTTCAAGTTGAAAAGAGAACAAAAAAGAATAAACAATACCAAATTAATACATCATATGCTCTTTAAATCTTCAATCTCGACCTTAATTTCCGCCGCCTTTTGGGTGATTTTTGTGGATTCTACCAATTCCATTGCTGCTTCAACACATAGACATGGAGTTCCGTCTACACAAAACCCACATGATTCAAATAGGTTTTCATCACTACTGGAATTACCACCAATATTTCCACTATTTACTTTGAAATTACTATTCTCGGGGTCTCTGTCAGAATTATTATTGGAATCTTTGTCAGAATTCGACAAATGGTTGATTTTCGTCTTGAAATGCTTGGTTGGACGTTTTATTGCCCTTCCTTTCGTATTTGTCCTTCTTTGAGGATTTATGCCACCATCGTTACTGGTTGAATAAGTCGGTACCGATAAGCTACGCTCTAATTTCAAAGCCAGAAAATCCTCATCACTATGATGATTAATATTATCGTTTTTTCCAAGCAAAGGATCATCTGGTTCGTAAATTCCTGACAATTGTAAGAACGTTCCATCTTTCACAGAGGCAGAAGCATCAACAGCCGCTAATCCAGCAGAGCCATAATGGGGGAAATTTATCTCATTTTTCACCATAGACGATGGAAGATCAGAAGATGGAACTTTAGATGGGTCTTTATTAGGAATAACACCACCAAGATTTTTAGTATTGCTATCCTGATTATCATGGGAATTTTTCTTTGATTTTGACTGTCTTTTGGAAGTGCTAGAATTAGACAATTTTCCAGCTTTATTCGCCAATTTACGATTAGAGCAATTGGTCCCCAGATTATTGTTGTTGTTGGAAATAGCATGGCCATGCTCTATAGAATTCGTCATATCATTATATGAGTTCAAAGAAGTGGTTCGTTCAAGTTTCACGGATGCGTTAGACAGAAATAGTTTCTTCATGGCATCCGGATCATGATTCAGATTATTGTTCAAAAAATGTGAGACTTCATGGTCATTAGATAATCCTCCCGGAATTGATTTTTTTCTGCGGGGAGAATCAAAATGATGATAGTGGTTGTTAATGTGGAGATTAGTTGGCACTGGCGAAAGCAGCAGGAATGAATTAAGTAGCAAGAGCAGGTCAACATCAAAGTCTGTTATCTCTGAAGTATTAGACATGGTTAGAGAAAGTGATGGAGATGGTGAAGAGGAAGAAAAGCGTTCATCAAGAATGCCATCATCCATATCATCATGATGGATTGAGAGGCTATCCAATGAGTGGGAAATCAGGTTTGCTTTATGGCTGGTATTGTTTTTTGAATGATCCTTCATATGGACATTTTCCATTACCCCTTGTTTGGATTGTTGCTGTTGTTTATTTTTGCGAGACTTTGTTTTTTTAGTTGGTTTCTCAGACTTGAGGAAAGAGTTAAGATCATTCAAGATTTTACTATTGTTGTCAGGGCCAGCAAGAGAACTGATATTATTACTAAGCTTCATTGGGTTAATAGTTTCACTATTATTATCTGATATATTATCAGTTGATGAGCCTTGGCCAGCGCCTTGATTGTTATTTGTGCTATTTTGATTGTCACCTTCATCAGTGCCACTACCCCCAATAACCGTGGTGTCTTGCAATATCTTGAGCAAGTTGATCTCATTACGGAGCTTATCAATAATCAATTTCAATTTTTCGTTCTCTTTTACTTTCGAACTAAGAATCGATTGAAGTTCCGAGTGATCTTTGGAGCTTGATGAGCGTTGCATAGAAACGCTTTGCTGATTGTGAGTATTCATCATAGTCGACATTGATCTATCTAGTTTTTGAATCGGTTTGATGGGTTTTGGCACAAGTGATGGCTGATTTGAAATATTATTTAAAGATTTGGTATTAGGCATTATGTTGGGTAATACTTTAGACTTGTTTAATTGTTGTTGGTTATTTGGAGATTTATTAAGAGTATCTGCCGTTGATTTGTAGTTGAAATCTGTCGGTTTTGGAATACTTGGTTCAACTTCCTCTTTTTTGATTCCAGGGGTAGTGGATGATGCCGTTTCTTGTAGTAAAGACCAGTTCTTTGATGCTGATATTGAAGTACTAATAGGACTTGATGCCTTTAGAAGGTTATCGGTGCTCTGAGCGCTAACCGATTTTGAAATAATGTAGGAAAGTTTTGATGTGCTTGAATATTTGGAAGCAGAGGTAGCGCTCAATGAGTTTAATCCAATTTGAGAACTTAATGAGTCAGTAGCCTTTGGGTTAGATAGTGTGGATGACGATGAGTTAGATATTAGTGGTTTGGCATTGTTTACGGGATTGACGGAGCTTTTAAGAGTGGAAGTAGAGGAGGTTGAGGAAGTAAGAGAGTCTAATGACGTCGACAGGATGTTTTTCAAAGGACCAAGAGGATTATTTCTAGTTGCTGAGATTGTTTGAGAAGGGGCGTTTATAGAGCTTTGTACTGTGGCAAGCAAGGAGTTGGCAATGGGGGCGGAACCGTTATTCCCCAACATCGAAGACCCCAGGGAAAGAAGTTCTATAGCAGTGGTAGAAGAAGACGACAGGGATGACGGAAAGTCCTTGGTCTGTGAAGGACTGGTTGAGGACATTATGCTAGGGTGTGCTATATGAGGGACATTAGGCAAATTTTGGGTAACACTCTATCTGACTAAATCTGGTAATGATGGTGATCTTGCGATAAATCTTTTTTCATTCTTTCTCATCTTCGCGCATTGTGCCATGCAAGCACGGTAGGACTCGGTGGGAGGGACCGGGGGTGCTCACCACGCCGGTCGGACCGAGGAAATATTTTTTTTGTTTATTTCTCCGGACCGGAAAGTGAGCCAGCCACCGGGTAAATAAATGTGTCACCTGATTTACAACGTGACTTTTTTTGTTTGTTTCTGTTTGCTTGTTTGTTTGTTGTGTCAACCTCATGATGATCATCATACGATCATCATCATCATCATCATCATATTTCAGTCACAATGGACTCTAAAACCCAGAAGAATGAAAACCTCAAGCTAGTATCTCTCCAACTCCAGCGCCTCAACCAGCAACTAGCAAAAACAGACTCGCTCCTACAGGTGTCGACGATCCAAGCTCAGTCAGTTCGGAAGTTGGGATTGTACCACGCAAGCTTGTTTATGGCGGTTAACCAGATCACCGAACAGGATATTGTCCAGGTCAATGAGGATCAATCCTAAACCTCATTGGTTCCTGGCGATGGTGATTGACCAAAAAGTTGTTAGTATTAGGCCCCGATGGGCACCCGGGTAACTTACATCTGTTATGATTTTTTGATTGTTTCGTACAACAGAATGAAAGGCAAATCGTATATTATTTCACTGACACATCAATTGTCTAATTTGCTAAAAAAAAATGGCTCCTCAACAACTTAGCCCATGCTGTATTGCCACCAATACCCACCAAGGTGAACCAGTTGGTACCATCCATGAATCTATTTATGGGCTTCCAACTTATGTCTCTGGTGACAAATCTTCTGGAAAACTTCTCATCATTGCTGCTGATATTTATGGTTATAGCTATATCAACAATAAATTAATTGCTGATGCTTTTGCTGCTAAGGGATACTATGTATTGTTGCCAGACTTGTTAAAAAACGACTTTGCCATCCCGGGCAAGCCAGAACTTTTACCAGCCTGGTTGCAAAAGCACCCAGTCTCAGATGTCTCTAAAATGTACATTGACTTTGTCCAGAAGGCAAAGGAAGACCTCAAACCTTCTTTCACTGCCGGTACTGGCTATTGCTTCGGTGCTAAATTTGTTGTGGAAAACTTAACCAAGGATGGTTTACTTGAAGCCGGTGCCGTTGCTCACCCAAGTTTTGTCACCCCTGAAGATGTTGATGCCATTGCCAAGCCAATCTTGATTAGTGCCGCCCAAGATGATGTCATGTTCCCAGCTGTAGCCAGACACAAAGCTGAAGAAATTTTAATAAAGAACCAACAAAGATTCCAAATTGATTTGTTCAGCGGAGTTTCCCACGGGTTTGCAGTTAGAGGAGACTTAAAGAACCCCGTTGTCAAGTATGCCTATGACAAGGCCCTTAGTGACCAATTGGTCTTCTTTGGTCAATTTTCCAAATAATTGTGCAAAATTATAGACATTATAGTTGAAGATTTAGACACACCATATGCTCTAGAATAAATAAGTAAATGGATTGAGAACTGAATTTGGTTATGTAATCGAATATAGACAGTACGATATCAAATAAAATCAAGGACTACGTAATATGAATAATTGCTTAACCCAATATCAAATCAATTAAATATAGATATAAAATATAAAAAGCAGAAACAAACATGATAGTAAAAAAAAAGACATCCTGAAATACACTCTTTAATAAAATTCTCTTTAATTTAATATGAGAGTTCTAAACTTTCAATACCATCACTGGTCTTTTATTTCTTTGTAGCGATGATTGCTGATGAATGCCAACCAGAAGCAGCAATTGCCAAAGCCACTTTATTATTTGGCAAAGAAATTCTTTGAGGTTTAGTGACCCGCATGTCTCTCCAATTACCTTCCATGACAGCAGTATTTGGCCCGAATTTCTCATTAATCTCTTCACAATTACCTAATCCCAAACTTCCACAAGATTGACTCTCAAGACCCCAACTAGCCATTGACCCATCTTTGAAAAGAGCCATGAAATGATAGTCACCCATACTGATATTGATACACTTTTGGTATTGTAATTCCGGTAAGATTTGTGGTTTGCTTTTTGTAGAGCAGGTACGATTTTCGAAATCAAATTGGTCGTAGTTGATGGAATCTCGATCCCCAATGAGCACTTGATCATCGTTGGTGAATACCGCAAAATTACAAAAAGTTCCAGAGATCTTCACAAACCGACAACCGGTACCTGATTTCAAAGTTGTTTTCGATAAATGTTCATTGAATGATAACACTTCGAATGGTTGAGGTTGTATTGTTGAATCAAACATCTCAGGGGAAATGTCCATACGATACAATTTCCCTGTGGAAGTGATGTATAATAAAAATCCGTCACCAATGAAATAATCAACTACTTGGCGATCATTATGAGTTTCTCCTGTGCCACTGATCACTCTATAATTGGCATTTAGGGCAATATCTGGCGAGTCTTCTTTTTTGATCGGATCTCTAGTGTTCCAAAGCACAATACCTACTCCGAACACAAAACACGAGGAAATCCCCCATCCAGCAGAGATTTTCGTGATGCGATTAATGTTGGAATCCTTGATGATTGATTTTTTGGTGGTTGGGTTGATAAACTTAAGTCTGATCCCGAATTCTTGATCGCCGGTGTCCCAAGTCCAGATCTGATTGCGGTTATCTAAGGCAATAAATTGGGTTCTGCCACTGCTAATCCCAATGATCTTGGTGTTTTTAGTTTTTGGAGTTCTTGGAAGTTCACATAATTTGATTGTCGGCTTTTTCAGCTTCATAAGCTCGATCTCCGCTAAGGCTGCTGGGGAATAGAATTCGTTTGCTGGTATTTGCCCCCAAGGATTAGTATCATGTGGTTCAGATGATTGCGGTGGGAAGGAACGGATGTTTACAGGTCCTCTTCTAACATAATGACCTCCAAAACGTGGGATCCGATTTTCTTGTCTTCTGTAGAACTCAATTAATGGATTATAATCTGGTTCACGCGGATAAGTTCCGGGGTCTTTTTCCAATTGGTACCCAATGGTGAAGATGTTGTTCTCCCCCGTCAACACATGAAAGGTGAAACCCCCGGCACAAACATCAACCATGGTGATGTCATGACTATCAGTTATATCACCACTAAGAAAACTTTTCACTTCTGTTGGAGTCAGAACATAAAACCTTCCAAACCTTGGTGCTTGTAAATCTTGTCTAGTATGGCCCAATCTTCCTCGCTCGTTATCACCCCAGGTATAAAGATGGGATGATAACCGGAGCTTGTACAATTCATGCCAATTGGCAGTTGACGATAGCCATGGAGTGGCACTATCATCTCCAAACTGTTTCTGGAAGAGTACCTGGTAAAAATACGAAGATTGTAACATCTGGTGCAAATCATGATTTGGGACCTTGGAAAGTTGTACAATGTCATCGTAGTCCAATTGAGGAAGAAGATGACGCATGATAATATCCTCCCCTAGGGATAATATGTTAGAAGTCATGGTTTGCCTGTGATGCTCTCTGTATATATTGAACTGTCTGGTGATTCGAAGGCGATATCAGGACGTTTGCTTTTTTTATTTTTTATTGTTTTATTTTTTTTTTTTTACTTTGCCTCCTAATTTTTTTAGCCTCTGCCCTATCACTGGTGGCTTGAATGTGGTAATTAATTGTAATTTAAGAATTTCTGATAGACTACTAATTTGTTTTATAATAAAGGGGATAACTTCTCAAGATTTTCTTCTGTTTGTGTGGGTGCTGACGGGAAATGTGTCAGATAGTTGCTGCGTATGCTTCTCTGGAAGCATCATGCCGGTTCCCCTTTGATCAGGAAAATCGCCCAGATAATTGACACCATCTATGTCCATACTGTATTCTTTTCCCCAGAAAGATTCACGTAAGGTTTTTCTCAAAGCATATATTACTACTCTGTAAACGGTTTCCTCTGATAATATATTTGTATAATATCTGCTTGTAATCAATGTAAATTGCTGGTTGATCTACCCACGGTTATTCATCTTATTATCAGGACTTATTATTGTAATATACTCTTCCAAAGAAAGCATATCAGCTATCATCTGAATATCTAGAAAGAATCACCTCGGTCCGGTCTTTCGCCTTCGCTCCTTTCCCTTTCCACTTGACAATAATGCCTCCAACGGATTTAACTCCCAATATCCGGAGATTACCTGCCCTGGAATCCAGCAGTGGGTTACTTCGGTATCCGTGCTGACGAGAAAAGCGTATAAATTGGGAGCCAAATCCTAAAAAAATCTCTATTGATGCATACTCATATGCTATTAATTATCACCAGCATTAATAAATATAGCAAAGAAAATGGCCTCTTTACCTCCTGCTGCTTGCTGCTTGAAAAGAACTTTCCACGGTATGTGTGTGTTTGTACTGCGCGAGGCACAAAAAAAAAGGGGATCATAAACTAACTAATAAACAGAAGGTGAAAGAAAAGGAACCCTTCACAAGAGTCTCTATGGCCTTGCCTCATATGAGGTCGGGGATATAAAATCTAAAAGAGTCCTCATCGTCGCTATCGATATCTACGGACACGATTTCCTTAATACCAACTTAATTGCCGATGAGTATGCTGCTCAAGGCTACTACGTTGTGATACCTGATATTTTACTAGGGGATCCGGTGGATTTATCTAGAGGCATGGAGTCCTTCCAGGAATGGAAAGTTAACCACGGTCCAGAAGTTACTATTATGGCGTACCATAACTATTTGATAGAATTAAAAAAAACCGTGGCTTCAGATGCCAAATTGTTCAGTGTCGCTTACTGTTTTGGGGCCCATTGTGTCATTAAAGAATTGGGCTCCACTGGGCTTTTAACTGCGGGAGCCATTGCCCATCCAAGTAATGTCACTACTGAAGCCATGGAAAACGTCACCAAGCCACTACTGATCAGTGCTGCCCAGATCGATCAAGTGTTCACCACAGAATTGAGACATAAGACCGAAGAAATCTTGATAAAGAATGATGTAAGATTCCAAATCACATTATTCAGTGGGGTTTCCCATGGGTTTGCCATCAAGGGGGATATTAATGATAAAGTGGTCAAATATGCCAAAGAAAAGTGTTTCTATGATGTTGTCAGCTGGTTTGGCCAATTCTAATTTTCATAGATCTTTCTAAAAATTTCTTTAAACAATTGTTAATCTACACACTGAAAAAGGAGTTATTATATTTATGTTACAATTTAATATTTATGTTACAATTTAATATTTATGTTACAATTTAATATTTATGTTACAATTTTATTTGATCATGCAAAAAAAAAAAAAAAAAAATGTGGAGGATGCTCTTCTATGTTTTGTAAGCCAATCATCCTGGAAAACAAAATACTGTACACCCAGCAAACAACGACTGGGATTTTTTTTTCTCAATTAATTAATGTCATATTGCAAATCAGGAAAGCTGAACAGTGGAATATACGCATTATCCTTTCTATAAATCTTACCTCCAAGTTTAGGGGCTTTTCGACTCAATTTCTTTTCCGGGATCTCGATCTTCATCTTCTCCCCAACCCATAATTCCTCCAAACTTTCCAAATTGTCGAAATGGTTGAATTTCTTAATGAAGTTTTGTCCAATGGAAAGAAGTTTTAATTTCGGATAATTTAAACGATAGTCAATCTTCCGCAACGCATTATGTTGTAAAATCAAGGTCTCCAAGTTTGGAATCGCGTTAATATTCTTGAACGATGATATCCCGTTGCACAGAAGACATAACATTTTCAAGTTTGTGAATTTATTAAAATCAACATCCACGTCGAAAATAGAGCAGCCCGTGGCAAACAAGCACTGTAAATTTTTCAACGGTTCCAAATCGCCTAAAGCCTGGATTTCACAACTGCTGATATCAAGGGATTGCAAATTCAACAAAAATTGAATACTAGAAATATCAGACACTAAGGTGGCTCTGATATCCAAAACTCTCAATTTTGTGAGGAATTTGACATTGTAAATATGTTCGATCTCACTTTCGCTGATATCAAGTAATTCCAAATTTTCAAAGTTTTCTGTGCCATCAATCGTGCTGATCTCACTGGTGTTACAGGTAATACTCTTCAAACTTTCCATTTTCCCTGGCATTCTTACTGCCGAGCTCATGGAATTCTTAGCGATGAATTTCCATAGTTTTGTGGATTTCTCCATATTTATCAACGTTTCAATGGCAAACCCTTCCACTTCCAACGTTATCAAATTATTCAATCCTTCAAGATTGGTCATTGGCCCTGCTGGTGCGAACAATGATAAGTCTTCCACTCGATTTCTCACCTCAGCATTAATTGAGCCAAATGATACGGCATCAATTGTAAGCTTCCAGAGTCTGGGAAGTGAATTGATGAATTGTACCACCCGCATTGATTCATGCCAGTTGTAAGGTTCCATAACGTCCATTCCTTCAACTTCTACTTCTCTAATATGATAATTGAATTGCTGCAAAAGATCAGCGTCTCGAGCATGGATTCGGAGCATTCCCGAGGCATTCAGAAACTGCAAGTACCTAAATGGCAAAGATGTGCAGATATATTTTGGCAGCAATTCTCCCTGTTCATCATCTAGCAGTAGTGGGACATCACTGCCTTCCTGAGGCTCTTCTAATGGCCTTGAAGTCCCAGTGAGTCGATCAATAGATTGAGCTGTATAATCTACAAATTCATGTTCAGTTGGAGGACCAAAATCTGCAACTTCATATTCCCCACTTCCACTACCAAACTCTACTTGGTTAGCATCATTTAGTACCATCCTAATCACTGGGGAATTATCAATCGTAAGGGTTGAATTGTTTTCAGATCCGCTAATTGGACCAGCTTCAGAGTTATCATTGAGTTGAGACTCATTATCAGAAAATCCATGCCAACTATCTCCATCATCATCACCATTAAGCGGATCATCTTCTTCATTACTATGATCTGCAATACTTGATGTGGTGTCAGATCCCTCAACAGATGACATATCACCAGATGAGAACTCCTCATCGGTCCACATCCCATCACTATCATCCGACGCAATCATCTCATCGTCCTCCTCATCTTGTATATCTTCATCCTCACTATCATCGTCCTCCTCATTGTAATCCCCTAATATATCCAGCATGTCTTCATCTAAATCTAATTCGGCATCGTAGACAAAACTAACACACTCAAACAACAACGAGTCTACGCATTCGATGACGTCCGCGGTGGTTCTTGAGTCACGAATTGCCACCAAATCGGCTACTTTAAGATGAGGAAAAATGATAAGTAGTAGTTCGGTGGGGAAATCAGTAATCCGTACCATATTTGACTCTATTATTATAGTAGATTGAACAAATGAGGGAAAGACACAGGTTTTGTTGAGGTTTATCACTGAGATTTGTAACTCCACAGAAAAAAAAAAAAAAAAATTCTTTACCTGCCAAGAGGTTCCCGACCCCTAAAGACGATAAATGCGAATAAAACTCTGACTTGCAACCCTTCACAATAGTGTTGGGATATACTGTAATATATTGCATATTATAATAAATAGAAGATAAGAGAGATCTGGGGGAACATTTCCAGCTCTTGGAGGTTCAGGTTGATCCTGGGATATTTACACCACGGTGCGATCCATTAATGATAGTTCCAACCAAGATATCACCAGGTGCTGTTTTTCCATTTTGGTGATCTTTTCGTTTTTAGTTAGGATAGTTGGTTCTTTAGAATCTTCCGGACACTTTTTTTTTTGTTTTTTTTTTGTTTTATGTGCTTTCAATCTCATCTTATGCCAGTAGTTTTATTCAATTTGTAGAAGGAGATTTGTACAGAACCCCATGTTGACTTTGAACTCAAAGCCTCCGGATCTCTTAATTAAATATTCATCTGAAATTTCAATATACATCTAGAGCAGAACATCAATTGATCGTCAAAAGAATAGTAATCTTCATTCATTAAGAGGGAAAAAAATGCATCATAAGAAAATAGTAACGAGATATTCAACAAAGAAACAAAGCAGCTAAAATACTAATAAATTAAGAAAATATGGACAAAACCTTGGCCTAAAAATACACTTCATGAATTCACTTCATGGAGAAGAACAAAAAAATTGGTTAGAGAAAATTAGAAAATCCCAGCATAATAAACAAAAGCCTTAAAAAAAATATTTATGTATGTATAATAGAAGAAGTAAAATCTTTAAAAGAGAGAGAGAGAGAAAAAAAAATTATTAGGATACCTGTCCCACGAAATATTAAATCAGTTAGCCCCTTGCTTTTCACTGAGACTCTCCAAAATCGTATCAATCAATTCATCGACTTTATCAATACCAATATCACAGCATGCAGCTACTAATCTTCGGTACAAACTGATTTTCTTGCTTTTTTCCTTTCTGCCAATCGATTCAAGGTCATCAATTTCTTTCTTCATTTCCACATCTCCATCACTGGTAGTTGGTACTGCTTGTGGGTCTTCGATCTCAGAATCAATAATGAAATTCGATAAGATTTTCTTGGTCAATTTTTCTCGTTGGATTTGTAACTTGGATATCTCCACAAGTGCTGCAATCTTAGATTCTGCAGAGTTATGAGGTAACTCAATGCTCGAATCATTCGATAACTCAAGGATCGCACCACTTTTTTTTGCGTGGTCTACTTCTTTGGTAAGTTTTTGGGTTTGGATTTTGCAAAGCAACTTCTCAAATTCGGAGATCTTGGTGACAAGAATCTCATGCTGTTTTGTGATTTTCCCATAAAGTTTTCGGTGGTTGGTATTGATGATTTTTTTGGCGAGTTCACTCTTACTAGACCCTTCTTCTTCAAAATGATAATCATCACCTCCGGCATCCGATAATGCCAGCGACAACAATTGATTAGCGGCAATAGATGAATTGATGACATTCTTATCGAGATTATTAATTTCAAAATTCAATTCGTTGTAGTACTTGTTCAAATCATAAATCAATACCTGTTTCTTTTGGAGCTCGTTATCATACAATTCTGAAAAACTATTCAATTGCTCCATCAATGAAATTGCAGTTTTCTCAATAGATGAGATCACCACTTCAGAGTACTTAGGCGATTGTAAAACATGAGCTAACGAGTTGAGATCAATTTTGCGGTTGGCCACTGTAGTGTTGATATCATGCTTCTCGATCGAGGTGCTAGTCACCGCTGGAGGGGTGGCAATAATCGTATCATTATCATCTTTTTTGGTAGCGATGATTTTGTTCAAGTTCCTCATGTTGCTTTTATAACTATTGACCAATTTGGGGGTCGATGGAAGATTCAAAACCAACAAGTCACCGGCAGACTGGCCCTTGAGGTTTGTGATATCGCTTTTTGCCCCATAACTTAGAAGAACTTTCACCAATTTTCTAGCCTGGTTATATACAGCATAATATAAAGCAGTGTTTCCTTTGCGATCTGTCATGTTGATGAATTCAGGAAGTTTTTCTTGAGGGTACAAATCCCGGATTTTTGCCAATAACATCTCAGAATAATATCTTGAACTGTTGGCCTTTTGAGGAGAATTAGAAGTGATCCCAATATGATGTAATAAGGTTCTTCCCTTGGTGTCCACTTCAAAGATCGTATCCCTAAGGACATCTAAAATCTTGGAAAACGTTCTTTTGCCAAACGAATTATTGAACCGTACTGTGCGGGTCAATGGTATTTCGTTTCTTTTATTTTTTGCGCGATGATCGGCACCATATCTAAGCAATAATTCAATAATCGGTAGATTTCCCATAGCACAAGCCCAATGTAATGCGGTATTACCTTCAGGATCAATAACTTTATTAACGTAGAAGGTCTTTGGTAAATGGATCAAAAATTCAGGAATGGCTTGTTCATTGACTCCATCATCAGGTCGCATGAAATAGTTAATTAGGCGTTTGGTAAACTCATCGCTTTCATCAAACCAATTAGTTGCATTCTGTTGTGATTGTTTGATGCTGATAGTGGAAATGTTATGGTTATTATTAATATTGTTATTATTATTGATTTTTGCAGCGATAGGAGTAAGTTCATTGTCAAACCCTCTAGGGTCGGTTTTAATACTCGAGAAATACCCTCCACCGTACTGTGAATTCTTATTGTTGATGAAACTTGTGTATGTGGTATCCTTGGCCGCCAATCTACTGGCTTCAATTCCAAGGCCGTTCAAATTTTCAGGAGATTTCAAAACTCTCGCAAGATCAGTATCCGACATGAAATCACTTGGTGATGACGATGGATCATTCTCAAGCATTCTGCGTAAGTGAGCTGCTCTTTCATCTTCTTCTTCAACGTCACTAGATACTCCATGGTGACCATTATCTAGTTGGGTGTTGAAATAGGTATTGAGATCATTTTCATTTAGTGGTGACGATTTTTCATTGACAAAACTTCTAATAAGTCGACTATTCATTGTTGAAGCTTTGACAGGGGTCTGGAATGTGGTGTTATTAGTATTGGTATTGTTGTTGTTATTTATAGTATTATTATTCATGATGGTGATGTCTTCTTCTACAGGTTTAGGTTTTGGTTTCCTTCCTCGTTTTTTCTTTGGTAATCCGTTTTTATTCAATTCCACCTTATCGTCAAATGTTCGCAAAATATCAAACTGTTCGGTTCCACTTTCCAATATCGAGCTCACTGCACTATCAACTGGAGTATTGACGACGGTGGTATCCACTCTTTTTGGTCTTCCTCTTTTCTTTGGTGGAGCATCGGGATCAAATTTCGATTTTCTTTTCAAAGTTGGGAAAGTATTACTTCGCGTGGCTACCGATGGAGAGCCGGTCAAACTCCTTGAGTTATCGATCTTTCTTTTATTGGCAGTGATGTTGTTGGTAGAAGCAGCGCTTTTCAAAGCATGTGTCTTGGAATGATGATGTTTTGGGGCGATTGGCGGTTCAGGATCACCATCCACCTGGGTATGCTCTAATATTGGGGCCAATTTATCGTATACATCGAATCTTTCCGCCAATTGTCTGGCATCTTCCATGGGGATCCAGGTTCCTTGGTATTTACCGTATCCACCTTGGACCTTTTCATGGCTCCCAGTTTGCACTTCTTTCTCCAAGATTCTCGTTCTTTTTGCCTTGGCAAAGCTCGCTGCTTTAAGGATATGTGTGGCATTAACCCAGTCGTCCAGCTTTCTTCTCATGACAGAGCTGCCATCGATAAGGAACTCGTACACTGGAACGTTCGAGTACGTTGCCGAATAAAGATGTGCGGAAGACATCTTGTAGAGTTTGGTCCTGTTTAATCAAAACTTAGAGTAGTACTTTCCTTGTGTTCTGTTGATAGAGAGAAATTGATTGATGTATTTTTTTTTTAGTGTTCAGAGAGAAAAAAAAAATGACACTTGTGTGCTGGTTGTTGATTGTGGCAGCAAGACTGAGAAAATGCTTCAGGCTCCTTTTTTTTGACAGGATAAGTAGGAGAAGAAGTTTTCTTTGGCAAGAGGAATATAGAAGATTTGAACAAGTCCTGGGGATTCAGCGAGACACAAGGTAAGCACAACCGAATACAGCTACTTGTTGATGAATATAATGGCGATCTAACTGCTCCAAGCGATGATGGTGCCATAGAAAATTTTTAGAATCTTTTTGGGGCGCGAAAAACTCCACCAAAACCAGCCAAACGCGTGACGCGTAAAAAAAAAAATATTGAAGAAAAAAAGGGCGCGTCACTTAATCAATCTTCGTTGGTGTTAGTACTAGTATCTACACCATTTGGTAGTTTCAATTAAAATAAATATATGTATATATATACTATATATGGATATACATGCCGAGTATAGAAATCAACACACAGTGCATTGAGCCTTCACAAGTTGAGGGCCTTCCTCCGTTCATTAGGCTCCCAGAAGGCCTAGTAATGATAGAACTTCAAGGTACCATCAACAAACCGACAAAAGTACCAGCACACTACGATGAGGACAAGGAGGATTTCATAAAGACAAAGCTGGGCCATGATGCGGTAAAGATTGGCAAGCTAAGATACGATTTCAATGACCCTAGTGCAAAAAAAGTCGAGTTATTGATCGGTACAAGCCAGAAGCTCATTGGTCTGATCAAGAAATTGGACAAACCTATGGGGATCCTCCAGTTCCCTAAGATGGATAATCATTCCAATATAAGTGATCGGCAGTACTTGAAAACCCAACAGGTTCAGGTAGTCGAGATCATCAGGCACAAGCTTGTGTTCACTAATCGACCAGTGCCGTTAATGGATGATTGATTGGTTTGGTTTGTTTGCCAGAGCTTTTTTTTTTTTTCCTTCTTTCATTTGATTTGATTGAGCCATTCTAGATTGTTGAGGGCATCTTCAATCTTCTGTTGGCGTTTTTCAAACACTGCTTCCATTTGATGGACATTATCTTTGAGGTTTCTAGTTTTACTGGTGAGTTTATCGATGGTTTTCACGTCATTCAAGTGATCTGCCCCGACAAACGTGGTTTTGGTTTCGTTCAATAGGTTGTACGACTGGAGGGAAGGTAGCCCTCTGATTTCCTTGAGCCAGTTATGATTGACGGCTGGTTTGGGATCGGGCATCGGGGATTGTGTTATATTTCTAGTGAGGAACTGGTACAGGAGGGGTGCTTTTTGGTTTACTCAACACCTGTTTTATATCAATAATATTATATGTCAGCAGTAAAAGACGCGATGATACGATTATCAACAACGATATCTCCATCATACTGGAAAGCAAATAAAAATTGGTTTTTGTGTCACATGACTAACAATCCACGCCAAAACCAAGAAAAAATCCACGTAACAGAAATCCTCCCATATAACAAACCACTACCGTTTTCCCATATATGATAATCCCATTCGCAAAGCCATGGCCATATACTCGTGCTGGATATTCAACAGACATTGCAACTGCGTCTACAGCAGGGAATGGGAACCAAAGATCCCCACCGCAGGAAGCAGGCTTTTCTCGCCTTTCACCAACAATAGCAGCACCAGCACCAGCACCAATTCCACCACAACTTCTTCGTCTACCGTAAATCAGACCGCCTCTACTTCTAAAAACGAATTGGGAAACGGCTTGACAAATGTCTCCAATCAAAACGACAAGGCCAAACTTCTATTCGGGGCGATCTTCTCTCTACGTAACATTGCCTCGAAATTATACTCGCCAAAAAACAACCATGATCCTAATGATGAACTGATCAATCCTAACCTGATATCTAACTACTTGACCACTTTCTCCACAAATAATTACAGAGTCCACTACTTTGAATCGGCATCTAATTGGAAAATCGCCTTGATCTCCGACCCAAAATGCCAGGACTTGCAATCTGCCTTGAACTTTATTTACGTGCAATTGTTCAATGATTTTGTTGTGAAAAATGCTTTGAGTCAAATCGATTTTGACGAAGGAGAATATATTGATAATCCAGCATTTATAAATGGTCTTGATAATTACGTTACATCGTTACCTGCATTTACTTCTTGATAGATTTGATTTATTGATTGATTTGTTCTTTCTTTTTCTTTTTTCTTTTTTTTCCATTAGGGTATTTTACTTATTATTTTCCAGTTGATATTTTGCTTGCACACACACACACACACACACACACACACACTCTCTCTCTCTCTCTCTCTCTCTCTCTCTCTCTCTCTCTCTGTACAATACTAAACTCATTTCATTATCATAACTAATAATACTGTAAATTATCTACATCGCATTCAAATTTAACGCTAGCTTGTCATACAGAGAAATGATGATTGAAAATTATAAATGCCACAATTAAAAAGAAGAAGAAAAATGGAAATGAATGAAGAAAAAATAAAAAGACAAAACAGAAACAATAACTTTACCAAATATCAACCATCATTTTTTAGCCTTCTTCTTTGCTGGCTTGTCAGAATCAGATTCAGATTCAGACCCACTATCTTCATGACCACTATCGAATTCTTCTGGAACATCGTCATCAGAAACGTCTTCTTCGTTGAAATCTTCATCCTCACTTTCATCATCATCGTCATCGTCAACATCTCCTGGGCCAGCATCACTACCACTATCGTCACCCAACGCGGCATTCAACATCTTTTTGCCTTCTTCTTCTTCATTCTTCACCTTAATGCCCTTCTCGACTAAGAAACTATTGATATTTTGCTGCTCATCTCTGGCAATATTACCAAAAACCTGGCTGCTGCCGTTACGGAAATTAACCTCCAAATCAAAAGTCTTGGATACAGTAGATGATTGACCAATTCTCGACAATTGCACTGACGCAACCTCTGAGAAAGGAATATACACAGTAGGCTTGATAACAAACAAAATGCATTTGTCCAAAAAGTACAAGTAACCTTCAGAAGCCTTCAATGAACACGAAACTGCAACCTGACCATGTTTAGATACAAAAGAAGATGGAATGGTGATTCTTCTATCGGTTAATCCTTTGAAACACTGAGAAATAACAGTATGGGTCTTTTCATCCTCAAAAGATCTCTTCAATTTGTCTTTATATTTGGCATCGTATTCTTCTTCCGGAATGTTCAATTCAACATCCATCAATTCTTCTCTTGGGAATTGCATGGTCAAGAAAGAATATCTTGTTTGACCTTGGGTCAATGGTGGATCGACTTGAACCACCACTAAATGATGAACATCATCAGGTTTAGGCAAAGAAAATATTCTTTCAATGGCTCTAAATTGCACTTTATTATCATAAGTTTTCCCTCTCAATCTCAAAGAAGATGCATACATGTCAAGATCGTAACGACCTCTTGGGGTCAAGAAGAATACATCCGAGAATGAAACAATAGCGTCACCAGAAACTTGGCCAATACTAGCCTTCTCCTTCAATTGTTCGTAGAAGTGGGTAGCAGCACTTTGTTCTTCCTCGCCCTTTTCCGCATCTTCATCTTCCTCACCCTTTTTAGTATCTTCGCCATCGTCCTCTTTCACGGCAACGGTTCCCGGAACGTAAAATCTCATTTCTACCAATTCGTCCCCTTCTTTATCCCCTTCATCATCTGGTCTGAATTCCACCGTTACTTCATTTTTCCCGGTCAAATTGGTATTATTGATAGTCTTGTAAGGTAACTCAAAGTCCGGTCTATTATTAATATTGAAAATCAATTCACTTCTCGCCATGGTAGTGGTCCCCCAATTCCAACCTCTAAGAATATGGTCTCTTTGTTCTAAATCGATATTCAAATGTCTCTTCAACTCGTTCCTCAATTGGTTGAAATTACTCTGGTCAAACCCATCAAGCATCACCACTTCATTGTCTCTAGTTTGCAAACGAAGTTCGTAACCTTTGGATGCACGACTCCATTGGGCACTTATTATGCTAGAAGATGGCAACAAAAATGGCTTCTTCTCCTTCGATTTCCAACCAAGCCCTGAAGCTGCAATACGCACTCTACCAGAGGCGATGGATTGGTTGAGGTAAATTCTTTCGAATTCTAAATCAGACATCACTTTTTATTTAGAAATAGTGATAGCACTGTATATGGTAATAAAAGTGAATAAATTCCTAACGATTTTTTTGCTATTTGTCTATGTATATCGAGTGGTGATTTTTTTTCTTGATGTTCGAAAAAGACGCGTTTTTTTTTTGCCCAGTCGAAATTTCCCAAATCGCCTTACCCGACGCGTCCAATGGGGTGCACAGGGGTGTATTTGGCAGCTTGTGTATTACTGTAATGGCCTGAATTCCAGCTGTCATTAGTGTCTTTGTTGTTAATTCTTTTGGATAGGAATCGGCTACTTAGGTGAAATTGGGTTTTTTTCTCTTTGTCTTATGTCTTCTTTTCCATGACTTCATAAACTAGTTTCACTATGGGATAGAGGATTAAAAGTAACTCGAAATTGGTATTTCTTCAAATGATTGGTATCTTTGAAACCTATAAATATACTTATGGATATTTCCAATTAGCAGAATGAATCCACCAACTCATGAAGTATATCTATAAATACTTGAATGATTTAGTATCTGCATGGGAAGCTTATATTAGATTAAATCAAGTCAATTTAAATTGAATTTTGTGTAATTTTGTAATATAAAGAATAACTTCGGGTATATGTGAAGACTTTCACTTCGATTCAAGTCAAAACAAAACAACATGAGAAATATAAATAAAAATAGAAGAACCCTGCCAAAAACCATATGAAAAAGATGAAAATAAATGGAAATAGATAAAAGAAATGCGAGCCAATCCAAGTAACAAAATATAAATTCCAAAAATGCGCATTTTACTTGCTTTTTTTATTATTATTAGTGAGGAATCATTTCTCATGCGGAAACAGCGTACAATCTAACACCGGTACCTCCAATACAAGTGGAATTAAAGGTCAAGGACCATTTATTTTCACCTGAAGGGCAAGCAGAAAATGCTTCGGCATCATTGTAAGACAAAATGTTTTCTTCGATCGTGAACCCTGTGGATGGCGATTGTCCTTCACCAACAAGCCCGACTTCTCCGGTACTTGGGTCAACGTATATCCCTCTACCATTAGCATTGGTCAATGAACTATCGGTTTGCATTGTCAAATTAGCATACTCCCCTTCGGATCCCGCAACTGAGAAAACGTGTGGATGGGATTCGACTTCATAAACACCGGCGTATTGGAAAGCACTGCCAGAGTGGATGGTGACAAGACCGAAATATTGTGGTTCTTCTTCGCGCTTGACTGGGGCAGTGAGGCCAGTGGCGAACAGGGAGAAAAGAGTAGCAGCAGTAACAAACTTCATGATGGTTGTTGGTAGTATAAGTGTATTATTTATTGGTTTATTTGTTGGTGATGATAAAATACTAAGAATGTGAAATTGAACCTCCGACTTTCATCAATATTTATACCAATTATTGATTCTTTGGATGCCAAAATTAGTTAAAGTATGATGTAATTTTGCGATAATTTTTATTATTAATTGTGTCATCATTATTATGATTATTATTACCATCATTAATGCCATAATACCGTTATTTTTTGCAATTTATGGTTATGGTTATGCAGGTACACTAAAATGGAAATAGAGGAACAATAGGATAGTTTTAGCAAATGACCGACATCATTCTTTCTGAGAAACGTATGCTGTTAGGACTAGTCAATATGATGTAGTTTTTTTTTGAGGTTAGTGTGATAATTTTATTTCAGTTATCTTTTCGAAAGTCAACATAATTAACACAAATTAGTTATGTTAATTTAGGCAGCCGCTATCACAAACGGTGCCCTCGTTTTCATCGCATCTTGCGTTCCAACTAACAATAATTTGTACTCTAATGTTATTACATTGATGCTGAAGGGAAAATTTACAATGTTGAAAATAATCTAATATATTATTCACTGTTATTGCCACTGGTGCTTTAAACACCCTGGTTTACAGGTTTTGGAACAGTGTATATTATGATGGTTCCAATTTCATCCATCTTTTTCCTTTTCCTTTCTCGTATTCTAATGAAAACTACACAATTTTTATATACTTCCAAACAGATACACTGTCTGTTTTCTCTACTAACCAAGCTATGTAAAGTGATACAGGTATAATCTTTGTAGTGGATTTTGGATTTTGCAGAGGGTGGTAAAGATATTCCCTGTGTTATCCACATTTACGATGCCCTTTTTTTTAAAAAAAAAGTCTATCTTATTTATATTAGTGCAGTTAACCATAATTTAATTCCCTTATGGTTAAGAAGAGTGTTTTCTTTTTTTCCTCAAAATCCTTAGCTAATCCAGGAACCTTTTTAGCTTACAGGAGCACTCTTCTTTTTCTTCTCGTATTTACAATAATTGAAACTACTGAAAACATGGTGAGAGCTATGATGCTATGCTGCCTCACTAGCGAATCTGTATCCTGGAAGTGTATCTTAAAACTCCTTCCCAAAGTAGTGTGATTTTTACAAATTTAATTTCTCATTTCCAAAGAAAATTTTTCGGTATCGAAGTATTTTTCCGAAAGCAGATTCTATAACAATAGAAATGGCAAAGAACACATCCGAAACCACAAATGTCAATTTGAAATACAGAGAGCACAAGTGGTAACCCCAAACACCATCGGGTAAGATTTTCTTTCGAAAGCTCTGGAAAATTTTTGAGTGATCGGTATCCGTTTCGATAAAGGATTATCGGTCACTCTATTCTGTTTTCGTAAGTATATTAGCAAAATTTCAGGTATTGGTTCATAAAACTCTCTCGTCACACATACATTCCATCATCATCACTACTACTCTCCCATATGCAATCTAAAGGATCAAACTAATTTCATATTCGTATTGCTATTTATCCAAATACTCAAATGACTACTCATCTTAAAGAAGTTGCACATTACATTGAACCGTCTTTATCAACCTTCAATCAAGTAGCGTGGTCCGAGGGTCACTAGCTGCAAGATACGGTCCATCGATAACATGAACCCTAAATGGAGAGGAGCCCGTTATCAGAGCAAATAAGCTGATAAAATCAAAAGATAACAATTCAGATTTTTTTTTTGTAAACGTGCAACTAGGGCATTTTTGTGAGGATGCATTGATAACTAGTTTTGGACTTTGCCCACCGCACCGAATGCAACTGGATTAGCCAATCTCAGAGAAGGATCAGCCATGCATCATGAAAACTTAATCGATAAAGCGGACCCCGCCACTTTGTAAGAAAAATGAAAGAAATAGTAAAACGAGCAATTACAAGATAAGTGGAAAAGAAAATCACTCAATCTATTTGACGAGATCAGTAAACAGTACTGAAAGATTATACAAAATAATCAAGAATGCACGATGCACGATAACTAAAGATATGGGCTATCCAGACACGCACGTCAAAGCATGAGCGTTGGGCTCACATAAAGAAATGCAGTTAAAGGTCACAGTTTTTGATAATTTTTCCTCGACGAAAAATCATCAGTCAGCTTTTGAGCCCTCAGATCTTGGAATGGTGTGTACACTCCAAACATCACAGAAAAGATAACAATCTCTACAAAATTTCTAATAAAAATCTAATAACTTATTAATAAATAAACACTCGTAGATTCAACAAACAACCAAACTAGATACTCGAAAAAAAGGCATAACTCATAGCGATCGGCTTAAAAAATGCTTAAAAGACATCACCTTGTTCGTACATGGCGCTGACAACCTTGACGAAACCAGCAATGTTAGCACCAGCAACCAAGGATGGGAAACCTTCCTTGGTGTCAACACTGTATTCCTTAGCAGTTTCAAGACAGTTGTTGAAACAGTTGACCATGATAGTCTTCAACTTAGCGTCAACTTCTTCAAAAGTCCACTTGATTCTGTGAGAGTTTTGAGCCATTTCGAGAGCAGAGACAGCAACACCACCAGCGTTGGAGGCCTTACCTGGAGCGTACCAGATACCAGCACCCTTGACTCTTGAAGCTTCAAAGACATCGATGGCTTCTTGGGTGGAACCCATGTTGGAACCTTCGGCAACGTACTTGGTACCGTTGGCGAGCAAGTGTTCAGCTTCTTCACCAGAAACTTCGTTTTGAGTGGCACATGGCAAAGCAATATCAACCTTACCGGCGTGAACCCATGGTCTAGCACCTGGAATGTATTTGATGGCACTCTTGGTAGAGAAAGCTTCAGAGCTACTGGAGATGATTTGTTCCAAAGACTTGAAGGCCAACTTACCAGCACCAATTTCTTCAATTTGGGCAGCAGTGATACCGCTTGGGGCAATGATGGCACCCTTGGAGTCGGATAAAGAAACGACGGTGGCACCGAGTTGGATAGCCTTAAGAGCAGCGTATTGGGCAACGTTACCAGAACCAGAAACAGCAACGGTCTTACCTTCAAAAGATTCTTTACCGTTAGTGGCGTGCTTGATCATTTGTTCAACGTAGTAAACCAAACCGTAACCAGTGGCTTCTGGACGGACAAGGGAACCGGTACCCCAACCCTTACCGGTCAAGACACCAGTGTATTCATTTCTGATCTTTCTGTAAGCACCAAATAAGTAAGCAATCACGGAACCAGTGACACCAATATCACCAGCTGGGACATCGGTGTCTGGACCAATGTGCTTGGCGAGCTCTGACATGAAAGCATAACAGAATCTTCTGATTTCGGCATCGGACTTGTCCTTTGGATCGAAGTCAGAACCACCTTTACCACCACCAATCATTTCACCGGTCAAAGCATTCTTGAAGATTTGTTCGAAACCCAAGAACTTGAGGATAGACAAATTGACGGATGGGTGGAATCTCAAACCACCCTTATATGGACCGAGAGCAGAGTTGAATTGGACTCTGTAACCTCTGTTGACTTGAACTTGACCCTTGTCATCTTCCCAGACAACTCTGAATTGGATGATACGTTCAGGGATGGAAATGATTTCCAAAGCCTTTTCGTATTCAGGGTGGACTTTGAACAAAGTGGAGGCCTTAAGGGTAGAGGCAACTTCGTTATAAGCTTGTTCGAATTCTGGTTCGTGTGGTTGGACCATTGTGTGTTATTATTATTCTATGTGATTCTAAAGTAATCTTGTGAGGTAAAGATAAAACAAATAAAAAAAAAACAATATCTATAGTTAACGGGGGGAATCACAGCCCTTTTTATAGCAGTAATTTCGGCCAGATGAAAAATTACGTGGATGAATTTTTGCTTGCACCTTATTTTGCTGCGCATGTGTTACATTTCCCAAGGGGAACATCAGAAAAACCTCTGGTGAGCAAGGCCAGAAACAATTATGATTGGGTGTAGATAAAATTGATCTCCATAGATTCTGAGTCACACTCCGGTGGCCGGCGATTACAGTAATCTCGTTTCGGCGGGGCGATCTGTCACAATAGGTGGCGCTTAGTAACTTTGTTTTTCCCGCGGTAAAACTACACCCTCCGTTTCTTTTTTGGGGCGTTTGTATATCATGTGATTTGCAAAAGTTACCCGCAAATAATAACAGGGCTTTGCTGCGGGTGACAACAAAATGTAAACAAAGAAGGGATTTGATTGTAGACCCACAGAAAAATTTCAATAATAATTGGACTCTTGCCTTTAACGTCATTGAGTTAGAATCCTTCACGGTATATGAAAGACCTTTCTTTTCGCCTCCATCTCATTTCTATCCTGGTTTCTTTGACCTAAAATAGCACTATCATCAACTTACTCTGGCTACCAATTACCAGCATATCTTAGTATTTATAGTCAGCGCTCACGAAACTTTACTGTACTTTGGCGCCTGCTTCGAGAATTAGAAAATTCAATGGGAAAGTCATACATCTTTGGGAAATTTGATAAATAAACAATATTAGATCATAATAATTCACCATCAAAGAACCAATTGCTCATAATAGTCACCTTACAGAGTAGTATAACCCTGTATCGTGCCCAAACATGACCAGCTCTAGTGCATTGCCCACTTCGAAAAGAACCAGCTTCTTTGGCAATTATCGAGACACAAAATCATTGCGTTCAAATAATAAGTTGAAAAGAAATTCGCTCTCAAAATCATCTAATGGCGTAACTCCTTCAAAGTCTGAACCAAATGATGAATCATCAATAAATCAATCAATTAGAACTACTACTCTCTTTGGATCGTCTCTCGTTGATGCTCAAAAATTATCCGCATCACATTTTACTGTTGAATACCAAGATGACTATTTCCTTTCACTTGTTATCCCATCAATTGTCAACAACTCTATTGATTATTTAAATAAGAATAATTGTTTGGATAAGGAAGGTGTTTTCAGAGTTGGAGGAAACCTTAAAAGAATCAAGGGTTTGCAGGAGACATTTAACCACAACCCATCATTTGACTATTCTCCAGAGGAAACCAAGGAATTGAATGTTTATGATGTCGCTACATTATTGAAAAGATACTTGAATGCTTTACCTGATTCTATTGTTCCTTCAGATGTGTCAAGAGAAATAAAACAAGAGTTGGAAAACGTTGGCTATAAAGATTTGTTGATTTTTTCTCAATCAGCAAATGAATCGATATCTTTTAAAATAGACTGTCTAAATGATGTGACTAGCACTGCTGATACAGATTTGAAACTCTCAAAGTCTAGGGAATCAAGTGAGTTAGATCTGTTTGACGATTCCAGAAAAAATAGAGCCGTTCTAGTTGTCGATGTGGATCCAGAAAAAGACCAACCATCACCCGAATATGGCCCAGGCCCTTCTGGCGCTAAATCAGTGTCAGTAGTCGACAATAATGATGCCTCTAAAAAAGGCACATCTGCTGATAAAATCGATACACCTCATTCAAGTCCAATAATTCACAACCGGAAAAGGTCTCTTAATAGCAATGATGCTTTGTTAAAGAACATCAATACTGGACGTCCAATGCCTTTAAACTTCAGAAAGCACTCTTTGATGTCTGTACTTTCTCTCTCTGATTCGGCAGCTGATTCAAGAAGTATGAACTCAACAACTGGCAACAATATCAATAGATACAGCAATATACCTGATACGAAAGAATTACCAGAGCTGGTGAAATCTGCAGTTTACAATTTTCTTGATTTTTTTATTCCGGTATTGGTCAACGACTTGAATACCGTAAATTTGGACTTGTTGATTTTCATGCTTCGATTTTTATCATTGCTTTCAGCCAACTTTGAAAAAACAAAAATGAACTCATTTAATTTATCAAAAATTTTCCAAACCTGTTTCTTTTTAAACGTCCAGCTAAGTGGTAACATTGATATTCTCAATGGTGGTTCTAATGGTACTTCTCCCGGAGTTAGTAATCCAAATAGGTTGAGTGTTTCTATAAATGCAAACCAAACTTATCAGGTGGCCAACCCTAATAACAAGCTACAACCTACTTTTACAAGAAACAGTATTATCAGCACAAATAGTGGATTCAGTGGATTAGCTTCAAGGTTTTACAACAACCCCGACAATGGTACTTCTACATCCGTTAATAATAATAACCTCACTGTTCAAACAGGGCCAGAACACGATAATTTTTCTCTTGAAAGTTTTAACTCTGTTAATGTCGATTACAATGTCAACCAATTGGTATTGAAGATCCTCATTGACAATTATGCAATATTGATGGATAACTTGTTCAAATATATTGTTTTGGATAATGCAACTGTTAACCAGAGACTTTTTAAAACAAATGAAGAAATTGAGAAGCTGGATCCGTTGAACTTTTACTCTTCTTCCTTAATGGATGCTACGGGTGGCAGTAAGTCTCCTAATGGTGGTCAAAGCTTCCTGGGGACGGGAATTCATTCAATCCCACCACTAAAAGATCCATCAGTGATCCAGAAGAACAACCCTACTAATATTAATACCAAAGCTAATGGTAATTTTAATTCAAATAAATCCAGATTTGCGAAAGGGGAGGGATCTCACAGCCATAAAGCACGCAGATTCATTAACAGCCCAATTAGCGAGAAATCCCATTTCAATTCGAACTCTCTCAATTCCTCGATGCTGTCAGATAATAGCGCCAAAGAATTCAACATGGTAGACTTGGGCTCCTCTAATGTGAGATCAGATGATGCTACAACCCAAAGAGAGATAGACAATGATGATAGCTCTAAAGGAAAAGGTGGTAAAAAGAAGAAGAAGCTGATCTTCTCGTTCTTACTGAAAAAAAGTAAAAAAAAAGCAATGAAAAGGAATGGCGATTTCAACTTTACTAAAGCCGAGGAGGAGAGCCAAAGAGCTGGAGAACAACAAGAAAGTAACCAAGAGCAGCTAAACAACGAAGTGGAACCATATAATAATAACAATATGAAGAATCCAATGCTCGAAGAACCTCCTAAAATTATTATTAGACCAAGTACCGCTAATGAGGAGGAAGTTTCATCAACTAAAGAAGTAGTGCCAAACACTTTGAAGTCTGAAAAAATAGAATCTGAAACTGAAGTGAAATATCAAGAGTTGAGTGATCAAAAATCACAGATTGAGCCAGTTAATGAGGGGAATGATACACTTGAAATTAAAAAGACTAATAATGCAGACGATACGATTGTGATATCTAATAAAGCCGATGACACTATAGAAGTGGCTCAATATGAAGAACTCTCTGCCAATGATGGCAAGGAAAACAATTCAAAAGATGTCTTGACAAATGTTGAAGAGAAAATTGACCAAGACCAACTAACATCTGCTAAGCCAGTTACGACGAGCAGTGAAGATAGTATTAAAACTGAAGACAATGGTGGAAAAATTGAAAACGAAAAACCTAATAAAAAGGATGAAGCCGAAAGTGCTGCTGGTTCACCAATCAAGGTTCGTGGTGAAGCATCCACAGAATTATCTACCCAACTGTTAAATATCGAAGCCCCTCAACATGACAGCTGCAGTAATATAATAGAAGTACCACCTGCTCTTGCAGAACCAAGTGGGCTCCCTGATTCCAATGACGGCCAAAAATATACCTCCAGTGCAAGCGCCCCACCTCCAGACTTACCAGAGACTTCAGAAATGAGTCTCAATAAACCATCATCCAATAACACTATCAACTCCATCAAACACCAAATCCAAAAATCTAACGCGACCTTGTCGGAAGCATCTATTGTTCAACAAGAACTAATGATCAAATCTGACCATGATCAGCTTAACGACTTACAATCTCCAATTCAAGAGGTTGCTGAAGAACACGAGCAAGACCTCGCGAAAATTCCAGTTTCTGCGAAAATCGTTAGCGCTACAGGGTCAATCAAATCACCAACTGTCCCTTCTCAGCCAGTCTCATCAGCTAATGGCATTATTGCCAAAGACCAAAACAAAATGTTGAAAAGGAAAACGTCGATGGCCAGTTTCTTCAGATCTCGGAAATCTTCTGTTGACACCGAATCTTTCTCGAAGCCTCGCAAAACCATGAGCTTGAATTTCAGCAGATCGAATTCTACCTTGGGCAATAATTTTCAAGCTCACGGGAGTGATGCATCGTTGAGCTCTAGCTCTGTAAAGCTTAATGAGTTGCAAACAAAGGATCAATTAACGAATCCAAGTGGTATTGTGACCAAGAGAGGATTCTCGCTGCTTTTCAAACGTCATGGTGAGAAATCAAAAGTGGTTGGAAGTTCAGATGCTTGAAAATTAAATCAAAACCATGATGCCAGGGGAGCTTTTTTTTTTTGTAGCATCTACTTTTTTTTTTTTTTTTCATTCTAATTTCCCTTTGTTTTAATTGCTTATGTGTGCTTGGCAACTCCCCCACCCCCTGTTTGTGTGTTTTAGAGAAAAATAACCCTTTGTGAACTATTTGTAACCTTAGAAATTTTTTTTTTTTTTTTTTTTTTTATGTTGTTTTTATTGTTCTTTTTTGATCATTTGTATAATTTATTTTGTTTGTTGATTCTCTTTGTTTTAATTTTCTGCGTCTATAATGATTTATTATTAAAATATTTGTATAGAAGGTTTGAATATAAAAAAAAAAAAATTGTATCATTAATTTATCCTACAAGTTCTTGTAAACATCCAATACTATATATTATTATCATTATAAGGATATTTATGACCCATCATAAACATTAATCATCAGCCTTTCTTCCAATGACCCTAAGTCTCTTTACCCCACCGTCGGGAATAATTGTCAATGAGACAAAATTGTAAACTATGTCGTTGGTATTGATAAGTTTGCCGTCTGATTTTTTATAGAAATGTAACTGATGTGGACCGGTCTTTGATTCTGGAACAATGGTATTCCAACGATCATCTTCAAATGATGGTTTTTCTTCATCACTCAACAACCCTTTTATGACGATTTTTTGCGGGAAGTTACCTTTATAGTGGGCGGTGTCAACCACCACTTCATCGATCTTTGTTGGGTATCCTAATTTGATAATCACCCAATCGACGTGCCCAGGGGTTCTGGATCTTTTAGTTTCCCAACCATCAGACATGTCGTGGCCCCTGCCTGGCAATAACAAGTTCCCAGCAGTTCCAAAATGTTGATCGGACCAATCCACCGCGACTCCACCGTTCTTCACCGAGGCAGTATCGATCAATGCTTGAGGATCGGTAGGTAATACTGGGATCACGGTACCGTAGAGTCTAAATCTCGCGATGCCCCCATCAGGATACATTCTTAATCTGGCGTGGGTGTAAGGTTTCGCGGTGGTTCCTTGGTTTCTAACAAAGAAGAATTTCGCCGATGGTCCACATTCCAATTTCGGCAACACCGGTTCCCAAGAGACTTCATCATTGACGATTTCTTCATCGGTGACGGGGGAATTAGGCAAGTACGCCGCTTCCACCGAGATGTGGGGGGCATGATTCCCATTGAAATACGCGGTGTCGATTTCCGCAGCAATCAATTTGGCAGAGGCCACTCCGAATTTGAAGATCACCCAGTCGGCTTCGGTGGTATTATGACGTCTGGTTTCCCACCCGTCGTACCAGGCACCTTTATCGGTGAACCGTGTAGCGTCACGGATTGGTTCTTTTGCTTCGATCAAATTACTGGCATCGGCAAACCATTCATCGGAAAACGAAAGCACTTGACCTTCAACTTTTTTAGCAATGACATCTGTATAATAGAAGTGGTTAGTTAATCAAGAAAAATTGACCATCATTTATTTTATTATTTTTGTCTAATTATTCAACGATTATGGTACTTACCGGTGTATTTGCTAACGATTTCTGATTTGAAAGTGTCTGGTGTGACCGAGGAAACGCTGATCATGATTTGAAGGTTTTACTTGGGATAGAGAGAGAAGGAGAGAGAGAGACAAAAAAACTAAGGAGAATGCAAAGTAAAATATGGAGAAAGAATGACAAAGCAAGAGTAAAAAAAGGGTCATTGGGAAATTTCAACGCCAGTGGTGACTCTCGATTAGGCACGCCGGGTTCTTATCAGCTCCTCTTCCACCACACCGCACCGCGCCGCGCCGGCCGCGTCCCTCGACCAATACGCAGTGCAGTCAGCATTCAATCTTCACAATATTGAAAAGAAAGAAGAAAGGAAAAACCCCCAACGATTGTTTATTAAACTCTAAAAAATCAGTAGAGCTTTTCTTAGCGGAAAACTTACAGTTTCCCAGTCGTAATTAATCTTTCGTGTGTAAGAATGAAGTGGTGATAATCAAGGATCTTTAATAAAATTAAATAAAAAGGAAGATAAAAAACACAGAGAACAGAGACCCAGTGATACATTAACATATAGTAGCCCTGATAAATTGATTATAGGATTAATTTTTTTTTTAAAAAAAAAAGAAATCCAATAATAGGCTGCTGGTGGTCACAGTATTGGTGCTGGGATCATATGTTCAATTATTGAGCCAAATGCATCAGTGTCATCGTCAATTAATGCATATGCTATCCAATCAGTGGAAAGAAACAGTTCTCTAACTCTAGTATAAGGTTTAATATCTCTATATATGGCAACAAGAGCCATTAGATTTACATATATGTTGCCGAAATACTTTGGTGCGGGAGGCTAGTGTATCTGCTGACAGGCAACGTTTCAATGGACATTCTCTGTACCACTTTGCTCTATGCCCCAACTGAAGTTTACAAGGAAGCCAGAGAAGCTTATGTTACTTACAGTAATAATGACGAAGGATATGGTACCACTTATGGAGCCACTGGACCAAACTTCGATTTCAAATTCAACAATTTGATGTTTAGTGTCCCATTCAAGGATTTGTTATTCCTTTTGAGGGACAGTGGAAGCATGGGGGCCGATAATAAATGTATGATCGTGTTGCAAAATGCCGGTTCCTCAACATACATTTTGGGTGATGTTTTCTTGAGATCTGCTTATCTCGTGTAGGATTTGACCGGTGACAAGATCTCTATGGCTCAAGTTAAATATACTACTGAAGAAAATATTTCTTTCATTTGAGAATGGATGAAGTTGATATTTTCAATTTGATATTCATTTCTTTATTTGGAGTTTTTTTTTGTCAATTACATCAGTTATACAAAGTCTGGTTACTATTGGTTATGAATGAATTTTCATATTGAGTTCTATAAGACTAAAATCGGTAGACACTTCATCAAGTCGGCAAATATTAAACAGGAATCTCACTATGATACACATGTATTTATCCATCATTAATCATGAACGGTACAAACATTTCATAAGTTCAAATCATACGTTTCATTGTACATTTTCAAAAATCTCTGAGATGCCAGGTTTTTTCGCATGATATTTTTTCTTGTTTGTCCCCAGTGTACTCGATAGGAATGATCTAAGATGTTTAGGATCAAATTTTCCTAGAGTTTCGATAGGTTAGGTTATCGGATACCATACTTTGCAGTTTCTAGAAATTTGTAGGATTTTATAGTTGTTTTAATCCACGAGAATATGTTAAAGTATGCAATGTCATCTCCTAGGATGCGCGTGAAATATGTATATATAGGTATCAACACTGTGGTTACAATCAAAAATCAGCTTATTGATAGTCATTCCAATCACTTAAAATGTTCACATCAGTGGGAAAAGTTATATTCATACCCGAAATATATGGTTAGTATCTTGAAAACAAGATATCAATAGATCATTATAACTATGAGTGCGGAATATGCTACAAGTTGACTGTTTTCTGGTTATTAAAGAAATTCAATAGAATTAAAATACCAAATTGAGAAGGTGGTTGAAAGAAAAAAATTGGAGAGAAAATAAATAAGCTAAGAGAGTTCAGTTTAATAATAGGTACAATAAAAACTAGGTAGGTCATGTCTCATTGACTATTGATGGTGCACTGAGCATGAGCTCAAGATGCATATTAATCGGGTTATGCCTGTAGAGATGATAGAACATTATAAGAGGCTTCTTCTAGATATTCTTGATTCATCAATTCAAACATTACCAACTCTGGTCTTACACGAAGCAAGAGGAAGGACACTATTATCATCAATAATCCATCGAGCAAGTAAATAAAAGCTTCGTGTGAAATGATAAATCCATTAAAACCTTGTGCAAACTCCACAACTCTGACAACACACCTAGCGAAAATTAAAATGCTTGTAATAATCAAAGTACTGTTTAAAATTTTCCAATCAGTCGGAGCAAGATTCATGGTGCTGGTTTTAATGTTTCCATAACTAGCAGTCGTAGGCATTTTGTTGATCAAATATGTGAACTTGATCTCAGAGAAAATGAAGAAGAATAGGAATATCATTTGTATGATTAAACCAGCAATAACAATTTTTGGCCCAAGATCTTGATTCCCACTTTGGGACATCATTCCACCACCGGCTGATTGAACAAAAAAACTGAAAACGTCCCCCACAACAAAAAAAGTTGTTTGGTACTTGAATTTAATAATGGAGTAGTCTGAAGCATTCAAGAGTCTCATCATTCTGCCGAATACCATATAGATAGTAGCAGCAATAAACGAAGGTGCAATCAATAAAAGAATGGACTGGATAATGTAAGGAGTCAACAATTGTTTATTTCCATGAGAAGGCGTTCTAGCAAAATAACCAACAGCTTCCATCAAGACACCAACCATCAAAGGAATAAACATAGGAAGAACCTGTTTTTTGAAACGCCAAACGTTATTCTGTGATAAAGATAATGAGGATTCATTATTCTTGTTGTATGGGCGTGACCCTCTGGTTTGGAGGTTGACTTTGGAGAGACTTTGAAAAATGATAAAAATATTGTATCCCAATAATACAATGAAAGTAGCACCAAAAATTATGGCACCAGCCATGGTTGGGGTATATTTGTACAATTGAAAATCACCCATTAATAACACGAAATCTTATTAATATTATGGAATATATGTTTCACCAGAGCAACCAAAATACAAAACAATTGTTGTTGATATACTTAATACTATATTATTTAAAAATGATTTCTAATGATAAACTCTTGGTTTATATACAACAAAAAAAGAAACTTCAGCTATGCTTTATGCAAGTTGTATCCACGGAAGAAGGTTTGTGTTTTCCACGGAACCCACCGAGCTCAGCCTTTTCCTGCCTGTTCTGGCTGCCTTGACTCATAAATACACATTATCCCAAAATGAAAAAAGGGAAACATTAAATTTTATTGGTTACATCTTTTTTAGAAGGACTCACCAGAACTTCACAACTCAAGGTAGGGAGGGGGGTTCGTAAAGTGGTTATTATTATTATTACATTTTGCACGTGTAACCGTTTTTTCTTTGACGATACGCTGCATCTGATTTCCATCATCCCCACAATAAACAAGCAATAAGTGAAGAGAAAGAGGGAGAATAACAATAAGCCGCAAAGCGTTCCATAATGAAAAAAATTTCTAAGAGTTCCTCAAAGAGAACTAGCAGAGCTTGCAATTGTTGCAGAAGGAAAAAGATCAAATGTAATGGAATGCTCCCGTGCATCAATTGTATCAACTACAAAACAGTTTGCATTTATGATTCAGAGACATCTAAAAGTCGACAAAATTACAAAACTCCTTCAATTGTCTCTAAGTTACTTTCTAACTTGAGCAAAATTGGCGAGGGCGATATTAAGAACAATCAATCACTTTTTTCTGGCCTTGACACATTGAACACTTTACTTGAGCAATCAATAGATAAGGCTCGATATAAGGAAGAAGATCACAGTCCATCATTATCTAAGGAAACTCTAGTATCAAAAAATTTCAGGAAAAACAGATTTTCTAAGACTGCAAATGGTTACTGTATTGTGAACTCTTTTTTTGGGTTGTACTCATCAGTCTCATTGTTTTCGGGCCCTGGTTTAGCCTGGTTTACTGATACAACTATGAAACATAACTCAGTTTATGATTTAAATATTTTTAGTGAGAAAGAACTCAAAAACTCTATGCACTCACGATTCATGAAAAATTTAGAAAATTTTGAAAAGTTAAACGTTATTTGGTCTGAATTTTTAAGCCTAAATGATGTATTGGGATTTGAACTAGATGAGAAAAAATTTTCATATCTTATTCAAAAGCACTACTCTGACCCTAATATCAAATGTTATGTTTCTCAGTCAGTATTAACTAGTATGGTAAATGATTTTTTCAAAGATAGACAATCGTGCTTTCTCCAAAGAAAATTTCTAGTACTATTTTCATTTATTGTTTCTGCATTACCATTATCATCAAGCCTGGATCAAAAATTGCAAACTGATTGCCTTAGAATTTGTATATTTATTTTTAAACGTTCAATGTTCAGTGTGAAGAATAATATTGAATTTCTAATAGGCCTATTACAGCTTTTATCCTGTGGAGAATTAAAATTATTTCCTGAATGGTTTGAGTCTATTCTAGCAGAAGCAATAGAATACGCATTTAAGTTAGGATTTAATAGAAAAGAACTATACGTTGGGTTAGCTGAGACTGATGCAGATTTGAGAAGAAGTATTATGTGGGACCTTTATGTTCTTGACAAGAAAAATTATTTATTTCAGAGTAGAAGGATGTACATATATGATGATGATATATCATGTTTATATCCAAATTCCATGGAAGCAATAATATCTATCCCGCCACAATCTATCACCACAATAATGCAGGAAAACCAATTGTCAAACTACATTGAATATTATCAGATAAAATTAGCAAAAATAGTCTATAAGATCCACAATGAATTTTTATCAGCAAATAGTTCTTTGAAACTTGCTAACGCTGAAACACTTGATAAGATATTGACAGAATTCGAATGTTTGAGAGGCTCAATGGTGTTGGAATTAATGCCTGGGTCAAAAATTATGAAAGATACTTTTAGTAAACAGGATTTTTGGAAGATAAGTTCATTTCATTTACTTTTCTTTACTTATATATTATTTTTGATTTCAAGCTTGAAAACACTACCAGATAGGAAAAAACCTCAATATTCGGTATATTTTCATAAAGCCACTGGATATGCAATGCTGATTTTACAATTATTTTTGGATGTTAAGGATAATAATGAGCAGCAGGTCCTTCCCGAAATTTGTGGACCCGCAGTGGTAAGTGCTTTTGTCTTGATTGAAAAAATTACTCAGAGTCCTTTGGATGCAGAAACCCCTAGAATCATTGAGATATTGTTGAAATTTAGGAAGCAGTTGGCAAACTTTTCTTCAAGAAGTTGGAACCATTTCGGTCAATTCATTGATTTATTTTTGGCACCGACAACGAAAATATTTAGAGAACTTTATAAAGACGGAATAAGTAATGAATTGGCTAAATTGATTGATGATCTTTTGCAAGAAATTCCCACTGCTGATGAGGTCCAAAATAACCCAGAAGCTTGTGGCTTGAACAATAAAATTGAAAATTTCAAGGAAATTGATTTTCACGACCATTTTCTTTCAATTTTCGAATCCACAGATCCTTTTTTTTTCTTACAACCTGGTTTCGAGGGCTAGTAGTAATGAGGATAAAATATTTTTTCATAAAACTTTTTAAGCACAACTTTCTTCAAAACTTTTAGTGTAGCAAACAGTATTGTACAAATTGCCTGGAACCCTGAAATGAATTAATTGAGGCGGTGGTAAGTTGAGTTGCCAATCATTAGGCAATATGGAGACAATCAAAGGTTTTTGGATTTCGCTGGGAAAGTTAGAATTATTTACAAGTGGTGTATCGATCGGATTGCCATTGAAAAACCCGGTCCAAGTTTACTAAATAAATACCTTGATCTCTATGTTTTTGTCATCAGGTACAGTTGACGAGGAGCTCTATAGTGGACAGGCCCCAGCATGATGGAAATAGAGCTACTAGTTATAATAATGCCATATGAGCATTACTAGTTATTGTCCCATCGATATCCTCGAGAAAACACTAAGTATTACAGAACCAGCATCAAAGATTCTCAAAAGGTCAATCCAATGAATGTAGTCAAAAAAAAAAAGGAATCTCACACTGCAAGTATTATTATCTCATTCGGAAGTCCAATGTAATTATATCATTTCAAATATTCAATTTTCCGTTGTGTTTTGAAATACTGTTGGAAATTACGAAACTGTTGCCCCATACAGAAAACAGACCCACCTCACACAACAACAGTAAATGATTGTTTTTACTTCCCTACAAAAAAAAAAAGATGTTAAGTATCAGATTGAAATATCAATCTCAATTAGCATAAATAGTAAATAAATGGTAGTTATTAAATAACAATAGTAGTAGTAATAATAAAAAAAAAACAAACAAAAACAAACAAAAAAAACAAATACATCAAAGAATATTTTTTCCTAAATGTTTTTTTTTTTTAATAAGACTGTGTAATCTTTATCATAATTAGAAGATAAAAATAAATAAATAAAATAAAAAGGAAGATAGAAAACACAGAGAACAAAGACCCCAAAAAAATATAAAATTATTATAATTATCATTCTAAATGCTTAATTTAAGCATCGATCAAGTTTTCATCGACTTTATCTTCTTGTTCATCATCTCTGTCAGCGGTACTATCTCTGTCGTAGAATTCGTCCAAAATCTTTGGCGAGATTCTGTTCAACAATTCCTTTGGATAGATTCTCAACAAAGACCAAGCTTGGTCCAATGATTCAAACACGGTTCTATTTTCGTAAGCCCCTTGAGAAATAAAGGTCTTTTCGAATTTCTCCAAGAACTCCAACGACAATTTATCTTCGGTCGACAAAGCTTCTTCACCAACCACGGCCTTCATGGCGGCAGCGTCTCTACCAATGGCGTACTTGGCGTACAATTGATTGGAAACATCACCGTGATCCTTACGGGTCATCCCTTCCCCAATGGCACTCTTCATCAAACGAGACAACGATGGCAAAACGTTGATTGGTGGGTAAACCCCCTTGTTGTGCAATTGTCTATCGATAGAGATTTGCCCCTCGGTAATATACCCGGTCAAATCAGGAATTGGATGGGTGATATCATCGTTAGGCATGGTCAAGATTGGCACTTGGGTGATCGAACCGTTTCTCCCTTCGACTCTCCCGGCTCTTTCATAAATTGTCGATAAATCGGTATACATGTAACCTGGGTAACCTCTTCTACCAGGGACTTCTTCTCTGGCGGCAGACACTTCTCTTAAAGCGTCGGCATAAGAGGACATATCGGTCAAAATGGTCAAGACGTGACGTTCGGTTTGGTACGCCAAGTATTCGGCAGTAGTCAACGCCAAACGTGGGGTGATAATTCTTTCAATAGTTGGATCGTTGGCCAAATTGAGGAAAAGCGCGGTTCTTTCCAAAGACCCATTTTCTTCGAAATCTTGCTTGAAGAATCTAGAGGTTTCCAAATTGACCCCCATGGCCCCAAAGACAATCGAGAAATTTTCTTCGTGACCATCATGAACATCCTTGGTAGGACGCACCAACCCGGCTTGTCTACATATTTGCGCGGCAATTTCGTTATGTGGCAACCCAGAAGCAGAGAAAATTGGAATCTTTTGACCTCTGGCAATGGAATTCATGGTATCGATGGCAGAAATCCCGGTGGAGATCATTTCTTCAGGATATGTTCTGGCAAATGGGTTGATTGGTGACCCGTTGATATCCAAATAATCTTCGGCAAACACTTTTGGACCATTGTCGATTGGTCTACCAGACCCATCAAAGATTCTCCCCAACATATCTTCAGAAACCGCCAACTTCAAGTTTTGCCCGGTGAATTCGACAGTGGTTTTCTTGACATCAATGCCCGAAGTCCCTTCAAACACTTGGACAATGGCCTTATCCCCTCTAACTTCCAAGACTTGACCGGCTCTCTTGGTACCGTCTGGTAAAGTCAAGTTGACAATTTCATTGTAAGTTGGGAACTTGACATTTTCCAAAATGACCAATGGACCATTGACACCACCAACGGTGTTATAGTTCACACGTGGCTTGATTTTGAAACTGTCAACAAGAGCTTTCTTGTTTAAGTCATCTGAATTGTGTTAGTTTGTTGATATTCACTGATAAGAAAATGGAGGCGAGCGGTAGGGGTTCTCACCAAACTCCACCTCCTCTTCCTTGTCTCTTTCCATATAGTTGAGCCCCATTTATTATCCCAAAAAAAGAGTGGTATTATTCAATTGGAAGAGTTCCGTATTGATACCATCAATAGTTTCAATACTTACAAAGTTCCTTGTCAGATAACGTGGCAGCCATTATAAATCTATTATTCTCCAAGTTTCTAGTAGGCGCAATTCTATTTTCAGTCGTTGACAACAGTGTCTATTAGTTTAGCCACAAGATTTGGTAATTGTTTCCCGTCTTTTTTTTGTGGATTTTTTTTTTTTTTTGAAGCAACGTTGGCTAATCAAATGGTAATAATGTTTGAGATACAAAAAAAGAACACAGTAGAAGAGCCCGCTATCAATGTTTGGCGTGGTTGGCTCAAAATTCCAATTTTCGCAGTAATTTTTTTTTTTTCTTCGTCAAAGGCCGGGCAATCCACCGGGGCTGCAAATAGGAGTATCCCACCAGCTTATATCTTTATCGTAGTAATGTGATTATATTACATCATATGATATTATGTCAATATTTATTGTTTTATTTATTGTTGTAGTATAAATTCCACCTTTATTATTTATATGTTATCCAAGTAAACCTCTTTACAAAAAATATCAACTAAAAATAACGAAAATGCCAACATATAAAATCATATCTACATACCATCATCTTCTTCTTTCAATCTCCCTTGAGAATCTCTATCATTACCCCGGTTTCTTCCGGCAAAATTAACCGTTTGCTCAACCCCAAAATCATTGCCCAAGTTCTTTTCCAACTTCCAACCAGTGGCAAACTTCGGACTGAACATTGGTAAAGGATGCGCCTCGGTATTAAACACCACTTTATTCAACGGAGTAACGTTGAAATCCTCCTCAAATAACAAATACAAATACTTCAATGTCTCGGCCAACCAGAAAGATTCCATGTTATTTCTGAATCCCACATTGTCTGGGTTGGTGACATCATTAATGGAATCGTACCCTTTGCCGCCAATCGGCACTTTAGTGTACTTGACGAAATTCTCAAAGATTTCCCACCCCCATTGACGGTAAATCGGGTCCTTGGTGATACGATACAAGATGAACAAACTCTCCACGGTTTCTGGACGCTGCAAATTGTGTCGATCATTTCTCTTGATATAGAAATCCCCATTGGCAGCAGGATCATCGTTGAACACCACGATTTCTGGAGCTAGCCCAGTTTCCGTCTGGTGGTACATCATATAACACGCTTTGGTGATTTCTTTACCAAGTTGCAAATCATCGTTCCTGGTACTGGTCCAAAGATGATGGCGTCGGTAATCTTCGACGGTTTCCCCATCGGTGGCCCCCAACGCCAACAACCCTCCGTAAAAACATACCAAATGATCCATCTTCGATGAGAATTGCCCGTTTATTCCATGTTCAAGTTCCCCAATGTAAGATAGTCCACTAGGTCCCGATTTCCGTACCATATGCTTTTTAACCCCGTTGACCGATTCCCGATACAATTGGGCATAAATTCTTTCCCCGGTTTGCAAATGTTGTTTCAACAAGTACTCGTAATAAGAGTCGCCTCGTGAGCCTAACCTGAGCAAATTTCCCCTGAACTTCCCGGTATCAGGCTGGATGAATATCGGCACCAATCCATCGGTCGGTTGGTTCACGTTGTATAACACTTCGATCACTTTCTCGACTTTTTCCCAGTACACCGGATTACCGGTCAATTGCGCCAAATACTTGAATTCCAATTGTAAAGTCGCCACTTCGGCGGTCGACGACGCCCCTGCATCGATCATCGATGGGATACCTTGTCCGGTATGTAAATTGACACTGGAGTAAGGAAGCCCCGTGGCAGAATCAAACGCTCCCAATAACCGATCGGCCAAATCAATCGCTTTGTCCAAGTACAATTTATCGTTATTCGACAAATGGTACGCCGATAACAATCCCCCCAACATTCTAATGGTGGTTTCAAACGTGTTGACTTCGTAGTCCATGTCGTAGTCCAATACCTCGTCGACCCATTTCCGGGATTTCTTGATCTGCGGCTTCAATCCCATCAAGTACAAAGTATCCAAAGAATCAACGATCATCCACCCAAGCGGTTTGGGACCCATATTCTTCCCAGTTTTGCTAATGGTTTTGTAAACGTCGGTGCCCCACGCGTGGTCGGCATAATCATCGAACGACTCAACAAACACTTGTTTGACTTTGTTTTGACGCGCCACATTGGCTTGAGGTGTGTTGATGAACGAAGAGGAAGAGGAAGCAGACGATGGAGATTTCGTAAACCACGAGTAACCAAGGTACAAGATCACTAGTAATGAAAGGAGTTTGCCCAATTTTTTCTTTGGGAAGAGCCACCACTTCTGGTTTCTGGACGATCCCAATGAGCCATATTCGTTGAGTTTTGGCTTTTCCCGGTAATGTGTTGGCAATCCTGGTTTGCTCGAAGGTTTCCAAGGGTCTATCGTTGGCATCTTTGGGAAATCAAAGATAAAGTCCAACAAATATTGATAATTGAGATAGAAATCAGGAATAATAATAACAAGAGCTATCTCTCCTCCCAGGCTAAAAAGAATTCCAGCAATTGATGGGTGAAACTAACAGTGTTAACTTGAGTTGACACCGTCGTTGGCGCAGTCTGCCAGGCTTTTTTTTTTTTTTTTCACTGTGATTTTTTGTAGGCATTGATTGCCCGGAGATGCCAGGTGTTCAACATGACAGGATACGTCCTCACTTTGACACATTGTGATTATTTAGATCTTTACATTTATATATATATATATGTCATTTATAGAAAGTGGAAAGTTTTCGATTCTGTTGACATTGGTACTTTTCAATCTTAGAAATTGTATTGAAATTTTATTCGGAATTCTAACGAACTGTAATATAAACTTGGTCTCATGTTAATCGACGGATTGAGAGCCTTATATTAAAATTCGATCTACTAATGATTGTAACGAATAAAATAAAATGAATTGCTAAAGTAAGTATAAATACTGTAAAAAGGTTTAAGCGTGTCCTTTTAAAATAAGAATAATAAAATTGGAAAAACGAGAAAGATCGTTCTATTTAAGTAGTTTGATCTTCTCTTAGAACTATTATATTGTTCTAGAAGATAATAGAAGATAATAGAAGATAGTATAAAGTTATATAAAGCAATAGAATAATTGTCCTGGCATGTCCAAGAAACCTTATTAGGAAATTCTTCAAAATACTACGATGCTCCACGAAGAATTATTAGTGAACTAATGCATCCTAGAAGTACGTTGACAATAGTATTATGATACCTTGGGCATGACTTATGCTACACGAACAATAACAAAATTCAATCGTGGAGTTTACTTATCCATTGACAATCAAAACATTTTACAATTAAAAGCTGTCTGTTTATATTTATAGTACAATAACAATATTCACATAATAAACCTTCTAGAATGATAATCTGATGAAGAAGCTTCTATAACAAGAAATACCTAAAAAAAAAAATAGAAAAAAAAAAAAAATTAATAATAATAATAATAATAATAATATATATATACATAACATAATAATAATAATAATAATGATAATTTGCAACATTAATCCACAAACACAACCAGTTTTTTTTCTCATTTGGTATTCCCAAATTATCAGAATCAATGAGCAAAGTAATCCTTAATGACAAAGATAATTCAGAAGATAATAATCTCTAAATGACAAATAATAATCACAAAATAAAAAAGTCAGCCCCCCTCCTCTCTACATCTCTTCAGCGGTCAAATCAGATTTGATAATAAATGGCCGGCCTCTCCAATCAATCGTGGTACCCACCATCGCGTACACCCAGATCGGAAATGCCAAGATTTCTCTCATAAACCAATAGAAACTCCATACTAGCACTCTGAAACACTGGCGGGTGAAACCCGACTTATTAAACCTCGACCATCTTGGCGAGTGAAGCAACAATTCTAGATCGAAAAACCGATTATAATCAGGCTCAGTGAAAAATGGCCGGATATAGTTACTGGAGTTCATGATCCGTGAATCTTCCGCCGCCGAATATTTCAATAATAACGCAAATTGCAAGTAATCGGTGAGATACCAGACTATAAAATGGAAAAATAACCACGATATCGAGAATTTCTGCTGGAAGAATAACACCGACACCGCAAACGTCCCATAAATCCCTGCGACGATAGATTCGGTGGTAGGTTCAAGTATCGTTGCCGCTAATACCATGTATTTTCTCACTCTTAGCCATCTAGATCTTCGCAAGATATAATCTTTTATACTACTGTTTCTATTCCCCAATGGTTGAATCACACAATCCCCCGTCAACCCTGTACGGCCACCGATATCCCACAACGCAATGGCGATCATATTATCCTCACCAATGAATTTCGAGAAATACCGGATCCCATACCCTTTGGTGGAACCATAATAAGCGGCGTCCTTCAGCAAATCACCACTTTCCCCATCAACGCTGGGCATTTGTCCTCGGCCAATGTGCTGCACTGCCATATCGATATCCGAACGTCGATAAAGATTGGATTTCCCATTGACGCAAGGGGCAACGGCCCATCTATCGAACCCCACGTAAAATTTCGCGTGTGAAGTCTTAAGAAATACTTCGTCCAATTTCGACCCAATGTTCGACCACCACGATGGTCCCATTAGTAACTGTGACGATTTCAACGATACCGCCAACGGTAAATGATGCACCACTTTCACCGGTTTCCCCTGACCAGTACGACGATCATAAGTTTGTCGACCATTATCTAACGAATGGTGCAATGCGTGCACCGATCTTAATAATGTCCCATTCGAAGCCCATACGTTCGAATCCATCACCCAGATGATATCGTGTTTCGCGGCAACAAACCCTTTGGCAAGATTATTGATTTTCGGGTTGGGACCGTAATGGTCAGGATTATTGGGATCGCCAATCATGAGCCGGGCATCGATGTTAGGATACTTGTCGATCAAGGTTTCGACAATAGGGATCACCGGATCTTTGGGGTCTTCGACACAAAACAACACTTCGAGCTTGGAAGTTGGGTAGTATTGAACAAATGAACTTTCAAGACATGATTCCACTTGGGCATCAATACCTTTTAGCGGACGGATTATCGTCACCCCTTCGACGGACCCTAGGTCTGACGATGATGATGATGATGGCGGCGTGGCAATATCAGTAATGGAATGGTTAAACTTCCTGAAGATTTCCACCACCCCTAGATAGGCCAAGGATAATACCACAAAGTACCATATCAAGAAGATTACCGCGAAACCGTACGTGAGGTTGGAGATTTCTGACGATGATGACAATGAAGGTGATGATGGTGATTTGTCGTTGGCGATCGCCAATCCCATGATGCTGGGTAGTGGTAGTACCAACTGGACAAATATGTATTGCGATGGGAACAGCATTGTTTTTTTCTGTTTTTTTTGTTTTTCTTGTTGATTATATCATTGAGCACAGTTGTTGTTCATTGATCTTCAATGGTGTAATGAATGTAATTATTTGTATAAACATCGATTTATTTAACATGTCCACCAAGAAAAAAAACTACAAAAAAAAAAAAAAAAAAAAAAAAAAAAAAAAAATATCCGAAACTTCCAAGCAGCGACTCCACCACAAGTGTATTATTATTACTACACAGTGGGCATTTTCTACGACTTCTGTAGATATATAAGAATGGTATAATATAATTAACAATTAACACAACTATGATTGAAACAAAAGAAGGGGGAAAAATAAATAAATATATGTATATAGTATAAATAGCAAAAAAAAAAAAAATATTACCAAATTTTTCAGCAAATTAAACAACCAAGAACAAAAGGAAGAACCGGGGGGAAATAAAAAAAAAAAAAAAAAAAAGAAAAGAGAAGAAGAGAGAGAAAAAAAAAAAAAAAAAAAGATAAAGTTACATATATCAGGTATAGTAGAAATTGCTACCAATCGCCGCTAATTCATCATAACTGTAATCAAACTCGTCCTCTTCAATAGCCAGAGAAAGCGTACTGGAGTCTTCGAAAGTTTCTGGGCTCTTTATTTTATTCCTCTTCAATTCATTTCGATAACTCTTCTTCAAAATATTATTGAATGAATCACCACCATTAGAATTCTTCGAATCCAAAGAGTATTCGTTGCTCAAAATGTTTTGGAAATCACGCTTGATGAGCTTGTCAAAATTGTCGAATTTGATGTCGTCAAGTTGTTGGATCAAGAATTCATGCATGGTTTTATCGTCCACTTTATGGTTATCGATGGTGACGTCGTTGATGTTGAAGTTGAAAATGGTGTTAGGTAAGTTCATACTCTCAATGGCATAAATATCCTTCAACAGAGAAAACTGCATCCCCCGCTTGATATCGAACAATTTCTCCATGTGTGATTTGGTTTCCGTGGTGACGTTGGCGAAATTGAATTTGTTAATTAACAACATCAAAGAATCGATCCAAAGCATCGAACTGTGCTTGTTGTCAATGTAGAAAGTGAAAAACGCGTCGTTTTCATGATTGATAAGAGAAATTTTCGTAGTTCTGTTACCTGAGCCCATCCGGATGAATCTTTGATAAACCGAACCAAGGTTCTGTCTTTGTTTGGAGTAACCTTCCATTACCGACGAGCTACTAATAGACACCGCACCACTAGACACCGACTTATCATCATTGATGACAATTCTCTTGATCGATCGGATAGGAATTTGATGACTGTTGTCAGTATCCAAATCCATGTGATTACCATTATGGAACGCTTGATTTTCCGAAATTTTTCTATAAAGGATGGAAGTCTTGTTGGTCGATAACGCCATGTAAATTCTTTTCTTTAATTTCAGTTTATTAGTAGAATTCATGCTGAAGTTGCTGCTGGCAGTGCTGAAATCAGGATCATCGTCGTAACACAAGCACCCCACCGACAATTCGTTGAAACGTTCATTGATAATGAAAAACTTGAGATTTTCAATAAGAAGCTCGTCGAAACCATTCAAGTCTTTCGAGCTCATGACGTTCATGTATTGATTATCTCTAAGGAACCCTGATTCGATGTTTCGAATATCTCCATAAGACAACGCCAACGATTTTTTTTGCACCGGGGCAAAACTTTTAGCATGGAGTAGTAACGAGTTGATGAACTTCATATCCAACTTGAGCAATTCCAACATTGCTGTGATATCATTGGCACCGGTACTGTCGGCGTGGGATTCTTCCCAATACACCAACGCCTTGCTGGCCAATAACGCGAAGATTTGATCGAAATAGAGAATGTATTTGTGGTAAATTTCGGTGTTTTTGGTATTATTGATGGCGTTGTGCGAATGAAGCAATTGGGAGATTTCGAACAACATCTTGTTCATTGGGAATCTTTTTGCTTCGGACGACACGAGTAAATATTGTTGTTTACATTTCAATTTGAAGCGGTTGACCGAGGGTTTGATGAGGAAAGTGATCACGGTGAAAATTACCGGGAATGAGAAGTGGGAGACGATATAAGCGCTAGGGTTTTTAGAGAACCCCAATTTGTGGAAAAGCACGGAAGTATCCTTGTATTTCCCCAAAGAATTACCGACGTTCAAATGGTTGAAGTTTTTAATCGATTGAACGAGGGTGTTCAATATGGTTTGATGAAGCTGATTGTTGTGAATGTCCACGGTAGTGGAGGCTAAATTGTCGAGAATCATTGCAAACGCTTTGATGTAACAGGTGTTAAAGATACTGTATAACTTAGTGCTGACGGGGAATGCCACGACCCCGGTATGGTTAGCGTTGAACTGGGATTTTTCAAAAATGTCGTTGATGAGCTCAAAGATGTTTTCTTGACAAAAGATCATGAATATCTTAAGAGCATAATTGGTACGTTCTATTGGGGCGCAGATCATGGTGATCAACATCACGAATTCGATCGATGACGGGGCCAAATTTCTGCTGGTGGACTGGAGTCTTTTGGGGATATTCTCGACGATTTGGGGGTGTTTGATAAGAACCGACATGAATGTCTTGTAGATGTCGCCGGGGGCGGCAGCATTGACCTCTAGGTTTTCGAATGAAACCAAGTCAGTTTTAAGGAGGGAGTTGATGATCGAGTACGGGGCGTCATCGAAGGGGTTCAAGATGGCGTTATTGACGATGGCGGCGACAAAGTTGTAATCGCATAAATATTTTGACAAGCCGGTGGAGTTTTCAGGCAAGAAATGGGTGAGGTTGGAGAGAGTGGCGATGGAGTTAGCCTTTTCTTTGTCGTGGGAGGGAAAGGCGATGATGTTTCTATGTAAAAGATCGAGGAACGAGAGCGCCATATTCAGGGATAGTTTGTGGGAGCCATTGCTGGAGCGGATTTCTTTTAGGTAGTGGTTGATACTGGAGGAGTCTTTGAAAGGCGGGTCTGAGGAGGTCATTATCATTGGTGAGTGGGAGGTGGAATGGAATGAAAAGAAATGAAATGAAATGAAATAAAACGAAATGATAATGGAGATAATAATCGATAAGTTATATACGGGGAAAACAACTGGTTTTTATTTTTTTGGAAGGAGGAAAAAACCAAAAGAAAATTGAGTTTGGGCGAATGCGGCAGGCGGCGGCGCCGTCAAAGGTTAAACGGAGGGGGTGGAAGGACGAAGGAAGGAAGTTACGCCAGTTGGAAGAAAGGAAGATCTTTGCTTGATTGATTGATCGCCGATGAGCAGCGGTGGGTGTTCTATTACGACATTACTGCTGCCAGCTATATATATATATATTATATTATATATTATATATAATACTCACCCAGTCTCTCCTAACAAACATAGACTGAGAGATATACTATCCCACGCTGTTCCAACCAACCGTATTGTTGGCCAAACAAATTGGCGAGTTTTGCGATCTGTGTGGTTTATTCCCAAAAGGGCAAAAAGAAAAAAGAAAGACAAAAAAAAAGGAAAAAAAAAAAAAAAAAATATACAAAAACAACAAGAAAAACAGAAAGCTTATTCTCGATCTATTGTCTTGATTTCTATCTGTTTGGAATAATCTGGGCCTATTTCAATTTATGTTAGTGCATAGAATAGAAAACAAACATACTTTGGTATAAGCCACAATACCGAGAACATCCAAGACATGAATGAATAGTTGATATGTCTGTATGTATGTTATCAGGGTTGGGATACTAAACACAACAGCATTTGGCTAAATGCAGTCCCATTAAAAAATTGCTCTTATCACGCATTGGGGCGTGTTCTAGAAGACACTTATTATGTTCAGTAATGTGTACATTGACACCAACAACAACATTTACGAACCGTCTTTGGCTATATATAGTTCTATACAAAAGGGATGATTATCGGTACCGATACAACACAACAGGCTATTATTCTTGACAAATCTCTTGTGATGCCCCCCTCAAACACGGCTCCACCAAATGCACCAAATTCTATTCTCGGACTTCTTGTTCAGTGATAACGAAAATCTTTTATTTTAGTGCTGTATGGAAGATCCACCACTAACCCAAATCGAGTTGGCAATGCTATTGAGTATATTTGCACAGTAAGAATTTGATACAAGCTTTATTCGCGTCGATCAACATTCAACCATATATATATATATATATATATATATTGGCGCCAAAGGTAACCAAGCCAACAACAATACAGATATTCACCAGGTTTGGGTTACAACGTGTTTTTTTTTTCAAACTCTTTTTTTTTTCCCCTCAAGAACCTTTTCCCCAAAGTTTTTTTTGCCTTATTTTTCAGCGATATTTTTCACTGACCCTTATTTCACTAGTTTAGCTAGTAGCCAACTCCAGCAGCCATGTATGGTAGAAGCCAGAGGCACGCGGATGGAATCCAACGGTATTGGCAAGGTGACACACACACATCGCAGCTAAAGGCTACTACTTACTGTAGCTATTAGTAGTGGCAGAAGTTGTCTTTTTCAGAATCATCAAATTAAATTAACCAACCAAATTATCTATCACTTTAATCAACATTTGTAAAGAAGTGTCCCCCCCCCCCTATCCCACTTTCCATTCTTTCTTTTTCTTTTTTTTTTTTTTTTTTCCATTCCCTTAAATATAGAAGCCAACTTAAAAAACGTTGTAATTATCAACAGAAGAATAGAAATTAATGCGACAAATTAGGCGAGAGACGCCTGTGCATATTGAAAACATCAAACTTTGGGGGGGCTACAGCTTGACTAAGTTACACACACACCCCACACACCACACCTACCACCTTGGCAGAAATGCTTGATACCAGGGTACTGCTAAAACAGAAACGGGCTATTTCTCTTTTTCTTTTTTTTCTTTTGAAACAAAAGACAGTCCACCTCAATCCTCTAATGGGTGTTTATGTTATTATAGTGCGATTGTCAGTACATTAATCTGCAGTGGATAAGACAACAAACAGTGTAAAATCAGGTTATAATTTTAATTTTCCAACGGCTTTGATGGGGGGTGGGGATGAATGATGATTATCATTATCATTATTATTATTATTGTTGTTGTTGTTATTATTAAAAAATATTGTATTGTGTTGTAATAATAGAGGTAGAAACTGGGACGGACGAACCAACGAACGAATCAAGCAAGCAGTGTTGTAGAGAGACATATGGATGATGCGGAGACCCGGTTTCTGTTAATTGTTTTGGCGGCCGAAACTTAATGTCACAACAGATGGTGATTATTAAGTTGCCAACAGCTGTTTTGTTTTGTTTTGATTTGTTTTGTTAGACTTTAGGTTGGCATTATCACCCTGTATCGAAGGAAACTTTGTGGTTGCCGAACAGCAACAGCAACAACAATTGAAGGGCATCATCATCACCACAACCCTAATTGCCATTACATTTCCGTCACCAGTGAAATTTGATGCTTGTACATATGCATATTCTTCTTATATAATCATTATATTGTATTTCTTTTGGAATACGCTTGAGGGAAAAATTTTTTGAGAGCGTATTCACTGTCCTTTAATTAATTAATTCTTTCTTTCTTTCTTTCTTTCTTTCTTTCTTTCGTTATTCCTATCCATCCGTCTTATCCGAGGGAGGTTGGCAAGTGAAGCGGCAAGTTGGACAACAGGCAATAACTGACACACACGCACACGCACACAGAGGCTTCCCTCATCATCAATCAATCGGTGCCATATATACCTCATAGATAATATAAATATAAATATAAATATAATATATATAATATATACACAGGATGAACGGTGGTGGGGGTTTCACGCGGGATAATGCATACTGCTGCAATGATCACACACCACAAGCAGTCATCAGCCAGGCCGGGTAAATCCTGGGACGAGAGCCGCCAACCACCAATATCGTTTTCGCTATTATCATTATTGATCGAAGGAGCAGCCTACTAAACAGTCAGCTCCCCCAGTGCTATAATTCCTTCCTCTCTCTCTCCCTCCCTCAATTTGCCGGGGTTCAAACCATTCCAGGGTTGAATCTTTCTTTCTTGCTGCCGCGGCGGTTTTTTTTTCTGATGCGCAGAAAGAAGAAGAAAAAACAGACAAAAAATAAAAAACAGACAAAAACAGCCCAACCAACTGGCTGAATCTCCCCAATGTGTCATTACAGGTCATCTCCAACCCATTGACTCTCAATTCAATTCGTGCCAACTTCCTTATTGCTATTTATACATATATCATATATCTCTCGAACTCTCTCTCACACACAGACACAAACACACACCATTAGATATAGACAACAATCTTGATTCCTACCTTCAAAAAAAAATTACCTGTCATCTGCTGCAGATATCCATCATATATATCTTACCCATCCTCATTGCTTGACATTCTTTCTCGTTTCATTTTCACACTCTCTGCCAATTGCAATTTTATACTAGATCCATAAATATATATATATATATATATATATATATATATAATGGGCTCGTGTTTATCTACGTCGGATACCCCAGAAAAGCACCATCCGCCAGCAACCGCGTCCAATACCACCACTGGTCGTAGCAAGGATAATCAAAACACCCACGCCATCACCACCACCAATCGTGGCAATAGTGCCTCACAAAATTTGAATACCAGTGCTATAACCAACACCACCACCACCACCAACAACAACAACAACAACAACAACAACAACAACAATGAAAATAAAAAGCTTGCCAATGAGCTCCACCAAAAATCTGGCCAACCACACCCATCATCAGCCAATCCTGCAACATCAACAACCGACAATAACACTTCTTCAACATTAGTTTCCAGCGACGCTGGTGGTATAATAGATAAAAACCCCTCTGACAAGGAATTCAAGATCTTGTTATTAGGGTCCGGAGAAAGTGGTAAATCGACAATCCTCAAACAAATGAAAATCTTGCACCAAAACGGCTACACCAAGGAAGAATTACTTGACTATAAACCATTTGTGTTTCGTAATGTTTTAGATTGCGCCAAAGCCATTGCCAAATGCTATCAGGATTATAATTATCCCATCTCCATGGACGTCGCATTGGTTCACCAAACTGTGGGAACCGTGGTGAAAAATGGGGTTGCCTTACCCAATGACGCCGATAACTCTGATAATGACGACGATTTTGACGACACAGTGCATCCATTAACTTCCGAAGCTATTCAATATATTCTTGACGCAACAGTATCCAGTGATCCAAACCAACTGTTCGATGAAAAATTATGTGCCTCTATCGCGTCCTTATGGAAAGCTAACTCCACCAAAAACTTACTCATTGTTCACAAGGATGACTTTTATTTGATGGACTCTGCCAAATATTTTTTCCAGAATTTAAAGAGAATATCCCTGAAAAATTACATGCCCGATGTCACCGATGTTCTCCGGACCAGAAAGAAGACCTCCGGTATCTTTGAAACTCGATTCAATATGGGTTCTTCTAAAATTCATATGGTCGACGTTGGTGGCCAAAGATCCGAACGTAAAAAATGGATCCATTGCTTTGATAACGTCACGATCATTATCTTTTGTGTCTCATTATCAGAATACGATCAAACCTTGCTAGAAGAAAAATCCCAGAACCGTTTGGAAGAATCCCTTGTATTGTTTGACTCGGTGGTAAATTCCAGATGGTTCAGCAGAACCTCGATTGTGTTGTTCTTGAATAAAATCGATGTGTTTGCCGAAAAATTACAACATTCTCCTTTGGAGAAATATTTCCCTGACTACACTGGTGGTAACGATATCACCAAGGCAGCAAAGTACGTTTTGTGGAGATTCAAGCAAGTTAACCGATCCAAACTCAATATGTTCCCTCATATTACCCAGGCAACCGATACCAAAAATATTAAGGTTGTGTTTGCTGCGGTTGAAGAAACAATTTTACAGAATAGTTTGAAAGATAGTGGGATCATCACTATCAATTAATTTTTTGATTCCTTCCAAAAATTTGTTAAAAAAAGAGAAAAAGAAAGAGAAAGAGAAAGAGAAAGAGAAAAAAAAAACATTCTTTAAAAGAGTTTTTACAATTGCCAGAAAGCTTCATCGCCCCCCTCCATCTATCATAAGACATTGATTGTTAATTTCTTTTGTGTTTCACTTTAATGATGGCATTTTTTTTTTCCCTTTCTCTTTTTGAATCTTTATGATTGTTATTGTGTTATTATTTTTTTGCTCTTTTATTCATTTTTTTTTTTTTTTATTATTATTTTCATGTTTCTTTGCTACCACTACTACTACTACTACTACTACTACTACTACTACTACTACTATATCATTTGCCTAACAAAAAATTACACGCTTTCTTATTTCCTTCTGTTGTGTTTTCCTCATTATATTTTTGTTGACTATTTATTATTTCATAATAATTTCAAACATCTATTAAAACCAATGATCATTTTGGGAAATAACTATTGTAGATGAAACCACCCAGTATGCATTAATTAATTACTGTAGGTTTTGTGTAACCCATTTTCAACATGAAAAAAAAAAAAAAAAATTTTACAATATATACAGATTGCAGAGATATTTATTAATAATATCAGGAAAAAACTCTAGCCATAATTAAAATCATGCAATTTATATCAACACTCCTCCTCCTCCTCCTTCTTCTTCTCTATTATTTTCTTCCGATTTTTGCAATTAATCGTCCTGAATCACCGACCATCGCCAATGCTTTGTACCTTGATCTTTTAGACTCCGTGAAATACGAGAAAATCAGCACTTGCATCAAATATAGCAGGCTCTACCACAACAATAACAATTATCAGTTAGAACCAGAGACCATCAGAGAACGATGTTTGGAGACCGCTGATGATAATGATGATGATGATGATGATGATGATGATGATGATTATTATTCATATTGTGATGGGTTGAGGTATATAAAGATCCTAAGCCATGCCGATACCCGGTTCACCAACTCGGGGTATATTGCCATCGACGATATTTCTAAAAGAATTGTATTGGTGTTTAAAGGATCCAAGACCTGGATTGATTGGCTAGTGGATTTGAGTTTTTTCCTCGTGGAGTATCGTCCTAATTTAGAATCATTAGTGACTTTTGATCAACGGTACCGTCGGTTTTGTGGTGGCGGTGGCGGTAAAGCTGAAGCTGAAGGTGACAACGCAGTAAAGTGCCAAGTCCATAAAGGTTTCCAACGTGCCATGGGGTCGTTGTTTCCCAGCCATTATCAAACAATATTGGGATTATCCCACCAATATCCAGATTATGAATTGTGGATTTGTGGCCATTCTTTAGGAGGGGCCATGGCGATTTTTGCAGGAATCGAGTATAAATTGTTGGGATTAAATCCCGTGGTGCTTACTGCAGGAAGTCCCAAAGTTGGCAATTACCACATGTCGTTATTCATTGATAATTTGTTTAATTCTCAACGGTTGTATAATACAGTGTTATCAGGAGACAACGAAAAATATGAAACGTTCAAACGGCAAAATGGAGCGTTTCTAAGAATCAGGCATCTTGGAGATGTGGTGCCTAAATTACCACCCGATAAAATCTTTTATCGACATACCGGGGTGGAATTGTGTATCATGAAAAAAACTTTACCTCAAGCTCTTGAAGATGTGAAGATTATAGAAAGAAATTTTACTTTATATGATGATGATGATGATGATGATGATGATGATGATGATGATGATGATGATGAATGGAGTGATGAGGATCATGATGTTAATGATGATGTTGATGATGTTGATGATGTTGATGATGTTGATGATGATGATGACGATGATTCAGAATTTTATAACGATGATATTACCAATGGAACAGAAATTATAAAAGATTTAGTTGATTGGTCAAAAGTTAATAATTCCGCAATACAACGGTTTCCTCTGCTTAAAAGAAGAGCACATTCCGATTATTTTTTTATAATCACCAATTGTCAAAAATAAATGATTTCATTTGAATTGAATGGATTTATAAGAAAAAAAAAACACTTTGTAAGAATCTTTTCTTTCTCATATATGATTTATAAGTAATGGAAAATCATTGATCGGGGCAAACTTAATTATAAAACAAGCAAGACCAACATTCATACAATCATTGTCAAAGACTAATTAGTTCATCACTTCATCATTATAAGTTAGCTACTATAAATAATTCCAAACTTGAACACCCCTCCCCCCATTCAATCTTCGTCTTCGTCATCTTCTTCTTCCCATCTTGATTTCTTCCGCGCTGGACCTTCATCTATACCATCATTACCATGATCTAACCCAAATTTTCCTGTGGCTTTATCATCTTTAGCACTTGAAGCGGCCTTTGTAAATCTGACTGCCCCTTCACGATCCTGTATTTGACTCTTATCCACCCCACCACTCAACACTTTGAAACGATTGGTTTTCCCAATATTTTCTACTTCCTCAGTCCCATCAATCAGTTTATCAAGCTTGCTATTGTTGACGGTATAGATGTTCTGGATCGCCTCGTGACGACTGAACAATGGGGTATCGTAAACCTGATTTTCTGAAGAATTGGTGAATCGGTTAGTGGCGGTGAATAATCGAGCATCAATTAACGTGTCAACATTGCTATTATTGTCATTGAGGCCCGGAGCAGAGGAAAAAGTATCGCTAGCCACTGGAGCACTGATGAGTCCATTATTGTTCTTCGATTGTTTCAATTGTCGTTCATATTTCATCAACCGTTCTTTACGATCGAGCTCTCGTCTACGACGATTATCATCAGCCTGCGAATGATTCCCATCATTACTGCCACTATTGTTATTGTTGTTGTATCGGTTTTGTCGAGCCTTTAATGCTAAATTCCGTAACTTTTCTTCGTTTTCTAATTTCTTTTGTTCCGCCACTTTTAACCTCAACTTATTACGCGCCTTGATTTCCTCTCGAGCATTCTCATCGGCTTTTCGAAGCGACGTTGCCAATTTGACAAAGTTATCGCCAATCGCTGCCCCGTCGCGTTTCAGTTTATTATCGAATGCTGCCAATCGTTTATCAATGGCAATGGTAAACCCTTTGGGATTCTTCCAATTGGAAATTGCCGGAGGAATGTACCATGATTTCTGTTCCTCGGCAGTCACTCCCGGCTTAACTGACGTATCCTTCAACACCGCAGTGTTCGATAACAACGTATCTGGTAAACTGGGGGTCTTCTGATTATTCTTGAATTTTGGCGGTAGCATCGGATCCACTTGTTGTTCGACAATCTTGATCATTCGTGATTGCTTGCTGCCATTCATACTGGTGGGGGTATACTTCACAAAGAGATCTTTATCACCTTTGCTATTGGAAATCTGCCCAGTATTGCTCTTATCGATCATCTTCCCATCGACAATCTGTTGAAGCGCGGCTTTGGTTCGTTGATAACATTCGTCGATCTCTCGTTGGGTCGGTAGGCTGAGATCCAAGAGTTTTTTGTTCTTTGAGGAAACTTGGAAGAAATTTCGCTCGTGTTGAGCGTACTCTTCGTTTTTTAATGCTCTTATTACCTGCTGATTATTATTCATCTTTATTATCCTCAACTTTTCTTGTAAAATTATATTGATTGGTTGTTGAATTGGAGGGTTCTATATGTTTATCAGAAACTTTTTTTTTTTTTTTTTTTTCTGGTCTTCAATTTAAAGGGTGCTGCACCCGGGGAAACCATTTATGGGGAAACCATTTATGGATAATTCTCTATTTATTAATAATATGTTTTGTCTAATTACATGGTTCTATATATACTGTGCTATATTATATTGTTCCCATCCACCAACTGATAAAAGAACCAGCTTTCTAATTGAGACCCACTGCGGTCTTTATTTGCTTCATGTTCTTCAGAGCAATTTCCCTCGCTTGATCATTACCTTCTTTTATCACCGCTTCCAAGTAGCTTTTATCCTCCATCAATTGTGCAAAAGTGGTCTTACAACTCTTCAATCCTTCTATTATCGCTTCGCTGACATAGTCTTTCAATTCTTTGTGATTTTGAAGCTTTTTCACATCGTTAATATCCTTGACAATTTCATCGACATGACAATTCTGCAACCCACTGACCACGTTGAGTAGGTTGGAAACCCCTGGTCTATTGACGGGATCGAAATAGTAACCCCCATCAATTGAATCCGTCACCGCTTTTCTGATTTTTTTCTGAATCGTCTTGGCGTCCTCAGTAATGTAAATACACGAGTTTTGGTCGGGATCGGACTTCGACATTTTTTTAGTTGGATCTCTCAATGACAACACTTTCTTCGTTGGGGCCAAAATCGTCTTTGGTTGTGGGAAGTTGTAATTTTTATAAGTCTTGTTGAACGATTCGCAAATGGTACGCGTCAATTCTAAATGTTGTGTTTGATCATCGCCAACGGGCACATGGGTCGATCTATATAACAAGATATCAGCGGCCTGTAGCACCGGATACATGAAAACCCCAGCATAGGCCTTCTTTAATACTTCTGGCTCGAAAACCGAGGTTTCTGTGCTGCCTGAGACTTGACTCTTGGCCTTCCATTGGGTCATTCTGTTCAATTGACCCATTCCGGTAAGACAGCATAACAACCAATACAATTCACAATGTTCAGGGATTGCTGATTGAGAAAACAAGATGGCCTGTTTAGGATCGATTCCCGAAGCAATGATACTGGCCACGGCTTCCAATCTGGCGTTTTTAAACTGTTTTGGATCTTTAGGAGAGGTAAGGGCATGGAGGTCGGCTAATCCAAAGATAAGCTTAGATCCCGAGGCTGGGACGTTAGGATTGTTAGCCAAATCTCTCCAGATCTTGATGGTCCCCAAGTAATTGCCTATATGAAACCGGTTGGTTGGTTGGATTAATGAGAACATTGTGGAATTAGGGGGGATGTCCATGTTCGATTGGTAATCAACGGTTTGCACGGTTCCTTTGTCCAGGGGTTTCACACTGGAGTATAAACGACGCTGACCGGTGGCGATGGTTTTAGATACTGGGATTCTTCTAATCATATTGATATGGTTGTTGATTGTTAATGTTATTGGAGGTAGTTGATGAATGGTGTCAAATGGTGTGGTTTTTTTTTTTTTTTTTTTTCTTGGTGTAATTTTCAAGAAAAAAAAGTATTTAAAGTGATGAAGGTTCATTATCTTTACACAAAGTCTCTCATAAATAAAGGTGATTGATTCATTAAGTTAACAGGAAATAAATACATAAATAAATATGATACAATAGCTAAAAGAAAAAAAATAAAAAAAAAAAGAATGAACAATAAAATATTGCTGAATGAGCATGGCTAATTAATTAGAGGCCCGTTCATCGATCCAGTTGATCCAAGTATCAACAGAACCTTTAAGTAAACTACCTCCGTAAACGTCAAAGTTCCCTTCCAAGTTTTGGAACCGGAATTTAACATTGGTATTCCCAAACTCTTCAAGAATTTCATCTTGCTCATCCTGATCATCATTGTCCGCAGACTGTTTCACCGATTTCAAGTTTTGTAAATTCAAGTTCTTGATATCATTAATTTCTTGTTCCAAAAGCTCTCCGAATTTGCTCACTGGCCTGGCACCAAATTGGTCAGTTTTGTTAATTGCCAACAAGGTGTCAATCCCGTTTGGTCTGGTTTCACTCAACATCAAGAATCTGAAGATTTGTTTCCCTATCGAATTGATCTTGTTGTTGTTCACCGAGGCATCGATCATGAAGATCGCACCTTTAATGTTGGTGAAATTATTGACGATTTCCTTGATCTTCGCATTGAACACTTTTTCTTCTCCTGGGATATCAATCAATAAAAATTGGGTTTTATAACTCGATTGGAATGGTAATTTAATCTTATCGAAGTTCAATTTGAACGATTTGGTGGTGGCGATGTCCAAATCTTGGAGTTTCATCAATGGAGCATCGGGGTCTTCAGTTTTCGCAGTGCTAAGGTACGAAAGGTATTGAAAGAAACTGGTTTTGCCACTGTCGGCAGCCCCGATAATTATGAACGTTGGCAAGTTGTTTTTGGTGTTCAAATTGTCTTCGGTGACAATTGATGATTTGCTCAATCCACTTCTGGAGCGACTGACAATTAAAAAAATACTGGAGATCAACAACGCCAAAAACACGGTGATCACCAAGTTATTCTGAGTAACTAGCGATTTGAGCTCCTCCATATTTGATTAATATCTGAAAAAGATGTAATAAATATATTATAATGATGATGATGATGATGATGATGATGATGATGACTGACTGTACTTGACGGTTTTCATGAGGACTTTATTTTTCTTGTTCGCACCACGTGTAAAATGTGGTGAAATTCAAAATCAAAAAAATTCCTGAGTATTGGAGCTTTTCCCAGATAGAGGTGATAGATACCTTCTTTATTAGACAAAATAAATCATTGAATAAAAAAGATGGGCTCTCTTAAATCCTTCATCAAGGCCGTCAGATACTCCAAGACAATTGCCGATGAAAGATCGGTGATCCGTAAAGAGTCCGCCGCAATCAGAACCGCATTCAAAGATGTCAACTTGTCCAACAACAAGAGAAGGGTCAACATCCAGAAATTGTTGTACCTTTATATATTGGGAGAAAAAACCCATTTTGGGCAGATCGAATGTATCAAATTATTGGCGAGCTCGAACTTCATCGATAAACGATTGGGTTACTTGGCCGCTAGTTTGTTGTTGGACGAAAATCAAGAAATCTTGACATTGTTGACCAATTCGTTAGTACAGGACCTCAACCATCCTAACCAGTTCTTTGTTGCGTTATCGCTTTCTACTTTGGCCACGGTATTATCCTACGATTTGTCCAACGATACTTATAACGATGTGTTGAGGATTTTAACCCATAATGGTAACAATCCTTACTTGAAGAAAAAAGCCATCTTGGTTTCCGCAAGAATTATCGAGAAAAACGGTGATTTGATCGAAATATTCTTTGAGAATTTCAATAAATTCAACTTGCTAAACGTCAATGAAAGAGATCACTCTGTTTTGTTGGCGATTTGCCAAATGTTGAAGAGTTTCTTCATATATGGGGACAATTCTATCAGAACCGCGCTTTTCATCAACGCCTTGCCAAAATTATTGGTCATCTTGAAAAACTTGTCGTCTACTAGTTATAACCCTGAGTACGATATCATGGGTATATCCGATCCATTCTTACATGTCTCTTTATTACAAACCATCACATTAATCATCACTTTATCTAAAGTTGTCATTGAGGGAGAAGAAACAAACAATCAACAATTTGTCAATCCAAACAAGTACAATGTTCCAAAGCTATACGGCAGATTGAACGACCAATACAATGATTTATTGACCCAAATCTCTTCCAATGTTGAATTTGGTAAAAACTCTGGTAACTTGATCTTGTATGAAGTGGTCAGATCCATTTTCCAGTTGAAGAATTCTAATAGTGCCCTCAAAGTTTTGGGGATCAACTTATTGGGTAAATTCTTGACTTTAAAAGATAACAATATCAAATATATCTCGTTGAATACTCTTTTAACCGTGGTGAAATTTGAACCAAAGACTGTTCAAAGACATCAATCGATTATTATCAACTGCTTATTTGATAACGATATCAGTATCAAGAGAAGAGCTTTAGAATTGATCTTCGAAATCTTGAACGAGAACAACATTCGTGTTTTGATTAAAGAGTTGGTGAAATTCTTGGAAAACTCTGCTGCGGATAATAGCGTTAACGGTAACAATAATGGGTTCAACGAATTTAATACTTTCAGTTACAACTTATCTAAAGATTTAAATGACTTCTCATTGAATTCTGGAGCGTCTTCGAAAACCAATAGTGGATCGGCACCAGGAACCTTGGATAACTCTTTCAGTTATTCGTTGAACAACCTTGATTTGAAGTTTTTCATCACCACTAAATTATCGATCTTATTGAAGAACTACTCTCCTAATTTGAAATTTTTTTTCAAATATTTGATAATCTTGTTGAATTTGAATGGGAACTATTTGACCAATGATATCATTCTGTTTATTTTGGCCATCATTTCTAATATTGCCAATAACAAACCGGTGAGTGTCGGTGCGGCCAGCGGTAGCAACGCCAATGATAACCAACTTTTGATTAAGGACAGTCTAAACCAGATTTTTAACTTAAGTTATAATAATTTATCCAACAATGGGTTGAATTTGATCAATGTATGGTGTTTGGGTGAATACGGTGATTTGATACTAAATGGAAAATTCGAGCATTCGAACTCGGTGATTACCGGTGATGTGATTATCGATTATCTCAGTAGGTTGACAAAATCTACCACCAGTCAGTTGATAAACTCGTACGTGTTGACCACATTATTGAAACTTTCTAAAGTCTTGCATAATGATCTTCAAACGGTGGCAAAGATTGAAATGTTGATTAGAAGTTTCACTGATTCAATCAATATCAATTTACAAATGAAAGCGATTGAATACTTGGAAATCATGAGCATTAAAGACGTCAATATTAAGAACGGTTTGTTAGAAAGAATCCCACCACCAATGATCAAAGAAATTGGTAAAGTTAGTCTTTCAAATAGTTTGGATAATCCATCGGCTTCATTATCTGCATCATCTACCAACGCGGTTACTTCTACCGATAATTTCTTGTTAGATTTGATGGATGATACTGACGCCAGTGAAAAACCATCAGCCCCTGCCCCAGCTCAAAATAATGCCGATTTATTGTCGGATATCTTTGGTAGTAGCGCCCCATCTGTCGCTCCTACTAAGCCTGCATCTGCCGATATTTTAGGATTGTTTGATTCTTCATCGTCATCACAATCACAACCTGTGGGACAAGCTGCACTGATGGTTGGTGCTGCTGCTACTGCTGCTCCGGCTTCTGAGGGCCCGTCTCAAAATGTATTGAATTTATTTGGGAATACCTCATCAGTCAACAACCAATTCTTAGGCGACGCAAAATATGAACAGATTTTCAATAATGAAGATGTTAGTATTAAATTGTACTTGAAGAGTTTGGCTACAGGATCTGCGGTGTTGGAAATTTACATTCTCAATTCATCGGCGGTTGATGCCCCGCTTACCAACTTCAATTTGCTTATCGCTGTTGCTAAATCACAAAAATTGGTGATTGTTCCTAGTGAAATGGTTACCGAGGTCAATAAAACCAACTTCTACAAACAAGAATTGAAGATTAATGGTAAAGTTGGCTCTAAGTTGAAATTGAGAGTTAAGTTCAGCTATCAATTAAATGGGGCTACCAAGGATGTTTTGTTTGACCACAATGTCAACAAGACACTATGAGGAATTTTTTCTAAAAAAAATTAGGTTGTTTGTTGTTATTTTTTTTTTGTTTTTTTATTTTTTGTATTGTTTGTTTTTTACCATCGTTTATAAATAATTCCTTTTTGTTTTGTTGTTAAATACAAACATTTGATTAGCATTTTTAGATAATTTTATAAGCTCGATGAAAAAATTATATTATGATACCAATTTTACATACAAAAGATAAAACTAGATATGACAAGTGAATATGAGGAAATAAGTGAATGCATGGTTCGACATGATCCGTTATTAGAATATAGTAGATGAAGGGTTTCTCAGACTTCTTTCAATAATATTTTTGAAAGTCAACGTATGGGATTTCATTATTATAATAATCTTTTTATTTGTTTTTTTTTGATTTTATTTTTGTTATTGTTTATTTGTTTTTTGTTGATAGTAGAAAGATTTATTGCTTAGCTTCTTCTATTGGCAACTTTTGGGCATTTATCTTCAAACCAGCTAATCTGTCGTATTCACCACTCAAGATTCTTTCCACAACAACTTCATCTCTCTTCTTCTTTTCGGCAGCACTCAAACCTGAATCACTCAAGCTATCCCAGGCCTTTTGTGTGTCACCCTTGAAGTGTTCTTCTTGAGCTCTCAATTGCAATTCTTTGTCGGCCCATTCTCTAATACCACCTTCTGGCTTGAACAAAATGATCCCCAACATCAAAAACATGGATGGAACAAATCCAAAGTACATAATCTTTTCCCAACCTTCTTTGGCATCTTCACGAACCACTTGCCATTTAACTTCGCCAGTGGATGGGTCTTCGTAAGGTATTTTGTCTACAATCTTGCCTGAGGCACCATTTTCGTATGATGGAACTAAAGATTCCAAATTCTCTTGGTTTTCAATGTACAAATCCCCGTATTCTTTCTTGAGAGTAAGCCCTTCGAACAAAGAGATCTTTCTGCCAGTAGTCAAAGTGGTCAATTTACTAAGAAGTTTCAATTCAGAGTCGCTTGGATCACGAGAAGTCCCGTCAGCATTCTTGTAAAGCTTAGACACTGGTGGAAGGGCGGCAATGGTATCACGAATTTCGGTTTCCAATTGCAAGTTGAAAGTTTGTGGTTTGATGGTGGTATGGAAGAAACGACCAGAAGTTTTCACTCCGTTGATCTTGGAAGTGTTGAAAACTGAACGAAGCATCGTGTCGTTTAGTATGTATATATGTGTGTGTGTGGGTGTGAGTGTATTATAGGTATGTCGACAGGACACTGGTAGAGACACTGGTTCAAGTATGTCAATCTATGTCTACAATAATAATAATATGATATATGTGAAAAAGCACCGATTATTTCGATTGGTTTTCATTGGTCGTAATGAAAAACTTATTCAAAAACACCCGCACCTTCGAGCACACCTGCACATCATCCTCGCCCCTACTAAAAAACTCCTTGCTGTCCGCACTCCCGGCCAGCTACCTACAGCATGCAGATTCAGTTACACAAACACACCGTTTATTATCTTCACAAAGACTATATTAGGCCAATGGAAGTTGGCACTCCTAAAAATTTTCTTTCCTTTTAGAATATCCGTCTCTCTACACCCAAGTTTGCTTTTTCAGTGAAACACTAACCTCCAAAAATACACACACAATGTTGTATCAACAGGTCTTTTTATCTTTATTGTGCACATTGGCATTGAAAGTTAATGCTTACCAAGCTGAAGAAATCCATGATAACCCATCAGATGTCGTTGCCGTTGCAGAGTTCCCTCATGGTGGGAAGGGTATCCTTGGAACCATGAAGTTCTTCGCGACTAATGGCACCGTCAAAGTTCATTGGGACGTCACCAATTTGCCAAAAAGAAGACACCCGTTACATTACCACATCCACGAAAACTCACTCAATTTCAAAGGTAAATGCTCTTCTGCTGGTAAAAGATTCAATCCTAATCAAGGGTTTGAAAAATGCACACCTAATGAGCATGATAGTCTTTGTCAAGTAGGGGATTTGAGTGGTAAGCATGGCTGGATTGCTACTACCTGCTTTGAAACATCTTTTTACGACCCATATCTTTCATTGAAGCAAGGTGATCCAAATAGTATCATCGGGAAATCTATTGTTGTTCATTATTCTGATTCCAGAATCAAAAGAAGAAGAAAAAGAATGGCCTGTGCCAATATTGTGTTATCTTCTGAAACCCCAGAACATGCCGATAGGGAATCTAAAAGAAATGTCAAGCACAATAAGGATTTGGTTGAAGCAAAAATCCCTGGTTGGGAGCCACAAGATGCAGAAGAATCCCAAATGATTGAAGAGGCTCATCAAGAATGGTTGAAATATAACCAACAAGCTGGAGGCAGAATCAATGAGAATGGTGACGCTGATGATAATGTTGATGATGATGACCAAGATTTCTCTGAGCTCAATGAGTATTTTGAAGAAGAAGTTGAAGGGGGTGATGAAGATGTGGATGATGTTGATTATCTTGAGCAAAAAGACCTTGAAGCGTCTGCTGCTTTTGAAGTCTCTATTGCTCAAAACAAAGAGCCGCAAAATGTTCAAGAGGGATCCATTATTGCTTCTTCTTCTTCTTCTTTTTCTACCAACAGTACTGATACCGATGCTAATCAAGAAGGTTATGAAACTGTTTTTCCAGAGGAGCCGCTCAATGGTGATGATCACGAAGATCATGAAGACCATGAAGATCATGAAGATACTTGGAAAAGCGCCAGCAACAATGCTGCTAGTTTGAGCAAAAACATTCTTGCTGGTGGGTTTGCATCGTTGGTGGGGTTCTTAATTTGACAACATTGAGCCCAGAACCATTCCATTCCAGGAATTTTGTATTTTGCTTGAGGAATTCTTATGATACCATTATTGTATTGAATTTTTTTTTTTTTCTCGTTTTCTTATATTGGCTGACACACTAATAATATATAAATAATAATACAATTGTAAGAAGTGAATTTCCCATATTTCGATGGGTGATTATTTATCGGCATTTTTTAGCACTTGCAAGAAGAACTCCAACCCTAATTTAGCAAACTCTTCCATATTTTCCACTCTATCACTCAATCCGGTATTTTCAACTGTAGTTTCTTCGCCATTTGGACCACTAATTGCAAAATAAACTGTACCGACTTTCCTTGAATCGTCAAGCAATGTCTCTTCTTCTCCGTTGGTATTATCTTTGTTTTCAATCTTTTGTTTCTTAGCATTAGGAGAACTCGTTACTCCTTCGACATCTACGCTAGGACCTGCAAAACCTGATTCACACAACACATAAGTTGACCCCAATTCCATTCGCAAATTTCTTGCTTGTTTGAGAACACTTTTTTTCGATGGTCCAGTATAACTCAAAATTTCACTTTCCGACCAACCCGATAGTTTCAATTTTGATTTCAAGCTATAAACCAATGTTCCTCCTTGGAAGAATTTCGATGCCCCGGCCACTGCGACCAAATAGGCGGAAAGGATCCCACCACAGGCGGCTTCAGAAACCGCAATGGTTTGGTTTCTTGATTTAAGGATCGTGGCGATTTCCTCAACGATTGGCTGGACTTCTGTGGTGACGAATGGCATTGTTATATACAAAAAGCTTATTGAGTAGCGATGATGGGGGGGATCTATGAAATCTTTCTTATAATTAGAAATCTTTGTAAATATCAGTCACGAAGATCGATCTATGAAAAGATTCCCTAAACAATTGATAATGATCAATTGACTCGAAATCAATATATATATATATATATATAAATGTATTTAGTTAGGGGGAGGATGTTTTATTATTTATCAATTTATTTATTTATTTGCCGGGTGATGCGCTTGCATCGCTGAGAGAAAAATCAAATAAAGTGGCAACGCACACACGAATCTCTCGATTGATAATAGAGACAGAGTTATCAGTGTGTTTTGTTATATTATTATCCTTGGTAGCGGATTTTCTATTACTATTATTATTTTTTTTTGTTCTCCTCAGCTCCATAATACTATATCACAATGTCCGTCATATTGAAATTCAAGGCCGGAAAGGTGGATTATAACGAAGAGACCCACAAGTGCACCCCAAAACCACTTAAAGGTGAGGTGACGATCAAGAAGGTCGAAGACGATGAATCATTCTACGATTTCTCCTGGGAGTCCCGTGAAAAGACTGCTGCTGGTGTGGCTCATAATCCAGATGAGGACGAATTGTTGATTATACCCGGAGACGTTACTTGGAAACATGTCAAATCGTGCACCACTGGCCGAGTGTTTTGCTTGAATTTCACTAGTGGTGCCAAATCTTTCTATTGGATGCAAGATAAGAATGATAATGAGGACGATCCTAGTGAATTGAGTGCTAAAGATAAGGAGATTGCCGCAAAGATACAAAAGTTGATTTCCGATGACAGTGCGGCCGCCGATGATGATGATGAAGATGATAATGATGAAGTGATGAAGACTTAGGACAAGAAGGAAGACGAAACCCCTGCTGAGCAGTAAACTTATATTCACCTTTATATATATATATATATATGGTAATTGTTCATGTGCTGAGCTTTGTAATTTTATATCTACATTTATTTCTCCGATGGCTTGCAATGTAAGAATATGAAGTATATATATTGGTTCCATGATTAATATCAGTTTTCAATTGACAGTAAGCAGTATATCTATGTAATTCCTGATAGATAATATGATATATTGTGGGACTTGTGGTTGGACCCCTGGTGGTGGTACATTTATAAAACAAAACAAGAAAAAAAAAAAAAGACTTAGAAAAATGGCTTATTTTCTATATTTATTGGAAAAGAACAGTACTGGAAACAAGGAGACCAAAGATGAAAATATCATTGAAGTCAAATCAAAACGATGGCTCTTCAAAAGTCCTGAAACCTGGGAAGTTTTCATTGTCAATGAACAAAAACAAACCGGGAAGCAAGTTTGGGTCGTCATCCAAGGTAAGCAAGATCTCCACCACCACCAATGTTTTCAATGGCGGGAAAAGAAACCAAGATGATGAGGAAAATAAACCCAAAGTGTCGTCGATAGATAGTTATGATGAAGAGGCATTAAAACGGGAAAAAGCGCTCGAAGAACAAGGGAAAGTGTTGGTGATCAAACCCCCAACTTCGGTATTCCAAAAGATTCAAGAGGCGAAAAAAGTGGCACAGGATGATGATAGTGAAAATAACGAGGCAATCAGCTATGGCTTGAATACGGTTTCTAATGGGCCAACTAAAACCGAGCCAACACCAAGATCACAGGGGACTAAAATAACCCATGAGAATAAAGAGAGTTCCAAACCCGTATCGATAACCGTAGGAGATAATCCAACAGCAGAGAGTTATAAGAAAGTGCCAGTTGAGGAATTTGGAGCAGCATTCTTAAGAGGTCTAGGTTGGAAAGGAGAAGTGACAAATAAACGGGAGAATGTAACTGAGAAGATTACGAAAGCAGTTCAGAGGCAAGAATTTTTAGGAATCGGTGCCAAACCCATCCCAGGGCCTTCAGCAGAAGCCAAAAATGGTAAACGGAAGAGTGAGATGAAATATAGTCCCGTATTGATTAGAGATAAAGAAACAGGAAAAATTATAGATGAGGAGGAACTTAGGAAGCAGGCAAAATGAGATTGTATGTTTTGTGTGTTATTTTGTAATATAAAATTTAATGAATTATGAATGGGAAAAAAGAGGAAACGTGTGTAAGTTTTGTCAACTTGATTATTTTCATTAATTACGTTACAGAGAATACAGTCTGAGGGACCAACAAGATGATGTTCCCATGTCGTTGGTATAAAGAACAAGAGAAAAAAAAAAAAAAGCGCACAGAAAATAAAATATAACAAAAAAAAATCCCCGTAATTTCTCACTTTATATTAACTATCAAGCAATAAACTAATAGGACCCTCGATAGAATGTCGATATTGGAACTTAAAAGAAGTAAACTTGAGGAACTCGAAGTCATCGAAAACGCGATTTCTGAAAGATTGCAAAGAAACCCCGGGTTGTTTGTTGGTTCTACATCGGCAATCGATCATGGGATTTTGAACGCCAACAAGAAACGACCAATTAAAGAGGTATTGATTCAAAAAAATGAAATAGATTTATTCATCAAAAGATTCAAGAGTTTGGGATCCGAATTACAGCTGCTAAACGATGTCAAAAGCCTGGCATTCAAACAAGAGATTGATCAATGGAGGGATCCTAAGTTCAATTTCCAGATGTTTGATAAGCAATACAATAATATAAAAGAATCGCAGAATAATGCAACTACTACTCTTAGTGATTTATATAGTATGGGAGGTGCCACCGTCGTTGAAAATACTGTCCAAGACTCTGAAGTTGCGTCGTTGCCAGAAATTCCAAGGGCCAAAGACGATGAAGTGTACGTTAAGAAATCAATTCTCAGTAAGTTTGGGGCCGATATCAAAGTTGATAAAATTTTCAGTTTGGAAGAACAGTATGGTAAATTTCTAGATCTCATACATTTCCATGAAATATGGCTCAATCTTCCAGGGTTGCTAGAATCAAATCGATTGACGTACTTGGAATATTTGAGTATCTTTAGCCGACTTGGTTTGAAGTATAAGCAAGATGAAATGAATCCAAATAATACCATAGATAGAACCACCCAGCAATATTTTGATTACTGCAAACTGCTCGCAGAGTATTTGATCACTTTTGTCAAAAAGATTCAGGTTTTACAGGGTCCAGAGAGAATAATCAACAAGATTAAGAATATTGATTTCACTAGTGAATGGGAATCACTCATCGACAAATATATCAACAAACAAGCTACCAAAAGTGATGATGGATTGTTTTGCAAAGCTTGTAACAAATCATTTGCCAAAGAAACTGTTTTCAACGCACATTTGACTGGGAAGAAACATATTAAGAACGAGAAAAAATTGCAGCAAACTGGAGAAAATAACAATGGCACCTCAAACGGCATAGATTTAGTGCGAGAAAAAGAATTATGTTTCAATGAGTTTATGATAAGATCTTTAGCGGATTTTCTTGAAAAAGAGATCAAGAACACCAGGATGAATGTGGAAAGAAAACAGGCTTTGACAAACAAGGAAAGACTCGAAGAAACAAGATTTCTCCTTGCCAAAGTTGACAATGATGATTTCCCAGTCGATTTGGCTGATGGCAATGATGCTGACAATAATAAAAATGGTGGTGCAGACAGTGACAATGATGATGATGAATCCGTTAAAGAATCCAACCCGTTAAACTTACCGTTAGATGTGGATGGCAGTCCGATTCCCTACTGGCTTTATAAACTTCAAGGGTTAGATCACCAATATCAGTGTGAGGTTTGTGGAAATTTGAAATTCCACGGGAGAAAGAATTATGAGAAACATTTCATGGAGTCTCGTCATATTCATGGGTTGAAGTGCTTGGGAGTCAACATTAGCGGTGGTAACGCCAGTTATGAGAAGAAGAACGATTTTCATAACAGTTCATCTAGTAATGATACTGAAGTTTTATTAAGTTTTAAAGGGATCACCAAAATAGACGAAGTTACTGCGTTGTGGAATAAGATGAAAAAAGAAATCAGAAAAAAGGAATCAACGTTTGATACTGAAAATATTGTGGAAGTCGAAGATGAAGATGGAAATGTTATGTCCGAGAAGGTTTATCAGGATTTGAAGAAACAAGGTTTGCTTTGATGTGTATTATAGAAGTTGTTGGTTACAATAGATGACAAAAAAAAAGACTTCAGTTTAATGTGTACTATAAAGCGCTATGTTTTGCTCAGTATTTTTTTTTTTTTTACGTATATTTTTTTTTGCTGAGCTTTGACTAATTGAATGATTTATGATGCTGCTACAATAATTATAAGACTTGAAAATCAGTTGAACCAATTGTAACTATCACATTAAATACTATCCAAAAAAAAAAACCCTTTATCTTCTCTTATAAATACAAGGTTTCAATAACCAATTACCTTCAGCATTCTTCTCTCTTTTTTCAATCAACTGCTCCTTTTCGGTTTCAACCTCAATGAATTTCTTCTGTCTTTCCAATTTCTGTTTTCTTTCTTCAAGAATATCTGGTGGAGGTTTGAAAAACTCGAATCTAACAAACATTTTATTTTCTGTATCGGTTCTCTTATGAAAAAATCCCAATAATTTCAAAGCATTGACAAACTCTTCACCTTGACCTTGCTGGGGTTTGCCATCTTTAACATCATTGAATCTTGATTTAATTTCTGCAATCCACAATTCCCCTCTTGGAGCTAGAAGTCTATACGCTTCATTGACAAAATCCAAAAAGTTTGTCCCCATTAATGCTAAACAGAAAATCACCACAGAACATGATCCATCAGGTAATGGAACATTCTTGATATCTGCCACCGTGATGCGATCATTAGCCTTTTTCAAATCAAAACTATGAACTTCGACATTCAATTTCTTAAGTTTATTAAATCTCGATGTTCTATCATTCTTCTTGAACTTCTTGTTCTTCCCGCCATTGAACTGTTTGACAAACTCTCCAATATCTTTCGATAATTGGGCTTCCCCACATCCCATATCGGCAATCACAACGGTTTTCTCATTAGTATCTTCATTGACAATACCTGGTAACCCCCCTGGGGCATTAACTGGCTTTTTGGATCTGAATTTGAATTCTTGAACAAAAACGTCTACTGGGTTTTCTGGCCAGCCTTGAACTTGGGATCTGAAACCTTGGTGATAGGCATCGAACAATTCTGGTTGGTCTTTGATTAATTGTAGAGCTTCTTCGGATCTGGTAGTATAAAGTTGTTCATTGATCCATCTGAATCTGGAACCGGATAACTTCATCATCATTTTCTGTTGTAATGGAGTCAATTTTGTCGAAGCTGGTTTTGGGGCTGGTTCTGATGGATTAGATTTGCTTGGTTTTGACTTTGCTTGTAGTTGTGGTTGTTCTTCTTTTTCTTCTTCTCCTTCAGATAAATCACTATTTTCTTCATTGTCACTTCCTTCACTCTCTTCCTTCTCTTCAGTCATTTTTTTATGATTACGCTTCTTATTATTATTCTTTTTATTGTCCTTTGGTTTTTCTTTAGATGCTTCACCTTTATTGTTGTTGCTATTGGTGGCTTTCTTTGGTTTCTTTTGGTTCTTTTTCGACTTCCCCTTATCAGCAATTACATCCCCCTTGACATCCCATCCTTTAACTTGAAACAATGACATCTTTCTTATCCAGATATGTTAAAAATAACCGCCAAAACGAGTAGATTGTCTAATATGTATTCCAATTCTAAAAAAATTTTCCCATCTCACAAAAATAATTTTTTTTTTCATCTTCATCAATGAAGGTGCCATTCCCACGGGTGTTTCGCTTTTTTCCTTAGCTGTTCTAAAAAACGAGAGCAAATAATTCTTGATGCGGTTAGTGTGAACCCCCCATTGCATTGAAGTAATTCCCAATCACTACTTTTTTTTTTGTTTTCTTTTCCTTTCGTTATTTTCTTTGGTTGTGGTTTTATGTGCTGATAGTTACATAAGTGGTAGGAATCCTTATTACTACAGGAGATATTAATTAATTACCCCCTCGGAACATGGATAAATTAAAACGAAATTTGAAGACATTAATGGACGATCGGGAAGGTGAAGATGTTTACAGATATGAACAGCTATTTAATGAGGAAATCATCGGGGTAAACTCTCCGTTGACACCGTCGATGACTTTGAAGAAACCGGATCGGCAGAACTATGATGGCGATGATCTTGAAGACATGGAAATGTTTAGTATCGGTGATCACGGTGATGATGATGATGATGATGATGATGATGCTGCTGCTCACGATGAAGCAAGTGGCATGGCAAAGAGAAAAAGTGAAACCAAGAAAAGTATTGATAGTAAGAAAAGTATCGACTCCAAAAAAAGCAGAAATGATATCGATGATGGAACGGTATTTGAAAATCCGTTTGCTACTGATGTTGATTCTTTTGAAGATCAAAGTATTGATAATAACCCCAGATCTGGTTATTTGAATAATACCAGTACCACAGCGATTTTCGATGGTAGAGGAGTGAATGATTATAATCTGAGTCGCTCGCCAATGTTGTCAGAAGGTCACCGGGAAAATGCTGATAATGAAGATCTGTTGAAATTTGGCAATGTGAAAGTCTCATTTTTCAGCACAAAAGTCAGAAAAGACTTAAGGCAGGTGTTGAAATCTTTTGTACAAATCTATTCTTTGATGTTATTTCTTGTTATTGGAATTGGCTCGATTTATTATGGCACCTTATACAATCGCGGACAGTACCTTCATGATAATATTACCATTAACATTGTGAATGATGATCAACAAGTCAATGAGATCAAGCCGCTTATCGGATCTAATTTGGAATTTGTAGCCAAGAATGACAAAATGCTCAACTCAAAAGTCAAGTTCCAGTATTTGACATCCAATGACTTTTCCGATGAGTTTGAAAAAAATGAGAATTCTACTATTTTTGATATTTTAGAACAACGAGTCGTGGAGAAAAAATCATGGGCGTACGTTTACATGAACGCAAACTCATCATATAATCTTTACCGATCCTTGAAAAATCCTTCATCCAGCCCAGAATTTGACAGTTCCAAGATCATGTACATGTATTATTCATCCATCAGAGACCCAAAAATCATTAATATGCTCATCAAGCCAACATTAAACAGCATTGAACATTTGTATCAAGAATCATTCCAAACCGCGGTCATGGCCCCTTTCCTCGCCAAATGGTTAGACGCCTCCGAGCAACAAAACCTTGTCAATAACTATAAGTCGATTTTATTCCAAAATATCAAGTTCAATTATAGTGATCTCAGACCTTTCCCTGACCCGGTATTATTGGGACCAATGTCCGTTGGCTTGATGATGATGATCATTGTTTCATTTTTCCAATTCCATTTCTTTATGCCGATACATAGTCTTGTTTCTAACAAAATCCGATCAAAGCACTACATTTACTACAGAATGATTTCCTCGCAAATATCTTACTTGTTTTTGGCGTTGGGGTTCACTCTCTTGTTTTATATATTCAGCAAGGAGAAAAGATTCTTTTTGATTTTTTGGCTAGCGACATATTTGACCATTGCTGGGGTTGGTGGCGTGAATGAAAATATGGCATTGGTCTTGTTTGTTACTTATCCACCCTTGGTTGGATTTTGGTTGTTGTTTTGGGTGATCTTGAACATTTCTCCGAGCTTCAACTTGATTGAAACTTTGCCGGTTTTTTACAGGTACGGTTACGCTTTGCCAATATATAATTACTTAGAGTGCCTCAAAGTTATTCTCTTAGAGTCTTGGAATGGCGAGCTCCATCGAAACATTTTGGTTCTTGTTGCCTGGGTAGTGGTAAATAACTTAATTTTCCCATTAACCATCAGATTCTTCACTTATAAAATGGCGAAAAAGATGGCAGATCAATGATGAAATCATGTTTTATAGTTTGTTTGCACTTTGTTTGTTTTTTTCCTTGCTCAATTCAAAAGTTTACTGGTTTCGCTTTCTTTTTGCTTTTTACTTTTGTATGGTTTCCATTTTTGTAGTTCACACATCGAAGTACAAAACGTTTTAAGATATTTGATAAGCAGTGTCAACATCTTTGCATGAGAGCCGCTGCTCTATGCAACGTCAGCTAATTACCTATTGATAGAGAAAAACAAGAAAACATTAATCAACTTCCAGTCTTTATTGCTTTTTCGAACATTCTAACGATCAGTAGCTTTCATTATCAGAACTTTGTTGGATATTTTTCTAGACATACCTATAGTACATTCCCAGTTTAAATGCTTGACCATACGTTCATCTATCTATCAGTGGCCTAGCTTAAGAAAAAGCAAGCATAAAAATCCTCTTCAGTCAGGTAAGTGAAGTGGGACTCACTTCTTTGTAGAAATAATTCTCCTAGCATGGCACAAATCAAATCTGATTCTGGGAGACGTCTAGTTCCCAAAATGCCAGCTTTAAAACCTTCATCCGTAATGAGCCATTGCATTCACCTAGAAGTCAGAGATGATAATTGACATGACCTTTTGAACTTCTTGGACATATTTATCTTTACGAAATATTTGTAGATTCTTGTAACATCATCGCGAATTTGTTCAATGGTTCCGATAGCTGCGAGACATTAAATTGTGGCGCCCCGCTATGATTCAACAGAGCCAGATGTAAGATCAAAGCAAATTCTCGTTGGCACCTGTTTATGATATTAATACTATAATACTGATAAGTAACTTCATTTCCAAGCCTAATTCTGGAGGAACAACTGTTCGCAGCAAACCCTCTGTAAAACCTGCATGAATCCCAACATTTGGTTGACACAAAGCCGAAGTTTTTCCCCACGGAAATCTTTAAAAAACAACAAAGAGATTCACTATGTCATTTTCCAATTACTTATATATATATACATATATATATAATTTATCAAACTAGATCCATGAGTTTTACTGTTCCAGGTAACACATTGGGAGTCACTCCCCCAGATATACCTCACTGTGTTGAGCTAGAGCATCTTATTTCAGTGGATAAATACTTAGTAGATTTCGAAAAGGCAGTTGACTTTGAGCGAGCAATTTACCCTCTCAGACATGATTCTAGTACCCAGGGAGTCGATTTTGAAAATCAACACCAAAAAATCAAATCCTTTAGAGATGAGCTTATATTTGAGTTTCGTTTGCTGAGATCGCCTCTATTGATTGGCCATGCTAGACGTATTCAAGAAATGAATGACACAATTGGAAAATTAAGCGAGTCCATTGACAGCATCCAACAAAGGATGAATTATTGTTGTCAAAATGGTCCTGCTTCTTCGAGAGACCTTACTTGATGCTTGCCTTCCATAAATTGCCGAATCAATCCTCAGGAAATACCGAGCACATTCGCATTTACTTAATCACTTATAAAAATTGGTTTTTTCTTTATTATTATTTTTATTATTATCTTTCATTCCTCAAAATAGAAGGTTTATAAATTTTCTCAATGTGTAGGAAAAATGTGATCACATTTTCTCTCAAGTCAATACTTATATTGGATGTTAATGAACAAAATAAGCGGTCACTCATAATTAGCATATATTTTGGAGTGTTAAAAATGGTAATCTGAAAATTTGGTTTTCTTAGAACTTGTCTTGATTAAATAGAACAAGGGCAAAATTGATCGGAATATTGAGATTATAGTATGGTCTTAGGCTGTAACATAAACACTACAAAACAAAAAGATTCATTATTGTCAACATATCATGCAACGGTTCTTGAGTAAAATAACATTCTAACAGGAGACAGTTTATAATAGTGGTAAAAAAAAAAAAACAGAGAAACATCAACAATAAAATGTCCCAGAAGGCGAGAAGTGATCGAAGCTCAATCAGAAAAGAATGTGAATCTAACATGAAACAATTCCAAGTTGGAAGGTACGTGACACAAAACCATATACCCTGCCATCCTTAATTAATGAAAGCTGCTAACCTAATCTATATTATTAACCACATCCCAAATACATCAATCTGGCCCCTTTTCTTTCACATTCTTCTGTGAAGAAGCATTGTACTCTTTACGGAGCAGAGCGCTTCGATAAGTTCAAAAGTCAAGTACACCACAGCCTTGCGGCTCTGTTCTATAATATAAGATATGACTGACAAATACTTTAATTGTCTTCTGGTAACAATAAACTCCCAATTGCGCTATTTTCTATTGATGTAGATAATCTCAACCAAAGTTAGTTGTCCAGGTGTATCTATCCAGCGGCGCTTTCAACATGTTGGCTTTTGCCACGGCATAATTTTTGTTACATTCACCTCATTTATATCGAGAGATACCTTTAAATGAATGGAATATTCAACACAAACAGCCAATGTATAAGATAATTTGAAAACATATCACCGATTACTAACAGATAGCTATCAGTTATAGTTTGGAGCGAGATTCACGTGGTCGCTTATAGGCATTTATAATTCTTACTGCATGCATGCGTATTTTCCCGGATGCTAATTGTGGGAGAACTAACTGTTTATCAATGCTATTTAACACACTTTATTATTGTAATAGTATCTTTATACTTTCAAGGGTATGAACAGATACCTTGGTATGATATAATAAGTGCGAAAAAGTTAAGCAGTATATCATTCACATTCATTGGGGAATGGTACTAAGACACAATCGGACTGTGACGCTAAACTGTGCACAAACCATCTATGCCAATCAATACCTCTAAAGATGAGATTTCCTGATTATTCTTTAAAAGACTTGGGAAGGTGCTTTCAACAGTTGCTTGGATTCGTATGTATGTGTACTTTGATTTCCCTACGATGATCTATCAATCATTGGCGGCGGAAATTCTACACGCTTCTATCATGAAACATCACGCATCACAAATGGGAAGGAATACCACATTACCATTTTCAGAACGATTTTTGTTAATGGGTCTCCGAGTCAGACAACATTCGGTGTGTTGCCACTGGAGGTAAGATACTTTAGGCTATCGCTGTCTCTGTGGTACGGAGGCGGTGCAGTCGCTATATGTGGTGCGGGTAACTTGTAGCGCGCGCGCGCACGCGCAGCGTGCGATGGTTACCCAGCCCTTGGACAGCGATCACCAGTGGAGGGCGGGGGGTATAGTGGGGGTCTGTTTTTTTTTTTTTGTCTTAGTCACCCAAATCGCCACCGATGTACTCCAATGTCGGTGACAGCGGGTGTCTGCACCGTTAGCAATGGGCAAATGCATGTGCTTGCAGAATAATAACGGAAAAAAGTAATCATATTATGTGCCCTGGTTGGGGGGCCCGACGTATTGCTAAAAAGAAAAGATCCAGATCTTTGATGGGGGGAAAATTTTCACCGAGGAGTTGCAAGATGGAGGTGACTTGCCGTTATGCACTTCTTGGGAAGGCCAAAGAAGCTGGAAGTTTAAAAATGCAGAGATTTCCTGCTCGTAGGGATCCCGATCCTCTTTCCATGTTTCCTCTTCCCCAATCTATACAGTTATCATCACTACTCACTTGTTCTCTCCCAGTTATGAACAGTTCATAAACAAATTGTGTCACCCATCAAACTATCATTCCTATCACCGTTATCTTTTCACCTCATCCCGGATTATTTTTTTCTCCACACACTACACAGAAAAAACATAGATATATCCATATAAAGGCGTGTTATAGCAATTGCCATGGTAGAACTCAAAAGATCCCTTTCTAAGAGAGTATTCTCGTCATTATCTCTCTCTAAAAGATCAACGTCAACCTCAGAGAACAATTCTACAACAAACCCCGACTTTTCGGATGACTTGACCCAGTCCAAATCTCGGGATGATGAAGTTATTCACACTCTCAGATACGATGAGTTGGACCCTCTAAATTCATTAGACCAACCATTGAGTACCGTCAGCACAACAACAACAACTACTACTACTACTAATGCCACAACAACAACAACAACTGGCATGTCCACCCCTTTGCAATCTTCAGTCAGCATCTCCAACAATAGACCATCACGTAGCAGAACTTCGACCACCAGTTTGCCTGCGTTGCTCAAGAGAAGCAAGTCATATCTTTCTGGAAATGACAAAACACCAATTGCTCCTCCAGCTTATGGATCTTCTCCGACCGTTAACAACGCCAATAGTTCTACAGTCTCAAAACGTCAAAGTCAATCTAGCATAAGTAGAAATGATTCCATCCCTCAGCTACCTTCAACTTTACAAAATCTTCATCAAGAGCTCGCCAAAGCCCTCACTTTGAACACCAGTGATGACATTATCGACCCATCGTCGACTAATGCCAATAATGTCAATTCTTCTGGGGCTAAATCACCATTGAAATTGGATCTTTTACCTCCAAACTCCCTCAAAGGACCAGTTTCCTCGGACCAATTAGCACCAAATTTACCATCTCGTCTCACTACCCCAATCATGGAGTCGGTGCCATTTTTCCCTCCTAATGCTGGCACCACAATTTCTCAAACTCCATCGCATCGTCAAACTGATTCTGATGATATGGATTTCACTCGTGGCAACATAATGAGCCCGCACGCCATTATGGGCACTAGATCAAGACAAAACTCTTCTGCTACTTCTTTTAGCTCTCACACTACCAATAATAACTACAATTGCCAAAAATCCCAATATATTTATTTTGATAGTACCAATCAACAATTCAATGCCTTGCAAGGCTCCGTCGCCATCAATCCATCGACACAACCATCCAACAATGATCAACATCAGAAACAACAGAGCGGCAGCGGCTCCATCTCTGCCAACACTTCCTTTCTCAATGATCCGATCCTTTGCAATTTGCTTTATCATAACAGAGATATCGTCACCAGTGATTTTCTCTTGAATGAGCCTGACGAATTGGAAGATGCATTTTGTGATGAAATGGCCCTTGGAATTTTGGATAAGGTGGTGGAATCCACCCCTATCAGTGTTGATGGTGCCGGCAACAGTCCAAACCGTTTGAGAGGCCAGTATGTGTTTGATGAATCGAGAGTTAATCGCCAAGATGAATGGTATCTCTGAGTTATTGTTACTCTGCTTACGTTATTTTATTTGCACTATTTTCCTATTCCTTTGTATTATATGAATTCGCTAACGTCTAGTGTTATTATCAATAGTTGCTATAAAAATAATGAATTAACAAAAAGACCTTCTATATTTTTTTTCAAAAAACAACAACCAACAACAACAACAAAAAAAAAAAAACTATACCAAAATTTTAATGAATTTATGATCTTTTATTTTACTTACCAAAAATGCTTTGTGGATCTTCATACAGACAGTAGAAGATTCTCTTATTTATCCAATTCCCTTGTCTGATGATGTATTTTTACTAATGGTTTCTTGCTCTGACTGTTTATTCCTTCTGCTTGTTACCCTTTTGCTTTCACCCTGCTTTGTCGACAATTACTTTTCCTATTCTTCATTTATTATCATTTTTTTTTCTCTTTTCATCGCTTATTTTTATATGGTTCTTGGCTTATTTCCTGGTTATTCTCCTACGGGATCTGAACTTTTTTTTTTGATATCTATTCTACATCAATGCAGTATATGATTAATCATCTTGAGCTATTTCTGTCCTCATGACTTGTAGTCACCAGTGTGATCTAGCAGTTCAACAACTGTGGTGATTTACATACGGTCACAACGTAAATCCCGAAAACGGAGAGAGAAAAAACAAAAATAGTCACGGGGACGAGAGTTTACGACAGCCTCAGTTTATCTACCAAACAGTATTACAAAGTGCAGCATATTTACACCATCGTTTGCTTCAAAGATGTACAGACAACCTCCCCAGGGCAGTATTAATCCACCCACCACTTGTCAAACACCAGTTGTTCCGAGGTTTTGCAGGCTGGTGGGGCATCGAAAAAAGAAAAAAAAAGAAAAGAAAAATTTTCCTCAGCAAAAAAAGGCAGCAGCATCATCGCCTGCCTGCTCCAACATGAATGATCGAACAGGAAGAGGGGCAAAGCATTGGCCAAAGGATAATCGTTACAACTTAATTGGAGGTGCCTTGGTTTTTCCGAAAAAGAAATGCTATCATTATCCGAAAGACCGTGGATAATTTGTAATCCTTCAATGTTGTTAATTGCTCTTCCGTCAAGGCCTAGTATTTGTAGAAAAAGGAAAAAAAAAATTGTAATAGTAATAATTACAAAGCTCATACTATGCGCACAAGATGGAGAAGATCTTTCTATTCTGTCCAAATTCTTATTATTTACTATTCCATTTCCTCTCTCTTTCTCTCCTTTTTTTTTCCTTTTTTTTTTTTTTTTTGACTCGTAAAGTTTCTGATGCATGGCAGAAGGAAAAAAAAAAAAAAAAGGAAAAAAAAAGACCTGGACTGCCAGATGAGAGATCAAAGTTCAAAAAATTTGGGACTGAGCAATTTGGGGGTGGCAATTGTTTTATCATGATAAATAATAGACAGCCAAGCAAGAATCGGAAAATTTAACATGTCATTTGTAGCTAACTGAGAACTGATCTATCTCTGTTCTAGCCAAAGTAGTGTGCATTTTTTTTTTTTAAAAGAAGATAAAAAAAAAGTGGTCTGGATCCTATAAATGATATTTTGTTGTTTTCTTTAAAATGATTTGAGTTGAAGAAAAATAATTACAATGTAACCCAACCAAGAAATAAACAGTCGCAAAACTCAGTTACAGGATTACTTGATGTTGCTTTCCCCACCCCCAAGAATCTGCTCTTGCATTAAATAATCCTGTAAATTATTATATGTGAATAAGAAGTGAATGATAAAATCTTCTCATGCATATATTATTATAGCAAGAACGTAGCAATATTTTAAATAAGAAAATCTTGAGAAATAATAAAAGGCAATATTGTATACAACTAGAAAAGAAGGGAAAAAAAGTAAACAAAGAGATGTTTTAATAAGTAACTGAAGTAGCTACTTGAGGAACTGAATTTGGAGAAACGTATTGTACTGACCCTGAGGCTCCTGCTCCTGGCAGAGACCCAGATACTTGGTATTGATTTTGCAAAGGTTGTGATTGGTACACCACTTGGGAAGTCCCCGGCGTATATGATATAGGTGAAGATGCCACAACTTTCGGCACCGCCACTACATGTGGTGACGATACTGCAGGAGCAGCAGCAGAGGGATATCCTGCCTCTAAACTCGTTCCAGCAACTTGGATCACTTCGGGTTGGGTGTATATTGGTTGGGTCGCAGGAGCGACAGGATACGAAGAAGTCACTACCACTTGGTATTGAGGCTCCAGTGATTGTCCTTCAGCCTGGGCTGGTGGTTGTGCTTGCTGGGATACTGTAACTACCATTGGAGTGGCCATATGAGTTTCTGGAGCGGCAGGACTATTAGCCTGTTGAACATAAGTATATTGCTGGACCGCCGCTGGAGCAGCAACCGTTTCAACAATAATCACTTGACCTTGTGTCTGACTGCCAGCTTGAACTTGAGCAACAGGAACTTGTTGTTGTTGGATTGGTTCTGGAGCAGCTGCAGTAACGTAAGAAATTATCACAGGCTGAGTAGCCACTGCAGGTTGAGTAACTATCACTGGTTGAGGTGTTGCAGCATAGATTTGATTCCCCATAGCGTCAATGGTAACCACCACTGGGGCTTCTGCTGCTGCTGCTCGCTCTATGGTGGTGGGAGTCTCAGGAACCACAACCGTTTCCACTATTACTTGTGCATTCTGAATACCCAAAGTATTATTATAATAGCCGGCGTTATCGTTGATTACAGCATCCATGGCTGGCTTGGATGAATTAACTGAAGGCGAGGTATCAGAGCTGATCATATCCATCGAGCGATACACTGGAGCATAAGTCTGAAGAGGAAAGAACTCGCTAGCTGATTCTAAAGGCGATCCATTGCATATTGGATGGATTGACCCGGTATGTCTCACCAATGGACAGGCAATATCAATCGTGATATTCAGGGGTAAATTATAAGAATTTTGATCTGCACTTACCTGCTTCGGAAGTTGGATAGTCAATGGAACATAACTTTCCAGAAGAGATGCTTCCTGACTCTGTTCCTGTTGTGCAGGGAAAAGGGTTGTAGTGAAGACTTGACCGGCTGGAATGGGTTGTGGTTCTATTGGTGCTCCATTAATCCTGACTGGTACACCTCCTGCTAAATATCCGCCCTGAAAAGTATGTATCGCCTCGTATACACGGGTAGCTGTAGGCTTAATTGTCATCGTCGTTGTTGATGAGGTATAGACCACACTATCTTTCTTCTCTTCTTCGTATTTATTTTTCCCAATGAGATAAGATGAATACAATATGACTGATGATCCTAGCCCATTAATTGCTTTCCAGAAAAATGTTGAGCTTTCTCCTGTGTTGGCCGAGGTCGCAACAGTAGGTGCTATTGCTGCTCCATCAGATAGTTTTATTAGCAATACCCAGAGGATGTATAATGAAGTGATTTTTCTCATATTGGATATGTGTATTCGATGATCAGCTTTGATACTTTCGATTTGCTATTGCTATTTTTGCAAACAGTTTACCGTATTTTTAAAGTTTCAGAGACTCAAAAACACAAGCATAGATCAATAATATTATAAGAATGGTCTTTTATCGTTTTAGTTTGTGATGTGATACCGTTTTTAGTATCCATCAAATTCAAAACTGAAAAAAAAAAAATGAATCAAAAGTTGAAGCAAAATGCGGTTGCTCTAGAGGATGCTCAATAATTTAAATAGATTCCAGTTTATGGCAAGGCTCTAAAGATGTTCGATGTCACCCTAATGCCCTCCGCTGTCCATTAGAAATATCCATCATCCATTATTATGGAATTCTGCTGGTCATGTTGAATGCGCCGTATGAGAAGAAAAAAAATGCATAGGGTTTTCTCCATGTTGCGCGTTTAGCATTTTTTGCTACTGTCTTTTTTTTCCACGTCGTTGCTGTCATCACCAAAATTGAATCGCGGAACCTCTTAGAGTCAGTTGACTAAAGGAAAATTACGGTACTCATCAAAGGAGTGGTCAATTGCAAGGTTACATACATATATATGTGTTCAAACCATGTCGGATAAGAAAGGTACCAGTGATTTGCATTTATTGCTTATGCTGTATTATGGCGGGGCATTCTCTGAGTATCTGACAAATTATTATCTCCTAGATAAACTTGATAAAGACTCGGTGATTTACAAACTTCTGGTGATAGAATCACAGCTATCACGGGAAGTCAATGGTAATGTGGTCACTCCTCTACCAACAAGCGCTCCTGAGTCTTATACAATAGGAAATCTTGGTGACAATGTCCAGAAAATATGTGCTAGTAATGCAAAACTTACCGATCCCGAATCAATCATGGGTAATTTATTATTGGGGCACATCTATTATCTAAAAAGCGAACCAATTAAGGCTTGTAAATGGCTAGATAAGGTGAATATTGATTTGGCAAAGTTGACCAATTTGGAAACTGGTGAAATGGCCCAAGACACTCAAGTGGCAAGGAATTTCAATCAATATTGCCTGATCAAGAAAAATGTTCTCCAAGCATTGATCTCCAAGGACCTAAATGCGATTGAAAAGTTCATTAATGAAAAACTATTAAATGTCCCTGCTGTGTCCAACATTCAGGGGTGGTACTGGTTAAATGTCTTATTCAACAGTTATTTTAAACTATCACATTCCAAGGACTCGAAAGTTAATTTTACCACAGTCCATCATAGCATCAAAAGTAATGACTTATTATTGATTTTGACATGTGTATATTTTTATGACAATTTCTCACAGCATTTGTCCGATGATTTCAAGGCGGAATTCACCCAGTTTTTCAAGAAGTTTGTGGATGTAAATATCTACAAAAACACAAACTTGCATTTTCCTTCTAGTCATCAGACCAATTATACTCTCGAAACAATGATTTACACTATTTCTGAATCTTTCAAACAAGGCATTTCCCAATATTCCTATTACGACGATATTGCTAAAGTTACTAAAGAATGGGACTCTTTGATTGATTTGGACTTTTTTGTGGACTTGGTGGAATTTTCTGTTGGAAAAACTTATCAATCTATCAAGATCTTCCGCAGTTTAATAATTGTCAAGATACTTCAATTCAAGCGTGAAAATCTACTCACCGTTGATCTATCAAAGAACTACAATTCTCTAATGGAAATTATTGCCATCACCAAGAACTTCAAGAGTTTCTACGATCAGTCCATCTTAAAGATCCAAAAAAAAAATATTAGCCACACATTGATCGACGAAGATCATCTTCTTGTGTTACAAACTTACACGGCCTTCCTTGAATTCATGGTCAATAACCTTAATGTTTATCAATACGGCAACGTTAATGCTTCAGTATTAGACAAACAATCTATGCGTATCGATCCATCAAAATTTAAAAGTTTACAAAAATTCAACGGCTTATTGAATGCCAATAACTTGGCATTTATTTCCGAAATCAAAACTTCGTTGCACGAGGCTATCAGCACCGTTGAAAATTTGACTAATTTGGACCTCAATGACAATTCCGGATTAAACGGTCAAAACTTTTTGAAAAATCACTTGTCTTCTACCAAATCTTTGAACATTATCATATCTCGGGCGTATCATGCGTTGATCAGTGAAAAACTCTTTTTGTTGAAAATTGACACCCATCAATTCAAAGCGTTTAAAAGAAACGAAGACTCTAAGCTTGCGGTACTTGATGCTTTCAAAAAATGTCTCTTGTTAAATAACTTTAGCGATTTGAGTTACTATCTCGAGTTGGTGGTGTTTATAATGAGATTTTTATCAATCGAAAAATACAATAATGAGATCGTGTCGGTATTGAAATCGTTATTAGGCTTGAACTTGAACTACTGGAAATGCTGGAACTTATTATTGATATTGGCTAATAGTAATTATGGTCTCTTAAGTGAGATGTCATTTGATTTTATCAAGAAGCCTACCAATGATTTTGGTTTGAATTTGGTGTATACCGTAGAATTATTGATGACCAATTTTCTTGAAACTTCTGAATTATTGAACAATAGAGAGCAATTGAAAAATTTCAATATTCTTAACGAATTGAAGAATGATTTGTTAGAGTTGGAGCTCACCATATTGAAAATTACCGACAAGAAATCCGGTACTGAATCTGCTTTATCTAAATTGTCAGAACTTTTTGAATTGTTCCACTTATTATTCAAAGATTATGCTGAAGACGACGAGCGTCAGACTGCTACAAAGCCGGCGGCACCTCGTGCAGGACCTCTGGTTGACACAAGCACCATTAGAGACAGTGTAGCCGCCTCAACCAAGCAATCGGGATTGAAGATTCCACGGTTCAAGACTTTCCGCAGACACAAAACAATGGCCAAGCCAACTGTTTCCACGATTCCTCAACCAAGCAAGAAAAGTTCAAAATTGGCTACTAATAATTTCTCGTCAACTAAAGTATTTGCCAACAAGTGCTTACAAAAAGTTTGGCTTTTTGCCGCTGATGTGTACTTGAAAGCTGGACTTTTCAAAGATTCTGAATCTGCCATTGTTGAAGCAGAAAATGTTGGTGGGGTTAATGAATACACCACCTATGCATTCGCCAAGCTTTTGAGTGGTACTAATAACGTCACTTCTACGAAAAAGTTGTCGGCTTTCAATGAGTTTGGCAGATCAATCGATATTTGGGAGGCTGAATCTTCAACTTCAAGTTATGTTCTTTCAGAAAACTGGCGAGCCATCACAGGTTTAGCACAGTTGATAATGAAGGAGTGTGGATATGAGGATGACATAGATGTTACTGGACCATCTACTCAGGGCCTGTTTGTGAATGATTTGGAATATATCGATGATATGACAGAAGATGATGACAATGATGATGATAACGAAGATGCGACATCTTTTAACGACTCAATGAAATCGGCGTACGATGATTTTGGCACCATGACTTTGAAAACTGATAATCTATCATTAGATTCTGAAGATGGGAAATTCAGTGGCAGTATTGCGAAATCTCTGATGTTTATCAATGAACATGATCGTCAATTAGCGATTATGCGGGTGAAATTGTTGATTGAAAACAATTTGGTGGATAATTATTATTACCATGATAATGAGAAGGTCTGGGACTGTTTGCACCAAGTTTATTATCATATTCAAGATGAATCAAAATATTTGGAGTGTTTGGAGAGGGCTATTACAATCCAGGGGAACCGATTGGTGCGTGATTTGAAATTCTTGGATCAAAGTTTTTCTTATGGCTTATGAGGACTTTTTTTGTTTAGATATTCTTTATTGTTATAGATTTATAATTTTTTCTTCTTGCTCTTCTTTTAAATTCAGCTAAGATTTTCTCTTATTTGGTTGACCATTCTAATGTAGGTGTACATATATATAATACCACAGATCGACTTGCTATGAGAAGAGCTGTTATTGCTTACTTTTAACTTATATATATATATAAGTGATTAGAGATCCTATATTTCATTTCTGTCAAAAAAAAAAAAAAAAAAGATCGCTATATTTCTTTTTTATTACCTATTTCTACATATAAACCTCTATTATAAAGAGTTTATATTTTTCGGTTCTGTCAAATCTATTGTTCTGAGTGACATATTTCCCCAAGAAAGTGTCATCTTTCATAAGACTAATTAAAAAAAAAAAAAAAACGTTAAAAGCATATGGATTTGCAAGCAGTGCATAATCTAGAATATATTTTTAGGTATTGGCCACAAATATATATTTATAGATTTGAGTCCCACGTTGTTTGGGTTCGCTCCTGTCTTTTTTTTTTGTACATTCCACATCAACTTCAACATTCCCCCAAAAAATGCTGCCCTAAAAGCGCACATGACTGTAAAAAACAAACGTGCACACAGCATGAGGAATGGTCGCCGTGAAAGAATGCCGACTATTATCCATAAGGATATTATTGTCAGATCTTGATTCTTGGTATTTGAAATTTTGCTGTCTCAAAATGTATATAAGTTGGGGTAAAGTGCCAATTTAAATTATATTTTTTTATTATTCTGTTTATCTTATCATCATCATCATCATCAGCTCATCTGCTTACAAAGATAATCACACTCTCACTCAACTAAACACTTTTAATACTTTAAAAAAAACTCATTCAAAAATGCAATTCTCTACTATCGCCATAGTTGCTCTTTCTGTTCTCTCTCAACACGTCCTTGCTGCCCCAGCCGCTATTCCAGCTGCTGACGCTGATGCCGCCATGAACATGGAAGCCGTCAAGGGTGCTTTTGCCTCCACCGGCAAATACATCGGTACTGGTGCTAAGGCCGTTGGTAATTTCGCTAAAGAAAACGGTAAGAAGGTCGGTAAAGCCGGTCTCATTGGTGCTGGTATCCTTGGTGTTGGTGACATTGTTTACGAAGCCGGTAAGCACCATGAAAAAGAAGCTCAAGCCTCCCAATCTTTGGCTATTTCCTCTGCTGTCAGCTCTGCTACCAGTGCTTACGCTGCTGGCATGACAACCACTGTTTCTACCATCGTTGCTGCCGCAACCCACTCCTCATAATTTATCCTTCAGTAATTGTCATATCTTTCTAAATTCAATTCTTTTACGACACTCCAAGTCAGGTATTTGGAGGGCCATATTGTTCCTAGTCATTTCATTTAGCTTAGTTCTTCATTGCATATTTTATTTTATCGTCATATATTTTTTAGTTTACCATTCATTCCAGTAATAATATTTCTAATGTCATCACAATGAAAATCACAGTAGAACCTCCTTGCAGCAGAACAATCAAAAGAAGGAACAAAAAAAAGTTCAATACAAATTATCGTTAGTTTCGCTCACTTGGATCTTTTCTCATTTATTGTTGTATTGTTGAGCTGATAATTTAGAAGATTAACCGTTCATCACGCAAATGCTTCGCAACCCTCATGGTTTGCTGCTGTCTGTAATGGGTAAAAATAAGATTTAAGTACAATTGGTAACTTTATAATCACTTTCAAGAATCTAACACAATATATGATAAGCATCCAATCTCCTGCAATCTCTTCCAATCTTCTTATGCCTCTAATCTTCCAGTGTTTGTGATATCGTGGCAAATAACATTTTTTTATTTTCTTTATGCCACACCTTCTGTACAAACTTTATACGAGAATAATCTTGCGCACACGAAAACTGGTTTTAACACAACATTAGAGAAAAAAAAAATTGATTTTTTCCCCTCATTGTAATTGGAAACCATTCTATTAAATATTCCCTAATTTATTATATATTTTGATCTCCTCCGCCGCGACACTGGGTCGTCTGATAGTATAACTATTTAGGCTTACCCTTCATCGCGTTGTCGACCGGGTGACCCCATTCGATCACAAAAAAAAATTCACAAAAACGAAAAGAATCAAAGAAAATTTGTGTGCATGGACATATCGAAAACCATACAAAGTCATAAAGTCTTCAAAACGTTAAAATGTCTGTGGAAGTTACAAAGAAGGTTGAGGAACTCACCATCGATGGAAAGCCAGAAGTCAGCGAGGCTGCCGAAGCCACCTCTGCCCCAGTCATCTTAACCAAAGAATTGACTCACTATCATCCATTGAATGGTAAGTGGACCTTGTGGTACACGAAGCCATCTGTTGACAAGAGTGAATCATGGGCTGATTTATTGAAATCCGTGGTGACTTTCTCCACTGTTGAAGAATTCTGGGGTATTTACAATGCTATTCCAAACGCCAGTGATTTGCCATTGAAGTCGGACTACCACTTGTTCAGAGAAGGAATCAAACCAGAATGGGAAGATGTCCAAAACTCTAAGGGTGGTAAATGGTCATACCAATTCAAGGAAAAGAAGAAGATTGATATCAACGAATTGTGGTTGCGTGCTTTGCTTTCCGCCATTGGTGAAACCCTTGAAGAAGAAGAAAATGAATTGAACGGGATTGTCTTGAATGTCAGAAGAGTTTTCTACAGAGTTGGTTTGTGGACCAAGTCTTGCGAAAGAGAAAAGTTGGAACCTATTGGTAGACAATTCAAGAAGGTATTGAAGTTGACTGATGGTGACAAGTTGGAATTCAGTCCTCATGACAGCGGTGATGTTAGAGCTCCAGGTGGTTCAAAGGACACTTTTATTGTCTAAATTTGATATATTTGGAAGCTAGTTAGGGAGTTGTTATATTTTTTATGGTGTGTTTTTTTTGGCATGAACTCAATTTTTTTTTTCAGCACTTGTAATTTCTAGTAATTTGTTTAAATAAATACAGTTGCTCATTTATGTTATCGGCGTTGTGTAAAGAATTGGATCGGTTTGCTATTTCTTGTTTTTTTTTTTTTTGTTTCGTGGTCAAAATTCCTGAGATGGAATGGTTAAATCCGATTCAAATATCCTGCTATGTAACTATATATCTTTGAGAAAGTCTTATTTCTAATATTTACAAAGCTGAGAGAGTTGTAATTAGAGATCAACGTTGGTGGATGGTGATATTATTATATTTCTGCCTGCCTATGAGCTCACCCCCTCCCCCCATCGCCTCATAACCAAAATATTTTTGACATACATGATTGTTATCTCTCTCTTGAAAGTATGTAAAACTTGTCCATGTTGCGAGACTATTCTTTGGGTTTTCTTATTATTTTTATTTATTATTTTTTTTTTCTAATTTTTTACAAGCTAGCATAGGTTGCGTGACTCCAGTTGGCTAAGATCGATATCTACTTACTGGATCGCTTACGATGATGAAGATTGTTTATTATACCTTTTTTTTTTTGCAGTTCCGCTCAAATATCTTGTGTTAAGTTAACTTGCACGCACTAACAAAGTATAAAGATGATAGATAATGAAATTACGATATTATTGGTTATACAGACCATCAATAATGATTTCCTAGCCAGAGAATGTAATACTATGCAGACTCAGTTCTATTAATTCACATCACCACAGGGGGGACCTTTTTTTTTTTTTTCAATTTTACCAGAGGAGAGATCTGACTTTTACAAATTTATCTGTCCCAGTCCCTGTATCTATACGGGACACATTTTTGAATAGCGAAGAAAATAGAAGGAAATGCTTATTAATTTATTCAGGATTCCTTTAAGGTTTGTATTAGCGGTAAAAAGCTACCATCGCGCCTGGACATTGCTCCCATAAACCCCTGAATAATAGCTATTTTCAAGGGATTGTTCTAAGGAATTTCTATGTAATTTGTGAGTCAGTTCATTTTCAGTATCCAATACCGTAATGAATTTTTTTTTTTGCCCCTTCCCTCCCCAGACATTGAAATTGCTGATAAATTTTCCAATTTTTTTATTTTTTTTTTTTGAAATTTGAAATTTGAAATTGATCAGATCTAAGAATTTGCTATTAATGTAAACAAACAGTAAGATAGTGACACACATCACATTGGGTGCTTACTACATACCTCTCGGATAGACTTTAGAAGTATGTAAATATTTCGAATGGATCAAATTATCGGAGCAAGATTTCATGTGGTTGCTGTAAAAGTACATAATTCTCACACTGCAAAAGTATTTAAGTCCAATTAATATTCCACTTTTTTCTGTTGACATTTTGAAGTTTAAAATTGCAATTTACCGAGTATATTTTAAATTAATGGGCTTAAAATTTTGTGAAACAAATTCAAAGAAATATAACTACTGAATGCGTCAGGAGATTTTCCAATTTCTTAGCGAGGCGCTTTCTAACGAGCTTGGGGAATAAGTTCTCTCTGGAACCTAATAAAAATGAATACAACAAATAATTAGACTAAACGATACATTATAGAAAATTCATTCAACTAGGAACGGTTGATAAGGCTGGGAAAATGTGGAGACCAAAATAGAATAATATAAAAAATAACAACAAAAGAACAATTTTGCAAGAACTAAAAAAACGTAAAACTGAATCGCCTTTCAAGGATGATATAAAACTAAAGTAAATGTGCTTCAAATATATATAGTAAAGATAAGGAAAAAATTGTGATCTGGGTTAAAACATGGCAGAAGAATTATAAACGGAACTCAAATGTAAGTAGAAATAGAACAAAAATGTAAAAGTAAACATAAATGTGAATCAGTTAAACCCCAATTAAATATACAGGAAGGAATGTAAGGCAATCCTTAATTCACAGCCGTGGAAAGGCATAAATGACGGAATTAAACAAAAAGAGCAAAGATGATGATGATACATAACATGAACCAAGTATTTTGAATGGAAAAAATAAAAACGGACGATAAAAGATCAAAAGGTAAGCCGATTTATAATATAAAAGCGCCGATTATTCCCATGAATCCAATCCCAATTGAACCTTTGACAAAATTTCCTGCATTAGAGGACTCGGTTACTATTCTTTCCGAATGAATAATCCCCACAGTTCCTGAAATGGTCCCCAACCCTACTGATCCTGAAGGGACAGATTCAGCAGTGGTGGTATACGTCAGGGCAAATGCCTGGGTGAAGGGCGTCTGAACGGTTGCATCTTGAAGCGTCACCCAAATCAAAGTTGGGGACACCGAAGATGAAGAGCCTGTACCAGTAGTAGTATCAACCGCAATTCCGCCTCCCTGAGCCAATGCGCCCTTTTGTGTAGTTGTTGTTGTTGCGGCGGTGGTAGCTGGAGTGGTGGCAGTAGTAGCAGTAGTAGGAGTCGTAGTTGTGGTGCCAGTGCCAGTAGCAGTGGCGGCGGCAGCAGCGGCAAGAGTTGTGGAGGTCGTTCCGGTCGTAGCGGTATTTGTAGCAGCAGCAGCAGCGACTGTAGTAGCGGTATTTGTAGTACCAGTAGTGGCAGCAGTACCGGTAGTGGCAGTAGCGGCGGCAGCGGCAGCAACAGTGGTAGAAGAAGTGGTGGCAACCACAGCAGCAGCCGGAGTGGTAGTACTAGTGGTGGCGGCAGCGGCAGCGACTGGAGTGGTAGTACTAGTGGTGGCGGCAGCGGCAGCGACTGGAGTAGTAGTGGTAGTAGTCGCAGCGGCAGCGGCAGCAACAGCAGCAACAGTTGTAGCAGTAGTGGTGTCAACTGGGGCAGCTTCTGTAAATTGGGTTGTTAGTAAAAAATGTCAAAGTGAAGGGTGATAATGATAGATGGACCATGTTTGTCAACACAAAATGGAAAATGGACTAGGAATATTCAAATACTTACCAGTGATAGCTACCAAGAATAGCGAGGCTATAAGAACATTTAAAAAGTTTTTTCTATTAGGAATGCTCATCTTGTTGATCTATTGGATTTCCGTAAACGGGGGCGGGCAAATTTCCAACTGATTGTTTCGAGGGCTTGGGGTGAGGCTTGTCAGTTCGATAAGCGATGTATGTCAAGAATTAATAACGACAGAAATGAAATTGGAGTCTATGGGATGGGTCGACCTATTGATATACAAGTATATTAATGTGTGTATATTTTGTTGCTCGTGAAGAAGAAGATAAATCAGCCAATAAATAGCCTACCGGGAGGGAAAAAGACAGCTCTGTGTACAGTGGAAACACAATGTACGGGGTGAGGGAGTTTAGCAGTTATTTGCGCAAGGAACGGTGTAAAGAGTGGATACAAAGAACGGTGAGAGATCCAATTGATGATGGTGATATTCTTATGAGTGAAGAGAAAAAGTTCAGCTAACAACTCCTGACAACATTTGTTTTTTTTTTGCCAATAAACATCAGCTAAAATAGGGCAAAATATTAGACTTTGCAATCTACCCATGGCACTAAAAATAAAAATTGCGCAGATCTAGACAACAGTAGGGGTCTCCTGGGGTCTAGACCCCGTCAAAAGCAAGAGGCATCTGGGAGGGTAAATTTTTTTGACGCGACCGTTTTCCAACATGAACTTCAAACAGACCTGTGAAAACATACTACTATCTCTACGGCTTGGAGTGATGCCAGTAATTTTGGTCATGAGTATCGAAGTTTGAGAGTGCCACCTTGGTCTTGGAAACAAAACATTGGAAAAAAGATACTGATGGAAACTCAGAAATCGCCAAATTAGCAAATGTTCCTGGCGATTTTGAACAATGTAAGTTATTGTCTTACTGGCTATTATCAAGCGTGCGTCCTCCTATTCTATATGGCCCCCTACAGTTATGGTCTATTATGAATGTATCCCATCGATAGCACTGCCACAAAAAAAATATTGCCCTCTTGCTGCTAGAACTTTAACTCATTGCCACCTATTCTTCATTGCAAAGAAAAAAAAAAAAAATCTTCATTACATATACTTACAAATAATCCTCGTAATTAGCGTAATAATACAACAGGCTCGATCGAGACATTAATAATTAACACATTATATATCAATTTCCCAGACTAGAAAAATAAAAACGAAAAAAAAAAAATGAAAAATAAAATGAAAGCCAACTCTTTTATTTTATAAAAAACCCTTCCCGCTTTCCAAAATCTTGGTGCTTCTCTTGGCATCTATAAACAAAGTTTCCACTTCTTCAATATCACCACCGGTAATTTCTGAATGACCATTGGCTTTTGACAAAATTCCGGCAGGTGCTAATAGTTGTAAAGAATATCTCAATGAGACATTTGTACCATGGGTTGTGAGCTTATTAAGGGCGTCACCATTTAATGGCAACCCTTCAATAGTGGCTCTTGTGCCAATAATCTTAGAAATTTCCTCAAAGCTGTATGGTAAAGTACGCACAATCAATAAACGATCAACCAAATCAGTAGGAATACCATGTGGGGCAACAATATCGTCAGTACCTCTGACAGTTGTCATACCACGGTTAGAGGCCAAAATGACGATTGGCGCAATTTGTGATTCTAATGCACGATTCAAATAAGTAAAACATTCGATATCCAACATATTAACTTCATCAATGAACAAGACACCAGGGACAAGTTCGGCAACCCCTTGATCAATATATTTTTGTACAACTTTGTTAACTTCTTGTCTTAATTTTTCAGTGATTTCGGTTTTTTTAGGCTTGAGTAATTGACCCATAACAGATAGCACATCTTGACCTCCCTGAGGTCTAGCGTTGGCGACATCAAGATCATGCAAAGTCACATCTTGGATAATTTCTTTCTTTTTATGAACATCACCTTTTGGTAACGGTACGTATTCCTCTGCTTCCAAATCAAATTCGGTAGCGTACGCATCAGAACGACCAACACGTTTCACTGCACCAGTGTTTGCTTCGATATATATCACATCACCAATTGAGACTTTTTCTTTCTGGATTGTTTCGTAGATAGATGGGTCAAGTCTGAGGGTCTTGGTACCTTTGGCACTTTTCAAGCCCACAACAACATGACTGATTGTTTTCCCATAGCCGCCTAGTGGATTTTCACTTTCTTCTGGAGTCAAATCTGTCACCTCACCCTCGTAGACTTCTTTTGTTTCTTTGATTCTAAGACCAATAGCCCTTCTGAAGTTTTCCATTAGAGCCTCGGTTTTCTTAACTTCAGTACTAAAAATTTCACTTCCTACAATTGGGCAAAATGGAACTTTTGGACCCAATTCTTGGGAAACAGCCAAAGCCAATGCAGTTTTACCAGTACCTGGGCCTCCTGCAAGTAAAATAGCTTTCCCGCTCATCTTTTTAGCTTTGATTAAATCAACAATAACACCACAAGCTTCACGAGCTTCAGTTTGACCAATGAACCCGCCATCAATCTGTTTGGCTGCGCCATATTCATCGAGCCCGAGACCTTTAATATGTGTATGTGTGGCAGTTCTGTGCTCTCTACCTGATTTATCCTTCACTTCACTTATTTCCACCATTTTTCTCTCACTTAATTAGATGATATATTTAAGATTTTTGGGTAATGTTTTTAAACCGATGCTATTAGACATTTTTTTTTCTTCATTCAATGTTTACACTATATTACCCGGACACGAATTACATGCTATACGCACGACGTGCCATGATGATCGACCAAGGCAAATAAGTCTATTGAAGTATCACCAATAAATGGTAAAATAATGAGTAACCGAGAAAATGGAAAACACCTTTTAATTAAGTATTAAAATTTGTAATCATCGACTAGCACTCTCATCTGGATATTCAGACATTATTCAAGCTTCTCCCACTATTTCTTAGTTTTAATATATTTGTCCACTAAGGACAGAAAGTAGTACCTATGAAAAACTTCCAGAAATTTGACAAAGCACTGTACTATGTTGAGCCTTTTTTTTGTTTCATTTTGCAAAGTTTTTAGGATTCATAAAGGGACAACTTTTACTAAGGTTTATGAAATTTATCATGGGGTCTAGAGAGCAGGGCTTGAACATGAGATGTCTGCCCTTAATTCTTTTTGTATCGGTGTAATTGAGAATATCCAACGACCAGTCTGAGTGTCGGGTTTGCATGTTAGTGGGGCCTCTGTGACACTTTAATTTATAATGAAGTGACCAGGAGCGAGAAAAGCCCCGAGTAAGCACATCTTCAATCTATTAAAATCCAACTGAAGGTCTAGATTATTTGTTGGTTATATATACTAAAGGGAAAATGCTAAAGAATATTTTATCCGTGAAAATGGTAAAATGCCAGATCTCCGGGTGTTGGAAAATTGACTCTGTTGGAATTACATGCAGCAGTAGATAATAGTCGAATGATTGGGAATGAAAGATATAACAACTAAAAAGTAACTACAGCACGCAACGCTCATCAAGGAATGTGTCTGAGAACTCAGTGTAAGCACACATTGATTAGTACCAATAGTGCTTTATTATTGAGCAATGTACATAGAAACAATAAGGGATTCATATGTCATAGCAGTCAGAATAATGTATTTAAGGATCTTGGGATCCTTCAATCTAAAGCTCTCAAAAAAAAAAAAAAAAAAACTAGTAAGCTGAAGAATATCACATCTTCCAATGAGCCCGCACCCCATAATGAATGCTCTGTTCCTGTTTGTGCTTCTGATGAATCACAACAAGAGAGGAGCACAAAAGATTTTAATTTATCCTAACAATTGATAGTGATGGTATTCACCGCCATGCCATACTATCTTTGAGTGTGGTATGTGTTGTATAGACTATCAATTCCACGATGGCTTAGTTATTATTTTTGTTACTAAGTCACAACGAGCTGTAGATTTAGTGGTTTCGGGTAAAAGGACAAAAAGTTGATCATTTTGAATTTTGAGATGACTTTTCTGTGCGCATCCTTTTTAATTTACTGAGGGAGAAGATATGTGACCACCACACTCTGTCTGGTTCATGTGAAGTAGAAGATCATCCGATTACCTGAATCAATTCTTGTAAAAATTGTGAGTTGGTAGCAATTGTCGTATGCAACCAACCATAGTGTATGTTGCAAGTAGCTATAAGATACTATACTACAAGGGTTAGTTGTTTGCTAATGTAATATATTTTATTATAATAATTAATTGGTTATATTGATGGTAGCGCCTTATAAATTATATCATTTCAAACTATTATTCAAAGGGGAGAGAAAAGTTTATTTAGTCCGGAGGTCCGAGGGAAAAATCCTTAAAAGTTTGTCTAATTTTTTTTTTTTTGGTGGATCTTTTTTGTGAGTGTCCAAGGGTACATATATATCAACATCGATTAGAGTATTCTTCTTTTAAAATGCAATCAGGTACTGTACTCAAGTTGCTGGATTGCAACTTTGACCTATTTTAAAGAAATTGTTGGTTGTCTATGTCATCATAATACATATAGGCATCGTAACTTAAATGTAATTAAATTATCAAGTGACACTCAAGGAAAATTCATTTAACGCAAGCTTGAACAGTGTCGGTAGCAACTTATGTGTACTATTCTTTACACCCCAATTTTGCATTGCTATTGTGCACAACTCATACCCCAATCTATATACTCGAACGATATATGCTTCATCATAACAATAGTTGACAATAATATGGATCAATCCAAACACCTGATATATATAATATTAGCACCCTTGAAGCTCCTGCTCATAAATTATGGGCGCCAATGTCATACACCCGAAAGTTGCCAGACCCTCAGGGTTGGACCCCGTATTGCTATCCTATGATGTAAGCGGCGTGGCTGTCAAATGTATCTTGTTGCAATATTATGCACCCCAGAAAGCGCGTACCACACCTAAAACTGTACTCCGCATTTTTCCATTTTTCCCGCAATTTATAAACTCCCGTGCTTGTCGATGTTTCCAAAACACTATATATTCGCCAGAAAACCCTGATTTTAGATTAGCTACAACAAAATAAATCTTTTCTTCAGTTTTTTCATATTATTCTCTTTTTTTTTTTTTCCTCCCCACACAAAATGTCGAGTCCTTCCCCTCCTGACACTTCAGTTCAGCCAGCTAAGGCAGCATCCTCATTTGATGATATTGTCTCCAATGAAAATCACCATATCGAGCAGATTGAAAAAGTATCAGCTAATGAATCTGCTTCTTTAAGCCATGATGCTGGCAATGAGCTTCATATCGATAACATTCTAAAAGATTTTACACCGGATGAAGTGATGGCTAAAGGACGAGCTTACGCTTTATCTTATGGCATGGACCCTGAACTTTTTGCCAGAGGGGCTCTTGTAGCTCGTAGTCCTAAGGAGTTTCAGAAAATGCTGCATATATTGAAGGATGATGAATTGGAGGCTCTTGAATTCGAGAGTACCCACAAATGGCGTGCCGTTCCAAAGAGTTTGTACTCTGTCATCATTATGTGTTCTGTTGCCGCTGCAGTCCAAGGAATGGATGAGTCGGTCACAAATGGTGCCAACCTCTTTTGGCCTTATGCTTTGGGGATCGGGGCAGATACTTCTCGTAATACTTGGTTACTTGGTTTGTGTAATAGTGCTCCATATCTTTGTTGTTCCATGGTCAGTTGTTGGTTAACTGGCCCTTTGAATGAAAAGTTTGGCCGTAAAGGTACTATATTTATCACTTGTTTCATTTCTTGGTGGACCTGTTTTTGGCAGGGCTTTGTGGACTCGTGGTATCACTTATTTGTTGCGAGATTTTTTATGGGTTTTGGTATTGGTCCAAAGGTGAGTATTGTTCTTTCTCTTAAAAGATCCCAAAATGTTTTTGTTTGGAATTTGGGGAATATCAGAGTTTGTTTTTTTTTTGCTTATTTAATTTTATGACATAATCTAACTAAAACAATTTAGTCAGCAACAGTTCCAATCTATGCGGCTGAAACCACGCCAGCAAATATTAGAGGAGCGCTTGTTATGATGTGGCAAATGTGGACCGCTTTTGGTATTATGGTGAGTAATTCTCTATTATTTTGATTATTATTTTTTTATTATTATCTTATCCGTCTCATTTCACATCAACATACTAACATTGTTTCAAGCTTGGTACTGTCTTTAGTTTGGCGTTTTTTTATGTTGATAATTCTGCAGGTCTTTCTCATGCAGAATTTGCTGAGCGGAGTGATCACATCGTTTCTAAAGGGCTCAACTGGCGTCTCATGTTGGGTTCAGCCATGCTTCCAGCTATTTATGTTTGCTTCCAAGTGCTCTGGTGCCCTGAATCTCCTAGATGGCTAATGGGTCAGAACAGACATAAGGAAGCTTATGAAGCTTATGAAACCCTTAGAATTCATCCTATCCTTGCTGCTCGTGACACATTTTATCAATACGTTCTCTTTATTGAAGAAACTTCCATCACCGAAAAAGTCTCTTATCCTCAAAGAATGAGAGAGCTCTTTACAATTCGTCGTAATCTTAATGCAGTAGTTGCTTCTTGCATTTGTTTCTTCATGCAACAATTTTGTGGTATCAATGGTAAGTTCTTGGTTAAAATTACTTTTCTTATTATCCTATTTTGATACTAACATCTTTAGTCATTGCCTACTACTCATCAAGTATTTTTTCAGAGTCTGGATTCTCCACAATTAACTCTTTGATTGCCTCTTGGGGTTTTGGTATGGTCAATACTGTTTTTGCACTTCCTGCGGTGTTCACAATTGATACATTTGGCCGGAAAACTTTATTGATGTTGACTTTCCCGTTGATGAGTATATTTCTCCTCCTTACCGGTTTTGCTTTCTGGATTCCCGAGTCGAATAAGCACGCTCATGTTGGGGTCATTGCCTTTGGGATCTACATATATTCAGCAATCTACTCGATTGGTGAAGGCCCGGTTCCTTTCACGTATGGTGCTGAAGTTCACGAGTTGAAGTATCGTTCTGAAGGTATGAGTCTTGGGGTAGCAACTACTTGGTTCTTTAACTTTGTTCTTGCGATCACCTGGCCATCGTTATTGAAAGCCTTCAAGCCTCAGGGAGCCTTTGGTTGGTATGCTGCATGGAACTTTATTGGGTTTTTCTTGGTTCTCTTTTTCATGCGTGAAACTAAAGGGTATACTTTGGAAGAATTGGATTATGTGTTTGATGTTCCTATGCACGAATTTACAAGCCATGAGGTCCGCAGCTACTGGAGAAGATTCGAGATTCATGTCTTGAGACGTAAATTGCCAAAGTTGCCACCATTACATGCTACACACATTGCTGCTCCCCATGAATTGGATGAAAAGGCTATTGGTAAGCATATTGATCGTGCTGCTTCTGAAGATAGCCACTAGATTATTTATTTTTTTTCTATTTGTAATCTAGATTTATTTCATACTTTTTTTTATTGATTACTCGTACTTAAATCCTAGTGCTTTATTTTTGTTTTTCTCAGAATATATATTAAGTTGGCTTTCCATAATCAGTAATGATAATACGTTTTGAATTTATTTGTAAGTATGAAAACCAGAAATATTTGTAATTCGCTCAATAATTATTGGATTAACAATAGGAGCTTCGAATATCTTAACTTGCTTCAAATTAGATCAGTATCAATAGTGGTCTGGATAAAACAAAGGAAAACTATAATAAGTATTGCTTTATATTATAAAATTTTCAAAGAGGGTTTTGTTACATTATTCGAAAAAATGAGTAATATTAATAGGCATTAAGAATCGTTAGCTAGGACTAGAATATGAAAAAAGGAACCGAAATAAAAATATTGAACAAGATTGAAAAGTAAAAAGGAATTCATAAGTCTTTGGCATGAGAATTTTGTTTTATATGAAGCAACCAAAAAGGATATTTTCAGCAAACTTTTGCTTAGTATTTGTTAGCGCCATACTTGATTTGGGAGTAGACGGCTGGAACAGCAGGCCAGAACAAACAGACAGTAAGAACACCAGCCCAGGCACCGATATGAGGGATACAACGAGTAATTGGATTAGCACCGACTCTGATGAAGTTCTTTTCGGCAGCGGTTCTGAGGATTGGGGAGGCAATCATTTTTAGTATTGGTGTTGTGTAGTATTAGAGATAATTGAGAGAGATCAGAATGATGATAGTGATACAGAAAAAAAAAAGAAAAGATAGTAGTTTATACGTTTGAAGAGGAGAGGTGCTTATGCTTATATACTACTATATTTTTGAAACTTCAAAAGTTTCAGGCCACCATAATTTTATTGGGTGGTACCGAGGTAGCATGACTTGGGGAGTGTATGTGAATAGCATAAAAAAATCATGTTATTTTTCTGGCGCTAAATAATTGCATATCTCATGATATTTCCGATATTGGGGCATACGGGAAATGAAGCAGCCCCCGAATTCTCCCGTTCTCTGCTTATCAAGTCAGTTAAAGCCAGCGGATATGAATTGAAGCGTCTATCATTGGCAGGATCGCCATATTGGTGATGTTCTGGAATACTTTTCTTTCCGTTTGAAACTCGTTTACACTTATCACCGAAAAAGAACATCTTTGAGGCATGGGTCACCAGCCAAATACTACGATCTTATCAGTATACTAAGCCCATTGCAATTATAGGAATAGTAAATTCCAAGCAGTGGAAAATCAATGTTTACTATATTGATATTTATGTACATATCAGTAGGTAACCAGTCTGGTTGTTCTTAAATAGGAGAGTATACAGTTTTCATACACCAGATCCATGGTGTTATGCAACCAGCCAGAGACAATTTTTTTTCTACTTCACCGCCCTATATTGATCTGAGTGACCATAAGTCATGGGATCTCATCTAGGGCTAATATTACGCGTCACCGACATCACGTGCAAACATATTGACCAAAGTTTGCAGCCCCGTCATGTTGATTCTCAGTTTCGGTAGCAGTGTGGTGAGTGAAAAAAAATTAGAGAAAAGTTTCTTGATATTGACAATACCATTTCAAAGAGGCATATCAGTAATAACAAAATTTATCGAAAATGGTACGTTTGGAACGAGAAGATGATTTGATATAAGGAGCAATAATGAATGAAAACCAACAAAGAAAGAGATACTATGATATGTTGAATGAAACTAGTCAGTAAATGTTTAAAAATGTCTGCATCCAAATTGTGAAAAATTGTGAAGAATATTTATTGAGAATTTTTGGAAGTCAAAACACAATGCCTTTATTGATATGGATGTGAATCTCTGAAACAAATCAATTGAAAGATGAAGCATTATGAATCAAATAACGTTAATATCAATGTGAAAACCATAACAAACAATAACCAGAATATCAAATCAAATTGAGCTTGTTTTCATTGAATAGAATAGAAGTGATGATTATGCCTAAGCAATAATAAGTTAAACGAATCGCTTTTTAAATCTTTTTGGGGTTGTTGGCTTTTCTTTTCATTATTGTTCACTAATACTAATTGGCTTGATTCTCTTAGACTAGCTAAAGCATATACTAACTAGTTATACAGGGTAGAGTTAGAACTAAGACCGTCAAGAGAGCTTCTAAAGTTTTGATTGAAAAATATTACCCAAAGTTGACTTTGGATTTCCAAACCAACAAGCGTTTGGCTGCTGAAGTTGCCACCATCCCATCCAAGCGTTTGAGAAACAAGATCGCTGGTTACACCACCCACTTGATGAAGAGAATTCAAAAGGGTCCAGTTAGAGGTATCTCCTTCAAGTTGCAAGAAGAAGAAAGAGAAAGAAAAGATCAATACGTTCCAGAAGTTTCCGCTTTGGACTTGTCTAGAACTAACGACCAATTGGATGTCGATGCTGACACCGCTGACTTGGTTAAGTCTTTGGGTTTGAAATTGCCAATCTCTGTTGTCTCTGTTTCTGCTCAAAGAGGTGCTAGAAGATATGCCAAGAGAAACTAAGTGTTTTGAAATTCGCAATAACTTTTTAACCACCTTGTCCCCTACATAAATTAATGTCATGTTTTCTCACAAATAAATTTAATAGACATCTAAAGATGTCGTCTGTAAGATTTCAAATCTTTTATTAAAAATATTATAATTATTTTGACGTTTTTTAAATTAACATATAGATTAAGACTAAAGGACGCGTGTTATAACGGGGGATTTTGCACTTTTTGGGATGTTATATTCCAAAGACCTTGAAGGATATTTATCATAATGAGAGGCTTTCTGCTATAGGGGATGTTATATGCTGAAGAAATTGAAGAGCGTACGTTATAATGAGAGATTTTATACCTTTTGGGATATCATCACGTTTTTCGAGAATCCTAGAAATTAAATTTTTTGAAATTTTGCGAGCTTTAAGTTAGTTACTTTTTGATATAGACAGTAGTATACTGATCAGTTATTCTTAGCGATGAACCCAGCAACATTTTCTATTCTTTGCCAAATTTCGAAAAAGAGATTGCAGTCTCGTTTTTTTTCTAAAAATGCTGTGACTCTCAGCAGTGCTATATCACAACGTCAGACTGGCATCACCTCATTCTATACTACCAATAGATCTTTCTCGACATCAACCATTGCTTATAAAAAAGGAGGTAAAGCAAAGGGCAAGGCAAAGAATAATGTTGAACCTGAAGCTGAAGAAGAAGAATTTGACTCAGTGGGATTTTTGCGTGATGTGGAAAAGAAGTATAAAGATTCTATAGAAGTTTACAAAAAGAAGTCCAGTGAAAGCAAGCTGGGAAAAACCAACACCAAGATCTTCGATAACTTGAGTATTCCTTTGGCTCATAATCAATCTGCGAAATTCACTGATGTTGCCCAAACCACTCTCAAAGGAAGAAACTTGCTCATCACTCTTTTTGATCCAAATGACTCTAAGCATGTTGTCTCTGCGGTTCTTGGTGCTGGATTAAACTTGAACCCTCAGGTTGACCAAAAAAATCCACAATTGTTGAAAGTTCCACTACCTGCCCCTACTGCTGAAGTCAAAATTGAAGCTGTTAAGAATTTAAAATCTGTGTTTGAAACTTTCAAAAGCTCCTCAAGTAAATTCGCTTTCACTTCCATCAGATCCGATGCCTTGAAGGAATTGAAGAAATTGAAAGGTGGTGATGAAGTCAAAAAAATTATGAAAAATGTTGAAGACTTGAATAAGCAATATAACAAGAAACTCGCTGATCAATTTAAGGATTTAGAAAAATCTATGATGCAATAAGAAAACTTCTTACACTATGAATAAGCTCTCCAGTTAGAAGCATTCAGTTGATGATTATTCTGTGCTCTTCAGATATATAAGATGATCACATTGACATTAGCACTCACACCTTGTACATAATATAGACTAACTAATAGGGACTCTCAATTGATATTTTTGATCAATTCAAGGATTTAGAAAAATCTATGATGCAATGAGAAAACTTGAACTCTAGGTTTTCCCGATATGTAACTATTATTTTTATGCATATATTTTGTTTCTACATAAATTCTGGACTTGCTATTTTTTCTTTTAATTCATCTTGCTCCAAATCATTGATAACTCTCCCAATCAAGTAATCCATTTCTACTATAGTATATGTATATATGAATCTATAGCTAGTGGTGGGGTGTATCTTGTACGGCCTTCCCACTTTGCTTTTTTCTCCCTAACATGCATGAGTTTTACCAACTGAGAAATGATCAATCACAAAAAAATATACTCGTTTCTCATAAACTTTGGTTGCTTATTTCTTCTGGAAACCTGTCAACTCATGTATCATATCTGGTAGATCTTAGACAGCATCGGGTTTAATATCCTTGCGTTTCCTTGAGCTTGGGAAGCAACTATAAAATGACATGTAACTTTGATGATATCAACTTTTGTTTCTCCATATTTTCGGAAGCCTGAGTCTCAATATTAACACTCAATGGAAGCTACAACAAATAATATATATATATCTAAACAAATGTTTAATGTTTATATATTCATTGACTTTTTTTTAATTCTGTTTTTTGTTTTCATCTCTTCATTACTTTACCTTTTTCAAACACTTTATTACCCAAATATACCATTTACTACGCTACTGAAACATTACAATCTCTAGCGCTAGTATCTTTAACGACGAGATCATGGAAAATCACAAATATTCCACCACTTTTAGCTCTTCTATCCCCTCAGTAGAACCGTCATCACTGGCTATTTTGCTCTCTTCTCTGTCAAGCAACAACCGTCTTGCTCTTGGTTTGGGAATAGGTGTGCCTCTTGGAGTTTTGTTCACACTTTTTTTAATCTTTATATGGTTCCACCGGAAACATAGAGCCAAGTGCTATGATGAAAAAAAAGGCAATTTAATGTTAGAGCCTGAATCTCCAGTTACTGACAAGAAACTATTAGTCGCCAATGCTGATGAAGAAACTGATACATATTCTGGTAATTTGCTTGCCTCAACCGAGTATAATATTACCATCCCTAATTATCCTTTTGAACCAGAAGAGCCAATCATGTACAAGACCCCCATGCCCAGTTTCCATATTGAAGAAAAAGATGAACTGGTGCTGTACAAGATCAGACACGACTCGCCTCTAAAGCCACATGAAAAGGATCCTAACAGAAGGGGTATTATAAAAGTGTCGTCCAATCCTGATTATGATAGGTCTCTGCTTAGCTCTGTGAGTCTTTGATATTGTGCGAATAAACACTTTTTGAGGTCAGTATCCCTTTTAGTTGCTCTCTAAACTTTCCTTTTCTGGAGACGGAAAAGATTGATTTAGGTTATATCCTATTATTTCTAGTCAGAATTTCCTATCTCCAAATGAGGAGCCTTTTATTCATTATATATTCTTCTTAATAACCCTTCTTTCTAAAATTTTCATTATTTCACAATTTCTTTTTTCCCATTCATTGATTTATGCCTGAGAAAGTTTCTAAAATTGTTTAGAGGGTTTCACAGTGTTTTTCTTACATCTTTTTTCTCTCTTGAAATCTCAACATAGTATTGTAAAGAGATTGATCCTTAACTCATTTAACCTATAAAATACGACTTACTTTAACGAAAACTTATCACTGAAACGCTTATATATAACTTAATAGACTAATAATGGAAACATCTGATCCTGGGATCTATTAAAAATAAAAAAAAAAAATCTTATTTTTCACTGAACTTTTAGATTTACACAATACAAGTTGGATGTGGGATAGATAAATCGCTTTATTTAAATTATGATAAATACAGATTTCGTTTCTAAGGAGAAAACTTCCTGTCATAAACAATTCCTAAAGAGAACTTCCTGAACTATCCAAGTGCGCAATCTTATTTTGAGTATATGGCTTTAACAAAAGGCCTTCAATTATCCCATCAGTAGATACTTGTTTGATCTATATTTTTTCGTTAGTAGGGAGCTAATAAATTCTTTTTTGCAAAATATTAAACTTACCATTTGAACAGCTTCAAATCCACTTTTCCCTGTTCCCATGTAGTAAGCTGTCAACCCAGCTACAATACCAGCAGAAACAGAAGTTCCGGAAGCTTTAGTTGCGGTGTTTCCAGTGTTACCTGTTGTGGTGACATCAACGCCACTGGAAAATATATCTATACAGGCCCCCCAGTTAGAGAATCCGGCAATCTTATTAGTAGCATCATCGATTGAACCAACACTCAAAGATCCTGAAGCTGAAGAAGGAGAATTACTACATGCCAATCTACCATCGTTACCAGCAGATGTGATCACCGGTATCCCTTGGTCAACAATCTTTTGAACTATTGAGTCAAGCAATTTGCTCCTTGATATGCTCATAGCTAATAAAATTACCGTTGGTCTTTTTGTTTCTTTCGATTGGCTTACTACTAAGTTCAACGCTGAAATGACATCACTCAACTTTGCGACCCTGTCTCTCGAGGCGACTTTAATATCAACAATATTACATTTTTTTGCCACTCCATAGGTTTCTGATCCAACAACTCCAGCGAGGGCGGTTCCTATAATGGAATAGTTAGAATATTAAACCTACGAAAAAAAAAAAAAAAAAGAGAAGATGTTCCATACCATGACCAATAGGATCATCAATTCCAGCTTCGTTAACGAAGTCAAAAATTCTTTTCACTCTGCCTGTAAATTCACAGTGTTTTCCATTCACACCACTATCAATTATCGCAACATCAACACCAATACCTGCAGAAGCATCATATAACAATTCAGGTTGGTCTATTGTGTGTGCGTGTTAGTAAAGCTGGCCAGAAGTTTGAAGAAAGTTCTTTCCATACTATCATAAATAAGATTCTTGTGAGTTAATCTTAATAAATGCCTAGACGAAAATTCTTGAGTCTGGACAGCGTCAAGCTTCAAGTACTTCTCAGCTGATATCTCCAAAATCGAAGAGTCATTGTATAATAGACCAAGTAACTCATCATCAAAATCTCCCATAAATCCTGTAATGTTACCAACATTAAAAGACCTAAAAGTGTTTGCCTTCTTTGAAGCACGAAAAGCATTGAATTGAGCATCATATTGATTCATATAATAGTCAATATCCCTGGTAGAAGAAGTCTGAATAATGTAAGTAAATGCTTGTATCGCGGCAATCAAGGAGCCACAAACCAAAAACTTTCTAAGAAACATCCTTGAAAGAACTGTTTTATTTGAATAATCAATGGGGTTACTGAAATCAACTAATCTGAACAATACGGCATATGTTTTTCCAATTGAGATTTTCCCTTAAATATCATCTCCCAAAAAAATAAAAAGGTGCCACAAACACGGCCCATTAATTTATGTAAGCCTTGGGTTGCTCTCGTTTTCTCTCTCCTACTTGTATCCAATGGTTCTGTGTAACATGCCAAAAAACTCATGTTGAGTCAGGCTTACATAAGACGCGTCATTTTTTAATCATCAAAAAAAAAAAGTCGCGAAAAAAATAATCTAACACGCTACAATTGGCTCGAAAAAAACAGGAGTGTCAAACCGGTAATCTATTTAGTTGTAATAATAAGAAATATTCAACAGACTTATTATTTGTTATTCAGCCTCAAAAGTTTTTGAAACTCGACTGGTCATTCTACACCAATAGACCGTTCTTATCGAGAAAAATAGTAAAGATGTCAACTGAAGATAGTGCCAAAGAAAATGTCAACAAGCAACATCCTCAGCTGTTCGAGGTTGGGAAATTGAATTTCACCAAGCATGAAAACAAGAACATCATAGAAGTAGTGATCAATGGAATTTTAATTGCAAAAAACAAGGATGATGATTTGATTAATATTTCTCAAATATTGACTCTAGCAGGGTTGAGTGAAGAGGAAACAGAAAAGCTTTTAGGCACTGATGAAGAAATAACAAATGAGAGAACAGAAATTGATGATGGGAAATATAAGGGTATATGGATCAAGACAGGGAATGCTGTGGCATTGTCAAAGAAATTTGGCGTCGAAGAACCCTTGCAGAGCTTAATCAAAGAACATGATGATGTTATACAAAAGCCGAGTCTCACAAGATCTTATTCTACAATGACAGACATGGACAATGAAAAAGAGTTAGCTAAAGAAACTTCAAAAGAATCTACTGGATCTCCAAGTAAAAAATTGAAAACTGGTGACAGTGATAAATCTCAAAAAAAACCTATTACTGAGCTGGCTGAACCGCCAATAGATATTTCAAATATTGCAGATTATGAGCAAGCAAAAAAATTGATGTCTCAAGTATTTCTTTCGGAAGGGGAGGCAGTGACCGAGGCCTGCAATCAGCTTGCATCTTCACACCAAATTGATTTACCTATCGATGTTCATAATAACACAGTTTTACACTGGGCCACATCATTAGCTAATGTTGGCTTAATTTTCCAGCTAGTAGAATTAGGTTCTAATCTGAAGAGAGGAAATAATGATGGGGAAACTGCATTAATGAAAGCTGTTAGCCATGTTAATTTTTTTGATAATTTGATGTTTGGCAAATTGCTCGATATATTGTATCCCTCAATTACTGTGCTTGATAAAAAAAACCGTACTTTACTTCATCATATTGTTTTGCTTGCTGGGTCAGACGGAAGAAGCGACGCTTCTAAGTACTACTTGCAATGTCTTGTTGAGTGGATAATTAAGAACAGTCCAAATAGAAAAGATGCCATAACTTTGTCGTCATTCATGAATGAAATCGTTAACTTGAAGGACTCTAACGGTGATACTGCATTGAATATTGTTGCCAGAATCGGAAACAAGGCTATTGCACAGCAGTTATTGGATGTTGGTGCCGATCCAAAGATACCAAATAAGGCTGGTTTGACCCCTGCTGACTTCAGATTGACGGGCTTGAACATGTCCAATAGTTCTTTGGCGAAAACCACAGGATTGGTAGCAAAGGCAAGCGGGAAGCATTCAGATCAACTAGGCTCATTCTTGCATAGGAATGGACCGTCAGCTGTAGGGTCCTTGGTAAATGAAGAAAATGGGACTGCAAATATTGAAACTAACAAGAAAATTTCTCAAGAAAGTAAGAAGATCCTTACCTCCATGCAGGATATGATGGGTCAATTGGATAACTTTTTTGAAACTGAACTCAAGGCTAAACAAACGGAGATCAATCAATTGTACAAGGAATTAAAACAATCAACAATTAAATTGTCACAGTCAAGAGGTCAATTGGAGATGTTAAAAAACTCTGAAAGTAAATTGAATGAATTGAAACAAAAGACATCAAATATAGAGAAGTCCATGAAAGAAGAGCAAGTGAATTTTGAAGAACAATACCCGGAAGCTACATCTGCTGCCCCTGACGCTACATACGATCCAGATCAACCGTTTAAATTCCCTGAGGTTTACGAAATCGTAAAATCAAAATTAGAAAGAGATGGCCCATCTGCGACAGTGAATATTTCTTCGGAAGCGATAAATCTTGAAAATGTCCCACCTATGTATGTCTTGAAGGCGAGGATAAAAGCATATGTCGAAAACGAAAAGTATTTATCAAGTCTTGCAAGCGGTTTAAATGAGAAATCCATGGTTCTTGAGAATAAATTTAGGCATGTTGTTTCTCTTTGTACAGGCGTGGAGGAGAGTAAAGTGGATGATTTGCTAGAAGGTTTGGTGCAAGCAGTGGAAAGTGATCCTGATGAAGTAGATATCGGAAGAGTTTCTGGGTTCTTAACAAAAGTGGATGAGGATATCTGATTTCAGATTTTTTTTTTACTGGTATGTACGCTTATTTATACTTATTAATTGTATTATGATAATAATGACTTTTTCTCTAATTTCGTTCCTTTTCAAAGAATTTTGTCTGTCTTTTTTTTTTTTATAAATTGTTAGCCATATTGTATTGCACTCCCTTAGCCTGAAGATATTAAAGATAAAATTTGTGTAATTTGACAGGGTCCGAAACCCCACAATCTCATCGAGGGATAACGTTTTTTAGTTTGGTTACAGCCTTTCCTCAGCATCAACTATTATCTGGGTATCAAATATTAACTCATCTGATGGTTCGGTTTTTCAACAGTTTGAGGTATTGCGGGTATGGTGTATATGCTGACGTCAAGGGAAGATTGCCATACTACTGGTCAGATTTTCAAGATGCTTGGAATTATCGAGTGATACCATCGGTGGTGTATATCTTTTTCACCAATATTTTACCGGCAATCGCATTTGCTCAAGATATGTTTGATAACACGAATAATCTGTATGGGGTGAATGAGGTTCTTTTCAGCTCAGCTTTGGCAGGAGTGGTGTTTGGTTTGTTATCAGGCCAACCTTTGTGTATCGTTGGTGTCACCGGTCCAATCAGTATCTTCAGCTATACCGTGTACAAACTAATCGAGCCGTTGAATGTCCCCTATTTTCCATTCATGTGTTGGATCTACCTATGGTCAATGGTAATGCACTTTGTTATTGCTTTTGCAAACCTCGTGTCGTGGTTAAAAATTATTAGTCTGTTTTCGTGTGAAGTGTTTGGGTTCTTCATTTGCATTGTCTATATTCAGAAAGGAATTGTCATTTTGGACCATCAATTCCGAGATATCAGCGTGGCCAGTGGATTTGCTTCAGTCTTGATTTCAATGTTAATGATAATTTGTGGAGTGGGGAGTAACCTTTTTGGAAGTAATCTCCATTACTTTAAATTCTGGATAAGGAAATTGTTTGTGGATTACGGAACCCCTTTGTCGGTGGTGTTTTTCACTGGGTTCGTTCATTTTGGCGGTCACTTAGATGATGTCGAGTTTGCAAAGTTACCAACTACTGAATCTTTTGCCCCCACCTACAGTGGTGCAGGTAGAGAACATGGCTGGTTCATCCATTTTTGGCCGTCTGAAAACATTGAGGTTAAACATGTGTTTCTAGCAATTCCCTTCGCAGTGTTGTTAACTTTCTTGTTTTACTTTGACCATAATGTTTCGTCGCTTATGTGTCAACTGAAAGAGTTCCCGTTGAAGAAACCTCCATCTTTCCACTGGGATTTTGCCCTCTTGGGGATAACTACCGGTTTGGCAGGAATATTGGGACTTCCAGCTCCTAATGGTTTGATTCCCCAAGCACCATTACATACCACTTCACTTGTCATCAACTCAAAGCAAGGAAATGCTGTCTCCGTGGTTGAACAAAGATTAACAAATACCCTACAAGGTTTGATGACGCTAGTGATGATGACGAAGCCATTTTTAATAGTTCTTGGATTGATTCCTCAAGCAGTACTTTCGGGACTATTTTTCATCATGGGAATATCTGGTCTTAACGGCAATCCAATAACTAATAAAATCAGGTACCTATTCTTGGACGCCGAATATATTGAACAAGATGTTAACTGTCCGGCAATTTTTAAAGAGTTGCAAGATTTACCTAACAAGAAATGGTTCTATCTTTATCTTTTGTTACAATTAATCGCAGCGGGCTGTGAATTTGGTATCACTCTAACCGATGGAGCCATTGGGTTTCCTGGAGTATTGATGTTTTTTGCGATTTGCGCCAAGTGGGTATGGCCATTGATTATCCCCAAAAATGAATTGAAAAAATTAGATGGCGAAGTGGCGGATGAGATGATTATCAAAGGATTACTGATGTCACATTTGAAGAACCTTAGAAAACAAGGAAAAAAGGGCTTTGCATAGTCTGGTGATCAATATTCTATTGAGTGTTAGTATCGTATTATAATTATAATAGGGCGACCCATTGTGCTGCCGTACTATATGGAGTTATAATAATTGAATGAAATGACAGAATAGAACAGATAAAACTTTTTGTTTCATTCCATGCTCATTTCTATTGTGGTGAAAAAGTGAGATTCAAGTTTTCCTGAGAAATAGAATTCATCAATTACTTTTTTTTTTGAGTTACTATAGTGGCATTGAATCCATAGCCCTAATAAAAATTTTCTATTTAGAAAAAAATGTTCAAAAAATACGTCAATCAATATGTTCCTAAGCAGAGATAGACATTGTTTGATTATGATAAAAATCGAAACAAGCTTTTCAAAGAGAGGATCCACATAACTCCATGGCCTGAATATTAGGGTTACAAGGGAAGCAACAAGGCAAAATACAACCAGGAAAAACCACAACTCATCAATGGGATTTTTGAGCGTGATTGGCAGGCGTATATGATATGTTATCTGAGATATTTGCCCTATAATAACAAATAAAATATGCCAAGAGATTGGCATGTATTGTTCCAGAACTTATCTTTGCAAACCACCGCATCTACTACAACTTGAAACTTTTAAATTCTTCTTATATTCTTTATTGTATTCCGTTCCGTGTCTTGTTTTCTGTTACTACTTTCTATTTTGCTATTTCTGCTCCGACTGGAAAATAACGGTAGGTTCTTTTTTTTAAAACACATCAAGCATATTTATAATTTTATGGCACGTAGAGGAAAACTATAATATATATTTTAAGGGACAATACACAGCAAGAAAAGGAAAAGAACAAAACATATCATAGATCGGTCATGGCTAAAAGTTAGATATATAAGACAAAAGAAAGAAATAAAAGAACTCGAGAGGGAAAAATAAATAAAACGTGAAAGAATATTTGCAGGATGAGAAAACAAAATAAAAAAAAAAGCACACAGAAGAAAAAGAAAAATGTATATGATCCAATGTACATAACGAAGACTAAATAAATAAACATATGCAAATATGATACACGCAGATATGATACACATAAAAATGTAATGAAGAAATGAACAATATTACCCAATTTCCTTTTTTTTTTTTCATAAAATTTCCTCACCAGCACCCTTTTGGCTTGCTCAGACAGCTAATATGAAATATAATTGTCAGAGGTTAGTGGTATCCACCATAATTACCATATGGAGATCCCATACCATTTTGTGAAACATTATTAGGTAATGCGCGAGGACCATTAGGTCCACGACTGGAGAGAGGAACACCTGCCCCTCCAAATTCATCATCATCATCATCAATGTTGATTTGCGGTAAAGTAGGTTGAGCATTTTGAGAAACTCTCTTACCTTGCACTGAGGATTTAAAATAACCACCACCATTGTTAGCTATTCCTGTGTTATTTGGATTGCCATAAGGGGTTGGATTACTATTGCTTGAATTAATACTTTCATGGCTTTTACCATAGGTTGAAGCTGCTAGTGAATTCATAATAGGAGCAGGTATGTTGGCGCTGCTTCTGCTGTTTCTCACACTTGAACTGAATGGATTTGTACTATCTAATGAAGGTGATAGGAGAGCTTCAGAGTAATCTGGATTGAAGATATCAATGGCAAGTTTACTGTTACGTTTTTCCTGAACTTTCGTTTGTGATAGGATATGATCAAGATCAAAATCATCATCGTCAACTTCCATATTAACACTTAACTTATTCAACGCAAAGGTCAAATTACTATCCCCTGGAGAAGGTAATTTGGCATAATCACTATAAATTTGAGTGATTTCAGACATTCTTTTATTTGGCGGATCTTGATCAATCGCTAAATTAGCTTTATCCGATGGTATTTGTAAATGTTGGAGCATATTTTTCGAGGATGGTTTGCCTTGTTGCAGTTCGTATTGATTTGTTTGATATGGGTCATATGGATTGTTAATACTGATATTATTGTTGCTCAATCCATTCATATTCTTCATATCAGAGGGTAGCGGCAATTGACCCATATTATCCAAAGGTAATGGCAATCCCTTACCTAAGGATAATGGGGCTCCAGAGTTATTTCCAATCACGGCTGTATTGTAAAAGTTAGAATCAGATGATGAATCTAAATTATTGTTGCTGCGATCAGATGGTAAAGGCAATTGATTTCCAGGTGCAGAAGGCTTACCGTTGTTATAAGGTGAATTATCGAGTGAAGACTGACCATAGGGATTTGGTGCTTCATAAGAGTTATATGCTTGAAGGGGTTTGGAATCTAACGAAATATTTGAATGATTCATATTTATGGACTTATTGTCGGCAAGAACAGTAGACTCCTTACTATCATTAAGACCACTGAACCTCTTCTTTTTGGGTGTTGGAACAAAATTTGGATGAGTTGGGGAATCAGTTCGCATAGCTGGACTTCCAAGGGCAGGGGAGTTCAACGCACCGTCAATTCCATGAGTTGAGCCACAACCAGAATAGCCCTCCATCATCTTTTGCTTAAGTAAGTCCTTTAAGTGAGAAGTCCATTCAGACACAGGCCACATCATTGCCGACAATGGATCAGCAATATTTTGAGCCTCTTCAAGTTGAAGGTAGTGAACATGAGGTAAGACAGGCAACCCGAATAACAACGAGTCTGGATCTTTTTTGTCAGCATTGAGCTTTTTAGGACGACCATATAATTTAAATGCATCAAGTGCAGGTATCAAAAAACGAATTAATGTGTCATAACCTGGAACCGATGAATGGGTTTCTGGCATGAAGAATACACTACTCTCAATTGCGCCTTCTTTCTTGTTGAAAACCACTTTCCCATCAACCTTTATTAAAGTGGTGGTATCCACCATTTGAGGGGCATTTGGATATACTGCATAAACAGCCGAACTGGATACAATTTCCGCAACGAGAGGTGCCCTTTTGATTTTGTCGTGTTCATAAACCAAAATACGACCATTAGGCATTTTCTTTTTCTTTGGGTGAGTTTCCACCACTACATAATATTTTCTATACGACCCACCAGCTCCAAAACGAATGAGGGCCCAATGTTCATAATTGTATTTTGATTCTGCCAATATCACTTTAATATCTGACAACCGGGAACCTTTGGCAGAAAGAAGGGCTCCGGTATATGCCTCTTGAAGCAGTACATATTCAAAGGAAGCAAGTCTGAATGCCGCATGCCATTTGAAGAGCAACTCCTTGGTTTTGAATTGAAGAATGAATCGATTTTTCATGGTTGTCGATACCAAAATAACATTGTTCAAAGGCTTTCCTGACGATGGCATACTAAGTAAGGGCTTGAAAGTGGCATCGGCAAGATTAAGATACTCGAGTTTCTTGGTAGCTTTAGTGAAATTCTCTTTCTTTCCGCGAGAATTAGATAACAGATCAGCATCCCACATTGCTAATTGGAAACCTGATAAAACCCCATAAACTTCATACCAGCTGCGATCTGACGGCTGGCCCTCATTGTTTAAATCACGAAGTAGCATAAAGTTTGACTCAATGTATCGACGATGACTCTGGGCCAGCAAAAGCGTGACAACTGGTACAAGTTCAGGACTAAGATCAACGCTTGGGGATGTTGCGGAATTGGCGAGAGATGAGGCCGACGCCTGCTTTTTGTGGGTGGACAAGGGCATCGCAACTCCAGATTTTAGTTTACTATTGTTCGCTGAATGCTGATCTGTTAATAATATTATTGGTAGTGACAGTCGAAATGATTTAAGAAATTCTCTAAAATATGATAGGAAACGATATTGAAAGAGATTGCCCGAGTCACTGAATGATACTGTTGATTGAGGAAAAAAAAAAAGAAAGAAAAAAAAAAAACTAATTAACTGCCTATCTGCCACTCCTTCTATTATTATCCCCAAACTTCCGTTCGCTCGCGACAAAAAAAAAACAAATAAAAATAGCATAAGCCATCGGCGGGTAATCATACCAAGAACCAGTGCCCCAACGAAAACCGTTTAGTCTTCATAAATAGATATATACGACGCAAACAATACAAGGTATATCACATTGTCTTATTATCTCATCTTATATTATATTATCTTATATTATATTATATTATATCATATCATATCATATCTACCCTCATAGCCCACGCTTGAGTGCTGCAAATCGTTGTCGCAACGACTCAATATCGGTATTTGGGGCAGTGGGGGTGCTGCCTGACAGCTTGCGGCGACTGCTGTTGTGCAGAACAATTTTGTCCATACTGTGAGGCACCTTTACGGAAGGAGAACGGTTTTCACTGGTCTTTGCTGGCAGAGAAACCTTGATCGGGGCATTTACACTGTTGATGATATTTGGAAGCTTGTCTTTAGGGGCCTCTGCTACCTCCTCAAGCACCTGTATCGGCGGGGTTTTGTCCCTAAGACCATCACCTCCCTCATCATCACCACTGGAAAGTGCGGCAGCCTCTTCAACTAACCTATCAAGGTCGTCTTCGTCATCCGTAAGCTCAGAAAATGGCACTTCGTAGACTTGGGCAATCTCTTTAAGATACAAACTAACAAGTTCTGAAGAAGGCGCCTTAACAATAACACGATCGACAACTTTCTTAGGAACAATGTCATCCGTATTATTTATACCGGCTTGATAGAATTCAGGACCAAAACGATGTCCTAGGATATCTTTAACATTCATGAGCTCCTTTATTTCAGAATGGGGCGCAGCGTAAATGATTGTTTTCACCGCCTCTTCGAGGCCTGGGTCGCATTCTTTGGAGGAGTCAAGAAGAGATATTCTTGCAAGCAACAACTCGCAATAGAGCTCGAGCATTTCACAAAGCTCAACGTGTATATCTTCCCTAATGACATTCTCAACCCTAATTCTTGCACTTTGTTCCTTGCCTTGGGAAAGCAAATCCGCAAGCAGACGGCGTTGCTGTTTGGCAAGGGCGGTTTTCTTATCTTGAACAAAACGAAGCTTGGAGATACTCATTTTAAGAGCAACTTTAAGACGAGTCTCAATGGGTAACCCTGTTAGTCTTCTGTCGTTCTTCATGTATCTGTTCGGTCATCGAATCATCGCTTTTTTTGGGAATGAAATGGGTGTATACTTCAAGATACTTACCAGAGGAGAAAGACTTGGTGCCATGGCTGGGGTATTTTTTTTTTTTTGTTTTATTTTTTCTGATATCACCTTTGGCAATAACTGTATCAAAGTATAATAATAGTTGGTATTTCTGATGATAGATGGCCATAGGGGACGCCCGTAGACGGCGATGAACCACGTTAATCGAAAACCCGGATTATCTCGGCACGTGCAGTCACACGTGAAAAGCACTTTTGATACCCCACATAAACGGCAAATGGGTGTGGTTTTTTTGACACTTCCCCAGGCCCGTAGCCCTGCAACCATCGTCCGGCTGGGATGCCCCAGAATTGTAGTATATATAAGCTTGCGGTGCCCATGTTATCACATTTTTGTTTCATTATTCTTTCGTATCTTCATAATTTCCTTTTCTTGCATCTTTGTTAATAACAATAATGCCCTCTCCATATCCAAAAACAAACGATATCCTTCAGGGGGTGGAGTTCAAAGCTCCTATTGCTGATAACGCTGCCCATATCTTATCTGCCGAAGCAATTGCCTTTTTAGCCACATTACACCGTTCTTTCAATGGTACCAGACTTCAGCTACTTCAAAACCGTAAATTGGCTCAAAAAGAACGTGATGCTGGTAAGTTGCCGGATTTTCTTCCAGAAACAAAGCATATCAGAGAAGACCAAACTTGGGTGGGTCCACCGTTGTCGCCTGGCCTCGAAGACCGTCGTGTTGAAATAACAGGACCTACTGACCGTAAAATGGTGATTAATGCTTTGAATTCCAAGGTTGCGACTTATATGGCCGACTTTGAGGATTCTTCCACCCCAACTTGGTTCAATGCTACTGATGGCCAAGTGAACTTGTATGATGCAATCCGCCAAACCATCGAGTTAAAGTCTCCAAAGAAAACTTATCAACTTGATTTGTCAAACGATCGGAAGTTGCCAACCTTGATTGTGCGCCCAAGAGGATGGCACCTTAATGAGTACCATTTATGGATTGATGGAGAACCAATCTCTGGAAGTCTTTTTGATTTTGGGCTATATTTCTTTAATAATGCCAAAGAATCTATTGCTCGTGGGGTTGGTCCTTACTTCTATCTTCCAAAGATGGAACATCACCTAGAAGCAAAATTGTGGAATGACGTCTTCAACTTCAGTGAAGACTATATTAGAATCTCCAGGGGAACTATTCGTGCCACCGTATTGATCGAGACTTTACCTGCGGTTTTCCAGCTCGATGAAATCATTTTCCAATTGCGTAATCATTCGTCTGGCCTTAATTGTGGTAGATGGGACTATATTTTCTCTTACATAAAGTCCCTTCGCAATCACCCATCTTTTATTCTTCCAGACCGTGCTCAAGTCAATATGAGTGTTGGATTTATGGACAGTTATGTCAAGCGCCTCATTTATACTTGTCACAAGCGTCAAGTCCACGCGATGGGCGGAATGGCTGCTTTGATCCCAATAAAGAATGATCCAATTGCTAACAAGAAGGCAATGGAAAGCGTCTATAAGGACAAACTTCGTGAAGTACTTGCTGGTCATGATGGAACTTGGATAGCTCATCCTGCTATTGCCGATATTGCTTTGGATGTCTTTAACAAGTACATGCCTGGCCCAAACCAAATAAATATTACTCGCAATGAAACTGCAGCCCTTGCTGTCTCTAATAACAGTCTATTGTCACCATTTGTATCTGGAGGGAAAGTCACTGAAAAAGGTGTCCGTGCAAACATCTCCATTGGGTTGGGCTACATTGAGGCTTGGTTGCGTGGTACTGGTTGCGTAGCTATCAACTTCCTTATGGAAGACGCTGCTACCGCGGAGGTTTCTCGTTCCCAATTAAATCAATGGGTTAAGCATGGCGTTTATACTGATGAAGGCGTGCTTATTGACAAAAGATATGTTAGCCGTTTATTGGATGAAGAAGTTGAAAAATTGATTTCAAATGCTCCAAGAGGCCATAAATACAAGGAAGCTACAAAGTTTTATAAGCCTGAAATTACGGACGAGAAGTACAGCGACTTTATAACTTTGCCTTTGTATGAAGAAATCACCAAACAGACTGCTACAAGAAGCATCAACGCCCAAAAATTATGATTAGCTAGGAATTCCCAATTCTTTGTTTCTTTGTTTCTTTATTTTTTTTTTTTGTTTTCAATATGAGGGTTTGGTTTTTCGTTAATCTTTTTTTTTGCTATATAGGGGATAATGAGTAGTTAGTTTAATGAGTATCTTGGTAATTGTTAGGTATCACTGCTTGCGAGAGTACAATATATGTGTTTTATGTTGAGCGAAAAAAACAAAACAAGGTGCTACAAAGAGATTTTGGAGATCTGCACCCACGCATAAATGGATTCTGAGAGTCTATGGATGCAAGAATCAGGTGTAAATAGGAAAATAGGTCGGTTAATAGAGTGATATATGAAATGTATATATTGAATCAGCTACTTATAAAAATGAAGAACAACAAAACGCAACATGAGGTTTCGCGGTATTATTGCATATCACCACCGGGTAATTATTGCCTCAAAGAAAATTACAAAATAAATCATCACCATAATAAAACCATGAATTGAAGGTGCAAAGTTTGAATAACTCTCTCAATACACTTCAAATCCATCTTACAAATGCCCCTCCACGACCTTACTCTGCCAGGGTTTCGTCCAGAGAGTGCTACTCTGACACCATCTCTTGTTTTCAATAAGAAATCAAAGGTTCGTCAGCTGTCGCAATATCATCATCACCAACCTTTTTCGGTGGCTCACCAAGTGGTTTCTGTGAATATTGATTTGGCTCGACGTACAATTGAAGGTTTTACCGAGCTTACAGTTGTTCCTACTGACCCCGTTAATCGTGTCATAAAGTTGGATGCCCGTTATATGGACATAAGGGCAGTATATGTTAATGAACGACGCGTGAACTTCTTATACAATGATATCATTCAACTTGAGTCCCTGAGGCGACTCAATATCTTGAATCTCAGCCCCGAAGAGGAAGATATTGTCGGAAAAAATTACACAGTGAGCCAAAGTCAAATTTACAAGGAACGGTTTAAGCTGATTTATAGTGGAACTGATTCTAAAGAACTAGCAATTTTCTTACCCGATAAAATGAAGATTACATTACATGATGCTAGTAGTGCACTTGCTGCTGCACTAACGCCAGTGGTTCGTGATTCTCCTGGCTCCTATAAGACTCCAAACAACTCTGAAATGATTTATACCCCAGTGAACGTACGAATAGAATATTCCTGCAAGAATCCATTGGATGGTGTTTGCTTTATTGGAGGGTTGGGAAGTGGGATACCACAGAATAAATGGCATGCATACACTTCAAACTCTTTAATAGGTATCTCAACTTCTTCTTGGGTCCCCTGTGTTGATAACTTCTGGGAAAGGTATACCTGGAGATTGGATATTAGCGTTGCACGAAGTGTAGGGGATTTATTGCCAAAAAGGGGAATTGGTTTCAATGAAGACGGGGATGACGGAGATGACAATGCCAAAGGAGATGTTGATTTAGACCAGGAGATCGTGGTTTGTGTTAGTGATTTGTTTAATGTGAAAGAAGAAGCACATACCTATGACGTAACGAAAAAAACTACCTCTTTTACTTTGATAAATCCAGTGTCACCACACCATGTTGGGTGGGCTTTGGGACCATTTGAAAAAATAACTCTTGAAGCCTTGGAAGAAAATAAAAGTGACGATGAAAATGAAGATGATGCAGCAGATACGTCGGCAGTGAAGGGGATTATATATTGTTTTCCAGAAGATCGTACGAAAGCAATCAATTCCTGTATTATACTTTCAAAAGCAATTGAATTTTACTCCCGAGAATTTGGTTCCTTTCCTTTCTCCAGTTACTCGGTGGTATTTGTATCAGACGCCCCAGATACGTCATATGGTTATGCTGGTCTATCAATTCACAGTAATAAACTTCTTTATGGGCCAGACGCTATTGACCCACTTTTTGATTGCACTGAGATTATTACATATTTTCTTGCCAAACAATGGGCAGGTATTAATGTTCTCCCTAGTACATACGATGATTTTTGGATCACTATTGGGATTTCACATTACATGGCGAACCAATTTACTAAGAAACTCATGGGTCATAACGAGTTCAAATTCAGAATCAAGAAACGGGCAGAAATGATTTGTGAACAAGATGTGGGTCGAAGACCGATTGCTGAACCAGCTTTGAGCTTCCCAGTAAACGAGTGCCGTGACCTTGAATTCATAAAACTTAAAGCCCCGATTGTGTTATTCATTCTTAATCGTCGTATGACCAAGACCGACAAATCATTTGGGCTTTCCAGAGTTATTCCAAAGATTTTCCTTGAAGCCATGTCGGGAGATTTACCTCATGGTGGTATAGATACAGCTCATTTTCAGCACGTTACTGAGAAGGTAAATCATAATAAACTCGAATCGTTCTTCCGTCAGTGGGTGTTTGGTGCGGGTACACCAATCTTTCGTATCACTCAAAGATTTAATAAGAAGCGGTTGTTTATTGAAATGGGCATTCGACAAGTGCAACAAGATGAACTTAATCCAAGAGCTCCGACAGTGGACTCTTTTATGGATGATACCCAGAATTTTTTCTCTGGTTACAAGTCCCCGACCCTACAGACTACCTTCACGGGGCCAATGACCATTAGAATCCATGAGGCTGATGGTACGCCATACGAACATATTGTGAACTTGAAGGATAATTTTACGAAATTGGATATTCAATACAATACAAAGTATAAAAGGTTGAAACGTCGTCAGACTAAATTAGAAGGTGAAGAAAAGGATGGTGAAGATGCCGTTGGCAATGATGACAAATTGGATGGGGAAAAGAATGAAATGGATGATAATGGAATGAACGATGATCAAAATAACAATAATAATGATGTGTTGAAACATTGCCTTGGTGATGTTCTTCAAAGTGAAGATGAAATTAAAAAATGGGGGTTGAGTGAGTGGAGTAAAGATGAAGAAGAAAAGAAGGGAAATGAGGCATTTGAATGGATCCGTGTGGATGCGGATTTTGAATGGATTTGTCGTATCTACATCAATCAACCAGGTTATATGTTCCTTTCCCAACTTCAGCAGGATCGTGATGTGGAAGCTCAATTAGAATCAGTAAGATACTTTGCAGAAAGCCCAAATCCCACACCAGTTTATTCTACCATATTGCTTCGTACCCTTATGGATTCGCGTTATTATTATGGGATTCGTGTGGAATCTGCCAAAGCGTTAGCATTGTATGCAAAGAAAGAACTTAGTTTTACTGGGATGAAATTGCTTATTAAAGCATTCCAAACATTGTTTTGTTTTGACGTACACTCAAATATTCCTCTCCCCAATGATTTTTCAGATTTTGCATCGTATTTCCTTCAGAAATCTTTCCCACTGATTTTATCAACTATTAAAGATGAACACGGGGCTTGTCCACCAGTAGTGAAAACCTTCTTGCTTGATTTGTTGCGTTATAACGAAAATGGTCAAAACGATTTCATGGATTGTTTCTATGTTGCAGAACTTATCGAATCTCTAATTACTACTATAGTCGAGGGAGAAACTCTGAGTGTTCATGATAATACAGAAGCAGACCATGTGGCAAAAAACAAAGAGTTTCTGGATAAGGTGCTACTTGAACTCGATAGATTGATGCGTATGGATGAATGGATTCCCCTGTATCATCATTTAGTATCTGTCGTGATTCTTAAACAAAAAATTAGACTTGCGATTCATGGATTAATCGATTTTTCATATGAAGATTTGTTGCCATACACCAGGCCAGGCTGCTATGATGATATTCGGCTTGTCGCACTTGAAGGAATTATTCAACTCGGTGGTTTAAAGAACAGCCACTTCTTGCATTATTTGTTCAAAATGCTTGAATTTGAGGGCTCTACGTATGTGAAGAATCAGATCGCCGAAGTGCTTGTTCGGGGTGTCGCATCAGCGGGAATTAAGGGTACGTTGTCTTTATTGGATGATGAGGAATTTGAACCCGAGGATGTGGAAGATTATGATGAATCAGTGCTCAGTACCGTCAGACTAAAGCAGAAAGGTGAAGACTCTGGTGATAATCCAACTTCTGATGCGGGAATGATTTTTATTGAAGAAGAAGGTGTCTCCCAAGGAATTCAAGAAAGAAGGGAAGCCATCAGCCGTACCACTGTTGCTGGGATAATTGATTTGCTACGCCATGGTTACGGAAAGGGCAAAGGTATTCGCCTTAAATTCTGGGAAGCTATCTGTTCTCCGGTGTTGGGTATTCGAATCAAAAAATTATTGTTTCAACTTAGTGCCATATTGTTTGAGCCAGTAGGATCGGTTCTTTTGACATTGCAAACGCCTAGAGACAAAAGAATCACTGCAAAATACAATGGGGACGGTAAATTGGTTATTGCTCGTCAAAGCAAATTCAAAATTCAATTCAAGAAGAAGCTTGCCCTCAAAATATTGACGGAAATCAAGAACAGTGAACCTGGTCAAAGATCCGCTATTAAATCTCCAAGTTCAAAGACCACTCCAAAAACCCCAGCAAGATTGACTCTTGATACTAAGGTTCTCAAAGAGGTAAGTGCCGGTAATGGTACCACCTTAGTTTTGAAAACCCCAATTCTTCCGGAGACTAAAAAAGCATTACCGCCACCAAAGTTGCCGCCATCAAAGTTACCACCACCGAAGTTACCACCGCTGAAATCACCACCTAAGAAGTTACCACCACCGAAGTTGCCGCCACCACAATTAGCTGAGAAAGAATCTGCTGCTCCTGTGCCTAAAGTTGAAAAGATTACGAAAATGGAACCACCGGTATTACCAAAAACCAAAGTCAAGAAATACAGTGGAGTTGTCCATAAGAGCGAATTAAGTGGTAAAAATACTGTTGTGGTGATAAAATCTGCCAAAAAGACCCCAATTCCCGTCAGACCAGCCAAGATGGAGCCAGTTAAGAAAGAATCCTTGAAGAGTAAAAGCAGACCAAAAAAGGAGTCGTATAAATCTTATGCTATCAATTTAGGTCATAGTGAACGCCAAGGAAGGCTTTCACACGTGGTCAAGATTAAGACTTCCCCGCTGCTTGTTAATAAATTGACCCTGTTCAAAGATACCAAAACTAAGGATCAAAAATTCATTGCTCACCTAAAGAAACACAAATCCTCACTACATAAATCAGCATTTTCTGCGAGTGTCGGAGAAGGTAAATCCAGATATGTGAAAATCGACTTCAAAAAACGCAAGATTTTTGTCAAGCCTGATCCGTTTACCGATTTGAAACGTCACCAGCTGATGCCGAGCCGGTATTCCAAATCACACCAATCTGATACACACCATCCAATCTCACGCCAACCTAAACCACATAATACCAGTGGCTCATCTCATGATGTCGAGCACAAAAAGAAGAATGGATCGATTTCCGCCCGAGAAGCTAACGTTGGTGATCCCCCAAAGAAGTCAAAGCTCAAACTCAAACTCAAGCCAACATTGTAATCTTATATAATATAATTGTACCAATAAAAGTTCTATCTATTTTTTATCTATTTCTTTTCAAAAATCGATGTTGATTTAATAGCATTTTACGTTGTATTTTTAAAGTTGGGTGTTGATATGCACCGGTAGGCACAGGGCTCAAGCACAGAGATCTGATTTTTTATCACTTGAAATTTGCGTGTGTGTGCGTGTGAATAGGCCTATCATTCCGTTTTGTCATTTGCAACAACCACAGAAATTTTGGCAAAAAAACATCAACAACAGCAACCACAGCAACTGGACTGAATAAATAAGATATACAATATATCCTCGAGAGAGTGTTCATTGTTCAATGATACAGAGGGTCTTTGTATCATTTCTTTATTTCCTAGCGGCAATAGCTGAAGGACTCTTCGTTGCCGATGATGCGACTGAATTAACATCATTGACAGAAGTTCAGAAAACCCCTGAACAAAATCAACGATCAACAGGAATACCAACACAACATATTAGCCATATCAATTTCTCCGTTGATCAGACTCTTTCAGAATTGGAAAGTTTAGTAGCGTCTACCACCACGTCTGTGGTGGAGCTACCCGAGGAGTTTGATGAAGCAATGGAGATGAATGATTCATATTTGCAAAATCGCCTGGAAGGAGAAGTAACATTAGATACTGATATTTCGAATAATGCTTCTTCTATAAAAAATCATGCCGATATTGGGGAGTTGAATCTCACGGATCCATCTAATAGTTTAGTAGTCAACTTGTCTCGAAATGCGTCGATGATTCTTGATCAAGATATTAAAGATGAAAAAGGGGAAGAAACGGATCTCAGTTCGAACTTTTTATCATTTGAAGAATGGGTCCAAAAGAAAGCTAATGGCGGGCAAGAGAAACGGATGAGTAACCCAAGTATCAAAACTCTTGGTAATTCCCACCGCACCGCGGCTGGTGATCGTGAACTGGAGTACTCCATTGGAGAAGAAAATGAAATCGATTTTGATTTATTTACCCCTAAACAGCTTGCGGACCTATCAAAGGAAAATTACAAAAACCGTTTCAACTTTGCATCATTGGATTGTGCGGCGACTATTGTTAAAACCAACCAGGGAGCCCGGGGAGCCTCTTCTATATTGATGGAGAACAAAGAATCTTACTTATTGAACCAATGCAACGTCAATGAAAATTTCATAATTATTGAACTATGTGAGGACATTTTAATTGATACAATTACCATGGGTAACTATGAGTTTTTCAGTTCCATTTTCAAGACTTTGGAGTTTTATGTGTCAGATAGATATCCGGTATCTCTATCGGAATGGAAGCTGTTGGGACGTTTTGACGCCAAAAACATTAGAGACATCCAATCTTTTTCCATTGAAAACCCGTTGATTTGGGCTAGATATCTCAAGATCGAAATCAAATCGCATTATGGTAATGAATTTTATTGTCCGGTTTCCATCGTGAGAGTCCATGGGAGAACCATGATGGAAGAATATAAGTTGAAAGAATCGGGGGAAAAAAATGAGGCCAAAAAACAAATATTAAATAAAGACAACGAAGGATCAGAGTCTATGGGAGTGGATAATAACAACATTCAACAACGCATGGACCTGGCAGCGAATGACAAACTTGATGATTTACAGTCTGGCTCTGGTCAACAATATCGAGACGCTGGCGAAACGATAAGAAAGAAAGATACCTCGGCCTTCTCCACAAATATCCCTAAAGATGATAACTCAACTCAATGTACTGAAAATAAAATGTACAATGGGTTTGAGAAATTTTTGGCAGAATTGAAACGTAATGAATCTTGTGAACCAGCAGACTTATTAGAAAGTTCAACCGCAGCAAATAAAGCGGCAGTGATGGCACTTAAACTAGCTAACAGTAGTAATAGCGGCACTTTTAGACCATCCACCAGTGTCAAGAGATCAGAACCGCTGTCCCAAGAATCCATCTACAAAAACATCATGAATCGTCTTTCGTTACTTGAATCTAACGCCAGTTTGTCGTTGTTGTATATTGAAGAACAAAGCAAGTTGCTAGGTGAAGCATTTTCAAAACTTGAAAAGAAACAATCTTCAAGATTTAATATGTTGGTGTACGCCATTAATGAGACGTTCCAAAGTCAAATGAATGATTTTAAAACCACTTTCCAGATATTCAAAAAAGAATCAACCCTGCTACTATCGGAGCAAGAAGCAACTAACCAAATGACATATCAGAAAATTGACAGAAATTTCAGCATCATGAGCAATGAGCTCCAATTCCAAAAAAGGATTGTTATTTTATTATTCGTTATCGTTGTTTGTTTGTTAATTTATATCATCTTAACCCGTGACACTTTTATTGAAGGTGAGTATCTTGACGAAGTCTTAGACAAGGAGGTCGCTAGGTACAGATACTTGAATAATGATGACAGCGCTATTAGTATCAATGACGATAGTTCGTTAATGAAGAATGATGGTGCCAATCCTGGCCTGCCAAATGTCAATGATTCGCCGATATTTTTGAGTAGTCCACAATTCACTAGCTTTGTATCGACACAAACCCTTCCGACGATGCGGAAAGTGAAAAGCAATGATGAATACTCACCAGTTACTTCAACGCCAACTCACAGTCCCCTGTTCAAGCGTCGTTTGAAGTTGAAAATCACTAATAAGTTAGGAACGTCTGCCTCTTCGACAATTTTGCTTGATGACGGATACGGTCACCGGAAAACCTCTAGCAGTAGCAGTATTCTCAGTGGGTTGATGGACTCTGTCAACTACTCCGGCAATAATGAAAACCACCAGATATCACAGACGGGTGAATCCAAGAGTCTCTCAAATTTACGAACCCAGGTCCATCAATACAATAGTGATACTAATGATGGCAAAGCAAGACCACTAACTCCTGATGCTAGTGATACTGAGCGGTAGCTAGGGACATGTGTATCCACACATTATAGTATTGAAATTGCTATTATTATTTTTTCTGCTTATTATCTGGACTTGTTTATTATACCTTATTGCTATGCAGTACTTCTTTTTTTTTTTTTCGCTATTTTTTTTCGCTCATTTTCATTCATCTAGACTTTTCATTTTATTTGCAATTTTTTTACTTATTTGCTAGAGTGTTTCAAAAGGAATACATAAATGTAAGCTGAGTAGATCATTATTACAGTTGAGTTGAATTTTTGGAAAGTTTCCGTTGGATCATTGACGAGTATAATTAAGATTGAACAAAAACTGCAAATAATTACTAAATAAATCAAAATAAGGTATATAACACTGTATCCAATATTGGATGAAAAAAACATGCAAAGCAAAAATGGAACCAAAAACGTTAGGCAAATGACAGGAATGAAATACAGGAATGCTAGTGTGGGAGGGAAAAAAGGAAAATAAAGCAAGATGGTCAGCAAGACAAAAAAAAAAAGTTTGAAATACATAAAGCCATGTCATAAAAAGAGATTTTATCATACCAAATTTCGATGGCCTGCCTCAAACATTACTTTGGGCGTGGGACATGAAACCGTTTCCTGAATATAAGGCGACTCTTTGAAGTTGTCTAGCCTGATCTTCGGTCAAGATATGTAAACCATCATCTCCCAAAGAATATTTGAGAGAGTTATTTCTATGATGCACTGGCTCGTCGATTGGTGGCGGCAATTGCTGGTTTTCTATTTTAGATGTAGTTGAAGTTGGAATTAGGGTGGCAGGATCCGAATGCCTTTTGGCATAGAAACCAGGGTTTTTTTCTGTCGTGAAGCCGGCATCAGGAACCATTGATTGGTGAGATGGGTAGTAAGGGTTTCCCAGGTCTTGTTCTTCTTCTGGGGCTGGGGCTGGCAAAGTACGGGCCAATTCAAGTCTGGAAATGTAATAAACGGTGATAAATTGGATCAAGTTGATGAGCCACAAAATCGCCCCGACACAAATCAACGCGGTTTCGGCGCGTCTGAGCTTGCACTGTTCACCTTCACCTTCCTCACAAGGAGTTGGCAATAACACCCCAATCGCCACCCCCATGGCGGATAAACTAAGTCCCAGACCGGTCAAACAATAAAAGATCCCGTTATTATGCTCGAAATTCATGATTCTGAATAAGAACAACACGGAAATCCCGAGCAAGATCCCAGAAGACGCGATCAAGAACCCCCAAACGCTGCTTTTGACACTGGAGGTATCGTTATTAATGGAATTGCTACAAAGCACAATGGTGGCTACCGCAAACACAATTTCGAACAAATGCATGAGAGTATTGACAGAAAATGCCGTTGGACCAATACCAAAGATTTCTTGGATCGGCACTGGGGTGATAAAAAGTGGACGAGTCAACACTTGAGAATACAACTGTTCTTCAAAATAACGACGAGAATTGGTACTGCGGACATCTTCTCTGATGTTCATATTTTGAGGATCTTCATAATTCAATTTAGCAGTGGCGATCCTGGATCTAACAGTGTTGGATCTCATGATATCATTGGATGGTAGAAGCTGGGGGTGATGATGATAGCTACTGTTTATTTGTTGGTGGGTTGGCGACATCATTTGAGCTTGGGGAATTGTAGCCTCGGAGGGATATACATTATACGGGTCCACAGGTTTTGGGGTTGGGGTTTTCGCAGTGTTTTGTACCGGACTACTATATGCTGCTTTATTGATATGTTGGGTTGCAAGCTGGGAAGCATCGTTGATGTTATCAATGGCGGTGCTATAGCTGTTAACCCCAATCGTTGGCGGAGGCAAAGTAGAGTATGGAGCAGAACTTGAGTTTGCAAAGTTATTATTGATGGGAATTGGGTCATGGGAATGACTGGCTCTTTTCTTAGGAGACCCAGATGGGGAGTTCAATAGGGAAAAGATATTCTCATTCATGATGGCACTATCTTATGGTTTTTTGTTTGTTTGTTTTTTTGCTTGGAATTTTATTATTTGGATACTCTAAACAGAATATGATACCAAGTAGATTTTTATCCCAGTTTAAGACACCTGAAAAGAGAGCACAAAAACAAAGTATTGGTTGTAGAAACAGTATTTAGATGAGGATTTGTGCCAGCCTTTATAATTATCAGACATGTTGAACTTAGACGGGTCTGAGCGATATGCATCAGTGAGCTGCTTCGTGCATCGCTACACTATTGGCTCTGAGCGTCCACCCACGATAAAATTGGGCTCCTTTTTTTTTTTTTGTTGTTGTTGTTGTTGCTTTTACTTATCCTGTTCCAGTTCCAAAACAGCTGTTACTAATTGGAATTTATATCCTTAATAATCATTATATTCGTGTCGAAAGAACTGTATTTAAAGTGGAGAATTCTTTCGTCTACAAATACATGCATGATATTTTCAGTGAGCGAGTTTAGAAAGAGATAGAGAAAAAGAAAAAAAAACAAACAGGGTAAAGACAAAAAAATACAATAGATGGTCAGTTGGTCAATTCTGTAACCACCATTAAGCAAGGGGAAAAGAAACTCCACTCAGTCAATTGGACGACCCGTCTGACTTTTTGTCTCTCTTCGTCTTGCGGCACGCGTCCTTCCTGCATTATTATGCACGTATCATAGAGCAGAAAAAAAGAATCCACGTGACAATCGAGATTTTTTGGAAATCTTCAAAATTTTCAACGCTTTGTTGAATCAAAAAAATGCCAATGAAGGAGGGACAGTAAATATACCTATTTTATACATATCCCCGATAGAAATGTTGAGACACGCCCTTCTCAGAAGCAGCCAGGGTGTTGCCAGACTCCAGGCCCCTGTTGTATCTGGGGCTTCTCTTTTCCATACCTCCTCGGCCACCTATTCGGCCCCAATGCCAAAGTTTGGTCTTGCCAGACGTAAAACCCCTAAAGGTCAAAAGGGTCAAAAGAAATCAAAGGTTTCTAAAGGTACTCCAGGTAACAACGATTCATTCATGGAATATGTGCGTGATAAATCGATTTCTTTAAAAGCCCCAAGCTTGGCCAGTGATTTGGAAAACATTGAAGAAATTGTGCAAGCTAGATTGACTGCCGATAACAAGCTAGAGAATAAGGATACCCTTCCTCAATTGACCAAATACAGCGACGATTCATTGAAACGTCTCCATCACATTGGTGCTTTTCAAAAGGCTCAATACCACGAATTGTTCCGTGAAAAAGTGTCATTATTACGTCAAGAAACATTGAAAATTTGCAATAAATTGACCGAAAGCGCTTCAAAATCCCCAAAGATTGTCATCACTGGGGAATCCGGTATTGGTAAATCTACGGCTTTGGCCCAAGTCCAAAGTTACCTTATGTCTAAGGACTCTATTATTTTCCATTTACCAAATGTTAAAACAATAGTTGATGGTACTTATGAATTCAATTTGAACTCCAGCACAAACCTCTATGATCAACCAGGATTAATCAAAAAGGTTTTTATCAAACTTTCCAAGTCAAACAAAGAATTATTGTCGAGTATCAAGCTCTCTGACAACTATACTTACGGTACCGCCCGTTTCTCCCCAGAAAATCATTCTTTGCATGATTTGGTTATGTTACCTGCTAAAGTGCCCAAGAATTTGTATTCTTCTGTGTTCAATGATGTTGTCAAGGAATTACAGAAACAAGATAAATACAGTGTTTACCTTACCATTGATGAGTTCAACAGTCTTGTGGAACACTCAGGCTCTGCTTACCGTGATATTGACTACAATGTCATTGGTATTGATAAGTTATCGATGGTGAAATTTGCTCTTGATTGGATCAAGGGTGCCATTGCTTTCCCTCGTGGTGGGGTGGTATTGGCCAACAGCAGCAACTATCAAGAATCTTCTACTTTTAAATTTGCCGTTGGTATGGAACCATTGAATCCTTTCGATGAAACATTGGATAAATCTCTTGTCTCATATTTGAAGGATGTTGAGGTTGTGAAATTAGAAAAGTTGTCCCGTGAAGAAATTGGCGAATTGACCCAATGGCAATTGAACAATGGTTTGATCATTTCCCAAGATATCTCCATGTCAGAAGATGGGGAAGTCGATGTCCAAAAATTGGTCAATGAAAAGTACTTCTTGAGTAGTAATGGGAACCCAAGGGAATTTATCAAGTCTTGTAACTTATTATACTATTAATTTTTTGCTCATTATGGTGTCTTATAGATTCTTTCTCAACCATGTATATATATATATAAAATTCTCAATAATCATTATTTCATTTCTTGGAAGAAATTTAGCGTTCAGTAAGATCTTTAATTTTTTCTGTTCAAGCACAAAACAAAAACTCTCATTTTATTCTAAAGATATCAAATTATCATTAAAATTCATTTTTGATAATAAAAAAAAAAAAAATGCCAAGCACATATATGTTTATTTAGCCATGCTAAGAAAATCTATAATATACAAAATGAAAATAAAAGAGTAGAACAAAAAAAAAATCATTGCTACTAGTCACTTCAAGTCCAATAAAATACCCCTACCCCTCTTTCTTAGAGAATAAATCTCGACACAAATACAATCACATTTATAACATCTTGGTAAATCACTCAAATGATTAAATCGATAAAAAAAAACCAAGTGACATAAACTTGGTGCTTCCGAGGACCGGGACTCTTCTGAAAATCGTCAAAATACACAACATATCTATCTTTCTCTCTTTCTTTTTTTTTTTTTTTTTCCTCATCCTTAGGTGAAAAGAGTATCTTCATCACGCAAATATTCACCAATATCGGCCTGTCTGAACGCTACTATTCCTGTTGGATCCAAATTCTTGGTTTCTACTGTACTTTTGGAGCTGATACCAAATCCCAAAGGATTATCATTCATAGAATAAACCACGCACCCGGCATGTTCAGGAATATCGTCACTCATTTTCCCGACGTGGGCTTTCAAGACATGGTTACCGTATAAGAAAGGCATTTCACCGTTAGGTTTAATCCAAATTTTGTAACGTGCATGTTGTGCAAGATGATCCAATGCGGTGATGTGAAGTCTGAATTTTCCCAGCTTGGTGAATTTCCCAAAACAAGTTCCCAAGGACATGAGGTTAGATCTTTGGACAGAAATGGCCAAGTTGGCTATTTTTTCAGAAACATAATAAACACGATCTTTTTGAAGTCTAAACACATGAGGGTTTTCTTTATTGTCGATAAGGTAAACAATGTTACGGCCGATATAATTGGCAAGTTTTTCAAACACCACTTTGGTTTCTTCCTCTGTCAATTGTCTCATGGTTTATTATTATTATTATTGGTATTAATGCGAGTAGAAATGGAATTCAATACAATAGCTCATCTGTCTCTAAAAATTTTTCAGACTGATTAGTGAGGAAAAAAAAAAAAAAATTGAGAATGGCGATGAGGATTACCCTGTGGTTGGATGTTATTACTAGACGCACATTGATATATGTTGTTACATAAGAAAGGACCTAGCTGACACAGGCAAACCGGTGATAGTTATTTGACAGGGATTTCATACAACAAAAGGACATGCCACTTGTGTTGGTACAAATAATAGGTTGTAGAGTAATAATTGAAGAAAATCGACGTTTTTAATATTGGGAAGAGTGAATGTTTGAACCAACAAGTTAAGGACTTCGGAGGGCAAAGTTCAGATCGGATCGAAGATTATTTCATAAAATGGTGGTAATCAATAGTTCAATGAATTTATTTCCAGAATACAATCAATAGGTTTTCCCGTGGATTTATCATACGGTATTTCCAATACAATCTTCTTCCTGGTAATGGTGTAAACCACGTTTATCACTACCATAAAAAGAAAAGAAAAATGGTGCGCAAAAATATTAGTGCAATTTGTAATTTGCTATCAAATGTTTGAAACACAGAGAAAACGCAGTAGAGTTGGGTTGAGTGAGTTAAAAAAAAGGATTGTGTGATTACGGCAGTTTAACTTTCTTTTCTTTTTTTTTTATTTGTTGTGATTACTATTGTCTCTAATTTTTATTTTGTGAAGTGAGAGGGAATTGGTAGGGGGGAGGGGATACTAATTGTTGCTAATCTAGAAACTTGTTGTAAATCCCAAAACCAAAACCAGTTTGAGAAAACAATACACTACGTAAGCTAACTGGTGTGAGGAGAAGAAGAGGCCAAGCATGCTATTATTACCAATGGGGATACAAACAAGTGGACGGGATAAGAGTACGCCGATGATTAGTGATTCCAAGCTAAAAGGGATGTTAAATTACCAATCACAAATGTATGTTTAGAACATGTTACACTCTGTACTAATACCAATTTGTGTTTCAATCCAGTGCCGACCGGTAGTTTTGGGTGGCCTTCAAGGAAATTATAATTATTACACATGGCAAACTACTTAAATCACACACACACAAAAAAAAAGGTAGCAAAAGAAAGGCTACCCACAGGATCTTGAGACAATAGGTATGCGATCATTTTACAGATGAAATAAGTATATTCACTTTTTGTTTTTGAGTTGGGCAGCAGAGAGTGTGCGCATTTCGTATTAACATTTTGTTGGCAGCAGTTTTCTGATTGGACGAGAATCATCAACGGCATATGGGGACTCTGGGCTACCTGATTTCCGTGGGTGTGTGCCGCTACAACACCATTTTCTTGCTTTCAGCACAAAATCCGCCTTGTTTAGGAAAAAGAAAAGACAGCATATACCCCCCTTTCACCATACTCTGCTTTTTTCTTTTTTTTTTGCTCGCACACCCACCGCGACTGCCCTCGGAAATCATCGCTAGCACGTGCATGGAATTTTTCAAATTTTTTTTTTTTTTTTTTTGCTTCGTTCTTTCACTATTGTTTGTTTGGTTGAACGTCCGTAAAGCAGCTTTTATATAATAATTATAATACATAGGTAGTAAGGCAATGATTACACTAATACCCGCAAGGTTGGGAGGTGTGATACCTTCGACTCATCTAAAATCATTGACCATCAAATATCACAACATCAGTTGTCGTTATCAATCATCATCATCATCATCATCATCATCATCTAAAAAATCATCATCACAATCAAGATGGTTAGCGCGTTCTCGTAATGACTTTTACACCAGAAAGGCCAAAGAAATGAACATGAGATCAAGAGCGGGGTTCAAACTACAAGAAATAAACTCGAAATTCCACCTCTTCAACAAGTCCAAAGTTCAGAACATTGTTGATTTGGGATTTGCTCCTGGCGCATGGAGTCAAGTGGCTGCCAGCTTGTCCCACACCAATTCCAAGATATTGGGGGTGGATATCTTGCCGTGTAAGCCACCAAAAGGAGTATCGTCTATCCAAGCCAATATTTTATCAAAAAGAACCCATCAAACAATTTATGAGTATTTTGTGAACAACGATAAAGTGATGATGAATTTGAAGAAGCGCCATGCGACAAATGACCAAGAAAGTACCGATGCGGTAACAGATAAATTGGTCTCTTTAGGCGAAGATTTGCCGACCAAGACCATCATCGACAAGAAAGATTCCCGGCAGGTTGTTGACCTTGTTATTAGTGATATGTATGACCCTTTACCCCAAGTTACTGGATTTTGGAATAACACCACTAACACCGCGTATTACAGGATGGCCAACACTTCGGGGTTGAAGGCAAAGGACCATGGGGCAAGCATGGACTTGTGCGAAGCTGGGTTGATATTGTGTCTAGAGCTATTAAAAGATGGGGGAGCGTATGTCTGTAAGTTTTACAGCGGAGGGGAAGATGTGGTGCTTGAGCACCGGCTTCGTAAACTGTTTGATTCAGTGACAAGGTTCAAGCCCCCGGCGCTGCGCTCAGAATCACGCGAAGACTACTTTGTGTGTCGCGGTCGGAAACCGGGGGTGACCCCGAGGGGAGTTTTTGTGTAGCCGGTGGAGATGGGTAACATTGTGTGTATGGTACGTAATTGGGGGCAACAAAAGATTTTTTTTTTTTTTTTTCTTTTCTTATTATTGTTATTATGATGGAGACAAAGTTTAATATGCACCGTTCTTTATGTATGTAATTAGTTCCCAACCCAACCCAGCCCAGCCCACATTTAGTCCATGTGATGCTATAATTAGAGAGTGTTACATTATATTATATCCAGCAATAATGAATGCTGTAGTAGTGTCCTATCTGTTGGATAATATGTTGTGTGTTATTTCAGAGGTTATAATAGAAATAAAAATTAAAATATAGCACATGTACCACCGTGGAGCGTTATTATTGTAGCGACAATCGCAAAAGCACATACATTACACAAAACAAATTAGGTCCAAATAGCGAGACAAAAAAAAAAAAAATTAAGCTCCGATTTTTTTAATATACCACATAAGCAGACAGGCATGTAATTTTTGCTACCTTATTATGAAGCTTGTTTTGCCCACTAGACCCATACCGCCCGCTTAATACACACATATATAATAAATAAGATGGGATACCTTATATAATATTTACTTACACATATAAATAAATATATATATATGTATATAGTCATCTGTCCATCCCCTGGTGTTATTTTATCCTTCCCAAATAATTATTTATTTGTTCATCCTCCCATATCTTATTTCTATATTAAAACCTGCCTCACACATATAATCTCCCACACATATAATCTCCCACACATATAATCTCCCACACATATAATCTCCCACACATCCAATAGACAGTCATCTTCACGCCCACACAAATACAAACACAATATCAAAATGGACCTCCAATATCTACTCGCCAAGTACCCTTTACGGAACCAGGTAAAAGGCTACTACCTATCATTATTCTTACTATCTAACAGTGAAAAATTGGCCGCCAAACGTTCCCTCACATTGGCCAGAGACTCAAGGACAAATATCAAGTATGACATTAAAGTAATCAAGAAACTATCATCAAGAATCAACAATATCTTGTACCAAACCAATCTTTCCAACTTAGTGATTGTTAATGCCCTCAAATATTTTGACCAAATCATCAAATCACCAACCCAGCATTCATCGCTAACGATATACTATAAGAACCATCAAGACAACGTTCTCATACTCTTCATTGCCTGTTTAATGGTATCCAACAAAACTTATGACGACTCATCATTTGTTAACAAAACGTGGGCCTCAGTAGCGAAGTTCCCATTAAAGAAGTTGAACCATTTGGAACTGGAGACTTTGTCGCTATTAAAGTTCAAAGTGTTTGAATTCCATGTCGATGATTTCTACCCATGGATGAAATGGTGTGTCGACCAGATCCCGAGCCTTGAAGCATTGCTTGAAATGGCTTCCCATAACGTCAATCCTTTGATGAACACCACCCCAAGTGTCAAACCAATTCAAGTGATGAGAAGAAGTTCAGGAAGATTCAATTCAAAGAGAGCATGCCTTCCAGCCATTATTAACAATCAACACGGCCGTACCTACAACAACATTCTTACTCCTTCAATTACTCCTGAAAGAATTGCTTATCATAAACCACCTTATCAGCAGCAGCAGCAACAACAACAACAACAACAACAAGTTAATTCATGTCCCCCAAAGCAATTCAACCAATCATTACCTCAAGTTGTTGATTATTCAATGACTGTTCAACCACAACAACAGCAACAACAACAACAAGCCCATTCTTCGGTTTTTACTTCTCCTTCATTTTACAAGTCGTCTGGGAATTCAATTTTATTGCCAAACTTGAATATCTACACCCCTCCAATGACAAACTCCAACGATTTGTATTATGCGAAACAATTGATGAATCAACAACCGCCATCCAACATCAATCCACAGAGTTTTGACATTAGAAATGATGAGATTGATATCTCATCATACCCAACCCCACAATTCTCATTGCAACAATATTGTCCGGCTGCTAATCCTTCGGTAACTTTACTTCCTCAAGTCAACCCAAGTTATGAAACGGTGTATTATCCTACGGTTGCACAAAAACCATATCCTCAACTACAGTTCCAACAGCAACAATTTTCTAATCAATTCAACAATCCACTGATGGTTAGAAATAGAGTGCCTTATTAATCTTTGGTGAAAGCTGTTTTACTGTCTTTTCAACTCGCATTTCCATCTCTCTCTTATTCTGCTACACTTTTAATGACCTAAAAATCTTTGATGACTTTTTCTCGCTTTTTGTTTTTGTTCTTTTTTTCATTTTGTTTTTTTGCTTAGCTTTGGTGGTACCTCTTCATTATACACATTATACACATTACATCCAACTTCTGATATATATATATATGTATATATATTATATCTCTCTTACATTGTTATCATTTATTCACCCATGTTTTGTATCTTATTATTATTATTATTATTATTATTATTATTATTATTATTTCTTTTTATCGGCATAGTTCTTCCCATTTTATCATTTGGTTTATTTGGCTTATTTGGTTTTTGCATATGTAATTTTCTCTAATTGCAGGTTAAAGTTTTGTTGGAAGTCTACTTGATCCAATGTAGTTAGTGTGTGTAATTTCTGCTTCTGTTTTGGGATGTTTGTGTGTGTCCAAGGATTCGTAGTAATCTTCCCCGCGAATTCCATCGTACTGCAACAGGCGCTGAGATATTCGTGACTTGTTATGATACGATAGAGTGTTTTAGTGTCTATTATCAATGTTGTTATTGGGGTTATTGTGAGTTGCTATTTATTTATTCTCCCAATAAGCCGCATGTCGCGTTGCTTGCAAATCAGAATAAATATGTTGCGACACTGGGTGGTATGGTAGGTTTGGGCTTAGTTAGGACCATCCTCGCAGACTGGTTGTCACAAAGTAATAAACATTTTTTGTCGTACTAATAATGTGGGTGGGGCCGTTCCTTCCCTGTTGGAGCAGCTCGGCCCTGTGGCAATAAAAATATATGCGCAATAGGCCTCAGGCACTGGCGAAACATGATGATATCGAGTGAGTGTGTGGCCTATTATTCATTTATTAATTCATCGATCGTACATCATGCCGTTATGGAATTATAATTATTATTATTAATAAATGCCCAGCAGGAGGTATCTGCTGCAGACTATTAGAATAGGAAGAATGCCGGCCTTTTTTTTTTTTTTTTTTTACGAACACGGATTAGCCGATCTATTTATTAATATATTACTGTGGGAATATTTCTCTTTAGGGGAGGAGACAAGACAGACATGAAATTCGCGTGTCGCGTGTTGCTCGAACTTCTCGCATTCTAATAATTGGCGTAGTGGTGGTAGTAGTAGTAGTACTAATAATAATAATCATAATAAAGTCTGTTAGCGCCCTAGCGATTGTTTGACCGCCGCCAGAAAAAGTTCTTGGAAATAAAATTACTGCAAACGGAATCCATCCCATTCTCCCATCCCGCCCCGTCCCGTCCTCCCCGGTCAATGCGGAGACAAAATTTGTCTCCCAGGATTCTTCCTTTACAGTTGTGTGTATGTATACCTATATATAAATATCATTGGATGTGTTGCTACAGTTGATAGATAGATAGATAGATAAATAGATAGATAGATAGATGGATAGATACAGAGAGACTACCGGTTCCACCACCACTAGAACCTTCTGAAACTCATCACAGCGCCAATCTAATGCGTAATGGATCTAGTGGTATGTGTGCCTTTGTTAATACCAGTAACGGTTGGCCAAACGATGTAAAAGAAAAAAAAAAAATAAGCCATATCGCATGTGGAAATAAAGAATTTCATGTTCCTCAGTAGTTTGTTTCTTTTCAAGTAGCTTCGGATTATCGTGACTAGCGATTGTACAAAATTTCGCTATCCGTCCCATCCCAGTCCTCCCTCCCTCCCATTTGTATAGACATTTTTTCGAAGACTTGTTCGGAACTCATCCCATTTCCTATCCTTAAATTTTAGCGGATTAAAAATAAAAAAATACTTACAAAAAAAAAAAGCCTGCTTAATTTTCATCGGCAGCGAGGAAGATTTCCGCTTTCTGGAACAATACGAGCAAAAAAAAAAAAAAGAAATGTGGTCGGTACTGAAATTAATCCGGCCCAGATAGCTCTTTGTGCCATCTAGATTAGCATTTCTCACTAATCATCCATCAGAAACACTCCCCAATTCTGTTTCACTTGTTTCAATTCCTTTCGTAAGACATTGATTGATCCACTAGTTTACGCCACTTTTCTTACTGCATCTCGGGAACTGGTTAAATAATCATCCTTAACTCTAAATCATTTTGGTTATTATTTCAAAATCCACCGATTCAATAGTTAATCAATGGCATCAGAAATTACAACCCACCAATAATAGAAGAAGAAGAAGAAGAAGAAGAAGAAGAACATCAATTACAAGAAAAAAAAAGAAAATTTTTTTAAAAGAAAAACTGTCTTTCTTATTAAAATATGATGATAACTATGAAAAGAAATCTCAGAAAATATACCAAAGAGAAAAATTACTACAGAATAATCTCAGAAAATATACCAAGAAGAAAAACTAGTTCAGTAAAATAAAAATGAGAAAAAAAAAAAAAAATAGTGAAATTTGTAAAAAGTTTTTCGATATCGATTACCTTCTATCACTTATACCAATGCAAGGATCCAAGCAGCCAACAACCCAAGACCCAATGAAGCAGTATCAGCAATCATGGAGGTACCTACGCCAAAACTATCAATTGTTGGAACGGTTGAAGTAGATGTGGCGGTAGGTTTTATTGTTATTGTTGAGTCAGTTGGTTCGGTAGTTGGTACAGTTGTTGGAGAGCTTGATGGTCCAGTAGGAGGTTCTGTAGATGGTTTAGCAGAAGGCTCACTTGTTGGCCCAGTAGTTGGCCAAGTAATTGACTCAGTTGAAGGATCGGTATTTGGCTCAATTTTCGGAGAACTTGATGGTCCATTTGTTGTAAAGCTTGATGGTCCATTTGTTGTAAAGCTTGATGTTTCGGTAGAACATCCAATGGAGCATCTGACAGAACGCCCATTTGATGGCTCGGCTTTTGGCGAAGTTTTCGATTCTGTAGAAATACCAGCTGTCGACAAAGTTGATGGTTTCATGAAAGGTCCACTAGTTGACTCAGTTAATGGTTCCGTAGAAGGTCTGATTGTTGGCCAAGTAGTTGTATCTGTGGAAAAAGGTACAGTGGAAGGCCAAATTGTCGTAGAAAGCGACGTAGAATTAGATAGAGGAGTGGGGGAAATCGATATTGATGACGAGGTTGAGTTGAAAGACAGTGTTGGTGTAATAGTACTAAAGGTTGTCGATGAATTGGATGAAGGCGTCGGAATAATTGTTGTAGATGACGAAGTTGAGCTGGATGAAGAAGTTTGTATAGCTGTACTAGTAGTGGAGGTGTTTTTGGATGAGCTAGTTGGAGTAACTGTGGTGATGGTGGAAGTTGAAGAACTGGTAGTGGTAGGTAAAGTACATGATGAGGTAGCTTCCCCATGGTAAAATTTCATAGAGTCCTCACTGTCACCCATATAGCAAAACGGAATGATGCTGTCTTTAACTCTAATACGTTTAAGGATAACTGGAGCTGAATTATTTGGAAGTTGTCCATTCACACAAATTTTATTATCGGGGTCGACTTCAGTACAGTTATAGCTCCAAAAATTTGGAAGACCCGCAATTAATGTTAGGTGAGGATCTCCAGAAGAACATTCATAGAAATTTGCGGTATTTTTGTAAATGGATTGTCCATTTACCACAAACTCAAGCAGATTACTGGTTTGAATAGTTTGTACTTGTAGCGCACTAAAGCCATAAGGAAGCAGCATTGCCGTCGAAGGAATGTCAAGGGCAGTGAGAAATCCAGTTTCTGGATCTGCTATTGCGCCAGAGAAAGTGACACCACCTTTAACCACCGTAAACTGAGGCACCACAACAAAATTCCAAATGTGCTGTTGATCGAAATCTGGACATTCCATACGAACCATCAATTGCGCATAATTATTAAAGTATTCGAAATCGAATATGGTCGTTCCATGTAAAACTGGGAAGGAACTATTAAGGTATCTTTGAGCATTTTCGTCTTGATCAAATACAAAATCTGCACCGTCGTTTGTCAACGTAGGTAATGGCGCACCGAAATAATCATTCCAGAAATCCATAACATCAGGAACTTGGCCAGTGGTGAATTTGAAATCCAATTCATCAACACCATTCACACCATTTTGTAAGTATATATTATTCTCGGCACTAACAATAGTGTAGAATAAGCCGATGAATGAGAAAAGATTCAATATCAGCATTTTTTGTAGCATAATTATGAAACTAGCTCACAAATAAATAAATAAGGCGGTGGGCTATATATATTCATGATGAAAAGGTTCTTGAAACTACTATAGCCAAACCACTGACTTTTAAATATTTTCTTTTTTTTGTTTTTGTTTTTTAACCAGCCATAAACTGTCTGTTTTGAATACTGTCAAGCCAAGCCATTTGTACAGTGCGCATTCTCATAACATTTTTTTTTTTTTTTCATTTTTTAGTTTTTAGAATTAGTCTTGCAATAGAGAATCTTAGAAGGTAGTCCATTAACTGATTTTTTTATGTTTTCCTTGTAAAGATGATATAATATTACTATATTCCACATATTTCTTATAGCACGACAATCAATGGAGCTGTTAAAAACAATATTGGGAATGTTATTATTGTGCCACTTTTTTCGGTAAAGATTATATATATGCATGCTCGGCGGGGATGAAATGCGTGCCAAATATATTTATATATGTACATAAAGCAAATAAGTCATAACAACAACGCCCAAGGCGTCCGGAACTATGTTATTTTCAGAACTTCATACTTTATACTTTATACAGTATTTTTTTTTACTAACCACAATAAAACAGTCAGTAGTTCTAACTATAATATAAGTCTCTCTACAATCCTTTGATTAATATGAGAACTCACTTATATAAATATTACATGGAGTCTATGCATGTTAACACATCTGAAAAGCTTGGGTCTCAATTCAATAATTTTCCTTCCCTTGTATAAAAATTTGAAGGAACATCTGAAACTGCCAAAACATTCCAATTATTTTAGAAATACAGTGATTAGCATATATCAAAGCTTGTTAAAGTCTCTTTCAAATCGAAGGGATGAATAAATATTAGCAGATTTTGTGTTTCAAGCTACGAGTAAAATCGTAGAGTAAAATCGACTGCTTTTTCTTCACATTCTTTTTTGAGTAATCTTTTTTTTTAATGTAAAACATTTCTCATTAGAATGATTTCTTTTGTTACAATGTGTACAATACATTTTCCTACATGACGATTTGTTGTTCCTAAATCCCTTGTTGTTCTTCCACCTTTTGTTGTTATTGGTTTTATGCTTGTATTGTTCATCATTATCGTCCTCGGTGGTCACATTGTTAATTATTTGTTCTGGAGCATACGGAAGTTCCTCACCAGGGTGTTAATCTTCCCATTTATGACCAAATTCTATCAATTCATTGATCGTTTTTGCCTTCAGAAGTTTCTCCTCAGGAAACCTAAACATCTCTTCATCTTGTTGCTTTTTGATAATGGGATTGTGTGATTCAACCAAGTAATACAATTATTTGTTTTTCAAGAACTTAATCAAGTTATAATAAATTTAAAATTCGAAACAGAGAATATTCCTTGACGTAACAAGTGTAGGCATTCTCTCTAAATACTTGTCTTGGAGAATCTTATCTCTATGACCACTCCTACTTTCACTTGCGGCATCTGCGCACCATGTCGGGATGTACTGGCTGTACCAGAACTATCCTGTTGTTGAACATCATTAGATGCTGAAGCGGAAGGATTAGATGAAGTATTCATTACAAAATTGGTTTGTTTATTTGCTATTCTACTTCTAGTAGATAGTTTTTTCGGATAAGATCGAGTTATTCTTCCTTTCATGACAAATGAAAGCCTTTTTATATCGAATCTAAACATATTAATATCCATATACATTGGATTGATTAGTGATTGCGACCCACTGGCATTGTATGGGGGGCAATATACAGATTCCACTTGGAGGATCTTAAGATTGATTATACAACAGAATCTCTGGTACCGAATAATTACACGTACATGTTAGATATTAACAATACTTTTTAGTGAAACTAAAGTAGTTAGTAAAATGTTCAGCACCTCCGAACTTTTCACTATTCAGTGCGGGTGCACTTCCATTACGTTCATTCGTTCAGTCATCATTACTGGAGATCACTGCTTCGCATAAAGCGGCCACCTGCTTGTAGGCGACAGAAAAATTAAAAAAAAAAATCCTACGACTTGCATTGTATTAAATTTAATAATTATTGTTCATATTGTATCTTGATTATCTTCTCGAGCGCAAATATTTCTTGAGAGCAAATATTCCTAGAAATCATATTAGATTTACCGGGGAAGAGGGTGTCGTTTATTGGTAGTCCTTGAAAGATTCCCCTTCAGATTTACCCGCCTCCGGGGGGTAGCAGGGGGGCACACGTGCGGTGTTTTGAATTATTCTGACACTTTTCCTTTGTTTATAATATATAAACAACAACAGGCTGTCAAAGATACACTCGAGTTGAACTATTCACAGTAATATCATAGCAGGGAGCTCATCAAATTGATACCTACACGCTAGAGCTCTCAGAAGGGAAAAAGTCACGAAAAAAAAAAAGGAAAAAAAAAAGACTCATCGAGAGAACATTTTACCCCAAAGAGCTTTCTTGGTATAGGAACAACAGGCATATTCTGCATGAGGAAATCTTAAAATAACACCGAAACCAAAAAAATAGGAAGAAAAAATATATTATATATATATTTAATAATATTCCTTCCTTTTATTGATAATATTCATTGATCTTTTTTTTTTTTTTTTTCTTCACCAGGCATGTCCTCTTCCTTGGTCACTCCATCGTTTGGAGGTAGGAAACCTTTGAGTCGAACCATACTTTACTCCTTGCTTTTCATCAACAGCTCGATGTTTATTGCTGCTATTTCTCTTTATTACTTGGCCATAAGAATATCCTCGGTCACTGCATTGCCCATCGTTGTGGGCGACCATGATGGCAATTCTGATTCTTCCCAAGACTTGTTTCCTACAAATATTGGATATTTGGGTCCTACAAGAACCGCTGGAGCCCCGTTTTTGGCACAAACCAACGCTGCTGCCGCGAAAACCGGTACCCCAACCTCGAAGGACTATATCCTTCCTCAACCAATTGAAACGTCGGTACAAAGCTCTGATCATCTGCCTGAAGATCGGAATATCTTTGAATTGTTCGGCACGATCTCCCCATATTATGTCAGCGATGGATGGGGGGTTTATGATTATGCCATGCCAGGTCAATGCAAAATTGATCAAGTCCATGTTTTGAGCAGACATGGCACGAGATACAATACCCGAGACTCGCCATTTGCCAGCGTAATTGGGAACGCCAAACAGTTCAATGCCACGGGAGACTTGGAGTTTTTGAATCAATGGGAATATGACCAAGGAGTGAATATCTTGACCACTCTTGGAAACCAGCAGTTGTTTGACAAAGGAGCCAGAACTTTTTTCAGGTATGGTAGAATGTACGATTGGAACAACATGGATTCCAAAATGGTTGTTAGATCAACTACCCAAGAACGAATGACCATGTCAGCAGAATATTTTCTCATTGGGTTTTTTGGCACCAACTGGCAAAAATATGTTAATTTGGAATTGATTATTGAAGAGGAAGGTTTCAACAACTCTTTGGCAACGTATGAAGCGTGTCCAAACAACAATAAGATCTATGAATTGGGATTGAGCAAGAAAAAAGCTTCTGGTTTCTTGAAAAAATTCCTTGGTAATGCCACCGATAGATTTAATCTGCAACTCGAAGGTTTGTCATTGGAGCCTGAGGATGTTTATTATATGCAGGAATTGTGCACATTTGAAGCGGTTACTTTGGGGTATTCTCAATTTTGCAAATTATTTACCCAAGAAGAATGGGAGGATTACGAATATTACAACAGTTGGGTTTGGTACAATGCTAACTTTTATGGGGCCCAGACTTCAAGAGCTCTTGGTATTAGCTGGGTTGAGGAATTTTATAATAGAATAACCAATACCACCTACGATGCTTCAAAGCAAGCATTACAGAATAGTACCCTCAATAAAGACCCGATATTTTTCCCCTTGGATCAAAAGCTTTATATGGATTTCACTCATGATTCGACCATCACCAATATTTACTCTGCATTGGGATTTGAACAATTCAAGAGTAACTTTAGTGATTCTAGAACTAATCAACCGTTTGATTTGAGTAAAGTGGTTCCATTTGCTTCGCAATCATATTTTGAGATTATTACCTGCGACGACGCTGTACCAAATGATCGATCAAGCGAACAAGTTGAAGGTTCAGGAAGTACGAAATACATCCATGTGATTTTGAATGATCATACCCTTGATTTGCATGAGAATGTTCCGAAATATTGCGAGGCTAGAAGCGATGGGTGGTGTGAATTATCAAGCTTCCTCGAATATATGGCTACACTCTGGGATAGTGCCGAATTTCATAAATCATGTTTTGGAGATATTGATTTGGAGGGTGAAGCTGATGATGGTGTTCCAGTATAACATTGAATGTGCTGTATTTTGCTTTTGTTTTCGTTTTTTTTAATTATTCTCTGTTTTCTTGGTATTCGGTTTGGGTGAACTAGATGGTTATTGGCATTACGCTTGGCTTTGTTATGCTTTTGAATAATTTTTTTTTTTCTTTTTTTTTCTTTTTTTTTTTTTTTTCTCATTGACTCATGATTGAAGAATTTTTTTTTAATTAACCTGCAGTGAAAAAAAATGGCTTTGAACAATCAGAGAAGTTAGAAGCATTTGCCAAAGCGAAGGAAAGGGCGGGACCACACATAATATAAATGGGTGGATGAATCTAATTTTAAAGAATGGGTCGTCATATCTTTGTCATGGGTGTTTGGGTCTCATGATTTTTGGTTTATTGTGTGTTTCATCATTCTGAAAACATCACAGCAGTGCAAATAAAATTAAAAATAAAATTGCGACCGGTGTCCCACGGCAGCAAGGTTGGCCAATCAATTGATGGAACAGGAAAGAAAAAAAGAAGAATGTGTCCCACAACCGACTGGAACAGATTGACAGCACTTGTTCAATTTGTGCATTAGATGGATAAAAATTAGAACTTTTGTTTTGTTTTGTTTTCATAAACATGGGTTAGGAATCAATAGACCTTTACTACGTTGCAAAAGTGATTAAAAAGAAGCTGCGAAAAACATGGAGGTCAAAGGGAGGGGATAAAAAGAGAAAGAATTAAACACTAGATAATCTAATGTAGTCAGATCTTTCTGATAATAAACCTCGGTACATTGCACCTTCTATAAATCGCACCCGGACTAAAAAATACTAAGTTAAATGCAACCCCTCTTTCTGAGACATTTTTTTTTTCATAGGGGTGTGCCGCATATCTAGATAATCACTGATGGTGTGGACCTCTACAATATCCATTAATCATGGATAGGGATGAGAAATTATTGATCAGGATTAAAATAAATGTGTATTGTAAGTATGGAGATACACAGAGATCAATTCATGGGTCTTCACTTTGGTTGAGAGAGATCAATCAGCACACGTTTTTTTTATTTCAATTTTTTTCTTTTGACAGTTAAACTTTTTGCTTTTTGGCCATTTTATCTTTTCGATCTTTGATTTGCCAGTTTCCTCCAGAAGCTAAAAATGTCGTCGGCCAGGCATTTTTTTTTTTTGTTTTTGTTGTGGTTTTTTCCCATTTCCTTTCTCGAATTCGTCATCCCATAGTGGCATAAAACTAAGCAATACAACATTAGCCCATTACTGTTGTTTCCCCCTGTTAATTCTTGCCACACAGCAGTACCCAATAACTATCGAGGATTTCCCAGTTTGTTGGATTAGTCTGTTAATTTGACTTTGGGACGGCACCACTTTTTAAAATTTTATACAGACCCTTACTGTCCCATGCATGAAGCATCCCGCAAAATTGTTTATTGGACCCCAAGCAAAAAAAAAAAAAAATAATTCGAGAAACGGACAAAAGAAAAAACAAATATAAATGTTGTACACTCTCCTCGCTAATCAATTTGGTAACCCCTAATAAAGAAATTTGAAAAAATCAAAACCACTTCTTGACTCATCTTACCTAGATAAAGCCAATTACATATACTTCAAGATGGCTGGCAAAGACATTTTCAACGTCGAAGTGTTCTTCATTGTGTTTCGTGAAGCTTTAGAAGCTATTATCGTTTGTTCGGTGCTTCTTGCTTTCCTTCAAAGATCTTTTTCATCCAATACCGATGCAAGAGTTTATAAGAGCCTTAGAAAACAAGTGTGGCTAGGGATGGCTGCAGGGATCCTTGTTTGTTTTATTCTTGGTGGGGCTTTCATTGGGGTTTTCTACACTATTGGTTCAGATATCTGGTCCAAATCTGAAGATCTTTGGGAAGGTATTTTCTGTCTTATTGCTACTATTGTTATCTCATTCATGGGTATTCCAATGCTTAGAATCCAAAAGATGCAAGACAAATGGAGAGTCAAGTTGGCTAAGTCTTTGCTCGAAGACCCTCACAAAGAAAAGGGCTGGAAACGTTTCATTAAGATTGGCTACTACACCAAGAGATACGTGATGTTTGTGTTGCCATTCATCACTTGTCTTCGTGAAGGTTTGGAAGCCGTTGTTTTCGTTGGTGGTGTCGGTCTTACTCTGACTGGTTCCAATAGAGCCACTGGTTTCCCACTTCCTGTTGTCTGTGGTTTGATTTGTGGTATTGCTGTTGGTTATGCTATGTTCTACTTTGGTAAATCTGCTTCTATGCAAGTTTTCCTTGTCTTCTCCACCGCAGTGCTTTACCTCATTTCCGCATCTCTTTTCTCTCGTGCTGCTTGGTACTTCACCAACTACCAATTTAACAAAGCCACTGGTGGTGATGCCTCCGAATCTGGTTCTGGTCCTGGCTCTTATGATGTCACCAAGGCCGTCTACCATGTCAATTGCTGTAACCCTGAAATTGATAACGGTTGGGATATTTTCAACGCTATTCTCGGATGGCAAAACACCGGTTACTACAGTTCTGTCATTTGTTACAACATTTACTGGCTTGTCATGATTGTTGTCCTTGGCTTGATGTGGTATGAAGAACGTTTCGGACACTTGCCAGGGACTAAGGATACCCACTTGAGAGATTTGAACCCAATGTTCCAACTTAAGAAGAAGTTTGGTGTTGTCTCTGATTTGAGCGAAGCCGAAGCTGAAGCTTTAGTCGAAAAGGTTCATAAAGTCAAATATAACGAGAATGGGGAATTGATTGTCGAGGAAGAATCCCAAGAAAAGGAAGTTGAAGAAAAATCAGCTGAACTCAAGCAGGTCCAAAACGTAAACGTTGAAGCCAAATAATTCAATTTCACCTAATGATTCCATGCTTTTTTTTTTTTTTTTTTAATTGTTTCTTCTATGACATTAATAATTGTTCAATTATTTTTGCTCACCTTTTAATTCACTAATTCCAAATTCTATCTTTTGTTACCTTTCATTTTTTAACGTTATCTGTTGGTTTTTTATAATTATTATTAGACATTTAGTCTTTATGTGTTTGGTCTTTTGTTGCTTGTAAGTGTTTGTACGAAGCTTTGCAAAACCTCATAATTGTGGCAATATCATGAAACCTGGACGAAATTAATGGGTCTTCTAAGTAGTCTGTGCTAAACACCCGGTGAGTAGTGAAAATAATAATATTCCTTCAACTTTGAATCAATAACCACGTGAAATTCTGCGTCACAGTGCATATAGCGATTTCCGGTTTGGGAAATATTCATATAACGATCCAACTAAATGGCCTGCGGTAATGTTGAAAACGATGTTGGGTGAGAAGAAACAAAAAAGTATTGCTGCAATTCCTGATTATTCGGTTATTTGCACTCGTATCCAGTTCGTGGGTTGTCGTTTAGCCTCGAGTGTGTCGCTCGTTTAATAGTGTCATTTCATCGCTTTGCTCGTTCCACCCTAACAAGCAGCCAAAAATATCACACCATAAACTGAGCCCACACAGAAAACTGGTACTATCAAACCACGATATGGCTCAATATATACATATATATATATATATATATAGCCCTGACGAGTTATACAGAAATCCTAATTCTATCACATTCAGTCTTAATTAAAAAAAACTGGCGTGGTTTATTCGGTTTATGATCTGACCTTCAAGCATAAAGTTATCTCTTTATATCCAAAGCAGATATATATATATATATAGATACGTTATTCCAACGAGATCCCGATCTTGTCCACATTAAGTATCCCCAACTTCAAGCAATTTTCAACACATAATGAGTAATTCAACAGCCTCACTCATCTCCAAGATTGGGTTTGTATCCCAAGTGTTTGAGGACAATCAAACTGCGGCGGCTATCACTGGTACCACCTTCACTTCGATTTATCAGGAAATTTCTTCCTCACAAACTCAACTACATTTCCTCGAACGTCTTTGGGCTTCATGGTATGTCTACATGAAAAATGATGTTTTGGCCACCGGTTTGATGTTCTTCTTACTCCATGAGATAATGTACTTTGGTCGTTGCTTGCCTTGGTACATCATTGACAAATTTGGATTGTTTAGAAAATACAAGATTCAACCAACGGTCATCCCAACCGACAAAGAGCAATGGGAATGTCTCAAATCTGTCTTGAAATCTCATTTCATTGTTGAAGCCTTGCCAATCTGGACTTTCCACCCTATGTGCATGAAACTTGGAATTTCCGTAACGGTTCCTTTCCCAGACTACACTACCATGTTGAAACAAATTGCAATCTTCCTTTTCCTTGAGGATTTATGGCATTATGTCTTCCACAGATTATTCCATTACAGCATTTTCTACAAATATATCCACAAGCAACACCACAAGTACGCTGCTCCGTTTGGGTTGGCTGCCGAATATGCCCATCCTATTGAAGTTATGGCTCTTGGGTTTGGTACCGTCGGTTTTCCAATAATTTACGCGTACATCTTTAACGGTTTGCATTTATTCACCGTGTGTTGCTGGGTCGTTACCAGATTGTTCCAAGCTGTCGATTCCCATTCAGGCTACGATTTCCCATGGTCTTTGAACAAGTTTTTGCCATTCTGGGCTGGCGCAGAACACCATGACTTGCATCACCATTATTTCATTGGTAATTACGCCTCTTCTTTCAGATGGTGGGATTATGTCATGGACACTGAATCCGGCCCAGTTGCCAAAGCTGCTAGAGAAAAGAGAATGAAGAACAAGACCGAAAGAAAGGTCAAAGTCAACTAATCCTATTGACGAATTTCTCCTTGCCGCAGCGTTAAAATCGCGTCGAACAATATTCCTCATAAAGCCTCCACCATAATCACTAGTTAGTTTCTTTTAAGTTTATTCCTTCTTATTTTTCTTTATCGTATTAATATATCCTTTTCATTTCACAATGTCAGTTTATGCCGGATTCTTGTAGAATGTTCGAAACGCTACTCCTTCGGCCGGCGCGGCAGCTGATTGCCCGGATTTTTTTGACCCTTTTTTTTTCGAATTTTTCTTGATTTCTCCAGCATTATCAATGCTTGCAAAATCATAACACGCTAATCTTCCACTCAGTTATCTAGCAAATAGCGTTGGATTAGAAGAGGTTAACACAATTCCATTGTAATATGACGATGGTTTTCATATTTAACGTATTATTGCTGTTATCGGCTACTATTCACGCGGTAACCGTGTTGCCTTCCACGCAAATCTTGTCTGAACAACTCCCTTCACACACAATTATCGCTTCGTCAACAATTCAACAAGATCAACAAGTTATTGATATCCAACAATCATCCGCTACTACTCTTGAAAAACGTTACAGAAATGTCGTGGTTCCAACTTCAAAATCGTCATCAACTGATGCTCCTCCAGAATCTTGGATACGAACTATCTCTTCCACGATTGTTGAGGTGGTCCATCCAACGGTCATTGCCGGTGTCACATTCAGTGCCAAACCAACTACATATAATGGCCTAACTCCATGGATTTCACTTAATAAGCAAGGGGTCCCAAAGACAATTATGCCTAAGGTCAAGGGCGGAGTCACCAAAGACGACATTCCAGATTACAAGACGTATTTCCAAACCGCAACCACGATCATCCACGATAATAAGAACTTGAAAGCCCACAATTTGGACGAAGACGATACTTTTACGGAGATCAAGTGGATAGACGAAGATGACTCTTATGTTTCCTTGAATCCACTTGTCCGTTGTACTCCAGATCGTTATTTCAATAAAGGTCTCGCCAAGGACGTTACCAGCGAGCCATTCTGTACCCCAGCAGAAAACTCCAACCTCGACATGGACAAGACCTACTTTATCACTTGGTATACTAGATATTTTGAAGAAGCTAAGAAGGTCAGAATTCATCTTGCTTATGTCAAGGAGAAGGCCAAATCTAAAGGTATGAGTAAGAGAGATTCAATGGGCCAAGATCTCCATGACATGTACGAAATTGTCAAGAAGGACTCAATGCTTGCTTCTGGCACAAAATTGGCTTTCTTCAGTAGTGATTGGATGATCAATAGAGATGGGTACTTCCCATTGACGGTTGATGAGAAATTTTTGAAAGGTCAATATAGCAAAAATGCCATTATCACCATCCAACCAGATTACATCGATGATGAGGACTTTGATTTACTATCTAACGGAGTGGTTGTTAATCTTAGAAAGGGCGCGGTGGTGGCCAAGAAATCAAAAGAACAATTGGCTCTTGAAGACGATGGAATTGGTGATGACGAAAACAAGTATATTGTACTCATGACCATGCCTACTGTGGTTGTTGTTGCATGCTGTATCATGTACTTCTTAACCCAGTTATGCTCTGGTGATAGAGACGTCGCTAGTATTAGAAGAAAATACTACAAGAGCAGGTTCCATAAAGTCTTGGGGAAACCAAAGAAGCTTTTCAAGAAGTCAAAATCAAAGAAGGGTTACAATAACCTACCACAATTCGAGGAACACGAAATGAACTCTTACAAGCAAAATTGAAAATAACAAAAATAGTTTCACTAGTAACAATTATCAAATAGTTTGATTTATCGTTATACGATAAATTTTTTTTTTTTTTTTTATGGTCATTTTTTTAAAGTTTATATTTCGTTGATATCAGCATTATTCTTGTAGTTTTCTTTTTCTGTGAACAGTTAAAGGAATATGTCTTTGATGGTATCCTGACTGCTTGAGTAAACCTAAAACTACCACAAAGGGTAATACATTTTAGAAGTTTCAACTTATTAGAAAACAATATCCAAAACCATAAGTTTACCTTGAGATTTGAAGTTCTTTTTTTTTTTTTCAAAAATCCCTCTCTCTCTCTCTCTCTCTGGTAAATTTTGTCATAATAGATGAAACAGAGGAGTTATTATTGCTGATGATGATGACCATGGATGGGTTCCTGGTCTTTTAAACCGGCAGTATGTTTTCATATCAATCAAGCCAAGACAAAGATGCGCTAAATAGGATAAGAAGACTCAATGTTAAAGAAAATTACTATTAGTATATATTATCATCCAGTTCAAATAGTCACTAGTAAGTTGGATACTAACAATATATGCTTTTGATAAATGCCGTACTACTTGTAGTGTTTGAGTACTTCTTATATTGTTCTCTGGAAGCCATCTTTATTACATCTACTACATTATGATACTTCAAAGCATGAGATCAAATTTCAGAAAAACACTTCTGAGGCAAAGGAAAAAGGTGCGCCGCCTAGTGAATACACTCTTTTAAAAGAAAATACCATTCATGTCTGACTGACTTATCTTTGCAAGTGAAGCTTGACAGACAAACTGAAGACTATTCCATGCTCAATCTCTCCTGACTGCACGGTGCGGAGCCCGGCACTGATATGGGAACCACACCGAATATAACGCTCCCTTCTTTATCAGGCGCCCCCCGCAACAGCTCCCAACATTTTTTTTTTTCTTATATTTTTTTTTTCTTCATTTCAAACAGATCAAAATAGAGACTTGATTTGGGAACCATCCATTACTTAAACTCTTCTATTATACCTCTCGCTACTTCTTGTTGGTTTTCCATTCCTTGAATCAATCTTTAAATCGCGTCTAATAACCTGAAAACATGGTCAAAGCAATTGTTGCCCCATCTATTCTTGCCAGTGATTTCGCTGACTTAGGATGCCAATGTAAAAAGATGTACGCAAATAACGCTGATTGGCTTCATGTCGATGTAATGGACGGCCATTTTGTTCCAAACATCTCTCTTGGTATGCCAATCATTTCCTCGTTACGTAAAGCCATCCCAAAGGAATACAATGAAAAAAACGAAAACATCAAATTCTTTGATTGTCATATGATGGTCAGCGAGCCAGAAAAATGGGTTGCTGAAATTGCCAAAGCTGGTGGTGATCAATATACTTTCCACTATGAGTCTACTAAAGATCCAGTCAAATTGATCGAACTTATCAAGAGCCATGGGTTAAAGGCTGCTTGTGCCATCAAGCCAGGTACTGATGTCGATGTCTTGTTTGATTTGGGTGATAAGTTAGACATGGCATTGGTGATGACTGTTGAGCCAGGGTTTGGTGGGCAATCGTTTATGGCTAACATGATGCCAAAAGTTGAAAAATTGAGAGAGAAATTCCCACAATTGAATATTCAAGTCGATGGTGGTTTGGGTAAAGGTACCATTGGTCATGCTGCCACCGCCGGTGCCAACGTTATTGTTGCTGGTACCTCCTGTTTCACTGCCAGCAATCCAACCGAGTTGATTCAGTATTTCAAAGATGAAGTCAATAAAAATTTGAAAGCCAAGGGCTGCTACACTGAGAACTAATCACTATTCTAAAGTTTGGATACACATACAGTATAGCTAAATGATTTCATGAGACCAATAATCTAATTCTAATGCAATGGTTGACTGTAGAAAGAAAAATAGTGAACTGAATATTCATGAAAGTTCATCTCTCTAAAGAACGGATATAGGAAGCAAAAATCGTACGTGAAACAGTTTATTGAAATGAAGAAAAAAGATTAAAGATATCCAAGAAAAAATGCCCAATTAAAACATAAATATAAAGACAAAAAGAATAAAAATATCCAACTGAACGTCAAACATTCAAATGCAAGTTTTTAAACATAAATATATATAGATATATTATTGTCAAATCAATCTTAACTTGACAATGCTTAATAGAAACCAGCATAACCCAATGTGGTCCCCTCACCGCTTTGATCAATGGCAAAACCAGAAGTACTTTGATCTTCGGCAACAGCCCACAAGGCTTCTCTAACAAAGGTCGTCTGATCTTTCAAAGTCTTAACTTTTTCTGGTTCTTCTTCGATATCCATTTCACTTTCTTTCTTGGCCTCAAGTTGAAGCATGATTTTACTTTCAATCCCATTGTTCTTCAAATGCTTCAAGTTTCTTTCAATCTTTTTGAGTTTCTTATTAGAAAGAGTTTCTGTAGTTAAGTTGAATCTCTTGTTGGTAATGGTTGGACGTTTTTCAATCTTTGAGGCCTTGAAAAGATCGGCAGAAGTTGGTTTTGGTTGGTAAGTATGGAGCTTGTTTTGGGCTTTTTTAGCAGCGGCAGCAGCTTTACGGGCACGGGTGATCCCAGTAGTTGGCTTATTGAATCCGTTCTTGGAAGGCATATTGATAGATTTATTTAAATGAAGCAATGAATTTAAATTTTATTGCTGGATTTCAAGAGGATCTGCTTAGAGATTCTAATCAAAAATTTTCCAAAAAAAAAATTTTAGAAAGCGATGCGTTGCAGGGCTCCGAATTTATGTATACGCACTACCCCAACATGGACGACATTCAAATAGACCCTGAAAATAATGCCTATAACTATGAAATAAGAGAAAGGAAAAAGAAAAAAAAAAAACTACATCTGAGAAAAATTTTTCTAAAAAATATACATCAGCAAATATTCACAACTTAGATGGCAAAACTGTCGAACTTTTGTAAGGGTTGCCAATTTCTTCTTTGAACTTGTCAATGTTGGCAAAATAATCATCAATTTCATGGAATCTCTTGGCTTCATGTTTCATCAACTGTTTCAAATGAACCTCATCTGGGCCATCGGCAAATCTCAAAGTTCTTGAGTTAATATAGTACCTAGCAATAGGGAAGTCATCGCTCATACCTGCGGCCCCAAACATTTGTAAAGCCCAGTCAATAATATCACAAACTTTTTTTGGAACCCTTATTTTAGCGTACGCAATTTCTTTTTTTGCCTTTTTAGACCCTTTGCAATCAATAGCGAATGCAGCACTCAATACCAAGAGCTTCATATTTTCAAGATCTATCTGATTATTAACCAACGCTGATCTAAATGATTCAATATCTGACAATCTGGTCCCATTGCTCACCATTCGGTTGTTGGCTCTGTTGATGGATAAATTCAAAGCTTCTTCAGCAACTCCGAGCAATCTCATACAGTGATGGATTCTGCCAGGACCCAATCTCGCCTGAATCATTTTAAACCCTTCACCAATATTCCCTAAAATATTATCTCTCTCAATAGGAATTTTGAAATTCTCAAAATTAATTTCCATATGACCATGAGGAGCATCATCGATACCAAACAATGGCATATGTCTCACAACCCTAACATTATTAGGCTGTTCCTTAAGGGCTTTCTTAACGTCAACCATTAAAATAGAATGATTAGTATATGGGCTTTTTTCATTATAACCTGTCTTTACCAATAGGAACCACACGGCACAACGAGGGTCCCCAGCACCTGAAATAAACCATTTAGTACCATTGATCACAAAGTCCCCGTCGATCTGATCGGCACGACAATAGATATTTAAGGCATTGGAAGAAGCAACTTTCTTATCGGTCATTGCAAATGCTGATCTAATTTTACCATCAAGTAAATCAGCCAAATATTTTTTGTTTTGATTCTCATTTCCAAAATGAATCAACAATTCCATATTACCGGTATCAGGTGCCCCGCAGTTAGTGACCTCGGGAGCAATATGACTTTTACCAATATATTTCGCCATTAAACCATATTCCACATTGGTGAATCCTAGACTCAATGTATTATAAAGTTGGTTATTATTGATATTTTTACACAAAAATAAATTCCATAACCCTAATACTTTGGCTTTGGCCTTAAGAGGCTCGATAACCTCGGGGATCTTGTCCCACCTTTTGGCAGGAACCCTGGCTTCGACTTCTTTGATATAGAGCTCATCACGAGGTAGACATTCCGTTTCCACAAATTGCTTAACTTTTTTCAAAGTTTCAAGGCCTCTTGGACTGATACTATCCTTTAAGATGATTGGAATTCCTAGTTCTTGGAAGGTTTGGTCAATGGACATGATTGATTTTGTGTTATGAAATCTAAGTGAACAGCGAATCCAGAAGTATGGAGTACTACTAAATTAAATTGTAACCTATTGAGAAAAAGGTCTTTTATATACCAAAAAATGAAGTCATTAGAGCCTCGCTTCATAAAACAATAATTTTGACGTGGAGAAGTAAAGTTTGGAACTGGTTGCGAAGGTCCCGCAGTATTGGCTCCTAAGGTTACGAGGGCACTGGTGCGATGATTAGGAAAAAAAAAAAAAGTATGTCCCTTTTTGAAATTTTTTCAAATCAGTAATCTGACAATTGACCAAGACAGGAGAGGAATATCCTATTTAATTTATCTTAATAAAACAAATATGTCGTTTAAGAACTATAAGGATTTTATTGAGGAAGGGGATCTTGTCTTTGCATGGATCAGCAGAGGAATGATCAAACCTATCCACGTTGATTCAACTCAGTGTCTTAACACACGATACGGTACATTCAATCACTCGTCAATGGTGGGCCAGAGGTATGGTAGTCAAATAGCCAGTAAAACCGGATACGGTTTCATCTATCTTTTGCATCCTACTCCTGAATTATGGACTGTATCTTTGCCTCATAGAACCCAAATCGTTTACAGCCCTGATAGTTCGTACATCACACAAAAACTCAATATCTTGCCCGGTTCAAGGGTAATAGAGGCGGGAACTGGTTCTGGTTCTTTTACCCATTCTTTATCACGTACTATTAGTGATACTGGGAAGCTTTTCACTTATGAATTCCATGAAGTTCGGTACCAGAAAGCTCTAGAAGAGTTTCAAGATCATGGATTGAAGAATTTACAATTGACCCATAGAGACGTCTGTAAAAATGGATTTGAAATCGAAGGTGAGGTAATAAATGCTAATGCCATTTTCTTGGATTTGCCAGCTCCGTGGTCAGCGATCCCAAATTTGGATAAAGTAATCAACAAAGGCATGAAAACTACCATTTGCTGTTTTAGTCCATGTATTGAGCAAGTTGAAAAAACTATCCATGAATTACACAAACAAAACTGGACGTCGATTGAAACGGTGGAAATCAATCACAGAAAGTGGGAAAGTCATAAGAATATGGTTAGAAAACTTGATGATGTAATCGCCAGACTTAAGGATATTCAACAAAGAAAAAGAGAAGGTGTGGAGAAATTGAGGAAGGCTAGAGATGAAAGACTTAACAAGAGACCAGCCGAAGAGGAAATGGAAAATGATGATGGTGAAAAGAAAGTGAAAACACAAAATAATTACAAGAAAGATGTTAATGTTGAAAAGTCCCAAAGTTTCAATCCATTCGGTAAAGGTCTAAGAATAAAACAAGGTGATCCAAACTTTGAATGGAAAAATGTTTCAAAAGACGAATCAGAAATCAAGTCGCATACATCGTTCCTTACATTTGCCTTTAAGTTGCCGGAATTTTGAAGAATGGAAGAATGAGTAGTATATTATTTACACATGTATATTATAAAGACAATAGAAAAATTGTTTAGTTTTAGTTTTTGTTGTGATAATTTTTTTTTTTTTTTTGCCCATAATTTGTAAGGAGAGTGAAAAAGGCGAAAATTATTAATCATAAGTCTTGGTTTTGTGCTTGTTTATTGTTATAATTGTGTCACTGGAACCAGTATCGAAATCACTTGGACTGCTGATAATAAACCGGTTAAAATTTAAACCTGTTGGAACAAGCTCAATAATGAATGGCTGAGAAATTTTTTCATCATTATTATCAAACCTTGTCTGGAAAAGTTCTTCGAAAACTCTATCATCAAGTTGGTCACTAATTGAGCTCTTTGGATTACCAATAATCACATTAACTTGGGCAGTCTTCTTTCTGAAGTCATTTGGACTACTGTAATCACTTTCGAGAAGGAAAAATTCGTAGATCATTAAGGAATCATAAGGGATTTCATTATTAACTGCTGTATCGGCGCTTATCGACCCCAGATTCAATGATTCCAACTTAATAGTAAATACGTTAGAAAGTCTGACTTTCGATTCAAACGGTCTATTATCAATAAATTTCCCATTTCCTTGAGACACCTTGAAATTTTTCTCGATATTATTTTCGTTATACTCGAATGCAAGTGCCACTCTTCTGCTGATGATGGAGTGCAATTTATGAATTTTCACAGGGTTGTTGTAGTTGCTGAAGCTCAAAACTTCATGGCCACCAAGTTTCAAGCTGGAAGTCTTTAGATAATCAACATACAATTTGGAGACCCTAGCACCGGCCACAGCCTTGGCCTTTGAATATAAGAAGATCCCGAGTAAAAGAATAGGAAGCCCCACAAAAAGTATCGGTAATGCCACAAATACCAAAAAATATGAAGCAATAATGAACCCAACAATCAACTTCAAAAAATCCGGAACTAGCGACCATATAGTGCGCGAGATCAAGTAGGATTTTACAAGGAAATTAATAATGAAGTTGTTGACGCCATTATTTGTACTGAAATTCCGAGCAATTCTGACCAACGGTTTATTTCGATTATTCAACTTCGGAATCTTTGATCTGACAGAAGAATTGAAGGAGAGATTACGAATTTGACATTTGCAACTAATTGAAACACTTTGATTGTACCCCAGCTGACTGAAGGGTCTATTGAGAAGGATTGATGTTGGTTTTATCAGCAACGGGCGTGCTACTGATCGGAGTGAAAGTCCTGCCAACGGCCTGCACAGCGAGAAAGACCCCCTAAGAGAAGCTAATAACCCGGTATATCTGATCATTACCCTTTAAGTATATATTGGTAGTATTGCTATTCCAAGGCAATAATAATGTTGTAAAGAAGGAATAATAGTTAAGGGAAATTACTTCAGACGAGTCTGCGCGTAGCAACATTTAACGTTCCCCGGGTAATAGTCTATCCATCAACTTTGACAAAATTGACGGTCTCCCTCCAAAAGATGAATGGAAGCTATCGAGGAATATCGCTCTATACTATTACAATCTACCATTACATCCTTAATATTGAAAACCATGTCGGGAAACTTTTCAAGTATCGCCGCATCCAATGCTGCTGTTAATGAGCTTACGTCGGAAGTTGACAGTTTGTACCTTGAACAATATGCCTTCACCACTTCGGCAGCTATTGTTGGTTCTCTTAATAGTAAGTCTTTAATTTTTGTTTATTCTGGGTTGTGCAAAAGTTATTAACACTATGATTTTTTTTTCTCCATAGAAAGCGTATTTGTGCTCCTCAGAGACGGAAGAAACTTATTTGGTATATTAAGAACATTTGACCAATATGCGAACCTTGTTATACAGGATACTACTGAACGGGTGTATCTTTTAGAAGAGAAACAATATGGGGAAATCTTCCAGGACAACTTTTTGATCAGAGGGGAAAATGTAGTGATGTTTGGAGAACTTGATTTGGATGCTGAAGATGATCATTTGAAAGAATTTACGAAGATTGACTACAAAGAAGCAAATGCCAAATTGAATAAGAAAAACGAAGAGAAAATAAAGAAGGGCCGCGAGCATACCAAGACCTACCTCCAGCAAGGTTTCACAAGCGACTTCTCGAAAGCTGATTTGTATTAATGTATATTATATCCACAATAAAAGACTAGCTTACAGTGATTTTTTTGATGATATTTCTACGTAAAGGGCATTATCATATTATCGATACAGAGTTGCACCGTGCGGTCTGTTGTTAGGAGCCCCGGGCAGCTGCCAGCACAGACGATGTGTGAAAATCGAATTTTGATTTTAAAGGGGAACGAACACTGCTATTTGTTGCATTCTGTTAAACAAAACTACTAGAACAATATATAAATATCAAAAAGAAAAAGGAAAATGTCTGACGACACCCCAATTGTTCTTGATCAAGGTACCGGTTTTGTAAAAATTGGTTACGGTGGGAGTAACTTCCCGGAACACACATACCCATCTATTGTTGGTCGGCCAATCCTTAGAGCTGAAGAAAGAGTTAACTCGGATATTGAATTGAAGGACATAATGTGCGGTAGCGAGGCCAGCGATGTCAGATCACAATTACAGATTTCATACCCTATGGAAAATGGTATCATCAAGGATTGGGTCGACATGCAGTATTTGTGGGACTATTCCTTTTATGACAGATTGAAAGTTAACACCCAAGGACGTAAGGTGCTTCTTACTGAACCACCAATGAACCCTTTGAAAAACAGGGAAACAATGTGCGAGATCATGTTTGAGCGTTATCAATTCGGAGGTGTTTACGTTGCTATCCAGGCGGTCTTGGCACTTTACGGTCAAGGTTTGTCCTCGGGTGTGGTGGTGGATTCCGGTGATGGTGTCACCCACATTGTTCCAGTATACGATTCTGTAGTATTAAACCATCAGACTAAAAGAATCGATATTGCTGGTCGTGATGTCACCAAGAACTTGATCAATCTACTCTTAAGAAGAGGTTACGCCTTCAATAGAACTGCCGATTTCGAAACCGTTAGACAGATCAAAGAAAAATTCTGTTACGTTTCGTATGATTTGGACTTTGACACAAAATTGGCCCAAGACACTACGGTTTTAGTTAAACAATATGAACTTCCTGATGGTCGTGTCATCAAAATTGGCTCTGAAAGATTCGAGGCTCCAGAATGTCTTTTCCAACCTGAATTAATCGATGTTGAACAGCAGGGTATGGGTGAAGCTTTGTTCAGCACAATTCAATCCTGTGATGTCGATATCAGATCCACGTTATTCAAATCTATTGTATTATCAGGTGGTTCATCAATGTACCCTGGTTTGCCATCTAGATTGGAGAAGGAATTGAAACAATTGTGGTTCACTAGAGTTTTGAACAATGACCCAGCTAGATTACTGAACTTCAAGGTTAGAATTGAAGACCCTCCAAGAAGAAAGAATTTGGTGTTTAATGGTGGCTCTATTTTAGCAAATATTATGGCTGATAAGGAACACATGTGGTTGACAAAACAAGAATGGGAAGAGCACGGTTCAAGAATATTGGAATCTAAGTTTGGTAAAAGATAAGCCTGGCCATTGATATGCCACTCTTATTTCTTCATTTATTGTTTCTCTCCTTCTATTTGGTGTCTTTTGTGTTTCTTTTCCCCGTATTTATATTGGTCATTAATTTACGAAGACTTTGAAAAATATATTTAAATAAATAACCAATATGTCTCGGCAACTTATATTCTTGTATAATAAAAAAAAAAAAAAGTCGTAAGCCATTAACACATTATCAAAAATTATAATTATACAGTAGTCGAAATATTATCTATATTAGTAATTCAATCCCACAATTCTATTCCATACATCCAATGCAATTTCATTAAGCTCTTCTTTACTTGGTTCTTCATGTGTTTTTCCGTATCCTATGGCTGAGCCTATCAAGTCTTGCAAGAATTGGTGTGTGACGATTCTTGGATTTAGAAATGGACCATCCAACAATTCATGGATCGTCAGTCTTTTCTTTGGATCTCTAGTTAAACACGATTTTATTAATTGCATTAGCGATTTTGGTACTTTGACATCCCCTAATCCCTTATCGGGGTAATTGATGTCAACTTCGGGATTCATGATTGCAAGAATTCTTTGGTGACCATTATATTGGCCATATGGTGGCCTACCGTAAATCATTTGGTAAATAATGCATCCACATGACCAAACATCTGAAGGTTTGCCAACCTTCCATGTACCCTCATTATTGTTATTGCTGGCTGCTACTAAAGCCTCTGGAGCCATATAGTTAGGTGTCCCAATTTGTGAGTCACGATAAATATTAACGGTATGATCAGGCACAACATTAGATATCCCAAAGTCTATGAGTTTAAGAGTTCCTTTCACAAATAAAAAATTAGCAGGTTTCAAATCCGAATGCACGATATCTGCATCATGGACTTCTTGAACACATCTTAATAATTCTTTTGCATAGAATCTGACAGCGTCAAAGTCTAGTGATAGTTTCAACCTACTGCCTAATACGCGGGCAAAATCAACATCCCCACATTCCATTACCAAATATAAGCATCCACTAGTCAACGAATAATCAACTAGTCGAACAACCCTCTTTTTTTCTCTCAATTTGACCAATAGATCAATTTCCCCTTTGAATCCTTCAGCACTTGATTCATCAAATTCATCAAATAGAACCTTCTTGAGAGCATATAACTTATTATTTGATTTATTTTTCACTTTATAAACTTTTGAGGATCCACCTTTACCGATTAGTTCAAGTATCTCAAAGCTTACCTTGTTCACCATTATCATATTATGCTGCTGGATCTCGTTATATTCCGGTTTCAAAGGAATAGTTTCTGTGACCACATTATATGCCTCTCGCTGTTTTTGAGCAAAAGATACCTTTTGAGCTGGCATGTTTTCCTTATTATCGTTTGCATATTCTATATCATTTCTATCGTTTTGAAGATGCCGCTGCTCACTGTTCCGCTGTTCAATTTGTTGTTGTTCAATTGGCTGTTGTCGCTGTTGTCGCTGCTGCCGCTGATTTTGTTGTTCATTTTGTTTCGAGAGCATTTTATCTCTTTCAATTCTCTCTTCTTCAATTTGTTTTTGTACTTGGAGTTCCCGTTGTAGTCTCATTTGTTCAAGATGTTCCTCCTTTTTGGATCTTTCCAACTCTTCCATCTTTTTCTTCTCTAATTCTTCTTGCAATAGTCTATCTTTTCGTAGCTGTTCGTAAAGTTCTTGTTCGTTTTCAAAAGCATGATTATTACGATACTGTTCTTCATAATCATTAGTATTGCGGGTTTTTGATTTGAGTGCATTCTGAGGATCGATATTTTTTTCATACCCATTTTCCACCAAAGTTTCATGCGAAAAAATAAAATTTGGGTTTCCTATATTATTCTTAAAATCAATGTTATCTCCATAAACGCTGGTTTCATTGGTGCTAGTATTATGATTATTTTGAATCTCATGACTTGCCTGTGAATGTGAGCTAAGACTTCTAGCTGTTTCTGCTTCATTATTATCCTTCTGTGAATCTTTTTGAATATTTTCATTATCAATATTTGTATTGCTATCTTTATAACTCATTTTATCACCGCTGCTCTTTCTGCTTGAAACTCTTCTCGGATGTCCTAAAGGATTGTGCACCCTACTGGGTATACCAATAGTTGAGCGTTTTCTGGGAAGTGACAGTCTTTTATGATGCTGCTGTTGTTGTTGTTGTTGTTGCTGAATATAATGTTGCTGGTTCTCCTTTTTCAAGAGAGCTGGTGATGATGTTTCAATATCCGCTAGAACCAAATCGTTATCTTCATTTGGGTCCATCATTCTCAGATCCGAATCCTTATCAAGAATATCCTCTGGTTGGTGCTGATCTTCCATCCCGGGTATTACCTGATTATCAAGGTCTGCCAAAATATTTTCCTTATTTTCGTTAAGGATCGCCATGCTATAAGATGATAGTTTGGGAGGCTCAAAGAACAGTTCCTCATCGGAATCGTATATTCCTTTGCTCATTGTGACGCGTTAAATTATATGACGTTCAGATATTTGAAAGACACTAAAGATCCTTTATGCTCATTTGCATAGGTACCTAAGTGAGAAATATTAGAGGAGTCTATTCACCAAAGATAAAGCTCGAAAGTTGATTTGATTGCCGTAGCGCTAGGGATCCAATCAATTGCAAATTTCTAAATGTTTTGTTTTGGTGGTGAGTTTGTTTACGAAATCATCAACTGTATGGTTACCCTGGCATAAAAAAAATTGGTCAGGCGCGCGTTGTGGAATTGAAATGCCTTAATAAGATAATAATAATTATCAGTTGGAAGAGGATATTATTATTGTTGATGAATAATAGTTGGGACATTACTGTTTTACTCTTATATATATGGCTTGAAGAATGTGGATGGTTGTTTTTTTTTCGCGTTCGAAAGAGACACACACCAACAGTGTACAGATCATAAAAGCTTGAGAAAACCAACAATCATTCCTCAAAATACTCCAACCAAATACTCCAACTTGAAAATGATTGATTATATTAAAATATGTCTCATTTGTAGCCCTTAATTTCTATTTCAATGAAAAAATAAAAAACAAAGGCCAAATCTCTGTCAATATTCTTGATGCGGATGGAATTTTTCTTTCTTATGAATTAGTTGTCAACTCAAGAATGAAGGTGACAAAAAGAAAGATGATAGCGACCACTCCCCTTGATGTCGAAAGATAACCACACATCCTCATATATTTCAAATCATTGTTATCTAATCCTCATATTTGTTAGCAATTAAGGGCATACTATATACCGAAACCACGGGTGTTTCTGACTCATATCCGGGTGACATACTTAGATTTCCAAGTCAGAAGAGGCAAAAAAAAAAGTCAAAGAAATTTCAAAATTTCCGTTTCCTATTGTCCAGCTGGAAAACAGTAACTCCAAAGAAAAAAGATGTCCGACGAACCACCTCAGAGGGGATTCTCTTTCCCTAAGGAAGAAGAAAAGATTGGACAGTTCTGGGAAGACATTGATGCTTTCCATACCTCCATCAAGTTGAATGAAGGTAACCCAGAATGGGCTTTCTACGATGGTCCTCCATTTGCAACTGGTACTCCTCATTATGGTCATATCTTGGCTTCCACCATTAAGGATGTCGTTCCAAGATTCCACTCCATGAAAGGTAACTACGTTGAAAGAAGATTTGGTTGGGATACTCATGGTGTTCCGGTCGAACACGAAATTGACAAGAAATTCAACATCAAAGGTAAAGCTGATGTCATGGAAATGGGTATTGAAAATTACAACAAAGAGTGTAGAGCTATTGTCATGAGATATGCTAATGAATGGAGAAGTACCATCGGTAGATTAGGTAGATGGATTGATTTTGACAACGATTACAAAACCTTGTATCCAACCTTTATGGAATCCGTTTGGTGGGTTTTTGCTCAATTGTTCGAAAAAGGTCTTGTTTACAGAGGTTACAAAGTCATGCCATATTCAACTGGTTTGACCACTCCATTGTCCTCTTTTGAAGCCCAACAAAATTATAAGGATGTCTTGGACCCTGCCGTAACCGTTGGTTTCCAATTGTTGGATGACCCTAAGACCTTCTTTGTTGCCTGGACTACCACCCCATGGACCCTTCCAAGTAACTTGGCTCTTTGTGTCAATGAAAACCTTGAATATGTCAAGATCTACGATGAAAATAAGGACAAGTTCTTCATCTTGATGGAACCATTAATTACTACCTTGTACAAGAAGCCAAAGAATGAAAAGTATAAGGTTGTTGAAAGGTTTATGGGTAAAGATTTGGTTGGCATGAAATACAAACCTTTGTATGACTACTTCTATGAAGAGTTCAAGGATTATGCTTTCAAAGTCATCTCTGCTGATTATGTTAGTGCTGAAAGTGGTACTGGTATTGTCCATCAAGCACCAGCTCATGGTGAAGACGATAACATTGCTTGTACTAAACATGGTGTTGTCTCTGAGTCAAGACCAGGACCATGTCCAATCGATGATGCTGGTAACTTCACCAGTGAAGTTAAAGACTTTGAAGGTCTCTACGTCAAGGATGCTGATAAGAAGATTATCAAGGATTTGACTGCCAAGGGTAATCTTTTGGTGAATGCCCAACTTAGACATAGTTACCCATTCTGTTGGAGATCTGACACTCCTTTGCTTCAAAAGACTATCCCAGCTTGGTTTATTAAAGTCAAAGACCATGTTCCAGAAATGTTGGATAATGTTGAAAAGACTAGATGGGTTCCTTTGACCGTTAAGAACAGATTCTTGAGTTGGATTAACAATGCTAGAGACTGGAACTTTTCCAGAAGTAGATACTGGGGTACCCCAATTCCTTTGTGGGTAAGTGATGACTACGAAGAAGTCATCTGTATTGATTCTGTCGAGAAATTGAAGAAGTTGTCAGGTAGAGATGACATCACTGACTTGCACAGAGATAGTATCGATGGTATCACTATTCCATCTCAAAAGGGTAAAGGTACCTTGCACAGAATTGAAGAAGTGTTTGATTGTTGGTTCGAATCTGGTTCCATGCCTTATGGTTCCAAACATTATCCATTTGAAAACAAGGAATTGTTCCAAAATGGTTTCCCAGCCGACTTTATTGCCGAAGGTTTGGATCAAACTAGGGGTTGGTTCTACACTTTGACCGTCATTGGTACCCTTCTCTTCAAGAGTTGTCCATTCAAGAATGTTATTGTTAATGGTATCGTTTTAGCCAGTGATGGTAAAAAGATGTCCAAGAGATTGAAGAATTATCCAGATCCAGGTCTTATCTTGGACAAGTATGGTGCCGATGCCTTGAGATTGTACTTGATCACCTCTCCTGTTCTTAAGGGTGAATCTTTGAGATTCAGTGAAGATGGTGTTAAGGAGGTTATCTCTAAGGTTTCTTTGCCATGGTTAAATGCTTTCAAATTCTTGGAAGGTCAAGTTAGCTTGTTGCAAAAAGAGCACGGTGTTAAGTTCTTGTACGATACTGAATTGAAATCTGAAAATGTTATGGATAGATGGATCTTGGCCTCCTTACAATCTTTGATTGAATTCATCCATGAAGAAATGGAAGAATATAGATTATACACTGTTATTCCAAAATTGTTGCATTTGATTGATAACTTGACTAACTGGTACATTAGATTCAACAGAAAGAGATTGAAGTGTGAAAATGGTGTTGACGATGGGTTGAAGGCTATGAACACTTTGGCTCTCACTTTGTTGACTTTGTGTAGAGCTATGGCTCCATTTGCTCCATTCTTAGCTGACAATATTTATCTTCAATTGAAGCCATTCTTCCCAGCTGCCTATTTGAGTAATTTATCTGAGGACACGAGATCTGTTCATTTCTTGAGTTACCCAGTTGTTGACAGATCCAAGTTTGATGCAAAGATTGAACAAGCTGTCTCTAGAATGCAAAAGGTCATTGAATTGGGTAGAGTTATCCGTGACAAGAAGGCTATCTCTTTGAAGAACCCATTGAAGACTTTGGTCATTTTACACTCTGACCCAGAATACTTGGAAGACATCAAGTCCTTGGAATCATACATCCTTGAAGAATTGAACGTGAGAGAATTGGTTATTACTTCCGATGAAAAGAAATACGGTGTTGTATACACTGCAGTTGCTGACTGGCCAGTTTTGGGTAAGAAGTTGAAGAAAGATGCTAAGATCGTCAAGAATGCTTTGCCTAAATTAACTAGTGCTGAAGTTCAAGCCTACTTGGAAACTGGTGAAATTGTTCTTGAAGGTATCAAGCTTGTTGAAGGTGACTTGAATGTCATTAGAGGCTTGCCAGAAACCGAAGATAACACTGGTTATGAAGCTAAGACCGATAACGATGTTCTTATTATTTTGGACGTTAACCTTTACGATGATTTGAAGGCCGAAGGTTTGGCCAGAGAAGTCATCAACCGTATCCAAAGATTGCGTAAAAAGGCTGGTTTGCAAGCTACTGATGATGTTACCATTGAATTTGAAATGATCAAGGATACTCTTGGTTTGGACAAGGTCATTTCCCAGTACTCTGAAATGTTGGAAAAGACTTGCAGAGGTCCTATCAGTACCTTCAAGGATGCTCCTGAAGATAAGGTTATTATTGATGAAGAGCAAGAAATCCAACAAGCTACATTTAAATTGAGATTGCTTAAATTATAATCAATTGTTTGAAGTGATTTCGTTACTTTGCGGCATCCTTTATTAGATTCCATTTTTTCTTATTTTGCTTTAGCTTAATTATATTATTATATTTATGATATCTTTATAAAGAATATATCTCTTTACGAATTACATGTGTGTCGTAAACTGAAGTATCTCAACTAATGTAATGAAAATCGCACTCCCGGAAGGGTAATTTTTTAACAATCTTTCAAGGATTTTTTAACCACAAACAACTGCGGGACATACAAGGCTGCAACTACATCAGTAACAACAAACCGCATAATTATTCCCTTCGAGCTCATTGCAAGTTGTTTCCTCCTTTGGGTATCCTTTACTTAAAGCGAAGATTCTCAACTTGGTAATTTGATAAAAAAAAAATGCCCTCACGGCCGCCAGGGTATCTGAGGAATTATTCTGCCTCATCTTCAAATCGATATCGTCCTTCATATCATCACCCTCGCGAAGATGACCACAATAGAGGTGATACTTACAAAGGAGATGTAAATGGCCGCGACCGTTATAAATATAACCAGAGAGGCCGGGCTGATACTTATGTTCCTTCAAGTATGCGGGGAAGTGGAGAAAGGAAAGTTCATGTTTCACTGTCATCCTCGTCTTCACGCAATGATGAAGGCATGAAAGATACAGATCATTACGAAGGATCAGGCACTCCCTCATTAAAGGAGCATTGGAACACGACATCTAATAATATCAACAATTCCCCTAATAATCAAAGAAACTCAATAAATGGCAAGGCTTTGGATTTTAAAGATAACTGGGAGCTTTTCAAAAAAGAATACTTGAAAAACACTAAAGATCATATTGATCCGGCCGGCGACGATCAATCTCATGTAATTGACCCATTCACTCTCAAGCCTATAAAATCCGATTCCTTTGAGCTATCTACAAAAAAGGCGAACTACAAGGTAACGTATGATCCTGAACTCGGTAAAAATCCTGCAAAGGGCAACCACTTGCTCTACCGATTCAAAGGAGAAGGGATGCTAGAACCCTTGGACGATCCAAGATTGAAGATCAAAAACAGCTACGCCAAATATTGTGTCGCCAAAAAATCAAAACACCCACAGTATAAAGCATTAATCGTCCCAGTATTCCAATATGATAAGAATTCTGTTGGAGATCCTCCTTCATGTGAAATCGTTGTTTGGAACTTTTCATCAAAAATTGGTCCAGGTATTATCAAGTCAAACTTTTCTAAGTTCGGCCCAATTCTCAATATTGAAATGATCTGTGATCCAATATCTGCAATTCCATTGGGTGTCTGTCTCATTAAATTCAATGACAATGATGGGAAATCATTGGCTGAGGCGCATAAGAGTGCTATTCTTGCGGTCAATGAAGCCGGTAATAAATTGATTATTGATAATAGTAGAGTCAAGGTAGGATTACAAACCAAGAAAAATGGACTTCTTAAGGAAAAACAAAATAACGCCATTAGACATTTCCAAGAACGCAAAAAGCTTCAGCAACAAAAGCACGAACATGAAAAGAAGAGACAGTTAGAAAAGCAGAAAATTCTAGAGGAAAGAAAAAGAGCCCAACGTGCGAAAGAAGAAGAAGAGAAGAGAAGACATGATATGAAATTGAAGGCAAAACAGATGGCTACATACAAAGATGCAACTTCAAAGTCACTGTCGTTTTTAGGATCTAGTGGATCAAATATTCTGAAGTCCAACGTGGACAGTGAAATCAATAATAAAAAAGTAATAATGCCAGAAGAACTTCAAGGACAAATTAACTCTAGACCCTTTTTGTTTTTGAGTGATGTTTTTTATCCAACAAGATTCTACCAGACCAGAGATTTGAAATCAAAATTATCAAGATATGAATGGACAAAGATTTTACTGGCACCTAAGGTTGGGTTTTTCGTTGTCTTCAGTAATAAGAATTCGGCTATAAAGTGTTACAATGAGCAGAATAATAGAGTATTCCACAAGATAAGAGCTGTTTTTCATTTATGCCTAGATAGTTCTTCTTATGAAATCAAGCACGCTGTTAATGATGATCCGGTAGAGGAAGCCGCATATCAAATAATGAAAGATTTGGAAAATATGCTTAGAAAAGATATCAAAGAGCGGACAGTTGGTCCTTCAGTCATGCAATATTTGAACTCTGAGCAGTTTCAAGAAATTAAGGTAAAGGAGGAAGCAAAACACACTGCCGCAGCACCAACTTCGGAAAATTACGTCTCCTCTAAAAGTAATGACATTTTTGGAATTGGAAATAGCGCATTACCGCAGCTTAAGTTGCCCAGTTTCCGAAAGAAAGATGGCGCTAAGCCTGGCTTAAAGTCAAAAGACAGCTCTATGAAGAAATTGTATAAGAGATCAAACAGGTTCATCCCACTTAATAGGATGATGGATGTTGATAATGATGATGAAGATGACGAAGAAGACGAAGATGAAGATGATAATGATAATGAAGATAATGACGAAGATGGTAATATTAATAGTGATGATGCTAGCGAAGATAATGGGGATGATTATGACGACAAACTTGAAGAAAAAGCTACGGAAGTCAAGAATAAGTCCCCAAAGAAATCTGTGAAAAAGTTTAAGGTCAACCGTCAAAAGAATTTGGCATTTTATTCTTCCAGTGAGGACGAGGAGGACGAAGATCAAAAGGGGGAATTGTCTCATAATAAGGCCGTGAAAGCCCATGTAAAGGAAATGACCTCGCCAGCTATGCTAACTCCTGAAAACGAGCTGGATGTTAAAATAGATATTGAGAAGGAGGTCACTGAGATAGATGTCACTGAAAAGCCTAAAAAAGAACTAGATGATGTCGGTGATGTTGGTGATGTTAGTGAATATGATGCAGTTTATGGGCCTTCAACGGAGCTTGGTAGAACTGTATATCCAGCACTCCTGATTCATAAAAGCGTTGACTTAGAGGGATTTAAATCCTTGGTTCGGGATGAGGAAGATCTTGAATTAATGAAGGAGGTATTTAAGGATGTGAAGCCTTCTGAGAGTATTCAGAACATCGAATATTGGTGTTGGAGAAATAAAAAAATTGATGAACAAAGACTCAAAGATAGAGTGGAAATTGATGAGGATGTTGAAAAAGAATTGGAAAATAAAACTGGCTCTTTCAGAAGCGAAGGTTACCGGAAAATTCTGGACTCTCTTAAAGCTGAGTACTTGCCTCATCGTCGTAAGGTGCATAGAAATGAACCTTTGAATACCCTTAAAAACAATGAGTTTACAGAAAACAATAACTCTAAGAATAACACAGTTAAAAGTTCAAGAGTTAATAGAGCTAAAAGCAGAAGATTGGTTGCAGATACAAAGCAGATATTGGGTTCTGAGACTGATATTTTGAAATTGAATTCCTTGAATAAGCGAAAGAAACCTGTCAATTTTGCTAGATCAGCTATTCATAATTGGGGTCTATATGCCTTGGAACCGATTGCTGCCAACGAAATGATCATCGAGTATGTTGGTGATAGTCTTAGACAGCAGATTGCCGAACTCAGAGAAAAGCAATATCTTAAATCCGGTATCGGGTCGAGTTATTTGTTTAGAATTGATGATCAAACTGTTATTGATGCCACAAAGAAGGGTGGCATTGCCAGATTCATTAATCACTGCTGTACTCCAAGTTGTACGGCCAAGATTATCAAAGTTGATGGTAAGAAGAGAATTGTGATATATGCTCTCAAGGATATTCAGGCCAATGAAGAATTGACTTATGATTATAAGTTTGAACGAGAAACTAACGATGATGAACGTATTGCATGCTTATGTGGCGCGCCAGGTTGTAAAGGTTTCCTTAACTGATTAAATTCCTTGGTAAATGATTTGTTTTATATTATTTATGTATAATAGTAATAATAGTAATGATTAACAAGCACATGTATGGATGTCTTAACACAAAAACAAAAAAGCTCTTTGGTATTGCTGAACGCAAAGTAGCGCATTAATATGCGGTTGAGATGGCTACTTGCATGGTTCATGTGAGCGACGCGTGTTGTTGAAAACCTGTTTTGGGAAAGTGACGCGTAATTTTTTTTTTCAGTGCGCATGGCGATTTCTTTGGCGTTATGATTATTAAAGTGGTGGTGCATCGCCTTTTTAATTATCTTTCATTTAGTGTAGTGTTACAACACACTCAAGGAATATAATTAAGATACCACAAAATATGTCCAGCAAAATAGTTGTTCAAACCTCCATCAAGCTTGTATTACCTGGCATCAAACAGATACATGACGACTTGATTACCCAGACCGAGATCTTGTATCAAAAGAGTAAAAGACAATTAACTTTACCACAGGCTGAGGAAACCCAAAGACTTCATATCTGTGCATTGCTTGTGGCCCAAAAGCTAAGGATAAAATTATCATTGGCTATGCCAACTGACAAAAACATTGCTTTGGAACCAAAAAGTTTAAAAAGGCTAAAGATTCAAATTGAAAATTCTGTGAGGGCACTTTCTCCTCCTAAATCAAGACATAAGACGGGAAAACAGTCAAGACCTAGCTCCCCTATGAAGATTCCTAAATTGAAGTTGGTATTCAATGATTCCCCAACTTCCACAAACAAGAAAAATGTACCAACGGTCATAAACACCCCATCCATGATGAATGAAAACAAGGAAAACTCCTATGCTAACAAAACCCCACCATCTAAAATCAAACCTATTAAAAAAACAACACCTAAGGTCTCAACTCCAAATGTATTCACTCCAAACAAGTCCAAGCGTGCTTTCGACGATGGCGAGATTGGGTATGGTGATCTCGCTGGTATGAAGGAACATCATTCATCAATAAACTCCAGTGAGAAGAGGGGCGGAATTAACTTGACAAAAAGCTTCCTTTCAATGGAGCAAAGTACAGAAGAAACATCTAGCACCCCTAGTAAAAGAAGACGGTTGTCAACTAGTACACTGATTCTCACCGACTCTCAAGACATCTTCAAAGATCAGCTTTCGAATACTCAATCGTCTCCTATTGCTGAAACCAGTGAGGATATCCCATCATTCCAATCAACACCAATAAGACCACAGAGAAAATTGAAAAATACCACGAAACTTGGAAGCAAGGAATCGTTCTCCCTTTTGACTCCACGTCCCCAGCCAGATTCTTTTGTAAACAAAAGGGCTAAGCATAGACATTCTCCAAGAAAATCATCACCTTTAAAATCTCAACTTGACACACAAGACCCTTTGCCTAAATCCAATGTTAACAGTGACGAAGTGGCCACAAATGATATCATTGAAATTTGCAACATTTTCAAGTTTCCTTCGACGATTGCTTATCAAATACTAACGTGCTTCAAGTTCTTTTCTCCAAAAATAAAAGACAAATGGGGCTTTGTATGTGGTTTGCTTGTGATTGTCTATACAAGAGTTTTCAATCAACAAATAAGAAAAAGAATTGACTTGAAGGGAAAATTCCACGAAAGATTGTTGAAATGGCAAAGGGGTGGGATGACTTTTAGTGATTTGAGCCGCTGGACTAAATTAAGTGAATCCATGCTTCTTGACACAGAAGACTGGATTCACCAAATTGAAATCACCTACAATTACAGAGATTGTGCTGTCAATGAAAGTGATTATGAGGATGACTCGCTAGATGATAGCAAAATTAATGACAACATCAGATTTTTGTACACTTGTGGTGGAATGATCAACTCTGGGAAGGACTATTTGAGCAAATATCACACGATGAAATATGATGATTGGGTAAAAAGAGTTAAATCTGATATTATCGCTATGAAATGAACCATTGAAAAAACTTGAACCTTGAGTCATCTCTATAAAGAGAGTGACGGTATTATAATATATTCTTGATCTTATTACGACCTTTTTTTTTTCTTTACTTCTTATTGAGGCGAATTATTATTCGGCCTCGCTTCTTTTTCTTTCGCTTCTTTCCTCATAAATATTCCCTAGGTATTATTAATTCAACTATTTTACAAAAATCATCTTGTGACCAACATAATTAGGATGACATTCATAATTCATGAAGTTTTTTTTATTGTAAATGCAAGGTTTTATATAGAGTTATAATATAATGGTGTAATGAAGTTAGAGAGATGCAAAATTTAGCAAAATCACCACAATCAATTGAGATGATGAGCTTGGAAAAAAGAAGAGAATGAAGATATTAAAAACAATCACGTTGGTGAAATATACCAAGAAATGAATGTATGAAGAAAAAAATAGATTATTTCATAGAAGAATAGGAAAGAATTTAAAGATATGGATTGGAATTTGATGAGCTGTATGCATTGGAAGAATTTTTTAGGTACGGGTTTGAAGTGTTTGAAGTGAAGGATCTATAAGGATTCAGAAAGGAAGAATCATCGTACGGATTCGATGAGATATTAAAATCTACACTTAGATTTCCACTCAACAAGTTACCAATTTGGGGTAATGGGTTATCCGATAAATCAATGTTTTTAAAATCAGCAACGGGTTCGTTCATGTACACCGAAGAGGCCCTGTTCAATTTCATGCGCTCTTTTCCACCAGCATTCTTGGAAGCCTTTGGGTTATGATTGAAAATATAAGCTGGAAGGTCTTGCTTTTCATGTTGCTGCTTGCTGATCTTAAAATCAGGGCTATCAAAAGACGATATATTGGATTTAATTGAGGAGCGATCAGAAGAGGTAGAATATGCAACAGAAGCATGGTCGCCAAAATCAGGCGAGGATATTTTCTTGAATGAATTGGCTGGGTTATTGCTCCTAAGTAAACTTTCGTTTGATCTTTTGTAAAATGGATTTGCAGTTGTTTTTGGTTTGTCAAATTCACTTTTGAAGTAACTTTGCTTCTTGATTCTATCCCCGCCAAAATCTTGGTTCAAAGAAGAATTTTTTCCAATCTCCTTAATTTTTTTAGACTGATTTTCATCGGCTTTTCTAGGATATTCAATGAGTTCTGATTTATCTCTAGGAAATAAATTTTTGGTGGGCGAAAAGATATTTGAAGATTGTGGTACCATTTCAATTGGTTTTTTAAAAGTTATATGTTTTGTGCCTTTTTTTGATGAGTTTCCTATTGCAATTAATTGTTTTCTTGTTGAGAAATATTGTTTCGCAATTAGAGAATTATAGTCATTGTGCTCATTCAACTCGAGCTCCGAGTCATCTAAAAGAGAGCCCCGTTCAGTTCTTGGGATAGCTAACTCCTTTATCAACACGGCTTTGGAATTTTCCGGTTCATCATTGAGCAAAGGCAATAACATTCTATTCAGTTGTTTTATCTGCTTTGATTGCTGTGGATGTATTTTGGAAGGTTCAATAGTATTAGGCAACTTATATTGAAATTCGCCTTGTTTTTTACAATTGTTTTCATTCAAAGACACTGCAGAATAGGAGGACTCTGTCATATCGTAAACATCACTAGTAGGGGTTGCGATATTATTTCTTCTTGGAGTGGTAAATAATGAATTATCATCTGTAGTAGACGATGATATTATACTTTCACCATCGCTGTTGTTATTCGAATTGTAATTGTTGCTATCTTTTATATTAGGTCTGTTTTGAAATTCTTGCATCATGACATTGAGTTGATCTTCATACTCATCCAAGCAATCAATGATCTGATGATACTTTTTTGTATTTTCACTGTAAACACTTGTTTCTTTTGTGGTGAGTATATGTGGTGGTTTTTGAGAGACCTTGAGATTTGATGCCGAGGGCATTTCGCTAAGCGGTCTAGCTATAATAGTTTGTGCTGTATCAAGATGAGTGTTTGTATCTATTACTGTGTCTAAATCTTCTTGAATGATTCCTGATGCTGAACCTTCATCATTTTGTGAGGAGTGTTGAAAAGTATTGGTAATTCCATTAAGGTCATCGTCGCAACTATAGAGGTCGGCGCCGGCATTTTTGTTTCTTTGGAATAAAAGCTCCTTTTCCTTATAAAGATCATTTTGACCGTTATTATTGAGAATATTGGTGGTGTTGTAAGGCGACGATGTTTCATTTCTCCAATCATTCAATAAATCTATTAACGAAGTATTATTCTCAAGGGTATCTTCTATTGTCGCTCCTTGCTTCTGCTTCCCTTTCTTAGAATTATCAGTCTTCTTTCGGCCCCAATTCCATTTGACCATTTTGATTGTAGTGAACACAGTAGGTTAAATATGGCGAATAATTTACTCTTATTAGTGAGTAGCAACACTATCCAATTAATGATAAAGAGATCTAAGGTCAGTATATCCCTTTATTAATTGTAACTTTTTGGCAGTGACAAATCAATCATAAAAAAAGAAAAAAAAAATCTCAAAATCCAGTGAACGTAGGACAAATTTTAGAATATATATGAACCCATAGTTTCTATTCGGCTTCTAAGGCTTTTAGGGCGCTATGTAATTTAGAGTCTGCAATAGAGGTGCAAATTTCATTAAAGTTTGGCACATTGTTAAGATTCTCGACACAAAATTCCGCTTGTCAAGATTTCCAAAGTTTAGGAGAGAAGGCGCTAGCACGCTAAGAGAAATCTGCGTCCCCCCGTTTATTACTCAAACCAGTAACAACAGGGCTTTTTTATGTGTCCATGTTGCATTGGCGTTATACTCATTCTAGAGGAGATTGCCAAACTGTTGGTGGTTAATGCGGTGGGGTGCTTGGTCAGCCATGTTGAGTCTTGTGATTATTATTTTTTGTGTACTCTCACGTCCCCCGTGACTGCGACTTGCCCAACATGACGGTCACTTCTGTGCAAACACCGCAAGGCATATACTTGTCAACCTTGATATCATTGCCTCTTTATTGATTCAAGCCGTCTCTTCTGACTCAAACATTTGTAATATTGTCATTCGCAATTCGCAGTTGCTTGTGTGGTTTTTGAATTATTCTATTTTTAAATTCAAGGTCCACAGTACTGTGTTGTGGGTCGTTCTCCATTATCCATTATTCACTAATGGGTGGAGGATTGTCCGTACATTGATATAAACGTAAGTATATGTTTATAAGAATATTCTGGCTCAAAGACAACATAATCACAGTAATCTAAGCGTTGCAGCTTTCAGTCTTTTGCAATAACTTGTATTATTATTGACATGCGCTTTAATAATTAAGCGGTGATAGATTTTTAATAGAGACTGATATTTGATATTTTTCTGAAACGCATTATGCCATTAATCATATAGTCTAATAGCAAATTTCGGATGATAGAGAGGGAGGAAGGGAAGAAAAATGAAAGCAAATCAGTTATTAAAATCTTTGTAAAATCTAAAGTGCACAAGGAGAACTAGCAACATTATTTCAGAAAGGAAAAAAAAAAAAAAGAGAGAAGAGCAAGTTAATGAGAATCAAAGCGGCTAAATCTTAAATATGACTCACAGTAGCTTGTTTTGATTTTTTCAAACGTTTTAAGATACAGCCCTCTTATAGTGACTTTATAAGATAATGCTTCATCATCGAGATTCAATTTTATTCTTTAGCGAAACAATGAGGGTCTTGAGCCTTTAGAGGTTTTATACAACTCCAAAGTTACAAGCAAGAATAACAAGCAAGGATTTAAATGAGAAATAAGATAAAAATAGCTGAAAATTTACATTCTTGGCTTCAAAGTAAATATCCAATCTCCAACTTCAAGTAATACGCAGAAAGGAAATTAGTGAGAATAAAGTAATAATGCGTCTACGCGAGGTATGTAAATGAACATTATTATTGCTTACATTCTTTTTTCTCTTTTTTCCACTTCTATTTTATTAGAATATTAGCTGCGTTAAGATTGTCATTAAAATTCTCCGGAATCATTGTATGATTATCAATAGAAAGGGTTTCTGCTTCAGAAATATCAGTTATAATGACACTTGCTACAAATGATATTGCTGAAAGAAATGATAAGAAATATACAAAAATACCTATTATTTCATAATCGACGTTAGATACTTTTCAAAAATATTATATAACTACTCATATTCAAGTGTTAAGCGAGAGTGAACGATTGTAAAAATATTCAATGGCAAGTCATGTGTCAATCATCATCAAAAAAAAAAACAAAAAAAAAAAAACGGCCTGTATGTGTGCCCTCATCATATCGTTCACTATACTCTTTCCACAAATCATATTTATTCATAGTGACCTCTTTTTCAGGAGGCAAGAGACCCAGAGATAGGAAATATATTACATACACACTAAACAGGAAGCATAATTTAATCAATATATTGACACAACAATTTGAATAATGTTTTGGACATCCGATATCCACAAGTATTTGAGGGCTCCGAAGACCCTGAAGAATATAAATGATACTGAAAGCGTAACGCTTGGAAATTTCACTGGCTCACTGATTCAAGATAGATCAGAATCAAAGTCCTTGGATACCGAGGATGAAATCAATTACATCTCCAAAGCCTTTTTTAATGTCAAGAATTTCATTTTCAAAATAATTGTTCCGGTAGTCCTATTGGCAACCTTTATTTTCTTGATCAATTTACCAGCCGATACCCCAAGTTTCTATAGAAGCCCTGGACTAATATCATTTGAAGACCATGGAAATCACATCGTTAATCACAACGACGGGTTTTCTGATGGTGTATTTACGGGTGGTTATGACTTAGACGATGACAAAGTTGATGGCGAATACAAAAGTGATGGAGATGGAGATAATGGAGACAAATGGATCATTGGTTAGGGAGGGTTGTTGTCTGGGCTTCAAGCTTTAAAATACTTTGCAGCTGCGCTCCCTCCTCCCCCTTTCTTTCTCTCTTTCTCTCTCTCCCTATATATATATATATATATATATATATATATTTCTTTTAGATTTCACGCTGATTATTTTTTTATATTTGGGTTCCGGAATTTTACAATATTATCAAATGGCATTAATCTTGTCTTTGCTGTGCAATGATCAAATACTCAGAATGTGTAACAAGCACTTGTCAAAAGAAAAACAAGCTATTACAGAAATAATGTTACTTTCTACCGTTATATTGAAAAGGAAAGCCAAGGATATATTATGCATGGAGGAATCTCCTGGGGTCAAAAACAGAATGAAAAAAAGGAACAATATAAACGATGCAATATGTAAACGAAATAATAAACTAAGAAAACTAAACAAAGCTAAAGCAATTATCTAAACTAGGAGTGTGGATATCAATAAAAGAATCAAAGTAAAAGGACTGAAGAAATCAAAATTTGAGGCCAAATTAAGAGACGTAGTAGTTCTGTTACCAGAGTATGAGCTGTTTCCTGTTGTATAGGTGGTAAAAGTATTGGAAGTAGAGAGACCTTCAGAGGTGGTTTGAGAGGTTTCAAGTTCCTCTGTGGTTTGCTCAGTGGTGGTTAATAATGAAACATAAATAGTGTTGCAATCTGAATCAGCACAAACAGAGGTAGTCAAAACTTCAGTGACGATAGTCTCAGTTGCAATAGATAATGAGCTGGAAGAGGTGCTTTCAGTAACGTAAATAATAGTGTTATCATCATCATCAGACAGGGTCAGTCCACTAACCTCGGTAGTGATAGTAATGACATTATCATCCTGATCGGTAGTTCCTGCAGCGGTTGTAGTCTTCACAGAGTTCAAGGTTTGTTCATTTTCAACGATAATTGTTTCAGTAACCACATTATTGGAAGAATCGGTGCTCTCCACAGTAGATTCATAAATAGTTTCGGTAACAACATCATTATCAGTATCTTCAGTTTCACTGTGAGAAGTTGCGGTCACTGTGCTTCCAAGCATCATTGACGAAGCAGTTGTGGTGGTTAATGAGCCTGTCGCACCACTTGAAGCCTGAATGCTAGTGGTTCTCAAGGAAATTTTTGTTGCAGTGCCTCCCAATACTTCAGGCATGTATGAACTGATAATTTGGGAGGTATTGGTGACTGGTCTCAAAGTGAAATCTAAGGCCCCACTGCAGATACCAGTGTTTGTGGTAGCATAGACCTCAAAAGTATCATTATTAGTATCCTTTGGACAAGCAACAAACACAAAATCTTCATTATAGTGAAGATGTTCCCCAATAATATAGAAAATCGATGTACCGTTTTCGCCAGCAGTCAACAAGTCATTGTCGGAGACGATTAATTCCTCGTTTGTACCTTGAATTGAGGCTATACCATCATCACCTATTTCAAAACTCAAACGACCTCCTTCTCTAGACAAAACCAACGAACCGTTTACTGCTGCGAGAGGAAAAAGTTGAATTGCAGAGTTGATATCATATGTCGTAACTGCTATTAAGTTGAAGACCTGTGAATCAGCAACAGCCAATTGAACAATCAACATCAAATATGCAAGTATTAGGTGAACCACACTCATCTTTTTATTTTTTATTTTTTTGTATGCTAGTATTGAGAAATTATCCCGTGTAAACTAATATTATTATTCGCGAAAAAAAAGAAAACAAATGGAACATGGGGTACTTATATGGAGCGAAATTTATGGGGCTGGTCGGTTCATAGACGGGCCCGTTTCTGCATGTTGAAAAATGTGCTGATAGGAGTTCATGCAGAAGGCATTTTTGCTTAGCGAAAAATACTATGTTTGAAACACAGGCTCTGCGATTGAAGTTGAAAACCCAGAACCAGCAAAGTAATGGCTTATTATGATTAGAGATATTGGATATTTTCAAGTAGCATACGCACGTCTTCTTAGATTTACAAGATAGAGGAAAATCATGAAAAGTTAAGTAAAATATTCATTACACAAAGAAACAACTGAAAACATTTATATGAAGAGTTATTAATAAATTTACTCAGCGGTAGCTCTGGTGTAAATCAATTGAGTGGAGTGCTTGGAAACCTTCTTGATCAAACCATCTCTTTCCAATTGAGCAATAGCAACTCTGGCCATAGAACCACCAATCTTAAGACGGTCAACCAAAACGGAAACAGAAACGTATCTGTAGGTTGGGACTTCCTTCAAAATACGGTCGTATTTTTCTTGATCCAAGACAACCAAGTGCTTAGCTCTGTCCTTGACAGACTTCTTGGACCACTTCTTCTTGGATTTCTTACCACCGGCCATAGCGGCAGCAGCCTTAGCGGCTTTAGACAATTGAATCTTTGGTGGCATACTGATAACTTGTTAGTATTCACATCAACTACTCTGAAGGTTGTTTATGATTTCGATTGCGGATATAAAGAGACTTCAACTAACGCTAATTCAACCACTTCTCTTCATATGGGTTCATATATTTCACATTATCCATAAAGCTCTTCACTTGAATATCTCAAGACAATCCCAATGGTTCGCTTCTAATTCCAATAAAGTTTTTGACTGCAAATATTGAAACCCTCCTTTTGTGAATTAATGGTTTGATGTCTTCTTTTCATTATTAATGGCGAATAAATTTTGATAACCACGATTTTTACCTTTCATATCATCATCACACAAACCTTTTGCGCAGTCGTATTAAATTTTTCAAATCATATTTTCCAAGTGTCTGAATATCATATAATGCCACAGCTTTAACAATAGTATTGAATTTTATAAATATGATTTTTGTTGAAATCTCTTTTCAGGCAGTTGATATCCCATTATAACCATCTTATTCTCTACTTACTTGGTATATTATGTCGTTGTTTCCTTGATCCTTTTCACCAACTAGAACGAGGGCAGGTAAATTTTTTAAAATTGAAATGAACTGGAGATTCAACCAAATTCTCACAGCAGGGCTTCATTACTCTATCACGTGCAAAGATTTGTATAAGTCACATATGTGCCCTATCTATGCACGTGATACACTGTAATAAGGTAGCCCTAGAAAGAAATATATGAAATATGTGGCTGCATGAGACCAGCTTATGTTTAATAAGAAACCAGCCTTCCTCTAGGTGGCTCCATCAGAACCTAGTTTCGAAATTGAAAAAATCAAGAATGTGAAAAATCACTAATCCCTAACATCTGATATCACCATTTCTATCTTGGTATGATAAGTGAATTTATAAGTCTTCGAAAAAAAAGAAAAAAGTATTTACTGGGTGGACAATAGCAACCTGAAAAAGAGTTTCAAGTGTGACATTCAATATTCATACTCTGGTTACACACACCCAACTGCTTGAGAGTTCCAATAATATACTGGCTAAACACAAAAAAGATTAATCAGGTTTAATATTACACTGTTAAAATGGTTAATTCATAAACTTAATGAAATGACACCATATCTACTTTGCTATTCGAGAACCTATCTATTCTATGCGATCTATTGGATTCTACTGTATCAAATAGTATGTGACTTTTCACCGGATAGTCACCAGCCAAACATACTTGGTCATGTTCTCGATTCACTGTACTTTTAAAACTAGCGAGAATTTCCCCAATTCTTTCCCGTCTTGTGTCTTTTCTTCATTTCAGTAGTACTAATTCGTAGTAAGTGGCGTAAGATCCTAAAATCAAAAAGGATTTACCCTTAAACAATTTGCTTTAAAATGTATGTTCTATGTAGAAGAAATGCCTGCCTTTGACCCCTTTTAATCAGCAAGTTTTCACTCAAACAATCCTAGAAACATCACTGCTGGTACGTGCCTTTGAAATGAATCAGCATATTAAGTGAATGGAGTTCCGCTATTGAATACAGATCGATATATCAACGTTGCTATTGTAAGGGCTTGAAAGTTGATGATAGTTGATGATGTTAATGAAGGTGCATGAAACATTTCATGCATTTTTATGTTAGAATCATGCGGATGGAGATGAGCTTGAAAATTTTTTTTTTTTTTTTTTTTTACTTTTTATGTGAAAATAATTTTTAACCCACTTAGGTTACACAACCAATACCAAACCAAAGCATTGTAGCTAATTCAGGATTAACAAAATGCAGCTCAGTTGGAAGGATATCTCTACCGTGCCAAATGCCAATGATTTGTTGGATATTGTTCTTAACAGAACCCAACGTAAAACCCCAACTGTGATCAGACCTGGTTACAAAATCACTCGTATCAGATCCTTTTATATGAGAAAGGTCAAGTTCACAGCCGAAGGTTTTAATGAAAAGCTCGATGATATTTTGTCTGGATTCCCAAAGGTTGATGAACTCCATCCTTTCCATCGTGATTTGATGGATACCTTATATGAAAAGAATCATTATAAAGTTTCTTTGGCTGCCGTCTCCAGAGCCAAGTCTTTGATTGAACAAGTTTCCAGAGATTATGTCAGATTGTTGAAGTTCGGTCAATCTTTATTCCAATGTAAACAATTGAAAAGAGCTGCTTTGGGTAGAATGGCTACCATTGCCAAAAAGTTGAAGGATCCTTTAACTTATTTGGAACAAGTTAGACAACATTTGGGTCGTTTGCCTTCTATTGATCCAAACACCAGAACCATTGTCATCTGTGGTTATCCAAACGTCGGTAAATCCTCTTTCTTGAGATCCGTCACCAAAGCCGATGTTGAAGTCCAACCATATGCTTTCACCACTAAATCTTTGTACGTTGGTCATTTTGACTACAAGTACCTCAGATTTCAAGCTATTGATACCCCAGGTATATTGGATAGACCTGTCGAAGATATGAATAATATTGAAATGCAATCCATTTATGCAATTGCCCATTTGAGATCGACCGTCATGTACTTTATGGATATTTCCGAACAGTGTGGCTTCTCTGTTGAAGCTCAAGTCAAGTTGTTCAACTCTATTAAGCCATTATTCGCCAACAAGTCTGTGATGATTGTTTTCAACAAAAGTGATATTATTAAGATCGAAGACTTGAGCCCAGAACGTCAAGAATTGATCAAATCCATCACCAGCCAAACCGGGGTTGATGTTGCCGAAATCTCTTGTCAAGATACTGAAAATGTTATGGCTACCCGTAATAAGGCTTGTGAAAAATTGTTGAGTGCTAGAATAGAACAAAAATTGAAGGGTGTTGGTAAGTCCAACAACGTTCTTAACAAGATTCATGTTTCTACTCCTCAAGCTCGTGATGATGTCGAACGTAAACCATATATTCCAGAAGCTGTGCAATACTTGAAAAAATTCGATCTCGATGATCCAGAAAGAAGAAGATTGGCCAGAGATGTTGAAGCTGAAAACGGTGGTGCTGGTGTCTACAACATCAACTTGAAGGACAACTATCTTTTGGACGATGATGACTGGAAGAATGATGTTATGCCAGAAATCCTTAACGGTCGTAATGTCTACGATTTCTTGGATGCTGATATAATAGAGAAATTGAAGGCATTGGAAGAAGAAGAAGAAAGATTAGAAAAAGAAGGTTTCTACGATTCTGACTCAGAAATTGAAGATGAAGAAGCTGAAGAAATTAGAGAAAAAGCTACTTGGATCCGTGACAAACAAAAGAAGATGATCCACGATGCTAGAACTAGAAAATCCATCAAGAACCGTGCTATCATGCCACGTAGTAAGCAAGTCAAGAACTACGGTGATATGGAAAAACATTTGGCTTCATTGGGTCACGATACTACTGCTTTGGCTAACCGTAAAAGATCATTGCGTGGTTCTGGTTACGATGAAAGAGGTGCTGATGTTGTCATGGATGAATCTGGACCTTCCAAGAAGCGTAAAACTCCACTCAAACAAGGTGACAAACGTAATGCCGGTATCACTGACGAAGTTGCTAGAGCAAAGGCCGAGAAATTGGCCAAGATCCAACGTCGTGATCGTAACAGAGAAGCTAGAAAGGGTGAAGGTGATCGTCACCAACCTGTCTCTTTGTCCAAACATTTGGTTTCTGGTAAGAGAGGTATTGGTAAGACTGACTTTAGATGATTTAGTCCCCTCGAAGGCAAAAACTGTTTTTGTGTTTTTATATAAGTTATATTTTTCTGCATTGGTTTAGTTTTTTTTTCTTTTTCTTTTTTTCTCTCTCTTTGTACTGTACTACATCGTTTCACTTGGATTCTTTTTATTTTTTTTTCAAAAATTATCTTTTATTTCTTGTTGATTCTATTACAATCTTGTCATAATTTTGTTTTTGTTAAAATAATAATAAATGAAAATATTAATTATCTATAGGCATTTGATATTATTGATTGAACTTTGGCATGCTATAGATGAATATAGGATTTTATGCCAATAATACACTTTGAGAAGTAAAGGGCAAGGATAGCAACTGAATATTACGGTATTCAGCACTTTAATCAATACTTCAATTTGATATTGTTTCATACAAGGAAGTAATAAATCGCAAAGTAGTTATAGTATGGAAAATCTATCAGTCCTACAGTGACCCCGGGCGAATTGGGAAATAAAGATAGTGACATGATCACCATATCTACAGGTACGACCATTTGATCCTATCCAATATTAAGATGTTTTTTTTTTTTTTTTTTTACAATATCGATATCGAACAACAAGTTTCAACAATCAGTAGTTTCAACAATCAGTAGTTACAAAAATTCAGTGCAGTGTAGATAAACGAGTAACCAGCTAAAAAAAAAAAAAAAAAAAAAAATTAGAGCCTGATTTGATATCGGAGCCAATCCAATAATTAGACTTAGTTGATACGCAACAATTCAACATCGAAAACCAAAGTGGCGTTTGGTGGAATCAAACCTGGGAAACCTCTTGGACCGTAAGCCAAGTTACCTGGGATGGTGAACTTAGCTCTTTCACCAAGAGACAATTGAGGAACACCTTGATCCCAACCTTGGATAACCTAGAAATATAATGTTAGTTGTATTCAAAAAATAGCTCGTAGCTAAAACCAATTAAAAATAAACTTACTTGACCAACACCAACAGTGAAGACAAAAGGAGAACCACCTAGAAATAAGCACGTTAGTAAAAGAACAATTTGGGAACCAAAAATCTTCCAGTATTGTTAATGAAAGAGCAGAGGATACATACGAGTTCTGGAGCTGTCAAAGACCTTACCGGAGGTCAAAGTACCGGTGTAGTGGATGGCACATTGGTCACCTCTAACTGGGAAAGTTTTACCATCACCTAAACAAGTTAGTATAATTATCAGAAATAAATTAACAAACAATAAAAAAGCAGATGGTCTGTTAGCAAATAATAGCCAGTTTTGTTGCCGATACTCTCAATGCTGTGATAATCAAAGATGGCAATAATAATCGCAATTGAATATACACAAGGGTGGCTACTCGATAAATTCCGGGGAAGTAGCTAAAACTGAATTACTTGTCCATCGCAGAAAGCTTTATTAATGTAATACCTACCTGGAGTGATTCTTTCGATTTTCAATTGGTCAGCCATTTTTCTAATAGTAGTTGCAGAGAGTCTTGTTGCTTGAGTAAATCTCATTTGATCTTTTATCAAAAACGTTGAGACGAATGTTGTCATCAGTTGGGTTGATTTTTTTTTTTTGCTTCGAAGAATGAATGGCATCACCCGGACTATCCATCTTTTGAAGTCATCAAGCCCCAACAAATACTCTCTACATTTATTGTTATCGTCATTATCATTACTATTATTATTACTATTACTATATGAGAACTATCATCGATATATTACAAGCATGGAGCCTCGTGAAGCTTCCCCCACAACCAACCGCGGATAACCTCTTCATTTATCGTTATTTCCAAAAAGCTGGTAGAGCCAGCTTTTTTGTTTTCTTTCTCTCTCTCTTTCTTGGATCTCATATTCAGAAAAGATCCTTATCTGACCATTAGGCAAAATCTCCCCTCTTCGTATACCATATTCATCTTCTCCTAAGACATCTAGATATCATTTGTTAGTAAGCAGAGATCAAGATAATGGTTATTATTACCCCCACAAGTATACACCAGATCAAGAATCAAACATACACTTTCTGTAAAATGGAACAGACATAACAATTGTCGTGTACAATCCACCAAATAACGCAAAGAACCTGTAAGGCATCTTGTTAGTAACAGTTACAGTCGAAGAACGCAACCGTAGAGAATGAAAACGATATACTACAACATACGCCCAGTACCTCTTTTGTATTTCCTTTGGAGCAGGAGGAATGTAAGGCCCTTTCTTAGCCATGATGTCCCTTATGTATTATGGTGTTATATAAATTATTATTGTTATTATTGTCTGGCTATTCATGTTAGACACTAAAACCTCCGTCAAATGCCTCGCCGGTTAACAAAAACCTTTCATCTAAGGCACGTGATCATCCGATGAGCTGCAAAAAAAAAAAAAAAAAAATTCTGTGTTTTCTAAGTAAAAATTTTAGATCAGAGTAGGTAGTTGATCTTGTCAGGCCTACTATTTAACAAATTTCAATATAAAATGGGCAAAGCTGCTGCTACTTACAAACAAAAATACTCTGCACAAGCGTCTGCTGGTGAACAGACCTCTGCTCAAAAAATGAATACGGTTTTCAAGTTCAATACCAATCTTGGGCAGCATATTTTGAAGAATCCAATGATTGCCCAAGGGATTGTTGATAAGGCCGAAATTAGACCATCAGACACAATATTGGAAGTTGGTCCAGGTACCGGTAACTTGACTGTGAGAATATTGCCACAGGCACGTAAAGTCATAGCAGTGGAAATGGATCCAAGAATGGCGGCGGAATTGACAAAAAGAGTTCGTGGGACCGCCGAAGAAAAGAAATTGGAAATTTTGTTGGGGGATTGTATCAAGACAGATTTGCCATATTGTGATGTTTGCATAAGTAATACTCCTTATCAAATTTCTTCCCCATTGGTTTTCAAATTGTTGAATCAACCAAACCCTCCAAGAGTTTCGATTCTTATGTTTCAAAGAGAATTCGCCTTGAGATTGGTGGCCAGACCGGGCGATTCATTATACTGTAGATTGAGTGCAAATGTTCAAATGTGGGCTAATGTTACACATATTATGAAGGTGGGTAAAAATAACTTCAGACCTCCTCCAAAAGTTGAAAGTTCGGTGGTTAGAATCGAAGTCAAGACTCCAAGACCAAATATCAAATTTGCTGAATGGGACGGATTGTTGAGAGTTTGCTTTTTAAGAAAAAACAAGACCATAGCAGCGGGCTTCAAGACCTCTACAGTATTGGAATTATTAGAAAAGAATTATAAAGCTTACGTTAGTTCAAAGGGCGGGGATGTCGAAATGGATCAAGACTACAAGACCATCGTAAAGGAAAAGATCACTAAAGTACTACAAGAAACTGGATTGGCAGAACAAAGATCTAGTAAGTGTGATCAATTAGAGTTTTTGAAGTTGTTGTTTGGGTTCCACCAGGAAGGTTTATATTTTTCTCTTGATTAATTTGCTTAATTTCGCTACATTTTTTTTTCTTTAATAAGATTTAACATCAGTAAACTTTTCGATTTTCTATAAATTAAGAATGTAATCATTATGCTCAACGTCTCTTGGTTTTTTGTGTAGCATCCTTTTCAATAACTTCACCAACATTACCCATTTCTTCCATACGCTCTTCAGATATTCTTACTTGTTCTCTACGTTCCCACCATCTATCTTCACATAAATCGAATGCAGCTTTTTTCAAATACTTTCCTCTAGCGTCTCTATTACTAGAAATAGACCATTCAAGGAATTGCGCACCCGTTCTCAAGTAAAAGTTTCTTAAAGTTTCAAATGGTTTTGGATGTGGTAACCAAGGTCTCTCATCAGGCACCTCCATCTCATTCTCCTCCTCCACTTCTTCTTCTTCTTCTTCTTCTTCTTCAGCAACCAAAACCCTATCCTTAATTTCATCATCGTCATCATCTTCATCATCTTCGAAATCGTCGTCATCTTCATCTTCATCTTCATCTTCTTGTTGGGCCTTTTCAACTTCACTTAAATCTTCCCAGTATATTTTAACCCCGTCCAATTTAGCCAAATCAATACTATACATACTATCAATATTGATATCCTTTTCACCATATTCCCACATACCACCATAAATGAAATATGTATCATCAATGACACATGTGGTAGCATTAAATCTTGGATGCGGTAACTGGTAACTGACTGGATATTCCTTAGCGGCCAACTCCTCTTCTTCTTTTTCTTCTTCCAACTTGAGCTGTTCCAAGTGTTTTCTAACTTCCTCATTCTCTTCATCATTTTCATCATCGTTCAACTGGTTCTTTTTCAAAATAGAGTTCAAGAATTCTTCCAATTCTTGTTCTCTATTGTCTCTTGTGTTGGTCTTGAGCTTCTCCTTCTTCTTTTTCTGTGGTCTAATGCTCAAGTTAAACCACTTATTGTTCTCACCTTGATAAACAAAAAGATTATTATAGAAAACTGAACTAAGACTCTCTTCTGTTTCTTCTGTATCATGAACCCCACCAAACAAAATGTATCTAAATTTCGAGCCGTGCTGCGTCAAACTACAACCGGCTCTTGGAGAAGGTGCAAACCCCTGCTTCTTACGTCTTTCCCACCTGACCTGTTTTAAGTCGGTCTTCATTTTCAATACCCATGAATCTGTCAAATGTTTACCCTTCTGTAAGCCCTTACCAGCCTTAACCTTAGTGTAACCACCCCAAACAACCGCACCACTATCAGTACCAGATGCATAAGAAACAAAAGAATGACCTGATCTTGAGTCAGGAATAGGATGATGAGGAGGAAATTCCACCTGTTGCCATTTGTAACTTGAAACATCAAACACCCACAAGTCATTAAGATAAGTTGTCGAAGTACCAAGATCACGGAACCCGCCAAATAAGAGGATAGAGCCTTTCCAAACACACATACGACAACCAGAACGAGCAGAAGGACCTTTTTTTGATTCTACTTTTGCCCATTTTTTTTCTTCCGGATCTAAAATCCAAGTATCACCATAATGGTAGAAAGTATTCTGTTTAGGGGACGAGAATTCCCCACCAAAGAGGACAACGATCCCACTTGGATGGGCACACATAGCATGAGAGGACCGTGGTAATGGAGAGTTCTTGGAAACAATTCTTCTCCAGATATCAGAGTCCACACTGTAGGTATACAAGTCATTGAAAAATACCGTTAATCCGTTATCGTTGACCGATTCACCTCCAAATAAGAATAATTCTCGTTTGCCATGAATAGGGTTAGCCACCATGGCAGGAATGTTTCTTCTGGTTGGCTTTTCACATTTTTCAATAGAAACCTCCTCAAATTGTTCCTGTTCTAATTGGAAATTCTTCAAAATTTCGTCAATGTCTTGATCATCTTCTTCCAAACCTTGCTTCTTGGCCATTTTTTTGTTCTTTCCTTCGGACTTCACCTTGGCCTTTTCATTCTTAGCCGCCATACGGGCTTTACGAGCATCTTTATCTTTCTTATCCTTCTTCTTTGCCATCTCCCTTATTCACAACATTTATTCTATAAAACTTGCAAACTGATTAAACAATGTTGGGAGAAAAATTCTTTTGAAATGCAAAAAAAAGGTTACGCAGCTCCGTGAGGAGGATCTGATATTTGGAAGTTATTTATTTATTTTGTTTATTGAATGTTTATTATGCGTTCTTCCATCGTTCAAAGTCAATAATAATGAGGGAATGGTCCATAGAGGAAGAAGTCGCGTTGTTTCGGGCGATATGCCACTTCAAGCCGTGTGGCAAGAATAAATATTTCCATATGATCTCGATTCTTAATGCTTTGGAAAACACATTACATGACGGCAAGTCATCTCCACAAATCACTGCCAGTGATGTACGAGAGAAGCTCGCAAAGTATTATGATTTAGAAAAACTAGATGAACTAGAAAATATCAGCGATGCCTCGGAGGAGAGTGACGAGGAGAAAGAACGTGTCAATCTGGTGTTGTATGCTAAGAACACCCCAATTATAGAACAGGACGGAGAAACTTATCAAGAGTTTGAACTACGACCTATTCAAGAATACCAGAAGGTTATTATCAACAATGCAATTGATTCTAATTGCTCTAGTCCTTCAAAAATGTCAGATATTGATGATTTGGATGAGATTGCAGGCCAATCAGAGGAAGAGAGTGAGGGTAAGACACAACAACTGGAAGCAGAAGATGGGACACCAGAAGCAGAAGGCGAAGACGAGGGCAAGGGAAAGGAAGAGGAGGAAGAGGAAGAGGAAGAGGAAGAAGAGGAGGAACCAAAGCCTAGAAAAAGAGGTAGAAGAAAGTCGACTATAGTACCAACCAGAGGAAGGAAGGCCCAAAAGACCGCCGGGACCACCAAAGTGACCACACGAAGAACCAGGTCGAGTGGCACAGCGGCTGACTTGGAGTCCCATGAAGTCCCAAAAAGGGGTGCAAAGAAAAAAGGTCCTGCTGCCACAACAAGATTGTCTACTAGTTCACGAAGAAGCTCTCGTCGACATGTATAAGATTATGGATTTTTGCGTTTCAAATTTTTGTGTATTGAGTATTTATGGAAATGTATCATAATAATTATTAGCATTGTATTACTACTTTTGTCTCTTACTCTAGAATTTGTAATAATGATTATTGTTTTTGTTTTTGTTGCTCCGTTTTGATTTCAATAGCTCTTTTGGTAAATGCTTTGATCATGATCTTGGTTATATTTTCTGCAAATAAGGCACTCACAGTGTTGTACAATGGGTTTGAGAACTTATAATTCAAATGTAGAATCATCTTTGTGGCACTTGGCCTCTTCGGATCCTCCTCTATATACCACTTCATTTTTAGGTGATCGAACAAGTTATCTGACAATGATTCCGCCTCTACCAATTTAGGTTCATCTTGGTTATTTTCGCATTTAATTCGACATACAAATTTTTCATTAAACTCCTTGAACCCAACTTTTAAACCTCCTTCGGCCGGGAGATCAGATTGGTCATAACGAGTAACGAATGATTCTGTGCAATAGGGAACAAACTTGTGATACTGATCCACCCCTGATACTACTTTAAAAAAAATATCAGAAGGCTGACTATTTTGTTTCAATTCGGTTAGTTTTAATTCAGATTATATAGAAGGGTATTGTATATTATCTCATCAATTAAAAACTTTGCTTACTTGATCTTTTTCCTGATGGTGTATTCCTGCGGTTGCAGTCCTCCAAAAAATGATCTCAGTTGGTTTAAACTGATGATTCTTTTGGGTAGAAGAGATGATGATCTCAATTGTCGAAGCAATATCATTTTCGCGAATATTTGATAACTGTGATTTTGATATTTCTTCAGTGAAACTTCTCCAACTTCTTTCTCATCTTCCAAATTTTTTCTCAAACAAAAAAAAAAAAAAAAAAAAATCAAGAAAAATAACGATTAAAGTGAGGCACCATAGCAATAATAAATCACGGAGAGACGCACCAAGAATAGGAAAAATGTCCTTGGAAATCAATTGGAACTTGCTATCTTCAGACGATAATTTGAAAGATGAACTCAGGAACTTTCTAGATCAACAATTGCAAAAGATAGAATTACCAGAGTTCCTTAAAGATGTTAGTGTCACGGAGTTCAACATTGGAAAGATCCCTCCACAAGTGACACTAAGGCACATAGGTGATCCTTTTGATGAATTTTATGAAGATAGTGATGAGGAAGATCAAAATATTTCGGGGGACTCCAAAGAGCAACAAACTCCTTCAATATCGCTGAAAGGAAACAGTGAGAGATCTGATTCTAAGGATTTACAAATGATTGCCGAAATCGATTATCGAGGTGATTTATACGTGGAAATCAGTACGAATTTGCTTTTGAACTATCCTTCAGAAAGTTTTATTGAGTTACCTATAAAGTTGAAAATCTCTGACCTTGTTATTCATTCATTGGTGATCCTCAGTTATGCAAAAAATTTGGTGAATTTCTCGTTTCTATGTGATATCACTGATGACAACTTAGATAGCTTTGTGAACCAAAAAGGATCAAGCTCTGCAAATACATATAATAACACTAATGCCACTGCGCCTAATACCCCGATATCACCTGGTTTTTCAAATAATGGCCGGCACAATAGCAACGCTGGACAACCATCCTTTTCTTCAAATGTTAATCCTTCAAGATATACAAACAAAGATAGGATCGATATTATAAAAGATTTGAAGATTGATTCTGAAATAGGAGGAGGAACCCTTGGTAACCAGTCTAATGGATCGGTGTTGATGAATGTTGGTAAAGTGGAAAAGTTCTTGGTGGAAAAATTCCGAAGCATATTGAGGGACGAATTGGCCTGGCCAGGTTGGATATCTTTTGATTTGTCCAACGACGATGATGATGATGATGAAAGTTATGAAGATGTGAGTTAAAAACGAGGCATAAGGGCATATGGAATGAAAATTCAGTGAAAGTCGACGGGAATCCCTTCTTGATATTGTATCGCATTGACGTGTTTTCTTATGTTTGTTTTATTTTCGTTGTCTTAAGGTATTTTTCAATCTTTTCTTTGTTTAATTCACTGATTAATGATTGACCTTCAAAATTCGTAAATGGTAATTAGAAGAGCCACTATCAATATGACAGCTATCAAGAAAATCATTTTCAGCACACACTTCCTGGATCAGCTTCAAAATGAATTGCCTGTTACTTTTTTTATTATTATTTTTGTTGCCAGTGGCAGTTTTTTTTTTTCGGTATAATATAGATGGGAGGGCAAAAATCTTCAAATGTTGTAGCTAGTATTTGTCAACATGCATTTGACCACAAAAACGGGGACTTTCGTCACATACTCACTCACATACTCACACAGACCATCGGAGGTAATAGCCACTACATATTATCAAAATGAGATCACCTACAATATAATATAATATAAGTGTGTGGATATATGTAACTTATGGCATCCCTCACATGACACTAACGCGTAACACGCGTAATTATATAAAACAAACAAATTGCCGTTTTGGGTTTTTCCTCCCTGAAATTTTCCGTTTTTTTTCGTCGCGTCAATTTTTTTCAATTTTCGTTGAGTTCCATCATCTTCAACAACAACTTTTAGATATCCTATCAAATAACATACCTAGTAATTACAGCCTATCATGTCGACTTTCAGCTCACAGCCTGATGTTCCTTCTGATAGATTCATATCGAGTAATCCTCCATCATCCCTGAGATTCCAAAGTAACAATATCCCCTCCAGTGATGCTGGTAGAGGCCCTTTAGATCCCAGTCAAACCACAAATGCACAAGATGATGATTCCAGACCAGTAGAATCGCTTAGAAGAAGAAACAACGAAATAATTGAAAGAGTTCTTGATGTCACTGGTGACAAAGTACGGGAAGCCTTTGAGCATTTTCTCCAAGAATTCACTGAAGAATTAAGTAGCCACCCAGCCCAGGATCAACAACAACAACTCTTCGAAGGCAGACCATATCTAGCCCAATTGGAAGCCATGAGAATATATGAACTAAACACAATCTATATCAACTATAAGCACCTACTAACCAGAGAAAATGGGGTTTTGGCTTCGGCAATCACTGAGCAATATTATAGATTCTTACCATTTTTGCAAAGCGGTTTGAAACGAGTCATCAAAAAGTATGTTCCAGATTTATTAAAAAGTGGGGCAATTAACAACCCTAATTCTAATACTCAAGCTGATACCCAAGCATCATCTAGCGGTGCAACCTCCACTTCGAGTGCTTTGGAAAGTAATGAAAGAATTTTCCAAATCAGTATCTTTAATCTACCAACGGTTTACAGAATTAGAGATATTAAGTCAGATAAAATTGGTTCGTTGATCTCAATTTCTGGTACGGTTACCAGATCATCGGAAGTTCGTCCCGAATTGTTCAAAGCCTGTTTCACTTGTGATTTGTGTCGAGCAGTTGTCGAAAACGTTGAACAAATTTTCAAGTACACTGAGCCAAGTGCGTGTACCAACCCAAATTGTGAAAACCAGTCATACTGGTCGTTAAACGTTCAAAAATCACACTTTGTTGATTGGCAAAAAATCAAAATTCAAGAAAATCCAAATGAAATCCCTACTGGTTCCATGCCAAGAACTTTGGACGTTATCTTAAGAAGTGAAATGGTTGAAAGAGCTAAACCAGGTGACAAGGTCAAGTTAACTGGTATGACTATTGTTGTTCCAGATGTGAGTCAGTTGGGTTTGCCAGGTATCAAGCCGATGTCTAAAAGAGAATCGGGTCTGGGAAACGATGCGTTGAATTCTAGTGTCACTGGTTTAAAAACTTTAGGTGCTAGAGACTTGACTTACAAAATTGCATTTTTGGGTAGCCATGTTACCTCTTTATCTCTGAGTAAAGTTAATGACGATGAGAATAACGAAATGAATTCACATGCAAATGGATCTAAGATTGACAATGAAAAACAAGAACAAGAAGATTACTTGAACAGTTTGACTCAAGATGAACTTAGGGAACTTCAAATCATGGTCCGTGATGATCATATTTATGATAATTTGGTCAAATCGATTGCCCCAGCAGTCTACGGTCACGAAACCGTTAAAAAAGGGGTGCTCTTACAATTGCTTGGTGGTGTGCATAAAACTACTGTCGAAGGTATCAATTTGAGAGGGGATATCAATGTTTGTGTTGTTGGTGATCCATCTACATCTAAGTCTCAGTTTTTAAAATATGTTTCATCGTTTGCTCCAAGAGCCATTTACACTTCGGGGAAGGCATCTTCCGCAGCAGGTTTAACTGCTGCAGTTATTAAGGATGAAGAAACTGGGGAATTTTCCATTGAAGCTGGTGCATTGATGTTGGCGGATAACGGTATTTGTTGTATCGATGAATTTGATAAGATGGATGTTGGTGATCAAGTTGCAATTCACGAAGCAATGGAACAACAAACCATTTCCATTGCAAAAGCGGGTATCCAAGCCACTCTTAATGCCAGAACTTCGATTTTAGCTGCTGCTAATCCAATTGGCGGTAGATATAACCGTAAACAGTCTCTTCGTGCCAATTTGAGTTTGTCAGCGCCAATCATGTCAAGATTCGATTTATTCTTTGTGGTTTTGGACGATTGTAATGAAAAAATTGACACTCAGCTATCAAGCTTCATTATTGACTTACATAAAGGTGGTGACTCTTTCATTGACTCACCTTACTCCGCGACTCAAGTGGCCCGTTATATCAAATATGCTAAAACCTTCAAGCCTAAGATGACCAAGAAGGCTAGACACTGTTTGGTGAATTATTACAAAGATTTAAGAGCTGGCGATGCCCAAGGGTTTGGAAGATCAAGTTATCGGATCACGGTTCGTCAATTGGAATCAATGATTCGTTTGTCCGAAGCCATTGCTAAGGCTAACACATCCAACGTTATTGATGAGGCTGTGGTTACCGAAGCTTATGAATTGTTGAAAGATTCCATCATTAAGGTTGATAAAGACGATGTGGAAATTGAAGAAGATTATGAAAATGGTGGAGATGAACCAATAAACCAAGTGCCTGAATCAGAAGACCAAGATCAAGAAATGACCTCCAACAACCAACCAACTCAACAACCTGAAGTTCCTGAACACAAGCAATCTATTTCTTATGATAAATATGTGAAGATGATGAATATGATTGTAAAGAAGGTTAATGATTCGGAAAAATCTGTTGTTTCATCAACTTCCGAGGAATCAACGCCATCTATAGGCACTGGTGGTCTTACAGCCAATCAAATCATTGAATGGTATTTAAGTGAAATTGAAGATGACCTTGAAAGTGAAAAACAATACTTGCTTGAAGAAAAATTATGCAAGAAGGTTTTGAAGCGGTTGGTTAAGGATAGAATTCTTATGGAAGTCAGAAATACCAGTTCTGACGGATTCCTGGCTGAAAATGATTCAACTGTAGCTTCTGATGCTAGCAGAGCAGTTTACATTCTCCATCCAAATTGTGCCATTGCTGATTTTTTCAGTGAGGATTGATCGGTATTGGTTGTTGGTATTTTTTTATTTTTTTTTTTGAGTTTTTCTTTTTCATATTCTTCATTTCATTTCATTTTTCTCATTAGAGTTTTCTTGTTTTTCTACTGTTTATTGTTACTTTCCTAAGTATTGGGTTTCGATATAGTTATTAGATGTTTTTTTTTTCTTTATCTTTAAAAGATCCCTTAGGTGCTTGAGCTGTACGCTTTTGTGTCACTTGTAACTTTTCAGCATGCATGATCATCTTGACTCCAACAGACGTCAATAGTGGTTGGTCAAAATCTCAGTTTTATCTTGATTGTGGCTTGTTTTTATTTTTATTTTTTCTGTATTGTTTTCTGCTTTAACCTTTCACATATATTATTTGGTACCCGATTAACACAAAAAATAAGAAGAATTACTGACGGTAATTTTTTTTTGTTTTTTTTTTCTTCATTAAAACAATACTGAAGCTATGGAGCTTTCTGATTTGCCAATTGAACAGTATCCCTTACGAAGTTCCTCATTCATAGGCAGTATCCATGAGGCAGCAGAATTGGCGCTTGCTCCAGGCTGTTTAAACTGTGGGTGTGTAGCTACCAAAGCTGTTTTGCCATTGTTGAATAAGCACAATGATCATATCACCACTCTTTGCAACAAGTACCATAAAATGAAAACAGAAACTACTACAATGGCAAATGTATCAGGGGAAAGTTTAAATATGACTGAAGTAGTAGATCCTTTGGAACTCAGTAAGGCTAAACAGGAGTTGGAAGAGTTCGTTGATAATGAGGGAAGAGGCATTTCTTTCCCAAACATAGGAATGATCACCGCGTGTTCCTGTCCACAATCTACTGGTGGTGGAGGAATGGCTTTCTGTTTTGGGTTGGTGTTCAAAACTCGCGACGGGGAGATCCAAAAGCACTATATTACTCCACAGGTTATTCAACCATTAATTGTGGGTAAGGATATTGTGTGTTTTTTCTCATTTTTGGATCAAAGCAATTATACAAAGGAAAGGATTTTCAAGGCATTGGGCATTAAAGATGGTGCTTTAAACCCAAGTGGTCATCGAAACAATTTGTTTGAGGCAAAGTATTCGGTGTACGAGACTTTGGTTGACGATGGCAACATAGAAATCAGAACCCCCTTGTCCAGGATCACGAAATTGAAATTCGCTGATGATGACCCGGTATGATTGAGGCTGCATTAAGAGTTCTACTGACCAGCTTGTAATTTATTTTTTGTAATGTTTCTATTTTTCCTGTTTTTTAATTATCAAGTGATAAATAGTAGATAGGTTTTCAGCCATTATATAGAACCATCGATTGTTGCGAATTTGTCCAAAAAATACAAATATATATTGAATATTTATTCTTCAGCTTTGTTTTCCATTTTCAAATTGATAATCTCGAGGCAATCTTTTTCGGTTAAGTGAATAAGGAATTCCTCTAGTTGAGGATTTACATTTTGATCTTGACGTTGGTATTGCTCGTACGCGAGCTTTTTGGACGTGTTTCACAACTGATACTGATCGCTACATGCCACCTTACATATACTAAGAGAGAACAAATGATCAAGAAAATCAAGCACCTACATTTTCTTATCTTTCAGAATCCCCTCCCTCCAAGATCATGTTGCAAAACCCCACTTGTTGATAGTAATTGAGTGCTATGCTGGTTACGCGCACCGCCCAGGTAGCGGAGAATGATTTTTTTCACCTTCAAACTTTTGGCCCATCTATGTATACCCATCACTGGATATTTAAGTCATACTAATATTTCCCATCTGGACCCAATTTTATTTATACCCATATAATGTCATCTGGATCAAATTCTAATTCTGGAAAGGAGAGGTTTCAGGATTCCGAGCCTTCTGTACAATACAACAAAGATACCGTCAACTTTACCGACAATGCAAGCTCACCGGCAGAATTCAAGTACTATCCTGACTCTCCCAACTCTGTGCTCAATAAGGTTCGATTCGATCTGAAGCAGGCATCGAAGTTTTATGATCCGTGTGCCGAGAGCTCGAAGATGAGTATCAGGTGTTTGGAGGTGAACGGGAGAGAAAATAAAGCTATCTGCAATGAGTACTTCCAGGCTTATAGAGATTGTAAAAAAGAGTGGCTAGAGCAAAGAAAGAGAGACCGGTTGAAGGGCGGTTGGTAAGGTGACATGATGGTAGTTCTTCAGAAGGTATTGGGAACAATTTGCTTTATGTAAATAGAAAATGAAAGAAATGGATTGTTATTATGTATTTTTAGAGGGGAGAAGTTTCATTTAATAGTGATATTGAATTTTTTTTTCGCTGGTATATCTTTATTGTCCTGTAGGAATATGGAATCAACATTGATGTTAAAAGACTCTCACAAAAAAAATGAGCTGATATCTACATAAAAAAAAAAACGATACATGCGATAAGAATACAATCGAGGCTAGACAACATTTGAAATTTGGTTGAAAGGGAAAAACAGCAATCATTCTATTAAGATAACTCTAATAGACAAACATAAACAAGAATTGAAACAAAAGAAAGCCATATCAAGACTTCAAATCATTGCTCTCAGGCAAAAATTTATATAGGAATACTATAAATAAAGTCCTCTGTGAAGCAAAAAGAAAATTTTACAACTAAAATGCACCAAAAGAATATTTGGGAACTGAAAGCTTTTAAGTGGTCCTGATATCTGTAACTTTCAAAGGTAGATTACGCTTGACCGAAACATGACCGCCATTATTTTTGCTGCACATATCGTAAAGACCCTCTTCGGTATGGGGATGGAATCCTCTCTTAGCACAGTTAGTGATCAAATTCACCCCGAATGGGTCACTAAGCCTGAATATGCCAAAGTTAGGGTTGGAATTTGGAGCCACTACGATAGCAATGGATTCTGGTAACATGAGTTGGTACCCATTTTGAGTATGAAGATCAACGGAACTCAAGAAACATGCTTGGGTTGGGTGAGTATGAATCCAGCCCAAAATGAATAAATCATTGGCATCAACGTAGCTAAGAAGCTGCTCTTCATTGCTGGTGGAACATGTGTTGCTGGTACCATTTTGATCAGGGATGACAAGATCAGTGACGTAAAATGCATTATGAACAAGTTTTCCACAAAGGATACCGCAAGTTTCTATATCTTTGGCAGTTTGTGCTGCTGAAATCGCAGTGAACTTCGATTGGATTTCCACGGGAATGAATACGGTTTTTAAAGGAATACCACCCTCAGTAAATGCCTCGACTTGATGATCTACAACATCAACATCATTAGCAGATTCCTGATCGTTAATACTTATCTTCGAGTTGTTGGCAGATTTGATTTCTTCTGCAGATTTGACTTTTGGAGGACGCTGCGGCGAAGATATAGTTATTGGTGAGTTGGTGAAGTTTATGGCATCCTCTCCATCTGGTAGAGGGTGTGGGGTAGATTGTTCTTCCGGCGACTGTTGGAAAGGTTTGTACATTTTGATGAGCGACGGTTCGTTGGCGATGGTAGGATAATCCGGTACCAAGATACTTTCTTCATCGACGTCATGATCTTCATCACCGTTATCAAACTCAAAATCTTCATCAAGATTATTGACGGCGTTTGTAGCACGCTCGATCGTTGAACCGTTCGATACATTTTCCTGTGAATAGGACTGTTGCACTTGGTGTTGATGCGCGAGTTGGTTATTCTGAACATCATCATTGACAATGCTGCCTTCTTTTATTTCTTTGATTTGAGGAGTGGTATCAACAGGAGTTTTTGCAAATGCAAACTGTGGGGGAGGCTGATCAAAATTAAGCGATGGGTATCTGACGATTGGTTGTGACCGCTGATCGCTGGTGGTCGTTGTAAGATCGGAGAAATTTCGTCTTAGCTGGAAACTCTCTTGGCCGAATTGACTGGCATCAAATTCCTCCTCTTCGTCATAAGTCTCCTTTGAATTTCCTTCTTCTTGAAAATTTTGTTGGGGGCGCTCTTCCTCCTCCTCCTCTTCCTCCCCTTCCTCTTGGACGCTGCTGTGCAATTGACTCCGTTGTTTTGCCAATTGTCGTTGCTCAAGGATCTTCTTCTTGCGCAATTTGCGAGCCAAATTGAATTCTTCTATTTCCGATTCTATTAGAGGTTTGAGGGCTTGGCAACGTTGGTGGACTTTGGTGTACTTGTCACGCAAAATTTGATAAGAGGAACGATCAACGAACTCAGGGTGCGACGGGATCTTCACCAATATCATGTCAAGAAAACGGTGGTAAAAGAGATACGCCTCAGGGTAGTTATGATTAGCTTCTTCCTCCGCTCGGGCCTATTAAGGTTAAGGTGAGTTAGATATTAATGTTCATGTACAATATGTGTCAATAGCTAATGATACATACTTTTTTGTAGGTATTGTGGGCCATCTTTAGCCATGCAGTATAAGGGATCCTGTCATCGTAAGGGTACAGTGTGGCAAGGTGCTCGAGTTGCGAGGGCTCCTTGGGAGGTCTGTAGTCAGGGTTGGCCATGATTAATTGCACAGTATCTGGGAAGATATTGGCATAAGGCTAGATGGAGATCTCATCCACAGCCTGAAAAAGCCGTTTTGGGTGGTGTTTTCCCTTGATCAATTATCACGTGGTGATATATCCCGTCTAGGTAAACTGTAAACAACGCGTACTCACCGTGTTTTTGAAGCCCCCGACACCGGGTAATGCAGTCCCCCCCAATAAAAAAAACCCTCGTGGATGGCACAGGCACCTGCGCACAGACACAGAAGGGAATTCTTGTTGTGTGGCTGGCTGGCCGGGGTGTCTCAGATCGTTTTTTTTTTTTTTTTTCCCACTGACGGTGTTTACTTACACGGGAGTCAGCGGGAATATATTATTGTCACGATCGCCACTTCTTTATTGTTAGTTCTGCTACCACCAACCCTTACCAGATCAACTGTTACCCATCATCTAATGAACACCATCTCTGAGGTCTCTCATGAGAATGCCTCCGTGTTCTCCCACCAGAACAACAAGGCATTTGCGTCAAAGTCTAAACCTAGGGTCATCCCCGACTCAGCGTCGATACATTCAAACGTTCTTCATCTCGCCCCTTCAAAGTCAAGAGCTTCGACCATAAAACGCCAGATCACCACAAAAACCGCCGATGGAGCATTCAGACTAAATGGCTCATCACCAAGTAACTATACCGCCAGTCCCCAAGTGAAAAAAAATCTATCTGTCAAATCAAATGTATCTAGACCCCGCTCTCCTGCGTTGACCATTGAAAACGATAAGGACGATGCGTACTACAACGATATCAATGACGATATTCTCAAGGCCAATGCCAGAGCCGACGTCAAATCCATCAAATCTTACACCCCTACTGAAGACCTTAGGTCCATCAGATCTTACAGAGCCGTCGAGTCGGACCCTCTTACAGGGAAACCCCTTTTCGTCTATAAAGAAAAATCACCAGATCATGCTGCTAAAAAACACCAAAAACAAGTGGCCAGAGAAAAGTTTCTTAAAGATCTGTCCGACGAAAAAAGAAAAGAATTTCTCAATAAGAAATTCTCTGACAAGCTCAACCGCCTTCAAAAGCAAAATGTCGAGGACGAAGTCAAAAGTATCATCAGCGAATTATCAGACAAAGGGAAATCTATAGAAGATATCATTGATGACATCCGCAAAACCAGCGGCGACCGTAACAATTCATTCAAGCATTTGCGTGATAACAACCTTATTCCTCCCCCAGATGAGCTTTCCGATACCGAATCAAAACACTCCAACTTTATACCTGGTTATTATTCATCTCCACAAAATCATTCATCCCGAAAACACCATCGTACCAAATCATCAGCTTCAATGAATTCCCAAGGGTTTAATTTTACTCCACAGTTCCCATTAAACGATGCCTTCAACCCACAATACGCTGCTGCTGCTGCTGCCGCGGCGGCAGCCGCCGCTGCCACCGGAAGCGCTCCTTCCACAGTCCCTGGAACCCCAAACCCAAACTTCGCTTCCGGTGCTTTCCAGGGAGGGATGTTTCCTCCTCCTCCAGCTGGGTTTTCTCCTCAGCAACAGCAAATATGGTATCAAAATTTCATCGCTTATGCTCAAATGGCTCAAGCCCAATATGCCGCCCAACTTCAAACACAATTACATGAGCAAGAACAAGCTCGTCAGCGTGAATTTGATGAGAAAGAAAAAGCAGTAATGGCTGCTCTTGTCACCGCCAAAGTTCAACAACGTCTCCAAAACAAATTTGAAAAAGAATTGAAACTTTTGTCTGATTTGCGAAAACAAGCAGAAGAGGAGAGATTACAACGTTATGGTAATAACTATTGGGGTTGGCCATATTTTAAAAACCAAGAGCCTAAAAAGGACGATGCTAAGAAGGAAGCTCCAAAACCAAAATCTATTGCCCCAGCAGCGGAGAAAAAAGAAGAGAAGCCAAAGACTAAAGACCCAGTCAAAGTGTACGACTATGCTGATACTTCATCAATTCCATTTGTTTTCCCATTCGAAACTCTGCAAACTTGGGCCTCGTTTCTTGATGCTCTTAAAGAAGCTTTTCCTCAATATCGTATACAAATTGCTAATTCTAACCTTCGTCTTTATAATAAGACTTCCAATGTCAAGATTCTTCCATCTCACTGGGAAAAATCGGTTGAACCAGGCCTTTCAGTATCCGTGGAGTTCCCTCAACCAAAAAAACAACAGCAGCAACATAAGCAAATTAGTTTCATGTTACCTGATGATGCTCTGATGCACTCTCGTAAAGGTGGATTCCTTCGTTTTGGTGCAGCAGATGGAGCTGGAGGTCAACGTGGTATGAAGGCCCATGATCCACTCTACGGAACTTTTGACGAAGATGAGGGTCATGGTAAACCAAACAATCGTAATGTGGGTGGTCCTCGTCGTCCTGCCGGTGGTTTTTTCAGATGGATGACCGAGGCAGACCGTGCTGATCGTCATAATACCAGGAGATCTATTAGTGGTGGCGGTGAAATGATGCCTGATCCATCAATGATGAGCCGCAGTAACAGTGCCCATAAGACCACTGGTGGTGGTGACAATATTGATAAAGAGGTTAGTGCTTTAAATGATCCAGATTTGTGAAACGATGTCTGTCAATTCCGATCACTCTTTTATTATATTCAGCCTTTTTGTTTCTTGGCTAAGTTGCATGTTGTTTGAGATCACCCCCTCGCATACTATAATTATCATTATCACATTTTCGTTGTTTGTTGATATATCTTTTTAATTCCTAGCTTCTGTTACCTGCTTTATTCTTTTTACTGCTTACTTTACTATTATATCATAGATCATATCATATAGCATTTTACTAGTAATTATTTCTTTTTTTTTCATAAAGAGTTGTGTTTTTTTTTTCCCCTGAATTTTTGCTCTTGTAAATAAATAAAAAATATTCAGTTAATGAAAAACACTAATTTTAGAGGTTGGTTGTTGTTGAAATTTTGAGCGTTCTTTGTGTTAATTTTGAGTTTGTGTACATGCAGTTATGTAAACTCGAATACAAAAACTGTTATTTTGTGGCTTAGGTTACGAAAACACCATTACTGATCGATCATCCATCACACATGATTATTCGGACTAATAATTCTTTCACCAAGTGATGCCTTTCAAAGCTGCCAGTATTCATTATGTAATAAATAATTCATGCTAGTGTCCATAAATCTGCCAGGCCAAGCTTACGTAGATAATTTTGACATCTGTAAACGCAGGTACTCTTTTTGCTTTCTGGGCTATGAGAAAGCCGATCTGTTTAAGAATATAGTTATCTTAGATGCATATAGTTAGAATGTAGAAGAGAACAATACAAAATAACTTTCAACCCAAATAACAGCTATCTTAACGTAATGTCTGCTAATTCCTCCACTAACCCTTTTCCGCCAGTTTTCCATTTAATTCTTGCTGATTTACGTGAATTTAAGTTCTTCTGTAAGCTTACTTCATGTTCAGGATGTTCCATATTATATAATAGTCACTTTCTACTAGAAGGCTTGGTTTAATAGCAACACATTGAGATTGAAGCTCACATTCTACAAATAAATTGTTTAGAATAATAATAATAGATTAGAGCATATAATACAAATAATATACATAATAAAGAACTAATAGAGATGAGAAAAAAAAAAAAAAGCCAAAGTGGGAAAATGTGTATATATCAAAAAGAAGAAAACAAAAAATCAAAAACAAAAAACAAAAAAGAGCAGATAAAAAAGGTAAAGCAAGTGGTATCAACTCAATAAATTACCATGACTGGTTTGATGTGACTTTAGCATTTTTTTATAGATGTATTTTTTTTTTTTTAAATGATAATCTTCAAAGCAAAGAGGAAGTAATGGCAACCAAGAAAGCACCAAACAATACCGAGAAGTAATCAACCTTTAAACTGGTACCGAAACTTGAAGCCTTTTCATAGGTACCATTAGCATAATAGTGTTTATTCAAGTCTTTCTTCAAAATATTCTTGACAGCAGTAATATAACTTTTACCATCAATGGCGGTGTTGTTTTCAGCGGTGGAGGCGTCCCAAATCATGATCCCACCGAAAGTGGCATTGGTGGAAGCCAATTCGACCTTTTCTTTCAACAACAGGGTATCGCTAAAGTAACCAGAGTTGGCAGAGGCAGAAGACCCTGGAATCCCCATGTATAATTTGATGTCCTTATTTTGAGAGACGTCTTGTGCGTATTGGGCCCAGGTGTTCCAGTTGAAGTAGTCAGTGTTGGCATCACAATTCAATGGATTGTTGTAGAATTGAATAAAAGCAAAGTCGATAAAAGTGTTATTGAGGGTGGCACCCAAAGCAGCTTCAGGGTATGGGCATTGTGGGGCGGCAGACAAGTAATAGGTCTTACTGGCGTCATTGAATTTGCTTCTCAAGCTATCCCCGAGCGCTTGGAACCCAACACTGGAATTGGTTTCGATATCTAAATCAAAACCATCGACCTTGACTTCCCCAAATGGACGAACTTGTTCGGTGGAGTTGGCATCGCCAAACATTTGCCACAAGGTTTCTGCAAAATCTTCTGCTTGAGTGTCATTGTCAAAACCATAAGAGGAACCTTCACCACCGAGGGATAACATGATGATCTTACCATTATCTTGACAAGTTTGGATTTGGGAAGCAATAACGGTGAGTTGATCTTGATATTGCTCACTATATTCATACTCATCCAACACTAAGGTTGGAATGCCACTGGTACCTGGGAAAACACTCAAGAATGACAACAACACAATATCAACAGTATCTTGCAAACAATATTCTGTCAAGTTTTTTTCCGAAGCCTGGCCATTGGAGACAGTCGAAATGGTGTTTTGTCCCCAGTAAACTGCGACGTTTTCTCTTGATTCATAATTGAACGAAGCTCTGGTGACGCTCCCCATTATAGAGGCAAGAAGAATGACGGTGTTCCAAATCATTATGTGATATTGTCGGTATTAATAGATAAAAAAATAATGAATTATAAGTAAAACGAGAGACGATTCTAATGTGGCTTGCTGATTAATATATATATTTATATATATTTGTGTTGAAAGCAACTGATGGACAATGTTTTTAAAGAATGAGGAAGGAAAGGTACCACAGAGGACTTGACAGGCTATTTATATGTCGGATACAATACGCATAGCATGTTCCATATGTTACACCAGCCTCTTTCCTCGAATGAAAAGCCTTGCTCATATTTCATAATTACCAGAATATAGGTTAATTCCATAAATTGAGAAGAAATGCACAGTCTAACTAGTGGGGGCCGCGGGAATGCCATCAAATGCAGTGCGAGGAAAATGTCGCACTTTAATGCCTTTTTCTTCCTCTATTTTTATCAAACACCATTCTTGCATAATGTAAAGTGAATTTGACGAGCATTTAATGGTGCAAAGGGTTATTGGTTGTATACAATGTATATGCCGTGTAACACAGCACATCCACATCGAACAACTGTCGTTTCTTCAGCACTTACTTACTACACCATTTGTAACGCGAAAGTCTATAAATAAAGCATTGAGTTGTCGTATATGTCGCTTCGAATCAAAATTTGTTTCAGCCATTTAGTAAGTGCGTATCAGAGAGTCCCCGTTACACTGACTAAAACAGCCGAGAAAGTAACTAATAAATTAAAAATAAATAGATTAAGAAAAAAAAAAAAAAAAAGAAAAGAAAAGCCCACAACTTTCCTGAAACAAGACAAAGCTCAAACAATAAGCTTGTCCAAAGTCTCTTTCAATTTGTCTTGAGATCTCAACACCTTCAAGTCTTGTTCAGTACCCCAGTATTGACCATTGACAAAGATAGATGGCACCCATTTTCTACCGGCTAATTCGGTAAAAGCCTGTTCGATTCTGTAAGCTTCGGCTTGGTCTGGCAACTTATCGAGTTCGTAGGCATAGAAGTACCCATCGTACTTCTTGTGTTCCTTCAAGGTGTTAATGGCGTACTTGACATCCGGGCACCATGATTTGGCCAAGAGAAAGTATGGATGCTTGGCCAAAAGATCCTTTGCAACCTTCAAATATTTAGCTTCAACCATTGTTGTTGTTGTCTATAAGAGTTAGAGGCGGAGTTGTAATTTCCTTAGGGTGTGTTTACCAGAATCAAGGAGGAAGATAGGGATTGCCATCCTAATCTACGGAACCCCAATCAGCCAAAAAAAGAAAAAAATCGAAATGTCACGTGCAATCATGACTCGGATAAATCATCACTAACTTCGGGGGATGCCGGAATAATGCAACTACATACTTCGATAATCGTCTTACCAATAGTGCAGCATCCATAATTCGTCTTATTATAGCGAAATAATACTTACTCTAGATGAGCCAACTCAGCAAGATCAATGTACCTAATCTCGGCATGCTCTTCGGCCCATTTGACCCATTTCGACAAGAACTGGTTTCTGTTTTCGCCAATAGTTTCCATATCACCAACCACACAAAGCTGTCTTTTGGGTCTGGTGATTGCAACGTTTAATCTTCGCTCATCTTTAAGAAACCCGATTTTCTTATCAAAGTTGCTCCGGACCAACGATAATAAAATCACTTCCTTTTCGCGGCCTTGGAATCCATCGACGGTGGAAATTTCAATCTTTGGATATTTCTTATGAATTTTTTGTTTCAACAATGAAACTTGCGAGCTATAAGGGGAAATCACCCCGATTGACTCTTGAGCTACCTCTGCATTTACCAAATCCTCAACGTGCTTTAAAACCACAAGCGCCTCGTTCTCATTGTATTTTGACGAAGTCGATAATGCGCTATTATCTCCAGAAGAGTCCTCAAGCTCTGGAAAGTCTCCTCCTTGGGTGTCGTACCAAATTACCGGGACACATGTATCGTCAGTGTCGTCGACCGCTGGCATATCCTGCAACAACCTATCCTTCACCGAAGCATCAGCGACTAATTTCCCTTGGTATAATTGACGAGAACTGAACTCCATGATGGTTTCATTCATCCGATATTGAATATTCAACAACTGTTTCAATTGGTCGTCTGGGTGTAGTTTAATTAATCGATCAAATAATGTAGTTTCCAATTTCTTCTTTGATACTTGGATTTTTAGATTCTTGGGATTCTTTTGGTCAGCCGACAAAATATTATGGCCATCTAACTTTACCGTTGGCGGAAGTTGTTTATTATCGCCCGCCAATACTAATTTCTTGATACCTGGGTGCGATATTATCGGTATCCAACACTGAGGTTCTAAAGATTGAGAAACTTCATCAATGATCAATACATCAAATAATGGCTTCCCAGTCTGCGTCATTGAAGTGAGATCTCTGCTACTAGCACCGTGTAATGTGGACACCACCACTTGGGCTCCCAAAATCAATTCCTCCACCACTTTTTTCTCGCGTACTCTCAAATCTTTCTTCAAAAATTTGATATCATTCCAAATCTCTTTACGTTGTCGGTAGCTTTTAGTTTTCTTTAATGTTTTCAAGTTATCAGAAATCTCCTGCTTGATATCGTTGGTGACCTCGGCATTGTCTCCAGATTTGGAAATATAATCTAGGGAATGTTTTTGTACCGTTGGCAACAATCTCGCGGGATGACCTATTCTTAAAAGTTTGGTATAAGGTACCACCTTATCTAGTCGTTCAATAATCGTATCCACTGACACATTGGACGGTCCACAAACAAGAATTCTATCACATTTTCCGCTTTCGAGCAATTGCTGGACCAACTCAATAATAGTGTAGGTCTTACCAGTACCCGGTGGTCCGTGTATGATTGACAATGAAGAATTGAGGGCAAAATTGATGGCACGTTGTTGTGATCCATTCAATTGTGGATTATGGAATTGCAACTTCAGAAAAGATTCTTCTAAGGTCGCGGGAGACGGGCTAATGAATTTGGATTGTCCTAATAGCAATTGAATCAATGGAGAAATATTTCCCGAGTCTAACTCCTTGAGTTTCCTCATTGTGGATTCCATCCGCTTGTAAGTTATCGAATTGGAAATCTTCACTAACCATACCCTCTCGTTCTCAAGTTTCAATAAATTGTCTTCGAACTTCTCATCTATCGCCAATTGAATGGTTTTCGTTGATACTTTAGTGATAACCCCTTCGATGGTGCATAAGTCTACCTGGTTTTTGTTTTTTTCCAGTAGTTTTACCTCGGATTTCGATCCTTTTGTAGATTTCTTATTATTGGCAGATAGTTTCTTCTTAGACGCCGTTGATGACGGGATTTTTTCCACCTTAATGATATCCCCCACTCTAATCTCTCCACTATCGATGTCCTCGGTCGAGTTCACAGCATTATCATTGGCCAATTCAACCACAGTTCTTCCTCCAAGACCAGTCCTGATATTGGAAATATTCAAGTTGAGGATCGCAAGGCCTTGTTGCGATAGTTTCTTGGTTGATAATTTCGCCAACAAATCATTGACTAATTCTACATCCGATTCTCTTTCCAAGGAAACCGCTTCTAGAAAAGCGTCTGATAACTTTTCTTTTTCATCTGACATAATTTTCTTCCAAGATACTGAGCGATGTGAAGAGTCGTAATGTTTTCATCTCTCCTCATATAATTTTTTTTCCTCTCTATCGTTTTACACAAAACCGGTCCGGCAGCAGGCGTTCCTCAACAAAGTCTTGGAAGGATAATGGAAATTACGAATAGAAGTAGTGTCGTATCACTCTAATAATACTAAGTATAATAATATAATGTAATGTTTGTTCTAGGCCTCAGTTACATCTGAAAAAAAAAATTCCAATAATCAGTCCCCAGTCCGTGGCACCGGACCTTAAAAGGCTTCTGTCTGCAACCGGTCAAACGGTGGGATTTTGACAGAGAAAAAAAAAAAATTACTAATATATAAAACATCGATCAGACCCACAAAACACCATTGATTTCATATCTAATAGTGATAAAAACAAAAAACAAAGAAGAAGGCAACTAGTACATTTGATAATAGTTTCCTGTGCTTCCTTCATCTATTTACAATAAGATAACTTAAATCATCGTCATGAGTTGCTGTTCAGATATAATTCTTGTGATCATCTCACTTTTCTTGCCACCGGTGCCAGTATTGATTAGAAGAGGCATCTGCTCGGCCGATTTCTTCATAAACATTGCGCTCTGCTGTCTTGGGTTCTTGCCTGGATTGATCCATTCGTGGTACATCATTGCTAATTATCCTGGCACTAGACTTTGGGATGCTGAAGCCGCAATTTATTACGTCCCCGTGGTCCAGCCGAGACCAACCAACAACAATTCCAAGGGGAAAAAGAAACATCATCCTGAGGGAACTTCGAATACCACCACTCCTTTGATTTCTAACCAAAGAGGAAACTATCATTCTGTTGATGATGGGGTTGGCACTTCTGCCCGCTTGACAAATTCTAATGGTGGACAAATTGCCACCGATGGTCCTCCACCACCTTATTCACAAGCCGCTGGTCAACAAAATTCAACCGACAATAAACAAGTATTGTGAATTTTATAATATTATTTCATCTTTGTGATTCAAAAGATTTTGGCTCTATGCTTGAATATTTTCTGTTTTGTTCCTCCCCCTTTTTTCTTTTTTTTTGTCTTATTTCTGCTGTTTGTTATCTTACACAAGATTTTCAGGGAGATTCAGTAGTTACACTTACATTTTGCGTTTATTTACTTATTATTTTGTTTTGGTATATTGCTTTCGGTTTTTGGATAGATGATTAGGTGTTTTGAATAATCAGATTTACGATTTGTAAGATAATAGTGATGATGTAAAATGGAATATGGATTAATTAATGTACACTTGAGACTAAAATGTCTATTGTCTATTAAACTCTTCCAACTATCAGTTGAAAGAAATGCAAATGAAAAGGAGAAAAAATAAATAAATAATAAAACTGTCTATTGTTTATCTGCAGTTGTAACAAAAGGAAGAAGATGAAAACCCAGTGGCTCTATAAACGTTGATTTTCTCTTGATTGAGTGAGCTCAAATACTTCAAGTCAATATTATTATTCCCGTTGACATGCAAATGTTGTAAATCTGTCAAGTCTCCCAAGCTTTCACAATGGGTGATTTTATTGTAATTCAAATTTAAAACTTTGAGACTGAGTAAATTTTCCAAGTTTTCAATCTTATCAATATAATTATTATTCAAGAAAACTGCCGTCAAAGAAGTTAAGGTTTCTAGGTTTTCTAGTTTTTCAATCGAGTTTTCGCTGAGGTACAAGTTTTTCAATTTCGTTAGATTTTCCAAATTTTCAATCTTTTGAATATTATTGCTATTCAAATATAAGTTTTCCAAATTGGTCAACTTCGACAAGTTTTCAATCTTAAAGATGTGATTATGATGGATTGATAAAGTTTTCAAAGAGTGTAAATTGAACATATTGGCAATTTTGGATATTTGATTATGAGATAAGTTGATGTGATTAAGGGTGGTTAAATCATTGAATGACTCAGGGATTTCCTCTATGGAGTTATGCGCCAATGCCAAAATTTTGAGGGATTGCACATTGCCAAGAGTTGAAAGATCCTCAATGTGGTTGTAACAGAGGTTCAAAGTAGATAATAAAGGCAACTGTAAACTGGCATGCAGAATAACATTATTATTCAAATATAAATCTGTTAATTTTGGTAGTTGCAAATTTTCAATATTTAGTACTTTGTTGTGACTGCAATCTAAAACTTCCAATTCTTTGCAATTCTCAATTTCTCTGGCAATCTTTGTAATCTTATTGTGGGAAACATTTAATTTGATTAAATTCCGTAAATGACCCAAATTAGAAATATCAGCAACACTATTTCTACCCAAGTTTAATTCTTGCAACATTGGTAAATTTGGAAATCCAGTTAAATCAGAAATCAAGTTCTCCGAAAGTGATAATTTTGCAAGTTTTTCATTTTCAAGGTTCTCAATCTTTGCCAAAACGTTATCGGTCAATTGTAATTCCACAAGATCCTTTAAATAGTGCAAGTTCTCAAGTTTAACGATTTTATTGGCTGCAATTTTGAAGGTTTTCAACAGAATCAAATTATTCAAGTTTTGCAATCTCATAATGTCATTATTGGATAAATCCAAGGTTTGCAAATTCCAACATTTATCCAAGTTCTCGATAAACGAGATTTTATTGTCATTAAGATAAAGCTCTCTTAAGTTTCTTAATTTGGAAATGTCATTCCCAATGTCTTTGATCTTATTGCATCCAAGATTTAATTGATTTAAATTCTGAAGGTGACTCAAGTTTTCAATAGTTTTAATCAGGTTGAAAAAAAGTTGAAGCACTTTCAAGTTTTTCAAATTGTCAAGATTCTCAATTTTTCCAATTTGGTTTTCCACTAACACAAGTTCTTCTAAGCTTTTCAATTTGTGAATATTTGTAAGCCTTGTCAACTTATTGTAGCTCAAATCCAATTTTTTGAGTTGGGGTAAATCTATTAGCTCATGAATTCTATAAATTGAATTTTTGGATAAATCCAAAGTTTGTAAATTTGGTAAGAATTTATGTGTAAGATTGAGAAATTGTTGGATTGAATTGTTTTGAAGATTCAAATATCTGAGGGAAGGGATGTTGAAGTGACTAGCATCAAAGTATTTCATTTCATAATCGACGGTTAATGAAGAAAGGCAATGAAAGTTATAATGCCCAAAGTCTATGAAATGGTTCTTCTTTTCGTGTAGTTTGATGGACAAACTGGTTAACCTTTGTTCATTCATAACTCGAAGTGATTGTTTATCTTCTGTAACCACTGATAAGTCAGCGATATTTAAATCCAATGGTTGAGATATCTGCAAATAAGGACACAATATTTGGAAAGATTTCAAAGCTTGATGGTGGTCCAAGTCGTTGATTATCAATGAATCCAAGTCCTTATTCAATGGGGTATTTTTGCAATCGATATGCGAGAGAGATGTAGAAGATTGGTGATTATTGAGATGTTGGCAGGTTATAGACACGCTTTTTATTAGCAGTTTATACTGAATGATGTTTGGTAGGGAGTCCAAGTAGCAGTAACAAGTGATGACGTTCGATGTTTGATTCTTGGTGAATTGGAATCCTTGGATATCGATCAAGTCGATGGAGTTGTCATTGGATTCGACAACGGCATTTAGGTCATCTTGGGGGTCACAATCTTTCTCGAAAGAGTTGATGAGGACGACGTTTTCAAAGAGCATTGAGTTTAAGATGTTTAACATGGTGAGTTTGTTGATGGATGATGATACCTGATATAACGCGCCAAGTTCTGTGATTGGGAGGTGGCTAAAGATTTTGAGGATGACCTCGTTAGGTAGCGATTGCATTGTGATAGTGTGAGTGAGTATGTATGTAATGTTTTGCAATGACGTCGATATATGAATAGATAGATGAAAAAGTAGAAAATAGAAAAGAGAGAGAGAGAAAGAGAGAAAGAGAAAGAAAGAAGGATCAACTGGTGGTTTTAAAAAGAAAAAATTGGAGTAAGCGCTGTCTCTTGTTTCTTTTTGGCCTTTTCTTTTTTTTTTTTCTCCGACTCCGATTACGTCATGGGCGATAGCGACGGATGGTTGTGATATCCCACGGAGTTTGCATGGTTATGGTTGTTATTATCGATGATATGTTTTTTTTACGATTATTACCAGTGATGCTCTCCGATTGTCATCACTGTTGTGTAGTATACTAAAAACGACGCCCATGAGAATCACAGATGGATGGGGCACCTTGTGGCAGGACCAACGCCTTTTGCAGATATTCCGTTACAAAAACTTTTTGGTACATGTCTGGCCTGTGTGTCCATGGACACGGTCTGCATTTACAAATTAGCGCTATCATCCTTTAGTAAATTAATACTGGCGTTTCCTTATAGCCGATGGTCCTCTGTTAGCCTACCACCACTACTGTGTCACCAACACCTCTGATATCATCCATCACTTCACAGCACCCTTTTTATTGATGAATACACGGAGTTACCCTCCCTAAAAAGCAACGTAGGGCCACTATTGTTGTGCTGCCGTTTGGCAATTTCTGGCCGGCAGGAGTGTGAGATATTATTATTATTACTAGTATTACAGCTATTTATTAATTCATTCATTTGTCTTTTACGACCAATGCTCTATTAAACCCTCTAGCTATTGCTATCATAGCACTGCTGCTTGACACATGCTACTCTAGCCGAGGTTTTTCCTGCCTATTGAAAAAAATTACGAGGAGAAAAAAAAAATCATGTCAAAAAAAAAATAAAAAAAAAAAAAATCCGCCAACATATACTGGAATCATTCGTGTACGTCCCGGAAAGTTACTATTACCAATTGCTTTTGGCATTGAACCTTCCAACTATTGACACAGCATGAAAATAACCTACTGATTGTGAAAATAAGGAAAAATAAAAAATAAAAAATAAAAAATACAAAAAAAAAAAAGGAAAAAGAGAGACGATGCTAATACTACCTTGCCAGTATTTCCGGCAACCTTCTCTTAAACTAGTCAGATCATTTACTAGCTATCATAGAGCCTATCAATCAGTGCATCCCATCACAGATGATTCGAAAGTAGCTGCTACTCCAATTCTAGAATATGAGAGATTGGTACGAATAGGAACACTTAGAAACGATGAGAATCAAAAGACCATCCTCAAAAGTTTATCCCATCTTCACGAGCATTTGCAAAGTTATACCCCTCCAAATGTTGATATGCCTCCAATAATCACCAATAATGCCTCCTCATTCAATTTCTCCAAGATGTTCAGCTTCGGAAAAAAAAGAAAATCAAAAGAAGCAATAGACTGCACAGAAGAAGATTTTCAAAAAATTCCACAAGGATTGTACCTTTGGGGTGATGTTGGATGTGGGAAAACGATGTTGATGGATTTGTTTTATTCAACCATTCCTCCTCATTTAACAAGGAAAAGAATCCATTTCCATCAATTCATGCAGAACTTGCACAAAAGATCCCACCAAATCATTTTGCAACATGGAAAGCAAGACATCGACCCAATTCCAATCCTTGCTGCAGAAATTGCGCAATCGGCTACAGTATTGTGTTTTGACGAGTTTCAAGTCACCGATGTCGCCGATGCCATGTTATTGCGCCGATTATTGATGGCAGTGCTTGCTCCTTCCCATGGTTTAATCTTATTTGCAACCTCCAACAGAGAACCCAATGATTTATACATCAATGGAATCCAACGAGAATCATTTATTCCGGCAATCAGATTGCTAGAGAAAAGAACTAATGTGATATACTTGAATTCTCCAATAGACTATAGAAGAATCCCAAAACCTATTTCGTCAGTTTACTATTGTCCTCAGCAAAATAATCCGTTCAATAAGGATTATTTTTCCCCAGAAATTGAACGAGAAAAAGCGTTTCATATCCATGAATGGTTTAAATATTTTTCGCAACAAATCCACAATACTGCCGATGGTACTGCCTCAGATGACGTTGTGACCAACGATAAAATCAAAGTTTGGGGTAGATATTTGGTTATTCCAAAATCAATTCCCGGGAAAATCGCCATGTTCACCTTTGAAGAACTTTGTGGCCGGCCTTTGGCTGCTGGTGATTATTTGGCGTTAGCTACCCACTACCCAGCATTTATTGTCACCGATATCCCATACTTATCAACCAACGTTCGTGATAAAGTTCGGAGATTTATTACCTTTTTGGATGCTGCCTACGATAATCATTGTCGATTGGCAACCACTGCGGCAAATTCATTCAATGGATTATTTGTTGATCAGAAATTGATCAATGTTAATAATCATTTCAATTTGGTTGATAATGCTCAATCACAAATCCAAGATTATAACAAAATCAAGGGAGGAAGTGCCATTAATAATTCATCTCTTAACAAGAAATCAACTGAAGAATTAGACAACTCAGACATTGACAAAAAGATACTCGATAAATCTAATGAAATGTTTTCACTAGACGAAGAAAAATTCGCCTTTGTCAGAGCATTATCTAGACTAACTCAAATGAGTACTACTGATTGGGTTAACTTTGAACGCTAACTTACATTGATTAAAATTTCATACGATCTGTACATAAGAATAGAATTAAAAGACGCTTCTAAATTTTTTTTTCTTTAGTATAAAACACAAAATATATTACAAAAGTTATATTACAAAAACGATAAACATTTTATCCGTATATAATGGCGCCAGATTATAATTCACTTCTTATGGAAACATATTTGGTTGAAGCTTCAATTGCTTGCTCAAGCTCTTTATTCTTCGAGGTCAAAGCTTCGCCAAGCTCAACAGCAAATCCCACAGCAGTATTTACCACATCACAAACAATGAAGAAGCCACAGATGAAACTTCCAATATCATAAACCACTGATAATGCTGATTTCTCCTGAATACCTGTTGCTGACAAATTAGTAATCGAAGATATGTTTGAGCTGTTGTTGGTAGTCGCATTAGTATCGACCATGTTTGAAGATACCACAGCATCACTAGAAATATTGTACCCCGCCAGTTGTTGGTTGCTGGCAGAAATTGCGTTATTAATTTCTTCATAGAATTCATTCCCAAAAATATTTTCAGAACTATTAAGATATTTATTTGTAACTGCAAATACTGAATTGAGATAAATAAATTGCCCTAGTACTAGGAGTGCTATGTTGAACTGCATTTTTTTTTTTTTTCTAATATTATTATTAACCCCAGAAATAGAAAGGAAAGTATCTGTCAAAATCGAATAAGCAAGAAGATAGTAGGTATAATTTAATGAATTTCATATAATATTATACTTGAAGCATTGCTGTCTGGCATCAATCGGCTATATTTTTTCGACATGCAGAAAGGGAATGTGGTCCACATACCCACCAAAAAGTACTCTTGGTAGAAAGGCAACCAAAAAGGAAATTTATGGCGCAGAGCATGCATATCGGTTTCTAAGTTTGAATAGCCATGGAATGGTTTATATTATGCAATATATATAAATATATCTATGACTATATATGCTATCTGGAAAGACAAAGTGTGGATTTTTCAGGGTTCATTTTTTTTTCCTTCATCGCAGCCTTGGAACAATATGAAAAGTCTTGATAGCTTTCTAATAATATCATCACTAATATTCATCAACCTACTACAAATAGGCCAATGCTACCCTATTGGTCTTTCATTATTAGAAAGAGGACAACAAGAAAACAATTACTATGCCCCGGTAACGTCAGGGCAGGTCACAATTTCAGTAGCAACAACTTCTATAAATCCCACACTTTTAGCCACTAATACATTCACAAGCGTACCATATACATCTAACTACACCAATGGTACCACTGATGGCTCAGATGGCATTCAAAATAAAGGGTTTTTCAGCGTCATTGGGAAATTTTTCAAATCGTTATTTCATATTGGGGAGTCAGCAACCACAAAAGCTCTAAAGAAAGCATTACCAATCTTGGAAAAAGCCAAAGCCGCCAAAGCTTTGCTCCCGGCACAAAAGTTTTATACTCTGTTGAGTACCGAGCAGAAATCCACATACTTGAAGTTGGGGCAAAGTGAAATTTCTAAGAGCAAGCTGGCATTTCAAAGTCTAAAGGATGCGGCTGGCGCGGCCGGCACAGCTTACAATGTGGTTTCCTTCACCACATCTTTGGCTTCGTCGAGCCAGGATTGATATAGCTATATACTTGATATAACCTAATACTGTACTATATTTCCTCTTTAAATATATTTCTTTTGTCATACTGATAGATTTTAGCGGCTCGCGATGTAAGGATGTCAGCATGCTGATGATCGGGTGTTTTTGACATAATTAGTAATAATAAAGCTAACTGCGTTCTCAAAATTTTCCCTACGAGGTCTTTAATACATTCCATAAAACAAACGGCCTACAATAACCATATAAATAAAGAAAAGAAAGTTAAAGATGTCACAACCAGTTGCTACTACTACCCCTACTTCTAAACCAAAGCCATGTTGTGTTTGCAAAGTGGAAAAAGCCACCAGAGATGAATGTTTATTGAAAAATGGCGAAGAATCCGGTAAATGTGATGGCATGATCACATCCTACAAGAAGTGTATGGCAGGCTATGGTTTCAAGATATAATTGCTACGCTTCATCTTAATCACTTAAGTCTTGCAAAATTACTGATAATGTGGATTACCAACTGCTAAAACAACAGTTTGTATTGTTTTATTTCAACATGTATATATATATATTTTCTCCTAGAACCTTCAGTCTTGGTTTCGTTCCATTTAACATAGGAAAGTAATGTGATTGAGATGGTTTTTCATTTTGTACTATACCATTAAATATTAAGAATAATAACGACTCTTCAGATTTTGAACTTCTAATAGATTGATTGTATGATGGCATGGTAATAAATCATAGCCTCACGGGGCTCATAATTCATATAAAGTATGGAATCAAAACTTGAAACGTTTTTTTTTTTTTGACAACATATATTTCACTTTACAATACCCACAATATTTGTGAATATAGTTGCTATCAAGTTGTTGCTATAAGATTGAAACTATTCTTGTTTATTTTGATTGTGGTGTAAAAGGCCAAAAAAAAGAAAAGAAAAGAAAATAAAGTCCAAAACCTGCGTGAATGGCCGAAGAGAAAACCGCCAAAGAAGTGGAGTCTTGTGATAAGGTCGACGAGAACCACAAAAGCAGCAACAATATTTTCACATTAGTATGGTGTGTCATTGGAATATATTCATCATTTCTTTCATGGTCTTATTTCCACGAAAGAGTATCTCTGACAAAATATAATGGTGAAAAGTTTCAGGCACCACTATTTATCCAATTGGTTCAGAATTTTTTTGCCTTTATCATTGGATTAATATACTTGAACTACAAATTTTCTAAGAAAGAAAAGATTATCAAAGAGAATGACAAATCTGTCCAGAGTTTTAGCTCATATCTTTTGGAATTTTATCGTGACAAAGACTTGATCAACACTTTGCTAATGGTATCAATTACTCAATCGATCTCCACCCCAGTAGGCAACTCTTCTTTAAACCATATTGATTTTGTCACGTATTTATTAGGGAAATCTTGCAAATTAATACCGGTTTTGATCATCCATACTTGTCTTTATAAAAGAAAGTTCCCACTTTACAAATACTTGATAGCGGTGATCATAACATTCGGGGTATTTCTTTTCTCTTATAAGAAACCCAGCGCAGTGGCTATCGCAACCGAAGGCAATTCTCTTCTAGGCATGGGCTATCTTTTCTTGTCATTGATATTAGATGGGTTGACCAATTCCACCCAAGATCAAATGTTTAGAAAATTCACCAAAATGACTGGTATTCATTTGATGGTTAGTCTAAACTTCATTTCTTTATTCCTTGTCTTATTTTATTCCATCGTTATTACCGACCAACTAAGTCGCTCCATTGAATTCATTTCTCAATACCCTGATGTGTTTTATAACAATATTTTATGGTACGCCATCTGTGGCTCCATTGGCCAGATTTTCATCTTTTTGACATTGGAAAGTTTCGATTCAATGATCCTTATCACCATCAACGTCACCAGAAAAATGTTCTCTATGATTCTAAGTTTAATCATTTTTAACCATCCTTTGAATGGTACCAAAGTCTTGGGGATTTTCTTAGTATTCTTTGGGATTAGTCTAGAATCTTATATTAAGTTGAAACAAAAAAAGACTCCTAAATAAGATAGAACCTAAATAAACAACTCTGGACATTATCGTGTCATTTTATTGTATGGAAAGCTAGATACAGTGTTTGTATTTGTATTTAATTCAGAAAACTTGTAACCTTTATTAATAAATAAACTATAAATTGAAACATAAAAAATTATTAAATTGGATATCAAAGGAAAAACACTCTTTTTTTTTATTGCCCATAAAAATAAACGATAAAAATAACAGTTTAAGCTTTTTTAAACCTGGTAGATCTTCTTAAAGGAGTAGGATCTTGCTTTGAAGCTTTTGGTGTATCTCGTTTCAGAACCAAATTTCTTCTCTTCTTGATTTTTTTCGATTCATTTCTGGCAACCTTCTTTTTCTTATTTTGCCTCTTGGTGGTGGTACCATCTGCAGATTCAGGCTCTTGTTTTGGTTTCTTTGTTTTCTTTTTTCCGTGAATCTTTTTTGGTCTCTCCATTGTTTTTGCCTTCTTCTGCGCTTGTTCCTTAAACATCTTTTTACTTCCACCTCTACTCTTTTCTTCTTCTTCCGGCTTATCTTGCTCCATTTCGTCTTCATTTTTCCCCTCTTTTACTTCTGTTTCCTCTTCCTCTTTTACTTCTGTTTCCTCTTCTGCTTTTACTTCTGCTTCGTCTTTGACCATTTTTTCATCCACTTCAACTGTTTTTCTATCATCATCTTTTCCTTGATCTTCCATTTTTCCAATGGTTTCCTCTCTCTCTTCTTTTAGGAGATCATTCTTACCCTGTGAGAATAATTCAGCTTGTTCATCAGTTTCCAGTTCCTTTTCTTTCGTTCGTCTTCGTTGATCGCGTTTTTTGCCTTCATTTTCGATCTTCTGGAAATCAGCAAGAAGACCTCTGACAGAAGTAGGAGCCTCAACTTTCCCACTAACAATATCATCCATCAATTGATGCTCAATCTTATCTTCCATATAGGCCTCGAGTTTTGACTCACCAAGGATTTTCCCATCCCTCATTCTCATATGGATCACATCTGGTTTTTCAATTTTAGATGGAGAGCGTTGAGTACTTTTCGGTTTTGAGACTCTTTTGCTTGGTGATTTGCTTCTACTGATTTTTGCCGGTGATTTGCTAAGGCCGCCCCTTTTTTTGGGGGACGTCTCAGCAATAGGTTGCAAAGTTTCATTTGGGTCGTTGCTCCGGACGCTCAACCTTCCTGAGCGTCTTAAAGTTGATGTATCGGGAATGAATGGTTTTGATGGAGAGTTTTCTTGTTGCAATCTACTAGAACGTCTCAATGTTGGAGTATCAGGAACCATTGACTTCTTTGGAGAACTTTCTTGTTGCAATCTACTAGAACGTCTCAATGTTGGGGGAGTACCAGGACTAACTGTTTTTGACGGTGAAGTTTCACCCTTTGGTGACTCCGGTACAGCTTCTTCTAGAGATTCCTGTTCTACTTCTTCTTCCACCTCTTCTTGTGCTTCTTGTTCAACTTCTTCTTGTGCTTCTTGTTCAACTTCTTCTTGTGCTTCTTGTTCCACTTCCTGTTCTATTTGTACTTCCTGTTGTACTTCCTGTTGCATTTGTTGTGACATTTCCTGTTTATCCTCATGTTCAACTTTTTGTTCAACCCCCTGTTCAACCTCCTTTGGAATTTCTTCTTGAATTCCCTCCTGGATTTCTTCTTGAATTCCCTCCTGGATTTCTTCTTGGATTCCCTCTTGGATTCCCTCTTGGATTTCTTCTTGGATTTCCTCTTCGACTTGTTGGGGTTCCTCTCCAATATTATCAGCTAACATTTCACTGGCCGGTAAGATTTCCTCAGCAACCATCTGCTCATCAGTCTCTTCAAGTTTAAGATCCTGGGGTTCTTCAATCTCAACATCAGTTAAATTCTTATCATCATTAATATCATACATAGCAGCATCTTCAATTTTGTGGTTGCTCAAGTTTTCTTCATCTTTTAGGTTTCCTGCATCCTCAGACTGATTGATGAATTCTTCCTTTTCGGTTTCTTTACTGTTTTCTAACAAGCCGTTCTCCGATGCAATAGGAACAGACTCAGTAGCAAATTCGACACTCCCATTATTTGTTTGCTGTTCTTTCTCAATCTCAATTCCGACTTGTGGCGACTCCTCTAAAGGCTTTTGGAAAATCTCTCGGGATTCGTATTCAATTGCTTCATTCACCTCATCACTAGAAGCCCCAACAGATTCCTCATTGTTATTAATAGTTGACTTTTCAGCCAGATCAGCAATTGCTATATTTGTTGAATTATCCTGCTTCTTTTCAAAAGAAGTATTTGAATACTCACTCTCTTGAGCCCTCACACCATCCAAGTTATTATTGCGCTGAGCAGTCGAAGCATTTGCACCAGGTTGTAAAATTGGGTTTGGGACATCTTCCATAAGAGAATTAAAGCTCTCAATATTAGACTCAATGGTTCTTCTTGGGAGCCACTTAAATATAAAACTCAATGGTCTGGCTGGCCCAGTTGTGTTGTTATCCACATCATTCAGGTTATCAATGCTTAATTTCAATTCATCTTGCTTATCATTCACGGTCTCTCCAAAGCTTTTAACATCACTAGCACCCAAGCCTGGAACCTCATTAGATACTTCTAGTTCGTTTTCAGATTGTTTTTCAACAGGGAGCTTTTCGTTTGAAACAAGTTCCTCCCGCGATGAATTATCTTGCACGGTTTCATTTTCTTTTGCACCATTGTCTACTGCAGGGATCGGTTCTTCAACTTCAATGATGTCTCCAGAATCACTGCGTGATCCTTCATCATTTGTACTTTCTGTCATTTCAACATCCTCATCATCAGATTCATCCTTTGATGTCTTAGTTTCTTCAGAAAATTTATTTTCGGCAATTTCGGCATGATTTTGCTGGTCTCCTTCCTCAATATCTTCGGCTGCTTTTTCTGGTTCATTCTCAAATATTTCATTAATACTTTCGACTGAGTCGAGACTCGAAGAAAATACAAACGATTTCAATGCTTTTCTGATTGCGCCTTTTGCTCTAGTTAACTTCAGGAACATTTCTTGTTGATTTTCTTCATTCGCATAGCTGATGCTTAGATTATCATGAGCTGCTTCAACTTCATCATTACTTTCAGAAATTTCATTTTTAAGTAAAGAGAGATCCTTTTCATCTTGATTTTCAATGCTCTCGTGCTTAACAACCAGAGAATCAGCTTCACTTGTATCTTCGGTAGTTTTTGAAGGGCTATCAGGAGCATCAATTTTGGATGTCGAATCTTCCTCTTCATTTTTTAAAGCGCCTTTATCTTCCAGGAAAGTTTCTACATTAACATCTGATTCGGCAGCGTTATCTTCATGAATATGTCCTTCTTCAACAGTATTTTCCACGATTGAACTTGATTCACCAACATCCTCTTTTGATTCATTTTTTGCTGGTTTTGAGAGCTGCTCAACTTCTTGAAGGGTCTTTTGCTCTTCATCTTCTTGAGCTTCTGCATTGCTCGTTAAAACCGCAATTGGGGAAAGTTCTTCAATCTCACTATCCCCATCAGTATCTTCAGTCAGTTCGTTGGAAGGAACCTCCGTTCCTTGAATTTTTGGTTCAATGTTCTCTTCACTTTTTGTATTATCATTAGGTGAAGCTTGATCTTCATTATTAGATCCCCAGAAATTGAAACTTTGTAAAAAAGATTTGAACCTCTTGTAAGATGTTTTTGGCTCATCTTCTGGAAGCTCAGCTTCTTCAAGTTTACGTTTACGGCCAGAATTAACATCGCTTTCAACTGTATCACCCTCAAGGGTATCATTAAGTTCATTGATGTGCTCAACTTTGATATTATCCGCTTCCTCAGTATCAACATTAACATCAACAAGCTCACTAAGCTGAGTAGAATCACCATCAACGGGAATTTCGATAACCTTATCTTGAATTTCCTGGTTATCTTTCTCAGGAATTTCCTGTACCTCATCTTCAACATTGGTCTGTTCCTCTAAATCTCTAGGCTCTTTCTGTAATATTCTTTCTTGCTTATTTTCATTCAGTTCCAAGCTACTGCTACCTTCACCACTAATAATTTCAATTGTTTTATCTGTGCCGCTACTATTATCACCATTGGAATCATTGTCCATGTCCCCATTTATATTATTGGCATCATTTTCATCTTCATCAATGTCCACGTGATCTGTTAAAATGTTCTCATTTTCAGAGACCTGAACTGGCACGATTTCTGGATCAGAAATATATTGTACAACCGAGGCATCCATTTCATTATCATGGTCAGTAACAATATCCTGCTTCTCAATTGATTCCTTTTCACTGGTTTGAGTTGCAGTATTCTCACTTATGGCCACATCTTCTCCTTGATCATCTTGATAAATTTCATGCGTTATACTTGTTGGAGTATTTTTCTCTTCACCGTTGAGTTCTTTGAATGAGTCCTCTATTTCCTTGTCGATCTGTTCCATCTCGTCCAGCAATTCTTGCGAAATCATTTCAGAGTCAGATTGCGGATACGAAACCAGAATTTCAACTCTCTTTTCAAAAATTTTGAGGTCTCCATCATTAGAAATTGCGGAGTTCCATTCTAACACAGGCTCTGTGGCTTTTACAGTGGCAGTGTCCATTTCAGTTGTTAGTAAATCTGATACATCTTCAACTTGAATGGTCGATGTCAAATTCTGAAGTATTGGCAATGGTTCAAGCTCTCTTTCCTCAATAATTGGGGTTGCCATTTCTTCAATTATATTCTCATTGAACTCGGTCAAAATCACCGGCTCAAGGACTGGAGAAGTTTGCTCTTCGATCAATGGCTCGACATCTATTGGCTCAGATAATTCATCTTCACTTGAAGACACTTCAACTGCTTCCATGTTTGCACTCATTATTATTGTCACAGATTCAGCTACAATTTCCTCCTCAATGATTGGCTCTTGTATTTCAAAATCTTCCTCGACAAAAGTAATTCCAGAAGTGTTTTCTATTGGCTGAGTGTATGGTGATTGAGGCTCCTCGATCTCAGGTTGGGGCTCCTCGGGTTCCTCCATTAACGTGAATCCAATATTCTCCAGAACTGATTCTTGCTCCTTTTGTTCTTCTTCTTCTTCTTCTTCTTCTTCTTCTTCTTCTTCTTCTTCTTCTTCTTCTTCTTCTTCTTCTTCTTCTTCTTCTTCTTCTTCTTCTTCTTCTTCTTCTTCTTCTTCTTCTTCTTCTTCTTCTCGTTCTTGTTCTTCATTGATGCTTTTTGTTGTTCCGGTAGCCTCTGCATTATCCATGTTTTCCATTTGTTGTATCTCAGAATAGTTATCCATTTCTTCACTTTCAGCACCTTTATCTGGATTATTGTCGATCTCATTACTTTGAGCAAACGTAATACTATTATCATCTGAATGCTCAGGTGAATTCAGGTCATCTTCTATATTTTGTTCAATAACTTCACTCTCATCGTCATTCTCTTTAGGAGATTCTTGTCCAAGTGACTCAATGCCATCGGTTGTTTCCTTTTCTGACATCAAAGAATCAGTATTATCATTTATACCAATGAGAAAAATTTCTTGTTCATGTTTATTATCAATTTTTACTTCAAGGTTTTGTGAGGCGCCAGCGAGTACTTCTGTACTGAAAGAAAAGGGATCAATTCTACCAAATGCGCTAGGCGGTGGAGTTGACAGCAATCCTTGATTCCCTTCTTCATTTTCGGCTTCGGAATCAGAATATTGGATATCGGAATCATTGAGAATTTCAGTGCCTTGAAGGGCTTCTGTATCTTTGTTTTGGTCTTGATTTATTACATTGACAGGTTGTGAATCAATCGATCTATCGTATGTATGACATTCTGCCTCTTCCTGTTCTTTCTCACTGTTGATTACCATTTCTTGATCTTCTTGATAAAAATCTTCGAGCAATGGATTATCATTTTGATAATTTGGGTCAGCTTCGTCCAGTATAACCTCTGTAGAATTCATCCATTGGCCCTGAGAATCATCTGAAGGGCTCTTGATATCTTTTGAGCGACTCGCTAATATTGCTTGGGCTAATATTTGATTATCATCATAATCATTGTAATCTGAATACTCTTCTTGTCTCATGTCACTTTCTTTAATATCCTGTTCTTCTGGATATTCATCTTCTCCTCTTCTGTCTTCATCCGATTTTTCGCTATATTTCTCAGTAGGCATGTTTTCCTCTCTATCCAGTTCATCAATATTTATAACATCTTGGAGTATCCGAGTGTTCCCTGAGTTGTCATCATATGTTGAGAAATCCTGGGCGGTATAGAATTGGTCCTGATACGAGGTTCCGTATGTTGTATTGTACGATTGACTGCCAAGCTCGTTCTGTTGCTCTTGTTCTGGATTTTGACCTTCGTACTCTTCTTCATCTTCGTCTGGTTGATCATATCCAGTATCATACTCTTGATAGTATTCATCGTCATCATTTTCTTCTTCTTCTTCCTCGTCTTGCTGACTTAATGGATTCCTTACCGATTCATACGGGTTCAAAGAGCGATCTCTTAGCCTCAAAGGTTGGTTCAGACTATTATTTTGCTCGTCATCATCGGACAATGAAATAATAACAACGTCTTGTTCCTCTTCGATACTATTTTCATCCAACTCTGGTTCATCATCATATTCATTTTCTATTTCGGCATTTTCTTCATCGTGTTCAGAATTATCATCTTCACTTTCAACAACATTCATACCCCAGTTTAGAGGTGCCTCACCATTGTTTTCTTGATCTTCAGCATCCACGCTTTGGTCCAAGTAAGCTTCATTTTCATTCTCTATCGAATGATTATCACTCTTCGAGCTTTGGTATTGTTCCTCGATATCATCGACTGCATCCTCCTCGGCAGACTTTTCTTCTGAGTCTTGCTCATCATTTGCTGATTCTACTTCGTGGTTTTCTATCGACTGCTCTTCCTCTGATGGGGTTTCACTTACAGACTCACTATTTTGGGCATCTGAAAACTTCTGCACAGTTAACAAATTTTCCTCATTCAGAGAGCTCAATTCATTGAAAAAAGTTCCCAATTTTTTAAAATTTCTGAATCTCAACAATTCCTCATCAGATTTTTGTTTCAATTCAATCATTCGCTTCTCTTCATCCAATTCGCATTCAAAATTGTTTTCCAAATCTTTCTGTTCCTGTAGAATATTTTTGGCCCTGAGTTTCAACGAAACCATCCAATCAAGGAGAGCATCATCTTTGCATTCACTGTTTTCCGAATTGACCTTATTTCCTCCGGGCATTTTCTTAGTGTATTGTATTGGTGTTGTGAAATGAGATAATAACGATTAACAATCACCAGTATTTGTTCATCTGCGGGATTCGCTGTTTATGGTTTCCTTTTCTGATGAGGTTTGAGCTTTCACTCACTTTTTGGGAAGTTGCTGCACTATTAACAATAACAATAAAGTTATTATTGTTTCAATACTGTTGTTGGAAAAGACCTCAGTAGTAAGTAAGCAATTAAATCAAATAAATATTTATTGCACCTTCAAAATCTTGTCACCCGGCTAATGAAATATTAAGAACCCCCGGGTAAATGATTATAGACAGAGGTACCATGTAGACGGATGAAAAATGATTTCTGTAAACGTTTCATCAATTGATTTTAGAACCAACTCAGTGATTTAGCCTAAAGTTGGAAGGTTATCAGCAAAACCGTGTGTCAACAATGAGCACAATCATTAATAATGAACCATCGGGGATGGCGAATATCAAGAAAGTGAAAATATCTTACTATGATCCTTTCAGCGTTTACCCTAAAATCCAAAAGGATCTTGATTCGAAGCTTCCATTAACCAACTTGCATTGGAAAGCCTCTGAAAAGTCACCTTTGAGATCTATTCCGTGTTTAGATGTGGAGCTTGTGGAAGAAATTCCGAAGTCTATCAAATCTACACCATTAGTCAAAACCATCGATGATCAAATGCAAAAGAAAATAACTAGAGACCCAGTGTCGTTACTAAAAAGAGCATCGACAATCATGAAAACTGGAAATGACAGTAGTATTGAAGGCAGTGGCTTTGATCTAGTGACAGAACCAATTCAAAAAGTGGAAGATTCTACCAATGAGTCTGCTCTCACTGATTTAACTAAATCCATTAATGACAGCTACTTAAAGATCATGTTTTTTGAAGCGCAGAACATAGATCAGTACAAGCTGAATGTGAGACCCTTTATCAAAGAATGGTTCAAGCAATCGATCGACAGCTCCAAGTTGCCAACTGACTGGTTGCTTGTTTTCTATCTTTCTCAAGGAGGAAAAGATGATTATACCACTGCATTCAAATATGGTCTTTTGGATAAAATAAAACTTGATTTCAATAATTATAAAAATGGATCCTTTTTAGATGATCATGCCCCATCCTCAAGTAATAGCGGGGTAAATAGTACAAATGCCCTAAAGATCTTGAAAATTAAGCACGATTATGCCAATACTACGGAGTATAATCAAGGTTGGAATGCATTATTTTCTAGTATCAAGACTGGTGTCTTAAACACTTTCACGGAGAGAATTAATTTCTTTGAGTACAAGATTGATAAATTCTTAAATTCTTGTGCCCCTCCTGTCGATGATGTGAAAAGTAAGAGAATCAGCAAAATTGATAACGGGCCTAATTTTGCCAGCGAAATGAACATTGGGCTATATTTTTTGATGAATGAAAATTTGGGTATATTATATCATGATTTGAGCTTGTATGAGGACTCATTAACCCAGTACGACAACTTGCAGAAAATCTTTCAATTCTATTTGCAAAGGCATGGAGACAGCAATCTTCCTGTCAAATTTCTCAATGAAGTGGGGTTTGAAAGCAATTTTGAACAAAATCCATTTTATTTCAATATCTTCAAGTCTATCAAAGAAAGCTCGTTTAATGAAGGTGAAGAAAAAGTTCATGAACTCAGTAACAGCACTTACGAACAAATTGCTCCGATGGTTTTCGAATCATTAACTAATTTCAATAATTCCATATTTGATCAATTGAGAAAAAGAATTTTAAATAATGCAGTATCATATTTTGATTTGAAAAACTATTTCTTTTTGAAGGAAATCACTTTAATTAACTCTATTCTTTTCAATAGCTTTTCCCAATTATCGTCAACTCCATCGGTAAATTCCGTTTACATTCACGATTTGTTGAAAAGATTGAAAACTTTTGTTGTTGACACCCTTTTTGGAATTTTGAATTTTAAATCAAAAGAGGCTAGCAGCTTTGATACTTTCAAATTGATAGAATATTGCTTCACTATGGTTGATAATTACTTGTTATTTATCAATGAATACTTTTTTAAACCACCACAAAAGGCAAGTAACAATCAATACCCTAACTTGCCTCCTCTTGGAAATAAAGCACACTCTGTATATTCCCAGAATAAGGATATTAATGATACCATCGGAGAGTTGAGATTAATTCAAAGATTCTTTTTGGTCATGCTCGGCAAATTTTACGAGTACAAGCTTGATAATATTTTTATTGATAAATCGGTGGATTACAAGCTTTCACAATGTATTTCTCAGGCAGAGTATTCCACTGAAGCATTTCAATTTGACCATCCATTGTTGACCAGGGTTTTCAAATCATTCGAGAACTACGGGAAATATTTCAAATATTTAACGGAATCTGCAATTGGGAATTTTAACGTATCTGACAAACCACGAACCGTTGATATTTTATCAATTGATATTGCACTTCTCAATTATCAAATTGGTAATTATACTGATAGCTTAAATGTTTTACTTAATTGTCCAAATTTCTATAACGAACAAGGTTGGGAGTATATTGGATTTTATCTATTGCAAGTGTTCATCAATTGTTTGGAAAAAGTCATGCAAAAGAATGATACTGACTTGCAAAATCTAACTTCTGATGATAAAGATGAGCTTGAGAAATTAGCAGAGACCGTTTCATATAACAAAGTGTTGCTTTGCAAATCGTATTTGGATCTCATCTCCACCCTAATTGACTCATCAAATCCTGCAGCCGGTAAAATGACAGAAATTTCTTTGTCATCAGAAAGTATTTGCTCAAACTCCAATTTTGTCAATAATAATTTGGAAAATATAAACAAATATTTAACCAATCCTTCTGAAATCGATCGTGTGATTAAAAAATTATTGAGTTTGAAGAACGAAATTAGTCTTGAATATGATGTTAGTAAGATATTCAAATATAAGATAGACCCTTTTGTGAACAGTCAAGAAAAGAACTCTTATAATGTTGAAATTGAGGTTGATAATTTTGCTATGTTCCTAACTGAAGTTGGTGAAAACGAAGATGAGCGAATACTTGACTTTGACAAAATTGAATTGGTTCTTCAAAATATTGTTGATAGAGATGAGGTAGTGAAATTCAGTTTGGACAAAGCAGATTATAATGATGAACAAGTGATTAAGGACAAATTCTATTTCAAGAAGGGAAAAAATAAGTTTGCCCTAGAATCCAGAGATATAATTGTTGGCAGATTTGGTATTAAGGAGCTTAAGATTGCTATTGGCGGTATTACCCTCGTTAAGAATCATATTTCCACTAGAAGTATGTTATTTGGTCAAACAGAAACCGATGGTTCAGTTAAAGATAACTCTGTCCAAGGCAGTATTGACGAAAAAAAATTTGACGATCTGGAGGATGAATTAATTTATGACTTCAAGACTATCATTCTTATTCATCCGTACATCAGCAATGTCCATTTTGAATTGAAAAATCCATTGAAGCTAAATTTGAACTATAAGCAATTTTTGCTCAAGATCAACGTCGGTGATTTTGAAATTGAACAAGGAACTTTAGAATTCAGTACTGAGTCCGACGGTTTCCAATTGATTGGCAACGACTTGCAAGCAGTTCTGAAAAAAAGGGTCCCGAAGTATCTTGACTCTCAGGAATTTGATTATGATGATGATAGCTTATTTGATAGTAACTCTATTGACCCAATTGAAATTTCGGCAATCAACAATAATGAAAATGACCAGATCATTTATAAAATTGGTAAAGTTACTGCCAATTCTATTGTGGAAATTACAATTCCTTATGCCATTAAAGAGTCTAAGACTTCAGCAGGTGGATCATCAGCCATTAAGAACCTCATCAATTTGAAAACTAAAATGACATATACCTCGGATAACAAGGAACATTCTTTGACTTCTTATCAAGATTTAAATACCACCTTGACCATTGCGGTGTCGGTACAAGATACTTTCAAATCTGACAGATTGTTTTCCAAATTTTCGGTAGGAACTGCCGATCTACGAGCACCAATCAGAATTTTATCTACCGATTTGTTATCAAATGAAAAGTATAATACTTCAACTTCCATGAAGACAGGTCCTTTGGTTGCATTTGGTGAGCAACCAGTGTCTTATTTCTTTAAAATCGAACCTGTTGAAAAAGATTATATTACGAAAGAAAAGGATTCCTTGAAATTAATAGTGAATTATAGAAACCTAAGTGAAGAGATTTTTGAAGGTGTTTGGAAATATTTCAAAGAAACGTACTTGCTAAACAGATCCAATGAAACTCAAAAGAATCATATTTCCAAGTATATTTTGTTGTTAAAAGATTACTTATTCAAATTATTAAGATTTGATTTAAATGAATACGCATTATTCAATAATATCAAGATCAAACATTTCGACATTCTTGAATTTGCTGAGCTTTTTGCTCATTTCTTCCCGGAAGATAGGTCAAAGTATCTTGAAATCTTCAAGAAATTCATTGACTCTTTGAAACAATCAAAATTGGATTTGCCTATTGAAGATTTCAAGTATATCAATTCTATAGAGAGACATGGCAATGAAGAGATTCACAATAAGGAAACCGAGATCAACGACTTCTTCAAAGGTATCAACAGGGAATTGTTCATTAGTGTTGCGATTCCTTTAGTTCAAGTTGTTCATAACATTCATCTTGAATTTGATAACAAAAGTCAATATGTTGTCGGGGAACCGATTACTAGTACTTTCAAAATCCAATCACTAGTTAATTGGCGCGGTGATAAGGATGCCAATGACTCCGTTAGCTCTTCCGAAAAAGGTCAAAAGAAGAAGAGAGTGGCTTTTGAAGATCCAAATAAGGATTCTATGACTGAGCACTTCCAACTTGATTTTGTTGGTCCTCAAGAGAATTGGCTCATTAGTGGTAAGAAGAAATTCCAGTTTTCAGTCAATAAGCAAGGTGAAAACGGTAATAGCAAAATGTGTCAAAATGATATTGAATTGTTTTTGATTCCTTTGAAGATTGGTAAATTGGTTTTACCTAAAATTGAAATCAAATCAATCAACAATCACTTAAATGATGATTTCTCAATGGAAGTCGATTACAAAAACAGCTCTCAAACTATATTAGTGGTTCCAAATCTTGATAGGGTAACATTTGCATTTTAGCTATATATATTTCTTTGTTTTTTATTCTCATTTCTTTTCTACAACGGTACTTAGCTTTGTTTTCTTGGAATAAATCTATGAACAATATATTATATATTTTTCAGTTTTTGGTGTAGTATTCTTTCTCTCTTATGCTTATCTTATCCATCATATTGGTATACGAATGTGTAAAAAAAAAAATCACTGCACTACCCGGCTCCCATGGGCCAATTATTTTGTGTTCTTTTGTAAGTGAGAAAAAAATACCAAAATTAACAAGATGGAGTGGAGTATACCTATAGGTTTGGAGATCAATAGAAAGATAAACAGTGAAAATAGCCATTTCTTCAGAAAGATGTCAGTTACAGAATTCCCACCTTTGCGTATGTTTCTTTTTTTCGTATCCGTTTTTTTTACGTTACTGTTCTTTGTGCCATGATAATGCAGATTGAAAAATCATTAAATATTACGATTGGGTATTTCAAAAGATCTATAATCATGATAATAATAGCAATAGTAATTATTACAATAATAATGAATGATAAGAAGGAGTATAGTATTTGTGGTGGTGGTGGTGGTGGCGAGTGGACCTGCCTCATAATTTAGGGACCTAACATTTCGACTAACAAAAAACATAAAGTCTCTAATGAAGAGATGAAAAAGAATAAAATCCCATTGGCCTACCGTGATAGATGTGCTGGGTTATTGGTTCCACTCAATAAATGTCGTAAAGAAGGTTGGTATATGCCATGGAATTGTGTGAACGAACGTCATGCTTATGAAGAATGCCAATATTTGGACTTCAAGAGAAGAGTCAAGGAATTGGAAGAATTGAAAGAAAAACTTAAACAAGAACAAAAGAGCGATTAAATCATTTGAAAAACAATATTGATCAATAGCGACTCATTGGTGAAGAGAAAAGAAGGAAGCTCAAACTTATAGCACTATAATCAAAAAGTTAACTTTGATTTTAAAGACCCCTAATGAATGAATGATTGTGAGAACCTATTCATGTGTTGTTGCATTTGTGTAATTATCTGCAGAAAGTATATGTCCATCTATTATAAGGCAAGGTGTTCAGTGTTTTCTTTTTTATTTTTTTTTTTTCAAAACATTTTTTAACCTCAAATTTTTGACAATGTTGTATAATCCTACACCTGTCAATCAATTACCTTCATCTCCTTCTTTAAATTTTGCATTATTATTTTTTTCTTGGTCCATTAATTCATATTATAGTATAATAATTAATTCGGAAAAGAGAACAGTATTTTATTCGGTGAAATCAATCTATGTATTCTTAAGAGTACTGGTATTGTGATTTTGTTTTCTCCCATGTAAGTCAACTATGATTGATCAAAAAAGGCTATTGATTTTTTTTTGTCCTTATCGTATACCCGATATGACAGTTATCAATCTTTATTGGTAATAAGAAAGCCAAGGGTGGTTATCTGCCACAAAACTAACTAATCTTGGGATATATTGAAGGAGCTCTCATCAATTATAAAAGCAAAATTCGTTGTTTATTAAATTTCATTAGTTTGATAATAATGCCGTTACATCCAACAAGAAACATATAATAACTGTAAGGTAAAACTTTATCTCCATAGCGGCCAGAAGAAGTCTAATACTAGATCTCTGTAGAAGACGCCAATTAAAGCACTAGTTTGGGCTATTCAGGTTTCTAACTATATTTCAATCTTGCATATTTGCTTCGATTAATCTTTATCATTAACTTCTTGTATCAAAAAATAAAACTCATTTGGTTCCGAGACCAAATCTTTCTTGTTCATTTCTTTAGACTCAGATGCTGATGCTGACACATTAATATCAATATTCGCATTTTTTAAGGTAGCTTGTCCCCATTCATATCCCCAATTTGTTAATAATAGCAGGAATCTGTAAGGGGTTTGGGTTTCATAGAACCAGCTATAACATTCCAAAAACGAAGAAAGGATCCCATTTTACTCAATAATACAATACGCCTGTCTCGAAAACCTCAACTCCCTAAAAAAAGCTGCTTTGAAAGAATAGAAGCTTTCTTCAGTCTTTTTTATTCAATTTTTCTCCATAACTATGATCAAGTGTCGAAGATTATCTGTAGAGGCAGCAGTGTCTCATATTTCTCGTCATTTGGATTTATTTTCCATGTGAACATCACATCACATGTATGTAGATCAAAGCAACCAACTATTTCAAAAAAAAAAAAAAAAAATACAAATCAATTTCCTGGAGTCGCGCATTTCGCTTGATTGAAATATGAGGTAATTCGCTGAATATGTTTCATAGATAGCTGATTGGAGGGCCTCTTCCACTATCACTAAAATTATCAAACCTGGCGACAAGGATAAAGAAAGCTGTTGTTCTTTGGTGATTGAAAATAAAGGATTTTTGTGAACTGACACAAAAACTAGCATCAGGGTTTGACAAAAAAAAACTTTATTATATTCAAATATTAGGGAACAATAAATGTAGTACAAAATCAACTCATCCTTATTCCTTACCAGGTGATGAGAGCCAACATGCCTTTCATCTATTTCGCTAATTATGATATTTTTCTTTCAATCCAGTTGATATGGTTGTTTCATGTCATTCTGTTATTTAATTTCCTTGTGACACAACTTCTATATTTTTGATCTTCTTCTTCTTCTTCTTCTTCTTCTTCTAAGTTGCTTGACCGGTTAAGAACAACAAACTGTAAACTCTATTTGTGAGGAAGCAAGGTTCGCAAAATGCTTTGCGCACGCGGAACTGTTCTCCATAGAAATAACCGTGCAACTGGATCAGCCCTTATTTAAGCGAGGTGGAAAACTAGATGTCAAACACTAAAATGAGAACAACCTCCAGGAATTAAAGCCTAGGGAATAAGTATCCAGTATCATCTAGGAAATCCAGAATAGAAAACGTACAATGTGTTTCTCTTTCCCCACAAAAGCCCCTGGCATATCTGGAACTTAATTCAATTTAAAGTGAGTATCAGTTAATTTTTGCGAGCGCTTTTGTTTCGATAGGAAACAAACCCTATTCAAGTATCCAAAATCTTCACTTAAGGAGGAGGGGCGTTAACGTGTCCTTATTCAACTCTTTTACATACATTTTTGGGTATCGGCATTGAAACAACAATGTATTACGCAAGGATGCACCAGAGCATCTGGGTTTCTACAACGTTTATGTTTCAATACAATATAACATAGATATTCCATTACCCTATTGCTATAGGGGTTTTGAAATTTTCCATATCTATGGTCTCAGTTATCTTATCTTCATCCTGGATGCCTCTATTCAGGTTAAACACCTTCAATACATTTATTTTTGCGGAATAGGATACATTTGCTTCTCAAGAACAACAATAATAACAATTATTTTTTTTTTTTTTTTATTTTCAATATTGCGGTAACAATCATCCCGATGAAAATTTAGTGTCTTGGAAAGAAATACGCCAACAATAAACGCAGCCTGTTAATACATATCGTGACTACTGTGCAGAACGTTTTGGATCATTCTACAGATGCGATGCTTTGTTTTGCTTTACATGCAGAAACACAAAGAGCCAGAATCAACAAGTTGATGTCCATGTATGTATGCATTGCGACACTGAAATCTGAAAAATGCCCCGTATTGAAGAAAATTAAAAAAAAAACAAAAAAAAAAAAAGCTGCTAAAGTTTTTTTAGTTTACCAGCTTTTCTACATATACGATTTTTGTTTTGCTGTTTTCCTCCTGTTTTTTCTTCTAGAAATTCATGAACATGGCAGTCACAGATAATCTTCTCATCTGCTAGTTGTCGGGCTGTTAGTTTTTTTTTTTTAATGCATATATTCTCGCTAATTGTACTGCCAGATCAAAAGCAACAGCCCAAAAACAGTGGAGCAGGAAGGCATCTCAGTAAAATTTTCTCTGTCACTTGATGTAGTGAGAATCATCATCATTTTCGTTCTCTTTTACTTTCCTGTATGTTTCTGCCTCGCCCATTGTCTATTGCTGGAAGCCAACATTCCTCAAGTCTGAGTATTGCACTTTGTGACCTAGATAGTGCTAAGCTTATTTTGAACTTTGGGTGTAGTTTGACTTAGCTTTCCATTCAGTTTATAAAATCCTTAATGTTTTTAATATTAAAGAATTAGCACATTCTGCTAATTACTTGTTTCTCCCATGCATTTACCGAGTTTTTAAAGCAGCGCATCCGACTTTGATATCTTTTGTTATTGAGTTATTACTAGGGCCAGAACAAATCCAGAATCTCAACAAGTTCACTATTATTATAATTTTTAGTATAGGATGAGAAAACTAGATTTTAGGCTACAATTTATTTATTTCTATTTGATGTTATTTCTTTTGATTATCATACTATAGTATATATATTATATATGCAATACTTCTGGATAACTGTCATCCGCACCTAAGGGAGCTGGTATCAGCATTTGGAAATGCCGTTTTCTCAGGACAAACTTCACCAAAATATCGACATAAGGCTCCCAGTTTTGGTGTAACTTGGTTATATTGCGATCTAGTTATAACAGCGAAATCAGAGTATTATGAACCAGTGTTTCGCCTAAGTGGCTATTTTTTTTCCATGAGTAAAGAATGGAACTTATTCACTAAACAATATTACCTGAAATGAGTTCCTTGGTTACCGTAATTAGATGAACTGAAGGTTTGGTATGAAGATGGGGGAGGATTGTGAGATTGATAATAAGGATGACCGGCGCCCATACTACCAACATGTTGATGCTGAGGTGGGTAATACATTGCTTGTTGGTGCATTGGCATCTGAGAGTGTTGTGGGTATTGGTTGTTGTAGCAGTTAGGATCAATTGCTGGATAGGAAGGAGAGTTCGATGGGACTTGATTTTGGGGTCTAATCTTTGATTTCATCGTTTTCTTCCTTTCCATTTCTTTCATAGCAACTGTAAGACCTTTGCGTTTCACAATTTTGGCGAAATAAAGACCACAAGCATTACATAATGTTCTGGCCCCATTTGGCCCTCGACGCCATTCGGGAGTCGAATCACACTGGCAACATTCACATTGTAGCTTTTTCTTGAGAACGCTTTGAGAGCTGTTCGAAGATGCTGGAAGCGCCACAACAATAGGCGAGTAAGAGATATTATTGGTACTAGAGTTTAACAACGATGATGGAGAAGAAGAGCAAGACGAGGAGGACGAGGAAGAGGGCGAAGATATCGATACTGAAGGAGAAAGATCGCATGGAAACGATGAGTTCAAGATAGGTATCTGGGGGCGTGGACACCCACGCTGGTAGTTATTATTTGATTCTTTGAGCAAGGATGAGATTGGTGGTAACAGCTTAGGATTTCTGTTGCTGTAATCATTATGACTATAGTTTCTATTGTGGAAATCGATAGAATCAGTTAGACTGGAAATTGGGGGTAGTTTGATGGACATTGTTATTTAACTGCCTGATATTAAATGGAATAATCTATTATACTTGGAGAACAATCAATTCTATTGAGAATGTTAATTGAATATGTTTAGTAGTATCAATTGATGGACGTTGACAATAATATAATTGAAAGGTATTGCAAGAAAAAAATTTCAAGCGGAGAATGGCCGGATAATAAATCCTTTTTATAATAGAAATTGCTTACGACCAGAGAAACCGATATTGTTTACAGGGAAAAAAAAAAAAAATAAAAAAAAAAAAAATTAGGTATAGAAAAATGTTTTTAATTAGATTGGTTTTGAAATTGGGGTTAATTTTTTTCTTTTTTTTTTTTTTGGTTGGCCAGCATCGCAGAAATAAGCGAGATTGATCGATGGTTGTTCGGGTTGCAGCACCACGCGTAGATTTTGGGTCACCGCATAGATCCTGGGTACAATGTGACAAGATAGCAAGTGGTGCGTCTCCTATTGGTGATTCTAGAAATATATTTAGTGATACGGGAGTATGGAGTTAGGAGTGTGGATACCAGCGCCGTTGGGAGAGACTTTTAAACCAGAACTATTTTTTTCGGGTGCTTTTCTCCTGGTGATTCTGATCTTTGTGTATATTCACTATTGCTCACAATGTTTATTGTTGAGCCCAGGCAAGGTAGTTAACCATATCATCCCCCAGCTTTCTCTTATGTTGGCCCGAAATAAGTAATTAGCAACAGCACCAGAAAAAGATGAAATGAAATTAAAGTACAACTTAATGTTGTCATCACTTGCGTCAAAGTCTAAACTTACAAACGATTTGTTGTTTCTGCTGCAAGATTTTCTCAACCATCGCGGCAGGTTACGTCAAGATGCAGATGAACACTTTACATTTCTGCGAAAGTCAAAGTTTCCCTACAGTGCTTTACAGCATCTGTGACATATTTGAGTCCCAAAAATATATTCCATTAGCGTGTTGTTCTCTCAAAATCAATGAAGTTCAAATAAGTAGTTCAAATCTCAAAAGTTACAAATAGTGTAGGAGTACTTGATGAATTTTTGGAAGTAAGGCTAAGTAAGGTGCGACATGCAGGTTAATCACTGTGTACAAGGCAAATACCATGATGACATGTTCTGACAGAAATTTGGAGTTTTGCGTCCTAGTTTGGGTAGTGTAATTTGTTTATTACAGTTAAAATAGGATACTAGGATTGGTTGACATACCTGTGTCTATATATATATATATATATAAATGAACAAAGGTGTGTGTGTAGATATATAGATACAGATCCCTGATAAAGAGAGATATGTGTATCACAGTGAAAATACATTTTCCTCAAACCAAAGAGTGATTTTAAAATAAGAACAGTAAGTGGAAGAATAAAAGAAAATGTGCTTCTAGCTCTGAATTGATAGCGTAAGTTTTCTTTTATTGAGAGAAAAAAAAATTATGAAAAGGTGCATCAGTAATTTCATCAATTCAATCTGAACTGCATTGCGTTGTCGATCTTCAATTACATGGATGGTTTGTTGTTGATGTAGGATAATTGCTTTATAATTGCTGCGGGACATTTGTTTTGACAATGCTATAGTTTTTCCTGTCCCCCTGTTTCCAAAATATGTTATGTTGGGCTAGCATTTCATTTGTGTCTTTTTTTGTTTTTTGCTTTATGTTTTATGGGAGGTGATCATCCGCCTCGGGTGACATGAATCTTGAATATTCAAAAATATCCTCATAAATATGTGTACACGATGCTCACTGCCAAAAAAACAACAATTGTTGTTTTTTTTTCTCTCTCTAGTTTTTCGCTTTATGCTACTAATAATAAATTTTTTTTTTCGTTTTATTATTTTTTCTTCTTATTATTAGGTCTTTTTCTAATAGCCTCCAATTGTTGGACTAATTAATGCTGGTCTCAAAACGATGAATAGGACAATTATTTGTTATAGCCGATGAGATAATTTATTAATAAAAATAAATAAACAGATAAATGAGAGAAGAAATGAAAACAAATTAACAATAAAAATTTCCATTTTTATGGACATTTAGTGATTGGCAGCAACACCAAGCAAATCTTTGTTATAATAATCCTATGCTTTTATAAGGTCTTCTAGCGGTACCGCATCGCTGATCACAGGTACAGTTTATTCCTTGTCACATAAGGGACCTCTCAGAAATACACAAAGTTCGAAATCAAAAATATAAAGTTTGAGCAAGCAAAAGCCCTATAGCGCCCGAAGTACATATAGATGACGCATTAAGTGGATGGAAAAAAAAAAGAATAAATAAACAACCCAGCTCAAACTAAAAAAAGAAAGAAAATTGTCGCAGAATTTTTACCAACTGTCCATATATTTCAATATATATGCTAGTTATGTATATATAATAGTTTATTGGCTTACGTCCTGCCTTTTCATCCATATATAGATAGCATATAGCATATCTGTATATTATTAAAGGCCACCCGTCACCCGAAGCAAAAAAAAAAAAGCCTTTACATGGCCGTTTTAATAAAAACTCATATATATGTAACTAATATATTGCTTTATATATAACATATTATATATGTTTCCGCAATCCCTGTTTGTGCCTGAAACCACCTATAATTTTTCCATCTGCCAGATCCAGGTTTGCCTTTGTGACTATTGTTGTGGTTTTTGTTGTGATTGTTGCTGTACTCGATCGATCCAAACCCTGGTTAAGGCTGTAGCAGCCCAGTCACCATCCATGTCTAGTTACAGTGTTTGTCCTTGTAGAATTCATTTCACCCATATTGGCCCCTTTGACCCAAGTAACTGAATCTTCAAAGACAAAAATAATTATAGCGCATTAAAATAAGAAATTACGTGCGATGGGATAATACATTAAAGTGACATGATACTTCGATGGGATTCTTATATATACACACATTGTGCCACGCATTCATGTCCAGCACTATTAAAAAAAAAAAAAAAAATCCTAGTATTATCTGCATTCTTTCAAACATCCTTATCCATCCTTTATCCTTTCTGTACCTTGCTTTTCCTCCTGCAAAATTCTACTGTTAAATCTCTATGGAAGCACAATCATAAGGTACAGTCATTGATGATTTGAAAGGTGTCCCCACCTTGCAATGCAGCACTTGAATATTCTAAAATACAAATATACATATATCGAAGAAAACATGAATAAAAAAAAAAACTCAGGTTATTAACAACACAAAAAAAAGCATCCTAGCCAAGGGAAAAAAATATAGAGTGAAATTGATGTCCTCCTCCACTGCTATCCAGTCAACAAAAAAAGTATAATTTCAGTAAGCCAATTCAAAGGAGTAATCCACTCATCAGCATGCAATAAATTGGCTTATTGGGTAACATCGAGAAGGGTCGAATAAAACTTTGATATAATAAAAAAAAAACAAAAAAAAAAAAAAAAAAAAGAAGGTGTAATGTATAATTCATATGGGCTGACAACCCACAAAAAAACAATGAAAAAAAAAATGAAACTTGAAATGTAATGAGCGATACGAAAAAAAAGTTAAAGCGACAAGAGAAAAGTGAAAAGTGAAAAGTGAAAAGTGAAAATGAAAAAGAAAAAAAAAGAAAAAAAAAACATGTAGAAAGGAAATGAAATTGGAAACGGAGAGGGAAAAAAACGAATATTAATCAATAACCGACAAGGAAATGACTTCTTGGGATTTATTGTCAAGCGGGATATATAATTATTTTATTGTCTCCATTCATTGCTGTCATTAGAACTTGTTATAATAATGTTGGAACCTTGCCAAAAATTCATCAGCATCATCCACCTCGATAAACATACTATCACCCACAGTCAAGGCTCGTAAATCCGCAAATCCAAAATGATAAAACTTAAGTACCAACAACATAAAACAATAACATACTTTGTAACTATTATTCAACACCAAGAAATCAAACACATTAATCATTAACTCCGGATCAATCTTCATGAAAATCTTATACAAGTTCCTGGTGTTAATTAATGGCATCTCATCCTTGAAATGCTTACCCAAATATTTCTTCATGGTATAATTAGATTCAAGATTCGAATTGAATTTCGTTTTGAAAACATCATTCATCACATTGACATTAACCAATGACAAGATCCTGAATACCTCAGCAGGTGTAAAGTATAACAAGAATAAGGCTATCAAAACCTCATCCCCGTAATTCAACCCATTCTTGGAAATTTTTTGAATAAGCAACATTTTCTTCAATATACTGTTCAACTTTTGACCGGTCTGAAATAGTTCTAGTCTAGGGAAAAGTGATTCAATTATTAAATCGATTTCTGGCTCTAAGTAGTCGGTATTGATTGTGGACAATTTTTCTGACAAATCGTCGTACGTCTCTGTTGTCACCAATGACCCATCGCCACCATCATCGGTATTATCGTTGGTATCATTATGCTTGCTGTCATAGTAGCTCAAAACATCGTTCCAAACCTTGTACCTCAAATCATTCGGGATATTAGTTTTCCAGCATAAATGCCTCATCGAATAAATCACCGGTTTATGAATCTCTTTATGCTTTACCGTTAGTTCAAACCATTTTTGGTTATTAATCAATGAATTTTTGAGCCTCTGAAAGTTTCGCTCCTTTTTATCTATCTCCTTCTTACTGTAAGATTCGAACGCTTCTGAAATTTGTTGCTGATGTTTTGAATCTTCGTGAGCAGATTTTGGTGGCAACCACATTGGTCTAGTAGATGATAAAATATCAATTTTTTCAGGCGACATTAGTCTTAATTCATCAATAGTATGACTTAAAGCTGGAGCTTGAGATGCTGAAGAAGCAACGTCTGCGTGTGATTGCGAGCTATTCTGACTGGAATCAAGTGATACTGAAGATCTTGGAGATAATGAATGGATCGATGATTGACTTTCGATCTGAGACATGATATATGACGGCAATTTTGTATGATTTTCTTCTCTTTTGGCCAACTCACTAGCAATATAGTTATCAGAAACATCGGTATAAAACCTTGACAAATCATTAGCAAACGTTTGGTCGTTCATTGTGTTGTTATGAACATTGTTCACAAGAGGAGAAATTGGAATTGAGGTTTGTGAGGCATTAATGATTTTTTGTCTGGATTGCTTCGAGTTAGGATTTGTTGAAAATAATGTAGCAGTAGATCCCGAAGCATAAGGAATATTGAAAAAGATTGAGCTAGAAGCGCTATCTTCCAAATCAATGACTTCATCCTCAGTGTTGATATTAGATAATTCTTCTCTAAATGCCGACAAATTCTTTTTAGATAATTGTCTTCTTAATTTAAATTTTTGGCTTGGGCTAACGATTGTAGTACCATCAGAAGATATCAAAGGACTACCATGAGCTGAGACAACACTATCAAGTGTCAAAGAGGAACCATTATATACTGTGGACAATCCCAACCCAATGGCATTTTGTTTTGAACTTCCTAAGGATGGAGAAAGCGGATGCGAACGACGGTCATTATTCAAAGCTGGCATTGAAGCGACCCTATTCAACGATTTCCTTCTCATCATTCCGTCACTCCGTCTCTTAGGAACGTGAATGGTAGAAGAACTAGCATTGTAAAGAGTATTTTGTTTTGTTGTGTCATCAAAGTTAGATTCAAGTCTTGGAGAACTTGGGGTATTTGTGGAAGTTGCGTCAGGATTAGAGTAACTCAATTCTAAAACCGTATTATTTGAATTGATTGTGTTTAAGCTGATCGTTGAATTTTCAATGCCTTCTTGGCTAGCATTCCCAAGATTAATTGTATTGTCAGTGAAATCAGACGGTGTTCTTTTATGGCTAGCATCATTGTTATTGTCAAATTCATAATCCTCAGATGTACTTAAGTTCATAAATTGTGGAGTTTCTGTCATCTTAGGAGTTTTTTCGTGGAAAGTATCATCATTCTCGGGAGAAGATAAAATCTGACTAACATTTTCCATCGAAGTCAACAGAGAGATTCTTGAATCAAATTCGTTTTCAAATTCAAAGTTAGATGAAGTTGAACTCAACATCGAGTCATCAGAAAATGGTCTCTCGTTAACTTTTTCTTTACCTCCATTCTTGCAAGTTTTTGTAAATATCTGAGAATTATAAGGCTTGGATAAGGCATTAGGAATGGTGATTTGTTCTTCTATCCTTTGTTTATGTGGATGCGTTATTGTTGAATCGTAATCCTCACTGACACTTGCCAAACCACTAGAAATAGAATCCGATTTAGAATCAAATGATTGGGATGTATTACTGTGCTTCAAGCTCAGTAAGTTGTCACTTGGACGTCTGACTTGCGATTTGTTGATTCCCAACCCTCTGACAAACAGAGCATTGTTTTTAAGTGAGTGGACTGATGAATTTCCTGAAACTAATCCACCAAGGTTATGGACGGATGACGATGGCAGGTCCGGTACGCTTCCATTGTGGTGGAATTTCTTGGGCATATTCAAAGATGGGCTACCGAGAGATGATGTGCTGCCCGTATTGTTGAGAGATATGCGAAGGTTGCTCGCCGAGCCCTTGTGGCCTAATGTACGGTTCTGATTCTGCAAACTATCGTGAAACTTCTTGAAATCTTTGATCCCATAATCATTATTGCTATTATCATCATTTGATAAGCCTAACTTTCGGAAGCTCAAAAGATCGACATCTTGGAAGTCATCATCCTGTACAGCACTCAAAATTTTCTCGTACTTGGCATAATCGCTATTTTTTTTGGTGTCTGTTCGAGGAGAGGAAATAATCTCTGACTCCAGCTGAGGTTCTGTTGGCTCGGGAAATTGGCTATTGAGGGAACCTAATGATTTGGATTTCGACAACGAACGACCATTTCCTGTTTTATTCTTCTTGCTGGACTTTGGCACATATTGCATTGGCTTCGGGGAAATGTGATGCAACGAATGTTCAATTATTGACATGTTCACCAGAGCATTAAACTAGAAAATGATTTATATTTTGGGTATATTTGTTTAAAGCGAATGAAAATTAATGCTCCGATGGTCGAGATCTTTCTCAAGCGTTTGATATGAAAAGAATTTATTTTCTCTCTTTCAGATACAATATGAAACAAAAACTGCTAATAGTGTTGCTGGACAAAAGTCTATTGCAAAGCTCTTTTTTATGATATTAGATATTTTATTCTGTATCTCTTCTTCCTTTTCTTCTTCTTCTTCTTCTTCTCCTCCTTGTTCTTTTTTATTGTATGTTATTTCCCAAGTATTTTTAGTCGAAGCCCCTTCAAAATTGATATGATGATTTATATTGTTTTTTGTGGCCTTTCTGAATCTACTATTGTTTTTTTTTTCCTTACACCGTCCCGTGAAAGAAAAAGAAAAAATAGAAAAAAAAAAAAAGAGCACAAAATACGCGCGTTACCCGGGACCGTCTACCCAATGAGGCAGGTGAATGTTACTAGATTCAATTTGGCGTGTTAATTAAAGGTGTATTAATTAATTTGTATTAAGATTTCAAGGAAAGAAGGAGAGAGAAAGAAAGAAAAACATGAACGCCAATAAGAATTAGAAAATAAGAGAAAGCAAAGTCAATGCGAGTACAACAATAGCAACATCGGTACTGAAAAATTTAAAAACCTGATAGTACTTGTTGGCAGCATTTGCAGTACTAATAAGTTTCAGAGGTAGGAACATTTGGCCAGTTGAAATCACAAATTGTGGAATGATCGAATCATATTGAAACTGATAGTCAATACTATTCAAATATTGGATGAAGTAGCAAAGAGAGACCGTTTCCATTGCAATGAAAAGCTTCTTGAAGGTATTGGTATCATCAAGGAAATAACGATCATTGGTAGAGGATTCAACGAAATAAAACCGAATTTGCAAGGTGAAGAAAGAATATATTGATATGGCCATGAGCGATAACATTCTAAAAACAAGGTACCATGCCTTAAATTGACTTGATCTGTAACTATCATAAGCAATAGTCGATGGAGCTGTAGATTGTCCGCCTGATGGAATACTGCCGTCCCCGCCAAACATGTTAGCCATATCTGGGTTTGACATTAATTTGCCAAATAAGTCCTGAGTCGAATCACCTGGAGACCCTCCAAGATTGGAGCCTCCGAGGAAACTCTTCATGAAATCATTTTGGCTGAAAATATCATCTCCTTGTAGAGGAAATGAGCCAGCTGAGTTACTACTCGTCCCTTTTTTATCTGCCCCACTCAATGCATTGAATGCTTTATTCCTTATTATGTCTATTTCGTCAATGTCAGCCACGTCTGGATCTTCTTCTTGGATTGCCAGTGATTTGGAGTCAAATTCATCCTTGAGGTTTAGCAACGATGGAGGTGGATTATCAAGAATGGATGATATTCTGTTACTTCTGGTATTTCCAGTAGATGCAGTTTTCGCAACTTTCTCAGGGATGACATTTTCAGTGTTACTGTTGGTGGTGGTTTCAGACTTCTGGAGTGGTGTTGAGGTGGACGCAAAAGAAGAGTTGGAACTAGTGATCTTGTTCAAACGATCCCCTCCATTGGCCTTCATTTTGGCCTGTCTTCTCTCTCTCAATAATTTCTGCTTCTCAGCATTGGACAACGTGGACATCTTTCAAATGATAATAAGAGAAGGTTGTTCAATGCAGATAGAGCATACATACACTGATCGGTTTTTGTTGGTATTTTGGACAAAGTTCGAATTTTCAATTTCCCGTCCTCTAGCCAACGCAACTAACCGGAACAGGAAATTTTGACGCGCGCGGTTTGTACAAGGACAGGAGACTCGACATTAGTCTAAGGGGAAATTCAGAACCTCTAGGGATGAATCTCTAGGTTCCGACTGAAAGCCTTGAAAATAGCTGTTAATATACTCAATGGTGTTTGCCAAATAGGAATTTACAACTTCCAAATCCCATAATCACGTGATATGCCCCATAATCAATGAAAATGGTTCTGCAACACACATAAACACTTGATATTATTCAATAAGCCGTCGCTACACCAATTTCTTTTCTGTTTTCAAATGCTTATTTCGTTTCTGCGGTTCATTTAAGTTTCGGATATATATCCGTGCCATACATATCTTGTCGTTATATGGCACCTTCCGCCTTTTTTTTAAAAAAAAAGGTTTGCAGCCCCAGCCTGTAAATGATTTTGTAGAAAAGAATTGTGTTTTCGCACAAGGGAAGCATCATACAGATAAGTACAAGCCAATACTAAACAATCTCAACAATCTGAGGATATCAACTTTTCCTTTTACTCTTTTTGTTTGCTTTTTCCTCTCCGTCAATATACCACCATTCTTCCAAACTGTCCTGTGGATTGTTTGTGAATCTGACTTTCTCATTTCAAACAGAGTTTATATTTCCCCATATCTTTTGGCACGTTTTTTCCATGTTGCAAAATTTAACCCATTAAGAACCAGACCTTAGTCTACTAAAGCATCAAACGGTTAATAATATCTCTCAATGAGAAAAAGAAACTCATTTTTCTTCTCTTCTTCAACAAAGAAGGCCCTTAAAAAGAGAAATAAGCACAAGGCAAAACAAAAAGTTAGAGCTGTGTCAGGAATTCCGGTCAGTTTTGCAGACTCAAGTGTTGATGACAATCAAAATTTTGAGACCAGATCATTGAATGTCGAAATAGGTTACGATAGCGATAAAGATTCTGAATCAGAAGGATTCAATGTTGATGATCTGGATGACAATTATGGCGATAATGGAGATTATATTGAGCATGGGGATCCAGTTCAAGTCTCGTACAGGCAGTTAGATTTCAAGCAGAATGTCGATCTAGACAGGCTTAGGCAAACTTCGGTTTCTCCACGTCAGCTGGTATCTATGAGAGAGGCAAGAAATGCTGATGTGAATGATGCACTCAAAGGCTTACTGAGTCCGCTTATTGATACCCCGGAGACTTTTGATGCAGATTTTGGTAGAAATGAACAAGAAGATTTGATCCGCGCTAGCAGCAAAAACCCCACTGCGACTTTGGAATTAGATTTGGATTGTAATGTGAAATATCTAAGTAAATCTTGGGAAACATTTGTTGGTACTAGCGTTAGAAAAATTGTTAATAAGCCCATCTCAAAGATCATTATGGGGGATGATGATGACAAGGATGTATTTAAACGAGCTATTGAGATCATGAACCAAGACGATGCAAGTTATAGGGTTCGCTTCATTGTGGCAAAAAATCACATTACGGACTACGATGATTTGGAAAGCAATAAAACTGGAAGCTCTACATCACAAGAAATTGAGGCCGATCTCACTTTGGGTGAAAGTCATTTACAGCTATCGCCCTCGTCTGAAACTTCCAGAACCAGTTCAGGTTCAGACCTTTCTACAAATGATGAATTTATAGAACTAGAGGGTCAGGGTATTTTGATTCATGATATTACTACTAAAGAGCCAACACATTCAATGTGGCTTTTGAGACCTTACATTGAGCATAATTTTCTGATCGAGCTTCCTAAAGGTCTAGCAGAAATTCTAGGTTTCGGCGCTGATTTATTTGCTGCTTACTTAAAGTACATAACCGATTCTGGAATCACTGATGAAATTTCGGCCCCTGTACCTGGCCAGTTATTTTGTAATATATGTGAGCGACAAGTGCCATGTTGGTGGCTAGAACGTCATTCGGAAATCTGCTATGCTGAATCAAAAGCTGAGAGTGATTTGCAGATAGCTCATGACAATGTCATGGACCATCGCAATTTAATAAATTCAATTGCCACTCTGAAAGTTAACGATTATAAAGGGTTGCGGATTCCTATTGCTAGCGATATCACCACACCAAACTTAATCACCAGCAGAAATCTATCTACCACTTTGCGATTTCCTTTTAGAACACTACATTCTCTAACTGAATTATGTGACGAAGCAATCAATATTGATCCTGCCGATTTTGAATCTGATGATGAAAAACCTTCAAAAGATACCAGCAAGATAGAAAAGGAGTTCAACGATATCTTTGAATGGCATATTCCAAAATCAAATGATAAGGCCATCAACACTCTTATTGAAGATACAGAATATATCTGCAAAACCAAAGCGGAGGCCATGCTAAGAGTTCTAAATACCCAAAGTTACCATGAACAATTGAAAAATGAGGTTGATGGGTTAGTTATTAGAGCGGTTCATGATACTGTGGCAAAAATCAATGAACACTTGCAGGGAGTCAATGTCAATCTGGCAAATGATACATATTCATCACCTATCATAGCTGCTGCAAACACGAGCTCTCCTGACTTAATTTACAACTACATGGATAAAGAGGTTACTCCTACAGTTAGCTCAAGGGCAACTTTTGAAGCTTTCAATAGTAATATTAATAGCAGAGCCCCATCGGTACCTTCGCCACTAAGAAATAATTCAGGCTGCTCTATGCAAAGACAGCCAAGCTCATCTTCAATATTAAGTGACCGGAAGAGTTTTTACAACATGGAAACTGATCAATTAGCAGAGTCGTTCAAAGATATATCATTGCTAGATTCAAACAAAAATGGTAGTACTGGATCTTTCAAAAAGCCAAAAGACATTATTAATCAACCAACCCCAGTCCCAATCTTACCAGCACAAGGATCTCCTAGAAGGCCTTATTCCCCCGGCCCAATTGTGAGCTCGCCATTAACATCAATCCAGAGAAACAACAAGAGTCAAAATAATTTGTTTCTTAATAGCAATGACTCTTCAGTTTTTCCCAAACCAAACACTGCAAACTCACTGCCTCTATTGCTTGGCGGTGATGGCAACAATGTAAATAATGTTTTTCTTGATTATCCAAGAAAAGACTCGGAAGATGGGAGTCATTACAGCGCAACTCCTACAAATTCACTCTTGGCACAGCAAAATGCTAATAATAAACCTCCATTGTCACCATTATTAATATCTACATTTTCTGGTTCAAAACCCGCTGGCCCAAGTATCAAGGATTATGAGATTCTCAAACCGATCAGTAAGGGTGCATTTGGTAGTGTTTATTTGGCAAGGAAGAAGGTCAACGGAGAATACTTTGCAATTAAGGTTTTAAAGAAATCAGATATGGTGGCGAAAAACCAGGTCACAAATGTCAAAGCTGAAAGGGCGATAATGATGTCTCAATCGAACAGTCCATTCGTGGCAAAATTGTTTTCCACTTTCCAGACAAGAAACTATTTATTTTTGGTCATGGAATATTTGAGTGGTGGTGATTGTGCATCATTGTTAAAAGTGTTAGGAACCCTTCCTGAAGAGTGGGCTAAAAGATATGTCGCAGAAATCGTGGTTAGTGTTGATGACTTGCACAAAAAGGGGATTGTTCATAGAGATTTGAAACCAGATAATTTCTTGATTGATTCAAATGGTCATTTGAAGCTAACTGATTTTGGATTATCAAGAATGGGTTTAGTTGGAAGACAATATAGACATCAGAATGCTGGTAATGGCAACATTAATGGCCTGGCTGGAATCAGCTTTGATTCTGAGGGGAATTTACCATTATCGAATCCTGCCAACTCTAAAAAGAGTACTCCTATTGTTCCTTTGCTTAGTGAACATAAAAGATCAATTTCTTATGCTTCGAGTATTAGTAGTAGTGATAGTGGTAATAACAATAGTGGTTCAAACTTTTTGTTTAACAACAGCCATAACAGTGATGCAAAGAGTAATTCAATTAACCATAATAGCCCAACCACAGCTTGGTTTGAGAATTTAATGAAACAGGAAAAATCAAATTCCGGATTAACAGGGTCTCCGAGAAGTAATAGTTTAGCTGCCCTTAATAACAATTTACTCTCCAATGACGTGGGTGGATCTCCGGTTCTCAAACCTTTGCATCGTTCTAATTCCCAAACCTCATTTGCATTGCTTGATGATGATATTTCCTTGAATAATCAAACTCCAAAAAATTTCGCATTATTTAATCCACTGTCTTCAGCAGAAACAAGGAGGTTTGTTGGTACTCCGGATTACTTGGCGCCAGAAACTATTGAGGGCTTGGGTCAAAATGAGGCCAGTGATTGGTGGTCTTTGGGATGCATTTTGTTTGAGTTCTTATTTGGATATCCACCATTCCATGCCAATAATATTAATCAAGTTTTCGAAAATATTTTGAGTGGTAAAATTGAGTGGAGTGATTTAACAGAAGAAGAAATCCAGGAAATTTGCTCACCTGAGGCTAGAGATTTGATTGTGAGATTATTGAATGTTGACCCAAGGCAAAGATTGGGTAATAATGGTGCCATGGAAATTAAGCAACATATCTTTTTCAAGGAAATTGATTGGGAACGTCTATGGGATGAAGAGGCCTCTTTCATCCCTGCTGTTGATAATGTTGAGAATACAGATTATTTCGATTCTAGGGGGGCTACAATGAATGCGGATATATATGACAAGGATGATGATGCGTTGGCAATGGAAAATGACAAGCAATTACTGGAGTTATTTAAGCCCAATAATGAAAACTATGGCACAACACCAGCTGGGGTAGAAAATTGGCTCAATGACAATGAAGATGATGCCAATATTGATAACCCTGCTGGTTGTGAAATTTTGGAGAGTGGTTATAATGGTAATAGCAGTAATAGCCAAAATTTGGGATCACCATCATTAGTTAAGCGCGAAAGACGGAAAAGCGCCAGGCTCAATGATTCTTCTGGCGAATTTGGATCTTTTCAGTATAGGAATCTTACTGCATTGGAAAAGGCTAATAAAGATATTATCAACAGATTAAAATCAGAACATTTGGATCACAAGAATAATATTTCTAACTCTTCATCAGACTCAGTCAATACGAAAACAAGAGGATTTTCTTTCAGTTCCAGTTTGACAAACTCTCCTCATTCTGTTAAACCTCCGATATCCGCGGGAGCGAACATTGCATCACCTGCAAAATCCAGTTTTCCAGGTTTTGTTGGTCACTCTAATTCATTTCCTCTGAATCATAATGCAGGCTCTCCGATTTTGAAGCTTGATAAAACCAATAGCGCACATTCACTTAGTATTCAGGATGAGGCTCTTTTAAGTACTGAATCTTCTGGTAGAGCCAGTCCAATAAGTACGTTACAAAACTCTAAGCATGGAAGCGCTAGCTCTGATACCAAAGAAAATATCTCTTGTGAGAATACCGAATTCGCGGTACCTATGGTATATCCAAAGAATATGGCCAAGCTCTCTCCTGCAATTTTTGGACAGCAACCTAGTGGTAGCCCAACATTAAAGCCTATCAATAGAGCTGCTATATATGGGAAAGCCTTTGCTGATGTCTCACCTTCGAGTTCAGATAATGAGGATTCTAGAAACTCTGCCATCTTGCGAATTAAGAGAAGGAGATCTAGACGGGTTGGCTCGCAGAATTCTAACAACAGTGTCAATATTAGTAAGATGGCTACTACATCTTTAGCTCATAAGCACTCAATTTCCAGTACCGGCGAGGATTTGAAATTTAAATCGGTTGATGTTCTACTATGTGAGCCAATTCCTATTTTCAGATACTCTGCAAGAAAGATTTTGGCAAAGCTTGGTTGCAATGTGGTTGCTGTTGGTAGTGGTGATGAAATCGTTAGAAGAATTTCTGGCCAAGTTAAATTTGATATTATTTTGACCACTATCAAAGGTGAAAAACTCAGTTTGAATGATATTATCAGATTGATCAGATTTACTAATACCATCAATTCCAATACGCCAATAGTAGCATTAACTTCCTATTACAAGGAAGCAGTTGCTTTAAAGATATTTGATGATGTGATTGAAAAACCTGCAACGCCAGCAAAATTAGAACTGGTTTTGTCAAAATTTGTTTCCTCAAAATATGATATTGCTTCTGATGCTGAAAGTATAATATCCGTTAACAGAGGTCCTGAATAGCATTTTTCTCTTAATTTTTTTTTTGTCCATTTTATTATATTATAGCTTTACTGTTTTGTTTTTGTTTTTTTCTATAGCTTTGTTTTCTTTTTAATGTTATTTTTTCAATTTGCTTCTTTGACTTTTTTTAGGGTTTTTGCTTTATTCTATTTTGAAAAGAAATTACTTCTAGCTTTCCTTTTTAATCTTGATATTACTATTTCACCTTTCCTTGTGGTGACGTGAACTTTCTACTATGACGCCAACTAAGCTATGTAATCGAAATTATTGCAGTATATGATGATTTACGCTGGTGAATGAGCAAGAACTCCTGTAATCTCATTCTAGCATCGTTATGTCAAATGAATGATATCCCCTTTTTGTGCAAAGCACGTTGCTCTAATCGCACTCAAATATTTTTGTTGGATATCTGAAGCCACAAAAGGCAAACGATTGCTTGATATACAAAACTTGGGCAATACATCAGAATACCATATTATTGCGGGTGGCGCTATCATTGAGGTTCTGGTTTTGACATTCGCTGATCGGAAACACCCTTTTTCAGACTGACTCCTCTTTTTGTCTCCATCGGACTTATCGTCAAGCATAGACACAAATAGATATAGAATATTATTCACATTAATAATGGCGGTCTCTATAAATGATAGTTCTGATGATATTTCTACTAAGTCAGGACATATCTTTGTTCTTGTTCATGGGTATGTATTACTATTGGGTCGTACCTTCTTTTTCTTCTCTTTTTGTGAGCGGATCATATTCGGGATCATGGCATGAAACTGACATTCGATTGTTTTTTGACAGTCTTTGGGGCACTTATAAGCATGTTAACAGTATAGCGGCGTCTATTAAACACGTATTAGGTGATACCGCTGACTCCGAGATTTGTATATTTCAGCCAAGGACTTCAACGTACTTCAAGACTTATGATGGCGTCCGAGTCATGGGAGATAGATTTTTGAAGGAATTATATGAGGAAATTTTGAATTTAAAGAAAGATAGAGGTATTTTGATTACAAAGATATCTATAGTTGGATATTCTTTAGGTGGTTTGGTCTCTAGATATATGATTGGGAAGCTCTATGAAGCAGGATTTTTTGAAAACATCGAACCGTACTTTTTCACTACATTCGCCACTCCCCATTTAGGCGTCAAATTTTTTGGCAGTTATCTGGGTCCTATTTTGAATTTCTTAGGTTCAAACTTTATAGGTACTAGTGGTAGAGACTTATTTATTAGAAATAAGATTTTGGTAGAATTGGGAGATAAGGAGGGCCCATACTTCAAAGCATTGAGAGCCTTTAAACAGAGATATTTATTATCAAATATTAGACACGATAGAACAGTTGCATTTTATACTTCATTCATCAGTGATGTATCTCCATTTGAGGATTGGAGTAAGGTCAAATTGCAATATTTAAATGGTATACCGGAAATTAAAGTAGGTGATAAAATTGTTAAACCAAGAATTATTGACTTGAAAAATTCAAAGATCCGGCCAACTAACATGCCTTTACCACCACCAACACTTCTTAGTAGATTACGCTATATTGGGATATTGATATTGATTAGTTTCATTCTTCCGATTTGGTTTCCGGTTGTTTTTACGGCTAACTGTATTGGAACCACTCTTTCATATTTCAGGCTCACGTTCAGGCCGTTGGAGTTTGATAGTGCTAAAGAGTGGCTAAACTTGAAAATATATTTATTTGGTGAAAATCAGAAGCAGGAAATCAAGCCTACATCAGAACATGGTGCAATTGATGAAGGCACTGTTGATGCCCCATTAAGTTTACACTCGGCGAAAACGAATGATAGCATCATCTCCAAAGAATTAGCTGGTTTTACAGAAGGTGCAATCGAAAATATGTTAGAGGCACCGCAAATGAATGAAGATCTTGAAACTGTTTCGAAATCATATGATAATGATACCATCTCAGTGGAGTCTGAGTACAATTTCGTTGCTGGGGGAATTAATAACGAGGTGTTTATTGATATTCCAAAGCATGCCGAAGCTGCCGGTAAGCTCTTATCATATATTGATAGTGGTAAAAACAATGAGCTTGAATATCCACTTTTCAACAGAAGCAATCTAAAATCCTTACCGTTCGATGAAGAACGGGCAAAAATTAACAGAAATTTAAATTCTTTACAGTGGTTCAAGATTGCTTCTTACGTTGATGCTTTCAATGCACATGATGGTATTGTGGCTAGAAGAGGGTTAAGATCTAGTCCTAGGGGATTTGCAACAATATACTTGTGGGCAGCATTGATTAAAGATCAATTGCCTAAGCTTAATTCTGCTCCAGAGGAATCTTTAATTTGAGCAGAACCTTATTACAATTACAATTATTGGTGTCTTCAGTTTTTATTTAGGTTTTTCTATAGAATAATAAGAACATATATTTTTATTTTAATTTTTGGTCATATCCTTTATTTTAGTGGTATTTTTATTCTATGAATTCCCACAATCTTATCCACTCATGTTGAAGACGGTTTTGCAGAAAAAAAAAAAGAAAAAAAAAAAAAAACGGCCGGGTACTATGCGAAGAATATAAAATCTTTTGAATCAAAAACGCTTCAATCAGAACATTACGATTTGTAATAAGAGGACGCCTTCTATTATTTGATTTTAGTGTGATATAAGAAGCAATAACAGGGTGGGTCAAAAGCATTGAAAATAACAATACAAATATAAAATAGCTATAAAATAAAGTGGTGGGATAGATAAAGAAACACAAAATCCAATTCAGAAGCATGTCAGACCAAGAGCTTAATCAAAATAGCAAATCAGCTCCATCAAGCTGTCCAGTTGACCATACGAAATTCCAGTCGCGGGACAATATGAATGACAATAATAATAAGAAATCTTCATGGATGCCAAATCTCTCCTCATTGTTCTGGGCTTCTCCAGAAAGCTTGGGTACCCAAGACGTTTCAGCTTGTCCGGTGCATATTCCAGGAAGCGGCGATACTTCCAAAGATGATGGCGCTGAGAAGTGTCCTGTTGATCCAAGTACAAGAGATGAATGGCTTAAAAATATGAAGCAGCAGGGAGGATCTGGTATGCCAAGTAATCATCCTACCATGAGTTACGATATTGAAGAACCAAAGAACAATAACAATAATGCAACCGATGGAAAGTCATGCTCGTCCAACGAGTTACCTGATGAACCAACATATAAAACCCAAGTGGATTTGCCAATTGCTCGTGAGGTCTCCTCAATACCGCGTACTGGAGAAGACAGTAATTGGGTATATCCATCTCAGAAGCAATTTTTTGAGGCCATGCAACGTAAAAATTGGAACCCCGAAGCTTCGGACATGAAGACCGTTGTTCCTATTCATAATGTTGTCAATGAAAGGGTTTGGAGACTTATTCAGATGTGGGAAAATGGTCAAGGAGGAGATCAGTGTGGGGGAATTCAATTGACGAGCTTCAAAGGTAAATCTAAAAAATTGACTCCAAGAGCTAGATGGAGACTACTTTGGGGCTATGAACGACCATTCGATAGACACGATTGGATCGTCAATAGATGTGGTAAAGATGTTGAATATGTGATTGATTTCTACTCTGGAAAACAGGATCCAAATTCAAAGTCCCCAGCTTTCTTTTTAGATGTCAGACCAAAGTTGAATAGCTTTGAAGGTTGGAGGCTAAGAATTTCTAAAGCCTTGGGACTTTAAACTTGGACCTTTGTATTGTATGGTGTCATATTTGTTATTTGTTTATATCTATCGTTGTTTTTAATGTAGTTAAACTCTTGAGAATCATTGTTTAACTTACTGTTTTGTATATAGGATAATATTAATAGATCCCATTTTAAAAATGATAAAATAAAAAAATATAGAAAAACTGGAGAACAAATAGATATATTTTCTAGACTCTTTTGTACACATAGTTACAGGTGGAACATAATAATTATAAATCCTATATTATAGATCCAAAGATGCGACAATCTTCAATTCTATTTGATTTTCAATGTTTGGAAAGTATATATACATGTATGTATCATCAGATGAATAAGTAAATATCATGACTTTATCAATATCAACAAAAATCAACTTGGGTTTTGCCCACTGGTACATGAATTTTCATTGAATAGAAAGCCGCTTTGATATAGAAAGGGATAATATTGAGGCGGTGGGGTGGGGGAATAAAAAAATACAACTTCTTCATTTCTCATAACAACGTTTATTAATTCAAATTCATAATTCTTCCGTCATTAATTTAACGTCTACCTGGGAATTGGGAGCTGCCAATCTTTTGCATGTGTTCACCAACCTTGACATTGGTATCGAAATATTTAGCAACACATCTGTCAATACACAACCCTTCGTTCTTGTTAACGTCACCTTCACTGTAACCCTTGGATTTTTCAATACATTTGGTGTAACAAGTGTCAACTAATCTGTTGAACATGTCGGTAACCATATCCAATTCAGCTTCAGCAGCTTGGACTTTTTGTTCAGATGACAATTTTGGGGCACCGCCTCCGAGACCTAAGAATGACATTATTTGTTTATTATGTGATAAGACAAGGAAGAATTGATTGGGTTGGGAAATCCAATTAAATTAATCAATAATATTTTCGAGCGAAAAGACCTATCGTGAGCACATCTACACACCCTTTTACTTTTCTCATTCAATTGAATAAAAAAGACAAAAAAAAAAAAAATTTTCCTCGCGCACCACGAAGTTTTGCCCCCCGTGCTTCTGTGCAATAACTGTATAGTACGTACAGTCTTACTGTTTGCTTATCATTATCACTGTGTGTAGGTAGTAAGCACTAGGGCGGCCAAAACTGATGGGTATCATTAGATGCTTCATTAGGAGGATTAGCTCAGGTGTTCGTTACAGGTTGGCTAGGTGTTTTGGGTTGGCATATTAGATGTCTTCTCTAGTGTTGTGTCTTTCTATTTCTGTGTAAATTACGGAGCCACAGGATCCTTAAGCGGTAGACTTTTCGTACAACAAGCTCCCTGGTGGTGCTGTCCGTTATATTTTGGTCTAACTGTACGATCTATATCGGTTAAGGACACGATAAGGCACTAATTGTAAGTACGCTGCGCGGTTAGTATTTGGCAATACAATACTTGCAACCGTGGTGGTATTTCCGGCGAGTTATAAAGAATAATAAGTAGGGATGAAGCAGAATAAAAGAAAGGTCTTTGGATGATACCGATGATTTCTCGGCGGTGTAGCAGCCATAATAATAACGGTGTCGTATACCGGCGATGCAAGTGGTTCACAGGTACGTACATTATAACAACAATTATTCCGCTCTTCCAATCGTTGCTTTTTTATTTATTTTTTTATTTTTTATTTACTAAACAATGCGTAGCACTGCTTCTGTGATTAATGAGCCATCCTTGTCTCTGATTGGTGGAAACTGGTCATGTCAACAGAGCAGGGTTGAAGTGGCGTTTTTTCTCCAATAAGGGCCTGATCAGTGATAACGTCATAGCTACAGCGATATTCTTGTGACAGCCTTGCTCTGGCACATCAGACCACCAGGACCCATTGCAAAGACCCCACACCCGTAATAATTCAATGGTACAATAAAAGAAATTCCCAAATCAAAACAAAGAAAATTGGAAAAAAAAAAAAAAAAAAAAAAAAAAGAAACAGTGGAAAAAGAAACAGAAAGAAAAAAAAAAGCAAAGGGGGGATCATGCTGGGGCTATAAATAACGCATCTACACCTCTCCGCAATTCGGAATCTCTTTTGATTTCCTTTTTCCTTATTCTTGTTTTTTTTTTCTGTTACGCTGTTCGCCTTCACAAATAAATTTGCTATACAGCGCTGTGTCTTATCATTTACTATCGCTCACATACACTGTATTGTATTATTATATTATATCACATTATACTATATCATCATAAACCCCAAACATGACCCAAAGTTTATTCCCAAAAATTACCGATATCGTTCCTTCTTTTAGATTGGACAACAGATTAGCCATTGTCACTGGTGGTTCTGGTGGTTTGGCCACCGTTATTTCTAAAGCTTTGTTGGCCCAAGGTGCCTCAGTTGCTCTCGTTGATATGATTCAAGAACGTGTTGATGTTTCTGCTGAAGAGTTGGCCGAGTGGGGTAGCTTTAACAAGATCCCATTGACCACCCCTGAAGGTGTCAACAAAATCTCTAGTTGGCAATGTAATGTTGCTGATGATGCTGAAGTTACCAAGGTCTTCAATGAAGTCAATGTCAAGCATGAAGCGGTTGCCGATTTGTTGATCCATACCGCCGGTTTCTGTCAAAACATTGACGCTTTGGATTATCCTGCTAAGAACGCCCAAAATTTGGTGAATGTCAACTTGATGGGCTCATTGTACTGTTCTCAAGCCATTGCCAGAAACTTGGTTGCTGTTAACAAGCCAGGTTCTTTGATTCTTATTGGATCCATGTCTGGTGTTATTGTTAATGATCCACAACCTCAGGTTGCTTACAATATGTCCAAAGCTGGTGTCATCCACTTGGTCAAATCCTTAGCTTGTGAGTGGGCTAAGCATGGTATCAGAGTCAATGCTTTATCTCCAGGTTATATCGCTACACCATTGACTAAGCAGGTCTTGTCTGGTAATGATGAACTTAAGCAAACATGGGAATCTAAGGTTCCAATGCACAGAATGGCTGACCCAAAAGAATTCGTCGGTACCATTTTGTACTTGGCTAATAGCGAAGCCTCAAGTTACACTACTGGTGAAAACATTATGGTTGATGGTGGTTATCAATGCTGGTAAGCTCAGTAATGGCTCAAGGTTTTGGTTTTTCTCATCCTGCATTTTATACCTATAGATACAAATATGTAATGGAAGAGGTGGAACCGTAAAAGTGCTTGTTTTGTTCTAATCTCGTGTGTTTGATTTTCCTGCTTTTTCAGTGGCATTTGTGGTTTGTTTGTTTTTTTCACTGAATTTTTTTTTCTCATTTATATTTTACAACTGTAACTTGTTTGCTATTCTAATTAATCTTATATATGCTAATCTTTAAAAATCTATCAAACATTCACTCATTTCTTTAGGCATTATAGTATATTTTGAGGAAGTGAAAGTTACCCATCGGTTTTGTTTATTTTCACACTGTATTTATTGAAGATTAGGATTGAGAATATTATATTATACTAAATTTTACATTGATAGCTATCAATACTATAGTATTTTCAGGCATCTTATACCAAACTAAAATAATACTTTGTCTTAACCACACACATTATTATAACAGGCAATAACTAGTGATAGAAAAAAAAAGGAAATTTAATACAAACTATGTAACTTCTCATCAACATGATTCCGAATTTCAGAAATCTGTATGTTATATCGGCCTTGAATTATTTGACATATTAAAAGTATGATAATGCTGGAGTTACAGATTATAAAAAAATTAGAAGTTGTAATAATAACAGGTTCGTTAAACCAAAAGATGCGTAGACCGGGAATCGAACCCGGGGCTCAACTATGGCAAAGTTGAATTTTACCACTAAACCATCCACGCTCGTGATGTTCGTGTGGGGGCAAAACGAATACACTGACATTTAATATTGTTGTTACCGTCGAGTTGGTATATCTTCTTGTCCCCGGGATTCTCAGGTTGGCTTTATGATCCAAAAGATACCTTGACACGCTTAAACCATACATACTTTTCCCCAACATGACAAGCTTTTCTAACGTAGTGGTGGTGTTTCCAATATTGAAATCAAATGAGGTCATTCATTCGCGTTGGTATACTCCAAAATAATAATCTTGATTGTTCAGTTTTTTACCGGTGAAGTGATTAATCCTTAAAGCAAGGAGTGTGATGTTGTGAGAAACTCATAGTATTTTACTTACCTATTAGAAAGGCCGGCATAAAATCCCTGATTTGCATGTTATTTAGGACCTCTGTGACACATTAATGTACAATTCATTCATTCATTCACTTCAACATATAAGTGTTTCTCACAACCTTTTTTGTAGCGAAGCTATTATTTATAAAGCTTTAATATTTATTTTAAATTTAACTATATGCTATTGGTTTTTGCACTATTTTGTCTTTATTAATTATTGCCTATTACTGCATCTAAACACGACACAGGTAGCCTAGGTAACGGTGGGTCATAACTTGAGTAGTTCTTAAGAATTAGAAATGAGTTGAGTGATTTCGGAATTTATCTTATGATATTGGCGACTGAATCAAAGTAATACTATTTAGAATGATGTCTTAATAACAAATAAAATGATAAGATATAAAGAATTAATATGCAGAGGCCGGATTTCGGTTTCTTTTTCCTTATTTCTTCAAATGTAGTATAAGACTATGTGAAATCCCTTTAGAACTTTTGAACAATGCCTAGTCGCAAAACTACATTATTCTTCCACTTGAAATAGTCCAACAGATGCTACTTATTCATTCAAGCAAATGACTATTTTAGAATTAATTACATTTTTGTATGGAACTCTAATGACAAGTCGCACAGAAAGCACGCAAAATCTCATTGATATCATGATTGTGCCAACATGGGAAATACATACTACAACGGTGTTACAAAACTCTGTGGATCAAATAACTATGGAGCTCTAAGATTCTATATTTCGTGCCAATAGCGATAATAGAGGGTAGGAATTCAAGAACTTCTTTGCTTTGGGGGAATCGATCATCTGCAACAAAAAAAAAAAAAAAAAAAAAATTACTACAGCACATGATCGCATCTCTTACGAAAACAGAAAAACACTACCAAAATAACAAATTGAGTTTCATAAACCCATAAACTAAACAATGTTATCATTGACAAAAACAAGAATATAATTACAAAAAAAAAATAGTGTACTCTCGAGGAGGAGAAACGAAACATATATCAGATATCTCAACTTTTAAAAACACATTGTTCATAAAGAGAAAATGCTGGGAAATCCATTAACAAAGATCATCTTCTTATCAACATTCCTAGCCACTGGATTTTTGTTGATAATTTTGAGTTGCGCACTTTATGGCAATTGGCTTCCATTAATAGTCGGTAAGTTCCATGTTTTTCTTCTTGTTTTTTACTATGTCCCTATTTTGCCCGTACTTATTAATTCATATCCACATTCTTCTCATACTAACAATGCATATTATATGTACAGTTGGAATATTCATGGTGGCACCGCTCCCCAATTTCATATTTAGTAATTATGGGGACAGTTATGATTTCATGAATGATTCTTCAAAGTGAGTATTTATGATTTATGTTCAGTTTCTTTTTTTTTTTTTGTTCGTTTCACAACTCAGGTATTGATATGGTATCAATATGGTATCAATATGGTATCAATATGGTATCATGCATTTGGACTTCTTTCTAACAGTCATTTTATTATAGTCCTTCAGGAAAAGACTTTGGAAATTTTTTGACAAGTTATTTTGTGGTCAGTGGTCTTGCCTTGCCAATAGTATTTTACCATACTCATTTGATTACATTACAGGCTGCCATAATGAGCATGTGTGGCGGCGTGATTGTTTATTTAACAATAATAATATTTGGAACGTTTTTCTATGAGTCAAATGATGATGATTATTATTGAACTCACAATGGCTAACTTTTTTTTTTTTTGATCGTTGATTGAATGTTAGGCGTGATTGAGGTGAGTGTAAAGTACACCCTCTTCTGCTGCCCTAAGCAACGCCTTTTGTTTGTTTCTTTAAGAGCTTCGGATTTAATCTATATGATGTATATCGAAACTTTTGAATATGACTTCACACCTGAGTATCAATCTGTCGACTTTTACATCGAAAAGGCATAGAATATTGGGTGGCTTGTGAGTCTGCAAGGTTCCTCCAAAATTATAAAAATATTGAACAACATAGATAATGGATTGACCTACTGCAGTATAAAAAAAAACTATTGTATAATTTACTATGAAAATTCACATTTCTACTGCTAACTCAGAAAGTTTCTTCATGGATCCTGTTGGTGGTGTATATAGGAAAGTAGAGTAGGTTCTATACATTTGTTGACATGCTCAATGTAAATCCTCAGAATACTTACACTTATAAGCACATACAGTTAAAATATCATAGGCAAATTAACATTGTACTGTTCGAATGATGATATAAAAGAGATAATGAAGGAGAAATATAAAGGTAGGAGGGATCCCTACCTTCGAAGGTAAAATAAGCTCACCGGATATTAGATTAGTCACATGATTTACATAGGATATTGGGATAACCCCGAGAGTCTGTCCGGTGGGAGTGGAGGTGTGGATGTGGTAATATCTTAACAGAAATCAAAGCAAAATATACCACGAAACAAGCTCATACTGCAATACTAAAACGTTTCACTCCACCGATGTTTGTCTATTTATAGACTGATTTTATATTTTGAATTTTGGGCTCTCTAACTGCGATATCCCCATAGGTAACGTAGTACCCAACTACCAACTACCAACTACCAACACCCAAACACCGACGATATATTGTGCGGGTAACAGAAACAGCCACTTTTTCACTATATAAGACCCTCTTTCCCTCTGTTTATTACTTCCTTTATAGATATTTTCCTTTCTTTGTCGACGTACTTCAGTAAGTAGCCCCCCATATGGTTTGCTATCACAATAGTATTACCATTTTTAAAATGTTGCTATTATCCTTGGATTCAGGAAACTAACACCTTCAAAAGTAGGATCATTTCTATAGGTCACGTCTCTCTTTGACTCTTCAAAAGAGCCACTGAATCCAACTTGGTTGATGAGACAAAAACCCTCATGCTCTAGAATGAGGTTTGAAAATAGCTTGCTCTGTGATCCTAGTTGATCCAGTCATCTACATTTCTTACTATTCTTTTGTTCAACGGTTCATTATATGGACTTTAGAAAGGAGCGATGATTTCGACCCTACTGAACATACTTCTCTGGAGGAGTTCTACTAGGGTGGGCGTGAGTGGCAGTCTGACAAGTTATAAATTAATAAATGTTTTTCAATATTAATTTTCATCTAATGTAATATAATTCATGTCTTTTTCCTCTAGACTTTTATTTGAAGATACGAAAAGAAGTGGTATTATGTAACACTTTACGAAGGCTTTGTATGACGTTATAGGCTTTGATTTGAAAAAGATGCAACAAATCATAACACATTTTACCAGTGGTTTAGGTAGTTATTCAAATCTTATGAGGAGCAAACTAATCCAAATGCAAATTTCAAAAATCATGGAAAAGATATTTGTAAAAAATAGTAGGGACGTTCTGAAACAAAAAAAAAATCAATTGATTTAGGTTTGAAAACAAAGAAAAAATGAGACTGCGGCAACAAAAATACTTTCAGCCTTAAATCCGAAGATTGTCAGTAAAACTTTGAATGCTCAATCATCAACAGTAAGATATTTATACCAGATTTGAGAACAAACAAGATAAATGGGTAGCAAAGTATTTTATCTCTCAAGGTAGGAAATGTTGGAGTCATTATTGTTTTTTGGAGAGTTTCAGAAAATTGATGGCAAAGTAATTAAAGGCAACAAATTTTTCACGCTCAGTGAATTTAGTTGCGGAGAGCCGATGGCACAAAAAAAAAAATAGACGAAACGGTAAAAATCAACATTGTTCATTTTGGTCATTGAGCTCGGTTCTTTTTCATTCAATTACCAACTCATGATAATTAATTATGGTTTGATTGGAAGCAATAGAATTATCAATGCTTTGTATATATAATATACAACATACTGGCGTGACTTGCTGCTTTAAAGTAACTCTCAATGTTAACTTGTGCAGACAGCATTTGGACCGCTGAGATCCAGAAATGCCATCGCACTCCACTCCTCCTCTCATTCTAATACTACTATTTCTTTTAGTTCCAGTTTCAATGGAATTAATTGAATAACATAACAGAAATCACTATAGCAATTTGTCTTAGGCGATGGGAAACTAGGCTTGTTCTTTTTCCTCTTAATTATCCCGACTTATTATTGTACATTCGATGAATACATTGGCCACACTCTCAGCTCCGCCGAAAAATTAAGTTGAGGTCATAGAAGTGTACATAGGTTGCAAGTCTTTCTATTTTCTATTCTCGGAAAAATATACACTCATATATATACCTTGGTCAATGAATACGCCAGGAAAATATCTACAAAAAAAAATAAATAAAAATGAATAAATTAAACAGCAAAAAAAAAGTACGTCGATGAGAATGCGTCACCCCCTTAAATGCTCAACAAAAAAAAAAATGCGTCGCATTTATCACGTTTAGAAAATAGTAAAATGGAAGAAGCACCTAAGAATGCGATTGTGGAATATATCTAAACAAAAGCACATTGCAAGAGGTAATGACACAATCTAGAGCAACAAGAGCCCTAGAACACAATAGCCACTATAATCACCAATATAGTGTGCTATTGTCTATCAGAGTCAGAGCCTTCGTCCTACACAAGTTCGTGTGGCGCATTTTCTGACGGAGCATCATCGTACAAAAGCGATTGGCAAACCTAATGATGATACCAGAGAACGTGCGTCAATATTGATTGATGGGACATTGTTTGACAAAAGCAAGTGGCAATGCGATTTGAAAGACGGATGATGACAAATTAAATCACTTTCTACACTTTTGAAGATACGTCTCAAGATGTAATTATAGTAAAAGAAAAAAAAAGAACGTCCGTTTTTAGTGACTTAGGATTAGACTTTTTTTTTTTTGCGCCCAACTACGCAGTGATTGGTAAATCAAAACATGCCAATAAGTCAGTTGGGGGGCGGGGGAGGTTGAAGACAACATAAAGAAGTATATGACACGGACAAGAGTAAATTTACTATGTCATCACACTTTAAAGTGGCATATGTAGATATACAAAAGTATCCGCTCAAGATGGGAATAACTTTAGAATTTAGTCTAATGAGTTCTAATTTAGTGGTGCATACATAATTAACAATTTTAGTCTAAACTTTTTTTTTTGAAACAACAAGCCATATTAATTAACCAGGTTTCTATGTACTGTTGCAGAAATGACTAGCATCTACCCCCTCCTATAGGAGAACTACCCAAGAAATGCATTGCATGAGGGTAGGAATGGAAATACTCACGTTTCCCTCGTTATTGACTGTCGAAGATGCCAGTCAAGTATTTACCATTCCATATTGCCAATACTTGACTTGGGATATATTTATTTAGTGCAGTTTGGGTTAAAGATACATCGCCTGATCATAAAAGGAGTTATAGTTTTTGTGAGATTTCCACAAAAACTTAATTTCTTTTTTTTTCTCTTTCTACCAATTAAGTCAATTTTCCATAAATCAGAAGATGAAAAACAAGCAAAAATAAATAAGTAAAGCAATTATCTGATACTTGCTAGAAGGTTTCAATTTATGTTAGTTGCATGCCTATTATTTACATAAATGAATTATGTATGGATCGCTCTGACCACCAGGTGAAACCGTAATTGAATAGGTGGCCTATGCAGTTTACGAGTTTTCAAGCATAACTTTTTTTCTTTTTCTTTCTTTTTCTTTTAGCAAATTTTCAACAATAGTTGAAACAATATAATGTTGTTGATATGATGAGGAAGTGATCCAAATCTGTCAGGGCCAATACTTTTTTTTTTTTTTTTGCTATAGCCAATTATCTCACATACACCAATCTAAAAACGGCCAGTTTTTTGATCCAATATAGTCGTGTCATAAATTGCTCATTTCACGCCCCCCCTGAAGCTCAAACTAGAGTAATTATAATAATGAAGAAAATAATAAATAATCATAATCATAATAAGAGTAAGATAAATCAAACAGAAATGAGCTAAAAACCTATGGTGCAGTGCCAATTACAGCTGTTATGTTGCTGCATATAGTTAGTGATAGGGGGTAGTGGTATGTGATGTGAAGGGTGCCGGTGTTGTTGGCTTCCCGAAAATAAACTTTGCTGCTGATGCTGCCTGCAGTTGAGATGCAGCTGCAGGATTTACTGACATGCACTGCGAGTGGGAAAAAACTCACACACAAAAAAAAAGATATGAGATATGTATAAATATAGACACATATCCGAGCGATCGTGAGGCAGGGAGCAGGCTAAAGAGTCCAATAAGCCACCTTCTATAGAAATCTTTCACATTCTTCGGCGTTTCTCTTTATGTTAATTCAGGAGGAAGTAGTGCTATAGTATTGGATGGGCGTCTTTCATAAAAATCGCTCAGTGTTCCTCCTCCCACCCACACAATCGGATAATTTTGAGTTTTTGTAAGAGCTATATACCGGACAAAAACTTAAATAGAACCACAAATCCACCCTAGCATCGTGTATAGCACTACACAAGATGCATTCAGAAAAGCCTTCAACTTGGGAACGCAAATGCAAAACTTGCAACATCAAATTCACCAATGAGCGATCGTGTGCCTTACATTTGCAACAGTACACTGACCATCAGCTAGAATCAGCGGAAGAAGTCAAAGACAGGGTATTTAGAAGTCTCGCAAATAATTTTACAGAGTCATTGACAAAAAGAGGCTCCTCATCATCATTGCCCAGTACCACAGCGCCAACCAAAAGACCAAGTTCAAGTTCCAAAAAATCAGCATCGAGTTCAAGAAATTCATCGGTATCCAGTCCAGGAAAGAAAAGAAAAAACATAATATTCACAAATGCTGCCACTGTTCCAAGCTCGCTATACAAGGATAACAGAACCAAGTTTACTCAAGATCTTGTGTTTATCAGTGATGATCAAGAATCTTTCGAGCCAATATATGGACCCGACAACCCAGTTAAAGAACTACCAGTGCCAGTGGCATCTAAAAGGGCCTATTGTTCACCTTCACCTTGTCAATCGCCAAATCAGCCTCCTGTTAGCTCCATGGGCCCAGAAACATATTACTCCATGAACCAGTCGCGGAGAAAAAGTTCTTCAAGTTTTAGACCTCCGACATCATCTTCATTCAGCTCCACTAGACCCGAAACTGGCAGAAGTTCTATAAGCTCAATGAACCAAGATGATCCTTTGTATCCTTCGTTCAAATCACCATTTCTTCCATATCAACCTTCTCAGACATATCCTTACCCAAACCAGCCAATTAACTACGCACCACAGTCACAATTTCCACCATCAAGAAGCCATTCTTTTTCTTTACCTCCTCGTCAAGCTTCTACTTCAACAGCATCGATATCATCAATATCATCTTCGTCGGAGATATATCCGCATCAATTATACAGTAGGTACTCATTTCCTTCAGGAAATCAAAGCCAAGGTCAATTGGAAAGTCTGAAATTAATAATGCCCAATGCTAATGCCTCAACATCGAATATCGGTGCCAGTTACGATGGATCGAACTTTAGATCTCCATCGTCAAGCTCCAGAAGAGGCAGTGTCAGCACTGGATTTTCAGAAGAGCCAATTACTTTGCCATCAATAAAACAAATATTTGAAGATCCAGATGTACTCAATGATTTTCATGCAAATAAATATAATAATCATAATGGCGGAACCAATCCCAATGATCGAACAAAGAGATTTTCAGGACCATCATTCGACAATCCAAGAAAAAAGTAGCTAATTCCATCTCATCTTCCATTAACGATTCATGTGTATTTTATTTCTTAGTGATTTTTTTTTCCCAAAAAGCTTTTTTACAATTATTAATGATCTTGATGAATTGATTTGCTTGCTTGTTTGTTTGTTTCTTGTTTAGTTTCTATTAGCTGTATTATATTTTTCTTTCTTTTAATCTTTTTCTTATTATACAGGGGGTTTCTTTTTTCAATATTATCAATATCATGAGTATTATCAATTTTATTAGCCGCAGCAACAAAAAAAAAAAGAGTAGTGTAGATTCTTTAGCAGTACCTACCGGAAGATGAATATCCAATATTACACATATTCAATTATAACAGTCTTTTCTTTCTTACATTTCTTACAATACGTGCACATTACTGTAGATCGGATCTTATTGGAATCTCAAATCGTATTAACATCTGGTCTGGTGAGTTAATAAATAAATTTTAAATAAGATTTGTGAGAAGAGAATATATCCGTCACAGTTGGGGGGAGATGTCCCATACGTATCGGTATACCCACCTATTTGGCGCACCCTATACTCTCGATATGTACACAAGAACCAAGAATCCACTAAGGGATAAGTGCGGCGATAAAAGATTAAGATAGACAACTATATTGACGTATTTGTACGTCAGTTTCTAGAAATAATGAGTTATAAACTAACGATAATAAAATATAAAAAAAAAACAAAACGTTACCACACACAAACAAATTCAACAAATTTTCCAGACAACCCGTAAACTCTAACTTTCGACTACTTTGGGTTTACAGAGTTGTATTTTTCCATAAAATCACCAAAGAAAGAATAGGGGAGTTCCTGAGAAACAATATAATTCCTTCTCCTTTTCCCTGGCTCGTAATTTCTTTTTTTTTTAATTGGTCATCACAATCATGCGGCATCATGTTTCAAAAATTACCATCCAGCCCGGAAGAGAAGGACGTAGACCAGCACAGTAAATTTTATCATTGGATAATTGTGGGACCATTTTTTTTTCTTTGTTGCTTCAGTTTATGAATTTGTGGATTTCCGTGTCTTCAAACTTTGATTTTCTATCGGGGTTCTTCGCGTATTGATTAGTCCCCAGCTTATTTACACACGGCAAAGGTGTAGATGTTCATCGCTTATTTTGAATAAATAATAGTCTTTCATTACACAAAAAAAAATAATAATAATCATAGTACTGATAATAATTAACCGCCAAAAAAATTGACATCTTGAACCAACTAGGCACAAAATCTTTAGGGAAGAACGAACCACAATAAAGTTGTCTCAAAGAGAAAATTGCGTCAATCAAAGAGAGCATGTGCCTGTTACCAAGGCCAGTCATTTAACCTGAACTCAATATTTTCGGAGTACACACACTTTTTTTTTTTTGTTTTGTTTTGTAAGGCTTAGTTATCCCCAAATTTGGTGATGCTTTTCCCCCTTTCTGTTGGAAGTTTCAAATAACCTCACTACTATCACAGATACTCTGCTGAAATGAATAAGTAACTGACAGTAAATTCATTTTTTTTAAGGTAAAAATGTCGTAATTAATGCTTACTGTGTTTCATGGCAAGTCAAGGGTTACTTTACCACTAATAATATTCCCGACTCTGTATACATATATTCCTAGCTCCGGATATTAATGGGCCCCCAGTTAACATTGAGTGATACGAGCCGCCCTAAAATTTTCTGATAGAATTGAGTGACAGCATCATGGCTGGCAGGACCCCTGAAATATGGTGAACTATTCCTGAATAGGCTGGTGTGTCTGAGTAGGGTGAAGTAGCTTCTGACGAGCAAATGGATTTGAAGATTAATATCTGCAATAACTTGTGAAAATAAATAGCCAGATAAATAATTGCTGAGCTACCTAGATAAAAAATTCAAATTATAATAAACCATTGGGCAGGTGAAACAAATTATATTTTATTACATTCTGGTTCCTCATCCTAGTGCTCCTGATGCAGCCTAAAAAAATGGAAGTGGCAAAAACTATTAGGGCATGCCAAAAATAGGGCCATAGCAACAACAACTAAAAAAAAAAAAGGAAAAGAGCATCATTTAAAATAATATTTGGGTCTTGATTTTCACTAGTACATGATAATATGAATGCAAGTAGAAAATAGTCTCATGTATGCGAATAACCTTTTATTCAAACCTAAGAAAACTTAATTGACACACAAGTCTGCCGACTCAAATACTACATAAAGACAACAGTTATATGCAAGGTACATATAAGTAAAAAATGAATTTAGAACTAATACCGTACATCTATTGAAAAACCTGTATCAATTTTCATCAAACATTTGAATCCAACTAATATACCGTTCAAATAACTTCACAGCATGACCCTGTGATTCAAAAGAGGCTCTCAATTTATTAACAATCAAATCCCTTTCATTTTCATTCAAAATCTTTTTGAGTAATATCAAACAGTCGATTGAAAAGTCCTCATACCATCTGTAATTCCACGAAAAAATCTTGATCAATACCTCCAAAACAAGGTCCAAATACAAGTTATTTTCCAAAGACTGCTCATTAATCAACATCAATTGGTCATTAATTGGAATATTCCCAATTTGTGAAGTATCCACAATAAATTCCCTTTTATTTGGGAATATTATATTATTCAGCCCAACAAACACTAACTCTTTGGCATACTTATTGTCCGCAAAATTCACACTCAATCTCTTAAAGGACTGATAGTCTCCAAAGAATTGTTCAAAAATTTCAAACAAATTTTTGGCAGTGATAATGGAGAATTTTGCCTTCAATGAAGTTCTAAGAGCAGAAACCGCTAAATCGTAATGCTTGGCTCTAAAAGCAGTGATTCCAATCAATTCCCACTCTAAGGTTGAATGACTAAGTGCATTACCACTTCGTTGTGCTTTGTTCTCCCAGATGGAAAGTACCTTCAAGTCATCATATAACATAAAAAATAATGAATCCAACCAACGCTCACATAGTCTTTTAGTTCTGAAGGTTGGATCAGCAGGTTTTGTTGTTGAAGCAGTAGACAATTTTCCACTTTTTTCCTCATGATCTTTTGCTTCAGCAGTCTTAGTTTCCTTCACCGATTGAAATTCCCCTTCCATAACAAATACTTCAGTTCTAATCTTCAACAAGGCATCCCAACCAACCAAGATTGCCAATCCTGACAAATAATCATACGCAGCTTTGAAAGTTCCTTTCAATTTTGGACCTGATAGGCGTAACAAAATTGGATCAACAGTGGCGAGTTCCGATTCTGATGCAAAATCCTCACTCAAAATTGTATCTTTGTCTCTCAAGTAAACTGGCCCCTGTCTATTAGCTTGCGACCAAACTTGCTCAAGATACCCCTCTTGTGATGGTTCAGGAAACTTATAGTTCCCTTCCTGTTGATCAAATAGACTGTTTTCTTCCTTAATTCTTTGGACAGTCTTAGCAGTGGGAATAGAATACACGGGACAGGAATTCAAGGTTAACAAGGCATTATGGACATCTTTCTGAGTGATATAGGTCTCTAATAAGTTGGTCCAGTTCAAAAATTCAGTTGGGTTCTTTTCAATCGCCTTAATGGCTAAGTACAATGCTGAGTCCAACTGTTGTTTTTCGGCCATCAATCTAGATTGAGCCAATAAATAAAAGTCACCGTAATTTTTTCCTCCAAAGTTTTTATTAGCCGCATCATTGTAAAAGACCACCCCTCTTTTTAATTCTTTGATCAACCTGAGTTCATCAGATCTTTCTTCAATTAATAACTGTACCAAAACCATGTGATAATTGAAATTTATCTCAACAAGTGGTTCAATCAAAGAAATCGTATACTTATATAAATCACTAATTTTCAATATTTTCAACAAGGTATCAATTAAGTAATTATGAATAAAGTCAGCCCCTTGGTTCAATTCTGAAGCACCAGTTAAGAATCCTTTTGGTAACATTCTCACAATCAATTCAATAATCTTTTTAGCTGCGGATTTCGTAGAAATCAAAGTATTCTGGACCAATGACGGCTTGTAAGCTTCCAAATTATCACTGAACAAGATATTTCGCATAATTCCTGAAACGTATGTTTGTTGCCATATTTCTTCAGGAATGCCTTCAAAGACACCCTTATTATTCAGAGGCAACTTGAAATTTAGGGAGCTTTCATACATTTCCAGACTGTCTGTTCCCTTGTGGGGATTGTTTGAGTTTGATGAGACAACAGAATTTGATTTATTGTGTTTTGGGGTCCCGACATTGGCCCTAATATTGAATGGCTTTCCATTTATGGCAACAAGCTGAACCAGAGTTTTCTGTCCAGGAAACTCAGTTCTAATTCTCACGTCACATTTAGAAAAGCAGTTCCAAGCACAATATGTACCGATAGAATTCAAATTGCTACTGCTACTGCTTTCGCCGCTGAATTTGTTGTTGTATATCATTTTTGTCAAATAAGCCACCGGGGCAGCCACGGAACTTAAATCCAATCCTGTTACATAATGAAATTGCCCTTGATCTTTGGAGTTATGATGAGTGGAGATGTGAAGCAAATCGGCAGGTCCCAAGCTCCGTGAATTATGGGCCATCAACTCAGTTCTCTTGGTTATGGCTTCCCCAAAATTCTTTTCAAAAATGAACGGGGACCCACTGACTTTATTATTCTTTTTATGGTATTGTTTGCTGGCAAACAGCTGAGGAGCTTCAATGTGGTTGCTCGAAGACTTGATTTCATCCTTCTTCTTTTTAGATCTGAACATGATGATCCGCAAGTATTATTAATATATATATAAATATAATAACTCCAGAAACCTTCTGTCATGACCTACCTGACGGTACAAAAAGTGACCGTGTACAAATCAAAAAGTGTTTTTGACGTTCCACGTGGAGAGAAGCGTGACCGAGAGTCTCCCAGAATGGTGGTGTGGGCCGACAATAAGTGACTTGCAACAGCAAAGCTTGTTCCCTGGGAGAGTATTCGTTTTAAAGCACCCGATATTTTATTTTTTGATCTGTTAGTGTCAACCGTTTCTACTTTTGTTTCTGTCCATCTGTTATCTATTGCTATTGGGTTTGACACAAATGGTAGTGCGTGGAGACATACTTGTGTGTGTGTGTGTGTGTGGCAAAAAAAAAACAAGCACTCCGGGGGAGGGGGCGATGAGCATCTATCATCACTTTTCTCTCGCTTAATTTTCTCTCTCAGCGCAACAGTCATACTAAATAACCATCACCAAAGATGCCTGAAGATAAGAATAGCGATACCGATTTATCCAAGAGCTTACAAGAAGCCCAGGACTCATTATCCGACTTTGTGTCGTCCACCGGCAATCTCGCCAAATCCCTAACTAACGAGATAACCAGGAACTCCCTTGATTTGGTCCATAAGATTTCTGACAACTCTCACTTGTGGGGCACCAATCCAGATGAAAACTTGGGGAAGGATGCTGCTGATAGCTTGGAAGAGGCGTTTGATGGTATTTTCAATAATAGTAATCGCCTTGGGTTTGGATTCTCCCCATTTTCAAAAGATGAATTCAGGCTCGGGTTCCCACATGGATTTAGAGGCAGGGCTGGATCCGTTCCGTCTTTAAGAAAATATGACAGATGTATGGAAAACAACGGCCTTTCGGTTTGGGATAAATCCGGGCACTGGCAATGTTTGTTCCCAAGATCTGTTTTGAACAACAATTATGGAGCAGATAATGGGATCATTTCCAAGGAAGATTATTTGGAGGATAAGAATGGTGCAAAAGGGTCCTTTTTTGAAAATTTCAATGATCTTCTTGGTTGGAAATCTCAGATGCGCAAGTTGCAAAGAGCTGAGAAATTGAAAATGCTCCAGCAAAGAAAAGATAAGTTCACTAGAACTTGGGACTTCTCTGAACTGGCAGCAAATTCTGTTCAAGAGAAAACCGAAGATGATGACAAAATTGTCGGAACATCAAAAAGCTATTCTACAAGAACTACCGAAGACGGAAGTATTGAAAAGTATTCAAAGGTTATGAAATGGTATGGCGACGGTAGTTCTAAGATTGAAGAAACCAAGAAAATTATTCCTGCTGATGGGTCTGATCCAAAGACAGAAACTTCGGTGAAGTCCCTTGGGCCAAATGAAAGCGATAAGTCTGGCTGGTTTTGGGATAGTTAAGCCTACGTAATGTCTAGTAGCTGATTATTAATCATATGATTAAATTGCGTTTAGTTTTTTTTTTTTCATTTCAGTTTTTCTTTGCCTGATATCTACCCATTTGAGGGTCCTGTGAATATTGTTGGGACCTTCCCGGTACATTAATTATCTTATGAGGATGTCTGTATATAGTTATAATAATAAATTTACATATAAAGTGGTCATCAATGTATAACAAAGCTTTGTATATAATTTGGCGTACTTGGTCTTCGCGCGCAGACGCGCAATCTTTTTTTTTTTTTTTTATTGATCTGAATTTTTTTTTTTTTTTGTGTTTGCATCTCAATAATATATGAGTCCTCTCTTGTAACCAAACTCTGGGAACCTCCACCACAAACAAACAGCATTAGTTCGAGTACCAGAGATACCTGTAGGTTACTAGAATAATTTCAAAGGTTATGTTCATCATTTCCTATACAAATGCAAAGGAAAGAAAATACGATATTCACAAAACAGCAGCCTGACTCCATTGCGCGAGGTGTGGCAATGAACAATAATAAGTTACCTCAACCACGATATAATAGCAAGGATCCTAGACTTAGGCGAAGGAATAGGGCCGGTATTAAACCAAGGAATCCTGAGAATATAAAAGATGGACGTGTTTTGCAAAATGAGAAAGGGGTACCCAAGCCTCAATCGTTATCTACAGGTCGTACTGGGGCGACCTACAATCAACAACTGCCGTTGACTTCACCGACATTCCCTCCAGAAAGTTCCTTTCGATCGTCAAGAATTAATAAACCTTCAAATTCAATAAGATCAAGACAGCCCATCCATGGGAAAGTTGGCACAGGTGGCCGTCAAAACTTGTTTATTAAAAGGCCTACGCACCGGTCTAAGTCAAAAAAGGTGCCCCCAACAAAACCAGCCATCACTGCTCAATCGATAAGAGAAAACACTAATGAATTGAATGAGGCAGAGATTGATGAGCTTTTCAACGACAATGCAGAGCCGAAGGAAAGTGATCGGGCTGAAAATGATAAGTTTACCACAAACATAGTTGCGAATGATGGATTGATCGCACGTAATGAATCGATAATCACAAATGAAAGCAAGGGGCCACCAAATCAAGCAGATAGCGATCAATCGACAATTACAAATGAGAACAAAGGACTACCAGCCCAAATACATAGCAGTGAATCGATAATTACAAATGAAAATAGGAGACCACAAAATCAAAGAGATGGCAACAAGGCCACAACGGAAAAATCAGGCAATAATTCTAATTCACAGCCACTTCCCTCACTAGAACAAGAATTCAGCTCCTCCGACTCTGATGGAAGTAGTAGTGATATTGAGGATTTGGAGGAGCTGGATCCAGAATTAGGATTTTCGAAACACGGAGTGGAAACATTTGCACCAAAAATGCCTTCAACAGATCCATTATTCGTCAGAATCTCCGACGAAGACTCCGCTGAAAAGTCTAGTGCTACTATTAATAAAGATATTGGAGTTGCTCCCCCTATTAGTGGGCTTTCGTTCCACAAGTCGTTGTTAAAAAAGACAGACCAGTCTGATGCCGAGAAGAAACCGGTGAGCAAGATTCAATCAACTGAAACTGATGCCAACAACGTGAATCAATCAAATAGCGACTCTGATGACATCATCATACTAGGAGAAACCCGTTTAAGAAAGAAGAAGAAAAAAGAAACGAGCCCCCAAGCCCAAAATAAACCTAAAAAACAACTACGACGGGAATCTCCATTTCAAAATAATAAAAAAACAAGTGATGAAGACGGGAATTATGATTTTGATAATATAGCATTGAGTCAGCTTGGCAAGAAGAGGACTAAGAACAAACCAAAAGTAGTGAAAAACAACAAATCAAAATTAGTGAAACGTCGGCCAAAAGCTAAACAAAATAGACCAGCGAACATGCGTAATTTTGAGGAAATATGGCGTTCATTGAAGTTGAATGAAAAGAGACAACAGAAAATTGAGGATGAAGATGATGATTCGGATAGTTGGGTGCCGTACCCAAAGATCTACAGGTACAAGCTTTCATTTTCCGATGAAGATAACGACGATAAGGACAAGTATTTTATGGAGGAAGATAAAGATGATGAAGAGAGTGATAGTGGAGAATCGGAAGATGAGACAAGCCTCTTGTCAATGATAAACAGCACCTCCCCCAAATCAAATAGACCCCGCCTTGATAAAGGACATATTACGTAGCTGTATATGCTCTTTTTTTATGTAATAATTATTTGAAGGATTCTTCCACAATGAAAATATCTGCTGAGTGTTTTTAGCTAATACTATAGACAAAGTGTAATTGAGTGATCTCACGAATAAATATGACTGATTTTAATATTCAAGAAGCAAAAAAGAAGAATATTCATGCTACGAAAAAAAAAAAATCGTAAGAAGTTTGGAAGATAATAAATAAACAATCAGCAGAAATAGTATAGAAGAAGAAATATCACAAAAAGCTATTAGAACTCGTCATATTCATCATCATCCAAGGTATAGGTTCTTTTCAGTGGTTTTTTTCGAGGCTTGTGTTTCTCTTGCGGAGGAGGGGTTCCGTAATCCTCTTCATCATCATCATCTTCTAACGAATAAACTCGTTTCTTATTAGTCTTAGCTGGTGCTGATTTACCTTTCTTCGCTGATTTTCTTCTAAGCGACTGGTAATCATAATCATCCAGGTCATCGTCATCTGGTACTTCATCTTCAGGTTTCTCCTCATCATCACTGATGAATTTCGATTTGGTCTTTCGCTTTGGTGGTGGTGCTTTCTTTGTGCTATCAGCCTGTGATGATTTTTTTGAACTGAATTTCCCTGGTTTCTTCTTTACTGTGTAATTATTATCTTCCTCGTCGTCACTGATGCGACTATACTTTCGCCTTTGTTTGGACGGTTGTACTAGTTCTTCTTCTTCTTCTTCTTCTTCCTCTTCTTCTTCTTCTTCTTCTTCTTCTTCTTCTTGTTCTTCTTCCTCTTGTTCTTCTTCCTCTTGTTCTTCTTCCTCTTGTTCTTCTTCTTCTTCACCATTCAGCTCTTCACCATTCAGCTCTTCAACATCAAAGCCCTGGTCCAAATTTTCAATCACTTGCTTGAAATTCTTGAAACTGCTTTCATTCCTGGTAATATAGAGGAATAGATCATCGATTTCCGATTTCGTCAACCTACCCAATAGTTTTTCTGGCGCTCCGGGATATTTGACCTTATTTTCCACCACCGCTTTCAGTACAGGAAAGTACAATTGAATGATATGACGATGATAATCCTTTTCTTTGCACAGCTTAATCCAGCTTCTCAATAATTTTCGTTCCACCAGCGAGAGCGAGAGGTATTTTCTAATCAATAAAAGGTTCCTGAACACTCGGAAAACCCCGCTTTCTTCTTGTGTCTTATGTTTCTTCAACAGCAATTTACTGTACTTTCTTTCCACTTGATCAAAGAGTTCTCGTGAAGTGTAAACCACCGAAAGATCAATGTTATGATCAAGGATATCAAAATCTTTGGAAGCGCGTCTGTCCAAATCCATAGTTTACTACTTTTCTGCAAGCTGCTCTAAAATCTGGCTAAAAATACAAATACACTTATAACTAACAAAAATAGCAAATAAATAACACTTTTAGGACAATTCCTTGTGTGTTGTTTGTTGTGCCAGCCAGACTCCAGAAACCTTTGTTTCTAAAAAAAAAAAAAAAAGTCACATGTCAAGATGGGCAAAAAATTTTCGAAAAAAAAAAAAAAAATTGAGGAAATTTCATTTTCATCTGTACAATACATGAAGATATCGCCAATTGATATCTCCATTATAATAATAGGTAACAAAATCATTTTATTAATAATATGGGAAGGGGTCAACAAACACCAAATCCTGCCAAAGCAGCGAAAAAAGCGTTGGACAAAGGGAGTCATTTGAATCGTCAGGATGATAGCCGTCGTAAAAACTATCGTCAAGAACGGTTAGAAAATAGAAAAGTATTGAAGAATGTCAAATTCGAAGATAAGAACGAAATCGAAGCAATTGGAGATCAAGTGGTGGTGGTGCCAAAAAAGAAGTTTTATCGCCAGCGAGCCCATTCAAATCCGTTCTCTGATCACAGATTAGATTATCCAACCAGACCCGAAGACATGGATTGGACAAGATTTTTTCCACAATATACCTCCAGTGATGATAAGAAACAATTGGTCAAACCGGTGACAATTGCCGATGTTGGTTGTGGATACGGGGGGCTTCTTGTACAACTTGCCCCATTGTTCCCAGACAATTTGATTATGGGGATGGAAATTAGGGTTCAGGTCACTGAATATGTCGAGGACAGGATTTTTGCCTTGAGATCGCAAAATTTGGATAAAGCAAACAAGTTATACCAGAATGTGTCGGTGATGAGAGGTAATGCCATGAAGTTTTTGCCAAATTTTTACCACCGTGCTCAACTAGAAAAAATGTTTTTCTGTTTTCCTGATCCTCATTTCAAAAATAGAAAACATAAAGCCCGAATCATCACGAATACTTTATTATCAGAATACGCTTACGTGTTGAAAGACGGCGGAATCATATACACTATCACCGATGTGCTTGATTTACACGAATGGATGGTAAAACATTTGGATTACCACCCGTTGTTCGAGAGATTAACCAAGGAAGAAGAAGCGCAAGACGTTTGTGTAGAAACCATGATGAATGCTACAGAAGAAGGTCAAAAGGTTTCTAGAAATAAAGGTAGCAAATACGTGGCTTGCTATAGACGTTTACCAAACCCAGAACTATAGGATGCGGAATTTTTTATATTATAATTGATATTCTGATGATAATTTTGACGATGTGTACTTTCTCAGGTAAATCTGTCTGTAAGGGTAAAGAAACCTATTGCGGGGGAGAGGGGGGTGTATATTTTCCTAGGCATATGATCTTTAGGTTATCGCATCATATTGGACTAAAGAGCAAGAAATTTTATTGTTTGTTACATATGTTAAAGACTACTCAAAAAAAAAGACCCTTATTAAAAAAAACAAAAAAACAAACAAACGTAAACAAATATAAAACTTAGATACCAAGAACTCAAAAACAGGCAAAAATTGTTGATAAATAAAGAAGTGAAACCACTGTTTAGAAAATAAAGTAAATGAATGAATGGAACGCTTTGTATAAATTTGTTTCTCCATTCATGTAGTTCAGATATATATTTTCTATTCTTGTTAGTGCAATACTCCATTTTAATGTCGTGGGTTTGACAGCATGCTTCCTTGGTCAAGTCTATCGTCCTCATAATCAGAAAGAGCTTTACTTCTATTAGACTGTACATCAAACGACTCGTCATCGCCTTCACCTTTCCTCTTCAACACTTTTCCAATCATATGACTGACGCTCTCGCTTCCACGTCTAATGCTTCCTTTAATGCTGCTTCCCTCTTGTGCTTGTTTAAATCTCAAAACTTCCTCAAGACTTGGCGGTTCAATATCTTCTGCAGCAATAATGCTAGATGAGCCTGGTCTCAATGATGCTAAAGATGTGAACTCCAAAGGTGGTTTAGTAGAAATGTTTCCAGGGTCACGCTGTGCTTGCACAGTGCTTATAAATGACTGGGACCCCACTCCCCCGCCCCGCAAGAGAGATTCTTCATCATCAATATGGTTACAATAGTAAGAATTATTTTCACCGTCGTAAAGACGATCATTTTCATGCATAGACTCTCCAGAAATCGATCCACCAAGCAAGGAGTCCAGATCATTGATAGGTGCGTACAGTGAAGCATTGTCACCATACACCGAGGAGGCACCATCTCCGAACACAGAGTTCATATCTTCAAGAGAGACCCCGGCAGTTTCCGGCAAAAAAAACAAGACGAACATGAATGAACAAAGGCATGAAAAGGCATGAACCAAGTAAAGTCTCCAACCAATGGCTTCTTGAAGTATTGGGGTCATTTCACCCACAACAGTATTGGCAAACCAATTAGCAGATGTAGCGCACCCAGCACCAATACTACGAATCAGAATAGGTAAAACTTCACTGGGGATAAACCAGGCAATAGGGCCCCATGATGTACCAAACCCTGGCCCGGTGAATAATATGACAAGCATCACAATAATCAATGGAGTAGCACGAATATCAAGCCACAAAAAGAAGGCCATTAAAGTCAAAGAAAAAAACATTATTGCTGCCCCAGCTAATAGAATAGGCCTGCGCCCATGTTTATCGACAAGGAACCAAGGAATCATGGTACAAAATACGTAAATAACACTATTAATACCAGTCATTAAAATAGCGTCTCTACCATGCCAACCAGCCTGCTCAAATACAAAAGATGCATAGTAACAGATCACGTTAATACCATTGAACTGGGCAAACATGAGGCAGAGGCAACCGAGAACTACCCTCTTTTTGTATTTTCGCCACATATATGCATATCCTTTGTGCTCACCATCGAATCTATGAGTGAGCACATCTTTCTTTATAGATTGATATTCATCTTTAGCAAGTATGTGATGGGTGTCACCTTTGGAATGAAGGTTGGCAATAACAATAAGTCCTTCAACGTCATTATCTGTTGATAACAACCATCTGGGGGTCTCAACAATCACATAAGAACCAAGGAAAAGAAAAGATCCAATAATGCATTGAATAGATAACGGAATTCTCCAAGAGTAGTCATTTGGAAGCAAAGAACAACCATAATCAATCCAAATGGAAGTTGAATACCCAAAAACATTACCGGTAAATTGTATACATCCCATTTTCCCACGATTTTTGGGAGCGCTAACTTCAGACTGATAAACTGGGACAATAGCACTGAGAATCCCGACACCAATACCGCTAATAACTCTACCAAATATAAGATCAAGCATTTGGTGAGCACATGTTTGAATCAAGCCACCAATAATGAAAATGAATGCACCATATCTGATAGTGCGACGACGCCCAATAACGTCACCAATGCGTCCCACAAAGAGTGAAGAGAAAAAGGCCCCAAGCTCAAGTATTGCAACCATTATGGCGATTTCAGATCGGCTAGGGTTATTGAAATAACTCTATCATACTGTGTTAGTCTTCTATTTTATTTATTGCACGTGTTTCTCCTCATGTTTCTTGTACAAGCGCTTCTCTATGATATTGGGCGCGATATCTCAGCAAGCAAACAATCTATGGAAACAAAAATACTCACCACAAAATTTGGCTGGGTAAGCAACGAACCCATGACACCTTGATCATAACCGAATAGGAATACCCTTTAGGAATTGTTAGTATGATTGTTTCATGAAGAAGTAAGCGCCTTTCAAAAAGATTGTCTTGTTTTTCCACAACAGCATCCGTAACCAATAACATAAAGCATCAAAACCAAAAAGGGGAAAAAAAAAGGGGGGACATATGAATATATAGTACTCACCCTAAGGAGACAAATATTGAAGTGAAATAAAGAAGGGTTTTACCCGTAAGCACAGGCTTGTACGCCTGGAGTTCTTGTTCGGTAACCATCAAGCAGCTGTCACTCTAAATTTAGCTTTTTCTTCAAGTTTGTTTGTTTTCCCTTAATCTCTCAAACTAAACAACTAAAGGAATGAGGTGAAAATAAGCATGAGATTATCAGATGCCGGTAGTCGTCTTGTAGATACGACAATTATATTTGGTCTCGTAAGAACTCAAGATAGAAGTTTGGTGGGAACACTGCTGAAAAAACAATCTTATGATAGCTGATGTCATTGCTTGACACCCGCCGGGTCGAAGGCGGCTGATTGGTTTCCATCGGTCAGCGCTCGTAACATATAAGGGTATAACACCCCCAAATACTGATTTTGATAGGTGATCTCAATGTTGTTGTAGTGTTCTTCCTATTTTTCTTACTTAGAGCGATATTTTTTTGCAATTGATCTTATTATACTGCGGTGTAGATTACCAGTCTATTCAGTTTATGCCAGCATCGGGCCCTGGAAACCTGCCCCAGATCATGGAGGGTCTGAAGTCACCCTACTGAAACACGATCTCCTGCACCCACAAGCAGTTAGACGTGTTGGCAATATGGGTAGAGCATATTGTGGATATTAAGCGAGAGACATATTGGTATAATTTCCGCCATTTTCTAAGAATTATAAGACCACAGAATAGTGGGAAACCATTCATTCAATCATTTTTTTTATACTGTGGTATACTCTAATTCTCTTTAAAAAGTCAAACAAATCGCAATGGTTGAGCTGTCCCAGTGGTTGTATCTGCATCTCGACCGTTATTACAACAAAGATCGAAAAAAAAAAAAAAAAAAATACCAAACAAACAAAAAGATCTTCCACGCGAGTCACCACACTAATGCCCGATTCGTTACACAAAGCATTCCATTAACTAACTTAGTATCTGAATATTTTTTTTTTTTCCAACCCCAATATTTTTTCGAATCCTTTTATTATTAGTGTTCACCTCATCTGGAATGACTACAATTATTCAATCTACACTAATTTGACAATCCAACAATTACTATCCGTGGCCCCTCTTTTCACGACACATTAAGACTTTTAGTGAGATATCACTCAATTACTATTAAACGGCCATTGCTCTTTTCAACTTAGACATTTTTTATTGCATATATATGTATATATACATATATATATATAATGTCTTCAAATACCAAAAAAGTTGTCAAGTTTAAATCAATTGAAGATTTCAAATTACGAAAGTTCAAAAGTCGCTCAGCTAGCACATCGCCAACTACAAAATCGTTCGACACCAAAATAGATAATAGCATTGACGGATTACTTACTGCTAACAAAAATTCCAATACTTCACTAGATACCTCGAATGATAGCTTCTCTTTACCTCGTGCCAGGTCGTCAGGGCTTGGGCTCAATAATATCAATGGTGTCAACAGTAACTCCAATACTCCTTCAAAGATCTTAGCTGAGGATGCAAAGAATAATACCACCAGCCATAATGATAGCGCTAATGGATCGACGACTGTTTTTTTCCCAAAGCAAAGACGGTCAACTTCTTTTAATGTCTATCGACAATCAATAATCAGCACAAATAGCCGTCATACTGCAGTTTCAAGCATGGGGAGAAACAGCATGATTTGGCCAGACCAAGATCATGATGACAACGATAGCAGGTATGATTTGCATACCGAAGACGAAGATATAAACACAATGATTAAGCATCAAAACAGCAGCGGAGAGAATATTAATAACAAGCGATTTTCCTTGCTTAATGTTGTCCCATCACCAAGAATTGGTTCGGTACCTGGAAACAAGAGTGAGGATGGCAACGTAACTTCACGCTCGCCATCACCTCAAGCCAATCTTACTTTTGGATCAAGAAGACACAGTGTTATAAGTATGGCATCGAGATCAAGTAATGGGGGCCCTCCCAGACTGGCAGGATCCAACACAACATCAGGCACTAAGTTTAGTAAAGGAAGCCTAGAAAAACATCAACATCTCAGAAAAACATCATTAGGACAACCTTATAAAGGGATCGATGCTGATATTGAAGAGAGTAGTTCCACAATCCTCCCGCCGGCCGCCGAGGTTCAAAAGGGAACCATCTCTTCTATAACCACTACGTCTACAACGCCGGATATTTCTAATAATTCGAAGATCCAGATAAATGGGTTAACTTCAAGAATCTCTAGAAAAAGCCGAACTAGCCAAGTTAAAGATTATAAAAAGAAGGAAGAGAGTGCAAAGTATGACAGAATAACCAAATCTTTGACGAATATGTTTGATAATCTACAAACCTCGAACCAAAATAAGGCTGCGTTGATTGCCAGACTTCAACAGTTGAAGCATCAAAATGACAATCATCGGGCAAAGCTAGATGTATTATTAGCCAAAATCAAAGAGGTTGAAACCAATTTCGAAGCCTATGATCACAAAGTCGATAACGATTGCACGTTGATAATGATTTGCATGTGCTTGATAAAGAATATTTAGAGATAGAGAAATATATGCAAATTGCCCAGAGTTTCGGATAATTGTCTCTATTGGATGATCCAATGTGGAGGGGCAGGGTAAGGGCAGCGGATGCTAGGCGGGCAGATAACCAGTTTAAGGTTTGTTCTTATCAACCGGGTAAGCATCATTCACCAGCTAGCGCTATTGTGATGTTTCTTTGTGGGACTGACGGCCAGGAGCAGCGATCTCCGTCCTTGAGAGCATTAATGCGTGCTGCTGGAGGGAGGTTATGGTTATGGGGGGATTCAATTTGGAGGCAATAAATAAATAATATTGACTCGACCACTCATTTATTACGGTGCCCATGGAACATCAGTATATATGTACATATATATATATGTCTATACACTTGAGGAGCACGAGCACGAGCACGAGCAAGAGCAAGAGCAAGAGGAAGATAAGAAAGTAAAATAAAAAAACCATAGATAGTAATAAACCAAGCTCGTAATCATACTATTATTGATTGTATCGCGGTGCAGACTGCGCAAAAATTTTCTTTTTCACTCTGGGCTGGCCTTGTTCAAGGGTTATCGACGGTGTGACCGCAATCTGTGCCGTGTGCCAGAGGTCGACCAATCACCGGTGGGGGCATGACCGGTGGTCGATCCCTCGCTGGCTGGGATTTCCGCTGGGGGCTGCTGCAATCTCGACCGCCAAATCGCGGCAGACAGTCCCGTGTGTCCCCTGCACAATCGCTACTTCCGCGGAAAAGTACCTAGAATCGGTCAGCATGGAGATACACAGCGCTACAGGACACAAGTGAAAATTTTTCTTATCCCTTGACCCCCTCCCCCTATTATATAAAGCGAGCGTTTTCCGCCCTTGAGTCACCGGGGCCCTTATTTACTTTCCTTTTCCTTTCCTCAGACCTTCCACACGCCAATTATTAACTTCAAGATTTACCATTATATAACCTAGTCAGAGTACCTTTGCAAAATGTCCGTTTAAATCTTGAGCTTATTATAAAAAGAGAGTTTTTTTTTCTTAGAAATCTATCGTTAGAAAAAAAATAAAGTCGTTAATTATTAATCGTTAAAGAGAAATCTTTAAATTCGTGTTTTATTTTATCCAATATGTGTCTGTGAAATCGCCAAAAAATCAAATGCCATCATGGTATTCTTACGTCTATCCAATTAGTGCTGCTACAATTAATTCCAAATAATTTACTATTACTAGTCTATTCCAAAGTCCAACAAACAAACAAACAATAATTTTTTTTACCTACCGTGTCAAATACCGTTAGTGCCTTATCAACTATTACCAATAATAATACAATCCCAATGTCTTGTCAATTCAACTTTTTAATGAATGCCGACCCCTTCCAAGGGGCGTCGGCCAATGACGCTTCCCAGCCAGTCTCTATGGTTCTTGGTGAAAACGTCTTTGATATGTTCTCTCAAAAAGACTCCTTCATTAGCTTGCCGTTAGGCCAGGCGGGATCAGCCGAGTTGGCAATCACTGCCGAGTCTCCAATCTCCAGTGTTCCTTCCAGCTCCAGCTTGTCTCCAATCTCCTTGCTTTCCATGGCTGCCGATGATCAATTGAACTCGAACTCAACTTCGAACTCTCCAATGTTTCAAGATCTTGAATTGGAACCAGAAACTTGGGGTCCACTTTTTGAAGACATTGCTTCTCCTACACACAACGGGGAGATTTCCAATGTTGTTGAAGACATTCAATTAAATGACGTCATTTCTGAAGCAGTTGCCAATGTTGTCAAAGTCAAGGAAGAGCTAAATGAATCATCTTTGTTGACTAATGCCAAGCCGCTTTTCAAGCGTTCAGCGGTGAATGTTGAGTCTCAAACTGAGGCTCAGCAACAACCTCCAAACAAACGCAAGAAGTCAACAAAGATGGATCACTTGGGATGCGTTTCTTACAACCGTAAGCAACGTTCTGCTCCTTTGAACCCAATTGTGATTCCAAACAATGCTGACAATGCTGCTGTTAAGAGAGCCAGAAACACTGAAGCTGCTAGAAGAAGTAGAGCTAGAAAGATGGAAAGAATGAATCAACTAGAAGAAAAAGTTGAAGTCTTATTGAATAAAAATGATGAATTGCAAAAGGAAGTTGAAAGATTGAGAGCTCTTTTAGGTGAAAGAGCAAATTAATTTTTGGTTCTGTTATTTTATTTCTGTTTTTTTTTTTGTTTGTTTGCCTTGTGTTTTATTAGTTCCAGTTTTTTGTTTCTTTTATTTGATTTTAGACTTTATATTTTTATTACTGAAAATCCGAAAAAAATCTAAAAAAATCACTATTTCTATATTCCTTTAAAAAATCTTTTGAACTGTAGATGACTTTTGATAAATATCTCTAGATTGTTTTGCACTATCTGTTCTATCGCCATCTTCAGATAAGTGAAAGTTGAAAATTTGATTGAAAATTTTTCCAATATAAGCGATGAGCGTCATTCTGCAAGATTGAGTTGCTGATTTACTATACCTTTTCTTTCAACCATTGGCAAAGAAAAGAAAGAAAAAAAAAAGCTGAAAAAAAAGTACAAGGAAAAAAAAAAAGATAAACATGAACTATCAACAAAGGACGAATTGTTGTTTGAATATTATTGTCTAAATCGAGGAAGGATTCTGACGTCGCTCTGATCAGGTAAACGAAAAAAAAAAAAAAAAAAAAAAATACGATTCGTTGTTTTTGCAAGAAAACGAATCAAGAAGCGGGAACTGACTTGGAATGACTGCAAATTATAGATGAATAAAAATGTTCCAGACATCGTTCAATAGATATAAAGCCTTTTATATTCCTAAGACCCCAATACAACCAGCAAAGCTCCCCAAGCGACATGGAAGATCAATAACCAATGGGTTTGAATTTATTCCCTGGGATTCCTCCACCAGTTCAACCACTACCAAAGTGCCGGAGTCACCAGAGCCTGAACATTCTAGCGGTGCTACCACATCAACGGAACCATCAACGGAAGAAAAATTTAATGAGCAAGAAGATGAACTAGATGATGATTGTCTGAACGATACAAAGGGCAAGAAATCCAAAAATAAAAAATTGTCGAAAGAGGAAAAGAAAAAACTCAAGCAGGATAAGAAACTCGCTAGACAAGAAGCCTCAAGGGCAAAAAAGAAGCAAGAAGAGGCCGAAGTTTTAGCAAGTGGTAGCGGGGATAATGATGATGATGACCAAATAACTAAATCTGGCGCCTCAAGGGCGGCGACAACTAACCATTATATTGATGGGAATATTCGCAGCAGTACCAAGGAAAAACTTCATTATTTGAAGTCATTACAATTGACGATTTCTAATACTAAGAACCCAAGAGTGCTAGAGTACCATGACATAACGATTAGAAAAGAAGATATCTTCTGTTTGGGTCATGATGAGTGGTTAAATGACAACAACTTATCATATATTTACGAAAGGTTAGAAAAAGTGCCATTGCATGAGTACATACACGAGCAAAACAGTCAATTGCTTAATACCAAGCTTGCAAAACGTTGGAAGAACAGTATTGTGTTGTTGAAGCCCTCACTTGCATTCTTGTTGTTGAAGTTCCCTGATCCGACAGCATTACAAGGGATCTTACCACCATTGGAGCTTTCAAGCTTCTTATTTGTACCTATCAATGATAATGATGATGTCGAGGCGGCGGAAGGTGGTAGTCATTGGTCACTTGTAGTGGTTTCGTTGCTCGAAGGTGTGGCCTATTTTTATGATACTTTGGCGGAAGACGAAGATGAAGGAAACTATGAAGAATCGATGGCATTGGTCACTAATTTGAATTTTTACCTTGAAGCGGTCGGCGGAGGCCATAAGAAAGTGGTGGGAAAAGTTGTGAAAACTCCTCTACAGATCAATGGGAGTGATTGTGGAGTTCACGTTTTGCAAATTACTGCCATATTATTAGCAAGAATTATGGAATGTGGAGAAGATGGTGGAATACCTTATGGCTTAGAAGGATTAGAATTAAGTGCTTTAGATGGTAGAATATGGATATTGCGCGATATGTTGGAGAAAATCAGAGAGAAGAGGAAAAGTGGAGCATTATTATAGAACACTATATTATATTTATTTTATTTACAGATTTTGGAGGATTTCTACAATAAGATGATTTTGGAATTAGAAAAGCATTTCTTTTTAATTGTTATTGAAACCCCCCCTCGCCCATTTTTTTGTAAAGACTAATTACGGCAGACTCTTTTAATGAAGTTTTCAGTTCTCAAGGGGACCAATCCTACGGGAAGATATATTTGGGCATTCACAACCTGAATGATCTTCACCTGATCAGTAAAGTCATATTGAAGCCTTTTTGCTTTTGGATTAATGTTTTTTTTAGAATAGCAAGATATCTTAAAAATCACGAGCTGATCTGTAATATATAGTGAATAATACAGGGAATAAGATAAGGAATGAGAAAGGGAATAATATAAGGATCCGATAATAAGTAATTGATTAGGTAATGAATGAACAATTCTGGTAGTATATGTTACATGATCATTCTTAGAGTATCTTGGAGAAGCTCAACACATGCATTAGCCACAAAATTCTGCTCTTAAAGTGCCAATCATTTCATTTCTTTACGAAAGCATAGCACTTTCCCACTCCCTGCTATTGGATTTTCTAATATATATTTCCAATAAACTACAAATACTGGGAACCAACAAATATTGGCATGGACTTTCTGTCATGCATGAATATTCCCAGAAAAAGACGCGAAAAAAAAAAGAATTTAAAACCACACGCGCGAAATCCTTAAACAAAAAGAATAGAAGTCTACGAATGATATGAAGATCCTTTGTGTCGCTGAAAAACCTTCAATCGCCAAGTCAGTTGCAGGAATACTTGGTGGTGGTCGTTTCAGCGTACGTAGCTCTTGTGTAAAATATATCAAGAACTATGATTTCTCTTTCAATTTTGGTGGATCGCTAGGACAATGTGAAGTAACGATGACCTCAGTTCTTGGTAATTTTAGAAACAATATATTTCCCGATGAGTATAATTGGGGTCGTTGTGAGCCGATGCAATTATTTACAGCGCCTTTGAAGAAAGGATACGAGAATAAGACCTCCCAGCTGGTTGCTAAGAATATTGCCACAGAAAGCCAAGACGCCGATAGACTAATGATTTGGACCGATTGTGATCGAGAAGGCGAAAGTATTGGTCACCAAATATTCGAGGTGGCTCTGGAAAGTAATCGAAGAATCACCCTCGAGAATACTCTTCGTGCTCAATTCTCCCACTTGGAAAGATCCCACGTCATCCATGCCGCTAAGACCCCGAGACATCTTGATATGAAGCAAGTATATGCTGTGCAAACTCGTGGTGAATTGGATATAAGGTCAGGATTTGCATTCACTCGACTACTAACTGACTTGTTAAAATCAGAAATTCCTGGCGGGTTGGAAGATAAGACTATTGTTTCATACGGGTCATGCCAATTCCCGACGTTAGGATTCGTTGTCGATAGATATATTCGAGTTAGAAGATTCATAAGTGAGCCATTTTGGTATCTTAGTGTTACAACAATCAAGAATCGTATCCACACTCTCTTCACTTGGACAAAACCTTCGATGTTTGATCGTATGACAGCTACAGTGCTATATGCAAACTGTATGTCACAGCCGAGAAACGACTTTGGGAAGATTATAGCCAAACAGGAGAACCCAACTTCAAATTATAAACCCCTCCCTCTTACCACTGTTGAGTTGCAAAAAATAGCTGCCAGAACTTATAGAATGACTGCCAAGGACACATTAAAAGCCGCTGAAGATTTATACACTAAGGGGATTATTTCGTATCCACGTACAGAAACAGATAAATTTCCGGCCAAGATGGATTTAAAATCTTTTATACAGCGGCAAACTGGACATCGGGAATGGGGCCAATATGCTCAAAGTCTAATAGATGGCAAATTTTCACCACCAAGAAGTGGTAGACACAATGATGAGGCGCATCCTCCAATCCACCCAGTTTCTTGCCATGATGGTGGAGGTCTATTGGTTAAAGAAAAGAAAATCTATGAATTAGTAGTGCGCCATTTCTTGGCCTGTTGTTCAGATGATGCCAAAGGTAGTCTTTCAAAAGTCACTCTACAATGGGGAGATGAGATATTTACCACGTCAGCGTTAGAAGTTAAAGAGGAAAATTACCTAGAGATTTACAAACAGTATAGAACGTGGAAGTCTTCAGCTAAAAAAATTCCACCATTTGAAGTTGGAGAGGAAGTCAAGCTTCAGAAAGCGGAACTTAAGGAGGGCAAAACATCACCACCAAATTATATGACCGAAACTGAACTAATTGCTCTTATGGATGCTAATGGCATTGGAACCGATGCCACAATAGCCGAACATATTGATAAAATCCAGCAACGTGAGTATGTCACAAGCCTACGTGAAGGAAGCAAGTCAGTACTAGTGCCATCAGAGCTTGGTATGGGAATAGTTCAAGGGTTTGATAATATCGAATTCAACGAGAATATTAGTTTGACAAAGCCTTTTCTTCGAAAGGACATGGAAAATGAACTAAGCATGATTTGCAGTGGAAATAAAACTAAACCTCAAGTTATTGAGAAATTAGTCAATATGTACCAGGAGGCTTATGTATTAACCAAAAGAAACCAGCAAACATTGGTCAGGGAGTATAGAAATGTTATCAGGGAGAATGGTTAATGGCATTGTATTGGCATTGTTAAGAAAATACACTATTATTCTAATCAAGTGGACGCCAAGTCACTCTTGTTAGCTTTTCACACTTTAGAAAGTATCAGTTGTTTCTTTTCATTATTCAGTTAGTTAGTGTTATTTCATGAACTATAAATTGTATTATTATTTTTCATATTTCATGTAGCTGGAAATTAATCCTGTTCTTGAAAAAAGAGAGAGAGAGGAGCTAAGTTTCAACAAAAACAACGTTATTCATTCATACTTACGATGAAGATGACTCCTCATGGCTTATCAGTGGATGATGATCAAAACCAAATAGTGAAAATCCACAAATGCAAGAGATAATATCATGTAATAACACTCTTTTCATCTGAAAAAGTTCCCCCATTTGAATAATTCTCCAAATTTGTGAGATTTGCTCGGAAATATGCATCTACAGACTAGAGTATGCAGATATCATAACATGATAATCGCACGCAGGGCGCTTTAGATGCACTGTCGAAAAGTGTTTTGGGAACCATTAGCATTGGCTTTTCTTTTCAATGGATATACTTCGTAATAGAAAGACGGTGGCGCCACATGAACAATGAACGTTGATAAAAGTTTTGATGCCGATGTGGCAAAACCGAAAAATATTGCCATCATTCATCCCGATTTGGGGATTGGTGGGGCCGAAAGGCTTATTGTTGATGTGGCCATTGGACTTCAAGATCTCAAGAACCATCATATTACCATATACACTTCACATTGTGATAAAAGCCATGCATTTGAAGAGGTTGCCAATGATAAGCTTGAAGTGGTGGTATATGGGGATTTCTTGCCTCGGAAGATCTTTGGACGGTTCACGATTCTTTGTGCTACTCTTAGACAACTATACCTTACGATGAAAGTATTGTTCTTGACCGGTTCAAGCTACGATTTCTACATCATTGATTCTTTGGCGGCATGTTTGCCGGTGATTTGGTTGTTCAATATTTTATTGAAATCGAAAAATGGGTTCTCGAAAGTGTTATTTTACTGCCATTTCCCCGATTTGAAACTTTCGCAGAACTCCACCGGTAGCACTCTTAAAAGCCTTTATAGAATGCCGTTTGATTATTATGAGCAGTTTTGCTATGTGTTCCCCCATAAATTGTACGTGAATTCGAATTTCACTAAACAGATTTTCGCAGAAACTTTCGACATGTTGCCAGGTTTAGCATCATTCACCGCCCCCACCGTGGCATACCCTTGTATTGACGAAACCATCCACAACGACCCAAAACTTGATGCAAAAATTCACGCCAAATTTTCCAATTCCAAATTTTTTTTGAGTATCAATCGGTTTGAAAGGAAGAAAAATGTCGAGCTCGCCATCAAATCATTTTCCGAACTCGTGAAACGGGAAAAAACCCCCTCAAAATCCTTAAAGTTATTAGTTGCTGGGGGTTATGACAAATTAGTGTTAGAAAACGTTGAGTATTTAAAAGATCTTTGCACCATCTCTGCTGATTTCAACCTTCAATACCGGGTGTTTACAGACTACCAAGAGTTTATCGATACCGATCTCACTGCCGAGTGTCAAATCTATTTCTTACCAAACGTTTCCACCGACTTGCGTAATTCCTTGATGAAATACACCGCGATGTTGTTGTATACCCCATCATTTGAACATTTTGGGATCGTTCCTATCGAGGCGATGAAGTATAATACTTTGGTATTAGCAATCAACAACGGGGGTCCAAAAGAGAGCATCGCACCTTTAGATGATGATTATGAAGGATTAAAAACCGAAAAAATCTCGATAACCAACGATAAAGGTACCGGGTTCTTGAAGCCTGCGGACGAGAAAATATGGAGTAATGTCATGGAATGCATTATTTCCATGAAAGATTCTCAACGCGCTAAATTGGGGAGCAACGGTGAGAAAATCATTGAAAAGTTGTTCACCAGAAAAGTGCTTACAGAAACCATCAACGAGGATATTGTCAGGTTATCAAAGAATCTGACGAATCTTGAATTCCAAGAGACTCAGAGAACCCTTTATTTCTTCTTAGTCGCGCTTGGTGCCCCATTTATTGCCATTGCCATTTTCTTATTATACCTGTTGTGAAAGATTTGTAATATACTTCTACTTTTTCTGTCTTTAAAATATGAATACTTGTAATTGAATATTGAATATTTATTGAGCTTTTTGATTATACTTTCGAATCGTCAACACGTGACAAGCGCGTAAGACGCGTAAGACGCGACCTTTTTTTTAAATTGCAGAAAAACTTCCCAAATTGTAACGCGTGAAAAAAAAAAAAAGTGTTGATGTGGGAAAAATCGACGACACACTGTACTTCTTTTTTCCTTGCACTTTTTGCTGTCTATTTTTGGCGAACAAACGCTTCTTATCTAAATAATTAAATAACCAATAATGTCGCAGAATAACTCGAGGAAGAGAACCTTATCCACCCAGGAGGCTGATGAGGAAGGTTTCGATGCTCATATTCCTTCAGGAAACTCGTCTCCTAGTCATAATTTACCACCATCTTCACCAGCACCATTCGATCCATATGATGATGGCGAAGAACCAGATATCGTCGATGATGACATTGATGATATTGAAGAACGTGTTAATGAAGTTGATTTGTTCGACGATAATATCAGGCGTGACTACCTACCTGATGCTAGCCAGGATAAATATGCCTCATCTGAAGTCGACGATGGCGAATATAATGAATTAGATATCTCTTCTAGAAGAAAAGTCGACCGTGCTTTAGACGCCCGTGATCGTTTAATTCAGCAGCAGAAAGCCAGAGGTCAGGCATTCTTGGATGAGGAAGAAGAAGAAGAGGAACAGGAATTGGATCAATATGGTTTACCAGTTCAAAGAAGACGTGTCAGAACCCAATATGATGAAGACTTTGAGATGTCTGAGGATGAAATAGATCCATTATCTGAAGAAATATCTTTAGACGCTCTTGCCGATATTAAGGCACCAAGCATCCAGGAATGGATTATGGAACCAGCCGTGTCCAGATCTATTGCTAGAGAACTTAAGAGTTTCTTGACAGAATTTACTAATGCAGAAGGTAAATCAGTATACGGTTCGAAGATTCGTGTTTTAGGTGAAGTAAACTCCGAATCTTTAGAAGTAGATTTTGCCGATCTTGCGGAAGCCAAACCAATTATTTCCTTGTTCTTGTCCACTTGTCCGGAACAAATTTTGAAGATATTTGATATCATTGCCATGGAAGCGGTCTTATTACATTATCCAGATTATAGTAATATCCACAGTGACATCACTGTGAGAATTGTCAACTATTTCCCAAATAATTATACCCTCAGAGAATTGAGAGAGAGTCACTTGAATACATTAATTAGAGTCTCGGGAGTTGTGACTCGTAGAACCGGGGTGTTCCCACAATTGAAATATGTGAAGTTTGATTGTTTGAAGTGTGGTCAAATTCTTGGTCCGTATTACCAAGACTCTCACACCGAAGTCAAAGTCAACTATTGTCCAAACTGTCGGTCGAAGAATGGCTTTAGAGTTAATAACGAAAAAACCATCTACAGAAACTACCAACGTGTTTCTGTTCAAGAAGCTCCGGGATCTATCCCTGCTGGTCGTTTGCCAAGAAAAAGAGATGTCATCCTTCTTGCGGATTTGGTCGACGCTGTGCAACCTGGCCAACACGTTGAAATCACTGGTATTTACAAGAACTCTTACGATGGTACATTGAATGCGAAGAATGGGTTCCCAGTTTTTGCTACCATTATCGAAGCCAACTCCATAAAAGTTGACGGGTCTGGATCAACCACTGAACCATCAAGTAATAATACTATTGGTGACAAGAACCGTTTGGAATTGTTCACTTTTACAGATGAACAGGAGAAGCAATTCCGCAAGCTTAGCAATGAACGTGGTATCATTGACAAAATCATTAACTCTGTTGCCCCATCCATTTATGGCCACCGTGACATCAAAACTGCGGTCGCTTCTTCTTTGTTTGGGGGTGTTGCCAAAGATATCAATGGTAAGCATTCCATCAGAGGGGATATTAATGTGTTATTGATTGGTGACCCTGGTACTGCCAAATCTCAAATCTTGAAATATGTGGAAAAAACTGCCCATCGTGCAGTGTACGCTACTGGTCAAGGTGCTTCTGGTGTCGGTTTGACCGCATCAGTTAGAAAAGATCCAATCACTAATGAATGGGTTCTTGAAGGTGGGGCACTTGTGTTGGCTGATAAGGGGACCTGTATTATTGATGAATTTGATAAGATGCACGATAGGGATCGTACTTCTATCCACGAAGCCATGGAACAACAATCTATCTCTATCTCTAAAGCTGGTATTGTTACCACCCTTAAAGCACGTTGCGCGGTAGTTGCTGCCGCCAATCCTATTGGTGGTCGTTATAATTCGACTATTCCATTATCGGATAACGTTGCCTTAACCACCCCTATCTTGTCGCGTTTTGATGTGGTTTGCGTCGTGAGAGACTTGGTGAACCCAACAGATGATGAGAGGTTGGCGAAATTTGTCATTGGATCCCACATGAATTCGTTAGATTCTAAGGAAGCTGATGATGAGATGAAGGAAATGGGTGAAAACCCAGAAATGGAGGAAGACGAAGAGCTTGATGGTCAACGTAATGACTATTATGCCAAATACGGAACCATCGATCAAGAGTTTTTAATTAAGTATATTAATTTCTCAAAGAATATCAATCCTAAATTGAATCAAATGGATACCCAAAAAGTAACAAAATTATACGCCGATTTGAGACGTGAAAGTTTGGCTACTGGTTCGATGGCGATCACCATTCGTCATTTGGAGGCGGTAATTAGAATTTCAGAAGCATTTGCCAGAATGAGATTATCAGAATTCGTTAGTCAATATGATATTGATCGTGCAATTAAGGTGGCCATTGGTAGTTTTGTTGGTAGTCAAAAGCTTTCTGTTAAAAACCAATTGAGAAGGGTATTTGCAAAGTATTTGGTTTGAATTTTCATATCTTTTCCTTTTGATATTTCTTCTTTGCTTCATTTTGCTTTCTTGTCTGTATTGATAAATGGTAGATATTTTCTGTTTTCACTTTATTTTCGGGTTTATGGTTTTTCACTTAGTATAATTTTAATTTTAATCAGTCATTTTCTAATTAAATGAATTCTTTGTAATTACTTGCCTCAAAATATCAAATTTCTTGAAATTTCTTTACTAAGCCTTCAATATATTATTTATCAACTTTGGTAGCCATGGCAAAAATCTAAAAAATCAAATACAAACAACAAAAATCCCGAATATAATCAAAAGAAATAGCACTCGAAAAACACCCCACATACACATATAGAAGAAAAAGAAGCAAAAAATAGAAATAAACATCTAAACCCAAATAAAATTAGTAAAACAAATATGTTTGGATAGATAACTATTAAGGTAAAATAGGGATAGAATAAGTATACAGTGGAATCATAAAAGTCACCCACAACAATCTGATTCGATAAGAAATTAGAGTTACATCACCCTTGGAAGAAGCAATAATTTTCAACAAGCTCCTTATAGGACTTTGAATCAAAAGATGGCCTTTCACTTCCAACTTTCTGGATTTCGAATTGGCGTTGCGACTCAGTACGATTAACTTTATTCATATTATTGTTAGAAATAGTGACAGTATTACCATTTTTAGCTTGCTCAGAAATGTTTTTATCGAAACCGTGAGCCAAGTTATTTTCTTTTAAAATGTTATCTTTCCTTTTCATTGATGTGAAATTATCGTTGAATTTATTATTGAACAAAGAATAACCTTGGAATTTGGCATTATTATTTTCATCGTTAACTGAACTTTTCTCACTAGCACTGGTATCATTTACAGCACTTTTGAAATTAACCAAAGCTTCACCTAATTTGCTAAAGTTAGGCATTTCGCTTTCCGATTTGTCAAAATCGGAATGATATTTAAAGTTTGGCGTTGATGGAGAGGACTGAAAAGGTGGGAAATAACTATCCAGAGATTCCGAATACTGGTTATATAATCTATGATCATCATAGTCGTAATTATTATTGATGGTGCTAGTATCAAAATCATCGGTGTCGGTTAGTGGATCCACATAATCTAGAGAAGACCCATCCAGAAGGCCCGTGCTACTAGTTCGTTTCTTTTGGGCCAAATATTTAGCAGAATATGTACTAGTGGACGAATTTTCATCTTGGGATTTTTTATCTTTGTCGCTTTTGAGATAAAGCTGATAATTCTTGCCCTCGTTATTGTCCCAAAATGTTTCTCCATTAGTCTCATACTTTATACATGCAACAAAATCAACATGATCTAGCAGATTTTTATCTTCCATGAGCGTGACTAAAGGTATTTGGAAAAGAAACCGGTCGTACATTCTTTTCTTTAAAATTCTGGGAATATCGGGAACATAAGCAGCTTCAACTTCAGAGACAATCTTCCAATCATTTAATGAGTACTTTATTGCCACCTTTTTTTGAAAGGCAATATTCTTTGTGGCTATTTGTCCTTTCAATAGCCTCTTGTCGGTACTAAGAAAGAATCTTTCGAGAAATACTGGAGGATCAGTAGCAAATTTACGCTCATAATCCACCAGACCCCTGAAGTTTATTGGGTTAATTTCCCAATCAAGACCTGGATCAATTTCATCATCATCATCATCATCTGTAGCACTTGACTGATGTATATCACTGTCACTATCATCATCATCGTCACTATCACCAATCAACCATCGATATTTTGGGCTCTGCTTAATTCCATGAGACCCACTTCTTGGACGCACATTTGGGGAGTTTTCAGCACTAATTGCTGTTGGAGAATCCCTTTCTCGGAAATACTTAATATCGGCAAAAGATTTATTGTTAAAATGAACTGCTTTATATGTAGGAGTTGATGGTAAGCTCAGAGCAGAGCGGCCATAGGAATTTCCAGAATAACCAAGAGAGCTCAATTTTAAAGATGATTTAACAATCTCACCGGACTTTTTTCTGATTAGAGGAGGGAACTCGGAGATGCTGTTGTCAAAAGAGCTTCCAAGCGCGGGGGCGGTTGTATTAGTACTGACATTCTGGGTGGGGGAAGCCGGTTGTTGCGAAAAAATCGCACCAGGTGAAATTTGACCACCATTAATAAAATCTAGGGCCTTCAGACTTTTATCGAAAGAGAATTTATTAGCTAAGGGATCTTTGTGTGGCAGCCCACTACCCAGCAGCCCTGTATCAGAAGTAGGGGATGAAGCAACCTTGTTGTGCTGAGTGTTGCTATCTGCCTGGTTGCGCCGTGCTTGGGAAATTAGAAATGGGTTCTTATCGAGGTCGGAATAGCGCTGTTTATGAAGGTACTTGAGCGATAGAGGCTCTGTATTACCGTCCGTAGTATTAAAGTGGTTCAATGAAGGTCTGACGGGCGATACAGAGGAAGCGCCATTGAGAGAGGGTGTCGTTTTCTGAGCAGGATTGCCGCCAAATGAAAGAAGTAACGCGCAATTATTTCGATACTGAGGGGGCCTCGATCCAATTGATTCATTTGTAGACCTTAGATTCTGGGTACCAATTGATCCCTGATGCTTTATATTTGCCGTCAATTTTGATAGTGGCGGTGGGGTTGAACAAGACGTCACATTATTATCCCCGTCTTTTGATAAGGAGACTGGCGACGAGAGGTCACAAGAAGATTCCAATGCCAGAAACACGGGATTTGAGGTACTGACAGTCGGTGGTCGCTGGGGAGGAGTGGCTATATCCATTGAAGCAGACTCTGGGACCAGCAAAGGGCTTATGGATGGTGACGGTACTGGGCTGATTGGTAGACAAAGAAAGGGTTTTTGCAGCAACCGCAGTGACACATTTTTTTTTTTTTTTTTTTTGGCAGCACACACACACACACACACACACGGGCGTTTTGTGGGAAGAGAAAAAGCACACTAACTGTTTCTGGATAACATAATTGCCGCTACAAAGAAAACTACTATTTTAGAGAGTGGCCGGCCAATTTGGCTCATGATGGTGAATCGAATGGCTAATTAATGGTATTCTTCCTCTCGCTTAGCAGGTCGACCTTGACATGCATACATACGAGTTTAATTAACGTGCTCTATTAAGAAGAGATCCGTAGCCATTAATTGGAAACACACTGCATGGAATACAAAGCAAATACCTACAGAAGACAGTGAAAATAGTAATAGTTGATGCTGAAAATGGTTTTTCTTGAAACAAAGTATTACGAAGATTTCATAATTGCAGATATACTATCAGATCTCTCATCTGTTTATTTTGTCGATTGCGCTTAATCAGGTAATCCCGAGGAAAGTATTGTACAATTGGAACACCATATAGTACAAAACCACCGCCGTTAATTCCAGCCGAGATCATCTTTGTACATGGAAACAGGATGGTATACGTTATAATCGTTTATAAGGGTTGTATAACAGTCATTGACACTAAGAACCACTGATGCAATTGAAAGAATGGTAATGGCCACTAGAAGAATCTTGGTAGTTCCGTTGACAGCTAAACGGAAGCTCTCAAATGTGACAAGGGGACGAGCTGCTGTTCTAGTCATGAATACCATTTTGGGAGGGACTGGGGGAAGGCTGGACTGTCAAAAAAGAGAAACACATTTATTTCTATAGAGAGCATCGCAGTTCAAATAGATATTATTGTTATTGTCCTCCAAAAAGAGTCCTGCATACAAGGCAAGTTACACAAAAGCAGTAATCCGCTTTCTATGCTGTACATCCTGTCATCTTCACAAAAACAGGGCTACCCTCAGTTATAAATACACATCTCTAGCTAGTATTAACAACAGAGGATGTCCTTCTTCTTTAGGACCGTTATTGTCCAAACCCATCGATATTTTCCAAGACATCCTGCATTTTAATGCACTAATAAGCAATCATCACATGCGCATGGAGGCATCGCAATTTTTTGAGGGAATGAAATTCAGTAGGAATCATCCCTAACTTTCTTTAGTTTCCTTTGGCGCATTTCTGGAGGAAGCCTCTTCACAATCTATCTTCAGTGTGCTGATTAGTAACAAGTGTAAAATGGTGATGCTTGCGCCTAATGTTACCAGTGCAGAGTCTTCTGACACAGAGACTTTAACTGGCTCCATAGAAACATTTGACATCAAGAATCATGAAATCAGCTCATCTTCCCAGACAAAAGAGACGACCAACCATCATTATCATCCACCACCACACCGTCATTTCGCTCCTCTATCGACACCATTGAACAGAAGACTACAGACCCTCGTGGTATTCTGGCATTCAATTTCTATTCCGGTGTTTGCCCTGTTTTCTCTTTTTGCAATCACCTTCTTCCCTTTCACTTGGGTACTTCTTGTTCCTTATTTGATTTATTTCTTCTCAAACAAGGTATTTGAAAATGGTGGGGTTGTCAACAGAATGTCTTCTAACTTCCGGAATTTACTGATATGGGGGTATTTTGACGGCTACTTCCCAATCGTTCTTCACAAGACTGTTGATCTCAAGCCAAGTTTTAAGGAGATCAACATAACTGACGAGTTTTATATTGATATTAGCCTTTCCTTGGCCTGGGAATCTTTTTTGTCGGCCATTCCTATAATTTCACGATATATTAAAGATCATCGTCTTTCAGTTTTCCCTAGACCTCCATATAAGAAGCTCATTCCTGATGGTCCTGCGTACATTTTTGGTTATCATCCTCATGGGGTGGTAGCCATGGGTGCCATGGGTGCTATAGGAACCAATGGGGCAAATTGGTCCTCAATATTTGCTAATATTCCTGTGTGTCTTCTCACCTTGGGAACCCAATTCATCATTCCATTTTATCGTGATTATCTTTTGGCTCTAGGAATCTCTTCGGTATCCAAGAAAAATATTCAAAGCATTCTTGCCCAACACACGTCAGTTTCAATTGTCATTGGAGGGGCCCGTGAGGCATTGATGTCCAAACCAGGAACTTGCAAATTAATTCTTAAAAATCGTAAAGGTTTTGTTAAGCTTGCCCTTCGAACCCCTAATGTCTGCCTTGTTCCGGTGTTTGCATTCGGGGAAACTGAGATATATGAGGTTGCCCAACCTTCATCAACCTCTTGGCTACATAAGGCTCAATTAGTGTTGAAAAGTGCGGTTGGATTTACTGTCCCATTTTTCCATGCTAGAGGAATTTTTAATTATGACTTTGGTCTTTTGCCATATCGTCGGAGAATCGATGTTGTTGTTGGCAAGCCTATTGAAGTCCCATACGATCCTGAGCCATCAGAAGAGGTGGTGAATAAATGGCATGATATTTATGTGGAAGAATTGTTAAAATTGGTGGAGACGAATAGAGAACGTTTCAATTATACAACAAAGGTGGAGTTGTTGTAATTACTTAGTTTTGTGCTATGGTGTGGGTAGTTTTAGCTAGTTATTTAGTTAGGCTAGATGATGATTTATTTATTATTTGGTTTTTATGATTATTATGATTCTTTTTTTATTTATTTTATTATTACTCTGCTTTTATACGGCTTTCATATTTTATATTATACTATGGTTCCTAGCTTTTATTTTTTTTTTATTTTTTTTTTATCTCATATTCTGACTTCTTTTCGCTATGTATGGCTATTATTTTACATTAAAAAAATATCTCTTCCAGATGGTATTGTATTTATAATTTGCTGTAACCATTTTTCTTTTTTGTTTGCAGTATTTCAGCCTGGAGGTTTTAAAATATTAATCAGGTTTGAGTCATGATCACCGTGGATTTAATTCTTGGCGACTCTTGACATTTTTATCCATCAATTGATGTATACTTTTTTTTTACAATAAAGGCAATAGATCACAATTTTTTTTGTTTGAATATATTAGCACTTAACTTAAAATCTATTTAGAGAAATTTATCATTATAAATCTACTAGCTATTCATTGTCATCACAGCTTTCACAATCACTGGCACAACCACTTTCACAATCACAGTCACTTCCACAGTCACTTTCATAGTCACCGACTTCCAAGACGCTGTAATCAACTTTATAACCTTCACCTTCCAAATCTTCCACAAAAGAACTGTTTTTAGGATTGACAACAGCAAACACGGAAGAGGTCTCAACATCAAACAAAGGCAAGAAATATTTCTTGGTGATTCTAATCATATCCTCTACAGTAACCTCCTTGAGCTTTGCAAACAAATATTTCTTGTAGTCCGGACCACGAAGACGCAATTCATTATCAACGTACTGAACGGTAGCACTACTGATCAAGTTCAGTTCTGAAGAAGCGAAGCTATTAACGATACTACTAACTGTACCATCAACGAGACTTTGCTCAAACTTGGTGACACCATTTGCCAAATCCTCAACCACCTTCTTGGCAGCCTTAAGCGCAGCATAAACATCGGTGGCTTTGAATATATTGAGCAAAAGTTCTCTTGATTCAACGTCGGTACTGATACTTATATGATAAGCAAGGCCAGATCCACGAATACCCGCCCAAAATGGTCCTTCGATAATCTGTAAATAACCTTTAACCATGCTAATGGCTGGGTAATCTTCATCCAAGTAACTAGCTTCAAGCTTGCTGACACTGTATAAATAACTTGATTCCGAACCAGGGGTGGCAAGAACATAGGAAACCTTTCCGAGAGATGCTCCCAACTCACTCAAATTTTCATAGACATGAGGAATGGCTACCAATCCCCCACTCTTTGGCTCTTGCTTAGTGAATTTAGAAACTTTCGAAACGAGAGGGGACCAAGAAGAAACTGGATTATCAGATTGAATACCGCCAAGAACTAAAACTCTGTAGTTATTGATATCTCCGAACAAAGCGTTTCTAATTTCCTCCAAGTCACCTTGAATTTTCTTAAAACCTTTCTCGGTGTCAACTGATTCCGAAAGATCACGGTAAAATGATTCAATATCCAAAATATTGAAAGCCCTATTCAAAGATCTATCACTAGTCAAATGCTTGTTGGAAAGATATGACAACATGCTGTCACCATCTCTCTTGGTTTCTGGTAAGGAGTTCAAAAACTTATCAATACAAACTTTGACTCTCAATTGGTCAAAAACACTATTGAAGAACAACTTACCAATCCATTCAATGGCCTTGTTATAGTTTTCACTTTTAAACTGCAAGCTCAAATTCATAATTTCCTCAAAACCGTTAGAGATACCCGAAGAAAAGGCATGATTGACAAAGTCATTCTTTAATCCCTCCACAACCGCTTCATAAGGGATTTCCGTACCGTCATCCAAAACCATTGGCATAGTGAATATTTCTTGGAATATGAGCATATAAGGCAACAAATGCTTTGGAATGGCCATCGATGAAAATAAAATCTTAAGACTAATGAAGTTAGATTTATATTGATCAAAATACATCTCAAGTGGGAAGTCTTTAGGCAAATCATTGAATACCTTTGCATGTAATTCTTTGCTTTCATTTTTGTGGAACTCAGGTTTAGAAGTGATAACTGGATAAGTCGAAATGAAATCGATGTTGCGGATATCTGGTTTAGTAAATTGTGACAAAACAGTATCAGGAATTGGTTTGCCATTAGCTTCTTCGGCATGTTGCAACTTCGCTTTCAAGTTTTCTAAGCCTTTATCACCCAATTCGGAGACTCTGTCAGCGATTCTTTTTTCATCATCTGAGTTTTTTGCCTCGTATAGCTTAGCTGAAGGTTTAGCAAGAATTGAGGCAACCGGGGATTCAATAAAGTACTGTTTATAACATTTCAACCATTCTTCTCTGGTCCACTTAGAAAGCTCATTAACGTCATCCAAATCTTTCAACACCTTCAAATCAGAACCGTGCACATCACCATACATGAAATCACACATAGCCATCTCGGCAATTTTATCTGGATTTTTCTCACAACCAGAAACAAATTTGTTCTTGAATGATTCCAAGGTGGCTCTAACTTTCTTCAAGTCAAACTCATCGTTATCGTAATGACTTTTGATCAATTCACGAGTTTTTTGCTCACATTTGTGCAAATTTTCTGTGTCAATACCATCAATGTACAAACAAGCTTGCATTTTTATATACTCATTGACGTAATAATCAACATCAGATGCTAAAGGATCTTCGATTTCCACAAGCTTATTTTGTAATAATGCGGCGGAATCTTCAGTCAAATATGACAAAATGGTCTGGAATGCCAAAGTACCAACAAAGTCAGTATAGTCTGGGCCAATAAATCCCATAGTCAAACTACCAGAAGACTCATCGGTGTCTGGAAATTCAATCTCTCTTACAACACTTTCCTTCAAAGGGAAGTGATCAGGAGATTCTACAAATGGTCTTGGGTTAGGCTTTTCTGATAAGGTTGGTAATTCTGCATCAAATTTTATCATCGTCTCCAATAGTTCTTTTTCATCAGCTGAACCTGTGACAATAACACACAAATTGTCAGGTCTATACATGGCTTTGTGGAAATCCCTAATTTGTTGATTCGTCAACACTCTTAAACTCTCCAACAAACCGCCAGTTTCGGAAGAATAACCGGATTTTGGAGCGAACAACGTTCTATTGAGCTCCAAGTCCAACAAAGACCAAGAGGCAAAAACCCTTCCTTCCATTTCTGAGTAAACCACACCTTTATCTTTGGCGGCACTATCCACATGGTATACTTCAGTGTAATAACCTTCATCCGTTAATGTCGGATTAAGAACATGGTCTAAGTAAACTGGCAATAAGTTGTTGAACCCTTCCCAACCAGCGGTTTCCAAAGTGTAAACTGTTCTATCAGTCGCAGTCCATGCGTTGGTACCACTGAATTGAATGTTCCCCAAGATATCTAAAAGCCCTTTATATGGGTATTTCTTGGACCCCATGAATACCAAATGTTCCAAGGTATGTGGAGTTCCAGAATCATCTTCGACTTCAGTAGCCACGGCGAAGTACCCACAAACCATTGGTGATTTTTGATCGATCAAGACCACTTGTAGCCCGGTTCTTTCAGACTTCCATTTCTTAACCGAAGCTGGAGCGTACTCGACGTCAAAAGAATCGAGGAGTTTAAAGTTATTAACTCCAGATGCCATTCTAGACCCGATTTTTGGTAGTGAGGATATTAGTTTACGGAGAATGATGGTAGATGTATCGATTTCTAGGGGAAACTAAATGCCGTAAGGCAAGTTCAAAAAGAAACATTTTCTTTTGAGCCATCGCGTAATCACCCATCGCTCATAACATTATTTTTTTTTTGATCTGCGAATAGGCACTGTGGTGGCCTTCATTTATGGAGCTCCAATCTAATATTATTGAATTATTGCTGTAAGATATAGTTTTCATATTCTGAGCATGTATTTAGGCCCAGGTAACTAGTCAGGGCCATTTGAATGACCATGCGCTGCTCAAGTATGTAACCTCCTAGGCGCACAAAGTCTAATGGGGCTGAAGAATAAATATTTAAGCAAATTCTCTCAATATTCTACCATTTCACCATATTTGGTGGTTGATGGTATTGATCTTCCTCAATTGTAAGCTTTTCCCGTTATGGTGATGTAATTGCTTCTCGATGATGAGCTTACAAAAAAAAAGTATACAAAAAAATCATTATCAAATGAAAAAAAAATCCAAATCTGGACTTTTTGTATTTTATTTATTAGAGATTCAACAAAAGTTAGCAGAGGAAAATGGATGACGAAATCCCCGATTTGGTTGAAAGTATCGAGCAAGTGAATGACTCAAAGTTGCAAAAGATTTCCCAACCAGATACTGGTAACTTGAAAATAATCCCGTCTTCAACTCCGAATGCTACTGACAGAAAAGTGCCCATCACCATCATCACCGGTTACTTGGGGTCTGGGAAGTCAACTTTATTGAACAACATTGCCAAGAAAGGGGATAAAAGAATAGCGGTAATCCTCAATGAGTTTGGAGACTCTAGCGAGATTGAGAAAAGTTTGACGATCCAAGATGATTCTAATACATATGAAGAGTGGTTGGATCTTGGAAATGGATGCTTGTGTTGCACAGTTAAGGACAATGGAGTGTCTGCGATCGAACAATTGATTGATAAATCGAAGGATAAGATCGATTATATCTTTTTAGAAACTAGTGGGGTGGCTGATCCTGCTCCTATCGCCAAGATGTTTTGGTTAGATGATGCATTAAGTTCAAATATCTACATCGATGGGATCATCACCGTTTTGGACTCCAAAAATATCATTAAAAATCTACAGGATTATGGAGGCCATCGTCATAAACAATCTAGCAGTGATGAAGGTGAAAGTCGTGAAAGTCATGATGATATGGAAGAAAACACAACCACTGCCGAGTTACAAATTGGTTTGGCAGATGTGGTTATATTGAATAAATTTGACTTGATAGAATCAGACGTTGAGGAACAACAGAAAATCGAGAGGGCAATCAAGGAAATCAATTCGGTAGCCCCCGTTTACAAAACTTCGTTCTCGGATATTAAATTGGAAAATATCCTTGATTTGCACGCCTTTGAAAATTGTGATAAGAATTTGGAGCAAGAAGCAAAGATGAGGAATGCTATATCTACCGACGGTGCTTTTCACAACCCTATCATTTCTACAGAAGTTATACTGTTCCCTAAAATTAAGAATATCAATGATATTATGCCTAAATTAGAGAAATTTTTCCAAAGCGTATTATGGGGAAATGAAATCGCTGGTAAGAAGGTTGAAATTCATAGACTTAAAGGGATGATTGTCGAAGAAGGTATCGCAACCCAAAATATCTCAACCGTGGTTCCAACCGATAAGATCAAAGTTTTTCAAGGCGTGAGAGACACTTATGACATTTTTGATGGTTACTATAATCCAGAAATTCACAATGATGGGGTATGTAAAATCGTTCTTATTGGAAAACATCTTTCCAAGGGCTCAATCATTGAGGAAATCAAAAAATTTGTGGGTAATTCATGTGGCGTTATTAGTTAACACACTCCTTAGATACGAAGATATGATCATAATATACAGACTATGACAATAATGCATTTATTTATGAATTCAAAGTTTGATGTAAATTTTAAAGTAATGGAAAATTTCTGCTACTGCATTGATGGCAAGGGTATAGCCGATCATAGTGGTGATCCCAACCAAAGACGAAGCATCCAAAGTGTTGATATTCATATTCACCAATCCTGTCAGAACATTCGAAATCAAAAAGAATAACAATCCATTATTATTAATCGCCTCTAGTGAATATGGAACATGATTGTAACTATTTTGGTTTGCGTCTTTCTTCTCAGAATTAAAATACGCAAAGAGCTTGTTAATTAACTTGAAACCCACAAGGAAATTCAAATTATAAGCAATGACGAAAATCACATATTGGAAATTGGCAAATCTTCTAGAAACTTGGGTGAAAACCGATGTTGACTGGCAGTATAAGGCCAATATGTCGAAAAACACTGTGTAAATAATTAAACAGCCATCTGAAGAACGACTCAACTGAGATCTTATCCATAGATACAACTTGCTATGCTTATTCTTTGTCGAGTAGAAATCTTCAATTTCTGACTGAGTGGAATTTTTGATCAAGTTAAATGGGGTGACGATACTTGGTAGTAAGAAACCGCCGATGGATTCCCCGACTAAAAAGATAGAAATATAGCCTATCATTGAGCTAATGCCTTCTTTATTCTGATCGAATATTGTAACTCTTTCTTCATCGAGTAAATATTGTAAATAGCTATTGTCATCCTTCTTCAAAAGGTACTCGTACGCCAAAGAAATTGCCAATCCAATTAAAACATTGAAATTATTCAAACGTAACATGGAGAACACAAATTCAAGGATGTATTTGCAAGGTTGTAACAAACTTAAAGTGACAAAGAAATTCCAATGGACACCGTATTCGGACACATGTTCTTGGTAACTCAAAAGTTTAACAAGGAACAATCTTCCAATCCCTAAACAAAATACAGTGAACGAGTCCTTGAAACTAAAAAGAATCTTTTTGACTAACCCCGTCAACTCATAGGTAAATGACAAGTTCTTCTTTTGATTGAATTTTGACCAAATTGACAGACGAGCAGATACAATTCCCATGGAAAACACAAAAGAGCCAACCCCGAGATCCATCAATGAGGTACCCCAAGTTTCACACTTGGCAAATCTTCTTGGAAAAATCTGGAAGTCCACAGCCAAGATAGCGATTGAGGTAATCACAAGCATTTGAGATCTATAAACAGTGAGGTAAGATATTTTTGGAAGGAATTTTTTCTTGTCAATGGTGGAAATATTTGGCCTGCCATCCCTTTTCGTGTGGTTTTTGGAGCTAGATGATGACGATGATGGACTTGACTTATTTGTCAACGTTAACGTAACAACTGGAATCAAAATACCATAAATTAGCAGAATGATATTATCTGAATATGTGGTGATAGATAGTAGTAGTGCTAACCAGTTAAGTAAATAATCAAGTACCACAGTGAACACATTCAAGTTAGATTTTTTATCCTTGGAAGTGAAAATTTGAGTAAAAGTGTTTAGAAGACAGTATGAAAAATAAGTGATCAAAGAGATAGATGTAACAAGGTAAACATCATGGACTGTACCACCAGTGAGACCGGTGACAAATTGCTCTTTTCTAATTTTCAAATCGTCAGCTAAACCAGGCATTGTTTCCACTGTATTGTGTAAAGCCAAAAACCTTTTGGGAGGCAGTTTGACAGCAGCACTTACGGTGAAATATCAGTGGGACCGTGAGAGCGTGACCTTGGTAACTAAACCCCATTTTTAAGGGGAATTGTCAACACTTTGTTTGATTATTTCACCCAACAATATTCCATATTTATATGTATACCACGTGATTATGTAATCAAGATATAACCCATTAATTGCGATGAGGCCCATGTGTTTCAAACAGGCTCTTTTTTTTTTCTGTCTTCCAGAAACAGCAATTCATCTCCAAATTCACACACAATTTTTCCAACACGGTAGATCGTTACAATGGCAAAGTTGGATTTCTGGGATGCCTTGTTGGTTGGGCTAATCTCTATTCATTTGGTGGTATCACCATTCACCAAAGTCGAAGAATCGTTCAATACTCAAGCAATCTATGATTTTGTGAACTACGGTCTCGATTTCTCAAAATTCGATCATTTGGAATTCCCAGGTGCTGTTTATAGAACTTTTGTTGGGTCTGCTGTGTACGGTTACATCACAAAGTTTTTCAAGAGTTATCTAATTACCAGCGATACCCCAACCCAATTCGATCTTCAGTTATTATCTAGGGGACTATTGGGTCTTGTGAATGGTATTGCCATGATTATTTTACGTCATGCCGTTATCGACACCGTTGAAAAGGTTGGCAATAGTAAAGAATTCGATATCTCGATCTTTGAAGTGGATTCTGTGGTGAAAGATGAAAACACTGGTGAAGTGATCGCAGAAGAAGTTGAAGAAGAAGTCGATGTGGTGGAAAAAACAATCTCCGAACCAAAGTCTGCTATCGGTTTATATTATGCCCTTTTTCAGTATTCTCAATTCCATATTATCTATTACTCCTCGAGATTTTTGCCAAACTTTATTGCTTTACCATTAACCAACATTGCATTATCTCTCGTTATCAAAGCAAACTATCCGTTAGCATTCATGATTTTGACTTTCACCGGTATAGTGTTCAGAGTCGAGGTCCTTGCATTAGCAGCTTCTTTATTCTTTGTGAGTGTTTTAGTCTTTGGTAGAGCTCCATTTTGGGCCTCGGTTTCCGCATCATTCTTTGGTGTTTCAATTGGCGGTATGGTTTCTTTCTGTGTTGATTCTAAAATCTGGAAACCAACGGTTGATGTTTCTGCTTTCTTGATGAACCCGGCCATTGGAATCATTCCAGAAATCTCTAGTTTCATCTTCAATGTTGTTGAGAAGAACGCTGAAAAGTGGGGAGTTGAACCATTCAGCGCTTATTTTACCACTTATATGCGGAAACTTTTCGTGCCACCAACCGTTGTTTCGATGGCATTGACTGGCATTTATAATGATCCAACCAAAAGTCTTCATTCAATAACCATTCTCGGGCTTACAGCGTTGCTCCATATCTTGATCATGTCTTTCCAACCTCACAAGGAATGGAGATTCATCATCTATGATATTCCATGTATTACTTTAGTTGGGGCTGCTGGGGTGGCAAAATTCTCGCGTACCTCAAAGGCGTCCTTATTCAGCAAACTTGCAGTTTTGATCACCTTGGCTTCTTGTGCCCTTTCATTTGTTGCTAGTGGATTCATGCTATATTCTTCCTCGATGAACTACCCTGGCGGTGTGGCCCTCCAAGCCTTCAATGATTACATCATCGAAAGATACGAAAGTGGTAGCTTACCACCTAATCAAAACTTTGTGGTGCACTTGGATGTTCTTCCAAAGATGACGGGGGCTACCTTGTTTGGTGAATTGCAACCAGAGTTCCTTGCCTCAAGAAATATCTCTATTACTTACGATAAGACGGAAGACGTTAGTACTTTGCTATCTAAATGGAGCGAATTTGACTTTTTAATCACTGATATTTATAATCGTGGGCCATCAATTTCCGTGGCAGACTTTTCAGAACGTACCGACAATCAACTAGTCACAGTTTCTGGTGCTGAATGGTACCAAATTGCTACGATTGATGCGTTCCGTGGTATTACACCACGCCCACTAATCGTAGATAATGGCTTCAGACCTCAGGTTGCCATTATGAATCTTGTGAAGGAGGTTATTGCTAAAAAGTCTCTTTTGCCTGTGAAGACCTTTATTGATTCTGGAATCTATAAGGCTCCTGCGGTTTACATCTATGAAAAGCAACAGCTTATGTGAACTATTAAAAAAAAAATCTTATGTGTACGTAATTAATATCATCAATTCTGTCATTATCTTTCTTTCAAAGAAAAGAAAAATAGTGATTTGGCCTATCTGATTGGATGTATATATATGTATATGATATGTATATTGGTTTGCAACTTTTATTTAGTCGGTACTTTTTCTTTCAATTAATGCTATGACATGGTGATAGTAATGAATATCAGGAACTCCACCTTGTAGGTAGAGCTTAAGATTATGTATCTTTGTCTATCTGTTGGGCTTATAGAAAACAAGAAGATGATGATCATGACGATGATGGTAGCATTGAGCGTTCACAGCTTTATGCAATGAGCAGTAAGAAAAAATACACCCAAAAAAAAAAAAAAAAAATTCAGGATGCGGATCAAAGTTAATCAGTTGACATAAACATAAAGCAGCATTGAGGCAGCGATGAGCGGGAAAAGGAAACCGTATGATGCGCTAATACACTTTTATAGAACGGCCAGAATATCCAATCTCAAGCATCCGCTAGAAAAATCAACGGTATTGACTAAATCCCCTGAAGACCTTAGGACCATCAGTTACAATGACATTGAGAAGCACGATCAACATTTGCAGGAATTTCGATTCAAGAAGTATCTACACCCCAGTATCAATCCTTTGAATTCCAAAAATAAAGTGAAAAAGTATCGAGATCAACTACAAAATGAACGGTATCATGATCAAGAAAGGATCACCAATCCGAAATTTGTGCCGTTGGCCATCACCAATAATGAATTTCTTGCCATGAAGCACTACAGAAACAAGGATGCTTCAAATAAGGGCGATGCCATGAATTCCAAATCTTTTGATATGAATTTGGCCTACAAGATTTTAATACAAGACGTTTTTTCTGTGGGGACAAGCTCTCAGGTAATGTTGCACCATTTTAGAAACGAGGATGTTACTAATGCGGTTGAATCATCACCAAGACTTCTTGACGAAGATGGTATCCCTTATATGGAAAAAGTAGATGATATCAGGAAAAAAATAAAGTCAAAAAAGACAGAAAATACCGGTTTCATTGGAAAACCCCTCTCCGTTGATTTTGAAGATGGCCCAGATAGCGATTTTTCGGATATTTTCAGTAAACCAAACGGTACACTACAAGACCCTGAAGCAAAGTTCCCACAAAGAAGTCCCATAGATTTTTTAAGAGTTCAATTGAGCAATAAGATAAGATATGATACTGCTCATAAGCAGACTAGTGATGAGTTATTAACACTTCTAAAAGAACGGATTGAGGCCAATAATTTGGAGAAGAAATCGGTATCAGAGGAATCAGCTAAGCAAGCAGTTACGGAATCAACAATAAAAAATAAGAATTACAGTGCTGTCGATGCTTGTTTCGTGCAAGAAACAGATCAAAAAGACTCAGTACCTGAAATGGTTGGATTAGAAAACGATACATACAAAATTTACTCTTTGGAGACCAGAGACACCGAAATTTTCTATAACCTTCCTAGCAAAAAGGAGTTTGTCAGCGAACCAGCTTACAATTATTTGATTGAGAAATGTTTTGGCTTTGAGTTTGATATAGATTCAAATATATCATCCAAAGCATACATCACGTCCCTATATCATATCTTCAATGTCAAGGCTATTGGCTTCACCAAAGATAATAAAGATTATGATACCCTTGTGTCAATGAGCCACATTATCCATCCAATCGATCCCACAAGAAAGCTTCCCTTGGTGAATATGAGTCGTGTTACAAATGTTGAATTTGTAAAGCTATATCATAGTACATTTAATGGCTCAATGCATGTTTTTTGTTTAGTTCCTGACGTATTTGAGCAAGACTTGAAAATTTGCGAACATTCTGAGTTGGAGCCTCGTTCAGGGAAAGACTTTGATTTGCCATTGGTTGATATGAATGGTGAGATTAATAGAGATCTTGTACCAGAAAGTTATAGAGATTTGAATACCAGAGATGAAATTATGAAAAAGATTATCAAAGACTTGAAACTCGAGTCGATCAGTGAATGTGCCGGTTTCTTGGGAAATCCAATAGACAATACCATTATAAGAGCAACAAAGACCTATTTAAAGCATGAAGCCACTGATGAGGAAATTTGTTTGACCGAGTACTCTAATGGCATAGAATTATTGTCGAACAAAGTAGTTAATATTCTTCTGACGGTAGATGGGTTTAAATCAATCATCAACCAGAAAATATTTTCATACGGTGGGTTCTTGGAGCACGCCAGACCTTCTATAATAGGGAATAAACAAGAAGAATTAATTTTGGATTCCTTAAATGTCGATACCTCAGACACCCGCTGCAATGAAAATAAAAAACAGCAACTTGAAATAGAAAAGAATTATGAATCTTTGGGCAAAAGGCTTGACGCTAAACATGTATTTCCAAAGCTCCCAAGAAAGAAATTCACATTAGTTCCGCAAATAATGTATGAGTCCGGGGGAGAATTGAAACCCCTCCCTTCATTTGATGTCAAAGAAATCTTTTGTCAGCCAAATTTCAATGATACAAGTAAAGAATATTTGAGCCTTGATTCTATAGATTCTCTCTTTACTAATGGCTCAACCAATGGTAAAAAAGGATTGAAGAACCTTGATGCCATAAGAGGAATGTTATTGAACGTGAATAGTAATAATCAAGTGATTATATCTGATGCAATGTTTGAGAAAGAGAAACGGTCTGTTGGAGCAATCGTTAATTTTTTTGAGTGGTACAGAAAGTATTATGAGAGTGATCCTAACAGGAAGATCAAGATGGATATCATGAGCCATGTGTGTCGTACAAGCCAATACGTTAGACCTTGGGATCTTTATATTGCTCAAAAAATTATGATACTAGTCAATAACTTTGAGAGTTCTTATGGTAGAAGAAGTTTGCAAGAAATGAACAAAGGCCTTGATGATTTCTTATATGATTATATATATGGGTATTTGGAGATGATCAAGAATGAGTTGTACTTCAACAAAAATTTTGACAACAAAGATCTCAGGGAAAGAAGGAAGATGATTTTCCATCTTCTTGGGAATGCTCTCTATCATTTCAGTAATACGCTATTCAAATTCAAGTACCCAAGACTCTCGAAATATTATTTTGATACTTCGAATTTCACGGCTGCTGATAAATTCACGACCTCGTCCCAAAGGAAAGAAGAGTATGACTTGGGTCATTTTTACATTTTCTTTGGCAAGGCGATGTCGGATATTAGATTGGATATTGTTTCAATCCTTGGGAAAAATTTCATCGACCCTAAAGAAAACTTGGTTGAAAATGATTTCAAATCGAATTTTTACCACAAAGTTGCCAATTTACCAAAGTCGATAACCGAAAAGATGAAGCATGTAACTAGTATCCAGGCTTTGAAAGGTCTGATAGCCTCTGCAGGTAATGTTCCAAATCTTAAGATGAAATATACCGTCAACAATGCTATTTCTCTATCTAAAGGTGCATCACTGGAATCAGTCCGTTCTGCAACTTTGTACAACACTTATCAAAAGGAAATGTTTGCTGCCACTGATAAGAACCCAATTTTATCAAAGAATGAATTCGTTCTTTATGTGGCGCTTAATCCTAATAAATCTACTAAGCGTCTGTCAGCGTTGGCCAATGATGTGGCTAAATCATTTAATAAGATCAAGCAATTTTTGTTCTCACCAGTGGTCCCAGTGTTTTACATGCATATTGATTCGTTCCATGTGCCAAAGAATTATCAGGTTGTCAGATATTATGATTTTGAATATACCATGGAAAATGGCGACAGCGATATGTTTAATGTCAAGGCTTACTTGTTGCAATATAAAGATTTGCATAGATACAGAGTATTGAAAGAATTGGTACATTCACCAGCCGCCTCTGATGAAATTGAAAAACATAAAGACAGTTTGGAAATCATGAAAAAATACAATAAAATAGCCTTTAATAGAAAATGGAATGGTAAAACCAATGAATCAGGGAACAAAAAAAACTATCAATGAAAAGAAAATTAAAAACTGCACATGTGCTTGCTGCTTGAGTCTCTTCAAACAAAAAAGAAATTGGATTATAGATTGTAAATAGAAATAATTTGTATAATATAAGACATGGTATTTGCTAAATGGCATTTTAGAGCTTTCTGGGATAGAAATATATTCTCCCATGTAAAAAAAAAAATAGTGTCAAAGCTGAAAGATGAATTTACCTAACTTTACATTCAAACAAAAAAAAATATTCAAGTATGAACCCTCCAATGGTAGAAGGAGTAATAAAATGAAAACATTTTATTCTAATTACAAAATAAATATAATACAAAAAGGCGTGTATATATATACCTTTCTTTTCTCTCTCTGGGACACGGGAAATATCCCACATCAGCCAAAATTATCAATAAATCATTTGTTTTTCAAAGATAATTCCAAAATCCCATTCTCACTTTTCAACAACTTCTCAACCACAAACTTGTATGCTTTCTTATCTCCACATGCCATCTTTACTAACCCAATTAACATGAAAAAAAGATTGCAATTGCTATCTATGATATTATCAAGCTTGGCCCTGCGTTGGTATTTATGGTACTTTTTCAAAGTAATCAATTTTTTTGTCTTGTGCAAATTACCTTTTCCAAACTTGTAATGACGCAAAAATCTTGGGGTGTAATGTACTGAATTGCGCAAAATTTTGACGTTCTTGAGATATGATGTCACATTTGGTTTGAACTTAAGAATCCATTTCGAATTTTTCCGTAATGGGTTAGGCATAAACATTTTTGATGATATCTTCAGCCTCGTTAGGTGATTCAATGTTAAGAACTCGTTGAATAATCTTGAGTTGGAAGAGTCTAGCATGATCAACCCGCCAACAAAATCGTCCTCCTTGTCCTTGCTATGGTTGAAATCATATCTATTGATCAATGACAAATCATAAATTTTATTGTATTCGGGAAACCTAAAGTCATATCTTCTTGTCTTCGGGATTCTCAGGTTGGCTTTATGATCCAAAAGATACCTTGACACGCTTAAATCGTACATACTTTTCCCCAACATGACAAGCTTTTCTGACGTAGTGATGGTGTTTCCAATATTGAAATCAAATGAGGTCAACGAGTCCATCGTCTTCTCAATCATGCGATTCGTCTCTGTATTGTCTTCACTTAATCGATACTCGGAGCTCAACCATGTCTTTATCCGATCTCGGACCTCGGAAATTTCCAATTTAATATCCAGCTCCTCCACTGCTCCAAACTCTGGGGTTTCAAATCGGTTGTCATAATGTTCTTTGATATATGATTTATCGTTGATCTCGTCAAAATCTAATAAACCAATGATCCGCGCCCGATTTTTCGCATCGATTATTTCCCGGGTGGTAAGATTCCTATGAGGAAATGACCTGAGTTTCCCAAATGCGCGTGAGGTCATGGATCTTCCCGGATGTTCCAATAATGATCCTATCTCATTATATTCTATCTTGGCGTTGGTCCAGGAACTGGGTGATTTCCCAATTGTACGTATCCCATTCTGCAAAGATTTCTGCAAATCAATACTATCACCAGTATTCCCGCTATCCTCGATACGTTGTTGATCATTCTCATTCAGCACCCGTTGATATTTACTGCAATCGTCAATTTCCACAATAGTTCTTCTAGACGTTCGTTTGCTTAGCGATTCGGGATTGGATATTAGAAAGTCATAAAAATTCGACGCAAGAGGTTTGAGAATACTAAACTGCCTGATGTCATTTGCGGGAGCAAAAATATTTTGAATTATCTTTCTGGGTAGTGCCGCTCGTGTAAAAGTACACATATATCGCTGGATTCGACTGTTATTTTGTAGTAAGCTTGTGAACATGTCTAATAAATCTCAGAAGCTCAGCAAGTTATCTCTTTTCCCTCTCTCACTCTGTCTCTCTTTTCCTTTCAATTTTGCTATTCTTGTTTATAAAAAAAAAAAAAATTATTTGCTAGTTTTTTCTATAATCAGCCAATAAGTTGGATATTAGTCAAAGATCTGAGAAAACTTCATAAATCTGTAAAATCCCTGATCTATTGGTTCCCCAATAATGAGAATTTTAATTTTTCAATTTTTCTATTGGAATTAAATGATCCGCCACAGTGGTGCAAAAAAAAATGCGCTGATCTATTTAGGAAGTTACTTATCTTTGTAAACGCTAATTCTCCTGACTTCTTAGAAGCATTGTGTGAAAAGACAAACCAATAAAAGAGAATTCAATAAAAGAGAAATCGATAAAATAGCACAAACAATTTCAAAAAGAAAAAAAAAAAAAAATGATTATACCTGCTTTTTTGAACTAGATACAGGATGCAGCATCAACTGCAACAATCTGAAATTAACATATCAGCTGTTGATGGAAAAAAAAACCAACACTCCTAAAGATCAACCTCTCCCCTCAAATACCTCGGAACATGAATCATTACATTAGTATTGAGCCCTCTAGGAACGCCAGACTGTGGTTATTCTTTCAAGAAGGTCGAGAATAATGAGGCATCTTATGATCCTGCCACAGAAACTATCAATGCTGAATGCTCTAATACCAAAACTCTGAGCCATGGGTAAAATAATCGGATAAAGAAAAGAACGTTAAAAATTATGGGGAAAAGTCCGAGCTTTCTCCAATGACAGTCAATCACAGTGAGGGTATCGTCTCTCAAGAAGAAGTTATCGAGAATGTATGGTAAAGAGTTTTTTGGGACCATTATTGGGTGATATCAATTAAAGGAAATAAAAATTCAATGCTCTTAAGGATCATCAAGCAGAATTTGAAGATCTGGAATCAAAATTGGATACAAAAATATCGGGCATTGAATGGGCAACGTTAAAGGGTCGGAAAGCATCCTCGAATACTGGATTATTTGGTATTTCATTTTTGGGTGTTATTCGAAGCCTGAAGAAATCTCGTACTAAGGTTTTTGATTTTTGTATATTAAATATGAAAGCCTTCAGGATATTATAGATTTTTTACCGTTGGGTCTCCTGTGACGAGCTTCCTAACACCAATTCAAATAAGAAGGTGGATTATTGACACTTTATATTCCGAGGGTCTAAAAAACGTGATGTGGAATAAATCTTTATGCATTGTGATGCGAGTGTGTTATGACAAGAAAATTTCTTCTGATAAAAATATATATTTCAACTCCCTTAAGGGTGTTGGTTTATATATATTTTTTGGTTGTCCCTTAAAGTGGTTGAAATATATAGTTAATAATTATTAACTGATTAAAGATTCTCAAAGGTTATCTAAACAATTAGGGATATAGAGAGAGAAAAAAAAAAAAAAGATGGCCCCAAAAGCATCTTCTTCAAAATCCTCGAAGGCAGCCACCCCTTCATCATCGGCGCCCACTAAGGCCCCAAAACCGCCTAAGGATTTCCTCACTAGGCCTTCTAAATCATCCTTGAAACATTCATCGAAAATCTACTTCCATCCCGAAGTTCTCAAACCATTGAACCTTTCCAGTGGTGATTTGATTAGAGTTTCGAAGTCTAGTACCGTTGGAGAAGGAGTTGTTGGGTTGGTAGGAGTAAATGATGGTAAGAATGATTCCATGAACGTGGTGGAAATCCTGAAATGTTTAAGACAGCTTGGAGGGTTCTATTTAGGTGACAGAGCGGTAGTGGAGAAAGTTGCTAGACAATTGGATTATGCGAAAAATGTGGTGGTTAGATTAAAATTGAGAGGGAATAAAAGGAGTTTGAATAACGATGATTTAAGCGAGAAATTTAAAGTGAAATTACAAAAGTTTTTAGGGGAAGTGGGAGTGTTGATGCCAGGAATGAGTTTCTCTAAATTTGAGTTAGTCGATGACTCAGGTAATGTGATTGGAGAAGTCGATATCAAAGTTGTGGATATCGATGTTACTATGGAAGATGTATTGAGTTGTAACCGCTCAAATGATAATAGTAATTTGCCAGATATCTCTAAACTTAGTATTCAAGAGGATTCTGGAGAAGATAGTGATGATGAGTTTGAGATTTTTGAACTGAGTAGTTCAAACAATGATAGATTAGTTTCTCTGGCGTTTTTGTATGATAGATCAAAATCCGCGATCGAAATATTTACCGAAAATTCTGAGTTGGAATCGACCAGCAGATACTTGTATAGCAAATATCCTAGCATTCCACAACTTCCAAAGCTTTCTACACTTGGGGGATTATCACATCAAGCATCAACTATTAAATATCTCGCAAAACTTACACTTCAAAAGCCAGAGATCTTCAGCCATTTCAATATTAAACCAAGCCGTGGTGTCTTACTTTACGGGCCGTCAGGTACCGGGAAAACCACAATCCTTAATTGTTTAGCCAATGAATTCTTCCATTCGGTGCATGTGGTGAGAATTGACGGTAGCGCGATCATCTCTAAATATTTAGGTGACGCAGAAACTAAATTGAAAGAATTATTTAATGAGGCAAGATTACATCAACCATCGATTATCTTGATGGATGAAATTGATTCGCTTGTCCCAGCGAGAAATGCCGGGGCTGGTGGTGAAGACACTGATATGAACGATACCCGGATTCTTGCCAGTTTGTTGAGTTTGTTGGACGGGTTGGAGAATTCGTGCCGGGTGGTGGTGGTTGCGGCGACCACTTCTGTCAATAGTGTTGATTTGGCATTAAGAAGACCAGGAAGGTTCGATAAAGAAATCGAAGTGGGGATCCCCGATGTCGATGCCAGAAGCGAGATTTTGCACAAGATGTTTGAGTCTATGGGCAAGGATGGTAACGGACTTACCGCTGAAGATATTGAGAAGATTGCCAGTGTTTCACATGGTTATGTTGGTGCTGACTTGGTGGCATTGATCAGAGAAGCGATTATGGTGGCGATCGGCAAGGGTAATAATAAGGTGATGATGGATGACATCAACGTGGCGCTCAATGAGATCAGACCAAGCGCGATGAAGGAGATTTTCTTGGAGATGCCAAAGGTTTATTGGAGTGATATTGGAGGGCAAGATGAGTTGAAACGGAAGTTGAAAGAAATGGTGCAGATGCCGTTAGAAGCAGCAGACACTTTCAAAAGGCTCGGGGTTGATGCGCCTAAAGGGGTGTTATTGTACGGTCCTCCGGGGTGTTCGAAGACGTTGACTGCGAAGGCGCTTGCCACGGAATCGGGGCTCAACTTTTTGGCGGTGAAGGGCCCAGAGATCTTCAACAAGTACGTTGGGGAGTCGGAGAAGGCGATCAGGGAGATTTTCAGAAAAGCCAGAGCTGCGTCTCCAAGCATTATATTTTTCGATGAGATCGACGCGATTTCCGGAGATCGAATGTTGGGAGAGGGTGGCAATAGTAGTGGCAGTGGGAGTAATGTCTTGACTACGTTGCTTAATGAGATCGATGGGGTCGAGGAGTTGAATGGGGTGATTATTGTGGGAGCCACGAACAAACCGGCGGCGATCGACCCAGCTTTGATGAGACCAGGGAGATTGGACCGACACATCTACGTGGGGCCTCCGGATTATCAAGGACGGTTGAAGATCTTACAGATGCGGACCAGGCAGTTTGGGATATCAAACGAGTACTTGGAGAAGATGGCCAAGAGGTTGGAGGGGTGCAGTGGTGCAGAGGTGGTGCTTGTTTGTCAAGAAGCGGGAATCAATGCGATCATGGAGGATAATGACGCCGATCGGGTGAACCAGGAACATTTCGAGGTGGTTGTGCAAGGGTTGAAGAGGGGCATCACCGAGGAGATGTTGGAGTACTACCGTGGGTTCAGCAGTGGTGAGCAGCAGTGATGATCTATATTATATGATGATGGTGATGATATAGCATAAGCATAATATATAACGTGGTGGAGTAATATATATACACCGGGTGGTTTGTATAAGGTTTTCCCCAATGACGTAATAAATAAAAAATTTTTAACGAGGAAAAAAAACCTTAAAATTGGAAGGCCGCCTCACGGGCTCCAAACACCCAGCGATTTGTTGTTTTTTTTATGCGCCAAAACCCACTTTCCTTACAGGTATTGCAAACTCACTGAGGAAAAAATTAATAGGAAAAAAAAAAAAAAAAATATCGGAAAATCGCCTTCTCATATATATATATATATATTTATCTATATCTATTTATTTTTTTCTGTGTTTGCCCCCTGTCTCTTTAGCTGTCTTATTCTTTATCTAATCTCTTGTTTCCTGAACTGTTAGGCAAAGCATAACTAACTACCATCCATCTCTCCCTCCACCCACCGCCCCTATAGAAAATATAACTTAGCTCATCTTTTTTGCCTAGCTATCTTGTTACTCCATCCAACCTCCCACTCATAATGGCCGCCGATATATCCCCTTCAGACTACAAGGACATAATAGACTGGGATGTCTTGGGTGAAATCATCTCCATGGATGAAGACAACCCTGAATTCTCCCAAAACTTGATCTCGACCTTCATCAACCAGGTATTAGACACCTTCCACAAAATCGACGACATCTTGTGCCAGATTATCCCAAACGACATTGACTACCAAAAATACTCCAACAAAATCTCCAATACAAACTACATAGACGTCCCTGATGAATTCAGCGAAATGGCCCAACCTCCACCACAACAGCAAAAATTCGATGATCTGGCCTTTGATACCGAATATACCACCGACATCACTCTCTCAAAAGAAATCCAGCATGAGTTGAAATTAAACGAAGAAAAAAACTTATCAAAAATAAAAAACCCAAAGAATATCAAGATTCAGTTGAACGGAATCAGTGAGCTCGGTCATTACATCAAGGGTTCCGCATCATCTTTAGGGTTTTACACTTTGCAAAAATACTGCGAAAGAATTCAAAACTACGGCAACTATTTGGACCATGACGGGTTTCAAGTTACCCCAGAAAATGATCAATATTTCAAAGATATCGACGCGAACTATGACGGATATTTGACAAGATTGACCGCTCGCGTCAACCCAACCAGTAAGGATAGTGATGAATTGTGGGTTTTCATGGTAAAGAATAGTTTGGACAATGCTAAGACTGAGTTTAACAAAATAAGAGACTTCCTTAGAAAGTACTACAAGGATGAAAGATTTTAAAGAATCTCTTTTCTGGCTCTGGATCTAATTTTTGTTTGCTTTTATTGTTCTTTTTCTTAGTAATATATCCCTTACTTTATCTGACTTCTCATAATTTCTACCAAAATTGTTACCATTTGACAACAATTGCCCCCTCCCTCTCTTCACTTCATTATTATTTTTTGGTTGTTATCATTTGTCCAAAATTTATCAACAATTAAAAATCTTACTTATTATTATCTTTTTTTTTTTTTTTGCTACTTGTTTTGGCATTTAATATCCATAATCGTTTATTCACTCATTTAATCATTCATTCATTCATTCATTCACTTATTCGCTCATTCATATTTCTGCTATATTTCATGTACAAAATCTTCTTCTTTATTTAATCAATTGAATTACTTTTTTCTTTATAATCTCTGCTATAGGTAGAACCTGTCATCAGTATTGCCTTTTTTTTTTGCGGTTTGTTTCTTCTTTTTTAAAAAAAAAAAAATGACTTTTCTTTTCCACAATCTGGCTTGTATTTTGATTCCATAGTCCCAAAATAACTTCAAGGTTTGCTCGTTATCGCATTCAAAAATACCTATCAAAGCAAAAAGGTACATACATATATTCAAAACAATTCATAGGAAATTGCTTATTGTTTTTTACTTTATACGTACCCCATAGAGTTAATATCATATCATGAATAACCGGAGTTATTGTCTTGCACTGCATTCCAGATTATGATCATGGCTTTTTCTTACCAGCCATTACGGAATCAAACATGAAGATTGTTTAGATAATTCTTTCGGTTACCCTGCAAAATGCGGCGGGACATTGCATTCACTAAAATTCAAGCCCAAGTAAATCTTCTGTTTAGATGATTATTTATGAAGAAAATGTTGTTCTATGATTAATTATTATTATATTTTTTTTTTTTTTGATGAGTGAAACAGAGTTCCTTAGCGTCAACTCGAACTCACCTATTTGACAGTCGTGAAGCATGTATGTATGTATATATACAAATACTTATGTCAGTAGACAACTAGCCTAATCGCAAACATCTTTATTATAAAAAGAAACAAACTCACATGAATCTCCATATGTGACAGTTAGAAGTCGATACATCGAGCACACAGAGATGATGAAGAAGATGATGTTTTTGTCCTGTTCTCACGTGCACTGTCTTCCATGCATACGCTACGCTGAGTACACATATCTTAGTCTTCACTTTTTTGGGTGGTTTGATCTGTACATTATATGTGGCCGTATAAACAGAATTTTTGATCTAGAATTTTTGTATTATCAACCTTTAAAAAGAAGAATTTTGTTTGTCTTGTGTGTGTGTGTGTGTTTTAGTTGTTTGTTTTTTTGTTATTTCAATTAGTCATTTCATTTCACTAAAAATTCATAAACAATAACAACCCAAGAGCAAAAATATTAAGTGAAATAATATCAATTGAGCAATCTTGTTTGACAAAAAAAGAAGAAGAAGAAGAAGAAAAAGAACCCAGTGCACAATAAAAGTCTATGTTTCAAAAATACGAATTTCTCTAATGGCGAGCTCCAATTGTTTCCATGGAATAGCAATCATTTGATTGACGCATTGCTTCTTCATATGTGTAGTACATATCACATCCTCAGAGTTCCATGAGGGAAATCTTAGGTCTAGAATACTACTGGTAAATAATAATACTCTCTTTTTTAGCTCAGCAAAAGGAACAACGCTCCGAAGTCTGAAAAAAAAAATTATGTCTTAGCCAAGAGAGCAAAGTAAACAAAAACAAACAAAAAAGAAACATCAAAGTAACCTTAATGTAATGTAAATTTTGGGGACCTTCAGTCGATATTCATTCATCCTTCATTGATTAGCAGAGGAAACAGAATTGGACAGGTTTATTATGTGTGTGTAGTTCAAGATACTCCGAGGAGAAAACCAGATCGTTGCGGTTTTGTAGTTGAACTCATTACAATGATAAGATTAGTTTGGGTCTGTCATATCAATTAATTTTCCTATATGTTTTATCTAGTTTACAAAATGAGCCATAGTTAAAGGATTTAGTAATCCTTTTGTATTTTAGTCTTCCTTCCTTACTAGTGGAAGCTCCTAACAATAGTTGGTGGTACCTCTTTTTTCACTTGCTGATATCAGTACTGAGAAATCGTAGATAGCAATCCTGTGCAACATCAGGCCATAACTGAGGTATACTCTGACAGTAAAGCAAATCACTACTCCTGGAAAAAATAAACAATAAATATTATTGAATAATATTTCGCAAAATGTGCCCACCCCCCTTGTTGAAAAGAATGATAGATAATTAAAAAGGAAAGTAAGGAGCAGGAGTTTCAAAGAAATAAATGAGACTGGAGAAAAACCTTTGGTTAACCAGAGAAGATTATTCAACTTAGCTGAAAGCTAGACAAGATATTTCATAATATGAAAAACAATGCAATGTATTGTTGGAAATGTTTTCATCAATTTTTGTTTTACATTTGCGGTTGACATTAAGGAATAAATGGGACAAAACCCCCACATAGTTTTAGCAATTGGGCGGAACCAGCAGGTTGGCAGAGATCATTATATATATAAATATATATACAAGTCTTTTAAAAATGAATATTTTTAAGGAATCAACTTCTACAAATGTCTATAGCCATCGATGAATACGATGAGCCATATCCAATTGGAATTTATAGAGGCATTGATTACTCAATATTAAACCCAGCAAAACAATTACTAACCAACCGACCAACCAAAAGATTGAGGAAAGAATCTTACGCAGAAGAACCTAATTCGAAAAACAAGCTTTCCCCTGGAGTCGTGGGCCCAAAATAAGCAAGAATACGTGATGAACCTCTGAAGCAATAAAACGTGTGGGAAAAAAAAAACCAACAACAACAATACGCATCAAAAAAAAAAAATACCCCAATAGTTTTCTCCCAAAAATAACCACATTAACCAAGAACAAGCTAGAAGAGAACACCACTTCCAATTACAAGAGTATCGTACAAGGCATTATTATTAATGGTACGTAGTATCAAAGATTGTAAATCATTAATAATGATCAGCAGTAATGATGAATAATATTTTTATATTATATAACAATTACACACCCCCCGCCTTACCATTTCATTCTTCACAATTATCTAAGGATTTGTAAGAGGACCCTGGGCTTCAAATCCTCCTGCCAGCCCACGCACAGGCACACATATATATAACGTCTCATCGCCCGATTAGTTTTCGTTTTTCCATCCCTTGTTTTTGATATTATTCAATAACCTTTAATCAATTCAAACCATCCCAATCACAATGACCAAGATCGCTATCATTTACTACTCTACTTACGGCCATGTCCTCACTTTGGCCAAGGCTGTCCAAGCTGGTGTTCAAACCGCTGGCGGTAAAGCTGACATTTTCCAAGTCCCTGAAACTTTGAGCGAATCCGTCTTGAAGGCCATCCACGCCCCAGAAAAGGACGCTTCTATTCCAATTGCCACTGTTGATACTTTGAAAGAATACGATGCCTTCTTGTTTGGTATTCCAACCAGATTCGGTAACTTCCCAGCCCAATGGAAATCCTTCTGGGATGCCACCGGTGGGTTGTGGGCCAGTGGTGCTTTGTACCACAAGCAAGCCGGTCTCTTTGTTTCCACCGGTACTCCAGGTGGTGGTCAAGAAACCACTGCCATCAACGCCATCTCCACTCTTGCTCACCACGGTATGATCTACGTCCCACTCGGTTACGGTGCTGCTTTCTCACAAATCACTTCTCTTGAAGAAATCCACGGTGGTTCCCCATGGGGTGCTGGTACTTTTGCCGGTGCTGACGGTAGCAGACAACCAACTAATCTTGAATTGGAAATCGCCACCATTCAAGGTAAGGAATTCTTCAAGGTTGTTTCCAAATAAATTTGCTATTGAAGAGAGAATGGCGGCCGCATCTTTACATTTATATTTATTTATTTATTTACTTGCTTCCCGAGTTTTATATGCCTGATACGTTAATAAATTTTTGATAAGTTAATAAGTCTTTGATACATGACTATTACATGATGTAAAGCGATTGATTGATTGATTGTGGTTTAGTCTTTGATTGGCCATACCTCCAAGCATTATTGTCGTATTGCTTTTTTTTGTTGGTTCCCTGGAAGGGCTGGAATTTGTGAGCGCTGCACTGCATGCTTCATGCATAATTCTGCCGAGTATCACATGGGCTCATCTTACAGATTTTTTTTTTTTTTTTTTTCTTGTGAAATTTTTCTTTTACTACAACATCTCTGTGCTATTTTAAACATTGGACAGAAAGACATACTCTTTTTCCATAGTTTTATTTCTTTAAAAATTTTTTTCTCAATTCAATAACAATGGGGAAAAACAATAAGAAAAGCGGAGCGGACTCCAATAAACCGAGTACCACCGATTCAAGATTCGCTGGGGCTTCTCATGATCCAAGATTTAGAATCCCAAAATCCAAGAACTTGAAAATCAAGTTGGATGATCGTTTCACCAAGTCTGATTTCACCAACAAGAAAGAGGTAGAAATTGACAAGTATGGGAGAAACTTGAAGGATTTGGATTTGGATGATAAGAATAAGGATTTTGACAGATACTATAAAGAGGCTGGTGAAGATGAGAGTGAAGAGGAAGAAAACAATGAAGATAGCGGGGAAGAAGAAGAAAACAGCGAAGATAGCCAAGAAGAAGAAGAAGAAGAAGAAGAAGAAGAAGAAGAAGAAGAAGAAGAAGAAGAAGAAGAAGAAGAAGAAGAAGAAGAAGAAGAAGGTGCCGCCAACTCAGTTATTGATCGTGCTCGTGGTGAAGGTGTGAGTTCAGAATCATCTAGTGATTCGGATTCTGACAGCGACTCTGATGATTCTGCAAATGAACTGGTCAGCGAAGGTGAAGAATTGGTCATTGAAGAAAATGAACCCGAAACCGGCGATCCAACTAGAAGATTGGCTCTTGTGAATATGGACTGGGATAACGTTCGTGCCGTGGACCTCATGGCAACTTTTAGCGGGTTTGCTAAAGGACAAGGGCATATTCGATCAATCACCATTTACCCAAGTGAATACGGAAAAGAAAAAATGGCCAAAGAAGAATTGGAAGGTCCAGCCAGAGAATTGTTTGCCAACAACAAGAAATCCAAAGGAAAAGCAGCGGATGATGACGACGAGGATTCTGATTCCGATAGTGATGTCGATTTGAACAACAAGTACGATGCTGATGGGAACCGTGAAAAGGCCATCAAGGAACTCTACGAAGAAGATGAAGGGGTCGAATATGATTCTAAGAACTTGCGTAAATACCAACTTCAACGACTCAGGTACTATTACGCAATCATTGATTGCGAGGACGTTGCCACCGCCAAAAAGATTTATGATAATTGTGATGGGCTTGAATTCGAAGCCACTGCCAATTTTTTTGATTTGCGATACGTTCCAGACGATACTGAATTCGACGATGATGACCAAAAAGATTTTTGTGATCGTGTTCCTGTGAATTACAAGCCGAAAATCGATTTCCAAACCTCGGCGTTACAACACTCTAAAGTGAAATTGACATGGGATGAAACCCCAACTGAAAGATTAGAAATGGCAACTAAGGCATTTAGTAACAGAGACATTGAAGATATGGATTTCAAAGCCTACTTGGCCACCGATAGTGAAGATAGTGGAGACGAAGGTAAAGAAGCTTCATCGGCTAAAAAGAACAAATTGAAGGAATTATTGCAAAATACCAAGATTGGCGATAAGAATTTGTTTGAAAGTAAAGGTGATGGTAGTGATAGCGAAGTGGATATGCAGATCACTTTTACTCCAGGTTTAGATGGAAAGAATCACCAAGAGGAAGAAGAAGACAAGGATGAAATTGAAGAATCGACAATCGACAAATATAAGCGTAGGGCCAAAGAACGTAGAAAGGCCAGAAAGGAACAGGTGAAGCAAGAAAAGAAGAAACAGAGCGGTGGTACTTTAGAAAGTGATTCCGAAGATGAAGAACCTAAGAAATCAAAGAAGAAAACCCATAACAAAAAGGATGATAAGGAAAAGTTGGCGGAACAAAGTAAATCCAAGGCAGAATTGGAACTCTTGATGATGGATGAGGAAAATGCCCAAGATGATAAGCAACACTTTGATTTGAAACATATCATGAAATCCGAAAAAAATAAGGGCAAAAAGAAGAAAAATAAGAGCAAGAATGTCGACGATGAATTCTTGCAAGATGATTTCAAGGCTGATTTGGAGGATGATAGATTCAAAGAAATTTTTGAAAACCAAGATTATGCCATTGATCCTAACCAGCCAGAATTCAAGAAGACTTCGACCATGATGAAGATCTTGGAAGAAAGAAACAAGAGAGTGACGGTTGATGATGATGAGGATGAGGACGCTGATGGTAAGAAGAAGTCAAAATCTAATAAGAGAAAGCATAAGCAAGATAATGGTGATGATAATAATAATAACAGTGCTAGCTCATTAGCTCAGAAGATTAAGAATAAGTACAAAAAGTCTAAAAAGAACAAGAAATGAAATTTCAAGAGCTAACATTATTTATTGTATATTATAAGAATTGAGTCCTTTTTTTTCTCCCTTTATTTAGCATTTTTATTGTTTGTAAATTCATTTCCACCCGCTTTTTGTATTGGATATAAAATTTTGGAAACTGTGACTATAAGAAGAAAGTGAGCACAAAATTTTAATCTTTGGTTTGAGAATTTAATGACCAGTATTATAAAAACAAATATCCAATAAGTATTGATGAGGCTTAATTTTATTCTTCTTTTGTACACATCGCTTATATATGTACCACTTGTACGGTTTTAAAAAATAAATCAAAAAAAAGTAAACAAAAAAAAAAAACAATTACAAACCCATCGCAAGGAAATTGTCAACTTGTGTATGAAGTTATCACTTCATTCCTGGAACTAAAATAAAAAAAAAAAAAAGAGGAAGAGATGTCTCGCCGGAGCACCAGATCGAAGAAGGAAGTCAGCTACAAAGTTGCTGATCCAATCGAGGTCGAAGAGATCGTATCAGATCCAGAACCTGTCGAGAAACCCCCATCAGAACCAAAGGTAAAGCGAGGTAGGGGTCGACCAAGAAAATACCCATTACCAGAAACCAGTAAGAATAAAGATGCAGGTGTGCCTGAAAATTTATTGAATGTCAAATCTCAAACAAAGAAACCTAAAAGAATGTTGGTGGATGTAATATTTAAGAAGAAGAAGGGTCCAGAGAAACAGGTACAAGAGCAAAAGGAAAAAGAAAAAGAAGAAGAAGAAGAAGAAGAAGACAATAACGATGACGATGATGATGAAGATGATGAATTTTCTCCTATGAATGTCGACTCTGGCTCTGATAGTGATGAGGAATTTGTTCCTGATGAGGATGAAGAGATTGAAGAGGAAAATCTCGAGGAAGATAAAGAGTCGAAAGAAGAGATTGTTCAAGACGATGAGGATCTCCAGGTTGTGGAAGAAATAGAAGTTGAACTAACCAGGTCGAAAAGAAAGCTGGAGGCCAAAGAACCAAAAACTAGGGTGACGAGGGCCAATCGCAAATCTAAAGACAATAATAAGAGCCCAACCAAAAGTCAAGTTAAACTGGAGATTGAACAACCCGAACTACTTGCAGATGAGGGTGAAAGTGCTTTGGATTTGATTGATTCTTATTATGCGGCACCAGGCGATTTCGGGACAAAACCTTTGTCTGGTAAGTTCCGGCTTATCAATTTTTACGGTGATAATGTCCAAATGAGTTTGAGTATTGCGAAATATAATATGGAATGGCGACAATCACACTTCACTATGAACAAAGAAGTGCTCATTAAGCTTCACGATGAGCATACAAGGGGGAAATTCACCTATAATTACAAGAAATATTGGAACGTGTGCGATGAACATTTCAAAAAGCTCGCCAAATTTGAATCGCTAGACCAAAATCAATACGCTGAATTATTGGGGGATCACAAGGATGATGAGTTACAGATTCAGGTGAATATGAATGAAGAAATTAAGAAGATGAAATATGATGAAATATTGAAACTTGAAGATGACACGGTAGATAAGTCTAGAGATTCATTTGTAATTAACGTTAATGGGGTCGTCACTTGTCTCGAGTGGTTGAACAATGATTATGAATATCAATCGCATGATAATTATTTATTTGTCGGGGTGGCACGGAAACATGATAACAAGAAACAAGTTTTAATTGATACCAATCTTTCTATTTTCCAACAACGCTACAATGAGGACTACCCGTCATTTTTAAAGTGCTTCAAGTTTAATAATGAAAGCAAAACTTTGCAATTACATAAAATCTGGGTATTTTCAGGGTACGGTCCTATCAGATCCATGAAATTTGTTCCTCTAAAACCAACCCCAGATCATCTTGGATTGTTGGGGGTATTATTCAGTGATGGGGTGCTTCGATTTTTCAACGTAGACCAGAATTCCAAAAGGTCTGATGAGGTGGAGATAATGAAAGTGGTTGAACCGGCATTTAAAATCAAAGTCCCCAATTTTCAATTCATTACTTGTTTTGAGTATCTTAATAGTGAATCTATCATCATTGGGACGAATTGTGGATATATTGGAGAATTCCTGTTTTGTTCAACTGATGATAATGCTGATGAAGAAGAACAAGGGGTCCCGACATTTTTCATCAAGAAACATTCAGACTATGTGTATCGTATAATAATTCAACCACTGATTAAAAAATTTTGCCCGACGTTGATCCACTCAGTTAGTTATGAGGGGACTTGGAAGGTTACTGATTACGACAACATTCACCTTTCTAATAGTTGTGAAAGATGGCGATTCATGCTTCAAAACATGGTATTCGACTACATCCCATCGTTGTTCTCTGTTGTTTATACTGCCGGTGATGCTGTCAAGGGCGGTAGTACGAGAAACATGAAGTGGATTAATGCTCTGTACATACGGCACTTGAATAATTCCATCCCCACATCGTTTGCGTCTTCCAATTGGCATCCTTTCGTTATGAGTGGTGCTAATAATGGAGAGATTATTGTCACCAACGGCGCGGATTCGCCTCTCCAACTGACAAAGATGACAAAATATGTAGATCAATTCAAGGTATGGAAATTTGAGTATTCGTCGAACACTGACACTTTCAAACTTGGCAATAGGATCACCAAAAGAGGATTTATCAAAACTCAGTTAAGACCTGCCGAAAGGAAAAGGAAGCTAAAAAAGTTGGAGACCGTTCACAAAAAATTACAAATGATTGACATCAACGCCATTGATGATGTGGGACCCCCACCAATAGAGAAAACTGTGCCGCCGCTTGAAAAAATCAAAAAGTTGGATGATTTCTTAGATGATGCAAATTATGAACCGTTGGCTACTGTAATTTACCCCGCAGAGGCGGTAGTTTCTCATTTAAAATGGTGTGAAAATGTTCAAGGTTTCAATTGGTACGCGGCGAGCTTGCCTCGAGACTTGGTGGTCATTGATTGTATAGCAGCAAGGAATGAGGACATACTTTGACAAGAACAGAAAAAAGAAAAAAGAAACATTTGTACTGTATATGTATATAAATAATGAACAGAAGAGAAGAGAAAGAATAGAAGAGAAAGAAGAGGATTTGTAAAAATATGCAACACTGTAATGAATAAATTTGATAATTAAAATTAAGAACCGAAAAGACAAAAAAAAAAAAAGAATGGATCATCAACATCATTATTATTGTTATTATTATTATTATTATCATCACCATCATCATCATCATTATCATTATTACATGTCTGTTTATATGTAATAATATATATGATAGATATATATACCCGACTACACCACCTTCTCTTTTATGAAAAATGTTTTCAAATGTTTTAACTGCCACAACCCAATTGCTAGTAATACCGCACACTGGAATAATGTCCATTTAACGATTCTGGAATTGACATTTTCTGACTGATCTCTAAATACCGCTTCACGTTCTCTGATATTGCTATGCTCACGCTTGATTTCCTCGGTCTTAGTATTCAAATCATTGATCTTCCAGATTAAGTAGCCCACCTCATCCATTTTTTTAGTATCGACAATTGCACCGTTACCGATCACCACATCCAAAAATATTCTAATTTTCGCAGATTTCTGAGGCTTATATTCCGCCCCAAGGCAAAACTTGTGTTCGCCAGAATCTAGTGAGGTGAAAGTGAATTCTCCTTTGGCCGAGGATTTTTGCGAAACCACTCGGTGGTCATTATCAAAAGTTTCATCCACCGACAATTCCATTTTAAGTTCTGGCGGTTGGGTGGAGTCCTCAGCGATTTCACTCTCAAATTTCACCACCACTAACGTGTCAGATGGTAGCTCTTCGTAAAAACAACGCTGTTCACCAGGTTTCATATAGAAATGGATTGCAATACAGCGGGAAACTAATAGAGAAAGATAAAAAAGCAATGGTAGTTTCATTGTTAATGGGGTTAACTGGTAATCTTTTGTTTACTTTGGAGTTGATGTTGGAATTGAAGGGTTTTTATTGACATCAATTATTATCATCATGGACGCGCACCCTATTTATGTGCGCGGGCTTCTATGCTCCCAGTGAATCCCATTTGTGGACGTGTCGTGTTATTGAGAACAATTGGAATTAAAAAACATTCATACATCAATCATAAACATATAGATAATATATATTCAGAAGAAAAAGAAATGTTTTGTATTAAAGTGCCAAAGCAGCGTTATTACAAGTAATATTCAATTGATTCATTCTTATCAAAACATCGTCGACTTTATCTCCTACTTTTCCTGTAGCATAATCATGCCTTGAATCTTTATCCATGACATTCTGGATTTCGTTCAAACTAATATAATTTTGATTACAAAAGTCCATTTGCAATTTCACAAATGCTTCGAATGATGTCTCAATGTAAATCTTTCTTAACTCGATTAATTTCGGCAATTCATTTTTCAATTGATTGTTAAGAGTTTCATAGGCAGACTGGGTCATGCTCAACTCTTTTTCAAATCGGCGTAACTGATCGTCGATGTTAACATTAGCCTTGTACAACATGTGGCGGGAGTTGCCTTCCTTTTTATCTTCTAGTCTTTTCACTTTGTTTTTAATTATATCATAGTCAAGTTTCTTTTGGTTTCTTGCGGACATTGCTTGGTTGATATCCCTGAAATAGTTATTGAATTGAACAATTGGCTGATGAACACTTTCTCTATATGCATTATCAAAAACAGCAAATGAGGAGCTCAAAGTGTGAATTACTTGCAAATATTCGGTAATAGTGGCCGAAGGTTCATCATCATGGAGAGAATCAAGGGTTTCGACGATGTTGGACTGTGAAGTGTTGATTTGTCTCATGCAATCAAGGTATCCTTTGGTATGTTTCTGTAGTTTGACAGCCTCTTTTTCCAAGGCCCTGTAAGTTTGTTTGTAGCCATCATACTTGGGATCAATGGTGGTATCTATGTATCCGGCCCTCATAAGGACCTGGGTACCTCCTCTGTTGATTGCTTTTCTAAAGCCAGCCCAGGACATAACGAGAGATAAATGGCAATCAGTTGCCTGAAAACAATATTTTTACAGAAACCAATCAATAAAAGAAGGGTATATATATATATACTCAAATAATTAATAAGGAACTAGTTATTTACAGGAATATAACATGTCACAAAAACCTCATCACGGGGACAGAGGTCATGTCAGAGCGCATTTTCTGCAGCCGCGTCATTTGCCCCGGGAGGCTGGTACACTGCGTGCGACGGGATATGACAATAATAGTTTTGCAGTAATAATTACTAAATTCCTATTTTCCCATTTTGTTATTTTCTCTCTAGATATATTTCCACTTACATTATATACGACAAGGGCTTTTCTCTCCCTCTCTCTAACATAGTTTCTCTACTTACGTCGTCGTAAAAGGGTTTTTGTGTGGTTGCGCAAGCAAGAAAAAAAAAAAAAGCGAAGGCGAGAAAAAAAAATACTTATTTATGTTTATATAAATAAATTATTAAAAATTCACCTTTTAATTTTCCCTCCTGCTCATCGCCTCTTCCATTAGCTAAAAACCCACTAAATAATAACACCCATTTAAAATGTCTGAAAAGTACCAAAAACCATATCCAGGACAAGGCGGTGGTTCTGCCAATGAATTCTACAACTCTGGTCCTTCTCAATACCAAGCCCCTCCTCAGCAAGCTTACCACGCTCCAGGGCAAGGCCAACAAGACAGAGGCTTTGGAGGCTACCAACAACAACAACAACAACAACCATATTATCAACAACAACCATATTATGGAAATGGTCAGCCTCAATACGGCCAACAACAACAATATTACGGTCAGCAGCAACCAGTGTACGTTCAACAGCAGAAACCTTCCAACAACAATGATACTTGCCTTGCGGTAATGTGTGCCACTTGTGCCGCATGCTGTTGTTTAGACATGATGTTTTAAGAAAGACGAATACTTAACTTCAGAATACGGTTCATTTTTTTGCTTATTCTTCTTTTTGTTTTTTGACTTCGATTCTTATTTTTATTTTTATTTTACCGGAATAGTTGAAATTTTTTCCGTTCAATGGACGTGATATTAATCAATCAATTCTTTTGAGAATTTCTATGATTATTATATTTACTACCTTTTCTTCTACTATTAAATTTTAATGTAATTTTCCTTTTATATTTGACGAGTATTGAATATATCATTCATGTTGGAATTACGCGTCGCCCCCAATTTTAGACTGTCAGTAAGTCTCATGTCACCTACCGATCCGCGGCATCCATGTCTGGTGGTGGTGAGATAATTGTACGGGAAGAAAAGGGATAGATAGAGAGCACATGAGAATTTGAGCTGGTAGTTTTTTTTCGCTTTGCTTGTTGGTAACAATCCTCATGAATATAATATAATCATAGAGTGTACATCTCCCCTCGCTAAACCACAGTCGGGTGGTGTTTTCATATTGCCATTTTCAGACCGCAGGACGATCTCTAGCCACACACGTGACCACACTAAAAACCGGACCTCAAACATTCCCAAAACAAACAAGCAAAAAAAAAAAGTACAACGAAAAAGGCTCAACGAAGTGCCAACCACCTCCGTCTGTCTATCTGTCTATCTATCAACAAAGGAACGGAAATCCCCATCAACCCTCCCCTAATACACCCACTCATTTCTCAAATACAGCTCCCAATAGATTGCTATTACAGTGCGTAACTTAGTTAGCGCTGCCCAGTCTATCTACATCTTGCTCCATCAAGGATAAAAAAATTTTCTTTTATTGTCCCCTTTTTTTTCTCTCTTTTTCGGGCGCTAAGAAACAACCACCTCATCATCACCACCATCATAAACCACTGAGATATATAACAGAAAATGGAAACGAATAATGAAGTAGTTGTTCCAAATGTTGGCGGGACCGACATTAGAGAAACTAATAATTTAAAAATGAACAACTACACATCGGATAACCCAATACATACCTCTCTAACAAACTCATCATTCAACGAATCACAATATTCCAGCTCCGAAAGAATTAACCGTCTACCTACATTGTTCGAAGTCTTGAATAAAAAAACCGAAAGCCCTGTCGATTTGTGGTCGTTTTATGTCTTTATGAGAGATGAACAACATGCCGTCGACTATTTGGACTTTTGGATCGACGTCGTCAGTCACTTGGCCTTATGTAAACAGTATGTCAAAGGCTTAAGAGAAAGTGTGTTGTTGACAGAAAAAGAAAAGAGAAATACTAGTGGTGGCAAGTTTCCTGAAAATTATCCTTCAGGTTTCACCGATTCCCAATACGATCCAAGAAACTTGGCACCACTTGCTGGCGGCAATGACCGTAAAAACTATGACAGCTACCATTCTGAAGGCACTCGTTTACCAAAGACCAGCTCCATTTCATCATCGGTGTTGTTGGAAGCATTAATCAATGAAGGGGTTCTTGATGAACCTAATTCCAAAAGATTGTCTTCCTTTTTGAGAGGCGAAGAACCAATCAACGACCAAAGATTCAGTGAATTATTGGAAAAATTGCAAAAATCAGATATCGAAAATAGTACTACCGGGGAAAATACTCCAGGTTTAAACCACTTGAGCGGTGTCAGTGCTGCAAATAATCATGCTTTGAAGAGTTTGGTACCAGAACTACAAAAAGTTTACAACAGATATTCCCAATCCACTACCTCGAATAAGAACTCGATGATCCAGTATCCTTCATTTGCTAATGCACCACCATTGCCTGATGACATCAAGGTATCTCCTGAAGATATTGAAAAAATGGTGAATGATGATGCCCTTGCCGCTGCCACACAGGGAAGTCCCTCAAAAGTGAAGAGAGAGGATTTACGTTCGTCATCTCGTCGTATTCTTGTCACCTATTTCATTGATAACTCTGAAAAGAAGCTCCAACTTCCAGAAAAAATCATCAGACAAATTAGACATTCCATTGAAGTACAAGGCCGTGATGACCCAGAAGTGTTTGACGAAGCTCGTGATTACGTTTTTCAAGCCATGGAACGCGAAGCATTTCCAAACTTCCTTAAGAGTGCCGCATTGAATAACATCACCAAGAAATCATTCAACATTCGTCTTGTTGCTGGGTTTTTCTTCTTTTTTGTGGCATTTTGGGTTGGCTACACCTTGATCTTCCTTGGTTATTCTCCAAAACATGACCGTGCTACCGTGACCATCCCATTCTTTCTCGGTACTTATTTGTTAGTCACCGCGCTTTTCAGATTGGATCCTGCGTTATGTACCCTAGGATACGCTGAACTGAATGCTTCGACAAACAAGCATCATTATATCGAGTTGAAGGAGCCATATGTCAAGAAATTATTATTTCAAAGAAGTATCTGGGTGGCGATTATCATTTGTGTGATCAGTGCGGCCTTCTCTTGTCTTTTTTCCTTGGTGCCTGGTCATAGATTGTGATTGTATGGTTCTTTTTTCGCTTTTGTTTTTTGTCAAATATTACTACTGCACCACCATTTCCATTTTATCAACTTCATAATACCCTAAAATAATTAATCACTAATTCATCATTGTTTGTGCGGTTTTTCCTCTCCTCTTCTTCCTGTTTTTTACCATAGTTCTGTTGCCTTTTCTATTCATTATTAGCTGCCATTTGGATTTTTTTTTTTTACGTTTTGTTGTCTTAATATGAGGTAACGCTTAATTGCTATAATTATTACTTTAGAAACCTTTTTATTTTTTTGCTCAATCTTGTTGTTTATTTATTTATTTATTTATGCTACTGCTACTTTTCTTTCTCTTTTTTTTTTTAAGTTGTGTCAATTTTTTAGATTTTTATTATTTAAAAATACATTTTTTGTACGTATTTTGCAATGTATTACATATTGTGTAATATTGTTGTGGATGACAAAAAGAAGGCTTTTTTTTTTTTTTGTCTTGATTCACTAATATTGAACATCATCATTGGGAAACGGGCTTATATTATATTTGTTTCACAAAATGCTAACAATAGATATTAAAGAATATCATCAGCAAGTGATTATCTTCTTATCACATTGATCCGCCACTATTGGTATTGCCGGAGATGATTCCTGCCATTTCCAAAAATGCTCGTTCTTCCCCCAAATTTTTCAAATTGACCCGGTTTCTCCTATCTGCTTCCCGTTCTTCCCAGGCCCAGGTTGCTAACTGTTGCTTGAACACTTCATCACTACCGATCCCCCAGACCTCAATCTCATTGATGAGGAACTTATCTTCATAAGTCGGTATCATCGGATCTCCAGAGGAAGCATCATTATCATCATCATTATTATTATTATTATTAGTAGTAGTGGTAGTATCATCATATATACTTCCATGGTCGTATACCCCTCCTGCCGCGGTGCCAAGGTGCCGGAATACCCCGAATTCAAGGTTGCTATCGATGGTCAATGAGACATTACCTGCCAGATACTTCAACAATTTACCATTTTTCATCAACGGCTGGGAATTGCCAAACCCAATACCCCCGCCCTCGGTATTGAAGTACCCGAGCTGCGAAGTCGCGGGGTCTGAGGCAGAAAATGCGGTTTTTGCTCTGAATAAGTTTTGGTGAGGCGAGAGTTGGAAAATCATTGTCCGATCATCGCCAAAGTATCGTTTATTGGTCTTCCGCCACGGTTTGGAAATGTAGACTCCATAAACCATGGTTTCTCCAAGGACTTTGTCGGAAGGGGAAGCCGCCTCAGATGGAGGAGGCGGTGGTGGTGGTGGTGGTGGCCTTTGTTGTTGTTGTTGTAGCAATTTGGGGTAAGTTTGGTTGAATTTGTGGAATTTGGAATTCTTGGTATCGCCATACTTTAAAGGATTCAAGATTTTTTTACCCGAGATCAACATTATTGATGGGGCGTTCCAATTGAATACTTTATATTCGAAGGATTTCATCGAGAACCCGTACTTGCTTCCAAGGTATAAGTTTCGACAATTGTTGATGTTGAAATTATAAAATGGGGTGATGTTGAAATTACCAGAGTTGGTCGTACCACTAGCAGTGGTTTCTTCGCCGTGGTGTTTTTCTTTTTCTTTTTCTTCTCCTCCTCCATCATTAGTTAAAGGTGTGCTATCGGTGAGCGATAAAAAAGTGGCAAGTTGCGATAAGTTCGCCAAGGTCATCAATTTCGTTTGTTGGAATTGGTCTTCTGGTTTAGGCATCCTCCCAACATCATGGACAAAATACGTGAATGATAAACACAAATTCTGGAGATTTGGCAATATAAACGGGGCGGTCTTGTCGACAAATCGTTGGAATTGTCGATAGTTAAACGTCGAAGTTCTTTGGAGTAATTTCTGACCATCTTTAACGGTACAATCGATGGATTTAATCAATTGGAACGCGTGCACCTTGATGCTATTATACTTCTGGTTCATATTATGGTTCCGATACGCCTCGATTTTGGAAATCGTGTCGCCGAAATCCATTTTACTTGGTTTTTTCCCCGAGGAATTGATAATGGTGGTGGTACCTTTTGCATTGGTGGTGAGTTTCGCAAGTTGTGGGTCGTATAAACCGGCAATCACCGAGATTTCCGCCACTAGTAGCAAAGTTAAGAAATTGAGACAGTAGGTCGCGGGGATCTTGTGGGTTTTGAAATCCACATCATCAAACTTCTCGATCAATGGTAATCTACTCCAAGTGATTTTTTGTTCGTAGACTGGGTACTTGATCATTACTTCACCGGTTTTTTCATTGAATTCTTTGATGGTTTGTGTCAGGTTCGTTGGTTCAAGAGGTTTTCGAGACTTTTCTGTAGATTGTTGTTCAATGGTTTCTGAATCATCATTATCATCTTCATCATCGTCATCTGCTGCCATACCATTAACAACTTGACATTGTTGAATACCATCCTTTAATCCCACTATTGATAAGGTGATAAACACTAGCTTACCAATATCATAATGTGGTCCCAAAATATGGGAGCGCTTGGGAGTTAGGAGGACAATGATTTTGATAATTTCTCCAAGTTCAAAATACTCAAAGTTGCTGGGTGTATCCGATGATGGTGGTTGTGACCGCGATGGTGGGGAGATTATTGGGAATATGCTAAGCTGTTTAAGAAATTTGTAGAAAATGTTATAGATTGGGGTGGTTTTGGGGATTTTGAAATACTTGTTTCTATAAGTAATTTTCGAATTGTTAGTATATATATATATATATATATATATAGTGGATGAAATAAATACAATAAAATTGATATACTTACAACGTATCGATATGGATTAATTTTCTCATTGATTCTCCCAGGATATTAGAAGAAGAAGAAGAAGAATCACCAGTATCACTAACAACCGAAGATTCTGTTGAATGGTCTGTTCCCAAAAGGTTCTTCTTCAAACAATATAGCTCGTACGAGTCAAATTGATGCAAACATGATTTCAAGAATAATCGCTGGATGGTTGCTTGCGAAACATAACCCACCGGTTGTTGCTTTGAATGACGAGACTCCAATAGTGATGATGACGGTTCAGAAGAACTGGCGGCCTGTCCCATAATTATATTGGATGGAGGTTAAAAAGGAGGTTGAGTCGTTAAAAGCGATAAGATGTCAAAAAAACGTATTTTGGCCTTTCCAGGATTTTTGTCTTCACAAGTTCTCATGATGGATACAGAAGAACGCGTATTGTTGCAGAGGAAGGAAAAGCATAATGAAATTTGGGAAATCTCATTCTTGTTTTCATCAAATAATAATGCTAGTAGTATTATAATCATTGTTACGGTTATTTTGAAAGTTTTAATAATTACACTGTTATTATAGCATCAAGTCCTGCTCAACATACTTATTTGGATTGTTAATTATGCGTTCTTTGAGATGGCAGCTGTTATACGTCAAAATTGAAATAATAAATGAATTATTCGTAGTAATTTTTTTGCCCACGTTTCTTAAACCCGAGACAATTGGAATTTAATTGACTTGAGGGATACAGATAGAATAAGGAGTTTCAAAGTGGAATTATAAAACAACTTATTGTAACCAAACTTTAGTAGATCCCCTGATGCCAGCATCATAAGAACTAAAAATGACACTATTATCACTGTTTTGTGGGTTACTATTCCCCTTGATTATTATTATTATTATTATTATTATTATTAGTTTTCTTTTTCTTCTTTTTCTTTGGAGTCTCACCGCCAAATAAATCGTCAAAATAATCCTTGGTCTTTCGCTTTTGTTTTTTTGGGTTATCAAGGGTAGGCGCCTTCAATTCTTCTTCTTCTTTTTTTTGCTTTGATGATGATGATGATGATGATGATGATGATGATGATGATGATGATGATGATGATGATGATGATGATGATGATGATGATGATGGAATCTTTGAGGCGGTTGGCAGATCATTGAATAAATTATCAAAATAGTTCTTGCTTGATTTTTTTTTCCGCTTTTCTTTATTCGACGCTGGATTATTTGATGAGTGTTGAATACTTGTATCAACAGTGGTAATGTTTTTGGCATCCTCCGCGGTAATTTCTTGTCCGAAATCTTCGAGACCAGAAATGGTCGGTTGGTCCATTTTTGTTGTTGTAGTAGTAGTAGTAGTAATCACTTCTTCCTCAAGCTTTTTTGGGGTACCACCCCCCAACGATTGATGAATCTTGGACACCAAACTGTGGATCTTCGCCAAACTGGCAATGAAGAAAAACCCTAAGGTGATGAACTGTGCCAACGACAATATCCCATGAAAATCTCTCCATAGTTTTGGGACCAAGCGGGAGATGAAGTGGTTGACGGTATGTTTGATCCTGCGGGAGATGGGGCCAAGGATCTTGTGGTTGTGGCGGTCAAGGTACTGGAGTTTTTTCTTCAACTTCTGGAAAGTGGCTAGTTTGGCCTGGCACGTTGCGACGTGGGAGGCGTGGGAGTGTATTAGCAGAACAATGTTTCTCACGGTTTTATGGAGGCGTTGGACTGACGGCCACCAGTGCGACGAGTGGAACTGGTTCTTGTTTCGTAGGTACACCAAGTGGAGGAGATCAAACTCTTTGGAGAGACCGGCTGTGACGTCGGCAGGTATTGGGAGCTGTGGGGGCAGCAGCATCAGCGGGTCTTTGCTACCATTATTATTATTGCGAGGATTATCCATGGTCTGAAATAGTGTGTGTGCCATATAATAAATATCCCACCCACAGACAGACAGACAGACAGACAGACAGACAGACAGACTGAAACTTCCCCCGCGCGCCATTTAATTTTTTCTTTAATTTTTTCTGTGTGTGGGCGCACAGGAGGCCCAGACTCTCTGTCTCTGTCTCTGTCTCCCCTCCGGCGGCAGGGTTACGTGCACACCAAAGGGAGTCTATTAGTATTAGTATTAGCATTAGCATTAGTATTAGCATTAGTATTAGTATTGTTATGTTATGTTATGTTATGTTATCTGACAATAGTATGTAGACTCACCACGATTATTGGTCACAGATGGTTGGTTGGTTACCTGATCTTCCTCGGCCGCTTCACGTGGGAGGAGGGAGGATCATTGATTTGATTCCTTCCCTTCTGTTCCTCCTCCTCCTCCTCCTCCTCCCAATAGGGAAGGTTCCGTGTCCAGGTGGTGGTGCCAAAAGAAAAAGAACAGGAAAATGTCGCATCCATCGCTGAGGGCGGTTTTTCCTCCCCCCGGCAGATCCTCATCTCCCACCATTGTGCACTTTTTTTTTTTCGTATATATATATATATATATATATATATGATTAAAATATTGTCTTTCTTTTGCTCTTGGCAAATCCTGGCTTTTCTCCCTACCCATCATCATCACCGCCGCCTCGTTACCATACATACATCGTCCAATGTTCTTCAACAAATCTCCCAGTTACACCCCACTATCTTCGCCTGGCTCTTCTTTCAAAAGAAAACCGTCTCGTACAGTCACCGCGTTAGTACTCATCACTTGCACAACGGTTTTCGTATCCGGACTCAAGCTCTTCTTCAACTCCCAAAGACTCCCATCGCTAAACCAGCAATGTCTATTCCTTGAGCCTTCGTCCTACTCCCCATTCTTCCCCATTGACATCGTCAACTCGATTTTCCGTCCCAACCGCATCGCGGTAAATGGGGTCGACGTCTTGCATTCAAGGTACCCTCAAGCCCCCGTGCATCAACCGTTTGTACAAGCCATCAATGGGGATCTCAACACTTTCTACAACATTCACTCCCATAATGACTACTGGAGATCTTTGCCATTGTTCGACGCTTTGGAAAGAAATTTCAAGAGCATCGAGGCTGACGTCTGGTATCATCCTTCATCCCCTGCAAATCCCCAATGCTTGACTAACATTGATGATGATAATAATAATAACAATAATAATAATAATAATAACAACGATAATACTGTTGAAAAATACTCATCTTTGAAGAATTTCAAAGAGTCAGAGTTGTACGTCGGCCACCACTCTTACTTACTATCAAAGGACAAAACCATCAATTCTGTGTATATCGACCCTTTGTCAGAAATGCTTACTAATCGTAACCAACAGTCCGACAGCGACGCTCCTGCCGGAGTTTTCTGGAACTTCCCTAATGAGAGTCTCAATTTTATCATTGATATCAAATCAAAAGAATCTTACTTGGTCTACCAACTTTTGCTTAGGAAGTTGAAGCCTGTGAAACAATACCTTAGTTACTACGACTTTGAACTGGAAAAATTTGTCGAAAACCAGATTAACATCATTTTATCCGGTAATATCCCATTGGCAGAAATCGTTGCCGAAGATGAAGCCAAACATTCCAAAAATAAAGGCAAAAGGTTTGTTTTCATTGATTCTCATTTGTTGCCTGCTTACTCTCCTTGTCCAGGGGCTTCTGATGACAATACCCAATATAAACACCATCTTTCATTACTTAAATCTACCAGCTTCCATGAAGTGCTTGCCAAATCGGTGTTACGTTCTTCAAATGACAGATCCCCAAAGATTTTGAAAAACGTGAGAGACTCTTTTGATATTGATTCGACAACTTCTTCTCGTGGGTTATTTTCTGCGTTCCAACTTGAAGTGCTTCATAATGCCACTTCTAAAGTGCCCGGCAACCAACACTCTCGTATCTGGGGGGTTCCATCACTTGAGGAAATTAATAATAAAAATAGCAGAATACCTTGGAGTTGGTTTGGCACCGCCCCAGTTACTGATGATTACGAAGTTTGGAAAGACTTGATGATCACTGGCGGGATCAGTATGATGAATATTGACAATTTGGACTTGGGAATGGAAATTTACGACCAAGTTTACGAAGAAATGGGTAGAATGGTAAACGAGGATTAAACAGCTCTTTTTTTACGTTTTTTCTTGTTATGCTATGTTATGCCATGTTATGTTATATTACGTTTTTTTTTCTTTATTTTTATTTTTATTTTTATTATTTAGTTATCTCTTTCCCATCTATTTTTATTTAACTAATACTGTGAATTATTTAAAATATATTATGAGCCTCGTTTTTAGTAAAGTCATGTAATTTGTGGGTGAAGCGGGGGGTGGTACCCAAGGATTAGTGACATATCGATTGTAGTTGACGACAATGTGGCGATGCCAAAAAGCCAACAGATAACTTCAAAAAAAAGTCAAAACAACACAACAGAATCAAAAAATTTTCGTTCGTGATGGCCATGGGGTCGATAATTGACAATTAAAGTTTGTTTTACTGTGTGCAATTAAGTGATAATTTTAGAAATATTTAGGTTTGGCAGCCAAAATTTTTCAACGAGGCTTAGAGACGCGCTATTATTTTTACCATTTTCAGAATTCTTGTTCCTTATTCTCTGCTTTTTTTTTTTTTTTTCGTCTTGCAACAAACTGCTTTATAGTTGATGCACATTAACTACTGCATCGTGGTAGGTGGATATTGCTATTAATATCGCCAGTTTGTTGGATATCCAGTACGGCGACTATCAGAGTTTCTCTGATACGTAGATATATATTAACTGTATGTTTTGCAAATATTTTTTCATTTGAAGAGTAGCCTTATTCTCTCGTTTTATTCTTTTTTGATATTTTCATTTGAAACAATCATTTTTGCAACGATGGAGAAACAGCAACACCACCACCACCACCACCACCTTCAAGATCTCGAATGTGTTCCTCAGAAACCCATTTCTCGCAAGAGAAACGCTTTTATCGTCAGAATCTTATCGACGTTATTAGTTTCCACCACGGTGCTCGGGTTGTGTACTTATTGGTATCTCGATATTCTTTGTCCATCAGCTCATCATAACAAATCCCTGGTTATCAAATCATTGTCGTCGCCTCCTCCTCTGTTGGTCAAACGGTCCTCGTCCACCGCCGCGGCGTCGGTCGATATGACTCCTGCAACCTGCCCCTTGGCGCCAAGAGGCCAAGATAATGCTGCCAACTACGTGCAGGACCCTAACTCGTACGGAGGGTCAGCATACTTCGCCAAGATCATGGACTATACCCAACCACGGAACCGAGCCATCCATGCAGCATACTACGACTGGAACGCGTTGAACAAATTCAAACAATCGGAATTCTACACCTCTCATATCAACAAACGGTTGGTTTCCAATGGTGGTTTGCCAACCACCGTCACCGTTAGCAACGGCTCTAAAATTCTTGATTCTACTTCCCCAATCTCTAACTCCACTACCGATTACTATAACGCTTATGTCGATTCCAAACTCTCCAATACCAATGGCACCTACACTTATGGGAACACCACGGTATACGTGGGGAACTCTACGGTTCCTCCTAATGTCACCGCGGTCGAATATTTGACCGGGGGACGTGAATTGGTGTACGTTCATTCTCACAATGATTATACCAGGAAAACCCCATTGTTTGATGCCCTCCAGCGTGGTTACAAATCAGTGGAAGCCGATCTTTGGTATTTCCCTGGCTCCAGCTGCGATTACAATTTGGCGTCGCTAAAAGAATTCGCCCTTGCCAGTGATTCTGATTTCACCGATTGTGCCGGTGATTTGGCCCCATTGTACGTTAGTCATAAAGATTCCGGGGTGAAACGTGCCAATACTTTGAAATCAATGTATTTGGATACCATTGAAATGCTTCTTGATGAAATCAACGAGTTTTACGGGATCGAGGCCACCGCAGCCCCGGAAGAAAAAGCCGGGGTGTTTTTCGACTACCCCACCGAATCATTGAACGTGTTGTTGGATTTCAAACATAATGGGTTCCCAACTTACAAGCTCGTCATGAGAACCATCCAATCATTAATCGAAAAGAATTATGTCAGTTACTACGATTTCGCCACGAATACGAGAGTTCAAGGACCAGTGACCTTTATTTTATCCGGAGTGGCCCCATACGATTTACTCCATATCGAGGATACTTATCGTCAAGCGGCTGGTAAAGGGAAGCGATACGTTTTCATCGATGCGCCAATGGCCGAGTTATCCGACAATACCGATCCCACTATGGATTACTCGATTCTTGGGGAATACACCTCGATGAAATTTTCCGATGCCATGCCTTCAAACTATTTGGCGAGTAACCAGACTTTAACTTACCCCACCGTGGCAAAAGTCAAGCCAGTTTTCGATGTTGCTCATAAATACGGTTTGAAGACCAGACTTTGGGGTATGAATCATTATGGGGATGAGAAAACCTCGGATATCAATGTTTCTTTGATCAAACAGTGTGGGTTGAATGTGATGAATGTCGATGATTTGGATTTGGGGGTTGCGATGTGGAAAGAGGCCACCACCACCACCGTGAAGTATACCGATTATGGTGTCAATTGAGCAAAATTTTGCTATTATATTTATACATTTATATTTCATTTCTCTTTTTACTGCTGGCCAGTATATATATAACATTAATATATATGTTTATTTTATCTTCTTTATAGTTGTTATCTTCTATGTTTTTTGTTTTCTCTATCTTATTACATTTTGCTAGTAAGTCTAATCATAATTAATGTCTAACTATTTATTAAATCGTATTTATCAAATGCTTGGTATTTTTTCCTTCTCTAATTAGGAAGGTTGGCTTTTTAACAATCTGGAAAAAAGCGAAAGGAAGGTCTCATGTTAAAAAACACTGCACGGCACAGCTGCCGTTCAAGAAATCTTAACATTCATATATCCAAAAAATAGGGATAGCACTAATCTAATTTTAGACACCAATTCCTTTAATGGACCACTTCTATCCCTCCTCCCTCTCATCCCTGAAACTAGCCATGATTTATAAACCTACAAAGACCCACCATTATTGGTTTCGCACTTTTTTTTTTTTTTCTGTTGTTGTTGTTGTTGTTGTTCTAGATCCATTTCTAACTTTCTCGAAACAAAATTCTTGATAAACTTAAATATCGTCTCAGTATGTCCATAATCCTCCCATATCATTATCTGAAAGTTTCTCAGAAGGAGAAAAAACCATTGAGCCTGGAAGATTTGGAAGAACTTTCCATATATAAAGAAATCACCAATACCAGACAGAAGAATTCGATTTTATTTGCAAAAATCTTATTTGTGATGATTCTTTGCTGCACCGTGTTGGGAGTGTCGTATCTTGCTTCATTTGACTCGCTCGAATCATCGGATGAAACCAATGAGACCATCCCATTTAATCAAACTATCCAATACTTGAACGCAACCACTACTAGGAACTCCTCCTCCTTGTCTTACACACCATCATCATCATCATCATCATTAACAACCACGACAACGGTATTATCATCGCCATCACAGGATAATGCGATTTACTTTCCTCCATATTACCAAAACGCCTTGAACAAAATCCACATAATTGAGAAAATTGAATGATCTTAAATTGTGGGATAATCTTAAAATGACAATTGAGGACTCAAAAAACAACAATGTCGTAATTCCCCTTGCCACTATATATATATATATATATATATATATATATATTTATACTGCATATTTTGTTTTCACGGTATCAATTTTCTTGCCCATTGCTATAGCTATTTCATTTCATTCACTTCCTATTTTCATTTCATTGAATTTCTTTTCTTTGCCTTTCAGTCCATCAAAACTTCCTATTTTCATTCGGTCGGTTTCCGTATTCATTTCGTTGATTTCTATTCATTACAATTTCTTCCCATCACAAAAAGATAAACGATGAGGCTCACTGGTGATCCCCCTCCTACATTTTCTGTGCTCGTTTATTTTTGTGTGCTTGCTCTTTATGCTCTATAATAATTGAAAAAAATAAATATCAAGATCCTTCATCTATATTAGAGAGCTTATTTTTTTTTTTGGCTTGCCATAATATAGATAGATACATTACTTTTTTTTTGGAAAACTTGAAAAGGAAAAAAAATAATCTATTACTAAAAAAAACTATAACTGATTAATTAACCATCAAACCAAACCAACTCGGTTTGCCAGTATTTATGCATTTGGTTCTTAAAACATTTACCATATTCTTATTCTCAAAGAATAAATACATGAAATATATCAAAAAGTGTATAACGTACATACAAAGAAAAAAAAAAAAAAAAAAAAAAAAAAAAAAAAGAAAAGAAAAGAAAAGAAAAGAAAGAGGAACAAATTAATTAAACAAGAAAAGCAATAGGAAAATACAAAATCAATCCATAAATGAACCTAACCAAAGTAACTCAACTAAATCAAACATAAAAAGAAAAATGCCAAAATGGAAAACAAAAAAATTATAAAACACTAGGAAATTCATTTATCAACTTCAACCCCGCTAAAGACCACCCCCAAATCTACCAATTCATCACAAATCTCGGTCTTCAAGCCAGGATCTAAATCATTAATGTTCTTGGTTAGTTCGCTTTCGGTACCAACCCAGTATCTCAAATTCCCAATCAAATTCTCGATGTACAGAGAATGCTTGTTACTCAACTCATGCTTTCCTTCAAGCTTGATTTCATCAAACTTGAGCAAAACGCACAAGATGGAAAGAAATGACAATAAGGTGATTTGCTTTTTAGAACCAAGAACGTAATTGTTTCGATAGTTCAAAAGATGTTTTAGTAAACCTTCAGCTTGTTTGAATTCTTCAAGTGCCAAGTAATTCAAAATCAAGGAACTAGCTAAAGCAACAAATACCTCACCATTAAGCGCTTCATTAGAGCGTTCATTATGAATAGATAAAAGCGAACTCAAGTTGATCTTGTTGGAGACTTCATCGTCAAATTCATCCTCATCGTATTCACTTTCGGAAGTGACAGAAACCTTCTCCATTATTTCTTCCTCATCCGATTGGTAATCAGTATCGCTGTCACTGTCCTCCTTATCTGAGAAATCATTATTTTCTTGTTGCTGTTCCCATTCTTCTTCAACATCACTGAGTTCTTCTATCTCTTCTTCTTCTTTATCTTCTCCGATAGATTTAATATCTACTTCCAGAACAGCATCACTGGCTTCCGATTCTTCAAGGTCTTCCGTGATTTCGCTGGTTGTAACACCATTCAATTGATCACTTTCATTAATATCATCAACCAATTTTTGAACAATCTCCATCGTCTCAAGAGTTTTTGCAGGCACTAGCAAAGAGTGGAATAACTTGGCTCTGAGATTGACAATCGAAAATTCCATGGATAGTTCTTCCAAAAATTCGAGTCTTGTTAACGATGGCTTTTTGACATTGTCATTATTTCCATCTTTCTGGCTCATCAAGTAAGTTATATAAACGACAATCTTGCGTCTCAATAATTCATTAGCTCTGAGATTTCTGGCAAATGAAATGATATTACTGTTTACCACCACATCGTGAAGGATGTCAACAAAACTTTGCTCGTTTATACCAACGTTGACATTGTAATTGATGGAGCGATTAGCGATGAAGAATGTATTTGTTAATCTTTGGACTAAGTCATGAGACTTTATGGTATCTTCTAGATCTTCCACAAGCGCTTTAAATTGCGGCGATTTTTCAGATAAATTTTGAATTCTGGAAATCACCGCTTTTTCTTTGGTTAACAATTTGACGAATTTAAACTTTGGGCTGACATTCATCAACACTTTGCTCAACAAAAGTTGTAAAATGTTCAATTGAATATCTTTTTCCTCATTATATTTCAACAACTGCAAGTAGATGTGGAGCAAATCATATTTTGATTTCAGCTCATCGAAACTAAAGTACTCTTGGTTAACTTTTTGAATAACGGTAGCAATTTCATCCAGATCATTAATCAACGGTTGCAATTTTAGTAAACGGATCTTCAAAATCGTAAAAAGCAATGACCCCCAAGTTGAAGGTGATCGCGGAACGTGTGTATCGAATGAGTTGGCCCCAAGCAAACTAACAGATTGCGCTCTAGTTAGCGTATGCTCATCATCAGCAAGTGATTGTTTCTTCTTGTCTTTGTTATCAAACCTGAGATATGGATCGATCAAAATGATAAACAATGAATATAAAACCAACCCAATCTTCACCACTTGAAAGAATTTTAAAAATTGGGTGGTGTTCAAAAATGGAATTGCGCCAAGACCTCTGAAATCTTCCATTCCATTACCAGCAAAAATGTTGGTTCCCACCAAAGCTGCCATCCCACCAGCAGCCATTCTCATTGGCATACTCATGCCGTAATTAATATGTGGTGGAAGAGGTTGTTGTTGTAGTTGATGTTGGATTCTTTGTGGTTGTTGTTCTTGTGGTTGTGAAAGTGGTAGTGGCATTTGTTGTTGCGGTGGAAGAGGCTGCAGCGGCTGGTGCATTGGTGGTTGACTTTGGTGATGGACTTGAGGAGCATGTTGCATTTGGTTATAAAATTGCGGACTGTATTGAGCTTGTAAGTTTTGTCCATTAGGTGATTGGTTCCCTGGGTACTGTACTTTATAATCATTATTGTTGTTATTGTTATTGTCATTAGTTACGCCACTATCGTTCACATTTCTGCCTCCCACTTGACTAAGAATGTTTCTGAGCTCTTCATTTTCTTTCACTAGCTTTTTGTTCTTCTTTTCTAAATGTTGTATGTATTCGGTAGCTTTTGTTAGAACCGATGCTTTGTTCAATTTGGATGCTGGAGTTAGCCCATCCAAGTCAATCGAACTCGAGTCCGTACCACCAAGAGCGGTGACTCTTAATGATGGCACAGCATCTCTCAATGCCAAAATCTTGGTATTGATATTAGTTCTATATTTCTTTTCAACCATATTATGTGAAGCTCTTCCCTTCTTTGGTTTTGTAATTTTGCCTGCAGGTGATGGTTTCTTGCTCTCCTTTTTCATGGTTGCAAAACCTGCAAAATCTTCCATTTTGATTTCTTGTTTATGCTCTTGTTCTGGACTAGACACAATTTCCGAGGCTGGTGAAATACTGCTTGACCCATTGAGGGAATTCGCATGAGATCTGATCTGGGGACTGGTTTGCATACCATCAAAAACAGTATTATTGTCTAATCCTGCAATATCAGTCGACGATGGGTCCATTTTCACCATATCCATATTATTCGGCGAGGAGTTTAAGTTGTCATTGGTTGTTTCGTTAAGAGAAATCCCGAAATCTCCCATTTCATTTTTAGCAACCATGTTCTCATCCATAAATTTTTGGTCGGTAGCTCCGCTGGTATTTTGGAAATCCATTTCCCCTGTGAATGCCGACCATGGTTCGTCTATATTGGAATAAGGACTTAGCTGGGACCCAGGTGACAATGAGCTCGCTCCTTTTGAATCATCGTCGTTAAAAAAATCAATATCGACGCCGTTATTGGACAACGAGGACAAGAGATTATTCGCGTCATCAAAAGTGTAAGTTTGAAAATTCATCCCGGATTATGTTTCCAAAAAAAAAAAGACAAAATGAGCAGTTGTGTTAATAAGGGTGTTTAGTTTTGTAACTTGAGATGTTGTTGTTATCGTATAAGGCCCCTTCTTTGTGTTTGTTATCTTCCTTAGCCCCTGTTTATGTGAAATGCAAAAAGCGACCCAGAAGATCCTAAGAGGTGTGGCAGTGTTGCTTGGTGTATATGACAGTTTTTTGGAACAAATCCAAACAAATAGAAAAAAAAACTTGTGTGGAAAGTATCACTCAAGGGTAAAGCGATCAAAAAAGATGTTCGGTAAAAGTTGGTGCTGGTTTGGCGAACCTATTTGCTAACACTCAGAGAAAAATCATCCCAAAAAAAAAAAGGCCATAACTTTATGCACGTAGACGCAGAGACACGTGGTAATTAACGAGCTGTACATAGATCCCCTGTGGGCGGGTGACATACGTCTTTTTTTTTGGCACCAATGCCATACCTTACGTAAGCAAGGTTATTATTATTATTATAAAGATTTAGTATACTAAAGTGCAAATGCAATATTTAAAAGAACTGAAGATACAGGAACCAATAACCAAAGATAAGAAAAACAATCAAGTATGAAGAAAACCAGAAAAAAAAATATAAAAAAAAAAGTGCAGGGCAGGGCAGGGCAGGGGAAGAAAAGATGATTGATGACCTATCTAATAATACAAACATCATATCAGCAAAATAGAAATACAGAAACCAGAATAAAGAAATATGGTCATAAGTAGGATGCAGAAAGAAATCAAGAGAGAATATACAAAAAAATTTCTATGGTAAAAAGGAATACCATTTCATGATAGCTCGCGAGCTCATGCTTATTTCTTGAAAACCAAAGCCTTTCTTCTCTTATTCTTCTTGATCTTATTTTTCTTGTAAGTGACATGTCTACTTGGCCTCCAGCCACTAGTGTTCACCTTCTTAAGGTCTTTAGGTTGGGCTTCACCATCAATTTCCATAGATTGGGCTTCAGTTTCTTCACCACCTTCAGATTTCTTCAAACTTTCCTTGACCTTTTGCTTCTTCAAGTCACTTGCCAACTTCTTGGCCAATCTCTCTTCTCTGGCCTTGACAACATCGGTGAAAAAAGCACCACGCTTGATAGATTTAGCGGCAAGAGCCTGACTGTTTCTCAAAGAACGGGCCATTATTGTGAAACTGAGTAGATTAAACAAGGCTGTCTTCTAAATGCTTTAAGTAATAAATGCCTGCCTCATCGGTAGAAAAAAAAAAAAAATTAAAAGAAAAAAAAAATTCTGCATATTTCACGTGATCCGATATTTTAGGGCGCTGGCCTATTTTTTCTCGATATCATATGATACTCATTAGGGCAGTTTTGCAAACGTGATCTGTGACTAGTATTACTAAGCATCATGTGCCTTCTCTTTTTTTTTTTTCCTGGAGGTTGATGCTTACCGCTCAAAAAATTAAAAATATTAAAATTTCTTCAAGTCGATATAGATTGTACTATTGAAGGATATAGCAAATCAAGGAAAAATGTGAGTATTGGATGAGTGCAAGGGAACTATTGGAATAACAAGTAATCAGTCATTAAGAATAAAGGGATTGTTTATGTTTATATGAAAAAAGAATAGTAATGAAATGATGAACAGTCAAAGATTCAAGTTTTTCAATTGATCAAATTTCGGAAATGGGGAGTTTGTATTAATTAATGAGAAAGTCAATCAAATTGTTGTTATACTCCTTTATTATCAATCAAGTTTACATCAAAGAAGTTTTTCAAGGGCTGTTTAAATAGCTAAATATTTTTGATTTTATGAAGTTTCACTGGAAAAACTTTTCAATAAGACAACACTTCAATCGGAATCATCACTCATCACTTTCTGATTTGCAAATGAATTTAGAAAGGAAATCTATTTGTCCACTTTTTTTTTAAAGTATTCGTTCGGCATTTATGAGAAAATTTTTATCTCTAGATTAATAAACTGTTTATAAGTTATACCATTGGTTTGCATTACCTGTGAGATATATTTATGTTCAAAATACTAATATGTTTTATAGGGCTAACTTGAAGACTCAAAAGAGACTTGCCGCATCTGTCATCGGTGTTGGTAAGAGAAAGATCTGGTTGGATCCAAATGAAACAACCGAAATTGCTCAAGCTAACTCTCGTGCTGCTATCAGAAAGTTGTACAAGAACGGTACCATTGTCAAGAAGCCAGACACCCCACACTCCAGATCCCATGCCAGAAGATTGGCTGAATCTAAGAGAACTGGTAGACACACCGGTTACGGTAAGAGAAAGGGTACCAAGGAAGCTCGTTTCCCATCTAGTGTCATCTGGATGAGAAGATTGAGAGTCTTAAGAAGTATGTTGGTCAAGTACAGAGATGCTGGTAAGATTGACAGACACTTGTACCACTCTTTGTACAAGGCTGCCAAGGGTAACGCTTTCAAGCACAAGAGAGCTTTGGTTGAACACATTATCCAAGCTAAGGCTGAAGCCCAACGTGAAAAGGCTCTTAAGGAAGAATCTGAAGCTAGAAGATCTAGAAACAAGGCTGCTAGACAAAGAAGACAAGAACGTGTTGACGCCAAGAGAGAAGCTTTGCTCAAGAGCGAGTAAGTTATTTAATGACTGGTTTTATAATATTAATTCAAGCTCATTTATAATTTTGTAACCCTTATCTTATTGGATGATGTACTTCCTACTTTTTTTCTTTAATAGTAATGTTTCTTTTCAATATCTTATATCGTCAACCTTGTGTTGCAGCTTAGTGTATTTTATTTGCTTATAGCATTAATTTGGCTAGGTTACAGTAGAAAAATGTTAGGTGTTTGTCTCAAAGGCTCAGAGATAGCAAGGGTGTTTGTTATGTCATGTGGCTCAGCGAACAATGCGCTTGTTTTTCGCGGAATTTCTGAACACCGTTTCATAAATGAGGAAAACAAAAGATTTGAAAATTTCTCAACAAGTAGACCAGAAATATACCCATAAACCCCATTTAATAATATCCACAAAACACAATGAGCACCTTCTTCGATGAAATGCAAAAGTCCTTTACTGACGTTCCAGTCAGTGCGGACAAAAAAGTCAGCACTTCTGAATTCTTGGAGGCTTCTGAATCCTTAGTCAAATTGTTTGATTTGTTTGGCTCATCTGCTTTCTCTGTTGTTCAAAATGACATGAATGGTAACATCAAGAAAATTCGTGAATATCTTCTCAAAAACCCAGCCAATGCTGCTACTTTGCAAGACTTAGTTTTGGCTGAAGCTGGCACCAAATCCAAGACCGCAACCCAGGGTCTTTTGTGGCTTTCTAGAGGTTTGCAATTCACTGCTGAATCCTTGAAGGAAACTATTGACAACCCAACTAAAGAGCTTAGTGACACTTTCACTGCCGGTTACAACAAGACTTTGGTTAAGTATCACTCTTTTGTCGTCAAGCCAGTTTTCAAGTTGGCCATGAAGGCTTGCCCATACAGAAAGGACTTCTTTGCCAAGTTGGGTGCTGACCAAACTAAAGTCCTTGCACAATTGAAGGCCTGGTTAGCTGCTTTGCAAAACATTGTCTCCATCATCTTTGAATTCTTTGCTTCAGGTAACTACGGTAAGGGTTTATAATCGCTGAGCGACTCATTAGACCTTACGTAACCGACAATCAATGCAGAACTACCATATATAAAAGAAATCCTATAATATATCTATAAATTGACTATCATATTTATGTTCATTTATCCTGTGTAAATTTTTTGCAAACTATTCAAAAAGTCTTGCGTACTGTTTGGCTGTATTTATAGTGAGCTCAAAAAAAACTTGGGTCATGTTAAAAATCATCATGACTACTCAGGAATCATTTCTATGGATATTCCTAGGTTTATGAACCTTATCTAGCGAGTAATGTTTTTCAGAAAAATTTTTTTTTTCATATTCTTTTATGTCTGTTTAAGCATTCCTACCTAGTGAGCAAAGGAAAAATAATAATAAAGAAAACAAGAAAAAAAAGGAAAAGAAAATTATATAATGATAGCAATACTTTTTTCTTGAAGAAAGTTGATTTGATTTAGAATCAATTTTACTACAAGTTAAGATTTCAGAACCGCCATATCAAACAATACTTTTAAAACGATAACAATACTCTGTAAAAAGGAAAATGAACTCCAAATTCTCTTTGAGATTAGTTAATTGAACTTTACTACTAATATAACCGAAGGTTGCACCCAGTATCAACAATGAGAGCCAGGAGTCTTTTCAAAAACATAATCAACATTTTAAAATGATTACTTTCATATTTTGGAACACACTACTAATCAACTTTAATCATTTAGGAAAATCAATGGGATTCCAGGACGGTTTTAGAAAAACTAATACGCGTTAATTCATTATTCTACACCAATTTAGAATCTAATTCTGTATTTAAATATAGATATGTTCATACTTAATTGATAACATACTACTTTCCCAGGGTTTCTTGCAAGTTAATAGAAACACCCATATAACACTGGACATGTTTGGTACATCACGTGAAAACATTGGGAAAAACGCATCGCTGAAAGCTCAGAGAACTATTGGTGATTTGTGCTGTAATTGGACGACAATATTTCTGGAAGATAGAGCCAAAAGACCGATTCAGAAAAGCCCTTCTATTTATTTACCTGGTATTAATGAATGATGTCGCAGCTCACATTGACCTTCATTTGTTTTCTTCTATCAACATTTAGTAGCCTAATTGCTGCTGTCGATTTGGATCTGATAATAACTACTCCAATTTATATCAAAAGTTTGACAACTGATAATGTGGAAAAGTTTGGGGATCTACATTATGATAAAACTTCAGATTCTGGTATCTTCAACCCCGAGTTAGATGTGATTTCTATTGCTAATGAGAAACAAACATTTTCCTTAGAGGGATTTGATGATGATAAAGTGTGCATTGGGTTGAAAGATGAAGTGGAAGAATTAAATTGTTTCAGTTTTAAAAAAGTAAGTCTGGATGCCTGATTACGCCCTAGGTCATGTTGTGTCGGACTTTCTTTTCTTTTTGTCCACTCTCGATGGGATGATATTTAAGTACGAACAATTGTTACTAACCAAAGTTTTTAGATATCAAATCCAGTGAAGGGCAAATTTATTATACACACAAATACAAAGAATATTCCTTATTTTTTTGACTTTATAGTTGAAACAGAAAACCTTCAGAGCTCTCAAAAGGCACAGAGGGTTACATCGTCTAAAGGTAGAGGTAAAAGCGCCCAGAAGGAAGATGATTCTCTTATTCCGGTTGTGGTGGAGAAAGTTTCACTTGGTGTTAGACCAACTCTTAAAAGCCCTGAAATCAAGGAAAAGAAAACAAAGGAACAAGTTGCTAAGGAAAAAATTGAAGGAGATAAGACATTTTTCCAAAAATACTGGATGTACCTCTTACCAATAGCGATTATGGTAATGTTCGGCGGTGGGGGCGATTCAAATGCTGCTGCTCCTGCTCCAAAATGATTGAATCCATACATCTTTATGTATGTATTTTCTAAGTTACACTGTCATGAACATGTGAATATATGGCAGATAAATTGCAGGGCATTATTAACCATCTATTTCGTGGAACTCTGTTGGTTTTGCAGTCTAATATAATATCTAATATAATTTCCATTTATTCATTCTTCTATCACCTAAAAAGTAGCTATACTATTATTTTGATCTCAAAAGCATATACTATACATCTACTGAAGGCTGAAGATCTACTTGCCTTATATTCTGCTGTCACCGTGCTGTTATGAGCGCGAGAATTTTTTTTTTTTTTTTTTTTTTTACGGATTAAACCTAACAGGCTTTTTAGGGCCAATTTTATAGCATTGTGCATGGTTTAAATGTTCACCATTTTTTATTTTTAGTTTGTCATTAATATGCTCGGAATCGAGACTATTTAATTTTTAAAATATTAATTGGTCTCAGCAAATTTGAATAATCACCGGAAAGTGCCACTAGTTTCCCACCGGAACCTGAAGGGTAAATTATTGTACTGCAAAAGTTTTCGGGGAAATCTTTTTCTTTCTGCCCTCATCATCACAACAACTTAATCATATATCTTCCACCACATATTCAAAGGATACTTCTAAAATAACATAGACAAAATGAACAACATTTTAAATGATACAGAAAGCCTGCCCATATCGCAAGATCTGAAAAGACAGAAAATATCGTTCGACGGATCTCAAAACACAAATGGCATCGGCGGCCTTGCATCATCATCGAGCGGAAAACAGTTCAAAAGAAGTTATAAGGCTTGTCTCAGCTGTCGTACAAGAAAGATCAAATGTGACTTAGGATCTCCCAGTAATCCAATAGATCCCCCTTGTGCCAGGTGCCGCCGTGAGAGAAAAGACTGTGTGTTTGCTGAATCCAGAAGGGGAGCAGGCGCCAGAAAGAAGAAGGATAAAGATGGCCTTGGAGATGGATTGAAACTTCCGGATATCAACAGTCTAATGGGCCAGCGGTTTCCAAATCCTATACAAGGAGCTAATTATACGAACCCTACGATTGAACAACAGAGATCGATAGTCCAATCCTACGGAAAATTGTCTCAGGGAAACAACACATCTGAAGTATCAACAATGCAAGGCGCTTTGTTATTTCTTGCAAATGCCGCGGGTACTATTGCTAAAGCGGATGAAAGAGATAGATTGATAGGCGGAAAGCTTTCACAAGATGGTTCTACAGTTACAACAACAGAAAATATTGCTCCTATTCCATCAAACAGAGATGCAGATATTTTGGAAATAATGAACAATAACAGAAGCCCAACTCCTGATATTCAAGAAATTGTCCCTAAAATTAGACTATCTGCAGTGGAGTACATTGGTGAGGGTAAAATATTGAGTGAAAAGGAAGCTACCGACTTGGTTGATTTCTATTTTAATTACATGCATCCTTTCTATCCCTATATTACTCCGGATTTGCACGATGCAAACGTACTAACCAGTTATCCTATTCTTTTATGTGCTATTTTGACCATATCCTCAAGATACAAACCACTTATTGAAGAAAATGTTCAGGAAAATGAAGATACTAATACAGGTACCGGCAAGCCCGCCAGAAGCCCTCAAGCGGACAAGAGATTAGAAACTCATGAAAAATTGTGGATTTACTGCCAAAAATTGGTTTCGCAAAGTGTATGGGGTGAGGCTTCTACAAGATCTATTGGGACTGTTTTTGCGTTTTTATTGTTTACTGAATGGAACCCCAGAGCAATTCACTGGAAATGGGATGATTATGCCAATATACACAGCATTATTACATCGACAAGTGATGGGAAAACGGCCAATAATGGCAAGGACGAAGATTCTTTAGCAGGAATCGGTGCAATGAGAAGAAGTAGCAGAATGTCCTGGATGTTGTGTGGTACCTCGATTAGGTTAGCTCAAGATATGGGATTTATGGAAAATAGTTCAAGAGTCTTTGTTGCCACCCATCTTTCAGAAACTACAATTGCAATGACTTGTGGCCAACGAAGTATGTTAGCTCAGTCTTTGGCAGAAGTAAATATGAACGACGAAGCAACTTTTACAGAGTCATATCAAAAAGAAGATGAAATTGTGTTGATTGGGGATGAAGATGCTTTGAAGAGCGCTAATCGAGCTGAACAGCCATTGAAATTCACCCTCTTTCAGCGAGCCAATGTGGAGTTATTGAAGATCTCTTCCTTGGCTTATGAAACATTGTACTGTGGTAGATCATATGCAATCACCGATCAGAAGCAAATTTTGGCAATCTTAAGTATCTTGTCTCCTCTTCTTGAAGGTTGGGAGGCAAAATACAGAAAATTATTGGAATACCAGGACATCAAAATTAATCCTAGTACCCAATATTTGGTGAAAAACGCCATAAAGCTCACCAAGGATGAGAAGCTGGATATTAAAAGAGTCATGGATCACGAGTCTCTCAGATTTGATTACTATTATGCTCAGTTATACATTTATTCATTGGCTTTGTTCAATGAGCCCTCTGGTGCTTCCCAGACTTCTTCCAAGAAACATTTGAGATTAGATGAACTAACTAAGGCTTCCAAGTATATAGAGTTGGCTTTCCAAGCTGCTAAGGAAATTTTGGCCACCGCCACCAGAGTTCATAAATTAAGAATGCTTCGTTTCATGCCCGTGAGATGGGTGACCAGAATTGTCAGATCGGTAGCGTTTGTGGTGAAATGTTATATGACTTTGACATCCAACATCAACAATAATTATTCGTCCACTATAGTCAGTCTTTCAGTTATTCCGACCGATGATATTGTTCAAACCATTCAGAAAGCAGCAATAACTTTGCGAGAAGCCTCCCCCGATGAATTGCATTTGTGTACTAGATACTCAACAATCTTGATGTATTTGTGCTCCGAAATGAGAGCTAGCAAAGCCGCTGCTGATGCACAATATAACAATGTGAAGAAAGCTAACAAGAAAGCCACCAATACGAAAGAAAGCAAAAATTCTGACGATGATGATAATAATAATAATGTTGATGAGTCGGAAACGGTAGTCAATTACAATACTGATAGCAACCAGCCCCCAAGTACCGTGGCTACCACTAATGATACAAGTGTTACTGGGCCTCAACAACAACTACCTTATCAACCACCTTACACGGATGCGTCATCGTCTTATCAGTATCAATATAATAGTAACGGAATGTATAATCCTGGACCGAATTATGAGCAAAATAATATGAATAACGGTTCAACATCGGTGCCTCTGCATTCGTATGGTTATTCTACAAACCTTCCCCAACAATATGGCAATGATGGTTATAATGGACAATCTATGTCTGGGACTAATTATTCCGTCTACCTTGATCAATGGCAAACGTCAATGCAGAATTTTGGGCTAGATTTTGTTGATCCTTTCACTGAGAGAATTGAACAGCGGATGAGGGATAATAATGCTTCAACAGGTACTATTGGTCCTTCCCATGTTAATGGTGACAATCAGCAAAAGTGATGTGAGGCAGAAATTTAACGCGAAAAGATCAAACATCTACATATATATGTATGCAAACTAATCAATATTATTATAAACTCTTATATATATTTATGTGTATATCATTTTCTATGGGGAATCTTTTAGATCATTTTAACCTTATTTTATATGCAGGGATTATCTATTTTCCCTTCAGTGAGGATATTCATTCAAAAAGGAAACATGGGCAAACAAAAAGTAATTAAACCCAGCACCACACCCTTCGTCATCACCAACAAGAAGGAAAAAAAAAAAAAAAGAAGTCATTCGAGCTAGGATCACTCACATTATAAGACATTTTTCATTTCGGTACTTCTCCCTTTTAATTTTATCAGTGTTTTTCCTTTTATATTTACTAACTTTTGAGCCAGATTTCGTCTTGGAAGATTTCAGGTGCGTACCTCTAAGATTGCTGGCTGATTCAGAAACTTCTGTCGCAATTGACGGCGGCATTTTGCGTGAACTCTCGTAGCTACTTCTTGAAGACTGAAGCGCCGTCGAGCTGCTTGGCGGTGGGTTCAAAAGCCCTTGATCCATATTTTCATCAGCCTTTGGTAGAGATAATGATTTGGTTTCACTGTTATCAGCCTGTTTTTGTTTTACTCCAGTGTCATTAGAATTCGTAGAGTCTTTGGAAAACGGACGGGAGTTACTATCAATATTTTGAGATAATGATGATGATGATGGTGTTTGTTGTCCTTCTCCATCCCTTTCTTCTTCTTGTTCTCCTTCTTCTTGTTTTTCTTTTGAAGGGTGTAAATATAAAGATGGTTTTGCAGCAGCGTCTGAATGAGAATCTTCTTGGGAAGTGGAGCTAATATCACTGTTTTTGCTTTTCCTTCTTATGGATAATCTTTTCTTTGACCATAAAGAGCTCACTCCGCTGTTTATTCTTTTAACTTTCTTCAGTTTAGCTTCTTCATTGTCGTTATCATCAGGATCTTCAACTTTCAAGTTCCCATTGAAAGAATAAATACTATCCTCGCCACCACCATCACCTTCCTTGGTGTCTGCTTTGCCATCTTTTTCCAAATCCATATCAGAATATATCGACCTATTCGAACTATTATCATTCCAACTGTTTCGTTTGCTTTGAAGCCTTGATGAGAAAGAACTATCAGAAGTCAAGTATCCAGCACTGCCACTAGGGTAAGGTGGCGTTCCGGCGTCATTTGCCAAAGCCGCCACTGCACAACCAACCTTCTTGTCATCATCTTCTATGTATAAACCATCTTCAGTCTTCGTTTTCCAATAAAATCTATCTCTAATATCCAGGTAATCACTACTGTTTGGGTATGGATAAGTCGAATTGTAAAACACCATCTTGCTGAACAAATCATGGGACTTTTTGGTACCACCTGTGGTAGTTGATTCATGCTCACTATTATCGACTGGCTGTTGTTCCATTGATATGGTGGAATTCGATGATTTTTTACGATCATTGGCGGGTGGTTGTAGAACATCATCGACTTGTTTCTTTGACTTTTCATCATCATCATCAGCATCATCATTGCCATTGCCATCCAATCGGTTCTCCTTAACTTGTAACTTATCTAGTTTTCCAGATACCTCCGTAGTCGTATCGTCATCTTCAATTGAGGTCACAATTTTTGGAATATATACATCCATTCTGTATAATAAAATATATGGGGTTTCCTTGGAGAAAGCTTCCTTAAATGTTGTTGGCTTGACCCGTCCATCTTCTGACAAATCATCAAACAATAACCATCTCCTATTGTCTTCTTCATCTTCCGTGGCATTAGGATCAAATGCCTCATCCCTGACGAGTGAGACATAATGTCCACTATTTATTGAATGACCTCTATGACAAACTGCACTTTCTAAAATTAATCGATATTTACCGTATTTTTCAAGGGTATCAGCTTCTTTCGTATCACCACCGGTTTCCCCAGAGTTTTCTGCAATGAAATTTGGTAAATCAATAAATGAAGGAATAATGATTTTTTGGGTGCTTTTCTTTGAATTCTTACCAAAAGTGTAGCGTTTCAAACAAATTGGCAAAATTGGATGCTTCTCAGCAAAACTTTGCTCAGTTTCTGAATTTGGCTCCAAGTCGGTATAAAACGGAAGGAGTTGTAAAAACATCCATGCTGGTAAGCTTACCTCGCCCGACTTGTTTTCAGAAAAGATTGAAATTGCAGAATTGGCGCGGCTCCGCGTAGTGATATGATAATTAGCATCCTTGGTTAGCGAAGGACTTCTAGCATTTCTCGTCATATTGGAATTATCAAATGAGCTTCGAAGCTCCGGTACAGTTTTAGTAGTAGGGCTAATTAGTGTAGTGTCTGTCTCTTTATCGTCTCCTTCGTACGTCACAGTTCCCAATTCCAGCATTTTATAACCCTGCAAGCTTCCATTATTGTCATCTTCTCCTTCAACATTATCATCATCATCATCATCACTAATATTATTGGCTTTGACCAACTCCACTGCCTTGTGGCTCGCTTCACAAGGATCCTCTAATTCTTCTATATATGTAGCCACTGGTTTATCAAGATCTTCCTGACTTCCAGCATTTGAGCTTCCTTTGATTTCTTGTAAGCTCTCCAATTGTTGAGTTATGGTACCTCTTCTCAATGATAAGCGACGTTCAAGTTGGCGCTTCACGTGGATTGAGTTATTGAAATAATGTTCAAGGCACTCTTCCAATAACACAGATTCTTCGTGTTCAATATGAGGTTTCGCTTCCGTTTCAGGATCTTGTTTATGGGCATTTCCTTTGACCTTTGCTTTACTCGACACATCTTGATCCTCCTCTAGTTCTCTCTCACTTTTAACAGTTCCCTCATCATTCATATCTTCGGGTTCGGGAATAGAAACATAAAGCATTCTTTCCTTTGCGTATCGATGATCGTCCTGTGCCACTTCTTTGCCTCCATGTGCAATATCAATCTTTAATGTCAATAACGGCATCTGTAAAATTTCCGTTAGAAAGATAAATAACTGACTACTATCTTCTTGCTTTCTAGATATTGCTTCCTGAAATCCGCACTCTGCAAGTGATTCGCATAAAAGTCTGGTTAAATCAAACGTTATTAGTTGGCCCGAGCGTAACAAACTCACATAAACTCGCAAAATCGCGCGAAGTCGCCGTACTTTCACATCCTCTTCCACCTCGCTTGCAAAGCTCATTAGCAATGGCTCAAAACTTTCGAGTTTAGCAAACATCAGAAATAACAAGGAGTCCAAATAACACATCACATTTCCCCAATTTTCAGCACCGAGAAGAGTGATCTTCGATCTATTCCCAGTTTTCATAGTCTTCTTGGAACAAACTAAGCTACCTTCCTCACAAATGTTGAAGTACCGTATGAGTTCATAAGCTTTTGTCACGTCCTTGTTAGAAAATTCACAAAGCAAGCTAGCATTGGCCTGGCTGGGGCAAAGTGTGGTTTTTTGTTTCTCAAAAAGGTTCTTTAAAACCATTACTTTTGACTATAATGGATACGTTAGTAGAAGTCAAAAAAAAAGAAAGAACAGAAAAAAAAATGTGAAAACAAAATAAAAGAGGATATTTGGAATTGATTATTGCATTAACAATACTTTCTTTGTTTGTTCATCAGCTACGGTTTAAATAATTCTTCACAAATTAGGTACTTACCCCAGATTGTTTCTTCTCACCCCCATCTTTAGATTTATCATTCTTTATGATTTCTTGTTTGAAGGACGACCAGAAATTATCATCAAATATCTGTTGTTTGTTAGTATTCTTCTCTCATATATATGTATATATATCCGTCGCTTCCCCTGGTTACACCACGCAAGAACGTCACTCGCGTTGTTGGTAGAAAGGAAACGCCTTATCAGATTGTACACGTACCTTAACATTATCCTTTAACTTAGATTTCTCTTTATTTCCGGTGTCATTTGATGATGGTGTCTTTGTTTGGGAGTTATCACCATTCAGGTTTTTGTTTGGCACGGAGTTTGTTTTTGGGTTGGGGTTTGTCGATGATCCCGACAGTACTGAACTTTGGGAGATTTCCGCATTACCAGAAACATTCTTAGATCTGGAAGCAAATCGATTTAGGTAGCTCATCACTTCCAAAAGGATCCGTCGGTGGTTATTATCACTCTTCTCTAAGCCAAAGCAATCCGGAGGCGAATTGGTATCGGAATTTCATCGATACGGAAGGACTATTGTGCGATATGCGGCTTGACTTGCGTTACCCGTGTCAAAAGAGAAGAAAAAAAGAAGTGCCAGAAGTTTGGGAATATAAGGATTCGTTAATTGTTTATCTTTAAAATCATAATTATACAGAGGTGGTATTACACCAAGAACTACCTAATTTATTTGAAAGAGACCCTCTTCTTTTAAATAGTCCATGCCAGTAGTGCTTATTTAAACAGGAAATAATGAATTGAAGAATAAGGAATCAGAAGATATCAGCAGCATCGAAGGGAAAAAATTAACCATAAGCAACTATAAATACAACTAAGTAGATACAGAAACAAAGTTAGAAAGTAAATACGAATAAAAGTAAAAATCCAACCTAAAATAAAATAAAAAAGAAAAGAAAAGAGAATCAACAAATTCTGAAATCATCGGCTGTATCACCAGAAAGATAAATAAATAAAAAAGTGTTTTATGAATCAGCGGGCAAATCTATTGGAGAATAAGTCACCTGGGTGATAAACTTCCCTGCGTAACGATTAATACACGCCACTGCTAATACATTGTTTTTGATTGATGTTGTTATCAAATGATTGAGAATTACATGGTTGGGCACGCTCAAAAGATTTGTGTCTTCAGTAGGATTAGAAGTAGGTGTGTTTCTCGGTGAGTGTGGGCTGAAAGTCTGTTTCGTGTTGGAATCGACCGATGGCATCGCTGTGAGATCCCGTTTATTGAGCAAAACATTATTTAAATATGGTGGTAGAGATGGCGGCTCAGGTAGTTTTTTATACTTGAGCATTGTTGAGCTGTCCATAGTGGTTTCATCAAAATCATCCGTATCAATATAAACTGATGGGATCTCATTGGTATATTCAGTAACCTTGCGAGGAATAGGGGTCAATACCAGTCCAGTGGCCATTGAATTGGAACCGTAATATTCATTAATCATATCGCTAGAAACGGTATACTGCTGCTGGTAAGGTGAAGTATCATTTTTATCAGCAATTGGTCCAAAATAATCATCATCTTTGTTATCCAAGAACTTCCCAGTATAGTGTTGTAAAGGCTTTTTCACAGGCGCTGGATCATGCTTCACTACCTCAAACCAATTCACAAAGTTACCATTTGCTTCGGTGGCTTTAGGTAAATTACTTGAGCACTTTATTTCACCATCAACAATGAATTGAAATCTATAATATCCGATTCTTAAAAACAATTGCACTGCGAATTCCCCTGGGGAAATCTGATTCAACTTGATTTTGTTCATCCAGTTTGTAAATGATCCCACCACAAAAACCTCATGTGCACTACCTTTCCATCTAATTGCTACTGGAACAGTTATATCTTGATATTCATCATCATTATCCATATAATCTAACAAAACATTGGCCTCAATTTCATCATCCTCTTTATTAATAATATCATCATGGATAGTGTTGTTATTGAGTTGGTCATCTAAATCAACAGAATTTGTTGCCGATGAATGTCTTAGATCCAGCATGGTTTCAGCGTGCTCTATGAACTCATCCAGCGGAACACTTTCGTATTTGTCTTATATTTTATTAGTAATTCTATCATTAACACACCAAAAAGGGAGAGAGAGAGAGGGAGAGAAAAAAAAAAAAAAAAGAAGCAGAAGTCAACATACCAAAGCGAGAATCTTCCATATTGCTATCAACACTTTTTGAGCGCTCTGTCGGGATGAAATCACTACTGACGTAATTATTCTTGAAATATCCAGGAACCGTAATCATTTCTTTATCTTCAGCAATAGTGGTGGATGACGGGCTTCCAGTCTTGTTCGTCGCAGTTGCCGTTGCACCGCTAGCTTCAGCAGAAGTTAGAATGACTGTTGGAGGGGCGGGCAGTGAGTTGGCAATGACTCGAGGAATATTTTTCGGGCCACTGAGATTTGGGGTGCCGGTTTGTCTTGCTTGCTTGAGTCTGCCAGCACCAATAAAGTTGGATGTTCTTCTTGACAGCTTTCTCTTGGGCAGCATGCCATTATGGCTAGCTACTATACTCCCTGTATCAAGGGATGAATTGGCGGTTGTCGAAGGATTATTCCCCATGGTGACATTCAGGACCTGTGGATGTATATATTGATAATCTTCTTTTTTTTTTTTTTGTTTTTTTTATTATTATTATTTTCCAGAGGGTATTCTTGTGATAGGCTGAGGACTTGTTTAGTATTAGATTGTGAGGGAGTATACGGTAGATTGGTATTCCTGGAATTATCGAGAGATGATGGTGATGAAGAACAGAAAGGAGAAGAAGTTAAAAAAAAAAAAAAAGTAAGTGGGAAAGAGAAACATGTGATGTTATGTCACCTGTCATCGCCAATGCACCCCGCAATCTCCCGATTTAGTGGGAATCCACCACTATCCACCAACGTTTGAGGATCATCACTGGGGCATACACTCTCGGAGTTTGTTCCTATTGTGTAGGTAGCAATCAATTGGCCATGTTATTTGCAATGTACACTGATGGAAGTTATACTAGCAAAATATCAATCAATCTTAGAGTCTCCTAAAAACCTGCAAAACCATTGATAACGAAAAAAACAATCAGTATCAATAAGTTCTAGAACTGATTGAAAAATCTTGATCAATACCATAGTGAAAGCCTGCAAAATTTTGCTATTGAATAATGTGGACTCTCTGGACTTCTTTACTGCTTTCCAAAGATTTTCCAAACGTCTCCTAAGATTTTTGGGACCGCAGATAGCAAGCTCTGTCTTATGAATTGCTCTGGCAGAGTGTACACATGCATAGAATTGGCCAAAATACATGGGATTTTCCTGTACATTACAGAAGTAACTTGAAGCTATATCAGAAGTACCACCATATCTTTCTTTGGTCTCTATCTGGTGGATAAGGAGGTATCAAATTTACATTACCAACATCAGGGTACACACAAATTCGATCTATCAAATTCGCCTGCTTCAAGTTACCTACGACGGGGAGGCCTATGTAATTTGTAATGTGGCGCCCCCAAGATGCTCCAGAATGAATTAGGTAGCGCCGCCATTGTATCCTCACAAAACCACCAACTTGTCCACCCTGTAATGAGGATCACGTTAATATTTATATATTTGCATTACAAATAGTTTTCAATAAATGGTATACAGTTTGACCAATAGAATCTTCTAAAGATTGCTAGCCATTGAGACGATAAACACAAAAAAGAAAAATTAAAAAAATCCAAGCTTCTCTATAATAACAGTAACTCCATAATATACATAATGTAACATTGGATAAATATCCATGAGTAAAACAGCAAACAAGTAGTATAAAAAAATAAGAAAAAAGAAAGCACATAGAAAGAAAAAGCCATAAAAGAAAAAGAAAAAAAAAATTCATAAAATAAAGCCAAGCACATCATTCAATCATTAATTGGTATTATTTATGATGCCAATTCCTACCGCTGGACCTTTGGTACCGAAACAATTAGCATCATTTCCCATTCCCATTCTATAAGTGCTATTTGGGTGTTGTGGTTCCTGTGTACTAATTGCCATCCTGAAAAATTCATTCAAGCTATTTTTCAACACAATTCTTCCAATAAAGTCATTCTGGATCAACCTTAATATTTCTCTAGCCAATTCCCTAATCCCGTGTTCTTGGTGATATAACCCCAATGCAATGGTTTCGATGCTTGTGTTGTGGTTGGTAAAGAAAAGTTCGTTATCAAACTTTGGAGGGAGAAGATAAGTATGAAGTAAAAGCATTTCAATACTACTTGATTTTGACCTATCTGGAGATGACAAGAAATTTAAAATATTAGAGTAAATCGTGAAAGTTTGTTGCACTGAAATTGAAAGGTCTTGAAGTTGAGAAAGCTGATACAGAATATCATACCCATCAACAAAGTTATACTCATTCATTCTAGTTCCCTCCATTTGTTTAGAATGATTAATCTCCTTAACATTTTCAAAGAAATATTTCAATGGATTATTTTGCCTGGCCCCAGAAAACGCTTTAAAAACCAAGTAATAAGCCCTCATTTCTGAGGTTTTTTCGGTTCTCGAATTCCAAAAATACCCAGTTTTGTTTTCAACTTGTGATTCCAGATGTAATAGAGGACCACCAGAAAATGTGCGATTGTTATTTGAAACTGTGTGCGAATTATGCTCATTTGCTTTAGCAGGAAAAATTACAAGACTAGGTCTTCTTTTCCCATTAGCATTCGCTGGAAACGAAGCATTTATTTGATGTGGTAAGGAATCAGCCGTGGTGATGCTACTATGTTTGCTGGAATAGGTGTAACTTGTCATTGATGCAATACTAGAAGGGTTTGAATGGCGTGGAGATACCGAGCCACTGATATTAGAATTAGAAGAAACAGAGGTCATGGATGATATTTTTTGATGTCTTCCATGGTTAATATTATGAGCGTTAGTCCCATCCCAAGCCAGGTTGATTCCGCTCCCTAAAATAGCTACTGATGTGTTGTTGTTGCTAGTTGAACCAAAATTATTGGCATATTGTGTGTGGGTCCGGTATGCTTCCACGTAATTGGAAATCCCTTCAAATATTCTCATTAAGGCATGCAAATGCTGACGGAACACCAAAAATACAGTATCGGTATCATGTTTGTCATTAATTAAGATATTCAATCTCTTTAGGAAAAGTGCATCTTCAGAAATGATTGCGTGAGCAGTAATAGTGTTGTTATCATCCTGATCGGTATTTAGACAGTTAAACAGAGTTGGTCGTTGACTGATAGAGATCATGCCACTGGATTGACGAGAGGTGGAGTTTCGTTGAAGGTTTTGGCGGCTTTCATGTTGCCAGCCTGCAAGGCCAAATGAGAAAGAAGAGGTCATCAGAGTCGGGGACTGTAATTCCTCTTCCTCTTCATGCTCATCAAACGGTTCTGCTTCCGAGCTTCTGAGAATATCAACCTCAGGGAACGTGTCATACAAATTCATCATCGTAGTATCGTTGCCAAAGGATTGTGATGATGATTCGGGAGCTTCGTTGGATATAATAATCTCGTTAGCTTCCATGTCATATAGCAAGTCCCATAGTCTATGATGCTGTTTGAATGTTGGGTTCGCGGTTCCTGCAAAGAACCATTCTTGCAGTTCCAATAAATCAAATTTACTCAAATCAACATAAGGATAAGTTTGCTTCGTCAACCCCAGCAATATACCTCCGCCACCCAGAACAAGGGCTACAGTGGCAAAGATTGATTCGCAGATTTCATGGGCGGGAAGACGGTGGCCCAAATAGAATATTCTGGAATGGCTGAGAAAAGCATTAATAAGAATGATGATTGGAGGAGTTGAGGGCCCATAAATCAAAAGTTTCCCATGATTGCTATTGAACTGATCTGGAAGAATCACTTTGGCACTGAGAAATCTATTTAAGAAATCATTGACTGAAAAGTCACCTATTACATCAGGAATATCTAGAACTGGCATTCGAAGGGGGATTTTGAAACCATTAAACTCCGCTTGTATTTCCAAAACGCCAGGAGGCTTGACAACCGACGATTCAAGAAACCATGGCTTCCTGTTCATAAGAAAGTCTTCTCGTAGTTTTTGGTCTACCTGGTTATAAGTATGATCGTAAAGACGTGAAAGAAATTGCCTGTTTGAGCAGTAATCCCTCATTGGAAAATCAAGAATCAGAGAAAGGAGAAGCTTCGTGGTTAATGGTAATCTTGGAACATGGTTTGGTATTTGAAGTCCATTTAGCGAGTCATACAAGCTTTGAAGAACTCTTGACACTTGGGCCTGATGATCAACCGCAGAGGCAGCGATTTTGAAAAGTTGATCAAGAGCAAATAGAAGTAATGGTTTGAATATATGAAAAGACTCAGATGGGGTGGCTAGCGCTAAGGCCTTTATAATAGTATTACGATGTACTGTCTCATCAAAACGCACGTTGACCACATTGAGTAAATACAACGGCGAGTGGTTGGTACAAGAATCATCGCTTCCGTATTGATATTCGCCATCCTTATTTTTATGAAGAATTACCACCGTCCAATCTTCCAGACGATTATGTATTTGATCCGGTAATAATAATTCGGCAAAAAAGGGTAAATTTCCGTTTATTGGCGATGGGTATTGCTTTCGTATTATAGGACCTAAATTTATATCGAATTCTGAGGCGATAAGATGGTGTACTATTGGCTCATTATGCTGGTGACGGTTAATGGGCTGTCTATACATGATGAGTTTGGTTGGGGATGGTCGTTTTATATTATTATTTATTGGAGATACTAAGGCTGATCGTTGGTAAATTGAATTAGCACTAACTTCTGTGAGAAATTTTTATCCCTAGTTATTTTGTAATCCTATAATGTATTTATTTCTTTTTGACGTTTTCTTTGGCCTCGTGGCATGTAATGCAATATTTATTTGAAGGGAGATATTTTTTTGAAGAGGTTTAACAGCGCAAAATATTGATGGAAACATATATCAGGATACACTTGAGGGTATATGAGTCGAGATGAAAAAGCAAGGGATATTTCCGAAGGATATAAAAAAACAAGTGACAGAATGTCATGAATATATTGTTATTCCTGGTCGTTTTTTTTTTTTTTTTTACTATTTCGGGGCCCTGGTAAAAAAGAAAAAAAAAAATTCTATTAATCGGGAAAGAAGTCGAGCTTGCAGATGGACGCGTCGAGTTTAAGGGTAATTAAGATTAAGATTGGCTTTTAAATTTTGATTGTTAATTGGGAGAACAACAATTATGGAGTTTGACAGACACCAAAAATACAAATGATTTGAAAAGACGGCACAAATGGGATAATAAGAGAATCAACCAACTGACTGTGCAAAAAGTGGAATCATGGTAATGTTAACACGGTATCATTAGTGGCGACCGAAGGATTGTGTCTGAGAAAACAAACCTTTTTCATTCGTCTGCCACAAGGTGTCTCAGATCGTATGCATTAGTCAAGTAATTCCTGTGTGTGGGGCCATAAGAAGCAGGAAAATGAAAAGGGAAATAATTGGTGTGTGCTCTTCACATTGTTCACGTGTCCTGACAGATCATAATGTCGCATTATATGTATATATATATATATATGTATAACTATACATCTATATGCGAACCCATATGAGTCAAACATCCAATGATTTATGCTGTTTCATGGCAGATGCCTTTATTATTATTATTATTATATGGAGGGTGATTGTAATTATTAAGGCTATTGTATGCTGCCCAAGCTTATATAGACCGTGCAATAAAGCGCGTCTCTTAATTTCCATCATACCATTCTAAAGAGAATGTTAAACTTAAGTGATTTACCACAAATTGATCAGCTAGTATGTAATATATTACCTAATACACACCCTTACACCGATGGTCGGATGAAAACACCCGTACATCATAAATTATTGGGCTTGTTGGGGTTCTGCACCCCTTTCTCCGATACATCCTCCGGCCCCCGGGATATCCAATCATAGTGGTTTTGAATAAGCACAAATGAGAGGTGCTTTTTTTTTTCCTGTGTAAATATTTTGGTCTGTCAAAAAATATATAACCTGTGATTTCATTTTCCCCCGGTATCGTAACAACAGGTTATCTTCCATCTGACACAATCCACCAAATATGTCTTTTATGTCCAGACCTACCCTTGGGCTTGCTCGTTTTGCTGCCCGTCCAGCTTCCCTTATTCAAGCTCGTTCCTTAACCATCCCTTTTGTCAAGACCATTCCTCAACCTCCAGGTTACATTGTCGGCAATGTCAATGATGCCTATGTTTCCCCAGCATCTTCTAAACTCCATGGTTCTCGTCACTGGACTTTTGAACGTTTCATTGGTGTTGGTCTTGTCCCACTCACCGTTTCCCCATTTGTTTTTGGTTCCATCAGTCCAGTGACCGACTCAATACTATCAGTCTTGTTGTTGCTCCATTCTTATACCGGTTTCCAATCATGTATCATCGATTATATCCCAGCTAGAGTCTACGGTAAATTGCACGACTACGCCATGTGGTTGTTGAGTTTCGGTAGCGGTGTCAGTTTATACGGTATCTACCTTATGGAAAGCAACGATATTGGTTTGACCAGCATTTTCATGAAGTTGTGGTATTAATTATTAGGAGTTCGATTAAGAAGCTAGTTAACGGCTTCTTTGTTTGTCTGTGGTGAGTAGAAGAAATTTCTGAGGAATATTGGATATAGTTATTGTTTTTTCATATCATTTACATTTATATTTTCTGTTGTATTTAAAATTCATTGTCATACTGGTTATAATATACTGAATTCACGTGGTGAAAAATATTGTAGGTGAAGGAGGGCCTGAAACTTTCTGATTGGACCTCAAAATCTATTGGTCTTTTTTTCAATCACCCATATCTCACTCCATAGAATATCATTATCATTATCATCATCAATAATCTTCCATCTTCTCATATAAGTCGATGAGTTTCTGTTGTCGTAGTTTCACAGCAAAACTTGTATCGTCACTTCCTTTTTCAATAATCTCTTTGATCTTGGGTGCCAATATGCCCAAATTGACTCTCAATTTTGCAACTTCATCAAATATTTCACTTTTTGAGGTTATTAAGTTTGCTTGAATACCAGCAATTGCTGTCCTTCTTCTGGTATCACCATTATTATTATCATTATCATCATTTCTGTAATTACCTGTTGAACAGATTTTGCCTCCTCCCAATAGCCCGTCTTGCACCTTTCTATTCAAATCACGATAGTATTCCAATTTTTGTAATTTTTGCAACATCTGTAACCTTTGTAAATTCAATTGGGCTCTAAGTAAAACATACTTTTTCAATACTTTTTTCACTTCGACTTCTTCTACCACTTGTAATTCATCATCATTGTCATCCTCATCATTGACGGCCTCCGTGGTGCTCGGTAGCTGATCAAACTCCAAATATTTCACATCAGGTATTCTGGCCACAATGTCTAAAGTAGATTTGAGGCTAGTGGAGGTAAGCTGGTTTTGATGAGCAGAATGTATTAATGGGACGAGAAAATCATGAGAAGATTTAATTCGTGTGAGGCTGGAAAGCTTTATCGACTTTTCGTTGGATATAATTTGAAGAGCCAAAGAATCAAGAGCCTGATGGGTAAAAATTCTGCGATAATGAGAGCTTAGTAAGGCATTTACTAGAAGGAAAAAAGAACATATTTAGTATAATGATCGAGCAATAGGGAAAAGAACAGGAAAACAAATTTGGTGACTTTATGCCATCCGTATGATATAGTCTTCATACTTACCTTTCAATACTGCCCGTTTTACTCTTTTAGTTGCTTCTTCTCTTTGCAGCCGTCTATATCCACTTACTACTTCTGATAGTATGTCTTCATCTAACGTGAAGGGCTGTTGTAGGAGTCGTATCTGAAGAGAAAGAAATTTTAAAACATATGCATATGAGTCTGTTTGACGAGTTAGGGCCTCTGATTTACTCATCTTTTATTTTCGAGATAGATGAGAAATATTAACCCATAAGTTAGATCAAAAGTTCAAGCATGTTGTTTCTAAACATCAAAACAAAAAACACTATAAATCAGGCTTACCCGACATTTGAGAATAAACAAAAACAAAAATTAAGGACGCGACCTGATTGAAAAGAGTTGGACAAAGTCCCATTTTAGCGCAATGTCTGTAAAATTCTTATAATTAAATGTATTAAATTTGTAATGATAATTAGTGGTACACGGTGCGTAGCTTGAATCTGAATTGCTTTCAGTGTTTTGTAAAAATTTGTGTCTCGTCCATTATTCCAACATGCAGAATTCTTGAACGCGTCCGCAATAAGGTGAATAAAAGAGCCTGCCATTATGCTTGGTATATTATTTATAGATATATTTATACATATATTGGTTGTTGTTTTTTTTTATTTCCTATTGTTCAATAGAGCATATAAAGCCGGAAACTCATCTCTCACTAATAGAAATTTATTACGAGTGAATCTTGGGCAGAAAACCCTATGGAGTAAACAAAAAAAGAAAAGAAAAAACCTAAGGATGGCCTAAGGATTTTATTAAGGACAATTTTCTATTTCTCAATAAAGATAAAATAAGTTACTTTTATTTATTACACTAATAATATTTCAACTGCCGTTTGTTCCTTTTGTTTTTTGTCTGTAGAATAGCAAGTTTGTTATGCCGGAAAAATTCAGCAACTTACGACAAAACAGCTTGAGCAACTTCATGAAGATATTTGCCAGAATCTTCTCAGTAAATCAAAATTTTATTCAACATAATTGATCTAGTGGAGATACAACTTTGTTTATATTATCATCTGATTTTTCAAGATTATCCCCTCCCCATCTGTTCTGTTTGATTGCTCAGGTAGAGAAAAGGCTTGGGATCCACAAAAGGTCTCATTACTGTTTTATTATTAAATCTTTTATGTACACAATCCCCAGGTATTGAAAAGAAAGAAAGAAAGAAAGAACGAATAAATGAAAACAGGAACAAAAAGAATGACGAATTTAATAAAATGGCGAATTCGATGTTATTGTTTTTTCTGACATAGTTCCTAATAGTTGTCCGGATGGTTCTCGAAATTCCACTCATGGATTTACTTCTCAAAAATCTCTTACTTGTTCAAGACTTTTCAAAATAAAAGTAGGAGTCATGTTGTGATACAGATAAAAGAAAATAAAAGACTGAAAAGGGGCTATTATTGCTTTGAAGTATATGTGATACCTTTTTTTATTTTTCACTACTATCTTATTCTTGCACACTCTCACAGGTTGAGAACAGCACCAGCGTCACTTAGGCCATCTATATACAGAACTAAACGTATCATTCTTTAAATGGCTTCGATATTGTGGCAATCTCCAAACACTTGTTCTGGATCAACACCGACTGAGCCAGTGGTCGTTTTCCTCATCAGTGATCATTGCCGGTTTTGCTGTTAGTGCCCGCCGGCAATTGGCGGATGCCTGGAATAGCTGTCGGCAATAGACAGGATCATGAAATGAGTGCCGTTTGGAAAATATTGAGACAATTTTTTTCCCCCTGGTTGTAGTTTGTAGTGGAGCAGAAGAGTTTTTATTTCTTATGATCAGAGTACTCTGTTAGCTAGGATAGGTTAGCATTAGACAGTTTAGTTTGAGTGGCTTCCTCAAGCGACCACAACAATGCAGCTTTCTCTAAGCGGTTGTGTCAAAACCTTGGAAGGATTTTTTTTTTTTTCTTCAACATGCAGCCAACCGAGAGTTGCCAGATCGGCCTTATGGTTTTTCCGAGCCATTATAAATACCCCCATGGTCCAAGATTTATATTTACCAAATGAATCGTTTTCTTGAATTCCTTTTTTATTCAACCAGTCGAGTTTTCTTTCTCTTTACGATTACAGTCTACGAATAAACTCGATAAAACAATGGTCCCAATTCCAAACCCTTCTTACCCAAGTGAAACCGACCTTGCCGCCATGGTCGAAGGTACCACTACCGCCGCCCAAATTCCATTTGGTGAATACGTGTTCCGTCGTCTTAGACAACTTTCTGTCAAGTCTATCTTTGGTGTCCCAGGTGATTTCAACATGAACCTTTTGGACCACATTGGTTCTGTCGAAAACCTTAAGTGGGTTGGTTGTTGTAATGAATTGAACGCCGGGTATGCTGCTGATGGTTATGCTCGTTTTTCAAGAACCCTTGGTGTCTCAGTTGTCACTTATGGTGTCGGTGAATTATCCATCATGAACGCTATTGGTGGTAGTTATGCCGAATGGGTCCCACAGTTGGTTATCGTCGGTACCTCTCCAATGTCCAAGAAATCCGCCCCAGGTCAAGTCCATCACTTGGTTCCAACCAGAGACCCATACGCTGTTGCTCCAGATCACCATGTTTATGAAAAAATGGTTGATGGTATCTGTATTGCCAAGGAATCCGTCGAAGACGTGAATGCTGGTGTCCAACAAGTTGATGCTTTGATTGAAGCTATCCTTGCTAACGTTAGACCTGGTTACTTGTTCTTGCCAATTGATTTGCAAGATGCTTTGGTTGACTCTTCAAGATTGAACATCCCATTGAAGACCACCGCTGTTGACTCTGACCCAGCCGCTTCTAAGCAAGTTGCCGAAAACATTTTAGAAAAATTGTACAACTCTAAAAACCCAGCCATTATTGGCGATATCTTGACCGATAGATTCCACGTCAGCCACTGGGTTAGAGATTTTGTCAACCGTACCAAGATCAACAACTACTCTACTCCAATGGGTAAGACCGTTTTGGATGAAACTAACGAATCATATATCGCTGAGTACAATGGTAAATTGTCTAATCCTGGTGTCAAGGAAACAATTGAAGCTTCTGATTGTGTTCTTCACTTTGGTTCTTATCTTGCCGAAACTAACACCGGTATTTACTCCAGTGATTTCGACGAAGATGCTCTTGTCTTGTTGACTCCATATTATGTCCAGATTGGCAAGAAGCTCGTCAAGGGAGTGAACTTCAGCCATGTTATTAAGCACATGTTGGAACTTATTGATATCTCTAAGGTTCCAACCCCAGTTCGCCCAGTTGGAATTAACACTATTGTTAACACCCCATCCCCAGCTGACATTTCTCAAACATTCTTAGCTGCCCAAGTCGAAAAATACCTTCAACCAAACGATGTTGTCATTGCCGAAACTTGTTCTTTCCAATTTGCCTTCAGTGACATTCGTCTTCCAAAGAATGCTTTGTATTTTGCCCAAGCTTTCTACTTGTCCATTGGTTATGCTCTTCCAGCTACCCTCGGTATTGGTGTTGCTATGAAAGATTCTGGTTACGAAGGCCGTATGATCTTGTTCCAAGGTGATGGTTCAGCACAAATGACTATCCAAGAATTCGCCACTTACTTGCGTCAAGATATCAAGCCAACCATTTTCTTGTTGAACAACAATGGTTACACTGTCGAAAGAATCATTCATGGTCCAAACCAATTGTATAATGATATCCAACCAGACTGGGACTGGCGTGGAATTTTCAAGACCTTCGGTGATAAAGAAGGTAAGAGACATTTTACCAAGAAGATTGCTACCAAAGAAGAATTGGTTAGCACTTTGGCCGATGAAAAACTTGCTAAGCAAACTCAAATCCAATTGTACGAAGTTATTTTGGATAAGATGGATGTTCCATGGAGATTTTCTGCCATGCAAACTTTGTAATGATGCTTGCAGGTTATTATATTATAGATTTTTTTTTTTTGGATTCATTTTAAATTGATTTTTCATTTCTTTCCTGTTTCTTTTAGTGCTTGTCTTTGCTTTTGCTCTTACTGAGTATTTAAAATATAATTTTTAAAATATAATCTGACATTGTAAACTATGTACATAAATAACTAATAATGAAAGATTGAGACACCCTACAGTTGGACTTCAATATCGAGAATCTTAGGTAACAACAATAATCCAAAACACAACAACAATAACACACAAATACACAAAAACGCACTCAACGTGTCAATTTATCACCAGATTTTCTCGTCACATAACTGTTCCCCGCACCTTCATATTCACTCTTCCGTGTCACACCACTTGGAGCAGTAGGAAACCCTGGTCTGATAGCATCTTTTTCATCATCTTGTTCTTTCTTGAAATGCTTATTCTTTTTGCTATTAACATATGTTTTCACCAAGAGCAAAGTAGCGACCCCGGCAACCATGAGCTTGAGAATCGTAACAATTGTATTTGGTAATGCAGAAAATCCAAGGTTAGTGCCATCAACATCAATTGGTCCTCCTTTGCTCTTTGGAGCAGGACGAGCATTTAATTTGGCAATGATCTCCGGGTCCCATCCTTCGAAATCACCTTTTGGTTGTGGTTTTGTTGATTTGGTTTCGTTGAGCACAAATCTCGTCGTGGCAAGGTACCGACGAGCAAGGACCGGCTGAAGGCGCAAAGTGCCTAGTGTGAGGGAGTTACGTAAAAATATTCTGTTCATTGCATGGGTTTTCCTATAGTATTGAGCTATATAAATATGGGCTCATCTTGTGATATTTTTTTTTTTCCCACATCAATCATCTTTATTGTTGTGCGATGTTGCGAGTGTGCATGAATTGCTAAAAGAACTACCATACATTTCAACACTAAGTGTGTATAAATGATGTTGATTTGACATCCTTTTGTGGGGTGATACCCCAATGGAGGACAGAATGAGTAACTCATATCCAAATATCATACTAAACCATGAGATACCCAGTTATCTACCGTATTTCATAGTGGACACCATCCCAACGGTTGTAGAGGATTGTTTTTCCCCACAAAAAAAGAAAAAAATATACAAAAAAACGGAAATCGTCAATCTCCGCTAATTACTCATCCTATTGAGAGCGTAACATATTGCAACTATTCTAATGTCAGACTCTCAGAAAGCTGGTAGAATCATCCATGCTGTTGCCGGGGGCTTAGGAGGAGCAGCAGCGTTGATTGTAACGTACCCTCTTGTTGCTGTCTCATGTCATCAACAAACTAACAAGAAAAGACTCGAGCAAGATGTTGAAGAATTGAAGAAGGAAGCGGCCGCGGAAACCGAGGGGAAAGAATTGGAGAAACAACCACCAAAGAAGAAAGTGGTTCCTGCTTTGGAATTGATCAAGACCATTTATCAAACCGACGGGATTGCTGGTTTTTATGCTGGTTTAGAATCAGCCATTTACGGCATGGCCCTCACGAACTTTGTTTATTACTACTTTTACGAGTCCACAGGCAGAGTTGTTATTAAGAACCGTAACATCAAGAAAATATCTCAGTTTTCGGTCTCCAATCTCAAGAATGTGGTCTTGGCAGGTCTAGGACCCTTCGAGAGCATAATCACTGGGCTCATTGCCGGGTCTATCACTGCGGTAGCTACTAATCCGTTCTGGGTGGTCAACACCAGAAGTACGGTCAGTAAAACTGATAAGAGCTTGCTCAGCATTTTCCGTGATGTTTATCAAAAGGAAGGCATCAAGACTTTCTTCAATGGGGTGCTACCGGCACTTGTGCTTGTGATCAATCCAATTATCCAATACACTATTTTTGAACAATTCAAGAATGCCATTGTGGGCAAAAACCAAAAGAGAAGCTTCAAGCCAATTTACGCGTTTTTCATTGGTGCATTGGCTAAACTTATTGCTACTGGTACAACCTACCCATACATCACTGTGAAATCAAGAATGCATTTGAAGAACAATGAAAAGAAGGCAAAATCTTCTGACATTGATGATGAAGAACAAAATGCTTCGATGTCAAAGTTGTTGATGAATATTGTGAGAAAGGAAGGATTTGCTGGCTTATACAACGGAATCTTTGTCAAGTTGTCGCAAAGTATTTTCACAGCAGCTTTTCTATTTTTCTTCAAAGAGGAACTAGTTAATGTTTCAGTTAAGTTATTCGGATTAATTAAGCGGTTGCAAGCTAAGAAAATGATCAAAAAATAAATAAAACAAAAAAAAAATGTGTATAGATATTTTTTTTGCTCCACCATACTTCTGAAGGGGCTTTGTAAATTTAAATAAATAAGAAGAATCCTCAAAATTATGGCAAATGGGCCCTGTTTGACTATGATAACTATATTTACATCCTCGTATTATCACTGGTATTGTGTTATTATGGAGTCCGGCACTTTGTCCCGCACTGGTGGAGTACTCCGCGGCCTGGAAAACGGAAAAAAAAAAAAGCTTTTGGCTTCCTTGAAATTGCACCAAATAATATTAACCTTTACAAGTACTAAGCTTTACCTATTAGAGTTTTTTGGAGATTCCGCTCATTTCTTTTGCTGTTTTTGCGTATTTAGTACAATAATTAATGGGGAATATAATGTCTACTAGTTTTGCTCCTGAATGTACCGAAGCAAAGAAAAAGTATGATGACTGTTTCAACAGTTGGTATACTGATAGTATGTGCTAAACATTTGAATACATGATCTAGGCTTTTTGTATTATCTGCCTAGTTTCTGATTGCTTGTGATTAGAAGTTTTATATACTAATGATTTACTTTTTATAGAATTCCTTGCTGGGAAAAGTGTGCGTATAATACCATTTATGGATCCGTGAAGGGCGACAGTTCCGAGGAGAGGATCACCAGAATGTCATTCAGCATTACAAAGTTTTCAGTTGGTATTGGAAACATCAAGAGAACTGCTACTAACAATTTAGATGCAAAATGAATGTACTGAACTTTGGTACGATTACAAAGCTTGCGTGGATGTATGTATTTTATCTAGATCATGACAGTGTCAGAATATCTCTATCTTTACAAAAAGCTAACAAAACTCTTTTTTAATCCTATAGGCAGCCTTAGTGAAACGTGGGATGGTCAAGATGGTTGATGAAGCTAGAAAAGATGCTCCTTTTGAAACTGGTGGAATACCTCAGGATAATTCGGATGCTACTAATGAGAAATAATCACTCTTGGATTGGTATTTTTTGAAAATTTTTTTAGGATTGTCCAAGGCTACGTGTAAATATAAACTATCTGGGAAATGTCAAACGTATATCATTATTATGAATGTAAACTGCAGATTAACAGATTGGAAAAAACAAAAAAACAAACAAGCAATGCAAGATGAATATTTATATGTAAGATATGAAGGAAAGATGTATTGATTCTAAGATTGTAAGCCCTTTTGTTTTGTACTGTCGTTGATAACTTTCAAGACCTCTTGGTAAGCGAGTAACATTATACTACTCTGGACAAATAACCAAACAAATCTAGGCTGAACCCCACTGAAAAGGGTAGCAAACCCTTCGTTTTTATAAATGGTGCTAATACCTTTAATCACTGACGAGCTCTTTAAAATGGTCCGTGATTTTTTGACATCATCTGGATTTTGGGTTTGGATTCTTGTTTTGCATACATCTAGTGGAGTGGTCAAAATACCAGTGATTCCCCCCGCGGCACCACCAACTAAAAGCTCTGATACTAGTCCTAATTCTTTTCCATTCCCAATTCCATACTGTCTTTCGAATGAAAAGGCCAATTTTCTAAATTTCTCATATAATGCAAACTGCATGGCACTGAATGGTAAATCTCTACTTAATGTTGCCTTGTAACCAGAGTAGAAATTTCTCCAGCCTCCAGCCTCTTTACTTAAGCTAGAGATGGCATCTCCCAAACCTTTATAATTATATCCGCTTTGGAAATAAGGATTATTGTATCTACCTTGTGTCTGCAATCTAGTCTTCAAGACTTCAGAAGGCACAAACGTAATGCTAGTGACCAAGTCACCCATAACACCTGCAAACAAATGGGTGACGGTTTCATTGACCCCCCATTCATTAATGAGCTTCTTCTTGAGGTATTCATAAGTACCAAAGAAAGTTACCCCACGAGGAATCGATCCCAACATCGCTGCACCGTACCCAGAGTATAGACCCCTAGAAAAGCCTTCTTCTCTCCAAATAGTGGCGTAACCCTTAATTGTGTTTTGATACTTGAGGGCATCTGGAGCAGCTTGCTGTCTGGTTTTGATGGTATCAAGCGAATGCATCACCGAATCACTGAACCCACTCCCAACGATACCAGCAGCAATATAATGCCATAGAGGTTGAGGAGAAGCTTCTTTTGACGAGGATACTTGTGCTTTGTGAAGCCCAGGCGCATCGGTCGTGATCCCAAATGGATCAGCAGGAGAGTAGCCCAATGACTCTAGACCAGAATTTTTCAGAGGCGGCTGTGATGTTGGCAGTCTCATATTTGGTATTGTGTGATGATATAGAATATAATATGAATTTCTTGGAAGACGGCAATAGTAAAATGAATTATAATCTTCAAATTCTTGAAAATTTTTTCTTCGTGTTTGAATGCAATGTAACAATAAATGACTCAGGCCTTTCAATATTGACGGATAAGCTTTTGGGAAAAAAAATAAAATAAACAAGTACACCGAGAATTCAACCTAGGACCGAGATATAAAGTGATATATATCTAATATTTATGTTATTTATGGACAGAAAATGTTATAGATCTCAATAATCCAGAATTCGGTATTAATGGCTGGATCAAAGCCAAGGATGATAAACAAAATGCACAACGAATAGTGATCTCTATAAAAAAAAAAAAAAAGTGCCCCCAGTCAATGTTGAAACACCCTAATTATTAATTAGTGATTAATATTAGTAGACCCACTAAGTGTACATACTTACACAAATGTCCTTTCCTTAGCGAAGAAGAATGCTTTACGAAGCGCATATTAGAGTCAAGATATTACAATGTGTTGATTATATTTCAGTCACCTTCAACGTTCATCTTATCTAAAACTTTACAAAGTAAACCCAAAATAATAGTACAACAATTATTCGATCATAGTATTGTTATGAAGATATGGAGAGAAAAAAGCATGAATTTCATATACAGACAGACGAGCGAACAAATTTATCTAAGTGGCATGAAAGCAGACTTACCACCCATACCTGGTCTACCGTGTCTGACAGGAGTGTAAGAAAGGGAGAATTCACCCAAGTAGTGACCGACCATTTCTGGCTTGATTTCAACTTGGTTGAAAACCTTACCGGAGTAAACACCAATGACGGAACCGATCATTTCTGGAACGATAACCATGTTTCTCAAGTGAGTCTTGACAGCAGCTGGCTTTTCACCTTCAACGGCAGCCAATTTAGCAGCTCTCAACTTCTTGATCAAACCCATGGCCTTGGAGTCCATACCTCTTTGGAATCTTCTTCTGACTCTGGCGTGGGTCAACTTGGCAAAGTCTTCAGTTGGCAATTCCAACAATTGTGGGAGGTCAACACCTCTGTAGGAGAAAGATTTGAAAGATCTCTTTTTACCTATATTAAATGTTAGTATGAAATATACCACGAATAATAATAATATATCAACCATATCAGTTAAAATGGAGTCTTTAATATTAATGAAAAAAAGTTCAGCCAAACATTTAATTCTTATTTAGTTCTTGGTTTCGAAATGGTTTCAAATATTGAATGCAATTCTTTAGTTATATTCTTCTTTGTCCTCCTTTAGAAGTCAATTTCAACTGAATTCTTCACAGCATACTCTGTTCTCAAAGAAGACTTATACCTGATTAATACACCCATCTTCAAACCCAGAGACAAAATCTATGCCACAATCGAGCATAATGACATATAATTTAAATCAATCAATATTTAGTCTAACAATATTTCCTTTTCAAAATAAATATATCTAACCTAACAGGCAATCTCCCATTTCCATTGTACTTGGTGTTCTCTATCATATAAAAATCACTCCACTCAGATTCAATAAACTCCAATATTACTGATACACTATGGCTAAAATTCCTCTATTCACATACCAGTAGCAGTAGACATTGTTAGTGTTCTTTGGTTATATTTCTGTTCTGTTCTTTGAGCTACTACTCCAGGCCTTCATCAAAAAATTGAAGTGAAAAAATCAGAAACCACCAAGAATCGTCAACCACAGGCTCACAACCACAGGCTCTCTTTCGTGACTGCTAGTAGGGCGCGATAGTGCACGTGGTCACAGGGCTAAGTGATTTGGGCGTTATGCGATTTTTTTTTTCTCTTTGCCAATCTCAGATTTCCGTGCATTCTAAGAAATTTTCATCTTGAACTACTTTTCAGAATTTTGCAACCCCAAAAAGGATAGTCTGCGTTATAGCTTAAAAGTGATTATTCTACATAAAACAAAATGAGATACTTAGCTGCCTACTTGTTGTTGATTCAAGGCGAAAACGCCGCCCCAACCCTCAAGGACCTCCAAGAAGTCATTGAATCCGTTGGTGTTGAATTCGAAGCCTCTAGAGCTGAAGCTTTGTTGAAATCTTTGGAAGGTAAGACCATCCAAGAATTGATTGCTGAAGGTTCTGCCAAGTTCGGTTCTATGCCATCTGGTGGTGCTGCTGCCTCCTCTGGTGGTGCTGCCGCTGCCGGTGGTGCTTCTGAAGAAGCCGCTGAAGAAGAAGCTGCTGAAGAAGAAGAAGAATCCGATGATGACATGGGTTTCGGTTTGTTTGACTAAACAGTTTGAAATACTTATTACCAACTTATATAATATTTCTAATAAAATTTTGTTAAACTAAATTGAAAAAAATCCTTCAGGGTCATGATCAAATGGGTAATAATGCTGTGTTATCACTAAATCATTCTTGCTTGCGGGGAATCATTATACGATTTATTATGATCTAATTGTCTGAACTGTCGATCTCGTAAGTAAAGCTTAGTGTATCAAATATTTTCAACTCTGTAAAATTGTACTGCGATGGCAACTCATACTGTGTTACAACATTAAAATCCATAAAATAAGAATGCCCAACGAAGAAAATCTCTTAGATATATACAAAGAGAAAAATATAATACAAATATCAAAACGAATGAAGACCTAAAAGACAAAGAAAACGATAAAGGTCTGTTCAACCATAATACCCCGAGCATCTTGTTTCTTTGTGTATATTCAAACACTGAACACCACAGAATCTAACAGCACAGCGAACACATCTGTTAGGAGCATTACTGCCACAAATGGAGCACAATTTTTTACCAGGTAAAGAAGAGTTATTGTCTACTTTACTAAATAGGTCATCTCCTTTTAATATTTTGGCGTGATCAATGTCTTCATCAAAGTAGTTGTTAATGGTTTTTCTGGAAATTAAGATCTTTCTCGTTTGTGGAGTCTGACCCTGCTTAAATCTCCTTGAGTTAGCTCCTTTATTAACATTATTTGAGTAATTGATCAAATCGAAAATAGGATAATCATCACTGACAAAACCCTTGAAATTTACGTGAAGACCCGATCTGGGTAATTCAATCTTGACTTGATGTTCGTTATAATTCTCACGGTCTATTTCCTGGTGGCGTTTCGCAGATTTCCTGAGTTCTATTAAGTTTTCATTTAGTGAACTGTCATGAGCATTTGCTTCCAATTGATTGAAGTTGTAAGAACCAGCCGCCAATCTTTTTCTGGTTTGGTCAGTGTTAGAACTACTATACATGGACTTTGACGCCTTCAAGTTGATTGACGATGAGAAATACACGTTCGGATCCGAACCTTTAGGTATTTCTTCAACTAGCCCCATATTTTCAAATAGTTATTTCAAGTAAATGCTGCAATAATAGACAACAATCTTTTATTATGATACCAGTAATCGCGACAATTAACAAAATTATAAATCAATTTCTCCTTTCGCGTGAGCTTCGAATGTCCCGCACAGATGGTATACTGGGTATTTTTTCTCTCTTTTTCTCTCTTAAGCGACTGGTAATTTTCAGTTATATCATCAATTTCTTTTCTCTGTTGGCTTGTACAGATCCATAGCAAAGGATAAATAAATGGAAACATGAAAATCTCCTCCAGGATACCTGCATTCAGAGAGGTTTTCAATAGAAGCGGGGTATTCCATAATCCAAGAGCATTATTCCAGGCTCGCCAGTATTCTGCGGAGGTTACGCCCCCAATTCAAATTGCAGTGGTTGGATCCGGCCCATCTGCATTTTACACGGTTTTGCACATCCTACAAAAACAAAATCCAAAACAAAAGGTTTGTATTGATATCTTCGAGAAATGGCCGGTCCCATTTGGTCTCTCAAGATACGGGGTTGCCCCAGATCATCCAGAAGTGAAGAATTGTGAAAATAAGTTTGAAGAAATCATTGAAAGGGCTTCGACTCTTCATCACACAGACAGCACCACAAGTGAAGTAAACTTTTATGGGAATGTGGAAATAGGTAAGGATGTCTCTCTCAGGACTCTCAAGGACTATTACAATATGATCTTATTCGCGTACGGATGTTCCGATGAACGGAGTTTAGCTGTTCCGGGGGCTAATCTCCCAGGCGTCATATCTTCCAGGAAATTAGTTGGTTGGTACAATGGACTTCCAGACCTGCAGAATTTGGATCCTCCATTAGATAAAGTCGAAGATGTTACCATAATTGGCAATGGTAATGTTGCGCTTGATATTGCTAGGGTTCTTTTGGCACCTCATGATGAAGTCTGGGAAAACACAGATTTAGGCAAGAAGGCATTGGAAAAATTGAAGAAAAGCACAGTGAAACGGGTTAGAATTGTGGCGAGAAGAGGGTTTTCTCAAAGCGCGTTTACCAATAAAGAATTTAGAGAATTGCTTGAACTCACAAAGCACGGAATTTATTTCCAGCCTATTGATCCGGATATTATGGCGAAACACAAATTGTTGAAGGGTAAATTAGTGAGAGCTGAGAAAAGACGATTGGACATGATGGAGAAATATTTCAAACAGCACTGCCAAAATGGAAGTTATGTGATACCTGAAGGTTCCAAGACTTGGTCATTAGAATACCTCAAGTCGCCAGCGGAAATTTACCCAAATACTTACGATAAGACAATATTATCGGCCACGAAATTTCAAATCAATAAACTAAAAGAATCTTTGAGTGTCGATGAAAGCAAGGGTGGTAAAGTAGAGATTGTTTCAACCGATGAAAGCGTTACGGTAAAAAACGAGTTGTTGATAACCAGTATTGGATACAAAGGATTACCTCTTGAAACAATGGATGGTGTAGGTATTGACTTTGATATGCAAAGAGGAGTAATTTCTAATGCCAGAAGCAGGGTAGTTGACAAGCACGGAGATGTTTTGGATGGCTTGTTTGTTACTGGATGGATCCAACATGGTCCATCAGGTGTTATTGCGAGCACCATGATGAACTCCTTTGCTACAGGCTCAGAAATTTTGAAAGATTTGAGTGAAAAGCAATTCGAGGCAAAATCTGGATTCAAAGCTCTTGAAAAACATTTTATTGAAAATAATATCAAGTACACAAAGTGGGATGATTGGAAAAAAATTGATGAAAGGGAAAGGGAATTAGGAAGCAAATCAGGTAAAGTTAGAGATAAAATTCTTAGCGTTGACGAAATGTTCGCCATATGTGATAAAAAATAATACTGGCAGCAACTATATATTTTCATGATTATAGATTTTTATGTACAAGAGACGGATGTTATGAGACAAATAAAAGTATTGTGATGATATTATACTTGTAAGCGAGTATGCTACTGATATTAACTGGGCTATATTGTGGCACGGGTGCTTTAGTGGACATTCTTGACTTCTTTTATGGCAAACATATCATACCTTCTGAAACCTGTTCGAAGTAAATGCTCAATGGTGGAGAAGTCCCTCTTGGAAATGTTTCTAAACCTGCCAAACTCACCTCTATATTATGGAATTAGTCTTGCGCGAACAACGAGTAAAATGAAAAATCACATGAAGAACTTACCTTATGAATTCTCTGAAGTTCTGTTGACTATCCTATATTCATATTAGTAAAAAGAACTTGGCTGATTAATTTTGATTCTAATTTAATTGTGAGAAGTCAACATACTTTCGGTTTTGTCAGAATGCCTCTGATGCATTTTCTATAAAAATGTATTACTGGGAAATTTGTCAGTCATGGTACCCGGTATTAAGACATAGAAATGAGACATCCATACCTTCTTTCTGCAATCCAGAAAGTCTTGCCATTATTTCTATTTTATTGGTACAATAAAGCTCATGCTAATGATTCAAGAAGCCTATACTTGCTTTGAATTTATAAATTCGATCCCCCCCCCCATCAAAAACATTCTCGGCGCACGCTTCAAACCACGTGAATAAAGATGCGAAGATGAAAATTTAGAGACTTTTTAAAAGATGAAGCGAAGTAGATGCTTGAGAACTTACACATTTAGTATACTTTCCCAACGTTAAATCATGAGTGGATTGCCTCCAGGTCTTCCTCCTGATGATGATGGTGACGGGTTTCCACCTCCACCGCCAGCTTTTGACTTAGATTTTGCGCCTCCTGTACCTGGGATGGATGTTGATGGCTTACCACCTCCATTACCGCCATCAGATATTCCCCCACCACCACCACCTGGTATGGACGATTCGTTACCCCCACCTCCAGGATTCCTTGATTCGTCTATGTCAAATAATAGAGAGGAGCTAGAAAAAAGAAAACTGAAATGGCTTCAATTGCAAAAGAAGAGATATGGTGCTGATTTTAAACAGAATAAGAAGTCTGGTTATATTCATCCAACAAAAACGGAAATGCCTGCAGAGCATCTTCGAAAAATTATCACTGATCATGGAGATATGTCTTCAAAGAAGTTCCAAGCAGATAAGAGATCCTTTTTGGGCTCTTTGAAGTACATGCCCCACGCAATTTTGAAATTGATTGAAAATATGCCTCAACCTTGGGAGCAAGTCAAGGAAGTTAAGGTTTTATATCATCATACTGGGGCTATAACTTTTGTCAATGAAATACCTAGAGTCATTGAGCCAGTATACACAGCACAATGGGCCACAATGTGGTTGATGATGAGAAGGGAAAAAAGAGATCGTAAACATTTCAAGAGAATGAAGTTTCCACCATTTGATGACGAAGAACCACCATTGAACTACAGTGAAAATATCTTAGATCTTGAGCCTTTAGACCCAATTCAATTGGATCTTGATGAAGAAGAGGACAAACACGTGTACGATTGGCTTTATGATGATAAACCATTAATTGATAATTTAAAATTTGTTAACGGGGAGTCATACAGAAAATGGAATTTGAATCTAAGACAAATGTCTGATTTATACAGATTAGCTATTCCATTGCTTCCTGAAGTAATTGATCCAAACTATTTTTACTTATTTGACAAGAAATCATTTTTCACAGCCAAAGCCTTGAATAGTGCAATTCCAGGCGGCCCAAAGTTTGAACCCTTATACAAAGATGTCGATCCAGAGTCCGAGGATTTTGATGAGTTTAACTCAATTGATAGAATTATATTCAGAGTTCCTATCAGGACAGAGTACAGGGTCGCATTCCCATTTTTATACAACTCGTTTACAAAGTCTGTCGCCATTGGTTGGTATCACGATCCTTTTGTGACATACATAAAAAATGAAGATCCTGAAGTGCCGGCATTCAACTTTGACTCATCTTATTGTCCTGTTTCCTTGCGCAAGTTTGAAGAGAGAACAGATACTTTCGAAGCTTTGAATTTTGATGAAGAAAATGGTGAAGACTTGGATGATGATTTCAGTTTACCTGCAGGTAACAAATTCAAATCATTTTTACAGGGTGAACCATTGGAAGATGAGGATACTAAGGATGGCCTTGAGCTTTTGTGGGCACCATTTCCATTCAATCGTCGATCCGGAAACATGGTTAGAGCCGAGGACGTTGCTTTAGTCAAATCATGGTACAAGGAGCACACACCAAGAGAATACCCTGTGAAAGTGAGAGTTTCATACCAAAAATTACTCAAGACCTATGTGTTGAATGAACTACATTCAAAGAATCCAAAAACAACGCGATCAGTGAAGAAGGTGAAGCTACTTAAATCTTTGAAAAACACTAAATTTTTCCAGCAGACTACAATCGATTGGGTCGAAGCTGGCTTGCAGGTTGTCAAACAAGGTCATAACATGTTGAATTTGTTAATCCATAGAAAGGGGTTGACGTATTTGCACTTAGATTATAACTTCAATTTGAAACCAACTAAAACGCTTACGACAAAAGAAAGAAAAAGATCTAGATTTGGTAATGCCTTCCATTTAATCAGAGAAATTTTGAAAATTGTTAAGCTTTTAGTTGATTCTCATGCTCAATATAGATTGGGAAATGTTGATGCCTTCCAGTTAGCCGATGGTATATATTACATTCTAAACCATTTAGGTCAATTAACAGGTATCTATAGACACAAGTACAAAGTAATGCATCAAATTAGGGCTTGCAAAGATTTGAAACATGTGGTTTATTATAAGTTCAATGTTACAATTGGGAAAGGTCCTGGATGTGGTTTCTGGCAGCCAGCTTGGAGAGTTTGGATTTTCTTTTTGAGAGGTATCATTCCGCTATTAGAAAGATGGTTAGGTAACTTATTGGCCAGACAATTTGAAGGTAGACATTCCAAGGAAGCAGCAAAAACTATCACCAAACAAAGAGTCGACTCTTATTACGATTTGGAGTTAAGAGACTCGGTAATGCATGACATTTTGGATATGATTCCTGATGGAATGAAACAAAGCAAGGCAAAGACAATCTTGCAACACTTGAGTGAGGCGTGGAGATGCTGGAAAGCAAACATTCCATGGAAGGTACCAGGGTTACCAGAACCGATTGAAAAAATTATTGAAAGATATATTAAGGCCAAGGCCGATGGTTGGATTTCAGTGGCTTATTATAACAGAGATAGAATTAGAAATGGTACCAATGTTGAGAAAACTGTTGCCAGAAAGAACTTGGGTAGATTGACCAGATTATGGCTCCGGAATGAACAACAAAGACAATCCAATTTCCAGAAGGATGGTCCTTACGTGTCGACTGATGAAGCTGTTGGTATATACTCTACTATGGTCCACTGGTTGGAGAGTAGAAACTTTCAACCTGTTTCATTTCCTCCACTCAGTTATAAACATGACACAAAGCTTTTGATCTTAGCTTTGGATAATTTGAAAGAATCTTATGGTGCACAAGGTGGTAGATTGACTTCAACTGAAAAAGAAGAGTTAACACTTATTGAACAAGCATATGATAACCCACATGAAACTTTGAGCAGAATTAAGAAGTTTATTCTCACCCAAAGGGTATTCAAAGAAGTTCAAACGGATATGATGGATTACTATGATCATATCACACCAACATATTCCGTAGATCCTTTGGAAAAAATCACTGATGCATACTTAGACCAATATCTTTGGTTTGAGGCTGATCGGAGACAATTATTTCCTAATTGGATTAAACCAAGTGATAATGAAATCCCTCCTTTGTTGGCTTATAAATGGTGTCAGGGTATCAATAATCTTGAAAATGTTTGGGAAACCAGTAATGGTGAATGCAGCGTGTTGTTGCAAAGTAGTTTAAGCAACATGGCGGAAAAGATTGATCTTACCTTACTTAACAGACTATTGCGTCTAATAATGGACTCAAACATTGCTGATTATCTAACAGCGAAGAATAATGTCACATTGAGTTATAAGGATATGAGTCATGTTAATAGTTATGGGTTGCTCAAAGGTTTACGGTTTGCTTCGTTTATATATCAATATTACGGCTTACTCAATGATCTATTATTATTAGGCTTAGATAGAGCAACTGATTTAGCTGGCCCTCCTGATTCACCAAATGATTTTTTGCAGTTTAAATCTGTGGAGGATCAAAAGAAAAGTCCACTTCGTTTTTACTTCAGATATCTTGATAAAGTTTATTTTTTCTTTAAATTTAGTGAAAAGGAATCTAGTGAACTTATCCAAGAGTATTTATCAGAAAACCCGGATCCTAACTTTGAAAATGTTATAGGGTATAATAATCGCCGTTGCTGGGCTAGGGATCAAAGAATGAAGTTGATGAGACATGATGTCAATTTGGGAAGAGCTGTTTTTTGGGAAGTGGAAGGAAGAGTTCCAAAATCTATCGCGAACATCAACTGGGAAGACACATTAGCCTCAGTATACAGTAAAGATAATCCGAACTTGTTGTGTACTATTGCAGGATTTGAAATTAGAATTTTGCCAAAAGTCAGAATGACTGATGAAACACCAGATAAAGAGGGAACATGGAATTTAATTAACCAAGAAACCAAGGAAAGAACTGCGAGGGCCTATTTGCAGGTTTCTGAAGAAGATATAAGGAAATTTAATAATAGAATCCGTCAAATTTTGATGTCTTCCGGCTCATCCACTTTTGTGAAAATTGCAAATAAATGGAACACTGCTCTCATCTCATTATTTGCATACTATAGAGAAGCTATTATTGGCACAGAAAAATTATTGGATATTTTAGTGAAGAGTGAAACTAAGATCCAAACAAGAGTGAAAATGGGTCTCAATTCCAAAATGCCAAACAGATTTCCACCTGCAGTATTTTACACGCCAAAGGAGTTGGGAGGTTTGGGAATGTTGAGTGCCTCCCATATTTTAATCCCTGCTTCTGACTTGAGATACTCAACGCAAACAGATACCGGGATAACCCATTTCCGTGCTGGTATGAATACTTTTGATAAGATAATTCCTACCATACATAGATACATTGCTTCTTGGGAAGAGGAATTCACAGACTCACAAAGAGTATGGGCCGAGTATGCCATCAAAAGAAGAGAAGCTTTACAACAGAATCGTCGATTGGCGTTTGAAGACATGGAAGAGAATTGGGATAAAGGTATTCCACGTATCAGCACTTTATTCCAAAAAGAGCGCCATACATTGGCCTACGATAAAGGTCACAGGGCTCGTAAAATTTTTAAGGAATACTCTATTGCAAGATTTAATCCATTTTGGTGGACCAACTCTTTCCATGATGGTAAACTTTGGAATTTGAATGCATACAGAACCGATGTTATTCAAGCGTTAGGTGGTATTGAAACTATTCTAGAACACACATTATTTAAAGGTACCGGATTTGATTCATGGGAAGGCTTGTTTTGGGAAAAAGCCTCCGGGTTTGAGGACTCTATGAAATTCAAAAAGTTGACCAATGCCCAAAGATCTGGTTTGAGTCAAATTCCAAATCGTCGTTTCACTTTGTGGTGGTCACCTACTATCAATCGTGCAGATGTTTATGTTGGTTTCCAGGTACAATTGGACTTGACTGGTATTTTCCTTCATGGTAAAATTCCAACATTGAAAATTTCATTAATTCAAACTTTCAGAGCACATTTGTGGCAAAAGATTCACGAATCGCTTGTGTTTGATGTTGCGCAAGTTTTTGATAAGGAAGCAAATACTCTAGGTATTGACATGGTTCAAAAGGAGGCAATTCATCCTCGTAAATCCTACAAGATGAATTCTTCATCAGCAGACATTACATTGTCAGCCGCAGGTAAATGGAAGACGAGTAGACCTTCTTTCTTATTCAACAAAAATGATGAGTTCGATGGGATTGAAAACGACAAATTCTGGATCGATATTCAATTGCGTTATGGTGACTACGACTCTCATGATATTTCACGTTATGTTCGTTCCAAATTCTTAGATTACACAACCGACGCTGCTAACTTGTATCCTTCGGAGACTGGTTTAATGATTGCTATTGATTTAGCTTATAATATGTATGATTCTTATGGTAACTGGTTCCCTGGATCTAAACCGTTGGTTCAGAATGCAATGAAGGCAATTATGAAATTGAACCCTGCTTTGTTTGTGTTGAGGGAGCGTATTAGAAAGGGTTTGCATTTGTACCAATCTCAGCCACAAGAGGCATTTTTGAATTCCAATAATTACGCTGAGTTGTTTGGCAATGAAACCCAGCTCTTTATTGATGACACTAACGTTTACCGTGTTGTCGTCCATAGAACTTTCGAAGGTAATATTGTTACCAAGCCAATTAATGGTGCGGTCTTCATTTTGAATCCAAAAACAGGTCAATTGTTTTTAAAAATTATCCATGCTTCAGTTTGGGCGGGTCAAAAACGTTTAAGTCAGTTGGCTAAATGGAAGGCGGCCGAAGAAGTTGCTGCCTTAGTGCGCTCTTTGCCAAAAGAAGAACAACCAAAGCAGTTAATTGTCACCAGAAAAGGTATGCTTGATCCTTTAGAGGTTCATATGTTTGATTTTGTTAATATTAGAATCAGACAATCGGAGTTACAATTACCATTCCTGGCGGCTATGAAGGTTGATAAGTTGGCAGATATCATTTTGAAAGCCAAGGAACCTCAGATGGTTTTATTTAACTTATACGATGATTGGTTGCAATCTATTTCTTCGTATACAGCATTTTCACGTTTAATTTTATTATTAAGAGCATTGCATATTGACCAAGAAAAAGCCAAGTTAATTTTGCGTCCTGATAATTCTGTCATTACCCAAGACCATCATATCTGGCCTTCATTTAATGATGAACAGTGGAGTCAAGTTGAAATTCAATTGCGTGATTTGATTCTTAATGAATACGGGAAGAGGAACCACGTCAACGTTGCTTCATTGACCCAAGCAGAAATCCGTGATTTAATTTTGGGGCAAGAAATCAAAGCGCCATCGGCCAAAAGACAGGAGATTTCTGAAATTGAAGGAGAGAAAAATGCGGAAAGTGAACAACAACAACTCACCTCTGTTACTACCAAAACTACCAATGTTCATGGTGAAGAAATCGTGGCAGTAACCACTAGTGTTTATGGTCAAAAGGCTTTCTCATCAAAGACAGAGTGGAGAAACAGTGCCATTTCTACCTCTAGTTTACCACTTAGGGCGAAGAATGTTTTCATTGCCAATAGCGACGAATTTGATGAAGAAAATTATACTTATATTATTCCTCAAAACATTTTAAAGAAATTTGTTGAAATTGCAGATATGAGAATTGAGATTGGTGGCTTGCTTTATGGGCAATCCCCTAGTGATAATATGCAAGTGAAGGAAATAAAATGTATTGTTTTGGTACCTCAGTTAGCTAATAACAGAAGTATTGATTTTGCTAAGACCCTTCCAAAAAGTGAATATCTCAACGGATTGGAACCTTTAGGATGGATTCACACACAATCATTGGAAACTAATGTCATTTCTCCGATTGACATAACCACCCACTCTAAATTATTAGCTAATCCAGAATTGAAATGGGATGCTTCAACTGCTATGACTATGGTTGTGTCCTTTACTCCAGGTTCTGTGTCTTTATCCGGTTACTCTTTGACTGATGAAGGCGTAGAATGGGGAAGCAAAAATAAAGATCTCACCTCAACGGTTCCTGAAGGTTACTCCCCAAAGTTCGGTGTTAGTGCACAAATGCTTTTGACCAACAAAATTATGGGATTCTTCTTGGTGCCTGAGACTAATATTTGGAATTATGCTTTCATGGGTGTTGCATGGGACAAGAATTTGGATTATGGCTTAAAGTTAGATGTCCCAATCCCCTTCTATCATGAACTACACCGTCCAACCCATTTCATCACATTCAATGAAATTGAATCTAATGAGATTGAGGCCAATCAAGAAAACGTCTTGAGTTGAATCTTTTTCTTTCTTTTCTTTTTATTTTTCTTATCTTCATTCTAATTATTAATTACTTAAGTATCAATTTTTTTTTTTATTTTTTTTTCCTTGTTTTTCTTATCTTCTTTATGTTAATTTCACCATATTTTTAGTCTAATGCCACAATAGAATTGTATATTATGATAATGTATTCAGTTTGTAGAATAATATAATAAAAATATGATGAAGTTGATTAACTAAATATACAAAATTCGCAAAATTCAAGTCAAATCTCTTTGAGAAACTCTCCTTCCAACACTTCTGGTTCAGGCTGGCCTAGTAAGCCTTCCTCTGGGAGGTTAGCTCTAGCCAATTCCGCATTATCCTGTTCATTGTCGAATAAAGTCTCGCTTGATTCCATATCGTAAGGGATGCCTATAGCTTTAGGTTTTTTATATTCTGGGCTTTGAATAATGTTATCAATTAGCACATATTGTAACGAATTCATAACCAAGGGGGTAACGAAGGTTACCATAAACACTTGCATCCTTGGAAATGGATCAAACACCGACAACAACCAATCGGCAGTATCTTCGAAAATTGGAACCGACATAAGAAGAATATAAACCAATAGCTTCATGGAGAAAAGCCCGATAAAGTATAGGATAAGCTGCTTCACGTAGCTTGACATTCTTGGGGGAATCCCGTATTGTCCTGAATTAATTCCTTCAATGCCAGCCTTTTTGGCACAATTAAAAATAACGTATAATAATCCCCAAAGAATAGGTACCCCAATAGTGGTGTCAAACAAAATGTTCAAAAAGTACCAATTACATGGGTTTGAGATGTCGTTGTCACTGTTCAAGTAGAAGTTTATGGTGGAAACCCCTGTTGATTCATGAGCCACGGATGAACTAGAGGGCAGCATACCATTTTCAGATGTGTGATGCTTGAAAGCAAATGGCGATATATCCACAGGTGGGGTAGCTTCAGGATCAGTAGAGGATGACGACCCACCTAATATACTCAAGAGCAAGTTTAAGAAATGGATTCCAATGGCACCAAAAACCTGTTTGGAGACATCGAAAAACCAAACCTTCCAAGGTCTTCTATTAGGATACTCCTTGTATCTTTTATAAATCAATGATGATAACGATAGAAGACCTAAAAGGGACTGTACTATTAATGAAAACGGACCCAATAACTTGCATTGAGCCTCTGATGATGCCAGGGACATGTTCTTCTATTTCTTTGTAATATTATTCTTTAAAGGAAGTTTGGGATTGGAAAATCCTGGGAGGGGGACTTCAACAGATGTATACAGGACAGTGTTCTGTAAAAAAAAAAAAAAATTATTCCCAAAAATTATTACCCAGTGAGCGGCAAGTAGTTTAAATGAAGGACGTGTTTGTGATTGATATATTATCCAGTTACTCTGTTTGCAAAAAAAAAAAAAAAACACGAAAAAACGAAAAGATAATTCCTTGAAAGTGATTATCTTCAAACATCTTGGTTATCAGACTTTTTAGTTTGTTGTATTTCTAAGAACGTGGGGTTAGGGGCACGTGCGATTGTTTACTTTTTGTTTATTGCGAGATGAGCTCGAAGATTTTTACTTATCTACCGTTTGCAATTAGGAGAGGTTAGCTGAATCTCAACCGAATTGTATTACTATCAACAGAATATATAATGGAAAGTGCAGGAATAATAACGAATCCCATTTTAGAACTCTCAAAGGACTATGATTTAGCTTTCAAAAACATTGAGCAGGACAATATTTCAAGACTTCTTAATTACAAATCTGAGTATTTGTCAAACATTAACACTTTGCTACGTGACTCTACTTCCAGAAATGAAGAGGAATCTGAAAAATCAGACCTGGTTGTTTCCGTTGAAAACGAGGGTCTTGAATTGTTGAAGGAGTTGGTTAATCCTCGCTATTTGGATAATATCCTTGAGCAGTATCACCTGTACTTTTCCAACGTCAAGTTCACTTATTTGGAACAAAGCACGAAAGAAAAGTTTCTCAGAAATATCGTGAATTCGAAGTTCATCACTGTCAAAGAGCTTGAAACTATGAAATTCAATACCGCAAACAGCAAGAAAAAGCTCTGGGAGAAAAAACAAAAGAGAGATGAATTATTGGTAAAAATCAATGAGGTATTGTGGTCAAATTATTCTAAATTCGAAGATATTAAAGAGTTGCAAGAAAAATCAAAGAGTTCCATAAAGCAATCCATGGAATTGTTGAAGAAAATCGACGCGTTAGAAAAAGAAAACTTGGATCATTACGAATCCAAATCTAATCATTTTGAAGATGACGAGCGGGTGATTGATTGTTTGCACTCCATTAATGACTACGATGACCTAATACAGGACTCAAAGGAAGATTCTTTAGTTTTCCAAGAGAGACAACGAAAGTCAATTGATTCTGCCTTGAAAGGTAATGTTTCTGCAGATAGTAGCATTGTTTCTAATTTTGGTGATTATTTATTGGTTAACTCTTCCAAGAATTTGGAGGCACTAATAAAGAAACGAAAATTGAACATCGAAAACCTTCAAAAGGAACAAGAGATCGTTAAAAAGAAAATCAAGGCAAGTACAAAGGAACTTGAGAGCCATCACTCGAAATTCCAGGCCCTTGCTCAAGAAAATGATAAATTGAAGCAGTCGACCAAGGAAAATCATATAAAAAATGAGCTATTAATGCAAAAAAGGAAGGATCAGGGAGATGAAATGACACTCAACTATATAAAAGGCTTTGCTAGTTGGGCAGCTGAGCTACTGGTGCTATTGAAGACGCTTGAAGACGCAAGCCTGAAAATGACTAATAATGAGAATGAAGTAGAGAATCACACTTGCCAAATCTACAACATTGCCTTAGTAAAGGAGCATGTGAAATACTTAATTAGATTTGAGAAAACCGGTAACTCATGTTACACTATTTTGCAAGTCAAACTCAGTGGTACCGAGTCTGATCCTTTGATGAATGAGGAAAACGAAAAATTGGAAGCAACGCTTACCAAGACGAAGCCTTCGTTCAAAAATATTGTTGATATGTGCGAATGGCTTTCCAGTAACTCTATCTAATTTTTTAATGAATTAATTGTATAAATGTATTAATAGTATGATCTTGCTTTTATTTGTCTTTTTTAAAGATATTTTGAGGCTACATATGCCCAAATAGTCCCAGATAGCACCGCACTTTTGAGAAAATATTCCTTAGGACTCGGGCAGAGCTATGCTCTAATTCGCTTTCTTTTTGTTCTTCTTTTTATTCGCTCTGAGGTGGAGATTTCTGTAAATTGGACCCTTTCTTTTTCATAACCACTTGAAAGCCCCTAATGGTTGCAGGGCTCCAACATGCATGCCGATGAAAGATATCCTCGAAATGCCTTGTCCCTGGGTCGGCGTATATATAGTAGCGAGCATCCCACCATTTGTCAAGCACTCTTTAGATAATATATTGTTCAAATTAATATTCTCCAGAAAATATCTACTCAATCACCAATACTTAATTATAAATAAAGAGACATGAAGGGTCTGTTGATAGTGTTGTATATAATAGCAATATTGTCAGCCACAGGCCAGGCATACCCGATATTTTCTCGAAGAGAAAACCATGGCCAGGGAAATAGCAATAATCGAAAAGCTGACCAAAATCAGTTTCCAGTGGATGAAAGCAAAAATGACGGAGCTTCTCGTTCAAAAGATTCGATTCTCAAGCTTATGAAAAGACTTCTGCTTGATGGTGTTCTATCTGCTGGGAATGTCATTAGTACTGGGTTAATGATTGCGGTTTCTGGACTTCAGTTGAAACAGATGTTAGATAGCTCACTGTCCTCCTCAACGACTGCTGTGGCTTCGTATGCTCCTACTGCTACTGCTGTCACCGTGGAACCACAAGCTGCCTCACAGACGGTAGCAGCAGTTTATGTCACACAAACAGTATATCCTACGGTGAAATATGCTACTGTTGTTGCTCCTAATCAAGGTCAGATGCAATCAAGCATCCAGACTGTTGCTACTTCTATTGTATAATCATAAGAGGATAGCACAATTCTTGTTTCTTGCAAATGACTTCATACCAAAATCTTTTTGTTGGGCTTAATGATTGACAACCATCCTTCCCTAATCTTATTTCTTCTTCATTCACTATTTAGTTTCCTTTCTTGTTTTTTTTTTTTTTTTTTTTAGAATGTCTTCATAATAGTGATTTACATACTAATTATCTTTTCCAAAAATATTATCGAAGCAGTTAAGTGATTGCTAAAGTTTACTCTTTCAAGTTCAGTTCTTCCGCTTCAATATGGGTGCTTAAAAACTCATAGCTACATTTTAATATATTATAATTATTATTATTGTTGTTGCTCTTGTTGTTGCTGTTATTATTTGCACTGTCAGTATTCTGTTACATTCCGAACGGAAATGCCCAACTTTGCCTACCAATTGTCTTATCACAGAAATTTTGGTTGTGCGGCCCTGCCACAAAACTGCAATCAGAAAAAATTCTTTTTATTCTCTACTACTCGAAAGCATGGCAGTTGAATTAGATCATCATTGAAGGTTTTCTTCTTCTTCGCTAGAAGCCTAAAATTTTTGTTGAAAGCCAATTGATTCGTGTTGAGCTCAAAATCATGGATTTCTTCTATCTGGAAGGGCAGGACCCAAGTATTGAAGAAATTCTCCACTCGACATCGCCATATTATAACAAAGATGAAGATAGTAACATTATTGCCACAGAAGTAGCAAACAGGAAACCAACCTCTCCGACTTCAGTAATTATGGATGAAAGAACTCTTCTAAATTTAGATGAATATCTTAAAAGGCAACTAATGGCAAGCCATGATCACAGTGCCAATAATTCAAGCAATGTCATGAATTTCACAAAAGGCTTCATTTTGGGCCAACTATCAGTCATTGTTGTCATTATAATCTTTATCAGGTTTTTTGTATTTTCTGAATCCGTCCCCAAAAATGCCGCTAAAGGTGGTAAGAAGAGTGCTATTCTCATAACCAATGAAACTATCATAAACGGTAATGGGTATGTTGGAGGTATGAGCAGCGGAGGAGCCAAGAAAGGTGGTGTTTCTGATAACTCGAAGCTTGTTAAGAAGGCTCCTTCAAATAGAAAAAATTCGGCTAATTTATCTAATGAGGATGATGATAACGAAATGGCTATTATAATAAATAGTATATTGGAAAAAACCTATTATGATGTTAATACTCACCAAACGGAATCTTTGGATTGGTTCAATGTTTTAGTGGCACAAATTATTACCCAATTTAGAACTGAAGCTCTTTATGAGAATAATATTATCAATTCCTTAAATGAATTCCTTTCTAATGCCGGAGAAAAGAACAAAATCCCGGATTGGCTTGATACGATTAAGATAAATGAAATTAATATTGGAGATGACTTTCCAATTTTCAGCAACTGCAGAATCATCAAGAATAAACTCGGAAAATTAGAGGCAAAGATTGATGTTGATCTTTCAGATACATTAACCTTGGCAATAGAGACAAAGATTCTTGTAAATAAACCAAAAGTCTTAACAGCGGCTCTACCGATTAAATTATCAGTTTCTCTCGTTAGATTTAGTGGCTGTTTGAATATATCATTAGACTCTGTACCAGAGGACTGCTCCAAAGATATCAATACATCAGGTAGTGAGATGCGCCCTTTGCATTTAGGAGGTGTATTGAACTTTGGCTTCAGCGCAGATTACAGATTGGAATTTAAAACTGAATCATTAATTGGTGCCAGATCAAAATTAGAAAATGTTCCAAAAATATCTTACTTAATTGAAAATCAACTCAAAAATTGGTTTGTTGATAGGTGTGTGGAACCAAGATTTCAACTGATTCCCCTCCCTAACATGTGGCCGAGAAAAAAAAATACTAGAGGGAAAATTTAAATCCAGCACTTTGTGTTCACTCCGCCAATTTTGGGAAGCCATTAATCATTATTTCCCCTTTGTCATTTAAAATGCAATTTTTATTGGTGGCTTGGATCCCCTTACTTCTCAAATACTCAATTTCTTTTGAGCTATTTCCATATTTGTCTCGAGGAAGCCAAATGAAATCTTTAGTTACATCATAGTCAAATGACGGATGTGAAAATGTTAGATTTTGATCAACGCAGCTGATTGAGCTGATTTTGATCTCCGTTTGCTTTCCACATTTGCCTATAATATTCTCTTCATTAAGATATTCAAGAGGCAAATAATGCGATGCAGAATTATAGGAATTGTTGATATATATGTGAGTGCACGTGCTAATAGAAAATATTAGAACCATGAATGCACTGTGTTTAAAACAGATTGAATCATCGTTTTCATTCCTGACAAATAGGAATAGTCCAACTAAACAGATTTCAAGACAATAGATCCCATAGTATAATTGATTCAATGCCACTGGATAGAACTTGCCGTAAGTTTCAGAGTAGTTAGTTGGACTGTGACAAAACTTCAAAGAATATTTGAATGAAATGAAAATCAAAATGAAAGAAGCTGCACTGCATATCAATATCAATGGTGCAATGACAGAGAAAATTATTGATAAGGATCCTAAAATTGAATATATTGGATATATCGATCCCCATTGTAGGGATTCTAAGTTTGAAATTTGTTTGAATTTTTCCCGGGGAGTCATTGGTCGTAACAATGGATTGAAAATGAAATTTTTGAGTAATAGATATGGTTGCAACATGTTGCTTCCTGCATATGCCAATCCTCTCAATAATATGAATGAAAGGAAAAAATTTGAAGCCTTTGGGATATTTGTAGCCAACAATGTTGGAAGAGACACTGGGTTGTTAATGAAGTTTTCAAATATTGCCGTAACACTCGAAGAAACAGTAACAATCAAGAATACGTGAATAAAAAAGAATGTGAAACACCAATTTTGTATATCTATCTCAACTTCCGCGCCTGTAAGTTTTCCTTTCAAGATCGATAGCCATCTGAAAATGATTGGAATGAGCTCTGTGATGATGATTAAACTCAAAGCCGGAAAAACGCCTGAAATAAAATTTTTTACAGTATTTGAAGACGTGTCAATCCAAGAAAATAACGGGAAAGCAAAAGTGAAGTATTCCATTTGTGAAAATGACCCTATCATCATGGTTGGTATTGTCCAAAAAATAACCAAGAAGAGCTTCAATGCATTCGAAGTGAAATATCTGAATTTTTTCAACCAGAAATTGTTGAGCTGAACATTATTCCAAATAATATCTTTGGGGTTTATTTCAATCACTTTAAAATTGCTTTTGTTAGGGTCTGAACTAAGGAGTATTTGTTTTGCTATGTAGGCACTCACTTTGTTGTTGAATTGAACAAACATCTTATGATAGCATGGGATCCTATCATTTAACAATATGTTTCTCATTTCTAAAAATGCTTCCTTATTTTCAAGGTATTTTTGAATTAGAAGATCAACCATATCAATTTCCTCACCAAAAAAAGGAATATTTATTTCGATTTCTCCCCATTTGAAAAGCAAATATGATCTTTGAAATCTTTTTTTTCTCGCACTGATTTGTTTTTGATTATCTTGTAACGCTTGTTGAATTACTAGGTCATCTCGATTCATAGATTCAAGTTCGATAACTATTGGAGTCGATATGTTGGAACTATTTGCAATTACTAGGTTAGTGAGAATATCTTGGTTTCTATAAAATTTCCAGTTATTCGTCAAAATTTCTGTCTCCAATTTCTCTAATGATCGAAGAAGGCTTTTGCTTCGCTCATGTAACACTTCCAATTCGGTGAATCGATAAATGAACCAAATATTCTTGATTTTACCTGGAAGACAGTTGAGAGATGAAAGAAGAGGATTGCTTCTTAAATTATTTTCCAAGTATATTTGTTTATAATATTCAGGAATATTATCAATCATCATTACTGACTCGGCGTCTCTGTTTTTCAAGATAAAATTATGCCTCACTTTTATGAACATTCGAAGCTCATAAAATATTAAATAATGTGTTATGATAATGGTTATTATTGCTAAAATGAAATGGAAATTGAAGTGTGTTGCCTTATTTGGTGCGATATTTGACCATGTTAATCTGTCGAGCCCATGTACCCTACTATCCCCTGTACTTCCAGTATAATTGATGGGAAGAAGTACTGGGACGTTAATAACTGCCAAAATCAATGAAATGATTACCAAAAATCTCAAAAATCTCAAGCAGAAGTAAGCATCTAAGCCTGATAACTCAATGTATTCTGAAATATCATAGCTGATTGACGGAATGACCCATCCGAAGAATTTCTCTGATAATCTTTCTACCTTGTGCTTATCTTCAACATAGAAACTTCTTGGCTGATATATTTGAGGAGCTTTTGGTCTAAGATATGAAAACAAAAAAATTTGGACTATCGTCAACACAATAGAAAATATCAAGGAGGACAAAAATGTCTTGATGGAGACTCCGGATGATCTATGTGCTAGTAAACTCGAAGGATCACCAATGTATAAGAAATGAAAGAGTGAGATGTTGTAATGCGGTATTCCCAAGTCTGTACTATTTCTGCTTTGTATCATTATTTTTCATATAAATCTACCTAATCTGGTCCTCATTGTGTTTTCTTCAGCCTGTGCAAACATATTTGGCTCTTCTAGTGTTACACAAATAGGGCCAAATGGTCCCATCCGCGGGGGTACATTATGCATGCTGGAGAAAATTGTTGGTAAAAATTATTACCACGTGCCAGGGAAATGAGCAAAAAACCGTGTTTTTTTCGCTTGTGATTCTCCATGTGAGGTGAGTACATAGGCATTTTGTGAAATCAACGTCTTATAGCTAATGGCAAGACTATCTTCCTGAAAATTTCCTTAGAGATATCATCTTAATGCAAAAACAGAGCTCTAAAAGAATTGTCGCTTCGACTCCCAGAAAGTCGCAGAGAATGGCGGCCAAAAAGTCTAAAGAAGTATTGAAAAAGCAGGAGGTTCCCAAGATTGATACAAAGGTTGTCAAGAAAGAAGCTCCTAAGATTGAGAAAACTACCGAAAAGCAAACACCTAAGGCTAAAGTGACATCTAGAAAAAGACGTCACTCGGATGTTGAGAAAGAAGCTACTAAGGCTGAAGCTGAGCTCAAGAAAAAAGAAAAAGAATGGGATGCAATGCTACCGGACCAATATAAAAAGTATCGTCCACGCGGATATCCTTTAAATTTACCAGAGGATACCAAACAGAATTTTAGAGTGTATTGTGATGGTATTTATGATTTGTTTCACATGGGGCATATGAATCAGCTTAAGCAATGTAAAGAAGTGTTTCCAAATGTTACTCTTGTTGTTGGGGTCCCATCTGATGAAGTGACTTGGAAGAACAAGGGATTGACTGTGCTTTCTGACGAGCAACGTTGTGAAAGCTTGAAGCATTGCCGATGGGTTGATGAAGTTATTCCACATGCTCCATGGTCGGTGACCCCAGAGTTCTTAGTTGAACACAAGCTTGATTTTGTTGCTCATGACGATATCCCCTACGCATCGGCTGATTCTGATGATGTTTACGCTGCAGTAAAAAGAATGGGGAAATTTATTGTTACGCAAAGAACTGAGGGTATTTCTACTTCAGACATCATTACCAAAATCATCAGAGATTATGACAAATATTTACTTCGAAACTTTGCCAGAGGTGCTTCGAGACACGACTTGAATGTGTCTTGGTTCAAGAAGAATGAGTTAGAAATCAAGAAGCATATTGACGAGTTTAGACAATACTGGAAGAAAACTAACGCAAATTTGAATAATGCGTCGAAGGATCTTTATTGTGAAGTGAGAGAGTACTTGAGATACAGTTCTAGTGCTTTGAAGAAAATCAACTCCAATCCATCATTAAACACTTTCGTTGATAGTGCCAATAATAATTTGAACTCAACCTCTTCTAGAGCCACATCACCTGCTGCTGAACCTTTATCACCAGCAACGGAATTCGCAATGAATTATTCTGGGAATAGAAGATCCATTATTGATAGTTTCAAAAAGTGGATGTTTAAACGAGACTCTTTTGATAGTGAGGATTCTGATAGATATTCTCTTGAGAACTCTAAAGAAACTTCCCCAGACTCAGAATATTCCAATGATGATGCTGAAAGACCAAAAAGAAAGAGACAAAAAGTTTAATCTTAATTATCATCTTAATGAAGTATATTGCATTTTATTATTGTTTCCCTTAAATTATTCCCTTGTGAATTATGTGTTGCTGTTTTTTTTTGTTTGTTTTCTTTATTTTCTTTTCGTTCAATTGTTGCAAATATGTCGCTATTGGGTTTGTTCATTTTTACTTTGTATTTGTTGCTACTTTGTACTTTTTGATTTTAATTTCTTTGTATCTATCTCTTCGAACCTCTCATCAAAAAATAATTCTATAATAAATATATTCAACTGAAAGTCTTACTGTTGTTACGTTATGCCAGTAAACCAATTTTTTTTACGTGGTGAAAGTGAATCTACCAAAAAAAAAAAAAAAAAAAATTGAGAGAGGAAGGAATGATATCTTAATAAGATGAAAGAGAAGTAACCCAATTATTATCAGGCCATAGATATTCAGCGCTTTCTTGATTTTCTTTTTCTTGGAGTGGATTGAATTCTTGTCAGTTTGTTCTCGATGTTATAGTCATCAGCAAAAGTGAGCTGATCATTCATTGAATCATCATACTGTTGGAAATTTCCTGATTCACTTAAAATTTTTTTTGCTTTTTCCTGTAGATCTGGGGTTATTATTCTTTCATTTGTTTCTTCTAAATACACTTTAATACTAAGAAGTGTCACTCTTCTCGCTTGAGCTTCTGATATCTCTTCGGAAGTGGGTGCCAAAGGACAGTCGATATCATCGATATCATCCTCTAAAATTGCAGGATAGCAGCTACTTGTCCAATTATTGTCATTGATTATCAGAGGGATATTATCAATCCATATAGGTACCTTCTCCTTGTGTGACATGTTTGGATCTTGTCTAGGATTAAAAGCATCTGGAAATACACGCTTCTCAGTATTTTGCTCAACACAGCTGGTGCCAACATATTCACTGTAAACTAGGCCACTATTATTTGTGAGTTTTTCTTCGTAGGCCGCCCCAGTGGACCTAAAATGAGTTCGCGTATCAGACATTGGAATTCCAAATCTCATGTAGTTATTCAACTGATTAGACTGGGTAGCTTGATATGGAGTCTTTGATCTTACTGAAGGGTTATTGATAATATAGTTCGGGCGAGCAGGAGATGTAAACGGGGAGTGTTTTTCTGGGGAAATCATCATCATATATGAGGCACCTTGATCACAAGGTGGATAGTGCTGATGAAGTGGAATGTGATATTGATGACTCGGTGAGGAATACTAACTAACGTTAGTAAATTTTTTCAATTAAACTTCACATTCGATTTTTCTTCAGGGTCTGATTATTTGAAACAGTTTGGAAGGGAATACGTGAACGAATATGGTATATTGTACTTACTATTGATTGTTCCATGTTTCAGGCGGTGAAGAGTCCCAAAGACCCTGATGAAGATTAGAGGGACGTGTAAATATTAAAAGATCGTCCCAGAGATAAGAATCTCCGTTGAATTTATCTCCCAGTAGATATAATAATGAAAAATGGGGTCTTTTTGGTTTGTGTCACAGATAGAAAAGTCACAAAGATGTTTCTGCATGATGCATTATGAGCGATGTTTGTGGCCCTGACGATCATCACCCAAATCTTGGAAGAGCCGAAATACTTCGGAGCACCAACTTTCCTAGAGCCCAACGAAAAGAAAACCCAGCTTATAGTGCCAAATGAGGTTGAGTGGTAAGGGGAAAAACCTTTTTTACTTAAGGACTTCCCAAAGCAGATGGGTATCGCAAAAAACCAATCAGAAACCCTTTTACATTACCACCCCAATTTTCTACGTCAATGCTGCTCCACATTTGGGGCACTTGTATTCCATGTTACTCTGCGATGTGAGAAACAGGTGGGAAAAATTGAATAATAGACCATCATTATTTACCACCGGTACCGATGAGCACGGTTTAAAAGTTCAGGCAGCGGCAGAAAAGAACGGGAAGCCACCAAAGGAGTTTGTTGACTCATTGGCTGAGACATTCAAAGATTTAGCATCATTGACAAATATTAACTACGATAGATTTATACGGACAACAGATGACGATCATGTCAAAGCTGTTACAGAATTTTGGAATATTGTGAAGGAAAAAGGTTATATATATCAGGGTCAGCATAGTGGTTGGTACTCTGTTTCGGACGAGACGTTTTATCCAGAAACACAAATAGAAGAAAGAGCAGACCCAAAGACAGGCGAGAAAAAAGTCGTTTCTATAGAAACTGGTACTGAAGTCTTGTTTCAAAAAGAAACCAACTATTTTTTTAAGCTTTCTCTCTTCTACAATGATTTATTGAAACTTCTTCATGAAAGGAAAGATTTCATCATCCCTAGATCCAAGCAAGATGAGATGATTAAGGAGTTAGAGAAAAATGGAAAGCTCGAAGATCTCAGTGTCTCCAGACCTTCTTCGCGCCTTAAATGGGGTATTCCTGTTCCAGGTGATGATTCTCAGACTATATATGTTTGGTTTGACGCCTTAGTCAATTATCTCACAAGTGCAGGTTTCCCTTGGAATGGTAGTAATTCTATTGAATTTTCCGAGCAAAATCATTGGCCTGCTACACATTTAGTTGGAAAAGACATTGTGAAATTCCATGGCATTTATTGGCCATCTTTTTTAATGGCGGCCGGGGTTGAAGTTCCAAAGCAGTTAGTTGTTCATGGGCATTGGCTCTGCCAGGGCACAAAAATGAGCAAATCTTTGGGTAATGTTGTCGATCCAGTTCTCATGGCAAAATATTACGGTACTGATCCTCTTAGATTTTTTTTGTGTGAAAATTCTGTATTAGAAGGTGATGGTGATTTTAATGAAGAAAGATTGTTTTATTCAAGAAACAACGTGATGAGTAAAATCGCAAACCTAATTATGAGATCTTGTGGTACCAAGTTCAATATTGCTAGAGCTGTTGAAAGCTACCAAAATAAACTAATTAATGAAAGTACTTTGGATTCTTTCGCGGCTGATAAGCAAATAAAAGAAAAATACCAACAATTGATGAATGATCTAAACAACTTAACAGAAAAAGTTGGTAAAAACATTGAAACCTACCAAATGATTCGTGCCACTGATGAGCTTTGGAATGTCATCAGCCAAGCTAATCAGTTATTCCAACTTTCTGAACCTTGGTCTCTTGATGTATCAAATGAATCTGAACTTCGAAAGCAAGATGCAATTATTTTTGCCTCGATTGAAACTGCAAGACTTGTCTCAATTTTGTTGAAGCCTTTTATGCCAGAGTTATCAAATACCTTCTTAGACCGTATGTCCGTGGATGTTGACCATAGGGATACTGGTTTCGCCAAAGTGGGGTGTGATGTTTATGGTAGTGGCGCCAATAGAAGTGGAGATGCGCCAATGCAAAAGTTGAAAAAGAGATCCTAATTGACCTCATACTGTATATATGTATAAAGTAATTGCACGATGTATAAATATATTTGTCCTTTTTTTATTTATGGAATGCTTGATTTTTCTCGACAAAGGCGGTTATAGGCATACAAGATAATTTTGACAAAAATATACAAGATAGAGACAAGATTTATATTATAATAATAGCAGATTTGCAAATAGGAGAAAAAAAAAAAACCTGGGGAGCTTTTTATATCTTAATATTTATTCTGTTTTCCTTTGCAGGCTTTTTAGGATTTGAATTATTTCAGTTGAAATCTCTGGACTGTAAGTTTCTGGTCATTGCAGGCAACGCGACTCTAATTCCATCAATTTCTTTGGACATTTTAATTTGACATCCCAATCTTGAAGTTTCCGTCAATCCGAATGCCAAATCCAACATATCGTTCTCATCATCTTCAGGTTCCGGGATTTCATCGTAGAAAGCTGGATCAACAATTACGTGACATGTGGAGCAAGCACATGATCCGCCACAAGCACCTTCCATATCAAGATTATTAGATTGAGCGATGTCTAAAAGAGAATCACCCTCGCAAACTTCATAGCTATGCTGCTTCCCTTCCTTTGTTATGAAGGTAACATGTAATCTGATAGAAAGTTAGTAAAGGTCATTGAGCCAAGCAAGGGAAAAATAGTAGTCCACAACCCCATGTAAGTATAGCATCAGGATATCCATTATGGGGTAATATTCCTTCAAAAAAAAGAAAAAAAAAATTGTAAATCTACTTACTCTTCGCCTGGTTTCGGTTTGTGCAAATGACCATGCATAGATAAGGACGAGCTGGAGAAAGATCTTTGATTATTAGCCCGTATGAAGTGATTTCTGAGAGTATTTCTTTGAATGTTGGTGCTTGATATTTTTGTAGAGTTTGATAAGCTTTTAGGATATTGTTGATTAGCTATAGTGCTGATATTCTTGAAATGATTTGCCGAAGTTGTGCAATACTTTTTGGAGATTCCATGCTTGATTGTATTGCTCAGGATTTTCGAAAACATTCTGCGAAATAAATAGATTATTGTTATTGATTCTATCTATCCTCAAAAAAGTACACACTATCGTTGGATTCCGTGATTTTTAATAATTATTTATCGACTTTATCGATATACAAAAAAAATTTTGTCATCCGAATGCAGGTTGAATCCGTCATATTGAAACTCCATTTGTATCAGGCAGGGTAAGTCCTAAAAAACAAGGCCGAATCAAGAGCCAGTATAGATGGTAAATATTTGATGGCATTCATCTAGGCTGATGGTTCCTTACAAACTGGATTAAAAAAAGAAAAAAATGCAGATACTAGCCAAGTTTATTTTATCGTAACGTGGATATTCTGCCCCTGGTAAATATTATAAATAATCACTTGCTTAAAGAAACCATTCAAATATAATGGAAAGATCAAGACTACCCCAAAAAAGCCATACTGCCAAGAGTCGACACCCAGTATTAAAAGAAAGTGTATATTACCCAAATACAATCTGGACATCAATTTTTTCATATTGGTTAGTATGTTAGAGCTTGGCTGATTTATATCTATCATGGTAAATTTTAACTATGGCTGCATGATAATCTAACCAATCATTAGCACTATACTGGAAGATTCCGTTTGGGGTCTCCAAAGGTCATCATCTACATTGGATCAATCTCTCACTTTCAGTTTATCTTTTTTCTTGCTGCTTTTGCTGTTGTTTGTTTTCTGTTGTGTTGATCCATTTGTTCTTAGAGCATTTAGCAATTTTACTTTTCTAACATTTGGGATATATCATATCAGCAATCAGTATTGGAAGCATCGGATAGCTCTCTCCATGTACACAAACATATGAATTGTTAAACTCTTTCGAAAAAGATTATTTTCGGATTGGTAGACTCATTCGCTTATGAGTGGCCAGATTGCAGGCCACATCTTTGTACAGAACCAGTAATCAATCAACTATCACATATCACTCAAATACTTTGAATGATTTTTCGCACTGGATCTCTAATTACCATGATACAAAAGAATTATACATCATTTCATTGCAATATCCTTATTATTTAATTTGCAATACGTACTGATAATAGTACATAAGAATATATTTATCGGTGTCTTGTCACGCATGCTGCAGTGCGGTTAACCCGGATGCGTAGGTCACAACACCAAATCTTTCCAGAATTTCTGCGAAGGCTCTAGAAGAATTGCGGTGGAGCAATATATATATGAGTACAATCTCTTCGCCAAAATTCATCTCAATGTTCTTTTCTTACAGAATACAGTAACATTGATACATATCACATTAGAAATTAATAATGTTAAATGCTAGAGTGGTTTTGAATAATCATAAAAGAGTGTTGCCCAATGTGACATCCCGAGCGTCATCCAGATCATTGGCATCGGTTGGTACATCAAGGACATTACAACCTTTTACTCAAAATGTCGTGAGATCCCACAATTATAAGCCATTGTTAAATATGGTCAAGTATGGTTCTAGGACACCACAGGCTAGCTTCTCCACTTCCATGTCAAGAAACATTCAAATGAGAATGAACAATCAACAAAGTGAGAAGCCTGCTTTGGAAGAATTCGGTACTGATTTAACCAAGCTTGCTAAAGATGGTGCATTAGATCCAGTTATTGGTCGTGATGAAGAGATCAATAGAACAATTCAAATTTTATCTCGAAGAACAAAGAATAACCCTATCTTGATTGGCCCAGCTGGTACTGGTAAAACAGCAATTTTGGAAGGTCTTGCTCAAAGAATTGTTAACAAGCAAGTGCCCGAGAGTATGAAATCCAAGAGAATTATTTCTTTAGACTTATCCAAGGTTATGGCCGGCTCGAAGATGAGAGGTGATGTTGAAGAACGTTTGAACAGATTGTTGACAGAAATTCACAATGAAGCGGGGAATATCATCTTATTTATCGATGAAATTCATTTGTTGATGGGCTTGGGTAAAACAGATGGTTCTTCGCTTGATGTATCCAATTTATTGAAGCCAGATTTGGCTAGGGGTAAATTACATTGTGTCGGTGCCACCACTATTGACGAATATAGAAAGTTTATTGAAAAAGATGTTGCTTTGGCTAGAAGATTCCAGAAAGTCTTAATCAATGAACCTTCTGTCACTGACTCCATTTCCATCTTGAGAGGATTAAAGGAAAAGTATGAAGTTCATCATGGGGTCAAAATCAATGATGATGCGTTGGTCAGTGCCGTTAACCTCAGTTCCAGATATATCACAGATAGATACTTACCAGATAAGGCCATTGACTTAATTGATGAAGCCTGTTCTTCTATTAGATTGCAACATGAGTCGAAGCCCGAACCAATTCAAAAATTAGAATATAAGATCATGACTATAAAAATTGAATTAGAATCATTGAAGAAAGAAGAGTCCACTCCATCTATTGAAAGCAAAAAGAACTCTTTGAACGAGTCATTATCTCAGTTGAATGAAGAATACGAGCAATTGATGTCCAGATGGCAAGTGGAAAAGAGCAATATTGAACAAATCAATGCTGAGAAGAAGAAATTGGAAAAATTCAAGCAAGATTTGGAAGCTTACCAATTCAATGGGAACTATACTAAAGCTTCGGAATTGAAATATGCCTCTATTCCGGAAACTGAAGAAAGAATTCAACAATTGAACGATGATTACGTGAAGGCCAATGAGGGGAAAAATGGCGAATCATTGCTTAATGACTCGATCACTACTGAAGAAATTGCCAAAGTTATTTCCCGCGCCACCGGAATCCCTATGGATTCTTTGTTGAAGCCTAATAAGCAGAAGTTACTTCATGCCGAAGATATTTTGAAGAAAGACATTGTTGGTCAAGATGAGGCTGTCAAGGTCATTTGTGATGCAGTTAGGTTACAAAGAGCTGGGCTCACTAATAGCAAAAGGCCAATTGCCAGTTTTATGTTTTTAGGTCCAACCGGTACTGGTAAAACTCAATTAACTAAAAAGCTTGCTAATTTCCTCTTCAGCGATGAATCTGCAATTATCAGATTTGACATGTCGGAATTCCAGGAGAAGTTTTCTATTTCAAGATTGATCGGTGCCCCACCAGGGTATGTTGGTTATGATGATTTAGGTGGAAGTGGTGAATTAACCCAACAAGTGAAAATGAAACCATACTCAATTGTTTTGTTTGACGAATTTGAAAAAGCCCATCCAGACATCAATAAACTTTTGTTGCAAGTGTTGGATGAGGGTCAATTGACAGACTCACATGGTAATAAGATTGATTTTAAAAATACCATTATTATTTTGACATCGAACCTTGGCCATGAATTTTTCCATGAAGACACCACTGTGGAAACTAACTCATCTGATGAAAATATCCCGGTATCAGCCACCATAAAGAGTAAGATTATGGATGTTGTGAAATCCACCTACCCTCCAGAATTCATCAACAGATTGAATGATTTGATCATTTTCAATAAGCTATCCAAGAAGGCAATGCTCAGGATTGTGGATATCAGAATCAATGAGATTCAAAAGGATTTGGTGGCAAATAACAAGGACTTTCAATTAGATGTACATGATGATGTGAAGCTGTGGATCATTGAAAATGGTGGATACGATCCAAATTACGGTGCCAGACCATTGAACAGATTCTTGTTGAAGGAGGTTTTGAATCCATTATCATTATTGTTGATCAAGGGTGAAATCAAGAATACGGATGAAGTGGTTAAGGTCATTGTTGATAAGGATACTAATAAAATAAAGGTGTTGCCAAATCATGAAGCTGAAAAGAAAGAATGATCGAGAAAGAAAAAAAAAGGTATACTAAGTAGTTGTTTTTTATTTTTATTTTATAAATAATGTATTATATCTTGTTATAATTACTTGATTATATCAATAAATATTTGGTTTTTATTCGAATGATGATGTTAGCTTGATTTTGTATTACAAAAGCTCAAGACATTTGCAACCCCTAAATAATGTTCTTTTTTACTATATCAATACTGTTGAGATATAAATCTCTCAATGCAATACAACAAAAAGGAAAAAATAAAACAAGGAATGTTCATTCATATAATATAATTATGATAATACAAAACTAACAAATTTTCACCACATTCGGCTCCAAAGAGTTCATATCGAGTAAGACTATCTCACCAGTTTCATTGAATTTTGGAATTGATATCAATCTAACAAAGATCTCTTTTCCTGAGACTGTTGTGAATTTCAACCATCTAGATTGAAATTGTGGTTGATTACCCACAAAATATACATGAGGTACTTCTGTCAATGTGAAAGGGTCGTCGTCTTTAAATGGGTATGTCCAAAGTGTGTCAGGGCATGAAGGTATTATATTTTGCCAATTGATTGTTGCTTCAATAATATCCGCACGAAGTTTTTCCAGGTCGACCTTCTGCTGCGATATTTTATCTTTGTCAATGACGGACTCTTCTGGGGTAGATTCTTTAGATGAGACATCATATGGCATCAAGTACTTGAACATATCATTGATATTTTGACCTCCGGTACCTAACATACGTGTGCCATCAATTTCCAACCAAGATGGATTGGTCATAGTCCTGAAAGTCGTGCTATCTTCTGAATTTAGATATGCCTTGCATTGTTTGAAAAATGCTGAGTGTATTGGTTGTTGAGGGAAAATGGCTTCTGTTGGATCAGATTCACCAGGTATTATGTCAACAGGAATGCTGCCTAATACTTCGAAAATCCAGGAATCGAGTAGTGCCATAGCTTTCGAATTGTATTTAGACTTAATTTTTGTACCGTAGAATTTACTATCATCATTCTCATGAGTGAAATTTATAGTCTTAGTGGAATTACCAGCGATGACTAGCCTAGAAATGGAGCTTGATAGTTGATCATCGGTTCCTATTTCTCCCATAAGAAATTCTTTCAAAAATTCCAATCTGACCGGGTTATAGTTTTGAGGATCGATTTCCATTCCCGACACTATAGCAATCTTATTATTAGGAATCGCTAACGGTCTTTCCACTTGCTCCGAAATTCCAGGATAAAGCACATCAAGCACTTTAAACTGGCCAGCTTCAAGTTCGATACCCAAGACCCCAATCACATTACCAGTCACAAAAATGGAATTCTTTATCAGATCACCATCTAATTGAACTCTACCGCTTTCATCTTCAAGCATGATGATATCGGTATCAGGGTCCGAGTAGCTTGGCTTTGGAGGAGGCGGTACCCCATAAGCACCAATGGCAACATCATCGAGAATGTTTGGTTTGTATTGCATTTCACAATATGTCAACCCAATGACCCAGCATGGTTCATTATTCTTTATATCAAGAACCTTGTCACAATGAAATACTTGTACTCCATTGATTTTTTTGTTGTCCCACTTACTGTTGGCGTGTTCTAGTACTCGAGGCCTAAGATCGTTCAATCTCTTTGAATAAATGTGGAAATACTGGTTATGGTAGTTACGATTCTTGTAGCTGAGATGAAAAGCACTATCTTTTGGATACTGGGCAGGGACAATTGACTCTGTACGAGCGAACATTGTACTCTGTGACATGGACATGTTATAATTGTGGAGTATACGGTCAATATATCAATCAACAGCACTCACTCGCTTCTTCTCAAAGACGCGGTCAAAATTGGGATTTTTGCGATGCGACGCGAAAAAAAAAAAAAAAAAAAAAAATCAGAGCTCACGTGCCAATTGGTTAAAGAGAGAGATATCACATAGTTTATTCTGTTGTGATACGCTGTTACAGTTATGTGGAAGTCCAGAAATTATATACATACCTTGTCTAATCATCTGTTCTCCCCCACCTTTTTCTCTGTTTAATTTTTGTGGTCTTCTGTTAAGCTATTTTGTTGTATCACCAAGCTACAGATCATGATTTCAGGCCGGGTGATGCTTGGTCCATGAGGCTTTTCCAACGGATCAAAATTTTGGAGGGGTGAGACAAAACAAAACAATCTGACAGCGGCGACCCCATCACTTGAATCAAATAGCTAGTAGAAGCTTTATTTCTTTTTCATCCAAAGATTATTTATTTGAGGGATACGTTTGAAAGATGTTATGGCTAAGTGAGCAACAGAGTATGTGGTTAAATTTTGTCTTTTTGTTTAACGTATGTCTGATCTACATATAATACTGACAGCATTGTTTATTAGAATTCGGAGCATTCTTCACAGCTGCTGGTGTGGTATTGTTCACCCTTGGGGTGATGTTTTTTTTTGATTCTGGTCTTCTTGCTATGGGTAATGTGTCATTTCTTATTGGTGTGACATTGTTGATTGGTCCTCAAAAGGCTTTGGGATATTTTATGAGACCAACAAAGATAAGAGGCACCATCTGCTTTGCCATTGGAATTTTTATGATTTTCATGAAACATGCTTTCATTGGGTTTGCCATAGAGTGTTTTGGTATCTTGTTTTTATTTGGCGATGTTTTGAACATAATTGTGACATTTTTAAGAAGCATGCCAGTGATCGGCCCAATCTTGTCACATCCAAGCGTCGCTCCATTTATTGATAAAATTGCCAATGTCAATGTTTTGCCTGTGTGATTTTTGGTGAGGAGCAGCTGTTTAATTAATAACGATTTCATGGTATATATTCAAAAACATTTTTCTCTGTTCTTTCTTCTTCTTCTTTTTATTTTGCTCTCGCAGTTCTTTGCGGGGACGTATTTCTTTTGGCTCATGTCTTGTTGTATAATATAATCAAATTTCCGGCATAGATTAATGTTTTCCTCCTGTCAAATACTTATATGGTTGTTGGTCTTGTATCTCTTCATGTTGACTTCCTGTCACGTTTTCGTGCACGCTTTTCTATTTTATTTTTTCTTTTCTTGAGTGGAAATTGTTACCCCAAAAATTTTCTGTGTTAATAGAATGATAAGGTTATAGCCTACAATAACACAATCACTATGGGTATTATGTATGTGTCGGACTTGTCTTTTTGAGGATCGCTTTACTTGTTTTTTTACTAACAAACATCTAAGCGAGAAAATTCAACAGATCGAGCTTGAAATCTCAAGAACTCAAAAGAATAAGGCCACAGAGTACCATCTTGGTTTATTAAAGGGTAAACTTGCAAGATATAGAAGAGAGCTTCTCGAACCTGCCGCTGGATCATCTGGTGGTAAGGGCCAAGGTTTCGAAGTTTCTAAAAGTGGTGATGCAAGAGTGGTTTTGATTGGTTTCCCATCCGTTGGTAAGTCAACATTCTTGAGTAAGATCACCAACACCAAATCGGAAATTGCCCACTATGCTTTCACAACGTTGACCTCTGTCCCAGGGGTGTTGGAATATCAAGGGGCTGAAATCCAGATTGTCGATTTGCCGGGGATTATTAAGGGAGCTAACGATGGTAGAGGTAGAGGTAGGCAAGTTGTGGCCACTGCCAAAACCGCCGATTTGGTGTTAATGGTTTTAGACGCTACCAAGGGGAAAGATCAAAGAGCCATTTTGGAAAAAGAACTCGAAGCTGTGGGGATCAGATTAAACAAAGAGCGTCCAAACATATATTTCAAAGAAAAGATGACTGGAGGGATCAAATTCAGCTCGACAGCTCCACCAAAGTACTTGAATGAAAAGGTTGTCTCAGGTATTCTTAGAGATTACAGAATTCATAATGCGGATATTCTTATCAGAGACGAAAGCGCCACAATTGATGACTTCATTGATATAATCAATGACAAGCACATCAGATACGTGAACTGTGTCTATGCTTACAACAAAATTGATGCGGTATCTTTGGAAGAAGTTGATAGAATTGCTCGGGAACCAAATACAGTAGTGATGAGTGTTGAAAAAGATTTGGGTGTTGATGATGTTATTGACGAAATTTGGCATAACTTGAACTTGATTAAAGTCTATACAAAGAGAAGAGGGGTTGCTCCAGACTTTAGTGATCCATTAGTGATCAGATGTGGCAGTACATTGGAAACGGTATGTAATTCTGTTCACAGAGACATGAAAAATAATTTCAAGCATGGTCTTGTATGGGGGGTTAGTGCCAAACATTCGCCGCAAAAGTGTGGTTTGAATCATACTATCGAAGACGAGGATGTTGTTTCTATTGTTGCGAAATAAAACTCTTAAAAAAATAATAAACGATTATGATGATTTTATTGTACTAGATCATCTCCCTGCTAGTGTAAACGAAGAAGAAAAGATATTACAAATATAGAGACGACACCCAAGAAAAATCTGATAAATTATATTGATATTCGCAAAATAATTATTTATCATTAATTAATAAATATGTACAAGAACTTTTAGGCTAATAAAATAATAATAACTCCCCTATATTTTATTTTTTTTTTATTACATTTATCATTTGTTCTTCATTCCACCTCTCTTTTCTAAGAAATCTTTGGCTTCATTAATCTTAGTAGCCAAGTATGGAGAGCCTCCCTTATCAGGATGGTTTAACAACATAATTCTTCTATGAGTTTCCTTCAATTTATTTTTTGTCAAGTTACTTTCTCTAAGACCCAATATTTGCAATGCTTCTTTTGCTGACATTTTTTGACCGAATCCGCCCTTGACAAAAGCTTTGCCACCAATACCTGGTTGAGGCTTCTTGAAGACACCGGCAAGAAAATAGGCAGCAGCAAATGCGCCGGCGGTGGCAATATATGGATGTTCTGATACCGAATCGTAAGCCATGTTAAAATATTGTTCTGCAGTGCTCACTGGCTTCTGTTCGCTCATGGTGCTGCCTGCTTCGAGTGTAGAGGCTCCTCCGAAACCTTCCTCCTGCTGCTGATTGCGTCTTCTGAGATACTCGAGTTCTTGTTGTTGTGTGTTGGACATTATTTAATGAAAGAGTGGTGTTTTGTCTTAGCGTTTACTCGTTGATTATCATTTCTCATGGTGAATTAAAAGTTTCAATTCAATTTGCAAAATTCAGTAACCTGCCGGGTAAGCACATCGCATCGAGAAGGGAAAAAAAAAAATTTTACTCACACAGAATTTTTTAATGGTGATGATCTAAGATTATAACAGTTAAGAAGTTATTATCCTTTACAGAAATTTAGACAAATATGAGAATCTATCAGTGTCATTTTTGCTCATCCCCAGTCTACCCTGGTCATGGTATCATGTTTGTGCGTAACGACGCCAAAGAATTTAGATTCTGTCGTTCCAAGTGCCATAAAGCATTCAAGCACCGTCGTAATCCAAGAAAATTGAAATGGACTAAAGCGTTCAGAAAAGCTGCTGGTAAGGAGCTTGCGGTTGACTCTACTTTGTCATTCAGTGCCAGAAGAAACGTCCCAGTCCGTTACAACAGAGATTTGGTTGAAACCACCTTGAAGGCCATGGACAGAGTTGAAGAAATACGACAAAAACGTGAAAGAGCATTCTACAAGAACAGAATGGCTGGTAATAAGGAAAGAGAATTGGCTAATGACAGAAAATTGGTCGAAGCTAATCCAGAGTTATTGAAGATGAGAGAAGTGGAAATTGCTAAGAAATTGGCTAAGCAAGAGGCTAGAGAAGCTGCTGCTTCCGCTATGGATGAAGATGAACAACAGGCTAGTGAAGACGAAGAAATGGACGTCGATGAAGAAAGCGAAACTGAAGCTGCCAAACAAAAGATTACTCTCAAAGCTAAGAGAAGAACCAAGAAGACTCTTAAATTTTAAATGCTTTAACTATTCATTTGCTTGAACATTTGATTGGTTTTTTTAAATTTGCTTAGTGGGTTCTTTGTTTTCTTGTACTTTTATTTCTTTTTCTTTATCTATTTTCCTTATATTGTTATTTCATTTTGGGTTACATTTTGAAAAAAAAAATAAAAAAAAATAAAAAAAAATAAAAAAACGATAAAAAGTTTCTATTTTTTAATTCTATAATATAACGTCCTAATGTGGGAGATTGAGTATCTCTCACAATACAAATAATTGCATCAACAACTTTTTATTTTAGTCACTTATATTTGTAGTTTTATCCGACATTCTTTTGAATACACCAATAAACCCACCAGCAAATACCCTGCCGCCAACTTTAGGTCTGCAAACAATACCCTTTGGACTTTCCTGCTCATCATGTTCATTATACTTTGATCTGATGAAGGCTCCCCTCAAATCCCACTCTCTCAATCCAGCACCAATTCCAGGCTGTAGCTCAAACACTTTATCCAAGTACAATTTATAAGGAAAGCCTGGGGTCTTAACTAAATCAATGATAGGTAAAAATTGGGTAATGGAAGGTTGGAAAATAATCAACGGAGCATCAGTTTGTAAATTCTTAGCAATCTCTTCAACATGTGTCTCCGGAGATGGCATGTCTAAAAAGCAACCACTTAAGAACTTGTGACTATTTCCAAATTTCGTGTACTGCTCCCTCCAATATCCTGATTGATTTTGCAACCATTGAGTTGGGCCCTCAGAATGGTGAAATTCAACATTATCAAAATATATACCCCGTTTGAAATGTTTGACATGTTTTTTCCCGGCATTCAAGTGGCTAACGTTACAGTCCAAAGAGTGCAAGATTGCTCCTCGAAGCAGTGGATCATTGTACAATTTCGCATAAGCATTGGCAGGATGCAAAAGTTTTGAAATTACTAGTGATAATGACCCATGGCCGGTTCCTGCCTCGAGAAACTGTAAAGGTGGTTGTGTCAATTCATATTTTTCTGAGCCCTCAATCTTCCTCAAGCTTGGATAGTCAGCGATAATGTTGGCCAAAGCACCTATAATGGTAGCGTCATAATGATATATTGGTTGGGCGCTTCTTTTGCATAAGCGAATGTACTCTTCCATAGAAGCATGGGTGGCAATAAATGGCTTGGGTTTCTTGTCCTCTCTATTCTTGGAAAAGAACGAGAATACCAAAGATCTTGGTTCTTTGCCGATTATATCATCATGTCTGATGTTTCCCTTATCGAGTCCGAATATTTCAGATTCTTTTAGTGATTCAATGAGCCAATAATTTCCTAATCTGTTTACCTGTTGAATGATAACAGAGTCACCAGGACGGAAGGATTGGGAGCTCCATCTCTTTATAGTCCTAATCAGATTTTTACCAAACATTATTTAGGAAGAATAACAAGTCTTTTGATATCTTGATGATCTTCCTTCAAGCTTGCCTAGGCAGTTAAAAAAAAAGAGAGAGAGAAAGAGAGAGAAAAAAATCGCGGGAAAAAAAATGCCAAACACAACTGGAACAAGTAGAAAACGCAAAGACACAACGATATCCCCAAACAAACCGATTTCATTTCAAAGAAAACCACATGTATGGAACTAGCGATTGATCCAGCCAATCTCCGCTCGCAGTTCCCGCTGGCAACTGCTGCAAAGGCTGTGCGAGTCAGGATTCTTGGGGCCGTTGAAAGCTACAGTGTGTCTACGATGTCCTTGACAATCAGTGGGATCCCTTCGGTGGTTCGGAACCCACAGCCAGTATCTGTTCTGCTTAACCTTATCCATCCAGGCAGTGTTGACCTGTTGGTGGTGTATCCAGGCTCACTAATTGAACTTCATGGCTTTTACGACGGGTTGCAGCTCCTGGCCTTCAGGATCAAATCTCTAGACTCTAAAGGGTTCAATGACCTAGAACTTATTGGTTTCTTGCGCAGGCAATGCGATGGATTGGTTCCTTTGAACCATAACGGATGTTGATTCTTCTTCTTCTTCTTCTTCTTCTTCTTCTTCTTGTTATTATAATGTAATTGTAGTGTGTAGTACCCCCTTCCTTTCTGGCACGTGGTTTTCTGGTCAACTTTTGTGTTTTTATTTTTTTTTATTTCATTCAACAATAGCCCCTATACAAGTGGAATAGTAACGAACAACTGATTGGATATTTGTAACTGTTTTTATTTTCTTGTGGGCACCGATACAAAAGCAACAGAAGTGTTTCAGTTTTCCTACAAGTCTCTTTTTTCGCTTTTTTTTTTGCGGCATTTCTCCATCTATCACGGTGTTCCCGTTGTGATTTACCTGTCAATTTGTTATTATTATCATTAAACATACCAGAAATTCTAGCCAAACCTAATAAAATTGAATCAAAACATGACAACCTATGAGAAAATTGTCAAAGGGGCCACCAAAATCAAAGTTGCGGCCCCAAAGCCCAAGTATATCGAACCAATTTTGATGTCTACCTCTCGGAAAGAAGATTTCAGAAATGTCATGAATTATCTTCGCCCCCGTTTACAAGATTCGGCTTGGTCAATAGTTTATAAATCGTTGATTGTTTTGCATATCATGATCAGAGAAGGCGAAAGAAATGTAACCTTGGACTACTTGGCTGATCGTCCAGAATATCTTGAAATAAACAAGATAGCATCTAACAATCCGGATAGCAGGTCACTTCTGAAATACGCTAGATATCTCGCTGTCAGAGCTCAAGGTTTTGCGGACACTGAAGTGGATTACGTCAGAGATGAGCAATTGAATAATAGTTCTTTCAGCCGCAGGTCCGAAAACAGTGGCGGAAGATTAAGAAATCTACTGATTGAAAAAGGCTTATTAAAGGAAGTGGAAAGCGTAGAAAGACAGATTGAATCTTTGCTCAGGTGCAAATTTCAAGAGGTAGAGGTCAATAACGATATTATTCTTACTACTTTTCGTTTATTGGTTCATGATCTTTTGGCATTATACCAATCCTTAAATGAAGGGGTTATAAATATCTTGGAACATTATTTTGAAATGGGTAAACCTGAAGCGGCGTTCTCATTGAAAATTTATAAAAGATTTGTCAAGTTGACTGCAGATGTGGTGAGTTATTTAAGAACCGCAAAGCATTTGGAATACGTTACAAAATTGCATGTTCCAGTAATCAAGCATGCACCAACGGCATTGGCGGACAGCTTGGAAGAATATTTGAATGATAAAGATTTCGAAACTATTAGAAAGCAGTATTTGGCTGAAAAGGACAGCAAGGATTCAAAAGGTTCACAAAGTGCTCTTGCCACTAAAACGAAGCCCCCTTCGAGTGTTAGTGAAAAGACCCCTAAAACTTCAAGGAACTCTGCGATAACTCAACCAGCAAAGTCTCCTGCTGCAAGCTCTAATGAAACCGCATCAACTGGCTTGGTTGTTCAAACAACTGGTAGTAACCCTTTTGCCCATTTGATCCAAACTCAACAGATGCAATTACAGCCTGCAGTTATTCAACCTGTTGTTCTTCCTCAGCAAACTCTGTTTGTGCCGCAACAACAGCCCCAAATTTTGGGAATGAATCCTGGGCAACAGGTGTTTGCCATCAACCAACAGCAACAACAGTTTCCTGTGAACCCTCAACAATTTCAGCAGCAACAAGTCTTCAATGGTATGCAACAAGTTCCACAGCAATCGCATGTTCATAATCCTTTTGCACAGACTAATCCTCAGTTGCAACCATTGTCAACTGGCTTTGGATTTGGCAACGTGCAAGCCACTCTGAATATGATGGGAGCCACTTTGGGTAATATTACGGAAAATGCTCCGCTTTCTGTTAATTCAAATATCACAGGAAGTACTTCTAGTAGCGGAACTTCTTTGAACAGAAGCAAATCCGTAAATCCTTTCTCTATGGGTAATTATACCACCGGTATTTCTTCTTCAAGTGCTGCAAATAACCCATTTTCGGCTAATGGTCTTGGTCGTAGCTCATCGATGAAGGTCATGCCAACTGGATCAAATAATCCTTTCAGCTCCAACAATTTATCTGCAATAACATCTAGCTCCACAAATAACCCTATATCATCTCAGATGGGCACCCTCAAAGCCCAGCCAACTGGCCATAATCCATTCTCCGCCCCCGCGCAAACACAGCAACAGGCTTTGATGCCACAGCCGACTTTTGGAGGGTTAGAAAACTTGCCCACCGTTCCTGTTTTCCCCGATACTCAAAGGGACCTTTCCAATCAAATGGCATTAAACAACGCTCAAGCTCAGTTAAATCAAAATAAGCAGCAAATGATATTTCAACAAACCGGACAAACGCAGGTACCAGGACAACAATTTAATGGTTTTAATCAAGTGCAAACGATGAATGGTCAAAATGGGTTTGCTACAAACCAGTTTGGTCAAATTTCTCAGCAGCAACCTGCGATTGGAGGTATTCAACACTCTTATATGAATCATAACGTTAGCTTGATTTAGATTATCGTATAATTCTAAGTTTAATCATATAATTTCGAAAAAAAAAAAAAAAAAAGGAAAAAAAAATTATACAAAAAAAAAAAAAAAAGAGAGAAAAAAAAAAAGATAGAAGGCTATAATTTTTTTTTTAATTATGCATATTTATATTCTCACTGTTTGTTTTCCCTTCTCTTACTGACTATGAAATATTTTCTTTTTCCATTTTCTTCTTTATTTTCTTTTTTGTTGGGTTCCCATTATCTATTATTGGATCAAAAAATTGAATAATTTTTGTTGTTTTTTTAATCAAACGTCTTTATGAATAAAAATGAACATATATTCTAGCTAGTAGAAAAAAAAATGGAACTCAGAACAATATTGATACAGTGGAAATTCAGAAAACGGCAATCCAGCCCTCTCCCATATCGACCAGCCGCTGTGTAAATGGCATCAGCAGATATTCCTTCGATTGACGTATGCGATGAAACATGAGGACAAAATCAAGTCATGATTGCAATCATTCATATCGACAATCAAAGCAGCAATTTGAGCCGTAATCACTAGAGAAGCTGCATAATCCACACAACACTTTTTCACACACATGGCACTGGAATTCAGTAATATCGTCACAGTAATAGTTTCTACTGCTGCTAAGATCTTTTTCACATACTTGGCAGATTAAACGGATTGGAACTGATTCGTCGGCTCTACATTGCTGTGGGGTGTTGTTTCTTCCATTGACACTTCTAACAATTGTTGGCCAAAATGGTTTTTGATGAAACTCATTACAGTGGTCCGAAGTTGCCACCAGCATCATGTCATGGTTTTCGAGGTTTCTACTTTCCTGCTGCTGTTGTTGTTGTTGTTGTTGTTGTTGTTGTTGTTGTTGTTGTTGTTTTAGTTTCTTTTCATAGTCTCGTGAGCCCTGCATTAATAGAGAAACGGTTTTAGCTGAGAACGTTAGATGTTAGTATTATCATGCATGTTGGTAATAATAAATGCTTCAAAAATGGATAAAAAAAAATAAAAAAAATACGCGTCGCGTCGCGTAATGTCTTTCCAAAAGATGGCAGTAAACGGGCAAACTTTTGAAGAACAAGAGAAAAGATAAAATTAACTTACTATGTAGTTCAGTCTCTATTCTTCTTAGTTGTCTTCTTTTAGCATTTTCAAACTCCGAGAAACAAGATACCTGCTTGTTGCCGTTGCCAATGTGGAACGATGCCCCAGTATCTTGGAACGTGAAGTTTTTGCAATTGAACAACACTTCGGAACCACCTAATTCGGATCTCCCTCTTTTCCTGTTGGTATTTATATTATCATTCATACTAAAGAAATCAAATCGCGAAGAATTTGGATTGGAACTATCATGGAAAGGTTGGAAAACAACCGGTTGGTTGAATTGATTCATTTTTGAGCGCGAAGGATAACGAAGGAAAAAAAGGTTGACTCAGTTGAAAAGTGTAAATATTTAGCTCTATGCTATATATAGCTTCACGTTCTTATGCTGCCTTGGAAATAATGTACTGATATGAGAAGAATCCTCGATTGGAAAAGTAAGGTAAAGAAAGAACGAGAGTACGAGAGAGAGATAAAAAAAAAAAGCCGTAAATCTATCTTTGACATATTTTCAGTCACATGATCATCCCTCTGCGTTAGCCATAACCATATAATATTTCCTTAGCAATTAACAATTCCTTTTCGCTCCTTCCGAATGACTTGAGACTAGTTACTGTACAATCAATCAAAGAAATAAAAGGTCTCCGAGATTGATAAGATTTTTTAAAAAACATTACATTTATTTATTCGCATTATTTAAGGAACCCACATTTGTACTAACCCATCAATTATTGAATATTGCTTGGATATCTGTAATCAGTCAACTCTTGAAAGTTTTCCTTAATATTTCTAACGCTGACGAATCTAGACAAAATATTTCCTGAGCCTGCCTTATCGTTGGTTCCGCTGGCTCTAGAACCACCAAACCATTGCTGACCAACCACCGCACCAGTACATTTATCATTAATATAGAAATTACCGGCACTGTATCTAAGCTTTTCTTCAGCTAGTCTAATGGCAGAACGATCTTTAGCGAAAATTGCCCCTGTAAGACCATATTGGTTGGTTGTGTCAACCACTTCAAGAATTTTTTCATAATCAGATGGTTTGTACTTGTATAATGTTAAAACTGGGCCGAAAAACTCTTGGGACATAAATTTATGGTTAGGATTGGTGGTTTCAATCACAGTTGGTTGAACAAAATAACCATTTGTCGAATCGTATTTTCCACCACATACAATTTTTAATTCTGGATCCTTCTTGGCTTCTTCAATGGCGTTGGCCAATTTGTCAAAGCTGCCCTTGTGGATTACTGGACCCATAAATTCTTTGAAACCTTCATGAACAGCATTATTTCCTAAACTAACGGTGTCGAGGTTCTTGGTTAAGACGTCCAAAAATTCATCGGCAACATTTTCTGCCAAATACAATCTGGAAGCAGCAGAACATTTTTGTCCTTGATATTCAAATGCCCCTCTCAAAGTCGAAAGTGCTGAGTGAATCACATTACAAGATTCGTGGATAATGTGGAAGTTCTTCCCACCAGTTTCTCCGACAATTCTTGGGTAATCCTTGTAAATTCCTTGAGCAACATTGCTGGAGATCTTACCGAAAAGAGATCTGAAAACTGCAGTGGACCCGGTAAAATGTAGAGCGGAAAAATCCTTATGGTTTACAACCACATCAGTAACTTCAACAGGATCACCTGGAACGAAATTGATAACCCCCTTAGGTAATCCAGCCTCTTCCAAAACTGTCAAAAGCAAGTAATTAGACAACAAAGCGGTTTGACTTGGTTTCCAAACAACAACGTTACCCATCAACGCTGGAGCGCACACCAAATTGGAAGCAATTGCAGTGAAGTTGAATGGAGTCACAGCGTAAACAAACCCTTCTAATGGTCTGTATTCCGCTCTGTTCCAAACACCTTTAGAGCTTTGCACAGGTTGTTGATGGTATAATTCTTCAGCATATTTGACATTGAAACGTAAGAAATCATTCAATTCACCAATAACATCTATTTCCGCTTGTTGGACGTTTTTCCCTTGACCAAGCATGGTAGCAGCAAGCAAATCGTAACGGTATTTGGTTTCAATCAATTCCGCTGCCTTCAAAAAAATGGCAGCTCTATCATCCCAAGAGTATTCCATCCATGTCTTTTTCGCTTTAAGGGCGGAGTCAATGGCAAATTTTACACCATCGGCGGTTACCTGACTAGCAGAAGCAATTTCTTGGGCATGTTTTGCTGGATTGACTTGAGAAACCAATGATGAAGAGGATAAATTTCCCTCATTTGAATAGATACGTTCCCCATTGATGACAAGGGGGACTTTCAAAGAATGATTGTCAGTGAATTTGTTGATTGAGTTTCTAAGCAAATCCCATTCAACGGAATTCTTTGCAAAAGATTTATTTGATTGGTTGGTGGTAATGGTATTTGGAGTTTTGGAAAATGACAATTGTGCCACAAATCTCTTTGCCAAATCAACCTTGACAGGCGTTGATTGGTATGAGACAGGCTTCCACAAGTTTCTAGGCACTTGAGCACGAACACAAGACACAGTTCTTGAAGAAATCATTGCTTTTGGTTTCTGTTTGGTTTGGTCAGTGGAAGTTTCTAAAATTAATGATTTTAGAATCAAAGCAAGAAAACAGCGAAATTGCATCAATTTATCAGGGCTGCGGAATACTTCTCCGTCCATCGCTTAAATATGCACATTTTCCCAGCGGAATGGACGCACAGCTTGTAACTATAAACTGAACGCTATTAGTCATTGATCATTAGCCTAAAGACAAGGTAAACCTTGAAAACAAAAATCTTATTATAAAAGCTTTGCTCATTGACTTTGAGGTTCCTCTGTTTACCCCACTTTACACCTTCCGCTGTATGATTATGCAATACCCATAACATATGTGCGTGCTCATCATCCAACAAGTAAAAAAAAATTGTAGAAAGAAAAAAAAATTCGCACCTAACATGAAATAGCACCAGTTAACGACAAACCAAATAATGGCAGAACCAAACAGTAATCAAGGGAACTTGACCCAGTTCCGTATCTTAACTGGCTCTTACGAACATAATTTGCTTTGTTTATCACTTATCGTGCCTAGGAATCCTGAAAAAACTCCAGTTTTTCAGCCTATTTTCCATTTTGAATCACATTCATTATCGATCTATTCCATCAGTTCTTCCAAAAGATACCTCGTAACCGGATCCAAGGATGAGCATGTGAAGATCTATGATTTACAGAAGCGTAAAGAATTAGGAGACTTGTTGGCCCATCAAGGTTCAGTCAACACTTTGAAGTTTTCAAATAACGGCAAGTGGTTATTATCTGGGTCAAATGATAATACAATAATCATTTGGGGAGTTCAAGATTGGGAACTTTTTGGGAAATTAAAGGGCCATAAGGATGCCGTTAATGACTTGGCCATTCATCCATCAAATAAGATTGCTATTAGTTGTTCAAATGACAATACTTTAAGATTATGGAATTTGATGACGGTTAAGAAAGCTGCGGTCTTGAAATTAAAATACAAAATCACGAAAGCCCAAAAACCACAAATTATCCGATGGTCATTAGAAGGGAACTATTTCGTTGTTGCTCTCATGAACAGAGTTCTCATTTATGATACTAATACCAGTAAAGTTGTTCACATTATGAAGATGAAACATACAATTATGCATATGGAAATTTATAAGATCAAGGAAGTGGAGTATTTGGTTATAAGTCTTAACAATGCGTCAATAGAGTTCTTCGATCTTCATAAAGTCATTGATTCTCATAAAGATGATGATGAGGAAGAAGAAGAAGAAGAAACTAAAAAACCAGATGAACCCGAATTTAGACTCATCGGTCATGCTAGCCGTGTGAAGGACTTCAAGTTATTCCAGCCTAGTGATTGTGATACAGTGTTTTTTATTTCTATTTCCTCAGACGGTAAAATTGTTGTTTGGAACATGGACACTAAGGATCAAATTGCCGTATACGACGCGGGTGAAAGATTGAATTGTGTGGAAGTTGTTCCTGAAGCAGTTGAAAAAACCGCCACCATGAGAAAAAGACAACTTGAAGCTACGGATTCCGGTTATAAGACTGAAAGTGAATATGAAACTGATGGCGAAGGATCCAGAAAAATCTTATTCGGTACTGGTGGTAATAAGAAAAAGAGAACGAAGAATAAGAAGATGAAGCGTGAGAATAAGGCTTCTGTCGAAATTGAATGAGCTAATTGTATAATATCTAAAATGAAAAATAAATAAAAAAAACGGTTGCCTGCATTTTTCTAATTTACATAATGATATTCGTTGTAAAATATTAAAACATTATTAAATTAATTGAAGATCTTAAAACACTACTATAATATACACTAAAACTTCAACTTTATTTCTGTCTTTCAAACATTCTTTCTAATGATAAAAACTCTATCAATTGATCCTTCTTTGTGAGTTTCTTCAGATGGAGAAGGGCCTCTATTTCTATATTAACTCTGTAAATTTCAAAGTCGATTTGGTCATTGAACGAACTAAAAGATGTCGGCGAATTCTTAATTCCACATTCGAATTTCATTCTTTCATTATCTTCAGCAATATTGAGCTTCGATGAAGAAGGTTTATCGATATTTTTTAATCCTGTAATCTTGTCATTGTTGCCTCTCTTGATAATTCCCACCAACTTAGTAGAAGTCGGTTTTAGGAACATGCCATTATTGACGCTAGAATTTTTGGATGAAATTTCAAAGCCATCTCTATTCACCAGCGGCAGTTTTTGGTTCTGATGGGTTTGAGCTTGCTGTCTTTTCAGAGCATTAGGGTATATGTATTCATCTTCCTGTGGTTCTCCAGCATCTTCGTCATCACTAACAGGTAGAGATATTTCAGGACCTTCATTAATTTCTGTCGCATTTACATTATTCAAGATGTTTCGCAAGTTCTTTTTTGTCAACTCATTTTCATCGATCCGGTGTTTCTTCATAATATTCTTTGTCACAAGCGATGGTGTCAATGGGGTACTTGGAGGTCTCTTTTTGGTTTCTTGTTCGTTATTGGTCTCTGATTTTGTGGTTGTGGCATCATATTTTTTAAACAGACTGGAATCTCCAAGATTCTCTTGTTGTAATTCCAGCGGGACATGGCGAATACTCATGATATATCTTCAAAAATTATTGATTAAGTATAGTTTATGTATGGACATACACCACTGGATTTCTTCTATCAATCTAAGTAGATATACACAATTTGATTTTCCTTCCAACTCTCCATTGGATTTAGCAGAATAATAATCATAAACAAAAAAAAATGTAAACACGGCAAATAGCTGTACGCACTCTCTAATTGATATCTCACTTCAGCATCATCTCCTCATAAATAACTATGGAGTTTGCAATAGTAGAGAGTTCTAGATAATATTTTAACTAGAGAAAACATAAACCAGTTAAAAAAGGAGAAAGGGGAAAGAAAAAAAAAAGCTTCCCTTTTCTTAACCTCGTGTTCCTGTCCATACCTGATGAAGAATATGAAAATTCAATATATTAATTTTCGTTAGCTATAATATAAATCTGTGAAGACATAAATAAAAGGTAATTAGTTGCAGAAATCCTAAAATACAATACACAATAAAAAAAAAAAATTAACTATGAGAAAAAAATATCACCTTCCAGGATTATATCAAAGGGAGACCCCGTCCCTTCTAATTCTCATTAGTATAACTGTTCATCACAATTTAGATTCTCTTTGAAGGAGTCTAACTTTGTCGTGAAACAATTTTTCGGCCTTAGTCCAAACCTTGGCAGTTTTTCTGTTTGGCAATTCCAACAAGCTTGGGAGCAAATCAGAACTGAAAAACTCAGAAGATTCCCTTGGCAACAAGGATGGCAAGTGATCAATGCTAATGACAGATAATTTTGGACCTTTAGTGGTATCAACTTTAACAGTTGGTTCTGGGAACACAGTAGCAATGCTGTAAATTGGAATAGGGTTATGTGGATTGGTGGTATCAGCAGAAACATCGACAACGGTTCTCAATTTTCTGTCATCTTTGTTAAGAGACTCCAAGTTCACGAATGGTGGAATTGGCTTGGACAAGTAAATACAGTTGACAAAAATATCAGAGTCAACAATTTCTTTGAATGGGCCACCTGGGGCAGTTTCCTTCATATCCCACTTCTTGATGTTTTCATCTGGAATACCCACGGATTTCAAAAATGTGATAGCACCCGAACCACATCTACCCAAAGCACCAATGACCAAAACTGTTGGCAATTTACCGTCAGTTTTCTTGACGGCAGCAGTCAAATCCTTCTTGACATCGTTAATTAATTCGGTTTCATTAGGATATGGTGCGACCCCTGGCAAATCTTTAGAGTCGTCATTTAGTTGCTTGAAAGCCCAGTCCTTAACCCCCAACGCGGCCCCGGCAAAACCAGCATAAAAACCAAAGGCAGCAACTCTTCTACCTTGGTCGTTCTCTAAAAATTCGAGATCATACAAGGTACCCTTGCCACGAGCAAATCTCCCCAAAACATCTTTCCAGCCACCTTGATTTTTGTAGCAGTGAGCAAATTGGATATGTGTGTGAATCAATGGGAATGTTTGTTCTTCTAGTTCTTTCAAACCAATAATAATACGCTCTTTTGGAGCACTTTTCCATGAGTCAGTTGGAACAATAATGGCCCCGGCCTTGGCATATTCTGCATTGTCAAAAATTGACTGTTCTGATTCTTCAACATAAATCTTGAATCCAGCTTCAATCAACTGTTTGGTGGTAGTTGGAGTCAAACAGGCTCTAGCTTCCATAGGCTTGGTTTCAGCTCTCAAATGAAGGATAACTTGATTAGACATTGCGGGTTATTTTTCTAGTAATGTTATCAAAATAAAAACTATTCTCTTGTGATAGAAAGAAAATGAATAGAAAAATGCAACCTCAGAGTGGAAAAAAAAATTGCTTTTATAAGTCAAAAAAAAAAATATGAGTCAACAACTATTACTCACTTATTCAGCCATCATCACGGAGCACACTGCAGGGACATGCGAGTGTCACAGAGCGATTTTGAAGATGGAAAAATAATTCATAATAATTTTTTTTGGTGATGAGAGCATCACGTACTATTGTTATCTCCCAACAACTACAGAAAAATGATACCCACAAGAGTACTACGACAGAATATAAAACCAAAGTTGGACTTTTCCAGGGTATTGAAGGATCTTTATGGTGCTCTTCTGGCGGACTCTCAAAAGAATTCCAAAAACTCCCTACATGAAAATCTATCAAACTTTTTAGAAGACAACACAAGGAACAGAGACTATGAAGGGGATATACCTTCTTTCAAATTTAATGAAGATGACAATAAATCATTTCCTGATTTGCGGAAAAATAGTTTTGCTACCAGTTTCTATGCCAATAAAGTTGGCGATGATGTATCAGCGGATATTAAAGACCCTCCAAAACCAAAAGACAAGTTGATTCCTGAGAATTTGGCTGGGGCTTATCTCAGTAAATTCTTCCCAGATGCAGTTGGTGGAAGTAGCGATAAAAGAACCAACATACTTTATTACAAGACTGATAACCCATTCCTTCTCAAGGAGGATTTCTTCTTGTTGTTATCTGATGGAAGTTCTTCAAACACCTCAACCGACAAGGCAGGTTCCCATACAATATTCTCTAAAAGATTTCTGCTTGGTTGGAAATTGGAAAGCTTTGAAGTAATAAAAGCCAGAGATTCTGATGTTTTGGAATTTGCTGGAGGTTATTTTTTGATGTTCAAGAGTCATGATCTTGCATGTGCCTATTTTTGTGATGTGATCAATAGTGCGTTTGAAGGCCAGCCGTTTAATCTTGAATTTTTGGATGTCACGGATGAAAAAAAAAATAAACAATTAGCTCACAAGTTCTTGGAGGAAAATTTGGAATTCACGAAAATAAGGTCAGACAAGGTCAAGGGGCGCATTGAACATTGTGGGTCGATCGTTTCTACGATAGGAGAATCTAGTCCGGATCTTGACCCTAAACAATATTCTTCGGAAGAGATATTATTCATAAAGTCTACCATTAAAGATCTCCCAGCTATGAAGCGTGATCAATGTGTTGTGGTTCATAATTTACCTTATTCCATGACTCCAGTTGGGATCATTCATCACTTTCTTTGGAATTTCGATTTATACCCAGATCACTCTAAAGCGGTCAGATTATTGCTCGACGATCCCGTTGCGCGCTACAAGTGCTGGGTCATTGGTTTTGATAATAATGATGACCCTAAACGTTTTTTTAGGGCATATCATGGAAAATATTTGGAGGGTAATACCAATTTTCCAAAAGTTTATGTCGATATATTGGATTAAGATGATATGATTGTATTATAGTGTATATAGGAACATCTATTTTCTCTAAAGGATTTACTTGCAAAGGATATTCTTGTAAGCATGTGATTGTAATATAAGCTTGGTCTCATGTTAATCGACGGATTGAGAGTCTTATATCATAATTCGATCTACTACTGGTTGTATCGAATGAAATAACATAAATTGTTGAAGTAAGTATAAATACTGTGTAAAGGTTTAAGCGTGTCCTCTAAAATAAGAATAATGAAAAGGAAAAACGAGAAAGATCGCTTTATTTAAGTAGTTCGATATTCTCTTGGAGCTATTAGGTAGTTCTAAAAGATAATAAAAGATAATAGAAGATAATAGAAGGTAATAGAATATCCTGGCATGCTCTAGAACCTAAAAGGGAATTCTTCGAAATGCTAGGATATTCTACGAAGGATTATTAGTGAACTAATGCATCCTAGAAGTGCATTAACAATAGTATAAATAATACCTTGAGCATGACCTGTCCCATGTTACAGTAATGAAAATTATCTAGTGCCAGCGTTATTTCGTAACCTATGATGGAGTATGTATGTAAGCGCTTTACTGAAATCTTCCACTGGATATCACAATATATTGTAACAATAGGATCCCGTATATTGTGGCTGTCAACGGAATACAAGGGACCAGAATTGAATAGTCGTCTAAAGAAAAGTATTTTTTAGAAGGATTCTTCCAAATTTGTATTAGGGTTGATTTTCAACCTTCTAATGAGACCGGCGTTCCAAGAATGATCTTGATCAACTTTTTTCATCACACCAGTGATAATCAGCGGTGGAGCTAATCTTCAGCAACATAAAAGGTACTAATGCTGAATTATAAGATTATTGAGGAAAAAAGATGCAATAAGAGTATATGATGTGGGTTCACTAATCAATTAAAATGCATTGTTACTTCTGAATAATAATTAATAAGGGTTTTTCTAAAGCAAAACTTTATTATTATTAGTTTTAGCATTATGCTTTTTCACTTGATATTATTTCTATCTATATTTCACACTATATTGCTCCTATAGCTTATCAGATGGGTCTCGGTAGAATAAGTCATGGCGAAGGTATCTTAGATCCTATTGCATCATAGTAACGTTCATACTAAGATTGCTAATATTATCAGATTTAAAAATCATATTACTTCTTACTATCTTTTATTTTATCATAATATCTTTTATTACACTTTATCTTCCACAACTTCCACAACTTGCTTTAGTTTTAGATAACTCTTATATCTCATTTTGCCCTATTTTTAGATCGCTTTACACTTTACACAATATTTATACTCACTTTTTTTAACATGAGAACAAACTTATATTACAGTCTCAACATGCTGTTGTTACTTTGTCCCACTATATAAGGGACTTGATTCTTTCATTTAATCTTCTAAGAACGTTTCCAATCAGCTGGGATGTCCAAAAATGAGATGTAAATTGAATGAAGGAGTTTTAGCATTACATATTTCCAATGAATGAATGAATTGTATATTAACGAGTCACAGAGGTCCTAAGTAACATACAAGCCGGCATTTTATGTCAGTCTTTCTAATAGATAAGTAAAATATTATAACTTTCTCACAACATCACACTCCTTGCTTTAAGGATTAATCACATCACCGGTAAAAAACTCAACAATCAAAATTATTAAGGAAAAAAGGTGCAATGTGGAAATATGATATGAAGTCGCTAGTGAATTATCCATCACTAGGAGCTTCATAAACTGAGATGGGGGTCTTCGTTAATAGGTTTTGGTACTATATCTCAAATACTAAGTATTTTCAAAGTAGTGACCGTCATAATTCTGGGGAGAATAATAAAAAGCAATAAAATAATAATAAAATAATGAAAACCAAGTAAATCAAAAAAAAGGACAATTGAACAGAGTAAACCAATTGAATCAAACCAAATAAATCAAAGCAAATCAAAAAATCGAATAAAAACCGGTACCTATATATATTATATACCAAAACAACGGTACTGTAAAAAACATTTGATCTATTTATCAAATATTTATCGTTAACATCTATTCCTCATGGCCCAATGGTTAAGGCACTTGACTACGGTTATTGGGGATCAAGGGATTCCAGGTTCGAGTCCTGGTGGGGAAGATTTTTTTTTGCAACCCGAGAAACTGCAGTTTTTTTTTTTTTTTAGGAGTTATTGGTGGCGAGAAATCTCAAAAAAAAAAGGAAAAAATATTCCTAAAACAGTGTCCAAATAAATACAAAAGTGAGAACTTATAAATAAATCTAATTATAGAAAACAAGAGAAAATAGTAAGAAGTGATATAAAGTAATAGAAAATTCTTAGAAGGAATCGAAAGACCGTAGAAAGATCATGAAAATGGCTGACGAAATAGTATCTAAGATACCTTAAGCATGATTTATGCTACAGGAATATGTTAACTGGAAAATTGTTTGCCCCTTCGATTGAAAACTTCTCAAGAGAACAATTCATGAGCTTACATAATAATTACTAAAAATAAATGTATTCAAATTATATCAATATTTGAAAAAACAATAAAGGTGAAACTAAAACTAAACTCAAAAAAGCCATAGTGAGCAGAACAATTGTTTCACTGAAACAGATCATTGGCGTACCAATACGGAAGAATTAGGAAACAGGAAACAGGAAACAGGAAACAGAAAATGGTAAATAAAGATATCCATTGAAGATATACAGAAGAAAATTAAATATGAGAATACAATGGCCAATGAATATCACAGTATGGTGAAAGGAAAGTCAACACAAGATAAAATGAAATGAAACAAAAGAAAAAGGTGAAAGTGCAAAAAAAAAAGTAATTATTATATTATAAGTTTTGATAGAATTATTTTAGTTATTCCCTTTTATGCTTTTTGTGAGGCAAATTATCCGTGTTCTTGTCATCAGACTGATTTGATTGATCTCTGTACTGATTGTAACGTAGTTGATCAATATCCACCAACACGACTTCCTCATAAACTTCTTCCTCACCGGTTTCTCCAATAAAAGTGCATGGCTTGTTTTGTCCCGTATTATTACTCCTCTCTTGAAGCCCCTCATATCCATTCTGATATGTGATCTCTGAAAAATTTTCATAACTCTCCGAATTACGTTCAGGCAAGGCCAATTCTAAATATTTGAGTTGGTGAGGATTCAAAGACCCGGACTTCGGGAATTCAACATAAAATTTAATGAATAAATCACCATATTCCATCAGGGAAGCTTCTGTGATAGTAGGATTTGAAGTATCTTCAATAGAACCATGTGCGGCTGGCTGATATTTAATAGTCTTTGGCATACCATAATTCTTCACAACTTTAATGGACCCTGGTTTAATAATTTCTCCGCTTTCAGCCAAAACTTTGCATTTAATGATTTTTCCATTCAAAAACTTGAAGTTAAACCACCCACCGGCAAGAGACGTAAGAAGATCAATTTTTTGATTCATGATTAAGTCATCATTCTTTCGAACAAATTTATCATGGTCCAATTGAGTGACAATAATAACAATATCACCGGGAATAACAGTGTTAGAATTTGCCAAAGTTTGATAATTAAACAGCGGCGAAAAAAAATCGCTGGTTGATTCATCACCATCAAGATATGAATCAGCTTCGTTCCGGAAAACAATTGAGTCTTTATTCTTAGTGCCTGGAGGAATCGTAATATTGAGGATTTTCTTCCGCTCGACAAACTTTAAACCTTTACAGGTTGTACATTTAAGACAACTAACATTACCACCGCTGTTGCTAATGGCATTACTCAATACCTGGTTGTATTCATTCACGTCCAAACCCTTCCCATGACAACCTTCACAAGCAGCTCGAATTCGTTGATAGCCATTATTTACAAACACTTGGCCTGAACCGTTACAGGTGTGGCAATTAATAGAAGTAACATCAATCATCGAAGTGTTCAACCCTGTTGAAATACATTCCGTACAAGGGATCTTCCGAGTCAAAACGAGTTTGGTAGTCTTCCCAAAATATAAATCTTCAAGGGCGCAAGCAAGATTGTAACGCATGTTAGGGCCTCGCATCATCGGCTTTTGCTCATTCCTAGCAGCCATAGTAGGAGCACTCATATTACCTTGTTTAAAAAAATTGGTCCCATTATAGGAATTATTTTGCGGCATATTAGAAAACTTCGAATGTGTATTATCACCACCACTCGGCGACAATATGCTGTTGATATCATTTATCATTTGATTAAACAAATGTTGCGGGTCTTGTTGAGGGTTTTGCTGATTCTGTTGTTGAAATGAGGAACCGAAAAATGCAGAAATCTCAGTGTTTTTATTATTTTTGTTATCATTGTTATTATTATTATTGTCATTATTGTTGTTATTATTATTATTGTTTTTATTATTATTGTTATTATCATCATTATTATTATTAGCCTGATTGTCATTATGAAAATAAGTCGTTTTAGTCGTGGTGGTGGTGGTGGTGGTGGTGGTGGTTTTTGTATTTCCACTGCTCTTGTAGGCCGCTTTATCGACTTCAATTTCATTCAAACCACTCACCCCGTGGGAATCATAAATACCTCTTTTAACAGGATCATATAATACTTCATAGGCAGCCGTGAGGTTTTTGAATCTTTCTGTAGCCTTGGGAGAATGTTGGTTCTTGTCAGGATGATCCTTTAAAGCTTTTGTTCTATATGCTTTTCTAATCTCGTCCTGCGAGGCTGTTACTCTAACTCCGAGTAAATCATAATAGCTCAGGTCTTTAACCATCTTCTTCTTCTTCTTCTTCGTCCTCCTTTTTTTTTATTATTATTATTATAAATATTATTTATCGTGCGTAATAATGTGTTATCGTCAATAAGCAAACTGATTTGAATAATGTACCAGGTAATCAGATTCTGTTCTCTTCTTTTAAAACACACTGGAAAGGTGCCACCTATGATAAAAAATCATCTAATTTGAGGTACTTTGACTAATAGCTTTAACAACTTCGCCTCTAGAAGAGGAATAGGAGTCACCACAGTCTTGCTTTGCTGATGGTAAGTAGTGGGTGAATTCAATTTTTTCTTATTTTTTTTCTCCCCTCGTGTTGTCGCTCGACCAAAATTTTCCATCCACTTCCACGCATGCATATTTGTGCAGTGTTCACTCACAGACATTAGAAAAAGAAAAGAAGCTACAGAACCACCGATTGTTGTTTCACCTGTTGTTCACTATAAATGCATGGCATATACTAAACTATCTATCTCCTACACATAATCCGTCACCTCGACTTCTTCAATCCAGAGATTCCGAAGATCCACGGTTTTTTGCGGTGCTTGTAGTCTCTTTTTTTTACCGCGGCCGTCTTCCATGTCCTCACACAAAGGAGTATATTCATGTATCGGCGCCTCCTCCTGGTATTCACACCAATTCTCACCATAAACCTTATTATTGTTGTGATGCTGCTTGTTGTTTAGGCTATCGTGTACCACATCATCAGACTTATTACAAGCACTAATTAAATCCTTCTCCTCTTCAACTTTCATGTTAGAATCTTCGTAATCTACTAACTCATCGTAATCTACCTGATCCTCACCATTTTCACATTCGTCATCTCCATCCAATTGATTTTTCTCAATAATATTGCCGTCATCGTCAAAATGAATATGCTTAGATTTCGCTTTTGTACAATATTTCTGTTCTCTTGATTCTGTAGTGGAATCAACTATTGCTCGCACTTTGGATAGTGGGACTCGGAATTTTGGGACTTTTAGCATCTTCTTCACGACCTAATTCACTTTCACTTTGCTGTTCATAGTCCTCATCAATTGTGCTCAATAAAATCTTCTCCTCGGTTATTGCTTCATACATTTGCTGAGCCCTTTTTGCTTCTTCAACGCTCGGCATATCTTTAACTTCGTCCTTTTTATCATCTTTCTTGGAATTATCATTTTTTTTCTTCTCATCAACTTCTTTCCCGTCAGAACTTTCAGGGACCTCATTTTCCTTTTTGCTTTCACTTTCCAAGTTTTTAAGATCAAGAGCATCAGCATATGTGTTCCATTTAGTAATGGTTTCCTTCAATTCTCTTTCAACTCTAATTTTCGATCCACCTTGGATGCTTTTGAAGTAAACATGTAAATAGCTCATATATTTATCGTCAATTTTCAACACGTTCTTGATCAACCAGTTTTGTTTCTGTTTAGAAAATTTCCAGTTTTCTTGATCATCAACATACTGTTTGAGATATGCTAATTGGTCTTTTTCTGGAGGCGGAGCACGCTCACTTTTAGGCAACTTCTTTCTCTTTGCAGGCTTCTTAGTTTCTCCAGTTTGTGACTTGTTATTTGGTTCTTCTCTAGATCTTTTCTGTTGACTATTTTTCAAAGATTTCTTTTGTTTGTTTGTGATATTAGCGTCTTCCAAATGGGTTGGGACCGCAAGCGGATCTTCACTCACAGTCTTCTTAACTTTCAACCCGAGTCTTTTCCATGCAGGAATTCTTTCTTCTGCCATTTTCGATATTTCTTTCTTCAATTAAAAATACGCTTTAGTGGCACTACTTATGAACAAAGAATCACTTTTTTTTCTCTCTCTTCCTCATCTCATGCCCCCAAAAAAAATCATCATCACGGGGGTAACCCGGTCAGTATTATTTCAAGTACAAAACGAAAAATTTTTTTTTTATTACTTCTTCTTTTGGGGTTCCACTTTCTTCTTTATCATTCAATGTGCGTGCCATCGCAACCGAAACTCAAGGGTATCAAAATTTCTTAAAATTTGATTTTCTTTGAAGGTTGTTCTTTTTTAAGAACTTGGTGGCTAACTAGATCAATTTCAACATACTTGGTTTGAGTCCGTTTGTGAGATTAACACTTCTAATGGATATAGAGATAGTATACATTTCTTTCCTTGTTTTCTTTTTATTCTTATTCTCTTTTGACAGGTAATTGAACAATAATCGTCACTTGGATTCAATTTGAAAGGAATATGGAAACCTGTAATGTATCGTAATTGTAGCAAGACCCTGGGGGCTTCTGGGTTACCTATGTTAAACCCTCAGTGTAATACAGAAGAGTAACCAATTCAATATTGATGATTGTGATATAATAAGTCAGGGTTTCTACAAGAGATCACAACTTTCTTCTATCATGAGTTGATTCTTTTCTAAAAACGTGTTGGCGATATCTTCTGAAAGATAACTATAGCAGCCCGGAGTTCACATTAAAGCAAAAATTTCATTTTCGAGATCCTGCTTTGCTTAAGAGCTGTACCATCCAATGGTTTACAAATATTGACAAATACTAGCAAATATTAACACCTGATAATGAATTAGCACTTAATTCGCTAATGACATCGGCAACAATAGTCCATCTATCAAAATTTTCGAAATAGTTACATTCATTGACATTAGCTATAACATACGCAGTAAACAGGTTCCAGAACCGTTTTTGTTTTTTCTAGAAACTCTCTAAACAACACCCGCAGTTGCAACATTAATTAACTTAATATTTTTGTAATGTTATTAGCTGCATATTTATATTTTTATGGATATATTATCTCCATCAGGAATCTTCAGCTTTGAGAAAAAAAAATATTTTCCGAAAAACGACCTCGGTGAGGATCGAACTCACGATCTTGCGATTAACAGTCGCACGCCTTAACCAGCTTGGCCACGAAGTCTGATGAAAAAGCCTCTTCTGAACTGATTATTCTGGATTTCTAACTTAGAAAAAACCGGGGCTCAAAACCACACTTTTATATTAATTACAGCTAGGGTTTACCGGAGTGGAAGTATGGCCATCCGTAAGTGCTGCATTGGAGGACGGATAAGTTGCAGTTAAAGTTATCTTAGGACATTATGAAGTAATAATATTGAGTTGTTACTAGTTATATTGCGGACTGGATGGTTTGTGTGTCGTTTATTCCAGCTTAGGACTAAACTGAGATGGAGGTCTTTGTTGAGGGGTTTTGGCATTATTAAGGTTATGAGCACGTGTATCATTGCCTATAACCAATACCTCAAACCATACTACTACACCAATGTTACAATCAGTGTGAAAGGGCACACTAGATTCTGGAATCAAGTGGAGATTACAGGCAGTATTTTATATCCAAAGAGACTTGTCTTTCCTAAACTAAATCAAGGTCAAAACTAAAGGAATGTTGAATCCTTAAATAAATAAAATGGTTAAAACTAATAATGGGGTGTTGGACCCCTTCCCGGAATAAAGGACTAAAAGATAAGGGGTGGAACATAAGGTGATACCTTGATAAGGTAATACCTCGATGAGGTAATGCCGATCATGGGTTCCGTATGGTACCATGAATGAATGAATGAATGAATTGTATACCATACCGATGGTAACCAGGACACAACCTAACCATGATCCCATAATATAAAAACCAATCACAAGTGGAGGGTTGGCCGAGCGGTCTAAGGCGATCGACTCAAGAGCACATTTGTTCTTCTTCTGCATTGCAGTTGAGCAATCGATTATCGTAAGATGCGCGAGTTCGAATCTCGCATCCTTCATTATTTTTTTCCCAAATTCAAATTACAATTTTTTGTAAACCAATTCCCAGAGGTAAGCAGTGTAAATCTACACAATATATTTGTTATTCAAGCAAACATAATTTTGTCATAAGTTTCTGCAAATACTACCAATAAAAAACTGTGGGGGAGGGGGGGGGTATCCCTTATCTGCATATTATACAGCGCAAGTCCCTTCAACAGAAAGAACCCTGGACATTGTGCTCTGTCACACGACCCACATAATGCGGGGATTACCCTCATGAAGGAAATATCCACCTTGATAGGCATTTGAGGCGATGCCCGTTTGGTATCTCACAAAAAAAAAAGCCTCTTCTTTGGAGTTTTCTCCCCCAAGGCTTTTTGCTATTGATTTATTTATTTGATAGCCACTATCAAATACCTGAAAACTTCTCCCCTCCCTAATTTACCTGTTTTAAAATCGCTAATGAGCACTTTGCGGTCCTAGATTGAGAAACTTCAGTGAGTCAGAGTATCCTGTTCATGCTTTATTTAGGAATATTATCAGCTTTCTTTTAGTGATCCCTATACATAGCCAGACTCACGGTAACAAAACAAATCATGATTCTTCTATATTGGGTACCCATCTATATATGGTGCTTGTTGTCTCCAGTATATGCCACCGTATCCAAAAGTAACTATAATAGAGATGATGAGATCCCAATTTTGGTTACGAATATATCACCAGGTGGCAATGGTGAGAATGGTCTTTTCCATTTGTATCCAGTAAGCTATTTTGAAGAAGCCACCGATTTCTGCTACGCAGATAAATGGGTTGATGAGAATGAACCTAGTTTTGATAATCAAAAATATAAAACGATCAGTAATGTGTTCAAAAGTGATACAATATTCAATGACCATATTTACTATGGTCCGCGTACAATTATATCCAAATTTCAGCAAGACATCCAGTGTGACCAAATGTGCTGGAGAAGCTATGCTACAGCTAATGCATCACAAATCAATTTCTTGATTGAAAATGATTACCGTTTGAATTTTTACATCGATGATATGCCGATTGGCAAAGAATTTTATGATTATAATTCGAATAAGTTTTACCTATCCAATAATGTTCCAATTGGGTATAGTGATGTTAATAAGGTTCTTCACATCTATAACCATTGGCAGTTCGTTATTTATTACACAAACACCGGCTTGAACAATTATAATATAATCAAGGCAGTAATGCAACAACGTTCAACGAAAAGACTGAAAGAATCTGAAAACCAATGCCAGGTTTTCCCTCCAATGACTTTGAGATTGAAGTCTGATGTTGATAATAAAGTGATTTTCACTTATGAAATTGTTTGGAAGGAAGTGGATCATGAGGTTACTAATCATTATGACTGGTCAAATCGTTTTGATCAATATAGACATAGTTTGGTCAATTATAAATACGACAATATCCAAAATACTTTGAACTTTGTTTTGGTGCTTTTCATTGCCTTATATTCAAGAAGCAAATTTAGTTCGATCATTAATGATGCCGACATGAAGAGCTATAAAGCTGTATCTAGCAGCCCACTTGCTGAAGAAACCGTTGATGATGAGTTTTTGTTAGACTGGCATTCATTGAAAAATGATGTGTTCAGAAAACCATGTAATTTGGTCCTATTTTCAAACTTGGTTGGTTTTGGTTTCCAATTTCTATTAACATCTACCTTGATTTTATCTCTTTTGATTTTGAATATAATTTCTATTTTAATACCCAATGATGTCAAGCATAAATTTTTCGAATTTGCTATTCTCACTAGTGGTATTCAATCATATGTCTCTTCTACTGTCTACAAGAATTTCCATCCAAGTTATTCCAAAAAAAATTCTGCCACGAACACTCTCAAAGATCACAAGAAAATCATTGTTGTAAATGCAATTTTTACTCCTATAGTGTTTCTTGTGATCAGTACAGTGTTGAATTTGGCGTACAAATCCGCTAATTCCTCCAAGTATTTAGGATTTGATGTTTTTATGAAAATTGTTAAGAAGTTCCTATTCCTATATTTCCCATTGTCGTTACTGGGATCTTTATATTCTTTGAAATTTAGTAAAACTAATTTCTTCAATGAAAATGTCAATGTCAACATAATTGAAAAGCAAATTCCTTCATCCGTGCCGGTTTTTAACAGACCAGTTATTACTTCATTGGTTGTTGCCATATTCCCTTTTACTATTGTTTGTACGAGATTGGATTCATTATGGTACTCAATTCTCTTCAACAATTTCTATTTTGGCTTCTGGAACTATTTGATATGTGTCTTTTTGGCGTGTATTGTTTCTGCGGCCATAAATATGACTATGGTTTTTGATTCCTTGAATGCAGGTGATTGGAAGTGGCATTGGCTATCTGTTAAGAGCGGATTAACTGTTGCGTTATACTGTTTTGTTTACAGTTTTAAAGTTGTTGGCTGGAACAAGTTTGGTGATAAACAATCTTTTTTAATTTTTGTATGCCAGAACTTTTTGGTGAGTTTTTTGATTGGTGCAGGATTCGCCAGTATCAACTTTTATTTTGCATGGGTGCTGGTTAAGAGACTTTATAAAGCTTGAGATAATTGTATTTCCTCCTATAGACTATACAAATAACCACTTGAACTTTGTGCATACATTCTCTGTTTTCTTGTATTATCTTTGTGCACTTCTTCATTTCTTGAACTCTCCTGCCCCTTGAAATATCTTTCAACCTACAACATGTCCATATTTTAGTTTATTTCTTTCTGGGCACTTTTATTTTTTTATCTTGCTTTTTTATCAATTTTATGTTAGCTACTGATATATTTTTAAGCCGGCTTATCATATATACACTTTTCATAAGCTCGTACTGTAGTTGTCAAGTTATACCAATCTTTTTTTTTTTTTTTTTTTCTTCTACCATTACAACAAGTGGAAGATACCTTAAAAGATGAACTAAATTAAAATAGACAAGAAAAAGAGAAAGTTAAAATAAAAATAAAAAAGTGGAAAAAGTCGTTATATCAATTTTTTTTGTTCCCTCATTCTTCTTTAAAGAGCGGTCAAATCATCATACTCCTTCACTCCTTGGGAATTTATAACCTTCACTCTTAAACCCTTGAAGTCAATTGGCATTCTGGTAGATAGCTCCTTATTACACAATTGCAACAATTTTATACCTTCTTCTTCATTCAAATCTGGTTTATAATGGCGATCCAATAATGACAAAGCGTAGAAAGCGGCGTACCCGTGCGCAGCGTATGGTAATTCGACATTTGTTCCAAGATAATCTATCCAATACAAAGAGGTTTCAGGTGTTTCTTTGTTAATATCACACCCACCAATGAGCACATTGACTTGGAATGGCTTTCTAGATCTGATGGAGGTAGCCAATTCTTTTCTGACAAAAGACGCCATAGCCTTCGGTGAAAGTTCATAATTCTGACGAACTGAGAAGAGCTTCAAGTTGGCTTGAACGTATTCAGCAAATTGAACTATAAGATTGAAGAGCTGTTAGTAACGACGCCTCACCATAAATATTCACTGTGGTCCCAACTTATAATGGCATTGAATAGTTTTGAACTTGTCCAAGTAAAATACAATCATAAAAAAAAAAAAAGAAAGCATAGAGCTAATTTTAAGGTAAAAAATAATGAAATTTCCAACATACCAGTATCCCCAGATTCACCAGTGAATGCCATAGCTGAATGATCCCCCAAGTTTCTGGTTTTATCATCACTAGCCTTCAAAACAGAGATACCTCTAGTAACGGCTTTCGAGGTGGCAATTAAAACAGAATCGTTCAACTTGATCCCTAATATGATATCCATGGTTGTAATTAATGTTTATGTATAAGGAAACCTTCAATATAAAATTTATCGAAATAGATAAATTGTCTGGTAATTATCTCAATAACTTGGGCTACTGACTAAAGTTGGTGGCAATTTTGGTTTAGTTTAACCAAATTCATTCAATATTTGAGCTTAATCACGTGATAAAATATGGAAAAAAAAATTACTGCAATCTATACGGGATGCCTATTATGATTGAAAACTGGTACTCTGGGATATAAAATATTGTAAATAAATCTCATAAATACCTTCTTTTATTATATAGAAATAGGTAAAAAAAAGTCTATATAATATATATATAGTATTTTTTTTTCTCTTGCTCCATTTACTTTCAATTTCTTCCGGTCATTATATCCAGCATCTAACGCTTTTGAAGATTCTTTGAAAATTGTAGAATAGAAGGGGAGCTAGATGAAATGATAAATTTTGCTGTCTATGGATGAATGCAAACTCTTTCCCTACAAGAATCTTCCAAATAGCATTACCAATTTGGCATAATACATATATTTTCAATCAATTCACTTTTGGATTACCTAACATCTGTAGACGTTAAGGCATGGTTAACCATTACCTAAAAGATTACCAGCCTTCTGGAGGAGTAATTTTGCTTGTAAGGTGGGGGCAACCTGTATGATCACAGCCCTTCTTGGACACTTCTGTACCCCACCAAGAAAAACCATCAGAACCACCAGTATATACCACACAGAAGTAAATGATAATAGCAGCAATAGCAACACCACAGTCTAAGCCAACTGCCATGACTAAATTGTACTTCTTCCACCAACCATGTCTTCTTCTGTGGACCCAAATATTCATAATGAAGGCCACAAAAGCCCAACTTGAATAATTGATTCCAGTAACACTTGGAATATTAGAAGCACCTCCGAAAAACAATGTTGTATTGAATTTTTGAAGGAACACATTTTTCTTCCACTTTAATTGCATGAGACAAACAATTGAAGCAGTGCCAGCTCCAATAAAGAAGAACCACATCACCCAAGAATAACGCCCACCATGAGAGTAAATATGTGTACCAAATAATCCCCAAACCAAATAACTATTGTATTGGGTTTTGGAACTTCTGCAGTACATGTCGTTTTTAGCTTCTGCAGTACAAACCTCTTTTAAATGCTCGATAAGGTAACCAGTGACTGCTGGACTGACCAAACCTGCCCACACTGAACTAACCAATAAAACCGACATCACCACCTTTGGAGGGACTTTCATGTAATGTCCGACTTTGGCAGCACTAGCAGCATGTTTTGCGTGCTGTAAAGTACCAAAACCCATGGTGTAGAAAAACATGATGCTGATTGGCTTTCCTTTGAACCAGAATGCGGCAACTATTTCAAAGAAAGAAGATAAGGCAACTTCAAAGTTTGAACGAGATTCAATCAAAGATAAAGGCAAGAAAAGACCACCACCAACAACTAAAGAGACAATATAAGATGCTGGACTGAATTCGATATCTACCCAACCTCCGCTAAAACCAAAGCCCATTCCTAGTGCAATCAAACCGATGCAGACATAAAAGTACCATGGGAATCTTTTATACTTTTCCATGGCAACATTGTGAGCATCAGTTTTTTTATTCCTCAAACCCCCAATGACATCTTCATGGAATCGGAAGAAAAAGGAGACCATCATGGCCGAAAACGCTGCTAACCCTAAAGCCAAGTTCATCAAAAATGCAATTGGCAACATGACAGGAGAATATTTCTTGAACTTGGCGTAATCAAGAGACCATTTGCTATCAATGACTTTAGAAGCATCATAAGATTTACCTTTAACATCATAAATTGCGGAAGTCATAATTGGGAAATGCGCAGTTTGCCAGTGATTCTGATAATACAATCCAGGCATTACAATCCAGATCCAGAAGACAAAGGAAAAGAAAATACATGCAGTTGACCAGAACGGAGTGGTCAAAGGATTGTTTAAAGAAGATACTTGCGTCCAATCCAAAGTCAATGGGAATAAACCTAAACCAGTCTTGACCCCGAATATTTGAGAAAGAGTAGCGTTTTCTGGTCTAATCCAACTAATCCAAGCTCCAATATCACTAAAAAATGGGGCAATTAAATCAGGGAACCAGTACCAAACAAATGATAGGAAAAAAACGACTACGAAGAAATTGAGTCTAGAAATCTTCCAGTTACCCACTGGAATGTTTTCTCTGGAGTGCAAAGTGGGAAACAAGGCGCATATACTTAACACCCCAGGCCAGGTGATGTTAGCAGGGGTGACTAAGATATCAGTCGAGAGTCCGGCCCAACAAAAAGCCATCAAGAAACTGGAGATATGAAGGAGAAGCATTCTGTCGATCCCAATATCTCTCTTGAAATAGAAAAATTCAACAGAAACATTTTTGTTGACCATTGCTGCACTGTCCACCAAATTCGCCATTATGAATACGCATGTATGCTCCTTTTGGTTGAAAGGGCCTGGGTTCAAATGGATAGATTTTCCAAAGGGCAAAGGGATCGACCAGGCTGGCACAATATAATACCAAAGCATACCAATCGGATAAGCAACGAGCTGAGCAACGATAGGACCAACGTGAAGGGTTGGATATCTCAATAGGAAAAAGGAATCAACACCACCAATTACACCACTCAATACGATACTGATCACCCACATTCTCAATGTATTGGCTTCACCTTCATAGTCCTCGGTTGGAACAATGGCATCAATATCTTCTGAAGTGATATCAATGACCTCTAAAAGCTTCTGGCTTCCAATGGACGAGGAAGAGAGAGAAGCATCTTCGTGTTTTTCTTTATCGAGGTACCCTTTGCTATCTTGATCCTCTTTTAGACAATTTATGTGTATGTGATCTTGGAACATGGATGCTTTGTGAAAAAACGACAGCTAAGGATTCTTACGGATTAGTTGCATAAAACTCTTTGCATACTGGCCAAGAATTTGTCTTATATTGCCTAGATTTTTTTTTTCAAGATTATGCGCACTTCGGACATACCTTACCAAAAGTAATTTATCTAATTCATCAATGCGCTCTCATGCGGCAATTTATGCATCATCAAAGGCACTTCTTATATATATAATAATACATATCCAATATTGGAATCAATTTTGTGACAATTATCCTGCTCAATTACTATTTTCTTTGGAAATTGAAAAAAATCTAATATCGCGCTAGTTCGATTTTTCAATGTCTTTTTATTAGGATCTAATATAGTTTTAATAAAAGGGCTCTGAAGACTGAATCTCGGTATTCTTAACCCCCAGGAACATCAACAGTAGGGTTACTGATCATATGCTAACGTATATCAAGGCACATAAAGCATGTCTGACATGGGGAATCACCGGCCATCTAAAAGATCTTTTCGAGCCTTGAAGTGCCGCGGTTTTTTTTGAACTGTAATAATATTGGATGAATATTTCTTATGGAGTGTAATGAAAACTTCTTCCATGTAATAAAGAGCTAGTGATAGTTATTGTAGTTGGTTTGATTTTATATTCATTCACATTATGAGTGGCCCAAAAGTGTGCATAACATTTATTAAGGATACTGTATTCAGAGCTCTGAAGAAGAAAAGTTAATGACATCATGAAGCACGATAACATGGCCCTCCGTTCCCTCCACAACATATGTATATAACGACAGGAAAGCCAAGATTTCCGAATCTTGGAAAACTAATTTTGGATTGAGATGCAAATGGCTGCAGCAAGCAAGGAAATGGCATCAGTGTAATAGACAAATATGGTAGAGCATATGGGGTGTCTGATAAATTTGAGTTCCACATATTTATTAGATAAGAGACTAAAGAAAAAAAAAAAGCGCAATTTAATATTACTCTCGACTGGAGATTGCAACGCCTTGAACAGGTTCCCTCCGTGCACAAGAACCAGTCATCAAATGTGTATATGATCATAAATGAGGTTGGGTTTAAAAATAGCGCGAGAAAACGATATGGATGTTCTGCTTTCCAATTTGTCGATGTCATTCCAAAGATTTGATCATTGAAAATGCTCTGCTTCACAGAAGTCACCACTGTTTAATTTACCTTGCGTGGTCTTGGTTGACCTGTGAAAGTGAACTAGAAAATATTTAACAATTCAAGGAAAGTGAACTAACCTACGCTTTCAGAAGAGTCATCCAGCTGAGAAGTTTTTATGTTCTTTACTAAAACTTCTGATGAAGAAGTATGGTACTATAGACATACCATAATTGAAGGAGACTACTAATGGTCTCCTCTAGAATTAACAGTTGCTGTGCAAGCAATAATTTCCAGGGTACACCAGGAGCTTTTAATACGTCTCCCCAGCCGCCAGCACAAACGCGGCTTCAAAAATGTACGGTCGTATTGAGTAATTTCTACGTAACTACTAAAAAACCTTTTTAAAACAATTTCACAAAAGTATAAATCTTTTTAGTCAAGATTGAATATCAAAAACATTATTACTTGTCTCTCCTCTAATTAAGAGTAGGGTACCTTCATTTACAGTGGTTGGAGTAAACTAATATCCAGACGAAATTCCAAAATCAAAATCTATATTCAAGGTAAAACTGTTGTTTCTTTTTTTTTAAAAAAAACTAGTATTGATCAATTCTGTTTATTAACAGTAGTCTTGCCTCTCTGCCTCCTTCCCTTAGGTCAAATAAGTATGGGAAACGCAGAGGATCAACTCTTTTCCACACAATTGCCTCAATTAGTCCCACGCTTACTGGTCCAAAAGTATTGCTATCGATACTATGGAAACTATTATCACCTTCTACCCAAACATGATTAACGGGTACTCTCACTATTTTTGCTGGGTAATCTTGATCGCGCGGCGTGATTACATCACCTTCAAGCCCTTTGATTCTCTTTATTAAAAGTCGTTCTGGGTCGACAGGAGATCTCATTTGTATTACATCATTCACTCGTAAGCGGTTTTTTGGGTCCAATTTGAACATCCCGCTTCTTTCAATCAAGAGTTTTGTAGTGGATCCTGGGATTTCATTAAATGTAGGGGTCATCGAAAATCCTGTGACGGTGGTTATTTGGAGCGAGTTTTGAAGAACAAAAACAACTGTAGGGGAGAAAATGAGACACCATTTGGCACTAGAGGAAAGTTTTGAGAATGGCATCACTATTTTTTTTATATGGGCACCGAAACTGTCACCCAAAATCTTGTTACTTCGGGCGTGAGGTTCATCTCCAGGATTTTGATTTCTTCAAAAATATTCGAGAATGTGCGGTTATGCAACACTGTCTGGCGATGAGGCATATCATCACCACATCAACGACAATTAAAGCCAATGAATGAATATAAAGACATACAAATAGATAGACTCAAGCAATGAAAGATATACAACAAGCAAGATAATATGAACAAAAAACTTAAAAAGAAAAAAAATAAAAATAATGAAATAAATGGACAATTTTCAAAAGCAGTGACGAAAAACTAGCATGAACCAACTTGAGGGGGCTTCCAAAGCAACTTAATCTTACCACTCAGTCCTCATCACTTTCTAATTCTTTTACAAGATCATCAATGTCTTCATCAAAGTCACTTTCGCTTTCACTTTCAGGCTTTTTCGCCTTGGTCTTCTTTGGCTTTGCAACAGCTTTTGGTTGATCTTCATCATTTTCACCAGCGGCAGCCTTCAAAGTCTTGGATTTCTTAAAAGATGGTGCGTCCTTGGAGCTAAGTGGTATAGCCTCAAGAGCAGAGGTTGATTGCGAGGATCTCCCTGCCAATTTATCCAATGCTGCTTGAATCTTGTTTTGACTTTGAATCAACTGATTCCATGAATCTTCGGTAAGTGAGATACCTTTTTTACCTGGCTTTGTTTCTCCAGTAGACTTATCAATATAATATTCTCTTATATCCACAAGGTTAATGTTATTAAATTTTCTAACGGTAACTTGTTTTCTCTTACCGAGCTGAACAGGAATTGTTAGTAAGAAACCCTCTAAAGTCACCGAAATCAATTCATTTAGCCACGAACTATAAATAAGGTTACCAAATTATACATACATCTATCTGATAGTCATTAGAAGCACCTTGGTTGTCCACGGCAGCGTAATTACGTTTGAAAGTTTTAGCGTATGCCATTTCTATGAAGTTAGTATAAAAAAAAGCAAGCAATAGGCAATTAGTCGGAAAATAACCAGGGCTTGATTTAGAATTTAATTGAATTAAAACAGATCGTCCGAAGAGGTGTCTTTAGGCAAGTAATTGAGATTGACGGCACAACTTTAGATCGAAAATGACTAAGGGGAATCAAAAACAAAAGATGGGTAAGGTCACATCTGAAAGGTTCACTTCTACAAAAACGTTGGTGAAATAATAATTTTGGGGAATATAATCACGTGCGTCAATGTGGATCCAACACCACGACACTATAGAAGAAGAATATGACAGAACTCTCTGTTAGAGATTATATTTTATTTAACAAGTATTACCTGGTGTATTTAACATGATATGTATTAGCAGGTGAGGATATTCACAAGTTCAGAGAGACTACTTTTTCACTGAGCAGGGAAAAAAAAAATAGCACGAGTCGCTTTCCAACAGGCTTGACAAATTACGCCTTTCATATCGTGATGCACTAAGTTAAAATTCCAGAAATCAATAAAAGCTCTCTCATTATTGGAGTATAAATATGCCAAAAGAAGTTTCACGTGTTTTTTTTATTATAAAACATTCCAATTCCAAGAAAATTTCCTCAGTTTCACAGCCTGTTCTTGATCTTCATTGAGCAACCCGCAGTTTCTCCACACTTCTTCATGCTGCGCTCTCCTTTTGGCACAGTTTCACTTTTTTCTTCAAAAGTTATATTAGTAAGAGAGTATTATTGTTTAAAATTAATTTCTATAGCTATTACGTAGCCCAATTTATTCAAGTTTATATCTCCTTTTGTGAAATCGATTTTGGTGCGGAAGCAGAGCCTCATCATACTTTGATTTATCACTCAGTTGGTGACCTTTACTAAAGTGGAACTGAGCTTGTTAACTCAATGAGTTCTTAAGGTAGTTTTCAATCGTCTGTCTGGAAGTACCACCAAGTTATTTAAGAATACTCTTTTGTATGTTGAAGCAGAATTACTTTGGAATGTTCTCAACTGGAGACGGTTGAACGCACCAAAGATGATATCCTCTGGAAAAGTAGAACCTAGTCCATCATATTGTTTCTTGAAATATAGATCTAGTTAATTAAGATGAAATGGGCTACTATTTTTATTTACATCATCTATTGGTTTCTGCCGTTTCTTGGATACTTACGACAGTCTTTAAGAACTTGAATATTTTCAAGATATCTTCCCCGCATTTTTTGACGCAAGTCGTGGCACTGGAAATACACTAGAATTATTTAGAATATCACTGTCCCGAAGATAAGATAAATCTCACTTCACAATATGATATTATATAGAAAAACCAACCCCTGTCAAAAAAAGATGAGAAAGGAAAAAAAATAGCAATGAGAAGAAGTACAACACGCTCTGGACCAGAGAAAATAGCTCTGATTTGGTCAAGCACGACTTTACCTATATAGAGTCTACCAAAGCTTTGACACCCAACTAATCCCCATTAATGATCAGAATGGAGACACTTAATTAATTGTGTTGCACAATATTCTTGCTGCCAAGGATCATCCAGCTAGCATGCACTGGCTCTTATTTTTCTTTTATTTTTCTTTTTTTTTTTTTACCGTGTTGCTTTTTCTGTTTCCATTTTTCTCACCATCACTATTACTGACCTCGAACACGAATACAATCCATCTAGCACGCAAAAAGAATGTGTGTTAACGGGGAATCAGCAAAATACCCACCACCAAAGAAAAGGATAAGAAAAAAGCATTCCAATTCCAGATTTGGCTGCCAGAATTGCAAGAAGAGAAGGATAAAATGTGGTGAGGAACTTGATTCATGTTTCAATTGTCAAGACAGAAACTTTCGCTGCTCTTTTTTAGATCTCACTGAAGAAGAGAAGGAAAAAATTGTTGCTAATAATCAATCAAATGGAAAAGTCTCAAATGATGGGTCATTGGATGACGAAATAGCCCAAGAAACAAATTCTGCGAATAATGATTTACGAGATTGGAATAACGGCAATGCCCCCAATTTTTTTGTCGCAGTTGACAAGATAAGTTCTGATTTTTCCAACGGTTTAGCCACGTTCAACGTGAAGCTTCCTACAAGGCCAACGCCAGTTAAGAATGTCATGAGCTTAAATAATAATGTTGCATTCAAAGTGATAAAAATGAACATCAACAATTACAAAAAGCGTTCAGCCGCATCATCATCATTATTACTAAAAACAAAAAAATCAGATATTAAGAAGGCTGTTCCATTACCAGGAGGAAAAGAATGCAATGAAACTTTCCAGTTGTTCAAGGTTAAACCAGGAGTGCCTTCGTGCTTCTTCACCTCGGAGAGACTATATCGTGCGTATGGTGAAGATGGGGGACCATACAGTCAACTTAGGCCTCTATTGTCACAATGGTATTTTGACGTCATTCAGCAAGCCACTGATCATTCCTGGCTGAAGTACCATTGTATGATGTCTCAGTCGGCTTTTATATTATACAATGCTATTACCAGGCCATATTTCAAAGGACGATATAATGACTCACACATCAACACTGTCAAGGAGGCATCGGGATATTACAGAAGTTATTCCCTTCAATTAGCACAAGAAACAATTGAGAAAATCAATATGCCTAAAAACTTTAAAGACAAAGAATATGTGTTGCTCGTATCAGAAGTCGCTACTTATTATGCAACCAGTATAGCCCTTTCGTGTTTTGCAGACGATGATTACCACACCTTGTTGGCATTCATAAACGGCTTTATCTCAATAGCATTGGTAAAGCAACTTTTGGAGAGATTTACTGAGGCTATGGAAAATATCAAAAAAACGGATTTCAAGTTTTACAGCAAGTATTCAATCTATTTGGATTTTATATTGGTGATTCAAGAGTTTTATCTAGCAAGCATCAACACCATATATACCCCGAACATAAATTTGGACTTATTACGTGAACTTGATTATGATATGGAGAAATTTGAATGTTCTATTGGTTCTTACTTCCCTCTGGATTCGGATCCAATGATTAAGTTCCGAGAATTGAGAAAAATAGTTAGGCACGATGTTCTTGAAAATCCAAAGGTCTTACAACTATGCAACTTCGTAACCGATACCGAACCTGAAATAATTTTCTACATTTGGAAAAAATTCATTGTTACTTTTCCTTCAGAAAATGTGTTTTTGGCTGCCTCCCAATCCTCTAAGAACGTTTTTGAGAAAATCATTGCTTTGTATTGGCTTGCTGTTTCGTCAGTCTTCAACATTGTGTTCTCCGAATCAACTTATCTATTCTTGTGCCGCTTCGAGAGTATTGTTAGCTTTACTGGGTACGATACGAGTTATTACGACGCAATTGTTACCGAACTAAAAGAAAATTGGAAGCATAAAGATTATCAAATGTATAATTTCTTGTATCGTCGTGCAATTTACTTGATGAGATTGACCTCTTATACTCGCTATCGGTGGTTAACCTACTTACAAAACTTTGAAACTGTCGATAATTTCCCCGACCTGGAAGTCGAGGGACGTAAACGATTCTTATCAAGAAAGAATAAATCTGTCAAGGAAAAACAGATTTCTAGTATGAAATCAACAATTGTCAGCTATGAACATTATCCAAAGAATCTTTCTCCGGAAGAAAAGTATGCAAAGGATTCTGTTTTACGAACTCAATTAGGCAATGATTTTGTCAAGATACCATCGTTTGCGAAGCTTCATGATGAAGGGTTTGAGATTAATAAAAATAATAATTTGAATTCTAACATCAAAGATAAAGTCCTGTCATATCTAAATGGCAATCGGTTTGACACGGAAATAATCCCATTGGAGTTAGTGCGACTAACAGAATATGGGTTGATTGAAAATGTGGATTATAGGCCAAACTTACTGTGCTATTCAAAGTTTAGCCTCACCAAGCTGCCACTAAGTCAGAGAGATGAAATTGAGTTGAATAAATTTGCCTCGGATAGATATGCAATTTTGGACTATAAGTTTCCAAAATATCAATATCCGCCACCAAACCCATAATATCCATTAGTTTGCACTCTATGGTTGATGGTCAGGTCAAATACTTTCTCTTTATTCTTCCATTTTTTTCTTTTTTGATTTTTTTCTTATGTGTATTTTTAGGAATTTATTTAGCATTTAGTTTTTTAGCTTGGATTTATTTATATTCACCGCCAATTTTTCACTTCTTTTATTGTACTATGAATTATTTCCGCAAGTTCTAATAACCAAGGATCATCTTTGAATATCGAACTTGAAAGATTTTCATTATTCTTGCCATGGAATGGTCGATAGCTTTGTTGATGAAGCTGCGTGAAATCTTTAGTTAAGTTGAATTCGCGTTCAACTTTGAGGTTCTTTAAACACTCAGGATCGCTGATTTTCGCAGGACAGTCTTCGATAGATATCCATAATCTTAGCTGTTTTCTAAAAATATAATTTTTGTATCTAAATTTTCGAAGAGCCTTATTATACTCCCTATTCAAAATTCTCTCAATTCCATTAGGAATGTACGCTTCCAAACCTTCAAAATAAACTTGTCTTAAAGGTTCAATATCAGAAAATTGATAAAAATGGTTGTTCTTGCAATTATAGACGTGTTTATAATTGATAAGTTGTTTTAATTTATCATCCAAAGAGCGACCATAATTTTCGGTGTCCATCGAAATAATCCTTTCCTCATAATTTGGATCCAACATTTGATTGAATTCCTGTTGGAAGTGTTTTAACGATCGTTTGTTAAATTTATGATCTAGGGTACTAGCGATTGCAGTAATATCAATGTAAAGTCCCGTATAGGTATCGATGAGCCTGGCATCAATAGTGTTTTGACCATTTCCTTTAGAACGCAACAAGTATGAAGGATTGATATCAAGCAAGTATGATCCTATTCCCAATGATTCATTCATATTATGCTTGATTGAGGTGTCAATGATTAATGTTTGATTGTACTCTCTTCCTAACTTCAACAATGAATCCATGGTCATAACGACATCCAAATCATTGTCAAATGGCATGTTCATGCCATTAAAATGAAAACCCAATAATGTGCCATGCATTAGCCAAGTTTTAAGTCCTACTTGTTTAGCAAACGTTAACCAGGCCTTAGTGATCCTATGAAGAATCAAATTCCTCTCACGATCATCATAGATTGCTCTATTGAAAAACCTCCAGTCATAATGTCCACCTTCATGAGTTTTTGAAGTAAGGAGAGCCTCATAAAAGTACTTAGGCGGATTGACACGGTCCATACTCAGGATCATTTGTAGAAACCTGTAGTCAAAATCCACATTTCTATCATATAATTTTGAGAGCATATTTTCGCCAACTTTTTGAAGTGCTTCCTTTTCCAAAATAGGAAGCTCAACAATAAAATTGGCTTTAGTGAGTGCAGTATTATATAAGTGAGTTTTTGAATCATTAATTAATCTTGCCTGATCATAGGAAGAATGAAACCTACCGGAGTTACCAAATTCAAGCCTTAATTGATCCAATAACGTCAAATAACTCTTAATTTGGTCTCGAAAATTCAAGCCCTTGTTGACGGTGACATTACAAGAGTTTTCACAAAAATTAGACTCCTGATTGATATAATTTAACCCCATATCTAATAAGCAGTTTCGCATATTCTGACACGGTATAGTTGGTAGAGATAATGATTCGTGACTATCACCAACGTTGAGAAATAATAATCGTTGAGGTAGAGGCGCAGAATGAGCCAAATACGAAGCAGCAATGATTCTTCTAGCACTTACTGGAAACGCTTCTTGAATAGGGCTTAAAAAAGCTATAGATTTCCCATGTCTACTCTCAATATTTGTACACGGTAGACGAAATGACAATTTATAATAATCTTTAAAAGTTTCACAAGTTGAAAAGTTGAAAGTTTCTTCGAAATAATTTTCGTATGTGAGCCTATTATCTAGGTCTAACCATGAATACCAGGAAAACGGAGCTTTATAATCGTAATCAAAATGTGATTTCTCAAGGCTTTGCCTGAACAAAGCAAGCGATAGCGCCGGCGCCAATCTCATGTCAAAAACTTTCGATACACTCATGAGGACTGAAGGTCCAATACTTTCGTCATTCCACCCATCTTCTGAAGAGCCAATGGTCCAGTCTGGATTAAAATGTTCTATGATTTTATTGGGAAAATGAATAGTTTGTAGGGCTTGTCTAATCTCGTTTGAGAACTCATTCAAAGAATATTGCTTTTCCATTTTTGATTTTCCTGTAACTAATTCTATAGCTAATTCCCTCAGAAACCAAGTTAATGCCATTGAAATAATGATAATTATTCCAGGGACCATTATTCGATATTTTAACAAACTAGAAAGAAGCCTCTTTGCAAAGGAAGTGGCCTTGTTTTTGTGATACCCATCTTGACGTGAATTGAAAGACCCAGATCCTCGTATTCCAGCTGTCCGCTCCTGTTTTTGTTCATCAAGATTAAGATTGTATTTGCATGATCGGTGGGTCAAAGATGAAATCATTTTTAGAAGGAGCTATGGCACCTGAAAAATATTTTTGGTTCTTCTTCATATGCGCGACGATTAGTTGATTTGTAGAAACAATCAGCTCATCTCGTGCAATGAAGAAAAAAAAACAAAAAAAAAACGGTTGATGCAAACACACCAACAAAAGACAGTTCTTTTCGCCTACAAAAAAAAGCTCAAGAGAAATTACGTATGACAAATATATCAAGATGATCAGGTAATAGTTTTAAGTATTCTACTATATACACATAATATGAAATGAGCCGTTAACAAAGAGGTGATGTATTGTGAATGAGTTTAGTAGTAAGTGTCTTGTGGGTCGATCTTGACATCCCAGTGGTCACCAACGACTGGAATTTTCTTGAGGAAGGTGTTTCTGAACAATGGGACACGTTCAGTAAGGGTGAAGACAAGACCACCAGCAGCGGCACCAAAGAAGATGAGGTTTGGAGTGTAAGCCTTCAAGACGTGGAGAGCGCCTGGGGCAGATTTGTAAGCGATTCTAGAAGCTTGCTAAATTTACAAGAGGGGGATGGCCCATTCGCTGCTAAATTCATAAAGAGAAGAAAGGTGAAGAGATTATTGAGATGCAGGTAATGAGTTTTGGTTTGTTTTATCGCAATTGGTCGTGCATGATTCTGTATTACTTCCTCTATCCCAACCAGTGACAAAATATAAATAATATAAACGTTATGGGTTTCTCTGTAAGAAACAAACAATATTAATACTCCTCAAATCAGACAATATATAACGTTGTTAAGCACATTGTTTCCTCATCTTCCTAATCTTCTTCACTTTAGATCTTCTCATAGAATATTTTGCAGATAATGTCACCAAATTCCTCAGATGTTAGTATATTCATTTACAAAACGGTGAAATAAAAAATGAGAGCAACCAGCTACATACGTAGACCATCTTTATATTTTCAGTTGATACTTTCTATCAGTATTGACTATCTGTAGTAAGCTGATTTTCTAATTTTCCAATTGGCTTTCATCTTTTTTTTGACAAGGTTTCTATTGGAGCACGTGCACAAACAGGGTAATGTTACGCAGAGGGAATTCAACATGAAAGAGGCATCTACAGAGGGAATTCAACATGAAAGAGGCATCTAACAATACTACAACAAATAATATTCCATCGCTAGGTACAAATTCATAAAGATAACTTTGAAATAATATGACGTACACAAATATATAATAAACTTTTTTTTTTCTTTTTTTTTATTACACCGAGAAAGAGAACAGTAGAGATCTCAAGCTATTGAAGACTGTGAATTCCTAATCCTTTTTCTTACCAAAAATAGTGTTCTTCACCTTTCCAACAGCACCAATACCGCCACCAATAGTACCACCAATAATTTTAGAGCCACCAGCTACAAAGGTTTTACCTGTGTCGAAAACAGCGGTATCAAGAGATCTTTCAACCTTAGACACAGGAATGATATAACCTTCTTTGAATTTGAATGTCAAATAAACCATTCCACCGTTTGCTTCACCATGTTCACCTGCCAATTTGATTTCAACGTCGGTTTCCGAGCCATCAGCCTTGATCTCTGAAAGTGGGAAATCAAATTCTCCCAATGGGTCGTCTTGACCGGAACCAATATCCCAATCATAGACCGCCACTTTAAGGTAGGAATAGTATCTATTTGATATTTCAAATTCCGTGGATTCGTTCCACACTGGATCAAGGGTCTTCTTTTTTGTCTTTGTTTTATACAACTCTTCCTTTGCTCCATTCAACAAAAATTTAACATATGGATCGGACTTTCCGTTAGTATCCGCGGCGATCAAGTTCGCAGCGCTCTTAATTTCCATAGAAACGGTACCAGAAGAGGAGATTCTATCACTTTCTGGCAATTCACCACCATTCAATGGGATAAATCTGGTGGAAATCTTAATGGAGGAACCGTCGTCCAATTTCAATTCATATGGCTCATCATATGAATTCTTCAACAAAGTAACAGTTGGAATAGTAACTTCAGCAAGAGATTCTTCAGCACGGTTGTGATCTTGCTCTTCGGCAATTCTAAAATGCGCTTGAGACCAACTTAAATCTCTAATGACCACATCACCAACCCCTCTAAATGCTCTAACTGAACTGATTTTAGGAGAGGTGTATTCTGCATACCCACCGGCATCAAAGAATGCTTGTAAATAGCCTTTCTTATTGACAAATTTCCCATCGAGAATAGTGAAAACAAACACACCAGATTCACTTTCCACTAATTGATCCAAAGTAACTCTCTTCTTAGTAGTCTTGCTGAAATCAGACACTGGGTGAGCCAAAGGAACGGATTCATCAAACATCTCCAATTCTTTCTTGGCCGCAGCTTCAGCATCACGTTTCTTCTTTTCAGCGTCCGAGAGCTTAGCATCAGCATCTTCCTTAGCCTTGACCTTTTTACGTTCTTCCTCAATACCTCTTGCTTCTTCAGGAGACAAAACTTCTTGCAATGGGTAGAAGCTGATACTGTAAGTAACATTACCTTTTGAGAATTTTCTAGCAACTAATCTGTTAGTTCTTGGTTCCTTATCATTATAAATAGCCAAGTTACCCTTTTCATCTCTGGAAATAATGTCAGACAACTTCAAGTCAAAAGAGCCAAGAGATCTATCAGCACGGGTTTCGGTATCCATAGCTTCAATAGTAAGCTTTTGATTAACGGAAGTAATAGGGACAATGAGGGCTTCATTCCAATTTGGATTGGTCGTAGAATCTCTAACTGTCGTTCTAGCTTTAGCAAACCCATTAACAAGCACTCTAACATATGGATCAATAGTACCGACTGTTTCCAAATTACGCAAATCTCTAGCATTGTTAACCACGACCTTAATAACACCAATTGGCTCAGTATAAGTAGTAGCACCCGAAACTTTTTCCATCTTAACAGGTGACCAGTAACCTTCAATATTAAGTTGACCTGAACCTTTTGAAAATGGAATAAATGGTCTTTTAATCACGGTTCTATCAATCACATCATTAAGAGTAGTATAAATAGAGTCAATTTCTTTGCCACTGGCATCCTTTAGAATGATAGTGGCCCTAGCATGGGCACGGTTGGTGACAACGTATCTACCAGTAAGGGAATAAGATGGATTATTACTCTTTTTGACAATCTTGGAAGTTGCAACGGATTTATTATTGATGCGCAATTCAACGGAGGTAGTGAGTGGTTTTTCAGCATCAAAATCAGCACCTAAAACTTCAATTCTGGCAACACCAGTATTCAACTCTGGCGGAGGTTCAGTGGAGCCATCAATTAATCTCTTTGGTAAAATCACTGGCTGATATTTAATGCTAAAAGAAACATCACCAACTGGTCTATTATTACGAAAGAAGCATGTAGAAATATCCTCTTGAGTTAGATCAGATTTAAGAGACTGCATATCATAGTCCAAAATACCAATCAACCCATCCTTTCTATCATCATTGTAATCATAAATGGCCATGCGCATAGGATCTGTCAAATTTTTAACTAACACAAACAAAGTCTCGTCCCATTTAGCAACATGCGTGTCTTCCAAAGTACTAGTCTTAGCAACAACAGTCGACCCAAAGCCAAAAGTGATATAAGGATCAATAGTGTTATCTAAAGTACGGTCGAATAATTTAATATTAGAAGCCTTCTTCACTTGAATGGCTAAGATACCAGCCGCAGCATTAAGATCACCAGCTAATAATTGCTCAACATTCAATTGGAAAGAGAAAGGTGGCAAAACAAGAGGGCCAGCATATTTACTAACCATTTCGTTAATAAATGGCCATAACCCAGGGAATGAAAGGACCTCCCAATTAATCGGGGTATCACCAAACACTTTGGAGACAAAATCAAACATCGGGAGTTCAGGTAAAGAGACGTTAATAGTATCAATATGTGGGAAGCTCTCCATCATGTGAATTCTGACTCTTACAGTTGTGTTGAATGCCACATTCTTCACAACAATAGGCAAGGAAATTCCAAATAATTTAATCTTGACCACAACTTTTTGATTCACCCGGTTCTTCAACTGCTTGTAAGTCAAATCATGGTGGTCATTTGGAGTGAAACTAACGCACCAATCCATAACCAAGACATCATTAGAAGTTTCTGGTAAAGTTTTCACGGACTCAATTCTAAATGGCTTAGATCCCAAGGTAATGGTATCAATCCACACTGCTTTGATGAAGGCTGGTAAAGAGCCAATGGAAGAGGCAATGATCGGATTAGCAGTATCAGCAACAGTTTGACAAATGTATGGCTCGAGGAAAATCCAATACTTATCGAGCAAAGCATTTAACCAATCCATGGTTTCATAATCAGTTTCAATTTTCTTAACGGACATTTCTCTTTGGGTTTCCTGTTTAATAACGGTTCTGTACTTTCTAATCTGAGTTCTGTAGTAAATTGCTGTGAATAAAATAATAAAGAACACAGGACCAAGAGAGAACCTAAAATGACCAAAGAACCAAGAAAATAACCCACCAATGAACAAAATTGCCACATTATGGAACCACTGACCATAAGCAATGTCAGGCAAATAATTTTCAAGTAACGTAGGGGTAGAGAGCAAATCATCCAATTCGTCTTCTTTGGTCAAAGTATCATTTTCTCTCCATCCAGATACTTCTTTCCAACCCCTAAAAGTTGCTTGCACTGGGACACGTTTGATTTCTTTTTCTACTGGGTTCTTCTCATCTGCTTTAGCCTCATTTCCAGATTTAGTCTCTTCGACTTTTTTTTCTTCAGGTACTGCTTTCTCAGTAGAGCCATTGACCTGTTGTTTCACCGTGCTAGTCACAACAGGTCCCTCTTTGTTTGTCACAGCCTGCTAATTTAACATGTCAGTACTAAATTATATCATTATAAGAAAATCAATACGCAACTGTGTGTGGTAATAACGGTTGAGGCAAAGAATGGAGGGAAGGTGAACTTACCGCTGAAGATTCCTCGGACATAATTTCAAGATCACTCAGATTCAACAAATATTTCTGAAAGTGATAATCTTGAAGCGTAATTGAGAATCAATTTCAACAATAAATTGGAGGATTGGTATTATATTGCTACAACTAGCCAATTTCAAGGGTGGTTTTCTTTGCGAAATTGGGTTGCGAGAGGCTGGTAAGTGGAATTGGCGGGTAACGTTGCTGGAGAGCGACTGACTACAATAACTATTGCTTTATACTAGCTAGAGAAGAATATATTCAGTAATAATTATTACGCTATAATAAATAGTATAGTGCAACAGCAAATATATCAAGACGGATCCATGATTGCAACAAACCTATTCAATAAGGTGTTTGGATGCCCAAAATTATATTCCGTGCTTTGGTGTTACAGTGCTGAATGTTGTGTTTTCAGTAAAAAAAACACATAATTTTTTATATAAACTCCAAATGAACAAGCAAACAAAAATTAAGCTATACAACTAAATGAATACAAAAAAGAATTAAACATTTCTTACTTTAATATCAGACGCTACCGGATGGCCCTCACAAACAGGATCTTCACCAGAAGCAATATTACATTGATGCATGAGTCTCTTGTCATCTTTAGAAAACTCACCAGTAACGCTATGCCATAACTGTCTGTTGGAGAAAAGAACCAAGTCCCCAGCAGTCCATGAGTGAGCATAAACATGTTTTGGAGCAATAGCAGGTCTCATCAAACGATACACTTCTTGACGAGATTCTTCCAATCCAAGACGTTCTCCAGTCTTGTTACGAACCAAGTTGAAGATGCAACAACCATGTACTTGCAACGAATGTTCACCAGTGATTGGATCAGTCCATACAAGAGGCAATTTCTTAACCTTAGATTCTTCCCATTCTGGGAGCTCATCAAAGGAAAGTTCCTTACCCTCAGAAACCATAGTCAAACCATCACTAGTTGCCTTGGAACGGCCAATGAAAATGTAAGGATGAGGAGCGTAGACAACAGTGGTGTTCATGGCGAGTTCCTGGTCTCCTTTGGAAAGGAGATTAAAAGCAATTGCACCAGAAATAAAAGCGGTGGCACCTTTTGTCAAAGAAAATTCTTCTTTTGTGTCCTCGTAAACAATCTTCTGTTGCTCATCCGCACCAGGAACATGAATACCGAGCAAAGTAGTACATTTTGGAGGAGAAAGCTCATAAAGAGCTGAGTCAATATGCCATCTGTAGAAACGGGTTTGGCCAGCGGCAGTTTGTTCATCAGTCAAGGTATCCTTGTGGAAAGTGCGCTGGGAAGGCTGGGTGAGGTCGAAATCTTTAAGGCCATTATCTTCTTCCCAATGACCATTTCCAATAATTTGGACTTGTGGTTGAGATGGAACGGTGTGACCATCCTTCTTAAGCACCGAATCTTTGTGACGGAAAGTCTTCCCATGCCCATAGCTTTTGCCTTCCTTATCACAAGTCTCATCAAAACGGGTGGTAAGAACATATTGCGAGCGTGGGCTGAGGTTCTTTTGGTCTGGGATGACAATGACTTTGTAAGTGTGAAGGGCTTTTTCCAATAAATCGAAATCCTCCTGCCCAAGTAACGATGGATCGGTGGCATCTTGGGGAAGCTGGATGGTAGCACCAAAAGGAGCGTTGGTTAATGGAATGGCTTTAAGGGACATTTTAATAGTATTTGTGTGTGTATTTCAGATGGTAATGGTAATAACTTTGATGGAATAAAAATGTTGGAGAGAATGAAAAATGAAAGAGAAGAAAGTGATGAGAAAACGGTCTGTTTATATATCAGAAAAACTCGTCCGGCCGATAAGAACACCAGAGCTGTCAATACCGCGGATAGTGCACCACAAGACCACTGTAAATCGCAATGATCCGCGGAAGTCTGAGTGATATCAGTCCCCGGGCCTCCGAAGGAGCTCACAACCATGGTTCCGAAGTTCTGTTATCCTATTAAGGAAGAATTACTACTGCTAGTGAACGGTAGAAGAGAGAGAGAGAGAGAGAGAGAGAGAGAGAGAGAGAGAGAGAGAGAGAGAGAGAGAGAGAGAGAGAGAGAGAGAGAGAGAGAGAGAGAGAGAGAGAGAGAGAGAGAGAGAGAGAGAGAGAGAGAGAGAGAGAGAGAGAGAGAGAGAGAGAGAGAGAGAGAGAGAGAGAGAGAGAGAGAGAGAGAGAGAGAGAGCAATGCGAATCGCTAGGATTATCACTTATAACTCTACAATGAAATAAGCTATTCTACAAGGGGGTGGTAGCTCTGTGAGCATGTGGTTTCAGTGATATTAGCACAGTTACTCTGAGATTTTCCCTAAGCAATAATAGAATATTTTTGTTTTTGTTGTTGTGGTTATCTATTAATTATATGAGATGAAAGATCTTCCAATAGCAATGTGTTTGCTTATAACCAGCTTAATTATAACCCCAACAGAACGGTGTTAAAAAGATGACACATACACTCCGAAGGCAGGTTATCCTTTAAAACGTGATGAAAAGCGTGATGCATGAAGCTGTGAAGAAAAATGAGTAACATCAAAAGGATGATTCAGCCTTACCTCTCGTGCAGGTACCTGGAATATTCGCATTTCTCTCCTCTCTATCACCTGAATTTGCGATTATTTTTTTATTAAATTCAATTTTGTTAGGTTTATCCTTCCTACGGTGGCACCATAATCTGAAGTTAACCATTGACGAAAGGTCAACTGATAGCCATATACTTCAGTGAAAAGTGATTCCTTGTAATAAATGGTTAGTTAGCATTGAAGAAGTGCAAAAATGCATAGAGATAATAACATGTACTCATATTTAGATAACGTGTGGTGCTTCCAGCTGTCAGGGAAGGAAAGGTCTGCTACTTAGTGGTCCAGTAATCCCACAGTCTGCAGCGCACGTTAAAAGTAAACAGAAAAGGAGGACAACTAGTAGATTCCCTGTATGCCAGCTGAAGCGATCAAAGATGGCAACCGGTCGGCCAAGGACAGACCCTGCGACGCCAATCAGTGGCCAACAACAGCATGTCAAAACCCAAAGCATCCTTCCTTATTTGCACCTTGCGCGCGTGCAGCACCCGCATGTCGGCGAAACCCAAAATTCCTGCCGAGGCAACCGCCACGATATGCGGCAAATTAATTACTTGTATGATTGAAAACTTCAGCCGGACATGTGTAACTCAGCTCATCCATCTTTTAATATTTCCCCCCAAACAAGATCAACGACCACTCTGTTATACGCTATGCAATCTTAATGTTCCTACAGAGGATTATTCCACATACTGAAACAATTGCACAGCAGAATAAAAGAGTAAAAAAAAATAACTTCAATGTAATATTATTGTTTCCCATACTTTTGGTCCTTCATCGGCACCCTTCCGCCGACACCGACTGCATTAATTTCTATCAAACAAATCACGGAAAATTTTTACGTCGCAGTTTGCACTATATAAGACCCTTCTTTTCCCTGATAACTTAGTTTAGCAGAGGGGTGTTCTATTTGTTTTTCGTACATCTTTTATTATTATCACAAAAATTAACCATGAGTTCGCATACAGAGAGAAAATCTCTTGATAGCTCCACCAGCACAGAGACCCCTACCAACTTCACTCCAGATGGCTTGACTTATGAGAATGTTGATGCAAAAAGCCTTCAAAGAAACATGACCGGACATTCTGTTCGCTCTGCCAGCGAACTTGCTGCTATTGAAAAAATTGTTTCCCGTGTTTCTGCTCACGCTGGGGCTTTAGGTCCCCTTGAAGAACCTATTGACCACGAATATGTCAGAGACGTCTCAAAAGAAGACCCAAACGCAGATGTCAACGATGCTGACCCTTGGAAATATCCATTGGATCCTGACACTGGGATCAGATTAGTGACATTTGTCGGTGATAACGATCCTGATGACCCTAGAACTTGGGCGCCAAAGAAAAAATGGGGTATCACATTATTGCTTGGTCTCATTTGTTTTGTCGTTGCCTTTGCGTCTTCTGTAATCACCGGTGGAATGGAAGGTCCAATGATTAGCTTTGACGTCTCTATGGAAGTGTCAATCTTGGCAGTCACTTTGTTCGTCATTGGTTTTGGTGTCGGTCCAATTGTTTTCTCTCCATTATCAGAAGAAGTCGGTAGAAGAATCATTTATTCTTCCACTTTATTCTTGGGGGTCATTTTCATTATCCCATGTGCTGTAGCCAAAAATATCGGTACTTTATTGGTTTGTCGTCTTATTGATGGTATCGCGTTCTCCGCCCCAATCACGCTTATTGGTGGTTCTCTTTCCGATATCTTTCTTTCCCACGAAAGAGGTGCGGCAATGGCAGTTTTCTCAGCTGCTCCTTTCCTTGGTCCAATCATTGGCCCACTTGTTGGTGGTTGGATCTATATACGTGCTGGCTGGAGATGGCTTTATTGGGTTATGTTTATTCTCTCTGCAGTGGTCTACGTATTTGTCATTTTTGCCGTTCCTGAAACCCATCACCAAACCATTCTTAAAAAGAGAAAAGAAAAACTTATCAAGCTCACTGGCGATGATCGTTACTTGATCCTCAAGGACTTGAAACCTCGTACTGTCAAAGAAGTTGCCATTGAAACTGTTTCTAGACCGCTCATCTTATTGACGGAGCCAATTGTTTTGTTAATCACTATTTACATGTCTGTAATTTATGGTCTTCTTTACATGTACTTCTTTGCATTCCCAGTGGTCTTTGGTGAAGGTAAGGGATGGAATGATGGTATGGTTGGTCTTATGTTCATCCCGATCGCTATTGGCATTGTCATTGCCAGCGCTGCTTCTCCTTATGTCAACAAAATGTACAACAAGTACACTGCTGTATACATCGCTCGTGGGGAGATTCCTCCTCCAGAATTGCGTTTGATTCCAATGATGATTTCTTGCTGGCTTATTCCAATTGGTCTTTTCATCTTTGCCTGGACCTCATATACTCGTCTCGACTGGGTGGGTCCTGCCTTTGGTGCTATCCCTTGTGGCTGTGGGTTCTTGCTTCTTTATAATTCCGCCAACAACTACATGGTTGACTCGTATCAACATTTTGCGGCTTCTGCTCTTGCTGCTAAAACTTTGGTCCGTTCAATCCATGGGGCCACATGTGTGTTATACACCGTTCAAATGTTGCACCGTTTGGGCTACCAATGGGGGATTTCCTTGCTTGCCTTCATTTCATTGGCTTGCTGCGCCATTCCTTATTTCTTCTTCTTTTATGGGGCAAAGATTAGAGAAAGATCTAAATATGCTTACACTCCAAGCGTTGAAGAGTACATGAAAGCCAACACCGTGGCGACAAAAGTTTCCAGTGATGACGAAGAAAAGAAGGTTGAATGAATGAATCAATCTTACTATTTCCCATATCATAAGGACCACCCAGCATTAATCAAAATGCAACATTCTTTTTTTTTGTTTTTTGTTTTCCATCTTCATTAATTTTTTTGAAGCCAGTAAAGAAATAGTTACCTTTAGTTACCCAAAGCACCGCTATTTTTCCTTACCAACTTTCAAGCTGATGCTTTCTAGCTTTCAAATGCTGTTCAACTTGCTTTCAATTCCAAGATAACGTACTGCCATTCATTTTTGATAATTCCTCTCCTCCCCCTCCCACTATTCCTACTTCCGTTGATACACTCCAGAAATTGTACTATATTTCTACGGTATATGAATAATTCCTTTGCCCAGAAAGATCAAATCTTTACACATAATACCATAATAGTCTAATATAATATTTTAATTTTTTATGTTCTTCATGTAATTATTGACCTTATTTTGATTTCGAGGCAAGTTACGCCAGTGGCTTTTTTTTTTTTCCACTGAATAAACCAAAAGAGTCTTGATAATATCAGTTATACTTATATTATTATCTAAAAAAAGTAAAAAAAAGACGTCAATATATACCTTGTAATTGAAAATAGAAAAAAGAAAACAAGTACCGAAAATAATTAAACTAGTAGAAAAAAAAAACAAGGGTATCCTTAATCAATATTCATCAGAAAAAAAAAAGAATGCGTAAGAATATATAAATAATCATAGCATGAAATCATAACACCATAATAAAGTAATAAAAATAAATAAATGAAATAAAATAAAAAAATAAATTTCGTAGTCACATTTTCATAGCAAAATCAATTGCTTGCATACATCCTTCTTCAAACTCATTGATCATGGCTTCACATTTCAATCTCAATAGCTTTTTGCATTGTTCAGTTTGGTACTTCACCCATTCAGCAATAGTCATGTTCAATTCATTTTCAGGTACTTGGGAAATGAATGCTGTGAGGATACCTTCTACATCCTCGCTCAATTGGTAATCTAAATTTGCAATAGTTTTCAAGAAATCATTAGCCTTTTCAAGATCCTCATACTTATTAGAAATATCACTTCTTTTCTTTGGAACCCAAAACGGAATACAATCAACATCTCGAAGTTGAATTTCCTTCTGTGATGGGGTAGTAGGAGTAGAATAATTGCTGATTTCAATTTCAGTACCTTCAGCAGTAGGATTAAATAAAGGAGTGAAAACTGCAGGAGGTTGTGATTTCAGAGGAGTTTCACCATTTTCCAAGTTCACCTCATCATCACCCCTTTCACAAACAGATACACTAACGTCAAAGTCTGAATCATCATAGTTCACGGGATTGAATGAATATTCCCTGTAATCTAATTTTGAACGTTCCTTTGATTGTGTCTTGTGATTTTCTATGAACGATACGTCTTGTGGTTTATGAATTGAAATTGGCTCTTGTACTGGATTTGTGACAATATTTCCCGAGAGCTCATTAAAACGCAAATTGGAGGAGTTCAAGGGTTTATCCAAATCAAGAGGTTTAAAAGCGTCGAAATTGGTTTTAGAAATAGCGATAGGAGTGCTACTTGAATATAATGAGGGGTCCTTTTTATCCGGAGAAATTAAAGCAGAGTCATCAATGATGTCATCTGGATCCAGATCAGAATCATCAGCCTGATCTGTAACATTTTCCAATGGTTGTTTAAGGTCAGCCAATTTTTTTATTTCCATATTTTCATTTTCAAAATCTGATGAAACATCAATAACTTTGACATTAGGCTCTTCAAAACTCGGTTGCACGACTTGATCATCAGAATAATCAGCATAATCAGCGTAACCTTCGTCAAGATTATCTTGATCTTCAATATTCATCGGCTGATGGTCTGATTCCTCATTGCCATGATGAGATAGAGGGTCGTTTTCGGGATCTCTCATGGTATTCGGTTTCAAAGGTTCCTCATACCTCTCCGAAACGTGTTTTTGAGCAGCATTTTGCTTCTCTGTCAAATAGTTTCTGCTAGATTCACTGAGCACCCCTAAACTTTGAAGTTCGCTTTTCTTATCGAGTGTGCCATCATGGTCACTATCTTTATTAAGATCTATATCCTTCTTCGAATTTTTTTTCTTCTCAACTCCCTTTGATTTCGTGCGCGTTTCCTTTTTTACAGATTCAGCTTCCTCATCACTCTTGAACAAAAGTCTCACCTTTGTCTTCGGCTTTTTTGATGACTTTTTCGAGGATAACGATTTGAGACTATTAGACGACTTTTCCTTGTCGCTATTCAAACTTGAATTATATTTTTGTAGACCTTTGAATCTCCTTATGGACTTATCGAAACTTACCAAATCTTCAAAATCTTCACTTCTTCTATTTTCTTTATTTGCATCAGCAAAATTGGCCAAGAACTTCAATGATTCGCTCAGGGTATCATCCAATAGTTTCCTTAACAGCTTAGATTTTTGCGAAATATGCGAGTTGTTAGAAGCAACGCGTTTAATTTTTTTGTTGAGGTTAGCTGACTTCGAAGCAATAAGCGCCCCGCTGTCGAATGATCTTCCATCATTTAGCTCCTGTACCGGACTAGATCTTTTTTTAGATGATCTAGTGACCGTGGTGGTATTAATGGTGGAAGTTTTCCCAATTACTGAGCTCACAGTGGGAGAGGTTACTGCATTCAGTTTTCCCAGAGATTCAAAGAAATAACAATTTGGCGACAACCTTCTATGCTCTGCCGCAGGATCATCTCCAGCTTGCCAATCCTCAAGAGATATTTTGCAATATAAACAAATAGCAGTGTCAGGGCTTTCAGGCATTGGGAAATTGTAAAAGCCGGCATTGATCATTTCTGAAGCTGATGGGGATTCTTTGGTCCAAGACTGGAAAAATTGTTTTCTGATCTTGTGACATTCCTTGGAGGTAGGTTTTGAGAAAAATGGAACAGAAGACCAATCATAACCGTGGCTTTTTGTGGTTGTGGTATTGATGTTATTTTTTTTCACGTAAGATAGATCCATCGCTGAACCAGTAAAGGCATCTCTGTCTGACCAAGCTTTATGAAATAACGCAAACCCACACTTTGGACTCATAAAAAGATGAAACTCTGCAATATTATCAGCCTTCTTCCAATTCCAATCCCTTTTATGACAGCAAGTGCAAACCACTTGATCCTTCTTAGTTTTTGTAGGCGCAAAATAAAATCCAAACCTGGCCAACTCTTTTGCGCTTGGTTTTTCATAGGGCCAAGAGATTTTTTCAATGATCTTCTTACCAACAGTGGCCTCACTGAAGGTTTCCAACCTATCCTGTTCGAACATATTATTGGGTGGCATACTGTGCTTCCAGGAGAGAAATTGGCGTTATGGAAGATGTTTCCAAAATCAAAACAAACAATAAATAAAAATAAAAAAAAAAACACCAAAAAAAAAACAAGCATAAATAAACAGCTCCATGTGAAACATACTGATAGAGACATACATAAACATTTATTAATATACCAGTATGGCGGTCCTAAAATTTCATTTTTCTGGCGGGTAAGAAAATGGGTAAAATGTTAATCAATACATCTCATACTTGCTAGTAAAAAATTGAACCAACGTCAAGATATAAGGGCTTAACTACTGAAATATATTGAAAAGGATTTAATCGATGTCACTAACAAAAAGACAGAAAATTGATGATAAAGGATCGCCGTACCAGTTGACAGTATCCCAACTTGGGAGTGACTCTTCTTCCAGAACCTCATCTTTAATAGAACCGGCCCTTGTGCTTGAAGGTCATCAAGGAACCGTTCTTGCCTCAAGATTCAATCTTGACGGATCAATAATTGCCTCGGGTGGCACTGATAGGAAAATTTTTCTATGGAATACTCCAACACAAGATTTCAAGGACTCTGATGCGCCATTGAACTTTGTGGTGATGCCTGGACATAAGAGTGCCATAACATCAATTCGTTGGTTCAAAGGCGGGGAATCGTTGGTTACATCAAGCGCTGATAGATCTATTGGTCTTTGGGATTTAACTACTGCCAAAAGAATCAGAAAGTTTGTGGGTCATGAAATGACAGTAAATGAGGTGGACACGGTGATTAATTTCTCAAGGGATGAGCTTATTGCCAGTGCTTCTGACGATGGGTGTGTGTGTCTATGGGACTCTAGAGAAAAGACTTTCGTGGAGAAAATTAAAACAGACTTCCCGTTGATGACGGTGGTGGCAAATAATGGATTCAAAGAGCCAAATTTAGTGTTCACAGCTGGTATTGATGCTACTGTGCTAGCATACGATGTGAGAAATGCCAAAGATCCCTATTTTGAAATTGAAAGTTTGCATTCAGATGCCGTCACATCTCTATCGATATCTGAAGATAATGGCACCTTGATTTCAAACTCTATGGATAGCAGTATTAGGGCCTACGATTGTTCAATATCAAATACTGGCTCTAGAGTGAGGTCGATTATATTGGAAGATGCCCCTTCAGGAAATGAAAAACTCTTGATTAGATCTCAACTATTTAAGGGAAGTGATGATAGAAATCTATTGATTTCAGGCTCAGGAGATAACTCTGTGACGATATGGGATTTAGAAGCTTCTAGAATGTTGGGCAAATTACATGGCCATGATGGGACAGTCGTCGATATCGATATCCATCCATATGAGAGTATCGTATTATCAGGATCGACTGATGGTACGTTAATAGTTAGGGAAGTGTGAAATAAGTTTGTAATATAGATATACTTTGTTTCGATGGTGGTTTTTCTTCATTCTGTAATATATGGGATCACGCTTGATAAATAATTTACGTGTTCTATTAAGTATTAATTTAAAAGTAATGTTTATTCATTATGGAACATGTAGTATTAAAAAAATTGAGTGTTGAATTATAACACAAATCTATTCAAACCTCAATACTTTTTTAGGCTTGCGAACGGCTTTTCTCAATTCTGTCATATTACCTGTTTTGATCTGCTCATTTTCTACTCCAAAGCTTCTTTTCATAACTTCCTCCTCGTTGATGAAAGTGTTGATCTTTAGATGCGATGCATTTATCTTCTCTAAAGCTGTTTGTGTAAATAGCGGAACTTTCCAGTTCCTCATTGCACCATCTTTCATCCCAATTGGCTTCAACAACTCATAATTCTTCAATCCTTCAAGAGTAGCTTCAGCATTATCATCCTTAATATGTTGTGTATTCGAAAAATCTGAAGTATCCACAAGAATAGGCCGTGGTGGATCAGATAAAATGGCAGGGGAACTGAATTTGGCATACTCACACTCCGAGCCATCGACGGCAAGAAATTCATGGGCTTCGAAATATTGTCTCATACCATTATCGTCATACACGTCTTCAGAAATATCTGTTTCTACTTCACTTGGCGTAGAATCATTATTTTTCTTTCTCTTCTTTCCCAGCTTATTGATATCACTATTATCATTAAACGAATCATCACTATGAAGTCGACGTTTGTACATCTCTTCCTCTAGCGTCCCTTTAAGAATAAGAGTTTCGACGTAAACGTCCTTTGTTTGACCAATCCGATGACAACGCTTGATTGCCTGCGCTTCAATGGCTTTTTTCCACACAGGGTTGATAAAGTACATTCTAGTGGCACCCAAAATAGTCAAGCCATGTGCTGCAAGCTTTAGATCCATAATAAGAGTTATACCAGCCCCACGATGCTCGTCAAACTCCAAAAGTTTCGAATTGCGATGAAGCACTGGAATCGACGTCGAATACAAAATGTAATTGAGGCCAAGAAGATCAAGAAGCTCCACAAGGTAATATGCGGAATCTTCAAATTGATAGAAGATGATACTTTTTGCGCCAGTGACATGGTGGTCTAACAATCGTGACGCTAAGTATGATAATTTAGCAGAAGCAGTACCGAGAAGATTAGCATTTCTCGTTAATGAAAGGTCCTCAGGGTCACCGACTGGTGTCAGAAGACGAGGTTTGGTCTCATCGAGAACAGATGACATAAGAACAGAATCATTGAGAATATCCGCCCTTTTTCTTTTTTTTGTCAGAGTGTGATGAGGTTTAACGGTGGTCTTAACCTTGGGGTCAGGGGCCGAGGTAAGGGCCTCAAGATCTGTTATTTCTGATCCATCAGAATCATGTTTCTTTACAAGTTTTCGAATCTTCTTGTCTTGAGTTTTCCAATACCCTTTCCAAAAAGTTTTTGAGTACTCAGAAATACGTTCCTTAAGTTTCCCGTGATCTTTAACAAATCTATTCTTGAAGAAGAATTTTTGAATAGAGTTGAGCTGCATATATGGATAGACAGATACTGTGGGATCGTTATCAAGATAATCAACACAATAGTTTTTCGCGTAGATACTTGGCAATCCTTCAACAAAAAAAGACATTTCATGGAGCGATGCATTAAGTTTCCAAATCTTGTTATCAAGAGCAACATGTGCAGCATCAATACATTTTCTGAGTAATACTCTATCACGCACTGTATGATGATATTGAGAAGAAGCCCCTTCACGTTTTTTATCTAGGGCGGTTTGGCAAATCTTTACAAGGGTAGTGATATCACTTTGGGAGAACCCGACCCAGTGAAAAGTACTGCGTTGAAGATTAGTAATAAGTCTTTTAAGCGATGATCGATTGACAGGATGAAACATATAATCTTGATCAGTTCGTTCAGATGTCACGGCGTTTGCAGCAAGTACAGCAATAAACAAATTAATTGAAATCTTATTATGAACTGCCGGTTCGACAAATACCGCCTGATGATAAAGAGAGGGAAGAACAATATCCTTCTCCACAGTTTTGATAGAATGACGAATGAGTAAGTTAGTCAAAAGATTTGAAAGAGACTCAACTGAGCCATATGAAAGAGTGAGGAACGGCTTAATGAGAGTACGGGTGAAAAGAGATGCATCATGTGCCCAAGGTTCGATTTTGAAGAAATTGGAAATAACCAATCCAAGTTTATTTAAATCGTCTTTTGCAGAAAATTTTCGCTTAATGGCATATTCTTGATGTGTACCTTTTTCAGTATCATTTGAGCCTCTGCTATCTTCTGACTTCTTCGAGTGTACCTGTTCGGAAACGTGTAGCTTTGTCAAGCCTGAAGTAGGAGTACCACTAACAAGCCAACGCCTTTCAACGTGTAATTCCGATGCCATCTGAACAAGTCTTGTGATCTTTGAGCTCATAGTGTGTCCTTCATCCACAATAAACCGCTTCCAATACACGTTTTTCAACGGCGAATCACTATCAAAAGATTTGACAAAACTTGATACCCCCATCAAAACCACATCATACTTAATTAGCTCTTGAGCACTAGGAAATATATAGTCAGCATTGACAGAGCGAGTATGATAAGGAACATAGAGAACAGAGAGATAGTCATCAAAACAATGCTTTTTTATTTCAGATATCCATTGATAATACAAGTTATTTGGGACAACAATCAATGTTGCCAGGGAGAGGAAGAGGGTTCTATCCTCGGAATATTGAGGGGCAAGTCTGGTAGATTGACGGCGATTTGTAAACAAGCTCTCCGGTATTGTAAATGTGGCGGGATGTTTCAGTAAAAGCTCAATACACGAGGATGGTAAATATTCCACGTATTGTTTCCAGGCAATTGAGTTTTTGTTAACAGAATTAGCCGCTATTTCTGATAATTTCTTAAATCTCCTATTTTTTGACATTGGGTAAAATCTTTGAGGAATCCTGGAAACCTGAGTTTTGGTTGAACATACAAGCGCGAGACAAATACAAGTTTTGCCAAGTCCCATATTCTCTGCAAGTATCCCCCCGCGAACAGAATCAAAATATTCAGGCACATTTTTGAAGCAGAAGTCCAGGAGGTCCAAATATACATTTCTTGAAGAGTCAAAGCCAATATTCTCATTTTTAAGGATAAGGAATTTCACAAGATTCGGCATGAGATGCTTAGAAGGCGCTAGCTCCTTGATAATCATTTCACTGACCGATTGCTTTTGATAGTTGTATAGGTTGCTTTTAATACCCGGAGTATCATTATTTTGGACAGCAGATATTATCTCTTTGAGCTCGCTATCTTGATGAATTAACTTCTGCATCTGTTCATGATTAGAGTCCAGGAAATCAATATTATCATAGATGTCTAGAAGAACGTCTTCAATGGTTTTGCCGAGGACACCATTTATCACATCAACTTTTTCTATAGCAAATCTAATTGATTCATGTTTGATTAGACGATGGATATTATGATATAAACTGTTGTTTGCGCCAAAGTATGGACCGGAACCCAAGAACTTTGATGAAAAAGGTTCCCATGGTTTCAAGCAAGGGAAGATCAAGAGATTATTAATAAACACATCTTCAAGGGTATCAATATCCCATGATTTTCCTGAGAAGTCAAGGACTTGAAAGAGATCTGACATGATTTTCCGGTACTTGTTTTCATGCCATTGCAAAGCCTTGCCTCTTCGATATCTGTATCTGAAATCCATGATGGAACTTCTCCCTTCACAATCTGCCGGTATAACATAGATCCTGGCAATAATTATGGATTCAGAATGAGGCAAAGGAAAATATTTATAGGTGACTCTAATGTGAAATCTCTCAACCAAGTAACGAATGTCCATTAATATGCTGGAAAAATTTTGAGGAGCATCATTGCACAACATAGTGTACCGGCGGTTATAGTCGTGAGGAAATGTTAGCCATCGCCAACCGTCTGGAGCTAAACAATCAAAATTGAGACGTGGGGCATTTCTCAAAACAATAGTTCCCAAAGGTATTAGGTTGTCTAGGTTTGACAAAGTGTTAGTAAGCTCCATGATCTAAACTCCTTTAATGCTTCTATGTTACATGTGGTTGTTATGGTTTATATTTTTTCCGGGTTTAAATCGCTTCAGCGTCCACACCAAAGATGCATATTAATACATAATATCACATATAATCATCTATAGATCAGGTTTTTATCAATTGGTAAGAGGTAGAAGTAGTTGTGAAGGGTTGGGTGTGATGCTCATTTATTTTTCTATTTATCTTCTGCAAACAAGAAAAAGAAAAGGAAAAAAAAAAAAAAATCAATCTTTTTATTCTTCAAGGACTCAAACACTACTAGTCTTCAGTCTTGAAAAAAAAAAAGAAAAAAAAAAGAAAAGAAAACGAGAGAGAGCAGTTAGACCGCAATCTGTCAAGAAAGATTGATCTCAGTGTGATTTATAATTGCATCAGAAAGTACACATCTATTATACCCTGCTCATTACCTCATGGCTGATTCCACCAGTGATCGTTGACACAATTTTGCCCGCAAAAACGAGATCCCCTGTTAACACGTGACAGAGTGATAATAGGAGTCCTCTTAGCAAAAATTGGTGAAGGACCTTTTTTTTTTCTTCTTTAATTAAGACAAGTGTATTTTTACTACCCAAATCACCCACCGCGTTCCGTAATAACCAGCACAAACACAGGATTCACAAAGAAGAGCACCCAGGGATATCTCTCCAATATTTCCTGTATCTTCAGATATCCATTTGGTCTTTACAGGGTATCCTGCAGAATTGCTGATTTTGAATTCGGGATTTAAAAAAAAAGAGAATATCACATCTGATTTTTGATCAAACGTGGCGAGCTGAGTCCGCTATTGCAACTATTATATACCAATCTATTTAATACCCATTCTCTTTTACTGATCTGAATCAATCATATCATAACGATTCAAATAAAAATTGGCTCGCAGACACGTTAAAGAGACTTTCTTTTTTTTTTTTTTTAGTTTCGTGTTCCGGCGTTTTTTTTCTGGTACTAAATAAATCATCACAATGAATTCATCCAGACAGGGTTCCAGCTCCCTCTTTTCAGGACTCAAGAAACTTGCTTCAAGAAATGATAATGATGGTGATTCCGTGTACTCCTATGACAAGAGACGTCAACCCAGTATTTCCTCATCTTTTTCTTCACTCTCAACATCAAATCTCTCTCAACATGGCCAATCCTTACATACAATTGACACTAAGCATTCAACAGCTCATTCACCACCTTCACCACCCGGTCATCGCTCTTCAAACTTTACCCTCACATACAAAGATATCAATGCTCTTACTGATATTAAACCAATTCCGTCAGTGAAAACCCACAGCACCAATAACTCGTACCAAAGTTCTAAGCTTGGTAATCTACGGAACCACAGTAATTCACATCTTCGTGCTGCTAGCACAGTATCTACAAATGCTACAGATTTTCAACTCAAAATGCCTGAAGATCCAGCAGAAATTGAACGCAGGTTTAAGGAACTAATGGCAAAGCGCGACTTCAAGAGTTTACCACAAAAAGCCAAGGATGAAATGCACAATTACAGTCCTGCGAAAAAATGGATGCTCATTTATCAAGATGCATTAGGTGATTATCAAAAACAAGAAAGAAGAACTAAGAAAGGGGAAGAAAGTGTAACACCAGAGTTCTACGTGAAAAAATTGATCGATAAGACCATTACCTTACAACAGTTGAATAATCTTTGGGTCTCTCTACGTACGGAGCCTGTTGACTGGGTCAACAGATTCATTGAAACGCAAGGAGAAGTTGTTTTGTGTAACGTTTTACAACAATTGCATACAAGAACAAGTCACCAAACTATGTCTGCAGATGAGATGTTAGAGCGCGAATTCTCTTTGATCAAATGTGTAAAGGCTATCTTGAATATTGGGGAAGGGGCTGATATGGCGATTTCCTCCAAAGTTTGTGTTCCTGCAATCATGAATGCTTTGATTTCTCCAAAGTTGATAACAAGAAAGACGGTCACCGAAATGTTGATCTTTTTAGCTCACTGGAAAGCTCCAGAGGGTTACAAACAAGTTTTGGCAGCCTTAGGTAACTTGAACGGTGATTCCATATATCCTTATATTAAGGGCATGGATAAGTTTCTAGGAAAAAAGAAAGATAGAAGAGAAAGCCACATGAATGGAAGCTCTTCGAAAAAACCACGGATATTTGAAGAATGGTTTCATGCAGTTAGCGAAACACTAGATGGCCGTGGTAAAATGGGATCTCTTGTGGGTGCCTCTGAGGAGTTCAAGGCTAACGGCCAATCAGGTGAAACTCAACTTCTGGAATATGTCTTGGCAACAATGTTGTTGATCAACAGTATTGCTACGGGTGGCGAAGATTTTAGATCTCGTACTCATATTCGCGCAAAGTTCAGAGGGGCAGGCGTTAGTAGGTTGTTCAAGCGTTTCCAGGAATTAGGAAATGATCGAGTTGACGATGCAATCAGGGAGTTTGAAGAGCAAGCTGCTATGGATTATGAATCATTGGTGAAAGCTGACAGAGTTGGAACAAATGTCAATATGAATGATCCAGTGTCTTTGGTCAACCAAGTATGGCATAAAGTTAAAGGCAGTGAAGCAGAAGGTTATTTCTTGTCAACAATGCAGCATATGTTTTTAGCTCAAGCCGATCCAATGAGAAGCAATGATTCGAAAGAATTATCAAAATCATTCAGATTAATTGATGGAATTGTGTCTGGTGTCTCTATGCATAACACAAGCTCTGATGAAGAAACTTCTATCAATATCGCTATTCAACGAATGTTTTCCGGTTTACAGAGTGATGAAATGGCAAGAAGAGCCTTACAAGAAGCCAAAGAGGCAACAAAACGTGCAGAAGAGGCTCGCGCTCAACGTGACGAGTTAGCAAAACAATTGTCTGTGGGTGCAAATGGCATGCTCGAGAAATTGTCAAAAGAATTAGAAGAGCAAGAGATTGTGTTAATGCGCCAAAAGCGTATGAATGATCAACTAACAGTAGAACTTGATGATTTGAAAAGACAACATCTTTCTGATAAACAGCAACTGGAACTTGAGATGCGTGAATTATTCGTTGCTATTAATGGTAATAGCGCTATTGACCAGCCTAGCGGTAAGAATGAAATTTTATCTGAAATTCAAAACAGGTTGATGGAGAAGCGTATTGGCTACAAAAAACAAAGCAATACTTGGAATAAAACTGTTGAGCCAAATACTAGGCTCAGATCACTTCGTGATCAAATGGATGATTTGGGGCGTCAAGCTAGAGAATTGGAAATGACTGATTTCCAGACTCACAAGAAAGAAGCGCCACCAATCAGTTTTACTTCGCCAGTTTTGTATCAGCAAACTCAACCTAGACCAGTGAGAGAGGATGATTTGGATAAGCTTAGCAAGCTCAAGAAGAAGTTAGAAAGCTTGCAACAAGATTCTAATGATATCATCAAATATTCTTCTGATGAAAGATTTGCCGAGATCATGAGACAAAAGAAGTATATGGCATATGATCGTTTGAACCAGTTAAGTAGTTCATTCCAAGATTTCAACATTGATTTCGATATTCCTGAAACCGCCGTTGATAAAAGAAACTCCTTGACTTCAGATTTCAAGAGCAAATTGAAGGACGAACTAGATGAAGTTCAGAGACTAAAGATGCAGCTCCAAAAACGTTTGGAGGAACTTTCAAAGAATGCCCAAATCTCAGAAGTTGATGAGGAAAATAATGAGCTGTTCCAAAAACTTGAGAGCAAATATATCGGCGGTAAGTCTACACAACCTTCTATCGGTGAAGTTCTCAGTGGCCATACTATCTTACCGGAAGTTAAATCTGGAAAAGCAAACGAGGCCTTCAATTCAGTTCTTTCAGAAATAGTCAACAAAAAGGCAGGAACTGCGGCGCCAGTAGATATTTCAATTGGGAAGCCAAATGAAGCTAAACCAGTGGCTGAAGATAAATCTCCAGAACCTGTGCCCGTAAAAGGCTCATCAGTACCACCACCACCACCACCACTACCACCTATGCTACAACCTCTTTCTCCGGAAACCAATAAATCACCACCTCCACCCCCACCACCTATGCCCCCAATGCTCTCACCAGTTCTTTCTAAGGCCGGTTCACCACCACCACCACCACCACCTATGCCCCCAATGCTTTCCCCAGTTCTTTCTAAGGCTGGTTCACCACCACCCCCACCACCACCGCCATTACCACAAATGTTGTCTCCAAAATCACCACCATTTTCTCCTAACTCTCCAGTTCCTCCACCATTTCCAGTTGGTAGTGCAAAGTTTAAGAGAACCTCTATTGGTATCGCTACTAATGATCCTTTCATTAATTATCCTCGTCCAAAGAGAAAATTGAAACAGTTGCACTGGGATAAACTTGATAATACTGATAATTCTGTTTGGGATGGAATTTCAGGTGAAACATTTGCCAATGATCTCTTGGATAAGGGTGTCTTTGAGGAAATGGAAGAAATGTTTGCTGCTAAAGATGCCAAGAAACTTGCCTCCAAAAAGAGCTCTGAGGTCAATAAAATCACATTTTTGGCTAGAGATATTAATCAACAATTTAATATTAACTTGCACGCATTTTCTAGTTTATCCGATGAGGATACGGTGGATAGAATATTGACTTGTCATAACTCGGTTCTAGAAAACATCAATGTTTTAGAGTTTTTATCAAAACGTGAAGTTGTGGAAGTTCCAAATAATTTAGCCAGAAACTTGGAGCCATATAGTACGGATTGGAATAGAGATTCTCAAAAGAAGCCAGATAAGGATCCAAATGAATTGCAGCGCGCTGATAGAATCTATTTGGAGTTAATTTACAATTTACAGCATTACTGGAGCTCAAGAATCAGAGCTTTGCTTGTTATTACCACATTTGAAAAAGATTATTCATCTTTGGTAACGAAATTACAACAGGTCGATTCTGCTGTGGAAGCTGTTGAAAATTCTGATAATATTAGATATGTGTTCAATATCATTTTGGCTTTTGGTAATTATATGAATGATGCAGGTAAACAGGCTCGTGGTTTCAAGCTTAGTACATTGCAAAGATTGAGTTTTATGAAGGATGATAAAAATAGTATGACATTTTTGCATTACGTTGAAAAGATTATTCGACAAGTCTACCCCCAATTTTCTCAGTTTTTGGAAGATCTCAAGCCAGTTTTACAAGTTGCGAAGCTCTCCATCGAGGTGTTGGAAAATGATTGCAAAGATTACTCTAACTCCATTAAAAATGTTGAAGATTCTCTTGATATTGGGAACTTGAGCGACCCTACTTTATTCCATCCTAAGGATCGACTTCTTGCCAATGTTTTACCTTCATTACCTGATGCTAGAAGAAAGAGTGAGTTACTTGCCGAACAAGCAAAGATTATTTTGAATGGCTTTAATCGCTTAATGACTTTTTTCGGTGAAAATACTAGTGACAAGTTTGCACGCGATTCTTTCTTTGGGAAATTTGCAAATTTTATACACGAATATGAAAAGGTTCAAAAAGAGAATTTAAGTCGTGAAGAAGAACTTCGTGTTTATGAGCAAAGGAAACAAAGTTTGGAGAAGTCTATGGCAGAAAAACAAAAAAATAGTGCTGCAGATGCTCAAAGCAATGCGGTTATGGATGATTTGCTAGAAAAACTTAAACAGGTTGGCCCTTCCAAGGGTGATCCGTCATCAGCACGCAGAAAAGCACTTGCTAGAAAGAAATTGATGGAAGCTAAGAAGAGTATTTTGGATGTCACAACATCAGGATTAGGTATAGCTGCCGAGGAGTCTGCTGAGAACTCTATTGATTATAGCTCTAACACTACCGTATTGACCATTGATGATTCAATAAAAGAAGAAGATGAGCGAGAGGAAGATGCTGGTAAAAAAGAGGAAGCAAAGCATGAAGTGGAACATAATGGTGATGAATATGAGGAAGTTGGGAAACAAGAAGAGAAAAGGGATGGTGAAGAAGAAAAATCCGAAGAAGACGAGGATGAAAAAAACAGAAAAGAAGAACTGGACACTAACAGTGATGATAACACTGATAAGAAAGAAGGAGATGACCATGTAGAAGATGATGACGGGGAAGGTGGTGATGATGTTGGTGCTAGAGCACGAAACTTGTTGAAATCTTTGAGAGGATCTGATATTTCACCAAGTTTGGGTGGCGAAGGGTTGACTGCAGCACAACAGCTCAGAAAACAGAAAAGATTAGAGAGATTACAACAAAAACAAAGCCATCTGGAAGATGAAAGCAATGAGAAGGCAGAGAGTTAGATTTTATTGATTCTGAATTTATAGATTTTTGTGGCTTCTATTTTGTCATGAAATATTTACTTTTTTAGTGGTTTTTTTCATTTCTCCAAAAGTCATTACCATTAATATTAATTGTTTTTTCTTCTCCCAAGTTTTTATTTTTATTTTTATTTTTTTATTTTTTGCTCTTGTCACTTACCTTAGTTTTTTGATCTTATTTCCCTTAATTATTTTAAAACTTTTCTCCATTTTTTTTTCTTTTGCTTAATAATGTTACATAAAGTTTATCTTAAATAAGGTCAATTTTTTTTTTCTCGTTTTTGACTTTGATATTTTTCATTCTGCTCACTCATTTAATTACATTATTTTGATTTTTTTTCTGAATTATTAATAATCATTTACTTTTTGCTTCGTTTGTGTTTTACTTTATCTCTACATCCCTTTAGTTAACATAAGAATTAATGATATGCCATTTTTTCTTTTTTTGTATTTCCAATTCAACTACAATAATCAAGTTGACAATAAATAATACAACAAAATTATATACATATATAGCCATAATCATTATATATGTGAGATAATAAAAACATACAAGCATCAACACTACATCAATACAAATCAAAGAACCCTCCAGACTTTCTGCCCTTCTTTTTAGTATTGACTTTGTAGGCCGAGGCCGCCTTGGTATTGATGAACGAGCTTTTCTTTTTCCCCACCGGTCTTTTATCTTCTTCCTTATCACTATCACTATCACTATCACTATCACTATCACTATCACTATCACTATCACTACTATCACTATCACTATCACTTCCACTGCCTCTATCGCTATCGGAATCAGAATCACTACCACTACTACTACTACTGCTGCTACTACTTTCATCCGAATCTTCACCATCTTTTGGTGTACTTGGGAAAAATGATAACTTTGCCTTTGGTTTAGTAGTAGAATTGAGCACAGTGGTTTCTGTTTCTCTAGAGTTTTCTCTCACCGCAGGAACTCCTCTTGTTTTAAGGGTCAGGAGTGATGTCAATCTACGGCTACTGACATTGCTAAGACGTGGGATCGGTTTATCCAAACTGGTGAACTTATGAGCCATAAAGGACAGACGATCAGCAGTAGAAGAAGAAGAAGACAACGATGAAGACGTCACTGGATCAGTAACTGGTTTCAAAGCATTTTCCTGCTTCTTTATATTTTGAAGTTTTGTGGTGGCTGGTTCCTTTTCATCATCATCATCATCATCATTATTAGAAACTTCAGGCACCTGGGTCGAGGTTGCAAAAGGTTCTAAAGCTTGGGTTGAGGTTGCCAATGGTTTCTGAGGCTTTGGTGATTCGTCTTCCGAGTCGCTATCACTACTATCATTGCTATCAGAACCATCGGAGCTAGAGCTCTCTTCGCTTGAGGATTCGCCATCGGAAGACTCACTCGAGACATCGGTTTTTTCGTCTACCTCCATTGGCTTCGCGGCAGAGAAGGATTTCACAGCTTCAGGTTGAGATTTACTCACCTTAGGTTGGTTTGTAATAGTCTTTTCTGTCTCGCCCGTTTTTCCCAACGGTGGAGAAACTTTCTTATCACCATCAGCTCCCTTCATTTTGATATCCTCATTCTTTTTCACCTCAATTGGTTTTTTCTCAGCTGGTTTTTTCCCGTTTGGCTTTGTAACGGCAGTAACGGCAGTATCATCGTCACCTTTACGAATATTCGCCAAATTTTCACGGAGTCTAGAGAATTTATTACCACTTTCAGATTTTGGACTAGCAGTTGTGGCGGCAGAAGTCTTTTTTGGATTGGAAGCCACAGGCTTTGTTGTCGGTTGGTTTCCGTACTTCTTCACTTTGACATCTTGTGATGCTTTTATTTGCACCTTGGAAACATCTGGGATAGAGCCACTACCACTTTCGCTTTCACTTCCGCTATCACTATCACTATCACTTCCACTATCACTATCACTATCACTGTCGCTACCACTACTACTCTCACTTTCTTCCTTAGCTTCAGCTTGTTGGATAACTTCAGCTTGTGGAGTGACTTCACGAGACCCAATAACAGACTCTTTCAACCTGACATTTGTTGGTGGCATATCCACATCACTCTCTTCATCACTCTCCAATGTTATTTTTTGACTGGTACCATTGGCCAAAGTAACTGTGCCATTACCTTCTTTCGTGCCATTCTTATTCCACAAACCAGCAATCTTTTGGGTGGCTCTTTGAGCCGCGGCACGCTTACCGGTAACAGTGTTAGCCCCACGATCTTTTTCAATTCTGCTCACTAGTGGTTTACGATTTTGACGCAAACTAGCAGGAATCCTCATATTGTTACGGAACATCCCTTTGATTTCTTCCTTGGAAACCCGTTGCCCAAATTGAAGATTATTACGTTCCATAAATTCTTTCAACTCTTTTTCAGCCGGATCAACCGCAGCTTTCTTAGGTTTACGAACAAGATTGAAAACGTAATCTTCGTCTTTCACAGAAACTTCGACATTACCAACATTGATATTACCATCTTCAGTAGGTAATATTAAGGTATCTCTATCATTGGTCTCAGTTTTAGCATCACTTACTTTCTCGTCAGTTGGTTTCTCTTTTGAAGTGGCAGTTGGTTTCTCTTTGGAAGTCACTGCAGGTTTTGTTTTCTGCTTTGTAGTGATTCTAGAGTCAAGAGTTGCTTTTTTTACTGCGCGATCATCCTGTGGTTTTTGAGATGCAACTTTATTGGATTCTGAATCACTAAGTTTGGATTCACCAGAAGCTTTAGCGTCACTACTATCAACTTTCTTAACATCTGCAGGAACATCTTGGCCTGTTTTTTCTTTCTGAGATTTGGTAGCCTCATTCAGTTTAGCGGAGGAGGGGTTCACTTCTTTTTCCATAACGGTGCTCAGTCTCGCAGTTTCAGGGGCATTTTCCATTGTTGGTTTCCCTTGTTCAATAAATTTCTTATACTCTTCTGGGATATCGTATTCACATTTTCTTCCGTCACGAGCGGCAAAGCAAAACAAACATTTTGGCAAGTGACGAGAACAACGACGTTTTCGAATGGCGCAGTCTTTGCAACGAGCAGGGGCCCCTAATGGTTCGCCAGAAACTGGTTCAATAACAAGAGTCTTCAAGAACTTGTTAAGAACCTCCACTGGACGGGTGTTCTTTGTGAATTTTGGAACATCATTGATAGTGATTGGTACCGTAAAAGCTTTCATTTCTTTATTTTGCGATGACTTTACCTGCTTCTTCTGTTTAACGGGTTTGTTCGCTTCAGCTGCAGCATTTTTTTTTACTAGATCTTTCACAGGCTCGGATTTGGTAGCTTTAGCAGGCTCAGCTTTCTCAGCCTCCATCTTCTTGATCTCAGCTTTAGTAGCCTTGGTCGCTTTAGTAGGTTCAGCTTTCTTTGTAGCTTCCACTGCCTTGATTTTAGTTTCTTTATGTTCTGATTTCACCTGCGTTTTCTTTGCAGCAGGCTTATTGGCTGCCAGTTCAAGCTTTGCTTTGTCACTTTGTGAACCAGAATCACTTGAACCACTGGAGCTGTAGGTGCTTTCTTTGCTGGTCTCACTGGTGCTTGATTGACTGCTTGATGGTAACTCTCTTTCGGTGAATTCCTGTTTGATGTGAACTTCTGGCTCCTTTACAGGTTTCTTAGTATTCGTAACTTTCTTGGCTGGAAATTTTGGAGCAGGCTTGTTTGCAGATTTATTAGCTGGTAATTTTGGACCAGGTTTACTGGCAGTGTCATTGGTCTTATCATCCTCTTCATCCAGAGATTCACTCTCAGAGCTAGTACTATCATCATCGCTCTCTTCTTCGGAACTCAGTTCTTCATTGTCACTGACCGAAGACTCAGCTTTTGCGGCATTTTTGGATACTTGATCAGCTTCCTTGACAGAAATTGGCTCTGGTTTTTTTTGCTGGGATTTGGCAACTGGAATCACTTCTTTCTTTTCCCTTTCTTGAGGAGTTTCTACAGCCTTTGCCACTTTCTTTGTGTTTCGCACAGTCTCTCTAGTCTTTCTGGCATTCTTTTCCTGCCTGTCCGAAGTGTCTAACTTAACGAACTCATTATTTACCCCCGATACCACCTCAGTGCCACCTGAACCACCGAGTTCCTGTTCTTGTGGTGCTACCAAAGCATTTTTCTTGATTGATGGAGATTTAACATCTTTCTCATTTATCTTCGATGATTTCACAGTCTCATCCTTTTCATTAAGGGTAGTTTGTTTTGGAGTAGATTCCTTTTGAGCAGGTTTCTTAGGAGTGGATTTCTTAGGAGTGGATTTCTTATTCACTGTAGGAACTGCTACTTTTGGCGAGTTCAAAGTATCACCGGAAGTGGACTTATCAAAAGAGGTATCACCATTTATTGATTCACGAAGTCTTGATCCTAAAGTAGGGCGCGCACCAGTAGATTTTAGAGGAGTCTCGGTGGCAGTAAGTTCGGACAGTTTTGGCTCTAAAGGCTTGACAGCAATGGTTGTTCTGCGTGCTCTTGAATTCTTCCCAATTGGGGTACTTTCTCCCATTGACAAACCATTAGTGAATGAAAAGTTATTATTATTACTATGGACCGTACGGTTCCAAATTGAAGTGTTACGTCTCTTGCGCTTTGGTAATGACATCGATGAGTTATCATCTGCAGCACGTTTGAACGAAGGTATCATAGCAAGACTATCATTGGCGCTAGTATTAGTGGCATTGGCAGCAGCAGTTACGCTGGCCGAATTAGATCCATTCATCAATAAAAGTTGGGAGCTGTTAGGTAAAATTGTTTCGAAATACGGATCAATACTTTCTAATTCATTGTTTAATATCACTTTGACCACATTATCGGTTGATCCACTAGGATACACGTCTTCGACATGGTATTCTGGATCTAAATCCCAACCTTGACCATCCTGGAGACGATTGATATCCAAAGTTTCATCACCGGGGTATAATTTAAAGAATCGGTTGACAATTTCATCGGAAACTTGAGAAAGGGTATTCTTTGGCTTGGTGATGTGGAGAAACTTCCGGACTTTGGTATCATCATATAACAATTGGTTGGCCGGTACTGTGCTGGTAGCCCCAGTGATATTTGGGTTCTGGTATGCCAGTATGAAGGCGGTGGGGGAAATGACAATCACCTGAAGCCTGACCATGGCTAGTGAATGCGGTTAAATAATGTGAAGAGAATATAGGGTTTAGTTAACTATTCTTTTAGGCTACTATTGCACAATGATCAATATGCAGAAATGCTTTATATAGGAGTCCAGTATATTCAGCTACCTATCTTTTGGGGAGGGAAAAGATGAAGATCTTTGACAATTGATGGAAGTATTCCGTTTATATCTATAATATTAAGGATTTTTCTTGTTTGTCTTTTTTAAGCAAAAATTTTTTAAGTGAAAAAAAAAAAAAAAAAAAAAAAAAAAAAAAAAAAAAAAAAAAAAAAAAAAAAAAAAATAATGAGACAACTACACTCAGGCTATTACTATTATCATTGTCGATATTCACCAGAAGAAATAAGCATTGAAGAAAACAATGCTGGTCTTCTGTTAACACTGCTGATGAATGGCCGACTTTATTACAATCGAGAAGTGAAAAGCTCAAGAAACTAAGAGCCAAAACCCAGAATGAAGACACAGAACAAGAAGAATAACTAAGTACAAGTACATGTGGCCATCAAGACCCCAACAAAACCCCAGGAAAACAAATGACCAACAACAAAACAAGATGGCACAGAAAAGAAAGTGAACGAGTAAAAAAAATAAGAAGAATAAAGAAAAAAAAAAGATAAATGGTATAGTAGTATATTAAAACAGAACGTAGGATAAAAAAAGAAACAGATTGATAAGAAAATAACATCGAAGAAGAATCTCCATAGGAAGTACAATTCAAATAACACTAACAGTAATAATAATCAAAAAAAGAAAAAAAAAAAAAGCTAATTATGATATAAAAGCACCCGCACAACCATCTTCACAAGCAAAAACCTCCAATCCTGCCATGACTCCAAATTTCATCAATTAGGCAGACTCTTGAGGTTCTGAAGATGCCTCTGCGGTGTTTGTGCTGGCAGTACTTGGTTGATTATGGTTGTGATTATAATTGTTATTGTAATTATGTTGATTCTTTTGACGATCCATCTCGATACGATTGTTGATCAAGTAAATAGCCATCTGGTTGTTGCTGGAAGCCCCAGTGATGACAATCTTCCGTTCGGATGGCGATGACGAGTCTGGGTCTTGCACCTTGATTTGCGCTCCTGAGTTGTCTCTGATTTCCCTGATGTTCTTACCTCCTTTACCAATCACTGATCCCACAAATTCGTTAGGGATGTAAATATCCTGTGACGTTTGAGGCTGTTGCATTCCTGCCATTGGCATAAAGTTCTGTGGAGGTTGAAGGGTTCCTTGAGGTGCGGCGCCTGGAGCAAGGGAAATGTGATTACGAGAAGATGGAGGCATTGACAAGAGACGACTTGGGTACTGACCGCCATTCATTCCGTGATAAGGTTTCATTTGACGCTGACCAGCGTCTTGTTGGACACCACCGGCGTTTCCTGGACCCCCACCATTGGTGGCAGCCCCACCAGGCCCTCCACGAAGCTGGCCATTCATATATCCGCCCATATTCATTGGCATCAACCCCATCATTTGTGGACCAAACCCTGCTGGAGCCCCAAACCCTTGGAATTGGAAGTTTGGTGGGTTGAATTGTGGAGCTCCAGGAAACGCTGGAGTGGCAGTACCTTGGGGCGACATAGCGCCTTGCGGTGGCATACCATAGTTTGAGTTGCCTGGATTGTAGTATACCACCTTGGTCTTGTGCATGTACTTCTTATTCTCATAGATGGTCTGGCCGACGTAATAGGTGGCAATATGGATGGCATCTGGGACCCCTGTGATACTGAGACATCTATCGGTAGAAAAGTTCATGGTGGTCTCGCTGGCCTTCAACTTGGCAGCGGATTTTTCCTCAATTTCTCTGAACTTGGTCCCACCTTTACCAATGACAAACCCAATGACCGGATGGGGCACCAAAAGCTTTAGGATGTACTGCTTGGAGTCTGGGCTCGAAGGGGTTTCTGGCTCATCAATCACCACTCTAGTGATGAGACCAAATGCCTTGGCCACCTTTTCTGCAGGTCCACGGACATGGACCACCCTTTCGTACACGCCTTTCAAGTTCTCGGACACATTAACCCTAGCTCCAGAGCGCTCTTTGATATAGCTGATCTTCTCACCACCTTTACCAACAATAAGCCCGGCCTCTTTGACAGGACAGAGCATACGGAAGTGGACATAAGTTGGGTCGTCACCTGTCTGGACCTTATGTGATGATATTGGGGTAGATCTCTTTGGGATATCTTCTGCTGGCTGTTGCTGTGTGGTGTTGTCGTCTGTAGTAGTAATAGTACCAGTAGTGGTGGTGGTAGTGCTTGTGAGCAATGGGGCGGTCTGGTGCTTGTCCTTTTCTGCATCTTCTTGCTCTAGCATTTCCGAGTCCATGGCGACTCTTTTGGTCTGAGTGGTGTCCTCAGTCTGCTCTTCTTCGATCTTACGCTTGAGCATCGTAAGATATGATATTATAGTATTATAATAATGAATAAAGATAATTAACTTGTTGATAACAGTTTGTTGTTTTGTTGGTGGAAGAAAAAAAAAATGGAGAGGAGAATAAAACGAGTGGAGGGTAACAGTCACCTGACACTCCCTGGCTGCTCCTCACAAAAAAAAAAAAAAAAAATTGGCGGCGGCGGCGGCGAAAAATTCCAACTGTGCGGTACTCATGAAGAATAACATCGTATAATATAATCATAATAGTAATAAAAATATACAATGAGTAGTCAAGACAATAATGACAACAGACCTAAACGCAAGGAAGAAGAAGAGGATGACGATGATGATTCATCCGATGAAGATTACGTCCCAGGAAGTATGCATATATTGGAAAAAAAACATTGTGTAATCAATTAAATATTCATCCATACTAACATATATTTAGACAATGCCCAAGTAGACAATGATGACGATGAAGATGATGACGATTACAAAGATGATGAAGAAACACAGAAAACTGTCCAGGAAATCAAGAAAGCAGGGTACAGTAAGATCGAAAGTAGCGAAGGTGGGCTAATCAAGACAAGAAACCAACGTTTGCAAGAACAGCAGCAGAAACAAGACAATCAGCATTTGGCTCTTCTAAACGAACCAGCCAACCCGACATCGGTAGATATAGACTCCATTTGGGATGAAATGAAGAGCAACACCAATGCTTCAGCCATAAAACCGGCCCTGGTTTCTGACAATACCACTACCCCAATCGCTACCACCCCATCCATCGAAGAAGAAAAAATCAAAATCACCAGAACCTACGAATACGCCGGAGAAACCATCAGTGAGGACAAATGGGTACTAAAGTCTTCGGCCGAAGCCAAAGCTTACCACAATTCCCTTAAGATTGAAGCCTCTTCTATAACAAAAGATAGTACTCCAGAATCCTCAAGCGATACAACCCCAAAGCCACTGGCCAGCATTAATAACAAACCACCCCCAAGAAAACGTCGGGCCAAGAAATCAATTGTTGATAATATCATTAAAAGTTCAAAAATGGCAAAAATCAGCACCCTTGAAAAATCGCGATTAGACTGGGCAAATTATGTCGATTCTAATAAACTCAATGATGAATTGCGGAAACATAACAAAGATGGGTACCTCAGTAAACAAGATTTCCTCAGTAGAGTCGAGTCAAATATTGATAACAAAATCAAAGAATCAAAAAAATGAAATCAGAAATCAACCAAACAGAATCATTTTTTTTTTTTTAGGATTATTCAATAAGTAACTTGCCAAGTATATATATATATATATATATTGGTCCAAAAAAAACTATTTCCTGTCAATATTTTTTTAATAATTAGTAATTTTGTTCTGAAAAGTAACTTTCTTGCCATGCCTATTTAACAATATCTTTGTTTATATCATATAGCTCAACATCTTTCAACAACATAATGGATAGTTTTTTTTGTCTTTCTTTCCTCTTTATTGGCATTGTTTAGTTTTCTTATATCTCTATCGGAAATGTGTAAACACCTCAAATTAATCATCCAGTGATATCTCTTATCTCATTCACCAACTCCTTATTTTCCCCAATTAAGAAATCCTGGGCCTTCTTTATTGTTCCGCTGATTCTAACTATCAGTACCACTACTTCTTGACCATATAATTTCTGGATACACATCATCGCAAAACACACCATTTCAACATCATCTCTGCCCACTTTGACGATCCCCGTCGAGGTTCGATTCAGAAAATACCGTACACTCAATACTGGGGCTATGGTACCTTGGGCAAACTCCCCGAAATTGACTTGAAGATGATCTCGGAAAATTGCCGCAAGGGATTTTTGATTGATTGACGGCGATGATGATTTGAGGATCTCGAGTTGAGGAATTGGTTCATCGTTGTATGGGGTATCTTTGGGTGATGGAGGATACAAAATTTTGAAAGTAATGTATCTATTCTTAACTCTGACCATTGTTCATAAAAACTATTATTTTACTATCTTAATTGTAGCAGGTATTTTTGATACAAAGTATTCGGGAAGGGTTAAATAATTGTTCAATTTTTTTTTTTTCAAAAAGATTTTTTTTTTTTTTTTTTTTGGATGCATTGTCTACAATTTGATGATTTAGAGTAATTTAGAAAACCCATTTTTGTAACGAGAGGTTAAAATAATACCTTGCCTACATAGTAATGAAAACAGATACTTTCCATTCCAATAAAATACCATAAAAAAGTCATAGAACCGCATGCATATAAATATATAGATATAAAAATATCTCCGAATAAGAACTGAAAAAATACTGTACATCTAGAAACATGATAAAAACAAAACGAAAAACTAATCAACATCCAAAGACATAATGTATCTAATAGATACTGGCTGAAATTGAGACTTCCGTCCCTAATTTCCTTTTCATGCTCTCATCAAACCATGGTCAAATCCCAATCCAATTTTCGTACCACCCCAAGTAACTTCCCCAAGAAATCTCCGTCACCTTCATTCTTCCAACACTCTCTAATCATTTCCATCACTCGTCTCACATTTCCAATGATATAACCTTCGTCTTGCCACCTTTGCACTCTTCTCATATACTCTTGGCGTTCTTGTTCACCAATACAATTCATTCCCACCACAACAAATCCAAGGCACAATACCCCTTTCACAGGACTCGTTAACAACTCCTCTAACAACCCCAGCGCTTGATGAACAAGCAATTGTACTGCAGCACTTGATGGTGGAGTGTCTTGAAATGCTTGAATAAGCACGATCTGCGATATGTACTGATATAACTGGAAAACTTGAGTATGGGGCACAAGTTGGCCGATCGAGGTGAAATACTCAAGTTCAGAATTCAGAGGTTGACAAGCATCAAGCTTGTCAAGAAAGTATTGATATTTGCTGTCTAACTGTTTCAAAAGCTCGAGACGTGTACCAGGAGATAGGTTTGGGTTGAACTGAAGCAGCTTACTGGGTGAAGCATAATAATCAACAGCGGAATCATTCCGCATTAACAACGCTGCAGAATAATAGTTAGAGTATAATTGTGATTTGAGTTTTCTTGATTGGTTGACGATGTCATTGATAATGAGAAATAATGGACCGACACAACTTTGGAGGGTATCAATATATTCAACTCCATCAGAAGTGTATATTTTCTCGTATTCTTCAATTTTGAATGCTGGCCCATTGATCATTGCTTGCGAACTCAAGACATCATGGAACGCGAAATTTGAGGCTAGGTATTTTTCTTCTTTTGATCCCACAAGAGAATGAATTCCCCCTAATTGATTAATTAATTCTGCAGCAATTTGTGAAAATGTCACCCAGTGTTTGACATCACCTGAAGAAATTTCCACTGCCTGGAGAAGAATTGCACATGCCAAATTCTTGATGAGATCTGCCCGGTCGGTATTTCTGCAGAGGTTCACATCAAGAAGGTCTTTGGAAAGGTTGAGGTACCGCCTACTGTCGGTATTATCGAGAAACACTCCGCCCCACGAAATTAGCCCGTTGAGAACGCATTCATCGTGGATAGCCATCGGCAAGTAAAAATTGAACCAGTAGTTGGTTTCGGAAGGCACGGTAGAGATATTTGTTGCCACAGAATGGATAAAGTATTCTAGGTATTGTTTTTCTTTTCCTTTAACATTGAGTCTATCGGGAATGTAGCATAATGGTTGGATATGGGTAAGTTGGGTATTCTGATAAGCGGAAACCATTGCTTGTACCGATACATCCGTAGGGAACCCGAATTCTTGAGAGTTAAGAAAATCTTCGAGGTCGTTGATGGTATCAAGGTTGAAATCCAAAGGGTTTGGATTGATTAAGAGTAGCGAATGAGGAGATGAAGGATGGTTCTGTTTTGATGCAGGGTATTGATAATCTGGTACTATCGGCAAATCATTGATATCTGTAGTTGGTTCCGCGATTGTGGGTTGTGAGGCCATGGGCTCTGTGAGTGTGGGTTGTGAAATTGGGGGTAATTGTTGTGTATTTGGCTTTGCTATTTTGGTGATATTTTTACTCTGTTTAGAAGGATCATTTGGTTTGCCACTGGGTCTGATACACTCGGCGCCAATTCTTTGGCATAACCCACATTTGGGGAAAACCTCGTCACATTTCTTCTTTTTCGATTTGCAAGTGGTGCAGCCACTGCGAGACCGAGGAGAGATCCCGACAAAACGATACTGCTTGTGTATTGCTTTTGAAGCGATCAGTTTAGGCATATAAGAATGGGATGGTTGTGGTATGGTATATAACAACAGTATAGTGTTGAATTAGTGGTATGTACAGATTTTTCCTTGTCAGCGGTCTTCGATGGGCTGTATTATGTAACATTGTGGCAGGTGCTTAGGTAACCACGCGCCACCATATGACTGTACAGAAACACACTGTTAACCGCATACCATGCCGGGTGTTTCACCCTGGTATTACTCACCCGCGGCCAAAAAAAGAAACACCAAGAATAAACAACAAAAAAAGAAACACCAAGAGAAAAAAAAAGAAAGAGGAAAAAAAAAGGAAATTTTCCTGAGTGAATGGATGATTTTTGGGTTATTTGCCAGATAAAAAAAAATACTATATTCGATTATTATCATCATCGCCTTTACAGCTACAACCAAATACACATACACACACAACACACACACACAAAAAGAAACTTTTTTTTTTTTTTTTTACTTTTCTTTTTCATAAACTGGATCAGAAGAGAAAAAAAAAATTATAATAAAGCATCACTTCTTTATTGTTCTTGTTCTTTTGTGTCGTTTACCTGAATTATTATCGTCTGTTCATTTCTTTTCAAATACATCCATCAAAACATCATATTTCTTCCATCCCTTTCTAATCTGAATAGACCTCACACATCATCCCTCTTACATTCCCATCATGAGCAATAGAATATCGTCCCAACATCAGAAACAAGACCCATCATCATCATCCCAGCACCAGTCTTCTGGTGGCTCTTCCTCTGGCAACAACACCATCGTGGGTTTGCACTATAAGATTGGCAAGAAGATTGGGGAAGGGTCATTTGGGGTGATCTTTGAGGGTACCAACATCATCAGTAACCTTCCAGTAGCCATCAAGTTCGAACCTCGCAAAACCGAAGCCCCACAATTGCGTGATGAGTTCAAGACCTACAAGTTCCTTAGTGGTAGCGAAGGGGTGCCATCTGCTTACTATTTTGGTCAAGAAGGTTTGCACAATATCTTGGTGATTGATTTGTTGGGTCCATCTTTGGAAGATCTCTTTGACTGGTGTGGAAGACGTTTTTCTGTAAAGACAACTGTCCAAGTCGCCGTCCAAATGTTGTCCTTGATCGAAACCATCCACAATCATGACTTGATTTACAGAGATATTAAACCAGACAACTTCTTGATTGGCAGACCAGGCCAACCTGATGAAAATGCTGTCCATTTGGTTGATTTTGGTATGGCTAAATTTTACATTGATCAGAGAACTAAAACTCACATTCCTTACAGAGAAAAGAAGTCCCTTAGTGGTACCGCCAGATACATGTCTGTCAACACCCACTTGGGTAGAGAGCAATCTAGAAGAGATGATTTAGAAGCCCTTGGCCATGTGTTCTTTTACTTCCTTAGAGGACAATTGCCATGGCAAGGTTTGAAAGCCCCAACTAATAAACAAAAGTATGAAAAGATTGGGGAGAAAAAGAGATCCACCCCAGTTTTGGAGTTATGTGCTGGGTTACCTAGACAATTTGCCCAATACTTGGAAACTGTTAGAAGTTTGGGATTCGATCAACAACCTGACTATGATGGTTACAGAAGATTGTTACTCAGCGTCCTTGATGACATGGGAGAAAAAGCCGATGGCAAGTACGATTGGATGAAGTTGAATGGGGGTAGAGGCTGGGATTACTCCATCAACAAGAAGCCAAACTTGCATGGTTATGGCCATCCGAACCCTCCGGGCGAAAGAGAAAGATATCGTCAAAGAAGAAACCGTCATCAAGCAGCCAATGGGGCTGGTGCCAATAACAACGGTACTGCCAACCCTGCTCAAAATACCGGAGCTAATAATGGTAACTCCAAAAACAACTCTAATGCTCAGCTACAAACTTCGCAACCTCCACGTACTCCAAATCCACAAAATAATCCTTCTAGCAATGTTCACCAACAGAACCTCCCAGATATTCCAGGTCACAACAAAGCCCCAATTGACCCAAGACAACAACGTGCTTCACAAAAAGCTTTCAATGATGAAGAAGAAGAGCCAGAACGTAACGGTTTCTTTGCCAAACTTTGTTGTTTCTAACCTGGTTGATCACCATTTGAATTCAAGCAGAGCCGGTATCCTATATTCATTATATATGACATGTTTATTTTCTATTGTTCTAGTTTGTTCAACATCTTGCGATTTTCATCATTTATTAACTTGAATTCTCTATTTCTTTTTTCTTTTTCTTTTTTATCTCTGCTCTTTTTTTTTTTCCATTATTATTACTATTATTATCTTCTACTTTCTAATATTTAGAAACCCAAAAATTACTCATTCGCATTTTTACTGTTCAAATTTTTTTTTTTTTTCTAATTTTTCATCTTAATTTATTTTGCTTATATGTTTCTCCAGTACATCCTAATATTTCCCTGATTATTATTACTTTTTTTTTTTTCATCAATTGCAATTGTTTTGTTAACCTTTTGACTCTTCCCATTGGCATTCTATATTTTTCTCTGGATAGTGCAATCACGTTAGATCATCGTCTTTTATTGTTTCGAATTAATTGTAGTTGGTAGTATAGTATCTTTGGAACTTCGTATACGAGTTGTCTGAGGTAACCATCCATGGCACTGGTACATCCCACTTGTGGCAATGGCGAAAAAGAAATGAAATAGAAGAGAAGAGAACAATTACTAATTGTTTGCCACCTAAAAACATAGATCTAATAGACATATAAATAGAAGCTGCTTTCCTATTCTTCTCTTTCATTTTATCTATTTTTTTGCGTTGACAGTGCATTTTTTGTTTTCATCCCTCAATCAATTAAACACAAGAAAGAAATAGAATTCACAACATGACTGACTCGGAAGGTATGATGAACATTGGCAAACACTGCCAGCATTGTCGACAATTGGATTTCCTACCGTTTGTGTGCTCTGAATGTGGAGGGACTTTCTGTGGAGATCACAGAGTTCCAGGGATCCATCGTTGCTCCAGTCCGTCGTCAAAAGATTCATCTGCCACAATACCAACTTCAGAGACAACCAGCACCACGCCAGGACTCACAGCAAAACAACTTTTCGCACAAGCTAAAGAACCAAAACGTTATGAGACCGATCGCCGACTTGGAACTGGAACCCCAGGGACCCTTGGGGAAATGTTACGTTCGACTCAAGGGCAAAGCATGGGAGGACTTAAGGCGTTGGAAAAAGTCCGCAAGTTTGTGTTCCAGCAACGTAAATCTCTGTCAAAAGAATCATCATCATCATTCAAATCTTTTTTCAAGAGCTCACCAAGCCAACGAATCGTGAATGTTTCCAAACTCAAATCGGTGGCGAAAGGTGACCCTAAGACCCCGATGAGTGAAAGAGTATACGTGTGGCTTATTTTGGTGCCGGATGATAGTGATTTTGGTGAGTTTTTTGAGAAAAAACAACATTTGCAAGCAGATTTCCGCAAACCATTCTACGTTTCCCGAAGTTGGCCGGTGGGGAGGGCACTTGACAGTGCCACCCAGATTTACAAGATTAAGAACCAGAATAATAAAGCGGTTGACAAGAGCCAGAAGTTGTCAATCTTCAGGTTGGCCCGTAGTGCTGAACAGAAATCGACAAACAATAATGATGATGAATTGGTCCATCCTGTGGCTGCCAATGGCAGGGTCAATAAGGAATTCCAGGATGGAGATACGTTGTACTTGATTAGGGGAGCTGATTTATGAGAGATAGAGAGAGAGAGAGAGAGAGACATACTCTGTGTATATTATATTTATATTGTTGCTGAATAATACCAGTCTATTTATCAAATTTGTTGTAAGGTCGCTCTATCAAGCTGATGTTGATGGCGATGTTGCGATGGGGTCCATAACCTTTTTTTTTTTTTTTTTTTTTTTTTTTCCCTTTCTCAAAGACTGCAAATCATTAAGCATCATCATCTACGACCTATAACTGTTATCTTTTTGTCTACAATTAAGAGAAAGAAGAAATATATTCTTTCTTTCTCTTTTTTTTTTTTCTCTCCCCCATAAGTGATAGAGAGACGGTAAATGCACATATAATCCATTATTATCCAACAATCAAACAACATACATGCCAACATGAATTATGGATATCCTCAGCCCATCCCCCCTCCCAGAAAGAAACTAAAGTCATTGATGGAGATCTGCACCATTAGATTACTTGCAAACGTACGAAGCATTGACAATGTGGGAGAGTATCCCAGTTTCCATCTTTTACGACCGGTACTACGACGAATGGATGCCTCGCATCTACGAAGAATCGAGGCCCAGTCCCCGGATTTACTCGACCAAACTGGACCACTATGGAAAACTCTTATTGAAAAAGATTTCCCAAAACATACTTTCCTGGATGATGATGAATCTGTTGGTTTTTCTACAGTATATCTCCGACTAGATCAAGAGCAACAACAGCGGCGGGCCGCTGCGTTACATAAGCTTAAAACCAATCAACAACAATTACAACTGGCAAGAAACCAGATAGTAGGGTTGAATGAGGAGTCATCAATCAGAATGGTGAATTTAGTGGTGAACCGCAAGCGGAAAAAGCGATTCTTTGGCGATGATTCGGAATTCAAATCGGCAGCGATGAAAAAAGTCAAGCGGGATGTCAATGTGAGAAATAACTTGTTCAAAATGGGACCTTCACCCACTACAATGCTACAAAGACCCACAATCACTTGTAGTGGTTTCAATAAGTCTAGTCGAATTAAGAACTCTGGGTTATTAGAACAGATTCAAACAAATTCTTCCTCGAGGTCAGGGATTTTCACTCATAGAACCAATCGTGAGGTTAAAAGTCCGACACTTAGACAACCTTCCACCAACACTCGGAACATTGGTAGTTTCAGATCTAGCCCTACTGCAAAACAAACCACTACTCTATCTAAATCTTTGGATCGACCTGCTAGTGCATCTCAATCAGTAGACAGATCTACCAGTTCGTCTCAATCGCTAGATAGACCTGTTAATGTGTCACTTCCACCTCCCTCCGCCCCAAGTAAACTTGAAAAGCAGTTCAGTGGACGCTCTAAACTGTCAATTTTCTTACCTCGCTCAAAGACTGGTTCCAATGTTGCGAAATCCAAATCGCCGCCAGTTGTCACATCATCATCATCATCATCATCATCATCATCATCATCATCATCATCATCATCATCATCATCATCATCATCAAGAAAAAAAGAAATCGGCGAAAAAAAGGTGGGACGTACCAAATCAGGTTTAGAATTGTTTGACCCTAGTATAACAAGATCTAGATCTCCAGGTCCTAAAAAATCCCTGATGAAGAAGCCGGGGGTGGTTGTTATCCATCGAGATAACCCTAAGATCTTCACCAGCAGGCTATTTTTGAACAGCAAAAAACCATAGAAGATGGGAGGGTGAAAAAGGGCTTTCCTTTCTATTATATTTTACAATTTTATATCCTATACTATACTATACCAATAGTAAGATTTTGTATTTTAGACTAATGAACTTTTACGATCGAATTTCAAGTTGTAATTACATCCTATTAGGAATTACTCGTAATTTATATCATCTCATTAAAGACTATCAATATACCACAATGAAAAATTGTACCAAAAAAAAAAATCAAATAAATATATAATAAATAATACCCTGTCTTGATCTTGGAGTTCATCTCATTTCTTTTGGGCTTTTTCCTTGGTCTCTTTGGCCACATTATCAACAAATGTCTTTTTGGCACTCTTGAAAATGGTATCCAATGTCCTATTATCAGAAGGAGCGATTCTTGCCACGACTTGTTCAGGCTTTTGCATATCCACCACCACGTACTCGTCGTCTCTGGAATCAACACAAGTGGTACCGGCCCAAGGAGCCTCATCATACTCCGCAAGAGTCACCACTGGAGGCTTTGAGTCAACGTACTCTGGGTATTTGGTAGCAGAGGAAGACATTGATAATGATGACAAAAAAGAATACTAATAATAATAACAACAATAGTTGTATATAACGCTGGAGAAATCAATACTTTTCACTGCTCATCTCGTACATCGACCCTTTGGTTCGCAGCCCGTGAAGAAGGTTTTTTTTTTTTTTTTTTTTTTTTTTCTTAAATTTTTCACAGAGAGGAAAGAAGGAACTAGTTAGTTGGTTCCCTTTCTCAAGTTTATATAGGTGCTCAGATCAGATAGATTAGGTGTGCTTTTCTATTTCATAATAACCTTAATACTGCTTGAATTTTAATAATGAGTGTGGAAATTCCTCGAGTAGTGGTGCCAGGACAACCAATTGTCCCAGAATTCGATACCGCCTCTCATAGTGCTGACCATACCATCACCCAGGCAAGAAAATACTTATCGGGTCCAGGAACCACTCTTTCGAAAATTCCTACCGGGCCAAACGAGGAAGTAAATGCTATTGTTGCCACTCTTAAGGGTAAAACCGTGATCTCTCCTAAATCAAAAGATAAGACCTCTTCAGCCTCGAAAGATGAGCTACCGGTGAATGAATTTCTTGTTAGTGTGGTGAATCACCAGACCCCAAGGGTTCCATTACCAAAAGAAGGCGATTACGTGCTTTGTCGGGTGATGAAATTAACATCACGTCAAGCGTTTGTGGAGATTCTTAGCGTTGATAACCAATCTTCGATCCTCGCAGATTCCGGGGTTGGGTCAAATGGGAGTTTGGGGATGGCCGGAGGCACATCACTCGTGGCCAATGTTAGTAGTGGATCAGTGGCTGGGACTTCGGTGTTTTCACAAGCAGTGGGGGCCACCAATGCTTCGCTTGGAGCCCATCCTGCAGATTTAGGAGAAAGTTTCCGTGGGTTGATCAGAGTTCAAGATATTAGAGCCACAGAGCGTGATAAGACCCAAGTGGTGGAAAGTTTCATGCCAGGGGACATTGTCAGGGCAGAAGTTATTAATATCGGTGATGGGGCGAGTTATTATTTGAGTACCGCGAAAAACGAGTTGGGAGTGGTGTTGAGTAGATCCCATGGGGGTAGAGGGGACATGCTATATCCTTTGGATTATGAAACTATGGTGAGTGTCAGTGGTCATATTGAGAAACGTAAAGTTGCCAAACCATTTTGAAAAAGATGATGGCACCAGAAGAGCAATAATTAAGCGGAATTACGGAGAAGGTAAGTTGGGCAAGGAACTCAAAAAGCGCGGTTTCGATAATGTATTTCTTGGGCGGCAATACATGGTAATATTAAATGCTATTCATTATCCATATGGTTCTCCCTATTGCGGTATGGTTTAGTTTGTAGCTGAATGGACATTTGTGGATGGTGAAGGTTATTGGGTAACTACTGATATTAAGGGTTAGTTGGTAACTGTTGCTATGGTACCACTTGGATATGGTCTAAGGATGTAGATAATCGTGGAGTTAACCGGCGTTAGTACCCAATTAATGGAAATATACCTGTAAGATGGTGATATGTTATTTACATTATTTATATTATACAAAAATTAATTTATAAACTAAGAATGAAGAATGAACTTTGGTGGTGTTCTACGTGTAGATATTATTAGTAATACAATTGCACAAGATGAGGAGGATGAATTATTATCCTCTTTGTAATGATTTAGTGGTGGTAGTAGTACTAGTAGTAGTAAAAGTCCACCTGTATATGACAGGCTGATTATATAATGGTTGCAGATAAAAGCGAGCCTACTTACATAATACAATACTTTTTTTTGTAGGCCGATTTTCACCACCACCGCACTGAGGGTGATCTGTCAAATCAAGGAAAAGCGCTATTGGAAATTTCCCCAATCATGAAGTTTAAGTGAAAAAAAACCACAACGAAAAAAAAAAAAAAAAAAAGAGAAATTAAAGAAAAAAAAGAGCAGCTCATCAATGTTTGAAGCGGCTCTCAAATTATGTTAGTTGTTCTGTTGAAAATTGGAATTAGATAAGATGTTGGCACCCCCGAGTGAAAATTGGAGAACGAAATAAACTGGTAATCAATTAATCAATTAATTAACTAATTAACTAATTAACGATTTATCGGATGATTTTATCATAAATGTCAATTAATTAGGAACCGCCGAAATGACACTTTTAGGGATTCTATTTGTTTTTTTGGTAATACACAATTCACTGACATAATCCGGAGATCCTTCCTCCACATATCGAACGTAATTTAGAAATGGATTGGAAAATTGGTACCAACCGGAGAAGTCAACTTTTAGAAGCTTACTTAGCAGATTAGCCTTGCTCACATCTTACAAAATAATAATAATAATAATAATAATAATAATATATAACCAAAGTACCATACCCTTCCCTTACATCAATGAAAAAAAAAAAAAAAAAATACCAAAATATCAAAGCACCGCAAAAAAATCTACAACCAGAACAAACGTAGGAAGCGGCTCATTATTATTATTATCGCTGACCAACAAACAAACAGTCTTCAACCTCGATCTGAAATTTTTGTCAATTATTGCGGCATGACAGTTAGCACTGACATCATCGACATGTCTTTGATCTTACATTTTACTTTTTTTTAGCGTTGATTGTGTCTGAGATATTAGATACTTTCTAATATTTTGAAATGATCAACAAATCAATATGATGAAATAATATTTACGGCAAAGGGAAGTTGAAATGAATTTTGTTATGAAAAAAATTAAAGAAAAGAAAAAATAAAAAATAAGCAAATAATTACTTACCTGTAACGCTGATCAATTCCACATTCTTTGGTTGCGCCAATCTGCTGCTGTTATTTCCTGCCTGATCACCCGTATTCCTGCTAGATATCAATTCTATTTTGTATTGTTTTAGTGTCTTTGTGAACCAGATAGATTTGGAATTGCAAATAGACATACACTGGTCAAACCTGATATATGTGGGAACAACACGTAAAGGCCTCCTTTTCAGGACAAGTATAAACAAACCACGATTGAAAAAATTCACCACGGCAGCACCAACCGATGATGTTTTCAAAGCGTGAAACTTTAAAGTGAAAATATAAATTAGTGAAAAAAAAAATAGTAGTATATTATCAAAACTAGAAGAGCTTTTGGGAAGATATTGGTATCTCATTTATTTCAAATACCAAGTAAGACCTACTGATGGTTAATAACTATCGCTGAGATCATTAATGTTCGAAACGCTCTCTATCGACCAGAAAATCCCATGTAGAAGTAGCCCATACAAAGTTATATGGTTTATTTTTTGAGGTTTTTTCTTCCGAGAATGCTAAACAATAAACATTATTAGAACAAACAGATCTTGCTAATTTAACACGACAGGCGTCAACAAACTTAGAAAAAAAAAAATATCAGCCAAAAAAAAAAAAGGTTTCGTAGTTAGGCACATGCTATGAAAGAAACTAACAATAGGTATGCTGAAGTCTATTGATATTCTTGTTGCGAAAAATAGAGTTTTATTTTATATCGCCTGATCGTTCTTATCATCCAGCGGGGCCCAAGTGGCCGCAAATACCGTAATTCAGAACTAAGACAGGACATAAAAAAGATAAATTAAAGATCGCCTAGAAGGACATTATCAATTAGAAAGAACGGTTTTTTTAGTGATGCTGCGTCGCCAATCGTCAGCTACTTACCGTGAAGTTTTGGCGGGGATCGTCAATTTTTTTTTTTATGTCGTGGCTTGATTTAGGCATAATGCATGAATCAGTGATGTGCCGTACTGCGACAGCATGCGTCCTATCAACCATAAATATCAAAGAAAAATTGCGGCCATAAACAAAAACAAATCGGTGTCCAAATTTTTCATCTATGGTTGTTGTGGGCAACACAACAAAATGGCGAGCAATGAGGAATGTGTCAACTGGAAAATACCCCAGTGCTACTACTTTTTCTTTGGAAAATAAAATAAACACAAAATTACATTATAGTGTAAAATAAATAATAACCGAAAGCGAGCAGAATATTAAAAGCTAAAAATATGAATAAAGAGTCATTAGAAATAAGAGGGAATCATAAGTTCACAATCCACTGGTCGATGCCAGCAAAAAGAGGTAGAGAAAGTATCAAAATGGTAAATGCAGAATAAACAAACTAGAAAGAAAAAAAAAGAAAAACAATGCTGAAAATATAAACTGTAACAAATTAATAAGCGGTGCTCAATCTTTTCTTGCTTGGCAAGCCCATGGCACTCTTAAATCCTTGAAACATCTTCTTACCACTGCTCAAATTACTAACAATGTCTCTTTCTGAAGCGGTACTACTGTCACCAGTCTTGGTACTAACACCATCGATCGAAGACATGTCTGGGAAGAATTTGGATGGAGATTTGCTCATCATTCCGACATTGTTAGAATCTTGTTCCTTGAGGTTTTTAGCAGAAGCTTTTCTAGAAGTCAATCTTGATCCACCTCTACCAACCTTTGGCAAGAAGTTGGCGGTGGAACGAATACTAGCGGCGTCAGAATTATCGACACTCATGAATTTCAACACTGTAGATGGTTCAGTGAGCGATGTCGAGCTGGAAGAGGTGAATGATTCATTACCATCTTCCATTAATGATGATACGGTAGACAGCTGTCTGTCCAAGTCCATACCCCAATCGAGTTCTTCATCCATGTGTCCCAAGGCAAGGGTATCTTCAGCACCGTTAGCCAACATGGTGTTAGCCAAATACAGGTAAACTTTAGCCCAAGCGTCTTCGGCTTGCAAAGTGAACCCTCTGCCGAATCTGTCAGCAAAAGTCTTGATGAATGCGGCGCCCATAAGGTCGAATTGCACTGGTTCAATCCCCAAGATTCTAGAATGACGCTTTCCAAGGGCATCAAGATAATCATCAAGGGCTCTTAAATCTTCCAAGTTGAGGACGGTCATTCGGAGGACCCCGGCAAATGAGGCGGCAAGATGTTTGATTGATGGGAAGAGAGTTTCAAGATCTGGAGCGAGACCTAATAAGTTACGGTAAAGCTGGTCACAGAAAAGTGAAGACGATGAACCGGCATAACGGGAACGAGGCTGTTGTTTCGGAGCTTTCTTGTCTGAGTCGTTATTGGCAGCTGGAGCTGGAGCGTAGTTGATATCTTGTAACATCTGGGCCCATGTTGTACGAACGGTTTGAATTTCCGATGGAGACAACTGAAGAGTAACTGAGTATTTTTCAGTAGCAAGCACGTATGGGTTTTGTGGTTGGGGTTCAAGAGTGTAGTTCATTGTGGAATATCAATGGAGAATGAATATGGGAAGAGAATACAATAAATTGGTAAGATCTGAAATGATTGTAAGATATTATTGAACGGAAATTGATAAAAGTTGCAAGGACCGGCCAGGGCCTTTATATATATCCAAGTGTCGTCGATGATCTTTAAAGTGACAGGGAAAGAACGTATATTCTGCATCTTGCTGCTGTCTGGGTTCGGATGACTACTTACACGCGCAGGGCATGGCAGGATGTATCATGAAGGGTGCGAAGGAGAAAGAAAACCCTCGTTCTAAATAAGGGGTTTGGAACACTCTCTTCCCCAATGCGGCAAGGGAACGCCGGTTCACAGAGTGGGGCTCACCGACGCGAGCGAATGGTTGGGATTAATTACTGGCTGGTGACATGGAAAGCTAATTAACTGAGATTCGAGACTCGCTGGAATGTGGTAATTATCACTTGTTGTTTTAATTTGTCAAATATGACTCCTTTGGCCCTTCCTACAGCCTACACCCCCGCACAATAATTGATAGGTATCTTTCGAGACCGTGAATAATCGCGGGTGTCTCAAACCACAATTCCTGCTAAGGGAAATATGATTGATTCAATGAAAATTGTTTCCTGGGCTGCCCTGCCCCGATGAAAATCTAACCTAAAGAAAAAGGAAAAAAAAAAAAAAAAAAAGTTTTTTTTTTTTTCTATTTACTTTACAGTTCTGTGGTGATTAGTTAGCTATGACTACAATTATATTGAGAAAATAATACATATTATTAATTCCATGATCGACATCTTACAATATACAGTTCTAGTACAATTTCAATTCCCCAGTAATACTATCCAACACCGCCTTGGGGGCTGGACCTAACCCTAATACTGTCGCGCTTCCCAGAGCGATCTGGGTGCGTCCAGCATCGTGGATCACCAAGCTGTTGACCCCACGATCCACTGCCATGGCGAACAACATATCCATTTGCTCCTCATCAGGACATTTCACTGTAATCTTGGCCTGGCCACTTCTTTCCCACCGTTGTAAAAGAGTTGGGTTGTAACTGGCAAGTGATGGGTTGGAGATCTGCTTATATAATCCCACGGCGGCGTGGCCTACTTGAGCCGCCAGCTTACCTTTGGTCATCCCGAGATCCATTCTAATGGCGAATATCATACGTACTTCTCCGGGGATTTCATTCAACGGGGTAGAATCGATTAGAATAGGTGGTTCATCTTCATCCTCGCTATCGTATTCTTCATCCTCGTCATCTTCATCTTCTATGCGTTTTTTTGTAAGGATCTCCTCGCTTTGTTTGGCATCTACAAGGGTTTTTCCGATAAAGATGCCGGTTAATAACGATACCCCACCGATCGTCAAATAAGTAATGAGGTTATTGTTGGCCATGGTCTTGGTCTTGGTAATGAATGATCTTGTGGGGGCATCTCTATCACTCTCTGATTTTATTGTCTGTTGATTTTTCACCGCAAAAAAAAAAAAAAAAAAATCAAATAATCACGTGAAAGACGTTGTATGATATACCGTCACCATGGATCCATCTCTGTGGTGATCTTGCACAACGAAAGTAAATTGAATTTTAATAAACATTATACAAAATAAATACCAGATTAGCTGGGAATGGTACTCTCCCCCCCCCATTCCTTATAGTGAAAAATCCGTTTTGTCCGCAGTGGTGATTGCTGATGCTGCTAACTCCTATAGGTAGGTGAGCCATGCCATGCATCACACAGGAATCGTCTATAAAAATGGAGTGTGCAGAGAACCTTTTTTTTTTTTTTTCTGGGTGCTTTCTGTTTTTGGTTGTTTGACTGGGATCTGACGCATTTAATTTTCATCGAAGGAGCGTGAACCAACTATAATATATACTCCAAAACTATATTATTGTTGTGATTATTATGCTTCTTTTTATATAATACTTTATTATATTCTTATAATTCTCAGTATCGGAAGTCGCCTCCCCATTCTTGTTCCTATCTCCATACCATTAGTTAGTCCGAACACTACCACAAGATCGCTCGGCATAAGCGAACCTTTTAGCATAAATGCAGCGTGGATGTGAAATCGCTTTTCTATGGCAATTCTCTTTCCTAAAATAGAAGGATCCATCTAAAGTGTGCCAACATCTCCCTTGTCCCACTGGGCTATATTTGCATCTTTAATTAATCTTCACGATCACTCCTACTATTGTCTCGTTTCCCTGGCTTACACCAATCGGTATTTTCTGTCAAATACTGCGATTTGTCGATCGATCGATCTCTGGAAGGTAAAACACACACACACACACCCCAAAAAAGGCAAGACAAGACAGTCTAGCTCCAAAGTCTACTTTTTGTGTAGGGCCAACCTAAAACTTAACAGAGCACCAACACCAAAAAGGAAAAGAAATTCCCCCACTCAGTTTTATGAGTGTTTTTTTCTTCTGGCTCAGATTGTTTTTTATCTGCTGCTTTGGTTTCCGTTTTCACACAGGTGCCAATCTTATTATTATTATGTCCATCGTCATACATATAAGATTTTCATAGGATTACCGCAAGCTTATTCAATAAATCAATTGAAAATGTAACTGCTCTAATTGTGAATTACGAAGAGCCAAGATTGGTTATTCAGAAAAAAAAAGTAAAAAAGTAAAAAAGTAAAAAAGTAAAAAAGTAAAAAGTAGAAAAAAAAAAAAGAAAGCTTGATATTCAAATACATTTTATCAAATTTTAAGTGCTTGTTCACTTTGAATATCTTAATATTTCCCATTGATGAAATAGTATATGGGAAGGGAATAGGTATATAAGCATGAAACCCGATCCTCCATACACCTTAGAATAGAGATGTCCTCTCACATTAGCTTTTGATTATCCCCTCTCAGAATATACATGACTTTTGAGTTCATCACATTCACTTTGAGTGGCTTTCTTGGATGGTTTCTTGAAAGATCAGAAAGCCCTAGACAAAAATATCCGCCATCATACCAAAATCAAGATGAATGGAAATAGACAGTATTACAGATAGTAATGTCCGTCCTATTTTTAACAACTTGGATCTCCAAATTCATACTAACAAATCCTTCTTCTTCTTCTTTTTTTTCTCCAGCTTTTTAAGATAATGTTGCCAGTTATTCACCCGTTCATCACGATGATCTTCCCATTCTTTGTCTCTTTTCCTTTTGCGTTCTTTTATTTCCAATGCCTCTTCTCTTCTTCTCTTCACTTCCCCATCTTTGGCCAATTTCTGCTTGATTTCCATTCTTTTCAAGAATTCCTCTTCAATTAACAATTCTTTTGTCTTTGCCCGCCATTCTTTCAAGAAATCATCACTTTTGAGACGATCGTCATCAATACTCCACTTCTTCTCACGTATCAACACCCGTCGCGCATCACTAAAGATCTCATCCAATTGTCCCCGTTGTTGATCATCAGCCAACACCGCTTGGGCTTTTTTCAAACTATCAAACGCATCGGGGGCTCGAGGATTCGAGGTCTTGTCAGGATGAATCAAGAGCGATTTCTTCCGGTAAGTCCTCTTAATATCTTGTGGGGAACAACCTGGCTGAAGTGATAGAATCGAATAAGCATCAAGTTTGAAGCAATTGAGGATTCTGTCGATTTCTTTATCCTGTGATTTGGGTTAGCATATGGTTTTCTGTAAATTGCGAATACTCTGGGTATTTCCTAACTCACCTTAATAAGTTCTGCCTCCTCCTTAGCAAGGGTTTTCTCTATATCCTCGACATCACTCATGATAATAGCAATTTGGCGGGGACAGAATAAAGTGCTCTGCCATCTCTGGTCAATGAATAATAGAAAAAAAGTAAAGGGTGGCCCAATTTCCGGGTGTTGGTTACATAATCTCTCAGCCAATATCTTACGTAATCACACCCTCATCACTGATTACATAAGCTCTTCATATAATTACGTAATCACACACTAATCAGTGCCACAAAATCCCAAAAAATTTTCTTGAACAAAAAAAAAAAAATTTTCCGGCCCAAAAAAAAAAAAAAAAAAAAAAAAAAAGAATGAGAGCAGAGGTGTGTCAAATTTTTTATCCTTCTCTTTTGCCTCCAAGTTACATTATCAGTGTTTAGTGTTTCCATCTCTGTTGCTCTCTGGAAAAAAAGATTCTACCTGGAGATTTCTTTTTCTTTTTCCTGCTAGTTTCTTGCTTCACCAATATTCTAGTTTGTACTATATCACACGAACAGTTGTTGCTTTTTTTTTTTAATTGAAAGAAAAGTCCAAGGCAAGTTTAAGGAGAACATTGAAAGAACAAAACAAAATAAACCATTTCACTTTCATAACCTAAACCATACAATCATAAACAAATATTCAATTAGTATTAGAAGATGGGTCAATTTCTTTCTCAGCCCGTAACCGAAAAGCACTCGGAAGATGGGGGCGATGAGTTTCTCAAGTTTGGGTTATCGTCAATGCAAGGTTGGCGTGTTTCCATGGAAGATTCCCACTCCACCATTCTTGATCTCAACAAGGTGAAGAGTTATAAGCAAATTGCCCAAGGGATTTACGATTCCGTTACCGTTACCGCCAACGACGACGATGACGATGACACCGAAGCCGACAAGGAAAGCACTGATTGTGCTCCAACCCCAAAAGATGTCGATACCTCAGTGACCACTGAAATTCAATTCGATGAACAAGTGTCATTTTTTGCAGTGTTTGATGGCCATGGTGGGTCTCGTGTGGCATTATTTTCCGGGGAACATTTGCCACAAATTCTCAGAGACCATTCGGAACTCATCCAAAAGAAACAATACGCCAAGGCGTTGCAAGACTCTTTCCTTGCCTGTGACCGTGCTATTCTTGATGACCCAGCCATGAAGAACGACTCCAGTGGTTGTGCCGCCACCTCGATCTTGTGCACTCCTTCCAAACTTGTGTGTGCCAACTCTGGGGATTCCAGAATTGTGTTATCGATCGATGGTCAAGCCAAAGCCATGAGTTATGACCACAAACCTTCTAATGAAGGAGAAAAAGCCCGTATTGTTGCTGCTGGGGGATTTGTTGACGTGGGGCGTGTTAATGGTAACTTGGCTCTTTCTCGTTGTATTGGTGATTTCGATTTCAAGAAATCTCCAAACTTGCCACCTGAAGAACAAATTGTCACTGCGTTCCCAGATATTATTGAACACACCCTTGACTACGCCCATGATGAGTTTATCATTTTGGCGTGTGATGGGATTTGGGATTGCTTGACCTCTCAACAATGTGTCGAGCTCGTGCGCCGTGGGATCCATGAACGTCTTAGCTTGACGGAAATTTCGGAGAAAATCATCGATGTTTGCGTGGCTCCAAACTCCATGGGTACCGGTATAGGATGTGATAACATGTCGATCATTGTCGTGGCCATTCTTGACGGTAAATCTCTTGATCAATGGTACGATGATATCATTGCCAAAGAAGGTACTCCAATTTCCGAACCATTCAACGAAATTAGAAAACAAATTTTTAAGACAGAATTGGGACCAAATGAACATTTGCAACAAGATATGCAAGCCACTGGTGAAGAAGCTTTTGAAGAAGAAACCCCAGGGTTGGGTGATACAGGGATCACTCAGTCATTGAGTCAATTACTCAGCAGCAGTGTTGCAACTTTCCAAGACGGTACATATTACATTGATACAAGCAACAGCTCCTCGATCTTGGCATCTCTTGGAATTTTGCCAGGTAGTGAATTTGCTGATGCTGAAGGACATGAAATGGACAGAGAAATTGATGAAGAAGATGATGAAGATGAAGAAGAAGAAGAAAGTTCTAAAGTGGAGGAAATAGAAGTTGCAGAAGAAAAGAAATAATAATATGACATATATTAGTCCGAAAGATTTCTCTCTGTAATGAGATGTGTATATATAATTATAAGAGAGAAATCCAGAGATTAATTACATTACAAATCTGAATGTGAAAAATAAACACAGAAAAAGAAAACCTAAAAAATTGAAAATAGAGAGTTCAATCCAAGAAAGTCAAACAATTCATTTTCTTTCCCTTTGTTTTTTTTTTTTTTTGTTTTGCTTTTTTTGATTTATTCATTTAATTTTTTATTTTTTTATTTCCTTTTGTTGGCCTATTTACATATTGTTACGATAACTATAACTATTGCTATTCATTATCTTTATTATGATCATTTTCATTTTCCTTTTTTACCATTACTTTTTTAATAATCCTTTCCTTTTCTTTTTCTTTTTTTTTTGTTTTTTCGTGTATCTTTGTCATAATTTTTTGTCATAATTTTACATCGTCATTTTTCTCGTCTATGTTGATTTTCTTTTGTTCATTTTTTTTTTTTTTTTTTTTTTCGTATTTCCTATACATTACAGTTTTTGTTTTTTTTTATTTATTTTTATTTGATCCTTTTCTTTTACTCTTGTTGTTCTGTGTTGAGTTTCTTGTAAAGTTGTTTGTTTGGGATCGACATTAACTTATTTTACTTTTTTTTCAATTTTATTTTATTTAATTTGATTCTCTTTTCTTTTCTTTTCTTTTTCTATTTTTTATGTTGATCATGAATTTTTTTTTAAATTTTGGAATAACATTTATGACAATAAAGTTTAGACTATGTAAAATGGATTCTATATATCACATAGAATAAACAGTGTATCCTTCGAGATCTCTTTCTATCCGATCACTTTCTATCTGGATATACATCAAATACTTCAACACTGTTTTTGTAGGCTATATCAATCAATACTTCTGGTTCAACCTGTTTCAATTTGGCCATGACCTCGGCAACGAGTCCCACAAACACTGGTTCATTACGGGACTTGATCAATGGGGGTGCCCTGATCCCAATTTGTGCCTCTGGTTGGATCTCAAACGTCGCCATCTTTTCCTTCTTGATATTTGGGAAAGGTAAATGATCATGAAGTTGGACGACAGCTTTTTTCTTTGAGGTTGGTTTCTGTTGAGCAGTTTGTTCTGATGAGGCTTGATCTTCTTCAATCGCGATTTCGGGATAATACGCATTAGGATACCCTGTAAGATACTTATAACCGGCATGACTTTTACGGATTTCACACCATGGAGCATCAGTTTCAATCATCAATCTTTCCAAGGGTATTTCTGCCGCCACTTGCAAATTCTCCTCAGTTTTCAATGAACAACCATTGACACTGATATAGAACCCCAATTCCACGAGTCTTTTAAGTTCTGGCAAAGTTCCGGTAAAAGAATGCACCACATGGTGTTTACGGGTCAATTTACCATTGGAAGTGGATGACGAAGAAGAAGAAGAAGCAAGGTACGGTTCAATAATCTTGATGAAATCATCACAAGCAGCCCTCATGTGCAAAAACAATGGTAAATCACAATCCACAGCAATATCAAGTTGTTTTTTGAAATATTCTCGTTGTAAATCTGCAGAAGCATAATGCAATCGATCATAATCTAAGCCAATCTCCCCAAAAGCCTTGACGATCCCCAATTGTTTGCCTTCAAGGGCAAGCTCTCGAAGTTGTTGAAGATGCAGTTCTGGATTGTCGATGAATTCGGTGACACTGCACGGATGGACCCCTACGGTAGAATAAAGGAATCCCTGATGATTACGACACATCTCCATAGTTCGACGAGATTCTTCTAAAGTAGATCCAGTAGCGAGGATTTTCTCAACGTTGAAGAGCCTGGCGCGCTCAAGCACTAGAGAAAGATCCAGATCGTGATGAGGTTTGCCATTATAGTGGCCATGGAACATCGGATCTGTAAAATTGACCCCAATGTCAAAGTAACGAGGTACGAATCTTTTCATGGCCAGGGCTTTCAATGTGGAGGCCATTAGCAATGAAAAAAAAAAAGAGATATAAAGAGAAAAAGTATCAATCTTTGGTCTATTAGTGGTGATTTGGTACATTTTACTTTTTGTTATTTTTTTTTTTTTCTCGATCATTTTTCATGCAGTGTAGTCAGATCAAAGGATAACGAAATCATGGAGATAACAAAAAAAAAAAAAAGAAATATTAAGCTGGAAAAGAAACAAATATTAGCGATTTATCAAACTGGAAAATGGAAGCAACAATTAGCAAAACAGAAAAATTAGCAAAAGAAGAAAAATTAACAAAAGAAAATTAACACAAGAAGAAAACTTTAACAGAAGAAGCAAAAATTAGCGAGAGTTATAAATAAGCAAGGAGAAAAGACAAAAATAAAAAAAATCTAGAAAAATATTACATGACAAAATAATCAAATTTAAACTCCATATGTCTCTGCTCGGGTACAATATTCAATACTCTTCCGAATTCCAAGATATTTTTAATATTCTTGACGGCCCACTCATCATCACCATTGATCACTTGTTGTGAGTACAAGTTGGTTTGAGGGGTCAAGATCAAATTGGGCATCTTCAATAGTTTCATCACCAATTTTCGATCATTAAAATCAATTGAATCCGTGGCCATTGACCTGATTTTCCCATTACCAAGATATTTTTTGATAGATTTAAAGTTGATGAGTTTTTCCAGTGCTGTGTTCACCAAAATTACACCATCTTTCATGCTAGAAATCATTCCATTGTTGATCATCCGATAGTATTTCGATTTACTGCCAGGTATTTCATCCCCGTTTTGTTTTCTAGCCACATCCGATAAAGTCTTCACAGCGGAAGTGTCAACATGGTCGTCACTAGTAGGAAAATCCTCTCTAATGTTTATGGAGAAGATATCTGATATCTTAAGGAGCTCTTCTAAAGTAACGTACTCCAATCCTAAAGACTGTTCAATTACTGTAGGAAGTTGGTACTCATCATGATATATCATTCTCTTGAAATTAAAGGGTCTTGCTCGACTGGCAATGGCTTTGCCAACCCCATTCATCCCAAGAATCCCCAAAACTTTGCCATTGGGCAAAAACCCAAACTCTGCTTTACCGGCCAGGGTGTATATGCTCTCCAATGGTTCTGGTGGGAAATCGAAAAGCCAAGGTTTGGAAGTCCAGCGACTTTCGTACTCCATGTTTTCTTCGTACGACCTGAGCAAATTCTGGATACTTTCTTGATAATTTCTCATGGCACTGAGCATTAGAAACATATGGGTATCGGCGGTAGAATTATCTTTTAACTCACTATTGATATTGTAAGAAAACTGAATATTTCTTTGCGTTAGTTGGTTTATGATACTTGAATTATACCGTAAATCAGAATTAATCACTGCCACTGTAGTCTCTGGTAACATTCCAATGATTTCCTCATCAAATGTTCCAATTAATCCATCAGTAAGCTTACTGGTCACAAGAATGTTGTAGTCGGTATATTGTGATAACTTGTAAATGAAATCTTCTCTTGTCTTCATTTTGTTGGTAGGAATTTGTATCACTTCTGCATTGTAATTCAACCGTAAATCATCCCAAATGTCCTTATCTAGGGCTAATGGATGGAATGCTGCGATTTTAGGATGCTTGATATACTTGGCCTTGGAGTGTTCTGCTAAGAAAATCGTATTTCTTTGATAAAAGATAATCCCTAGAAAAATCAACAATATGACCCCAAACACTCCGCCACCAATAGCTAGTAACTGTTTTATATCTTGAGGATCCAATGCTTTTGAAACAACCTGTTTTTGCTTCTTTAGTGATTCTTTCTTGGCACCTAATAGTTCCTTTTTCTTTTTCTTTGGTTTCTTTTCACTTGGTATATAATATTGATGATCTAAATCCAAATATTGCTCTATCATTGGCGGGGCAGTAGTGGGCCTTGAGTGAAACTTTTGTGGTTCATAATTTTGCATCACTGATAATCCATCATCAGGATCATTCAACACGGCTGTCGCCAATAATGATACCATATCTGAGGAAGAATTAGACGTTTTCAATGCTAGAGACTTCTTCTTGGAAGAATTGCGTGTTTTCAATACACGTTGACCCCCAGTGGATCCAGGAATCATTATAGAATTGAAATGTTGGGGGAACTGCTGGGTCTGGGGTATATCATGAGAATAGCCAGAGGTTTGTACTAATGGATTAGACATTGGCGGAGGAGGATAGAATACTTGATGACCCCCAGCATTATTGTGACTATTATTATTCGGGCTGGCAGTGCTTCTATGGTTCCGGGGGTTTGGGGTCTGATGACCCTTGACGTTTTTATAAAAGCTTTGATGGTACTTCACCGCGTACTTGTAGTCGCCAAAGTACTTGTGAGGCTTGGAGGAGATGGGCTGGTCTTGGGGGATCATTAGTTGTTGTAAGTGTAATGCATCATATAATTATTTAGCAATGGTCTAGGAGATAAATCTATCTGATACCCAGTAAACAAGAAAGATTCTCAATAACCGAGCTCGCTTTCCGGGATCTGAGAGGGATGTGGGTTGGTCTGCTTTATAGAACATCCACGTGATTGCGCTTCCCAAAACTTTTGGCGGCCACAAAAACGCCCGTCAAAATCACCATCGTAATTGTTGCAGTTGATCGTTGATCTTATCAAACGGCAAACCATGGTAAGTTGTTGGTTGATTGCCTACGATGGGGTTTTGCGATAGCTATAATTTTCTAACTAACACCCTGATAGTCTGCGCTTTTCAACTTCCAATCATTATTGCAAGTGCTTCTCTTGCTAATTTGTACTTCCACCTATATCCATTCAGCAGTACCAGCTTTACTCGACAAGAATAAGAATGGGTTGTTAGGAGTGTTCTGGAAATTTGCTAGAATCGGTGAAAGAATGAGCCCTTACATTTCCATCTGCTGTATAATCATGGCGTTTTCTCATTTGATGTCCTGAAGAAAGGATGAATCTTATCGGATGATGAATGATCTCCCTGGTATTTTGGTTTGTTTGGTTTTTTTGAATTGACATCATGTTGATCTGACGTTTTTGTACGAATTTATTTCTTTGGTATTGTATTATTAGCCTTAATTGCTGCTTCAATTATAAGGTGCTGCACATTGTTCTTTTTACCTCTTTTTTTTTTTTTTTTTTATGGTCATCTGTGTTTTACAATTTTTGTTTGATATTTTATCCAGCAATATAATTAACGTTTATATTTGAAAGAAGAGGAGAAAAAAAAATCTATTTGATCATTTAAATTCGTAAATCTCATTAGAACCAAAACACAATACCGGAACTCTTTGGGTTCCCACAATTTTTTCCAACAAGTTGGCATCCCATTTAGAATACATAATCTTTACCACACTCAAATTGATATCCTTAATGACATCTCTCATCATTGAATCACCCAAAAATCTCAATAAAATCTCGCTATAATAAGTTTCATCTGAAGGGCACTTGTAAAACACCACATTTCTCACACCTTTGATCTCAAATCTATTGTAATGGTGCAATCTTTCAGTGTATAACATAACTTTATACTTTCCTTTGGCAAACCCATCACGGTATTTTGTAAGTTTTGATTGTGAAGAATATTCATCAAGAGAGCAGAAATTCACGGAAGTTTCATACCTAAGATAATTCTTCACCCGAAGATAATCGCTATAATCAGGAAGGTACACCAACGCGCCCCCGCCTTCTTTATCATCAGATTGCTCTTTCAAAAATGGCACAATATTAGTCTTAAAGTAGTTGAAACGAGCGTTTGGATCGTTGACTGGCAATTCACATTCAAATCTGTTGAAAACCTGTCTCAACTTGAAAACAATCTGGCCAATCCCCGATTCGTCACTAGTGAAATTACGCTTGAATTTCACTTTCCCGGACAAATTCAAAGAATGTTTGTTACCAATCAAATTATTCATTTCTGGAGTACTGAATTTCCCGAACACTAAATTCTGACGCAAATACTTGAATTGATTATTAATGGCCCACATTCTAATTCTGCTGAAATCCAAATCTTCGGAATAATTTTCTGGGATCGTATTGAGATGTTTAAGAATGTAACTCACATTCCCCCAATTTTGGTACTGTAAGGAGTTGGCTTGATCCACCACAAACACTTCGATGGAACTTAAAAAGTCCTTATTGTTCTTGTTTTTCTCCTTTTTCTCCAAAATCGCTTTTAATCCCAACGGTGATGCCAAAATTATGTCCGATTGGTTGAACGCCGAGTAGAATTTCAAAGTTTTTCTGGTGAATTTCATCCCTAGGCAAAAGAAATCATTACTATTACCATCAAAGAGATATTTGAAGTCGTTGGATTTGTATTCTGGGACTTTATCGTCAGAATAATATTGAGCATAGAATCTTTTCTTGTTTTCCACGGTTTGTAAGCCGGAAATTTCAATAATTTTCTCACCTACTGCAAAACAAGCTTGACGAGTAGGCAATAAAATCAATACTTTTGGACGGTTAAAACTTTGATCTCTCAACTCTGGTTCATCTTCTACCGAAGCTTTCCCTTGCTCCAATGCTTCCTTATAAGTAGAAAGTTTTAAATTGTTCTTGAGAATCCGATCTCTGGTCTTATAAATGTGATTCACTGCATGAGCTGCATATAAGTCTCTGATAGATGATTCATCTTTGTAGTGTTGATAAGGAAACACTACATCTTTATATTTGAAAACCGAATCAAGTATGAGTTTTTGAGAATTGGTGATGTTGGCATCGTCAAATGGAATATTCATACGAGATTTAATCTTGAATTGTTCAAGGTTCCCATCGAGTCTGATATTTTGTTTGCCTTTAGATAGTTGTTCCTCGATTGGAGCTGATTGGCCAATAGCCATATACTGTTTGTCAGAGGTACTGGTTTTGGTGGACTGCCATTTCAAGGTTGAATCCTTACTGACTTGTTGCTCGAAATTCTCCAATATCGATTCCTGTGGATTAGCAAAATGGTATTCGAATGGGTCACTTGATGCCTCATCATCTTCTTCATCTTCTTCATCTTCTGATAAATCATTCTGATCTTCTTCATCTTCTTTTTTAACCAGTTCCTCATCTTCGTCAATATCCTCAATCCCGTATTCGGTTTCCTCATCTTCATTTCCTGGAATATTCCCATCAATAACCTGGACCTTTGCAGTATTCTTCTCTGATTTCTTTGTGGTTTTCTTTTCGTCTTTCCCATTATCCAAGAGCACCATCAATGCATCGTAAGCCTGGCGTGGATTGTTCTCCAAACTCATGGCCCCGGATGGCTCCTCGCCAATGTTATCTCCTGATTCGTATCCCTCATCATTTTCTGGGAAATCCGGAAAATCTTCTTTGGCTTCCTCATTCTGGTGTCTTCTTCCCATTCTTTTGATCTCACGCATTTGTTGTCTTCCATGTTTTGGTTTCTTATTTGTCTGATCATGACGAGAATTGCCAAATGATCTCTTTTGAGAATTACCAAATGTTCTCTTTTGAGAATTACCAAATGGTCTTTTGTGATTATTTCTTTGAGGTCCTGCCATCTTTGCAAATAACAAACTTTTTTTTTCCTGCAAGAATTCCACAATTCGTTACTCAGACTATATTGAAGATTATTTTGAAAAGTAAAGTCTCATCTCTTCTAAAAAAAAAAAAAAAAAAAAATTTTTTTATTGATATTTATTCGCGTGATTTGTACCGAATAATGCATAATTATGCGTATCTAGGAATTACAGCATCAGTAAGTAGCATTTATTAAGCATTATTCGCTATTGATTAAATAATATAATATATTTTTATTTGGAACCTCCTTGAGATTTGCTGTTACTTGATGAGCTCTAACTATCTTATTGTTATCGTATTTTTATTTATTCATTTTTTTTTTTTTAAAGTTAACTTCTCCAAATACCACAAGTAAACTAGATAGTCACTTGAGCTAATTCTCAAATATAAGTTTCAATTATATGCTAGCTCGTTTACGATTTTGGGATTGCAAGCCACTGAGAATTATCAAGTACCGGAAGCAGTATCAAACTTCCCTGTCTATATAAACCAAGATAGAAAACTTCATCAGAACACCTTTAGCTGTTTTGTAATTGATATATTAAGCCCAAACAGGGTCTTTTGACAAATAGACAGCTCTTCTGCGATCTACAAAGAATATATTGGATAGTGGAAATAAGTCTCTTTGCTTATTCTCTTGTTTGTTTGAGAAAGTGAAAAAAAAAAGAGAAAAAAAAAAAAAACTATCCTAAGAATCACAAAGACTATCACAATCCAAACTTTGGAATTACTTAATCCCGTAAGAAAAGAAGATTGAACAGAAAAAGTGATATCTTTAGCTTGAAAGAGTTAGTTGGCACAGTTTATCTATTTCAGAGATAAAGCCACCTACAAAATCGTGAACTGTGAAAAGCTTGTGAGATATTTACGATCATTTTAGAATCTTCGATGCTGAAACTTTGAAAAGCATACTAATTTCATCTTCTACTTGAATTTCCCCAAGCTTTTTCCTAAAGTGCTAATATATATATATATATTTTTTTTGTGAAAAAAGTCATATTGCTCTGCCATATATGAATTTGGATATATATCTTTGATACAAGTGAGAGAGAGTGTGTGTGTGTGTGACAGGTGTACGTTAGTGTATCGGTAGGGATCCTTTACTAAAGCAATTGTTTAACAATCACAGCTCAAAAACGCCCCCTAATTACAGTGTTAGTAAGCAATATAGAAATGCATTTACATAAAGAATTAAATATTTATAAATAATAAGCACAATAGCCACCAATATAATAATAAAGAAGATAATCAGCCAAAAGACAAAGTTTCACTCAACAGTCACATGATACAGCGAAGTAAAATTCCATCACCAAAAAACAACACATTGAAATTGAAATCGTTATTGCATTTGTCCTTTGATCTGTTTGATTCACCTCCTCCACAGGATCATCTCCCACGCAAATAATAACAAATGGTCATTGCCACTGGTTTACCTGGCGCGTTAGCTGGACAAATAGATGGGGAAATCGCCTCAGTCAATCAGCAACTTGAATCGCGGCTCACCATCCTTGCGGAAAACGAATCATCCAAACACAACCTTAGTGTGAACTATTATACTAACCCCGGGAACAACAACAGTAATAATGGAGAAAGAGAACTCAAATTGGGGCTATTAGATAAAATATGGGTGATAAAGAATTTGATCAAAGAAGTGGAGTTTTCTTATGAGCAGCCATTTGCGTTCCAGTTCCAATCGATCAATTATAATGTCAATAAATTGGATGAAAAGCTCGGAAGCTTGAAAAACTACATCAATGATGTTTCGTACCACCAAGAAGTTTCCAAAGCCAGGACTGCTCCGCAATTGACCCCGAGGAATCAAATATTATACCCTAATGGCGTCGAGAACACCGTGCTGCTACCTGGTGGGTTCAGCGATTTTTCTCCAGAGAAGTTGCAGAATGTTTCATTAACTGACCAAGAATTGATCTCTACCGATACCACCAAAGACTATTCTAAGAACATCATTATAATAAGGTTATTTGAAAATAAAATAAACGGGTTCAAAACGGTATATTTTCAAAAATTGCTTGAATTAATGGATAAATTTTGCCAATGCCATGGCGCAGAGGACGACAGTACCGTGCTAGTACAAGTCTCCCATAAGTTAGTGAATACTTATGACGATCTAATAGAGGAAAGTGTTACTATAGAAGAGTTTTGTGAATTCCTTGATGAGAATTATCACACACTAGCCATGAAGAATCCGTCCTTTAAGAACGATTTTGATTTGAAAATTCACCGCTTTTCAACCCTTGTGGGAGAAAATGTTGGATCCAAACTTCTAAGCGTCAATCAACACCAAAAAAAATTAGAGCTCGTCAAAGATGACAACTCTTTCAAGTTGGTTAGCACTAACGATGCATCAGTGAAAAAAACGTTCAACGCCTTTATTACCAATATGCTGCAGTTACTCGAATTCTTTATTCTATTACCACCATTTCTCCGCAGGAGTTTGCTAAAACCAGGTAAAGTTGATGCAAATTCTCTATTTGCTAAGAATGAATTATCAGGGTTCATTAATTTCAATTTGCTTTTGTTGATCAGCGGTTACAATCAGTGTTGCATCGACCAAAGTAATAAAAGATTACTCGTAACGATTAAACAGGATATCATCACCCTAATCAAGTTGATATACCTACTTATAAAATTGAAAATTTTGAATAAAAATGACTTTTATTTTTTAAACTTGGACCTGAATGAATTGAACGAGAAATCTACCAACGAGTTATTCATCGCATACTTAAATAATTTGCCTACCATTGAACTCAATGATTATAATAAAAATTTATGGCTGGGAAATATTAATAAATTGATTGACTTTCATCTTGATAAAAAATTGAACCGAATTATCAACGAAATCAAAAGTTACTTGACCACTTTTGATACTTTTGATTTGATTTTCCATGAATTGATTGATAGATCAGAAATTGATTTCAGAGAAGTTAAGAGTGTTGAGACTCCAAAATTACCACCGCCTCCGGCTCCTGAACCCGAAGTTATTTCTAAACCATCATCACCAATCAAGAAATCACCAAGAGCTCACCAACGCACATTTTCAGGAGCCACCAATATTATGGACTCAATCAATGAAAATGAGCAGTCTATTGATTCTTTACTCGGTTCCAAAATTCAAGAAAAGACCACAGAAGATTCCAAAAGAAAAAATAATCGGAGAACCAGTGTTTTTGCGTTGAATGCCGGGCGAGGTTCCTCAAATGCGTTATTTTCTCAATTCCAATCGCCAACGATTTCCGAAGATGAACTGCCATTGGAATTGAAAATACCGCAAGATCGATCATTCAATCAAGATGCCTTAGATTCATTGATTGGTAAAACCTCAACACCAAACCTTGGTCCACCTACACAACCAATCATTATCACCCAAACTGTTAACGGTGATCGTGATCCATCACACAAGTCGCTCCAGGGGCCTCCTTCAGGAATTACTTCCCCAATGTCTCCAGTTACTCCGTTATCACCATTTGATTTTTCATCTAATTCCCAGAGATTTTCTAACATTGATAAGAAACGGCCGGATGATGATCGGAAAAGATTTTCCAAAAGATTCTCTTCTTATCAGCAACATCAACAGCAAGGTAGTGGTACTGATGAAGACTCGGGCTCAATTCATAGTGAAGGAACTGCGGATACCAGTAATGCGCCCTCTGGCACCTCATTGGGGAGAAGAGCTTCAAAGAGAATTTCGAAAAGATTATCCAAGAGATTCTCGACGTTTAGCGCAGAGAAGCCAAAGGATAAAGCAGGAAGTTTTGATGATAGTGAGGACTTTGATTTGGACGAGGATGCCTGGGGAGGGGACGATGATTTGGATTTGGACTTGGATTTGGAAATGAATGATGTTAACACGACAGCCCACGGGATTGGGCTCATGAAAAAGGATGAAAAAACTGTGTCCAAAAAGAGAAGTTCGAAATCGATCGTATCTTTCAATTCCATTGATGAAGAGTTAGATGATTGGGGATGGGGAGATGATGAAGAAGAAGAAGATCTTAATCTTAACGAGAGCGATATTCTTGGTGGGCAAGACCAGAAACAAGGTCATAATGAGGCAGATAAGGAAACCGAAGACGCTGTTGCGGATTTCACAGTGAGTTCGTTCAAAAGCACCAAGATCCCGGATGAAATTTTTGGAATCATTATGAATTTTGTCGAATATTTGACGGAATTATCCAATAAGGTGAATGAAACTCAGGAAATTAGTGACTTTTCGATCACCAATGAAGAAATCATGAATAAGATCAACCAATTGATGGATATTTTCTATTTGATTGGTGGGTATCTGAAATACGATTCGAAGTTCTTATTTTATAATGATGTTTATTATTTGAATATTTTATTGAAGCAAAAGCTTATTAACTTGAAGATTCTATTTAATCCCTACACTAGAGAAGAATTAACAAAGCTTTCTGAACCAATCAACCCACAAGTTGCCTTCAAAGGGCCGGTATTATTTGATGAAAAAATTGAAAATTATTTGACCAACATTATTAATCTTGAGAAAATTTCGTTCTTGAGAATTTACCGGAAATTCCAAAACTTCACCAACTTGTCATCACCAGCCAATGGTAGTAATAGCTCAAACATGATCTTGACTCAGTTAGAATTCAAATTCAAAGAAATTTTCTTCGCTGGTGGGTTTCAACAACTTTCGATTAACTTGAAGCAATTGATCGTGGTGAATTTCCTCAACGAATTTTATCAATTGATCATCAATGATATTTTACAAATCAGTTTGATTTCCGAACACGATAGTGAAGAGCTTTGCAAGATCATTTCTCACATGCTACGATTTGTCAGTTTTTTTGGCAATCTTCACGCTGCCGATGATGATACTGTGGAAGATTATGCTCAAATTAATGAAAAGGATTTCGCAAAGGAGACCAGCGAAGACGTGATTTTCTATAAGAAGAACATCAGCAATTTCTCCAAGTTGGCGAATTTCAAGATCGTGGTATCTTCACATCTTGCCCTGATCATGGAAAATTTCTATAATGGGGAGTTCTACAATATGGAAACCGAAGAATTGATTCACTTGATTAAATCATTGTTTGTGGAAAGTGATATCAGAAGAAACGCGATCAAGGAGATTGAAGAAATAAGAAATATTTCGATTTGATGGTTTGTATTATTTTTTAATTTATGTTTATCTTGTATGTCCCAATTTTTTTTTTTTGTTTTGTCTTGTAAAAGATTATTAAGGGTGTATAGACTAGTATATCATAAAAAAAAGAAAAAAAAAAGAGTGATCCTCTTTAAATATTGAGATTACTAATTTTTCCACTATAGTGGAAAACTGATGAAAATATGAGTGGATTAATAATGTTGCGCGAGAATTACCACAAACATGATAATTAATTTATTTTAGGGTGTTTTTTTTTTTTTTTTTGCATGTTTATTTTAGCATGATGATTTGGTAGTGATTCTGGAGCACCAATTTGTTGTGTCCCCATTGATGAAAATCATTTCGAGATAAATAATAGTTTGGGTTGGTCCGGATGTGTGTTGTGATAAATTATGCAACTTGGTTATTTAGAATATTACATCTGCAAGAGGTATCGGGGATCACTAGATCCTTTACAAAATCAACTACTATAGTGGTATAGTAGTTTAAGCAGTTTAACTACCATAGCACTAAGATATATCATCCATTGATCAGTGGTAACTCCGAGCCTTCCAGTATGATATTACGAGTTACTAGTCAAACAGGGCATCATTCATTACCAGTAAAGTTAAATGCTACAAAGGTAGTAAGTACACACTGACACATCCCCCTATTATCCAGTATGCAACGAGTGTGAGAGAGTAGCTCTATGAAAACCCAGATTGCAATATACCCAACCGAGAACCTTACGGCAACCGTTTTCAACATCGATAAGAAAAACAATCTTGGAAAGTTTTTCAAAGACAAAAAAAAAACTAACTAACAATGATGATAAAAAGCAGAGATGTGATGAAATTGCTAACGATAATCCTGGGCATTACTATAGGTTGGTGACCAAAAACTCTTAAAAATTAGGTGGTGTCATACTAGGACCTACCATTAATGGCTACAGAGTCGAGGTTTTTGAAATTAGGATTGGGATTATTTTTCTACCAGTTAATACTTTTTAGTAAAGATGTTGAATATTTTTGATTTTTTCCGAAAGCTCTTCACTTATTATAATGCTCCGAAAACGATTCAATAAATCACAAAATAGAATGTTTGATAAATTAATGAACGAATTAAGAAATGTGAAGAATGCCACTCTGTTTTACGACATCGAGATACAACAACATATAACCTTTTACGCTGCTTGATCTGCACAATGAAATAAAAGCTATCTGAATCTTCTTATAGATCTTTATTTGACTACAAAATGAAATTATTTTTTTTCGGAATAGGAAACCAACAACAATTGACTCCGGCAGGTGTCTTATATCATCAGCCTGTGGCTAAAAAAGAATGACGTTGTGTGAAAAACTTAAGGTGAAAAAAAAGTGGAAAAAAAAAAAAGTTTCATCGTACAGATCGCACTTCCCTAGATTATACGAAATTTCGGTGTGTTTCCCTTGTATTCTTAAGTTAAGGATGACAATCTCTTTGAGTGAAGACCAATTGCAACAGCTGCGTCAGCCGCTAGTGGATCACAAACAAGAAATCCAACATTTGGAGTATCTTCTTCCACGCATCGTCGCAAAAATCATTGACTACGTCAAACCTGATCCAGAATCCAGCTTGGTGGTGCCACCATGTCTCACGAAATCTTGCGAAGGCAAGGAGACTCTTAGTGGAAGAGAACTCTACAATGCTCTTACATCAGTCCCAGGGAAGCTTGATTTACCACTTAAAGGGTTTGGGACCCAGGTGGAGGATGAAGCGATGCTCCAGCCGGTTCTTGATCAGATCGATTTGATTTTGGACAACAGCGCCAATACTTGGTCACTAGGGTTTCTTGAGAAATTGTACGCTCTGACAAATCCAATCGGGGTGATTGCTGATTTGGTGCTTCTGGTGTTGAACACCAATTCCCATGTGTTTAGCGCCAGTCCGGTATTGACGGTGATTGAAAAATTTGTTGGTCGGGAGTACGCCAAACTATTTTATGGGCATGATAGTGAATATTGCGGAGGATTGACATTCCCTGGAGGCAGTTGGTCCAATGTCACCAGTCTTCATATGGCAAGGGCTCATCTTTACCCCTCGACAAAGACAGAAGGAAATTCGGCTCATCGATTTGCAATTTTTACCTCGGTTGATTCTCATTACAGTATTACCAAGGCGGCAATGCTTTGTGGGTTTGGCACCGATGCGGTGGTGGGGGTTCCGGTGACTGAGACAGGAGAGATGATTGTCGAGGCTTTGGAATCGGAGATTGTGAGGATGAAGAATGATGGATGGACACCGCTTTATGTGAACGCCACTGCGGGGACCACGGTATTTGGGTCGTTTGATCCGATCGAGGAGATCTCGATGGTGGCGCGGAAGCATCGGTTATGGCTACATGTCGATGGGTCACTTGGAGGGAATTTCATTTTTAGTGGCAAAGATTTTACAATGTTGGAAGGAGTTGGCAAAGCTGATTCTATCACGGCCAACCCTCACAAATTGCTAGGAGTGCCGGCCACTTGCTCATTTTTGTTGGTGAAAGACGAAAGAATCTTCAAAAGTTGCAATTCCTTGAAAGCAGAGTATTTGTTCCATGACGCCGGCGATAATTTTGATTTGGCGAACGGTACCCTTGGGTGCGGTAGAAGGGCCGATCTGTTGAAATTTTACTTGAGTTGGTATTATTACGGGAAGTTGGGATTTACCCAAAGAATTGACCATGCAAAATACATGGCAGACTATTTTGCAAACAAGTTGGCGTCGATGGCCAATATTTTTGAAGTGTTGAATCTTGTGGATGGCAGAGTTCCGGGGGTCCAAGTTTGCTTTTACATGAATCCGACAACAAGGGTCATTGATGATTACACAAGAATCACCAGGCAGGTATGTGGCCGGTTCCACGCTGAGGGGAAATACATGATTGATTATGCCCCATTCCCCCAAGCAAATAAGAATAATCCTAGGGCTAAGGGCGAGTTTTTCCGGGTGGTGTTCGTGAATCCGAAGCTATCGACAAAGTTTTTGGACCGCATGGTGGAGGATTTGTGCAGTTTTTGTGAGCTGGGGGATGTGATTATGTAATCAGCAGGGCAACCCTCGTGTGTGTATGGGAAGAATCTCCGGATTGACAATCCGTGGGATCGACAATCGTAGCAAAACTACTCATCGATCTAAGAACGATTATAATATACAAGCAGCCCTTTGAGACATGCTTGGTCTTGTAGGTGAAGACATAGAAACTGCATTAAATTACCGTTGGGATTTCTATAGTCGGTGTTTATTTTGATCTTTTTAGGGGGGTGGTGATGCTGCTCTAGCGTGCACTGTAGATTCCCGATGAGGGGTGTGTGTGTGTGTGTGATCGTTACAGGATTACTTAATTGAGGTTTTTCGTTCCTTACCGACCTCTCCTCCATCTGTCTCCCTTGGTGACCTAAGTTTATTGCAAAGGTTGCTTTAGCTGACTATACTATTCCGGATTATTTCTCCAGTGAGCGGCTCCCTAGGTTTATCCTTGAGTGTTGTTGTTGCTTCTTCCCCCAGGGCAGTCAGGGGAATTTCTCTCGCTAATTATAGTTGTATTTGCGCCGTAATCTTAAAAGAAAGCTTGTTTAGCCGACGGAGTAGATAGGCACACTGGCTGGGGAAAACACAAATTATCAGGCGATTTGTCTTATTCACCAATGCAGCATTACCCACAGAGAAAGAAAGAGAAGGCAGAATCCGATCTGAGGGCCGTGGGCCGGGTGACAGTGTACGTCTAGCTATCTGTTGTATGTATTTCGTGCACATTATAAAAAAATAAGCCATAAAGCATGAGGTAACTGACTGTTAGATCCCACAGGTGGAGTCTGGTCTCTGACCTAAATATCTACAATATGTAGCCTAGATAGCATTTATATATATAATATATACGAGAGATATCTATAATTAACAAGGGAATGGACAATATAGTTCCGGAACCCAATAGGAATTGTGTGACAGATCATAATTATAATCGATTATAAAATGCGGCCCAGCACTTTCCGGAACGTCATCACTTTTTTTTTCTTTTTTTCTTTTTTTCTTTTCTTTTTTCCAAGGCCTTGGAGGAGGCGGTACTACGCAGCCCTGGGCACTCGCGGCCTGCTTTCTTTTCTTTTTTGCCTCCCTGATGGGCTGTCTCTTTTGTGTATTTTATACTTATATCTGAATATTTATAATACCAGTGTTACATATTTATATTTATATATCTATATATTATACAGTAAAAATTCAACCGTCTTTTCACGCTTCGCACAGCAACCCCAATCCCCAACAATCATCGCTAATAAACAGAATCATTCGACTTTTGTGAAAAACAAGTTTTTTAAGGGTGCCTGCCTGCAACAAGAAACACGCATATTTTATGAAAAATTGTGTTTTATGCAATGGAAAAAAAAAAAAATAAAAAAAAATAAAAATTTTTTTTTTTTTTTTTCATCGATCACTCCACAACTGAAAAAAATACCCATTTTATCTGCTAATATGTGCATATACAAGTGCTTAATACATATATATCCAAATGTAAACAGTGTGCTATCATTTTATATATTTATCTATATATTCCCTTGTAATTCCTTCATGTAAATAATAAAGAAAAAAAAAAAATAATTCATATCTTTTACTCTCAATCAAATCACCCGACCCCTCTATAATAAATATATCATCGATACACTCCAACAATGAGACCTCTTTCAGTCACATCCACCAACAACAGTACCACTGCCTCTTCTGCTTCGGTATTTACCTCCCTTGACTCAGAATTGACTTCAGTCAGTACCCAGATCACCCACTTGTCTCGCTCTACAACCCCTATCAAATCTAATTTCGATAATAAACAACCACAACCACAGCAGCTGATGCACCATCAACTCCGCAAACCACTAACCCTAAGCTTATCCCCTCGTGAAATAAAATTGCTCAAATCCAGTTGGAGCTCGATGTTAAACGACATCTTCGATGAATCATCCGACTCCTCCGAAGAAGACTTCAACCAATTCACATCATCGTCCACTTTCTCTAAGCACGGCTCTCCCGGAGCTGCTGCATCGATGTTCTGCCAACAATTGTACATGAACCTCTTGAATCTTGACCCTCATTTGACAACAATGTTCCCAACCATCCAGCACCAAGCGTCCGCATTGTCCGGGGTGATCACCATCGCTCTTTCGTCGCTTCCAAATATCCATGTGTTTGACGATTACCTTGCCCAAATCGGCCGTCGTCACAGCAGAGTGTTAAACATCGAAACCGCCCATTTTGAATTGATGCTCCAGGCATTGCTCATTACTTTCGAAGACAGATTGTCCGAAAGATTCACTTTAGAATTAGAAGACACTTGGGTCAAGTTGTACGGGTACTTGGCTAATAAGATCTTGGAAAGTTACGCTGAAGATTTCATCTTGGATCCAATTGCCGACGAGCCAATTAGGGCCATCATTGATCCCCTCACCAACCAACTCATAACCCCAAATACCAACTCCAAAATTAATACTAGTGTTAACAGTTCCGATCTGGAAAGTTTGTACTCCACCGACTCTTTGTCAGTCAAACACAAACCATCGCTTCATTCTCTTAATACTGTGTTGACCAATGTCTCCTCCAATAACACTCCAGTTATCAAAAAGACCAATCTGAATCAAAGATCGGGCTCATCTTCTCATGCTGACAGCGAAGAGCTTATTTCCAATGCCCAAGGTAACGGTCATGGCTTCAATAGCAAGTTATCTAAGTTCTATAACTTCTACAAGCCAAAGGCTATCAGATAATCCCCCAATGTGTCATATCTCCCTGAACTGCTTTGTCAACATTGAAAATTTTTTTGCTCTTGCGCTGTTTATTTTTCTTTCTTTGGTTTCTAATTCGTTATTTTTTTGGAGTTTTTAATTTTTCTTTCATTTCGCTGGTATTTCTTATCCCCCTTCCCTCACCCCTTGTTCTGCTGATTATAATTTTGGTCCGTTGATGATGTTGGCATTAAACAACTGCTGCCTCCACACAATCTTGTAATTATACCTGCAGCAGCCTTAGTGATACATGTCATAGTCTTCTGGCCTTTTTCAAATCCATTCAATATCCAATTACAGGTTGTTGTTTTTTTTTTTTCTTTTCTTTTCTTGCCTACCTGTTGTGTATTTTATCAACAATTAATGTTGCCTATATTCATGATTTTTAATTTCTCAATTTTTTCATACCACTGTTCTTTATGTATTTAGTTTTTAATAGATTAATTCTAATTTATCTGTTCCAATGTAGATCATAATATTCCTAGCTAATTAAATAAATATCTTATTTTATGGAAAATACAACCAAGAGATTTTATCATGGTGGTGTGTCCACGTGATCAGATATGCATCCGCATTGGAAATTGCTGAGCGATCCTCTCCGGCTGTTGTCTGTCCGGAACGGAGGACCTCGCACACTGATATAAAACCATAAACTATGAAATAAAAAAACTACAATTAATCAAATCAAAAACATAACAATACATAAAATATTAAATGAAACAAAAATCTTTCTAGCTATTTATATAGAATGAGCAATAAATAATGGTGGCCTCGTAAACTTAGGCACCGATCTGTTCTTCAACTTCAAATACTGATTTCACCACAATGTCGATCAACTTATCAGTTTGCTCTCTGGTAATGATGAAACTTGGAGCAAACAAAACATGATCTCCGATCTTGTTGTCAACAGTACCTGGACATGGCATACTGGTGGCACCGTTCTTGCTAATTTGCTTACCAACCACCCCGTGCATCTTCAAATCAGCAGCAAAAGGTTCTTTGGTCTTGGTATCCTTAACCAATTCTAAAGACCAGAAACCACCGGAACCTCTAACATCCCCAACGATCTTGGACTTCCCGAGCAATTTCTCCTTCAATTGGGCTCCCAAATAGTTACCTTGTTCTTTCATGTTGGCGATCAAGTTGTCTCTCTTAACCTTCTTTTGCACCGCGAGGGCCACTTGACAATTGAATGCGTGTTGATGGTAAGTTTGTGCCCCGATAATGTAGTTGGAACCATCGGTCAATGCGTTCTTCACTTTAGGAGACACGAGCACCGCAGCAATGGTGACATATCCACTACCAAGAGTTTTACCAATAGTTTGAATATCTGGACCTTGGTTTTCTGGCAAATATTGTTCCCAAGCATGGAAAGTCCCGCAACGGCCAATCCCACTCATCACTTCATCCAACATAAACAAAATACCGTACTTGTGACACACTTCCCTGACGCCTTCCAAGTACCCTGGCACCGGAGGACAGGTACCAAAAGTGGAACCGACAACGGTTTCCCCGAGCCAGCCAACGATGGTGCTTGGATCATTGGCAATGAAAGTATCTTCGACATCCTTGACCAATCTATCCTTGTATTGTTCTAAAGTTTCTCCTTCTTTCAAATCACGGTATGGATAAACGGCTTCAGTCTTGAGGAAAGTCTTTGGGTCACCTAAGAATTTGTCGAATCTGGTTCTTCTTGGATTATGCCCCATAGACAAACAACCCATGGTGTAACCGTGGTATGTCTTCTTACGGCTAACGAATTTGTAACGCTGGGTCTGGCCGATTTCATCTTGGTATTGCTTGGCCAATTTCAAAGCGTTTTCGACCGATTCAGACCCTGATCCGGTGATCAACACCGCAGCAAAAGCGTCTTTAGGAGAGTTTTGCACCAAGAATTCAGCAAGTTCTTCAGATGGATAGTTGGAGATGGCACCTGGATAGTTGTACACCGAGGTTTCGGCAGCGTGCTTCATGGCTTCGATGATTTCTGGATCTTTGTGTCCGACAGCACCAACAGCGGCCCCAGTGGAACCATCGATAAGGGTGGTACGTTCTTTGGTAATAGGATCTTCAAGAGTGATGTAAATACCATCACCGTCAACAGCCATTGGCTTTGGAGCAGAGACGTTGGATTGAATCACAAGAGGTTGGGCAGATTTGGTCATGGTTGATTGGTGGTATTGGTATAATGAAAAGAAAAAAAAAAGAAGATAGCTAAAGAAGAAGAAGGAAATAAAAAAAAAAAAAAAAATTATTATCAAATTGGATATCGAGAAGAAGAAAACCCTGGAAATTTATAATTCTGGATTGCGGTTATCTTTTAATATCAAGATTCACGGAATTGGGATGCCTTCGGAGTTGGGATCCCGCATGGCCGTGTCGTCTGCAACTGAAACAATTAGGAAATTGTTCCCCGAACAGAGAAATTATTATCGAAGATCATTTATTCTTAAAATATTTAAAGAATATAAATCAATCGATTAACCGAGAATTTATCTAGTTTCTCCATGATTTGTGTAGCTCCAAATAAAAGTTTCGGTTAATCTTATCTACAGTTGGAGAGGGGTGGAAAAAAAAAAAAGAATTCAACTTGGAAGTTAGAAACACTCATTGCAAATATATACATAATTCATTGATTAAATTCATAGATAGTATTGTGATTAAGTCTTCATTTTTTAAATGAACAAATCATACAGCTGAACTGATCTCAATCTCAATCTCTTTCTCTTTCTCATCATCATCCTTAATTTCCCAAGGCTTCCTCCGCTGCAGCAATACCGACCTTGATGCCTGATCTTCCAACACGATGTTGGGGATTTTCCTGATTCCAGGAATCTCCTTTCCAGCCACAATCAACTCCACTAGTTCGTCGTAACTTAAAGAAGATTGTTCCCCTTGTTCTTGTTGTGGTTGTGGTTGATGTTCCAACAGTATTTCCGGGGTATTTGAGAATCCGGGGGAACATGACTCTTGTACCCATCGGCCGTATTGCCCTAGATCGATCTGAACATCAAAGGTTTTCTTGAAGTAGAAAACCTTAGAATTAGTGATTATTTGTTGTTTCTTCGCCGGAGTCATCGAAGTGTTTGCCTTGAAGTACGAATTGTAGATATTTTTCAATCCGGCCTGGCAAAATATGATTAGTTAGTTAGGGGATCATTGCAAAAAGAACAAAACAAACAAACAAACAAACAAACAAAAGGGTACGTACCTGATATACCAAATCGTTCTCCCAATCATAGTGATGGAACTTCTCAAATACCTGATTACTGTCTGCGCTTTCTGTGGTCTTCATTGTCAAAATGAATGGTTGGTGCCCGTTATCGGTAATAAAAAAGGCGTTTTCTCTGCCTCAACAATAATAATCTCCCCCTCCATTTCACGCGCAAAAAAAAATAATTTCCTGGTCTTTTCTTACCAGCCGATCGGTACCTTGATGGCGTGCCGACTTTCTTTCTTATCTTATCTTATGTTATCGCTTCAACCATCCATGAGCCATCGTTGGAATTGGAAGATCTACAGTAATGGTCTAGCACTATATCAACATAGGTTGATATTGTCATACGGATATCATTCTTCCGTCCGATTTTATGTGGATTCGACAGATACGGTAGAAGCGTCCATTGCTCTTCCCTTACTACTTACTGTTAACCAGTGACTAATCATTTGATTTGTGTGATATATCCCATACTTCTTTTTCTTGCAATGATTTTTGATTGCTGGGCCGTGATTTGTTAGCCTTTTTTTTAGGGGCTTTTCGGTTCATCCATGAAATGGGATTTTTTCCTTTTTTTTTTCGAATACCTAGAGGGTGGTGGATCGGCATGCTCTGTGAATAAAGAGAACTTACGTCCCCCTCCTACAAGGAAGTTTGTTTACTCATTTCTATACTCACCTAGAAATCATTCTAATTAGTTTCTATTTTTACATCTTCTCATGCGACAATAACTATATCATTGGTAGCGTGAATTTCACTTCTGATTGATGTCTAGAGAGTCCCAAATCTTCCAAAGATTGCAGGAAGTCCAAGTTACTAAAGTTGCTTTTGCTGCAGTAAATGTTTACGGTCAGCTTTGATTTCACAGAATTGACATTTGCCTGTTCGTCTCTCTTGAAATAGACGTGCCAGAAACACTCTATCACGATACACAACATATAACACAAACAAATTTAACAGCTAAATTCATTATATATATAAGTATATATATTGTACCCTCCCTATGTTATTCTATAATATACATCGCAGCATTAGCTTGTTTGCCATCACTGCTTGACTTCTGGATCAATCAACCTGAGACCACCCAATCTGACAACCCGCAAATGATTCTTCAAATCTTCGCTGGCCACCCCGGAAAGAGTAACTGCCGGAAGATCTTTGGAAATTCCAAAGAGATTAGCATCATCCGCATTCACAAGATATACCTTTGTCCCATATTGTTTCTCAAATGATGCCCGGATCTTATCATTGTGGGACTTGATATCATCGGTCATAATCAACTCATCCGACGCTTCTGGTGTCTCTGAACTCTCCTTCTGTACTTCTTCCGGTGATGCTGTGAATTCTTTTGATAGATTTTTGATTTCTTCCAATAAATCAAGCTGACCACTTGGGGGTTTTGTGGTGTCGTCCGTTGCTTCTCCCGTATGTTTCTTCTCAAATAAACCAGTACCAAAGTTGGTAGAGCTCAGTAGTTGTTCAATTTCTTGTTGTAAATCAGCTATTACTTCATTGTATTCTTTCCCATCAATCTTCCAGTCACTATCACTGATATTATAATCGATTAAATCTTTGCCATCATCGTCATCATTCAAACTTTGTTGCTCCTTATTCTTTAATAACCCAAACATCTTCAACATGGCCTCATTTGCCAAAACGTAGTTCACAGCAGTGTCAGTCTTCAATGAGACGTCAGTGATCCCTCCATCGATCGTCGTTCCACTAAGCACAGATCTTGGGTGATGTAGAAATCTATCTACACCTATTGGAATTCCAGCTGCGCCGCCATCAATCTTTTGTCTTTTTGCGGTGGTCATTGGAAAATAGTAATAATCAATGGAAAACAAATATTATCTATTATTTATTTATTTGTTTGTTTATTTATTTATTCAATATACGATACGCGTCGGTGTATTATTATTATTATTATTATTCTTCTTCAGTTTTTTATTTTTTTTTTTTCCAGTTGCAAGTATCAAGGCCGGGTACGTTGCGCTTCCATACTTTTTCTGAATGATTTCTCTGGTTATTGTTGCCACTCTCATTAGACGTTGTTACCGTTGGTTGTAGAAGAACATCATCCACAAATATAGATATCAATTGAATACTGAGCAAAAATGGTTCTCGAGGCTACTATGATAATTATCGACAACTCCGAGTTCATGAGAAACGGAGACTACCCAACTAATAGATACGAAGCGCAATTGGACACAGTTGACATTATCTTCAACGCTAAAACCCAATCAAACCCTGAAAACACTGTTGGAATATTATCAATGGGTGGCGATGGCCCTAATGTATTGAGCACATTAACCAACGATATCGGTAAGATCAGAGTTGGTATCCATGACTCCAAAATTCATGGCAAAAGTCATTTATCCAGTGGTATTCAAGTGGCTGCATTGGCCTTAAAACACCGTCAAAATAAAGTACAGAGTCAAAGAATAATAGCATTCGTTGGAAGTCCTATTTCAGAAACAGAAAAAGATTTGGAAAAATTGGCCAAAAAAATGAAAAAGAATAATATTGCCGTTGATTTTATCAACTTTGGGGAGGAGGCTGTCAATAGTTCCAAGTTGGAAAAATTCATAAATATTGTAAACAACCACGATAATAGCCATTTGGTGAACGTTCCTTCTGGTCCAAAGTTGCTATCCTCAGTGGTTATTTCCTCAGCAATACTTTCTTCTGGTGAAGATGCTGAAGGGTTTGAAAATGATGGTTTTGGTGGTGATGGGTTTGATTTTGACGCCAATGTCGACCCTGATTTGGCGTTGGCTTTGCGTTTATCTCTTGAAGAAGAAAAAGCTAGACAAGAACGTGATCAGAAACAGCAGGCAGAAAAGTTGGAAACTGTCAACGAAGAACAGGATGGTAACGCCAAAATGGATGAATCTAACTGATCTCTCCACAGCATATTGTTAACCATTTTCATTCTATGATGTATTTTTACTCTTTAATCAATGTTAATTTAAACGCTCGAAGTGGATAATTTAAGATTAATTGCTTGTGTAGGTATTTGGAGTATTTTTTTTTTTCTTTTTTAGTTCTTGGTGTATCATTTTGTGTCATAACATGCATCAACAGATGGTTTGAAAAACCAACACTCAAATTTATATTTATATATTTCGCGATAACTAGAGGGCCCTTTTTTTTTATTCTCTGCTATTGAGTGGCATCTCCAGACCATTAAAAAATATCACCATATAAAAGATAGACAGCCAGGCTTGTTCAATGATTCCACAGTTATCACTCAAATCGAGTGCTTCAACTCAAAGCTCAAATAGTACAACAAATAGAAAGAGTGGTATTTTTGGAACGGGCTCAAATGATATACCCGCTTCCTTATGGTGAGTAGTCGTCATTGTTTTATTTGGTCACTATTAGTACTCTATTATTAACACACCCTTAGCCAAGAAAAAAATCGTTATGCCTTAACAAAATTCAGAAAACAAGACAAATTTTTGATTCCTAGATATGAAAGCTGTGTAATAAACCCGCTACACTTAACAAAAGGCCATTTTATGGAAGCTTATAGTAAGGTATGTTGTGTTTTTTTTGTTTGTTTTTTTATCACTTGGATTTTATTCAGATGACTAACTCAATAAAAGGGAAAATGGAATTTATCTGTCGTTCCTTGTCCAGAGTTCCTTACCAATCGAGGATTAATGATCCCTCCAGAAAGCTACAAAGAGTCTATAAGAGTCAAGACTGTTCAACAGTATATGGCTTCAAAACAATGGGAGTATAGGTCAAATGATTTGGAAAAAATAATCAGCCGTGCTGCACAAATGGGATCTGCCTCTGGTGCTTGTATATCTTTGATTGACGAAACTAAACAAATCGTCAAATGTGGCCACTCATCAGTTAGAGAGTGTCCCAGACAAATGTCTATCGATGGGCACGCAATTTTATCCTCTCAATACTTCATTATTTTGGACGCTTCCACAGATTGGCGATTCGCTAATAATCCCTTAGTGAAAAACTATCCCAAGATTAGGCTCTATGCCGGGGTTCCCTTAGTGGCCAGTAATAAACAAGTGATTGGGATTTTGTCAATATTTGATGGTTTTCCAAGATCTGAATTTAATTCTTTTTGTATCCAGGAGTTGCAAATTATGGCAAGGGAAATCATGTCAATATTAGATTCTACATACCAATCAGAAACCGCTGGATCACAAAGCCAAGCATTAAAAAACATTCCGAGTGAAAATCGAAAAGATTTGATAAATCAGGTAGGTAGAGCCACAGGGGTTAAAAATTCAACTTTTAATACCATCCCTGTGTACGAGAAAGATGGTTCAGGCTCTTCATATGTCCAGAATCATAATTTCAGGTTTGGAAAACACAAATTCACTGAACAGGACATTTTTAATGCAGAGCTTGGGAAGATGCTCGCTGAGTCAGGGGATTTCAAATTAGCTGCTAACCTATTATGTAAAATAATTTTAGAAAGATTAAACTTGAGTGCTGTATACATTATGGAAATTAGAGTGGTAGGGGTCTTTGAGATTGATCCGGACTATTTTCCGAAGCGGAATGAGGTTGAAGCGGAGGATTTCAAGTTTGCGGAGATGTTAAGGAAAGTTGAAAGGGAACATGTAATCACAAGAGTTGTGGATAGTTATCCAGATGAAATTTCTGGTGAATTGAAGGGCGATGAATCCGAGTCGTCCCAATCTTTGCATTATAAAGCACTTAGCTCAGAATTTGGGATTTCTGTTAGAAGCACGATAAGAAACTGTAACTGTGGTAACGGGGTTTGTTTACCCTTTTATAGAAGGCCATCAAAGCTAGTTAGGAAAGAAAAAATTCATATCAATGATCAAATCTTTGAACCAATTGAGTTATATCTCAAATCAGGAGGATATATCATTGGAGCGTTTTCCGAAAACGACGGAGTGACTACTCACGAGGATATCAATTATATTTTGAACGCAACAGATATCTATCGGAAAATGTACATTGACAGTGTTGCCTGAAAAATTTCTTTTCTATTTTATTGATAGAGTAGCAAAACTCTTTTGAAGAAAGTATGCTGTTGATTACTTTTTACGGTACACAGAATTTAAATAATAACACATTTATCCCAAATTATATTATATAATACAATAGTAAACAAAAAATTTCAAGAATAGAATAACCAAAAAAACAGTAAAAAAAAAAATAGGATAAATAAATATAAAGAAATAAAGCTATATAATATCAGTCATCAATTTCTATGGGGTTCTTAGAGACACCTTGTGTGTTATTCCCATTTATTGAGGCAATTTTCGGCTTCTTCAAAAGAATCGCATCGTCATCATCATCATAATCATCATCGTCTTTTATGTTTCTTTTCTTATTTTCAGATTCTTCCATCTCAATTTTCACCAGAGTTTTTCTAGATTTCTCAGAATTGGAAACGTTAGAGGTACTGGAGACCTCAACAATCAGTTGAACGCTCGTGCCATTCTTATTGCCATCTTGATCGATAATTTTAGGGATTTGAAGATTTCCAGTTTTCTTGCTAGATGATCGCATGTCAAGCATATCAATGATATTCATCCTCCTTGAGATATTTGGTTTTCTCACTTGCGATTCATCACTTGGTTGGTTTACCATGGAGGATCCCTCCTTAGTTGGTTGGTCGGAAGGTTTTGATCCCGATTCGTTGACTTTTGGCTTGATAGTTTCTGATTTTGCTTTGGCATCAGTTGTTTCAGACGAAGCTGTATCAGGAGCGATAGAAGTAACTGAACCTGTATCAGGAACCATTAGCACTTTATCATTGATAATTGAAACGGGAACGGCAGAAGCTTTCTCAGTTTCGGTTACCACTGGCTTTTCAGGTTCTCTTTTCTTTTCCCTGGTGTCAAATATGAGTTCATGGATCTTTTGTAATTGCTCAATTTCATCCGCAAGCATCTTCAAGATTGCGATAGCACGAGGGTATATATCTCTTCGGGCAACTTTGGTTTTAACAGGCCCATCGGACTTGGAAGTCAGAGTTGTTGGCAGTGAATTTCCGGTAGATGAGGAAGCTTTAGCGGCGGTTACAACTTGGGCAACTCCCGGGGTTATGTTTTCGCCTTCTTTAGATACCTCCTTTCCAATAGTTGTTATGATCCCACTTTTTGCAGCAGCAACAGAGGATTGTTCCTGGCTAACAGGTTTCTTCAAGATATGCTTCTCAACGTATTGTTCGTAAAGCCTCAAGTAAATGGCAGCAAATGTCTCGTCAATCGCTGCAGTAGAGGCAAATCCATTATTCATTCTTCTCATCTCAGAAACTTCGTATAAAAGCAATAACATCCGTGGCTCAATTAACTTGAGTCTCTCCTGCTTTAATTTCCCAAGAAAATTTTGAGATCTATCGATAAACTCTCTATATACAAGGCGCCCAATGATAGTATCAGTAAATGTTTGCTCAACATACAATTCTTTTGTTTTTACAAGGCGACAAGTGGCACGGCATGCAGTTTCCCAAGCACCAATCATATTTATCATGCTAGATCCCGATCTTCTGAGTTTTTTAAGAGTCATAAATAATGTTGACAACGCTTCTGATTTTTCCAATAACATGACAAAGAAATTAACATACTGGTAAGCATAAAGAAAATGCTTTCCTGGTCTTTCATTCTCAGGTTTCCAAATTGTAATCAAATTCTTATTGGTAGATTTCAAAGTAAGTAAAGTTAACATTTCTTCTATCCCACCAGCAATATCATCAAAGTCTTCATATAGAATCTTAGCAATTCTATATCTTGGTTTATGATGCCATTTTTTTTTGTCGTGAGATAATACTTTTCTAAGAATCCCAACACACGTTTTAGAAAATGCCTTGAATTGCTCTCCATATGCAATTTCTTTATTGTTCATAATGTCTTCAATTTCTTCAGGGATTTTATACTGGTAAAAATCATTATCTTGTTTCAAATACCTAAGTCCTGTATTGATATCAATTCTCTTGCCCTTCACATACTTGTAAACCAAAGAGCATAATCTATAATGTGGTTCAATTGTCGGTTCAGACGACGATCCGTGTTGATTCTTTGCAGACTCACAAGATCTCAAAAGGATTTTGATGGCACTCTCAGGTTTACTGTCCAATTTCACTTGCAAGTTGGCAGCATAGTAATAATTAGACCAATCATCGTCAGATAATTTAATTGCCATTCTGAAAGATAATAGGTTTGTCCGATAAATAGAAGTATCAACAATTGGTTTTTCAGAATGTGTTTCACTATATCCAGAGGCACTTAACAATAACTTTGGCGTTGTACTCAATTGATAACATAGCTTCCCCATCGGCTGCATACTAGAGCTATACATTTCCTTGGAAAGTAGCGTCCATAATAATGCTATCATACGTTTGGAATTTTCCTTTTGCTCGTCTGTCATTTGAGCATAGATACTCACCGCCATCAAATAACACAAGATGGCTCTCTTTTGCGAAATTGCAGTATTGTTCTTCCTATCACTATTCAATTTATCAGATGTCCAAATTAAATCGTCCTCAACTAAAAAACTATAAGATTGACCCAAAAGAATCCAACTTTCCAATCTTCTAGTACCACAAAACAAATCTGCCTTGAACATTTTAATAACGAAATCCAATTCTGCCGATCTACCCTGCATTGATCTTTTTCTTATTTTGAATAATGACAATGCCATTACACCTTGAACATAATAAAGGCCTTGTTCTGCAATCTTTTGAATATCTAGTTGAGTTTTTGATATTCCAATATCAAGCAAGCCATAGAAAGAGTCTCTAAAAATTTGGGAGTTCAAAGAAGAATCAAGATAGGTCTCCATCACCGCGTCAGCTCTGACTATTCTTTCGTACTTTGTATTAGGTTCCCCAATGACTTCAAAAAATGAGTCAAGAACAGCTTTTAGATCACTCTTGATATTATTAAAATATGGATCCCTTTTCTCGAAAGCGAGCGCAAGAAATCTTTTGGTCAAAACTAAAGCAGATTCTCTCTCAATTGGGACACTGGTAGTTTCATGTTCAAATGGTTCATATTGTTCAATGGCCCAAGGTAAATTGTACAAACATTTGGTTAACTGGAAGATATCTAGATCGACATATGTCCACTTTGCTGACAATAATTCATTTTGTAAAAGTTTCAAGAATCTACCAGAAGAGCAATCACACATCAAACCGAAACCAAGAAGAGCATGTATGTTGCTACTGAGCTCAAATAGTTTCTTTTCTTTTTGGTCGCTGAGTTCAGTACCCTTTTCATCGTCTTTAAGGATGAGTGGCTTCAAAGAAGTGTACAATAATATGTAAGAATTGACAATGATTTTCTTTAGCTCATTAGTCGCCTTTGGGTAAATTGTGCTGAAAGATGAAGGAGTTCCAGCTAATTTTAAAGAGACTTGATTGAGATAAAATACATTAAGTATGGAAATAATTTCAATGAAGCATCCCACATACTCTTCCGGTATGGCTTTCCTCAAATTCCAATTGTCACTTTGTAAAATTCCCACGAGTCTGTCCAACATAACCCCAAAATATTTCAATATTTTCAAAAGAGCAAGAGGTCTTTGCTTTGTATCAAAGGAAGAATAAGTATCACTGTTTAAGTATTTTACTATGTCCTTCAAGGTTCTCATAAATGTATTCTGGAACTCAATTTTATTGGATTCCTGTTCTTCAACGCTATTGGCATCAGTATTAACAATTCCTTGATAATAATACTCAAACAATATATCTCGTAGACGTAACTGAATGTCGAAAGGTGAGGATTGAACAAACCTGGTCACAGATTCCTGATCTGTGGTCATCGATGCTGAACCTTCTTCGGGCTGTAATATCATGTTCAACAAACTAATTGTATCCTTAGAATATGTGCTTCCATTATTTTTTTCATATCCTTCATTACCATTATTGCTCAAAATTTTCGCGAAGCTATCCTGTGCTTGGAGCCTGCTTAGTAAATTTTTCATGGAAGGTTCACTTAAAATTGGGAAGCTCTTGTAGTTATGATAAGCCATTTCAATTGGGGTAGTCCTTTTAGAGTTTTCATTCAACATATCTTCAAGTACCTCAATGTCAGTCCTCATTAGTGCTGGCCAGTTACTCATTAACAGACTGGGTGTCCTTCTACTCAGTGTTTGCTTATAGAGTAATAATGCCCACTGAAATCTGAACCAGGACTTACCTACCTCTGGGAAGAGCTCGAAAAGGCTCTGACCAAAATAAAACCATTTTTCAATCTTGTTTTCTAACTTTTCCTTCATCTTAATTTTTTCATTGGTTTCCCTTGAGCTAGACTTTTGTAATTGCTGGGTACAAGAATCTAGCGATATATACTCATTGACAAATATCTCCACAATTGAGACAATGGATATTATTGTATGCTTGAACTCAGCTTCCTGCTGGTCATCAGATCTTTCCCTAATCTTTGAAGTATCATTGTTATTTTTTAGACAATCATCTTTCATGGGAAGTTCTGAGTATTCTTTCTCATGATGTCCTTCATTGATCCCCATAGCGCCTCCATTTGATTTAGATTTTTTCCAAAATAACATCAGGTTCACTTTGCGTTGGATAATAGGTTGATAATAGTCAATATACTTCTTGATATTTAAAATGAAATTATCCCCCTGTTTAAATTCATGGTCGACAATGATATTGATTTCCAGAGTCTCAGCCTCCTCATAATGTCCCAATATAAGAAGAAGGATATGAAGTCTAACTTGGTAAATATTAGCATCAAACTCTTTCGAATTGGCCTTCTTGATAATTTCTTGCAAAATCTTAATCTCGATTTCTGAAGCTTTCTCTGAACCTGGTTTAATTTTCTCCTCTTTGAGGTCAATTGAATTCACAGAACCTAAGATTTCAGACACAAGAGAATGATTTCCTGATTTCAGGTCAGCTTCTTCATGTTTGCGAAGAAGGACAGAAGAGCAATGCTTATCCCATATCTTAAGTAACATATTCATGTCCTGGTACCACATACACTGTTTGCTTTCAACAGAATCAACCTTTCTTCCATTCTCCATGTCCACATAATATGTGACCACATTATTGAAATTTGGACCTCTGATATTAACTGATTCAAAAGTTTCTGTAAATCTAACAAAATCCGCATTCAAATCTTTGTAGCTTTCGAAACTCACATCACCATGCTCCTCAAGACGAATTCTTTTGCTGGTTCTTTGGGGACCCTTCTTTGGCAGCTGAACCTCCTTTTCTTGTTCCTCTTTGATATCAAATTTGTGGTCAGCAGTATCAGCATCAGCAACAGGCTTGGTTGGTGTATCTTGAACATGTGGCGACTCTTCTTTAGCTATAGACGTATCGAGCTCTATTTTCACATCCTTAATATTGATTCTATCGGTTGTGTCAAAATTGCTAGATGCTAATGGATCAACATGAATGCAATGAGAGTTAAGAAAGTCAGTGCTGCAATAATTTAACTTCACTAGTCTGTTAGAGTTTTCATAAAGTTTTTCAATACTGTCAACTAAGTCCGATAGGTTTTCTGACGTTACATCGATAATAATACTATCAATTTCTCTCTGGTTCTCAATTTTAGCTTCCCCATCTTTCTTCTTCAATAATTGGAAGCATGAGAGCTTCTCATTTAATTTCTCTATCAAAGCATGCATTTTCCGTTGATATCTCTTCGAAAGCTTCTTAGTCATGGTCGACACAATTGGATCACGGATTTTCGTCAATATGAGTTCAAACCGACGCAATAATAACTCTAACGAAGGAGGGGCACCGGAGTAAGCCTTTAAAGTAGTCTGGAAGATATCCAACTCCTCCTTTGAGTTTGAGAGTTGATTTTCAAGTAATATTCTGACTAATTTGAAGTTTCCAAAAAACATGAAAATCCCAAACAACACATTAACTAGCTCATCATCTGCAGTTTCTGAATAGTCCAAAGCGTCAAACAAATACGATAATATCAATGTTAGTTTTTCGATTAGATTTTCTTCTTCCACTTCCTCATCCTCTGATTCTTCGGTATTTTTTTCACTCATCGTTGTGATAGTGGACTGCGTCTCTTCTTGTTGGTGAGATTGTATGTTATTATTTGGGCCCTTTGTCATTGAATTTACATCGTTTTTTGCATTAGAATGCGCCTCCGATTTATATTCTCCTTGGAGCCTTGATAGATTAAGCAAGCCTCTATTCTTGAAGACTAAGTATCTCAATGATTTGATTGACGGCGACAACGATTCATTCTTTCTGGGTCTCAAAACTTCAAGTTTGAATAGCAGCTTATAGCATTGTTCTGATTCTTCATATTTATCAATCTTTTGAAACCGAAGAGCTTCTTCGAATATTTTGAAACCTTGCTCAACTTGTAACTCTCTAGTTTGTTTATCTTCTTCTTCGTCCAACTTCTTGGAGTCGGCGTTAATATTGATGGGATTGAACGAAGACTTGATTGTGTCAGTAATTAATCAAACATTTTGATAGCAGAGGACCTCAGAGGGGAGCCCCCCTTTCCTTAGCAGGACAAATGGGATGTTGGATAATAATTCACGTACCATGGCTTGTCTAAGTATTCATGTCAAATGGCTGGAGGCGAGGCGTCTTCATTAAATGGCCAGCAAATATTTGTTTTGGAATATTATTTTTCATGTAGCCTGTTTTGTAAAAAATCGAGGCATGGGGTTGCGACCCATCTTTTGTGTGGGCATCTTCTGGTCGGTCCCAAAAAAAAAACAGAGAGAAAAACATTTGATCCAAAAATTGGAAATTAAAGGGAAGACCTATAAGTAATTTTTTTCAAAAGAACACATAATGAGCTGCTATATTAAATATTACACGGAGTACCTACCCAGAATTTCAAGTGTCGTTGTTTCGATCGAGATTTTGAACCATTTGGCACATATTGCAGACATAGCGTTAGTGAGTCCACTTGAGCTCGTTCTAAAGTTTAGTGACGGCCATAATGATCTGATAAAATTATCTCACGCTGTTTATCATCCTTACAATAAAATTGCCAAATCTTTCTTACAGTTTTCACCAGATGACAATTGTTATACTTTGAAGCTCAAATGTATGGATAAGATTGAAGAAATCAATTCCCGGTCACAGAACTATTTCATGTCTTTCAATGACCACTATAGATGGAACGCCAAATATTTAAACTCAATGAGGAAAAACGACACAGAATTCAAAATATGTTGTTTAAATTGTAGGAATGAAATAATCAATTCCTCGGATATTAATCGGATGAATGAGTTGCCATCGGAGATATGGTCGGATATGATGGATTTTTGGCATTGTCATAAACCTCATGAAAATGGAGAACACCAAGAAGTTGATGCAAATAAATATTCAGTGTTAAGACCCTCCCAGAACTCTATAAATATTGGGCTTTATTATTTCTCTTTGAATAATGGTGATGCGTTTAATACAGGGTTGAATATTGATACCGAAACTATTGATTTTGAAAAAAATCTGAATCCCGTACAATGTCTGAAATGCGAGCATGTTTTGGGTGCATTAGACTTCAAAACTAATTTAATTAAGTTGAATAAATGGAATTTCAAGTTGATACAGAGTGATAAAGAGGAGATATTCAATCCTTATTCATTTGCATACAGTCTAATTATTGATCTGATCAATTCGAGTGCTTCTCGGGTATTTCAAGTAGTGAACAACAACAAAATATATGGCAAGACTCCCTACAATGGAACAGTGCCGAATGTATTATATATATGGGTATTTAATTCAGGAATTACTGCCTCGGTAACTGGATTGAATTTATTAGAAGATTGTCTAAAAATTTATTACTCAACTAGCTGGGAAGTTCTTGAATCAGAAAGACGCGTTACTAACAAGCGGTCTTTCAAAAACGAGATCGAGTCTGAAGAAATCGAATTACAGAGTGATGTAATGGCCGATTTATTTGAAATGCTCCAAAGATCGAATAAGAATTTACCAAAAAACTGTAAAACCATGGGTAAATGGGAGCTAGGCTTATTGCCATTTGAGTGGAAGCAGTAGCGAGCCTACATGGTTATTTCTTATTGTTATATTATATGATACTATGAATATATTACATTTTTCTTTAGAAATCTATTGAAAGAATTTAGCAAGACTCTTTTTTGTTCCCTCTTCCTTTTGGATGATCATGTTTTCAACGGTTTCTAAGTCCTTGAGAATGAGTTTATCTTTCTGGTTGTTCAAGTCGCTAGCTTTCGTCAAGAAGTCCTTAGACTTGTCCAATCTATTCCACAACATGTAGCATTTACCAATTCTATAGTAACATTTGACGAAATCAGATTTTTCAACTTTAAATTTTGGCTCGTACTTTGGGTAAAGTTCTATCATGTCGATCATAAATTTGCTGTATTTGATGGAGTCCGCATATTTTTCAAGTTTCAAGTAAGCTAAAGACATGTTTGAATATAGACTCTTCTTCAATAGCAAAAAGTCAATATAAAGCTTATAGTTTGTCAAATTTTGTTGTTCTGTGTTTGATTGGGTAATCAAAACGTCCTTTTCTGGTTGAAGTTCTTCCACATACCTGAGAGCCTTGGTAAATTTAAACAAACAGTTTTTGAAATCTTTGCTCTTGAAAAGACAGTTCCCCGAGTTCTTAATTGTCTCACAGACTTTAAATACCTTTGCATAATCGTCCTTGTTGAAGCAGCTATCATCATCAGGGTACTCTTCGTAAATATCACCACCGATGGTATCATAGCAAGCGTTGTAGCATGGGATTTCCATTCCTTCTTCAAATTTACCACAGTTTTCTATTTTAACAGCCACAATAGGAAAGTAATTATCCTTGCTGATGATTGGAACGTTTTCAATCTCTCTTATCACTGATTTCCCGTGCAAAACTTTACCAAAAATTGGATGCTTATTGTTCAAGTGAGGTGATGGGTATGTGTTAATAAAGAACTGTGAAGTGTTTGAATTTTCATCGTTATTAGACATTGCGACATTGAAAGTGGTTTCAAAAGTGGAGTTTGCTAGATTTTCGTCTATAAATTTGTTGTGTAGTTGAACTTCATCACTAATATCACTGTCATTATCAAGATAAACCGAGGCACCACCGGTACCAATGATATTAAGGTCATCAGCAGAAGGTGGGTATTTCTGGAGATCTGAGCAGTGGACAATATCACCTGCCTGGATTATGAAGTTTTTAATGGCCCTATGGAAATAATTACCCTTGAAGCTCAAGTTGATTCCCTCGGCGTTCTTACCTGCTTCGCCAGTACATAATTTCAAAAAGTTCTCTGAAGATAACGGGGCTAAATCATTAAAAAGTTCAATAACAATCCTTCCTATTGGTTTTTCATCAATAGAAATATCTAAATAACATTTTTCTCTGTCAAGGTTGGTGATAATAGCCATTTTTTTTTTATCACGTATAATGATTTAAAATCTGTTAACATAGTAGAATTGGCGATATGTTGAAAAAAAAAAGTCTTCCGTCTTCTCATCGCAGCTACCGGGACGGCCGTACAGAATTCTAAATTGGGTTGTCATATAAGAACATCCATGTTGATAAACCATATAAACCATTTGAGAGTAATTTTATGTTCTATATCCTCTCAAACGATAAGAATCCTTAAACAATTTTTTAAATATAGTGATTTAATCAAGAGACTTGAAAACTTGGTCCTTCGCATGTGACAGTTCACGTGTATTTTTTTGTCTTTCATACAAATTTTCAAACAGTACTCCTTTTACACTCAAACCCTCCAATACTTTCTAAAAATATAGTAAAATGGATTTTGACAGAGAAGCTGATCAAGAATTGGAATTTTCCACTTCGAAAAATGTGGAAGTTTGCTCCAGTTTTGAAGATATGAACTTGAAAGATGAACTTCTAAAAGGGATTTACAGTTATGGTTTTGAAGCACCATCAGCCATTCAATCACGAGCCATTTTGCAAATTATTTCTGGGAGGGACACTATTGCTCAAGCACAGTCTGGTACTGGTAAGACTGCCACTTTCTCGATTGGTATCTTAGAAGTTTTAGATACAAAGGTTAGGGATTGTCAGGCATTAGTATTATCTCCAACCAGAGAATTGGCAACCCAAATTCAAAATGTTGTTAAGTCTTTGGGGGATTATATGAAGATCCAATGCCATGCGTGTATTGGTGGTACACACGTTGGAGATGATATCAAACAATTAAATAGGGGACAACATATCATTAGTGGGACACCGGGGAGAGTGTGCGATATGGTCAAGAAGAGAAATTTAAACACCAGACACATAAAGATGTTGATTCTTGATGAGGCGGATGAATTGTTATCCAAAGGTTTCAAACAACAGATATATGAAATTTACAGATACTTGCCTCCTGGAACCCAGGTGGTAGTTGTTAGTGCCACTTTACCAAACGACGTGCTAGAGATGACCTCTAAATTCATGACCGATCCTGTGAAGATCTTGGTTAAAAGAGATGAAATCACTCTTGAGGGTATCAAACAGTACTATATCGATGTTGATAAGGAAGAATGGAAGTTTGACACCTTATGTGATTTGTACGATTCTCTTACAATTACTCAGGCAGTGATTTTCTGTAATACTAAAAAGAAGGTTGATTGGCTTGCAGCAAAAATGAAAGAGGCCAACTTCACAATAGTGTCGATGCACGGTGATATGAAACAAGATGAAAGAGATCGAATCATGAATAACTTCAGATTGGGGAATTCCAGAGTTTTGATTTCCACTGATGTTTGGGCAAGAGGTATTGATGTGCAACAAGTTTCTTTGGTCATTAATTATGATTTACCTACTGATAGAGAAAACTATATCCATAGAATTGGTAGATCTGGTAGATTTGGTAGAAAAGGTGTGGCCATCAACTTTGTTGCTAGTGAAGACGTTGGCGCGTTACATGATATCGAGCAGTATTATAGTACCCAGATTGAGGAGATGCCGGTAAATGTCAGTGAAGTTATGTGATTTTTTGTATAATATTTGAATGTAATATATGTTTCTACGCCTTTATATTGGATATGAAGTGATATAATGTATATAATTGATCTATTTATCCCTTATAAATTTTGAGGGACTAAAAAAAACCCCACATGGCAGGGTAACTGTGGTTTTTCCACCATCCCAAAGATCATTTTGAAAGAGAACAAACATGAACATCACAGAGTGGTCAAATCACAAAAGACCAGCGGTTAAAAAGGGGATAGATAAATTACCTGATTGATTACTTGAGAAGAAAAACAAAAAATACAAGAAAAGAAGGAAAAACTTAGACAGAAAACTTCCTCATGACTGATGAAGTTGCCATCCAGATCTCCATTGATCCTGTCACTTTAGTTAGCCAAGAATGTATCCGAATCATTTCTGAGATCAGAAAGAATTCAAGATTCTTTCAATCGGGGGTGGCTGCCATTTTAAGCTCCTCTGACACAATCAATTTGTTCAATGATGAGTTCATTAGTAATTTTAAGTCGTTGAAGTTCACCGATGTGTCTTCAGGTAAAAAGTCCTCCCATAATTCTGGCATCAAATTGCAAACTCATAGTGCCACAGGAAGTTCTAGCAACAATAATAGCAATGATCCAGTATTGGGAGCCTTCTTGCAATTGAAGTCTTTATTATCGGAAATTGACTCTCTTAAGGAAATTGATAGCCTCACAATACTTCAACCATATTTCATGTTACTCACGTCTCCAAGTACTTCAGGTTTGATCACTTCAATTACTCTAAATTCTCTAACCAGACTCTTTGAATATGAAATTTTGTTTAATGCCTGTCATCATACCAACATTGAAACTAATGTTAACCAATTGATAGACTCATTGACACATATATCATTTGAATCCTCGGACCCAAGTTTGGATGATTCTGTGCTTTTCAAGGTTTTGGAGTTGATCTTAAGAATCATCAAAAATGATAACTACAATATATTTATTGCAAATGATGTCTTTTCGGAAGTTATTCAAATCAGTTTGTCGTTGGCGTGTAATAAAAAGAGATCAGAAGTATTGAGAAGATACGCAGAGCAAGTGCTGAATTCAATAACAATTATTGTCTTCAATAAATTAAGATATTTAAGCACAGATCAGAGTGAAAAGAAACATTTGTCAATTGATCTCAACTTTTTCTATCAATATTTTAGTAATCTTATTTCGATTGTGTCGGTAGAGAACCAGTATTACCACACTGAATCGACCAAAATCTTTGTATTAAGATTATTATCGACCATCCTTGAAACTTCGGGAAAAATGATGCCAAATCATCCCCAACTTTTGAAATTGGTGAGCAATCAACTATTCAAGAACTTGTTGACAATAATTTTGAAGAATGACAGTTTGAACTTGTTGCAAGCAGCATTGCAATGCTTCATTTGTTTGAATTTGATCTTGAGTGAACACTTGACGCTTCAATTGGAATTTGCTTATGAAAATATCTTCAAAAGTATATTACCAGCTGATGATTTTTACGGCTTAGATGAAAGTATTGATGAGAACTCCAATCCTCCACTTAAAGCTGAGTCCTCTAAATCATCTACCTCGACTAATGGCGCCTCTTCATCGTCAACTAGGACTAGCACACCAGTTACTGCAGGGACCTCTGGAGCAATCATCAGCTCAAGAAATCCATTAGCTAAAGAATTAATTATTGAATCTCTCAGTTTGCTATGGTCTCACTCGTCAGACCTTTTGATCAATTTGTTTATCAATTTCGATTGCAAATTTGACTCCAAAAATATCAGTTTAATATTTATCAAATTTTTGAATAAGCTTGCTGAATCTTCAAGTGCCAGTATCACCACAAATAACGTACCACCCATCTGTTTGGAAGGATTATTACAGTTTATTAATGGTTTGAATGTTAGAGTAAAAAAGTTGAAACGTCAAGGAATTGAGTTTGATTCGAAAAGGTTTGAGGAAAACAAAATTCTTAAATTGAAGGCAAGAAAAGAGGAATTTTTGAATATTTTGAATACGTTGAACAATGATGATTTCAAAACAGGAATTAAGGAATTAAGAGCCAGAGGGTTTTTATCTTCAGGATTGGATGAAGTTGAGGAGCAAGAAGAATTGGGTGAATTCTTTTACTTCAAGGCTAGTTTATTGAATAAGAAGGCAGTTGGTGAATTTATTGCCAAACCTAAAAACCTTACAATCCTTATTAACTTTTTATCACACTTCAGCTTTCAAGGTAAGAGAGTGGATGAATCTTTGAGATTACTACTTGAGAAGTTTAGAATCCCTGGTGAATCACAACAGATTGAACGGGTGGTTGAGAATTTTGCCTCTAAATACGTTGATGATCAGAATTTCGAAAAAGTTGTTGAAGATTATGAAGCCGCAAAAGCTGCGTTTGCTGATGGGAAAATCAAAAAGGAACCTATTGAACCCGTTACTCCTGAAAAAGATGGGGTGTTCATTTTAAGTTATGCCATTATTATGTTAAACACCGATCTTCACAATCCAAAGATTAAGGAGCATATGAAATTTGAGGAGTTCAAAAAGAACTTGCGAGGAGTTTATAAAGAAGGGAAAGATTATCCTGAATGGTATTTGAAACTGATTTACAATTCCATCAATTCCAAGGAGATCATCATTCCTGAAGAACACTATGGTACGGACAAATGGTTTACCGGAAGTTGGGATCTTTTGATGTCAATCAATCCTAATTCCCAGAAAAATTTTTCATTTGCATTTGAAAAAGCCATTGAAGATCCTCACCGTGATGAAGACGAATACCAAAAAATTAACTCGAATGGGATTGCCATTGAAGATCTTGATGTGGTGATTGTATCTCACTTTGATAAAGTATTATTTAATTCATCCTACGCAATGCTAATAAAAAGCTTTTTGCATGTATTTGAAGAAACCAGTGATGACCATAGAATCGCTAAATTAATGAGCATCATTGACAAGTGTGCGAATATTGCTAGCTACTACCAATTGGATGATGTTTTGGATAGCATTTTGGACAAATTGGCAAGATCGACCACTCTTACTGGCGAAAAGAAATCGGATGTCACTATAGGTGATGACGAATTCATCAGAGACGTAATCCCGACCACTCAACTTACATTATTAAAAAATAAAACCCCAGTAGTGGCCATTGATCCGAATGTTGATAAGATTGCCAACGAAGAATCCTTGAGTGATTCCGCCATATTGTATGGCAGTAGAAGAAATATCAAAGGAGAGTCATCTGTGAGTTCTAGCTCTATTCCTATATCAAGGACCTCGTTAGAAACAACTGACAATGACCCAGACATTATCACCATTAGTGAAACTTCCACTTGGTTTGGTAGAGACTTCAAAGCGCAAATTTCTTTTATTGCATTGTTCAATATTATTAGACGAGGAAATTTCAATCAGCTTTCTAAGTCTTTGTCGAAGGTGGTGATGATTATCCTCAAATTATTTGATAACGGCATGATTGACGGCAACTTCTTTGGGAAATTTCAACAAGAATATCAACTACCAAAATTGCCTATTGTTAGACCACAGTATATCATTGATCACACTACAACCAAGAAAGAAAATGAAGTTGAACAAGTGAGTTTGTTTAGTGCGTTCACTTCGTATTTGAAGATCAACTCTGATGAGCCACCTGAGCCAACTAATGAGGAGATTGATGCCACATTACTGGCCTTGAATTGTATTGCAACATCAAAGATTGAACAGCTATTTGAATTTAATCGTGATGGAATAACGCTTTCAAATGTGCCATCAAAGGAATTAATTTTCGGTTTTTTGAAAATGCTTCCAAATTACTCTAAATCTAATAAACTAGCTTATCAAAGTGATGTTCTATTTATTTTCGAGTCGACGGTGGCATTATCTGTTATGGTGAAAGATCAACCGTATTATACTGAGCTAGCAGAGAAAATCATGAAGGATATTGATAAGTTGATTGTTATCAATGAGAAAAATCATCAGAAGTTGTTGGATGAAATGGCGATGGTCAGATTGTTAGGATACGAATTAATTTTGTTCAATCATTTGCATGACAAATTTGATAACGTTGCTGGGATCTTAAAAAGAGGAATTCAATTATTGGCGACTATTGATGGGTCCAAACAGGGAATTCTTGATGCATTGTCGGAATTCATCGAACCAGAACTTGTCAAAATTGTTAAGGAATCTAATGATGCTGATGATTGGAAACATTTGGTGGTGTTAACCCTTGAAGAATATTGGAAGCTTTTGAGGAATATTGCCAGCTTGACTGCTCACGTAGACAAAGTTTTCGAATTCATGAATGAATTGGTGGTGTCTTACCCAAACAAGATCGTTCCTGAGAATTATATGGCTGTTCTTGGGCTATTTGACGAAGTTTCCTCTATGGGGGCAATTGGCAGTACTTATGAACAAGAATTGGAACTTTTCAAGTTGGGCGGGGGTGACAGTGGCAAAGAGTTGCCGCTGACCAATCCTCATCAAAATTTGATTGGATTGTCTAAGAAGCTGATTGATTTAACTTTGAAGTTACGGGAAGTGGTTATTCGGGAAGATTTTGTGACTGTTGAAAAGAAAACCAAGACATCATGTTGGTATTCTTTGATTCAAGCGTTGGGGCACCAAACTTTCAACCCATGTCGTGAAATCCGTGGACATGCTTTGAAAATGCTCACCCATACATTGTTATCGTGGGATATTACCAGACAAGAGTATGTCAGTGCCAGAGGGATCTTTGAATTGGATATTTTCCCATTGGTGACTGAGTTATTGAAGGACGAGGTTTTGTACTGCGATTACTATGGGATGGCCAAGACAAAACAGGACGTTTTGTCGAACATTGTGAAGATTTATTTACAATATTTGAACAAATTCTACATTGCTAAACAGGAATCATATGACGAAGGGTCAGAATTGAGTTATATCTGGTTGAATTTGTTGGATGTTTTTCAAAATTTAGTTGTTGATGAAACTCACCAAATTGAAACCCAGCAGATGGCACCAAAGAAAAAGGCTGTGATGATGAAGAACAAGAAGAAGAAGAAGGCACTTGAACCGGTGATTCGAGAATCATCGAAGGAATTGATCAAGAACTCATTGTTGTACATGCATGATTGTGGATACTTGGAGGTGAAGAATGAAAACCATCAATATTTATGGAAAGAGACCTGGAATCGTATTGGCAAAATGTATCCTGAATTAGAAGCAGAATTCAAGAAGGAATTGGAGGAAATTGACAAAATGCCAATGGAAGCACCAGAAAAGAAGGAGGTGCTGATCAACGAAGAAAGCGAAAACAAACAAGCGGAGGAAGTGGAAGTCGAGATCAACAGAGAAGATAAAGATAAATGATTGATTTTATGGTTTTGCGTTGTTATTTTTTGTTTTTTTTTCCTACTATTTTCTACTATTTTTTATGTACGTCTTCTATGTAACTTTTCATTTTTTATTTTTTGTGTTTTTAATTTATTTGTTTGTGTAGTCAATCTTTCTGTAATCAACAAATGATGATCCGGAAATATCTCAATGATTTTACAAATTATTGTTCAAAAATCAAGTTAGAATTCTACAGGTCTACAGAGTACTTCAATATATATAAAGGAGAAATAAACGCACTCACGTATAATAACAAACACTTTAGATGATAAAGTTAAATATAAGGACAGCGGTAAGGACAGTAATAAGGACGAACAGCACGACACCTAGCAACCTTAAACCAATAATGGCTGTAAATATAATCTTGATAGTAACGACTATATTATTTTATTAGTAGAGATCTAATGATCTAGTTCCTAGTATAAGACCTAAAGATCCCTTGATTGCAAGATCTCGAGCTTGAAACAGCAGAGTGCACTTTTATTAGAAGAGGTAATTACTGTACATAAGTGTCACATCGGAAAAACATCTTTCCACCATAGTACACAAAATCACATAAAGTGCCCTTAAGTTAAGTGATGAACAAAGTCAAACAAACTATTGGAGCTTGCACTTTACTTAAAGCTACATTTCAACAAATCAGTGAACCGCCCATGGGTGTGAGATATACTATTTCGAGGCCAATGATTGAAGATTTAATAGATCAATAGATCTTGATTCACTTTTAGAGTGCATTACCAATAAGCTGTGCTTAAACAGAGAGACTTTATGTCGGTGTTTTGGTCCGGTCGGGCCAAGTGGAAGAATATAGCCAAGGGCCGAAATGACATTAACTGACTAAATATCTGACTTTCGGGTGGCACGATTTTCAATATACCTAAACCAAGTTTACCATGGTGATTCACCAAGTAATAACGAGATATATATGAGTCAATTGTTGTAGCATGCAATCGGTGCGGTTTGTTGGTTGCCGCATGAAATAGCAGAAGGAACGAAGAACCCCGAACGAACCAAAAGTTGTCTGTCCTCAAGGAGGGAAGTCAAAAAACCAAAAAAAAAAAAAAAGAAAAGAAAAGAAATTCCACATATATGCTAATATATAACAATAGGGGAGCAATTAAAGATGAAATTGAGTATCTAGTTTCTAGAATGGGTTGCCGACTGGCTAAAAAAATAAGGCCATTTTTTTTTTTTTGAGGCATAAAGTTAAAATCTCCTAATTGTTTTCTTCCTGTACATGTTGAGGATTTTCTAGCCTCATTTTTAATTCATTTTAAATTGACAGGTTGTATACTGTATGTGTAATTCTAGATGGCCTGTTTTGGTCCCCATTGATGTTAGTATAGCAACAAGGAAAATACAAATATACACAACATTCGTAACTATCTTTTTTTAGCTGTTTGGCGTACTACAATTGTATACAATAAATAAAAAAAGATGGTACTTGTTGATCATTTCAACTTGGTTTCACAGTGAATCCTTATGTACATAGAATGTAAGTCACAGGTTAAGCATAGAAAAATATGGTAATATTGGCAATAAAAACACATAGTATAACAGGAAATTCTTCCCATGGTGAAAAAATTCCCACAAAATTCCAACAAAAAAAAAAAAAAGAAAAAAAAAACGTTCAAAACATTCAGAATCATAAACAGTAACAGTGAAAAGAATTATAACATTAACGTAAAGGCGTAACATGACCATTAAAGAAAACTAGTAAGCATAAAAATATTGATAAAAACATAAAAAAAAAAAAGAGCAAAGCACGTATCAAAGGATAGCTAACAAATCTGATAAAAGATGAAAACACATTAGCATAAAATATTAAAAAATATATTTTATATCCTTAGAAGTAGGCTAAAAAGAATGATTAAATAGCATTATTAAAATTAGCTAGATTGATACAATCCATTAGGAGCATACCCAGGTCCCAAGAATTCAGTATTACTACCATTATTACTACCATTATTACTACCATTATTACTACCATCGCCTGGGTTTTGGGTATTATAATTGTACATCTTGCTACCATTGACCGCATACTGAGGTAAGGTCGAGTAAGGCCCGATCAAAGGATTGGAGTTTGGATAAAACTGGCTATTTGAAGATCCAACGCTCATGGTATTAGGGTTGGTTGGGGTACTGGATTGCGGACTCCCTGCAGTAGTTTGTTGTTGTTGTTGTTGTTGTTGTTGTTGTTGACCTGGGGTCGATCTTGGTGAAAGTCTCCCTTCATGTGGTTGTTGATGTGATGTCTGAAGTTGACGCTGTTGATTTTGATGGTGTTGTTGTGGTTGTTGCTGCTGCTGTTGCTGCTGCTGCTGTTGTGATTGTGGTTGTGGTTGTGGTTGTGGTTGTGGTTGTGGTTGTGGTTGTGGTTGTGGTTGTTGCTGTGGTTGTGGTGGCGGCAATTGATAATTCACATTATACCCAGTCTGTTGTGGATATTGTTGATATACTTTCTCTCCAGCCTCCAACTTCACCAGAGTATTGTTCAAGTTATTGGTAGCACTTGGAGTCATTGATTGTTGAGGTGGATACCCCATGCTTTGTGGGTAATACTGTGGGAATCCACCACTCATTGGTTGTTGGGGATATGCGTACTTTGGCATGCCATTGCCACCAGTGTTTGAGACCGCTGGACTGTAATAGCTTGGCATTTGGGAAAACTGGGTGGCAGCAGCTGGGGCAGAGTTTACCCCGACAAAACTACCATTGTACGATGAATAATCCAAATGATGATGATGCGCCAATGGCGGCAAATAAGTCTGAGATTTTTGTTGTGATTGAGTTGCTCCAGCGCTTGCAGCATGATTATTGCCACTGTCGCTAGTAGAACTTGACCCTGTGGCAGGCTGACTAGTGGAACTCAATGAGGAAGGAACATGATACTGTTGCTGTGGTTGTGCAGGTGGTTGTGCAGGTGGAAAAGACGGAACCATTTGATGATGCGGCAACGGTGGTGGACCAGCGTTATGGTAGGCAGGAGGAGGTAGAGGAGCTTGGAAATATTGAACCTGTTGACCACCGGCAGATTGCATCAACCCAGGCATCGACGTTTGGTGATGATGGTGGCCAGGTGCATGGGCACCCATATGGCTGCCAGGAGTCGCCATGACCGTACTTGATGGATGGCCGTTATTTTCCAAATAATAGTATGCTTCATCCTCGATCGGTATTTTGCCTCCAAGACTAGATTCCTTAACCGCTGACCAAAGTTCCGGGGTCAAATGGACATCTTTTAATGTTGGGTCGACCGAAGGTTTGGTGAGAACGTTTTCCATGACATCGATGGTGTTGTAATATGAAATCAAATGCACAGTTTCTGAAATTGTCTGTGAAGAACTGGCAGATAATCTAGAAATTGTAAGAGAGAGGGTTTTTTTGACAAGCCCGTTATCTTTAAAAGCGTAGCTTGCCACAAGGGATCCAACTAGCGAGCGGCTTGCCAGATCATTGTTATTGTTCGGGGAATTGTTCAATCGCTGTTGTTGTTCATGGATAGGATTGTGTTGAGAGGGAGAGTTTTGGCTCATCAATTTCTTCTTTAACTCCTTTTTGGACTTCTTTTTACCTTCTTTATCGGTAGCGGCCGCGCGATCTAATTCACGGTATACTAGGAACCTACCCAAAATTCTGGAAGGAGACCAAGAAACCCCATCGGTCCATCTCTTGACGCCTGAACGTTCTTCAATGAATACAAACACATTACCTGAAGCGATTAAAGAGGCTCTTTCCTTGTCATGTGGTCTTCTTGGAACAGTTGGCAATTGCTTATTCAACGCGGCTTGAATAACCAATAACGCGTCCTTAGTTGAGGCAATATAGCCCTGGTAAGTGGGGGTAATTTTTGATGAAGACATGTGAGAACAAAAATTATTCAAGGATTGGGTGGTGTAAACTAATGTTTGTCTTTGTTTGATTTATGTGTTGTATTTCTTATTTATCTTTAATTTTAATTTTAATTTTAATTCCCTGCGAGAAAAAAAAAAAAAGTAAACAATATATTTTTTGGTAAAATTAAAATTTCTGGAGAATCATGATTAAATTTATACGGGCATCGCAAAAAAACGAACAGCAGAAAAAAAAAAACTCTGTTTTTCTTGTTCTTCCTTCTTCTGCGACATGAAAATTTTCTACTTCCTTTTCTTCTGCTTGTTAAAGTTTGTTGCATGACAATGCAGTGGGATTGCTACAAAGTGGCCTGCCCTCTACTGAGACAGCAAGGTGCAGTACAGCAAGGTGCAGGCCAACATACTACCCGCTAGAGAGGGTGATTATGAGGCGCGGTAGGCTGCATGGGTGCCGCAAGTGCAATAGAACACCAAGTATTCCTTTTTCTTTTTTTCGATTATTTTCCTGGGAGACAATTTACACAACAAGTTGTTGGGCTCGAAACAATTAGGGCAATTTGGATATATCAGGAATAGAACACATGAATCAGATCATCATTACAGCAGAATCAAACCACTTACAGGGAGTAGAAGTGGTAGCACCTGTAGTCCATGGATACAACAACAGGCTCCTCACCTGCAGAAAATCCTCAAGCTTAAAAATAAAAATAACAAGAACGAAAGAGAAAAAAAAAAGGTCGTGTGGCAAATCCAAAATAGCCACAGCACTACAAAAACCATAAGAATTATCCGACTATTAAAAATGGCTAGGCCATGACTTTAAATCTAAATTCTATAAAAGCGGGACAAGTGGGAAAGAGAATTTTATGCTTTTTTGAAGACAAGTGAAAACATCTTGCTTGATACAAATTGTGCAGAGATTTATCCATGTAAGGCAGATCCCTAAAGTCTCGTAAAAAAAATTCCAATAAATATTTTGAATCCATGTGAAAGAATATCTTGATGTGTGAAAGCATAACAAGTTAGCCATTATATGTGTCTCACAAAACTATCGTCAGCATGATATTTGTCAATTATGGGGGGAATTAAACTGTATAATATATCATATATGACCGACCAGTAGAGAAATTGGGTTTAGTAATCTAGTGGTTGTCATGTATTGTTTGTTACTTAACGGTTTTGGTGTTCCAACTTTGTTTTTTGCAAGATGTACACAGCATGTGAAAAAATTTTCTGTAAAAAAAACTGAAAAAAAAAAAGTTTGCCACCAAAACCAAATAGTTTTTCCGAGCAGCCCTTCTGCAGGATGACCACACGCTGACAAAAGTTGTTTTCACCAGATGACCAGTCCTCTACAAGTACATGCAGAAATTGTTTGCCATGTCTTGCTTTTTACAGTTTTCCCGTTCCTTCAACTCGCACTTGATCCTCGGCAAATTTCTAGTGGGGCTTTCGATAGTGAATTGAGTGCTCTCATGTTTAATACTTATGTTTGAATTTCCCAAAACTATAAAATCGCATCGAGCAAACTTTAGAATAAACCCGTGAAATTGTTACAGTGAGAAATGGTGCGTGGTGTGAAGGTGAACTGTTTAGGTGAGGAATGTGTGAAGTAGGTGTAAAAGAGGTGTGAAGTAAGTGTAAAAGAGGCGCAAAGCACATACGAATAATCAATACATCTTAAATTATTCTCGCAAATGATATGACTGCCATGTGTGAGAGCCAATCCTCATCTTCTAGAACGAGCCCCGCACTCTGGCATTGCTTCGTATTGCCCTCTATTATGTTTAAGCTTTCTTTAATACGCTTTTGTTGTGTTAATCTCTTTAAGTAAACTTAATCTAGAACGCTGCCACTGCAATTGTCTTATTCCTTGAACAGCTGTCTTTTTTTTTAGCTCTCTTGTTTTGTCCAACAAAGAGAAAAAAAAGGCGGGGCAAGAAAAAAGTGCCCCACTAATTTCAAACGAGTGCCCAGATCAAAAATCCCTCAAACTTCCGCCGTGTTCACCTTTCATTATACATTCCTTTTCTTAGTCAGTAGCTATTGGACCCCCGCTATCTTCCTGTCAAGCTTCATTACGAACAAAATTTTGAGCTGAAGTAGTTCTTGGAGGACTGTAGGTGCCAGTGATGGCTGCTAAACAAAATAGTTGACAGCGCATCAATGGTCACCTTATCATCATCATCATAGTTGAATATCAATTGGTTAGCCCTAATTTCTAATTAACTAGTGGAACAGTTGCCACCTGACTAATGGTAACTCACAGCTTGGATAGCTCTAAAAATTGTTACATTATATCCCTCCTCGAGTTTATGGACAATAATTCCCCGGAAGCAGCCTTTCTTCTGCATAGATCAGGGTCTATGTGTAATAACATTGGTTAGATGTATTTAAAATAGCTATTTAATACATCTTGTAGATTAACACGACATCAGGTTAGCAGTATTCGGTTCCCTACACATCATCATGTGAATGCAATGCTCATCTTTGAATATTTGGATACTAAAATTACGATGAGAATCTAGCCATGATGATAAATATGATTCTTCAATATAGATTGTAATGAAATATAATTGTTGAAAGATAACGTGGGTAAATAATACCAAGCAGGCAATTTAGTTAGATGTGATTGTTTCGACATGAGAAGCATTATTTTAGAGAATTATTGGCCAGTATTGCAGGATAATAAAAAAAAAAAAAAAAGCTATCCCGAGCCGTAGCCATATATATGTAAAACGTATATCAAGCATGTTTCGTTTTGATACAACATTGATTCTATTTCCCACCATGTTATTTGTTTTCTGCTGTGAATTGACTTTGACTAATCAAAACCCTGCATTTTGCAAACTTTATAACCTCAACGTCTTTTAATGCTTAAAAACTTAATGTATACAGAAATACTTGAAGATTTGTGATATTCTCATGCCTATTTTTTTTATATCTTCTTTTTTGCGTTTGATGATTTTGTGCTGAAAGAATATGTTGGAAAGTAGTTGTGAATTATTGAGTTCAGAGTTTCGAAGATGTCAAAAAAAAAAAATACATGATCCCCACAATTTCCACTTTGTTCTCAATTCAGTTTCAGTTTCATGGAATCCTTAAAAACATAGAGCAACCTGAAAAAGACTCGTTCAGTTGCCATTGAAGCCACTTACTGATTAAGAGGCTTATCAGGATCTCACCAGCCATGAGTATATGCATGCATACTCTTGTGGTAGATGAACTTTTTTTTTCTTTACCCCATGCAGGCACATCTCCACAGAATAAAACGATTTTCAATGGGTGTTCTTCGTTTTTTTTCCTCCGTTGTCCCTCTTTCTCTTCTCTTTTTCTTCTTTGCTATTGATTTTTCCTCTTTTATTATTTTGACAATATTATTAGGGCTCAGTAAACATTCGATATAGAGAATGAGTTCGTGGGCAATTGCTCATGCATACTGTGTTGTGACCACATTGTATTGTGATCATGTTGAAGTGTGATAAAACTTGACATATATGCACAACTTTTCTTTTTCCTGTTCTTCTTGACAATTACCGTTATGTTTCCTATATATCACTTCCCACTTATGTGTCTCTTATTTTTAAACTTTTGATCTGTCATCTCTTTGCTTTTCGTCTCACCCCCGTATTTGGGTTAGTGCAGCTGCCTCGGATCGGTACTCGGCCCACTCAATATACATTAGGTTTAAGTGCCAAAGAAAAAGCTTTTTGTAAAATAAAAATAAACTTCATCAATCTTTAAGCACTTTGAGACTTATCACTGACGGGAATACCAAATAAGCTACCAGGTATTATGAGAGTTAGTTAGCTATTGGTCTGGTTTGGTGGATGTACATCGTCTATGATGATAATTGCTTAGTCGTATTTTTTATATCTACAAGTTAATATAGATACTAGGATTACGAGACCCTTAAATAGGGTCCCTACCTTCAAAAATTAGTGAGAGCCCCACAGAATCTACACTATTTGCTGTTTGACAGTAATGTATATTGATGTGGATGCCAACTCTCCATACAAGCATCAACTGCCAATACGCTGCTGGTGTAATACCATAATAATAGGATTTACAAGCACGATTTCCGAAAGTTTTTAAATACTTTACCAATTTCGCCGATTCAATTTATTTTTCTGTTGAACCGGTTCGGTTACAGGATGTACGCTGGCGGCGTTGACTGAGGATTTCATCATGATCAACATGCTGGAGATCATATCTTTGATTTCATTGAACTCCTTGATAGTGACGAATCCAGGGTTTTCCGTGGCTTCGTGGTGATTTGTAATTGGAGCTGATTCGCTAATAGCTTCGTTAGAGGTTGGAATAGTTTCAGGATTCATGATTGGATTAGATAGAGAATCCAGTTGGATGTCGGTTTATAGATATTAATGTAATGATAATAATAAATATAATTTAAATGTGAACTTTTAATAATTTATAAACAGGAATTTGGTTGTGAGTCTTGATAATTATATATACATGATAGTAGTGACTATTAATCGTCAAAAGCTACAAAAGAAGTGGAAGTATTTGCGGTTATGAGCCCTTGGAAATCAAGCCATTTCCATTAGGAGGTCTGTACTACTGGCAGTCTGACATTTGCATAACCTCCACAATCGACAGTAACGGTGTGCCAACGAAAGAAATACTAGAACCATACTCAAATGGGAACTTTTTAAACTTAACAGTATTGTTATGAGTGAGTTCCTAAGAATTCTGATAGTTATTGATCACCAAATCACACTGTTTTAAAAATGCCTTTTTTTTTTTCTGGCCTTTCTTCTTCGTCTTAGTTTGATTGTTTATGGAAACTTAATATACAATACTTTAGTGAAAGCACATGGAAGCCCGCTTTTAAGACCATATAAATAAACCATTATTATTAGCATAGAAGCCTGTCTTATTTGAAAACAGTGAAATATATAAATATTCTGGAACCTTATCTCTATCCATTGCATTTTGACATTATTTTTCATCAAGGCTTCTCTACAAAATATCTCAATAATCAATTATGATACATTTCTTCAATAGTAAGTACCCACAGTTATTAGTGGCAACTATATTTTATCCACTAGCTTCGATTCAGACATCGATTATAAATATAAATTTCCTACTACCTACGGTTACAATTTGACAGGGAATTTAAAACAATAACACAATTAATTTTCCTTGCAGGTGTTTAATGAGTTTGGAGAAAACAGTATTTCAAAAGTAAATAAAGGGGATATCATTCTCAATGTCACTGATTACGGAAAATGTGCTGGGGGCAAACATGAAATAGTACTCAAGCTTCACAAGTGTGAACTAGATCAACGATTTGTGTTGATTCATCACCGCATTTCGTTGTAAGGAGTGAAATTAGGCACATTTTCTAGTTTTTGAGAAAAATCAAAACCACAGAAAAAAAATGCACGGATTCCAAAGCAAACTCTTGTTAAATTACACTCTCTCATATTATTACGTTGCGTACTATATATGATTTATTCTATTATTTTGGTGGTTCCTTACCAATATGCGTATTGCAAAAGAGTCACGATACATAGAGGAGGTATTCACGTGATAATGATACCCCCCCTTGCTGAGTAACCAACTTGTGGAACATTAAAAAAAAGAGTGATTTAGAAAATTTTTTCCTTTTTATATACAAAGAGCCATCAATTTATCCCATATAAAAGAGAAAGAAAAAACAAAAAGGCCAGAAAAAATACAGAAAAGAAAAGAAAAAAAGAATCTGATATTTCCCACAAACTTTCTTGCTTACACCTTCCCGCAATGAGAGCATGTTTAGAATTAAATCCTATAGTAAGGATTGGGAAGATCAATAAGACCATTTATGACTTGTCGTTTGTCCAGGAACCCAGATACGCCCGTGAATCCACGGTGCTCAAGAATCAAACGTCTTCACAATCAACAAATATTCATAAGCGGTTATTGCATCCTTTCCCGATCATTGGTCTCAAGATCTACTACGATGACCAAAAATTGGGAAGATTGGACATCACCAGCCATAATTTATCTTTTTTCTTTTTGAAAGCAACCATTATTGATGAAGATTCACAACATGGAGGACGAAAAGGCATCAATACTGACTCAGTAATTGTGGGCACGAAATTGATCAGCGGGATTTTTTACAATTTACCAAGAGATCAGTTGAAACTTGATGATAGGGCCGAGACAATGATCATCTTCATGTTCACCGACATTGGGTTTTTGAAAAAAGGAAACTACAAAATCTCTTTTGAGTTATACAAGTTTGAACCTTTCAATTACTTGGTACCGAATCAATTGCTGAAGTTGACGAAAATTACAGAATTATACTCCAAGAACATCAAAGTATATGGGCCAAGAGAATACTATAAACCTTCAGTACAAGAAACCATTTCCAATGAAATGAAGCTCGAGCTGGAAAAAATCATCAATAACCGTTTAAGAAGTAAAGTGGTACATTATTTGAAAGCAATCAATATCATCAAAGACTACGATAGAAACACAAACTCTAATAACTCAAGCAAAGATGGGTCTGCCGCCAATAATAAACTGACAAACGCGCGTAAGCCAAAAACTGCCAACAATGGCGGAGCTATTACCACCAGTAATACTATCACTGCTGCTGCTGCTGCTTCTTCTTCCTCTTTTTCCTCTGCTGCTGCTGCTGCACTTCCTAATACTGCTGGAAATAATATCCCCCCTCCAGGAGAAACCAAAAGTTATGCTCCAGGACCTGGTTCAACTTTCACATTTACCGTCAATACCGGCTCTAAAAGAAAAGCTGAACCCGCTAAAAGTAATACTGGCAAAAATCACCATGTTCACATTCAATCTTCCGAAAATGATTTTTATGCCTACGCCATCAATAACAAACCAAAGAGAAAAAAGAAAAGTGCTACTATAGCCGAAGTAGCCTCTTCTACTGGGATAAAGGACACTAATAATAACACAGGTTATATTTCCAACGGGAATTATACCGGAACTACGGACGGACCACCTATCATGACATTCAAATCCATTAAATTGCCTTCATTGAATGAAGCCATTAATCAAGGCATCAAATCCGAATCAGATGATAAACATAACATTCTTCCACCTCTTGAATCTTCTGAACTTCCTACCAATCCAGGAATTAATAATGATGGTAACATTTTTGTTGGATCGTTGCCATATATTGGAGGACCAAAAAGTGAAGATCTAGTACAACCTTTGCCAAACTACAAAATTACGTCAGATCACCCTGCACATATCTTATCCATGTTGGCACTGTGTGGCAACAATAGTGATAAAAACAATGGAAGTACCAATATTTCACGGCCGCCGTCTTCATCTTCATCTCCTTCTTCTCCTATACCATCGATAATAATGGAAAATACCAGAACGCATCAAAATAGGGCTAAACCAGAGAACATTTCTCAAGAAGCTTCTCATAATCATAATACAGTTAGAGCTCCTAATTTATCATGGGTTTCATCTACGGCCTCTTCTTCTTCTCCTTCTTCATTATCGTCAACAACTGCGACCGCTTCGACAACTAATGATATGCGTGGTGCCAGCGGCTCTGATGGTAATAACGGACATTTGCCTAATAATTTTAGAAACATTGCCTACACGTTGATGAGCCTTAGACAGTCTAAACCTACTTCAGCTTCTCCGACACTGATTATTGGGAGTGATAATGGACCATCGTCAAATATCAACATAAAAGAACAAAAGTATGAAGCGGTACCATTTGAGATGTTAACCACTGCAGTAGTATCGAAAGGGAAAACTGCTAAAAAACAAACGCGACGCAAAAAATGATGATAGGTTCAGAAGGACTCCGCTGCTGCGAATATATTATATCTGGAATATGATGCCAAGAAGCAGGAATCGCCAGGCAAGCTGATAAGGCTTTTGGGAAGATTGTCAAAGTCAATTTTTTTTCTTTTCCCCTTATTTTCTTTTTTTTTTTTTTAATTCTCATTCCTTCTTTGTTAGTCTACATGATGTATATTTTCTGTTCAAAAGTTTTTAACCTTCTTCAACAGCGTTATCCCTGGCGGGTTGTGCCAAGAGTTGGTCGTTATTTTGCATTATTATCTGAAGGTTGGAATCCAAAGAACGTGGAACTTATAAAAAGTATCACAGTAAATAGGATTTCTAAAGTTTATCTAACCGCGCTATACTTATGTTTATATATATATATATGCCATACTAAACAAGAAGATAGAAATAACACCAGTTGTAGGTCATCAAAAGGTTGAAGTAGAAAAAATCAAAATAACCAATGGAAAAGAAATCATTAACAATTGAAAAAAAAAAAATCGAAAAAAAAAAGATAAGTGAGACTGTTAACAAATATTTCTTCCCCAGCACCTTCTACTCGCACATGTCATGTCTAAAATACCAAGTACAATGAACTGACGATAGCTGCTCCCGAGGCAACACCAATCCAAAAGATAATGTTCCCCAATACACTTCTTCCCCTCATGAACTTTGTTCTTGATATGGCAATTAGCGGGATCTGGTACATTTGGATCAAGAATAAGTAACATCTAAGCCTTCCAAACAACACATACATCACTACTTCGTGGAACACCGATGACAACAAGAATGTCACCAATGTCGCCGAGGTCTTGCTGATTTGAAATGCACTGATGGAAGAATGATAAACGTGTCTAAGCAAGAATTTGTGCACTGGGACGTTCCAAAGTCTGGCAAATTCATCAAATGTGATACAATTCCACCACGGTCCGTAAAAATCACGGTCAGCAAACTTTGTCAATTCGGCAATTGCGTTTAAGATCTGGTCCCAAATCAACAAGAACACGAGAATATAGAGTAGAAAAAACGGTGGGAGCATCTCAAGTAATAAAAATGGGTATTCTCGAAGTTTTTCCTGGAACGGCAATGATTTCATATGAATCGCCCGCATCGCCAATGGGTACGCCCGTTCTTGAGCAACGACAATCATCACGGCGATGATTCCAAATACCCCCACAATTTTCTCTGCCAAGTACCCAAAGTCAATTTTCGTAGTTCTCGGGTATTCCACTTCATAAACCACGGTAGGGAACATAGTATACCAGAAAAAATTGCTCAAAGTTAAATTATTAGGGAATTGTATCTGAGGGTTGTGTTTTGAGGTATTGTCAATCTCAAATTTACAAAAATCAATACTTTTCTGCAAAATCGCCGTAGTTTTGTCATCAACTTTATCATGTTTCTTCAAATAACTCTCACTAAACGCCAATTCATGTTTGATTCTCCACAAGTACCCATTATAAAACGCAAATGAGTGCATCTTCATCAACAACACCAACGAATGTAATACCAAAAACACTTTTCCAATCCATTGATAATTCGATAATTCCAACCACCACATAACTCCAAAGAAAAACCCCACCTCATATGCACATTGCAAGACAAACCCCGTGGTCTCCCACAACATATACTCTTTTTTACACAACCATTGGATGAAAAAGCTTCCATAAAGCAGCAAATACATAATAAAATCACAAAGACCTATCCATATAACGTCTTGGAAGAATATCTGGATGATTCTTGAAGTGCCAATGGAATGAAGCAACCCTTTTTCCCTGATTGCCTCGGTACAAATGTTGGCCATCATGATGGCAATCGCTAGCCAGAATGGAGTGTAGAAACCCCAAAACGGAGAGTTTCTTGCAATGTCTGAATCCAAAATACTCTTAGTTTCCTGGTATCGTACATCCGAGAACCTAGATCTGAAATCTCCATTGGTGGTGTACCGAAACCTGTTGACTAATTGGGCATGGGAGGTCACCTTATGCAAAGATTGTTTCTCGATGGTCGAATTGACCTTTAATTTTCCTTGCAAGATCTGGGTGTTCGGGGAAGAGTAATCATTAATTTCCACATCAGTAGCGACCACTATCTTTGTGTTTGTTTGTTGCTGCTGAGTAATTACTGTGGACTCTCTTAATGTCTCATCATCATCTGTGATGTCGTACTCCTCTGTGGCGTTAGAAACGAAGCTTTTTCTAGTTTTCCATTTGCTATTCATGCTGTCTATGACCTGGCTGCTGGAAGCAGATGATGAAGAAGACATTTGAAGAAAGACAATGGTAATGGGTTGTTGGAATGTTGTTGTTTTGGTTGCTCATCGTGGGTGAATTATTAGTGCAATTTAACGACAGATTGACAGATTGGTTACGTAAACAATGTACCACCCATGCGGGTGGTTGAAAAACCCTCTAAGAAAATTTTTTTTGGTCTCTGAGTTCTCACTAATAGATGGATATAGTGTATACCATTTAAACTAATAAAATATGTCTAGACCAGAGCAGCTAGCACCACCAGAAGTTTTCTACAACGAGGATGAATCACAGAAATACACTGCATCCACCCGTGTGCAGCATATCCAGGCAAAGATGACGTTCAGAGCCCTCGAGCTCTTGAATTTATCACCTACAGAACACTTTATTCTTGACATTGGGTGTGGATCAGGATTATCAGGTGAGATCTTAACAGAAGAAGGTTACCAATGGGTAGGCATGGATATTTCTCCATCAATGCTTGCGGTTGCATTGAATCGTGAAGTGGAAGGAGACTTATTTTTACTGGACATGGGTACCGGAATTCCTTTTAGACCAGGTACCTTTGACGCTGCCATTTCAATTTCCGCGATCCAGTGGCTTTGTAATGCTGACACTGCCAATAATGATCCAAAGACCAGATTGAAGCGCTTTTTCAACACTTTATACGGTAGTTTGAAACGAGGAGGAAAGTTTGTGGCCCAGTTCTATCCTGCAAACGACGAACAATTGACATCGATCACCTCTGCTGCCAAAGTTGCAGGGTTCGGTGGGGGTGTGGTGATTGATGATCAGGATAGTAAGAAGAACAAAAAGTATTATTTGGTGTTGACTGCCGGGCAAGCTGAAAACCAAGTGAACTTGAATGGGGTAGATATGAAGGGCACTGAGCGTCCAGGGAAAAAGTTGACAAGAAAACAAAAGAAGGACGAAGAAACCAAGAAGACTTATATCATGAGAAAGAAGGAATTGAATAGAAGAAGAGGTAAACATGTGGCAAATGATTCCAAGTTTACTGGTCGTACTAGACGTCCAAAGTTTTAGGTGAGGCCATTTTCACCCTTTTTTCGGATGCTTTCCTTTTTTTTTGACTAATTATTTGTACTATAGTTTTTATTTCTTGATCCATTATTTGATACACTTTGCTTTATATCTACATAGCTGTCTATCGTCTGTAAATGTTAGTAAGCTCTGCCTGTTTAATGAGCATGTTGGGGGTATTTGTGGGCCGGGCAACTGCAACTGACATTTTTTTTTCTTGTTTGAAAATTTTGGGGGAAATTTGTTAGAAGGCGTGAACCGAAAAATGACAAAGGCTGATAAGATCACCAACAACAATATTGATGTTTTCCAGAACCAGTACTAGCGTTCTCAGAACCAGCATATCGTCTTGCCTAGGCAAGCCTTTCTGTGTTGCGCAAAGGGCCAACTACATTGTGCCTTCCAAGAAAAGACGCACCATTCCAGTGTACGAACCACTTGCAACCGCTCATGGGGAAAAGAGTGGCCAACTTATGGACACAGTTCGTGGAGATCTTTACCAGAAATTTGATCCTAGCGGATGGCGTCGTGAGTTGTTGAACCATACCAATAAAGAATGTTTGCGTGCTGGGGATATTGTCAGAGTTATTTTCAAGGATAGCTTGAAGAACCCATCATACGTCGGATACCTCATGGCGATCGATCGTAATGGACCTGATTCGACGATATTGTTGAGAAGTAAAGTGTCGCAAGTTGGTGTTGAAAGAAGATTCAGTATTTACAACCCATTCATTGAAAGAATCGACAGAGTTAGAAAGCCATATAAGTACAACCAAAGAAACAGACATTATTACATCAAGGGTTCCAAGAGAGATGCCAGCGACTATGAATCTTTATCAAAGCGTACTGGCTTATAGAGTAGTCTAACTTACAGCGTGGTCTGGAAACTTACCTGGAAGTGATTTTCAGTTGGTGGTGTATTTATTTGTGTTACAATAAGGTAGTAGGTAGATGGTTAATGAACTTTTTCTTTGTTTGTTATTATTATTTAGTACAGAATGTGTCTTTTTTTTAGGCCTCTGTATATTCTGACATGTATATTCTTTAATCGAATCTGTTAATAAGCATTTTGTATTTTTATGGAATTGTAGAAAGGATTTTTTTTTTTTATTTTTTTTTTTTTTTTTTTTTTTTTTTTTTTTTTTTTTTTTTTTTTTTATTTTTTTTTTTTTATTTAACTTGATTTTCCTTTTTAGTTTTTTGAATCTTTTGTTTTAGGATTGATACGCAAATGGAGTACCAACATGAGTTAGTGCTGGTAATTGAAGAGTATCGATCGTTCTTCAAGACAATTGAATTAGTTGATGGTGATGGTCACTTAGCTAGAGATGACGTAGGGCATCATAGCAAGACATTGTTGAAGATCGAGACTTTTGAAAATGAAGGTTTTCAAGCATCCTTCAGTGTTAGCGGATGGATAGTAAGTATATTATTATTATTATTATTATTATTATTATTATTATTATTATTATTATTATTATTATTATTATTATTATTATTATTATTATTATTATTATTATTATTATTATTATTATTATTATTATTATTATTTATTTTTATCATATTCTTGAGCTCTGTATTTATTATCTAACATAATAAATAGTGTCAATCTGCGGACAACGTCAAAATTTACGAGACTTTTGAGGCGTTAGGAATGAACATATCAGAGGCCTTCAAAGGTAAATGGCATGGTACAGTTTTTTCTAAATTGGAGGGTTTAGCAAATGGTCAGTGACATAAAAGATGTTGTTTTTCTCAGCTAATTTCTATAATTTATAAAACTGCGAAACATTTCTTGATTTCCAGGAATAGGGGGGAAATCTAAAGCGTTAATATAATTTTCTAGTTTGCTTTTTTTTTTTCAATGTCTATACAGTATGGAACTATTGTCATAAAATACTTTTGGGGACTCTCATTCCAAATACGATCTCTTTGGCACTAAATTGAATTTCACAATGGCACAACTTAAAAAAGCACCCAAATGTTATTGGGTCTGGACCCATCGTCATTGGTGCTTAGAAACCAATCCTTATTCCAATTTTACCAAGGAGCTTTTTATCGTGAACAAGCTTCTTAAGCTTGATTCTCGTGTATAAAATTATATGTAAATTCATTCGTCTACCAATAATGGATTCTTTATTAATGTAATTCAGAATATGATCTTGGGCGTAACAAGGAAAACCAAAAACATGACGGTTTAATTTAAATCTGAGAAAGAAGAACATAAAAAAAAAAAAAAATGATAACTATAATAATAACAATAATGAGAATAATAGTGGTAATATTGAACAAAAATTCATAACAAATTAACAGACATCTAGCATGAGATTAGAGGTTTTAAATCTAGTTGTTGGTGGCTTTTTTAGCCTTAACTGCGTACCCCAATTCATCAGCAGAAAGTCTGAGAGATTCACCTCTGGCCAATTCTGCCTTTTCTTCGTCTTCAACAATATCTTTCCAAGTGTCATCAACGTCTTTGCTTTGTTTCTTGATGTTTCTTGATTTTTCCAAGTTTTCTTCATGGACACTCAATCCAATAGACCCCAACAACAACCCCACGGTCAAGAATTGGGCGTAGACTCTGGCTTGGACAAGTTTTTGAGTTTGGGTCATGATTGGATCACGATTGACAAGAGCCCAGGATCCATACAAGGAGGCGGCCCATGCCCCGACAATCACCTTATACTTGTGGTTACTGAGAGATTCGACAAACTTGTCGTTCCAACTAAGGGATTTCCAACGACGGAGTTCTTGGAGATGACGTTCGACAATTCTTGGGTCGTCGTGATACATCTTGCGGTCAAAGTCCTGCGACGACAATTCTGCCATAACAGAGATCCCGAAAGTTGGAGGAGCAATTTTGAGAGCGGTTTTGAAAGCAATAGGGAGTCTGCCGATGGCTGGGAAACGTTGTTTACCCAAGGTAAAGATCAAGGTAGAGACGGCAAGACCTCCAAGGGCACCTTTGAACCCTCCAATGAAAAGGGCTTCATTGTGGGCGCTGATTTCTTCTTCATTGAGGAGCTTCATGGTTGTAGCAGGTGTAGCTGGTTGTGTTTATATGAATGTATAATTTAGAAATACGTAACCTGATATAGAAACCAGAAAAAAAAATCAGAGAATAATCTTTATATATATTATTATATCATCAAAAAAAAAAAAGAAACAGCCCAGTTGCGGTAGTTTTTCCCACTACGGAAAAAAAATCATGTCACTCATGGTGGGACCTAATGTCCGAGATTGTCCGTGGCGGCCGATTGGTACCGAGTGGATGGCTCACCTGCGTCGACATCAACATGATACGGATCATACCTCTCATGGTCTATGCCCCCGTATGGAAGGTAGGCAATCCTGTTGGGAGTGATCGGCCTCATCATCAATGACAATCGAGGAACTGCCCCCATGGTTGCTGCCTCCTTCAATCGTTGCTTCACGTCTTCTGGCGAGATCCCCGACTCCAACAAAAGCCCTACCAATCCCGTCACCGAGGGGGTCGACATCGAGGTTCCTGACAACATCAACGGCCCCATTCCTTTTGCATTCACACTAATCACCCTGACTCCACTGGCCAACACATTCACACATCGGCCCCAATTAGAGAATCCCGCCAATTTGTCATCTTTGTCGTCAATCGCTCCAACAGTTATCGCGTACTTGGCACTGGCTGGGCTGGTGGCACACGCATCAATGTTAGAATTGCCCGCTGCCACCACCAACACTAGCCCCGATTTGAACGCCACTTCAACCGCTCGATTGAGCACACTATTTCTAAAAGCCCCAATAGATAAGTTAATGATCGCTTTCCTCAGACTATTTGTCTCTTTATAATGGTTTACCGCAAACTCAATCCCCGAAATGATCGAGCTCAAACTCCCCGTCCCTGTCCGATCAAGGGCCTTGACATCAATGAGATTGATTTTTTTGGCAACCCCGTAACTCTTCGATCCAATAATCCCTGAAACATGTGTTCCGTGTCCATTATTGTCTCCTGGCCCTTCTCCGGTAAAATCTTTACCAAACAGGCATCGGCCTTCAAACTCTATGTTGTCGCATTGAATACCAGTGTCAATGACATATACATCGACATTTGCTCCTTGATATTCCCTAGGATAATGATATTGATAACTATCAGTATCACCATCAAGGGCCTCCCTAGAAGAGAGTCTTGCTAAGTGTCTGGGGGCATCATGCTGGCTTTCATACCGCGAACTGATCCCGACCAGTGCGCGATCACCAAGCCTAGCATCTTTATTACATGTCTTGACCACGATATCCGGAGTAATTTCTTCGACCAACGGGTTTTTGCGTAATCGGGCCAACACATCGGAATCAAACGACCCAGAAAACCCCTCAAAAGATCCGAAAGAAAATGCCTTCTCGACAAAAGGACGTAGGTGATGGATAGCCTTGACAGTATCGTCGCTTTGCAACAACGCTTCAACCGTAGATGGTGCCTTAAGTTGGATAAAGTACTGGGTACACGTCACCAAAGGGATCATCCAGATCCTTAATATCCTATTTGGAAGAACCATTGGAGTATGTTTTTTTTTTTTATTTTCTTTATTCACTCATGCTTTTTCCAGAATAATAATTATTTTGAAATCAATATGATGTTTTGATGGTTGATGTTGAGCCATTCACCGCTTTTGTGACACTAATGCGGAGTATACGGCAGTGCATGGGTTGGGAAAACCATATCCAATTATCTGGTTATTTTAATTGATAATATATCGACATTCATTAATTCACTTATTATTATTAATCAGTGTACAATATACTATAATTTTTAATATGTAATATTCTCTACCCCCAGACACCGGTGATCTTTAGAAGGAATTCGAACTCCTTCCTCTTTTGTTACGAAGCCCTGGGAACGTACGTGGGGCGGAGACTGCGCTTTTGATGAGCGATAAGGAAGTTTCCATCTACCACCAATGACACTCCTTACTTTCCCAAAGACTAATACTATTCAGTTATTTATATCATCACTTTAAAAAAATAATTCATACAAATAACGAATAACGAATTAACATAATGGATCGCCTCAGTCAAGTCGCTTCTCATACCACCTCTACCATTCCTGGTCCTGCCAACCCGCTTGATCCCTTATCTCCTTTAGAAATCCAATTGGTTTCTGGTTTGCTCAGGGATAAGTACTCCAAAGAGGGCACAGAGATTAATTTCAATACAATCACATTGAAAGAACCTTCCAAATCTGAATACCTCTTGTGGAAGGAATCCAGTACCGTTCCGCCTCGTGTGGCCTATTTTATTATTTTGATCAAAGGTTTCAATGGCCTTCATGAAGGGTTGGTGGATATTAGAGGGAAATCGATTGTCAAAATCACCAAGTCTAACAACGTTCAACCTATGTTGACCATTGAAGACTTGTCTAGTGCCGAAGAAATCATCAGAAATGACCCAGAAGTCATTAGACAATGTGGGATCTCTGGGGTCCCTGCCAATGAAATGGATCGTATTTATTGTGATCCTTGGGCCATTGGCTACGATGAACGTTGGGGATCATCCAGAAGATTACAACAAGCCATGGTTTATTACAGATCTAATGAGAACGACTCGCAATATTCCCATCCCTTGGATTTTTGCCCAATCATTGACCCAGCGTTAAAGAAGGTCATCTTCATTGACATTCCTAAAATCCGCAAACCGTTGTCAAAACACAAACACTCAAATTTCCATTCTGATGGTGTCAAAGAAAAATACGGAGGTTATCGCACTGATGGTAAACCAATTAATGTGACCCAACCTGAAGGCGTGTCTTTCAAGATGGAGAACAATACAATTGAATGGTCTAACTTCAAATTTCATGTTGGATTCAACTATCGTGAAGGTATTGTGCTTTCTGATATCACTTACAATGATCATGGCAATGTCAGACCGATCTTTCACAGAATGTCACTTTGTGAAATGATTGTTCCTTACGGTTGTCCAGATTATCCCCATCACCGTAAACATGCTTTGGATATCGGTGAATATGGTGCAGGCTTCATGACCAACTCTTTGGCATTGGGCTGTGATTGTAAGGGGGTGATTCATTACCTAGACGCTCACATGGTCAACAAAGATGGTTCTCCAATCACTGTCAAGAATGCGGTTTGCATCCACGAAGAAGATGATGGAATCTTGTACAAACATTCTGATTTCAGAGATGATTACCGTACTTCTACCGTGGCAAGAGCCTCTAAATTGATTGTTTCTCAAATTTTTACCGCCGCCAACTATGAATATTGCATTTATTACAATTTCATGCAGGATGGATCCATCAAATTAGAAGTCAAGTTGACAGGTATTTTGAATACCTATGTTTGTTCCGATGAAGGTTCTGAGGTTGGCCCATGGGGTACCATTGTTTATCCAAACACCAATGCCCATAATCATCAACATTTGTTCAGTTTACGTATTCATCCTAGAATTGATGGTGATGGCAACTCTGCTGCTGCTGTGGATGCTGCCCGCTCTCCTTATCCAACTGGTCATCAAGAAAACATGTATGGTAATGGTTTTTATGCTAAAAAAACCGTCTTTAAAACCATCAAAGACTCCAAGACTAATTACGAGTCGTCTACTGGCAGATCTTGGGATTTATTCAACCCAAAGAAACTTCATCCGTATTCTAAAAAACCAGCTTCTTACAAGTTGGTTTCTACATTCTGCCCTCCTTTGCTTGCCCAACCGGGCTCTTTGCCTTATAAACGTGCTAGTTGGGCTAATGATACCGTCACTGTGATTCCATATCAAGATATCAAGGCAATCGATGCGGCAGATCATGGATACGATCGTACAATTTATCCATCGGGAAATCATGTTTGTCAATGGTCTGGTGATGGTATGGTTGGTATGAGAAAATGGGTGGCTGACGGTTCTGCGGAAATTGAAGACACTGACATTGTTATGGTAAGTTTTTTTCATTTATCGAGATTTTTGATTAATATTTTGTTTACAATGCGTTTGAACTAGTATTTTTTTTTTTTTTACTTAACAATTAGTCCATTATGGGAAAGCTACTAACACTTCATATAGTTCCATACATTTGGTATCACTCACTTCCCAGCTCCAGAAGATTTCTGTGTTATGCCAGCTGAAAAGATCGAAGTCTTGTTGCGTCCAAGAAACTTCTTTTTAGAAAACCCTGGTTTGGACGTTGTTCCTAGTCACACCATGACCACTTCTGAAGCCAGAAAGATTATCACTGCTGGAGTTGAACACATCACTTCAACCACAGATAAGACCTCAAAATTGGCATTTAGTGGTTCATCCTGTGGCTGTAATAAGTAAGCCTTGATTGATCCCAAAACCTCTTGATAACTCTTTGAGTCGGCTCCTTAACTAGTCGTTTACAATTCCCATTTACTTAAAAATTCTGGAATTTTTTTTTTTTTCAAGTATTTTTGGAATATAATTCTTCAGAGTTTATTTAACATTATCTTTTTGGTGTAAGGATGTGCTTGTGATATCGGATGTTTTGCCTCATCGCCAAATTTTCTTAAGTGCAAGCACAAACTAGCAAATATTCAGCCACTAAATGTAGACGTCCAGTAGGTTTTCTCTAGATAAATGGGTTCTGTTTTTCTTCCACATTTACATACAGGTTGGTAAGTATATTGCTACTTCCCTTCTTCTTTCTTTTCGGTGATATTTGCTTTTGTTGATTGTTCATCACTAACTCGAATCCTCCTTTTAGAGCACTGTCAATACTAACCTATTACTTCTCAGGCATGTTGACCAGGCAATTTTATCAGAAGATGAGCGTCTTGTGATCATTAGGTTTGGTCGGGACTCCGACAAGGATTGTCGATTGATGGATGAGCTTCTCTACAAGATTGCAGAAAAAATCAAGAACTTTGCAGTGGTGTATCTTTGTAATATCGACGAGGTTCCTGATTTCAACCAGATGTACGAGCTTTATGATCCTATGACGATAATGTTCTTCTTTAGAAACAAGCACATGATGTGTGATTTCGGCACGGGAAATAACAATAAATTGAATTTTGTCTTGGACGATACCCAAGAACTAATCGATATCATTGAGGTGATATACAGGGGGGCAAGAAAGGGGAAAGGTTTGGTGGTAAGCCCTAAGGATTATTCCAGTAAAGGAACTAGATATGGTTGAACAAAGATCTTTACAAGAAATGGTGTCATCAACATAGAATCACACAATATAGGCGTGTATAATGTTCCGATTATTGTTTTCTTCTGTTCCAGCCAGATTCTTCTAGTGGTTTGTTTGATTATTTTATTTATTAATACACGTTTATTCCAGAAGGATAATTATAACAATATTATATGGAAGGTAAAGATGAATGAAAAACAGGGTGTAGCAAAATTTAAAAAAGTATCAGCAAACTTTAGAAAAAATGTATGAAAGAAGAGATTTGACAATTCAATTCCTTTACTCTTCTTGTTGGCCTTCAAAAGCCTTCAAGTCCTTGGTACCTTCAGCCCAAGAAGCGCCGTTGTAGGTGATTTCCTTGATGGCAGTGATGATCTCGGCAATGGAACCTCTAACTTGTTTAGTGGAGTCTCTTTCTCTCAAAGTGACGGAACCATCCTTGACGGAGTCGAAATCAATAGTGACACCGAATGGGGTACCCAATTCATCATTTCTGGCGTATCTCTTACCAATGGTGGCGCTTGAGTCGTCAACCTTGAAAGGAATTTGGTTCTTACGGAGTAACTTGGAGATATCCTTCACGAGAGGAGTAAAGGCGTCGTTACTGGAGAGTGGGACAAGAAGAACCTTAGTTGGGGCCACGAGCGGGGAGAATGACAACACGGATTTGGCAAGGTCGTCTTCACGAACGTAGAAAGAGTGTTCAAAAATAGAGTAAAGAATACGTCCAAGACCAAAAGATGGTTCAATGACCGATGGAATGTATTCTCTGATGTGTTCTTTTCTGGTGATTTCGCCAACACTGACAAATGAGGAGTCCAATTCAATTTCTTCTTCAATACCCTCAACATTGAACTTGATAGCCCCGGTGGCGGCCAAATCTTCTGAGAACTTCTTTAGGGCTTCTTGGTCTTGGGCCAACAACCATTTTTCCACCAACCCAGCATTCTTTCTGAATTTAGGTCCAAACTTCTTCTTTTGGATTTCGACTTCGTACTTGGTAACTTCAATTGGTTCTGGCAATTTTTCTCTCACCACAAGCTTTTCGTTGGTCTTTTTAGAATGGACAGTCAAATCGTAAGCAGATCTGTCAGCACAACCGACACATTCGATCCAGCCATAGGAGGTTTGCAATTCACCATCCCAACAGTCTTGGGCGTAGTGAGCCATTTCGTTAGACATGTGTTGTCTGAATCTGATCTTTTCTGGGTTTACACCAATCTTGAGCAAAAATAAGTAGATTCTTCCAATAAAGTAACCTAAAGTTTCATTATCGACAATCTTTTGGGCCACTGCGTTACCAAGGGTTTCGACAATTGGGGTAGTGGACCCAGCTTGTTGGACTTCTCTTGGCAAGAATCTCAACTTCAAGTCCTTGACTTCGTCAAACTTTTCATGGGTCTTGTCGAGTGGATCAACAAAGTGTTCGATTTCGGCCATCAAGAATTCACGGACACGCAATAACCCAGATCTTGGAGAGATTTCGTTTCTGAAAGACTTGCCAATGGCAGCAGAGGCAAATGGCACCTTGTTGTTGTTACAATCGTACAATTTGTTGAAGTTCAAGAATTGACCTTGGGCAGTTTCTGGTCTCAAGAACCCTTTGAGGGCACCAGATGGACCAATAGCAGTTTCAAACATCAAGTTGAAAGCCTTTGGTGGGTTTAAAGTTTCGCCAGTCACTGGGTTACCAATGTTGTACTTGACCATGAGTTCGGCCAATTGTTCCCCATTGTAACCATCAATCTTGGCTAAAATGGTTTCATATTCTTGAACTACTTCATCGTCCAATTTGACAGCCTTGATTTCCTTCACCTTCTTTTTCTTTTTTTTACCTTCGGCTTCTTCAGCAGCAGCGGCGTTGGCGTCCTTCAACAACCCTCTGGCTTCTTTGTCACCTTTCAATCTGGCTTCAAGGACTTCTTCGACCAAGTGATCGGCTCTGAAAATTTCACCAGTTTTTGGATCGGTGCACATGTAATCACTGAACTTGTCAACATGACCAGAAGTCTTGAGAACCTCGTATGGAGTCAACATTGTGGTGTCAACTTCCAACATGTCTTCTTCCAAAATGAAATGCTTTCTCCAAACATCGACAATGTTGGCTTGCAAAGCACAACCTGGTGGACCATAGTCATAGAGACCAGAGACCCCACCATAAAGTTCAAAAGATGGGGCAAAAAAGAATCTTCTCTTGAGAACAGATTCCAATTGTTCTCTGCTGAATGGAACGGTAGAGTGAGTAGACATTATAATAGGTGAGTTAGGATTCTTTGGTTTGAATGGTTGGGTTCTACCTAAATTAATGAATGAACTTGAAATCAATCGCTTACGGTTGCACAGTTGGAGTTTATTGAAAGAAAGCAAACGGTAGTTTCTTTCAACAAGAGAGATGTGACGAGTTAGGGAAGATATCTTGGAAACAAAGGTAACACTGTATTGAGAAGACTGTTGTTGTGAGTCCTCTTGAACAAATGGTGATGGATTTTGAAATCTCATGTAAAACAGGGAAGGTTGACCAAAAAAATTTCGACAGTGGCACAGGGTGTAACCCGTATGAGTCACTAAACTCGCCGGCCGGGTGCCTGGTCTCTTCTTGCTTATCATTATTTATATATAATCAAAAACCTACATTGGTCTCATAGGGAATCAAAAGACTTCATAAAAGATATTATAAATAGGTTTTATTAACTAGAAGATCTCTAAAGATTCTTTTCACAAAAATAATTCAAAAACATATAGGGAAAGGAAAAATTAGTAATACACCTAGCTAGAGGTCATAACTTGCCAGACTCTGATAACGTTATCAGTGTAACCAGCAAACAAGTTTTGACCATCAGCACTCCAAGCCAAAGAAATACATTCTGGTTCCTTTTCACCAGTGGTGAATTCTGGCTTCAATTCATCCATCAACTTTCTTTCTTCCAAGTTGTAGATCTTGATAGAAGAGGTGGTGGCAGCACACAACCAGTATCTGTTTGGAGAGAAAGCCAAGGCGTAGATTTCATCACCAGAAGCCAAGGTGTACAAACATCTTGACAAACTCAAGTCCCATAAGATTATTGAGCCATCCTTACCACCAGAGGCACACAAAGAACCGTCTGGAGAAACAGTCAAGGCAGAAACGTAACCGGAGTGACCGATGAAGTCAGCCTTAAGAGAACAGTCGTTCAAGTCCCAAGACTAATTCAAATTTGTTAGTAAGATATTTCCAAAAAAAAAGAAACTCAAAAGTTGATATTCTCTTTCCACTTCAAAAATTAGAAAAATATTCAAATTAATCAGAGATCTTGGTGATATGTTATGTCTCATTCGGCTGTAACCGTCTGAAGTAGCAAATATTATTAACATCATCTAAAATGAATATTTCTCCACAAGTGTTTGAATCACAAAAATAAACCTGTCTTTCAACACTTGATCATTTTTGAAAGTAATTGAATCTCTACTAAAAGAAAGTAAATTAACATACCTTGACCTTCTTATCCCAACCAGCAGAGATAACAGTTGGAACATCATCATCTGGGGAGAATCTAACGGCAGAGACCCAGTCACCGTGACCAGTCAAGGTTTCTCTACATTCACCAATGGTGTTCCAGAGCTTGACAGTCTTATCTCTAGAACAGGAAACAATTTGTCTCAAGTTCTTAGCGATAGAACAGGACAAAACATCGTTGGTGTGACCAACGAAAGTCTTGGCAGTTTCACCGGTTTCAAGATTCCACAATCTAAGGGTCTTATCCCAAGAAGCAGACAAAGCGAACAAACCGTCAGCAGAGATGGTAACATCTTGAACAATGTGAGAGTGACCCTTGAAAGACTTCTTTGGGACACCGTAGTTGGAGTCGTCTCTGGTCAATTGCCAGACAATCAAGGACTTATCTCTGGAACCGGACAACAACAAGTCTGGCTTAGCTGGGGTAGTGGCTAAGGAAGTAACCCAACCGTTGTGACCTAATAGAAGTTAGTAAGGAACAATACGAAAAAAAAATCAAATTGAAAGTTCATCCCAAAATTTAATTCAGGGTCGAAAGAGAAACACGAACAGCCTGATTTGCTGATATTGATTGCAGTCTTCTTTTGATAAGCTTATAAATCCCACATTATTTACCGTATTGTTGTTTTTGGCAATTATTATGCTAGTTCTCGTTGTTCGCTGGCATGTTCATAAATAGTTGAATTAATTCAAAAAAGATAGTCACAGGTATAATCAAAGAGATGAGGAATACTGAATATTGAATATTGGAATACTATTGACAATGCCTTCTCTCGAAACTTGTTGAACTCATCATTGAGTTTCATGATCTCTTTAAACCCATTCACATAATGAAATTATAACTTGAAAATTTGATTTGTCCATGGTATCGAATACACACCTTCTAAGGTACCTCTCAAAACAAGAACTTCTTTGGTGTCCATTTTTTTCAGTGATTGATTTCAATGAATAATTCTTGATATGTTTGACTCTACAACTTGTAATAGGAGTACCAATTTTTCACTATATTTTTTTCAAAACGCAATGCATCCTCACACCAGCAGGATCAAAAAAGAAACCCATGAGAGAATTCTTCACGTGCCATTAACCAACGCTGTCATACATAAATAGCCCTTTTGTATTGTATCACATGTGACACAAATTGCGCCCTATAATACAAAAAAAAAGATCCCAGCCAAAGCAATAAGATGGGGTTCAGTAATTTTGACATTGAAAAAAACTTTAAGTCAATTAACCACAGTGTGCATGCACCTATCATTTCTTCACAAAATTGGAAGGGCCTTTAATAGCTTCCAACGACCTTTTGAATATATAAACGACTTGCGTCATATTCTTACAATTCTTAAGATATTATCAAGTAGATCACAATTATATTTTCAGTGAACATACAAAATCTTTAAATAGCAAGAATTAAAAAATAAGTTTGGCAAAAATGAAAATACCAGAAGGTGGGAGAAGAAGAAGAAATGTTTAAAATTTGGGTAATAAAAATAAAAAGATAGAAAATTCAACAGGGAATTAAAAAGAATCATGCGAAAATGAAAGCGAGAGTCAAACTCAAAAGTCCGACGAAAGAAGAGCCAACATTCAATTTGAAAGCAGCACCTTCGTAAGCAGACACAGAGGCTGAGCTAGAGTTCATACCAGAACTGGCAGAAGCCTGAGCAAGGGTAGTAGAATCGGAACTTGAAGCACCAGTAGAACCAGTGGCAGAAGAACCAGAACCAGAACCAGAACCAGTGACAGAAGGACCTGAACCAGATGGAGTAGCAGTGGCAGTTGTCTTAGCGCTGGTAACAACAGAACAACCATGTTCACCACAGTAAGTAATGGTTTCGATTTCAGTAGTTAAGCCACTGACAATAGCAACAGAAGTGCTCATTGGAGAACCAGTAGCAGAAGAACCAGAACCAGAAGAACCAGAACCAGAACCAGAACCAGAAGAACCAGAACCAGAACCAGTGGCAGAAGAACCAGAACCAGAACCAGTGGCAGAAGAACCAGAACCGGAACCAGAACCAGTGGCAGAAGAACCGGAACCAGAACCAGTGGCAGAAGAACCAGAACCAGAACCAGTGGCAGAAGAACCAGAACCAGAAGAACCAGAACCAGAACCAGTGGCAGAAGAACCAGAACCGGAACCAGAACCAGTGGCAGAAGAACCAGAACCAGAACCAGTGGCGGTGTTAGTAGCGGAAGTGGAGTCAGAAGAGGTGCTCAAAGAAGAGCCGGAGGTAGAGGAGCCGGTGGCAGAAGTGGAATTGGTGTAACCGCCAGTAGCAGAGGAGCTCAAGGAAGAACCGGTAGAGGTTGAAGTAGTAGCAGAGGTATTGGAAGTAGAGTCGGTAGATGATGAGCTAGTAGCAGATGTGTTAGAAGTAGTGTCGGTAGAGGATGAGCTAGTAGCAGATGTGTTAGAAGTTGTGTCGGTAGAGGATGAGCTAGTAGCAGAGGTGTTAGAAGTAGTGTCGGTAGAGGATGAGCTAGTAGCAGAGGTGTTAGAAGTAGTGTCGGTAGAGGATGAGCTAGTAGCAGAGGTGTTAGAAGTAGTGTCGGTAGAGGATGAGCTAGTAGCAGAGGTATTAGAAGTAGAGTTGGTGGTGGTGCTAACGGTGGAGGAGGTACTAGAAGAAGAGCCAGTAGAAGTTGAAGTGGTAGTAGCAGTTGGGATAGAGGTAGAAATAAGACTTGAGCTCAAAGTACTTTGGACCTTTTCACAAGTAGCACCAACGAGAATTTCATCGAGGTCACAAAGGATAGTATCGACAAGACCAGTGACAACACTGACGACATTACCAGCACCATCGACAACATCGCTGACGACACCAACGACACCAGTAACGACACCGACAAGACCACCTTGAGTGGTAGTGGTTGGAAGGACACCAGTGGTAGTACCGGCACTAATGGTAGAGGAAACCTTAACACAAGAACCATCAAAAAGAATTTCTTCAACATCACAAAGGATGGTGTCAACGAGACCAGTGACAACACTGACGACATTACCAGCACCATCGACAACATCGCTGACGACACCAACGACACCAGTAACGACACCGACAAGACCATCAGCGGAAGTAGTGGTTGGAAGGGCACCGGTGGTAGTACCGACACTAATGGTAGAAGAAACCTTAACACAAGAACCATCAACAAGAATTTCTTCAACATCACAGAGGACAGTATCAACGAGACCAGTGACAACACTGACAGCAGTACCGGCACCATCAACAACATCACTAACAAGGCCAACGGCACCGGTAACAACGCCAGCAAGACCACCTTGAGTAGTAGTGGTTGGAAGGACACCAGTGGTAGTACCGGCACTAATGGTTGAGGAAACCTTAACACAAGAACCATCAACAAGAATTTCTTCAACATCACAGAGGACAGTATCAACGAGACCAGTGACAACACTGACAGCAGTACCGGCACCATCAACAACATCACTAACAAGGCCAACGGCACCGGTAACAACGCCAGCAACGCCATCAGCAGCAGTGGTGGTAGTAGTGGCAGCGGTGGTGGTGGTAGTAACATCAGTACTCAAAGTAGTGGCAACAGAGACACAAGCACCATCAACAAGAATTTGTTCAACATCACAAAGGACAGTGTCAACAAGACCAGTGACAACACTAACAGCAGTACCGGCACCATCAACAACATCACTGACAACACCAACAACACCAGTAACAACACCAAGAACACCATCAGCTCTCTTTTGTTGATGGTAATCTCTTGGGATGATGTCACCAATTGAAGTAGCAGATGGCAATGAGCATTCACCTTCTTCAAGAATATTTTCAACGTCACAGAGGACAGTATCAACGAGACCAGTGACAACACTGACAGCAGTACCAGCACCATCAACAACATCGCTGACGAGACCAACGGCACCAGTGACAACATCTTCCAAATCTCTCTTTTCTTGATGGTAATCTCTTGGAATGATATTACCAATTGAAGTAGCAGATGGCATTGAGCATTCACCTTCTTCAAGAATATTTTCAACGTCACAGAGAACAGTATCAACGAGGCCGGTGACAACACTGACGGCAGTACCGGCACCATCAACAACATCGCTGACAAGACCAACGGCACCAGTGACAACATCTTCCAAATCTCTCTTTTGCTCGTTGAGATCCCTTGGAACAATGTTACCCAATAAATCATTTTGGGCAGCATTTTGGTATTCCCTTCTGTTCAAGGACAAGGCATTACTTGGTAAAATTAAGGCAGACAAGAAAGCTGCTTTGAGAACAACGCTATTGACATACATTTTGAACGAGTGGTAATGTTAATGATAAATGTTTGTTGATGTCTTAGAAACAAAATAGCATCTCTCTCTGGACATGGGGAACTGATGTACTTATATATTTTCTGAAATTTATCTATTGACTATTTTTATTTTGGGAACATGTTTTTCAAAGGCATATTTCCATAAAAGTTCTGCTTCTGAATAATTAGGATGTATAAAATAATGCATACTCCTGTGCACGAAGGTTTGCATGGGTTGAAGGTATCTTTTTTTCTAGGATTACATTTGTATAGAGCCAATTAATCAACAAACGGTAGAATTTTATTTTTACTTTTTCTCCAGCAATAGTGATTAACTGCACCTGTAACTCTTTTTCCTTAGCCATACTTTCCGAGGTACTCTGCGTCTCTTGAATCTGATATCGAACCCCTCGGATTCTGTTTGAATTTAGTGGCTGACCAACCCCAGAAATCAGAGTCTATTTGCTTTTTAAAACTTGGGCCAGGTCCATCTAGTGTTGTTTTTCGCAATATTTCCTTTCATGAAATCACTTCTATGGCGACAAGTGCAAATGTATCTCTACCTTTTGTTGTTAGATTAAACAACAAATTGCGAGCTCCTGTTCATGCATGTTAAATTACACCAGGGATTTTTCATGTACAGTTTTGTATGTGTATGCTGAATCTCTTTTTCGGTTTATTGATTCTGTGAAAAAAAAGAAAAAAAAAAAGAAAGAGTAGTAAGGCATTGTTTCTGTTATTCCTACTCTGAAGTAAAATTTACTACCTTAGCGGTCAATTGTACTCCATTTAGTAACTACTCCTTTATTGAGAGTGAGGGTGCCTGTCACAAGAAACCGTAGCATTTTCGGTACGCGGTAGAGCCCCGAAAACCAACCTCGCACAAACAAGTTAATTATATTATATAGGATTTAAGTTGGTTTAAATGTTTGATAAACCGAAATTGTTGGCTTCCAATACTTATCCTGTCCAAAAACTGCTTTCATAGGGAAAGGTGCTGGTTTTTGGCTTCGCAGGCTGAACACAGGAGTGAATTCTGCAAAATGCAGCAAAACAGGCCCATCGAGATCCCTCCCTTATTGGAGTTGAAAAAATAATCTAACTCACAAACAGGCATTGTAGTGGGAAGATTTGGTGAGATAGTTGTCTAGCTTATCCGATAGAAATCAAAAATGTCTCTCACTAATTACACTGTTCTACTTTTGGTGAGGTTACTGCCGAAGAGTAATAAGAGTTCAGGTATATCCTATATCTAAGGCTACCCTCGAAAAATATAATTGATCCAACTTTCGTCGCCTCGTGGATACTTGGACATTAAGTTCGATTTGCTCATCACACAACAAATTATTAGATCCTATGTTCGTGCATGCTACAGGAAAAAACAAGAGGAAAAGTGCACTTCTGCAGGGATTTTTTTATATACAAATGTCGGATTCATGTCCGTCCATAAAGTCTATTTACTATCCTTCTACAGCCGAGAAGTCCAAGATAATTAAATTAACACTGATTCATAGCAATAATACAGATGGATATGTTTGTACTATTCAGAAGAAGTAATAAAATAAGATAAAAAATGTCAATCAATGTACCCTAATTAACACCATACATATGGCAATAATATTTTCTAAATATAGCTTATAATGGGTAAATAAACTGTACCAGGTATTCCGAGGCAAGGCTTTTAGTAATTTGAATACAAGCTACTGTTGCAAATCTCAGTATTATCAGGTTCTCATAAGTGGTACAATCAAGATCTGATATATTGACATCAATAGTTGAAGCTTCATGTACGAATAATTTTTGTAGGATTGATCTATTATCCCATATTTTTTCCCAAAGAATAGAGTCGTGCTCTTTGTCTTAGTATCTTCTGGCTCCTATGCTGTCTCACTTTTCTTTCTCTCTATTCCCCTTACTTAGACACTAATGAGGGGGCTGTACTCATAATTTGTTGGGGGGCCTATTTAATCTTCTTGTTTCCAAATTGCTATTTTAAAACCCAAGACTTCCTATTTGGCACCGTACCTGTTCTCTATCTGGCACTATAGTAAAGTTTTATTGGGATGAAAGACTGGAGTATGTGTATAATAATTTGAGGCGATGTATATTAATTGGCCTATTGATGCGATGTGTAATTTGAAAGCAACGCATGGGTGGCTCTGTGCGTGTGTACCATTTTCCAAAAGAGGATAAAATGAGTTTTTTATCAGAAAGAGTTGTCAACCGCGTGGTGCATTACGTCCAATATCTGACGGCAAATGCAGCCTTTTTCTATTGTTGGTACCGAGACATCCTGGCCTGTCATAAATCAGTGGTCCCCCTTCTAGTACGTAATAGCACTACTACATACCTGTTTATTCTTCCCTGTAGCACCAGATGTGTGCGCTCAGATTCTGTTTGTGTAACCATGCATGTATATACCGTAGGCGTCGCCTCCAAAATTGTATGGAGCCCTTTAATTATTAGACAGTTTGGGCAATAGCCCTAAGCAAGTATTTACCAAAAAAAGGAAAAAACTTCTTGATAGTTCGAAAATTGAGCATGTTATTCCAAAGTAACCTTGAACTCTTTTTTTTATTTTTTACTTTAGGGAAGAACAAAAAAGTGGATGTTTTATTCAGATTCAAGGTCCTCTGTTAAAAGAGTATTGTTCAAATATTCATTAGATGTTCCAGAAGGTGTAGATCATTCAGTGCGGCATAGTAGAGATTATCAGATCCTAACATCTTATTGTTTACATTTGAGGTTTAAGCTGCTTCCATACAATAGTAAGATTTTTTTTTTCGTTTTTTTTCCTAAAGTGAATAAAGTACTCGCTTCACTTGAAAAAAAAAAAAAAAAAAAAAAAATAAAATAATTTTGCTTGTTTCTCTTAAGTAGGAAAGCCTTATTGATCGATTAGGATATTGTAGTCTACTTTTAGATAATGTTGTGTAAATACTTTATTTTTTACTGTTTCAGATGAAATTAGCTACAGTATGTTTATCGTTGTAATTAATCTCTATAAGGAAAAGATAAAATAAACCACAATAAAAAATTCCCTGTACAAAGATTTTCCCATTTGTTCTTCTTCCCCGCTTGCGCCGTCATACGCTTGAGAAATCTAATAGCAGGGGTTGTAAATCAGAGATAACCAGTGTTCGGCGCCGCCTAAAAGCCGTCTTTAGGGTTATGAAATGAAATAATGTTATTAAGATAGGATGTTCGATTGTTATCCAATAGATTTGTAGAATATTGGACCCCCTTTTAAGTATGAATCCAGTTACTGCATCATGAAGTGTTTCAAAGCATCGTCGATTTCGTCGCACTCAGACTGGCGAGTATTCGTTGGAATCTAGCTCGGCTATTTTCTATCACTTTGATAAAGACTGCATACATTTGATGAGACGATAATAACACATTCGTCTTGAGGTATCTAGCTAACCCTTCTACGCAATTTTCGCAACCAGGAGCTCCCTACATTAGTATCAGTTCAAACTTTTCAGATAAAACTGATAGAAAATGATATTTGTAAGTAGCTCATCTCTCTTGAGTAATATAAATTTAAAAGTCGGCATGGAAATCAGCAAGATGAGATAGATATAAATGACAGTATCTCAACTAATAATTGTGAGAATATTAAAACAATTTTGTTTGTGGTCTGTAAATATTCGATTTTTAATTTTTGAACTAGATAACAGGCCCTCGAAATAGGAAATGCTCGTTACGTACCAATAAACTATGTTCTTTTGTGGTCATCCATTATTCCGGTAATTTTTGGCCTTAACCTTTTGCAGATAGTATATAGTGATTATATTCTCCATAAAGAATAGTATATGATTAATATATGATTAATATATGATTAATATATAATAGGAATAGAAGGCTACAGTTTTTGTTATTATCAACTTAGGCGAACTATAACATCATTTTCGTGATCCCCTTGAAATCTCTAAGAGTTTTCAAGAATCTTTCTTCAAGGAAAAGTTTACCTTACACATAGATTAGGGAATCTTGGACATTAAAACCCATTACCAGTCAATACTTATAGAATATCAGACAAAAATTTATTTTAGTTCATAGTATTGGCTTTTCTTTTTCTTGCTTCTTCTTTTTTCTTTAAAAAATTTTTTGTGTGGATTCGAAATCGTCTCCCAGATCAGAGTCTGAATTGTTGATTATATAAATATAAATATTTCACATTACGCGTCGCATTTTTATATTTTCGTGTTAATTTTCAGCTTTAGATACACTAACAAGATCCGTCTTCATAAAATATTGTAATTCAAAATTTTTTCTTTACCCAGACTTAGCCTTATTGTGAGCCAATAAATTTTCATCTTCGCAACACTCTGATTTATTACGCGTCGCGTTTTTGCATTATGACCAACTTGGAGTTTTTTCTTCAAGGTTCATGGCGATGCCTGTACTCAACTACTATTTTATTTGATGCTGGAATGATTATTAAAGCTTCATCACAGAAAGTAGTTTTATATCCTCTATGAGATAGAGCTCTCGATGATTTATGATTTGGACATGAGCTTCTTGAAGCTCGTATTAATAGTCAAGAATGTCCAAAACAAAAAGTAGACTTGAGTTCTAAGAAAAAAAAAATGAAAACATTGATTGTCAGCTTGAAGAAGCACTATATCGTGAAAATAAAATAAAATAGATATTAAAATTGCAAAGCATCCAATTCACTCTTTTCAAAAAAAAGGTCTATTTCCTCAGCATGCACAGCTCTCTATTCATAATTATTTTCTTATACTTCTTTGAACGTGGATTAAACCTTCGTACTTTATATTGTAACTATATATATGCTATCAGAAAATTCCACTGAAAAAAAAATATATCTTATTTCATCTTTCTATTAAGTACATACTGCACTTTTAAACCAGTTCCGTTAGACCCTCAACTTAATACAAAGGTTATGAAAAGAAAAGAAAAATAACTTTCAACAAACTGAAAACACAAACAAGAACAAAAACAAAAACAAAAATAAAAACAAAAACAAAAACAAAGATCGAGAAAAACTAAAGGAATTTCCGAGACATCTTAAATTTCTTCTTCTATTTCTCTAGTGTCAGTTCAAATAATATCGGTTACATAAAAGGATGTTCCTCATATAAATGAATTACTTTGCGCGCTCATGCAGACCTGAGCAAAAAAAAAAAAAAGTAAACAAAAAATAAATATTAACCCCCACAAGATTACAACCATCTAGCTTACAAATAAAAAACATTATTGTTTTAGAGCAAATTTTTCTCTTTTACGAAAATTACTACTAAAATCTAACCCCGAGGCTTACTGCATATTTATTTCTATCCGTTATTTCCAACTGTGCCGCTATTCAAGTGAAGTTGCCGTTTTTTTATTTGTGTTCATCAATATTTGCGATACCATATTAGCATTAGTGAGCGAGTCAACACCTGAAGCTACAAGTTGCTTTAAACTTTACATGACGTGATTTTTGTTTTGCTATCATCTGCTTGTTTTTGATCGCGCCTGGCACTTGTTTTTAAAAGAATAAAAGAATAGGACAAAGTACTTGCAACAAAGTTTTTGGGGGGACACTAAAAAAAAAAAGAAAAGAAAATCATCATGTCTGCCCCAAATGCCAATACCACGATGCTTTTGACTGAGCATTTCGAGTTCCCCCCAATCACCTTCGTTGATGATGTTATCAATTCAGTGAATGAGATCATGTACAAGTGCACCGCAGCGCTTGAGAAATATCTAATTTCCAAACGAGATAAACTTCAGGTGTCACTGCGAGATGACTCTATAATATTAAATAATGATAATGATAATGATAATACAGAGGGGAGTAATCTAGATGAGATCGAAGTGGGAACGGCAAAATTAGAGACTTTGCTAGAAAGTAGTGTGGATAAGAATTTTGATTTATTTGAATTATACACTCTACGAAATATTTTCAATATTCCTTCGGATTTGGTTGAAGAAGGATGGATAAAATTAGATCATTATAAGCATGTGAGAATGATAAATAATCCAAAAAAGAAGTTGAAGGAAATTGAGCAGAATATCCAAGACATGGAACAAGAAATCAAATTTCAATTATTTTTAAAACAGAAACTCACAGCCGCTTTAGTCAAAGCAAAAAAAATACTAAGAATGTTGAAACTATATTCATCCCAGCTAAAGTTTTTGCAATCCAGCCCAACTACAATTAGAGACTCGGTCTTAATGAGATCCAACATTGAAGCTCTAAGGTCTTTATCACCGCTTGATGAATCGATATTCTTTTTGAAAAATGAAGCAAAGAGTTTATACAAGATGATACAAATTTTGGAAACAAAGTTTAATGAGAGTGTCAAAGATTCAGAAATTCTTCCCAATGAGAGAGATACTTATGTTGATACAAAAGCCTACAAGTTGTTAAAGTTATATTATGACGATCAAAAGGAACATGATCTAATTAGTATCAAGTTAAGCAAGATAGAGAAGACAGACAGAGATGCTTCCAAGATTAGAAAAGTTAACGAAGTCTTGAATATTGAGTCAATTGACAGGAATGAAGAATGAATGAATGAAGGTATTATTTGAATTCTTTAAATCTGTATACATGGGCTTGAAACCGCCAAATATTTTATTTTTCTCCTTTTTTTTTTTTTTCTTTTTTTATTGGGAATTTGTTTTTACATACGAGGGAAATTTTTGATGATTTGAATGGAATAGATTTTTTTTTTTGTTTTTATTTAGGGGTAATTCGGAATCTTTCGAAATGTAAGGTGGGTATTGACATCCCACACATGATTTCTTTCTTTCTTTTTTTTTTTTTGGGGCTAAATTTGCTACCTGAATGATTATGTTAACGGTATTTCTACCACTATATATATAGTAGATATATATCTATTATGATATCGTAGAAAATTATGAACCTTGGTCCATATGCTATTTGATATAGAATAGGTAACGCCAATAGATATGATGACAGGATATATGATAATAGCAAGGGAGAAATAGGACCAGTGATATAGCCTGTCTTCAGAGGCGGTTGAAAAACTACACTTTAGCTTTCATTTTTGGTTCAATAAGGTTTGTAGCAACGATAAATAAAGTGACGAGTACTCAGTTTTCAGGAATATGTGTAGGAATAAATACCTTTATTTTGCTTCTTGTTGGGGAGGGGGAGTCTTTTTCTTCTACTTTGCTTCTCAATAAATCTTAGACGTCACTCAATGAATTATAATAGACCTCATAAAAAGATGAAATCCTTCCATAAAATTTTTAAAAAAATGAGATAGAAAGCCAAGATGGTAAAATAATCTGTGGCTCTTGCACAAAACCTCTCAGTTTCAGGAGGTAAAAGTAACCATATCTCAAAGACATCAGATTGACACGATTATAAAAAATTAACAGAGATAATTACTTGGCTATGAGAATAGAAAAATATCTAGCATGTGTTTTGTATTCTTAAGGGTTACACAGATTAATCCGCGCAACACAACAGAATAATTATGAAACCACAAATAAACTTAGTATTCCATCCATTCAAGACGTCTATTTTTATAATCGTAGTAAATTTCATATGTGATTTATCTTTTTATTAATTTTCGAATTGTTTTTCTATCTGTTTTGTTAAAATTGGTTTATTGAGTTCTTAAATATTGGTGCTTCAAAAGTTTATCACATTTTCATTTTATGGCGAAAATCGAAAATTTCAAACCTTCAAAACATTTATACCTTTCATCCATTCACCTTGTCACCCATTCATACATTCCAAGATGACTGATATCCAAGAATATTTTGAATAATCCCATTGAGTTTGAAATTTTATTACGTGCTCTAATTTCATAGTGCTCTCCTTCAAATTTTCTTTACCTTGCCTGTTTGATAATCAGTTTCTTATTTTAATTTTTTTTTTGTGATTTTGATTCTATTTTCTGTTTTGTTGAAAATATTATCTCTATTTTCGATTAATATAATCATTGAATCACTGCTCTAATTCCTCTTGCCTCTATTGCCCGAATATATTCTCCCATAGAAAATAAATGGCCAGAATATTAATAACGCGACAAATCCAATAGCAACGGTCTAGAAACAAGAGATATCTTCTTTTTTCTCCCAATTTCAGGTTTTCTCTGGAAACATTATCCATTTGTATTAAAAGGAAGAGATAAATATAAAAACAGCAACACCGTTTGAAACGTCTTGGCAACACTCCAGTTATGGACCAAACAGATGATGAACGACGACAGGAAAAAAGAGTGAATACTGGAAACTATGAAATGAAAGCAAAAGTGGTGGCTGAAAAGTTAAAAGGCAAGAAGGATCTGGAAATAATTCAATGGGCAAAATCTCATTTGAATCTCCATATCTGACATAGAAGGAATATTTATCGTTGGAAGGAAAATCCCATCATTCTAAAATTGGCTAAACAACATGCTGGGCTTATTGAGAATGCCAATGTTCCTGATATAATTAAGAGCAGTTATAGAAAGCAGAATTTCATAGAAAAATAGGGTTATAAAATATTGATAGAAAATGTGGAGACAGCTTTGGAATATGAAGTTCCGGTAGCTTTGGAACTTATTGAGGATAAGCTTAATCAGATTTGTGAAATATTTGGAATTTCAAAAGGTATGCCTCTGAACTTTCAAATTGATGCATTAGAGAGAACAAAAAAACTATATGAACATTCATTGAGAAGTAATTCTGATATCGTGGTCCAACAAAATCTTAGGCAGAGCTCGACAAAACAACCGTACATCTGTGATCAAGAACAGTTGAAATGTTTCATCACAACAAGTAACTGGTCCAAAGTTTACTTCGTGAAAGAAACGGCGGTAAGATATCAATTCGTCAACAGTTCAACACTATCGCTTTTTGATAATGAAGACAAAGAATTGTCAACAAATTCTGATGTGCCATTTTTTAAAGGCGATTCCTATTTCCTTCCACTCAATAATTTATTGACAATGATCTATTGTTCCAATCTTGATGGGACTGATAAGCGTAAAAGTTCATTTCTTGGCCCAATTTTCAATCCTAAAAAAATCGTTGAAAGCTTGGATAACAACTTTAATTACTACTATAGCAAAACCGGCTGGCTATCAAGCGCATTCTTTCAAAAATACTTGGAAGAAATCAGCAACCATATAAAGCTGAGATATAGACATCAGGGCAAAAATGAACCATCAATATTTATGATTTGTTATGAAAGTCATTACCATAGCCTTCCTGACTTATCAATTCCTGAAAATTAAAGCTCATCATTGTGAAGAAAAATGTTTGTGAAAGGCCACGAAATACGATGAATGAATTAATTTCGCAGATGTATGTGAAAAAGGTTTTGGAGAAACTGTGGAATACAATCAGGTGCCTAGAGTATTTGCAGGGCCATGATGTTGCAAAAGGTACGAATTTAGTAACCGCGAACTATTCCAGTGAAAATTTAACCAATATAATACTTCATTCTTTGAAATCTCCCATTTATGAATCTGTCTCAATGTTGAATGATATTTGGAACCAGGTGTCTCAGGATATAGTTTTTGAATTTATCAACTCTGTGAAGCATTTGCCAAAAGAATCCATGAGAATCAATCAATCGGGTTTTTACTCGAATAGCGTATCAGAAAAATTGTATCAATCGCTCACCACTCAAATCACAGAGACTAAGGAGAGAATAAATACCAGCCCGATTATGAGGCACTCCATGATTGTTTGTCTTGATGACATTTTGGTAGATAAGAAAGAGTTTGATCCTATTGGGTGCTTAGATGTTGAAGCCTTGAAAGGATGTGCATTAGGTGAAGACTTCATTTATGATTTAGTGAAGAAGAAAATTACTGGGCGAGACAAACCCAACCTCCCGGAGCAGGACCAATCAGCAGATTTCCAGAGAAACTGATTTTGGGCTAGATTTCCCAGCCCCCTGCTCTTCTCCTGCTTCTGCTTGTACCAGAATGTATTCTATGGTCAGTTCAACTGGAATTAATGGGCCAACTGTTGATTCTATTCTCTGTAAAACCACTAATCCATCATCTTTAATCTCAAATCCAAAATCCGATATTGGTTCAAAAACACATTGCAGGACTGATGGTTTTTCAATCGATTCGATTCTCAACAAACAATCTGAAAATGGACTTATTTCAGAAGTCAAAAACAAATGTAACAATAAAATTACTTTTCAAGTGGAACACGAAAAAGATAATCAAGAATCACGCATTGACAACGTGTTAGGGAAACATGTTAACATTTCTGGTCCTATGGAGGAAGAAATCGGAAGAGATCAAAATCTTGGGAAAGCAAAAATTGAAACAAATCAATTAGAGGAAGATTACAATTACACTCAGAATGTCTCTGATTTCAAGAAGGCAGTATACGATCTCCATTTACATTTCACCAGAAAGCCACTTGGCCCGTATCAAGATTTTGAAATCTATAAAGAAATGAGCTTTGAAAAAATATATCTGCTAATTGTTGGTATAGAACGAGATGAAGGGAAGAGATAATACAAATTGGGGCTAGTCCGAAAGGGTGAGAAATTTGTGCAATTCGCTCTGAATTCCGATTTTTTACCTGTTTACTTTCTTTTGTTAATTCCTTTTGGTGATGTAATGACTATAATAGCTACAACATCTTGTATATAAAATTAATTAGGGGCATATGCCTACAAGCTGTTTGTGTATATAGAGGTAATGGCCCTTAGTCACTTATTACAGTACGAGCATTGGTATAGAGAAAGAAGAAACTGTACGAATATGACGTTTTTTGAAGTATCTGTTTGGTTTACACATTCTATGTGTATGAAACACATAAATTTATTAAATTCAAATAATTTATTTTAGTTTATTTATCAAGTTTCCTTCTTTATCGCAATAGTTTATGCACGGAGTGTTTTTAGCATTTTACAGTAATATGTTATGAGCCATGTTATATCGCTCGCTTCAGCCAATGAAATTGAAATTGAATAATACAAAAAAAAATGTGCAATTTTGATGTAAATACTCAAACCACTGGTTTGGTTAGAGGATCAAAAGAACTCCAAAAATCAATTCATACCAAAGAATAGAAAATGGGTGGTCATCATCACGGTCCAGCTCGTATGTTGTGGTTATTCTTTTATGTGATCTTGTCTTAGAGTTTGTACCTACATGAACCATTTACCACAAGTTGATGGAATTCTTAGGACTATTCTTTCTTCTTGTACAGCTATATTATTCGCTAGCGCCAGTATTTTTTTCATCTCCTAGATGATAAGTTTCTAACATTTTTATTTTTAGCTCTTAGAGAGGATAAAGGTTTCCAAGCCTGGTACAACATGAGAGAAAATTTGGGTGATTACTATAAATTCACTAAACGTGGAGCCAGAGCAAACATAATATTTATGGGTATCATTCCATTGGCTTTGGGTTATTTGGGTTATTCTACTATCGGCAAATATACATTTGATGATAAGAGAAGAAGTCAGCCAATTTATGAGGATTATGTACCAAGAAAGTTGTGATTGTACTTGATATTTTCATATCTGCTGCTTTCTTTGTTTTATTATGCCAGGCCAAATAAATAGGAAAAGGAAATCCACAGTTTCCCGATTTTTGTTTTAATTCTGGTTTTTTTCATTGGGTTTGTTTTACAGTGGTTAAATTTGATTAGTGCTATGGCATCGTTAGTGGGTAATATTAGATTTCTAACACAAATATACATGGTTGAACTAGTTTGATTGTTCATTCAAATAGAAGGAATATGGATCATTATTTGTTTAAGGAACCAAAGATTTGTGCCTGCTCCCATACCACATTACTGTGTATTCATCTCAAGTTTCATTTATTTTTCACATCTATTATAGTATCATCAACTCTCATTGACTACTCTTTATTTTATTTAGTATGCATCATTATTTACAAATTCATAATATCTAAGAAACACAAGGATTCAAAAGCATTTCATGCCGTAGTTAAAATAATTCTCTTCTAATATTCCGAATTGAGTAGAGTGGTTGGGCTTTTGACGCTGTTTTTATTCACATTAACAACATGCCAATTTTGATTCTATTATAGTTCTCATCGTTATCAGTATTTCTGGCCTATTTTCTTGGTGCCTTGGTAACCAATTGTAAACCGTGCCATTTCTTGATTTCTTCAGCTAAAGTTTCGTTGACCATTCTGTGTTGTTTGACCATCGAAATTCCCTTAAATGAATCACTCACAATACTGATGGCAAACATTGAGCCACAACCACCTAAAACAGCCAGTCAGTAAATACAGGTACGAGAAACCATCACACCAATAAAATCCTGGATTGTAAATTTATATTTTTATCAACAGTTTCCAGTCATTTACTTACCTGACACGTCGGAAACCTGTAGTTGCACAGGATCAAATTTATCATTCAAGAGTTGGAAAATTTTAGATTCATAGTCGTCCATTGGAGCCACAGACTGGGAATTAACGCTATATGATCTATGGCTGACTGCTGATCTCAAGGTAGAGCCTGGAACCATTCTCAACGGCAGTGTTGTTGAAGGTTTAGCTATTATTGATCTCTGGGTGAGATACAAACAAGATCTGAAAATCAGGGACATTATGGGAAAGTGAAGTACTGTTTGGATGGAAAGTTATAACGAGTAGCTCAAATGTATTAGCTCTTATCTATATTAATAATACTCAAGAGAGAGATGATAATAATAATGTGTGGACCAAAAACAATCTATTAGACTTTAATTTTTTCATGCATTTTTTTTTTACCAAAGTTTTTCTCACCTGCATTCCCGAATAACATCACATATTATACTAAGTATATTATACTAAGTGCTTATCAGAATATTAAAAGAGTTCAAAAAATCAAAAGAGGAAAAAAAAAATCAATGCAATATCGAATATGTATGTTTTATTGAAACCTTCTACGTCGAAATAAACACAAGATAATAATATCGCAAATGATCAAAATACCTCAAAAAGGTAGCATCGATTGTCCCTTCTCCAACTTGGCTTTCTTATTTTTATTTTTATTAGATGGTTTTTCTCTTTTTAATACACTATTCGCCTTCAACTTCGGCAGATTTGAAGGCGATATCGTAAGGTCATATATAATTGGAGAATTTGCTTTACTCTGGTCCGGTTCATTATGGGTCAAAATATTCTGAGTCATATTTTCACCATTCAATTTTGTGGAGTAACTAATGGCAAAATGGTAATCTTGATGCTCTGTAACGAAGTGTGGATTATTGGATTTGTTCAAAATCACCATATTACATGATTCGCAAAAGTACTCTTCAGGTACAAGCTCGTTGCTTTCCGTAACCAATTCCGGTAATACATCTTTATCATCCTTTTTGATATCTTTCACTGCAATTACTTTCGATTTTTCGTGGTTTTTAGTTTTGCTGCTATTTTTCAACTTTAGCATCGAATGAATACTATTCTTCTGTGTTTCTTCCTTTCCAAGATTCTTCCTAGATTCGTAAACAAATGGTACTCGTTCAATCTTTTCTCCATTTTCCATATCTTTTTTTGCGTTGTTGGACTGGGCAGGCTTTTCCGCTTTAAAAAAGTTTTCAATAAAACCCAATCCACTCACAACTTCAAGTTTTGCCAATGTTAAATCCATGATTCCTAATGGAAAAAGTTCGTGGTCTTCGTATTTCGCAAGATTCAATATTTCATCCAACAACTTCACTCCTAGTTCAAATATATTTTTCTCTAAATCTTCAATTGAAACTACCGGAAATGCCATTTGACGAGACCTAGATATCCTGCTTGATAAAGTCACATAATGAAGAGATAATGATCTTGGGCATCTAATCTTTATTCCAGCAGGGTTAGACGATCCTTTCTGATCTTTTGAGTAATTGGTACCGAATTGCTCCTCATTAGTTTCCTTTATTCTTTGAAATAAATCACCAGCAAACACTTTTATCCACCCCACACAATCATCTCTATTATTTACTGATTCGCCTCGAAATCGTTTTGAAGAACACATACTTGGTTCCCTTTTTTCTGCAAAAGGTGCATGCAATTCGCCTCGCACAATCTTATAAACTTTTGTGGCTAATTCCAAATCTTTATCCAACTTCTCCACTAAATCTTCAAGACTAAATTTGTCTCTGATATACTCGATGACTTTTTCCTTCTCATGTGGCACTTTAAGTTGAAATGCGACATTATCACCAGTTTTTCCTCCAAGTCCCCAAAAATCAACAATGCTAAAATTCTTGAGAAATTCAGCTATTGAACCATTTCTAATAATAGTCTGGTTATCCGGTTTCTTAAACCCTGATGCCAATTTGGCTAACGTTTTAACTCTTGCCACACCACATGAAGTTGTATATCCCAAAGCATCATCTATCTTCTTTCTTAAATCCAAGGTTATTAACGAGCCAATATGGATAAGAATATCATCCCAATCTCTAAATATCAATACCTGTCCGCGTCTGTGCGGCGCGGAAGATTCCTCCTTGTCTTTGTTTTCTTCTTCTTCTTCTTCTTCTTCTTCTTCTTCCTCTTCTTCTTCATTATTTTGAGATAACGGAGTTTCAAGTTCTTCCGTTGTAGGTATGAAAACTCCTCTTACTCTTTGGCACCATTCGGGTAATTCATTTGGTATCGGTGGTAGTTTCTGAAGAGGGTCATCGCAGTTATCAATATCTTTCAATTGCGGAAATAACTCCCTTGCTTTTTCATATACTTCGGTTCCTAAATCAAAGAAACTTTCATCCACACTAGCCTTTTCTACGATTTTGCAATTCTCGTGAAATATCCGCTGCATCTTCCGTGACTCTCTTCGGTATGGATCCAATGAAACTTTATGAGTTGCCGGGCTTGGGAAATCGGCCGGATTACAACTATTCACATTTCTCCAGAAATTCTCTCCTTTTCTAAAAACTGATGTGTGAAGAGGAATGACATGGGGACACTTCTTGATTGCAGATTTCAAATTATCCATTCGATTAATTCCGTACTTTCTTGCTGCGTATGAAACGGCAATAATACTTGACCACTGAACGCAAATCACTGGATCCTCCCTTGTAAATCCATGCTTCAATTGTTCTACTTGGGCGAAAAAAGCATTAACATCAATATGAGCAATAACGGCAAGGGGGGAGTTATAAGATTTCTTGGGGTTCCGTAGATGATCGAAATCCTGAACACTAAAACTTGACACTTTTGGATCAAGAATGATTTTAGGCCTCACAAAGCTGTCATTTGTCTGTGAATATATGGACATGAGGGATCATATTTTTAATCGCTTTACTTTTCTTATTCACTAACTCAATCGTTGGACTGCCAAACCGTCGCTATGGACGCGTAAAATTTTGTTCCTTGAGCAAAAATAAAAAAAAATAGTACGCGACTTTGTTTGGAGCGTTGGTGTTTTGACCAACATGAGATGTTGGCAAATAGTTGAACATATAAGTTTCAGCGACAAGCATTCTAGAAAACGAAGAGTATGAAAGTAAGAAAGGCGGACTCGAGAAAATTCATAAACCACCTGTAGCTATTTGGAATTTTCTATTTAAAGTAAGAAACCGTTTATCTACCTATGTTTTCTGTTGTAGTTTTGCAAAACTTTGCAACCAGTATTAAAGCTCCCTCAACCTTCCCCTTGTTAGAAAAGAAATAAAATAGAGACCAAATTTATTTGAAGAGCTTATATATATATATATAATATTGCTTACCATTTGAACTATCTATGGTTTGGGTAACACATTTTTGATAGTTTTGTCTACAACTTCTCATCGTAGTGAGTATTTTTTTTCTTTTCAAAGCGAATTTTATATGACAAGAAAAATAAAACAAAAGAACTGAATTTCTGAAAAGGATATTCAAATAGGTAATAATTCTAATTTAAAATCTCTTTGAATAATTTCTGTAGATACTTTGCAGGTCTATCAAAGAAATTTCTATGAAATAGTTTACAAAGAATTAAGTTCTAAAACTTTTAAACCATAGCTTATTAGCGAAAAACAAGCTAAAAATCTAGTTTCTAAAGGTACCGATTCTTTAAATACGTTCACAATATTGTTAGTAATAGCAAACCAAGAGAAATAAAAAAAAATGTATTTTGGTTGAAATGCTAAGCTTTTTCTCTCCACTCCTTTTCTATTGAGAGCTCTTAAAACTCAAATTTTATTCAAATATTATAAAAATAATAATATTTTTATTTTTACTTTTTAGTCAAACTAATATTTTTTATTAGAAATCCTGAGGAATTGTAAAATCAACGAGCTTCTATGAGCCCTAGGCTCTCTCTCGTAGTGACTTTCTCCTTTAATATATTAATATACGCACTCCATCACGTGTATATATAAATAAACATTCAGTCGGGGGCACATAACACTATTTACAGCATTATATAAAGGGAAAATTTTTCACTAAAACTCGATTCACTTCATTTCTTCTAGTATATAACTCTTTTCATTAAATCACAAAACATGTGTTGAATAGAAACCCTCTCTCTTATAACCAATAAAATTACCGATAAATGGTATGTATTTTTCAGCTACTTAGTATGTCTTTTCATTTGGATGATGACCAAGCTGTCGCCCCAAACTGAAGCATTGTGTTGATTCGACTATTATAGCCAAACACTGAAAATTCTGATTACCAATGAGAAGATTACTATTAATATTGAATAATTGGCATTTTTTAATGAGTTTTTAAACTAACAATATATAGTATGGAAGAAATAAACTGTTAATGGTTTTTTCCCATTGCATTTGTTTGGAATTTATATGGTGAATTGTTATGTATGTTTGATTAATTCATTCCATTTTCATCTTTGGATTGACACGAATCCATTTTGATTGCATTTTGTGATGAACAACTATATATTTCATGCTAATCATGACGTCTCTCTGTAGACCAGGATTACAAACAAGTTCCTGAACTTTGTCGGATGTGTGTCAATTTGGAGAAAGTGGTTTTATTTTGATTTCAAGGATGTAATCACTAACAATTTTGATAGAGACCGGGATACTATTCATAATACACAAAATCTTTGTACTTAATATTTTTTTAAAATGTAGACTAACAGAGGACAAAGGCTCGCTCTGTTAATTGCTATAATAAGGTGATATTATAGTGACGGTATGTTCATGATGGTTCTATAATCAAAAGTGAATTTATTATCTTTCACATCCATGAAGTATCTAAACAGTTAATCATTTACAAGAACGCTTCTCAGAGAATTAGCATCCAAAGGCATAAAGCGATCTTATAAGATCTCAGGAAAATATATTTTCCTTTGGGTGTGAGATGACACCCCGTGTAAATTTTATAATTACGGTATTGAGTCACTTATGATTAATAGAACATGCCCAAGGACTACTCTCTCTCTGGCTCAAATAGGAAGGGGAGCTTGCGCAACCGCACGAAATGAACCAACCAACTTCTTTTCTTCAAGAAATCTTCTGCCAAGCGAGATACTATTATTCTGAGGAAATCTATTTATGAGTTTTGTACACCAAATGAGAAATAAGAATCAAACATACGGTGAGAATGTTTGTGTATACATGATCACTTTTGTTGATGTTGCGTCGCCTCTTGAGACTGAAAATATTACATAGAAAAGGAACCTTGTTCTGATTCTGGATTTTTCTTGTACTTTAGACATTGATTATCAAGCTAGAGATTTGTAATAAAATTAATTGTTGCTATTGTGATTAAATAAGTTAAATTTATCAAGTCATGGTGTTAATTCATTAGCAGAATACAATACAAACAGTTAGTGATTCTAAGCACTGAGGGCGGTTCTCTTCTCTTTTTTTTTCGCCTTCTCTCTTCTGGAGGTGGTATCAAGTCTGGAAGATGATTTATTCACCTTCAACTTCTCTAATCTATCAATAAGATTTTGCTCCATATCTTTATCGTCGAACTCTTCTTGCTTCTTCTTTTCTTGTTCTTTGCGAGCCTCATCTCTTTCCAATTCTGCCAATTCATCATCAATTTCTTCTTCATCAATCACGGTATTATTCATATCATTGAATTCGGTCAATGTGCTGTTGATCTCCTTGACCTTGCCAACTTCAGTGCTAATTTCCTCCATTAATGTATCAACCTTACCAATGTTCAATTCATTATTCAAATCTTTCAAAATAGTCTTAGAGTTGTTCAAGAGTTGAAGGACTTGAACATTACCACTTTGCAATTGGATATTGGAAAGCAAAGTTTCCAAATTATTCAAATTGCTTGTAGCATGAATCAAAGCACTTTCTATTGACTTCTTTGTTCTAAGCAAAAGTTTAAGATATTCACGATTTGTTGATTTATTTTTAATAAGATTTTGAACCTTTGTCTCATATGATTCCACCTTAACCGTAAGATTGTTGATTTTCATGTTAGTTAGCTTTATGTTGGCTTTTAATTGAGCAGTAGCAACATCCTCAACAGTGATAGTTACATTTTCATTTGTTTTTATCTTAATGACAGGATCAGGAATTTCTATTTTCTCGTTCTCTTTTGTTATTATTGGGTCGATCTGGATAAGAATATCATTTGTATCTCTCGACAAATATTTCAAGAAAATTTCGCTATCAAGTTCAGAAAAATGGTATTTCTCACTAAGTAGTTCTAATAATTCACTCTTGGTGAAGATAGGTGTACTATCACCTGAGGATTTCCGCAGTTTCAACTTAGAAAGAATTTTATCCTTCAACAGTTCCAACTTAGGAATTGACACAAACTTAGTACCGACCAAGTAGTTTCCGGTTTTTTCTTTATTAGCAGTTACGTTAACTTGTGTGCTGTATAAGCCAGACTTGGATAACACCCAGAAAAGTGAATTTTTAACTGAAATATTTGATAGAAAAGAATCATCGTACAATGATTTTTCCAAGTTGTTGAAATCCTTCAATTGAATCAACTTTTTGTCTGTGGGATCATTACAAATTTCATTAATAACAGTATCGATAGACAATGGCTTTAAAATTATTCTTGCATCTATCGTGTTGTTTATGTCTGCAGAAATGCTCAATTCTTCGATTAAATTAGAGGTATCAAGGGTAACACCATCCTGAGACTCAATGATCTGATTAATTAACTTCTTCCATGCCAAAATATTCGCTTCATAACCATCAGGATTCAGCTCTTTTAACTGATCAAAGTTGGAATACAAAGAACGAAGACGAGTCTTCTTGAATAAGGAGTTGGAGTCCACTAAGGCTTGGTACATGATGATATAGTCGACAGCAGGCTGTTGTAGAGCGCTACAGGTTTGTTTATCTATCCCTTGATTATTTTTAATTTTTCTTTTTCCCTCCCTGCACTACATCTTGTAGACAGCACCTACAGATAGCAGGAGAAATCCCAAAAGACCAGCACAAAACAAAAATATATAAAAATAAAAAACATAAACAAAAAAATACATAAATATATTAATAGATGTTAATCTCGCCGTGAATCCTTCAGTTCTGAGTAGGCTATTAACTCATAATTGCGTTCCCAATGCCAATACATGTTTGAAACATAAAAGAAACTAGTCCCGATAAAGAATGATTTCGCTTTGTTTAAAGTATCTCCTAGCATCTTCATCAATGAGCACTAAACTCAAGAAAGTTCTGGTTGAAAATTTCTTGTTAACGTCTCTAAAAGTTGGCGTCAAGTCATAACCTCTCAAGAATAATCTTATAGGTATTGTTTCACCCCTCACCGGGGCACCATCCATAATTTCAAAGCGAACGAGAGTTTGTGAGTCGCTAATTTGGTTGGCTCCAGATCCCACTGTTTCCCTTCGGATTAGCGACAACTCCATATGTTTAATTTTTAACCTCACTAGCAAGAAATATATTCTTCCCACTATCACATCCTTTAAAGAATATCTTGACTTGGAATACTCGAATTCTATATGTAAACAATCTTCAATGCCAACATCCATCTTGACAGTTGTGGGAGTGTCAGGAGGATTTTGTTTGGCGTATACCCATAATTCCTTCTCTCTTATCACGTCCGCGGATTTTCTAAGCACAATACATTTTAAGTAATATCTGAGTCGCACATTTGTACCTCTGTAACTTTCAAATTGTTTTTCAACATTCTTGAACTCAAAAGAGTAGTTTTCTGGGTGATTCAATTCGGCAGGTGCCGAAAGTTCTTGAACGAGGTATAAGAAATTATCAAAGTTCAAACCGTCATTGTTTGTATCAATTGTACCTATAAGTTGAATCTTGATACCTAAATGCTCAACTCTTCTCCCATCTTTAACTCTGATGGTTACTTGACCTTTGACACTTTCTCCATCTTCATATAATGGCAACTTCTCTTTGCGCCCGTTCTTGTTCTTGACTTCAACATGTTTTCTTGTATCTTCCCCAGACAATCGTACCTCTATATCTAAAGGAGCTTTAAAAAACAATGACATTCTAAAAGAATTCTCAGCTGGTTTTCTTTATTGATTTAAATATACGTATATGCCAAAGCTATGTCGTTCGGCCCTCACTATCTTCCAGTGTGGTGGTAATTTGTGTGTTCTTTTTATCTTCTGGAGTTTTCAACCGTCCGGCCGTACTAATAACCGCCACGGGTGCGGACAGAATTCCAAAAAAAAAGTATTTTGGTGTGCGCCAAAAATCCCATTGATAACACCTAATAATTTCGATATTAGACAGATACATACCATACACCAATCATTTGAACATCTACAACTATTTTATATTCCAATTGTAGTAAAAAAAAAGGTGCCCCAATTTAGAAGACTTCAAATATCGGTGACGCCAGTTACTATTTCGTTTATCATGCCGCCATCAGCTACCAACTTAACTAATGATGAACAAATGCTTCTTGTCAATGAATCACTCAATACTATAAGACAGCAAACTATTCAGATGAAGAAGTTGTTGGATGTGAAAGGAAAATCTATGGAATCATTGAAACCTGCTTCAACTTTGCTATCCGAATTAAGAACTTCTAATCTATCTCCGAAAAATTATTATGAGCTCTATGTTTCAATCTATGATTCTTTGGAATATTTAGGAAATTATTTGAAAGACAACTATCCAAGCAAGAATCTCAGCAACCTTTATGAGTTGGTTCAGTATGCAGGAAATATCATTCCCAGATTATATTTAATGATTACCGTTGGCACAGTTTTTATGTCTGTTCCTGATGCTCCTGTTAAAGAAATTATGAAGGACATGATTGAAATGTGCAGAGGTGTCCAGCACCCAATCAGAGGTTTATTTTTGAGATATTACCTATCCCAAAGAACTAAGAACTTATTGCCAATCTTTAACGATCCGGCAAATGGAACATTACAAGATTCAGTCAACTTCATCATTACGAATTTCATTGAAATGAACAAATTGTGGGTCAGACTACAACACCAAGGTCATTCAAAAGAACGCAAGAAGAGGATCCTGGAAAGACAAGAGTTGCAAATTTTAGTGGGTTCCAATTTAGTTAGGCTCTCCCAGTTAGAAGGGGTTGATAAACATTACTATAAAGAAACTATTTTACCAGCTATTTTAGAGCAAATAATTCAATGTCGTGATATGATCGCTCAAGAATATCTTTTTGACGTGATCATCCAAGTTTTCCCAGATGAGTTTCATTTATACACTTTGAGGGAGCTTTTGGACTCCACCATCAGCTTAATTCCCCAAGTGAGCTTGAAAAAAATTTTAATAACTCTTCTAGAAAGATTAACCACTTACATAGATAGAGAAAGCTTGGACGGAATTCAGGCTCTTACCATTAATGGGAAGACCGATGATGAAGAGGGAGTAGAGGGCGATGAAACTGCTGAAAAGACTCATAACAAGAAAATTCTAGAAAAGGCCGAAGAAAAAGAGGCTACTGTTACTGAGGGAACAGCAACTGAAGAGTCTAAAACACAAACCAAAGACGAGAATATTGATGTCGAGGCATTGTTTAATATTTTTTATTCACATTTCATCAAATTAAATAAAGTTAGACCAGATTTAACGATCGACGATATCACAGCGTTATATTATTCATTACTGAAATTGTCTTTGTCATACTATCCAGATAATTTTGAAAATGTGGATCTTATTTATTCTGAAACGCTAAACAGATATAATGAGCTCAAAGATACCGTGGAATCGTCTAATGCTTTGACGGAAGAAAATTTGAAAAACATTTTGTTGCTTCCGCTTAATTTTTCATCCTTAGTCTCTAACGATGTGTCAAAAAAGGAAAAATTAAACTTGAAGTTGTTGCTTAATTTAAAAAATTATCAATCTTTATTGAGTGCTCAATCTCTGAAAGTCCAAGTCTCCATTTCCAATGAAATCCTCAAGACTCTTCTACTGAATAAATTCAAGTTAGAAAATGAAGAGCAGATTGAAAAAGTTTTCCAAGTTTTAGACTCAATAATTTCTAACAAAGAGACAATTACTGTTGCGCAAGATTTGAAAGTGGAGGAAATCAATAAGCGATCTGAGAATGCTGGTGGTGAGGTGAATGAATATCCATATGAAACACTGGTTAAGCAGGAGAACTTGGCCAAATTATTCCATTTGATCTATAATTCTAATCCAATTGCTCACTCGAAACTTCTTTCCACTGCTCAAGCCTTTGTGAGCCAGAAGAAGAACAAACTTACTAAATTTCTATATCCTTCATTGATATTCGATTATTTGAAACTTATCAAAAGATTACACTTCAGAATCGGGAAAGTTAGCCAGAAATCCATGAATTTCAGTCCTGAGTTGAAATCTGAGCTAATTGCTAGTTATGAATTGGAGCTTAAAAGTGTTTTCCAGAAGGTTTCCAAGTTAGCAGATGAATTATACAACCAAGGCGAATTGGAATTGTCATTGAAATTATTGATTTCAATTTCAGAAACTTCCAACGCAATTGGAAACAATGGGTTCACTAACGAGTTTTTCATCAAAATTTACTCTATCTATGAAGAGATGATTAGCTCAAAACAACAATACCAGATTATCATGCAATTAATTTCCACCTTGATTACATTTTACAAAAGCTTTCAGAATGGGACCAATTCTGATAAAGAAAATTATGATTTATTGATTACCAAAGCCGTTTTATATTCTGCAAGGTTACTCAAAAAGCCTGATCAGTGTAGAGCTGTGTTTTCTGCGTCTCACCTTTGGTTCCAATCTACAGTTTTAGCATCAACAGATCCATCAGCGCCCTCAACAGATGCTTCCGCTGAAGAAAACGACAATAAAAGAATCTTGGAGTGCTTGCAAAAGTCTCTTAGAATTGCTGATAGCTGTATTGAGAGTTCAGTCACTGTTGAATTGTTTGTGGAGATTTTGAATGAGTGTATTTATTACTACATTCACAGTAATTTCATTGATGCCAATTATATTAATAATCTTATTGAATTGATTAAAACCAACTTGTCAGAAGTTGATGATTTGCCTATAAAACATTTCAAAAGAACATGTGAATATATTGCAAGACAAAAAGAAATTGATGAAAGATTTCAACTAGTTAGATATTAAAATCAAGCTTAGCTTAGTCGTTACCCCTTCTTCCCTCTCCTTTTTTTTTTTTTTGTCTTTTTTTTTTTTTTCTACTTTCAGTCTCTTTATGGTCATTTCCTCTTCTTCTCGATGCTACTAATACAAAAAATAATTTCGTGGTTTTTAACTTTTAGGCATGCTCACCTAAAGCTCTATAATTTTGCGCATGACATACGGTGCAGAAACATCCTACCCTGTGACACAATTGTTGTGGCTGAGATTTTAAATCTTCATGAGAGGACTAAGATTAAAAGTCAAGTAAAGATGAATTGGTCTGAATCTTACATTCTCATGCTTCTATTTTTTCTCGCCTCTTATAGACTCAGTGCTATGGCTGTTCCTACAGCCCTAATCTATAAATATTCACTTACCCGCCTCGTTAGATGATACCCACTATGCTCTGTGCACTACATTTGATCATAACATTATTTGACACAAACACACAATATGGTCAAGTGGCAAAACACTATTCCATAATAAATAATGGCCTTCAAAGAGTATAAACTTTCTGCCGTGTTAAAAGGGCACGATCAAGATGTCAAGGATCTTGATTCCATTGATAATGATACTATCGTTTCTGCATCAAGAGATGCGAAAGTATTAGTCTGGAAGAGAGAGAAAGATGGCAGTTGGAGTTCATTCTTGAATTTCAAGTCTGAAAAATTTATTAATTCGACTACTATTGTCAATGATAATGAGACAGTTGGTAAGCATTTAGTCGTATCTGGCGGTCAAGATCTGTTGATTACCATGACAAGCTTGGAAGGTTCTGTTGATAATAATACAACCAACAGTGGCGAGGATCCCTGGTATAGTGAGCCGGAGTTTGTTTTGCTAGGGCATGAAAAAAACGTTTGCTCATTATCTTCTTTTGCAAATGTTGCAAATAAGAATTTGATCATTTCCTCCTCTTGGGATGGTACTGCCATTGTCTGGGAAAACAATTCTTTGAAATATAAGTTAGTGGGTCATCAAGCTTCCATTTGGAATGCACAATTTGTCTCAGAAGATGACTTCATCACTTGTTCAGCGGATAAGACTGTAAAATTGTGGAAGGGAAATGAATTGGTTAAAACTTACACGGGAATTCATAGTGATGTTATTAGGTCTTTGGTTGTATTGGACCAAAACACATTTATTTCTGCTTCCAACGATGCAACAATTAAGTTTGTTGATATGGCCACAGGCAATGTCTTGAAAACTCTCTCTGGGCACAACAGTTTTATTTATCAGATTAAGTTATTGGATGAAAATACATTGATAAGTTGTGGTGAAGATAAATCCGTGAAAATTTGGGATATTTCAACAGGCAAAGCATTACAGACCATTTTTGTACCAAGTATTTCGGTATGGGCGGTTTCTATTTTGGAAAATAAGGATATTGTAGTTGGTGGTAGTGACGCTTTCATAAGAATTTTTTCATCTTCACCGCAGAGAATAAATGAGGCTTTAAATGCGGAATTGGTTAGTGAGATTCAAAATCAATCAATCAATCCTCAGCAATTTCAAGAGATCGATAGTTCCAAAATTTCAAGCAACGATGTCTTAAATGTTCCAGGCACAAAGGAGGGGCAGACTATAATGGTCAAAGCCCCAACAGGAGTTATTGAAGCATATCAGTGGTCTAATTTCACTTGGCAAAAAATTGGCGAAGTGTTGGGAGGTGCTGGTACTTCTTCTAGCAATGTGGCTTCTTCAGGAAAAAAGGTAGAATATCAGGGAAAATATTACGATTTTGTGTTTGATGTTGATGTTAAAGAAGGACAACCTCCATTAAAATTACCCTTTAATTTGAATGATAATCCGTACGCTGCGGCAGAAAAGTTTCTTGCTGACAATGAATTGCCTATGAGTTATTTGCAAGAAGTTGTTGACTTTATTTTAAAGAATACACAGGGCATTTCCTTTGAACAGTCATCAGGTATCCCATTGAATGATCCATATGCTGACAGGAACCCTGCTGCTACATTTATTACTTTTGAGGCGTTCAAAAAACCATTAATCATGAAGGGAATTGAATCATATAACTCTAAGATCGAAGATATCAGTGATAAATTAGCTCTTAGTGACTTGTCAGAAATAGGTTCATTATTGGAAAATGCTTCTCTACCAGCAAATTGCGCCAAATTATATGATTACACCAGGTCTATGATTGAAAAAGGTGAGTTGGTGGGTTATGATTTGTTAAGAATTATCATCAAGAACTTAGAATATAATGATGAAATTGAACATAATTTATATAAGGCCTTAGTGATTGTTGATGAAGATGTGATCTCTAATGGTGATGCTGCCAAATTGGTTATGATCGGGAGATGCGTGTGTAATTTATTGGCCAATAATCTGAGAAATGAGAAGAAGTTTGGTAAGAATATCTTGAATCCAAAGAAATTAGACGTATTCTACAGGAATAAGGTATTGAACAACACAGATGTCAAGGATTCGGTCAAAGTAAAATTATCCAGCACAATAGATGCTTTGAAAAATAATTTGCAATTAATTTGAGTTACTTAACGAGTATGTATTTCCAGCTAAAGCAAATGGAAAATAAGAAATGAATGCTATAAGACTTGTATTGTTACATGATATTTAGTAAGCTTCGCCAACCATGGCATCCTTGATGGTTGCAATGACAGCAGAACTTTGAATTTTGGTGTTCCCACCTTTGCTGATACCATACTCAATCTCGCTTAGTCTCTTTAGAATTTTGACTCTCGTCTGCGGTTTCAATTTATAGCTGTCCAAAATTTCAATAATCCCACTTAGAATATCAATAATTGCCAAACCCTTCGATTTTGTAACTTTTTCAAAATACAAATAGCTAGTGGTGAAATCCTCTTTCAAAATTGAATCCAACAACAGGTTGATATCATCGGGATTGGCATTACCGATACACTCGTAAACCATCTCTTTGGTGACCTCGTCGTTACTTGGATCATCTAAAGCAGATTGACACGCTTGCAAGACATTTAACGACTTTCTCATATCACCCTTTGATAATTTCAATAAGGCATCTGTTGCAGGCTCACTAACTTTTAAGGTTTCCTTTTCACAGACATATTTTATTCTTTCTTGAATCGCCGACTCTTGCAATGGTTGGAATCTGAATCTGGTACATCTTGACAATAATGCTGGATTCAACTTATGTGCATAGTTGGCGAGTATTACGAATCTTGCGTTTTTGGTATATTTTTCAATGATTCTTCTAAGAGCATTTTGAGCGACATTAGTCATAGAATCAGCCTCATCCAAAATGATTAACTTGAAACCTTTATTGAAAATTTGCATTGTGCTCGCAAAGTTTTTCACCTGCTCTCTAACCACGTCGATACCTCTATCATCAGATGCATTCAATTCCAAAATCATTGACTTATAATGCTGAGGACCGTAGATTCTTTTTGCCATTGCAAGAACTGTGGAGGTTTTACCGGTACCAGGAGGCCCATAGAATAGCAAATGAGGCAACTTCCCTTCATCAACAAATTTCTCCAACGTTACAACGATCTCTTTTTGACCGTAGATGTCAGACATCGCGCTAGGTCTGTATTTTTCAACCCACGGAAGGTTTTCAATGCTTCTTGTGGTCATTTCTTTATATTTATATTTTTATGAAACTTCGATTTTTGTTGTTGAAGGAACCAGAAGTGTAGATAGAAGATAAGATCATCTGTTAGTTTGGCTTCTCTAAGAAAAGTAAAAAAAAAAAAAAAAAAGAACGCGTTCGCGACTGCAAAAAAAAAAACAAAAAAAAACAGAAAATACGAAAAAAAAACACAACGAAACAAAGCAACAGAAAAACGTTTCTTTACGTGGGTTAGTGTGTCCCCCTCACAAATATATCTATGGTTCCATGTAAATTAAAGGCATCAATCAGTTCCGCCAGTCAAAGGGGAGAAATATCCACTTTATAGTACAATTTAGTCAGGTAGGATATATCTCCTGTGATATGCATATTTATATACGCGTGTCACAACATTTATACATCATCACACATAATGCACGTGATCAATCTTACTTCCAGTACTAAGAAGATCCCACATTTTTTTTCTTAACATTGAAGTGATACAGAGAGGTTGACTTTTGACATCCATCATCAATTGTTTCGTTGTTCAAGGTGTATTTTTTTTTCTGAAGATATATTAGATTGAAAGTATACCACATAAACCTTTCGGTCATACTCGTTCTGAGTTTCTTCAATCAGTTACTTGAATCATGAGCTATACTGAACAAATCAACACCTTCTCTGAAAAGTTGGGTGGTGACCTGGACTTGAAAGCAAAACATACTGCTTTGATGGAGTTATGTGATGTATTAGAGTCCTTTCTTGGTTCAGGTGAATATGGATACTTCCTAGAGAAACTAGTTCCCATATTTGTACAGTTATTGGAATCTGTTGCCATAACTTTTTCTTCTTTATCCTTAGAACACAAAATCAGAAACTCAGTTTTGGAAATATTTCACAGAGCTGTTTGCAATGATATACTTTCTCCATATGCCCCAGAGATTCTCGATCAGATGCACAAGGTTTTAAGAACAGATAATGAGGATAATGGTGTGTTGTGTATGAAGGTGATTGTCAACTTGCACAAGGCGTTCAAAAACAATTTGTTCGAGAAGGTACAACCTTTCATTGATACCATAAATGAAATCTACGCGAATATGAAGACAATACTTCCTCTATACTTCAATGATCAGACTAAAGGTGAATCGAATGGAGAGGGCGATGTACCTATGGAGTCTGTGGCATCACCCCAATACAACTCAACAGGCAATAACAATGAATCTCAAGCAAAACATTTGGTGGCATCTATGAAATCTTTTAGAACATTAGCAGAATATCCCATCATTCTAGTTTCTTTGCTATCATCTTATAAACAACTAGTCAATACTGCCTTACCAACATTCATCCCGTTATTAATCAACTTCTTACAGTTGGAGGTTGATGCACAAAAACAGGCGAGAGAAGAGGCCACAAAAAGGAATGAAACCTACACTTCAGTGTCACCAGAAATTAAGGATAGAACGCTTTATGGTGATTTCATTCTCAGTCAAGTTAAAGCAGCCTCTTTTTTGGCTTATATATCAATAAGAGGTCATTCTGCAAAGCTATTGTCTGATCATAACTCTGTCATTCCAGATATCATTTTGAGGCTATTACAGGATTGTCCTAGTGAGCTATCATCGGCCCGAAAAGAATTATTACATGCTACAAGGCACATCTTGTCAACTTCATACAAACCTTTCTTTCTTCCTAAGTTGGATTTATTATTCAATGAGAAAATCTTACTTGGCGATGGATTTTCTGCGTACGAAACATTAAGGCCATTGGCTTATAGTACAGCTGCCGATTTCTTGCACAACACCAGAAGCGAATTGACTTCAAGCCAGGTATGGAAAGCTGTTATGATGTACTCACGCTTATTGCAAGATACCACTGTTATTCCAACTGTGCAGATTATGAGCGCCAAATTGTTACTAAACTTATTAGAGAGAATAAATAAATTACCCAGCAGCGAGGCGAGAAGACTTTGCTTTATTATCATTGAAGCTTACACTAATAGATTTGAAAGTTTGAACGCTGAATATAACTCAATTATGAAGCGTCTGAGAGAATATAAATCGGAGAAGGAAAAATCTGAGATCACTTTGAAAGATAGTACTGAGAATAGATCCAGAGACTTAAACTTCATAAAAGAGGAAGAAATTAAAGTATTGAATGATGAGGAATTGGATATAAACTATATCATCAAAAATGAAACTATTCAGCCTGATGAAGATGTTGACATGAAAGACAGTCATGTAAACGAAAATGACCAAACGCCAGAGTTCGAGGACTTAACATTGTTTGATTTACAATATGAGTATCCAATTCAAATATTTCAACCATCAGATACAGACCCTTTGAAGGATGCGAGATATTTGTTCCGGACATTGTTAAATTTCTTGAAAACTGTGATCTTGTTATTGAGGCAAACAAATCCTCCACCTCCATCACCCGACTATAATGTGCAAGCATGGAATAATGTGGCTAGAATGTTTGATGTTGAAGAAGTCAATATCTTGAAAAAGCTTTTTAAACAAAGCGTGATTTGCTCAAGATTCTTTCAAAATCCTAAAACTACCGATATTACTGAGAAGCAAAAAGCATTTGACATTAGACAACCCAACTTGCCAATATCGGCCTCGAAAGATGAAAAGGATTTAATGGAAGTCATTGCGGCGATGTTCCTGAAAATAGACTTATCAACTTTCAATGAAATTGTGGTTTCAGAAATTGAATTTTTAGTTAACGAAATGGTGAATTATGTTCCTTTGCTTCATTTAGCGCACTTCTTTTTGGGGAGTGAGGTCACCTCTTCAAACTTCTTAGGAATAGTACTAAATTATTTGAAACTGAAATTGGAAGTTTTAGATGAAGATGAAGCCATGACTTCACACATTTTCTTGAGATTACTCAAATTATGTTTACTTTCTTTGAATCTCTATCAGACAAACAATGAGCCAATTGTGACTATACATGTTAGGGATTTGATTTTGAAATCTTTGGAATTATCCACTAAGGCTAAAGATCCAATAGTGTATTTTTATTTGATAAGAACATTGTTCAAGAGTATTAGCAGTGGTAAATTTGAATCAATTAATAGTGAAATTTTCCCGCTTTTACCAAGTTTATTGAAATCATTGAGCAAATTAATTGATGCGGCCACCACATTACAAGAAAGGGAAATTTATATTGAACTTTGTTTGACTGTCCCGGTTAAGATAAATAGAATGGTATCCTTTTTAAAATTTTTGATGAGACCAATAGCACTTGCTCTTAATGGGTCTCATGATTTGATCACTCAAAGCTTAAGAATGTTGGAGCTATGTATTGATAATGTCACTGCTGAATATTTGGATCCAGTAATGGACCCGGTAATTGATGAAATAATGAAGGCTTTATGGAAGCATTTGAGACCATACCCATACTATTATGTTCACAGTCATACTGCTGTTAGAATTTTGGGAAAATTGGGCGGTAGAAACAGAAAATTCATAAAACCTTCGGAGGATTTAACGCCCCAAGAAACTTTGAGCCAAAGATTAGAGATATTAGTCCTGGTAGATAGCTTGAAGGGGGACCAACTAATATCAGTAACGACTGGTGTAGAGACTGCTATCAATATGTTGGAAGATCCTAGGCAAACATTAGACCCAAAAATTGCCACACATTATCGTATAAATGCTTTCAAATACCTTTCCTCAGTTTTCAAGCTCTTTGTGGATGGCAAAGATATGCCAGGTAATTACTGGGAATTAGTAAAAGAAGGTGTGCAATTTTTGCTCAAGGACAAGATTGAAGATGAAAGAAGTCTTGAAAATATGGTGATTAGAGATCAAAGAAAATTTAATAACCAAGAAAAGTTAGCGGAAAGACTTTTGAATTCAATATTTTTCTCAGCGTCAATTAAAGAACTTAATCACGAAGTTAATGAATTGATTCAGAATATATGCAGGCATTTTACACAGCTCTACATTGTCAAGCACATAATCAAAAGACGAAAAAATGAACGGCACTTTTCAGTCAATGATGGAGAAGGAAAGGTCTTCATCAATGAACATATTTTGTTGAACAGCATTGTTTACGCCTTGAGTTCTCACCTTGAGGAAGTTAAAGAAGCCGGTATTGCTGCAGTGAAATCAATGTTTGATTTCTCAGTTTCTCTTTTTGGATCAATTGAAAAGAGTTTAAATTTTATTCTATTGCGTTCACTATCAGTGGTGTTTTTCCATGCCTGCTACGACGAACTTTATTATAATAAATATGGTGGTGTTTTGGGTCTAAAAGTTATGATTAAGGATGCTAAAATACCAATTAAGTGGTTCTCGAAATACCAAGTAGAATTGGTACGAGCTTTGTTCTATGTTTTAAGGGATACACCAGAAAATATGCCAGTCGCGGCGGTGGATATGTCAGTCGACCTTATCAAAACAATAATCAGAGGATGCAACGAGGGGACCAAGAACTTGGATTGCTTATCATCTAATTTAGTTTCTTCTTTGGTATATGATTTGGCGAATTCCAATAAAGTCATAAGGCAGACTTCTAAGGATTCTTTAGAAATTTTGGCGGATATTACAGGGTTATCTATTTCCAAAATCATAAATCCTAGTAAAACACTTCTTTTGAATCCTATTTTCAGTAAACCATTGAGAGCACTACCTTTACACATGCAGGTTGGTAATATTGAAGCAATTAATTTCTGGCTCGTAGTTTCTGATGGGGAAGATTCTTTCAATGAAGAAATGAAACGGCTATTACAAGAAGCCATTGCTATTTTGAACACAGAAGACTTAGTTCTTGTTGGTGGAAAACGCCTTTTTGAATACCATACTCGTGAAAAGCTTACAGAACTTCGTGTTGTTTGTGTTAACCTTTTAAAAATCGTCATTTCAAAACCAGACTATCCAAATGCTCCAAGAATGGACATACTTTCAACCTTATTCAAAGCTCTATGCTCTCCAGAATCGAGAATAATTGAGGCATCCTACTTGGCATTGAAAGTTGCTCTTTCAGAAAGTACCAAATTACCACGTAACTTGCTTCAAAGTGGTTTAAGACCAATGTTAATGAATTTAGCTGATCATAAGAAATTGTCAGTGTCCAATCTTGAAGCTTTAGCGAAGTTGCTAGTATTGCTTATCAGCTATTTCAAGGTGGAAATTGGAAATAAATTGATGGATCATTTGAAAGCATGGGCAACTCCACATACTCTTCATGTTATTTCGAGTCAGGATTTGTCATCTAACTCCACTATAAAAATTGTATCGGCGATTTTGAACATTTTTCATTTGCTCCCCGAAAAAGCCCGGATTTTTATTCCAGACATTCTTTCAATATTAAATTATCTAGAATTTAACTTAAGAAGATGTCAGGGCTCACCGTTTAGAGTGCCGATCGGAAAGTTCCTCAATAGATTTGCTAGTGAGACTTTCACTTATTATTTGGATAACTTCAAAAGCACTCAAGACAAACTCCCTTATTTTATTCAAGAGTGCCCTGAACTTAAAAATGTCGCTAAGAGCTCATTTTCAAAATTGCTTGAATCAGTATCATCGGAATCCGATTTTGCTATCAAGGTTATTAAGTACGGTAATCTTATCAATGTTGCTACTGCTATTTCAGAGTCTGAAAGTGAGTGGATATTTGAAGAGAAAGCGGTACTTGAGGAAATGAGAAATTTGACACAAATGATTGTTAAAAAAAACAATGAAGATCCTTTTGATAAATCATATCATTTCCAATTATCTGGTGCGGTATCTAAGTTCCAAAAGGTATTTGCGATTTACTTGAGACACTCTAAGGATCTTGAAATGTTAATTTCTTTCTTGAAATTTGCCTCAGAATCGCAGTTGGTTTTGTCTGTTGATTTTGAAGAGTTTGTTTTTGAGGTAACTGCCAAATCAAATGACACTGAGCTCCGTCAAGATTGCCTAAACAAGTGCGTTACTATTTTCTTGGAGCCTGCCGAGTCTTTGAAAACCAAAGTTATGCTTTCTAAGAAGCTACTTCATCCAATAATACTTTTTGAGAACCACAAAAATGGTGGAATTAAGAAACTATGTGAAAAAAATAATGAACTATCTACTGCGGAATGGCTTAACTCTGTCCATACTAAGATCTGGAAATCCACTGGTAATATTGTGATGAACCACGCTGCCGGAGAGGTCGATCATTATAGAATGGAATTACTTCAGATGACCGCTTGTTTGATCAGCATGGCGAAGGACGTCATTGAAAATTTGAGAAAGGATGTTATCAAATTCAGTTGGTGTTTGAATAGACTAGATGATGCTTTAACCAAGAATGCATCTTATTTGACGAGCTGTTACTTCATTAATGCATATGCTACTCCTTTGAAGATCAGAACTAATTTGCTTGTTGCTTTGCTTAGGGATAATAATAGTGATATCAAGTATTTGGTTCAGCAATCTTTGGATTTGATCGCTCCTGTAATGGGTGATACTGATGACCAAAGTGAAAAAAATATTTCTTGGTTGAAATATCCTAGAAGAGTTATTTCCGAAAATGGTTTTATGGTCAGCAATATTGTAAATGTCTATAAATTTATGGTCCGCCATAAGGACATATTTTTCTATGCTAGGGACCATTTCATAAGTACAATAATTACTGCAATGGGAAAGCTCACCATTTTGCAAAACACTTCAACTGATAATCAAACACTTGCGTTGGATATTGCTGAGTTGATACTATACTGGGAGAAAAAAACGAAAGAATTAAAGACAAAGGAAAGTACAAAACTTTTGATGAAAGAGAAGAAGGATATAAAATCTGGTAATAATGATAATGATTACGCGACTCTGTTGTCATACTCTATTCCGTTTGGACAAAAGGAGGCGTTTATTACCTTTTTGATAAGATACGTATGCATTAATACCCAGAGATCTTCGAATGGTGATTTAGGTAAAAGAGCTTTGAATGTTTTATACGAGTTGTTGAGCCCTGGATATTGGTCTGATGTAACCGTGAAACTATCCTTTTTTGACAAGTTCTTGATTGAGCCTGATTTTAATAATGCTAATAATAACAATATTTTATTGTACTGCATTAACTCATTGGAGGTTTTGAGTGTTTCGTTGAACCATAAGAGCAATGAGTGGATCATTGATAATCTCCCAGCCCTACAAAATCTTTTGGATAAGTCAATCAGGTCTGACAATCATGATGTTCAGGAGGCATTGCAAAAAGTCTTGAGAAGTATTTTGAATGCTATCAAGGAAGAAACGGATGAAGATCAAGAATATGAACCTGAAGAAATCAAGAACTTCTTGAATCTATTAACGAGTGTCATATCAGATGACTTAGGTAATACATCGTCACTAGCCGCTGGTGTAACTTTGTGTTGGACGGTCACCAATTATAAGCCAGAAAGACTAAATAACCTATTCCCAAGTATTATGAAAACTTTTGGGAAATTGTGCAAAGATCATGTCACAATAATAAATCAGAAATCTGGCGACCAACAATCCAAACTGGGCGAAGAAGCTAAAATGACTACAAAGTTATTGGATAGGCTTCTATGTTTTGCTGCCATGAGAATTTCACATTTAGGAGACCAACGTCGTATTTACTTGAGTCTTTTGGCCCAACTTATTGAAAAAACTTCAGATCCTTGTATTTTATCAAGGATTTTATCGATTGTTCACGGGTTCATTTTTAAAAAAGATAATCTTTTTCCAACTACCAAAGAAAAGGCTGCTATTTTGGGTAAAATGATGGGGTTTGAAACAAGAAAAGATATACCAAAATCATTGGCTAAAAGCTTCTACAAAATTATTATAAAAATTTTTGAAGATGACAGCTTCTTATATTCTGACTTGACTCAAAGACTAGAGCATCCTTTCCTTATTGGTACAAGGTTTTTCGACGTTGGTATAAGATCAAGATTGATGAAATTTTTGAATGAATGCATTGAAGACGGTATTGATAAGAGATTGAATTATGTGATTAAGGAACAGAATTGGGAATATCTTGCGGATTATCCTTGGTTAATCCAGGCCGTTGAAATCTTATTTGGGTCTCTAAAATATGAACAGAGAGCCCAGCTATCTGAAAAGGAATACAAATTTGCCCCATTGGAGTACTTCAGGGAAACTATAGTTTTGAATGAAAACAAAATCACGGATGACTCCAAAGATGAAGAATTTGCGCCATTTATAGCAAAACATAAGAGATTTTTGAAGGAAGTAAGGAGTGTAACTGTTGGTGATATTTTCATACCTCTTATTGAAGTTTTGAGAAGTGATACAAATGATGTTAATAAAACTTGGGCAGAAATCTTTTCAGTGGGTTATAAGGGAGTTTCTGATTCTCAGAAGGTTGACTTTGCCAGAAGTTTCTCTTCTTTGTTGGCAAAAGATTATCATTTGAGACAAGTCAAGCTCAAGCCAAATGTTATTCAGGGATTGTTGGGTGGTGGTGAAAGGTGTGAAGATCTCCATATTCCTCCGCATCTCGTCAAGTATTTGGGCACCACTTTCGATGCATACTATTCTTGTATGCACATGGTCGAGAAGGTAATGGAGAGTGATAATAAAACTGTTAAAGAAGCAGCCGAGGATGCATACTGCGAAATTCTATCGAAGCTACAGGAGTCTGATTTGTTCGACGGTTTATGGAAAAAGAGAGCAAGATACAGCTCGACGAAGGCTGCTATATCTTTTGAACAAATTGGCATATATGACAAGGCTCTTAATTTCTACGAAGATGCGCAGATTGAAGCAAGAAATGGGTTTGTTCCATATGGTGATGCCGAGTATATGTTATGGGAAGATAATTGGATCTCATGTGCCCAGAAATTGCAGCAATGGGATGTTTTGGTGGAATTAGCGAAAAATGAGACTTACACAGATTTACTTTTGGAATGTGGTTGGCGAGTTGCCAATTGGAATGACGATAAAGAATCTCTTGAACAGTCAATAAGAAGTGTTATCGATGTGCCAACCACTAGACGACAATTCTTCCATTCGTACCTTTTGTTTCAAGGCTTCTGTCAGCAAGAGAAAAGTGTTGGAGATTTAATGAGATCGTATGACGAAGGTATTCAACTTGCATTATCCAAATGGAATTCCCTTCCATCTAGGCCTACAACTGCTCATATTTCATTACTACACACCTTCCAACAATATATTGAACTAAATGAAGCCACAAAAGCCTATGGGTCAATGATCACTACCAATGCTCAAAATCTGGAATCGAAACTTTTAGAGTTACAGGGTGTTCTACGAGCATGGCGTGAAAGATTACCAAATTTGTGGGATGATATTAGTATTTGGAATGATCTTTGTACGCAAAGATTGCATGCTTATAATCTTTTGGGTGTGTTGAATAGACCTTTCCTTGGCTCTGCTAACAACAATAACATCAGAAGTTCTCGTGGCTATCATGAAACTGCTTTTATGATTAACAGATTTGCTAATGTTGCCAGAAAGCACGGCATGCCAGAGGTTTGTGTTACTCAATTAACGAAAATCTACACGCTTCCTAACATTGAAATCTCTGAAGCGTTCATTAAATTGACTGAGCAAGCCAAGTGCCATTACCAGAGTGGCAACGAAATTAATAGTGGTTTGGATGTGATAACTAATACCAACTTGAGTTATTTCAATGCTTCTCAGAAAGCTGAATTCCTAACCCTTAAGGGTATGTTCCAAGCGAAATTGAATGCATTTGATGAAGCTAACCAATCATTTAGCAGCGCGGTTAACCTTGATCGAGATTTACCAAAGGTTTGGGCTGAATGGGGGTTCTTTAGTTATAGGCTTTTCAAACAAGGATCTCGGAAGCCAACACAAAATCAAAATCAGCTATTGAAGTATGCTGGCAACTCTTTAACTTGCTTCTTGAACGCTGCTGGCTTGTATAAGAGTGATAAAAGCAGAAGATGTATTGCTTTGATTTTATGGCTTATAAGTTTGGATGATCAAAAAGGCACATTAGCCAACGAATTCAATAACTTCAAGGGTGAAGTTCCTGTTTGGTATTGGATTACGTTTATTCCTCAGTTATTGACGTCTTTATCTCATCGAGAAGCCAAGATTGTTAAGCAGATTTTGCTCTTGATTGGCAAGAAGTACCCACAGGCACTTCACTTCCCATTGAGAACTACCAAAGAGGATCTTTTGGCGATTCAGAAACAACTTACAGCTCAAGCAGGTATGAAAGCTGCGGCGGCAAAGAAGGAGGAGCACAAAGAAATAAGCAAGCAGGACCATTCAACTAAAGAGATTAATAATGAAAAGGAGGAGAAAGAATTAGTGCTGACAGAAGTTAAGGTAAAGTCAGAAACCAAAAATATAGATTCTGATGTTGAGATGAAGAATGGTTCTGGTGATGAGGAGAAATCTGAAGAACATCAAAAATCAGCAAGTGGGGAAAATAGTATTGGCTCGGAAAATAATCGGAAATCAGAAGAAAACCCCGCAGAAACATCTAAAGAAACATCTGAAGAAAGACCTGAAGGGAGCTCCGAAGAAAAATCAGAAGGACAAAAAGAGAAGTCTGGGGAAAAAGCTGATGAGAAATTGGAAGAAAAATCGAATGAGAAACCTGAGGAACAGTCTGAGAAATCTGATAAGAAGCCTGAGATAGTTGAAGAACAGCCTGAGAAGAAGTCTGAAAAAGAATCTGAGGGGATCTCTCAAGAAATATCTGCAGAGAAACCAGAAGAAAAACCCAAGGAGAAGTTAGAAGAAAAGCCAGAAGAGAAGCCAGAAGGTAAGTCAGGAGAAAGATCAGAAGATAAGTCAGAAGAAAAAACAAAGATCAGTGAAGAGTCTAATGATGTGAATACCATTAAAGTAGAAGCTTCTGGCCTAGAAAAGGAGATTCCAACTGATATTATAGATGGGAATAACGAAACACTGACTAAAAATAGTAATACTGGTAATGCCGATAACAGTGACAACAGTGCTGGTGCTTCACAGGATCAGAAAGGTGGTAAAATTGAAGAAAAATCAACATCCTCTACGTCAACAAATGGTGGTCAACCATGGGAGTATGTAGAGGAGATTATGTCCGTTACTAAAACATCATATCCTCTATTGGCTTTATCTTTAGAGTTATTGGTTGATCAAATCACTCAAAGGTTTAAATCTAATGCTGACGAAGACGCATATCGTCTTGTTGTGGCGTTATTAAATGATGCTATGTTATCATATAGCAGAATCCTGAACCCTGAGAAAGATATTAGACTACCCCAGCATATGGAGAACAATATTAGCAGATTTGCTGGCACTGTTTTGCCAAAACTTATTAGAGTTGAGTTTGAGAAAGATTTGATTGAAAGCAAGCCTAATTTCTTAGAGTACATTTCTAAATTAATTGAGTGGAGAGGAAGATTGGAAAACAAATTGGATAGAAGATTCAACAAGATTAACCTCGAAAATATATGCCCTCATTTGACGGAATTCCACCATCAGAAGTTTGAAGGTATTGAAGTCCCTGGCCAATATTTGTTGAATGAGGATACCAATAACAATTTTGTCAAAATAGAAAGATTTCTTCCAACGTTGGAGATTGTTCGTGGATACACATCATGTTTTAAAAAGTTGCAAATCCGTGGTCATGATGGTTCCATTCAGCAATTTTCCGTGCAATTTCCTTCAAACCGCCATTCCAGAAGGGAAGAAAGAATTTTCCAAATGTACCGAATCTTGGGGAGCGTACTTGATAAAAAAGTGCAATCTCGCTCACGGAACATCAAATTGACTGTTCCGACCGCTGTTCCGTTGTCACCACATATCAGGGTGATTAAGAATGACGAAGAAGATGTCACGTTGCTCAAAATTTATGAACACCATTGCTTGTTCAAGAAGCAAAGATTTGATGAACCATTTTTTTATACGGCAATGAAATTGCGAGAAGCTTTTAATTTAAGTGGTTCAGCCAAGGTGGACATCGTCAAGGTTAAAATGGAAATTCTAAATGCTGTTCAATCATTGTACACTCCTACCACAATTGTTAGAGATTACTTTTTCAACTTGTATGAGAAATATGAGGATTTCTGGATTTTTAGAAAGCAGTTTACTTCTCAGTATGCTTCCTTCATATTTATGACTTACATGATGAGCATTACTGGGCGTCAACCACATAAGATCCATATGGGTACTAAATCAGGAAGTGTTTGGACATCTGATATGTTATGTAACAAATCCGCCAATGTGAATTTTCCAGGAGTCTTTGGCCAAAGTCTTTTGAATCCAGCTTATCAGCGCAAATCCCCAGTGATTCATTCTAATGAAACTGTTCCATTCCGCTTGACGCCAAATATCCAGAAGTTTATTGGCGAAATTGGCGTGGAAGGTATTTTGTCAGTATATTTCTTGGTTATTGCCCGATGCTTTAGTGAACCTGAGTTTGAGTTGGACCATTACTTGAATTTATTCGTTAGAGACGAGATTATTGCATTCTTTTCACAGAATATGCGCTCTAGCTTCCAAGGAGCATTGCTCAGGGAAATCGTGAGGGTGAATTCTGATTTAATAATAGGTAATGTTGTCAAGGCTGGCTCGGTTAATAATTCTAAAGTAGCTACCCAAAATGTGAATGAGTTGATTTCTCACGCTGTGAACCCAAGGCACCTCGCTCAGTTTGATTCCTTATGGAGATCTTATTTGTGATATGAGTTCTTTCATTTCTTTGTATTATCATTTTTATTATCATTTTTTTTTTCAGATCATTTTTCATTATTATTATTATTATTATTATTATTATCTCGTTTTTCTATTGTTATTATTATAATTTATCTTTTTTTTTTTTTTTCTCTTTCAGTTGATAACTGAAAAATCTACAGTTTGCTACTTGTACAGTATAATTTTGTCTATTAGTTTGCAAAAATTCTATAATACAGTATGTTATTTTACAGATGGAGGCTTGTAACCACGAGCAATCAAGCTATTATAAACGAATCGTTCAATCTTGCAAATCAAGCTTTGACTTTCAACCACTCCTTTACTTAGCCACACTCCCTGGGCTCCCATCATGTTAGCCATCAAAATGTCTGTGAATAAACGATCTCCAACTATTGCTATCTGGGAAGGATAGTCGATGGCCCCATTAGCGTAGAAGTACTCTAATATTTCCGGATAACACCCTGGTTTTTTTGTAGAGTGACGAAGTACAGGTATTCCGGTATTCGCTTCAACCCGAGCAGCTTCAGCGTGGCCCGGATCATCGTTGGTTCCTGCCGAATTGCTAACAATAAGAAGGCTTGCTTCAGGGTACTTAGCACGTAGTTCGGTCCATTTGGACTTGTAGGTAGGCCAAACCTTATCGTCATGATTTGAGGCAAAGCAATTGTCCTTATCGAGGACAATAGCACGAATCGAGGGCTTTTTTTCTAGTGGAGTTGGTAATATTGTGGAAACGAGTGGGAACCGGAGCTCATTAAAGTTAGATGCCTGTATATGAGGAAGACAGAGACTTGGGCTCAAGAAGAGGCGACAGACATTTAAAGTGGCGCTAATGTTCATGGTGATGTAGTGAAGTCTTTCTGGCATTTATGGAGATGATGATCAGATCACATCTACCTCTTTGTGGTTGGAGACAAGTTCAGCACTGGCTGGAGAGAGTCTATACGCATTCACGTGATGAAAAATAGTAATCAAAAAATTAAAAAAAAAAAAAATTGTCCTAAACCCTTGAAAAATTGGATCATAGACACAGCGAGGAGGACTTTAGGAGAAACGCTGATAGAATGAGTGAGAACTCTAATACGGGAAACAGATCTAGTGATGGCAGGCGTGGCCGCCGAGGTCAATCCTCCGGTCGTGGTAGAATGGCAAATAGCGGAGATAGAAAAAAGCCATCGTCCAGAAATGGAAATTATAAAAGACTGGGTCAAAACACTGATGATCAGGGATCTGGTAGCGGCTGGAAGAGAACTTTTGCAAACCCTGAAGATGGCAATGAAGAAGAAGATGATGATGATGATTCCATGGAACGATGTATTATTTGTGATTCCAAGATTGTTCTTGCTGCGGTTCTGGACTGTCAGCATACCACTTGCCATGTCTGTACCCTTCGTCATAGAGCATTATTCAAAAAGACATCATGTATTGTTTGCCGTTCTGAAAGTACTCAAAATTGCATAGTGACGGAAATATTAGATAAAAATTATGACGAGCTCTGTGGCTTGAAAAATTTTGGAGAGTCAAAGACTTACAAACTTTCTTTTACCTCAAAAGAAGCAGAAGAGTCTACTCTTGGCTTGCGTGCTAACAAGTGTGTCGTTGATGGTTGTGGTGAGGAATTTCGCACATTTAAAAAATTAGCAGATCATGCCCGTAGTGCTCATGACCGTCTCTATTGCTTTATCTGTGCTCTTTTCAAACATGCTTTCCCTTGCGAATTGCCATTGTATACCCAATCTCAACTTCGACGTCATCAGCGCGATGGTGATAAACGTGATGGGTTTAAAGGGCATCCAAAATGTCAATTTTGTACTAATGAAATGTTTTATTCTGATGATGAATTGAATGTTCATTTGAGAGAAAAACATGAGAGATGTCACGTTTGTGATAAGATTGACTCTGCTAATCCTCAGTTCTTTAAAGATTATGATGATTTATCTTTCCATTTCAATAGCGACCATTACGTGTGTCCTGTTCAGGCGTGTCTTGATAAGAAATTTGTTGCATTCGCGGATGACATTTCCTTAAAAGCCCATATGATTAGTGAGCACCCAAAAATTGTTGGTAATGATCGTACCCTACTCGGCAGCAGTGGGCCACTTCGTCCAAACGGAGGTAACAATAGAAGATATCAGTCATCATTATCAACTTTCCAAAATGAAGGTGCTCCAAAGGGTGATTCTGTGGAAACTAAGAAGTTACGTATGGAAGAGAGAGCCCGTCACTATTTAGTATATTCACAAGAAAATTTTGATAGATTTCTTTGGCTTAACAAGGACTATAAAAATGGAAAGTTGACTTGCGCTGAATTCTGGCAGGCTTATATCGATCTTTTTTCAGAACAATCCACCAGCGAATTAGCGCTTCTTGTTCATGAATTTGTCGAGTTATTACCAAATGGCAATCCTAAGTCAGAATTACAATCTTACAGCCATACTATTCTCCGTGAAGAAACTAATAAGGAACTTTTCCCTGTACTTGGTGGAGGTAATGGTCATACTGATGAAAGGGCAATTTGGACAGCTAACCCTAAAAACCGAGTTGGAGGAGGGGTAGGTAGTAGTGCTCAAAGATTTGGGAGAAGAAATGTCTCATCAACCGAGGAATTTCCTGCGTTGCTGGCACCAACTAACAAGGCACCAGTCCTTAATCAAAATGTTAGATATAAAACTTTGACCCGCACAAAAAAAAAGACCGAAACACTTAGTGCTAGGGAATTTGCCAGCTTACGATTGAGTGATAGTAGTGCATCATGGGCTGGTGGTAGCGGTAGTGCTAGCTCCAAAAATAAAGGAAAGAAAGCGGTCAATGAAGAAGAATTCCCAAGTTTGATGGCTCCAGCAGGTAAGGCACCAAAGATCAATCGTCAAGTCAAGTACACTACAATGACCACTACAAAGAAGAATGGTAAAACCAGTATTCGTACCAGCAATAGCTCCCAAGTTCCAGGGAGTAGTGGTGTTAGGATTACTATTGCTAGACGTCCAACAAAAGATGGTGGATTGAGTATCACCAATCACAACAACCAAGAGACGTCTGTTGAAAATGGTACTTGGGGAGAACGGTCAACGCCTGAGCCACAATTAACTTCAGACACCAGTGATTCTGTGAGCAGTGGTAGCAGCACAAAAAAGAAGAAACAAAAACAATTATTATTCCGTGTTGGTATTTAGAATAAAAAAATATTTTTGACTAATTCATTCGCACTAATAGCACATAATTAATAATTCCCGGTAGGTATTTGTGTGTGATGAAATAAAAAAATACACATAATTGAAAAGATCTTTCTATCTATTGTTTAAATTGCTTTGTTTTTTTTTTGCTTTTGTATTTCTGACTCTTGTGTATATAGAAGATTCAATATTATTTGTTTGTTTTTCTGATCCATACTAATATATTGATTTGAAGGTTCCACGAATATGGAAACTTGGACACTCTTGACCAGTGTACATTTTTGAATTATTGTGTGTAGCATCTCATGCCGGTAGGTGAAATGACAGGATTGATTCCTTTACACCAGGTTGGGATAGCAAGTAAGCCAAAACGAGAAGCCGGCAACAGAGCTGTACACCGGAAATGCCCGACCTGTGTGTATGCTGAGTTTATAATTTGTGTAGTTCTTATTTGTTTTTGGAATGTTTTTATATATATAATGTATTATTCCATCTGGTTCAGACTACAATATGTTATTTGTGATCATAGATTGTTTACATTTACAGCTGTACCATCGGCACGGGCGCCACTATTGGGACATACACATCACCACCTCACCACCACTTCACAAAAAAAAAAAAAACCCCCCGTCACTTGCAACAACCGGTTGTTTATTGTATATATGCTGTAGTTGGAGGATTGCCTCATTACATTAGCACTGTTACATATCGTACATGGTTAGTTTATGAACTACCAGTTGTCTGCCAGGCCATCTAACTAATTTAGCTTGCGGGACACTCACTGTCATTTATCATGATAATTACTATGACTATCACCAACGTGTCTCCATCTTGCTTCGTGGGCCACTCGCTGGAGGACGGGGGTGCAGCACTGACAAAGGTTGGCAAGCGGTACGTAACACCCTGTATTCTGCAGGGTCATGTAGACCGTACGTCGCTGTACGTCGCTACTTTTTTTTTTTCTTTTTTCTTTTATTTTTTTTTTTTTTCCTTTTCTGCATTCTGCTGCACTCTGCCGCTAACCTGTTTCAGCGAACAGAGTAAATAAATAAAAAGTAGTGAATTGGCCCCATCTATTTGATCTCATCCCCAAGAAGCGAAGTCGTTGAAGAAGATTGCTGTGTGGTCCAATGCTCGTTGAAAACACGATGGTGGCTCCTAGCCCTTTTTCTAAACAGGCACAACAACTGAGGTATGTCGTTTCTTGTGTAGCACCAATGGAGCTTTTTGGTTTTTTATTTATTGGTATTTTGACTTCCCCTGGGTTTCCTAATTGTAAAAACTGGGATTTTATATTGCCTTGGCTTCCCTTGATGATGAAAGAGACTTCAATTAGCTAACCGATACATAGATCTAGGAGTGAAGATGATCGCAAACCATCCCCTGGTAAATCCAAGCTCGTCCACAAGGTCTCGAACCCTTCGTTCATCCTGAAAGCCCCTGGCCACTCTAGATCAAACTCTTTCCAAAAGAAAACAATTCGTCGTACCAAATCAACACTATTATCTTCTTCTTCAAATTACAATAATAGCAATAGTCTGACCCTCAATTTCAACTTTGATGGCCTTCATCTCAATTCAAACTTTAAGTTCTCATTCGCCAAAAAGAATACCAATGAAGATAGCAACAATAGCGACCAACAACCAAAGATCTCGTCATTTAGCAAAAACTTAATGAGCCAGCTTGATACTTTTGGTGTGCCTACTCCTCTTGCAAATAAAACCCAAAACCAAAACTTCTTGGACGATATCGATAGTCCTTGCAAGCGTGAAATGGATAGTCCTCTTGCGAGAAACCCGCTTAAAAAGAAGGTTAGACGTTTCCGTTCCATGTACTATGACCCGAACGAAGTTAGTGGTAATGGCTGTATGAATTCCAAATCTCTTTCCAACACCCCAATTGAAGACGAGTTCATGATTGACGACTCGTATCTCAAGAAATCAAAAATCGCAACTTTTAATGTCAAGGATGACACCATCCCAAGAATTTCTGTCGATACTCTTGTATGCCTTCTTGACGGGGAATATTCTTCGTCTTTCGAGAAGATCACCATCATCGATTGTCGTTTCGAATATGAATATCAAGGCGGTCACATCAATGGCTCTCTCAATATCAGCTCACAAACCCAACTAGAAGAAACTTTCCTTACCAATCTTACAAAGACAGTCGACACCAATGGGAACCAAAGAAACCTCATGGTATTCCATTGTGAGTTCTCGTCTTATCGTGGTCCTTTCATGGCATTGCATCTTCGCCAGTGTGATCGTATCATCAATAAGGAAAACTATCCAAACCTCAACTTCCCTAATATTGTGGTGCTCGAGGGTGGCTACAAAAGCTTCTTCAATTTACATTCGCTGCGATGCTATCCTCAATGTTATGTGGAAATGAATGATGATAAGCACAAAGTGGCTTGTGAACGTGAACTTGACCGTTTTAGAAAGGACCGTAAAAAGATCCTTACCAAAGCCTCATCTTTCCACTTTGGCTCATCTAATAATGAATCCTCATCATCCTTAACAACCACATTTTCCTCCTCCTGTTCTACAGTACACTCAAATCCAACAATAAACAACGACACAGATTCATTGTGCTCCAATACTTCTCCAGTCTTGGAGTCTACGGCTTCTTTTGTTTCCAATTCATCCACGCGGACCCTCCTCAATAGACACAGAAGACACAATACCATGGTTTTAAATAATGTTTTCTCATCTTTCGAAACTAACATGATTCTGGAAGAAGATTTCCAATTCCCCCCTGACCCTCCATCGTTTCCTAAACCTCTCGAACTCCAAAAGAGTTTTGCCGACATTCTTGATGAACGTTGCAAGAAATCCAGCGGCTCAATGGTAGAAACCTCAGGTGGTGCGTCATTTACTTCTTCTGATGATGAGTTGGGGATTAAAGCATTTTCAAAATATCTAGAGACCTCCGACAGTGACAGTGATACTGAATTGGTATCCTTCCCAAGAGTATTGCAAGGTCTCGATATTGCCATTGACTCGCCAACTATCCGCCGCAAATGAATAACCCTTCATTAAAATACACATCGTCAATATCATTATCGTTAATAATCTCACCATTACGATCGACATTGCTCTAATCATCATTATTATTATCACATCATAGAACATCATCACTATTATCGCCATTTATTATAATTGTCATTATTTTTATCATCATCATAGCCATTAATATCATCATATTCATATACTTCATATCATCATTGTTGTCGTCGCCACCATGGATCTATTTTTTCCAAATTTATCACATATCTGCTCCACCTAATTAAATAATATATCTCACATGCACCATTCACTGAAGAAAAATGGTATCGCTCATTCAGTTTATTTCAAATCCACACCTTAGCATTTTATTCAATGTTATTATTGGGCCAGCCCCTTCAATTGTCTTTGTTTCTCCCCGGTGTCCTGATCATTATCATCACCGAGTTCTATAAGTGCCATTTCAACTATTTGGGCCATCATAACACTACGATTTATCATAGTACACACATCAAATATCCCAATTGAGTAATCTTTTGATTCTTTTTCTTTCTCAGCCCAAGCCACTTTTACAGCATCCGTATCTCTTTCAAAAATTCTCTTCTTTTAACTTCTTATTTCGTGCCTTAGTTTCTTTTCTCATCCATAGAAGTATTAACCAGAAAATCTTTTTTGCTGGTTAGACTACTATTTGGATTGCCTTGACTAGCTCATACCCGTTCAGTTTTCCGTTATCTGTTGCCTGTTTTTCCGTTATCTATTGCCTGTTATCTGTTTTCTGTTATCTGTTGTCCGTTGTCCGTTACCTGTTGTGTTTTCTTGATTTAATTTGATTATAATTTTTCTTTTGTTTGTTCTTTGTTTTTTTATATGTGGATATACATTCATTTTGTTCTTCCACTTTGTTCATTTCGATCTTTTGCTTTGTCGTGTTTCTGTTATGATTTTTCTTACTCTTTTTTAGTTTGAGTGCCCTGGTTTAGAAATAAGTTATCTAGATTATTGATTTTTCATTTATTTTTGATATTTTGTTTAACTGTAAATAACTACTAAATTTAAAAGTCATGATATGACTACAAACAAGCATTCTTTGAAAAAAAAAAAAAAAAAACGTAAAAACGTTAAATTTTATTCGAATATTCATAAAATCGTTAGGCCAACTATATGGGATTTCTAGTTTCTATATATGGGCATTCATCGTAATGGTATAAATTGATTATCGATTTTTGCCCTGCACAATGGGCATTCATTATGATCCTTGCACCAATCAATAATGCAATTCCAACAACAGCAATGACCGCAGGGTAAACTGGTAGGATTGACCATATTCAACAAGCATAACATACAAGATCGTGATCTTCCTTTGAGGTACGGCAATTTCTTTTCGTTGGATAAGTCGATTGTTGTATTGGGACCATGAAGTGCACTGGCCACATCATGAATCAATCCTGAATCTTCCACCGTCCCTGCTAGTTTTCCAACATCCTGAGAATTAGCAGCCAGATTTACTAGTTTCTCATTCAAATAGCAGGTGATTGATGAAGCATAAGATAATGCAGTCTTCACCAACATGAGGCTTCCCAACACTTTATACCCCGTGATCATTTTATTATTACTCGGCTGGTTCTCGGGTATGGCGTGTCCAAAAGCATATCTGAGCCCAGTAATCCGCTTCGAAAGATTATAGTAAGATCCAAAAAGATAGAATATTGCTAAGTTGATCTCCATCAAAGTATTAAGTTTCCTTAACCACTGGTACCATGGAACAAGTTTTGTCACTGCTCTTTGTGACCAAGAGGTATTTTCTTGCAGATCATTATTAGTATCATCGTCATCATCGTCATCATAATCGTATTCCATCTGTTCTTTCGTTGCCTTTATTTTACTAAGGAGTTTTGAAATCATGAATGGAATAATAGCGTACGACATGGCAAACCACGCTTTTTGCGACGTTGGTGCCAATCGCTTCCCGTCCGATGAAACGTACACTAGATCAACGTATTCTTCGCCTAGAGTACGCTTAGCCATGACCGTTGTAAGGGCAAGATAAACAAGCTTGGAAAGCATCTCAAAAGAATTATTATTGGCAATGGCAAACCGGGTGCCACGAAGTGCAGCAGCACATTCAGAGAGCATGCGAGCAAGATAGGACTCATAATACGAGTCCTTTTGATGAGATCTGACTATCGCGGAAGCATCGGCAAAAGGAAGAACAAGGTCTTTTTGTGTTTCAGGCATGATCCGGTGGCTGCGTTGGAGGGGACAAGGCTATCTCAGTTATCTTCCAAGGCGTAATCACTGATTTCAGTTTTTCTGGTGATGATTTTTTTTAGAGCCTCCAAAAGATCCGCGGCATTGGCACTAATGAAAGATTTCAGGGAGCACTTTTTGGTCAACAAACGAGAATTGACGTATATAGGCCCATAATCTATAAATATCAATATAGCCATGATATTAATATGGGCTGTTACAAACATAGATACAAATAAGGATTAATCTCCTTAAACATGGCTAATTTGATACAATTACGAAGAACTCTGCCACACTCACTTGAACTATTTTAAGGGACAGGGACAATAGCTGTTTATTCAGGCTATACGGTAAAGCAACAATGTAGGAAAGGGAGAATGGTCTGAGCTGTTTTTTTTATTCTAGACCAACGAGTGTTGTGGTTTCATAGGTCCTTAATGATGATCAAATCCAGTAATTATTTTTCGTTTCCGAATATTATTGTTATTAGTATTTGGGTGCAAATCGTCACCTCAGACAAAAGCAGCATCAACCTGTAAGTTTAGTCTGACAATCGACCCCGTATTCGTAAATGGTGGTCTAGAATGAGAAAAAGAGAGGGTTTTTTTGGCCATTGCCTTTTGACATAGGCCTTCGCTTGCTAAGTATATATATATAATGGTAATAATAATTATATCATTGCTGTTCAAAAAGTTTTCAAAATAGAACAGTTTATTGACACGGTGCGTACACAGGCTTGTTATAGTGTTATTTAGGAAATGAGCTAGCAATGGTAGCTTGAGGTTTGTTCTAAGCTCCGTAAAGCGTGGTATTCTTACTTACAGTAGGTTATTTCCCTCTAGGCTGGAATTCGGGGTGTTGAAATGGGACATGATCAAATAGTTACTAGTTAGTGGCCAATGTGATAAATTGGTGCTTTTTCTAGAACCTGTTTGATTGGCAGCATTAATTACAAGCGATGACGAGAGAACAATGTCCTTAAATGAGCCAATTAATGGACAAGTTTCCAGCGACACCGTTCATTATAATAGTAGTAAATAGTAATGGACAGTGGAATTTGAATGGATAACCGTGGGTCATGTTACCAACTCTTGGGTAGTTGACACGCTAAAACATTTAGACCGGAAGCTTGAGCCAAAAGCTGCACCAGGTAGCGACATATCTCGGTACAAGCTGGAAAGTGTCGTGAAAGGCCTCTTGTTTGGCGGGTTTTTTCATGGCGGTTGCAACGTTGCTGAGCGACAACAAAATAATATTTATTTAGCTGCTTTACACACTAGACCTCTGGGTAAATGGTAAGTGCAAGTGAATTTCTATTATGTCAACAGAGCTTAAATTATTTAAAACAAATGATAATAGGCTAGCTCAAGAAATATCCAAGGCTAGCTCAACACCCGAAATATCACACAAAAACAACATCTCGCTCCGTCTTTCTTTTTCCCCCTATTCTCTATTCTATTCACACACGGCAATACTGCTACTACTGTTTTACAAATACGACTGATAACAATAAGACCCGCGATAATCGATCATACGAAGAAAACAATAATTAGGATAATAATAAATAGAATGGCAATACTAGGAATACCAAAAAAATAATTGCAACAACGCTAATCATTACAAAACATATATATATAACTACAGCAACATATAATTGATTGCCATATGTACCAATCATCTCCGTGGTTCAAAAATTTTCAGCAAAGGTCTCCACGAAACAACAACGGTGGAGCACCCGTTGGCAGAGCAGCCAATGCGCGCACGGGGAAAACGTAAGCTGTGCCCGGTGTTTCTTCGTACGGTGTATCACCCCAGCACAGCCATTCAACAACAGCTATCTTGCAGCGTAATAACTGTTTGTTCCAAAGACACTGGTGTGTCTCCTATTTACTATCAGGTGGTTTTTTTGTGTTTGTGTTTGTTTTTCTTTCCTCTACAATTGCGCTAACGAGCGCCCCCCCCCCCCCAAAACACACCGTCAATCCCTCCAAAAGGTACCGCAATTGGGAAAAAAAATTCTTCTCATCGAAAAAAAATAAGCGAGCTGTAAGACACCAGTGGACGTGGGACGTTTTTGACAGGATGATCGGCAGTGGGTGGTGGGAACTTAAAAAAAGCCTCCAATTAATTATATTAATGAAATAATTGCTAATATGAAGAGCTCATAAAATAACCAGGGAAAGAAAATAAATTATCCAATTGAAAAAAAAAAAAAAAAAAATAAAGAAGCTGTCTGGAACAAAAATAAAAATTCATGATCTTTTCCGACCGGTTCAATACGGTAGGTAATATGCAAAACCCCCCAGAGTGTTAGCTTGCAGGCCCTCTGATAATTAATTATATAGCCACCTCTTGTCGCAGCAAAGAATTCCTGTTGTGTAATTGCCTTAGACTTGCGTTCTGTGTAGATAAGTCTGCACAAAGTGTTACTAAGGAAAAAAAAAAAAAAAACTGCCCCGATATCTATCTCAAACCACAATTTGGCATTAGTAGTACCGCCCCCCCCTCTAAAAGTTGTGTTTGGCCAGAATTAAAATCGCAAATTGGGAAAAAATATAAATAGATAGATAGATAAATAAAACGCTGTCCGTTAATTATCACAAAATCTTAATTACGTGCCTTCTACTACGTTCCAAATTACAACGGGTCGTGTGTCGTTTAATATATTAGTCGCGGTAATCGGACGTATCCTCCAAATGCTGTGTCGAATAATTAATTTCCCAAAAAAAAAAAAAATTTAATGCCACGAATTTGAAATTCCATTAATCACCTAATTTCCATTAATAATCAACTTGGATTACTGGTGATTCTCTCAATTTATTGTAGTCTATGTGATGTTTAGGTTTTTCTAATATTCGTCTGTAATAATGTATATGTCATCTCTTAAATTCTTACTGTTCAATATATCAAATTCAGAACTATGTATAAGCTCTGATACAGATTTATTTTTGTACAACAATATTCTTCTTGTTGCCAATACCTATACAATTTCTGATGGGCAATGAAAAATTAGAACAAAATAATATGTCTTATGAATCTTTAGCAAGATCCACAGGCCAGCATATTCCATTTAAATGAGCTATGAGCTACTAAGAATTAGAAATGTCTTAGATTTCTTAATCACTGTAAACTTAATAGTACCTGTTGCGAATGACTAAAATGGAAACCTGGGCAAACTCTGAAACCGTCGCTTAATGCATGTTGGGGGTCGGGCACATGCACAAGGGCTATTTCCTCTACTCTAAAGTTCTTTTGTTGTTTTAGATCACATGTTATATTGTAGGGCTTTCTCAATTAGCACACGTGCATATCAGCTTATTGGACGACATAAGTGACCGGAAATTTTCTATAGGTTGCGAGGCCCTGGTACGGCCGACTAACTTTTTTTTTTTCCCACCAAACTCCACTTAGACAAAAAAAAAAAAATCTCACCTGAAGAGTTCTTTTGAAGTTTTGCTTTTTAAATAAAGTATCGATAAAAGGTATGTTAAATTTACTCACACCAATTTATATTATAAGTGATTGAGACGTTAATAAGATATATTGTGTGAAAGGCAAGTGGTGTATATTTATATTACAATTGATTCGAATCAAGAATGATATCAGGTTGCAAATTGGTTGGTCATCTGGAAAATTATTCAACAAATACAATGATATGAAGAGGAGAAAATATAGAATAATAATATGACTACAAATGGACAATAGCAATAGTGGTAAAAAGACACATGAAACTTAACGATTTACAAATTACAATAACCTGGAGATTCATTTTTCAAATATATTTGTCAGGTTTCTAAATTTAATTCTTCGAATCTTATGATGATTTATTTAATGAGTATTGGCTATTTGATTTATTCAAACATCATTTTTTACCTTCAATATTAAACACAAAATAATTAGTCACGACCATTGGAGTGTGAACGCTATTATATTGAGCCATGGATCAACATTTATAATATTGATGACACAAAAAAAATTTTCACTTTGATTTTCCATTACTAACATTATCGTTCAGTCTTTGAAAAATGGGTATTTCTAGAGATTCACGTCACAAGCGTTCCCACACTGGTGCCAAGAGAGCCCAATTCAGAAAGAAGAGAAAGTTTGAATTGGGTCGTCAATCTGCTAACACCAAGATTGGTCAAAAGCGTATCCACGAAGTCAGAACCAGAGGTGGTAACAAGAAGTTCAGAGCTTTGAGAGTTGAAACCGGTAACTTCTCTTGGGCTTCTGAAGGTGTTTCCAGAAAGACCAGAATTGTCGGTGTCGTCTACCACCCATCTAACAACGAATTGGTCAGAACTAACACCCTTACCAAGGCTGCTATTGTCCAAATTGATGCCACTCCATTCAGACAATGGTACGAAACCCACTACGGTCAAACTTTGGGTAAGAAGAAGAACCAAAAGAAGGTTGAAGAAGAAGAAGTCAAGAAATCTAGAAAGGTTGAAAGAAAATTGGCTGCTAGAGCCTCTAAGGCCAAGGTTGAACACTCTTTGGACGCCCAATTCGGTGCCGGTCGTTTGTACGCTTGTGTTTCTTCCAGACCAGGTCAATCCGGTAGAGTTGACGGTTACATTTTGGAAGGTGAAGAATTGGCCTTCTACTTGAGAAGATTGACTGCTAAGAAATAGGTTACTATATAATCTTTTTTGTTTCAATCTAACCTTGTTTTTACCATCTTTTTCTATAAAATTATGTCTAATTTTGTAAAAATATATTAATGATCTTCATAATTATATTATTCAAAGTAGGAAAACAAAACAAGTCAAAAAAAAAAAAAAAAAAATTGAAAGTACATAAAATAGGAAACACATCTTCTACCAAATTCTCTTTGAGCTCATCTCATACCTAACAACATTATCTAGCCCGCCTTCATTTGATATATTATTATCAGTTGATTGATTCCTCTTCACAATTTTCTTGATGTCATTTTTCACACGATACTGATCAATCGATTTCCGCTTATCATAGTCATCGTACAAATATTTTATATCATCCTTATCCAACACTCCAAGACCCACGGTTGATAAATGCCCCGGTTTGTAATCATTGTTGAGGATATCATTAACAGTGGTCAAATTGGAAAAAAGCGACTTATCAATTGGACTTTTCAAGTCATCAGTGAATGGGTTCGTCATCTTTTCACCGGGTACTGACTTTTCAGCATCAGCTAATGGTGACGAGACCAAATCATACTCTGTCCTGTGTGGAGATCTCTGGGATGGTCTATTCAATTTCTTTTCATTATCTTTATCTAAACCCTTGTTAACCAATTGGTTTTCCAATTTTTTCCAATGCAATATAAAGTGCTTTCTTCTTCTATGTGATACTTTCAATAAAAACATCGATAAAATCAACTTCACAATGAACAAAATTGTGAAAATCAAAAATATGATTATCAACATGTTTAGATTATCCATGAGAGGATAATAAAATGCGGTGAAAAAGTTCTTGGTCCTGGTATCTAAGTTTGTAGAAATGTCCTGGTGATGTAGTTTTTCAAATAAAAAGTGATTAACTGAAGGCCACGACATTTTCATAACTATTAAATTCAATACCAACATCGGAACCCCGACCCTAATGCTCAAATTCCTTTTGGAATTAATCTGACGGTGGATATTTTCTTCAATTGTCAGACAGTGCCCATTATTCGAATCTTCGTAGTTCATTTCCAAAAAATCATTCGAAAGAACATTTAAAAATCTTTCGTAAATTTTTGGACTGAAATGATTGTACTTGGCAATATAAGAATGTTTCAACCAATCAACTAGCAATTCTGATCCAAGAACAATTAAAGTGGGATTCAAGAATACTCCAACAAAATTAAAGAGACCTTTGCTATTGTTAAAGCCGTTTCCTGAAGTGGTGCCAGAAACACTAGAAATAGTCTTCCAGAAATTTGGAATAAGTCCTTCATTGATATCAATCTCGATCAAATTTCTCAACCCAATCAAAAATAAATATACAAGCAACTGGAATCTTTCAGTTAAATCCGAACAAATATTTTGAAATAAGCCTTCTCTATCAAACTTTTTGAAAACCGTTGATTTAATTTCCGAAAATTGGGAAGACAAAAGTAATGTAAATAAGGCATTGGAATATGAATTGATAGCCACATTCAAAGAAATGGTTTGATAGATTAAGCAAGTAGAATGACAAATAAAATACACTAAACATAGCCCATAGGAAATGACAAAAACGAACCCTGCTAATGCCAATCTGGTAAGGCTTTTCTTTGACATGGAAAATTCTGTTATCGTTGAAGCCAAAGAGAACTGGAGATTGAAAAGAAACTTTAGTAAATCCTCTCCTAACGTTGCCACCAACTTATCAACAACATCCAAAACGCCTATCATGACGTATAATTTTATGGCAGATTGCCTTCTGATGTCATGATATAACTTCGAGGTATCCAAATAGGATAAGATCCATAAGGAAAACCAGAATAAAGATGCCTGGATCATTGGGTTGTACATCATGAAAAATAAATTTGTTACACTAACCCTTTGTGTAAAGACATTTGGTGAGGCTGTTTTGGGTTTATGGAAACTAGACGGTAGGAATTGGGTTCTCACTAGTAGTACCAATTGAATTAAACACACAAACAACTTGAGGGGTAAGATCGTAAAGGCGATTAGAAAGTCATTCAAGCAATATAACAATCCGAAACACATAAATTTCTCTATATGGATGGGTACCTTTACGAAATGCAAGATATTTCCCAATAACTCGTCAAAGTTATCATCCAAATTCTTCTTTTTACCATTAGCGCCAGTGCATGGTTTGGAACTATCGCTCAAGTAATTCAACCCCAATTCTTTCAATAACAAGTTATAGAAAGTATGGAAAGACGAATTGTTCAGAATTGATGTGGCTCTGTTGCGCCTTCGTATTCTTGGTTCGCCTTCTTTATGGGATTCCGGCATCTTTATCGTGTTTTACTGGTGTTGAGAGCATGGTTGTGGCGATGATCAACCATTTTTTTATTTTGGTGTTTTTTAAGGTCCGGGCAGATGGCTCCTGCCACCTACGATAGCCACATTTGCCAGTGATATTTCTGATTTTCTAACTTTAGAGCTGGGTTGAATAAGTCAAAGGTTTATGAATCATACAGATTATTTTCAACTGTCCTCGATTCTAGTTCTTTGTTTTTATTTATTGGTAGTTCTTTTTACTGTTATCTTTAGGATGCATGACACTGTCATGAATGCAACACCGAATATCAACAGAAATTTCACGCTAGGCAGTCAAGCTTGAAGGTTCTAAAAGAAGAGAGATTCACATGCTCTCATTGCGCTACATACTTTATTATATTTATCGTTATTTTTTTTTCATCTCATCTCATCTCATCTCATTATAACAACATACATTAGAAACAATACGGAAAACCAGGGCCTTGCTCAGGTATCTAAACAGAATAAATAATACACATCACACCACCATTAAATCACCAATATTCCAAACATCATCATCATGGCTTACCACCTGGAATCAACTAAAATAGTGTTAGTAACAAACATCTGATGCGTCAATCTCCAATTGATACTACTTACCATCGACACATGATTACCACTCAACAACATCTTTGAGCGCTGAGTTTTCGAGCCATCGGCTTCAAATTCGGTAACGTCTTCCAAAACCATATTCACATAATCATCGAACCCTACAAGGGTTCCTTCAAACTCTTTGCTGCCACTCATCAATACCCATATTTTTGAACCAATACACTTATCCACAAGCTCAAGGGGCAAAACAACAGTGGGTTGCTCATTAGATGGAGCCGTTGTTTCTTCGACCGCAGACATTATACTTTATTAGGAATCCAAATATTCTTCTTGGACAAAACCTTTGAATGATTTTTGGCCCTTTTCTGGTGCTGCTTTTTTTCTTTTTGTTTGGGCTTTCGATTTTTCTAAAAAACGCGGGCTGCGTAACTACTGTTATTCCGGGAATCAACAAAAAATTTTTTTCTCCTCGGGTGTTAAATACTTATAACAGAGGCGTTTGCTTGACATTTCTTTAAGCTCTTATATTCTAATTGAGGTCTTCTAGGATATTTGTTGCTTCTTGGTTTGCATCAAATTAATCTGATCTTTTATCCGCCCATTTTTTCTACTTAAAAAAACAAAATCACTATGGATAGGGAACTACCTCTGCATTTGGCCATCAGACCGCTCAATTTAGGTGATTTGGCCCAAGTCACAGAGCTCGAGGCCTTGTGTTTCCTGAAGGAACAAGCTGCTTCTGAAACTTCCATCAAATACAGACTTTCCGTGTGTCCTGAGCTCACATCGGGGATGTTTATCAGAACTTTCGGTGGCAAATACTCGAATGAAGGTGCCAAATCATCATCAGTAGAAGCCCAACCTCACCATAAGAAATTCATGGGATTTTCCTCCAATAACACTGCCGACAACAGTGAATATATCCCCGACGAAACCTCCTCGATCGTGAGTGAAAGATTGATTGGTCATCTCTTGTCGACAAAAATCCGCAAGGAATTCATTCAAGAAGCTGATATGGAAGTACCGGAGTGGTTTGTGAAAAATGATGGCACATCCCCGGTAAGAAATGGTAATGATGATAAAGTGGGTCACGTTGAATCTTCTGATATTATTGGGTTGCATTCGGTCGCGGTACACTCAGAATTTAGAGGTAAAAAAATTGGCTCTTTGATGTTACATGATTACCTTCAAAAATTATCCAACCAACAAGTCGGCTCTATTATTAGTATAATGGCCAAACCCGGTCTTGTAAAGTATTATGAGTCCGTAGGTTTTGTGGATAAGGGGATTTCGGATTACAACTATGGTGGAGCAGAGTGGCATGATATGCACATTGAATTGAAGCCTGAAGAAGCTAAAATGTAATAGACATAAAGTTAAGAGTTGTTAAGGTTATGACCTTTGGATTATTTTCAATAAACTCGTTATTATAGTGCTGATGAGTTAATACTTAAAACTAATGTCATTGATTTATTGGCATATGAACCCCGTCGTGATACCAATAAATCATTAATTGATATCGCCGTAATTATTTTTTTTTTCTTTGACTCATATTTTGTTCACTTTTGTATTTCATCTGTTGCGTGTGAGTGGAATGTTGTATCTCTTTGATTTTATATTCTTCACGTCCTGGGCGTGTTATACCTGATTGTTCATTTTGATATTGCTATGAACTCATACATCTTTTTTTAAATTTTTACTGCATAACTATAGTATAAGTAAGACTGATAAAATTACTAAGTCATTCAAATCATGAAAAAAAAAAAAAAGAAGAAGCAGAAAGAAAACATTCAAAATAAAAGTATACCCATAGCTAAAATATATATAAAGGCGAATATCAATGGAAAATAACACAAAAAGCACAGTCATAAAAATAACACGAAGTTATTAAGCAAAACATAATATACACAATTAATCATTAGTCATAAACACGAGAGTTTCTCATAAGAAATACTCTGCCGCGGGGTTCTTAGATGGGATAGCATCTACGTCCTTAATCGCGGCATCGAACAACCCGTAATCCCTATTCAAATAATCATCGATTCGCAAAACAGCAGCAACATTTCCACATCGATAACAATAATTTGGCGCCGACCATACGGTGACCAATCCCCCATTGAACAACTCTTTATATCCTTCCATTACTAACTGATGGGCTCTTGCGATCAAGTTCAATTTATTGGAATACAAAAACTTTTTCACCTCATTCTCCCCAAACAAGTACCCAGCTCCTCTGGGACTGACTGCCCAGGCTGGCACGTCATCAGGGTCACTCCATAACAAATCACACATTGCCCCTTCGTGGGGGACCTCTTTTTTTCTATCTATATGTTTTATCTGATCCACATATTCTATGTACGGAGATAATCCTCCATGGATACAAAACACCCCATTCCCAGTACCGTCGCCCCCTGACAGATTACTACCATAGATTAAAGCTCCAAGCGATAGATAATCAAATACTTCACAGCAATAACGCCACACGTTGACCGATCCATATTTCCGTAGGCATTCATCGTAGAACCCGTAAACCATTGTTATTGACCTACTTTCATGGTTTCCTCGCACCAAATAGATACGGTCAGGGTATCGAAGCTTCAAGCTTATAAGTAATAAGAAAGTTTCTACTGAATAGAATCCGCGATCCACGAAATCACCAAGAAATAAATATTTTGAATTTGGAACTTGGCCATTCTTTTCAAAGAGAATCAACAAATCATGAAGCTGGCCGTGAATATCGCCGCATACCACAATAGGAGGGTATATTAGTTGAACATTGGACTCCTCAATAAGTATTTCCTGGACTTTTTGACATATTTCTTTGACATCTTCCTCTGGGACATGTTTACTATTCTTTATCAATTCAATGGTTCTGGGGGCGTTAGCATGTTTTCTTACTTCCAAGAGAAAAAGAAAAGAAAAAAGAACAGTGAAACAAGTAAAACAAATGAAACTCAATAAATAACATACCTATCAATATCCACCATTATGCTTATGTACTCTCCAGATTAGATATGTTCAGATATGATGAGGTTCCAGGTATTATTATCTTTCGGATGTGACATTTGTTTAAATTCAAAAAAAAAAAAAAAAAAAATGTGCGACGCGTGTCCACGTAATTTAACGCCAACTCCTACTAAGCTTGAGTATCATCATAATCAAGAATTTCAAGATTTCAAAATGTAAACTAAATCTATTAATGTATATAATATAACAAAAAGTATATAGCAGCACAACAAAACAATAAAAATACCGAGAAGAAAAATAAAGAATTTGGAAGGAGTATATGGGTAGAAAAAATTTTGTATATAAGCAAAACAAAAAAAAACTTTATATATGCAAGTATAAGATAAACCAGAGCATGAACGTAATCTTCATAAATATTTTAATAGTAAAATGAAATTGAAACTGCATTGGAAAATCCCTCAGGCGTTCCAGACATTAGCAGTCAATCCGCTACTTGTGTATTGGCGTTGATGGTGATGTTGTTGTTGTGGGTTTTGAGATTGCACTTGAGGTTGCATTTGCATTGGCATATTGTTGAATGATAACTGGCCAAAGGAGCTTTGTTGTTGGTGGAAGTTCACTGGCAAAGTACTGTAGGAATAGTTATTGTTAAGATCACTGTTGATCGATGAAATCGAGTCCAAGTTCTCATGGCGAATGAGGCTTGGTTGACGTTGATGAGCATCAACCTTCATTGGGGTGGCATTTGGAGCCGGTGGAAATTGAAACTGTTGAGGAGGTGGGATCATAGATTCATCAACAATAGAATCCTTAATTGACATATCGGTAGGAGTAACGGCACACATCCAGATTCTAGTCTTGTAAATTCTGAATATGTCCTTCACTAAGTCCCTGAAATCAATTCTCTTGTTAGCAACATAGTAGAAAGTCAACTTTCTTCTATCCCATTGATACTCTGCCCCCAAGACCTTCATTGGAACCTTGTGGATGATGATCTTGGATTGCATGATAGCCAATGCCTTAAGCTCATCAGATTGCTTGTGAATGATTTGGGAAACTTCATGTGGCATAGCAGTACGCACAACTTGTTTAGGAATGTGTGGTTGAGGTGGGTTGTTGTTGTTGTTATTAGCAACATCGTTGTTGTCAAATCTCAAGGCATCAGTCTGTTCTTCATTCTGAATCATCTTGATCAATCTTGCATCATCGATTGAAATATCGGTAGAAACTACCATACCCAAATCTTTACCACGGTCAGCTTCCACGAAAACCAAATCACCAACCTTCAACGGGTTAAAAGCATTGTTCAAAGGATGGAAAAAGATATCCAATCTACCATTCTTAAAAGAAACCAAAACCAATTGATGTTGATGTTGTTGCTGCTGCTGTTGTTGTTGCATGTTAAAAGCAGCGTCATTTAAATTAGCGTCCTGCCCTGGCAACAAAAATCTTGGCAACTGACCAGCTTTGCTAGAGAAAACTTTATCATAGTTCAAATTCTTCAAGCCTTCCAAAGTCAATTGCTGAATTTGAGAGTCCTCAGAACGGGTGAAGTAATTCAAAATTTGTGCCATGCTAGCCTGAGACAACTGTTGTGGTTGTTGTGGTTGTTGTTGTGGTTGTTGTTCGAAAAATCCAGTAGCACTTCTTGGGACAGAAGCGGCGTTAGCATTGCCGACAAAAAAGCTATCCTTAGCTGGAGAGAATGCATCAATACCATTGTTATTAGTATAGGAGTACTTGTTGTTAAAAGAAGCTAATAATGGAGATTTCAATTGTTGTTGAGGATGAGCAGGGGCATCTTGCTTGATATTCAAATAGTTAATACCACTGTTCAAGCTAGTCATATCATTGGAAGTGATACTTTTACCAAAGAACTCAGAAGATGGTGTAAAGTTTCCCCAGATCAGGTCACCTCCAGATAACTTTCTAGAGTGTTGTTCACCAAGAGTTAAAGTGTTGCTGCTTCCAGAAAATGAGGCCGATCCAATCGGCTTTTTTATGTTGGGACCGTTAGCCTGGTTGATGTCAATACTCAAGGTAGCTGACTTTGGCAAAGAGTTGGTTCTGCCAGGCAAGGCTTTCAAAGGAGAGTTGTCTGCCATAAAGGAGGAGCTTGACTCTTGAGACTTATGAGGAGAAGTGAAGGCAGAAGAAGAGTCCCAAATGGAATTGGACAAGTGGAAAGGAGAGACGCTTCTAATAGGTTGAGCAGGTTCGGTAGAGCCTTCGGTAGTCAAATCACTAATGTACTTTTCCATATCATCGGAAACACTGATGTTTGGCAAGTTAGAAGGACTGGTGGCGGAGGATGTGCTTTGGGCACGGCCAAATTGGAATTCACGGTTGACTTCCATTTCCTTATATTGGACTGGGGTGTTTTCCGCGGTAGTGGCTGGAGTGTTTGCAAAGTTGACTGGAGTGTTTGCTCTTGAAAATGACGAGGAGTACACAGAGTCAGGAGAGGTTGAAGTTCTTAAGCTTTCAGGGCTGTTGAAAATAGGTCTGTCTTGTTGATTGTAAAGAAACATCTATAATGAAACTCGGAAGGAGGCGGGAAAAAAAAACGGAGCTTGGTATTGAATGTACTAATTGGTTTGGGAGGGGCTCTATTATAACTAAGAGAAAAGAGATGTTAGTTCGGTTTTTTGTGTTAATTTGCTATTTTCCTTGACTGTATTAAAAGGTCTATGTCTATAATCTATCAGGAGAGTCTATAGGTTCAAGCAAACAAAAACGTTAGATAAACGAGAGTGGGTAGTCTGTTATTTCTTTTTTAACTGAATTTAAAAATAGTAAAAATTAGAAAAAGCAAAGAATGGTAGACTCAAAGAATATATATATATAATTTTGAAACATTCGACACTTACCATAGAAGCACACTGATCCAACGCAGCACACTGACGAAGATCCAGGGATTAGTGGTCAATGGTTGCAGTTACCAAACAAAATGCGTGGAACGAACAACTAGTGCAAAGCACGGGAGCAAATCAATGCAGTGGTAGAAGGCACAAACACAAAAGTAGTCTCTAAAGAGGATGGGCCTCTGTTGTGTTTAAAAATGATTTGGATGATCTGGCAGGTACACGAGAAAAGTGTTGTTTGTTTGAATTTCGATTCTTTTATATTTATTACGTGGGGGATGGCAAAGCAACTTACGGGTTGCGAGCGTTGCTCGGTGTGGGTGTTATTTGCTCCTGAAATAGGTGGGCAGCTTACGTATTGGGCATGTTTTTCAATAATTATAATAAGGATCATATATCTCATCATAAGGACGAGTGATCATCCTCAGCCATTCTATAAATCATGGCACATCGTGATCGTGATGGATGGTAATCCAATGTTATTGTTGTTGTTTTTTTACCATTGGCGAGGATCCATCGACTACGGTGTTTGAGACTCAAACTAAAGCTCTAACTTATTATAATTAGTGCGGAAAAAAAAAAAAATTGTCCCCCACCTGAAAAAGCAATTCGTTACAAGACTTTTAGATTATCTCGTAGCAAAGTTGCCAATATCAAACCATATGCAACCAATAATTGGTGATATTTGGTAATTACATGATACTTAGTTAGTTCTCTGGCCTCGCTAGCTACCCATGTGTGACCAGTTGATTTTTTGTAAACTACAATATACACGATTTGTCAGTAATAATTTGTTTAATACATTACAAGTGTTCCTTTCAATGTCTATCAATGTTTTCTATATCACCCTTCTTCTTATTCTTCTTCTTATTCTTCTTCTTATTCTTCTTCTTCTTCGGTGGAGGTTCTTGTGCTGTCACTTTTCTCCTTCTTCGCGATTTAAGGTTTGAAGGGCGTTTCGAAATCCCTTACAGCTCAGCGGGGCTGCGTAACAAGAGGCTCCAGAGCCAGGTCTCAAACTGCAGGAGGTCTCTACCATTCTGTATATTCTGGGAAATCATCCCCCACATGCTCGTTTATTGATGATGTGAATCATCCATTGTTCTCTTTTTTTTTCTTTTCCCGGAGTTTCCTCAATAGACATTGAAAGAAATCTCGTTGAGACACACGACTGATAGATCATCTTTTGCTTGGCATCTTCTGATGTTGTCCGACAGTAATCTTTGACAGTTCGTGTTCAAGGACATCCTTATTAAATCAAGTATTAGAAAATGAAAAGGTTAATCATAATGTCAAGATACCGTGTGACACATGAGTCCCCTGGAAATTTGTCTGCTGACTACTATTGACTGCTACTTTGTTAATGTCCCACTTACGTGTTAATTGTTTCGCACAGCTACTGTAATCTATGTTTTACTGAATTCCATAGAAAGTAGACAATTATATTTTTTTTTCTCTTTCTTTTACAATTGTTCTTGTTATTAAGTTTGTTATTTTCCAAAAATGAAGAAATTGAATGAAAACTGTTTTTTGCAAATTTGATTCAACAAATACTCCGCGGAACTAGAACTGGACTCAGATTATAATGGCAAATTAACCCATTAATTAGAGTAAAATTTTAAGAAAGTAGGCCTAAAAACTAATCAATTTCTTACAAATGATAAAATTCTTCATCTTTGTCCTTCATAGTTTTAAAATCGTTGTTGAACCGTCCTCTTCACGGAATTTCAAAAATCAACAACACACACAGTTGACGCGTCAAGACATGACAAAAAAACTAACGCGATGATCAACAAAAACCACCACGAAGCCAACATTTATGTAATATTCTTATCTCTACATTATTTAAATTCTCAGAATTTTTCAAATGCCTTATAAACATTTATTCAACTTGTAAAAAGTTCATGAAAAAACTAATCAATGATTTCTAACGCGTAAAAAGGTCTTTCAAGAGCAATTTTGGGAAGATGATTTTATAATGTTTACATCGACGCGCAATTTTTTATTCGTTTCTTTCTATCTTTCGAAAGAAAGAAAAAAATTACTTAAGAAGAGAAATAAGACAGTTCTTATCTCGAGTTACCCTGAATCTTGTGAGAATTGAGAAACAGAATTGTAACATATACCACCAGTATTGTTCATTTATTACCTAAAGAAAAAAACTTATTATCGGGTCCTTATCTTATTTCCTGTCTTATAACTACTATTCTATACTCATTATCTATTTAAAGAGGTACTAAACCACTTATTCCTTATGTATTAGTTCAATAAAAAATCAAGTTAATATTACAAGAATGTTTGCATTTATCAAGATTTTTTTTTTTTTTTTGGACACTTCTGAGGTCAAGTACATACCTGAATGATGCCCGGAGATGGTATAATCTACCATGTTCTCGTGTAAAGAAAATTGTTATCGATAATGACATTGCGAAGCTATAGCTGACCATTTTCAATGTGAACACAAAAATACACATGTCTTCTAAAAAACAACCGTTTACTCCATAAATAATTAAACAAAAAGATAAAATAATGTACGAAAAAATGCAAATCCAACCAATAAGCGTAATATAGTATAACATGACAATAAAAATAACAATAGCTAAAAAAAAAAAGTTAATTGACAAACCGAAGATCTAGATTAATTTTGATTGATCCATTTTTGCTGGACAAAGAACTCATAAATTTTAGAGGTCTTGTTAACGTCGATTTTCAATATCTCCCTGGCTGTTCGCTTCTTTAGCATACCACCAGACCGAACCAATTCTCTGAAGAGGGTTTCTTTGATTGCCAAATAAGGTTTTGGGCGGATTCTCAAGTTTGAACATAATTTTTGTTCTTCTGGAGATAATAATTCGTAGTCTGGAGCGTGGGTAATATCCAACGGTACTAATGCATTCTTTTTTGTGGTCTTAATAACACCACTACCATTTATTGAACTGTTATATGCATTGTTCGTAGAAGTTGCCGATTGATAAGTTAAATTATTTGCCCCCACTAACTCGTTTAAATATCTGTCAGAAGCACTAGAACTTGTTCTACTATGTCTAGTACCACCAGAATTGGCAGCCCTCTGTAGCTGATTGGCCCGAACAATCTTATCCTTCTCATACTTCAAACCAGCGTCAATGGTGGTCAAGCCAGCATTTCGCCAACTTTGCAATTGGGCAATTTTGTTTCTTAGACTGAACTCGCCGATGATATCCTCCGAAAAATCTTTGAAATCTTCTGGGGTCATGATTCTCGTAAATGCTTTCAACCGATTATACAAATCCTTTTCTTCTTTTGATCTGCGTTTTCTTTTTTCATTTTCCATGTTCCTTTTATAATCCAACAACTTATACCTCAACATCAATCTTTTTCTTTCTGCTCTTGCCGATAGTCTTGCGTCATAAATTTCTAATATCGTGAGCTTCAATTTAATATCATCTTCCTTATCATCTGGATCGAAAATCATTTCCTTGATCGTTTGTTCAGCATCATTTTCATATTCTTGTTCAAACTCCAATCTACCAGGCATGTATCCGTGAATTTCATGACATAAAGGAACAGAGGACGGCGGTTTTGGAATTGGTGGCGGTAATGGAGCATTTAATCGCTCTTCTAATCTTTTTTTTCTTCGCTGAGCAAACGATTCTGGGGTAACATATGAAAAATCTTTACCCATGGCAGGAATAGGATACGATGGAGAGTTCAAATACATCTCAAAGTAATGTTTCTTCACCTCTTGTTTAGATCTCCCACCAATATGTTTAGCAATGTCGCTCCAATTACCAAGACCACAAGTTTGGGCACCCTCCACCAACAATAACTCCTCATCTGCACCCCAATCTTCATCAAATATTGGGAAAACAGGCTGTTCTATGATACGATAATCATGATATGGTTTGTGACTCCCACTGGATGCCCCTGATGAGAAACATGGAACACATAAGTCATATTCAGTACATTCTGCACACGATATCCTGACTCTATTGGAACAGTCTTGGCCACAAACATCACAATGGAACTGTCCAGCATTCATGATTAGAAATAGGTATATTTGATTTGGGGGCGATATTGAAACAGTACAAAAATGTTCAAGAAAACCCCACAATTAATGTAAGGTTGTAATTGATAATTCGGAAGATCTATGTTGACATGTTGAGAAATCAAAGGTCTATTTTCCATGAGAAAAAAAAAACTGGCACGTGAATTTCGCGGTATACTACCACATCGCGCCATATATTTTGGGATATTTAGGAATAAATGAAATAAATTAATAATTTAAATAATAGAATTAAGCTTATCACCAAAAGATGCGATTTTCTCTGATTTTTCTTTAAGAATATCATCATGCTGTTCCAAATAATTCGCGTATTTATTGATAGTATCGGCAATCGCATCAAATTTTTGAGAGAACTTGTTTTTGGCGTAAAGAGCCCTCTCAGTCAAATATATTTGTTTTCTGGAAATTCTTTGGCCCTCTAAAGCCCATTCTTCAATACTACATGTAGCATAGTTCTTTAAAATTGGTTCTCTCTCGTCAGAAATATCAAAGAAATAATCAATTTCTTCTTTTGTAGCTCTCTTAGATAAAGTCGAGTTTTTGATAGGAAAATACTTTTCCACTCTTAAAGCAGGAAGAGCCTCAGAGTCTTGTGCCTCTGGACCAAAATTTGATTCACTGGATAAATCATACTGACATTCTGAACTTTGGTTCTCCATAGAGCGGTTAGCACACGATGGATTCCCAGTTTCCATCTGGTGGGAGGGGTTCAAATCGTGATAAATATCAGACGTTCCTGTGGATCTCGAATCAGAATCTAAAGAAAACTTAGACTTTTTTGAATTTTTTCTTATAATTCTTTCATGTTTCCGCTTAGTCGAAGTAGGTGTAGATAGCGCCACCGGAGTTATCACCAAAGTCTCTTTATTAATATCGGCGGTACTTTTTGCAACCGTACTTTTGCTTCGTTTCCTTTCTCTAGAGCCTTGTGAATCTAAAGTTTTAGAACTTTCTTTAGATGGCGCGTGATCATCATCAAACTGTGGTGGGTTAATGAGAAATTTATTAGCGATTTCATGTAAATTAGATTTGACGGTATCTTCTGGACCTTTACTTTTAAGTGATTTTGCTTTAATAGAACTATCTGAGCGGCCCATGATGATGGTCTTGAGTATGAATGATATGAAGACTAAAAAAAATTTTAAAAGCGAATATTTGAGATCTTTCGTATTATAAATGATAAAGACATCAAGAAAATCAAGAAAAAATGAAGAATGAACTAACGAACAACGGAAATTGGAATAGCTACTGCAAAACTCATATGCATACATGATGATGGGAATCCCCAAGAAACACCCGAACTCTACAAATAGAGGAGCAATGCTAATAAAACAAAACTATTACAGCGGTTATACGTGTATTTACACATTTCATTATGTACGTATGTACTTGCGAATGTTAACTAACACCTCTTACCTATACCACCCGCCATATAATGAAGATATTTATCGAATACCTTCGAGCGCGTAAACATTACTAACCGCAGCGACAATTATTAATCTTGAAAAAAAAAAAAGAGAAAGGATTTTTTTTTTTTTTTTTCTGAACCCAAGAATTGGATTCAACAAATAATTACACAATATGGTTGACATGGCAAACGAAATCGAAGATGATCTTTTCATAAATATTGTCGAAGAATTAGATGAAGATGACAATGTTTTAGACTATCGCTTGGAAGAGATCAAACCCAATGATATTGGAAATGACCTTGCCTCGCATGAAAAAGATGGTGATCTGAGTGATTCAAAAAAGGAAACTGGTAAACTATCATATAAAAAGGGGTTTTTGAATAATTATGACCAAGATAAAAAAAATCCAGTGACGGGTAAATTCGGAGATGTTGATATAATTGAAGACTATTCTTCAACTGGTGACGAATTGAATGATTTACTCGAAGACATGTGTATCGACAACAGAAGCAGCAAGAAAAAGAATGTTAAAGAAAGTCCGATTAAAACTAAAGAAACCAGTACCATTACAAAAGAAAATGAAAGTGTTGATCAAACTAAAATGTCTAAGGAAGTTGTCAATAAAGTTCAAAAGACTGAAGAGAAGATAGATAAGCCTATTAATGAGGTTGCAAACCAAGAAAGCCAACCGCAAGTCAAGTCCGCATCTATTGATAAGTTTCAAAAAGTGAAGCAAAAGAAGGCATCTTCCTTATTCATTCCAAGTAAAAGAAGACGACCAAAGAGAGTTTCTAAAAAGATAGATGATTCCTCTAGCTCTAAGACCATGAATAGTAGCCCACCAACCCCTGTTGCCTCCAAAAATGAGACCAATTCATCAATTCCAATCATCTCTAAGGAGAAGCATCATTCTGACATACAAATTTTACCAGTTGATTCACTACCAAAGACGATCTCCAATAATTTAAATAAACCAACTCTGAAGATTCCCGAGGACAGCAGCAGCGTAGCGGAAACTTCAGAATTACCAGAAGGAGAAAGGACACAGGAACCAGAGTCTTTACTGATTGCCGAGAATAATACACAACCAGAAAATTTCAGACCACAAATTGCAAGAGAGGATATGCTTGAGCTTGAATTAATTTCGGAAGCCTTTGTAGACGAGGACGATGAAATCGATGAGAAGGACGAAAATGGGGAACAACTAATAGACGATAGATTTTATGACGAGGAAGAACTCTACCAGCGTGTTTTCCCATGGATAAGGAGAGAGGAAATGGAAGTAACTGAAAGTGACAAGGATGAAAGTATGAGTATAAATGGGGTGGATCTTGGTGAAGATGAGGATAACGATGATGACGAAGACTTTATTTTAGAGAGGCCAATCATTTCTGAAAGTGTGTTGAATGAAGTGAAAGGAAAACTTGCATATGAAATTGATAATGAAATAATGGAAACTGTGAGCCCAGATGAAATTAGGAACGTAGAATACGTCGAGTCTTTCAAAGACTCTACTTCATCTAATGAGATATTGAAACCAATCTTGAAAGAAGAGAAGGTTGACACAACAATTATTGTCGAAATCGAAGAAAACAAAACTAAGAGAAAGGCTAAGAAGTCTGTTAAATTTTCTGAAACCGCAGAAGTTAAAGAAATAGAACCAGTCTCAAAAGAGATCCAACAGAAGCTCGAATTAGATAAATTATATAAGGATGTATTTGGTGGCGAATATGAGCTGATGCAAAAACAGATAACCGAAAACTTGGCGCAATTTGGCAAAAAATCACCTATTTCTGTTGATTTACCAGATCACCTTAAAAGCGAGAATTCTGAAGCCGGGGAAGAAGAGCAAGAAGAGGAGATTTCTTTCAATGATATTGTTTCAAACACAATTGTGGAGAACCAGGTCATCGAAGACACTTTTGTTTCTGAAGATGCTAAATCTTTTGAAAATAAACCTATTTCTGGGGCTCATGCTAACAGTTTGTCAGATATGGATTATCTTACCAAGGAAAACACTAGAAGGAACAGAAAAAATAGAGTTTCTAGGTTCAAACAATTTACAATGAACAACGAGCATATGTGACTGGTTATGTATTATATTATGACAACAAAGGCAATAAATTAATGGAAAAGAATATGAGATACAATTTATGTAGGGAAAACTTTGACCTGACATTGGCTACTGTTGAAGAATTCACCAGTCAATGGATCGGCTATTTTATCATATTTTTGTAGAAAAGCATCATCATAGTCACCATTATCATTCAAAAATTTTTTGAAATTATTATAAAGGCCTTCATAATCATCAATAAAATCTAAACTGCAGGTGTTGCCACTTTCAATGTGATTCTTGAAGGATATTAATAACGCATTGTTAAACTTAAATAATTCCTCCATATCATAAATATTATTATTAGGCAATAGTACAGGAGTCTTGTAACTTAGTTTGGATTTTGAATGGTGCGAGAACACCAAATGGCTACTTAATTTGATGAGCTGAATTGACGAACAAATGGTACAGTGTTTTGACTTGAGTTTGACGAGTCTTTCCCTTAATTTCTGATTTGAGTTTGACGATTTCTTTTGATCAATATTTTGATGATTATGGCAGTCAATGTTCAAATTCAAAGTTTGAAAGTTTGATAAATGTGACACCTTTTTTAAATCTGAAGGGGTCATGCAATTTCTAGTCTTTAAAACGCTAAGTCCTAATGATAATAGTTTCTCAAAAGATGAAGATGATGCAGAAAAATTGTATAGCTGGTTATAATCATCTATGAATAAAGAATTTAAATAGTTGAATCTTTTGAATGATAGTAACTTGAAGTATTGGAAAAGATTTCTGTTGAGAAGATATTTTTTGAAAGTTAGCTTGTGCAGTTTAGAAACTGGAAGTTGGTTTAAGAACCAGAGAAACATATCTTTCTTTATCAAAATCTTGAAGTGAAGGTACTGATTTTTTGAGTATACCACAGAACTTAGGTTTCCTAAACAATATTTCTTTCTATAAAAATTCTTTATCAAGAACCTTTCATATTTGATGAACAACAATATCACCGCATTTGGAATCGCTAACAATCCCATGGCCGCCTGAATTTTATCCAAATATTTATTATGCTCCTCTCGATTGATCTGGAATAGTTCATTTTTGATGAAAATAAGAGCGTCCAAATAATTGCTTTCATTGCTAGAATTATGACTGAAATTGGTCATATCAATCAAGTTTTCGCTCTTCAACACGTTATCTTTGATAAGCTCTATGAATGTTGTCAAAAAGTATTCAAATTTCAAGCTCGATTGATTTTTCTTCAAGAATTTCTCATTTTCTTTGATCCAGGTGCCTAAAAGATCCTTCGAAGTTCGATTAACTAAAACATCTCGTGTAATTAAATTCGATCTGATGATTAATTCGTAATCTACCAACGCTGAATTATCAAAATTATGGAGGTATAGTAGCGCTGGCTTAGATTTAATATAATTAGATATATCCTCCGAATTTTTATCTAAGTCCTGGAAATCAATTGTCGTCTTTAAAAAAGTGCTAGGCAAGTCATCAAAATTCGTTATCTTCAACAAATATTGGGCAATCAACACATCAACCTGATCCTTGAACCAGTCACTAAGTTGCAGATTATTGTCAAGACTAGTCAAATCCAGGTTCACGTAACCATCACCAAATTGTTTGGCTAAAAAGTTGTTTTTATTTGCGCTGGCCTCATAGCCAGTATTCCCTATCTTCAATTCATTCAACTGTCTAAATTTCTCAATTCGCTTTTCTAGAGTATTATTATAATTATTTTCTAAAACTATTTTTTCCTCGAGCTTGTTCTGATATGTATCAAGATTAGAAATTAAAGATTTCAAATCAGCCAATTTGCTCTCGAGGGTTTCTGATCGATCAATGGCCTTTAATTGACTATCGATAGTTGCCTGTTGCTTCTCATTGATTCTGTTAATATCCTTTAAATTCTTTTTGAATAATTCTAATGGCGTCTTAAGGCTCGCCTCGTTCATATGTAGAAAAAAATCAACCGAGGGTTCTGCCATTTTGTTCCAAATATTTTGTTATTATGCTCTTTGCCCCATAAAACGAGATATGACTTAATGTTATGATCTGCTGTAGAGGTGACATATATTTACATTGCTTACCCTGAAGTCATCACAAGCACTACAGGCGATGACTTCAGGGTAAGGTACAGATTCCCCGTATTAAGCAAAGGTTATAATTCTCAACTGTAAAGTTATCTTACTTCAAGAGTTATAATAACAAAGATCTTTGAGAAATTCAGATGCCTGATCAGATATTTCCTCCATCATATCTACTACAAACTAATTTCGGCCTCAATTTGGCGTCCTTATTCTCAAAGGAGGCAGTCTTAGAAGACACTAATCAGCTTAGTAGTAATGATAAGGCGTTGATACGGCTTCTGGCCGAAGGAGTTTTGGGAGATGATCCAGAATTATTGATCAAAGGAAACACAGAGTATTCGAAAAGCATTTTATCTATTGTTAATAAGCGCTTTTCAGACCTCGAGCGCGGCAAGGAACAAGTGTCGCTGATTAAAGATGATTATCTCGAAGATCCCAATAGTCATATCGATAACACCGGGTCGCCTCACCTGTATAATGTGGATGACGATTTATTATTAATGGAAAATGGGACATTTAGTGGTTCGCAGAGCAAAGAACTCCAGGACACGGCGATTTCATCAATATTGATCGAAGATAATGGGGGGTCATTACCAAGTTATCCGTTGCCCAATAGATGGTTGCCGGCAAATCAGAGAATGAAGAAGAAATTGGTGGACACTGAAAGTACTCCAGAACAATTGAAGAAGAAGGAAGAATTTTTGAGGATTTCAGAAGATGGGTTGGTGATTAATGCTGTCTCAAATAATACTTTTGAGCTGGTATATAACAGCACCGCTGCTCAGATCGTTTTCCTCTTGAAAGGAAATAATTGCATTCCTAGTGAATGTGGTTTATTCTATTTCGAAGTGAAAATTAAGACAAATATAAAGAGTTACAATTTATCTTTAGGATTTGCCAAGTCTGGCCATGTTTATGCGAAGAAGACGTCACCTAGTGAGGTTAATAGCAAAATTGCCATCAGTGACTTTCCAGGCCGTGCAGATATGACATTTGGGTTTAATGGGCAACTGGCAACTGTGGGATATGGTAACAGAAATGTAAAAAGCTACGGATATAGCTTTGGCTATAACGATATCATTGGATGTGGGATTGATTTTTATAATAAACAGATATTTTACACAAAGAATGGTGAATATTTGGGTCCAGCATTTACCAAATTGGCAAACTGTCAGTTTTTGACCCCTGTCATTGGATTCAATAGCCATAACCACAATAAAGAAACAGACAATAACATGGTTCATTCATTGACAAACAATGTGTTTCAAATTAGGAATTCGAACAATGATAGAAGTTTTTCAAGCACGAATTTTCAATCTTTCACAGAGAGTCTAGACCAATATAATAACAACTATGTTTTGCATGAGATCATTACAAATTTTGGCCTCTCTAAAGATGGCCGCCAGGAAGGAGAAAACTTCTACTTTGATATAAATGGATATATCAACAAGATAAAGTCTGAGATTTATACAAAGGTTTATAGGTCAAATTTGGAGCTTTGCAATAATTATGAATCAAGCGTGAATTTAGAAAAGCTTGTTAAACAAGAGCGGATGAATAAGCAATTTAGTATACCATCTTTATTAAACGACAATGCCCCGGAGATTGATGTGGCATTAAAGGATCTTGATAAGCAGCAATTACTTTCCACTGGAATTGATAGGCAAAGGTTGGTCTTGAAAGATTTTGAATGCAAATCGGCGATAAATAGCTTAATTAAAAACTATTTTGATCACTTGGGTTACGTTGATGCCAAAAAATCCTTTTTGAAAGAGTTGGAGAGTGAAAAGCCAATATCAGGATCCGAAGACGTTGTGATGCTAGAGGCAGCGCCAGAGGATGATGCTGAAGAAGTTCAATCGTCCAGAAAACGAACGATGCGTGAACTTATTTTGGGTGATGATATTGACGGGGCGCTTAAGTTTTTGCAACAATATTATAATGAGTTTTTCAACATCAACGAATCAGATTATGGTAGTAATTACGCTACAGATGTTGCTAATAAAAAAGGTGGAGATAAATTGGCAGAGTCTTTAGTTTTTGAGTTACAGTGCATAAAATTAATCAAGTTAATAAGAAAGTGTATCGATGATGGTGTTGTCAGCAGTAATTATGAGGATGAGGCGATTTGTTTTACAAAGTATCTAATGAAGCAGCATAAACATTCTAGTGCTAAGGTCAGAGTGCTCAATGGGCTTTTCCAGTTATTAATCACGGAAAATTGTGGCAGGGAAGAGAGGGATGGACAGGACGATGAAGATGTGTATGAGGAGGAGTATATTAGTATCAGTGACTCTCCAAGGGCGAAAACAAAGTCTTTTGACCATTTGCTAAGGGACAAGAATTTCGAAAGCTTGAAGTTAAAAATAACCGATAGATTGAATTCATTCATATTAAAAAAACTGGGAAAATCTGCAATTTCTGATTTAGAAAAAGTGGTGAACTTGACAAATTTCTACTTGCGTAAAATGAACCGGGAGAATCTTGCTGACGAGGTCGTTTTCATTAATATCAACAATGATGTATTAAATTAGAGCTAGGTACTATCTAAACATTCTATCGAATTCTTTAATCATAATGTCGATTCCTTCATTGATTAAACTGATTTTGTAGTTATTGAAAATGGAATTTTTCTTAGTCAAATATTTTAAAGACTCTTCAAATTGTGAGTTTTCTATGAGTAAATCAATCGATTCTAAAGTTAGACTAAATTCTTCCTGGGAGCCTTTGGATAATTTTGATAGTAATTTATTTGTCTTGATCGTGATTGGGATTTCTCCGATATAATTTCTTAAGGCGGTAGCTATTTGAGTATAATCTAAGTCATGGCCACGAGTCAAGGTATATTCCGGTTGGTCATTCTCGGTGGTTTCAAAAATTTCTGAAAAGTCCATCACCAGTTGTAGTTCTTCAAGGTCGTTGAACCCAAGTTTTGTGCCCATGAAATAAATCACAGAAAGGATTATCTTTGAGTAAATAGACATCTCTCCCATGGCTTTTAACTTCAACGCAATTGACTGCATGAGATGTTTATGCTCCAACAATTTGTAAACCACCTCGATCAAATAATTATCATATTTGAACAACTTCTCGTTATTTATGAGGATGAAGCAGAGTAGAATTAATACTTCCTCAATCAAGGAAAAATACTTGGTTGACGAATGCTTAGTGTCAGCGACTTTGTCGGCATTTAAAAATTTCAATAACCCAAAAAGTGTGTTGAACAATTCATTCCAATTGTACTCTAAAAGAAAATCTTCGTAATTCTCGTTTGCATTATTAGCGCAAGCCATGTTATAGTTACTGACTAAAATATTTGAAATGAGCAAGATATTATCAACGCTTAACTTCATACTGATGATGTCTAAATTTGCAGTCAAGTTATATCTCAAGAAACATTGAAGAACATCAATCATGTACAATATTTTCACCTTGAATTGGTTATTGCTGATATCATCATCATCAAAATATTGGTCATCATTGGCGGTGAAGTCGATATAATTGACAAAATTATTCACCATCGGTTGTACTTGATGGCAAAGCTTGAATTTGAATTGATCAATAGTCGTTGACAATAAATTGTTTTGAATTTTGTTGGTATCAGTGGTGAGAAGCTTGAAAATTATAAGAAGGTTCAATCTTGAAATGACATGATTAGTTTGGTTTCCATGCTGGTTTTGGAAAATGAACGATGAATAAGATAACAATAAATCGAGGAGATTGTTTACGGCATTCTCTTCATCTTCATGATGAATAACGTCGTTTTCGTTAAGGTGCAGGGTCAAATACTCCTCATACCCTTCATTATTAACAACAAAAGCATATAGCACAAGATTCAAGGAAAGAGACTCAATGCATTTGATTTGGGCATATTGGATCTCTTTCAGGGATTTTTTTTTGGTGCTGCCGTCATTTGCGCTTTCATAATATTCATTCTCCAATTGGAATTGCATGAGTTTCTCTTTAGTATAATTCTTCTTGATTTTAAGCAAGATCTTTAGTTCTTCATCCAAAGTTTCATAAACTGTGTCTCTATACCAGTTGTTTAGCTTGTTGAATTTGTTGAAAGTTAAGAGATTAAACAATGAAGCTCCGTGTGATTTTTCAATAGAGAGATCGGGTTTTGTATCATCTAATAAGATCAAGTTGAAAGAAATAATAGGGTACAAATACATATTTATTATCTTGAATATGTTTTTATCCGATACATTATTTCGGAGAAAGTTTTTGTAGATGTTTTCATTCTTTTTTCGTGAATTGTTGATTAATATGCTCATAATAATGAATTGTCTATTATAATCAATGATCGAGAGATCAGACCCAGTTGCTGGTATAACCTTATCATAAAATGCCTGGTTAAGGTCACACTCATAGAAGTACTCAAAGAATTCAGTTCCATAAAACACCAACAATGTGTTCAACAATAAACTCAAACTTGATTTTAATAAACCGGGCTCATTCAAACCATATTTGAGGATTTCAAAAAATGTTAACATGACCCCCTTATCTGATGTATCCGAGTTAAATAGAAGTTTTGTGATTAGTTGGTCATTGCTCAACATCTTTCGGTCACTTTCTTCATAAATTGATTGATTATAATAGTATTTGCTTTGATCTGCGGTGATGGATCTTAGACTTTTCATGAAAGCATTCAAAATGAGGATCAAATTATTCAGCACGTACATATCATGCATGTCTTTACTGTTATGGAAACGCTCAATGCTTTTGAGGAAACACAGAGATGTGATTGAAATATGATAGTCATTTGAGAGATCCAACGAATTGAATGTGGCGATCAACGCCGGTTCCAAAATTGAAATATTGAAAAAATCGTCCCAATATTGTTCACTTTCCGGTGAGTCCTTAGGTATGTCATCCTGGAATAAAAGACTGTATATGCTTAAAGTCAATTGGGAATGTAGTCTGTTTGGAGCCTGGGACATTGCACAAAATTCTTAGAAAGTCCCTAAACCGTTATCTTCTTGTCTGTCAAAACCCTCTTTGGAAAATACCCATATATTTCATGATGATTTGTTCAGAAGCCCTGGGCAACTGCAGAGCCACCGGTGTGGAAACGTGATCCGTCAAGGTGGAGTAACATTATATGTTTGGTATGATAATAGTATACTATCGATAATATATATATTATCATATACGGAGATAAAAATCTTCTTTAATGGCGAGGATGTAGTTTATGATGTCGTTTAATTAGTATATAATGATAAATTGATAATGATAAAAAGCCAAAGGCGGCACGGTGTTTGTAAACTTCATCTTTGGGTATGCAATGATACTATGGGTGGGTAATATGATAGAAAAAGTTACAATACAAAAAAAAAACAAGAACGGAACATCTTAATGCACGCAAAAGTACATTGAAATCCATGGAAGGGAAGACAATAATGCCTGGGAACCATCACAAAGGGGAATAATTCATGTACGCATCGTAAGCTTTACCAACAGTCCCATGCTCTGCGCCCATACTGACAATTCTGGATAAACTAAACATCCCCAATAAGGTTAATCCGTTAACTAACAAAAAACCTCTTCTCCGCTGCGTTTGGCTATAAATTTTCAAATATTTCATCCACCCTGCAACCACATGATAGAGGGTCAAGTATATCAATGATCCAAAACCAAGGTACAGAACCAATTTGTTGCTTTTAGCAAAGGCATGAGCAACATACCCGAGCTTAATGAGTGAAGAGTCACCATCAATCATAAGGGGGGCAATTCTTTCTTTTAGAATATGGTATCCAAGTACCGGCACCAATAGAAGTCCCGAGAGTTGTACTGGGGTTACCCCTAATAGTGATGCTATTTTTGAACGACGAATCCCAAGTTTGAACGCACCAAACCAGCCTCCAAGACCAACCGATTCATCGGTTATCTCATAGTCTTGAGTTTGGGAATTATATTTTGCTTGTTGTTCCATCGCGAGTTGCTGACTGAACTGGGATTTGTTCTTTTTACTATTCTTTGCCTGATTTCTCCGACTAAAATAGTTTTTGACAGTTCTAATAACCCTAATAGCTAGACCAGAAGCCACATGGGCAATTAAACTTCCAAAGACTAACCATTTTTCCACATTCTCTTGTTGGTAAATATCACGAGCCATCATAAAGGTCTCTTCAGCGACATCAACGTTAATGGCAGGAGTCACGAGAACATTGATCGAATGAAGAATTAAAAACCCAGTGAATGAATAGCTGGAGTATTTCTGAATAGCTCCGAGGAAATTGTTCGTAGTCCGATATATGTCTGGATTAGAGCGATTGAATATTGGTACACCAAAATATTTGCGCGGCTGCGGCTCTGGGGTCAACACGAACGATTCCTCCAATTCGTCTTCCAGGCCATCAATAGGAGCAGGTGTCACATTTTTGAGCGATGTCACGCTTTCAGATAGTTCACTTCCCATTGCTTATTGTGCTTGTTATTGTCTTCTACACATTCTTTAGGCCCGTAGTGCCATAGTCAATAAAAATTATTACAAATCCGAACGCCCTCAGAGGACGATGAGGCGCGTGATAAACGCACGCCGCAATTTTGACATTTTGAGCTTATAATCCGCGTAATATTCGTAATATCCGTATATATATTGCAGTTTTTTATTGGTTTAGTTTCCTTTTCTTTCCATAGAAATCATCATCAGCAAACTCTGCCTCACTATCGTCGTTATCATCAAGTTGATCGAAATCAGTATCAATTTTCGTACCTAAATGCCTCTTTAATAATACTCTAGCATCAGTTAATTCGTCTGGCAAATATTGTTGATTCACCTGCCCATCTTTGTAATCTAAGTTATATTTATAAACAAATTTATTATTTTCATGGCCATCTTCACCATCCGTTAGTCGATTGTACAATTTGCTTTGAGAATCTCTCAAATGGAACGGTACAGTGATATTTGGATGCTTCTTTACCAAGTCCTTGGCCAAATGCCACGCCCTATAAATCTCAACCGACTTGAGCGATTTCGCAACCCTCATAGTACATTCTACCATCAATTTTAAACATTTTGGCATCCCCAACCTCAATACGGTCTCGTAAACATTTGCACAGTAAACAAGGCAGCTATTATCCCGAACTCCAATGTCTTCACTGGCAATTCGTACGATTCTTCGACAAACATACAATGGATCATCCCCTCCTTTCAACATCCTCATCATATAATATAAAGCTCCATTCACATCGCTTCCACGAACCGCTTTATGATATGCAGAAATCGTGTCATAATGGTTATCTCCTTTCGCATCGTAATTTATTAGCGACCGATTACCACCATATGCGTCGAGTTTTTCTCTTAGCATTTGGCTACTCACTGTAACAGAGCCCTCATGGGTAATGACTTTTTTCGTTATTGGGTCGAAATCGGTAAGAAGCAAGAAACACAATTCCAACAATTTCAACGAGTTTCTTAAATCACCATTTGATTTCTTTGCCAAAAATTCCAACGCCGAAGAATCCAAATCGATTTCTGGAAAATCCTGGACGTATTTTCTGGTCTTATTAAGTTCAATGACACCCCGATCAAGGACCTGTTTAATTTGACTAACTGAATGGGCCGAAAGCGTCAACACTATACATCGTGACACGAGAGGCTTTATAATATTGAATGATGGGTTTTCCGTGGTGGCACCGATAAGAATTACAAGGTTTCTGTCTAGCAAATCTAGCAAATAGTCCTGTTGTGCTCTGCTAAAACGATGGATCTCGTCAACGAATAAAATGATCTTGGAAGCCCCTCGATGACGATCAATTTTATCTACCACTGATTTTATCTGATTGATTGAGTCGATGGCCGCAGAAAATTCATATGCCTTCAAACTTGATTCATTTAATATGATTTTGGCAAGACTGGTCTTACCAACCCCTGGTGGACCCCAGAGAATCATCGAGCGGATTTTGTCGATATTGTCATCTTGGAAATAGTGAGCCACCGAGCCATCGGGTCCCACTAGCTGTAGTTGACCGATATAATCTTTTAGTGATTTTGGACGAAGCCGCTGGGCTAGCGATAGTTTTGATTCGTACTGAAGTTTGACAAGGTCTTTCTCACCCATTGGCATTAATTCGCTTTCCAAACAATCGACATCTTCAATTTTGACAGAGCCGGGCGATCTCTCAACTTTTATCATTTATGAATATTGCGTTTTAGTGTGATGAGAGACGCCAAATTTGTTCTTTTTTCCTCTTTCCGCTTTATTTTTTTTTTTTTTTTGTTTCGTTTCCCCATACTTCCACTTTAATTCCCAACGTTGTATCAGATAGAAATGTCAAAGGCATTGATATTCCCTGGGCAAGGGGTTTCAAAGTTCCTGTTTCTTAAAAGAATAGTTGCCAAAGACCATTCGTTTTCAAAATACCTCGATTTCGTCGACGAGAGTCTCAATGAGAAGTTCTCTGCCCGTCTTCTTGATGACAATGATCCCGATTTATTCTTCCATAAAACCTCGAATTCCCAACCGGCAATCGTTGCGTCCTCCTATATTATTCATCAATATTTGATTAAACATAAAGGTGTTGATGTGATGGAAACTGCGGATGTGGTGTGTGGACATTCTCTCGGAGAGTTCACCACTCTTCTATTTAACGGGGGGATTGGGTTTCAAGAGGTGATTCGTCTTGTACGTCAACGGGGGAAGTTGATGGAAGAGAACATCGAGCGTTATTACAAGAAGCACAGGACAGTCGATGATGCGTTCAAGATGGTAGCTTTGCTCATCCAGCCAAAGAATTTTCAGACAACGTTGAATGAACTACACAATTTACATGGGGACGTGTACGTTGCCAACATCAACTCCCAGAAACAAATCGCGATCGTAGGACTTAATAGTAAGATCCAAGCTAGTTTACAGATACTACGCCACGATAAAAAGCTCCGGATCAAAACCATTGAGTTACCTATCACTATTCCGTTCCACAGCCCTTTCATTCAGGAGTCACAGCATCAACTCCTGAAATATGCGTCTGACTTAATAATACCCAACCTCCAAGCCACCTCCTCTATACTACGCAGGCCGATGGTGACCAACTACCAATTTGTTCAGACCCAAGACCCTCAAGAAGCGATCCGATTAATCGTCAACAACACCACACAGCCCGTGGACTTTGTGGGACTCATCAACCACTTATACCACACTCGTAATGTCCGACACTTTGTTGGCTTACCCCCAGGTAATATCACCAAGCACGTCGAGGTGATGAAAAGCGCGGGCCAATGGGGCTCAGAAGTGTCTGTTGGCTTAGAGGACTGGGAGTAGTGTGATTTGTCGTTGATCATAGCCTCCCCCACCCACCCAGTCTCCTATTTTTTTTTTTTTTTTTCTTGCATTTTATTTTTAGCCAGCTTCCCGCAAATCACCCTGCCTGGTTATCCTTATATTAGGAGTATGCCGCTGTGTTTAGATTTGAATATAGTTGCTGTATTTAGTTGTAAATTAATAATTATATGTACCTATCCATCTATCTATCATCATATTATACTATCATATCAAATGCGTTGGTTAAGTCTCGTTGTACCGTTCATTTCGTTGGCGTCGGCCATAACCACGTCAAGTGCCGATCCAGCCCTCGCGACATCTATCAGCGAAGAATTCACCACCAACAGCTCTTATTTCGAGAACTACCGGTCCTCAGACCGTGTGTCATATACCAGTGATGGTCTTGAACTTACGCTTGCCAAAAGATACGATAACCCATCGATTGTGTCGAAGTTCTACGTGATGTTTGGCCGTGTGGAGGTCACCATCAAAGTGGCCCCAGGCACCGGGATCGCTACAACATTGTACCTCCAGAGTGATGACTTGGACGAGATTGATTTGGAATGGTTGGGCGGTGATACCACCCAATTCCAATCGAATTATTTCTCCAAAGGTAATACCACCACCTACGATCGTGGGGAGTACCACACAGTCAACGAGCCAAGCGACAATTTCTACACTTATTTCATTGATTGGACAGAAGAAAGACTCGAATGGGGGGTCAGTGGATCGGTTTCCCGTACTTTGTTAAACACTTCATCTGAAGGGTATCCGCAAACTCCATCGAAGGTGTACATTGGGTAAGTGATATTTTTCTCTTTATTATCTATTTACAAGTAGAGTCACGTTACTAACAAAATATTCAGTGTATGGGCAGCAGGAGACTCAAGTAATACTGCAGGGACCATTGAATGGGCTGGCGGGGAAACTGACTATTCAGACGCCCCATTTGTCGCTTACATTCTGAAAATAAAGGTTACTGATTACTCCACTGGTACAGAGTATAAATACGGGGATAGTACTGGTGATTGGGAATCCATTGAAGCAGTCGATGGTACAGTTTTAGGAAATCTTGATGGTACCAGTTCTGCTTCTGCTACTAGCAGCTCTTCTAGCAGCTCTTCTAGCAGCTCTTCTAGCAGTTCTTCTAGCAGCTCTTCTAGCAGTTCCTCTAGTGGTTCTTCTAGTAGTTCATCTGGATCATCTCAAACTTCAAGCAAATCCTCATCTAAAACCTCCACCAAATCTTCATCATCAACAAATGCCTCAGGTACCACCCTTACCTCGCAAACTTCTTCTAAGACCTCTGACTCGTCATCTTCTTCAGAATCTTCATCCACTAGTGCTACATCAAACAGTACAGAATCTTCTGCCAGTGAGGCATCCAGCAACGGCTCCCCGGCGGTCTCAACCAGCTTTGGATTTTCTGGTATTGCGGCTCTTCTAACATGTTTTATTTTGTCAACTTCTACTCTTTTGGTAGTGAACTGAGAGCTTTACTTTTTTTTTTGTTAGTCTCATATTTGTATAGAAATTATACTTGGTTATTCAATAAAGAATGTGGTTATTTTATAAGGGTATTTTATCACTGGTAAGCATTGTTTTCTGCGACATCGACGAGTTTGCATTCCTTGATCTTGACGAATCATCCCCACTAAAGAAAAAGACAGCGCTAATCACCGGTGATTGAATAAATACCATATAAGATGCTCTGATAGATGATCAATACACAGAATATAAACATTTAATCATCTTGGAATAATGATTTTCTCAGAATAATATAAGAATTATTAATGGGGCAAATGCCGAATAATTGGCGGTGCTTACATAATCGCGGTTTTTACTCATGATTATGTAAAAGCAAGAGCACCAAACACTATAAAAACCCCACATTTCAACCCTTTGTGAAATCAACTGTTTCAAAAAAAAAAATGACAGTAATAATAATCATTTAAATATCAATATCTAAACAAATAATATTGATTATTATCAAAAACAACAACTCAAATAACTTACATAAAATGACCACAAGAACCGTTCTTAATTCTTTCCTTGCTAGAGAGCAAGCAGAAGGCCAAGGTGCTAGAGTCAGAAGATCTATTGGTACCAGCAACTTGAGAAACTTCACTCCATTCTTGATGCTCGATCACTTCAATGTCACTCCTGGAATTGGTGGTTTCCCATCACACCCTCACCATGGTCAAGAAACCATTACTTATATCACTGAAGGTGCTATGGCCCATGAGGATTTCACTGGCAGTGCAGGGATTTTGTATCCGGGTGATTTGCAATTCATGACCGCTGGTAAAGGTGTGGTGCATAGCGAGATCCCAGTTAAATTGAAGGATGATCCAACCAAAGCGTGCGTTGGGATGCAATTGTGGGTTGATTTGCCAGAAAATTTGAAGAATTGTCCCCCAAGATACAGAGATTTGAAAGGGGGAGAAATTCCTATTGCTAAACCAAATGATAAAGTTGAAGTAAAAGTCATTAGTGGATCATCGTATGGGGTTGGATCATTGAGAGACTTGGCGTACACTCCAGTGTGTTACTACCATTACACCGTCAAGCCTGGAGGAGAGTTCAAGCAAGAAGTCCCAACCGATTTCAATTCATTCATTTATTTGATGCAAGGTGATTTGTCCATCAATAAAAAGACCTACAAGCAACACAATGCAGTTTTCTTCAACAGAGATGGTGATCACATTGAAGGCAAAAACGATTCCGACAAAGATGTTAGTTTTGTGTTGATTGGTGGTGCGGTTTTAGACCAAAGAATCGTCCAATATGGTCCATTTGTCGAAACCAGCTCCGAGAAGATCCAAGAGGTGTTCAGAAACTATCAATTTGGTATCAACGGTTTTGAGAAGGCCCAAGAATGGCAAGCCAAGATCGACATTGGTGTCAATGAAGGGGATGTTGTTGGTAACAAATCCTAAGCGGGATAAATTGCCTTTTTGACGATGAGGAAAATTGCCTTTTTTTTTTATTCATTTATCGTTTTTGATGATGTTTAATTTTATATTATAGTGTCCCCCTTTATATTATAGTGTTTTAATTTATATAATTACCAGCTTTTAATCTGAATCTTTTGTGTAAAAATGTTGTTACAAATTGGTGGATCTTTGCCCAAGAGAGGGCCCAGAACCCCCATTCTCCACGTGGTGTGTAAAAATATTCTCCGCGGGAATGGCACCTGGTGGAATGCCACTAAGAAAAAAATTTCCTCTCCATATGGGAAAGATCAAAAGATACCCACAAATATCCAACCAGTTGATCATCTCCAGGATGCTTAAGGTACTCAGTCGCCGGAGTCTTAGGGCATGTACCCGACAACGGAACGGTCTCGCTATGCAGCCGCCATCAGTATCTTCTGTGCGTGCTGTATCTGTGTTTTCAAATTCGATGAAAGTTAATGATAGAAAGAAATATCCGACAGTAGTATCACGCTGCTGTTGGAAGCCCGGCGCTAGAAAATACTCAACGTTGCCAAATACTGCGATATCCAATGATCTGGGAATTGCCTCTGCACTTGAAGGAAAATCGTGTGTTTCCTGTGGTGTGAAACTTCAATGTAACGACGAAAATTCTCCAGGCTATATCAACGAAACTGCCGTAGTGCACGAAAGAAAACATACATTGCCCTTTAAAAGACAGAGTGATTTGGTGTTCGATGAAATTTATAGTAGATTGAGTGAAGAAGATAAAAGATTGTTGCTCAATGACGAATCCGAGGAAACACCCAATGAGAATGCAGAACAGCCAATCGAAAACCTTGAAGAGGTGAAGGAAACGGAAAAAGCCCCAGAAGACAAATTGGTGAATCCTAAAGAGACCCGAAATGTCAAATATAATACTGAAGAGAAACAGAAATACGGAGAAACAAATGACAACATAAAAACCTTAACCCAGACAGCCCAAAAAACAAATTCCGAGACACCAGCAAACCTTAAGTGTCTTCGATGTTATAACACAATTCATTACAATGAATATTTTGAACTCGATCCACACAATGAAGCAATGACAATGTCTCTGGTGCTCTCTCCAGTCCGAGTTCCTGATCTTGAAAATTCTCATATTTTCCATATTATTTCGGCTAATGATTTCCCTCTCACCTTGAATGTGGATCTTGTGGCAGAAAATATCAGCCGTAGTCATTTCGTCATCAACAAGTGTGATCTTTTGGTGAGTTCTGATAATAGAAACGCCACTCAGTATTTCACTAATGTCATCAATGAACTACTTAGATCAAAAGGTTTGCAAATCAATGTCGAAGGCAGAGTGCATTTGGTATCTGCATCCAAAGGCTGGGGAATGGGTGGTCTCCACAACTCTTTGCCGAAGGGTAGAAAAGTCTACTTTATTGGGGAGGCCAACGTTGGTAAATCATCGCTCATCAAAGGTCTCTTATACTATGATTATTACCTTGCGAAGAATCGTAGTTCCAGAAGATCGTTTGAAGAATATGTCTCCAAGCAGGGGAAAAAATTGGAAAAGAAAATTGATATCCCTGGAACATTTGTTTTACCAGGAACCACCCAGGACATTTTGACATACAAGATCAATGGTTGTACCGTCAACGACTTGCCAGGGTTTCTTTGTCAAACCGCTACTGGGGAAATTAACTATGGTGCCTTCAATATTTTGAAACCATCGTGGATCAAACATTTATTTAAAGAAAGGGCTACCAGACAGGTGGCGGGGAATAAAGTGAAACGTCAACAATATTTGCTGATAATGGATAAGGATTGCTATTCACTTGGGGGGATCTTTTATTTAGTTGGCCCACGTGGTTCTATCACCCAAGTTGCTGCCAGTACCCATGAGCAAGGGTTTCGCTTCGGGAGCTTAGAACGGGCTATTGAAACGATAAATCGTCAACCAGAAGCTATGGAACAGTTTATTGGGGTTAAACAGGGTTTTCCATTAGACAAATTACAAAGGTATGTGATTCCGCCATTTTACGGCAGTGTTGACTTGGTGATTAAAGGGGTTGGTTACGTCACCATCACCCCTACAAAGTCGGTGAAGCTGATCAAAAAAGAGCTTGGAGTGGATATCGCCGAGGAAATCACGGTCAATGATAATGATGCTACGCAGATGAAGAAGCACATCATTGATGTGATAAAATACAACATGTATGAGTTCTATGCCCCAGCAGACATGCAGTTTGTGGTGAGAGAAAGTATTGATAGTTATCTTGTCAAGAAGACTTTAATTAGAAGGGCCCGCGGGGACTCGAAACGATACTTCAAACCTTTCATTGAAGGAAAGAAGTTATACACTTCGGTGGTCCAAGTGCCTACAGAAGTTACAGATGTTGGTCATTGGTATTACGAGACGTACCTCAAGGGAAAACGGATCGATTATTGGAGTGGGTACGCGGATTCCAGCAACAGAAGATTACATCGGGATTTGATGTTGATGGATCCAAAGGACGTTGAGAAGGAAATTATCAGGGTTAACGTATCGAATCTTTTGTGGGACGATAAGGTGGTGTAGTTACATTTTTTTTTTTTTTGGATGGCTAAATATTTGTATTATAGAGTTTGTAAATAGTTGTTGTTTAATTTTTTTCTTTTCTTTTTGTGGCTGAATTGTATAATTAAAAATTGTTGGAGACAGGCTAACCATATTATCGTTACACTTATATAATATATAATATATATAATATATAATATATAGTGGTAATGGTGGTGGTGCGTGTAGGGTTTGGCAGCGCCTCTTTTTTTTTTTTTTTTTTTTTTTTTTTTTTTTTTTTTTTTTTTTTTTCGTTTTCTGTTAGGGCCAACGCCAAGGGGAAAACGAGGCCGTGCAATTGGCACTTTGCCTTTGCGGTTTCTGTTTGGGGCCGATTTCTTGTAGCAAACATGGCAGCCTATTGGACCCCTGGATAACAAACCAGGTATAAAGACCATGCGACATCCTCTCTGCTGACTTATTATTACCATCTTCAAATCACCATCCATCCATCCATCCGCCATGACATCCATCATCAACAACTCCCCAATCCTTTCTGACAACACAAAGCGCCTTCTGTTTTGCCAGTCCCCAAGGTCCACAATCATCCTTCGAGAACTCCCAGAGTCGGTGTTTGTGAAAAACCCTACCACCAACCTCTCGTTGGCCGACGAAATAAAACTTCTTGTGATTAGCAACCAGGCGGCTCTCAACTCGGTGTACCATTTCTCGGTCCTCAACCGTCTTCGCCGTATTGTGGCGGTGTTTCGTGATGAAACCATTGCTCACCAAGTTTACCAACTTCTCCTGAACAATCCAAAGTTTGGCAATTTCAAAATCGATCTTTCCACGACCCTTATTCGCCTCGACGACACCACGAATCCTCAATTATCCATCGATGGCCATTTCCCTAACATGAATAATAAGGATAATGATAGTTTTCTTGGGAAATATGAAGAACCGATGCCTGTTCCATCACCATCAAACAATAATAATTATGAATACGAAGCAAAGTCAACAAAGACTTTGTTGAAACCAATCAATCTCAATATCGATACCTCGTGTTGCAATGCCAGTACCGAAGAATTGTCCCCAGTAAGCCCATCTATTACCTTGGACACTTACGAGTAGTAATAGTCTGCAATGGTTTTTTTGTGTTTTAAAGTTTTGTCTCTTTGATGGTCTTTTTTTGTGCGGTTTCTTTAATGGAAAAATGGAATTTTATTGGTAAATAAGTTTTCTTTAGTTTGATCTTTATGGTTTTGATTGCATTCATAGTATTATTGTTAATTTCTGGTGAAGCTTTTGGGGAAGATGTAAGATACTTTTGATGTGTTGATTTATGGATACTTGTTGTTGCTACAATAGGCAATGGGCACAAATAAAACCGGGGGAAAATAAAATGAAATACAAATAGAGTAATAATAGTAATAGTAATAATAATAATAATAATAATAGTAGTAGTAGTAGTAGTAGTAGTAGTAGTAGTAGTAGTAGTAACAATAAAGATCGTGACAATACCTAAATAGTCAGTAAAGAATGTACAACAATCGCCATCAAATTAACAATAATTTTTGACATCTCCCGCCCCGCTTGCTTACCCGGGGAATTTTGGAAGAGAGAAAGAAAAAAATAAATAAAAAATAACTGCCGCCAAATGTGGAGATAATCAATCAGCCACCCAAGCTGCCACCACTCAAGAAAAGTGATTCCCCAGAGAGACCATGCCAGAGAGTAATAAGAACCCACCCACCAATAATGAGGGCGACCAGCTCATCAAAAAGCGAAAAAAGAAAGTCTCCGTCGCCTGCGTGTTCTGTCGTAGATCACACATGATCTGTGATGATAACCGGCCTTGCACCAGATGTATCAACCGTAACATTTCTCATTTATGCCATGACGAGCCAGCCAACAAGAAACGGAAGAATACATCTCCTCAGCCCATGGCCAACTCCAACAGCACCAATGGCAGCGTATCCACTAATGGCAGCCTGGTATCAGTTGACAATACCCTCATGACAGCCGCAACGACCATCGATTCCCTAAATAATCCTAGCATTGCAACAGCCTCTACGAGATCTGTGATGCCGGATACAGTAGTAGCCCCATTTGGTGGCTTACAATCTGTGCAACAGCCACAGAAGGATAGTGGTATTGATGGCAGCTCGGCCCTTGATAACCTTTATTCGACATTTGCAACTCCAGGAAACCCAAACCCTCAACAACCACCAAAACAACCAATGCTAGATGCGCAACAACAACAACAACAACAACAACAACAACAACAACAACAGCAACAGCAACAGCAGCAGCAGCAATCAAATAATGTGAACTCTGCAACCTCGGTTTTGTCCCAGTTAAACTCATTCACCAACCAAACAAACCCATTCTTTTATTCTGAACATGCCAATCTGGAATTTAGTTCCCTTAATGAATTTTTGTCGATGATTGACGACCCAGACGTCGTTAACAGTGTCAACACACAATATAAGACTATTGCTCCATCAACCAGCTTCAATTCTTTATCTGCTCTTAATAATATTAATAGTATGCCGCTGTTTTCTAATGCGTTTGCAACAGAAAATAGTATTAATCCTGGGGAAGTCACTAGCCGATTTAGTGCCCCAAATACCAATTTGAATAATATTGTTGGCAATGCCACAAACATAATGGTTAATGGCGAAAAGGATGTCAATAACAACAACAACACTAACAACAACAACAACAACAATAATAATACTACTACTACTAATAATACTAATAATCATAATAATACTAATAATCATAATAATACTAATAATCATAATATCAACAATTCTAATGTCAGCAATAATAATGTCAATAATAAATCCACAACCGATATAAACTTGACAAAACCTGATTATGAAACTCCAATGATTTCCGATCTGGCAAGAGACAAGTTCTTTTTAACTGCTGCCGATCCCTCGACGGAAATTACCCCAGAAGAACGTCTTAAGCAAGTCATCAAGGCTAAATTGGACGCAGGACTTTTACAGCCTTACAATTATGCTCAAGGGTACGCTCGACTACAAAGCTATATGGATAGCTATATGAATCAACAATCACGCCAAAGAATCCTCAAGCCGCTTTCAATTTTCCGGCCAGCGTTCCGTGCAATTGCTCGTACTCTCAAAGATGTCGACCTTGTGCTTGTGGAAGAGGCGTTTGAAAGAATGTTGCTCGACTACGATCGGGTGTTTACCCTGATGGCGATCCCTGCTTGTCTATGGCGTCGTACCGGGGAAATCTATCGTGGGAATAAAGAATTCGCACAACTTGTGGAAGTGGGGTCTGACGCATTGAAAGATGGCAAGTTGACGATTTATGAACTTATGTCAGAAGAGAGTGCGGTAAACTTTTGGGAGAAATACGGAGCAATTGCCTTTGATAAGGGACAAAAGGCGGTATTGACAAGTTGTAACTTGAGAACCAAAGATGGCAGAAAAAGAAAAGCTTGTTGTTTCAGTTTCACCATCAGAAGGGATAGGTATAATATTCCTAGTTGTATTGTGGGAAATTTCATTCCCCTTGATAATTAAGGAAGGAGACTTTGGTAAATTAATGAATGTATCTATATTTTGGTTATTTTGATTTAAATGGTATTTGTAATATAATAATTCTAATGATGGCAACATTTGACAAACTGGTTAACTAACTAATTAACTCACTAACTCGCTATATAAGTACATGAGTAAAAAATCGCCAGTGTGGTTTTGCAGCCCTGCAACACTGGCAAAATCAAAAAAAAAAAAAAAAAAAAAAAAAATCAAAACAGAAAATTCATCAAATTAAAACAATTTATCACTTTTTTGACCTATATTTTTTTTATATTATAATAAGGGTCTAGGAGGTTCTTTGTGATTTTAGACCGTCTTTAAATCTCTAGATTTCTGGCGTATTATAAGCAAACTTTGCTCGGTATTGTGATCTCTTTTGATGCTGTCAAGCTTCTCAAAGATCGCGTTGCGGTATACACACAACATCACTCCAATATAATTTCCCTCTTAACAATCTATCGGAATAAGAACAAAAACAATTCATCATGAATAACAATTCTGATAAACCTATTGCCCCAAACCAACAACCTATGGCAGGAAATAGACAAGCTCCAGGCGCGGTGCAGCCGCCGCGCCCTCAACCTCCTCAACAACCTCCGCAACAACAATATTCCCAAGCGGATCTCAACAAGATTGTCCTTGAATACTTGAACAAAAAAGGGTACCATAAGACAGAAATGATGTTGCGAAATGAGAGTGCAGGGGTGCCAATCGGATTCAATCAACAATTCCCAGTAACTGCTGCCAACGCTGGGATTCCTAACACCCAACCAGTGATGATTCGACAGCAACAACAGCAGAAACCTTCGAATACCCCTTTCAAAATCGTTGCTGAGAAGTCGCAAACTAGTGATATGCTTTCTGATATTGATGGCCAAGCAAAGGACCCGAATTTGTACTTCAAAGGTTACAAAATCCTTCGCGACTGGATCAACTCGTCGTTAGATTTGTATAAGCCCCAATTACTCAAATTGTTATATCCAATTTTCGTGAATTGTTTTATTGATTTGATCAATCTCAAAAAGACAAAATTAACTTTAGAATTTTTCAACAAGTTCAAGGACGACCATATTATTTCCCACGGTAAAGAGATTGTGGAAATGTCGGCCATCTCTTTAGTGGATCACTTGAAATTGAGTGGGATTATGAAAAATTTCCGTGAAAGGAAGTATAAGGTTAAAATTTCATCTGTTTGTGTGTATTTGTTGTTGTTTTTTCTTAACGAAAATAAAAACGTGGGTGGTGATTTGATTATCCGGTTGATCAATCAACATATCGATTTAGAAATTTCTACTGATAAACTAGGATTCAATAACAGATCAGCTTTAGACCCAGACGAAGGGATTCCTGAATTTAATGAATCAAACATCGAAGAATTTAACTCAAAGGAATTGAAACTCGGGAGGTTGCCAAGAGATGAGAACTTTGATAAGGAGATTGAAAACGAATTGAGAATGAAAGATGAGAAAGAAGCAGCTAAAAAGAAGTCAATCAAAACCTCTCTTGTTGAAGAATTCCAGAAAATAAAATCAGAAAATCCTAACCCAACTGCCACTGAACAAGTACAAGTTGATGAAAACAATCTGATTGTTGATGACGGGAGTGATATGGATAAAATTAGTGATGGAATAATATTTGACAGTTTGAAAAAAAATGACCCGAATTTTGAAAGTCCATCGAAAGATGCTTTGCCAATTCCTCCAAAGACCATTTTTGACTTGAAGAAAGAAGTCCAAATAGTGCAAGACTCGCGTTCTCGATTGAAGCTTTCTTTTGAAAAAAATCAATTTTCGCCTCCTTCTATTTGCATGTACACATTCCACAACTCTCTTGATGAAATCACTTGTTTGGAATTCAATGAGAATAGTAATCTAGTGGCTGCCGGATTTGAAGATTCTTATATCAAATTGTGGTCGATTGATGGTAATCCTTTGAAATCGATCATCAAAAATGATCCGCAAAACAAACTGAATACCAGAAGATTAATTGGCCATTCAGGTACAGTGTACAGTTTAAGTTTCTCTCCAGATGGGAACTATCTCCTATCTGCATCGGAGGACGGTACGGTACGTTTATGGTCATTGGACACATACACTTGTCTTGTGATTTACAAATCTCATAATGATCCGGTTTGGGACGTGAAATTCTCACCATTTGGTCACTATTTCGTGACTGCGTCTCATGATACCACCGCAAGATTATGGTCGGTGGACCATATTTACCCTCTTCGACTCTTTGTTGGCCACATGAGTGATGTTGATTGCGTTGCGTGGTTTCCTAATGCTTGCTACTGTTTCACCGGGTCTCTGGATAAAACTATCAGAATGTGGGATATTCTCAAAGGTGAATGTGTCAGACTTTTTGTCGGACATAGTAGCGCAATTAATGCGTTAGCGGTTCATCCAAGGGGCAGACTTTTGGCTAGTGCTGGTGAAGACTCAATGATTCATTTGTGGGATATTTCTCACGGAAGATTACTCAAATCGATGCGTGGACACTCCCAAAAATGCTCGATTTATTCATTAGATTTTTCTAAAGACGGTAATGTCCTCGTTAGTGGTGGCAGTGATAATTCCGTACGGATTTGGGACGTAAAGAAAAACTCCGAGCTTCAATTATCTGAACCAGAACCATTTTTCAATAACGTTGATGAAAACGCCAGTATTTCCAATGACGTTTCCAAGCAAGTGGTATCTAACAAAAACGGGACCACCGGGGGTGGACCGGGAAATAATGGCGGCAATGGCGGTGCCAGTGGTAGTGCCAATGAAGGAGGAAGGAAGAAAAACAAGGAACTTGGATCGTGTACCAATGATCACGTTGGTGCGTATTTCACCAAGCAAACCAGTGTATTCAAAGTTCACTTCACTAGAAGAAACTTGTGTTTAGCTGCAGGTATTTTCTCTAGTGGTGATAAATATAACGGCAGTGGTTGAGGTTTTGGTTTTTAGTTTTTGTGCTGTTTTAGAATTTCCTCTTGTATACTATGAATGAATGTTTTTTTTTTTTTTTTTACGTGTTTCCGTAATGTCTAAAATATCGAATTTACAAAATGATTTGTTAGGTCAATGAATTAACAATGTAAAATATCACTTGAAATTGAAAATAAATAATAAATAAGTTAATGATAAGTCAAGAAATGAACAGTGAACTGAAGAATCAAAGATAAAACTATGAAACAACAACAAAAAAAATAGCTATAGTAGTATTATTAATAATAATAAAATCGTGGCTGAAATGAATGCGGCTCATAAAGCAAGGAATTGAATAAAGTGTATCTTCTTTTAAACAAAAAAAAAAAAATAAAAAAAGACACATAGTTTCGTTAAATAATAAAAAAGTGTGAAATGATTATTAAAAGTAATGTGAGAGTGGAAAATTGAAGAAAAGAATTAAATGTCAAAAACAAAGAGTGAGAGACCATTGGCTTACCAAGAAGATGGACCAAAGAATTCTCCATCTTTCAAAACAATGTTGAAAGCAGTATCGGTGGCGTCCATGGTATTTTCAATCACCGTATTACCCCACCATTTCGGAGCGGCCACCTGGGTAAAAGTCAAACAGAAGAAGATTAACAATGAGGACCAAGCTAAACCAATGTCTAAACCAGCAGACAAGGAGTAGTTATACTTGGACCACCAGGCGAACCACTTCTTCTTGATGAACCAGTTGAAAATCAAACCAACCATACACCAAGTTCCGTAATTATATGGAGAAGCTGGTGGAATGTAACCGGTACCTGAGAAGAACACAGGCCAATTGAGCCATTTGACAGGAGAGTTTGGCCATTTTCTGAGAATCAACCAGTTAACAAATGGCAAAATCATACCAATGATGAAGAAAAACATCAAACCGTAATACAATTGACCTTGGGAGAAAAGTTTTTGAGGACCAATAACACCCCATAAAATCGACGCAGAGTAGAAAACGTTGGCGTTAGGACAAGAGAATTTGTTTTCTTGGTGTTCTGTACAAACCCCTTTGATGTTACCTTGGGCCCATTTCATGACAAAAAGTTGTACAAAAGAACCCCAAATAGTGGCCGCAAATTGTGCAGCAAACATAACTCTAGGAGAAATTTTCATGTAGTATCCGAGCTTCATGTCCAGAGCAAATGTAACCGCTTGGGCATTGGTGATATAACCAAAAGTCTTGAAAAACATCATACAAATTGGCTTACCTGGAACCATGTAACCAATGATGAATTCCGTCAAAACATTCAAACCAATGCTAATATTAGTGATGGCAGCAATAATCCCAACTGGGAACAAGAAGAGGAAGGAAATTGCGAGGGCAACAAACACTGACCAAATAGGCATTTCAGTATCCCAACATCTCATAGCCACAATAGCAAAAGCCAAGAAAATCACAAAAACCACTGCGTACCACCAATCTGGACATTCTTTATAAGCTCTCATCAATCTGTTGTGGACATCTTCCTTTTCTTTACTCTTTAGTTGTTTCATGATATCCTTAGAGTGAAAGAGGAGTGTATGGACGATGGTGGCAGTAATAGCAGCAAATGATAAACCATAAGAGATAGAAAAGGTAGTGGACAAATAAATTGGAGAGTATTTGTTGTATTCGGCTTCGTTGAAACTCAACTTTTCATCAACAATTCTGCTGACGTTATAAACTTGCTGGAATCTATCGTAGGTGTTTGAGTCGGACATTGGCAAATACTTGGAGTGCCACACATTTGAGTAATGCAAGGCCGGACAAACGATCCAGAAGATGGTGATCATTGATAACAAAATGGTGAAAATAGCACTTGCTGGTGGAATCAATGGAGATCCAAGATAACCAGCAATTTGGTACCAGTCAAAAGTGACAGGAATCATCCCGAGACCAGTGGTGGCTCCAAATAATTGATTGACAACAGCATTTTGGGGGAAAATCCAAGTCATAAACGCAAATGATGATAAAGCTTGGAACAAATAGCCTGGGATAAAGTACCAACAGAAACTTGCGATGAATGCAAAAGCAAAGAACTTTAATCTTGAAACTGTCCATCCGTTTGCAGGCTGATTATCGTTGATGTGAATGTTAGTCAAGAAAGTGGCAGTGATCAAGTTTGATGGCCAAACCATAGAAGGTGGAGAAACCAACACTTTTCTTGCTAAACCACCAAGAGACAAACCGATACACTGAGTAGACAATAAAGCCAAAATATTGAAACCCCAACCGAAATCCTTTTTGTAATAGTTGTTCATAGCCAACAAGATATCGGTACAGTAGGCAACACCAAAAGAAACATTGGCCATGATGGTAATCAAAGAATGTTCTTTCAAGTTGAATGGACCTGGGTTCAATGGCACACCAAAAATATTGATTTCTGGCAAGCACTTGTGCCAAGCAGCACCGATTGGCCAAGCAATAATGGTAGTGACAAACACAGAGATAGAAAAAGATGGTGCACGCAAAGAAAAGAACATGTTAAGACCAGCACCAAGTGTACACATTAAAAGCCCTATAAACCATGCTCTGATAGTATTGTGTGGAATAGATGGGTCATCTGTATTAGGAATGGCAGCTCTGACTTCTGGGTAGATGGAGTTCTCATTAGGGTCGATTTCCTCTATTCTAACACCGGTTTCTATATCGATTTGTTGGAGTTCTGGATTCTCTTTGCTCTCAAAGACTTCGGAAGTTTCAATGTCATAGTTGACTTTTTCGTCCTTTAAGTCATGATCATTCGATCGATGCTCTTTCACAGTCTCCATAGTATTAAACAATATATGACGATAATTTGGAAAGATTCAAATTTATGATAAAGACAAGCACAATGGTTGATAAGGAAGAGGAGGAGAAAAGAAACGAGGATTAATATATAGGAAAGTGTCTTGTGACTTAAAAAAGAAAATACAATATCCGGAATTTTAATGGAATGGATATTCATTTATATAGCATCAGAACTATGGATATTTCTCCAGTGAGTAATGCCATCCCTGAAATTTCTTGTGGACGGCGTTGTTCATGTTGAGCATTCCAGACGCACGCACGGCCCGCACACCACGCCTTGTGCTGATATGATTTCTGGTTCACCAACACCAAAAGACGTGCGGCAAATACAAAGGACCAAGAATTATTCTCTCGATATAAATATATCCATAACGTTTTATTTGGGTCATTTTCGAATAGGTACGTCAGATACTTGCTGCGTCCGAAGCGTTGTCACCAAATTCCATATCCCTGAGTCATTTCACATGACCATTCCACAAATTTATCTGCTAGTTTGCTTATCTGTACTAGTACTATCAGTCAAATAATGCCGGTACTGAGAATTAATAGATTGCTTAAAGATGGTTAATTGAGAAGATGTGCTAAGAACATTGTGCAGTTTGTTGTTCCCTGGGTACCCGCTAAAATAGAACCCCATGGAAATAACAGAATATCCAATGTGACATTGCCGTCCATTAATTACAAAGCATATAAATCTAAATTTCTTCTCAAACCGATAGCGCTACAAGTTGTTTCGATCAATGTAATTCGAGATGATTTTGACAGGTCGAATCTCTCTATTAATCAGAAGATGAGATGAGATGTTTTCCGGCCGAACTTTTATAGCGCTGAAAGTTTTTTCTTTTTTTTTTTTTTTATTTTTTTTTTTGATCTTGGGCACGTGAGTTTTTTTTTTTTTTTTTTTTTTTTGAAGACAAGGGAAAAAAAAATTCACAATGTTAGATGATGAGTTGACAAAAGCACCAGCATTCAAAAATGATCATTCCTGTCCGTTGTTTTTCATGTGGTAAAGTTGTTGGTGACAAGTGGGAACCATACTTGACTTACCTTGAAGAAGATCTCAGTGAAGCCGAAGCTCTCGACAAGTTGGGACTTAAAAGATACTGCTGCAGAAGAATGGTGTTGACCCATGTTGATTTGATTGAAAAGTTCTTGAAGTACAACCCATTGGAAAAGAAAGACATTAACTAAGAACGTTTTTTAAAATGTCTGGATGAAAGTATTGGAGGTGCTGGCATTGGGAGAATGAATTGTGGCCAATCTCCCCTGTATTATTAGATTTCACTGTTTTAATTATTATTGTCATTTTTTTTCCGTCTGCTTAATTTGTTTTAAGTTGAGTATCTATGGTGTTTGATTATGAAAGATCAGTGATGCTTAGTTTCTGGATAGAAAAGTGAGTCCAAGAAAAGATTGGAAGCAATTTATTTGAGTCACATTAACCCAAAGATAAAGAATTGTTTTTCAACAAAATCTCATTTATGAAACCAGTCTACTTTCTCAATTAAGGAGAAAAGAGCGTTTTTATTTTTTCTATGTATAACGGTTTATATTTAGATGGATGTACTGTATATTTTATTTTATTGCATAATGTAGCGATTTTTATTCAACACTTCTAAGTATATAGACTATTGGATCTTTAATTGAAGGTTTTCCAAAAACCCTTCATCAACAAATTCTAACATCTGTCTGTATCCTTCATTTCCGAATTCATTTTCTAATTCATTCAAAATATGCTTGATATAATTCTTTGTGCACACGATATGCACGGGATCATTTTTCACTATAACATTGTGATAACGTTTAAATTCCATGGTTTCCTCCATTTCATAAATTCCAGTATCTATTGGATCTAAGCAGCTATCCATTTCACGGAGCTCTTGATTATTCTGGTACATCAAATCGAATTCGTAGTAATTGAAGCATTTGTAATAAGCTTTGCAATCGCCCTGTGAAGATTCGTTAATTTCATCAAGATAGGTAGACCATATGGAAAAAATTAGATTGATATTTTCTTTGATATAAATGAGGTTCCGAAGAAATTCATTTGATGTCATCAATAACAAGTTAGATAATCCAAGTAGATTTTGCTTTTTCTTCCGAGCGTCAAAGATATTGCCCGTATTGATAAGCCAGCTATTAAAAAACTGCTTTAGAATATTCACATCACCCACCACGTTCCAAAGTATGTCGGAAACAATCTTGGAGTTGCTGAAGAAAAATCTAGAAACAATTAAAATCAATTTATTGATGGTTAAAATCGAATTTTGGTCTTGATCCGCTATCACCATCACCAATTGTTCAAAGATACCACTATTAACCATAAGTTCATAAAACGATTTGACAATATCCTTGGAGTTATTGAGTTCATTGGAATCATAAAATTCGTATGTCTTAACAAATAATAAATCAATGATGGACAATACGAGGTCTAGCGAATCATCTCTCATATATGAAATGTTCTTGGAGGCAGCAGCAAGAACGCTTTTTACAAGCTCATTCATTTCATGGTTGGATAAGATTATCTGGATTGGCATGATGATGAGATAGCTTCTGACAATTGATAAAATCAAAGGCAAGATCTCTGTTGTGTTCAATAAAGGCTCATAGATTAATTTGAATTTATTGAAAATAAGATCCTGGAGCACTGGATCGTTTTCGTTGTTTTCAAGCGGATAATATTCCATAACAGATTGCCACAATTCGAAGCCATCTTCAGACAACACGTTGTAGAACTCAGAATCGTATGAGCAACATGACTGGATGATTTCGAAACTGATATGCGATGTTAATTTTGAGTTCTTGAAACATTTGATTAAGTTTTTCAAAATTCTAATCAAAATATTTTTGATCATCAAACTTTCGCTATAATTTGCTTCAAAATATTTCCATATCGAGGGGTATGCTTCCATTAAATTATTCAATTGGTTAAGTTCAATAAGCGATCCATTTCTTTCCAAAAGAGAGTTTAAGCAATTCAAAATGAACAATTTTGATTCTATCAAATCCATTTCATTTAGAAAAGTGATTAATTTTTCAACAAAAAACGATGAATATGCTTTGAAATCCTCTTTTCTAAAATCCCATTCCTCAATTACTATTTTCAAAGTCTTCACCACAGATAATTGTAAAACTTTATCAGTGTCTTGTAAAATATTCCACAACAAATCATAAATTTTTATTCTATTTTCCCTGGAGCATTTAATGGAAACCCATTCATCTATGATCAAACAAGCCCTTCTTTTCAAAATTTTCAACTCCACACTACTATTGGAGGAATTTAGTGAAGGAATCAACGTATTTGTCAAGAACATATCAAAATCAATAATATCAGCAATAGCCACCCCACTTAATTGAATAATGGCAAATATGGAATCCTTCAACAAAATTAATTGGAGATCCTGTCCCGCATTTTCAATTTTGCCATTGATTTCGGTGATTTTGTTCAATGTGAATGGAACTAGGAGCTCCTTATATGATGTGATCAAGGTTTGGAAGAAATTCTCAGAGCAGGGACGGATCTGGTACTCCCAACTTTCAAGAAGTTCTTCATTAATGAATTCCTCAGGGTTGTCATTCCAATTTTCAAGTGCAGCGGGTCTCAATTTTAGATACCAATTGATAATCAACTCGGTCAACGAGATAATTAAATTATCCGTTAGAAAAGTATTAAGTTTCTCATTTGCTTTTTGAGAATCTTCTTTAGTTATACTTGACTTCAACAAAATGGTTTCTCCTTTCTTGTTTAACATGACCAATTGCTTAAATATAAGTAAAGACTTGATGGCTATAGTGGCCCAGAAATTTTCACTGTCATCCTCTTCACTGCTGTTATAAATCACGCTTGCCTGACTTTCTAATATTCCCAATAGCAACATCAAAATATCGGTAGAATTATGAATCAATAAAAATGAGTTCGAGTTTGAATAAATATAATTATAATACAACTTGCATTCACACTTCAAGAATTTCTCCAACTTTCCAAAAATCAACAGGTCATTAGAGGATTGTGATGATTCCAAGTTTTTATACTCCAAAAGCAATTTTTGAAAATGTTTGAGGTTCATGTTGAAAAAATCGTTAATTAACTCATCTTTGTGAGGAGCCATGTATCCATCGACAATAATTCTTCTTAGAACCTTAAGACAGAGATAATCAATGTCGATGATCCTAGTGTCATCGATTTCACTAATTTTGGCGGTATTATTGATCCATTCGTTAAAGAAAGTCGTATAAATTTCGATAATCAATGGAGTTATTAATGGCGTCTTCATTTGCATCGATGCTTTAGTTCTACCAATCTTTACTTGACTTAGCGCTTTAATGATCTGGTTCAAAATTGTCAAAATGTTGAAGATTCTTACAAAGTTTCTGTTGCGAAACCCTTCCAACAACATGGAATCTATATCGGAGAATAAGTTTGGCCAGGTATTTGGAAACTCAAACCGGCAAACCTTCGCAGTGGCATGGGCATTTTGTATTAACATTTGTGAATTATCTTCATCAATCAACTCAAACAATCTCCCCATGATTTGCAGTTTTTCCTCCTTGCTGATCACCCCGCCATTCCTTACTGATCTCCAATGCTTATCAACCCCGTTCTTGAATTGAATAATACTCAACCATCTGACCTGTAAAGGAATGGTAAGGTCCAAATATACCGATTGGAGAAGATAGTGATAACTTGGCAATGTGGACCATTCTTTGAGTTGGTTTTCTGCCAATTTCCCCCGAGAGTTACGCTCTTGGGTATCAGAGAGCGACTGGATCAAATTTATTAAGTTCAATTCCATCAGTTGCTATTATTGTTAACCAATGTCATTTCTTTGATTGAAGGTTCAGTGAAAAAACGCAAAGTTTTAACAAACAAGGAGAAGAGAAAAAAAATTAGAGATGATGCACGTGCCAGATGAAGGACCCAGACTTACGGCTCTACATCTTTTTGAATTGAAACACTTTTGTCAATATTACTCGAGGTTTCTTTTCTACAATTTCTGTGTGCCATAAATGCTTTTTAGTTTCTATATCTCAAAAGAAAAAAGTGTGTCATAAATTCATTAAATTCTTCACATCATCATCTATAATGTTGGTCTAAAATATGTAACAGCCTTTGTAGAATCTCACTTGATTCACTATACTTTTGTTTGAAAGACTCTGCAGCTCGGGTATATTGCGCAGTGTCCAACTTCAATTCTTCAGAATCATGATCTTCTTGTGAGTCAGGGATTTCAGACCATATTCCCACCTCTTGTTCCTGTGTTTCTGCTTGAGTTAAAACCATCATTCGAGGTTCCCTTTCTTCTTCATCAGAACCATCATCATCAGAATAAACCTGAGAAATATTTCCTTCACAGTTGGTGCTGTCCTCAGTACACATGTCCTCATTACATGGATTATACACAATTTGCTCAAAATCTTCGTTTTGATCAACTGACTTCAGAGGCACTGCCAAATCAATCATTATTGCCTCTTGAGCTCTTTGTTCTTCCAATAAAGACTTTTCCTTACGGTCAGATACACTTCCCGGTGTTCGTTGAATATTCTCTTGCTCATAATCACCGCCATATCCTCCTTCGTTCTTCTGATCTTCATACATTCCTTCCTCATTCAAGTTCTCATCAGCCTTCATCCAATTAAATCTTCCATCTTCATGTTCATCCCTCAAATCCTGATGAATGTCAACTAATATTCGGCATAATTCTTCGTCAATAATATCTTGATCTCTTAAATCATTAGAGTACTCATCTTGTATTTCAAGATTTGATTGTTTTGGATTCACGTCACTTGACTCGTTACCCGTTAATAACTCTTCGAGATTAGTTGGAACATCTGTGACCTCTCCACTATCAGAAGTCATAAAATAGCAAACTCTTTTAATGGCATTATTATCCAAAGAGTTTATGTCACAAGTATCATTTATGTCCATAAATTCAATACTTGGGTCATTGTTGGTACAAAATTCACCCTTTTTGCCTCTCTTTTCGACGATTGCCCAGTCGACTTGAAAATGACAAGGAGCCAGTCGATTTTGATGAAACTTCAACATCTGTTTGTCTATAGCGCTTTGCAAGCTTGTTGCATAATGGTTCTCGAAGATTTCGGAATCTGTAGGCTTTATCATCCAGTCCTTGTAAACAATTATCCTTGCTTCAACAAAATCTGTCCAGATTGGATTATCACCTAATGAGCAAACCAACTTCTGCTTCTTGTACTGTCTGATGATGGATTTCGTAATCTTGGCATTCGCCAGTTGTGATAGAGAGGGTACTAGTGTGGAAAACCCTGTATCATTGACGATATTGCCAAATTTCTCCGACAGAGTCGAATCATTGGCGGTACTGCTAGGATTATTTCCAAATTTCTCTGAGGTTGTCGGCAATGGGCATAATTGGGAAGATTGTGCTAAAGGAAAGCCAACTTGGGCCTCTTCTATTTCTGCGTCCGATCCTTCAGTCGACGAATAGTCACATTCTTCTAAAACACTCTTATCTATCTCTTCATTTCCTGGTTCTTGACTGCAAGCTTCTATAATTACATCATCCTCAACATTCCCATTTGTTGGCTTACTCAATTCTATTGGAACTTTTCCTTCAAAAACATCAACAACATTACGTTCTGTTGTAATAATTTCAAGCTTTGTTGAAAAAGTGGAAACATTATCGTAAGTGGTATCCCCGATAATAGGAAACTCACTTTGGTTTTCTTCTACCATTGGCCCCGATTCCTTATCAACACCTTCCTCATCAACACCTTCCTCATTTTCCTTGAATTCAATCTCTTCATCTTCATAAATGTTGGCAGCAATACCATAATCTTCTTCGGGTTGCAATTCAATTTCTTCTTCACAAAAATTACCACCAGTTTCATCATACTCAAACTCGCCAATTACGTTTTCACCAATGCCTTCATAAATCTCGAAATTTTGTCCATCATTTTGTTCATCATTTTGTTCATCATTTTGTTCATCATTTTGTTCTTCATTTTGTTCATCATTTTGTTCATCATTTTGTTCATCAGTCTGCTCGTTAGTTTTCTCGTCAGTTTGTCGCCCATCCTGAGCAACAGATTTCGCATCACCAATTTTTTCACTACCTGCTACATCATCGTCCCTAGAACTATCCTCACTCTTTTGCGAACTCATACGACTTGTACCATCGCTATTCAGTGTTGATATTTGACTCATGTGTGGATATGAATCACTGACCTTTAAATCTTCAGCTGGAGTTGCGCTACTGCCTATATCATCATCACCTTGGGAAGTATTTTGAAACTTAGTATCAACTTGAGCTTCAGTTATTCTTTTACTAGTTAAACTGCCAGTTAAAATTATGGTGCAATCTTTATTTGCAAGCAAATATCTTTTCATTAGCAGGAGGATTTTTACGAGAACCTCTTCTTTCTGGGTTTCCAAAGCCTGATGATCATTCAACTGTTTCACATATCTGTAGTCACTTCTCTTCTTCCCGTACTTTAAGACCCTTTCATTATGAGAAAGCTTGTATTTCTCACCATACTTCTTTCTTTCCTTTATCTTCTCGTTAATCAACCGTATTTGTTTGCGATTATGCAAAGAATATTTATTTATAGCTTCAAATTCATGAAATAAGACTCTTGGAAGATCATTGATGATGATTAATCTGTACTGTGTACCAAATTTTTTGTGAGATTTGATTGGTACATCGGACGTGTTGTTCTTGTTGAAATTATTCAACAACTTTGCAAATAACTTATAAATTACCGACGAGCTATTGCTTGGAATATCAATACTATTGAAATTCCTCAACCAATTGGTCTCGAATTTACCTGATGAGTGCCGGCGTAACATTTCTGGGAGTAACTTAAATTCAGAGTTGACGTATAGGCATGGCGAGTCCTGGGGGCCAATCACCTCATTAATGATGCTAAATAACAAATCATACCTGCTTGAATTTGTTGTGCCATATAGTTCATATATCTTTCCCGGGGCAAGTCCTCCAATATTTGGTTGATTTTTAATAACGCAGGTGCCAAAACGAGTCATTGACTTCGTAAATTGCTTCGCCGAATCATCTGCTAAAAGATCATCTAACATTTTAGATCCTGAAGATATACAACTACCTCTAGGATTTTTAGACGCTAATATGCCCCCATCCTTATGAACTTCATTTGCCATGTCAATCGTCCCTTTGGGCGGTGTAGGGCCTGTCTGTGTGATTAACAAAGACAATAAACTGTTTTCTTCAATTAATTCATTGATCTTCCTCTTTTTAGGATTTTCCAGCGTCATATTATTTATAAAAGTGGGAGCCATCGAACTATGATATATATATTACCGGATAACCCATGTCCTTGGGTATTTATTTATCTTATTGGTTGTTTATATTTTTGATATTTTGCTTAACGCTTATGATGTAGACAAACTAGAAAATTTATTTCAAATTTTGGCGTTTTACCATAAAAATGCGACGCGTTACATTTTTTTTCTCCAAAACCCCCAAATGTGCTGCATACATAATTCCTGAAGAAGTTTGTTTGTCTTTCCATGTGTTAAATATTTAAAATTAAAACTATCTAAAATACGGATACAATATAGAATCAAGAGAGAGAGAAACAAAGAAAAAAAAAAAAAAAAGAAAAAGCTATTCTATAGCTTAATTATATTACATCATATCTTGTATCATTGAACCTAGTCAGAAAAAATAGTAAATTTTAGCCTGTCTTTATCAATTTTGACTTTATTCTGCTGATTCTCATCATAACCATCATTAATACCCCTTCCAAAGTTAATGTCATCAGGGTTAGTGTTAACAGATTGCTGGGGTGGTTTGGAGAGAGCATTAGACAAATCTGATAGAGTTTCTTTATTTTTCGTTATGGTATCGAAATCATTCAAAGATTTGCTTTTCAGAATTCTTGGTTGTGGCCGCTGTTGCAGAATATGGTTATTTTGAACAATACTTTTCAAAGTTGCTTTATTAACTGATCTCGGTGGGGTGAAATATGCTGGTAATTTCTCATCCAAAAGACCATTGACAGCTTTCTTTGATTCTTGGCTGAGTTGGGTATCATAATTTAGAGATTCATTGGTTTTCCAAAGGGTATTCAATCTTCTAATCTTTCTGAAATCTTCACCATTGTGAACGTAATTGTTACTAGATCCTGATGGAGAGTTGAGAGCGGATTCAGAGTATTCCGAGTATACTGAAACTGGCGAAGATCTTCTTGACACACTAGCCCCACTGATCCTTGACTTCTTTTTTGGTGAGAAATGAATTGGATCCTTGAAAATCTTTTGTCTCTGTAATGAGTCGGAACTGAAGGATGACAAATTAGGTATACTCAAGATACTATCACTTTTATTCGATAGCTTGCTTCTGTTAATGCCATTACTCAGTTTTGAATTAACTGATTCTAAACTGCTGTTGCTATGGTTATTTTTACCACCTCGTGAATCTTCGTCACTTGAGATTGCTGCCAAGCTAAGTAGTTTGTTTGTAAGTTTAGACTTAAGAGGTGAATTTAATGGGGAAGAGAAAATCGATGGACTTTTCCGTCTAGCCGAGTCTCTCAAGCTACTCAGCATTGGGGACCTCGACAGCTCTTTATGATAATCCAGACGTAATGGGGTAGTCATGTTCTCGAAATCCATCAACAGCAGAGGTTTAAGAGGTGAAGATTTTCTAGGCAAGTGAAGGATTCTGTGCTTCATTTCTTCCTTTTGGGTATTTTTGTTAACGATTCTGTTGGTTGGTAATTGGCTTGGCTCTTGAGGTTGATCATAAATCTCTAAAAAGCCTGGGTATAATATAATGCTTTTTGAAGCTAAGGGTTTACGTTTTTTACAAACGTTGGTATCTTCGGTTTGAGGCGCTTCACAGTCTTCCATTTGGCTCTTGATGATGCTATTGTTTAAAAGATTATCATTGTTCAAAATGTCGGCGCTTGAGCATGGTTCCAAGTTTTCCTTGGATACATCATTCTCTTTATCATCGAACTCGACATTCTCATCTGCCTGAAAAGTGTCATCAATGTCAGCGAATAAACGCTTGCTCTTCGATAAAAGTGGCGCTAGCGGTAAAGATGACGATGACGATGAGGAAGAAGAAGAAAAACAAGGAGGCAATCCATATTGCTGAGTACATTTCTCGATAGGCCGTTTCGGGGAATCCTGAAATATAGAAAACTCCAACTTTGTGGCATGCGACTGTTGAATCAGTTTCAGCGGTGAGATGTTAACATCTTTCAACAGCAATTTGCGGGGCATTCTTGAAAATTTTAGGCTCCTTTCCAATAACTTTGGGAGATGTGCGAGTATTTGTGATTGTTATGATAATTAACCTTGTTGTATCTCATCTGGTTCTATAGATTTGTTTTTTGTTTTTTTATTTTTATTTTTTCGCGTTTGTGACACTGCTCACCCGGACTGGCTTACTGCTCAGCACAACTTCAATGCCGGTGCTGAGAAAGTAGAGGGGCAAACTCAATACGTAAGACCTAAGCCAATGAGTACCAAACCATTATATTCATCCTCAAAACAATACATAAAGACTTATTCAGTGTGCAGTAAAACCGCCACTCGCGTAAATGGTTTGTCCAGTTATCCACGAACCTTCATAAGCTAAAAACCTAATGATTGGGACGATATCATGAGTTTCTGTCAATCTACCATGAAGACCCATAGTCTTGTAATATGAAATATCTTTATTCTTTTCTTGCCCATAAAGAAACGGAGTGTCCATAGGACCTGGCGCAATGCAATTTACAGAGATTCCTTTTTGTTGCAATTCCTTGGAAGCAGCTTTGGAATAGTACTCTACTGGGGCCTTTGTTCCTTGATAGCTACTATAAAATGGAGTATATGCGGCCAATAGAGATGTGACCAAAGAAATGATTTTGCCATTTTCATTCAAACTCTTCCCTGCTTCCTGGATGAAGAAAAAAGCAATCTTGTTGTTGACAAGATCCATCCCATCAAATTCTTCTTCAGAAACCTCAACCAACGGCTTTTTCAACACTTTGCCAATATTATTGATCGCAATATCAATTCCATTTGGGAACTTCTCTTTGGCAGTGGAAAACATTTTATGAACATCTTTGGCACTTGTCAAATCGCTTTGATAGAATTCAACTTTAGAGCCCGCCTTCAGTAAAACATCAGCAAAATGTTCCAATTGTGTAGGATGAGGAGTTGAACGATAATGAATAAATAAATTTGCCTGTAACTTGGAAAATTCTATGGCAGTCTCTCTGCCGAGATTCTTGGTTCCCCCAGTGATGAGGACAGTTTTCCCTTTGAGGAAGTTGGGGTTTGCAGTAGAAGTAGACATTAACGATGTGCACTCGATATTGTTACTTCAAGTTGGGAAACAATGAGTCGGTATCAAAATATTTTCAGAATTTCAAAGGCTCTTGTGATTTATATTTAATGGCGGAAGTTGCTCAGACTCTCCGTGGCCACCGTTAATGCCAGGATTCATAGCAACACAGCTAGTTGTTACGATCATTCATAAGCAATGCCCAGATTACCCCTCCGTTCCGGAGAGATTAGTTAACAAAGTATGATGGCAATTATCCTTTAGATACAGTCTGTAAAGAATAGTCTATAGAATTTGGGTTAGGTTTCATAGATAATCGTATCATATAGTTTTAGGCCAATTATAACCATCGCAAGAATAATAATGCCCAGTACATATCAATTCACTAGTGTTGTCAGAACACCAGGAAATTTGCCTTGCCACCTAATTCCACTGACCGTGATACTTTTGAACTTGAAGGTGATGTTGAGTTTTTAAATAAATTTATAGCTGTTGTTCAGTGCTCTCATGAAATTGAAAGTAGAACGCTTTGGAGATTCTAGGAGATTTTTAACAATAGTTTGAAGTACTTATAAAATTCTAGACATGATTGTTATGATACTAGGCATATACCACATACTTGCGCGTCGTTAGACATATCATTTGGGATTTATCATAGTTATTCCTAACTAGTTGGCTGATATCTATTTGTTTACGCTAGGCACTGTTATCTAAGAGTACTAGATCCTTGAATAGTATATCGTCCCTATCACGACAACTGGACGCTTCACACAGATATCTAAATAGAGAATACTGATGGCATCTCCATATAAAACTATAAAAACAATTATTAGTCCAAGATATTGCTAGTAGTTGACCATTGACGAACGTCAAAGGGGTGGTACACTGTGACAATAAGTACGGAATCTATCATAAACTCTCTTCCTTTATTTATTTACACCGTATTATAGAAAAGAATATAGAAAAAGTAAAAAAGAAAATAGCAACACCCACACCAGTGAAACAATAAGCTTCTATGAAGTTCTGTTGCTTGTCATTTTGCACGGCTCTTATTCAAATGAATGAATACCCCATAGGAGAATAATTCAACGAGGGTACACAAAAATCTTCCTATGATATAATGTTACAATGCAACACTAATATGAAACGCAAATTATCTGATAGGCTGGGGTATTTTCTTCGTTAATCATTTACCTACAATATTGGAAATAATTCCTTGAGAAAGGTGGCCCAAAAAAGTAAAAAAAAGTAAAAAAAAAAAAGAAAACCGTGACGGAACCTTAAAAGTAGTAAAAAGAAAACAAAACAAAGCCTTCATTTACGGAAAACCGTTGAAAATTCACATTAAATATATTGGCAAATCAATAGGTTGATCTAAATGATATCGTACTTTTGCAAGTATCATTTTAAAGCTTAAGAAGACCGAATTCAATACACTCTCAACATTAAAACCTATCACAAGAAAACTTACGTTTCTAAAGACTGCAATTCACGTAAAAATAGAATAGAATTGCTGTTTGTTTGTTTTTTAATATAAGCACGTTATTTCTCTGTACACGTCAAATAATACAGACCCTACAGTGGCCATTAAAAGTATAGGACACCGAGGTGTATAATCTAGAGGTAAGGTAATGAGTGTATTACAAAACACATGGTAGAAGTCAGGTTAGCTAGGGAGACCATGGTAGTACCGTGGCTGGGTGCATCTTGGCTTTTTTTTTATTAGACACAGTAATATCTGACGGCTAAAACAAGTAAATGAGATTATTTATCCAATGTGTTAACTAACCTGGTTTCAAGAAGAAATTTAAACCAAAATGTGCATGGGGCGGGCGGATACGACTTCGACTATACATGCACACGACGCACTGCATCAAGAATACGTCTCTTGAACGACGTATTTTTTGTGCGCGTTGATCATCATGGACAACAATGTTCCATATTGCAGAGAAGTCAGGTCAGCTTAAAAAAAATAAAAATATCGTCAATATATGATTTTTCTCGCAGTAGATTTTCAAAAAGGAAATGAAATAGAGATTCTTAAAATGATAAAACTGTTGGAGATAAAAAAGCTCTCTTGAAGTTGTACAAGCACGAAGCACTTTATTTATTTATATAATTATTGTTTTCTTTTCTTTTCTTTTTTTTTTTTTTTTTTTTAAGCTAAAGAGGAAAGAAGAAGATTTTTTTCGGAGTAAGAGAAGAGCTGTAGATTCACTTAGTAACAATGTCTGCTTTGCATGTTTCCCACGGTAAATAGATCAACGTGTATATTAATATTGAAACCTGGAAGTGGGAGTCACACGGCTTTATGAGGTTAAACGACTAGAGGCAATGTATTTGCTTTATTGGTTAAGAACAACTCAGACATAACAAAAGTTACTTTTTCGAATTGCTAAACCCACAAAAATAAGGAAAATTTTCTTCCCCAGAATATATACATATTATTTTCCAATTGAAGACTGTCCTCCACCATGATGATAAGGTAACGGTTTTTTTTTTTTCTTTTTTTTTTTCTTTTTTTTTTTTCAAGAATCTTTTTGCCGGATTATGCCTCCACATACATTTGTATTTCCAGGTAACCATCGGCAGTAGACGGTTCTCCACTAGATGATTTCATCTATTTTTCGAAAAGGGGATTCGGCACACTGTTGAAAAGATTTGTGCGCCACCATTGGAAGTCATCATGACGTAATAAGATGTATACCCGGTCAAAAAGATGCAAGAACTGTTATTTTCACATTGGTGAATAACAACATATTATTTTCCCACAAACAAATGTCAGGATCTATTTGGAATCAGGCTGGTTTCAGGAAAGTTTTCCCCAATAGTTATCCAACGGTTTTGATACAGCATGGCGCATGGCATTGCATTTGAGAGGTGCGATCTTCCATTTGATTACAAAGCTTCACCAACAGCTACCGCCCCCAAACTCCGTGAATTTTTCGTTTGGCTACCTCGTACTGCCTTATCAAATGATTTTGTGAACATTTGTGTTTCTGATCGTGGAAAAAGAAAAGGTTTCAATCAGTAAGTACAGGGGAGGAATACAGCTAAATTGTGTTAAGCATATATAACATATTACATATTTCACTTTTTTTTTTCTTCAACTTCATGCGGTTCTCCATACTGGCATAATGCTTGTGGACTAATTCGCTGATCGTATTTTTCCCTTTAACTTGATTGCACGCAATGACTTTTGAGGATGTGGTACACAGAAAAAAACTTATTCCAGGTACATAAAAATATCAAGTAGTAGTGCTCTTATCAAAACAAGCGCCCATTTATATTAGTCAGTCTCAATCAGCAAAGCATGGGGCCAGGAGATGCCAATTCACACATTCAATGGTTAGGTATGCCAAAAGGGACTCTCCTGATCTCGATTGATTGACTCTAACTTGTTTATGAAAGCACCGGAAGATGTTCTTTGGGGGGTTCCAGACAGACAATTTAAATTGGCCACAGCTTGTCACATGCTACACTCTCATGCATGGTAACGCTTCTCTATATAAAAATGTTGCATGGGACAGGTGCCGACCAATTAATAGGGTTAAAAATCGCATAGTAGGCAGCCAACGTAATTTAAGACAAGCAGCAGCAACAGCGTTGAACAGCCCCAACAAGCAATGCATGATGCTGCTGCTAAATAAGTGCTAGGCATTCCCAAGATCGGACGTTTACTGTGGCCAGCAGAATTTTTTTTTTTTCGACTTCTTTCTTTTTCTTTCTTTCTTATTTTCTTTTTCTTTCTTTTTCTTCAGTATTTTTTCGATCGATCTCCGTCGCTGGTAGTGCAAATCAGATATAAAAAAAACACAATATCCGATTTTGATTGTTTGTCACGCTAGCACCCCATCAATTCCTAGGAAAAAAAAAAAAAATCACTGCAACTTTATCATCAGTTATTTATCAGCAGATCATTTTTGATAATTTTTGTCTTCTTTTCTGTGGTTTTCTTCTTCTTTTAGAACAGGGGAGAAAAACTCTATTTTGCACCAAGGAAGATTTACGAAAAAGGCCTAATTCGTGCATTGGCTGCAAAGACTCTTGCACCGTTAGAGTTTGAAGTAGGCAGGGTTTTTTTTTTTTTTGTGTGTGTGTGTGTTGCCTTGTGAGATAGTAAAAAAAATATTATATATAAGTGGTGGATCCGTGCTTATCATCGAGTTAAAATTTTTTCACAACTGTCTCCGCTAGTGCTTTTGTGAAGAAATATAGATCGATATCAAGACAGTCAAACTAAGAAGTCTTCGTGCATATATATATAACGGTTAACTAACAGGCTTTTTGACACAACACAATTTATTATATTATACACCTTCACCACCCATAAAGACACAACACAGTATGAATCCTGACGACAGATTTTTCACAGTCAGAGACTGGCGATGCTGCAACTGTTCCACTGAGCAATATCATTATGAAACTAAAAATCAACTAGTGCCATTTTTGGAGAGAGATTTGAGCCTTGTTTGCACATCATGTTCCCATGATGCGTGCCGAAAGTGCTACTATTATTCGAGAAATGTCTACGGAGAAATGATTTATAGGGACCGTATGTCAACTATCGGAAATTGGTGATTGTTGGCGCTGGTGTTTACGACCCTTTTCTTCGTTTGGGAGCATTCTGCAAATTTGAAAAACCTATCTGGTGAATTCAGGGCAATTTTGCCACCATATTTCCCAATATATTATATCATAATCAACATCACTATACTATAACAATAATTCTTGCTTTCTAATACTACTAGAATTCATTTTCTATCCTTTTTTCTAATGTCAATATTGCTTTAATCCACTCTCATCACTAAAAGAATCTCACCATCAAAATTTTGTTTGTCTGCCAGATGTCGTTTCAGTTATGCGATGACTGCCATTTTTGTTTCTTGAATTTAATAATGTCTCATTCCATCTTATCAATATCTTTCTCATTTTTTTTTTTTTTATGTTACAGCTCACCGTTTAATTTGCTATTCTTTTGTTAATATTTCTACAGAACGTACTTCAGTCGATCTGTCTGTTCCTCTTCGCGTTCTTTCCTATCACACATGAGTGATAGTATTTAGAATTTACCTAATAAATAACTTATAGATAATAAATAAAAATAATAAAACAATGTTCTTGGTCGCAGGTTCGCGCAAACTGACTGTTTTTTTTTTTTGTAAGTAATCAATGGCTCTATATTACTTTCTTCTGATGACTACTATATGTGAAGACCGTAAAGTTAGTGCTTTTCTATCTTAATTTCAATGGTGTCGAAAGATAAAGTAGATTGATGTCTCTATGGTGATAAAAAGTTTTATAAAGTGCTTACAAAATATCACCCGGGGTCTGCTTTTTTAGTTTAATAATTTGAGCCTCGTTTCAACTACGTTTCATCTTCAATCGCAACAAAAGCAAACCTATCAAATTGATAATGAGATATGATCATCATATTGCAAATTTCACAAATAATCATATTACTTTGATTGATATTGATAATCTTCTAATCATCTTGTTTAAAGGAAATGAAAATCATACTATCAACCAAGTCACCAAAATATCTCACTAAGGGTATCACTAAACAAAGGTTTCATGGGTTCATCAGTCAGCAATTACACACAAAAAAAAAGAAGATAAACGAGAAAAAACAACATAGTATTCCAGAAGTAACGATATCATAGCAAAATGATGAAATCTTTACATCGCTTTGAAAAACTGATATAAGCCGCCACAAAAACACAAGCAGTAGTTGATGGCCTAAGCATATAGCATCAAGACATACCTTAGTGGAGGATAAATATCAAGCCAGTGATTTCTTATTGACTTTCATAAAATTCCTAGTTCCAACCCAAGTTCGCAGCCAGTGAGATTCAACGAATAATTCTTATTAAAGAAAAGGATGTGGCAGAATTTTTTCCCCGCGTAGCCAAACATACAAATTTTTTTTCTTAGTCACATTCCAACACCCTTTTATCAAAAAAATCAAAAAAACAAAAATTAGAAAGAAGCAATATTCAACAACATTGAGAGAACTCTTTCTGTTTGGTACGAGTGTTTAATATCATTGCACGTACTATGTTTGTCATTTTCTGTTTCATATTCTCCAATTGACTACTAATATACAGGATCCACAATTGGCGCTTACCATACCTATCTTGAAGAAATTAAGTGATAACTACAGAAAAAGCTGTCTCCAGATGAATAAATGAAACTAAGAATTATAGAAGACATCATTTGAACCCAGAATAGCCCGTCACACATTCCAAAAACCTCCCCCAGGCGGTCGTGTAACTTCACTGACGAAGTTTGGTTGAAAACTAGCAATATGTCTTCAAACTATCAGAAACTGACATAGTTTCATTTTCACTTAGCAAGAGCGGCTCTAGAGAGAAACCTTTGGACTCCTAAATTCAAATTGGCCACAGAATTTTTTCATCCTTCTTCAAGGCAGTCTTTCAGTGGCCGTTGAATCCGGTACAGCCGTGCCTCCGTTATACCAATTGGTCATTTCAGTATTTATACTATCGGTCAACTTCTTGGTAGTCTTAATATATACCTGATCATATTATTAAACCCTCGGAACGTTCTTCTTCACATTTGCCAATGCAATCGGCACCAGTACCAGTTTGTTGGCATTTCCATGATGCTTATGATTGACAAAGCAAGCAATAATAAAGCTACATAATAAGCTACTGGAAACAAGTTACTGCTGCTAAATATCAAAATATGATCACTCTTCATTGGCTTGAAACCATGACGTCTATTCAAAGTTAGTCATTGTATTGGCATTCTGCATCCAGAGTAAAAAAAGCAAGCTATCTTTTATCCCTCACAAGTCAGCCATGATTTAAAGAAAAATTAAATCGAATCAAATGATTGGGAATTAAAATGAAACTATTTCCTCAGTACTGATTATTGATATATTTTGGCGTGTGAAGTTTTGTCTTTTGTATGTGCTTCTTGCTAAAAAATCTTGCCACTTGACCATAGGAAGATTTTTGTTGCAGATGTTTCATTATGAAGTGATATCTTATAGATTATATTTCAAGATTTGAAATAAGAGGATGAGCATAGGAAACCACAAATATTATGTATGTCTTTCTATTGAATGGTTAAATTCGTGGGTACTGCGAAGCTCTCTACTATGCACTTGAAAGAACTCACAGCACAGCGAATAGTACACAAAAACTCGGGTTTTTTTATTAAGGGCCAGAAGATAAATGGCAAAATTTAGCTGTCAAATCCTGAAAATATTCTCATTAAATTATGATACCAACTTCATAAGAAGTTTGATATATATATTGCAAAACCAAAATAAATAAAAAAGGGAAAAATCGTCATTCAGTGTTACAACTCAAGTCGTAAAAACATCTTGGGGGCATTTTTGTCGAAGAAACAGGCAGGGATAGTGTCAATTAAAAACAACAGAACAAGATGAAGAAGAAAGATAAAAGATGAACAGACCAACAAGAAGATGAAGAGCCAAAGGAAGAATAAATCAACAATAATGACGCAAGAAGAATGAAAAAGGAACAAAAGAAAAACATTCAGTAATAAACGAAAAGGAAAAAAAAAAAAACAAAAAAAAAACAAAGGGTCACACAGGAATTACTATTTAAGCCGTTATAAATGTCTTAATAACCTTATTCTTGGAAGCATTTGCAAATAAATTATAAGCCTTTTCAATGTCTTCAAGTTTAAATTCATGGGTGACCAACTCTTTTGGATTTAAATGTCCATTTACCACTTCCGCCAATAATTTATCTGTGGTATATGCATTAACCAACCCAGTGGTGATTTGAATGTTTCTAATCCATAATTTTTCAAGGGCTAGTTTGACCCACGATCCATGGACTCCTACATTAGCGATCCTACCACCTGGATTGATCATGTTTTCACAAATTTCAAACGTCGCAGGTGCCCCAACACATTCCACTGCTACATCTACCCCTTTGGAAATCCCATTGGTTAATTCTGAGCACAACTTGGTCAAGTTTTTCTCCATTTCCGCCGGATCTTTAGAATTTAGTGTGTAATCTGCCCTGAATTTTTCCTGGGCCACCTTCAATCTTTGATCATCCAAATCAATCATAATTACTGCTTTAGGTTTGAATTTTCGACAGGTCACCAACACGGCAATTCCTACGGGACCACTACCAATGATTGCTACCACGTCGCCTGGTTTGATATTACCGTTGATTGACCCAACTTCATTGCCGGTTGGCAATACATCTGATAGCATCAACAAAGCTTTATCATTGGAGACTCCTGCAGGAACTTTGTAAAGTGAATGGTCAGCGAATGGGATTCTTACATACTCTGCTTGGGTTCCATCGATTTCATGACCAAGAATCCAGCCCCCGCCATTCATACAATGAGATTGAAGATTCTTTGAGCAATAATAGCAGTTTCCACAACTGGTGATACAACTGATGATGACTTTATCTCCAACTTTAACGTCAGATACTTGGGACCCCACGGATTCGATTACCGCAATCCCTTCATGTCCCAACACCAATCCTTGAGCCCCCAAGATATTGCGGGGGTTACATTTACCATTGCAAGGAATAGACTCGGGAACGTCACCTTTAAGAATATGTAGATCGGTGCCGCAGATAGTGGTACTGATGATCTTAACAATTGCGTCGGTGGCTGTTAAAAGTTGGGGCTTTGGGATAGATTTAAGGGCAAAATTGCCGGCGTTTTGGAATACTAAAGCTTTCATCATTTTGATGGGTTGTCTTTTTTTTTTTTTTTTTATGCGCTTTTATTCTATTAATTTGATCAGTGGAATGGGACGAAAAAATTAACTATATATGCTATATAAGAATAGCAATCTTTGTTATTGGAAAGCTGCATGGCTGCTCAATTAGTTATGTATTAACTTTTCCTTCGATGATCTAATATAGATAGAATATGGTGAGAAATTATCAACTGCAACCAGAGATCCTTCATTTTTATCCGCACCTTTATATACAATAGACGAAAGTCACTCTTAGAAATACTACAAATTTGTAGAATCAAACTACGCACAAAAAGATACTCCAATATTCACAACTGAGCATCCATAGTGTAGGTAGATGATATACATACATACTGGGTTAGACACATCCAAAATCCAAAAAACCAAGCATTGCTTAAAATCTCAGGTGAGATTTTTTTTGTTTTGTTTGTTTTCGCCCACCTTTGCCACCTTTCTTTCCCCTCTCCTTGGAATTGCTCACAATCATAATAAATGAAGTTTTGCATTTGGTTCTTCTTTCTTTTCTATTTGAACCCTGCAGCAATTTCCACAATTGATTATTTTGATTGCGCCAACATTGAAAAAAAAAAAAAAAGAAACCAAATCTTATTCCAAAATGCTGAAGTGAGTTTTACTTATTTCGCAATGATGTTTTTTTTTTTTTTTGTTTGTTTCTATGCCCAATACCGTATACTATACTATACTATACTATACTATACTATACTATATAGTATATAGTATTTTATAGTATAGATTATCTATCTTGTGGGGGGAGGGTAGGGGAGGGGAGGGATTTTCCTTTTTTCCTGTCTTTTTTTTTTTTTTTTTTTTTTTTTTTTTTTTTTTTTTTTTTGCCCTAATCCCCTTTTGCTAAAAATATATTTTTGATTTGACAATAGAAAATCACCGTTACACGGCGTAAACAGTGCACTTAAGTGCTGTACACAGGCGGATTCTGTCCCTCTCCTCCCCCTCCCCACTCTACGCAGATATCCATCCACTGTACAGCCCGGCCGGTTGACAATTTGTTGTTGTTGTTTTTTTTGATTTTTTTTTTTTTTTGTCGTATATCATCACAGTGGCGTTCCGTTATTGGATGCATAAATAGGCATATTATACTATAAGGACCCCCCATCGAATAGTGATTGGCCATTAAAATTATATATTAATTTATTATTATTGATTCATTATTGATTCATTATATATTAAAATTCTAAATTGAATAAGCCAAAGAAACTAAAAAAAAATGAAAAAAAAAAAAATGAAAAAAAAAAAATAAAAAAAAAAATAAAAATGAATAGGAAAAAAATGCAGCATCTAGATTAGATTTAGATTTCTGAAATGGTTTATTTACAAGAATTGAAGGATCTTGAAGGAAAATCAGATGCTCAAAACTCAACAATTTCACAGTTGTTTTGGTTTGCCAAACACCATTCCGAAATCCAAATTCAAATCTTTGTATAAGTCCTTCATGGTATACTCATCAAGAACGTCATTTTCGTTATTTGCATATTGTGAAAATTTCAGAGTATTACTGTTATTTTGATACGACAGACTTTCACCAGTAGCATCTTGTGATCTCGACCGTGAGATCATGATATCGTCTTTGAACATTGCTCTAAATTTCGCATCACATTGTCGATTGAAATCATCAAGGGTAGATTTCTTCGAATAGTTGTAATCTTTCTCCATGTTATTCTTCTCATAATCGCTCAATTTTTCGAATTCTTCACTGGATTTTATCTCGTCAAATTTCTCGTCGATTGCGTTTAATAGCTGCCATTTCAAGGATTTTCTAAACTGCTCATATTTTGAAAGTTTGTATTGTCTAAACGATCCATGCTTGCCCAAGATCTTTTCATGGTATAATTCTAACAATACTTGGGAAACTTTCTCAGTAATCTCTTGCCACTTGTTCACGAGGAAAAAATCTTGCTCTGCAGTTTTCGGATCGTTTAGTTTCAAATTCTTGTAACTGGTCAAGGTAGAATTCTGTTTTTTCAACATTTCTATCTCATCATCCAAATTTTTCGAGAAATTGTAGACTTTATCAAAAGTTTCGTTATTCTTGCTCAACGATTTCAACCCCAAAGTGAAGCTTTTGGAATTCTTTTGTGAAATATTGAAAGGTGACAAGCCACCACCACCACCACCACCATCATCAGTCGACGAAACCATTTTTAACGGGGATTTGAATTGTTTGCTGGATGATGATCCCCCTCCAGTCCCCATTTTCCCACTTACTCGTCTTTTGGAAATCGGGGTCGACACTTTCCTGATCCCCAAACTGTTGGGTCTAGACATACTTGGAGGGTACTTTGATGGGGTGGTATTAGGAGATCTTGCCATATTTATCGGAGAAGAAACCGACCGTTTGGAATTGATAGAGCTGGGGGTATTAATCGACTCATAGATCTTTGAATTCATTGATGGAGGTGGGGGAGTAAGGTCAGGGATGGGGCTCTCGTGTAATAATGACAAAGAAAGCTTCCGATGGGGAGTTGGAAGGTTAAGTGATGATTCGACGGTTTTTGATTTCGGCGTCAACGTAATCGAAGAATTATGCAACCCCCCTTGATGATGATGATGATGATGATGATGATGATGATGACTTTGGACTGACAGTTTCACTGGGATCACATTCTCTTTGTGAGCCAAAGGAGTGGAATTTATCGAATGCTGGAAATCCCCATCGTCAGTGGGACTAAGTACCATTTTGTTGGTAGGGGTTCTGGATTTCTTGGTGATGGTGAGTGGCGGCAATGGTTTGAAAGAAGGGGATTTCTCAGGTATAAGCTTGACATTATTGTCAGAATCTTGAGCATTGCTTTCCCTAAGTGGCGATTTGAAATGATTGGTTGCCATGATAATGGTGATTAATCAAAATGTTTATCTGTCTGTCAAGAACAAACCACGACTAATAAACAAACTACCGAATTGATACTATTTACCTGGATTATAATTTCTAATACCAATGATATTGGACAATATAAACCAAAATGAAGAATAAAAACCCACTGCCAAACTATGGTTATCCAATAGATCTAGTTGGGTGTGTCAACCGATACAATCTTTTCATATGATGCCAATTTGAAGGATCAATTTTTTTTTGTTGATTTCAGCAGGAATTTTTTTTTTTTTTCCCGTTTAGGCCCGCGTGTAGCAATTATTCTTCTACCTACAAACCGTTAAGGAAAACCAAATAAAGAAGAAAACAGTAATTGTTGATCTATATTATTCATTAATATTAATTCTAGCAATGGCAAGCAACATAAATAATAATAGTAATAGTAATAATAATAATGGTAATAAAAAAAGAGATAGAGAAAGAGAAAGAAATAAGAATATCAAAGAAAAAACAAATTGAATAAACATTAAAAACAGCCCAAAAATAAAACAAACACACACAAATGCAAATAAGAAAATAAAAACAAAAAAAAAGAGAGACAACTTTCATTGAAATAGAAAGTGCCTTGTAATAATATAGACACGAATTACTGTAATAATACGCTAATGAGACAAAAACATGCTAGAAGATAGAGTACAAGAGGAAAAATAGAGAAAGAAATTTGCAGTCAGTCATCGAACCACCCTTTAGATCTTTCAACTGCCTTTTCCCATAATCTCCACTTCTTTTTTCTAGATTCAAACGCTTCTTCGCACTTGTAACTAACTAATTTATCGGTAGCAGACATACCAGTAGCAATGGTGTTAGTCAAGTCGTCAAAGTTTCTCCAGATACGTTCGTCTTCATCAGCAAAACCAAACCCTGCAGCAATGGCAGCACCAAACGCGGTACATTCGGCACTGATGGCTTGGTTAATGGTGACGCTAGGTCCCAAGATATCCGCTTGGATTTGCATAACCTCTTTGGAGTTGGACATACCACCATCGACAGATAAGTTTTTCAAAGGCAATGCTGTTTCTTCCGGATCATCAGAGATTGGGGTGACAGTGGTCATTGTTAAATCCTTCATTTCTTCTTCAATGGACCTGTCATCATCTTGGTCATCCACCGCATCCTCGGCCATGGCTTGAAGAATCGCCTTGACTTGGAAACAGACCCCTTCAATGGCGGCTCTGGCAATGTGAGAAGAGTTGGTGAATTGGGTCAAACCAAAAATATTTCCTCTAGTTTGAATCCAGTAAGGACTGTACAAACCAGAAAACGCAGGAACAAACACAACTCCAGAAGAGTCAGGGACCCTGGTGGCCAAAGGACCAACATCGGCAGCGGCGTCGATAAACTTCAAATTATCACGCAAGTAGTTAACAATCGAGCCGGCCACGGCAATCGAGCCTTCCAAAGCATAACATGGTTCACCTTCGGAACCTTTAAGGTTAGCAAACCAATAAGCAAATGTTGTCAAGGTACCATGCGAAGAAATCATTTTTTTGTTACCGGTATTATACAACAAGAACGCACCGGTACCATAAGTACACTTGGCCGAACCTCTTTGCAACACCAATTGGCCAACCATCGACGACGATTGATCGCCAAGAATACCAGAAATCGATACACCTTTCAAATATTTCTTCAAATCGTTAAATGCAGTTTCTGTCAATCTGGTGTTGAAGTTAAATTTCTTCAAATTTGGGATCTTGAAAGTACCAAAGAATTCGGATGATGATCTAATTTCCGGGAACATGATTCTTGAGGAATCGATGCCCCAAAGTTTGAATAATGATTCGTCGTAATGTTTAGTATCGAGGTTCATCAACCCGGTTCTGGAGGCGTTGGTAATATCGGTAATATAGGAGCGTTCTCTGGTGAGGTTGTAAACTAACCAAGTATCAACGGTACCAAACATCAAACAATCGTCATTAGTTGGGTTTTCATACAAGAGTTTAATTTCTTCATTGTTTTCCACTAACCATTTGATCTTGGAAGCCGAGAAGTAAGTAGCAGGAGGCAAACCACACTTGTTTCTGGCATCTTCAAGTTCTTCTTTAGTATGGGAAGCCCCGACATCGTCAACAATACCAGAAGTTCTGGTATCGTTCCACACAATACCGTTATACAAAGGCAAACCGGTTTTCTTGGACCATAAGATGGAGGTTTCTCTCATGTTGGCGATCCCGATGGTTTTGATTTCATGGGTAGGTTCGCCTCTTGCGGCATTTTGCTTGTTTCTTTTGGCCAACTTGACTAAACAGGCAGCGACACAGATCAAACAGTTGGCCAAGATGTTGACGGGGTTACATTCGACCCAGCCAGGGTTTGGGAAAATCAAAGTGATTGGATTATCCTTTGGTCTTTCGAATTCCAAGTCATCGGTTTCGGTGATGGCGATACCTTCGTGGGAAAAGATTGGCATGTTCTTATCGAGGGCAGTGGAGTTAGCACTGGTACGATATTCGATCTGATGTTTGGCGAATTCCGTACCATCTTTGTTAAAAATGATGGCTCTTGTGCTTGTTGTGCCGACATCGATGGTCAAAATGGTTGGGATGGTGGACATATTTGATGAGCAACAGTCAAAAAAAAAAAGAAAGCTTTCGTTTCACTGATAAGGAATATGGGCAAGATAAAATATGGAGGGATAATAGGAATATTTAAAGTATTTGTTATGATAAGTTCATAATAAATAATAATAATAATAGGAATAGCAAATCTAAATATTGAAAAAAAAAAAAGAAAAGAAAAAGAAAAAGAAGATTTTTCTTCTTATTTATGTGAATCCAGGGGGGGGCAAGGTTTAGTTATTTATACACTTTTTTTTTTTCCTTTGTTTCTTTTTCTTTTGGGTGGACGTGGAGGGAGAGAGAAAAAAACACCAGAAAAAACTGGGGTCGCCGAGGGCAGCGACATTTTTCCCCGGCTTTCGGGTGGGCAGGCTGCGTGAGCCCCGGATGTTGTTCCACCACCACCATCGCCCGCTGACTGGGAATCTTCGCTTTCGAGAATGGTGTGGTGTGGGTGGCGGTATTTACAGCATTTGAGTACTCTATAATGTATGATATATATATACAATATATAATATATAATATATAATACATAGTATAATATAATATAAGGTATATATATCTTCCCACAAAGGGGAGGGCGGTACAGCATCATTGCAACAGAACAGAACAGATCAGTCAGTGCTTTGTCGCCTAATGTGGGGTTTGCCGGTGCCACTCGGAGTTCCCCACATTTCAGAGACAAAAAAAAAAAAAAAAAAAAACTAAAAAAAACAACCCCATCCAGACACCCAAACAGCCATCCACCCACCCAGTCAGTCAGTCAGTCAGCAGCCAGCAGCCAGCATCCGCACACCAAACCACCCCCTGATGCCCACCTCGGTCACCCGCACTTGCAGCAGGACCCCCCACCAGCCACTCCGCAGCAACAGCAGCAGCAGCAGCAGCAGCAGCAGCAGCACCACCGCACACGCCACAAGGTGCTCGCACACCACTGCCGCCGATGGTGATGGTGATGGTTGGTGCTGCACTATCGGTGGTGGTGAAGGCTTCTTCTCCTTTATAAACTCCTTCTGGTAATACTCGCACTCACAGTACCACCTCTTATAATCACACACCACCCTCCCGTACTCCACCCGGTCCTTCCTCTTGATCCGCCTTCGAAAACCACCGCCGCTGTCATTCATTTTCACCCAAAATTTACGATACTCATCCTCATCACTGATACAATTCACCGCCATCCCCAACCGCTTCTCGATTTCTAAATTCCATTTATTCAACCCCGAGCCCTGGAACTCCACCATCTCTTCTTTTCTATGGTAAATCGTCTTTTGGGTGTTGTAATCACGGATAAACTCATCGTCCGAATCATTATCCTGCGATTGATACCTTACATCCTTGAATATCACCACGAACTGCTGTTCCATAATCTCCTCGAACGACGGATACTTTAATCTAAGAATATCCAATCGCTGCTCTAGTTTCTCAATCCGATCCATGAAATTGGGCATCGCCACATATGTCCCTTCATCATTGATCCATCCAAACCCCGCTAGATCATCACCATCATCATCACCGCTGGCTTCTGGTAAATCCTTATTGTAGATCACAACATTCATCAAATCAAATTCAATCAACCGTAGTGCTTTCACAAACACCTTTGGTAGAAAATTCATTAGTAGTGAGAAATTGGTATCATTGATCCTGTAACTCTCCCCATCGCCATCGCCATCCCCACCCACCTCACCCACAATAAACAAGTTGGACAAAAGTGATTCAATCTGCTGTAATGATATCTTATCAACATTACCATCATCAAGCGCATATTCTTCTTCTGGGATATCTAACTGATCAATATCAATATTCATGATTGCTTTTATTTTTTTTTTCTTTTTTTTTTTTACCTCCCACACACCGAGAGTTCGCCTTCCTCCCCCCTCCCCTAGACCAGATCAGATCAGATCTATCTCCACCATTTTCTTTCTCCTACAATTTTATGCTGCACCCGGGGGTGGAGGGGGTGCCACACACACGTTATCTACCACAATCAATCAATCAATCAATCAATCAATCAATCAATCAATCAAATAAATAAATGAATAAATAAATAAATAAACAGACTACTTCTAAATATAATTTTTTTTTTTAAAAAAAAAAAAAACCAAAACCAAAACCAAAACCAAAACCAAAATTAACATCCAATCAATGACTAAATAAGAATTGTAAATCTGCCGGAGTCAACCTACTGGCTGACCCTTGATCTCCTTCGATGGTCGCCTTGACCATATCAGCCTTCTTATCTTGTAACTCCATAATCTTCTTTTCAATACTATCCGCGATACAAAATTTCACAATTCTTACCGGCCTGGTTTGCTTGATTCTATGAACACGATCAGCTTGTTCTTCCGCCGCCAAATGCCACCACGGATCCATAATAAAAATTTGACTCGATTCCGTCAAATTTAATGACACTCCCCCCGCCTTCAATGACACTAAAAACACCTCAACATTCACATTATTCATAAAATGATCAATAGTACTGGCTCGTTGTTGCGGTGACATCGACCCTTGCATTCTCACCGTCTTAAACCCGGCACGTCTCAATCTCCAGTCCACCAAATCCAAAAATGACGTGAACTGCGAATAGATAATCGTTTTAATGGTATGATTCTGAGATCTCGACTTGTACAATTCTTCCACCACCGCTTCAATCTTGGTAGACGATTTCCATCTCCCGGCAGCAATGTTGATCTTGTTGACAATACTGGTTCCTTTGTTGCCTCGGGATTCTAGCTCTTCAGAAACCTCGAGCGCCGGCGCGTCCAAATCAATCGATAACCCAATATGACACACTGGGCATTCCAATTTCTTGTCAGCATCGTCGGAATCAAACGACTTGACGTATTCACTAATACACAATCGACAAAACTTGTGGTTACATTTACTCTGAATTGCGTCCTCGGCCTCATCATCACATAATTGACAAACAATTCCTTCGTATCCGTTGAGTGCCGCATTGTTCATTTTTTTCAACACCAAGTCTGGATGGTCGGCCATCTGTCTCATTCGGGTGATCAAAGTAAAAATATTCGCATAGTTATTCAACACCACCCCTTCTTCAACATAATCATTGAATTGTCGATTAGAATCTGAATACAATGAATGGTACAAATCCTTCTCTTCCGGGTTGAATAAATCATACCGCACCTCAATGGTCTTTGGAGGTAACCCTAAATCATCGGCTCTTTGGGTTTTGGTCCGTCGCAACATGATTTTCGACAACAACAACTGCAATAATCCAAATGCTTCCACCCCTCTGTTAGCAAGGTTGTCAGTGATCTCGGTACCGGCTTTCTCTAAACTAAAGGCTTCGATTTTCTCCTCATTTTCAGCGCTAACGTTACCTTCAGCGTCAGCAATACCGTACTTGATAATATTTTTCAAGAAAAAATGGTTGAAAAAATTGGTATGCTGCATGGGTAAATGACCACAATCCGCACAATAACGATTACCAATAAAATTCCACTCCATACTAGTACAAGGACACTTGGTACAATAGTAATTACAAAATGGCTGGACTTTCAAAAACCGGATCAACGAGTACAACTCCCCGATCCGGTTTTGCAAAGGGGTCCCAGATAAACACCATTTTTTTTTACATTTCAAGTTATTCACCGATTTTGCGGTCCCAGATTGTCTATCCTTGATACTATGTGCTTCGTCTAACACCACCCGATAAAACTCAATCGAGTGCAACACCGATTTTTCCTTGACTAACCCAGTAGTACGCTTAAACCCGTACTGTTGTTTCCGCCACACCGATTCAAGCACCGAATAGGTGGTTAAAATCACATCGTATCCTTCCAATTCTGCAGCATTGCTGGTTCTGCTTGCCCCATGAAAAACATACACTTTCAAAGCTTTAGCGGTATGAGTTTCGATTTCATTTTTCCATTGCATGATCGCCACAGGGGGCACCACGACCAAATTTGGTCCTTTCTTTGGGTCTGCCATGAACAACCCTATAGTTTGGATGGTTTTACCCATACCCATTTCATCAGCTAATACCCCACCTTCAAAACCACTATCCTCTTGTTTCACCAACCAGTTCAACCCTTCTAATTGAAACGGCAACATTTGAAGGGTCATGCCGATCGGGTGAGGGGCCTCTTTGGTTTCAATCACTGGGGTGTTTTTCAAATCACTAAAGACATTTTCTAGCCCATCATGGTTGGTATAGAGTTTATTGGTGATCAATTTAAAATAATCGATCTTCTTTCTAGGTTTCCGTTCACGCTTTGGCTTTTTCTTGGTTTTAGCGGCCCTTCTGGCGACCGGGACATTATCATCATCATCATCATCATCATCATCATTGTCTGCTGCTGATCCATTCGTCACTTCGATGACTTCTTCTTTATCAATCTTTGCATCTTCCTCTTCTTCTTCGTTCTCGTCTTGATCTGGAACATATTCTTCACTATCATTGTTATTATCTTCGTCGTCGCTTTCGGCGTAGTTTATCTTGTCGGCTTTTTTCCTGCTACCACGAGTCTTTTTGATAGTTGAAGCTTTTTTTTGAGGTTTAGATCGCTTTCTTGTACTGATTAATTCACCAGAGGACTCAGCAGATATCTCATCAACAGCCGAATTATTATTATTATTATTATTGTTCCTGGCTCGTGTTTTCCGCTTCTTTTTCTCCACCATGAACCCTCCACCTTCAATGATTTCCACATCTTCAGCATTACCATCAACGAGCTCTTTATCCCCATTCAATTTTTCTTTCCCATTACCTCTGGTTCTTCTAGCCATCTTATTTACCCCTAAGTAAGTAATCCTAATGGATCAATAATATACGAGGGAGTTTTCAATATCTCCGAAATTTGTCAAAATTCATCACCGCCGCGATGACATCCTATCATTGAAACACCCAAACCGCATATGACAAAAAAAAAAAAAAGCGACGCGCATCATAAATCCAGCACGAGGTTCCATCAGGAAAATAAAACGATATAACCCAAAATATATAAATGAATAATAGTAATAATAAAAATAATAATAATAATGGGAGTACTTGACTTTCCATGTGAGTCCTGTGGGAAACAATTACCATATTCCGAACTCACCCACCATGTTTGTAATAATAATAACAACAGCGTTGCAAAGAAAATAACCATTCTGGATCATTCTGATTCCGATGGGGTGGAGATCCTTGAAGAATCGAGGCCATCGAAAAAGAATGTGTTTAGCTCTTTGGGACTACGACAATGGAGTGGCCAGCCATCGGCTTCCAGAAAAAACTCCAAGAAGAAAAGATTATCATTACCATCAACATTTTCTGCCAGTCAGACAGACCGATCAAATAGTATTTTTTCTGAAGACCTTGGCGATGGCGATGGTGGAAAACCCAAGGTGAGTGCCAAAGAGGGCCTTAAGAATTTGGGGCTTGATATGGAATGGAATTCCGCGAAAAAGCGTAGAGTTAAGGCCCCGCCACTTGAAGATTCGGACAAGGGGAATTTCCAACCCACCAACCAATCGACGTATTATGACAAATTGGATCATTTGGTCGATGAACAAACCATCAAGCTCAAGAAATTGAAACATGATTCACGGTATCCACTCTCGGAAATTTTAAGACCCAAAGAATTGAAAGACTACGTGGGGCATACCGATATCGTTGGCCCAGGCGGGATCATCACAAAATATATCCATACCGGGATGATTCCCTCGATGATTTTTTGGGGGGAAACAGGGATTGGTAAAACTACATTGGTACGATTGATCTTAACGGAAATTAAAAACAGCGAGTTCGCGAAATTCTACCAAATCAACGAATTGAGTGCGGTGTCGTCTAATCTTGGGGAATTGAAAGTCATTTATGAAAAATTCAAAAAATTGAAACTATTGAACCCTCATTTGAAAATGATCTTATTTCTTGATGAAATCCACCGGTTTTCAAAATTGCAGCAAGATTTCTTTTTGAATTTAATCGAAAGCAGTGAAATGATTTTCTTTGGCTGCACTACCGAAAACCCCTCGTACAAGATCAACGATGCAATGTTATCCCGGTGCCAGATGTTTAACCTCGAGAAACCGACCCCAAAAGACTTGTTAGTAGTGATTAATAATGGGCTAATATATATTAACAAGGTGCGGATCTCATTATATAAACAGAAACCGTTAGTGCCCACCAAGGCAGCGAAAGGATATCTTTCAGAAGTGTGCGATGGAGATTATCGAGTGATTTTGAACTCTTTGGAAGCCATTAGTAGCCACTATACGGATTATTTAAGTGATATCGAAAGACAGGAGGCTGGAGAAGGAGTTGATAATGATGATGATGCTGATGATGATGGTAATCAGGTGAAAAGGAAGAAGATCCCCATTGAGTTGTCACAAATGAAAGATTTTTTGAAATCCATCGTGGTGCGATCAAATACTCGGATCCAACAACGAGATTTGTTTTCCGCATTATCTAAATGTATCATTGGTGGCGATGCTAATGCGGCCATCATATATTTGGCGTATTTATTCCAAGAAAACGCTGATCCGTTAGAAATTGCCAATTTCCTCCAAGAAATCTTGATGAATGAATTCGACGAATCGGAAAAATTCAAACAACTGACCTTGTTAGAATTCGGTAACACTGTATATTACGTGATCACCAAACTTGGGCTCCCGGAATGTGATATGGCGTTAGTACAGTACACTTATATGCTTTGTGAATCGATGAAATCGCGAAAAATTGATAGGACCACAGAAAATGTCCAAAAATTTTTCAATGACAACCCTACTTCTTTAGGGTTATCTATTCCCATGCACATTAGGAACGCCCCCACTGATCTCATGGTGGAATTGGGGTATCATAAGGGATATAAGTACAACCCTGATTTTACTGATGGTAAAGCCAAACAGTACTATTTGCCGAAAGGGATCAGAAAGGCGGATTTCGTTGAAAAAAAAGATTATGGTGATTTGGTGGAAAAAGATAGTTCGCAGCAGCTTATTGAGAGTATGTATAATGATTTGCTTGAGTAGTGGTGATTGTATTATAGACAGGCGTTGTGTATAGTAGTAGTAGTAATAATAGAAACAAAATGCCCAGTTAGTAGCGGCACGGGGGGTGACTGACGCCTGCATAATCAGTAGAAAAAACAAACATCCACCTGCCATCCGCTTTATCTCCTATTCGTAATAATATTATTATTATAACAGGGGAGAAGAAAAGAAAAACAAAAAAAAAAAGGAAAAATATATAACTCAACAAACACACCACTTATCACAATTTATTATCATTGAACAAAGAAAAATCCCCCCTCAATGAGATTATCACAAAGCATTTTTCTCTCGTTAGGGCTTCCCTTATCGTCTTTTGCCCTCCAGAATGACCTCCAGAAACCATTGACCTTCACCAATCCGTTTGACAACATCAATGCTCCACACTGTCCTGCGAAAACCCCATTATCTTGCCAACGAAAGTCGGAACCAGTGGATTCTTGCTGTTACGATGATGTACTTTTCCTTTCGACCCAGTTCTGGAATTATTATCCTGCCATTGGGGCCAACGATACCTTCACCCTTCATGGATTATGGCCAGATAACTGTGATGGCTCATACGAGCAATTCTGTGATAGCTCCATGAATATTAACAACGTCACAGAAATTCTCGAGCAATTCGGAGAACATGAACTCTTGGAGAAAATGAAGGAAGTGTGGTTGAACATCAACCATAACGATGAATCACTCTGGCTTCATGAATTCAACAAGCACGCTACCTGCATTGATTCCATTAAGACCCCATGTTACGGGGGCTTGGGCACCAATTACCAACCGCACCAAAACGTGGTGGATTTTTTCAAAGTCACCGTCAATCTTTGGGAGAAATTGCCGACCTTCCAATGGCTTGCCGAAGCTGGAATCCACCCATCCGTCGACGTTACTTATACCAAAAAACAAATTGAAGAAGCGTTGGCCGAGAAATTCGGCGCCACCCCATTCATCAAATGTAATCGATTCAATGGGATCCAAGAAATCTGGTACTTCAATACCAAAAAAGGGTCATTATTGGAACAAAACTTTATTCCGTTACCGAGCTTGATGGATGGTAAATGTCCCGATGAAGGCATCAAGTTCTATCCAAAGGGTTCTTTGGGTAAAGAACCACCAAGAAAAGGTGGTCCAACTAGAGGTTACGTGAAGCTAGATGGTCAGGATGGTTGTTTGATTAGATCGGGAAAGTGGATTATCGGCGGCAGTTGCGCCACTTATTATTTGGAAGACGCCCCGTTCGGAGGCCATCAACTCAAGTCAAGAAACGGGTATTGTTCGATTTCTAAAACTGATGGCTCGCTCATTTGTGCCAAGAATATCAAGCCAATGCAGTTCCAATTAGACAAATCCACTGGATTCTTGGGGCTCAATGGGAAAGAATCTTGGAGTACCGATAAAGCCCCAAGAAAGTATCATTACGTTCCAGTGTATCTTGGTGATCAGAAGGATGTGAAGTTTAAGTTGAGATTTGATAAGATTTGAACCCACCCCAGGGATGATGAGATTTCAAATACAACAGAGATAATAAGATTCGAGATTTCAAGAGATATATTTAGATAAAAACCTAAAAAAAAAAAAAAATTCAATACAATATATATCTAAAATAAAAAATATTTAGTTCTGGCGGTTTGAAATGAGAAGTGGGATTCCTTTCCAACTTGTAGGTATCGTGTGTCTTCCACATTTTTATTCCTTTTCTAAAATTATAACTTAATGGGCAACAATATTGACAACCAAATAATATGCGAATGATTGGTATATTAAAGAGATAAAAAAAAACAACATATGTTAGGTTCTCATATAGAGCTAGTACATTTTCATAAACCTTTCAGCTGTAAACATTATAAAAATGCTTGTAGTAACACCTTTCTTTGAATTCATGAATTCTCCTTTTTGCAACATGATAGACACAACATTAGTTTCCTCATTTGCCCTTGCGATAATTATTTATAAATTCAATGTCTAAAAACAAAACAAAACAGAATACACTTTATTTACTAGAAACATCCCTAATCAACTTCTTCATCAAGCAAACCAAATAATCTATCCATAACAGTTTTCGTACCCGCACTCAATCCATTATGGAAGAACTCGGATGTCACATAAGTTCTAATACTCCCCATTTGTTGTTCAATGGTGTGCTGGCTCAATTTGAAATCCACATATTGATCATTATAATAAATTGCCGCCGCAACTTTAATGATTTTCACGTCCTGTTTGGAGACTTTCTTCGGGGAAGATTTTGGCAAAAGCAAATCTTTTTGATAATAAGTGGTCCAAGAATCGTATACCTTGTGTAAAGTGGCTGGATCATAAATGTTGCTCCATTGATCGTCTGTATGAATAGCATAGGCCAATTTCTTGAATGGTTGGAGTTCGCTGTAATCATCAAACATCGATTTGAACACCATTTCCCCGGTGAAAAACACGCGAATGTCGTCATCTTCAAGCCAGGCTGGGTCATCGAATTTTCCCACATGTTTTTCAACCGCAAACAATTCGCAGTGATCTTCGGAGTATCTTAGTCTGTCGGCTGACCAATTGGATGACATTCCCGGCCCATCCAAATAAATCGCCTCTTGGAAAAGCGCATAAATGACATTAGTATCGAATCCCAAAAAGTCCTGGACCGTGGTCAATGTGTTATAGGTTGCAAACCCAAACGTCTCAAGCTCATTGTAAAACTTAAACACCAACTGGTGGATTCTATCAGTACCACCAGACCCTCCGAAAGATAATCCACACTGTTGAAATCTTTGTACCGTAAGCTTCCCGCCGTTTGGCAAGACCACTTCATTATGGTACAAATATTTCACAATCGCTTTCATTTTCTTGATATCTTGAGGATATTTCGCGAAATAATGCGCATTTCTTTCGATGGTACGTTTGTAAGTCGCTTCATAAACGTCATCTACCGATTTCCCAATCCCCGGAATTCCTCCAGTCATCAATACTTCATCAAGAGAATCTGGATAGAACGACATATAAGTATGACAACAAAAGCCACCATAAGACTGACCCTGGATCGACCATTTTTGCAATGGATCGTGTTTGAATAAGATTTTTCTAATTTGTTCACAATCATTGATAATCGAATCGGCTCTAAAACACTTGATGAGTTGCAAATAATTCTCCACGTCATTATCCATGATCTCACTGTGCTTCAACTGTTTACCCAATGCCATGAGGGTATGATACTCAAGTGGGGTACTTAACCCAGTTCCTCTCTGATCATAATTTACCACGGTATACCCTTTATCTAATAAAGCTCCCACGAAACCGTCTTTGGCCATTGGAGTTCCCGAAGGGAATCCTGGACCGCCTTGGAGGAACGTCATCAACTTGTCGTCTTTGGTAAACACTGGGCCTTGTGATCTGGATTCTTTGGTGCTCTTTTCATAAAGTTGGGTGATTTTAGCTACCACTTTTATCGACCCAAGGGCGGGGTTCGAGTAGAATAATGGAAGTTTGAATTGGTACACCCAATTGAACACATCCTTCACTTTGTAAGCATCAATGATTTCAAACCCAGCAGATTGTGGGAAAAGAATCTTTGGGGTGGTGTTGTTATTGTATGACATGCCACGTACTTTGTTGTTGGTGATAATTCCCATTTTATGAAGACTTTTGGAAGAAGACCTGACGGCTGTTGCAGATAAGTGTCCTAGAAGGCTGTTCATCACTTATCTCGCTCTATGAAAAAGGTAAAAAAAATCCAGATGAAAAATAAAAAAATAATAACAGTGGTTATGATGATGATAATAATAATAACCAAAATATTCTAATATCTCTACCAAATAATCGAGAGTAGAAATAGGTTATCAATAATTCAAAGAATGACTGAAGAACAAGCCGCTAAGAAGCGGAAAAGACCGGTTTCCGTGGGGCCTAAATCTAAGAAATCCAAACCGCCGCAAGCGACAAATAACAATTCCAAACCATCGATAGTATATAATGGAGTGCAAATGCCATTCCCTAAACCATCACAAAACGCAAGCAATGGTGATCAGCTATACTGTATTTGCCGTAGTATCGACAATGGTGAGCTCATGGTTGGCTGTGACAATTGTGATGATTGGTACCATTTTGATTGCTTGAAATTGGATAGAAAGATGGAGAAGTTGTATTATAAGTTCTACTGTCCCTATTGTGAGTCCATAGACCCTGAGAAATTCCAAAGCGTGTTCAGGAAAAAATGTCTTTTACCAAGTTGTGGTCTTCCGATAGTTATGAACTCCAAGTTTTGCACCAAAGATCATGGATTGAAATATTATAAACAGATCAAGGAGAAGCTTACGGAATTGCCACCAAAGGACTTACGGCACCTTAAACTCGGGGAAATTTCAAAGATTCTCAAGTCTCCAGGTAATCTAGATTTCGAAAAATTTAGTAAATTAGGTGACAGTCTACCCGAGTCCACAGAGTCGGAGTTTGGGAAATTTGTCAATATCGATGATCCGGTTAGTGAATACAATGTCCAATTGAAAAATATCAATCAACACTCAGAGCATCTACAACAACAACAAAAATTCTATCATTTTAAATCAAAATATCTTGGGCAAGTTAAGAATCAACTTAAACAAATAAATGACTACTTTCTTGAAATCTCTGGGGCTGCGTTATCACAGGCCAAGACTAAGCCAAAGGACAAGGGGAAGAAAAATGCATCCAAGAAATTTGAGATTTGTGGATACAACAAGCTTCTAGCGTTGACGTTGGCTCAATGGCAAAAATATCTAAAAACTGAGGAAGCCCATAGGATATTTAGTAGCAATAACGACGAGAATATTGATTTCGAAACCATTGAAATTGTGCCTGAATTCTCAGCCTCGCAGTTGGAAAAACTTAAAACCGCATTCGTTGATATTGAAGCCATGAAAGAGTATCAAGATTCTTTAACCAATGGCTCGCCGCAAGAAATATTCCCTGAAACTTGTCTTTTAGAAAAAAAGAAATGTGGGAGACATGGTGGTTGGTTGCTGAGAGTTAATGATGAGATTGTTATTCGGACAAATGAAATAACTGCAGAAGAAAACGAATGGAAACTGCAATTAGATGGATTAAAGCACCGTTATGTGGTAGAATATTGGGAATGTAATGAGAATTCAAAGAGCTGAAACAAATAGAATTCTATTTATTAAGTTGTTTCAAGAATTTGCCGAGGGATACGGAATTTACAAGCTACAGAGAATGAAGCTCAAAATCCAACAAGAAATTTTCCCCAGTTGAGCAGAGACCAAATCGAGAATCATTTTTGTTTTTAAACTGGGCTCAATATTTCCAAGCTTCTCCCATGATTTTCTCGCAACAAATTACTGGGAAAATAACATCTCTTATTGATGGGCTGGTCCATTGCAGTCTGAAATTCATATAACATATTACTTGGGTCTTGGTAATTTGAAGTTTGAAGGGCTTTCTTTACGAGAGCAGAATATAGAAGCATAGAAAGAGAAATATGGCAAGTGTATTGACCCAACAACCATCCCATCATGATGGGTATAATATAGAATCATTTAAAAATCGTTCTAGCTAAACTGCATAGGATAAATAGTCTGAGACTCCGAAGCTCGATAATCAATGATATATCCTCACCTAATGCTAAGCTATATGTGAGTGTAAGAAAAGAGATTCGATCTCAGAAGAAATTAGATAACTAGCCAAAGTGTTTGGGTGACAATCCCATTGAACCAATTAAAGGTAATAAAGCACCCACCCTGTAAATAGACGCACACGTTCCGGGGAAAACCTGCAATCCGAGGAAAATCGTGAGTGACCCTATCTGGGGAAGACCTCCATCAGCCGCCTCCTGGGATCTTTCAATAAACCACCTATTTTGATCATCGATCGACTATATTACTGGATATATATATTTATTTCTTTTTGATCAATCCAATTACCATCATTATCAAACATGCCATCATCTACCATCACTACCGATATCATCCTCTTTGACTTGGACGGTACCCTTGTTGAATCCACCGCTTCTGTGGAAAAGACCTGGGAAGACTACCATGAGAAATACGGAATTGACTTGACAGATCTCTACCAGAAGTCTCATGGCGCTCGTACCATCGATACTTTCACCAAATACTTCCCACAATTGGCAATTGATGGCGATATGACCGCCGCAGCAAAACTTTTTGACATGTCCATTGTCAACGATAACGGCCACTTATCCAAGCCTATTGATGGGGCGGTGGAACTTATGAAATCATTGAATAATTCAGCAGACGGTTTGCAAAAATGGGCCATTTGTACCTCAGGTACCCCAGCATTAGCACATGGATGGTTTACTAAAGTTTTACCAGTTGAGGAACCAAAAATTTTCGTCACCGCCGTCGACGTCACCCAAGGTAAACCTCATCCAGAACCGTATCTAAAAGGAGCTGCTTTATTGAGTGCCGAGCATGGCTTAACCAAGGAATACGAACGAAAAATCGTGTTTGAAGATGCCCCGGCAGGAATCAAGGCTGGTAAGGCTGCAGGGGCCATCGTCGTGGGGATTTTGAGCTCATTTGATAAACCGGTCTTGGATGAAGCAGGAGCAGATTACGTGGTTAAAGACTTGACCCATGTGAAAGTGGTGAAGAACGATAAAGATGGGATTGTGCTTGAAGTCGATCATGAATGAATAGAATGAAAAAGAGGGAAGGACTTATAGATTTAATGATTCATGGTGCTCTTTGAGACTTTCTCAGGCAGAAATTAGAGCTAAAAAAGGGTGTTTTAGAGAATCCAAATAAAACAATAAACGTGGATTCGTATTATAGACTGCTTTTTCTTTGCAACTGTTTGTTCTTTTTTTTTTGATTTGTGGCGAAGTTTGTATTAGTAGTACATGCGATAGTTATATATGATATTTATGAAAACTCATAGTTCACTAATGATTAATATGATAAAGATAATGTCAAAATAGTATACGTATATATAATATGATACATACAAGTATGCGTAATATAAGCCAGCTCATGTATATATATATATAAATATATTATATAATGATGCCCAATTTATGCAGCTGGCAAAGTAGATGAAAAAAAAAATCGATCATTTCATATTTCATACACTAATTATCACAATTATTTTCATAAAGATTCAATGATCAAAAATAATAAGAGAGTAAAATATTTACTGATCCTTGATATCATCTGTTTCTATCTGCTTATTGCCTTGATGGTTTTCATTCATTTGTTGATCCAATTCTTTTTCTGGGGTCGGATGGTCTGGTTTAGGTTCTTGTACTTCAGGAATCTGATCATCATTTTCTTTGTCTCCATCTGCCTTTTCTTTATGATCGCCACCAGCCTCTTCATTTCCGTTGTTTTGCTCCTTTTCCTCCTCTTTATCATCATTATTTTCTTCCTCTTTATTTTCATTAATTTCCTTAAAATCATCACTATCATTGTAGTTATCCTCTTCTTGCTCAACGTAGAAAGGTTTCCAAACCTCCACCAGCCCATCTTCTCCCACGCTTCCGTAAACATCCACCAACTCACTGCTAATACTGATATCGTTGATCTTCCCAGTGTGGCCCCCGTGTATGAATTTCAAGCAAGGGTCTTCTCCTTCTTCACCAATATCTCTTCTGATCTCTTCGTCATAGTCGCCAGCTGATATTTCGTTCATATCCCATATATACACCCTACGGTCATCAGATACCGAGGTCAATATATTGGCATTATTCGGATGAAATTTAAGTTGAGAAATCGAATCGGCCGGTCCAAAAAGCGTGCGGAACGGGCGACCACAGTATCGCAAATCCCATAAGTTGATAACGTTGTCTGTCCCGCCGGTTGCTAGCATGGTAGATATCGATGAATGGAATTCTACCGAGGTGACGTAACAATTGCTCTTATGGGCATTAGGGATGTGGTATATTGGGGTAGATGGGTTGTTGATATCGTAGACTTCGAGATCTGGGGATTGAGAGCTGGCAGCAAATATGTGTGGGTAGTGATGGTTCCATGAAAGATCGGTGATGGGGGAAGTTGATGTGATGGTGCTGACTGGTGCCGCCGCCGAGGACGATGAGATATCCCAAAGGGCAATAGTAGCGTCTCTAGAACCACTGATTAATACGTTTTGATCAGAAGGTTTCCATTCCAATGCAGTTCCTGGTTTCTTATGATATTTTAGTTTTATTGGGTTGTTGGAAGATGATGAGGAATCGACCAAGAAATCATAGATTGATATATCGCCGGAGCTAGCGCCAAATGTCGCGAGTTTTCTTGACTTTGGATTGATCCTTATTATTTCAATCAAGTCATCGTGTTTCCATTCATTAGAAATTCTTAATTTGCTATGGTCTGGAGGGCCTGATGGAATAGGAACACTATGTTTTGTATGGCTGGCCAAGGTTGCCGGTAGTTCCACTTCGCCGAGCTGGAACATTCCAACATATTCATCATTTGATGGGGAGTTTTTTGCAAGAAGAAATTTTGCCAGAACATGGTTTTTTGACGCGTCATAAGTAACACCATTACTGAGCCATTCGAATACTGGTGAAGAATAAGGCAAGATCTTTAGTTGGATGGTTTGATATAATAAAGGAACGGTTTTCTTCCAAATCTTGTACTCTTCGTTGGTTATTTTCTCTTGGAGTTGGCATTCTCCTATAGGATTCTTGGTGAAGTGTTGTTGAAACTTGCTTATTGTCGCTGTCGGGGACATTTTTACGATTATTGATGGCAATAACTTGGGATACAATGGGGGTGGTTTAGTTATTGATCAAGATGGGATAAACTTCGCAAATATAAACATCTGCCTATTACCCGGTCAGAGAACAATTTTCCTGTTAGACACACGCCAGCACGCTGGGTCAATCTAGGTTAATCTTTCAACGCTAATTAGAGATTTTGGATGAAATTTATCCGGAGAGGGACCAAATTTTATGGGGTTATTGGTTGATACAAAGATCTATTTAGAAACTCTTGTCAACTTGGTATTTATCTTTTTTTTTTTTTTATTTTCTGTAGAATGTAGAATGGTAAGAACAGTCAGCCATTTTGTACGACCATGGTGAAATCATTAACAGCGGGAGGGCGAATAAGTACTGGAAACGACCATAATTGGCAGTCCTATAAACAAGAGCAAATGAAATCAATAGTAATGGTGATGTTGCCGATAAAGGCAGTTACCAAAATTTACGTATACAATTCTTGAAATAATGTTCTTGGGCACTACTAACTCAAGATATTGGTATTATTTGAGAGAAATGGTTTGTAAAAAATACTACTTACCGATTTCATTTTCAAGCTTGAGGTTGGGGTTGGGGTTGAACTGAAGATTAGGCAGTCACCTGTCATTATTTATTGAAGATGTTGCAACACCCAACCTCACTTGGTCGCCGCTGGCCAAATTCGCGAATAATACGTGCCTTGGAGCCCTGTCAGTAATGCGACATTTCACATGACTGTGGACTACCTGGTGTGAATCTTATCGTTATTCCACTTTGATGGTGAGTACAGCCCTTTCAGACGCTACAATGCTGTACATGTTGCGGTATAATACACGCAGACCAGATCGCTCCCCGTACTGCTGTGCAATGTAATTTAATTTCCGCCCAATAGTGAATAAATAGTGGACCCAAATATGAAAATGGGAAGAATCAAGAATAAGAATAAGAAAAAAAAAAAACTCACCAAAAGAGGGAAAATCACATACGAGCTAATTTGGCGGTGATTATTTGATTTGGGTACAAAACCACATTGTTTTGGGTATAAAAGACCACCACAACAAAAAAAAAAAGTCTCATCGGCACCGAATGTGCCCTTTTCAACATGCATCGGATGTTCAGACCCGGCAGTGTACTTACGGGCCGTTTTCTAGTGAATTAAGCAGAGTACCACCCACCACTGTGTATTAAACCACAGAGGTACGGCTGACACGGATAGTCCATTTGTCACAGAACCCTTCGTTCTGCTATATTATCACTCGATCTTATGTCCTTTTTATATATATTCCTCCTCCCCAAATATCCTAGCGTGCCAATCGTTATCCATACATATCCATTTTTCACGCGGTATTCCCGATCCACGTCAAAAAATCGTTTCAATTCAGCCCTTTGAGGAAATATAATTATAGCTAGCAGCTCCCTTTCCTTGCTCAACCAATATTATTTATACAGTTCAATTTGTTTCCATTATATTCTATTCTACCTCTCCTGCCCCATCACCAAAAAAAAAAAAAAAAATAATAATAAAGATAATAAAGACAAAAATGCTACCCCAACCATCCCTACTAGACCAACATTCGAAAAAGCCCTCACTCTATCATCAGTACCAGCATAATCCTCATACTACCAATTGCTTGCCTTCAATAGATCAAATGAGCCAGTCACCAATGGCCCCAACAATGTCATCCGACAGCTACTTCCGAAATACGTTGAAAAATAATCATAATGGAGGATCTCCAAGCTTCTCATTACCCCCGTTGATATTACCTCCGATAACTCGGGAGAGTTCGTACAATAATTCAGATTTTTCAAAACAACAACATCCCGGAACACTCAAGTTGCCCAGCATGAATGAAACCTTACCGGAACTAAACTATTTGATTTCTCAATCACCAAACAATAACTCACTAGCATCAAATATCAGCATGCTTACCTCAAACATGATTTCCACCATCCCACATCAACCATCAAGAGGGTCATATTTCCAAATTCCTAATCATACATCATCAGGAGCCAATATCACCAGTGGGTCTTCTTCTCCTTCATCCAACAGTACCACGTCGCTACCAATGTCAAGATCATCAACCCTAAGTACAGCGTCGTTGCCAACAACAGCTCTTCTGAATTTGACACAACCTTCCGACTCGCCAAATTCGCCCAACGCAACCCAGGTGTTTGATCCTACAATGGAGGTTCCACAAACCTCAGCGGCTCTGAAAACTAGAAAAAGAAAGAAGCGCCCTTGTCCTATTTGTAACAAGCTTGTATCTAATCTAGCAACCCACAAATCAACCCACATTTCTCAAGATGAAAAACCTCATGTTTGCAGTACTTGTGGGCGTGGATTTAGTAGACTTAATGATTTAGGACGGCACGAAAGAAGACATTTGAAGTTGGAATTCGAAACCGGGAATTCCAATGCCACCGATGCTGAAAGCGATGAATCGTTATCGGCTTGTCATCATTCATCATCTACTGCGAAATGCACAATCTTCAAATGTCCATATTGGTCATCCTCTAATAAACCATCAAATCCTCGTCAACCTTCGCCACATTGTCATGCTACCGGGCTCTTTTCTCGTTGTGACACATTCAAAAATCATCTAAAGGCCCTTCATTTCCAATATCCTCCAGGGACTCTCAAAAGAGACCGTGCAAGAGTGGGAGGAATATGTAAAGGCTGCAATACTCATTGGCCAAGCGTGGACCAATGGCTAGATAACCATGTGTTGTGTGAAGAAAGTGGGTGTAAAGGTAAAGCTGATGCTGGCTTCATTGTGAAAGTATAGTCGACGCTAGACATTTTTATCATTTTCCATATTCAGCCACACTACGAATACCTGTATTATATAGACATATATATAAAATAACTATAACGAACAATTCATCACAGAGGTATTTTTAGATGCCTACCTCACAATGTATAGTGATAGTAGTATACCACAGTTTCGTAAGAAGGAATGTGTCAGACCCCCTGCGATGCCGGACACGCAGCCCCGATCAGAACACCTTTTTTCGAAAAAAAAGACCTGAGAATCTCGGTCAGTGACTAACTTGATATCTCTCTTACTCTCTTGAAGATTAGACAAAGTATATCTGTATATACGTTCACGTACATGGTATACTAGCTGGAGAAACATAACTTTACCTCATTACCACCGATTACCACGGTTGCTTCAACGAACTGTCGACGGCTTTAGAGAACATAAGAAGCTAGACAGCGTATATATCAACAGAATTTCTTTTTCCTATTTTTTTTTTCTTCTGGCATCACGATAGATAGGAGAAAGATACTGTTCTTAGGCTTTTGGTTATTCTGAAAGAACTTGGACAGTTTGCGGAATTGTGTTCAATATACCTGGGCCCCTAGAGTTACTTGGAAGCAACCTTAAATATTTGCTTGGCATTCTTACCTATATTTGATCGACGTTGTGCCTATATTTGAAAAAGAGGTTCCTCAAGGATATTTTTGGTTAAATTATTATATAAAATTAAACAAAGATCAAAAAGATTTACATTAGGAAACTTGTTTGAGCTATTTGGAGTTCTTGAATAGTGGAGTGGCAACAAATATTTCAACTGTCATTTTTTTTTTTTTTACCCATCCATATTTTTGGTTCTTTTTTTAGTCCATATTTCTGATCCACACGGCTAAGCCTTTGATTTTTCATTCTCACCATTATTCTTCAATTCAGCCTGTCTTGAAGACTAGTATCAACAACTGCATCATAATAGAATATTCCCAAACATGGTGTTTATAGATGGTGTGAAATACGCTTGTCAGCGATGCATTCGAGGCCATCGTGTGACGACCTGCAACCACACTGACCAGCCATTGGTCAAAATCAATCCCAAAGGTCGTCCATCCACCCAATGCAAGCATTGTAAAGAGGGCCGGAAAAGTAGTAATTTGCATTCTCAATGTTCTTGTGGCAAAAAGAAAAATGCTGGCGCCAACGCCAGAAAGCAGAAAAATTCGACTACGGGGGAAGAAGGTAAAGTGTTGGGCGAAGGCCACGATATTAACAAGAATTGCAAATGCCAGGACTCTGAAAAATGTATTTGCAAATCCCGCAAAAAGAATGACAAGAAGGATCACAAAACTGAAAAGAAACCAGCAAAATTGCGAACTCCCGATGCTGGACGAACAGAAGTCGAGATCAAGAACGGGGAAATTATTAATAATAATGTCTTAGACCATGATCCTCTAATAAAGAAAGCATCTGAAGCCCCAGACTCTATGGTTTTGGGTCTTGATAGTATGATTGATCCCTCATCGTCCCGCGGTGTTCTCAATGGATTTGACTTATCACCAGACGGCGGATTTGTGTTTAAGCCAGAAGATATCAACGTTGAAAACAGGATGGGGGTAACAGGTGTGATTGATAACTCCAAGAATCACAATGGTCCAGGTTTAGGACTTAGTTCAGGCTTTGGCGCTCGTTTCAATATTGGAATGCACCATTCTGCTTCCACTCCATCAACTGTGGTTCCCCAGCCTGGAGGATTAGGATCATTGTCATCAATTGTCGGTGCAATTGACTTTCCTTTATCCCCAGGTTTCAATAGCGATTGGGATGTCAGTAGCGCAAATGGTAACGGGAGCGATGTTTCTTCATTGACGAATTTGGGATTACGGCATCAAGACTCGGTTGCTAGTTCGTTGAACCAGTTTACGGCATTGGAGAATTATTCAAATAATATTTTTTCAACTGCATCGCGATACAGTAATAATGCGGAGTTTGGAATGCAGAGATCAGTAAGTTTGAAGAAAAACTTAGATAATACGCATACACAGGAAAGGAAAATGGTAGGAGAGGTCAATGTTCCATTAGAAGAATATATTTCTCCAACAGACAAAGACAGACGTGATTTATCTCAGAACCAATCCACTGTGGATAATGATATCAATAATGATAGCAATGATATCAGTGTCCAAAACAATGGCAATAGTGATAATAGTAACAATAATAATGACAATATCAATGACAAGCAGAATATAACCATGGAAAACCATAATCTATTAGTGGATCCGAATGATTCAAATAGTGGAATCATCATACGAGAAAGAAAATTATCTGGAGGGGCCCCTACAATGCCAAATAATGTTGGCGGAAACTTACCAAGCAATTTCGATGCAGTGGGGCATGGTTTGCTAGATTTGTTTGCTAATGGTTGTGGTAATATCGAGAGTGCTGTTACAAATGGGGATACAGTGATGATGGACACCACAGCTGACAATATAAACAACTCGGATGCAAATCAAGTATTATCCAATGGTGGAAATCGTACGGACGGTAAAGATCTGATGTTTTCATTTCTCGGGGAAGAGAATTTTGGGGATTTTCATAACAATGATATGACTGGTATAATCAGCGATAATGAATTGAGCTTCTTTGGGGCAGAGACTCCTAATTCAGTAGCACTGTTTAACATCAGTGACAACCACCAAAATCACAATAACAACAACAATAATATGAAAACTTCTAGCAAGACTGCCCCAAGAAGTATTGCTTCCCCAAAAAATAATAATAACAATAACAACAACAACAATAATAATAAGGTCTCGTCAATACCAATGAGAAAGGATAGTAACAGTAATAGATCCTCGATTGTTAGTAACTCCTCTGGACATCCACTATACAGCAATTCTCATCATGGCGGCTCATCCTCTCATTTGACTAACAATAATCTTCATCATCATGGCCATCACCATCACCATCATTATTTCAACCCACATGATCCTTACACATTAAGACACACCAGCGGATCAATAAATGGGAGTACCAATAATGGTCATAATACTCTAATCAATGGTAAACCACTGTCAATTGAATCACCCAGTGGAAGACCCCCACTTTTTTCCAATAGCAGTACTGACTCTATTCACAGCTGGGCTGGCAATTCCAATAATAATAATAATAATAATAATAATAACGGTAATGTGAATGTCAATATTACCGGCAGCAAGATGAGCCTTGGTGGCCATACCTTGATGGGGGGAGGCCACCTTGGAACAATGATGAATAGCAACCACTTGAATTTACACAATGCCTACTATGCCAACCAAAGCACGCAGCCACAAAGCTCCCAAAGTCTCAATGGACACTGTGGTATCAGTACCAATAGAAATGGCATCAGCAGACCGCCGCTAACAAGTAACACCCTGCAGTACTCCACTAATGAATACTCGGCCAATGGGGAAGCCACCCTCAATAATCCTAGTTTCACTGGGGCGTCAATTGCGGAAATTGGCAGCGTTGATGGAATTCTTGGGGGAAATAATGGCGGAGGTGGTGGTGGCATATTAGGCGGTATTGGAACTACAAGCGACAATACAAAAAATCTTGGAATGAGTGTTGGCAGTGGTACCAACAGGAATAACGAAGGAGGAGACGGTCTGTTGAGTTGTAGGAAAGTCCTTAATTTTGATGAGGACATAAACAGTATCAAATCAATCAATTCTTTCGATCCTGGATTTTTTGATTTTGGAGCTACATAGAATAACATTTTCTTAAAAAGAGTCGTCAGTCCTAGTTGCAGCCAAGGCACTTACTTTTTTTTTTTTCTGTTTCTTTTTGACTTTTTTTTACTTTGTCTTTCGATATTTATTCTTTGGAAGCCATTCATTATTCTAGTGTTTTTTGGCTCCAATGTTTTGAGGGAAAAAAAATTGTTCAGAATGATTAAGAAATAATGATGATGTCTTATATTGTACTATTATCCTCTTTTTTTTTTTATTTTTTTTTCTTTATTTTATTTTATTTTATTTCATTTTATTTAATTTAATTTTATTTAATTTTATTTTATTTTGTTTTATTTTCTTATGAAGTCTAATGATTAGTTGAATTTGAATTTCTTTATTCTGTCTGTTTGAAATATTATACAGTCGATGTAGTATTAGTTATTAATATTAATACTGTGTTGAAATCCACAGAATTGGAAAGGATCTGCATAGATAAATCTGAAAATTTGACATGCTGTCTTGATGTCAAATGAATATAATAAACCTATTAAATGGAATCACTAAGAAAAATATAGAAGAAAAAAAAAAAAAACTCAAAAAATTTCCGTTTATTTACTAAACTAGAACCAAGCAAAATAGATGACTAGCTCCTCTATCTTAAAACAAACACTTCCCAAGAAAATAATCTTATTTCCTTGTTACCATTTTTTTTTTCTTTTATTGTTTGGAAAAGTTCAAGAGGAGCTGATACGTTCTATTTCATCTTGATGGTCATTAACTTCAACTCCCGCAACTCGTCAGCCTAAAAAACATTCTTAAAGCAACAAACTCAATGGGTTTTCAATAGTCTCCTTCAACGCCTTGATGAATTCACCACCAACGGCACCGTCAATGACTCTGTGGTCAAAAGTACCAGTGATGGTCAAAGTGTCTTCGAAAGCGAAACCCTTTTCGCTGCTGTTGTCGAGAACAACCTTCTTGTCAAGGGTACTGATGGCAATGATGGCACTTTGTGGTGGGTTAATGATAGAAGTGAACATGTTCACGGCTGGGTTCATGCCCAAGTTACTGATGGTAATGGTACCACCTTGGTATTCTTCTGGAGTCAATTTACCAATCTTGGCACGCTTACCCAAGTCTTTGATTTCCTTGGAAATGGTGGCCAAACCCTTGGAGTGGGCTTCCTTGACAACTGGGGTGATCAAACCGGTTGGGGTGGCAACGGCAACGGAAACGTCAACATTGGCAAATTGACGAATAACACCTTGGTCTTCCAACCAGTATGAGTTAACTTGTGGGACTTTTTGGGCAGCCTTGGCGATGGCCTTGATAAGAATGTCGTTGATGGACAATTTGTATTCACCGTTAGAGGCACCGTTCAAAGAAGCTCTAAGTTTAAGAAGCTTAGAGACAGACATATTGGAGGAGACAATGTAACTTGGGGAAGTTTGAACAGAAGAGGTAAGTCTCTTGGCGATGGTCTTTCTCATAGAAGAGATTGGAATATCTTCATAAACACCGGCGGATGGAACAGCTGGGGCAGCGGCCTTAGTAGCAGCTGGGGCTGGGGCAGCGGCTGGAACGTAGCTTTCGACGTCCTTGGCAGTAATTCTACCGCGTGGACCGGTACCGGTGATGTTCTTCAAAGAAATACCCTTTTCCAAAGCAATTGTCTTGGCCAATGGAGAAGCAAAGATTCTGCCAGCAGGGGCACTAGACTTGGTAGCAACAGCAGCCTTGGTGGCGGCTGGGGCTGGAGTAGCAGCGGCGGCTGGGGCTGGAGCAGCTTCTTCCTTGGCGGCTGGGGCAGCGGCTGGGGCAGCACCAGCGTCAGCGGCAGTGAAATCGGCAAATGCAGCAACATCGTCAGCATTTTCAACGTAAACACCGATTGGGGTACCGACTGGGAGGTCCTTGGTACCGTCTTCGACCAAAACCTTGGCCAAGTAACCTTCTTCTTGGAATTCAAAGTCCATTTGAGCCTTGTCGGTTTCGACTTCAGCGATAACTTCACCTGGTTCCAATCTGTCACCAATCTTCTTGCTCCAAACTGCCAAACCACCTTGTTCCATAGTTGGGGACAAGGCAGGCATTTGAATGACAGTGTGAGCAGGCCATGACTTACCGGCGTAAGCACGAGCAAAGTTGATAGCAGCAATGTTAGAGTATCTAGAATGAATTGTTAGTCACTACAAATTCTTCAATATAGATCGACATTCTCCCATGATATCTATAACTCCTTTCAACCTCAATTAATGAAGACCATTGGTATTTGATTTAAACATGATGCTCATAGTTTCATTACTATTATCTTTTCTTTGCATTTTTCTGGGGATTGATTCATGTGATATTGGATGAAGATATCTATACATACCTTGGTAAGGCTCTAGCAGCTGGGCGAGCAAATCTCAAAGCCATCGACATTATTGTGGAGGAGTATATATGTATTTTATTATTGGATTACCAAGTATATTAACCACAATCTGATTGAAGGGAGGGCGAGTGGTTCACTGAAGGTTGGCCGTGGTTTGGGGGTGAAGGGAAAAGAAAAAAAAGTAGGGACCATCCTAGTGATGAGGAAATAAAAAAACCGATTTTTTTCGCTATGCAAATACAATCACCAGATGGTTCTCGTCCCCCCCCTCCCAGAGTGGCCTCAGCAGGGGTCACACACCCTGTGATACAGTCATGTGATCATAAATCAAAAATGGGGTGTGGGGTACTAAAAGGGGGTTAATTTGTGTAAACAAGCGTGCACGTGCGTATCGCGTGCGCACTTCTCTCACCATCATCATGATCTTCTAAGTTTAACAGAAAGACTGGTTGAAGATTAGAACCATCTGTTAGTGTGGATTTCAGGAGCCATATGAACAATATCCGCTTCATTACGCTGACAATTCATGATTGTGATACACATTCAAGGGGACAGAAACCCCTGGAGCACTATAGCAAAGCTCTCGTTCCTATAGATCACATTCCTATAGAATTCAAACAATTAGATGGTTGGAGCTTGCACACAAAGCAGGTGGTGCAATGTTTTTGCATGGATTTACCGCCGTATACCTTCTTAAATCTGCCTGTTTGGGATATATATACATACAATGAAGTGACCAGTATACCATCATTGAAGCAAAAAGTTAGGGAGCTTGATATTGTGTTGGTAGAAAGGCTTAGAAATATATTTCAACGCAAAAAAATGCTTGTCTCTTTGCCTTGATGTCTATCAATCGTTATCCAATCAAGACCTTAGCCTTTGTATATCAGCCATTTTACGAAGAGATGATGTGTTTGCGAAAAGTAATACCAGTTACTTGACAGAAAGATAGGCTTCTGATAGGGTCTACGTGGTGTTAGATTTTGTCCCAGTTAAAAGAGAATTTTCTTTCAGCGCTCAAAATAAGTCTTTTAAAACTCCTGAGGATGCAATTGAACATGTTTTGACTACTTTTGGGATCCAAGATAAAGTATTATCTTATATTTCTAATAATCTTATCATCAATGATTGGGGTTTGAGAAAGATAAACTCGGCTGCGGGGGCCGAATTAATGCCTTGTATATTACAGACTACCAATTTACTCATGAGATATGTTTTGACAAATGTTGTGCTGGTGGAGCGTAAAAAACATGAGAGAAATAAACTTTGATAAATGAAAAGCTCATACAAAGCGAAATAGCCTTTTATTCAAAATTGACAACAATATGTTTAAAGTTAAATTCATATGGGATATATAAGAAAGCGATTAGAAGGATAGTTGGATCTACTCCACCGTTACCAGTTACCACCATATGGCGATCCAGATACTGATTATTCGAATGGTTTCTGAAAAATATCGAGAAAATATTGGATTCAGGAGTTCCAGAAATTACTGAACATTTTAATGGCATTAATAACCACGATATACAAATGCTCAGAGCAGATTCCAAATTATTAGAGTTTGGATTTGGGCATATAACTCAGCTTCAAGATTCTCAATTTGACAATTTAAATGGTTTGTTATATGTTTTGAGTTCGCTCCTGGCTCTATATATTTCGATTTGCTCCTTTTTCATCGAAGGTTCTTGTGGCTTATGCACTTTCCACAATGTTCCAATAAATGATAGAAACCAAAAAACTTTCAAAGAACTAGCGGAAGATCTCATTTTACTATTTGGGAAAATGCCTGATGGATTGAGGGTTGATCAGGTAAAAAATATCATACCAAAATGCAGCCCTGGTGTTGTGTTGTCATTCATCTGCACATCTCCAATATTCATTGAATATATCAAAAAGTATTTAAATAAGCCTGCAGTTCAATTGTACGTACTTTTTGACAGTGATACTTATTTTTGGACGACTTTATTTCCTGAAGATGATACGACTTTATTTCGTAACGATAGAAAATTCATAATAAATCATGAGTCCTTAAAGGCGTACATCTGGAATTTACACAAGGCATATCAAAGTCTGGGTGAGAGAAGTCTGTATAAGACAATCTTGTATAATACAAGTTTGTTCAAGACAAGTTTGTATAAGACAAGTCTGAAGCCACTGGTTATGTCAGAATTTTATAGCAAAATGCCAGAACTGAAAAATGATTTTAAAGATAGCGATCGTTTGTTCAAGGAATGTAATGAGCTATCTTCGTTGCTTTATGCTGGTAATTATAATTTGATTTCAGGAAAAACTTTGAAGTATATAGCAGAATTATCACAATTCGCCGCACAAAATATCCATGTTGTCAATGGAAACCTTGAACGTGGCTACCCATTAATATGTGATATACTGGAGGCCCGTAGGTACAGATTGATTTCAGAAAGTATTTCAGCTCATCTGAGAATAAAATCATACTTTACTGCAACTAACGGTGATAGTTTCTTCCAATTGAAGGAGAGATCTCTTTCTGATGTCAGTGAAACAACTCTTACTGTCTCTGAAGATATGAAGAAATCATAAGAGGTAGATAGTTGTGATGATATTAATGATCTACTTGGTGAGCTAAGTCTAGAGTCTAAAAACGAACTTGCTGAGCAATTGAATGACGATCTTGTTCGTCCAGATTGCGTATTGTATGAGGCGGAAATGAATTTCGATTATTTATCGTCCGGATGCAGTATTATGTGAGTTGGGCGATTATATCAACTATTTCTATCCCTATTGCGCGTAATAAAAATAGCTCATTCATTCACAGAGCTTGTGTATATTTAAGGGTATTTATCATGATGTAACATTAACTTGATTTTTTATTAACATAATATATAAGGAATAAGTGGTTTAGTATCTCTTTAAATAGATAATAAGTATAGAATATTAGTTATAAGATAAGCAATAAGATAGGTAAGAAGACAGGGAATAAGATAAGGATCCGATAAGAAGCAATCGATTAGGTAATGAATGAACAATACTGGTGGTATATGTTACACATGAGTTCGCCTTATCTACAGTATAACTACTTGGGTAACAGTAAAATTTTGATTTTTATTAATTTTATTGATAGATGAAATATAAAAGAACCACTACTTGTTTTCTTTGAATACTCATGAAAGAGAAATCTTCGGTTGAGAAGAGCTGAATGATTTGTTATATTACCCATTGGTGGCGTGTAGCCTCTGCAAGTTTTCGCTACGCTTTTGTTGTTACATACTTCCATTCCTACATTATTATTGTATATACTTAGGGACTTTATTTATAATAGAGGATTAGAAAGGTTTTAGCATACTATTTGAGCTAATCGCTCTTCACCCTCTCCAGAGGATTCTTGTCGTTAATCTTGGCAGTTGTGCATTCCTGCGCGCCGCGTAGCACTACTATCGATCCTAACTGTCGGTATAACGATCAACATGTTTATTATATGATCCCAACAGTTTGTCCCTCTCAATTTATATTTTTATTGAGATATGTTTAGATGAGATAACATATCAATATTGATACTGGCTAGTTATGAAAGATGCCAAAGTCCATTTTCTTCTTTGCATAATCGCCCTACTATTCACTCCCAGAGTTCTTTATGAATATGTCTCGAACCTCCACCCATCGAATATATCACAACAGGCAGCGTTTTTGCAGAAAAGACAAGACGATAGCAATGAAAATGCTACTTCCGGGAACGGAAATACTACTTACATTTCAGATACCCTTCAACTAGCGGACACTGGCGTCACTTTGAATGTCAGCACCATCAATCCAGATAACCAAAATTACTTGAAAACTTCAGGGTTTAAAGTACTAGATTTCATCCAAGCATGTTATACTCCTACAAATATATCTGTTTGCGGCGTTAATTCTCCCGTGGTTTACCTCATAGATGGCCATGTCGGCACACCTCCACAGCAATTCCAATCAACTATAGATATCAACACCTACGAAACTTTTTACTCAACTTGCAACACCTTGACAGATTGCCCTGTTTCAAAATCCCAAAACTTATATGCCTGTATGTACAACTCTTACGACCCAAACATTTCCTTCTCCTTTAATTATGATAATTCCAGTTATGTGTCGAATTTTGTCTCCAGTGGCTCGACTACCAACATTCAAGGCTGCTGGGGGTGGGATAATGTCACTTTGGGAATTAATGGTTCTCAATATGAGAATACGGTGATGGATTATTTTGAATTCCCTACCATCAATGCCAACGGTGGGAATATTTATTTCGAAAGCATATTGGGACTTGGTTTGGAACCGCTAATTAGTCGAAACAACTTCATCAGCGATAAGCAAAGAGCTCAGTATTATAACCAGTACACCACAAACTATAGCAATTCATTACTTGATACGTTGAAAACTTATGGGGCAATAAACCTGAAAGTATATTCCATGTACGTCAATGAAGATGGTACAGGAAAATTGATACTAGGAGCAGTTGATAAGGCCAAGATTGGTAATGGGGGAAAATTAACATATTTTGAAAACCTACAGTACAAATATTTTGATTCTTCGGTAGTGAAGATGGACACAAAAAGTAAATTTCACCTTTACAGACCCTTCATTAACATCGATTATATTCTGACGGATGGGTTGAATAATTACAAAGCAAAACAAAAGCAAAATATTGTTTATGATGCGATTATTGAAAGCACTACCCGCACCATTTATGGCCCTAAAGCGTATGTTGCCAGTGTTGCCAAAAATTATGGACTAACCAATTACAATAATCAATACTTTATGAACTGCACAACTACTGGAAAGCCGTTGGAAATTGTGTTCAGTCAAGGGTTGAATATTTCTATCCCGTGGGAGGATCTAAAGTTCAAGAATTTGGATCCCAGCACTAACAAAAAACAGAATAGAGATTGTGTTTTTGCCCTTAATTACAAAAAAAACCAGGATTACTTTGTCTTGGGCCAAACTTTCCTTAATAATGTTTATTTCTACTCGGATATCGAAAATAATCGATACGGAATTGCTCCAGTTAATAGAGTCAGTGATACGGTTTTTGAAATCCAAACTGTTGCCCTGTCATCCGCTTAAGAGTGTATAATCCATCCCCTGTGCTATTAGCTTTTCTTATTACACATTTTCTAGTTCTAGTTTTATCAATACTGTAATATTTAAGATGTACTCGTTTTTTTTTTCCTTTTGTGGTCTTCATGAACTTATTCGAAATTGAGATTGAATTTTGAATTCGGAAAAACCATGCGAAGCTTGTAGATATGAGGAAATATATTAAAAAGATAAAAACAGAGCAAACCAGACTCACAGAGTGACCAAAAAACAATCAATAATCATAAACCGTCAATAACATCATCAGCTTTCAGCAAAAAAAAGTAAAAAAAAAAAGAAGGCCTCCGAGCATACCAAGAGTAGCCCACGTTCGAGATGACGTACATCGAACGCGTTCGAGGGGTTATGAGGCCGAACTGCGGCCATCGCGAGATTTCACTGGTTTTGCTTCCAATCCTAAATTCCTCTTCGCACAGTTTTTTAGAAACTCACTCATGCTAGTGGTCAGCAAATAAATAATGGCAGTAAACACTACTACCTTTGGGGGTATTACCTCAGGACGTAACCCAGTGGTGTATAGCAGCTCTTCCCCATATACAATCTTTCTACTTCAAGCTCTTATTGTCTATTTCTTTTCAAGTTTATTGAACTATCCGCTTCAAAAACTCAAACAACCCAGAGTCATTGGTGAAGTCATTGCCGGGATCATTTTGGGTCCTTCGGTATTTGGCAAAATCCCCCATTTTACAGAAAAAATCTTCCCAAAAGCAAGTATTCCCGGTTTTACATTGGTTGCTAACATTGGGATCATTTTGTTTTTATTTGTCATTGGTCTTGATGTGGACTTAGTTTTTATGAAGAAAAATTTGAAAGCGGCCTTGTCTGTGGGGATTGCAAACATGGCTTTACCATTTGCATTGGGGTGTGCAATTTCGGTAGGAATTTATCATGAATATCGTGAGAACGACGAGTCTTTGCCACATATCAAATTTACCACTTACATGGTGTTTGTCGCCACGGCAGTATGTATTACCGCTTTGCCAGTATTGGCCAGAATTCTACGAGAATTGGGCTTGCAACAAGATAGAGTCGGTACTATTGTTTTATCCGCTGGTATTTTCAACGATTTGGTTGGATGGATTCTTTTAGCTTTGTCCGTCACTTTAGCCAATGCTGATAATTCCGTTAATGTGGTTTATATATTGTTGCTCACCGCTGGATGGTTCCTCACAATATTGTTTCCAATCAAGTATCTTTTACACAAATATCTTAAAAACTGGACCAATGAGGTCCGTGAAGGCCCAAACCACACCACCTTGACTTTAGTATTTGGATTAGTTTTCATCAGTGCTTTTTTCACCGATATTATCGGAGTTCATCCTATTTTCGGGGCTTTTATGGTTGGCTTAATTATTCCAAGAGATTATGGTTTTGTGGAGAAGTTTGTGGAAAAAATTGACGGTCTAATCAGTGCAGTATTCATTCCTTTATATTTTGCCCTTGCTGGTCAAAGTGTTGATTTAGGAAAATTGAATTCGGGTAAAGATTGGGGCTATATTATTGGTCTTTGTTCTTTGGCCTTCATTGGTAAAGTTATTGGCGGGCTTTTTGCTTCTAAAGCCACCGGCTTGTATTGGAGAGAGTCTCTTGCTGTTGGGGTATTGATGTCTTGTAAAGGTATTGTCGAAATTGTGGTTATCACCGTTGGTTTAAGTGCCCAGATTTTGAATGAAAAGACTTATTCGATGTTCATCGTCATGGCGTTGGTTACTACGTTCTTAACTACGCCTTTGACTAGGTTGGTCTACACTGATTCTTATAGGGAAAGCATTTTGGCTGAGCAAGTCTCTGATAAGAAAAAACATGAAAGAACATCATCTTCAAGTGTCTCCAATAACGATAGTATGGATATTAGCCCAGAAGAAATTGTTAGGGAAGCCTCTACTGAAAATATCACACCTCCAGAAAGCCCCACCAAGACTAACCAGGATAAAACAACTGAGCCATGATTTTTCTAGTACTAAATCTTATTCTTGATATTAGTAACTTTTCTTTTTTTTCAATACTTTTCTTGATGTTGCTTCTCTTTCCGTTTTATGGTATTCAATTTTGTTTACGATTTCACTTTCTAATTATTTGTCTAACCATTATTTATTTTTTTTATGTTCTGGCAGCTTACGTTTTTTTTTTTTGTTTTCTTGTTAATTTTTATGTAGATCACTTTTATAAACTATCGACTCTAATGAAAATTTCACTCAAATGTATAAATAACTTGTCTTTCTTATAGTTTTGTATGGTTAACAAAAAGCATTAAATTATTTCTTCAAATCGGCACCCACGATTTGTTCCCATGTTTTGCCTTCTTTTTTCAATTCATCCTTGATTTCTTCAGCAATTCTGTTAACCAAGTTTGGACCAGTGTAGGCAAAACCAGTATAAACTTGCACAAAGCTGGCACCGGCCTTAGCAAATTCAATGGCATCTTGACCAGTGCTAATACCACCACAACCAATAATTGTCAACTTTGGATCCTTGTTGTATTTGGCAAAAGTTCTAAGGGCTTTCAAGGAAATTGGTTTTAATGGGACACCAGACAATCCTCCAGCTTCTTTAAAGATTGGATCTTCAGGAGAGTTGTAGACTGTAGGTCTAGAAATAGTGGTGTTAGAGATGATGATCCCATCAATCTTTGATTCATTAACAGTTTCAGCAATCGACTTGATTTCTGATTCGGTTAAGTCTGGAGCAATTTTGACAACAATTGGAGGAAGTTGGCCAGATTTTCCCTTGTTCAAAGGATTTTCGGAAAGCTTGATGTTGTTCCTTTCCTCAACCACTGCATCCAATAAGCTGAGCAATTTTTCTTTCTTTTGCAAGTTTCTTAAACCTGGGGTGTTTGGAGAAGAAACATTAATCACTAACACATCAGCGTATGGCCCAAATCTTGAAACACCTAATTTATAATCGTTGATTTCGTCACCATGTTTATTTTTACCCAAGTTAACAGCCAAAATTTTTCCATCTTCAAAAGAATTAGGAGCGGTAACATTACCATTGAACTTTGTCAAGAATTTTTCAACTCTAATACGAAGGTTACTCAACACCGACCAGTGGCCATCAGAATTGAAACCATAACGATTAATCACAGAGCGATCATTAGGAATTCTGAAGAAACGTGGTTGTGGGTTCCCCGGTTGTGGCAAAGGAGTGATTGAACCAACTTCGACGTAGGAAAACCCAATATTGAACAATGCATCAATGGCTTCGGCATTCTTATCAAGTCCAGCAGCCATACCAATTGGAATTTCAAGATACTTTTGATTGTTGAATAATTTCACACCCAATACCTTGTCCTCATCTTTGATACCTTCGAATAATCTAGGGAACAATCCATAGGACATGAGCTTTACGACGAAATGGTGGGCAGTTTCAGCATCCATAATGTTACGAAGCAATGGACCAAAGACATACTCATGAACCAGAGATTTAGCATTGAACATATAATAAGAGAGTAAAGAAGCTCCAAGCAAAGAAGCAGCCAATCCGCCAAAAGAGGATTTCAAGATCGTTTTTTGCCTATGAAGATCTTTGGAAGAGTTGGATAAAAATCTATGCGCTTGGCATTTGCCGAACAAAAGAGAGTCGATCCTTCTGGCCCCAAGTCTAGTGACCCCTTTTCTTAATCCAATCATCTTTTATTCCCTCTTTCTTATCTTTTTCTTTTTCCCACTCTAGATGATTGTGAAGTGAATTCAACAAGCCTGGAAATATGTAGAGGTTACTATTTAATCATCGCACAATTTTCAATTTTTTTTTCCGCATAAAATTTATCGAAGCGTCATGTTTGCAGCATAACTTAAAATATTTGCATGTTTGTGATTCCTATGCCCAAAATGCGAGAAGATTTCAATTTAAAACATCATTTTTAATAATTCTGAATGTAAAACAGTCCTTAAAAGTCCAAAATCGCGCGTTTTTTACTGAATATTGTGTGATATGCTTTTTTGTTAAAACAATCAACCACCTAAATCCGTGATAGTTTAGTGGCTAGAATCCCCGCTTGTCGCGCGGGGGACCGGGGTTCAATTCCCCGTCGCGGAGTTTTTTCGATTTTAATCGAAGCAAGGTTTTATTTTTGTTTTCTTAATTTTTGTTCAGTTATTCTGAGAAAGCCAAGGTCGTACTGCGTGTTATCTTTCAAATAATACAGACAATGGATATTTTATTTCTTAGTTGCCACTGAATTAGAGCCTTGTTTAGCCTCTGCGAGTGAAGGATGCCAGCAAAGCCACGTGACAATGCTTCCCGCTTCTTTTCAATTTTTTTTTTTTTTTTTCTTTCACCGCTTCAATTTTTCGTGTCTCGCTATGAAAGATAATGTTTTTCTTCTTGCTGTTACGCCCCAGTTTATGTTGTATAATAACCGTATCCCACCCAATCAATAAACTAAAACACACACCCCACCCATGAAAAAGCGCAGAACAAGAAGTTCAGCGGTTGATGGTGTCGGCAATGGTGAAATTGATAAAGTAAATAATAAGCCAGAAAATGGAGAACCAAATACTAGATTCGTTGATCACGCTTTCAAGAAGAACAATAATAATAATGATGATCAAGAACCACCGATAGTAACACGAAAGCTAAGATCCAGCGACTCTTTTGGCAATTCTTTCAGAAATAAATCAAGTGATACCAGTCTAAAGAGAATAAACACATCACAAGACCTGAGTATATCAAATAGCCACCGGAAAGTCAAAAGAATAAAATTGAACTTTCGTGCCCCACCTCCCACAATCACCCATCCTGACCATGTTACACGTCGCTCATTCCCCAATTTAACAGAATATTTAGGCTCGTTCAAGTCTTTCTTGGATGACGATTTATCATTGGAAGAATATACTCTGAAGGTTGGTGATGAAATACAATTGATCAAAAAAATCAGGAACGCAATCAATAATCAAGTGCTCCAAATCGATCCATATACTAGCAAAATAATAAAACATCCAAAGCACAAACCTCCTGTTGATCCATTTGTAACTCTCCCGACAACACATGATCATTTAATAGCTCAGGGGGTTAAAATGTCAAAAATATTCCATGATCAATCGAGAGCGCGGATCAATAGAACTAAGAAAATCAACAGTATGGTGGAAAATTATTTCAAGAAATTGGCAGGGGAAAAAGATCGTGAAATCCGTGACCATGAAAAAAGAATGAAGAAGATGGCAAGAGATACCGTCACTATGGTTAAAAGACGTTGGAGAGAGGTTGAAAAGGCTTACAAGATTATCGTTGATAAGAAAAGAGAATTGGAGAAGATTGAAGAAGGCAAGAAGACTATGAATAGAATGGTTTTGGATAGCAGTTTGAAAGCTGTCGGTCACGCTATTAGTGGCAAAGCTCCAAGCCAAGAGCCAGAAAGTGACAGTGAAGTTGAGAGTGATGTAGATGATTCAGAAATTGAGGAAAGGGAAGATGCTAATTCCAACGTAGATTTGAAACCCGATAATGATGATGATGATGATGATGATTCCAAGTTGACCCAAGAGGAACTTAAAAAGAAATATGCTTTCTTGGATAGCTATGAAATGGCAAATAATGATAAGACTAATGAGGAAGATGATGAAAAGGAGATTGAGGAAGACGGACAAGGCGAAAAAGATATAGTTGTTACTGAAGAAGATATAGAAAGATACAAGGCGCTTGATAATGATGACCATAATTCTATGTTAGACAGCGATGAATCATTATCTGATTCAGAAGAAGAAAGTGATTCAGATAATGAGACTGACTCTGAGGATGAGGCTGAAGATAATGGGGGAGGCTTGGCATCCTTATTTGGCGATGTAATAAATAAAGATGAAAGTGATGACGATGAAGTAGAAAATTATGAGGATGAAGAAGTTAAAATTGGTGAAGATGAAGATGACCACGGAAGTATAACAGAAATTGAAGGAGTAAAAAGTCCTTTACCAAAAATTGAGGAAGTAGACGATGAAGATATGAGGAAAAAACAAACAAGAACCGATGATAGTGATGGAATAGCTAATTCTGATGATGAAAATGAAATGAATATTGTCCTAGCAGATGAGAAAACTAAAGATGAGAAGCCTCCAAAACAAGAACCTCTAAAAGAAGAAATCTCCAAAGAAGACGATGGTTCAGCTACAATTCCGGATGTTCCTGTCCCATCGTTGTTGCGAGGAACATTGCGAGCCTATCAAAAGCAGGGTCTTAACTGGTTAGCAAATTTGTATAATAATAACACCAATGGTATCTTGGCAGATGAGATGGGTCTTGGTAAGACCATTCAGACTATTTCTTTGATTTCTTATCTTGCTTGCGAGAAGCAAATTTGGGGTCCGCATTTGATTGTTGTTCCAACATCGGTGATGTTGAATTGGGAAATGGAATTCAAAAGATTTGCTCCAGGTTTTAAGGTGTTGACATATTACGGAAATCCCCAACAGCGTAAAGAGAAAAGAAAGGGTTGGAACAAGGCCGATGCTTTCCATGTTTGCATCACATCATATCAATTGGTATTGCATGATCATCAATCTTTTAGAAGAAGAAGATGGGAATACATGATTTTGGATGAAGCACACAACATCAAGAATTTCAGAACTGCAAGATGGCAAGCCTTATTAAATTTCAACACAAATAGAAGACTCTTGTTGACTGGTACACCATTGCAAAACAATTTGGCAGAATTATGGTCTTTGTTGTACTTTTTAATGCCATCGGCGAAAAATGTCAGCAACATGCCAGAAGGGTTTGCTTCCTTGGATGATTTCCAGCAATGGTTTGGTCGACCTGTCGATAAAATCATCGAAGGAGGGAGTTATGAACAGGATAGAGAAACTAAGGAAACAATTTCTAAATTACACAAGGTTTTAAGACCGTATTTATTAAGAAGATTGAAAGCAGATGTTGAAAAACAAATGCCACTCAAGTACGAGCACATCATTTACTGTCGTCTTTCCAAAAGACAGCGGTTCTTGTACGATGATTTCATGTCAAGGGCACAAACAAAAGAAACTTTGGCCAGTGGTAACTTTCTATCCATTATTAATTGTCTCATGCAACTTCGTAAAGTTTGCAATCACCCTGATTTGTTTGAGGTTCGTCCAATTTTGACATCGTTTGCAATTGAAAACTCAATTCCAGGAAAGTTCCAGAAAAAATTGCCGAGTGTTGTGGCCGATGTTTTGAAAAGGGAAATTAATATGGATCTTTTGGGTTATATATTCACCAACAACGAAATGAATTTGACTACTTCCAATTCAAATTCCATTAACAAATTGAACGCCAGAAAATTTTTGATGAAAGAATGTCAAAAGTTAGAAGAGCTCATAGCCAATCCAATTGATTCCAATTACAATGACATAGGCGATTTTTACAAATACTACAAATACGTTGAACAAAAAGATGCCTTAGACCATTCCAGGCAAACGATATACATTAATGATTTTCGTTGTTCACAGAAACCTGTTTTTGGAAGTAACTTGTTGAATTTGTTGCATGTTGATACGTTTTTTAATGACACAAAGTACTACCTTAAAAAGGATAACCATATTTTGGATGATATGATTAAACCATTGAGCACAAGAATTTTGTCGGTGAAGAATTCAATTAATAGTTATGCCTTTGTAACCCCGCCTATTGTTACTTTAGATTACAAAAATCAGTTGATTCCTGAATATGTCACGGAAAGAATTCTCGAAGCTGACCCCGATGTATTTAGTGAAAATTCTCTTCATCAACCACAAATGAAATTATCAATTCAATTTCCAGATAAGAATCTACTTTTATATGACTCTGGTAAGTTACAAAAATTAGCCAAATTGTTGTATGATTTGAAAGTTAATGGACATAGGGCTTTGATTTTCACTCAAATGACCAAGGTGTTGGATATCTTAGAGAAATTCTTGAATGGGTTGGGATATTTGTATATGAGATTAGACGGTGCTACTAAAATTGAAGACCGTCAATTGTTGACTGAGAAGTTTAATCGGGACCCGAGAATTACCTGTTTTATCTTATCTACTAGATCCGGGGGTTTGGGTATCAATTTAACTGGTGCCGATACGGTTATCTTTTATGATAATGATTGGAATCCTGCTATGGATAAACAATGTCAAGATAGATGTCATAGAATCGGTCAAACTAGAGATGTTCACATTTATAGATTTGTCAGCGAATACACTATTGAAGAGAACATTATGAGAAAGTCCAACTACAAGCGGAAGTTGGATAACGTGGTCATTCAAGATGGTGATTTCACTACCGATTATTTTGGAAAGTTGACGCTATCAGATATTTTAGGTACCGAGTCTGCAGACGGGTCGAAATTGCTAATGGGTGATGGTAATATTGATAGTTTAGCTCAGGCCGAAGATGCCGAAGATGCTGCTGCTGCTAAGGAAGCGATCAAAGAAAGTGAATTAGATGTTGAAGATTTTGATGAAAATGCATCTACCGCTCAATCAAATAATGTTCAAACTAATAATAACGATAAATCAAAGACCGGTAGTCCAGCTGTTGTTGCTAGTAGTGACAAATCAGCGATAGAAACACCATTAATGGATACTGCGGATGAGAATGTGGATGAAGGCGAAGTAAAAGAAGGAGATGTTGATGTTGATGATGAAGATGAAGATGACGGAATGGGTCATGTTGATGAGTATATGTTACGTTTTATTGAGGATGGTTACTATTATTAGTTATTCTAATCTATCCTGCCATGTATAGTAAAAGTTTTGTATTTTTTTCCTTTTCTTTTTTTCTTCAAGTGTATAATGTACGTTCTATTATTATTTTTACTTTGCTAATTAGTTTTTCTTCAGAAATGTAATATTTACATGTATTGATATTTCTTTATAACAATTATTCTATGATACATAGTAAGGGCTGCTCACAAGTCATTAATCGAGATGATCCCACTTTTGTTTAAGTGTGAAGTATTCATAGTGTTGTTATTTTCGCTGCTGGCCAATTGTAACTGTTCTTCCAATTTGTTGACTCTCTTCTTGAAAGATTTAGAGAAATCGGATTGGTATTGTTCTTTCAATTTAAGTAATTCGTGGTTTTGTTTTGTCAAGTACCCATGTTCACGACTGTAGTACTCAATGTCCTTCCGGCGAGTTGGTCTAGCTTCCAAAGGCAATCTACCATATTTCTTTAAAAACCAGTTTGGAGCCAAATGAGCCTTGAGGGCCAATTTGTTATAATATTTCGCAGTGAATTCACCACCATTGGATTCAATGGCTTCAATGACATCGGCAGAAGCTCTAGTAGCTTCGACTTTCAAATTTGGAACTTTGAAAAAATCTTTACCATCACCCAAGATCTTCACACCATCGTGGATATTACCAGAGATTAATCCAACTTCTTTCATTTTTTTCATGGTCAATACTTCTCCTTCTTCCAACTGGAGTTTTCCTTCAGAGTAGAATTTTTGAATTCTCTTCAAGTTCAATTCCGTCAATTCTAAAGAGGTGAATGGCTTGAAACCAATCTTTGGAAACAACTTGTAAATTGGAGTTTGACCACCTTCGAACCAGGACTTCACAGAGCTTCTGGCCTTTTGACCCTTTTGACCACGTCCAGAAGTCTTACCATGACCACTGGATGGACCACGACCAAGTCTCTTGAATATTTTTGTTGATTTGTACGATGGCTTCAAATTACCCATCAAGGATAATGATCTAGTGCTCTGTAGTATGCTGACACAGCCTGCATACTGTGTAAACAAGCTTGTCTTTAGGCTAGACAACATCTTTTATGACGATAAAGAAAAATGGTGTAAGAGGGGATACAAGGCCGCTGAAGTCTCCTCTGTCTCTCTCTTTAAACCATCCATGATAGTTTTTCTTTTGGAAAATTTTTGGAAAAATAAACTACCTGACACGTGATACTGTAGCCACTCATCACGTGTGAGTGTAGCGAAGCAAATACCCCCCGGGCGAGCACCTGGTGGGGTGTGGGGAGGGGGAGGGGGGAGAGAGAGAGGGAGAGAAAGAAAGAAAGAAAGTTTCTTCCTGTAATGGGACTGAGCCACTTATTCGTTTGAATTATACCACACCTGTAGCAATGCATGTTCTCTTAACCAACGACGACGGCCCACCTAACGAAATTGCCAGCCCTTACATTAGGTTTCTTGTGGATGCCATTGGCAAATACACTGACTGGGACTTGAGTATTGTTGTGCCAGATGTTCAAAGATCATGGATTGGAAAAGCCCATTTTGCCGGTAAGGAATTGACTGCTTCTTTTATATACCCCAACCAGAACTCAAACGTCTTCCATGGCCCCTTCCCATTGCCAAATAATAAGAAACATTCCGATCTCAAGGAATGGGCATTGATCGATGGTACTCCAGCATCGTGCGCCGATATTGGGATCCATCATTTGTACCAGGAGAAAGGCCCAGTTGATTTAGTGATTTCCGGTCCTAATGTTGGTAAAAACGCCACTGCTAGTTATATTTTGTCATCTGGTACCATCGGGGCTGCTTTGGAAGGTGCAATTCATAGCAAAAAGGCAATTGGTATTTCATACGGTTACATCACCAGAGACGTCCCAGATGAAGTGCTAGAAAAAGCCGCAGAAATATCCGTCAAGTTGGTAAAGTACTTGTATGAAAACTGGGGCACCAAGGAGGGCCAAAAAGTTGATTTATATTCCATCAATATTCCTTTGGTTGAGACTTTGTTAGAGAAGGAAAGAACTAAGATCTTCTACACTCCTATTTTACAGAATAGATGGGTATCGATCTTCAAGAATGACGATGCGCATATTGGAAAATCTGAAGATATAGATATTGTTGATGCCACTGCCAGCAACAAGATACAATTCAAATGGGCTCCGGATTTTGATTACGTTCATCGTTCAATTAGAGAATCGACAACATTGAATGATGGGAAGGTTTTGGACGATGGTAACATAAGTGTGACTCCATTAAGAGCATCATTTGATGATATTGCTACCAATGCGGAAATCAAGCTCGATATTTGATGGTGGTGACTTTCTTATGATTTTGTAGACTCAATAAATGAACTTTTTTTTTTTTTTGCTTACAGTGTATTAAATTTGCAGCATCACAAGGTGCTCATTCAAAGGAATGTTGTGCTTTCTTTACGTAACTGATGGTATGAAAGAATATGAAAAAATATTTAGATTGAGTACACAAATGTCAATGAGACCTATTCCTATTTTTGATATATTGATGCTCTTTTTATTGATGTGAAACTTGTTGCTTAATGCTGCACAATACCAAAATTTAAAGGTTAGAGAGAGAAGAGCAATTTCAAATCCCCAAAGTCTTAATGATCAATATAAGGCACTTTGGTAGTCTGATTAGAAGAACTAGTACATTTTTCAGTTCCGACAGTTGTTTCAACCAATTTCAGGCGTTGAAACTAAACTGGAGCCATCTTGGTGTTGGAATACTTTTTTTTTCTAGTTTAGGTAGATTATTATTAAAATTAAAGATATGACTAAAAAAGGACATGATGTTGGAATTTATATCATTTTCTGTTATCTTCGGCTCTTATACTACATATCAGTCCAACTTACAATACTTAACTTCAGGAACGAATTACCATTCTTTCATCAATATATACAAGTCTATAATATAAGTTGGAATGAGGTCGAAACGTTTTTGGAGCTCTAGTTTTTCGTTCTTAACTTCTCCTTAATCGACTCAGGCAAAGAGTCAAACTCAATATCATTTGGATTTCCAAGTGTCACCGTTTCTCCTTTAGCTTTGAGTATATCCTCAATGGTAATTCTGTTATCATTGAAGATCTTCAAGTGATCCGCAATTAGATGTCTGTTGTGACAGCCTGGACATTCTATGAGAACTGTTCCTGCGGTGTATGCCTGTTTTGACATTATATGACTGGATCTGGTGGAACATTTCTTGCAAGTGAAGGAAATCATAAGCTTTTGTGGAATTTTTCCTATAGGGGTCTTTCCCTCGTTCAAGTTCACCTTAGTTGATGCCTCATTTTCGTTTTTGCCGGTAGCATTAACAGGGAACTTGATAGATTCGTCCTTATTGAGGATTGGTGAAAAGTTGCTAAAATTCTTTCTTGAAACCGCAGGCAACAACCTCTTAGCAGTGTAAAAAAATCTTGGAGATGCCTTTGGGAGGAGTAAAAGAGAGTGTCTTAAGGACATATTTGATATTTATCAGTTTAATGTAGTAGCGCTGTTCAGAAGTTTTCTTTGGCGGGAGATGCTGATTTCATATTACAGAATTGTTAGAGAGGAAAAAAAAATGCATTTTTCTTGATGGATGACGCAGATGTCACAACAATCTTACTTGATCATGCCTCCACAAAGGGTAAATTGATAATACATTGCAAGGACTTATATTATATAGAAAGATATACCAATAGAAATAAATAACACCAAAAAGAAATTCTACAAACAAAAATAATGAATAGCAAAAATTAAACAGCCAAATATGTACCTTCTTCAACACCATTGTAGATCTTCGCTTCCTCCTCCAATGTGTTGCAATTGTCCACAATTTCACTATAGTCAACCCCCAATTGTTGTTGGATGTACTGAACAGGAACCCCATCTGGCATAGATGGAGTGTTATCCTTGATAAGTTTGAGAATTTTGGTGCCGATATCTGCTTCTTCATGAGCTGGAGCAGAAACAAATAGTGGATTACTGTTATCTTCAACACTTTTCCCAGAAAGACCCTGTGCTTCGCTATGTACCTTGATGGCATTGAGATAGTGGTAGAGTACCTGGTTGTGATCAGTGATTTCGGTGACTGTAGGATATTGCAAGTTTTTCTTTTCGTTGAATTGTTTCAAAGACCCGGTAATGAAAGCATATTTCCCTTTCATGTTTGGGAAGTGTTCTCCGCCTGACATTTCTTCATCCATTTCATCATTATTTCTTGATGAATCATTGTGCCAACGTCTAAATTCGAAATTCCCTGTCCCATCTTCAACTTTGTACAAAGTGTTGGTGTCACTTGGAGTCTGATCTCTAACAATTGCCACAAAGGAAACCAAGTTTAATTCAACATTGTTAATGATATATGGACCATCAGGATTACCTTGCTGATCAGAATCAAGCATCTGTTTCACTGTAACTGGAGTTATACTATTACTTCTGGCACCACCACTCGTTGTTGTTCTTGATTGAGAACCTTCACCGTTAGAGACACCACGGGAGAACCCGCCGTCATAATTACCCCCGGTATATTCGGTTTGATTGTAGCCTTGATATCCTGACATTGTTTTGCAATTATTTCTCTTCACTCTCTTTAATACAACTTCTTGTGCGAATGCAACATATTTTGAAAATCTCAATTTCAGGTGGCGCGCGCGTTATTTTTCAGGGAAAAAAAAAAAAAAAAGACGCGTACTGTTGAAAATCCGTACACCGGGAACTTCACAACATCACTGAAGTTGGAGTCTACTTCTTTGAAAATAGTATATCAGAGTATTTATTCATTATACTACTTAATGTAAAGAATTTTAAACTCGATTAAAACTAGAAAATTTTCTATTTAAAAAACTATGATCAAACGTCTTCGAAATCATCAAAATCTTCATCATCCATATCCTCATCATCATCATCTTCTTCTTCTTCCTGCTCCTTCTGTGCTTTCAACCTCTCATAATATGCTGTTAGTTCATCTGCCTCTTGGGTTTTAGTGGCGGTGTTATTATTTCCACTTAATGTGTCAGCTGCAAAAGAATCAGATTGCTTGTTAACTGTGTTTTCTGGCTTGTCGTCCTCCGCACCATTTGATGTTGTTGAAGCACTTCCTTCATCCTGTCTCTGCGTAGCATTATCACCATCCAATTTACCCAAAGATTGTTTACCGACAGTCGATTCTTGGTACCAGCTTGGTAATGCATTCTGTTCGGCCTTATCCTGTTTCATCTTTACTCTCTCTTCTTGCTTCCGGGCTTCTTCCTCATTATCACCAGCAATATTGACCTTAATTGTCGCAGATTCAAATTGATTCTTAGGTTTATTGGTTGCGGAGCTGTACGAATTCGTATCGAACATAACCCCCGTCTTGTCGATCTTCGTGTATACTGCAAGACTGGTATCGCTGGCAGGAACTCTTGTAAGAAAGCAGGTTTCAATATTATTGTCCTCGAGAAATTGAATATCATCTATCTTCTTCAACCATTGTAATATTGGGTCTAGCTGACCTTTCAATTTGATGGATTTCTGGTGCTTTGCTCTAAATTGTTCTGAGAAATCATCCTCGATGAGTGGTGTATTGCAAATATTACAATAGGCGGCAGTGAAATCATCATTGAATAAACTCTGAATGTCAAGTTCTGTGAACTTCTTTTTGCACATAGGGCAGACAAATCCCTTCTCATTTACCTTATTCAAGTCACTATCCACTGCTCTCACGATGGAATCAACTTTCCATTTGATCGAATCGATCGCTAAAGAATATTGTATAAAATAATAAGTTCTGGTTATATGTCTTTGGAAGGAAAATCTGGATCCTCCTCCTTCCTTATCTCCACCATCTTTGCTGTCGTCAGTTTTACTTTTCTCTCTTTCCTTTTCCCTCTCCTCTCTTTCTCTCTCTCTTTCTTTTTCCTTCTCCTTGTTATGGGTCCCAATAGGCTCTCTTTGTTTATACTCCTTTATTAATCTATCCTCCATTAACTTGGAACAGACCACTCGTAGGTCCTTGGGTTGTATATTCAACAATTGTCGTAAATCATCTTCGGACAATACTTTATGCCATAAAAGTGCTTCTAGCACAAGTACAGAACCAGTATCATAAAACCCTCTTCCAGTAATTCGAATCAAAGAGTTTATTGCTTCCTCTTGGCTCATAGACATAGGTTGAATGAGATTACTGTAGTTTCCTTGATTGTTAACCGACAGTGATTAATAAGAGAGCCAAATTCGATCATTCTTGCAATAATTTATTCTTTTTTATCACGTGCCAGTATGTTTTTGGGGGTGAGGTGTGCGATGAGGAACGAACTTTAAAGAGCCTTTCTTGCCAAACCCCCGATGAGATTAGTGGCAACGGGTGTAACACATCAGAAAATGGAAGGTAAAGATGTCTTCAGATATATCATTTCGGTTAGATCTGCAGGATTTAGATCAGCTATCCAACTTTCTTGAATATTTTGCCAATAATAACGCCTTAAGGGTAGGAAAGCATCATACCGGAAGATTGGGAGAAGATGGAAAAGGTGCTAGATCAATCAGTATTCTTAATAGAGAATTTGTTTCCAGTTTTGATTCTGGCTTCAAACAGATATCAGGAAGATTATTGGAGGTTTTAAAGAGCGTAACATCAAGAAGCGAAGAGGTGATTCCAAAGTTCTATTCTGTAAAGTATGGAGCCGACGAGAGGGAGTATGTTATCACCATCCCTAATTTACAAATTGAAGAGCAAGAGCAAGAAATTGGCTCAAAAATCGACTTGCCTTTTAAACGCAGAAATAAGAAGCGAAAAATAGAGGAAAAGAAGCCAATTTTCAAAAACCTAGTCGTTCCATTTCATGAGCGAGATATGCATAAACTAGTATTGAGGAAAAAGCTCAAATCAGAAAACTACGATATTATATCTCTAAATTTGAAGAATCCAGTTAATGGGGTCTCAATGGATACCAAAATTCTAAACGAATTAAGTGTTTTCCACTTAAAACCTAAGACAATATCTGAAAACCCTTCGTTGGATCTTCAGTTTCCGTCGCTCGAATTCATCGTCAAGTTGAACAATGATGCTGATTACATCGTCTCATTGACTGGGAAAATTCGATATTCCGTGAATATCAAGGAGAATTTCGAGGGGAAGACGTTTTTCAACGCAAATGTGATTGCAATTCTCAATAATTTGATCCTTGGCGGCTCAAAGCAAGTCTTGCTCAAACCTTCGCCCACTTATTATCAATTGGGATACGAGTTTTTGAATGACTGGAATGGCGTTGCCGCCAATAACACATCTCCAGAAATATACAAGGAATTATATGGTGATTACTTAAAAAAGAAAAATCTTTCATTGAAGCAGAAAGTTGATGATATATTGGACAATATTAGAAACCCAAGCAGTAAATTATTTTATAATTTATTAACAGAATATTCTTCAAGGCTAACATTGCCTTCCAAGGTATATAATTTTGCTCTTCTGTCAGTAGAAGGCACACAGTACACTACGCATATTGAGGATTCCAATGCAAATTCGGTGGTTGTCGCGGGCTTACAGGCAAGATTATTCAATTTTCAGGCAAAGACATTATTATGGTGTCTTGATAAGGAAAATGTTGATTACGATTTTGAAAGTAACTGTGTGAAAAATAGACAATTTTTCAATATTGATTTGTTGAGAAGACCTTATATGGATAAAGAGGCTTCAAATCTTTTAAATAGATCAGATGAATCCTGTTATGCTTACAACTACAATTACTTGTCAAGAAAAATAGACAAGATTAGCTTTGGATGGATAAGGCTTGTTCATCGTGATGAAGACGTAATAGAGTATGATCATCAAATTTTAAATAATGAAGATTTTTTTGAAAGTCTACTACCTTCAAACGTTTATTGGTTCAATAAATACACCGGAAATCTTATATCTACCACTTCTTTGATTGACTACTTACAAAGGAACTATGCAGGTGTTTTGCCTGATCTTACGACTGGAAATATCAATTTAGAAGGTTCATTAGTTCTGTCTAAACCTTTTAAATCGCATTTTTTTGCCCAAAACTTACTATCGGAGGAGATGGGATTGGGGAAAACCATCGAACTTGTGGCCCTAGTACTAAGCAATCAAAGAAAGGACTTCAAAAAAATCTCTTTGAATAAGGAAACCACCGCGAGTTTCATTGATGATAGCAATTATGTTTTTGATCCAATTTTGAGAAGACATGTTTTAAAACTGAAAACGACTCTCATTATTTGCCCAGAATCAATTTTGAACCAATGGGTACAAGAAATGAACAAATTTGCTCCTTCATTGAAAATTTTAAAGTATACTGGATTCAGTAATTTCTATTCCAATTTAGCTGCACTAGAAAAGAAGAGAAAAGAAAACTTAAAAAGGAAGAAAAAGAACAACAAGTTCGTTGTCAAGTTGAAACTCAATTTCGATAAGTTACTTCAGTGTTCCAAGGCCTCTAGTAGTGACATTTTCTTCAATTATTCATCATTCAAAAAAAATGAAAGCAAAAACTTAAGATATTTGCCCCTAGTTGGAGGCAATGTTAATGATGTTGATCTCAAGAAGTTTTCTGGTATTTCCAATGTTAGCGTCTCCAGAGATACTATTGAAAATAACATTTATGAGCTTCCTGTGATTCATGGCTCTGATATAACTCTTAACAATAATGATGAAGGACAATGCACTAGCAACTGGGAGTCTTCCAATGACACTGAAAATATAGCAGAAATGTTAGAAAGAGAATCATTAAAGAAAATTGATCCTCACCATAGGAGGATTGCATTTGAATTATCACAATATGACATCATTGTCGCTTCGTATCAGACCATCACTAAAGAATTGTATTACGCGCAATTTAATCCCAACAACAGGCCAATCAGAAGTGCCACCAAAAATGCTAACTACGCCAACGACGATCAAAATGATATTAGAAGTGATGGTGTCAAGCTTTCGTCTAATAGATTAGATTATTCTTCTCCGTTGGTTTTTTTACAATTTTGGAGAATCATTTTAGATGAAGTGCAAATGGTGTCATCTCAAATTTCGAATGCTGCCAAAACATGTAAAATATTTTCAAGATGCCATTCCTGGGGTATTTCTGGGACTCCAATCAAGAAAGACTTAAATGACATTATGAGCTATCTATCTTTCTTGAGGATAGATCCTTTCAATGATAGTGCTGAAGTTGGGGGTAGAAAATACAATGAGGGTAAGGATAACGCTTGGAGATTACTTACAACGCAGAATGGTGCAATTGAAACCTCTAATACAAATCCACCGGGTGTTGATTTCTTGAAGTTTATCACAAATATGGCTATCAGACATGATAAGACAACCGTGAAGAATGACATCAACTTACCGAAACAGACTAGAGTCTTGTTAACATCGACGTTTGCACCTGTAGAACAAGATAACTATTCCTTAATTTTTAAGAGGTTCTTGAGCGAAGCTGGTTTGAATGTCAATGGTGAACCTATTATTGATGATTGGTATCCCAATATCCCATTGATGAGAAAATACTTAACTATTTTGAGGAAGACATGTTCTTATATTGATTTGCCAAATAACTCTGTGGGTATTATGGGTGCTAGTGGTATTAGTGGGGGTAATAGCAACAGGTCAAACTACATAACAAAATCAATGGAAGATATCTTGGAAAGGTTCCTTGAGGAAGCTAAAGGTGAGATCGATGACTTAGAGAAAGAAAATGTTTCTTTGTCTATTGAACTTGCGGAGACGTATGAGGTACAACATAAACCTGTGGAATTTAACCAATTGTTGATCAAGAATATTCAATTCATCAAAGACAGGTTAGAAGTGTTAAATAAAGAAGTCTCTGGACATGGCCCAGATACAATTTTGAAAGTTGAAGATTATGAGGTTGAAATGAGTAGTGAGAAATCATCGAAGACGAAAAGAGAATACTTAAAAGATGATAATTACAACGATGATTTAAAGTCCACTAAACGAATCAGATTAAGGGCGTGGACTGAACTATTACACAAGTACTATTTTTTTCTTGGGAACTCCCATTTTCAAATTGCAGAAAAATTGGAAGATGAAGTGAATTTAACAGCTGAGGAATTATCAGCCAAGTTATCTATCACGGTTTCTGCTTTTAATTTTAAAATAGATGGGGTTAATCCAAAAATTGATTTTTTTGATGACTTAGTTGACGAGGAAGACTTATACAAAGAGATTATTAAAAATGAAGCGCTCTGCAAATACTTGAAGAACAAGGTTTTGGAACACAATTATTATAAAATGGCAGAAAATATCCGTGATACTCTTTTGCTTGGCCATTCCAATTTTGCTTTAGATAGAATGGAAAGTCTTCGGAAACTAATAAACTTTGAATACAAAATCGTCACGTCTATAAGCCATAAGGAAATTGCTCCTCCGGGATTGAAGAGTTTGCAATACAAAGAATTGAAGATTTATTATTACAAGTTATTTAAAGTAATTGATGAGTTCAATTTCCAAACGAAAATCTTGAACGAATGGATTGAAGAAATTTCCAAAATTTTGGCAAGTCCCTTGATGAAGAAGCAAAATAATTCTGGTACAGATGCCGACGGTGAAGAATATGAGAAAACTATTATTGATCAAGAAAAAGCTTTCTATATTTTATCGATTCTAGAGCTTGCTTTCAGATTTCGTGATGCTTTGGTGAATGGGATTAATGTTAGTACCTTGAATGCCAGTGGTACAGTTGGGGTGGGGTATTCTATTTATTCTGTTGATACAGTTCTCGAACGCCCGCCAATATTTGATGAAGAAAATGATGTTAGCAATGTTGGGAAAAAACAGATAAAGGACAAAGAAAATGGTAAAATTCTGGAGGCCCAAGAAAGCGAGGAATTGAAGTTATTTAAAAAAGTTTTGAAGAAAAACATTGAGGCCATTAAACCGTCAATTTGTCGGCAAGAGGGTAGCAAAGATTTAAATCTTAAAGATTTGGCAAATTCAATCAAAACATTAGATACTGAAATTAGAACAAAAAGGTTGACTGAGAAAGAAATTAAGGCAATTGAGTATACTAAACAGTATTTACCATCATTGCATCGTAAAGAAGCCAAAGCACAACATGAATTAAAGAATAAGTATTTGAATCAATTGAACTCCGTTTACAATGCCAGATCAAGTTATTTCAAACAATTACAATCAATTTCTGATACTGTTGAGTCTACAAGATTTGAAAAATACAACAATCTAAGATCGATAAATCCGATAGACGATATTAGGAGCTTGCCAGAAGAGCAATTGCATAAACATATGGAATCGATAAGAAATGTGGTTATCAAGAGAAAGATTAGCGTCAATCAGCATAAAGTATCTAAATTATCAAGTAGATGCTTGTATTTGGATTCTTTAAGAGATGATAATTCTGGGAATGATGGAAATAAGAATCCTGAAAAAGAAAAAATGTGCATCATTTGTCAAAATTCCATCATTAATGGTATTTTATTAGAATGTGGTCATCATTATTGCAAAGAGTGTCTTGATACATGGATGAAAAAAGGCAAACATCATAGCTGTCCATTGTGCAAGGCTCCGATTAATAAGAAGACAATTTATGAATTCACATACACAAAGCAAAATTTGGAAGTCGGATTAATCAATGATGGCCATAGTATCAATAGCTTTGAAGGCGAGCAAAATAATTATCTTGGCTCTCTGAAGACCAATAAATCTTTGTTTTACAAACATATCAATGATAAACAATTCAATAAAATCAATGAAATGGCACTTACATCACCCAACAAATATGGTGCTAAAATTGATACTATTGTGAAACTTATTTTATGGTTAAAACTAGAGAAGAATCCAGAAGAAGAAAATGATGTGCAAGTTGTAATTTTTTCTCAGTGGGAAGAATTTCTCAAGATTCTAGCGTTGGCTCTACAAGACAATAATATCAAGTTTTTAGGTGCCGCTCCTCGATTCCAGAGAGGGACTGGTAGAAAATCGCGGAATCAGAATCATTCTCTCTCCAATAAGATTGGGGTATCTGATATCAATCGTTTCAAGTACGATTCAACAATCACTTGTTTTTTGCTAAATGCTCAGCAACAAGCAGCGGGTTTGACATTGGTAAATGCTACCCATGTTATCCTTTGTGAACCTTTGGTTAACACAGCGTTAGAACTTCAAGCCATCAATAGAATTCACAGAATTGGTCAGAAAGTTGAAACTACTGTTTGGATGTTGGGTATTAAGAACACGGTTGAAGAATCTATCATTGATTTATCGACAAAAAAGAGGCTTGACCAACTATTAAAGCTTAAGGATAACAACATCAAAGATATCTCCAGTCATTATGCAAATGCTTTGGAAGACGAAGTGGCGAAAAATAGCGATATTGATGAAGAGAATGTTGAAGACAAGCAGCGTGTCATGGATAGTTTGGATATGACTGGTGCCACAGACAAATTGATAGACAAAGCCGGAGGAGAATTAGTTCCTGTAGATGAGTTGTGGGAGTCATTTTTTACCAAAACTTGTTGAGTTATTTACAATTATGATTTAAAGCGATATCCTTTTTTGATGATGATGTTTTTAGTAAGAATAAAAGTCAATGAATTTCATAATATGAAGAATCATTTTAATTATGTAAAACGCTACTGTGTATTTCTATTGAGATTACTTTCTAGTTATAGGAAAATTTCTAATTATCATAGAACTGTAGGAAAAATGACGTAAACGAAACTATTATTCTTTGCGTTTTCAACGCTCAATAAGAAGAATGCGAATTGGATACATCACATTTTTTCTTTTCTCTCAATGGAAATTCGCGCTTCGAAACATATCTTTCTATAGTAATCATTTAAGCTCATTTCCTCACTGATTATTGTGCTATTAGTAAAACTGTATCTATCATTATATCTATCTGCCGGGCTAAGTCTGGCATATAAGAATCTGGCCTGGGATTTGTTTTCATCAGTTTCCACATATCTAGGCAAAACCAGCCTTTGAGGATCTCTGATGACTTGCAATACTTTAAGTTTTGAGTACCTTATCAACTGGAATATTTTGAGGAAATCCACTGTATCTATAAGATAAGCGATTGGATTCAAAGTGGATTGATTTTCAGATTGAGCTTTGAACTCTAGTAATGGCTGTTTAATATCGACATCAAGATCAATACTAGAAAGATCTTTGTCACGCAATTTTGGATTGATTTCTTTTATGAATATATCTCTATAGTAAGAAATGGAACTGCCATAATGAATTAAGATATGAAAGAAATCATCAAATATGAAAATATTGTTATTTGAAATGCTTAAAGCATCGGCATCTAGCGGTATTGGAGTTAAGAAAATTTGCTCATATTTTAAAGCTGCGATGTCGAAATTAGTATCGGATGACACAATATTTGGAAAGCCATGCACCGAAACATTATATAATGAAGAATTAACAATTAATCTTGTAACCTTGGCATTACTTTGTAAGAGAATATTATTGTAAAAACTGGTTTCGTCGGGCGTTATGTTGAATTTCCTCACAATATATGATTTCTTCAAATAATAAAAAAATTCTGGTATCAAGTTAAATTTTGAGTTAAGTTCAATCAAACTGTTTTCAGTGATGAAATTGTGGAATTTTTCATTGCTCCAGACTGAGGTCGGCTCCTCAATCAACACTCTTCCAAATTCCACAATCAAGTTTTTGAACATTAGATCAAGATCTTCATTCAAATCGTCATACTTCAAATTGAACAAATTATCATAAACTACTTTTTTTGCTAAGATGCCTAAATAAGCAACTTGATCAAAGCCTTCAGCTAATTCTGCAGGGGTGTGACCATTTTTCTTTTCAACCGTTATAATTTTCAAAAAATTCTCATCTCTATTCTTATATCTTAGCTTAAATTGAACATAGTAAAAATCATTTTTCAACCTCTTCTTCCCAATGAAATCTTCCTGTTGGAAAAATACTGTGAAATTTGTGTCTTGAAAAGAATTAATAAGCCATGAGTTGGTTAATGATTCACCTATTCTCAAATCAGAGGCATACTGTGAATGGTTTTTTAATGATACTAAAGGACCAATTGCACCGTTAATCTTCAAATTACAACTGGTCAATATATCTAACCTTCCGTTGTAGTTTAGCCTGTTTTGAGATCCTGGAAACACTTTCAAAAAATTCTGCTTGAAAATATTGGTGTCGAAGCTATCAGATAAAATTAACCTCCCACCAGTCAAGTTACATAAATTCTGCATTTCAAATAAACCCGTTTCATCATAATTGGCGCTGAATATATCAAATTTGATTGAGATATTGCAATTTTTGTTAAATGCTCGATGTTCTGAGTCAAGCCCATATAATAGCCCAACATTTGCATAAATCAAATCGCTGTAGAACTTCACGGCATAATTCAATTGATTCAACTCAGAAAAACTTTCAACGATCACATTGTGATTTCTGAAATTGGACTTCAATGAAGGACTTATTATTTTCCCTGCGCCCGTAGTGCATGGACCCGAAATGAACACCAATACATTAACAATGAAGCTCAATTTGTTAGCCAAAATAGGCAAAATTTCTAACTTCATAACTTTAACCAATTCCATGGCAATCTGGAGTGCTGTGCCAGTAATTCTTGTGTGTCTTTGTCCTTTTGGTTTTTCAATGTTAGTGGTACTCAAATTATTCAATGATGACTGCAAGTTGGTTAGTTGAACTGAGTCGTTAAGATTGTACAAGTATTTATTGATTCTAAATCTGTCATAGCTTCCAGAAAATAAGTTATTTCTCATGTTTTTTACATCAATTGGTGATTCTATATCAAATGCGTGAGGGATTCCGGTATCAGAATCATGGATCCTGATGGTTTTTGAGTCATAAGTTATCACAATAACCACCGAGTTGGCGGGAAGAGCTGATACCGATTCCAAAATTGATGATTTCAATGAGCTGAGTTCGTCTTTTTCTGTCAAAAGGTCAATCATGTACATGTATACCTTTGTTTTTTGATTAAATATCATTCGAGGCTCCACAGTTGGACCGGGGATGATGGTGTCCAGCAAGAAGTCAAATGACCCATTATTTCTAAAGATATCAAGCAGCTCTTGGCTGATGTTATCGTTTATGCTGTTGATAGTTTTGCAAATGCAGCATGTCCAGGATCTCTTTTGGATGTTTATCTGGCAATATTTGTTCATAATAGCTTGACAGCCCAAGTTTATGCACTTGACATATCCGATCTGGTTCAAGGCCACTTTAATGGTATTTTCACAAGGGGATAAATGACACGCGACATGGCCTGTGTATGATTCTTGTAGCTTTGAGTAAGGGAACTTATTCCAGTTGAATCTGGTCTGCTGCTGTTTGTCAGCAGGCATATTCTGGTGAGGAGGGGGAGCTTAGATACGGTTTAATATGCTTATCTGGTCCGATTAACAAAGAAAAGGGTGTGCCAATTGTGGTGCTTTTTTGGGTGTGCGGTGGTTGGGCTGCTTTTAGTAATTATTTCACGTGATATTTTATCGTGGTGAAATTAGCAATTTATGTGCGGTGGAAGCGGTCGCTCGTTTCTTTTTTTTGCCATTGCTCCTCCCCTTATCTCTGCTAGGGCCGCCCGATCATCTCCTTCTCTTCCCTGCTCTTCCATCTGCCACCCAGCCTATCCAACTTCAACAATTGCAAGCTACAACCAACCCCCAAACGAATACATTAACTATGAAGGTCGCTATAAAAACTACTTCTGGTGAATGTACGTCTTTTTTTCTCTCTCTTTCTGTTTTTCCCCCGGGCTTTATGGCATTCCGGTGCCGACCCCATATTAATTGCCACTGACTAACATGTGTTTTTATAGCTTACCAAATCACCATCCCAGATAGATCTACCATAAAAGACTTGAAGCTTTTAGCTATCGTGGCCTCCAAATCTCTTAAGTCCACTGATTTAAACGTCTATAACTTATATTTCAAGGGTATAAAGTTGGATCTACTTGAAACAGTTTCTTATTACAGCATAAAAGATAATGACTTGATAATTATTGGTAGCAAGGTCCCTGAAGAAAACGTCAACACTATGGAAGCTGCTGCCAGATCTTTGTCTCTCGTCCATGATGAATCTTTAAACTCAGTGTCATCGCCGGATGCCCAGGATGCTCTAGATGATGTATCAAAAAAGGATGACATCGCCAGTGTCTGCATTCCACAGGTCGCCTCTCCAAAATCACCTAGATCCAAATCGCCAGTGAGCCAACCCACCATCGCAAAAAAGAAGAAGAATTCTAAAAAATGCAATTTTGCTAACTGTAATAATGCCTCGTTGAGAATTATTGGTAACTGTCTGGATTGTAACGGGAAATTCTGCGCAAAGCATAGGCTCTTGGAAAATCATTTATGCTCTGGGTTATCAAACTGCAAGAAGGCTGCCTTTACTAGAAATGCAAACAAGTTACACCAAGAGCAAACCATCAGCCTGAAGGTATAATTATTATTTGTTTGCTCTAATCGTTAATTGCAAGCTAGTGTACTTTTTGCCTTATACCTTGCTGGTCGCAATTACCTTAGAATTCACATCAAAGCCATCACCAAAATGATGATAAAAGTCCTCATGGAAAACAATTGGAGCAGTATTAGATTTACAATACTGCTTAATCATTTGTCATGCCAATCTCTTGCGACCTTGGAGGTTCCCCTTCATGAACTTTTTTTTTTGACTTACTAATTTACTATTTGGAAACTTTTTTTTTCTTTCTTGTTATCAATTTTTATGGTCTTGGTAGGGTTTAGGTCTTCTTTTATTATTATTATTATGACTATTATTTTTTTTTCTATAAGTTACTTTTCACTTTCTCGATATCCTTAATCTTCAATTAATTCTTCATTACCGAAACGAGAGTTGCGTAATTTTGTTCGTTGCATCACATCTGCGCTGGCTGCAGGTGCCAGTCCCATGGGCTCATAGATGCATGAGAAGAGAAAAAAAGTTCAAAATTCCCAAAAAATTTTCGGTGGTACGATGATTTCTAAGAACATACAATTATTTGTGTTAATAAGTCCAAAAGTACCCAAGTAGGAGGCTTTTTCTTGTTTCATAAATACCTTTGTAACCTGTATTGATATTTCAAAATGGCTAAGAGACCTTTGGGTTTGGGCAAGGCTCATGAAAAGAAGAACAAAAAGAAGAAGACCTCTAATGGAGAAGATTCCAAACACAGTTCTAAAGAGCAAACTCCGCAAAATGATGGCCAATTGATGATCAAATTGAACTCAGATATGAATGAGCTTGCTCAACTATGGGTCAACTATGTTAAAAAAAAGATTGCTAATGAAACCCAAGAAGAGGGTGACCAGAATGAACTCGTTTTAAACGGGATTATCCATGAATGTGATAGAATTCTTAGAAAATCCCATAATCTTAAAGAAAACAAGGATTCTGTTAAAGATGATGAAGAGCTGATCATTGTTGATGGTCAGTTGTACGCTATTTATGGTTTGGCGTTGGCTGAATTGGCCTACTTCCAATCCCAAGGAGAAGATGATGACGAGGAAGAAGAAAAAGAATTTGATGAAGAAGAGGAGAAAAAGAAGAATAGCGAACATGCAGCAAAGATCTCTGAATTTTTCACCGAAGCCTTGGACAGAATTGAAACTGGTTTTGACAAATTCCCTAAGGATAGAATTACTTTGAACTGGGCCAAAATTCAAATTTTAGCTAACAGAATTCCTTTACAATATATCTCCAGCATGACTTTGACTTCCAACAAAAAGAAATACCCTGATATCGAGAAGTTAGTTGACGAGTTGTTTTCATCATATCAAGATAACATGAAACTTGCCTCGAACCTAAGTTCAAAGAATGCTGGTGATGAATACAATGACTATGGGGTCTTTTTTGATTATCAACAATACCTTGTATTGGATACCATTGATGACTTGCTTGACATGATTGAGAATTTCGGTATGAATGATGATTTGAACGAAATAGACAGTGATAATGAAGACGAAATCGAAACCTCTAACATTGAATTGACTAAGAAGCACCCGCTATTCGTTGTTAGAGACTGCATTCCTAGTTATGAGGATAACTTGATTGAAAAATGCGAAAACTTTTTGGAGCATTTGCAAGCCTTGGACAAGCTGAAATTCAAGATCGATATTGAAAATTCCTGCCAAAATTCTGAATACAAGCATAATTCCTTGGTCATCTTCTATTTACAAATTAATAAGAAATTGGGTGAGCTTTATTTAAGAAAAGCCGATGGTTCAGGTAAAGCCTATACCGATATTGTTTATGGTGATGATCAAGATAGTGAGCCATCTGTACCAAAGAAAGAATTACAAAAATTGCAAAAAGAGGCGATCGCTAATTATAAAAAAGCCATTGAGCATATCAAAAAGATTGAAGACCCAGAAGATCCCCAAACATGGGTCAATATTGCAGAAGCAGAAATTTCTCTTGGTAATATTTATGATTTGGATAGTAAGGATCAAGAAACATTATATCAAAAGGCAGAAAAGAGATTGAAGAAGGCTAACAAGGCTACCAATGGGAAGTATGATCATATTTTGAAAAACTTGCTTGACGGTTAATTGGACTATGCCTTGTTATATTATGTTGTAGTATATAAAAATCTCCTTATTTGTATTTTTTTCAAATTAATACTTTATTTATAATAGACATACTGGATTTTAAAGGAATCGGCTTGTAAAGTACCTGCAGCACGGGTTACAGTATTTCCCCCGAGGACAAAAAAATGCTTTTTGACGGCGAAATTGTTGAGCCTATCGGACGCTACTTTTAGGTCCCAACTTGTTGCGAAGTACGTTTATCATGAGTTCTGAAGAGAAAGATAAAAAAATACTAGCTCATATTCCAAAGATTACCACAAATGAAGCACCGATCGATTATAGGTCTTTTAGTATCAAGAACTTGTTTTTCGATCTTGTAGCTGTATTTTGTTACCTTATCACTCATATTTTTTTTAGAGAAGTCGAAGTTGTTGGGCTACAGAATGTTCCAAAGAAGGGACCAGTGATATTGGTTTGTGCCCCTCACTCAAACCAGTTCGTTGATGCCGCTATTGTCTTTACGCCAATCAAACAATTTCTTGGAAGAAACACCAGCGGTATCATTGCCGAAAGTTCCTATAAGCAGCGGTTTATGGGGATGTTGGCAAAACTCACAGATTCTATTCCTGTTCCAAGGGCTCAAGATAATTTGAAATTAGTTGAAGCTGGTAAGATCTATGTGAATAATTCCAACATTGATGGCGATTGTTTCACTATCTTAAATGGCTTGGGTACAAGTTTCACAAAGTTTGAAGTATCGGGTATCATTGGATTGCCAAACAGCTTGGGGAACTATAAAATCAAAGAAATTATTAATGACGAAGAGTTAATACTTGCGAGACCTATCACTAATCCTAAAGCAATTAGTTTGTTGGATAATGAAGAAGGTGTTGAATTCAAGTACTGTGATAAAGTTGATACTAACAAAACTTTCCAAAATGTCTTCAATCATTTATATAGACAAGGATTAATTGCCATTTGGCCAGAAGGCGGCAGTCATGATAGAACTGACTTATTGCCTTTAAAACCCGGCGTGGCAATAATGGCCCTTGGATCTGTTGCAGCTATTACCAGGGATATCGATCCAGATGCAACCATTACAATTATACCTACTGGTCAATATTACTTTCACCCAAACAAGTTTAGATCAAGAGCAGTTTTGGAATTTGGACAGCCGATTATGGTTAATAAATCGCATGGTGATAAATACATCGAGGATCCAAGAGGTGCAGTAGGTGATCTTTTAAATACCATAAAGGAAGCTTTGCAAACTGTTACTATTACTGCCCCCGATAGAGAAACTTTGAGAACAATTCAGGCTATCAGAAGATTATATAAGACAAACTCTTCAAAGCCAATGAGCTTGGCTACGGTTAATGAAACCAACAGACGACTTCTTATTGGTTGGAAACATTATAGATATCAGGAGCAAATTAAAACCTTGTTTAAATCTGTGCAAGATTATAACCATCTTATTTTCCAATTGGGTTTGAAAGATCATCAGATTAAAGAAAGAGATATTAACAGTAATAGAGTTAATACTCTTAAGGTTATAGCTAGCAGAATCTCCAAATTGGTTGTTTTTGGCACTTTAAGTTTACCTGGTGTTATCCTATTTGCTCCTGTTTTCATTCTTGTGGGGATTTACTCAAAAAAGAAGCAGTATCAGGCTTTAAAGAACTCTTCTGTTAAAGTCAAGGCCATTGATGTGGTTGCTTCTTGGAAGGTTATTTCAGCCACAGTCACTGCTCCTACCTTTTATGTTCTCTACTCGATCATAGGAGTTCATTACATCAGATCCTACAATCTATTATTCGGTCTTCATAATTATGTTTTGCTATTTGTATCATGTTATTTACTTCTAGTATTCACAACTTATAGTGCCTATAGAATTGGGGAAGCCGGTATGGATATCATTAAATCTTTACCTCCATTGTTTGTGCAGCTCATTAGCCAAAACTCCATGAATAAACTCAGACAATATCGAGAAAACTTGTCTAATAAAGTTACCAATGTATGCAATGATTTGGGTCCAAATTTGTTCGACGATTTTGATAAGTTTTATGCTGTTGGTAAAAGCGACTCGGTCAATGATAGCAAAAAGGTTTCTATTAATAGAGCGTCTATTAAAAGAATTCCTTCTCTCAGCAGCTTGTCCAATATTAATTTCTTTTCATGCGATGATCATTATGAAACTGACGCTACTGTTGAGACCGATGATGATGATGCCCATAGTTTGGGTAGTTCGTTCCAGAATATTGAAAAAAGTTCTGTTTTGTTGAACACTGGCTCTGAATTACATTCCACTCACATCGAGAAAAGAGGCTAGACTTTTCTTCTCCTAAATCTATTCATTAATAATGATTTGAACTTACTTTAAATATTTTACTTCCCTCGTTTTAGTCAAATCCCATTTAAATATGATCATAAAATACACGATACCATACGACAATCTCTGTTTAATCTGTGGGTAACTTCCGGTATGCTTGGGTGTTCATATGCATGGATGTCTTGAGGTATGGGACCCACAAAAAAAAAAAAAAAATCAGAAGGCATAATAACGATAATAACAAACAATAAATTATCTCGAACTTTTATTAATAATTATTGGAGAAATGTTTGGCTCAAATCAGCAGTCAGGAAGTAACTCGACAGTAACATCTTCTGCTGCTTCTCAGAAAATAGAAAAACCATGGTTCAAGGATAATTCGAATTCAAGAATACTACCGTTTTCAATTGTTCCAAGATCCATCAAATCAACAAAAAAACTTTCATCAAGCTCTACTTTGGGAGGTGATATTGGAGATGATGCTGATGAAGACGAAGATGATGATGATGGCAGCAGTGACGAAGAGGGTGAAAACGAAAAGCTTGAAGTGAATAACAACAGTTTAGACAACCAAGTTAAGAAACTCTTGGTCGGTCCAGCCTCATCAGATTTTGGATCAAAGAAATTTAAACAGTTATCATTTACGAATAGAAATCCCTTGGATCCTTCGGCAAAGAATGCACATTTACTTATTAACGATGTTGATGCGCCTCCGAGAGTTACTTTGAATGACATTTATAATGATACCGTTGGCTCTGATGATGACAATGATGATCACAATAATAACAATAGTCATAATAATCCACAAAATGGGAGTCCTAATTCTAAGAGCGAAACAACCAATATCAAGCATAACCATGTGCTTCATGGACATAGCTCGGTGGATCCAGATTCATTCACTGCTTTTAATTCTAATTTCTTTGACAAGTTTTCAAAGAATCCAATAAGTAATACCAACTCCAGCGTTCTTAATTATCTATTAGACCAACTGTCATCAGGTCAACCTGATTTCGAAAATCATTCTAGTTTGACTTCATCTAAACAAAATATTGCCAAGAAAAGTTCCACAGACATCTCAAATGGCAGTAAGGAAAAGTATTCGATTATTGTCTATGGTTATAAAGAATCGGATTCTATCCAGGTGATACAATATTTCAATAAGTTTGGCGAAATTCTTGAAAATTTTGAAGCGCTCAACAAAAAGAATGGACCATCCGGTTACAACTATATCTACGGGGGCTCAAGAAAGATACTACCGCTATATTTAGGGAATAGCTGGATTAAGTTGACATATGATAACCAGTCGTCTTATTTGAGATCATTGAAGGAAAATGATGCGGTTTTCAAAGATTATTTTATTTCAGTGGTCCCATTGACCACAAGTTTATTGAATAGTTTAACCAATGGCTCTATGAAAATCGAAATCAAATATTTTGATTCCAATGATCCAAATAATGAAAAGCTAGACGCGCTTTTCCCTCATAGATCGTCAAAGAAGCAGGAAGTTTCCGAAAAGAAGCAGGAAGGAGACGACTCAAACAATTTATCAAGTAAGACCAAGGAAGACAGAGGGAAAGTTTTATCATTTCTTGATAGCTACTTATCATCACCATCTCGTAATGTCTTCAATTTTATCAACCATAATGATTCAACTCCTTTCACAAACAGTAGGGAGCCTGAGGCAAGCAGCGAAGAGCCAAAACCTAAGAAGATGAAAAGTTCTTTTGAAAACACAGATCATAAATTACATATTATGAGCGGCAAACAGTTATTATTGGTGAAAAACAAAGCAAGCGGAGGAGCCAAAAAATTGAATATCAATTCGCCTACCAGTGGCAGTTCAAAGGGAAATGGGGATTGGTTTGAGAAGGGATTAGATTGGGCCTTTGGATTTGATAGTTTATGATTTTAATGCTAATAATACTATCATAAAAGAGCCAAATTTTACTCCCAAAAAATGGTTAATTGTTTTGTTTCAATCAAGGTTTAATGGTGCTTTGTATAATACTGGTGTCTTGGAACGATCCAGATGAATAGACATATTACCAATGATGCAACTAATAACATCATGATGTATATTGTAAGAATAGAGGTGTTGCGGAGTGTAAATTTTGTCTATTAGACCCCCTCTCCCCATGTCCATGAGTCGGAAGTGGCAGTGGCAGTTCTCATAAAAAGTGCCATTAGCATGCATATGGTATAAGCCCTGTTCGATCTAGAATGCGTTGGACTGTCTTCATTTTTTGATCTGCTTTTTTTTCTTCTGTAACTCAACTATATATTTACAGCTGTTGAACACTGGTAGCATAGTTAAAGGCGCCCTAGAAGCAACAAAAGGAAATAGGGAAAAAAAATCAGATTAAATAGGTGACTACTGTTTTGTTTTGTTTTCTCTTATTTATAAAGTGTTGTTGGTTGGCTAAGCAGCTATAAATAGATTCTTCTATTGATCCTCAAATTTTCATCTGATAATTAGTTCCTCACCAATTTCATCATAACGGTTAAAAGAAAAGAGAAAGTTTAAAGTATCCAAAAGTGAATAACAAACAAATATGACATTTGGAAATATGAGCGAAGTGTGCGAGCATGCCACAGTTCCTTTATGTAACTTGATTTCTTCGGGTGACGATCTTTTTAAGACAGGGGTGGTTCCTAAATGTTATGCCAGAAGTATTTATGTTGCCAATACGGTTATTTTCCAAGTGGGTACGACCATCATAAATATCGGGGCTTTGATTCTTATCGTCTTGATTCTTTTCAATATCAGAAGTAAGTTCACGGCCATAGGGAGAGCTGAGATGATGTTCTTGTACTCATCTTTGTTAGTATTAACTGTTTTCTCAATTGTCAATGATTGTGGGGTTTCTCCGCCAGGCTCCCGTACCTATGGCTTTTTAGTTGCAGTTCAGAATGGTCTTTCCTCGGTATGCTCATGGGCTCTAATGGTATGTGGCTTTTTGGGTTTCGAACTTTGGGAAGATGGAAAGAAGAGATCAATGATGATGTTATATGTCTCAAGTCTTGGAATATTTGCGTTAACATTTATTTTGTCTGTGTTTGCTTTCCGTAACTTAGACTCATCCGTTAGTGTTGGTAGGGATACTGCCCTTTTTGTGGTGTTGTACCTCCTCAACGCTATATTTGTAGCAATTTATTTTGTTTCACAAGCGATTTTGTGCCTAGGAATTTTGAAGAATGTTTGGGCATTTGGGGTCATCGCTCTCAGTTCATTCTTCTTTGTTTTTGCCCAAATTTTGACTTACCTGTTGTCTAAAGTGATTTGTGAAGGATGCAACCATTATTTAGACGGCTTATTCTTCGGTACTTTATCCAACACTCTCGCAATTATGATGATCTATAAGTACTGGGATATTATTACGGCAGAAGATTTGGAATTTAGTGTTAGCAATGGTGAATCTTTTACCCAAATGTTCGGTTCATATGATGATAAGAAGAGTGATTTGAATTACAGTGACAGTAGATCAAATCTTAATTATCCACTCTAAGTATGAGGATCTTTACTTATAGAGAATATTAGAATTATTATCTTTTATTACGTTGTTGTTTTTTCATTTCTCCCTGGTTGATCCAATATTTAAAGTCATTTCTTTGCATTATCTTTTTTTATTTTATTATATGTGTACTACACATTTGACTCCCTTATTTCACAATTTATACAAATATATATTCTTTTATTAAATAAAAAAGATGTTAAGAATAATTCAACCTTTAGTGACCTTGAGAACAATTTCTTCAAGTTTTTCCAAGTCGTCTGTAGGAACTTGAGTTATATCCACGTTGCCAAAGTAATTCAAAATACCCTGTAAAATTTTAAAAGATTTCTTGTCATGAACAAAACTGATAGAGACACCAGTTCTGCCAAATCTACCAGTTCTACCAATTCTGTGCAAATAGGTAGAAGGATCAGGTTCACCACTTTTGGTGGTTGGTAAATCATAATTAACTACCATGTTAACTGAAGGAATATCAATACCTCTGGCCAAAACATTTGTGGTGATCAATACTTTAGATCTACCTTCTCTAAAGTCATCAATCAATTTATCTCTTTGGGATGGAACTAAGTCGGAATGTAAAACAGAGACACTGTGTCCTTCTTTCTTCAAACTACTGTATAATTCGTTAGCAGTGACTTTTTTGGCAACAAAAATAATAGACGAACCGACAGTCAAAATACCGTATAATTCGTTCAAGATAGTAAACTTTTGCAGTTCATTTTCACAGTCCATATAAAGTTGCTTGATGGCATCAACATTCAATTCTTCATGCTTCAATTCCATACTGTTTGCGCCTGGTGCAAATTTAACTGCATATTTACGCACCGCATCAGGGAAAGTAGCAGAAAACAAAACTATCTGAGAGGTTCTTGGGATCATTTTTCTTACTCTGATAGATTGTTCACCCAAACCTGCAGCATCCAACATGTTATCAGCTTCATCAAGAACCAATACTTTCAAGTTGGAGATGTTGATTTGCTTACGTCTAATGCAATCAAGAATGGCACCAGGAGTCCCTACCACGATATTGGCGGTAATTTGAACACCTCTAGTGTAAGCTTCTGGAACAACCAACTGGGTGGTAACTTTTGTAAACTTACCCATGGCTTCAACCACTTCCATGGTTTGTCTTGCCAATTCTCTTGCTGGGGACAAGCAAATCGCTTGCACTTGGTTGAGAGATGTATCAACTCTGGTTAACATATTCAAACTAAAGGCAGCAGTCTTACCGGTACCAGATTGTGACTGACCAATAAAGTTTGTTGGTGGGTTTTTGATTAATAAAGGCAAAGCATTTTCCTGGATCTTAGAAGGCTTGTTGAAACCCATTGCATAAAGACCCTTTAATAATTCTGCCGATAAATTCAAATCCTCAAAGGACTTCACAGAGTACAATGGCGAGTTTGGATCCGCCTGTAAATCAGCCAACTTTAATTTAACTTCATAAGATGATTTGATCAAATTCGACTGTGGTTTTTCATCTTCTTTATTTTCTGTTTTCTCCTTATCAGATTCTTCAGGTTTCTTTTCCTCCGGTTTCGTCTCTTCAGATTTCTTATCTTCAGTGGTATCCTTTACTTCTTTTTCTTCTTCTTTTGTAGTTGGCGCTTTGTCTCCTGATAAAGATAAATCTTTAAGGAGGTCAGAAGGCGAAATTTCTTCAGACATTATTGAATATCGTTTATAGGGTGTTATTGTCTTTAGTAATGGGTGGCACTAAATAAGTTAGACCTTGGTTTTTGCTGTGGTGTTTTTGGAAAAAAAGTTAGCGGAAAAAAAAAATTGAAATTCCTGATATTATGAGCCCTTGCATTAGTTCTAAGGTTTTGATTAGCATGAAGTAGTTTCTGATAGCAGTTTATTTATTCATTTTGTTTTGTTTTCGATTTTGTATGACCAATTTATTTGTTTTCATTCATTTTATTGACCTTTGACTTTGATCTTTGCTATCATCATCCATTTCTTTCTTTCACATAATTTATCTAAGCTAAAAAATCACATGAGTTTTTTTGGCCTGTAAACAGGACACACAAGCAAGTTTAATAAGTGCCAATATGATACAATAATAATAATATACAAAAAATAAGAAGGTATTTATTGAGAAAAATTCTTCTCTTTTTGAAAAATTTAATTCATCTAAACAATAAAAATCTTGTAGCCGAAACCCGCAAAGCAAAAAAAAATATTCAATGTGCTTTGGCTAACAACTCATGGTTGTTCCATACAGATTCGATATATAATCACTATTTGATTATCACTTAAATAAATAAATGTATAATATATATATATATATATATCAAGCTATAAATACTATTAACATTACCATTATTTCTGAATAACAGCTAACAGTGTCCCATTCAGAAAATCTTACCTCCATTATTGCACTTTTGAAAATAGTATCAATGAGTGAATGAATTGCATATTAATGAGTCAGAAAGGCTCTGAATATATCACTATATAGACAATAAATGCTTAATAAAGTTATAAAATACAAAAGCTAGAAATATTGTATACCATAGCTGCGGTTTTTTTTTTAAATACAAAATTCAATATATTAATTAATTATATAACTATATATCTCATAAACTATCTAATGTAGTTTGAAAATTAAAGTGTTAAGGGAAAACCATTAATGGTGAAAAACCCTATTATTGAGAAAAAATGTTTTTATGCGTTTTTAAGGTTTTTAATTGTTTTATTTTTTTTTTTTTTTTTGATTTTATTTTCTTGTTTTTCCCCACCTATTTTTTTCTTCTCCGCTTAAAAGATATTGCTTTCAAGCAAGAAGATCATTGAATCAACGGCCATATGACAATTGAAATGCCTTTTGGATTTCAATCTTGATAATTTTCGTTGGAAACCTAGATATCTATCGATCGTTCTGGTTTCGTTCATGTTGGTGGCAGGGGTAATGATTGTTTGCCAGGTTAATGGGATATTCAAGTCAATTTTTTTCCAAAGTTTCTGGGCCAATGGACATTCAATAAGATGGTGCTTCATGATTTCAAATTGGATTTCCTTTGGGGCATATTGGGGTTCATCATATCTGGTTAATTTTTTGCTGCAATAGTCACAATGATTATTTACGTAATTGTGATTTTCAATGCCCAAATGAAAGATGTGAATATTTTGATATTTCCCCGGGAAATGTTGGTTGAATTTTTTGAGGTTATGCCAAAAGTTATCAACTTGTTTCTGATTCACCCCAGTAATATCCATGAGTGTTTTTGACATCTTGTTCACATCTTGTTTTTCCCGTTGTTTTTTACTTCCTTTAGTATGGTCAAAATCCTTAATTCTAATTGGAATGTGTTGTTGATATTTTTCAGGAATCCCTTTTTCAATTGAATTTTTCAAATCTTCAATTCCAATCTTCATTGGCTTCAACCTGATTGTACGTTTCTTTATACCAAGAACTTTTCTGAAATCCCAGTACGCTGTCCTTTCAGCATCTGAGAATGTGCTGCTATTCATAACTTCTAAGGAAATTGAATCATTGGTATTCTCAATGTCATCGGCTAGTTCAAGTAATACCACCCACCAATAATGAGTTTTGATATATTCATCCTTTGGTGATTTTGTTGGTGATGTTTTTTGAATGATGTTATTGATAGTTGATTGGATTTTAAAACGTAATATCTGGTTATATTTAGTGTGACTATCCAAAAACAAATCCTGGAAAATTTTAGCTCTTCGGTGTTGGAGTTGAGACTTTAAATCAATCATTGAGAAACCGCCTTTGTTGTTGTGTGTCTTGAGTGTGTCCAAAGAAATAGGTGTATCTTGCTTGACCAATAATTTAATCGATGTGTCAATTTGATTCAACTGATTGGGTAACAAAGGTTGGTGTAGTTCTTTGTAATAGAACTTGGATGCAATATATGTGTTGAATGCTTCTATTTTTGATTGAATCAGCAAGCTGGTCATGTTTGATAACTTGTACTTGATATAGAGGTCACGCTGCAATGTTTCCGGCCAAAATGTCACTGATGGCCCAATAGTTATCCCCAAATATGTCAATTGAAAGTTTTCATCAGCAATCTCAAATGGGAATGGTGTCAAAAATGGATAAGTATCAGTTGGTATGATTAGTTGGGATTTCTTTTCATTGAGTTTGCTGCCACTGAATTTTTCAAATAGTCTAATACATTTCATTGTTTTGGAATAATCTCTTTTATCTTTGAGGAAAACTGTGATATCATCAGCAAAAGCAAGATAATGTTGACTGCTATATGCTTCAGGTATCAAATCTCCTTGGTAACTATGGCCTCTGGTATTCTGTTTGATAGATCGTAGTAAAGGTTCTACTGCTAATGCAAATAATGAAGGGGAAAACGGATTACCTTGGAGGGTACCATTTTTTAAATTGAATAATGGGCCGGTCATGTTGTTGATGTATAAGGATCCCGTTGTCTGCTTGAGGATGTTGATGATTAACTTGGCTAATTTTTTTCCAAAATTTAAATGGGACAATAGTTGTTCCATATATTCGTGAGATATCCTATCGAACGCTTTCTCCAAATCCACAATTAGTATCAGCTTTTGTGGATTTGGTATTATATGCGTTTTATCTTTTGGATGAATTAGACTATCTAACATTTCTCTGAAAATGGTGATGTTGGAGAACGATGACCGGCCTGGAATAAAACCAGCTTGATCTTCCCCTATGATATCAGGCAAGTGCTTCAACAACCTATTATTAATTATTGTGGATAATAATCGAAGATTAGTGTTGATAAGGGCTATCGGCCTATAGTTTCCAATGTTTTCTTTTGACTTTCCAGGCTTTGGTATGATGTTAAAGAGTATAGTTCGGTAGTGGAATGGTAAATTTCCTTCAGTTAGAATGTGGTTAAATTCTTGAAGAAGGATGTGTTTGATTTGGGGAAATAATTCCTTATAAAATTTGTATGGGATTCCATCTATGCCCGGTGTGGACTTCAAATTTGCCGAATCAATTGCCAGTTTGAGTTCTTCCATTGTTATGGAGGAATCCATTTTTCTCTTCTCTTCAGGAGATATTCCTTGGGTTGGAATCACGTCCTGAAGATATTTATGTATTTTTTTTGTGTCCTTTGTTCCTCTGGTTCCATCAAACAAGTCCATATAATATTCAGTTGCTATTTTCATTATCTCTTCATGAGATTGAACTAGTGTCCCTTGTACATCTTTTAGCTGTTTTATTGGGCGTTGTTCTTGATATTGGTGGAAAACTTGGTTAATATGTTGATAATATTCCGTCATTTTATCAAGTTCAGGCACTTTCACTTTTTTCAACATGTGTTTGAGTTTTTCTGCTTTGCATTTAATATCAATTATTAATTCATCGGTTCCTTGGATATCTTCATTTATAGATTGGTGCCTGAGAACATTAATGATTCTGTCGGTCAATCTATATCTCTTCATATTATAGTAAGCCTTGGATGAAGTTAAAGTCAACTCCACTGTAACTGAATCATGTGTGGATCTTTTCCCAAAATGATTTGTTTGTGTCATATTCCATTTGTTTTCTTTGTTTTTTAAGAAGCTCCCAGTGATATAGAACCTATCCAATCTCCGGCTTTTCCCTAATTCTGATGCTTTATTAGTGAATGTTTTCTTGATGTTATGTTTGATTGAATTGAATGAGTCCTTCAAGTTCAACAAAGTAATGAGATTAGTTAAGGATTCAGCAACTGAGTCTTCACGGCTTCTATAATTTAGGGAGTCCGAACGATCAATAAAATTATTAAAATCACCAGCTAACATGATGTTGATTGTCTTTCCTGGGAATCTAGTTTGAAGATTCTGATGTTGGGCAAGTAAACTGAGTTTGAGCTGATCATGGATCTGATTTTGCTTTTGGTATTGATTTGGATTATACAAGTTTATAATCCAGAGTGCTTGGTTATTTTCTAATTCAATTAAGACATCCGTGATGTGTTTTTGGAGTTCATGTTGGACAGTAATACCTGCTAATTTGGATCCTAACACTGGAATAGAATCATCAACAATTATTGCTGTTCTGGAACAGGTTGAATTATAGTATATGACTTTGTTATCGAACTGAAACGAAAAGTCTTCTGATAGATTTAGTTCTTGGAGCAAAGACACATTGGATTTTTGGGTGAAACTTATTACCAACTGGTCGCTGATACGACTCCGTTGTATATTTTGAGTATTGATTTTAATAATCATTATGTTTATTCATTGGAATTTTGATTTGTCTGTTTGTTTCTGGTTGCATCAGCTTCCAGAGTTGACAAATCATCATTGGTTGGTGTTAATTCTGTTTTCTCATGTACTGGAATTTCATCACCCAGTAGCATTTCATCCTGCTCATATTCTTCTGAATCCTCATATTCGTCTTTTGCATCATAGATGTATTCTCCATCATTTTCATACTCCTCATCATATTCTTCGTCATTATCATTATCAGGTTCTGCACTTGATTCAGACAGGGTTGGCTCTTTAGAGCCAGTTTGTGCCAGTTTTGATGTCACTGATGGGTGTGGGTCTTTAATGACTAACTTAATAGATTTTGGTACAAATGGTTTTGGTGCTGAAGGCTTGGTGGTGTTAATTTTGGTCAAAATTGGGGTAGAGATTGGGGTAGATTTTGGGGTAGATTTTGGGGTAGATTTTGGAGTAGAAGCTGGGGTAGAAGTTGGGTTGGACAAGGTTTGATTAGATTTTGGGGTAATTGGATGGGATCTAAACACATTCAACTTAATTCCTGGTTTGGCTGACTCTTGCTTGGTTTCAGCTGGTTTCTCCCTTTGAAGGATTTTCTTTGGTTTGACGGATGCCTTCTTTTTGGAGGCCTTTCTAACTTGATTAACCGGAGGAGGGGTGATTTGATGCTTTCTGTTGATAGCTGGTGTGGTAGTTTGAATATTTTCATAATCATCATCTCTTTCTTTGGATATTAATCCCAATTGGTGGAATGGATTCTTCCATAAATTGCTCAGTTCATTTTGTGGTGGTTTTGACTGTCTGGATCTAGATGAACCATGAACCATGGTGAACTCGGTAGAAGGAACTTCAATCACTGGTGGTTGATTTTGCTTCTGTTTGGGGTTCTCATGACGATCATCTGTAACATTTTTCTTTGGCCGCTTAAAGTAACAGTCTTTAGCTACATGGCTAGGCTTTTTGCAAATCGCGCAAGATGCTTGCTTGCAATTGTATCTGGTGTGTTCTCTTGAACCACAATTGATACAGTGTAAGCATTTAGTAATAACTTTAGAAACAATGTTGTCTTGGTGAATAACCGGGATTTGTTTTTCTGGTTCCATTTCCAAGTAACCATAAATGTAACGATTTTTAAGCTCCTCGTTAGGTCTTTTAGTCATGTCACTTTTAATCACTGAGAATGATGTTGGTTCAATTTGGGCTAGGTCAAGCGCTTGCTTGATGGTAGCATCGACAAAATAGTCGGGGGTTGTTTCCAAGGCTGTTATCTCAATCAATTGGATTTCTTTATCATTCTTATTGATATTGATGCGTGGCTTGTAAGTGGATTGTTCAATGTCAACACTTAAATGGCTAGTGACAAAATCAATAAATGCATTACGTAACTTTTCATTCTTAGTTTGTAATTGACCTTTCAATATTGGGATAAGTGAGGATTTGAGACAAATAGTTTCATTTGAAATAAACAAGTAGTTTTGAGCTTCAATTAAAGCTTTCTTGATGAAGTTGATATCATCATTATCATTCAAATCAGTTTCAATGTTGGTTAATTTAACATCGATTAATTTTTGGAAGGCATCCTTTATTGTACTCAAATGATCATCAAGCTCATACTTCCGGTAGAGCTCAGGTGGGATAATAAATGACATCATGATTTTTTGTTTATCTTGATGGCTCATAATAAATTTAATGTAATCCTCCTCTGCAATATTAGATTGTTTCAATCTTGAGAATTCATTAATTAAATGGGAATTTGTATAAAATTTGAAAAACTTTTCAATGGTGTAGATTTTGACAAATTCTTGATATTTCTCTTCAACATTTTCCACTTTTTGTGTGTCAAATCCGAAAAGTGATCCCCTCATGCCCTTTTCCTTAATAGCATATTCAAGGACATCTTGGTGTTCGAACTTGATTGATTTGAGATATTTAGCCCATTTAAAAACTCTTTCGAATTTGGCTAAAACATTTTGAAAAGTGGAGGTGGTGTTCATAATCAGAGTCCCCTGTTGGGATGCGCCTTTAGAGCCCGAGGCGATTTGGGCGTAGGATCTGCTGAAAGCAGCAACTGGGGCTGGGTTAGTTTTTTTTGGGGTTTTTTGGTTTTCAGAGTTTTTTTGGGTTTTGTTGTTTTCAATTTTTTTTTGGTTTTCAGAGTTTTCAGTAACAAAATCAATAGAAACAGAAGGTTGTGAATCTCCTTGAGATTCAATGGTGGCTTGATTTGACATATGCATGTCGACGCTAGTGTCACCTGCACTATCAAGATTGCGATCGCAATCAACTGGAGAAACATTAATTTCCGGGGCTGGGCGGTGGGCAATATCAACATCAGAATCAGCATTAGAGGCCTCATTTATGGTATTAGATGGGGTTGCAAAGGTTTCAGCAGTACTTAAAAAAGTATTGTCATCTTCCTCAGTGATTTCTTCGTCTGAATGTGGTTCATTTCCGTGTTTGTTTACATTGTTTTGATCGGTTGCGTTGGGATTTGCATGATCTAAGTCAACGATAATATCAGAAGAAACCAGGGTTTCTTGAGAAGGTGGATCATTTGTTGGATCAGTGGAGTAGTTGGAAGGCTTTGGAATTCTTTTGGTATTATTAATACTCATTATAATTTTTGATTTGCGTTTTTTTTTAGTGATTTTTTTTTTTTAAAGACAAAATTCAATATATTAATTTTTTTTTTTTTAAATACAAAATTCAATATATTAATTAATTATATAACTATATATCTCATAAACTATCTAATGTAGTTTGAAAATTAAAGTGTTAAGGGAAAACCATTAATGGTGAAAAACCCTATTATTGAGAAAAAATGTTTTTATGCGTTTTTAAGGTTTTTAATTGTTTTATTTTTTTTTTTTTTTTTTGATTTTATTTTCTTGTTTTTCCCCACCTATTTTTTTCTTCTCCGCTTAAAAGATATTGCTTTCAAGCAAGAAGATCATTGAATCAACGGCCATATGACAATTGAAATGCCTTTTGGATTTCAATCTTGATAATTTTCGTTGGAAACCTAGATATCTATCGATCGTTCTGGTTTCGTTCATGTTGGTGGCAGGGGTAATGATTGTTTGCCAGGTTAATGGGATATTCAAGTCAATTTTTTTCCAAAGTTTCTGGGCCAATGGACATTCAATAAGATGGTGCTTCATGATTTCAAATTGGATTTCCTTTGGGGCATATTGGGGTTCATCATATCTGGTTAATTTTTTGCTGCAATAGTCACAATGATTATTTACGTAATTGTGATTTTCAATGCCCAAATGAAAGATGTGAATATTTTGATATTTCCCCGGGAAATGTTGGTTGAATTTTTTGAGGTTATGCCAAAAGTTATCAACTTGTTTCTGATTCACCCCAGTAATATCCATGAGTGTTTTTGACATCTTGTTCACATCTTGTTTTTCCCGTTGTTTTTTACTTCCTTTAGTATGGTCAAAATCCTTAATTCTAATTGGAATGTGTTGTTGATATTTTTCAGGAATCCCTTTTTCAATTGAATTTTTCAAATCTTCAATTCCAATCTTCATTGGCTTCAACCTGATTGTACGTTTCTTTATACCAAGAACTTTTCTGAAATCCCAGTACGCTGTCCTTTCAGCATCTGAGAATGTGCTGCTATTCATAACTTCTAAGGAAATTGAATCATTGGTATTCTCAATGTCATCGGCTAGTTCAAGTAATACCACCCACCAATAATGAGTTTTGATATATTCATCCTTTGGTGATTTTGTTGGTGATGTTTTTTGAATGATGTTATTGATAGTTGATTGGATTTTAAAACGTAATATCTGGTTATATTTAGTGTGACTATCCAAAAACAAATCCTGGAAAATTTTGGCTCTTCGGTGTTGGAGTTGAGACTTTAAATCAATCATTGAGAAACCGCCTTTGTTGTTGTGTGTCTTGAGTGTATCCAAAGAAATAGGTGTATCTTGCTTGACCAATAACTTAATCGATGTGTCAATTTGATTCAACTGATTGGGTAACAAAGGTTGGTGTAGTTCTTTGTAATAGAACTTGGATGCAATATATGTGTTGAATGCTTCTATTTTTGATTGAATCAGCAAGCTGGTCATGTTTGATAACTTGTACTTGATATAGAGGTCACGCTGCAATGTTTCCGGCCAAAATGTCACTGATGGCCCAATAGTTATCCCCAAATATGTCAATTGAAAGTTTTCATCAGCAATCTCAAATGGGAATGGTGTCAAAAATGGATAAGTATCAGTTGGTATGATTAGTTGGGATTTCTTTTCATTGAGTTTGCTGCCACTGAATTTTTCAAATAGTCTAATACATTTCATTGTTTTGGAATAATCTCTTTTATCTTTGAGGAAAACTGTGATATCATCAGCAAAATTATATAGATCAGTTGACAAGGTAAAGTGTTTCAAAAATGCTGCTTATCATCTATTCCTCATGGCCCAATGGTTAAGGCACTTGACTACGGTTAATGGGGATCAAGGGATTCCAGGTTCGAGTCCTGGTGGGGAAGATTTTTTTTGCAATCCGAGAAACTGCAGGCTTTTTTTTGTTATCTTTTTTTTTTGCGTGTTTACAAAACAGAATTATTAAATGACAATGTTTAGAACATCCACAATTATAGACAGTTAGTAACCAATCATATGAAACTTATTATTCTTCGGACTATAATTCTCTTATTATGACGGATGGTGATGCTGTTGTAACCACGATATACTCATTTATTCCAAAGCCGCTATTTAACTTTTTGAATTATCCAATAATAGGTAAACTCATCAATTATACCAAGATAATTGTCGGAATCTCTTTATCAATAGCAACCTTAGGTTTGGTTGCATTATATAAATGCCAAAACTGGCTTGTTTATCCTTCGGGATTAAATGAAGGCAGAACGTTCTACGATACTCCAGATAGCTATGGAATGAAGTACCAGTCGGTCAAAATAACAACTTCTGACGGAGAGGTTTTGGATTGTTTTGCTTTGAAGCACAATCCATATGATAAGGATTATACCAATAAAACTGTTTTGCTTCTTGGTCCTAATGCAGGGAACATATCTCACTATTTACCAATCGTGGAATTCTTCCATAAGTATTACAGGTACAATGTGTTTGTTTACAGTTACAGGGGCTACGGGAAATCAACGGGGAGTCCATCAGAAACAGGATTAAAAAATGATGCGCGAGCCGTGCTTGAATACCTTGCGAATGATAAGCAATACTACAAGTCTTCGATCATATTGTACGGAAGGTCTCTTGGTGGTGCTGTTGCAATTTACATCACCTCGTTGACAAGTAAATACTGGAATAATCAGCAGGAGGAACCAATGGATGACTGTGGCTTGAGAAGTAGGAAAAATGCCCAAGTCAGACCGGATACCCCTAAATTTTACCCTAGGATTTCGTGTGTGATATTGGAGAATACATTTCTATGTCTTGAGAAAGTCATTCCATATATATTCCCAGTGCTCAAGAATTTTTCCAAGTTGTGTACTCAAAAATGGAGAAGTGAAAAAGAGATTCTAAATTCCGATCCTAAAATCCCTTTTCTATTTCTTAGTGGTTTAAAGGATGAAATCGTTCCTCCATATCATATGCAACAATTATATGAATTGTCACCCTCAGATAATAAATTCTTGAAGACGTTCAAGAAAGGTTATCACAACAATACCTGCAACCAGGCGGACTACTGGCAAATCTTACACTCATTTATTCAAAAAAACGTTGATCCTAAAGAACTAGATTGAATGTCAAAGCTCTCATTTTCTGTTTCACATATTTTCACTTAAACTCTTTATTTCTACTTCTATTTTTCCCTTACATATAATTTGAATTTTTCCTTATAGGAACTACACTAATAAAGAGAGAAAAGAACTACACCAATAAATTTATTATACCATGAGAAAAGGCAGCAACCAGAAACAAGTAAACAAAAAAAAAAAGAAAAAAAAAAAAGGAGACAAGATAAAACAAATGAAAGGAAATATAAAAAAGGCAAGGGCGGATGAAGAGACAAATATTGACTTCACAAATCGGCCATAACCATATCAATTCCCAATTGCTTTTGTAATTTGGGAGGCAATGCATTAAACTCAGCTGAGCCATTTGTCAGACTTGGCCTTTTAATTTTTTCTGCGCTCAAACTCTTTCTTCCAAATGGAGTTTTCCTCTTTAATTTCTTGGCTCTAATTTCGTCAAAATCAGAGTCAAGATCAATGTCTCCGGTGTAATTGGATTCAAGGCGCTTCTCTCTTTCCTCAGCTTTCTTCAATTCTTCAGCTTTTCTGATAAAGTAAGCTTCATTACTGCCCACAACATAAAAATAAGATTCATGCCTATCCTCATCCGTAGGAATTGAGCAAAAAATAGATAACTTTTTTAGCTTTTTTTGAGAATAATTGGTGGCAGACCCTGCCTTTATAAGGTGTCTGATATTTGTCATATCTCCAGCATTAAACAAGTCGCTATTCGAAGAATAGAAAATATTGAAACTTAGGAAATTAATTAAATTCAATTTATTGTAAAACTCCCTAATAAATCCATTGCATTGAGGTTCACCACAATAACATCTTTGTGGTTTAATATAATGAACCCTGTTTGTGTTATAATCCAAAGTTAATTCATCTGCAGAACTGATAGTTTCTGAGCACGCAAATATCCCTACCTTAGGTTTCAATTCTCCCTTATCATTAGCCAAAAACACCTTAAAGTAACAATTTGGTTTAATTGAATGATTAATAAATCTGGCTAGTGATCCATTCTTGAAGGAATCTAGTACAAAACCATCAACAAAATGCAAACAGTAGTCTTTAGTAGTTTGCAATTGGTTAAATTCTTGATAACTCAAAATGTCACCAGTATACTCCATGACAAGTTCATCGGGTTGGTACTCTCTAACTGCTCTAAGGCCGTAACCTTTAATATCCGTATCGAAAACCTCAACACCACTATGATCGTATATGTTATTAGAGTTCTTGTATTCCTGATATTTCCGGTCTGTTTCAGCATCTTCGCTAATTTCATCACCATTTACTGTGTATGTTTTGTTCAAGGAAATAAGTTTATCTTGATGATTATTAACATTAGTTTGTGTAAAGGTGTCAAAAACAGATTTATCTGCTGAGTCATCAAGCATATTTGGGCAAAAAACATTAAAAGGAAGTTTATAATCGGTTTCTACCGAGAAAAATGTCTTATTTTCGGGAAAGATAAATTCAAAATTATCAGGCTTTTTCCCTTCTTCCTCATCATCTTCCTGTTTATTATTATCTAGGCCAGCATCCTTAGCATATAATCCAGATAAACACCAAACTTTTTTTTTTCTTTGTTTTTTGAAGAGGTCCATTTCAATTCCTTTGAATGTTTTTTCTTCGATGTATTTGGATGTCGTTGGTTTCTTCTTTGCAAAGTTTGTATCCTTATGAATTAGAGCACTGATATCAACACCAGTATAAAAATCATCATCTGAATCATTCTCACCAGTTTTGTCGAAACTAATTGATTTCTCATCATCTGAAGGCTCGTATAGACTATTCAATTCCAATAACAATTCTTCACGCGTAGGGTTATTGCTTCTTTTCTTTCTGGAACTCTCTTCAACTTCTATATTACTGGCTTTTACTTTTACTTTTTCGTCTTCATCATCATCTTCTTCTTCTTCTTCCTGTTGCTCCTCCTGTTCTAACCCTTCCTCTTCGCCGTAATTATCAGCATCATCATCTTCTTCCTCTTCCTCATCTTCCTCGTCTTCTGCATCAGTTAGAGAACTTGTCGCTGCTTTGATGTCTTGTTTTTCTGAATTCTTTTGTCGCTGCTGCTTCTCTGGATGATTATGAGTTTTACTAATTGATGCATCATTACTGGTGTCAACATTGAAACATTGTAACCAATTGTATTGTTTTTCAACCTCATGAAGTAGAAGATCTTCACCAAGATCCGGAAGAGAATGATTTAAAAGAAAATCATCCAATTGCGCAAAAGACGTTTTTAAAGTTGTGGAACGCAAACTTCTGTAACTCATACTTCTGTATATAGTCAAGCTGTATTGTTTCGTTGCTTTCTATTCCAAATGTTTGTGATAATTTCCGTTTTTTTTTATCTTCTTTCCTCTTGACTTTTGTTTTTGTTTTTGTTTTTTTTTTTTTTTTCTGTTTTCTAAAAAAAACATCTCGCGTTACTGCAGGAAATTCCTCCAACATGATCACCAGATAAATATATTGCGATCAGTACTGTAACTCAGATCGCTAGTGTCAGCAAAATGCCTTAGTTGTTTAAGTTGATTAAAATTAGACACTAAAATTTAATAGTGCAAGTGTTCAATAATGAGTTCCCAGTGTTTGGAATGTTCTAGATTGAAAATAACCACTGTTAATAATAACGCTAATAGTGGAATGAGTTTTAGAGTAAAAATTCTTCTCAGTATGAAAAAAATAAAAATGGGGACCTACTAGTCATCCTATATATTTTCCATCTAAACTAATTCTAATATCTCCTTTTTCTAATTTTAGGTTGATACTGTTATTGATACTATTATTGATTCTCATATAGAAAACAAAAAATGATTATTACAGCACAGCATTTTATTTGATATTTATGAAATCCTTTAATTCTATCTTCAAGGATCAAATTGAGATTAGATAATTGTAAAGACATAGACGGTTTTATTGTTATTATAAGTCATAAAAATAATAGAAAATTTACTTAGCAACATCAAAAATAGTATCAATAATTTTGAACACACAATTTTCACCTTCTTCTTCAATAGAAAATTGTTTTTTCAAGAACTTCTTTAGAATTAACCTCATGATGAGGAAAATTGGTCCTACCCCAACAACATCAAAATCTTTTGCCATTAAAGAGCATATATTATTTGATTTAAAATAAAAAAAAAAGAAAAAAAAAATAGATTGGGAAGTATACTTAGACTAAAGAAGTATACTTAAACTAAACAGGCTTATATAATAAGCATTCGAAAAGCTCTTAAAATGGTATATAATTAACCCCATAACTATCCTTGTATCAAGATCATATAGAGACCCTGTTATTCAGCAAAAATTTTTATCATTGTTATATTTAACTAAATGCTTTATCTACTTTATACTTTACCCTCGATTATCTTTTTACTTATTATATTATCTCTCGCGAATAATGCGATCACGAGGGAAAAATAGAATTCTAACTTGATTTTTTTTCGTGATTAATATTTGATTTTACGCTTGATTATATTTGGTATGACTTTTTATTTTTATTTTTGTTTTAATTTATTCTACTTGAACTTGAAATACTATATCATTGAACAGATTACATACACCCTCGTTCTGGATCAACTAACTGACACAGATCAGCCTAGCAAGTCTAAATCATACCATCACATTGCATCTTTTTTCCTTGATAATTTTGATTAACAAGTTTTTTATCGATAATGTGACTAATCTTTGCAAAAGGAATATGATAGAGGAGTAAACTACAGTTTTTATTATTAATAATTATTTTTACAGACTGGCTCATAGGCCCAGATTACGTGTTATTTGCAACCTCTGCGACTCGTTAATCTATGAAAAGCTTGGAAAATCGAGTAAAGTTTAAGAAATTGAGAGAATAGTGATTTGAGATTATGATGAATGAATTGTATATTAACGAGTCACAGAGGTTCTAAATAACATGCAAGCCGGGCATTTCATGCCGGTCTTTCTAATAGATAAGTATAATACTATAATTTTCTCACAACCTCACACTCCTTGCTTTAAGAATTAATCACATCACCGGTAAAAAACTCAACAATCAAGATTATTAAGGAAAAAAGGTGCAATGTGAAAATATGAGATGAAGTCACTAGTGAATTACCCATCACTAGGAGCTTCATGAACTGAGATGGAGGTCTTTGTTGAGGGGTTTTGGCACTATATCTCAAATACTAAGTATTTTCAATGTAGTGACCATCAGAATTCTGGGGGATAATAAAAATGAAAATAATAAAAATAAAAATAATAAAAATAAAAATAAAAATAATAAAAAAAAATTTTTTTTTTTTTAAAGACAAAATTCAATATATTAATTAATTATATAACTATATATCTCATAAACTACTTAATGTAGTTTGAAAATTAAAGTGTTAAGGGAAAACCATTAATGGTGAAAAACCCTATTATTGAGAAAAAATGTTTTTATGCGTTTTTAAGGTTTTTAATTGTTGTTTTTTTTTTGATTTTATTTTTTTTTTTGATTTTATTTTCTTGTTTTTCCCCACCTATTTTTTCTTCTCCGCTTAAAAGATATTGCTTTCAAGCAAGAAGATCATTGAATCAACGGCCATATGACAATTGAAATGCCTTTTGGATTTCAATCTTGATAATTTTCGTTGGAAACCTAGATATCTATCGATCATTCTGGTTTCGTTCATGTTGGTGGCAGGGGTAATGATTGTTTGCCAGGTTAATGGAAAAATTTTTTTTAAAATTTTACTCATTATGAATGAAAATAAAGCTATCCACAACATCATTGGTCCCTTGGCCCAGTTGGTTAAGGCGTGGTGCTAATAACAGCTCTAAGCATTGTTACGCCAAGATCGGCGGTTCGATCCCGCCAGGGACCATTTGTTTTTATCATAGTTTCGGCAAAATGTATGTGGTTTTTTTTTTCAAAAAAAGATTTTCCCTTCAGTATTGTACTTTTCAATACCTCTTTTTATTGAGCGCCCATCAATTTTCTTGATATCATTCCAAAATCAGTCTAAGAGTAATAATATTTTTAATGCGGTAGATATTACAAAAAGCCGGATGAAATATAATTGGTGTCTATGTGAAAAAAATATATATACTCTGTCTAAATCAAACAAAAACAAAACAATAATCAATAAAATTGGTGACAAGGAGTCCAGCATTGAGGCAGGAACTTTTTTTTCTTTTTTTATGTAGGATTTCTAAGGCCATAGATCGGCCAGCCGTCTATGGGGATGTGGGAAGGTAGATTCTTATATTTATGCAGAAGCAGATGATGTGACAGCCCATAAAACATTGGTTTGCAAGGTTGGGGTGGCATAGGTCGTAGTAACTGCCCACAAAACGTTGGTGGCCAATGACTCGCTGGTGTAGGAAGACGCAGCAGCAGCGGAATCATCACTGGTAGCCTGTGATGGAGAAATAGTGGTGGTAACTTTCGAAGTTACTGCCTTGGCGGTAGTTGTGACGATGATATGATGTTGGGAATCCTTCTTATGGGCTGCACTAGAACTTTGAGTAGAAGATGAAGTTCCAGTGGTAGTCGTAGAAGCAGAATTTGAACTACTGGAACCCATGAAACTTCTGATCCCAGAAACAAATCCAGTATTTTCACTGACAGTAGAGGCCTCCCAGAACATGAAGCCACCAAAGTTGGAGTTAGTGAGCGCCTTGGCTGCCTTGGATTTCACGGTGCTGAGTGAGACATAACCTGAACCGGCGGAGGAAGAAGAACCTGGCAAACCAATATACAATTTCATATTTTTGTTAGCAAAGGTACTGGTAACGGCTTTAGTCCATGTGTCCCAATTGAAAGTTTTGTCGAGAGAACAGTAGTTATTGTAGAATTGGATGAAAGCAATGTCAATCTGGGCTTTATCCAAAGCTTCACCAATTGAAGCATCAGGGAAAACACATTGAGGGGCAGCACTAATTAAAAAATCTGAGCCGAATTTAGTTTTGACAGCACTGATAAACTCACTGTAACCAGTATGTGTACCTTGTTCGATATCTAAATCAAAACCATCGACTTCAGCACCAGGGAAAACAGTACCACTAGGACCAAACATTTTATACAAGGTTTCCACCAATTCTGAAGCATCTGAGGAGCCAGAAATACCATAGGAGCCATCTGCACCGCCCATGGACAACAAAACTTTGACTCCTTTGGATTGGCAGGTCTTTATGTCTTCGGCGATTTCTGTACAAGATGAATCTGAAGCACAGGCATTACCGAAATTAAAGGAAGCGGTGGAGCCACTGAAATTATCAAGGAAAGAAACCATGATTATATCAGCATACGCATCAGCATTGCTTGAATCACAATAGTAGGAAAGTCTTTTTTGACCAGCACCTTGCCCCCAATACATGGCGACGTTGTGACCAGATGCAGAGTATGCTGCCATGGCAACATTCGTCAAGGTGAGAAGCAAGAAAGAATTGAATATACTATGGGCAAACATATTTTATTTTTATCTTTCAAAAAGTAATCTATATCTGGGAGGATTGGCTTTTTTCTTTTAAAGCAGGGCTTTTTATTTCTTTTGAAGTGAGGCTTTTGATTGTTGTGATTTTAAATGCAGTTAATGTTGAAATTAGTAGGGCAAGCAGCCAGATTTATAGTGAACTCACTAGATTTGGTAATTTTATATGGTTCAAACCCTACATTTAGTAGTGTAATATTAATTTCACTACCTAGATACTACTATGGTTTCGATGGCTACCTGAAAATTCGTAATTAAGGTGCCAATTTCGCAGATTGAGGGACCGATGCCATACTCCAGGATCATGCATGTTTGCATCGATGATGCGCCTGAGAATCGGTACTCGTGGTCGTTGACCAAGATTTTCACCTTTGGCAATACAAGCTGGTATGCTGACTCAAAAGCAACAGCTGATACACAAATATATAGAAAAAATAACATTCAATTGAGCTATTGAATCTTTTAAGAATTTTCTAAGAGGTTCATAGGTAACTCGCATGCTCACTAGTGGTCACGGCCGTAGATTATAATATCAAACATATGAATGCCATGTCCCAGAGAAACGGAAAAATAATATTTTTACGAGGATCCGCGCCAGAATATTGGCACCATTTCTGTTTAAACCGCGGAAATTTATTCGAATAACACCTCTGGGGCTCCCGCACCAATATCCGTTAGCTTCTACAAGGTAGTTTATTGGATTTAGCTTTCTGTGTGCATTCTAGCAAGACACAACCAAGTGTACTTGATAGAAATCCATTAATTAGCAAATGTAAGCTTGCCTGAAAAGCCCATCTCCAGGAATCAGTTCATGTCATACGAAAAATTTATTTTAGTAGTAGTGACATAGATGTCAATCCTGGGGGCAATTATTATGGACAATACGTGTAAATAATTTGATACGATCTCTTTTGCTACAGTTTTCAAGTGGTCCATGAACTACGATTGTGTGTGTGTGCTTTACAGCGTAAAGCCAAGAAAAAGATAGATTGAATCGGTTTTACTACTACCACTATCTCCCCCTAAAACACTTTGAATGAGTTTGAGCAACAGTGTATCGCCCTAGAATAGGTAACATCATCGCTCAGTTATTTGAGCACTTCCAACTTACTTCAATTCTTGGACCAAACAAAGAAAATGATGATTCTGAGTTAACTTTCTCCATAAATACGAAGAATTTTATCATGGTCGCTTATAAACGTTGCCCAGGGAGAAAGTGAATAGTGCAAGAAAGTGAGAACCAAGACCAAATTATCTGAGAAACATTTTATTAACATTTATATAATAGTATCTAATATAATACAAAAGTATCCGATAGGATTAGAGATGAAACGAAGTTATAATACAGCATAATATTTTCATAGCGTGGGAAGTAAGCGCTTGTATGCAAATAATATGGACAGTTATTAACGATAGCCAAAAAAGTTTCTTAAATAATCCTCTGAATGGAATTCAAAATAAAACTCTTCTGTTGGATTATACTTGTAACCATTGTAATTAAACAATCGTGAATGGGGGTTGTTGCAACATTTGATCAACATGAACTGATATTGCTTGAAGTTTCCCTCCCTTCTATGACGGCTATTGAGATGAGAAAAGCATTGGGAAATTTTATCAAATTTTTGACCACATTGGAAATTTGGACAAATAATATTATCATGATGCTTTTCTTGTAAATGTATTATGAGGGAAGCTTGATTAGTTGATTCGTATACACAGTCAGGACACACAAAATGAGTAAGCCTAAGTCTTTGGAAATGTTTACTTCTAATTTGACTCAGTACCATGATATAAAAGCCAGGAGATAGATAGTTATATAGTGCTTAAAAATTTGGAGTAATGAAGCTTTCCAATTTGACAATGAAATTCACTTTGGGTGACAATGTTGGTTTCAAGGTAACTGTTAATTGTACTCCATAAACACCACAGATTTACTTGTGATCATTTATATAAATCCCTAACTTTTCTTCTCTTTTTTTTTGTTATTTTGAGGTTGATGATATGTGAGCCAAACGAGTGACAAGGTGTAACAGAATTGGGGAATAGTTACAATATCCGCAATAATTTTGGTTTGCTGCAGAATCAGGGGGTTGAGAATTAAAAAAATATTGGATCTTATTTCCTGAAAATAGAAACACAGGTTTCACGCAGCTGGTGGCACCGATAGATTCCAGAGACATGAGGTTCTAGGTATCTGGTAATTGCACCATATAAAACCGTTGGAATCGTGCATTTTGCTTATTGAAGATCCGCGACGGTTTTCAGTGGAAGAAAGACCACCTAGGAAACGGCCGGACAGCCGCATGGAAGTATAGGCCCATGAATTTTTCAATGCGACCAACCCTCAGACCGAAGTGTAAACGAACCATTAAACGAACCATAAAACAAAATATCCTTACCGTGCAAAATGTCATCCGCAAGCCTGGCCAGGAAGGTCGCCGTCATTACGGGTACAAACTCAAACCTTGGTATCAACATTGCCTACAGACTTCTTGAAGAAGTGCCTTCCGATGAAAGACTCACTATTGTGGTCACATCAAGATCTCTTCCAAGAGCTAATGAAGTCATCGCCAAAATTGCAGAGTATAACGCAAATGTGACCAAGAGAGAATCAATTCTAGATTTTGACTATCTCCTCATAGATTTTTCTAATATGGTATCTGTCCTAAATGCGTACTATGAACTCACAAAAAGATATACTGAAATTAATTACTTTTACGTCAATGCTGCCCAAGGGGTCTATGCCGGAATTAATTGGCTCCAAGCGACAAAAGATGTTCTCATAAATCCCCTCGAAGCTGTAACTAATCCAACATATAAAATTCAAAGGGTTGGTGTTAAGTCAAAGGATGGCATGGGTTTGGTGTTCCAAGCCAACGTATTTGGTCCTTATTACCTCCTCCATAAAATTAAGCCGTTATTATCAAATGGCAAGGCAAGAGTAATTTGGATTTCCAGCATCATGTCCGATCCAAAGTATTTATCCTTTAATGACTTACAATTCCTCAAGTCTGATTCAGTTTACGAAAGCTCAAAAAGACTGATCGATTTACTTCATGTGGCCACATATGAAAATTTGAGAAATCAGAACATCACCCAGTATTTGGTACACCCAGGAATCTTCACTAGCTTTTCATTCTTCGAATATTTAAATGTCTTCAGTTATTACGGGATGTTATTTTTATTCTACTTTGCCAGACTTTTGGGATCACCATGGCACAATATTGCTGGATATAAAGGAGCAAATTCCGTCATTTTTGCCAGTTTAAAAGCCAATCCTGAGGAAGGAGATACTCAAAAGTTAAAATACGGTAGTGCCACAAGAATGAATGGTGACGAATACATAAAGGCAACATCCATCTCGGATCCATCCGGCGCCGCTGATGTTTTGAAATATTTGAACGAATTGACTGCTGAATGGGATGAGAAACTTAAGGATCAAATATTAGAAACTAGAAAGTTTTAAGCCTATATTGAGAGTAACATCTCTTTTTATAGATATTTATTTACACATATAGTAACCCTATTCATTATAGCACTATAAACTAATATTACTTTGCTTATAGTCTCTCATATCTTGCTTGTTTTGTATCATATCAACCAACATTTTGTTATAAGGAGTATTACTAGTATCCGATCTAACAAAAAATCCATTGAGATAATTAATTTCAAATGATTTTTTGTTCAACTTGTAATCTTGTAACATTGATGAATAATTATTGGCCGTTAGTTTTATAACCTTGAGAATGATATTCATTAAACGCTCTTCGTCAATAGTGTTTTGGATGATCTGTAAATCTGATGCACTATAATTCTTTTCATTGAAATAATTAAGATAAAGAAATTTGATGTCTTCTTTCAATAATTTGGTCATTAATGGCCTGATTCTTGACATCTCCAACAATTCACCATTTCTGCATTCGAATAGCGTGGTTAGCGGGTTCACGATAGCGTTCACAATTAGCTTTTCAAAATATACTAACTGGAAATCAAGTGGATTAGGACTATAACTGACATGTAGGTCTGTTTTTGCAAGATCACTAATGATTTCCGGCAATTCTGTTGATTTGTCGATCTCTGAGCCGTTTGGGTCAGTATATTTTCCAAGTTTCAATTCTCCTTTACCCCTACTAGTATGCGTGAATTCAAAATTTTTGTTATCTAGTCTATAAACACCATGGTTTATTATTCCCTGAAAAATATTTGCAGGGCGTTGATTTGGAGGTAGTTTGGCAAAATAAGACTTATAGATTTGTTCAACTACACCTGCACCATTCTGGATAAATACCAAATTGGTTTGGTCATTAATTAAGGGGAAAAGTGGAAGCAAAGAATTGTATGTGTCCTGGGCTTTTGTAGTGATAATTAGATTATCAATAAATCTCTTGCCTTCATCAACTGGGAATGATGACTCTGATATCTGCTCCGGATGCTGGGGCGGCTGGTTTCCTATGAATTGATCTATAGTTTTATTAAGGGAGCGCAATCGCTGATTGTATGACTTTCGTAGACTGCTGTATGTCATAGCTGGAAATTGTGTTGATTCAATCTGGTTAATATTGGAGTATTTCATGGTGATGGTGGATTCATTCTTGACAAATTGTTCTAATCTTTTTTGATTTTGGAATATCAACGTTATTTCCGACCTTGACACTTTTTTTAGCGAGGTGGCTATCAAAGAGCCTATATTACCACATCCTAATATAAACGTCATACTCTAAAGACTCCAGCTAAGAGATATGTCATTTATTGGCCATGTTTTAACAACCTTGTAGCTCATCATTCAATAATAAGGAAGAGTTTTTCAAGGCAAATAACCTCTGCATCCATAAACCTTTTGCACCCAGACACCGTAACGGTTTTCAATAAAAAGTGACATATCTGTGCCATGATAGTAGAATAAACCAACATGGAAGAGAAAAATAGCAAAAGGGAGTGATTAGAGTGGATTGCATTTAAATAGTTAGGTTATGGACCGAAGTTTTTGTTGCTTATGAATTTGGTGCTGTAGTTTCTTTTGGGCTGTCCCCCTATTCACAGAAGTTTCTATACCAGATACCAGCAACGCGGGTGCTTGGGGGAATTGCGAAATTTGGCCACTTCAAAAAATGAGATGATAGCACCCTTCTTCCACTTAATCGTCTCCTAGATCCTCTTTAACCTACTCTGGCAATTATTACAATATCACCATGAATATCGTGAAACTTCAAGTATGTGAATGTGATTCCCGAAATCGCCATATGAATAATAATTGAAGCGTTATACTAACTAGATTCTCTTTTTTTTGTGTAGAAGAAATTCCCTATCCTTCCTCAACCGGAGTTGTTTGAGATCATCGAAAAATTCAGGTAAGTATTGCCATTGAATTACGGAGTATTTATTGATACAGTAAAAACTAATTACTAACAACAATAGAAACATTGATATCGATGACAAGGGCTGGGTTGAAAAGCAAAAGGTCATTGAAGAAGTCTCTAAGGCTGGCACAGACTCTTATGATAATGTCCGTCAAACTCTTAAGCAAGTTGACGTCGATGCCTCGGATCACGTCGAATTAGATGATTTTGTCGAATTACACGCCAAATTGAAGGAATCAAAGGCCGCTCCTGCCCCATCTTTGATGGGTACCAATGCCGCCTCCGCTGCTCCTAAAGTAGGCGGGTTGGTTCATAAGGGAAAGGGCGCTAATGCTAAAATTATTGTTTCTAGCCGCTCGGGTATTAGTCACACAATCAACGAAGAAGAAAGAACTGAATTCACCAAGCATATCAATAGTGTTTTAGCTGGTGATGCTGACATTGGTAACAGATTACCTTTTCCTACCGACACTTTCCAAATTTTTGATGAATGTCGTGATGGTTTGGTGTTGTCTAAGTTAATTAATGACTCTGTCCCAGACACTATTGATACCAGAGTTTTGAATTGGCCAAAAGCAAACAAGCAGTTGAATAAATTCACGATGACCGAAAATGCCAATATTGTTATCAATTCTGCTAAAGCCATCGGTTGTGTAGTTGTTAATGTCCATTCCGAAGATATTATTGATGGTACCGAACATTTGATTTTGGGCTTGATTTGGCAAATTATCAGAAGAGGTCTTTTGAGTAAGATTGATATCAAATATCATCCAGAACTTTACAGATTGTTGGAAGATGGTGAAGAATTGGAACAGTTTTTGAGATTATCTCCAGAAAAAATCTTGTTGAGATGGTTCAACTATCACTTGAAACAAGCCGGTTGGAATAGAACAGTCAAAAATTTCAGTAAAGATGTTGCAGATGGTGAAAACTATACCGTTTTGTTGAACCAATTGGATTCAAGCTTATGCTCATTAGCCCCTCTACAAACCCCTGATTTGTTGACCAGGGCTGAACAAGTTTTGGAAAATGCTGAAAAGTTGAATGCTAGAAAATACTTGACTGCTACTGCCTTGGTTGCTGGTAATCCTAAATTGAATTTGGCATTTGTGGCTCATTTATTCAACACTCATCCAGGTTTAGACCCAGTGGAAGATGCCGAAAAACCAGAAATCGAAGAATTTGACGCTGAAGGTGAGCGTGAAGCTAGAGTTTTCACCTTGTGGTTGAACTCCTTGGATGTCAGTACCCCTGTGTCTAACTTATTCGAAGATTTGAAAGATGGTACTATTTTGTTGGAAGCATTCCAAAAAGTTTTACCAGGCTCTGTTAATGAAAAATACATTAACAAGAAACCAACTAATGGCAGAGATTTGATGAGATTTAAGGCTTTAGAAAATACTAACTATGCTGTTGAGGTTGGTAAGGCCAATCATTTCTCACTTGTTGGTATTGAGGGCTCTGATATTCTTGATTCTAATAAGTTATTGACTTTGGCTCTTGTTTGGCAATTAATGAGAAGAAACGTTATTCAAACTTTAAGCCAGTTGGCCAAGAATGGGAAGGTGTTGACCGATGCCGATATTTTATCATGGGCAAACGAGACTGTTAAAAAGGGAGGAAAGAAAACTTTTGTCAGATCCCTCAGTGATTCTTCTTTGGCTAATGGTGTATGGTTATTAGATATCTTGAATGGCTTGAAGCCAGGTTACGTTGACTACGATTTAGTTACTCCAGGTAGAACTGAAGAAGAGAGATACGCTAATGCTAGATTGGCCATCTCTATTGCTAGAAAGTTGGGTGCTTTGATCTGGTTGGTTCCAGAAGATATCAACGAAGTCCGTTCTAGACTTATTTTAACCTTTGTTGGCTCATTGATGTCGCTTAACATTTAATAGCCCTGTACGATTTTCTTTGCTCTTTTTTTTTATTATTATTATTTTCTTTGAAACGAATTTCTTATTTCTCGTACAATATTTCCTGTTCTTCTCCTTCTGATTTATCCTTCAATTATTTTGGTGAATTATTATCATTGTCTTATTATATATGAATAAAAAAAACGTCAACATGTCAAAGATTTATCGCGACACGATTACCTCATTAGGTAATGTACTAGCCGCCACTAAAATCACGTGTGGGGATGGTTTTGGCTTGCCACTGATTCTAAATTGTCCACAAAAATATAGCTTACCTTCACCCAATCCCTTGTTAACCACATTAATAAATAGAGAAAAAGGAACATCGACAATCTGTGTTAATGTCGACCGAAAGCAAAATCGAAATTGATCAACCTAAAATTGACGAGGGTCTTTACTCTCGTCAGTTGTACGTGTTGGGTAAAGAAGCGATGCTCAGAATGCAAAAGTCTAGTGTTTTGATCATCGGGTTGAAAGGATTGGGTATTGAAATAGCTAAGAACGTTGCCCTAGCCGGTGTCAAGTCGTTGTCTTTATATGATCCAAGTGAAGTGGAGCTTGGTGACTTGTCTAGTCAGTTTTTCTTGACTGCTGAAGATATTGGCAAGCCAAGAGCATCTGCCTCTAAAGAACCATTATCACAGTTGAATCAATATGTTCCTATTTCCATCATTGATGATTTAGAGGAATCCAAATTAAGAAGCTTTCAAGTGATCATTGTGACCAGTGGATTGCTATCCTTAGAGAAGCAAATTGCTCTTAACAAATTTACACACAAGAATAATATCAAATATATTTCTGCTGATTCCAGAGGTTTATTTGCGCAAGCTTTTGTCGACTTTGGTGACGAGTTCACTATCATTGACAAAAACGGCGAAGAACCTTTGAGTAGTATGGTGACTGACATCGAAACTGATGGTACCGTCACAACCTTGGGTGATGAAAGACATGGCTTGGAAGATGGAAGATATGTCAAGTTTTCAGAAGTTAAAGGTTCAGAAGAAATTGCTTTCTTAAACGAAGGTGAAGCGTATAAGGTCGAGGTTTTGGGCCCATTTGCTTTCAAGATTGACGTAGGTAAAAAATTGAATGGTTACGAATCGGGAGGTGTTTTTACAGAAGTAAAAGTGCCTACTGCTATGAAATTTGAACCATTGGCCACCCAATTGGCTAACCCAGAATACTTGATAACTGATTTTGCTAAGTTCGATAGACCAAGTCAATTACATTTGGGTTTCCAAGCATTATATAAATTCCAAGAAATTCATGATGGGAAATTACCACGTCCATTGAATAAATCTGATGCCAAAGAATTGGTCAAGTACACCAAGGAGTTGGCCACCAAGAATCCAGACGTCTTGGGTGATGCGGAAGTTGATGAAGAATTGATTAGCGAATTGGCATATCAAGCTACTGGTGATATCCCAGGTATCAATGCCTTTTTGGGTGGTATGATTGCTCAGGAAGCTTTGAAGGCTATATCTGGCAAGTTCACCCCAATTAAACAGTTCCTCTACTTTGATTCTTTGGAATCATTGCCAGATGCAGAAGAATATCCAAGAACGGAAGAAACTACGAAAGCCATAAAATCCAGATATGACCCCCAAATTGCTGTGTTTGGGTTGAAGTTCCAACAAAAGATTGCTAATTTGAAGGTATTCCTTGTTGGTGCAGGTGCTATTGGGTGTGAGATGCTTAAAAACTGGGCATTGCAAGGTTTAGGATCCGGTCCAGAAGGTAAAATTATTGTTACTGACAATGATTCTATTGAAAAATCAAACTTGAATAGACAATTCTTATTTAGACCAAAGGACGTGGGGTCTGAAAAGTCAAAAGCCGCCGCTAAAGCTGTTACTGCTATGAATCCAGACTTGGAAGATAAAATTGTTAGCTTGATCGATAAAGTTGGTCCAGAAACTGAACACATTTTCAATGATGATTTTTGGAATGGTTTGGACTTGGTTACAAATGCTTTGGACAACGTTGAAGCAAGAACGTATGTTGACAGAAAGTGTGTGTTTTACAAGAAACCATTGTTGGAAAGTGGTACCTTGGGTACTAAGGGTAACACCCAGGTTGTGGTTCCAAGATTGACAGAAAGTTATTCTTCTTCTCAAGATCCTCCAGAGAAGGGTATTCCATTGTGTACATTGAGATCTTTCCCAAGTAAGATTGATCATACTATTGCATGGGCAAAGAGTTTATTCCAAGATCTCTTTACTGAAGCACCAGAAAATGTTAACATGTATTTGACTCAAGCGAATTTTGTGGAAGCTACTTTGAAGCAGAGTGGTGATATTAGAGGTATCTTAGAATCTATCAGCTCCAATTTAAATGAAAGACCAGTGTCATTTGATGACTGTATTAAATGGGCCAGACTTGAATTTGAAAAGAAATTCAACCACGACATCGAACAGTTATTGTACAATTTCCCAAAAGACTCCTTGACTTCAAGCGGAGAACCTTTCTGGTCTGGTACTAAGAGATGCCCATCTCCTCTCAAGTATGACATCAATAATGAGGAACACTTCAATTTTGTTGTCGCAGGTGCTAACTTGAGAGCCTTTAATTTTGGTCTCAACGGTGATTCAGGTGTTCCAGATAAACAAAAATACGCCAGTGTTATTCTTGCATGCGAAGAGAAAATCGAACCATTCTCTCCCAAATCTGATATGAAGATCGCTGCGAATGATGATGAATTAAAATCTATGACTGAAGCCGGTGGCCATGATGCTGATGAATTGAAGAAATTATCTGACAGTTTGCCATCCCCATCTAGCTTGGCAGGTTTCAGATTGAGCCCAGTAGAATTCGAAAAGGATGATGACACCAATCATCATATTGAATTCATTACTGCTTGTTCCAACTGTAGAGCTTTGAACTACAGCATTAATACCGTTGATAGAACTAGAACTAAGTTTATTGCCGGCAGAATTATCCCAGCTATTGCAACCACCACTGCGTTGGTTACTGGATTGGTGCAATTGGAATTATACAAGATAATTCTTCCAGAAAAGAAATTGGATGATTTCAAGAACGGATTCATTAACTTGGCTTTACCATTCTTTGGTTTCTCTGAACCAATCGCTTCTCCAAAGGGTAAGTACAATGACACAGAATTCGACAAAATTTGGGACAGATTTGATATTGAAAATAAGGACATCACTTTGCAAGAATTGCTTGACCAATTTGAAACCAAAGAGAAGTTGGAAATTTCTATGATTTCATATGACACTTGCTTGTTGTACGCTTCGTTTTTCCCACCAAAGAAGTTGAAGGAAAGAAGCACCATGACTTTGCCAGAAGTTTACAAACTTGTGTCCGGTAAAGAAGTCCCAAGTGATAAGAAGACAATGATCTTAGAGCTTTGTGCCGATGACGAAAGTGGTGAAGATGTGGAAGTTCCGTTTGTTACTATCCATTTGGCATGATAATGGCAGTATTCTTTTGAGATTTGTTTTTTTTTATATTTATTCTTACTTTATGCTGTATAGTTATTTTTCCTAAATTTTTTAATTTTGAAGTGATATAATTGATAAGAATTCTTACTTGAGTAAGAAGGCGTGCGCTACGAATGATTGATTATTTTTTTTTAAGTGAAAAGATCCACTTATCAGTCTGATCGTGGTTGGTTACAACGTGTATATCTATGCTGGCTTGGTATGAGCCTCATTTCATTCCATCATTAATCTTACAAAATGAGCTCTGAACATATTTATAAAAAGTAAAGGTCTAATGATTGGAAACTGGATATTAAAAAAGGATATTAAAAAAGGGAATTTGCTAGGGAAGAATGAACAGGTCATAACAATTGCTGTAAGCATGAAGGAGTCGAAGCAAATGAACACATAAGTATACATAAGAATAACAGCAAGGATATCACAAGAAATATAAATCAAAGAAAAAAAATTTTTTTAAAAAAAAACATTACAAGTATAATAATTGTACCACTTATCGTTATCATATAAATAGGACTAGCGACCAGTCCAGGCCCAAATTCTTTTGATTTCGCCGTAAATTTCCATGATTTCCACACGAACGCTAGGATTCACTTCAATTTGTTGCGTAACTTTTTTCCATTTAACAATTTTGTTTTTATTGTCATTGGACAAGAGTTCATCACGCAAAACAATACTTTCTAAGTATCCTTTGATGGTACCAGTTGGGTCGTTTTTTGACATTAATTGTTGATCTCTCAATTTTTCAACCACAGCATCACAAATCTTAAAAATTTCTTTCTGTTTGGCGTAACGTTGACTGATAATTAAATGAGCCACAGAAATGATAGAGAGGCACCCTATGGAAATCATAATATAGTTCTTATATTTGATGAGGACCAAGTTAATTATTGTCTTGCTGCGACACTGAAAGTTAAGGTTTTCCATTGATGTTGATCGAAGGCCCTTTTTCGTGACTTGGGTTGGGGAACCTTCGTCATCAGAACGCTCGGAACCAGATACTTTCTCAAAGAACTATAACAAAATGTTAATAAAGGAGCAACAAAAAGAAGGAGTAAATTTTTTTCTTCCCATCAGAATTGTCATTGGATGAATTCCAATTTACACATAAATTAAAAGACTTGCCTTACCGTAACGATTTCTGCATGATTTTCAAGATATTCTTCAGCTTTTTGCCAAATTTCATCAAATTCTTCATTAGACACTCCTGGTGATTTGACATTAGACAAGATATCATATAATACTTCAGCGGTCAAGCCAGCTTCATTGTCGCAACCTTGGCCGCAATCAACAGCTGCATTTTTACTTCTCAAGATATCTAAAGAGACGGCAATCATATTTTCAATCCTTCTCTGTTTTCTCAAGTCAGGAATACATCTTTTACCTGTCAAATAGTAAGTGATTGGCTTGATTTCCAAAAAATCATCATGACAACTTAAGTCAAAATATGGATAACAAGTTGCATTATCAGGGCAAGGAACACATTGTGGTTTCAAATATTGCAACAAAAACTCATCAACAAGATCAATGTATGGATTTTCATTAGGATTTGGAATTGTTTTGCGGTCGATGGAGTATCCACAGTATCCAACTAATACTTTTTGGTCAGCATACCAATACCCTAATCCTGAAAAAGTAGTCATCAAAAGGAAAATAGTAAAGTACTTAAAATAACTGAAAAAAGCATATTTAGCTGAGCTCGAAGAAAGATTCTCTATGGTTTTATCTGTTTCTTCTGTTGCTGCAATAAGTTCTTCATCGTCATCTATTAAATCATTCTGTACTTTATCAAATACAGACCCTGGTCCCTTCAAATTTTCATCTTCAGAAGATTCATCTTTTTCATTTTCATTTTCATTTTCATTTCCATTTCCATTTTGACTTTCTTTTTCAGCAGTAGTACCTGAAAACTCCTCGGTGATATCACGAATTTCATCTTCATCTTCATCGTCTTCATCATCATTGATATTTGACGCTTCCTCCGCATCGGATTGTAATTCTTCTTCATCATCACTCACTTCTATAGGCATAGGATAGGATGATTCTGATTCTAAGGGCACTTTATCAGCAGGATCCTCTACCGATTCTTCCTCATTCTTCTTAAATGATTTTGAGGAAATCGTGTTGGAAGTCGGTTTGAACACAATATCTGTTGTAGCAGGATTGAAGATACTATTCTTGATCACATTGATGCCCAATTCTTTGGCCATTAAGTCTGCATCAAATGGTTCATTCATAGATTCCTTTTCATCAATTGATTTGGCAATCATAGGAGAAGCCGTTTCATCTTTTGATTTAGAAGGTTTAGGGGTTGATCTAACCTTTGAAGGAGTCTTTGATGGAGTTTTGGAGATCAACAGTTTCTTAGGAGTACTATTTTTCAATGGAGATGCTTTACTTCTTAAATCTGCAACAGTCTTGGTAGTAGAAGACTTTCCAATCTTAAACTTATTAGTTTGGTCTGAGTCATTAATCAACTTCTTCCTATTTGAGCCGAGAATCTCTTTTAGATTATGCTTGAGTTCTCTTTGGGGAGATTTTAATATTTGAGTACTATCCTTCAAGCTCTTTGTTAACAATGTCTCAAACTCCTCGCTATTATCAACCTCAGAACCACTAAAATCAAACAAATCCTTGGCTTTCTTTTTTTCCGGCTCTTCCTTTTCATCAGAAATATCGTTTGTCATTCGTCTCTTATTGCCTTTTCTGCCCGCTTGGAAACTATTATTGTTATTGAACGAAACTTCTTCCTTTTCTTCATCATCACTTTCTTCAACAAATAATGACTCGGAATTCTTGGAATCTGACTTCTTCAGCTTTGTCTTAGATCTAGTTTTCTTAGCTTTACCCCCTGAAGTGTCCATCTCTTCAACTTCCCCAATTTCTTCGATTTCTTCAGCCTCCCCCGAAATTTCACTAGAGCTATCCACCAGCTTTTCTGCAATATCATTATTCTTCTTTGGAGCTCCGGCTCCGGCGTGTCTCCCAGAACTTCTTGTATTCTTTTTGGCTGTATCTATATGCTCTACTTCCACTACGGCATCTTCGCTGTCCGATCCTGAGCTTGAAGAGTCATCCGAGCTTGAAGAGAATACTTCGGTCACGTCAGGATTTTTCTTATGTTGTTTTGATTCTGAGATAGAAGATTTCTTGCCTGATTTTTTATCGCTCTCAGCGTTGGTTTTGTGATGAGCATCCTCAATAGGCCCGGCTTTCTCAAGCGTAGATTGATATTCTCGCAACAATTCCTTAGAGCGGGATCCGATCTTCTCATTAAAAAGTTTCACCAACTGAGCTTTCTTGTAGTTTGATGGGAAAGCAACATTGTGGAAAACCAAAATCTTTTTGATTTGGGGTATTTTTAAAGTGTTCGCTTTGAAACCTTTACATCCGCGTTAGTAAAGAGAACAAAATTCAGAAAAAAAGTGCGCGCATGATTTTCCAAAATAAACATACCAGGTTCAAGATAGCTTAAATCACCATCCATTTTTGATTTCAAGTTGTTGATTTGGCGAACGTGTTTATTTCCTAAATGTTGGGACACGCCTTTAAAAAACAACAAAAACAAAAAAAAATATTTTGCAAAAAAGTAAACAAACAAAAAAGAATCACTTTTTGGTTTCAATTACCCGGGCATATTATTGACACAGAGTGCGGGTAATGGAACCATCAGGTTTGTCTAATAATAACCAGTGGTTCAGTGATCTAACGGTCCAATATATTTTAACTATAAAGGGTGTCTAAGTAGATGATCCACTAACAAAGTAAAGCGTGAATATATAGAAGTGACAATTTTAAAAGCAACAAAAGAAAAGAAAAAAAAAACAAATGAAACCTTTTTTGTTGTTCACAGTAAGAACAAATAAACAAAAGCATATTAAACAATAGTAATAGCTAGAGTCCTTCACAGAAAAATTGACGTATGGCTTGGTAATAATATTAAACAGATTCAGGAATTATAATTTCTGATGGTAGAATAAAAAAAGATGGGAAATAGGAGGCAGAATTAAACAAATCATAACAAAACAAAAATACAGAGACAGAGGAGACACAAGAATAAGGGACCAACCACTTTTATCATCAACATCATTAGATACCAAAATCACCACTAACAAATGCACTTCTCAAGGCTTTTTTGTCTGCAGGTTTTGAAGTTGGTCCGTGCAACTTATTGAACCCACTTGTTGCAGGGGTCGGCATGTTTGCAATAGCAGCGTCACTGGTATTGACCTGCTTTTGTTGGTTGGTAGAAGCCGGTGGGGGATTATTGGCTGCAGTAGGACCGTATCTGGTATACTGGGCCGGAGGAGGATGGTGATAACCTGGTCCTGGTGGCGGATTATGTCTATACCCAGGAGGAGGACCTCTGTATGCACCAGGAGGAGGAGGAGGAGGACCTCTATAGGCACCAGGAGGAGGAGGACCTTGTCTTGTTGGAGAATATCTTCCTACTGGATGAGGGGCCGGTGAAGCGTAACCTTGCGGAGGCGCCGAAGCTGGTGGATGTTGATAGTATCCCTGATCATAGTAATAGTAATCTCCCTGGTTATAATCGTAATAGTATTCTTGCTGTTGTTGTGGAGGAGGAGGTCCTCTTGGTGCTGGCTGCCTATATTGTTGTCCTGCTGGCTGCTGCTGCGGGTGTTGCTGTTGAGGAGGAGGGAGAGGAGCCTGTTGACCCGATGGCGGAGGTTTTCTCCTGACTGGATGAGGTTGATGATAGTATCCTTGACTATAATCCTCGTTTTCTTCTATTGATCTTGTTGGTGAATCATTACTCGGCGGAGGTCGCGATGCCCTTTTTGGAGAATTCTTGGTTGGGACTTCTGGGGGTCTACTTGGTGAATCGGCCTTGATAGTCCTCAGGCTCGTAGAAGCGCCATGCGAGTTCCGAGCGTCAGGATTATATAATTCAATATTTGTGCTAGGTTGAATTGAATCGCTGTAAAGTGAGTCAGGAACTGCAGAAGATGCTTGACTGGCATATAACACATCTGCCTGTCCATGCATTTCATCCTCATCTTCTTCATCATCAATTTCACATTCTTGAATGATTAGCCATTTTACTTGATTTTTCTGGAATTCAAATTCAGCAACTAAAGATTTACCAAATAATTTCCTAACTTGATCAGATGATTCAGAAGATATACTCGACATCCAGGTCCATATATAGTAATCATCAATGGCGATTCTAGACACTGAAGCTTTATGAACGTTAAACTCTCCTAAATCTTCGGAATTCTGATTTTGAAACCAGCCATTCTTCAACATAAAATATTTCTTGTCGGTACATAATTTATCAACTATTTTTCTTGATTCAGGGGTCAATTTTTCAATGATGGTTTCATCCGGATCTTGTAATAGGTACTTCAATACTAAATAGTCTTCTTTTGCTTCGAAATAGTCGGGTTTGTCAAATGACAATGTCTTAGAAGTTCTTGCAAGTAATTCCACAGGGTCCAGGGATAATTTTTTACTATAAATTGTGATTAATGGCATCGATGTCAAATGCGATGATGCCAAGCTGTTTTCTGGGGGATAGGGATTACTGGCCAATAATGTTTGTAAGGATCTTTGAATTTTGACTTTTGCATTGGAATCAGAGGGCAACATTGACCTTAAAAAGGCCAATAGCAAATGGAACATCGCCTCCGACGCTGGTAACCATGCCTCTAAACCATCGATAAATGAATTGCTCAGCCCATCATAATCGAAACCCAAAGAGAAATTAGTTGATTCTTTCAAGGACTTTGGAACCATTCCCGAGAATGCCCAAATACCAGCCAACTTAGAGATTTTTCTCCCACTTAAATGGTTTTCTTTGGTATAAGCGGCAACTCTCACCAAGAGGTCCAAGAAATCGTAAACTATCGATGCATGATCTGCTGAAGGTAAACATGTGGGCATGATTTCCAAAAACGCATTCTTTGGGTAGTTTTTCTTTTGTTCCAAAGTCTTGAACTTCTCATAAGAAGACCAGCCAATGACACACGAATCTGGTAAACGGCACCACAAAAACTTGAGAGCTGACATCAAAGTGAAGCAATCTGTTCTTTTAATGATCTTCTTCACTAACTCCGGATTATTCAAGTTTTGTAGCACTTTTTGTAAAAAGAAGGACAATTTTTTGTCATCATTTTGGACTCTAAATGGTAAGAAAATGTAGGGAATCTTGGCCCCATTGGCTTTCAATTCAGAAGTTAACATATGGATTAAATCTTTAATATCTCCCCGATCAAACACTGTTATCATGTCGAGTTCGATCTCATTGACAAAAGTCTTTTCTTTGAGTTGATCCATTTTTGAGAAATCACCATTCAATAAACTATAATGTAATGTACGGGGCTGTACTCTATTGACCTCAATTCACCTTATGATTAATTAATGAACGCAACCCACCGATCGCTTCTTCTTTGTTGCCTTTCAAGTTCAGCTTATTTTTGTTTTGTTTGTTTACTGTTTATTGTTTTTTTGATTCTTTCCTTTTGACACTTTTTTACCAATCTCAACTAAGGTTGTTTTGTACACACAAAAGAGACACTACCTTGAGGCGAGGAACACACGCAACCAAAAAAAAAGGAAAACAGTATTAAAAGAGCACAAGCACTGTCCAGAGAATTTCAGCTCTAAGAAAACGCAATATCCACTGATGCAATTGGGCTCGGTTTGGGGTATATTTTTATGGAGAACACACAGGTCCTTTTTGATTTTCCTTTTTTTTTTTTCTTTGCTGTTTTTGCCCTTTTTTTCTTGTTTGCATTTTTCTACATCGGGTATTCCGCACCGGACTCTGACGGGAGAAACGAAAAGCCGTTGTACCGTTCCGGAGATGACGGTGACTTGTATGAAACTCTATTAAACTTCAAAAAACTAGAAATAACTTTATAAAAAATAGCATAGGTGTAAAGCTCTAATAATAATTACTAGAATGCCCACGCACCACCATGCTTTCGCCACCAGTCACTAACTGCATGCCACTCTTCAGAGTCGTGGTCTCTACTGACACCGTTCATCACAGATTTTGACTCAGTCACCTCAATCTTATGGCCTTTGGCCCGCATTTGATCCTTGAAACCGCTCCCTGTATAATTTTCCATATAAAGCATCTCTGGCAAAAGTTGATGGTGAAGACGTGGGTATGCTATAGTCTCTAATAACGGCATCTGGTACATGTACTTTCTGACAATGGCCTGGAATACCGAAGTAAGAATTCTACTTCCCCCAGCAGCCCCGATAACCATGTCTGGACTACCGTATGTCGTACCAACATTTTCATGGAGATCATCGCTAGTTTTAAGCACGATCACAGGGACCATTGAAGACAATGGTCTTTTGAAGGGTTGGATAAAGTTGTAGATTGATGGGGCTAAATCAAACGCATTTGAACCCTCAGTGGAAAAGTCATCCATTTGATCATTGAGGATAATCCCAGTGTTTGGATCAACTACCATTGAGCCAAACAATAAGTTAACCGATGTGGTCATCGATACCGAGTTGTTGTATTGGTCGATAATGGAAAAATGAGAAGTACCATTATCTTGGACTGGTTGAAACTCAGGATTATAATCCTTCCAGGAGCTCAAAGTATGATGATCTGAAATATTTCGATAAACTGATTCCGACCAAGCGTCACTTAAAAGATGATTAATTCTGGATTGCTGCTCTAGAATTTCATCACACCCTTCACCATCAACTGCGACAGCATCCCCCAACCTAGTTCTAGCCGATCCCATCCATTTCATTGCTTCTACGAGTCTTTGAGTTTGGTATTCAGTCAAATCTCCACCAATAGCAAAATCGTTTCGTAGGCCCGCGTCGTGATAAAATCTGTTCATCACATTAAGAGAACTAAGCAAAGCAATTCCCGAACTACAGCCTGTATGTGGGGCCAAAACTTGATAATTGCCCATGAAACTAGACTTGACTGGAATCCCAGTTTTCAATTCATATTCGGCAAAATCAGCTTCAGTAATTATGCCATTATTCATTTGAATGGCATTTACTAAAGATTTAACTATGGGACCTTCAGGATCATAGAAAATAGCATCACTTCCATTATTTGCAATGGTCCTTAGAGTTTCCGAAAAATTAGGTCTCTTTATCAAATCTCCTTCTTTAATGAGTCTGACCTTCTTGTAACAATGCTTGGAACCAGAAGCTTCACATTTCAAAACTTCATTGTAATTCCTCACATACGGAGACCAGTCTCTATAACGTTTCTTAAACACATTGGGAGCTAAATGAACCATTTGCGATAACAAAGTTGTAGCGTTGAAACCATTTTCAGCCAACTGAATTACCGGCTCGAGTAAATCTTTCCATTCGACGTTACCAGAGCCATGTGATTTGTATAAATGGTATAATCCTTTTAATTCTCCCGGAACAGCAATTGACAATCCTCCAATTTTGGAAGGCACCTGCTTTGATAACATCTCGAAGTCATCATTGTATTTTGGAGCTCCACCTTCACTGCCATCGTACATGTTTTTATAACTTAGGCGCGGCGCTTGTTCTCTGGCATCAATACTTAATAAGTCGTTTGAGCCATCAGTGGAATTGTAGCGCGATGATAGAATGAAACCTCCACCACCAATACCCGAACTGAATGAGTTGATAAGACCAATGCAAAGTGCAACAGTGACCGCGGCGTCCGCAGCATTACCATTATGCATTTGGAGGATTTGGCCACCAAGGAACGAACATTCTTCTAGATCACTGGCAACGGCACCGTTTTTACCAATTTTGAGATATTTTTCGTCGGGATTTAGCGAGGGATTCTTGGCTGGGGGACCCATATTCAATCCTTGAGGCCATAAGGGTACATCATCATCTGAGTTATTGATAAGGCTCTCCCCACCGCCGATGCTAGTGAATATAAAAGCTGATATGATAATTGCTAGAGAAATGTTGAGAAGAAACTTTTTGGTCTTCATTGACCAGCCCCTAAGAGGTACCGTCTTTTCTATCCCCTTGCCATCCATTCTTGTTGGTTATCTTCCTGCCGTTTTTTACTCATAAGAAATGAAATCAATCAAAAAATATTGACGGCCGATATTCCTATCTAGCATCACGTGTACTGTTATCAAAACTCTTTTGATCTCACAACCGGTTTCCTCTTTTCTTAGATCTTAGGTATTGTCTTAATGGTATTATACGATTTTTCCTAAATTATGACTTCTGTTAATGTTATCCCCACTCGGTTGTTGAGGTTGGAATGAAAAGTTCTCATTACTCCTCTCCACATAATCAAATGGTGCGAGAACTGTTATAATAATATGTCTATTCTATTATACCCATATACTATATGGGAGAGTTAATTGAGCGCATCGATTCCAATTTTAGCATCGCAGTTTATTGGATTATCGGATACTTCCAAAAAGTCTGTCTTAGTAAGACCCAACCGATTTGAGATACCCGAAATCATCAACATGGTTAATGGATGGAGTTCCATTGCCATCAGGAATTGAGAAGTAAAAATATCTCTTAACACAATACTTGTGACTTTAAATATTCATATTTAACATTGTTAGATGTCTTCTGACAATGTTGCGTCAAAATACATATTTAAAGGTAATACTATCTACAACGCCATTTTTTGGTGGATCATTTCAACATGGAATATTTATTGAACATCTTTATACGTTTGGTATTGTTTTTCTTTATAATTTCTGATGTTTTTGTGTTTCGTTATTTCATGAAATCGTCTCTTGAATATGGTCAAATAGGAAACTCATTAAAGTATGATGAGATCACACAATAGCTTGTTCGCGAGCATGCTCTTCTTCCAAAACTTTTTGAACGTGCTGCTTACCATAACCATTGGTGGCTTGATTAATGTAAGAGACAGTGATTCCAGAAACCACAAATGTCACACTGACAAGAATATAATTGATTGGACCTGGATTCATTTTGAACACAGTGTGAGTCAACTTATCAAAATAGGATTGGCCAAAGTTGACAATCCCAGAAATTGACATAATCGTACCGTAAATGATTCCAAAAGTTTCGAAACCAAACACTTTACCAGCAACGTCAGAAATAGTGGTGTAGAAGAATGGTCTATAAGCCACAAATAATAAAACGTTCAAAACACCAATATAAAACACTTTTGGAATGAAACCCAAGACCCCCAAAAACACTGACAAAAAGGATAACGCACTGACAACAAAAAGAGTGGAGTGCGTATCCAAAATATAACCAACAAATGGAATAGAGACCAAACCACCAAGAGGCAATGCAATATCAAAGATCTTGTTCAATTTAGTAGCCTCTTCGTGAGATCCAAATAAGTAAGTGTACTGGGAGTTAACAGTAGAAATGAAGTAATTCAATCTGAGCATTTGAACAGTGGTGAAAATAGCAATAATCCAGAACCAGTTACTTGAAAATTGTTGTTTAAGGGATTGACCGTGTAAGATACCAAATATACCACCACTGGTGACAGTTTCTTCTTCAACTTCCTCTCTGGTAATTGGAACACGGGTGATGCTGGACAAAGAGGATCTTCTTCTGTTAGCAGGCTTATTTGGTAACAAAGCACTGTTTTCATTGATTTCGTGTTGAATGGCCTCAACAGCATTTGGTGCCTCTTCCGAAACGGCAGCAGTTCCAGAGACATCTGCCTGGTAAGACTCCTTTGGCATCAAGAAAATCTGCACTAAGAAGATAAATAATGGGATGGCAATGTAAAGCTTGAAAAATGAGGCAATGGAGAAGTTATATGATTCACTAGAGAGATATGAGTTCAAAAATGAGTAGATCAAAAACACAGAAGACGACGCATCAAATGCCCCAGTAAGCAACGCCAAGATAAGCCCAGAATTTTTTGGGAAAGCATTTGATAAATGGAAAGAAGAAATAAATGTGAAAGGACCCCCAAGGGCAACAAAGGCAAACCCAGTCAAAAATGGATCGAATGAAATAATTGACCTAGAGTTAACAATGATAATAGTACCAATGAAGATAAAGATGGAGCCAACCAAACCACAAAGCTTTGGGCCGTAATTATCCAACAAGTACCCGATTGGCAAAGCACAAATATTAGTAACCACGGCACAAACAGTGAAGATGAAGTTCAACTTCAAATCTTGTTCCGGACATTTTGGAGCAATGACAGATTTGGTATCGAAAGTGACCTTTTCCATAAAGGCACTGAATATGAGAGAAGTTGCCGATGAGTTACCAGAATCATCGAAACAGAGTCCTTCGTAAACATTTTCTTTGATAAGGAATGGTTTTAAGGCAGCAAACCCGAACATAGGGCCTGCAGCAAACAAGCACCAGAAGATGGCACTGAAGACCTGAAAGGCTCTTTTGGTAGAGCCTTCTTGGAAATGAAACATGTCAAGCGAAAAATAACGATGCGACCGATAACGTCAGGAGATGATGAAATGGCACAGTTTCCAAGAGTCAAAGGGGATGTAAAGCAGTGGTATATAAAAAATGAGAGCTTGCAAATGATTGACGTAGCTCTCAATATTTGGGTTATGGTTAGGGGTATTAATAGTCAAGTAAAACGAATTCGATCCACGCTTTTTTATCTTTTTTTTTCTCCCTTTTTTTCTTTTTTCTTTTTCTCCTGATAACACTTCCGGCGGGCAGTTTCTTTTTCTTATCATTTTGTTCCCAGCTGCTGGACAACCACCAATTTTCCCTGATTATTTGCAGTAAATTGATAAATATTGGTATCATTTACTACTAATATAGGCAAGCAATTCTTTCGTCTTTGATTGTAATTTTTTCTGTGAAAAGCTGTTAGATGGTGGGAATTTGACACATTTTAAGTTTCTTATCTGCAGCAATCTACAATAGAAGGCCAAAACATCGAAATATATATTCAACCTACCACCACAGAGAACAATAAAGAATGTATAATATAATGAAGTCAGGATACTCTTCCTCTGCAAACTTGATCAATCTCAAGAAACCTAGAGCAATCATCAAACAGTAAGTTTCTGACCTTGTCGTATATTAGCTGTTCATATTTGACAAAATTAATACCCGTATTCAAGGCAATGAGAGAGTGCAACTGAAAATCAACAGGACTCACAGCAATGACACTGTCCATATTTTTCCTTCTCAAACGCGCTCTAACAAGACGCTTCAACTAGGGTGACAAGTATAAAAAAAGAGCATTGCCCCAAAGACTCACGTCAACATCACAAATCATAAACATCCGGACAAAGTCTTTTAATTTTTCAGTTATCTCAAGACAGCAACCCGCTTTATTAATTTTTAAAGACTCGAATGATGGAGGAAGGCTCCGTAACCCAGCTAAAGGTAGGAATCCTTCTACTTATCTTAATCTTTCCAGGATCAAGTAACTCTGGAGGGTAGCCTTTTAAAACCTCCAACACCATCTTATCTTCACCGTCATATTCGGCAGTACCTTCTGGCGAGAACGTATGGTTTGGCAGAATTTACTGAGTTGAAATTTCGAGTTGAAAATAGCTGGAAAATTATGACATTCCTCACATACATATAGCTAGATTAATTCTATTATTGTTGCTCTAGCAACTATCGTTTTAGCATAGGAATTTTAAAAGCTCTCTACATTGAACAGATTGTGTTTTCTTCTTGTCTTTTCTTTGCTTAATACAGAAACAAGTGAAAAAAATAAATTTCATCTGGAAGCTCTTCTGCCATCATAATCATTGTCAGCAAACTTTTACTCAATGAGCTAGCTACCAAGATTAGCAGAAAAATTAGATACTTGAAAATTTATTCCTTGAATACAATCATAAATAAGAAATTTTCAGTCAACGCCACGAGAGAATGTAGCCAAGAATGAGATGGATGCGCTTAAGGCAGCAACGTCTTTCTTCTTCTTTCATCTTAAACGTATCATATCCTAACACGATATTTCAATTCTGGAGACAAGCACAAGAAAAGAACTTCACTCCAGGCAGAAAACCAAAGACCATGTATTAGAAATACCAAGACAATATCTTGTAATTTTTTAACAATTTCAGTACCGTCACTACGGCCGTCAATTTTCAAAGACTCATCATACATGGGGGATCCCGGCAATTCTTCCATTTGAACTGAATGGTGAAAATAGAGCAGGCGTTACGCATGTAGTTGTTGAAGTTACAAAATGAAAAATATTTAGACAGTGAGTATGAATCAACATTGTCATTAGGGGCCTCTCTTTCCTTTTGTTCAAACTACACTAGCATATAGCATATTATGATATGACTTCCGACAAAATTTGGAATATAAATTTTTCATGTGTTGTTCGTGTTATATAAGAAAAATGTAATCTGTTAGAAAAAAAAATAAAAGTAACGACAATCAACATCAGAAAATAGAAAAAATAGAAACTTTATAGATAAAGGAAGGAAAAAAAAACAAGTACGTAAAAAAACATACACAAGAAACAGTAGCGTAAAAAACAGGTAAAATGATCATATAAAATAACATAACAAGAGTCCAGTGAAGTCAACTAAAAAGAACAACATCTTGTTTTTTCAAAAAAACAGTTAAAAAAAGGAACAGAAAGTAATGAATGGCGGGCCGCGAGAACATTTGAAGACGGCTCATATATGAAAAAAGAGGATAGAAGATATCATTTCTCTTTTGCTCTTTCAACCAGAGATACTTCAGCAGTTGGAGATTTTGCAGCAGACCTTTTCTAATCCCAGTTGATTCTTTTATAAATATTTTTTTTTCTTTTTTATTTTTTATTCTTTATTTTTCTTGTTTCATTCATTCGTTCATAATTTGGCTTGGTTTGTACGTCATAAATCAATTAGGTAAGTATCGTTATAATCGTCAGATCATCATCATAATCATTATCGTAATCATCATCATTATTATTATTATTATTATTATTATTTCAATTTAGTGTTAAGTAAAAAAATAAAACCACAAAATATGCAGACGGAGAACACCTCACCCATACCATTTTTATTCTCTCTCTTGAAATTATATGGAGAATAAATATGCTTAATAATTTTTTTTTTTTTTTTTATAATAAAAAGCACTCTAATCCAATTTTTGGATTGAACCTGTTGCAAGACCTCATATCAATGTAGATCTCCCACTACCCCAAATATCTCTCCTATTGTTGGAGTTGCTACTTAAATTCAAACCATTCAACCCATCATTCAAACTGCTTATCAAGTTCTTCCCAACAGTAGAACTTCCATTAACACTAACATTATTGTTAATGTTTGGACTATTTGAAGCAATTGAGGTGGTTGATGATTTCAATCCTCCGGCACTTGTCCCTAATGATGAGCTTGGAATAGTTGTCGCAGTAGGGGTATTGCCTGTGGAGCCAACGCCGCTGTTACTTCCAATACCAATTGGACTAGCCAAGTTATTCAAATTACCACCTAAATCATCGAAATTGTTAAATCCCGGGCTCAAGGTAGTGGTGAAAGTGTCACCACCAGTCAAATTTTGGGTCAAATTGAGCATCGAGTTATTATTACTCAAAAAGTTTGGGTTGGAGTTATTGAAATGGCTGTAAATACTGTGACTAGGTGGGTTAAATCCACTGGTAGATTCGTTTGCAGATGCACCTCCAGCAACAGTTTGCCCAGAGTTGGAAGAGTTATTAGCAAAATAACTGGACCCGGAATTACCACCAGAATTACCCAAATTTAATAAGCTCTGAGCCTGTGAGGTTTGGTTAACACCTGGCTGGTTTTGATTCAAGAAAGTAGCGGAATTGTTGCTATGGACATAAGGTGATTTGTTAGCATTTGAGCCAGAGTTTGTAAATTCAGAACTTGCTCCGCCAATCCCCGGGGTAGGAGGCTGTGACATGTTGAGATAAGTTGGTGAATTAAGTGATGGTTGATTTCCATTGGAATTCCCATTGTTGTTATTGTTGTGGCCGTAAAGACTTGGTAAAGCAAAAGGCGTGTTTCTAACATCTGCATAAGATCTCGTACCTCTCAACATAGCAGCAGGATTATTATTAGAGCCACTAGTGATTGGGCTATTAAGAGTTTGGCTACCAGTTGAGTTGGCCCCGAGAGTGATATTAGGACTATTGCCGCCAATGTTATTAGGGCTAGTGTTGTTCAACAATCCAAAGCTTTGACCACCAGGGGCTCGTGGCTGAGGTTGATGAGTGGCAGAAGTTGTTGGCTGTCCTCTGAATCTTTGATTAACATTCAAAAGACCCAAGTTACTATGAGAGACATTCAAGTTAGAATGCATGAACGGACCACCATTAGCCCCAATTACCGGCTGGGAATTGGCTATTGGGCTATTTGTCATATTTGGAGAAGTAATCGCTGGATTGAACTTTCTCTTGATAATGATAAAGCCATTCTCATAAGACTCGGACAAGTTGAGGAAATTGCAAAGAATATTCAAATATTTCTTGTGATTGTTTGGCATCCCTAATGGATAAGCGACATCCTCATATTTTCTATAAACGTCCAGTTTGAACAACAATAAAGTAGAATAAATGTCCAAAACTTCAGGGTTATTAAAATCCACAACTTGAGGCGGCACAGGTAAACCAGCAATGTTTGGAGGTCCAGCGAAATATCTCTTTTCAAATTCAACACCATTGCAACCAACACCAACACCATTAAGACCTTGGTTAGCTGGCAATTTACCATTAGAGATCAAAGACGCCAACGAGGTAGTTGAAGCCGATCTATGTTGTTCTTCCAACTGTCCTCTTTTTTCTCTCTTCTCGCGTTCGATCCTTTCCCTTTCAATGAGCGGTAACATTTTCTTATATTCGACTCTTAATTTCCTACCCCCAATCTCCTTACTGTTGAGGTTATTGACAACCATAGCAGTTTCCTCAGTCGAGGTAAAGTTAGCGAATGCTAATCCTCTGAAAACACCATTATCAAAATGGTAGTTGAAAGCATATGGCAAAGGCAAGCTTAACTTGGTCATCTCTTCCAAAAGTTGTTCCTTCTTAATGGAGAAAGGAATATTTTTGATGACAATAGCGGTTGGAATGACTTCTTCTTCAAGATCTTCTTTCTTTCCAATACCAGTAAGACTGGTGACTGAGGGATGGTTAGATGAGGCAATTGCTGACATGGTGGCACCAGGAATTCCCACACCATTTTTGTCATCATTTGCCGGTGTACCAGATCTCGAAGGGACATTCACATTTTTGGCTTGTTGATCAATCCAATTGTTCACATTCAAAGGATTGATACCTACTGGCAACGATGGAGACAACACGTTGCCCTTAAAGCCAGAGTTTTGGTTTTGAAACATCCGTTGAGCATTCTGATTAATACCTTGACCGCGAGTGACGACAGAAGATGATGGGTTATTAACATTCCCAGGAAAGACAGACGAGGAAGTAGGAGTATTCGCCATATTATACTGGCTAGTTGAATATGCCGAATAAGATGAAGTGGAGGTGGTGGACATCGCTGGTGAACGAGGTGGCATCATGCGTCCAGTATTGCCATTATTGATACCGTTAAAGGCATTGCCCCTAGGAGTCACCGCATTGTTGGCCTCTTCCAAGTTAAGTGGGGTGGGTGTAAACAGCCGCAAATCCATTTTGAAATTCGTATAGAGTATCTGTGGTTGTAAAACTCTAGTTGTATGTGTATATAACGAGTATGTGAATAGTTGGCAAAAGGGTACGATTCAAAGATCGTGGTCGTCACTTCTTATTGATTTTCTCGCAATTCGACTAATGGATGCCCGAAAAAAATCAGTCAAGTGGAAAACGACAGCGAGCAGAGACGAGTGAGAAAGTTACTCCGCAAGTGACGGCGTTGTACTAGTTTTCAATATGTGAGTACCGACGGCGATAGTAACTGATCAATCAGGCAATTTGCAAATTTAACAACAACAGGCAGAAAAAAAAAAAAAAAGAAGAAAACGACGGTTAGCGGCCCGTAACAATACTCACGTGAGAGACATTTTTAGTTTCCAATATGATGAGGCTTGGTGATTTTTTTGTGTATATTTATATAAAATATTTGTTATTTTCCTAGAAGAGTATTGTTTATTGGTGATAGTATCTTATATATAACGGAGTGATTTACAAATTTCAATAATAATCGCGAGAATTTCCTCGTCCTTAACAAAACGAAGCGTGCTATCGATACCTGATTTGAGAGATTTTCCCGAAAAGTTGTAATTCTTGATGATTTCAAGCTTTTTAGGATCTGATTTCACCGCCTCAACAATGTTCAAAATCAAGTAGACGAGTCTAATCAATAACTCATTCACGCTGGATTCGTCCTCAGATTCGTAGTACTCTTGCAAATTGTTTAAAATCCCCACAAGTTTCTCAAATAGCTCTTTAATATTATACAATAACTCTGCAACCATCTCATACTCGGAAGCATTGACAATAATTGTCAAAGCAGTGATCTGAATTTTGATATTGCTAGAGTTCACCAACTTCACAAGGATCTCAAATCTTTTCTTCGAATCAGAATTCTCGAGGTTAAAAAACTTTGCGGTGCAAATTGGACAGAAAATCAAATTGGAAATTAATTCCAAGCAGCCTTGCTGAATATTTTCATTTACATCCAATATGAAAATCTCAAGATACTCCCAAGACTTGTTACATATAGCTTCTTTCACCTTCATATCTTCCAACGATGCAATGTTTGTCAATGAGAGCAAAGCTTCAAAAATATCCAAAGGCTTAACTAACTTGCTAATAAAACCATGAAGCAACTTTACCTCTTGGGAGCCATTATCAACATAATTAGTTCCATCATCAAGGAGCTCACACAAGAAAGGAATAGTCACCAACACACTATACTTGTGGAACACCAAGTTTGGATTATTGGAAATCAAGATTTTGGTGAGTGCACGCAAAGCAAATAACCGCATATAATTATCGTATCGTGCATCTTTCCCCAGTTCCTTATTATTTGACTGCTTCACTGATTTTATAAAATTCTCTTCATCACCAATGAGATATTCGATTACCAAATTAAGGGCCCCTTGTTTGACAAGCTCCACCCTAAATTTTTTTTGAAGCGACATATTGTAAATAATTTTAATCAACTGATCTTGAATATTTGTTGTCATCGATTTGAATATCTTAGTAAAACATGAGATAAAATCTAATTTTTTGGTCTGCATTATCTTTTGTAAAAATATCATAATATCTTCATCATCATCTTTTTCTTGTACTCCAAGCTTCTTATTTTTAATTCGCTCATCATTGTTAATGATGGTATTTGCATTGGAATAGTTTTTCAAGTATTCAATTGATTGTTCTTCTTTTGATAATTTGGAGTTGAAAGTAGAAATATTAGAGACTAAGATAGTTATACCATAAACAAATTCGCTGCTTAATGGAGTGGATTCATCCACTAGCGAAGTGTCGTCAATGGACATTCTATCAATATTTTTCAAAACCTCCACCTGCTCTGTCAAGATTCTGGCAAATTTTTCAATTAATAGTAAATTATGTCTTAATTTTTTCTTAAATTTTACTTTCAAACTGATAAAGGCCAATCCTTCAATCGAATACTTTTCGACATATTTATTTCTGTTATCTCTTAATAGACTTTCCACAAAAATACCATAAAACTCACCCAAATCAAGATCATTAGGAATTTTCGCCTCATTTTCTGTCAATTCTCGTATTTTATTTTGAGTTTGAGGATTATTTGATGCATCATTGATCTTCAACTGTTGATACGAGTTCCAACATTTAATAACCAATAAACTGGCCAAGGAGACAATTAACCCCCCGCTGAAATCTTTAGCAATCGGAATACGACAAAGTTCCAAAATCAAATACAAATGATTCTTTATAATCAACACAATACACCCTTCATCAATTGAAATATACTCAAATATCACCATGATATTGATAATCAATTCGACCTGCGCCTTCTGTAGTATTGATGCTAGGGTGAAACTTTTGAGAAGTTTTCTAATTATGTGATTGAGAAAATTTAGAAACATATCAGATTGGAAAATCATAATTGAGAAGTCTTTTGGGAAAACTTGAACAATAAGTTGATAATTCTTCAAGAATCCCAACAATTTTTTCCAGTCTCCTTGAACATCTTCTGCTACATTGGAGCCAGTTCCTTGTAATATAATATATGTTTCAATTTCGTCATAAATGATGTCATTGATTGGTGCTTGGGAGTCCTTGGCAGTTACCGCAACATTGAGGGATGAGAATCTGACAAAAATCATTCTGTAAATCTTATTGAACTCTTTCAGCACCTGAGCACTTTTTCCACCATTTAATGTTTTGTCATATGTACCCGATAAATCATCATTTAAAAGATGACCAAAAGACATGATTAGTGGGATTATTGATTCGTAGTCGTTAATGGTCAAATAAGAAATATACTTGTTGAATAGCAAATACCAGAGGACGAAATCAAAATATATGCCCTCAAGATCATCATTATTTGTGTCTTGGACAAGAAGTTTCTTGGATTGAAATTTCAATAATTCTATGGATTTATCCTTTAATTCCTGACAGAGTTTCTGTTTTTCGCTGCTCTCTATCTTCAAAGAGTCTAGTAACTTCATTATCAAACTCACAATCATCAAATCCTTAGAATGATCTACTTTCCCTTCTTCATAGTACACCTTTTTGACCACATTAAAGCCTTTGGATATTATATTATCCAATATGATTCTTCTAATTTTTGAATTCCCGTAGAGTGCATCGTTATTTGAAATATGGAGTAATAACTGATGGGTTTTCTTGCAAGTGGAGCGATTTTTCAAGTATTGTGGAGACTCGAAGATATGGTCAATAAATGTGATGATCTCCTCTTCATCTTGAAACTCTTTTGAGACGTCTTTGATCTCAAGAGAATCAAATTTGTCCATCACCGAGGAAATATCCATTGTCTTTGATTATATAACAATATTTTATTAACAACAATAAGAGGTGTGGAATTGTAGATTAATTTTTGTATTGTAGTATCTTGGGGGGCGTATAGCATTTCCCCTCTCCGCTGTCTGTTTGAAGTGGAGCGAGTGTATGAGGAGAATCTACAAACAAAATAGCAGGATTCATTTCTGTTAATTAATTATCACTACTTATCCATATTTGGAGCGCACTATTTTCTTTATATCTTTGGGAAGAATCACAGTGGTTGGTTGACCTGAACACTTTCATGGCAGATCAGATCTTCCTGCGGAAAATTTAAAAACAAGAAAAAAAAAACAGTGTTACGTAAATCGTTAGAAAATTTCCTTCCTCTCCCTCAAATATACTACCAAATACATTCTATAAAAGTGGCCGTGTTAAAGAAGTACCTGGTATCTTCCTATTATCATTATTCTTCAAAAAAATAAAAAAAAAAAGTTATTTGCTTTCAATTGATTATCCATCAATTCTTCATATAAAGGATTCCAGCTATCCCCTGCTTGTGATAGAAGTTCAGTATGTCACCAGGACACGAAAGAACCACCTCGGTACTAACGTTGAATAATCAACAGATGAATATTGGAACCCAAGAGGATCTTATCCAGAGATATATTCTAGCCTGTCAGAATGGGGATTTTGCAACAGTGAAGGACTTGCTTGACAATAACCTTGTTACCGTCAACGATCACTTGGAAGACAATGTTTCGGGACTTCATTGGGCTTCCATCAACAATAGACTATCAATATGTCGATATCTAGTATCGAAGAATGCTGATGTAAACTACCAAGGTGGTGATTTGAACGCCACTCCACTACATTGGGCTTGCCGCTATGGTTTGGTGTATATTGTGGACTTTTTGATCCAGAATGGGGCTGATGCGACCCTTTGTGATGGCCAAGGATTCAATGCGCTACATCTTTCGGTCCATTCATCAAATATCATGCTTGTGGTCTATATTTTGATGATGGCAGATATCGATATTGATAGCATTGACCCCAACGAGCGTACCGCACTACACTGGGCGGCTTACCAAGGGGATGCATTATCGGTGGAAGTATTATTAAAATTTGGGGCCAATGTGAACAGAATTGACAATACAGGATTTACTCCCTTACACTGGGCATTAATAAAGGCCAACTCTCTTTGTTTGTCAAATTTGGTGAAAAGCAATGGCAATGGAGGAGCGTGCAATATCTTTGCAACCACCAACGACGGGAAAACCGCCTTTGATATCGCCATCGATATGGATAGCTCTAAAATATTCCAAGAAGTGCTCAAAGAATGTGGGAAGGATTCAGATGGAAATGATGTAAAAGTTCCGGATTTGTTTCTTAAAAATAAAAAATTACCCAAAGTGATAACGTTTCTAGTACCTTATGTGGTGGTGGGGTTATCTTTGGAATTCTTTTCTGATTATTATAGTTTGTGGCAGACTTTATTATTTGATTCGGCATTATTCGTCATGAGTCATTTTTTTCTCTCCAAATTGATTCTTCCAAGTTATATTCATGATAAAAAAAGATTTTTCAAATCACCTTTGTTAGCTGGGATATTCTCATCAGTCACAGTTTGGGTAATCATCAACTGGTTTGTATACGTGTTGCCAAACACTCTAGACGACCATGGGATTGCTAACATTTGTTTCTCGATCCTAGCTAGCAGTGTGGTGTTTTGTTTTTACAAGTGCTTGTCTTTGAACCCCGGAACTATCAAACCTTTGCCAATAAAAATGAAATCTAATATTGACAACGGAGAATCTTTTTCTGATGATGATTCTACTCTAGTTGATGCAGATGAAAAAATTAGGGGCGCAGTTATCTCAGGAATAAAAGATTTGTTGAAAAATGGGAAATTTGATTCTAAAAACTTTTGCATACACACATTTGTCAGAAGGCCTTTGAGATCAAAGTACTCTGAATTTTCTCAAGCGTTGGTAGCAAGATTCGATCATTTTTGTCCTTGGATTTATAATGACATTGGTTTGAGAAACCACAAGATCTTTATTTTTTTTGTGATGTCTTTGGAAGCTGCTATCATATTGTTTGCATATTTATCTATAAACCATTTCAATCATGTTTCGAACTTAGCAGTACACTATGTTTATTCAAACGACGATCATACCATGAAAACTGTGAAAAGACCTCCGCATACCCCGTTCCAGGTATACAATCCTGTCAGTGATAACGATTGTACGATCTTGACCAGCAGTTGGTGCAATGGGTATTCTGACTCTTTGCCACTATTTATTCTCAATGTCTTTTGTATTTTCCAAGGCCTCTGGATATTAATCTTGTTATTGGTACAATTTTTCCAAATTTCCAAGAACTTAACTACTTTTGAAGCCGCTGCATTGAATAAACCACAAAACAACTACTATTATTCCCCAGTGCCGATTGAATTATTGACGGAATTAGAAAACCCATCGAACAATTATTCCAATGGCCATAGCAGTATCGACAACACTACTTTGGAAGGAAACAAATCAGAAGATTCCGGATCCGATGGGAATAGTTCTGGTAACAAAAATAAATCAGAAGCTGGTCATGAGCCACCAGATATCTTTAAGCTTGAGAACCATAAGGGCTTTTTCATGGCATTACTTAAACTCATTGGTATCACTCAATTTATTTTCACATTTAAAAATAAGAATCGTTTGAGAGCGTCGTCGTTTAATTTTGGTTTCAAAGTGAATTGTATGGAATTTTGGTGTTTGGGTAATACTTCTAAATCGAAATATAATATTCGAAATTTTTTCAGAATTCCTGCCCAAGATAATGGTGAAACATATATTGGAGATCAAATAGTTGACTATTATAAGTTGTACGATTATCCAATAAGAAGAATGAGTTACAAAGAGTTAGTCTAGGGTGGACAAAGTACCATATTATATTTATATTTTTACACCAATATTTATTTTTTCCAGTTTTAAAATAAAAGGATCAGGTTCTTTTGATTTCTGCAATTAGTACGTAATAAAAAAGAAATGTAAATTCACTGGATAAACAAAGCGCCCATAATTAAGGAATAATACAGAAAATACGCAAAAAAGAGGATTAAAACTTAATGAATAATTGAAAACGCGGGTAAAGTTAGGCCAGCAGTGGTTCATTTCTTTCCCTTCTTCTTCTTGCTCTTCTTCTTTTTGGAAGATGATTCAGCGTTGGCATTACCGGCAGTTTTCGCCTCTTGTTGTGAATTATCGTTTTGCGCTTCTGGTTTTTCCGGCACAACCTTTACTTCCTCTTCTTCTCCCTTGAACTCGGTATTACTCATCAAGCTGGCAAAACCCTTACCATTAACAATGTATTTTTCCTCTAATATCTTAGTTTTCGCGTGATCATCGAGCTTGATAGGTTCTTTGGAAACTTTCTTAGTTTTGGTGAATTGGACTCCACGAGGTCCCAACGCCGACAATATTCTCGAGAGGTCCTTTGCTTTGGATGTCTTGAAAGAATAGCATGTTCCAGATCTTGGATTGTAAGTCTTGAATCTGACGCATGTGTAAGAAGAGGCATCACTGCTGGATGATATTGTCTTCTTCAGTGATTTGTTATGGTATGTCATAGACACAAGGGTATCTGATGCTGCCACATCAAGCAACAGGGTAGAGCGATCAATGTAGGTGTCTAGGAGAGCTATTTTTGGCATGTTGTATTTTTTTTAGAGATATGATAGGTTAGACACCTCTTTTTAAGGTCTGGATATTAATTTTTTTTTGCCTCGTATATGTGTGAGTGTGATAATTTGTTCTTCGTGATCTGAACAAAAAAAAAAAATATCTTGTGGTGCAATACAGGGTGCAGGACCCTTCTTTTAGAAGATGTCCTTGAACCCAATTCTCTATCTTTGGCGATTCTCTTTAGTTATCGCCTTTGAATGTCATCCTTTACTTATTCTCAATGTTAATTCTCTATTATGAATTTATCTCTTTAGATATATAGTTCTCTTTCCTACATCTTAGTAATAGATCATAAATAATGGAGTTTGTCGTGTAGCATTAAAAAAAAAGGAACGGTCGAGAAGAACTAAAACAAAAAGTGAATGGGTAAAATCTAGCATGAAAGCATAGAACTAAAGGTACAAAATACATCAGTCATGGAACTAAAAGAAGGGGGAAAAGTAACAAAATGAGGGATTTGAAATGGAGACTAGCAGCCAGTGAAGAATCTCTTCTCCCTCATTTCCATTTGATCAAGGTCAGGGATAATAGATAGAAGAACACTTTTAAGCAGCGGTTGCTGTAGCCACTCTGGTAGCGGTTGCTACCAATGTCGAGGTGGTCTTCTTGAATTCATGGTCGTAGAGCTCTTTGGCCCCGATGGCGCCAACCGCGCCGATGGCAGCACCAGCGATTAATGGGTTTCTATTTTCGTTGGAGAAGATGCCTTTAAGAGAGTCCATATTGATTGGGTCGGCCTTAGCATCGGCGTCGGCATCAGCTATTGGGATTGGGGCGGCCAAAAGAGGAGTGGCGAAAAGAGCAGTGATGGCGAGTTTAGTGAGGAATTGCATGGTGAATATTAGATTGTTGAGATCAGTACTTAAGGATGTGCGTGATGTTGATAATATTTGGAAAAAACAAGGACAAAGGCAAATAACAAAGTAATGCAAGGAGTATGACCCATATATATATATAATATCAGAAATGGTATGACATAATAGCATTTCCAAAATATCCGAAAAATATCCTCATTCGCTCATCTCAAAGGCCGTCAAGGTGCACCCGAAGGCACATAACTCAGTCATCGCGTCAAAATTCTTGCGGACTAACAAGGCTCAAGCAGGCTATGCAACAAACAACCACTGGAAGCTTTCCTGTCAACAACGCCCATATTGTTTTTATATGTATGATATATTACTTTGATAAGTACTGAAATTTATTTCTTTATTTCCACCTCTCTTTGTTCTCGGGCTCTCCGGTTGTTGTTTGTCTTTATTTTCTTCTCTGGTCTTAGTCGCCCACATTCCCTGCAACGATAGCTTGGGCCGCATGCGAACAACCAGATTTAAGTGTGCACATTTCACCAACAAGAAAATGTTGGCGATTATTAAGCGAGCTTCATTCTTACTATTGTTATTATTAGCCTGCCTATCCAGAGGAATATTTTAAAAATAAACTAAAAAAAAAGTACAGTAGGAAAAAAAACAGTATAATGTAGTGGATTTTATTAATTAAAGAATGGTAGTTAAAAAAAAAAGGCCATATTGAATAATTGCCACTGGCCATGGATTAAATCAGTGTGGCAACATTTAGCAAAGGGAATAAAAAATTAAAATAGATCAGACGTTCTTAGAGGCATCTTTTTCTTCATCATCATTGCCTTCCAAGAGTTTGAAGATTTTCCAAAGGCCGAAAGAAATGACGGATCCAATAAATGGCCCGACCCAGTAAATCCATTGGTAAACGGTGAAAGATCTGTCGGCAACACATGGACCAAAACTTCTAGCTGGGTTAAGACCAGCACCAGTAGTAGCAACACAAACCAAGTGACCTAAGAACAAAGACAAACCGATACTGATGGCATTAAGGTTGATTGGAAGATGTGGGTTTTCCACAGCAGTAAACAAAACGGTGGTACACAACAAAGCAGTACCAAAGGCTTCAAGCATAAGCCCTCTACCCTTCGAAACACCAAGGCCGAGAGAGTTGGCAAACAAAATTTTACCTGGGGTCATGGCAGAGGCAGCACCAGCAGCAGCCATACCGGCTATTATTTGTGAGACAAACATACAAGCAGCCTTGAGTGGATTCAAAGCACCAGCCATAGCAAGGGTCAAAGTGACAGCTGGATTCAAGTTACCACCAGAAATTGGACCAAAGATGGTGATGGCCATAGCAACACTAAAACCAAAACCAATGGCAATAACAAGAACTTTGGAAATGTTGACAGTATTAGTGATGGCATAATCGGTTTCTTTTGAGTCGATGGCAGAAAGATAGTCATGATTGGAAACTTGAGCAATGACAAAGGCGGTCCACAAGAAGATAAAAGTACCAAAGAATTCACCTAATACCGCCATCAAGATGTCCATAGCTGGGCTCATCTTCTTTGGAGCCTTCACATGTTCTGGGCCTAAAACTGGTACTGCTGGAATTGGGATATCCATCTTAGAATCTGGTGATGGAACATCGACCTTGGTTTCTGCGCCGATGGACAGGTTGTGTTGATGGGACATTTTTAGAGGCTTTTTGGTTTTACTTTTTCGAAATGATTGATTATAATGAAGCAGTTAATGATGAATTAAATCAGTATCTTCTTGCTCAAAAAAGGACTTCTCTCAAGTTTTTATACTCTTCTTGTGTCGAGACCACCACTTGCGGGATGTTGAGAAGACTCTGTCTACATTGCTCTGCTGACAAGCACATTTATCTACTCCATCATGCAGCTATGTCCTCTTACCCCCCGAAAAATGGATGAGCTTTAACTTAAGTTAGCCGGTGGTGCAGTGAAAGGAACGAGGAGGTTTGAACAGTTCTTGGTGGAAAGTGTTGTGCAATAAATTAAGGAAAACTCAAAATGAACAAGAGGGCTCTTTGGGAAGTTGAGGCACTCCAACTGGAACGGAGGCCTTCAGTAACTCATATGTTTGTTCAGCCTATCACTGTTAAGGGTTCAAACAATCGATAGCAAGCAAATATTATAAATTAGCTGCCGTAAAGAAGTCAAACGATTTAGTATTTTAACAAAAAGAAAGAAAAGTTGTTGGCGTATTTTGATTTCTAAGCTTTTTCTATTGTAAAACCCCGTACATTTTACTATTGCTTTGATCAAAAAACTTCTGTCTGTAACCCTTAGTTTTGCTTTATTTTAACAAATCTATATACTATATATCCTCTTTGGGCTGATATTTACAGCAACTTGGTATTTATCACAAAATATTGAATGAAAATGGAAAGTTGTTGGCTCCTCTTCTGTGCACATATGAGCACCCTTATTTAAATGGCAACAGCTTAACGAGAAGTCCAACTGACATCTTATTAAAAAAAAAGAAGAGTTAAAACAGACAATACATTTTCTTTTCTATTTAAGAATCACACTTTTTTCTTTTTTCTTTTTTCATGATAGCTTATTCCATTCTGCTTCATGATGGGGAAAAAAAAATGAAATAACGGTGTCGATCTTCACAGCCAGTCATTTCAGCCTTAATCTGTACATGTGACGGACGGCTAAATTTGCATATATACACACTTCTTCGTAGATACTTTCTCCTAAAATAGGGAAAATATTGCACTCATGAAGAAGCAAACAAATATTTTTTTATATTCGCTACCGATATACAGTCTTATCTATTTTTATTTTTTCTAAAATAGATTGCTGAGCAGGCTACTTTTTAACAGGTTTCACTCAGGCTGCTCAGCATTCATCATGCTATAATCCTTCTTACATAAAACCCAAAGCACTTCAAACTCATAAATATAAATTCTACATGTGATAGATAAATTTTATAGGTTTTTGATAGGTGAGTGGAATTGAGGGCTCAAAAGATGAAATCAACTTTAATAGTGGAATTATTCCTTGGATTACACCAGTCGGGTAGTGCAAATCAAAGACTTATGAGCATCACCTCTGCCACAAGGGTCATTTCCATCACAGTATATATCCTAGTACCATAGCAACAGCACACTTTTTGAGCTTTCCCATCAATTCAAGTATACTTACACTATAACGGAAAAAAATATATATATTCTGATTGTAGTTACACTATTCCATCATCTGTTAACTTATATTTTCCCTTGCTATTTTTTTTTTCCTAATGAGAAGTAAGAAATACTAATTCTATATTCATTATCGTAGAGGGTAGCTTGGAGCCACTCTAGACTTTCAAATAATAAGTACAATAGTAATTGTTGCTTGTTGGGACCTCTCAATATTTTCCATGCATTTCTGCTAAGGCGGGTAGTAATTTATTTTGTGTCTGCTCAAAAATCCACAGAGGCAAAACAAATGGGTTATGTTAACATCTCTGCATCGCAAATAGTTTTTATTGAGAAGGCTGAATAATGTCGCTTATTAATGTCAAAGTTCAATTTATTGGAATTTCATCAAAAGAATCACTGAAGGTTAATGGAAATGGCTCGTTAATCCACAAGTTCTCCCCATCAGCTTCCATCAATGATGTCTTAATCCATTTTGAGAAAGGTATCCAGGCATCATCTCCAGAATTCAAGATATTCAACAGAGAGGTGACGCATAAATTAAAAACTGTCAAACAGATCACATTAGTTCAAATTGCCAATAAAAGGGTTTCTAGTTCTCAGGATCTCGCTAAATCTTTGACAGACTACGGTTTTGATAGCGGAAGTTGCCTCTTAAGAATTAGCTTCCAAAATATGAGTGGTACTGTAGCCACTAAGCCAACTGAAGAACCAAAAGTTACATCCGCTGCAACAAAAAAAGAGGAAACCAAGGAGATCATAAATAATGAGGTAAAAAAAGATCATCAACCAAGTTATGAAATTTACAAGCCTTCAGAATCCAAAAACCCTTTGGCTACGGGTGCAGATGACGATGGTGATCTTGAAATGTCTGTGGATGACGCTAGAAAATATCAACAAATTCTCAAAGGCAAGGCTAATGCGAAAAGTGAGTACGTCATGGCTAAGTTGAAAAAGAAAGAGGAAGAGAAAAAGTTGCGATCGAAAAATGAAGAAGTCAAAGATGTTAATATCAGAGTGAAATTTCCCGATCTATCATTAACCCAATTGAAATTCACCTCAGTTAATACAATCAAAGACATGATTTTGTTTTTTCAGAATAAGATCTTATTAAAGGAATTCAAATACAACTTAGTAATTCCAAACTTCAATTACAACAACACAAATAGGGGTAAACTCGGTAAAGCAGCTTCAGTGGCTGATGATAATATATACTGGAAAGATATCAAATCGGTCCTTGATGGCCATGAAGGCAAGGCCCCGATTCTTGGGCAAAAATTGGCCCATTATAATCAAGCTAGTTTCATTTTTGAATTAATAATTCCTGGTTCTAATTTCGAGAAAGATAAGTTAGACTATAAAATAGACTCTACCTATAGAGGACCATTCATAAGGAATGAAAAAAGTGCTCAAGCGATCAATAAATTGGTGGATGCTAAAGAAAGCCATTCCAGTGTTGCTACGACTCTTGGAGGGAAACTCTTCAAGAGAGGTGTTGGTGAATCATCATCAAAATCGTCATCTGAAACAAAGAAGGTCCCTAAGTGGTTGAAGTTGTCCAAGAAGTAGCCTTTTTGGGTATCTAGAAGTTCTTTACATTTCTCAGTATATCGTTACCGATTAGTTATAAAATTAAATGAATTATGAGATGATTACGTGTAGAAAAACTTCAAGTGTGGAGAAGGCATAATAATTTTCAACTCAACAATCAATCTGTCTTATGCCTTTTCAAATAACGAAAAAATATATAATCCGGTTAAATACAATTACAACTTACAGCACAGTACGACTTTTACGTCCCGAACATTTAGTTCTTACAGAAAATTAGTTTTTCGTTATAAAATCCTTTTCTGAATTTAAAGCAATCACAATTCCATAAAAGCCGAGAAACTTAAAGTCGAATAGATCAAATGTCAGATAGGTAAGCTTTTGGTTGAGGTGTTATCAGCATGCTTTATCTCAGTAGCAGAACTGGAAAAAACGTTTTTCATCATATTGAATTATTGACTTTAAAGTTATCTCAGCTCAACAAAAATGCAACGTCCAAATAAACGGAGAAGGAATATATTTTTTTATAAATAAAGTAATTTGGATTAAACATATTGAAAATCAATCGTAGCCATCAAACCATTGACTGTAATTTTGGTTAGTAAATTGCTGAAACCAGTTGCAAAAATTATTCAAAAACAGTTAAATTAAAATCAAAGTCAGATGGTGATGCATGTTTTTTCCGAGGCTCATCTTGGTCACCGGGAAAAGAAGGATAATATCATCATAATGGGTTGCCATTTTTAGTAGAATACAAAATTCAAAATTGTTTTCATTATTTTCTTTTTGCAAATATTGAGAATACAATACGTACTGGTTATGATTGATTAAAAGCAACCATTGAGGAATATAAGAATATCATTAGAAATTAATAGACAATGGAAGTAGAAGAAGAGAAAGAGAGTAAAAATGGGGAAAGGAAAATTTTTTTGGCTATTTATACCAATAATCCCACTATCACCAACACCAGTACACCGACCTGCGAAAGTATAAGTTACCCGACTCTTGTTAATAGTACAGTAACCCTCCTGTGGTCTGCAACGCGCTGCTGCAGCCTTCTTTTTTTTTTGAAATTTCATCCCTACACGCGACATGGGGTGTGTTACCCCTAACTATTTCCTTTTTTTTTGTTCCCTTGAAGGAACCTTCAACCGAAATAATTTACCTTAAACTACGAATGCTTCCTGGACCATCAGCACCCATTAGCCCTGTTATTTAGCTGCCTGATTCTTCCGATAATGAATTTTGAGCCAACGCAGCAGACACAACCTACCCAACCAAATAATTTCAATAATAATAATCATAATGGTCCGGAACTAGATCCTTTGGACGGTGTGATCGTGAGATTGATTTGCACTACTGGCAGTCTTCCTATCAATGATTTGAAAAAAGATGAGAAAAAAACCTCGTGGATCTTCGGAAGAAACTCTTCTGTTGATAAGCCGTTTGGGGTGCGGACCCAGAGATTGAGTGGCAAGCATTTCAGAATTTGGTATAAAGAAAACAATATCATGATCCAGGATTTATCAACCAATGGGACTTGGATCAACAATGTGCGGTTAAAAAAAGGGAAAAATTATTTATTAAATCAGGGAGATGAGGTGGCAGTGGGTATTGGGGTTGAAAATGATGTTCTCAAATTCATTGTGGTGTTCCCCAAGACTAGTGAGTTTACCAATACCGGAAACATCAACGAAATCGAAGAGGAAGATGTTAACAATATCAATCGATCTTACATCATTAAACAAGAAGTGGTTGGTCAAGGTGCGTTTGCAACCGTTAAGAAAGCCATTGAAAGGTCTACGGGAGAAACTTACGCAGTGAAAATTATCTCGAAGAGAAAATTGGGAATTGATAATAGAAATGGGGTTATCAGAGAGTTAGATATTCTCAAAAGACTTGATCACCCAAATATCATCAAGCTAAAAGGTTTTTATGAAGACCAAGATTTTTTCTATTTAGTTATGGAGTTTATTTCAGGGGGAGACTTGATGGATTTCGTTGCTGCTCAAGGTTCAATAAGTGAAGAGGTTTCAAAAGAAATAATTAGACAAATTCTAGAAGCAATTAATTACGTGCATAGTCAAAACATATCACATCGTGACTTGAAACCAGATAATATATTGATAGCAAATGATAACCCGACCACTGTTAAAGTAACCGATTTCGGTCTTGCAAAAATTGGAACTAATGGCGATAATAATCCGGCTAATCAAGGGTCTTTCTTGAAAACTTTTTGTGGTACTTTGGCGTATGTGGCACCAGAGGTCATCATTGGAAAACTCCTGTCAAAAAGCAAACACAACCGAAAATCATATTCTTCTCTTGTTGATATGTGGTCTCTCGGTTGTTTGTGTTACGTGATATTGACCGGGCATTTGCCATTTAGTGGTAAGACACAAGATCTGTTGTTCAAAAGAATCAAGAGCGGCTCCTACCATGACGCGCCTTTGAATGACCATAACTTGAGCAGCGAGGTCAGGGACTTTATTGACTGTCTATTGCAAACAAACCCTGCTAAAAGACTCAGTGCCGAAGAGGCTTTGAGGCATCCTTGGATAGCAGCTGCTAATAACAATGATAATAATAATGATAGTGCGGATGCGGCAGTTTCCTTGAGTGCTAATGATGTTACCAACTCAGCTGCTGAAGTGGAAATACAATTGGATAGCCCATTTCAAAGTAAGGATGATCCCCAAAATATCAAGATCTCAAAGTCAGAAGCTATGAATAAATTTAACGGTCCAGATTCCGACATGATCATGGTAGAGAATGAGTCTATAAATTCTCTGATATCCAAAGCGCCGGATGGCAACATTCCTGCAGGAACTCTATTAACTTTAAAGCCATTAAAACATAGCATTAAGCATCCAGTGGTGTTTGTTCCTCAAATAAACAAACCATATTTCATAGGTAGAAACGATACCTGCAACCTCTCTATCGACGATACCCGAATGTCAAAATTCCACTGCATCATCATGAAAAAGAGACACCCGATTGGTAAAAGCTTCATGGAGAGCCCGGCTCAGGGGTTGGACGATATTTGGTTAATAGATTATAGTACCAACGCATGCCATATCAATGGCAAAGAGATTGGAAAGGGAAAAAAGACATTATTGAGAAATGAGGATCAGATTTTGTTATTTATGGATAAAAAACAACGAGACTTTTTGGGATTCAAGGTCTACATAAATGACTTGACCGGTTTGTTTGTTGATAATTTGAAGAATGTTGCCGTTGTTAATGAAGGCCCTGGAAAATCCCACAAACCAAAGTTCAATAAGACAGTTATTGAGGCACAGGATGAATATGATCTCAAACTCCTTCCTGCAATCAGTGTCTCCGCACGCCAACAACGCAGAACAATAGGTAACAAGAATAGTACCACAACTAATAATAAAAAACGGAGTATCACCGCCGAGTCATCTCAGCCGAAAAAAAGAGCTCTGTTGAACCCATCACAACCTCCTGCAGATGGTCTAGCTTTTCAGTCTTTTATAAAACAATAATGTATCTCACTCCTTTTTTTTTTCTTGATGATTTTCCATTCATTCATTTTCTCAAGTCATTGCTTTATCTTTCACGGTTTCTATTTGGCATTATTATTCTAATTTTTTCATTTTTTTTTTTCTTGGTTCTTGTTTTTATTGCTCTAATTTAGAGGCCAGCTCTGCTCGCTATTTTCTTCCAGTTGTATTTATGATGAAATGATATTTTCTTTTTTTGTTTTGTTTCGTTAACATATTTTTTAGATACATGAACCCATTCATGAAATACAAAAGTACAAAATAAATAAACAAAAAATTATCATTACAAATTATAGCCTTTGACTAAAACTAATTTTACATATCACAAAAAAAAAATATCAAAAGCAAGGGCAAAAAAAGACATGGTAATTTTCATCTTCTGCCAAATTCTCTAGGTTTTTTATTAACCTGTTTAGCATTTGATTTCACCATTTCAGCTAATTTTGTCTTTTCAAAATCAAAATCATCAATAACTTCACAAAATGGACTGTTTTGGAAAAGTTCCAAAGCAGTGGGTCTTCTATTTGGATCTATCTCGAAACATTGGTTCAAAAATTGTTTACCATCTACAGAAACATGGGGACTAACATCATCAGGTATAGGCGGGGCCAACTTTGTTTTACCAATTCGATACATGGCACTGAGAGCCTCAACATTCGACCAAGGTCTTCTACCCGCGAACATTTCCAAAACAACGCAACCCAAGGACCAAATATCGATTTTTGCACTGTATCCCTGCTTTTTGTTCTGGACCACATTATCAATAACTTCTGGGGCCATCCAGAAAATGGTACCTTGCATAGACATTTCCGAATCATTCTTGTAAATATTTTCGCTTCGTTTTGAAATACCAAAATCTGTGATTTTACAAATCCCATCTAAATCCAAAAGCAAATTATCAGCCTTTAAATCACGGTGCAAGATCCCTCTGGAGTGTAAATAAGAAAGTCCATCAGTAACCTGTTTTGTCAAGAACTTGATCAACTCTTCATCGAACCTGCCATACATTCTTAAGCATGAACCAACCGAGCCTCCAGCAACATAATCTAAAAACAAAGAATAAGTATTGCCAACTTCCTCAAACCCAAGGTATTGAACGATATTTGGATGATCCAAGTCTTTCATGGTTTGCACTTCAAGAAGTAGAGCATCAATGATATCTTTCATTTCTTTATTAGGAGAGCCAGCTCTAGGAATATCGACTTGTTTGACAGCCATCATTTCACCTGTGGTAACATTAAGGGCTAAGAACACTTTGCCATAGGTACCAATACCAATGAGCTCACCCTTGATCCACGCAAAGTTTTTCATCTCCCCTCTATTGTTTTTTAATTTGCTGATATAATCGTATTTCATATCCATAGAGGTTAATTCAACAACCTTCCTACCCCATAATTTTGTGCTTTGTCTTCTCAACAACGCACTGTTTTTCTTTGCTTCCGGTAACTGAGATTCTCTCTTTCTAGCAATACTGTATTCTCTTGCAATACCACGAATAGTCTTTCTTCTACTATTTCGCGAAACTCTTTTATTATCACCAGCATCTGGCATCATTAGAACTTCATCAGCATTAGATACAGTACCCATGTTTGGGACTGATTCAACGGTCTCTTTCCGCAAACTGCCAGTTTTTTCTCCACTTTCATTAATAGGAGAAAACGGTGGTTTCTCTATATGATCCAACGGAGAAACAGGTGGAGTATCGACTTCATATATTATTGGCTTGTCAAGGTCAGTATTTGGGAAAAACTGTTCAAGGTTATCATACACAATATCAGTTGAGGGTCTAACAACCCATTTGTCCTTATTCTCTTTTTTCTTCAAATTATCAATGATACTGGCTTTCTTCTCCTTTGACTCATTGCAAGTGGCTTGCCTCTTTTCCGCAAACTCTTCAGCCTTCTTTGATTTCTTATTCGCAACATTACTATCTGAACCACTGGCTGCCAAATTCCTATCGCTCTTCACTGCACTATTATTTTCAGTTTTAGCCTTAGGAGCCATGGCCCAGAAATCATCATCCGAATCATCCGACCCATCCGACTCTTCTGATTCTTCTTCCAATGAAGGAACACCTTCGAATGAAATTATATTCTCCTCAAAAGTTGAACTAGAGTTGAGGCTATTTCTGAGTTTAGAGGCTCTATTACCTAATGAGGCCCTTATTGACGAGCGTCTCAATAAAGTAGATGATCTTTTCAAAGATTCAGAACCCCCACCATCATTTCCGAGCTTCAAATTTTTATCTGAAGAAGCTTCCTGGGTGGCTAAAAATGCCCCATGGTCCTTGCTTAATAAAGGTGATCTAGAAATCCTCTTAGAAACTGAGGCAGATCTTTGCAAACTAGACGCTGGTGGCGCTGGTGCTGGCCTCTGTGGAATCAAATCAACCCTGTTTTTCGTGTATGGAGATTCTCGCTTCTTATCGAAATTTATTTCTCTTTTATTAGCATCAGGTCGGATAACTGAGAAAGATGACTTAGACGTATTGACAGATGTGATACTATCCGCTGTAAGAGAAGAAGAGTTACTATTAGTCTTTGACAAATTAGAACCTGGCAAACTAGCACCATATTGGGATGTTTGCAAATATGCTGCATCTCCCTTAAAGTTTATGTAATCCACCTCTTCACCCTTTTTGTTAGTCGTGTTGTGGGAGCCGTCATTTATTAAAGAACTTGGAGTGGCAGGATATGCCACTCGATTATCTGCGGCAATTTCAAATGAGGCAGTATCAGAGCTTTTTGTACTCCTAGTACTTATTGTACCCGAATTTGTTAATTCTGAAAGAAATAAAGAATCGCAATGAACAAAGAACTTGACTTCGTAATTTATAAAAGAAAACATTATCAAGCTGTCAATTGTAGAATCATCCAAAGCTTCACCATATTCAGAATCATAGTCTGTCATGTGGAACGATAATTTCAGCATACTTGTTGTTGAAAAACTTAATGCCTTCGCCAAATTCTTTTTGAAGTCCGTTACCGATTGCAAACACTCGGAGCCTACTGGAACGAAGGTCTCATTATCTCTTGTAACCAAAACGTAACTCAAAGATTTATGCCTTAAAGGTTTCGGGAATTGTTTGTCAGTTAATTGAATGTGGCCCACTATTTCCTTACTTTGCCTTCTACTGGTCTCAAAAGAAGTGCTTGAGACGGGGCTGACTGGCGAAGCTCCCTCACTGTTCTTTCTAACCGCAGAAAATTGTTTAAATTCTGTTTTAATCTTCTCCTTTTTGCGTAGCTTTTTTTTTAAGAATCCACTCTTCTTCTCAAGCCCTTCAGATTTATCGTCAGTGCCATGTGATTCATTAAAGGCTCCATTACTTGATGAGACATTACCACCAGTACTGGTTGGGAACACTATTCCAGTAGGAGCACCTTCAGGGTTCCTGCTGTATCTTTTGAATAATGAGCTGTAAGGAGATAGCGGAGATTCTTTTGATCCTGTGGCACTTCCTGTTTTTGCCTTCGAAGCATCAATTACCGAAAATGGTCTTTTGATATAACTTAAGCGCTTGTTGCCACCCTTTGTGTTTCCCAATGCGCCACCGCTGGTGATTTCATTACTTGCATTAAACGAGTTAGATGTGGCAGATGAGCTACCAGTTCCTCCAGCGGGGAAGTTCACTAGACTTTGGCTGCTTGATCCTGACTGGATATTAGTGGTGACTATGGCTCCAGTCATTGACGATGCGTCAACATTGAATCCTCTAGTCTTATTCCCAGCAAGTCTTAAATCGTTATTTTTCTTTTTCGTTAAATGGTTGATATCATCACTATTACTTCTTCCGTGACGAGCAATATTATCTAGTGCCTTCTTACTTCCTGATAAAAGCTTTAAATCATCAGTAATTCCAAAAGCATTCATGGGCCCGTTACCAACTTCAGGGAGAGATATAGCAGAAGCATCAATTGGAGAAGCACGATACTCCTCTATTGTCTTCTTCAATAAATAGCGAAATCTTGAAGAGCTCGACAGTAAGGTATCAGGGTTTTCATCAGCTTTGTCATCACTATTCTTGGAAGTCTCAAAATTGCCATTTACTAAAGAGCCTGTACTAGTTTTGCGAGCAGAGCTTCCCTCATCATCTCCTTTATCAGAAGGCCCAAAATCAAGGTATTCATTATTCAACTTCAAATAAGTATTAAATTTAGAGAACAGGTCATTGTTTGTTAGCTCGAGAAATTTTTCTCTGCAGACGTTATAATTTATAAAAGTCTCAACCCAAGATTTATTAAAGCCATATAATTTTAGCCAAAACACAACTCTTGAAATAGTCCACTCTGCAGGATCTGTCACATTCCAATTAATTAATGATTGAGAATCTTTCCTGGTATGAAAAGAGGCTTTCTTTGGTGAGCCTTCCACTCCATTTATTTTCTGCCCAGCATCTTTCTCATTGAAAAAGGAAGGGCCTATATTGTTGTCTGTGGTAGCATTAGTACCTATGGATTTAGAATTCATTGGTAGGTTCAATGGTACACTAATTGCCGGCTTGCTAAAGGCTTTAGTAGGAGATCTGGGCGGGCTAATCAAGTCTGAAGCTATCGAAAAATTCGGAAATCTATCAAGATACAAGTCAGCCTTGTTGTTAAATAATTTGCTATCTTTTTCTGGATCTTCACTGTCTGGTATCACCAAACCATTTCCAATATCATTCAATGTTTCGACTTCCATTTTCTTTTGTTCAATACTTTCAGTTGGAAATGGTTTCTTCATTAATAATAGAGATTTAATTTTGCTTTCTAGGGCTGCGTCTGCCTCGCTTGAAGGCATAAATGATATAGGCCTTCGATCATTTCTGCTATCAATATTTCCCGGTTCCTTATTATTCATTTTCAATGGTAGTTCTGGTCCTTCTATGGTATCACCTGCAAAGGTAGGGGGAATGTTTGAGCTAGTTGTTACACTTTCAAAAGGGGAAGAAAAATTATTATCATTATCAAATATATCATCAATATTCGCCGTGACTTCCTGTTCTTCTGTTGTCGGTGATTTGAATCCACTTATTTTTCCATTTTTCAGCTTATACAACTCCTTATCCAAGTTCTTGCTTCCTGATTTCTTCAAGTAATTTTCTTCATCTTCACTGTCGGAAAATCTGCTTATATCAATTTCTGCCATTGACATGATCTTTTCATTAAAGCTGAATGATCTTCCATTTCTGTTCTTTGCTTCACTATTTCCTATTTCCCCTTGTTTTTCTTTTTTATGCGGCTCCTCATCTTTTTTAAAATTGTCTTCCTTACCGCTGACGTCTCTACTAGAGATGTCGCCAGCGAGAGCGGCATCACTAGCATTGAGAGCGAGGTCATCCAATTCATTTGCAACAGGCATGTCACGAACAACATCAGCCAAAATATCGTCTGAACTATCAGATTCACCGGTTATTGGTGAATTATCAATTGGGTCCTCGATAATGCTTTTTCTAAGGGCGGAGGCAGGAGAATTTTTATGCGAGGCGTTAGATCTTCTTGATGAAAAATTAACAAGCGGAAAGTCCTCAGCATTCCTAATTGGAGAATTCTCAAATATATTTGAATCTGGGGTCCTAAGGGCACTATTGCTAATATCGCTGCCAAAATCGGTGCTTCTATCTGGCGACTTTGGGATCTTTATTCCTAGGCCTAATGTGGAAATGCGATGTTTTTCCTTCAATGATCTATTGGTATCGGAAAAATTACTTGGACTATCATGTATCTTTTTTTGTTGTCTGGCCTTATTGAGATTGTCACTTGAAGGAGTTCTGGTAAATAGCATACCATTTCTGCTCCCCGAATGCGAGCTGACTGAATAATGAACTATATTACCATCATCATCGTGGTCGGCTAGAAGGTTTTCTTTTGAGCCAAATTTAGAATTATTAAAATCCAATTTCTTGCTGTTTAGTGAACTGTTTGAGGTGGAATAATGAAGCGTAGGATGATCAGAGTTAATCGAATATTTTGAATGAACTGGAATGGCTCCTGAATGATCTGAAAAGTTAGATTTTGGGGTTGACAGAGTGTATGGAAAATTATTTGGTTCAAAAGAATGGTTACTCATGTGAGGTTTGTTCAAATTTGATCCTCCAGAAAAGCTCCTATCTTTCTTTGGCGTATGATCAATTGGGGTTTTAGAAGGGTTCAGGAGTTTTGAGCTTGGGTATCGCTGATAAATATTGGAGTATACTGGTGTTCCAGCACCAGAATTTGTTCTGTAAGGACGTTTTTTCATATAATTCATACTTGGGTATGATAAACCAGAGGCGGAATATAAGTTATTCCTGCCTCTAAGTGATGGAGTTATAGGACTTGGGGTGCCTGATGAGCCCTCGTCAATAACTGGGACATTTTCAAGGAGAAAAGTGGGCATTTCATCCTGATTTTGTCCAGAGCCACTCGACATGGTTTTCATGAAGCCTTTCGGTTAATGTTGTTTCCAGTAATGTTTCTTGTTTGTGGTTCATCAATCAATAATAGAACTGTTTTCCCAAGATTTGGTGTTTTCACGCAGGTGCTCTTCTTTCATCACGTGGACAGTTATTAATTATTGATTAGAAAGTTGTTCACTTTGCCATGCATCAAGTGAAAAATGAATGGGACTTAATGTCATTTGCTGCTTACTGTAAAAAGGAATCAGTATAATAGTCAAGGCAGGGCTTGTATCAATTGGGGCAAGCTCTTTTGTGTGTGTGTGTGTGTGATAATTCCCATTAGATGATGTGCTACACCCCCCTTCATTTTTTTTTTTTTTTTTTTTTTTGGAAAATTTCCTGATTTTCTCATGTGACTCTGCTCGTATAGTAGGATTTTTTAGGAGCTTCCATTTTTTTGGCGAGAGTTCATACAGAAGAAACCCTTTGTCCTTCAAGGTCTTTCATTAGCAACCATGGCATCATTCACTAGTGTTCTCTCTAGGCCTCTTGCCTCATTGGCTAAGGCATCCGCTCATAGACCAATTCATGTGATCATCCTCACCGCTTTGGTCACCGCGGTGGCGTATTTGTCAATCGTTGATGAATTTATTAGCTTGAACTCGATCGACGTTTCTCAAGTCTCTTATTACCATCCTCCAAACACCAATGACTACAAGGACTGGACTTTGATTGAAGATATTGCATTGTACCCTAATGCTGCCCATGTCGGTATCACCCCTTTGAGCTTCAAGAGAATTGCTGAAAATCAGATCCCAGCGGTGGAAGATACTGTTTTCTATGCTGATTCGGCTGAAAAATATTTGATTTGTGACTTTGATGATGTGAAAAACAAGCTCAATAACATCAGCCAAATTACCACAAACGATGGCACCACCTGGAAAACCGTTCATCAATACAAAATTAGTAAATATCAAGAATATGCTAAAAGCGCTTACAATACTTTGAAATCTGTTATTTCTGGCGCTGAAACTTACGATATCGTCATTATTACCATTGCCTATCTTGCCATGTACTACACCTTTTTCAAGTTGTTCTTTGATATGAAGAAACAAACTGGGTCCAAGTTCTGGTTAGGTTTTGCATCAATCACTCTGTCTCTGTTTGCCTTCTTGTTAGCTTTCGCTACTGCCAGAATCTTCAATGTTAAAGTTTCATTCTTTAGCTTGTCAGAAGGTATTCCGTTTTTAGTCGCTACTGTTGGTTTTGATAGAGTGGTGAAATTAAGTGCTTCTGTTTTGAATGCGGCAAATATTGACAAAGAGTCTCACAGTATCAGTTCATTGATTCACAAGCAGCTTGAAAATTCTGCTCTTAATTTTGTGAAGGATCAATTATTATGTGCATGCGCTTTCTTAGCATGCTCTTTATACGCGTTCCATTTGGAAGGATTGAAAAACTTTTGTCTTTTGAGTGCTCTTATCATGCTTTATGATGTTCTTTTAACTTTTAGTTATTACTCTGCTGTTTTGGCGTTGAAGGTTGAAATTAACATGATCCACCGCTCCACTGCTTTTGAACAAGCTATGGAAGAAGATGGTATTCCTGAATTCGCCGCCAAACAAGCTTCTTTGCAGTCCACTGTTTCTCAAGAAGAGGTCAACTTCAATTTCGATAACACCTCTGTCACTGCTTTCAAATTATTTAGTGTTGTTTTATTCATTGCCTTCCACGTTTATATTGTTGGTAGCAATTGGGTTTTTGTTAGTGAAGTTAATAGCCGTTCTGACGCCACTGTTGTTCAAAATTTGTCTAAATCAATTGCCAAACATATTGATATTAGTCCAAATGGAACTATTGTTACTTTCCTTGAGCCAAGAATCTATGTTCCAAAGAATCTTTTCTTCCAAGCTCAAGATATTACCTTTAACTTTTTAGAAAGACTTTCTGGTGCTATTCGTGACAGGTTTATCAGTAAAACCTTGTTGTTCCTTTTAGGCACCAGCGCTGCTATTAACGCATACTTGCTTAACGCTGCGAGAACTCACTCTATTGATAAGCCTTCTCAAAAGCTCAATGAAGCAATTGAATCCAAGAAATTGGCCGAAGCTGCTGAAAAGGCTGCCGCAATTAAGGTTCAAGCTCCTTCCACGTCCACTTCCACCCCATCTGCCCTTGAATCAAATACAACTCACACATTCGATGAATGTGTTCAAATTCTCAAAGAAGGTAACGTTGCTTCTTTGAATGATGACGAAGTTACCTCTCTTGTTGTAGGTGACAAATTACCACTTTATGCCTTGGAAAAGAAATTGAGTGATACCACCCGTGCTGTTGTTGTCCGTCGTAAAGCTATTGCTAAGTTAGCAAAAGCACCAGTTGTTGATTCCGCTGATGTGCCATACTTGAACTATAATTATGATAAAGTATTCGGTGCTTGTTGTGAAAATGTTATTGGTTATATCCCTTTGCCTCTTGGTGTTGCTGGTCCTTTGTTGATCGATGGTAAACCATACCATATTCCAATGGCTACTACTGAAGGTTGTCTTGTCGCCTCTACTATGCGTGGGTGCAAGGCCATCAACTCTGGTGGTGGTGCTACTACTGTATTGACAAGAGATGGTATGACCAGAGGCCCTTGTGTCAAATTCCCATCTTTGAAGCGTGCTGGTGCCTGCAAGATTTGGTTAGATTCCGATGAAGGTCAAGAATTATTAAAGAAGGACTTCAACTCGACTTCTAGATTTGCTAGACTTCAACATGTTCAAACTGCAATTGCTGGCTCATTATTGTTTATCAGATTTAGGACTACTACTGGTGATGCTATGGGTATGAATATGATCTCCAAGGGTGTTGAATACACCTTGAAACAAATGACTGAAGCCCACGGTTGGTCTGATATGGATGTTATCTCTGTTTCAGGTAACTATTGCAGTGATAAGAAACCTGCTGCCATTAACTGGACTAACGGCCGTGGTAAGAGTGTGGTTGCTGAAGCTCGCATTCCTGCAGAAGTCATTAAGAAGGTTCTCAAGAGTAATGTTGATGCCTTGGTTGAGTTAAATGTTTCTAAGAATTTGATTGGTTCCGCCATGGCAGGTTCTATAGGTGGGTTTAATGCACATGCTTCTAACTTGGTCACTGCTGTGTATTTGGCATGTGGTCAAGATCCTGCTCAAAATGTTGAAAGTTCGAACTGTATGACTTTGATTGACAAGGTTGGTGAAGATTTGTTGATTTCTGTTTCTATGCCATCCATTGAAGTCGGTACTATTGGTGGTGGTACAATTCTTGGACCTCAGGCTGCCATGCTCGAAGTTTTGGGAGTTCGTGGTCCACATCCAACTTCACCAGGTGCTAATGCCCAGCAATTGGCTAAGATTGTTGCATGTGCCGTCATGGCTGCTGAATTATCTTTATTATCAGCCTTGGCTGCTGGTCACTTGGTGCAAAGTCATATGCAACACAATCGTGCTGGTCCAGTTGTTAACAAAGGTTGCAGTTGAGTCATAATTCATAAGAATTATCCTTATATCACCCTTTTACAGCTCTTACTGAAGAAAATTCTTTAGATGATCTTTACTATTTTTAAACTTTTACCTATGCTTTACTTCTTTTTTTTTTTTGTTCCCCCTTTGTTTGTTTGTTATTTTGATTACCTGTTTTAGTTTTCCGTCACAATCTTTTAACCAGAATGAAGCAATTTATATTCAAAAACTACCGATTTCCTCCCCTCACCTCCAATGAATCAATAAATCGGTATTTATTCATAATTAAACGAATTAACAAAAACAAAATGAAACTTTATGTAGAAATATAATATAGAAAATAAGCCTGTAAATTGGTTTATTTTTTCCCGCTAAAATCCAACTTCTCAAAAGTCTTTCTAGCCCTCTTTATCACATCCTGGACATATTTTTCTTCTGAGATTTTCACGGTCGTCAGCTTATTGATGTCCTTTTCTATTTTACTATCAGGAATGACAATCATTATCACCATATTGTCTGTTAAGTTATCTAAATAGATGCTCTTTGAATTTGCATACAAGGTCAATGATCTGAATCTCGCAGAAATTTTTTCAACAGACTTCTTATAGTTCTTGATGATACCCGACACTCTTTGGGTGATTGAGTCCAAATCAGCCTGTTCATCTTTTGGTAGACTATTTGGATGGGTGGCGATTTTCAAGAAAGTCGAAGTTTCAAAAATCATGATAAATTCCGCACTAACAATATTACCCAAATTCTTCAAATGTTTTTGCAACGCCTGAGTTTCTGGAATTAGTGACCCCACAATCTGAGACCATGCTTTATAAAGCGATTCATCCCAGATAGAAGTTTGCGCACATTGAACGTTATTTTGGTCAAGGAAGAACTTGAGATTACTCGAACTCTTGACACCAACATAAAAGTCAAGAAAGACTTTCTCTCTTTCCTCCTCATTCACCAAGTCCATTTTATGTACCAACAAAAAGATCTTGCACCTTGGACTAAGGTTCTTCAATGTATTTAAAATCAAATTAAAGATTTCAAAGTCCTTGGGCTGGGTTCCTTCGATATCAAACACATAAATCAACAATTCTGCATTATTCAATTTAGTGCTTCCTGCTTTAATATAATTTAACATATAAGAGTCTTGTCCACCACAATCCATCAAAGACAAATTTAAGTTATTTAATAAACGAATTTGGGTACGTTCCACATCGATGGTTGCCCCTAGTCTTCGTGTATCAATTGCAGAGTAGTTGGAAAATATCATGTTTCTCATGGAGGATTTCCCTGAGCCACTTTTGCCCATTAATAATATATTTTTGTAACTCATCTTTGAAAATTGTCTTGTTTAACTATTATTAAAGCCTTGCTTTCTTGTTAGTATGAGGTGGTGCCACTGCTTCCCTATCTTGTTAAAGAGTGATGGTTGTGTGTAATCTGAATGTGTAAAATAAATGAACCAAAAAAAAAAAAAAAGGAATCTCATCACGTGCTGAAAGTGATACTGCTGATAAACAGAATCACCAACTCATGTCTGTTGTGTTAGATGGTTGTTAAAATATTTTCAATTATAAGCTTCATATTATCTGTTTAATCCTTATTCTTTGGAGGCGATAGTTATATGTAGCTATAGCAAACCTGGTTCCTATGGTTAAATAAAAGTAGTAAGTAGTAAACTTAAAGGTTATGGTGCCCTGGGTGATAAATCCCCCCAAATTGATAAACTCATCAAAGATTTTTACAGAGATTGTTGTGTTTTCACTTCTTGCTGCAGGAAAGAAAGAGTGCAATTTGACATCCATCTCAAAGAATCCTGGAAGTGTCTATATTTATTTATTCTTTTAATTAAAAAGAAGGATTGAGAAGAAAACAGTATAATTTTTAAAAATGTCATCATCACCCACTCACTCTCAAGGTGCAGGTGCGAATGATACTCATACCAGAAAGTCGTCAATCTCTTTCAGAGCCCCTCATCTTTCAGAGTTTTACAAATTTGTATCTGGGTCAAGCCATCAGAGAAATAATTCGCTTGATGGTCAAAAAAGCATTACTCTGAGACCTGATAGTTCTGTGAACTTCCCTTATGGAAAGCAAGCATCCGCAAGAAGTTTGGATAAACGGAGACTTTCCACATCAACTATCGGAACCGATATATCTCTAACGCCCTCCATTCTTGATTTGCCGACTATTATATCAAGCAAAGACAGGGTAGAGTATGAGGAGGCCCTTAATCTGTTGCATACCGCCTCCCAAAAATATTCGAACGCGTTGTCGACTGTGTCATCCGCAGCTTCGGAGTTTGGCATGGCCTTGGAGAATTTGGCTCGTCTCAAAGGTAGCGACTCACAATCTAACAATCTAATGGCGTGCTCTGGTCTATTTTTCCTCATATCCAATCATCAACAAGTATTGTCTTCGGCGATTGACAAGAATTTTAAAAGCCCTGTGGGGTCTGTTATCAAATGTTTCAAGAAAAGAACCGTGCGCAACGATGTGATTTTCAACGAACAGCTAAAATCACAAGTTAGAAGTTTGAAGAATTTGGAAAGTGTCAGCTATAAAATTTCAAAATCAAAAAAGAGAAACTTGGTCACTTATAAAGAAACGCTCAAACGGATAAATAGTCAAATTGATTCTATTGATTCTTTAAAGTATAACTATTACGACTCATTGTCCAAATTGATACAGGATAGCAATGATAGAATCATAAGGGATTGTTGCACTGTTGCAAAAGCAGAGTTTGAGATTCATGAGAATATTGCCAGAAAAGGTTGGACTGGAGGCGGAATGGATGAATTGCTCGTGGACTGTCCCGATCCTTTTGGTGAAGAAACTGAAACGGAATCAATGATCGAAGAAGATGATGATGATGACAATAATGGATTGAGATCTACAGAATTATACAACAACACCAAGAATTTGAGAATTGATGACCTAGGATCTTCTTCAATGCTATCGTCACCCCAACCACACGCAATTCCTTCTCCAAATCCAAACGAAAATCCCTTCTATACCAAAATCTCTTCAAAAAACCCTCGGGTGAAACAACAACTCATCAATACAAGAGACGCCATAACTATTCATAATGACATGTTTTCTCCGATTTCAATGAGCGCAGCTTCTCAGAATTTGATTTCCCCACTTTCTCACAAATCGTTTGGCTCAGAATTAGGAAGTCGTCATAACTCGAATGACAACAGGTCAACCCATACCTTAACTGAATACAAGAAAATCACTAATGAAGATAATAAGGACGATACGCCCCTAGATTCAGGTGGATCATTTGAGCCGCTGGTTGCAAACCACAATTCAGTAAAAGAAACTGTCGGTTCTGAATATGAAGTTGCCAATCACGATGATAATAATTATGATGATGAGGACGGTGATGATAATTCCTTTTCTTTGCCATTGCCTAGTAGCCATATCAGCAATTCACATTCATCATCAGATATTCTACCAAACCAGTCGCTCTTGAATAACGCATGGGATGATTAGTGACTATTTTCTAGTGTGCTTAATGTTTACAAACCTCCTTTTCTTTTTTCTTTTTTTTTTTTCATGGGATTCTTTTTCCTTCTACTGATTGTATTGCTCATTTCTCTCCTTAATATTTTTCTTATTTCTCTACTTGCTAAACCTCATAAAATTATAGATTTATTCCTTTCTAAAATATCTTTCTTTTTTCTTTTTTTTTTAACACGCTTCTTGCAAAAAAAAAAAAATTATCTATGGGTACCGGTTATTGTGTTTGACAATAGTAATTAATGTTCTAATTATATATATATATTATAAATAATGCATTTCGTCTTTTTTTTTTCTAATGCGTTACTACTGTAGTTAGTCATTAAACTGTTAAAAGTAATGGCCGCAGAGAACTTCTTGTGGAAGAGCAAAAGAAGGCCCAGAAATGAAAAAGCCAGCCTAAACCAGAAAATAGTTTCAAGAATTTTCAGTCTGATTGATTAACCAGACACACTGGGATCCCCATTTGGAACTTCTTAAAAAAACCATATGCCTTTTCAAGTATTGTATAATTTCCTGTTTGTGTCCAGGAAGACCTTTCTTCAAAATAAACTGAATTATAAAGCTTCCATAGATGTTGGAGGAAATATCCACCAATGCAACTCTAGCTTTTCCTTCAACCTTAATACAGACAGCATCTAAATATCTCTGAATGACCGACTCATCACTAACCTTAAACATAGTTTCGATAACTGTTGCACCATATTGATCAAAGCTGAAGTTGATGGCATTTCCAATTATTTTATTAATCACAGTGGCTTTGTGACCTTCATCACAAAACTCTAGCAAATGTTTGATGACCCAATTGCCCCATTGGTTGCAGCAAATAGCATTTAAATTTTGGATGATTTCATCAACACATTCCAGCTTCTTTTGACTATCGCCAAAAGTTTCTAGAATTGACTGCACGACCAAACTACCCGATGGTGTTGTACATACTTCACCCCACTTTCCTTTAAATTCTTTGTTAAACAATAGCACAACGTCAATCATATTTGATGAATTTCTGTCCCAACTAATTTCAATAATCTTTTGCCAGACATGACAGGCATGCCGGTGTGAGAAAGTATTACCAATATCTAATGAAATTTCTTCGACAATTTTATCTTTGATAAATTCATTGGTATAATCTAAAGCCTTTTGAATAACGTGGCATCCATATGGATCAGTTGATAATTGAATTACGTTACCAATGATTTTACTGGTAATTTCCGAATTCTGCTCAACTGTACCGTACTCTAAAGCTCTCTGTACTAAAAAGTTCCCAAATTTATTGATCAGCAATAAAAAAGATTTCTTGAAAATGGCTTCATAAATTTTCTTGCGAATCTCTGGATTTGATTGTTTCAATTTTTGTTGTAAAAAGATCGATGCCTGCTGCTCATTATTATCGGTGATTCTAGCAATAATAAGGTTCCAATCGTAATCTATATCTTTATCCAAGAGAGTTCTGTAATTCAATTGCTGGCTTTGATTATGAAACTCCATGGATTGCGTGCTCATTGGAGGAGATTGTATGTTGAAATATGATTCACTATATTGCAATGCACCCGGCCTTTTTTTGTTTCTGGAAACAGCTGAAGAGCACTCGGGAATAAATCTTCGGGTGAGGCTAACTTCATTTAAATAGCTTTCATTTTTTTCCGCTAGGATTGGAATTTCTGGAGAAAAAGCTTGATATGGCTGTCCTCGTGCTGCAAGGTTTCCAGTTTGTAGCATATAGTTCAAATGATGTTGACCACAATAAATTGAGCAACCTGGTGATGAAGAAAGAAACCCATTAGGAGTAGCATATTCTAATACATGGTTCATTGGGATATTTGAAGACCATGCTGGCAAATTTTGTGTATAATTAAACAAATGATCGTGAATCCTATTGAATCCTCCTGAATCAGATGGAAATTCTCTTGCTGTGCAGTTGTTGGGGTTGGATTTTGAAAGCATGATAGGACTACTTTCCTCTCCTAATACAGAATCCAAAAACCTAATCCAGCTATTAGATTTTTTAGGACATGTGCTATCATTCATTATAATTTCCTTTTTGGATGGTATTTCCTTACCAAGAATAGTATTAATAGGAGTATTGAAGAACCTATCAGATGTTTCAAACATTTTTTTTTTTTGTTATTAATAATTCGCTTTTGGTTGTAACAGGATTTGAAGAAGGTGAGAAAAAAATATGAAAAAAAGAAAAAAAGATTAAAAGTTTTTCAAAAATAATTAGTGAGTACAAAAATTATATCTGGGAGCAAAAAAGAAGAAGAAAAACTCTTTTCAAGGTGTGGGTAACCCGTGTTCTTCTTCTTGTTATTATTGTTATTATTGTTATTATTGTTATTATTGTTATTATTGTTATTATTAGTATAGTAATATTTATTATTATTTTGTGTGGTTTACCCATTAAGATGAGATAGGAATATTTCATGCGTTAGTTTTGCTACGGAATTGTAGTCCACAAACACACTGAGTTATAAGGCACTGCGCATGGAGGTCGTCGACGACACAAATAAAAATAGATACTGCCAAAGATACAATTTATTCATTTTCCCCTAGAAGTATCTACAAGTTATATTGCAGTGGTGTGGCTTCTTGACAGCAAGTATCTGAAATATATAGTTAGCATTCGGCACCAGTCTGTTATTGTTTGTAGAAATTCATCACCAAAAGCTCTTCATGTTGCAAGCACAATTATGCTTTGCGCACCTCGTAATAACTGATTACTCAGCGCGATAAGATTTTTTTTTCGTTTTGGGCCAATCACTGTGTTATGATTATCCAATGGTAATACGATCTGTTATCTTCAAAATATTTTACAGCCGTATTAGATAGTCGTTTGAAACCATCCTTCATTGCATAGTGGAGACGAAAAAATTGTCTTTATCAACCGAAACCCGTGTGTCCTTTATTCATCGGAGGCCTGTAACCTCGGAGAAAAAATTAGCCCTCATACATACACAAAACCGTGATGACATTGTAAAAAAAAATTGGTACCCAACGTTGCATGTCAATAATATCCCTTATATCACTGAAAACTCTCTTTAATCTAAAAATAAATAAAAAAATCTGGGTTGGTCCGTCATAACTATGGATAATGATCAAGACATGACGTTGTCATCAACTTCACGTTCTGCGTCATCGTCACCATCGTCACCTCTACCAAAGCAACAGCAGCAGGGAAATGATAGTCTATATCAAAAATTGCCCCGTCTTTCATCCACACCTCCTGTTCTCTCCTCTCCTACTCATTTCACTAGGTCCAATAATCATACACCGATGCGATCGCCTATACCTAAAAAACCCTCCAACAATACTAGCATGCTTCCAGAATCACCCAGGCTAGTCGGTCAAGATTCTTTGAGGTCGCCTACACAGCTTCAGTTTCAACATGCTGAGACCACATATTGTGGCGGCCATGAACATAGTTTTCCAGGTGTATCTTACTCTGCTCCTTCTACTCCGAAATTAATCTCCGTTAGTGGTACTATCCCTTTAAATAAGGAATCTTCAGGTTACAATGAACCGACTTTCCATCAGCTAAATCTTTCTCGTTCCGATCCCAAATCTCCCAAAAGGTTTGCAAGCCCCAAGCAACTTTTTACGGGATCACCTGTGGCTTCTGCATTGTCTAGCTCAGTCAATATTGGAGTGAGTGAGCTGAAAAGTGAAACCAGTTCTTTATTAAACTTAGGCACTAGACACCCAAGAAACCCTAAAGCTTTGCCAGAATCTAATCTTAAATATAGCAGAGGCTATAATTATGGATCAATCAATCTGGGGACAAGCAATAATAAACAACGACACAATATTATTGAAGAGCAAATAAAACTTCCAAAAAAAACAATTAGAGATAAGATATCATATTATGTGCCCTTGGTTTCTTGGTTACCATTTTATACAGTTTCTGATTTCTTAGGAGACTTGATCGCTGGAATTTCTCTTGCGTCATTTCAAATACCTTTATCTTTGAGTTATGCCACTTCTTTGGCCCATGTCCCCACTGTTTGTGGTTTATATGCTTTGATTATTCCACCAATTGTGTACAGTATCTTCGGTACTGTTCCTCAAATGATAGTTGGTCCTGAGGGTGCGATTTCGTTAGTAGTGGGACAAGCTGTGGAGCCAATCTTGAAACATGAAGGTGAAAATGGAATAACTGGTAATGATTTAGTAGTGATTATATCTGCAGTAAGCGGTGGTGCTTTATTGGGAGCAGGATTGCTAAAGTTTGGGTTTTTAGAGAATGTTTTGAATGGGGCTTTATTAAATGGATTTATCTCGGCAGTGGGGGTGGTAATGATTATCAATGGTTTGATTGAAGAATTGAAACTCCTGGCCATTTTCAGTAAATTGCCAGGACATGAGCACTCACCAGTTGCGAAGGTGAGATTTTTATGGAACAACATAGAAAATGCGCATTATCCAACCGTTATTATTAGCGTGGTCACATTTTCTGTCATCATTGGATCTAGAATCTTGAAGAGGTATGTGAATAATAAACCTTCTCTTGCAAAATACAGAGCTTTCTCAATTTTCTTCCCTGAGATTCTATTCACGGTGGTAGTGACGACTTCATTATCATGCTTCTTACAGATTGATAAGGTTTATGGGATTGAGGTTCTCGGAGAGATCAAAGCCATTGGATTCAATCTTGAGAATCCGTTTAACAGATTCGAGGACTATCATGGTGAACAATTCTTGAGAACTCTAATTGGGGCAGGCTATATGACAGCAATTCTTGGATTTTTCGAAAGCACTACTGCCCTGAAATCCTTGAGCACGCAACTCGATCTTGAGGTATCACCAGATAGGGAGTTGTTTGCCCTTGGAATGATTAATATATGCGGATGTTTTTTTGGAGCACTACCATCCTTTGGGGGTTATGGGAGATCAAAAATCAATGCGTTATCTGGAGCTAAGACTACTTTTAGTGGTGCAATCATGGGGATCGTTACATTAATTGTGACCATTCATATGCTATCACTCATTTATCACTTGCCTAAATGTTTGTTATCTGTCATTTCCACGGTTATTGGAGTATCTTTACTTGAAGAAGCTCCTTCTAATCTTATGTTTCATTGGAGGGCCAGAGGTTATAATGAACTAGTGACATTTTTTATTACAATATTTGCTACACTTTTTTCATCACTTGAATTGGGAATAACTGTTGGGTGTGGGTACTCGCTTCTTCGAGTCATCAAGCATAGCGGGAAGTCTAGAATTGAAACCAATGTTGTTGAAGTTGATAAATTTGATATTCTAATAGTGAGAATCCCTGAGCCATTAACTTTTACCAACGCCGAGGCCATTCGTCTGAAAATGATGCGTATTAATGGTGAACTTAACAATTGTATATCTGCTATTGTCATAGACATAAGTAACATGGCTTCTATTGATAGCTCAGCATCACAAATTTTGAACGAGACGATTCAAAAGTTTGTGAGGCGAGGGGTTGTTCTGTGGGTATGTGGACCAAATTTGGCGTATGAAACTCTGATTCTGCCTCCTCCAAATGCTTTTCTTAGAAGATTGGACGTCTTGAAAGATATTCAATTTGCAAATAGCGTCGATGAGGTTTTGGATATTATTCGCAGTACTGTTGATGATCTTCCAGTTATAGAAGATGCAGACACGATGTCGTTGTATAGTAGATCATATATGCAATTGGAAGCCTTGTAAAGGGCTTTCAAAATCTTCATCATTTAAAATATATTTTACATATCAATGAACTATGTAGTTTAAAGTTGAATTCCGCGGCAACATTATTAGATTGAAATAAACTAGGTATTTGATTAAGTAAGTAGTTCTTACAGAATCTGGATATATTTACAGTAGTCAGAAATTTTTAGCAAAATGTTATAATAGAGAAAAGCTCTCCACAAACGTATCAATGATCGCTCATTCTCGCATGCAGTTGCTAATAGCAGCGAATCAACAGGTATAGCACCGGCTCTTATGGTATAATATTATCAAGAGGGCAACCTATGTAACTGAAGAGCCTCGTAGCTTCATCCCTATGTATGTCATAAAATGACGTTCCCACCTCCGTACACCGCGGGGCAGGCGATCCCACACCCAAGCACCACTCAGTCACACGGTACCAGCAATCACACCGGTGTACAACTGGCTTGAATAATTGCGGGAGCCGACAGGGTACACATGAAGGAGACCTGGCCCGGTGATGATAAGCAGATGGTGTGATGTTCATAGCTATTATATTTAGCTCATCTATTCTATCTATATATTGTTCGGGGGCCTTATAGTTTCGGATATTGGATGTTAATGGGCCCTTTTACTAAATAAAATAAATAATAGGAGTACCACCGGGTGCCAGTGGTGGGGGCCCTGCGGGGTACTGTCTCGGTTGCCCCACCATCGAATGTATAAAAGCACGGCGCGATCTCCAATGATTTTGACAGCTGAGATGAATTTATGAAGGAGAAGGAAGAGAAGGAAGAACAGAAAATGCCGCCAACACGTCGTTACATCTGTTCCTTTTGTGCTAAATCTTTCTCACGGTCAGAACACAAGTCTCGTCATGAACGATCACATACAAATGAGAAACCGTTTGGTTGTACAATCTGTTTTGCGAAGTTTGTCCGAAGAGATCTTTTGCAACGCCACTTAAGAACCGTTCACAATGAGCAAAATCCTGGGAGGCTAGTCCAAACTACCTTATCAACCGGCGTCAATACTACTATTTTAAATGGCAATGCAGGGGCTACTGCTCAGTCGGCACCTAATCAGCATTCAGCAACAACAAGTATTGCTTCGACTTCACAAGATAATACACCCGAGCCTGCAAATTTTGGAAACCCACAGTCTACAATGCAATCGAATCAGGAGACTACTGAGGATTCACCAAAAGCCGATGCTAATGAATCTATAACTTCAAGCAACATCATCAGTTCCAATTTTTACTCTTTGTCAGAAAGAAACCTCATTCTTTTACTTGCTTTGTCTAAAAAATTTGCCAATCTTGATTTGGTTGACGGGAAATTGATCCTTGCCAATCGTGAAAATGCTATTGGGAACAGCAATTTGAGACCGGTTATTTGCAGCTCCAAAATTTCAAACTATCTTCTTATTTGGGGTACTATTTCAAACATCAAGTTCCCCGTTATTCTAAATCTAAACAAGATTTTAACCCTTTCCACTATTGAAAGCCGTCATCCAAATAGCAACCAAAGTGGTACAGTTTTCAGTTCCGCCTTATTTTACGCAGTATTAGCATTTGGTGCTGCTGAATTTGGTCAATTTAATGATTGTTTGAAGCTTTTCAACACTTGTTGGTCTCTAATATTGCCAAAAATGAGTAGACCAGAAGAAATTATTGAACCCCTCACTATCCTAGGCTACATTTCCTTCAACTATCTTCAGGAATTATATTATTTCAAGGGCAATAACCAGGTCTTACCTTCAAGAGTTGCCGCTGTTTCTGTGTCCATACATACAATTTTTCAGTGTTTAAATGAGGTCATTTATAATTTGATTTCTGAGTATTATACCACCTTAAAACAGACAAAATCTTATCATGGAAGCATTTCTCTTAGTACCATCAACTACTACAAATCACATGGGCTACCCATCCCCCCTGAATTGTTGTCACAAGAAGTCAATCCTAATTTACTTAACTCAGTAGGCCGTGAATTGTTCAATTATTGGTACGCATATAATCTACTTTCGACATATTCTTTGAATTTTGGAAAATCATCACCAAAAATTCATTCAATTTTTCTCAAAAAAATCTTACCAACAAATAATGATTATCATTTCATGTCAACTGAAGCACAAATAAAAACCAGTAAACCAGGAAATATCGATTTCAATAAAAAGCTGATCGATTTTATTGCCAACGAAACATTGAAAGATGCTCTTAATAATTTATCTAAATCACCTAGTTTGTTGAGAAACTTGATTTCTGGTTCTAGTGACATCAATTCTTTGACTAATTCGGTTTTCCCAGCAAACACGTTCAAGAATTTGACTCTTAGAGAAAATTGTATCATAATGGGACTATCTAATGAATTACAATCAATTCGTCTCAACGAAGCAAATTTATACAACAATAATCGAAATTCTCTACATAATGCAATTATCATGGCAAATAAGTCGTTGAATGTCAATTCCAACTACCAACAATTTTCGACTTCATCAAAGACCTTTTCTACAGGCTCCACAACTGCTCCTGATAATGCTAATAATACCGAATATTCTTTATTTATGGAATCGCCCTATCTGGCACAAGCACCAAGTGCATCCTTAGTTTCCTATTTACGGAATGTTTCAACGTTTGGTTCCAAGTCACACGGAGTTCATTCACCAAATGAGCCTAACTTGAATATTGTCAATAATACCACTATCAATTCCAACTCGAATTATTTGTTCAATGTCAATAATTTCTCCAATATGCTAGTTAACAGCAATATCAACCAAGACTTAATCAATATTTGTAATTTGATCATCATCCTCAAGAAAAAAGTGCTAATTAATTGTGAGAATAAACTTATTCAGGACTTACTTATTGATTATATTATTATCCCAAACCATGAAATTTATTGGAATTTATTGTATATCACCATCAAAGAGTTCACCTTTAGTAATTCTGATTTCATCCAATGGAATGAAATGGATGATGAAGCCATGAAGGACAAATTCCAGCAATCCTATATGAACCCCATCGGAAATTTGTCATCAACAGGCTCCCATTTGCATGGAAGTGCGAGTTTTTCTAATGGTGCATACGGTATTGGGCCTTACGTTAATGACATGACTTTCAACTCTTCATTCAATGGCTTTTCAGATTTGATTCATGATATCATGAGAGAAGTGAATATCAATGATGTTGTTTCCAAAATCACCAAGTTTGTAATTGGTAATTCCAAAAAATTTTGTGATAATGTGATAATTAACAACAATTTGGGTTTGGCGTCTTTGCCATTATTGTTTATTGGGTACTTAATCAACTCTTTGAGTCCCCAAAATTTGGTCAATGAAGGATTTCGTACTTTTAACCTCAATTCTCCGGAAGATTTGATGATGAATTTTTTAAATTTGAATGCAGGATCAATGTCAAATAACAGCTTGGTATTTCTCAAGTATTTCTTGAAACTACCAAAAAACTTTGTCAACTTGTTGATTGAGGATTTCCTAATTTTGATCAAGGTTTTTTACAGTTTGAAGAAAAGTACGATTGCGAAAAGTGAAAATGATGTTGGAACAAAAGAAAATAACAACGCTAGTGGCCTTGACGGTGGCATATCTCAGACTTCTAGGGAGCTGAATACTGTTGGTGAAAATGATGAGACCGAAAAGGTAAACACTCAAGAAACGTTTAAAGCTTCAATCGAAAAAATTGTCAATTCTCCAATTCTCGAATCAATCGTCTACTTAATTCGTGAAATGGGGTCTGATCTTAAAAACGATGACGTTTTGGGCTCAGATAATGTCAATCCAGCAGAAATTATTGCCAAAAGCAATAACACTGTCAATACCGATCGTAATTTAATCATTGATGGTTTAGTTGATTCAGATGACGATGTAATTCTCTATTTCTATTTGAAAAATATTGAAATCATTTTTATCAGCTGGCTAAATTTTTTGAATTTTGGAAATAATCAATTCATTCAAAACAACAACAACGCGATTGATAATTATTTGACAAGATTAATCAAGTATGTTCAATTATCGATGGCCCAAATTTATGAGACGTTGGATATTAAGACTAAGTCAAAAGAAAGACAAAGAGTCCCAGGGGTGGGAATATCACAGAATCATACGATGGGCTCTTTTTCCCTGAAATTTCACCATTCTTCTTATTATCCTCAGAGAGATCAAGCTGCTCAACCTTACCTTGGACAGCCTCCAAATTTGATGCCAACTTCTAATGCTTCTCAGTATCATCATTCCCATCCTCAACATCATCATCATGCATCTGTTCCATATAGCTCTCGTTATTATTCCACGCCTTATGGTGTTAATCTGGTGCCCGCGACTTCCCATGCTCACCAAAATCTAATTTCATGGTCCTCGCAAGCTGCCAACCTTGGTGACACCAAGCCTAAAATTTCCCCAAGTACACCACAATCTGCAACAGTATCAAACAAGGCAAGTTCAATCTCGAGCTTGATTAATGAAGATAAACACTCTTGAGGAGGTAACATTGATATGTTTAGCCTTTTTTTTTTTGGTGATCCGGTTTGATGGTATTTGTTTTCTATGCTTCTTGTTATGTCTTATTATGTTTTAAGTTTCTAATAGATGTGGTTAGCTGATATTCCAATTAAAGGCAGCAAACTATTTAACGGATTACATCGAGAATAAGTTTATTGTTCTAATGTTTGAATATGAAAAAGCGCCAGTGACTGTAAATTTTTTTTTTTTTTTGCTTCTGAGTTTTATTTGGAGTTTGAGGAGTTTTTTTAAAGTTATCTAAATATGCCGAAAAACTCTCCCTTTTTCGTTATATACTTAAATATAATTGACGATGGAAAAGACAAAGTAAAGATGAATAAAAAAAAAAAATTAAAGAAAAAAAAAAAAGAGGAAGAAATTAAAAGCAGTGACTAAATAACCATGTTAAGAAAAAAGAATTGCGAGCAGAAAATCAAAAGCGTTTTTTTATTTATGATAAAAAGAACAGGGGGGAAAATCATAAAGGAGAATGTCTAAACAAATAAGAAACACTTTCACCATTATGCAATCTTCTAATAGCTTCAGCCAATACACCACTAATATCAATGGTATCCAACTTTGGACAAATCTTCAACTTGTCTTCGAATGGAACGGTATTGGTACACACAACTCTGTGTAACTTACTACCATTGATATTCTTGATGGCATTACCTGATAAAATACCATGGGTGACAATAGCAATCACTTGCTTTGCATTATGCTCTAATAAAATATCAGCGGCTTTGGCCAAAGTACCACAGGTATCAGCCATATCATCCACTATAATACAGATTTTATCAGTCACATCCCCGACAAGTAACATTCGGCTGACTTCATTAGCAACAGCTCTTTCTTTGTGGATCAACGCAAAGTTCAAGTCCAAACGGTCGGCCAAAGACGCAGCTCTTTTGGCACCACCGGCATCTGGAGAAACCAAAATGGCGTTCTTGTAATCGATCTTTTCCTTGATATATCTAAGAACGCTTGGCTCGGCGTAAAGATTATCGGCAGGAACGTCAAAGAACCCCTGGATTTGCGCAGCATGCAAGTCCATAGTAATAATATGGTTAACCCCAGCAGTGGTCAACATATCAGCAACTAATTTAGCAGATATTGGAGCTCTGCTTTTATCTTTTCTATCTTGTCTAGCGTATGGGAAGTTTGGAATCACTGCGGTAATGTTTCTTGCCGAGGCTGTTTTACACGCATTTACCATTATAAGTAATTCGATCAATCTGTCATTGACATCACCACAAGAGATCTGAGAGATAATGTAGATATCCTCATCTCTAACGGACTCGGCAATGGAAAACATCACCTCACCACTAGACTCTCTCTTTATGTCCACCTTACAAAGATCAAGGCCAAGTCTAGCAGCCACGGAATCGGCTAACCCGCGATGAATATCACTGGAAATTAATTTGATTGAATTAGTCGCCATCTTTTAGTATGAGAGTGTTCTTGGTTGTTGAGCTTTTTTTGTAATTGCTTTCTTCAAGGGTTCTTTTCCGAGGAAAGCTATTTGAAAAAAGGAGCAGTGGTGAATTAAAACAATGCGCACACCAAAAGGTAAAATCCGTACGGTGGTTTCAGCTAAATATCCTCGACGAATTTCTTGAAATCGTTTTGTGGGGTTGGTTCAACGTTGGAAAGCTCCAGCTTTTCAATCCGCTACTTGCATCATCTAGTGAAGCAAGACGGTATAAAAAAAAAAAAATTTGCGTAATGAGCTTGATTTTTTTTACCCTACTGCACCGACACCATACTCTCGGCAAAAGTATGGCACAGATGACTAACTAGAGAAAGATGGTAGGATTATTGCTACTGAGAAGATAGAGGATCAACAGTCGAAATGATGGTTTTTTACCATTTAATAGCAATCATGATGATCTTCCTCCAAGGTATTATTTACCAATTGTGTCTGAGTGTATTCCCCTACCCTTACACCAATATGGTGGGTGGATCGAGATCACCTCCTCTTTTATGATTCTTCTATATATTCAGTGTGTTTCTTATATTTATCAACTCCAATCCATAGTAGTTTTTCATTACTAGCCTGTCAGTAACCTACTATTTACAACTAAGAGGCACAAATGGTGCGCAACCCGAATAAAACAAATCTGATCATTTTGGACAAAAGAAAAGAAGAAGAAAAAAATATCATCCAAAAATACCTATAATATACTAAAAACAAATAATAGCAATCAGAAACTTCAAATTTCTATGCCTTAAAACCAAAACAATCAATCGTAAGCTCATAACATAAACATAATATCCCTAAATACTGGAAAATTCATCAGCTAGTCGAAGGAGTAGTAGCTACTCTGCGACGTTTAGAATCTTCATCATTTCCTGTACTTTTCTTCTTTCTTTTCTTACCTTCGCTATCACCGTTAGAAATACCTCCGTTCTTCAAGGTACTTGAGTCGCTAACCGCCAAATTGGCAACATCAAAATTAGGAATCCCTGAGTCCGGAGTTCTATCAAACCGTAGCTTATCCAAAAGGAAGTTCATGTCAAGGGTTTTGATTTCTGTTTTGCTGGTATCGTTGGCGTCATTCTCATATACTGGCCTAAACACTACCGGGCTGATATCCTTCTCTGTGTCAATTATCGTGTGCTTCCCTGGTAAATCAGAAATATGGGACTTGTAAGATTTTCTAAGTTTCACCCCTTTAGTTCCATCTGGGTTTGTACGAGCAACAGATAGTGCAAGGCTATTCAACCCATATAATTCAATGAGATTTTGTTTAGGAGAAGGTCTCGAAGGTTCATAAAATCTGTTTGAGTCAATGTAATAAAAATCAGAGGGAGACATTTGTGGGAGGGAAAACGAGAAAAAAAGAAAAAAAGAAAAAAAGGAATCGGATTCTTTGGTTTTTATCGGTATTCCGCTCGTGGATAATTGTGAATATCTGGTCTTCCCTTACCTCGAGTCGTCTGCCTCATCTTCTGGCGATAATAATATACTAATAATGTCTTGCGCTGAAACTTGAATGCTTCTGATCCGGGTAACATGTTTCTCCAAAAACCTATTAAAATTTTCAAAAAATTCTGAAATTTCTTACTCCTTCTTCTTTCCATCTTCTTTTTTTTATTTTTTATTCATCAATATAATCTAAATGTGCTCCTGTTATGGGGATATATTTGTGTGTATTACGAGATTATATGGTGTATAGAAATAATAATATACGTTGTTCTTTTTATCCACCTCGGGGGACGTACTTCTATATATTTTATGGCATTATATTACATTTACCAACCTCTTTTTCTTTTCTTTTTTTTTGTTTTTGGCTTCTTCGAAGATCCTTATGTCCTTTGCTCCATGATATAATGATTCAAAGCGAAGCCTATAATAATGATTCAATATAATTCTTCCATTTTAGTTAGAAATACAGACAAATGGCGTCATAACAACGAACTTGTTTCATCGTTTGTCTTGAATATAATTGACACAAATTTTTCTGAAATTAATCATTTTACAACACTTGAATAGTATAACAAGGTACTATTTTTAAGAACTTCCAGAGAGGATAGCTTGTGTGTTTATTACTCCCCTGTGTGTGATAGTTGACAAAAGATTTAGGGAAGCATATTTCACGTGTTGCAGTAGGGTGACATCTATCCAAGATCTGAACTGAGAGGGCCCAGTGAAGGGAGAGTGGTACAAAGGGAAAAGACCTGTTGTGTATGGTACACTAACAATCTTTTCTAAAACCACAAAGATTCCTCGACTGCTGTAAATTAGATCAATTGGCCGAGGATGAGAAAGCACCTTTGGAGTAGGAACCAAGCAAAAATATATTGCTAAATGCACTACCATAGAAAAATATTTGTTATGAGCGTGTGCTGTTGCTCTCTCCAAGGGGAAAAACTGCCCCCAGGGACAGTCAACCTATCAGAGGCTGCGCTTTAATAATTTAGGAAAAATTGGGTTGGGGGATTATTTTTTTTTTTTTAGTCTTACTTGATGGATTGTATTTCCAAAGGTTTGTTGGTAGTCGTCTATTACTAGTTATCTGAATCATCAACCATGTTCAACAGATTTTTAGCCAGATCAACCTCTCAAATACTTCAAAAGAGATTGATCTCTTCTTCAATCAAGAGCTCCAAGCCTTTTGCTGGTACCGCTACTTTGCCTACCGGTGGTACATTGGAAAGTACTTGGCCTTCAGATTTCAGACAAACCAGACCAAAGACATGGGAAGAAGGCAGCGAAAGTGCCTTGGATAAGGCTACCAAGTTCTTCTTATTGGCTGAAATGTTTAGAGGGATGTACATATGTCTTGAAATGTATTTCAGAGCCCCATATACCATTTACTATCCATACGAAAAGGGTCCAATGTCCCCAAGATTTAGAGGTGAACACGCTTTAAGAAGATATCCAAGCGGTGAAGAAAGATGTATTGCCTGTAAATTGTGTGAAGCTATCTGTCCTGCCCAAGCAATCACCATTGAAGCCGAAGAAAGAGCTGATGGTTCAAGAAGAACATATAAATACGATATCGACATGACCAAATGTATATACTGTGGTTACTGTCAAGAAAGTTGTCCAGTCGATGCAATTGTTGAAACTCCAAACACAGAATACACTACTCAAACTAGAGAAGAATTGTTGTACAACAAAGAAAAGTTGTTGGAAAATGGTGACAAGTGGGAGCAAGAAATTCAATACTGTTTGGATGCTGACGCTCCTTACAGATGATTCAATGACCATTTATCAAGAAAGAAGGAAAAAAGGACAATCATATAGCATTGAACAGAGGAAGACAGGAGGTGAACTTTCACTAAAACATAGTACTCATAATATCACTTGTTAGTTCACCAGTTTTTGAATGTGATGAAATTTTGCAACTTTGCCTTTGATCCGTTTTATTGCCCTCCAATTAAATTTTTACGTGCTTATTCTATGTTAGTATTTTTTTTTCAATTATTATTTTGCTTTTCAACTATTTTATTTCTCATTATTGAATAGGGTTATCAATCCAGGTCTAAAAAAATTTCTGTATCATTATTCATTCACACATCTCTCTCTACTTATTGCATTAGTATAAAGTTTTACTTCAATAAAAACTTATTTTTTCAAACGATCAATCATATTGAAATCCTTGTATGACATCTTGTTAGGACAATCACTATCCAAGGAAAAAAAAAAAAAAGGGGAGGGGGAGCTTTTTAAATCACAATTATATAATAAAAAGAGAGCATTTGGGTTGGCTATCAATAATTCACAGTTAGATCATGTACGTTTTATGGAAGATTGATTATAGTACAAGAGCACTCTTTGGTACAGACCGGTTTGATAACAAGTGAAAACATTTAACATGAATGCATTGACAGCATGATATCTTGCACAGCGATCAATGAACAATTCACATGAGCCAAAGATAAAGAGAAAAAAAAAACATTTTATTCGTATAGTTTGCCATCTAGTGTGAAAAAAAAAAAATTAGACAGAGATTGGGGATTTCACCATTCACATCTTTGAACAACTCTGAAAAAAATATCTTTCAACAAAAAAATGAGATTATTCTCTTGGGGGTGATTCGAACACCCGATCTGCGGATTTATGCAGGAACTTTACAGTCCGATGCCTTACCAACTTGGCCACCAAGAGCAGATTTACTTGTGAGCTTTTCTGCATTATATATTATGGCATTACTGTTTGGCCGGGTAACCTTTAAAACTTTATACTCTCTTAAAATCGATCATTTTAACTAGTTTAGTAGTAATTGAAAGTGCAATAGTAATTTATTCGTATAGAAATTCATAATTTATATTCAAAATATAAAAAGATTAATAACTATGTATGTTGGGCTCCATTATTGTTGGGTCATTTGAGTAGCTGCGAGCTAACCAACATTAGATGATACAGTTGGGGGTGAGAATGAGTCTGACATGTGAGGGCTTGGGCTGGGTTATTATGAATTTATAATGTCTGCTATTTGTTAAATATCTATTTACTTTGGCTCAGCATTTTAGGCTGCAGGATTTTTGGATCCTTAAAAAGTAGATTCATTCATCAATGAGAATTATGGCTAGTAGTTCAACCATCCGTCAATGGTCAATATTAGAGCATGGTAAAACAGGAGCAGTGTAATCGAAAGTTATATTGTATGAAAAATCTACAGTAGCGTATTGTACTTGTCGTACTTGTCCACTTTTTGCTAAAAACACCCTAGAGTGTCAATAGCCATAACACCATTACTTCTAACCCATATGTTCGTACTTTCTATTTATTTTACTTATTCTACTTTTATTATCTCTCTACGATTTTTAGAGAGACAAGACATTATTCAATTATATATTTTACTACGTTGTTAACTTTGTTAAGTTATTGTTTGTATTAATCCAGAATTATCTTAAATCCGATATTCTTAGACTCTATCCGCCGCTACCACCGACAAGATAGGTCTTACCCTACTACAAGCCATAATCGCGCGAGGTCGACAACAGCAGTATTCAAAACACACGTGCATATCAAGAATTAACATTGTATAGCAAAGCATCATGATAAAATAATAGGAATAATGTCTTCTGAATCAAACATTGTTAACTGTTATTCAGAAATGAACATGTGCACTAGGTTAGAGATGCCGGCAGTTTCTATGGAATACTCCTTGCATGACCACTTCTGTTGTCATTTTTTATAAAAAAGATTTAAAGATTAATAGCGGTTGGGCACAACACTCAACGCTTTCCGAAAAAAAATTTCAACAGATAATCACTGTAGAGGAAAATCAGAATTGATGACGACACGGGCAGGACTCGAACCTGCGCGGGCAGAGCCCAAAAGATTTCTAATCTTTCGCCTTAACCACTCGGCCACCGTGCCAGCTCTATGGGCTTTTTATTTTTTAACATTTCAATAACATAAATATACAAAGGTTACCCGGCCCATCGTTAATATATAAATAATTCATTCATTCCCAGTTTACTTGGTTTATTTAAATTATTTAGTCTACTTGGATTATTTTACTATTATTATTTTATTGATTTTTATTTTTATTATCCCCTCAGAATTCTGATGGTCACTACTTTGAAAATACATATTATTTGAGATATAGTGCCAAACCCATTAACAAAGACCTCCATCTCATTTCATCAAGCTCCTAGTGATGGGTAATTAATTCACTAGTGACTTCATATCATATTTATACATTGCACCTTTTTTCCTTAATAATCTTGATTATTGAGTTTTTTACCGGTGATGTGATTAATCCTTAAAGCAAGGAGCGTGATGTTGTGAGAAAGTTATAGTGTTTTTCTTCAAAAAGTATACCTGTGATATCTGATGGATGCATCAAATGTTCTTTTAGTTAAACACCAACATAAAAAATTCACCGTTTATATTTAAAGTATAAAGATGTTGAATGTTTTGTATTAAATAAAAAGAGAGTAATCATGTTTCCAGACAAATCAATAAGTAATAAAAGTAATGAAACGTGACATTTAATTAGAAATAATACTACAGTGTATGATAAGAGTTGGCATTTCTGACGTAATATTTCCTGTGTTATTATGTGGCCTAATAATCATGTACCATCCATTATGTATCCTCAAATTATAATATACATATAATACTCATTTCAGCTAGTAATGTTATTTATCATATTAATGTGCCGTGGTTATATACCTTAATATATCTCATTGAACTTCAGAATTCGCTAGGATCTTGTGGTACCATGATTTGAAAATGATAAAAATAATGCACACTAAACCCCATTGCTGCTTTCATATTAATGAGAGTATATGCAACCCATAGAACAATTTAATACTGATACGATAATGAAATAAATAACAACAAAAACCAGAAAGCTCTAATAACAATATGAAAATAAGAAAGGTGCGTGAGTCCGCTTAATAATTCATGCACGGAAGCTCCCTTTGTGATTTTTTTTTGATGGCAAATCCTATCTTGACGTTAAATGGGTGTGATTGGAGAAACAAATCTGAACAAACTAAAGAAAATAATCCCCAATGTCAATATTCAATGGTGAATTTAAGAGAGGAAGAGTGATAAATCTTGGTGGGTCTAATAATTCGGTGTCCAAGTCATCAATTCTACAAAAAACACAAAATCAGAGGGAAAAGAGAAAGATATTGAAGAAAAGGGATACTAGCGCCAGAATTCTTCAGAAACATATTAGAGCATATTTGGAATTGAAGGAACAGAAGTCCATGATATCCAAGAATTGGCTAAATATATATGATAAGAAGGACATCAATTCGGTGGTTTATCAATTTCTGTTCTTCCATTCAGTTGAATCCAGACAGAATCCCAGGGATGAATATGAAAGAATGGTTAAACTCTCAAGTACTTTGGATGTTGATAGAATCAATGATTTCAATATAAAGTCACTTTTTAACAGCCTAGCTTCTTCCTTTGACTATTATTATGACTCAGATGCAATGTCGGCAAAAGAGAGTTTAATAATATTATCAAACTTGTCGGGAATTATATCAACAAGGAAAATTATGAGCATTAAAGTTGACAAGTTATTCAGCTCGTTTGATAAGAATCTTCATGATTTAGTCAATAATAAGGAGGTGGAAAATATAATAGCAAACTTGGATTTTGTTGATCCGATGGAAACTTTTAAGTTGTTTAAAAATTCCCATATTATACGGTTAAATTCGATTACGGCACAAGTGCTGAAGTTTGATTTCAGAAGGTTGAAAATTGAGGAAATCTCTGATCTTGATAAACTAAAACTTGTGAGTAATCTATCAGCTTTAGTGCAGCAGAATGCACATGATCTTGAAAGCATTAAATGCTGCATTGATTGTATTATGTTTGTCCTAGAGGCAGTGGACTCCCGAATTGAACAATATGGTGGCGACCAAATTAACGAATATATTGATTATCAAGTAATAAAGTTACCAAATGACATATACAGGAGATTAGACTACATTTTCTCAAAGGATTTCTTACTATTGATACTAGATATGATTAAACGGAAAAAAGCGTCAGCTGCAATTTTACCATCACTCTATTCATCTCTATTGAAACTTAAATCGGAAGCATCCAAAGATGTTAGCAATTTATTTATTTATTTATATCTCTTTGGTTTACCAGAATCTCGGAAACTAGTATTCAATGATAAAGAAGATGATGATGATGTGATGACTGATGATGATTCTAATGAAATGAATTTAAAAAATAATAGAGTATTATTTGAGTATATCTTAGATCTCTCAGAAGAGCAATTAATTAAAAACATTAACAAAGACTTTTTGGAGAAATTTTTCCCATCATTGTTGCACAAGGGATTAACAAATGAATCTATCTTGAATGAAAAGTTTTTCACAAAAGACTTGTTCTTATTTCTAGAAATTTTTTCTTACTGGTTAGTGATCTCGACAGATTCTATGATCAGAAATTTACCAGAGAATGGTGAGGCAGAATTTCTCACAAAGAACCAGCTCATATCTTTTGTAAAGTTTTTGAAGAACCTCTGCCTACTTTTGACATGGAATAATATCAAGATTATTGGATTATTTAATGGTGACCCTATTGAGGAATCAAAGTCTGAAAGTTCAGCGTTTGGAAGTTCAGCGTTTGGAAGCTCAGCGTTTGGAAGTTCAGTGTTTGGAAGTTCATCATTTGAGAGTTCAGAAAATATAAATGCTTTTGGAGGGTCAGAAGCAAGTGATTCAGAAAGAGAAGAAAAAATAACTCATAGAGGGATCAGCTTCCGCGATTATGTGCTCATTAAAAAATTATGCTTTAGAGTTTTAAACCAGTTAAATTTGATTGACTCCAGGTTATCATTGTTGCCAAAAGGGTTTTGGAAGGTTAATGATAAAAGATTAGAAGAGCAAGATAGATTGATACCTATAATTGCTGAAGAAGAAGAAAGTAAACAAATGCAGGATGAATCTGAAGATCAGGATGGTGATGATGAGCAGGATATTGAAGCATTCACGACCCATTTTGGAGGAAGAGCTTCTTTACAAATTGACAAAGCTAAAGGCAGCAAGTCCAAGATTTTACTCAAGAACCAAGACATTGAAGGGGTGTTCAGTATTTTGAATAATTTGCCATTTTTTATTCTGTTCGATAATAGAGTCAGAATTTTTCAGATGTTGATTAGTTTGGATCGTGAAAGAGGCAGATATGATGTGAGAGAATTTAATATGTTGAATTTTTTAACGGGCCAACCACAAGAAGGCAGGAATACAGCGGAGATTAAGCGTGATAATCTATTGAATGATGCGTATGATGCATTTGGGAAATTAGGAGACAACTTCAAGTTTCCATTATCGGTGAAATTTATTGACGCTTATGGTGAACCTGAAATGGGAATAGATGGGGGAGGTATAACTAAGGAATTCCTTACTAGTGTGATTAACGAAGGCTTCAATAACTCCGAACTTTCAATTTTTCAATCAAATAGTAACCATTTATTGTATCCCAATCCTAACACAATTTTGAACTTGAAGTTCAACAATAAATTTTTGGAAGGAAATAATTTAAAACATTGGGAAGCAACTAAGTTGAGGAAGGTAGAATTCTTGGGAAAAGTTATTGGAAAATGCCTTTACGAAGGAGTCCTAGTTGATGTGAATTTTGTTCCTTTTTTCTTGAAAAAGTGGAAATCTGTAGGTAAAGTCTCAACTTTTGATGATTTAAATGATGTGGATCCACAATTATACTCAGGGTTAAGCAAACTTTTGAATTTGGACGATGAGTTCTTTGAATTTTCTGATATGAGCTTTACTATTACAGAAAGAATAAAATTTCACAAGCCAGCTACAAAGGTTTTTAATGTTCGAACAGCCCAAGAAGAAGTTGTTGAGGAAGCAATTAATAATGAGAATTTGGTAACCATTGATCTTATTCCAAACGGAGCTAGTGTTAGTGTTAATAATCTGAATAAACTTCAGTTTCTTAACTCTATAACTAATTTCAAGTTGAATAGATGCATAAATCCCCAGATAGATATTTTTCTTAAGGGACTTTATCAAATCATTCCATCACATTGGCTCAATATGTTCAATCCAAGCGAATTGCAGCTGTTGATAAGTGGAGGCGAAAAAGATATTGATATCAATGACTTTAAAGCAAATGTTGAATACGGTGGATACACTGAACATGATGATACTGTGAAGTATTTTTGGGAATGTGTGGAAGAAATGACTGCAGAGGAGCACTTCAAATTGATTAAATTTGTGACTTCGGTACCACGAGCTCCACTATTAGGATTTGGAGACTTGAATCCGAAATTTGGTATCCGTAATCCACGAGGTGGTAGGGAAAGATTACCGACAGCTGCCACGTGTGTGAACTTGTTGAAGTTGCCAGATTATGGAGACAAGAGGTTATTAAAGGAGAAATTATTATATGTTATCAACTCGGAGGCAGGATTTGAATTATCTTAATTGTGGAGTGTGATGGATTAATTTATTTGGGTTTCTACGCTCCGAAAAAATGAAAGCACAAGCTAAGAATATTCTTCTTCTTCTTTTATGTATTAAATTATTATAATGATAAATCCAATTGGATTGTGGTATAGCAATTCAATATTACTAATACCAGCGACTTGTATCTATATATCTCGCTACTATTATTTTATTAAAATGAAAACCCAACATTTATCGAATTCAGGCATCCGTCACTGTTTTTTCTTTTTTTTTTTTTTCGTTCTAAAGAAATTCATGTCATGGGATTGACAAGAGGTTTCTGCATAAAAAAACGTCATAGAAGAATACAATTACCGATTTTTTTTTCCAGTACCGCACGTAGCGGGAAGTTCCCTTAATTCAAAGTTATTGTACAGACAGTGCTGTCACTTGCCCCAAAATTTTTCTATTTGTCGGTTTTAATATCACCCTTACCCCTTGATCCTTTTAACCAGTCACCCACGGGACCACCAATGAGGGTGGAACGAAAAAAAAGAAAAAAAAAGCAAACCGTTCGGGTGAAAGAGCAACAACATGCGGGGTATGTGTGTCCCAAGTCTCGCAACCCGCAAATGTGGAGTGTCATATTTTGATCATCTCCACAGTGCCCGCAATTGCCCCTCTTTTGCTGTGGGCCATTACTATATAAACCCCCTGGCCCTGGCGAGCCTTCAGAAATTTACCACTGGGCCTGTAGTCTCTCACAACCTCTAGCAAATACGATCACCATGCTCGCAGTAAGATCAATTAAACCAACTATCAGAACCTCTATCAGAACTTTCTCTGTATCCAGCAGGGCTTTCACAAGATTGCCTCTTTCTGTTCCAATCACTTTGCCAAATGGGGTGAAATATGAACAACCAACTGGTCTCTTTATCAACAATGAGTTTGTCTCTTCCCGACAGGGCAAGACTTTTGAAGTCTTGAACCCTTCTACTGAAGAGGAAATCACCCATGTGTACGAAGCACGTGAAGATGATGTTGACCATGCTGTTGAAGCTGCTCACAATGCTTTCAAGCACACTGACTGGGCCACTCAAGACCCAGCTAATAGAGCCAAGATTCTTAACAAGTTGGCTGACTTGATTGACGAACACTCCTCCGTATTGGCTAGTATTGAATCTCTTGATAACGGGAAGGCCATCTCTTCTGCAAAAGGGGACGTTGGTCTTGTTGCAAGCTACATTAGATACGCTGCTGGTTTAGCCATTAACTACCAAGGTTCTATTGTCGACACTGGCTCTACTCATTTCAATTACACAAAGAAGGAGCCTTTGGGTGTTTGTGGTCAAATCATTCCATGGAACTTTCCATTGTTGATGTGGTCTTGGAAAATTGCTCCAGCTTTGGCTACAGGTAATACTGTTGTTCTTAAGCCAGCAGAATCCACCCCATTATCGGCCTTGTATGTTTCCCAATTGGTTAAGGAGGCTGGTGTTCCAGCGGGTGTCTACAACTTGATCCCAGGGTTTGGTAAGATTGTTGGTGAAGCAATTTCTACTCATAAAAAGATCAAGAAGGTTGCCTTCACTGGTTCCACTGCTACTGGTAAAAGAATTGCCGAGGCTGCTGCCCAAAGTAACTTGAAGAAAGTTTCATTGGAATTGGGTGGTAAATCTCCAAACATTGTTTTCAATGACGCCAACCTTGACAAGACAATTAACAACATTTTGGTTTCCATTTTCTACAATTCTGGTGAGGTTTGCTGTGCCGGTTCTAGACTTTATGTTCAAGAAGGCATTTATGACGAACTTGCTGCCAAATTGAAGACTGCTATTGAGCAAGTAAAAGTTGGCGACCCATTTGATGAAGCCACCTTCCAAGGTGCTCAAACATCCCAACAACAACTTGATAAGATCTTGGGATACATTGATATTGGGAAGAAAGAAGGAGCTACTGTCATTACTGGTGGTGAAAGAGTAGGTAACAAGGGTTACTTCATCAAACCAACTGTTTTTGGTGATGTTACAGAGAATATGCAGATTGTCAGAGAAGAAATCTTTGGCCCTGTTGTTTCTCTTACTAAATTCAAGACAATTGATGAAGTCATTGAAAAAGCTAATAATTCTGAGTATGGTTTGGCTGCCGGTATTCATACTACTGACTTGAACAAGGCAGTTGATGTTTCCAACAGATTAGAAGCGGGTACTGTCTGGATTAACACTTATAACGTGAGTATTTTTGCTTTTTATGTATGCAAACTAGGTTGGGGATATCTTTGCATGCTTGTGCATATGGCTCGACATGCATATTCCAACTACTGACAGGCCATCAACATTGTTTGAATGATGATACTAACGTGATATTTTTTTTTTTAGGATTTCCATGCTGCAGTTCCATTCGGTGGATATAAACAATCTGGATTCGGTCGTGAAATGGGTGTTGAAGCTTTGGAATCGTACACTCAAGTGAAGGCAGTTCGTGCTGCTATTGAAAAGAAGAATGAATAAATTTTTCTGGGAGTCTCCTAAGAGAAATTGAGTTTTGTTCTTTCAAAATTTTTTTTTAAGAGTATGAAACTAATATTTCACGATTTTATGATTTGAGTTTTTTAAAATATTTCATTGACTGTTACGAGGTGTGTGTGTGTGTGTGTGTGTGTGCGTGCGTGCGTTTTTCCCGTCAATTTTACGAGGTCGTAGCGTATTTTTGCTATTTCATCAATACTGGGTTCAGTGGAACCTGGAACGAATAAACATTTTTTTTTTAAGAAACCTCAGTAAGTTTAGCAAAGTAAGTTTAGAAAATATCTTGAAAAGTTCCAGTATGTTTATGAATGCGCTTTTTCATGTCATCGACATGCGCTGTCACTTATAGAACCCCAGGAATCAACTAAGGGTAAACTGTTTTTATAAAGACTTGTTCCAAAAATTATGAGAGATATTTTTTCACTACTTTTATTATACTCATATTTGGCTCTTATTTTTTCTGATTCCGACTCTTATTTTCTCTCTATTGATTTTCAGATTTAATTCAAGTGTCTGCTCGTTTGTGTGTATCATTGAATTTTGTTGGAGACTCCCCTTTAATATATAAATTCTAGCAGCATAGAAGTTAAATAAAACAAAACATCCGTTATAATATGATAGCATTGGAGACGAGGGCCTAAAGTACCATTTTGCCTTTGGCCTGAATTGCATATTGTTACTATGGGTGCTTTCTAAACTTGCAGTGTTGAGCAAAACGCATGTAGCTATACCGAAATATGGATTCTAGGATTCTCCAAGCTATTCTGGCTCAGAAATTAGGCTGAGTAGAATAAATGTGATGATAATAATGACCTGGTGTCTCAAAAATGGGTCTAGCATTCTCTGAGTTTTTTCTGAAGCTGCGGCAAAAAAAAATAAGTTAATTGGATATAAGAAACCCATGCACGCAAATTATTTAATTTACCTAATTGATGTGACTATAAAACAAACAGATAAAATGCCTTATAATTAATACTGAAACAGATATTCTGCTATTCTGCCTCACGTCACTTTGGGAGGGTTTATATTTCAGTAGGATTTACTGAAATTCATGTATAATAATATCCATAGATGTAGAATCATGTGACCGGAGTTTATCATTTTTTCCCCAAAAAATCTATTTTATTCTTAGTCAAAAAACAAAAAAAAAGACTTTCAAGCTTTATTCATAATGAAGGGTTCTCAAGTATTTGGCTGACTTGCTTTATTTGGGTATATTATTTTCTGCGATCCGTGTCTTAAGGCGTCTAAGGCAATTCCTCGGGGCCTGTTGGTAGATCAAACCCTTCCTTCATTGTTTTTATTTTTGGTAAAGAAAAGCGCCGTTTATAAACATTCTGTCAAAGGCGTTTTTGCATTTCAACGTTCCGTTTTCTTAAATAGGAACGAAGTACCTATCCAATTATCTTTACATGTCATCGAACAACATAAAAATTACAAAACATATAGATCCTGATCAACAACAGAAGAATACATCAACTAATGTCCCAAGTCAGGTTTGACGTACAATGAATCAAGATATTGCAGCTCTTCCACCTAAACATTATCACCTTCATCGCCATCACCATAATGATAATAATAACAATAATAAAGCAGAGAGGGACGGAGCTACTTCTCTTGATAAAGCGAAGCATGTCAGAATTCCTTCTTATTTGAGGGCAACTGTGTCATCGAGTAACCGGGCAGAAACCACCAAACTTAGTAGATCAAGAACTAACTTGCAGACAAACTTAAAAGGCTCTAACAGTACAAAGAAACTTTTAGACTCCAGAACACCCAATAATAATATCGGAAGGCTGAGAGATTCCTCAAGAAAGGACATTAATATCACGATGCGAAAGCACGCAAAGCCTAAATCAAGTGCCAGCTCTCTCAACTCCACCAAGACTATTCATAGTCATGCACTAAAATATAAAGGCTCATCTAGTAAACTCTCAACTTCTCAAGATCAAGAAGAAGAAGAAGAAGAAGAAGAAGAAGACGAAGAAGAAGCCATTCAAAATAGTCTAAAAAGCTATAGTACCCATGATTTGGATATCACAGAATCTTTACGGAAGCATATTCCTTCAGAATTTATCAACGTCGATGACTCAACATTTCTGCTACCCAAATCATCAACTACCTCCAGTCTTCATAGTCTAATGACGAAGAATGTATCATCTTCAAATTCTAGCTCTAAACCGAAAGCATTATTAAATGCCAAAATAGCTATAAAGAGGCTGCCTATTGGACAGTATAACATTACACCCAATAGAAATGTATTTAATGATCATGATGATTCCATTAACCCAATTTCGCCGTCACGAATTAGAGCCCCTCTGATCGGTTTAAAGAAAAGCGATAGCTCAATTGGAATGACCGCAATGGATAAGAATGGTCATTTGAAGCGAAGTCAATTAGATGGCGCATCTCCTAGACAGCAAAAGTCAAATCATAAACCATCTAACTCAAAGTTAGCAAAAAGTGCTTCTCTGTTTGATGAATATAAGAATCAGCGAAGAGCCAACAGCTTAGAAAAGCCATTACTTCAAGCACCAAAAGTCAATGTTCCCAACTCCGCGAAAAAAGCAATTGGGTCTGTTACTCCTACTAGACAGCCTCGTGATATTGATATGAAGCCTAAAACCATTTCACATTCACAATCTCTTTCATATCTTACACCAAAATCGCATCAAAAAATTAATATTAGAAGAACTCCTGAGGAGGAAGATACTTTTATCAAACTAAAGAAATCAAAGATTCCACAATTCGCTGACGAGGTATCGTCAACACAAATTGACTTGGACATGGACATGGACATTAGTTTTTTAAAGGAGTATTCATTTGATACTGGTGTTTCTAATCTATTTGATGATTTGAATATCGATGGGTTGGGTGGTGCTAATATTCCTCTGTCAATTCCGGAACATTCCAGTCAAGAAAAACCTTTGTTACCCAAGCCTCCTAAAGTATCACCAAATAACACCGCACTTAATTTTAAGAATCAGACTGTCATGGATAATGTGACTGCATACTATGAAGATGGCGAATCCGAAATTACTTGTTTGAACCTTGGTATGGATAAATTGAAAAATTTGAAGTTAGAAATTTCCAATATCGCCGGCGCTTCAAGTGATTTACAGGAAACAAGGACCGCACCAGTGTCAAATACCACAAAAAATACCACTCAAACCGTGAATATCTCTCAATTCACCAATAGCATGCAAAAAGATGAAACATTTGAATCTCGGTCATGCCTAAATTTAGGCCTCGATTCTCTGGCGCATCATTTTTTCGAATCTAAAAATAGTGGACACCACCACAGTACTGTTATGAAGTCGATAGAAAACCGAAAAAGCTCAATTATAAAAGAGCTGCAAAAAGTTGATGCAAAATCCAAGAACGGTAATGATTGGGCATTAAAAAAAAGGAAAAATGGAACCCTAAATCATTCAAATAGACCAAAGAATGCCTCAATACCCAGTACAAAGAAGTCTTTGAATGATTCTAGACCTATTCAGTTGAAGAAGAGTGCCACTTTAAAGCCTAAAAATACGAAATCTATCTCTAATATTGCCAAAAATATTGGCACAAATGACTCCGATAGTAAGACCTCTACTAGTCCTAGAGGAGCAGGGAAAAGAATGATACAAAGCATTCGACGTGGACGCTCCAATCATAGTCTGTTATTGAATAACAAAGATGAAAAGATTGGATGTGCTAAAGAATTATTTTTTGCATTGAAGAACTGCAGAGATACAAAAGATGTCATTAAAGGTTGGTTGGATAACCATATTAGCGATTATGAAGAAGATCTACAGCAATATAAAGCACCTGTTGGCATTAGTAATGGAATAAGAAAACTGACTTCCGTTACCTTGGATAATGTCGCGTCCCATGGATCGAAGAATTCTGCTCACAATCTACACCGTTCAGTTCTGTCTGTGAATAACAAAAAATTAGGTCTTAGTAGTAACGATTTGGCTAAGACAAGGGATAGAAGCTCTAAGGCAGATGCGTGCGGACCAGTATCTAAAGAGGCAATATCTTCAAATGCTGGTATTGCAGCTCAAGATTTAATCCAAAATCAGCCTTTTCGACATCGTTCACTCAATGTATATGAGCGTGGTGAGTTGTCCCGCAAGGATTTGGTTCATTATTTAAGACTCTCAGATAATGCTCAAATTACGATCCAAATTTCAAACTTCAAGCAGAATTTTGGTTTTGATGATAGTCAAAGGAATTACATTGCGTTAGTAGGGGACCATGTAGACTATCGCTACGAGATCTTACAAGTTTTGGGAAGAGGCAGCTTTGGAAATGTCTTGAGATGCAAGGATCATAAATCAGGGAAAATAGTGGCAATAAAAGTGATCAAAAATGATATGCAATGGAGTTTGCAAGCCGTTTATGAGATTAAGGTACTAAAGAATTTGAATGATGGTATCACTGATAAAGAGGACCATGGAATTTTGAAATATATTGATCATTTCAATTTCCGAAGTCATATGTGTATTGTTACGGAGCTTTTATCCGTTGATTTATTTCAAACCATACAAGCTTCTCAATTCCAAGGTATGAGTGTTCCATTAGTGATGACTTGGACACATCAAATATTTGAAGCTCTCAAATTCATACATTCTCACAATATAATTCATTGTGATCTTAAGCCAGAGAACATTATGTTGTATAGGCCAGATAGATTGGATATCAAATTAATTGATTTTGGGTCGGCTTGCTACGTCAACGAGACCAGTTACTCTTATATTCAGTCTCGTTACTATCGTTCTCCGGAAGTGTTATTGGGTGCGCGATATGCCACTGCTATCGATATATGGTCCGCTGGATGCATTGTTGGTGAGTTAGTTCGTGGAGATCCTATTTTTGCAGGTAATAATGAGAAAGAACAATTGGCAATGTGGATTGAACTTCTTGGGGCTCCCAAGCGTCGCACGATTGTCAAATTGAGAGAGGAGTTATTGAAGAAGGGCCCAATTGACAAGCAGGAAGCGGCTGGTCCGCCATATACATTGATTGAAACGTCGTTTGATAAGTTGGGACAGCTCCGTCTGGGAGCATTGATACCGAATGGAAAGAAACGATACGTCGCAAATTCGAAAACCTTACAGGAAGTGATTTTTTCTCACGGGAAGAGTATCGGGAGAAGCAAATTGGAATTATTATTGGCACAAATGATACAAAGCTGCTTGAATTGGGATCCTTTTAATAGAGTCAGCGCTCCTGAAGTGTTAGAAAGTGGACTAATGAAGTATTATAAGGCAAATAAAGAAAAGTTTGACGAAGTGGTATATCGTACCCGCAATAATAATTTCCAATAGCTAATGTTAAGCTTTGTCCGTGAATGATATGATATTTGTGATCACCTTAGTGAAGAATTTGACTTGTGAGGTTTTTGCGTTACACAAGTGCCATGAAAAAAGGGGTATATTTGTATTATAACAAGATTAGTAGCTTGCTTTAGACAGAATTTTTATTTATTTAGTTTATTTGTTTATGTGTTTTATTTTTTTGTGTTTTGCTTCTTTTTGCTTCTTTTTCTTTTTCTTTTTCTCTCTCAGGCTTATGAGTTCCATACAACAAATATTCTTTATCATCATTTTGATCTGGGATGATATAAGGAACATACTAATAGAATGGTATTACTGGCTTTTCAATCATGCTGTACCTGTGTTGCAGAGTAAATTCACTAAAACCTTATATTTTCTGACAGCCTCTATATGATTCTTACAAGATAAAGACTGAAACTGATAGAATGTAATCAGCTCCATCTTTGAAAAGAAGCGTTTTCATGTTCCAATTTATTATGTATCTCTAAAATCTATTTCCCCTGAATACCTGCTAGTCGGCCTTTATCATCATCCTCATATAGCAACGGGCGTTTCTGCATGGCGATGGGCATCCATCTACTACTTGTTGACCAAAATTTCTGATCATTAAGTGACAAGTCAAAGGTCATAACAGAACGTGAAATATGGAATGACATTATTACTTAGAATAAATGGTTTTCGCTTTAAATGTACACCATACTACGTGCTGTCAAGCATCACAAGATTCAATCACCAATATACCAATCATTACAAAAAAATAAAGAGCTGCAATTAGAGTTTGCCATATGCGCTCTTATTGTGCATAAGATGGCAAAGATCAATTGCTTCAGTATTTATAGTAATGGGATAAAAGTAATGTTAAATATACCATTAGTATACTAAGAGCATCTCTATGGCTTCCTATTTAGAGCAGTAGCTGGTTGAAATTAGTTTCGCTTGTCAAGATGAGGATTCCACAAAACAGTCTGAGTTTTACAAAGAAGCAGCTGCTTATGTTTCTTTAATGAATATCTTTATAATGGATTGGTGAACACAAGATATTATGCAAATGCTTGTCTATCTTCTACTTATTATCGCTACTTGTGTGTGGCTGGAAGTAACACAGGACTCGTTGAGGCATTTACCCGGAATCATGTTTTTGGGATCACTGGTTTGGGTTGTCTTTTTCCGGGCTAATTTCTATGCCATTTTCGAACACGCACTCTTTTGGAGCTAGCGTCTGTGTAACTATGTTCTCATTTGTGGGAAATGGGACCTTTTTTTTTAAAAAAAAAGTTATTAGGAAATAGCTATTTTTTGATCAAGATTCCCAGACTTTGATTCATTTGTAGTAGCTGTCAATAATTTCTTTTTTTTTTTTTTTTTTTTTTTCCAATACTCACCAGAGGGTCCAGATACTCGGTAATAAATTTCAATGTTTTACACAAGTATCAGAAGTAATTGCTTTAATTGTTGCAAGTTGCAGTTATGTTTTAGGTTCTGTTGCTTTGTTTGTCATGTGCTTGTTGTGTCTTAAACAGTATTGTGTCGAGGCTAATGTGTGATTTACGTCGCTAGTGTTACAAGTGGGCTTCCAGCTGCAGCAAAGAAACAATGTAGGAGAGTTGATTGAATTTTTTTTATAGAAACTAACCAATCCAAATTGACCAAGTAAACAGAAATATGTGTTGATCAAGAAAGCAGAATTTGGTTCAAGGAAACAAGCCAATAAAATAAAAAAAAGGCAGCGTTCCAATCCCCAGTTACTAACAACTGGCGTTCCGTTTTGGTGAGGACAGGAAGTTGTAGGCATGCAACAGAATGTGAAACCAAACCCTAAATTGGTTAGTTTCGAGTAGCGTTGTGCAGCCCTGACCATTTCCTTTTTTTTTTTTAATATCATTTTGGGACGTCACCAACTTCATGAACCTCTAACACTCGAGAAATATCTTTAAATCCATTCCATTGAAGCTCTTTTGGTATTTCCTGCTAGATTTATAGGTCGCAATCAGCAAGAATATAACTAATATGACATCAGTAGCACAAGGAAGTGGTAGTCGCGAGATATATTTGAACTTGCATCCCTCAACAATATCCATTGACGATATCGACCAGTTCCAGGAGTTCAATAACTACTTGGATAAAGCAATCTTACAAGAAAATGGCACTGATAATAACAGTACTGCTTCCTCAAACTCATCTTATGACTATGATAGAAGTGTATCGCCTGACATCGTCAATAATATGACTGCATCAACTCCAAATACCTCAGCCGATTCGACGCCAAATGACTATCCTTTCCACGACTCTCAAATTTATTCAATGAAAATCACAGAAACACAAAAGAGCGTGGAAGATGGACCTAGAAGAAAACCATCTATATTCAGAAAACGCTTCCAAACCTCTGGGAATCGCGATGTGTCTCATCTCGCTTCTCATGGTACAAAAACCAAGAAATTGGCTAGCATTGGCCACAAGTTCAAGAAACTAACGAGGAAACACCTCGATCTGAATTCTCATATAAATTATATCGAAGAAACATCTTCGTCTGAACATTTGGACTTTGGTACCAATGATATTTCTATTGATGATATGCCAACTAAAACTAGCATTGCATATGCTGAACCTGCAAATCAAATTGTTCAAAACAGCCCTCAATATTCCTCCACTCCTTCTGTCTTCATCAAAGGATCTCCATCGCCTAACCACCTATATTCAAATATCAACAGTAGTGGCTCACAGATTAGCAGCAGCGTTAATGACGGGGAGGAATATTTTCAGTTGAATATCGGTAACGACACAGGTTATGATGTCTCTACAAATTTTCCAGGAGTTGATTTACCACTGGATAGTGGTTCTCAAAATGAATATATCACTAGCTCATCATTGCTTTTTACATCTGCTGAATCAAATTTGCTACATCAACCAAATCTTAAGGGCAATGATTCTCACCTTGATAAATCAGATGTTCTTGGATTCGCCCCTCCAAAACCACATCCTTTGAAGGCCTTCAGCATGAATAATTTTGAAGACGATCATCTGGAAATCCACTCAAACTTGGTGTCTCCATTGACTCCATCTACATTTCAACTTCCTCAATGGTCTAGAAGTGCTAAAGGTCATTCAAGTGTCAGCAATATTTTGACGTTGAATAATAATAATAACAATTGTGAAAATGATAGATCGGTTACATCTCCACTCCATGAATCTCTGTCATTTGAACAGATGGCGTTATCATCACAATATATATCAAATAACGGAAACAGAGAAAGTCAGCTCAGTGCTGCTACCATAGACATTGATGATTCACCAGACATTGAAATTCCTGAAAGAAAGAGGCCATACGCATCACCAAATCAAGATGAAACTGATAATGGACCCAAAGCAACAGCTTTCCCAACGGATGAAACTTTAAATATTGATTCGTCCATAAACTTCCATAATAATGATGATTGTGCCACTTTGAACATCGACGATACCTTTAATATAGATCAAAATAGCACCATGAATATCGATGATGATGATGATACTGCTTATGCTCAAATCAAACAGGTTATGGAAAAGATTAAGGAAATTGATAAAAAGAATGGGTTTTCTCCACAAAAATCATTACATTCTCAAGAATCAGAGAAACCAACATCAACTAATGATTCCTTGGATATCAATGAAAATAATATTGATCTAGACCACTATACTATCTACACTAGTTTTCCTCAGACTTCTCAAAAGCAACAGCAACCTTTTTCCCATTCGGCGCAAAGCACCCCAGCAAGAAGAGCTCCTACTGTTTCAAGAAAGTTCAAGACCACTTCAATCAATACCAAATTGGATCTTTTTATTACCAACATTAATTCTCAAGTTGACTTGAATAAAATTGTCGAAGGCAATGCTGCAAATGAAGATATGGTTGAATTGGAGACTCCTTATATTGAAGATGAAATAGATAATAATATTGTTAGAGAGAGTATGGCTAGTGCCACAGACTTCGATGTCATATCACAGGTCAAAGAAGACGAAGATTTCAATCCGTACAAAGTATTGACGGAAAATCCATATTCCCCACTATACAATCAAAAATCTCAGGATAATACTGGAATTTATAGTTCACTTGGTGTGGATAGCACTGATCTGTTGAACGACGGGAAGTCCTCTTATTATGCTCACTCTCGTGAAAATTCTGAAGATTTACATGAAAATCAATTTATGAAGATGTCTGGAAATAATGAAAACATCCAGCATAGAAGGCAATTCAGTGAAATTGTCGCCTTGGATAATCCTTTTTCTAGCCAAAAATTGGCCACAAGCTCAAAAGATGTTGGTGAGACAGGTAAAGGTCATGATTCTCCCGATTTCTTTGGAAATTTGGATATTTCATCTAATGATTTCTTTAGTGATATTGTTAACGAGGCTAATGATCGTATCAATAGTCTTTCGATTGAAGAATCCACTGATTCCTTTGGTATGAATGATGCTGTATTGGATGATAGTGACATGATCGCGAATAGAAACTCTAATATCTCTTCCTCATCTTCAGCTGATTCTGCTGATACTACTGATACTACTGACTCCCCTCAATCCTCAGTATTATCTCCACCAGCCCCTCAAATGATAAATGACTCTCAAGAATCGGTCAACATGGTAAGCCACTCAATGAAATCCGATTTGAAAATGATTAGTGGGTCAATCTATAACCCTTTTGGGACCAAAATGGCGGTAAATCCATTTGATTCAAAGTCTGATTTGATTGCCGGTGACGTTGAAGTGATATGTGAAGATGAATCTGAAATTCAAGAACTGAGCAACTCAATCTCGTCATCACACCAACCTCGATCTGCTTCAGGAAATGTCTCTTTGCAGGAACAGAAGCAAATTATTCGTGAAAAAAGGTTGCAGAAGCTTCAACAACAACAAAAACAGCAGCAGCAGCAAATCTCGATAGAATACCACGAGCAGGCCTCTAGGAAGTTTAATGTCGGTTCAATGTATACTGGTCCAAGACATGGCTATGGTTACATCGATGCTTCATCCCATGCCTCCAATTGTAGAAGGAACACCAGATCAAAGAAGCAAATGTCAGTGTCAATGAGCAAGCACAAGTCTTCCAATCCAAATTTGAGACTGCGTAAATCCTCATTAGTGCTGGGTGATAATAATGGTCATTCTTCTGCTCCGCCATTGCCACAGTTCGATAATTTCTATGACTATAATGATAATGAGCAGCGTCAACAACTTTCTCCAGCTTTATCATCATCAAGTGCAGGAAATTATCAATTAGATAGTCAAATTGATGAAGATACTGCAGATTTGGTGTTGTTGAATAAGAATTTCTTTGTCACTAACGGCAGAAGGACAAATGACATTTATCACACTATGAAGTCGGATTCCAGCTCCAGAAAGCCTTCAAAACGTCACTTAAGGGAAGATAATACTACTGGCATGACGGCCTACCAAAAATATATTAATACTAAGAACTCCGCGAAGCAGGTATCAAATAGTAATGACTCCAGCAGGAGAGACTCGGTTGCTAGCACTGTGGTGCGTAATACTGTATACCATGAAATTGCTAGAAATGATGTGGAGGTGCTGAATGAGGGTAAAAGCATTATCGATATTTATAACAAGTACCAAAAGAAAGACCCGAGTTTGTTTAGAAGCACCACTGTCACTGCCAAGGATATTTCTGAAGTGAAATTAGACGAATCTTTGTTTGTTGGTGTCAATGAAGCAAGATACTCTAGATCTAGTAGTAACAGATCATCAGGTTTGAGTACCCTTAGAAGCTCAACCGTATCATCAGCAATGGATTACCTGATTGGTGAAACTAGTGACATTATTGAAGAACCAAGTTTCGAGAGGTTTAGTATTAATAGCAGCCATGTTGGATCTACTTCGGGCAGTAGTTCTGTGTCTACCATTACCATGAATGGGGCTTCAAAGGCCAGTGCTGCAAGTAAGGTTGATAAAATGATTAACAACGGATCACCATATAAATCTTCTTTGGAATTGAATGGAAGCACCAAGGATTTATTGGAGAGAACTAATAAGTATTACTCCTCTAGTAACGTTTCAGTTTCTATACGCTCTTCCAGTGATGCATCTGAGCCACCAAATATTAAATTTCAAAAGAAAACTTCACCTTTGTTGAAAAATGGACCAAATACTTCTTCTCCTTTGGCAGAGAGCCCTAGTAATATCAATTATCCAGGAATCGGTCCTAATAACGCTGCTTCCCCAAGATTTGGATCTCCTAATGTTAATCTTTCAAGAATGGGATCTTTTAATGTGCCTTCTCCAAAATTGAAATATGGTAAAGGCTCTCCTGTCATAAATCCACATGGATTGTCAATGATGGTAACTTCTCAGTCGGGAAGATCTAATACTGAGATGGCGAAGTCTGAAATGTCAACACCAAAATCTTTGGGCTATCATAAGATGTTACCAGATTTGGGATCACCAGGTTTTGGATTACCATTATTTGCGAGCGGGTCACCATTGGTGAACCTGCCAAAGATGGTAGGAGTTGGGTCTCCTATAAGTGATAATAGTCCCAAAGTCACTTATAATACACTGGGCTACTATATTGGATCTCCTGCCACTCCTGAAGTGCCACAGAAGGCCAGCATGAATCACAACTCTACCAGAAACAGTCCTAGAACAACAGTTATGTCACCTCGTCAGACTAATCAAATTTCTGATCGTTACACCAAATCAATGTCCAGTTATTCTGCACTTACAGCGCCATTCCCAATTGCTGGTGGGGATTTCAATTTAGGCGCCGATGCCCCAATGCTTCCCCATTTGCCACAAATTCCATTATCCAATTCTCCGATAGATAATCGCAATATTAGTACTGATGTCATTATTGACATGAAGACTCAAGGATTGGATTTCCAAGTCGATAGCGAAAGTGTGGCAGTTGAGGAGAACGCTTTGGGAATTGAAACCCACAAGAGAAGTAGTTTGATGAGAATGGTTTCTGTTGAAGATTTGCCAAACGCAGATACAATGCAAGATATCTTTGAGAATTTGAACTATAATCAAGGTATTACTTACTAATTTAAATCGCCTCTGACTCACACAAATGCTTTTTTTTTTTGTTTTTATTTTTTTAATCTTTTTACTGCGATTCTTTATGATGTTATTTATTATTGTTATATTATTATTTTTTGTTGTTTATTTTTTTTAAGTTATCTCTTCAGTACTTTCAGTTCTTTGTTCTTGTTTTTTCGGTTATTACTGCTATTAATTTTTTGCTTTTCTTTTTTAAACTGATACACAATTAAAATTTATTTGATTTATTTGGCTACGTGACTCTGCTTTAAATTTTTTCTTTTTTTAGATTTTTTTCCAGGCTTTAGGATTTTGCTTAATAAACTATATTTTTTCTTTCAATTCGAATTTGTAATAGTGACCTTGAGAAAGCTTAGGAACTTTTATCTGTATGGATATAGATATTGCAAGAAAACAAAAATAAGATTGCGTGAGACTGGGATTTTAACAGCAGAAGGGGGATGGGCTGATACATTATGAGAGCCTGGCAAACAAATTAAGTGAGTTTGGTAATAATTTTAACATTCAACAAACTATGACCTACAGTAATTGATAAGGCTCTCATTAGACCATCTGGGAATAAAAACAAGATATTTCGAATAATACCTTTCGCAAAAATTTGTAAAAAGGTTCCAACGCGCCTGGTACTTTTAGTTCGGTCATTAAACACTGATAAATAAACCTATATTGATCACCCAAAGACTGATTTTTGTGGGGACAGAAAACACGAAAACAAGGAAGGCAATAAGAGACAGAAAAGTGAAAGAATAAACAACAACAAAGACCAGAAGTAATTTTAAAGATCTCACCAAATAAACACAAAATGAACACAAAATAAAGATGCACATAAAATACAGAACAAAAAAAAAAGAGAAAAAAAAAAAAAAGAGATTAACCATTAATTCTTCCAACTAAAATTCAGTCCTCCAAGTTCATTTACTGTCTATTAATGTTATTAATGACCTTATTTAGAGAGTTCATTGCGGTGGCACCCAAATTTCCGCTGCTGTTGTTGCCACTAAAACCACCGTCGCTCATGTTCAATTGGCCCATTGACCAGCTCAAATAGTCTTCATTGCTTCCACTGTTGCTATTACTGATACCAGATAATCCTCCTATCTCATTATTCAAGGTTGGTTGTGCCAGTAAGCTTGATGACATAGACAATGGCGGGAATGCTTGCTTGTTGTTGTTGTTGTTGTTGTTGTTGTTGTTGTTGTTGTTGTTGTTGGCATTTCCATTTGCGCTACCATTACCATTATTATTGGTATTACCTCCATTTAATCCGCTCAATAAACTGCTACTGAATGAATTCATTCCCGGTAAGATCATTGAGCTAGCAGCACTGATCATCTTAGCGTTCATGGTAACATTATTGTTGTTGACTCTGGTGATGCCACATCTCAAACAATACAAATTTTTGGCGAAATTATGGTAAAAACAATTCTCACATTTCCAATCACCAGCCCTGAATGGTATTGAATTGCTTTTCATTCCATGAACATTATGATTATTGTTGTTATGACTATTGCCGTTATTGTTGTTACCGTTGTTACTGCTTCCATGATTATTCATGCTATTGTGGTTAATACCTCCGCCATAATTGTAATTGCCACTTCCAGTGGTGTTTGTTGAATGCACGGAGCCAAGTGACGTTGTAGAGTTGTTCAAAGAGGGATTCATTATACCATTATAGCTAACTGCTCTATACATATTGCCGTTTTTTGAGTTGGCGCTGCCATTATTCATCATGCCAGGTTGATTAGTTGATACATTCAGTGTAGTTTGTAAAGATTCTTGAATCGCCACTGCACTGGCCGCAGGAAATCCACATCGGAGGCAGGCCATACGTCTCTGGAAATTCAGAAAGCCACAACTTGGGCAACTCCAGTCGCCAGGTCTGATTCTGTTGTTATTCCCATTGTTATTGTTACCGTTATTCATATTAATACCACCATGGTTATTCACAGCAAAGTTGCTATTGTTGTGAGAATTCGAAAAGGTGCCGTTGATATTGTTCAAGGTACTTCCAGTGTTATGGCTTATAATTTCGATATTCTTTGCCATAGGGAACAGTTCCAATACTTCTGTTGCAAACTCCAAAACTTTGAAACTTGAAGGTTGTACTTCAATAACATTTTCACCCAAAACGCGACCATTCATAGATAAAGCTTCTATGGCAGATTCGTAGGTGCTGAAAATTGCGAATCCCAAAAGTGATAATTTCGAAGAATTTGTAATCTGTGTGGTTAAACCGGTATCAGCCTGTGTTGGGACCGACGTTTGTAAACAACGAAAAGCCAAAACGCGATATCCATACCTTGAAAACCAGGATTCTAGTTCGGGTTGTGTTATATCACTTGGTAAATTGGCAAGATACAATACTCGTGATTTTTCATGATGAAAGATTTGGGAATCATAAGAGATGTCAATCGGTTGTGATAAGAAAGCTTCACTCGAATTTGTAAGTTTTGATTGATATTTAGAATAAATGCAAGTTAGGATAGATTTCATGGTGAATAGCCTTTCAAGACCTCTTTTCGGAGGATAATTGTATCCTTGAATCTGGGAATCTGAACTGCTGGTTGAAGTCGGCTGCGGGCTAATACTTGTAGAAGGTTCACCAACGATACTACCAGTGGTGGAGCTATTATCAGTGACATTGCCAGCGCGCAAATTAGCATTTGTGATATTGAGAATTGTAGATTCATATTCACTCTTAGTCCTTTCCAAATCAACTTGTAATAATTTACATGTATTGAGCAACCCGTCGTAACCATCCTCCAGAATATTAAGACTACCGAGTCCTTCTGCAGCGTTAGATTCCTCAATCCACTTTTCCACTTGTCTTTTAATTTCCCAGCATCGCAGATACACCAAATGGTTAGCTATTTTCACGTTTTTATCTCTAGCTTCCCTATTCAATCCAACTCTCAAGTCCCATCCACTCCACATTACAATTCCGAAGCTTAATTTCTTTTCAACGATATGCGACTGGATTTCGTTATCGAGAACAGCAAGAGCTTGTGAAAGGGAAGTGCCTTGATTGTGAAGAAGAGGCCAAGTTAAGTTAGTAAGCTGAGTACAGTAAGGAGAAAGGGGAGTATTTATAGGCTTTATGATCTGATTATTGGAGTGTAAGAGGGTGAAAGGTGAAAGAGCTGTTGAAGTTGATGGGATTAAAGCCGTATTATTGGATCCAATCATGGGTTTCAAATGGCCATTTTCACCTTCTGATCCAGAAACTACTGATCCAGAAGATGACGGAGTGGTGCTGCTGATTTTATCTGTGGACTTAAATGAGTTAACATTAATCTCTTTGCCGTTGTAAGAAGTGACAAACATCCAACTTATTTCTATGACTTCCTTCTGGTCTTTGGCTATATTGATACCATGTGCCAAATCTTCACAGGTGGAAGACAAGTGCAAAAGAACAAAAACATCCGGAACTTGGGAGGGCATTATGGTAAAAAGAGACTTTGATTTTGCTAATGAATAGTATCAATTTAGGCTATTGTTTCGGTAATGATCTTGACAATGGAACAAAATGCAAATGCTATGAAATAATTGGAATAATGTTTTATAGAAGCAAGCCAAAAAAAAAATAAGTTATCCCACAAAAAACAAAAATACAAGAACAAGAATAATAGTAACCTCCCAAATGCAATATAACGAAATCAAACAAATAGTGATGATATTATATGAATGATGAATGAACAAACAATAGCAACGAAAAGAAAGAGAAAAGAAAAGAAAAGGGTCAGAAAATAAACCACTTTAGCACCAAATACGTTTTTTCTTTATATATATTTATATATATATGGTGAAACCTTGTCGAAGCAAAAAATGATTTTTGCGGTAATTATCTGGTATTGGTGTATATATAATGGATGTAATGTTTCTTCCCTCAGTGCCTTTTTTTTTCTCCCTTGAATCAAGATTTTCCCTGATCTGGTATCAAGGGTCGTGAAAATCTTAAAATAGGCTGGTACAAAAACAGTTCAAGTGAATGATTTTTCAATAAAGCTCAATAATAACAGATTTGGAGAATCGTTGATGCTACCTAAATCAGTGAAAATTGAATCACACAGTGCGCAAACTCAGTATAGGCAAGCAAATGAAGCGACCACAGAGTTTGGCTCTCTTGTATATGCTTGTTAAATAACTATGAAAATGCCTGGGAAGGGGGAAAGACTGGTATTTTTCTTCTCCTTCTCCTTCCGGATAATTGCTTTTCTTAGGTTATTTATAAGAAAGTTGGAATTAATTCTCCCACTGTTAACAAAAATTTTTGTGGTGAGGAAAAAAAAAAAATTTCAAAAAATTTTAAAGAGCCGCATTAATGGTATACTGCGCTGTCGAAAAAAAAAACAGCAGAATTGTAGATGATGATGGATGCGGGTCTTTAATGACGTCTAAATTAGCCCTATAAAATTAAATAACGTTGCAACCATATATCTCCGTGTGCATTGCTCCAAGCATCTACCTGTTGGATCACTTTCGAAATCATATATATATATATATATATATATCTTTGAAGGAAAACTGGCAAAGCAAAACACAAAAAAGAAAAAAAAAAAGAAATCAAAGGAAAAAGCAAAAAAAAGCATAAGTAAATATTAAACAAGAAGTAACCAGCATTAATGTGAAAAATCGTACTATCACCATTGAATTTAACCAAAAATTAAAAATAAACAAGCAAACAATAAAAATAAAATAAACAAATTAAAGGAAAACAAACAATACAGCAAAAAAAAAAAAAATAGGAAATGAAAAAAGGGATGTTTGTGATGGATAAAAGTAAACGTAAACTGGACCATTGAATTTAACCAAAAATTAAAAATAAACAAGCAAACAATAAAAATAAAATAAACAAATTAAAGGAAAACAAACAATACAGCAAAAAAAAAAAAATAGGAAATGAAAAAAGGGATGTTTGTGATGGATAAAAGTAAACGTAAACTGGACCATTATTCTGTCATTCTAGTAGATTTTAAATAGCGTAGGATATTAATTCACTGCCATTCAAAAAATCTTCCCCCTTTGCTCACTACGACTTCCCCGGCATAATTCTCATTGATCTTATCATTAATTTTATCGACATCGATCTTCCTCACGTCAATTCTCACATCTTCATTAATATTCTTCAATAATTCACAGTTGTCGTAGTTTATTACTTCAACAGTATTTCCTTCAAAACCAACCCAAGGACCATCTAACTTTTTAATTAAATTTGGATAAATATAGCTCTGGTTGAAATTTTTGTCTTCATCAAATGTGCTACGACGCTTGCGTAATGATCTTTGCATAGTGTTCAAGATTTGGGTTGTTTCCAAGGACTCCATTGATGGGGAGTCAATAATATCCGTGCTAGTACTCACATCCGCAATACTAGAATCTTCAAAAATACTATTTCCAATGGTCTCATTATCAGCCATATTGGGTTGAGGAACATTTTCTAAATCGTTGGTGGTGGATACAAATCTCTTTCCTCTTGGATTCTTGACTGCTCTCAAAGCAATAAAATGAAGTAATGGTTTATAGTATTTTTCAAATCTGAAATGGAACCATATTGTTAATCCTATCAATGGTAACAATGAAATCGCCAAGATCACCGCATTTTCCAACGCTAAAGTACCAATCATTGTTAGCTCAAAGATGACTAACCCAACTATTAAACGATGCATGATTATCGCCCACACTTTCCCTGTTGAATGTTGAGGATGGATCATTGAATAAATCAACTGATACTTGTAAACAAAATACCCCAAAATAAAGTAAAGCAAGCCCGATGCCAATAACTTGGTGGATATAATGGAATAAATCATGGTAATGACAAAAATCAAAATATGTTGCGGCAAAATTAATCCAAAATCAAAAATTTTTGGAGTATAATATAAATACCTTAGAGTTCTCACCCTAACTTGGGTCTTGTAGAAAATCTGCACAAACTTATAACATCCTATAACAAAGACATCACCAAATTGCATTAATTTATACGGGAAAATCCCAAGCCCTTGCAAAAGAATCAAATTATTATAAAATAAAGACAATTTCTTTATAGAATTGGCTAACTGATAAGCAATTTTCGTCGTGTCGGTAAAGTACGACCAGTAATTGGCAGCGGAACCAGCAATGGTGAAAACCAAAAATAAGTTAAAGAATGTGTAAAAATAGTTCTTCGAAACTGAAGCTAATTCAACATCACCGTTGGAATGAAAATATTGTTTTGTCGACAACCATCTGTAAAGATACGGGATACAGACATTCAAAACTGTAAATAATGTTGGAGGCAAAATACCAGTAACCAAGGTAGTCAACCATTTGGAATCAGCAATAACGTGTCCTAGTTTTGGCCAAAATTTGGTGATAGTTTCGATATTGATAAGGGCAGCCAATGAAGAGACTGGGAAAATCAAAACAACAGAAGTGATAACAAACATGATAGTAATTGAATAATTTTGAATATATCTCTTAACAGAAGGGACAGCAAAACTCTCCCAGATTATATCTGAAGGTGATGGAGCCAATGATGTTAGCAAATTATGAGCTTTAGGATCAAGTACTGCCTGGGCAATCATCTGGGCGGAAGCAACAGAATCCATTGTGACAAATGCAGAGTCGGCTGGTTTAAAGGCGTTTTCCTGTCTGAGCATTTCAATATCATAATCTATTTTCTTCAACTGGATCAAATAGTAATTAATAGTATCAACTCTTGTTCCAAATAATCCGAGAAACCCCGTCTTCATTGTAGGTCTTTTTCTTTCATTAGTTGAATCTTCTGTTTCAATTTCGTTGGGTAGCTTTGGTATTGATGCTTGTGGAATTTCGCCTTTATTAATATTCACATCTAATCCAAGATAGCTGATGTATGTTTTCTCCAAACACTTCACAATATGCTTTCTTTCCTTCATATAATGATCTAAAGTATCCCAATCTCTATTCATATGAAGCTCCAATACTTTACCAATTCCCAACAGCTCAATATGTTTCTTCAAAACACTCTCAGTCCTCAATTGAGGAGGGATACCGTCCACTCTAATGGTCTTATCTGTAACTGAATTTTGAGACCCCAAGTAATTTTGTCTAATGGTTATAATTTTCTTGGTTTGCTTCAACAAATAATTCAAGCTCAACAATACAAATATATACGTGAAAACTGCATAGATCCATAGATACGAAGGGAACTCCTCATACATAGGCGGTATCATTGGTGGCTTGCTAGGCTTGCTATCATCCTCTCTATCACTGGTATCTGAGATACTGTAGAATAATCCAACCAATTTCATGATGTTCACGCTCGCCACTGCATCACCATCACCAAATTCTTCATGATGGTCATAGTGTCCCGTTGTATAATACCGGATTGGCCCAATGAACAAAAAACTTATAAGTGTTAAAACTCCGAAGATAGTTATAGAGATTCTAAAGAAGCATAAAAAGACATAAGCATCAAGGCCCGAGAGTGCCAATACTTCTTCATCTTTGATAATGTACAATTGTTTAATCCACAGGAACCAGTGTCTAGGCAAAGTTTCAATATCCAGCCTTCTTAGCGTTCGTAGTGAGTATATTTGCGGATATCTAGGCCTCAAATAACAGAAGACCAAAAACCCAAAGAACCCGATAAACATTGAAAAGAGCAATTGGGAAATAAACACCCGTTGAGGGAACTTGCTAGGATCAAGCCCAGGAAGTGGGTCGTTGTCGTTATTATTACTCATATAATCTGAAAAATACTTTTTATATCAATCTATCTAATTTGTTATTATTATTACTCTCTAAACCATCATCTATCATTGCCTTCTCACCAGAAGCGCTATTTTTTGAGAATGTCAGAGGCGTAATAACTTACGTAATCATAATTACGAGTAGACACATGACTATCACATTATTGTATTAAATTTCCCAGTGCAGCGCACCTCATTACGAAATTGGGGGAGTTTTGGTGTATAGGATATCCCGCTGCTCAATAATCCAGTCAAACATTTAGCAACTTCTTCTTCCCTTGCCCAACTGGCTAACTAACAAGTTATGGAGAAGCATATATAAAACTAGAGGCATCCCCACATTGCTTGGATCTGAATATATTTAATGAAGCTGAAGCTTGATGCACAAAAATAGATGCCCTCATACCATAAGAAATTTCTTGCAGGGCGGTCTAACACAATTCTGTTCTCTGCTTTATTCTTTTTGAATGACCTTTTTATATATGTTGAGCATCTCAGCATTAAGGATTTTACAAATTTAGTAGCATATTGAACATAGTAAGGCTGGGGATATCTGTCATTAATACCAAGTAAGGAGAGAGTATTCATGAACAATCTGAAAAATGAACAAAATAAATCTAATAGTGACAAGGAAGGGAAAGAATCGAATAAATAAAAGTGGTAAGGGAGGAATAAAATCATAAGAGCAAAACTGTAAACAATAAACAAAGAAATGGAGAAGAAGAAAAAAAAAACATATAAACACCAAAACAGAAATAACACATATACATAATAAAAAAAGAAAGAAAAAATATAATACAATTAATTATCTGCACCACCACTAACAGCAGAGCATTCATTAGTCTCAATCAATCAAAACACATTCCCAAATTAAGCCAATGCACCAAAATTCTCTTTGTCCCCATATTCGACGTATTCATTGATTGGTTTTTTAGCTAAATCCGGAGATTCGGAATTTGTCTTGTTACTATCACTTAGTTTTTGAGGCGATGACGACTTACTGCCTGTACTTTTTTTACTCCTATTTTTCCAAATATGGGCGATTTCTGCTAGTTTAACCTTCTTTTCCTCCTCATTTGTCATATATGAAGGCTTTGGATCGTAATACTGGTCACATTTCAAATTGATTTTAGCACAGTTGTTACAAACCGGTCTTCCTTCATCACATTTCTTGTGTCTAATACGACAAGTCCAACAGCCAGTTTTCGATCGTGGAGCAGTGGCAATTCTTTTTCTTCCATTAGGTGTTGGCTTAAGAACAAAGGAGCCCTTAGAATTTTTCGTAGGAGATGATGAAATAGATCTGGTAGGCGATGACAAACTTAAACCTGACATTGCTTTGCTTGGGGAAGCTGGAGGGGTTTGAGCGATGCAAGATCCATTGAAATGGCCCCCGCCGGCATAATACATTGGAGAAGCCGTTAGTGCTTGAGTTTTGACAACAAACGAGTTGTCAGCTTCATTTGCCCTAGCCAAATAGAAATCTCTGGTTGGTGAGCTTGGTAATGATCCCTGGATGAAATTATTATTATAATTCCCTCTGGTTGGCGAATCTAGTATCGAATCATTGGCAATAATTGAAGTTGAAGATGAATCGTCAATATACGCTAATTTTTCGTTCAATGTTGGGATAGATCTGAAAGAAGTTGAAGTAGGAAATTTACCAACTCTGCTGGGCGATCCTAACTTTGGAGACTTTTGATTAAATGATTTCAACTTTGGCATCTCGAATGTTGCGTTCGAATTGTTTCTTGAGTGGCCTGGAGTAAAGAGGTCTTTAGCATTACTATTACGCCTTGAAGAGGAATTCAAACAATTAAGCTCGTTATTGTTAGCCAATTCGTCTATCAAATTGTCCGTGTTAGGAACTTCCTCGTTTCTGCTTTCATTCATTTCCATTATTGATGTACTGTTTATGATTGTAGTATCACCTTCATCTAACCCATCTTGATGGCTGATGATTGAGGGCTGTTGTTTGGCGTGAGATTTTCTCATTTGAGAGTGATTTTTCATAGCAGATTGCCTAAGGTTATTCAAGCTGTTGGGATTGAGAAAATCATCTGTTTTACTATTCTTATCATCAAATGCCGGCAATAACAAATCCCTTTCATCGTTGTGAGGAACGAGAAAAGGTGTTTCAATTTCTTTTAATAAATCTTTGGCAATGTCCGAATCCCCTGGAGCAAGTAGCTCATTAATAAAGCTTTCATTAATGCTAAAACTTATATCTCCTGCGCCTTGGACAGCCAATTCTTGTTTATTCAAATTCGTATCAGCAGCATCTTTAGGGAGGTCTTTTTCACTTGAGTCTGGTCTGAGACCAATGCCAAGGGAGCTCAAATCAACTTTGCTAAAATCCCTGTTTTTCAAATATTCATTCTTCGCAGGTTTTTTCCCATTTAGGTCCACAAAGTCGCACATATCAATAAATTTATTAATATCTGCGTGGTTGGAAACGAAACTTTCTTGAGCCTCTGGAATTTGGGCTAAAAAGTTATTATTAGAAATATCATCAAAATGAGTATCTTCGATACCAAAACCGTTCACATTTTGATGCAGATTATGAATTGGTGATGAGAGTCCATTTTCGTAAAAAGAACTGTGCAGATTCATTGTTGGGCTGGCAAATTCTGAAACATCACTTCTATTTCTTTCATGGAAGCTTCTGTTATTTAATGCCGGAGTGAAATACGGATTATTTTGCATTGTTTTGAAAAAATTATTGGTTTTTTGTTGAAATGATTGTGGTTGCAACTGTGTAGTCGATCCTTTTCCTATTGGTTCAATGTTGTGTCTACTTTGTTGTTGTTGGAAATCTTGATTAGCACCATTACTCATAAACATTTCCGTTGAGGGGTTCAAAGAGGTATCGATAGAGTTTGGGGTGCCGTAAGTGGATGAGTATTCTGAGTGAGATCCAGCGCTAGCAGGCATCAAGAAGTTTTCATTTTTCAGGTTGCTAGCATCGACAGTATAAAGGTTACTGCTATTGTCACTGGCTGGGAAGTTATAGTCATTGAAGTTGTAATCCTCTAGCCTCAAATCATCCTCAGTACCAGTTTGCCCTTGTTGAGTTAAGTAGTCAGTTCCTGTGAAGTTCATATTTGGTGCTAACTTCTGTTTATTAAAGTTATACTCGGCGGTTTGGCTATTGATCATTTATATTTGCTGATAATTCGTGGTTTTCAAGTTTCCTTTGGGGAAGTCTTTTCTTGAAATGTTGTTTATTTTTGATAAATGAATGGAAAGGTTTGTTCAGAAAAATATTGATATTGGCCGTCCCAATAACGTGTTTGCGACCAATTATTAGAGTGCTCTCAGAATACTAGCAGTATCAAAGAAGAAAATATGGAGTTTCGAGGATTTTCTTTATTTGTTATTTTTAGCAGAAGTAATAGTTAGATAACTGCCTGATATTTAATTTGAGGTAGAAGACGAGTGTTGCTGATGACAAGATGAAAGAGTTTTATTTTTTTTTTTTCTTACCTTGGTGGCTTCCCAATTAGGAAGGATGTAAACAAATCAGGGTGCGTCGTGGTGCTTTTGGGAAAGAGATAAACAGCACCACCCAAAATGGAACTCCGTGGAGGATATCCGCGACGGTAGTGATGGCTGAACCACTGTGGTCTTCAAGGATTACAACAAACAAACCCTGGAAGCTAATAATTACAAAGCAAGTAATTACAGGCACCTTCTTTAACGAATTATGTATTATTTAACAGATCGTAATATCTCTTTTATTTTTTAGCCATAATAAATACAGTGAATGATTTGTTGAATTGGGCCTTGCGCCGGCTCTCCCCACATTTCTGGTAATAATGCGATCGGATCATTAAAATTAACCCAGCAACCCGAGAAGTCAATTGGGAGTGCGCCTCATCTATTATTTTGGGTTTCTGCATATCTCAACCCAGGAGATTGGGTGGTATAGTAATTTTCCCATGGTTTTTCTGTAGAACAACCCTGATGTTTCCTGCATGAGGTTGAATAGCAGAATTGATATGTGGCGTGTCACAAATTATTCTAAGAGACTGAGAGGGTTCGAATATGATTGGAGGTCAAGAAGTCACAGAAATAATAGTTTCTCGAAATTTCAGCATGTGTTGATTGAATTAAACTTCTTTTTTTAAAAAAAAAGAGTTGTAATGTAATTTACAAAAAAATCCTGAAGGATGCGGGATTCGAACCCGCGCGGGTGAAAACCCAACAGATCTTAAGTCTGTCGCCTTAGACCGCTCGGCCAACCCTCCATTGAGAAACAGAAATAATCGTGTGAATTCAATCTTATTAGACTTTAGAAAGTCCGGGTAATCGGCTTGCATGTTATTTAGAACCTCTGTGACTCGTTAATATACAATTCATTCATTCATTCATAATCGGTGATGTGATTAATTCTTAAAGCAAGGAGTGTGAGGTTGTGAGAAAGTTATAGTATTATACTTATCTATTAGAAAGACCGGCATGAAATGCCCGGCTTGCAAGTTATTTAGAACCTCTGTGACTCGTTAATATACAATTCATTCATTCATTCATAATTGGTTTATTTTTTACTTGGTTTTTATTAATTTACTATTATTATTTTATTGATTTTTCTTAGTTTGATTCATGGGCTTGTGTTATGGAAATCAAAGATGTGTGGTGCCATCTGAGATAAAACCATAGCACTGGTCTATTTGATTTTGTCGATTTTGATTATGATTTTGATTTTGATTTTGATTTTGACAACATTCCACAAAGGCTTCACATTATTATCTCTCACTAATAATTGAGGCAAAGAAATGGAATGTCAGTTAAAGTGTTCAGTTGGTACATTGATTTGTGGAATCAGGATATGTGTCTGGACTTAAAAAGTGTGTGGTGACACTTAAGACAGACCCATGGTACTGGTTCTTATTTGATTTATTTGATTTATTTGATTTATTTGATTATTTTGACTTATTTGAATTATTTGGTCTATTTGATTATTTGAATTATTTTTTTACTTGGATTTAATTATTCAATTGATTTTTATTATTCTATTGATTTTTATTATTTTTATTTTTATTATTTTTATTTTTATTATCCCCCAGAATTCTGATGGTCACTACATTGAAAATACTTAGTATTTGAGATATAGTGCCAAAACCCCTCAACAAAGACCTCCATCTCAGCTCATGAAGCTCCTAGTGATGTGTAATTCACTGGCGACTTCATGACATATTCCTTTTGCAAAGATTAGTCACATCACCGGTAAAAAAAAACTTGTTAATCAAAATTATCAAGGAAAAAAAGGTGCAATGCATAGGAACATTTCATTAGATGATTTGAATTGAAGAAATGGTTTCTCCTGTTAGAATTCTACAGGTCTACAAAGTACTTTAATATATAAAGACGAAACAAACGCACTCACGTATAATGACAAACACTTTAGATAATAAAGTTAAATATAAGGACAGTAGTAAGGACAGTAGTAAGGACAAACAGCACGACACCTAGCAACCTTAAACCAAAAATGGCTGTAAATATAATCTTGATAGCAACGACTATAATATTTATTAGTAGAGATCTAATGATCTGGTTCCTAGTATATGACCTACAGACCCCTTGATTGTAGGATCTCGGAAAAGTGTCACCAGAGCGCACTTTCACCAGAAGCGGTAATTATTGTACATAGGTGTCCGGCGTTTTTCTTGTCGGAAAAACATTGCTCCACCATAGTGCACAAAATCACATAAAGTACCCTTAAGTTAAGTGATAGACAAAATCAAACTATTGGAGCTTGCACTGTACTTAGAGCTACATTTCAACATCTCCATGGTTCAATATCGCATCTTTTTTAGTTTGAAATCCTTCAAAAAATTTTCAAATTATACCATATCGAGAATTTGAGATACATTCATTGCTTGTTCAATGTTCGTTTTGCATACTGATTACAAAATGCCATTACCAAAGAACTCTTTAGTGATATTTGTTTCTAATCATATTTACGAGAAACTACATATTAATGAAAGTAATAAAGTAAATTTTTCGAATAGTCTAAACCAAACTGTAGTCAGAATAGGATAAAGAAGACAACTGTCGCTTGTGCTTTTGAATAACATTAAGGGTGAAGTTATTCCGCGCCTGCGACCTCCGTACCGGATGATCTCATCCAAATTAAATTTTCATGCTACAAAAATTGTGAATTTTAATACATCTAATGATTTGGTAAGTATCCTTTCCAAAAACTGCTAGCAAATATCACAGAAACAATCATGGATAAGCAAACCATAACATTCGTCACTGGTAATTCCAACAAATTAAAGGAAGTCGTTGCCATTTTGCAAAAAGGTGAATCAATTCCTTCTGAAAGCGGCTCAGTTGTGGGGGACTATAAGATAGTCAATAAATCTCTCGATTTGCAAGAAGTTCAAGGAAGTGTTGATGAAGTCACCATTAGCAAGGCAAGGGCCGCCGCAGATATAATTAAAGGTCCTGTGTTGGTTGAAGACACTTGTTTAGTTTTCAAGTCATTTAATGGATTGCCAGGCCCGTATATCAAATGGTTTGAGAAAAAGCTTGGTCTCCAAGGAGTAATTGACATGTTATTTAAGTTTGAAGATAAATCTGCTCAGGCCATCAGCACATTTGGGTATTGCGAAGGCCCAGGAAAGGAGGTGAAGCTTTTCCAGGGTGTGACAGAGGGAACAATTGTTGATAAACCTAGAGGTCCAACCGATTTTGGCTGGGATTCCATCTTTCAACCAGTTGGATTTACAGAGACCTATGCACAAATGGATAAAAAAATAAAGAACTCCATTAGTCACAGATACAGAGCTTTAGATAAGTTTAGTAATTTCCTTACTAACTGAGGTTATTAAATTTATAAATAAATTAGGGAAATATACGTTTGATTTTGCGAAACTACAGAAGATCAAGGAGCATCAGTACACTCCCAATCACTTGGTTCATAGGCGTTCGGTTGATCAATCTCATTCATCTCAGAGTCAGATAACTGAAAACTGTAGACATCCCAATTTTCAGCTAAACGACCAATAGTATTAGTCTTTGGTAAAGGAATATTCCCTTTTTGTAGATTCCAGCGAGTCAATACCTGAGCTGTAGTGACTTTGTGATTTGCAGCTATTTTCTTCAAAACTGGATCACTGAATCTTCCGCCATGATTAAAAGGGGCGTATGATTCAACTTCAATTCCTTTTAATCTGCAGTAGTTTGCTAATTTGGTTCTCATAATCCAAGGAGAGATTTCAATCTGGTTAACCACCGGTTTGTATTTCAATCCATCCCACTTTAATAACTGATCAATATGATGAGCACCATAGTTGGAAACACCAATTGATCTGACAATACCCTCATCCACAGCTTCTTGCATCGCTTTCCAGGTTTCTAACCTTTTGGAAGGTCCACAAAGGGGCGAATGAATTAATAGCAAATCTATATACTCTAATCCCTTGACCCGTTCCAAGCATCGTTTGATTGCAATTTTGGCGTTTGAATAACCACACTCTGAATTCCACAACTTGGTAGTATAGAAAACTTCCTCTCTTCGATTATTAATTGGGTCTTCTTTAACCCATTTCAAGATCCCTTCACCAACATCAGCTTCGTTATCGTACAAAACAGCGGTGTCAAAGTGGCGATACCCACATTTTAAGGCTTCGTAAACAATGTTTTGGGGCCTGGAGTTCATATAGGTACCCAATGCTACCGTTGGGATTTTGTAACCAGAACTTAGAGTAATAAACTTCTCAACACTCATAATGAAAGACCTTTGCTTGTTAGTTGACAGACAATGCAAGGAATAATATTTGTAACAGTGCCTTTAAATCTTGTGTCAAAAAAAACATGGAGAGCGCCAAAAGAACCACAGCTATGGTATGAGCGCAGCCCAAGCTCATGTTTAAAACATCATAATATTTCCAGTAACAGCTTATTTTACTCCTATAATAAAATTTTTCATTTCAAATATATAACCACAACTAAACCAAACCAAACAACACATTGATTCTAACGTGAATTTTCCAAAAAGTTTTCGTTTAACATTTACCGGGGGAGAATGTACTTTCAGAGGTCAGTTACGGTGGTATTCACGTGAAATCGTCACATATTCCGTCCGGCAAAATTTAGAGTCATCATCATCATTGCTGAGATAATCTTTTCTTATCAAGCCAACCTTTTCACAAAATAGAAAGCTCAACAAAAAAAAAATGGTCAAAACTGTTAACATTGCTATCATTGGTGAGTGAATTTACCCAGATTTTTTCCACCTTCCTGCAGTTTACCCTCTGTTAATACTTTTACTAACCTGTTAAATCCAGGTCCTGGCCTCGTTGGATCAGAGTTCATTAATCAATTGGCAAACATCAAGTCAACTGCTATCAAGTACAATTCAATTTTGATTTCTTCTTCCAAGAAGGCATTGATCTCCCAAGAGTACAAGCCTCTCAATTTATCTTCTTGGTCCGAGGACTTTAAGAATACCGAAACCGGGGCTTTATCCTCTTCTGAATTATTATCCTTCTTGACAAAATCCGTTTCTTTACACCCAACTATTTTGGTTGACAACTCTTCAAGTGTTGAATTATCTGACAACTATCCTAAAATTTTAGAAGCTGGTGTTTCAATTGCTACTCCTAACAAAAAGGCATTTTCAGGTGATATTTCTTTGTGGAATGCTATTTTCGGTGCCAGTGCAACAAAGGGGAGTTTGGTTTATCATGAAGCTACCGTTGGGGCTGGTCTTCCAGTGATCAGTACAATCAAGGATCTCATTGCTACTGGTGATGAAATTGAGGAAATCGAAGGTATTTTCTCCGGTTCATTGTCTTACATTTTCAATGAATTATACTCTTCTGGTAAGAAATATAGTGAAATTGTTACCATTGCTAAATCTTTGGGTTACACTGAACCAGATCCAAGAGATGATTTGAATGGTCAAGATTTTGCTAGAAAAGTTCTTATTTTATCTAGATTATCCGGCTTTGAAATTAAAAGTTTGGCTGACTTGAAAGTCGATTCTTTGATCCCAGCTGATTTAGAAGATGCCAAATCTGGCTCTGAATTCTTAGTTAGATTGCCAAACTATGATCAAGATATTGAATCATTGAAAGAAGCCGCTGCCAAGGAAGGAAAAGTTGTAAAATACACCGGTAAAATTGACATCAAGAATAAGACCGCTAGTGTCGGTATCCAAAAGTACGACAAAGCCCATCCTTTTGCCAACATGAGCGGCTCAGATAATGTCATTTCCATCAAGACGAAGCGTTATACCAACCCTCTTATAATCCAAGGTGCTGGTGCTGGTGCAGCTGTTACTGCTGCTGGTGTTTTGGCTGATACTATCAAAATTGCTGAAAGATCATAATTGAATTTTGGCTTTCATAAAAACATGATAGATGCTTTTTCTTTTTCTTAGTATAAATAAGACGAGTGGAATTTGATTCAGACATGAATCAAAAATGTGTAGGTGCCCATTGTGTTGATTCCAGCTTATATTCGCTATTAGTAGGCTAATGGAGTTTTTTTTTTGTAAGATGATGTACTTATATTTATAAATTAAGAATTCTACAGCGATTGGATCTAATACAGGTATTTCAATTAATAATTTTTAAGAAAAGTCACAAAAAAAGAGCAAAAACTGGGCATAAGTTTTCTCAGTGATTATATAAGCTCTTTGAGGAATGTAAATCAGAATTGCTCAAAATTTCTGCATTTTCAGCAGCACCAGCACTATATTTGGCATTGATCTCTTGTAAATTGCTTTCAAAACTAGAGCCTTTGTTTTCCATGAGAGAGTCAGTTACTTTGTTGTAGCTGCCAATTTTCCGTTCACTTTTGTTCATCCAGGCTTCCCTGGCTTCACTAAAGATTTTCTTTAGATAATCTGAACTATTACATTTCTCCAAGAAGTTAATCATGATGGATTGTGAATCAAAAAATAAATCGTCTTCGTCAGTTACCTTTGCTGTTTCGTAATTAACATAATCATTCATGTAATCCCTTTCCGAGTTATAAATTGCGGAATATCCATTATTGATGTCACTGAATAAGGAGTCATTCATTTTGTTATTACCATTATTACTGGTAGCGCTATTGTTATTATAACCCTTTAAGTCATTCTCTTTTTGCTTTTTCCTTAATGCCTGCTTTCTCAAATTGATTCGAGCGATGAAAATATTATTTGGAGCCAAAAAGAACTCACCGTTTTCTTTCAATTCCGCAAGATATGCTCCAGATTTGTGAATATACTGAATGTATTTAAAGTCTTCACCAGAAGCCTTATTGTAATCAGTAACATTGATAACACTGATATTGTCCTCTGAATTTTGATGATCAGTTAAATGAACAGAATCAGATATCGTATACTCATCATTAATAAATTTCTCATTACCATCATCCAAATAGAAATCACATGCTTGAAGTAAGTAGTTATGATAGAAGTATTTATTCATTGGTCCATCCAAATTTCCAAAATACTCATCAACATAATCCCAAGGGTTGTAGCAGCACTTAATGTTAACAAAAGAATGAAATGGGTTGATCTTAGGTGTCTTATAAGCTTCATAAGTTGGAACCTCAATCAACTTCAACTGGAATCTTTCACAAGCATGGGCCCACTTAGTAACTAAATCATCAATTAATTTTGGTGTTGTTGCCAACCATTGTAACTTTATGTGGAAGCAATTCATATCGAATGAATAACCTGTTCTATTGAACATGTTTTGGGAAATATCATCGTAGTAGATTTTAAGAATTTCTGGTTTATGTGATTTGTTACTCGGATCAATATCAAGAATCATTGGTTTCATCTTATTACCATTTGTTAGAGCCGACGATTCGTGTTCATAGTTTTCATAATCATCAGAGCCTCTATACTCATCCTTTTGCACAAATTTCAAGAAATTCTTCACGTTCTCAAAATGTTTGGAATAATTTCCTGTTTCATTGACGCTGGCTGCTTTACTCAAAAAACTATTGTTATCGAGCGCACTGTCCTTTTCACTGGTATAATCATTACCGAAATTATCAACAGCCTTACCACTGGCACGGGAAGACCTCACAATAACAAGTCGGATCTGGAAAACATTGATCTTATCATCCTCATCATATGCAAAATCTGCATGCCTTTCATCAAAATTACCAGCCAAGTAATAATCTATTTTGTTCCAATTGTATTGAGTCATGGCAAAGGTCGAGGGCCCAAACTCAACTTCCCGATAATGTGTATCATATCTGGTTCTCACAAATGGCTTATATGCAGAATCTTTATGAGGAGCATTAGAAGTGCCTTCAACTTGTTTTTTGGCATTACCATTATTGCCAAGGCTATTCAATTCTACAGCATCCACAATGTGCTTTTGATTTTCTTGAACTGCATCCTGTTTGAAGATCCGAACCCTTATATTACCATAGAAATCGAGGAAAATACGATGAACCTCATCAGTAACGATGAGATATGCAATAGGATTATAGGAATTTAATGGCAAGTCTCTGTCTCCAAAATCCTTTGGTAAATAATAACTTAGCATACTAACGTTTTTCTGGAAGCTTCCATTCTCATTAATTTCAAAATTTCTAATAATTTCATTGCTGGATGCATCACAAATCTGGAATCCCATCATCAATCTCACATATATCATTTCTTTGAATAAGTCTTTCACGCTAATAAGATCTTTAAATTTAGAATTTGGCAAGATCTCATAACTAATCAAAGAATAGCCATACTTCAATTCAGCGGGGTCAGGAAACTCATTTGATGTCGTTGGCAATGAGGCTGGGCAAAGTAATGATCTCCAACTGATCAAATTCTCTTTTGCTTTTTGGTTGGTATTATTACTATTAAGATTGTTGCTTTCGTGAAATTTGTTACTTGGAGACGTCAACAAGGAGCCATCAACAGCAAACATTTCCAAGGCATGCCTATTTTTGAATTTTTCATTCATCTTCTGTGTCTTGGGAGTAACAGAGTAAGTGTTGTTCCACTTGCCAAAATTAATTGAGCCAAAATCTAAATCAATATCATGAAGCTTCATTGGATTTTCTATCAATATCCCCAAATAAGCTTCTTGGTCGTTTCCTTTCCCTTTCACTCTCAGAAGTTTCAATTTAGGTAGATCTTCCTTAATTTTATTCGTTGGCTCTGTTAATTTTTTAGAGCTTCCATTTGGTGGCATTACGGTTGAAATGCTTTCTGATTTGGACTTCTCCTCATCAATTTTAAGTCTTTCTTGTTCCATCACCATTTTGTAGCGGAATCTGGTATCATGGTTCTTAAAACCAGACTTTTTATTCAGAGCTTTCATGCTGCTGGAAGAGGACTTGTCTTTCTTCATTCCCAAATCTTGTAGCAGGGGACTTGCCTTATAATATGATGGAGAGGTGAAGTTTAGACCTTTCATAGTTTTAGAGACATTTCTGGAAGCTTGAGATTTTCTGGAAAGGACTGATTGGTCATCTTTGATTTCAGTGAAGGAATTATTGACATTCGCAACCTCATTAACATTAGCCTTCGTATTTTCATGATTTCCTAAAACCTGGAATAATCTCTCAGAAATGTTTCTCAAAGTGTTCAGTCTAGTTCCAATAGCGCTTGAATTTGGTGATTCTTTTTGAGATCTCATAAATAGTTGAGTCACACTTGAATTATTAGTTTTTTGTTTATTTAATGTTAAGTCATCAGTGGAAGCTAGTCTTAGAGACCCGGTGTTTGATACAGACGACATAAGTGATAATGTATCATCCCTTTCTCTGAATAGGGCAGTTAGTTGATGATTTTGGGATTGTAACGACGGCGAATTCTCATTTTTCTTGGATTGTGTTTCCATCAACGTAGAATAAGCAGACGCACCAAGTTTTTCGCTGGTAGTACCAGAAATATCATCAGTTAAGACAACAGATTGTGCAGCTGCACCTTTTGCATCTGTTAGAGGAAAAAGCAAAGATTTTTTAGATAGCAACTGTTTAGAAGAGCGTTTAGAAACTCGGTGTTCATCTTTATCAGCAGGTTCATTAGCATTAGCCTTCTGGACACCGTCCCCAACGGGGCTTTTTTCAGACTTGTTCTTCGCAATCTTTTTCTTATCCTTAATTTTTTTGTGATCATTTGTATCCTTATTATCATTTACAGAAAAATTCAATTGGGATTTTTTTTCATCGCTTGAAAAAATAGCACTAATAACTTCGTCAATTCTATCTTCATCAACATCGATATATGAATTGTTAAAAACTTTGTCATCATACTCATCAATATACTCCTTAATGAACCTGAAAGTTTCTTTAGTCAGGCTGTCAACTATCTTGCTTGATAGATAAGGAACCTGTAAACCACTCATTTCATACTCCATAACGCCCATCATCTGTAACTCATAAATCTTGCATTTCATAGCATACTCAATATTCATATCCTCGTCATCGATACTAAGTTTATTGCTCTTATTTTTCATCATTTTAATAATATTCTTTTGTGAATTGTCGCTATTATCCATCAAGTTAAAACTATTAACAAAACTATTATGGATCCAAAAGAAACAATTAAACCAAACAGGAAATCGATAGATCAATTTGTTATTTAGGTTTCTGTACCTGAACATTGGTGTATAATGAATTGGCCTTGCACCTAAACAGATTAAATCGATGGAAATATCAAGCTTTAAAATTTTTTTAACAGTTTTTTCAAACATTGAAATATCAATATCAAATAAGCCTGAGCCCGGAGTAACCAAAATGAAGTGGTTTTGAGTATGCCTTAATGATGTCAGATTATTCACGTTGTTAAGCATTAAAATTGTCGACAAATTCAAAGCCTGCACAATATTTCCTTTCACTGATGGCAATAATTGTTTTCTAACCAACTGAATATCTTCCCTAAATTTCAATATTTCATATCTTAAGTTAATCATAATCTTAGACCAATGGTTGATGTTTATTTGATCAACCACAATTCTATAATAATCCTTTGAATTATTAAAAGTTTCACCCAATTTGCAACTCAACAATTGGTCATCGTCATCATCAACTATAGATGTAAATAAGATCACAGTAATCAAGTGGTTGGTACCCATATCTAACCAGCTTTGAAAAATTGAAGGAAACAAAGAATTGATGATTTTGTTGTAAAGAATATCTCCATTAACATCAAAATGGAACATATCGCTCGAGAGTTGAATCATAAATGTGAGTTTGGAGGATTTTGATCTAAAAACAATTTTAGTCTTTGCTTTATCAATAATACCTGAGTAAACATTGGAGTCTCGGATGTGAATTTTTGATATGGCTAAATTTATGGAGTTAAAAATCGTTAGATTTTGGCCCACATAACAGTAGGAGTAATTATTCACAATATGATTTGAAAGTATCCACATATCACCCCTCGACAAATAGATATCTTTAATATAAACTTCAATTAGGTTGATATGGTACGTTTCGGGAGAAATTTTTTTGATACATAATTGGTTAGATTTCTTGATATTTAAATATAATGGAAGACTATTGTTGCATAAAGATATCTGGAATTTATTATTCAATCTTTTTAGTAGCTGTGAATCCATTTCTTTTATTTGGAATATAAGACGCTTTTTACCTTTCTTGGCCTTTAGCTTTTTAGAATCGGCATTGTTAATGCTATCCTTTTTGTTTGGCAAGGGGTTTGAAGACTTCTTGTACAACATTGCGAAATCGCCAACTTTTAAACCAGGAACAGAGTTGAGATCAACTAATACATTTTCTCCTGATGTTGAATGGTCATGAAGAGAAACTGTGAGTTCATATTTATTTGCATGTTTCGAAATTTTACCTGATTGTTCATTCTTGGAGTCAAGAGCCGGTCGATTATCGTTCACTTTAACCGCAGTATTTGAGTCTTTGGATACCCGGTCAGGTATCACTAAGAAACTTTCTTGAAGATTAGATGGTTGGGAGAGATGGGGCTCCTCTCCAGCCCCTGTGTCAAAAAGAAAGGACTGGAATTGGCTCATGACACCTGGATAGTTCTATAAGTTATATAATCTCTCTGTTGCTATCATATATCTTCGCATCCCGCTGCTTCACATTGTTTTTTTTTTGTGTGTGGTTTATTTTTTAGCAAATCGATTTCTCAGCGCACTGCAAATTACCCCACAATATGCTAGGCGCCCCAACGGTCATAGTAAGCTTCATATGTCATCGCCAAACATGGACGTCTCCTCATTTTGTTGCCATGGCGAGAGTCATCGACTGTCTGGTATAAATATTTCTATTACGCCTTTTTAATTCTTATAAGCTTTTCTTGGGGAAAGGGTTTGACGCATCTAAATAAATTCCATGAAATGAATTCAATCAAGCAATTATCAGCAATTTACGTCAAACATAGGACACGAATTTCGAAGGTTCTTTACATCTATCTCTTGTTTTCATTGTTGTCCTCATCTGTTAACTTAAATATCAAGCAGAAAATTATACGCTTATACCAGAGAAGAAAGAATATTTTGAAGAAAAAGGCAGAAGACGTTGGATCTTTGATCAGGCCGGAATCAGATGAGGTTGTGAAAATTAACAGAGGAGTAAAAAGCTTGACAGATTACCTCTTACAAGTTGGTGATGCCAAAGTGTTGAAAATTCTTATATTTCAAGTTCTCTTTATCTTCGCTAAAATTTATCTCAATTTCAAACTCATCGACATCGACTCTAGATTGGTGTCTAGTTTGTTTGGAAAAGATTATCGACAGTTCTCCAAATTAACTTTCTATTGGTTATTAATTGGTATTCCAATGAGTTACCTAACTTCTTTATCAACATACTTAACTGATACCTTATCTAAAACTTTGATTGTCAACATTTCAAGTGATTTGATGAATACTTACCTATCGTCCTCGTTTTCGACCGCCAAGGATAATTTGAATGCTTTGTACAAAATAAATCATTTTTCAAATAAAATCAATGATCCCCATCAAAGAATATCAGTTGATATTTTTGAATTTTGCAACAATCTATCTGCTATTCCCTCACTCATTTTGAATCCGTTTTTGAATTTGGTTGTTGTTTCGAGCAAATTATTTAATTATGATCAAGGTTCAATGACTGAAGCGACATTATTTTTTGGTTTGGTGGTTAATATATCTACTATTTTAATCAAAGTTGCTTCCCCTAGCTTTTCAAAAATTGCAAACAGTTACTCTCAGTTAGAATCAGATTTTCGACAAGTACATTCAAGCATCATCAACCATTTTGAACAAATTGCTTTATTGAGAAGTTGGAATAGAGAATTATATGATGCAGATTCATACTACTTTGTTTTAGAAAGGTTTTTGAGGAGAAACTACAGAAAGTTTGCGCTTTACAACTTTGTGAAGACTTTTATAATCAAGTATACATGGGGCGCAATGGGGTTGAGTTTGTGTGCATTCCCAGTGTTTAAAAATCATTTTCAAAGGTTAAAACCGCCTTTGAGTAAGAACAAAATCACCAAAGACTTTGTTCAAAACAGAAGCTTATTGATGAATTCCTCTAACGCCATGGGTGAATTACTTTCTTCCAAGAAAAATATTGATCAAATTATTGGTACCTCCAAAAGAATTATTGAACTTAAGAACACCTTGATGGAATTAACCAATGAAGATGACTTTTCAATTAGTGGTGATGGTAGCGTTGCTGGAACTGTGATTCATAATAATGATGTCATACAGTTTAAGGATGTTCCATTAATCACACCTACAGGCCAATTATTATGTAATCCATTGAATTTCACCATAAACCATGGAGACAATCTTTTGATTATTGGTCCAAATGGCTCTGGTAAATCTTCGTTGTTCAGATTATTGAGTGGTCTTTGGCCTGTTAAGTCTGGTGAATTAACAATTCCAGAATATAACTCAATTTTTTATTTACCCCAAAGACCATATTTGATCAAGGGGAAAACCAATTTGATTGAGCAGATCATATATCCAAAGTCATTCCATGAGTTTGAAGTCGAACTTACCATGCCTAATTCTAATGCAAAAAAGATTTACAAGGATTTAATTGATATTTTGAAGATACTTGAATTGGATTATTTGTTGAAGGATAATATCTCTGCGGAGTCTGAAGAGGGCTTAACATTTGATTCTTTGAGATTTGCCACTGACGACTCAGATTCAGAAAGCAGTGACGAGGAAGGATATAACTACCATTCCATGATATCTGTTCTACTTATGGTACAAGATTGGTCACAACAATTATCGTTAGGATCTCAGCAGAAGCTTGTAATGGCAAGACTATACTACCATAAACCGAAATTTGCGGTGCTTGATGAATGTACTTCTCAGGTTACTCCAGAGATGGAGAACAAAATGTATACTTACGCAACAAAGCATCTAAAGATTTCGGTTCTCTCAGTGGCACATAGAACTTCCATCTGGAAGTTCCATCAATACTTGCTACAATTTGATGGTAAAGGCGGCTATATTTTTAAGAAATTCAACTACAAAAAGAGAATGCAATTTACAGAAGAGAAATTTGAAATTGAAAAGAATTTGAATCATTTGCCAAACTTGAAGGCGAGATTGACAGAGTTGAAGATTGTTAAAGAAAATCAATTAAAAAGAGCATAAATTCTGAATAAAAGTATATAAATATATAAATGTTTTACATATATAATGAATTAAATTATTGACAAAAACTTGTACTAAAAGGCATAATTGGCCTTATTGATAAGGATTACCTATATTTGATAAAATCCTTTACAAAGCTCTAAAGAGGGAATGGAAATATTAGAGTGATTATCATCGAGGGTTATATTATAATATTAAACAGAATTCTAGAATACAAAAGGATCAAATACAAAAGGGTGAAAAGAAGAAGAAATAAAATCAAAGCTGGCTTTCCAATTCGTTCAATTGTTTCAACACAGCACACTTGGCTGTACCACCAGTACTTGTTCTTTTTTCCACTGAGGCTTCGAAGTCAAACACATTAATAACATCTTCACCAAATCTAGAGTCAATATTTTGAAACTCGGCAATGGTCAATTTATTTAGCGGTTTGTTTTGCTCTTCAGCTGTTCTAACACATTCACCAGAAATGTGATGTGTTTCTCTGAACGGAACACCTTTCTTAACAAGGTAGTCAGCCAAATCAGTAGCCAACATATCCATGGTTAGAGCAGCAAACATCTTGTCAGACTTGACAGTCAAGGTAGAAATAACACCAGTGGCAATCAAAATAGAATGTTCAACTGTAGTTAAAGCATCAAACAAAGGTTCTTTATCTTCCTGCATATCTTTGTTGTATGTTGATGGAATAGACTTAATAGACATCAAGAACCCTGAAAATGAACCGAAAACTCTACCTGATTTACCTCTCAATAATTCCAAAGAGTCTGGGTTTTTCTTTTGAGGCATCAAGGAAGAACCGGTGGAATAAGCATCAGACAACTGAATAAAATTGAATTCACCAGTAGAATAAATGATCAAATCTTCGGAAAATCTGGAAATGTGGTTCATAAATAAGGTGGACCAAAACAATGTTTCAACAATGAAATCTCTATCAGAAACAGCGGTCAAAGAGTTACCAATGACACCAGTGAAACCCAAGTTTTCCGCCAAATATTCTCTGTCAATACCATATGGATGACCAGCTAAAGCACCAGCGCCTAGTGGACTAACATTCAATCTGGCAATGATTTGTCTCAATCTTTTCAAATCTTCAGTGAAATAAGTAGCGTAAGAGCTCAACCAATGTGACCATCTAATTGGTTGGGCCTTCTGTAAATGGGTATAACCTGGCATCAAATATTGAATTTCATTTTTTGCTCTGTACAAAATACTCTTGATAAAATCAACCAAAATTTCATCCACCTTGATCAATCTTTCTCTAACATAAATTCTCATATCAGTAGCAACTTGATCGTTTCTACTTCTACCAGTGTGGACCTTACCAGCAATGTGCTTACCAATGATTTCACCTAATCTTCTTTCATTAGCAGTATGGATATCTTCATCACCTGGCTTCTCAACAAATTCCTTATTGGCCCACTCTTGCTTGACAACTTCGAGACCTCTGTGGATTTCTGCCAATTCTTCCTTGGTAATCAAACCAAGCTTGGTAAGACCTTCAGTGTAAACTTTGGTACCTTCAAGGTCGGCTTCATACATCTTCTTGTCATATGGCAAAGAAGCATTGTATAAATCCATCAAAGGATCAGAAGCTCCAGTGAATCTTCCACCCCACAATCTCTGTTCAGAAGGTTTGCTTTGCGGCATTATTTATAAGAATTAGAATCTATTGTTTGTTTTCTCTTTAAATATTGGAAGAAAACAAATTGAAAAGAGAATTATTTTTCAACATTGTGACAATTGCTTCTTATATAAGGATTTTTTCTACCTTCTGGGGAATTAGTCATATGCAAACTCATGCATGGATATCAATATATCAGTCAAAAAAAACAACAAAAAAACGCTGAAAAAAATTAACACCAATGGCGTGGGCAGAAATTTATTAGTCAATAGTAACCTTAATATATTGTATTACTCATAAGAATAAGAAAAACACACACAATTTGTATTATTGTAATAAAAATTTAGAAAAGAAAAATGATATATTATATAGGTCACTAATTAAATTAATAACTTCTACCGAACATGGTATAGTTGATAGCTTTTCTAGCACACTTAACACACTTAGTGCCAGCCTTCAATGTTGGTTGATTGAATGGAATACACAAACTCTTGGCACCCATACTTGGAGCTTTGTCATCAACTTCTTCATCTTGCTCTTCTTCGGCCTTCTTGGCACTAGAATCCTTAATATCCTCCTCACATTCCATAACCCCACACCATGGAGACAAGATAAGGTTCTTGTTATTCAAAGCTGGAACAAACTCATCCCAGTTTTCAACAATAACTCTGTGAGTGTCAAACTTTTCCTTAGCAGCCAAAAACAAATCTTTCTGTAATTCTTCCAAGATTTCTGGAATTTCCTTTTCCAAATTATCCATGGATACAGTGTATTTCTTGTTATCATTACGACGGACAACTGTGACGGACTTCTTTTCCAAATCCTTTGGACCCAATTCAATACGGATTGGTAAACCCTTAAGTTCCCAATCAGAGAATTTCCAACCTGGAGAGTAAATATCTCTGTAATCACCAATAGCTCTGACACCGGCCTCAACCAATCTGGCCTCAACATCCTTAGCGGCTTCGTAGATTTGATTTTCAGCTTCTTTGGTGGTCTTCTTCGTGATACCAACTGGAATAACAACAGCTTGTTTTTGGGAAACTCTTGGTGGGATAACCAAACCCTTGTTATCAGAGTGAACCATGACCATAACACCAATAACTCTAGTAGACAAACCCCAGGAGTTTTGGTAAACATTAACCTTTGGCAAATCTTTTCCTTCTGGGTTCTCGACACTAATACCAAACATCTTAGAGAAGTTTTGACCCAAGTGATGGGAAGTAGCACCTTGGATACCTCTACCGGTGGCTGGAATGTAACCTTCAACAGTAGTGGTATAATCACCACCAGCGAACTTTTCCTTTTCAGTTTTCTTACCAGGAATGACTGGAACGGCCAATAATTCTTCATAAATGGCTTGATAATAGCCCAAAATATCCAAAACTTCTTTTTGAGCATCAGCGGCAGTCAAGTGGGCGGTGTGACCTTCTTGCCACAAAAATTCTCTGGTTCTTAAGAATGGTTGTGGGTGTTTGAATTCCCATCTAACGACAGAATTCCATTGGTTCAACTTCAATGGCAAATCTCTGTGAGATCTAATCCACTTAGCGTAGTATGGGTACATGACGGTTTCAGAAGTTGGTCTGATGGCAATAGGTTGATCCAATTCGGAGTTACCAGCTCTAGTCACCCAGGCGACTTCTGGAGCAAAACCTTCAATATGATCCTTTTCTTTTTCCAAAACTCTGGAAGAGACAAACATTGGGAAATATGCGTTTTGAACACCAATGGACTTGATTCTTTTGTCAAAGAAGGCTTGAATTTGTTCCCAAACAGCGTATGATGGAGGACGAAGGATGTAACAACCAGAAACATCATAATAATCCAACATTTCACCCTTGGTCAAGATTTGAGAGTACCAGTTAGGGAAGTCCTTGAATTTGTCAACGGTAATACCGATTAACTTGGCATCATCCAAGGCGGCATCAGATGGAGCGGCGACCTTCTTCTTTTCCTTCTTTTCCTTCTTGGCTGGAGCTGGGGCAGCTGGGGTGGCAGTGAAATCAACTTCCACGATTTCAATACCAGTGGATTTCAAATAAGCATTCAATTTGGAAGCTTCCAATGCTAATTTTGAGCTTTCAGTAGACAAAACCAATACAGCACTGGATTCAGCACAGGCAATTTGGGAATCTAAAACAATTTTATATTTACCAGCTTGGGATGTATTTATGTTAGCAATGGAAAATTCTTTAGCATTGACTTTGAAATGTTCATTAACGAAGTCATCATTAGCAATTCTGACTTCTTTACCAGAGACAGATTTGGCGACGACTTTGGAATCAGTTTTGGTAGAGGACAAAGCGATAAGAACAACTGGAGAGCCGCTCTTCTTTTCTTTGAAAACCAAAGATTTGGCTTGAATAGCGCCCTCAGGAACTTCCTGATATAAAGACAAAGCAGCTAACGAGGCTTCAAGGGAAGACATTTGTGACTAAATGGCGAAAGTTCTCAGGGTATGTAGTAAGCTCACCGCATTCCCTTGAATTTGGCGAAAAAAAAAAATATATTTTGCGTCCATCGATAAAAGATCAGTCACCCGTCCATATGATATTATCCTCACAGGGTGAAATACCCTCTGCTAGTTGCCGCCTGTCTTCTAGGACAGCGGAGGCCCATGGCTGATATATATATCGCCAGGGAAGAGCAAAAGATTGCAATTGTAAGTATACGTACATGGGGTATCCAGGATAAACCGACAAGCTTTATTGTGGACACTCAATTTTCTGGTCATGTGGCGACAGGTACCCCCAGGGTGGAGTTTCCAGTTTACTACTAATGCCGGTAGATTGAAAAATCGCAATCTGTTATCTACACTTTTCACAACAAAAAACACGGTGTCAGCATATCCTACTATATTGACAAGAAAAATGACTATTAGCAAATTGACTCCACCACAACTACCACCTACTTGGAATGACACTCCTGAGAACATTTTGGAGCTTGCCGACAAGTTTATTGCCGATGCGAAGGCTCTTGATGATAAGCTTGCCAAAGTGGAGAACCCAACCATTGATAACTTGATTAGGCCGTATTACACATTTTCAAATGAAAATAAACTACAAGTTCTTCGTTTAGGGTTTTATCGTCAAGTTTCTGAGAACCCAGATATCAGAAAAGCGTCAATCGAAGCTTCTAAAAAAATCAGCGAGTTTGGTATTGAATCTGGTTTGAGAGAAGATCTTTTTGTTCAATTCAAAAAGGTTTACATGGAAACTAAGGATGACAAATCCTTAGACCCAGAATTATCTAGATATATTTACAAGGTCTATAACAGATATAAACGCAGAGGTTTAGAGTTGCCATTGGAACAAAGATCTAAAGTCGAATCGATTTCCAAAGAATTATCTCAATTATCTATTGATTACCGCAATAATTTGAATGAACAAACTGAATTTTTATTATTTGATAAAAAAGAATTGAAAGGTGTTCCAGAAAATATCGTTTCGCAATTTGCTGATGTGGAAGGAAAATTAAAAGTCACTTACAAATATCCTGATATCATTCCTGTTATCAAGTATGCCAAAGACCCACAAACAAGAAGAACTGCTATGCTTGGTAATCAAAACAAAGTCGGCCAGAATGCTGCGATTTTGAAGCAAGCAATTGTTAAAAGAGCTGAATTGGCGAATGTTTTGGGATATAAATCTTATTCTGAATATGTTCTTGAAGAAAGAATGACAAAGACCCCAGAAAACGTCTTGTTGTTTGAGAATGATTTGTTGAAAAAATTGAAGCCAAAAGGTCAATCCGAAGTGGAAGCGCTAATGAAGCTCAAATTGAAAGACTATGATGAATTAGGGCTTGATACTACCAGCAAGGAAGCTAATACCTTTTTTATGTGGGATTTGTCGTATTATCACAATATCCTTTTAGAAGAGGAATATAAAGTCGATGAGCAAAAGATCTCGGAATTTTTTCCTTTGGAATCTACCATAAAAAAGATGTTAGGTTTTTATGAAGTATTGTTCCAATTGAAATTTATTGAGGAAACTAATCCTGAGAGAAAGCGCACTTGGCATAAGGATGTGAAACAATTCGCACTCTGGAAAACTGACAACCCTGAAGAACCAGAATTTTTGGGCTGGATTTATTTCGATCTACATCCAAGAGATGGAAAGTACGGCCATGCTGCTCATTTTATCATTAAAGGTGGATACTACGATGAAATTAATGGGGTGAAAGAAAGACCAGTGAGTGCCTTGGTTTGCAATTTTTCTAAACCACAGAATGACAAGCCTTCATTGTTGAAGCACTCTGAAGTAAAAACTTTTTTCCATGAACTAGGCCACGGTATTCATTCTTTGGCTTGTGAAGTCAAATTTTCTATGTTCCATGGTACTGCTGTGGCTCGTGATTTTGTTGAATGTCCATCTCAAATGTTGGAATTTTGGGTTTGGTCTGCCCCGGAGTTGAAAAAATTATCATCACACTATGAAACAGGAGAACCTTTGGATGATTCCTTAATAGAATCCATGGTCAGATCAAAACATGTTAACGGTGGGCTTTTCTTGCTTAGACAGGTTCATTTTGGATTATTTGATATGACCTTGCACAATTCTAGTGATGGCGTTGTTGATGTCGACCATGCATGGAATAGGTTGAGAGAAGAAATCTCCTTGACCAGTATTGATCATGAGAATACTGTTGGATATGCGTCATTTGGCCATATGATGGGAGGGTATGCGTCCGCCTATTATGGTTATTTATATTCTAAAGTTTTTGCGACTGATATCTATTATACAATTTTCAAGAAAGATCCATTCAATACAGAAAATGGAGTCAGATACAGAGACATTATTTTAAAGAGAGGTGGATCCATAGATGAAATCGATATTTTGAAAGAATTGTTGGGCAGAGAGCCAAACTCTGATGCATTCTTGATTGAGCATGGTGTCAATTCTGGGAAATTATAAGGAACTGAAATCATAGTTTTATATTCTAGAGTTTCTATTTGAAACTACACTTTAAATATATATCTATATATCTATATTCTATAAAATAACATGCTTTGATTATATTATACTATTATTGCATAGGTGATTCTTGTGAAAGAGACCCAATGCCGCGTAACCATAAAATGGCCATTTAACCGGGTTAAACTTGAATATTAGCAGATGATTTGTATCAGCTAAGTCATAGTCATCAAAGTGACCCAGCAGTGCATGAGAGTATACTTCACTGATTATGCTTGGAACTAAGGATCTTATCACTTCCCCGGCATATTATTCGTCACATTGGAGCTGTGGTTACTGTAATTTGAAAGAAAAACAAAGAACTCCACAGTTGGTGGCAAGCAGCTCAGTGGGTATCCATCTATACAAATGTTCTCCAGAGAAGTACGAATCGTTAGTCAATAGGGGATACAGAAGATCTGGTGAATACCTTTATAGGCATGATTTGCTCAGAAATTGCTGTCAACTATACACAATTCGAACAAGCTATCACCAAACATCAAATAATACATTCTTCAATCCTTCGAAAGATCAAAAACGGTGCATCAATAAATTTGCCAACTTCCTCAAGATTGATTTAAAAAATCCGAAAAATAAATTTAGATTTGAGGAGTCAATTTTGAATTTACAACGGAGTGATCCAAAAGTATTTAGAACTGTGATAGAGCCAGCACAATTTTCCGAAAAAAAATTTGAGCTATACAAAAAGTATCAATGCAAAGTTCATAAAGACAAACCCTCTGAAGTCACCCAAAAACTGTTTAAAAGATTCTTGTGTACAAATCCTTTCAGCGAGTATTTCAGTGATGAAGAACTAAATGATTTGAATGAATGGGATGTTATTGAAGATTCAAAGAGAATATTTACTGCCATGGGGGCTTTCCACGAATGTTATTATATCAACAATGAAATGGTTGCCATATCAGTTATTGATATTCTTCCAAATTCAATATCTTCTGTCTATTTCATATGGGACCCTGACTATGCTAATTTGGGCTTAGGAAACTTCTCAGCTTTGCGAGATATGATTTTGACTTATAAGTTGAATAAAAAGCATTATTACTTGGGTTATTATGTTCCAACATGCCCAAAAATGTTCTATAAGAAGAAGTATGGAGGGGAATTGTTGGATATTGCTAATCACAGGTTTGTTAACCTAAAATATTTAGAGGAGAATGATCTCATGGAGGAAGGGAAACCGTTCATCATGAAAGAAGTCAAAGAAGATATGGATGTTAAGAATATTAATTTAGATCATTTAGAACCAATGACCTTTGAGGATGAATCTATATATCCAGAGACTTGGAAAATTGAGGAAGGAAATAAACTTATAAATATATCCAAAACACTATATGGACCAGATGGGTCTGTTACAAAAAATGAAAATAAGATTTACTCTGAAGGAAAACAAATGTTTCCAACTTTAGCAGCACCCAAGATCGATCCATTGCCAACTGTTTATCTCACAAAATGGGAGTCAGAAAATAATGAACTGGAAAATGAGGAAGAAGAGGATACTTTTCCGAAAGTCCAGTTTGGATCGATACCGTTATGGGGATTGAATGAGATCATCAGGAAAAGAAAACTGTTTTCTATTGAGGATGATATTGTCATGTTACAAATGCAATTTAACCAGTTGATGATAGTTCCAGGGGATTTTGTTGCATCTGATGCAGAGTTTAGTTCTGATGTTTTAAATCTCCTTCGGTCTATTGGACCTAACATTCTTAAGGATAGTGCAGTAATAAAGCCTTGAAAATAAGACTGCTGTATTTTTAATAACTTTTGAATAACTTTAATAAACATAGATTAAGTGAATGAAAAAAATAAAATAAACAGTATGATTAAAAAAAAAAAAAGGAAAAAGAAAGATAAAGACAGTACAAAGAAATGAGAAATATTATTTTTTCGAAAAAATGGGTGTAAATACATAGGTGATACCTTTAATTTATGAAAATAAAACTCAGTTTTCAGCTTCAGCGACTGCTCTTGCTTTAGCCTTCACATAATCACAAGCCTTCTCATCTTCTTGTTTTTCTTCGAATTGCAACCATTTAGTGAAGAAGAATTTCTTTTGTTTATTAGATAATTTCTTGGTCACCAATCTTTCGAACAAGTCTTCAACCTTTTGTTTTTCATTCTGTTTGATTTCTTGATCAATGTAGACATTCCATAAATCAAATTTCTTAGGTTTATCGGAAATTAAACCTTCAAATAAGGATCTACCTTGTTCTGGGTCACCAATCTTGAATTCTAATTGCGCAAACTTCTTGACAACTTCAACATGGTCGTGCTTTGGCAACACTCTCAATGCTTTAGCTAAAAGTTCATGGGCCTCTTCATTTCTTTTGTTTTCCAAATAGAATTTACCAAAATTGATCCAGACAGAAATCTCACTGTTGAATTTCTTGGTCATCACCTTGAAAAGTTGTTCAGCTTGATCAGATTTTTCCGATAAGATATAGATACCCGCAAGCTTTTGATGGATAACCAATGAGTCCATGTATTGACAAGCCTTAGTGAAGGTTTCCTGTAAAGTTTCTTCGGTACCAAAGGTATTTTCCAAGTTTAACATCGCAATCCAAATGTTCAATTTTTCTTGTTCTTCACGGTAATTGATTGTTTTCAAAGCTCTTTGACCAATTTCTCTAGCCTTGTCAATTTCACTCAATTGTAACTCAAAAGACATGTAATTCATCCATAAGACAGAGGAATTAGGTTCACCAATTAACAATCTTTCAAAGTCAGAAACAGATTGTGGCGCGCGAGTGTTCAAATCAGCGGTTTTATCTTCCACAATACTAGCTTTTTTCTTGGATTTCTTGTTTTTCTTTCTACCATTAGACATTTCATTTTCATAATCGTCTTCATCGTCTGAATCAACCAAACTATCAGTTTGATCAAGAATACTAGCAGTCCAGTCAAAACCGTTTGTACTTAAACCAGATAAGCCACTCAAGCCACCGCTTAAGGCTTCTTCTTCTTCTTCTTCTTCTTCTTCTTCTTCTTCTTCGTCTTCTTTGTCGCTTTCATCCTTTTCCATATCTTCATCATTAAAGGCCTCGCTAAGTTCTTCATCATCACTATCTTCATAAGTGACCTTATCTTCGGCTTCAGCATCCTTCATTTCATCATCAACGTCAGAACTGAAATAAGAAGCCTTCATACCTAAGGAAAGCTGTTTCTTTTTCTTATCAATGGATAAAATCTTAACCTTAACCTTGTCACCTTCACCGAATAAAGCACTAAGGTTGTCAACTACACCATCATCAGAGATTTGACTCTTATGTGATAAACCAGAGATATTATTGGTACCTTCAAGGTTAACAAAAACACCAAAGTCAGTTACGGATCTAACTGTACCATCGAATATTTCACCCCTTTCCAACTCATCGAAACTCTTAGATAATTTCAATTCACCAGTCAATTGAGATTGCTTCAACGTCAATAAAACACGTCCTTCACCCTTGGCAGAGATGATTCTACCTTTAACAACTTGATTTGGTTTGAAGTAATTCTTCCAGTTCTTGACATATTGATCAGAAACTTCAGACACTCTAATAAGAGCAAACAAGTTAGAAGAAAGTGAAACATAAACACCTTTGTCATTAATATTTTTAACAAACCCACGAACAACATCACCTGTCTTGATATCATCAATTGATTGAATCTCACGGTCTTCAATGGTTTCATCTTCAGCATAGTTGGAACGCAAGGAAACATTGAATTTAGAAGCAGTTTGATCCGCAGAAAGAATCTTGGCGTTAACAATAGCACCAACTCTATAAGTATCTCTCAAAAGTTTATCGTAATTGATCAAAGCATCAGTTATGTAACAGAAACCAATCTTTCTTTGCACCAATTCAACTATTATGAAATTATCATTGATAGATCTAATTTTACCTGGAACTGTCTCACCAACTTCCAATTTATAGTCATTATCGTGATCAGTTATTTGTTTTTTACTCTTCTTTGATTCCTCAACGTGCAACGAAAGCAAAAATCTTTCATTTTCTTTATCAGTTCTTAAAACATGGCATTCAATGGATTGATGCTGCTTATAATGATCATTCAAGTCATCAGCTCTATTTTTAAGTGCATATTTCTTTAACACCAAACCGATAAGTTTGCCACCAAAGCCAATGAACAAACCCTTTTCAGAAATGGACTTCACATAACCATGCAAAGCAACTTCAGGTGAAAGGTTTTCAATGTCACTAAACTTAACTGGTAATTTTTCATTTTTAGCGTCCTCTATCAAAGATTTTTTAGAAGTCAAGATGGCTAATTTGGCCTTTCTATCCTTATCCAACACCAAACATTCCAATTCATCATCAACCTTGAAACTCTTAAACAATTGTCTATTTTGCTCGAAATTGCCGTCAGAGAGATGTGAAGAATAGATAATCCCACGAGAGTTGCTATCTTTGATATCAACAATAATACTATCCTTGGATTTTTCAGCAATCGAAACTTTAATGACATCTTTACCAATAGTCAAGTTCTTCAAGTCATTAGCTAATGGTTTGGTATTCTTGCCCTCGATCTTTGAAGCGGCATTTGACTTGCAACTCACAGTCATTTTTTTGGCACTTGAATCAATCATAATAACGGTAACAGTAACAGTCAGACCAACTTTCAAGAAGTCTTGAGGATGTTTGACAAAAGTTTCACTGATTTCACTTTTTGGTAAGAAACCTCTCATTTCACCAAAAAACGATATAAGGGCACCATTTGGGAAAATGGATTCTACGGTACCAGAAGTCTTGGTACCAACCTTGGTAGAGGAATAATCTCTCAAAATAAGGTTCTTGCTATCATCAGTGGCATCGTCAGTCAAGTTAACCACAAGAGATTTTCTCAAAGTAGCATAAATCTTTGATCCATTAGCGATTTTCAAGATTCTACCTTTAACTTTAGATCCTACCTTGAACTTTCTTTCTGGATACACTAATTTGATGTCACTAATGTGTTTTGGTTGGACAAACGCTTTAAAAACATCGAAGATTTTGACCACAATACCCTCAGTTCCAGAAACACTTTCAATCACACCAGTGAAAAGTTCACCAATTGGAATATCTTGAGCTCTCACATACTTTTGCTCAAGAATCTTTGGATCCATGGTCAAGATATATTGATTATCTACTGGAGAATAATCGAGAATCTTAGCCTTATGGGTCGAACCGTTATAATATTTGGCAGTCAATAGATTCTTGGCTTCCGGAATTCTGGAAACATGGACTTGACCAATAATTGAGCCAGAGCCTAGTTCAACATAGAAATATTGACCATCAGAAGCCTTAACGGTAACCTTGTCCAAAGAGAATCCAATTGGGAAGGCCTCCAAAGGATTCAATTCCTTTTTGAATGGGGTCAGTTTGAAGCCCATAATGTGAGGCAAAAGAGAGAGTAAAAATTTCTTTTCGCCATTAGCAGTTATAGAAGCAACAATCTTAGCTTTCACCTTACCACCAATTTCAAATCTGTCTTTCAAACCGGCGATGGTGTAGATATTAATATTAGCTAAGTTGAAGGAGGCATTAATTGTACCGAAGACCTTACAGGTAACGCCACGATCAGTCACAGTGTTGACAATGGCTTCAACAATATTACCTGGAATGACGGCATCAGTTGAAGATATTTTTTCAACAGAAGCATGTGATTTACCATCGGAATTATGGAATTTAAGGTTCAAAACTCTGGAATCACCCAATTTTTTTGATACAAGGAGCAAAAATACAGAACCTTCAGTAACTTCTTCGATAGCATAACCAGCAGCTGCAAGCTCCTTTCTGGAAATGAAACCTGAAAGTTCACGCTTACCAATATTAAGAACAAGACCATGATCTTCGATACTTCTGACAGAGGCTTGAACAGTTTGGCCGGTGACAAAGTCATCATCATCCAAATGTTCATTGACAAGTTCTGGCTCTACAGTCAACTCAAGTCTTTTGGTCCTCTTTTTCTTGTTCTTTTCTGACTTCTGAGTGGTAGGTTCCACCACCAAAGCCCTAAGCCATTGCCCAACCTTCAATAACTTGGTACTGTCAGGAAGATCTTGCTCTTCTTTATCTTCTTCCATATTTTCATCCTCGTCATTTTCATCATCTGACAGAGCCTCATATTTTTCAATCTTTTTACTGGCTTCTGCAGAGATACTATTGAGAGGAATATGACCGATTAAATTGTCTGGTAAGGCCAAAGAGATATCAGTACTTGTGATTTTCACAACTTGACCCAAAACAGATGAACCTGGAATAAGATTCTTCAAAGAAAGATGGTCTATGGAAATTTTTTCATCATCTTTATCAGAAGCGTCAGTGCTTGCATCGGTCCCCTTTTTCTTATTCAACTTCTTCTTTTTCTTCTTTGGGGCCTCTTCAGTAGTCTCTTCAGCTTGCGCATTCTTTTTTGGTTTCTGAGAAGTCTCAAACAAAACATCTCTGGCAGCTTGATTTGCGACTTCTTTGACTTCCAATGGGGTCAAAGCTGAAGCTCCACCTCTTGGGAAAGAAACTTCACTTGATTTAAGCAAAGAAGGAGCAGCTTCAGTCTCATTTACCTCGACATCAGAGCTTTTTCTCTTCTGAGCTGCCATGTTTATTGCAAATGACCTTTAGTTGTGAGATTTCTTTATGCTTAGCAGAATTTCTCTGCCTGCAAATTTACCTAAGGAAAAAAAAAAAAAAAAAAAAAAAAATTTTCTTCTCATCGACCAGGGGCACACAACCTTTTTTTCAAAAGTTTTTGGCCTTTTGTAGTTTTCTGAACATTTATTTTTCTCTAAGTTCATTATTTAGGGGAATATAGCGGGGATTGAAGTGATAGTGATATCTCAAGAAGGTTGAACTCCCTAAAACAGACAAGTACTCATATGAAACACTGGTTTTAGTACGGAAAGTCGGAAGTTACTGATGAGACACATGACAAAAGTTCACTCAAGTGAAGCTCGTAGCGAACACAGGGTGTTGCACCATTATTATTATTATTATTATTATTATGTTTGGTTTTCTTTATTTCGCCCACTCGTTGTTTAAGAAGTGGATCACTTTCTAGTCAGGTTTTATACTTGTGTGTCCCTAGCATCTCATTGGCTCTTATCTCAGGAATCCCCAATCTGATTTGATAACACATGTAAGCCAGTAAGGGTATAGGCAACCTTAAACCTCATTAACAAAACAAAACAAAATGTGAGTCACTATATCACCACTCACTAGAACTTCAGGATTTATTAATCATACTTATGTGGGGAGATAAGGAAGGGAGTTGGCAAATCGATTACCACACTTCCTTAAATCCCACCACCATCGCCATACTAATCAAATTACTGGTTGTGCCCAAATCGGAATCATTACCCTGCCTGTATTTGTCAAAGACGATCTCACGATATTTTTTCGCAAATTGGAAGATAATATAAAGTGACTAACGATCCTTCTTCCCGGAAGTTACCCAACAATATTTAATAACGTCAATACTTATCTAGTAAGCAATGTCTACTTTCTACGTTTGTGAGAAAACAGGTGTCGATGGTCCATCCCATGATGGTTCCAAAGAAAAGCCATTCCAAACTGCTGCATACGCTGCTTACACCAAAGAAGATGCTAAAATTTTCATCTACACTGAAACTGAAGAAATCAAAGACTTTGTCGAAATCTCTGCCTCCGCCATGAAGAAGGCCAAGAAAGGTGCCATGGGTCTCAAGAAAAAGGCTGAAAAACAAAAGCTCTTAGAAGAACAAAAGAAAAAGAAGGAATTGGATGATTTGGCTAAACAAACTGCTGCCATGAACATCAAGATCAACAAGGATGAATCTCTTCCAGCCGCACAAAGAACCAAGTTGGCTAAGGTTATCAACTTCATCGGCAAGAGAGTCCTTGTTCACGGTTGGATTCACAGATTGAGACTCCAAAAGGGTAAAGCTTTTATTGTTTTGAGAGATGGTACCGAATACATTCAAGTCCTTTTGTCCGGTGATTTAGCTGAAGCTTACCAAACCTCTACTTTGACTTTGGAATCTACTATTGCTGTCTACGGTACTGTTGAAAAGTTGCCAGAAGGTAAGACCGCTCCTCAAGGTGTTGAATTGGTTGCCGACTATTACGAAATTGTCGGTCTTGCTCCATCTGGGGATGAAGCATTTACCAACAAGGTTCAAGAAAACGCCGACCCATCCTTATTGTTGGATCAAAGACACTTGACTTTGAGAGGTGAAACTTTGTCTTCTGTCATGAAAGTTAGAGCTTCTTTGTTGAGATCTATTAGAAGAGTCTATGATGAATTATCAATTACTGAAGTCACCCCACCATGTATGGTCCAAACTCAAGTCGAAGGTGGTTCTACTTTGTTTAGCTTGAACTACTACGGTCAAGACGCTTACTTGACCCAATCTTCCCAATTGTACTTGGAAACTTGTTTGCCAGCTTTGGGTGATGTTTACTGTATTCAAGAATCCTTCAGAGCCGAAAAATCCCACACTAGAAGACACTTGTCTGAATACACACATATTGAAGCTGAATTGTCTTTCTTGACTTTCGACGATTTGTTGACTCACATTGAAACCGTTATTGTGAAAACAATTCAATATGTTTTGGAAGACCCAATTTCTGGCCCATTGGTTAGACAATTACACCCAGAATTTGTTGCTCCAAAGTTGCCATTCAGAAGAATGGAATACATCCACGCCTTGGAATGGTTGAACGAAAACGGCATCAAGAACGAAGATGGCGAGGAATTCAAGTTTGGCGATGATATTGCCGAAGCCGCTGAAAGAAAGATGGTTGACACCTTGAATGTCCCAATCTTGTTGACTAGATTCCCAGTTGAAATCAAGTCCTTCTACATGAAGAAGTGTGCTGATGATCCAAGAGTCACTGAATCCGTCGATGTTTTGATGCCAACTGTCGGTGAAATCACTGGTGGTTCTATGAGAATTGAATCCTTGGACGAATTGGTTGCTGGTTTCAAGAGAGAAGGTATCAACCCAGAAGCTTACTATTGGTTCATCGACCAAAGAAAGTATGGTACCTCTCCACACGGTGGTTATGGTTTGGGTACCGAAAGAATCTTGGCTTGGTTGTGTAAGAGATTCACTGTTAGAGACTGTTCCTTGTACCCAAGATTCACCGGTAGATGTAGACCATGAGCAGAAAGATCATTTTGTTTTCCTTTGAATATACTCTTTGAAATTTCAAGATCTATTTTTCTTTGTCTCCGGTTCCAACGACCATCCATTGTTCAATTTCATTGCTTTGTATTTGTTACATGATTTATATACTTAGATCGTTTTCCTTTCGTCATGCCATCTTTTGTGATATTATAATATAGTGCCCTTATCTTATTTAAATTGCGCCAAGCCTCCCAGTAGAATAATGTTGATCATTTGCATTTTTTTGATTTTGTGCTAAATGCACTCTACACAAGGCAAGTAAGCAAAAAAGATACAATTCAGTAAGCATCTTTCTAAAGCACCAACGTGGTTAATTGCCGATTGAAACAATTGAAACACATCATAGAAAATATTATATTTTTGAGATGTCATCTTTTGGATCACCTACGGGTGAATTGAGAAAACCTAAGACATTTTTAGGGACAAAGAGTGAGGGAATATATTCTAACAGACAATTCAATCAGCATCCAAATGATGAGACGATGCGTTTAGCATTTGGTCATAATAAAAAATATATCCAAAGATCACCAGTGAGAAGTTTAGGCTCTCCGATGAGACTTTCTGGTAGAAAGAACCCCGCTAAAAACTTGAGCGCTGAATACTCTGCTAAGCAGTCGCAGACACTAACGGAATATTATTCGACACAAATAGAAAAGAGGGAAAAACAGCTATATGAGACACTTATGCAAATAAAGGATATTTCAAACACATTGAATTTACTATACAGTGAAAAGCTGCAATTGAAATCTGAAAGATCAAAGCTAAAAAAGCTCCATAAGGATCTCCTGGTAAAAAATTCTACAATGGATCAAGTTCTCAATAGCTATAATGAAGAACTCAACAATGAACTTCAATTCGAGACAGATAAACTTTCAATTGAGATTTCCAAACGAGAAGCGACAATAAAAAAAGAGCTTTATGAGTCGGAAAGAGAATATGATCTGAAAATTCTGAAAGTGAAAGAATTGAAAGGCGAAAAAGTTCAAAAAGAGATAGATCAATTGAACCAAGAGGTCATTGGTCTTCAGCAGAAATTCAAAGAATATCAACATAATGCCGAAACCATAATTCAAGAAAAGAAAAATCATCAAGAGCAGAATTTTGAAGAATTGACAAAAAGATCAGATAATACGTTAAATCAAATGAGAGAACAATTGGATATCAAAAGGGGCCAGCTATCAAGCACTAGCATCAAACTAAGCGAAACAACTGAAAAGCATGACTCTCTACTTCGTAATATTGAAGTAGCTGAAGAGCAAATCAAGAGTTTGATGAAAAATGAATCAACTTCCAAAGAAAGAAACGATCACCTAAATGAAGAAATATTGAATTTGCGTAATAGACATGCAAACCGACAGAAAGAGTTGGACGATTGGGAGGTTGAATTTGACAAGTGGAGAGTGGAAGAAGAAGAAATCAACAGGAAACTAAAGGAGCAGAAATACTTGAAAAGAAAAACGCAATTTGCCGTTCAAGGTTTGTTGGAAAAGCTTTCAGTTTATGTGAGAATTTTGGCAGACGGCTCGAATTCCTATGAAGTCAATAACCCTAATGACGGTATGGAAACATTAATCTTAAAAGAAACATCAAGAACATACTGTTTCTCAAAAATCGTTCATTCTAGTATCGATGATGATAGTTTCTGTGAAGAATTCGACAACTTAATGGAAGAAGGATTGAAATCGTTCAACAACTCCATAATAATGATAGGTGACAGAGCATTACCATTTCCTAACAATGGAAAGCCTGGTGGCTTGCAGGCAATAATGTTATTATATAAGAATTTTGACTTTTTGAAAAGAAATTATTTTATGAAATTAAAACCAAGAGGTTGGAATTATGAATTTAGTTTCCAATTTTTGACAGTTTCTGTATCCAAGAACAGCTTCAAAGATATGATTGAAAGTAATGCTGGTGGTGCAAATTTTATTAGACCTAGTGATACTACAATATCAATTGGATCAACAGATGTGATTGCCAAATCGAACGTATTGAAGTTATCTCTTACTGATGACAATTCCTCAATATTTGAACAGATAGCAAGCGTCGAAATCCCTCAAGGCATGGTGTCTCTTTTGCTACTTCATATGACGGGGGAGAATAAAGGCTTGAATAAGTTTACTGATTCAACGAGCTACATTTTAGATTTTACCACGGTAAGTGAAGATGGAAATAGTCTTCAAATGGTGGTGCTGATGTTTAATGAAGTGCTTGACCACATAAAACAGAATCATTATCTGTCAAAGCTATACCAAGATAGTATATTTATAAAACAACTACTTCATTCCTTTTATGCCAATACCGAGTCTATCACAATGATAAATATCGAAGAAAAACGCTTAAATTCCAAGAAAGCTGAAGATTTATTACTATTAGGAGAGAAAATAAATCAAACCAAGATGCCACCAAAGAAGCGGGCAGTTAGGTCACGATAGAACACTTCCGTTCCTATGTATCATTAGACAATTTATTTCTCGAGTGCTTCATATTGCTTCCAAAAATCATTCTTTTTAATTGTAGACAACAATTCTTTTTCAATAATAGGTTTATTCTTCTCATCCAAATCGATGAAATAAATCTCCTCCAAGTTCAAAATTTCGTCCGCATACTTCAAAACTCTGTGATAGTTGAGACCAACCTGAGCAATAGAATGACAATCATCACTAAAACAAAATCTTGCGTCCCCATATTCACAAATGGCTTTGGCAATCTCCACACCAGGATATGGAGTGGCCCATCCTTTACGTAAGCTTGCACTGTTTAATTCAAAAAGTCCACCGTAAGACTTGATAAACTTGACATTTCTAATAACTTTCTCCCAGATCTGTGGCCAATCTTTCTGGATATTTATTTCTGTCTTAACCTTTTTCCCTGTTCGTTTATCGACGACAGACTCGTCACACATCAAATAGATCAAATCAAAATGTCCAACAACGGCTGGCTTGATCTTTTGTAACATTAAATACTGTATCTCAAAGTATTCGCTGAACAATTCATATGCTCCCCCACAAGCAGCTCTGGCAGCCTCCCATAACTCCTTATCAAAATCAATAGGGATGGATTTTATAAAATGAACTGATCCAACACACATATCAAATTGGTATTCTTGAAGCAAATCAACAGCTAGGTCAATATGTGGTCCATCAATTGCTTCAACTTCGAATCCCACAAGGAATTTGGTTTTGACTTTTGGATCGGCAAGATTGCGCTGCTGGATAATTCTAGCATGTTTATAATAATTTGCAAAAATTTCGGAAAGATTGGCAGCATTATAACTTTTGGATTTTTCTTCTGGATATAGGAAATCATCTTTTAATCTAGGTTGGTGTTCAGTTAAACAAAAACTTTGGAACCCCATGTCAATGGCTCTTTGACAGACAGTTTCCAAAGTATCTGAAGCATGGGATACATAATCACCACTGTGAGTGTGGTGAGAGCGCATATTTTTATGTATTTCAATGAACTTCTTTTTATTGTCTCAGTCTGAACTTGTATATATTTAGGAGTCATACTATGATAGTTATCAGTAATGATTCAAAATAAACGAATTTCAGCAACGTGAAATCATGCATTATTGTTGTGATTCCTGCAGAAAGCGCATCGATTTTTTTCTTACAAAAAAAAAAAAAAAAAAAAATTTTTTGAAGTTTCTACAAACCATCTGAAGGTTAAGGCATCACCACACTGAATATACAAGACAAATAGATGGTATAAACAGGGAAAGGCATCAGAGGAAAGAAAGAAAATAGAGAGAAAGAAGAAAAAAAGCAATCAATATCAAAAACATGAGCACTGTCATTTCTACAAAGAAGAGAACTCTCACTGGTGGTTCCTCAATACTGGCTAAGAAAGTTAAAATAATCCCAACAAATGAAATAGATGAAGAAACCAACTTGTCAAAATGCTTTCACACTGTCACTGCCAAATTATATATTTCCTTGGCTCCTATGTTCTTCAACGACCCTATAAAAGGTGTTAAACAGCAGCATTTGGATCCTCTTCTTATGAGCTATTTCTCTGAAGCAAGAGGTATCATACTATCATATTCTAATATTAAATTCTTGAAAGACAACTATTCTGATGATGGTGCATCACTCTTAGGAACCATAAAGTTTGATACTCCATTTGCTTTTATGTGGATAAGTGTTAACTTTTTAGTTTGGAGACCTATGGTTGGTGATATTATTAAAGGTTACAGTTACATGCAATCCCCATCTCATATTGGGTTATTGATCCATGATACCTTCAATGCTAATATTAAGAAATATTACATTCCAAATAATTGGGAATTTGTTCCAAATGCGGATGATGAAAACCAAGAAACTGAGGGTGAAGAAGAAAGTGGTAACAATTTGAGATCTTTGGGTTACTGGGTCGACGAAAACGGTGTCAAGGTTGATGGAGAATTACAATTTACAATTAGAGCCATCCATTCTGCTGGGAAATTCGTTAGCGTAGAGGGTACATTGATTAAACCAGGACAAGAGGAAGACTTTGGAATTTCTTCTGAAGAAAAGCCTCATCAAGTAAGTACTCACAAAAAGTTCTTTGATGAAGATGTGGAAGATACTACTTTGACCGTTATTCCGGAACCTGCTAAGGAAGGTCTTGAAGATTTGCCTAAGTATGATGTTGATTCCGATGAGGAAAAAGTGATAGCTGAGGCTGATTCCAGCGAAGATGAAGATGAAGATTGAAGTTATTCAATGCTTAACTGTGACGCAGGTGATTATTTATGTTCATATAGTGTGTTTTGTATTATTTATGATTTAAAAATCTAATAAAAGTTTGATTTTTTTTTTATTATTATTTTGGCTTTTAAGAAGTATAGGACTTTACAATGTAGTTTTCAACATACCGTTGCTAATTGTATCGTATATATAAAGATTGATATTAAAAAAAGGGGGTGTTGCAACGAGATATGGCATTGGCAGACAATAATCTAGTTGACCAAAAGCAGGAAACAGTAATAATAAAAAGATAAGCATCAAAAAAGTGTGAATGTATATTGACCAACGATGGGACAAAAAGATGGGACAAACCAGTATCCTCTTCAACAATAGCAAAAAAATAAGTAAGAGATAAATAGGACACCTAGCATCAACAAGAGAGATAACTTCCCTACAAAGAGTTCAATTGGTCAGTGATTTCATCCAATTCTTCCTTGGCCTTGACATACTTGGCATTCAATTCTTCATTCTTGAGTTCCAAGTCTTCCTTTTCCTTTTCAAGACTGGTGACCTTCTTTTCCAAAGTTTCAGCCTTAACATCAACGTCACTGAACTTTTCCTTGGTGATCTTATATTCTTCTTCGATCTTTTCCAATTCAGCTTCCAAGGTTTCGTTCTTGGTGGTCAAGGACTTGATCAAGTTTTCTTTTTCCAATAATTCTTGTTCCAATTCCTTGTTCTTGTCCTTGATGCCATCGTGCTTTTCTTGCCATTCTTCACTGGCAAGCTTCAAGTTTTGGATCTTTTCCTTCAACTTATCCATGATGCAAACTATTAACGGGTACTATATTATAAAATAAACTGATGTTCCTTTGGCGGTTACAATAAAGTATGTATCAAAAGACAGAAGATGAGGGTAGGAAAAAAAAAACTGGGTGGCCAAAAACGTTTCATTTCTGAGATCTACACTATTGAATCCGTCCGCGCATACGTGTTACCAAAAAAAAAAATACCGGCACGGTTTGAAGGTCATGGGACTTCTGATTACATTTATCCGTATTCCTATAGATAAACATGATGGGCACGCTCATGGTGGCATGTATTTTCCAGTTCTCTCCACTGTAATTTATATTAATATTAAATTCTCGTTTATGTTAATTCAGAAAGTAGAAATATAAAAAAAAATGTCCCCCTTGTAAGCCATTTGATATAAATACTCGTTTCTACGGCTCCATATTCTTAATCATTTCTTTATGGTAATAAACATCCATTATGTTATTATTGCTCTAAATAATTATAAACTTCAAATTAGTATGTACAAGGCTCCTCTACAAAGCTACTCACTGAGTTTCTTTTATTTTTGAAAATGGTATGAGAGTTTTTCTCTCTTGATGAGTCGATACTAGATCTTTTGGATTTCCCATTAGAAAGCCTTTTAAATTTATTTTTCAATGAGTTTCTTTTGCTAATTGAATTTTTCATTTCAATCGTTCCCGCTACCTCATCATTCTGATCAATATACAATGGCGACCGTGAATACTGAAAGTGGGAAGGATTATGTTCATGTTGATATGACAAATAGTCAATAGACTCTGAATCCAAACTAATTTCGCCAGCCATATTTTCAATTTTTTTCAAATTTGGAGTAAATGAATGAATAAACTTAACTCCCACAGAGCTATTTGATTGTTGACGGTCATGACTTTTGTGATTGATGCCCTTTGAAGCTTCTTCAAAATTTAATTTAGGCGGAGTTCTCAAAACATTGTCAGTAGTACTAGCACCGCTCAAATGCAACGACTGGTTAGACAGTTTCTTTGGCGTACTACTTTCCGGAGAACTTTTAGTAGAAATATAGGGAGTATTTGGAGAATCAGATGACAAGGAGCGGCCGACGAGTTTGTTGTACGCATCAATATTCATATCATTTTGTTGCTTGGTTTTCGAGTTTGCTTCCCCATCGCTGACTTTATCATCAATTTTTCCTATTTCTGGGGGATTTGGCGACAATGATCTTAATCCTGTACCCTTTATCAATTCTATAATACTATTTCTCTCTTTCCTGTCTCGCCTTGAATCGGTTGAAGATCTGGTGGCATCTATTGAAGATTTGGCCAAACTGAAATCAATGCCTGGAACATCGTTATGAGATTTCTTGAATAGCATAAAACTCTTCCTTTTTTCAGAAGTACCATTTTTTAGAGTTGATGATATATACCCATCTCTAATCTTATACATCTCTGATTTATCATTGAGAATTGCAGTGAACGGATCAGCAACTAGAGTCCCTACAGGAGTATTATTATCTGTGCTATCAAGGCTGACTGGTGACGATACTATTTCTTTCTCAGATGATCCTAGAAAATCACCATCATGGACTAATGAAATGTTTGAGCTTGTGTTAAGGGGTAAGAGCGTTGGATATTGATTATTATTATAAAACGCTGCTGTGGGAGGTCTATTGGTGGCTGAAATATCATTCAATGACTTGCTAAATAAATCTTTATCAACAGTATCATCAAGAATAGAACTCTCTTCAATTGTGCTGACTTTGCTTGCTGGAGCCAAGAGGCTGTTGTTCATTCTGTGGCTATTAGATCGTGACCTACCAACGATAATCAGTTTATCAAAAGAACTTTCAGAAAATTTTTCAAAACTATTATTCCTGCTACTTCCCAACCTAGTTAATGTGGAAAAATTATTCCTATTAGGATTTTTAAGAAACTCTTTGAATGAGTTTCTTCTGTTTGCATCACAAGCTGTATCTTTTTTACCGGATAACAATCCCGCAATCAGATATGTCGATTCAGCCCCAACTGATTTGCTATGCTGCCTGCGAATCTTTGGAAGTGGCCCTACAGCCAGTAAATCAGACACCTCGAATAATTGCGGTGTTGGGGGTATCAAGTTAATTTTCGGAATATTTAAAGTAGAAGGGTTTTCATTTTTTGATTTTGGTGATGGTGGTTCTTTAGAGCCTTTTAATGATGAAAACGAAAAAGCTCGTTCAACGAATGAAACCTTCTTGCCGGTCTTCGGTTGTCCCTTACTATTCAATCTGCCGGTTAATTTCATGAATAACAACAAAAAGAAATTCACGGTGAAGCTCAAGATGAACAGAATCACTGACAATAATATATTGAGTAACAGTGACAAATTAGTACGCTCTTTGAAGTTCCTTACCAAATATTCAACATATAGGTTCTTTTCTAATGGTTTACTATCATTACCAATGATACTTCCAACGCTAGCATTTGCCTTATCAAATCCCAGGGAGTCCTTTAATTGTGAAACGTTCGCTGAATTACCATTGTTTGTGGAAATCTTGTTCAATTGCTTAAGAAGTCTTTTACTTTTTGTTCTCTTCCCCTTTTCCTTACTCTTTTTTGATGTATCATAAGTATTCAAGTCACTAAAGAAGGAGTTGATAGCTTCTTCCTCGCCCTTCAGACATGTTGTATCAATGCTCCCTTTAAAGGATTGTTGAAGTTTCTTTCGGTATTTCCGGTCCAAATGCTCGATTTCCGATTTGGTAGATTTCAAAATCTGGTAGTAATTCTCAAAAAAGCTATATATTATTGGGATTGTGTTTTTTATTAATCTTTGATGGAACCTTAATCTAGAGTTGTCAAATCCAAACATTGCATTCCCGAATTTTAATAGTATTGAGTGAGTTAGTTCCAAAAACCATTCCAATTGGTTTTCAAATATTAACTTGTTGCTATTGTATTTTTTCTTAATGATTTGTTTCCTTGGACCTGGAATTTTCTGTTCTATTTGGTCTTGTGTGGATAATGACGACTGTACGAATTGATTGAATATTAGAATATAGTTTTGACTGAGAGGATTAAAGATCCAGACCTTAAAAAGCACCATTGCGACTTTCGGGGGAGAAGGTAGTCGATGTAAAATGAAACTATCTTCTAGAGATTTTATCAATAAGAATATAGTTAACCATTTTATCCACGACCTCAACAATGTTCTATCGTTACTATTAACAACTTTTAGTGAGATTAAAGCCGGAAATAACAGGCTCACGGCTGTTCTGGAAAGGCCATTGAGTTAGTTTAATCAGCTCGAACTAGAAAACGGCAAAATATTAGCTATTTAAAACTCACTGCTCCACGGCTTTCACTATATTCATCTATTCTGTTATCCTTCATGGATGTTTGAAAATATCTTGAAACTTGACGTAAACAGTGAAACATCCCAGTTATGTACAATCTGAAGATTTTAGTCACGTGTTAAAATTATGGTCCGTCCTGGCTTGCCTCCATTACCAGCAAAAAAAAAGCCCATTGCGACTATACGGCTCCGGGGAAGTGTAGAGCACATGAAACTAATATCACAGAAATGTTTACCAAAACTTTCTTGAGAAATGCTTCCAGTGGAATAAATAGGGGATTCCATACTTACTCCTTCAAATCTATGCCATCCGTGGCCCGTAAACCTGCTTTTTTAACAGGCTTTATTGGTGCATCAATCACGACTTTTGCTGCTTATGAATCTTTCAAATATTACTGGCCACACAGCACTTATGTTTCGTTGGAATCACCAGTGTACAGCTCTTCAATAAGTAATCTTGAAGACACTATTGTCGTTGATAAATCTATTAATAGTTTTCCAACAACTTTAGTTTCTCCAGAGGATGGTCAAACCAAATTCTCCTTGATCGGTTACGGTAATAGAAAAGTGACTTTCTTGCAGTTCAGCGTCTACGGCTTGGGTATTTATATTGCCAATGAAGATGTTGCTAAGATCCCAGAGGTCCTTAACTCTAAGTACTTGTCAGAGGTTTTCATTGACAAGCATGATCCAAGTTTAAGCCATGCTGATAATTTGGCACTCGCATTGAAGGATCCGGAAACTTCTGAAGTATTAATTAACAACTTATTGGACGCTAATATCAGATTTTTAATTAGAATTGTTCCTTTAAGGGATACTGATTTCAATCATTTAAGAGATGGGTTTGTGAAATCTTGTGTTCGTAATAGGCTTGTAAAGTCCCTGGCTCCAGATAATTTGAATAGTGGTATTGATGAAATCCGTGTTATTTTCAAGAAATATAGATCAAAATGTCCAAAGAACCATGTTTTCTTGGTGGAAACCGACAAAGAGGGTAAGACATCCTTTATTTATGAGAACCTTGGTAAACATCCTGAACAGAAGAAGGTTGAAGAAGTTGTCTACTTAGGCACCGTTCAGGAAACCGTCATAAGTAAGGCTTTGCTACTCAATTATTTTGCTGGTGCAAAGCCTATTAGTAATGATGCAAGAAAGAAATGCATTGATGAAATTTTAAGAGTTGTCTAGATATTATAGAGGAACAGCTTCATGTATATATGCGCAGACTATTTTTTTCATATAGAAAAAAATAGTAATAAAATCATTTTTTTAACTCACCCAAAGTGAGAACATTACTACGAGCTCAAATTGAGAGTTTTATGTCACATTGTTTGAAAGTTTCAATACTTGTCTATTACTGTACACTACTTGAAATTTTATAGCTTTGAAATCTCATCGCTAACCGCCGTTTCACACTGTAAACTCAAGCCTGCAGCAATCTGAGCTCTATTGAATAACTTATCTCTAAGTTCACCTTGTTCAAATAGCCACAGAATTCCTTTATCTGCCATTTGTTGAATCAAGCAGCCCGCAAAGCAATCGCCTGCACCAGTGACGTTAACAACATTCGTGATTTCTGTCGGAACCTCATAATATTGAATCATCACTCCGAGTTGCCGCGATCCATCAATGGTTTTCCCTTTGCTGGCAATAGTGAATTTCGGTTTCTTTAAAATATCTTCAGATTTTGGATGGGTTTCAAGACGCGCTAAATCGTTAGAAACTTTGTTAGCATCCAAGGTCAAATTGACAACGATAATTCCCTTTTTTCCAAACTTGATTGCTAAAGCTGGAATATAAGGAAGAATCTTAAAAGATTGTTGCAAAACCCCTTGTTTAAGTACATCTTTGAGGAAATCACTTTTAATACTATCCAATCTATTTCTAAATTCAGAATTAATCCCCATGGCATCCAACACAGGAAACCAATTGGTGACATCAAACAACATATCTTCATCCATTTGATCATGAATCGATCTAAGTTCAGCCGCGGTTGGTGTGGCTAATATCAATCCATTCATCTCACCAATTCCAGCCTCCAAAATACTTGGTACATGCATACTGGAAAAAATGAAAGAGGAAGGGTCCTCCTTGATGACTTTAGAAATTTTCGAGGCCTTGATCGATGAAGTTGGCTCAAAAACAACTTTTGAGCCTAGATTGAGAGACTTTTTGATGACTTTATGGAAGCTGGAAACTCCCACATTACCATCAACCAAGACTATTTCAGGTTCAGCAGCCTCCAATTTTTCAAGAAGTTCTTGATCTTGAAAATTCTCAGCAATATCCATATCAGCACATGCAACAACCAACCCTCCCTGTTTATCATGAATTGAAACGTATTTCGCAGTAGCGTATTGGGAATTCATTATCAACCCCGAAGTATCAATTCCGTTATCTGTAAGTTCTCTAGTGATTAATTTTCCAAAATCATCATCGCCAATCTGTCCAATTAATCTCGTTGTTGTATGTGAACCCCTGGTAGCAGAGAATTTCGAGGCCATAGAAACATTGAAGGCCACGCCTCCAATGGAAGAAGAGCTTGTGCCTGGGTTTGAGTCACCAATATGATATTTTTCAGGCTTCAATCTGCAAATCAAGTCTACTGCTACTGATCCAATCACTGCAATATTTACTTTACTGGAGGCTTGCATTTGAGATTGCTGAGCCTTTAAGTTCAGTTTATTGAGCTTTGTCAGTGGAGTAAATGCAACAGGTTTGACTGGAAGTTTATCCCCTTTCTTAAAAGTATATATTAGTAATACAAGTCAGAAACAAAAATAAAAAAAAAGAAAGAAAACCCCTTTACAGTTCACCTGCTTCATTACGTACCTCAATTTTTGCTAGTTCTACAGCAATATTGGCACCAGCACGAGCATTATTGAACACTACTTGCAAATTTGTATCCACGCTTGTACCTTTTGTGAGCTTTGCAACTTTACTCAACAAGAATGGCGTCAAGTTTTTGCCGAATATCCCCAATTGTTCGGCCTCCTTTTCTGCCTCGGCAATAATGTTATTAATATAATCGGAATCTAATGCAACATCCATTGGTGGGGGAATGCATAATAAATAACCAGAATCTAAATTCATATCATTAATACCGGAGTTCACAATCTCTGCTGCTTGTCCGAATGTTTCAAAGTTGTAAGGAGACTTTACACCACTATCTACCGCGAAAAACCCAGGAATATTGGTTCCATAGGGTCCCATAGTAGCCACAAAACATCCTTGTGTCTCCAAGTATTCTGTAGTTTTGGCAACATCAAGAATCGATTTTGGTCCGGCACATACAACCGCCACCTTGGTCCTCCCTAATTCTGTCAAGTCTGCACTAATATCAAATGTGGTTTCTGCCTTCTTGTGAACTCCTCCAAGACCTCCTGTGGAGAAAACTTTGATGCCCGCCTTCTCTGCAAGTATCATTGTTCCAGATATTGTGGTGCCTCCATTGAGTTTCCGGGCCATAGAGTAGGCAATATCACGTCTTGACACCTTATTAACATTTTTGGCTGCTGCTAACATTTCAATCTCTGAGCTATTCAATCCAATACATGGTTTGCCTTCCACAAAGGCAATTGTAGCTGGAACTGCGCCATTTTCACGAATGACAGACTCCACTTGCTTAGCCATTTGGATATTTTGAGGAAATGGCAATCCGTGGGTAATAATTGTGGATTCTAATGCCACCACTGGCTGATGAGTATTTAACGCATGCTGAATTTCTTCTGCAATCCTAAGAGTTGAATTGAACCGTTTAATTGATCCTAGAGATTTAGAAGCGGCTTTATATCGAAGAAACATCGGCCAATATAACTTATTTATTGCAGAGTACTTTTTGAGAGAATCGTGTGTCTTTTGTCACAGAAAAAAATTGGAGCCAAAAATGGCAGCGCGGAAGGGCAAATTTGAACTGGTGCCAAAAATTGTTACAGAAATATCGTGTGCTTCCACCATATTAAAAACTCATCAAATAATTCATTAGTAGTACATATTTTTACAGTATAGATGCTAATATAAACGCAAAACAAAAATCTTCTAAATAATTAGAAAGTAATTGGACATAAAGGGTTTTCTGTCAATAATTTCTGACACTTCCAATTGCGCCTGTCGTTTATCCTCATAAGAATCCACAGCAATTGCCAAAATTTTCTCTGCTGAAGCCTGTATATTGCTATTCTTAAGTACTATTTTTTCCTGCTTTTCTGCAAGACTTTTCTCCTGTTCGTCCTTCATCTCGACCAATTTCCTAAACTGCGATACATCCTCGTGAACATCACCGTTAACTTCCTGTTCATATCTCTCCAAAAATAAAATCATTGTCGTAAAGATATCATATCTATACTTATTTACTCTCTCCTTGGCCATTTCCATTAAGGTTTCAAGGAATTTTAGTACCTCTTCCACAAATACCTCAGTATTAACCAAATCATCATTTCCAGATTCATTCGCCCCAATTCCGAGAAATAGAAATCCATCAGTCAAAATATTTAGCACAAAACTCCACAATAGCTTTCGAAGTACCAAAACCACCTTTCTCAGTCTATGCAATAGATTAATTATTTCCTCAGCCGCCCTGATGTAAATTTGCAAAATTGTGATTTTTTCATTTTGTGGCAAATTCATAATAAGCCCTACTTTATTGATGATTTCATCATTCAAAAATTGAAGCAACCGCTCATCCTGTTCCTTTACAGTCTTAGAACATTTTACTATAATTGCTGCCGACAGTGAATATGATATGGGCAATATCATTCTTGAGTCCTCTATCTTTGAGAGTGTTGGAAGATATGAAAGTCCAATACTAATGGACTCGAGGAGCACCTTGTCCAAACCGCTTTGAGTAAAGTAATTAAATCTGCCAAATTCAACATCATTGCCACGAAGTTTGCCAATGATGAGCCCCAATATATGGCACCCAAGGGATTTGATCACAGCATCTGTATCATCCAAAACTTTCAAAACACAAGATGAATAAAGGTTCCAATCCTGCCGAAGTTCAGCTTCAGACACACTAAATTTAGACAAATAAAAATAAAGCGTGGATATGACGTGTAATTTCGAAGGTGTCTGTTTCCATTTTTGCCTGGAATCATAATAGTCATTGGAGTAACCTAATTGCGGGCGGAGGCCGCCAACAGCTTTCTGAGGGTTAGGTGATAGGTCCCTGAATGATGATCTTATCGTTTCCAATAACATTATTTGGAGGTCGTATTGCGGGGCATGCTCCTCCTCTGAGATATGGGGAAACACTTGGCATAATAATCTCGTTGATATTTTCTGCGTATTAGAAGTGGTCCATGGAGTGTGCGGCATATAGTGGTAGGTCAAGAATTTAATTACTTCGTGGTTGCTTCTAATGGCATCAAGGCCATCAGTCTCATATGACTGATATAATTCTTCTAGCCTCTTTTCATCCCGATCAATACTTATTTTAAAATTTATCGACATTTTAGATAGAACGCTCGAAATTAAAAAGTAAATGCGTTTATTATTCCGGCTTTTGGTGATTTTTGAATAAATTGTTCTGTATTGTTGGTCATGTGATTTGTACATGGCCCTCAACATCAAGCAAAAACTATCTACAATAATGTGGTAGTATAGTATACTTTGGATCAACAGAGAAACATCTTCCCAATTTTTTATTATTTTATTTTATTAATGAGAGAGAAAAAATTCCCGGATGCAAAGGCAATGGCAGAAAAAAATAACCTATACTTTTGTAGCAGTGATAGAAAAAAAAATGATAACGGAAAATACCAATGAAGAAAAGTTGAACCAATAATTTAGGAAAACCATGATACGAGCCATGAAAAAAAAAAAATCGTTTCTCATAAGAATAAAAAAACCAATAACCATTCAAAGTACATCCACATGTCATTAAGCAAATACTGAATGAAAGGGAAATTCCGTTGAATAATACGCATATCCTTTACCAACCCCGATGAACATATAAAATAGAAGCCAAAAAGGCATTAACTCAGCTGCCAAAACTCACAAGGAGTCGATCTCTTCATACCTTTGCAATAGCAAACGCATGTATTGTTCTGGATCGGTGTCCCATAAATGGGCAGCTTGAGCATTTAAAGGAGACTTGTTATTTGGTTCGCCCAAAAGGGATTGTAAAGATAATAAGATAGTTTGAACGTTGTAAATTGCCGACCACTTTTCTTTCAAAATATCTAAGCAAATATTTCCACTCATGTCAACATTAGGGTGCCACATTGGACTCACAAACTTGACGGTTGGGGCTGTATATGGGTAGTTTGGAGGAAACTCTAGGCTAATTTTGAACTTGAGGCCATGATATGGTGTTTCGCTTGGGCCCTCTATAAGTCCAGTCCATTTCAATATGTTGGAATCTGATTCAGGGAAAGCAGAGATCCCAGGGGTCTTTGAAAACATCAATTGAACCAATTCTGACTGGAGTCTTTTGGACACTGAGATACTTTCATTCGAAAGAGAGCTCATTGGTTTTGTGGCGGTAGATTGGCGGGACAATAAGACTGAATCCATTTTAGTGTGTGATGTTGGTGAATATTGTTGATGGAGAAGATTACTCTTTTGTTGTGGGGCTGTTCAAGGTGCCTAAGCTATAATTATTATTATTATTATTATTATTATTATTATTTTGTGTATATAAATTCGTATCATATATATGTACCATATATGTAATATCTATTTATTCTTAAGAATAGGAAAAAGATGGTCTTTATAAATATATTAGGGGCAGCCTCGAAGCTGAAGATTGCCTCAGCATGCATTGGCAAAAAGTAAACAAAAGCACAAAAGCGGTAGTCCGCCAATTATGCACCTATATGCTTAATTCTGTAGATATCATGATCGTCGTCGGCATCAGCCTTATCACGCTTGTCTTCACGTGATCATAATTTATTCGACAAGAAGTAACACAACGTGGAAAATTGGAGGCAAGGTTGAAGGGTTCAAAAAAGGAGTCCTTTAGAAATTACTACAGCGGCGTTAATTTGTGTTCCTCCTTCCAAACCCCCCATAGTGTTTTTGTTCGTTTTTTTTGATCTATCCTATATTATACTTCTCGTCGTACATCCACTATCATCATCATCATCATCATCATCATCATCATCATCGGTCAGTCGCTTGGGGTTTGTTAGTTATTTCTCGTGATAAATTGACAACGTTTTGCTCTCCATAGGTGAAGCTATTGATCAACAACAACAACAACAGAAATGCCCATCATTCAAGTAAAAGGATTCTAAAGTTACTAAAAGTTGTACATTTCTTATATTATAAAAGTAAACCTGGCTCACTGTTTTTTATTATCGTTTGTGCTTATAAACATATCCTGTTTCTTTCCCCTTTCCCAGATCTTCATTATCCTACTTACTAGTTGATCATCAGGGGTTTTCATCGTTAAAATCGAAACAAAAATATATTTCACCCAAAAAAAGAAAAAGTCTCTTCACTGGGCCATTTCACTCGTGACAAAAGGAACAACATATTCTAACACTTCTCTGGACGGCTATTGTTAAAGACCACAGTGTGCATTTAACGATGAACTTTGGTAATAATGTTGCAAGTGGTTTTCAACAGCTATCGAGCTCAAATCGGATTATACATCATCAACAGCAACAGCAACAACGAAGGGTGATTGAAGATGTTATGGATGACACGAAAATAAATAACATCCCCTTAAATAACCACCAATTTCCTCAGCAGTTACAGCCAGGTGTTTCTGATGTACAATACACTAATTTTGTGCAACAGCAACATCAGCAGCCTATAGCACAAGTGCAAATGGGGCATCCACACCATTCACTTTATCCTGTTGCTCTTCATCCACTTCACCCCCATCCTCCCGTTCCTCAAAACCATGTTATTCATCAAGGTGCTCCTCATCCCGCTGGACCTCCTCGGCATCAAATGTTTCAGTTGATTCCAAACAGAGGAATGATGAATGGTGTTCCTACTCCCCAGCAATTTGCAATTATACAACAACAACAACAACAACAACAACAACAACAACAACAACAACAACAACAACAACAACAACAACAACAACAACAACAACAACCGTTCAACCCAAATACAGTGTACCATCAAGACTCTTTGACATCCCAGGCTCAAATGCAATTTCACATTCAACAACGGCTTCAGCATCAACAGATGGTACAACTTCAACAGTCACAATTACAACAAGCTCAAGCCGCACAACAAGCACAACAAGCACATATCCAATCTCAAATTCCCCAACTGCACCAAGTACAGATCCTCAGGCAACAGCAATCTGCTCAAGCATTGCCACAAAATGCTTTCGACCAACATATCCCTGAACAGTTAATTAAACAAAAACAGTTTCAAAATCACATCCAACAACAGCGCCAAAGGTATCAAATGCAAATGCAAATGCAAATGCAAATGCAAACACCAACTGAACGAACATCTACTCTGAAGGTTTTAAATATGAACCCCAATTCTCCTATTTGTGGGGATGTTAGAAATGTCGGCAGTGCTCCGGATATTAACAAAGCTGAAATTGTATCTAACTTGGGAAAGGGATTTGACCTGACTAGCAAAGAAGATGTTTCTGGTGACAATGAGTCTACGAAATTAAAAGCTGATGAAAATTCTGTTGACCCATCTTCATTTCTTAGTCAGACAGAAGAGGATGAAAAACTAAATTTTTTGTTAAGCTCAACAGACAATGTCTATAAAGATGATATTTCTTCGTTTTTGGAAGATTCCTTAGTTGATTTCAAGAACTCTTCATCGTCTCTGCCCCCAGGAAGTTTTGACCGTAAATCCAATCTCGGGAGCTCCAAGAAAAAGATGGGTTCTTCTCAAGCTGATCCACAACTTGGGTTATTACAGAAAATGGCAGAAATAGATGATGATCAAAGCAGTGAAATCTTGTCAGATTTGTTGTTTCAAAATAGCAATTTTTCAAAAACCAACGCGCTTGATTCACCTAATGTTTCTACTGTGAATTCCACACCAAATAATCATGCAATAGGCAACAACGCTTCTACTCCTGAATCTTTGATTATATATGGAGGAAACAATAATGGGAATAATAGTGCTGAAAGCTCAGCTGGCAGAGCTGCTGGTCCATGTGTTGGACAAAGCAATAATAATGATGGAGGTGACGGTGGTGGAGCTAGTAACAAATTCAGCATAACATTATCAGACTTTGAGTCTCCTTTGGATCAAAAGTTTGAAAATATAGATCCAAAGAAAATAAAAATGATGAACAGGCCGCCTCCAATAATCACAAATCACACTCCGCTTCATGAAATCTCGAACTCGCCTAGTGATTATTTCAATTTTGAAAAAAATGATGAAAATAAACTGATCCCATCAGGTCATAGTACGACAGCAACCACATCAGTAATTACAGATTTGAAGAATCCGAAGTTCAATGATTTATCGAAGTTCAAGAAGCTATTGCCTCCTAATTCTCCTCTGTTAAAGAATGATCGCCGAGGTTCTGTGTCTTCATCCAATTCTAATCCATTATCGCCAAGCAAGATTTCCAAGGCAGGTTTCTCCAAGAATGTTATACCACCAATTAAACCATTTAGTGATGCTACTAAGCCTCGTTCACCAAGCTCTAGCAGGCCAAAAAGTCCGGCGACCAAGAGCAGCAACTCTCTGATCTCACCTAATAAGACCCTTCGTAAATCAAAATCGACATTGAATACCAAGTCTTTGAATAATTCTAGTGTCAATGTTGGAAAAATCAAAGCCCTAGACCCAAAACCAAAGAGAACATTTTCATTTGATCAGTGCTCTTCAACTCTTGATTTTACGAAGAATTTTCAACAAAATTCTGTCAGCACCCCATTAGGGCCGCAAGGAGGTATGATATCCACGTTTTCTGCTAGTGGTGGGAACAAGGTTTATAGTTTTATTATGGAACCTTTGGGGAAACAATTGGAGAGAGATGCAAATAGTGGAAAAAAATCGAAGAACAACCTCAATTTGAATATCAATACAAAAGCGGCCACTACTGGTGCTAAGAATTCATCAACCATTTCGAACTTTGGTACATCTAACAATAAAGCCATTACTGCTGAAAATTTTATTAGAGTTTCAACTCCTTCGAATATTGAAAGTAACATTCTGGATTCAATTTCTCCGACAAACTTGATCAGTAATAAGAGTACCGGTGCCAATTCTTCGACGTCCCAACAACCACCGAACTTGTCACAATCACAATCTTCATCTTCAACTTCCCACTATTCTTTGACATCGCAAATGAGATTACCTAGTCATATTTCCTCTGTACAACCCCTGGCTCCAAACTCTGCGAACTCCAATACCAATGCTGCTGTCATTGGTGGGGCAACAGATCTCTTATCACCTACCCTTTCTATTCAATCTAATCCGTTGGACTCTCCAATTGCGCATACCCCAAACTCTATCAATTTTCCACACCAAGGAGGACTTGTCAATAGTCTGACCCATTTTGGTAGAACCAATAGTTTGGTTGGATCAACTGGTGTTGGAAAATTCCAAAGCTTGGGGAATGCTTTTGCAGGGACGATGTTTATAGATGGTTTAGATGTGAATATGATGGACGAAATGAGTGAAATTCACATGAGTGAGGATGCAATGGGTATGAACTTTAGTGGCATGAATATCATTTTGGAGGAAGAAAACAATAATAACTCTACGAACGGTGATAGCGGAATATCAGGAAATGGAAATTTTGTTATGGATGGTGGTGTTGATGATGAGGGAGATTTCCAAGGAATGGTAATGTAAAGTATGCCCTGTATCAATTGATTGTTTTTTGTTTTGTTTTGTTTTGTTTTGTTATGTTTTGTTTCTATTTTATTTTATTTTATTTTATTTTTCAGTGGTTATTTGGTTTTTCTTACTGTATTTTGTTTATTTATTTTCCTTGATTTTTTAATTGATCTTTTTTTCTGACTATTCCCAAAGGTCATTTTTGTTCACTTGTTGGCATGTTGTTAATGATGTTTTATTTTGTATTTTATTTTATATACTATTTTATTTTATTTTATTTTATTTTTTTTTTTCTTTGATGACTTTTTTTTCTTTTCAAATTTGGGTTTTTTGGGAAATTATCTTGAGTATCATGTTGTAGGAGGTTGTTCTTGATAATTGTCAATAAAACTTACACGGTCAGGTTGTTGCTCTACTCATTTTGGCTTATATTTATATTGCTATTATATTCTGTGTTCTACCATATTTCTATTATATTTTTTTCGTTATTTTTCTGTGTGGGATATCATATAGATTAACCATTATTATTGTCCACTAGGCTTCTTCTTCTTCTTCTTCTTTTTTTTTTTTTGAAAAGTATTCATGTTTTTATTTTTTATTTATAAATATATATATATTTCAGGATTCTTTTTTGTTTCTAATCTATGAAATTTAGAATAAGCCCATCAATAATATATATATTGATGAGCATATATGCGAACATAAAATGATGACAATTAGTCGTCTGATAGATATAGGTAAAGAGAAATTTTGAAATGAAGCTCCATGATTCGAGTAGTCATCAGTATTGTTGTACGTTATTGTTTGTTTGTTTGTTTGGTTGGTTTCTCTCACTCTTTATAAATAGTCTTGGAAATTAATTAGCCATAAAATGAGAGAGTAGTAATAATAATTAATACATACACACACACACACACAAAATGCCTGACATATCTTTGCTCTACTACGTGCGCACAAACTCCGTCTTATATGATATGATAGAAGAACAAGCCGAGCCATGGATGATTTCGCCACAAATAATTGGTCTATCTTCGATTACAGTTGTAACCAATGGTATATGAAAATAGTCAAATTAATAGAAACAACGTATATATGTAGAAAAAGTGAGAAGAAAAAAAAAAAAAGTCCTATAAATACAAAAAAAAAAAAAGAAAGAAAGAAAAAAGCCCCTATAAAGAAAGAATCTCCCCCCCAATACCAGAACCAGTGGAAAAATAAAACAAAGTGTAAAAGAATAAAAAATAAGAGATATTTAAACCAAAAATTTATAGCTAGAAAATTAGTTTGAAAAAAAAAAAAAAATGCAAAAACCAAAATTGCAACTGCAATTGTAATAATTATTAAAGCCCAAAACAAAACAATTTAAGAGAAAGAAAAAAAAAAAAAAACAGAAAGAATAGAATTGATGTATCGACCAATTGATGGGAATAATAATGATGATGATGATGATGATGATGATGATGATGAAATGATGCTATTAATATGAACCCTCCTTAATAGTATAATGATAATAATATAATAAACAAATAGTTCTAATGGTGGTTTTTTTTTGTTCTTCCACTAAGTAAACTTCTTGAAATGATGATCATTCAACCATCCGGCTTTCTCAAAAGCAGCAAATAGCCTACTAGCTTTGTTGACATCGATTCTGCAAGCTTTTTGGGCATCAGTTCTTCTAAATGGCAAATGTTTCTTCAATCTCGTCACTTTCTCCACAAACAACCGTCTTTTGGAATCCAAATAAACGTTGCATGGTAATCTTAAAATCGAAGCCAATGTCACTTCGGCTGGGTGTAATTTATCAACCAATGGGTCGTCGGATAAATTCATTGGTTGACCCTTCCACTCGGTAGATAAACATCTGGTATTATTTGCTGGCAAAGTAGAAATATTTGGAGAATAATCAGGAATTGATTTCCAATCAACAAAGCTTGGTTTCGGAGTAGAAGGATCTCTAACTTTTCTCTTTTTTGGAGGAGGAGAATTGATGGCATCAATATCACTGTTGTTGGCAATTGAGGCTTCATTGGCAGACCCATTGCCGTTTCGTTCTTTGGTAATTCTTCTGGTACGAACTCTTTCATAACCATTGCCAGAGTCCGAAAACGAGTCACTAGTATATTCACGATAACATTTTCTTTTGCTCGAGGTATTTGAAGTGGCAGGGATGTTTTTCCTTATTTCTCTTCTTGGTGCCACAAGCTCTTTCCTGCTGCTTAGTATGTAATATTGGTTAAGAAAAGATGAGCAATTGCTGAGGTAGTTTGAGTCGTGGATTTTTTCCCAGGCATTAACTTTGAAGGAAAAGTCTTTTAAACTGGCCATTGGATAACTGGATTGCGGTGGTTTCAAATCATTGTCCTTTTGTGGAGTTGGGGTTTGGGGTTTGACACATGTGGTAATTGATGGTTGAGGGGTTTCGCATATGGAAGAATTGTCGATACTGGTAGGTGTTTTGCTTGGTGACAATGGTGGAGAAGGGATGACTTGATTGGAATTGTTATCATTTTTTTCTTCCTCGGGGTAAACTGCTTTACCCTTAGTAAGTATTGGTTGGAAATCAATTGAGGCGTGGATCAATGACATTGTTGGTGTGTTTCTGATAAGTCTGTTGAAGTGATGGGGGGACCAGAAAATGTGTTTGTGTAATATGCATATGTTATATACTTATATATATATATGTATAATATATATATATAAAATATATCTAACAATATGTGTGACAGTGTTATCAGAAAAAAAAAAAAGAAATAGAAAAAAAGAAAAGAGACAGGAAAAAAAAAAAAAAAAAAAAAAATTACTTTCGAGAGATGAGATGAGATGAGATCGTAAGGACGATTAAAGAGATGACAGTAGGAGAAATCACTGCGGTTTTTTTTTTTTGCTTTGCTCTTCCGCAGCTCTCTTTTAAGGAATTGTGTGAGCCTGTATATAATTGACCTATTCTCCTAGAAGTTGTAATGATATATCAAGCAGAGAGAGAAATAAAGACAAAAAAAAAAGAGAATAAAAAAATTTCCTACTCATAAATAAAAAGAAAAGAAAGAAAAAAAAATATACCATTTCAAGATTCTGGATCTGCGCGTCACCTTGCGTCATGTTGCCGTGATCCACTTGACGCCGTTTTTTCTTTGGTTTTTTTTTATTTTTGGTGGCTGACAGCACCCACACTAAAAACACCCGCAGTGGCTCATATTGTAGACGTAGCTTCTATTTATTTATTGTATACTACACTCACTCCACTGAGGCAGTTTGTTTATTGAAATAGTTCTCCAGTTAGATCATCATCAGCCATTGGGTATCTCAGTATGCTTGTAGTGAGATCGCGGTGTCTTTATCACGTGGTAATCGGAGAGGAAAAAGAAAAGAAAAAAAAAAAAAAGAAATGCTCTCTCTATTGTTGTTCCCGCAAATGTTTCCTTCTCGAATGTGTCCTACTCGCTCCGGCTCAGGAATCACTTCTGCCATTATCACCCACCTCATCTGCTGATTCAATTACTACTTTCGGTGCTCTCCATGTAATCAATAATCTATTAGTATTTATTGTGGTTATTCCCTTGGTGGTCCCCCCTCATCCATCGCTTACGCATTATCCGTTTGGAGATCTCAGTTACCCTGCCTCCCAATACATACACCGCGGTGCCGCACCGGAAGGTGCAATCCGCTGCGGATATATTGGGCTTTCCTCTATAGCAGTATTCTTCTCTATTCTCAATCATATATATCAGGCCAGTATTATTGATCTCAGGCAGCCTATTTCTCTTGTATTTGCCACGTGTCGATATTTGGAACTCTCTGGGATCCCTCATTAGACCCCTAAGGCATTCTTTCGTTACTTACAGACTGATGTCTTATTTTTAAGATCCTTTTACTATTGTAACTATTATCAACGGACGTTTTAGCCCGCAACTTTTTTTTATTTTTTTTTAGTGAGCTTTTTGAATCGTCCATCCAAGAAAACTACTTTTTCGTTCTTGTTTTTTATTGAATTGTTTGGTACCGGTAGTTGATAATTTTGATAATTGGCCATTACACAGGTACTTGATCAAATCTACCTCAATTAGTGATTAGAGGTAACTCAGGAGGATGTTCTCGGAGGACTTTTCCGACCTTATTTCAAAAGATAATACCCAAGCTTTTGGTGCGGTTTTTGGTTATATTGTATCTTTTTTTGGCGATCTTTTTTATCGCCATCCCACTCCTGTTTTGGGGATTGGGTCGCTTTTCCCGACAACCACAATAATATATATATTTTATATATATGTACCCTTATCAGTTGTAAAAAAATTATCATGTCAAACAACAACAGGGGGAAAAAATAAAAATAATAGTAGTCGTGAGTGATACATGATGACAGCAATTGTACTCGGATGACGTTCGTTTATTTTCGTACTCCTCAGCTTTTTCCTGTATATCTTACCACCAAGAATGATGGTACAATAGCACCATAAACCAAAGTAATTAATGTTTAGGTCGGTTACGCCATAGATTAATTGAAATAACACAAAGAAAACTAAAAAGTCTCTATGCATGTCTCATTCCAACCCCCCCGAAGAATCGCATGTGTTTTTCTGCTCTAACAAAAAGCCATGCAAAAGCAAAATGTGTGCAAAAAGAAAGAAGGGGTTTTTTGCTACAATCACTATCACACAGAAGAGAGAAGAGAGAAGAGAAAAAAAAAAAAAACTTTCAATAGTGAACAGAACAGAAGTGAGAAGAAAATAAATAAAAAAGAAAAAGAAACAATGTATTATGGTAGTATGAATGTGGGAATATGACATTTTTGTAGTTTAAAGTAATCTATGAGCCAGCATAGTTAACGAATTGAATGCTAAAAAGTGGTATCTAAGTACAAAAAGAAAAAATAAACAAAATAGTAAAAAAAAAAATTCCATAAGCCATTATTACAGAAAGTAAAATTTTCAAAGTATCTGAACAAAAAAAAAAAGGTCATCAAATCATTTAGGCATATAATGCTTCAACTTTCAACAAGCAATTCTTTCAAAGATGTACATCTAGGAGAAGTTTTTAACATTGAAACTCCAGGAATGTAATCTTCGTCATCGTAAAATCCATCATCATCTTCTTCTTCTTCTTCCTCCTCATTAGCCTCTCTATTATTACCAAAACTATCATTCATGGTAGTACCAGCCCACGAAGATTCATTGCCACTGCTAAAATTACCTCCATCGTTCTTGGTCTTGTCACTTTTAACTGATTCTCTTTCGGAATGTCTTCTTTTCTTTCCCTTGTTTTCTGTACTATGAACTTTCCGTGGTGGAGTGATTGGTCCATTGTAACTCTTTCTTCTAGGAGTGTGTTGAACATTATTGTATGGACTAGAACTAGAACTAGAACTTTCCAAATTGCAATGCTCAGGCTTACCAACTTCACCAAGATACCCATAGATGTCACTTTCCACCGTAGTTTGATTTATGGCCGCACAATTTCCTAATGAAATAGAATTGTTTCTACTACCATTGTTCAATGAGAAGCTCTTTGTAGGAGTGGATGGGAAAAATTTCAAATTGGATTGTAAGGATAATGAGGACGATGACGATGATGGTTGTCTATTACTCATGATTTCTAACTCCTCGGCCTCGGAAATTACAAACATGTCATCTTCAGATATCAATGAATCAATGATTGGGGTGGCAGACCGCACTCCATCGGCAGCTGTCACAGCAGGAGCAGTGGAACCAGCACTGTTGGCGATCCCTGAATTTCTGAGATTATTTTTTTGAACATTAATGAGCTCTGGATCAATACAATTATCAGAATCAAGAACCCCTCTTGGTTGATCATCACAGGTAATTACCAACCAATTCACTTGACCAATTTTCCCCTTTAATTCAAAAATAAATGTAGAGCTCAAATTCCCCATTGAAGTTTCAAATTTCCAGGTATTGAAAAACCAACTGGTCATTACAAGCTTAGAAACCCTGACTGAATCGGCAATATCATTCGATGAGTATGGACATAGGTCTGAGAAGTTGGCTGACTTTGTGTGCTGCTGCTGCTGCTGCTGGTGTTGTTGTTGCTGCTGGATCATATTATATAATTTATGATCGTTATCAAACATCTTCAAATATTCCAAAGACAATTCACTAACATTAGATTTGAGAGTCACGTATGGATTTTTGCAAAACTTTCTTAAAAAGACCCCTTCGTCGAAATATAAGACATCATGAGATGAATAAACAGTGGTTTTGGCATTGGAAATATTAGTGACCAAATCTGATAAGTTTGGGACGGTCAACTTATGTCTTGGGACGGATATCACCAAACCATACTCTATGAATGATGTTTGATATGGTTGTGGAGGATAGTTAAACACATTCAAATCGATCAAATTTGGCAAAGAGTTGCCTCTAATTTTGCCCTCGTGTAAAAGATTTCTGACGTAGGAAATGAAAAGTCTTTGGAAAGCCTCATTTCTTACCGAATAGAATTGTTTGAAGAAATAGATATCTTTGTCAAATTTCTCTCCGTTGGTATCAGGGGTCTGGAAGCATAGGGCAGAGCTGATGTATAAGAGATCCATTAAACTATCAATGCTGGAATTGGCCAAATTACACCAAACCACAATCAATAAATCCAAATATTCTTGCAAAAGATAAGGATGGTTATCAGTTGGTAAGCATAATGGCAAAATCAGATAAAAACTTGACTCATGAAATTTTTCTGACGCTTCTTCAATGATAAACTTCTCGTAATTTGCCCCGGTAATCAAACCATTTGGCAAAAGGGAAATCAATACCCGAAGACTAATGATGATGGTTAAGATATCGGTACTATCAATTGCCTGGGTTAATTTGGGACCCCTGAGAGAGCATCCATCATGAGGGAACAATTCATTAATAAAGGCTTTTGTTTGAAAAAGTTTATCATGTTGCAACTGGACCAATGTTGGGGAGAAAATTTCCATAGCAGAATAAGGGAATTTCTTTGGATTAGAAACGATCGAGTCTTTCAATCTCTTGATTAGCCCGTGGAGAACATGGCGACATGACTTATGTGTAATGCCATTTGGTTTTGTGAAAATGTCAAACTTGTTGGTGTTGGCGATGATCGACGCTTGGAATGCCGAGTTATCATAGATGTAATATCTTGATTGTGCTTTGTTTCTATTGACGTTCAAATTTTGAAGTAGTTCCTCCATCGGTACCTCCTTGATATTAAGCAACTGTTGGAAATTCTTCTCAATGAGAAAACTGTTGTACTTGTAATTATGGTTATCTATGGCACCAAATTTTTCTTGTTGTTGTTGTTGTTGTTGTTCTTCTTCTTCACTTTCCAGTGTTTCTGGAGTCATCAATATTTGTTGTTCAATTTCATAAGGGGTAGAAATCTGAGACTTATCAATCTTCTTTCTGAATAAGCTGACTCTCATCGTGATTAATTTGTAATTGGAAACTAAGTGGTGTGTGTATCAAGAAAGGCACGCAAAAAGAGAGTTGGGAAGAAGAAACACTTAAGGAGTTGAAGGGGTCATGAAAAGGAGCATTCTGGGATTCATTTGAATATATATATATATACATAAATATGGAAATATATTTAACTCAGTAATTTATATCCAGGGTATGGTTGCATGTCATTAACATCCAATTCATCAGAGTCAAGTTAATTAAAGATCGCTGATCGCTGCACTTACTACTGTAGAATCTGAGTCCCCAAACCAACCCCCGACCGCTGTGCTTCTCCCGCCTAACAACAGCATGAGGGAAAAGCAAGAACGACAGAGGTATACTGGAGCGTAAGAAGTGTACATTTGTCTGTGTTAAGGGTTTGTCTGAAGATTCAAGTAAGTTATCCGAGAGGCCTGCCCTCCCGCCACCACTCGCAAAAGAGAAATGAGGCGGGAACAGAAAAAAAAAAAAAAAACTTTCTCCATGGCGCACGCAGCAGAAATTGGAGGGGCTTTATGCGGTGGAAATCACTGATTTGTTACTCAATTTAAAAGTCTTATTTTCTTCTTTTATTACTACAATCTCGCCCATCTATCCTCAAATATGTCTCAGAGATTAAAAAAAGAAAAACCCCAAAAAGCAAGATTTTAGCAATTACCCCCACCACCAGCTAAAACAAAAAAAAAACATGCAATAATACAAAGCCCAGCCACCACCTCACTCTGGCTCAAACATCCTTCAGTGATGTTATATTGGATGGATATACATGGTCATTTTCTCGATATCATAAAAAGCACGTATCTGAACAATGTTGAATGTGACATCAAGCTTTCCGCGCATCGATTGTTGTTTGAAGGGGGAGGGAGGGGCAGGAATGTACCACTTCCTTGTACAAACCAGCGACACAAATCTTAATACAAGGTGTGGCAGTAGCGAAGAATCTCTTCCCGCCCACCGCCGCCCTTTTTTCTATTGTGGTTGTTGTGGAAGCAGCCCGCTACTGCACTTTCTGCTCACGTAATATATTAAACAATCAACCCACCGACCCTTGGCCAACCTGGAAAAATTGCACTGATTGTTCCCGGCTGACTATGCCCCCCTCCTCTACATGCAACAAACCTTGTCAAAATTCCGGCCAACATTCTCTCATGCATTAGGCCAATTCACGTCCCGAAAACTGACAGGTATACGTCCATTTTGAAATAGAATAAATTAACAGGGGGGGGGCCAAACAAAAGAAAAAAAAATTGCTGTAATTTGTCTTGAAGATTACTAGAATAGGTTACAGAAAAGTGTTCACGAATTAATTGGGTATCGATCGAACTCAACGATAATAATAATAACTTAAACCTAAAACCCAATAAGAAGAGCAAAAAAAAAAAATAAAAGAAAATAAAAAAAAAAAATAAAAAAAAAAAAAAAAAAAAAAAAGAGAAAGCTAAAATTTATTAGTTTCTATCATCTTTACTAACAGCATCATTAATTTGATCAAAAATTACCTTGGCCTCATCACCAATCTCTTCAATAATCCCCTCTATTTTGTCCTCAAGATAATTCCAAAGAGAATTATCATGCTCCTGAACTGAGTCTGTACTGGAAGTCTCCAGGGTAGAAGTCTCCACGGAGTTACTAGTCTCCACAGTGTTTGTCGAACTAGTAGTAGTCTCTTTTGTAACAGTAATGGTTTCAAAATGGTCTGGTTTGAAAGTTGGACCAGGAACCGACTCCGGGGTAATTGATGTCCCGATGACTTCTTCAGTTGACAATAATGAGCTGGTTGGGTTCAAAGGAATATCCACTTCCTTTTCACTGATATTACCGTCACTTCTAAACAATAAATCATATGTGGCATTGGCATCAACAATAATCTCTATTTCAAAATCAACATTCGGATAATCAACAGGATCGTTCCACTCATCTTCTAATATTTTTTGGAAAACTAATTCCGGATTAGTCGTCCCATTATTCTCGTTTGGTTTAAAATGTAAAGAATCGCAAACGATATTGTAAATTTCTGTATTTCTAAATGGTTCAACTTTGTTTTTACCGTACTTTTCAACTTTTGAGTCAAAATATGGACCGGTACCCAAAAACAACGCTCTCATTAGCACTTCTGTGTTGTTGTAACCGTGAATTCCTTTGGTTTTATAAGTCCCGCCATTATCAGCCACCTCTTTTTCCATAACAATAGCATACCCGACGTCAGGAACTAACCAAATTGGGGCGATCCGGTCATCATAGGGACTATCAACATTCCCAAACAACCATTCTTCTGGCATGTCCTCTTTTCTAAATATCTGAAAGTGTGGTGGGCTTGATAATTCATTGTACTGACGCTCCAAATCCTCATAAACTTCTTCGACAGAATTCTCTTCGAAAGGTCTCAATCCAAACAATGGCCAGCCATCAAAATGTTGGATTTTACCCAAATCAATTAAATTATCGATCATTATTAATCGATCATCGGAAGTCGGTGCCATACCGTGATCAGAAACAATTATCAAATTGACAATATCACTCAAATTTCGACTTTGCAACTCAAGAATAACAGTTTCCACAAAATTATCGACATATTTCAACCCATTTTCCAACTGCTTCCCACTAACGCCGTACTTATGGCCGATAGAATCGATAGTTGGAACGTACCCCAAAATCAATTCTGGTCGACTGCTAATATCCCGATCTATCCAATCGATCAATCGATCGACTTTTTTCGATAACAATTCTGACCCATTGTATTTGTCAAATTCTAACGGCCTGCCAAGATCAATGGGTACTTCGCTACCTGGCCACATATGAACCGCGGTCGACACACCATGGTAAAATGCAGTTTCCCATATTGGTTCACCACCCCACCAATATTTATCTAAACTAGACCCGCCATCAACGTTAATGAATTGTTTCTCAATGACTAGATCATAAAAAGTATTCCCCACAATCCCGTGCCATGCAGGAAGCAATCCAGTGGCCATTGTCCAATGGTTTGGAAACGTCGATGAAGGAAATGACGGGACCATGTATGGAGGTCCGTAAGAATCAATATATAAATTATGCATGAATGGCGTGAGTTGTGGCGAAATATAATGAGGATGGAACCCATCTAAAGAGATCATTATTGTAGTTGGATAAAAATCGTGCGACCCATTGTTGTAAATTGGCTTTTCGGTGTCAAACAAATGGGATTTTAGTTGGTCTTGTTTATGATTGGAAATTGCTATTGAAGACAACAATAAGCTGCCCATGAACCCAAAAATGGTAATGTGGAAAAACATCCGCTTGATCCAGCTACTACTCTTAGGAGAAGAATCCAAGAAATGGGGATTCTTTATTCGTTGACCAATATCAACATTATAGTCAGCCAACTCAATTGACTCTCTCTGGAGATTAAGTTCAGAGTAATTCAACCTGAGTGGTGATATCAACCTTTTGAAAAAGCTCGAATGAGGTTTTGTTCCAAAGTGATCATCATCGTTCTCAATTATTAGAGAATTTGCGACCGGTTGGTGAATGATAATGTCATCCTCGTCAGAATCATCGAGATCAGTTATAGGAATATCAATGTCATGAGGGGTGTTCATTTTGTATACTAATAATACCGATATATAAAATAAAATAGTATTTATTGTTTTTCCCCTTCTTCCGACAAAAAGTAGACAACAAAGGTCAAAAATGAACAAATAGAGGAAAAACGTAAGTAGATAGATAGATCATCCCAAAAACGGAAAATCAAAAAAAAAAAAAAAAAATAAAAAAAATGAACAAAATAAACCCAAACATCACTAGTGTCAAATGGACTAGAAATTGTTGAGCATCTTATAAGTTAGCATCCTGGGAAGTTACAGTTAAATCACTATCATATATTTCAAGCGTTCGTTATTAGTTGATGTATATTACCTAGGATGATAATTAGTTGATTCTGTTTACTATCTACAAGCTAAGGTAAGCGGGTTGCGAGAGACCCTTAAATAGTAATCCCTTCCTTCAATGATCTACATTCAGTAATATACACATATATATTAAATGATAGTAATGGCAATTTACTCCTACTATATGGCAACAAAAAAAAAGAGGTTGATTATTCATGTGTGAATACTTTTTCAAATGGTATGTTGATATAATACAAAAATATTTATCCAATGCCCCCACCGAGGCTCGAACTCGGGACCTTTACATTGCAACACAGTTATGAGTGTAACGCGACCACCAACTGCGCCATAGGGGCGGATGTTATAAGGGCTTTCTCTCCTTTTTAGATCAAATTAATATGTCCTTATACCGGGTAACCTCAATTTTCTAAATGTTATTTTCTTTAATTTTTCAATGCTTTTAGTCTCTTTCGTGCCAATATGGTAGTATATATCAGTAAAAGCAATAAATATTTTGTTGTAAACCTTTTTTGTTTTAGAAAAAGGGTTGTATTATGGCCCGTCATCCACAAAACCATGAAACAAATGCCCTGTTAATGTTGCGCTGTTAGTATTTAGTGTGCGTTTTATTTTTTTTTTTTTTTTTTTTTTTGAAGTACCAACATTAAGTAACCGTCAAGGGTTTGACACCTGTTGAAATACTTCACAGCGGATAATAATCTCCCAATTGTGGTATCGAAATTTTCTATCCTCTTGCGTTAGTTTTATTCAATTAATTATTAAATATTTATTGAAGTTTACCGTGTAGATAGTGAGAGCTGTATCGCTGCATCCACATCGACCTCATAAATTAGCTGGTGATGTTTTATATACAAAAGTAAGTTTCTAGTCACAAATAGTTAATATGTATAGCGGAAATGTTCTTTATCTCTACCCTTAACTCCTGAATTCTTTTTTCATTTTTTTTTTTTTTTGTTCAAGAACTCGCCTCAAAACTTCAGGAAAGCCCTTTCTCGATCGTTCATCCACCAGCGTGGATCCTGCGCCCAATGTGAAACCAATAGAAAAAAAAAAAAAAATACGGAGTTCAAATGTTTGTATTCCTTTGTACTAGACTGCTCTCAAGCTATTTAGTTTACTATAGTATATTATGGATTGTTAATAATATTATCGGTCTTAGAAAAGAAAGAAAAAGGAAAGAAAAATGTCTCCAATAAGTGTGCCTAGTCGAAAGGATTCATCAGCATCATCATGTGCAATTATCTTGATTGGTGGTGGACAATCAAGTGGGAAATCCACAGCCTCTAGAATAATAGCCAGAGAACTAGAGGAGTCTCTCATATTGAAAGATCTAATCGAAATCAAATTAATAGATATGGACGATTACCTATTCCTGAAATTGAATGCGGTGCAGAGCAACGTTGTCGGTGGTGATGATAAAGTAATCAATGATGGTATGAATGATTTAAGATTATCTGCTACAGATTTGCAAGATTTGGATAATGAAATGATTGAGTCTACTGGTAAAAGTAATGAAATGACGGAGATGATCAAAAATAAAAATGTTCTGATTTTGTTACCAAATAGATTCAATTTCAAAAAGCTTAGGGAGGATATTATTAACTATTCCAAACACTCGGCGAGCAAGAAATTCCCAATATTTATCGTCCATGGGTTATATGCCTTATATGATAAGCAATTGAACAAGTTGGCACTTATGAAAATTTTCATCGATATTGATGCTGACACGAGATTGGTTAGATGGATTCAGAATGATACCGTCAAAAATAAACTTCCTTTGGAGGATGTGATAGATCAATACTTGAAATTTTCTAGACCAGAATTTGCTGAGTTTATCTTTCCTACTAAAGAAAACTCCGATACGATATTGACTAGAGGGGCAGAAATCGATGATACTGGTATCATCTTGATCTGTGATGGATTGGTTCCATTTATTGTCCAGAAAATCAAGAAACTCAATGCGAAAACTACTGCAAACGAGCTTAAGGATATCGATGATTTTAAGAAAGATGCTTCAGCTAATACTCACGCAGGATCTAATAGTGAAGGTGAGCAAATTACCACTGTTACGACTAATACCAGCAGCGATGAAAACGATGAGCCAAAGGAAAAGTTGGATGTTAGTGGGTTACACACTTTAAACATTAAGGGAGAAGAATTTACAGATCAAAGAGGCAGATTTTATGATTTAACTTAAGAAGTAGGTCACTGCTCTTATTCTATGTCTTCTGTTGATATCAAGGATCTCTTAGCATTTTATATTCCAATGATATTTCAAGCAAAAATGTTTGAAAATATGCATCTTTAATAATTTCGGTATTGTAGCTTCTTTGTTTATGTACAAGCTTCCACGAGGCAATCATTCCTGTGAAGCACTTCGTTGGTTCTAAAAGAGATATAACTCAAAAAAATTCGAAACAGTTGGGTTTGGTAAGCAGCCCCAGAGTCATGGTTAGATATTGTGAAGAATCAAAAAAAAAAAAAAAAAAAAATCAAATAGTGACAATATACCCTATAAGTACCATAATTTTTGGTATAGGGGCCAGTTGTACCTCCCTCCCAAGGTTAATATCCAATATCACTCACGTGCCTGCTGATCTAAAACGATTTTTTACCAAATCAAAAAAAAAAATTTTTTACAAAGACGTACTTTGGATATAATTCAAACAATTATTTTTGCTTTAACAATAGGGCTACAACTATTTGTCAGATCAAAAGATTAAAATTTCATTATGGGTATGTTTTGAATTTGTCCACATAGTGTTCTAGATATGTGATAAATGATCTTTCTGACATTTCTTCATTTAACTCCAATTTTTTTTTTTTATTTTTTTTTTTTTTTTTTTCCTCCCGAATTTCTAGCAGATGTTATGTAGGATCAATTATTCTAACATCCAACCAGCACCAAAAAAACAAAAGGCCCAAAAAGTCTCCTTGGCTACTTTCCTTGGAGATGACAGCTTAGGAGACTGGGCTGATGAAGATATTGATTACTCATCTATTTCTGTCCCAGTCCAAACTACCAAATCGACTTTTGAACCTAATTCCTTCGAATCAAAACCTTTCGAGAGCCAACGTCCACAAAGAGAAGAATACCCTGTCCCAGAAGTTCCTCCATTCAAGGCTAGACTTAACAACTTGTCATGGGATGTCACCGAAGATGATGTTATTAACCATTTTGAAAATAATTTGGGTCAAGAATCTTTCAGTAACTTTTATGCTCCAAAAGAAGGAGACAGATTGAAGGGTTTCGCTTTCATCACTTTCAACACTAAGGATTTGTTGGTACAAGCTTTGGACATGTCCGGTAGTGAATTGAACGGTAGAAGAGTGTATGTTGCTGTTGCTGCCCCAGATAGAAATAACGATAGAAGACCTCCAAGAGAAGACTTCGATTGGGGTGCCAGAAGAGGTCCTTTAGCTGCTAGAGAAGACAATGACTTTGAAAGAAGACCAAGAGGCGAACCAAGGGAAAGACGTGAAGAACAAGACTTCGACTGGGGCGCTAGAAAGGGTCCTTTGGCTGCTAGAGAAGACAACGACTTTGAAAGAAGACCAAGAGGCGAACCAAGAGAAAGACGTGAAGAAAAAGATTTTGATTGGGGTGCTAGAAAGGGTCCTTTGGCTGCTAGAGAAGACAATGACTTTGAAAGAAGACCAAGAGGCGAGCCAAGAGAAAGACGTGAAGAAAAAGATTTTGATTGGGGTGCTAGAAAGGGTCCTTTGGCTGCTAGAGAAGACAATGACTTTGAAAGAAGACCAAGAGGCGAGCCAAGGGAAAGACGTGAAGAAAAAGACTTCGACTGGGGTGCTAGAAAGGGTCCTTTGGCTGCTAGAGAAGACGGCGACTTCGAAAGAAAGCCAAGAAGAGAACCAAGAGAACCAAGAGAAAAGCGTGAGGAGCAAGATTTCGACTGGGGTGCCAGAAGAGGCCCATTACCAGCCAAAGAAAAGAGTTCTGGTAGAAGCAATTCTGGTAGAGGGGGCAAACAAGAAGACAACTTGGATTGGTCAAGTGCTAGAACTAGTAAATTTGTTCCAGCTAGAAGAAGTTCCAACAAACCAAAAGAAACTGAAACCAAAGAAGCTAGCCCAGCAAAGCCAGCTAGATCAATGTATGATGTTTTAGCTGATCAAAACGACAATGAAGAAGATGAAGAAACTGAAGAATTGACCAAGAAAACTGGTGAAGTTAGTATTTGATCAACGGTTGATTTTTAAATGTATCTATATTATTTTTATATCATGCTTTTCTTTTCTATATTTCTTTTTTTATAATTTACCATGTTTATTGTCTTATATTTTTTTTGCCAAAAAAAAAACTCATTATTTATGTCTTGAGCTGTGATAAAGTTGATTGTATGTCACTAAATCACAATTTGTCTGTAGACATGGGAGCTCCCAATTTCAACTATAATAATAGAGTATGTTATGTCAGTTTATCTCTTTGCAATTTAAAAGAGAGTGAAATCTATAGTTAGAAAAAGTTGATGCAAAAAAAAGAATTTTAATGCCGGCCCCAGGAATCGAACCTGGGTCTAGTCGGCCACAACGACTCGTACTGACCACTATACTAGGCCGGCTGATGTGTTAGTTGTTATATTATTGGATCATGGTTGGGTTGAGTCCTGGTTACCAACGGTATGGTACCATACGAAACCATGATCTGCATTACCTCATCGAGGTATCACTTTATGTCCCACCGCTTATCTCTTATCCTTGTCGTATCGCCTTATGTTTAGCCTTTTATTCCCAGAACGGGTCCAACACCCCATTATTAGTTTCAATCATTTTATTTATTTAAGGATTCAACATTCCTCTTGTTTTCACCTTTATTTAGTTTAAGAGAAGGATCATCTTTGTGATCACCTAATTTGAATCTTCTTGGTCGAGAACAATCATCGACAAGAAGCAGAGTGTAACATTTGGTAGCACCACTAGGTTTAAAATGAATAACGCGGAACGCGAAAAGTTGTTGTTGAACAACATGCCGGTCTACGACGGATCCGACGACCTATCATTGATTCTCTCTTGGATGGATCACTTTAAGATTATTATGCCCAAACTATCCGGATCCCGAGAGGAAAAACTCCTTTTGATTTCGGTGAAACTCCGGGGGGATGCGATGACCTGGTATGCGAAGTTTTTAGCCACGGCTGACGAAAAGTCAACCGACTCCGATCTCAGTGACATGCTCACCAGTTTCAGAGCCTACTTTTTACCTGCAAACTTCCAGCAGATGCTTCTCAATCAACTCGCAGAATTGTCACAAACCACGTCCGTCAACGCCTACAATCGGAGCTTCGACCGTTTGGTTAATCAATTAGACAACCCAAACCCCGCCCATCTCTTGGCCACCTACATACAGGGGCTCAAGAGAGACATGAGAATTCATGTTGTCGCTAAGGAGCCCCGCGGTTTTATAGAGGCTCAACGTTATGCTGACATCCTCGATATGGCTTCTTTCGGCGCGCCCTTGGCGATGAAGGTTTTTGCTGGTACTCGGACCCAACCATCATACCGATCAAGCATGAGGGAGACCCCTCCGAAGAGGACCCGTATCAACGCATTACCTCAATCTCAAGGACCTAGGGGTCCAAGAGGCCCAAGAAGGGTTTTGCGCTGCTACTTATGTCAGGAGGAAGGACACATGGTCCATCAGTGCTCAAAACTTCGTGATGCTCAAGCCGCCATTAAATCTGCAGACTTAAGGGACGAAGAACCTTTCCAAGATATTGCCATGGTTGAAGGGCCAAAAAACTGGTAAGCCGACACAACCCAGAGCCCGTTGTGTTGGCTAGTATTACCACTACTGCTGACCCTCTCAACCTACCCCTCATTACTATGAATGTTAAGGTAGGTTCAATCAATGTAACCGCCCTATTAGACTGTGGCGCAACTGCTAATTACATTAAAAAGAGCACCATGGAAAAGTTAGGACTACAAGAAATTCCGTTAAAGAGAAGTCGTCGGGTGTTTGACGCCTTTGGGAAGCCACATGAACGGTTGGCTTATTGGTCCAATGTTGACATGTGTATATCACGCAATACATGTCAGATCGATTACAACTTCAGAGGGTTCGTCACCCAGAACGTAGATCAGGAAGTCATTTTAGGACTCCCTTTTTTTATACAATTTTATCAGGAATTGTTACCATTATTTCAAGAAATTAAAGAGAACAAAAATCAAACCAATAACCTGCTTACTCTAAATCTCCTATCAGCTGAGGAGACTAACCGGCTCTTAAAGAGTAAGTCAACTGAATGTTATTTGGCTTTGGTCAAAATGGTCGCGGATGACCACGTGACTACAGAACAAGAAAAAGTTCGAACTACAAAAGAAGAAGAAATTTTTAAACAATATGCAGACGTTTTCCAATTGAAGTTACCAGAAGGAGGATCTAACTTCACCAGAGTCAAACACGAGATACATGTGTTGAGCGACTCCAAGGCACCATTCAAAGCTCCATACCGACTCTCACCTCAAGATCGAGCCGAGCTCAAGACGCAGATTAATGAACTACTCCGGCAAAAGTTAATATTTCCGGTTGCGTCTCCTTATGGAGCCCCAGTGCTTTTTGTTAAGAAGAAGGACGGAACGAAACGGCTCTGTGTGGATTACCGAGGCTTAAATGAGATAACTATCAAGTCAAGATTTCCACTACCAAGAATAGATGACCTACTCGACCTCATCAAGAACGCCAAAATATTTTCCAAGCTTGATTTGGTTTCCGGTTATCATCAAATCGCCATCAGCCCAGCTGATCGGCACAAAACCGCCATGGTCACGCCGTTTGGCCAATACGGTTGGAATTGTATGCCGTTTGGCCTCACGAATGCTCCTGCCACGTTCCAACTGGCTATGAATGAATTACTTTTACCGCTTGAAGAATTTTGCGTCGTCTACTTAGACGACGTATTGATTTTCAGCACAAGTGAGGCCGAGCATCGTAAGCATATTGATGTTGTGATATCTACCCTCCAAAAAGCTGGTTTAATTATTAGCAAACGCAAATCAGAATTCTTTTTGGCTAAAGTCTCGTTCCTTGGTTACCAGATCGATGCCGCCGGTGTTCATGTGGAGCCTGGGAAAATTGAAGCTATCCAACGATTTACGGTATCCACCCCGGAAGAAGCTCATTCTTTTATAGGATTAGCCAGTTATTACCGCCGTTTTATTGAGCACTTTGCCGAATTAGCCCGCCCTGTCCATCAATATGTCAACGGGAAGATAGAATACAGTGACGAGGTAAAGAACGCGGTTGGCGAGTTAAAGCGGAAATTGATTTCTGCTCCGGTCCTTATGAATTTCGACAGTACCAAGCCACTCCGAGTCACAACCGACGCCTCTGGTTTTACTTTAGGCGCCGTGTTGGAACATGTGGCCCCGAATGGAAAAACAGAGGGTGTGGTGGCCTACTTTTCGAAGGGCCTTATCGGGGCTCAACTTAGGTACCCAGTCAGGGAGAAGGAACTTTTAGCCATCATTGAGTCATTGAAGAAGTGGCGTCACTACCTCGTCGCTCCATTTGAAGTGGTAACTGACCATCATTCCCTCACCTACCTCAATTCCGCCAAGAATGAAGGCAATCAAAGATTGCTCAGATGGCAAGATTTCATTGCGGACTTTAACTTTACGGTGAAATACCGTCCCGGAGTTACCAATAAAGCTGCTGATGCTTTATCGCGAATGAAAATCAATGCCATGACTATTGACTCGGTTGGTGAAGACGAATATAAGGCTGATGCTTATTTTTCCGAAGTATGGAAGGTCCTTGACGGGGAATTGGAGTGTCCGAAAGAACTAAAATCCATTATTCAACGGTATCAGTTTGCTGAGTTGGCAGGACGCCGACAAATCATTTACCAAATGACTCCGATTGACAAACCCCGGCTTTGTGTGCCTGGAGGGAAAACCAGATACCGGTTATTGCAAGGCGTCCACACGGCCGAGGCTGCGCTTCATATGGGTACGACCAAGATGCTATATCAGTTACAGGAGAGTGGGTTCTACTGGCCTAAGATGCTTAAGACTATTGCCCTGTTTGTCAAGAAGTGTGATATTTGTACGAAGGTAAAACCCACGAATAGACGCCCGGAGGGAATGCTACAAACCCCAACGATTCCTGCCCAGAGATGGTCTAACCTTACTATGGATTTTATAACAGGTTTTACTCCGAGCCGCGGTTTCGATTCAATATTCGTGGTGGTGGATAGACTTACCAAAAGAGCAGTGTTCGTGCCTCATAAGAAAACCGATGATGCCGAAGCGGTTGCTAATTTATTTATGGATTATGTTGTCCGAGACCATGGCCTTCCAATGTCCATCATTTCTGATCGAGACCCACTCTTCATCAGTCACATGTGGAAGACCCTTACCAAAATGTTAGGTGTTTCCCAGGATCTCTCCACCTCTGGCCACCCCGAGACAGATGGCCAGACCGAACGACTCAACAGGGTATTGGTTCAATTGATGAGAACGTTGGCTGCTTCTCACGCGATTGAATGGGCTAAGTACTTGGGCATGGCACAGTTTGCCTACAACTCTCAGTACCAACTGGCTATTAGAACCACACCGTTTTTTGCTGATTTGGGCTATCATCCAAGATATTGGCAAATCATTCATGATATTCCATTGGCCACCGCGATTGGTGATGACTCTATGATTGGGGGGTACGAATTTGTTCATCGGCAAGAAAGGATCTTGGAATCAATTCAAGTACAATTAGCCGATACTCAAAAGGAGACAACAGCGAAGGTGAATAGAAAACGCTCCGACGTGGAATATAAGGAAGGAGAATATGTGTTATTACACCGCCACGCGTTCAGAACAGCCCGAACTAGCAAGCAAAAGTTCTTACCGCCATTCCAAGGTCCGTATAAAATCGTCAAGGTACTAAATAACACCGCCTTCCAAATCCAAGTCTCAAGCAGGAAGATAATTACTGCCAATATACAATGGGTGAGGAAATATCACGCTATCCACATGATACTACCAGAAGTGGAAAGCGACCCGTGGTACAAGGAAAACATATCGGAAATCCAAATGATTGTTGATCTCGAAAAGGACTACGCCCTTGTCATGTACCCAGGGAAGGCAGACCCAGTGCCTGTCCCCGAAACTTGGATCCGTTTAATTCCTCATGAGAAACGGATTACACTCCTCGACGAGCTTGATGACTTTTTGGCTAACAATAATGATCGAGACGACTCATTCTCCGAGGGGGGATAATGTTATATTATTGGATCATGGTTGGGTTGAGTCCTGGTTACCAACGGTATGGTACCATACGAAACCATGATCTGCATTACCTCATCGAGGTATCACTTTATGTCCCACCGCTTATCTCTTATCCTTGTCGTATCGCCTTATGTTTAGCCTTTTATTCCCAGAACGGGTCCAACACCCCATTATTAGTTTCAATCATTTTATTTATTTAAGGATTCAACATTCCTCTTGTTTTCACCTTTATTTAGTTTAAGAGAAGGATCATCTTTGTGATCACCTAATTTGAATCTTCTTGGTCGAGAACAATCATCGACAAGAAGCAGAGTGTAACATTAGTGTTTGTTTTTTTATCAGCCAGAGATGAGACATATATCAAGGTGCTAAGCGCACTACATTTATAACCCAATCACTATTTGTTGTTATTACTAAAACATACAGAGACTCAATAATTACAAAAACCTCATTATCATTGTTGAATTTAGCTGCAAATTACTATCTACTTTATTTTTTTACCCTTCATTATCTTTATTATTCCATTATTGCCTATTATATACTGCATCTAAACACCCTCCCACTCTTATTCTATTTATTATATATGGACGGGTTCTACATCCCGATTTATTTTTTAATTATCTTTTTATATCTTAAATAAGCTACAGATTTCTTTACGACTATATTACTATATTACTATAAATTACAACTGATCTATGGATACCTGTAGGCACTCAAGACCACTGGTCAATAAAATTGAGGGTGAAAGTAACAACGAACACAAAAAGATTCAGAAAAATCTAGAGAAACAATTCAAACCAAACAATTTTTTTACTTGCTGTAGAAAATTGACACATATGGAACAGCTGTATTACGAACTATGGGCTGACTGGAAATGTTTTGTACAAAAAAAATGCTAAACAATAAATAAGATTTCTCAAGGGCAACAGAAGGCAGGGATATTAGAAGATCCAAGATAAGTGGTAGAAAATAAAGCATATATGTTTACTAAAACGTCGTACACCATTCCAACAAAATAGGATCTCTAAATCAGACATTTTTAATAACATTGAGGATCAACTACAATTGTGCAATTGGCCAAGGAAAAGATTATCGACTTCAAAATATCCGGCGCGGAAGCTAATGAAAGTGCACAATGCCTGCCTAAAAACACTATTGTTAATTTTCCTTCCCATGTATTTTTTTGAAGTTCGCTGCTATTTATTTTTATGAGCCTTAATATAAAGGAAGAATTTTTTAGACATGAGCAACGCTAAAAGTACGTTCAAAAATAACGCAATAGGTAAACATACATAACTATTCAAACTTTCCGGTCCGGCCGGAAGCACGTGACCTAACAGTTTACTACAAAATTATAAAAAAATAATGGTATCCATCCAAGGGCGTGTGGCGCAGTTGGTAGCGCGCTCCCTTAGCATGGGAGAGGTCTTGGGTTCAATTCCCAACTCGTCCAGTAAATTAAATTTTTGCTCCTCTAAGAATATATTAAAACCTTCGTGAATTATTCTCTTTTTTTATAGGAACTGATCTCTTTTTTCTCTTCACCACTTTAATGACACCACCACCTTACAGAGAATGCAAGCATTCCAATCATTTTTTTAATTGATTTATATAACTTAACCAGAAATTCTACAACTTCATTTCCCAAAGATCTACTCATCGTCAATAATACCATCCATTAGCTTACCATAGCAAGTGCTTAAAAAGTCATTAAAATGCTCATATGGCTTCTCACCAAGAAGGACCCCACATAGATTACAAAACAGCGTTTGACATTGGGTGCATTTCATTTTGTTGCACCCACCTTCTCTTTCAATAATGGTTTTACATCCACGACATCTCGTGAAATCTTTACCTTCGTCACTTTTTAAAAACGCTCTAAATTCTTTTTCATACTTATATTCTCTGACAGACTTTTTTAGCCTATCAATCGACCAGAACTCCTCCAATCTCCTGAATATTTCTGAATTTTCTGCAGCATCACAAATTTGTTCAAGAATAGATTCTGGGATAGCATCATCAATGACACTTAGACATTCATTATTTTCCCCATGCCATGAATGAAGACACTGGGAACAATATGCATACTTGCAGAATGGACAAATTAATAAACCAGCGATAATTCTGTAATTGATGGAGTACGCCTTTATGTCATCATCTTCTTCATCTTCGTCAATTTTATTTATTAGTTGGCTTTCGTTGATAACGAAGAATCTTCGACAAGACAATCGGGGACATTGACTAGTGTTGCCAGTAAAGCTGTGTTCCATTTGATCAATTTTCTTGGTATAAGATAAATCTCTATACTTTTTAATCATTTGATCATCCTGAACCACCGCAGCGATGTATTCTATAGTGAATTCTGGAATTAAAATCTTTCGTAAAATTGATTTAATGTCCTTGATTTTTATGTCATCTCTATATTTATGATAGACATTCCCCCGCGAGTATTTCTTTAGAATGTTGTGCTGTTGCAGTCGCTTCACACATTCGTAATGTGGACACTGTATTCCATGACTATCATTGTTTTCAATGGCATTGATCATATATTCCCGCAAACATCGCTGACAAAAGACGTGACCACAGGAAGATGGAACGAATGAGCAGTCAATTCCTTTTTTCAGTTCTTGACAAATTTCGCAAATATATGTATTTTCTTGGAGCTGCTTTTGACAAGAAATGCGATTCCAACATAGCATTTTTCGATATATTACCGGATCTTTAATGTGTAGGCGGTTAGATAATCCAAATATCGAATTACTTTCCTCATTAATATGGTCAATCATTGAAAAAATACACATATCTTGGGTATCCAAGTAAATTTGTTCAAGTTGTTCGATCAATCTGCAGATCTTACTTTCAGGAATCCATCTGACAGAATCTAGAATTTGGATATCGGGACTTTTTTCATAAGGATAACCTTCGACTAATTTGAATTTAAATTTCAAGCTGGGTAGGTATTCAATGATGTCCAGAAGTTTTTCATCGTCAGTGATGGTTACCGGGATCTCAGGATGAATTACAAGATCAATAGATCCTTCAAAGGTATCATAGTTGATTATTAATTCCTCATAAATAGCTTCAAGAGAACTAAGCTCTTGCAATCTTATGTCATCATTATCTGTCATATTTTTAAGGGCTTTGAAAAATTACTCAGGAAATCAACCATAAAAACCAATTTTCTTGATGCTAGTAACAATAATTTTTCCGCACCGTGTGCCCCGATGCGTATTAATGATTTGATTTATTGCTTAAACAGTAACAATTAATTGGGTTTTGAAAGACTTGGGGATTGTGAACGTGACCAGCACGTGAACAACTTTACAACCTTGCATTAGCTAGCTCTACAACTGTGAACCTCCTCATAAAAGTACCGTTAATCATTATTAGAAGTAAATAATAGGAACTGAAGAAATAAAAGACTCAGAAATATACTGATAAAACATCGTCGATGAAAACTCCTAGCATCCAAGTATTACCAACAAAAAACAAGGCAGAGCTGACAAATAACCATGGATAGAAAGTGCTGATACCTAAGAATTCTAAATTATAAGCATTCAACAACCATAGGGCTTGTCCGAGGATCCAAACCATTAAACAAACGAGCCCCAATAATTTCTTGCCTTTCAATAATGTCGAACTTTCCAAATAGAATGGTAAAAATACCATATACCAGATAAAATACTGAGAGGTTATTACCTTATTGTAGTTGACAAAGGCAAATGTCTGAAGGAAAAAAGATATCAACAAGAGCATTGCTTTATCCTTGTTGATAGATTTTGATTGTGATTGAAATTTAAAATTGAAATTAAATAACAATGGAATGATTATGGCAGATACAAGGAACTGAGGGATGAATGCGAACTTCGTGAAATCAATTGATATAATTGAATCAGATTCTAGCGAAGATTTGAAATATAGCGACATGTTATAAATCGAAAAATTATGCCTGTGATCAGTTCTGATGAAATGATAAAGATAACTATTGTACAAAAATTCATAGCCGTATGTTTGATACATTGCAGCCCCCAAGGCAAAAAATACCAACAAGGTTGTTATGGTGAATAATAAGACTTTGGAGATGGATTTCAAGATTGGATTAACGATAAATGCTTGAAAATTGAATTTTTCACCATTGAGATTGATATCCTTGTAAACCAAATATAGTATCACCGTCGGGAAATAGATTATTGGATAGAGTTTGTAATGAATTGAAATGGCAAAGAAAATTGCTGAAACAATTATGTTCTGCTTCACAATCAAAAAGTATAAAAATGATGTTAGTAGGACAGTTAAGAAACTTTCAGAACTTCCTCTGGTACTAATGGTTATCACCATAGGATTTAACAACCATATTGCCGATAATACAAGATTCTTATAATTAGATTTCTTAGCGTCACGATTAAAGTAGTCCAATAACTTCAAAATTAAGATACCAGTAATTAGGTCACTGATAATAAACACGAATTTCCCAAATGAAAAACAAATCAATTCCAAAATTTCATTCTCTGGAACTTCAATGGCAGTCGGAACCAACAAATACGCGAGCAATGGGGTGTAACGATACGTTTCCCTAGAATAAGGTGATCTATTATATTTGTAGACGTATCTAGCAGCATCAGTAAAGACAACATAATCAATATCAGTATATTTCACTTCCATTGTAGCATCTTGATACAAACCAAACAAAAAGAACCCAATTCTTAGCAAAAATGCTACTACAATGAGTAGCAAGTTGTGATTTTTTCGCAGTACGGGATTGGTTTCTTTGATAGATCTATTTTCATGAGATGTCATAACGTTCTGAATCACTCGTCATCAAGTATAAAAGTGTGTAGATTTTTTGATACAGTATACTTTTTTGTTTTCGGAGACACTTCTTTTTTTCCTACAGTATGATATCTTTGTACCAGTGCCACGGGTAAATCTTGGGCCATACTATTGGCAGTATCTACCTATAAGATAAAACAACATATATATACACATACACTTATTCAGATATTTCTGGAATAATAATTATAAAAAGAGTTCCAAACCACTCTCCAACGGTTCATACTACTGTTGGTGATGCGATCGTCCAAAATATTGAAATCCTTCTTTTGTAAGTTCTTGATAAATATATCAACGGGAATGGAATTCATAAACGGAACAAATATCACATCTGGGATACCTCCTCTCCAACTTTTAGAGTACTTAGACACCAATTCGTTGTTAGTAGACGCCAGCACCTTTTTAATTTCTTCCTTAAGCTTGTCCAACTTATATCTTCCTGTTAATAAATGATCGTTGGCTCTGGTTGATACCGCAAAAATAACATTCTTCAATTTCTCTTCCAATTCCAAGTTTTTCACCTTCTTATCCTTGGAGATTTCATTTATGTATCCTATTAAAGAATCTTGAGATAGATCTTGCTCAGCCATAACATCAATAGGCAAAGGAACTAATTCTTGCTTTGCATAATATTTTAGTGATAACAATGTGCTAGCGATTGAGTTGGCCTGGCCAATATGGGCAGCAATATCAGTGGTAAGATTTTGAATAGAAGGAGATTCTTCTAGTAAACTTATAGCAGATGGGGAAATATGGGAAGATAGCAATGTTGATTGCTGCAAATAGATCAATTGTGAGTATGTTCCTTCACCAAAAGAACAGATGCTATCAATATCTTGAAAAGTTGGTTTCTCTAACCAGTGCTTTCGGCTATTTAGGAAAGTATTGAAATAGTCAACGTTCAAGCTAACCCCTTGTTTTAAAGAATCACGAATTAAAAACATGGTTGGCTCAGTTATGGTCTCATTTCCATTAGGGTTCCTGAAAACTCTTGATAAAAAATCTGACCAAAATTTGAACTTCAAATCAACTGACGTAAGCCCTCCCATATTGGCATAATTGTTCTTCAAATTGATTTTCGAGACTTCCACATTAAATGCTCTTATGGCAAGGAAACTATCTCTAGCAGGTTCGGGAACATACGCACTCAAAATAAATGAGCTTCGATCATATTTTTCTAATGTGCTTCTGACATTTGTTCTTGCACTTTCCAATTGCTGGGAATACCGATTATCAGAAATTCCTCTTCTTGAAATCACTCGTACCACATGGTTTCTTGTATCAGAATTTATAGCTCTAATCATAATGTAGGTGTTAGTTTAGTGTATTTGAAGAGAACCTCTCTCGCATCGTTCAACCACAAACAAATTTCGTGATTTTTTTTTTCCCTTTTTCCGAACATTTTTTTTCCGTGCCTACTCAGATTGGTGATAACCACCCGTCATACAACAACAAACATCAAAAGATAAAATTAATACTAAAATACATAAATATGAATATAAAAAGGAAAAGAACTTTAAACATTAGCAATCCAAATTCTTCCAACAAAATCATAAAATTCTATTGTGTCCTTATCGAATTCAATCAAAAGTCCCTTATCTTCATCATTTTGCGAAGCTCCAATAACTTCATACCCACACCAGTAATAGCCTGAGCAAATATTTAATTTGTACCATCCCGAAAACGGCTCATTCATATTGTTGACATAAGAGTGTTCAGTGACTGGTGGAATGACCACCCCAGTAATTTTCGTAAAGTCTTCATAAAATGATTGTAAAACTTGCTTGTCTGCCATGTTTGTCTTTTTAATTCGTTCGTTATTCACATCATCGTCCCAACTATTCTTTTTACAGTTCTGGAATCCCGAATTAATCCAAAGCAAAGTTTTGTTATCTTCATCCAAAATATGAGCGGGATGAGTGGAACAGATTTCATGAGTAAATTTTCCTGGTACAGTTCTAACTTCCCCGGCGGCACCAGCTTGATAACCGTTGATATGATAATTTTCATTTCCTGCCAAAGATTGACCAAGCCAGAAATATTCCTTGTCACCCCACATACGGTTGTCAATGACAGTTCTCCATAAGTTAATCTCCAAACCCATTAAAATCCCTGTGAAATGTGTTGACCGTTTCACTAGCACGAGACCCGCCTCCATAAAGTGTTTTCTGTAGTCACCTATATATCTATTCTTCAAAGTGACATCTGTTGGTTGAGGAATACCAAAAAATTTCTTATCTAAAACAGAAGGCATCAATTTTTTCCAAAATTCTACATCGAAATCCCATAACATGTCATCAACATCACGATCCCTGAAGAACATTGCTCCATGCTTCAAATACTTGTCAAGTTTAAAAAAGGATTTTGTTGGAACTAGTAGAACGGTATCTGTATCTAATAACATCATTTCATCGAATGAATTGAAAAAGTATGCCAATAATTTGTTGGAATAGCCACTGAAAACTTCATTGTATTTTGGGTCTATTGCCCTGAGCACATTCACAAACCATATTTCCTGAACTGGGTAATCATGGTCAATATAATCTTTGTATTCATATTTTTCAAATTCCTTCTTGGAAACATTAACCTTTGGAATCAATTTTTTAATCGACTCTCTCGAAGCATCCACCAACAACTTTCTGTTTGCTTGAGAAAGATCTCCGCTATGAATAATTTGAATAGGATACTTATTTCCTAAGACTCTCAATGTTCTAATCAATTTTATAACTTCTCCAACATAGTTATCACTAACAGATAAGACGAGACCCTTGCCATTCATAGAATTATAAAAACTTGGAACAAAGCAATCACCGAACTCTGTCGTATCTAAGACCTCTGGTAGCAAGTCAGAAGTAAATTTCCCCTTATGCTTTTTAGATTTGATTTCTTCGTTTTTCAAGATATTTGAAATCTGAGGCATTTTTTCGTATATAGCACCATTCCATCTTTCATAAATGGGATAGTTGAAGGATAGAAATGGAAAAATCTTTTTTTCGGAGAAATGGCAAGTGCTTTTGGTAAATGCCCCAAGCACTTTTTGCTTGCTATTATCCGTGGTTCCCAGGTTTCCATATTCTTCACTAAAGAAGCATTTACCAAATGCCCTTAAGTTCGCAGCTTTGCTGACTTTATTCTGCTCTATCTCCAAATTCTTTTCAATTAAATCCAAACGCTCTTCTTTCAAAGCTTCGATTTCTGAATCAGTAAAGTCATATTTGAATTTCAGGAGTAGTGCCTCAAGATCACCATCATTAATTTCTTTACCCTGTTCTAGATATTCATTTCGTATTTGTTCCTTTTTGGTATCCTTTTCCTTTCCAAGCCTTTCCTTATTTTTCCTATTGAAATAATCTGTTTGGCTGAACGCATCGGCAGAGTATCCAGCATCTGCCTCATTAGTCCAATTTCGGTCTTCCACGGAATGCAAATAATAAAAAAATAGATCACACTTTGCATCCAAGTGAGCATCAGAGCTAAGTAACACTTTGTCATTATCATTAAGAAAAGTCATTAACGCATTAGATGTAGACGTGTATTTTTTTGTGATTGAATCACGGATCAAATCCAAATCAGCCTCCTTAGGAGCAGGATAACTGTCATCAACAAGCAGAGAGATATCAAATTTTCCAAGAAGCTCTTTCAATTGATCATTATTTGTATCATTATCTTCAGAAGATTGAACATTTATGTGTGAGTGTGAACGTGATGATAATGATCCGTAGTAAACTAATTGGATCAATGCAAGAATGAAAAATACCTTTAGTAAGGTAGTAGGTTTACTTCGTACCTTTAGTCTTTGTACATTTGGAAAGTTCTCGGAAACACTCCTTATGAAGCCATCCATGATGTGATCTTTGGTGCCCCTGGTTGTTGTTTCTACACAACAAGAACATTCAAACACCCTCTGACAAGAAGGAGAAAGAAAAAAAAAAAAAGTTTGAACAATTTGTCACGTGTATCATAATTCTGATCCAATTTGACGGAGCTTTCCAAAAATAAAAAAAAAATAAAAAGAGAAATATTTTTTTTTTTCCTTTCCTTCAGCAGTACCTAAAAGTGGAATCACCAAGAAGATATGAGTAACATGGGAGTAAATTATACCGGAAAATTTGTGTTAGCTCCAATGGTGAGAATTGGTGAATTGCCGACTAGATTGTTAGCCCTCAAAGCCGGGGCTGATCTAGTCTGGGGCCCAGAGATCATTGATAGAAAAATCATTACTTTCCAAAGAACTGAAAATGAAAAGTTGAGAACCATTGACTTTTTGACGGCGAAAGGGAAAACAAAAAAGGATCCAAGTGGCTCGACTGTATCTTTCAGAACACATAGACCCTCGGAACAAGGGAAGTTGATCTTCCAAATGGGAACTGCAAACCCAGACTTAGCTGTTAAAGCTGCGAATATCATTATCGATGACATCGACGGTTTAGATATTAACGCTGGCTGTCCTAAACATTTTTCTGTTCATGCTGGTATGGGTGCGGCTTTGCTAAAGACCCCGGATTTGTTGTGTGAGATCTTGACCAGACTTGTCAATGAAGTTGGTAAACCAAAGAATAAGCCAATCAGTGTGAAAATTAGAATCTTGGAGAGTAAAGAATCAACCTTGGAACTTGTTGATAGAATTCTTAAAACAGGAGTTGCTAATTTGACTGTTCACTGCAGAACTAGGGATATGAGAAACAGAGAAAGCCCTATAAGAGATTATTTGCCTTTCATTATTGAAAAGTGTAGAAACGCAAAAGTTAGCTTTATCATTAACGGTGGGATCAAGAGCCATCAAGAATACCTTGATCTTCAAAAAGAGTACGGGTCAGATATTGGGTCTATGATAGCGGAGGCAGCAGAAACTAACCCAACAGTATTTTCTCCAATACCTTATCACTGGGCTAAAGCTGCCAAGGAATTTGCTAAATATGCAACTGAGTTTGATAATCACTATGCGAATACAAAGTACTGTTTGAGTAGAAGTGTCCCAGGGAAGGCCAAAGTCTACCAGCACATCACCAAACTGAAATCCAAAGAAGAGATTGCCCAGATTATGGATAAATTGGGAGAAGATGGGAGTATAGAAGGGATAACATCTGAGAAACTAAATTCCGCTAAAGCCAAACCAAATGGCGCTGAAGCGAAAACCAATAATAACAAGAGAGATCTTGAGGATCCCCAGCCAAACAATGGTACTATTGCAAAGAAAGCCAAAGTTGACCAAGTTGCTTAAAGTTACAGAAACATCCAGTATAATGTATTATATTAAATTAATGTCCACATGATAATTTCTATGAAAGCATAATATTTTGTAAATCTATTTTTTTTTCTTTTTTCGTCTACTGCATATACTTCAATACCAAGCTGAATAGAGCGTCAAACAGAATAGGTGCAGTCTCATCGCCAGGATTAACAGTAAAACTAACAAAATCCTTTGTCAACAATAATACAAACAACACAGCTTCAATAAAAGAATCCAATTTCATAAATCTTCTGCTTTCAGTCTCATAGCAGAATTTCTGAAATACTTTTTCTATCAAATTCTGTTCAATCTTGTAGCCCTTAGCTCTTAAAGCATTCATGAATTCTATAAATTCGATGGCTTCATTTCCATCGTTATCATATTCATCAAAAACATCTCTCCAAAACTTCACATACTTGAAAAGATCTCTAAATTGCTGAAAATCTAGTCTTCCTTTCTGGTCTCTATCATAAAATTCAAATAATTTCTGAACCACACTTTCGCGAAAGTGGGTCTTATCAAAGTTTTTCAATGATTTTCCCACAGCAATACAGTCTATTCTCCCGTCATGATATACATCATTTCTATCAAAAAACATTTTTAATTGTTGATCTTCACTTATTTGTATCGATTGGTGTCTGCTATGATGATTCATATTTGCTGATTGGGGATGATCGGGTTGTGGATAATGACCACCAGTCGGATGATAGCCCAGACTAGCAGGTGAATTAAATTGCGCACCAACTGGCCTTGCCGAATAAGTTCCCAAATTTTGTTGAGAAGCAATCACATGGCCTTGTTTGTTATTATCATTGTTATTATCATTATTATTATTATTATTATTATAGTTATTGCTTTCATCACCATAATTACTATAGTTATTGCTTTCATCACCATAATTACTATAATTACTGCTATCATTGTGGTAATTACCAACACTGAAGCTACTGTGATTACTAGCAGCAGGCCCCTGGATTGGAGATGCAGGTCTTTCTTCACCTATATAGTATCCTTGCAGTGTAACACTAATATAACTTTGAGGCCTTTGATAAGGATTGCCAAGTCGTTGCAGATCAGTATTATTGATTTGGCTTGGGTTATGATGTTGTTGCAAATCATGATAATTCGTTGGATATGAGTTGCTCATTGCCACTTCAGGTTGCAATACAGACGATGATGAAGGAGGAGGCTTCTTTTTCATTTTACTAAAAGCCTCACTAGGAGATGGTAGAACCTGTTAAGACATATGTCTGTTAGTTGATCATTTCTTGACGCAGATTTTATGAGCAACCATGACATTAATTATTTTTATTACATACAAACATTTCATCATTCTCATCTTTACTCTTTACTGTTTTGCTTTTGATAGACAGAGGCATTTTTAACCGATATAGATAGAAATTGAATAGGATAGATATACCAAGTCCCAATTTTCCGTTTCATATATGGAACACGTCTGAACCATGCACGTGGGTTTTTCATGAAGGTGCTCACTTAGACCCGTCAATTCGTTTTGTCTCATTATACAATATTTTTACAGCATTAAATTTAAAGCATTCAGAAACCTTGATTATATTTTCAATCACCGAATTCATTCGTCATTACATTTATTTTTCGTGAAAATCATCATTTATCAAAATCCATCCCGAAAGACCTCAATTTGACATATTCCAAATCATCAGATTTAATAAGAAGATCAGACTTTAATAACTGTCGAATGAGGGGATGGATGGACATCGATGATTGTGATGAGTCATTATTCACGTTATTTAAAGTTGAAGTTTTCACAAAACCACCATTTTCATTGGTCATCATCCCATTGAGTAGAGTTTGAATGATTTTGAGGCTATCTTTGTGATTTTCCTGTAAAAGTTGTTCTGTCCGCTCAAATTTTTCAGTGTCGTCTTCCGCAATTTCAAGATCAAGATTTTTCTTTGATATGATTATTAAAAACTTTTTGAGGCCTGCCATCAATATTTTTTCACGTTCCTGTTCCTTCAATGTTCGCTCTTGTAGCGCATCAAGAGTGCTGGAAAGAACATCACTTTGAGATTTCACATTGGATCGTCTAGTTTCTTGACATTTTTTCTCTAATTTCTCATCAAAAAGATTGATCAACAATAATAGCTGACTTCGAAGCATTTTTTGGAAATGCGTCTGTTGATCAAGATTTGAATCCTGTTTAGAGACCTGTCTAATTGTTTTGGTTAAGCCTTCCACTTGATTTGAAGTTTCATTGATGCTTAAACTTTTACCTAGTAGATCTCGATTTTTTGGAGTATATGGGATTGAAGAAATCATTTTCTGTAGCGCAATGGCCTTTAGCATTGATTTCTCTGCCTCTGATCTAGTCTGGTTTAGGCGATTCGTTTCGGTTTTGAGATTTTTTATATTTTCATCCGCTATTTTAATAAGCTTATTCATTGAGGATATTTCCTCTTCGATAATTTTAATAAAATCCTCATCTGCTTCCATTGTTGATTCTCCAAAATCCAAAGTTGAAAACAAAAAAAAAAAAAAAAAACAGAATCATTTGTTGTTTTTGTTTATAATTTTTTTGTTTTCTTAAGATGCGTCGCGCTGTGCCAGCTCCGTGGGTCTAACCCAGAGGCACAAAACTAAAAAGGTTATTTAACAAATTTGTAATACATCAATAGTTGTTTATACCTCGAGTACAACAGGATCATAATCACTATTCGTAAAATTCATTAAAACTGCATATCTATGTGAAAGAACAAAAATTATTTTCACTGAAGTTCATCCATCTTACCTAACAAAACCAGAAAATCAAAAAAATTAACAAATGGTCTAGCATTGTCCGACCCATTAGCTATCATATCAATCATTAAGCTATCATTAATCTTATCATCCAATTTTAGGCTTTTGATTACCGTCTTTAAATCAGGATATGTTATCTCTCGGTCACATACTGACTTTACGCCTCTGTTTCTCATAAATGGATCAAACAAAGTACCATCTTGTCTCCCGGATTGTTTCTGCTGATTATTACTCTTTTCTTTGGCTCTATCCAAGTATGTGATGAAAACTTTCCAAAATTTTTCTATGTAATCGAAATTATTTCGGAGAACCAAAAGTTTGCAACAGAAAAACACCAACCTATCAAAATCAATGATTCCATCATCTTCTAGTCCGGGAACCACCAAATCCATGAACTTCAGGTCGTTTTCCGGCAAAGTTTCACAATATTTATCAACAAAAATTGTGGGAACTTCGAGAGATATTAGAAAATCATAAACATCTTCGGTATTCATATCTTTCTCATCGAAGCCCAGCTCAAAGTATTTGGTTAAAATTTCATCTTCATAATCGCTGCGAATCAAATTCTTTACATCGATGTCATATTCAGATAAGAAAAGGTTCTTGGACTGTTTCCGCTTGTTCATGATTTGTTCTTCGTGTGAAAAATTTGATATTATGGTATGAAGTGCAAGGTCATCGATGATCTGAACGTTATTGCATGTATTATTATTATATTGTGCCTTTTTTTTTTTGTAGGACAACCTGACCTGCGATTAGCAATTGCACCCATCAAATTCACATTCTTATGTGCTTTCTCTGGTAGGCCCTCTCTGCTGTCTTTGGTGTGAAATTGAATAAATGAGGAGTGCAAACTCATGGTTGGAGTAGCAACCAATACACGGAATAGGATTACAGATATCTTGGCTTAAATATGTGGGAACATGGATTGATTCTTCACAGTTTTTATTCATTTTATTATATTGTTGCACTCCATTTTGCTTAGTTTGTCTGAGTATGAGCATTATTTAAATTATTTTACTAAGTAAAGGCTTTCTGTGTGTGTCGTCACCGAGTTCTAAAAAAGATTCTTTATTGGCATACAAAATTATACCTCATCGCCCACTCCATTGCAAGCCAAAATATATAACCAGTCTATAATATAAACGTACTTCATAATTTTAATACATTTTTCCCATGTAAATTTAAGAGCATGTCTGAATTTGCTGACTTAAAAAAATCATATCCCTTTGTTAATCCTCATCACCTTAAAATCATTTATCTATCCAAGATGAAAAAACAAAATAACTTCTTGAACAATTTGGGAAAGAAAAAATAAAAAAATCTCATAATAATCTGGATCTTGAAACTTAAATTCGTCCTTGAAAAATAAGATAATGTAAAAAAGGATTTAATCGAGGAGATAGGTATTCTCAATATCATCAATATTCTATGAAGTTATTTCTGCAAGCCATCGGCAGAAAACTATCTTTTAGAAATTGTAACTTCTTATGGCAATTTCATTTAATTCTGATAATTCCTCAATATCTTCATCAGTAATAGGGGCATACTGATCCCATAACCTTTCAAATTCAGCTCTGTCAACTTTACCAGATGATGCTCGCTCCACCAACCACAAACTTTCTTTAGCTTTTTTGTGCTATAAGAGTGAAATGTTAGTATAAACAAAGCCCCTGTAAGTATAGCAAATAGCATTTATATATATATTTGAAATAATAATAATAATAATAAAAAACATACTCTTTCTCTATCTGATTCCATTCTTGCCAATATCTGCTCCCTAGAGAGCTCCAATGACATTTGCGTGGAATCCTTTTCTCTATTATTCTCCTCATTATTGTTCACTTTATCCTTTTTCTCCGATGCATGCAAAACCATTTCACTTTTATCAATGAAGTAGCTTGTAAGAGAACTTAGCTGACTGAATCTCTTTCGATCTATTAATATTTCCCATGCACGTTCAATACCTTCACCAATAACTTCTGAATCAGTTGGTTTGAAAAATTCAGTATCCAAATGATCTGATTTTGACAAATTCTCACTCACATTTTTTTCAATCTTTCCCTTTAAATTCTCCGACAATAAATCGCTATTGAATTGTCTTTGCAATTCCTCGATTTTTTGTTCATCAAAACCAAGCTGAAGGCTGATCGACTTTAGTATCTCCGCGCTAACCTTCAAGTTGTAAAGACCATATTTATTTGCAGGAACTATCTTGGAGGCAAACGTTGGAAGATCCTTCTCGATTTTATTAATATACGGTAGATCTTTATTCAATGATGGGTTTTTGGCAAACGACTTCTTCGACTGCGTTACTAGCGAATCGATGAAATTCATTATATTTAATCTCACATTCAAGTCGACCTGATAAAAATAAAAGTCTTTGTTAGTATTTATTTCTCGATATTTATTGTTAAACACATCACTTACCGTATTCAATACCTCTATAATACATGAATGGAAATCATCTTGATATTCATGGTTTCTTAACGCAAAAGAAACACACTTCATTAGCAGTTGAGTCACCGGTTGAACAGTAGACAACATTCTAGAAAACTGGAGACGGGCCTCGAATGGATCCATATTTGATCTAAAAGATTTAATTTATTGTTTGAATGTGTACTTTGCACAAGTAAAGTATCATAACAACAAAAAAAAAGTGCTCCTCTATCTCAAAAAATTTCATTTTTTTCATCCCCGTGCAATTAATTTCCTTACAGCCTCTGCGCCTTACGTCAAAATATTTATAATAAACAACGCCCAATGCAATGCGTTTCTATTTCAAGGAGTAAATATAAATACACATATATATAAATTAATGGCAGCACAAACAAAATATGGTGTCATCAGACTTCACCTTCCCAAATGTATTTTGCTCTACCTTTTACTCCTTCGATCTTGGTTCGGAAAATTGATCCGCCTAGATCATCCGCAACACTCCCCAATTTTGAGGTATCATCAAGATTAAGATCAGCAGTAGAAACAAACAATTCATCCATATGTGCGCCTCCAATTGTCGGACAAGTGGTTCTTCTGGCAGGGTATGAATACTTATGTAAAAAGTGGCCTTCAGGGCTAACTTTTAAAATACCACTGCCATCCCAAAGTGCGATGTACAAGTTATCGGAATCATCAATTGTCATACCGTCGAATTCAATATTAAGTCCTAATTTCTTTGATTCAAGGAATATTTCAGGATCAGAGATCGAATCAGTCGCCTTGTTATACTTGTACATGGTGACTTTAGTCATATCAACATGATAGAACTTGGTCAAATCCTTAGACCAGGCCATACCATTGGATATATTTAAATTGTCAAGCAACACTGTGAATTTCTTAGTTTGGACGTCAAATTTTGCCAAGTAGCCTTCTGGCTTTAATTCGTGCTTAAAAGTGTTTGACATTATGCCAATCCAGAAGTTACCGCATGGACTCATTTTAGAATCATTTGAGCGGTAAAATTCTCTCTTATCTTCAGGAATGAAGTCGAATTTATATTTATATTCAAAAGTGAGGGTCTTGAAATCAATCTTGGCAATACCTTGAGTTGCAGCAGCGACAATAATATCGATATCACTAGTCAAAGCAATTCCCCCAATTGTAGCAATAAATTCTTTATCATCTTCTTTATACTTGACAACTTCATGGGAATTGGCAATGGTGTTCAAATCAGATTCTGAATATTGCTGTTTCTTTCCCTTTGGCAATTCAACCCTATGGAGTTCTCCCTTAGCGATATCGATCCACAATAAAGAGTTGTTCTGTGGATTGTAAGTGGTCCCTTCAGACAATCGGGCCCCTGGACTTGTAAACAATGGCACTTCTGTCTCAGTATTATCGATCTTATCCATATTTAACAGCCTTGCTAATAATGCCAAGATAAATTGCAATTGCTACCAATTATTTAGAATTCTTTTGAAGTTTTGAAGATTCAGTAAAAAAAGCAGGTCAATAACGGAATAAAAACTAGCTTCTATTCGATTTGCGGAACTACAATTGAAACAAAGATATTTAGAAATCGTAAGTTATATGTAAAGGACAAAGACGAAAAAAAATAATCTAACAGTATGTTGTCTGTTCATGGGCTCATACCCACGTTGCAGCTGCAAATGCCAGCTAACGGATGAGCCAGGGCTTTTTTTTTCAATTGTCCATTCGCTAAAATTAAAATACCTTATTTTGTATCTATTTATTATCCAAAATATATAAAATATGTAAAATATTGCTATTCAATATCCCTAATGTATTACAGCCTCTCTTCATTTTTATATATACGTGTTATCACTAACAAAGTGCGTCACACAATTGATGTTACTACTGCTAGTCAAGTTTGTCTCATGGAACCAAGACAAAAATGAAAGGCGATAGCTTCCCTTATTTTAATATTCGTTTAGAACTATAAATTTCACTCCTCAATTAATATTGTCCTGGAACCAAAATTAGCTAACTACCCAATTTATAATGAACCAAATGCTGAGCGCTACAGGGTAGTACTATTTCACTTTTCAGTTATCAATCATGTCACAATTAAAAAAAAAAAAAAAAATCTAAACAAAAATATATTTAAGAGCTCCTGAATTTTCATTTGGTTTAAAAATTGATTCAGATTTAAAAGTAGTTGAATTATCAAGAATGTAAGATACGTTGTTCTAGTAAAATATGAAATAATAGTTGCACTGTAAAGAGTGCTTCGCTTACAGTTAAAATAGATAGAGATAATAACTAGATAATATTGCCGGTATTTGCCACCACTGTGGTATCCGGTTTGCCTATCCATTGAAATTTATAGTAATATAGTCGTAAAGAAATCTGTAGCTTATTTAAGATATAAAAAGATAATTAAAAAAATAAATCGGGATGTAGAACCCGTCCATATATAATAAATAGAATAAGAGTGGGAGGGTGTTTAGATGCAGTATATAATAGGCAATAATGGAATAATAAAGATAATGAAGGGTAAAAAAATAAAGTAGATAGTAATTTACAGCTAAATTCAACAATGATAATGAGGTTTTTGTAATTATTGAGTCTCTGTATGTTTTAGTAATAACAACAAATAGTGATTGGGTTATAAATGTAGTGCGCTTAGCACCTTGATATATGTCTCATCTGTGGCTGATAAAAAAACAAAAACTAACACATCAGCCGGCCTAGTATAGTGGTCAGTACGAGTCGTTGTGGCCGACTAGACCCAGGTTCGATTCCTGGGGCCGGCATTAAAAATTTTTTTTTTGCATCAACTTTTTCTAACTATATAGATTTCATTCTCTTTTAAATTGCAAAGAATATACTATCAGTGTCTTTTAGAAAAATTCTGAAAATTAGTTCATCACTGTTTACATTTAATCTTGATACATCACCTTTGTTTATAATCTCCACCTTAAATAAGGATTTTTGGAATTTTTCATCATAGAAAGCTGTATAGGCAAGATATTTTATATCACTCAACGTTAAACTCCCCAAACGTCCAAACAAAATTACAGAGAAAAAGCCTCCTCTGCTTCTCACATAGTAAAAAATTAATGAAGAAATCGTAAGATTTTATATAAAAATCCATCAAACGCCGACTAGACAAGTAAACAATTAAAGAATAATATTAAAAAGAAATAATGTGGAACGTGAACAAACAAACAAAAAAAAAAAAAAAGAAGAAGAAAAAGAAAAACAAGCAAAGGGAATTACAATAATTCACTTACCTAATATAGCCTTATTTTTTGCTGTTAGGACCGGATGATTCAATTTCAGTTACACTGGAATTTTCATCGGCTTCTTCGACTTCTTCTATATTAAGATCCAAATCTTGAGCAACTTTAGCTTCAATGTTCTTAATATCTGACAAACCGTATAAGGCAATGGCACCAATACCCAAAACACCAGCAAGACAAGAGAAGACCATGGCAACAATACCTCTGGCGGTGAATCCATCTGGCAATGGAGCAACTTGGACGTTTTCGCCGGTCAAATCAAAGTAGTCAACAGAGTTATTAGCGGCGTTACCGGTAAGACTGATGCCTTGCTTTTCACAAACTCTCTTGTAGTCATCGGACAATTGTTGACGAGAGTCACTCTGAATACCTTCAGGGTCTTCGATCAACACAATAGCCAAACCTTGAGACAAATGCCATTCAATATGACAGTGGAAGAACCAAACACCAGGGTTATTGGCCTTGAATCTCACGACGAAGTATGACTGAGGTCTAACGTAGAAAGTGTCTCTCATCATTGGGTAATCATTGACATCGCTAGTGAAGTTAGATGAGTCATATGGAATAGGATCAGCTTCATCGGAATAATCTGGACCTCTAATAACTGCTTGGAAAGTGTGACCGTGAAGATGGAAAGGATGGGTACCAGTGTCCTGGTTATTCAAAACAATTTGAACGATTTCATCCTTTTTCAAGACGAATGAGTTGGTGTTAGTACCGTAAACGATTGGGTTTGTGGCGTTTTCACCAGCAGATAAAACGGTATTCAAAATTGGAACCTTTGGAGGGGTAAAAGTGATGTTGTTGAAGAAAGCATAGTTGACACCGTTACCCAAGTTGTTCATGGTGACGTTGACTTCAATTTGGTAATCATAGTCATCGTACAAAATTTCCTTGTTAAGTGGTTGCAAATAAAAGTCATCCAATATATCATAGTCGTCACTTTCAATGATATAATCACCAGCTCTTGCGGCATCCGCATTATAGACAATTTGGTTGGTGACATTATGGGAGAAAGTACCAGGAACATCCAACATACCTTCATCGACCCCTTGGACAAACGCATAATTCTGGGAATCATCAGACTTGGTGGTGATCAACACGGTATAACGTTGGGCGACTGTAATATAAAGAACATCGGTAACGTTTGGTTCGACACGAACCCCATCAACTTCAACGACAGTGAATACATGGTCTTCCATGTATAAGTACTGAGACACAAATGCACCAATATTGATAATACGCACCAAGTAAGTGGTGTTTGGTTGAACTTGCCAGGTACTGTTGAATGTATCGTTGAACAATAAGTTATCAGGGATTGGTTCAGCACCAGTAGGGTTGTTAACGTTCAAGAATGACTTATCCAAGACACCTGAAAGGGTGTGGTACCATTCGGAAATGGTCAAAACGACTTCTTCGTCATAATCCCAAACTTCGGTATCTGTGTCATCGTGAATGATAAAAGCACCTCTGAAACCATCACCATATTGACCCTTGGTGTGGGAATGGTACCAGAAAGCACCAGCTTGGTCAGGGACGGTGAAGTTGTACAACATTGTTTCGTTAGGAGGAATTGGACATTGGTTGATCATTTCTGGGCCATCGAATTGGGCTGAACCATGCTGGAACAAACCGTGGACGTGCAAAGAGGTGTTTTGATCTGGTAACTTGTTGGTAACGTAGATTAAGACTCTGTCACCCCTGTTGACGTGGATATCAGGACATGGCCATGTGTTATTGAGACCAACTACGGTTCTATTAAATCCATCTGGAGAGGCGTAGAAATAGGTGACATCGAAATAGAATGTTTTTGTTTCACCACTGGTGTAGGAGATATTGGTCAAGTCATAATACTCTACCGACCCGATAGTTGAGTTGAAGGTAGAGTTAACGAGACTGGCGTCGCCAGCAGAAAAAACAAGATTGAACAACCCTACAAGGGTTATCAAGAATTGAAATCTATAGGAAATCATGCTGCTGAGTGTCCCTATGGATATATATATAATCCTTTCCTTTTTTTTTTTTTTTTTTTTTAAGAATTAGAAGAGTAAAGTAGCGAATGGTGGGAATATCTTACTTTATATACCCCCTGGGATGAATGACTGAACTATATCAAATTTTGCAATTTGGACCCCTATCGATTTTTTTTTTACTTTTTCCATTTTTGCTGTTGCAGATTATTCACGGAATAAGCTTTGCATTTAAATTTTTTTTTAAATCACTCACATTATATTGGGGTTATTTGGGCTCCTTGTTGACCCACGAGGGCTGAAATGATAAGGTGTTACAGAGAATAGAGTGTAAGTCTTGGTGTTTTCCTTGACAAGGTATAAAGAAGAATATGGCATAAAGAAATATAAAGAAAAAGAACGATGACATAATAAAACTGGAGTAGAGAATCTTTGACTAGCGTGAGAAAGTAAGTGACACCCCCACTCTACAATAAATCTCATCATAATGTTGTATGGGCGAATGTTTTATTTTAATTTTCAGTGAATTAATAATATGGGATATTATATATTATATATTATATATTACGTAGTATATAGATACCATATAAATTATTGCTGGGGTAGCATATTCTGGAGATGAAAACGATGGTGAGTCTTTGTAACTACTGATGGCGATTGATTAGATAGATAGACACACACCACCCACCGCCCACTGGAAAATTTTTATTTTGCGAAACACCCAGAAATAACGCCACTTGAGTGTTTGTTGATGGGATCGATTAGATTAACCCCATTTGCCGTTCTTTTAGTGGCATTTAAAGTTAGTCTCTACCTCGGCCGGCAGCGGTGTCTTACCCATGCTTGGGACCCCCCTTCTTGCTCCATTGGTAACACGGGGGGTGTGCTGTGCCCTAGCGGCACTTATACCTACCAGGGAGCCTATTATTAGTTTACATATTTTTGTCCTTTTATTATCTTTACTTTTGGTTGGCTCCGAGAACCCATCAATACTGCGTTTCCATGTAGCATATTCCATCACTTCAACGTCTTCAATGAACAATTTTCGAAGGCTGTCTTCATACAAATGTAAATAAGATAATGATAATGATAACATTTCATAATTGGAAGAATATAGCCTATGCCGCTTATTATGGAAGCATCTATCTTTAGCCAGTTTTTTTTTTTCAAACATTGTTCTTTCTTTCCTCTATCTTGCAAATAAGATAGCTTTTCTGAACGCTCATTCTGCATCCCTCCATTACATACAATAAATGCTTTGGATTCACTAGCAAATGGCAAAAGTTATCAACGACCTGTTCGTGTTTACATCAAAGCGTTATCATAAAATTGTTCTGAAAACCCAACATCATTCATTCATGTTCAAGTGGCGTCAAATATATAGAACTATAGTTATTGTCATGTTATCTTTCATCACGTGTATATATTTTACCTGTCTTCCTTCCCAATTGCATTATATTATGCCAGCATATCATCAATTCTACTCAGGAAAAATATTATATCCAACCATTAAAGAAGAAATAATTACATTCATGACGTGCTATATATATACAAACTAAGAAGAATACATCATGATTTCCTATGGTACAAACAGCGTGGGTAAAATTTAGTAGCATCTCTCTATTCTAATATTCCAAGCAAAAAGTAAGAGACTTCATCTATTGTTGGAGTTTTGAAAGACTAATGCATATTTAGTTAGTATATTGACTTATCATCATGAAAAATAAAAACAGATGAATTCAGTACGATTCAACAGTGAAGATGATAAATAATTAATACTCACTTGTTAACCACCTTTGTGTTGGTATCCAAGAATCTGTGCAAACAACCCTTCAAGCATTGTTCTTCATTTGGGGTGACCATTGGACCTTCGATCTTGTCGATACATCTCTTGAAGCACAAGTCATTGAACTTGTGGATAGATTGTTGAAATTTAGATTTGCTGTTTTCGGTTTCCAACCAGGCCATCAACTCTTTTCTGGATTCAACATCCAAACTTGCCAAATCAGCTTGAAAACTTTCAGACATTTTTAATCAATTAATATATGTATATATCTTTGTATGAATCTACCGGTTCTTCTCCACTTCCGCGATGTCCTTTTTGGAATTTTTTTTTGGAATTTTTTTGTTGGAAGGACGATAGAAAGCCTACCCGGATATGAAATCAAGAAAAGAACCCATCCGCATAGGCCACGATATACCAACAGTATGGGTCATCTCGTTAATATATCAGTTCGCCACTTTCCTTACAAATTATATTGCAGTTTCTGGCCGTTCAATTTTTTAAAACTTTATTTTCTTCTCTTAGACTTTTAAAGCTAAATATCTCTTGTTTCTCATTTCCAGTTTCTACAAATCAACATTGTTGTGTCTATCGAGTTTTTGGTCATTGCATACTAACAATGCTATTGATCCCGCTTTATTGAAAAACAAGACAGTTTCTCGATCACTAAACCTTTTCAATATATTTAATTTTTATTTATTCCCTCTGAATATCTGTTCCATGGCATGTCATCGCAACATCATCATTATCACCACCACCGTTATTCGTTTATGTTCAAGGTTGACAAGGCCTTGTTTCTCGATGCTGCAAAGGGAATCCTCTGGACAATCTTGTTCCAAAGAATGTTTGGTACCATCTTTCCACAAACCAAAGAGTTCTTGGAAGTCTCTTACCCATGGTGCGACTTACCGGAATTGAATGATTTAATTGATACCAAGCTCCGAAGGATTTGCAATTCTTTAGAAAATTATTTTGAAATATCAAGCTTGAGCAGCGATTCATCGTACGAGTCTCTAGATATTGAAGGGTCATTGACATATAATAATGAAAATAATAATCCCAGCGGCTCCGAAATCAATAATAATTCCAGTAACAATGTGAGTGGTTTCAATTCTTCTCAAGAAGAAGAACAAGAAGAACACCAGAAGATACGACAGTACCTGATTATTATCAAGTTCTTTGAACCACAGAACATAAGCTCACAACAACGACAGCCAAGACAACCACAACAGAAACAGAATACTGCTGGCAATGATATTACTACTCTCATTACACCTTACAAAAATAGAGAACCCTACACATCGAAAACCCCTAAATTAAAATTAATACCTAAATTCCCTTACTCCTTAACCACACCCGCTACGAACAACAGGCCAATGTCTCCAATTCATGAGACCACCCATCCGGAACCACTGTCATATAGCAAATATTGGGAATCATGGACCATTAATTTTCAAATATCCGATCACAAGATCACCGATGATGATGATGATGAACTGAATAGACACAATAAAACTGAGTATTTGAATGTTGTGCGAAGTCAGTTCAAGTCTGTGTTATTTAGGATTGTTCAGTACTCCACTGTTGAATTAGACAGTATCCCTCCAATTTATTCAACATCATATGCTCCACACCCCTTTGATATCATAGTTGTTTCTAACAATCCACGTCATCGCACAAAATCCCATGAAACACACTCCAAACAAAAACAGAATATCATAAAAAATAATATCTCTGACTGGGGATTCTATTTGAAAAGATTGTTTCCTGAACATTGACGATGGAAAAAAAAAAACAAAAAAAACAACAGACAATTCTTTTGGATATTTTGGATTACATATCTCTCTATTATTTCAACCAATTACAAAAGTTTTTGTTTATATATTTTTACATAGTTATATAAATTGCATAATAAAATATTCATTAAAGAGAGTCTTATCAGTAAACCAAGAAGAAAATTTTTAAATAGAATAATGATAAAAATTGAAAAAAGTATATAAAATCATTAAAAAAAAACAACCGTTCACCCAAATAAAAGATAACAAAAGAAAAGCAAAATATTTATCAATTCATGATCTCGATCAAATTCTTTCAACATAATTTGCAGGAATCATTCCAATTTCTCCTTCAGAGTTTCTACATTTCCACCAATTGTTGTCAGTTTTATTTAATACCATAATTTCCTCTCCTTTAGAAAGTGCTAAATCGTTCTCCTGCTCTGGCTTGAAATCGAAGAGAACTTTATATTTATCAATCGCAGTACCAGATTCGTATAAATCAAATGACCTTTCAGAAATATCCAAAGAATCTATGGGAGGAGTATCTGAATTTGTCAAATCTTGTAAATAACTCTTTGAATAATTGATAATAGATAATTTTTGAATCTCTTGATTAACAGGTCTAACTTTTGCATAGAAATCGTTCACTACTTCTTCACATTCTCCTAAATTGAATTTATCTTGTGTAATACCATAATCTGATTTCATCAAATTAACAGTTTGGAAATATTGATAACTAACGACATCAAAAGACCAAAAAATAATGTCAGTTAATGGGGTCATAATTTGACTAATCATTAGGAAAAAATATGGCAATTCACGTTTCATGGTCTCATTGAGCCTAGTATACTTTTCTGTAGCAGCTTCGAGTTTGTGTTCCAAAGTCAATTTATGCTCTTCATTCTTTGCCGTGAGCTCCGGCTTACTAGATAATTTATCCAAAGACTTTTGGTGTTTGTCAATATCCAATAGGTCCAATTCTCTTTCTTTGGAATTTTTTTTGATTTTTTTGATCATGTTCAAAATCTCATGGACGGTTTTTGTCAACTTCTCTTCTAATTGCTGCAATTCCAAAATTATCGCTGGAGACATATCGGTGGTTGTTTGCAAATATTTTTCGATAATTTCACGTTTACTTGCTTCATATTCAAATCTCTCTATTTCCTCCGCAGTTTGGAAAGGGGCATACTCATTTTGTGTGCCATCCTCGTTTTCGTCTTTCGCTTCATCAATTGATGCTTGGAGAATAGCAAGGCAGTCTTTGGCAATTTCTTGGCAATGATTCAAAAAACTCTTGTGAGATTTCACATTTACTGACGTTTCCCTAACAAGCTGGTTTAGTCTATTCTCGGTATCAATCAATTTTTTATATAATTCATCAAATTCGATATCGACAGTATGGGAACCAATGTTTGCTTTCTTGCTAATGATTTGCGGAGCCTTTCACAAGAAGTCCAATGTTAGTAAGAGATACTTCTCTCAAAATGTTTTATGAAATTGAAACTTAAAAGATAAAAAAAAAAAAAAGTGGAATGAATGATATGCCTCGGTTTCTAATATTTGGCAATAACTCACTCTAACAACAGTTCTCTTCACATCTGTCAAATCGATATCCGGCTTGTGGATATTTTTCAAATGTTCGGACGTGAATTCTTTGAATTTGGCAGCCATTGTTTAAATGAGAGAAACAGCGGATCACTAGGTGGTATAAGACACAAACAAAGAATAGTCCACTATCTTATTTTCAATAAATATCGATAGAAAGTACATCACAGTAATTATATAATTGTTCCTCCCGAGATTTCCTTTTTGTGCCCCAACACCCCCACCTATCAAAAAAATATCCGTGCAGAGGGGGTGTCCTGTTCTTCCAAAATGAATGATTATACAGAAACCACGCGGAGCTTGGGCAAACAACGAATATAGCAACGTTCGAAATATATCAGACTGTTAACACATCCTTAGTCCATTTTGAACATCTTGTGTCAAAATTTGAGTGTAAACTTTACGCTACTACATTTTCAGCTATTGTTAATGTATACATTAATTATAATTAGTAGCTGGCCAGCCAAATACGGGCAGATGCGTGAAACACCCCCTTTATAAACAGGGCTGTTTAATTCAAAAAGATTATTTTGCAAAGCCCCCATAAAATTGTCACACACCACGACTTCCTAAAAAACCCACTGAAAATAGAAAATAACAGGAAAGAAAGAGGTTTTTTTTTTTTCGTTTTTAGTCTCTCCCTCAGTTTTCCTCAAGGTTGGTTTTTGCGGTTTCTAGTTCTCATCGTTCATTTTCGTATCTTACATACAATCATTCACAACCACAATGTGGTCATTCTCTTACAGAAAAACCATCCTATGTGTCATATCATTAGCAATATCTTCAGTTTTGGTACTTTCCCTATTCTACAGCAGATTGCTGGAAGATTCGCTGGCCTTGCAATTTATTAATAACCAAATAAAACCAAAGATTCAGCCAGCAGCTGCCATTTCGACAATAACCAGTTCACAAGAACCCGTCATACACAATGAAACAATAATATCAAGCGGATCAGAAATTCTTCAGGTCGATATTACCCAAGTCCCAGATGGACAGAAAGTGAATGGGGCACTTGTGACTCTTTGCAGAAACTCTGACCTCGGGGAGATTTTGAAATCTATCAATTCTCTTGAACTGAAGTTCAATAATAAATACCACTATGATTGGGTTTTCTTGAACGATGAAGACTTCTCAGAGGAGTTTCAAGCGGAGATCAGTAAACTGACTTCAGGAGATGTGAAGTTTGGGGTGATTCCGTCTTCTATGTGGGAAAGGCCCGACGACGTTGATCTCGCTGAGTTTGAAAAAGCCAAGAAAATACAGTCCTCGCATAATGTCCCTTACGCCAATTTAGACTCTTACAGAAGCATGTGTAGGTTTGAGTCTGGGTTTTTCTACAACCATGAACTTCTTCAAGATTATGAATGGTATTGGAGGGTGGAACCGGATGTGAAGTTTTTCTGTGATATCGATTTCGATCCTTTCAAGTATATGATCGACAACCAAAAGATTTATGGGACTATTATAATTCCTTATGAAATTGCCGATACCATCCCAACCCTTTGGGACACTGTCAAGGAATTTGCCAGCACTTTTAGTCTTAGCTCCAAGGTCTTTGGAACTGGCGATGAAAAAATCGACAATGCTCTTTATTTGATCTCGGAGAACAATGGGGAAACTTACAATAATTGCCATTTCTGGACAAATTTCGAAATTTCCAATTTGAATTTCTACCGGAGTGAATTGTACCAAAAGTTCTTCAATTACTTGGATGATAAGAAAGGATTTTGGTATGAACGTTGGGGAGATGCTCCAATCCATTCCATGGCAGCCAGTTTATTTTTAGAAAAAAGCCAAATACATCTATTTAACAGCCAGTTCGGATATAGTCATACTACCAATACAGCATGTCCTAGAGATGAGGTGTTTAGAAAAGAACATAACTGCGATTGTGGGGTAAGAAGAGATATCAGCTTTAAAACTGGGTACAGTTGTGGTAAAAGGTACCATGATATGCAGAAAATATGGTATAACAGTGAATGGGTTAGCGAGTGGTGAAAAAAAGCTCCCTGAAGAGGACAGTGAGTCCTTGTTTCCACTTATTTTTATTAATAATTCTCTCTTGATGTTTTATTTTTTTCCCTTTCTGTTTTGAAGATTCAAGTTTACATGATGTTTTTTTTTTTTTTTTTTTTTATTTCCAGTGGTGAAACTTGTAATTATAAAGCAATATAGATTAAGATAAACAGAATCCATTAGATAATTTTTCTTGAAGTGCAAAAAGTCAAACTCCCTAATATATCAAATCACTGTTAGACTTGCCATAAAATGTTAGAAACCATGTACCACTAGGACGGGCGAATGGATACTCATAACCACCAAGAAATTCTAATGCGCGCTATCATTTTTTGCAAAACACAAGCGTTGTAAATAAAATCATCCAACTAATCTATTAAAATCAACCAATAATTTATTCAAATTAGCCAATAATGATTCACTCGGTACTAATATGTATGTATATATCCATACTAAACATCTGAGAAACATTTGTCTTTACGTTTCTTTTTTTTTTTTTATTTAACTTCGCGATTTACTGACCACAAATTTAGTCAATAAGGATGCGATGCCTCGCTTGATGAAATTCTACACTCCAATAGTAAGTAAAGAAAAATAGTCCCCCCCTTCCCCTCAAGCCTCCAACATTTAGATGAAAGAATAGTCAACTAACACATGTTCATTATAGGATCTCAATACTCAAACACTTCTTCTTCGTCAGGTGTTCCAGTTGATTTCTCTGAGGCCGGCAAATCAATGCTCATTTCTTACACCTCCGCCACTTTTGGAAGGCATCGAAGATGTCAGGGTGATTTACAGACATTATGCTACATTGTATTTTGTGTTCATTGTAGATGAACAAGAAAGTGAGTTGGGAATCTTGGATTTGATCCAAGTGTTTGTGGAGTGCTTGGATAAGTGTTTCCAAAATGTTTGTGAATTAGACTTGGTGTTTGGTTGGCAGGTTCTAGAGACTGTATTGGAAGAATTGGTCCAAGGTGGATTGGTGGTCGATACCAATTTGTCAAAGATCGTGGCCGCCGTTGATAACTTCAACGGTGCTACGGGGAGTAGTGGCAGTGCAAGTTCAAGCCTGACTTCCGGGTTTGGCAGTTTAACCGCTGCTTCAAATGCATTTTCCAATGCTTTTCAACAAATGGCAAGTAACAGAGGCGTTTGGTCTGGTCGATGAATTATTTACTTCAATTTTTATGAATCGTTTCTCTTAAGCTTAGGTTTTTGTTGTCTTTTGCTTTATGTAAGGCGTTACAATACAAAATAATATAAATGCATCACAAAATAAATAATCGTTTATAAAAAATAAAATCGAAAGAGCACAACAAGGAATCATTACAATGTCATAACCTCAAAACTTGGAATCTCTATTCCCAAAATATATTTACAAATGATGGTTATCAGTTACCAACCAATTTCCAATCTCCATTAATCATCTTTGTAGATCTGCCTAACTTACTTCCCCCAACCAAGCCAGCCTTTACCACTAGAAGCCATAGCTTTTTCATTTTCCAAACGGGCTGTCTGCTGAGCCTCATCTATCTGTTTCTTGATATCTGCCAATTCCTTTTGCTGCTCTTCGGCAGCCACATCACGCTCTCTCTTTTCCTTATCCTTCAACTGGAAGGCCCTGTGTTCTAAAGGTGATTTGATTGGCCCAGTCATCCAAATTGGGTCATTAGAGGCTGACGTCTGCTTCACAATTCTGATAAGTTCCTCCTGCTCTTTTCTTCTAAGTGATTTTTCCCTTTCGTATTGTGATCTAACTTCTGGGGACATTCTACTGATAAGTTGTTCATCGGACGGAGTGGTATACTTGAAACAAAGTACCCCGAAACCAACAATAGCGGCACCAACAAGGTTGACCTTGGCCCATCTCATCCAAAGTGGTGTTTCCGACATTATGTGATATTAAAAAAAAGAAAAATTGGATTCTTTCAACTTCTTTGCTTTTAAATAATAATAATCAGTGATTCGAGAAACAGAAAAAAAAATAATTTTGATTAAAAGAAAAAAAAAAAAAGGTTATGAGCCGCACCTTTTTTCTTGCTTGACATGATGAACCACGGCAAATGATATCACACCAAATAGTAATCACATTATGGAAGGGAAGCGAAAGAATGAATATATTAAGACTCTTATCTCTTTAAAAAATGGATATTCCACCTTAAGTAATTCTTTTTGTGAAAGTGATGGCGGTGATAGATTTTGACTTATTTTCCAAATATTTGAGTGTAAATGACTCCATATTATCGGGAAACGTGAGCAAAATCTTGATCACTTTTTTTTTTTTTAACTCTGGCTTGCCAAATTCAGGTATCCGTCAATATCTTGCTGGGCCAATAGAAATCATGTTGTACTGAAATTGGAATCTTTTTAGTACCCTTTCGTTGAACCAATAGGCTATTTCAATATATCAATTAAGATCAGCATCAACAGCAGGCATACTTATTGACACTAATATTCAAGTCAGTTGATGTATTTATAAGACAAATAGTATGACGTCTGATGTGACAAAATATTGGATGAATAGTTCCTTCTAACAAATTATGCCCCTCAAATAATGCGGTATAATTGAATCAACAGCTATTCCGTAATTCATACATCTACTACTTTGTGAAAGATTTTCCCAAGTCAAGTAAAGTCAGGTAAAGAAAATTTGATATAGAGTGATATCAGTATCTTGTAATTTATAGCAGAAAACATGAGATGGATAGAAGTTATTAAAATTTTTTTTTTTCAAGGCAATAATAACCTGTTTTAACTTGAATCCCTGAGCTTTTTTCAATAATGGCATAAATGGTTGACAAACAACCATTTCTGTGTTGTTCAAGGAGCATAAAATAAAAAAAAAACACACACACTCGTGAATGAGATAATTTGCCCTCTCCGCATTTGTGAATTAATTGCAAACATTTCTCGTCTCTGTTTATTAAAAAAATTGCTGAGAAGACTGTCAGATTAAGATTTTCTAATCTGTCAAAAAAGCTTCTGTATGCACCAACATGCCTAAAAAAAAGCTTCTGATTGTTTATTTTGCCTATATAGTTCACTCTTTGCGTATCATAGAAAGATTTCATTCATAAAAACTATACATATAAACCCCTCATTAACACACTCGATGTTTCAAAGATCATCCCAATTTATCCACAATTGTCACATGTAATGCGCGACCTCAACTTTACTAAATTGGATCATATGAAAAAATCACTAATCAGCAAGGGGTGAGATGGCCTAATTAGTCAGGGGAAAAATACATGTTACTGCTCAAGTATTCTATAATAGAGAAGTAAATAGGTGAGCAAATTTCCACTAAGGAAGATGAGATATTTGCCAATTTGTTAGTATGTGGTAATCATTTTACTGTAGCCGGAACCCCCCTTCTTGGCCATGGTACTACGCAGATGTGGCACGTTTGATGCTTGAATACAGCATAACCACCATGATTTCTTTTTTGCTTTTGAAATTATAAATAAATAATCCCTTTGCCACCAAAACCCTTTACGAATCACCTTTTTTTTTTTTTTTTTTTTTAAATTAAAAAATACTTCTCACTTCTTGAGAAACACTATCCCAAAACATATTGCTAGCTTCTGTCTTCCAATCCGAACCTTTTTTTTAAAATTAGTATTCCGTCCCATCCTTTTGATAAAGTTCATGGATTATTAGAAACTATTCTTTTTTTTTCTCCCCCAATTGTGCAGTTTCTATGGCTATATTCAATTCATTTACTTGTTGAATGCTCTTAACACCAAGGAAGATACTATAATATTACCAAACCAAAAAGAATCATGGACTTTCAGTCTCAATCAATTAGCGAACTCATGAAAAGAAGTTTACAATACGACTATTCCAACCTCACTCCTTACTCCACTTGGCTAGACATTGCAGATAGTTTTCTAGAACAAGCAATACAAGGGTTAGAAACTAGTAATTATGAGAAAGCATACATTGATTTGGCCCGGTTTATTGATTTAATTCTTAATAAGTTACCGCTTCATCCTGATTTTTATCCCAATGAAAGATATGAAGATTTCAAACATTCGGAAATCCCCGAGGCTTTGAAGACTACTAGGGATATCTTAAATAAACTCATGAAGACTAAAGAGAATTCCAGGACATTTAAGGTGACTTCAATGGGAATACCAATTAATGACCGTGCCGATTTGATGAGCTTTATTAACAATGAAAATTCAACCGCTTGCCAACATCAAGATGAAGATCAAAATATCTCCCAATTTTACTGTAGTTATCCATATGAAACCATGCTGCCTAATAGCCTCACAGTGAACAGTTTTGGAATCAATATTGCCAAAATTGATCATGAATATAATAGTGTCTCAAACATATCTAAATTTCAAACCCCCAATTCTTACTCAAGTTGTCAGGCAATGAATTATATACATTCAAGTCGTGATTTCCCAAACCGAGCCTCCGAGGAGGATAATTTTGCTTCACCATTAACCCCAGAACGCACCACTTTTGCCTTGGTTAATAATAATGATTATTCTTTACATGACTATAATGCGAGTATTGAACATAATAATAATAATAATCCTGATTCATCTTCAAGAGACCACAAAACTCGTGAACGACTGACAAGCTCGAGAAGAAGATCCAGCAGACAATCCAGTATGCGATACTCTTACCATTTTGATGATGACATGCTGAATAATTATAGTGATGAAAATGAGCTAATGGGTTTCAATAGTGGAAAAGTGGCTCAGAATAATCATAACCAAAATATTGAAGAGGCGATCGAAGAGATGGAAGGGAGCATATCTGCTTTGGAGACTTCATCAATTAATAATGATTCGGAACATAAGAGATGGTTTTTCTTTAGCTTCTGCTAAAAATGAAAAGTTGACAATCGGAAATAAATTAGAGTACAACGCTGTTGAGTTATGTTATTATCTTTTGAATTCTGTTTTTTTTTTATTTTTTCCTCTCTCTTTTTCCTTTCTGATTTCTTCTTATATATTTGACAACCATCTGTTTATATTACGTTTGTTATGAATTCTAAATTTTTAATTGACTCCTTTCCCATGTGATTTCACTATTGTGCTTAATAAATAATATCTACACTGTGGAGTGATATCTGCTTATTTCTGTAAATGCATGGTGAGCGCAATGTCAACCGGGGGCCCGCAGGTTTGGAGCTATGCCGCAGATTATAGATAAGGGCAGATCAAGCCACTTAGCAGGTCTTTTTTTTTTTTTTTTTTTAATTGTATACTTCTTTCTTTATTATCACGATTTTCGCCACTACTCATTCATAACTCTATAATTACCTATCCATATCCATGCTTTCCATTAGCGATACTACACCGGGGGTTCTTTCAGGCTTCTTGAGTGTTTGTGCCATCGTTTGCTGGATATTTGTGTTGTTTCCTCAGCAGCTACGAAACTACAAGCGTAAGTCCGTGAAAGGGCTATCACCTTACTTGTTATTGTTCCTCTTCCTCGGTGACTTTCTCAATATGATGGGTTGTATTTTGACCCACCAGCTACCATTCCAATTATATAATAGTTGTTACGCGGTGTCCAATGATGTTATTCTTTTATTTCAATACTGGTATTACGGAACCTATATTAAAAATCAGAATAAGCTCATATCGGAAAATGATATTTCTGATGATGCAAGCCTTTACAATGAGGAAATGATGGAAAACAGTATTGGAAGTCTCAATAGTAATCTTATTAGTTCAGGTTTGCTCATGGCTTCACAAATCACCACAGCATCAGCCATGCCAGTGAATACTGATGAAATTCTCATGAAATCATTATCTCAAATGACTATCGGTCGATTCATTGCTTATTGTTGTGCCTTTTGCTATATTACCTGCAGGTTACCCCAATTGCACAGAAACTATCACAACAAGTCAACCAGAGGCACTTCCCCATATTTCCATGGGCTTGCAATCATCGGCTGTGGCTTGTATGCATCATCTATTTTGACATCAAACCAGTTCTTATTCAATCACGATCCAGTTTCTAAATGGGATTTTTTCAACAATGAATTTCCCTACTTGCTCAGCAACTTTGGATCAATTCTTCTAGACCTTTGCTTCTTTTATCAATATTTCACGTATGGTGATCATTTGCGTGAGCGTGAAGTGGACCGAATTTTGGAAATCAGTGAAGCTACTGCTTTGCTCGGATGAGAAGACTCTCTAAGAAATTATTGTACAGTGCCTTATAAATCAATAATTTTCATTTTTCCTTTCATTCTATTTATTACTTTTATAGGTTTCCATTCATTTCACTTGTAAGTAACAAACTTGCATCGCATCGGAGGTTTCGGGATTCTAACGATTTTTTTTTTTTTTTTTGTATTTGTGGTCGGAAAAATAAAGGAAATTACCATTTGTCTGACAATTTGTAGCACTACCAGCTTGCAATCAATCTGTTGCGAGGATAAAAATGGCTGCAGAGTTTAGAAATATAGATATCCGTACTATGGGGATGTCAGAACTCAGAGATTATTCAGAGTACATGACAACCCTAGTGTTCATGATGGTGGGATACGAAGTTATGGAGTTAATTGAATACATCAAAACTGAATCAAAAGTCAACATGTGAGTTGAATAGATGCCATCGATACAGTTTCCTTTTGTTCAAGATAAAGTAATTCCCACTAACTTTTCATTTTTAGTTTGAAGAACATTATCTTTTATCATTTGGTTCTCAAATATTCCGTAAAGATCCTTCGACATATCTATGGATACGGAGTTATCAAGTCAGTTAAACAGCTCTATACCATGATTGCGAAGTGGATTTTCAATATTATTTTATCACTCCCTCCAGCAAAGAAACAGGTTAATAAAGAAGTTCAGAAAGCACTCGACAGTATTGAGGACACATTGGTGATCAGAGATCCAAACTTTAGATATTTCAATGAGTTGCCGCAACACGGATTGAGCAATGATGAAATCTTCGATGAGTTCGAGAAATATTCAGGCATGAAACATAACGATTGGGAGAATGGTAAAGTCAGTGGTGCTGTGTATCATGGGGGTAAAGAATTGATTTATTTGCAAGCAAAGGCCTTCGAAAAATATTGTGTTTCCAATCAATTACACCCTGATGCATTTCCAGGGTTAAGAAAGATGGAATCCGAAGTTGTTTCTATGTGCTTAAACCTTTTCAATGCTCCAGAAACAGGCTGCGGGACTTCGAGTTCTGGTGGTACTGAATCATTATTGTTAGCGTGTTTGAGTGCAAAAATGTTTGGAAAAAAACAAAAGGGAATCACCGAACCAGAAATCATTGCTCCAGAAACTGTTCATGCTGGTATCGATAAAGCTTGTTATTATTTCGGCATCAAGTTGCACAAAGTTCCTTTGAACAAGTACTTTCAAGGTGATATGAGATATTTCAAAAGATTAATAAACTCAAATACCATTTTACTTGTTGGATCCGCTCCAAATTTTCCTCACGGAATCATTGATGATATTGAAGCCTTGAGCAAATTGGCACTAAAATATAAGATTCCATTGCATGTCGATTGTTGCTTAGGGTCATTCATTGTGTCATATATGGAGCGTGCTGGATTGGCAGGGAAGAGCTTCCCTAAGTTTGATTTCAGATTACCTGGTGTTACCTCAATTTCTTGTGATACTCATAAATATGGGTTTGCTCCAAAAGGGTCTTCAATCATCATGTACCGTAATGAAGAGCTTCGTTCCTCTCAATATTATGTCTCTACTGACTGGATTGGTGGTCTTTATGGCTCTCCTACTCTTAGCGGCTCGAGACCAGGGGCCTTAATGGCCGGATGCTGGACAACAATGGTAAAACTTGGTGATGATGGTTACAAACAGACTTGCAGAGATATTGTTGGTGGTGCCCAGTACTTCAAGCAAAAAATCATGGATAATATTCCTGAATTACAAGTTATTGGCGATCCAATTCTTAGCGTGGTTGCTTTCGAATCCAATGAAGTCAATGTTTATGATTTAGGTGATCTATTGTCCAAGAAAGGCTGGCATTTGAGTGCTCTACAAAATCCTCCAGCGTTACATGTGGCATTCACAGTCTTATCAGCTGACAAAATAGATGAGTTGATTAACGAACTTCAAGTGGGTATCAAGCAACTTAAGGAAAACGGCTCGACCGCTGCCAAAGGCGATACTGCCCAAGTATATGGTACTGCTGGTTCTGTGAGTACAGGAGCTGTTGTCAACAGAATCATTGAAGGATTTATTGACACCCTCTATAAAGTTTAGGTTGCTACACAAAGTGTCATTTGACAAAATGTTTTTTTTTTTCTTTTTTAAAAAAGAGACAAGAATTGTCGAAACTCTGTTACGTTTATATATAACTTCTATAATACAAATGCCTTCCACAAGGATAATTATTTTGCTTGTACATCACGTTTGGTTCTTAGCATATCAGCGTATGTGTCTTGGTTACCATAGTTCAACTCAAATTCTGCCCAATCTTTCCAAAATTTATCAATGGCTTGTAAATTGGCCTTCTTATATTCTGGATGACTGATATTATAGTTAATGAATGCCACCCCAAATTTGAAGATCGCCCTTGCTCTATCAATTTCTTTCAATTCAACTTCCAAATTTTTGAATTCAATCACAAATCGTAACAACTCGAAACTTGGAAAATTGACCTCATCCTTCATTATTGTTTCAAATACCGGTCTAGCAGATTCAAGACCGTTAAATTTCGAAGTTTCAGATACGAGAATATCGTATACTTCTGATATTTGTTTGTAATTTTCCAAAAGTTTTGCGGATTCAAGACCCGACACTGAAGTGCTGGAAAAATAATTAGCAGGAACTGGCTCATCAGAATTAAGATGCAAGTGTTTAATACATTTTTTATAAATTGTTAATGCAATAGATTTGGCACCTTCTGATTTTTCAAAATTGGCATATTGCAAGTATAATTTCTTGCAAAGGTTGGAGGGGCAATCATTTAGTGACTGTTCGAATAAGTCTCTAATTCTTTCCTTGTACTGGAATTTCTTTCGAGAATACAAATCATTCGATTGAATTTTATTGTAGTGAGAAACTAGTTTCAGAATGTACAAGCTGGAAATCTCAAATTTGATTGGGTAGTAATTGAATTTTTCCAAACCCACTTCGAAAACTTGGAAGCTTTCATTGAACATTTCACGACTTTCAAGGAAATTGATGTAGTTAATGAGGATAAGTGGTGTCAAGATCTTCAATTTTAAGATCCATTCATATGCCCGGCGGATTCTATCAAGATCATCAGTTGATTCCACCAAGTCCAAATAAAATGACCACAACTTAATTGATTTATGAACTTTATGCTGGGCTACCAAATCTTCATTAAAGAAATTGACCTTGTCTTCAGGAATTCCCAATTGTTTAAAATCAGGAGCGGTGATGGCACTTTCCAATACTTTGATGGCTCGCTCGAGGCCTTCATCATCATCATCTGCGCTGTTGATTTCCATTTCAGCCCACGCAAAATAAATATCAACTAAATCATTGGCATTGATAAAAGGAACCTTAATTGCGCTGGAGTAGATTCTTCTTGCAGTGAGAATGTCATTGTTAGTTTCATAAGTCCCCGCATACTTGATCCAGATTTTTTCTAAACCCGATGTTTTGCCCATTTTTTGGTTCAAATTCTCAGATTCTTTCTTTTCAATTTCATTTTGCATACTTGCATCACCATCACCGGTTTCATTATCATCACCATCTTTGTAAAACTCATCAAAGTGTGCCTTAGAGGGCTTAATTTTCTTGATGGCGTCAACAAAGCAGTTCAATTGATCCTGAATTTGACCCTCCCTGTCAAATAAATCGATTTTTTGCAACCAAATAGCACAATTATTAATATCCTGCCGCAACAATATATCACAAATGTAATGTTTTCTATCACTAATCAATTTCTCAAATACTTCCATATTAATATCTAACAGAGAATTTAATTGACCAAGACTTTGCTGTAATGATTCATCTTCTGGGGATTTAGCAAGTAATTCTTCTTTAACACTAATCTTCTCTAAATAGTTCTTGATGAGGTTTTCTTTGAATTCTAAATAACTATCATAGATTAACTTGAAGTCTTTAATAGTCAAACAATTTTTCAAATACTTAGCAAATACATCGTCAGTTTTAATGAAGTTTTTCCTAATAATAAAGTATTTCGCTAATTTCACCACAATTAGCCCCAATTGATCTGGATAGGTGCCAATCAAGTTCGACAAAAAATTTTCCATTTTCTTATCATATTTCAAAAGATTCTGCTGGACTTGATGATCATTTCTTTGCGATGTTGACATGATTTGTTTGACGTGACCAGAAATACAACTAGAGTATTCTAAATGTACATCAAGTGAAGACTTCCCCTGACTAGAAACAAATTTCAGATCACTCAAAACATGATTCTCAAAAAGTCTGATTGCAGCACTGTAGTTACCAAGACCTATTAGCTTATCAATGATCTCTTCCAAATAATCGGGATGAATCTCAAGATACTTCAAATAAATCCGGGACACAATCACGGAAACTTCATGGTTTGCCTCCGAAAAGTTCTTAATCAATTTATCAGCAAACCCAATATACAAATCCCAAATGGCCTCATGTTGGGTTAAAGGTAGTGACCGCAACGCAGCATTAAATGTTTTTCTTATGAGCGCTAAATCATATAATTGATGATCTATCAAGAATTTTAAGTATTTCTGCCATATCACCGGGAATTTATGAAGGTTTACCAACCCTTGGTCAAATACTCCATTCACTGCTTTAAAATGCGATTTGTATTTTAACGGGTTTAAATCTTTGATCAAATCAATTCGTAGATTAACGTATAGCACAAATAGTTTATAAGACCTCTTTAAGTACCCACAACCTCTTTTCAAAATGAATAGTTGATATAAGATATTATTTTGTTTGCTTACTTCATCCTTGGTGGTGTTGTATTCCCTGACCTTGCAGCGATAGAAGTCCAACCATGTGTTCAAGTTCTCTGGCTCTTTTACGATACGAGTTTCATAAGATACCTCCTCATCATTCTGAACCAATGCAAACCCTATTTCCGGGGATAGATTGGTCATTTTCAATCAGCAAGAAATCTTGGGTTTCTTATATTTTCGAAAACAATCCTTTACAATAAACATCAGTATTGAGATACAAGCGTAATTTTTTTTTTTACTAATCGGCACCATCTCAACAGGGTAATGGATATTTTTCATGGGGAGTAATGAAATTGCCAATTTTATCTTCTACAGATATACAGCTTTGACACCCTAATTGAACCCCAATTGAATAACAAATTGCAACCATAAAATATGTCAGGCGCAGGTAATAGGTATGTCACTCGAATTTTATATCATAATTCTTCAAAACATTTACTTGGCCTTGTGTGGTGATTTATTAATGTGCTAAAATAATGACCAGCAATTTTTTTTTGTTTATCTGATATGAAAACCAGAACAACACAGCTAACATTCGAACAGAGAACAAGTCTTTCCAACCCGTATGACCTTAGGGCTCATGAAAACCAAGCTCAAGGGTGCGGAAACTGGTCATTCTTTGTTGAAAAGAAAGTCCGAAGCTCTCACCAAAAGATTTAGAGATATCACTAAAAGAATTAATGATGCCAAGTTGAAGATGGGCAGAATTATGCAAACGGCTTCTTTCTCTTTAGCTGAAGTGACCTATGCCACTGGTACCAATAACATAAGCTACCAAGTCCAAGAATCTGTCGGTAATAAGGCTCGTTTCAAGGTTAATGCTAAACAAGAGAATGTTTCTGGTGTTAAATTACCAGCTTTCCAGGCATTCATTGACGATTCTATTAATGATTTCAAAATGACTGGTCTTGGTAGGGGTGGTCAACAAGTCCAAAAATGTAAATTAATATACTCAAAGGCCGTGGAAACATTGGTGGAATTGGCGTCATTGCAAACTGCCTTTGTTATCTTGGATGAAGTTATCAAGGTCACCAATAGAAGAGTGAATGCCATCGAACATGTCATTATTCCAAGAACCGACAACACAATTAAATACATCAATTCTGAATTGGATGAATTAGACAGAGAAGAATTCTACAGATTGAAAAAGGTGCAGGAGAAGAAGCAGCAGCAATTGGAAGAAGCAGAAAGAGAAGAAGAATTGAAGAAACAAAAACTCATTGAAAAGGCGACTGCTGCTAAAAAGTTGAAGGAGGAAGAGGCAGCTAGAGAAGCAGAAGCAGCAAGAGTAGCAAAGGCCGCCAGAGAAGCAGAAGCAGAAGCAGAAGAAAAAGCAAAAGAAAAGGCAGAAGAAAATATTAAAGACAAGGCCGAAGAAAAGGAATCTGAGGAAGCAGAACAAGAAGAACAAGAAGAAACAAATGAAGAAGAGGCCACTGTGGATGAAAATGAAAAGAAAACCGAAGAAGTTGAAACAAAGAATACCACAACTTATGATGCAGCAGAAGAAGCAAATGATGTGCTAGAAATACAGGACAAAGCAAATGAAATCCCAAGTGACTTGATTAATGGTGATGACGATGACGATGTTATTTTCTAGTTGAACTTTTATTTTCCAGTTGAACTTTTAACGATTCTAGGGTTTTCAAACAGAATCCTGCAAAATGGTGCTTTGATATCCCCTATTTTGTCTTACTTTCCTACAATCTTAACTTTGCCGCTATTACCTAACTAATCCAACTAATTAAGCTTCTCATTACTATCGTCTTTTTTTTTCTCTTTTTTTTTTTTTGAGCTATTTACATATATTCACCACCTTTTTTTTTTTTTTTTCCTTTCGTTTTCTGCTACAGCAACGTTCCTCTCAAAATTTACTTGAATATTGGTGTCGGAAGAAACACCTTTACGGTTATCATATTATCAAACGTAGAACATAATGATATAACACAATATAATGCAATGACCTGGAATCTTTCTTTTTAAAAAGATCCTAATTCAACAACACATCCAATTCCCAATTTTACGAACTCTAATATCAAATCAAAGTTTAGTCTATCAATGGTATCCAAGGGCGAGTGAACAAATCTGTTGATTTTAGTGTACTCATCTTCAATGACCAAAGCACTAGGGAATCCAAATTTATCAGCACTTCCACTATCAGAACAAGCATATCCACATTTAGTTTCCACAAAATTGATGCTGCATACTTCGGTGATCATATATTTTATATAATCATTTAGAGATTTACTTGTATAATCTTCAACTACTCCGATGTGCAAAGGGGTTGATTGAGAATACCCAATTTGATCAAAATTTATCATTGCCATAACTGGTACATTTCGCTGATAGTAATCTTGAAAGATATCTTGTGATCCAAGCAAGCCCCCTTCTTCTGCGCTGTAGAAGTGGAATTCAATAGTATTTTTTAGATCTAGTGAGGAGGAAAGAATTCTTGATATCACTTCAAGCACAGTAGCAACAGCAGATGCACTATCATCAGCCCCAGGTGACAGAATATAACGAGGGAATAACAAATTCGTAGAATCAATATGGGATCCAAAAATCGTAATTTTATCATCCGGTTTCCCATAATTTGGCCCCTTAAAGGTAACTATCACCGAGTATTGCTTCCAAGAATGTGAAAATTTCAGACAAACGACCCTGTCTGAGAAATCTGATGTTCGAATCTTGGATGCTATTCTATCGAACAACCAGTCGGAACTGCGGAGCCCATGCTTTGAGTTATAATACCGCGAGTAGAATGATGATAATGTAGCGATATCAGCGTGAACAGACTGCATATCTATAAGTGAAACTAACTCAGTTATTAGACCCTTATTCACAATAGTTGCAGGATAAACAGAATGTTTCTTTGGTATCTGTTCCTTGTTATCAAATATTCCCGTTATGTCAAAAAAGTTGACGCCTCTAGACTTTAGAAGAAGCTTTGATGATTCTGATAGAGATCGGGTAGATCCGTCTTCCAACTGAATTGTTCTTTTCCTAAGAAGTACTTGTGGAATTCCATTCTCATTGAAGAGAAAATAACCGATAGTTATGATGGTCACTAAAACCAAGAATCTCCAGTGCCTTGCTGTCCATCCAACCATGCGAAGTAACCTAGTGAAGACGATTGATTAGATAGTTTCCTGAAAGACAAATGATCTATTGCAATAATTAACTGAAAGCAAAAAAATGCCCACCTTCAAATTTTCAATCTCGTTAAATAGAAAGAAATCAAATGTTATGATTAGTAGGAGCTACATATTGATACAAAAACGTGACTAGTCATTTTTTTCTCTTTAAAAAAAAACATCTGCAGATCTTTGCCATCTCAGCTTAAGCTTTACCTGATAGACTTTTTCAATTATATTTTTTTTAGTTGAATTAACTCAAAAAGATCAAAAACATTTCCGGTATAGAGAACCTCTGAGTTTCTTCATTTTTCCTTCTTTTCCGGGTTTAGAAAATTCTGTCTGTGGAAGTTATTTCGAAATGTCTGACGCAAATGGCCCCAACAATACTGCCGATGGAAGTTCTAACATTAGGGAATCTGAAAATAAAGGCAAAACCAATGGCGGGAAAGCCTCTTTGAATAACGGCAAACGGAAGTTCAAGAGCAATAGGAATAATGGGGGTCAAAACCGGGGACGTTCCCAGTCATCACGGAGTAACCAGGATCATTATAATGATTACGAAGATGATCTTATACACAATGAAATTATAAAAGGAGGATTGGGTTGGGGTAATGGTGGCCACAGAGGAAAAGGAGTTTCCATCAATCATTTGCTAGACTTTTCACTTCCTGAAAGGCAACAACAATGGAATGGCGGTCAGCGAAGGGTTCCAAAGAAAAAGAATCGGTTTGAACCGGTAGGATTACATTTAAATCCTGAACAGTTCATTAATGTGAATTATCGTTTCATCGTTGACCATCGAGGAAGCTATGAGAGCCAGAAATTGGATCCAAATATTCCGATTGAGAAACATAATATTTTGAGGGTTATCACTAGAAATGTCAATGCATGTCCTATATGTCTCGAAACAGAAGACTCGGTGGCAATCAGAATGGTCAGCTGTGGTCATTGTTTTTGTTATACCTGTTTATTAACTTACTTGGATCAGGAAGACGATAAGAAGAACAAGAAAGAAACACAAAATCCACACAGTAAGAAAATGTTGAAAAGTTGCCCATTGTGTGCTGTGAAAATTGAGCCTAGTGAGACTTTGCCTGTTCTATACGACCGTAACTCAATTGAGATAGATCAATTTGAAACCCCAAAAGTTCATGAGGATGCAATTTTGAGACTTATGGTCAAGCCTCATGATAGTATGGTAGCGTTACCTGCATCTATAAATCCGGACTTCAAGAAAGTGAGTGATATTCCCTGGTGTTGTGCTAAAGATGATCAAAAGAACCTCGATAGTAATATGTATCCGTACGCAAGAATCATGAAGGGAAATTTGGACTTTATTATTAATGAATATCAAAAGGAAATTGAAATGATTACTGAACAATTTTTGAATGACCAGGTTATGTTCGAATCGAACAATGACAAATATGTCAAGCAGGCAATTGAGAACATTCAAAGGGAAATCAAAAATATTAAGAGCTCATTTGGTGAAACTGAGGATTATGTATCATTTAGCCTGCAAAATATTATGGACCGGATGAATGATTTAAGCATTAATGAAAACAAAGCAATAAAATATGATATTGGAAATGCATATTTTTACTATCAAACAAGTTTCAACTCTCCAACCAAATATCTTTTGTCGACTTTAGATGTTAAAGTTCTTAGAGCTGTGTTTGCCGATTACTCCAATTTCCCATCAACCCTTGTGTTACCAGTAGAAAATATTGTCCATGGAGAGATTCTTACGGAACACAATGTGGGGAAATACAAATATATTTCCCATTTACCATTTGGTACAGAATTGGCATTTTTGGAAATTAATTGGCTACTAGGAAACAAGGATGATAAGAGTTTCAAGTTACCAAGTAATATTTACAGTAATTTCAAAAGAGAGATCCTTAACAGATCTAGGTCTAATAAGAAGCGATCGCAGATCGAAGAGCATAACCGGAAAGTTGCAGAGAGAAACTTGGAGATAAAAACCAGAGAGTTTTATGAACGAGAGAACGAGGCGTTTTTCCACCCTAGGGGTCAGTATGAATTGAACAATTATTATGATTCACCTAACAGTGAACATCGTGGTTTAGAAAACTACATTTCAACTGATGACTTCACCCCATTGTCTAATGGTGAGGAACATTCAATTGATCAGACAAAGCCGGATGAGAACCCTACAGAATACACAACTACAGTATGGGGGACAAAAATCAAGAAGAGTGTCGCCGAAGAAAATGATGATGATGAGTATGACGAAACAGGAATTAGAACCGATGATATTCTTAAGAAGATTGAAGAGCAGAAAGCCAATTCGGATAAAGGACCAGGTAAGAAGAAAGGGAAGAAGAAGAAGTTGGTTTTGCTTACAGGCAGCTCCAGAGGATCATCTTGACGGCATTGATTATTCTTTGCGTTTGTTAGGCTCCTGGATTTGTAAAATAACCTACATTGCATCGAATTGCAATTAAAAATCCTACGCTCGGATATAATAACCAATTACTTAAAACCCGTGGAGGTATTCCTTGAAAATAATAGCATTAATTTTATTGCCCTTTTTTTTTTTTTTCCTTTTATTATCATAACGATTTATAACGAAGCATTTATAACCGAATTTGTGTAGTTGCAACTGTTTTGTATCCACCAGAATTGGGGCTTCTTCTCGTCCCCGGGAAGCTCGGTTGGCTCGGATACCGGGAATAGCTGTAGAGAACCGAGGTGCCAATAGTAGTAGCGACACGCATTTTTTTTTTTTTTTTTCTTTTTTTAGAGTGCCTGCAAAAAATTTACTGATCTGGCAAAACCTAGATTTGTAATTGATCTGAGTCTGTCTCTGTTGCCACACCCTTAGAACAAAAAGAGATAACCTCTTCGGAAATAGCTGGATTCTATTTCACTTACTATTCTCTGGTGAATCATACCGTTGCTCTTTTGGTTCTTTAGCGAGTCCTCATAAACAGTACTGCCACTCTTTTTTTTTTTTTTTGTTTTACGTGTTACTTGGGGTACGCCATACGGGAAACATAAAAATTTCATCATTTCAGCAAATACATTAAAAAACAGTGAGTCAAATAACTTATATGAACTTCTTCTCCATATTCAGCTTAGCCACTCATTAACTAAATCTTCGCCGATTACCGTTCGAAAAAACAAAAACATACACACACACACACACACACGCTCTTCCTATTCCGATTCCAACTTTGCAATCTCATAGTTATACACATAAATATCTCGAAGGATGCCTACTGCTGGGAACAATAATCATAATGTCAATAATAACAAAGGTTTCACTAGGGATTTCCGAGAGTCTCTAGTTAAATCGCCGAACTACAGCAACCCTTTTGAATCAAGGGTCGGCACAAACAACAACTCCGAAAATGACGACAGTGATGCCGACAGTTTTGAGTTCCACGAGAGATCTTTTGATGAAAACGACAATAATAATGATAATATTATCCGGAACAACAATAATAAAGACAGTAGAAGGAAATCAGGGGTCTATAATGCCCAAAATACTGATGCCGAGTATGGCTTTTCTCAATCTGTGACATCACCAACAGTTTCCGAATTTTCATTTAGTCAGCGAGAACATTTTGACCCCGGTAATTTTGAGCCACCAAGAAAAAATCTCACAAGCAAGCATCAGATAAATACTTTCGGGCTAGGGAGTCTAAAGGAAGACGAATCAGTCGTCAGCTTTAATCGTGAACCTATGGAATATTCTTTATCCGAAGTGGGAACAACTAATGGAAGCTTAAGTGACGCAAGTAATCATTTGGCAAGAAACGGGACAATAATGAAAAAAAGTCGATGGGGTACTCAACGACATAAGTCAGGTAAACCAAAGAAACCTGTCAGGGCCAAAACCTTGCGTTGGAAACAGGATCCTGAAGGCATGGGAAGAAAAAATACTTTCAAAAAAACTTCCGTGGCCAGAAAATCGTCGGGCAATTCTGAAAAGCACTGGTTGGGCCATCAGAATACTGATAATAATATAAACTCAAATGATGATGACAATAAAGACGAAAAGAATAGAAGTTCGGAATTAAGAAATATCTACTTTAATTCCCCACTACCGAGAGAAATGGTAGATGATGAAGGTCTTCCAATTGTTGACTATGCCCGTAACAAGATCAAGACAACTAAGTATACTCCACTCACGTTTATTCCTAAAAATCTTTATCTTCAATTCGCCAACATTGCAAATATTTATTTCTTGGTCTTGATTATCTTGGGATTCTTCTCAATTTTTGGGGTTCCCAATCCTGGATTATCTACTGTTCCATTGATTGTTATTGTGTGTCTTACGGCAATCAAGGATGCGATTGAAGATTCAAGAAGAACTGGATCGGATATGGAATTGAATAATACCATCACTCATATTTTAAAAGGTATAGATAATCCTAATGTTTCGACTGACAACGTATCACTTTGGAGAAGATTCAAAAAACTAAATTCGCGATTATTATTCAGATTTATTGGTTTCAGTAAAAGTTTGTTTAATGAAGAAATAAAGGAACAAAGAAGACTTGAGAAATTGAAGAAAGAGAAAAAAATTGATGATGGTGCCATTGACCAGCGCAAATCCTTCGAGAGTTTCGAAACTCAAGCGCCTTATAATAATGGTAAGAGTATTCCAATGGAAGAGCTCAAATCTGTCAGAACAAGTGATACAACTTTCATTAGTGAACAAAAACCAACGAACCCTTTTGCAGGACCATCAGTTATTGACAAGTCTTTACCAACAAACGGACGCGCCCGTTTTGAAAAAGGTTATTGGAAAGAAATTGGCGTTGGGGATATCATCAGAATTCATAATAATGATGAAATTCCTGCCGACGTGGTGATTTTGTCTACCGCTGATGGTGATGGTGCTTGTTATGTGGAAACTAAGAATTTAGATGGTGAAACCAATTTGAAAGTCCGACAGTCTTTGAAATGTACCGCTGATTTAAAGCATTCAGTAGATTGTGAACAAGCCAAATTTTGGGTAGAAAGTGAAGGTCCTCACGCCAATTTATATTCTTATCAGGGTGTTTTCAAATATCATAATGATGATGGCGAAGTAGTGAATGACCCAATTAATATCAATAATATGTTACTTAGAGGGTGCTCTTTAAGAAATACAAAATGGGTTATTGGGATGGTGATTTTCACTGGTGATGACACCAAAATTATGTTGAACGCAGGTGTTACTCCAACGAAAGTTTCCAGAATATCAAGAGAGTTGAATTTCTCAGTTCTTTTAAACTTTGCTTTACTTTTTGTGTTGTGTATTATTGCCGGGATCGTTAATGGTGTGTATTATAATAAGTCTTCGGTGTCGCGGGATTATTATGAGTTCGGTACTATTGCCAGCACGCCGACTCTCAATGGTATTGTGACGTTTTTTGTTGCCGTTATTTTGTATCAATCTTTGGTTCCAATCTCGCTTTATATTTCCATCGAAATTATTAAGACTGCTCAAGCATTTTTCATTTACTCAGATGTGAAAATGTATTATGATAAATTAGATTTTCCATGTACTCCGAAATCTTGGACTATCTCAGATGACTTGGGTCAGATTGAGTACATCTTTAGTGACAAGACTGGGACGTTGACCCAAAACGTTATGGAATTTAAAAAATGTTCGATTAATGGAGTTTCTTACGGTAAGGCCTATACTGAAGCCTTGGCCGGGTTGAGAAAAAGACAAGGGATTGATGTGGAAACCGAAGGTGAAATTGAAAGAGCTGCAATTTCCAATGATAAGGAAATCATGATTAATGAGCTACACAAATTAGGTAAAAATTCTCAATTGATTGAAGATGAAATCACCTTTATTTCTAGTGAATTCGTTAAAGATTTACAAGGAAATAGAGGGGACGAGCAAAAGAGGGCCACTGAGCATTTTATGCTTTGCTTGGCTCTTTGTCATTCCGTGTTAGCTGAACCTGATAAGAAACATCCGGGCCGTATTGCCTTGAAAGCCCAATCTCCGGATGAAAGTGCCTTGGTAGGTACTTCCAGAGACGTTGGATTTGCATTTATTTCCAGAACTAAAAAAGGTGTAATCCTTGAAGTTCATGGTGTTCAAAAGGAATTTCAAATTTTGAATACTTTGGAATTCAATTCTACCAGAAAGAGAATGAGTGCCATCATCAAAATCCCTGCTAAAGATCCTAATGGCAAACCAAAAGCATTATTAATTTGTAAAGGTGCTGATTCGATCATTTATGGTCGGTTGAAAAAAGAATCGGATCAAAAATTGTTAGAAAAGACGGCTTTGCATTTAGAACAGTACGCCACAGAAGGTTTAAGAACTCTTTGTATTTCTCATAAAGAAATTGAATGGGACGAATATCTTGCTTGGAATAAGCTTCACGAAGATGCTTCTGCTGCCATTGAGGGTAGAGAAGAGAAAATGGAAGAAGTTGCTGATCAAATCGAAAGGGAATTGATTTTACTTGGTGGTACCGCTATTGAAGATAGATTACAAGACGGGGTTAGTGATTCCATTGCTCTTTTGGGCAGAGCTGGTATTAAGCTTTGGGTCTTGACTGGTGACAAAGTTGAAACAGCCATCAACATTGGGTTTTCATGTAATTTATTGAACAATGACATGGATCTTCTTGTCATTAAAGACAGTGGTGAAGATGCGGAAAAGTTATCAGGAGAAAGGGCTCCTCAGAAAGTTGTTGCTGCGTTGATCGACAAATACTTGCAAGAGAAATTTCTGATGACTGGTTCTATGGAAGAGTTACATTACGCCAAAGATGACCACAACCCGCCAACTGGTAATTTTGGGTTAATCATTGACGGTAGTGCTCTCAAAATTGCATTAAACTCAAAATTGAGAATGAAGTTCTTATTATTGTGTAAACGATGCAAAGCTGTTTTGTGTTGCCGTGTTTCTCCAGCTCAAAAGGCTGCAGTGGTCACCTTGGTTAAGGAAACCCTTGATGTTATGACTTTGGCTATTGGAGATGGTTCTAATGATGTTGCTATGATTCAATCTGCTGATGTTGGCGTGGGTATTGCTGGTGAGGAAGGTAGACAAGCGGTTATGTCTTCAGATTATGCAGTTGGTCAATTCAGGTTTTTGGTTAGATTATTATTAGTTCATGGTAGATGGTCATACAAACGGTTGGCAGAAATGATTCCATGTTTCTTTTTCAAAAACGTCATTTTCACGCTAGCATTATTTTGGTTCGGGATTTACAGTAATTTTGATGGTTCTTATTTGTTTGAGTATACCTATTTGATGTTCTATAACTTGGCATTCACTTCTTTACCAGTCATTTTATTAGGGGTGTTTGATCAAGATGTCAGCGATGTTATCTCTCTCTTGGTTCCACAACTATATAGAAGTGGTATCTTGAGAAGCGAATGGAGTCCTCATAAATTCTTATGGTATATGTTTGACGCGTTGTACCAATCTGTGATTTCGTTCTTCTTCCCATATCTCGTGTATTGTAAAGGTGGGTTTATTGGTTCTAATGGGTTAACATTGATTCATAGATACTGGATGGGTTCATTTGTGGTGGCCATTTCTGCATCAGCTTGCGATATTTACATCTTGATGCATCAATATAGATGGGATTGGATTTCTTTATTGTTCTGCTCGTTATCGATTTTAGTGATTTTTGGTTGGACAGGTGTTTGGTCTTCTAGCACGTATTCTGGAGAATTTTACAAGTCTGCCGCCCAGATATATGGAGCTACTTCATTCTGGGCTTGTTTCTTTATTGGGATCGTTATTTGTTTATTACCTAGATTCTCCTATGACTCGTTGCAGAGATTGCTTAATCCTAAGGATATTGATATCATCAGAGAATGTGCGGCTCGTGGTGACTTCAGCCAATATCCTGATGATTACGACCCAACTGATTTGAGCAAGAAAAAAATCAGCAAATATAGCCAAGATGCTTTCACTGAAAACCAAATGAAGTTCAATGATTCTGCTGATATCGAGGTAGGCACGTATTTGGATGATGATAGCCGGTCAGTGCACACCCAGGAGATTCAAATGGATTATATTGATAATTCTGGAGGAAAGAAGAATTTGACTGAAAGAATCGCCAACAGCGCTACCGGAGTTTTCAATAGAAACAAGGGTAAGGCAAAAAGTCGTGGTAGAACCTCGTTAGACTTTACTCGGTCAGAGATGTTGGGCAATGATGAATTGGAACCAACGATGTCGTACGTTAGGGGAAGAGCATCTTTGGACATTCCAGGGGTGAATGTTGCCAATCAATTGATTGCCACTAGAAGTAGGTCGAATAATCAGTGATTTTTTTTTTCTAGGGATGACCAGTTTTACTATAACTATATTGATTATTATTTTCGAAATTTGTATTATTTTTTTAAATGTTATGTTATATTTTTTTCTTTCTCTTCTGTTTCTTCTGCTGTAGCTTACTACTTTTGTAGGTAGAAAGGGATCTCCGCATGATGACATAGTATCATTTCTTGGATATCTATGTTAGAATTTAGTGAGTGGGTGAAATGAAACCAATTGCTTGATTGAATAATTACTCAGCTCTTGCGATCAAAGAGTAATTAAAACAGGAAATAGAAAAATATATTGCTATTATTTTGGCAGTCCAACTAGATCTAATCTAATAGGGCATAGGGTGGAACAAAAAATAAATGGAAAAGGACAACATAGGGATTTCCTTTAATCATATAGTTGCAATATACCATCCTAACGGGGCCTTTAAAGTCACGTGTATATCGGGGTACATCTGAAAGGCAATTTTGTGGAGAGCATCATCTTCAACCACGATCAAGTATCCGATTGATTAATTCAAAGATGAGCCATATTCAAGCTATACCATTTAGACTTGTTGGTATGTGTTTATTTATTTGAGCTTCCTGTTTGTTGCAGTTTTTTCTTGTCTTTTTCACTAACCTCATTGCTCAGGTGATCCAGGGATTCTTTCTGATGAACATGATGATGTTGATTTGGTCCTTTTAAAGGCACAGAAACTGGCATTATTATATGCTTTCCCTAATGAGCGGGATAAGGTGAGCCATATAGATATCAATATTGTTATTGCTGCAGATGGCATGTTTTACTTAAACAGGACTCTTAAAGAGCGAGAATTGGATCGTTCGTACCGTGCTTTGTCCGATGAAATGCTGCAGAATATTAGCCTTGAGCAATTCAGAGAAATATTTAGAAGACTATTACTCCATTATGATAAGTCAGTCGAGGATTACGGATTGGACGAAGAAAATATGTTGGGAGGCTATTTTTTGGAATCGGAGCTTATTGTCCTTCCTGGAGGGACCAGTCATTACAAATTATGGCTCAACATGAGATCGAAGGGGAAGAAGAACCCATCCCCGGTTAAATCAGAAAGGAAAAGCGTTTTTTCATTTCTCAGTGTGGATAAACATGTTTGTGAATTCACATTAGGATTTGATGATGAGTTGGTTGATTCCAAAGGGGATCCGATTGATACTGATGAGCTTCCGGGACTGACTGGATATGCTATTGCGTCGTGCGAGGAGAACAAGAGACATGTTTTTGACAAATTGAAATACCAAATTACTCAGAAAGTACAAGATAGGAAAATAAAAGAGTTAACGGATAGCGTGTCAGCAATAAAAGATCAGTACCAACAGGACTTGGCCAAAGTGCAATATACTGCCCTCAGACTTGTAAATTCCAAAAAACAGATGATTGCTAAGTTAATTGAATTTTTAGAAGGAGCAGATATTGACATTGATGATAATGAAGTTATTGAAATTATCAATGATAAAGATGTCTTACATTCCAAAGTCCAGAAAACCATTATTGATGAGGACGAGGATGAAGAGGATGATGAGACTATGAGTGAAGGGGAGGAACCAACGGGAGAATCTTCACAGGGTAAAAACGGAGCGAAAAAAAGAAAAATGAAAACAAAATCAAAGAAGAAAGACAAGCCTGAACTCTCTAGAAAGATCAATCCATTCAGGAATAGGGTGATTACTCGAAAGAAGGAGGTTCCATTCTCCATGAGCTCAACGAAATCTGGGTATGAAGAATATAGCGATGGAGAAGGGAATAAAACTGAGGCTAGTACCAATGCTAGTGAGAGCGCTAGTACAGAAGTTTCCTCCTCAAATGAAGATGAACTAGAGCTCCATGAAATGAACCCGATAAAAAGAGCAGCTGCCAGCCAAGAGAAATCGCCTTCTAAGATTCAATTCAGACCAAAGTATAGCACTACTGCCAATGATTTGGGAAAGAGAAAGTTGAAAAACGAGTTTCAATTTGCCCATGGAAAATTTAAAGAAAAGAAAAAGGAACGAGTCATTGACCAGGATGGCGATGAAGACATGAGTGTACTTTCATCGGAGCAGGATACTAGTCGCATAAACAATGGAAAAACTGAAAGCATTGCTGAATGCGACGATGGAATGACAGATGTCTCAACCTCTGAATCAGATGGAAATTGATCTTATTACTTTATAGCCTTTTTTGTTGTTTCTTTTCGAATGCCGTTTACGTATTTATTATTGTATATTAGTTGTATGTTAATGAGACTTTTCCTATTTTTATATCCCTGATGGAGAGACATATATATTGTAAGATAACCACTATAAGGAAGCTTTTCATTTGAATTACTTCTAAATATCTTGAAGTTCCAGTTCACATTGTTAGTGATTTGAAATGACAAAGAAGACTACAGCTATATTGAAACCGAGGGACCAAAGTCAGATTGTTAAAAAAAAAAAGTTTTTTTGATTCGCTTCTGAGACCATTATTTTGACCGATTTTTACCGTCACCATTAATCCTGGATTGAAGAATATTAGTTGACTCCGGGGATTATGGGTCTCTCAGCAAACCATGTAATTTATTTTTAAATATAATTATATATAAAAATGATAAGAGGGTGATTAATAATTAAGCTGTAAATTATTAGCAGTTTTTGGAGGAAAATGTATAGCAATAATAATCTAATAGTATAGTGATAATAATATAACGTGGGTTGCGTCACGGCCATCTGAGACACATAGCTGGCTATAGCGAAAACTTGATAATGTTAGGCCTGGCCCACGGAGAAAGAAAACACAGTAAAAGAAACAACAACAACAATAACATGAGAATTAGAACACTGTGTTATTTATAAAGTATCGACATGAAAATGATCCAGCATCCAATGACGGAAATAATCAAGGTACGATAAGAACCCACCTTCTGCTGATTCATTTACCAAAGGTACGAATTTCGAGCAGTATCCGCATTTGGCACCGTACTTCAACTTCAATTTAGGATTAAAAGTCGGGGTGGCTTTTCTTAGTGGGGACTTTAGTTGCGGTTCACAGTTAAAACAGTTATCGTCTAAAATGACGAGTCCTGATTCGTCTGAGTAATCATGGTCTTCTTGGTACTTTAATTGCAACGAGTTCCGCCGCCGATCTTTTTTGGAATAGTTTTTAATGGAAAGGTTGTAATTATGACAGTCAGATGGGATCATCAACTTGAAATAACCAAATTCATAAGGCCTGTGGATATCTTGACCTTTGATATCAAGACCTAATTTCTCAAAGTATTTGGAAATATATTTTTCATTGGGGAAATTGGCTGGCCCAAGGTCATAATTGGGGTCTATTGGCAGTAACTGGTCCCAAGGAATGATGAGTTTGTAAAAATGACTGAACTCGTAGACGTTGGTGAATGGCAGATCAAAGTTCCTAGAAAAAGAATCGGTATTGTTGTAGTATAGTAATGCCATGAGGATCAGTTTCTTCAGTTTCCGCAGTTTTGTTGGTTTGAACGAGGGGCTGCTGGACGATGTTGTTGATGTTGTCGATAATGAAGATGAGGTCAGCCTTCTTGTTGATGACGTTGGAGGTGATTGGTGGTTTGTATATGACTGGCTGGTGTATTGGCCAAACTTTGGAAACGAGATCATTTTGAAACTGCGATATGGAGGGCTGTATTAAAAAATAGTGATTAAAATGGACAATAATAATAATAATGCCAATAAGAAGAAGAAGTGCCTAGCGTATATATATACATATATAGCACAAAGCATACCTTGAAAAAGGGCTAAATGAATGGATGCTTAACTAAATCGATGGGTCAGCCGACCAAGTCAAAGATTTACGGATCAGCAACGCAAACAAAATTAGGGCGAATAGAAAGCAGACAGAGATAATGTTTCAGGATAAGAAGAAGAAGAAGAAGAAAAAAAAAAAAATAGCCAAATAAATACACCTCCGTCAAATATATATTATGGCTGACCCGGGGAGGATTTTATCTCATTTCATTTCTTTTTATGGGCATCTTATTTGGGGCGCTTTTTTTTTTGTAGGGAAGAAGCCGAGTGTTTGTTTTGGCTGAGGTGAGACACCGCCGTGTGGGTGGTTGAGAAATCTTTCTTCTGAGAGAATTCATGTCAATACATTGCAACTGTTGCAAATAAGGAAACAAAGCAGTGTATATTCATTCGAAACAACCCCATTCTGTAACCCGCTGGCTGGCCACCATGGTGATCACCTCTGGCTTATCAATAATCACCGCTTCGCTCATGTTGACTTGACACCGACAACACCCGCACTATTGGTATACCATTTCCTGATTGGGAATATTAGTATACAAGTCAACTACGGGTATCCGTAACTATAAACCATGTCTGTACTCAGGTCTGTTGTTAGATAAAGGGTCAGTTTCACGTCTCATCTGGTATGCTCGGGATACATACGCATACCTTCCCCGTCTGGCCTAGAATATAGATAATAATAAACGCGAACTTGTAATTGATCAATAATCAAAGGAAACTAATGCCCAGTTACGAATTTATGATAGTACATGAAATGACTGTGCAGCGATTAAAAGAGGAATACCAATGATGATTCCAAGATGAAGAACTTGTCAAGAAAATGAAGAACATGAAAACGTTAATAAAAAAAAAATAAGAACATGAGAAACAGAAACGTACCAAAAGTCTATGATGTAATAATAAAAAAAAAAAAGAAACTCAAATGAAATGACAGCGAATAATTAAAAATCTTAATTCATGAGAAGAAAAAATGATAAGGTGGCGGAAACACGCCATCAAAAAAATCATCGGTGTAACTTTCTTTAACAGAAATTTCTGGCAATAGATCTTTTGTGCTCACGAAAAAACAAAACACCTTGATATATGATTGAACAAAATATAGAATTAGAAAAGATTCCGAAGATTCATATTTGAGAGGCTCTGCTTTATAGACTTCTTTCCATTTTCATTGGAAGCCCCGTTATTAATTTTATCTTCTCCGTTATTTATGACTGGGTTCTGGAGGTTGCTGATTTTTCTCTTCTTTTGACGTGCTGGGTGATACTTCACACGATTATTGACAATATCAGAATATGGGTTCCCAGGATCAAAATAGAATGGACATACATCAACCAGAGAGGTACCAGTAGATGAGATCATGGAAGACGAGCTTGACTCATTCAACCCATACGGAGATAATCCAGAAGTAGCAGAACCAGAAACAGCAGAGCCACAACCAGAGACGGAATGTGATGCCAGTGGAGAAGGGCTATGAGATGTTTTCTCGACAGCAAGCGAAGACTTTTTATGTCTCAAGTAAGTCATATGATTGCCTTTGGAGTTATGATGGATGGTTAGGTTATTTGATTTGGAAGATGTGAAACCCGAAATCTCTTTTGTAAACAGTGATATGCTTGGTTTGATAGAATTGCTGGTAAATTTATTAATTTGGGCGTTGATACTTTTGAAAGTCATCAGCAATCCATGTGGCAGAATTTTTTGATTTTCATATTCTAAAGAATCATTTCCATTTGTACCAGCGCTACCTGTGCTGTCCATACTGTCCATGCCATTTTTTTGGTTAGCAGGCAATGTATCACCAGAGACATCCTTCATATTGAAGAGTTCCTGCCCATCGCAAACAGGAGCAACAATATCAATCTTAGACTTGGAGGTCAAAGGTGTTTGATTATTAGCGCAAATAGTTGCTGTAGTGTTGCTATTGATTTTAGGCTGCAAGTTTCTTCCTAAGAGGGTATGATCACTTACCAAATCACTCTTGTCTGAAGTTATAGAAAATACCTCGAAAAGAGATTTAACATTCAATGATGATCCAAGAGACCGGAGCTGAGGTGTAGAAAATTCATTTTTGAGAGATGCAGATTGCTGGTTATCAGTAACTGACACGCAACCTGATACATTGCTTGAATCATTTTTAAATTCACATGCCTCATCATCATTAACAACGGGCTCTGGAGCTTTGAAGTAATCTGACTCAAGAGGCTTTAGATTTTTGTTATTAAGGGAAGATCCATCAAATGTAGAAGGAATCAGAGGACTAGCTGGTTCAGACCTCTTATTAAAAAAATTGAGCCCTTTTGGAGCAGACGGCCAATATAAATTTGTAAGAGCGGGTGAATTAATAGGAGAGTTAGATGGCATTTGAGCAGGATCACGATTGAGATAAGTGTTCATGCTCTGGTCAGTGGCATCCTCAAGAAATTTATTATTATTAAGGAGGAAATCCCTATGTTGCATTGGTCCCGATGAATTATTTCGTGAATTTGAAGCTAAAGACAGTTGACGAATTTTTGACAAATTATCAAAAGAAAATGACAGATTGACATCTGATGGAGTTGGAGAACTAAGTGATGTGGTGGTGTTGTGTGAAAAGATTGGGTTTAGATCGTCACGTACCAGAGATGAAATGGTGGATTTGGGATAATCTTCTAGATACTGTTGAGGAAAAATTGGTTGAGGTGGAGCCAGATTATTGATTTGTGAATCTAATTGTTTCTCATCTTCACTGAAGAAATATTCCACCTCATTATCATGAATCCTGGAAGATATCATTGCTTCTTGAAGATGCTTTACTTCATCATCTTCCTCTAAAATACCGCTGTTTAATGATACAGAGGAGTCATCTAAGAAAGCAGTAATACGAGAATACCCTTCCGCAGTGAAAAAGTCAACCAGATTGCTATCATCATCAGAATCAACATTATGTGAGATATCGAGTTTCTTTGCTGCGGCAGTAATGGCGGTTTGTTCATCTGGATTTTCCTTTGAAAATTTTAGCCCATTGTGCTTATCATCAACATTTTCATTTTTCATTTCCAATTCAGTACCTCTGGTATCTTCATCACAAGCAATTAGATCTTGGATATTGCCGACACTGCTAGTTGTTGATATATGATTATAACGAGGATTTGTAGATGTATTATTGGTATATCTAGAAACTTCAGTATCATCACCATCACCCAAAACTATGGTAGTATTGGTGGCTAGCGATGTTCGAGCGCCCCGGCTTGATGTTGTCATGAGGCGATGTAACGATTCGTTTCTAGAAAGGCTGGATGATGACAAAAGACGATGTAATAAATGAGTTGGTTGTGTTGAATTTGAGTTTTCTGGCAATTTATGAGGAGTCGATTGAGGAGTTGAGTCTTTGGAGGAAGTAACAAGAGGTTGTTCAGGTTCCGGAGGCTGACTGGCCTGTAGATTGTCATAAATGACCTGGACGATATCATCTACGTTTCTTTCGGAGTATCGGAGAGCATTTTCTGCTAAAAACTTGTAGTAATAGTTACCATAACTCAGATCATCCGCTGATATAAACATGAATGGGCGAAATTCGGAGCTAAGATCCTGGTCATAATAATAATCAAAAACTTGAGGAGGAGCCCATTCAGAAAGACGTTGAATATTTTCGAGATACGCCATGTCACGAATGACAATCTGGTTCAAAAGGCCCAAATCTTTGAAGTAAGCGCCAACAGCCTGCTCAGACTCAGAATAAGATGGAAGACTATTGTCTATATCATCTATTGGTTGCTCGGGAAATATTAGTTGGCCATGTGAAAGTTGAAGTTTTGGATCTAGTTGATGATAAAATAAATCGTAGCCTGTGTCAAGAATAGGAATCGTATCATGGTCATATGGAGAACTTGGTGTTTTCGATGTGCCAGTTTCTTTGAGGATTTTTGGTAATTGTTTACCCACTGCATGGGCATATCTTATAGCGCTAATAAGTGATGCAATATCAATTGTTCTTCGGCGAGATTTAGATGATATTAGAAGCCTAGAATAAGATAACCCCAAGTTCAGGTTTTGGGCATGGAACAATATCTCAACCGACGAATCAGGATTGCCAATCAGGCATTTTTCAACCTGTTTTATTGGTAGCCCAAAGGCATAGGAAAGCTGGAAAGATTTCTCGGCAAATGGGATGACAATAATTCTGAGGGTCGTAAGATAAACAAGACAATATTGATGATCAGATTTTGCATAGAAGTCGAATAAACAAGATGGCGAAGGTTGTTGCAGAATTTCTTGGAATGGTATAGAAATACCTAACGAGGAAGGATTCGTGGGTAGTAAAACACACAGCCTTACTGGAGTGAGCTTGAGGATAAGCTCCTGGGGAAAAAGGATTGGTTTGGGGATAGCAAAGCTCATTGAAGGAGCTGAATATATATGGTACAAGCCGGAGAGTGATGGTCCAAGATGCTTAATTAACGAATGAGCTGTGTGTCCATAAAATAAATAACGAAGGATAGTGAAAGAAGATGGTAAAGATTGAAAGCAACCAAACAAAGATGTTTTCTATAATACAACAACTTCCATGAAATGAGTGAAAGGAGAGACTGTGGAGCGGTTGTGTTGTTGCTGGACGTGTGAGTATGTTATGGATTAAGGGCGGATTCCCTCTTTAAAATCTTTGGTTTATGTCCATGGCACCCTGAAACAACTAACCGCGCTACATACACTACAAGAGCAACCAAAGCTTGTATTTCTCTCATGAAAGAAGGCGAATTGAATAATAGAGAAAAAGATATATATATATATTACAGAACATTTATGAGTACAAGTAGATCATTTAAGAACAACGTTGGCGTTTCTGAGCTCCAAGTATTGCTGGTCCACCCCTTGGGCCATGGTGCGCACTACCTGGTAAACTTCGGCGTTGGCAAACCGTAGTCCACTCGATGGGGCCTTGTAGTGTCCTTTGAGCCCAGTGATATCGCAATAATGTTTTTGTGGTCTCAACGGTGGGTATGCTTCTACTGAGAAGTAGGTAACGGCGTCAACAGGAAGGGTGAGTGTGGCGAGTCTCTTTTGTTCATCCAGAACCAACTGACGATGAGGCTTGTGACGACGCAGAGGATTGTATTTTGGGTTCTTGAACGACAAGGGCCGATTAATGGCAGCAGAAACCACCGTATCACTGAGAGAGGACATCTTTTTGTTTAGTTTAATTGCAACACGTCCTATTTGGAAGTTCCCGCGTTCTGTCATCGGTCCAGTTTGAAGGGATTTTTTTCCCGTCCTTTGGTTATGAGCCTTCTGAGCTGGGCGATAAAATATCACTGACGCTGAAAGAAGAAGTAGCAGTAGCAGAACGACTCATCAACAGAAACCAAACGAGTTAATATAGCACAACACTACCCGCAAAGAATCATCCTGAATGATTGCGCAATTTATTTGTGTGGCTCTTGCACTATTATGGCTCTGGTCCCGGCTTCGCGCCATCTACGCCATCCCAATTATCAAGCTTATAAAGGGTCTTGCCGTCAATGTTCCTCGAGTGCCTATCGTTTCTATCAACGAGCTCACTCCTTCCAGAGTCTCCTTCCGTTGGGATCCAACCTTTGAATCTGGAACTCATCATGAAATTCATCTTAATGGAGCATTAATTGGGGTTGCCGACTACAATCAAACCAGTTGTGTGTTACGAAGTTTGCGTCCGGATTCCTTTTATCAAATCGACGTTGTGGCCAAGAACTCTGCTGGTTTCAGATCAAAAAGTGCCACTGTTTATGTGAAAACTCTTAGGTCCAGCGCCTATGTTGCCAATGGTCTTGAGAACCCAAAAAATATTGTGACTTTCTTGACTACCGACTCGCATCTTGACGTGAAGCGTCACGGCGCTGCCAATGCTTTCCGATCAAGATCAAATACTCTCATGGCTGTTGGTGGGATTTCGCCCTTAGTCATTGCAAATGGCCATGGTAATGGCACTGTAACCCATTCTCTGTCAAAGGAAGATATACGCGAAAGATTTTTCATTGAGATTGAGGAGCTTAGAAGAACTTTAGAAGAAGGCCAAGAAGATCTCCGAATCATTATAGAACAACAATCTACGGCTATAAAGGAGTTCCAAGAGAAGAAAACTTTTTTCACAGAAGAGAGAGATCGTCAAAGGGAAATGAAGAGAAGTGGTGATCGTACCAGGCATTCAATTCGTGCTCAGGGAAAAGTTTTAGAAGAAAACGCAAGATATGCAAAGAAAGAATTAGATACCATACAAAATGAAATCAAAATGCTAGAAACTGATATGAAATCTAAAAATAAGGAGATGGAATGGTGGAGTGAACAAATGAAATTTTTTGAAAATAAACAACGATCCATTGAGGTTGAAGGCCCATCTAGAAAGAAGAAGCTTGAAGGTGTGATATCTGTGCTTATGACAGAAGTTAAACAATCACAATTAGAAAACTCTAAACTTGAAGAGTTGGTCAGAAGTAAAAACCAGCAGCGCCGTCAGAAGGAAAAATCGTACGATGAAATCGCAGCATTGTTTAAAAAGTTTCCAACTAATTTAAAAGATAATAAAGCTATTCAGTCATCTCTCGAAACTCTCAAAGAACTTGATCAGACGATTTATGATCTTGTGGCGCCTGAAGTCACTATTGATATTACTTCTGAGAAGCAATGGTACATAGATCAGCAGCGCGAAGTTACACATTGCACCAGTGTTTATGGTACTTTCCATGAAGCCAAGGAGCGGTTAGCCAAATTAACTCAAAGAACGGTGGACAGAAAACTTGATACAATCAACCGCGAAGCTAGTGAATTAGAACAACAACAAAAGATTCAACAGCAGCAAATACAGCAGCAATTACAACAACAACTCCAACTACCCCAAAACCAATTGTCAGCTTTCACCAGTAACAGTAATGGTTCAACACCAAATAATAATAACAACGTGATCTTAGGTACCAGCTCGTTACCGCAATTATCTCTGTCACAAGTACCTCAAAGCCAGAGCTCAACCAACATGATTCAGAATTCGCAAGCCAATTATAACTCAGATTTGAGGATCTTTACTGGAGCTGATACCTCAAATGATGGTGTCTGGAATTCAATACTTGATGGGAACAAGCTCATGACCAACCAAAGCACACCAATGTTCAGTAATAATAAAATGGGTATTGATTCTCGTGATCCATTGGAATCACCATCGGTAGAAACGTATCTCCCTGCAAATCTTTTCGATAATGGTCTAAGTGAGAATCTTATTGAAGATTTCCGTCAGTACCGCCATAACATTGAAACTGGCCCAGTTTCCACGACCACCAATACACAGTTTTTGAACACTATTAGTACCCCGGTATTGACAAATTCGCATGTCGCATCAGTTGATCCTGTGATGAGAACTTCAAGTTCTGGTATAGCTCTTGATAGTATGAGCCCTCTGGATAATTCATCAACTGATATCAATACCCTGGCGTTAAATCCACAATTTAAAAATCATGAGAGATCATTTAGTGGATTCAGTCAAACTAGCAGCATATCAGCCTCTTCTGGTGGTGATCAACACCATCAAAATCACAGGCTTCATTTGCAAAAGCGTAACCGTTTATCAGGAGGCGGCGACTCTCCAATCACGCAAGTGGTAACTTTGGACCAACCTAAAGATGATGCAAATGGCCATTCCAGTTCAATTACTTCAGCATTTTCGCCAAAACGGCTTTTTAGCTTCAACAGACGATTGTCCAGTGGTGTCACAGGACACGTCAACGGGGTTCCTAATTCAAGTATTGCAAATTTTGTGGGCACCTCAGAACTTCAGCTTGAAAATGGTGTGGAGATGGTGACTAATGCAAACTTCTTCCCAGAGATTGATATTCTGCCACCGCCATCGGCCAATGGTAATTCCAGCAGGTTCTTTGGTCACAAGAGAAATGCATCTACAACCGATGATGATGGGAAATCTGAGAATAATAATGTGGATGGACTTGATAAAGCAGAGTCTGGTGGTATCCGGATGAGCCGCTTCTTTGGCCGCAAAAATGAACTGGCGAAATTAACTCCAGTTCTTTCCCTTAACACCACCACAGAAGCAATGGGTTATCCAATGACAAATTCTGAATCTAACACTACCAGTGCTCCTATGGGATATGACGAATCGTTATCACAATTTTTTGCCCCATCATCATCGCTTAGGGTGGGACGTGACAGAAGCGGTAGTATCAACAGTGGTATTCTGATTCCACAGTCGTTCCATACTGCCAATATCAACCCTTGGGCTGCCCCAACCCATCCTGATCAAAGTTCGACATCTTTGTCTATGTTCTATCCAACGTCTTCTAATCAGCTATTACCAATCACCAGTCATGATTCTGCTAATGCTAATATTTCAACGGTGTCACAACCGCAAGTTGCTAACTCTGCTGGTACTAGTTGGTCACTATTCCACATAAACCGTGGTCTGAACCCTAATAATAATGGCAGCATTGTCGACACCGTGAAAGATGAACCAGAATCTCCACTGTTAGGGACACCAAAAAGCCCGAGCTCTGCCAGCAGAATACCATTCTTCCGTCGTGAAAAGGATAAACAACATTCGGTTACCGTGGCGAGTCCATTAGGTATGGGTTCGGAAATTGTCCTGCCAATTTCTCCTAGCGTGCCACAACCCATTTCGATTCCGGATATTCAATTGAATTCGCCCCCAAGTGCCTCGGTAGTGTCGCTGCCAACGCAAAAGAAGCGAAAGAGCATCTTTTCTTTCTCCAAATCTAACAAAAATGATGTGGCTGCTAGTCTTGCGGAAATGCTACCGTCAGGCGGGTCGACTTCTTCTTTAGAGAATGCAATCATTGATTATAGTCCAGATATTGACTCTACCATGACAGATCAAGACCTCAATGATGAACAATCTAGCCAAGGTGGTGCCAGCGCGCATTCCCATAACTTATCATCATCGGCGACCACTGTGGGAGGGGGAGTAGAAAAAAGTTCTTCCAAAGCGTCCAAGTTATTTCCTAAAAGCATGCGAAGTCTTGGAATTGCTAGACGTAGTAGTAGCACCAGTCAAGCAGTATCTATTGGTACCGGGGTTTCGAGTGTTGGGGCTACTAGTTTTGGAGGTGATGGCGGGGAAACTGGGTCAGTTGGTACTGGTAAAAGTGGACATACTGATCTGAAGTTTATTAGTATTGTGGAGTGATTCATATATGGATCTCTATATTATTCTACATTTATATGGTGTATGTGTATATTCATTTAGTATTCGTAATATACATTGCCTGCTTTTACTTCTTTTACAAATTTCAAAATTTCATATAGATATTTCTACGACCTCACGAATGGGAAATGAATTCATCTTTTTTTTTTTTTTTTCATTTTCACTTTTCTTCTCTATAGGTGAATCGCACTATTTAATTGAATTTTTCTTTTTATTTAGGAAAAAAAAAAAGAAGTGTAAATATAATATAAAAAACCTCCACTACTGTTGGCCATTCCAGACTTCCACCACCTCCACGATCGATTTATCCAATTTCTTGCTACTAATCACCGCGTTCTCATCTAATGGTTGGAAAGGATTGCAGATTAATCGGAGGTAGGCTTTATGAATGTTTTTGAAGATCCCGTCCAACGATTTCCCCACATCCCCACCTCCAACGCCAATGAACCCACCTCCATTACCACTACCACCGCTTTCCTCAGAAATAACTCCTGCACCTCTTGCTCCTGCTCCATGGGTGGCGGTCCCCACCACGATCTTGAGCCCAGTGTTGGTCTCGTACCCGTATACCGAGATCCCATCCTCGACGAAAAGTAACGAACAATTCTGATCAACCAGACTTGGCTCATAAAGCGCCGAGCTAAACACATCAAGCGCCATATTCAGAAGGAAATTATACTTGAGTAATTCGTTGGCACTCCTCGAATCGACAAAACATGGCAGAGCGTCAACAGTATCACCAGAAGTAGTCGCCTTGTCATCATCTTGGATTTCTGACTCTCCTTGACTCAGCTTCTCAAACGGAGAAAATTTCTGGATATGCAATGGCCGATTATCCCTCGTTATAAGTGCGACAAAGTATATTGGAGCCCCCATAGTTGGTTATTGATGGTATATGTGTATGTGTGTTTGTATGTATGTACGTATGTATGTATGTATCTATGATCTGGTTCAACCGAGGATAGCTAAAACTTTCCTGGCAATACTTTCCGATACCAAGAAAAATGAATGCCACTGAAAAATGCAATTCTTATTTGCTAGCCTTCACAAACGGAAAGAACAATAACAAATAAATGTGATTTCCTCGGGTCACACTGAACACCTCATCAATGTGCACGTCAAAAAAAAAAAAAAAAAAAAAATGGCCCCAATAAAACGGTTACCCGACGTCATGAGCATTTTCACAAGTCAATTCAACACTTCCGCTCCCAATAATATTATCATCATATCATTAGTCATATATAGTTATTCCAATTATAATTGAACAACTTGCTTGTATATAGATAAATTTATTAATTATGAGAGGACGATAAAATAGTAATAAAAAGTAAAGACAGCAAAAAAGAACAATATAGTAATTGTGGGGCAAAAAAAAAAAAAAAAAAACTAAAGATAAATATAAAAAGTTGTGACAAAAAAAAATTACACTTACTTCAAAAGTGGTAACAAAAAAATAAAAAAATAAGTGATATGATAATCATAAAAAAGCAATAAAGGATGAAGGTTTAATCAACAACAGCACACCCAAAAATAAGAATGGAATATTACCAGCCCAGTTGATCATGCTTTGATTGAATAAGAAAGAGAAACATAATGACAAAGCCTGGCTTAGATGTTAAAAAATAGTAGTGGTAATTTGCAAATAAGTCTAAAAAAAAAAAGGAATGAAAAAGAAGTAGAGTTGCTGGTACAACAAAAAAGTAGTAATAAAGCAGAGGAAAAATCAATTCTCCTGCAATCATTATTCACACTCAACCTTGTCTCCTAGCTTCTTGTTTTATTCTTTGGTTTCCTTGTTGTTGTTTTTTTAGTTGCTTATAAAATTGTACACTTCTTCTTACCACTGCTCTTGCTACCACTCTTACCATCCTTGGTCATCAAAGAGGCTCTGGTGGCACTTTCGAAAACCTCCTTGACACCTTGGCCAGTTCTGGCAGAACATTCCAAGTATTTTTGAGCACCAATCTTGTCAGCAACACTTTGACCTTCAGCAGAGGAAACTGGTTGTTGAGAGTTTTGTCTCAATTTTTCAATGGTAGATGGATCGTTTCTCAAATCACATTTACAGCCAACCAAGATGATTGGGACACCTTGACAGAAGTGCAAGACTTCGGAAATCCACTTTTCTTGAACGTTATCAAGCGAATCTGGCAAGTCAACGGCAAAACAGATCAAGACAACGTTGGTGTCTGGGTAAGACAATGGTCTAAGACGATCGTAATCTTCTTGACCAGCGGTATCCCAAAGAGCCAATTCGACTCTTCTACCATCGACTTCGACGTCAGCAACATAACTTTCAAAGACAGTTGGGACGTAAACTTCTGGGAAAGTACCCTTGGAGAAAACAATCAATAAACAAGTTTTACCACAGGCACCGTCACCAACGATAACCAATTTTCTTCTAATTTCAGCGTTTGGAGGAGCCATTTTTATCTAGTAGAGTGTTAGTAAAGAAATTTTTTGCTCCACGTTTAAAGTGACAATCGAAACACCCACAAATTGTCCACAGGATAATCAAAAACTGATCGATATTCTTCCTTTTTGACACAATAGTTATCAAACGTCTAAGACTGTAAAAGGGAGAAGAAAAAAAAAATCTCAGCAAAAAAAAAACAACAAGCAAGAAAAAAAGACACCAAATCCGCCCCCCCGCCAACATACGACTTGTGACGAAAAAAAAAAAAAAAGGTTGACAGAATAGCGGATAAAAAACAAGATCTGGAGTTGAGACAGATATCGTTAATCTCCAATAATATATAAATGCCAACCGATTGCCAGTTGCTGAGCAATGGTAAGAGAAATGGGGGAGCCGCGATGGTGTGTATGGGTGTGCGATGCCTGCCTGCCTGCCACACAGGGAGGCAAAGTACAAAAAAATAAGCGATAAAAAAACGCCCTGCCAAAACACGAACAAATGATGAGAGATGTAGGGCTGAATGTTTCGTTACATTGTCATGTTGCTTGAATGTGATTCAGATCTTGTTGGCAATTTGTTTGGGTGTTGATGGGGTGACAGTGGACATCTTTTGATGGGAGTTTCCTAAAAAAAAAAAAAAAAGCTGATACGTGTGATGATGATATTGTGGGCGGCTAGTGGATGCTGTGACAGATAGATAGATGGAGATGATGGTGATATACATACCGTGTATATTTAGGAAAGACAATTGGAAGGATGGATAAGAAATAAGGTGGATGAAGGAAGGAAGGGGCCAAATGTAGAGATTAGTGGAATAAGTAGAAAAAGGCAGACAAAAAATTCCAGTGTTATTTAAAGGGCAGAAAGAAGTGGGAAAAGGGAAAAAAAAAAAAAAAAAAAAGATTTTGATTTTTTGTTACAAAAAAAGACCCCCGCCAGCGCACGCAACGCCCGACGCCCCCCAAATTATTGTGCTTTGATACGCGCGCTGCAGAGATAACCAATTGACATGATGGTTTACTGCTATATCATATTATATTATATTATGTTATATTATATCAAATTATACAATTATATTCCATGTCAGTTGGTAATAATAACAACTGCCAAACAATGCAATTGCAATATATATTATGTATATCCCTCGAAGTAAAAAACCAGCACGATACAAAAAAGTAAGTCATTCATTCTGGCATACTGATAAAATAAAAACAAAGCAATTCACTTTTCTCTCTTATATATGTATATGTCACTTTTTATTTCCGGTTTACTCCTCACCAGTTACAAGTCCATATATAAATACATATATCGCTACTCTAAATATAACATATCATTAAATGACAAAATGACAAAAACATCGCAAGACCAGCTTTCTCTATCCATATCCTGTCCAAGAAAAAGTACAATTCATAAACCAAACCTAATAGCAACGATTAGCACTATTATCTAATCCTCAACTTCTCTCAAAGCTTGATTCTGGAATTATTACGAATGACCGCAATCTGACACCCACAGAATCCTAAAAACAAGGCGTAGACAAATGCAGCGCCCCACAAAGTGTGTGACACAGCTACACCGTCTTCTGGGGCACTGGTTGATCCAAGTAAAGCCTCGTGTCCCTGGTGGAAAAGCATCCCAAGGAACCCAAGAATAACCACCCCAAAGGCAGAGACGACGGTACAAAAGTAAGCTTTAGCGGGCTAAAATACCAATGTTAGAATGAATCAAGAAGAAAGAGAGAAAAAAAAAAAAAGCAGAAGATGATAATAAGAGTTGGTTATTTTAAAACATACTGTGGTTAGAGCCTTCATGTTTCTATTGGGAAAAGTATAGTCTGGCAATGAATGGATAGTGAGTGATGTATGTATGTCTATTTATTTTTATTTTTTTTTTCCTCGTTCCGCAAATTCGCCTTGTTTGTTGCCCGGCCTGTGGGTATAATATATACCAACAATTGTATTTGGGATATATTTATTATGATAAGCAAAATGATAGAGCGAAATATTATATTTGGAGAAGAAGATTATTGGTGTGATATTGTTAACTATTTTTTTTTTTCTTTCTTTTTTTTCATTTGTTCATACAAGGAGTTTCGCTATGTATAGCTAACAATAAATGGATAATCATTATACAATCGAGGTTACCATACAACTCAGACACCTTAATGAAGGCCGCACAATTATAGGTATTCTATAATGGACATACAAAATTTTCTAATTCAGATAGTATATACAAAACCTAAGGAAAAGAAGAAGAAAGAAGAAAATCATTCAGCATATAAGAAATAAATGCAAAAAATATATCAGCATACCTCAACTATTAATTTACCCAACCGTCATCGTTTTTTCCCAAGGCCTTCCAAAGACTTCTACTGATTTCAAACATCCCTGGGGTATTAGTTTCTAACTCATAAAGGCCGTAGAACGCCACACAAGTACCCAAAAATAAGGTTCTCATCGACAAGGTGTGCCATGGGCCAAATCTTCTTTTTGGAATATAGTCAATGATGCATGATTGCCAACCAGCATGACAGTGGACTAATAATAACGTGCCCAACAACGAGTCTAATAAAGGAAGGTCGACATCCATGACAAACGGGGTGATGAAGAGAGGGACCATCGGTACGGCAACCATACGCTCATAAGTCCAGTGATAAGAACCGTGCCAGTAGTCAGGAGGAGGGGCCTTGTATGGTTCATTGATGGTACCGACAATAAGTCCAGGAGGATCGTTTTTGAGCTTATATTTGGACCAATTGATCGTAAATCTAGATTTCCACGAAGGCTTAGGCTTTGATCCATCACGCTTGAAGAGGTTGAAAGAGATAGGGCGGACAGGGGAGACATGAGGACGAAAAGACCCTAAGAGTGATCTCTGGGGAAGAGAGTGGAGAGGCGATCGTAGCGAATTGGAGAACATTATTTTTGATGTGCACAAGCTGAGATTAATAAATATATGAAGATCAACTATTGTGTATTTCACCACCATCAGAGAAAAAAGAGAAGAAAAAAAAAAAAAAAAAAAAAGGTTGATCTCTTATCACGTGCGTTATCACATGGCACAGGAGAAACCCTTTTCCCGCTGTCCTTCATGCTGGAGATACCCATAGATAGATAGGAGGGAAGATATATATATCTATATATTATGATGGAAGGTAATTCCATGCACTCGCATAGCTGTCATAGTTATTACGCCACTACCAGACAATACCTAGACATAGACATATATATAAGTAAATATAAACACATCATGGAATGAAAACCCCATAAAAAAATGTAAAAAAAAAGTCTCATAAGCACCCACTGCACCTCAATGCAAAAGCGCATTCAATCCAATTTACTCTCCAAAACTCTTTTTTCTACTTTTTTTTTTCCTTCTCGCCTCTGTGAACAAATTACTTTGAAGGGCGTATTATCCAGTTCCCTTGAGATCGCTCTGCCTGTTTTTCCGTTTCTACTTTTCATTTAGATCATCACAGCTACCACCATCCTCCGCTCATCATCGCTTTCCAATTGGTGTTCTTTCATCTTCTTTTGTGTGTGTATTGTTTGTTGATTCCATATATCACTGCCTCCCCGACCGATTGCTGTTCAAAAAAAAAAATAAAAAAATAAAAAAAAGAAACTCCATCGATCTTCATTAATCTTATTATATTAATCATCTTCTTTTAATTAGGATATAGTATTATTATCTCTTTCTGCTTCTCTTTATTTCCCTTCTAACTTGCTCTTTTTTTTTTTTTATCTTGGTAACTATACCATTGAAAAATCAATCCGCCATCAATTCACTCTCCTTTTCCACCATCAAATATGACCCGATTAACTCGTTCTTCCACCGCTGTTGCTCCTTCAGATCACTCAGCAATTGTGACTTTACATTACTCTCCTCAAAAATACCACCAACGCTTCCCATCCAGTTTGCCTACTAAAAGGAGAAAACTATCATCGTCTACAAACCAACAAAAGTCAATGGTATCAAGTGGCCCGGTGGTCAATAAGACCCCTTACAAATTGCCTCACAAATCTCAAATGACGGCACCTTCGATCGAGCTTGTTGATTCGCTTCGATCATTCAAGTTCCGCACCAATAATTCATCAGAGTTTTCCCAATCCCAACGAGATTGGGAAAACATGTCGGAAAAAGTGGTTTGCGCATTAAAGTGGTACAAGACGTTGCTGAAGTATGCAGAAATAAAGAAACTCCAACTTGAGCAACAACAACAACAACAACAACAACAACAACAACAACAAAAAGAAGAAGAAGCAAAAATCAAGCCTGAGACATCACAAATAATCCCATCGACGACAATAAAATCAACCGATTTGCAAAATCACTCGACCGACCAATCACAAGCCAATAGCCATCACACGCCAATATCATCAGATAAACCCCTGGTATCCTCCAATTTTTCTACCACACACTCTTCAGTTGTCGCAAATAGAACTTCCACTGCTTCGTCAGTTGAAGATGACCAATACCCTATACCTTCCAGTCCCACCAGCAGCAATACACATTCGCCTAGTACATTAACCCCATCCCCCACCCCCAGCCCCCATTATTCCAATGAGACCACCAGAACCACCAGCAGGCCCACCGCCACGAGAAATCAAGTAAATTACGAACTTACCGAGGTGAATGATTTCAGCGCCACCGACCATAATATCCTGACAAGATCTTCCAATCGAGCGCCCCAGCCGATGGGAAATATCAATCAACCCAATGGTCTCCCCGCTTTTGAAACTCGGTCGACGGTCGAAGTGGGTACTGATCATTGAATCAAATGTACATATACTACTGGGAATATTCTAGAATAGATCTCATGGCGCTATTGATTATCGCCACAAGTTTTCTTTACAAACCTAATCATCATCAGGCATTTTTTTTCTTGCAATTTCAATATCATTTAGTTCTAAAACGTCACATTTGAGACAATCATTTTCTTTTTTTTTTTTTTCATTTTTTACTTTTTTTTTTCCGTTGATCATAAATTGGTTGACTATATAATACGTAAATGCATATTGATATTGATTTTTTGATAATGTTCAGCATTTGAAACTCTTTATTATGAACGTGGTACTCTAGCTTTTTTGTTGTTGTTGTTGTTGTGGTTGAAAGACACTTTATGATTCCTACCTACGCTTGACTAGCTAGCGCTTGAGGTGGTATACACAAGCTTATTTTGTGACAGACCACCCGAATGTTGGAGCTTGCCATTGACAATAAGATACCACGGGTTTCCAAGGTAGGTAATTCTTGTTGAACCGTTGACTTCCCGGACAATAAGCAATCCAACAGAGATACACAACAACAATAAAACAAGTTGACGATGGATCAATTACCGGCATGATCTCCCTGCAGGTGTGTGCATGCACTGTGATTGTGTTGCCGGCCGGGACGGTGGATTCTCTCCCATCCGGTGCTTCTCAGCCAAAAGGAGAAGAAAGCCTGGTGACTGAAACTAGAATAGTGAGATAATAATAACAGTAATCACAAGAACATTAATTATAAATATAGTTATAATAACAGCAACAACAATAATAATAATAATAGTAGTAGCAGCAAGAAAGAAAGAGAAAGGTCGATCTCTTCCATTCCACGTGACAGTCACCCTGCGTCTGGATCCACCAACATCGCACACGGCACATATTATATACTACAATGTCGATGATGACGATCTTTTTTGTTAGTGAAAATGCGGTAATATTCGTGGGAACTACATTCAGAAAGAGTGACAGAAAATAAATTCGGGCTATTCTTCTGATCCGTCTGACTTCTTGGCTGGAAGTATTTCATCTTGGCCGATTTTTCAATTGCAGGTGACACAACAACAACAACAACAACAAAAAACCGTTTGGACCCCAGGGACCTCTGGAAAATAAATCCTCAGACTACCGTAGGTACAAAGGTAGATCATGAAGCTGTCACTATTTGCAAGATCTCTATGGATACATATCTCTACCAGCGCTCATGGCTAACGGCATTCCAAGATAAATCATGGATGCAAAATTGGATTGAGATAATGAACAAAAAGTACAATAAAAAATATATACACTACTAGCTGCTGCTGCTGCTGCAGCACGATGCGCATATCCTCGCTGCACTAATCGCTATTATTGCCTTGTCTTGAACGTTTTCCATTGCAATTCATAAATAGTACTTAATCATGTTCAATTACCGGATAAAAAAAAATCATGGAGAAATTAAACTCTTATATAAGGGACCATATATTTCTATAGAAGAGACAAGAAGAGAAAAAAACAAAAAATAAAAATAAAAAAAGATAACAAATAAAAATAAAAAAAGATAACAAATAAAAATAAAAAAAGATAACAAATAAAAACAACTTTGAGAATATCCCCATGCTTCCTCAAAAATTACTACTTCAAGTCCTCTTTGCCTGGACCTCCGTGGCCTGGTCACCAACCAACTCTTATGCTCCTGCCTACGTGACCTGTCCTGATGTTTCCCTCGTCCGCGATGCTTCAAAATTGAGTGATTCCGAAACCGAATGGGTCGCTAAACGTACCGAAATCACCAAGAAAAACCTCGGCTTGTTCCTCGAATACTCCACCAGCTTGGACTCTCTGGAATATCAATCCCTTTTAGAAGATGATACCATCAAGATCGGCCTCAGTTTCTCCGGAGGTGGGTATCGTGCAATGCTCAGTGGTGGAGGTCAGTTATCTGGTTTGGACAACAGAACCACCGGAGCGTTCGAGCATGGTTTAGGAGGGTTGCTTGAGTCCTCCACTTATATTGCCGGGCTTTCTGGAGGGAATTGGCTCGTGGGTACATTGGCATTGAATAATTGGACCAGTGTCGAAGAGATTTCAACCAGTGATACTATTTGGAACTTGAATGAGCCATTATATGCCCTTGGAGGGGAGAACTACATTAAAGATTATGAGTATTGGGACGAATGGATCAAAGATATCAAGGCAAAACAAAAAGCCGGTTTCGAAGTCAGTCTCATTGACGTGTGGGCTAGAGCATTATCAACGGTATTTTCCGAATCAGCGGAAATTGGGGCCGCTGATACTTGGTCGACCATTGCTAGCAGTGATGTTTTCACTAATGCCCAAATGCCATTCCCAATCTCGATTTCTGACGCGTTTATTTCTCTTGTAGAACTAACCTCGACTGATACCACCATTATCGAGACCAATCCGTTTGAACTTGGTAGTTGGGACCCAACCCTTGATGCCTTCACCTTGGTGCAGTATTTGGGTTCCAATTTGACCGATGGGGAGCCATACGATTCTCAAAGTTGTGTTGAAGGATTTGACAATGGTGGGTTCATCATGGCCAGTTCCTCAGATGTCTTCAACATCCCTGCTGATGATTTGGGGGAAGAATTATCGGGAATTCTTGCCAATGCCATCGATGGGATCACTACCACCAGTGTCGATAAAGCAATTTATCCAAACCCGTTCTACCAAAGTGCTTATGGTACTCAGGACGATTTCGCCAACGATAAATACCTTTACCTCGTTGATGGTTCGGAAGGTGGGGAAAATGTCCCAGTGGCCCCAGTCACTTTAACCAAACGTTCCACTGATCTTGTGCTTGCATTTGATAATAGTGCCGACACTTCTGACAACTGGCCAAATGGTGCCTCAATCGTTTCGACTTACGAAAGACAATTCTCGGCAATTGGGGCCCCATACTCTTTCCCATACGTGCCACCAACTTCCACGTTTTTGGCAAAAAATTTTACCCATCGTCCAGTATTCTTTGGTTGTGATGCCACTAACTTGACCGAGCTTTCCAGTATTCCTCCATTGGTGGTATATATTGCTAATTCTGACTATTCCTTCGCTTCGAATACCAAAACTTTACAATTACAATACACCGATGAACAGAAACTTGGAATGATTCAAAATGGATTTGAAGTGGTCACGAGAAACAATTTGACCGAGGATTCTAACTGGGCCACTTGTGTTGGGTGTGCGGCAATTAGAAGAGCTCAAGAAAGAGCTGGGATCGAACAAAGTGATGTTTGTCAACAATGTTTTACTGATTATTGTTGGGATGGTGAAGTGTAGTTGGTGTGTTACACTGGTTATTTATTATCATACTGAAAATTTAGATTTTTTTTTACTGTCTATTTTATTTTGTTTTGTTTTGTTTTGTTTTGTTTTGTTTTGTTTTGTTTTGTTTTGTTTTGTTATTTGCTCTTTTTTTTATTTGCTATTCTTTATTGTTTCAACTTCATTTGTTCTCAAAAAAGAAAAAAAAAACCGCTACTATTCCTGCTCGCTATCGTTTCAACTACATTTATTCTCAGAAAATCTTCTACTATCGCTATTCATTATTGTTTAAACTTCATTTATTCTTGAAAAAGAAATAAAAAAAAAAAAAAAGATTGTAGCTATTACTATTCTAACATTTCTATTCTGAATTTCGTAGTTTTCTTGTTTTTTTTTTGTTTTTTTTTCACTGTAATCGTTCTTTTAGTACAAAAAATCAAATGAATCATTCATTAGACAATTTAATTTCCGGGACTGATATTAAGACCTATACATTGTGTCACATATAGACTTACGTTCTCTTTCATTATTTTTTTTCCCCTGTTAGAAATAGCAATAGTGAACATGACTGAAACAAGAAGATCATAATTGGGAATCTCTATTATGATAAATTCAATCCACAATCAATATTTTCAAACTATGATATTAAGCAATACACATGTCAAAGAAAAACCACGGCTATGCACGTTTGGAAAACAACCGTTATTATGCTTTTCGATTGGGCCAAGAGTTATTAATAATACTTTCTGCAATGACTTTACAGGCAAGCATGATAACTAAGAATATCGTAATTTTAATTCCTATATGCTATTATGGAGCTGAAATCCTCTTTATAAATGGTGGGCCGAGGTTTTTTTTTCCCCCTTCTCTCTCTCTCTCTCTCTCTCTCTATCTCTCTCTCGCGTCTATTGTCTTGAAATACCTTTGCGAGGCTTCAATCAAACCCCTAAAAATATCAATAACCCTGTGTATTTTACAATTTCGCCACTGGTTCCGAAATTTTCATCCCACACCATTCACTAATATCAAGGGCCACTTGTCTAGCGGCTCTAATTTCCTCTAATGTTGCTCCATTATTCTGGGCTCCTCTCAAATGCCCCTTCAATTGAGGATTGACATCCTGGGGTACAAGACAAGCAATCACTACCAAACTACTCTCTTTGGCCCCCAACACCCCAGTGAACGACAATAACGGGCCGTACACATGATCCAAGGCGTAGTCCAACATATCAGGATACGCGGTTTCCATTTGCCCCTGGACCCTTCGTGATACTTTCCCATATACCACATCCCAAAACTCTCGACCTCTGGCACGTTCTTGTTCATGGGTAAGTCCTTCTTTTTGCCTAATGTGGGTGGATTCTCGGAGATCCAATGGAGTGGTGTGTCGAAGTAACGTCATGGCGTTGATACACCGTGGTAGTCCTCCCAATGCCGCGCCTTTCAATAATGCTTCCCTGAGCTCATTGGCGATTTGTCGCTGTTTTAGTTTATTCACAATATTTTCACAACTCATGATGATTGACTCGAGGGTTTGTGGAGGGGTCCCATCGGTCGATAAATTCGTCACACGGTTCAGTTGATCAATGGCGGCTTCAGCAGTAGCAAGATTATTGGGAGATTGCACAAGGGCCATATGGAAAATCTTGGGGATTTCCTCGGGATGATTACAAATGGCGAACGCAGCAGCGGCGATGAAGTACCATGAGTTTTCGAGGGCTGGGGTACGTGCAAGTGTTAGGAGTCGTTGTGGGGTAAGAATTGTGTGGGCAGTGGTGGTCCCAGAGTTAACACTCTTGGATCTGAGAAGGTTCCGAAGCGACGCGAGGTAATTCATTGTTTGCCCATTATTTCAGAAAGAGTTTCGATGGGATCGGGGAGAAATCAACAAAATATTTTGTTGGTATATTTACTGATCGGTGCGTGCGGATAGTCGTTTATTGTTATAATGGCCGAAATTGTGCCAACTAGATGTAAAATAGTAGAATCTAAAATAGTATGTGAGATAGTATATAAATGTGTGTCAGTAAATAATAATAATAAGACCATTGGCAAACAGTGTTTTACAAAGATACATACATGATGGAAAAGGTAATAAAGATTGGAATTGGGGGAAAAACAGTCTCACAGAAAACTAACATCCAACCCATTCAAAAGATCCTTGGATTAGCCAGCACAGATTCCTCAAGTATATCGCCAATGAGTACTTATACCAACCGCACCAAAATATTCCTTCAAATAACGTAGTAAACAATGCCAATAACCTATCGACATTTATTCAGAACTGACTTCTCTCCTCAAGAAAAGAGGTCTATCTTTCCAGCGATATGCTAGCACGGATGAAAATACTCAAAAAAAAAAAAAAAGCTCCATCCAGATCTTGCGGATATGGCAAAAAAAATCAGTTGTCGGAATAATGTATTCGTACAATTCATTTCATTCCCAGTGACCAAAATAATTGACAAAAGTGCAATTCAACAACATATAATCTCTTGCAAGTCCCTTCTTTTTTTTTTTTTTTCTTGTTCTTGTAAAATTTCCAAAAAAAGAAAAGAAACAAATGGACATGTATAGTGAAAAAGAGATTTGCCGTTGAACAAAAATCTCAGTTGGAGAAAATACCCCCACTAACTGGTGGAAACAACAAGTAAATGTAAGGTGGACATAGTAAGTAGTATTCCCACAAGTGGTGAAACAATGGAACGAGTCAAGTATTCAGAAGAAAAAAACAGAAAAAGAAAAAAAAAGAAAACATTTTGACCAGTTCTTTTTGTGAACAGTAGTGAAAACCAATCAATCATGAATCTGCTGTCAATTGAAGATAATGTCATGCCGGGATCAGAAGATTCCGTGATAAATTGTTGTTCTTAGACCTGGAGCCAAGAACGTAAAAACTGAATTAGAAAAATAGAAGATATTATCTATTTTCTTGCTGTGAAATAAGAAGAAGACTTAATGCTTCTTATTATTTCACATGAACCTCTTGTCCAAAACACCAGCAAGAAACCACAAAAAAAAAACTCCCATCTAAGACCAATAAAGGCAGGATTAAGAATATTCTCGTGTAACGATCTGAATTCGATGGCTGATCAAAAGAAAAAAAAATACGTGAGCTGAAAAAATCAATCCCCACAATTTTTTGAAAAGTCTGACACACGACCTCTCTTTTAGTAAGACCAACCTTTGGCTCATTTCCCGAGCCAAGGTGAAAAAAAAATTGCCATATTCATTTCTGTTACCACAAGATTCACGAAAAGAAAGATGGGAAGGAAAAATGAGGTCTCTTAAGAGCTGGGTTGGAATTTGTAATAGAGTTTCAAAAATAATTGAACAACCATCAAAACAAATTAAAAGTTGATGGTATGAAAGAAATGTAAGGGTGTAAAGAGACCACTGTTAGGTGACTCCACAAATGACACATTTCAATTGGCAAAGATTGGGGAATGAGATCATCACTAACACTGCAAAGGATAAAAGAATAACACATTATAAACGTGATGAACTGGATAAAAGAATCGAACAGCTTGACGCACATTTTTCAGTACATTCTTCTGATCTTTTCCCTTCAATGTCATTTTTTTTTCTCTCTGTAATTTTCCCATAAAGACTTCGACCATGTTCCTATACTTCTTTGAATGGCACCTCTCAATCTATGTCATATCACACTGGGAAGTATTTCTCTCCAAGCCAAGCATTTCGAATACATACCATTTTTAATACAATCCAAGAGAGCTTGTAGACAATCATATTTCAAGAATTCATCTTTGTTTCCCAAAAAACAACAACAAAAATGAAACAGAATTTCGGTAGTCAAAGATTACAAGCCCATGGGAAGATTATGAAAAGACTTCAAAACATCTCAAAAAATCAACATTGACCGATTTTTTTTTTTATTTTCAACACAAAAATCTGTGAGGACGGCTTGCCAATCAAGTAATCTCTGAATTGAATCCGGAATGATGAGTTTCATTTCGAAATAACAAATATAAGAACCAGAGAACTGCTGTTGAAAACAGTTGTCAAAAGAAGGGGAAGAAGGGAAGATGGTGGTTTTTTTTTTTTTTGATGATTATTGTTTATTATAATTTACCCTGCCAGAAACGTTCACTTCTTTCATCTACAGATATTACCTATCTTGTAAACCCCTAGAAATGCCACTGGTTTAACTGGAATGGAAAGATATATATATAATATGTGTTGAATAACTGAACGCTATATAAAATGAAAGGCCCCGCCAAAGTTTTGTGTTTGTTTGAGGAACTGCAAAACTGATCCAACCCCTGGACTACTCTTTCTACCAAACGAAGCTTCCAAATGATAGAACACAAAGCGTAGTCCAGTCCTTTCAAGAGAAGAAAAAGGCGGTGCAACCTACGAAGACACCACGCTATTATATATAAATTATGTAGAAAAAAAAGGAAGCTAAAAAGCACAGACTCGAAATCTCACAGCAGGCCAGCTTGATGGCGCTGAAGGGCATTAATCAAGTTTTATTTGACTATTGGTCCAATATTCGGACAACTATGTGCCTCGAGGGTCTTTGTTCAAGAATAAAGCGTAAGTGCCTGAGGAGCTTTTTGAGCGACTTGGCTGTATTTTGTTCGCGGCGGTGATATTTCTCAATCTTTATTTTATAATTATGAAGAACGTTCGCAGATCAAAACCGGGTTGTTTTTTGCAGATTAACAGGCCAAAAGTACTACGGTCACTTTGGGGTTGTTGTTGCAAAGATCACAAACTGCTGTTGTTACACCAGTCGTTGCCTTACAAAGCAAAGAAGCAATCATTAAACACACAATTATGCAAAGGGGAAAACCCCAAACAACCCATTAATAATAGTAATAGTAATAGTAATAGTAATAGTAATAGTAAATAATAATAATAATAATAATAATAATAATAATAATAATAATAATAATAATAATAATAATAATAATAATAATAATAATAATAATAATAATAATAATAATAATAATAATAATAATAATAATAATAATAGCACAGCAATACTAAAAAGTTCTTCCATGAAAAGTGGAAGTAGATACCCAACCTTCACTGCACCGTATCCAAAATACTTCCAGTACTACGCCCATCTCCGTAGACATTCATTTGGGAAGTCTTATTTTTGAATTCGTTAATGTAGAAATCAGAGGTCTTCAACGGTCTCAACGTTATCTTGACATCATTGTTCACCGGTTTACCATCTTTGAAATTATTCTTAATATATTCCCTGGCAACATTCATCGTGGCATCACGACACAATTCTTTCAAATCACTCCCGCTGAAATCTTCAGTCACGTCAACAAGTTTCGCCAAATCAAAGTTGTCATCAAGATTGGACCCTTCCAACAATTTCTCAAGGATCTTCATCCGTTGGAATCCTCCTGGTTTATTGATTTGAAACTTCTTTGGCATTCTTCTAAGGAACGCCTCGTCGATATCGTTTGGTCGGTTGGTGGCTCCCAACACCAATATTCTTCCACTGTTCACTAACCCATCCCAAAGAATCATGAACTCGGACTTTATGCTCGAGGTGATCTCATGGTCGTTACTTTCTCTTCTTCTTAAGAACGAATCGATTTCATCAATGAAAATAATACACGGCTGCAATTTTTTCGCTAATGAAAATATCGCATCGACAATCTTATTAGATTCCCCATACCATTTATCCATAATCAACGACATTCTAATCGACAAGAAGTTGGCTCCACTTTCCTTGGCCAACGCTTTGGCCAACATGGTTTTCCCACACCCAGGGGGCCCATATAACAACACTCCTTTTGGCGCTTGTACCAATATCGAGTTTTCTGGGAACAATTCGGGATGCGTGAGGGGGTATAATATGCTTTCCCGTAAATCGTCAATGATTTCTTCAAGCCCGCCCACGTCATTAAAAGATACATCGATACTTTGAGGGATGATCAACGAGTCCAATAAAAATAGCTCGTAATCGTTGAGTTGTAGGTTCTTGTATTGGTCGGGTTTCTGGGATTTCAAAACATCCAAGGTGGCGGAGATCTTCTTTTTAGTTTCTTTTGATTTCAACCCAGTTGGCCCATTTGAGAAGTCTAAAGTCTTGATCAATTGGTTGGTCAAATAGTAAACCATGACCCCGGCCCCCACCGAAATGATTAGATCGGTCAAATAGCTTTTAAATGGCAAATTACCAGCCGGCATTATTGTTATGAATTATATCTTAGTTCTGTTGGTTTTTGTCTGTTTAAAGCAAAACTTTCTCTAATAACTTGGAATGAATAAATGTAAATATCGACAATATTGTAAGGTTCTAAGAATAAGTAATGTTGTATCCTTATCCATCCGTGCTGCAATTAATTTCAAAATCACCAAAAAATCTCCAAGAAAAGTGCCATTTTTTGGTCACGTGTGTGATGCTGCCTCCCATCACACCCTGGTTGCCTCTTCGAAGATTATTAATTAATAATCCAGAGAGAAAGGTTAGGTTTGACACATTTTATATTTTTACGTCGACACATACACCATGGCTGGAGAAACTAGGACTGAGAACCCAGATGGTACCTACACCATCACCTATCCTTCTGGTAAAAAGATCATGTACGAGAAGGATGGCAGACCGTGAGTATTCTTTCCCATTTCTTGTACATATAATGGCATCTTGTGGTTTGTTTTATATATGACTAACCGGAATAGATGTCGTTCTTGTAACACCTTATTGGATTTCAGAAGTGTCAATATGATGAAAAAAACCGGTAGCTCATTCAATCAAGCCGCGACTGCTGTTGGTGGTAGTGGTGCTGCGGCAGGAGCAGGAGCAGCAGCAGTAGCAGCAGTTGCCGTCGCCGCTACCAAAGCCACTAGTGATGATGCTTATGCCAAAGATTGTCCTCCAGATGTCACCCAATTGGGTAATGGGACATGGAGTTTATTACACTCGATCGCCGCAAAGTATCCTGAAACCCCAACCGACGCACAACAAAAAGATTTGAAGAATTTCGTGGGTATTTTGAGTAGAATCTACCCATGTTGGTTCTGTGCCGATGATTTCAAGAAATATATTGCCAAAAATGAGGTCAAGGTGAAGTCCCAAGACGATTTTGGCAAATGGTTATGTGATGCTCATAATTCTGTCAATGTGAAATTAGGTAAACCTAAGTTCGATTGTAATTTGTGGAAAGAACGTTGGAAGGATGGCTGGAAAGATGGAAGTTGTGATTGAAAGGTAAAAAAGGTAACAGTTGTATGTTGTTGCCAGGCAGGATTACGTTTTTTTTATAGAGTTTGTGGCCTTTTATTACTATTATTTCATAGAACTATTTGCTTGTATATAGATCATTGGTTCATTTCGTATAAACTATAATATTTTATTTCCTCTGGAATTTGCTGAAGTAGGGTATTAGTTGCGATCTTTCATTGTAGATAATGAATCCAACATAGAACACCGCGATTCCCAAATTTTTCAATAATCCTGTGAAACTTTGGGTGATCCCGTTTAATTGGATTTGAATACTGAGAACCCCAATCGATACCCCGAGAAATAATTTCCAATTGCCAATAATATCGTTGAAATCAAAAACCTTGACACTTCCTGCCGTCGAGTAGAAGTTCTTAATAGATATAGAGCAATAAAAGATTCTTAACCCCATATTGACGATATTACTGATGACTAGCCCCGCCAATTGAAGTTGCAAAACTTCGATGAATAAATAACAATTTCCGAAAAACACTAACGAACAAACACTCAAGAAATAACTGTATTTTTTGATTGATTCATCGGTGGATATACTTTGACAAAACGCTTCGAAAATCCCATTAATCGCTAAGAACGGGAGATAAATCACGTAAAATGTGATAAGACTTTTCACGGTACTGGCGTTGGCATTCCACCATGACACCTTGATGATCTTGGTGAAGAAAAGTTCCCCCAAAAATGGGGCGTTGAAGTACCCAAATAACACCAAGACGAATGTCAAATATATGTAAAATTTCAAAATCAACCGAATGATCTTCATCGAGCTTTGGGTACTATTTTTTTTATTTTTATCATCGGTAGCAGTGAACATTTTGGATAAAATCAACTTCAAACTTTCTTCGATTGGGTTGAAGACTAATCTGGTGATCAAGCTTCCATAGTTATTGATGATCGAGTAAATCCCTTGCTGGTTCAAATCGAAAAAATAATTGAATATGAATTTGTCACCTTCGGTTAAGAAATTCTTGAAAATCATTTGCAAAAAAATCGTTTTCCAGTAATTGAGAATATATTTATCAAAGTAGTAGGAATTATCATCTTTGTTGATAATTTTTTGAGGAGTCAACCTGACCATAGGAATTTCATTTTTCTGGTAGTTTTGATAATATAATAGATACACGGTGATACTATAAAATAATTTTCCAAGAGCGAAAATCAAAATCGCCAATTCATCAAACACCCGGGGGTTGGAGGTACACAATTTCTTCGCGGTGGCAATGGTCAAGAAATTGAAGAAGCAATTGACGATCAACCCGGTTGATTCGTATTTGGTTCTCAAGTGGAATTGCGAATTGTAATTCACAAGGTTGTAGAATGGCTCGGTCAACAAATTAAGCATGATGGAAACCCCAGTTGTCACCACAATCACGGAAATTTGCAAATTTTTGCTACCAAGCAACAAAGTAGAGACAATTCCATCATTTTCTTGGAAATACTCGGTGAAATTCCCAAACTGTAAGTAGATGATAACTGAAGATATTGGCACTCCTAGTACCAAGGGCAAATATGAGAGATTTATTATTGATTGTGACGAGCCTTCGTAAGTATTTGATATTAGCAAAGGTTTTGTCTCTTCAGAAGACTTCTTATTAGCATTAGGAATTCTTTGACAAGAAAGCCTGATCCCCTCAGCCGCAAAAAAGGTGATGGAGTTTATTAGAAACTCCAAAAAGTTGTTGAAGGCCAAGTACGAAGGAGGCACAAACTTGATTAACAACTGGTTGAATAAGAAGGTCACGAGCTTGAATACTGCCCCAAAATAGAGCGAGTATCTTATTACCGATGAGAATTGGGGATCTGTCATTATTTTCTGGGCCATCCCTCTTGTTTGTGTAACAACAATTATTATTCAAGTATTCCAGGTAATAATAATATCACCAAGTGTTCCAGACTTGGGTAACCCACCGGCACAGTTACCCTGTGATTGTCGAGAAACGCACCCAGAGAAAAAATTCCAAGATGAGCAGATCCCTTAACGGTTACAGTAGATGATGTAAAATAACAACTGAAATATCAATAACAATATTAACAATAATAATAATGAGTCACGAGCTTAGAGAACAGGACCGTTGGCTTCCTATTGCTAATGTTGCTCGTCTTATGAAAACCACCTTGCCGGCGTCGGCGAAGGTCTCCAAAGACGCCAAAGAGTGTATGCAAGAATGTGTTTCTGAATTCATCAGTTTCATCACCAGTGAAGCCAGTGATAATTGTTTAGGTGAAAAAAGAAAGACCATTAACGGAGAAGATATCTTGCTCGCGATGACAGTGTTGGGTTTTGAAAACTACTCCGAGGCATTGAAGATTTATTTGACCAAGTACCGTCAACAACAGGCGTTGAAGCAAGAAAGGGGGGAGACTAGAAGAAGACAGAAGAACACCAATAACGACAATGATAGTAACAATATACAGGCGATCGAACAACAGTTTGATAATGGTGCTGCTGCCGATGCCAATATCGCCAGTAATCAATTTGAACAGTTCAATTATGATGCGGCAAAGCCGGGAAATCAGGAAGTGGTTCAATATGATGATGCTTCCACGCTTTTAGAATCATTGAACAATCATCATCAAGGTCACGAAATCGGCGACGACTCTCATGGGAATGGCGCTACTGTGGCAGATACTTTGTCAGACTTGAATGTTAATGCTATTGTTGGAAGCCATTTGGTTAAACCAGAAATTGCACAAGATCCAAATCAATATTAAAGAAGAAAAGAAAAGCAAGCACACTTTTAAGAGAAACTCCCTGATCAATCCAGCTTAGGGTCTTAAATAAGGAGGATGGCCCAGGTTTGCTTCTCTGTTTTGCGTTTATCATTATCATTATTGTCATCATCATTTTTTTATTATTATAACTGTTGCTACTCACATTATCTATATTATCACCTTTTTATTCGGTCTTTTTTTTTTTTCTTATTGTTTCCTTCCCTTTTTTTACGAATTTATGATCTTTTATTTAGTTGTTGTTTTTTTTTTCAAACAAAATTCTCCTGTTTTAAGATACTAATCTTAAAGTCTCTCCTCTTTGGTTTTTTAGTTGGCAAATTATCTTTGCAGAAAAGTCCTTCTCTTTATGCCATTTTTTTTTTTTGTTGTAAATTATTCTTACGTATAAATTATTCACTTCTAACAAAACAATATAGAATTCCTAACGTTTCATTTTAACTTCATCCTGTTCTGCGTTTTTGTGGGTTTCGATACTTTGAACCCCAACGCGGCTCTTCTTGATTTAAACCCTTCAGCATTATCTCCTGATTTCTTTAACGATAGTTTTATTGGCTTTGTCTCCAGTTTATTTGATTCTTGTGTTGCTGGCGGTGTCTCTTTATCCTCTTCCTGCGTTACGGTCTTCAAAGCAATTTGATCTTGCTCGATTTTCTTTTTGATCATTTCCATTTTCAACTCCTCTTCATTTTTCTCAACCCTCTGTCGTTTATTAGACTTCTCCAAAGCTTTATCCCTAGTATCGGGTAGTTTTATCAAGAAGTTTTGCGTATTGTATTGTGCAGACTCATCATCCTCGATGACATTTGGGATTTGTTCCTCTCCTGGGTTTCTCACCACTTCTATTTTCCCCGATTTTTCCAAATGAAATATGAAACTTGATAATGAGCTGAATCTTGTGGAATTCAAATGAATATGGTCTTTGTCATTACTGATATATTCCTGATAAAACTTATTGGCATTGACTTTTTTAGTGCCGTGGGTCAATTTCAACAACCGCAAGAAATCGTCTTGTAAATCCCGTGAGTAATTATCGATGGCTTCCTGGATAGCATGCTTAGAAGTTCCAATCTCTTGAATCTTTCTGGTATGTGATGGGGACATGACATGGGATTTGAAACCGTTGGCGTCTCGACATTGTTTATTACAAACTTGACAGTAAAACTTCAACTTCTGGAGGCCTTTTGCCTTCATTTGCTTAGCAAGAAACTTGGGGGTTCCATATTCTGCTTTTGCCATAGTGTGATATTATTAACTTTATATCATGAACGATAAAAATCATAGTGGCATCTCATAGTAGTAAAGTATTGTCTCCAATCACCAAATTCTCTTTATGCCCCCCATCGCCTGCCCGTCCAGGGCTTCGTAATTTTTTTTTTTTTTTTCGCTTTGCTTTTAGGAGGGTTTTTGTGCGTGTTTAAGGATAATAATGAGTAGTGTTGTGTGTATTTATTATTGCACCGTCTGTTTCAATTAGAAATCCACCCGCTATGGACTCGGATGAAGATGAGTACGTCGCTAAGAATCCTACACTGAAAAATGCCGGGAAAAGTGGGATGGCTAAGCGTACGAGGAAACACGGTGATGATGACGTTATGATGTTATTGGAAGACTCAGAAGAAGATCCAGGAGAGGCTGATGAAGACGAAGGAGAAGGAGAAGAAGATGATGATGATGATGGAGAATACTATGGTCGGAAAACCAAGAAGAAACCTGGTCGAGGCAACCAAAAGAAAAAAAAGACAAAAGTGCGGATCGATGATAATTTAAAGGGGAAAGATGGTGGTTACGCTTGGGAAGATAAGATCAAAAGATCATGGGATATTGTTAAAGAAGATAAGGATGGGTCATTGGAAGGACTTGTCAGTGGGCTCTTGGAGGCCAATAAGATGAAGAAAATTTACAAGAACGTCACTCCTTTCCAACGAGGTATTATCCGATCGTTGATTTTGGTGATTGATTGCTCACGAGCCATGAGTGAAAAAGATTTAAGACCTAATAGATACAGTTTAACCATTCAATATGCTTTGGAATTCGTCACGGAATTCTTTGACCAGAATCCAATTTCTCAATTGGGAATATTGGGGATGCAAAACGGGTTGCTGATGGTGATTAGTGACCTATCGGGGAATCCAATTGACCACATCAATAATTTGAAACAATTAAAGAAAAAAGATCCAGAAGGAGATCCTTCGATACAGAACGCTTTGGAAATGTCTAGAGGGATGCTACTACACACATCGCCGCATTCCACAAAAGAGGTATTGATCATATTTGGGACATTATTCACTAGTGATCCAGGAGACATTTTCAAAACCATAGACCATTTGGTCAATGAGAAAATCAGGGTGCGAATCATCGGATTGAACGCCCAAGTGTCCATTTGTTCCAAAATTGTCAAGGAAACTAATTATGGAGATGAGAAATCCAATTATGGGGTGATTTTGAACGAACAACATTTCAAAGAGCTATTAAACGATTGCATTACCCCGTTACCAGTGATCAAGAAATTGAGTTCGGAAGCCGAGGGTGTACAAACCACCCCACAACAGAAAACTTTCAGTTTAATCAAGATGGGGTTCCCCAAAAGAATCACCGAAGTCGACCCATCGTTTTGTTCGTGTCATTCCAATTTGAATTACGGGGGTTATATTTGTCCATTTTGTAAAGCGAAAATATGCTCACTACCAGCGGTATGTCCCACTTGTAACTTGATGCTCATTAGTTCGTCGCATTTGGCCAGATCGTACCATCATTTGTTCCCGTTGAAGAACTTTGAGGAGGTGAAATTCAACGAGGTGGATAAGTCGATTAACCTTGAATCACAAGAACCTTTCAAAGCAAATTTCCAATATCATCAGTGTTACGGGTGTCTTATGGAATTTCCTGTCAAGTCAGGGTCGATAGTCGATCCAAAGTTGATGAAGACTACGTCAAGATATCAGTGTCTTGATTGTCATAAACAGTTTTGTATTGATTGTAATGTCTTCATCCATGAGCACTTGCATAACTGTCCGGGGTGTGAATCAAATGTATGATACTAATAATACAGATTTTTTTTTTTTTCTTTATGATGATTTCTGCAGATTTTGGATGTGTTTTTCCCCCCTTTGTGTGTTTTAATAATGTCAAATCTGCACGGAATAATGTTAGGTGTTTTTAAAATCAAGGGTTTTTTCAATATATTTCTTAGTATCAATGGTTGCTTTATACTGGTCTGGTTTAATTTGGGCTTTATAATATTGGAAAGCCCAAATAACGGACGACAAAAAGAGAAAGGACATAGGCTCATATCTCATTATACAGTCTTTTCTTGACAAATGAAAAAAAAAACCAATTCTACTACATTGCCAGAATACAAATCATCATCAATCCTAAACTGAATCATGCGTTGTTGTTTGTTTGTTTTTTTAGATCTCTATCTTGAGAAAGAGTAACCCTTTATTTCATTGGTTTTTCTTTTCTTCTTCCATTTGAAATACCTTTAATGATGAATATTTATACCACAGTCGATAAGTAGTAGCCACTGACGAGAAATGTAAATGTTGTAGCCACTGACGAGAAATGTAAATGTTTTAGCCACAGTCAATAAGCTGCAGTCAATGGATACAAAAACTGTAACTACAATCAACAAAATCTAGTAGATGCAAATTAAATTAAGAGAGTAGATATAACATTAGGGGGGGATTATCGGAGATTCTATAGTAAATAAATGAAAAAAAAAAAAAAGCGGAACGCTGAGTACTCAGCATAATGAACCATAAAGAAATGAATCATGCAAATGAATAGAGAAATAAATAAGAAAAAAACAAAAAAAATTATATGGGAAAATACAATAGGGAATAGAAAAGCATTAACATCTTTAAAAAAAAAAAAAAAAAAATGAAAAACCAAAAGATGTGGTTGATTGGTTTTTTTCAGTGAAGACTGGTTTGCCGTTGATATAAATTGAAATTAACAAATTTTATCTTCTAACACTCGATCCCAAGTTGTTGAAATTCAATTATGTCATCAACCGTCAATTCTTGTTGTAAATCACCAAACAACTCTGACTTCAATTCGTTTATAAATGTCGCCACATTAGGGGACTTGAACAATAAATTCTGAGTTCCAAAACTAGCGCTGTGCATTTCCGAGATGAACGATTTCACGGTAATATCGATGGATTTTTGAATTTTATGGTGGTTCTCAATTTGATTATTATTATTATTATTATTAATATTGTTCTTATGAGAATGATTCAACATGATGATATTTTTCTGGATTTTGGAATTCAAACCAATAAGGAATTCCATTTGACAGTTTTTCAAAAACGCAATCACCAAATACACAATCAAATTGTTGTTTTTGTCCATAAGCAAGATATCCAAAAATCTTTCCAAATAGTTTCTATAATGGTTGTCGATAGTGACATTTTCGACGTTGAAAATCTTTCTCACCAATAACTTGATCAATCCGTAGAATTTTTCAAACGTGTTGAAATTCAACGTGAATTTGAAGAAACGATAAAGATCCGGAAGGGAGTTTTTGAGCAATTTGATGAAAATTTTGAGCGAGTTCATGGAAATTATTTCTTGCTCATCGTTCAATGCGTCCAAGTTGGATCCATCATTAGTAAACATGGAATCATCATTCTCGGGTTTAATAGTAGTGGTATTCTCTTCCACTAGTAAATATTTCAAAAATGGGAGCTTCAAATCTTTGTTGAATAAATTAAGCAAGCAATTGAACGTGAAATAGTTATTTCTAATGTTAAGTAGTAAAACATAGGTGAAAGACACGATTTCTTTGTTATACCCAACATTAGTAACCCCAATATCGTACAAATAAAAGTAAAAGTTCAACAAGATTAATTTCAAATTATTCTTGATAGCCACATTCTCTGCTGGTGAATTATTTGGAGGAAATTTCAACCCATTAATCGTTTTGCCCACCGACTTGAAAATCGATAATTGGTATTGAAATTTCGATTTATCTTCAAAATTGGACAAGAATTGTTTCAAATTCTTCACCAACCCTAAGAGTTTTGTGTGATCACCGGCACTACCATTTCTGGCAGAAAATTCATTATTATTCTCGATTTGTTTCACCAATTTAATGTAATAATCAAAGTGCCTCACAAACTCATTCACCTCATTATTCAAATAATTGAAAGTTTCTGGGTTCATGTACACGATATGGTTCGAAGATAAATACCACATGATTGATCTAATGTTCATGGAATCTATAGTTTCGTTGACATACGCCTTATTTGATAACGAAAACTTTAAAAGTAATGTAGGTAAAGGAGATGTAGAAAGACCAACCGACCACCAGGAGGGTAAACTATTGCCAAGTAATAACGGAGAGTTGCAGATCTTTGGGGATCCTGAAGGAGTGGTTGGTAAACTGTTGGTCCTGAATATTGAGCCAATAGAATTAACGCTCAACACTGAAGATCTTGGGGTCGATTCGCTCGAATGATTTTGTCTGGGGCTGGAGCTATCATTTAGATTCGGTGAGCGATCATGATGGTTCAAACCTACTGAGAATGTCGAGTTATTGGATTCGATAGAGATGGTTGAGCTGGCGGCATTAACGATGGAGTATAAGGAGGTCGATATCGGAAGATCGCTATGGTTGGCTTTCAAATTGTCGACCGAGCTGTTATTTGGTAAAGCATACTTCTTTTTATATCTCAAGTCATTCAATCCAAAAGTCGAGAAATAAGATTTTGAATTCATTTCGTAGGCATCAGAGTCCAAGACGTTTAGGGCAAAGTCCCCAGAATCGATGGAATTTCTGGTGAGATTTGAATTGTGGACGACATTATAATTGTTGTGTAAGGTCAGGCCACAGACGGCAGATACCGAGAAGCTTCTTTTAATTAGCGAGTTGGATTCCAAATTATTGAGGGACTTATTATGAGACGTGATGTTGTTATATATATCATGCTTATTCATCAAATTTAATACCTTGATATTGAACTGGTTGGAGAATTCTTTATTCAAGATATTAGCGGGCAAAGCATTGGCAGACGAACTATGGCTGGTTGATTTGTAACATTCATTAAGGAATGAGATCCAAAACTTTTCATTCTTGGTGATCTTCTTAGTGATCTGGCTGACTTTCTTCTTGTTGATTTTCTGCTGGGTTAACTGTTCGTTCTTTAAGAAATTGACGTTGGAGTTGAATTCGAGAGTCAAGTTTTGGACCTCCGAGTCTAAAATGTTGAACGCTTTGGAATTATTCTGCAAATTCGGAAATATGAAACTATCATCACTAAGAATTGGGCTCGAGTTGGCACTAGATAACGAATCGCCAGAGCTGGAATTGCGATGTTCCAGAGTATATTCGGAATTCAATTCATCCAAAGACTGGCTGATTGGTACATTGAAACAAATGAAATCGTTGGGGATCTCATCATTCTCGAAATTACTATAATCGATATCAAGTTCATCTATCTGAGCGTTGATGGTTTTGATAGGACGTTGGAAGAACTTTTGGTTTTTACGTTGCAATTTCTGTTGGTAGAACATGGTTGTGGTGGTGGTGGTGGTGGTGGTGTGTGGTGATGACGATGACATTGTCGGCAACAATATTAACAGCGACAGTCCAACCCTTTCATATTAAACGGTTTAAATCAAAACAGCTGCTTGGGCAGGGAATCCCATAGTATTTAAGCCTGGCTATGTTTCAACTTCCTGTTGGTACTTGGGGCTGGCTCAAAAAGACTGGTTGGTGGTACATGCAGCGGCAATCACCCGTTCTGGAATCGATGAACCTGGCCGGGATCCCAGCCATCCTTCCCTGGGGAGGCTGGCAAGCGATGACTGGGAAGACACAGGTCCCCCGTCAAAGATAATCCCCACGTTGGTCTGGGCATTACCATTGGCCAACCTGCTCTCGCTTTCTTGCAATATATTGAACGCTGTTATCCCCAAAATGTGTCACTTTTCGGCTTTTTTGGCGCGGGTTTCGGGTGCGCATAGCACGACATTATAAAACAATCGCCATATACATAATGGGGCTAATTATCGTCTGCAAATGGTATATTAATACAATCATATAATAGAAATATGAGGGTATTCCGTATTCAGAAATCCTACAATATCTGTATCCCTCAGTGCTTTCTAGCAGGTAAAAAAAAAAAAAACTCATTTCATTCGCATCATATATATATATATATATTAATACATATATATACACTTACTATTATTATTATTTACAAGAGGAAATATTCTCTTTATGTAGACCAACCACCATTTATAAAACTTCTTCGAAACCCAAAATCGCCTGTTCTAATTGTTTGACAGGAACCATCTTCATTATTTCCGCGTACTTCTCGCTAGATCTATTCTTTTCGATGGATGCCAATAAATCTCCAAGTTTATCACTATTTTCCTGGGACAAGGTGAACAATGGGAAAGCATCGTAAGCATTAGTTATCACTCCGACACTGTCGAGTTGTTCTTTACTGCCGAACTTCTGTAATTTCAAATTACCATTGTAAATGACACACTCGACAAATTCCTTGTTTATCGTGATATCTTGCAAGTTATTCACATCGATTCCAAACAACGCCCAGTTCAATCTGGCCAATTGATCTTCCAAATCCTGCTGTTCCACTTCGGTGGCACCATTTGCTTCGTCCAAGTATCTTTCCTTGAAATTCTCCAAAAATTGTTGCTTATATTCCGGGATCACTTGCTGAGTGTTTTCAAACGCTTTTTGTCTTTCACCCAAAACATGTCTAATTCTCCACATGGTGGTTCTGACTTTTTCACTTAATTGATCATGAGGTCCATCAGTCTGTTCGGTGGTACCTGCCCCACCATTCACCTTCATACTTTCCAACAAGTGGGCTTCTCTGGCCAAAATGTTTCTTTCTTTGAGACAGTTGAACCACAAGCTGTGTAAATCATCGAAACTTTTTCTTCTCAATTCAGGCACCGTCCAACTTCTCCAACTGGATGGTTGCATGTCTTCTTCGCCTCTGATGAACTTCTTTTCGTGGAAAAATTGCCATAATGGATGGTCTTCGTTGACTTTAATGTTTTTCACAGTTGGTTCAATTGGGGCTCTAATTTGGATATTTGATCTGATTCTCCCGTTGATCTTGGAGGCGGTGTGGAAATGGGCCACTTTAACGTTGGAAATATTCTTCTTGAACATTTTGTGATCGGATATTGAATAATGGATGTTCTAATAACCTAGTATCTTTTTTTTTTTTTTCTTTGACTCTCTCTGCCCAGGTGGCTTGGTAAATAGATGGGGGAAATATATGAAGACTGGAATAGTACCACTAATATGAAAAAAAGAATATATCCTTTGCCTAAACGATATCACTGATTTCTCTCTTCATTAGAAAACACCGATGAAAATTGGATGAATTTTTTTTTTTTTTCCCGATTTGCACTGCGCGTTGCCCGGCCTTCTATTCTGGTCTTCACTTCTTTCAAAAGTGAACAATCGAAACCTTTCTGCTATAACGGTTGGTAAATATATCCATCTAATATATACATTTAATCCCCCTCCCCCCAAAATAACAATAATAATGGCTGATTCTTTCGAAAGTACTGAGCCCCTTGATCTTATAAAATCTCTTTTGGACGAGACCATTGTCGTCAAGTTGCGTGGTGCCAGAGAAATCATCGGGAAATTACATGTATGTTTGGTTGGACCTATCTTACTCTTCAGTAATGTTTAGAAGTTCTTTTGTTGACAGTGGATGAGTCTTACTAACTTTATCATTAATAGGCATACGATAGTCATTGTAATATGGTGTTGGGTGACGCTACAGAAACAATATATCAGATCAACGATTCGACCAAGGAAATCACCCCAATAGAGAAAAAACAATCAGAAATGATTTTCGTTAGAGGCGATTCGGTAATTTTATTTTCTTCTCCTGACCTTGATGGATGAAACAATATTTTTTGAACTCTAAAACTTCACAGTTGTTTGAACAAAGGATGAGAATTGATAACGTCTCTTTTTCTCATCGTATATGGGCCACAAAAATTGGGGTGTACAAAGGCAAAAAGGTCTAGCTATTCTTTAAATTAAACCATAATGGAAGGTTTCTATTATTGATGGAAAAAAAAAAAAAATAACATTGTGTTGAAATTGGTTATTTGTTTGTTGTTGTTTTTTTTCTTCTTCGGATGTCTTGATGTAAAGGGTTGATGGGTTGGCTCAACTATATCCATACATGGCAGGGGAAAACTTTATTAATCATTTATGGAAAAAACATGGCCTGAAGTAAATGCTAATTTAGAATTATTCTTTTTTTTTTTTTTTTTGTTGTCGTATTTTTGTATATTATTAATCATTACGTTTTATCTCATGCTCTACTCATTTATAATGATGATTCCAATTTGAAGTATCGGTATTTGCTAGAATTTTGCAGTAGAATACTATGGGCTATCTTGTAAAACATAGAACGGTTGTGTCAATTATTCCTCTTCTATACGGCACAATTGACACAATCGTTCAAATCAAATATAAATAAAGATTATTATTTATTTATGTCAAATCATCATTCGTCCCCCAAAATAAAATAATCAAGAAAAAAATAGCTCTACCGAAAAGAAAAAAACAAAAAAAGAAAAAAATAAAGAATCAAAGACAATACTGAGAACTGATGATGGCAGAGAGAGAAAAATAGGTAAATAACACAATAAAAACATTAAAAAGATGTTAAGACTCGATAATAATACAAAAATATAAAATCGTAAAAACTAAATTCTGCTGGAAAAACAAAAAAAAATAGAAATTACTTTCCGAAAAGAGAGTCAATAAAATATAGTTTTATGAATAATATCAAAGAGAAAAAAAATTTTAAACATGTTCAGAAAAAAAATAAAAATAAAAAAATAGGGCAATCAGAAGCAATCAACAAGACACCAAACAAATAAAATACAGTGGAGGAAAGATATATATGTCAAATACTTTTTTTTTGATTCCTTTTCCACCCATAATTATCGTTTTTGTTGTTGTTGTTGTCGTCGTTGTTGTTGTTGTTGCTTTTCATCAACCTTTTCAAATTATTCTTAATTTCCAGGATTCATATGCCACTTTTCAACACAATAATAAAACAGCAGCAATATTAACAACAAGAACAGGTTACTGTCCAAAATAGCACTAACAAGTAACAAAGAAATATAGCACCTTTTTTTTCAACAGAGGGAATAGGACAAAATGAAAAGGAAGAACAAAAATTGAAGAAGTTTGATGATAGAATGGAACAAGAAATTTTAAAGCAAAAGAAACAAGACTCTTATCAAAGCCCAAGAATTAAAAATATGAAAAGCGCCCTCCACATCCAAATATTATAAACCCCGAAAATTTTATTGCTCTTGCAGAAAAGACTATATAATCATTTCGTCTTCACTTTCAATAGCAATATCCGCATCTGTTTCTTTGCCGATGTCATCGCTGGCCATATTGGTTGGTATTGGGCTGGTGGTCATGTCTTCCATTAACAACGCATCCTCGTCTTCATCTTCTTCAACAATTGCGCTTTCATTATTGTCATCAACAGCGGCATTAATCCCATTAGAAGAACCATCAGAAGTAGTATTTCCACCATTCATCTGAGAGCCCGAGTGTTGAACGTCGTCATCATCTTCTTCAAAGTCAACATCAAAGAAATCATCGTCTGAACCAGTGATCTTGGCGTATAGAGCTTTAGCTTCGGTAATAACCCCATCATAAGACAATTCTGATGAAGGCATCGAGTCAAAGATAATTTTTTCAGTCAACTTTTGATAGAGTTGGTCTTCAGCAGTGTCTTGTATTTGAGATGAGGTAGTACTATTCTTCACATCCAATTTCGCATCATCATCAAAAAGCTTTGGATTAACCACTCCGAAATGAGGAATGGTGGTCATTTGCGTATATGATAATTTCAAGATATAATTCAATTTTTCGGTGGGGGTGAAATTTAGAAGACTCGAACCTAATTTAACTGAAGAAATGCTGGCCATTCCGTTTTTGAATTCAATATCTTCAGAGGCGACAATAGTTTCAATATTACTTTCTCTAATGATGCTATCTTCTAATAATTTCAAAGCGTTTTCCAAATCTTCTCTTGCCTTAGTGCCAGTTTCAATGGTCGATAAATACCAAACCGCTTGGCCTTCTGGAACAATTTGGGAACCAGAATTCATCACCACCACTTGAACCGCAAATTTGTTGTTGGAAGGTAAAGATCCTTCAGGGAAAACCACAATTCCGGCATTTTCATTTTCCTCGATCCATTCTTTGCAATCCTTGGTGACAATTGCCACCATTCTGTTGATTTCAAGCTGTTCGTGTTTCTTTTTATAAATGGAATAAAAGTCATCAAAGATCGCTGGGACTTGAGATGGACTAATAACAATTTTTTCATTCACCTTGATCGTCGAATTATCTGAAAGTTTGACAAGATTGCGACTCAAATCGTAATTTGTGATTTCTGTTTCCAATTTATAAGTGGTACCGGCGACAGCGGCGGATCTGCAGAAACCTTGGGAGATTTCCCCTGGACCACCATACTTTGAATATAGCACTGGGAAACTTCCATAAACATCAAAAGAAATCAAATATCTTTTAATTCTTTGCAACGCTTCAGGAGTTCTTAACTGTGAACTGGTACAAAGGCCCAAGGAAAAAATGATTTCGTTAGTTTGGGCATCTTCTAATTTGAACTTTTGAGTCAAGAATTCGTTTATGGAAGCGTTCTTGTATGGTTCCCAGATTTCCTTTTCATTTTCCCAGTCAATGACAAACTTGATGAATTTCATTAAATTTCTCTTGATTTTGAGACTTAACGATTGATTGAGGAAAATTTCTTCCTTTGAATTTGATAATTTCTCAAAGTTATCGTTTTCAAACACATGAAATGATGATAATGATTGGAATTCCAAATACTTGTAAACCTTGGATTTGATTAATAATGACAAGATATCTGACTTAGCAAAAATGAATTTTGGCGACAAGTCAATCCCGTAGTTCTTTGACACGATCTTATGTTGATTCATTCTTGGGATGTATAATGAGGCGTTTTTGAATCCTTTGTACCCCACTTTATGAAGGTTAACTTTTCTGACCCAATCCTTCAACTGCTCCACTGTCAAAGTGGCAGAAGTGTCACCATAGTACAGATTTGAATCGATATGCAAAACATTCGAGCCATTCCACGAAAGCGAGCTGGCCAAAATACTTTCCACTAGTCCCGTACCAATGATCAAAACGTCGACTTCTTCCGGAGTTGATGAAGTTGGAGGTAATTCAAGATAAGCCAACTGTGGTACAATCAGGGCAGGCCTGACCCCTGATAAGTTGGACGGGCGGCGTTCCGCCATCGACGGTCTACGCTCGCTTTTTATATAACTCATTTTCTTGTTTCTGGGTGATTATTGTTGTCGTTGACGTTGGTGACTAATGATCGGTGTTGTTTGATAAGGTACTATCGTGCACTCAAAAAAAAAAAAAAATAAAAAAAAGAGAGAGAGAGAGAGAGAGAATGTCCTCGGCAGTTATCCCGGAAATATTTTAGTTTTTCAATAGACACTAGGTGCTTGTCAGTTGTTTGCTGCTTGAAAATATCGGTATTAGTCTTGATTGTGCTGGTGGTAAAGTGTTTGGTTCTTGAAGTAAAGGTTTTGCGTGTGGCGATTGGTTTTTTTTTAGTTTTATTTTTTTTTTTTATTATTTTCTTCTGGCTGCCGAGTGACAGGAAAAATTTTTTGTCGGAAAAAGAAAAAAATGTGCGTGTTTTTTTTTTCGTTGCGGGTTTCCCGTCTGCCAGGGCTTTATACCATGCGGCGGGGACCCTTCCAAAATGGCTCTTTTTGTAATGGCTTACTTTTGATTGTTATTATTATTACAATAGGACATTTATTGTTTATGGCTACCCAAGCAACCTAGTGGTACTGTCTTCAGACGGTCTAAGTGATCCTCCTTCAGCTTCACAAATACTATCAAACCCAATCACCCCGTGCACTTGCCTCTTCAATCCTATGAGAGTGTTATAATTCTTCTTGATCTTCTTGAGCTGCCATTTGTAAGGAATATATGGATAATATCCGTGTTGATTTTCAAACTTTATCGCCCTGAAACACCCCACAATCACAAGCCAGTAGATTATATAGCTAGCAACACTGCCAAACGTCGCACTGTTGTTCCAGCCCAAGATTGCAGTGAAGATCATCCATGGTCCGTCAATCTCCCCATTGCAACAATCGACATGCCACACAATGTTGTCAACATCATATGACCCCGGTCCCGACCCAACTTCTGAAACATCCAACCCTCCGCATAAATCAATAAATTTCTGCAATTCAAATTGCCAAATACCTTTGGAGATCAATCCGGCAGAGATCAAGTACAACAAACTAGTAGAATATATCATGAACCTTTGGGCTGATCCTGACGAGGTTCCGCTCTCGTATATCAAAACCCCAACAAAGAACCCACAACCAATGCCAAATATAATAGAGCCTGGATAAGTTTTTGGAGGAGCGGTCATTCCAATACCCCCAATGAAAAGAATTGATTCAAGGCATTCTCTTAAAGTGGTGATGAATGGCAAAATGAACAAGCTATGTCTGGTGGTGAGTTGTCTAATTTTATTTTTCAAAACTTGGATCTTCGACACTACCTTGCCCCTGAAGCTGGCGTTAGAAGACTGGATCACAAAATTTTCTTCATGGTTCTCTTGCGCAGTGGTAGCAGCATCAATACCAAGCACATTGAACAACTTCACGTGCCATTTCTTTTCCAATTTATTCAATTGTAGCATCCCAACCCCCATGATGGAAATGATAATTGACGCTAAGATACTGAAAACTCCTTCCCAATAATGTTCTGATTTTGACCAAAGATCGATATCAAGTTGATAAAACACCAAGATAAAAAGCGCCCCGATGATCAAGCATGCAACCACTCCACAAAATGCCCCAAACCAAACTTGAAGCCGGAGGTTATTATACAAGAAGTTATCGGATATATTTTCATTGACAGCTTCTCTATCAATTTCTGATGATAATAATGGTGGTTCTTCGGTGTTATCCTTGACGAATTCTTGGTTCTGCTCAAGAAATGCAAGTAGCACAGACACAATAATCACGCATTCCAAAGTCTCACGAAACATGATGAAGAATATATCTAACGAGAAATAGTCCCCGAGATTGACCCACATCTTGCTTTAGTTATTTTTATTTCCCACTCTCGATATATAGTCGAATCAAGATAACAACTATTCTTCATAGATCAAGTTGGGGGTGCACCGTATTTGACGTCAATAAGAGCAGCCATGGTGCGGCTAGTGTTTTCCGGTTGTGCATTACCCTGTAGTCATCGCTGCGCACCAATCTATGATAATGAGCGCTGATTTACATTTTATTAGCATATAATGAATATGAAGAATATATATAATCTGCTTGGAAGTGATATATTTATTGTTATTGTGAATCTGTTGTAGTAGTTCCCATCAAGACGTGCTTCTTTCAAGCCATTTTCTATAGGTATATCCTTATGTGCGACGGCAAATTGATCATTACTGTGGATTATATATCATCATGTTTAGTAGTTCTTCCAATATACAATATGAGGAAAGAATACGCGTAGGAAACTATTAATAACAATTTTTTCGGTGTATTGATTTATTTGGGTTGATTCACATTAATTTGGCTTTAGAAAAAGGATCCATTTTGTTTGTTGCATTTCTCAATCCTGTAGAAGTTCCCATATTCAGTATCTTCTTTTAAAGGAGTGAAATTTCTCAAGCTTTTACAAGAGCGAGGCGCTTCAAGATTCGTATACAAAGACTTGTTATTCTATTGTCATGCTGGCCCGTGAATCTTTTAGTTTCTATAACCATCTTTTCTTTTCTTTTCTTTTTCTAAAATGTATTCAGAATTTGGGGAAGACTAAAACACAATTTGCAGGATTGCCCAAAAAATATAGTCAATTTCTTGGATACATACTCTTATACCACATCGATTGTTTTAAATAGGGAGTTTGACTTTTCTCACTTCGAGATGAATATATATCAGACATTAATATGTTTGCAGGTAGTTCTAATTATTTCTTTGTTTCAATTATGTAGCATTGAGGGTCAATTTTTAAAGATTAAGCTTGATTATACCAATTACTACCATCTTTGGACAGTGCACATATTGTCACAACACGATATATAGAACAAAGTCTGTGTTCTTTCTTCTTTAGATATAATTTACTTCGGTTTCCTTTTCAAATAAGATACAATCAAGAAAAAGCACAAATACAAGTTGTGAAATAAAGCTTTGCAACATTCGTTTAATAATTTTTGTCTCTTCATCAAATCTTTTTCTTCCAACTTGTTTCCTTTCCCCTTCATATTTTGTTCCTGTGCTACGTGTGTTTCTACTCTATCCAGATACTCCATTACTGGCCTCCTTCTCTCCTTGAAGCCTACGTGTATTCAGAGGATAGATATAGTATTTATATTCACGACTATGTAGTCCGGGTTGCGGTATCCGTACCGTAATCCAGACACTCCGGAGCCACCTGGCCGGACCGTCTAGGTCTGCTAATCACCACTGCCATGTGGCACACTACCCTAGTATACTTACTCAGTATACTCATATATGCTGACAGAAACCAACGTTTAAAAAATGCGTGATACTTGCATGAAATTATGGTACTTTGGCGTCAAATCCTGTGAGTTTTGTACATTTTTGTGCAGCGTGGGTTGTTATTTCTTATATATAATGTAGTGAGTCTCAAATAAGGTTCTAGCTATTGCATGATGTGATATTTCCTTCGGTTTTTTTAGTGTCAGTTACTAACTAAAAAGTGCATCCATTGACAAATGTCCTAATGTAGTAATATATTAGTGCAAAGGGGTGTTCTACCCATGCGAAGAATATTCTGGGTTGACTTTCTTTCATCTGGATCATTGAAAGATATAGCAGTTTACTTATTAAAAAGTATCCAAATGTTTTAATAATTTCAACTTAAGGAGTATTTCACACTCATATATATGATTTCTAATAGACTGGCCAGCCATGTCATATGCTTCTTGTTCTGTTGAAAACTTGAAATTGTCAAGAACCCTGATTAGCACAATGCAAAAATCAAAATACAAGTTGGAATTGGCAATAATATTGTTAACAGGCAAACCATCAAACTGACTATGAAGCAAAGTTAACTGACCTGCTCTTTTTTTTTTTTTTTTTGCCTTTGATGGATAAGGGCTTAACTTGAGTAATATTTCGGGAAAGCTTGTCAAAGATTAAGAGCACATTCATGAATTGACTCTCAGCAGATGCCCAAATGTTTAAGGTTAATGAGGAAAAAGTCTTTGATAACTAGCTAATCGCATATCACTTGCACCTCAAGAAGTCATGAATGTAAAAAAAAAAAAATGAAGTCCTTTATAGTTATCGGCACTTTGAGGGCAAGTTGTGACTTAGGCACATACATCTATAAAAACATTTTTAGTATTCACATCGCATTTTCAAAAGTAGCAAGCACAACAGAAAAAAATCTATGAGCTTCGTAAGCGATGCGCAACTTTAAGAGGGGCTATTATAAATATTTTTAATTTGCTATTTTTTCCATTATTATTTCTTACCTTTCTATAATTTGCAATATGTGATAATCAAAACCAATAGCACATTTGTACAAGCATTTCTTTTTTTTTTTATGATGATTTACAGTGAAGCCAGAGCTTTAAGGCACATTGGAAAGCTTCCAAACGAATTGATAACAGAAGTTTTTCAACATCTAGATGTTTTTGAGCTTTCATTAATATTGCGAGCATTACTGGAAAGACGTAGGGAATATAAATGTGCGTTGTTTGTATTACTTGGCTCAGTGGAGATTTACTGTCAGCTTCTGGGACACGAGAAGAGGTATAAGAGGCTTGCGAGTCTTCTTACGGTCACCCAAAGATATAAAATTACTTCTGCTTCTAATTACAAATGGGAGCGAGTTCCAGTTGTTACTATCTATTGCGAAAACCTTCCAAGAATTGCAAAATATCAGGCGGCGATAAAAAAGATCGTAATATATGAGAAAAAAGACGAGGGGTCTTGTCGGGATCACGGGCAAGTGGACAAGAGAAAACTCAAAATTATCCAGTTGTTTTTAAAATGTTGTACAAGGGTTAAAGAAATTGAGGTTAATTCTCATCCTATTTTTCGATTTCCCGAATGCACTCAGTTTTTAAGAATCATTAATACGAGATTTGCTTCATCTTTTTCCATACATTTTCCCACACATTTGGATAAAGTTACTATAGCTTTGAGCAATGCAGGCATCCCTCAGAATATCAGAAAAGTATATATTGAAACAGTGAGACTTTGCATTGATCAAAATTTTCGGTTATCAAAGTTAACTGATCTTGAGATACAATGCAAGGAAATCGGAGTCCCATCAAATGGTGTGGCGTTCAGCAGTGATCAGTTCCCATCTTTGGAGAAATTAAAATTCGTGGCCACCACGAATTGCCTACAAGCGCCCTTAGTTATTGATTTAAAAACGTTGAAGACATTGGAATGTTCATTTGGGAGAGGCTATAGCGATGTTGAAATTATTCATCCCGGGCTGATATCATCTTTCACGTCCATGTACGGGCGGTATAGACGGAGCTCACTTCCACCGATTAAAAATGCCAAAAAACTTGTATTGTCCCACTGTTCCGACCTTCCAAATGCCTTTAATCTCGAAGGTATTAATAAACTTGAACATTTGGCAGTGGTTATGTGTAAAAATGGCGCTCCTCAGAGTTTGCAATATTGCAAAAACTTGAAAACTTTGGATCTATCTTCCAATCTGCTCCTCTGGATCAGTCAAAGCATACAAGCTCTTCAAAACTTGGTGTCGCTAAATCTTGAAGAGAATAGAATTTCTAAAATAGAAAATTTGGAGAGCCTCACCAAATTGGAATGGTTACTGTTGAAACGTAATAAAATTGAAATACTTGAAGGTTTAAAATTGCCCAAGCTCAAATATTTGAGCGTTAGTGAAAATCTCTTCTGTAAAATTCAAAATTTGCAAGACCTACGGAGCCTTGAAGGGCTCAGTATATCGTCCAATCACATGTCAACGGACTTTGAAGGATTATACGTGTTGGCAGATACGCTTACTTCTTTTTCTTGTCTTAATGCCTCCTACCATCCAATCTTTGTGAATCTTGCAAGATTGCCTAAACTAAATAGCATCAAGACTTATGATTACCTGATCCGCTTCGATAGATCGTCAATTTTCCCCAACTTAGAGGAATTACTGTGGATACTTACTACTCAGAAGACTTTAGTTTCAAATGTGGACCTCTCATGTATCAAGGAGCTAAAGCTTACTGAAAACCAAATTGTTAATGCGTGTCACCGAGAAAACATGCCTCTAATTGGGAAAATGACAAGTTTAGAAGTTTGCTGTTTGACTGAAGCCGGAATATCTGATGTCAGTTACCTTGCTACATGCACCAAGCTTCGTAAGCTTGATCTATCACATAACATGATAACATCATTCAATGGAATTCAAAATCTTCGATATTTGGAATCCCTTGATATTCTGAAAAACCAATTGGATAGCTTACAGAATGTTGTAGTGAATTGGCCACTGATGACGTATTTTAATCTTTCTTGGTGTGAGATTGTTGAATTACCAACTTTCAACACTCCCAAATTGTCAAGGTTGTTATTGGAAGGTGATAAAATCTATATGAGACTGTTATTAAGGTTGAGGAAGATAAAAAGTTTGAGGTACTTGGCACTTGATCAAGTTGAGCTGTCTTTTATCAGAGCTGTCGGTATACACGCACTATGCTCAGAATATTGAAAAAAATAATTTATGTGATTTATATCCTGAGAACAAGATATTGATGATTGTCGCTTGTGTTTGGTACTTTATATTTTATAACCCTTAATGAAAGGGAGGGAGCTGGGAAATTTTTGCATATAAAAATATGTTTTCAAATTGTGATAATTTATATTTTTGTTTTAATAATTATGTAATCTATACGCTTTATCATCTATAATTTACTTTTATTTCTTTTCCACATAAGATCCAACCAAGAAAAAATAAAATAAAGCTTGCAAGATCAATCTTGAAGACATACCTTTAAGAGACTAAAGCATTCTATATTAAACCTTTATGGATGAGAATAAAAAAAAACTCTTCGTTCCAAAAAAATTAATACACTAGAAACCACCCCACATAAACTACTACTACTAATAATAATAATAACAATAATAATAATAATAATAATAATAATAATAATAATAATAATAATAATAATAATAATAATAATAATAATAATAATAATAATAATAATAATAATAATAATAATAATAATAATAATAATAATAATAATAACAATAACAATAACGAGCAAATAGAAGAAAAAAAATTTTAAGAAATTTTGGAAGCATTAAATAGGCACAAAGTTTTAACGTAACGAAAAAAAAAATGAGAAAAAGTTTTTGAAATTGCAACTCAGCAAGATGGAAAATAAGCCAAAATGAAAATAGTACAAACTATGGGTCTAAAGTAGGAGATTTTTGGGAATATAATACAAACAATAAAAAAAACAAGGGGACTGAAAATTTAAGAATAGCCCAATGAAAGGTGTTTAAAAAGTAACAAACAAAAGCGCTGGAAAAAAACAGGAAACAAGAATTGAGCATTATTGATAACCTTTTTTTTTTTTTTCGATATTGAAAACAGCCATCAGCTCGACTAAATCACACGAATAGTACCGGTAAAATAAGCATTGCCAAGATTCTTATCCAAAAGATTGCTGAATGGTTTGAGTTTGCCGTTACCAAAGCTTCCAATTTCAAACCACCACTGAAGAATGGAATAGATCCATTATTCACGCTAAATCCACTCATAATATCATTATCACTGCTGACACTATATGTCACTTGAGAATTCAAGGTACTGGAAAAACTGTTAGCATTTGTTGCACTAGCAACAGCGGCAGAATTTGAATCATCTGAACTATCATTTGCGCTATTTGAAGCAGAACTTTCTGCAGAACTTTCTGAAGAACTTTCTGAACCTTCTTCGTCACTATTGGAACTGTCAGAGCTTCCAGAATCAGAAGATCCCGAATCAGAAGATCCCGAATCGTTGCCAATATTGCTTGAATTATTGGTGTTACTATTATCAGAAGAAGCTGTATTATCAGAAGAAGATTGGGAATTGGTATTATCAGAGTTGTCAGAGGTAGAACTGGAAGAGCTGTCATTACTTGAGTTGGAGGAACTATCATTACTAGAATTGGAAGAGCTGTCACTGCTTGAGCTGGAAGAGTTGTCATTACCAGAATTGGAAGAACTGTCACTGCTTGAGCTGGAAGAGTTGTCACTGCTAGAATTGGAAGAGTTGTCACTGCTAGAATTAGAAGAGTTTTCGTTGCTTGAGCTAGAAGAGTTGTCACTGCTAGAATTAGAAGAGTTGTCGTCGCTTGAGCTAGAAGAGTTGTCACTGCTCGAATTAGAAGAGTTGTCGTCGCTTGAGCTAGAAGAACTATCATTGCTAGAATTGGATGAGCCGTCGCTACTAGAATTAGATGAGGTACCACTACTTGAGCTGGAAGAGCTACCTGTGGCGGATGATGAAGCATTACTATTGCTAGTACTCGATGAAGCTGACGTAGGTGACGAAGAGCTACCAGAAGTGGATCCAGTAGTTCTAGAACTTGCAGTAGGAGAATCACTACTGTTAGCCAGTGAGAGCGTGTTAGAAGCGGAAGCGCTTGATGCAGTAGCACTTGATGCAGTAGCACCAGTGGCCACAGTATTGTTGGATAATGGGGTAGATGATGAAATGAATGACGATGTTGGTGAGTTAGTGCTCGAGAAGTTTGAACTCATAGAACTAATAGTTGGCAATGTTGAGTTAGACGAAATCGAGGGAGAAGATAATGAGCTTGAACTGCTAGTAAGAGACGGTAATGCTGATGAGTTAGAAATAGAACTGATTGATTGTATCGAGGTTGAACTTGATGAGATTCTCGATGAGGAGGCTGTTCCTGATGTGATACTCAATGAAGATGAGCTTGATGAGACACTTGATGAGGAGGTTGTTCCTGATGTGATATTTATTGAAGGAGATGAGTGAGATGAAAGTGATTTGGAAGAAGATTCAGATAAGCTAGTACTGGATGGGCTAGATCCCGTGATGGAATTACTTGGTGTTGTAAAAGATGGTGAGAATATCGAATACGAAGAAAAGTTATAGCTTGGGGTTTGAGTTATGTGTGGAATAATACTAGAAGGATCTTCAGTTTCGGTGGTACAGAAAATTCCGAAACAGAAACTCCAGGAGATGCTAATACCGGGAGTTGGCAAAGGAACGGTGGTGATATTAAAAGTTGGCAAAGGAATAGTGGTAATATTAAGAGTTGGCAAAGGAATAGTGCTAATATTAAGAGTTGGCAAAGGAATGGTGGTAATATTAAGAGTTGGCAAAGGAATGGTGGTAATATTAAGAGTTGGCAAAGGAATGGTGGTGATATTAAGAGTTTTTGAAGGAACAGTGGTATTAAAAGTTGGTAGTGGTTTAGTAGTGATGTTAATAGTTGGTAATGGGATAGTAGTAATATTGATAGTTGGTAATGGGATAGTAGTAATATTAATAGTTGGAAGCGGTATAGTGGTGATGTTAATAGTTGGTAATGGGATAGAGGTGATATTAACAGTTGACATAGAAATAGTAGAGAAAGCAAAAGATGCCGTTTCTGTTATATTTTCTGAGAAAGTTGCAGTCACCAAACTAGGTGAAATACTGAGACTTGGTGATGGAATCTCAGTGGTATAATTTAATGATATCGATTCCGAAAAACTTAGAATGTCAGAATATGTCAGCATTTCCACCGAAGTCCCAGTATAAGTATGATTGACAAGCCTTGTGGTATTGGTGAGAGTGGATATCGACAAGAAATCGGAAATAGTTGACAGGGAAATCTCTGTTGGAGAAATGTTGATTACTGATGATGAAACTGTTGCCAAACCTGTATCAGAAGTGTAATTAGAAGTGGTGCTTGAAAGACTCAATATTTCACTGGTGCCAGGCACTGTGATGGCGGTGGGGTTTTCTGAAAAATTAACGGTGACGGTTTCAAAATACAAGACCTCCAAGTCGATTCCAATATAGAGTTGGTCGCCATAAGAAATTGTAATCAAGATATCGAGAAACTCAGAATGCAACCAAGAAGGGAGCTCAAGAAAGGTAATTACTTCTGCAGCGAAGGTGAAAGTAGCAATGGTGAAATCATCCAACCCCCCTAAGAGGCCTAGATAACTTGCCACTATTTCGTCAAAAGCATTTAGAGGTGACGAAACTGATGATTGAGTGATCATTGGAGCATGAGTCTGGGATGTTGTTGGCTGATGGAATTCGGTTTGCGGAGCCAAAGTTGATATTGATTTAGCAGAGGTTGTTGGAAAAGCATAGTACGAAGGTTGAAAATGATTTGTAGCTGCGCTGAATGATGATGATGATGATGATGATGAAGAAGAAAAATGTGATGAAGCTGAGTACAGTAGTGATGTATTAGAATAGATGTAAAAAGGAGGAGCTCTTGCCTCAGTGAGGCTGGCGATAAGGGCTATTACGATAAGCACATAGCTGAAAATGGCATACCCAAACATTTGCACAAATGAGTATTAATAGCAGTAAATATTGTGAAAGATGGAATCAAAAACAACCAGTAGAAGAGGAAGAAGAACAACAAGAAGAGCCCCAAAAATCTTCTTTCCTCATTTTTTTCCTTCCTGCCAAATTTTTCCAAATCCTCTTTACTTCCGCATTGAGAATCTGTATCCCTCTGCATGTGTCTGTGTGGAGCGGTGCGCACACAATTACTGGTTATTTTGGGATCTCATTTGCCGTGGTGGTGGGCCTGTGTTTGATTTGTTATCTACGTGTATTGTGTGGAAATATAATATCTTGTTCTGCCTAGTGATATCTTTGATACAGCCCTATGTATTATTGCCACTGGAGTCTTGTCACTGGGATCTTGCTAGCATCAGGGGCACATGTTGACATTTACCATGATTGATCACAGAACCCTGCCAAAAAGACGGCTGGTATGGTGAGACAAACATGAGTGGAGGATCGCCGGAAAGGAATTATACGATCAGAAAATCGCAGTGGTTTATTCACTATACATTAACGAGGTCATCCGCACCGATTGTTTGGGTATTCTCGGTAGATGTGGTGGTCTACAATTCTTTGTAGTGGTACACGAGAACCGGTGTTGGACAATCAGCACAGTCAGTGAGTTGGATAAACGGTGGAAACCTTATTTGCTCACACGCAGAAAAAGCCTGTCTCTTTTATCACCGCAGGGTGACCCTCTCTTTCTATCCGATTACATAAGTGATTACAGGTAGGCCGCCCGGATCATCATCAATTCCACAACCTCGGCGGTTATTTTACACCTTTTATATATCACAAAGAAGAGTCAAGTCTATTACTTACGGAAATAGGTGGCATTGAGCTTATTATCCAAATGCTGTCTGGCGGTCAACAAGTCCCCATCGGCGGTGTTGTTGGCACCTCTTCCCTTGGCCGCCCTAATGATATCGCTAGGAATTGGTTCCAACAAGGTATCGTGCTCAGGATGTGAGAAGAACACAATAGAGTATCGATCCTTTTTATCACGAATACTTGATTCCGGGAACTGGACTCTGTGGATGGTCGACTTCAAGATTCCCGCGGTCCAGTACGACAACTGATCACCAAAGTTGACAATCAACGGAGGCGCCGATCCTGGATACTTGCTGCTGATATATGGGACTTTCTTCCAGCCATTAGCATAGATTTCCAATCCCTCCTGGCCTTCGAATTGGAAAAGTGCTGTGACAGTCCCGTAATCAGTGTGGGCCCCCGCTCTGATCAAAGTACTTGAGTCAAATGAGTCTTGAGACGGGTATTTCAAGAATCGGAGAATCGAGCCATTAGGTTCATTAGGACGGTTCTTGTTAGCAAACCAGTGTTCTCCGCCAGCTGCTTTTTCGATCTTCAACCCAATAGATAAGTATCGCAAGCTCTCCAATATCACATGGTAGAGTTTCTTATTAACAGTTTCGACGAGCTTCTCATTGACCGGATCTTTAAACAATAGAGGCATGTCTTGATGTGGTTTACCATCTTCGAAAGTGATATCCCCGAAATTCCAAGCTTCTTTTGGATCGCCACTGGTTTTTGCTTCTTCAGAAAGGTCCAATTTCTCCGATCGCAAGCACGAGTAACCCTTGTTGGTTTCGTCGATTGGATACTTTGCTTTCTCAAGGGTTGGTAATTGAAAGAATTTCTTGGAAAGTCCGAGTAATTCATCAATTTCTTTTTGAGAAAAGTCATGACCATCGATGAAAAGGAACCCTTGGGTTTGGGCAGCTTCTAGCAAATCATCAACGATCTGTTGCTTATCAGGGTTTTTAAGATCGATAACTTTCAATGGATTTTCTTCGGGCATGATTGTGTGATAATTATGGTAATTATAATGATAATAATGATGTTGGTAATGATAATATTAATAACTAGCAAAAGGAAAAAATGAAGAATAGATATCTCTTTTGATAAGAACAAAATAAGATGATTCCATACTTTTCTTTTTTCCGAGGATCTGCCGAGCGGCGGGTAGCAACGGATTTATTTCCTTCTGAAGAGGGGCGGGGATTAGTCAGCGGAAGGCTGTTAACTATAATGATATTTTGGGATATTCCAAGGCATATTGGTATAGTTAATTATATATTCCAAGGTTTATAGGAATACTTTTACGACACCTTTAGGATATTGTTATTGTGGGGGCATAAGTCTGCTTGCAGTTGTTGTGGAATACGAAAATATTCGAACTCCGATGAAATACGACATCTTTGAAGTGTCTGCTATTGAGAGATCATGATTTAATTATCAATACTTTTATGATTTCCAACGCAATGATATGTTATAATAGTACAGACTATATTACCTCCGTTATATTCCCATGATTATTAATGGCCCATGGAATTAATGGTTAACTCCTCCGGAAACAATAAGGCCTGCAAAAAGAAAAAAAAACTTTCTTTTTTCACTTTCAGAGTACATAATGCGAATGATTTTCCACTTTGTTGAATTAATACTACAATATCCGTTACACAACTACAGCTACAATCTATTTAAAAACACACAAAAATGGCAAAATATCCTGAAAAATTCACCGGTTTCGGGGTGCTCAACCATGAAGAATGGAATCACCCAAAGAAGGTCGAGTTTGACCCAAAGCCTTGGGGTGACCACGAAATTGATATCCAAATCGAGACTTGCGGGGTTTGTGGCTCTGATGTCCACTGTGCTCACGGTAGCTGGGGGGAAACTTATTCCCCAATTATTGTCGGTCACGAAATTGTTGGTAAAGTTTTGAAGGTTGGCAGCCAAGTCGAAAACATTAAGGTTGGTGACCGTGTCGGGGTCGGCGCCCAATGTTCCTCATGTGGCGAATGTGATCTTTGCCAAAACGGCAACGAACAATACTGTGTCAGCTGTGCCTGGACTTACGCTGGTAATATTGGCGAATGGAACACCCAAGGTGGGTACGCTTCGCATATCAGAGTCCTTGACCGTTTTGCTTTTGTGATTCCCGAAAAATTAGAATCCAAGTACGCCAGTCCTTTGCTTTGTGGGGGTTTGACAGTGTACTCTCCTCTTGTACGTAACGGATGTGGTCCCGGTAAAAAAGTTGCCATATCTGGTTTGGGTGGGTTAGGCCATCAAGCAGTAATGATCGCTAAGGCTTTGGGTGCTCATGTTACAGTGATCAGCAGATCTGATTCCAAAAAGGAAGATTCCTTCAAGATGGGGGCCGATCAATACATTGCCACCAACGAAAAAGGCTGGGCTGCTAAGCACGCCGGAGAATTTAACCTCATTCTCAATTGTGGTAGCTCGCTTTCTGGTATTGATATGCAATCGATGCTTGCTGTCTTGACCAGTGCTGATGGTCGTTTTGCCAGTATTTCTGCTCCTCCAATCACCGAAATGTGTTCATTCTCCCCATTCTCCCTTATGGGTAAATCTATCTCTCAGCACGCTTTGGGTAATGCTAAAGAAATGAGAGACTTATTGCAATTATGTGCTGACAAGGACATCAAGCCATGGATTGAAGAAATTCCAATCAGTGAGCAAGGGACACATGAAGCTTTGACCAGAGCCGACAATGGTGATGTCAGATACCGTTTTGTGTTAACTGACTTTGAAAAGGAGTTCAAGGACGCCTATTAAATGAGCCAAAGTATATGTAATGAACTAGATAGACGAATAAAATATTCTTTAAGAAGAATGTTAACGTAATATGCATGACAACATGCCTACAGTAACGTACTTTGCCTTTAAGGGCAACATAAAAAAACATCCAAATCACTTTGTAACTACAGTCTTTGTTTTCATATCTTTTGCAAACCTTCTAGAATCAACACATTTATCACCATCTCTTATCATGCCATTTATTTATTGTAGAAAATGGTTTCATAATAATCTGCGCCCAGCTATTGGCCAATTTCCACTACTATTCGCACCGCGGCCCACCAAATTCTTTACCCCAAAAATTTTTTTATTTTTTCTTTTCTGAAAATTTGTTCCACGAATGAATCATTCAAAGTAGTTAAGCAGCGCGATATTCATTATCACAGGTTACACTACAAGAACATCTACAGTTGTTGATTTAGTGTCTACTCTCTTCTTATAAATATTCTAAAAGAAATCCCAAGAAAACAAAACAAAACAAAAAAAAGATAATGGAAGCTGTTGTTCGTCAATCAATGGGATGCTGCCCATTTGTTCGTCAAGCATCGATGAACACAATGAAGAACTTTTCATTGGCCGACAAGGCCATCGCTTGCCCAGTTATGGGTCCTGCAGTCATGAAGGCTAAAGAATCAAAGAACTATTCCACTGCTTCTAAACCTTTGACCGCTGCTGCCGCTGCTGCCCCATCATCCTCTGCTAACGCCGCCGCCGCTGCTGCTGCTGTTGCTCCTCAACCATTTGTAGCTGCCGGAGTTTCTAACGAAACTGCTTATGACTACGAAGGGATGTTCGAAGATGAGTTGATGAAGAAGCGTCAGGACAAGTCCTACCGTTATTTCAACAACATCAACCGTTTGGCCAAAGAGTTTCCAAAAGCTCATAGAGACTTGGAATCCGACAAGGTCACGGTGTGGTGCTCCAACGATTACTTGGGAATGGGAAGAAACCAAGAAGTGTTAAAGGCCATGCAAGCCTCTTTGGAAAAATACGGTTCTGGGGCCGGGGGTACCAGAAACATTGCTGGTCATAACAAGCATTCCATGGCTCTCGAAGCCGAATTGGCAGCTTTGCACAAGAAGGAAGCTGCTTTGGTTTTCAGCTCTTGCTTTGTCGCTAACGACTCGGTGTTATCCTTGTTAGGTCAAAAAATCAAAGATTTGGTGATCTTTAGTGACGAATTGAACCACGCGTCGATGATCACCGGGATTAAGCACTCTGGGTCCAAAAAGCATATTTTCAAACATAATGATTTGAGTGATTTGGAAAGTAAGTTGGCAATGTACCCTAAGTCTACTCCTAAATTGATTGCCTTTGAATCGGTTTACTCCATGTGTGGATCGGTTTCTCCAATTGACGAGATTTGTGATTTGGCCAAGAAATATGGGGCCATTACCTTTTTGGACGAAGTTCATTCTGTGGGGATGTACGGTCCTCATGGTGCTGGGGTTGCCGAACATTTGGATTTCGACGCTCACTTGGCCACCGGGATCAGATCTCCAGAATTCAAGACCGTTTCTGACAAAGTTGACATGATCACCGGGACTTTGGGTAAGACTTTTGGTACTGTTGGTGGGTATGTTGCTGCCAGTGCTAACCTCGTTGATTGGGTCAGATCTTATGCTCCAGGATTCATTTTCACCACTTCTTTGCCTCCATCCGTGATGGCCGGGGCCATTGCTGCCGTTAGATACCAAAGACATACTTTGGAAGACCGTATCTTGCAACAAAACCACGCTAGATACCTTAAGTCCAATTTTGCAAGAATCGGGGTGCCAGTGATTCCAAACCCATCACACATTGTGCCAATCTTGATTGGTGATGCTTTCAATGCAAAGAAAGCCTCCGACTTGTTGATGGACAAGTATCGTATTTATGTCCAAGCTATCAATTTCCCAACCGTTGCTAAAGGTACTGAAAGATTGAGAGTCACCCCAACCCCAGGTCACACTAACGATTTGAGTGATTTCTTGCTTGCCTCAGTCGATGAGATCTTTACTGATTTGAATTTGCCAAGAGTCAGAGATTACGAAATCATGGGTGGCTTAGCCGGTGTTGGTACCGGGGAAGTTGTCGAACCAGTGTGGACCAATGAACAATTGAAATTGACTTCTAAGGATTTGAATTCCAATGTTGTTGACCCAACTTTTGAATACTTGGGAAGCTCTTCAGGTTATGATTTGTGAGAAAATGTGTTTTAAAGATGGATTGATTAACTTTTAAATCACAAAAGATTTTTTTTTTTTTTTTTTCGTTTGTTATTTTATTATTTCATTATTTTATTATTTTATTTTATCTTAATTTTTTTTTTTCTATAATGCCTTGGATTTTTTTTTTTCACTTTCTTTTATTTATAGTGACTACTAGATAGTCACAAAAGATATTTAAAAGCATAGTGTTTTTCTTTTTCAATAGGAAATTATAGTTTTTTTTTATTTTTTACTATTACTGAGAATTTGTAAACTCATAGAATTGGAATAGAAAGGGGAAAATAAAGAAAATATAAAACAAATAATATACAAATGCAAAAATATTGAATGATCACCATACCATTCAACCATCTATCTCCACATCGTCATCGTCATCATCATCGCCATCGTCATCATTTAAGTATTCATTTGTCGCCGACAAAAGGTACTCATCAATAGTTCCTTGAACAATTTGCCGAGAATCATGGAATTCTTGTAAATTGTCACTGAACAACGCTCCTCGTTTGTACCCATCTAAAAAGGCGTTTCTTTTGATCAATTTGTCGTATTGCGAGCAATTTCGCTTGAATAATGAGACGATCGACGAAGAATTCGCCAACATTAGGCCACTGACTAATTTCTTGTGTTTGGTTTTGATAAATTGCAGTTCAGAAGTCATTTGATACTCCAAAAACCTGGATTTCTTACCGTAGATCAAATTAACGCTCGAATTGGTCCACGGGACAAAAGTTATCCGTTGTTGAAACCGCAGTAACCCTTTGACGATATCATTTTCGTCGACTTTCCCTTGAAGAAGATTCAAAATCGAAATGTAGCTATCATTACCACCCTTGTTGTCGGATTTTACCATCCGCAAATTCTTATTCAACAATTCCAATAATACATCGTACCCTGTGGATCTTCGTACGTCTTTGGCATCATTGACAAATTCCGAAGTGAATGGATAAAACGATGGTGTAAGGAAATGTAAAGTCGGGGTGGGAATCAATGATGATAAGATGCTGCTCATGGAATTGTACATTGCCGTGGGGAATCGGAGAGGATTGGTCATTCCTGCCATCACCGTCGATACCAATTGATTAGTTTGTTCAAAAGAAATATTGGAGGTACGTAAATTAGCCAACGCGAGAGAATTCAACGCGGCATTATCGAATACCACACACGAATCGGCAAATTCGATCAATCTTTTCAAAGTAAGGATGGTATTATACGGTTGGACCACCACATCAGAAGTTTGATCATTGGCAGGAAACACCGAGTAAGTCTGTACCAATTTCTTAGCGTACCGATCGGCTAATTGTTCTAATAAAAAAGAACCTAGACCTGACCCAGTACCGCCAGCCACCGAGTGGATCAATTGGAAACCTTCCAAGTTATCACAACTGTCGACTTCCCGATCAATGATATCGATCAATTCATCGATATGGGAAGTCCCATAATCGTACCCTTGCGACCAGTTATTACCGGCCCCACTACCACTGGCACTGGTATAAATATTTCGAGGGTTGAATAAATGCGGGAATCGATTAGAGATATTGGAAACCACCCTGGGTTCAAGATCAAACAAGATCCCTCGCGGGGTGAACCGATTATCATCATCTTGGTTGAAAAACACGTTTGGGTAGTCATCTCGTGAGCTGCGAGGTTTATTATCATGTGTGTCAAATAGTCCAGGATACTTATTGATGTCTCGTAATGTGCCATCGATGGTGTTGATGCCATGTTCACGACAGAGTTGGTTCCAGAACTCCTGGCCAATCTGGTTACCACATTGTCCTGCTTGGATCGTTACCACTTCGCTGGGTTTCTAGTTAGTCAAATGAGAATAAATGAAATATTATAAATAGCAGACATACCCAGGCATAGTAATTTGATGGTATCTTCGTATGATAATAGTAACATAAATATTCAGTTATGTTTATTTATTAATTTAGAAAAAAAAAACATCGCAGAATGTCGGGTGTTGCACCCTCCATATTTCTCCATAAACTCCAAAAAATATTGTTGATCTCTAATTGTATCTTTCATCTTCTAGTTCTCTGTATATTATATCTATATAACCTCAGATAATTGTCCTGCTTTCGCTTTTTCCTCCTCCTCCAACTTCTTCTTCCTGGCTAACGCTTTCTGCTGGAGCACCGCATCTCGTCTCGCCATCCCTTCTTGAATCTTTCTGTGTCTTCGTTCTTCCTTGGTTTCTTGTTTCTTATCAGGTTTCAGCAGCATCATTGACATCATCTTTTCAATACTTTCGTGTAATTCTTGTAACTTCTTTGTGTTTTGATGGAATTTGTCTCGAGACATCTGGGTTAACACTTTTAAAACATATTGCTCAACAAATACATTGATCTCCCCGGTTTTTTCATCGAGGTACCCAATAGGTACATCTAATCTGATCGATACTCTGATAGCAACATTATTGTTTTTCCCAATCCCCGATTCTCTAAACCCACATCCCATGGCGGTCGAATACAACTCACATGCCGTTGGGTAATCGGCACATAAAACGTGTAAGATCAACGGTTCAAACTTAAAAAGCAAGTATCTTGTAGCAATATCATTTCCAGCATTAGTCACTGCTTCGGGATCTCGTAGTTGGTGAACGTCGTTTTGTAAAAATTCATCGTCCCATCCGTCTAGTTCATTAACGTCATGGGTGACAAATAACCATTTCCCTCCTTCGCCTTTTCCTCCAGCTTTGACATTCGATGATTCAGAAACGATTTTGGAACCTTCTAGGAACACACTGACCCTTCCTGAGCAAGTGGAGGTGGTGACCATGTTGGGACTGGAGTTGATGAGGTTGATGATCGGCATACAAAGGATATCGATGGTTCCTTTGGGCGAAGCATCGGGCGAATCAGGAGAGTTCTCCTTGATTGACTCAAGAATTGCTGCTTTTTTTTGTAAAAAAGGGTTTTGCTTCATTGTTGCGATATATTAGTGGATATCAAAATAGTGGATATCTTGATGAAAGAAGAAGATTTTTTTATCCAAGAAAAAATATCAGATGTCAACTACCAAGCAGTACCACTAAATTAACTATATAATATATAATATGTATTTATGAAGTATCTAAAATAACTACAGCATAACATAAAATTTATATAACACAAATGATTAAATTATACACTATTTACATACATCGAATGCCTTAAGACAATAACTGGTCCAACTGTTTTTGAAGTTGGTTTGGCTCTTTGCGTCGACCATGTTTATTATTCTGCTGGAAATCGTAGTCATTAATGGTTCTTGGACCAGAACTTCTGGTCTTGGCCAATCTGATCACTCCTACCCGTAGCTGGTCTAAGAAATCAGGGTGTAATCGATATGTCTTGGTCACCTTCTCCCTGGTGGCTCCGGTATCCAAATCGCCTAGGATCGCCGAGATGGTTCGTGGATCTAGCAAAGTTTTATTTTCGGTTTGGAGCTTGCTATCTTGGCCAATCTTGTGCAATTGTTTTCTGATGTTCAATGTCCGGATTGCAAGGTTATTCTTGTCAAGTTTGATCTTTTCCTCGGTGAGTTTGACCGTGCCTAATGACATTGCTTTGGCGTTGTAGTCGGGGTCCATGCCGTCCTTGGTGGAAGTATCAGGGGCTTCTCTGTGGTTCGATGGGCCGTTGTTATTGTTAGTTGGGGGTCTGATAGAATCGTTAGCTCTTCTGTGGAGGTTAGTTGTTGGTGGGGCATTCTGTGGTGGTTTGTGGACTTGGCCAAGGGGATCGATTTTGGAGCGTTTTAAGTGATTGGTTGTCGATGCGGTTTTCGCTAGGTTTCTTGCAGACGATGATTTGGAGGCAGCAGAACCCATTTTAATAGAGGATAACAATAGGGTGAATGATGAAGAAAGAGAGAAAGATATACAGATGGCTAATTGGGGGGGGATAAAATTTGGTTGGGTTTTTTTTGCCCTATTCGGTCCTCCTCAGATTATGTAAGCGGCGGTGGGACGATTTGATTATTTCTGCCTACAAACACATACAAACAAATAACAACAATACTTTATATATTCATATATACATTATAATAATACTCATTTATACAAGACCAATCTCCATCTATTCTGATTTGACGGTAGGATCGCTTTTCACTGGACGCTGCATCATGACAATATTCTTTCTGGTGGTGTTCAATTTAATGTCATTGACTGGTCTCAAGGCAATACTTTCTTCGGTGGAGTAGAACAATTCCTTGGCCTTTTCCACTAATTCTCTAAACTCTTGTTCTCCGTTTTCTCTAAATCTCACCAACTTATCAACGTTTCTTTGGGTGGTTTCGTCAATTTCCAATCCTTGTCTCTCCAATCTGGCAACGATTCTTGCACAGAGCCAGAATTTGATTTCTCTTTCGCCATCGACCAATTCGACAATTGCTTGAGGAGCCTTATCCCCGAATCTTGGTTCTAACTTCAACACTCTGGTGTACCCACCGTTTCTGGTCTTGTAACGTGGGCCTAATTCTTCGAACAATTTTGGCAAAGTGGTGCCTTGTCTGAACAATTTCCCTTGGGCCAACGATCTTGCCTTTTCCTGGTTCTCCATCTTGGTGTACGATATTATTCTTTCAGTGAATGATTGGGCTTCTTTGGCCTTGGCCCATGTTGTGGTTATTGATTCTTTTTCCAATAAATCGGAAGCCAAGTTTTTCAAAAGCGATCTTCTGTGAGATGCTGTTCTGCTGAGATGTCTATGAAGGACCATAATAGAGATATAATGATAATGATAATAGTGATAATAGTGATAATAATAAGATAATAATGATAACGGTGCCAGTCTCCCAGCAGCCAATATGATCAACGAAATTTTTTTTTTTTTTCTTCTTTTGGGCGGCGGTCGCTGCGTGTCCCAGGGCTCGTGGCACTGGTGATCATCCACAAAAAATATTCACAGTTGCAATTGTCACCCTTCGATCACTGCCATCGCTATCACAGTATCAGTATCAGTAGCACATTAAATATGAGTGGCAGAATACACGGGTTCCTAGGCGGGGTGTTGCTCACCTCCTCGTTAACTTACCTCACGGCGTTGGAATTCAGAAAGAACAGAGACATTGTCTCGCAATCGTTGATCACCTCAAAAGACATCATCGAAAACAGACACAATAGAGACACCACTTACGTGCCTGGCACCAATTCCATCAACTACAATGACAGATCCAATATCAGAGAATCGTTCGCCGATATCTGGAATAGCGAAATCATCAAGGGTGTCAATTGGGTCTACAGCATCAACTGGCTAGCAGCCGGCGAGAAGGTCGAGCGTGGGTTGAGAAAATTGGTAGAATCCAAATAATAAAACTTATCTGATCATCTATCTATCCATAACTCTTAAATCATAATCATATCAAAAATATACAATCATATCAAATAATAAATATATTCTAGCATATATTGTAAGTAACACCCGGCAGAAAGAAAGAAAGAATAAAAAAAAAAAAAACAATACATATTTACAAATACTGAAAATTCACACCAAATCAAACCATTTGCTGACTGATTTGTTGATAACTTGGAATGTCTGAAACCGCTCCCAACGCCGCTAACGAAATCTTGCCGGCCCCCAATCTATAGTTACACCAATTCACAATATCATCCTTATTCACTCGGTTCACCGCATCAAACACTTCTTCTGGAGTCAATCTCTTCCCGGTAGATACAATCTGTCTCCCAATATCTTCGGCCACCGCAGTAGTCCCATCCAATGATAATAATAACGATGCCTTCAATTGGTTCTTTGCCTTTTCCAATTCTTCCACTGCAAATTCTCCTTTCTTCAACCGTTTCCACTCATCCAAAATCCCTTGAATCAATTTCTCATTGTTACTGCTGTCAGTGGTCAAATAAATCCCCCATAACCCAGTGTCGGAATAAGAAGTGGAAAACGACATAAATGAGTTGGCAATCGGGGTGTTGTTAACTCCGGCGTAAGCAACAGTATTCACCAACTTTGATGGATTATTAAGACCATTCCCCATCGAACGATCCCAGGTACCAATCATTGCTTGTACCACCAAAGAAGTGAAATATTCTGGCGATGACCACGACACCCCTTCGACAGAAATCGCAATGTGGGTTTGAGGGACCGACGCATCTTCCACCTTCATTTCACTCGATTTGAAAACCGGCAAATCGTAATGAGGAGTTTCGCCAAACATATTCTCTCTACTTTTGGTCTTGGATAAGTGGCCAAAGCTGTTTTCGGCAAACTCACACAACTTAGCATGATCAACCGCCCCAGTACCAATCAACGCCATCCGATCCCCTTTATAATTCTCATTGATATAATCGACCAAGTCGTTTCTTTGGATCGACAAGATATTTTCTCTTGGTCCCAAGATCGTCATCCCCAAAGGTTGATCTTTGAACGCCACTGAATGCAAATGGTCAAACACCACTTCGTCGTACATCTTGTCCACCTCTTCACTTTCTCTGATAATCACGTCCCGTTCTCTTTCAATTGCTCGAGGATCAAGCACCGAATGGGTCAAGATGTCGGATAAGATTTCTATGGAGTTCGGAATATTCTTCTGCAATGTCTTTGCGTAATATACCGTTGTCTCTCTCGAAGTGTAAGCGTTCAAATGTGACCCAATGTTTTCGATTTCTAATTCCAACCCGGTTTGTGTTCTATTCTTTGTTCCTTTGAACGACAAATGCTCCAAGAAATGGGCTGTCCCATTGTTCTTTGTAGTTTCTGCCCTGGACCCAGAATCAATCCACACCCCGACGGTGGCGGTCGAGGTGAAAGGGATGTTTTCAGATACCACCGTTAACCCATTGGATAGCTTGGAGATTTGGGTCTTTGGCAACGACGATGACACCGAGGCGAATCCTCTGGTGGCCAATCTCTTTGCAGAGACACCCATAAACTTTGAATTCAACATGGTGATTAGTTTATGGACTTTTGTTGATTACAAATTGTAGTAAGAAAGAAACAATCGATGGATGAATTTTTTCAGTATATTGATACTGTCCGGTTACCCTGTTCTTTTGTTAAATATTCCTGTCATCGCCATCATCATCATCATTATCACCATTAGTATTACCATTAGTATCATTCATCTTTTGGTTCAGTATTAAATACCATTAAAAATGACCAATACATCGCATCCTAGTGTCTACTCGTCGTTAGCGTACCAATTGGCAGCAACTTTGGATGGTCATTCGTGCGGCCACCCCCATTCTGCTGAAGGTTCCAGCTTCCTTAGCACCACCACCGTCGATTTGAACGAATTGTTAACCAGAAAACAAAACTCTGAAGATACTGATATCTTGGACACCCAAAACTTCTACAAATATGACAATTTCACCCCGCAATCTCTCAAACACTCAAAACCGTGGAAGATCAACCCGACATATTTCCAGACTGTCTACATCTCATCATTGGCCCTTATGAAAATGACAATCCACGCGGATTCTGGTGGGGATATCGAAGTCATGGGGATGTTGATTGGCAAAATTATCAACAAAGGAATGGTCGTGATGGACACTTACTCGTTGCCGGTTGTCGGCACAGAAACTAGGGTCAATGCCCAGGCAGAATCATACGAGTATATGGTTAGTTATTTGGACCATTTAAAGAAATCGGGGTACAGAAACGAAAATATCATTGGTTGGTATCACTCTCATCCTGGTTATGGGTGCTGGTTAAGTGGGATAGACGTTGCCACTGAAAGTTTGAATCAGAAATTTCAAGACCCATATTTGGCCATCGTTATCGATCCAAAAAAGACCAAGCTCGATGGTAAAGTGGAAATCGGGGCGTTCAGAACCTATCCAGAGGATGCTGATGTTCTGAGTCCGGCGAACACCACTACCGTGGAAATGGATGGCTCTAATGGAACAGTAATTCCAGATGTCAAATTGAAGGACTTTGGTGCTCACTGTTCGGAATATTATTCGCTTGACGTAAAAGTGTTCAAATCAAAATCTGATGAATCGGTATTGAAGTTATTATTGGATAATTATTGGATTTCTGGGCTAACGGACTTAATTGACGATGATGATGACGAGGATTTGAATTTGTTAAATAAATTGGACACCATCATTGATACTCGATTAATTTCCGCCATCAACAAATTCGACAAAAATTACCCCAAAATTAGCGCCAAACTCTCCAAAAAATCTGATAACAAAATAAATCTTAAAAAAAAAGTGGTTGCCAAAAAACCAGAGTTTCCGGGGTTAAAATTACCAAACTACGAAGTGGCGTCGAATATTGAAATCATGAAACTACATCAACATCACCAGCTTGGCAAAAAAAAAAAAGATGATGAAATCTCGGAAGATTATTATGATGAGGAGGTTTATGATGAAGATGAAGATTATGAAGAAGATGATGACGGTGATGAACTTAGTGGTTTTATGAATTCTCGGATGACAGAATCGCTTAGTACTTTAAAGCCACTAAATGAAGTTGTTCCTCTCGTGGATATAAATATGAAGGAGGTCGATGATGAAGATATGGAAGAAAACTACAATTCGGTGGACTCTGACACATCCATCGACAATATTTCAACATTTTCTTCGTCTTCCGGGGTCATTACGAATCCTAAATCGAGCAGCCACGCTAGCAAGATCAACAGTGGTAGTAGTAGCGCGACATCGGAAATAGAAGCCAAATCCTCGGTAGCTTCAGAAATAGATGATGAAAAAAAATCAACAGAATTTGATTCACGGTATCGTCGTGGCAAAAATATTGGTGGGTACTATGAAACGCTTCAAGCGGTGTCTAGGAAATCCAGTTCTGGTGCACATCATGAGAGGCAACAGTCGTCGACCAATAATCAGAATAAGTTTACAGAAATTGGGAATGAGCTAGCCAATTTATCTAATTTGACAAAGAGTATTGCTGGTGAAGACTTGAGAAATTCTATAAGCTTGAAATTGCAACAGGAACTCTTTTTTTAAGTAGTGTTTGCTCTTTTTTTCATTTAACGATTATATGTATTTTTCAGTTTGAATAGCTGGCTTTTTATATTACATATCTACTCCTTGTACTGTAAAAACACAACAAAACATGTGTTGTTTTTGCTATTTTTTGTTTGTTTGTTTTTTTTTACCAAAGACAAGAAGTGCAATAAAATCCAAGGAAGAATGATTAATTATTTTTAATGATTGATCAATGGTATGAATCAATACGAAAAGCTTTTCAAATTGGCAAGTATTTCTTTGAAGGAGGCTGAAACAAACACAACCTTCTAGTAGTCCAAGGCTAAATTATGATGAAACTTGTGCCATATGGATCCTCTAATTTCGTGTATTTGGTATCTAACATTATAGGTATTTCTGCATTTTCAGTATGAGAGGGACTTTTTCCAGCAACGCCATTAGTACCATGGCTAAGGAGAAAAGTACCGCTAGACTAACCACACATTATTACATTGGTGGAGGGCTGGTTTTTTTTCTGAGCAACAGAGATTATATTTATCAGAAATTAGTTAAAAGGCGATGAAATGAAATAACAAGCTATAATACAATAACAATGCGGGTCCACGAAACCGGCGCAGAGTGCTAGAACTGAAGAGAATAGAGAGGGGCAGATAAAGAGAGAGAGAGAGAGAGAGAGAGAGAGAAAGGACAATGAGCTGGTAGAAAGTCTAAAAAAGAAACAAGAAATGAAAGCAATAAATATTTCAGAAAATGGTACAAGGTGTATGATGAGGGAGCAGTCAAAAAAAAATCACTTCAATGGTGGAACGTTTTGTGACCAGTAAGATGTATCACCAGTGACCACGATATTACCCATTGGGTAATACTCACATACCACATAGGTACCCCATTCGTTATCACAATTCTTGTAGGCACATCCCAATTGAGTACTGGCCTTCCAAATCAACTGGGTGAAATGCCCAGTGGACTCGCTGAACCCAGGGCTATTGTAATTGTATTGCTTGATTTCGTCGTACCACGCATCCACAGTGCCTTTGTTGGAGTACCCACTAGCCAAATTTTCCCCATAATCCCCTCCAGAGTGGGTCAAAGCCCCATTGGAAGGACACGAGTATTTGTCGGCGTATGCTTGGGCGTACGCTTCAAGGGTCGAACTCCAGGTCAATGATCCCACTCCTTGATGGAGGGCTCTTTTGACATTATGTTCGCTGAGCATCACACTCTGGAAAGAGTTGAGTGTAGAAGACGCGGCAGCGGCAGAAGTAGAAGCAGCGGCAACAGTACTAGTGGAAGAAGTGGTAGCAGCAACAGCGGTGGCCGAAGAGGTGGTGGCAGCCTTTACTTGTGCGACGGTTGTTGGGGCCACGGTGGTGGTGGTAGCTGTGGCGGCAGAAGTGACATAAGTACTTCTATAAGAGGTGATTTCTACTTCTTTCCCCAACTTGGTGGCGGTCCCAGAAGTATAAATTGAAGATCCTCCGTCGTACACTGTGGCCTGGACGTCGACTGCCTGAGATACCACGTCTGTTTGTACAATGACGTGGGTGATAGCCTTTGCACTGGCTAAGAATGAGGCAAGAATGAGGATAATTGACGGAACCATTCTTGCTATTCTCTGATGACAAAATATTTGAATATAACTTATTTATTTATTTGTTAGTGATGAATTTGCTGATTTTATACGGGTGTTGAAGAAACGGTGATGATATATGTATGCAGCCTTTTTTGATCAAACGAATGAATTTGGTGGAATATAAATATTTATTATCTTATTTTCCGCTCTTTTAGAAAGGAGAAGTATTGAGATAAACAAATTACAACAGACGACTGTATATATATATATATATATATCGTATTTATTTCAGCGGGAATGTTGGGCTTGGGTGCTACCACACTTTGGTAGTGAATCCGCTGCAGCCCCACCAAATCGCCGCCAATCTCTCTCACAAGCAATCACAGACGGCAACAGTGCTGGAATTTGGGATTATTGACCTGGCAATCAGGGTTTGTATCATAATAGGGGCTTTCTTCCCTCCACCTTTGCCGAATCAATGCGCGTTTTTGTTGTAAGACCCTGTTCCAACTTACATGTAATTTTTGATCACCGCATATTTCAACAATCATTCTCCTAAATATAAAAATTCTCCTGTTTTTACATTTACTATTAAAAAAAAAGAAAAAAAAAAAAAATTTAAATTCACAATATCATCATTATAACCCTCCATGAAGAATTGAAAGCAAATCGTTCTTAGGTTTTTCTTTAGGTTTCTGTAATATTGATAATAACTCATCTGATCCGCCATTTTGTTGTGAATTCATCCCACCACCATTCAAAATTGACAATAATTCATTACCGCCAGCGTTGCTGGTTAATGTAGGTGCAGATCTTTCAATCAGTTCCAACAGTTCTGGCTTGGATATCGGGATCCCAGGTTGTGGTTGTTGCCTAAGAATTGATAATAATTCATTATTTCCAGATGCTGGCGTAGCAGGCCTTTGTTGGTGGAGAATAGACATCAATTCATTACTGCCGTCATTTTGAGCATGGCTTGGTTTACCTTTGAGAAGGCCCAAGAGTTCATTTGATCCAGTAGAAGAAGTATCTTTTGGAGGCCCTTGTAACATTGATAAAAGTTGATTGCCATTACCCAGGTCTTCTCCATTGCTGGCATTGGATTCCACGGAAGACTGTTTTTTGAGAATCGACAATAATTCATTGCTACTTTCTACCGGTTCGGTTGCAGGGGCTGAGGCAGGCTTCTTAAGGAGCGATAACAAAACATTATTCTGTTTGTGATCTTCAACTTCGGTACCCTGACCATATAATTTGGAGAAAATACTGTTGTCCTTATTAGAGATTTCTGGGCCCTTTAACGGCACGGGCTCGTTAGTTTTTTCTTTTTTATTCAAAAGAACTAATAGTTCTTTGGAATTTTTCTCATCAGTAGAATCAGCTTCCTTGTTCAAAATCCCCAATAATTCCCTGCCTTGCGAATTCTTCGCAGTTTCTTGATTAGATGATGCTTTTCTTTGTAACAATGTAAATAACGGATTGTTTTCAGTATTGTTGAATACCGGTTTTGAAAAAGTATTTGGATTTGGAACCAGTGCTGGTGGAATCGGTGGCTGTGATGGGAAAGATTGTGGAACAGGATGATGCATCAAATTCTGTTGAGGAAATGTTGGAAACACCGGGATCCCGTAAAATGGAACAAAACATTGTAATGGAAAATTCGTTTGTTGTTGCATTGAATGCGGCAAGTTGGGGACCTGGGCCATACCAGGATTGAAGAACTCTTGTTGTTGTTGTTGTTGCTGCTGCTGCTGCGGTTGATCAACTGGACTGAGCAATTTCTGGAATATTTCCGGCAAGCCATTGTTTGTTGTGCCATTCTCTTGATCATTCGTTGACTGTTTATGTAATAAGTCAAGAATCTCCCTACCGGCATCGATTTGTCGCTTAGCATCGCTGAAATGCTTTATGGACTCACCAATACCCAATAAGCTCTTCAATTGGGACTCCGCGTACTTCTTCAATGTTTCTTCATCATTAATACCCTTCTGCTTGTTCACCCACCGATCAATTGGCTTGCACATCGAATTCACCAAATAATACGCATTCGACCCGTTTCTACACTCCTTCATCACCTTCTTCCAGTTCTTCCATTTGATCTCATTAATTTCGTTCCTTACCAACGGTCTGAACTCAAAATCCTCTGGAACGTTCTTTACCAAAAAAATCTTGTAATTCTTCCCTCTAATGGTTCGTTCAACGTACTCGTGTTCGTCGAGCAATTTCCCAGCATCAAACCCGGTTTCCTCTTTACACTCTCGCAATGCGCAAACCCCATCATCTTCCTCCTTGTTAATCTTCCCCCTTGGGAAACTCCACGAGCTCGACTCAGTCCCTTGAACCAATAACATCTTAGAAAGACTCTCGTTGAACAATGCCACCCCTCTGACGGGGATCGTCGATTTGTATTTGCCAAACCTCGCCAACGCATCAGATGGATCGCCCCATTTCCAAATCGCAGGACAAATGTCAATGATCTGTTTCGAAAATCCCTTCATTTTGAGCGGAGGTAGAGAATGGTTAAGGGTTCTTATGAAATCAGAGTAAAACCACTGTGCTTCTTCAATTTGAAAGAAAACTCTTTCGATCGATGAGAGATCCTCGCTGGGACAATTAATGACAAATCTTACCAACAAGTCCTCGAGATTGTCTTTCAATGGGAGGTTAGCAAACCCCTCACGTAAAGCTATAGACATTTTTTTGTTTGTTCTTTATATGTTTATCTACTTGTTTAATATTGTATATGTTATTATCGATTGTACAACCTTCCAATTAGATTTTGGACCTGTTTTTCCTGACTTTGCGGTCTTTTTTTTTCCCCTATCGTTTTGCTAAGTGCACCACAGGGTCTCTAACATCCTTAGACGAGGCAATCAATCATCGACTACAATAGTCATCATTCAATCAATAATTAAAATACATAGGAGAAGAGAAAGAAAAAATTATAATCATCGCTCAGCCATAATAAGGCTATTCAAGAACGCGTGGCTCAATAATTCTTTGGCACTTGGTCTCTTTTCGTACTCAATAATAAACGTCTTCTTCAAGAAATCTTTGCATTCTTCAGTACATTTATCAGGAATTTCCGGGCTTGAATGGGTACCAATTCTGAAGATCGCTTGCATTTGACTAAATTCTGGAAATGGATGCTTACCTGTAAACATTTCAATGATCAAACACCCCACAGACCATATATCTGATTTCTCACTATTGGTGACTTGTCTAACCACCTCCGGGGCCATCCAATAAACTGAACCTTGTAAAGACGCTCTCTTGGGCTGCATCGACGTTTCAATTTTTTTGGAAATCCCGAAATCAGAAATCTTGGCTCCACCATTATTGTCGATCAAAATATTACCCCCCTTAATGTCTCTATGGATAATATTTTTCGAATGCAAGTATTTCAAACCAATAAGAATCTGTCTAGTGAAATTTCTAATCAACGGTTCCTTGAATGGCCCATAATTATTTATCATAGACGTAATGGACCCACCCGGAACATATTCCAAAAAAATGTTCAAATAAGTGTCGTCGGAAGACGATCCTAAATATCTAACAATTTTTTCATGTTTAAGTTCTTTTAAAAGAGCCATTTCTCGCTGTAATGCATCAATCATACTTTGCTTATGATCCTTCGATTTGTCATCACCATTGTCTTGTCTTTCACCCACCACACCTTTACCAGCTTTCCTCTGTTTAGTGACGGTTTCATTGCTTCCCAATGTGTTGATTCCTTTAAGAGTCGTGGCGTCATCATTGGAAGATATCGTAGCACCATCACTACCTGCAGTACTAACCGCCAACTGGTCAACTTTTGGAATTTCCACCTGTTTGACCGCCATCAACTCACCCGTAAAAGAATTCAACCCAAGGTACACCACACCAAAACTACCTGATCCAATTCTCTTACCTTTTAACCAGTGCTGAGGTCCAGTATTGGTATCAATACTAGATTGCAGCTCTAAATCTTTCATTACGGTTTCCGGATCTTGGTCATCAAATTCGTATCCTGATTCACTCTCACTGTCAGTATTACTAAGATCCAATAATTCAATTCGCGAATCCGTCTCATTTCCCGAGTTGATAGCCACTGATAATCTATTTTTGGCAATTCTACTCTTCGGCGTGGTTGGTCTCTTTTGTTTTTCAGCCTTGGACGTTTCCTTGGGTTTCCCGCCTTCTTTATCCCCATGTATATCTATCTCGGGCAACGGTGGGGCACCACTGGGGACAAATCTTGACTTTGGTCTTTTGTAAGCACCCATAATATCCATGAACTGTGTATCATCTCCTAGTACCGCCTCATCCAACTCACTTGCATTGCTCATCCACACATCACCGATCGTTCTAGGACTATTTTGAAGAGTCATGATGCTATTTCTTGTAACACTAGAATTGGTTGACATCATCGATAGTCTAGAAAAAGCTCTGGACATTCGCACAGAGTATCTAACAGAGTTTTTAATTGTTTGATGAAGATCTTTAGAAGGAGTTTCTGGGAAATATTCGGCCAAATTAGAAGAAATTAATTCACTAGGAGGCCGCTGCTCATATAATGGCTCCATATCCTTATTTCTCGCTCGAGCATATGATGGGCTTTTATTGGAACTAACCTTTTTCCTCGAGTCCCTTCTCAAGTTTGCACTGCTTGTGGTGTTAACATTGATATATTTTGTTTTATTACTGGAAAGTAGATCATTGACACTATCCATAGCTTCGTCATCACTGCTCTGGCTTTTACCCTTTCTTTTGTTCGGTCCGTTTGCTTCATATTTGAACGAAATTTTCCTAGACGTGGCAAGCGCCTCTTTGCTTGGATCTTCATTACTTTTGCAAAATATAATTCTGTTTCTTTCCACCCTATCAGATGACCTCACCAACGACACCAATTCCACATCGAACATCAAATGGATACTATTATTTGAGTCAATGAAATATGTGTTGTAGTTCTCATACAGATTAGGCTTCCAGCTCAACTTTTTAAGCAATTTCCGCTTTATTGCTTCGGCATTATAACATCCAGAAGTGTTTATCTTCTTAATATTACCATTTTGCAAGATAAATACTGCAATATGTTTATCCATTTCCGTTACGTGGGCCAAAGCTGCGATGGCGGCATTAGGGGTATTATCTTTGCTATGAATACTGGTATGTGAGCTGATGCTGCTCTCATTGGATTCCGTTGAATTGATTGTCGAAGTCGAGTTGTTACTATGGTTAAGCGATTTTTTTAAGTCACTATCATCTTCCTTCAACAAACGCTTGTTGGTAGCAGGCTCATCATAAATACTACCATCATTATCGCTTTCACTAAAATAGCCATCGTTTTCAACGTTGTGATTATTTGAGCTATTCCCATTATTATCATTATTAACACCGATCTCGGAGAAGCTTTTGATCTGATATTTAACGATATCATCTATAAACTGGGTTGCAAGACCTTTTGATGTCTTCGAAGAATTTCTCTGTAACAACTCGCTGACCTTCATTGAGTTCAATGATCTTTCAAGCCTAACCAAATCGCCAATTTTAAGTACTCCTAGCTCCTTTAATGACCCGTAATCTAACTGGGTGATTAGATCATAATCGACTATCCCGTTCTCAGTGAACAACGAAGCGTACTGCTCACAGTTTATTGAATTCAACCATTGATTGAGAGCAAAGTTGTCGCTATCAAACTTCGCTATTACCCCCGTCATACTGCTATTTCACTGCTTCGTTACTGAAGAGGGCCTGTTTTTGGAGATGGCGGCTATTTTTTAACCTTAAGGTTGAATTTAGCGTTTCGTACACTTTGTATGTATATTTATGTGATATCATGCTCCCATCTCGTGGTCACACCCCTAAAAAAAAAAAAAAGAAAAATTATGTGAAAAATTATTTTAAAGCAAATAATATAAGGAAAACTTTTCACTATTCTTCTAGGAATAACTTATACCCAAGTAAATACTTTAAATGTTTAAGGTATTCCGCCATTATTCTTTGGCTAGAAGCCCATATGTCAGCTCTTCTGCACAGCTTACTTCTTTGTTGAGGACAAGAAGATCATATTTTTCAACCAGCTCCATCGCATATGAAGAATTGAAGGAAATCAGCGATGTTCTGAAATCACCTATGGCTGCTAAAGCCAAACCTGAAGAGATTACCGGTAATATCGATTTAAAATCATTCAAGCAACTTTCCGGGGTTGTTCATGATGATCTTATTGATGCTATTGAGCGTTTGAAGTTCTCAAAGATGACCCCAGTGCAAGAGAAATCTATCAAACCAATTTTAGAAACAAATCGTGGGATGGTTGCCAGAGCAAAAACTGGTACTGGTAAAACTTTGGCCTTTGGTATTCCTTTGCTTCATGATGCAATTTTCTCCGACAATACTCCTAAATTCAATACTGAAGTTAGAGCACTCATTATTGCCCCAACCAGAGATTTGGCCCATCAAATTTCTGCCGAATTAAGAAAGGTTTTGCTTGCCGATAATCCTACAAAATACAAAAGATCTATTGTGAGTGAAATTCAAACTGTGGTCGGTGCCGAAAGAAGAGATCTCCAACTTCGTGCCTTCCAAGGTAAAAACTGTCCATCCATTGTCGTGGGTACTCCAGGTAGATTAATTGACATCCTCAATGAACCTCTTGTTGCTGAAAAGTTTGGCAATCTTAGATTTAAAGTTTTAGATGAAGCCGATAGATTATTGGATGATGGCTTCAAGGAAAACTTGTTACAAATGGATTCTACTTTGAAAGATTTGGCTACCGGTGAAGGTTTCAGAACTATTTTATTCTCTGCCACCATTGATAAAAATGTCTTAGGTTTTGCCAAACAGGTTCTTGGTAATGATTTCGTTTATGTCAATACTGTTGATCCAAATGAACCTGAAACCCATGAAAAGATTTCCCAATCTCTTGTGGTTTCCGATGATATGTTCAAATGTTTTGTTGCCGCCGTTCACAATATCGCTACCCTCTATATGGAGTCTAGAGAAAAAAACACACCATTTAAGCCAATTATCTTCTTGCCAACCATCAAATCCGTTGAATTCTTTGGTCAATTACTTGAACATTATCTCGCACATTGCCACGACGTTCGTTTCTGTCGCAATAGTAGAGATAAAGCTTCCAAGCGTCTTAGATTGCTTATGTTACATGGTAGTAAGTCCCAAGCTGCTCGTGAAGCTGTGGTTCGAGATTTCAAAAAATACGATCATTCCATGTTGGTCACTAGTAATGTTGGTGCGAGAGGTATGGATTTCCCTAACGTGACTAATGTTTTCCAAGTTAATTTGCCAAGTGAAGTCAGTGATTATATCCACAGAATTGGAAGAACCGCTAGAGGTGATAGTAACCATGGTGAAGCTACTTTGTTTATTACTGAAGCTGAAGAGAAAGGTTTAAGATTATTTAAGGACAGAAAAATCAAATTTGCCAAGACTTTGACCTTTGATGACGTTGTTGAAAACCCAGAAAGCACCATAAATGCCGTGCAAGAGATTTCTACTTCTCATACCTATGGATTAGGTGATCCAAAGACTCAAAGGGCTGAAGGTATTGATAATAAGAAGGCTGTGTTCAGTACCTTTAGAGGTCACATGGGTTATTTGCAATCAGTTGCTCTGGTCTATAGATTGAGTAACTTTGATTTGTTGGCCTCTCTCAATGAGTTCTATAAAGGGTTTTGCGCATCCACTAAACGTCCATTCTTATCACCCGAATCTTTGTCAAAAGTTAAATTAAACAACAGAGAGAAAGAGGAACTTTATGAAAGCCCACGCTCTTCCACAAGAAGCTATGGTGATAATAACTCTGGTAGATATGAAAGATCTAATAGGTTCGAAAGATCTGACAGATTTGATAAATCTGATAGATATGACAGATCAAATAGATCTGATAGATCTGATAAGTTTGAAAGATCAAATAAATTTAACAGATCTGATAGATTCGAAAAACCTGGAAATTATGAAAGATCTGACAGATTCAAATCAAGAGACAGAAAATCTAGAGAAGGATTCGATTACCTCCGTGATAGTGGCTCCGAAAAAAGCGGGAAAAGAAATAATAATAGAAACTCTAGAAACTCCAAGAATGACGATTTCGATTTTTTCTCATAAGTCAACAGCACAAAACTAAACCCCGGTGCCCTGGGAACTTGTGAACTGGCTTTAATTTTTTTTCATTTCTTTGTGAATATTTAACGTCGTGAATTTATTTATTTTTCTCCAATTTATTTTTTTATTATTTACTTTCTGGCTATTGTTTTATTTATTTAGTATGATTTTTTTTTTTAGCTCTCCTCATCTACTTTTTATACCTTGGTAACATCAGTGGGTCAGTGTATCATATCCCGCAATTATTTCAACTTATGATCCTGTTGAAATACTCAACATATTCTGTACATATTTTTTTTAACTCATATAATATAATAATGTAAATGTTTGTATATCAATTACTTATGGTTGACTACATGTAAGAAAACTATAAATAAAATCACCTTAATATATATATCCATAAATATAAGAATCAAACTAATGTACAGTACAAAAAAGCCCTTAACCGTAAAAAAGAAATCTAAACAAAGAGAGATATAGTACACATCATTCCGTTTGGAAGTAATAATCCAGCAAAAAAAAAAAGAGATGAAAAATCAAACACTTGTCCCAATAAGTAAAACATATGAAAAACGAAACATTTAAAATCAGAAACCTTGGAAAAAACTTTAAAATAAAAAAAATGGAACCTAGAAATAAAAAAGAGGAAAAAAAAATTCAATTACTGGTGGTAGACTTGTATAAAGGACGTCTAAACGATCCCATGCCTATTCTTGGCTTTCCTGGTGTTCCTCCGCCAGTCTGTTTCGCTAAAATAGAATTCAATGATGGTCTTGGCCGTGGTCTTGGTCTTTGCATGTCTAAGGTTGATAAAATTGAAGGCTTCTTTGGTCTAACGAACAGAGGTTTTGATGAGGCAGTTGCTGCCACTGTCTTGGCTCCACTATTTGCCTGTTGTGCCAGAGATGATGTAGAAGTACTAGAACCAACATTCGGTGATAGCTCTTTCGCTGCGACTGCTGACAGCCCATCAGTTTTCTTGTTGGCATCATTGAAGGCATTCAAAGCTGGTTTGATAGACGCACTGGCTTTAGGATCAGATACCGCACTGTTAACAACAGGAGAACTCGTGGTTTTTGCAGCATTTTTCACAACGGTCACAATTGATGATGAGATGTTCTTTCTATAAATAGGCAATCTGAAGGAGGTTACTGACTTTACATTGGAAGTGCTCAAGTTTTCATCTGATTTCGCGCCAGCATCAGGCCTTTTGTTGGAAGAGACAGGTTTCTCACTTTCTGGTTTCCTCTTGGATGGAAGTAGAGAAATATCGGAAAATACCTTACTCAAATCCTTGTTGACATCCTCTGAAGTAGATGACTCTTTATTACCCAAAGCCATGATCGAAGGGTCAATAATAGAACTATTTGGTGGTTTGTTGTTAGATGTGACAAAGGATTTCCTAGTATTGTTTCTGGAATAAACACTGCCACCAGTTGCATTACTTTTCACAAGACTAGTTAATTCACGATCTGGAGTAGAAGATGGGGGCAATACCTTGCTATTAACATTTGACAAGCTACTTTGTGGAGATTCACTATCTTGGGAACTTGATTTGCTCACATTCAAATGGAAAAAGTTCGCCAAATATTGAGTAACTGCAGATGTTAGCTGTTCATGGGACATATCTATGCTCAAGTTCACTGTTTCTAATGCATTGTTGATAGCAGAATTGAGTTCTTGAGTGGTATCAGCAGATAGCTCACTAAGCTTGGTTGAATTAACAAGACTCAATAAACCACTGGTGATAGTGTTGGCAGCACTTTTTCTTCTGGCATTTGGAGTGGTGTAAACGGCATTATCATCTTTATTCATTTTCTTCAATCTTTCAATTCTTTTTGCCTTTCTTCTGTCAAACTCTTCATTTATCCATTTACGCTTCTCTTCAGATTCATTCTCGCCAAATAACGTACTCGCCCTTTTAGAAACTCTGAATCTCAAGTCATTATCCTTGTTTCTGGCGTTATTTTTTTCACGCCATTTTTGCTTTCTGGTTCTGTTATCTAATCTAGTTTTCTCTTTGTCATCAATTTGAAGAGCAGAAGCTAACTTGCTGTTTGATAAGATTTTTTGAATAACAGAATCTAAAGCTTGTACCATTGACTGTGTCATAGGCGATTGGCCCGACGAAGGGGTTCTTGTTGTTGACAAGCGGGAAGTTGTGATTGAAGCTTTAGCACCTTTATCTAGTTGATTCAAGTTTTTGCTCAAGCTAGTAGTTATTGACGAAGCAGTATGTGGACCTTCGGTTTTTGCATAATTACCACTATAGAATGAAGTTCTGTAAGGAAGAGTTGTGTTTAACCCGGATGCAACAGCCTGGCTTGCATGTTTATTCAATAGATCACGAAGGTTTGGAGTATTTGCATATTCACGAGCTGAAATAACACTTCTATTTTTCAATAATTCTTCTGCGAGATCCAAAGGCTTCCTATAGTACTTACTATCTCCAATCTGCTGCAGCAAACGTCTTTGGTTTAAGGTATTTGCAACAATGGAATTTGTTAATTCACTGTTGCTCAATAACGAATCAATTAATGAGGTTCTTGTGGTTGGCGTAACACTTGTAGCATGATCCTCATAAGTTTCATCAACAACATTCTTGACCATTTCTTCAATGGCAAACTGCAAATCATTTGGATCAGCCTCATCATCCGACACAATTTCATCAGCAACACTTCTAATCATTTCATTCATTGCAAGTTGGAAATCGTCATTGCTTTGTTGAAGTGGTTTGTCACCACTAATTTCTTCAGTGTGTCTGGGGATCAGCTGAACAACACTTTCCACAATTTGGGCAATAGCATCATCACCTAAATCACCAGCACCAGCGGTGATATCTGATGTTCTAGTGGTTGAATCTGCAGCCTCTGCAGAAACATTCTTCATAATTTCATTGACTGCACCGCTAATGAGCATTTCGGTTGAGCTCATGTCCTCTTCTTCTGATGGTTTTTCCATTTGCTTCGAAGCATCACTGTGTTGTTTAGCCTGACTAATGGTATCACTGACTAACTGAGCAATAGTATCATTCATCACATTATTCATAGAATCTCTTGCGTCATCTTCCTGACTTTGGAGAGCATTTTCATTATGTGTTTGTTGATCCATTTCTTCATCAATATTATCTTTATTTGATTCGTTAGATTCGGAAATCTGATTGACAGTTTCACTAACCATTTTGCTGATTGCATCTTCAAAGTTGGAAGTTATCTGGGAATCTTCGAATGCATCTTCCATTTCCTCATCTTTGTCATCTTTCGATTCAACCTCTTCTTGCACCATACTATTATCCCTTGAATCTTTTGATTCATGATTGCCTTCATCAGCTGTATCATTGATTGTTTGATTCACTATCTGTGCAATGGCGTCATTGACCGCAGAGCCTATATCAAAATGGCTATCATCATCGTCCTCATCTTCATCTTCTTCTATTTCTTCATTGTTCTCATTATCATACTGATCATCGTCTTCGCTATTATTTTTATTGTCATTATCGTTATCCTTGCCATTATTATTATTATCTTTATTGGTTGCATCATTGTGGACATCATTATTATTATTATTCGCTTGATCAAAATTCAGCGTTTCATTTTGTGGTTTTTGATTTGTCAATTGATCATTGATATCTATGTCCATTAGTTTTTCCTGTTCTCGCTGTTTTCCTTTATCAAGTTGATTTTGATCTTCATTTTTGTCCATTGGTACAGCTTCCTCATCCTCACTAAAGTCATTTTCCTGACCATCATCCGCGTGAGACGCGGTTATTTCACTAAAAATATTACCAACGATATCAGCAATTGCATCACTATATTCACCTCCATCAGCTTGTAACGTACTATGGGAATTTTCAGTTTCGTCCTCTTTAGTATCTTTCTCCTCTTCGTCGTTTCCTGTTGCCATTATATGATTGGCGATGGAATCTGTGACATTGGCTAACGCGTCAGTTATATTATTATTGGCATCGTGATGATCATCACCAAAGGTATCATCATTGTCATCAGCCCCTAGAAGCTCTGATACTATACTATTTCCAACAGTATCATTATTCTCATTATCATTATGGCCATCCCCAGTACCCTGGCTGTACTCTGGAGATATGTCCATCGCGTTTTGTTATTATTTGTTTGTTTATATTTTCCCTAAATCATCTCCCAAATAATGGTTTCCTAATTTATTTTAACGGTCACAAAATTTTTACTTATATCTCCGATGTCTGGGTGTCGTGCAAAAAAACCTGTCGATGAGACCGACAGTTTTGCAATTATATTTTGATAACATGTGATTTATTCACATAATATTTTTGTATTGGCATGGGGAAATACCCTACCAAATGTAACTTGTATAAGCAATATTAGCAGGCTTCACTTTGTTAATATGGCTGTCATAATTTTTATTTTAGGAATAGATTGTCTGATTGTAGAAACTTCTTCTGATTAACTACTACAGTTTTATATATTTTTAATGCAAGTTTAAGGTTACCGACATGGTCAATTATAGTGGCATTTTTGCAAGACTTCGCGCGTCCCATTGGAAAGAAAATGCTGTTTTTCTATTATCTCAAGAGCAATGAGCTATTATGTTTACTTTATTCTGGTATTATATGGTTATAATCCTTTTAAATAATCTTAATATGTATATTTAAGCTCCTCAAATACTTCGTTAGTGCAAGCTCATCCCATCATGAATTGTGTTGCAATCAATAAATATGGAAAAGATTATTGGCCATTATTTTCGATAATCAGTATCAACAGTATCAATCTGTGAGGTTATTTTAGATGATCGTAGTACCATACATTATTTAAAGCCTTTTCAGTCTTCTTTTTTTTAATCTATTCTTCTTTTTCTAATCTACTGTTTTGGAGTTTTGATTTATGTGATGTGACTAATCTTTGAAAAAAAGGAATATGATAGAAGCTTAAGCTTCAGTTTCTTCCTATATATACTTATTTTACAGACTGTCTCATGAGCCTCGATTAAATGTTAATCAGAATATCTGTGGCTCGTTAATATACAAGTCATTCATTCATTCATGCGAGCTGTGTGTTTGTTGATACTCAAGTTTTTAAAATAAAGTATGTGCTTAGGAGAGTTTCTTGAATACTTGACTTTATTATTTTAGTAATATAGTCTGCTATTTAATAGAACCCATTTAATTTTAGAGCTTTTTTGAATTTAAAATTACGGGATCTTTAATATTGTGGTAATAGTTATTGCATCTTTGTTCATGATCAATGATACTCACAATGAATCACGAAATTATGCTCAACAGGCAAATCAAACTCCATTACTTTTTTAATTTATGTATTCTAAGAATATTCCAACAGAAAACGGCGCAAATTAATGCGTTTACAGTGGATTTAAATACACTTGATTCACGGTCTTCATATCTATATCTTGTTGAGTAATTTTAAATACCTTAGGTTTCAGCTCTAAGTCTCCAGATTACAGCGCGAAAAGATAAAATATAAAAAATATACAGTTGAAATATTTAGATCAATATCCTTATATATCGAATAATAATAATGATAATAATGATAATGATAATAATAATAACATTAGTATATATTTAGTTTCTTAACTTTTGCATTTCCTTTATGGATCATATTTGATGTTGGCCGGGAGGTATGTGTTGCAGAAAATAATCGTGATGTGGACAGGGTAATTTTTCACTTTTCACAAAAATTTGGAAAAATTGATTGATTATGAATAGTGATCAAGAACGATACTGGTAATCTGAGTATCATTAGGTTATTCTATCAGCCAATAAAAAGGGAATAAACAAAATGAAGTCGGTATTCGGAAAGCAACTAATACTGTCAACATCCAGGCGTAGTTTCCAGACCACCGCCTTCTCACAAGTGGAGGCTGATTTATATCTTCATCCAGAACAATGGATGGGATTGCCTGCCCCAAAGATCTTTGAATTATACCAACAACGTGTCGTGAGATTAGGAAGTGATTACCAAAAAAGCGAAGCGGAATTGAGCGCTTTGTTGCTGACCTCCAAGACAACTGGTGTTTCCACTTCAGACATTCGTCGTATTTATAGCATCAAAAATGAACCAGGATCTGAAGATTTGATTGCAGGGAGATTGGGTGGATTTACTCCTTTCAAAGATGATGGTAATTTACCAACTTACCAATATGATGAATATACCTCGAGTGCCCAAGATTTGATCGATCAACACCGTACTTCAAGAAAATACAATAGAATAGCAGCCTACGAATTGCCGTTATTGACCAAATATCGTTCAGAATTTGTTCCACCATCAAAGGACAAAACATTGACCGTTAGATACACAAACTATATTGGAGAATCTCACCCTGCTGATAAGAAGGTTGTGGTCAAGGCTAATTTTGACGATTTTACAACCGATTTAAAACTTTCTGACAAAGAAAAGCATAAATTGAAGTTAATTTTGGGAAAGAGATACAATCCAATCAAGAATCAAATACACTTGTCGGTGGAAAAGTTCAAATACCCAACCCAAAATTTCAAATACTCCCTCGTTTTGTTGGAAAACCTCTTGAAAGAAGTCAAGACCGAAAGAAAGGGTGAAGAAGATTACAGTGACTTGCCATTAGACACCAGATTGTACGAAAGAAAGATGAGAATCAAGAAGAAAATAGAAAAAATCAATGCTTTCCCTGAAGATTGGTTGAGACCACAAGATGCTCCAGTGAAAAAGAACTCCATCGAGCAAACCATTTTGGAACAATTGGGACAAAAAGCCAATGCTAACTAGTCCCATTCTGTGAGGCTTGTAGTACACACGCGGTTTTGAGAAAAAAATATTCTATTGTCAAGCATTCTCACTTGTTTTTCCTTTTCTTTTTTGTAAATAGAAATATATTAAAAAACAATTTAATTGCATGAATAATTTGTTGATATAGTAATTAAAACCTATAGTACATATGTATCAGTAGTATTTTTTTTTTCTTTTTTCGCTACCGTAAGATAAACTCTTGTTACAAACAATTGCATACCCGAGAAATATTTTTGATGGAATCAATTAACTGACTGGCCAATTTTTCATTTTGAACTGTTGTCATCTCCCCTTTTCCTAATCCTGAAAAAGCATAACTTTTGTTCCCAGTGATTTGCGCAATTCTTGTAAAAATTTCTTCTTGCTTTCTGCCTTTGTCCCAAGCGACCTCTTTATTAATCAACTCAAGAGCGGCTGCTCTATCTGCTTGCTCCATATCTTTAACAATATCATTTTTGAAAGTTGGGTTGTTTTCTAATTCTCGAGCATCGTCACCACCTGAAGTATATTCTGATTTTAAATAATCTGAAATAACGAGCGAAACCATTTCGTTATCTAAGAGTTTAGAAAGTGTTTCATCAAAAGTAATTGGGATTTCGGAAATTTGTTTTAATGTTTTATTCTTAGAATCAATAAATGGTATACTCATTTCCCTTTCAATAGCCAAGGATCTCACGTATGTCTTACCATAATCACTCTCTACATTTCCAGACTGCTGCTGACTCTCTACTTCTGGTTTCTTTTCTAATTCCATTGTTGCCGAATCTTCTTCATCACTATCATCAATACCAATTTCGAAATCGTTCTTAGGTAAAGGCAATTGGGAAAACTTCTCTCTCAATATCGACGCGGCTGTCTTAATTGAAGATTTCTTTCTTGACTTCTCCTTCTTTGACTGCTTCCTTTTGGTTTTCACCTCTTTAACTTTCTCTTCTTCATCTTCCTCTTCTTCTTCTATCTCATCTTTCGATAGCAAGCTGGATTGAAGATTATGGAAACTTTTCAAATCGGTACCAAGACGTTTTATCTTACTATCGCTCGATTCTAATAACTTTGTTCTCAACCAGGATTTATTATCATCCCCCACATCTTCGCGAGTTTTTGCCATGACATCATCTAAAGATAATCCTTCCTCTTGGGCTATCTGGGCTAGATAATTATGCAAATCGCCCAATTTGGACTGGTTCTCATTATTCTCAAACTTGGGTACTGGTAGATCAAATTTTCTTCTCTTGATCAATAATTCTTCTTCATTGTTGATATCTTCCTGCGAAATGATTATTGGACCTCGTTTTTCTTTGGTTTCCTGCTTTCTCTTTTTACCCTTTTTCTTTTCATTTGCAAAATCTGGACCACCGACAGATTTCTGAAACTTTTCGTAATCTTCTAGATCTTTCTTTGTTTCATGTTTTGTATCGTACAAACCAGACTCTGGTTTTATCTCAAAGGGAATATCCGCATTATAATCCATGATATTCTTATTTCTTTTTTTTTGCTTATTCGACACTATCGAGCTTTTCACATTGATACCAGCATTTTTCAATTCTCTTCTTTTTTGTAATAATGCTACTCTTCGACTTTGAGCCAAGATCCTTTCCCTTTGCTTTCTTTTTGCCTTTTTACCTTGGGTATTTGCCAATCTAGCCCTGGCCTCACTAATCATCTCCCGTTCATCATCATCCATATCGATTGCATCAGGTCTGGCCGGCTTGGATTCTGGAATATTACCTAGACCATCATCATCTAAATTAACTTTGGGGCCTATTGCTTGAAGAGCTTCTGCATTCACATTTCCGCCGTCGTTATTTTCGATATCATCCAATAACCTCTGGTATCTCTCGATACATTGATTTGGAGTTCTCCCCACTAACGGAGCAATCGTTTGCCATTGATTCGGCAAGATTCTCGCCATCTCGAGCAATTTCTCATCTTCTTTGGGGGCCCAGTCAGTTTTATTTATTTCAGGACTAAGCCAATTATTCCATCTTGCTTTACATTGCTTAGCGGTCTTGCGATTCAATAACGACGAGCATCTTGACCATTGGGTCAACCCATATTTTGATACCGCTGCTTTGAGGATCTCATCCTCGGCGTTTGTCCATAGACCACCTCTGCTATATCCAGATGACATATGTGATCAGAAATATTTTACTGTTGCTAGATAAAGCTGGTATAGCGAGTGATGACTTTCTCAACCAGACGTCTTTTGGTGAGAATAATAAATTTATCATTATGCATAGCTGGTGTATGGGTGTTTTCTGATGAACGGGTGGACTACACCACTACATAGACACCGATTATGTTATAACCAAAAGTAGTGATTATATAATTATGGTTAACTAATGTGATTATTTGAGAGGTGTTTGCTGAAGTGGTACACTTTGGTTTTATATAGGGATCCGCTGATACTGGGGCTCAAATCTTTTTTAATGCTAATGACTTTGGGCGATTAAAATTGTAAGTTTGAAATGTTACGGCATGCCACTCGTTCTCCGAAAATGAATACTTGGATAAGCGAGGATATATTATCGTAATTTCCTTAGTCAAGGATTGGTTAATTATTCAATACCTACAGTTACATGTCGAGTGTTGATTTTCAAAACGTCAGGAACGAAGACTGGTATGATGGCATCCTCTGTCTTTGGGGAGATCATAATAAATTAAATAATGAAAATGCCTCAAAGTATTGCACCACTACTTCGATCTGTTTCCTCTTTATTTGTATCATATATATATATATATATATAAATCAAGTATTCTCAAGAGTGAATGTTGTATTCCGCAACACTTGTGTTTTACCTTTTGTTTTTGTTTACCTTTTTATTTTATTTTATTCTATTTTTTTTTTTTTTACGCGTCAGTGCCTACCAGATTGCTGGCCAACAATCACAATTTTACCAAATAGAAAGTTATTATACATTAATCTTTACAAATATAATAAATAAAAAAGACAAAAAATAATCCACAATAACAGAAATAGAAATTTAAAAAATCCTGATGCCCACAAAAAAAAAAAAGATGGGTCAGTTACACACAGCAACACATGTAAAATCAATGAACTCAAAGGAAAAATAAAACAAAAATCAAGAAAAATAATAAAGTTGAGACTGAATCATTTCAATCAACCACGAGAAAATCATTTCTTATCGGCTTCTTCTTTGGCAATCTTCTTGTAATGTTCTAATTCTCTGTAAGTCTTCTCCAATTCTTGCTTCAATTTTTCATTGGAGGCACTCAATTCAGCCACCGCTTGATCGGTCAACAATTTTTCCAAAGTCCACTTCTCAATGTTATTTGTTTCATTTTCTTTCAATCTTTTGATATACTCGACGGCTCTTTGCAAGATTTGGGCCTTGTTGGTTTCGTTAGTTGGCAACAAAGAACTGAGAGCCTTGATACCGGCGTTGATGTTTTCTCTTCTCCGTCTTTCAACTTCTTTATGGTTGTCTCTTCTAATCTTATGCCACTCATCGGTACCAGCTTGAGGTCTACCAGAGGCCACGTTCAACTGGGAAGCTTGTTGTTGAGATTGTTGGACTTGGGCGTCGTTTACAGCTTGGGCAGCTTGGGCTTGGGCCTGGATAGCTTGAGCTTGGGCTTCGCGTTGCGCTTGAGCTTGCATGCCGTTTTGCTGCTTCAATAATTGGCCATAGTCGAATGGCCCACCAATGTCACTAGCAGCCCTCAATTTGTTCAAGTCCTCAATGGCCTTGGATGCGTTGACTTCTTCGACAGTTGGTTCAAGGTGCTGGTGGTGATGGTGGTGGTGATGCTGTTGCTGCTGTTGGCCATCGTCCTGGTAGTTAGTTTGGTGGGTCAACAACTCGGAATCGATGACATTGTTGTCGTCCTTTGGCTGCTGGGACTCGATCTTCAATTTCTTGATGGTGTCTTCTTCGGTTTCTTCACCAGGTCTTTTGCTCATGGTGAATGGTTGAGTGTTTATGGGTGTTTATGTTTTTCTTGGACGCGTCTTGGTGGTGGGATGAGAGATGGAGTGATAGAAGCGAAAAGTGTGAATGTCATGAGGAGGTCACACCAATATCACAAGGGGCGTTTTTTTTTTATTTTTTTTATTTTTTTTTTCCTCCCACAAAAATTTTTCTTTTTTTGCCGGTTGGCGGCTGTGCACGAGGGGATACCCGGCGAATCGTATACAATCACCTGATTGGACGCTACATGTACCGTGTGGACGGATCTCATTCACGTGTGTTACCCGCGCAACACGTATTGATGAGTGTCCGGGTAATCACATTTTTTTATCCTCTCGGTCTCTCCATATATCACCTATGACAAGATCACCAACTGCGGTTCCCACAAGCCAGAGGAAGGGCTCTCCCCCGCTACACCATTCACCATGTCAAAATGCTTAGTGTGTAACAAAAATGACTCAAAGTACAAGTGTCCCAAATGTAAAATCCCTTAGTGCGTATGCTTTTTTTTTGAGCAATACATATATTATAGAGCATCGCTAACATTAAAAAAAAATTAGCTGCTCATTGATCTGCTTCAAAGCCCCAGCACACAACCATGATAATAATGATAATTCTCAGAAAGCTGCAAAAGACGAAGAGCCCCAGCTACTTAGGAAAACAACGAAATCTTTGACATCAGCAGGAATAACCAAAGATAAACTATCCAAATTAAAACCTTCATCGCAAAAGATCCTCCAAAATGATAAACTTAATGGCATGTTATCGCTACTTCTGCTACCACAGTTACAAATCCAATTGATAATATTAAACAAAATCATAAACGATGTATCGTTAACCAACGAGGGCTCAGCAGAAGACAGGAAAGAAATCGCAATCAAGAAGTTGGAAACTCTACGAATGGATGGGATGCATCCAAATGAATTGGTAGAGGAATTTTGCCAATTATTTGAGAAGTTAAACAGTAACGATGACAAACCCCTTGATACTTGATGCACTCTTAAAAAACAATATATATATATATATAGATGTATCTTGGAGTGCCAATGGTAAAGATGACTGTACTATATTATATTACGACATATTATGTTATATTGATTAGATGAATATATGATTTACTTTTATACCAAGGTATTGTATTTTATACCAAGGTAAAGGATTGTTCAGACAGTCAACAGGTCTCTGGCCTCTGAAGTATGCCTATCTGAAATATCTTCTTATACAAATATATTTCGGTCTTGCTGGTAAGCAGAGATGAGTAATGTCGAAGTGTAATGCATTAGTCTTCCGTTCAATTTGAATCATAATCTTTTATTACTCGATATATCTAACAATATCTTATAAATATTACGCATCTCCTAGGAGAGATATCATCCATCGCCCGATGTTCCCCAAGGATTCAGGGGTGTATCACCCGCCCATTCTTAATCAAGAAAGATTTTGAACCAGATGAAAAGATCTTGGTTTTAGCTCCCTAGAATGAACAGAACACCACCCAATGATACATACCCGAAGGGTATGAAGCCAAAACAAACCATAGACTAACTCATATGTGTGCTGCCACAAAATCAACGTCATCTAAAAGGCCCAGGGAAGCCGGGGACCCCGCCGCTGATCGTATTGAAGAAATAATTCCCAATGCAGATGATAAGAATGAAAATGAAGATAAGAAGAAAAGGAAAAGAACCAGCTACGCCTGTGTCAGATGCCGTAAAAGGCACATCAAATGCCCAGGAGGTAATCCTTGCGAGAAATGTAAACTGGTGAACGTTGTTTGTGAATACGCTGAGGCCGAAAAAAAAGTAGTGGTATCCATGAAATACTTGCAAAAACTCCACGAGGAAATCGCCACTTTGAAAAAACAAAATGCCAATTTGAGAATAAGAAATAAACCTGGAAACTCATCATTTGTACCTATATGTGTCGGTGAAAATAAACCAACTTTAGAATCTGTTAATTTATCCCTTACATCTACTAATTCAAATCATTCAAATCAACTCAAACCTGGTAATGATGATCCTGCCAGTACAAAACCCAGAGAAGCTTTGAAGAATGATGCTAGTCATAGTGAAAATAATAACGATAAGAATAAGATTATTAAGAAGAACTCTACTAATAATAATACCTATAACAAATATCCCAATGAAATCATCCCCCCATTTATCGATCGTCAAAGAAGATTGGTCTCTTCTAAAACCGGGGAAAAGTTCTACGTGGGATCATCATCTATGACATTATTTGGATTGGAAGTGGAAAGTATGATACCCGACAACGTCCTAAGAAGAAGTAATACTCATGCAAATGGTGATATGAATCCAAATGAGCGTTTATCAACAGTTTTAGAAAGGGAAGGTAACGCTTACCGAATTTATCTTGGAAAAACAGAAACCAGACCAGGTATCTCTGTGAAATTTGTTTTGCCTTCATATTCTTACTCGATGCTATTGATCGACACCTTTATCACTTATAATGACGGGTGTTTTTATTTTTTCAACGAGGGGATGGTCAAAGAAAATCTCCGGAAAACTTACAGTAATAATTTATCGTCTAATGACTCAACCAAGAATTTTTCCAATCAAGATTCTATTATCGAAACCATCAATTTTTGTAAATTCTTGTTGATTTTCGCCATCGGAGAAATGTATTTGGGAACCGCAAACGACACAAACGGGATGAAACTTTCGTCTCCAAGATTGCCGGGTTCGGGATTTTTCCAACAAGCTTCGGAATTATTTACGGGGTTGTTTGCATCAGGGGCAATAGACAATGTTGCCAGGGAAGGGGGAGTTGAGGTGATGTTATTATATGCCTTTTACCTTCAAGTTGCTGATTGTACTGTGGCGTCATATTTCTACTTTGGCACTGCTTTGCGAGCTTCGTTGATCTTGGGTTTGCATGTTGACGTTGAAAAAGATACGCTAAACAGATACGAATTGGAACATCGACGAAGATTATGGTGGACCGTGTATATGTTTGAGAGAATGTTGTCTTCGAAAGCCGGTTTGCCACTATCGTTAACCGATGATTGTATTTCTACCGAATTGCCCGAGGATTTTGATATGTCACACCCTTCAGATAACTGCAAGCATTATATTTTCCCTGAAGCAGAATATATTAGAAACTGTGTTACAATTGTTCAAATCAACGCGTTGATCTTATCGTCTTTATATCAAAAGGAACCAACTACAAATATCTTGCCAGTGATTGCCGAATTGATTACCAAATTATTTACTTGGAAAGAAAACTTGCCAGATTTTTTGAAACCAAATTTCCAAGTTCCCAACTTTCAAATTTCCAGATTAGTAACGAATATTATGACGGAATATTTTCAAGGGATTAATTTGGCGGTGAGACCTTTGCTATTCTATTTGACCACCAAACAAATTAGAATCAACAAAACGTCAGATGTTTATATAGATTTGACGAAATACTCGGAGTCCATCTTGACTTTGTTAAATGCCTCTTTCCAAGGATCTATCAACACAATCAGGTCCCTTTGGTCATTGATGCCGGAAAACATGGTAGCATTATTTGGGTATATGGACAGAGAGTATCTTTTTACTTCTGCCGCCACTTTGATCTTGTTTAATGTGGCATTTGGAGTCCACGATTCAACCAAAGACCCGTTGGACCATGCATTATTCATGTTCACTAAAATGAAGAATTTGGGTAACAATCCTGCAGAATTGAGAAGGGCTCAATTGATCAAATTGATGCAAACTTTGAATTTTAATAACAGAATGCAGGAATTGATTGATAAGTACAATAGTGATAGCGAAGATAATATATTGGCAGGAGGGAGTAAACTGAAGCAAAAGAAAACCGAGCTAGAATTATCGGGCCAAACGCAAAAACAACAACCTACTTTTAATAAGAAGCTCATGAATAAGGAAAGAAGAATGCAGGTAAATAATAATCGATTCATTTATCAAAAGAACTCTGCGGGCTCGTTGAATCCAGGGGCCTCTGGGTATCGAGCTCCTTATACACCACCCGCTGCTCACGGATTACTATTTGATGGTAACAATATTCATAACATCGACGATATTATATCTGGTGGCTCGGTGGCCGTGAGTCATCCAGTGTCGAACACCAGAAGCGAATTGCTTTCCAACAAAGATCATGATGCCGAAACCGTAGACTATCCATTATCTTCCACTGTGAATTATTTGACTCACAACAACAACAGCAGCGATGGTTTGGGAAATACCGATCATCCAGGAGCTGATTTTATGACCTCTTCAGGAAGAGACAGCCCAGTACCAGAGCTTCAGAGACTTCTTAATCCGTCATCAATGTCTTTTGCGACTGATGGTAATAATCATCATAATTATTCTGGAGGTAATACCAACAATGTCATGCTTGAGAATATGATGAAGACAGACTTTACCGAGACAGGATATCTGAATGATCTTTTGAATAATCTTAGTGGTTTGGGAAACAGAATCGATAATGAGTTGTGGGATGAAATTACTAACCAGCCTACATGGTTAAATGATGTTAGCGAAGAATTCCAAAATTTAATGAACTCAATACAATAAACAAGACACTAGTATTTGATCGCTTATGCTTTCCTTTTTTTTTTTTTTTTTTTTTTTTTTTTATAATTTTTATCAGAATTTCCTTTTTCATTCATATATATAGATATATATATATATATATATTAGATCATAGAAGTTATATACAAGGTTAGAGCTAATAAAGAGATTGATTTCGGAAAGATCATCATGCAAAAATCTTACAGCCATAGACAAGTGTTAAACATAATAGCATTTAATGGCAAACCCCGTTTAAGGACCTGCCAATTTTATTATCCAATTATATTAAAGTTACTAATCAGGAGCTTTGATCTACGATACCCCCAAGAAAGTGCAAAGTACCAAAGTTCCCAAAGTAGAAACGGTGATTTGAAATTATCGGAGTCGCTTTTCCGACGCAAGAAAAAAAAAGAAAAGAAACCTATCAGTCATCTCCATAAATTGCCAAAACTATTCCGTTTATGAATTGACCAGGCGAAACCCAAATAAATAAATAAGTGAATAAATAAATAAATAACTGAAAGGGAATAACCATGATTACTGCGATAGCCACAGATTTGGAAGGTATTAAACATTTTAACCAACATCCTGCTGAAGTGGAGGTCCAGCATGAGCTTCCAGTCACTGGTAATGATGGTATATCACTAAAGAATCTAAAACACACCAGACAGCGGCCTGAATATGAAAGCACCCAAAATTATACTCCAGGAGAGTTTCTGGATCAATCTTCAAATTCATCTGGTAATATTAACGTATATTCCAATACCGATGGGCTCACGGCTGACAATATCGAATTTCCTGATGGAGGGTTGAAAGCATGGTTGACGGTTATGGGATCATTTCTTGGACTCACTGCCAGTTTCGGGATATTCAACAGCACCTCTGCTATAGAGACATACATTGCCAATAATCAATTGGAAAACGTATCAGCGTCCGTGGTGGGGTGGGTGTTTTCCATCTACATGGCGATGTCGTTGCTTTGTGGCATTTTCACCGGTGATCTTTTCGATATGAAGGGTCCAAGAATTCCGATTTTTCTAGGAGGTCTGCTTGTGTTTCTTGGGGTCTTCACCACTGCCAGCTGTACTAAAGTTTATCAATTTATTCTTGCTCTAGGGCTAGTTTGTGGACTTGGGATTGGGTTTCAGGTCAGCAGTTTAATTGGCATCATATCTCATTGGTTTGATAAGAAAAGAGGTATGGCTACCGGGATTGCTACTGTTGGTGGCTCAGTTGGTGGGGCTATTTTCCCTATTATTCTTAAGAAATTGTATTCGTCGTTGGGATTCCCTTGGGCAATGAGGGTTCTTGCGTTTATTCTTGCATTTTTTGAAATTCTTGCCCTAGTATTGGTCGTTCCTAGATTCCCTCCCAAGAAATTCCACCACGATAAAAAAATTCCTCTTTATAAAAGAACCATCAAATTTTTGAAAAATACCGTTGATCTTAAGGGTCTCAAAGACCCAAGATTTGCCTATTGCACCCTTGGAGTATGCTTATCAGAAACTTTCCTCTCTTGCTCATTAACGTACTATGGGTCGTATGCCTTAGCGAAAGGTAACTCGGAGAGCACTTCGTATTTACTCATCACCATTTTGAACGCGATGGGGATTTTTGCCAGAGTCGCTGCCGGTTACCTTTCTGATAAAATAGGGAAGTTCAACATGATGACAATCATGGTGTTCTTTTCGTCATTGTTCTGTTTGATCATTTGGTTACCATTTGGCCATACCACCGGAGGGTTGTACGCGTTTTCCGTGATTTATGGGATTTCCTCGGCCGGGGTGTTAAGCTTGATTCCCCTTTGCCTTAGCCAAATTAGTCGGGTTGAAGATTTTGGTAAACGGTATTCCACGGCTTATCTTGCAGCTGCCTTTGGATGTTTGATTGGGGTACCTATTTCTGGGCTCTTTATAGGGTCTCATCCTACCAGCAGGAATTACGATAATTACATTATATTTATTAGTGCTCTAGGCTTTGCGTCGGTGTGTTCGTGGGTATTGTCGAGGATGTACGCGGTGAAGCTAAGACTTTGCGTTTATTAAGATAGGGCAATAGATGCCATTAGAATTATGATCTTTGTTTATTTTTCTTCTTATTCCCTTTTGTGCAATGTAACCACTATTGAATGACTACTTGTAAGACAGGGCAGCCCTTCCTCCTCCTCTCAGCTCGTCGTCGTTAATTACCGGAGATATAACGCCCTGGTGTAAAAAAAAAAGCAAAGATCAGCCACACAGTGCGTTTAGATCACTCCAGCATGCTAAAAATGACTCAAAACCCCATATATGTCGAGGAATCCACTTTAACTCAGGATATAATTAGTGGGAATTCCTCTTTTTTTAAATATACTTTTACCATTATCATAGTCACTATCACTATTACTACCATAACCACCCAAATACTCCAACAGATATGCAAACCGACGTGCTATCGAGCACCCTCAGGGAATTAAAAACATTCACCCAAAAGAGCTCTGATCTTTTTAATACCACCAGATCGACACAAGAACACGAATTGAATGATTTGAAAAGAAAATCAAAGAAGAGTAGCACAAAAGGTAAAGGCAAGAGCTCTGAAACCGATTCCAGTTCCATTCACCAGACTGATATCGAGCGTGATTCCGATAATGAAAGTTCCACCGGTCTTTCCTCAGACATCGACTTCCCCGAAGGTGGGATGAAGGCCTGGTGCGCCGTTTTAGGGTCATTTCTCGGGTTGACCAACTGCTTTGGTTGTATCAATAGTACCTCTGCCATTGAAACGTATATCGCTCGTAACCAATTGAATGACGTTTCTGCCTCGGTGGTCGGGTGGATTTTCTCGATCTATATGTGTGTCGCTTTGTTGTGTGGTATTTTAACCGGTGATCTTTTCGATAGAAAAGGCCCTAGACTTCCGATCTTTTTTGGAGGAGTGACATCTTTCATTGGGATCTTCATCACTGGTAATTGCTCGGAAATTTATCAATTTATCCTTGCGTTTGGGATCGTTGCCGGGTTGGGGAACGCTCTCCAATTCTCGAGTTTAGTGGGGATTATTGGCCATTATTTCAATAAACGCAGAGGGATTGCCATTGGTATTGCCACCATTGGTGGATCGGTTGGTGGGGCAATTTTCCCAATCATGTTGCGCAAGTTGTATTCTAGTTTAGGTTTTGCCTGGGCCATGAGAATCTTTGCCTTTGTCCTCTTATTTTTGGATATTGGGGCCTTTTTATTGATCACTCCAAGATTCCCTCCAAAAAAGAACCCTACTAGCAATGAGAAACTCTCGAAGAAACTCGTGGGATTCTTCAAAAAAACCCTCGATATCGACGCGTTCAAAGACCCACGGTTCTTGTTTTGCGTGCTTGCCGTCACTTTCTCCGAAGTGTTTTTGGTGACCTCCATGACCTACTATGGTTCGTACGCTTTATTCAGAGGAAACTCCGAAGATACTTCCTATTTGCTCATCACCATCATGAACGCCAGTGGGATTATTGCCCGAGCCATCGCTGGGTACTTATCTGACAAAATCGGGAAGTTTAACCTTATGACGGTGATGATTTTCTTTTCCTCAGTTTTCTGTTTAATTATCTGGTTACCATTCGGTCACTTAACCGGAGGATTATACGCTTTTTCCGTGGCGTACGGCATTGCCTCGGCCGCAGTGTTGAGTTTGACCCCATTATGTGTCAGTCAAATTAGTAGAGTGGAAGATTTTGGTAAAAAATACTCTACTTGCTACTTTGTGGTGGCGATTGGAACTTTAGTGGGGATTCCGATTTCCGGGGCGTTTATCGGAGCCAATCCTACCGTGAAGGATTACAATAACTTTATTATTTTTGTTTCTGTGTTAGGTTTTACCGGGGTTGTTTTTTGGATTGTGTCTCGATGGTTTGCCGTTAAACATAAATTTTGCATTTACTAGGTCTTCTTTTCTGTATTTTACATAGCTGGGTTTTCTTCATATATATGATTTTATTACACGAAAAATTTGAAGTTTCATTTGTTTATTATAATTACTTATTATAATAATAATTAATATTTAAAAAATCTTTCTTCCCAGATTATAAACACACACGTTTAATCAATCTATCAACATTATCTTTGCTCCAATCACCGAGTCTCTTGTTATTTTTGATGATCAATGCATTCTTCACGTTCAATTCTCTAATATCAACCAATGTTTGACTACCAATCAAATACTGCTTTTTATTAATTCCCACGGCAATATTCTGCTCGGTAAATCGTTTGTCAATTTCCAAACTCGACAACAAGCCATGCTTCGTGATCAAAGAATCAGCACAGCCGTCCATATCCTGGATCTTACTAATCACTTCCGTCAACAACTTCTTGATCCGGTAATTCAAATATGGCGAATTCTTCAAAGTGAATACCCAATCAATGATCCCTTTGGCTCTTAAAAACCCAACGTCCCTAGCGGTCCTGATTCCTCCAATAATACTGTTTAAAAGCCAAATGGTTTCCATATGAAACACCCCAGGGTCTTCAATGGCAGTGATGGATTTGAATAATGGTAAATCGCCTTTGCTTAAAGATGGCATACCAAGCAAGTATTTGTAGGCTTTTTCATAGAGGAAATGTGATGGATTGGTAATAATTGGCACGAATCTAGAAAGCTGGTAGTAGATAATTGGATTAAAAGCTCCCGCGGATACGATCTCTCCGTTAGCGTCAGGACCAAACGACGACACGATTTTCATAATCAAGATTTTGACCAAATCTTTATCTCTATAAGTGGTACTTTCTCTATTGGCACTTTCGGCGATATTATAAAGAATGGTTTGCGCAATCTTAATCACTGATCCATCAGTTGACGATAAGCAAACTATCAAATATTCTAAGATGTTGGAGTCAACAAGAAGTCTTAAATCAAAAATTGGGATGGTCTGATCGTTTTCATCGAAAAATAATAATTCAGTATTATTCATAATGAGCAACATCACAAACCTTGGGTCATATACCAAAGTCTTATTGTTTCTCTTGATTTCATAATCTTCAAAAATCTCCGCTAATCCCTTCTGTTGACCAAGAATTGGCGCAACATCCAATGGATCAATGACAAAATTGTCGATCGAGTCCTTCAAAAATTGATTACTCAAAGAAATTGTCATACTGCCATTATTCTCTTTAACCAATAGCCTTTGTTGGTTCAAAAGTTCTTGGTAATCGTCGCCGGAATTCTGGCCGTTAGAAGTTTCGCTTTGAAATTCCCAGTTGATAACGTAATTGTTAAGCCATGATTCACTTAAAGTTTGTTCAATTTTGTTCAAGATGTCAAATAACAATAAATCAAAGCTAGCAATCGAACCAGTGTACGCCAACAAGATTTTTTCTCTAATAGAGATCGTCGAGTTTTTAGCCGGGTTCATTCCGAATAATTTGTGAACAATGAGACTGGATAAGAATTTCATTTCATTAAGATGGATATCACTGGAAACTGGCATGAAAAGTGGGGTTTTTTCATTGTTAAGGAAAATTTGTAAAAATCTTCCATGTTCAAACCCGGCACCAGCGTTTTTCGTTCTTTGAATGTTGGAAATCACTTTGACAATGTAATCCAAGATGATCTTATCGTTGATCCAACTTTTACTGTTCAAAACAATTTCAAGTTGAGTATTGATCAAGTTTTTCCTGACCAATTTGTGAATATTAATCTCACGAGAATCGATTAATTTTGTGAACGATGTTAAGAATTTTTGGAAAGACAATGTGAATTCTGATGTTTCCGCAAACTTCTTGTTGATAAATAAGAAACACTTATTGAGATACATTCCAAAAAGATTGTTAATGTCAAGGGAAGGAGCAGAAAGCATTCTAATAATGAACGACACCGCAGACCCAGTGAAAATATCTTTGCCGCATGAGCCGCTAATAAAAAATTCCACCAACAGTAATCTTTGTTCATCGTTGAAAAAATTAAAACAATTGCTGACCAATTTCAATGTTTGGTCGTACGAAACAATCTTATCATCATTAAGGGGCACCAACGAACCGGCGATTTTCGACAAAATATTTGAAAAATCGTCCGATGATTCAAGACACTCATCAATGATATCTTGCGGAGTCGAAGAAACAACAAACTTGAAAAGATCATAATCATCCAGATGCTTGTTGTTGACATAGGTGACCACAAACTTGGAGAATTCTGGGTTAGTGTCAATGATTAATTTTAAAATCTCCTTATAAGAGGCCGATGGCAAAAGTTCATTGATGATATTTTCAAAATCTTCATTATTCCACAAGATCTTATTATTATCTATAAGATTGATAATTAAGAATGTAATATCGTTCGCATGCTGGCCTTTCTGAAAGCTATTACCTTGTTGCAATAAATGTAATAATTGCGCTGATGTCAAATGAATGCCTCTAGATACCACTTCCATAAAAATCAAAGATGCCACTGAAGGGTTAGTGGATTTCATCAACGCCATCATCAACGAAGTAGTGTCCAATACCCAAAGGTTCTTCTTCACAAATACAGATGGGGTCTCCAATGATTGACTGAGTAATTCTCTAACATAACCAGAAAACGAGGCAAGCAATTTCAAAAACTCTGGATTAGGCTTGTCTGACGCCACATCCAATTCTTGTAAGATATTCCCGAAAACTTCGTATAAATGTTCTGAATGACGTTTGGAGTTGAATAAAAATTTCCGGACAATCAAAAACGCATGATCATTAGCAGTATTATAAGTCAAATAATTGGAAATCTTGGAAATAATGTTGGAACCATAAGAAAACGTCGACCCATTCTCCATCTCTTCCGATAACTTGTACAAAAGACCAACCAAATCAAAATCGTTGACCAAAACTTCTTTGACAGAGCTTAAACTTTTTGTTTCTTCATTAAGAATCGATTCAAAGAATGAGAGTTGCCCATTTAAAATACCATTGGCAGATTCGGACTCAATTATTGAGAATTCATCCACAATTTTCTCCACTGTTTGCTTAAAGCCAAGCTGTTCGGTGAATATCGCAATGGTTTTATCTTTACCTTCTTTGACAAAGTCATTAAAGAGACGAGCAATACCGTCTGCTGGTTCTCCAATAATAATCAAATATTTAACAAATATCGTCAACCACACCAAGGCAAGGTCATAATTGGAACTCTTATCCAAATATTGGAATTGCTCAAATAAAGTCACGATGAAAGGACTGATCTTCGAATATTTAGCATTTGATAAGTCGATATACTTATACGGGGTCATGATTCTGGAAACTGTCTGGTCTAATAATTTCCAAATACTGCCCATTGACTCCTTGGAGCTAGCAATCTTCGCAATGAATTTGAGTGAGCTAACCAATGGGAAGGTTTGTTGAGTTAGCACATCGTTTGAATCATCACCATAACTATGGAACGAGAGTGTTTGAGTGAACAAGCTATTCAACAATGAAATAACTTTACTATCTATTGTGTTTTTCTCATCATCAACGTAGCAGCATAATTTGAGCAAATTTGTGAACAACGAATTATTATTTTCAGAAAAGCTGTACCATTTTTGTGAAACCTTGACCGATGAACCATCCTCGGATTGACTATTTGCAAGTTCTTGTAATTTGAAAAAACTGTCCAACAATAAGAGATCCATACCACTGAAATCAGAAGTCGAACTCAACAAGGTATTGAAATAACTACTAAGGGAAGCCAAAGAGTTTTGATGTAAATTGACATTAGGAATATGAATCAAGTAATAATTCAAAATCTTGACCAAAGAAATAATCAATAATTTGAAATCCCTGGTCGCCTCGGAAGATTCTTTTTGAACTTTTTCAATATCACGGAACACTTGTAACACCACATGAATCTCTGGCAAACTTTTATGATACCTTGTCTTTAATTTTAAAAGCTCTTCATTCCACCCATTGGCCTCATATAATTTGATTACTTTTTCCAATTTTTCAAAACTGAAGGCAAGTAACTGGAGGGCCAATTGTTTAACCAAAAAGCTATTTGATTTGAGACATTTTCCTAAAGATTCACTATTCAAACATGATGGTAACACACTTTCCATAACTATACTATTTGAAGGACGCAATAGTGGCAGGTCATCGGAATTGTGAAGATCAATTATCTGTGATGGGATTGGAAGAGAGATAATCTTTTGTAAAAGCAAAGTTTGACCAACCCAATAGAACGTCATCTTTGGATCAAAATTATTATTAATCGAGGATAGGTAAGTCACGTACACAGAAATCAATTCTGGAATTTTGTTTAAGACGTTGGTCGTTGTAAGCAACTGCAATTTACTATCCCAAGGCTTGAGCTCAATGAGGATATTGTAGATGAATTGATTAATGATCTTGAATTTTTTACCCCCAACAGTGATAGTTTGTAAATTACCAGAGTCATTGGAGATCGACATCACTGGTTCGTTGAACCAGATTCTATCATCATGGATGAAAATCCCTGCCTTATCATCGATCAAAAATTTGTTCAATAGGGTGTCGAATTTTTCATTGATCGATTCCTCAGAAACGTAGTATAATGGAAGCAAAGCCGTGATGTTCCATTGGTTAAGGTACTTCAATTTGATAGGCTTGAATTTGGCTAAAACGGGATCATCAAGGATTTTTCTATCCCAAACCTCGAGGCATTTCACAATCAAATCATGAGGATCGTATTTGGCACAAAATTTGAATAAATTGGCATTGACTTTTCTAGAATTCGACCCTTCGAGCAGGAGTAAATCTTTTCTTGTTAGAGGGTTGGCCAAATCAAACAAAGTGATCCAAAACTTCACAAAATTATAACGTATTGACCTTGGTCCTAATCGTACTCCAGCGCTCATTTCGGCTTTTGTAGGGGTGAGCAATTTCGATAATACTGGTAAATTCAAATCAAATAACTGCACAAACTCATCAATAAGCTCACCATTCTTGAAAGAAATCACTTCGAATAATAACCTCAATAATGGATTGGTGGTTGGCGGTTTCATCGATGATAAACCTCTATAGAAAACCCGGAGATTTGCTGGGATTAAAAGATTACTTCTGATGAATTTTAGCGCCGGTTCATGTAATACTGGGTATTTGTTGCAAAAATGGAGTAATTTAGATAATTTCAATGTGGAATCAGTGACTTTCCCATGGTCATTCACATTGGAATAATAGTTCCACAATTGGATCACTTGTAACGGATAATTCTTAGCAAGGAACTGGCTTAACGATTCAACAAGTTCCGTAGTATTATTAGTAACAGTCCCATCATCATTACCAGATTTATAGCTTTCAAATATCTGTTCTAGTTTTTGTAAAACCTCTGAATCTAACGATCTATCAACCTTGTATTTATCTTGCAAATTCCTCTTTGGTTGGGTTGGCTTGTCTTTTACAAACGAGGCTTTATCATCATACTCATTATTCTGAATATGATTACTGGAATATTCATGGGCACTCATTTTTCTTTTGGAGAATAATGTTGTTGCTTCACTAAGAACAAGAACTTCTACTCTTGTTAAAGGACCATGTTTATGTGAGTTTATTAAAAAAAAAAATTTTTTTTTTTTTGTTTTCACTTCATGCGCGATGGCCTTACCCCGACACAGAGGGTGCTTCTCCCACCATACATTAACTGTAAAGAGTAAATCATCTTCATTCATTGAAAATAAATAAATAGATAGACAATAATAATAATGATAATAATAATAAAAACTGCTCAAATATGGTATTCTGAGGCACACTTCTGCAGGAATCAACTACGATATGGTTCTTTCTTTCGCCTTTATACCCAATTTCGCATGTCAGAACTGCTATGGGTTAATATTTTATTAGATGTAGAATCTTGTAAAGGGGGAGATATGAGAAAAAGTAAAAAAGGTTTTGATTAGCACAGCATATATGGATAATAAAGATGATAGTAAACATTGCGAGAAAAATATCACACTACAAATTGTAGATCTATTCATGGGTTTATTAATAAATCTACATCTTTGATATGCTCGCTGCCTTTGACAACCAATCCCCAAGTTATTCTAGATGTGTTTTGCCTCACACAATCCTTAAATAATAATAATGACTTCCTTCCATGATAAGTGGACTCTCGCCACCTCGATATTCACATGTTGAAGCATCATCTCCAGAACCATGAAGTATTACTATTGTAAGACATCTGTATCTTAGATAACCGCATGTATATTATTGGCAGTTCCAGCGTCACATCGTACCATTCGTCAACGGGTGAGTGATCAAAAGCTTATTCATCCATCCATAGATGGCTAAGTGAACTAGTATAAATGCTGAAAAAAAAAAAAAAAGACTGAGACGGTAGCATCGTACCTTTCGATGATCCACGTTCATTTCTTTTCATTTTTTTTTTTTTACACAAAAGGGTGCAGGGTGCTATTAGACCCATTCCTTAAATTTTCATGTACTCTTTAACTAGTCCTGTTATTATTCTCTGATATGCTACAAATACTTCAAATGAAAACGAAAAAGTGCAAAAGGATTGGGACAGAAGATGGGTTATCCATATGTGAGAAATCACGATCTCGCCGCTAATAATATCGCAGACATTTGCCAACACTTGTATCCTCCCGGCCATTTGTTAACCACAGATATTAAAATCCATGTTGATAATGAAAGAAGAGAACCCTATGCTCATTATACCGAATATTATCGACAACTTATAGCAATATTGACATTAGATAAATCATGATAAGGGTATTTTGAATATATTTTGGTACTCCACCATTAATATACACGTTTTTCTATAATATAAAATAAGTTATACAAGTTCATTTCGATTCTTTGTTCAACGCACGGGACAACTTTTGATAAAATTGCGGCAAGGTCTCTACCGGGAAAGTCAAACTCTCAAAGAAATAGTCTGGCAACACCCTTTTAAGTTTCTTAGCATCGTCATCATTTTCAACCACTGGATTGTAAACCATTTCTACCGTCTCATCTACGGTGATGTTCAGATCTGCTGGGGTATCCCCTACCACAGTTCGACTCAAAATCAATTGATAACTGATCTCACCATTCACGCCACCTTGAACACAGTTAAATGTTAGATTATTGCTGTCAGAGTCATCAACATCATCCACACGAAGTCCACATATACTTTCCAAGATGTCTGTTATAATTTCGTGTTTCTCAACCGTTCGTTGATATTCTGTTATTTTCTCGTTCAAAATAATGGCATTGGACATCGATTCGTCATTGAGACCGGTGACCTGTTTCAACTTTTGTTTCAAATCTTCCACTTCCTTTGTGAGCTCTGCAATTTTTTGTTGGTCAGCTAGATGCTGGGAGGCTTTTTCCTCATCATGATGGTTGATTTTCTCAGTTGGTTGACTTTCCAAAGTTTTGATTTTTTCGGTGAGCAAGCTGATCAAATTATCTGAAACTTCGGTTTTTTGTTCCATTGTCTTTTTATAATTATCAAACAAACCATTTTTGCTTCCATTGAGATCAGAGATCAACTTTTCAACCAACCCTGAATTGCTCTTATCACCGGCGATCAATGACGAGGCAATAAGCAGATCAAGTGGCGAATCATATTTCTGCTGATTCGGAGCACTAGATTCCCTATTAGACTCGGAGTGCTTATTGTTATTATTGTTATTATTATCTTCCCCTAGTTGTTTGTCCTGACTTGTGGGTATTGATTCCAGTTTTGAATTTTGTTTTTTGGCAACCAGTGCAGTTCTTTTAACTCTTCTCTCTGTTGCTCCCTTTCGTGTACCACCAGAAATCAAATCACTACCAGTTAGATCACTAAGATTTGTATTGTTTTCGGTTCGCGAATCACCAACCCCCGAGGATTCTTCGATAGTTTCCTCATTCTCCAGTGTCATCGATCTCTTCGCTCTTCTTCGCTTGGGAGGGGTGGATGATTTTGCTTTCCCAGCAGAAGCAGTTTTTCTCGGACGTTTTGGAGGCATATTTTTCTGTTAGTGAAGGTAGCAAAGAAAAACAGAACAGTGAGGTGAAAAAAAGGACGCCTTGCTATTTATTATTAAGGTGGATCGGTCCTTGAAAGTTTTGTTTGTGTTTTTTGTTTACAATTTTTTTTTTTTTTTTTGCGGTCTCGACGCACGCCGTGGGAATGTTTCTTTCCATTTACGATGGTCCAACATAATAATTATTATAATAATTTTTAAAAAAACAATAAACATTATATCTTACAAATTAGTAGTATGTAAAACACATCATTCGTAACTCATAACATTAACTAGTAAATATAGGAAAATTGTAAAAAATAAAGAAAAAATAATAAATAACAACAACAAAAGAAAAAAAAAAAAGAAATAATAATCAAACAAAAACCATTACTTGATATACACAAACTAATAATCCCCTTTATTTAATCACCCTCATTTGATGATATATCACTGGTAGATTCTTCACCCGAATCATTTTCCGTCAATTCAATATTCAAATTGCTTAAATATTCGTGGCGTCTTTCTGGTCCAGCCTCATGGTTGTCATTACTACCATTGTATTGCTCAAACTGCCTAGACTGGATATTATTCACGTACTCCCTTAAATCCTGACTAGCGGCAAACTGCATATCCGCATCAGACACCGAGCTAGCAGAATCACTCCCAGTAGATATTGAAGGAGCAATATCGGTACGCAAGAATCCGTAGTTAACCATGTCTCTACTTCCTGTATCATTATCGCTTGAATGTACCCAATTAGCAGACAGTTCGCTGCTAGTCAAGTTAGCTAGAGGTTGGGGCTCATTATTCGCCATGGCATGGTGGCTATCGGTTGCTGATCTCATAATGGTCGAGCTATCCGATAATAGGTTATTATTACCATCTGATGACTGATTGGTATGACCATAATTCTCAACATCACTAGGATTATGACTTCCAGTGAGTCGCAAAGACTCGACAAAGCCACTGGGTTTGGCACTATCATCGTTGCCAATAACCGTTCCACTACCGCTACTGACATACTTGTTTTCCCCTGCCCCACGAGGCAAGTCAGCAAGGTCATGGTCCTCATGATTATAATTCCCAACCTCATTGGTGATGGCGTATCTAATTCTTTCGCAGCTTTCATTGTCGTAGTCAACATCAGATTTGGGAACAAAATTCACGGAATCTTTGGCACTTTTGCAGCTGCTATACATATCGTCGATCTCTTCTAATTTTAGACCCTTGGTTTCATAAATCGCAAAGTATGTAAAAATCGCGGCAAATGTCGTCACCCCTCCCCAGAGAAAGAAAATCTTCATCCCCAACGAAATGGAAGTATCAGATTTTGCATTCCCATCAATTAAGTACGGGGTCAGAAAGGCAAACGCAAAATTAACTAGCCAATTGGTAGCGGCTGACAAAGACACCGCACGGCCTCTGATTCCTAATGGGAAGATTTCCGAAGTAACAACCCAGACTCCCGGACCCCAAGTCGAGGCAAAAAACAAAATGAACGTACAAACAAATGCCAACATGACTTTATTGGTTGTGATAGAAGATCCTTGAGCCGTACCCACAATGGCAATGATAAATGAGGATATTGTCATGCCGATGGCTCCAAACATCAAAGATTTTCTTCGACCAATTAATTCAATAAGAAAGATTCCGGGCACCGTTCCAACAACATTGACGGCGTAGGTCACAAAGCTGTACAAGTATGATTTATCAACTACTCCGGTTTCCACGAAAAACCACACCCCATAATAAAAGATAAAATTGATCCCGGACGCCTGTTGCAAACCTTGGAGAACGATACCAGTTACCATCCGAAGTCCTTGTTTACTTCGTCCTGGTCCACTTCTGAAACAGTCTATGAATGAGTATGCTGACAATGACATGGTGAAATCATAATTGGCTTTGATATCGACCAATTCCTCGATTAACCCCGGATCATCTTCAGGAACTCTTCTCAATATACTAAGAGAGTGGGCAGCATCAGAAATTCTATTCTTCATCACGTAGAACCGAGGGGATTCGGGTAAGAAGAACACCCCAATACTCAAAAGAATGGCCCAGCCCGACTGCAAGCCAATGGGGATTCGATAAGACCCTGTGTTGTTCATTTTATAAGTAGCTTGGGAAATGGCACTGGAGCATAAGAGTCCCCAGGTGATCGCCCATTGATAAGTAGAAACAATCGCACCTCTGACCCATTTGGGCGACGCTTCAGATTGGTAGAGCGGAACTGTTGCAGATAATATACCAATCCCACACCCGGTGATGACCCTTCCCACACAAAGGAGGGCCAATGTTGTAGACGATATTTGACAAATATTACCGATATTGAACACCACCAACGAGGAGATCAAAATGGCCATTTTACGGCCCAATGCATCGGTTAACAACGGCGAGAATATTGCCCCGACTAGAGTACCCAACGAAAGTGAAGCAGTGGCGATGGCTCGTTCAATGGCACTGAAAGAAGTCCCATTTTTGCTAAAATGGGTAACCACATAGTGCATGGATAAGACGTTATTGGAAAGACCGGTGTCATAGCCATATAAAAACCCACCAACCGCAGCAAATGTACCTATAGCTATCGCCATGGACGAGCTTTGCGGTCGAGCTCCGGGGACATGATATTGATTTTTGGTTTCATAGTCAACAAACGTTTGGCTCAACCCCTTGATGGTTTTGAACTTCATATTTTGTTATCGATATCTGGAATATCTTTTGTGTGTGTGTGTTTGTGTGTGTGTTTTTTTTTTTCTTCTTCTTTATTCCCTCCCCCTCCTTCTTCTGCTGATTCCGGATATCTCACCAGAAAATATAAATAAATAATATTGTAAATTTTTCTTTTTTATATCCTTCCTTCCAAAGACAAAAAACAAAAAAATGTGCCAAAAAAAGACAAAAAAAAAACAAAAAAACGGATTATCAGTATAGGCTATCAATGATTGTGAAGGGATTTTCCATGAGAAAAAAAAAAATGGGAGTGGCGGTGGTGAATTGAATCAAGATCGGTTCTAAAAAGCGGTTATTGATGCAAAGTTCGCTGAAAATGTATCAAGGAATTGAAGTCTGGAGCTCTGTGTGAGAATGGCAAGATATAGTCGGCTTTGATGGAATGCGCGAGTTAGGTGTTTCTATTGTTCTCTATTCGGCCGTTGATATTGCCTGAGAAAGGAGATTGTACGACGGTGACGATGGTGGGTGGTGATCCTTTTTGTCATTCACAGGAATTTTTCGAGATGCGGCGTACCGTAACGGAGGGGCGGGAGGGCTTCCGCACCGGAGTTTGATGGCGGGGGTGACATGATATCTGTCACGTGTCAAAGACCTGGCAAATGAAAAACGAAATTACAAAAATTTTCCTTCTTCTTCTTGTTCTTTTTATTCTTTGTTCGTGTTACATCCATCATCCATTATGGCCAGAACTAAACAAACTGCTAGAAAATCCACCGGTGGTAAAGCACCAAGAAAACAGTTGGCATCCAAGGCTGCCAGAAAATCCGCCCCAACTTCTGGTGGGGTCAAGAAGCCTCACAGATATAAGCCAGGTACCGTTGCCTTGAGAGAAATTAGAAGATTCCAAAAATCCACAGAATTGTTGATCAGAAAGTTGCCATTCCAAAGATTGGTCAGAGAAATTGCCCAAGATTTCAAGACCGACTTGAGATTCCAATCTTCAGCTATTGGTGCCTTGCAAGAATCCGTTGAAGCTTACTTGGTTTCGTTGTTTGAAGACACTAACTTGTGTGCCATCCACGCTAAGAGAGTCACCATCCAAAAGAAAGACATCCAATTGGCCAGAAGATTGAGAGGTGAAAGAAACTAATGTTCCGTTTGGTATCGATTGTTTATTACACTAGTGTCTACAATTTGTGTTTAATTTAGTCGGACATTATTCTATTGACAGTTCTTTTTTTTTTCATTTTTGTCTACTATCATTTTTATTTTCAGGGGTTGTTTGGTTTTATTTTAATTGAAGCTATCAGAGAGTCTTCAGATGTATGCTATCATTGCAATTGTAAAGTAAAAAAAAAATCGCCACCGAATGAAGGAGCGATGAGAGATCACACACATCGCCCAGTGGGAAACTGTCCGGGTAATGATTGATGATCATGATATGATGCAATGCTATCATCATACATGAGTATTGAGTGGATTGTATAGTAAATTAACACTATATTCGTGCGTACGTATATATACAATTCACTATAAAATATGTTGCTTGGTCATAAATTCCACTCTGTAAGCTTTAATTTCACTGCCTTAATAACCGGAAACAATAAAAAAAAAAAAATGAATGCACTGTTCATGTTGCGTTGCAGGCGTTTCTTTTGGTAATTTGTGGATCATAAAACATCTGATCTGATCTGGGGGGGGGAGGTCACTCGCTCAATAAAATAACAGTTCAACCACAGACATACAAAGTAGCATTAAATAACTGCAGATATTTGTGGTACCATAATAGCATTATTAAATGTGAATACGATCATGCTATAACCTGCTTTTTTTTTTGTTCGAAAAGTCCGGGATTGTTTGATTTTATTTATCCTACAAGTGATAAATATTTGCATTAGCAAAACTGAGGTGATAGAAGAGGATGTGGCTATAGTAAATTGCCTAACCTGGTTTTTTTTTAATTGACTATCAAGGAACCTTTGTGTCCTTGTGTGTGTGTGTGTGTGTGTGTGTGTGTGTTTGTTTTTTGGTGGTTGTTTATGCCAGCATTCATCAAGACATATCCTGTTTGGTAAATCACCAAGAGCAAGAAAAAAAAAAAAAGGTTGTCCGCACCTGAATAAGAAAATTATTATGTCCATGTTTCCCCTTCGTAATAATAATGATAGCTTATTTGACTGGAGAAGCCGATATATGATACCCGGTGTCGTCGGAAAGGAAAGGAAAAACATGAGACACTTCCATTAATTACTGTGCACCAATGTTGAACAACAACAACAACAACAACAACAACAACAACAACAACAAATAAAAATAGATCTCTTTCCTTTTCTTTTCAGGGCACTGGATCGATACAGCCCAGCCAAGTCAATATTTTTGTTCTTAGCCTTGCTCGCTCTTCATGTCTCTTTAAGTTGAGTTCGTATCCCCAATTGCATGAAAAAAGCAAAATCTGTACGGATCTTTATTGCCTTGGGCTCCACAATGTTCAGTAGTGATACGAGGGCCGCATATTTTCTGACATAGTTAGTCGCATATGTATATATATTCACATTTATTATTAAGATAGTATTACTAATGATATCTTAATATTTTGTTTGGTTTACTTGTGCTACGGTTTCTTGGTAATAGAACGTAAAGCACCCCCGTCAATAATTGGATGGACGGCACCCCTTTGACGCTTACGAACGGGTCTGCGGGGATTCTCCCTCAAAAAATCTCTCAAGGGGAGTAACATATTTAGATGATTGATGTTTTTATAGAAACATCGATCCGAAAGTTATCACAGTAAACATTAGAACAAAATTATACATATAGAAGGATGCTTCTTGACACCCTTATGAACCATTGAAAGGGGGGGCTAGAAGCGAGGAGCGCAATATCATATCCCAGCAATGTATATTTCGTCACTTGACAACATCAGGCAAGAATACGGAAAACAAGGAACTCACCGGAGTCATTGGAATATAAACAAATGCTGGAGAAGTTTTCCGATATATCATACGCGGAGGGATCGCACGATGAGGACAATGATTAATTAGGGTTTTCAAAAAGCATAGTGCACTTTTTTCTTTTTTTTTTTTTTTCGACTTGGAGTATCTCGAGAAATAAGCTGATCCTATATAGTTACTATTCACAGAACAAACAGAGACAAAAGTATCTCTGGCTCGATTTATGTCGTCTTATAACTTATTATTCCATGAGGGGGGGGGTGAACCTGTCTTGCATCCCAGACACATTCTATTTTGTCTCCGCGGCAAACCGAATAGCTCTTGTGTAGACAGACATATGAAAATGCTGTAGAATGTGAAAGTTAGTCATCATGAGCAGTGCCTCGTTTATTAATATTAATATTCATATTCATATGAGATTTATAGTATATTCATTATATTGAAGTCATTACATTAAATATTGCTGCGTGAAAGCAACGAGCAAACTAAAAAGGAAAAATAAAATATCGGATAAAATATGAGACAGGATCTAAAAGACATAATACAATTTTTTTTGACAGGAACAAAGTAAAAAGATAAAAAAAAAAACAAAAAACAATAGTGCAACAGAGAAAGTGTAGGTGAACCTTGCAAAACTATGATAATGCCAACAAATATTACTCTCTCTATATGTTTGATTATTCTTTAGCAAGATGCGTTTGACAAGGTTTAAGAGAAAATCTGATAAAAAATGACGTATAAGCACAGCAATTCATGAGTATAACTCTGATATGATACCAGCTCATATCTAAAGTTCTAAATTCTCTTTTGTTGATAGTCGTGATGCATAGAAATAAAAAAATAAAAATAAATGACAGCAGTAATAACAAGCATTAGCAAAAATCAAAACCACCCTCCCCAAAAAGAAAAATTAGAAGAACATCTAGAACAAACAGCAAAAAGAAAAATTAGAAGAACATCTAGAACAAACAGCAAAAATAAAAAATAAAAAATAAAAAATAAAAAATAAAAAAGAAGTCCCACCAATACTTCAGAACTCAATGTTTCTGCTTCTTAATTCTTTCAAGTTCTTGACTTTTCTTCTTCTGGCGTTGATGAACCAGTTATCTAACTGCTGAAAAGTCAAGCCGGTTTGAGCGACCAACTCATTTTTCTCTTGAGAATTAGGGTATGGACGATCTAAGTTTTGTTTTAGCCAATTGAGCAACACATCAGTGGTTGTTTTTGGCAAGTTTTGTCTTCTTTTCCGTTTGGAAGAGTCTGACATGTAGTTTGCAGAATAACTAGACACCGATGATGGCGAAGTGGTGGCAGATATGGACCTAGGGTAACTGTATTGATTTGGAATAGTTGGATCATACGACGACGAAGAAGAAGAGGAAGAAGTTGGAGTAGAATTGGTTGAATAGCTATTGGTTGGGTAGCAATGATATGGTTGTTGTGTAACGGTAGAGGAAGGGAGCACGGGTAGCGGGGTAGATGGATGATTCATTGACGGCAACACCTGAGGTTGTTGTTTCTGTTGTACGTACTTTGAAGCTGGGTATTGATATTGATAGCTACTTGATGGTAAAGGATGAATAATCTGTTGATTTGGCTTCTGGTAATGACCGCGGGGATCATAAGAGGGTCCATCGGTATACGCATCACGCAAAACGTCCTTCAAGGAAGGCAAAGTTGTAGGAGAAGACGATTGAAGGTGGTGAGATTGAGCATGGGACAAAGATGGCAAAGTTCTGCTCGAGGAATGCTGATGGTGGTGGTGGTGATTTTGGTTGGATAACATATTGGTGATATCCATGATTTGGCACTCTCAAAAAAACAAGGCTACCAGGAACAATTTATAATACTGTAAGAACATAATACTTTCTGAAAAGAGAGAAGAAAAACAAAAACAAAAAAGAAAAACTTTTATATCTAGTGGTGAGTGATATAACACTGGGAAACACCACCGGGTTTATATAACGCTTTTTTTCGGCTAGTAAACTGAAGGGATGTTCCAACAGCACGGGTCCATGAAAAACCCTCTTTTTTTTTTTTTTCTTTTTGTTTCTTCAAATTTCAATGCAATGCAATGCTTTCCAACGCACAGAGTTTTTGCAACATGCATACAGAAAAAGGCACTTGGCGCCGGAGTTAGAACAAACCCCCAAACTAGGCAAGAGCGCCTTCTAATGGCCGATTGAAAAATGCAAAAGAAAGGCAGCGCAATTGGTGTATGTGTGGCAGGAGATGTCAGTTGCAAAGAACATGGAGGAGAAAACAAGGAGAGGAGCTGCTATGGAATAAATACATATATCGTATTGAACAACCAGGGCCACAAATTAATTAGAGACGCAAACAGAATTACACTTTGAATGTATAACCATACAAGAAAATCAGCAATCAATCACGAGAAAAAAGAGAGTTTCTGCTCGTTTCTTTTTGCATGAAGTTTCTGCATGTTTCTTTTAACACTTGTTTATTTTGACAAAACAACAAAAGTGTCAATCACATATCAAGCCACTTCAGAGCAAACATATGTGGCCGTTTTATTATGGAGCCAGATATGGGCATTGACATGTTTTAGACTATGCTACGGTAACAAGCATTCACCCGAATGACAGAAACTTTAACTTTGCCCAACACAAGAATGCCAACAACAAGTTGCGAATTTTCGTACCACTCTATGTAGGCTTTGAAGCTCATGCATAACCTTTACTCGACCAACAATAGAGAAGTGGTAAAATAAACGGTTCCGTAATGGACACTAGCAGCAGCCCCCATCTCAGAGGTTGTTGATATTCATTTTGTGGTTTTTTTGTTTTGGTTTCCAGGTCTTGGTTTTGTGTAAGACTTGTCATCGATTAATTAATCGATTAATTAATTAGTTGAAGCGCAGCTTTTTCCCTCGCAGAAAAAAACCTTAATAATCAATCAAATGATAGCTGCGTTTTTTGATCCACACTCATTCTGCAACCAAAGAAAAAATCACCTGCTTTTTTTTTATTGTCACTGTCCCTGTATAGTCAGCTCAACTGCAGACGTTCTTATAGTTATGGGTATTTTATTTGTTTTTCTTCTTGTTAAAAGGAAAAAAGCGGTAATCTAAGACAACCCTGGGGTTTCAAATCAAATAAATCAGGAGATAAAAGTTTAAAGATACTTGGAGCGAATAATAATCTGGTTTTGCGGCACCAGTAAAATACCAATATCACTTTCCATTGTAGTTAATGGTGAATCCTACAAATATATCTATGGAATTATTAACTCTAACCAGAGAATTTCACGTTGTTCAACACAGAGCCTGGCTATATTGTGTTTGAGAAGAAAATACCGCGCAAAGCTTTTTCGTAGATTTTTAAGACTTAAAGAGCAAGAAAAAAAAAAGAAGAAAATTGCATGATATCCTGTCATCCAAAAATAAAACAGTGCTTTATACTTTTGCCAGAATTTTTACCCCAATTGAAAAACAATTATAGATAAGATTATCTTACCAAATTGAAAGTAAAGTAAATACTGGTACACATACACCGATCGAGCAGCCAAAGGTCAACAACATATTAGATCTGGACGGAAAAAAGCAGTAGGCCTTCCTATGATGGGCCTACCTAGTGTAGTACCAGTACGGGGGCTCCTACTAATAGCATATTCCGTATAACGATAATCTGGAATAGGATCCGAGGTCGGAAGATTTCAATGCCAAGCATCACATATCTCGGATCAAGTTAGGTTTCATCTGCGAGTGTTATCTCTCTCATAATAGCATACCGAAGGAGACAGTATGAAAGAAAAACATACAAATTGACATTCATGATGAATTGGTTATCTGTTTTTCTTCATTTGCTTTCTCTTTCTCTTTGTTCAGGTTTTTTTTTTTCTTTTTTTCTTTTAAGCATTCTGATTTTGATGCGATAAAGGTAGGTGTGCCTCCCCACTGCCGATCGTAATATCTCGCCCCCATCCTCCTCTCTGTATGTCTTGCGTCTAACGGCTCCACTCGCCTAAGTACAACCAGTGCGTGGGCAGTCAAAGTTTTGCTACTAAAAAACGAAACAAGAAAATATGTCTAATAATTGTTGGGTATTATGTAATTATAATTAAAAATTTTCTACATTGCAAATTGTCTAATCTCCGTGATGTCAGGCTCATTAAGTAATTCTTTTCTCGAGGGTAGTTTTTTTTTTTTTTTTTCTTTTCTATATACCACGGAGGGAGTGGTCAGAAAGGGGCATTGTAATATTATTCTGTTTCCTGCAACTTGCAAATAAATAACATGATTATTATTACTATTCGTACAGCTCCCGGGTACGAGTTTAGAAAAGCCCAAGTACCACGCGTCTGTAAAACTGCCAACAATTGTTTCCCAGTGAATAAACAAAGATAACACCTTTTACTGCCGAGCTGGCTAATATTGCGGCGCTATAAAAATAAGCGAAAAACATTCAAAACACCGGCACCTGTTACTTACTTACTTACTTACTTGCTTGCAAACTTAGCCTTAGGATCCGTCTGCTCTAAATGCATTCCAGTGGCTCAATGCTTATACGTTGAAAGTTTACTACTAAATCTAATCTTGAAATTTTGTTTTGTACAATAATATCGTTTATGAGATCGAATTTTAACTTTATAAATGATAATTGAGCGAAGATTTCCACCTTGGATAGCTAATCGAATTTGTCATATTGAATGAGGGATAAACAGGAGAAAGAGATAGAAACAATTTTTTTTTTTCAAAAAAAAAAGGAAATAGAAGATCGGCATAGCACCACTATTGTTTCACAAAACTGTTTAGTTTCGTGAGTGGCCATTGATGATATGCCTTCATGTGGTGATCTTTCGCTTTAAATTGCCATTAGAAGTTAACAAGACGGTGGACAGAAAATCATTGGCCTCGTCGCAACTATTTGGACTTGCCTGATGTTATTGAGACGCAAAGATTGTGAAAACAGGCAATCAATCAACGCTAGATTAATTTTTGGTGTCGTATCTTTTTTCTAATGACGACACACGACTCATATTTTCACTTTAAATAAAATGTATTGTGATCAGTGCCCCAAGTCAATTTCTCAATACAAAGCAGGTGTTTTACACTATTCCAATAAGATATATCTTATAGTAGCCACAGAGATAAATTTTTTTTTTTTCATGTGACAATCAATGTACATACACAACTGAAGGTGCTGTTGGGACACACACTGCTACGCCTGAGCATTGACGAATTGTCAACTTCTGCCACACACCTTAGCATCGTTGGTGCTTATGTGACTAGCACATCCTTATCCAGTATAGAATACACGATTGTGCTAAGGTAGAAGGTAGACTAAATACACTACCTGGCGTGGAGAGTTCCTAAATGTGATGAGCTTCTTAATTAAAGATCCTCTAATGCTGCAGTTTACTGGTATATATCAGGCTACATTAAACCCCAAGAAGACATTTATTGACTAAACTAACCCAAAAATATTTACTAATCTATAATCCAACAGATTCCACACTTGCCTCATTGACTTTGCAATTCATATCATGTTTGAATAACCAAACCCGAAATTTATAAGCCAAATGCGATCCAGTTTTGTTGTGTCTATTTCTACAAAAAAAAAAAAAAAAAATGAAAAGATTAGCGTGAGATGATGGAGTCAACACTTATTGTGTTGCCATACGCCTTAATCAGGAAAGGCAAAAAATGGAAGCACCAGGAAGTAAGCCCAACAGCAGCAACAATGTGTTAGCTCGAGCTATTTATTTGGGGATAAGTTTCGAAAAAACTGTAAGTGTCACACTTTTCATCTCACTTAAGCTTTTTGACGCCTGACAAAATGCATGCTGAGGCACGCCTATGTGTTAGCCCGGAAGCTGCGCGACCCCTACTCCATCTTAGAGGTAAGGTATATATATATATATATATATATATATATATATATATATAACTGAGAATATAAGAGCGATGTTATTTATAATGTCCACATTAATATCAACAGAACTTAGGTGAAACATAGAGAATGCACGTACTCTGCTAGCAGTAGATTTGCGCCAGGGGGATTCGTGCCTTTTCGGGATTTGTATTACATATCCAAAGTTTTTCTTTACTAAGCGGAAAAACTTAAATATCAGCTAGTAATGATATGATTATATCTAGCAATCCATTAGTTACAATGTGGTATCGTATCGTCGAGTGATGTACGTACCAATGGACTATGACTCTTTTTAGCATGCAAAATGTGGCCCAATCTTGGGCAAAAACGAAAAACCAGGAGAATCAAATGACAGCAAGAACAAACATATACACAAGATCCCTGAACAGTATATAAATCAATTTAAATAACAGCTTTTTCCTGAGAAAGTGCTAACTGATTGCTCGTAGCCACCCCCCCCCCCCACCGGGATCGTTTGTCACGTGTATATCACTGGGAGGGGGGAGGCAGATTGCTACGCGGCCATCTCATGAGAAATCACAGGAAGTTTTTTCTCTTTGGAGGTGACAAAAAGAGAGGAAAAAAAAAAAATGGATCCTGTTTCCTTCGTCTATCAAACTGTTATTAGCGCAAACCGCCGTCATCATACAAAGATCAAATAGAAAGGAAACCAAAAGGCAGAACAAAGGCATATAAAGGAACCAGTTTTCCAAACCTTTTCTTGTATTTATAATCTTGCCTCTAAAAAATATATTCATATATTTTTCCTCTTGTACATTCTTTTTTTTTTTTCCCACCTATCTTCCTATAAATAACAAACTTTTGGTTTCAAAGAAAAACTTGTTAATAACAGATTTTGAAAAGCTACTTACCTTATTTCATCATCTTGCCATTTGTCTCAAAAATTATATTTTTTTTTGACACTATCTCATTATGTCTGCTGGTAAGTACACTATTGATACTAATTTTTTTTTTATTGAACCTGTTTGATACTAACTTCTCTCATTAGACCCTAATGGAACTGCCACTAATGGCACTGCAATTGTCACCTCGCCTTTAGAGGCGTCGTTATCAGGTTGGGACTCTAAACCAAAGGGACGTCGTGGCTCAGCTTTCGGCCTTGACGGATCTGCTCCATACCGTTCTGCCTTTGATAAACCAAACGCCGAAGTTGCTAGTATTGTATCTAGTCTTAGTGGAGTAAGCAATCACACTTTTGGTGGTGCAGGATCATCCAAACTATTTCCTGGCAATAAAATTTTTGGCGATAACTTTAGTGATAATGATGAAATTTTTGGATCGGTTTCCAAAGGTGCATTGTCCGCCATTTCTCAACCTTTGAATTTGGGGAAAAGCTCAAGATTACAATCCAACATTTTTGGTGCTGCCTCAATTAGCGGCGCTATCCCTTCTTCTATTGGTAATATTGGTGGATCAGGAAACTTTTTGGATAAATTCTCATCTGTCGCTGAAGCAACGAAGGAAGTTGAAAATTTGTCCACTTTTGGAAGAATTTCTTTGACCGGGAAGAGAAGTGGGTTTTCTTCTAGAAGAACTAGTTTTTTAAACGATGAAGCTAGAACTTCTCCTTTATTGGAGAAGATTGGTTCTCCTAAATCAATCCATGAAAGTGTGAATGGCGGAACCTATCGTTCTACTTTATCTGAAAGAATCGACAGCATGTACAAGAGTCCTAACCAATCAAATACAAAATTGAGTGAAAACAGCTCAGAAAAGAGCTCTGTCAGTATTCAATTGGAACCTTCAAAGAATGAAAGCGAAGGCAAACAACAAATCCAACAAGGTGTTTTTCATAACGTTTGGAATCCTGCTTCTGCAACTTCTTTCACTCCAATGTTTAACGGTCAAGTTATGCAACAACCACCTTTTATGCCACCTCAACCTTATGGTCCATATGGTTTCCCAATGGGCCAATATCCAATGCAAATGATGCAGCAAGGTCCACCACCTCCACCACCTTCAAATCTTCCACCACCAAGAGATGTTTTGGAAGCTGGACCGGAAGATGGCAAAAACTTAGAAGAAACTGGTTCTAATGAAAAAGAGGCACCATTGCCACTACCAAATCAACAACTACCACCACCACCACCTCCTCCAAATTTCCAAAATGGTGGTCCAATGATGTTTCCAGGATTTAGCCCATATCCTCCAATGTTTGGCCTTCAAGGTCCATTTGATCCACAAAACCCACCACAATCACCATCTCCTAAACCAAACGGTCCACCACCATCATCTGGTGCTCCTCAAAACGGTCCAGTTGCTCCTGAAAATGCTAAGGCTTCCGGTGATAAGAGTGGCTCACCAACTCCAACCCCTCAATCAAACGGTTACCATAAGAAGAATGGTCGTAAGAGTTCTCATTCTCCTCCAAATGGTCGTCGCAAGAATCATATTTACAGAAGTCCTTTGTTGGAACAATTCCGTAATGATAAATCCCATAGAAAATACACTTTGACTGACATTTTTGAGCACGCTATTGAGTTTTCCAAAGATCAGCACGGTTCAAGATTTATCCAACAAGAAATTGAACATGCTTCAGCCGAAGAAAAGGAAGTGTTTTTCAATCAAATTAGGGATGTTTCAGTTGATTTGATGACCGATGTCTTTGGTAACTATGTGATCCAAAAATATTTTGAATTTGGTACTGTTATTCAAAAGGGTGTTTTATTTGATAACATGAAGGGGAAAATTTATGATTTGTCTTTACAAATGTACGGGTGCAGAGTTGTTCAAAGAGCTATTGGTAAGATTTCGTTGGAACAGCGTTTGGCGATTATTGATGAATTGAAGGACAATATTTTAGTTTGTGTCAAGGATCAAAACGCCAACCACGTTATTCAAAAATCGATTGAAAGTATTCCATTCGAAAAAATTTCCTTTATTTTGGATAGCTTGAAGGATCATATTTACCACTTGTCTACCAATCCGTATGGTTGCAGAGTTATCCAAAGATTATTGGAATACGGTAGCAAGAAGGATGAAGAAGTGATCTTGAATGAACTTTCAAGATATATTTTCTACTTAATTCAAGATCAATATGGTAATTATGTCATCCAACACATTCTTGAAAATGGATCTAAGGAGGAAAGAGCCAAGATTTTTGATATTGTCAAGGAAAACGTGGTGAATTTCTCTAAACATAAATTTGCTTCCAACGTGGTTGAAAAGACTGTTTACTATGGTGATTCGGAAGAGAGGAGCTTGATTTTGGATGAAGTTCTCAAGGGAAATTTCCAAAATGACGATTCCCCTGTTGGTGATGAAACTCCTTTAGCATTAATGATGAAGGACCAATTTGCTAATTATGTGGTTCAAAAATTAGTGGAAGTTACTGCTGATGAAAATTCAAAGAGAATTTTGATTAGAAAGATCAGAATCTGTTTGAACCAAATTTCTTCATCTAACTCCTATGGTAAACATTTAGCTTCCATAGAGAAATTGATTGCTTTGGCTGAATCAGCTTCCAAGGAACTTCATATGAAGTGAGGTAATTCATTTACTTTTGCTTGAGCTTTCCCTGTATGTATGCTTTTTTTTTTTTCTTGTTTTTTTCAAGTTTCTTATCTCTGTTATTATTGATACTCTTCTAATTGTTCTTTTTTTTTGTTTTCACTCAATTTCTTATTCTTGATTACGATTGTACATAGCTTATTTTTTTTTTTCTGAATATTAAATAATACAGCATATAAATATTTATTACATACATACAAAAAGACAAAGAAGCGGTTTTGAATTGACCATCGTATTTATTAAATACTATTTAAAGAATTATAAGCTCCCTCCTATAACTAAGTGTGAAGAAAAAAAAAAAAAGAAGAAAAAAAAAGTAGGAAATAAATAAACGCGCACTTCAAGAATAAGAAGTGAAATCAAGCACTGAAAGCAACTTCTCTTTGGTGTCTTCTTCACCAGTGGTGCTTTCGGTTGATTTTTGTGGTGGTTGACTAAAAGAACTGAAGAATGACATATTTTCCGCGGCTTTCTTACTTCTCTTTGCTGCTTCTTCATTCTTAGATTCCTCATAATACTTTTGCACCCGTTGTTTTATCTTCATGATTTCATGGTATCTATCAGACCAATTATTTTCCACCGAATAGTCACGAGAGTTCCAGATCTGGGCAAATTGATTAGTGATCAATGCAATGTTTCTCACAAACACCGGCAATTGCTTAAGAGAAATGGTTTTCAAACGACACGTCGAGAAAATCTTCGGTAATCCTGGCTTCAAATACGTTCGGACTTGGAAAAACTTTTCCGTGGAACCATCAGCACCAAACAACAACCCATCCTCCATATTGGCAGATTCCCCGTCATCATCGTCACCAACTTCAGTGACACTATCATCTTCGTAAGGCGATGAGTAATCTTCGGTCTTTAAACTGACTGGGGTGATGACAATATTGATAAATGTAAATTCACTCCTGATGAGATTGAAATTGAACGGTTTTCCAGACTCATCAAAAAAAATGTTAATAAAGTCATTACCAATATGACTTTTCTTTATCATCCAACTATCAGAGTTTTTCGATGGCATTAAGGTAGTGGTATGGAACAATAATTGTGACACCTTATCGTCCCAGCAATAAGCGTATTCACCATCGATATCAGCATTCAACCCACCAGTGTAGAATGTGGTGTTATTCTTCAAACTTATCAATTCGCCAATGTTCGACAAGAAGTCGTGGTACTCTTTAGACCCCACGGTATTCAACAAGATTTCTTGTTCGTTCAGCTGTCCTGGTCCAATATAAATCAACCCGGCTTTGTACATGTTGATCAATGGCTTCTTATCAAACAATTCAATGCTTCTTCTGAATTCCGTTTGATCAGGAATCAAGATCGGCGCCCGCTCGATATCCGAAAAGATATGCGCGAGCAATTGCAAGAAAATATAACTTTCAGTAAATAAACCATCATTAGTATCGGCAAACTCCACCAAATTTTGCAAAGGCACCATCGCCGGATCCGGGGCAAGCTCGAATTTCGTGGTACCGGTTGGTCTCCTAACTGTGACGATCGATTTCCCAGTAACTTTATGCGTCATGATGGAAATGATGCTAATACCAAAGATCCATCTGGAAATAGAAATCGAAGTGTCCCCGTGGTCAAGCTTCTCTTTGATCAATTGGAATCGCAAGTCCAAGTTGGTATAGGTGAATCTTTGGATGAATTCAATCAAAATAATGCACGCAGATTCAACATCTTTGCCACCTTCATGGTTAAGATCCAATAAGCATTTGATAATAAACGGCGCCAACTGTTTTCTTGTTTTCATTTTGAGTTTAAGAAACCATCCAGAAATGACATTGTACGACAATGCACTAAAATAACTGGCGAGTTTTTTCGATTCTGCAGACGCCTTCTCTTCTTTTAAATCCTCGTCATATTTTGTAGCGATACTGTGTTGTTCATTAGAGGTTTGAATGAATCTGAATGCCATTGCAAAAATCGGTTTATAATCGTCTACCAGGAAATTTGAAGTAATATCGGTCATATGCGACAAAGATAACAAAAATTCCAAAATGTGAGGGGTCGCGTCAGCATTCGAAATATGTTGCTGCAATCTCCAAAGGATCGGTTGAATGTATCTTTTCATTGACCATGGGATTTGATAACAACAAGCTGGCAAAGTATGAATACACAAAACACCAATATTTTCAAAATTATCAAGACAATTGACCAACACATGAACCACTTGGTGCTGCTCATCCGGTGAAAAAAGCGCTGAATGAACCACGACTCTCGGCAATAGTCTCACCAAAGTCATTTGCAACAATACCTTATCCTCCTTCTCTATGGTTTTCCCATTGATGGTTCTTATTGTTAACTGTTCACACGCCTTTTTCCTGACATTTCTAATGTAATTTGCGGAATTGCGATACAAAGGAATATTGGATAATTGCAAAATACAAGAGTACCAAATGAAAATCATCATTGTGATTCCGGCAGATCCTTGAATGATGTCAAGCACAACATTGAAATACTCATTAATATCAATCTCAGTAACATCAGTCTCATCGTTTTTTGCTGTCCCTTTAATTTTCACAGAATCTGAAATTTTGATAAGTAAATCCTTGGGAATAAAGTCCAATTTCTCCGATAAAAAGATGATCTTGGATACAAGTTGCTTGTGCTTATCACTGAACCCAGTGGACTTATTTGATGATTGCTGCTCTATGAGGATATTGTATTCTCTTTTTGTAGCATCGAAGTAGATATAGCCCAGTTCAGTAGCTCTCAATCTTGAAAAGCAATCAAGTATCACAAATAGAATTTCAAAAAGCTTAGACCCTTCTGCACTTTCGAGAAATGCTTTATCATCACAATTTCTGGTGAAGAAATCCGCGATGAATTTGAAAATATCCAACAAAAGATCAAATATCGTTTTAGCCTTTTTACCACTATCTTTGATTTGCGCGCCGTCACTGATTTCGTATCCATCTGTTGACTTATAATCTAAACATCTCTCTTTATCATCAATTGTTACAGAAGATTTGATAAATAATGTAATCAAGAGCGTTACTAGTTGGGAAAGATTATCAAGAGGCATTATTCCATTAACATCAGCAGCATTATCCACTTTTTCATCATCAGTATCTGGATCCTGCTTAGTGTCAACCCTTTTCCAATTAACAATATCATGAAAGAGGTTTTCTACTAATAATATCTCAAAGTATTTATGCTTCAGCACAATCAACAGGTTTCCCAAAGCTTTCAATAAAAAGTTGACGATTTGAGGATCATTCTCACTTTTCAAAAATGGGTCTTGTCCCTCACCAATACCAAATAAGCATAAAACCAATGACCATAGCTTTTCATTATCACCATAGAAGTCAAAATGAAAGTCAATCATGTTTTGAATTGTTTTCAACATCAATAACTTTACTTCATCAAATGATTTCACATCATCTACACGATATAAATATGCTCTTGAATTTAGGGGCGGGCAAAACAAATTGGATTTGAGACTTTTTATAATCGTCGCAAATTCTAAATGGTCCTCAGACATGTACCTGCTCCCTTTTTCAAAACTCTTCAAGAAAATAGACCAATTATCAGATGTCAATAAATCTGTCTTTGAAAAGAAAAACTCCGAAAGATCAGCGGTCTCAAGTTGTGTTGAATATCTCAAATCCTTAGAGTAACTTTGGAGCTTATTGATGATATCTCTATAAATGTGAATCAATTCAAAAAAATGTAACTCGGATTCTGTAAGAATAAGTGCGATTTGCTGCTCGCCATGTAGTTCGATGAGCTTTTCAAGGTTTTGACTATAAGATCTACCATCCTTAAATAAATTTGGATAAATGCTGGTCAAATCTTCCCTCACATCAATAGTTGTTGTATAAATTAGATCTAAAATATCCAAAATCGAGTAAGAAGAACTTTCTTCTTGCAATTCAAGTCCCGAGACATTGTCAATACTATCACTGCTCAAATTAGATACATCAAGAGAAACATTTTTGGAATCAATAGAAAGAGTATCAGTTCGCAGCTCATAAAAGAATAAATATTCGGGAATTTCTTTGAATAATGAATCCTGTATCAAGAAGCTTATGAATGAAAGAATAGTCTTATTAGTGGCAATGCTTGTTTGCTTGAGCAGTTCTAAATTTTCGCTATTCTTAACTTTCTCCGATCCTGCTTTTGATTCGACAGCTGACAAAACATCGGTGGTATTTTCAGAGCTATTCAACCCAGAAATTTTTGCATATAGAGCATTGATGAGCGCCTGAAATTTATAGGACGATGGGTCAAATATAAATTTATCTTTCTCCTGAAGCAACTCAAAATTATTTTCCAGAATATAAGACTTCATGAGTCTCAATAGTCCAGATAATACATAGTACCCAAACTCTACTGAATTTAAATCTTTCGGCTGCTTTTCTATTTTGTGACCTCGAGCCAAAGATTTAGAAATTAGTGGGAAGTATTTTTCCAACCCCAGAGGTTCAACCACCCGTTTCAGGCTTGATAATCTTTCAGTATTCTCGCCATTCAATTCAGCAAATGTTTTTGTAAACATGTCTTTATAAGAGACAATCTGAGTATCATCATCGTCAATATCATTTGAGGGTTTCATTGACTGGTCAAAAGTTAAATGGTCTTCAAAATTGCACGTTTCTATTAATTCCGTCATTACCAAAAATGTAAGTTGACAGCAGTTTTCACTTCTAATTAAAGATCGGAATATACCCCCAATTATTATTGAATATTTTTCCCCCTGGTTATAGAAGTAGAATAACAACGCCAAAATCCTTGAAAATGTGGATACTGGCAAAAATGCATAACCCAACGCGGTGTTGATGAAATTGAAAATCTCGTTAATGAGCAAATGGGAATCTTCAAAATCAGGAGTAATCAAGGCCAATCGAACCAAAGACTTAATGGTGAGGGCCAAAACATTATTATCGAAAATGTGTGATCTGTCATCTCTCAAGAGAACGCACAATTTATTGACAAATTCTCCAAGAACCTGCACGTTCTCATTGGTTTGGATTAAAACATCACACGAAAGTATATCAATGACAAACTGGGCTATCGATCGCGATCCCATAAGCTCCATATTCCTATTGAGGAAGCTTCCTTCCGAAGAAAATATACTGAATGTATCACCGCCCATTTCTTTGGCAAAATTAAACGACAAGCCCCGAAGCTCATCGAGCAATTTACTGTCCACTAGCTTGTAGAAGCATTTTAAAAATGATTTGATGTTTGGATCTAAATATGTCGGCGTAACCTGACAGAAATAAAAGAGATCACTGATGTATCTGACAAGGATTGATAGCTGATTCAAGTCATCGTACTCGATGCATGTGTACAAAAGATCGATCACCGCCTTCCGGAGCTTATCGTAATTGCTGTAAGAATTGGCATCATTATCTATTTGAAAAAGAATTTGTCTTGCCGGTATCCAGGTTTCAAGAATAGACGAAATGGAATGATTTTCCACCGATTCTTTGAGCTTGAGAATAATCTCTAATTTCTTGTGATTGTCAGCGGTTTTCAACTCATTTATTAGCACTGGTTGTTGCGCTGAGCCTCCCACGGCGGTTGCCATGACAGGCGGAGGTTTTCTGGTATCATTTCCTCCGGCCAAAGTCTTCTTAAATGATTTTTTGAGAACTTTGAAGAAGCTATAGTTAGCACTTGCCGGCTTTTGGGTTCCCTTGGACGTAGACATTGCTGATCTTGGTGCAATTAAGCAATCAATTCCATAGGACAAGCTTCCTATACTCTAAAAATAACAAGAGTCAAAAAGAAGAGTGAGTGCCTATTGTGGATTATGAAGAGTTCGTGTTGCTAGATGATGATGAGAGTTCAACTATTTCAACAAGATGATAATGCATCTATAGGGAATAGATTCTTCAGCCCTGTCAAAAAAAAAAAAAAAAAAAAGAGAGTGCCTGGAAAATATTTTTTTCTCTATTTGTGTTCACGTGACACTTTTACTATTTATCATCGGTTGGTTATTATTATTATTATTATTATATCTATTCACATAGTGATAATTGGCTAGTAGTAGTAATGGGAAAATTGTTTGTAAAGATAAGGGAAAACACCTTCAAAAGTATCGCAGACTGAACACCAAAGAAGAATCTTAATACCTAAGTTACAGAGCAAGAACACTCACATCAAGTCAAACTAAACACATGGACGAAGATCATTTCTCTATCTATATCACTTAATCATAACGGAGGGAAAATAAAGTGAAAGCGAAAATTAAAAACGAAAAAAAAAAGAAAATAAAATAAAGGGTAAAGCATGAACTAAAAAAAAAAAAGAACATAAAGGTAAATAAGCACCACGAAAATCAAATATTTTCTTTTTCTCTGGCTCTTTTAGCATTCCAGTATCTCAAAAATCTCCAGCGCTCTATAAAAGTTTTTCTGGCGTAGTATCTCTTCTTTTTGGCAATTCTTTTATCTAGTTCATTCAATAATAAGTGGCGTTCTAAAAATTTCTTCAAACTTAGACAAGCACCGTCCTGAAACTGGGTATATAATGGGATTTGTCTCAAGACCTTTGTGAATGAAATCCCGGGATAGCCATTAATTTCCATATCGTAGATGGCTTCTTCCACAAACCTTTCAAATTGAACTTTACGGTGTCTGACTTTCTTAACATCAATCGAGTCCAAAGTAGTCGCCATGGCTCGGAAATCGATATCCCAAGCGTATGGGTCTTCCCGTCCATCACTAGTGTATTCTTCTGCCTTGGTGAACCAATTCTCACTAAGATTCTTGATGGATAAACGACCATCGTATAATTTAAATGACAAAACCCCATTGAGACTATGCAAGAAAACGTAAAAATCTCCTGGGCGAATGAATCCCGTGGCATCCGGGTCAAATTTCATCCAAACTTGCTTGAACTTTCTAATTTCTTGACGAGTGATCAATGAACAAGGACCAGTACGATGGTACACATAACTAAAGTTCTCAACCACCAATGAAATAAACAAATTCAAGAAGATGAACATAGATATAACATTCCAACTAATGAAAAGAATATGCGCGTACACGATATTCCCACAGTCACTATATTCATCTGTCGTTGTACAATATGGAGCGTCCACGTAATAATCATTCATGATGTCATTCCATCCTTCACCAAAACTCATTTTGAAAAGAAGTAGCAACGACTTGGTGACGGTACGAACATTCATGTTCCCACTGCCACTTGACCCTATTTTAGCCATTCCAAAAATCTGGTTAAGGGCGATAGCATAAGCCAAAAATAGAACAAACCAGGTAAAAAGCAAAGATAATAACGATGGAACACTGGCTGATGCAAATCTCAACAATAAACTAAGACGGTTACTTCTTTGGATAATAAATATCAATATCAAAAGGCAGAATGCTTTCGAAATATTAGAAATTATATTTGTTTTTGTTTCAAAGGTTGACAAAACAATAATTTGGAAAACCCCGGCAAATCCTGACACAAACAATTGGAAGGCATCCCACCTATTTTTAAAGTCTGGAAAACCTTTGACATATTGCCTCAATGCACTATTAGTAAAGAAGAATGTAGCCGTGACTAAAAACATCACTTGTCTAAACAACTCGAGGGCCACACTGTTTTTTGAATCTTCCATCAACAACATTGCCAATTGGATTGCCAAAAAAATATCATATGTCAATTGCCAAAACTTGTTTTTGTCAATGACAAGATTATAAACTGCCAATTTGAATGGGCCCAATAATTCTTTTTTTGGACGAATTGATGGGGTGACTTGACGTAGCAATTTTTCAACCTCATTCCACGATTTTTGCTCACTTGTCAAGTAAGCATTTCCCGAAGTTCGTGCATAATTACTAATAATGACAGAAACAAACAAATTCAAAATGAAGATCATAGCAAGAAACATGTAAACCACGATGAAAATTGCATTATATGGTTGAGCATATAGTGAAGGAGGTGTTCCAATACCAGTGCTCTGAGTCACATACCCCAAAAGATCCACCCAACCTTCAAGGGAAGAAACTTGGAAAAGGGAAGAGAAAGAATGTGGGAAGGAATCAAAGTAGAGGTAAGGGGGCTCGTAAACTCTTGGGGAAACGACATCCCAATTAAAAACCTGGTTTGAATATTCACCATAACATTGTGCTTGTGTTGATACCAGATCGTTACAAGACGACAATCTTCCATTGAATATATTGAGACCCCAGATGGAGAAAGGAAGCAACAAGCAAAAAGACACAGCAGCCGCACCAAGAATTTTACCGAACCCAGCAATAATAATTCTATGGAAAGTCTTTTTTGCAGTGCTGCTAATAGTTAAAAGTCTGAGAGCCCTAAGGGCCTTGAAACCTCTGACAATTCTCGATGAGTCGCCAATACCACGCACCGACAAGATCAAGTTCAACCATAGAGTGACAAGCACCAATAAATCTAGGACATTCCAAGATGAGCGAAGCATAGCATTTGGGGTATAAATGAAACCATCGGCAATAATTTTGATAATAGCCTCGATCAAGAAAAGTAATGCAAATGCTAAATCACTGTACAAAGTCCAAAACCAAGTCTTATCGCTGGTGTTATGGGCATGAGTGTACAATGGAGTGGCATAACAAGCAAGAACCACGATACACACCGTCCCTATAAGCATGATGGCATTAAAAATTTCACGAAGCCTTTTCTCTGGAGGTCTGCCACCAATTCTTTCACCCACAGCTGGATTAACAAACATTTGGCAAAAGCGACGTAAGCGGTTCTCTGGGGCAAAAACGTACAACACCATGTTAAAACTTGGATTTTTCTCAAGATAAGTGCGCTGACGTGCTGCCATAATTTTATCTTCCATGAGGATGTTTTTAGCAAGAACGTTTGGATTAATGCTATTTTCTATGTCCTCTTGTCTTTTTGCATAGAATGGATTGTCGGTGTAGAATCTGGTTGATCTTTCCCAAAATGCCATTGCTTTTTTCCATACTATATTGTTAAATATAAATTGTTGCTGGGCGCTATTCTGTCTTTGCTTCCCCGCTAATTCTGTCTGTTTTACTTCATCCTCAAGAAAAGAATCAACAAGGGTACCTGACATTAAAAGACCAAAAAGCTGATTCACGTCAGCGGCTTGCTTTTTCTTTAAATTGTTATTGTTACCATTTCCTTTCCAACGCAACCCTTTCTTAAGATTATCCAAGAAGTCCTCTTCTTTTTTATATAAATCTGCAGCCAAGCTTCTGATAAATGTTCTTACCTGATGCCTCTTTTTTTCATTTTCTCCAACTTCCAAATTTTCGGCAATAACGGCAATGAAAATATTTAATAAGATACTATTGGAAAAAATAAACCAGCCAATCAATATAATAGCTCCAAAGGCTCTGCTAAACGAACTTGGGCCATACCCTTGAATAATATAAAGAATTTGCGTCCAATTTTCTGTTGAGGTAATCACATAAAGCCCAAGAAAAGTATTTGGCAAAGTATTAAGCGCAAATTGGTATCCTTGGTCTTGCATTGTTGCATTATCAATCACCCCTTCAAAATAAAAACTGGTGATAATACTGTAAAGGAATAATGACAAGAAATAGAACAATGTCATGTTGAAGATGGTCTTCACATTACCAATAACATCTAACCACAAGTCTCTAACTAAACGGGCCGATGCGACAACTCTATAAAATCTGGCAAGTTGGAAAATAGTTAACCAATTGTAAACTTGACCAAGAGATTCTCTTATAGGAGGAACCACGATAACGGATGTGACGATTGCCAAAAAAAGATCAAATTGGTTCTTTTTAAAACAAAAGAAATGTCTCCAGTGCGGTAAAAACACAATAAACCTCATGATAATTTCGAAAAATAAAACATAAGTCACCCCCATTTCAATATTATTAATAACATTAATCTTTCTGGCTGAAGCATTGGCGCTCCGAAAAGATTGAGCCACAATGTCAACAACAATCACAGTCACCCAAACAATCTCAAAATGATAATATTTCTGCAATTTCAGAGTGATATTATAGGGCATTCCTTTATTTCGAAGGTCGGTATTAAACCAAAAGTTGAGAAAGCCACCAGTTTTTTTCCTATCTTGTTTTGGACCGTCCATTTCTGAAGTAATCTTGAAAGACAGCACAATTACCGCCACAAAAATATTCATTAACCAAATACTCATTATGAAAATTGAAACAATGAAGAAAATCAGAGCAGCCATATTCTCAGCGTCCATAGTATAATACATCAAATCAGTGAAAGTATTCATTGACATAACAACATAGACCAACTCTAATGAATGTAAAAAATTGTCAAAGCTCACGGTTCCGTTGTAAGGATTGTCACCCACTATACAACGAGAATATCGTGGACAATAGAACCCTTTAGTATATTTCAGAGAACTACCGTCGGCATATAAATAGGGCTTTGGATCACCAGTATCTGCGTCAAGCCATCCTCCGCAAAACTGGAAATTATCAAGACTATTATAGGAATTTGAAGGGTCTGATATATCGGTATAGACACACTGACGGCTTAATGATGATTTGAAAGTTTGAACACCAGCAATAGATAAGATAACCCAAAAATAAATAATAAAGAGGCAGATATTTGCAAGCTGTGGAAAGGCATGTCTAAGAGAGCGGATAATTGTGAATGTACCTTCAGTAAGACGAGTTAGACGAAAGATTCTCCAGCATGAAATAGTATGGAAAATCAAAAGTTCATTACTGGTGTCTGCATTAGCCACCGTCAATAGAAAGAAAATCCAGAAACCAACGCATGATATAAGATCAATTACATTCCAGTTATTTCGTAGAAAAGGATCTTTAAGGTTTTCGATATCCGATTTACTAAGAATAACATGAGACCTTAAAGTGAAACTGTGCTTGAGCTTTGCTTCTTGAATTTCTTCTTGTACAATAGTATTTTTGCTTTGAAACAAGAATTTGATTTTCTTGATCAACTTATCCAAGGTGCTTTCTTTTTTTTCCAAGTTAAATTCTTTGTAAAATCCCGAATCGTCGTAGAGACCAAAACTTATTATTTTCGCCAGAATCTCAAGGGTAAAAATCACATTAATTACTAAAATGATCAAATCAACCGATTCGAATTTTCTTGTGTAGAAGTAAGTATTTGTAATTGGGGGGTTCCAAGATTGATAAGCAAGCACCACAGCATGAACAATATAAATAATAAGGAAAAAAAACGCGGGTATCACTTCAAGAGTTTTGGCAATGGAAACTCTTAGAGCATTATAAGGCCCAAAGATCATGAGAGAGTGACCATAAAGGCCAAGATTCTTGTTATAAGTGCTTGAGCTTGGATCTCTTAAAAATAAAGAGTCATCGGGGTCCATGTCATAATTTCGGGAAGCTTGTGCTGAAATACTGGTTATCTCTGAGGTCACCGGAATGAAATTTGGTTTTTGCGGTTGTATGTCGTACATCTGAGGTATTGAAATAGTTTCTGTGACAAGAGTTGGTCTCAGATCATTGCGATCTTCAGGCAATGAGTAGAAGCTGGTATCTCCATTTGGTTGCTCGATTGGACTTTCGATTTCATTCTCGGGCTCCTTGCGCAAGTCACCATCCCCATTCTCATCATTCAAAATCGATATATTTGAAGGGTTATTTATTTGAGATAATCTTCTTGTACTAAGGTCGGTATCTTCCCCATGAACAATACGCGATGAGAATTTGCTGACGGCGGTGGTAAGCCGTCTTTTAAGTTCGCTATTTCCCGAATTCACGCTCTGTGAACTGGTATTTAGATAATAGTTTGGAGGCAATACTCCATCTTCAAGGTTGCTAGTGAAGGAGGCTTCTGAAGTAGATGCGCGGAAATGCGATGGATAACGTGGTGATAAGTATTCAAGACTTGGATCATCCTTTGAGGCCTTAATGGGCAAATTCTGTAATTTGATCCCTCCACGAGGTTGGTCGTCTATACTATCATTATCAAAATCTTCCACCACCATTTGTGGCCCAGGCGAATGAGGAATCCCTATGTGAAGAGACTTCTCCCGTGGCTGTGTGATACTCCCTTTATTTAGTGGTAACCATAAACCAGCAGACGATTTTGTTCCTAAAGCTTCTTTCAAGACTCTATTATCATCGACCAAGTCTACAAGTAACGAGTCATGTCTATTAATATTCAATCCGTCGGAATTGTCGGTTTTGTTATTGTTGGTGTCGAGATTGGAAGCGACAGGGTAGTTTACGTAGGCAAACCTACTTTCTTGATCATCATCTTGATCAAATGAACGGGCACTCTGAGGTTCGTCATAATCTAATTGGTTTTCATTTTGCGGTAGTGATGAGTGATTTTCGATTATTAATTGAGGAAGACGTGAAATTCCATTATTCCCTAAAGAAAAAGGCCGGCCTCTGGCATGGATCTGACTTGAAGAGTCTTCAAACGGGTTCACGACATCTTGATTATCGTCGCTTGTCAAGAATTGGGGGTCTTCATCAGAAGACCGACTGGCCTGATAAGAAGACCTTTGTGATTGATTATAGGACATGTGCCTATTTTCTTTTCTATGATATATAGTTTCTAGGGATAGATCAAAGTTATCGCGGCACCCTTTGTAATGATTATCATCGTTTTTTTCTACAGGCGCCTCAGCCCTTTTGATGGGTGTGTTTCTAAGAATAACTCAGAGCGGTTTTTACCCTGCCGTCAACAGCGAGTACAAATTGGCTGTGTGTTTTGTATTATGGCTACGTAAATAGATGTAGATTATTAGGGAGAATAAAGATACTTTTTTGAAGATTGTATTTTATTATATGTGGAGGTGTTATTAGTATTAATGATTACATCCCTCCAGGCGTTTATGTTGTTGTGGTTGTTGTTGTTGCTCGTCTTTTTCAGAAGATCTGATGTACACTTTTAGACTGGGTTCTTAGTGGATTTTTTCAAGATAATCCTGGACGAGACAGACAGAGACGTGTATCTTGACGCAGACTGGATCCCTAGTTCTTTTTACTGTTCTGAGAAACCGCCATCTATCAGTGGCGGTTTGGTGAGCGCAAGTAACGATGAAATAGAAATATGTAACATATTCATACAAATTCCACACTCACTGTCTGTGGGAGAAAGAACTCACCCGACCCCTCTTGTTGCGAGGGCACCGCCTGGGTGGGTCGTGGGTCGTGAGGGTGGTTGCGTTACCCTGTGTGGGTGGATGGATACCCATGACGCACTAAAGTGCACGCCTATGCGGTGCCAATGTGTGTGACACAGCGGGCGCCTTAGACCGCTTCTCCAAGCAAAATCGGTTTATAAACCACTGGATTGTCTTTCGGTGTCCCCTGTCGTCCTGCTGTTTTTCTTCCTCTTCCTGCTGTTAGTATCTGATCTGACACTTCCCTATTATATACATCCCTCCCCCAATAATGTCTTCTCGTTTCACCAGACTCTTCAAGCCTGCCAGAGGGGCTTCCCACAAGGACTCTGACACTTTTTCGATTACCATGTCGCTGGTTTCTTCTTCTACCTCGAATGATGAATTGAAATCTACCTCCGAAACTGCTTCCACTGTAGTCGGCACCATTTCTGACAAAAAGGACGTGATCTCCTCTCATTCAATCATCTCCTCTCCAGCTAAGCCTACCGACGCCCTTTCCCTCGCAACCCTGGCCACCGTCACAACCACCACTCACGAATTCTTACAAGGAGACCGTAGTTTCAGCAAAGGTTCTGTCGAACCTAGTGCTACTGTCTTAGGCTCTTCTATCCTCATCAACAGCTCCTTGAACGACTCTGCTTCCTCGTTTGCTTCCACTCAGGACGAAAATGTCACTCTCAAGTTCACCGAGGCCGAGGTCCGTCTTCTTAAATGGTCCTGGAACGAAAATATCACTACAAACAAGGATAACAAAAATCCATCAGCTTCGAAGACGGCTGTCCCAACCCCATCTGCCCCAGTTGATGGAAAGCTTAAGCATAACAGTATTGCTGAAGCTTTCTCGTCTTCGCAATTTTGGTCCGATATTTACAACAACGTTAGAGTGTTAGATGAAGATCTTTTGAAAATCTTGCCTACTCCAGATCATCAAACGGTTTTTTTCACTGGTATCATCCGTATGGCAGTGCTTAGTAGTAGCGACTTGACTGTGATGAATGAATATTTGCGCAGTATCGGCCGTCGTCACGGTATTCTTTTCGGGGCTGAACCAGGTTATTTCCAAACTCTTGGGATCGCGGTTATTAGAGCCCTTAACGATCGTTTTGATGAAGATTTTACCCCTCAATTGGAACACGTGTGGATCTTGTTATACTGTTTTATCAGCAACACAATGATTGAAAGTTGCTCTGTTGACCCAGTATTACCTGAAAACGTTAGTGTTGGTTTAGTTACCATCCATGAAAATAAAGACGAAGAACCAAAAGGTTCTTTAAAGAAAAAGAGATCGGTCTTCCACAACACTCCCCTGACTTACAATGGTCATATAGGAAAATCTCGTTTTGGCTGATTATTATTAAGACATTTTTTTTTTTTGCTTCTTTTTCATGTTTTTTCCTAGATCTTCTGCATTTTTACTTTGATTTCTAATCTTCATTTCTTAATGATGAAGAAATGCTCTGCTTTTGTTTTTTTGCTTGTATTGTCCTTTTTTTTTTTTAATTTCTTCTGTTGTTCTATTTGTTTCATTTTACGGCTTCTTAAACATTGTGCAAATTTACTGTCTTGTCTAATTATATTCACTTTCCATTCTCTATTATTATTATATCTTTTTTTCTTTTTTTCCCCCAATTCCTTGTATATCAGGGTACTCCGATTCATATAAAATGATTACGCCTTCATTAAACTTCATACTCGTATACGATATACTGGAAAAAACCCCCCGGAAAAATACCACAGTACTAAAAGGCATTCCTAAAACGGTTTTGTATTTTTGCAAAGGCCAAGAAAGACCCACACGGTCTGCTCCTATTGGCTGACGATAAAGACAATAGGGTGATGCATGTTTTTCCCATCGCCGTGGCTAGCGATCGGGGTGCAGGCATTATTACCTGCTGCTGCTGGAAATCTACTACTGTGTTCAACGCAATGGGGAAATAAGGAGAGGCTGTAGAGATCATAATAGAAACATAGAGCCACTAGTGGGTTTGATAACACAAATTGGCTTCTTGTGACTCGTCAGCATCCATGCTATTTTATCTCATTTTTGCCTGTGTGTGTGTTTGGGTCTGCCTATCTGTTATCCTTTGTTACCCGCAAACCACACACATACACACACACACACTCTCTCTCTCTCGAAAAGTATAGTTCACATATAACGCTGACTGATTTGTAGGAATCCATCCCAATGACCAACATAAACATATATGTATATATCCACCCACCTTAACAAGAAAATATGGCTACTCCTACCAATGTCACTTACAAATTGACCTATGACAAGTTTCTTCTCTTTGGAGATCTGATAACCGAATACTCATATTCTCCTCTACCACTATACCCAACCGGGCATACCACCACCCCAGAGTTCAACTTTGGGGGTTACTTGACCGATATCTACACTAGAAAGTTGGCCGTCACGCAGAGAGGTTATGCTGGTTACAATTCGGAGCAAGCCAGAGTGCTCTATCCTAAGATCTTGGATATTGAACATACAAAGGATTCCAAAGTCTTATTTTCCACCATCTTTTTCGGCACTAATGACGCTACCATGGGGGATTCTGCCCAAAGTGTCGAGTTAGAAAGATACGAGGAAAACATGAGATTCATTATTCAAACTGCGTTGGATCGTGATATCAAGGTGGTGGTGTTTGGTCCTGGGTTCCACGATCCTGAACGTTGGAGCATTCGTTTGACCGAAGTTGATATTGCCGGTGGGAGATTCAGAAGTAATGAAAGTAATAAGATCTACTCTGACAAGTTGCAGCAAGTGTGTGAAGAATTAAAGGTACCATTTGTTTGTCTTTACGACATGTTTGTGGCCTACGAAGGTGATTGGAAGAAAGACTTGTTGACCGATGGTATCCATTTCACTGGTAAGGGCTACCAACTCATGACCGATGGCCTCATGAAGGCTATCAAGGAAAACTATCCCGAATTGTTGCCTGAGGCCTTGCCAATGATTTTGCCACCTTGGAGAGAACTCGTCACCACTGAGGAGCTCCCTGGAGTTATTGAAAACGCCAATTGAATAGACTGTCATAGATTATATAGTTTTTATTAGTTTGTTGTTACTCATTTTTTTTTTTTTGTGCTAATAGAATTAGATTCCATTATTGGTAATATTTTTTATTGGCTGTAAAGCAAATCTGAACCAATTAGAGGAGTAGAAAAATATATTATAACTAAACGACTCTATCAAGTCTAAAAAGGGATGCAAAATAGAAGTGTGGAAACTGAAAATTATATAGAACACGAAAGAGATGTGACACAAAATACAAGTCCATGTTATGTGTAGTATAGTATAGTATATTATAAGGTGAAATCTAGCAAGTATTGAGAAGAAAAATGGTATCATATAACAAACACACAATAAAAAGAAAAAACACAACCAAACAACGAAGAACGAAGAAAACCTTTCCCAAAACCTAACATTAGAATAAAACATTTCCTATAAAAATCAACAAAACCTTCCCACAAAAATTAATAAATCTTTCCGAAAATGAAAAAGAGAAAGAAAGAAAGAAAGAAAGAAAGAAAGAAAGAGAAAAAAAACGATAAATTCAATAAGTGGTAGCTCATACTTTGTGATTTCTTTGATTAAATATTTTGCGAAGACCATTTCTTATAATGGAAGCATTGTAATCCAAAATAGCATTGAATTTTCCTTGGTCAAGCAGATCATCAATATTGGATACAAATCCCACTAAGCATAACTCACAAGCTACCTCATTTAAGTGTAGCTGAATATTGGGGTAAAATTTGGAAGTACTTCTTAACCTTTCCCTTCTTTTGATACCTTCTGAAGTCGTTTCTTCTTCAAAGCCAAGATAGGAATTGATGCTGGCGATATTTTCGTCCAAACTTTTAGTGATTTCCATAGAATTAGAGCAAATTAAGTAATCTAAATCAATTACCACATCCATAAATTCCGAGGCAATACGGTATATTCGTTCATCCACGGACGACGAATCAGTGGCAAAATATAATTTGGATTTCAAATCGCAAAGTATGACTTTATCGAGTTTTGATTTGATGACAAAATTATTCAATAGGCATTGTAGTTGAGGTAATTCCGGCACCAAAGAAGAGAATATTTCTGATAACGCGTGGTGAACTGACAGATCATAAATCGAAGTTTCGTAGAACCCAATATTCTCGAGTTTTTCCAACCCGGTTTCGTATAACATACAAGCGGTCAAGGTTTTCATGGAGTATCTTATATTTTCGTGTGATTCAAACGGTAACGTATCGACTTTATGAATCAATACATTAATTTTGACATTTGGATATTGGTGATTGACAAACCTGACCACTTTTGATAAGTCTCCGGCCAGATCATAATAATCTCCCACACTGATATCCATGATGTATAATAAAGATCTTGCCTGGGAAAACAAATGGTGAAGATTGAACCTGTCATGATCATCAACGAACATTTCGAATTGCCCTGGGATTTCCAAAAGGGAAAGGTTGATCAAAGAAGAGAGGTTGATCAAAGAAGAGAGGTTCGAGAGCTCTGGACTGGTGGTGCTTTGAAGGAATGCTGTTTCATGAGGTTTCTTTCCTTGGAACACGCACTCTATGATCGAAGATTTACCACATCGTGGCTTTCCCATCATTATGGCGACTCCCAGATTGTGATGATCTGATCTGGGCCTAGGATCAACCGATAACAGAGGATTAAAATACCAACTCATGTATGTATCTCTGCAGAGCTGCTCTTCAAGAAGTTATGAGGATTGGTTGTTTCTGGTACATCTTACACAAAAAAATATATATTCCATTAGAAAGAAGATAGGAAATGAAAAGAAAGGATTTTTTTTTTATTTTTCTGCTTTTAAGAGAGATAAGAAGTGGGTTCAGGCTGGGAAGAACCTCATTGAATCACACACCTCGAAAGACCCATCAAAAGGCGATCGATGACCTCACCGCAGGAGAGCCATTCTGGTGGGTGCTTTGTTCTTCTTAACTCCTCCCCTGGCACGTGAAATTCGGGGATTTTCGACATTTTTTTTTTTTTTTTTTGGTGTGGATTAAAAATCAAGTTTGTGGGTGATAAGGGTGATTCATTCAGGGAACAAGAACTTGTTTTATTTGATAGTCAATTGTTTTCTTTTTTTCACTACTACCAAACATTAAGATTATCTAAACACATTGTGATTTATCATGCCTCCAACTCCTAAACATTTCAACTACGTCGTCATTGGCGGTGGGTCCGGTGGTGTCGCTTCTTCTAGAAGAGCTGCTTCTTATGGTGCCAAAGTGCTTTTGGTCGAATCAAAGCGTATTGGCGGGACTTGTGTCAATGTCGGGTGTGTTCCAAAGAAAGTGATGTGGTATGCTAGCGATATGGCCCAACGTATTACTCAAGCAAGAGACTATGGTTTTGGTTTGGTCGAACCGGAATTCAGCAAGACTTTCAGTTGGGGGGCCTTCAAGGAGAAGCGTGATGCTTACGTGAAGAGATTGAACGGTATTTACGAAAGAAACTTGGCCAAAGAAGGGGTTGAGTTGTTATACGGGACTGCATCTTTCAACAAATCCGGGAACGTCGAAGTCAAGACCCTTTCGAATGAAATCCAAGAATTCACCGCCGATAAGGTGTTGATCGCCACCGGTGGGAGAAGTGTTTGGCCAACGAATATTCCTGGTTACGAATACGGTATTGACAGTGACAAATTCTTCGAATTGGAAACCCAACCAAAGAAGGTGGCCATTGTTGGTGCTGGGTACATTGGGATTGAATTTGCCGGTGTTTTCCAAGGATTGGGTTCCGAAACCCACTTGATCATTAGAGGGCAAACCGTGTTGAGAAAGTTTGACGAAATCATTCAGAACACGATTACCGACCATTACATCAAGGAAGGTATCAATGTCCACAAATCCAGCAATGTCACCAAGGTTGAAAAATTGGAGTGTGGTCAATTGAAGGTTCACTTGGACAATGGCGAACCGCTTGTTGTCGATACTTTGATTTGGACCATCGGTCGTAAATCTTTGATCGACATTCACCCAGAAAACATTGGGCTTAAATTGAATAACCGCGAGCAAGTTGTTGTTGATGAATATCAAAACAGTAATGTCGCCAACGTTTTCTCCTTGGGGGATGTGGTTGGAAACGCCGAATTGACTCCAGTGGCCATTGCTGCCGGTAGAAAATTGGCCAACAGATTATTTGGTCCTGAAATTTACAAGAATGATAAAATGGATTACACTAATATTCCATCGGTGATTTTCTCTCACCCTGAAGCTGGGTCAATTGGTCTCACTGAAGCCGAAGCAATTGAAAAATACGGTGAAGAAAACGTCAAGGTTTACAAATCAAGATTCACCTCGATGTATTACGCCATGCTGGAACACAAGTCTCCTACCGCTTATAAATTGGTGGTTGAAGGTAAGAATGAAAAAGTTGTGGGATTGCATATTGTTGGTGACAGCAGTGCCGAAATTTTGCAAGGTTTCGGGGTTGCCATCAAAATGGGTGCCACCAAGGCTGATTTCGATAGCTGTGTGGCGATTCACCCAACCAGTGCCGAAGAAATTGTTACTCTTAGATAGATAAAAAAAAAAAAAAAAAAAAAGAAAAAGTCTATTCAATAATTATAAAGATGATGGATTGGTATATATTTGGAATGGATGTTTAGGCAATATTCATAAATGAAATTAACAGTAGGCAAAAACCTAACAGTAAGCAACATGCATTGTATTAAATTAATAAATACTAATCTTCAAACCTGCTAATCAATAACATTAATCAACTTTGACTTTTCAACAACTCTTTCGCGTCTATCATCAAGAACGTCTCAGAAAGTACACTTAAAAGATTTTTTTTTTTTTTTACAAAATTACTAAAAAAGTTAAAAGAACCGTATAATAAAACAGAAAGGATTATTTATAAAGACATTGAGTATGAAAACAAAATTCCTTAGGCTTTAAGAGAGGAGGCTCTTCTCTTTCTGACTTCAGCTTGGTGAGCCTTCTTTTCGTGCAATCTCTTGGCCAACAATTGAGCGTATTCAGCAGCAGCTTCCTTTTGAGCTTCAGCGGCCTTGATCTTCAAAGCCTTCAAGTGACGCTTTCTTTGCAAAGTTTGTGGAGTAACCAAACGTTGAATCTTTGGAGCCTTGGTGTAAGTTCTACCGTTCTTACCAGTGACTTCTCTTCTGACAACGAATTGTCTGACATCGTCATCCTTGGTCAAACCGTAGAATTTTCTAATGTGGTTAGCTCTCTTTGGACCCAATCTCTTTGGAACAGTAGCATCAGTCAAACCTTCAATGTCCTTGTCACCTTGCTTGACAACAACCAAAGCCAAAGCAGCCAAGTCTTGACCGACAATACAACCTCTGACGGACTTTCTCTTTCTTTCACCATTTCTTCTTGGTCTGTAACAAGAGTGACCCTTAGCCAACAACAATTTAACTCTAGTAGCGTGCAAAACACCTTGTTTCATTGGGAAACCTTGCTTGTCGTTACCACCAGTGATCTTGAAGACGTAACCAGCGAATTCATCGCCAACCAAGTCACCTTCAACTTCTTGACCAATACGTTTTTCGTAGAATGGACGGAGACGGTGTTCGTCGTCAATTTCGATGACCTTTTGGGTACCGTTAGCTGGATAGGCAATGTTAAGCTATAAATAAAAGAATATTGTTAGTTGATCAAACCTTTTTGTACTTCACTAATAAAGATTTTAGAGATATCAAAATTTGGGGGATCTTCAAAATACTGAGAAGCTCTAGTAAAAGCTTTTTTTTCTTTTGATTATTCATGTATCGATTATTTCTCTTAAAATTATCATAATAAGGTATATGAATTTATTCTCTGTAATGATGGAATGTTTGTAATGATGATGATGATGGAAAAAAAAAAAACTTCTTTATTAAAAAAAAAATAAAAAAGCTTTTACGATAATTTGTAGTCATAAATTTTTGAACCCATTTATCAATATAGTGGTACTCATTCATTGATGAAATTATTTGGCTATTGATTGTCTTGAATTGGAATAGTTCTTGGTTTGAATTATGATAATTTTCCATTACTGATTCTGATAATTTTTTTGATTGATACTTTTTCGTGCACTGGTAGTTCTTTTGATCTCACAATCCATTCCTCAAATCCCTTTTTATCTCTAGATACCATTTGATATTTTCTGTATTCTTAAATCTTCATTATAGAGGGGTTTTCACATACCTTCATGATGGCCGTTATACAATTATCTAACCTTGGATGGAGTATATAGTCAATATTCCAAAAGACTACAAGAATTCAATTTTCACTACAAAGAAAAAAACCAAAGCGGTACAGCGTACCGTGAGAGCGTGAGGTGTGGGTGAGCGCTGGAAAAGAAAAAAAAACGAATTACGCATCACGTGATGTAATTTCCCTAAGTCACCGTGTAGCCCTAGAGAGCATGTGATACATATGCGCGCCCTATATTGGTCGACGCCTGTCAAAAAAAAAAAAAATCCATCGCGGCGGGACGTTGGGAAATAATGCATATACGTGAAACTTTATATATTATCGGTGTGTGTGTGTGTGTGTGTGTGTGTGTGTGTTTAAAACATTGTTTCAAAGTAGGGCTCCAGCCAATAAGTCTCTGTATTTTTATTATTGAGCGTTTTTCCTCTTGGTTGTTTACGATCAAAAAAAATAAAAAAAAAAAAAGAGAATTGCCGATGATTCAAATGAGTTAGTCTAGTTTCCATCTATTAGAAATCGTGGAGGGTTTGATGATAATAATATATCCGACTTCCTCAAACTATCGATGATGCTTTGGTGACGTTTAATGGAAAGGTCGTTTTCTGGAAAACTTGTGGTGGGGAGGTGGGTGTTAAGAGGTATTGGCCAGAACATGCAACCGCAAGAACTGATAACCAATTTAATTGATAATTATAATCAATTAATTCCCTTATGTTTTTCGGAATCGAAAATATATACCCGAAAGTAATAGAATACGTCGAACTTACAGAACGCCGTGGATATAATAAATGACTATAAAAATAATTAAACATTTTCGATACAAAAATCTAATGGAAAAGAGCTACTAAACATTCAACAAGAAACTGAAAGGACGAATATGTTACATGGGACGGCAAGAGTGAAATGGAAATCAAAATATCAGCAAATACTCCTCCCTCAAAAAAAAAAACAAAAAAAAAAAAAAATGAGAAAATGAACCAAAAAGTCATTCAAAAAATGAAATATTGTCGACCGAGAGAAAGGAGAAGAAGTTGATAATGTAAATAATCGACAAGGACTTGAGCCATTGATTGGTGAAGAATGGGGAAAAAAAAAAAAAAAGAAAAATGCAAAATTAAACTAGGAGCTATTTTCCCTTTTCTTGTACTCAGGGTCCTTCAATCTCCTAAAAGCTCCGTTAGAATTATTGAAAACCGGACTTGGAAGCTCATCTCTGATCGAGCCATTAGGATTATTCAAACTATGTTTACTCAAACTACTGTCACTCGAGCTTTTTGTATTGCTTGGTGGAGGCGGTAAGGTTATACCTATGGTCCTGATGGGCGTATTCCCGCTGCTCCCGCTTTCGTTCCATTCACCATAGTAGTTTGAAGGTGATGGGAAGAATTCATTCATATATTTCAGAGCAGGTTCATTCATGAACTTCGAAGTCCCCATTGGTAACCCACTGACCGGAGTCTGCTCCCCATTACCAGATGAGAAAAGGAAAGGGCGGATACTGGACGATAATAATCCGCTCGTACTTGGAAGATTATTAGTGGTCAATCGTGGAGGGTTTTTCCCCTCCCCTGATTTATCTTTGGTAATCGACCCTGGGATTGTGAATTGGAATAGCGCGCTCGGCAAAGATGCAGATACTGGGGTTGATTTATTGTTATCGCTACCATTTAACAGAGTAGTATTCGGTGAATCTTTGTCTCTTGAAGATGGAGGGAACTTGATCCCGGCACTGGTGACACCGGCACTCTCATTAGACCCGGCGAGGCCACCAACTTCACTATTTTCTTTCTTTGGTTTGAAAGAGTCGTTTTCTTCGGGGATTCGCACACGAAGAACTGGTCTTGATGAATTGCTGATTTGTCTTGGAGTATGTGTAAACGCTGGGCTCGAGGCAGCGCTGTAAGGGATATTTGAATTGACACTAACCGTCGATTGATGCTGCTTATATGACAAACTCTCTTTATCTTCTTCTTTTACTCCTGGAGTGCCGGTGGAATTATCAATTGATTTAGCAGTCGATATGATTGGAGAACTTCTGAGATTGTTGACACTACTTCCTATTGAGCTCGGTTTAGAGTTGTCATTAATGTTGCTATTAAATGGGAGAGGATTTGTACTAGAGGTGGAAGGCGGTACTGTGTTTATTGGAGGAAGTTTTTGGTTAGGAGGGAACACAAAATTGGAAGAGAATATTGGTTTATGGATCGGGGCATTAGTATTATTATTATTATTATTATTATTATTATTCATTATATTGTTTGTACCATTAAAAGAATTTCCTTGAGAATCTTCATACTGGCTTAATTTCGAAGAAACAAACGGGATTTTATGGTAAGAGTTTACCAGGGTGCCTGCAAAGGGAAGAGTTTGCGGAGGACTGAATTGTGGTAGGGGATTATTATTAGTATTAATATAGCTGATGGGCTGTGCACGGACATAGTTATAATTATCGGAGATACTTGATTGATTAGAAATTGAATGACCATTGACGGCGCCAACCATGGGGTTATTTGGAAAATCTCTTGAACGATTATTTGGTTTTAACCGTTTGATATAATTATTATCATTATCATTATCATTATCATTATTAATGTTATTAATATTATTATTATTTGAGGGATAATTGTTGGTAGGATATTTTGGAATTTGATCATTAAATTTAGCTAGGCCTCCACCTATAGTTGAGTTGCTGATATCTGAAATACCTCGTTTATGCTTCAACTCGATGTCTTCTGACCCGCTTTCATCTTCTGCTATCGAATCAGTGGCGGAGAAAGTGGTGGCAGTGCTAAGGTATCGCTTGTGGTCGGATTTACCACCATTATTGTAATCCAAATTCGATAAGCCCTTATTTTTAGGAACTTTTCCCCTGTTTTTATAACTATTGAGCAATTTGTTAATGTTGCACGAACAAAACTCATGATGATCGTCATTATTGTCGTCGAGGATGATGACTGCAATGTCCACTTTACACAAGATCGCCAATTCATGAGCTTTCTTGAATAAACCTGCCTTTCTTTTTACAAAAGTAATGGATCGGTTACGTTCATCCTCTATCGGCTGGATTTCAATCTTTCTTCTACCCATTATTTCAATCTTTCAATCTTTCAATCTTTCTTTCTTTCTTTCTTTCGTCGTTCAGGTCGGTGTGTTGGCAAGCGAAAATAAATATGTGAAAAAAAAAAGGCAACTTGAATCGCTGGGTGGTTTTTTTTTTTTAATATTGTTGTGAATGTGTAGTGATGATACTATATGGCATGAATCGATGGATAATAATTATAATAATGATGGATATCTTGGTTCAGGACCACGCAGTCAAGGGGGAGGAGGGTACACAGAAAAAAAAAAAAAAAAGTACTGAGACAATTAGTTGGCAGCGTTGATAGATAGATAGATAAATAGATAGATAGACAGATAGATGGGTGGTGGATTGCAATGCGGACAACCAGAATGTGAAGTATGTGTGGGGTGGGTGTTGCAGGAAGCTGGAACAATCGACAAACAGTAGATGGGTGAATAAGATAGGAAACGTTTGATGGTTACCGTTGTTCTAAAAAAAGAAGTGGTTTTTTTTTCTATATTTAGTTTTCTCCCGGGCAATTTTTTTTTTCTTTTGCTCTTTCTCTCTTTCACGTGAGTGTCACGCACTCTCTTGTAGATTGCCAGTTGTGGTTGTTGTGGTTGTGGTTTTTGTTGTGGTTGTCACCAAGAATAATTGATTGTTGTTGTTGTTGTTGTTGTTGTTGTTGTTGATGTCTGCCATTCTTTCCTGTTGGCTGCCATTAGGAAACCTCGGACCCTCTTTCTTTTAAAACATCATGATTATACCCTGCTTCTCTCACCACGATGGATAATGTAGATACCAGTCCCACGGGAATGCTCCCCCCCTTGCCCCCCAGATCCTCTATTCCTACAATAATGTCGATCAATGGTTGTGTCGGTCCATCCATCATTACACACACACACACACACACACACACACACACACACACAATCAATAATCACCCGTTCCTTTCCCCAACAATCACTCATAGGCCAACGCACAAGCGGTGGTGCTTTTGTTATGTGCGTGAACTAGTAGTGCTTTTCGTATGTATATATATACATATTGCCTCCTCCCCCTTTGGATTGATATTACATCCCATAATAAGCATTTCAACAACGCTTTATTGTATTCTGCTTATCATTACCGTCACTATAATATCATTCTAAGTGACCTTTCGTTTCCGAAAAAGCCTCTTTCACGTGACTATGAATACTCTTCGGCTATAGCTGTTAAGCCTGATTGTTACTACTGCATAAATAATACCCACCAATAGTAAAATCTTCCCAATAATAATGATGTTATTTGAGTCACGCTATAAATAATAATAATGATGATGATAGTGACAGTCTTCCTTTCGGGATAACCATTAAGCAAAAAAAAAAAAAAAAAAGATCAACTGAAGGTCTTGTAGATAATAATAGGAGTCCTCAAATGCAATCAAGCTGACGTATTTCTCAGTCTTTCATGCAGGGGAATCTGGGGGAATCATATTTATAACTTTCATTTTTTTTTTTTGTTTTTTTTTTTTTTTTTTCAGAAGAGGAGGAGAAGCAAGAGATACTACATTAGTGAAAAATATTCCATTTCCTTTTCAATTAATTGTCCTGTCATACTGAAAACTATACATTTTTTTTTTTTTTTTTTTTTTACACAATTCTGCTCACCAAATCATAAAGTTCATCATCACCGAGACTTCTAACACTCAAGAACTTTCTCAACTTTGTGAAGTCCTGGGCATTTCTGAAACTTTGAAACTCTTCCCTGTAGTTACCATTGGCGACTGTAGAGCTCACAAAGTGTGAAAAATTGCGTTGGTTAACCATCAAGACATTGCAACAATCAACAATGTTCATCAAGAAAAATTGCTGCGAAATGTTTTCATAATCACGATAGTTGATTGCCTCAGCAAATTGCCCGCTCTCAGTATCCAATTTACTTATCTTCTTCAACATCATCAAAAAGTCAAACTTCAAATTAATGATCCCTTGCAAACTGAATTTGTTGATTTTGATAATGTATGAGTGGAAATAATATTTCACATTATCCAATAATTGGAACTCCACTATTTTATAATCGCTCAAAGTATTCAAGTAATTTGGTCCAAAACATCTTCTTAAAAACCTCAATTGATTAATGAGAATATTTAGTGGTTTCTCCAACTCTTTGGTAATTGTTAACTTCAACATTTCATTGCCTGGTAATCGGAAACCATAACTAATAAAGTCCTCAAAAGTCTCGATATTTTGGAAAGTCAATTTGGAAAGCTCGTTCTCGCCCGCATTGGCAGAAGCCCCCACAGGAATATCCAATTCATCTTTCAATTCATCATCGAATCCCCAACCATCCGCATCATCAGTAATATCGTCATCATCATTATCGCCACCCCCCGTCGTATCTATACCTTGCCAATATGCAGATAAATTCAAAAAATTGTTCAAATAAATCTTTAAACTTTTTTTGAGGAAATTATTTAACGTGACTAAAATTTCATCAATCATTTTATCAAACTTGGCAACTTTACATCTAAAAATTGATCTATCATTGGTAGTTTCTGTCATGGAAATAATCTCGTAAAGTTCACGATCATTCAATTCTAATTCTTTGAGTAACATCTGGAAATTCCCATTTTTTTCATTGGTACGTAGGTTTTGGTTTAAATAGTCGTACATCTTGATGAACTCCACATGCTGGTCGTACGATTGCAATTTTATAATCACATACTTTATAGAACAATAGATTTTGCTCAATACTCTGATTTCGTTCAAGATATCCCCATCTTCTTCATTTTTCTTGACCACTGTTTTACCATTTTCTTTAACTGGATTACCAAATGTTTTAACCGATTCAGAAATCAAATTATTAAGATAATTGTTGGCCCCGCTGTTGTTATTGATGACTTTGGAATTTCTTAATAGTTTCAGGAATTTCTCATGATACATGTCCAAGATCTTGAAAATTAATTGTTTGAGTAACTTGACCTTCAAGATCATTGGAATTCTCAAGTTCATAATATTGAACTCGATCAAATTTTTGATCAAGTTCAAAAAACTCACAGAAATCTTTGTCGGCTTCAAATAATTGGCCTTAACAATGTTGAAATCGATAGAGAAGATCTCTTCGGACATTAGACTCTCTTCATTGACCGGCAATACTTCTCTCTTTGAAATATCACTCTTTTGTGCCGAATGTTTTGTGACCCCCATTCCTAAGCTTGCCGGGAATTTGTCATTGAAAGTTTTCATAAGATGGTTCGATTCTAGGCGAATCCAATTCTGCCAATTATTATTGTGGATCAAAATCTCGATAATCAAATTCGAATCTTGTTCCTCGTAATAAAATAGTTCAAAGATTTTCGATTGGTATTTGTTCAATTGGTAGAGCAAGTTACTAAACAATCTAGAATTGCTTGAATTACTAAAATAAACATGATTATTGGCCTTGACATCATTAATGAACTTGATTTTTAAAAACTTATTAAGCACTTTTGTAACTTCGATTGGCATTGATCGCTGTTGGTCAATTAGCTCGACATCCAAGGATTTTGTGATTTCTGAAAGTTTGTCATTGTCGGTTTTGAAGCCATTGTTAAAATATTCTGACATCTTGACAAGAAATGAATCATTGTCCAAATAATTTAGGAAATATTCAATCGCCAATTCTGGTTGGTTTAATTTGTTTGTCAAACTTTTTTGGTAAAAATGGAAAATAAACTTTGTGATAATCGGTTGTAAAATGATTTCGATGGCCCAAATTTCGCTGGGCTGCTGTTTAATTTCTAATAATTGTTTCAAATTATTGCTTCCGTTGTCCTGAGAGTTCTGGTTTAAATGATTAGAAATCAAGTAAAGGTTCTGTAATGCATTAAAGTTTCGGCAGCAGTTGATAATATCTTCTAGCAAACTTGTATTGACCACAATAGCTTCTGTCCAATCAGAATCTTCAATGAGTTTCTTCAATAACTTGATGAATATTCCTTTCACTTTTAACACTTTTTCATTGAGCTTGCCAACCATCAAATCTATTAATTGGTTCTGTTTTGTAGTATCGATATCCTGATTCTTGATCTTCTGCGTGAGACCAACTATTTTGATTAATAACTGTGTCAATACATTAATATCTGATTCAAAGAAGAAACTGCGGTTGAATTGATCGTTCTCATTGATTTCAACGTTAATGATCTCATCGACCAAAGTATTGCATTCCGCCAAATGGTCCTTGTACTCTACCAATTCAATCTTGTCATTAACAAAATCAATAAGACGAGATTCCGTCAATAAAGCATTGTTGGAGTCTCTAATGTCCTTTAATGTATATGAGGAGTCCGTAGACTTTATTTGTTGAATAAGATCAATGATTCGTGAACTGTCATTATTAGGCAAAATGTTGTTCAAATCGTCATTATTTATCGGGGTGTGGTTTGCTTGGTTTTGTAGTTGGGATATTTTGTCATCGATGTTTAGATCATCGATGTTGGTAAACCATTCGTTCAACAATTCCATTATTACGTTAGTAGGGCTCTGTTTAGTGGCGGTGGAAAGTTGGTTTCTTTGGATGATCTGGTGGTTTTTTCTGTCTTCGCATTCTCTCTTGAACTCTTCGTTACCCTGTCCACCGGCACTTGGTAAACCACCAAGTCTTTTAGCACAATTGTTTCTTTGGTATTGGGTGGGAATATTTTCCAGGAGGGTCAGGAGAGTCATTAGTTTACTGAGATATTCTTAAAGTCATTGTGTGGGTTTCTCAGTGCTCATATTCTCTATGATATATCATCATATTGGTGGTGGTGGTGGTGGTGGTGGTGCGCATATGGGCAAAAAAAAAAATAGCATAAACAAAAAACATAAACAAAACAACAACAACAACAACAAAAAAAAAACATTTCCACAACGCGTCCTATTTCGATTTCAATAATAATAACAATATTAATAAAATATCCTGGCTATGTCTCTGGTAGAATATACCGCCGAGCCACAAAACACTGACATCACCCAACAACCACTACCTCCTCCGAAAACCCCTGATAACGATCAAAGTCAAGACCCTCCTTCAAGTGAAGGTAACGATGACCAGGTGGACCCCATCCGCTACAAACTATTACTCAAGGTGATCGACAAAGCTCTTAATAAATCAATAGAATGCCTCTCAGTTGATAATCTCTTGAAATGCTACCCCAGTTTTGATAGCCGACTGGGAAGGAAGTATTTGAAGAATTCGATCGACCAAATCAACGGTTTCTTCTTGAAGAACTCCAGCAAAGACATAAATGCCATCCTAAAAGAAAAATCGATTAAAAAAAAGATGATGCAACTTGACTCAATAATTCAAGATGGGCAGAAATTAAAACAGAAAAATGACAACGATGATAAGCTACACATTGAGAGTTTGACCAGGAATTATTTGATCGATTACAATTTATTCTTGTCCAAAACTGAGTACATGAATGAACTAAAAAACAAGCTAAATGAATATAAACAGGATAATCTAAAACTAATACAGGAATTGAAAGATATTGACGATGAGAATCAACGGTTTGTTGGTGATCTCGAAGGATCCGTTAGACAGATGAAGGCACTTAAAAGGTCGTTGAACGTTGATAATGGTGATGATTTGGATACAGATTTTGAGGAATATAATCAATACTTTGATCAACTATCGAGGAGTGAACTATTTACGTGAAGATGATTTCTTTCTAGACCAGTTCGAGACTTTCCTCCTCGACTTTTCTTTTATGTTTAATGATAATGCTTTATTTGTTTATTTGGGGGATATTTTATTGAATGGATTAATATATATATAATGATGAATTCATATGGATATATTCCAGTTATGTATCCTTTGAAATATCATTAGCCGGTGTATTTTATTATTGTACCTCAAAAAGTAAAGAATCGTAGGAGTATGCGACCATTTACATTGTATTATTATTTGATAAGAAGTTCAACAGCAAAAGAAATGAATATCACATCAACAATTTACCCTTCTAGAATATTGTAGGGCTATTGAAAACTGTCAATAACTCAGCCATGTTGAATTCCAGAGCCCTGCGAGGCTAAGAAAAAAAAAATGACAGACCATCCTGCGATTTTTCCCTTAAGAAAAAAAAAAAAAAAAAAAACATTCCACCTTTGCAAAATAGCCAACCGATCAACCAACCAGCACAAAAAAAGAAGAAGAGGATCATTACCAAATATCTGCCCATTGGTTCTTTACTCATAAATATTCACAACCACTGTTGCCTTATAAAACATTGTTTTCATAAATAGCATCCCATAAATCCCACCCCGCTGTTGGATGACAAGACCCTTGATACGAACTAATCATGAGATTCAGAAAGTCTATGATAATAGGTAAGTGATATTTCAGGATGCCCTAATGTATGAAGAGACAATTGATTCACTAACATGATACTACTAGTATTGGTGATTGCTTCGATAATATCGTTGTATCTTGGACTCGCGAACATCACCATCAAATTTGATAAATTTGTCCATTTTTCGGTATTCTTTTTAATGACATTGATCTTCTATTACTGCTTTGAAACCAAAAATGCCAATCAGTTGAGGTTGATGACGTTTATGGTGTGCACTCTATGTGGGGGCATTGGTTCGGAGTTCTTGCAAAGCATCATGCCATACCGGACATTTGACTATAAGGATATTGTTATGAACATCAGTGGATCGAGTTTGGGGATCTTGGTCAGCGACTTGTATTCTCGGTATATTGTTAGAAGAAGAAGATTGAAGAGGCTCGAGATCATCAAGAGTATCGGGGACGAAGGTGAAACCTTGGCTGAAAATTACAATCGAAGTAGTGGCACGTATTCTGATTTTGATACCAGTGCGAGAAGTAGTATGAGTGGCTATTACGATGGTACAGATGCCGACGACAGTAATACCTACAGCGATTACTATGCCGATGATTTAGAAAACCAGATAGAAGGTACTGGCATACAAACTAGAGGTAGGAGAGACACCACCAGCATTGAATTGAAGAATATTGCTCCGATCTCCTTGAACGATTTGGGAGAAGAAATGGTGTGATTTGTGATGATGGTTTATGATTGTGCATTTGTAATTTATGATATCTGTTGTTGTTGCTGTTTGTTTGTTGTTTTAAATTGTTTTTTTTTTTTTTTTGTTTTCTTAGTCTGCTGTCTTGCTTTCAATTCTCTATAATTTCTAACATTTTAATTCCGTTTACCCCTTCTCCTTTAATTAATTATGAGCCTTATTATTGTTGTTTGATGAGATACTTGTTATAGCCACGTGAGCGCAGTAGAAATTACGCGGTGGAAAAATAAAATAAAATATGAAATATGAAATAGAAACCTCTTCTCTTCCTTTTGATTGCGGATGAAATAACAACTGTCGCTATGATTCTATATTTGTTGTCTCTCATAGGAATACTAACAGGCTTCGTATGCTTGACATTGGCCATTGCCTCTGGTCTCTATTATCTTTCTGAGTTGGTGGAAGAGTACTCGGAATTGACCAAAAGAACCCTATACAGATTGATCTACACCATCATCTCCGTGCTTTTGCTATTATGGATTGTCGAGGGATTCCCATTTAAACTCACGGTGTTCTCAATTGCCATCAACTTTCTATACTTGAAAACCTTATCGAAATTCCCATACTTGAAGATTGATTCTCCTGATTTCATCTTGTCGGGGATTTTGACGTTTATCAACCACTTTCTTTGGTTCAACCATTTCAATAACCTTTCGCTGAACCGTCATTATGACAACAGAATCATTCCATCGTTCAGTGAGATTGCAAGTTTCTTTGGCATTTGTGTTTGGTTGATCCCATTCTCACTTTTCATTTCCTTGTCGGCTGGCGAAAACTTGCTTCCAAGCAACAATAATGAATTGGACGGCAGCAGAAATGATAATATTACAATTGATGGCAGTACTTTTACTCCAACGACTTTCTCCAGGAAGAGTAAAGGTCTCATAAAAGAGGTCATCAATAATATTCGCAATTATATAATGCCGAGCCAAAGAGACACTGGGGGAATCATTTAAGATGATCGAGAGAGAAAGAGAGAGAGAGAGAGAGAAGAAAAAAAATGCGTCGTTTATATATTCCACTACTGTTACGTTGTTTTACTCTTTTTAATGAAATTTTATGTCATATTCCGTTTATCGGTGTAGAGTAATTTAATTTAATTTGATTTGATTACCGTCAGTCTCATGCTTGGAGTCCCGTATTTCACATGATACGTGTGTCAGAGTCCCAAGGAAAAATCAGAATCTAAAAAAAAAAAAAATAACAACCACCAGTACCTGGATGATCTCCCTAAAAACACTTGTCCCTGATAAAAATAATCAAAATAATAATAATAATAATAATAAATATTGCCAATTATATTGCAATATGCACTTCTCTAATGTGTTTTGGAGCTCTGATCATGATTATCAGTCCCAAGTATCCAATTTCCTAGGTGTTGTGGACTCGTCTGTCAAAGAGGTTAGTCAAACCATAGATTACGTTGAGAAGATCAAACAAACACAATTGAATAGTTCAGCTGCTATCAGCAATGTGGTTGAGAATTCATACTTGAGTAAATCAAAAAATCCTCAAACCTTGATGGCAAAATCTCCTGTGTTAGACGGTTCTCAACCACTACTCGCTCCTAAACCTCATGATGAACCTTCTGTTAGATCGTTGAGCGCTAATTATGAATTGCATTTGGATAATATGTCAGATATCTCTTATAGCAGAGAATCCTTGTCCAACCAAATTGATGCCAAGGTTTTGTATGAGATCGGCGAATTCAGGGATGTGTACCAAACTTTTAATAGAGAAACTTCAAAGCAGTTGAATGATTACTTAAATGAATACCAAAAACTCTTGAAACTCGCGAATACTCGCCAGAATACCTACTTCAATAAATGCAAAAGCTTGGAAGAGTATCAGGAAGAACCTGCCGGTGAAACTGCCCCAATAACCAGTAATGCGACCCTCAAACCAGTGGCGACATTCCATAAGCGTTCATTCAGTAACTCCAGTGCCAGATCAAGTGTTCATGGAAGCCCGGAAGCTAATAATACGCAACAACAACTTTCGCCGTTCAATCAACTCACCAGGACCATTTCTAATGCCATCAGTAGGCAAAATTCCGACGATGAAGACACTAGTGATTCTAGTGTCTCCGAAGTCGAATCGGATTCAGAGTTTGAGGACGATCCAGATAATTTCTTGGAAAAATTGGAATTCCCTATGAAATTAGGATCTTCACAAGTTTTCAGAAACTTGAACGAATTGCAAGATTTTTGCAAAAAATTGTACCATGACGCCTCCAATTTGGAAAGAAATGTCATCCAAAATAAGCGCACAAGTTTTATCCCGTCATTTTCGGTTTCCAATGAAGATCAAAGTGGTGAGAAGACAGTGTTCATCTCTAATCATGAGTTGGGCAACTGGCTAAGGTTAAACCGCCCAAGTACCGAGAATTCTATTAGAAACATTGAGCTCTACGGCCAGTCTTTAGCGGTCAATGAATTGATAAAATTATCGGTATTTAAGAATTCTTTTTTCAATAATTTGATTTCTAACAAGTTTCAAATCACAAATGAAGACCAAGAAATGGTTTATGAATTCACCAAGTTTTTCAAATTTGTTATGACCTTCAATATGGAACACCACGAAATGTTAAAGCAGCAAAAAATTCAATGCAAGATGCAGGCAAAGATGAGAAAAAAAGAATTAAAGCACGTTAAACGCGAGAAAAAAGTATGGGAAGAAAAGCAACATAGTAGGGTTGCAAGCATTGAACTTAACAATAACGTCAATAACAAAGTCCCAGACTATATTGAAGACTTGAGAAGATCTGAAATTTCCACCCCAAAGAACCGGTCGAGAACCAACACTTTGAATGTCAATAGCATTCCAAGATCAACTTCAAACAATGGTATTGCTGGCTATCTTTCTAGTCAATTGAAAACCTTGTCAATCATTGCTTCTCCGGAAACAGTGAATAAAAAGAAGGAATCCCTCAGAGCTAGCATCAACACTGCAGAAGTTCAATACAAGCAAACCGTCCAAGATATCGATGTGCTTAAAAGGAATTTTGAATTTGCTTTTGATAATTCGGTGATGAACTTCCAAAGCTATGAAAAAAGAAAGTCCTTTTTGATTATCAATTGCTTAAACTATCTTAGTTTTTTGATGATGAAACAGTCAGAATATGAACACAAGAAATTTGTCAAACTAAATAATTTGATCACCCAGTCTAATAATCAAAAGCTTATTGATTTGGAATTGAACTCGATTCTTGAATCAAACTCGTTGTATTATTACTCTCCATTCACCAGTATGAAGTTTGTGAAAAATGGCATCAGTTTGAATCCTTCATTATTAGCTCACAAATATTTATTGAGTGATGTTAATTTGTTTGGCACCGATGTTTCATTATTACCGCAGTATAATAACGCCAATAATTTGATGAAATTCAGTGTGCCTATTATCTTGGGGGAATTCATTGATAAACTATACAACTCGTTCTTGGTAAATTATGATGATCAATTGAATAACAATGTCCATGATTCCTTGAAAAGCCCAAAGATTGAGCAATTCGGGAACGAGGATATAAGCAATGGTTTACTTGAATTGGGAAATTTTGCAAGAAATTCTTGGACCCAACCTTTCAACATTTTAGAAGCTTATAATTTGCGTCAATCACTTATCGATTTGTATGATGAATTACAAGAAGAACTTATTGAAGAACGGAAAAATGAGTTGAACTCTATTGGAGCAACCAGTACGAAAGTACAAGAATTTCAAAACGAGGTTATTAAAAAATGTGTGGCGAAGTTATTCGATGGTGCAGGGCTTGGTGACTTGATTTCTTGCTTAAAGTTATGGTTACTTGAACTACCGGACAGCTTAATTTCTTTTGTGGTATTTGAAAAATTGAAGAGTACCTATTTTGAATTGTACAGTGCAATGCTGACATGGGAAGCTGAAAATGAGGAACAACAGACTGAAGATGGGGGCACTAAATTCCCAGATGATGCTAAATTCGAAAGATTTGATAAAATTTTGAAATTATTTAATATGATTCCAAGAAGTAATTTAGCATCTTTACATATGGTATTGAGCCATATTTCCAATGTTTCATCGATGGGATTCAGCTTCTCTGGTGATCAGCAGCAATTAGAGACTTTTAAACTTTTACAAGAAAAGTTTATTAATGATTTAATCAATCCAGTGTCCACGGAAAATAATGCATTCCCGTTACTGCATTTATTGTTGAGAACTTCTAAAAGCAAATCGAAAACCAACGCCACCGCCCTGATGTCGTCGTCGATGCCATTTTTGAGTTCCTCTATTTCCCAGGTTTCCAGTCCAGTCATTGATGGCAATAATTCTAATGCTCTTAGACTAACCAACTTGAAAGTTCAATTTTTCTTCAAGTATTTGATGAAAGATTTACTTGAAGACGCTTTCCTCACAAAACTTGAATTTTCAATAAAGGAACGGGAAACCAATCAACAAAAGTCATTAAAGATTAAAAACATAAAAGAAAAAGAATCGATAAAAAGTATTAGTGCTAATAATTCACCATCACTCTCACGAAATAATGTGAAGGTCTTTGGTGATTCTATTGTTGGGAGACCTCGCAAGACTTCAACTTCTACGTCATCAAATTCAATTAGTCAAGTGATGATGTCTGTTCCAAATAACTATAGTGTCAGCAAACTCAATGAGGAGGTTTATAATAGTGTTAATGGTCCTACTGGGTCGCCAGTATTGAGTCGTGCTGAATCTGTTAATTCTAACACAAGCAGCGCGCCAACAATCATGGTGGAAGGTCTTGCGTTGAGATCTTTTGGTACTAAGAACAGAGTGCCTAAAGTGGATAGTCCAAAGGTCGCTGTTACTCCTACTTTTAGTTCCGAAGCATTTGAGGGTCAGAAGCCAGTGAATACCTCTATCGAGAATGTTTCTCCTGCTGATGGTAGTGATCTCTTAGGGTCACCAGTGATATCTGGGGGAACCAAGAGAGCTAGAAGAAAGAGTTTTAGTTTGCTAAATAATGGTAGTGGTATCAAGCTTGTACAGCCTGATGATAATGCATCTAACCAGAAGTAAAAAGGCTTGCTTGCTCTCCTTTTCTTTTTTTCTTTTTTTCTTTTTACTTCTTCTCTCAAATTTCTGTTTTTTGTATCAAAATTTGTGCCATCATTTTTGACGTATTAATATTCTCAATTGAATGAATTTGCAGGACAGTTGTTTCCTCTTCTTTTTTTTTTTTTTTTTTTGCCATTTGTTCAGTAGAGATGTAACAAGTTTTCTCCTTTATTGTTATCATCCATTGATAATTCTTCCATTTCTATTAAAACCATTATTTGAAGCATTTACAACTGAATTGAATTCCCACCTCGTATAAATTTTGGCAGCAACCTATTGGACGCCAACATCAGATTTTTGAGTAGAATTTTTCCTTCAAAGGTTGATGATTTCGAAATGAGTAATCTTCTTTTTCAAGATAAAAGAAGGATATGCAAAAAGATCTTTAGTTCTCCCCAATTTACATGTAAAAAGATCAGTTATAGAAAATAAAGCATCATGAATTTGGAGAAAAAAAAAGTAATGGGTAATTAAGCAGTAAAAGAACAAGGAAAATTTTCAGTTAAAGAAGCAATTAAAATGGTATATCTAGATAACAATAAAGAATCAAAAAAAAAAAAAATTAGAAAGAACTAGTAATAACGAGAACAGAAAAGAGCAAAAAGTCTAAGGTCGATGATAATACACTTGTGAGAAAAAAAAAAAGGTTAAGCAGTATCAAGTGGGTGACATCTAGAGAAGGGCCAACAAGGCGAAGATACCAGCAGCACCACCAACAACTTGTTTAGCAGCAGCGCCCTTACTGGTAGAGGTGGATGAAGAGGAAGAAGAAGAACCAGTGGAGGTTTCGGTAGAAGAAGAGTCAGAACTGTCGTCTGAAGAAGAGGAAGAGGAATCAGAAGAGTCGGTAGAGGAGGAGGAAGAAGAAGAGTCAGTAGAGGTAGAGGTAGAATTCAAGTTGAAGCCGTTAGTCAAAGTCTTCAAAGTGATGCTGGAAGAGGAAGATTCAGTGCTGTTACCAGAGAGGGTGGTGGTGACGGCAGTACCGTTGACACCAGCGGAAATGGCTTCAGAAGATGATTCAGAAGCGGCATCAGTAGCAGCGGCAGAGTCGGTGGTGGTGGCAGTGATGGTGTTGGCGGAAGCGTCGCTACCAGAGGCAGAGGAGTTAGTGGCAGAGGCAGAAGCGTCGCTACCAGAGGCAGAAGCATCAGTAGCAGAGGCAGAAGCGTCGCTACCAGAGGCAGAAGCATCAGTAGCAGAGGCAGAAGCATCAGTAGCAGAGGCAGAAGCATCAGAAGCCGAAGCTTCAGTGGCAGAGGCTTCAGTGGCAGAGGCAGCGGCGGCGGCGGCGGCTTCACTAGCAGAGGTAACAGAAGCGACAGAGGCAGCGGCGGCGGCGGCGGCTTCACTAGCAGAGGCAACAGAAGCGACAGAGGCAGCAGAAGCACTGGCGACACTGGCAGAAGAAACAGAAGCTTCAGCAGCACTGGCGGCGCTGGCAACACTGGAAACCTCGGCGTCAACAGAAGCTTGAGAGGCGACGGAAGCAAGGTAAGCGGCAGCAGAAGATATTTGAGCGTTACCGGCAACGGCGGCGGCGGCAAGAGAAGCAGCGTCGCTGGCGGCTGGAAGGGCAGATTCGGAAGAAGCAGAAGCGAAAAGGGCTTCAACAACACTGCTGGCGACGGCAGCGGCAGCACTCAAGGTGACGGCATCATCATTAGTGACAGTGTATACTTGTTCACCAGTAGCGGTGTTGACAACAGTGGTGGTGTAAATATATTGAGATTTAGCCAAGCTAAATAAAAGGGTAGAAGCAAAGGCGACGTTTTGTAAGGCCAACATTTTTGATATGGGAATTAAGGCACTTTAAAAAGTGGGTATTATTTATATGAAGATTGATATTTCAAAAACTTGTTTGTCTTTAATCACCACTTCAACTCGAGGATTCCTGATAAATATATATAATAATGTATGGTGAATTAGCTGGGAACAAGTTAGCGACAGGGGGTTCGTTCATGTTGCACGTCCTGCATATTTTCTGGATGCATTAAAAAATTTTTTTTTTGGAAATTTGGAAATCCATGTTTCATTAGATTCTTTGGGCGAGAAGACCAATGTACACGATTAGTAGTCAATGGTGTGGTGGCTCCTTCTTGGTGTTGGTTTCTTCCTGGTGATGGTTTGAGGCTCATCTCACCAGTATCCTCAAGATTATTCACAAAGACTAACCTGCTTCTGGTCCCCCTTTTTTTTCTATTCTAAGCCTGCGTCTACAACAGTAGAATTTCACTTCCATATTAGTCGAGCAGCTGCCGGGATGTTTCGTCATGAGTTTGTTCAATTGCCTCACTTTACGTGGAGAATTATCTCTTGGGTTGTCTGGAAAGTAGTGGTTATTTCAATATCTCTCCTCTCCTTTGAACATAACTATTTAGACATTCCCAGGCTACTCACAAGGATTTTCTTGTTGTAGATGGCGTAATTTATTACTCGAGGTTCGTGGTGGTAGTGGGAATTTCAGTGGTGAGGCTGGCTGGCAGGTTTCCAGAGCGCGGCTGCAGTGGCCGGCAGAAATAGTCACCCACGAGTTTGGATTTTTCAGCGACTGGAGATCTTGGGTGACAACTATGTCATCGAGGTTGCCTCCATCCAGAAACGAAAAAGAAAAAAAATCTTCTTCATTTGAAATTTTTCTCTGGTACTGGTTTCTACCTCACCCCTGCGTACATGAAGAAAGTTCCAGGGTTTTCTGTAGACAGTGCAAATACCGGAATCTAAAAGCCAAAAGGCCGAAGGCTTTAACATAGGCATACTTACATAAGTCGCCACATAATAGTAATATTGATCGATTATTGATATTTACACAATTAAAAACTTCCCTAATTTTTGTAATGCAGTGGTCATTTGTTGTGGTCAGTGGTTAGCACCAATAATAGCGCAATTCAACAATTACCATTTTTGGGGGTGGTGCACTCGTGCAGATCACACCAATGGTTGGAATTATTCACATAAGGAATTAGTGGCTAATGATACATCGAGGCTCTGATAACATATACTAATGAATTGTCAAAAGAAATCTTGAAGAAATAACTAGTAAAAAAAAAAAAAAAAAAGGGATGTTGAACTGGAGAAAGTGGTCATTTTCGTAATTTTATAGCTCAGCACTGGTAAAAGCAACGCGGTTTTCGACAAAATGCTATCCAAAGGAATTTTCCATATTTTCTAACATTGAACAGTAATGAAAATTTACTATGTGAAATAGCTATCTAAAAAAGGAAACTATCTTCGAGTTTTCAGGTTGAAGAAACAATTTCTCAATCGTAGATGATATATTGCCGGTTTTGAAGGAATCATTTTCAAAACAAAATTCGTTTCCAAAATGCAACACCATAGGCTTGCAATATAAGCACAATACGCATTTGTAATATAAAGCCGTATATATAAATAATATTAAACAATGTGGAAATTAAACTTAGCCTCTGTTTGACTAATCATCATACTATTCTTGTGTATCTCTGTCAGTTGTGTTGAAAATGAAATAGGAAGTAAAGATATTCTGATAATTCTCCATAATATTTGGGGTTTCTCTGTTTCTAAAACTAAGAATATTTGAGTTAAAAATGATAAATTCTCATTTTCAAAAATAATTAATCTCAAAAAAATAGGGCTCCCATAGATTGTAACTTGTAGAACGTGTAGTGACATCCAGTTTTGTTTTCACGTTATGAGAGACGCGGTTATCTGTCCAAAATAACTTGCGATGGAACAAACTAAAAGTTCACAAGCTTGCTAATCTTGTTAAGATCCTTTGTAAAGTGATTTATATATATATATATATATAAAGTTTGAAAAGCTGATAGTAGATTCACAACTCGAGTTTTGTTACATAATATTTGTTCAAGTAATTTTAAATTCGCGACGCGAGTTGTGTTCATTTTATGTGCATACACTGCCATATCTTCATAGTTGTTATTTGTATTTATTTTTTTCAATATAGTCCAAATCCTTATTTTTTTTTTCTTCATCGGTAATAAACATAGATACAAAAATGCTTCTAGTGTTCTTTCCATGCTTGGGACTCCTATTTTGAGCAGAGGATTGAATACAGACCGTTTATTCTTTATTTTTTATTATCATCTAAATAAAGAGCTTCGGGAAATACCGAATATTTCAGTTGCGCTAATATCTCTTGCTTTCAGGAGCTCAAGAAAAAGAGCCAGATAAAATCTTGGAATAAAAATACAAAATATGGTTCTGTGTTAATTAGAAAAATGTATGGTTCATTCAACTAGTGACAGTCTATTGGTCACAACGTGCTGTAACATTACAAATAGCTGGAAAAAAACAATTCTTATTAGATAAATATATTGTGCTCAGTCTCTGAGTACAATTATAAGTAACAATATCCTCCTTATGGTTATATTCACCCACTTATTATTTAATGAGCAATGGAAGTGACAAAGGTGGTGGATAGCCTCCCAGTTACAGTTACCACCGATAAGTAGCAGCAGCGCAGAGTACATTTTTTTTTTTTTTTTTTTTGCACTCAAAATTTTCAATATGCCTAAGATTACCGTAAGGTTGGCTGGCGATTTCCCTGTTGTTTCATATTGGGACTTATGTAGTTATATAGAGGTTTATTTAGAAATACCATTTAAATTCTAGATAGCCGAATACTCCTAAAATCGTCTCTTTTGATTTAGTATTTGATTTGAGACTATATTTGTTATTCAAAAGTGTAATGATGAGAACTATTGCAAGAAAATATAAATACCAAATCTTACAATCACGAACATCTCATGACAATAACAGCTTTCGTATATAAATAAATTTTTTTTTTTTTTTCATATTCTTAATGTTTTGTAGTTGGAGAGTTACAACCTGCTCAAATAACTTACAACCAGCAACTACTATACTTACTTACTTGAGGTCTATTTAGATTCTTTCTAATTTTTTTTTTTTTTTTCACTCGGTATTTAGTGGAATAGCTAACATAGACAATCCAATAAATCTTACTGAGGCCAAATGCTTCGTAATTTGATATCCGACATTCTCACTTTATACTTAATAGCGTTGAGGCGGAAGCAAGTATTGGTAAATGTGCCTTCCATATAAAAATTAAAATCAGGAAACCCCAATAGTAGGGAATAATGAAAGAGATCCACAGAAATAATTAAAACTGGAGAATTTAGAGTAAATTGCTTCTATTGATGATAAATATAATATTCCAACAACCAATCAGTGATAGCTGCTCGTTATATTTCCCACCTAGACCATCACTACCTGGTGGTCACATATCACCAAACGCAGGATGCTTGGCTATTTTCCTGGAGAAACGCCCTGGATGGCCCATTCAGACCGAATGGATCGTTATTTATGCAAGCCTCGTTCGTAGGAATGGGTATTTGGAGCTTCGCCCATGGTTCGCACTATTTTTCCACAGCCAAACTCCTTGGGTGCGTTCTCATGCAGTGCTCATCTCCCATTCCCAACATCAGGATGCCTTACGTGTGGGTAAACAAGTGAATCCGTTGGAAGTTAGCTACACTATATATATATATATATATATATATATAAGTATGGGAGCTTCCTTCCCTGGATAATTTATAAATTGTAATAATAACAGTTTCTCCAAATCGTATATTGTTCCTCTGATATTTCCAGACCAAATAATACCCAATAAAAAAGATTCTTAAAGCAAAATGCAATTGATAAGCACCATCTTGACAAGTGTCTTACTTGCCTCTAGTGTTTTGGCAGATAACACCAGTAGTGACTGGACCACTCTTAAGGCCACCGGAACCCCATCAGGAGCCATCACCTCATACGCTTCAAGTTTTGCCATCGCAGTCGTTCCTGTTACCACTGGTACTTGGACCATAAAAGCATCTACCGGAGCCGCCCAATTGGAAGCTTTATCTATCGAAGCTGCTGAGAAAACCGCTTCTGCAACTGTGGCTTCCGTTGCTGCTGTTGCCACCGATGATGCGGTAGCAACGAGCGACGCTGATGAAACTGCCACCGATAGTGACAGTGCAGCAGCAGCCACCAATACCGATGATTCCTCAGATAGTGACCTGAGCTATAGAAAGAGACACAATTTCAAGAGACAACTTACCGTTTTGGCTCGTCGTGATACTGACAGTACCGATACCGCTTCGGGTACCTATGAAAGCTATGCTACTGCTGAAACTGACGCAGTCGCCGCTTCATCTACTGCTGAAACTGACGACTACGATAGCGTTTCAGCCAGCTCCACTATCGCTTCTGTAGCGACTGATGCAGTTTCTACCGATTCCAGTGACCCCATTACCACAGTTTCTTGCGCAGTTAATGGTACTTTGTCCATGACTTTGAAGGATGGTATCTTGGTTGATTCTAAAGGTCGTATTGGTTCTATTGTTTCCAACAGACAGTTCCAATTCGATGGCCCACCACAAGCCGGTTGTATTTACGCTAACGGCTGGAGTATTACTAGCGATGGTTATTTGGCAATTGGTACCACCGAAATTTTCTACAGATGTTTGTCTGGTGGTTTCTACAACTTGTACGACCAGAATGTTGCTTACCAATGCAGTCCAATCAAGTTCCTTGCCACCGGTATTGAAGACTGTTAAGTCAAAAATAATCACTCTTTTTTTTTTTTTCCCTCCTCGCTATTCAATTCTCCCATGTCCTTCTAGAAAGGCAATCCTCATTTCAAATTATATAATTAGTTTCCCACCCTCTCCCAAATACTCTTATTTATTGAGATTTTTGGTTTTATTATCATCATCATTGTTTTTTTTTTTTAAATATTTCATTATTTTGCTTTCCTTTTGTTTTTTTTTTTTTTTTTTTTTTTTAAAAAAAAATTCTTGACCTTGTTAATCCTCTATAGAATACCCTTGTTATATCATTTAATCATAACGACCATTTGGAAAATCCTTAAAAATCTTTCGTGTCATTAGTAACAGCCAATTGGCAAGAAGCACCATTTAAAACGGAATTGACAGCATTTCATTCACAGAGACTCTATAATTTTTCACGTGCGCACGCCATCCATCACCCAACAGAGTGTTTGTGATGCGAGATTTTGCACTACAATCTATCAAGTGCTATTGTTACATCCAGGAAGAAACACCATATACTGATCTCAAAAGAACCTCAAAAACCACAGGGAGAGCGTGGATTTTTCTTCCAAATACTTAAAATCCTGTTTCAATCTCGCAATGGCAGCTCCAACCGAGTCTGTTTACAAGAGTATCAACGCACTTGCACAAAACATTGAACTAAATAGAAGAACAATCACTTCCTTGATTACCGAGTCGGAAGACTTCAAAAATGCTCCTCAATGTACTGTATTCTATCTACTAGCTAAATTATTGAATATTGAGGATTTGGCAGATGTCAATGACTCGTTATCGGGGTCGTTAACCCTGGAGGACTCATTATTGTGCAGAAACATATTTTTGAATGATGAGTTTGTGGTCGGGTGGATCGATACAAGACATACCGAACTTTTTGAGAAAATAAATCAACTAGATCTTAAGGATGATAACCAAGCTTTGCAATCTCACAATATAGTTCCCGATGTCAACTTATCAAACTATCTTACACAATTGTACTCTCAAATTATTGATAACGTGTTCTCTCTTGATCTAGCTCATAAGGGCTCTGAAAGCCGAACTGAATCATGGATATATTTACTCTTTGACGTTGTAACTCAGCTAAAGATAGACTCATTCGGTTTGGAATCTGATAATGATATTAGCAGATTAAATCTTAAGTTATTTGTTCTTGAGGCTTACTATCAGTTAGCGTCACTATCTCCCATCAACAAGCTTCTACTTTCACAAGCAAAAATTACAGACATAATTGTGAAAGAACTCACTGCTATGCTCACAAACGTCTTGGAACTAAAAGAGATCCCGAATGATGACGCGAAGCTGTTATATTTCCAGTCTTTATTCAACTTGTATTTGGTATTGGGAGAAGTGGGAATGATCGATTATACCTTCTTTATAGAATCCTTCAGGAAGATTATCAAACTCAACGATCAACTAACTAAAAAGAAATCACCTTCACAAAATTATGAAACCAGGGAAATATTTTTCCTCAGAATTTTCAAGAATTTATTAGCAAATCTCGAGAAACTAAATGCCAGTTCCAATATTGCGGTATCGAATTTTACAAAAACAAAAAATCAAGAATCAGTGCTAACTCCATCAAATTTTTTGCTTTTCCCGCCACAAGGTTATATTGATTTCAATAACCTAAAAATATCGGAAAATGGGTTCACAGTTCAAATGTGGGTCCAATTCACTTGCAAAAACGATCAGCCTGTGGCCACAACCGTTCCGGAAATGTCACTTGCCTCGCTAAATTCAAACAGCAATCCAGTGTCTGATGACCAAAATATTATATTTTTGAATCTACTCAATTGCACAAACGATGTATTTTGGGAATTGGGTATAAACAAACAGGAAAATTGTATAGCCTTGAAAGTTCTCGATTCCAGTGGACTTTCTATGAGTAGAAAATTCACCAACTTCAACTTGGATTTTTTCAGTACTCGAAGAGAAGAAGAAATTCCTGGCTCTGATCAGAGTGATGAATCGACCATGAGTAACATAACAGATGACCAATACCAAAGAACGAAGTTCCACAACATTGTGCTTATCCATAAGTTCAATAATGATAAGCATGATAAATTCAAGCCGTCCCAGGTTTATTTGATTGTTGATGGGCAGTTTATCCAATCTGTGAATATTCCCCTGAACTCTTTGCCAACGCATAACTCAGAAGTATCGGTAAGGTTCGGAAACATGTCACTGAACATTAGCAGATCATATATCTCGTTCAACAATTTACTCTTAATTAACAAAATCCAACCGCACCAGTGGATTATTTTGAATTATTTTTTAGGACTCAATTATCATCATAATTATGAAGACTTGAATCTAATTAACAAGTTTTTGGGCTACAAGTCATTGAGTTTATTTGAATTGAAGTCAAATGAGTTGAAGTTGAATTACGACCAAACTACGACAGAAGAAAATGGCTATGAAGACAACTATGAATCAATGAACTCAAGTTTATTAAGCCAGTCCTTGAAGAATGATAGTTCAGGAATTTTAAATCGAAGCTTCGGTAAGATACAAAAAAAATTACCTCCAAGAAAAGTTGCTGCGTTCAATTTAAATTTTGTTTTGGTTGGTGATGATCTGATAGTGTTGAATTTCCATGCAAAGAATGTTGTTCACAAAAGCCTGGCAATCAAATTGGTAGTGAATCCTCTTAAAGACAATTTAGTTAATAGTGTCACTACTTTCAACTCAGATACACTGAATGATGGGAAGTCTGGTTCAAAGCTTGAAAGTTCATACGTATTGAATACTGTGTTAAATTCTGTTAATAACTTGGAGTTGAATCGTAAATACTTAGGCGTCATTAGTTCAAATGCCAGAATCATAAATTACCGCTCAAATTCCAATACCACAGTAAACTTTTTCAATTCCATTGATGGTATAACTACCTTGCTAAAGTTAATAGAATCTATTAATGCTTACAGTGATGATTCAGAGGAGTTAATTATTAATACTGAAAAGCTTGTCGCTTTGCTTCGAGTATTATTCTCATTGATTTCACAACATCATGTGTTTGCAAGGGAAATGGAAGAAAAAGGAGGTTACCACATTCTTTCAATTATATTGAAGAACAAGAAAAAATTATGTGGCTTGAAGGTCTTGGACACAATATTGGAATTTGTTGGTTATGATCATGATTATCCAGCAGAATCTGTTATTGTCAATTCCATGGCATATAAATCTTTGATTGTGGATTTTGATATTTGGAAAGATGCAGATAAAGAGACTTTTAAATTTTTATTATTTCAGTTTACGGTTTTCAGCCAAGATAGTAGATATCATGAATACAATGTTAACAAGATTGTGAAAATGAAAATCATCAAAAGGTTTGTCCAATGTTTAAAGTCCAATGTCTTCACAGAAGATTTCTTGTCATCTGTTCAAAATACATTATTGGTGCTAGTGAAGGCCAATGCGACAACTGATATTTTCCATGCTTTATCAAACTATATCATTTATGCCTTGCAAGTCAATAAAAACTTTACCGCAGACCCAAATCTTGTTCTCTCCGAAAATCCGGAGTTGCAAAGGAAGTGTGGCGGTTGCATTTTGGAATTGATCTATTATATCATTGGAAACTCACCGTCCCATCATATTTTTAAAAAAATTGTCAAATTGATTAATATTCGATGGATATTATTGTTGATGGATGATGCGAATGAGGATATTGTGAAACTTTCTCTTAAACTTTTAACGAAGATGTTTTCAATTTTAGGGGAGAGCTATTATTCCAATTTCATTGACAACAATGGATTCAATATCTTGAAAAATTTACTCAAAAAATGGTACAATAATGACGAAATAATAGTGATTATCTTCGCTGCCAGTTTTGGTGCCTCACAATTAGATAATTTGGGCACTGACATTTATGGATATTCAAAGAGATTAGCAAGAAGAAATGACTTGCTCAGCGTGTCAATGCCGGAGTTCTTATTCTTGATTTTTGATTTGATTGAAAATTCTATTGAAACGAATAATGACCAGCGACAGCACACATATGATGTCGAGTCGTACGAAAGGTTCATCAACTGTATTAAATTCAGTTTCAAGCACCTCACTTGTTTACATGTGACTTTTAAAAAGAAGGCTTGGATTTCAAAGGTTTGTTTGATAATCTACAAATTGGAATTGCAAGATGTGCCCCAAATGAACAGTATTTTGATTGAGTTCAAAGAGATGCTATCGAAAATTTTATGGAGCATCATTTTTGGCTCAGAAAACCTTATGATTGTCGAAGCTTGTCAGTCAGATATTATTGCAAAGCAGGTGATTGTGGGTGTGATTTATCCAATTGTCCTTCAGGAGGTTAGAGAACTGTTAGAGAAAAATGATGTGAAATTGCGAAAGAAGACTGTGTGTAAAAATGTGTGCAAATTATTATTGCAATGCTCTCATTCTACCAATAAATTCATTTGGGAAAGAGCTGATTTGATGTTACTTCACCAGACGTTATCAATGTTCATCGAGAAATATGGCAGTAGATATGAAACCGGATCATCTACATTGAAGGCTTTGAAGAGATACTTGGGAGTCTTGACCTTGGAAAGAATGTTCCTCTTGGTATACGCATTGACTGAAGAAAATCGCGCAGAGTTGAAAGAGTTGGTCAATACCATTCTTTATAGCCAGGAAACATATTTCAGTAACGATGTGTTTGACTCTAAGAGATTGCACGTGTTAGTTATGTTTCTTTTGCAAGCTGTGAAGGAAGATGGTATTCGGGGAGACAATTCCAATATTATGAATGCTTTAAGAATCATATTTATGCATAGACAACAAGATTTTGAAAAACTTAGTTACTCAATTAACAGTGCCGCTCCTGAAACAATTACATTTTTCTTTGAATCTCTTTTGGTCTCGGATGATGCTACAATTATTGAACGACTCAACCACGACAATTATCTTAAAAGTAATCTTGAAAAATCCCTTTTTGTTTGTTACGAAAAGTTTGAAAACACCTTCTTTAATGTCCAGTCGGTTAAAGATGTATTGAGATCGATATCAAAAAATGAGGAGGTCAGTAGTTCAGACGTCAAATTATTCATTAATTTTAGAACTGAGAATGTGAATTGGAAATCATCAATTATTTCCTCAGAGCTAGCGAAATACTATCGTCATTTCCAGGATCAGCAAGACAACTTTCAATTTTTCATAACTAATTTTAATAAAATGAAATTAGAAGTTTCAAGAATTTTGAAAATGAACTCGAAACAACATTGGTCTGTTGACAATATTGAAGGTCTTGATCGAATTCACAATAGAGTTATTCCTAAGGATGATCTTTCTTTTGAGGACCAGTTGTTATATAAGATTGAAGTCCCAGTGGTCAAACCTGCTAAAAGCACAGATGATAAGAATATTGCCAATGCTTCCTTGCTTTATGAGCAGATGGAGGCATTATCCATTGATAAAGTGAATGAGGAGACTGAGGATTTTGAAGATGAAGAGGATTTTGAGTTGATCGAAGAAGATGCGTTCTTTGATAGTGCACAAGAAGACAAAAATAGGAAAGTCTTGAGAAGTTTATTTGTTGGTGATAGGATCAATGATTTATGGAATGTTAGCCAATTGCTTGGATTGGAAGCTGAAGAAGGAATATTAATTCTCGGAGAAACCCATCTTTATTTGATTGAAAATTACTTCCATTGCTCCAATGATGAGGTGGTGGATATTGATGATGCTCCGCCAGATTCAAGAGATCCATATTTAAAATTGATTACCGGCCAACCAAAATCCAAAAATTTGAAAAAGTCTGTGAAGACTCATAACACAAAGTCTTGGGATTTGGAAAAACTTTCGTCCGTTTCCAAGAGACAATTCTTGCTTCGTGATGTGGCCATTGAATTTTTCTTTGCAAACGGCAGCAGTTTCTTAATCATTTGCCGCAATGTGAAGGAAAGAGACATAATTCACGGAAGACTTTCTTCAAGAGCTAAAAATAGCAGCACTGATAGTGATTTGATGTTAGCGTTACGTTCAGCCAATTATACCCCTGCAAAAGTTGCGACTGGGCAAACCAGTTCTAGTTTTGCTTCTAAGTTGGCGAATGCGATCTCCTCCAATTTGAACGGATTCCAATCAATTACAAAGAAATGGAGAGCTGGAAAAATTTCAAACTTTTATTACTTAATGTTAATCAACACCATCGCTGGCAGAACATTTAATGATTTAACTCAATACCCGGTGTTCCCTTGGGTCATTGCAGATTATACCAGCGAGGAGCTCGACTTGAATAACCCAGAAACATTTAGAGACCTTTCCAAACCAATGGGTGCCCAAAGTTTCAAAAGAGCTAGACAATTCAAAGAAAGATACGACGCATTGAAGGGCTTGAATGACAAATCAGCGCCTCCTTTTCATTATGGTACACATTATTCATCAGCGATGATTGTCACTTCCTTTCTCATCAGATTAGAGCCCTATGTTCAATCATATCTTTTACTACAAGGTGGTAAATTTGATCATGCTGACAGATTATTTTACTCTATCGAAAAAGCATGGAATTCTGCTGCTAGGGACAATTACGCTGATGTTAGAGAATTGATCCCTGAATTCTTCTACTTGCCCGAATTTCTCACAAACTCCAGCAATTTCCAGTTGGGAAAATTGCAAAATGGTGAAACAATCAATAATGTTATTTTGCCACCATGGGCTAATAATGATCCGAAAATATTCATTCAAAAGCAACGGGAGGCTTTGGAAAGTCCTTATGTGTCTGCACACTTGCATGAATGGATTGACTTAATTTTCGGTTTCAAGCAACAAGGCCAACAGTCTGTGGATTGTAGAAATGTGTTCCACTATTTAAGTTACCGTGGAGCAATAAATTTGGATGATATCGATGATGAAGTTGAAAGACGGGCAATGACTGGCATCATTCATAATTTTGGTCAAACCCCACTTCAAATTTTTGCAAAACCTCATCCTCCTCGTGAACAATTTGCTTGTCCAATTCTTGAGGTCTTCCGATTATCTGATATTCCACGTGTTGATAAGAGTGCCAATTTATCAATAAATCATTTGGAAATGGGCTACAAATCAAGTGGTGGTGGTCTAATTTGGAAAGGTAGAATCAATTTATTTTCTACTGAAGATAATTTAAAGATTCAAGGAGGGTCATCATTTTCATCGTTACTTGTCAATGGAAGGGTTTTTGAAAGCTTACATTCAGGCAATATTAATGTGTTAGTTCCAATTGGGGAGAGAAGTTTTATGACTGGTGCTGATGATGGTACAATAAATATCTGGAAATTTCCAATCAGAGCCTCGAAATTCATCACGTTCAATAGCTCTCCAGTTCTCTCGCAATTGAAATTTCAGGAAGAATTGGAATTTAAGAAAACTCTTAGAGGTCATTTGAGTTCCGTTTTAGATATCAAGGTGTCCCGAACTTTTAATTTGGCGGTCACCTTGGATGATTTGGGCCTCGTTTATGTTTGGGATTTGGTGAGATATAAATTTGTGAGAGAGGTTAATACTAATCATGTCCAAGGAAAAGTGAAGCATATAAACGTTTCAAATACCACCGGTACTATTGGTTTAGCGTCTGATTTTAATGTCTCACTTTACACAATTAATGGGGAATTTATAACTTCCGAAGTTTCCAAAGAAAAGCTCACTTGTATTTCTTTTGCTGATAAGAGACGCCCAATTTCTGGAAGTTTTGATCAAGTGAAGTTTGAAGAAAACCATGAGTTCTGGAAAGATGGCCAAATAGTATTGTTGGGTAGTGCTAGAGGTGTTGCTTTATATTGCTTACAGATTATTAATAATCGCTGGGCTGTTCATGTGATTGCAAACTTCAAAGTAAGAAACAAAGAGGGTGAAGTCATTAGAGACAATAGCGCCATAACATGCATTGAAATGAATTTAAAAGCTTCATCTGACGAAAAAAGCAACACCTACGGTACCGGTCAGATCGCGGCTGGGGACTCTAGTGGTCAAATTATTGTCTGGTCCTGATAGCTACTATTGGATTTTCTTTCTTTCTTTCTTTTCTTTTCCATATTTTCATCCGAAGCTTATTTTGAAAATTGCTCATATATTCTATTCACTTTTATTGCGTCATATATTTTATATTCAAAGTTCTTGAAAAAGTCGTTATGTATTATCATGATATTTATCAATAGAGTTTAAGTGAAAAAAAAAAAAGCAAGAAAAAGCGCAGAGATCACAGGGAAGTGTAAACCCTAGCTGATAGACTTGTTCTGCTTCTCAATCTCTTCTAACTGCAAATCGCCTCCACTTTGTCTCCAAAGCCAGAGAGCTTCGATTGCATAATTTCTCACGCTCAAATTAGTTGTAAATTGTTCATCAGAGGACGTCAAAAGGATAGGAATTATATGCAAATTGCTAACTTGATTCCAGACTTTATCTTCGAATTCCTTTTTAAGAGATGGATTCATCACTGTTGTTTCATTGGTGGTTGAATTTTCTTCCTGGACGATGATATCATACTTGTGGAGTCCCAACTTGTGTAAAATTCTTCCCAAAGTTCTGATGGATATACTTCTTTGGGCGTTGAATTTTGACCTCATCAAATGTGCCAATTCCTTCAAAGTATAACCTGGTAATTGAGGGCTCTCACTGTGGTGATACAATCCCGATGTTGTAGGAATATTTTTAATGGTATCTTTATCAGCAGCGATGATATCCCCATTGAAGTCGAATCTCAATTCTTCAACGTTTAAAACCTCATCATGTTCTTCAAATGGATCAACGGGCTGCATCCATTTCAATTTTTCAGTATCTTTAGGCAAATCTGGGAAATATTTTTCATGCATCTTATCGAATAGTTCAGGATCATTTATATCAAGTTTATAATCATTGTCAGATTCAGGCTTTGGATTTTTAGCAAAGTGAACAGATTGGAAAATATCATGGGTGGTTTTTCTCTCCGATTCTTGAAGTTGCTCACTGGTAGGCACTGGTGATTTTTCTTCATTATACGATTCAACAACAGGTTCAGAATCGTTTTTTTTGTCCGCACTATTAGCCTGTACTTGAACTGTATCACTAAATGTCACCTTTTTCTGGAGGTTTGAATCTTTGGTTTTTTCCTTGGGTTTAGCATCATCCAGCTTTTGATTATTTTCTTTGGACTTTTTGTCTGACCGCGATAAATATTCATCACCTTTTTTTGACTTCCTCATCAAGGCATTCAATATGCTTGGATCAATACTTGCCATAAGTTCGGCCCTTTCTTCCGCTATCTGTCCAGGGCTCATTGTTGCAAGGTATTTGAGATTCTCTAAGTGAACTTTCTCCTTCTCCGTGAGTTCTTCTTCATTATTTGAAGTACTTTCATCCAATTCTTTCTTGAAACTGTTACTGGTAACATCATCTGGACTACTAGACATTGACGCAATCTTCTTGGCCTCTAGTCTTTGCTTCCAACGAGATGGCTTCTTTTTGATATTAAGTTTCTCTGTGTCTTGGACCATGGTTGTGAGTATGTTATCCTCAGGAGGAGCCACATCCCTCTCCAATATATCACCAATGAAGTTCATATTCATATTACCTATCTTTTTTTGATCATGAAGGCATCTTCCATCGATGAGACTGAAAGAGTCGATTAATAATAGTGAAAAAAAAAAAAATAATCTTCAAACTCTGCGCGCACGCGAGGTATCTCACCATACTTTTTACGAATAGAGATCCTTTTGATGCTAAAGACTACAATGATGGGAAATTGGGTAATGTTGATTATTGACGTGATAATTCAAACGATTTCCATGGATAAGCCAGAAATGAGGGATGTGTAAACTTTATGCAAAAAGAAAAAATAAAACAAAAAATTATTTCAATTTTCCAATTTCAATTGTGCAACTCGAGAATGGACTTCAACTTCATCTAATAAGTCTCTATGGATGGCTTGTAAGGCCTTCAAACTATCACTTTCGTTCACCACACAACTGATGTTGATTTCATTGGCACCTTGACTGATCATTTCAATATTGATTTTTTCCTTCGCCAAACATTCAAACATGGCACCAGCAATGCCAATTAAGTGTCTCATTTCTTTCCCAACCAAAGAAACAATAGCAAAGTTCTTGACCAAATCAACAGTCCCCATTGAGCTCAACTCCTTCATGGCTCTCCTAAGGTCTGGGTGGAACCCGTCTTCACAATTATATAGGGCCATAGAGACGTGAACTTCCGAAGTAGAAATCAAATCAACCACAAGCCTATACTTATCCAAAATCGCAAAGATCTTAGCTAAGAAACCATGTGATAATGTTTTTTTGTTGGAATGGACATTAATAACCACAATATCATGTTTTACGGTGACTGCAGTTGGTGCCTTCTTTTTGTTTAACATGCTTGCACTGAGCAAAGCAGAAGCCAATGGAGGATGTGGTGGGGTAGCCTCGCCCTTTCTGCCGATATTGTCTGGGTAAATGATGGTACCCTTACCCAAAGGATTTTCCACGTTTTTGATGATGATTGGAATCTTTGCTCTAATGACTTGTTCCATGGTGAATGGATGGATGACTTCACTACCATAGTATGTCAATTCAGCAGCTTCATCAGGAGTGACGGTAGGCAAAAGTCTAGCATTTGTCACTTTACGAGGATCTGCAGTGAAAATACCGTCCACTTCTTTCCAGATTTGTAGCTCGTCAGCATCCAAACCAACGGCAACCAACGCGGCACACAAATCTGTATAACCTCTCCCGATATTATTCAATAACCCACCAGGCACCACTCCGAAATAACCAGTCAACACTGGAACAACATTGGAGTCTTCAGGAATTTCTTTATTTACAGCTTCAGCAAGGCTTCCAGCTAAGGAGTCATAGAATTCTTGATCCAAGCTAGCCTTCGCACTGGAACCAGACGCAGCGTCCATGGCAGAGGCCTTCACTGGTGCAATAATGAATGACAAATCAATGAACTTGGCAGGTATTCCTCTATCATTCATCAAAGCAGCCACAAACAAACAACTTAATCTTTCACCGGCTGAAATAATGGTATCTAAGGTCTTGTAAGAGATTTCCTCCACAACGGTGGCAGCGTGCAATAAAGTGGCAGTTTGATCGCAAATTTCTAAAGTCTCTTTGATTAACTGGGCTTTGATTTCTGGGTCCTTGATCCTGAGGGTAGCATTATTCACATGATCTTCCTTTACTAAGTCGATGATTTCTTTATAATTACCACCTTCGAGAGCCCTGTCTGCCGATAAGATCAACCTCGAAGTGGTACCTTCAGATTTGGTATTCGATGATCTGGCTGAACAAACAACAGCAATCTTGTTAGAGCTGTTGTACAATGAAACAACATCATCTACAATTTTCTCAGGGAATTTCCCAACACTGGTACCACCAAACTTCTGGATCACCCAACCGTGATTCCCGTTCAAGGAGCTTAATGAAATGGTAGAGCTTGATTGGATCATTTTGTATTATATAAGAGTAATGTTTCTGTTGTCAGACTATCCAACCAAATCGATGCTTTCAAGCAATATTTCTCTCTGCGATAAGATAAATAATAAATACACACGCAAGCAGTAGTACATTAGTCTGTATATATATACATATATATATGACTCTACCAAATTTTGTTCATTATTATTATATATCACGTGTGCAAAAAGGGGACCTACACCCTATGTGATGAGTCATCGATGATTCTATTGGACCAATCGATGGTGGGCATTCTGCAAACATTGGCCCATGATCTCATTGGTACTGACTAGATAATATTGTTGATATTGGGATTGCTGGGCCTATATATTCATGTTTGTGAAGAACCGTGGTGAATGGTTTCCGTAAATTAAATTTTTTTGGCAGGTTCCTTTCGGCAAACCGCGGTTCTGAGCTACAATTTTGGATCTGTATACCACCGTATTGGCTATTTTATGAAATACGAAATTTATTAATAATCTATGATCAATTATAGAGAGATAAATCAACTTTCATGATTGTTGCTGTAAATTTTTGGATCTCAACTTTGCAAGGCCAATAGAGTTTTGGATAGATTGCTTTGTAACTTTACTCCCACCCCCAATGATCGTCACCGAAACCAAATTATCGTCATCTTCAGTATTGATATCAGGAATAACAACAACCCTTGATCCAATAGCATTTTCTTCAGCATCTCCTTCTATGTCACACAACAAAATTGGTTCACCTTCGTTTCTAGTGTGTTTGTCAACCGATAAAGCTTTGAAATCCTCATTGTTCTCCACATCTTCAATCTCCACGCTAAAATCCTTATCCAACTCAATAAGACCAATGGTAGTGGTGTATAAATCAGAATTGTTTAATTTCAAATCATGGCTTTTAGTAGGATCACAAATAATTTGCGATCCTGATTTCGCGTTGACGACCCCGGTTTTAACACTCTTTTTGCTGGATAAAGAACTAATATCATTAAGTAAGTTGGAATTTTTTTCATCGAAATAAACACAAGGCAATTTGGTAGATTTCAAGGCAATCATAAGAGCCAACCACGCAGCGTCTAGTATTGGACCAGACCTGCTGAAAACTTGAATTGAGGCGTATAACACAAAAGAGTATTTTCTTGGGAATTGGAACAATGAAGAATCAATATCCTTTGATTCATTAGGATAAATGATAATTTCATTATTATCTTTATCCACTGTCTTCAATCCCAAATCAATTTCCAAGGACTCTTTGGGTAATATTTTGGAGTTTAGTAATGTATCATGTAATGTTTGGGAAATGATCATTTCTTCATCTGTAGGAGCACCGGTTCTGCCTCTTTCAATCTCAATAATTGGATATACAGTTCTGAAGTTAGATAAGCTATCATCTTGTTGGTTATTTTCCTGCTTTTCGCTGTTCTCATAGATTTTTTCATATTCTTTCACGTTCTCATCGGCCTCATCATTTGGTAGAAGAGTTTCTATAAAACCTCCAGTTATGGTGCAAAAGATGATGGTGTTTCCACATTTTATATTTGAAGATCCCAAAACGGTCGACTTACTACTGATCCCTTGGTTAGAAGTGTATCGATTTATAGAGTCTAGCTGAGGATTTATTTGAACCGATTTGAATTCCTGGAATGAACGTAGACATGGTCTAACCCCTACTGACAAGTGTCTTTGCAACGAAAGTTCCGGCGCTATTCTTGCAAGCACTTCTGGAGAAAATGATACTGGTTTCAACTGGAACTCTTCACTCATATTGGTAATGTGATCAATGCAATTGTTTGCTCGATGTCCTTCCTCATCAAACTGCTTAAAAAAAAAAATTAAAAAAAAACTTTTGGGGAAAAATAAAAAAATTGCCCCGGAAATCGTGAAGCCCAGAAGGTCAGAACAGTGCAAAATTGGAATAATCTGGAGACATTGATTCCGCAAATGAATATAATACGATCTCTACATATATAATGAAAATGGACCTACCAAAAAATTGGGCAAAATGTACTAAGTACTCCAAAGAATACCTCGTTTTCGCTGTCAGAGTAGGCATTCTCCGAGCCGTGTCACCCTCTTTTGTTGCCTTCATTTTCACAGATTTTTTCCAAAGTCAAATCACCACAAGCTGTTATTGTTTGGTATCAGAAAGAGTCCGGCCCATCTTTGAAGCGCAAATAATAATAGTAATACCACCAATACAATAGCTATAAGCTAAGTATTAAACATGCTGGATGAAGTGGTAAAAGGGGTCCCTGAAAAAGATGACGGGGACTTGAATCACCCACAACCCCCACAGAAACAACAAGACCAAGGTGATGGTAACATTTACGAGGATAATTCAAATGATGAAGATGAGAAGGACTTTGTGTCCAGCAAATCAACTATAAGCAGCGAGAGTCTCTATAGCGTCAACAAGAATGAATTGGACATCCCCACGCTTAGTGATCAGCGCCAGCAGTTCTTCGAGGCACAAAGAGAAGTGGGTGTCAACGGGATTGTCTTTATGCTCCCTAATGAATGGTTGACGTCTTTTTTGAAAGATGCCTCTTTAGAATCATTACCAACTACAGAATTGATCCAGCAGCTTGGCCAGATCGATACATCGTTAATCTTGGCAGACGCTAAAAATCCAAATTTACTCAAACACAACTTCAACTATGATCACAGTAATCAATGCTACACTCCAGTGTCCAAGAATTCATGGATTCTATTAGTACGCTGGTATGGTTTAAAGCCGGGTTGTGTACCAGTCACAAGAATGGTTCTTACTAATAAAGAAACTGGTGAGCCAATGATTGAATATTATATCCCAAGTTTCAACTTGAGAAAGTTGACCGTGGGCCCGCTTTCAAAACTTAATTCCTATTCCAAAAATTACAGAATCCTTCATGAAAATCAAAATATTTATTTTTCTGGCTCGAAAACAGTTAGTGAACTTTACATTTATATTTTGGAGTTCATCAAAGAAAATATTGAAATTGATAATGCAAACGTCCAACTACGACTTTGGTTTTTACAGGATGAAAACATTGAGAGTGCCCCCCTTTTTTTAAATCTCACATATTTCAAAAAAATTGCAAGCAAAACACTATTAACCCCGAACTCATTTGATAGCCGCTTAGATGATTTGAATATCGCTGGTGGGAACATGTTGATCGAACTCAATGATTATGCAGGAAACTTCCCGACGGAAACTCTCATTAGAAAGTTGGAATTCCTAGAAAACGATAATGGACCTCATCAAGAAAGCGAAGATAATGATAGTGACTCGCCGGACTCAAGGAACAAGAGTATCTCGTTAGTCAAGGATCCCGCCGATGGCAGAAAAGGTCTCAATAACCTTGGTAATACTTGTTACATGAATTCTGCTATCCAGTGTTTAGTTCACGTTCCTGAATTGGCAAATTACTTTTTTCACAATATTCATGAGCGTGAATTGAACACCAGCAATCCGCTTGGTAGTGGTGGGAAAATCGCCAATAGTTTTGGTAACTTGATTCATCAATTGTATGACTACAAGACAAAGAACAGTAATAATTTAAGGTCAGCAGTTGCTCCCAGAGAATTTAAGGCTATTGTGGGACATTTCAACAATATGTTTGCTGGATATCAACAACAAGACTCTCAAGAATTCATCGCGTTCTTGTTGGATGGGCTACATGAGGATCTAAACCGAATTTTAAATAAACCATACACCGAGAAACCAGAGATCTCACCAGATTTGATTCATGATAAGCATGAAGTCAGAAAATTAGCAGAGAATTGTTGGAAAAATCACAAATTGAGAAATGATTCTGTCATTTTGGATTTATTCGTTGGTTTATATCAATCAACTTTGAAGTGTCCTGAATGTAACCACATTTCATTAACCTTTGACCCTTATAATGATTTGACTTTGCCAATTCCAATCACTACCAAGTGGTACCATAATATTTATATTCTTCCAGATAATGAAAACTCAAAACTTTTGTCTCTTGAAGTTGAATTGAATAAAACAGCAACATACGATGATTTGAAGGCATTCGTTGCTAAAAAATTGAAAATGAATTTTCAGGACTTGTTTGGCTTTGAAATTTTTCAAAATCAATTCTATCAAAACTTGGAAGATGATGACAACAACTCAAAGTTTTTACCAATTGGTGACTTAATTTCTGAGCAAGATGTCATTGTATTATATGAACTTAAAGATATAACCAAGTCTGATACAATTGTTTCTGTCATAAATTCTGTCAAGCAGGAGGGTTTCACAGGGTCAAAGTCATTTGGAATTCCTTTCTTAATAAAGCTTACCCAGAATGAGGCTAAATCCTTTGGGTCAATCAGAGAAAAAATTGAAGCAAAGTATAGCAGTTTATCAACGTACGAATATTTTAGACTCATTCGCAAAAATAATAATGATGAACAAACATCAAAGAAAAGAAAATATTTCAAAACTGAGGATTTCCCTCAAATTGACAAGCTCCTTGCCAAGAATGGAGTCAACCTCAAGGACAGGGAGAATTTCAAGCAAAAGAAGTTCAAAAAACCAAATCCAAGCAAAACTTTTGGATCAAGCTCTAAGATTATGGAATTCAAAACATCTATAACAGAGACTGAACCGACTTCATTATTGGTTGTTGATACCATAGACCATATAGGATCAGAGGCCTCGGATGCTAACTCTGAATTGATAGATAAATCTCAAAAATCTACCGACTCTCAAATTTCGGAGGATGATGATTCAGATTATGATTCAGACATTTCAATTGCTAATCCGGAGTTTTCGAGCAATTATGCGTTTGAAATCAAATTATACAATAACAAAAGCTCTGGATATTCGCGGAAGTACCGCTATGGAAAGTTTGATAATCAAAGATTTGAGGCTAACAATGATGATAATGATACAATCAAAATCAAAGTTCCATATACTAGTGGCCAACTCAATAATTCGACTAATTTGATTGATAAATTACCAATGGCCAAGAGATTATTTTATTCGTATTGCGTGGATGATTATAATGGATTGTCATCAGATGATACTAATATCAAGGATTCTAGTGAAGAGAAAATTCCAGAACTATCTGAAACAAGCTCATCAATTGATGTGCCTATTGCCGTTGTTGATCAAAACTCACAAGAAGAGACTGATGGTATGGAAGTTGAGCCAGCTGGTGAGAATGCCGCCCCAGAAATGAGCTCTACTTATGATAATGCTGCTGAGCTTTCTGAATCTGACAGTAATAACCTAAAGTATGGTCCAATTAATTTAAATAATGATGATGATGATGATGATGATAATGATGATGGTAGCAGTGATGGTCAAATGGGAACTCTCCTTTCGGATAAAGGAAACTCACTGGACAGTGATATGAATTTCGACCTGGTTAATCAGAAACAAAAGAATTGTCCAGCAGACAATCATCTGGTTTTGGTTTCTCCTAATGACTGTCTTATTTGTGAATGGGACCCAAACTTGTTTCAGGTATTTTTCTCAGGGGATGAAGAAGAAGGCGAAGGGGGTAAAAGTACTTGGGATAATCCAGTAGTAGTTCCAAATCCAGAACTTGAAGAGAGCAGAAGAAAATTACAGGAACTCAAGAGCAAAAACTTGAACTTGAAAGATTGTTTGGAGACATTTGCTAAACCAGAAATCTTGGGGCAAAATGATCTTTGGTATTGTCCTAGCTGTAAAGAGCATCGTCAGGCAGAAAAGAAGATTGAACTTTGGTCGACCCCGGATATTTTGACAATTCATTTGAAACGATTTGAAAATCAACGAAGATTTAGTGATAAAATTGATTGCACTATCGACTTTCCGATTGAAAATCTTAATATGTTTGAGTTCGTTTCTGATAAGCGTGAGGATAAATGCTATATCTACGATTTATTTGCGGTTGATAATCATTTTGGTGGATTAGGCGGAGGTCATTACACTGCTTACGCCAAGAATTTCGTTGACAATAAATGGTATTATTACGATGACTCGTCGGTTTCTCCGGCTGATCCTCAAAAATCAATTTCTGGCGCAGCTTATTTGTTGTTCTATAGAAGACGGTCTCTTGATGTTTTAGGGGGCAAACTTTTCAAACGCCTTCTAGAAGAAGCCCGGAGACAGGAGGAAATCAATTTGGAGAAACAACGACAAGAAGAAATCAAGAATATCCAAGAAATTGTCAAGCAAGTGAAATATTTTGATGATTATTACAAGCAGGAAGATCAAAATGATGATAATGATGATGACGATGATGAAAAAATTAAAGATCCTGAATCGGAATCCCCGGTAACTCAGTATACTCCAGGATCAGACAATATTGTTTCTGATGACGAAATTGATTTTGCGCCGGTAAATTCTCCTCCACCAGCTAACGATGATTAGCCAAAGGGGGCCGCCATTTATTACTAATATTTGGAGTAAATTCTTAGGTAGTATGATATCATTATCTTTTTGTTTATTTATTTGTTGAAGTTTTTTCTTTTTTTTTTCTTAATTCGATAGTTTATGCACATTTACCTTGTATTGAGTTAAAGCGTGATCTTTATGAAAAACAATTTGATAATCTTCTTTTAGTTTTGGTTACTTTTTAATAATTGATGTATCAGTAGGATCGTTTCTTAAAAAAAAAAAAAGTTCGCTGACCAAGTTTGTAAATCTCGTTCGATGATTACACTATTAATCTCTAATTTATTTAATTCATGAAAATAAATAGTTATAGATTTCTTTTTAAGAAAAAAAAAATGTTGGGGGAGACAGAAATAGAAAAAATGAATTGATAAATAATATACCGAGAGATAGATAACATTGATGGGGAAATGAAAAAAAAAAAAAGAACCAAATTTCAATCACACAATTTTCAAATTGGCCTTTTGAGTTTTTCTAGCAATTGAGGCAATTCGGTCACCCAAACTCAAGGCCAATCCTTGACCCTTGGATCTAATTCTCACGTGTCCCAAAATTGGACCATCTTGTAATTTTTCAATACACAAGTTTGCCAACGCGTCTTCGCCAAAGCTAGATTTCGAATAAAGATTGGCACTCAAGAATTGACAATTAGCATCACCAATCACCGCTCCAGGGGTAAGGCACATCATGTTAGTGTTCTTCAATAACAATGATAAGTAGTCGGATAATGATCCAATGGTGGAAGACTTGATGACAATCTTGTTTTCCCATTCAAATTCGTTCCACATCTTACGGAATTGAGATTCTTCACAGGTTGCCGGCTTGATGTAATCCATAATATCAATATGAACGTCATTGAGAATGACGATGGTTTGATCGGTGGCATGAGCCCCATCGTAAAGAATGTTACCAAAGATCACCCCGGTGTCCGCACTGGTAACCTTGATGGTGGTACTAACCTTATGGAACCCATGAGGTGTAATATTGGCAGAAACTGGCTTATCAACCACTTTTAAGTCACCCAAAGTGGCAAACTCGACCGATAAGTTACGGAGAGTGTTAGCAGTTTGGTTGACCACGAGGACATCCAATACAACATCGAATTGGTGGACCTTAATGTAACCTTCGGCGTACACTGGATCACTGAACCCAGTGAGTGGGATGATTTTATTAAGACGAGATGCCAATTTTTCCTTCTTAGACGATGAAAGGGTTGAAGAGGTGGCGTTTTTGTTGATATTTTCTAATTCATCATCATCGTTAAAACCGCCGGTATTAAGAACGGCATTAGATTTAGGGAAAAGACGGAAATTAATGACTTCATCAAGACCAGTAGCATTAGTAGAGTCAGAACTGCTAGAAAGGGAAGTCGTGACACTAACGGCTTTAGAAGCTTCTTTTATTTGTTCTTCAAACGCTTTCTTGGTGTCGGTCAAAAATCCTTCCTTAACAATCTTCTTAGAGTCTTCGGCATCTTCGTAATCTTCCATCAAAAAGCGAACATATGATAAGATTCTTTCAGCAGAGTCCTCGTCGATAGTTTCTTTAACGTACTCAGAAGCTTCACCAACTCTCAAAATACTAACCATGATCAAAGTGGCTTCGGCTTTCAAGACATTGAGAATTTTATGGGATTTAGAAATATCTTGGAAACGTAATATCAATTTAAGCAATGCAGAAGAAAGAATTGAAGCAAGGTAGAAGTCACCTCCAAGAATCAATTTACGAATTGGCGGTTGATGGCTATCTTCTTCATCATCACTATCAACTTTTTGTTCCTTGGTGGTCAAGGCATTCTCAGTAGCGTAAGTCCCATCAGGTAAGATCACTGGACCAGAATGCTTCTTTTTCTCTTTAGAGTCTTCACCTTCTTGCTCTTCTTCGTTAGTTTCTTGTTCTTCTTCAGCATTACCGAAACGCTTCTTCTTTTCGCTGGCCAAAATTGGCAATTCTCCAACATTACTTCTGATAAATTTCCAAGAATCTTGAATATTCTTTTCGGTTAATGCATATTCACCAATGATCCAAAGAGCGCCTCTGAGAACTTTACCGCTCTTGATATTATTATTGAGAGCATCGATTAATTTCACTAAGATTGATTCCCTCTTTGTTGGGAATTTCTCGATGATTTGCTTGACAAAAGCAATGATATCATAAGCCGACTGAGAGTTCAATTGAGAGAGTGATTCCAATAGTAAATCGACAATCTCAATGGAGTTATCAATGAAATTTATAGAGATTTTGTTGATGGTTTGAATCAATAATTGTTTATAATCGTTTGATTTGTCGTTAGTGGCCTCTTCGTCGGTTGAAAGAACCTTCATCAATTCCTTCTTGAAAAACTTGATGACATTGTCAACATTTTTGGAGTCGATGAATTCAAGCACAAGGTTTAAAGTTTGCTTCTTAACGTCCAAGTCAGTACAGGTCAAAATTCTCAAAAGATCCAAAACAGAATCTTGGAAAATTCCTGGGTTTTTCTTGGACAATTCAATAATACGTGATAAACAAATCAATTTCACATTATTGTCAGATTCTTTAATAGCCAAATCGATGAATTTCTTTCCGGCTTGCAAAATAACTTCATCGTTATTGGCCAAAAGAGTTAAGGTCAAAGCAGATTCGTAGACGACGGACGAAGATTTTGAGCTTAATAATTCAACAATAAGATTAAGGTACTGCTGTTTGAGAGCCCCATTAGCAAATTTCAAATCCTTTCTAATGAATTCGATGAAAGATAATTGTAACAAAGAATCCAAATTTGTCAAGTTTTCTAAATTTTCTTGGATCAACAGTAACGCAGCATCTCTGTTCAACAGACCCAAGACGGTGAAACAATTTCTGATACATATTGGGTCGGTTTCGATGGCCAACAAATTGGTTAACATTTCTGGGGCATCAGGGATCAAATCTGGGTTCAAACGGTAAATAGAATCGATAGCGAATATACAGTTCTTTCTCACGTATGAATGTCTGTGTTCAAGACAGGCAATAACCGTTGGGATCAAGGGTTCCAACAATTCCAGCTCTTTCAATTTAGTCAAAAATTTCAAAGTATTACCACGAATGTATTCATTAGGATGTTGCAAGTCATTTCTGATGGCATTACAAACCAAAATCATTTCATGTTTCAATTTCCCTTCAGCATCCAATTTTGGAACGATTTCCCAGTAAACATAAAGTAATTTCTTGAGGGTTTTATTTCTAGATGGCATAATGTAACGGATAACATGCATCAATAAGTCAGGCATTGGATTGCCATTCAACATGGTAAGAAGAATACGTTTCATCGTTACGATCTTGACATCATCCTTTGGTTTCTCCAAGAGAGTCTTGAACTCTTGGATAGACGATTTGTTGGGATCTGTGTCATAGATCAAAGTGTAGGCGGCATCGGCAGACATCTTCAATTATTAGTACTTGATAAGAGAATTGGCGACGATACCACTAGCTGTAATGTTCTTGTAATGAAAGAAGGGAAGATTTCAACTTTGTCTTCTAGACTAGTAACTTCTTGTGAATCAAAACCAATTTAAAAAGAACGCTGTCAACAATAAGTTCTTCAACTTTTTCATTGTTTTGGGGATATTCTACCTCGTGTTCAATTTGAAAAGAAGAAAAAAAAAAATTGAGAGGAGTTAATCATGTGACCTGCTTATATAATAATATGCTACGGGAACTACGCTGTATTTCATAATGTCTATTACAGTTTGTTCTATTTGTTATTTGTTATTCTCAATGAAAGCAATGGATTAAAGAAAAACGGAAAATTCTTCGGCTGTTCTATTATTAATCTATGATATAATATTAGTATGGTTTGGGTGGTGGGCCTAAAAATATCTCTGACAATTGGTGCAGGGATAATAACAGGAAAGGTTGTTTCTTTTTATCGCAACTGTTTTGAAACATCAGGCATTTCCGCCTAAACAATAATACCATAGTATCGTTCTATCCTATAGGATCCTCGATTCCTGCTATTCAATAGTGTATCACAACATTTATTTCATTTTAATTAGGCTCACACTTCTGTACCTTGTTTGTAGGTCAGGCTGCAATGACTGCCATATGTCTGACCAAAAAAAAACAAAAAAAAGAAGCTCTAGAGTTGTGAGAAGTTCTAATTATAAATAGAAATATAAGATTGTAAAAAGTAAAAGAAGAGAGAGATAGCAGCGAATATTTACACTAAAAAGAGTCTTTATGGGGCATTCAACTCCAATATGATAGAAACAATGCAAAAAGCATATAATTAATTACATTCAAAGCCATTGGGTATCACTATATTAAGTAGAAAAATTCGGAGAAAAATAAGAAAGAAAGACTCATACAACAAATTTAATAAAAACCAATACCCAGCAAAGCAGCATCGAGAAAATAAAGAAACACAAAGGGATTAGATTAAGAGAATAGCCACAAATTAAACTCTGTAATTATTAGATATTAAGCAAAAAAAAAAACCATTATAAATACACCTTTAACCAGAAATTATATCAAAATTAAAACCAAACAATATTACCGCCATGTTTCTGATGTGAGATCCAGTATTGGATTGACAGTCAGACAGGAACCTTCATAATCCCAAGTACCTTAGAACAACAAAGCAGCGGCACCAGCGGCAATAACGGCACCATATACGACATTGGATGGAGGGTTAATGATGGCAGCAGCACCAGTTGAAGTTTCGTTAGAAGTGTTACCAGCGGTGATATTGGCAGCCATAGAGGAAGCAAGTAAAGTGGAGATGGCAAGGAAGAACTTCATGGTAGATTATAGTGATTGTGGTAGGTAGATAAGACAGAATAAATATCCTTGTTCGTTATTTCGCTTGTGTTTTTTAACAAAATCTTCTCCCCAAAAAAAATATTAGGGAGACCCATCAGGGGCTTATATAGCATTTTTTGTCCTGCATGCGCCGGAGGGGGCTATCGAATTGGCACAGGCGCCGAATGGCAGGCTCTTGGTCTAGACTCGCGGTCGCCGGTACACACAAAAAAGTTGCGTTATTGTTTGTTATTGTTGGTTGGATTAAATTAGAAAATGCTACACTGGACCCTTTTTCTTTTTCTTAAAAAAAGAATTTCCCCTTTTCATGTTGTGGGTTTCCAATTGTGTGACAGAAGTAGACCCCTTCCTGGTTTTTTTCTTCTGTAAACACCGGTAATTATAATTGATTAATAGTTATGGTGGTGGTTCGGTTCTGAGAAGGCATCAGATATTGTCAGGATTTATATTATAGTAGCTGGCTCGTGTCACACGTACTCATTCCTCCTCCTTCAATAATATATTAATAGTGCACTGATAGCACGGCAAAAGCTGTCATCCCAACTAAAGTCCGATTTGCTGTCACAAATTGGGCATCATCCGGGGAAAAGAAGCGCGGGAATGATGATCAACATCCTTTTAGGTTATTACTCTAACATCACTATTATGTTATATACAACATATCATTAACAAATGATGGACGCAATATCATATATTGCTTCTCTTTTTAAACAAAATACTGTTCAAGCTCACCCTTTATGTCTTGTGCCATGAAGGAACAGTTATCAGACAGACGGATGGTGCTGTATTGGCGAAAGCTGATGCATTATAAGGTTAAATATTGATATTAAAACTTCAAATTATCAAGAATACTGAATTGAACGTCCATAGGATATAAAGTAGATGGCTATTACCAAATAGCCTATCTGATGCGGAGTTCCTAGTTTGAGGAATCTATCCCGTGATACTGTAGTTTACGAGAATAGTAAAAGTAGGTAGTAATTAGGCCACATAGAAACTAAGAAGACATCTATTGGTTAACCCTAGATAGTTAATTGTCCTGCAATGAGTAGTTCAATAAAAATGCTCAACTGTCACGCCATGCTAGTAATAACAGCATAATAGTCGTCGCCTAAGAAGAAACAAGAATAGGATATCTCGGAAAGAAAAGAAAAGAAAAGAATAGAAGTTATTGGAAGGAAAGGAAAAAAAAGAAAAAGAAAAAGAAAAAAGAAAAGAACAGAGAAAATCACCGATTAAGAAGCATTAAAGGGAGGCTTTTTTTGGATAGTGGTAGTCACTCTTAGAGAATAGAGAGCCTGTACATAGAATAATTACCGTTTTCAATAAGTTTGTATACAGTTTGTATACACAAGGAAAATTCTGGCGACTCTGCGTGGAACGAATTAACAGAAAATTGAATCGTGAGAAGAGCAGTGAAAATTCATTATTTTTAATCAAGAAAACAAAACTCTGATATTCCTGTCTGAGACATCCTCTACTTTCCCTCATATATTATATTATGTTATGTTATGATCAGGGTGACCTCTATGTTGTTCACGTGTAGATGCACGTGATAAAAGATATCAAAATATTTCTGAAGGAGTAAAAATTCCACCAACAATTTCAACTGTTTTAATTATTATCTACGAGCTTTGAGGAAAGTCTGGTATCAGTCCAAGTTACCTTTTCTGTTTGTTTTATTGTTTTTTTTCTGTTGCTTTGGTATTACTGGGACGGCTGTACTTCTCATCGCTGACAATTCCCGATATCTTTTGCGCCATATTGTCCGAGAAGCATCATTACATATGACCTCCTGAACCCTCCTCCTCATTGCATGATTGACATTCTCTATAATCTTCAACTGCTCTAAAGGTTCTCATTATTAACATCCATAATATTTGGTGTTTCATCCCTTACATTGACTCTTTACATGTTCTAGTTCCCTCTCATACATCTATCCAATCATTAATTCTGCTAGTAGTATTATCATAAACCACGGTCTCCACTTCCTGTGCTTCTTTTTAACTCCATAATATAAATACAGAAGAATTTTTGCATCCGAGATAGCCCTATTTTCTGTTACTCTGTCTGAATTACAAATTCTGAATCACTTGAAAAGTCCATTCTGCATTTTTTCTTTTTCTTTTTTCAATTTCCTTCATCGTCATATTATATTATAGTAATCAACCCATTTATCATAGAAAACAAAACATGGGCTCAAATGGTCACAGACAATCGGTGGCACCATCGTTTAACCCACCTCCCCTTCCACATCAACATAGAGTTCCCTCACATCAATTGTCAATAACAAACTTGAAACGTTCGTTGTCAAAATCTTCTTCCATTTCCTCTTTAAAATCAATATTAAGGCTTCATGGAAATAAAAATGGCGAAGAAGATACGGTTGAAGAATCCAAAACAACCAAGAGGAAGAAAATCCAATTATTCAATGAACATTCCTTCAAAAGAAAGAAGTTGTTGAGACTTTTTTCAAGCGAGAGATTTCATCGTGAATCTTCAACTCCTGAACAACAAAAATCTCAAAAACAAGAAGTCAATGATAGTTCGACTACTACTCAACATATTTCCAATAATCAATCTCTACTGTCATCAGAACTCACCCCAAAATCAAAGCCCTCGCAGATTCCGGTTCCGATCAACCCATCATCATCAATAACCCAATCACAAAGGCTTCGAAAACAGCAAAGAAATCCCCATTCAAGAAAATCTAGAAAAAAATACACATTATCCACAGCACAACCATCAAATATAGAAACCGAGAAATTGAATATCAAAAACTTGGATGCTCTAGATAAAAAGGTTTTCTCGTTTAGCACTGAACAGCATCAGAAAGAAGTGTCGAGTAGAAGTTCCTCTGGGAATTACAAGTTTGATATGATTAGTGAAGAGCCGGGTCCTAAAACTCTCATCACTAACGCGAAAACCACATTGAGTTTTGCTTCGAAAAAACATCTAAGACAGCATCAACAACAATTACAAAAAATACCAGAAAGAACAAACCCGCATATTGTAACATCAGCCGCGCATTACAACTTGGCCAAGTTCATTAATTCTGATCCCCAAACCCCTTCTCGTGGCAATGATAATACTAATAATAAAGATGATGATATCATCATTAGCTCTGATGATGAAGAGGCGATACTAGCCAATAGCACTTCGACATCACCAAACACCATCACTGATATTTCAATAAATGAGAATACAATGGCTTCTTCCACGACAGCAATGTCATCTCCGCTGACACATATTATTACTACATATTATGATGATGAAGATGAAGAAGAAGCTGATAATCAACTGACTCTGGCAGTTAGTAATGGTAAGAAAGAAAATTTTCAAAATGATGATGCTAATTCATCATCGGGATTTTTGAACTACTTCAACGACAATATTGAGAGATTTCATGAAGTTCTTAACAATGGTGGCTCCGAGAATTCTAAGAAGAAAAAGGACATTATTGAGAGTTTTTGTCTTTCGCAAAAAGTACATAATATAGCTGATGTGGAGGAGCCACGAAATCATCAATTGAAAAACCAACAGTCGGCACTGAATAATCGACAAAATGGCAAAGATATAACAGTTAATCAGTTGGCGCACCATTTATCAATGACTAATCTTGGTGACAACAACTTTTCTGATGCGGTTCAACGCAAAAAACTGACACAACTTATGAATTCAGGGAAAGGAAATCCGAGAGTTAGTGTGCTTGATATTCCAGAGATTGTAGAAAACATTCTTTTTTTCGTTGAGGCATCAATTATTATGCCACTTCAGGACTCCCTGGCTCACCGCAAACCTTTATCAATTGACCATGCGAAATCAATCTATAAGAACGACCCGATGGCCAGGGAAGCTTGGAAAGAGCTAAAATCCACTAGAAATCCTAAAAGATTGAATGAAATTGTTTTGGCCAGTTATTTGAAACATGATGCAAATGGGAAGCATTGTCGGCTGGCAGCTAACAATCTTTATTCTAGTACCACTCCACAAAGTGTGAACAATTTCCGGAATATCAAAATCATCAATGGGACAATTTACAATTGCTTGTTTGTCAATAAGTTATGGTATTCCATTGCTCGAAAGCTTATATTTAAAAGGATTTTTTTTTCCAATGATCAGAAGTTCCAGAAATTGATCACTGGCTTGAGAACAAATGTGCCTGCGAGCATGGAAAATGGATTGCTTAGACCCAATGAGGAGTTTGAAACTTTGAGAGATCAGCTTAAATCGTCATTTTCCAACGTGTTATTGCTTCATAAAATGAAACATGTGACCCAAGACCAAATCAACTTATTGGCAAGTTACATTGTTAATAATGGCGGGAATAAGCTACAATGGATTGAATTTTACATTTGTCCTAATATTGTTCCTCCGTTATCATTATTTACTTCTCATCATGATCCAGCCCAAAGATCACGACTCAAGAAGTTAGTGCTTGCCGGGTGTAACTCGAAGAAAATCAACAATTTTTTCCTCAAGATTGTGGCCACCAATTGTGAAAATTTGGTGAAGATCGACTTGAGATCGTGTGAACATTTTACCGATGATGGATTGATGGAGTTTTCTAATTACTGCCAAAAGTTAGAGTATTTGAACGTTGGAAGATTCAAGAACTGTGAACAAATCACCGATATTCTGATTTCTTCCATAATCCGGCACTGTGATAAATTAACCACTTTAGGGTGTGCCGGGTGTTTTATCACCGATTCGTCAATGTTCACTTTAGCTTCCAGTAGGTCAGGTCAATCGATTGAGAAATTATCCTTGAATAACTGCCTTAAATTGACCGATGCGTCAATCCCTACTTTGCTTGACGAAGGACAATTCCCAAGATTAGCGGTATTGGAAGTTCGAAACGTTGTGAATTTTACCAGTTTTGTCCCGATAGTTACTAGGTATCAACAACGGTTGGCGCAAGGAAAGGGTTTTCTTGTGGAGAATTGTGAAGTATTAGAGAAGAAAATGCTCGAGTGCGAATTCAGTTTGAACCTTGCCAAGTCACGTCAGATCTTAAAAGATATTGAAGAGTGGTGTAACACGGCGGAAGATGATGGAGATGTGACATTTCAAGAGTTTGTGAAGATAAAAAGGCGTGAATTGGAAATCATGGATGATGAAATGATGGACATTGATTGAGACTGAAATCAATAGTGAAAAAAACTGAAGAACTCGTCAGCGTTTGATACGCTGGAAACACTTTAGATGATCATGTCCATTATTTCCATTTTTGATTAGGTTTCTTGCATTGTCTCATTTGGTTATACAATGGTGGTCAGAAAGAGAAACAAAAATGATAACTGTACTAGATGATAATTAATCTAGTGACTGTATATTAAATGTTGATATGATAATAAATTGTGCACACACGCCCAATACCCATATAGTATAATATAATCTAACCATTAATATCTTGCTACTTATTGAAAGTTGTGTTGTTCATCTAGAATTGAAAATGTACATTCATTCTTTTACGAAAAGTCAAATGTAAGCACGCACAATATCCTCATTTTATACTTCCCCGAGTAATAGGGTTATTTATTAAATTGGTTTGTATTTATTTATTTTCTATATCAATTATGATACTTTCACTCATGGTTCACTGTTTATTGGCATATTTATTATCTTGAAAAAGAAAAAATAAAGATAATCATCGGATTCAGTAACACCACCTGGAGATGGCGGCTGATAGAAGCAGAGATTTTGATGATGTTTTTTTTTTTTTTTTTACAATATTGATCCTTATATATTCAATGAATTTTGGAAGCTCAAAACGCACTGGTCTACCCGATATAAGTATGGTTTGCACCGATTAGTCACTGTAGTTTCGCAAAACTTCCGCGATTCGATCGTTATCTCGGAGTTTTTTTTCGACGATCGTAAATCGCCGACACTGATTAGATAAACGATTTATCTCCTCTATTTATACTCCCTACATTATAAATATCTGGAAATTCCCCCCCTCTTCAGTCTCTCACAACTATCTTTCTCTATCAATAACAATATAATATTATCTTAGAGATTATTAACACATTCCACTCACTTAAAATCAAACAACAATAATGGCCGTCGCAATCACCACCGAACAACTCGGCAGACCATCGGGTCTCATTTCCCCAGCTTACAAGTCCAATGGATTGGTATTCGCTTCTGGCCATGTGGGTATGGATTATTCCACCAACAGTCTCAAGGAAACCGTCGAGGAACAAACCGTCCAGGCCATTGAAAACTTGAAGAAAACCGTGGAAGCCGCGGGATCATCATTATCCAAGGTCATCAAGATCTCCCTCTTCATTAGTGACGGAGCAGACAGTGCCAAAGTCAATGCCATTTACAAACAATACTTCCCTAACAAACCAGCCAGATATTGCGTGGTGGTCCAATTCCCAAATAAAAAAATCAAGGTCGAAATGGATTGCGTCGCCGAATACAGTCAAAGTCACTTGTGATGTCAGTAACCGTTATGGAAAATAGATATTGATATGTACTTCAATATAGAAAATAATAATAATAATGTTGATTTGATAATTGTAATTATTGAAATCGATGGCTGTGGGATATGTCTCCTTCATTTCAAGTTATATTTCGTGCTTGCTCCAAATCAAAATCAACCGAGGTTCCTCCTACAACATCTATACCACCAAGATAATTACGCATTAATAAAATATTAATAACTAAAGATTGATGATTTTCAAACGTACTATACAAAAAAAAAAAAGATAAATCCCACCCAAACAAAAAAAAAATAAAATAAAAAAGAACAATATGTGTAATAAAATAAAACAGTAATTCCATCTTCTCCAGCAAGTAGGAAGTCTTTAATAAAAGTGATTGTCTTCCCCCCTTCTTTTGATATTATACATCTCTCCGATATACCATAATCATATATATACTTTTAGTTTAACCGAACTCGCTAAACAATCCTTCACTAGCCACAATTTTTTCCAATCCATCATCTCTTAACTGGCTTAGAAGTTTACCATTTCTTTCAAATCTTCCCAAATTTTCAACCGCCCATTCCTTCGTGATCCTTGCCAAGAACGCCTCGTCCATTTTCTTGTTGATTTCATCTAATTCATCAAGATCTTTTTTAAATTTATCAATGAATGCCTTCTCTTTATATTTCGGCTTAGGGACATCGATTCCTTTAACACCAGTGGTCACATCTATATCAGAAATTTTCAACAACTTTGCCCAGATCCTGGAGCTATCTAAATTCATTTTATCCTTTGATGTCTTCACTGTGACATTTGATAATGTCGTCCCAGATGAGCCTGTCGATCCAGGCGGTCCACTAGTATTTAATGATGATCCAAGCTTCTCTGGCAATGACAAACTGCCAGCATCATAGTTCTTTATAGGGGCTGGAGATTTTGAAAGTCTGCTTGGTAAACTATCGCCGAAATTATTGCTCATATTAGGATCATTATTGACACTTTTGTAATTGTTGTTTGGATTATAGTATTGATTAGAATTAGCATCATACCCTCTGTACGGTTTGCTAATTCCTTGACCACTACTACTGCCCCTGTAGCTTCCGCCATTGCTATATCCACCACGGTATCCCTTGTTGCTATTGTATTTATAATAACTCCCATCATTTGAATCATAAGAACTACCTCTACCACCATTATAAGAACTATACCCCCGGCCACGCGAATTACTTCCTCTGTATGATCCTCGGCCTTTCCCATAAGAGCCACGATAGTAAGGTTGGTAACCACCGTAACCGTCACTCATTCTGCGTTTTTTTTTATTATTATTTGATTGTTATCCAGTTATATAATACAGAGGGAAAGAATTTATATGGTACGATGCAGAGGATGACTTTATGAATTTTTCATTTGTAATTTTTCTTTATTGTATGCATTGCTTGGTGCACGGGTGGGTGTAATGATGATATATTTAGCTACAGACACATTTTCATCATGAGAAATCAATCAATCTCATCATCGTTCTCACTGATTGAACCTTCACTGTTTGATTCCAGTGATGTTCCGTGATTTCTTGGTTCTTTCCGATTTCTCTGGGGGAAATCGAGTGAAAACTGCCATTCAAACAATTTCTCAAAACTTTTCGATGAAGAAGAGTTTGATAACACCTGGAAATAGGAGGAAATAGGAGGAATGTACCTGGGAGCACTCCTTGCAAACTTATTTTCAGAAGTACATGAGCTATTCCTACTGGGGAAAATTGGTGGACAAAGTTGGTGCTCGTCTGTGCTATGTGAGGGATTGTAAGTGTAAGAATAGTTTGATGGATTTATGGGTGGTGATTCCCTATTATTATAATCATCACTTTCGTAGTTACTCTCCGATGGGTTATTATTATTTTCTACGTTTTCATAGTCTTTTTCTCGCTTCCTGGTTTCAATGGTTGTCGAAATGATATCTTCACTCAACCCGGTATCAGGAAGGCTCGAAAGGGGACTGACCCAAGAAAGCGCCGCCAACAGTTGTTTTCTACTTTTCTCGGAACTTGAACATCCTGTTGTATCGGTGGTGGTGATCCTCAAAATTTTTTGATTATTAGTCGTTTCCGGCAAGGAAGCCAGTGATGGCAATGGTGGCGCCGCCTCAATGCCAATACTGGATGTTTTAGGAAAGCAGCCAATGTTTGTTTGGTAAACAGGAGAAGTTTTTCTATTCCCTGGTTCCTCCTGGAATGCATTATCATTCTCGGTTATTGTGTTGCTGTGTAAACGCTTCTCATGGTTTGAGGTATCAGATCCTTTGGATTTTTCAGACATATCATTATCACGGTCATAAGACATCTTAGTCAATGTAATGATGGTTTTGGGAAATCATTTTTGTGAAAAAAAAAAAAAAATGTGCCTTTTCTATTGTTTGTTTAGTGGTATTCCACGTTCATATGCAATGTTGAGAAAGTGACACAAAATTAATTACCGGATAACATGGCGTGGTCGCAAGTTATGATCATGGCCATAAAAAGCAATACAAATAATAAATACCGATATCTGATGGATCCAATACAGTTTATGTGTGGTGGAGTTAATCAACATGTAAAATAATTCATTTTATTAACAAAAATCAAAAAAATCGTCACGTCATTGTGAAAGTAAGTTTTCTAGTGTAAAACTTAAACTAGAAAATTGTTAATAATTCGTCCAAAGATAAAATAAAAACAAAAAAAGGAGGAATCATCATGAATGGGATCTTCCAACCAACTTGTCAGCAACTTCACGAACACCTTTCCAGTGAACAGATTTTGGCATTCTTTTTTTCACTTCAGTCTCATAATCATATAATTGACAGATCGGTCTGTACACAATTTGATTACTCTTAACACCAACAACAACAGCTGTTGCCTTAATCAGCTCAGAATCATTTTCAGACTGCTTGGCAATATAACTGCAGTAATCTTCATCGTATTTGATGTCCTTCAAGAGATCAGTGTGTTGCTCAATAAATTCCACTGCACGACAAGCCAATCTAGCACCTCTCGTGCGATCAATTGGTGAAGGAATACCACCTTGTTGAACGTGCCCTGGAATTGCGGTACGAGCTTCAAATCTCCCATTACTTTCTTCATTAACTATATCGGCAATCACTTTAGCTGATAAGACATTACTAGCATTCTGGGATTTAAGGAACAAGCGTCCAGCTTTCATTTTCCCTTCATCATTCTTGAAAGAGGTTTTCAATTCTTCAATGTCGGCTTCAAGTTGCTCCAACGAGATACCTTCCTCAGGAACGTAAGATAAACTTGCACCTGAGATCAACTGTCCATATGTGGCAATATAACCAGAGTTACCACCTTGAACTTCTACCACAAACACACGGTTACGGGTAGCTGATGCAGATTGTTTGACAATATCACAATATTCCATCAATGAATTGAGACAAGTATCAGCACCAAGGGAGTACTCAGTACCTGGAACATTATTAGAAATAGTAGCAGGAATGAGCACTAATGGGATACGGAAAGCAGGATATGAGTTACGAGCTTGTTCTAATTCCTTCAATGAGACAAATGCTTCAAACCCACCAACAAGAATCAACCCATCAATTCCGTGCTGTTCTAATTTGAAAGCAATCATTCCTAAATCAGTTTCACTAGGAGTGGCACGATTAGTTCCGATTTCTGAACCACCAAGAGAGTTCCAATCGGAGATTTGGATCCAATCAAGTGGTTTAATGGCACCATGCTTAACGAGCCCTGGGAACCCATTAGCAATAGCGTATGGAGTATGCCCTTTAGACATACAATATGTGGCCATAGAGTAGATGGCACTGTTCATCCCACCAGCAGGAGCACCAACGTTGATAATTGCAATGTTGAGTCTTTTTTCGACTGGCAAAGTAGGCACATTATGGTCAGCAGAATTCATGGCAATGAAATTGTTCAAATGCTCACTAAATTCTGTATCTCTCAAACTCATGGCTTTCTTGAAATTTTTTTCTGAAATTGCCTCGGCAACGGATTGTGTAAGTTTAACAGCATCCACAAGAGAGCGACGAACAATTTTATTTTCTTCGATACCAATCATTGGAGATGGTGTATTTGGAGTACATTCAAGAACGGCTTCAACAGCTTCGACCCCTTGTAAAGTAGCTAACATACGATCATAGGCCACCGCAGTACCACCACGCTGAACATGACCAAGTGTTGTGATACGAGTGTCTAAGCCTAATTTATTGATCAAGACATCGGCCACATCTTTGGTGCTAATTGGCACTAAATCATTTGTGATTGCCCCTTCTGCCACGAGGACAATTGTCTTACGCTTGCCGCGCTCACGATGCTTGGAAACGATCTGACACATTTGCTCTTGCCATTGTTGACTGCTGGCTGGTTTTTCAGGAATCAAAATATAATCTGCACTGGTAGCAATACCTGCCATAAGGGCCAACCACCCACAATGACGACCCATAACTTCGATCACAAAGGCACGGGCATGGGAATTGGCAGTAGCATCAATGTAGTCCACAGCTTGGCAAATTCTTGCAAGTGAAGAATAGGCACCAATCGTGGCGTCAGTGGATGACATATCATTATCAATCGATCCAACAGTACCACAAATATTCAAATGCTCATGTTTGGCATATTGTTCCTCGGTGATCCTTCCAGAATCAAGCAATTCCTTGACAAGCGAAGGCCAGTCATGACGGAACACGTCTGCCCCAGTTAAGGAACCATCACCACCACAAACAATAAGAGCGTCAATTCCGGCATCAATCAAATTTTTCGCAGCACTAAGACGTCCAGCACGTTCTCTAAACTCTTTGCAACGAGCGGTACCGATATTAGTCCCACCTTCTCGTAGCCATCCACGGACGTCATCCCAGCCCATTTCTCTAATGTATTCTGGACCACCACGAACAAGCCCTTCATAACCTTCATAAATTGCAAAGGCACGACACCCCTTGATAATTGCAGTACGAACAATTGATCTAACGTTAGCGTTCATCCCTGGAGCATCACCTCCAGAAGTCATCACCGCGATGTTGCGTGGCTCAAAGGCCTTATGGGACACAGAAAAGCCAGGAGTGATTAAAGATTGTGCCTTCGAAGCTTCCTTTTTGATAACGTTAAGTTGAGGGATCCCTGATGAGAAAGTGTTGGATGCAGAAGTAAAGCCAATGAGATTTCCAAGTGGGTCAAGCAAGTAAAGTTCGACTGGTGCCACATTATCAGGACGAGTTTGGAAAAGGAAAGATGATGATTTTTGGCGAGCAAGGCATCTTTGATAAATAGTAGCTAAGGAATTTGTCTTGAAAACCAAACTTAACTTAAGAGAACGCCAATCGTTGGTATGGAGCTTTTTCTCTAAATCAGCCATCAAGATTTCGATATTCTCACTGGTTTGTTTGATTTTTGAATCTAAAGCAATGCGAACCGTCTTTGGGGGACTTGTCGCATCTGGAGATTCATGAGAAAGCCATACAGTCGTGGAAGTTTCTTTAATGACCTTGAATTGAAGAAAGCCGCAATAGAATTCCCTTGCTTGTTGGAAACGGGCCTCATCAGAGGTCGATAACGAGAAATAGGAGATATCCTGAACTAAAGGCTGGACCATTTCTTCCTCGATTTTGGAGAGTGACCAAGCTGCAATGTTAATTTATTTATTTTTTGTTAATTCTTAGTGAGAAAGGTTTTAAGAATTGGGCAGTTGAATCCAGTGTGTAGTGTTGCTGAAAGAAAATAAATGTCAATAAGTTTGCAGGGAAAGTAAGTCATCGGAGATTTTTCTGCCTGGTTTTTGTGCATGCTTCTCGAGCGGATCACCTGAGTAATTTTTCTGGCAGCAACTGCTGACGGAGAAAAATGATCATCACCGCGGAAAACAGGAGGTTCTTGTTGTCTCGAGGTGGTTGGTTGGAACAGTATTGTGATGGTTTCTTCTGTAGAGATGGCACCATTTCATTGAGTAGTCAAATTTTCTCTCTACTTAGGATACTTTCGGGGACTTTTTTAGCACACACGTATTAGTGATTTTTATGTAGGTAGGCTTTAAATTCACTGCGCAACAGAGTCTCACTTCAACTTTACAAAAGATATTAGATATTTTATTTATTAATGGGATCGGTAGCTAAATAGGAGGTTTTCTCTCTCTCTCTCTCTCTCTCTCTCTCTCTCTATCTTTTTTTTTTTTTTGCAAGACATGACAGTGTAGTCGTGAGATACAATTATGCTTCAAAATTAGATGGCGATATTTTCTTGATGATGACCCAAATATATAGCGAGTAGTATTATAAGAAGAAATAGAGTTCAAAGAAGCTGAAACAAATTAAATCACACTATGGTAAGTAGCTTAAATAGAATCATTTAACAGATTGATTTAATAGCATATCATTTTGGGCTATCAGGAAAGTACAAAGGATCATGAAACTTTATGGCGGTACTGCAACGACGAAGATGATGACGGCTGCTTGAACTTCCGCGACGACTTGGATTAGCGCTACAACAAGCAGTATCAATCTTTATTGTTTCACAATCATCGCCATCGCAGTGGCTAGAATCATTATTGTTGTTATTGTTATTCGAAAGAACACTTCCGCAACATCCGCTAGAAGGACAATCACTGATGTCAGTCAAGAAGTAGGACTTCTCATCCCTTTGAGTGTTTATTGGAGTAGTAACTTTGGTATTATTATAATCCCAGGATTGGTCTTTTGCCGTGACCACCAAGCATCCATTCAAGGGGTGGTTATCTTTTCTAGTGTCTATGGGCTTGTTCTCTTGTGACACAGAAGATTGTATTGCAAGTAGGTAGCATTTCTGTTCTGATCCTTCCATATTTTTAACAAGCTAATGACTGCCGTTGTTATGATAATATATGGCTAATGATGAAAAATACATAAACAAGATGTCATAATAATACAATATTGCCTGGAAGCATTATTTTTTTTGGTGGAGACAAGATCTGTGAGAAGGCGTGAAAAAAGAAACAAGAATTGTTGCTCATCTGTACAAAACAGCGAGAATTGCTCTTTTGTAAGGTGAATTGATAATTAATAAATCCTACAAGAGAATGTTACTTACTGTGTGATACTTTATTTAATAATTTATAAGTGATAGTATATTATAACAGGATGTCCTTGGATTTGGTGTTCGCCAATCCGTCAACTATTCACATAGGACAAAAAAAATAAAGAGATCATTTTGTTTTGAGTCCAATCAACAATAAATAATTAAATTAACAAGATCCCAACAATTATGAAAAAAACGAAACTTATTGCCGTTAAAAGTCCTGCCCAAACAGAATCTATGGTCTTTTTCTTCTGAAAGCCATGATCTACTTGTCTATCGGTGTTTAATACTACTCCTCCCGTAGAGTTTCCTCCGGTATTTTTGCTAAATGGCACTGAGAAGGCCCCAATCGTAGTTTCATTAATGGCAAGAACACTAGTAAACACTTCCATTGCACTGAGTTCCTGTCCTAGTCCTGCGTTATTGTCAAAGCTTCCAGAAGTCCATTGAACCCCACATGCATTGGCCCTTCCGGTTCCAGGCACTGTGCCATTACAAGTCTTAGCTGCAGCTACAGCAGAAGCTTCAAGTAGTGGTCTGATAGATTCATTTAGATCAGGAATCAATACTGCAGTTTGCCCAAGAAATCTGGAAAAGACAGATTTAAAAGACTTTTGATCATTGTCACAAGTTTTCACTCCTTCGCAGGCTTGCTCATACATGATATCATTGGTGAAAAACATGATTTTAATGGTATGAAGTAAACTCAACACCCTATCAAACCATTTTTGATCACCAGTGTGAGAATGTAAGTATGCGCAGCCAGAAATTAATAGCCCATAATTATAAGTCCATTGATACGGAATTAATTCTTGACAATTATTATCAATACTGGCGCCATCAAAAACACTGAGAATTGTCCCATTTGACTGCACAAATCCCACATCAGTTAGCCAGTCCCATACTTTTTCGGCGATATCAAGGTAATTATCATTTGTAGTGTATCTTGCCAATCTTGCTGCCAAATGGAAAAGCCCGCCATTAGATACGGTATTTTTGTAATTATAACCATTATTCCAGGTAAAAATCTGCCATCTGAGCCCCCCTCCGCAATTTTGAGTATCCCATCGAGAATCCATTGAGTCAGCTACAGTTTCTGCCAAAGAAAGCCAATCAGGCTCGTCATCCGGAGGGTTTGGGAAATTTCGTTCTGCTGCTTCCATTGCTGCAATACCCCAGAATACTTGGTCATCATTGCCTTCGGTTGTAGATTGGTTTGCTGGGACATAATCTTTGTGCGAACCACGTTGATGCATCAATGAATCGTAGATTAGTGATTGCCAAGTATCATTTTGACAAAAGTACCAGGCATTTATAAATCCTCCCCATGCTTCACCAGCTTCCCACCAATAATATGGGGGCTCAAAGACCCCAACGACCCCAAGTGGCTTGAACCCGTCATAGTAGGTTAGTACTGCTTGAGATGTTGTGGTAATTGCATCGCAAAGTGAAGAATATGAATGAACATCAAGGTCTATTGCATAGACTATTGAAGAAAGGGATATTATTATATTCAACAAGTTCATAGTTTACACTTAATATCTAATAGACCTTTTTGAAATCTGTAGGAAAGAGAAAATGGCTCATTTAAAAACTTATTTTCGTTGATACTTGAAGGAAGGAAAGGATAATTTCCTTGCGGTTGCCTTAGACTTACTTCACATATATGCTGTTTTTCATTTTAGATGAAATCAGAGTTGATATTTAACCATCACTTTTATAAAAATATAAACCCTTTTTTTTTTTTTTTTTTTACCGAGCCTATCTAGCCCACGTCATTCTGATATATCGTATTATCGTATATCATAGATATAGTTAGTGATGTTGGCAGCTGCGATATGCATCAAATGTGACATGGGGGGGGGGGTGTGAGGTAAAACAAAAAAAAATGCCAAAAAAAATGCCTAAAAAAAAAAAAGGGAAATGGATGAGGCCAGAAGACACCAGCAAACCGCAAATAATAGCATTATATATCTACACCAGAAACACATACAGTGTTATATTTACACATGCTAAATATACAGCCATCTACAATAAATGGGCGTCATAAGTTTAAGAGAGCTCTTTACAGAGCGTCGTTAATTTTCTTCATCTCCCTTTTTGTGGCGGCATGCTCGCTACTACCCATTGATACCCTTTTTCAGAGCACAATGAACAAGCAATCGAGCGGAAACTTGGCAGTCAACACAATCATCGTGATTGTATGCTGTGTGGCAGCAATAGTAACTGCTGCGGTGTTTGCCACTTATAGATTCTTCAAATTTTACATGTTGTTGGCCGATATTCCCAAGAAGTATGTACCGATCCATCTCTCCGACTTCACCGACAAAGCATATTATGAATATATTGCGGAAAATACCAAAAAGTGCCAAATGATTTATCATGAATCAAATAAACCTAAGCAGCCCATCGAACACGACGGGCTATCTAACCCCATCAAGGAAGAGTCGATCATCCCAAGCTCCCTAGTGTACGAAGACGTGGTGCGAAGTGTTGGGGACAGGGCCAGAATGATCAATGAGGTGAAATTCGGACTGCTCTCGTTCAGGGAACTTATTACCATCCACGGAAATGATGGAGCTAAAGTTGTTAAGATCTACGAGAAACTCCGGTTCAGCAATAAGGCTATCAGTCAGGAGGAATTTGTGGAACTTCTCGTGGAATTTGTGAAATTGTACAGATAAGGTAGAGCCCGTGACGCTGGTAATACCACCGCTTCCGCAACGTTGCGACCCAGCAGGGTTTTGTCTGCAGCAATGTCTGGATGGTGCTACGGGTGCGGCACGCCCCTTTGGTGCTGGGCTCCCGGTTCTGCAGGTGCTTCTCCCTGGCAAAATTAGTCACCATGGGTTTTTCACTCATCCACACATGCTTGCCAAAGACTCATTTGCATCGGTCATCTTGACTCGCAGTCACCCACCACAGATATATAGGCCGTGCTCTGTCCTGCGAACGCCCTCTTCACAGTTTCCCAATATACCTTTATCTTTTTTTTTTTTTTTTTCAATTGCCGTTGCTGTTTCTACTACCATTATTACTTGTCATTTTTTTTTCTTGCTATTTATTACTTTTCATTTGGTTCATATTATACTATAGATGCATACTGGTTTGCAATCCTCTTAATTGTTTTTGTTTTTGTTTTTTTATGTTTTTCCCTTGACTGCTATATACAATTTTCAACAAATCTAAATTAATCAATCATCACCTGTCATTTCCAACAATGATTCAACCCTCCTCTGCTTCCGCCAGTGACCTTGTTGCTTCTACCTCTCCACAAGATTTATTCAAAAAAGCAAAAGCTTCTGCAGAATCTAAACAGACTTTGGTTAACTCCTTAGTTTGCTCCACTTCCATCCTCTTATCTACTCTTTGGGCAGATTTTGATACCTCCTCAGCTAGCGACTCTTTGAATGCCCTCAACACTTTTATCATCTCCAGTTTGCGAAGGTCGAGATCCTCCAATTTGACTTTGCAAGTCGCATTATATTATCTTGTCAGGCTCTCTAACCATATTAAAGCCTGCATCCTCAAAAAATTTCACAACAAACACCTTTACAATGCCAAGTCAAAAACCAAGGCTAACGTTCTCTTATGCAAAAAAAGGACTTTTCTAACATGTTTGATTCTTGCCTCCAAATTTGTGCAAGACAAAAACTATTCCATGAAGTCGTGGTCTATAATTTCTGGCTTGCCAGTTAAGGAATTGGTTCACAACGAAACCGTTGTTCTCAATCATTTGAGCTTCAACCTTTACGTCAAAGGTGAGGTTTTCACCGAGTGGAGTTCTATTATTTCCTACTTCATAATGATGTTCTCTAAGTCAAACTCCACTTCTACTTTAATCAAGCCACAACAGCAAACTTCACTCAACAAAATCAACTCTCAATGGAAATTGATCATCGACAATTTAGACCCAACTTTCAAACTTTCGAAATCTATCAATTATTTTAACTTGTTGGTTTCCAATCTTCAAAATCTCGAGTCAGCTCCAATTTTTATCGAAAGTTACTAACGCTCCTTTTATGATTTTACGACGCACACAAACGAAAATGCTTCCACGATTTTTTTTTTTTTTTTATTTTTGCTCATTTCTTTTTCTCACTAATTATTATTATTAATAGGTATAAATTTAACGACTCTTTCTACACAGTTAATTGTTAATATATTGTAACAGCGAAAGTTTATGGGTGACTTGGAGGAGCAAGCTTTGCTAACTCACTGTGGCGATATTACGTAATATCATTGCATGGGAAAATGCCATGGAGAAAAAGAAAATCAGAAAAGCGGCACTCCTCTTTCACCTTTCAGAAGCCAGTATATATTTGAAGATTAACGGAACGGGAACCGTATATAGTGAGGATGTTGAAATCTCGTACAATATTAGGGTCTTTCCGATTTATGAGAAGCTACTCATTAAAAGTCCAATCTTCCAGTAAGCTGGTGATTGGAATTGATTTGGGTACTACCAACTCCGCGGTAGCGATAGTTCAAACAGGTGATGATCAACCCAAGATTATTGAGAATCAAGAAGGGAAAAGAACAACGCCCTCGGTAGTTGCCTTTACCAAGAGTATAGAGGGCACGGGTAAACCGAAGGTGATTGTTGGCGAAGCGGCAAAGAGACAATCGGTGTTGAATTCCGAAAATACCTTTTTTGCGACGAAAAGATTGATCGGGAGAAGGTTCAAAGATATTGAAGTCCAGCGAGACTTGAATAATGTACCCTACAAGATTGTGGAGAACAAAGCCAATGGAGACGCCTGGCTTAAACTTGATGGTGTTACCAGCGCGGACGAATCAAAAGAAATCTCATACTCTCCCGCACAAATTGGTGGATTTATCTTGGATAATATGAAGAAAGTTGCGGAAACAAGTCTTGGAATACCAATAAAGAACGCCGTGGTGACGGTCCCAGCGTATTTTAATGATTCTCAAAGACAGGCAACTAAGGATGCTGGTAAAATCATTGGTTTAAATATTTTAAGAGTGATCAATGAACCAACCGCTGCCGCTTTGGCCTATGGTTTGGATAGTAAAAAAAATGGCTTGGTGGCAGTGTATGACTTGGGAGGCGGAACCTTCGATATTTCGATTTTAGATATTGATGATGGGGTATTCGAAGTGGTTGCCACCAATGGTGATACCCATTTAGGTGGTGAGGATTTTGATATCCTATTGATGAATTATGTCATTGATGATTTTAAAAAGAAAACCGGGATCAATTTACTTGAAAAGTCCTCAAAAGTTGAAATCCAAAGAATTAGAGAAGCTTGTGAAAAGGCTAAGATTGAATTATCTCATGTTAAAGCAACGACCATCAGCATACCATTCATTTATGAACAACAACATATCAACCTAGATTTGACCGAAGACCAGCTCGATGACCTCTCGTTACCATTGATCAATAAAACAATCCCCCCAGTTAAAAAAGCCTTGAAAGATGCGGATTTGGAGCCAGAAGATATTGATGAAATCATTCTTGTTGGGGGTATGACAAGAATGCCAAAGATTAGAAAGATTGTAGGTGAAGTCTTTGACAAGATTCCAAACCATGAAGTTAATCCCGATGAAGCGGTGGCTCTTGGGGCTGCTATCCAAGGTGCGGTTCTTTCTGGTGAGATTAAAGATGTTTTATTATTGGATGTTACTCCTTTGACTTTGGGTATTGAAACTTATGGCGGGATTTATGCCCCATTGATTCCAAGAAACACAACAATTCCAATCAAAAAGACCCAAGTGTTCTCCACTGGTGTTGATGGTCAAACCGCGGTGGATATAAGTGTGTATCAGGGGGAGAGACCGTTGGTTAAGGATAACAAATTGATTGGTCACTTCAAACTCGGCAAAATTCCAATTCTACCAAAAGGAGAACCACAAATCCAAGTTACATTTGATATTGATGCTGATGGAATAATTCAAGTGAAGGCGAAAGAGCTCAAGACTGACCTGACTGCCTCTATTACTGTCTCTGGCGTTTCTGGATTGACGGAAGCCGATATCGAAAAGATGGTGAATGATGCAGAGAAATTCAAAGATCAAGATAAAAAGGCGCAGGTATTGCTTGAACACGCTACTAGATCTGATATGTTGGTGAACGATACTAAGAATGCTTTGGAAAAATTGGGCAAATTGATTGAAAATGCATCGGACAATAAGGTGATACAAGATGGTGTTTCCGAATTGCAACAGATGTTGGTGTCAGTGGAAACCATGGTGAGCCAAGCAAGAAGCAATGATCCGAATGAAGCCGGCAAGGTTAATGTGGCAATCTTAAAGAAAGAGACCGATGCAATCCAAAAGTTTTCAATGAAAGTCTTTAGTGAAATTGCTAAAGTCCAAGCCTCAGGTAACTGAAAAATAGGTTAATTATTATATTATATTTGTAGATAGATTTTGCTCAATACTTGATTATTCAATTTTCACAAACAAAAAATAAAAAAAAAGTTTTAGTTAAAAATCCATATTAATTTATTTATTTTTTTTTAATTATACATAAGAAATTCACATCATATATTTTAGTAACAAAAAATAAACCAGAAAGCAATAAAACAGAACAATAGAAAGAGAAAGAGAAAAAAAAAAAATGGCCCTAGGGTACTTTACAATTGTTTAATATACACCAAATAAAATTATTCGCCAATGGAAAAGAACACTCTGAAGACTCCATTACTTTCGTCTTTAGCAACGATCTTCAACTTATCATCTTTATGATTTTTCACAAGGTTCTTGGACTTTTCATCACTCAATTTCATTTCAATAAAAGGATTAAGGGCAGAATTCTGTCTATTGTCGCCATCATTGGCCATAACCAATTTAGTATGGTCTAACGATAAATAATTTGACAAATACGATTGCCAAGAACTCAATTGCAAGTCATCGATACTATTGGCCAAGATCAAATCATCATGACCAACGTAGGAAACTTGAACCTCTTTCTTCTTTTCATCGACAGAGATCCTGAACAAACTTTCCTCCTTGCCAATTAATTCTCTGACTCTAGTTTCGTATATTATCTGCGATTTAATGGTTGTGGTCGGTGACATTCTGTCGCTTTCAAACATCTTGAACAACTCAAAATCAACATTGGTACCTGGGGTGGCTGGAGTGGAAATCACTTTTTTCATCAAAATAGTGAGGTCTTGTAAAATCTTTTGGAAAGAGAACAACTTATATGCTTTATTGAAATAGGTTTGACGCAAAGTTTCTTCAAATACTGATCTCTCAAGGGAACCTTCGAGTAACTTGTTGATCAATTCTAAAGTCTCAGCATATAAGGCATTGGAAAAGGTTTCGATATCAATCGCTGATGCCGAAGAATTTATGGCAGGGGCCATTGCACTTGAAGCTGATGGTAAAACAAAATTATCATACACGTAATTCAAGTCCAAGGTTTTGGCAAATGATGTGACTTCTTTTCTGCTTTTGATGTCCCGGATAAAAGCCTCATCTCTGGTTAATTCTTTGACCTCTAATAATCTCTCATATAAAACGGCAATCAATCTGAAAAAGAAATAAATATTAGTATTACCGAAGAAGTTGTATAAGGACCTTCTTCTGGTTTGCGAACAGCCTTTCTTTGGAATAGAATCTTCCAAGTCGATGTTGCATTGCTCATTCAAACCAATTTGGACCCAATTGGCAGTGTCAGAAATTATTTCTTTAATCGTCAATTCTGTAGAGTTTGTCGATTCATGAGTATTTGTGGCGCGTTCCTTTGGAAGATCTTTCCGCTGCTTTTTGGAAGTTAGCAGTTGTTCCAAATTTTCGTATAATCCTTCGAATGTCAATGTCTCAGTGCTTCTCGTTCTCTTTAGACTATCCAATGCCTTGTTAAGCGCTAAATCAGCAGCATTCTTAGCAATATCAGCAGTGCTTTCCTTGGTAACAGCCCCGTTCTTTTTACCTTTTTTAGCCTTCTTTTTTTCTTTCTTTCCTTCTTCATCTTCCGGACTTTCCTTATCTCCCTCACCTCCTACATTGGACTCATTGGCAGCTGAAAGTTCCGCTTGTTCTTTCAATTTTTCGCTGATTTCTTCTGGAAATATTGTGCGATGCTGCATTTTTTTGACGATTTCTTCATCAAGGTTGAAGGAAAGGTTTAGGAAACAGATAACAAAACCAATTAATTCCTTCTTGTTTGCGAGAGAATAAGTAGAATAAGAGTTTATCATGTTGAAAAGCAAGAAAACAACATCGACTAAAACGTCAAGATCAGCAAACTGGAATTTTAGTTGTGGATTGATCAATAACACACTGCTATCAAGTAATTCATTACCAACATTATGTGGTCTTGTCAATTTTTTATGCATTTCTTCCAACTTCAACCCATTGATCTCTGTAACTAACTGCTTTGAATTCAAGTACTTCTTATCAGTCTTCTTGAATGACAACCCAAGATGATCCAACGACTTAAAATAAACCTTTTGTTCTTGTTCTCTCCAAACTTTATTCCACTCTCTTTGTGCCCTCTTCCATTCCTCATCCTTCAACTTCAATCTTCTTAGCACAATTGGTATTGCCACAATCGGGTTGTTTTGGATAGCATCGATAACTTGAAGGCCGCTCTCATCACCATAGACTTTTCTTAGAACTTTCTTATAAATGGTTTGTGAGGTGGTTCTTAGACCATCCTTAAGATTGAAATGCTCCTTTTCTTCTGGTGACATGGTCAATATTTGCTTTGCAATTGTTTCCAACGTCTGTATCGTTCTGACATTAGCTTCCAAATAATAATCGTATTCATGCCTTTCTTCTTCAATCTTAAACAACACTTCTTCATATTCGTTCTTCTTGTGAGCAACAAACCCGGAGTCCTCTGACGCCCAAGTTGGGTGACCAACACATTCATCGTTCAATACACTCCAGCACATCTCGTCTCTTCCAGAACATTTCGCAAACCCTTCCAGTTTTGGCAATTTTCTGTAGGAAGGCCCACAAGATGGCAATAAATTATATTCGAAGTGTGCTTTCTTTTGCTTGACATTTTTAATGGTGAGCTCATGCTTTTCATTCAAGTCTGTGTCAAGCTTAAGGAAATTCTTGAACCAGTCAAATAATTCAGTGCTAGATCCAATGAAATTGTAAGCCTTTTCAACTAAAGTCATTTTATCAATCACTTCATTGGTAAATAGATTCAATAACTTAATGAAATTATTGTACACTTCTTTGTTTCCAATATGCCTCTTGACATTATCAAAGAATCTAAGTTCTTGGGAATATTCTTCATGCACATCATTTGGAGAGCCTGAAGTGGTAATAACACTGCGTTCATGGGATACATCCGCACTTTGATATTGCTGGGCACTCTCATTCTTGTTGTATTGCTTGCCATCTACGCTACCAATTGCACTTGGTGAAAAGTTGCCCACAGGAGGCAATTGAACACCATGTTTGGTTGGCTGCTGGTACGTCAATTGTGGTGGTTGATATGTCTGCTGAGTTTCGCGAGACAGAACGCTTGCACCACTGATATCTGGTAGAAATTTCTGGAAGTCTGCCAACAAATCTGGAGCATCTCTGAAAAGTATTGAAATTTGCAGGTAAATCTCTTGTATTGGCTTTTGTTCTCTTTGAAAAGTTTGCAAAATTTCGATAAAATTGTTGTAAATCTCAGGCTGTTTGGTAAATCTAATTTTGATTTTGTTAACGTAATTAATAGCATCGTCCATTTCAATTGGTTCAGTTTTTCTCTCTGCCTGGGAGTCAGCCTGTTGAAGCTGAGTTTCGTTATTTGGAGTGTAAGTTGTATAATTTGGATTCATGCCTCTGGATATAGTACCCGAAGGTGTTGTGATTTTTATTGGAGCTGGATCATTTGGATCCATAGAATATGAGATATTATAATCTGGGGGTAAAAAAGTATTGAACCCTTGGATTAAAATTGGATTGCTTCCAAATAAAGATGAGACTCTATCAATGACGCCTGGTGTATCAATCTTCTGTGTATTGAAATCTTTCATAATATCCAAAAAGTTGTTGTATACTTCTGAATTGTTTTGATAGTAGCTTTTAACCTGATCCAAATAAGTCAACGCATCCTCGATATTTAATCTTCTAACAGGATTTGCTTGTTGGCCCTGCTGAGGTGGTGGAAGAGGAGGCTGTTGAGATGGGGGTTGTTGTTGTTGGGGAATATAGTTGGCTTGTTGCTCTGGTAGTGGATAAGTATGGACTGTGTTGTGATATGTGTTGATTTGAGGCTAAAAATTGGTTAGTAAGAATAAAGCACAGATATGAGAGAAAAATAAATGACAACAATAATAATATCAACATACAGTATTCAAAGGAGGGATTGAAAAGCCATTTGAAGGGTTCCCATTTGTGGAAGGGCCCGTCCTATTATTGCTACTTATCGGCGGCAAGTTATAAATATTTCCAGACCCCCGACGTTCTGTAATTAGTTAGTATATTATATCCACCATACGAATCTCAAAGCTAAGTTATTGAACAAAATTCCAATAGTGAAATAGTGATGAAAAGAATTGCAGACATACGATTATCCAACTTGACTGGTGGTAATATTGGAGGTCCTCCAGGCGGTCTATTACTGAAAGCAGAGTTAGTTATCATTCTTCAAACTTTGATGATATGTATACAAACCACGATAAAAATAAAACGAAAGTATATGCCGCAATATAAATACATACTTTATAGGAGGTTGCGACATTTCTAATATTGATTGTCTCCCGCTGTGCTGCTATTTTCAATAGCTCTCTATTTATCCAATGCTTTCCTTGTTGGAAGAAAACGCGAAAAGGGCGATAGAGAAAAATAAGAAAAACTGTATGCACAGTCATTACCCGGAGTGTTATGTACCTGTGCCACGGATCTTTCGCAAAGGGCAGGGGCCCCACATAATACAGATAGTTATTGTTATTCTACAAAGTGTTAGAAATTACTCAAAAAAATGCCCTAAATTTATTAATTCTCTATTTAAACCAATCCACAAAGTGTCAATTTCTCGAGAAACGGCGATAAATCATCTTTTCTAATTTCTATTACCGAGCTTTCAAAACTGTCGATTCTCACCTTAGCCCCCGTGCTACTGGCAACTTGTTGAAATGCGACACTAAATGTATTGAGCAATACTTTGTTTATCCCAAATAATTCTTCTTCTTCCTCTTCTTCCTCTTCTTCTTTCTCTTTATTACTTCCACTCTTAGCATTTCCTCTTTTACCATTTTTCGAACGTTTTGTTCTCTTGTTTCTCCTTTTCCCATTCTCGTTATTGTTTTCATCCTCGGAATTTCTTGGAAATAATGGCGCCAAACCAACAACAAGATATGTATCTGTTTCCGAGTCCAAAGATGCTAATACTAAAGGCAACAATGGTTGGTTATCAAGTTCTGCCAAACTTTCAAGGACCCATTGACCAAGTCGTGTTAAATTCAATGGATTTCTGTAGAAGTTTAAATACGGGATAGAATCATCTTTCAAAACAACTAATCTGAAGACTCTCAAACTTTTGAGAAGTTTCTTCTCCATAATCATCACGCCTGTTTTGAAGATAATTTTTTGATAACATTTTGCCACATCTAGACCATTTTTAATCAAATCTATACCATCAATCTTCTTTGAGGAATCTTTCTTCAATGTCACTTTTTCGGTAGATAACGCGTCCCATGATGCCCAGAAATTATTTACCCATTTTTTCTCTTTCTCCACGAGTTTTCTTGTAATTTCTGTTTGATCATTTTCTTTAAGTAATACATCTTCATCATCGCTTCCATGTTCCTCATCATCGGCCTTGTTGACATTATTCTCATTCTGCGTATCCTCTAAGTCATGTTGTAATAGAGCAGCTAATGATTCCACGTATTCACTTGCTGATATAGAGCCCTTATAGCCAAACTGCCTAACAAAACCTTCTCTTATCAAATCTTCTAAGTCGTATAAACCAAGATACTTCTTGAAGATTGAATTTAGTTTTTTCTTGATCTCAATATCCATATATAGCCAATTCTGGTTTGCTGCCTGCAAACTAATCCCCATTTTTGCAAACATTTTATTAAGCTTCTTTCTACCTTCTTCTTGCCAAAGATACAATTTAGAGTTAACATAATTTGAGTAAAGAAAACTGTTGTACAACGACCAATGACGTAATAAAAATAGGTAATAATCCTTATCAATTGCAATATATGAGGCATCATTGCTTTGTTTTCTTTGAGATGTATTTCCTCCCAAAAACTGGGGACTCATTCTAGTAACTTCATCTTTTAAGAGTGGATATAGTTTCTTGTAAACTTGAGGATGGCCGTAATCCAACGATGTGGTACCAATAATTGAAAGCCATAGTGTGTCGATATCGGCTTCATTGTCACTTAGAGAGGATACCATTGAATAAACTTGTGCTGTTACTGAGGTAATTACTGTTGCACCTTGGGAATAGTATTCTTCTAATGATTCTTCACACGAGTTTAAAATTTCATCATTCTTCCTTTTTTTACCAGGCTTTTCTTTCTCTTCATCATCATCATTATCATCATCATCACCGTGGTATCTTTCATCATCACTATCGTTCTCTTTTTCTTCATCAGAATTCGTCTCCTCTTCATCGCTGTCCTCACGCTGCTGGATTTCAAGCAACTGTTGGTATGCCTCTCGCTCTTTACTCAAATCTTCATTGATATGCCCATCATCATAGCACGTCACAATCTCGGACCCGAAGATATTATCTAAATTCCAAGGTCTATGGCCATCTATTACGTATATTTTCCTCTTGAGTTTCCTTGATGATGTTGGATCACTATTGATGTAGTCTTCCGGATCTATTTCAAAAAAATTCTCTAGATCAACCATGGCACCACATCCAATTAATATTACATTGGTCACATCCTCATCTATTTTCTCATAATGACTTTTAAGATCAGAGTATCCCACAACAGGGATCAACTGATACGGAATAAGTTGTTTTTTGAATACCATGGACAACATTTTGGCTCCACAAAGAGCATCTATGTTCAAGCATGAAGTGTATATCACCAATTTGCAGGTAGAATGTGACAAGGAAGTAGCTTTGATCTCTTTGAAAGATTTCGAAAACTCATTGGGTTCTAAGTACATTTTGCTGCCTCTTTCTTTTTTCTTGTTCCTATGTCTTATTAATATATTTCTTATGCAATTCTAGCTAGACATACTCAAATTTTCAAAATCACATTAAACAATTTCAACCAACGCGTCTCAGTATTTTCCCACTAATAATTTTACGCGTTCAAATGTCTTTTTCACGTGTCTGGTCACGCTTTCCCACTGATGGTGATCTCAACTAAAAAATTACAAAGTGTCAATTTTCACAAAACCTAAAGTGAGGCGATGGTGTGAGCCGTGGGATATTCATCATAAAAATATAGTATTTAAATAACAATGATAAGCCAGGTACTAAGTCAAAGCTCTTTGCTAGTTCTCTTGCTTCTTATATCGAATGTTAACGCATTCTTCAATTTTTTCCATCAAGAGGATCAGAGACCGGCTGAGAAGCCTTATGAAGAACAAGTGTTGAACTGTATGTAGAGTTTGGATCTTTTTTTTTTCTCTTCTGTTTAGATTTATAAGATTACTAACTCTTCATTTTCTCTTTTTTCTTACAGCTGATTGCCGAGAATACGTTTGTCCAGCAACTAAACAATGTGTCAAGAGTCCAATAGAGTGTGACTGTCCGTTCCCATCTTCTCAGATCAAGTGTATATTACCGGGGAAAACTAATTATGTGTGCATTTCCAAACCAGCAATAGTTGATAACGATGAGCTCCAGAAAAAATATGATGACCCACATAAGGCATCCAAAGAACGTAATAAAGGCGTGAGAGATTGTGGTTGGGTGATAGATGCTTGGAATGGTGATATATAAAAAAGATATAATATTACCACTATAATTTCGATTTCCTGATTTCTAATTCATCAATTTGTGTATAATATTATGCTTAATATATTAATAAGCCATATTGCTAGTGAAAATTTTAAATTGTATATGAGTTATTATTTAACAAAATAGAGAAATATTTAAATTGAGGTGGAAAAAAAAATTCTGATGTAAAAATGCTATTAGGAATAGTTTTTAATCTTGTTTGGCCTTATAAGAATTAAGTGTCTTATGTATCGAGCCACCAAGATATTTGAAGTGCGAACCGATGAGTAAAAGAAATGTACTAAGTAATACAATAGAATTATTATCCACAGTGCCCAAATCTTCAAGCTGGATCTTGCCCATTGAGCACCAGTCCTTAACTGGAATGCAGGAAAGGTATTTACACCACGAGCAGTGACCACCACCATTTCTCCATAAATTGACACTAAGGAAATAAAACCATAGGAAGGCGAGTATCCCACAAATGACTCTACCAAGACTCCAAGCAAAGAATAAATTTTGTTTTCTAATATTGATATTAGGAAAGAATTTGGCAACCCTTGAATTAATAACCCTTATTTGATTGTGGTCCCGGTTACCTTCGGCAGCTGCCCCGTCATAATCAAAAGGTGTGAATGAGTTCAAACTATTACGAGCTGGAATGGCAGACTTTTTGATGTCATTTGGGTCACGTTGATAACGGTAACGGTCTTGGAATATGAAGTTTGGATCCTTTAAGCAGACCACGCTTAAGAGGCAACCAACAACAAACCCGCCAATATGACTAAAGTTGTCGAGACCAGGTAAAAGGCCAAGAATGAGAGTGAAAACTATTTCCCCTGCCAAATAGGTCAAATTTTTGCGGTAAATCTTTGGATGCATTTGGGATTTGTTGGTAAAGAAAATGAAATGAAATAAATTAACTCCAATAATACCAAATAAAGCACCACTAGCGCCTGTCGATGACAAACCATTTTGAGCAAAATTTGCGCCAAAAATATTTCCCGATATACCAGATGCCATATAAATAAAAAGGAATAAACAGGATCCAATCTGTCTTTCCATATCAACACCTAGCATCAATTGTAATAACATGTTACTAATAATGTGAATGAAACCACCATGTAGAAAAATTGGAGTTATGATTCTGTACCATTGATTTGGTTCATACGCATCGTCATCTTCTTTAATGGTCCCTAATCCACAAAGGTAACTCAAAGTACAGCCTGTGGCGACATCTGTAGAATTCGGACATGGAAACACACTACTTGTGAGATTTGTGATACCTGGAAGCTGAATCATACAAGGAACAAATCGCGAACCCATATTGATTTGTACATAAGATGATGGGCCGATCATTGGGTTGAAGTATGGTTCAGTTTGGATTGGACTTCCAGTAAGCTTTCCCATTTTGGCCAACTCTGCAATGAACACGATTACTTGGATAACTGTGAAAAGATAACAAACAATAGCAATTTTTTTGCCTCTCCAAACCAAAAGACCGGCTGGAGGTTTCTTTTCGGCCCCTGGATCACCAATAAATCTTGGTTGGAGTTCATTCTGGGTAAACTCATCATCAACTCTGAAGCCGCCATTCACAGCGGCATTTCCGTTATTATAAAATTTGTTGTTTCTGTAATCATTAAGAAGCGAAGTAGAAGCATTGTTATTGTTTTCATCATTTGTCGGACCTGTAGTGTTGTATTTAATTGGGACATTATCAAAACTCCCATCAGGATTGTCCTCGAAAGGCCTATTTCTGCTGATTGCACTATTACGGTTGGAGCCATCATTGAAGGGATCTTCCTTAAAGGGGTTTGATTTTGTACTGGTTTGTCTTGAGATATTGGATTTATTTGACTGAGAATAAAAATCATTTTGGTGAGTGAGATTATTGTTATTAGTTCTTGCTAGTTCTCTTTGCATATTTGGTTGGCTCGGATTTGCATTAGAATATTGCTTATTCTGAATCCCAGAATCTGAGTCGCCATCGGTATCATAATCATAAATAATTCTATTAGTCAAACTGATATTAGGATTAGTTGGACGGAAGGTATTGTCCTTGAAAGAATTATCGATATGAGAATTCGGATCAACAAAATTAAAATCATCAGCATCGTCCCTAATAACATTCCGATTCCCTTGGAAGTTGAGACCACCCGAGTTATTATCCTTTCGTGGAACAGGTGGGAGATCTTTCTGGCCCTGTTGGTTGTAGTATGGCATCTTGATGAATCCCTGGATCCTCCAAAATCTGAGTTAATGCTCCTATGATAAAAAACTTGTAGCCGGGAAAGCAAAATGATAGTGAAGTAGCAACACCGGGAGTACTGAAATAAACACGAAGAAAGCGTTATTGAGTCACAAGAAAGAACCGAGTAGCAAAATATTATTCTCCTTCGATGTAATGGCTATCTAAAAAAAAACGGGTGCTGTTTCTGACACTAAGTGTTCATTTCCCAAAAAACCACGAATCCCCAAAAAAAAAAAAGGCTGATGCATGTTTCCCAAAGCAGAAACTAAATTAGTGCGAAAATCAGCTACATGCTAAGTAACACCAGACAGATATTGGAATAACTATTAAAGAATGAATACTTGATAATGACTATCAGTGATTTATTCTCTCCTACAAAAGTACACTGAATAGTGAAGCGTTCATTGTTTGTTATAATCACCTAACACATTGCAGAAAGTATATTCTGTGCGTAATATTCACCTGCATATTCGTCTGTGAAAAGTACTTTAAATTAAAGAGTTGTTATTGTCGACATGTTATTGTCGTAATATCTTTAATTATTGCATTAGCTCAATACCATACTTTTTAATATTTAAAATATGGGAAACATTATTTATTTTCCACTGTAACTGTATCTTATGATTGTAAATGCTCTCTGGTTTCATGCAATTTCTTCAGATATACAACCACTAACAATTGATTTTTAAGCACTCAACGCTAGAGGAACAAATATTAGGATTGTAAATTTCAAAAAATAGTTTTTTAAAGAAAATAGTAAGAAGTTCTTTTTGAAGAAAATTTCTAAGGGTGGAATATGTAAATGTATTAACTTTGAAGCTCAGGGAACAAAATCTTTTTTTGAATGTAAGTGTAAGAAAAGTAAGACAATAACATCAATAAATATGAGAAAAAGTAGCAAATAGATGGTTTGAAATATTGATGACGACAAAATCTGCTATTGACAAGAAGATTAATATTTTCTTAATGAATTGTACATTAACGAGTCACAGAGGTTCTAAATAACATGCAAGCCGGGCATTTCATGCCGGTCTTTCTAATAGATAAGTAAAATATTATAACTTTCTCACAACCTCATACTCCTTGCTTTAAGAATTAATCACATCACCGGTAAAAAACTCAACAATCGAGATTATTAAGGAAAAAAGGTGCAATGTGAAAATATGAGATGAAGTCACTAGTGAATTACCCATCACTAGGAGCTTCATGAACTGAGATGGAGGTCTTTGTTGAGGGGTTTTGGCACTATATCTCAAATACTAAGTATTTTCAATGTATAGTTACCCGGCCAATATTGTTATTGTATGAATATAATTTAGCAAAATTTCAAACGATCATCATTGGTCCCTTGGCCCAGTTGGTTAAGGCGTGGTGCTAATAACAGCTTTTAGGGCATTGTTACGCCAAGATCGGCGGTTCGATCCCGCCAGGGACCATTTATTTTTTAAAATTGAATTCATATTCCGTTATTTATTATCTTTTTTTTCTTTGACACTTTTCTTAACAAGATAGTAACAGTATCAATAATATTGGGATGCAGTTATTTTTTTTATTTAGTATCTATACAAGTTCATGTATGCTATGGAAGGGTTCAGGTTTAGGTTGTTACCCCAAGAATCCAGAGAATGAGCATCGTCAAACATCCTCGCAGAGGGTATTTCATAATGAGCGGGTGATTTTATCACAAAACTTGAGGAAGCACTGAAGGAAGTTGCAAGAGTCTATATATGTCAGGTGACATGAAACCGCTTTTTTTTTGTTTTATTTTTTTTTTGTTTGTGTGGATGATGTTGTGTAGTGTAGTTTACGTTACAACTCAAATACTACCAAATTTCTTCTTTTCAGCGCTGACACAGAAATCATCCAAGAGAATCGTGGAGAAAAAATATTCATCTTTATAAGAAAATATAAAGATTGAATCTTAGCATTGAAATATATTAACAATCCGCCACGCGTAAATCAAATTTGGTTTTCATGCCTCCTTCAAACCAGAATGGTTCTACTCCAGCAAGTGGAGATGACTTTGCTTTGAAGTCATTCGTCACCAGAAATCGTTCATTGGCAAGAAGATCAGTTCATGGCCCCCCAAAAGGCCTTTTCAACTTGTCAGGCTCAGGAATCAGTGAAAATCAGACTTCAGAATCAAATCCTCCTTCCCAAGCGCCAGGCAAACCAAAGAGACCAGTGTCCATTATATCTGGAATCGATACCTCTCAAATAATGTCTCAAGGTCCTCCATCAGCATCCAGCTCAAGAGGTAGACCAATTTCAATGATTTCGATGTCTAGTGCAGGCACTTCAACTTCGAATTATAATGTGGCAGCCAGAAATCCTTTCAAGATTGATTTGATGTTGGATAACGATGCATCTACAACATCTATTGCAAGCTCGTCGAACTCGCAATCCTTCAATCAAAATGTTTTGAGGAATAATTATTCAGCGGTAGATAAAAAAATTTTTAATACCCCACAGATGTTATATTCTCCTGATCCTGCCAACGGTGCATCGAATGGTGCTCATAATGCTACACAAACCCTTAATTTGGCACCAAGTTTCAATGTGAACCCCAATAATGGGACCATTTTGGCAGAGAAAAAGTTTAATTTGGGGAACGTAACTAAAAGCTCGCCAAACTTAGAGAAAAATAATCAACCAAACGATTTAGAATATAGAACTAATGTACGGTCTATCCATCGGCAATTTAACATCAACAAGTTCAATATCTCACTCAAGTCAGATTTATTTAGGGATTTCAAGCTGGGAAAACAACAACTATTGAAACAATTGGATAAGATCCATGAAAGTTACATGATTAATTCAAAAACTCCAGTTGTGAATCAGTTTACTATAAAGAAATTGCAATCTGATGATGTCCAAGATATTGATTGGGAATTCTGGAAATCTGTGGTTGATCATTATCCAACAAAAATGACCAATGTTCGATCCCTAAAGAGAGTCGAGACAGTTTTTTCGACTAGTGGCATTCCTTCTTCTGTTAGGCCCTTGATTTATCTATATTTGACCAACAGTAAAACAGCTACCCTTGAGAAAATTTATAAAGAAAACACAGTTATCAGCTTTTTCTCAAAGGAAAATGATCTCAGGCTTCGAATTTGCGAGACATTCAATACCGAATTGCGGTGTTTAAAATCGGATCAGTATTTGTTCGAAATTAGTGATCTCAATAAAGAGCTTCTTCAGAAAGTTGACAAAGACTTGTTTGAAATTTTGAGAAATTTTACAATTTATTATGACAGAGGTGGATACGCTGAGATCAAAGGCTTATTGAGCCCTGACAATTCCCCATCGGTAAATAATGCTATAAATAATGATGAACCAAATGCCAATAGTTTTTACTTACCATCGAAGGCTATAGTTTCTGTTTGTGCTTTGTTGCTTAGGAGCTGTGGCGTAGAGGATGGTGTGTTTGATATCAAAACCAGTGATTCTAGATTGACTAAGGCTGAAATTTTCGGCTTGTTAGTGATGTTGAATGAAAATTATTTCTGTTTTGATAATGAAATTAATGCCAGAAATCTTAGAATTCTTAAAAAACGGAAAAAGAACAGTGCTACAGATAAAGCAGCTGCTATTGTTGCCGGATACAACTCTGCGGCTGCTAGTGGAGCATCCAGTAGAAGATCTTCAATAACAGTTGATTCAGGCTTGATAATGGCAAAAGCACAAATCTCAAGACAAGAATCAGAATTGAATAATATTAAATACCATTATACTTCGGATCATAATAAGGACAAATTCATTTATATCTTTAATAGGTCTATGGAAGATTTATTCCCAGAAGTTTTTCTCTATTTGTCTTCCAAAGGTATCCACACAAATATTTTGCTTGAACGGTTTGTATTTGAGTTCTTTCATAGATTCTCCACCAGTTATAAATTATATGACAACGAAAATCAGGATGAAAAGAATATTCCAAAAGAAGAAGATTCAGACATTGAAGAGCAAAATTTGTCTAATTCCTCTGCATCTCCCCCTAAATCAAAGGCTAATAAAACTGTGAAAATTAATGATATAGAGCTCAACAATACTGAATTTGAAACTATTAGAGCATCAGTTAACAATGATCTCTCAATTGACTCAATCAATGAAATTAAGGGTGATTTGGATGCTGAAGTTAACAACAAATTCTTTAGTAATGGCTATAAACTTAGTAATGAGAATTTGCTCAGAATACTTGACATGGTAATGATTCAAGGGGTTGAGTTTCTCATCAAGTTTTTATTGTTGGTAATCGAAAAAAATTATTTCAAGATTTTCAAAATTAAAAATAATCAAGTATTGATGAAGTTCCTTAGCAGCAACGTGGTGTTCAATTTCATTAGAGAAGAAAATATTAAATTTGTTACCAAGAAAATTTATGAAAGTGAGCTCGACAAGTATGAGGATATCAATTCATACAGCAATCCAAACAGACTTGTCGAAGACGAATTATCAAAGCCGGAAAGTGAAATGGCAGAAAACAACTCAAACAAGCTTGACATCAAACTGCTTGCAAAGGGAACAACCGTGAGGAGTGATCTTAGAAAATCAAATCTAGGAAATTCGCAGAACCCAAAATCCGAAAAACTAATTGATATTACCATCAAGGAGAAAAAAACTTTCGGAGACTTCATTGTGGAATCACTTAAATTCGAGCCGGTGATATATAAATACGAAGAAGAATTAAAAATGTTGGAAAAAGAAAGAAGAGCCATGGAATCTGGTGCCAATACTGGTATTGGCATTTATAAGAATAAGAGGGCCAATAATAGTGAAACTTCTATTGCATCGACACTTACTTCCAATTTTGGAGATGATGGAGCTATTCAGTTTTCCAGAAATTCATCAAGCTCATCACTTTCCGACCCCTCATTATCAATGGAGGATTTGGAAACCCCCGAGCTTATTGACTTGAGAGCAGAGAAGAAAGATAATAAAGTTCGGTTGATGAAACTTCAAACCGATCTAAATAACCTTTCATTAACTCATAAAACTTACAAACGGGAAATTCTATTAAAAAATGAGCATCTTAATAAGATTAAGAACTTGAATTTGGAGTTAAAGATGAAAAAAGAAGAATTGGAAAGAAATTTCAATGATTTGAAACTCAAAGAGGAATTGTACCATTCTGTTTTGCGTAATATAAAGATTGATGAAATGAACAATGAAGTCAAAAGTCAAATTGAGCATTCCTCGGCTGATATCAGAGATGTCATTGAAAAAACTGATAAAATCAAAGCTGATATGGTTAAGATTAATGAGACTCATAAAACCTCGAAGAGCAATAAGAGCAGCCCGGTTGCCAAGACTGCCGCGTCTTTCTTTAGCGGGTTTGGTTTCGGAAGATAAGTTCGATTGCCTCGGCGAACAATATCTTTATTTAGTTTTTTATTTTTTTCTCTCTCTTTTCTGTTCCCGTTTCCTTTTTTTAATAGGTACCATCTTGGTTATTTTGTTGATGATATAGACTGTTTCTCTTTTCTTTCTTTTCTTTCTTTCGATTTTCAATTCTGCGTGTGATTATTATTTAGGTTCTTTTTTCCTCCTTTTTCTTTTTATTTTTTTTTTCCCTCAAGGGATTGGAAAAAATATACTTCTATTCTCTTCATTTCATGCTAAATTGATTAAATGTTGTAATTAGCATTGTTTTATCTTCTATTACCCACGAGCTTTCATACCCGCTGCGGGTGCTCAATGATTCTATCATAATTTTTTCTTTTTAGAGAGATTGAATTTACCAATTAGGTGAATTACAGAATATAAGTGAGCTTGAGTTTTGCAAAAAAAATAGAATACACATTCTATATTGATGAATGTTATAAAGCTCTTCGGTGGTTTGCAGTAAGGTGTTACGTGCACTGGGCATCTCAAACTTTTTCTCTTCGCACAAATTTTTTTTTGAAATTTTTTTTTTTTTTTTTTTTTTCTTCTCTAATAGACTTAGATAAACATTAATAATAACCCATAATATATAAAAAAAAAATATGACCAAACCTGAGAATATTGTTGGTATTGAATATAACCGTGTGACTAATGTGTCTGCACATGACATTCCAGGGTACAAACTTGGAGAAGACTATGCCTGGAGTTTGGAAAAGTTTGAAGAGAGCTTCCAAATCAATATTCAACATCTCACGGAAAAAGAAGCCAATTTCGACTTGGTCAACATTGACACTTCGGTTGCCAATGCTTTCCGTCGTATCATGATTGCTGAAGTTCCTTCAGTAGCCCCAGAAACAATCTTTATTTTCAATAACACATCGGTGATCAGTGATGAAGTTCTCTCACATAGAATTGGGCTCATACCACTCAAGGTCGACCCAGATTTGTTGACTTGGGTTGATAGTAACGTCGAAGAGGATGAAGGGAAGTTTACCGATGAGAATACCATTGTCATGTCACTTAATGTCAGCTGTACCAGAAACCCTGACGCGCCAAAGGACTCACAAGACCCAAATGAGTTATACCGTAACAGCAACGTTTACTCGAAAGACTTGAAGTTTGAACCTCAGGGAAGACAACTTGAAATGTTCAAAGGTAATCCTGTTGAACCAGTATTCCCAAATATTTTGTTAGCCAAGTTGCGCCCGGGTCAGGAAATTTCTTTGACGGCTCACTGTGTTTTGGGTACCGGGTCAGATCACGCCAAGTTTTCTCCGGTGGCTACTGCTTCATATAGATTGATGCCGGTGATTCAAATCTTGAAAGATGTTGAAGGTGAAGATGCCAAGAAGTTCCAAAAATGTTTTACTCCAGGGGTTATTGGAATTGATGATGATGGGAAAGCTTTTGTTAAAGATGCAAGAAAAGATACCGTTAGTAGAGAAGTTTTAAGACACGACGAATTCAAAGGCAAAGTGAAGTTGGGGAGAGACAGATCGCAATTTATCTTTAATGTTGAATCGGTTAGTGCCATGAGTCCAGAAGAGATTTTTTTCAAGAGTGTTAGAATTTTGAAAAATAAGGCCGAATATTTGCGTAATTGTCCTATTGGCCAGGTATGATGAATTAAAATCAAGTAATTAGAAAATATGTCTTTACTTTTTTTTTCTTTATTTTATGCCTTTGTATATTGTACTATTATATTAAACAATTTTTAGCTGTTTGAAGATGAATGTTGTAAAGTAATGATAGGAAATCCTATCTAGGTGACAAGCATATGAATAATTTGAAAAAAAAAAAGTCAGATATCGATTGTTGTTACATATAGATAGGCATCAGATCTTACGGATTGAGGTGATAAATTGAATTTATATAGCTGCCCATTAAAAAAAAATTATATATTAAATTAAAATTGAATCACCAAAAAGGAAGAGCAAAATCATACAACTGCGGTATTCATTCTGTCATTTAGCAAATTATTGAGACTTTCTTCAAACATAGTTTGTTCTTCTTCAGTTTCCTCTTCCCAAGAAATGTTCCATACTCTTTTTATGATGGTGATGACTTGAATGGTTATGACATTAAGCTGCCCTGAATAGCCATCGCCTTGAACATCTTCATCTTGGGGGATACTGGATAACATTGGTGTATTAATAGAATTGTCGGATTCTTGATTACTTGAGGGGGAAACACTGAGAGCGGATTGTTGTGATGAATCATTGGAAGTTGATTGCTCGGTCGTGGTATTTGATTTGGATCCGATGGTTGGATCAATGAATGTTAAGAACCATGCGGCAAATATAAGAAATTGCAAGATAATTATTAGGAAATCGTTGAATAAAATTTTCACTTTGTTTTCTGTGATTCTTTCACCAACTAATTGTAATGTCCAACCGCTGTATTTATAACCATGATGACCTGGTGAAGGTACTTTGAAGAAGAAGAGTCGGATGAGGATGACGTACAAGTTGAAGCATAACGGGCCAAAAAACAACATTCTGGTGATCATTTTCTTGCCACGGGCGGTTTTCAATATGTCATTGCCTTGCGTTTGAAAAGATGAGGATAATATGAAATGAAATATTGATCTGCCGATCAAGAAGAAAAAAGAAGCATCCAATAAATAGACGTAGTATATCGATACCAAGCTGAGAATTATGAGGTTGGATCTGATGTCTTGTAGGAAATGTTTTTTTCGCTGTTTGAGAACTTTGCGGTTATTAGTTAGGATTTCTTTCTCTGAAGCGAAATGCGAAACTGTTACCACGGACATTATTGTTATTATTATTATTGTTATTATTATTAATATTGCTGGTGACAGTGAGGATGATGAAGAAGATGGTGATTTCTAATGTGTGAGTATGGATGATTGATTTTGTTTGGCATTGTCAAAAGACCTGTTGCTCCGGTACATGCTACTTCCGGTTTTGGCGGGACATTCCGACCACCACCGGCTACCCGGGTTTCCTCTCAACCCTTTTGGGAGCACCCCATGCCATGTGTGCTCATATCACGTACTGTCGTGAAGAAAAGACAGGCCCAGCGAGAGAAAGGGCCCAAATGGACATCAATTTATTTGTCTGAGTGGACTATCTGTGAAAACCACACTTTAGCGGATTCTTGGTTGTTAGCTACATATGATTTACAGTGTAGCCTCATGTTTTGGAGAAATAGTCACGAGACAGTCAGTAATATAGTCTACCAATAGACTACGATTGGGCTTGATCTGCTGTGTTTATGTTTTGCTAAAAGCGAAACATCTGATGCAATTAACATCACAGAATAAACCAATATTGTGTGAAGAGCATAATAGGCAAGGCAATGGCCATCGTTGTAGAGGTAGTAATAGTTTTCAGCAGCAGCAGCAGGGAGTCATTAGTAATGATACTGTATGTGTCTGCTTGGCTATAAAATCTCGCTGGGCGGATTCCGGCGGTGACTATGGGCAGAGAGCGTTACCCGGCCATTGGTTCGAGAGCCTCTCAGGTGGTAAACAGCAAGCGTTTTGGTTTAAATATTACCGCTCACCCTACGTTTTCTTCCCTCCTTCTTCTGATCTATCGGTACTCCCTTTTGCCATCCTTCCCTCCCTCAAATATCTTAACATATCCCTACAAAATGTCTGCTGTGTACGTATCCACTTTTTCTTTTTTTCGTTTCGCTGCTGATACACATCCCAATTCATATCTATAGATATTATTTCCTCAATTGATGAATGAGCCAACAATTTTTCTCTTTTTTTTTTTTTTCTTTTTGACAAATAACATGGAATGTCAACAATTGTTTCGAAAACAATAATAATAAAGGCAAGAGCAGAGAAAGAAAAATAATAATAATACATAAATAAATAGAAATATTGTACTAACAATTGTTAATTCAGCGCTGATGTCGGTCTTATTGGTCTCGCTGTTATGGGTCAAAACTTGATCCTTAACATTGCCGACCACGGTTTCAAGGTTGCTGCTTTCAACAGAACCACCTCTAAAGTTCAACACTTCTTGGATAACGAAGCCAAGGGTAACGACAACGTTGTCGGTGCCTTCTCTATCGAAGAATTCGTTGCTAAATTGAAGAAACCAAGAAGAATCATCCTCCTTGTTAAGGCTGGTTCCGCCGTTGACGCCTTCATTGACACCCTTTTGCCACACTTGGACCAAGGTGATATCATCATTGACGGTGGTAACTCTCACTTCCCAGACTCCAACAGAAGAGCCAAGGAACTCGCTGCTAAGGGTATCAGATTCGTCGGTTCCGGTGTTTCTGGTGGTGAAGAAGGTGCCAGATACGGTCCATCTCTTATGCCAGGTGGTAACGAAGAAGCTTGGCCATACATCAAGGAAATTTTCCAATCCGTCTCCGCCAAGTCCGATGGTGAACCATGTTGTGACTGGGTTGGTCCAGAAGGTTCTGGTCATTTCGTCAAGATGGTCCACAATGGTATTGAATACGGTGACATGCAATTGATTGCCGAAGCTTACGACATCATGAAGAGAATTGGTGGTTTCACCAGTAAGGAAATTGGTGAAGTTTTTGCCAAATGGAACAAGGGTGTCCTTGACTCTTTCCTTGTTGAAATTACCAGAGACATTTTGTTGTTTGACGATGTCGATGGAACTCCATTGGTTGAAAAGATCTTGGATTCTGCCGGTCAAAAGGGTACCGGTAAGTGGACTGCCATCAACGCTTTGGACCTTGGTATGCCTGTCACCTTGATTGGTGAAGCCGTTTTTGCCAGATGTTTGTCTGCCGTTAAGTCTGAACGTGTTAAGGCCTCCCACATTTTGAGCGGTCCAGAAATTCCAAAGGATGCCATCAAGGACAAGCAAGCTTTTGTCGATGACTTGGAACAAGCTCTTTACGCTTCTAAAATCATTTCTTATGCTCAAGGTTTCATGCTTATCCGTGAAGCCGCCAAGGAATATGGCTGGAAGCTCAATAACCCAGCCATTGCCCTTATGTGGCGTGGTGGGTGTATCATCCGTTCCGTTTTCCTCGGGGAAATCACCAAGGCTTACCGTGTCAACCCAGACTTGGAAAACTTGTTGTTCGATGACTTCTTCAAGAACGCCATCAACAAGGCCCAATCTGGTTGGAGAAAGACCTTGGCTCTTTCCACCACTTATGGTATTGCTTCTCCAGCTTTTGCTACTGCTTTGGCCTTCTACGATGGTTACAGATCCGCCAGAGTTCCAGCTAACTTGATCCAAGCCCAAAGAGATTACTTTGGTGCCCACACCTTCAAGGTTTTGCCAGAAGCTGCCAGCGAAAACTTGCCAGAAGGTAAGAACATCCACATCAACTGGACCGGTAAGGGTGGTAACGTCAGTGCTTCCACTTACGATGCCTAATTTTAAGTTGTATACGAGTTTTTGTTGTTGATATATCCTGATTAGTTTTTTAATTTTCAATGTGACTCAAATCGAGTAGTCTGTGCTAGTTTATAACATTTCTTTGTAATAATGATGTAGCTTGAGGCTGTTTTATTTTTTTTTTTGTTGTTTTTTTTTTTTTTTGTTGGATTTTTTCGATCGGGGAAGGAAGGGCAGGAAAGGAATAAGAATCCCTTCTATTCTCACCCCAGTGTATTTTGGTTGAAAGACATACATTACTAGACTGTTGATTCGAAATAATAAGGCAGTAGAGTTCCTTTATTTCCCAATATATATATATATATATATATACATCATGTTAGCAGATAATTGGTGGTGCAATATGTATTATTATTTGTTTTTAATTATCGGATAACAGCTTTCTATGACATGCCGGGCCTGGATTGGTGCGGCCTGGTTGAAAAAGCCAAAACAAAAATATACTGTACCAATCAGATCTAGCAAACGTAGAATCAACAAAGATAAAACGCTCAAATAAAAATAATGATCAATAAAAATAAAGTATAGAGTATAGACACCACCTGTTTATGTCAAACTTTGAGAAGAGGCAACCGAACGAACTGATGGTGCCTCTGCTCAACCTTTTTCCATCGAGGTGCAATGTTTCTCTTGAAGTGTAAAGAATTACCACCTAGAAGGTTTCTGAAATCTATTAGAAATGCACAACAAAAAAGATAAATCGAACCTTCAACTTTTTATTCTACCATACGGTCAGTCATAATGAGCCATTAGGTTACTCAGTTACAGTACATGGTTTTGCAAACCACACAAAACTCAAGAGAAAGATAATTGACGAAATAGATACTTAATAGGACTGACTGCTTACCGGAAACATATATATAAATAAATATATATATGCTATAGCAAAAAAAAAAAAAAATAACAAGAAAAACAAAGTTAACGTTAATCTAATTACATACCACTAAAAGTACAAAAGAAAAGAAAAAGTAAAAAAAAAAAAACGAAAAAAATTAATTCTATCTGTATCAAAAGAGGAACAAAATAATAATAATAATAATAATAAGAAGCATTAAATCTTTTTCACAAACAAATTATGGATCAAATCACCGCCTAATTTACAAATATCATCGTAAATTGCCTTTTTATTGATCACAACATCGTTTTCTTTCCCATCAACCGGTTGACAATTGTACCCCATATTGACCTTAAATGATTTGACACCAATGGCATTTGGGTAGAAAATCCCAGTGATGACATTTTCTCCCTTGTTGTGAAGCCCACTAATTTCATGACTAGAGAAAAGTATGATATTACCGTACCTGTCATTTAATTGGCGCATCAACTCGGTCATTGGATCAAGTTTCATCACGAGCGCATCCTCAATCAAACCTCCAGAACTATTGAAATGACTTTGCAAAGAACTCAAGTTTTTATAAGCAGAAGCAGAATGGATCCCACTGAACTCCCGAATCGATGAGGATTCTGGGCCTTTAGTACGGATGACAAAATCATAATCGTCAAGCGCCGGTTTGAATAACATATCCACAGTTTTTTCATTAATACCTTGGGTCTCCATTAATGATATCGCAATACGAGCAAGGACAGTAAGACGCGTGGCAATTGGCAAATGTACATGACTACCCCAAAGAATACCAGATTGATCATCTTTAGTACCAATAAAGTATTGGGTACGCATGCCTTGAGGATCGGAACCACGAACTTTCTCAAAATTGGAAACAAGAGTATGATGAAGTGGCAACGACATTTTGTCGCTCAATTTCGCAAAATCGGCACCAGTGTCATTGTGCAAAGTATTGAGAAACTCATATTCACTGCCTTCTAATTCTTTATCTAATTTTTTAGTTAAGTCTAACACCAATGGAACTTCTTTCCAATTCCAAGTGGCCAAAAATTGAAGGATTCTTAAGAACCCACTTTGAGCACTCGATGGTGGAAGCCATGACTCACTATCAACAAACACTTTCAACGCAATAAGTTCCACAAGCTCATCGTTGAGATGTGATAACAATAATTGATCATCTAACCAACGTTTGAACAATCTAATCACCGGAGAAAGATAAAGGAAATGATGGGCCAATGTAGAAACAGATCTGGTATGCTTTATTGAACCAATATATTTTTGATTGAATTTGAGATAGACTTCCTCCAACACACTTCTCTTATCTTTGGAAACATTGGAATTGGCACGGAGATACAACACTTCATCACGTTCAGTAAGAACTCTGACACGGAACCCAAACCCTTCTGGAGTAATTACATTCAAAGTAGTGATATCATGATTATAAGGAACTGAAATATCATCGCGTTCAATAAACACATGATAGTGTTCACTGGATTTTGATTCTTTAAGAAGATCATAAATCTTGAGCAAGAAGGCAGTCTTGGTATTTTCAAGGGCTTGGATTTGATCTGGCCAATTCTTAGAAGATTCAAACTCGAGAACCACATCTTGAAAGAACTCCGGGTTAGAAACTGCAAAAGGCACAGGGGCCAATACGGAAGTATAACGGAAAGCAGAACCATTTGGAAGTAAAGTCTTGATCTTAAGAGGAAGTTTGTCATTCAAATTCATCAACACTTTATAAAAATTCTCAAAACTAGTTTTGAGATTATTGTAACTATTGACATTGACGACAGATGTCTTAGTTGCTGAAGGCAAGGTTGGCAAGGGAATTTTCGATTGGAAATATCCGCAAGTAGTTTGAACCTTGCTAGAAACAAAGTAATCCAAATGCAAGCTGAACAAATATTTCACCACACTAAAAACAGTCGGTTCATGAGCAGAAGCTTCCCAGATTACACAATGATGAATTGAACTATCCTTGAACTTTCTGAGAGATGCTTTTTCGCCCCAAAATTGATCAAATTCCTCTCCTGCCTCGGTGTCACTATTTGGCGGACCTCTAATGACAAGTTTTTCTGACTCTTGTTGGTTAAGAATCAAACCAATATGAATTTTGGAAGTACTAAGGTTAAGCTCATGCTTTCTTTTATGAACGGTAGTTTGAACCCCAGAGACTTGTTTATAATCTTTAACCGAATGATCAACAATCTTTATAGATAAATTCTTGAGTTTATCTTGAAGCCCAGTTTTCAAGATAGTGTACAATCTATTCTTTATGAAATTCTCGTAGCTGATAAATGTGATTTTTTCACCGGCATTAAACTCAATAGTTCCATTATCTGCACTGATCTTCTCATCCTTAGAGTGTTTTGGGGCAGGTATTGGTAGTTCAATGTTCAAATCGTACTTAAGATATGGAATGTCGTTTTTCTTGAGGAAAATTGCGTCAAATGTATCCTTGGTGTCATTGTTTAGTAAATTTAAAGTGATTTGGGCCTCATGCTTGATTAATTGGTAAGAAGCAATCGACATTTTCCAAAGAATGTTAAGCTTGGTTGTTTTGTCAAAGATTGCTGGGACGTGGAAACCGTCGGTACTGTATTTAACATGATTAGCGATAGATTCGTTGGAATGGAAAGACAAGTAACCATGTTCAGCAATATCAACAGTCGCCAAATATTTGACGGTACCCTTGAACAACTGATACGATGAGAATCCTGAGAGTAAGATCTTGTTACCGTCCAAGCCACCACCTTTCAAAAGAAGCGCCATAAGAACTGCGAATTCGAAATGACCAAAACCTCCATGGCTAAATGAACCTGACTTGAACCCACGTTGTAAGAGCCAAAGACGCCCGAGAACACAGGCATCATGGAAATTTTCAACCTGTTTCTTAGTTTTATATAGAAGTTTCAAATAATGATCATAGGTGGAATTGGTGATTAAAGAAGCGTTATAAATAGGAGTTGGTGGTAGTTGATCATCTTCTTCATTAGGTAGCTGGATTCTTATATTGTTTTTATCAGGAAGAAGTTTCTTAAAATCAAAGGCATCAAATGGGAAGGAGGCAATAAGTCGTATGGAAAATTTCGATTTATGGAAGTTGAGTTCATTATCGACGTCATTGGCAACACAATCGATTCTCAAAGAAGGAGTCAACATATCATTATTAACGTATTCATAGTGGAATTTCAAGAAACTCAAGTTAGTACCCACAGAGTTCAATAATTCTCTAGTGATATAAGCCAAATAGAATGATCTTTTATGGAACGCCCTGTAGTTCAAATAGTCCTTCTTTTCAAATAATTCATTTGGCATTGTGACATTCAAGTCAACGATATTGTTGAATGGTAATTGGATACCATTTTTGAGACCAAACGACCCGACAAGGGAAATATCTTTTGGTTTCAAGTACTGTAACTTATAATTAATATTAACAGGTTTTGGGTCAGCAAATGGCACGTTTATTCTTTGAAATTTTGGATGTTTAGTAGTTTTGGAGAAGATTGCATTGATTTTGTCAAGCCCGAGTTTATCAGTTTCTTTGATGTCTTGAATGGCGTCGTACAATTTGTGCAAAAATTTTTCAACGCCTTTGATTTTGGACTCGTTGAGTTTCACCTCCTTGACAAGCTCATCTATTTGTAACTTGAAAATATTTGATCTGAATAACTCTGCGGTTTCTCTCGCTATCTGTATATCCTTTGCGTTCATATTAGTTTTCTGTTTCTTGGATTTGTGAGCATCGGCTTCTTTCTCATCACCATCATTCTCATTCTCATCATCTTCACTTTCTTCATCTTCCTCATATATAGTGTCTGACTTCTCATTCTCACTATATTGTTCTTGGGTCTCCTGATCGCTTTCAGATGTGATTGGATTCCCGTTTTTCATCAAGACATTAATCAACACATCCTTGGAGATGGTTGGCTTAGAACCTTGGCCCGAGACAGAACCTGATCTCTTTCTCTTGACCTGTGTAGTAGCTACCATAGTTAAATAGTAATACCACTAAAGACAAAAAAAAAAAAAATAAAAACTGTGTGACTGACCAGTTGAAATATATAGGTGATGGACCTGTATTTTTTTTATTTTTTTATTTTTTATTTTTTCTCTCCTACTACCAGCAGAGAGTGAATTGCTGCAAATAACAAAAAAAAAAAAAAAAAAAAAAAAGAAAATTCGCGCCACCCACACACCACCCCACTAAAAACGTCCCACAAAGGTTGCCCGGCACTCAGTGCCAGACACCCTGGCGGGTGATGCTTTCCACCAATGTTATGGATCACCCACCCACAAATGACAACAAAACACCACCACCCAAGGCACGTCTTGCAACCACTGCCTACCCACAGCACCCATTTATCACATCACCACCCAACAGCAGGATGTCTGACGAGCTTGCCTCCAAGGAAGAAATAAAGGCAGTATTTGACAAGTTGCAAAAGATCCCGCTCAATAAACAATGCTTTGACTGCCCAAATAAAAACCCTACGTGGACTTCGGTGCCATTCGGGGTGTTCCTATGTCTAGAATGCTCTGCCGTCCATCGTAACATGGGGGTCCACATTTCTTTTGTTAAATCTTCTAATTTGGATAAATGGTCCCGTTTCCAATTACGCGGTATGAAACACGGTGGCAATAAGGCCATGAAGGACTATTTCATGAAACATGGCGGACAAAATCTTTTGTCAAGAGATGCAAAACAAAAGTACACTTCCCAAGTCGCCCTCAACTACAAAGCAGAATTGCAAAAGAAGGCCAAGAAGGACGAAGCAAGATTCCCTGACGCGGTTTTGGCCGACGAATCAGCGGTGTCATCTGAATCTTCTAGCAATGCCAACACCCCTGCTAGCAGCAGTACCGATGACTTCTTCTCCAACTGGGAAAAACCAGTTAGTAAAACTGCCCCAATAATCTCTAAATCTCCAAGCCCAGAGCCTCAAATCAACAAAAAAACAATACCGGCACGCGCTCCTGTTCGTAGACAAGTTCTCAAGAGCGCCACAGGCGGGAAGAAACACAGCATCCTCAGTGGGCCAAGCAGTAGAAAGACCAAGCTTGGCGCTAAGAAATTAGCTGCTGATGAGATCGATTTCGACGCTGCTGAAAAAGAAGCGAAACGTGAAGCTGAAGAAGCCCAAAAATTGGGATACAATGTCAGAACTGAAGAACAGGAGGAAACAGGAAGAAACCTGAAAAGTCTCCCAAAAACTACATTTTCTCCAACTTTATCAACCGCGTCCAAGGAATCTTTTGGTGCTCCAAAAGAGACCCCAACCGTTGAATCTGTGACCCCAAAGCTTGCAAAGTTAGGATTTGGTATGGTCGGCAACAAGGCTCAAGCGGAGAGCTCAAACAGTACCAGGAAGACCGCTGACTACAAATATACTGGAGAAGTCAGTAATAAATACGGCACACAGAAGGCCATTTCCTCTGACGAGTTCTTTGGAAGAAACAGCTTTGATCCTTCGGTCAAACAAGAAGCACAACAGAAACTTCTGCAGTTCGGAGGTGCTTCTGCCATCTCTTCCAGTGCCTACTTCGGGGAAGAAGAAGGAGCTAACCACCAGAACTCCAATTCTGCTGACTCTTTCAATATTCGTGACCTTGATATCGATAGTGCCGCTAGACAGCTTGCGAACACTTTCCAAAGCACCACAGGCCAAGATGTGACGGTTTTGAAAGATGCTTTGGAACAAGGTGCCAATAAATTGGGGGATTATTTACGTGACTACTTGCGTTGAACTGGATTATATAAATATATTACTTATTATCATTATCATTGTTTTTTATCTCGTTATCAAGGACTGTAAATTGGAAATTAACTAATATGATTATATCATTATAGCTCACTCACGTGTATTATTATGCAGTTTTTTTTGTTTTGCAAAGAAAATATTTTTTTTTTTTTTTTTTTTTTGGCATGAATCTAGAAATTATAGCTCGCTCATCAATCGACATTTGTGATCCAGTATCAACAATAGAAGCGTCCAATGTCTAAAAGGAATAAAATAAGATCTGTTGGCACAGGTCCTTTTTCCCCGCATAATAGTTTAGGGTAGGTCTACCGATAATGGGGAGAGATAATGTCTGCGATAGTTTGACCTAACGCGAAGCATCATTAGTGATTTCATACATACTAACTGATATATTTTTGATATAGAAGCCTAACTGATAAACCAAAAAAATCACGTTATAGAGGAATACCAATCAAGGTTCTGAGTCCTTCTGATCATGGTAGTCTCACTAATAATCTTCCAAAAAGCTCATCGAGTTTCTCCAACAAATATAGCCAGCTTCTTAATGAAGATCATCACGAAGCTCCTCCCGTGGTGGGGGTATCCTCTAGCGAACAGACAAGGAGCAAACTTAAAGGCAAAAAGGAGATTGGGGTATTTGACTTATTTGGCGAGTCACCAGTTTCATCTCAGGGAGACGCAGGAAAACTTTCGAAACTAATACCCAGTATACTGTCAAGAAATTCCAAAACATACACCTCTTCACTAATCAAAACCAAACCAAAACCAGCCCCAAAAGTAATTGGAATTTATTCTTCTGACGAGGATTCTAAATCTAAAACTGATAAATTGAGGTGGCCGAGGACCGAGAAACCAGGCAATAGATCATTTTCTACCATCAGAATAGATGCAGAGGCTGTAAAGCTGTTTAATGAAAAGGCAAGTTTCCATGCCACAAATGTGCTTTTCAACACCAGTCATATCGAGTCTAACGCTTTCAATTGTGAGCCCACCCAGAGTTTTCACGTATTTGTTCAGCTGCGAAATCTTGTCATCAGGATCAATGACCTGAAAAACTTTTCCATGTCTCTTGCGTACGACATAAAAGAGTTATGGACCAATGGTTCACATTTACTAATCATTCTTGAAGATGACCATAAATACAGTGAAATTAAAAAACTGGAGCAATTTGGGAATGCCATGTTTTCATGTATCCTTCTTGTTAATATTATGCTCCCTGATGATGATGATGAGGAATTTCCATTCTCTAATAGAAATAATGATTTTCCATCGATTAATGTGGTTGACGATGCTGATGTATTACTACTGAAATTCAATAGGACTTTAGATGGCCAGATATCTGAAACGTCCCCACAATTATTCAAACAATTCTCTTCCAGCAAGTTTTTAACTAAGAAAATGAAGTCTTTGGAAATGGGGTCTCGACGTGCTCCTTCTCGTGGGCAAAAGATAGGGAAACCAATGCTAACTCCTTCGGATCCTACACCAACACAGAGTTTCTACTCATCAGCTAAACGGCAAACGCGCACCAAGGGACCGGCAGAACCTATTTTCCTTGGATCTTCACGGCATAACCCTAAAGTTGAAATCGATTTAGATGCTGCCAGAGAGATCAGAAATTCTTCCAAACACGAAAGCGAATTTAAAAAGCTTACCTTCAAGTTCTGCGATAAAAAACTGATAACTATCACATCCTCAGATTACGGTTGTTTGTGCGATAACCAATGGATTAATGATTCGCTTATCGATTTCTTTTTGAAGTACGCTGTGGAGCAAAAATCCAACCAAGTCAATTATGAAGATGTCTATGTTTTAACCACTTATTTTTATACGAAGATGATGACTGCAAAACCAAAAAACGGATCAAAAAAAATTGATTACTACGACACAATGAAGCGTTGGTTAGCAAAAGCCCAAATTCATAAATACAAATACATCATTATGCCTATTAATGAAGCGTTACATTGGTACTGTGCTTTGATATTTAACTTTTCTAAGGTGATTGCTACCGTACAGAGAAAACAATCAAAAAGGGCTAAAGAGAAAAATGAGCCGATCGATAAGGAAGGGGATGGAACAACACGGAATATCGATCAAGAAAGCGAGAGCGAGAGCGGGAGCCAAGATATCGGGAAAGATTCTGAGGATAATAACAACCATAAAAATGAAAACGTACTGGATATCGATAAAATGGCAAACACCGGTGATCTTATTTTTGCAAGCAAACATAAAAAAGAAGGAAAATCTGATGAATCAAACCTGAAAGTGGTAATATATTATTTTGATTCGCTATCTCAAAAGCATGATAGTATTGGCCCGCCAATTGTTGATTGTTTAATCGGATTTGCTAAGGATAACTTAGGGGTTGAGCTTACTGAAGATATGTTTGAGATTCGTCGCTCTAATGTACCAAAGCAACGCAATTTCAATGATTGCGGGATTCATGTTATTTACAACGTCATGCAGTTCCTTTCCAAGCCAAGCGAGTGTTTGGATTTGTGGGTTGAATATCTGACGTCTAGAAAGGCCCAAGCTGCCGCAGGCCAGATTTTTGTGAAGAAAGAACGTGACAAAATGCGTCAACAATTGAGAACCGAGCTCATAGAGTTGGAAAAGAAAAATGAGGAGGAACGGACCCTTAAATATGGGGATAACAAAGAAATACCGGATACTGAGGGAGAAGAGGATGATGATTTTGAAATCGAAATTGTTCACGAATCAAATACCAATAGCGATGAACAAGGAAACTTGGAAAAAGAGACCACACCCGAGGTAAATTCAAAAGTTTTTGAGTCTCACGAAGATTCCAAAGGACCAACAGATGTGGCGAACGGGACTACATCACCTAGACTGAAAGACGCAGAAAAAGAGATAGAAGAAGAAGAAGAAGAAGAAGAAGAAGAAGAAGAAGAAGAAGAAGAAGAAGAAGAAGAAGAAAAGGAACTTTCAGGCTCCATTTATAAAGGAAACAGTTCAGTCGACATTCCAGCACTGCAAGAAATAGCTCCAATAGAGGTCTTACCAACATCAAACAATAAAACAGCAGTGGAAGATAAAGATGAAGATGAAGAGGAGGAAGAGGAAGAGGAAGAGGAAGAGGAAGAGGAAGAGGAAGAGGAAGAGGAAGAGGAAGAGGAAGAAGACGAGAGAGAAGAATATTTGGAAGAATATGAAGAGAGAGAACAGGAAGTGGAAGAAGGCGATGTGGAAGAGGAAGAAGGACAAAGAGAAGAAGGAGAACAAAAAGGAGAGGAGAGAGAAGTTGAAAAAACTGCCAAAAGTTCTTCAATACTCTCAAAATTAATTGATTCAGGTTCAGATTCCGATTCCGAAGATGTCTCACCTATTGTCGAGATTCAAAGTTTGGAAGATGGCAACACACCAAAAGTAACACCAAGACAATACAGCGCAGAATCAAATGGGTTTGTTACTGAATCGAGCAGCGATCCTGATGATATTGCCGAAGTAACAAGCACTCCAGATTCGGGGCATGTTCAAGATGAAAAATATGATCATAGCTCCAAAGAACTAACTGAAGAACCACTGGATGGCGTTCAATATTATGAGTATCCTAGTCAAAATGCAGAAACTCAATTCACCGAACAAGTAATTGATGAAGATGTCCATTCTGAACCAGTGAGTGATGGATCACAAGGTGTTGTTGAGCGACGCTCAAAAAAAGTTTACGATGTTGATCTGGATGATGATGCTAACTTTTTTGATCGTGATTTAATCGCACGACGGAAGCCAAAGGATACTGGAGTTGTCATACAATTTGAAGATATATCAAACTCACCGTCTAGCACCTCGGTTCCTGTTCGGGTTTCTTCCGGAATAGAAGAGAATGGGCCATCAGCTTACGAATTACATAAAAATGTTGCTGAAGTACCTCAAAATGTCATTGACTCTCACAGCGAGGATGATGAGGACACATCGGAACAACATTTTATAAAAGTTTCAAAGAATGTCACTCATCACCACAAACATGATAGCAAATCCAAATCCAAATCCAAATCCAAATCCAAATCCAAATCCAAACACAAATTCAAATCCCAAAGAAATTCTGGTCTTATGGAATCTCCTGATTCCCATAACGTTTCAAACACAATATTTAGTGAAAGTGGGAGTGATAGTGAAGTTATTGTTACAGGAGAGCTGAACGATTTAGCGGAAAAACCTGTGTTTGGCATCAATAACTATCTGAAACTGCAGAGAAAGAGGAAGCGCGGGAAGTTCAGCATTGATTCTGGGTCACTGAAACTTCAAGAATTTCCAATTGGAAAGCTTAACAAAACATTCAAACGTTCAAAACATTGATATCCTTTTTAATGTGAGGCTTATTTATATTTTTTTATATTTTTTTGCACTTTTTTTTTTTTTTGATAATTTTCCTTTCTTTCCTTTGCATAGTTAGGCTAATGGTGATTCTAACGTTTTACGCATTATTGGTCTTGATGGGTTTTTGCACTTGAATATTCCGAAATCTTTACTCGTACAATAGAATGGTGGCAGCTTCACCCCTCACGCCAAAAAATAATATTCAAAAAAGATAGTATAGTTGAATTATGATCTATCTACAGATTGAAAATAAAAATATTAATCAAATACATTTCGCATACTAAGTAATTTAATAATAACAATAATAATAAAAAGAGGAAAGTATGCTTTCCCAAATGAAATATTTCGAACGATTGACGAAGAGTCTGAACCTGGTAAAACCACAATACATTTTTATGATGACATTAGCCCATAGTAAAATCAACTCTCAAAGGGATTTTAAATCCAGTTTTCAGTCCACAAGCAAGCTGGAATCACTTTCATCTTCATCTTCAAGTTCAATTTCATCAAGATCTCCATCTTCAGCATCATCATCATCATGTTCATCTTCATCATGCTCGTCTTCATCTTCTTCTTCATCACCATTTTCATTTTCAAGGACCTCCATATTTTCAAGTCGTTGGCTTTTCACATACATTTCATCTTTCACCAATTCATTCATCATATCGAAATAACGTTTGACATGATCGATTGTCTGGAAAATGAAGCCAACAAGCAAACTGGCAGGAAGCGTTAAAGCGTCCATAGTCCCAGGACTACACTTGAAATCCCAAGTGATACCCAACAACTGTTTGACAGCACGTGGGGTGATTGTGAAGGTGATGTCATTATCATTGAAGAAAGACATCTCAGCATTTATAATGTCGACAGAGTTCAAGCTCCTATATTGATGTGTCCGATACACGTAAAATCTGATGAAGATATTTGTCGACACTATCAAAACGAATGAAGGAACTTGGTAGCTCAATATTTTGTGAATCAAAGGTCTAGCAAAATCATTGACTAAGTTTTCACATGTTAAGGTTTCTACCAAACCATCCATCATGACATTCATGATTTCCTTGGCAAGTGCAGTAATCAATGGCATAAAAGTAAACCATGATACCACGAAATGTATAATAAAAGTTTTATAATTGAGCTTCAACACATACCCTTCAATATTATTAACAAGTACCTCGGTAAATTTCAAGGAATCAGTAGATATTGGTGAGCTTGAAGCCAATGGAAGGAAAGTAAATCTCTCCATAAGCGATCTGAGCTTTTGGAAATTATCGTTATCTGTGAAATATGTGTATGGAAAGTCGACACAAATAATATGGGCGTAGAAGCACCAAAGAAATGAAATAGCGCAAATTATTAGCACCGTCACATAGATTTTAAGAATATTATAGGCAAATTTCAATCCTCTAATGGCCAGTTTAATGATATCGTTAGGAATTCTTTGAGCACGAGCAAACCAACCATGATTTTCAACAAGCTCCACTGCGCCAGCAGGAATCACTTCGATATCCACATTTTCAAATAAATCTTCAACGTTATCAAAATCTTCTTCCCTGAGTTCCTCTTCATTATGTTCGTCAATATCCAAAAGGGCTTGCTCTTTTCTAGAAGCTGTCCATTTGTCAAACCATCCCAATCCATAGATTAGAACAAACGTTCCAAATATTATTGATGGTAAATCAATACCAATACCGGTGATGCAATACCCATCAAGATCATGGAAACTGAATAAATTAAGGAAACTACCGTTAGCATAATGACATAAGAACAGGGTTATTGGGCGGCCGATAACAAATGCTGCTGCAATCACTGAAACAATCAACAAAGCCGCAAAAAACCACAAGTAAACCAACAAAGCAAATATCCTATACCTGAATTTTGGAGGTCTATATACAACGGAATAAGTGCTTGGTGTGATGTCCTCGTCAGAATCAGAGTCATAGTTAGTAGGCGCTTTACGCGAAGCTTCAATAGGAGCTAACAATTTATCGTCTTTGGTAACGGGAACAAATAAATTTACCAAGTACCTTTTAGAAGCTGCTTCATGATCCGGAGCTCTGACAAAGTTACCGTCAGGAATGAAAGCAACATGAATGTCGGAGTTTTGCTTGAAATACTCTTTGACTGTCCGTTTAGATTGCGGTTGGTGATAGTCAGGCAAAAGACCATACCGGCTATTCCAATCGGTACCAATAATATTGTTAAGGTGGTAAACAAATTGATGAAATATCGACCTGTAAATCAAATGACCTCTCTCTTTTGGCACATCGATGTCGAGAATAAAGGATGATAACCTGAGTTGCTGACAGACAATTCTAAAAACTCTCTCCCAATAGGCTCTCACATATTTTGTGATTAAGGGGGTGTCAACAGATAATTTCCATAAAACAGGGTTAATGGATAAGAAAGAACTTATCCTATAAAACAATTTTATTGGTAATATTTGACCATTACCAGAGAATAGATATGGCGGGATGAATCGAATACTATAAGTGACACCACCTATACCAACAAGAACAAAAATACTATAAATTAAGCCACTCAATACAATTCTTGAAAGTTGTAACCAGAGGGGTTTCACTAAAGCCTTATGCAATAATCTAGCATTCTGGTCATCCGGTGAGGTAATGAAGTATAAAACACCAGGCCTCAATATATGGGTTCTAGTCATCCCGACAAACAAAGAAAGGAAACACATATAAGAAGTCCCAATCAGCCAATAATATATAACCTTAAGTGGAGTAGAAATGTAAAAAAAGGCCTTGAAGGAGGAAGCTGCGGTGACACCGGCAGCGACAGAAGTATTAGTTGAAACAGAGGCAATGGGCACAACAGAATCTATAGTTCCATTAATATGTGTATCCGAATTGCTACTAAAGAATGAATCCAACTCATTTGAGGCAAAAATTCTAATAATATTCTCTGTAACTTTTTCAGCACCAGCAGCCTCCGCAAAAGGGTTAGCCAATTTGAGTTCAAAATTTGAAAGAATCAATGGGGCAATGACAAAATCCACAAGAACACCGCAAAATATAGGGAAGACGACTAACTCAAGAGCAAAAATAAAAAACACCTTTAATGTGGAAAATATTTCAAAGAGGAAGCAAACAAACCTTCTACTCCCACCCAGGATAAAACCGGACTCTCTGCGACGCCTTTTATTGAGATAGTTCATGAAATTGTACAACAAATAGAAACCAACAAAATAACTGAAAAGCAACATTGTCATTCTTTCAATGGTCCTTAATGGATACTCTGAGTTCACAATATTTGTGAATACAGAAGATACTGGTTTGATCAAAACCTGGTATATGGCATTCAAAGTGTCGACCGCAAGCTTGGAAAAGGGGTTCGAAGAGTATCCAAACAATTTGTAGAATATCTCTGAGTAGGAAAGATCTTTCAAGGATGGTGTGTATTCTTTAATGAGGTGGTGGGCGTGTCTATCAAGGATAACGATAGCAGAATCTAATGGCTTCTGAAAATAGGACGCCATGATGTAGTTAATTGATAGGGACGTATCTTTGAGATGAAGTAAAATACGCTTCAACAAAATTATACCTTCCTTCCCAATAATAGAAGGAATCAAATACGCAACTATCAACCAAAGCGCTAAAAGAAGATCTACTAAACATGCGATCTTAATTGGCAGAAACAAAGTGAGCCCATATTCAATTTGGAGAATGTTATCATTGTCACCCACCCGCACATTCAAATTCAAATTACCGCGTTCTGGCTGATCTTCCAAATCATTATTATCGTCATCTTCGTTATTATCATCATTATTAACATTATTGTTATTTTGTTGACCAAGAAGCATTTCTAGTGGAAAATCAGCTCCACGGGGATTAAGCAAATCGCCATTAATTCTTTGCTGTTCTTCCTGGAAGTTTAAAGGTTCATCTAAATCATGGATTTCGTCATCTTCCGCTCTCACATTATCCATGTTATTTGGGATATCTGGAAATGCATGTTGAGGGTTGATTGGAAATGGAGCATTGATATTCATGATATTGCGCTCAAACTCATTACGGCCCATCCAGATGTTTTCGTCAAGTTCATCGTCACTATCTTGATCATTTACAATGTTGCCATTATGATTATTATTTTCAATATTTTGAGCATTTGCAAGTCTTTGAGCATTTAGAGCATCTGCACGTCTTTGCGCAGCATTTCTGGCTAAATCATCCAAAATCAATCTCGCCTCCTCCAATTGACGACGTTCAATCCTTTTACGATCTGGACCAAATTTTTTATTCAATAATTTCTGGAATCCATCATCCCTCGTTACCATTTCTCTAGTAACAAACAAGAGCAAATGGACTATGACAAGCAAAACAATATAGAAAATACCATCGAATAATGTCATTCTAAGTGAAAGAATAAGTTTTGTTGTACTGATGGTATCGCTGTCAAGCAACAGAGACTCCTCCCTGTTAAAGAGAAAGTAATCACCAAATAAAACCGAATGAAGTATAGAATCAGAATACGGCAATCTGTTATCAATTACCCAATTAAGGGCTCTGCCTACCACCATGAAGAAAATTGGGACCTGTAATAGAAGAAATACAAGCACATTCAATATAAGGAGAATAGAAGTGGCGATTGCAATCAGTTTTTGAATGGTCTTTTTGATAATCAAGAGAAACGGCACCTTATCTGGGGTATCATCTTGATAAACGGTTGTAAACTTATACTCTGTGTTACAAATATCACATTTTGGGGCTCGCTGAGAATGGTTCAACCACTGAATAAGGCAATCTTGATGAATGTATTTGATTGACCCTCTGCATTTACATGGATAAAATAGAGGATCATCTGGGGCGCCCTCACAGCGACAAATACGACAAGTGTTTTCCGCCATAATGTAGGGCCTAATATTTAATTATAAAATATTTTGACAAGCTAGTGGAAGGTGCAACAGTAAAGAGTCAGTGTAGAGCCATTTCCACTTCTTTCGATTAGTTCCACCGATTTGCTTCCAGAAAAAAAAAAAAAAAAATAAAATCAATAAAATCAAAAAAAAAAAAAAAAAATCAATGAGAAAAGTTGCTACAGGGCACTAAAGATATAAGTTCATAGAAACAAACTCTAGTTATTTCTAACAAATAAAGAACCATCCTAAGGATTTATTGATAGGAATGCTTTTCAGAAGAGAACCTACGGTCATAAGGTTAACTCCAGAAGATGTTCTCGAGTATGACGAGGGTGTCAATCATGGGAAGTTGAAGAAGGCAGTTCACATTGATGCCACATCCCTGAATAATAATTCTATGGCTGAAGAGATATCACAGAGCGATGATGATTTTGATAGCGTTGAAGCATCCAGTAAAAAGAAGGAGAAGGAGAGAAACTTAAGAATTGGTCTCCACTCAAAGTAGCTTCTTCTGTCCAAGTGGTTCCACGAACTTAAAATGGTACTTTTTTTTTTGGACATGATGTTTTCCACAAAATGGTTCATCTTTTAATGCCAAAAATAAGCGCCTAAGTTATAGGTATCACGTATTACAAACATGAAAATAAGACTTTAATATTTATTATAATACAAATTAATTAGATTTAGCTAGTCAATTCAGTGGAAGAGGAAGTCTCAAACAACTCAAGATGCTTCATCACACAAGATGTTTTCTGGTACGCTTCCTTATCTCTATTCAAAAGTTCTCTTAATTCCTCATCACTTAGATTGTTATTATTAATATCCTGGCCTTCAAATGAATTTTCTTTCAATAATTTACTTAATTCGACAGCAACAGTGGTGGAAGTAGTAGCACTTTTCTTTGTATTTTCATTGGCGAGCTTTTTCAATGATTCAAACTTCCCCATTTGAATGACAACCTTTTCTAATTTTCTCTTTGAGTCCGCTCTGGAAAGCAAAATTTGTTCGGCTGTGTTAACTGTAGCAAATCTGTAGACCAAAACTGGTTTCGTTTGACCAAGTCTATGAACTCTATCCATTGCTTGTAAATCTACTTGAGGATTCCAATCGCTATCAAACAATACAACAGTATCAGCGGAAACCAAATTGATACCTAAACCGCCAGCTCTAGTAGACAACAAGAATACTTTATACTCTGGATTATTGTTGAAGTTATTAATTTCCACCTCTCTAATTTCTTGCGATACACTACCATCAAGTCTAGAACACTTTAAATTCTTATAATCGAGCCAATCTTGAAGTAAGTCCAACATCTTTGTAAATTGAGAGAAAATCAATATTTTATGATTGGAAGATTTTTCTTTATTGAGCAAATTGTCCATCAATTGATCAAGCATTTGCATTTTACCAGAATTTTCAACAAGACGGTTGTCAATAAGATCGTCAGTCTCCCACGGAAAAAAGAATAAATATGGTGAATCACAAATCAATCTCAACTGCATCATTAGATTGCCAAGCGGTTTTTGAGAAATTTCTCTGTTGACAAAGCTCCACGCATTTTCCAATTCACCATACTTTGGTTGGCTGAAATCAAAAGAAATTTTGACATCATCCACATTCTTACCATTATTTCTTATTTCGACAATATTTTCATCATCTTCACCATCTTTAATTTCAACAATATCTCCATCATCTTTAATTTGGATGATATCTTTACCGATGCTGTCATTATCCTTCACAGTTACCTGTTTGCTTTCACTCTGTGCCTCTGCATCCTCAATATTTTTGACAGACTTTACTTTGCATTTTGATTCAGATTTATTGCCGTTTTGTTTCAAAATCAGCAAAGGAATTTTCGCATCACTAGAGGAAATAGCCATACTATCACCACTCTTTTTTTTTTCACCAATATCTTGGTAAGCCTTAGGAAGTGTCTTATGAGATTCAAATGTACTCTGAGTTGGTGATTTGGCAACATTTTGCTGTGTAAGTGCAGGCGTAGGATAAGACTGCCTTTGGTTTGTAATATTGTGAGTTTGAACTGGAATATTGCTAATTTGGTCTACAGCCCTATGGTTTTGAGCTGGCAAATATTTCTGTTGCTGATGTTGATGTTGATATATGAGATTATTGCTAGTTTGAACTGGAATATTGCTAGTTTGGTCTACAGCCCTATAGTTTTGAGCTGGCAAATATTTCTGTTGCTGATGTTGATGTTGATATGTGAGATTATTGCTAGTTTGAACTGGAATATTGCTAGTTTGAACTGGAATATTGCTAGTTTGAACTGGAATATTGCTAGTTTGAACTGGAATATTGCTAATTTGGTCTACAGCCCTATGGTTTTGAGCTGGCAAATATTTCTGTTGCTGATGTTGATGTTGATATATGAGATTATTGCTAGTTTGAACTGGAATATTGCTAGTTTGAACTGGAATATTGCTAGTTTGAACTGGAATATTGCTAATTTGGTCTACAGCCCTATGGTTTTGAGCTGGCAAATATTTCTGTTGCTGATGTTGATGTTGATATATGAGATTATTGCTAGTTTGAACTGGAATATTGCTAGTTTGGTCTACAGCCCTATGGTTTTGAGCTGACAAATATTTGTGTTGCTGATGTTGATGTTGATGTTGATCTATGAAACTATGATGATATTGCTGTGGGTTCATTTGGGTTGGTCTGGCTCCCAAAGAGCTTGGGGTTTTTAGATTATCAATTTCACTCTGACCTATGTTTGGAGCCTGAGAATTTAAGGCAAAATCAGGCTTTGTATCACCGCTGATAATATTGTGAGCTACTAATATTCGATCTGCGGATGACAACCTCATTAAAACGCTATAAATTCGCAAATATTTTTTGTAATCGTGATCCAAGTCTGCATTATGCTTTTGGGCAAACTTGTAGTAATGATCAGAATTTTTTAGTATCCAGTAAATTCTTAGTTTTTCTTCTTTGCAGGTAGCGGGATCGGCCATTTTGCGACTGAGATTTAAGAAAACTTCTGTGCTTATAGGCTTTGGGTCAACAGGAACATCAAATTTCACAGGAGGTTCGAACAACACAGGGGCTCCCAGAAATGTGGCTTTCAAATACAATTTTTTGCTTTCTTTTTGTCTGAACTCAGATATCCATAGCTTGATTATTGTGGCCAAATTTTTGATACGTATTTCGTGTTCAGAGTAGAAAGATCCTACAAGCGGTTGCTCAGACCTGTGAAAATTTCTCATATAAGCAAATTCATCTGTTGGGCCCTGTTGGACTTCGTTAGGTTTACCATTAACATGATTTTCAATTGGGTATCGAGATTCAAATTTTGACTTTAATGTCTTTAGTTTAGGCATTTTTGTTTCTAGTGAATCAATTGGGACCTGAAGTTGAAAACTGATTTGCATGTCCGGTGGAATTTCAGGAATGATGAAGCCGTCGGCATCTTTTAACAATTTCTCAGACGCATTTTTTTGTTTCTTTTCTTTTTTCGGATTCTTTTCTTTCTTTTCTTTATTTTTGTTTTCTGTATCTTTTATCTCTTCTTCAGGATCTGTTATATTAACATCAGAATATGAGAGATCCCCTTCAAATTCTTTAAATCCGATATCTTGATAATTAGCCTTATTAGATGCCAATCTTTTAGCTCGTCTTTTACCTGTATTAGTATCGCCCACAGAAAAATTATTATCCAACATGTCAACCAGCAAACTCTTATTTTTTGTGTCCGCTGGTGGTTGTTTATATTTGAAAAACTCATCAAGTTCTTCTTTTGAAAACCTTTTGCTGTATCCGTTTACTTCCATAAACTCATAAAAGCAACTTTCCACCAAATACAGCTTTAGGTTCTTTGTCAAAGCAGCCTGATATAACTTTGTTTGACGATCAGTTAAAGAGTTATACACGATATATTCTCGTTTCGGAGGCAAACTCTTTACCACCAATTTCTTCAATCTTCGAAGTAAAAATGGCTGGAGAATGGTGTGCAAATTATCAATCAAAGATTTCTGTATTTCAGCATTGATAGCTTCGGAATTATTGTCACCATCCAAATTCGAAAAATCAAACCAACTATGGAATAGTTCGATATTTGAAAAGATATCGGGAAGAATGAAGTTTAATAATGACCAAAGCTCATCCAAATTATTCTGTAGAGGCGTGCCTGTCAATAATAACCTATTATTGGTGTCTAATTTTTTCAATTCCCGAATTAATTTGGAGTTCACATTCTTTAATCTATGACCTTCATCCACAATTAGAAACTTCCAAGTGAATCTATTGAGTGAGCGGAAATCTTTAATAATCATTTCATAACTGGTAACCACAATTCCAATGTTATTGCGCTTTTGCTTTGTAAAATATTTCTTTCTAATTTCTTCTCTGGTCTCTTTAGTCCCCACATAACTGATATGTGGCACTGAAGGAATAAATTTTTCAATTTCCTTAATCCAGTTACCCACAGTTGACAATGGGCAAGCAATGAGAAATGGGCCTTTGTTGCCATTTTCATAAAGATAGGCCAACAAGGAAAGTGATTGAATAGTTTTCCCCAAACCCATTTCGTCGGCCAAGATACCATTCAAACCATTCTTGTATAATGTGACCAACCATTCAAGACCTTCCAATTGGTAATCTCTCATAACAGCACCTGTTACAAGTTTCGGCTGATCTCTTGAGACTTTTTGAGCACTGGTAATTTGTTGTTTTGTTATTTTTGTTTCATTCAAGATCTCTTTATCATCCTTGTACATCTGCAAAGGTTTCTTTCTGCTCCTTCCTCTATTTCCACGTCGAGTTCTCCTTGAAATCGTGTTATCTTGTTCAACATCATTATTTTCACCTTTATTCGTACTTTCCTTCTTAGATTCCTCTTCCTCTTCTTCCTCTTTCTCCTTTCGTTGTTTTTCTAATGCACTTTCAAGTAACCTGTCAGCCATATATTGCGAGAACTTTTTAGACTGTTCCACTAAAGCGTGCAATCTTGTAAGTTTTTCATTATCATCCATATCATCAAATTCTTTTTGGGCTTCCTGATCTTTATCGGTTTTGAGAGTTTCAATCATGTTCTCGAAATTTTTATCCTCTTTCTCTTGATTCACTTTTATAGGATTATCTTGCTTGGTATTTTTGGATGATGATATGTATGATTCATCATCTGAAGATTTCCTAGTTGTAGAGTATCTTCTCGATTTATTTATCGGAGCTTTAGATAAAGATTCCTGTCGCATACGAAGCTTCTTTTTCTGTTGAGATTCAATACGCGTCAGTTTTCTTTTTCTAGTATTAGCTTCTGATTCAGTTTCATCCTTTTCTGCATTTTCAGACAGATTACCTTCACCTTCACGATCTTCAGACTCACTATCTTCAGAGTCGCTGTCTTCAGATACACTATCTTCAGAGTCGCCATCTTCAGATTCACTATCGATGGCAATGACTTGAGCTTTACGATCACCCGATCCGTCACCCAAAATTTGCTTTTTCCCTTTATATCTAAAATTTAAAATTTCATCTTCGGAGTCTTCGCTGAGATCTTTATGAGTGATAATATTCATATCTCTATTAATCATCTCCATCACATCATCCATTTCACTAGCAGAAATCTCCATCACATCACTGTTATCGTCATCACTTGAATCGTCTTTTCTAGATCCAGTAGAGTTGTCAGGTTTGATTTCAACCAGCATAATTTTGTTACTTTTATTTCGAGAGCTCTTTACTCTCGATCCAGGTGCAGCACTCTTAGATTTTGGTTTAGGCGTTGAGATTAACAGGTGTTCTTGATTGAAAGTTCCCTTGGTTGACGTACGCTTACCTTCAGAAGGTTTCTTTTTCTTGTTATCCATTTCAATTTCTCCAGAAATGTTGGCGGATGAATGTGTTGTTTCATCATCGTCACTAGAATCCGAAAAAACCTTATTCTTGCTGGCACTTAATACTCCACCTGACCTTGAGCTTTTCATAATGGATCGTCTTTTACTTGGAGTCAAAGATTTTCTATCAGATTTAATCATATTGGAGTCGGTTTTTTTAGCTAAAAAGCTGGTTCTTGGACTATTCCTGCTGTTGCTAGAGTTCGCTCCCAAAATTAGGTTAATGGGATCAAAATGTTTGGAAGTCTTCTTTTTGGAATCGTGCGAATTTTTCTGGCTTTGACCTTCATTATAGGATACCTTTCCCGTATCTGCCAGAGCTGTAGGAGCAGTAGAGTATCGCCTTTTGCTATTAACGCGATTTTTCTGAGAGTAGTTGGGCACCAAAACAATGTCATCGTCACTTGAGGACGAGGAAACCGACATATTCCCGTTATATAGATATCACTCACAGATATGTTCCAGAAAAAAAGATTCTTAATACCTAAATATGTAAAAAAAAAAAAAGCTGTATCAGTAGTTTGGTAAAGAGGGCGTATTGAAGGTGCTTTTCATGGTATAATATTACTTATTGTTTATGGTTGATTTCATTTTCTCGATAATTCCAAAAGTGGAAAAAAAAAAAAAAAAAAAAAAAAAGACGCGTAACTAGTCAAGGTCACCCTGCTTAGTTCTAATATACACCTATAGATACTATAGTTAATCAAATGATCATTCGAAGAAGTGCTTTACCAATGTAATATCCAGGTGGTATTAGGATGAATTTTTTTTTTTTCCTGTATTTCCTAGAAATATCCGGTCAACCTCAGGAATGCCTTCGCAGTTGTGATATTCAGAAAACAGTTTAAGGCTTCCAATTTCTGTCACTATATTTTTGGGTATATATCTGTAACAACCTGTAACCACCTTATTGAGATGATCCACTCAGGATGATTTTTCTTTTCTAAGGTCTACTTCAATCGTATCTTCATATTTTTTCCCTTTTTTTTTCTTTTTTCGAAAGAAGAGTCTGGAAACTTAGAAATATCACATTTATGGATATGTGGATATTGATACAAATCAATAATCGACAACACCACGGCTTCTCTTTAATAGACATAGATTATTATGCTTGACAGGACAAACATAAATATCTTTTTATTTTGGTCCAGAAGTCGAGATCCGTACCTTTCAAAGGTACGAAGGTGATATGGTATGTCCACTCTTGACACAACTTCCATCAAATATTTGTACGCTTCGCCTACGCGTCAATATAATCCACCCCACTACCCCACTAAGCTTAAGATATATAGTATGTATGTGGGGGTACAGTTATTTAGGGAGTATTTTGGCTTTAAAGAAACATGTCTTGAAAGCTGCTATATTTATGTCAATAGCGTTGACCTGTTCCCAAGATGAACATATTTTTAAGCTGATCTATATCAGTATATGGCGCATATCTTGAAGGTCATCAATTATCTATATTATCACCAATTTTTGTCTCTGATGATTGTGAACATTTCATAAGTCGTAACCGAACCGTTAAAATTTAGTGGGGGTCATCCAAGCCTTTGCGTCATTACACATAAGAAAAGTCCGGGGTTGCAGGACCAAAATAATCGACGAAAATCGCTATCATCAATGTTAATCATTATGACAGGCCAGTTGGGTGCCACCATGAAACCAAGAAAGCAAAAGTACTCGCACACCTAAAATCAATAACATGAGAGTGGCGGTTGTCATTTGTTATCCTCAGAATGAAAATGAGGGTTCATGCAGCGGACTTTCAAGTTTGAGGGAAATGAGGAGAAAAGGAGATTTGATAGCCTATGGCCTCCGCCCTCCGCACTTCGTTTACTCGCTTTCAACTGTAGCTTCACCTATACCTGACAATGATGACCAATATGCCAAAAATAATTTAAAAGGTTGCCAGTTTGGTAGTTTTTTCTCGCATTTTTTGATTTTCTTTTTATTTCGAATGTTCTGTTCTGTGAACGGCACCAGAAATATCTAGTTCATTTTTCCTTCTTACTATAACAAGTCATACCATGTCTCAGAATAGAGCAATAGCTGACAAACCAGAAGATTCAAATATCGAGTTTGCATCCGAGAGAAGCTCAATCCAAAATAAAAATGAAGACGATATCAATAATCATTTAGAGGATGGAGTCATTTCACTGCAAGAGGGTGATGTCGCTTATACATTGAAAGATCTTAAGAGGCTCACACTTCGTTGTGATCTTATTATCATCTCGATGATCGGAGTTTGTTATATCTTCTTCTATATTGTTCGTATTTTCTTGCTATTTTGAACGACATTTGCTCTCACATAAAATTTTCCATTACTAACATTATTTGAAGGATAGTGAGTTTTTTCAAAAATAAACATCTTCTTCTTTAGAAATCTCTTTGCCGGTCTGAATTAATCAACTAGGAGATTGCAACTTCGAAGAAATTTACTAACATTTCATTATAGAAACCACACTTTCTTATGCTGCCATTTTTGGTATCAAAAAGGACTTGCACCTTGAAGGAGATCAGTATTCATGGCTTTCGTCGATTTTTTATTTTGGGTTTATAGCTTGGTGCTTCCCGAATAATTATCTCTTGCTTAAGTTCCCGGTATCATATTTGCTTGGGCTCAACATTTTCCTTTGGGGCATGTTCCTTTGTTTTCAGGCAGCTTGTAGTTCCTACGGAGGCCTTCTAGCTTGTCGATTCCTTGGCGGAGCGGTTGAATCTATTGCTGACCCGTCATACGTGAGTATAAATATTTCCTGATCCCTATAAACTGCTTCGTGCAAGACTGGACAGAGGCTCTATGCATGTTATTCAAATTGTCGCATGAAAGGTACAGCAGTGCGATCAACAAATATATATGCAGTCAGAATGACGACCATACGAATCAGCACACTAACATGAGAGCAGTTGTTGATTACTTCAATGTGGTATACCAGAAGAGAGCAGCCTCTTCGTATCGGTATTTGGTACACTTTCAATGGAATTGGGGTGGCTTTTGCTGGATTATTAGGGGTATGTATTTTTTTTTTCTCTTCTGTCACACAAATTTCCAGCCTTTTCTGACCCTGATATTAACAGTTTTCAACAGTATGCCATAGGGCACATAAAAGGTGCTTTACCATCTTGGAAATATGAGTTCATTGTTATTGGAACACTCTGTATGGCATGGGGAATTTTTATTTTCTTTGCGATGCCCAAAAATCCAATGCAAAACCGTTATTTTAATGATCGGGAAAAGAAGATCCTTGCTCATAAGTTGAGGGGAAACCAAACGGGAATAGAAACGAAAATTTTCAAATGGTACCAAGTGAAAGAAGCGTTTTTGGATCCAAAGATGTACCTACTATTCTTGATGTGTTTTTTTGGAAATATTCCTAATGTAAGTAGTATTTGAAGAGGGAAAAAAAAAAGGTTATTCATTAATTATCTTTGAAAATACTAACAAATTCTTTTAAGGGAGTCACTTCCAACTTTGGTACAATGATTGTCAATGCCCTTGGGTTCGATACTCTTGGTACCACTCTCCTTCAAATTCCTTACGGTGCTTATATTGCCCTTTGTATCATTTCTGCGGTTCTTATTAATGATAAATTGCACACTAAATTAAAGAAAAATTTCCGTTGTATCATTGCAATTTTTTATTTGTTCGGTAATGTTGCTGGTTCCGCTTGTTTGTATGCTGTTGATCAAAAACATCACGCTGGAAAGCTCATTGCTTACTACTTAACTGGGACTTACAATGCATCGTTTGTTTTAATCATGTCTTTGTCAACATCCAATATTTCTGGTTACACGAAAAAGATTATTTTTAATGCCTTTATATTTTTGGGTTATGTGAGTATTTAAGTTTTGTTTGTTTTTCGTTTCGTTTCTTTGCTTTTTATTTTGTTGAGTTTAATTACTAATGCCCTTTATTAGTGTGTTGGGAATATCGCTGGTCCTTTCTTCGCCAAGTCAGATCAAGCTGCCAACTCTTATCCATTAGCTTCCGGTGCTATGCTTTTCTCTAACGCTGCCGAAATTCTTTGTCTTGTGATTTTCTTTTTCTACGCCAAATGGCAGAATGAAAAACGAGACAAAGAGCAAGGTATAGCCCCTGGTCAGGAAGCATCAAATATTGAGGACAATTTTGAGGATTTGACTGATTATGAAAACCGCAACTTTAGATATATTTATTAGATTACGATACTTTAAATTGTTAAATTGTGTTTCTATAGAATTAGAAGGAAGACAGTCCTAAGTAGATGCGTAATGAAATTACGACTACTTGAGTATTCAAGAATACCTATAGATACCTACAACATTCGCAGTACAGGAGATATTGGCTTATTTGCTTCGCTTCTCAGGAATGAATTAAGAAAACATATATATATATATATGAAAAAATGAAGCAAACGAATGGAAGATCCGGAACTTTGTCATAGAACAGCAATTTCAATAAGTTTAAATCCAAATCTGTTGAAAATTACCAAAATAGAACACTAATACATAACTTGAATAACAAAAAGGCTCTCCAATATATATGTTATAGGAGAAACTCGCGTCTAAACGCGCTCCGGTTTTAGGATTTTTTTTTTTTAATTTGGCGACCCTCTTCCGGATTAGGCAATTTGTAAACAACGTCAGTAGAACCACAAAATCGATTTTTTTTTTCCTCAATTGATCTTTTCTTCCCTCCTGGTTCTTATGAGTTACTCTACACAAAATACAAGAGAAGTCTGGCCCAATTTATAATCAAAGTCACTACGGAACTACATTTAATTTCAGGACTATCCTTTTCAAAAATATCTATAAAAGAAAAAAAAATCAGAATTGATTAACCAACATGTCATTACTAGATACTAGAAGATCGCCATCAAAGAAGTATCAACAATATTATGACCCATTCCTTCTTCCAGATAACAATTCTCATGTGAGTTTTCGAAGATCTAAGTCTCCCTCCAAAAAATTATCTCCAATCAGGCATTCAGTTTTTTCCAATAATAACAAGTCACCTAAAAGGAGCGATAACTACCTATTTAAACCAACCCTTTCCTCTCCAACAAAGTTCAATGTTGTAACAAGTGACTGGAATGATGAAAACCCTCTATCAAAGGTTCCACTGTTGAGAAGTCAAAATAGCAAAACAAGTCTTATTGCATCACGCTCTCCATCACCTACTAGAAGAAGCATTAAGAAAACTTCGACTAATGATAGATTTATTCCATCTAGAGCTTCTAGTAGCCTAAAGCTCTTCAATGAAACTCAAGATGAACATCAACCCAATGCCACGGACTCACCAGAAAAGCATATTGAATACCAAGCGAAAAGAATCTACAAGCATTCAATGGCAGAACTCTGCGGGATCGAAACTGGGCAAAAGATTTTACATTTTGCCCCCTCATCTCCGGAGAGACAAAGTGGTCTAATATTTGACTTGAAGAACTTAACATTGAATGATAATTTAAGCAATGTTCTTGAGAAATCTAGATCAAAGAATAATCATACTGGGGGAATTAATCCGTCAACTGCATTAGCCAGATCACGTAAAATTCCAACCATTCCAGAAAGAATCCTCGATGCCCCAGGATTAGTAGACGATTATTATCTTAATCTAATGAGTTGGTCTTCAAATAATTTGCTAGCGGTGGCATTAGGCAACACGGTTTATATATGGAGAGCTGCTGAAGGAACAGTTAAAGCATTGACAAGTTGTGATGTTCAAGTGACTTCGGTATCATGGAGCGATGATGGAGCATACTTATCTATAGGGAAAGACAATGGGGCGATTGAAGTATGGGATATCGAAGAGGGTACAAAACTAAGAACCATGAGATTTGTGAACACTACACGAATAGCCTGTCATTCTTGGTCAAATCATTTGGTGACATCAGGGTCTGTATCTGGTAATATGTATCATAACGATGTTCGTATCGCTAAACACGCTATTTCGGAGCTTTCCGGTTTCCACAGCGCAGAAGTCTGTGGAATAAGTTGGAGAAAAGAAGGAAATCAATTTGCCTCTGGCGGTAATGACAATATTGTGAATATCTGGGATGCCAGATCATCAGTTCCTTTGTTCACTAAGAAAACTCACACTGCTGCAGTTAAAGCTTTGAGTTGGTGTGATTACCAATCTTCTTTACTCGCCACTGGAGGAGGCACAAATGACAAACATATTCACTTTTGGAACACAAATACTGGCAAAAGAGTTAATTCTCTCAATACTGGCGCACAAATAACTTCCCTACATTGGGGACGTTCTAGTATCGGTAAGGAGATCGTTGCAACTAATGGATATCCACATTATGGGATATCAATGTACCAGTATCCGACTTTACAAAAAACTGGGGAAATTTTGCATCCTCATGATGGAAGAATCTTATATAGTGCGCTAAGCCCTGATGGTAAAATATTGGCTACTGCTGCTGGTGATGAGAATTTGAAGTTTTGGAAGATTTTTGATTCTGAAAGAAGTGAGAAGCTTAATGACAAAGAAATTAAGAAAGTAATGACTATACGATAAGATTGACTATAGATATCGAAATTTTATAGATCTTTTGGCTTCTGATATAAAATCAGACTTATAGAATAGACGCTAATATCTAGATTTTTATATTAAAAATGATATGATGGGTAATTCCAATCATGTAAACAATTAATAATTTGAGGAAAATGAATAAACTAAAAAAAAACAAGCTGGAGAGGAGAGAGAAAGAAGAAAAAAAAAGGCTTAGCGGTATGATAGGAAAAGCAATATCATTATGGTACAAAGGTTTGGGATTAAATCAAAGAAGATAGTTCCTCAATTATCTGAAAAGATGAGGAAAAGGGCCACTTATAGCAACTTGAGCAAAGTCCATATTATGAAAAATAGCACCAACACAATCCCTACCGTTCTCCAGACACCGGTACCCATATTCATACTTCTTGTTAAACGCATTCCGCTATTCTTGACACTCTTCAACATGGAATCAAAATTATTAGAAAGGCTATCCATCACATCGGTGTGACTTGCATGATTATTGATATCTTCCGTGATGGAGCGAAGAGTTGATAGTTTGTTGGCCAAAAGATTGAACTGGTCATCATTCTAAACGGATGTTAGCCAGTGTTTCTAAGTAAAGAAAAATGAAAAAAAAAAAGAAGGAAAAGTGCCAAGTTTGTAAGTAGTCTTACCATATAGTAGTACATATATATCGACAGACAAAAATCCACCTGGCCATAAGATTATACACAATCATTAATTTGTTTTCAAGCATGAAAAGAACATTGAGTAGATGAGCGTCAACACATACCTCTGATTCTCTTTGACTGTATCTCGACATTGCCAACTACTGTTATTTTTAATAGTATAATTATAGATGATGATGGCACAATCTTCATCATTAAACTTTGTAGGGGAAAAAAAATAAAAATAAGAAGAGATTTCTCCACGCACGCCCTGTCATTCAAAACTGTAATAATTACCCGACTGGGGATGATCTAGTTATCATTGATCGACTTGCCATTGCGAAGATAAGTTGATAGTGCAAAGTGTCTATTCCGTAAATGATAATTGATTTGACACACTTGACCGGGCTGTAATGAGAGTGCTTTGTCTTATTATTCGCGACTAAAACAATCATTGAAATCACCTGCAGCCACCTTTCCTGAAATTCTCAAATCAAAAACAAGAAGCAATCTCAAAAGCAAATTTCCAATCTCAATTCAAAAAAAAAAAAAAGAACGAAAATTCCCATATATATTAGCATCGCATCTCTTTTCTCTGAATTGCATTGCACTATTATTGGGGACATCCTGATGTTCTCCTCGACATATCTGATCCGGGCAACCCCCAAATTGTCATTTTTTTTTTTTTTTAGTGATTTTAAAAAATTTTCCAGTTTGATTACATTAGAACTACTATACTAGTAGAAATAGTCAAAGGCCATAAGATCACTCAGTGTAACAATGTCCGACAACAACGACAACGTCAACAACCTTGCAAACCAATTTGCCGATCAAAACCTCGGTGACGCCTCTCAAGGCCAAGACCAAGGCCAATTCAACCCAGGCCAAGCCCAGGCTTTCAACCCAGCTGGCGGTCAACAACAGCAATACTATGGTAACAATAACAACTACTACCAACAGGGTTACAATAACTATAACCAAGGTTATAATGCCAACAACTATAACCAAGGATACAACCAAGGATACAACAATAACTACAGAAACAATTACAACAACAAGGGCTACAACAACTACAATAATAACAATAATAACAACAACAATTATAACCAAGGCTACAACAATTATAACCAGGGCTACAACAACTACAATCAAGGTTATAACGGTTATAACGCCAACAATACCAATACTAACTCCCAATCAAAAGGTATGACCTTGGATGACTACAAGAAACAACAAGCTTCCACCACAGCCGCCAAGCCAAAGAAGACTTTGAAGCTCACTTCTAGTTCAGGTATTAAGTTGGCTAATGCTCCAAAGAAGGAACAGCCAAAGAAGGAAGAACCAAAGGAAGAAAAGAAGGAAGAAAAGAAGGAAGAACCAAAGAAGGATGAAGTAAAGGAAGAACCAAAGGAAGAAAAGAAGGAAGAGCCAAAGAAGGAAGAAGTAAAGGAAGAACCAGCGCCAGTTAAAAAAGTTGAAAAGAAAGCAGCCCCAGCCGCCGCTGCAACCCCAGAACCTAAGGAAGAAGAAACTTACATTGATCCAGAAGTGGAAAAGGATCTTTTTGACCGTAAAGAAACCATGTCTGTTATCTTTATGGGTCACGTCGATGCCGGTAAATCTACTCTTTCTGGTAACATTTTGTTTTTGAGTGGGTCTGTTGATAAGAGAACTGTTGAAAAGTACGAAAGAGAAGCCAAGGACGCCAGTAGACAAGGTTGGTACTTGTCTTGGATTATGGACACCAACAAGGAAGAAAGAAATGAAGGTAAGACCGTTGAAACCGGTAAAGCTTATTTCGAAACTGAAAAGAGAAAGTACACTATTCTTGATGCACCAGGGCATAAGATGTACGTTTCTGAAATGATTGGTGGTGCCTCCCAGGCTGATGTCGGTATTCTTGTGATTTCCGCTCGTAAGGGTGAATTCGAAGCTGGTTTCGAAAAGAGTGGTCAAACTAAAGAACACGCTATGTTAGCTAAGGTTCAAGGTGTCGAAAGACTCGTGGTGGTCATTAACAAGTTGGATGATGAATCTGTCAATTGGTCAGAAAAACGTTACAAGGAATGTGTTACCAAATTGAGTCTTTACTTGAAGGGTATTGGTTTTGACTTGAAAAAGAATGTTTATTTCCTTCCAGTTTCTGGTTTCACTGGTGCTGGTTTGAAGGATAGAGTCACTAACTTGAAATATTACAAGGGTCCAAGTTTGTTAGAATACTTGGATGGTTTGGAAACCATTAACCGTTCGGTGAATGCTCCGTTCATGTTGCCAATTTCTGGTAAGATGAAGGACTTGGGTACCGTTGTGGAAGGTAAGATTGCTTCAGGCCACGTCAAGAAGAACGACACTTTGCTTATTATGCCTAACAGAGTTTCCGTTGAAGTGATGAACATTTATACCGAAACCGAAGCCGAAAATGAGATGGCTAAGAGTGGTGAACAAGTGAGATTGAAGATTAGAGGTATTGAAGAAGAAGAAGTTTCCCCAGGTTATGTCGTTACCTCTCCTAAGGCTCCAGTTAAGATTGCCACCAGATTCGAAGCCCAAATTGCCATTGTTGAATTGAAATCTATCTTGTCTACAGGTTTCTCTTGTGTTATGCATGTTCACACTGCCATTGAAGAAGTCACCTTCACCGCTTTGTTACACAAATTGCAAAAGGGTACCAACAGAAAGTCTAAGCACCCACCTCCATTTGCCAAGAAGGGTATGAAGATCATTGCCGTTTTGGAAACCACCCAACCAATTTGTATTGAATCTTACGATGACTATCCACAATTGGGTCGTTTCACATTGAGAGATCAAGGTGCGACTATTGCCATTGGTAAGATCACAAAATTGTTGAATTAAGAAAGTTTTTTGATACCTTTTGTTTAAACTTTTTTTTCTTGTTTTTACTCTCTCTGTCTCTCTCATATTTGCAAACAATAAATGTTGATTTACGTTGCCTTATTTACGAATAACAGAATAACGGCTGTAGTAACAAGACAATGAAAGAAAAAACAATTGCAACAGTTTATATGTGATGATGTACTAAACGCACCTCGCATCTCTAATAATTTTTTTTCACGCCCATTTTTGTTTTCTGCCGGGTAAATAAATGTTTCTGGCCGTCGATGATTGGCTAAACCGGTGCAGTTTACTACTGGAGGTGTAGAAAAAACTAAATTTGATAAAATACACCATAGGACAGTTGGTGAACCACCACGGAATTTATATCCAGAAGCAATAACATAGCACAACTTCACACAATGTTCAGAACTTCTTTGCGTCAAACTTCCAGAGCTTTCAATTTGGTTGCCAGAAGAACCTACGCCGAAGCCGCTGCCACCGGTGGTTTGAAATTGAACTTTTCTCTTCCACATGAAGCTTTGTATGAAAATGTCAGTGTCACCCAAGTTAATATTCCAGCCGTCTCTGGTGTCTCTGGTATCTTGGCCAACCACGTCCCAACCATTGAAGAACTCGGCTCTGGTGTTGTTGATGTGATTGAAGGTTCTGGCGTCAAAAAATCATTCTTTGTTTCTGGTGGTGTTGCTACCGTCCAACCAGGCTCTAAATTGTCCATCACCGCCGTCGAAGCTTTCCCAGTCGACGCTTTCTCTCCAGAAGCCATCAAGGCTAAGTTGGCTGAAGCTCAAAAGAATGTTACTTCTGCTGATGCTGAAGTTGCTGCCGAAGCCGCCATTCAAGTTGATGTTTTGACCGCTTTGCAAGCTGTTGCCAAATAAATGGATTGATATTGTTTTTGTTCACTTTGCCACTAATCATTGAAGAAAAAGCCAGGGTTTAATAACAAGTCAATTCAATGAAGAGATAATAAATAAAAAAAAACAGAATTTTAATTCATCATTTGTTAGTCATTACTTAAGTTACAAAAAGAAAAGCCAGGACTCCTCCTCTTTTTTTTTTTTCGTTTCCTAGGTTAATGCAATCATCCAAGTATATCTTTGGTATATTTAAAAAAAAGAATATACATATTCACGGTTCATTAAAGTTTTGAGTTGTAGAGTTTGTGTTACTGTTAGGTCTTTGAAGATATAATCATATTTTGTGGCTAGATTTATAATAATAATTTGTTCATCATTCATTGAATAACACAAGTATATTGTATAATTGTATAGACAGGGCACATTATGATTTTTTTTAGCAATAACACTCATAGAATATATAGACTAAGCTCACTCTTTGCTCATCACCCATTCATCAAATTCCCTTCTCTTTTTTAAAATGTCGATGAATGCTGCCTTATTCTCAATCTGCTCAAAAGGACCAGCCCCCAATTTCTCTAATTCAACAGTGGCTTTATTCATTTTTATAGGTTTAAATAATGCAGAGTCGTTTTGGGGAATCGCTGTATATATAGGATCATTTTCCAAAAGGGTGTATTGATGAGGAGATATCACCGCGATAAGTGATCCAATCACAAATAATATAAGACCGGCAATGGCTTCTAGTTTGATCTTAAAAAATATAGTCAGTATAAAAAAAATATTATTATGAAGTTCAATTTAATGGTTTGAAATATACACACGTCCAAAGGAAGTTCCAACGTCGAAGACGAGGATTTTATGAATTGATTAAATTCGTATGACGAGTAGCCGGAGTGGGCTATTAATACCGTTCCAATAAGATAAGCTATTCTGGATACTATGGACATGTTGTTTTTTTTTGGTACTATTGCCACCTGTTGGATAGATATTAATATTGGTAATAATAAAAATTGATGATAGGCGATGATCGAATGTTTGTATGGTGAGGTTACAGCGAAAAAAAAAGGAGACGAAACGCTGCGTGCTCTTAGTAAATTGTTCACTATCGCAATTTGGGCACAATATATGGCGATTATTGCGATTATTATTACCATTATTAGTATAATAGTAATACTAATATTCAATTGCTACTGTGGTATTCTTATTAGCGAAGTATGTATTGTGTTGTGGGTGCACTGTTTGTGGTGATGACGGTGTTGCCGATCCTGCCACACAAAGTGTAGAGATTATTACGATTAATCAGCAGCATTTTTCTAACAAATATAAATACACATCTTCCTCCCCTATCCTTATCACATTAAACATCTAATACATAATAACAACAACAACAACAACAACACCACCGAATTAGTCCTCTCTTATATAATGGCTTACTCAGATCACTACATTAAACTTGCCAACGGCTCAAAGATTTCCCCTGTGGGGTTTGGTACCGGTACCAAATGGTTTAAAACTTCCAATCCAGACGTGGCCGATGAGAAAACCGTCGAAGCCTTGGTCACTGCTTTGGAAGCAGGCCAATACCATATTGATACTGCGGAGATTTATAACACACACATTGAGGTTGCCACTGCGTTGAAAAGGTTCTTTGCTGCCAACCCATCTGTCAAAAGAGAGGATCTCTGGATCACTGACAAGTTCACCCCAAAGAGTTTGTCGCCATTGAAAGTTGTCAATGAGACTTTGAAAGAATTGGGGACTTCATATTTGGATTTGTATTTGATCCATACTCCTTTCCTTAAAAAGCTCGCAGAAACTGATGATATTTCCTTGAAGCAAGTTTGGCAAGAAATTGAGCAATTGTATGAAGAAGGAAAAATCAAGAACATTGGGGTTTCCAATTTCAGACCTCAAGATTTGGATGAGTTACTTTCTTTTGCTAAACATAAGCCTGTGGTTAACCAAATTGAGTTCAGTTTGGTGTTGCAAAACCAATCGAAGGGTATTTACGATTACGCCCAAAAGCACGGTATTGTGCTCGCTGCCTACTCTCCATTGGCTCCGATCTACAAGGCCAGTGGTCCAGACTATGCTAAGTTATCTAGCAAGTTGGAAGAATTGGCAAAGAAGTATAACAAGACTACTGCCCAAATCGCATTGCGTTGGGTCAACCAAAGAAATGTCATCATCGTGACTACCAGTGCCAAGAAGCAGAGAATTATCGAAAGTTTGGATATTTTTGATTTCGAATTGTCTAAGGAAGAAGTTGAAGAACTTACCAAACTTGGTGAAGAATCACCAGAAGTCAGACAATATTGGGAAGGTCTCTATTAAGCTGATTCTCTTTACTCTTCTTCTTTTCAAGGATGATTTTATGATATTTAGAATTTCAGTTTAGTCGATGATGCTTCAATAATATATAACAATGATCAATACTAATACTGTAGAAATAAAGAATGAATAAAATCTTATCTTAAAAACTAAATAAAAGATGACTTTGAATATTTCTACTTTATTAAAGCCCAAAATTCAAACGGTTTTGAGTCACTGTCACTGTCTATGCAGTTTTTTTGCGACATAAAATTTCAAGGGCCATTTATCATGTTGGGGAGGTTTGTCATCCTTGAAGCAAGCAACGATCGATTACAAAAATGGGTGAAGCCACTAGAGAATTCCCAAAGTTGACTAATGACTTGATATTACGTGCCGCTAAAGGTGAGAAGGTCGAGAGACCACCTATGTGGATCATGAGACAAGCTGGAAGATACTTGCCAGAATATCATGAAGCCAAAGCTGGTAGAGATTTTTTTGAAACTTGCCATGATGCCGAAGTCGCTTCCGAAATCACCATTCAGCCTATCAACCACTTTAATGGGTTGATTGATGCTGCCATTATCTTCAGTGATATCTTGGTGGTCCCACAAGCCATGGGTATGGAGGTCAAGATGGTGGAAGGTAAAGGTCCAACTTTCACAGATCCTCTCCGTAAACCAGAAGATCTCCACAAGTTGAATATGACCCCTGATGTCACCAAAGAGTTAGCATGGGCATTCAAATCGATCAACTTGACAAGACACAAACTTAATGGGAGAGTCCCATTGTTTGGGTTTGCTGGTGGTCCATTCACTTTGCTCTGCTACATGGTCGAAGGTGGTGGTTCCAAGATCTTTAGATTTGTGAAAGAATGGCTTTTCAAATACGAGTCTTCCTCTCTTGAGTTACTTGAGGCTCTCACCAAGGTTATTGCTGAATTCTTGGCTCAACAAGTTGTTGCTGGGGCCCAAATCTTGCAAGTGTTTGAAAGTTGGGCCGGTGAATTATCGCCAACTGAATTCAAAAAATTCCTTTTACCATTTGTTATTAAGGTGCGTGAATTGACCCAAGCAAGACTCTTGGAACTTGGGATCACCGAGAAAATCCCAATGGTCATCTTTGCCAAAGGAGCTTGGTATGCTCTCGACTGGCTTTGTGACAGCGGTTATGATGTGGTATCCTTAGATTGGCTATACGATCCAAAAGAAGCCGTGAAGGTCAACCGTGGCAGAGTGACTTTGCAAGGTAACTTTGATCCAGGTGTGATTTATGGTACTAGAGAAAAAATCACTGAAAAAGTTGAAGAAATGATTGATGGTTTTGGCGGTGGTAAGCAAAATTACATTATCAATTTTGGTCATGGGACTCATCCATTCATGGACCCTAAAAATATTGACTGGTTTTTGAAAGAGGCTCACCGTGTCGGCAGCAAATAAACAGGCCAATGCCCTTCATTTTCGCTCGTATAAGTGTTAAGTTTTTTTTTTTTTTTTTTTGGTTCTCTTCCTAGTTTGTAATGCTTTGTTCCACTGTTTTTTTTTTTTTGGCAAAGTTTACACCAAAGCTGTTCTAAGCAACTAAGAAGTCTCTCAATTTACAATGCCAAAATTTAATCTAAACATAAGATAATATATTGTACATAATTTACTTATTCAATTTCTCAATTGTCATGTCATACACGTATTTCCCAAACTCCTCAATGTTCTTGAAGGATTTGGAATTGTTTTTATCCACCATACTCACTTCCTCTCTCTTTGATTTATCACTAAACAACTCGCCAGTGACAATATCCAAATGATTCCCATCTGGTTCCCTCCTCACTAATTTAGAAATCATTTGTTTTAATTCTGGGTCAACTGCGGTACTGAGTAATTTTGCATTGCCCAAAACATATAATCCAAGTTTGGCCCGCGATAATGCCACTGTCATTCTTTTGATGTCTCTAATATATCCTAATCTTTTAGTCCTAACAATGGATAAGATAACATAATCGGCTTCTCTGCCTTGATAATTATCAACGGTGCTCACTTCAGGATGCCCAAACGTAAACCCTTCAAAATCATCTTGGGAACCTTCTTTAGACTTACCACATCTTTGTTTTAAAATATCTTCAATAAGGAATTTCTGACCAGCGTACATTGTCAAAATAACAATCTTTTCCTTTGGATATCCTAAAAGCCTCATATAAGAATACAAAGACACTGCGTATTCTGCTTCCCCCAAATTTTGATAAAAATTAGGCGTTGGTTCTAGTTCTCCCTTGCCTTGAAACTTATCAACGTCAATGAGCTGGTAAACTCTTCCAAAGCCTGGGTTGGCGTAGGTAAAATCATCAGTTTTCATGTTCGGCAACGTGTTTATTTTCATGGAGCTGGTTTCATAAACATGACTGTAAAGGTCACAAAGGGATTCTCTTGATCTTCCTTGATCAGAAAGTTGGATCGTAGGAACTCCCATCTTGCAAAAAATCTCAAACAAAGAATGGTTGAAATTACTATAATCACTCAAAACTTTGTTTTGAATAATCGGAGAGTTCTGCTTATAATCACCAATCAAAATAAATCTTTTTAATGAATTAGAAGAAGATCCTGTTAAGGCTAATGGCAAAAAGGATTCTAGTTCCGTTAATTGCCCTGCTTCTTCGATTATTATGGTATCAAACTCAACACCAAGCTCCCTGAATTCCTTGAGTCTCATTGCCAAATGAGTAGCTGTCATTGCCACGACTTTAGCCTGCTTCACTAGCATGTAGTTTGATCTTTCTTTAGAACTCCTCAATACTTCGAAAGGTCTATAAGATTGTAGTTTTTCAAATAATGTTGCAACACATCCGTAATAATAAGCAGCCTCGGAGACATTTTCTTTGAACTCAGCACTTTCATCAAACAAATTTGCAGTTTTAAACTCTTCGTGCAAAAATTTCTTAAATGGAAATTTGTTAATTAGAACTTCATTAGAATTAGGATTCTCTTTCAATTCATATAAGAAACTTTTCCAGAGCCTCTTGATATACACGTTAAAGAAAAGCAAAGAAGTCTCGCAACTATTGCCATGGTACCCTTCAATGGATAAAGATTCCGAAAGTTTATTGACTTTATCAAGGAGTATTGGTATATCATTAAGAGCGTTTTCTACTCTACCAAATTTGCTGAATGATTCCTCATCCTTGTCACCATACAAATATTGCCCGCCATGACCTAATCGTAACAAATGTTGGCCATCAATAGTTCCTAAATCATTGATCTTAGTGAATATATGGTTCAAACCGTGGTTACTGTGAGTTATGATCAATGTCTTTTCAAAACTGAAATTTTGAACTATACTGGAAACAATTTGTGTGGCCACATCAGTTTTGCCAGTGCCTGGCGGTCCTAAAATTAATGTGAGACCCGGGGACAATCCAGAAATAATGGCATCCACTTGACTTTTTGTGAAATGAACTAATGGTCTAAAGTCTAGTTTTCCTTGTCTTCCTGAGATTAGTTGATTATAATTGTGGGCCTTAAATGGTAAAACGTTGACTTTCTTTTGGTCCCCATTTCCAAAGTCGAGCATGAAAGGTGGTTCAATAGACGGATCATCTGAAGGCTTTTCTGATGTTTTTCTCTTCTTATTCGAAGCATCACCGCCATATTGTGTAGAAATTTCATAATTAGGCAAGCATTCTTTCAAATGATCGAAGGAGTCAAAAACATGACTGAAATCTAAAATCGAAGCGCGACGATGTTGATTCTTATAAGATTCACCAGTAGGATCACCGTACCCTAACAAAATATCGGCAATCCAATTAGGTAGGTTTATTTCCGAAGATAATAAAGCTCTGACACTTTCTAAAATCATACAGAAATTATTTTCCTTTTTTTTTCTTCTAATGATTGCGTTGAAGGTACCATATAATTCTTTATCATCATTATTAAACACATATGGATCCATATTGACATAAAGTCTTCTATATTTGTTATTTCTAGGATTTTCATTTTGATTCTCCATTTTGCTCTCTTTCAAAGGTTGACCATGTCCATCGAGTAATTCAATCACGGTAGCGGATACCATATGTTTAATACCATACTTCTCCAAATAGTTTTTTGGATTCTTAGAAGGCTCTTCCAAACTCACAAGGAACACCACTTCATCCTTACTTAGACTGTCCCACTCTTCGGCAAAGTTTCTAGGCAATTTGTGATAGTGAAACTGAACCTCAGCTTTAACATAAGATGGATGCTTAGACTCAATTGACACAGGAGAGACGTCTAATATCTCTAAAGGTTTTATTTTTAAAGCATATTTACTAGTCCCTGCAAAATGCCAATTATCCCCTTCAATATTCTTATTAGATTTCTTGACCTTTAACCTATTGATAACATTTTCAATGTCATTTCTAATTTGATAGAATGATTCCTGGCAGTATAAATGGAAATTTCTGTTAAGAAAATCATTGAAACTTAAGTACTGAGAGCCTAATTTATATAAAGGCCTTGATAAAATCTCAGTTCCAGCATCCTCATCGAAAAGTAAAAAGTTCTTTAAGATATCTCTTTCTGTTGGCAAATAAACCTGGTGTTTATTAATGGATGAAAAACAGACTTGTCCGATGAACTTAAAATAAATTGATTCAATCATCAAAGACATGTCTTTTGGTAATTGGCAGGTATCAATGCCCAACTTTCGAGAGAATTCCATTACTTCTTCGAGAGATAAATCATTAAAGTATGTATGAAAAATATCATTATCAGTAATCTCAGACAATGAAGAGTGTGTCAATCCTTTAAGACGATCTGGCATAAATACATGTGCAACCTGTTTTAGTGTCTCGATTAGTTCATAAGCAGACTTGTTTAGATCCTCTGTTTTGTTCAATCCACTAAAGTCATCTATTGGGAAGTAAATGAACTCTTTTAAAAGATTTAGCAGCTCCATGTAAAATGAATTGCTTTTATTCAACCGCTCATCTCTGTAAGTTGCAGATGACTGGATTGTTGCCATCAAATTCATCTCTTTCAATATTGTGTTTGCAAATCTTCTTGTCGGAAGCTGAGAGATAATATCTATAAGTAGACAAAACACGCTATTATTGTATTCTATCATATCTTCATGAGAAATTCCTTTGGATCTGGCGCTAAATAGTAACTTTTGGTAATTATCGATGAATGAATAGAACCAGGTTCTTTGGAAATTTAACTCTGATTTATCCTGGGCTTTAGCCAATTTCTTTTCTAAAGAGTTGTAACTTTTCTTGAGGAATGGGTATTGATTTAATAGCTGTTCAGCATTGGCTAAGTTAGAGAACAAGCCGATCGAGAAAAATGGTGCTATTTGTTTGCGGATTGCTGCATTGTCCAAATTATTCACTAACAAATCAACAAAAGATATCAAGTATTTCAAATTAAAAATGTCTTTTGGGAGGATTGACGGCTGTAAAGATATTGAGAGTAATAACATAAACACTCTTTTTACCAAAATCTTGAATTTCATTGCATCATCAATTACTGACCAAATTGGGACTTCTATTAGAGATTTTAATTTAAAAATTAATGCTATCGAGATTATATGATCATTTGTTGAATCTTCCAGTACATTTTCCCATAAATATAATTCCAAATAGTTTACTGAGTCTAATATGGATGCAACAGATTTCAAATTGCATTTCTTAGAAATTATTAGCGATCTGGTAGACTTCAAAATATTATGGATCAATTTTGTATCAAGCTTCCTCTGTTTCTTCACATTTATCCAAACCTGAGACTTCGAAACTATCTCATCTTCGAATTTTTCCAGCCCATCTTTCTTCTTCGAAATCATTTTGATCTTTTATGGGTAACTTCAAGAAACCCCATCGAATTATTTTGGAAATTTATGTAAAAACAAAATAAAATAAAAAAAAAAAAAAAAAGTGCATTACACGTGATTAAAATCTACATTCAAAAAGAATGTTGACGTCTCAACAGCTATTATTAACCTCAAGCAGTTATTTGAACGGTCTCAAAACCATTTTTATCAACACAAATACTTCCGCAATGTCTGAAGATTCTTATGCTGCCTCTATAGATCTCTTGCGAAGATTGGATCCAAAAAATGTGTCAAGAAACTTGACTAACCTTTGTCGTTTAGTTCCTGATTTGGCCGATGAATTGTTGTCATCGGTTGATCAGCCATTGCAATATCGCAAGTGTGAGGAAAGTGGAGACAACTTTTTGATTTGTGATTACAACAGAGATGGTGACTCTTATAGATCTCCAAAATCAAACAATTATTATCCACCACTCTCCGGTGAGGACGCGGAATTGGCACCAAAACCTTTGAATGACCTCCGTGAGCTCGAAGTGTTTGCTAATGACTCCTTTGATATTTATAGGGACTTATATTACGAAGGTGGCATCTCTTCAGTTTATATGTGGAACCCAAATGATTATGAGGATGAAACTGACATCAATGATATCACCAATGGTTTTGCTGCTGCGGTTTTATTCAAGAAGGAATCGGATGTTTCAAGTTCTATTTGGGATAGTATTCATGTGATCAATGCAGAGAAAATCTCCCCAGAAACCTTCATTTACACTTTAACTACTACAATCATCATGAGTATGGAAGACAGCGACGCCGAACAAGGTATCTCATTGAGTTTATCTGGTAGCTTGACTAGACAATCAGAAAAGAAGGCTGCTGCCAAAAGTTATATTGACCACATCACAAACATGGGTACTTTGGTTGAGGATATGGAATCCAAGTTAAGAAATATGATACAGGAGGTCTATTTCAGCAAGACTAGAGATGTGGTGGGTGATTTGAGAACTATTAACAAAGTTTCCAACTTGTACAACGAAAAAAGTATGCAGAGCGAGGTCATCAAAGGCATACAGGGCCGCTGAGCACATAATTTGTTATTAATATTAATATTGTTATTGATTTTTCCATTTTTTTTTTTTGCAGCAAGCGGTTACCAGTTATTTCAATTGTCAAGGCAGGGCTAGAACCCTGGAACTATTGTTGTAGTCTATTGTAAAGCTTATCAACAAGTAATTCCGGTATTATCACGTGCTTCCGGTGTTTGCAGAACGCAAAAATTTTTTTTCTTTGACACCCAAAAAAAAAAGAGAAAAAAGACGTGGTGATGGCCTTCTTCATTAGTCTGTGATTGTATCTCGATATAAGTTTCAGAAACTAGTGCTATATTTGTTATTTGTTATCGATATACTCTCAATATTCAATTTTTGTCTATCAAAATTCTTGCTTTGGTGAACAATAGAAAGTAATAGAGCTAATAAAAGCAAAAAGGTTATTGTGAGGCGGGAAATTAATCTAATATAAATATAGAAGGAAAATGGGAGATAATGAAGAACTTTTTATCTCAAAAGTTTATGCTGATGTCAACACATCAAAGCCACAATCATATTGGGACTATGATAATGTCAGCATAGTTTGGAGAAGTCAGGAAAAATACGAGATCGTCAAGAAAGTTGGACGTGGTAAATATTCAGAAGTCTTCCAGGGAGTGGAGACGCCATCTGGTAGAAGGGTGGTCATCAAGGTTTTGAAACCAGTAAAGAGAAAGAAGATCAAGCGTGAAATCAAGATCCTACAAAACTTGATTAATGGCCCAAATATCATTGACCTAGTCGACGTGGTAAGAGACCCAATATCTAAAACACCAGCATTGATTTTTGAAGAAGTTAGAAACATTGACTTCAGAACATTATATCCAAAGTTCACTGATTACGACATAAGATATTATATGTATGAATTATTGAAGGCCTTGGATTACTCACATTCCATGGGTATAATGCACAGAGATGTCAAACCACATAACGTTATGATTGACCACGAGAAAAAGAGCTTAAGATTGATTGACTGGGGTTTAGCTGAATTTTACCATGCAGGTACAGAATACAATGTCCGAGTGGCTTCAAGATACTTTAAAGGGCCAGAATTGTTGGTGGATTATAGACACTATGACTACTCACTTGACTTGTGGTCCTACGGTGCGATGTTGGCATCCATGATTTTCAAAAGAGAACCATTTTTCCACGGTAAGTCCAACACTGATCAATTAGTTCAAATTGCAAGAATCTTAGGAACTGATGATTTAGAGAAATATCTCGAGAAATATTCCATTGAATTGGGAGCAGAATATGAAGACTTGGGGCAATATTCCAAAAGACCATGGAGCAGATTTGTAAACGCTAACAACAAGCAATTTTTGTCACCAGAAGCTATTGACTTTGTCGACCATTTGTTACGTTATGATCATCGTGAAAGATTGACAGCCAAAGAAGCAATGGCTCATGATTACTTCAAGCCTGTGCGTGAAGCTGAATCCAAAAATAAAAAAAAATGAATTGAATAAATCTATATAGATAAATTTGCTCATATTTTTTTTTAAAGTTTTTTGTTGCTTGTTTTTTAGTTTCAGAAATAACATTTTAGTTTTGGCCTTATGAATCATTTACTTTTTCTTCTTTTTCTTTTTTTTTTTTCTTGTTCATTTATTGTTAATGTTTTTTTCCAATTTTTTTTTTTCTTTTTTTTTTTTTAAGTGATCTTTTATTGCTGCTAAGGTATATTTATTATTTGACACTTTTTGTGTTGTATTTTAGAATTACAATTCACAAAGAAGAAAGAAAAGGTCACTAGAAAGAAAGCTACGGTGTTATTAATTATCTCTTCTCGTTTTATTATTATTTCTTCACATCCTTATTCACTTTAATTTTATCAATGTATATATTAGTCATAGCCAGCAATATGATGTTGTGAATTTTAATATTTTTATTAGAAAACCGCCAACAATTCGATTTTTAGAAAAATATGTCTTCAACAAGTCTTCCATTTTTCATCTAAAAACAATTCCCAATCTATAGCGTTGAATGAAGACAAAATTTTGGCATTGTTGAGAACCAAAAGGTGAGCCAAAAGTTTCCTTCTGAATGTTCGAAGCTGTTTGAATGATAACGCAGCTGTTTTATCGTCGTTTGAAAGTCTGGTGACCAATTTATTTTCCAAGATGCAATCAATTAGGATTTTGAGAATCTCAAGCATCACCATAATAACAAATTCAAATCCTGCAGGGTCAACTTTTGTGGAGTCACCAGCGGCGATACTGAAATGATATTTGTCTAAAAAATTTAATAGCAAAATCTTGTGCCTAGAGTCACTTTTAGTGAACTGAAGAAAAGAAATTTTAAATATTTTGAAGAATGGTTGGTGCCGTTGTTTATGCTTCTTGAAGATAGCTTTAAAATCGCCAGGCCGTTCATGTAAAGACTTCTTAAACCTATCCTCTTTTGGGAAAGAATTATGGAATATAATGATCATCACTAAGTATTCAAGTTTAACACAATTATCGACAAACATTTGAAATATTAACTTCCCGCAAAATTCAGGGTCGCAGCTCATGGCGCTCTTTAGAAATTGGGCATAAATTCTGAGCATCATAGTGCTTTTCAAATGACAACCAAGTAAAGAACGATTACCATTATTCCTCTCACTCTTCTTTCTATTGAAGATATTTCGCTTATTTTTTAGTGTTGCCAAAAGTGCTTTAAAAAATAATTCATCAAATTGCCTAAAATTCGTCATTTTGGCGCCTTTACTAATAGGATCCTCTCGGAATTTAAACTTGAACAAGGAGTTTATAGACATTAAAAAATTGATCAAAAACTTGGATAGTAACTTTGAAAGCCTGTAGTTTTTATCTAACAAGGACCCAGTAGTATCATCTGAGGTTTCCTGGTACTCGCCATGTATTATGGGATTTGATGCCAAAAAGTAAAACACTTCAAAGATCTTAAGAAATTGACGGAATGTTAGATGTGGGTTAATAGAATGACATATTTCTGAATTTTCAAAGTTCAATATGGACTGATAATTGTAATAGTATATTCCTAAAATTTCTAAAGCATCTTTGTATTTTCTTGAGTGTATTAAATTATTTGAAAGTTTTGACTTTCTCACAGAATTGAGAATTGGGAGCTCGTCAGACGGTTCTTTAATAGAGAATTTATCTATTCTTGGATTGATATCAATAAGCTTATCATTCAATACCGAATATTGCTCCACTAGTGTAGATTCATTTGATAAACTGAAGGATTGTGACGGTTCTTTATTGGGTTGGCTCTCCAAGCGTTGCTTGATGAGTTCTGGAAAATTATGGTTGGTATTACTATTTATTTGATTTTCAAAGCCAGAATAAAGTGTCGGTCACTTACCAATCGCATTATTAGAATCTCTATTCTCTGAAGGTAGTTGTTTGAGAGTTGCTAAGGACTAAAAAATAGTTAGCGCTAATCATCCAAATCAGTATCAGGCATATAACAACAACACATACGATCGCTAGATATAATTGAAATTTTGTCTCTAAATCAATAAGATCCATTTTATCTCGTGTTTATAAAAGGTTTTGAATGGGAATCAGTAAGAATCAACTAATAATAAAAAACGAGGAAGAAAATTGTGAGCTTCTGACGTTATTATCAACGTTGGGCTTGTTTGACCCATGATTATGGGTCTATTGTAATTCATAGAAAAAAAAAAAAAAAAAAGGTAAGCAAGGCAGTTGTCATCATGGTTTTTTTTATATTAAGGGCTAGCGGTCAATAAAATATCACAAAACTGACATTGAAGGCCGAAGATTTCCAAATTGAAGAGGCTCAAAATAGAAAACAAATAAATAAAAAGAAAGGGAGAGATTAAAAAAGAAGTCAATGCCTTCAAAAGCCAATGTAAAGAAGAGGTTCTCTAAAGCGGCTGTTCTTGATGAAGGTGACCTCATATTATTGAATGATGATAGAAACTACATTGATTTAAACAGCAGTTCGTTCCCTGTTAATGTTTCTACTTCAACTAGTAGTGACCTCAGCAGAAATAATGAGCTAAAAGAGGATCACGAAATCGGATTGAGTTATAATATTAGTATCCATCGCACTAATAGCGGCAATGAGTCTGAACAAGATTTTGATCCTCAATCTTTGCCAGCAATATTACTAGAGAATAACAGTCATGACATTATTCAAGACTCAAAATCCAGAACAGATGGTAGCATTTCCCCTGCTTCTGATAATGGAACTGAGCCTAAAGTAACATTATCCAAGAAACGGTCAATTATGCGATGGGCCCTGAAGGACTACAATTCATCTTTGAAAAAACTTGACATTATTTCAGCACATCAACAGCAACGAGAAAACAAGTTGAAGTGTCAAAATTTTCAAGATGAGTCTGCGACAAAGCATCGGTGCAAAATATTTAAATTTTTAGGCAAAAAAACTAGTAATCGTCTATCTTTTGCCTTGCCTGACTTCAAGCTCCAGGAAATCGAAAAATTGATTACCGTACTAGATAATTTTGACAAAAGTTTTGGAGCGGCGGAGCAACAAGAAAAATCTGTCTCCAAAAAAGCATCGTTTGAAAGCTCATCATTATTGTCGGGACGATCTTTCCCTGATATTGAATCCAGATTTCAAGAGTATCATTCTCGAAATTTAGATATTGGCGCAAAAGTACGGCAGTCTTTGGAAATGAGTGAATTGTCGGACTTGTCTTATGATTTAATCATTGAGCATGAAAGAGGTTTAATCTTATTTGGCTATCCTCTCTTCAGTAAAAATACATTGGTGCAGCCCGTTGATCCTTATCCATTTATCAACCAATATAATAAGACTATTAACATTGCTCAAGATAGTGCGGCTGCTGGTTGTTTTGCTTACGATATGAAATTGTACCCAATTGATGCGAATAAATGGGAATGGAAATGGGATAAATGGTATGTGTTGATGCTAGACCATGATATCGACGATCAAGGCTGGATATACTCTGGGCTAACTTTTTCAAATCGACATTGGAGAGGCAAGTACCGATTCGGTAATAGTGTCAGAAAAAGATTCTGGATTAGAATCAAAGAAAAGAAATTGGGGAATTCATTATGTAAGGAAATCTTGTCAGTTTCATGCACCGGCAAAAATATCAATAAAGATGGAAGTGGACATCTTATGCCAAGCCCCTCTCATGCAACTAATATAGATAGCGGTAGTAACCCTTTCAGAGACATACAAAACTTTTTCGATGAACTCCATGGCTTTCGTTTAGACAGGCTAAAAATTGAGTTTATCATTGCAACCTTTTTCGATAATAACGCCTCACCTCATGTTCGAAATCTACGGCAACAATTGCTTGGTGACGAAAATTATTTTGAAGAAATGTTGAATAGTTTAGTATTTCCAGAATCCCTAAGGATTCTCAGAGATAAGTTTGTTACTGTGTCAACTAACCAAATTGAAAAAAATGATATTATGATCAATGACCAAAGTGACAGCGTTGGCGGTTTAGCAACGGCTTTTTTATTGAAGCTTGACTCCAGGTGAGGTTAACGAAAGCCAAATCCATTTCCAAACACACTCTGCACTGGTGTGTAATAGTTGTACTGTAGCGTCTCTAACTTTAAAATATCAGTGTTCAGGATTAATTAATATTCATTTTAAACAAAATAATGAGCACGCCTGATTAGGTTTTCTTTAGTATAGAATATACCTTTTCCGGAAAGAATTTGTGGAATGCACACTACGGATAAAAATAAAATGGGTAGGAAATTAGTAGAAACTTGACTTGTTTTATTATAAAACATAAAAGAGAGTATGTATTAGATGTAGAGTTAGTGACAGCCAAACCCAACAGTACAACCATTTACCCCGCCGCACTTTCTTTCACACTAATGGAAAGAGGCGTAAAAAGAAACCAAAAATAAATAAATAGTAATAATAATGAAAAAAAAAGAGGGAAATTACGAAAAACCAGTAAGGGTTGAGGAAGATACTAATGAAAATTATAAAAACATTCATAGATCAACCGGTGTCAATTGCGTCAAGTCTAATTGATAATTGGTCAACACTTTGACACTCCAGTTTCCAGCATCAAACACCTCGTAATTAGAGACTTCAAAGTTCTCACCAGAGGAGGAGGATGGGGCTGCTTTCAAAAACCAGAAAGCCTGGTTTTTATATAGTCTCCAGTTTTTCAAAAATAAACCCCTTTTGGCAATGTTTCTTTCGGATTCTGACAACCCATAATAGAAACCAAAGAATAGAATAAGAGGATCAGCTTTCGATAAAATCAAATCCAAGTCGATGATTTTGATTGGATTTTTACTGAAATCATAATTGAAAGTTGATCTAAATGCGTCCCATTCTGAGCTGAGTTTTAATATTTCATTTGGATGGAGCGTCAAATTAAGACCAAGTACCAAATCCTTTCTTGGGTTTACCATCAAGTCTTTACAGCTGGAAATGGTGCCATAATTCACAGCTGATGGAGTCTCTGATTGTTTCTTCCTCTTATTATCATTTCTAACTTGGATGAATGAATAGACAAAACTTTGCATACCTGGTGTAAGAGAAGCTACCAATGGATCTTTCGTGAGCTTAATTTCATTTGGAGATAATGGCTCTTGCTCCTGTTTCGTCACAATTTTATCTAGTTGGCTAGTAATTATGGTGTCAGTTGTTGCAGTTGATAGCATTGCTGGGGCGGTCGACTTTGGATCACTGGTGGCAGTGTCAGACAAAAGTTTTGAATTTTGAGAAGTGATCTTTGGAGATGACGATGATGATGATGATGATGATGTTGGCGCATTTTGAGGAATGATATTGAGTTCACCAATGATTGGTGGTTTAGATAAACTAATCGTTGTTTTGGATGGTATAGAAGTTGGAGATTGCTTCTGCTCAAGTTTCAGTGCTGATGTTGCTGCTGCATCAGCCCATTTCTTTTCATTGACTGGTCGGCTAGGGAGTGGAGCAGGCTTCAACAGCGTAGCAGATGGCGGTAGGCTTGTTAAAAACGTACTTGAATGAAGTGTTCCAGTAGTCTTTATTGTTGTTGATGATGACGACGAGGATGATGAAGTTGGTATTTTTTTCGTGATAGGAGGAGAAGCGGGACTTATGCTCCGTTTTACCATTGAATTTTTGCCATTGGAGTGCGATATCAGAGAAGAAGAATTGTGGTCAGTTTGAGTTTCTTCTTTATTATTTGAGTCGCCATTGATGATATCAAAGGCACTCTTGACATCATGGGCTAATACTTGGTCTCTTTCATCTAATCCTAGAGACTCATATATCGAATCATCAAACATGAAATCTGGATCTTGATTATTCTCAAGGAAATATTGGATATCTTCCTTCAATTCGCCAAGCGAGTCGGGCTCCAATTTTCCGTTTTGCAATAATCGCAATACAAGCTCGAGGTTTTCTTGATGTAATTTGAACATATCCATAGAATCATCTAATTCCGACTTTCTTTCCTGGTCCTTTGGCCCCATTCCCCCTTTCTTAGCCTTTCTACCACTTATCGAAAGTTTTGCGATTTCAGCTTCAATACCCTCCGTCTGTATCTGCATTTGATCTAAAACATCCTTGACATATTCTATCGTATCCTGTTTTGCTTTTTCCTCGGGTGATAGTTGCTCTGGCTGTGACAACCCTTCTTTCGAATAAGCCTTTGTCTTGGAATCTCTTTCTACCTGTTTGTACCTTTCCATTGCTGATTCCACAAGATGACGATACTTCAAAAGTGTGTCCTTATCCTTGACTTCATTAGACGTTTGCCATACTTTGATTTGTTCTCTCAACCTTTGAAGTTTCTTGATTTCTTTTTTCAAATCCTGGAATCATCGTTAGTAAGTATTCGTCAAGAATTGCCAATAATATGACTATGAGTATCTCATTTCTTGTTATTTTCAGAAACAGAGAGAAAAAAAAAAAAGAAGGAGATTGTACCAAAAAATCGTCTAAACTTACACTCTCTAGCTTATCTCGTTGCGTTTGATTCGTGCTCATTTCATGCCTGTCGTAAGATTCATTGAAGGAATCCATACCTTCGCTGATCTTCTTGAACACACGATCCACCTCCCTATAAGTATATTGTTAGTCACAATTCTTTCTCTTGTATAGCCGAACTCCCAAACCATTGAGTTCTTTCCTGAGTCTCCTAACTTGAAGAGCCAATTCTCGAGATGCCCGAAAAAAAAAAAAAAAAAAAACCTGGGGGTATCCGGAGAAAGAAAAATTCAAAAATCCATACTGTTGTAACTTTCTGTGGGCCATGGTATCTAGACTTTCTAACCGTTGAATTCCCTTGGTGTTATTGCTTGGTGTTAGTGGGTGGCTTGATCCTTATTATACTGTACTGTTTTTCAGTTTTTTTTAGTTTTTGTTTTTTTTTTTTCTCCATTTGTTAGCGTTTGGTTATGAAGGTTTTTTTTTTCCCTCTTAAGAAAATCGTTCACCAAAAAATCAATTTTCACTTTTTGGAGTGAGAGAAATTGACTGGCCGAGGAACATGCATCCGGACACCAGTTTATCCTATATTATATTATTTTATATTATATTATATTATTATATTAGTCTCATTATTATTATATTATATATCGTCGACTTCCGGCTTATGAGCTCTATGGGTAAGCAGATGATGGTGATCCAGACATATACAATACACCATGTATACCATCCCCATGGCCAAGTATACTACCGATAACCCAAATATCACTATAACACCGTATTGTAACATCTTTTCTATAGAATCAAAGCAATTATCTAGCAGTTGAAAGTTTAGGTCATTCAGTTGTAGGGGCTCCATAGAGTCAATAGACAGAAGAAGGGACATTGACCACTGTTGATGGTATTTCAACCTATTAGATACTAACCCCTTTTGATTCTTAACGTATAGAACCAATTCTTCAATGCTCGAGCTGCTAATACTAGCATTAATCGATACGAAATTTGACCCATTGTAGTACTTAGTGACGATTGCGTCAAATTTCTCCAGAAGCGAGCTCATCGATCCCAACATACTATCAAAATACACTTCGAAATTGTTTGCTAGTAATTGGGTAGTTTGGTTTTGGTAGCTTATAAACGCTGAATTCAAAGAATTTTGGTTAGTCTCAAATGTTTTATTAAATCCCATAGACTTCCTCGGAAAGAGTTCTTGTACCCACCAATCGCAAAGCCAAATTGAAGCACCGCACATTAATAAATCGCAAAGTTGTGATTCTGCACCAAAGATCCAATTTACAAGCCAGTAAACATACACTTCGTTCTCAATGTCGAAATATCTCTTTTTATGATATTGCCACTTCTGGAAAATTAAAATTAGTTTTTCAGCAACGAAATTCAGCAATGGATTAATGGTATGGTGAACGATTGCAAGATGATTACTGGTGAAGGAGACATCTTTTTTAACCGATTTGGCAAAATATTGTTCAAACTGGAATTGAAAAAATGAAAAAATGATATCAAGAACCACCATGGAGCCCATTAGAATGGCAAATACTATGGAGCGTCTTAATGATATCGAATGTATATTTGATTCCATACTGTCAGCAGAGCTTTTGTATTGGCTGGAATTCGTGTAATTTTTCCCTTCGAACAGAAAGTTTCTTATTCCTTGGAAAGTAGAATATAGAAGTTGGAATGATTGATTTAGTGCCTTGATATGATCGTCACATACTGCCGAGATATTGGCATATACTTCCATGCTTTGATTATTTATAGATTCGAGTTTGGTAATATTGGTATCATTTTCAATGAAGGATTCTAATGACGTGATATTTTCATTGCTAGATTTAGTTATCTTATTGAAAACTTCTCCAACCCAAGAATAATTTATCTCAAGACCTGAGAAATCTAAATTTGAATTCACCGACAAGACATTTTGCTTCAAAGAGTTTGCTAATGATACTATTGACTCATTCTGGGAGCTCAAATTATCTGATATTGAATTATTAGTGTCTTCAATCAAATACAGTATATTGCTGCTCAAGCTGCTGAAATGTTTGGAATAATCATTAGGATTAACATTCATCATTGCCGACTGTATGGATGAGTTTATAAGAACTATTTGGTTTGTTGTGATTCCATTTGTCGTATATAAAATATGATTTTGGAAAGATTGGGAATTCTGAATTATATCCTTATGAAATGCCACATCATTACTGTTCATGACATCCAATATCACTTGCTGGAATTCATTTGGCCGATTTTGGTTGTTATAGTTGACACTAGTTGTTAACGGAATAATCAGTTTCAAGAATAATGATACTGCGTTAGCAAATAAGAACGGAATGATTAGAAAAAATGCTTTGCTGCTTATCAAAGTGTGCAAAAGTCTTGCCCTCAAGCAAAGGTATGGAGTTGGATACGAAATATGATTTTCATTGGTGGTTTTTGATGAGTGGTACATTTTAATGTGTTAAAGATTCACGGAATGTTTTGATAATGAAACAAAAAAAAAAAATTTTCAAAAGTTTTGCGGATTTTATATCTGTGTCTCCTAGGAAATACCAGGTTCAGTGCTGAAGGGCAGCGCTGATACCCTTAAACTTGATGACTGTTTCATCGCATGTTCATCTCTATTATGCATTCTTCGTTTCCTAAACGCACGGTGCAAGAAGAAATTTTTGAGGAACTTTTTTCACTTTAAAATACATTTCTGAGAGAACGAGGCTCTGGGTTTCTGGACTCTTATAAATATAGGATTATTTTCAGTTTACAGGATCTGGTACCACATAGCAAAAATAATGTGGCAGTATAACAATCGTAAACGGAGAAATAGTCCCAACGGTCTGTCTGTGATGTTGAAACATTTGCATATCACGAGCGCATAAGCCAAAAAAGCAGGGAAAAAAAAAAAGTCAATATATGAAAATTAAAAACAAAACGGTTGAGATCCAATCTCGTTTGACGTTAAGACCCTACCAATTGCTCAAAATCAAGCTGCATTGTATATTTGTAAATATACCACAATAGCTCTGAATTGGAACCATAAGACACAAATAAGAATTGATACTTCATACATTCTTTTGGCAGTATCAAATCCTTAAGAGCATATTACAAGTCAAAACCACAACAACAAAAAAATACTATTACAATACCAAATGTCGATTAATCTTGGGGAGTCCCGGTCAGAACTTCTTCACTGGCTTAACAATTTTTTAGATCTTAACTACACCAAAGTCGAACAATGTGGGACCGGTGCTGCGTATTGTCAAATCCTTGATTCGATATACGGTGACGTTCCAATGAACAAGGTTAAATTCACAGTGCAGTTCGAATACGAGTATCTTCAAAACTATAAAGTTCTTCAATCAGCCTTCGCCAAGCATGGAATAGCCAAAGTTGTTTTGGTGGAGAAGCTTAGCAAGTGCAAACTTCAGGATAATTTGGAATTCTTGCAATGGTTGAAGAGGTTCTGGGCAGAAAATAAAGACGAAACACATTATGATCCAAACTCTAGAAGAAAAGCTCTACCAAAGAGCACAAGCAACTCCAGAACTGGAAGCTCTTTGAAACAATCCCGACCAGCAACAAGAACCACCAGTCTGGTAACTAATAACAAACCAACGATGGCTAAAAGAAACCTCCTGGGTATAAGGAATACCAACGCTAACCATGCTGCTTCTGCTTCTGCTACCACTACAAACGCTAGTCCAGTAAAGCCTTCATCAACAACCAGAACCCGTATGTTTGGCGCACCAGCCACTTCTAAACATAGTACAACAGCTACAAATGGTGGCCCAATAAGACCAAAGGCTGGCGTATCGGCACAACAAATGAAGTTACAGAAAGAATTGGAGAAAGAAATTGAGGAATTGCGTCAGGAATTGGCAGGAGTAACTGAGGAACTTGATGAGTACAAGGTTGCTGCGGAAGGATTGGAAACAGAACGTAATTTTTATTTCAACAAGTTGAGAGATATTGAGATTTTAAGCCAGGCCACCACCGACGATTTGTCAGAGCAAGCAGAACAACAGCATCAACAGCAGTTGAATGGAGATTTGACTAACGACGTTCTCAAAAACAATCAAAGCTTAATTGAATTCGTGGAAAAAGTGCAAGACATTTTATATTCTACAGAAGAAGGGTTCCAGGTGCCTGATCAAGTTGATGAAGAAGGAGAAGAGTTCATTGAGCAGGAAAATGATATCCTTGGTGAAGAGGAACCACTTGGTGATGATGAAAGTTTCTAAATGAAGCTTTAGTTGGAGAAAATGTTTATTCGTTTGCGTTTTATATTCATGCTTCATGCTCTCCATTAATGGTATCGGCATATTGTATTTTGCACTTATTCGTCATTATTCATTCAATCTGTTATCGTTTTTTTATCTTTTTTATTATTATTATTTATGTTGAAAATTTCTTGTTGGATAATGCTTTCTAATTGTTAACTTTTTGTTCGTGGATCTAAAAAGATATGAAAAATTATTTGTAGGTGCTTCAAGTTTTCTTCTTTTTCCCTCGTTTTTTGAACGATAATGAAGGTTTTTTATCAGTTTCCTCCTCCTCTAATATCTTGTTTAGATCAACAGATGAACTCTCTTTGATTTTAATTTCAAATTTATCTCCCTTGGTTGTTTTATTTTCCTCTATTGATTTCTCTTCCAGTTTTACCAATGTCGTAGTCTTATTTTTAACTGCTACCCATCCACTGATCACTGAGGTTTCTTTATTGTCTTTTTCATCATTATTGGGCTTCTGCTGGGCTTTGGCAAATTTTTTTGATCTAATTATTGTTGATTTTGAGTCTTCGTGCTCTCTTTTTTTCAGTGATCTGCCTTGTTCAAATGCCAATTCATTTTTAATCCTGTTAATTTCCCTTTCCGCTTGTGATTTCTCCTTATCTTCTTCTCTTTGCATTTTATGAAGACTATTTATTGCCCTAACAACACTGGATTTATGCTTATTTGATGCTTCATGGGTCTTCTTTCCAAGAGTGGAATCATCAACAAACTATCATGCATTAGTGATATGAGAACTGGTTACGTCTTTTAAAAAAAGAACGATAAAAGATAAAGACTCACTATACTGCACTTTGTGCACCAATATTTACCCATTCTTATTATTTCTTTGGGGGATATTATTATTATTACTTATTATTGTTTGCAAATATCAAAGAACTAAAAGAAGTACAAAAAAAAAAATGGAAAACATAAAAAAAAATATCTTTTGGGCCAAGTACCAAATCAGTGGGTCCTCCATCAAGAAGCCTACACATCTTCAACGAAAAGATTTCTATTGAAATGCCAAATGATCAATTTGAGTCATAATAAAGTATTAAAATGAAATTTGTATCAAAAAACCAGAGAGAGAAAAAATGCAAGAGAGAGGGGGAGAGAGAGGAAAAAAAAAAAAAAGAAATAATAAATAAAATAATAATAATAATAATAATAATAATAAACTAGAACATCAAAAAAGAAACATTAGCATAACCAAATATAGATTTTATTCCTCGCCATATCAAATCAAAGCAGAAACCAGATACTTTTGCAACAAACCTTGAAAAGTAAATTGAATGAATGGTAAAAATATCGAGAAAAATCTTCATACTAACCCACCATATAGATCTAACCCTCGTAGCACTTGGTTGTCCTTCTCACAAATCACTTTGAAATCATCCATGTCCAACATATCATTCACATCCTTATTAACTAATCCAAATATTTTCTTTGCTCGCAACTCCGGAGTGGCCTCGTCATTGTTCAATCTCACCATAGGTCCCACCATTTTATAGATTGCTACCAATACGTTCAACATTTCCTGGTAGTCAATTTTGTCATCACGATTCTGATCATATAGTTTATAAGACCACTCGAGTTTCTCATTTTTACTGCCTCGTGAGGTGATGGAAAGCACAATAATAAATTCTTTAAAATCGATCGACCCATTTTTATCTTTATCAAACACATTGAAGATATAATTAGCAAAGTCGGTTGGGTCTCCAAAGGGAAAAAACTGTTTGTATATCTTAAGAAATTCCGCATTGGTTAGTTGGCCTGATGGGCAATCTCTAAGAAACCCTTTGTACCATTGTTGAAGTTCTCGTTTATCGAAATATGTCGATTTTTTGAGCGATGATATTTCATCCTTTGATAATTTCGACGCTGTCTTTCCCATTGGAGATTATATGAGGGGGCGTATTATTGATAAGATCGACAAAGATACTGATCACTTTTATTCGTATATAGATATACCTATATGGGTATACTGTGAGAATTTATATTGGAAACTTGTGTCTCAACCTAAAACGAATTTCCCAGAAAAAACACAGTAATCCCATATTCGGTATTTGATGCCGGGTAATGTTTTTCATTGATTTGATTTTATTTTTTTTTTTTCGTTCCATTTCATTTAAGTTCCAACATACCTTCTCTATTATCTTGGCACACTTTCTCAGCTCAATATATATAACTCCCATGAACCAATCACGTCTATTCCTCGTGTTTTGCTTCTTCAGTGTCTTGGGGACCCTAACGCGTTTGGGAGTGACCCTTCTTTCACAATATCCAGGAACTTATCTTGCGGGAATAGTATGGTCGAATTTCACGGCATGCTTCCTTATGGGGACGTTTGTTCATTCCGCAAAGATTTGGAATTTGTTCTTACATCAAGATAATGGAACCGATGAGGTTCTATTAGAAGAAATTAAGGGCAAAAGCATAAATCGCAAAAAATACCACACTAAAAAAGACATTTATTTATTTACAGGGTTAACTACGGGGTACTGTGGGTCCTTCTCATCGTTCTCATCGCTCATTCTTGAATTGTTTTTATTAACTGCTAATGTTGATAGCACGGTTTATAAGTTTAGAAATCCTGCTTATGGGTTACTCCAATTTTTATCGATATTAATTACCCAGTTGACCATGTCATATGCGGGATTCAAGTATGGAAAACAATTGATTTTATATGTTGAGGAATATTGGTTACCAGAGTACTCATTCAGCCAGAAAGCAGTGAATATTTATCATATCTTGGAAATAGTTATTGAAGGTTTAGGGTTTGCATTTATGGTTGTTTCATTAGTATTGACGATTGTTGAAAAAACTTGGAGATCATGGACGTTTGCGTTTTTGTTTTCCCCGTTCGCATGTTATTTGAGATATTATCTCTCCAAGGTGCTCAATAATCCTCAGGGGGACAAATCAGGTATGACTTTTACCAAATTAGATTATTTGGGAACATTTGCCGCTAACATAATTGCTACTTTGGTGTTGGCGATCGTGACCCTTTTGTCGAGAGGTAAAACAATCCATACATCAAATCATTTAATCACCAATGTTTTAGATTGTCATGTTTTGACAGCAGTTGCCAATGGCTTCTGCGGGGTTCTTTCTACAGTGTCAACATTCATTGTGGAAGTCAATACCTTAAAGTTTGACAAAAGCTCATGGTATGTTTTTGTTAGTATCGGAGGTTCCTTCTGTTTGATGGTGTTGATTCTTGGTTCATACAATTGGAGGGTGGGGTTGTTGTCAGAACCTGTTTGCTAAAGAGGGAGAATTTCTAGAATTAGCCTTTTGAGAAAGGCACGTTGAAAACTTACAGATTTGTATCATCATGGAAACTTATAGATTTGGATGATCATAGAAAATTCATAGTTTTTAATAGTTAAATTGTATTACAGTGTTTTCATTTTTTATTCGTACCAACCACCGGAAATGTTCATACCAGTGGCAAAAAATAATTCATACCGACCCCCGGTATTTTTCGTACCACCGCAGCGGGATTTATTCAGACCATCTAAGAAAAATAGTTCATACTATTGCACTTCAATTATTCATACCAACAGTATATAAAATTCATATTAATTCCTTTCTTTTTTTTATGTGACTGGCTCTATAAGCCTCTAAGCTACTCAGTTTAAACAAATTATACTCATTTTTTCCATAATTCTGTGCTACTTTCTATAAAACCGGATATCTATAATAATATCAATAATATCACGTGATTACGGTTTTCAAGAAATGGGAACGAATGTATGGTAGGAGCTGTTCTCCATTTAAGATGATGAATTCCCACTTTTGACATTCAATTCGGTCTTTATATGATCACCAGATTACTTACAAAAAAAAGCATAAGATTTTACCATCAAAACTAAGTATGGACTTGAAAGCCAAGCTACTAACTGATGGGTATGTTGATGGCCTAGGTAATAGATTCTATGCTGAACCCAGTGAAATGACTTTAGAGTCTGAAATAGCACCAGTTGAAGCTTGCTTTAGTTACAGTGACTATAAGCATTTTGAAAAACCAGGTATCATGGATATCATGGAAATTGATCCTATTTTCGAAGAAGAAGAAAATGCCGAGATGGAAATTGAAATGAAAGAACGAAGATATAGAGGTTCGTACCGGTATTATAATCAAGCTGTCAAACAAAGATTTTGGCACTTGGTCATGGAAGAAGGCGTGTCAGCTTACAAGGCTGCAAAATTAGAAGATATACCTTTGCACACTGCTTACACATGGAAAAGAAATTGGGACAAAATACTTGTTAATGAATTAAATGGTATCTCGGAGCCAACAAAGAAAAGAGGTCGTAGGCCCCTTCTTACTGGTGAGCATAAGGAATTCCTTCAAAAATTGATAAAGGAAGATGCTACAGTGACTCTCGATTTTATGTTGGAGAGACTCAAGAAAGCCTTCACCAATGTAAGAGCCAAGGCTACAACAATCTATAACTTTGTAACCAAGGTCTATAAGCTAAGTCTCAAACGTATTTCTAAATGGGCTTTGAGAAGAAGTCTGGAGGAATTGAAGAAACAGAGACTCGAGTGGGCAGAGAAGTATAAAGACAAGCTCGACTTTAGTCAAAACTGTATTTTCATCGACGAAGCAGGTTTCAATATCAGTATGCGGCGTGAGTATGGATGGTCTACTGTAGGTGAAAAAGCAGTTCTTACTGTTCCCGTAACCAGAGGGCTTAATATTTCGTTCATTGGGGCAATTTCTGTCAAAGGTTGTATTGAATTAAAGGTCAGAACTCCAGTGGCTACATCCAATAAGAAGAGAAAACTTGATTCAGAAACGACCATTGACAAAGTGAGTAAAGGTACTACAGCTAATCACTTCTACAGTTTTGTAAAGTCAGTGATCCAGCAAATAGAAAATAACGAGGAGCTCAAAGGTATGAAATATTTGATCCTTGATAATGCTGCCATTCATAAACGACGTGATCTTCAGTTACTAGTGGCACTGAGTGGCTTGGAACTTGTGTTTTTACCTCCTTATTCTCCAGGGTTGAATGCTATAGAAGAATTCTGGTCAGTATGTAAGAGTAAAGTCAAAAGATCAAACTTGAGCAAGAAGGAGCAATTAACTCCAAGGGTGAAAGAAGCCACAGAAAATATTTCCCTTGATAGTTACAAGGGATTCTGCAGACATGCTTCTAGACATATTGATCTCTGTTTACAACAGCAGCTCTTTTGAAAACAAATTGATGAAAATTTAAAATTTTAAGGAAGGACGAAACCACTTCAAAATTTGGTTATGAGCCTGTGAAATGGTAAATGAGTATTGCAAAGGGGCTTTATTGGGTGTGCGGGTCCCCTATAACATGTTTAATAATATCAAAGATAAAATATTAATGAAAGCATAAGAATTTTATGCATTTAGTATGAATTTTGTATTCTGTTGGTATGAATTTTATATTCTGTTGGTATGAATAATTGAAGTGCAATAGTATGAACTATTTTTCTTAGATGGTCTGAATAAATCCCGCTGCGGTGGTACGAAAAATACCGGGGGTCGGTATGAATTATTTTTTGCCACTGGTATGAACATTTCCGGTGGTTGGTACGAATAAAAAATGAAAACACTGTATAGAGTATTTGGGTCGGGTAATCCGTACGCGTAATTTTTTCCTCCTAAAAAAATCACATCGCCATCTCTCATTACCATCTTCCTGTCATTCATTCATTCATCTCACTTATAGTAAATATCCCATTGGATTCAAGAACTTTTTTTGCTGCTAAACACATCACATTATAATATAATTTCTATGTCCTCGGCAACTATTCAACAGCGGACATCATCATTATTTGTTGATCTGCTCTATTTCCAAAGAACTTCAAATTTCAAAAAAGTGCTTGGTCGTGATGAAATACGACAAAAGAAACTTGCTAGGCAGAAATTTGTTTCAGGATGTGCTCGAAAAGAACAATCGGTGCAGAAGCGTGGTGGAATGGAGAAAATGCACAAAGATATGGCGGATATTGATCATAAAGAAGAACTAAAAGAGTGTTTGAGGATGGCAAATGAGGAATATGCATACGCATTACAAGCGATTGATGAGGATAAGAGCATACCGGTACGGAAAATTGACGTGAAAGATGATCTGAAGGCTAAATCCACAGAACATCAGTCAGACACTACCATGAAAGACTGTGATATGGATAATGGGCTGTTCAGTGATGATTGGGATACGGAAGACGAGCTGGAAATCATTGCCCAATTGGACGGTAAAGAAGATAGATATAAACTATCAGAATCAGAATTGTACCAGCAAGAGCTTGAAGAACTTGAAAGAATGGAACAACTAGAGTTAGAGTTGCTAACCAATAATTTGTCAATTAATGATGATTGATTGAAATATGTATTTGTATTGTGATTGGGCGGATCCCAAAATTTTGACCCTTCTATTTTAATTTTTTATTTTTCAGTATTTGGAGAAGTGGACTGGTCGTGTTTTTTATTGGTAGGAGTTCCTCTTTTTTTTTTTTTTTTTTTAATTTTGCTAGGTTTTCTGTTACAACGAGTCATGATAAATTGTTATTAAATTTTTGAAGAGGTACTGTAGATTTTCGGAGTTATGGCATTTGAGGAATGAGTTTGGTGTATTGATGTGATAGTGTTAAGATACCTTTCTTACGAGTAGTAGGTTCAGTCAAATAAATATTGCTAGTTCCATTTTTGATCTTGGTGTCGTCGTTTCGTTTCTGCCATAGATACAAAAAAATGGTAGTGAGAATCGATCTCAGGTTACGTCAAAGCACATAAATGTTCCAATCTTTTGGCACCCACCGCTAACCACATGACGTAAACCTAATTTATGAATACAAAATATATCATATAACTCTTTCATTTATTACAATATTGTTCCTTTTCTAATCAAAATATCTTACTAGATTAATATTCAAAATATTTCGTATTCATAAGAATTCACTTATTAAGTTAAACACTACCTTTTTAAGAAAAAAAAAAAAAAATATTAAAAGAAAAAAAAAAAAAAAAAAAAAAAAGTAAACGACAGCTTTCTATTCATAATCCAAAGAAACACAAGAAGGAAATGATAAGAGGGGGGAGGAGACGGAACAAATTAATTGTAATCAAATGCAGATACGCTCACATGAAATCATCGTCATCAAAGTCATCATAGTTAGTGGTATCAGTATATTCTTCCTTCTTGAATCCACCACCGAGATTAACCTTACCCTTGGCCTTCTTCTTACCAACACCGCCACCAGACTTAGCCAATCTAGCTTGTCTTTCGGCTCTTTCCTTATCCTTCAAAACCACATTCAAAGTACTGATAACTTTTCTGATATTTTCGACAGACATTGGTTTAGTCAATTCACGAACCAAATCGATCCCAAGACCAGAAGAGTAGTTGAGTAAAGATTTATCGGCAAAATCTTGGAACACTGGGACAAGAGCCTTACGTAGCTTTTCGAAATCTTGTTTAGTTTCTGGACGGAAGAGTGGATGTTCGGTAATTGGGGTTTCGGCAGTCAACACTGCATTGGCAGCAGCTTGTTCAGCGGCAGCTTGTTCGGCTCTAAGAGCTTTGGCTCTGGGATGTTCTTCAGCAACACCTAAACCGCCAAAGAGATCAGCAGCGTTTGTCAAATCAGCTTCCAATTCGGCTTCCTTGAGTAGTTGCTTACGTTTGGCTGGATCAGCAGTATCAAATTTTTTGAGAGCAGCAGCTTTCTTGGCCTTTTCAGCTGCCACTTGGGCATCCTTTTTAGCTTGTTCTTCCTTCTTTTTCTTGGCTTCGGCTTCTCTTTTAGCCTTTTCTTCATCCTCATCGACATCCCATGAGTCTCCGTCTAAAAGAGGCTCATCAAGGTCTTCATTTTCCCAGTCATCCATGACAGCAGTGTCCTTCCCAACAGGCACGTCAAAATCTTCGTCGTCCCAACTCATTGTAGCAGTATATTATGGTGTTGTTAATATCAAACTCGACTCGTTACAGCGATATGACAAGAAAAAAGTTCACCCACTCGATTTTTTTTTTTGCCTCCATCCATCGAAGGCTCCTTGTTACCCGGTATTTCATGGGTGTGAGTTCCTATTATGGGGTTTTACACCCTCTAATTGAACCTCATTTCCTCATTCCACGGCCAAAAAATTATTGTTTGGGGACACTCTGATAATAATAATAATGGAATGTCCACAATATACGAGGAGGACGAGTGGCTGTCTTTGTGGAGAAAAAACGTTCCTACTGCTACCTGAAAAAAGAAAAAAAAAAGAAAAAACCGGCGTGTCAAGGGGGTATGAAAACGACCTAAAAAATCTCAGGAGAAAAAAGTGAAATCATACAACAATAGGTGACCCCTTTGACCTAGCCTAGTTACATTTCCTATTATTACTCTAATATATTATCCTTGCGTTCTAATCGCCAGTATCCTCCTAATTGAAGATAATTAAGTGCCTTTTGCCCCAGTCGTTGCCACTGCTTGGAAAATATGTAAGAGTTGAAACTTTCGTAATAGACGATTGACGCAAAGCCGATCCAAAAATTGCCCACCTACATAAAGATCCTGTTATTCCTTAGTGTATCGATCTGCCCTGCCCTGCCCTCTCACATTTTGTTTTTTTTTTTTTTCATGCTCTTCTTTTATCTTTCTTGTTCTTCCTGTTTCTTAACACTTCTTTTGCATACTTTCGGTATCATTTATCTGCCATATTCCTGTTCTTTACAACCTTTATCTGTCTGCCCATCGGTGTCCATTTTTCTAACTCGGAAACTTGCCAATTGTTACTTTAGGCGCCCAGTGAAATTTGAGGCCATTACACCCATACTCTGACCTGTTATCTCCAAACATTGTTTGCACCTGTTGTCTTCCCACGGGTCCTTATTGAAAATATCCCCTGCCAACAGTCTACCTAACTACTTACCACCACTTCCCACTGCTAATCGCCAATAGCCGACCGATATCGTTCCATAATAACCTCCCGCATCACATGACCACGGTTCCACCAATCACACTCCCAAAAAACACAAACGATAAACATCACAGGTCATCATCACCTAGCTCTCCATCACCTCTCTCCCCCCGTTCATCAAAGCTAAGGCTGCTATTTCTCAGGTTATTCTCCCCAACCAGCCCTACCCTTTCGCGTGAACCTTCAAAACCAAAAAACAACGCGAAAAACTATATATATTTCCCCTCGAAATCAGCAAATAATACACCGGCCTCCAGTCCTCTCACATCGCCAACTGACCCCTCTTTCCCTGTTAAAAAAAGACGGATAAGAAAGGCAAAATCAAGTTTCGGTTTATTCAGCTCCATGTCATCCTCAAATACAAAACCATCGCTTGTGGGCTCGTCGGTTAGAAACTTCACCGATATTCCAGCTCTGACATCTACCGATGACAGCGTGGTCTCATCTTCTTCAAGAGTCGCAAAAATCCAACATGAAGCAACATTTCCGCAAAATCCATCCATAGACGATTTAATCCTGGAAGGTGCTCTTTTGGCCAACGATGATGATGAGTACACCCAAATCTTATTTGATAAAGATGGCAAATTGAAACAGCAAGATGAAGAGCAGAAAAAACTTGAACCAACTTTGAGCGCAAGATTGATTTCAACCACCAATGTTTCCTCATTAGATCCAAAATCTATTGCCAAGAAAGAGGAAGAAGAAACTAAAATTGAGAGCAAAGAAAATGTTGTTGATGAAAAGGAAAATGTAGTTGAACACGACGGAGATGAGATTATTGATAAGGCAACTGATAAGGCAACTGATAAGGAAATTGAAGAAGCCAAAGAAGTTGAAGAAGCTAAAGAAGTTGAAGAAGCTAAAGAAGTTGAAGAAGCTAAAGAAGTTGAAGAAGCCAAAGAAGAGGATGTACCACACACTGATACTCCAACAACATTTAACAATGAAACTGATCATAAGGAAGCTGTTCCGTCTTTGGAAGCCATGATTAATGGCGTTTTGAGTGATCTTGATAAAGAGAGAATTTCTGAAGAGAAGATCTACGGGTATAAAACTGAAACTAGCGTTGAAGAAAAGCATGCTTCTATTGAATCACCTCTCTCAATAGTTAACTCTGTGTCGACTTCAGAACCTACGGCACCTGCAAAAGCAGTGAACAATATTTTATCTCGAGTTGGGTCGTATGCTTCAACACATGGTCCAAGTGACCACCGTGATGAACCTCATCCCCCAGAACATATCCTTGAAATGGATTCTGAGTTCGTCCCCCCGGCAGCCGCCAGAGAGGGTTCTCAATTGAGCATGACCAATTCTTATAAAAGTTTATCTATTGGTGCGACATCTGTTATCAATAGTCGTGATGCTATTGGGACCACGGCGTCATCAAGTAACTTTATTGCTACCAGACCAAACTTGGCTAGTGGCGATTCCTATCAACAAACTGTTTCCCTGCCAATGGTTTCTGATAGTGCATTGGAATCCTCTACTGAAGTGAATAAGTCATATTTGCAAGCATTGAATAAAACTCTTTCCTACCAAAGTATCGCCAATTCTGAAGCCGGCCATGCCGATCCTGACCAAGAAACTTTAGAAAGTGAAGGTGCCTTGATTAGTGACCCATATCAACATGATCCAGAAATGGAAGAAACTATTGAAAAAGTCTTGGAAAAAGTCGAAAGCATGCGTGTTTCGATGAATGAAGGAAATGATGATGATAATTATGAAGATGATGATATCTCCAAGATTATAGATGAAGTTAACAATCAAGTTGAAGAAGAAAAAATGCAAAGCTTTGCCCCAGTAGTAGAAAAGGAAGTTAAGGAACCAGTCAAGGAAGAGAAGGCGACTTTAGCCAAGGAATCTCCATCAACTATTCCAGAAATCAAAACCGATATAAAACCAAATGAAGTTGAAATGGATGTTCCAAAATCACCATTAGAAAGATTAGCCGATAAAATCTTGGAAGATCTGTCTCCTCTGGAACCAGTTGAGTTGCAAGAAATTCCGAAACCGGTTGAATTGGAAGAGCCTGAAGTTGAAAAGAAAGAATCGGTCACTGTAGATAATTCGATTGAGGAAAATACAAAAGAGGAAGTCAAGAATGAAGCTGAGACTGGAGATTCAAAAGCAACTAGCAAGGCCGAACCGGAAACTGAAGATATTAATGAATCTGTTAACGATCCTGAAAAAGAAAAGCCACTTAATTTCAAGAAATCGGTAGCGACTACTGTAACAAATGCTCCTGAAACTATCAAAAAGGATGATGATATTGATGCCCTTTTGGATGGTGGAGAACTAAACCTTGATGAGATTGAAGAGCTTGAGAGAATGCTAGATGATGATATTTTAACTACTACCGCTAAATCTCTTAGAACCACACCTTCCTATCGCGCCCAACATAGCGCTCCTCCTCTTGAAAAGACTGCTAGTGCCACTCTACTTCCAAAACCGGAATCCCAGAGAGAAGCCAATGATTTTAATGAAGAGATCCAGAAGCAAGTCATCAATGATCTTAAAAATGAACCGGTTTATATTTATACTTCTCTTGCTTCAGGTGGGTTCCATATGATTCCTAGAACTAATCGTTTAGCAACAATTCTAACTGCAAACAAGGTTCCGTTCACATATCGTGATTTAGGAACGGATGAAGAAGCTAGAAAGGTTTGGAAAAGATACGGTAGCGGAAGAACATTGCCAGGTGTTATCAGAGGCAAAGATGATATAATTGGAAACTGGGAGGAAATGGACGAATTCGCTGAGTATTATGAAGTTAGAAAGAGAATTTATGAAATGTACTGATTTTTTTTGATTAATATTTTTTGATTACGGAACATTTTGAGATTGTCCTTTTTATTATGTTCAATATATTTGGCTTTTCCTCTGTTGTTTTTTTTATCGTGTGTGTTTATTTTTTTGTTTTTCTTTTTGCATTATCTTAGGTCTCCTATTTTTATCTTTTTTGTTTTTGGATGATCTACAGTTTTTATAAACTTATTGATTCGTTTATTTGATATTATCCACATCTTGATGATGCCGTAGTTTCATATAGTATAACTTCCTGCATCTTTTTCATGACAGCTGGTAGTGCGTCAGAAATTTGTTGCGGGACTTCGAAGAAAAAGAAAAAAAAAGAGGAAAACTGAAAAAGTTGAATTTCTGCCACCCAACACTGTCATAGATATCTTGTACCAATTGTATTGTGGTTTGACATCTCAAGCCGGTAACATAAAGAAAGCAGGAACGTTCACATCTGGATTAATATAATATATCAGTAATGAGTTCAGGAAACACGCTTTACATCACTGGTATGTGTTTGAATTGTTATTATTTTCATCTATTCATACGTATCCACGGGTCACTGGAGGTTGCAATAATCGGCGCAAGGGAAATAGAGAATGACTACATTTAATGATTATTTTTCTGTATCTTTTTATTCTCATTGGAGTTGGTTTTGAGTGGAAAATTCTCTAACTTTAAAGGAATAAGAAAAAAGGGGATAAATTTCTAAGCGAAGGGTAAATGAAATAGAAACTAACAGATTTGAAATAGGTTTTTCCTCTGTGGTCAAAGCAATCGACTTGGCACCACATTTCGATAAGTAAGTAATGGTTTTCACTTTTACTATTTACTCATTTTTTTTGTTTTGCTTTTCATATCTTTGATTTTCTATTCGCTTGTTTTTGTTTTTGTTTTTGTTTTCGGAAATACTGTTGTTTCTGACCAATTTGAGGACTGAAAATTTAATGATGTTACGGGGTTAGGAATATAACATGCTGATATATTTGGAAATTTTATATTTAGTGTGCTACTTGATACCAAAATGAAGCCGATTGGGATCAAGATAATGCAAAATCATAGACACCTCCTCTTTCTAGTTTCTTTATTGTTGTTTTTTGTTAAGATATCTATTCTGGATAGTTTCATTATGTCAAACAAGTCATTACTAACTTTTTTTTTTATATAGGTACGGGGAAGTACGCCGTGTTGATATCCCACCACTTAAAAGCCCTGATGGTCCCCCATTTGCGTTTGTGGAATACAAATCCGCCGAAGATTGTGAAAAGGCCCTCGATGATTTGCTCAAGAATCCGGTCGTTTTACCAGAAGAAGAAAGATACGTTCCACCATCAGGACGTTCTTTCCTTAGACCTGGGGACGAAAGTGGTGAAGCGGTTGAAGGATCACTTGTGATTCAGATGGCAAGAACCAACCCACGTCCAAGAGGATCCAGACCTCCTTATAGAAGAGGCGGGTATGGGTACGAAAGAAGAGACGACTATGACAGAAGAGATGATTATGACAGAAGAGGTGGTTACGAAAGAAGAGGTGGTTACAGAGATAGAGGCTACAGCGATCGTCCTCCAAGAAGAGATGATTATGACAGAAGAGGTGGTTACGAAAGAAGAGGTGGTTACAGAGACAGAGGTTACAGTGATCGTCCTCCAAGAAGAGATGATTATGAAAGAAGAGGTGGCGACTATGAAAGAAGAGGTGGCGACTATGAAAGAAGAGGTGGTGATTATGACAGAGATGGCGGAAGAGAAAGACGCGAAGATGGTTACAGATCACCAAGAGGAGATTATGAGAGGGAAAGAAGTCCAGTGAGAGAACAACGCTCTCCAAGAGAAGATTACCAGGAGTAAACTTTGTTATCTTTTTTATTTTGGAAAAAATGGGTGCTGTGGTGTTTTGTAAAAATATTTAGAAAAGAAACCAATGCTTTCAGTCATATATATATATATGTATATATATGTATACTGATTTTTATTTTTTATATTTTATATATTCTTTTCCTTATCTAAGATGTATTTTTATTTTATTTATGAATTATTATTATTATTAATATTCCTCATTGTAAGGAAAACCTTGCAAACATTTGTTACCAGAAGAGGGTTGGACATACATACAGCAGTTTCCGTTATTAAGCCACTGACATCAAAATGATATTTCTTTTAATATGATATACCAGTTTAAATGTATTTAATAATTCTTCTGTAATTATATGGTATACCTGTTTGCATTCTCATAAAAATGGGATCCTCTAATGTATATTACATTGTATATTGTATGCGCTACCATGGTTTTCCACAACGGTAATTAAAATGGAAACAATCCACACCCTGTTATAGAAATACGTGATTTAATTATTGAGTGAAAATTAGAAACATAATAACAAGTTAATATAGCAATAATCAGCTGCCTCTCATACTATACCGAATAATCATATAATGCTCAACTGATGAGCTTTTTCTTCGATAAACTTTATCTTCCATAACAACGGCAGCTTCTCAAAGGCTACATACAATAATAATAAGAAGAAGAAGAAGAAGAAGAAGAACCAATCATAATCCTGTCCCGCATCTTATCGATGGTCAATAATCAACTAAATCACTACACAATTGTGAAGTTATACCTCGATGAGGGCACCTTAAGAAACCAAAACTTCAAAAAGAAATTGGAAGATATTTTGAGAAGCCGTATAGGAAAGTATTTCTATTGTTTCGAATAATCTACAAGTTAGGTATTGGTGCGTAGCTTTCCAGCAACAAAGTAAAATGCTACTGATTTTCAAACTTTTCATTATTGTTTCTTCCGTTTTTGATGAAATTTATTGGATTTATTTCAAAAAATCAACAGTTGGAATTCGACGGTAATTGATATAACATCTTCAGTGATTCAGCAATCAATTATAGAATACGTATTGACTTTGATGCCATTCCTAATGTATTGCATTACCATTGAAAACCAAGAAATAATTATTTAAAGCATGATAACTATCATGTTTCCCACACAAGTTTAACAAAGAGTAATGAATAAGAGAGAGGAAATACTAAAAATCTTCAAAAGGTGATCAATGCCAATAAATTTGAATGAAAGTCAACAACAGAAAAGAAAAAGCAGAGCTGAGTGGATAATTGATAGAATTACAGTAAAAATAAGAGAGTTAGGACAATTTTATATAGGTAACTGGTGAATAATAAAGGATTTATTAAGGGGAAAAGGTTATGATGATGCTCGAATTAAAGCCGGGGGGTTTTTTTTAAAGACAAAATCAATATATTAATTAATTATATAACTATATATCTCATAAACTACCTAATGTAGTTTGAAAATTAAATTGTTAAGGGAAAACCATTAATGGTGAAAAACCCTATTATTGTGAAAAAATGTTTTTATGCGTTTTTAAGGTTTTTAATTGTTGTTGTTGTTTTTGTTTTTTTTTTTTGTTTTTTTTTTGTTTTTCCCCACCTATTTTTTTCTTCTAATGTTCTTCTCCGTTTGAAAGATATTGCTTTCAAGCAAGAAGATCATTGAATCAACGGCCATATGACAATTGAAATGCTTTTTGGATTTCAATCAGAGGTATTCTAATACTACAGAAGATTGCTCTTCAGATATTTAAATAATTATATATAGAAGCAGAATATCCTACCACTGGTAGGAGGGGGAGCTGCGATTGAGAGAATGCGATTTCGACTGAACTTGTCTTATCACAAACTCTGATATCATTTAATCCCAAGCTGGAATAAACGACACACAAACCATCCAGCCCCCAATCTAACTTGTAATAACTAATTATTATTACTTCATAATGTCCCAAGATAACTCTAACTATAACTTATCCGTCACTTCCAATGCGGCACCTACGGAGGGTCATACTTCCGCTCCGGTAAACTCTGACAAGAACTTACATGGCATGAATGAATGAATGAATTGTATATTAACGAGTCACAGAGGTTCTAAATAACATGCAAGCCGGGCATTTCAAGCCGGTCTTTCTAATAGATAAGTAAAATACTATAACTTTCTCACAACCTCACACTCCTTGCTTTAAGAATTAATCACATCACCGGTAAAAAACTCAACAATGAAGATCATTAAGGAAAAAAGGTGCAATGTGAAAATATGAGATGAAGTCACTAGTGAATTACCCATCACTAGGAGCTTCATGAACTGAGATGGAGATCTTTGTTGAGGGGTTTGGCACTATATCTCAAATACTAAGTATTTTCAATGTAGTGACCATCAGAATTCTGGGGGGATAATAAAAATAAAAATAATAAAAATCAATAAAATCAATAAAATCAATAAAATCAATAAAATAAACCAATTAAACCAAATAAACCTAATAAACCAAATAAAAAAACATTTGGCCGGGTAACTTGTGAAACATTATCTTTACTATTTAAAGAAGAAAGTGACATTTAACAATGACCTCGTGGCGCAATGGTTACCGCGTCAAGCTCACTCCTTGAAGATTCTGAGTTCGATCCTCAGCGAGGTCATTACTAATTTTCTTTTTACAACTTTTCACAACGCTTTATGTGATGATGATTTAAGACATATCTTAGATATGACGAATACATAGCAAACCTTTTTTTTTTTTTTTTTTTTTTTTTCTCAAGGGCCATAATGAGGCGCTTATTGTGAAGATAGGTCAAACGAATGATATGATCTTTCAAGAAGTAATTTTTTTCTCTACTCTAAGCTGTTTATAGATAGGTCAGATAGTTCAGATTATTAGAGGTAGCAGGTTATTCCGAAGTTATAATTCATGCATGTTGGGGTGCATGTACACAATCTGATTGCTGGTTGCTCAGCAATCTATTTTTTTCAATGCAGATATAAAAGGGTTCAAGTATGACTCTAAGTACATATATTTCTATCAACGCCCAGAGAACTAGAGAGTCATACAAAAATGTCCCAATTTCTAGTTAAACTCGCAGTGAAAAAGGTAAGTACATCCTCTGGTTCCAATGAAAAAAAAAAATGTAGACAGAAAACTCTAACATGTACCCCAGATATTTGATGAAACCAAATTGAATAAATTTGGAACTGAAGACCCATATTGCTCGGAAATTATAATTGATTATGCTGGTACTGGTAAGAAAGTCATTAAAAAGGTGAAAAAACAGGCCCCAATAGGAATAAGTTTGCATGATGCAAGAATCTATGAAAGAGTCAAACGCAGAGCCTATAGAATGGACTTATTATTCAATTTTTGTGGCTTGAGGATTGGGTTAGCTCATATAATTGGTTTTGTTCCCGTTATTGGCCCAATATGTTGCATTTTTTTATCACTTATGATCTATAGGTTGTGCCTACAAGTGGAAGGTGGCATACCGATAGATATTCAAATTAAAATGGTTTTGAACATTGCCATTGATTTTGCAATTGGTATGATTCCAATAATCGGTGATTTTATTGATATGTATTACAAGTCTAATTCTCGGAATTTATTGTTATTGGAAAAGCATTTGATTAATGTGGGAGAACTAAATAGAAGCGCAACAGAGCCCAGGGAAATTCAGCAGGAAAATGTACAAGTTTATTCAGACAACATTCCAACACATGTCACTACCGGAAGAAAAGAAGAGTGATATAAATATCTAATACATATATGTACTTCAAACAACTTGTAAAGGATCTTTGTCAGCATAACTGATTTCGATTGAGTAGTCGGAGCTCAATTCTTCTTTCAACAACTTGGAAATGGTTTTCAAGTATCCTCTTTCGGTGTTTGAATGGTTACAAACAATGACATTGCAACCTCTTTCTTTGAAAGCCAAGATTTCATGATGCGATAGCTCCCCAGTGTAAATCAAATCTGGTAATGTGCTTGGATTGTTCAAATATCTCTTAAAGAGCTCACCTCCAGATCCTGCACAAATAGCCACAGTCTGAATATCTGAATGGTTTTCCAATGATGGTGTTTGAGCGCTAGCCAATTGAAGATAAGGAATGTTCAAGCTACTTTTGATACTAGATACAATATCAAAAATTTTCAATGGTTGGTTCAATTCAACATATCTCCCCATACCATTTTCCTCCATATCAGCACCATCGGAAGGATCAATTGGTTTACTGGATTTAATTAGAGATTTATCACCATTCACAATACTTTCGACTAACCAGTCGTTGACACCACCTTTAACAGCATCGACAGAAGTATGAGGGCAATAGACATTAATGTTATTTTTGATAATTTCAACTAATGATACCTGTTGTGGATCGATTTCCAGACCAATTTGCTTGAGACCTCTGAATATGAATGGATGGTAAGCAAGGATCAAGTTGACTCTTTTTTGCACCGCTTCTCTGCAGACTGCCCTTGTTAAATCAATAGCCAAAAGGATCTTAAAAGGTTTTGGTGCTGATGTCAGCTCACTGAAGGTGCTGGCAACGGTGGAATCAACCAATAAGCCCACGTTATCCCATGATCTTTCAGCCAATTCTATAGGATAAAGCTTTTGGATAGCGCTCACTGCGGTTTTAAGTGCTGATTTAGACGACATCTTTTGCTATATATGATTTTTCAGACTGATTTGGAACAATTCTTGTTCGCCCACGCACTTTTTTCTTTATCTTCTTTTTTTTTTTTCTTCCCGCTTTTTCATTGATTTTCGGAGAAGCGCAAGAGAGAATACTATAATAGAAGGCCAATATATTGTTGTATGATTACATGGAACCACATTGTATTCCCAGATTGTCATAGTAAATGATACAGACTCAATAACTCAGGGGGCATTTATTATTTCTTTCAGATGGTGATGTGAATCAATGTAAGGCTCATCTCATCTCATCTCATCTCCTCTGGCACATGGCCGGGTGACAAAGGAGTTTTTTTTTTTTTTTTTTTTCTGCCGCTCCTCTTTCAAAACCTTGTTGAGATAACAAGCTATTTATTGATGTACACTGAGTATCTACATTCCTATTTTCAACTTTAATACATCTGCCCCGGCCCCACGAGTATATAGACCCGATATATTGTCTTTACTGGCTAGAAATCATATTTGCTTTTTTGGTCCAGCTAGTCTTTTGAGAAAAGGGCTTGTCGACTGGGGGTCATTGTGCGTATTGCATCATTGATCAATAATTTTTTTATCGAGAGAAAGCAATGAATACAACAACAATGAATGGAGCCATCAGTTTCTTCAATAACAGCAATTCAAACATCAATACGAATAGCACTCATCGGAGACCTTTTCTTGATGATTCGTCGATCTCCTTGAAGAGTACCAGAAACCAATTCCCAAGTGCTAATGCCAATGGAAATAACAATTGTGGTCCCGATGGATTATTTCCTAATAACAATGCCCAGTCAGTGACCACAAATATTTGGGGCAAAGACGATAACAATCCCCTTGGAAAATATGACTTGAATACCGGAAAATCAAACAACGTTTGGCCTAATGCTAATTCGTTTTTCCCGACAGATAATATAATGACAGGTTCCTCAATCACCTCGAGCACAACTTCTAATAATCCAGTGTCATTGGCCAGCAATTCGATGTCCTATAAAATGAACCCACAAGAATCTTTGAAAAATATGACTAGCGACAATATCTCCGGAAATAATGTTGCTTCTTCAATCGATGATTTCAATAACAATACTTCAATGGCTATTAGGACAAATAGCACTACAACTCCTCTCTTCACCCCGTTTGATCCCATGAATTCAAATGTGTCAAATTCCATATCTTCATATCTTGATATCAACACTTCAACCGAACCTGTATCGCTTCGACAAGGCAATACTATCACCTACGGATCACATAGCAATAACGAAACCCCACTTACAACTCCGATTCTCAGTTCCAATATGCACTCCAGATTCTTTCCATCACCAACTAGTGAAAGGATTAGATACAACTATAACACAACAAATAATACTCCATTGATCAATAATGGTAACAATCTTGGAAGCTTCAATATATCGGAACCAATCACCCATTTAAATTTAGCTTCGAGTCTAAATACTCCTTCAGAACACAAAAACTCCATTCCAGAGAACTTCTTTTTTGATTCAAGTTTCTCGAATTCCTTGAAGCGAGGAAATGGGATGGTCAACAGCAGTAACACTATGAGTGGAAGTATTAACCAAAGTATATTCAACGGCGGATCAAACTTAAATAATAATCCAAAACCTTCGAGTAGTATATTGGATACTTTAAAGAACAAATCCGTTGATTCATTTGAGATGCTGTTTAGAAATAATGAAAATATGCTACCTAATTTTGTTCACGAAGAATTAGAGGGAGATGATTCATTTTTAAATCCTAGGGGTAATATCTTTAATGATAGCACCAATCTCAATACCAATAACCAAATCAACTCACAGCATTTGCAGCCTTCAAATCTCCCCTTAAAACCCTTTGGAATATCAAGCTCAAACGGTAGATTGGAAAATGAAATTAACATCAATAATAATTATAATGTTTATCAAAATGATTATTATAGTGCTTCGAGCTCTCCAATTACGGAGAGAATGAAATCAAATTTTTTTCAAAACTCATTTATTCCTATGGATGACCAACATCATAAAACACAGGAAATAATACCAAATTCACGCTTCAAGGACCAGAATAAAAACCTCGATATATTAATCACCCACTCAAATAACATAGAATCACAAATCGAAAATATTGATAGACAACGCAGGGAAGTCCTCAAGAAAAATAACGATGATGAAAATGATATTCTTGTCTCATTGACTGGATTCAATTTAAATGGCGAAGACAGACAGCCGAAAGCAGAAAAGATATCCTCTCAACCAGATATCTTATTCAATACAACAACTGAGAACGATACGATATATCCCGAAGGTTTCTCATCTACATTTTATAAGAGAGCAAAAAATAATTTCATGTTTGTTCGTGAAATACAGGCGAAATCAACAATTATAAAGTTCAGATCGTCCTCTTTAATAGAGTTCAGAGTTAGCTTACCAACAATCCCATTGTTTGAAAAAGAAGAGACATTTGCCAACGAGCCAACTGTTTATACTTCTGTACCAACATCTGATCTGAAGTCTCCCGACACATCAACCATGGTTACCCCAACAAATGAACCACCAGATAATAATAACAGCAACAAAAAGAAAAAATATAAATCGTACGCAGTTCAGATTAATTTGAATGAGCTTGAAGGAAAAATTGGCGGGTTGAGAGTTTCCAAACAACAAGCATTACAACAGCTGCAAAAGGAGGGATCATCGCAATCCCCTTCCTCCTCTTCAGGCTTCAACAAAAAACCAAATGGTAAACGTGGCTTATCTTATAAAAAAAGAAGTAGCAATACTTATTATTATAAGAAAGGATATAGCAATAATATTAGTCCAATTAAACAGAAGGCGAGTTAAGATTTTCCAGCTGAAATTTTCACATTCTATAACGATAGAATATAGCAGAACTTTTATGTGGTATATAAATATATAAGTATATTAGTATATTAGTATATAATATTTAGCTAGTGGATGAATTTATAATGATTAATGATTTTTTCTAAGAGAAAGTATGGATCCATCTAGGGCACCGGAAAATTCATATTCTCACATGACTTCCGGGAGACGCTCGAATAGTCAGAAAAAAAAAAATGGAAGAGAGAGGCAAACTAACATTAATGAGACCCGAATCAAATAGGAGACGCAGTGATAGAGGTACAAATAACACAAGGATGAGTTATAGGGTGGCCTCATCAATTGGGCGCTCGTTGTCTACAAGGCTTGTGTCCCAGAACCGTAATATCCTATCGACCCAGTGGACGATAGGGTCTACTCAGCGGAAGACGTTGTTAAAGAAGGACAATATCATTAGAAGCTTTTCTTCAACGAAATGTACAAGAAACGAAGACAAACAACCTAAGAAAGATGAAGGAAAGAAAGACCAGGATAAAGAAGAAGGGAAAAATAAGAAGGACGAACCAGTCACTATGAGTGAGTTCTTCAAATCTAAAGAATTTATGTCATATGTGTATTTAGGTATTGGGACTTCGTTATTCCTGTTCCTTTTATCCCAAGCAAACAGCGAAGGAGAATCCGAGGATCTCACTTTCCAGAGCTTCAAGACGAAATACTTAGAAAAAGGTTTAGTGAAGAAAATATGGGTCGTCAATAAGTATCTTGTGGAAGCGGAATTGGTCGATCAAGCCAATGTCGGTGGCCTGTCGAGAAGAAAAGTTGTGGCTTTCACCATCGGGTCAGTGGATATTTTTGAAGAGCAAATGAATGAAGTTCAAAATAAGTTGGGTATCCCATCAGTAGAAAGAATCCCAATCGTTTACATGGAAAAAACATCAATGTTATCATACCTTGTCCCATTTGTGCCAACTGCCTTATTATTGGGAGGATTGTATTTCATCACCAAGAAAATGGGTTCAGGTCCTAGTGGTCCAGGTGGTATCTTTGGTGTCGGTAAATCTAAGGCGAAATTATTCAACAAAGAAACAGATGTCAAAGTCAAATTTAAAGACGTTGCTGGTTGTGAAGAAGCCAAGGAGGAAATTATGGAATTTGTGTCTTTCTTGAAGCATCCACAAAAATATGAATCTTTGGGAGCCAAGATCCCAAGAGGTGCTATTTTATCGGGTCCTCCTGGTACTGGTAAGACCTTGTTGGCCAAGGCTACTGCTGGTGAGGCTGGTGTTCCGTTCTTATCGGTTTCTGGTTCTGAATTTGTGGAAATGTTTGTTGGTGTTGGTGCCTCTAGAGTTCGTGATTTATTCGCCAATGCCAGAAAAATGGCCCCAGCTATTATTTTTATTGATGAAATCGATGCTATTGGGAAATCTCGTGGTGGTAAGAATAGTATTGGGTCGAATGATGAAAAAGAAGCCACATTAAATCAATTATTGGTTGAAATGGATGGGTTTGCTACTTCTGATCATATTGTCGTTTTGGCCGGTACCAACAGACCAGATGTTTTGGATTCAGCTTTAATGAGACCGGGAAGATTTGATAGACATGTTTCTATCGACAGACCAGATATCGAAGGTAGAAAAGCCATTTATTTTGTACATTTGAATAAATTGACCTTGGAATTTGATAAGAGTGACAAAGAAAAACTTCACCAGTTGGCTGGTAAGTTAGCCGCGTTAACCCCAGGGTTCTCTGGTGCAGATATTGCTAATTGTTGTAACGAAGGTGGGTTGATTGCTGCTAGAACTAATTCTGAAGTTATTAAGTTTGAGCACTTTGAACAAGCCATTGAAAGAGTGATTGCTGGTTTAGAGAAAAAATCTAGAGTGTTATCTCCAATTGAAAAGAAAACTGTGGCATATCATGAAGCTGGTCATGCAATTTGTGGTTGGTTTTTGGAATTTGCTGACCCACTCTTGAAGGTCAGCATCATTCCAAGAGGTCAAGGGGCTTTGGGTTATGCACAATATTTGCCTCCAGATCAATATTTGATTAGCGAAGAACAATTCAGACACAGAATGGTTATGGCCTTGGGTGGTAGAGTTTCAGAAGAATTGCACTTCCCATCGGTCACCAGTGGGGCATCTGACGATTTTAAGAAAGTTACCCAAATGGCTCAAGCTATGGTCACACAGTTAGGGATGTCCAACAAAGTTGGGCAAGTCTCATTCGATCAAGGTGGCTCTGGTATGCAAATTCACAAGGCTTATAGTGAAAAAACCTCAAAATTGATAGACTTAGAAGTGAAGAGAATAGTCGATGAGTCTTTGGCCGAATGTCGAAAATTATTGACGGAGAAACTTGATTTAGTCGACATTGTTGCACAAAGCTTATTGAAGAATGAAGTCTTAACAAGAAATGATATGCTAAGGCTCATAGGACCAAGACCATTCAAGGAGAGAAATGATGCCTTTGAAAAATATTTAGATCCAAAGGTCAAATCAGCACCACCTCCACCTCCTAATGAAACTCAATCCACTTTGTGATGAATGACATCATAAAACGTTCACACCCTTGTATATATAAATATATATATGATTAGATAATAATAGTAATATATTATATTTTTCTAAAACAAATTGAAAAAAAAGAGGTTTTTTGAAATATTGATGTAGTAAATTTTATTGGTTCATTTTGACAGGACTCCGCTGCGATAGCTTTGAAAAAAAAAAAAAAAAAATAAAATTAAACAACGGTTTTAACCCGCATAGGGGATAAGATAGATAAGCGAAATATTCAGCAATGTCAAGTCATCATCTAATACCCACGATGAGTACAGAGCATGAGGACACATCTTTAGGACCTTCTAAGAAAAAAAGAAAGAGAGCATCTTGTGACTCTTGCCGACGCCTCAAAACTCGTTGTGATAAAGAAATAGGTCAACCGAGATGTCATCGTTGTACAAAATTAGAATTACCGTGCTCATTGGTGCTGAAACATGTTGGCGAAAGTTCAGGGGAAAGCAACAACTATGATGCCGGTTTGGAAAAAATTAGTATGGTGGAAGGTGGGATTGGAGTCTTCATGAGTGCAATTATGAAAAAATTGGATTCCTTTGAGGCAAGATTTGATGAATTGACTAATAAAGTGAACTCGCTACAACAACAACAACAACAACAACAACAACAACAACAGCGGCACTCTAGTGGCCCATTAATAACAGAAAGATTGAATGTTAGGAAAACCTTAGTAACTGATGGCGTGGAGGATATACAGCTAGATTTTTTCAAAGCCTCGGCCCCAGCTCAGATCATTAGTCAACTCAATAACTCAATTCTTCAAAGATCTAACGTTTATGAATCCTTCAAGCATCTGTGCAACGAATTCATTCTGTTATTCAATAACAATAGAAAACTTTATTTACGGTTATCGAAAGCATTTTTGAGAACCAGTCACTTTTGGATCATCCCCGGGGGAATCAAAAAAATCGACACAAAGTACGTTTATGACCATCCGTTCATTACTTGCATCTTTGTGTTGATTGGGATGTGTCTTGACAAGAATGATAGCTATGTGGGGGAACAGAATACCCTATTTGAACTTGCAATGAAGTTGTTTGGGAAAGCATTACTTGTCGATAAATTGACAGACCATGATATTGAAGCTATTGTGTACATGTCAACTTTCAATATCGTGAGGAAAAATAATCAGAATCAATATAGACTAAACAAATGGTTAACTACCAATTTTGGAATCAGTCATTCTGTTTTAGCCTTTGATTTTCAAGCTATTTTCACAACCATTTTTATTAAAAAGCAAGCGGATAGTGCTCAATTATATCATCTTCGAATTTATAACTCATTATTAGTTTCATTTTTACAAGCGTCATTGGATTATAACAAACCGGTGTTTATGACGATAGACTATTTGAATTTTTCCCGTGTTATCTTGAAATATCCAGGGAAAATTCTTGTCGGTGATAAGATTATAGTTTCGAAGCTCGATTTGTTGTTCAAGATCATCAATTTAATTTATGATGGCAGTTTGGCATTAAAAATATTGAACGATATCGATAGTGAAAACTCAGTTTATATCGATCACGAGAGACAGCTTTTAAAGATTCCAGATTTGGAGGATTGGAAAATATCCTATGTGGATTTAATCAAGAGCGATTTTGCAAAGATTCTACTTCATGCCTATTATTATTACAATATTTATTTAAGTCAAAGAATTTTGGAAGATTTGAAAATTAAAAATAGTCACTTTTACCCACTTCAGAACAAAAAATTCACAAAGAAGCAATTAGAATCCTTTGCATTATTAAGAAAAACCTGTATTATAACCTCTGTGAAATATTCTTTCAAACTTCTTGATAGCTTTTGTGGCTTGCGTGCTTATTTCATTAAAGGATCCCCGGATTTCCAGAATGAGCAAATCATTTATGCTTCATCAACTTTATTGAATTCCTTGCCGTTTATGTCATCTCAAAAAACTAGACAAACCACTATTCAACTAATCGGGGCAAATTACTTCAAGTTGAGCGAAATGGGGATTAGGAAAAATGACGCTATTGACACGTTGGAAAAGTTCCTAAAAGTGATCATTGACAGAGCTAGAAATCATGATGATGACAAAATGAAAACCAAGGTGGCTCAAAGTATAAAAATCAATGAACCAGAGATTGAAGTCAATGACGAAGATGATGAAAAATATGAAATCTATCCTGCCGTTTTGGAATCCTTCAGCTTTAATGATGACGATGACACTGATGAAGGCAGTCGCGGAGAAGATGCTATTGACGACGACACAGATTTTTCACCTACTTCTGATGAATATAAAATGAATTTCATGCCAAGTGGTGATACAAAGCAGCACATACCTCCAAGTAGAGGATATCATGTTAATAATACTATTTTGAGCCAGGAGATGAGGAGAAGGGCATATAGCGATAATTTTCAAAGAATTCCTTCTTTTACTCAAAGCCCACCACAGTCAGGAACTCACAGTAATAGCATGATAGGCAAACTTAATGTTGTAAACCTGGGGAACTTTTATGGGAAATCAATATCTGATATTTCCCAAATGATCCAAGAAAGCCAGCCTCAGCTTGGTTTTATCAAGGGAAAACAAAAAATATCGCCAAACCCGATAGCAGGATATAATCAAGCGTACCAAGCAAATATATTCAATTTTCCAGAGTTACTGCTGTCACCAATCCAGTTCGACCCAGATATGTTCAACCTCGATGAGACAATTCGAGACCCATCTTTGTCAATTATCCCAGGCACAAAGTTTGATCAGCAGAAACTTGATGAATTGGCTCTTCCTGATACCTCTCATTATGAAAGCGCAGAGGCTTTTTTGAAAGCGCTATCAAATGATCAAAAATTTGATTTTCTGAAGTAATTTATACTGATATGAATACAAACAAAACCATTTTTTTTTTTCAAGCTCTTATCTCTTATCTGTAAAATGAAGCTCCGCTATTTCATCAAAAATAATGCCTGATCAATAAAGGCCAGCAAAGCTATCACAAAGAGTGAGTTTGATATACTGGAAGTAGAAATAGTCATGCCTAGTACCAACAAATTCAAAAGTAAATATTTTTCTCTCCGCATAAATGAACTCAAAATACCCCCATCAAAGATTCTCAGAAACTTATTAAAATCGTCCCCCAAATCTTCATAATTATTTGAATAATACTTCTCTACGAAGTAGGAAATCAATTTAATCTCAATAGAAACTACCAATAGCTTTGCTATAATATAAAATCGCCAGTCATTTTCAACTCTGGATATTACAATATTGAAGAGCGACCGATCCTTTTGACCAGGAACTTTGATTGGCACGATAATATCCGTCTTCGTCTCAGCAATAGCAAGATAATTTTCATTTTCGCTCTTGTAGCTCTTGTCATTATTCCCATTTGTGTGTGTGCTAGAAGAATAATTATCATCTAACAGCAGAACTAACGAGCCTTCCATAGGAACAAATCTACCAGAATATAGCTCCTTGGCGATTAATTGATGTAAAAGCTTCAACAATTCAGATGTGGAAAGTCTTTCGATAGGGTTTCTGCTAAGAAGATTTTTCATAATATTATAAATCTCACTTGATAAATCCTCCCGTTGATATTTGCCGTAGAAGTTTGAAGAATTGAAGAATTCAATAATGTCAAAATTCTTAATTTGGTTCTTTAGAGAAGAATAATCTAAATCAGAGAATGTCGTTTGATAAGGAAGATCACCAAAGCACATGAAGAACAAAATCATTCCTAAGCCAAACATGTCAGTTGATTTACTGAATTCATTTAAAGAGGTGCTGGTTGGACTTTTTGGAAGCAAAAGCTCAGGCGCCACAAACTCTAAAGTACCTGTGGCTCCTGTTGAATTTCTGAGCTTCCCTTCAAATTGACTTTCCCCAAAATCAGAAACCAAAATTCTAGGTAAAGACAAAAACTTCTTGTATTTCTCTTCATTAATAAATTCAGCTTGATCAAATTCACTTGGTAAATCCTCATGCCTGTTGGATATCAAACAGTTTGAAGGTTTTAAGTCTCTATGAATGATATGATTGGAATGTAATTCGTGGACTCCCGTTACTATATCTTTGAAGAATTTGAGGACTTCAATCAAGCTGAGAAACTTTGGACTCGTTAGGCCTTTTTCTTGATGAAATCCAGTGCCTCGCTTTTTCTGTTTTCTAAGCTCTCTTATCCTCTGCTTTTGTGCCTCAATATCAGCTTTTGGGTGGCTCAAGTTGTTCACTAACTCTTCTAAATTTCCTCCATCACAGTATTCAGTTAAAATGAAGGCACAAGGCACCTTGGGACCAAAGTCACTGGCTTGGCTGATTTCTAACCACACATGATTATACTTAACTAGATTTTTGTTCGAGGTACTCAACAAGCAAAGCAACTCTACTTCTTTCAAAATTCTTAATAAACCCTTGGTATCATTCCCAATTGCAATTTTTTTCACTGCAAAAAAACCTAACGAAAAATCATTAATAAAGTGCTCAACTTTATAAACCGAGGCATTTGATCCTCTTCCCAATAATTTGTCAATTTTGAAGAATTTCCTGAAATAGTCATGAGTGAAAAGATTTTTTGGTAATTCTTCATATAGTTTTGAGGAAGCGACCATTCCTTTGGTATTACTTGTTTGGCTAGAGTTATCTAAAGAAAAAATCTTTGGTTGTGGAGGAGCCTGGTTCATATCTAACAATTGAGGCTCCTGTATATCTTCAACGCCTTCATGGGCATTAGAAGATATAGCTAAAAGTTTAAAATAGTTATTATTAATATACTTGAAATCTCTATTGAATCTGTTGTTAAAAACGTCAGATCCTCTTCTATCAAAACTACTTTGTTGCTGTGTTAGGGACTTGGTTGGAGGGGCGGAAGAAGATGTAGTGGATGGTGATGGTGCACCCGGATTTCTTATAGCATGGCCACAATTGGGACATTGAATATCATTACTCAGTTGCGAGTGAAGATTCTTGTTATTACCATAACCATCAGAGTGATCATGTGTCGTTTTGATCAATTGGAACTTATTGGAATTTGTGTCATGAATTATCATAGCGTCTCTTTGTGGGTCATGTCTGAAAATAGTTAGTTAGTTATCAGGGATATATATAAATGATAAAGGAGACAACATACAATACAACTTTGAGCTCACTACGATCGTCATTGTAGACCACTAAAGACATTTTCTATTGTCTGTGCTGATGTGGCAATTGGCTTATGGGAGCTACGAATGTTATTCTGTCCTGTCAAAAAAAGTCACTTTAAAGATGTGATGACCTTCTAAAGAAAATAACAGGGGTTATGCACCCCGCGCATTACAAGAAAATCACGATAATAATAATAATAACATCACCAACAACAAGTATATTGCATATATGCACTTGCAATTCCACATAAAATTTTAGAAGCTGTTTTCTCAATAATAAACACAACATAAAGAAGAAAAGAATAAAAAAGAAATAAATAATAAACAATACTTAAAAATACAATGATAAAAGTTTTACATTAACGACGTCTGTTGAAAGGCTTTCTCCCCTTGTTACTATATCTTCTGCCGTGGAATTTTTCCTTGAACGGTTTTTGAACTCTATCAGTCTTAGCACCCAAACTTCTAGTTCCGGTAGCAAGGCCAATTTCTTTTGCCAAAACAGATTCTGGAGTGATACCGAATTTTTCAATTCTGGCAAGAGATTTTTCAAGGTCTTTGATGGTAGTTTCTGAGTTTTCCCCACCAAATTTCTTTTCACGCTCGATTTTCTTATTCAACAATTCAACAGCAGCTGATTTCAACTCCTCAGGACTCAATTCCTTTGGTTTTTCTTCTTCTACTACTTTTTCTTCTTTTTCTTCTTCTTCCTTTGGAGCATCTTTACTTGGGTGAATGATGGTGTAGTCACCCGCAGTTGTAACTTTAGCACCTTCTTCCGGCTTTTCTTCGCTGGTAACATCTTGCTTTGGTTTTTCAGAGTTAGCTTCTTCAGCAGCGCTTTCAACCTTGGCAGCATCAGCACTTTCAGACGCGATAGTGGCAACTGGTTCCTCTTTGCCTTCTTCACTGCTGTCAGCTTCTTCAAGACGAGCCACCAAGTCACTTTTCACACCATTGGTGGAAAGGCCTTTAGCCTTAAGTAGCTCCTTTAATTGAGCAACTGTTTGGGAGGAGTATTTGGACATTTTTAAATGAAAGAATTGGTGATTCCACTTTTTACAACACCAATATTCGTCCTTCCCAGTTTTTGGTTTGTGTTGTTGGGTGGAAAATCAAAAATCCTGTCGCGCCGATAACGTGACTTGTCATGGTGGTGTATTAGGGGTTAGAAACCCCACATAGGCCTTACCCCTTCGTGGTAAAAGGTAAACAAACACACGTGATCATGTCCCAGGTTTTGCAAGTTCTTTTTTGGGTTCTCTTCTGTGTTTTTCTATTTGCTCCAGCTGTTTTGGACTTGCAAGAAGCTATCCTCAGTGTCTCATAAACAATTGATTAACAGATATGAACTTCTTCGGAGCAAGATCAAAAGGAACCGGTGTCGATGACCTCACTTCTGGTCTTCAGGCCATCCAGGTCGACTATCATGACAACGTCAACCAAATCATGCCAAACACCAGTCCAACAAAGTTCAACTACGCCGAAAGAAACAAAGAAAACTCCCCTTTCCCTTCTCCAACCAAGTCTATCCAATATGGTCAAACAAATACCACTGCTACTGCCCCAACAAGGTCCTTGGGTAAAGACTTTTACCAAAAGGCAAACTCACAAAAGACTAAAAGATTGGTCAATGTTTGCCAGATGTACTTCTTAGACTATTACTGTGATATGTTTGATTATGTTATCTCTAGAAGACAAAGATTGAACCAGACAAAAGAAGCTCTTTCAAAAGTCGCTAATCCAAATGAACGACAATCTATGTATAATGATTACTTGTCGAAAGAGACGTCATTGCTTAGACAGCGCAGACTTAAGCCAAAACATAAAGACTTTGAGATGATTACCCAAGTTGGGCAAGGTGGTTATGGTCAAGTCTATTTGGCCAAAAAGAAGGACACTAAAGAGATCGTCGCTTTGAAGGTCTTGAGTAAAAGATTGTTGATGAAGCTAGATGAAACCAGACACGTTTTAACCGAAAGAGACATTTTAACAAATACCAGATCAGAGTGGTTGGTCAAATTATTCTATGCGTTTCAAGATAGTGACAATGTTTTTTTGGCTATGGAGTTTGTCCCAGGTGGTGACTATAGAACCTTATTAAACAACACAGGAGTTTTGATTCCACCACACGCCAGATTCTATATCAGTGAAATGTTCACCGCAGTTAATGCTTTACATCAATTAGGTTATACTCATAGAGATTTGAAGCCTGAGAACTTCTTGATTGATGCCAAGGGGCATATCAAGTTGACTGATTTTGGTTTAGCTGCCGGTTCTGTTTCTACCGATAGAATTGAGAGTATGAAATCAAAATTGGCCGCTGTTAAAGATTTGGACTACAGTATACCAACTGGTTCTGTGAAGGAAAGACAGAAAATGTATAGATCCTTGAGGGCCAAAGACATTCATCTTGCGAATTCTATTGTCGGTTCTCCAGATTATATGGCTCTTGAAGTCCTTGAAGGAAGATCTTATGATTATACTATTGATTATTGGTCGTTGGGTTGTATGCTCTTTGAAACTCTAGTTGGCTACCCACCATTTGCAGGGGCCAATCCAGAAGATACCTATACCAATTTGAGAAGATGGAAAGAGGCCTTGAGAAGACCTCGTTATGAAGATGGTAGATATGTCTTTTCAGATAGAACATGGCAATTGATCACAAGGTTGATTGCTTCACCAAAAGATAGAATTAGATCTTTTAAACAAGTCATGGTCATGCCATATTTTGCTGAGGTGGACTGGGAGAACCTAAGAAGTAGAATTCCACCATTCACCCCGCAACTAGATGACGAAGAAGATGCAGGCTACTTTGATGATTTTAGTAATGATGAAGATATGGCGAAATATAAGGAAGTGCTAGCCAAGAAAGCTGCCATTGAAAGAATGGGTGATAAGAACATTGATAATAGATATTTTATTGGTTTCACATTCAAGCATTCTGGTTCCAAGTTTGTTGCCAACTCCAAATCAGATGGGTTTGGTGCTATAAATGCTGATGAAGGCGATCCATTTACAACCTGGTATTGACTTCTTCCGTTTACGTTTAAAGCCATCATTTTTCAATTATTTTCTTTCTAAAGATTACTCGTTTATTTCATTTGTTTGTTTATTTGCTTTTTACCCCGCTAATTTTTTTTTAATTAATTTATCCTCATTAACTTTTATCAGGTTTTATCAAACGGTTCATTTTATTGTCATCCTATATTCTGTAATTAGTCCCATTTCAGAGGGTGGGCACCCCACGCGCGTCATTTTTTTCATGTCAATTTTTCTTTTGTTGATTTTCGCTTCTCATCGGATCTTACGAACGAGCACTAACCCACAATCACCAATTCCCCAAAAATGCATATCAAGAGGATTGCGTTGCAGGGTTTCAAGACCTATAAGGAGGCAACAGTGATTGATCTTCTTTCTCCTAATACTAATGTGGTTGTGGGAAGAAATGGCTCAGGGAAGTCGAATTTCTTTGCAGCGATCAGATTCGTCTTGTCTGACGCTTATACTCAAATGTCTAGAGAGGAGCGCCAGGGGCTCATTCATGAGGGCTCAGGAACTGTCATGTCAGCGTATGTGGAAATTGTGTTTGATAATACTGATCGCCGATTCCCAATTGAGAAGGACGAAATTGTGATTAGAAGAACCATTGGGTTAAAGAAGGATGATTATTCCATTAATCATAGGTCAGCCCAAAGATCAGACATCATGAATTTACTTGAAAGCGCGGGGTTTTCCAGATCTAATCCGTATTATATTGTTCCTCAGGGCCGTATTACTGCCTTGACCAACGCAAAAGATTCTGAAAGATTGCAATTGTTAAAGGAGGTTGCTGGTGCCCAGGTGTTTGAGCAAAAATTGAAACAATCGTTGAAAGAAATGGAGGCATCCAACAAACAAAGAGAGAAAATAGATGAAATGCTTTCGTTCATTGAAGAAAGATTAGATGATTTGAATTCTGAAAAAGAGGAATTGAAGAAATTTCAAGAATTTGAAAGAGAAAAGAAATTCCTTGAATATACGCTTTATGATCGCGAGATGAAGGAAATCGATGAACAAATCGAGTCAATCGATTCTCAGCATACCAAGGATATCGATGATAATACTGATGAGGTGATTGAATTAGAAAAAAGAGAAGCACAAACTTTACAAATCGAGGAATTATTGAGTGAGTTGAAGTCGAGGTTGAGTGTTTTGAAAGTTGATAAAAATCAATGTGATTCTGATTTGAATGACTTATTAGTAGAGCTTGCGAAGCAAGAGGAAATCGTTGCAGAATTGAAAAATGAGGCTACAAGTATCCGCAAAGAGGTAAGTTCCGAAAATAACGAATTGAAACAACTTCAATCCGAAATCCAAGAAAATGAGTCCAAATTATCTGAAGAAGCTCCAGTTTTAAAGCTGCTTAAAGACACGGAAAAGCTTCTAAAGGATCAATTGAATGAATTAACTGGAAGGCAGAGAACCTTGTATTCCAAAGAAGGTAGAAAATCACAATTCAGGAGTCGACAGGATAGAGATAACTGGTTGGGAGAAAATATCAAACAGATGGAAAGCAGAATTAAGGAGAAGAAAACTGATTTAGACTCATCTAAATCGCAACATGAGCAATTAGCTCAACAAGTGAAGGAGGTTGATATAGAGATTTCCAAAATCCAAGATATCTTGACCGGGGAAGATTCTAAGAAAGAGACGACTGAAATATTCAAGAATGTAACTGATGCTAAAAAGCAATATTCAGATTTGATTGACGAAAGAAAGCAGTTATGGAGAAATGAGGCAAGACAAAGAGCCATAATTGATTCTGCTTTTGAGGAACTCCAGAAAGCCAATGGGTACGTCGCAGAAACAATGGATAGAACTCAAAGTACTGGTCTTGAATCTGTCAAACGTATTGCAGAAAGATTGGGATTAGTTGGTGTTTATGGTCCTTTGGGAGAGTTAATTGAAGTTAACCAAAAATACAAGACCGCTGCTGAAGTGATCGCTGGAAATTCGTTGTTTCATGTTGTTGTTGATAATGATAACACTGCTTCCACAATTATGGAGGAATTAGTTAGAGAGAAATCTGGTAGAGTTACCTTTATGCCATTGAACAGACTTTCCCCAAAAAATCAGGTTTATCCAGCGCGTAAAGACTGTGTCCCATTGATTCAAAAAATGGCATTTGATGAAACCTACCAAGCGGCTGTTAATCAAGTTTATGGTAAAGCTGTTGTTACAATTTCATTGGATGTTGGGTCTCAAATAGCTCGTGAATATAAGCTCACTGCAATCACTTTGGATGGCGATAGGGCTGACAAAAAGGGTGTGTTGACTGGTGGTTATAGAGATCATAAGAGATCTAGAATCGACTCTTTATCTATCCAGCGCAGAAGAAAGCACGAATATGATGAAGCCAAATCTGTTCTACATGAATTGAAGAGAAAAATCGAGGCTATTGACCAAAAGATCACTGCCGCCAATTCTAGCGTTAGTAACGCTCAAAGAAAATACGATATTTTGATGCTTTCAAAAGAACCTCTCAGAGTTAAACTATTGAAACTTCAAAACGACAAATTAAATTACCAACAAGAAATCAGATCTATTATTTCCATTATAGAATCTGATGAACGGATCATTAGTCAGTATGAGTTACAAAACCAAAGTTATAAAGATGAATTAGAGAGTGACTTCCAAAAGGGACTAACCAGTAATGAGATCAATGAATTACAAACCGTTAGTATGAAGATTGTTAAGCTTGAGAAGGAATCTAGCGAGGCTGCCTTATTGTTGACCAAAAAGGAGTTGGAATTATCGTCAATTGAATCAGAATTGAAAGAGAAATTGTATCCTAGACGTGATCAATTATCATCAAGAGTTGAAGTTTTCAAGGATGAAATCTCTGAAAGCAACCAAAGGCAAGCTCAAGACAAATTGAAAAATATTGAAACTGAAGTAGAAGAATTGACATCTAAGGGTGAGAAATTGAACAAGGAACTCGAAGAAATTTCTACTGATCTTGAATCCAAAAATAGAGCTTTAGATAAGATTAACGATGATAAGAAAAAATTTAGCAAAAAATTATCTAGCTTCCAGAAAACAGCAGAAAAAAATATTTCCAAAAAATCGTTATTAGTGAACCGTCGTGAAGATGTTCTGAAGAAGATTAGAGAATTGGGTGTTTTACCGGAGGAAGCTTTTACCAAATTCATCGGGTTGGATGCTGAAAAGTTATTAAGAAATTTGAATTCGGTCAATAAGAAGTTAACCAAATATGATCATATCAATAGAAAAGCCCTAGAGCAATATCTAAACTTTTCCAAACAGCATGATGAATTGGTTGAAAGACGCAAAGAATCTGACAAATCCAAAGAGTCTATCGAAAACTTGATCCAAGTCTTGGAAAAACGGAAAAATAATGCCATCACTAGAACTTTCAAGAATTTGTCAGAAGGTTTCTCAGAGATATTTGAAAAATTGGTTCCTGCTGGTGTTGGTAAATTAATAATGCAAAATAAAGATGACACTGCAGACCAAGTCACGTTGATGACGCAAAATAATAGGGACGAGGATGACGATGAAATTATGACCGATGCTTTTGATAATGATGACTCAAGTATTGATAATTATAGCGGAATTTCTATTCAAGTTTCTTTCAATTCAAAATCTGATGAGCAACAACGTATAGAGCAATTATCAGGAGGTCAAAAGTCTTTGTGTGCTATAGCTTTGATTTTGGCCATCCAAAAATGTGATCCTGCTCCCTTCTATTTATTTGATGAAATCGATGCCAATTTGGATACTCAGTATCGTACCGACGTTGCTGCTTTGATTCACAAATTGTCTGCAAATGCTCAATTTATTTGCACCACTTTCAGACCAGAACTTTTGAATATTGCTAATAAGTATTACGGTATTATGTATAACAAGAAGATATCGAAAGTTAGTGAGATAAACAAGGAAGAGGCAATGTCTTTCATTGAAGATCAGCAGCAACAAGCTTCTTAGATTTCTATTTAATTAATTTGTTTTCTTATACAATTTTTTTTTTTTTTGCATTTTTACAATGGGTTTTATTTTTTTATGCTTTGCTATACATTCTTGACGGATTTTACACGACTATTTTTTTTACACCTTATCATGTAGAGCTACAATCATTAGCTTTTGGCGATTTTCAGCTATTTCAAAATGCTAATCCTTAAGACATTATGCAAAATATACATTCCATTCACATCAACTATCATTACACAATAATAAACATACCAATCGTAGTAAAATTAAAAGCCTCTACCGCCTCTTCTTCCTCCTCTTCCACTCATATTTCGACTACCACCTCTCGTTATCCCCGCTGGCGCTTTCTTTTTGGAGTTTTTCATCTTTGGAGTTTCGTCAATTAATAAAGTATCCAAGTTGAGTGAATCTGGTAGTATGATCAACCGTATGTTACTTCCTCTAACGTTTATGAAATCGAGTTCCTGAGGGTCGCGGTCTTTGATGGTCATTTTCACATTTTTAAGAGAGACGTTCATTGATGGTGACACATTAAGAACAGAACCACTTATAATTGTACCATTTTTAAGCTCAATCTGTACCGATTCAAGCGAAAGCTTCATTAAAAATCTTGTTAACTTCATCTTGATATTTTTTGTGTGTAAATGTAATAATTTATATGGCGCAAAACCCTAGCAGTCTACTTTTCTTTTCTTTTTTTTTTTTTTTTTTTCAAGTCTAAATTGATCAGTGAGAAATCTTGCGAATCACAGACACCGAATATTTTTGTAACAAAATTGGATTAAATCTTGGAGGCAAGCTTAATGGATTGAATTATTCTATATCTGTAATACTGTTTGGTTATAAATTTTTTAGAATAGAAAAAAAAAAAAAAAAAAATAAAAAAGAATATTGATAAACGCGCGCGCATACATTTAACAGGAAGCTCTTTCTTGACGCCACCAAATTGTGTCAAAAAGACAATAATCATAAAACATGTATAATTATATACAAGAGCTTTTATATATTGAAATGTTCATACAATTCTATTAAAATAATCATATAGGAAAATCACTCTACCATAAGGAATGTTAATTAAATCGGTGCTTTTCCAGGGTTTCAGATGGCATCTAAGAGGCATAGGCAGTTACTCTATTTTGTTCTTGTGGTGACGGTGTTAGTCAAGAATTCCAAAGCGGCTCTGGCATCTGATTCTGGTAAAGTCCTTAAGTTTTCTAAGGCTTTGTTTTTGTATTCCTCCGCTAACTCTTTGGTCTTCTGCAAACCGTTATATTTCTCGACATTTTTGACGGCATACTCAATGTCTCCCTTTTGGGAGAACTTTCTGGCAATCATTGGACCCAAGTCCGGGTTTTCTTTCCAAGCATATAAAACAGGACCAGTGGCGAGGCCTAGTTGCAAGTCAGCACCCGCTGGTTTCCCGAGCTCATCAGAAGTTCTTGTGAAATCCAAAATATCATCCACCAATTGGAAACAGATCCCCAAGTTTCTGCCAAATTGATAACAGTTTTCCAAAACATCTTCTTGAGCACCAGATAAAACTGCAGATGAACGACTTGATTTAGAAATCAAGGCAGCGGTCTTCAAGTAAGTCTTGTGTAAGTAATACTGGAAGGCAGCGTCCCAATTTTGTTCGTGGGTAATATTTGTTGTATTTTCTGGCAAGGTTACAGAATATTCATGGCCCGGATTTGGAACTTTACCAGTTGGACGAGGTATTTCTTTGCCATTATCCAATCTATCTGGGTTTCTATTCATGATGGTATTTTTCAATTGCATAAATTCCCCTTCTACCAAGTTCGCAATTGAAGTAGAGATCAACTCAATCACTTCTGGGTTTCTTAATCTCGCAATAGCTACCGATGCTCTGCCTAGAAGGAAATCGCCGGCGAGGACAGCCATCTTATTTGTGAAGGCAACGTTACCACTTGGTCTGCCTCTTCTAGTGTCCGAATGGTCAATAACATCATCATGCAATAACGAAGCAGTATGGATCATTTCCACAATTTCCGCCAATCTTCTTTGCTTAGGCAAAATGTCAGCATTAATATCTTTTTCCACAGGTAAAGATTCGAAAGGAGATGACAATGGTGCCAATATTAAACTAGGGTTTATACCGTGTAAGATTTTGAGTGGAGTTAGCGAGTTATCAGGTGTTCCATTGGTGACGTTGTTGATACTACTTGTGACCCCAGAGTAGGCTGGTTGATCACAAGTGTCAAAATGATCTGGTTTCAATCTATTTCTTTGTTCTTTTGGAATCGCTGCTAAGGCTTTGGACAATAAAAGCACAAGTAAAGGTCTAAGCTTTTTGCTATCCGATTCAAAATAGTAAGCAGCGGCTCTATTCAAGGTAGGGTTTCCCGAGCCAATAAGTGATGCGATATTTTTGGCTAACGAGCTCATTTCATGACTAACAATTGAAATTGGGTCATCAAGCTTCTTTTTTGGTTCAACTAATTTTTCACCCACCTCGATGGCAGCAGCGAAGCCAGGTGAAGATGAGCTATGACGGTACCCATTCAACGGCTTAAGATTTTGAACAGACCTTAACTTAAGAGACAGCCTGACTGATTGTTGGAGTAATCTGTTCATTTTTCTCTTTTCTTCTTCTTTCTCTTTTTACCTGTATTACCCCTGTCGCTCTTCGAAACTTGGGGTCTCTCAAGAAATTAAACAACTGAAAAAAATAAAAAAATAAAAAAAAAAAAAAAATTCTGCTTCTGTCAGCTGATTGGGCCCATAATAAATCAATCGGACATACAAGAAGACACAACCAATAAATGGTTTCCAACAAAAGAGAATCACATTCTGGAGACTAGCTTGTGGTCTTTTGGGATTGCTAAACTTTTTTTCCATCTTTTTTCTAGTCTAACTGCTTTTTGCGACGGAAAGCCACTCGCTCACCACGCATCATGGAAATCTCCGAAAATCTTGTACCACCAATATGGAATTTCGGAGTACAATAATGCTAAACTTAACCTTTTATAGTTACCCAAGATCATTACCCATAAAACAATAATAATTATAATGAATAAGATCATACTCTAGGAACAACATATTATCCTTTGCATTCCTGGAAACAGCATTTCAACGATTGGAGCTCATCCAAGACTCGACAAGTCATCTTGTCATTAGAATAGTAGGACAATTCCTTGTTTTATTCTTTTCAAATAGATTAATCCAGCTGATCTTTACATGTTCAAGTTACTACAAAATGCATGCCATAATTTGTGTAATGATTGAGCTGCCCATTGCTGGTTCTAGACGACAGAGCCAATGAAAATGGATCTTTCTTGTTATCCATTTAAATCAATAAATACATTTCAAGGTCATATTCGTCGATGGTGATGTTAGACGCTTTTGCAGTTTATAAGTAACCATGATCCAATAGCCTGCTGCTTCTTCTTCTCTCGTCAGCATATATACACTTACCTCCTACACCATGAGCGCTTGGGCATAGATATGACAAACAAGGGTAACCCTTATTATTATTGACACATAAACATCGACTGAGCCTCTTCAGAATCCATACCCGGGGTTCTTGAGGGAATCCAGGAACTTTGTTTCAATTGCCCCAACTACCGCGCCTTAGTAATTTGTTAGTAATAAATTGTTGGGTGACGTCCAGGTAACTTTTCTCGTTTTGGGGCACTTGTTTTTTTAAGGTTTTGCAACTTGAAACTGGTTGTCCAAATAAATGTCACACGGGAATCCAGCGGAATCTCGCAAACAAACTGTATTGATATAACTTTTTGTTAGTGCATGAGTCCCAACGATTTATGATTTGTCAAAGCACTCTAATCAAATAGGTTAAAGTAAATCTATTCCACTTGTAGGGTAAGATATATTTAATTAAATATATATATATTATTAACAATAATAATAATAATAAAGAGGTTGGCCAGTCACATGACTCGCATTGAAGTTGCTGATGAGAGGCTTGCATATTCTGACACAAAATAAGCCGTCGAGAACAAAACTTCCTTTTTTCTCACCACCATGCTGGTTATTATCTGATGTCCGGGTGTCCAATAACATCCTTTCCCCCCCCCCTGTCAAAGGGTGCGTGACCGCCAATACTTGGCTATTCACATGTCAGGCAGGGAGGCGCTTTGGACCCCCAACAAAAAAAAAAAAAAAGCCGTTGTGAGACATTTGGAAGCCGTAGAGTACACCAGGGGTTTCTCGTATTTTTTTTTAGGGTCTGGATCAAACTGGAAAAATTGCCACTCTGCTTCTAGGTCTATTCCAATTCCATGCAATTCCTGTTGATCCGCTCGTATTTTGCACATATTCCATTTCAACACAGTCTCCAAGAAGCACTATATAGTTGGTACTTATCGTATCGACAAGAATCACAGGGGTCGATTGAAGATAACTGATTGGTAATTGGGAGTTGCAACAAAATTGATTGGAAGTATCAGAATATATCTGTTGCTGCGAAAGTTATCTTGCATATCTCCGATAACTCCATTTAAATTTTTTTTTTTTTGCTGCCTTGCCTCTTAACACTTACCGTTTCCGTCTGGAATAGCTCATCAAATTCGTACAATTCTTTCTAATTTCACTGTTCTCAGGCATTTGTCTGCAGTCTCGAGCACAATTGCTCTTGCCTTTGCATGTATCACTTGATTCAAGTAGAACATTGCGCTTGCATGCAGGAATATTTGTAATCCCCCTAAAAATAAAATTTGCTTACTGGTCTATGTAGTGTACAAACGCATCTTTGATGAAATCTATTGCCTAGATTTCCCGCATTGTTACAAGCACAACTATCTGATACCCGAGAAAAGTAAAGAAAAGAAAAGAAAAGAAAAGAAAAGAAAAGAGAAAAAAAAAAATACTATTTATCATTCTACCCAAGTTTGGGATAATTGAAGTTCTTGATATATCGACACTGTTAACATTGTTGAAATATTCAACACAGCATAGGGAGTTGATGAAAAAATACGAAAAAAAAAACTGCACATCTCATCACATTTTTCAGAGTCAACATCGTATTAGTATTTCAAATTTCTTTCACTTTGCCACCTTGAGAAATTGTTTTGACCGTTATTATTCATCAATCAACTACACTACGTAGCTGCCAATAATGAACCATCAAAACCCGTTCATATATAACCCCATATCTTCTCAACAACAACAAACCCCGTTTCAGCCTTTCCAGCAACAGGGTGCCGATACCTCCAAGATAAAAAGATCGAGAAAATCACACAAGAAATCTAGGTTAGGTATGTTTATTGTTATTATCAAGGTCCGTTTTCTTTTATTGGGGCTTAGCTGGTAGTGATTTTAAGCATACTTCTCTCATATTATAATATCTCTCTCATACTATAATATCTCTTTGGCATCAGAATCAGCTTTTCATCCAAATATGTTTTTATCCGAGATTTTGATCTCAATAGTTTGCTCGACAATACTATATTCACTACAATCAGAAGTTGACATGAGGAATTGGGGCCTTTTACAATATTTTGATTGTATTTTTTTTTCTTTTTTTTTAATTATTTACTAACTCTAATTCTCAGGATGTCTTCAATGCAAAAAGAAGCGAAAGAAATGTGATGAGCAATTGCCAGTTTGTGGTAATTGCCAGTTGAGCTCACATGTATGTATATCTATACCTATTCTCGTCATTTCCATATTAAAAATTTATCAGTTACTAACGTTTTGAAAGGTTCGATGCAGTTATTTAGATTTGTCTGATGCTGAGAAGCAAAAAATTGCCGATTCTCATCAAAAAGTGGATGAGCAGGCATCATATCCAACTAATGGTAGCGACAACGGTTCTAATGCAAGTATTGATCAATTCAAATTCCAGCCCTCAAATTCACATCAATGTGAAATATCTGCGCTGCCTTCCGGTCTTCATTCGCATAATAATAGTTCTGTGTCAATATCATCACAGCTTTATTCAACTCCGACATTCCAGAATTTAGACTCTTATATCAGCAACAATAACTCATTGTCGAACAGCTTCAATTCAAGTTATGATTTTGAGGAAAAAACTTCACAAAGAAACTCCTGTACCATTCAAAATAATCAATTGCTAAGCCCCTCTATGAAAGACACAGTTGAATTTCCCTCTTCATTTCAATTTCCACTTCCTTTGAATGAAAAAGCGATACCTAATACTGGAAAGCCAACATTTAGTAACAGTTTTGATGACTTAAACTTATCTTTTCCATTAATCCCTTCCGAGGCAGCTATAAATTTCCCTGCTAATTTTAGTCATGCGTCACTGAGCTATTTCGGTGATTATCAATCATCTAAACGTCAAAAACTCGATCAGAATAGCTTGGGGTCGACCAATGAACAAGGAATTAGACAAATTATTAATGTTCCATCATTCGAAGTTACAGATAATACTGAAATTCTTAACCCCCTACCCAACTCTCACAGAGTCAATGAATCATTCAGATTGTACGATCATAAAAAGGTAAGCTGCTCCAACAAGGAATCTTTGGAAAAAGATTTTAGACCTTTGTTCGATCGTACGAAACACTTCACCAAGGTTAGACTATTGTTATTCTCATTGTTGGAAAAAACATTTATCAATGCTCAAAAATCAAACTCAGTTTTCTTTGCCTTGATGGAGTTTTCCATGAAGTACATTTTTTGCAAAACAGTGTTAAAGCTGCGGAATTTGGTTATGCATCCTAATAACAAATTGTTTCATGATCAAGAATTGGATTTGTCATTTGAAAAACCAATTCTCAACAAGTTAATGATTCATTATGCCAATTCAAAGTCTCATTATTGTCAAATAAATCAAATATCTCTTAAATCAATTCTTGAGACACATAGTCTTGAAGACATCACCAATGACCCAAAACTTGCAAGTAAAGTCTTATTCAAAATTTCTTGTATGGATGATGTTTTGTCTTGGTATTCAAGAGCCAGCTGCTATGAAAAATATAATGATTTAGCGGACATTGCAAATCATTCTCGATACTTGAAGTGCCTGAATGACTTATTCCGGATTATAGAAAAATTCGCCCCTCATACTTCGAAATTCCCCAATGAATTGTATTATGGCTTCCGAAGCTGTGTGACCATCACTTCTATAACTGAATCAATGAAGCTGCTATATATTCCAAGTTATAATACTAGTGCGTTTTTAGAATTTTACGATGACTTGGTTCAATTTGGGGCATTTATTAGAAACCAGGGAGATTTGATGAAGGAAGAAATTAAAGCTGAAGTGGCAGATAACAGAGCAGATTATTACTTGTTGATAGACTTGATGAGTACTATTATTAATGACATTTTACCCATTCTCGAATCTAGCTCATCGTACGTGCTTCCAGCTAAATATTATTTTATCTTTGGTAAAAAGTGGTTTCAACTCTTGCCTGAACAAACTAATCTAATCGATTCAAACCGTCTGATGACATCTTACAGAAAGCTCTTTTTATTATACTTTTACACTGCTTCCCAATTCATCACCCATATTTTTGGCACAGGAAGATATTTTTTCATCATGAAGAGCTTGGAGATTGATTTCCTTGCAACAAACTGGTTTTCTTCTGAAGATTTTTCCGAGTTCACTAATCCTTCCATTAGTATTGATGAGCAGCACAAACGTTTCGGAGGAACGACAATTCAGAACAGTAAATTCATACATGATGTGTTGCAGCGCCATGCAGTGTACTGTCTCCGTGTTGTCTCATTCTTCCGTATAAGACGGATGTGTTGTTTGAGGTATTTGAATCTTGATCCAGCAGCAACATTAGAATTGAACCAATTAGGTGAAGCATCATTAAATAAAGAAATGGTTAATCGAGGAATTGAAGAGGTGCCAGTGTTACGTTTTAAGAGCACCATATTGAAACCAGAACACTTTATCCATGAGCCGATGTTGAGTAACAAGGAGAAAAAACAAGAAAATATTGATATTAAGAGCTCTGATTCGAAAATGAAGTTAGGTCAACCCGTTTTGAGATTTTTTAAACCAGATGATGAAAAGAATAATCTCTATGTCCAAGACTTTCCTAAACTTGATTCCTGGTACTCCGAGTTCGGTTTCAATGACATAGTTGATAAATCCATTCAGGAATCTTTCGAGATCTCTGGAGGAAAACCAGCACAGCTATCAACTGAATCACAAATGAAGTTCAAAAACTCAATAATTTCAAAGTTTAATCTTTTTGAATTTCTTAAACCTTCAATTAAACCCAACAGAATAGCACCAATTTCATTTTTTGATGACAAAACCGGATTGATGAAATTCGATTTCAATCCATTTAGGGACTTGGAAATGGACAGTACTTTGGTCCACAACATTCAACCAATATATGATGGAATGATTTCGTTGTATTTAGATCAAAGAATTAGGTTGATCGAAAAGAATCGTGGCAATGAAAATGAAAGCACAAGTGATCCATCAATCTTTAACAATTTTTATAATCACCAAACTCAGACACTTACCCATGCTGAGCACTACCAGAGACCAAACTTGCATGATCTTAAAAGACATTCTACTAGCTCGTTGCCTTGTTACTTCAGGACATTCAACATTGGTGAAGTAGAATTGGAGGATATTAATAATAACTCTTCTTTTCAGATACGAAAAAGCTCCAGTGCAAATAGAGCAAACAGTTTGGATAATGAAAAAGCATTTGGTGATACTGGCCACAAACTAGCCCTCAACCCTGAATATCAGTTTACCCAAAATGGCCAAATAGCGACAGGAACCAACTGGAAAGAAACCTCAATGAATAATCATTTGATTGCTGCTACCTCTGGAGCGTTATATGATGATGCTTTTGTTTCTAATTCTAGTTTCGCTAAGGCAGCGAACCTTGGATCAAATGTGAACACTGCTTACTTTGATCCTACCACAAGATCTTACCCTTCTCAACGATATGCACAAAATAACCCGCATAACTTTTCTAACGTGTCAAGTGATGTTAATTCTGGATCCAATGGCCATGGAAATAATATTTCTAGTTTGAATAATCCCGCATGCTCTAGCAGCTTTGGAGTTGATGATTTTCAAGATATGCGCTGTCAACTGCAATATCCTACTTACCAAAGCTCGGGAGCTAACCAGAACTTGAATCAGAATTTGAATAATCAGGGTCAATTTGGATACGATGGGACCAGCACCAATACCACAAATAATGGAAGCACTAATGGTGTCTCCAACCCTGATTCTAATAATGTTGAGTATTGGCTTTGATATCGATTCTTTTGATATTTTTCTTTCTCGTAATGGCGAGCTTTCATTTATGTGTAACGTGGAAACGTAATGGTATAATAGCTGCTCTTCACCAGCGTGATGAACTAATCGAGAATTCTTCCAGAAAGTCTTGAACTACGGATTATTTGTTCAATTCTTTTACTGGTATATTTGAACTTGGAGTTATGTTGATGAGTCATTATAAATCGCACTGAGTCGAGGCTTGTTTTTTCTCTAATTTTTCTATTTCTTTTCTTCTTCATACAACAACCTAGATTGCATTATGGAAGGATGAACATCCGTGCCATATTTTTTTTTTTATTTATATTTTGTTTTTTTATTAGTTTTATTTCAGTTCATTTCTCTCATTATTATTGGGTATACAGATCATATAGCATTTGATTTTTCTTTTTTATATTGTTTCAGATTTTTGCCTTGTTTTATATTTTTACTTTTTTTTTAGATGTGCTTATTCTACGGATTTTTTTTTTTTTTTTGGTTTTCTTTCAGACTGATGTCTTTTTTTTTTTTCTTATTTATCTCCATGTATGAATATATTAGTTCATGAAGTTTAATAGCGGACCTTTTTTTTTTTTTCCTATTTCCATTTTTACATTTTATTGTAGTTGGTTAAAATACAGTGAAATGACAATTCATGTTGAAACACAGACACAGATGAAATGACAGACACGTGACTAATAACGAATTTTTTTTTTCTTCTCGCTTTTATTTTTCTTTTTAGTGCCTCATTTTTTTGTACCTAAAAGCGTTGAGAATGTGAAGATAAGGACAGACAGACTAAGGGATTATACAGTGCTTTCGAACAACATTCATAAGACTACCTAACTGGAGGCAAATACAGCATTGACGGATATTCATAGAGTCCCAAGTCATTGAAGAAAACTGGAGATTCCCTGTTGTCCGAGAAAGCTCGATATACCTCGAAGCACAAGAGCAGAAAGCAGCATAAAAAGCACCATCAATAGTAATATCAAAGGGTTGAAGACCAAGGGAAAAAATAAGAATAATGACAGAATCCAATTCACCAGAGGATAATTCCATGGCTGACGTTTTGGACTCTGATATCTTCAAGAATTTGGACAAAGAAGCTAATAACTATGAAACAAATGATCGCAAACGATCACGTCCCGTTTCTAAAGCCTCAGAAAAACTGGAAAATTCTGAAAATGATTATCTAGAAGATCCTAATGGCCATAGTAATATGATTTCCATGAGTAGTACTCCATTCACAAATAAATTCTTCAATTACAATGGTAATTTTGCAAGCAGTGATTTGATGATGTTGAGTAACTCGCCATATTCTAATAGGTCTTCAATAAACCGACGTTTCCTGAATTTTAATTCCACTATCAAGAGATCAACAAAAAAAAGCTCCAATGGTGTTTCTAATGAGTTTCTTTTCAATCTTTCTTCGTCACCTTCCAAATATGCCTCTAAATCAACGCCCATGGAGAGAAAATTTGCAGAAAGGGTAGTGGCCTCCAATATTGCTACGCCACATACGGGGAAGTCTATTCGTATGAGTGACTTCATCACTGATACTCCATCACAAAAAGAGTTCTTTGGAGAGTTTGGTTTTTCTAATCAAGGATCTATTCTCCGAAGTTTCGGTAGGTCTACTCCGAAGGCACAAAAACATCCACAAGCAATAAATGGAGGAAAAGAGAAAGGAAAAGAGTCTTTGACTTTGGATACAGACACTGAAATCTTGAACGAATTGAATTTTTCACCATTCAACAAAAATATTGCTGGTGGCTCGCACAGTACAAAAAGAAAAGTTACAAGGTTATCGATGATGGAATCGCCCAGCAGAACCCCATTCAGAAACTCTAGAGTTCGGTTTGGCGACAGCAAGGAAATGGACGAAATTGGACAAGTGTTGATGAATTTCAAAACACCAAAGAGTTTAAGGAAGAAAATTGATGGAATGAAAGGTTTTTACACCAGTCCTTTGCACGGCAACTTCCAAACCCCAAGTTCCTCTAATGGTGCTCCTGGTGGTTTGAAGCTAGTGAAAATTGATAATGATGCTACCGATGATGAACAAACTGATGATGAAACTGATAGAGAAATGGATGATGACCACAATAATGTTAGTATTAACACCAAAGAAACCAGCACTTCCTCTATTCGACTATCATCCATTGCGGATGATGAAGGGAAGCAGAAGTTGTCAGATCACAAAGAAATCATAAGTCAGCATCTGGCATTAAACATTGGGTCTTCGAAAATGGCCTCTCAAGCACTTCATTATCCAATACCTCCTCCATATTTTACTAATCCAAGTTCAAATGCCCCGCATCTACATCATATTGATACTCATCAACTTCCTCATATTGTTGCTGGCCTTCAACCTATTGGTCCACCTCTTGTAAATATGAATACTAATTCTTTCCAATGTTTACCTCCACCTCAAGCAAACTTCATTGATGGTAACCAAGATTTGATCACTAATATTTTTGAAACACCGTCAAAACAGGTGAAAAAGGATGATAATGATTCACCATCCACTATCTTGGCATCAAGTGTGAAAAAGATGGATGCTGTGTTGTTGAAACGTGACTTTTTGACAAGCCCTACCCCATTAAACAAAAAAGCTGATAATAGAAATATATTATTAAGCGGCGTTATGTCAATGCCCACAATGGGAGTTTTTGGTGAACATAAACCGACAATTTCCAAAGATCCAGCCCCAAATATAGAAGGTCAAATGTTACAAACTCAGCTTCAACAACCAGTGAATTCTAAAACGCAAGAGATTTCATCATTTACTACCAGGACTTTGAAAACCGTTTCTGTCACTGATAATAAGATTGATCCGTCTGTTTCCAATATTGGTAATACTAAGATGCAATTTATATTTGCCGATATTAAATCTATCGAATCATTCACTAATGATCTGGTATATCAAAGAAAACCTATAAAAAAGAAAACCGGACTTCACAAAAGATCCGCTTCTACAAACTCTTTTATTAATAAAGAGAATTTTCATATTCTGAAACCGTCTTCAGGGGCCAAAAAACAAGTTACCGCAAAGCGACCTCTCAGCGAATTGAATCAAAGTAATTCTAATGCCCATAACAATAAAAATAATCCTAAGGCTAAGATTATTTCAAAGATACCCCTTATTCAAATTTCTTCTTCTAAATCAGAGTTGCCGACAACTAATAACTCGGGATCATAGTATATTTAATAAGAATGCGGCCATGATGGCAAACACTGTTCCAATTTTTGTCTTTTTTTTTTGTTGTGAAAGCTGGGGCTAAATAAAGAAAAGAAAATTCAAAGAAGAAGTGTTTTGTGTGTATTATATATATATATTTTTTTTTATTAATTTTGTTTTTCAGTCATGAACCTTTTCCACTTTACATTTGCATTTTGCTATTTTGGTCGATGGTACTTTATCTTTTGCTTGCTAATCTTTCTCTTTACGCTATTTTATCTTTTTCTAACTATTATCAGTTTTTTTAATACAATGCATTGATGGGGCTCATATTTAATGATAAAAAAAATTTCTCTAAGAGCTAATTGTAGTCTTACACGACATTCAATATCAGGAACTATAAAACATCATATATTCATGGATACTATTGAGACAAAAAAAAAGAGAAGAGGAAAACGTTTGGAGCTTTGTGAAATTCAAACAAAAGCCTTATAGCTCAATAAATTAACAAGCGAAAAGAGACCAACAGAGAGGAAACAAAAGAAAAAAAAAAAAAAATAATAAGAAAACCTAATCGTTTTGACTTCATGTACAACCTAAAATCGTTCATCATAAACGTTAATTACACCAAATGAATAATAATAAAAAAAATTAACGGATAGCGATCTCATTTCTTCAATAATTGGTTAATTTTCTCTTCCAATTGCTCCAATTTGACATCCTTTGCAGAGTTTGCTGCTTGCAAATCGCTAATGTGGCTTTCCAATTTATCAACCAAAGTGGCCAATTTTTCAACTGTGGCTTTCAAGGTGGCTCCTCCTTTAGTAGCAGGGGTGCTTGTTGCAGGTTTACCAGCTTTAACAGCTTCTTCTTCAGTCTTTTTTTCAGTCTTTTTTTCAACTTTTGGTTCAGCCTTTGGTTCTTCCTTAATTACAGCTGCCTCTATTTTTGGTTCTTCCTTTTTAACAGATTTTGGTTCAACTGGGGCAGCAGGCTTTGGAATACTTGATACTGGGGCAGGCTTTGGGACAGATGAGATGGCTGGTTTTGAATCTGCCTTATACTGTGATGCAAATTCACCATCATCTTCGTTATCACTTGGGTTTTCAACATTGTTGTGATTGTCCAACTTTTCGGACTTCTTCAACAAATCACTGACTTCATTCTTTTCCAATAAGGCATCAATTGAGCTTTTTGGTTTTTGGTACAACTTAGGAGAAGCGGCGGCAGCGACATTTACTGGTGATTTTGGTTCTTCCTTCACCGGTTCAGGTTTCTCTTCAAAGACTGGAGATTTTGGTTCTGGGGAGCTGATCACCTCGGTAGGTTTGCCGTCAGATTTAGTGTAGAAGGCATCAACATCCTCATCGTACAAAGATTCCATATTGAAAACCACAGGACCAGAAACTTTTTTGCCAGCAACCCATTCTTCGGTAGTCAACGCAGGTTGAGCGGCAGGGGCGTCTGGATATAAGTCAAATTGGAACATTTCTGCTCTTCTTGGGACAATAAATGAAATTGGTTCAATAGTGGTGTCCTTGACGGTCTTGAAAGCTTTAAGGATTTCATTTTCTTTCACGTTCACTGCTCTTTTTGGAGCAATTGCAAAACCTCTTTGAGGCTCGACTGATTGGAATTCAGAAATATCGTACAACTCGTCGTCCTTTGGAGTGAATTCATAGTAACGGATGTTACCATCACCTTTACCGGCCAAATACAACATATTGGTACAGTCATCGAAGAATGGCATTAAGATACCAGCGGACGAGTCGATGTTGATGAAACCATTGATAGGACCGGCTCCAATATCATCAGAATTCCAGATACCAATTTGACGGTCCGACAATCTTGAGAAACCGGTGGTGGCAATTCTGTTGGCAGTACCTAACCAGACACATCTTGCATTCTTAGCCCCAGAATGGCCAGCGCCTTCTTGCAACATTTCCCCGGTTCTTAAATCCCATACTCTAATCTTCTTATCTCTTGAGGTGGTGGCAAGTTTGTTCCCATCGTAACTGAAGGCAAACGAAGTGACCAAGTCTTTGTGTTGTAAGGTCAAAATTGGTTTTCCAGTTTGAATGTTCCAAACTTTGACGGAATAATCATTTGAAGAACTAACAAGAATGTTTTCGGCTAACGGGTGGAATTTAAGGTGTCCGACCTTCCGCAAATGTCCAGACAATTTTTTAAGTGGTTTGATGTCTTTGGCTTCTCCTTCAGAATTGGTATAATTGAAGAAACTATAGTCTTCAGGGATCTCCCATATACCAATCTTACCGTCGTCCGAAGATGAGGCAATCATTCTTTCATTGAATGGGTTGAAATCGGTGTCCAAAACTGTGCTGGTGTGGCCTCTGAAAAGAGGAACTACGTCAGGGCATTTACCAACCTCATTCAATGGAATAACAGCAAATGCACCACCACCAGATGCATCCCAGTTGACAGATAAGAACTTGGAGTTAGCCTTGATCAAGTTAGAATCCCATGCGTTCTTACTTATCTTGAGATTATCGTAAGAAAGCTCACGTTTGGCAGGTTGGCCAAAAACATGTCTATATTTAGAAGCACGAACAAATCTTCCACTGTTTTATTGCTCAGTTAGTATTCTGTTACTTCAATCATCTTATTTTCTTCTTCTTTTTCTTTGCTTTATTTTTTTCAGTTGTTGCCTTGGCTGGTGTGTTTTAACTGATTGTCTAATTAATAGGGATTCATCCATGATCAGCAAGTACCTTTTTTGGTTGCATCATTTGTATCAAACATACCTCATGGTTCACAAAATATATCCCAATCAAAACTTAATAAGGACTGTACTTTCTCTTGTTGCAAACCAGGCAAATCGTATCAACCGAGGTTTTACAATTGTTTTTGTTTTTTTGTTCAAAAGAACACCAAAAGGCACTTTTTAGACTCGCACGCAGGCAGAATTGGCCAGCTACTCCTATTTTTTTTTTTGTAACGCGCCTAGCTTTGAAAAATCACGTGCAAGTTATATAAATATCTCCGCCATACAGGTGTTAATGTTGTATAAAAAGAATAAGACGGTAAACTGAACTGAGAGAGAGTGACTGAAGCAATAAATTTTATCGATAAGTAAAAGTCCCCTTGTACAAGGAACTTTTGATAGTTTGAAGGTTGTCTGTTGTTACATGCGACTATGCTTTGGTTGTTGCATACAGTTAAAAATATAATCAAGAATCATATGACATTGTCGACATCACAATGCTAATATATTAATACAAAACCCATGCTTTTCCTAAAAAAGCTGGCAAAGAAAAGAAAATCTATATTACATAACTTGCCTATCAACAGGCGTTGAGCACATCATATAGATGCTTCACCCAATTCATCTATGCCAAATTCCTCCAAGTCCATCCAGCACCACATCTTTTTAGACCAACCAATCTTTTTCCCGTCAGTTGTCAATATTATTGGAGTCCCCTTTGCGTTCAATTCGCAAGTAACCACACTTCTGTTGAAATTAAATTCATCGCCCTGGTCATCAGTTGGTTTTTTATCAATACAAGTTCTTGTCTTGTTGATAATAGGGGCTAAAGATACTTTGTCGCAGATTTTGGTGAACGTTTCAAGATTCCACATGTACATCAAACCATTGGCAGTAATGCATAACAAATAATTCTTGTAATTCCGAAGCACACAAACGTTAGATCCAAGGTCAATTCTCGGGTACGCCATTCTCCCATAAAACGAAAGGAAGAAAATCGATCCATTTTCTGTAGTTAGCACCCACATACGGCATTCTTCAATCCCAAGAGAATTAACAACTGGGAAAGGCAAAAAATTTTCAAACATTTTGTGCTTTCTATCACTAGTACAAACAATTCTGGTAGGCAAATTCTCAAAGTCGTTGCTCACATCATCTGTATCATCAAACTCGTAATTGTTTTGAATATGAAGGGTAAATTTTGATTCAGAATCCCCCGTATAATTATAAATCCCCGATAAAACCACAAGAGTGCTGTGGTTTCGGGGATTATTCGATTCATGATTTATAGACGCCATTTCCTGAATAGAACCATTGATCATGTTGTTCAAGAAAGAAGGATAATCAATTTCTCTTCTCTCTTTTCCCGTCATTTTTTTTGACTTCTTTGCTTCAGCACTCTTACCAGAACGAGAAATTTTGATCTTGTCAGCATTAATGATCCCTGAGCCACTAATGTTACTAGCAGTATTTGTGTCATTACCACCTGTAACCCCATTGTTACCATCAGTACTCCTTTCAGTATCATGGATTTCTATATTTCTGTCCCTTACACCACTAACCAACGTTGCAACGCCATTTCTAGGAATTTTATAAAATCCCGTCGAAAGTAAGTTTTTCTTAGCATCGTTAATTTGTTTTGAGAGCTTGGAACTCGTGCTTTGGGAAACAAGAGTTTTTGTTGTTGACATTGGTGCACTGGTTGTCATTAAAGTTGGGGCAATCCTTTTCTTACCACTTTTCGTTATTTGTACTACTTGCTTAAACTTCTTCTTCGGTTTGAGAATGGTTACTGGTTTCGTTATTTTAGAAGGCTCAGGTTGGATCGATTTACTAGCAACGATCGGGGCTATCTTCTGCGGTTCATTCTCTTCACGATTTTGCATCAATGATTCCATTTTATTCTCTAATTGTGACTTCTTGGTTACTCCAGCTCGTTCCTCCAACTTTAATTGATCAACACTTTCCGGAAAGATTATCGTTTCTCTGTCACCACCATATCGATAAAGGTATGAATCATTTTCCTCTGTTGGAATTTCAATACCCAATTCATCAGCATCAAAAAATAGGGAAGTGATTGTTCCATCTAATGAACTTATAAACAATGTTCTGCCATCAGGGGTCCACACCAAGTCACTTATTGTTTTGGTGCAGATATCATTTGCCACTAAGATCGGTGTATTAGCAGAGGTCTCCCAAATAGCGAGAACTTTATCTTGGCCAGCAGTAGCTACCACAGAACATAACTTTTCGTTCTTTTTCAAATTCAGCTTGTTTTCATTACTAGTCGAATTATTTGGTAATTTATATAATCTTGGGGAAAAACTCGTAACTTCACAGGGAGCGCTATGACCAATCAAACTAACTTCGCTATTCCAATCCCCACGATTTACTATTGCCACAGAAGTCACTGGGCCATTGGTAGCATTAGGAACTGCAATATGCTGACCATCAGGAGACCATGAAAGTCTTCTAAAGTAACTTGTCAACGGAGACCCTTTGAAAGGTTTTGTAATTTGCGCTTCAATGGTAAATGTCATTTCGTTGGACGCTGTTCCTTTATGATATCTGAACACTATCACAGATCTATCATCTGATGCGGTGGCAAAATATTTATTGGCAGGATCAAACACCACACCCTTGACATGAGAGTTGTGAATATCGAATCTTTTAATCCGTTCAAAAGTCGAGCCATTCCACACGATAATTGAACGGTCAAGCCCTACTGTGACCAAGATACTCGAGTCAGGAGCCCATGCAATGTCTTGTACATCATTATCATGAGCCACTAATCTTTTACGCACCGTCCAATGTTCAAGTTCATCAGCTCCTCCAAAAGTTGAGATTGGGCGGTCTTCATCTTTTTCCCAAATTAGAACCACTCGATCATCAGATCCACTGGCCAAAAACCTTCCAGAAGGAGAGAACTTCACGGTCGTTACTGCCCCTGTATGCCTAGCCACGCTAAAGGATGGCCTGCAAATAGATTTATCTGGTAAATCGTCGGAATTTTGGTCAATGTCACGAAACTTATTGATTGTGTCAGTGGACCATATTTTAACATGACCATCTAAGTTTCTAAGTTAGAATTTTTTTTTCTCAAAGTCCATATAGGTATAATGATAACAATATGATCTAATTCACTTACCCAAACCGCCTGATGCCAAACGAGAACCATCAGAATTAACGGTTAGCGAATATATTTCGAACTTTTTTTTCTGCTCTGCAAAACAATGTTAGTGAAGGACATTTCATCATGACAAACTTATTTCAGGTCTTACCTTCATGACAAAGCCATGGCAATTTTGCAATTCTCATATTCTTAACATATGCGATGATTGGTTGCCAATGTAATTGGGGTTTCTTGTTGTATTAATCTTCAAAATCACAAGCAATTTGCTTTGTTTTTATGATTTAGCACATCGCGTCTAACCACGCGCGCGCGATGTGTGGTATGTGTGGGGCTAGTGAGCCGTGATTTCTGAATTTTTGATTCTTTTTAGGATACTTATTAGTTGTCATCATCTGTTGGCTAATTAATCTACAGAATATACCCTATATCCCTCTTTTTAGGTTTGAAAATCATCCAGTCCTGTCAATTTCTTTTAAAGAACCCCCACTTTTTTGGTTCTCTACCTTGTATATAATATAAAAAGGAAAAAAGTGTAAAGAGATTCCTTTCTTTCTAGAATAATATAATCCATATAATTTTACAAATATAAAATTTTATGGTTTTAGATATTTAAAATGAAGATTAGAGCTTAGCAAACATTTTGCCATACTATTGAAAATGTACAGAGAAACTTTCAACAGAATTTAATCCAGTCTACAACCCTTTCCGCAACAAATAGTCAACTGTCACTGGTGAACCATTTTCAGCTTTCTCAGTAATTGCTCCATCAAAGTCTTCTTTATTAAAAATCAAAAACTAAATGTAGGAGGTGACAAAAGGTGTATGAGACCTTTTCGTAAGTGTTTTTTATTATAAATAACTCTTCCATTAGATTCCTATCAAATATCGGATACCTTTCCATAGATGAAACTGTGCAATGAAAGTGAAGATGAAAAGAAGTGAAAACTACGAAGAATGAAAAAGATATCAAGATAGAATAAAGAAGGGACACGTATGCAAATATAAATCAACCCAATTTGATAGATGATAAGTAAACACATATCGGTATAAATTCTATTTCTGATTATTTTTTCATGAGACAGATAATTGTTGAACTGGCTCAGTTACAGGAGGGTCGCTGGCGAAGTTGACTTTTTGGTGAGTTGCAATTGGAGCTGGCTCGGTGATGGCTTCGTTGGAGGTGGAAAGAGTTTCAGGATTCATGATTGGATTGGACGTACAACTAAATGTCGGTTTATAGATATTAATGTGATGATAATAATAAATATAAAGTAAATGTAAACGTTTAATAATATATAAACAGGAATTTGTTTGTGGGTCTTGATGATTCTATATACATGATAGTGATAACTATTAGTCGTCAAAAGCTACAAAAGTAGTGGAAGTATTTGTGGTTACGAGTCATTAGCCGTCGAGCCATTTTAGAGACTATAATAATACCGGCAGACTTACAATAATAAACATCTAAAAAATGATAGTAAAAACGTAACAACCATATGTGGTTTTTAAGTACGTAATATAGGGTCTAATATTTCTAATATCCAAGAGTTGACGCATTAATAACACGTACTATGGGTACCAGAAACATTCCTTCTTCTATTTGTTTTATGTATGCATTATTTTCAGGTAACATGCTTTTGGAATTACTAAAACTGGGTAGTCAGTCAATTCCTGTTACGTTGATCCTACACCCAAAGAATTTTAGACTGTCTCAGGATTTACATTTTGCGTTGCAAAAGTCTGCCAACGCAGGGACCACAGAACCCACGGATACACATTTGTAGTGCTCTTAGCATTCACACAGAAACAATATAATATCAAATCTCGCAGATGCTACAAGAAATTTTAAATCTCTATACTTGGTACCAGCTAATCAAACCAGGTTAATCCTATAGTGCAATTTTATTGAAAATAACAGCTATGGTGCGCCATTAAGGATGAGTTGTACCAGCAGTTATCACTGTTGACACGTGACTACAACACGCTGTAATCGTGCATAACCCAGTTTCCAGTACCTGAACATCGACACTAAAACTGCCTCATAGTCCACGGGTCCTGGGATACTCCAACGCTAATTGAAAAATCGTTATAAATACCACCGTTCCTTCCTTAATTCTCCCACAATGTTTTTTCTATATCGTAACAGTATCAATACATCAATCTAATAATATATATACATTACACAAAAGGATGCTTCCAACCTCAATACTCACTGCTTTTGCCTTCTGCCTGGCTTTTGTCAGCGCTGCACCAATTGATTGGGCCACCGTTAACTATAATGTTAACTGGGCCACTGTGCAATACAACCTTCCAGCAACTACTAAAGCTGCTGTTGCTGCTGCTGCCACCACTCATGCCGCAGTTGCAACCGTGGCTGCTCAGCAAAAGAATGTGGCTGCCACCACTTCCAAGTCCTCCAATACTGCATCCAGTTCCAGTTCCAGTTCCGGTTCCTCTTCTGATTCCACTAGCTCATTTGGCTCCAATAGTGCTGTTGCGTTTTCTCAATACAAAGATAGTGGTGGTTGTAAATCCAAAAGTGAGCTAGAAGCCAGTATCAGGGCTATGAGTTCTTACAGTGTCATTAGACTTTACGATACCGACTGTGATATAGTTAGCATTGCCATGGCAACTAAAGCTTCAAATCAAAAGATCTTGGTCGGGATCTTTTATCCTGATAAATGGTCTGATGGTGTTAACACCATTAAGTCAGCTGTTTCTGCCAGAGGAACCTGGGGCGATATCTTCGCTATCACCGTTGGTAATGAAGATGTGAATGATGGGACCTACACTGCTAGTCAAATGGCTGGATACGTCTCAAGTGTCAAGAGTGCCATCAGTAATAAAGTCCCAGTCGCTGCCGTTGATGTCTACTCAACTATCTGGAATAACAAAGATTTGTGTAATGGGGACTTTGTTGCAGCTAATGCTCATCCTTACTTTGATGACAGTACCAGTGCCGGTGATTGTGGAACCTGGTTGCAAACCCAAATTACTAAATTGAAGAGTGTCTGCCCAGGTAAGAATATCTTGATTACCGAAACTGGCTGGCCAACTGCTGGTGACTCTGGTAGAGCTAGCAGTTCTTCTCAATCATCTTGTCTTAACTCTATTAAATCCAGCTCCATTAAAGACCAAGTGACTTTGTTCTCCATGTGGAATGAAAAGTGGAAGAGTAGTGGTGTTGAACCATACTGGGGTATGAACGGTAACGATCCTAATGCCTCCTGAACAACCAGCTAAAATGCTTCAGCTCACTGTTTTTGCTATTGTTGAAACGATATTGATTATTGTTTTAATTCCCTTCAGTTCTCTTTCCCCCAATTTTTTCTAGATCTCCGTTTTTTTTTTGCTACTTACTATCTTTTTTTTTTGACTTAGAATTTTTTTTTGACCATAGAAATCCTTGAAAAATATAGATTTTTTTTTTTATCCTCTTTTTTTTTTTGTAAACAGAACTTCTTGCAGTATACATCAAATTTCTCTTCAAATAGTTATTCAATATTTACCAAGAATCGAATGGTTTAATTGCCTATATATATATGATGATTCACAGATACCTTTTTTTTTTCGGCTTTAAGCTAAGCCTGGGTATTTATTGTATAAGTAATGCCTACATGCTTCTTCTAGAAATGTGTAGTCCTATTGCAAGAAATGAACCAATTATAACATAATCCAAAATATCGGTACAACACATTCTGTTTTTGATAATAATACACCTCATGAAGAGGTCTCATCCATTATAATCTATTTACAAATATTGACTCATTACCATGAAAAAGTTCCGACATTAGATGCCATGACTTTCAAATCAGACTGGGGATCATGAAATACCACATAACAATGATTGTTGCTTCACAGAGCTCACCTCAAACCACGAAATTCACAGACTCTTATTGCTTGTAGTTGCTGAAGAATTGTTCTCTCTGCAATCTTCTGCATTCATTCTTGTAAATGTATGGATTGAACTTGTGTTGCTCTTCAGATCTAATGACGGAACCAATAGACATAAACAAACCAAAAGTGGCGGCAGAACCACCGATATATTGACCAATGGTTTTCATGTAACCGTTTGGACCTGGCCCTTGGGTCAAGACGGCGTACCCACCAAAGACCACACCAACCATGACACCAACAGTACCACCCATTACGGCACCCATTTTGAACTTGTCAAAGGTGGACATTTCTTGACCATATTGAACTCTTTGAGGAGGAGGAGGCATGATTTCGACGTTTCTTTGTGAGACCAGTTTTAAGTAACTGGGCGACCCATCAAAGTTTCCCCGATTTTTTTTCTTCAACTTTTTTTTGCATGCTGGTTACGCAGCACGGGATCTCCCCCAGTAAAACGGTTATTGTGGGTGGTGGGTGAGAACAAGAAAGGCATTCTTCACAAAACAATGTACACAATATGAAAAAAATAAATACAAATGGATCACATTACATGTAGGAGATGATCCTGATGAGATATCGTGGTTGCTGCTCCTACAGTGGCAGGCTGGAGGGTGGCTTTCGCCATAGGGTGTCCGGGTAAATGGCCTAACTGTCATAAAAAAGTTACCAAAAATCCAGGTCATCGTGGTGGGTTATTTGCCTACGCTAACTTTTTGTAAAGCGTAATACCGATCGTGTTCAGATAAAAATAAAAAAACTATTGCTCACTTTGCTCTTGAAATGTCTGAATATACTAAAAGATTTGGGGCTTTCAAGTTAGTGTTTCTAGGAGAATCGGCAGTGGGGAAATCATCGATAATTCAGCGATTCACAAGGAACATTTTTGATGAGTATCAGAATGCCACCATTGGGGCAGCTTTTATTAGTCGAATATTTGAATTTCGTGATGATGCCAATAAGGTTATCAATAAAGTGAAGTATGAGATTTGGGACACCGCAGGTCAAGAACGTTACAAGTCGTTAACTCCAATGTATTACAGAAACGCTAATGTTGCGGTTATTGTGTTCGATTTGACGGAAAAGTCAAGCTTCACTAGGGCTAAAGACTGGATAAGCGAATTACAATTATATTGTGATGGTGCAAATATCAGAATAATGTCTGGTGACGATGAAGAACAAACAAATGACGATGCAAAGAGTAACAGCTTGTTGATGATCCTTGTGGGGAATAAGTTGGACTTAATAAAAAAAGATGGCCAAGAAAGAGCAGTTTCAAACGAAGAACTATCCCAGTTTGTTGATGAGCACAAATTTGTGTATATCGAGACGAGTGCGAAGAGTGGCGAAAATATCAAGAATTTGTTTGAAACTTCTATTGCAACACTGTTACCAAGCCATATGTTTACTGTGGAAGGAGGTAAGCAGAAAAAAACCCAGGACTCCACCGGAAATTATAATATAGATTTAAATGAAGGCTTGAATAGAAATTTGGCGACTGAAAGTAGCCAATGTGCTTGCTAGAGAGTCAAATATTTTAACTAATTAATTACCTTTATTTTTTCTTCATAGACCTTTTGTTTTTTTAATTTGGGAACTTCTTGTTGATTTTGGATCAGTTTTATTTTTACACTTCTTCGGTTGTGGTTCTTTTTGTTTCTTGTATTTGATTTTAGTAATTTATGTAACAATTTATCATTTGCAATATACCGTATGCGTGGGGATTATTGATTAGAATATAAAAACCTCCGCATAACCGAATTTTTTTTTTTTTCATTTATGAAACAAATACGTTCAGGAATTCTTCCTTATCAGACTCCTAATATTAAGATAGAACTATCATGTCTTTCAGAAAAGCAGCAGCTCGCTTGTACGATAAGACTGTGGTATGTGTGAACAATTGCAGAAGAGTATCAGTAGATATGATATGCTCAGCCATGCCCCCTTCAACAAAAAATGACTAACCCGCAATATCAAAGCTTATCACTGGTGCCTCAAGTGGTATCGGTAGAGCAACTGCCTTGGAGTTTGCTGATGTAACACAAGGGAAAATCAAATTGATCTTGACAGCCAGACGTCTTGAAAGACTCAATTCTTTTAAATCTCAGCTTTCTTCACAGTATCCAGACATTAAGATCCATACAGAATTCCTCGATGTGTCCAAGATCAACACGATCAGAGAGTTTTTCTCTCATATTCCAGAGGAATTCAAGGACATTGACGTATTGGTGAACAATGCCGGTCTTGCTCTTGGTAAGGAACAGGTTGGGGAAATGAAACAGGAAGATATCGATACCGTCTTCAACACTAACGTGATGGGTAACATCGAGGTTGTGCAAAATATCGTGCCTTTTTTCAAAAGGAAAAATAGTGGGGATATTGTTCAATTGGGATCTGTTGCTGGAAGAGAACCGTACGTTGGCGGATCAGTTTATTGTGCTAGTAAATTTGCAATTAGAGCCTTCAACACATCCCTTCGTCAGGAATTGATGAACACCAAGATTAGAGTCATTGAAGTACAACCAGGAGCTGTTGATACCGAATTCAGCACCGTTAGGTTTAAAGGTGATAAGAAACAAGCTGACGCTACATATGTTGCTGAACCACTATATGCCGAAGATATTGCTGATACTATTGTTTACGCTGTCTCAAGAAGACAAAATGTTGTCATTGCAGAATCATTGATTTTCCCAAACAATCAAGCTGGTGGTGGCTCATTGAGATGGGAAGACCCTGAGTGGACAGGAAAGAAATAAAGAATGTTTTCATATAATTTCTTTCATAGAATACAAAGTTTCAAAAAATAATACAAGGAATAAAATAATCAAAATACTAGCAGTAATGTTGAGAATAATAATAATGGTAAAGAAAGAAAAACGTAATCAGGAAAATTCGGATCAATCTTCTTTCACTAGCTTACTGTAGTTATTACCTTTATATTTTGATGAAAAGCTTGATCCAAAGTTGGTGCCATTGGTTCCTTTCCCTAGCCCTGAGGCAAATGTTGTTACAAAACTTGTAGTAGGCGGAGAACTGGATGAAGATTTTAGGGGTAGGACAGGTGTAACAGGACGCTCAACACCAATGGGCTTCTTATACGAAATACTATTATCATTTATATTCAAAGAAACCATACCGTCAGCAACATCATTGTTGAAGTCTGCGTGAACTTCAGTGTCCATACCATCATCCTCGATATATCTACTTATTTTCTGTAACGATTTATGATTTGGATCGAGAAGCTTTAAACTGTTTGAAATTGCTTCAAGCTCATTTAATAAAACCTTTTGAAATATTTCCGAAACAGTCTCAGTCTGTCTTTCGACAGAATTTATCTTGTCCATCAATAACGATGCACTTTCTTCTAGAATACTTTGAAGCTTCATCTTTATTATTTCATTGCCCTTAGTTGTTGATGATTTAGTACCAATAATATTAAGAAGTGCCCGCTCTTTGGATGCAAGGAACTCATAAACATCGGTCCACAACTTTACTAACTTCTCAAAATCTTGTACGCATCGGCCATAGTAATTCTTTGAATTTTTCGATTTTTTGCCTTCTATTCTTATAGCTTCCAAAAATGAGGCACTATCTATGGCTTCTTGTGGGATAGAGGAAATCTTTCTAAAGGCAAGCTTCAAGTTATCAACGATATTTCTTTCAGACAATGCCGGTTCATGAGATGGAGCATTATTGGTGCTATCAAATGTAACGAAATGATCCTTAATGAGCCTATCAATGGCTTGCCTTTCGGCTCTCTCTATTGTCTTAAGTGAATGTTTATATGTCGATTTTTCACTTTCTATAACACTATTGCTTGTATCGATCTCTTCTCGTAGGATTCGTCTCTTATTTTTTAGCACTGCTAGTTTATTCTCTAATGATTCTATTTCACTGCTAATCGTGTTATGTTCATTTTCCAATAGCTCAAGTTTGTCACTATAGTTAATGTTCCTATCAATTTCTTGGATTTTTTCGCCAATTTCCTCTCTTTTGGATTTCCAGCTGTCAAAACTTCGTAGAATTGTCTTTGTTTTATGAAATTTGTTACTATAGTAAACACGGAAAAGCTGAAATATTTGCAATAAATCATTCAAGTTATTTAGAATATCAGTTCTAACATTGGAAGGGTCTTTACCATTAATCATAGTTTTATTATGCGTTGATATGTTATGTTGTAACTTTGAAAGCCATAACTTCTCTTTGTTATTTAATATCTGCAAAACCTCTGCTTCTTTCAACTGGTCAGGTCCATAGCTTTCATTTTGGCTAGATAATATGTTAAAAAATTGATTAAGTTGATCACCCAGAACACTGGATTCCAAATTTGTGGTGATATTGGAGACGATATCCTGTAAAAATGTTGATTTGACCTTAGTGTTTGATAGATTGCTCACCATTTCCGAAGCAAAAATGGTATCTGAATCCCCATAATCTCTATCCTCGTCTTCATTGCTACTACTTCTCTCATCTTGAGATGATTGGTAAAGATGATAATGGTCATTATACTTGTTTGCCGCAGAATATTTATCATTGCTCATTGTGGTGGTAAGTTTATTGTATGACTTGGGTTGGGAGACAAATGGATAAACGTAGTCTGGAGGAGATAATTGATAATCGTTATGATGATTGTTGCCGTACTCCTGCTCTTGATTCAAATCAACCTGCAGATACCCAGTTTCCTCATCACTTTGAAATAGGTCACGATTCTTGGTAACACCAAGTCCTCTAGAGTTCATGATAATCACGCCTTAATTTTTCTGCATTAAATTTGCTTTTGTGCCTTGGAAGGGAGATGGTCTTATCTTGAGCTTTGGCATATATGGGTGAAAAGGTCTACACGTGCATAATCACGTGCCGATAATGACAGTCCCTCCAAAGCCATTCGGCAATGAATGTCTAAAGGAAACTATAAACTTGCCGGGGTATAGTAGCATAAAGACTTTGGATGTAAAGAATTTTCTTCTATCTATTTCCATAATGAGGGGCAATGAGGTTTCCATGATCTTGGTTGACCCAGACCAACGGTGTATGTTTTCGGGTTGCGCTGCGACGGGTAAGAAAAGGTTTTGGGTGTTGAAGTTGGTGTAGAAAAATCAGAAAAAACCACAAACGTCATTACATCAGCTTTAGATCCAACTGCAAAGACGATATGGATCAATTAGTGGAATATAAGCTATTTCTATCATTGGCAGTGTCAATTTCTAAAGGGGATGTTAGTTACATTCTTCAAACTGCCTCTTCCATCGCTTTCAATGGCCTGATTCTATCGAAATATAGTGTTTTGACATTACTTCTAATCCTATTACCAAATTCAGTAGAACCGGGGGAACTTCATTTTATAAAAAAATTGATTTTTGATGATTTTGAATACTCTGGCAGTTTTAATTATGATGATTTGATACTGGACAAGGATCTTCAAGGGACCCACGACCTTCATTTGTTAGCAGACCAATCTAAAGTTTTGATGGAATATCTCAATAAGGAAGCACAGGTTTACGAATGGTCACCAGAAAAATTGAATGATAATGACCAACAGAAAATACTATTCGAATTCATAAAGTCAAGGACTTTACGAATCTCAATTTTTCATAATGAAAATGTCTTTTATAATGGTGAGATGTTCTCTTTACTACCTAGTAACTATAAGCCTTTGAACGATTGGACACTCGGGATTTTATCGCCATTAGATTTCACTATAAACTACAATATCTCTCATGGAATTCCGGAGCAAATACCCAATTTATTGAGCTTTCATGGATCTGTGTCATCAAAGAAGAATTTTGATTATTTGATAAAACATATGAATCATGAAAACATTAATGATTTCTTAATCAAATCACTTGTCCCTTATGCCAAACATAACAGCTGTTGGAATTTATTCAACGAATGGCTAATAGAGAGAGAATTCTTTTCCGTTGATGATTACACTGTTTTTTTGAAATTTTTTGAGTTCTTCTTCAATAACTATTTGGTTACTCAGGATCAAGATGATGAGGTGTTGAATTTCTTGAATCAATTCATAATTGACTATGTTTATAAAATTTATTCGAGTAATCTATTGACGAATAACACTTTGCTGATCATGAGCGAAACTTTGCAATACTGCATAATGAATCACGAATATTTCTCCAAGTTTCACAATGACAAGAAGTATATTAATTTTGAAGATGATTTTGACCATAGTATTATTGATGATAGCTATATCAAGACACATTTTTGCAATAACACTTTACCTAATTTACAATTTTTATCGTCATTAATTGATTCTATCAGCAAGCTTATCAATATCACCAATAATAATGAGTCGTTAATGTCAATAACCCAGATTTTGTTGATCTCCATTTCTTCATCAGATATTCAATTGAATTTTGCTAAGTTATTGATTCATAATTTCAAGATTAATGATGACTTCAGTAATAAGGTTACCAGTTACAATAATTGGGAAAGTTTTTTGAAAAATTTTAACTGGTTGGTTCAAGAATCAGTGTTATTCAAAAAAATTCAAAAAGTGGATTGTATCAGCAAGATCAACGAGATATTGTTTGAACTCTTGTTAAGCTTCAATTTTACTACTTTGATCAACAAATACTTATTGATCAATTTTAATTCTAATGAAACATTGAAGAAAATTTTGTTGAAGTACTGTTGGATCCATTTTGTTAAAGCAGATAGTTTCAGATTGGATAGTGGTGAATTGGTTATGATTGTGGAGTTCTTGAAAATATTTGATTCAAATTTTGATAAGGAAATTGAAGATGAGTTAAATTTCTTTGTGAAATATAAGAATAATTTGGATATTTATGACAGCAACAGTGATTCCAAGTTTATGGAATTCGATTCTTCTTTAGTCGGCAATAAGAAACTATCAGAATTCATCAATTCTGATCTGAATCTTGATCAAATTACAAACACTGCCAGAGATTTCAATCTTTGTGATAACTTGAATTTTGAAATTGTGAAGTTTAAGAAATTGTTCATCTCTTTGAATCAATTAGTTACAAATTTCAAGTTCTTGATAAATAATAGGTATGAGTTCAACCCTATTGATGTTTATTGTATCAATAATCCACTATTAATCATGGATAAAATTTTGGAGTTGGATTCAAAAGTCTACACTGAAGTCAACAAGATCTATAAAATAATTATTGACTTGTGCATTGGTATGAATAAAATCGGCCTAATTTATGATGTATCCAGTTTTGAACATAACAATGGTGCCGGATCTGTGGAAACTGTGTTGGAAAACTTTGATGATTTCAAGAAGTATGAAAGTTTCTTTGATGACAACTCACAAAATGGGATTGACATTAGCGCTTCAACCCAATTGTCATCGCATAAATTCCCTTTGAAGGACAAGTTAATTTCCAGTTGCATTAATTCCTCTTTGATTGATTTGAATTTCGAATTTGCATATGAACACTCGATGAAATTGTTGAACAATGAAACTTCCTCATCATTAAATTCTTTGGGGTATATTTGGCTATCTATTTTCCAAGTATGCAAGTTTGTTGACCCAATGTGGTTGGGATCTGAGTTCGATGATGATGAAATGTCAGAGGTTGATGATAATATTCGAATTCCTCTTGATATTTTGACTAAGCAAATTGAATTGATCTCCAAATTATTAGAAGTTGTGCCATCGTCCACATCCATCAGTGCCGTAGAGAATAAGATCATCTTGAACCAGGCCAGCTATTTGCTCAATAAGTACCATAAGAAGTTGAACACTCAGGTTGTCAATGATTTCAATAATTATCAGTATCAACAAAGCACTTCGATTTTTAGAAATTTTAATGCATCCACTGGTACTTTGCTAAACCAATTCGCCAAAAATGCATCCAATATCAATTTAAATACCACCATCGGACGGAGAACTCATTTGAATCCAGATAGTATCAACTCATCACCAATATCAGCGTTTGACTCGCCTAGAAATTCTCAAATTGAGTCCATTGGAGCACACCATGCAATTTCGTTACCAAGAAACCAAGGCACTCCTGGTTCCAATGCCAATTTGGAAAACCGTTTTGTTAGAGCGTTTGCTTCCTCTGCAAGCGAGTTATTCAAAGTCGACAGTGAAGGTGAACCACAACAACAGCAATCAATGAGTCAAAGCCCAAGCTCAAAAAGAATTAACTTGCTTGCAGGAGAAGAACAAATCAAGAATTTGTTTGTTAGTGGTTTAGGTTGGGCGATCGGCGCCAATTCTCAAGACGCAAATCGTTGAATATGTATTATTATTATTATTATTATTATTATTGTTATTGTTATTACTATTGTTATGATTATTGCTCTGTGTATTATACTCACTGTAAGATGCTTTGTTATCTGGTTGATATATGTGTCACCGACGAAGCTAAAAAAATCCACATGTTTGCCCCATGTAGTTGGCACATGTCAACATTGCGAGTAAGAGAATTCTTGATTTTTTTTTTTTTTGCCCTTGTCTATTTGGGAAGCCATCAGGAGCCATGAACCATCAATAGGAAAGTCATCCGTGAAAATGGACGTCTTGAACATTTCAAATGGCATAGTTAGTGCTGAGACGCCTGCTACTGTTTATAAGTTATCAATGTTCCAACTTTTCTGGTCAATATCGCATTGGATCTTTGCCGTCAAGCTATATTCTGTATGGTCATTTTTGATCCAGATGTTAACTGGTAAGATCCATATCGCAATATCCTTCAGCACAATATTTTTCTTCATTGGAACCATAATTGGAGGCCTATGGTTGTTTATTCGTTACAAGTACTTGAATCTTTATGAGAAATTCTCTAATGATGACCCGTACGAACCGGTGGAACCTTCAACCACTTACATAGACTCAAGGGATGAAGAATCAAAGTCCGGATTTTCGTCATATTTGGAAGAATTTTTATCAGCAATCAAGATCTTTGGCTATTTGGATAAAGCTGTTTTCCATGAGTTGACGAGATCGATGAAAACTCAACGCCTTGATTCTGGAGAATTATTTGCTCTTGATAGCTCTCTTGGATTTTCGATTGTCGTTGAAGGCTCAGTCAATGTTTATTCTAAAGTTAGTACTGACAGTAATAATGTTAACAGAACTGTAACTCATGAATCGACAGATGCAAATGATACCTACATTTTGAATGGCGAAAAATTTCAGCTTATCAACTTTGTGAAAACCGGGAACCCATTATCTTCTTTAGTGAGCATCTTGTCTTTATTCACCGATAACACCTCTAATGCCAACTCCCCTTACTCTGAACAAGTGGTGTTTAGGGTAATGAATCGGTCATTATCAGAATCCCAAGCTGCTAATTCTTTGGAAATCTTTCCAGATTATTTAGCTGATGACTCAAATGAGGGAAGCCCGAGCGCATCAAACCCACTTGTTGAAGATGATGATATTTATGAAGAGAGACTTAATAAATTACCAGACTTAATCGCCCAAGCTAATTCCAATTGTACAATTGCCATAATTCCAGCCGATTCTTTTAGAAGGTTGACGAGAAAGTGGCCAAGGGCAGCGTCCCACATTGTTCAAGTGGTTTTGACCAGACTTTACAGAGTCACTTTTCAAGCCGCTCACAATTATTTGGGGATGACTGGAGAAATAATCGATACAGAAATAAAATTGAATGAAGATTGTCATTGTCAATTGCCCAAATATCTTACCGACAGTGTGATAAGAAAATTTGGTGACCAAATCTCGGAGAACGAGCCTAAAGGCGAAAAAAATAATTTGATGGATGACGCCAGTGGTGAAATCAATAAAGATTTGAGCATGGTGTCTAGTTTTGTATCCAATGCCAATACTTCCAGTTGCAGTGTGCTTTTGAAAAGAAAAGACAGTCTTGATGATCTTCTTACGACCTCATCGGTTACATCATTTAAACGACCAGTGGCTCACAAAAATCTTTCCAGACATGTGCTTTTGGATTCAAAGAACATTCATCATCCAGGCGATTTATTATCGAATGTCCCAATTTCCAGAATCGGGACGATGGAATTATCTGATGATCCAAGCCTAACGGATCTTAGAACCAAGACTTTCAGCGCCGAAGAAGAATCTGAAGACACAGCAATCAGAATTGCTGTTGTTGAAAACTTATTCAAATTTTTGGGAATTGACGAAAAGAGTATTAATAGTCCAATGTTGAGAAATAGCAGTTCCAGCTCATTGGTTAATTTGGCTAGATCTCCTACTGGATCACTGACCCAACTTACAAAACTTCAAAGTATCAAAACTCCGAGAACGATAATGAAAGAAGGTTCTTTATATAGAGATAATTTCAGAAGAAACTCTAACGATAATTTAATGGGAAGCTCTACAGATAGTTTGAGAAGAAATTCTCTCCCAATGCTCAGTGAGGAAGGCATTCCCTTGAACTACGATCAGGCCAAGGGGGAATTTGCGGATGGAATCAAGTTTTTATTATTCAAGAAGGATAGTACTATAGTCAAACAGAATGATCCAAATAATGGGTTATATTATGTTATTTCTGGATCTCTAGAAGTGTTGTACATTGAGTCTACCATTTATAACGGGACAATTGAGAAACATTTATATACTGCCAGCCCTGGTTGTATCGCAGGATATCTTGCTTCATTAGTTGGCCATAAATCTCTAGTCAGCATCAGGGCCAATGAAGATTCATATGTCGCGTTCTTGCCTCAAGAGACCATCAACGCTCTTTGTGAGAAATACTTTACTATTCATTTATCGATTGCCAAAAAGCTTGTGATGACAATGAATAAAGAGCTATTAGATATGGATTTTGCTATTGAATGGGTACAAGCCAAAGCAGGTCACGCTCTATATGAACAAGATAGAGCGGCCACGGGTATTTATTTGGTATTGAGTGGTCGATTTAGAGAAATCAGAAAGATCAGTGACGATCAAATCAATACCTTGGGGGAATTTGGACAAGGATCAAGTCTCGGGGAGGTTGAAGTCTTAACGGCTTCCAAAAGACATAGTTCATTGGTGGCAGTTAGAGAATCTGAAGCCGCAAGAATTCCAAGATACTTATTTGAATTTTTGGCATTGAAGAATCCATCCATTATGATTAAAATTTCTAGAATTGTCGCGCAAAAAGTCACTTTACAGAATGAGCCGCTGTTTGATTTAACAATCAGTAAGAATTCTAAATCATTTTTCCCGAACTATAAGACTATTACCATATTACCTACTAAATATGGTTTGCCTGTCACTGAATTTGCCGAGAAATTAATCAGTGAATTCAAAAGATTGGACAAATCGGTCATTGCTCTTGATCAAGCCTCAGTGTTGAGCCATTTGGGGAAACATGCTTTTGATAAGTTGTCCAAGCTTAAACAATCTGGGTATTTCTCAGATTTGGAAGAACGTTATGATTTGATTGTTTATGTCAACGATACCCCTGTGAATTCTAATTGGTCTCAAACTTGTATTTCCCAAGGTGACTGTATTCTCTTATTGGCGGATGCTTCGTCCAATCCTGCAGTTGGTGAATACGAACGCTTGTTATTGAAGACCAAAACCAGTGCCAGAACTGAGTTGGTATTATTACATCCTGAAAGATATGTGATCCCGGGATCCACCAACAACTGGCTTAAAAGTAGGTTATGGGTTGAAGCACACCATCATATTCAGTTCCGTGGTATTTCTATCAACGGAGATATTGGTTCACTGTCAGAGAATATTGTCCAAGGGTTGTTTTTATCGAATTTGAGATCTAAAGTAGAGACTTTTACCCAGGACATTGTTGAAAGATACCGTAATGTTAATGGTAGCCAGAATTATTACACTCCGGTAGCGTTTCACAAAAATGATTTTGCTAGATTAGCAAGAATCCTATCTGGTCAGGCCATTGGCCTAGTGCTTGGTGGAGGAGGTGCTAGAGGATTATCACATATTGGAGTGATTGAAACTTTAGAAAATGAAGGAATTCCAATCGATATTATTGGTGGAACCTCTATTGGTGCGTTTATTGGTGGGCTATATGCTAAAGATTACGATATTGTGCCGATTTACGGTCGAGCAAAGAAATTTTCCGGGAGATTGGCCAGTATTTGGAGAACCTTATCCGATTTGACATACCCATTGGTATCATATACCACGGGTCATGAGTTCAATAGAGGTATTTGGAAGGCATTTGGTGATAGTAGAATTGAAGATTTCTGGATCAGGTATTTTTGCAATTCTACCAACATTACCAATTCGGTGATGGAATTCCACACATCTGGTTATGCTTGGAGGTTTATTAGAGCATCAATGTCATTATGTGGATTGGTGCCACCGATTGTTGACCATGGAAATATGTTGTTGGATGGCGGTTATGTTGATAATTTACCATGTGCCGAAATGAAGCGACAAGGAGCAAGTTTAATATTTGCGGTTGACGTAGGGTCAGTTGATGATAGAACTCCAATGACGTACGGCGATACCTTGTCGGGATTTTTGGAGCTCCTCAATAGGTACAATCCATTTTCTAAGGCCCCTGTAGTACCAAGCATGGCAGATATCCAATTGAGATTGGCGTACGTTGGATCGGTTGGGGCTCTTGAGCGTGCTAAAGCTACGCAGGGAGTAATCTACCTAAGACCACCAATTGAAAACTTTGCAACTTTGGCGTTTGGGAAATTCACCGAGATTCACGATGTGGGGAAAGTTTACGCCACCCAAGAATTGAAAAAATTGAGAAAACAGGGCAAAATTCCCGCATTAATCGGAAATTATGAGGAGCCAACTAAATCCGACAATATGTTATTTACAAGGCAAAGACGTAATTCCATTTAGAATAGATTTTTTCCAATTGAATTTATCTCTCTCTCTATCTCTCTCTCTCTCTCTCTTTCTTTCTCTTTCTCTTTCTCTTTCTCTCTCTAAATCTGTTACAGATAAGTAATTATACCCAGGTGTGCCATTTTTCCCCCTGTTGTGTTTCAAAAGTTGAATCTATTAAAATTATATCAAAGTTCATTCTTTTTTAACTTTTTTAATCACTCCTTGATTAATCATTTGTAATTTTCTTTTACCTCTTAATGGTCTTCCAGAGGAGCTGTAGATAATTACCTCTTCTTGCTGCTGTTGCATGATTCCCAAATTCTCTTTGTCACTGTTGGTATCGTTTTCCTTTTTCACTTTTTCTTTCTTAATATTCCCCCCATTCTTGATAGCTTTACCATCTTGCACATTGACCCCATTATTCAAATCTCCCAAATCCGCAGCAAACAACACCGAGTGCGCCCATCCAGCATACTCGCCCCATAATTCCCTGAAGAAATCCCCGGTTTGTACATAAACTTTGCTATTTAATGTCTTAGATCCTGTCTTGAACTTGTAATCACGTTGGGCAATCGTCCAAACATGGGTATCGATGGGGACAACATCGTGTTTATCCATGCTCATCAAACTTACACAATCCGCGACTTTTGGCCCTACTCCAGTAAATTTCAATAATTCTGTATGACAAGTTTTGTAATCCAAAGATCTTAACCCCACTAGATCAGCAAGACCATTGGGAGAATTTGTAATCTGACACGCGGTCTTGTAAATGTATTTGGCACGGTAACCAAAACTCAAGTCGCGAAGTTTTTGCTCAACTGACTCATGGGCCAAGGACTGTGGAGTAGGGAACTCGTAATATTTGATATCGTTGTGGGTGGTGATATAGGTGCCGAAATTAATACACAAATTGTCGCACATTTGGGAAATCCGCTTCACGTTATTGTTAGTCGAACAAATGAACGACACCAAGTTTTCCCAGGGATCTTGTCGAAGGATCCTTATTCCAGAAAACGCTCCAGATTTCTTCTGGAAGTTGGGGTCTTTCGAAGACCATAATTCATATAATTTCTCAAGATTGATCTCCAAGTTCAAATAATCCTTGATCACCGCGAGGGTATCATCGTGTTGTTGTTGTTGTTGTTGTTGTTGTTGTTGATCTGTGATCGAGGCAAGGGAACTGTAGTATAGGTTTGAATCATCCTGTTTCAAAAATACCACTCGTCCTTTGAGAGTACATGACCACACGTTGTCGATATTTTTCCACCGAAATGCCTGGCCACATCGAAGCACTTTAGCCAAAGAGACTTCCTAAAGAAAATGGTCAGAATGCGTAAAGAAATCAGTACCCGTCGAAATATACATTCTAGACATACTTTTGCTGGTACAGGAACGGATTTCCAGATTAGTTGCTGCATTTGTAGATGTTCTAGAATAGACTATGGTGATCTGACTATTGGACCGTTCCTATGCTCTGAATAGAGAGAATAGTCCAGTTACGCGTTTGCGCGTAGCAGCTGAAATATTTTCTCCTGCAGGCAGTGCTGTGCGGGTGATCTACAACTGGAATTTCTCAATAACAGCTCCAAGATCATCATATATGATATATAAACAATCCGGAGCAAATAAGTATAATTAGTTATTTTACAATATGATTATAAAATGATGAGAAACTAGAGAGAAAGAAAAAGAAAAAGAAAAAAAAAAAAAAAACTAAATGATTCAACATGGAATATCAATGACCAAAATTTGTATAAGTACAATGGCAGAACAAAACGGAAAAAAGTTTAAAAAAAATTAAGCACAAAAACATAAAACTTCATAATAATGATGTAGAGAAAATGTGGATAGCAAAACCTAATTGGTCACATTCCACATCTAGTTAGAGGTATCTCTACCAAAGATAGCAGTCTTACTCCAATCAACACAGACCAAAACCTTGTTTCTCACACTCAAACACATGGAAACGTAGGCAGTCTTCCAGAAGATGTAAGTGAACAAACCACCAGATTGGAAGGTTTGCCAGTCTTTCCAGGTCAAGTCAGCAATAGCCTTTTCAGAACCAATGTATGCCAAAGCGCCAAAGTGAACGTATTTGAATGGTTCCAATTTGGAAGCTCTAGTCAATTTTCTGTTCAATTTGTTGGTCTTTTCGGTGTCCAAAACACTCTTGGATAACTCGAATTTCAATTCGTCAACCTTAGCTAAGTTGTGGAACAATTCAGCCAAGTAGACACCTTCTTGGTGAGCAACTTGGGCAGTTGGGGCGTATTTGGTGAAAGTACAGTCACCGAGAGCATAAATATCATCAGAACCTTGAACCTTCAAGTAGTCATCCAACAACAAACCTCTTCTAGCATTAGCTTGTTCTGGAATCTTTTTAAACAAATCAGTGATAACTTCTCTAGTAGCGTTACCGGTAGCCCAGACCAAAAGACCATAAGGCAAAGTAACCATCTTGGAAGAGCCATCGGCTTGCTTAACACTGGCATAGACATTAGTTTCATCAACCTTCTTAACCATAGTGTTGGTTTGCAAATCAATGTTAGATTCAGCCAAAATTTGAGCAGCATAATCAATCAAAGTCTTGTCAAACATGGCCAAAATCTTTGGCATAGCTTCCAACAAAGTAACTTTGATTTGTGGAGCAATGGTTGGGACCCATCTAGACAAATCTTGCTCAACGTAATCTTGCAATTCCCCAGCCAATTCAACACCAGTTGGGCCACCACCGACAACAATGGTGGTCAACAATCTCTTTCTTTCTGGGTCATCTTCTGGCAACAAATTGGCTTGTTCAATACAGTCCAACAATTTTCTTCTGATCTTAGTGGAGTCATAACCTTCCTTAAGGAAACAAGCGTGTTTGTCAACACCAGGGGTACCGAAAGTACCAACCTTAGCACCGACACCGACAACTAAGTAATCGTAGGAGATAGAGGTTTCAAATCTAGAATCAACTGGGTTACCTTCATGATCCTTAGTATGCTTGTAGGTAATAGTTTTGGTGGCAGGGTCAATGGAGGTGGCTTCAGCTTCAATGTAAATGACTTCACCATTAGATCTTCTGGTAATGGTTCTGACAGGTTCGACAATAGATTTCAAGTCAACGGTTCCGGTTGGCACAGATGGTAACAATGGGGTGAAAAGGAAGTAGTTTCTTGGGGAAATAATAGTAACGTTGTACAAAGTGGTGTCCAAGTTCTTCAAAAGAGAAATGGAACCCCAGCCAGAACCCAAAATAACCAAGTTCTTCTTCTTGTTTCCGGATGGAGTAAGTTCGGAATGCTTGACTTGGTTAGCTTTTGGTTTCGATTCATCATAAATACTGTAACCCAAGTATCCGACACCCAAGAGAGCAGAGATCCAGGTTGCTTTCCAAGCGTTTTTGGCAAACTTGACAAACCCTGAAGCTGGAGCTCTAGTGACCTTGGTGGTGGAAAATTTCGCGGTCTTGGTGATCAACGGCTTTCTAGAAATGGCAGCGGCGTTGAAAGCCACTCTTTTAGAGGCCATTCCAACACGAGAGAACATGATTTCCTTTGATGATTGTGCTTAGGAAAGGTAAACGGTGACAATAAAAGCGCAAACCGAGTACCGTGTCGCACTAAAATATTACAGAATGTGGAAACGTCTGGTATTTATAATAGTGAGTGACATACATCACCCCTCTGCTCGAAGAATTTTTCTATTTTTTTTTTTTTTGCTCATCATCGCACAAAAAGCAAAGGCTGAGAGGGTGTGCATGCTATCGGAAAAACATATTATTGGCTGTGGTTCGGAGAGTGAGGGGATGGGTCTCCTCGGAGTTGTTCGGTGAGTCAGCTGGGCACCCGCCAGCCGGACAGGGGGTGTTGATTACGTAGGTGATCGGTGTGTGACATCGTATTTTGCAGCCAGCGTGTATCACTATAAGAAGAAAGATTTCGAGTCCTACGGTTGGGGGTGGTGGACTGTGTAGATCTTGCGAGCTGTTTCATTCTCTTGTTGAAAACATTGCTGCTGGAAGAGGGTAGCTACTACACAGAGGTAGACACAGTAGCACAGAAAAAAGAAAAAACAAAACAATCTAATTATGCGTGGACATATCGTGATGGTCAGAAGTAACGATTGAGGGGGTGAAATTCAGCCCCACCTTTGTCCCCTCCAAAAAAGAAAAGAGAGATGCAGGAGGAACCAATCCTACGGCTCTAATCAATCCTTTGTCATGTGACTGGCATAATATCTTTCCATCGGATATTCTTGACTGCTAACAAATCACAGCTGGGAACAAACCTCCTACTATCTTTAAGAGGACATAATATTCAAAAACAAAAGAAATGCTAAGGAAAATGAGGAATTAGATGTACCTTTAATTTATGTATGTATATATATATATATATATATATATATATATATCTATATGATAAAAAATTGGAACAAATAAAATAAAATATAACAAAATAGAATTATCGCCTATAGTATAAACTGGAATCATCTAACAAGGTAGGTCAAATGAGTTTTATAGTTATTATTTTGCCAATTCGCAATCTCATCGCCTTCCACTACACAGTTCTGTTCGTACAAGTAACTCAAATAATTACTCCAATATCTGCTGGTTTGGCTTAAAATAATGGAATTACCAAGCACAATCAAACCTTTTCTGGCTCTGGTAACCCCAACGTTGAGTCTTCGATAATCATCCACCACTTTAAGTTCTTCAAGATTATCCTCCTCGATAAGCTCACTCTTCACGGTACTGAATAAAATATATTCTTTCTCTTTTCCTTGGAAGGAATCCACCGATCCAATTTCAATATTCTTCACTTTATCAATTTCAGACATTTCGTACTCATTTGGATTATGAGTTTCAAATAGAAAATCACTAGATTTAGCCGAAAGTCTTTGGAATTGATTGCTGAAGTTTCTGTTCTTGTCAATACTGTTATTGTTATTATTATTGGTATAACTTTTTCGTCTGTTATGTGTTTTGTTGTTATTATTGTTGTTACTGTTGTTGTTATAATTCCCATTACCGTTCCCACTGACACTAGAGCTTCTTCTATGCATACTAGATCTTTTACTGTTTCTCTTATTTGACTTATCTTGATACCCAGCAAATTCTTCTTGTATCATTTGAGTAATCAACACTCTTTGGCCTGGATAAATTGTAACTACCCCAATATCTTTCAACTCTACCCCACAGTCAAAGTGCAAGCGTTTGATTACTTCGATGATCTTTTTCACTTCGTATTGATTCTGATAGGTCTTTTGATTGATGTAAAAATTCTCAATGTTGTTAATCTTCTTGTGGTATTTCATTTCATTTTCCTTGTACGATTTGCAATCGGTATGATCCCAAAACACCATTGGCGCCTTCATATTAGGCCAAGGGAACTTATTAATATTTGCTGATATCATGGACTGGCGTTGATTACCGGCTATGGAAGATCTTCTGTTAGATAATTCACCAATAGAGTTCAACGACATTGATCTTGAAAGCCCCGCAGATCTTCCATTAGCCCCCAGGGAGTTTCTAATGCTGGATTTTCTAGCTTGATTAATGATTCCGTTGATCAATTCATTGTTGTAAAAGAAATTATTAGGGAATTCTGCAAGCTTGTTATTCATTCGATACTGTTCAGTTAACACAATTGGCTTCACCAATTTATTGTATAAAATTCTTTGGAATAAGGATTGCTTCAAGAAATTACAATGCACGGTTTGATTGTCTTCATTATCTAATTCACGACGGCCTCGCATTTTCAAATCATGAATGTAAGGACTCAATTGTTTGTCATCTCCAATCAACACCAATTTCTCACAGTTTTTGGCAAGTGGTATTAAAGATAACAAGTTCATGGTGGCAGAACAATCATCAATCACGATAGATTTGAATTTCACGCCATTAAGTTTTGGATCAAAGGCATTGTAACAAGTAGTGAAAATTGCGTCTTGTTGTTGGAAGAAATCTTGGTAAAACTTATTGAGTCTGGTAGTATTTTTTGGAGACAAACTCGAGAGACCACCGACCTTGTTCTTAATGAATAAATCAATCAATTCTTCTGGAGCATTCGATAAGATGAAATTATGGAAACAAATACCCCCAATTTTATGATTAATGTTGTATTGTCCTTCTTTCAATGGTGCAACTAGTCTGGAAATTAGGATTTCCTCATCACTATTGTTATCTTTGTTTGATTTATTAATCACAAAGTCTTGATAGAACCTTTCACACAAATTGTCAATACTAGAATTTGCTCCTGAGCAAACCAACACTGGACCAAGGTTTTTCTCAATCAAGTTCTTGATGATTCCTGAACTCACTAAAGTTTTCCCCGTTCCAACTTCACCTTTAATCAACACCACCTTGTTGGAGTCAAGATTGTCAATCGCTCTTCTTTGTGACAAGTTAAAGTTTTCGTTGTAGAAATTATTGGATCTGAAAGAAGATAAATTAAATTCAAAATTTTCAAAATTTTTCCCAAGAATAACATTGAGAAGAAAGTTATTGATGCGAATTTCGCCTGATAAGATCTGGAAAATAATATCAATAATCCGAGAAAACACTAAATCAAAGGGAATAATATTGAACAATTTATAGTCACTCACGGTTTTGTCAAAACTGAGATGTGATGCAGAGCCTTGGCCTTCTGATGTTGCTGTCGATTTTGAATTGGTTTCATTATGTAGTTTTCTCAAACAGTCTTCCAAGTTCTCAATAAAAGTTTCTTCGGTAACGTATTTATTATTGCTATGATTCTTGAACTTCAACAATTTTAATTTTATTTCCGGATTAAACGTATTGTTCGGAACCTGTTCAATCATCCCAAATGAAGTTCTGCCCGATACTGGGTGTTGGAAACCCAAAATTTGTCTGATTTTCAATATTGGTAAGTTATAATTTGTATTCAATCTAATCACAACATCGCATTGATCACCGAACGTGATTTTCTTGTAGGGAACAAATACCATATTATTCGACAATTTATGAGATGTTGACAGTAAGGATAACATGGCATATTGTTCTTTGAACATTAAGTTCAAATGATGAGCCGAAAATTCAGCAAATGATTCATAGGTGGAAATCTTTGATAAATGACTCTTTGTGATTTTCTTCAACCCATTAGTTTTATTTTGAAACAATTCATTTTCTTCGTTCAAGAGCGGTGAAGTGAAAAGATTTCTAGATGGTGTTTCTGATTCCCTTGATTTTTCAGTGTCTCTTGTCTCTTTTTCATCTACTTCATCTTCGAAATCAGATTCGTCATCACTATCAAAAAACTGATAATCATTGTTCTCATCAATGAGATTATAAAAATCATTTTTCTTGAGCTTTTGTTTTTTGAGCTGTTGTAACCGTTTGGTTTCTATAGTGTAGATATTACTTAAGTTTAACTGGTTGTATAACAATTTCAGATTACTATTAGAATTGTCCTTCAAAATTAGCCTGTTGAAGAAAAACTTCTTAAACCCAAACTTATTACTTTTATCATAATTATTGACTATTGGCTTAATGAAATCCTCTTCAATATCCAATCCACCAAATAATTTTTGCTGTAGATTTTTGAAGCACAAATCTTCTGACACGGAACTCTGGACACCAATTCCGGTTCCGATAATCGGCTTAGAATTTGAACAAAAAAATATTATTTTCTTATCTAAATTTTGTAGCTTATCTACTTGGGAATATTCGGTTTTCAAATTCACTAACTCTTTGGTGGTATCGTTGATCAAAATGAATGACAATTCGTAAATATTTTGATTTGAACAATGGGCACACTCAATCGCGGTGTCTAGAAACTTTGTAGGTTTTCTGAGTATTTGGTCTGCCCCAGAGTCCTTTTGAGCAAGGTATTCCTGGTTTTCTGCCTCATAATTTTCGTTTTTTTGGTAATTCAATAATCTGAATGAATCGTGGTGTAAGAATTTCGAGTGAATGAAAATATGACTTGAATCCTTTATTCCAGAATTGCAAAAATAGTTCAGGCATCCAGCGCACTTCACCAAACAATCAGGACTTGATTCTTGACAATACAAACAATAGTGTACCTCATCATCCACAATTGTGTCGGTACTTTGTGATGGATGAGGATTTGTCTGGGAGTTGTCAGCATGACTGTGCTTGTTAGCATTTTCATCAATTGATAGCCTCAGTACGGATCGTTCAACCTCCAGAATAGAACTAATGTAACTATGTCTTGAAAGTCGCTTTGAAAAACTCTTAGGAGTAAAATTGATAGATGGGTCCATAATTATCTATAAGGTGTTTTCTATTATCGTCTTTGATATCTTTTATTTTTGCCTCTATCACTGGCGATTTTTTAACTGGGGTCGTTTTTTTTTTTTTTTTTCTGGAATGATCTGTATGGGTAAAGATAGTGTGGTCTTGAATCAAGAAGTAAGAGAGAAAAAAATTAATGAGAGAATAATACTTCAACAGATCATGAAACTCTGGGCCCCAACCAAAATTTTCTTTGGTGTTTAACAATGAATCTTCTGAAAGCAGGTTTGTTAAGTGTGATCACAACCTGGAAATATTTGGGGGAAAAAATGACGCTACGTTGCCCCATCCTTACTGAGACCTTTTTTTTTTCTCTGTGGCCCCAGGGCTATTGGCCTTGCAGCACATGAATTTGTTGGGGGAGGCAACGTCAAAAATAAGTAGGTTCTATAATATATTAGAGTTTTTAGACAACAAATAAATAAATAAAAGGATGAATGAATGAATGAAAAATATTCGCGGAGATCTATAATATTATCGAAATATTCTCCTTGAAAGATTGAAGATCGTAAATGTTTTCTAACTCTTCCAATGATTTGACCGGAATTACTCGTCTGCAGTTACTAGAAGTTATAAGGATTTCCTTTTCATTGTAGGAGTTTAATGTGACGTATTTGATGGTGGTAATGTTTTTGGATTTTGTATTATTGTATTGGGTCGCTCTAAAAGTTAGCAAGTTGGACTTGAGGATATCAAAACAACTTTTGGAGTTTGTCTTTGGCACAGTTGTATCCTTGTCCTCGTTCACGTAATAGAAACATTTACTAATATAAATAAAATTCCTTTGCTTTATTTTATCGTATAACAATTCATTCTTGAATTCCAATTCCTCATCTTTGCTCACATAATATCTGAATAAATGCTGGTAGTCAATCATATCATGAATAATTTGCCATTTGGATTTCTCATTCTCCGTTACCCCAAGGTACCCAATATTTTCCAATATTCCATGAAAGAAAACTGCAATTACCCCGAAGAAGATAACACATAGTATAATGAAAATGATTGAAAACTTCGTAGCGCTATTACCATCATCCACTTTATTCATGGCTTTAACTAACATCTTGTAGAAATTGTAATAAATTAACAAATAATTCTTGAGAAGATCTTTTATATTAGAGTTTGCCAATACCTTCAAGTTCTGGAAACTAAAGCTGTTTTGCACTTGCTCATGATCCCAAAATTTGATCATAAATCTGGCATTTAATATAAACCCATAACAAAAAATCACCAATAGCGTGACCAAGTACGTCAAAAACCATTTGAAATTGTGGTATCCGACACAATTGTTGATCCACACACAGTGATGATCGTGAAGCATAACACATCGATCACAAACAGAACAATGCTTTGACCTGGCAATCTTCTCGACTTTACAACTGAGGCATTGGTTCTTCTGAAAAAATATGATATTGTTCGGCTTGAATAATCTGGAATATTTTGAATTATTCTGATCGTCTCCATTTTTCAAGTGTCCCGGTGATACGAAAGTTGATAGCAAAAAACTAGAGTAGTTTATGATGAGTATGAGATAAATTAGAAAGTACTCATATTCAGAAGGATGTAGTGGATTAATAATATACAGAATATTGAGTCTAATACAGACGGTTATTAATACCAAATAGAAAATCTATTATATGGGTTAGATCTAAGATAATTTTGGAGAATTCAGGTGGCTCAAAAAGTAGAAGCTAGTACATACCGGTATAACCCAATTTACGATCCGGAAAAATAAGTTTCTGATCATTTGAAGTATTCGATACGAAGCTTCTTAATTCGATATTAGTTGATGGGACCGTTTGTGCAAACAGTAACAACCAAAAAAAAAAAAATAAAAAAAAATAGGCACGTGCAGATCAATGTAATAAAGGTTTGGATCAATTAGAAAACTATCATGAAACATTGATATCTGGGCGATATTGTTTCAATTGACAGAGATAAAAACATAGCATAGCATAGTTTGACCTGATGGACTTAGGCATGAAGCTGCCTTGTTAGCGCAAAAGCTGTAGGAAAAAGATCAAAAAATAGACGCTCCTTATTAAGGATAACAAAGGAACATGCTTTTGAAGTCTTGTTTTATCCTTCAATATACAGCCATAATTATAATATACCATGAGGCACCAGCAAAAAATAGAAAACTTAATATATATATACACTAATGATACAATTATAATGAGAAAGCAGAAAGAGGGAAAAAGAAAACAAAAAAAATGTTAAAAAGGGTCACAATACTTCACGTCATTCTCCTTGTCATTCGTCGGTATTATTCCTTTTTTATCCCGATCTCAGACTTTATAGGATTGTCAACACCTGTGGGCGTTGTTGGAGATACCTGCCCATTATTCTGTAATCTGTTTCTGGATAATCGAAATAACTCTTCTTGCTTTTTCAACAATTCTTCTTCAGTAAGCCCTGAGTTTTGGAACTTCGAATTTTTCTTTTCTCTGCCTTTAACACTCTCTTTATGTTGGGCTAGTAGCTGACGGATTGGATTAAGGTAATCGTCGTACCCCAACTCTGTTAATGCTTTCAATACATGGTCGCTCGCTATTGTCTTTTTGGCCTCTTTTTCGGCAATCTCGTTCGATTCGGTTGCAAGAATCATAATGAACTCAATGCAGCATTCTATGAGTACCTGTCTTGCATCTTTGGAAAAGGCTAGATCTTTCGGTAATACTTCGCTTATAATCTTTTGTACCGTTGCTATAACCTTAATGTTAGTAAAAGCAGTTATTTCCTGCTAGCCAATTGGCTAATAATATAATTAATTCCTGTAACTCGGATGAAGGGACTTACCTTTTGGAAGAGACAAGTCTTCACTTAGACCGCTATTGAAATCTGACATTTTTTTTTTGTTGCTTTGGGGTTTTATTTACAATTTACCTGCGCTTTGTTAGCGGCGCACTTTTTAAAATCGATGAGATTATCCTGCGTTTTTATACCTGTCTGCGTGAGTTCTAGTTTACGAGAGGGTAAGAGTACTGAGAAATCTTAGACTGCACTCATATGCCATTATCTGTGCGTATGCGATGATGGAGACAGAAAAAAAAAATTTTTTTTTTTTTTTATTATTACTTTCAAAAGGGAAAAAAATTAGAGTGATGCCCATTGAGTGCTATCATTAGGCGATCATAATCCATTCTGTTTGTTCTGTGGTTATTCCTGACTTATTACCATGAGCTCCGAAATACAGTCATCGTTTGATCCTTCATGCTCGCTTTTTGCTAGTGTTGTCACTGCTTTAAGTTCTCATAAAGTTCAAGTGCAATCGGTGAAAAGTTCTTCATCTTCAAAGCTTTCCACCAGTTTCTTGTTGGATAAAGGAGTCTCTGTCAACTCTTTAGACTGGGGTTATGTATCTGGACAAACATTAGAAAACTTGATATTGATTGTGGGGACATCTGATGGTAAAATCTTACTTTATTCCCCGGTCAACAACTCTTTAGTTGATACTTTGGAAGATGACATTTACACTGATGCCATAGTTTCCGTCCATTATTCGAATCTCAGCAATTCTGTATGGTGTATCAACGATGCCAACGTGATCATTGAATATAGCTTGTCTACTTTTAAGAAAAATAAAGTGATCCCAAACATTTTGAAACAAGATACTATAACAAACGATGCCAACAAAAGTCATAACGATGAAAGCTTACAATGTATAAAGTTGATTAATTTCAAAAACTCGCCTCACTTATTAGTGTCTTCCCACAAAGTTTACCTATATAATATCAAAAAGAAGGAAATTTCCCACGAGATTTCTAATCATATCACCACTATCACCGATTTAATTTTGTTCAATGATGATTATTTATTGACCTCCGCCAAGTCTGATAGATTTATTAACATTTACAATATTTCCAACAATTTCAAGCCAGCGAAGGTTCTTGTTACCCAATCCAATGTCCAGAATGTTTCTTATGGCTCAATTCCAAACAATAAGAATAGCGTGGTTTCGGTAGTCACCGAGGATGGGATTTGTGAAATATTCTATAATCCTTTGGAATCTAATTCAAAGGCCAATTCAGGCAAGAGTGTTATTGGTGATGGTACTACAAGAAGAAAGAGAAGACAATCCCAAGGAAGCTTATCGAGAACTTCTACCTCTAAAATCAAGATTTCTAGACCGGAATCAACCATGATCAAAGAAGATGCATTGAAGTTGCTTGACAGTATTGTGTTGAACAACCAAGTTATAATAACGTGGTTGGAAAATGCTACTATTCCTTACTTTGATAATCTTGGTTGGTACGATCAAGCATCAAACTCATTTGGATTCGCGGAATCGATAGTGTTAACTAAGGAAAAACCCGTAGTCACCCAAACTAAGCACGCTGATTATGGTCATGATGTTGCTGCCGCTAAATTATACAGTGAAAACAATGTATTTTTGAACGTTGGTGACAATTATAGAGATTTGGATGAAGACAATGAGGATGCAGACACCACTGGTAATGCTGGGTTTGAATATTTGAAATATAGAGTAAATCAAAATGCCGACGATGACAGCATCATGAACGAAACCACTTTGAACGAAGATCCAGATGAAACTTTAGGGGATAAATTACAATCCATGAACCCAAACTCCAAAGCCTTGAAAAAGAGAAATACTTTTATCAATAATGAACGAAACTTCAATATCGATGCCACTGGCAAAAGTTCCAAGCCAACCACTGGGTCATTGACCATAATTCTTTCCCAAGCTTTAAGATCCAATGATTATTCGTTACTTGAATCTGTATTGAGCACCAAAGATGAGCAAGTGATCAAACAAACTGTCAAGACCTTGAATTCTGATCTTGCAATTGTTTTGTTGGATAAGTTATCCGAAAAGTATAATTTTGTCTCTTCCGTTGCATCCTCTACAATTTCTTATCAAAAGCAAATACAATTGAATCAATGGATCAAATGGGTTTTGATTATACATGGCTCTTATTTGAAGCTTAATGAAATCAATAGTAATTCTTCCAATAAGCAATTATTGAAGAATTTATCGTTCTTGTTGAGCAATCTTAACAAGAAGTCTGCCCAATTATCCAAGATTTTGCTTTTGCAAAGCAAGATGAATGTGGTATTTGAAAAAATCAATTATAAAAACGAATTGTTGAACGATTTCAACTGTGTCAGTGAACCTTTCAAGAGAAAGAAAAACAGAGACTTGATTGTCCGTTATGAAGAAAACGTTGATGATCAAGGGGATGATGAAGATGAAGAAAGCGATATTGAGTACAATGAGGAATTGGATGATGCGGATCTTATGGACGACGGTGAGATGGATTATGATGATGATGATGAAAATGATGATGATGAAGAAATGGTGGATGATTACGTAGAATTGGAAGACGACAGTGATGATGAAGAAATTGAAACTATTACTCCATCAAAGAAAAACAAAGATTCCTTGGACGATGAATACGGAAATGATGATGTTGAAGTAGGAATAATCAGGGATGAAGATGAAATGGTTGATAGCGACGAAGAAGAAAAGGAAGAATACGAGGAAAAGATTAAAGAATTGAAGAAAAAATCAAAGTCGAAGTCAAAATCTAAATCCAGAAAATGAAGAATGAAGAATAAAAAAAAAAAAAACGATAAATTTTCACTTATTTACTTTTTTAGCATTTTTCTTTTATTTTATTAGCATGTATCAACAACCCTTTCTTGTTTTTTCCTTGAAGTTCATATTGTTCTCTACTAGAGTTCATTCGTCCACGTATAATAATAATCCTTTTTTTTTTCATTCTTTACCATTACTGTAAAAGTATCACAAAAGAAGAAAAATATTTCCTCTCAGATATTTGAGTTCTGAACAGCAGTTACTTTTTTTTTCCTTTTGTGTAGTGATGATTTCAAGTTCAGTGAGTCAATAGCAAGTTTTCTGGATGCTCAAAATCTATCTTTGAACAATTATAAAAAAAATCTGAGTTTCCCCAATATCACCAAAAACCAAACACTTTGGCGCCATCTATTTCTAGCACCACAGGTGTTACTTCCATTGCTTCGGCTTTCACCGTTGTCAACGGCACTCCCTTTGCCTCCACGGGATACGTTTCACAAATCATAGATCATATACTTTACCACAATTCTGTGCAGCATCTTATGAACATGTGTACGCATAGATCCGAATTAGGTAAAAGGGATCTAAAATATTTCTTTGTACTTTTGGCATTAGCAATAATTGGGTATTAACAACTGAAAACTCCTGATCTATTGTGATACTATTCGTGGCATGTATTGTGATTCGGTACGTACTACTGAAATAATGGAAAGTATTTTTTATTATTGTTTGCCCAAAAATGGAAAACAAAAGTTTATATAGATGCCAGTCCCAAACTGTTTGCAATAGAATATGAGATAATTAAAAATAACTAAAAACAAAAAAAAACAATAGTAATAATAATAATAATAATAATAATAATAATAGTAATAGTAATAAGGTCCCCATGCAATAAACAACAATTAAAAAAAAAAATGAATAACAAATATGTAAAACAAAACGACAAAATAAATACATAAAAAAAAATCTATGAAATTTTTAAGCTATTTCTTCCCTCACTCAATGTCTCCCCCAGTCTATTATCACCAGAAACATGAACTGATGACATTAACTCAGCTATGTCCATCATATTTTCACTAGTTATCCTCGGAGACTGCAGTTTTCCATTCACAGTGGTTTTGTACTCCCTATCACAAGCTTTTCTGGTATCCTTTATTATTCCATCTGTTGGGGAAAGAGGTATTATACTCTTATCAGCTCTTTTTCGTGAAGTTTCCATAACAATATGACCGATGACTGTGGAATTGGAAGAAGCAGAAATTGATCGGTTATCCAAATGATTCTCTGATTTGATACTACCAGGTGGTGCGGCGCACTCGTCTTCTTCCGCGATTGTGTAAGTGAAATCATTCGAGAACTTTGAGTTTAAGGGGCTGAGTGCCGGAATGATAGGTACTGGAACTGGCATGGATATTGGAGTTGGGCCATCTTTAGTTTGCTTCTTCGGAGGTATTGGTGGAGGAGGAACTGCATTTTTCGCCGCCATGGATTTTTGTGCTTGGTATTGCCTATAGTTGTCCTGTAACTGAGACTGTTGATAAGGTGCAGATAACGCGATTGGCCTTTTTCGTTTTTTCGGGGTAGGAAACTTTGAAGGATGGGCTTGAATTGGAATATTGTTGACACATTCACAAATTGGATGGCTATTTCTACCAGTATAAGGCGCGTCCATTCTGGGTATGTCGTTAAAACCGTAATCTTTTGGAGGAAGTGATGGGGGGATATCACTATTGTAGGAAGAAAATGAAGGCTGAGAACTGTTATCATGAGGAGGTTTTGGTAGTTTGTAGACGTGATAGGAAATCGGAATTGGTGGCTCAAGACCCACAAGCTCCTGTGGGCCTCCAATTTTGATATAGTCTTTGATAAATTCAATGTTATCGAAAATTTTATCATCGGTAATTCCTTGAGTTTCTTCCAATTCTTTGTAGACTTCTTGCCATTTTAATGAAATAATAGAATCACGAATGCTGCTGCTATTGAGGAGGTCTTTCTCAAAGCTATGACGATGATGACTGTTTCTATGCTTCTTGTGGCGGTATTTTTCTTTATTGACGACTCTTCTGTACAAAAGATTGGCTTCATCGGCGTCTTTGAACATAAACCCCACAAACAAAGACAGTTCGATCTCAAAACAGTGAAAGAAAGAAGTTTCTTTACGATAATTGAAATCCCGGGGTATCTCTAGCTCCCATATTACCCCATCATCATTAGTTAAATCTACAATCTTCAACCAGAATTGCCCTCCTTCAATCAAATGCTCCACTAGTAATATCGCGCCACGTAATGTGGACTCTTTGTATTCATGGGAGTCTTTAGAGGAGAGATACAATCGGGTCTTGGTTCCGCAAATTATCTTGAACCTCTTCTTGGGTAACGCATTTTTCACTTTTACCTTATCTTCGGTGCTCAACAACCCCATGTTGTGGCTAGGCTTTACGGTATTCTGGCCAGCAGAAGTGAATGGCTATTGACTGGACTGTGGTGACAATAAGAAGAAATGTGAAGATGCAACCAACTTTTTTGCCAATCAGCTATTTTTCATCTTTTTTTTTTTTTTTTTTGGTGCTTGGTTGGTTGGTGTTTTGGATAAAGGGGGCAGAGGTAAAACACATTCCTCGAATATGTGGTAGTTACAAATATTGTTTCGCGGCAGCATTTGGAGACTTAGGGCCACTGCAGTCGGCTGCAAAACCCTGTGGTAACAAAAGGGGATTCGAGCCAACATCGCATACGCACCAAAACCACAAAACCCTACGCCACAAAAACAGAAATCCAGGAAATGGCAGTGAGCCTGAAACTTCGCCATAGGCTCTTATTAAATTACCATTGCTACAGCCATCAGATATAAAACACAGTGCCCTTCAGTAACCACCTACACCCTGCTAAAGCAATTTCAGAAGATTCTCCAAAAAGTCGGGGTTTGCGTATCCACAAAATATTGACATCAAAGATAATGCTACTTCATCATCAGGCCTACAGACATGGGCCGTTTACCAATAGTAATTACAAAAAATATCCAGGGGTTTTCAAATCATCTGATTTCAACCAACCCAATGTGAACAAGTTTTATGGTGATGCCCATTTCACAAAAGAAGAATATAGTACGCTTATGTTCAATTGTGAGTAGGGGATGGATATCTGTACACGAGGAGCATTAAACATGTACGCCCAAATTTCTTATTATTGTTTTACTAACTTCGAAAATAACAGTGGATGAAGAGTTCAGGAGCCCGGTGCTCATATTGGAGGATGTTTTAGCCTTCAATAGGAACTCTATTGCTGAAATAGACAAGTAAGGTTACGGACTCGTCATGATGGCCCTTTCCCTTTCTTTCTCCGACGAGAGAATTTTGAGAAACTTAACTAACACAGGCAGTGTGCTTAATCTCCAAGTATATTTGAAAAGCTGCGACTTTGCTGATCTCAAATCATATCAGTTCATGGTGGCTTTAAGAAATGTTCTATTTGAGTTGAGAACTGGGAATTATATTTTTGATTCACAACATCAATGGACTCAGGGGAGTATTAATCATCAACACTTCATTCACAAAGATGCGGTTGCTCGTTTGAGAAGTTATTATAGAAAAGAGAAATTAGTGGGGTTTTTAGACAACATGTTACAAATCAGTTTGAAAGAAATTTGGTCGGGGGAAGATAAGGTGTATGATTTTGAGTTAGTTAAATCCATTTGTTAATGTGACTATTTTTGTTTCGTCTCAGTGTGGAGACACTGTCTCTGATTTACACATTTCAAAGGCTAATTTCTCGACTAACCATTTATTGTGTCCAGGGGGAGTGTTAACTAACCTGGGTAACATTTACATTACGCCAACCTAAGGGATCGTAGTTCCAAAACACAAACACAAACAAAACAAAAAAATTATAGAAAAATTTTACAGACAGAAATACAGGAAAAGAGTAGCTTGATAGAAGTCAATATTACAGTTTGAGGTGTCAGGTGTCCCCATGATCTTTTGTGTCGGCCAATTGGACCTAGTACGAGCAGACATATATTTTTGCCTTGGCTCTCGATTCTGTAACCACCATAAAATGCAATTCAAGTAATGTCCGTATTATTACCAACTTACGCTTGTACTGCTACATCCATGTAAAGAGTGTTTCGACTTGGGCCATCTGTAACAGCCCCACAACAATTATCACCCAGAATGGTCTTTCTACCCGATGGTACCCCCTGCGGGTATATACGGGAAGAAGGAAAAGTCGCCGGCACTTTCCAAAAATAGAAAGGGTATTGTGGTCACGCCATTGATGCTTCAGAGTACATATTTCCACACACTGTTCTTCGCGAGGACCCCTCCACATTGAGCCCGCACTAGATGAGAAAGACTCAACCACATCCCTGTTGTCCTACGTTGGTGACTGGAAATCGAGGAGTGTTCTCTTTAGTTAGTCACTGTTACCTCGGTTTCCCTTAGTCGACTTCTACAGTTTGAGTGAATTCTTTCTCTGACCACCTTTTTTTTTTTTTTTTTTTTCGAGAGCGCCTACCTTATTGGGCCTTGCACTGCTTATCTGACCAGTATGATTGGCTCTCTGTTGCTGTAGCAGGGTGACTCACTGAACGTGACCCATTGCGAGATGACCATTACCCGCCTTTTTAGGTGGCCCGAGGAATGAAACTTTTCATGTTCGTATATATAGAAAGGAAACTACACCTGCAAAACACCGCCAAATTCTTGAGAAGATTTCTTTTGCTGTTGTTGTTTAATTGCATTAGCCCATCAATAACACCAATTCCTATAGCACTATGAGTTCTCTTGTCGAAAACACTGCCATCTTGCAGAAATACACTAACTTGCCTCAAAATGGCAGGGTCATTGCTGGTAAGTAGAAATTGTGATCGTTGTGGGTCATAATTATTCTTTTTTTGATTTGCAATTATTTGATTTCGATTTTGTCAGACGACTAACATCCTTTTTTTTTTTTAAAGAATATCTCTGGATTGATGCTGAATACAACATCAGATCCAAGGGTAAGACCTTGTCCAAGAAGGTTACTTCTCTTGATGATCTTCCAGAATGGAACTTTGACGGTTCTTCCACTGGTCAAGCCCCAGGTCACAACTCCGATGTTTACTTGAGACCAGTTGCTTACTACCCAGATCCATTCAGAAGAGGTGACAACATTATCGTTTTGGCTGAATGTTGGAACAGTGACGGTACTCCAAACAAGTTCAACCATAGACACGCTGCCGAAAAATTGATGACCGCCCATGCTAAAGAACAAACCTGGTTTGGTCTCGAACAAGAATACACCTTGTTCGACAACTTGGACAATGTTTACGCTTGGCCAAAGGGTGGTTTCCCAGCTCCTCAAGGTCCATACTACTGTGGTGTTGGTACTGGTAAGGTTGTTGCTAGAGATGTTATTGAAGCCCACTACAGAGCCTGTCTCTATGCTGGTATCAACATTTCTGGTATCAACGCCGAAGTCATGCCTTCCCAATGGGAATACCAAGTTGGTCCATGTGAAGGTATCTCTATGGGTGATGAATTGTGGGTTTCCAGATACTTGTTGCACAGAGTTGCCGAAGAATTCGCTGTCAAGATTTCTTTCCATCCAAAGCCATTGAAGGGTGACTGGAACGGTGCTGGTTGTCACACTAACGTTTCTACTGCCAACATGAGAAAGGAAGGTGGTATGAAATACATTGATGAAGCCATTGAAAAGTTGGCCAAGAGACACAATGAACACATTACTCTTTACGGTGCTGACAACGACCAAAGATTGACTGGTAGACACGAAACTGCTTCTGTCAACACCTTCATGTCTGGTGTCGCCAACAGAGGTGCTTCTATCAGAATTCCAAGATCCGTTGCTAAGGAAGGATACGGTTACTTTGAAGACAGAAGACCAGCTTCTAACATTGACCCATACTTGGTTACCGGTATCATGGTTGAAACCATTTGTGGTTCTATCAGTGATGTTGACATGTTCAAGGAATATGGTAGAGAAACTTCTGATTAGATTCTTTTTGTTTCATTTCTACTTTATTACTGTTGTCAATGATTGTTTCTTCTTCTATTATTTTTTTTAATGTTTGATCCTTTTTTGTCTACTCTAGACCCCTATTAACCATTGCGGTTTTTATCTATATAAGTTATTTACTTAATTTAAAACGAAAAAATGTACTTTATTTTTAAAAAATTACCAGCTTAATTTGTTGGTTTAATTGTTGTTGTTTATTTTATTTTATTGAAGTTTCTCATTTGAGGATCTGTAACTAACATAAACCGTCAAATACTCCATGAATAAAAATACGAGGTTATTCCAAATTACCAGTCAGACGGACATCTTTTATGAATTTATATCCGTATCTTTTTAAATGGACTATGACAGCGACTATTTCCATTATAGTAGATAACCAGGATGACTCTGCTGTCACGGGAAAATGGGTGGTTGATTGATTGGTAATCAAAATGGGTGGTTGATTGATTGGTAATCAACCACCCATTTTCCGTAGTTTCCTATTGCTGCAATTGGACGAGGGCAAATTCTCACCAAAAGTTTCTAAATAGCTGTTCTGGATGTTATAGTAATAAAACGCTAAGAAGTACATATAAGTATATTTAAGTCTATATTTATCAATGTAAGGTAGAGTATCTAACATATTGGCAATAGTCGAGTTTTTGACACCTTTTTCCTCGGATTATTCTGTTGGGGGGTGGGGAAGATCTTTGAAATCCCCTAATTTGCTGCTTCTCGTTGCTTGTTATACCAAGATACTCCTTTTTTTTTTGTGTGTGTGTGTGTGACCCTCGTGATTGATTATCTCACAAAGTGTGTGATGATCGCAACAACAGCAACATCACACACAGTCTTGCAAAGTGTGGCTATCACTGGAGGAGATCGAAAACAAAAAAAAAAAAAAAGGCGCAAAAGTGTGGCTAGATTGACTGCTGCTGCAAGTGCACACAATGATTGCCTATATATAAGCAGCGACAATTCGTCCCCCTTTCCCTTTTTCTATGTTCTTTAGTTGGCTACTCTTTCTCATCACTCAAGATTATTTATTTATATATATAATAATAATAATAATGGTCAACTTGCCGTGGTTCATTCCCCAAAAGAGAAACGTCGTTGACACAAACGACTACGAGGTGATCGTTGCCGCTGACAAGTCCGACATCACAGGCTTACAGGACGGATTCCCAACGTTTCAAACCAACGATGGCAAATTCGTTAAAGTCAAAGAATTCAGAGATGAATCCAAGAGACCATGGTGGAAGTTTTTTGATGAGTTTGAATATCGTGAAACCACTAGCGCTTCAGAAGCCCACAAATGGTACAATTGGTATGAACCAGGAACCAGTGCGGCGGAAAAGAAGTTATTGTGGAAGTTGGACATCCTAATTGCTTTTTACTCCTTTCTTTCCTATTTCTCCAAGTTTGTCGACCAGACCAATATTAATCAGGCATATGTCAGCGTATGTTAATTACTATTTTATTTTGTTTGTCTGTTTGTGTGTTTTTTTTTTGAGATTTGTTACTTACTAACTCACGTATTTTTAGGGAATGAAGGAAGACCTAGGAATGAAGGGTAATGATTTAATCCATACCCAAGTGCTTTTCACCGTTGGTACAATTATTCTTGAAATCCCAATATCCTACCTTTTGCCTCGGATCCCATCAAATTATTTGCTCTTTTCTGCCGAACTTGGTTGGTCAGTCTTTACAATTTTCACTTATTCTGTCAAATCAGTACCGGCATTAAAAGGCCTCAGATTTTGCACCGGGTTCTTTGAAGGTGCATTTTTCCCGACAATCCAATACGTTCTTGCGAGTTGGTATAAAACTTCTGAAATTTCCAGAAGAGGTGCTCTTTTTTATTCTGGTCAATTCTTGGGGGTCTTGACTGCTGCACTTATTCAAGGTGCGGTATACGATTCAATGAACGGGGTTGACGGTTTAGCTGGCTGGAGATGGTGTTTTATTGTTGATGGTCTCATGTCCTTGGTTGTTGCTATCATTGGTTTGATAGTTCTCCCAGGTACCCCATTCAGTTGTTACTCAATTTGGTTAACCGACGATGAAATTCTTTTGGCCAGAAAAAGAATGTACGAAAACGGTACTGATAGTTCAGATCAAGCTAAATCATACTTTGATAAAGAAACTTGGAAGAAGGTGTTCAGTTCATGGCACATTTATTTGTTTGGGATCATGCAATTCTTGGGTTATAACACAAATAACACCTCCAGTGGGTCTTTTGTCCTTTGGTTGAAGTCGCTTGATAAGTACTCTATTGGAAAAATTAATAATTTATCCGCTGCTGCCCCTGCGGTTGGTATTTTGTACATAATTATTGTGTGTTTTGGAGCTGACTTGACCAGAAAGCGGTTTGCTTGGATTGCATTTTCTCATGTCATGAATTTCGTTGGTAATTGTATCTTGTCTATTTGGGATGTTCCTTCGGGGGCCAAATGGTTTGCATTCCTCTCAAGTTATTGGTCTTGGTCAAATTCTTCGGTGTATAATCCAATGATTTATGACTTCTATAGAGCCGATAATAATGTTCGTTCCATTGCTTGGAATCTCATTTATCTCTTTGGATTACAATCTTCTGCCTGGATGAATTTACTCGTGTGGCCAACCGTTGAAGCTCCGCGGTTCAAGACAGGGTTTTCAGTTTGTGCATCGTTCAGTCTTGCCTTCATTTTCTTTTTGATCATTTCATACTACCTTTATAAGCGTGATTCGCGAAGAGAAGCTCTTGAGTTTGGTATTTATATTTACAACAGCAATTATGAAGGGGTTCCTGAATTTGTTAAGCAAAATGGCGATAAAGCGGCTGGGAAAATCACATCCGATAGTGATAGTGAAATCAGTGAAAATGGGTCCAGCGATTCAAAAGCCTCTAAGGATTTGAAAGAGGTGGTTGAAGTTCGTTATCATGATGAATTGTGAAAATGCTATAAATTCATATCCTTTAAATTTTTTTTTTTTTTTTTTCAATTTTTTTTTTAGTTATGCCCCGCTCTTTTTTTTTTGTTTTTCTTCACCATAGACGTTTGTTCCTGATCATGTTAATTTATAAAATTTCAAATAAGATTATGATTTTGGTATTTCTCGCCAAATTCAGTATTTTGTAGTGGTACAATCAAAGATCTGTTAAAAAGTGTTCAAGTTTTCGCGTTCGATAAATCATGCTTTCTGTAGACATGGCATATTGCATGGACAACAGAAGCCTATGTTGATGATTAGTAGAATGATTGATTGCAATGGAAACTAATGTACATGTTGGTAGTCGTCCAATCCGGCAATAGGGACTACGATCCGCACAACAAGTATAGTTAATACCAAGGTAATGGATTATTTCTGCACTATCATACATAGTACGATTATAGCCACCCTACTTTCATCCTATTTTGTCGTTCTTATTTTTTATCGTTGACAATTCTTAACCCCTTATTATGTTAACTCATAATAATCGATGAATTATTCACCCATTTTATTTATATTAAATAATCATATACCTTACTGTGTTTATACCTGCAGAAGTCAGTGTTATAGCAAGTTGTTATATCCCGAACCATTCGTTGAGTTGTGAGTTCATCAAATAGCTAGAGACTAATTACTGTGATAGCTATTTGACTTCTGTTAATACTATAATCAACGCGAGATCAGCGAAGATAAGTAATATTATAGTATAAGGAATAACCCTTCATCCTTATTAGTATTATTCGTTGTTCCACGTGATTACCGAACCAACCATCATTTACTTATCTGGGTCACACTATTCGGTATTTTAATAGTTGTTGTTTTTTACGCGTAAGTTAAGTTTCATTGAATTTTGTTTGACTAGTCTACACTAATGGAATTGTTGAAATTCTTGTTTGAGGAAAAATTTCTTTTGGAATGACGTGTTGTGCGGTCCTGAGATTGACTACAATAGTACTATGTACGATAGTACATTTCCATCATTTGATTGCTACAAGATGACTGAAGATGATTATCATTATTATAAATGACAGATCCTGTTCTTCATTTATCAACTGATATTTTGTGATTGATTTTTTAAGTTTTAGAAATTATCCTTCATCATTAATCCTAGTGACATTCTACAATATGAGTATCAACAAGGGGATATGATTATATAGTACAAGTATATAAAAAGATGTATCTTACCGTAAGTTAAGAGAGGGGGCGGTAATATAACAGGTCGATAACCTCGACTATACAGCCCCTAGTCTTAAAATTATAATCATTGCCACTAAGCAAGCATTTTAAAATGTCCAGAAAGAGTTTCTATTGAGGATAAAATAAACGGTGTTTCCCCAGATTCATTTAGCATTAATGTTGAATCTGACTATAGCGCGACGATAACTACAAATAACGATGTAATAATATAGTAAAAATAATCAAGCCATTGCTGGCGACCTTGGAGCCTAATCACCAGAGCATATGTGTTGAAAGCATTTACGTTGTTAGATTTTTTTTTTTTGGCGTGTCTTTGCTGAAAGCATACACGTCAATAACTTCCTTTAAGTGTTGGAAAATTTCCAAAAAAATGATTTTCTTAAACTTATACAAAGCGTAAAGTGAATTTCTTCCTGATACAACAATCATAAAACTTGGGGCTAAACTGACGCGTAAGCTAGTAGTGACCAGACGCGTGCATGTATGTGTTTTTGCAAGTGACATAATGGAAACGATATTCACAAGAAGTTTACTGTATAATTTCATTTTCTAAAATATATATTGATAAGAATCTTTCAAGAAGAAGCTAAGCCGCAATAATCTGCCAGTTTGAAGGGATATCTCTATTCCTTCCACAATCCATTTTTCAGAATCTTTTGTGTATTTATCTGATTGTCAATTGAGTATTACCTCTGACACTGGTTCGATGCATAATTATTTTGTACTTGTAAATCTGATATTTTTCTATAAACAATCTTCGTATGATCATTTAGAGTCGACCATATTTGCTAATTAATTATTTACTGACATCCCCCTTATCGTACTTCTACTAATGTTTTAGTTTTTAAACTCTTTTAAATCTCACTAACAGATGAATTACGGAAGGAATATTAATAATAACATACATTTAGAAACATCTATTTTACAATATTTATGTTCTGATTATTAGTTTTTGTTTATATTCATTTTAATCCTATCAGATCTACCAAGGGATACATTTTATTTTTTTTTGTTCAAAATAACACAATCCCCCTCCCCTCTATTGGCTGTAAGAAATACTAAGTAGAACCAATGAAGCGGCATCTTCATGGTTAATTCAGGTAAATATATTAATTTTTAATTTCTTCCATGATAAATAAAATCCAGTCTTTTTTTGGAATTAATTTCACAACATGTAGGCTGCTTTACGATACTTGAGATTCACTACTGTGTTGCATTGCTTTGGAATAACGCGAAATTTTGAGTATTAGTTGAATAAGCAACCTCCAAACCGTTGAAAAATGAAGCACAAAGAAAAAGAAAAATAATAATAACGAAAGAAAGAAAAGTACATGTGGTTAAATACAAATACAAAAATACTGACCATGAATTAATGATACAGATTCTTAAAAATTCTAATATATAGTGTATAGTATATTTATAAAAATATCTTGAAGGAAGTTCATTAATTATTTTAAATAGATGATTCGCAGAAATAATGGTTCTTAGCAGTTCTTGAATAATAACAAATGATTACAACTGAATGATATTCGCTTAAAAATAATATTAAAATATAAATAGAACTGAAGAAATTTGAAAGAAAACAATTAAGGAGAACCCGAAACCGAAAAGAAAGAAGATATTTTGTGAAGAAAGCTAAATTACAAACGCAAATGGAGAGGTGATCAAAAGCAGCAGAATGATGAAGAAATCATCTTCTGTGCCGGATTGTTTCAATGCCATGTTAGATGGACAAAGAACTTGAGAATCGAAGTACTAGCACTACCATTTAAGAAAAGATGGAGTGAAAAGTGAAAGGAGAAGAGTAAATTGAAATGGGACCAGTTGTAAGGTGAGGGTGGATGTTTCAGTAGAAGCACGATTACAACAACAAGACACCAGCAAGACCAGCAACGGCAACGGCACCAGCAGCCAACTTGTTAGCACCACCGGTGGTGATAGAAGGTTCATCGTGAGTAGTGCTGTTGCTGGTTGGGTGGTGAGTTGGGATGGAGGAAGAAACGGTGGTTTCTGGAGGAGGGGTGGTGGTACCGTTAGTGTGGGTTGGTGGGACGGAGGTAGAAGATGGGAGAGAAGTAGATGGGATGTGGGTAGAAGATTCTTCTTCGATTGGACAGTAAGTGGTGTATTCAGTGACGGTACCTTCGATGGTTTGGGTGATAACAGTAAGACCGGTGGTTTCGACTTCTTCGTGACACTTGTCTTCCTCACAAGAAGTGACAGTGATGACAGTGGTGGTCATACTGTGGGTGGTTTCGGTGGAGGTGATTTCGGTGCTGTTGATGTAGGTAGCGAAGGCAGCAGAGGCCAAGAAGGAAGAGAGAACAACTTTAGCGAACATGGTTAATAAAGGGTTTGAAGTTTAAAGCGAGTGGAAAGAACAAAAGGATATTTGTTTGATTGTTTGATGATAATAAAAAAAGAGGTGATAAAAGTTGGTAGTAAGATGAAGGAACACCCAGGTATTTATACAGTGGAAGGCCAAGTCTGAAAGAGACATCACAACAACAACAGCCAGAAGAGGTCAGTATAGTAAGAGACTACTCTATGCACACATGCATGCATGAAAAAAAAAAAAGAAAAAAGAAAAGTGACGGCTACTATTTATAAAATCTGTACAAACATAGACACCAGCTAGATCGCGACCTATATTTAGAACATTATGACGACAGGCTATTGGGCTGTTGTGGTACTGTTATTCTTTACCAAGACATTTTGTTGCCCACTACTTCTACAGCTACCACAACAGCTGCTTGCTCTGCTTCTATTTTTATCACTTTCATGTGCCATGAATCAGAGATCTTATTCTGTGTGACAAAATATCTGTTCAATTTTTGACGTGCATGATGGGGCAAGTAATGTACAAGGGGTCCGTGATTGGGTGTTTGTCACTTCCCCCCCCATGTATAGTGTTTGCTCAGTTACCTCACCTCCTGGCTTTTCATCTATACACTGATTCTATATACCCCATCAAAAGCGGACATTCTTGGTTCCCAAAGGGTAAGCCTGTGCTGGATATGGTTTCGACCGCTTCCGGTTGTGTTATTCTCGAAGTCTTTTGTATATATGTTGTCGAATAATTATAGTTGCTACTGTATGCCCCATATAATTGCTACTGCATAATTAACAATTTTTAAATAACCACGCAAAAAAAGAATTTTTTTTTTTGTTTTTTTTTATGTGGTGCCTTATTATCTACTCTGTCACTGACGAAACAATACAGGAAAAAGCCTTTCAGTTATTGTCAGTTCAGTGGAGTTTGGTCAGTGTACGTCTGTTTGCCAAGTCATATAGCTGAAAAGAAAGAAAAAACCACACACAACTGGTGGCTGCCTGCCTTTTTTCAGTCTCTGTGTATCCAGCTATTTCTGTGTATTTATTAGCCCTCGGGTGTTTGGGTGCAAAGAAAAAACCTGTTCATCGCTATACACAAACACACTTTCTGATAATTAGATTTTTATTACAGTGGTGGTATGCCTCGGAAAAAAAAAAAAAATAACACCTCCTTGTTGATCGAAATATGAAATGAGTGACTATTGGTTGGGGGAAACACAAAAGAGCTCTTTTTTCTTCACTTTGTAAAGGGGGATACAGAACATCGCAGTGGAGGACAATTAACCACTGTACATGCTTCCACTATTGCTACTCACCAACACTAACAAAAAAAAGGCTGCTTGCACAGAAGTTTAATATCAACAACAATAATCACCAGATTTGTCAATTTATTCTTCTTCTTTAGTAATTTTAACTCTTCCCCTCCTCCCACGGCGGGATAAATGAGACAATTTCACAGATCACGTGGGCAACAACAAAAGAGATTTAATTTATTTTACCTCCTTCGCAGTAAATAGCGCGCGTCACATTATTAAACAAATTATTTAATCCATAAACATAAACATAAACAAAAACAAAAAAAAATAGGAGCGAAAAATAATAGTAAACAAACAACAACAACAACAGCAAAAAAAAACAAAAAAACATGTCAATAGAAGAATCCAGTTTTGATCTAGATAACACTCAATATAGTCCCATTAACTCCGATGTGTCGATATCTAGCGTCGAATTGGGAAGAGGTGGAATACACCATGATAGTGATTTTTCAATAACCAACACTCTGTTTATACGGGAAAAGAGACAGCAATTTTTCGACAACAAAAAGCCTTCTACCAATCGATGGAAATCAGTACTATTTGATGATAACACCGTCTCCCGAGAAAATAAACCATCAAACAATAAATTCCTCGATCTAACTGACACCACCAACCTCGAAAATGCAATTCTCAAAAAAAAAAATCGTTACAAACCATACAGTAAACTTCCAACAAATGATCCCAAGAGAAACAAACCTCGTCACCAGGCCATGGTACCAGATAATGAGGCTTCCCAAAATATGAAATCTTTGCTTGCGAATTGTGAAAAACTATCTGAAACAAAAAGGCAAGTAGTTGAGGATTTGAAAGTTTCAAACATGCTACGCTATAAGTTGGGCGAAAAAGTTCGAAAATATAAAGATCTCAGTGATAAACAGAGGGTGGAAATAGAGGCATTGAAGTTGAAAAACCAGTTGTTTGAGGATGTCTTGAATGTCTTGATATCTAGAACTAATCAATCCAGCACAATAGTTAACTCGAACGATACCAAATCTGTCAATAATGATAATCAGCTGAAGTTGCAAGAATTATGTCAATTGCTAAAGCGTGTTGAAGCTTTGTCTCTCAGTAGCGGCTATTCTCTGCAGCCTAGCATCGTGCCAGAAAATGCAATCAATAAATCATTTCCTCCAAATATCGATGGACATAATGAAATAAAACAAACCGTCATCGCATCGAAAGATGAAATTATATCCAAATTAGACCAATTTGCTAGTAGACCACTCCCAACATCAAACTTTCCTACCTCTGGCTCCGTTCCACTGGAACAATTTATGTCAGCCAATCGTTCTTCTAACCCACCGGAGGGCGCTTCGAACGTTGTTAAAGAAACTTTGGCAAAATACCGTCGCAGAAATGAAGTTTTGAACCAATTGGAAGATTTGGACGATGACAAAAACTTGCAGTTCTTGAGCGATATGATAAAGGGCATCAAATCCCGTACAAATATACGTGATAATGATGGCTTACTTACTTCTATCGGAAATATTCCAGCCAAACATAAGCGTGTCCAGTTGAACCATGATAACGGGCCACTAAGTCACGATCCTTGTCAAAAGCCAGAAAGTTGTTGTAAATATTGTGACGATAATGATGGTGATGAGGATGGCGAGAATGACAATTCTATTCTATGGGATTGAAAAAGGTGAATAAAAACTACGATGCTATTTTAGACTATAGTGATTAGACAAGCATAATCCAGATTCATAATTGCCACATGCCTTTGAGTGTGATTCTACACCATTTCTTCGCTCAGGATCATTATATTTACCGCTCCTCTTTGGCTTCACCCTTGTATAATCATGTAGAATAATCCCAAGTCTAGATATTTACCTTTCTCTAATCTTTCCTTTGTTTTCTTACTTTTTTAATTATCTCTGTACTATATTTTTAAATCTAATGAGATTTTTTGAATCATTCTTTTTACAACTAACTTCTCGTATTGTATTGTGCCCCGCCATGGCCATGACTCATCTTCGTTAGTATACGCTTTATAAAATTGGTTGCCTGATGATCCCTCAATGTAGCTGGGGCTGGATATCTGATTCCGTCACTTCATATTAACTATATTAGTTCTTCTGTGTGTGAAAATCTCAATTCGGGAACTTTAGCCAAATGCATTGAGATGAAAAGTCAAATATCGCAAAATCAGTTGAAATTCCAATATCATCAATAATCATGCCAATGACGCATTTTGTGTTATGGTACATATATATTATTGGTCCTGACTTCAGATATTAATTCTGAAATCAGAAATAAAACCTCCCCAAATCAAAATAAAAGAAACGGGTATATTCAAAACATTTAAAAAGGAAAAAAGGAAAAAGGAAAACAGGAAAAATGTGAATGATTATCCGGAAGTTTTTTTTTCCTCCAGTTTATCAATGAAAACATTTTTCCGAAATATTAAGTCAAAAAGAAAAAAGCAGAAAAAGAAAAAAGAAGAAGTAAGCACAAAGAATTGGTGGACCCTTTTTAAGCTTGTTTCTTTTTGTGGGCGGAGGTACCTTTATACGTAGAAAACGGTAAAAAAAAAAAAAGAAAACCCGAAAAAAGGAATCATTAAGGAACCTTTGTAACTGTTTTGTTTTCCATTTTTTTTTTTTTCTTGATAATCCAATGAAGTTACACGTAATGTTTGTCTCCACTCCTTCTCTTTATTTGTGACGGTGAAAGTTTTTTCTTTTTTTCTTTTTTTTTTTTTTTTCTATATAGTACATGTTGATGTAAGTGACAGCTGCATGGTGTTTGATTGGGAGGACGGGGAAAAACAACAAACAAACTTTGCGGAAGTTGCAGATAGAGGGGCTGCTTTTGTTTCTTTGGAGACCAATCCTAAATACAAAGCTTCATGAGATATATGCCGTTGAAATAACCATGGGATCATAGTCGTTTAAGGTTATAGGTCATACGAGTAGGGTCTTTACAGCTGATGAGCCCAAATCCTTTGTTCATTTCGTTCAGTTGCTCATATTCTTTGTCCATTTTGATTGATAACTCAAAGACAAAATAAAGAAGGAATCATATCGCACGAATGGACGTATAATACATAAAAGAAATTTAGAAAACAAAATTATTGTGGGAATTATCAAGAGCATTGTACTTAGAAATTAGCAAGGCACATCAAGTTCATCTTGTTATCCCTTTTGCTTTAATTCGTATAATTATTAATTTTTAAAACCAACAGAAAATGCTACATCAAAGGAATAAAGCAATATTATTACTTTACCTCTTGCCACACAAATCGACATAACAAGTAAAAACTTTTTCTTGCTTTCTGTTTGTTTCCTGATCTTCAAAGATTTCACAATTGTGGGTGCCCTAAAAAGCTAGGATGTTCAAGACTACCCCCCCATCGAAGATCACCCACCGGGGGCATATAACCAGTGCATGCGAAAAAAAATTCTTCTTGCATACAGGAAGAATTTTCAGTTAATTGTACCAAACAGGCAGTGATTACGAACAAAATATAATACTTGAAGAATTACTTTTTATTCAATATTCAACGTCCAAATGAAACCAAAAATCAAACAAAATGTAATAACCAAAGAAGAAGAAAATTGGCCAATTTAATTGGTATATGTGGTCCTCGAGGATCAGTGAGTTTTTTTTTTACCATATTTTCCGTTTCGATGATTTTCATGGCATTCGGTCAATGATTTGCTGCATAAATGAATGACAAATAATCTCCCAATCGTAGTTCCGATTGAACCACTCATAAGTGCTTCTTACTTTTTCCCTTAATGTATCTTTAAAAATCACCACTCATTTTTCCTTTTTCTCGGTTTGAATAGCCTATCCCGACAATTCGAGATCTAGATCTTTCTGCTTGACTTGATTTGCCAATCTGCTTTGTTTGACATCAAGAAAGTCATGCACTATTAAGCAGATTTATTGCAACTAGACAATAGCAGGTGGCAACAAATGCCTTCAGTTTTAAGATGAATGAGTAATTACGGCCTTCCGGGCTTCGATGTTGATGCCCTTTGACTCTTCCCATATGTAAGTTTGTGGCTCATTTTTCGGGGAGTTGATCATCCTTGCCATTCGACCCGAGCTCTTCTTCAAGGATGTCTCAAATGGTTAGCTAATCTAATAACGTTGGTGGGGCTTCAGAGGATGACAAACCCCAGATACTGCAGACGTCATTAGTGGATTTTAGGCGAAAGAAAAAGCAAATATCGTGCTATATGTGATCGGTTGGTGGAGAGACATGGAGGCCATGGCTATGTTTTGTCTAGACCATATGCCATACTTACTAATATCGAGAGCCGGTAAGCGAGGCACCAAAAAAAAAAAAAGAGGTAGAAGGTAAGTTCATGCAGCCGTCCTGATTATAGTGCCTCATTGAGCAGTGTAATACCTGGATAATACAGGGCTACCAACCAAAAGGCCCTTTTCAATAGGGACATCTGGGTACAGTGCCGGCGGTGGCGACAAGTAAAACGAGAATTTTTCACATTTGGATTCGGGAGATTTTTCCTCGATGCACACACAAGAAAAAAAAAAAAGGAGCCAACGGGCTTAAACACTTTGACACATTGAAGGCCAGGTCCCATCAACGTACAATTAAACAGTCAACGCCAATGGGAGCATGTAAGATCTTACTATAAATAATAGTAAAAAAAAAATAAAAAAAAAATGAAAAGTTCAACAATCTCGGATTGTTTGAGTATTCCGTGAATCATTATTGGCTATTGTCAGGGCTTCAAAAAAAAAACCCCCCCACCCCCAAAAAAGAAAGGAACAAAAAAGTAAAGCGCATGGATGCACCTGTCCGCAAACGGAAAAATTTTTGAGCCAAAAGTCTAGATCTCATCTACAGTCATAAACCTCTCCCAAACTAGCGATATTGGATAATAATCGTAAAGCAGGAAAATTTTTTCTTGGTCTTTTTTCTTTTTGATGCATTAAGCTTTGATGTACGAGATGTTGACCGGAAAATTGTCAGCGGACGAGTAAAAAAGGAAAAGGAATATCCCAATCAGATCTCAATATAAATACCAGCCAGAATTCTCTAGGACCCTGTGTAGAATTTGTAAAACTCTCTTAATTAGACATACTTAACCAACTTGTGATTATTCATTCTTTAATATTTCCAATCAAATCACTTTCACTGTTCTTTATTTTGTATCACATCACCCAAATATCATGTTGTGCCAATTGTCTATTGCCTCTCTTTTTATTTCTATGACCGCTGCTGCCGGTCACCATTCTCACAAGTACGCCTTGTTTGATGAAGCCGTTGAGGTTTCTAAGAGAAGCAGCGGTAATGATTGTGAGTTCCCAACCGACTTGGGTTTGGTTGCCGTTAACGAGAAAGGTACTGGTGGTGGTTGGGCCATTGCTATGGACCAAACCTGTAAAGCCGGGTCTTGGTGCCCATACGCTTGCCCTCCAGGCTATTTATCTGCTCAATGGGACCCAGAAGCTACTAGTTACACTTATCCACAATCTCAATATGGTGGTTTGAAATGTAACTCCGACGGTACTTTATCCAAGGGCTTTTCCGGCAAAGCTTACTGTGTCGAAGGTAAAGGCACTGTTTCTGCAAAGAACACTATTGGCAAAGACGTCGCCTTCTGTCAAACCGTCTTGCCAGGTAACGAAGAAATGTCGATTCCAACCAATGTTGGTGCTAACAATGAAACCGTTTTGGCCGTCCCAGGTACCGATTACTGGGCTGGCACTGCTGCTCACTACTATGTCAACTATCCTGGCATTTCTGTCGAAGACGCTTGTACCTGGGGTTCCGACGCCAATCCTCAAGGTAACTGGTCTCCATATGTTGCTGGTGCTAACCAAGATGACAGTGGTAACACTTATGTCAAGATTGGATGGAACCCAATTTACTTGGACAGCTCTTTTGCCACCACTGAACCAAACTTCGGGATTAGAATCACTTGTGATGACGAATCTAAATGTAACGGCTTGCAATGTGAAATTGACCCAACTGATGGTATCAACACCATCAAGGGTTCTTCTTCCACTGGTGCGGGTGCCGCTAACTTCTGTGTTGTTACCGCTGAAAGTGGGAATAGTGCCAAGATTGAGGTCTTTAGCACTGGCTCTTCATCTTCCTCTTCCTCTACTTCTAACAAGGGCGTCAAAGTCCTCAACAGAGGCGTGAACGCTACTAGCTTGGCTACTTCTATTTCCGCCTCTGCCACTGCTGCTACCAATGCTTCTCACATCACCGCCTCTGCCACTGCTAGTACCAGTACTTCTGCTGGTGTTGCTAGATTCAACACCAACCCTATCCAAACTATTGCTGTTGTTTTGGCTGTGGTGATTTACCAAAATTTATTCTAAACTCCGTTTGCCACTCCTTATTGATTTTTGCAATGGTTTTAATGGTTTTAATGACTTTTCTGTTAATTTGTTTGTTCCTGCTTTTATTTTAAAAATTTCTTTCGTTGTATTTTTTGGTTCTCTATTTTCAATTTTCACTCACCAACTTTGGTTAGTGTTGGTTTTGGTATTCCCCTTTATTTTTTCACATTCTTCCCATTCTTTTTTCGACTTCGTATCATATTATATTATTTAGGAATCGTTTTATAAAATTTTGGTAATATTCAATCCGTTTAGTTTCTTCAGAAAAATGTAAGAATTTTTCAAATCTAATTTAGATTGGTTCCACAGATTCAAGAGTTTGAATTTTTTTTTGTCTATCGATGACAAGAAATATAAGTTGAATACATATTTCAGCAACTTTGAAAAAAGAACAACTTTCCTCAAAAATCTATACCTACGCTGTCAAAATAACTCGATTATATCATGAATTAAGATATTGAAGCAAAAAGAGGATGAAAAGAAAAAATAAATGAAAAATAAATGAACAATAAATGCTATCTAAAAATACAGAAACTAAAGAAAGGTAAAAATGAATAATATCACATTATACCCCTCCTCCTAAAAAAGACCACCACCACCATCACACTATACTGGAAAATTTTATCTCAACGTCTTTTGTTTTGGTGTTGCTTCTTATCTTTTTTCCCAGTCTTTCCACTGGCACCAATGGTAATATTGACTCTTGGAGGAATTGGGAAACCATAACCTTTAGCAACCTTAGTCAAGTCCAACTTGTCGATTTGATAAACGGTTTTCAAATGATGACTAGCGTAGGCTTGCAAGTAGGCTCTGTAACCATCTTTGGCGGACTGATGCAACCAGTAGTTAGAAGCAATCAATTTTTCCAATTGTGGTTGGACGTTAGCAATCTTGCTAGTTGGGAATTCGTATTCGTTCAATGGAACCTTGGCAGCCTTCAAGTATCTCAAGAATCCCAATTCTGAAGGAGTCAAGAACATAAGAGACTTACCTTTACCGGCGGTACCTCTAGCAGTTCTACCAACTCTATGAATGTAATCTCTTGGATCATCTGGTGGATCAAATTGGACAATCCAATCAACAGCAGGAATATCCAAACCTCTAGCAGCGACATCTGTACAAATCAAAGTACCTTGCTTAGCGTTACAGAATTCGAAGAAAGTATTAGTTCTCTTTTGTTGCTTCTGTTTCCCGTGCAAGTCCAATACTGGCAAATCAATATAGTTCAATAATTCACCATAATATTTGACGGAGTTACAAGACGACAAGAACACAATGACCTTCTTTTTCTGGTTTCTCTTCAAGAATGAAAACAACAACAAGAATCTCTTGTCACTGTCACAAACCACGTAACCTTGTTCCAACCCATTGGCAGTAGAGCTGTCCTCACCGGAGTCAACATTGATGTATAATGGACCGGCTCTAAGAGAAATTCTGGCCAAGTCATCAACCTTGGTGGTTTGGGTAGCGGAGAAAAGCATGGATTGTCTATTTTCATTTGGCAAAATCTTGATGATTTGCTTCATTTCTTCTTCGAAACCAATTTCCAAGATTCTATCAGCTTCATCAATGACCAAGGCCTTAAGATTCTTGAAAACAAAACCCTTGGTGTTTTGTAAATGATCCAACAATCTACCTGGGGTGGCAATCAACAAATTGACACCTTTGACCAATTTCTCAGCTTCGGCTCTACGATTAGCACCACCAATGACGATACCAAAGGTTTGAGTGTGATGCTTCATTAATTCTCTGGCAACCCCAAAAATTTGAAGTGCCAACTCTCTGGTTGGGGAAACAACCACCACACCAGTACCGTTTCTTGGTTTGAACTTCAATGAGTAGAGCAATTCAATGGCTGGGATCAAGAAGGCTAAGGTTTTACCAGAACCGGTTTTGGCGGCCCCCAAAACATCTTTACCTGCTAAAAGTGGAGGAATGGTTCTTGCTTGGACCTTGGTCATCTTAGTGAAGCCCATTTCACTGATGGCTTTAAGAGTAGGCTCGGATAAATTGAGGTCTACGAAAGAATCAGTAACTGATTCCTCCTGTTCTTGTTCAGACTGGATATTTTCTGGTTTGGATTCTTTATTCAACTTCTTTGCTGCTGGCTTTTTTTTTCTATCTTCTTCTTCTTCTTCTTCTTTTTCATTTTCCGATTCGTCATCAGAACTTTCTTCAGGGGTTTCTTCGATCTTTGGTTCTTCTGTAACACCTAATAAGTTTGAAACTTCATCGAATTGACCATCTAATTCATCAATAGCCTTGGTTTGGTCTGCATCTTCTTCGACATTCTTGGAGAGCTTTGACTTCTTGTGACCCTTAGAGCTCTTTTTGTCTCCGGAGAGAGACTTTCTCTTCTTATTCACCTTTTCTTTGACAGCCATGTCTACCAATATATTCCACTAAGAGGTGCTAGTGTTAGTATGGAACATCACATCTTGAAAATTTTTTTTTTTTTTTTTTTTTTTCATCCTGCATGAGATGGCGCTGACTAAGACACCCACGTGACACAAGGATCCATTCAAATGGTACACAATCGCAAAAGTGCTGGCACGGGTAACGCCCCATGGATGGCTGTATAGAAAAAGAACCCAGGCAGAAAACGATGAGACAGACAGAGGGAGAGACAGAGAAAAAAAAAAGAGGCGATTAAAAAAATCAATATCACAGGTTTACTTCAATTCAAAAAAATTGACAGTTATCTAATTTAACGACATTAGTAGTTTGTCCCTCCATTCTAGTGAAAGTTAATTTCGCAAATATCGGCTGATACTTTGGTTCATTGGTTTTGCCAAAAATGCCTTTACATGATTTATTTAATAATTCCATTAAGGAACAATCCCTGATTTCCTCATCCTCATCTTCATCGCCGCCACCACCACCAGAAAGGGATGGTTTGAGTAGCGCAGAATCCGCATCATGTCAAAGAAACAAATTAATGATAGATAATCCTTCCAATATCATTCTTTCGAACTTGAAGTGTCCTCCCTCACCCCCACCAATCTTGAATAAGCCAAATACCTCAATTGAACGGGTTTTGAAGATTCAGAATAACGAGAATAGTTTGCTGGATCAGACAGCGACTAGTGCAAGTAGCAGCGGTACCAGCGCTGCTCCAAGAAGACTCACCATTCCTGCCGGTGGTGCATTATTGAGAGGCAAAAGCGAAGAAGGCAATAGTGGATCGGACAGCAATGATAGGATTACAACCCTCAATGCCCCAATGGCTGCTAAAGGAGTAAGCCAACTGGATAACAGGGGTAGCAGCGCTAGCATGAATAGTAATACCTCACAGCAAAAAGTTCTTGGACATAAAAAATCTGATTCAGTACATGCTCATTTTTATGTCGATGATACGATAAAACACGGACCTCAGAGATCAAGAAGCACTTCCATCAACACCGAAAACAGAAAAGAGCTCGAATCAACCAGGTCAGGGGCTGTTAGCGGCAATACAAGTGCAAGTGCTGCCGACTCTAACTCTTCTGACTCTAATAAGCCGCCAGCAATGAACGTTGATCCAAGATTGGCCCAGGATGATGGTAAGTTCCATATCTTGTTGGGTTCGACTGGTTCGATCGCCGCAAATAAAATACGGTTATTGATCAACAAATTGGAGGAAAGTTACGGCAGAGACCAGATAGCCATTCAATTGATTGTCACCCCGGCCGCTGAACATTTCATATCTAGAGAAGATATCCCGCCTCACATAACGATTTGGAGAGATAAAGATGAATGGGCGCTTTGGAAGGCGCGTTCAGATCCTGTATTGCATATTGAACTTCGAAGATGGGCTGATGTGTTGATTGTGGCTCCTTTAACCGCTAACACTTTGTCCAAAATTTCTTTGGGCTTATGTGATAATTTATTGACTAATGTCATTAGGGCGTGGAATATCCAATATCCAGTTATCTTGGCCCCTTCAATGGTAAATTACAGCTATAGCTCTGCCATCACTAAACGTAACTTGAGTTTCATTAAGGAGCACATGAAGTGGATAGAAATTTTGAAGCCCACGGAAAAGGTGTTTGGTAGCTATGGGGAAATTGGTATGGGAGGAATGTCTACAGAGAATGAAATCTTGGCCAGAGTTAAGGTAATAATGAAGGAAAGATATGGACTAGATAATGAAGATGAAGATAATGTAGATGACGATAATGATGATGATGATAATGATGATGATGATGACAATGATGATGAGGGAGATGATGGCGACAATAAACAAATGGGGGGTGAGGAAGAAGATGAAGATGAAGATGAAGATGAAGATGAAGATGAAGATGACGATGAGGATGATGACGAAACTAACACAAACCCTAAACCAACTTTGCCTAAGAAGACCGGGAAAGTTTGTATTGCCGATGAGGACAAATGTTAATGATCAAATAAAAAATTTAATTGTACAATATATTTAAAGTTGTTACCGATAATTCTCGGAGAACAAGTTTTTCTCTAATTTTTTTTTTTTTTCTCCTTCGGAAAGCTATTTATCCCTTTTACTTGTATCAAGTATTATATGTATTATAAAGCTTACACTTTTTGTAAAATCATAAAAATTAAGAAATAATCATGGTTAATGTATTTGAGAAACAAGCCGAAATGAAATAAGATAAAAAGAAAAGAAATTGAAAAAAAAATAACAAAGGGAAATAGAAAGAAATATATATATATATATATGTATAGAAGAAAACAGTGAGAATGAATGCATCAAGAAGCTGTCACCTTATCGGCGTTGACAGGTTCCTTTTGTTCGGCTTCCTCATCAATAAATTTTGGAATAGTATTAGTTTCAGCCGGAAGGTAGCTTGGCAAATCTAACCCATTTTTCTGTTCATATTGAACCTCATCACCTAGAGCTTCTAATTCGGCATCCAATTCCGATTCGCTAACATCATCAGGCAAGCTGTAAGAGCTACCCAAAGTTTCTTGTATCTCGTTACCCTTTTCAATCAAATCAAGCATCTCTTCTTGCAAGTCTTCGATCTTATCGACGTCTATCTTACCATAAGTCTTCTTTAATTCCTTATTTGTTTGTTTCAAAGTGTCAACGGTCACCATGGTATTCTTCAAGTTTTCTGCAGTCATTTGCGCTTGGGATATGTTCCACGATTGATTTTCCAATTGATCTTTTTGTTGCTCAATTTGTCTCTTTTGTCTCAATAACTTCATGGCTTTTTGCTTGAGGTTTTGTTTGCCGGGGCCTTCTCTCATTCGTGATAACTTTTGTTGATATGTCACCAATTCAGCATTGATCTTCGATAACTTTATATCGAGCGACGACACTCTGTCATCTATGCTACCGAGCGCATCATTTAGAGTCGCCTTTGGCTTGGCTGCCTTGGAACCAAAAAGTCTGTTCATTATCCAATATCAGATTTTAAAAACAATGATCCCCTTTGTTAATAATCTATCCTCCCCTTCTCTTGGTTTGGGTGTTTTTGCACCCTTTCGCCATCATCTCCCACCAAGCGCTCATAACTATTACTAAACGCACCATAGAAAAGATGCCAGAAAACCCACGGGCTAACATGGCACAATAGTTTGTTAACTGTAGAATCCACCCCCCCATAAAGAGAGAAACAGACTTTGAAATCGTATTGTTTATTTTTCTCCCATAGGAGATGGTGGGACAATATACCCATAATTCTCGGGAATAGGATTAAAGATTATCATTTGATGAATATTTACTATTAATGGGTTGAAAGATTATAGCTAGTAGTGTAATGACCTTAAAAAATTACCAGAAATGTTAATGGACACAGAAATAGATTTCCAATAGGTCAAAGTTTATTAATCTAAAAAAAAAATACACAAGTACATTTCTATATTATGTGGGACTTATTATTATGATCGTAGCCTCTGGCAACCCCCGATCTACCTTCCTCAATGGTGGCTCCATCTTCATCATAGTTTTCATCATCCTTGAAATCACTTCCTAACCCGGTCCATTGTCTGGATTGTAAATGAATAGCTGATGTTGATACTGTTCCCTTTATTGCCACGGTTTGCGAAAACTTCTTGACTAATTGGTTACCACTAACCGGTTTACCATCACCACCATCGTCGTCGTTATTGTCGGTCTTTGTAGCATCTGGATTCAATTCAATTTGTAGATGATTGATTTGTCTCAAAGGTCTGGAATTGGAAACATATTTACCTGTGACCGCACTGAATTCTGGTGCATAATCTTCGTCTGACATTTTACCCTCATCACCAGAATTCACAAAATCGTCATCGTCATCATCGTCATTGTCTTCAGCAAGCTTGATGATATCTTTAAACCCAGTCACCCATTTCCCGGTCCAGGAAACCTCTGGACTTAAAGCCAAATGCAATTCATACGGCGTGATGATCGGTTTAAAATATTCACTGGTCTCATCAATAATGATCCCACCTTGTCCACATCCCAAAATACACCACACATCAATAGCATCGAAATTAGCCAACTTTGCCACGTTCGGTTTACCAACTACGAACATGTAGTACTTCTTATCGGCATCCTTTATCCATTTTGCAACAATGTTCACCATTTTCTTTGTGTTATCTAACGATAATGTGTTCACGAGAATACCGACTGTACCAGCAGTTCTGGCAACGTGCATATAACGATAACGACGCATTAACGACGAGAAAGGACCATTATTGATAGTACAAGCTTTAGGATCATAAACTACCATCGATGAGAACTTGGTGGTTAAAAAGAGCAATCTAGAAGGTTCTGGAAGCGTGATATGGAACAAGCTGTAAGTTTGCAAGAGCGAATTCAATTCGTCTTCGTCATTAATATCAATGTCTTCTGAATGTAAACCGGTTAATAATCTGTTGCCGAATCTTATTCCCTCTTTTTGCTTCTGCTTCTCAAAATCATAATTTATAATCTTGATGCTTTTTTCTTCGTTATACGCTTCAGCATAGGCAAGATTCCGGTATTTTATCTTCAATTCATCATATACCGGCTTTAATATATAGGAGTAACTAGTGTCGGACATTAAAAGAATATTTTCTTCAGTGTCCTGATATTGCTCCTCAAACTTCGAAGTCAAGACATTTATATCCAATTGGGGTTTACCAAACACATATACAGAAGGTAGTTTCTGAACTGGTGTTAAACAGGAATCTCCAAAATGCACAACCACATCGGCACCAATGTGCTCAGCCGCCACTTCATCAACACAACATGGACTGTACGATGTATCTGCCAAAACCCACACTTCGTACTTATCTATTTTCTGTGATTTTGTAGTTTTCCTTTCCTTTTCTGTTTTACCACAGCTGCAATCGGTACATGTAGCACAATGACCACCATGCTTCTTCCCATCGTCCAACCCAGCGTCTATTGAATTATTTTCATCAGGAATAAGGCCTTCCTGCAACATTTGCACAACATAACTGGAATCACAAACAAGGGAATCAGGAAACTGGAGAGTGATCTTCTTGAATTTGCCTTGTAAAAACTCTATCAATTCATCTATCGAATAATAGTCTCGAAGTAGTTGTCTAACCTCATTTTTGTTGGCTGGATCATGTTTCTTCAAGTAACTTCTTTGCTTGGTTTCCTCGCTTTGGAACTGATCAAACTGGAAAGTATCATCCGTCTGGGCAGTGGAAAGAGCCGGAGCAACTTCACCACTCATATTAATTATAATTTCTGGTACTTTTCTTGTGAAATCTAATTGAACAATTCCACAAAAATTTTCTTTTTGGGTATAGAGCTTTGGCACTCATTTTTTTTTTTTTTTATTTTTCATACCATCGCTGACTAAGCGATGAGGACCGAAAATTATCGGTGATTTTTTTTTTTTTTTCACCAGCTCTTCTAATTAGCGATAAAAAAAAAAAAATTTGATAGTGAAAAAGACTCATTTGAAAACATTATTATGAAAAGATTCTTTTCAACAACAGCTAAAACAATGTCTAGAATTAACTTGGGTGTCACAGGAGACTACCATGTCCACTTACGTGAGGGAAAGATGATGGAGTTGGTCACCCCAACCATTCGTGAAGGTGGTGTTTCCATTGCATACATCATGCCTAACTTGACTCCTCCAGTTACCACCATTGAGAAAGTGGTGGATTACAAGAAACAATTGCAAGCTTTATCTCCAAAGACAACCTTCTTGATGACTTTTTACTTGAGCCGTGACTTGACCCCTGAATTGGTCGATAAGGCTGCGAAGTTGGGAGCCATCGACGGGATCAAGTGTTATCCAGCCGGGGTGACTACCAACTCTCAGGCCGGGGTCGATCCAAATGATTTCAGTGATTTTTACCCAATTTTCGAAGCCATGGAAAGAAATGACTTGGTGTTGAACTTGCACGGTGAAAAACCTTCCACCCACAACGACCATGACCATGCCCATTTGGATGACACCAATGTCGATGAAGCCATTCATGTGATGAATGCCGAATCCAAATTCTTGCCAGCTTTGGAGAAATTGCACAAGGATTTCCCAAATTTGAGAATCGTTTTGGAACACTGTACTACCAAAGCTGCCATCGACATGGTTGAAAAAATCAATGCCGAAAGAAAACCAGAAGACCCAATCAAAGTTGCTGCCACCATCACCGCCCACCATTTGTACATCACCATCGATGACGTTGCTGGTAATCCAATCAATTTCTGTAAACCTATTGCCAAGTTGCCATTGGATCGTCAAGCTTTGATCAAGGCTTCTACCTCAGGTAAGCCATATTTCTTCTTTGGATCCGACTCAGCTCCTCACATCTTGTCCAACAAAGTGAGAAACGAAGGGGTTTGTGCCGGTGTCTATACCCAAAATAACGCCATTGCTTATATTGCAGAAATTTTCGATAAATACAATAAGTTGGACAACTTGAAGAAGTTCGTTTCCGACAATGGGATTGGTTTTTATGCAATTCCAAAAGAAAAAATCGTTAACCATGATGAGTTGATCTTGGTCAAGGGTGAAAACATTATCCCAACACTTATTGGAGAAGGTGAATGTGTGGTACAACCTTTCAAGCCAGGCCAAAAGCTCTCCTGGACTGTTGAATGGGAAAGTAAATAGATTTCTTCACAGCTTTGGTTACAATTTTTCTTTTTCTTGGCTATCGTCATTCAAATCATGATAGTCATAGACAATAAACGTTATTAAACAACATAAATTAGAGAATTCATAATAAAAATTTAAATAAAGAATTATTCTTCTTCATCTTGTTTTCTCTTATCGTTGGAATCAACTCAAAAAAAAAAAAAGAAAGAAGGAAGGAGTGTCTGAATGAAAATAATAACTATGGAATCCAAATAGAAAAGCAATAAATAAGCATTACACAGTGCCAAGCGTTACCATGAACTTAAGGTACTTTTTATCCTTCAATGACAAACTTCCATCCTCATTGAAAGTGCACATACTATTACTTTTCCAACCCCAGCTCTGTGATGTGCTAAACAAACTAGGCGAGCTAGTGAAACAAATCAAACTCGATTTAGTCTTCTCTGACGGGGTTCTGATGATAAAGTAAACTGAAATTTGACTTCTTTTATCTTCATAACTCGGAATAGATTTGTCCTTTTCTTGAACATACTTCTTTGGATCAATAGAATCAAGCGCTGATGCCCGACGGGAAATTTGACTGTTGTTAGCCGTGGCAAAAACTTCCTCACTGTTAGTATAATCCCCAAATTGAGAACTCAAGTTCATTGACACTTCGTCATTATTAAGCCCCAATGAATCTAATGTAGAGTTTGGCAAGGCATCATCTTCATTGACCACCACCGTACTCAACCCTCCGTTAGAAGCCGAATTCTGCAAATCGACAGCATTATTAAACTGCTCACCAATTGTTTCATTGGTATTGAGACCATTGACAATATCATAACTCTTGAAAATATCCTGATTTATATATCCATTCTTTGGGGGTCCTGGATTCAGCGCTCTATGTAAATATACTCCAAGCTGAAATTTCTTGTGCTTCTTGATTTTTTGAATGTAAAGATTCCAATAACATCCGGCATACCATAAAACTTTCCCATACAAACGCTTTTCAGTGTCCAAGTTAGAAATATCACAAAATGCCACTGAAAACCTAAAAGGTGGATACTTAGACCATTTATAAAGCTTTCTGGAATTAATTTTTTTAGAATGCTGTTTCATAATGTTTTCAAGGAGCAGGCTTTTTGATTGATACTGGGAGTCATTAGAGTCTAATTTTGATGTCATCACATCGCCAGATGTGTCACAACTCTTAGCAGAGTCATCATCATCCTCTTGCAAGTACTCTTCTTTTTCTCGCTGATCAATATCAACGGGCTCAGGATCATCATTCACAGTTTCCAAAATTTTCTGTTTCTCATCAATAATCGCATCCAAATTCTTGGGTGATCCATAAACCGTTTCATCCTTTACAGGAACCTTATACCACGGCGGCTGAAAACCATTAATTCCTGGCTGAGATTCTCCAAGTTTAGTAATATTCAATTTAGAATCTGATTTTGGAGTAGATACTATCAAACGATGCAAAGTAGATTGAACCCAAAGAGCATCTCTTAAAACCATTGAATCAACGAACGGTTCACCATTGGCATCTGTCAAAGTTTCCAATATTTGTAATTGTTCAAATGATAAATGGCAAAAATAAACTGATTTGCAAAGACAATGCTTTAATTTGGATATCTCTTCAAAATATAATTCGTCATCGTCTTCATCGTATGCGGACACATCAGTTATGACTGATTGAGTGTCCTCAAAGCTGGAGTTTGCGTTACTCTTTTTGGTGCCAAAGTAACTAAATGAAGAAGATCGTGATTTTAAAGGTATTACTCTATCATTATTATAATTATTCATGTACATTGACTTGGCAGGCCGCACAGTTTTTTTATTCAACTTTAAATCTCTCAATGGAGCTTCTAACCCATTGGTGCCACTTAGGTCATTCTCTTCAATAGATATCAGCAGCGTCGATTCATTGTTTGCTATTACTGAATTTTCATCTTTGACGCAAATGTTGACTTTAATTCTTTTTTCGATTAACTTGATAATAAATAGACACCTATCCCATTCTGTGGGTACGAAAAAGGAGTCATTACTAACCACGTCCACAATAAGGTCTGTAGGAAGTCCGTCCCATGAAGCCACACCTTTTTCATATCCTTCAATACACAATAACCCTCTAGCACTATCTAAAATTCTCTCTGACGGGGTTCCCAAATTATGACTATATGCAAATAGGGTGTACTTCCTCAAAGTATCAAAGCTTAAATCACTGACAATGTAATCTGTTGCGTTGCATACAAGTTCAGGAATATCCAAGAACTGTCCTGTAGAAATCATGTTGGTTGCTAACGCTTCTTCGGCAATCTTATCGGTTCCCCCATATAGCCCACCGATTGCCAACTCGAACGAGGTACGGTTTATGTTGTCGTGTATAGAATCAAATAATAACTCATGGCATTTGGAATCATCGTCTGACCATCTAAGAAACAATGCTCTGAAATATCCTGCCCTGGATAAAATCAACTTATGAAGGTTATATTCCTTATCAAACGCTTTGACGGTGATATCGGAACAAAAACCTTGAAGAAACCCATTTTTGTGAAGAAAATCTTCTAGAATGTTATCGGTTTTTTTGCAGCATCCATAAGCACAAGTTTTCAGAGTAGATAGTCGATAACTGCCACTTTTGTACCCTTCTGATGATTCACGAAGAGGATGATGTCGACTTCTTGAATCCATAATTGTTTCTTACGATGGCAACGCAACAATTTCGGTGTTTTTCTTTTTTTTTTCTTTTTCGAATTGAGTCAATATATTTTGATTGCTTATGGTCTGCTAAGAGTTTAATTGTTATTTTCCTCTTCTTTAATTTGGGTGTGTGTGTCAAAATGGTTGGACTCATCTCATCATTGCAAGGCTATTTTTTTTTGTTGTTGTGGGAATTTCTGTACACGGTGATTGTACCAACGGCACGGGTAGCAAATGTCATATCAGGTTGACACATTGAAATTTCACTATCATGGGGAGCAAAAAAAAAAAAATAAAAAAAATGAAAATAATGAGCTTAATAAATATATATATGGATCAAAATATCTAGAAATTCTACAGATGAGGAAGGTTATTTAAAGATTATTCATTTTCATGCCATAACTTGGTACTGTGTACACGTTTTGCTGTGTTTACATAAAAAACTTACCGGATTTTTCTATTTGAGTGGTACAGGAGGAAGAAAAAAAAAAGTAGAAAAAGAAGTTTCATTTTATCTGGGGAGTGAGCTTCAATTTCCCATCTCAACTCTCACTGTTTCTGTTGAAGAATTTCCCCAAATTGTTCTTCAAGTTTTTTTCCAAGTTCTCCTTGTTGATTAAATTAGGCGAAGATGAACTGCTGTTGCTCTTGAAAGAAAAGTTCAAATTATTCAAATTTGGAGATAATGATTGCAAAGAGCCCGACATTATTGGGCTGCTCTGGACAAAATTCTTCAAAGACGCAGTTGGAGGACTGGTCATAAACTTATTGAATGCAACTGCATTATTATTTTGATTACCAGAGCTGTTTGGGCTAGAGACAATCATTTGAGGAAGATGATTAGCATCAACATTGAGGCTTGTCATGAAATGATTGACAGAATTCTCGTCCTGGGAAATATTCAACTCTATCATATTCTTTTGGAAGATTTCCTTATACTTCAACAACTCTTTTTTCTCACCAGAATGGATTGGTTTAGGCTGGCTAATCACCCCTTTGAGGATCAATACTTTGATGAAATTTTCAAAATTTGTGTCTTGCACAATCATAAGATAGTTATTGATCAAGTTAGAATAATCACGGCTGTTAACCATGAGAACCTTTAAGAGCTGTTCAAGTTTCAAAAATTGAGAATTCATACGATTAAGATAGGATTTGCTGATATTGAAATTGTATTTCTTTGTTGGTCCAGAATCACTAGCGTTAGAAGTGGAATCTTTGGCGACTCCAGAATCATTCGTCATCACGGCTTCCGTGGCCAAGATTTGGTCAACTTCAGCTGTCAGCGATGACAGATGCAACGTTCCAATTCCATTCTGATTTCCTTCATTTTTACCATTAGCCATGAATGGCAACCTTTTAAAGAAATTTTTGAGTAATGATAAGTCAAGTAGAATTTGGGATGGAATTTTATCATTTATAGGCTTCAATTTTACCAAATTGATTAAAAACTTATCAATTATTAAATCAATTAATTTATCGAGCAAGTTTCTAATATATGCACTTTTATTGATCCCCGATAAACTCAATTGCAAATCTTCACTCAAAGTCTTCACCAAGTTCCCAGCGTAACGACTGGCGCCACTAACCTCATTAAGGATCCTCCAATTAGTGTTCAACATCTCCCGGAAATTTAACTCACTGTCTAGTTCAATCTTAGACAAGATTTTCATCAAACATTCGTTGATGTTGACCATGAAGAGCTCCTTGGTTCTCCCAAACGTGTTTTCTAAGGTTTGCTGTAACTTTTCTTTATATTCTGGTTTGATCAAGGACTGTAACATTTCCTCAAGTTGATCGATTGTCAGGTGGATATAATCGCTGGTGTTGATGATTAAACTAAGGTATTTTATTGACTCGGCAACAGAGCTGTTGACTAGATAATCATTATTCTGAGGAATCAAAGGGCGGAGAATATCATTGGAATACCGTACAAGGAAATTATTGAAGAAGATCACCAAGTCAATCATGATTTCACCATTAGATAGTTTTATAAGCTGGGATAAAATACTCTTGTAGACTCTAAACAAATCAGCAGACGATGGGAAAACATTGCTCAATTCTTCGCTCTCATCGTTACCATTGGCATTTTCTGGTTTGTTGGCATTTGATTTATAATTCCCGGGAGTTGCGAATTCCAAGAACTTAGCATTCAACGTCAGTTCTTGATTTTTTAACCAAAACTTCAAGAAAGGCTCAAACGATACTGATATAGTTTTGTGATATTCGACTGGTTTCATCAAGACTAACTCCGGATGGCGTTGCATCAATAATTTGTTCTTCTTGGTGAAATAATTAGTCAAGAAGTTCTCAAATTCAAGGGTGCTTGTCAAACTTTCAACCACTGATTCAACATTTATATTGGTGTTTTCCCCTCCATCAGTACCTGACAAGTCACCACTAGTAGTTAAAGCTTGAGAAATATTAGATTGGTTAAATTCACAAAACTTCGACGCCAACTCTTTGTCCACTTCCCAATTTAACGGAAAGATTTTCTTGAATTGGTCATCATAGTTTTTTAACAATTTCTTAAAGAACAAATATCTCCTTGAGACATTTTCCAATGCACCAGCCTCATCTTTCAAATTTCCAAAGATGGATCTAATTTCTTTTAGCTCAGTATCGCAAAACCAATTAACCAATTTGAGTCGGTACAGGTCCCCCAAGATATCTAGTATATTGCATGCTTTTGTCAAGTTGTCACCGTCGATTTTGTTGGCGTTATTGACGACTTGGTCAAAATCATTGAAAATTGAACTAGTCACGTCAATTTTCAAAGCGTGAATGTTTCTGGATAACTGATTGATTTCATCAATCGACTTATAACTCTTGAAATGATTATTAAGTTCTATGACTACCGAAAACAAATTTAGTATCTCTCCATAATTCTTCAACTTCCCCTTTGTTTTGTCACCATTATCAACAAGCTCCACCAATTGATTATATGCGCTCAATAACATTTGCAATCTCTTGAGAACCGTCATGGAAAGCACTAAGTTCTTTTTACTTTGATCTAATTTCTGGATCGTAGATGTCATCTTCGTGATCGATGATTCGGTGTTCGTGGCAATGGTTCTAGTGGAATATAGGTCCGTCAATAAAGAATTGATTTCCAAATTCAATTGGGCAAAAGATAATACAGAATCATTGGAGTCTCCATTGTCATCCCGATCATTTACATTGTCATCAATTTCGGATTCCAGCTGTTCTTCTGCCAGTACAATCTCTTTCTCGGCCTCTTTCCCCAAGGTGTCCACAAATTCATTATATCTAACTTGATCATCCTGTATAAGTTTAGTCAACCTTGTGCCATAATCATTGGTGTACAGTAACAACTCTGGTAAGTCAGCCAATGATGATGAATCTTGAAAGATTGAGTTCAAATGCTGTAGAGGGTCATATGTCAATGAAAACAAGTCTGTATCCATGGAGGAATCACCCATTATTGATGTGTGAATATATCTTTTATTCGCTTGGTATCTTGAGACGATTAGATAACGTTATGACAGCATAAGTAGTGAGTTTATCGCTATATATCCTTGAGTATCTTGATGAGGTAAAACTTTGGGAATGGGAGGATATTAATGACCGTTTGTTTCAAGGGCCTGTGTTATTTTCAACTTGTGGTGAATGCGTTTTTTTGATACAAAAAGTAAAGGTTGAAATAATCTACGCCTTACAAAACATGGTTGAAGCAATTCCACAGAAGAATCAAGAAAAAAACGCAAAACATTATGTTTATAGAAGTTGGCTAGCAGTTTGCTCTTTTTATTTCCCCAATTATGGTACATACCAATCAATCTTACATTTTGAGATACTTCTGACTCGATAGACAAAACATTCATTTGCCATCTCAACTATATTATATATACACGACGTTTTATATCACCCACACCGCTCTTGCTTTAATTGGCATCTGGGTTCTTGACAATGTAGTCAATGGCTTGGCCAACGGTCTTGATTTCATCGGCGTCTTTGTCTTCGATTTCAATGTCAAATTCTTCTTCAATGGCCACAAGAACTTCAACGGTGTCCAAGGAGTCCAAACCTAAATCAGTGATGAAGTTGGTGGTACTGGTGATTGGGGCAGTAGAGTTGACCTTGTCGAAAGATTTCACAACGTCAATGATACGTTTAGAGACTTGGTCTTCTGGCAAAGTAGCATAACTCTTGACGGAAGCCATCATACCAATACGAGGAGAGGCAATGGCAGCACGGCGGGTGGCCATAGAGAAAGCGTATCTAGAAAGAGCTCTGCTGAACATTTTTGTTTGTTTGTGAGTGAGAGTATTAATGGCCGATTAGTTATAATCTATAATTGTTATTGTAAGCACCAACTCCTCTCTGATAATTGGTTCTTTTTTTTTTTGATTATTTTTTTTCTTTCTTAATTTCGAAGCAGCGGTGATGTATGGAGAGAGGGTAACAAAGAGATCGCTCGCCCCAGTCGGGGCAACAAACGGAGCTGTGCAGTGCAGTGATCCCCGAACATCAATCAACAACACTAATTGGACCACTATAATGCTGTGTATCTACAACTTGTGAAATACATAAGATGCAATACTAAAAGATAATAAAATCATAGACACGTTAACTCAAAGGAAACAAATAATAGAGAAAAAAAAAAAGAGATACAAAAACTGAGAATATTAATAGACAAAACAGACTTATCAGATGAACATTAGCAGTAGCTTCCCATAAAATAATATATTGGATATCAGGGCAATGCTAGCTTGAACACATCTCTAGGAGATATAATACAATTCACAAATTCAATGTGTTGAGATGCTGGAGAAATAAACATAAAAGCTTCAGATATTCAAAATGTGAAGCCAAAGAACAGTTAGTTCAAACCGGACCGGAAAAGACAAATAATAATATAATAATTCAAAATCAGGCAAAAGAAAAAAAAAAAAAAGAATGGAAAATTATTGGAAAATCATCAATATGCTGTGCTATCAGAATGCTAAACCCCTTTTAAGCCTTCACCTTCGGCCGTTTCTTCAAATGGCAAATTCAAATCATCATTAATCAACTTGAACTCATCATTATTAAAATCCATGCCTCCATCAAAGATAGAGCCCACCGCATCATTGCTATCACTACTTCCCCTGCCTTCATTAATAATATTGGTCTTTTTTGAAGAATTTTTAGTAAAATGGCTCAATTTTTTAGTGGCACTCACTGAGCTCAGATGAGAATCTACGGTTTCTTCACTACCATTCTTCAATTTTGACGCAATATGCACGTATGGATGGTACCCATTCGTCAATCCGTGATTATGAGAACTACCATGAGCAGCAGCATGAGAATGAGAATGAGAATGAGAGTGTGAGTGTGAATGTGAATACGAATGATTAGAATGTTGTGGGTGGTGGTAGTGTTGTAAATGAGCATTTTGGACTTGTGTTTGTTTCGAAATATGACCATCTAAAGATAATGACGGTTTGCGAATTAACTTTGTAGCACTAGTATTGGAATGTAGGGTGATAATTGAATCAACGGTTGTTGGAGTATGAGCTGGAGAATATTCTTCTGATATTGGGGATTCTTCATTAGGAGAATGCTTCGAGTCGTTCAATGTCAACTTGTCGATACCCGAATTACCGATCAATAATCCATTATTCGAGGAGAGTAATGGTGAAGCAAGAACCGGGGACCCCAAAGGAGAAGAAAGATCGATTTTGTTTAGAAGTTGAGAAGTATTAGCAAACATCATACTTGGCTTAATACCCGCTGTGTTAACCAATAAATCATCGGACAAATTTGTGACAGGCTGGCTGGAATTAGCATTATCAAAGTTATCCAAATTGCTGAAAGGAGCGTCGAAGAGCGGCATGTCAGTTGAGAAGGTATCTGTAGTTGGCGATAATGGTTTAGAGGAGGCATTGGCCATCATTTTCATAGAAACTGGCATCGATAATAGTGAATCATTGTTATCCATGGAATTCCCATTATTGAACATCGAATTGTTGGTAGAGCTCCAAGTGCTATTATCCATCATTGGCACAGAGTCAGGTTCTTGAATACCTTGCTCATCTACTATTTCTTGGGGAGCGAAAAATTCCTTCTTGTCATCAAAATACAATGGGTTACCATAACCATTTATGCTAGCAGCAGTGGAAGAGGTATTGGAATTATTTGTTCCGAGATTGGAAAATATACTGAATTCAGAAGAGTTATCAAATGAAGACACGGAGGAAATTTTTGATGAGCTGATGTTCATTTTCTTGCCATGGTTTTGCTTGTGGTACTGGTTAACGTGAGAAATCTGGTCACTGGATGAGAAATGGTTAAGTGCTGGAGTACCACAATTTACCTTTGAATTTGGCGAGAAGGACAAAGTATTTAAGGAATTGTCGTTTGATTGGGATGATAGATTTGTATCATCACAGATTGACAGCGACGGAGACAACGAACTCAGGGTTTCATTTAACTGTGGTCCAATTGCCATTGGTTTTGTTAATGGGTGGTTATAGAATGAAGATTTTGAATTAAAATTGGAAGCTCCAAGAGATTTCAACCCACTTGTTAGCTCATTTTCATCCTCTTTTTTGATATATATTTCTTCTGGTTCCTCTTTAATTGTTGGTGCTGAGGACTTTTTCTTTTGCAGAGAGTGCTTTGCGAAGGCAAGGATCGATTTGTCAGCATTATTAGGATCCAAATTGCAGGCAATTTTTGTACCTTCTTCCCATTCTAAAGGCTCGCCCTTGAGTAGATCTTGGTTACTAACGAGCGCCTCAATTACTCTATTGATAGAAATTCTCATTTTTGAGTTATTATTCGGGGAAGCTGGGCTGCAGTGGCCGGAGCCACAACAACTATCGGCGTCGGTCGGCGAACTTGGAAGCGACTCTAGGACATTTTTCTCGGTGAAAAAAGCTTTCATATCCAGGCCATTGATCGACATTGTTACCAATTTCACGAGAGATTTATTAAGCAATTTGCAACGAGTTTCCATTAATTCGATGTAACCTGGTGGGTAGTGTTTCTCTTTGTCACGCCGGCGGTCGCTGAATGAACATACTCTATTCTCTTGGAGACATTTATCGCAAGGCTTTTTCCCATTACATTTTGTCTTTTTGATTCGGCAAGTGTCACAAGCCTTCCCGACTCTCTTCTTCTTTTGTTGCTCGGGCATTATTAGTTTTGAACTGCGATTATTATTGAGACTTAATGTGTGTGCGTGTGTGTGTGTGTGTATGTGTGTATTGTGCGATGTGGGGGGAGGGTATTCTTATTGGTGTGGGTGAAGGATAAGGAACTATATAAGTCAATAGACGGAGTACAAACTGTAAATATTGTTTATTTTGATACTGGAGATGAGTCGTAAGAGTCACCATAATAAGACCGAGGCAAAACCGAAGTGGAGATACACATTTATTTATATGCGGTAGCTGCCCGTTACATGGATGGTGGTAAGTCCGCAGTGGATGCGGAAAAAAAAAAAATCTTTATGTCGGTGTCTGCGCGCACTCTGATTCGCAGTAAACAGAATTTATTCTCTCGGCAGAGGGTTTCCTGCAGCCGGCGTTAACAGAAAATTTTTTTCTACTACCAAAGGGACATTTTCTTTATCATTGATGTGTGTTAAGGTGATGTATTGTCTGAATAGTTGATATTGGCGGGGTAGGCGATTGCCTGGCCACACACACACGTATATATATCTCAGTAGGCACAACTGTAGCGTACTATGGGTTGCACATACCGGAGTTAATTAAAAAGCAGTGACGACATCACAGCTTGAGCTACTCGTACAAAAGAAAAAAACAATAACACCAAAAAGGTAATCGGATTGTTCTGGAATCTCTAGTGACAATTGTGATTGCTTTCAATCCCATAGAATGTTCGATATGCTATTTTTTTTTTTTTTGTTAGACCTCCCTCACTTGTAATCTGCTTTTGTTTTCCGTTAATAGCGCACGCCAACCCCGAGCCGTTGTTAAATCGGGACCGGAAAGACGCTTCCTCTGCCCGAAGATCACCTCACCCACCCACACTTACTTTCTAAACCTGGGGACCCCTAGCTATTCAGACATCTGCAGCAGTGGCAGAAGCAGCAACAGCAACAGCAACAGCAGCAAGCAAGAATCCAAACATCAGAAAAATACGGAACTGTGTGGTTCGTTGATAACTATTTTTTTCTCCTCTCTGTTCTGGAGATCAGCTAAAAAAAACTCACGTATCACCCCCTGTTTCTTATCTGATTCATTAAACAGTGACAGTTTTTTGTATTTGTTTATTTTTGACAGTAAGATACAGTTTGAACTATTCAACATTTCCTCCAATAGCAAGTCAAATAAATACTGGTACGATTTCGCAACAAAAGAAACACCCCTGACATGTGTATATTGAATCTTGGCGTGATATTTTATTAAACCGCAGGATGCTGTGTCGTCGGAGCACTCCACTACGGTGCAATGCTATTAACGAAAAATCAACTAGCAGAGGCAATAAAATCTCGAATTAGGCATGAGTGTCGATATTTTAGGGAGTTTAATATTTTTGCGTCTTGAAGCTTCCTCATGCCTTGAAAAGAGGAGTTTACAGTTGAAGGACCTCATAACTTCACTATCTACAACAAACAATTGCATATATATAAGGAATGATCGACGGACGATACGTATTTTCCACTAGTCCAAACAAGTTGTCGACGGGCGGTCCAGCTCTCTTCCCCTCATTTTTTTATATTGTGATCTTGGCACCCGGCGTGTATGGTGCCAAAGACAATATCAAGTGGTGATTTAAACAAGATCAATGTCAGACCCCAAAAAGTAGTTTTTTTTTTTCTTGTATATCGATCGATGAGGATCCTCATCGCACACGGAAGAACTGGTAGCGTTTTTATTTAAAGAAGGGCAGATAAAGATCAACACCCTAACACCAACAGAGCACACATTCTGACACCAAATGGTTATGTTCCCACGGTCTTATTGATTTGGGAGAGGACCCCAAGGCTTGTATTTTTTTGGTGAGGAATTGAATCTGTGGTCAATTAACAGCAGATCATTCATATTATTGTATTTCCATCAATAGCAAACACTCAGACGGGTGAGAAGAAAACATTATAGACATTGATGCTCAACGCTGTCATTTTCTTTATTGTTATTTTTTTCTTCTCTCTAAGATTAATAGACTCAAAGGAACAAAAAATCGAAAATCTTCATAGTCAAGAAAACGAATCAAAGGATCCAACCATTGGGACCCCGCAAGATCCCGTAGTTACCCAATTACAGGAAATAATAAATAGTGAAGAAGAAGAAATTGATAAAGAATTTCTTGATATGGCGAGCGTGACCAAGGATTCTGTAATGGAGCCACAATTGGATCAAGAACTTCACGTCGAAGAACAACAAATTGAACCCCAGGTGTCTGTTTCCACTAGTAAGGAACCAACGGACACTACTGATAATCAGGATGCAAAAATAGTTGATCGTGAATCGATACCTGATAAGACATTAGATATTGATGAGGCATCCAAAAAAGAAGAGGTGCCACTAAATAACAACGAGGGAACTGAAGATTATCTTGACTCAAATATACCAAACGAGAGCAATACCGCCACTCTAATTGCCTCTGATTCCCCTGATATTTCTAATGATGTTTTACCAAAATCAACTGCTGATGTGAATACAGACGGAAATTCGATATCTGATGAGCAATCCCTACCAAAATCCCCATCTTTATCTCCATTGTCTTCAACACCTTCCACACCAGCTAGTTCTCAAACAAAGAAAAAATTAACAATGCAAGAAAGATTGGCAATTGCGGTTAAAGACAAGAAGAAAAAATCTAAAAAGGGTAAAAAATCAAAGAAGCTCGGTGTGCAAAATGAAATTGAGGCAGAAATCGCTAAAGAGACAGAACCTGCTAATCATGACGCCGAACTTGAACTAATTAAAAAACTTGATGATTCTGAAGCCCCAAACGAACAAGGTCAGACCGAAGAATTGGTTGAAGGTGACAAAACAGTGGACTTGAAAGTTACGAAAATAGAGGACATGACAAAAGAGGAATTACTTGATCACTACCGTGCAACTACTGTCCAGTATGAAGCTAAGATATCAAATCTTGCATCTCAACTTGAAAATAATAGAAGCGCGGAAAAATCTGTTCAATCAACATCTCCAATTGACGAACAACTTCGAATTAAGGACGAACAGATTGCAGGATTAATCGAGGAGGGTGAGAAATTATCAATGAAAGAACTTAAATACACAACAATGATTAAGAATCTACGTTCCAAAGATTCTCAGAGCCAAAGTGCAATTGAATCACTTGAATCAAAATTATCAAATTTAGATCTGAAGCATGCAGAATTAAAAAAGGAATTTTTTAGTTTAAAGGAAGTGTCCAAAGAAGATAAAACCAAATTGAAAGATATGAAACATTTGGAAGCGAATTACAAAGATTTGCTGGACCGATATGATAAAATATCTCAAGAATTAACTGAACATAAATTCAAAAATTATGAAAAGAAGATGAATGATTTGCAAGAAAAATTGGCGGCAAAAATTAATACTGAGAAAGAATTGAATTTGAAATTGGAACAAGAAAAAATACAGGTATCTTTATTGAAATCCACAAGTAAGAAAGAAGTCGATGACTTGAATTTGAAGATTGAAGATTTAGAGAATTCAAATAAATCAATGAAAGAAGAATATGATTTAGAGATTGCTCGACTTGAAACCAAAGTAGAAAAATTGCGTTTTTCAAACGAGGACTCAAAAACTGACAGGTCAAACTCTACTGGCCCTGATGGGGACTCCCAAAATTCTGGCTCTAATGGTAATACGAAACAACTCAAGGCACAATTGGCCGCACTTCAACATCAATATCAAACCACTCTTGATTCTCTTCAAACTCTCGAATCAACTTATTCGGCCAAAATCACTACTTTGAGCCAGTCATATAATACCCTTAAAAAATCTGAATCAGCACAAGCCAAAAGCTTGAAGAAGATGGTTTCACAGTTGTCAGAATTGAAAGAAGAACACGCAAGAGCTATTGAAGCCTCATCAACTCACGAGGTTGAATTGGCGGAAATGAGAAAAGAAGTAAGTTTGAAGCAAGATGAGATCAACACTTGGAGAGAAAAGTACGAAGAATTGAAGCAAAAACACCAGGAATCAACAATGCAGTTGGAAAAGAAATTGTTGAAGGTGGAAATGGAGTTACAAAAAATGAGAGTTATCGCACCGGATGACAACAATTCTACAATCAATATTCACAATAATGGATCGTCTTCCTCTTTGCTCATGGATGAAGATGGACAACTCGATACATTGCGTTCTGGTCAAAGCGCTTCTACACAGTACTTAACAACCCATCTTAGTCGATCTCTGGAATTATTGTCCCCGCTGCAATTCTCATTTTGGAACGGCAATGCTTCAAACGGGAATGCCAACTGGAGATCTCCAGAAGTGAGATCTCCTAGTATGACTTTCAACCTTCCTGTTCTGAGGGGAAATGAGAGCAATAGTTTCAATTATGGTAACATAAATGGCATTAGAAGAGATCTGCTTCATGGTGCTGCTATGGCTGGAGATGGCACTAACAGTACGATTAATGGGGTTGATCGGGATTCGATCTCGCTAAATTTTGAAACCTCTTCGAAATTTGATTCAGTGTCCCAACAAGCGTCGCCATTTCTTACTTCTCCTAATCCTGCCGGCGGGCTTGTTCCAGGATCTGGAGGAGGGCAAGGTCCAACCGGAGCCACCATTCAATTGATTGGTAAGCTTAGCTCCAAACTCTCTAGAATAGAAACAGAATTGTCTACTACAAAAGAGGAATTGAAAAAATCGTACCGAGAAAAAAACGAATTGAGTAGTGAAATGGTGCAAATGATGGATCAAATAGCAGAAGTTGAGACGATTCAAGAAAGGAACCGTGATTTGGAACAAAAGGTCAACGAGCTAGAAAAAAGAGAAAAAGTCAGCTTGGAAGTATTAGGAGAAAAGAGTGAGATTGTGGAAGAATTACGATGCGATGTGGCAGATTTGAAGGACCTATTAAGACAACAGGTGGAGCAAATGATTGAGATGCAGCAGCAAAAGTAGGAGTAAACTGCCTTAAGCTGAGTAATGGTATGCAATTTGACACGTCTTCTTTCTACTGTAAGATCTTTTTTTTTTTTTTTTTTTTCTTTTTTGAAAGTAGGAATATTCCAATAAATCTGTTTGAAACAAAATTTTATATCATTACTTGATCTTGAAATACGCGACTGAACATCGCAAAGATGGTACATAATAACTTTTGGAAGTTTTATTCAACTTTAGGACTAAGAGATCTAAAGCAAACTAAAAAAAATTCATAGGGCATTAACTCGAAAGTTGGCCGTGATTAAAGATAAATCTTACGATACAAAAATGGAAAAAGAAAACTAAATAACCCCCACAAAAACTGAGTGTACATAAAGTGGGGGTGGGAATTATACGTCAACTCCCCATTAGATTGGAGTGAATAAAGGGTTAACACTGGTCTGGTAGTTAGAAAATAGGTATACAATGAAGAGTAAGTTTATTATATTATTATTATTGTACATTCCATGAGAATATCGCTACGGCAGGCCACAAATTAAAGACAGGGACACCGGACTGTTGCTATTTTTGGTGTTTCTCCATGTTTTAGTTTTCCCTGCACCCCAAAAAGTCTGGGGTAAATGGAAAAATTATTAGGTTTGGTGTAAAGTACTGCATTGCCAACCCCCAAGGTCCATCCACGATCGACATTAAGATCATCTGTGGTTACTTACTCTACCTCACAATTCAGTTGCCAGATATATCAATAATAGCCTAAGTGCTCTTAATTGTGACCCAGTCAATTGGTTAGCTGATCTGGTTCTTTCTTTCTTTCTTTCTTTTTTTTTTTCCGCTTTTTTTTTCCCGCATTGTATCCCTTTCCTCTTCAGGGTGAGAACAACTTTTGTTGGGGCTAATCAACTGGAGTGTAGAGTATAAATACCCCGTATCCCCCCATGTGTCTGCTCTCTCACTCAGTTCTATTTTTTTTTCTTCATATTTTATTTTCTTCTGTTTTTTCTTTTCTTTACACAATTGTAATTATTCCTAATTACAATTTCTAAACCCTTTCTTTCTTTATCCCTTTACAATCTTCACAATGACCAACAACAACGTCAAAGTCGCTGATATTGTCCCAAACTTTAGAGTGGACGGTCGTCTTGCCATCATCACCGGTTGCGGAAGTCCTGGAAACTTGGCGTATGCTTCTGCTCAAGGGTTGTTAGCGCAAGGTGCCAGTGTTGCTCTCAGTGATATCAATTATGAAGGGGTCCAGAAAGCCGCTGCCGCCCTCGCTGACTTTGCTACTCAAAATGATATCCCTTTGACCGCTACTTCTATCAGTAGTTGGAAGATCGACGTTTCCGATGCCAATGAAATCTCCACCACTTTCAAAAAGATCAACGAACATCATGGTCAAGTCGCCGATTTGTTACTCAATTGTGCTGGGTTTTGTTACAACATTGCTGCTTTAGATTTCCCACCAGAAAAAGCCCAGAAATTGATCAATTGTAACTTGATGGGGTCATTGTTTACTGCTCAATCTTTTGCTCAAAATTTAGTTGCCAACAAAATGACTGGGTCCGTCATCATGATTGCTTCAATGTCAGGGCTCATCGTTAATGAACCTCAACCACAATGCGTTTACAATATGTCCAAAGCCGGGGTCATTCATTTGGCAAAATCTTTGGGTGCTGAATGGGCTACCCTCGGGATTAGAGTGAATGCGATTTCTCCTGCTTATATTGATACTCCAATCAATGCAGAATTGATTAAGGATGTCGCGTTATTGAAGCATTGGGAAGATAGAACACCAATGAATAGATTGGCCCAACCAGAAGAATTCATTGGTACTGTGTTGTATTTGGCACAAAACAAGGCTTCTTCGTACACCACTGGGGCTAACATTGTTGTTGATGGTGGGTTCACTTGTTGGTGATTAATACTTTTAGTATCGCTACTCAATAACTATAAACTTGAGTATGCTTTTCTTTATAGAAATATTTAATACATTTGATTGCTCCCTAAGCTGAATATATGCAACGCATTTGTTTAATTTGATGTGTGATTGTTGTTTAAGAATTTTCAAAAATTGTATTCCTTAAATGTCGCAAAATAATGTTGAAAAGTATTTTCGCATCAAATTTAATAATGAATACAATCAATTCAATCATATAAGGCTCTTTGGATTCATGATTTAAACATTTCAAGATTCATATCATGATTTACTTGGTTAATTCTTTAACAAGTGGGTGCCCCCCCTCTTTTTTTTTTCTTTCTTTTCCAGTGGCATCTCACTGTTGCCCTTCCCCTTATACAACATCAAACTAATACTCTGAAGAGTTTTTTTATTTTCTTTTCTCCGTGATGGATCCCCCCCTTTCCCCCTCTCCTACCCTAACAAAAGAAAAAATCAACTCAATATCTTTTTTTGTTCTTTTCTTGTCTGTGATATTTCACAGCAATCTTTTTTCATCTTTTTGAAAGGTTTTATATTATTTACTGGCGACATTTCCATTATTCAGCATGCTTTAATTTCAGCAGACTTACTATCAACCCCAATAATCTTATTTATTGAGTAATTCTAAGCTTATCACTGGATATATTGCAATTTTCTTCCATGTTGAGGGCTATACAATCACGTGGCGCATTTTAGCTTTTTTTTTTTTTCCTTTCCTTTCCCCGTTAATGAAATAAGTTCACCGGCGAACACCACGAATGAATTCTAATCAACGCAAACAATAGTATTTCTCTCCGAATAAAACAAAAAAATAAAAATAAAAAAATAAATAGAAAATGTCTGAACTTGACGACCTCTCTCTCGATCCTAATCTTCAGCACATCTTTGACAAAGAGTCCACCTTGAAGTGGATCTTTGTTGGTGGTAAAGGTGGTGTTGGTAAGACCACATCCTCATGTTCTGTTGCCATCAGATTGGCCATGGCTAACCCAGATAAGCAATATCTTTTGATTTCTACTGACCCTGCTCATAATTTGTCCGATGCCTTCGGACAGAAATTCGACAAAGATGCCAGACCAGTCGAAGGCTTGAAGAACTTGTCATGTATGGAGATTGATCCAAGTGCCTTCATGGAAGAAATGAAATCGCAAAACAATTTCGGCGAAAACGACGCCTCTAACCCATTGAGTATCATGAATGATATGACCTCTTCCATTCCGGGGATCGATGAAGCTCTTTCGTTCATGGAAGTTATGAAGCATATCAAGAGCCAGAATGCTAACGATAATCCTGAAAACGCCAATAAAGTGGACTACCAGACCATCATCTTTGACACTGCTCCAACCGGGCACACTTTGCGTTTCTTGCAATTGCCATCCACTTTGGAGGTTTTGTTGTCGAAATTCAGCGAAATCAGCGGGAAATTCGGCCCATTATTGAACAATTTGATGGGCGGTGCCGGTGGTGGCGACAAACAACAAGACATGTTGAGTAAACTCCAAGACATCCAAGTCACCGTCGGGGAAATCAACAAGCAATTCCAAGACCCTGATTTGACCACATTTGTTTGTGTTTGCATCTCCGAATTCTTGTCATTATACGAAACTGAAAGATTGATTCAAGAATTGATGAGTTACAACATGGACGTCAACTCCATCATTGTCAATCAGTTATTGTTCAGTGACGAAGCTGATTGTAAAAGATGTGCCTCTAGATGGAAGATGCAAAAGAAGTACTTGAATGAAATGAATGATTTGTACGAAGACTTCCATTTGATCAAAATGCCATTGTTGGGTAATGAAATTAGAGGCTTGAACAACTTGGTGAAATTTAGTCAATTCTTGGTTAATGCTTATGACCCAAAGAAGGACAACCATATCATTTTCGAATTGGAAACTAAAGATTAATGGAATCCGGTGATAACTTTATGACATTTTTTTGTTTTAATTTTATTTTTGTTTTGTTTTATTTCAAGCAATTTCTTTAGTTCAATATATTTCTGCTATGGAGTTTAGAGTTATAATTGTTGATTGATTATGCACAAAATTTCCATTTGATTGTTTTATTTTCTTTTGATTGTAAGTTGATCTATCGAAAAAGTGGCCACATGGTGGTTGTACGTGGAGGAAATATCTGGATATGATGATCATATACTAGCAAGAATCGGAGAGGGCTACTACACAATATCTAATCAGAAGTTCGCCATATGTATTTATATCATCCCTAATTCATTATACCGGTTATAGGCCGGGCAACACACTGACGCCAAAAGAAAATTGATTTTTTTTTTTTTTAATGTTTTGCACACAACACCGAAATTTTGGTGATTTTTTTTTTTTTTTTTTATACAAAAACATAAATAAACACAATTGACAGGAAATAGAGGATTGCAATCGAGCATTTCATCAGCCACTCGATGAATTTCAAAAACCAAAATAATGGGAACCAATTTCCTTCGGAGATGGATCATTCTAATGTACCGATGAATCTCCCCGCCAATGTTTTTCAACAACTAATGCAGCAGCAACAACTGCCACAAGGTATGACCAACGTTATGGATCAACAGCAAGAAGATCAACAGCTGCAGCACCGACAGCAAGAACAACAACAACAGCATCACCAAAGTCCACCGATGAATATGAATAATATTGCCATCATGAACTCCCAAGGAATGCAACTACCCCAACAAAATGCTGTTTCTTCACACCAGCAACAACAGAAACAACAACAAGTCCTTCAAAAGATTCTTCAAAATCCTCAAGCAGCTGCCAGTCTACCTCCATATTTGCTTCAACAACTTCAACAACAACAGCAGCAGCAACAGCAGCAACAACAACAGCAAAAACCTATTACACAAACACAGCAAATACACCAGGATAATCAAATGCCTCCCCAATCCCCGATGCAAGCCTACTCCCAAATGCCACCCCAAGTTCCAATGAGTGCCACTCAACCGGCTTTCCCTCAAAACCATCAAGGGGGGCAATCTGTGATAGGTACCAGCCCCCACCAATTGCAAGCGCAAAGAGTTTTCGGAAATGGGAAGCCTTCGCTACCTGCGGGAATGATGCCAAAAAACGAGATGGTGAGTGCTGATACTAGTAAACCAGGCACTCCGTTGGTTTCCACAAGAAGACGGAGTAGTGTTAGTAGTGCGGGGTTACCTGTTCCACAGGCGCAAGTATCACCAGTGATATCCACAGCTCCTGAAATTCCTAATTTGACTTTTACCCATATTCCACCGTATTATTGGTCGACGAGGATCACGGAAGAAAACAGAGAAATTGATGAAAGAAAGAAAGAACAAGAACAAGAACAAAAGAAAGGAGGAAAAGAAAATAAGGAAATAAACAAGGAAAATGATGCTATAGAATCTGGAGAAGATCAGATAGACAGAAATGACGAGGATGGTGATTCCACTATTGTGAAAAAGAAACGAAAAATCGATACAAACTTACGACTTTATGAGCAGATCACTGTTAGAGATTTGGAATACGCAAAGTCATTCTCCAAAGATAATACTCAGCTAATGAGTTTGGAGATCGAGGAGAAATTAGCAAAATCCGTGAGATATTATAACGGGGTGAAAGCGAAAAGAATGCACTCCATCAAACTTGCAGGAGAAAGTAAAATCACCACCAACACCCAAAACATTTGGGGTGATGGGTACCAGGGTTATGGTAATGGTTTTACCAATGGCCGTACCCAGATTGTTTATCCAAGGGATAGAAAGCGGCCTACCAGACTTCCAGATTTATATTTCAATCGAGAAAGCTGGCTAAAGCAAGCACTGCAAAAGGATGAATTGATTCCGATCCGTTTAGAATTCGATGCCGAAAAGGATAAGTTTAGATTACGTGATACTTTTACTTGGAATAAGAACGAGGGATTGGTATCAATCGAATTTTTTGTGGCGCAAATGATGGATGATTATCGTTTCACCAATCCGTTGTTCACCGATACTGTGCTCACAAGTATTAAAGAGCAAATTAGTGAATATCTTTCCTTCCCAATTCCAGAGGTCAAAGAGAATGAAGATTTAGAAAACAGCAGTTATGACGTTAGAATTTTGATCAAGTTGGACATTACGGTGAGCAATCACAGATTGGTGGATCAGTTTGAATGGGATTTGTTAAATAGGGATAACAACCCTGAAGAATTTGCCGAAGTCATGTGTGCTGAATTGCAATTACCTGGAGAGTTCATCACTGCTATTGCTCATTCAATTAGGGAACAGTGTATGATGTACTGCAAATCTTTGTATTTAGTAGGCTACAATTTTGATGGGTCGTTGGTTAAAGACGAGGATGTGAAGAGTAGGTTGCTTGCACAAATTGATAATTCTTCATGGCTCCGTTCCAATGATTATGACCTTGAAGGGGCCGAGGACCTCAATGGTGGTAATCATGTGAATTCGTTGAATAGAATTGGGGAATTTACCCCAGTAGTTCACGAATTGAGTTACTTGGATCTTGAAAAACTTGACAAGGACCGGGAACGTGAACTTAGAAGAAAAAGAAGAAATAATAATAGAACCCTAAACCGTCGCGGTATGCCGAACTTACCAGAGCTATCGGTAATGCCAAAGACTTTCCGGACTCATGTCCCAAGCACGGTTTTGCCAGGAGGAGTAGATTTGGGTCCAGATGCCGAAGGATATGAAGATACTTATGAGCTTAAAAATGAAGCGTTCCTTAAACTTGAAGCTCCACAAGAGCAGATCACCGACGAAGTAAATGTTAACGAAAATGACATGCCTGGGGTTAATCCAGGGTTTGTCAACCCTCAGAATGGGATGTATCCTGGAGCGACCATTCCGGTCCCAATGAGCATCAACAATACTCCTCAATTCGCAAATAATAGGGTGAGCTATTTCCATGTGCCGGGGGAAAGATTTATTGTTCGGATTAAAATTTAGATGTGAAGAGCATTTTTGTTTTTTTTTGGGATATTCATCATTTTTTGTATTATATATATCAGCTCATGTAGGCCTGGCGATAAATTTTTGCTGCCTGGACTCTAATGCTTGGGTTTTTGTTTATTTATTTAGTACTAATTCACCGGTTATAAGTTGAAAAATTTATTAAAAGATGCTGTAGGATGGGATTCATGTAGTGATGGTTGTGCTATAATCCGGTACAGAGAAAGACATACTGAAAGATACCCTAGTATACAGAATGCTTCAAGGAAGGAAAAGGATTACAAAAAAAAAACGAGGCAAAGGTAACTGTTGATGAAAAACTCTCTAACATTGACCTGTAGCCCCCTCCTCAATTAGTAACACAGATCAGATTTTTGTTCCTTTTGCCGAGACGGTGGTACCGCAGCACCGGGGCGGTATGAAGGGAAGGCAAAAAATAAAACCACAAGAAAAATAAAAGAGGGCTCAAATCCCGTTATTTGACACTTAGTAATAGTAGGTTTCGTATACTATAGAAAACATTATCCCATAACTTATAGAATCTCACGGGGACGGTTTCCATCATCCAATACATATATACTATCGAACCATAACATTTAATTTTTGAGTTGTGAGATTTTTTGAAGTTTTTGCCATCCGATCTTATCATCCGCTATTTTGAGACTCAAGCTATCATCATTTTGTCCATAAATTTTTTTCTCGCTATAGATCAATCAATCATTCGAAAATGCCTAGCTACCAAAGGGTAAGTTGTTGATACCTGATTATTTTCAAAAATGAGTGGAAGAGTTATTTTTGTTTTTTTTTACTAACGTAGATGAAATAGTTGAACGCCACAACCAATGATAATAATACTCATCCGAACACTGTTTTCGAAAATCCGTTTGAAAACCGAGAACTCGATGACCTTGATCCGAACTTTTCCCATAGACAAGAATCTTCACATCTACTAGAGTCATTTGATGGGGATCATGAAAGTTCTCAAAGGGGCGATGTCCAGGATCGTCATTTCCAAGGTTCAGAAAACCACGGTTTCGATGATCGACTCAATCACCAGAATCATAATGAGGATGATAATGGGGCAGTAATTGATGAATCTCTTTTTGCAGAAGGTATGAATGAGGCCTCAACTTCCTGGACAGCAGGAATGACCAATACCGCAATGCAAAATAATGGCAGTAGAAACGGGCATCTTACCATCCCTCAACGGATTTGTAGAACCGTTGATAGAGTGACCTCCCATACCCCTGGTCGGAGATTCCTTCATCGTTTTTTCCCACAATACGTCTCGTTGGCCACAAATTCTCAATCTTATCATGGACAAGTCATGGGGAATGGATTGCAAAATGACGGGGTCTTCAGTAATATGATGGCAAAGCCAACGGTGACCCAAGAAACCACCGATGATAACCCTCCAAGTTATGAAGAAGCGGCGGCGGATGCCACCCCATTATACTGGGAATCAACGGTATTTTCTGAGTATGGTGATGGGGTTTTCGTAGATGGATTGCCAGTAGGCAACATTGTTAATTTCGTTTGGAATTTGATGGTTAGCTCCGCTTTTCAATTTGTCGGATTCCTTTTAACTTACTTACTCCATACATCTCACGCTGCAAAAGAGGGTTCCAGAGCAGGATTGGGGATCACATTTATGTCTTATGGGTACTACATGGTTCCTGATGGACATTGGTTAAGTTCGTCAATTAGTTCGTGGCGAGGTGGCGCCCACGATATCGATACAAAGTTCGAACCTGTTGATCCAAACAACTTTGATGTGGATTCTAATCATGTGTTAGAAGGTTCCGTTGATGATTTCCACTCATCGATTGACGGACAAGATACCTCTAATACCGCTTCTACTGATTATACTACGTCATATTTCGATGAGAACAGCACCCCAATATTTGCTTATGGGTTGGTTGCTGTGGGTGTTTTCATTTTCATCAAGAGTCTTTTGGATTACCACAGAGCCAAGCAGATGGAGAAAGTGATTCTTCAAAGTCCATCGACCACTTATGAAACTCCGGCTGCAGAAACCGAAGCTGAAGAAGTTTAGTTTGATGACGCTCAATACCGGGAAGTGTTAATTCTGTCTTAGTTTATATTCAATTCTGTTAGTTGTGTCATCTGAGTACACACATTTAGTTTTTTTTTTTTTTTATATACTTTTTTGCTGGATATATCTTTTTCTTTATAATAATTTTCATTCCTCTAATTTGATACATTTGTGTTAGTCTTTTTTTTTTTACCTCCCTCATTATATATATATATATATATATATATATCCAATACGGTTATTGGAAACCATTTGCTTAATAAAACTTAATGCCCATAATATCAATCTGTCTTAATTGTTTAAAGTATCTATTATATGGAAAGTAGGATTGTAGCCATTATTCAAAAGGTCTGTCTATATTAAAAACAAGAATGCAAAAAAATGAAACGGAAAACAAAAACAAAACAAAAAGCTGAAATCAAATATTTAATATTCTTTTTTTAACCAAAATATCATTTAACCCATGACTTGCAACATTTTCTCATAAATGGTAAACACAATCCCCCCACTGAAAAACAATCTACCTAATCTTGGAGTACTTCCTTTCCAAAAAGTTTTCAACCCTTCATCTTTATAAACTTTCATGAAACAATTGACAGTACTAGAGTATTTGTCACTGGCATTGAGGGCTTGCATTCTTGTCTTGACGGTATCGATAGGCATGGTGGTATATACGGTGATGATCCCGGCAAGGGCCCCAATCATAAAAGTTTTCCCGCTATCCAATGGTTCATTGGGCTTCAAGCCATAAAACTTTTGGATCTGTACTTTGATGGAATTGTACGCCCCCAATCTCACCGCCTGATTCGATGCTTGACGAAGCGTCGCTGGCAAGAACCCTGCGTAAATCTTCCGAAGCCCTAATTCCTTGATCACTTTAATACTCCCGAACGCCTGGGTGTATTTTGGAGCAGGCGATCTCTTATCATCGATCATCGCAGTCTTAATGGCCTCACTAGGAGTCACTGCAAGAAGCGACTCAAGTACCCCGGCCCCCATACCTGCTACTACCCCACGAGGTCCAGAAAGTTTGCCATCCTTATCCACGAGTAATTTCTTAATCGAATCAAACCCAAAGAATCGCACTGAGGCCTTGACGGTGTTTCCTACCACAAACGCCGGACACCCGACGTAAAGCGATCTTACCCCTTGGTGCTTGCTCACTTGATAAATCACCACAATAGGATTACGTGATCCAGGGGCCAGCTTATCAAGAAGTTGTAATCTGGTCTTGGTGAATTCAAATGGGTAAGTAACAACCCCTTCGATGGCCCCGGCAACACCCCCAGCAATGAAAGATTTCGTAGGGTCGACTTTGGATCCGTTTCTTGAGCTCATGGTTTATAATAATATATCTGACAAAACCAATTCAAAAAAAAAAAAAAATATTATTATTATTATTATATTATTATTATTATTATTCTCCTTCTTGTGGTAGCAGATTAGTGAAATTTTTTAGATTTTTCTCTTTTTTCTTTTTTTTTTTAAAATGTTTTTTTAATTGAAAAGATGTCTGTCTATATGATCATTGACTCATATTCACCCGCACCCCCCATCGCATCCATCACCCCTCCGATATGAGTCGTGTGCCAAACTTCGTGATTTTTGAGATCTGAAATACCAACAATAATGATGATTATGGCTGGAATTGTCCACCAGTTTAAACCACCTTGTGATCAAGAAAAAGAAAAAAAAATATATATAAAAAAAAAAAAAAAAAAAGAAAAAAGAAAACAGTCGACAGATTGTGGTACCTGTCAAAGGTGGTTCGGTTCGGGTTGGTCAAGCATCGTAAATGTGCGTATCTGACAAATCCTCACATTGTATATAATAGAATTATGTGCCAACTGACAACACTTCAGTGCTGGAATTACTACCTAGCGAATATTTCCCTAGGCGTTTAAGTTGGCAATATAGACTTCCAATATCAATAACGCAAGCATAAGCAGTTAAGGCTCCTATCATCCTCTCATGATAATAATTACATCACTTGGATAAAAAAAACAAAACTCGATAATATTGAGTATAAATAAAAACAATCAACTAATGCACTGAAAAGCACATGTGTGAAAAAAAAAAAGACCATGACACCACAGAAGCCATCATATGGGAGGGCCCAGTATTGAACGAACGAATATATATAATCTGATTGAACGAATGAATGTATAAAATAAATAACGGAGATGACCGTAGATGAGACAAAAAAAAAGAAAAAAAAACCCCCCATTGGTTCATAAGAAGTAATGATGAAAGAAGATCTTCTTTTTGTTTTTGCCAGCTGAAACTGACTATATGAATCTCTAAATCTAGAGTTTTCCCCAAGTAATTTTTTTTTTGTTGTCTTTCCATTGCAATTGGAAAGGCGAATATCTTTTTTTTTTGAACCAACGAAACCCATAAAATTAAATAATGAAAAAGAGAGAAAAGTAAGAGATGGGTGCAATGCCATGATCATTTTCTCTTATAATGCTGACATAGATGAGAATAATAAAAATGATTAAACAAAAAAAAAAAAATAACATAACATGACATATTAGCAAAAACAAGTTAGAAGAAAAAAAAAAAAAAAACATAATATAACATAGGAGGGCATAAAAACCAATGTGAAAATGGATTGATTGACCTATCTAAGCATCATAGATTGAACAAATTCAACACCCTAACAAAAAAAAAAGATTCCTCTCTGTTAATGATAACTCAGACTAACGAAAAGCAAGCAAATTAGATTTGCAATTTGTGGATCTTTCTCAAGTGAGCCTTTAAATTATCACTTCGGTTGAATCTCTTGGTACAGTTTGGTTGATCACAGTGAAATGGCTTTTCGCTACTATGAGATCTCATATGACGCTTCACATGCTCTGGTCTCTGGAATCTCAGACCACATAGGGGACATTCATGATTCTTTTTAGATTTTCTTGTCGGGGTCGCAGATGGCGGAGCAATAGAATTGGTAATACCTTCAACATTAACACTATTTGGGTCTCTCATTGTTGATGGAATTGAAAGAGAAGATTTGCGCAATCTCTTGGTTTTCTTAATGATGAGTTTTGATTCATCCAAACCTTCTGGAAGAAGTAATGCTGCAGCGGCAACTTGAGTGGCGCTGATGCCGCTGACAGCAAGCAGCTCAGGAGAGTCGGGGTTCTTATGAGGACTAGAAAGGAGTTGTGGAGTAGACATCAGGTTAGGCAAAATTGGATTGTGAGATTGAAGACCCCCAAGGTGTGAGAACAGTGCTGAAGGATGCATTGGTGGAGCGTATTGAGGGAACTGCACTAACTGATGATGTGGTTGATGAAGATGAGCTGTAAGGTTGGTTGGGTGGGAAAGAGAATGGGATAATTCGCCATGACTAGTAGGTGGAGCTGATGAGAGCAATGGTGGCGGATTCACTTGATGCATAGCATGATGGTCAACAAGATCCGCTTTATTAGTAATAGGGGTCCCATGGGAGCCAGTTGACGAGGCAGAAGAGGATTCTTGGTTCGCGGCACCATTATTAACATAGCTGGCAAGATTAATAGATCCTTCAGAACGGGTGATTCTGCTTGGCTGTTGAAGAGAAGTCTGCAGACCAGAGCTGTTAATATTAATCAAGTTAGGATTAATAGTGGAGTCGTAATTTGCGTTATTATTAATATTTGACGATTCCATGGTACTCGGAATGCCCAGAGAAACCATTTTAAGGGTCATATCAGCAGCCTGTAGAAAAATATCACTATTGAATTCTGATCCAAGGAAACTTCCAGTCGAACTTTGATGGTTGGTGGCGTTTACGGCTTGGCTACCCGAATCTTCCATGACGGTATTGTCAAGATCAAATTGATCGAGAAATTCTAAAGTGCTGTCATTTTGGTTTTGCAGTTGTTGTTCAAAAGACTTGTACATGTCAATCAATGTATCATTGGAATTATTGTGGCTATTATTGTTGATGACTGTTGGTGGGAACTTTGAGGCAGAATGACCATTGAACGATTTTGATTTTGGGATGGCAAAGGTACGAGATGCCACTGTATTGATATGACCACTATTATGGTTTTCATCAAAAGTCAATCTAAATGGAGAATCTCCATCGGCATCAGGAAAGTTAGCCTGTGATGGAGTTTGCAAAGGAGTTGAGCCTGGCGATGAAGTTGAATGAGTTGGGGAAATCAAAGATGAATTGTAAAACGGGTTCATACCACTCTGAGATCTGGAGATCGATAAGTTTTTCGGTCTAGGTCTTATAGAACCAGTAGTGGTGTTGGCCCTTGCAGATCTATTGATTGAAGGAGAAGAAGTTGAAGAAATGTTGTTATTTAAAGGAGTGAAAAACGTTAAAGATGAGCCGCGATTATGAGCGCGATTTGGGGTTGATAAAGAGAGCATATCTAGAGAAGAGTTTGAGTTTGAATTCGATAGCTCGGGGACCAGGTCAAGAGAAGATATGGAATGAGCCAGGACAGATTGGGAAAGTTTTGGAATTTTCGAGGAAGGCAATGAGAAATTGAAAATATCCATGGTTGTTGAGGAATGAGAGTCCAAAAACTGGGTGCCAGAAGATGGGGATGTTGAAGGTGGTCTCTTTGGCGTTTTAAGAGGTTCTGAGTTCATTGTGTATTGGAAGATATTGGAAATAAAATCGAAGATAAAACTTTAGGGAAGGGCTAAAAGTGATAAATTATTCATTCACGATGGTCAGATGAATATTGGTTATTTAAATTTCGGAAAAACCGTTAAACAAATGGAATGACAAGGGTAGATTTAGCACTGATGCTGGTATTGCTATAGTGATGATGGGCGCAATTTTTGTTGTGCTGGTGGTGTTGTTGTTGTTGTTGTTGTTGTTGATGTATCAACAGCTTGATTGATTTGGATCAATCAATGAGCAACTAGAGTAGTGATAATATTGGGGAGGCTAAATTTTATGAGAGGAAGATGAAGATTGGGGTAGCTAAAGCTCTGTCTAGTGAGGTGTGTAGAAAAGAATTAAAAAGAATTTTTGATGACAAGAGCGAGCGATCCAGGTTTTCTCTAAAATTACAAAATGGCAATACAATGCTAAAAAAAACCGCTGCAATTTTAATTAATGTTGGTGAAAAAAAAAAAAAAAAAAAGAAAAACCCGAAAATCGTTCAGCCTCTGCAAATAGATGCCCTGGTGGTTGCCTATTGGAGTAAAAGGTGTTTAATGGGTGGTTTCCCACTGACGCGAAAACCTTGCACACTTGATTGTCTCTATCTATCTATCTATCTATCTATCATCTACCAATCTATCTATGTACGGCAAAGACCTACTCTGTGTAGCAATATCAATATCATTATAATTGTGTTGCTAGCCAATTTACAACCACTTAGTAATACAAATTAGTACCAATGTTGCTCTTATTATTATTATTATTATTATTATTATTATTATTATTATTATTATTATTATTATTATTATCAATATCATAGAAAATGGAAAGAGTGCTGAAAGTAGCCAGCGTCGCTTAACAGTGGGGGCATTACCATTATAGTACAATAACAACAACAACAATAATAAAAGCAGCGATAATCAAATAACCTGGCACGTCACTAATTAATTAATGGCGCGTAGCTCTCATGCACCCGACACGTGGTGATATCCTGTACGTGTCACATGGCACACAGATTGCTTTATTGCAGTAATTACTGGAATAGGTCATATCTTTTTGTAGCAGCTGAGAATCTTCCCATCCATCGCTACATCCTGCCACCAATTGCCATTTCACCATTCATCACTTCTTTCATCGCCAGATCATCCGCCCGCTAAATAATGACAACTATCCTCCCCTCCCCCCTCGGTTAATGAGAATGTTCCAATCTCATCTTTGGGAAGCCTTTCTCATATTTGGGTGCTTTTAGCCAAAAAAAATCAAAAAAAAAAAAGAACGATGCTGTTTAGCAATTTTGGGGCGTTTTCAGTTTTCTTCCCCCCCCACCAATTTTGAACAAAAACCTTCGCAGCTGTTGTTTGTTGCCACCATCGTCGTATCATCATCTTTATCAACACTAGTCATCTCCCAATAACAATGAGTTTCGAAGAAGACGTCTCAACTATCCTCGCCACCCTTAGATTAGAGTCAAACGATGAACTTACAGGGCTTTATTACTCTTTCGAAGACCTTTACGAGAGAAAGTTGTGGCATCAGTTAACCGCTGCCCTTGATGAATTCTATCATGATTCCACCTCCTCAGGTATACGTCTTCGTGTCTTCAATAACTTCATCATGAAATTCTACAAGAAAATCAATCAATTGAAATTTGTAGAATTCTTGTTGTTGTCAGTCGACGAAATCTCCGATAACCTCGAAAAAGTCGAATTCTTGTCATCGATCGACGCCAAAATCATCAAGGACTTGCCTTCTGAAGAATCAAAATCAAGCTTCAATTTGGGCCTCCACGAATCTTATAACCAAACAGATGACAAGGTCCAAGCTCATATCTATTTACAAGTGGCAATTGCCAAAGTCTCTCTTTACCTCTCAAAGTTTGAAGATGCCCGCAAGATTTTAGATGACTGTTCTGCCAAAATCGACGAACTCAATATCATCGGCTCGCAAATCACTTCTGCTTACTATTCTACCAACGCAGAATTCTACAAATTAAAGTCTGATTACAATAATTATTACCGTAACTCTCTTTTATATTTATCATCGATCGATAAAGAATATCTTGCCACCAAAGTCTCCACCATTGAAAAGACCAGAACTGCCTACGAACTTGGTATTGCCGCATTGCTCGGTGATGATATCTATAATTTCGGGGAATTATTGTTGCATGACATTCTAAACTTCCTTGACGACGCCTCCGGTTACACCTGGCTCAAAGAATTATTATTCACCCTCGACCATGGTGATCTAGCGAACTTCCAAACAATGTTGCCAACAATCGAAGTAAAGTCTCCGCTTTTATATTCAAATATTCATTTCTTGAAACAAAAGATTTGTTTGATGTCACTCACCGAAGCCATCTTTGAAAAACCAAATGGGAAGCGTATTTTGACATTCCAAGAAATCGCCACTAATACTTTAACTGACACCAATGACGTGGAATTCCTCGTAATGCGTGCCCTTAGTTTGGGGTTGATTAAGGGGTTCATTGATCAAATCAAGCAAACCGTTACTGTAAGTTGGGTCCAGCCTAGAATTATGAACAGGGACCAAATCACTTCAATGAAGACAAAGTTGGAAAACTGGAGTAGTAACGTTAACAAGTTGAGTGGGTTTGTGGAAGTCAACGGTGAAGGTATTTGGTCTGAAGCTTGAGTGTCCATAATTGAACTTGTTCATAATTAAATAAATAATTTTTACGCTTGCAATATTCTTTTTTTTTTTTTTTTCTATAATTTTCAATCGTTGTAGATTCTCTATAGTATTTACCAGTTGTGGCACATTCAACCCTCCTGGACAATATACAATAAGATAATAACCACTAGTAATATACTGTTGAAAGAATCATGTTGAGAAGGGAACCCGGAATCCCTTACCCGCCTTTTTCCAGAATTTTCCGTAGGCGCACTTTTTCTCTTCTCTGCTGCAACTGCTCGGATTTGCTGCCCGGTGACCCACCCACAAATTATAAAAAAATTTCTCCAGCAAATATTTCGGTGACAAATTTCCTCCTCCTCCTCCCTCTCCTTGTTATTATCAACTTCGAATATTAACTCGATAACTAATCATCATGTTGAGAAACGCTGCCAGACCAGGTCTTGCTAAGTCCTCTTTAGCCTCATTGGCCCGTAACTACTCCCACAAGGAATTGAAATTCGGCATTGAAGGTCGTGCTGCTTTGTTGAAAGGTGTTGACACTTTAGCCCAAGCCGTTTCTGTTACTTTGGGTCCAAAAGGTCGTAATGTCTTGATTGAACAATCTTTCGGTTCTCCAAAGATCACCAAGGATGGTGTCACCGTTGCTCGTTCTATCGAACTCAAGGACAAATTTGAAAACATGGGTGCTAAGTTGTTGCAAGACGTTGCCTCCAAGACTAACGAAAGTGCCGGTGATGGTACCACCAGTGCCACCGTTCTCGGTCACTCTATCTTCACCGAATCCGTCAAGAATGTTGCCGCCGGTTGTAACCCAATGGATTTGAGAAGAGGTTCCCAATTGGCTGTTGAAAAGATCATTGAAGTTTTGATCAAGAACAAGAAGGAAATCACCAGCAGTGAAGAAATCTCTCAAGTCGCCACCATTTCCGCTAACGGTGACAAGCACATTGGTCAATTGTTGGCCAGTGCTATGGAAAAAGTTGGTAAGGAAGGTGTTATTACCATCAAGGAAGGTAAGACTTTGGAAGATGAATTGGAAGTCACCGAAGGTATGAGATTCGACCGTGGTTTCATTTCCCCATACTTTATCACCAACACCAAGAACGGTAAGTGTGAATTCGAAAGCCCATTGTTGTTGTTGAGTGAAAAGAAGATCTCTACCATCCAAGACATTCTCCCATCCCTTGAATTGTCCAACAAGATGAGAAAGCCATTGTTGATCATTGCTGAAGACATTGAAGGTGAAGCCCTTGCTGCTTGTATTTTGAACAAGTTGAGAGGTCAAGTCCAAGTTGCTGCCGTTAAAGCCCCAGGTTTCGGTGACAACAGAAAGAACATTTTGGGTGATATCGCCATCTTGTCTGGTGGTACCGTCTTCACCGAAGAATTGGACATCAAGCCAGAAAACGCCACCATCGACTTGTTGGGTAAGTGTGGTGCCATCACCATCACCAAGGAAGACACTGTCGTTCTTAACGGTGAAGGTTCTAAGGACAACATCCAACAACGTTGTGAACAAATCCGTGCCGCCATGGCCGACCCATCTACCTCTTCTTACGAAGCCGAAAAGTTGCAAGAACGTTTGGCCAAGTTGAGCGGTGGTGTTGCCGTCATTAAGGTTGGTGGTTCCTCCGAAGTTGAAGTTGGTGAAAAGAAGGACCGTTACGACGATGCTCTTAACGCTACCAGAGCCGCCGTCCAAGACGGTATCTTGCCAGGTGGTGGTACTGCTTTGTTGAAGGCTTCTTTGACCCTTACTGATCTCAAGGTTGACAACTTTGACCAACAATTGGGTGTTAATATCATCAAGTCTGCTATCCAGAAACCAGCCAAGAAGATCATTGACAACGCCGGTGGTGAAGGTTCCGTTGTTGTCGGTAAGGTTTTGGACCAATACGGTCAAGACTTTAACGTTGGTTATGACTCTGCCAAGGGTGAATTCACCGATTTGATCAAGGCTGGTATTATTGATCCATTCAAGGTTGTCAAGAGTGGTTTGTTGGATGCTTCTGGTGTTGCCTCTTTGTTGGCTACCACCGAATGTGCCATCGTCGATGCTCCTGAACCAAAGGGCCCACCAGCTGCTCCAGGTATGGGTGGTATGCCAGGTATGCCAGGTATGATGTAATCTTGATATATAAGGATTATTGTTATTATTATTTTTTTTGTTTGTTGTTAGTGGAAATAGTGCATCTTTGATATGTATTTTTAAAATGTAAATAGAATGATACGTTATGATTATTTTAAGTTTTTTTTTTTTTCAGTAGTGGTATATTTTCGCGAGATATTCGCAAAGTAATAATGAGGTAATTGTTTCTGGTGATGATTGATTATTAAGATACCACTTGTAAGGGTGTGTGAAACCCCGCAAATGACGATTTTTTGGGTACCGCTCTGTTTTTTTTTTTTTATGAAATCAAAATTGATCAATTTGAGGAGAGTTCCCGTTCGCTTAAGTGCCATCCATCATCAATTCAAATGAGTACCAGCAACAAAAAGTTCGATGGGCCAATAGAATTGGATACCCTAGATATAGCTACCCCCAATGATGCTGGATCACCCTATGCCAAAACTACATTCCAGCCGTATTCTCCAATAATTGACAATAATCCGTCTGGTTTTGCTAGCATCAGCGGCCAACTTTCAAATGCTAATCAACCAGACATTGAATTTTCCATGATATCTGGGACTGCTGCTGCGAACGCCATCAATATTTCGACCCCGACACATCGCCGTCATCAGCGAATCCTCTTTGTGTCAATACTTTTCTCACTTAGTGGATTGACTTATATGATTCACTATTATGAAAACCTTAAAATCGAATACCCACCACTTGCCATTATCGTGATCATTGGGCTGTTGTCTTCAGTGATTGCCCAGCTCATAAACCAGTTTTATCGTCGCCACTATAGTTTATCTCACGTTGCCAAGTTCTTGATCTGGGGTTGTATCAATGGGGTGTTGACCCTGTTGTGGATCGATATGCTCTTTGTACAATTCGATCATACGGTGGCCAGGGTGATGGTCGACCAACTTATTGGATCCCCATTTTTCCAACTTGTGTTTTTGGTGTTGAACGCCATCTGGGATAACAATAATGATATTAGAACCTACTTGAGGGTGAACTATTTGAAATCTTTGAAGTTGAGCTACTTGATCTGGCCATGCTTCTCGATACTTAGTTTTAGTATCTTACCCCCAGAATTCATATTTCCTTGTAACTGTCTAGTGAACTTGATATGGAATGTGATTTTGAGTTTTATTGCATGATATTTGATAAAATAGAGTCGCCGTCGTGGTCATCATCATCATCACCATCACCATCATCATCATAATCATTGTAATCGCCATGACCATGGTCATGGTCTTCCTTGTTTTATGTGCTGATTATGATATTGGGGTTTTATCATAAGAAAAAGGGGGTACTGATGGATATATCATTGTCTTTATTATTTTATTTTCTTTTTTTTTTCTGTTTTTTGCTTATTCTATTTCGCTTTTTGATAATTTTCACATTTTGTTTGATCATCACCTTATTGCACAATCGTATTTGTTACTTATCATTTCAATTATTTATTTAGAGCTACTAATCACAATACCTGGCATCCTTCTTTTACCGCTGTAACTGTAATCTCTTTTGTCATGATTACGTTACAGCTTGCTGTTGTACCAATACCCATTTGAAAATGGCAGACTATCACAAAGCTTGTTGAGATTGCAATTTCCAAGACCTTTTGACAGCACCATACTCCTCAACTTACAATAAATTGGTGAGATAATAATGATAATAATAATAATAATAATAATAATGGTTTTTCTTCTTCTTGTTGTGATGAAATGCACCTTTGGTTACTCGCCCCGTTTGGTCGAATATACTTGACATACTGTAACACCTATTGAGAATTGTTGAGATATGATAAATCAAACAATAATTCTCGTTCATCAAAAACCATTAAATCAAATGTCAGATTCTGAGGAATATTCTGATGCTGAAATCATCGAGATCATTGATAATTCTTCGCTCTCGCAAATTTCCTATACCACCGCCAACAACAGTTTAAGCGCCGAGAAACAAGAAGACAACACTTTGCGGACGAACGGTGATATTACTATTGAATTATCATTGAAAGATAGCAAATTTTATGGGTTACCACCACTTGATTCGATTCTCGAGTGGATATTTTTTGACGGCCCCGGGAATTCCCAGGTTTCGATCATCGTCAAATTGCCCAAACACCTTTATCTAAATGATCACATAGCACCCAATCGAACTGCGATCCCATTAGAGAATTTTTTGTCATTTGATTTAAAATATCCACAACCTGAGAATTTAGCACGAAAATTCGCATGTTTTCCTGTCAATGCTGATGACTTTGCTCGTCGACTTCTTCAGCTGGTTATCCCAATACCCACAGATCATGCATCATGTAATCATTCTAACAAACAATTTGCCATCCCACTATTTCCCAGCAGCTTCTCCATGGCCACTAGTATTTCAATCTCTCAAGAGCTTAACCGTCTTGTGAAACTCCAATCTCTTACTAGTAACTCCTCTATATTATCAACCGGATATAATCATATAATCTCTACCCTTAATCTCGATGGTTTGACCCTCATGAAGAAGTTTTTGCAAAAACGACGCACTTTGAGGAGTTTAGGTTTTAATTCCATGCTATGGCGCTCAGATCTTCTAATGTCAAAAATCATTGAAAATCATCTACACCGTTACTTGGACTGGACAATTCAGGTGACCGCCTCAATAAATGGGTTTCCCAACATTACTGAATTGAAACAAGCCATGCTCGCTAAATATTTGAGGATATTCATTTATGATGATATTATTGATCCCGAAAATTATCACCGATCACTGTTGGATTTTAATGGAGAAGTGAATAGGGATACTACAATTCGTCAATTATCGGATTTTCAAATAACCGACGCAGTGAACTGGTTAGAGATAAGGTTACAGGATAATCGGTGTAGTGATACCAGGTTTGGGGTGTTGATAATTGGATCTATTGTATGTTTATTCCATTATCGATATATTAGTGAGCCAAATATTATTGGAAATAACGTCATTAAACAATTGATGACGTTTAATTTTCTAAAAGATTACACGGGGCCGCAAGAAATGATCGAATTGAGATTGAAATTGTTGATGTTGGTAGAAATTGCAACCAGGAAAATGATTTATGATCAATTTAAACCTTAGAAAATAAGAAAAAAAAAAAAACCTTTCTTGATTTTCAGATAGTCTTTGCTTTTTTGTTTTCAAATTCAGCTTACATTTGCTTACATTAATGAATAAGTATTTCTTAAATCATATTGTATATACCGTATAAATATATTAGCCTCATTATTATAAGGAAATGAAAATGACTGAAAAATAAACACCCAAATTCTGCAGTGCTTCTTAAATATTCTTGCTATTTTCATTTTATTTTTGACAACCCCTACACAATAGGCAACGTCTTTTAGAATTATCCTTTCAAATCACTCATTCCAAGATTGACGACTTGTCATTACCAGTAATTTGTAGTCTCCCTGTTTCTTGATCACTTCCAATACTTCCTAATCCGAAAATGTTTATCACCCAATTATCCAATACCACGTCACAAATCACCACTATCCAAGATAAAGTGTTGTACAAGTTCAAATAACTCAAATCATTGGAGATTTGATGGTAATAATATGATCTGAACAAGTATAATTGGAGGAAAGTATAGAGGAAATAACTGATTTTCAAGAATTGATGATACTCCATCCGTTTCATGGCATTAGTGAGGTTCGGTGAGATCGGAAGCTTGAATAGTTTGCGATACGGCAAGCTTCCGGAGTTGAAATTCGACAGTTTATTCAAAACTTTGAATAATCCAATATTGGCATCGACAACCTTGAAAATCACCCCGTAATAGCTGACGTTGGAGAAAATAAGGTACCCAAGAAACGACTTTGATTGGAATTTTTGCGAATCGTCAATGGTGATGTAATTGGCAATTACCCAATTGAGAAACTTGATCCAATAGACCCCTATAGAAAGTTTGGTGTAGGTGTTGATATTGGAATAATTAGAATCACGGAACAATTTCCAAGCAATGAGACTGAATAATAAATACACTTGGAATTTGAATGCCGTGGTCAACGCTGTGCCAATGAAATACATAGACTTGAATAACGAATGATTATTATGGTTGATCACATCAAATAGCGAATAGATCACTTGTCGTTTACCAGTTGCCGATTTTTGATCCGATAATAGGCTAGGTTTGCTGTTGTTGTCCATTGATGATGGGACATTGGAGGAAGAAGGGGTTTTAGGGTTCCCATTGATGATTGCGTAAAGTATCACCAAGGCGAATAATCCTATTTGCAAAAGAGCCTGCAGTTTCACAAGGAGGTTTGTGTTTATTGTGAATGGCAAGGTTTTCTTGTAGTATGATCTAGATTTTGGAACGAACGATGACATTTTTTCTTCAAGTCAATCATAGGAATATTTATATATACGGTCCAAAAAAACAAAACAAAAAACAGCCGGTGAATGTATAATAATATCAAGAAATTTGCAATGTGGTGGTTTCAATTGATGGGTTCGCCTCTATTAAATTTTGTTGACAAATTAGTAATGGTAACAATAGTAAGTAATAAAATGCTTGGCCCTTTATATTTGATGAAAAATGCAGTCAATAAGGGCAAACAAAGGCAGGAAAATATATGTCGGTTCAAAAGTGGCCTTTTTTCCTTGAATTTTTTTTTTCCGTATAATTAAAGTCTCTTCAATAAAATCCGAGTAAACTCTCCAAGCTTTGGATCTGTGATAATCGGATCAAGAAAGTGACATATACATCAAAAGTAACAATAATGAAATTCTGGAGGACACACGCAAAAAAAAAAAAAAATCTTTCCGCGGGCTCGTGACCACTCCATATTAGTGGTTGTTTGAATCGCACCCTGTCAATAAACAGCATCAAGGGGGAGGGAGCTGTTCTTTCTATTGTAATCAAACGTATGTTAGAAGGTCAGTGCACACTCACCAGATCTACGAAATGATCTTATGTTAAAAAAAGAACGCTATGGATCATAAACAGATAAAGATAATAGTAATGACACATAGCACCACGCCTTCAAACTAGCCCAATATAACCGACGATTATGACGTTTGTTACCTTACGCCTGATAGCTTAGTTTCTAGTAGTTTGGCCAACTTTCCATGTTAGTTATTGAATTAGGAGAATATCCAGTATCTTGATTGGCCAAGTCCTATATAGCTACCTAATTCTTATCTGTAAGATACCGTTTACAAGGACGCTCTAAAAGTTAGTGCTTTCTAACAGTGGGTTTGATTTTCCCACTTTATCCAACACTAAAACATCATCACGGAGAACTGCTGTTACCTTGGAAACCCAAATAGCAACAGCTGGTCTCTTTTTCTTTTTCTTTTTTTTTTCATTTAACCTCGAAATGGAAAACGGCTAAATAATAACGAATGTCATTTCAACCGATAAGCGGCGAAGATCGCTGTAAATTGAATGTCACTCATGCCAAATTAATTAATGGACATACGAGAAAACACATAAAGCAAGACACTATTCTCTTTCGTATTGCTTTACCGAAGAGCAAATCATAATAACAAAAGAACAGCTAATGATTAATGACTGCCTAGTGGATTGTCTGTCAAGAAGAGGTAACAAGAAATAAAAACAAAAGTGGTAGTACCTAAAAATCATTAGCCAATAATAATAAACGGACCAAAAAAAAAAAAAAGTTGGCAAGGGAAATTTAGTCCCAGTTTCATGGGATGTTTGCTTTTTTTTTTTATTCTTTCTGTTTTTTATTGGGGGAATAACAAATATGGTACGGTAAGGTAGGATTCTTAGACTTGAGGTTAATCACCAGTGAAGTCAATGACGACTACCACTAGTATGTGTTTATGCATGGCGGGTGTGCACACACTGAAGACATTTTTGAGGCCGGCAGGTAAGTCCGTATGTAGTTCGTAGTTGGAAGAAGACAGAAAACCTTATGTGGTGATCGGCCCCCTAACAATAGCCTCAACACTGAAACAAGCAGGAATTTGAGACGAAGGTCATTTACTTTTTTTTTTTTACTTTTTTCCTTTTTTGCTTGGAAATTGAATGGTGTGGGGAAAAATACATTGGCGTATAATAATACAGCTTGCATAGTCATGAGGTTTGCAATGCTTATTCACTTGAGTATAAACACCATGGGGATATAAGTCGAAGTGCCGTGGTTTTTTAAACAGCAGAAATTGGGAGGCAGAGCATAGCAGATGGTTTGGGGGGGGGACAGAATTTTTTTTGAGTTTTGCGCCGTTTTAAATCAAAAAAAGAAAAAAAGAAAAAAAAGAAAAAAGAAGTCAAAAATAGTGTATTGTTAGCAACCAAAACTATTGTGAGGAGTGCGGAATAATGTAAAACAAAACAAAAGAGGAAGAACAAAAAGATTTTGGTAAACGAAGGAAACAGAGATTTCATTTCAATTCTGCAAGACAACCCATATTAACCAGAGAAATAAAAAAAAAAAAAAAATTGCCATGCTTTTCAAGGGAATTAATTATATCCCATCTCTTTTTTTTTTTTTTTTTCTCAAGAAGCCCCGGAAGTTCGGCCGGTCCTCCTTATTCAGATAGCCAACCGTTGAATCTAAACTAAACTAATTCATAAACTGTCCTGCAAGGCTTTTTTATTGTGTAGTTAAAGCCGATCAACATAGACACTCGGACCTCCATGATCCCTCTCCAAGAACACCAACATCCACTTCATAAGCATATAAAATGGCCATTTACAATTGCATCAATTATGGTCAAGTAAAATGTCTATATTGTCTATCAATAAAACCACATAATGAGGCAAACTATACATAAGAAAGAAAAGAAAGAAAAGCAGGAAAGCACAGCGGTAAGAACAGGTAAGCAGTCAAAACAGGGAATAAAAAAAATGATAAAGAACTCAAAAATCTGAGCATTAATAAACATAATTCATTCATGAGGAGGTGGGAAAAAAAGAAAAAAAAAAGAAGGAAAAAAATTGATATCATTTTATTTATGAGAGGAATCATTAGAGTACAGTTTAGTTATTAAGAATGATGGTAGTGACACGAAAAGAAGTGGCGATGCAACAAGGTAGAAGAACGGCAAAACAGAAACAAAATGATTTGGATGGCAGCATGGTGGTCGATCGTCAACGGTGTATAAGCTAATATATTATAAATATTTTTCAGAAACTATGGCCCTCGATACAAGTAGAGCAAAAGTTGTGAGAACATCCAGCACAAAAGCTGTCGCCCCAGAGGAAGAAAGGTTGGGCCAAATTATCAGGATCCATGTCAGCTGGATGAACGGCGAATTGATTGCCAGCGGTCCCGCATTTGCAACAATTCCAATGTATTTTGCCTTCGAGAATCAATAGTCTGGTGAGTCGGTGGCTATTGGGGTACTTCTTCTGGTCCGGGAGCGGTTGATTGAAAGATCTTCCTTGAGGCGACGCCATCATTGTTGGGCTTTGCGGCCTTGACGATGAAGAGCCGATACTGCTTTTTCGATACTGATTATGACTCTTACTCTTCAGAAAAATATCAGAAAAGCCCATGGCGGCTGGTGAGTGATGCTGTATAATGTGAGAATTGGTGATAATAGGGATACTTGTATGAGCCAGGGGGGTTAGCTGCCAGTGTGTGTAGCTTGTTGTGTGTTCTTTTTCTTGTAATGTGGAGACACAGAGGAATTTATGAGGACCTCGAAGCGGGCCAGGGCCGTTTTTTATATTGGCAGCACTTTTGCTATTTTTTTTTTTTTTTATTTTTTTTTTTTTTACTGTGTGCGTAGTCTGATTTTTCTTTTTATGCAACTGCACGCATGTACTTGCAACAGTTCTTGATCAGCTGTTCTGTCCAACGGTTTTTTTTTACTTCTTCTTTTTCCCTGTTTGTTGGAGTTTTTTTCAGCTGGGTGTTTTCTCCTCACACAACCAACACAACCTGTGCTGTGCTGTCATGTGACTGTGACCTGTGGTGGCTACCCTAGTTATTGGCTACACCGGTATACCACCCATCCTGTAATCCACCAACACCTTTCTCTGTGAATCCTCAGTGACGTATGCTGACAAATATTCTGCATTGATAATTTGCTGGAAAACACAATAGTGTGGAGAGAAACATTCGAGCTACGTTGTAGATCTTTCTAAAACCACATGAGTGAAATGCAGTCAACTAAATTATCAATCAAGAAAAAAAACGGTCGTTACCGAGGGCTATGTAATCACACCGGCGAAGATCAACCGTCTGTTGTCTACCTGTTTATCTGGCACCAGGGAGGGATCAGAGTCAGAAAAAAGAAAGAAAAAAAAAAACGAAAAAAAAAAAAACAGGATACAGGCATTCATCAATAAGTATTGATGAATGCCTGTACTTTCAAACCAGGGGTAATTCTAAAAAAAAAAATCCTTGGAACATAAATATCTCTATAATCCATGCTAGTTCTGACTCCCATATAGAGAAATGTGGACAGGATATTGATGGGAAAATCAACATTTCAATAACTCAAGCAACACGCTGTCGGAGTTAATTAGAAACCCGAAAGCCCTTATCAGTTTTTAAGAGCACAAAACCTTTTATGAGAACAATAAGTAGTATTCGAAATGGATTAAGATTTATTCAAAATTTGCAATTCTGCTATTTGTTGGGTCAACGAGACTTTCATCGCGGAGAGCCCTGGATTACCCGAGCTGCGAACACATGTAAGCATTGTTCTTTCTATATAGAACCAAGGCTGTTTGTTGGGAGTCCATAGTCTATACTGGGAGTTATTGAATGGTCTTAGATGAACTGAAGGTTCTTGCTGATCATCGCTATATTACCATGTATTATCATCACTAACGGCTCTTCTCCTCGGAACCACCTACCCAACTTGAGATCCGCCAAACATAATGCGGTCAATTGTCGAACGCACGTCCTGATTCCCTGCCTCAACTAGCAATTCCATTTATTTCCATGAAATGAGGCATACTAGCGGCGATATGTGGGTGTGTGTTTTTTTTTTTGTGAATACTGCATTATTGATTAAACCTACGATTGGAGAGAGTTGGGTTACCTTAAACATTTCGCCACTCTTTCAAGGGCAATACTAGTTAATAATTGTAGATCTTTCGCTTACAACAAGCACACAAAGAATATTGGTAGCCTCTTTTAGAGAGAGAGAGAGAGAGAGAGAGAGAGAGAGAGAGAGCCTCCTCCAAATGATGCGTACGGATGGTTAACCTCTGTTGTGTTCGGCCGAGGGCTACTTAAAGCCGATTTCGTAAAAATTTTCCATAATTGTTGTTTTCACTAACCAGACACCTAGATTTACATATCTACGATCCTACCTAACAGACACACACATGCATGACCACGTGGGTAAAACTTTAAAAAATAAATTATGAGAGTCTTAGACCCCCTTGTATGGGCTCTTATTGGAAATTAAGGAAGTGTACACTTTCCCAGTTATCTCTATTTTTATAATCTACTGATTTATTTATTTATAACCTACCATTACTATATATATATATGGCTATAGAGGTACGTTGCACCGTATTTGGAAAATGCTGTCAATGAAACAACAGGAAAATTATGACTAAAGCAGTGCCCCTAAAAATCCTCCAAATCAAATTGAAACGAATTCAGACCTACAACGACAATCTACGAGCCAAATTATGTCAAGAGAAAACATACATCTCTAATTCCTCGATAAGTGTCATTGATAATTGCAAAAATTCTATAGAGTATTTCTTGATTCCAAGAGAGTATTTGGAAGGCGAGAGCCGTCCCACGAGGTTTGTCAGCGTATATCTTGATCAAGATCCGTTGATTGATTCTAATTTGCAACTAAAATGTGGGGGTCTTTGTGGCAGCTAAGTTTGCTACGTCATGCTTATTTTTGTCTCCCCAATACGAATGTCTTTATGAAGCACACTATCAAACAATAAACAAAAGAAAAAGAAAAACAACAGGGTGATAACTCAAGTGAATTATAGCGCCACACTTCCAGAATATATCTACAGAGATCTCCATATTCTAGTAATAATAAATCTTGGACCGCCGCATAACCATCCACAGATCTCTTGTTGTTTTGTACAGAACTTTGTTATTAGGTATACATTATACACATTTTTCATTTTTTGCCTGGTGGTTCATACTGTTTCGTAAAATGCACGACAAGTGCTGAACCCTCAATTGGGCCTCTAAATTTCTATGCAATCGGGTGTGGTAAATAGGCTTCAGACAACAATGCAAAGACATAGCAGCAACGCACGCACACACATTGATAGGCACGGTTGGCTCTCGGTCGAAATATTAAGAGTGACACTCGGGCCATAAACCTCGTATACTTCAACAATCCAAAACCATCTAATAATCTGTAATCTGCAAGACTCCCACCTAAAACAAAAAGACGTGCAATTTGTGTTGGCAAAATGTTGCTATAGTGAGAATACGGTGATCAAAGCGTTGTGGCTGGTGTAAGGCTGTTTTATTCCTTGGTGTTTTGATGTTTATGTGTTTATTTTTTTATATATCACGTGTGTTTGTTTACTGTTTACTGTTTACACTTATTTTTGTGTGCATGGAAAAAACATGTAAATTAGGGAATGCTCTGGTATTCATATGGATAAACCAAATCAAGAATTCAAATATTAAATATTTCTAGCCATGGACTTCCCAGAGAAAAAAGGTCTGTCGCCAATCAGGGAAAGGTCTGCCTCACCAACCAGAAAGAAATCAAGACTTAATGAGGGGTCTTTTAATAGTATCAGGTCGAGGTACATTGAATCTGTCACCAATGCCTCCGAAAATAACACTAGCCCTATGAGTAGAAGACATCCTTCTATTAGTCCTGACAGGAGGTCAAGATTGCTTCCACCTTCAGTGAGCCCTGAAAGCAGAAGGAAGCAATCGCTAGAAGAACCTATTGAAGAGAAATTAGAAGTTGATGAGCCATCAATGCATGCCTCAGCAAAGAAAGCGGTAAACAACACCACCAAATTCAACTTTTTAACAGATCTTGAGATTAATAATCAAATCCAGACAATTTTAAATAATGGGCTACTATTGAAGAATCTCTTACTCTCCGTCGCTTCGTCTGTCAAGGCGTCCAAGACTGATTTTCAGGAATTGAGCAAGTCCACCAAATCCAACAACGAAGAAATCGCAAAATTGCTTGATTCTTTCAACAAATCTAAAAGTCAATCTCTGATGTCTACCAAAGATATGGCAAGATTTTATGATGCGTTGAATCTGAAGTTTGATAGCTCATCGAGGGTAAATGACCAATTAAAGGATATTTCCGCAAATATTAAGAGCTTGCAGTCTATTTTAGATCATTTGCAAAAAGAAGGAGGTTTGTCGGAGTCCAAACAGACAGAAATGACTTATAATATTGTCAAGGCTAATAGAGCAGAAGCACTCTCTATTTTGCGAGAGATTGGAAACTGGAAAGAATCACAGCAAGTCATGATGAAAAAAATTGAGAATCAGATAAACACTATTCTGAAAGGTGACAATTCTAAAGATGGTCTTTTAATGTTAAACAATGTTAGCCAGATTGTCGGTGAGCAATTGTATCTGAATAATGAGAAAACTAAGAAATCATTTAATGAACTAAACCAGAAAATCACGGAGATGAAAAACGCGATCGAATCTAATAAACAACACAATACATCAGACGAAAATTTATCACACTTGGTTAGTAACTTCAAAACAGACGTTAGTGAAAAAATTTCTCTTGTTAATGAGTCCCTTTACCAATTTGAGTCCAAAAATGAATTATTATTGAATAAAATTTCTGCAGAATTAAAGGAGGATATGAAGAAAGCATTTATTGAGAAATTTGTCTCTGATGAAGATTTCAACTTACTTCAGGATAGATTGAATAAATGGTCTGGCCAAGTTGATAAAAATATCAGCCAGTTGCTTATTAGCTCGTTAAATTCTAAGTTTCAAAAGGGTTTGTCAGAAACTATTAAGGATACCCTAGCTACCAGCTTAGAGTCTTTGCATAATGAACTTATTGCAGAGAAAAGTGATATTGCCAAGATTGTCGAAAAAGAATTATCTAAAATGGAGGGAAAATTCTCAGCAGTCTCTGCTTCTCCATCAAGACTAATGAGTCCTTCAAGATCCCGTAATGTTGAAAATAGCTCCAATATGGCATTACTTGAAAAGGAGCTAAAAAATAAGGAACTAGAAAATCAGTTGCAAATAAAAGAAAACCGGGTGTTACAAGAAAGAATTCGTGAGCTAGAATTAGCTGTCGAAGGTAAAAAAGAATGTGAGAACAGAGAGAAAAGAATCTTGAAATTGGAATCCAAGAAAACTGAATTGAAAACAGAACTACGTTATTTGAATGAAATTTACAACACTAGATACAACGACCTTGAAGCATTACGCAAAAAACATGATGAGTTATTACAAAATATTAATAACATGATGCTTGACAAATATAAGAACATTTTCGGTGCTTCGGCGATGGCATTACTTAATAGATCCAATAATCTCTCAAAGAATACTACCCCTTCAGACAGCTTCTCTCCTGCAAACAGCCCTGTGAGATCAACATCTCCGAAAGCAGACAAAAAGGTGTTATCCCCTCTTAAAAATAGGATTGCCAGGGCTAATGGTGCTAACCTTAAAAGCACTGCTGAAACGAAAAAGGTGCTAGGTGGAAGAAACTTCTCTTTAGAACTCCACAAAACTGAAAACAAAGAGAATTTCTAATGTTTTACTTTATACCTACTGACATCTTTCTTAACAAGAGTCCTTGTTCCTTATTTTTTTTCCCTCTCATTTAATTTTTCATTAGTTTATTCATTGTTTTTTTTAATCTTGTTATTTATCTGATGTCTTTTTTCAATTTTTTTTTTTCTTGTTATTTTGATTAGCTTTTCGGTATTTCTTTCCTTTATAAATCTTTTCTCTGATATCCTGGTTGTTTCTCGTTTCTCCCCAAAAATAAATCACTTTTTCTACGGTACCTTTGTTGTGTTATTCTACATGTCTTGCAATTTGAGTCAGACTAAAAATTGAATATATGTTGATTTTGATTCCCATAAAGAAATCTTACTTTAATGCAGAAAGTTTTTTATTTGATGGTGCTTGGCCTTAAGTCTAAAATTAAGCAGTCTTGTTACCTTCGCCGTCCTTCAAGAAGTCGCTATAAATAAATTATTGTTAGTATTGGAGAGCTTTTAATTTCACCCTTTCATTTTCTTAGTTTTTCAAAACAGGAGGTGAATATATCTCTATAAGAATTTGAGACCAACGTCCTCGAAAAATATTCCTTTTCATTGCCTAATATTGTTATCCCTGAATGCTAGTACTTACTTCAAAAGTTTTTCGACATCAAGTTCTTCGGACTTGGTAGCTGGGGCAGCATCAGCTGGAGCGGCAGCAGCATCAGATTTGCCAGCACTAGAGTAAACACCAGCACCAACGGCACCAGAGATGGTAGCGGCAGATAACTATAATGACATGGGTTAGTATACTAAATTCAATTTAGAGAAAATCAATCAATTAATTAATCAATTAATTAATTAATCGGGAGGAGGAGAAAGTCATCATCAAATAAATGTAAGAAGCTTTCGAGAGAGTGTCTGTGTGTGCAACCACCCCCATCTCCACGACACAAAAAATTGCAGGACCACGACTTACAACCCAGGATGGAACCTTGAGACCCAAAATCTTGTAGAAAGAACCCATTTTTATTGTTACTTTGTTTGTGAAGTAATTCAGCAATTGACGGTGAATGTGGAGTTGCCAGTACGTAACGGAGGGTCAACTTTATAACTTTTGATCACTTTTCACCGGCGCTCTCACTGGACCTTTGGGATAAAGTAGGGTTATCCATCCGCAGCAATGGTACATGAATCCCAAAATATATCATTATCATGTTAATTTATTTAACTTGTGGATTTGCTACATTCTTTCAATCAAATTATTTATCTTTTTTTTTTTTTTTGTGTCTTATTATTTTTCTCTTTAGTTCGATTCATCCATCAGCAGTCTATATTTTTTATTTGTGAAACCTGTTATATAATATTACAAATCTATTCATTCAGAAAACACTTTGGCTTCTCTATAGTAATTCTCACATCTGTAGTGGCTCAAGAAATCAAGGACCGCTTCACCTGTCTCTAATTTATGAACACTCCATTTGTGAAAGTGGAAATCAAGAAGTTGTCCCTCCCATATCAATTTGCACTGGTTACCGACTAGACTCTGCGGCGTATATTCGGTATCTTCCTCTTCAGGTGACGTTGCTTTTGGTATTGAATTTTCCTCCCAATTAATTCTATTCATCAAGAGCCGTTTATACTTATTAATGGAATTGCTTGATCCTTCCACAATGATTAAACTGAAATCATTTTCGCTCAAACAGCATACCCCAGACAACTTATTTTGTTTGGCATTGATATCAACCTTGAATATGTGTTGATTATTCACAAGTCTATCGATCTTGAACACCGCCGAGAATATACCTTTTTCATTGATATCTTTCTCAACCTTCTTGTCAAATTTCTCGTGCCTATCTTCGGCAGTCAACTTCCTAGCATTATTATCTTCTTCATGAGCCAATCGCCGCTGCTCAATCTCTTGTCTCACCCTTAATTCAACTGCTGTTGGGTCCTTTATCGATTCATTAGTAAGAACATTCATCAAATTGGTAAGCTTCACTTTAGGTGGCGGTGGAGGTGCCAACCCTAATTTAATACGGTCTTGCTTCTCTTTGTGGACTTCGGTTCTTCGGTTCTTTCTAATTCTTTTCATCTCCTTCTTCGTTAAATACAAGGATTTTGGGGCCGGCAAATGTTTTTCCCATGGAGCTTTTATGGTGACAGGATGCTGTATGTAACTGGTGATTGGTGTCTGATCTTGATCATGGAGCGTTAGGACATATTTATTATCTTCAATATTTTCAACATCCAAATTCAAATCATCATAGGTCTTTCCTTTATAAAATAATGCTTCATCCCACCATTCTAATCTGCTAGGATACTGTAATTTATAGGCTAGCTCATTAATAGATTGATCGGGATCTAACCCTAATGCTGTCTTCCGCTGCATTTCTTCTTGCTCTAACCTCGATACTTCTTCTTTTTCTCTGACCTTATCGGCAATCACAACATATTTGCCCTTTTCATTAAAAACCAATCCTCTCCTTTTCCTTTTGGTATCATTGGCCTTGGTTATTTGAAGTGGATCAAAATATGGGTTCAAAGCTTCCTTTGTGACATTGGGCTTCAATTTTGTTAATAATAATGGATTGCTCACGTCGCTTATACCCATAGCTTTCGATTCATCGTTTTTCGAAGAGGTCATATCCATTAATAATGGATGGATTGCCGTGGTGTTTAAACCCATAAGTCCTTGATCCTCTTTATCTTTCTCTTGTAATGATGATGATGATGACGATGATGCTACCGTGCTTTGTTTGGATAACGCACGTTGTTTTGCGGCCAATATTTTATCATTCAAGCTCCTTCCTGCATTCACTTTCTGCTTCTTTTCATTATTAAAACTCCTTCCACTATTATTGGATTTCCGCTTCCTATTACTACTCATATTGAACGCCATTTTGGTACTTTGAAGGAATCAGACTCCCCAATTATACCTAACTAATAAACCCGAAATTTTGTCCTATTTTTTTTATTTTTTATTTTTGGTTATGGCGCGCTGATGCGATGCTCTCAGAAAACTTTTTTTTTTTCACAGTTATCATCATATCGATGAATTAATCAAGAAACAAACAAAATTGAAATATTATAGCTACTAAAAAATGATCTATATAATTGAGCATATGGAAAGTGGTTTCACCGAATGGGTGACCCTTGAATACAGTCAAATCATCAGGGATATCGGGGCCCAGAATTTGATTTTGAGTTCCCTTCCAGCAACCACCACCGAAGCAGATATCCCAAAGCCATTGAAAGATTTGGGGTTACAATGGACCACTAAAGAAATCACCGAGCTCACCACTGAAGACTTCAGTGTCATCCCATCTTCGGGGATCAGCAAGGACCAAACCTGTCTTCTAGACCCAAGAGCAGAATCAGATTTGGTTCCTGAAGATTCTGAAAAGTTCCAATTCTTTGTGTTTGGGGGCATTTTGGGGGATCATCCTCCAAGAGATAGAACTAAGGAGCTAAGCATTAAATACGGTTTCGAAGGAAAGCGTTTGGGAAATAAGCAAATGACCACCGATACTGCGATTAGAACCACTCAAATAATCATTGAGAAGAAAACTAGATTCGAGGACATCAAGTTCTTGGACTACCCAGAAATCAGGTTCAGCAAGTACGAAGCTACTGAAATGCCTTTCAGATACGTTATCGGGGAGGACGGTAATCCAATATTACCACAAGGAATGGTTGACTTAATCAAGAGGGACTCGGAGCAAAGCATTGATGACCTCCTTTAGAGATGTGCTGAATGAATTGTTTTGTTTTTTTTTTTTGTTACTTGAAAAGGGTGCTATTATAAACGGTAAATGAATATATGAACTCTTTGTTTTCGGAGCTTTTGTTTGGCTCTTTTATTATTATTATTATCATTATTATTGTTGTTATGGAAGGTTATTAGCCCCAAGCTGTATACTCCGAAAGTACGGGAGGAGGTCTCAGATCACCGTGTTACCCTGTGTGTCTGTCATTCTTTTTCTCCGGGTATCCTCTGCTCATCTGATTCCCAAAGGATGGATTGAGAGAATCAAACCATTAACTTGATGGCAAACCATCTACTATTACTATCAACAAGGGTTCCAAAGGGGAAGAAAAAAGTATGGCAGAAAACAGCCTAAATCTATCGCAATTAAACCTGAATAAAGTCAAGGCAATTATTGATCAGGAGTTCGATACGGAAATATTGTTGAAGCACAAGGACTTGAGTGCCATAGAAAATGAAATAGGCAAAGCTGAGGCCCAATTGACACTTTTGAAGAAATACTACCAAGACAAAAGCAACGAAGACAGTAAGAAACCCCAGAGAGGAAGAAAAAAAAAATCCTTGACCACGTCCGAATTTGAAGAACCAAGTGAATTCTCGAGGAAATATACCCAGCTTTTATCGATACTAAATTCTCGAGGCGGTGGTGAACCCATGGTCCAAAAGAAAAAACAAGAAAACGTGTATTCACCGGTATCCAGTGGCTATATGACTACTAGATCACAAGCGTCTTCCCTACGGCCGGTTGCCCGAATGAGACCTTCGACAAATTCTGTGGAATGTCGATATCAACAACAAAATAAATGTATCTGCCGAAGATCAGACAATGTGTTGGTATCGTTACAATGCGCGAAATGTGGTAAAACAGACTTCCTATCGCCTCAAGGTTTCATTAATCATTGCAGAATTGCTCATATGATTGATATTCTATCACACGATCATGCCGCAATGACTTGTGGCACCTTGCTACCGAAATCCGAACAAGATGATGAAGGACTAAAAGCATTAGAAAATTTGGAAAAACATGGACTTGATCCTTCAGTGAATTTGAATAAACCAGATTTGGAGGATTACGCAAAGACAAATACCCGTGATCCTCTTGCTTCAATCGGAAACATCGCCAACCCATCAGCCACCGCGGTCCAAGAATTACCGCCCCAGAAGAAGAGAAAGTCTAGTTCGGCACTTTCATTAGCAGAAATAAAGCCGGCCGTAGATTCTCCCGCAACTATGGGAGAATTTTCTAAGCCGAAATCAAAGGAGGAGAAAAAAGAGTTTATCCCAAAGTATTCTCACTTGAAAAGTCTACTTGGAGACAAAGTATCAAACTTTGAGTCTCTTGTGTCTTCAACAACTGAAAAGATAGACATCGACTTGGGAGATGATGATCTTGATATCAAAGCAGACAATGGGTTAAGCGGGACAAATAATGATCATAAATAGTGTGGGTTTAATACATATTTTGAAGCTTTTAGTATGACACTAATAGTTGAACGAACTTGCTATTTGGGTGAGTGTATTGTAAGCATAACTGTTTAGAATATTAATACAAAATTATAAAAGTAAATGAAATAATGCAGATCAACATAAAAAAAAGGAAAGAAGATAACAATAATATTATCCAAACCTTATCATTTCTCTTTCAGTGACACTCTTATCGAATTTTACCAAATAAATTGTTCTTAAAGGATATCCATCTTTCGGAACATTGTGAGCAGTCACATTCGCTTGGAAATACGCAGAATCCAATAACCCTTCTATCACCCCTGCCACAAATGCACAACAGTTCAATTGTTTCAAGTCTCTTGGAACGGAAATAAATTGGGATATTAATGGATCGTTATCAATGATCATAAATTCATTATCGACGTCTTGGGATTTTTCTAATTCGTCTGCGGTTTTCCCAAAAAGACTCTTCCATATCACCGAATGTATAAACTGTAAAATCTCAATGATTCTAATATCTTTCTTCAAAGTTTTCTTCAAATTACCATTAGTTTGGTTTTCTCTCAAGTAGCATAGTTCTAGCACTTTTGGACCTATTGAATAACCCAAAATGTTCAACTTATTTTCTAGTTGTTGTATACCTTTGGAATTTTGATGTGACCATGACACAATCTCTTGGAAGAGGAAACTTAGCGACGCAAGGTTGACCTCTGGTATTCTGCGGTTCAAATTCTTATCATAAATAGAAGCTTTCTTCAGTGCTGCCGATGATGATGGGAAATTCTGCCCCGGGTTTGGCGTTGATGTTGCACTGGTAGTCGTTACCAAAGAAGCAGTTATTTGATCTAGTTTTTGAGGGCCCAAAGTTGGGTCGTACACCTCGGAGTTCTTATCAGCAGCGGTAGAATACGATGGTAAAATCAAATCATTATTGTGAGGGGCCATTCTCGCTCAAACTATTTTTGGTTTTATTATGGTTGTAAACTTTGTATAATATAAGAATGATGTGAATGTGTTTTTTAGTAAGCTCTACGTATATCGTTTGATAAATTAATTTGTATTTTCCCAGGGTGTGTGTGGTGCGGTGCGGGTAAGACTTTTTCATTTTTTTCAACAAAACCGACTGGGTGATTGAATGAATATGTAGAGGATATATAGTCTGCCCACCACAATTGTCCAAGAATAATATAAGAATAAGGAGGATTGAAGAAGGAGAAGTTGTTTTCAGAATAATTAAATTGAATCAAGGACGGAAAAAGAAAAAGAAAAAAAAGCGGTGCCCCCCAATAAGCTAGAGAAGAAGAAAAGAAAAAGCGAAAAAAAAAAACCATGACTATCACCATAAGACAGGCCACAATCTATGATTTACAGGCAATTCAGAATGCCAATTTGCACAATCTTCCAGAAAACTATATGTTGAAATACTATATGTACCATATACTATCATGGCCCCAAGCGTCGTACGTTGCCACCACCACCGACTTGTCTACTTACGAACATGATGAGGAAGCACAAACGGTAGATAAATACTCGCAAAAGAAAATAGACGAATCGAAAACCGACCCTTCATACGCCAACCCAAAGGAAAAAGTTGTTGGTTACATTTTGGGTAAAATGGAGGATGACCCAAACCCAGAAGACAAAACCCCTCATGGCCATGTCACCAGTATTAGTGTGATTAGAACTTATAGAAGAATGGGGATCGCCGAGAAATTGATGAGACAGTCATTGTACTCTTTGTGTGAATGCTACGGAGCCAAGTATGTGAGTTTACATGTTAGAGTATCAAATAGAGCAGCCTTACATTTGTATAGAGATACTCTCCAGTTCACAGTGTTGAAGATTGAAAAAAGTTATTATGCCGACAAAGAAGACGCTTATTCGATGAAAAAAGAATTGGTGTTGGAAGAACTTGTTCCTTCTCTTTTCCAAAAGAGCGAATTTGTCGATGATTTCGAGAAAGATTTATTGTCTGATGAAGAGGATTAGTAACGAGGTTTTAATAAATGGGCTTTCCCTTGGAAAGTGGTAACGTTCCTGTATTATTGATGACTTTCATTAGTCTTTTTTGTAAACACAATAAAAAAAACCCACCATCGAAGATATTATTCGGCCTACTCTGCTTGTTCTTGAGACATAAAATTGGTTCAGGATATCATCCAGAGATCTTGTCGTTCAATACAATAAGGGACTACAAATATCATAGAGTAACTAAACAACCAAAACTTTTATTTAATAGATTTATAAATTTTGAATATCAGACTTTTAGATAATCATTAAAGTATCTGAGAGTTGTTAGTAACAAGGGCTCAACCACAAAGAAACAAAAAAAAGTTTCCGTAAATTAAACTGACATTCAGAAAATATGAATTGAAGTTTTCAGACAAAAATAGTAAGGTAGCGTGGTTTTTTCCACATCGACAAAAACGTCTCGAGCCAAATGCACTCAGGTCATCATCTAAACAAAACAATCCAGTTTTCTTTTTTTTTATCAACTAAACCAACGAAAGAAAAGTAAAGTAAATAGAAACATACCAATCGTATTAAAGAGAAGCCATCTGTGTGGTTAACAGTTTTAACAATTCTTGTTGTTAATGTTTTAGAAGAAGAATATATAACCAAGAGCGTAATTTGAGAGTTTTCACCGAGTATTTATAGGAATTTCTGGGGAGAAAAAAAAAATTTTTTTTTGCAAAAAAAAAAAAAACCTTGGCGTCGGGTAATCCCTGTTACGTAGCCACTTAGTAACCCGAGGATGGAATCTTGCATGAGAATACCTCAACATCTGCTCTTTGATTACCTTCACGTCATTTGCAATCTCGTGGCCGTTAGTGGTTCATTTGGTAGTCAGTTCTCCAAGGTAACGAACGATGATGATTGATTCGCTTGTGTCGAAGTCAATATTGGCAACTGTTTTATAACCTTACCATTTTTGGCGTTAACTGTATTGATGGATGCTTGAGAGCCTGAGCAGCTCATCTTTTCCAAAGTTCTTTTGTTGTTGGCCTTGATTTTCTCAACAAGAACATCCAAAGTATCCAGAAAGTTTTTGTTTTTTGAAAGAAATTCTAACGCAATACTCTGTTCTACTCCAAGCGGCTCGTCGCTAAGTAAGAAATTGGCCAAAGCTGCTAGTTCAGTGTCGTACTTTTTGTAATTGTGGCCCTCAGTATTTAAATTCAGCGCGACTAGAATAACACCCTTATCTAAGACGACATTAGTAAAAGGGGTTATTGATCTGATCTCTTTCATCACATCTTTCGTGAAGATATCATTATCGTTTCTATCATTAGAGGTACAGGCTCGAGAAGTTTCAGAGGATATCATGGCACTTTTATTTTTACCTACTGTTTTCTTGACTTTAAGTGGTTCCACAGGTTTATTGATATCAGATGCGAGTATACTTGGTATCTTATAACCTTCATTAACTTGAGAACTTCTTTTGGTCTCCTTAGCGTTCCTATCAACTACTTCTGTAACGGCGGTTAGTAAGCCATACTCAACTTTTGGTAATTACCTTAATACACACCATTTAGGGCATTTTTCTTTCTTTTAATAGGGTTGGGTTTTGTTTTTGGGAGCTTCTCCGCTTGAAAAAACAAAAATGTCAGTCATCATTCAATCGAATGAGAGGGGAAAAAAGGTTCAGATTCGATACTTACATTTTTGGTCTTGAAAGACAGAGAGCTTCCTTTTTGCAGGCCTGGCTTTCAAATTTGGCATATTAATCTGGGAGTGTTACAACGATTGGAAGGATCAGAGCCCAAGTGAGGTTTGATACGCGTTCTAGACCAATTTCAATGGGATCAAAAGAGAAAATTAATATTGTGAATAAAAAAATCGCAAAGAAAACCTGCGGGATATGAGTTACAAACTCAGAAACTTTCCACAAAATGAGAGACGAAAAAAAAAAGAAAAATAAAGACCTCTTACAATTTAAGAACAAAAATAACAGCAAATATATTCAGTAAAACCCCATTAAAAAAAAAAGACTAAATATTTCAGAAAATTCATTCTTTTCTATATGTTACTTTATCCACCTTCACCTCATCATCAAGATAGGTGTAGATATACAAAGTGCAAACTGCTCCCTGAACGTCCAACAAGCAGAAACTAGGTACAGGATCACTCATTTCATCATCCGCTAGATCAAGCAATCGTTCAACCTGGGCTCTGGATTCTTCAATATCTTTTGCATATTTTTCTACGCCTTTTTCGGCTTTATCGCCATTATTATTGCTGCCGTCAGTGTGTGACGCCTCTTGTTCTGAAACGTTGTTTGCCTCTGCTCCTGCCTCTGCCTCTGTCTCTTCTTCTTCTTCTTCTTCTTCTTCTCCTTCAGCATCATCCTCATCACTCAAATCTTCTGTGACTGGAGCCCCTGTAGCAGAACCAGGATTGATGAAAAGCTTGTTATCCAAAGTATAGGCTTCGACTCTATGTGTCCCGCCCCAAATCAAAATGTCAACGTCCATCTTTCTAGCTTCGACCAAAAGTGACAATGGGTCATTTTTTGGAACCACAGAGAAGCCACTAAGGAATCCAATTCTTAGCTGATCGTGTTGCACTACTGATGAGAGTGGTAATTTAGAATCAAAGTCATGGGCGCCTTTCACAATCTGAAGATCTGGAGATAAAGAGTCGAGAAATTTCATTGTTTCTAACGAGGACGTTACATTACCAAGACACAAAACTTGCTGTATCTTTCCTGGTAGTAGTAATTTTTTAAACTGTAATATATGTTAGCCAATTTTTCGAACCTCCTGGCGGCTTGGAATATATATATTTATATATGATATATTTCTAAGGCCATAAAAAAGCACACAAACTCACCTCATTTGGGAAATCAATAGCCCTTTCAGGTATGAAAATGTCACCAATGGCAAGAAGAAGCATGCTATGTGTTTATTTAAATTGTAGTGGTGTCAGAATTGTCTAAAGCAGATTCAATTGTAGACTAAGTTGGCCAGTTCATCATTTTACCTATCGCAGCTTTTGTATTTTGATTTTTACACATATTTTTGGTGTCACATGTGCCATTGCGGCGGAACGACACAGCTGTTGTTTACCGAGGTTTACCAGGCTCTCTACAAAAACAGCTAACTTAACAATTTATATTCCATACTATGAGCTACAATATACAAAAGAAAATCATCTTTTAACATGAAATAATTATATTTTCATTCCCAAAGAGATAAAAAAAAAGAGTAAAAAAACAAACAAACAAACACACGAACACATGTAAAAAAACAAGAGAAAGATCAGAGATCAAAAGGTATCAAATGATAACGTATCCTAAACCGCAATTCAACGCTCTTCAAGGCTCTTCTGTATCGGTATCCGAATTCACATTATTAATTGGATCACTAACTGTAATATCACTACTGTCACTGACCGTTGCATCATCGCTATCGTTATCCATGCTTTCATTATTATTATTATTATTGAGATAATTCAATCTTCTATTTCTGAGCTCGGTATGGTATGCAGATGCGCCAGTGGTAAGAGCTTCCGAGTTATTATTCAACATTTCAAAATTTTCCCAAGGTTGTGTAGTTTCCTCGCTTTCAGAATCTAAATCTTCGAGGTCTTCCATACCAGGTTCAGGTTCAGGTTCAGGTTCAGGTTCTTGTGTTCTTTCTTCATTATTGCCTTGGATTTCTGCGGCCGATTCTGTTAATAGCTCATTGTATCTCCCCCTGATTTCGACGACGAATTTCGTGATCTGAGTATCCATTTTTCTCTTGAACTTTTCATGTAGTTGTGGAATGATCAAGATCACAAACAAAATACTGTCCTTCATTATAGTTTCCAAATTTGTTAGGATTAAGCTGCCTTGTGCCTGATTCATTTTCGCCAAGTACTCGCCATATATTTGTTTTTTAACCTTCAAGATCTTTCGAATTTGCAATTCCATTGCAGCCTCATCTTCAGCATTCACATCTTCCTCTAACTCATCGATATAGTTTTTAATAAATGCCTCATTATAATGATAAACCCTATTGTTGCAACAGTAATCGAGTAATTTCTCAAAGAGGTTTCCACTTTGCTGAAAGGCCTCGGTTATTCTTGGAAGAGTAGTTCCAGAGGCTATATTATTTTCACGCAAAAAATTCTCAAATCTCCCTAAATAATCCTGTTTAATAATAAAGTAAACTACCATCATCCCTACGAGAACCAAAGTGGAAGTATCACTATTTTTCCAACTCAATTCAGAGACTAAAAGATAGAGCACTAAAAGATACTTGGCAACCGATATTATTGGGCTGATATAGCTCTCGTAGATCACGCTAAATTCTGTATTTGCGAGATTTCTAATAATAGTTGTGAGTGAAGGTATTCTCGCATTTGCATTGATGTTGGCATTGTTATTGATGATGTTGTTATTATTGTTGATGTTGTTGAAATTGGTATTGTTATTATTGTTGGTGTTGTTGATGTTGATGTTGATGTTGTTATTGTTGTTCAATGAGACATGATTACTATTACCCAGATTGTTACTCACTAAACTAATCTTTGGGAGATTAACTTGAACCCCTAGTTTATTTACTTCGGCAAGTCCTGATGGACTCAACATTAAATATGGTCTACCTGGGCTCTTATTATTAATAATGACTTGACTGGTTGATAATGTCACCTTCTTCATCGAGCCATTCAACCGTAGTGTCAATGTGAACAACTTAGACAGCAACTTGTTTTGATCGACCAAAAACTTTTGATTTTTCTCATTGGTCACCAAGTCAAACGAAGATCCCACACGTTGGTATTTTTGCAATTTTCGCGGGCCATTTCTAATGGTTTTCCCTTGGTCACTAGGAAGCACTATTCCGGTGTTGGCGAACCTGATCGACGAAGTATCGATTATAGACTCATCATCTCTTTCTTCCACTTTAGGCAAAAACTCAAAGGCTTTACCATTTTTAATTTGTTCCCAGATACTTTCTTCCTTGTTGTCGTTTGTAGTTGATTTAAGTAGATTATTTACTTGGAAGTAGTCCATATTGATGGCGAAATGGAGGTTTATCGGATATTGCAGATTAAGATCTTTGTGATTGGTAGCTATTTTCAAAGCGGTTATCACAGTCTGTTCATTTTGTAAAACTTTCCCTTGGAAAATTAGCTTTAAATCATCAATGGACAAATTTGGTAGTTTTGTTGGATCTTGAATATCGATAATCTTGAATTTGACATCTTTTATTATAGATGATTTGTCAACTTTGATATTTTCGGTATTTATCGATTCATTCATGATATTTGACGTTAAAAGCCTAATCTCAATTTGGGATTTCTCAACTGCCTCCACGTATTTGTCGTTTAGTTGCAAGTCATAATAGAGTACTAGCCTAACCGGTGGGAAAGTATCCATACCAAGACAACCCAATATTGGAACATTATAATCAATCTCTTCACCACATTTTCCTAAATATAGATGTACATCATCCACAGAATTCGATTTGAGGCCATCAGTTTTCTTTCTAAGGAGTTCATCCAAAACAGATTCTCGCAATTCTTTTCCGGAGATATTCATTGATTCTCTAACAATTATCGCATGTTTAATATATTCATTTCTGCTTTCAAATGCAATATCCATCAATGGGATCCTAGAGATATCCCGAGATACATTACGCTCCCGGTTTTCGAGCTTGTCATGCGTGTTCCGGGTTTCCATTTGCAATGATACATATTCTCCACCATATTTGATATCATTTTCCAGGATAAAACACTTCAATTTCTTGTCATCAGTTTGTTTGGTATTCCTGTACCAAACCTCAATACTTTCAGGAGTTATCATCTTTTCAAAAGACTGATCATTCTTGTAAACTTCTTCTTCTGATCTTCGGCAAATAACGTCCTTCACGTCACCGACGGTGTTATCTAAAGTGGCATTGATAATCACATTGGAAAAGTTTATCAATGACGAATCTGTCGACCATATCTTAATTCTTAAACGTACAAGGGAATCCATTTTTCCATTATTGTTGTTATCTTGTCCTTCTGCTTCTGCTATGCTTCGCCTTTAATCTAAACAGTTTATAAAATATGCCGCTTATTTTGTCGCTTCCTTAATCACGTGACATATTTTCGACCACGCTTCTTTTTTGTTGCTGACGTTTTCCGATGTGGAAATTCCTCCACTGCTGCTGCTGCTGCCAGTGTAGTGTTTGATTCAACAGTCTCATATATATATATATATATATCTACCTTTTATTATACCAATGATGAAGTATCTGTTTGCTCTTTTCTTGGTGCTTGGTTTGTGGTTCTTGTACTTCACCAACGTATCCGCCGAACAAGAAGTCACCGACCCAAAGGTCACTACCAAAGTATACTTTGATATCAAACAAGGTGACAAGGACTTGGGTAGAATTGTTATTGGTTTGTTTGGAGATGATGTTCCAAAGACCGCTGAAAACTTTAGACAGTTGTCGATCAGCAAGGACCCAAGTTTTGGTTACAAGAACTCGATCTTCCACAGAGTTATCAAGCAATTTATGATCCAAGGTGGTGATTTTACCCATAGAAATGGTATGGGCGGTAAGTCGATCTACGGTAACAAATTCGCTGATGAAAACTTCAGTATCAAGCACCAAGGTCCTGGGTTTATTTCTATGGCCAATTCTGGTAGAGACACCAATGGTTCTCAATTCTTTATCACCACCGTCAAGACCAGCTGGTTGGATGGGAAGCACGTTGTCTTTGGGAAGGTCGTTGAAGGCATGGATGTTGTCACCGCCATCGAAAAATCTGCTACTAATTTCAGAGATAAGCCAAAGGAGGATATTATTATTGCCGACTGTGGTGAACTTGCCGAATTAGTTGACACTGCTACCACATCAGGCGTTGAAGCTTCGGAAACCAAGGCTGACTCTAAGGATGAATTGTGAGTGATTTATGTACAAAAATAAATAAATACTATAATAAATAATTGAATACCTTAATGCTATGCTTGATGCAAAATAAAAAAAATTATCTGCTCAATGAAACTGAGAGTTTCGGATGTGTCGTTGTTTTTTTGGTTGTATTGAGAATTTTTGACAACAGGAGATGCGCGAAAGAACGACTACGCGATCATGATAATAGCCCTATTGTTAATGAAAGTTATGTTTTGGTGTTTCGGACGGTGATTTTGTTGGGGAGGAGACAACAATAGGCTTTGACAAGAAGATGATGACCCACCGAACAGGAGGATGTAGGCTGTATGGGTGGGGGGTGGCACCAATTCGGGTGAGGACAATAATACATTATATATATATATGTATAACATATATATATATATTATTAGTAAACCACCCAAACGAGGTAGTGTAGTTTACTCACAGTGTATTTGTTGTATTGGCGAAGGGTGTAAACAACGCAGTCCATCAGTGTGTGCATACATTATTCTATTTATAATCCTTAGTTCACCACCACTCATCGAGCAAATGTAATGAAAAAAACCTCAGTCTGTAGCTGAGTCACCACCACCACCGTATATTTTGTTTTGGCTCACTAGTCTAAGGCCGTGTGTGGAGCATCGCGGGTGGAGGTAGACACCCTGTTCTACCATGTTCTGCCAGTCTAAATAACCGGTGTTTTGGAAGTTTTGTGTCACAATTTTACACGGATCGCCCACACGCCATCACCCCTGCCTGACTTACTCTCGGGTCGGGATGGCATGTATATAAAAAAAGCCCATGGAGGCGCAATCGAGAAAATTTTTCCCACAATATATATCTTTGTTGATATCCGCTTAGTAGGCTTTGTTATCTGGATTTGTGCCTGTTATACTTTTCTTTTTTTGATTATTACTTGTTTTCTATTCTTTCTTTTGTGTTAGATCATTCGTTCTGTTTTGCTAAACTGCTATCATCAAACGAATCTCCATAGCCACCTATTATCATTGAGCCCGTTGATTCGTCAGTCACTCATTTATTATTATTGTCTCTATATTATCATTCTCCACATAAAAAATGGGATTCAGATCTAAATCTATCAGCAGAAAGAAGAACAGCGGCACTTATGACGTCAAGATCACTAAAGAAGATCAAAAAAACTTGAAATATAACACCAATGACAACCAACTTCTTAATGCCGTGAACGAAGCCCAACCTTTCCAAGAAGCTAGTGACCGTTCTGTCAACAGACAAAGTATGGGGATGTTTTTGGCCAACAAAAACAACAACGTCGATACCTTTGGTATCCCTATCAGACAACCGGACGTTTCCAATCCAAGTAGATCAAGAGACGAAAGACCTTTGGATACTATTAGATCTTTTGAGTTTGCTATCACTGGTGACAACTATTACAAAGACATCTTAGAAACCCCAAAGTTGGGGTTCAGACCAAGACCTGAGTTCCCATTGTTTAAATCAAACCCATACGCTAACAATCAACCACAACAGCATCAATCCTACGAACAACCTGTTTACACTCCAGCTCCTATGGCTAACATCAAACCAGAAAAGAAAAAGAGAGGTTTATTCGGTAGAAAGAAATAATCTATTTCACTTCTTTTTGTTTCTGCTAAGGAATCTTTCAATGATTAGTTAATACTCATGGTTGCCGGTGCACTATATGTACAAAACTGCTTTTCTTAAAGATTCGTTTTTGCTTTTTTTTTTTGATTTCAGGTTTATTGATTTTTTTTTTCTTCTTTTTTTTTTTCTTTCTTTCTGGGCTTTATTGTTAATTTTTATTGTTGTCTATTCTTTTTTTTTTTTTAGAGTATTATGTTAATGTTATCATGAATTATTTTTTAAAAGTTGATCACTAATACTGTAGATTTTAAACATCCCGAAACACACGCTTATGTCCGCATTGACTTGTTGTTATTCCTCTTTTATACGGATCATTTGTTATTGTCAAAGTATGGAAACACCGCTTCATGTATGATTCATTTATTTATTCATATGATGTTCTTATTGCCGAAATTTAGACGACACCCAACGATAAATCTAAATTGAAATAGGAAAAAAAGTGGGTTGAATATATATTCGAATAGTCGTACCATTTACTCTCTTTATTGAGTTTTATTGTAACAATAGATCTTATTACTTTCCTATGGTGCAAGAAAGACGATTATTACAAAAACAAAGTTTGAATCTGAAAGGCCCTTCATCATCCGTCAATATGTACCATTTACACTGGGATTATTGCTGATCATTGACAGAAATGACATGATATGGGAAAACTTACTATCGGTTCTTAGAACTCTGTCATTTTACTGTGAAGAGTAAAGCAAAATAGATGAATGAATAATACGTCAAGCATGTGTTCTTCCAAAACTGTCTCTTGTGATGATCTAGTTGATTCTTCACCAACTTATCTCGCCAAAATAAATGTGATACTTTAACTTTAATAGATCGACCTTTCAAAAGTTTTTTTTTTTTTTTTCATTATTAAAAACCCCTTCTATTGTCAATAAATTAAATACAAAAGGTGGGTTGAGAAGATTCAAAAATGACATGAGGTTTTTGTTCTGGAAACAAAATCTTCAAGGAGACGCTAACTTCGCCTGATCAGTGCGTCCCAAATTTTTTTTTTTTTTTCTTGCTCTCCATATAGAAGTATAAGTATGTCATTCCTTCTTTCTTAGGAGAGTCATATTTCTACGGAGGAAATTCCCATATTCATTAATAAGAATTCAAAATTTCTTCTTCTTCTTCTTCCTCTTCCTCTTCCTCTTCTCCTTCTTTTTTTTCTGCCTTTTTTTCTCTCCATTTTTATTAAAGTGAAAAGAATTCATTATTTGTCTGTCCACAGAAAATAAGCTTTGGAACAAAGTTTCGTACTGCATTGGGGAAGCAGCGTGGTGCGGGGATCATATGATTGGGAACGAGAAATGCTCTGATCTCAAGTCATTATCGCCCCAGGTTCTGATGAGATTGAACGATCCCAAGTGGCATCAGGAATGAACAGTTGGTATAACAAATGCACATACATTAAATGCGTTAGACAATAATAAAACCTGTGCGTATCTTCATCATTAAACTTCGTAGTGTACTGAATTAATAAGCAACAATTTTAAACTCGATCTGTCTCAACCAACCCTAGATGGGGGCGATAATATATCTTGCTTGGAGGTGCTTTGCTAATTGATTAACGGCGTACGATATTAGACAGTAAACTTTACGTACATTGCAAAACAGTCAATAGTGATTCTTCACGATGAATGGCATTTATACGAGTATATTGAGAAAGGTAAATTATTCGGAGAACCCAAGTGGGCTTAATGCTCAAAACAGACATCATCTATAATAGGATGATAAACGATAGTGTAACGTAAGCATACTCTCACGTTAATTGACAGATCGAGAGGCATACTAGAGTCCCATGTATAACTGTCGTATCGAATGAAATAATTCAAATTAGAAATTGATTAAATTAATATGTTAACACATTACATGAAGATTTTAATCTCAAAAATAAAGTGGAATAAAATGAAGCTCGTCCTTTTCAGAACAGTGAGAATAGACCATTGGCAGTCATTAAAATGATCATGAGTATAAAGGTATCTAGGATGCCTTAAGCATGACTTACGCTACGGGTAAATGTGTGATAGAAATATAAATGAATAGTAAGTTTAAGTGTATTGTTATCTCATAAATCTGGGGTGCTATTCATATTCATTTAAACAAATGTCTAAAAGGAGATCGGCAGAGCTTTTATAGTAAGATTGGCAATAACAGATAAGATAAGGTGCGAGAAGATACGCCAACGTATAATTCGATAAAATAGGAGTTAAGATAGAAATCAAGATAAGAACAAAGACAACAGCAAGGATAGCAATAAAGATAAGAAAAAAGATATGAAAAAAAGATAGGAGTTCAGAAATTTGACCAAATTTTGTTTACATCATGAGTATCTTTTTCTTTGAAGGCGGTACATGGCATTTAAAGATAGGGATTAGGATGGAACGCAGAGCATAAAGAACATTACTGGTAGTGCATGTTACAGTAAGTAATAAGTAATAGATAATGATAAATAATCATAGATAGATAATAATAAACAAATAGTTATAGATAAATAATTATTCTCAGATAACAATTGATAAATAATAATAAAAAAAAACGTGAGCCATAAAACACCAACAGAAGCGAGAACAAAAAGTTATAAACTAAAAAAAAAGAGCTATAAAAAAAAAAAAAAATCATAATGGGTAAATAAATCTTTCATTTTCCAAGTCAGTCAAATCCAAAGAAGCGATATTAACCTTAACTTTTTCACCGTCTTTTTCGACGTAACCTGCAACACTGTCTTGATCTTGGGCAAGTTTTTCCAATCTTTGAGTATTTCTTCTCTTCAAGATAACCCAGATAACTATGGCGATTAATGGGGCAACGAAAAACGACAAGACAATTTGGACAATCCATGCAGGAATATATCTTGGGCCGTCTTTTTCTTGCCATAATTGTGGGGAAATGATATTTGAAACCGCGTAAGCCACCATAACCATGGCATTTCTGGTGATCTTCTTGGTATGACCAGAGGCAGAGGCACTGCTCCAACTGAACATCAAAATCCAAGGAACCCCGAATGCTGGAGATGCCAAACATAACATGGCGAGTAAAGCAATGTTTTTCCCCCAAGGAATAGTGGCCAAAGCAATTGAACCAACAAATGAAGGAATTGTCCAGAATACTACCGAGAAAGCAGTGAGATTTTCGAAATAGAGCATAATGGTGGTGGCAGCAATACAACAACACACAGCGAACCCTCCAGAAGCCACAGAAACTAAAGTGGAATCAAGGTTGGTGATTCTTCCAATTGATTCAAAGAGCAATGTTTGTTGGTAAGGCAAGTTGTTGGCAAGTTGTTGCAAAAGGAAAAATAAAGCGAAGAGCCAGGAAATTGGGTCCTTCAATGCTTCAACCATTTGATGTTTCTTGAAAATCTTAGTCTCGATTGCAGACCCGGTGGTTTTTTGAACTCTTCTAATTGTCCACACTTTTTCCTTTGTAGATAAGAACTTTGCGTCAGAAGGATTGTTTGGATAGATGAAAAATACAAGCACTGCCAAGAGGAAACTGAGCCCACCAATGATAATGATAAACAATTTCCAAAGATGAATTGGTGGGTTTTTAGCATTCAAAATCCCATAAGCGATGAAACCAACAGGAATGGTAACCCCAACACAAGTAGAATAGAAAATTGGGGCGGTAGCCGCTTTTTCTTCTTTGGTCAAGAACTGAGCCATTGTAGTATTTAAAATAGGCAAAGCAATAGATTCTGCATATCCAAGGAAGAACCGGATGGCATAAACCCCTTGATAATTATATAAAGTACAATGTAATAAGATGATGGCAGACCAAGCAAATGTTACAAAGGTCAATAATCTTCCGATTGGGAGCTTTTGAACAAAGTACATATTGCTTTGGCCAATGATGTAACCAACATAGAATAGGGTGTTGGAATTATTATATTTGTTCTGAGTCAATCCAGTATCGTCCCAAAACTCAAAAAGCGACGCATATGAGGCAACGGCTTTATCAGAGTAAAGCAATAAGTCAACCAAAGATGTTAAACCGACAATAATCCACATCAATTTTCTACCGAGCTTGCGGTCTTCCTCGGGAGTGATTTCAGGGACTTCATCACCATGTTCATCCAAAAACCTTAACATAACATCAGCATCCCTGGATCTGATCACCTTATAGCTGGTAATGACATCTTCGTGAACCGCTTCAACGTTTGGCTCTTGTTCAGTCTTGATGTTGTGTGAGTCTCTGTCTATGCTAGAGGATGACATTTGGGCTAAATTATTCTATGCAGCAACGGTAAACACAAACTAGGATAGAAATAATGGTCTGAATAAACTAGTCAAGGATAGTAATTCCGGTATCTTATATATCCCTTGAAAAAAAAAATTTCTTTTTGCCTCAGTTAATCCGATGTATACTGACTGTGCAGCAATTGCACCATCGCAGATGTTAATAATGCCCCTCCTGCCCCACCTTAAGTGCCCCTCCATCAACTGTGGCGTAATTTTCCGTATCACGCCGTCGGTCATCACCACCCGCAGGTGGGAAAACTGTGGTGCTGTGCTGATAAGGCTTCTAGAACCCACTTTTTTTTCACTCTCTCCCTCTCTCTCTCTTTCTCTCTCTCTCTCTCTCTGTCTCTCTTATCAAACAATCACAGGAATCTCCTCATCGTTGAAAACGTCTTTTCCTCATCTTATTGCACACTCACTCACTCACTCACACTCAAAGTGTGTGAAGTGGTTGGTCTTCCCCCCCACACACAGAGACATATTTTTCAACAGCGTTGCCACAGTGCAAAATATGGGGGAATTATTTATTAAAGGATTGGTCTATCACAGGCAATCATGATTCACCGATCGTAATTGTTTGTTATCAATGTTCCACTCGAGATCGTCGTGTGAGCAAATTGAAAATTTCCTTATCACCGCAGTTTTTCGGCCTGCTTATCATAATCGAGATATTTTAGCAAGTAGGAATTTCTTATTGTTATTTTTTTTTTCTTTCTTTTTCTTGTAGAGATTCCCTACAAGATACTGGATTCTGACGATTTGTATATCACATTGAGATATCTAGCAAAGAGTGGCTGTCATTTTTGAGTCTATTGATTTGTGATATCTAATATGTCACAAGCGTATCCCTGAAAGTGTCCGATTTTGCGAGACGAGATAGATAAGAAAGATGTTTTCAATGAAGTGGCCGCATTTCGTGAGATATACGTCTCTAAGGTGATAGAGGTGTGCTATTGCTTATATATTTTTTCCCAAGCAGATATACATTTGACTTTTTTCAGTCTTTCTGTCATTCTGGCTCTCTCTCTTACTCACTCACTTACTCACTCATTGTGTGTGTGTGTGTGTGTGTGTGTGTGTCTTTCTGTCTTTCTATCTCTCTTTCTGTCTCTATCTCTCTATCTTTCTGTCTCTATCTCTCTATCTTTCTGTCTCTCTCTCCCAATTTTTCACAATGATTTGTTCTTGCTTTTTGTGATCCTAAACATGTTTTGATATTGCCCAAATGCTGCCCAAAATTTTCGTGGAAACTTCTAATGGTAGATTTTTCTTTTTTTATTTTGGTCACCTCCCTCAGATCTAATTTGCATTGATTTAACATGTATGTTATGAACAGGTTGAATCAAGATGTATTTTCTCATGGTTCTGTTAGATGATCAGTAGTGAAGCACTGATTTTATCTTTTTGTTTCATGGAAGCCCCCGTGATAGCTGACACGTTCTCAGGGCGTTCGTTCACTACGAATTTTTGAGTTTGGGCGACAATGTGCAAATGTCAACTAGTGTTATGGAAATAGATTTTTGCCTTTTTTGTTTTATTATTATTATTATTATTATTATTATTATTATTATTATTATTATTATTATTATTATTATTATTATTATTATTATTATTATTATTATTATTATTATTATTATTATTATTATTATTATTATTATCATTGTTACTATTTTTTGTTTTTTTAGTTGCAACAGACCATTCTCTGTTGAAGCTTTTGGTTGGCAATTCACCCTGCACTGATTTGCGGAACAGAGAAATCTCAAATTCTATTTGTTAATTTTCTTGAGTATCTTTGAGTTCAAAGGTATCATCTGACAGGTACAATATTACGTATTATAGTGGCTTCCAGGGGCCTTGAAACGTAACTAAGGTGATAGTACTTCTGATAAATGGTTCTTATCAATAAAAAATAAATACACTACCATCGAGGCTCATCTAGGGTTTCAAGACATCCAGACGTACGTTACTTTGGTCCGGCAGAGAGTGAGTTTTTTGCAACACAGTAAAAAATGCACTAATTTATTTTGTGCTTTTGTTATATTTTTTAGTGCCTAATCTGATACAATTTCCAATTGGAAGACTTTATTCCGGAAAGCACTAACCTTTTGATTGAAATTAATATCTATAAATATAATAGAATATTAGACCAATAAGAATGATTATGAATACACCCTGAAAGTTATTTTTAAGAGCCAAATCATCCTTAGATGGATTTTCGTGATTTCCAAGTTTGGTTACGACCAAGTAATCAGAACTTCTCGATCGGAAAGAAAGGCTTCTGTACAAGTTATTCAGACACTGACTGAACAGATATATAGCTCGTTTTAATATGTGAGTTCCAATTATCCATTTACGATTATCTCTGATACAGGTATTTCTCTATTATTATTTTGCTGATTTTTTTACACATAGCAATATACTACTCTTTTATGTTACATGGTAATATTGACGAGGGAAAAAAAAATGGCCCAACATTAAAACGGCGGTTCCTGAATCTCTTTTATAGGCACGTGTACGCATCACAGACAACAACAACGGAGCCGCTGCCCACAGAACCTGTCTTTTCCCAAATAGTTTGTGCTTCAAACAATTCAAATGTCATGGCATGGAGTGATGGCTTCCATATCTAAGGCTACGATTTTTGCAAATACAGACTCTTTTTTCTGAAAATCAGCCACTAGGCTTTTTGACTCAAAAAATCACTAGCGCCGACCCACCAACGCACGTACTCATTCATTCATATACACAGGAGTTTCTTTTGCAACAACTGGTATCCAAATTTCTATTAATCTTCCCTGAACATGCTTCTGTCATCATATCAGAGGAGCTTTTTCATTTTCTCCTCTTTCTATGTTTGAATGGTCTTTATTGTCAGATCAAATCGTATTAGAGAATTCCCGTTTAGATTTATATACTTTTTTGAAAAAGCAAAAAAAAAAAAAAAAAAAAAAGACAACAAAGAAGTAAAAAAGAAATTTTTTGAGCTGCATCGTCAACATCGAACTTGAAAGCTACTCATTTGAAATCATTTGGGATACAAGTATGGGAGTAGATGAATTACTATATTTAGTCGAAAAATTCCCCTAAATATACATACATAAATACATATTTGTCTTTGATTTTTTTTCCTGTACTTTTCCTTTTCTTTTTTTTTATTTCCAACACTCAAGGGCAAAACAACGGCCAACTCCCTGAAGTTTGAGATTTTTTTTTAGACCGTATTCGCACAAACTAGGATGTTTGATGACCTAAGATTTGGCGGCTGACACAGGGAAGGAGTGACTAGCTTCCCAGTTTTACGACTGTTGTGTTGGAGATATTTTTGAGCTGAGAATCTCCAGCGCTTCCGAACGCCATCCGGAAATAAAGCCAAGAAGGTTATTGGCTTCCCCCCTTGTGTGCCACACGCAGCTGGAGGGCTGATGTTATTAGGGGTCTGTTCCTTGCTAAGGGTGCAGTGGTGTCATACTGCAGGATCCACGACACTGGGTGTTTTAACCAGGGAAAAAGAAAAGAAAAAACTGTAAACAGAGCACTGCAGTGCACCATGCATTGTTGTGCGTTTCTGTACGCCATGTGTCTATATGTCAGGATATGTGATCTTCAGTACACTATACACCAGGTTGCGTGGTTTTTTTCTGGCGCTCTGTTTCCAGGGCAGTTAGCTTATATAAAACAACACGCACTTTCCGCTGCCCTGGGTGGGTTTCCTAATCTACCCATCAATTCTGTTTCTTGACCTGTTTTCTGTCCCATCGAATGTCCTCATCAACCAGGAAATAACACAGAATCTTTTCTTCCATTTCTAAGATCATCACTACCCACATTCTTTTTGTCAATACACAAGATCATTCATTCACTGCCAACGTTACCCAAAAAGAGGCATACCAAAGATCAGTCTCGAAATCTCACAAAAATCATCGTCTTGCCATTAAACGGCAAAGAAAAAAAAAAACTCCTACACTCAATTTCTGTTAGGGTTGTTTGTTCTTTCTTTATCTATGAATGACATATCATAAAACAATAGAATATTTGAATTAATATTGCAGCCTTCTTGAAACAGGTTTTTTTTTTTGCAGGGGGCCAACCAAACTACCAAGGTGATTCTATTCGCTATCATCACATCATCACATCATCACCAAACGAGCAAAACAGTATTTTCTTTCAATAATCGGATCTCATTCTGTACCAAAAATCTAATCCTTAAATGATATAAAAAGCAACCCAGAACGACCAAGATAAGAGAAAACTTTCCAAGAGTATGTGCAATAATAACCATCGTCATCCTCACACAGGCTCTGTTCAGAAACTTCATTTTGACACAAATTCAACTGATCAAAATAATGATATTCATAGCAGGTATAGCGGACCCTCAATATCGACAAATCATTCCCGATACAGTAATTTCCAACCCATTAGCACTCCAAAGCACCACTCATCTTCATCGTCACCGTCAGTGATAATGAACCGACCATCTATAAATACCCCAAGCTCGAACTTCTCGCCAATTTCACCGGGAGCCAGTACCACCTTGGGAAGTTCAAGTGTGCATTTTTCCCCAACAAATGGGAACTTCAGGAACTATTCTTTGGGAATGTCCAATTCCCCTATCAACAACGCGCTCACTGGGGAATCCTCTTCTCAACGACACCAACAAAACCAATATTTCCATTCATTGTCAAAAGCAAACGCCTCCAACACCTCTGCTAGTCAGTTACACAGTCCAGTGCTAATAAAATCACCAGTTCCTGACGGAGGATGGGCTAATCAGGGCAAGAAGCTTGGCTCCGCAACCAGCAATTCTGGTCGTCCTAACATAATGAACACAAATGACGATATACAAATGAAGTTGGACGAAGAGAATGAACGGAAAATTATCCCAGGTACCACCAGCAAGTTTGGAGCTTCTGGTAGAATGCACTCCGTCACTTACACTAACCCAGGTATCAAATACCCAAGGTATTCGAAATTTGGTGAAAATGTCAGCAGCAGTGACAATAAACCTTCATATCCACCAATAGATGAGAATTCCGTAACAAATTTATCTTCATTCAGATTGCCATCGCTTGACGCCATGGAGTTTTCAGGAAATAGCGGCTTTCCGGATATTTCCACGATCAAGGATCGTCATCAATCTATATTATCATCGACAACCAGTTCTTCATCGTGTTTCAGTGCCAATCAAGTGAAGAGAAGTTCCTATTTAACCACCTCATCCTTACAGACATCAATTGACCGATTATCGATAAATCAAAAAGATGGCTTGATTGCCGCAATTCCCGAATATGCATCGTCTGATGGGCTTCTGGATTATACTGGGAAACAATATCCCCTGAGATACGATAGTCGGCCATTACCTATGCCGCCATCTATGTACTCCAACAATAACAATAGTCGTCAACTATCAGATATGGTGAGCGAGACAAGCACCGCCAGCGTGAACTCCAATAGTATATATGGTGCCAGCAGTTATCGTGGTGGAAAAAATGAAATTAGCCTAGCAGCTCCCCCAACTCCTGGAAGTTATTTCAATGATGGTGGCTCTGCTAGTTCTGGATTCTTACTGAATAGTTCACCTACCTATAATTATCAACAACAGCATTCGCCAATTGCTCCTCCAGTAATGAAGCATTTACAATTCCAATCACCTTTACCACCACTACCTTCGCCTCAACAACAACTACAGCATCAATTGCAACAGCAGCAAAATAATCAACAGCAGCAACACAATCGTCATCTACAAGCAGGCCTGACATCAGTGACTTCCAAGCACTCTAGAGATTCCAAGAGCTCGAAGAATTCCAAAAATGGCTTATCTGTTCCCGATAACACAGTCATGGGAAATAATGAAGATAATGAGATGATGATAGACCCAGAAAATCTGTCGAGCATGGCACAAGGCTCATCGTTGAATGGTATTGCTTCAAACCCTTCAAGTCTTTCGAACTACACTTCGACAATAAAATTCAATTCATCTCCTGAAGAAGAACGGAAATATCAATGCAAGACCTGTGGTAGGAAATTCAAAACTAGTGGTCATGTTTCTCGCCATTCCAGGATCCACACCGGCGAAAGAAAGCATGTTTGTCCCTTCCCTGGGTGTGGGGCAAGGTTTGCGAGACATGATAATTGTATGCAACATTATAAAACCCATTCAAATTTGAATGGTAAGACTGCTGAGAGAATGAGAAATTTGAAATTAAAGGAGCAGTTGTCTACGAAAAAAATGAAAATCAAGGCTTTGATTTGGTAGATGCTTTTGCCTTTTAGTTTTTCCATATAGATATTGTTTTTCACACTTTCTCTTTTGTTGGCTTGATCCTGTTAGCTATATTATTAGGTGGATTTTCAGATATGAGCCACCAGTTGTGGGGTTACTGCTGTTGTTTGTGTTTTGTTTAATAAGAATAGTATTAATGATGATCACTGTCATCATTATGGTTATGGTTAATACTACTATTGCTGAGTTCTTCAAGTTTCGATTATTATTGATCATTATCCAATTCAGTATTTTTACAGTACTTTCACTTCTATTTTTTTTGTTGGTACATTTTGTCTTTTCGCCCTTGCTAATTCTGTTTAATATTTTTACTACTATTATTGTCTCCCTATATTGTACCTTTATATTGCTGCTAGCTTGATATTTTGATTATCTCTCTAAATCTTGTTCGTTTATTTTCCAGTGTTCTGTTTATTTGTTTCCGGTCTCTTTTGTTTTCTTCTGCTTTTCTAGGGGTTGGTATTTTATGTTCATCGGGAAGTTCACAATAGGTCTCAATACCCACCTCAGCCATCCATTTCGATAAATGATATATTGATTAATATCTATCGTTAATAATATCTCACTCTGCGAGTCAGTTTCAAATGCATCTTTTTTTTCAACAAAATTTCAAATCCATCTATCGTTGATATCATTGTCGGTTTCCGGATGACCTGGTTTTATATTTTTTTGTTTCCTCTTTTTGTTTATGTCTATGTTTTATTTCTATTTTCCTATGCTTTTTGTCAGTGTCTTCGTTTTTTTTTTTGTTATTTGTTGTTTTATAATTTGCAGCCACTATATGCCTTTTTTTGGCACCACTTTTAATTCGCTATTTTAGAAATGACTATTTTGCTCCATCATTTTTTTTTAGACCTGCTTCTCTTCATCTTTCTTGTTATTATTGCCATTTAATCTTTTTTTTTTTTTTTTCAAAGTTTTTTACTATTATTAATAATACCATATTGTTTGCTCTTTTAATTCCATACGCTGCAGAAAACAACTAAAAGCTGTTGTACGAACTTGTCTAAGTCATTCTGATGACATATTATTCTTGCGAAATTACTAATTAGTATTTAACTTTAAAACAATCGGTATGGAAGCAACACAACTCGTAAAAGGGAAATGATGGAAAACGCAGCGTATAGGTGAGTGAATAAAGTTTTGCATGTTTTACGACTAGGATTGTAATGATTCTATTAACCTCTTCTTCTTTTTTGTGTTTCGCTGGAGTCGATTTTCAGACCAACATGAAAAAAAATAAAAAATAGACATTTATCGATAGTTAAAGATTTTTAAGATCACATAGATACTGCTAACCATAACGTTGCTGTATTTTTGTTTTGCATTGTTATTGTTATTGTGTTTTTTATGATAATCAATGTAGCTCTATTACTACCCGAATTCTGCCACCCTGATACAGAAACCTCTGTATATGTGGAACCTTAAAAGCAAAATAAACAGACAAAAAGGAAAACCAAGAACCAGAATTCTAATCAAAGCAATTAAGGGCACCATAGAAATTACCCGCGATCTTTTCTTTTTTTTTTTTTCTTTTTTTTTTGTGGATCTCTCTGAATTACGAATTGGGTTCCCATGGTGATATAGACATGTTCCTGGCCAATCATTAAGGGGAAGTTTTGCAAAACTGTAAAGTACAAAAGTAATGTTGGGTAGAAGAAAGGTAGAATTTTCAAACTCAATCAAATTCCCAGTGCTATTTGTGTAAGATGATCTATTGTGTTTTTCGATCTGGTAATTGATGATTCTCGTTTTATTGCAATTTTTATCAACACTGGAGGCTTTTCCACGTCCCCCCAAGGCTGTGTCGTCGATACATTCAACAGAATAGGCAATAATCTGCTTATTCATCGAAGCAAGTACAATCCCGGCCACCTACCTACCTAACTGTCTCAGAAACACAAATGATGACAATATTAATGTTAATATTAATAATATTGATGAGTGTCCCTGGCAGGGGATCATCCGTACCTGAAGTCAGTGTGCACACATATCATGATGACTGTAATTGAAAATTATGGAAAGAACTTAGAACGAGAGAAAAAAACACCTAAATTGCTTCCATATGATCCTTGTTGCTAGAACTAGTTGAAAAAACAAAAAAAGAAAAAAGAATCCCATAATTTCATTTCATTAATTACGAAAAAAAAAAAAAAAAAAATTGGGGCTTATTCAGGTACAAACTTGGTTTTGCGTACCTGAGACACCATGTAACTCTGCTCACAGATACTCAGTCAGATAAAGAAAGAACCCAGACAGGATGGAAACCACCGCCCTTTTTAGAATCCCTTATTCTTGGGACTTGGTATATACTTTTGTAACCAGATTTGACCTTTCCAGATGATTTAAAAAATTGATCACCACATATTCGAGCGCGTATTTGTCGCGATCAATGTTTGTCAGACTAATCAGGCTAGCAGGGTTTAGTGTTTTTGTCGGTTTCAGATCGGCTCAACAAGGATTACTATTATATTGCATATAACAGTTTTTTCATCGAAAATAGAAGTTTACCGGTTCCTGAGTAGTAGTATAATCGCGTGATGGAAACAACAAAATGAAAATATAAACCTTCACACTGCATTTGGGGCCTCTCACTTAATAAAATCAATAATTAAATCTCGCATAATGTCTCAATATAGATGGATGATATCAGACTCACGTAAAGACAGATACATAATTAAGAAAATTTTAAATAAAAAAAAACAAAAAAATAACCACAAAAAGAGGGCTACATTTCCTAAATGGTCGAACGAAAGTAATAGTCATGTGCCTTATTCCTAGTATACATGCTAATTGCCAAACGGCAAGTTGTATACTGACAAGAAACACGGAAATGAATTGAATTCATTCATTGCCATGCTATTTATTAATTTTTTTCCTACAATCCAGAAACAATGCTGGAAAAAACAACAGAAAAAAGATAAACAGACTCCAATTTCTTTTGCAACTGGGGTACTAAAGATGAGAAAAATAAAAGAAGAAAAGTAAAGGAAGAAAAATAAATGCAAATAATCACTCTAAATTCTTTTTTTTTTTTTTTAGAAAAGAAAAAAATAGCAGAGGATAACCCATCTAAGGCAAAAACACGTCATTTCCTTGTTCAATAGCCTTTCTAGTATGGGTGACAATATCCGTGCTCTCCCATGGGTATGCGATCCAGTAGTCTGGAAGTTGTCTAGCCGCAATATAGGTGACATCCTTTGGCAAGTCGGCCTTCTTTGGCTTCAATTTATCGTGAAGCACAAAGATACCGAGTTTGGTGTCTTCTGGGTTACCACCTTTAGCCTGACACTGGGAAATTACGTCCTTTTTCAATTCGGAAACAGTATAGTGCAAGGTGGTTCTGGTATCATCAACTTCATCAACAATCAAAACTCTCTTACCAATCAAGTCGATGCCTGATTTTTCGTAATCAATCCACTGAGTTCTAACAACCTCAGCACCGAGTTTTTCGTTTTGGGTGGACACAGAGTTCAAGTCTTCATATAGTGACAAAATGATAGCATAAACTCTGGTTGTTGGCATGCCTGGTTCCTTAAGGAAGGATCTCAACATTCTAGCAGGAATGAAACCACCACCACCAATGGCGATAATCAAATCTGGCTTGAATTCCTTGATCTTGGCAGAAGCTTCTTGACATAACTGATGAACGTTGTTATAGGAAATGTAGACTTTGGTGGCCTCGACCTCATCGTAAGGTACAACAGTGGCCTTGACTTCTTCAGTAGACATTGTTTTGTATAATCTATAGAATATTTATTTATATCAGCTAGGTAAAGGTAGAGAGCAAACGGATTTGAGAATCTGGTTCTTTCTCTTCTAAATGGTCTGACAAAGAGCTTTACGTTATTCTTCTCTTATTGTAAAAACAAACGGTGATTTGTTCGATGCCGTAGTATTAAAATAGGAGATGAGATCCAACACAATTTTTTTTTTTTCTCCTGTTCTTTTTTCTGGATCTTCCTCGGACAAAAAGAGTGCCGTAAGTAAAAAAAGCCGTCGGCGTACGGCGCAGACGTTTGGAAAACTTTAAAAAAATTTTTTTTTGATCTCTACAATAACAACATGATGCAATCTCTTCAAAAAGACAATACTGAACAGAGAAGAAAAAAAAAAATCGAATCAAAATTAAAACCAGATGCCTTCCCTTATATAAATAACAGGTTTCTTCATCAGGCAATACGACTAAAAACAAAAAGACTAAAAATAAATAGCAAAATAAATAGTAGTAAAATCAAAAAAAAAAAGAAAAAAAAAGGAAAGATGCATCAAATAAAAATGGTCCTGTTTGTCAATAAAATTAATTAGCAAATGCTCATATCAATATAACACTAAAAATCAACCAAAAGCCCATTATTATCGATTTCAATAGCCTTGGAAACCAACTCACCCAAGTTCTTTTGATTGATATATGAGCTGATCAATGTAAATGCTGGGTTGCCAGAACTCTCTAAGGATTGCATGATGTGATTGAATTCTTGCAAAACATTGATTTTTTGGCCGTCACCAACATTGGCGAAATTTTTGTGGTTCAACAATTGTAATCTTATACTTTCGTTGAAATTGTGGTTGTCCACAGTGAGAATCTCTTCCTCATCAAGGAAATCTGCAAAAAATGCCGCATCATCTTCTTCGTCATCTTCATCATCAGCACCGGTGGCATTTGCAGAGTTCGAACCCTTAGAGTTTTCAGATTGCAAGGCAGCCTTGGTTTTCTGCTCAGCCTCATATAATTTTGGAATTTCCGATACAACTTCGATCAACTTGACGTAAGCTTTTTGGATCCAAATATCGAACCATTTATTACAGTTTTCATTTTTGTTCAATTGCAAAGACTCCTTAAGAGAATCTTGATTCTTGACAAATTTCAAAATTGTTAGAATTTGCAACTTCACGGAAAACTTGCTGGATTTTTTCATTTTAACAAATGAATTGTTACCATTCATGGTGAGCCATAGCTTATTCAATAATTGGAAGAAACTCAATTGAGGATTGCTATCATTAACCATATCATAAGGCAACTCATCAGCTTGTAAAGAGTTTGTATCGTCAATTTTGTTCAAAATATCCAACAAGTTGCTGATCTTTCCGAAATTGTTGACAATCTGAATTGTCAAAATCGGTTTATATAGAATAAGAATGAACAACAACTTCAAAAAGTTATTGATCAAATAAATGATATCAAAATCAATATATGATAAATCTGCATCTTCTTCGGTTAGCAAAACAATTTCCTCCAAATTGACATACAACACGTTCAAGAAACAGTTCAAACAATCTTCTAAAATCGATTGAATGATTTGGTTTTCTTGCATATTTGAATCGTTCACATTGTCAATACTCAAGTAATAATCCAAAACATTAGCGTTGGAGACCTTGAATAACGAGGCATTGTTGACACTCAAAATAATATCCTCAAACAACGCCAAGGTGAAATTGATATTTCTGTAGTTAGACTCCATTATCGCATCGTTTTGAACTTGGGTATTTAGTTTGATCAATGTCAAAATTCTATTATCGGAATCCAATGTGAAATAATCAATATCAAGAACATTTTTCAACTCTTTTTCTACTTCATCTAACGATAAATTGCTGTTGTCATTAGATGAAACTTCCTGTTGGATTTTGTTATTGAATTGGTTTTCCCAAGCAATTTTATAATTATAATTTATCATCACATAACTCTCAAAGAAATTATTAAAATAATCGTAAAAATCATTCCATCCAAAATTATTAAAGTTGTCCAAAATGTAATCAAAGTTATTTTGAATTGATCTGGTGACTCTCGATATAGATCTCAACAATAAAGTAGAAAGAGATATGATTTCATCAATCAAGGCAATCATTGAGTTGTGAACCACAAACTGAACACATGGGTCAAAATTCATAACAAAATGAATCAACAAAAGTTTTTCGGTGCTCATGGTTTCAATCATTACCGAAATATTGTTAATCACACCAATACATTGAGATTCTTTGTCTCCCTCCGCATTGGTCAACGCAACAACCTTGTCCATGTTATCCTCATTTGAGTTTGCTTTGAGGGCATAGACTTCCATTAATTCTGAAGAAATCTTAAGGAATTGTTGCGACAACTTGATTGACAATTCATTGGAAAATGGTTTCAACTCAGCGGAAAAGGTGGTAATAAACTCATCAAGAATGGTGGTGAGAAAGTCAACCTCATACTCGGAAATCAATTGTAACAATTTGGACACAATTTTATTAACAGAACTTCTCAAATAATTTGTAATATCAGCATTCACCAATAACGATTTTAGAGCATCAAGTGCTTCAACTTGAATCAAGAAACAATCGGTAATATCGCTACTAACAGAATATGATTCTTCGTTTATGTCGTCGCCAAGCAATTGCATAACCCCTTTAAAGGCTTCGGACAACGCGGTCAAATCTGTAAAAGAATAGTTGAAACTTGCCAAAGCATCAAGAGCTCTAGCGGTTAAAAATAAATACTCATGGTTGAGAATTTCTGGAGTTATATATGAGTTAATCAATTCATCGATCTGCGATTTGATAGGAGAAGTTTCTTTGTTGACCAAATGGTGAGATATTATACCCATTAGTCTCAATGCTGCTTCAGCTTCCAAGGCATTTTGTAATTTACACGCCTTAAAATCGTTATTATTACCTGATAAATCTTGTTGAATTGATTCGGGAACGCTGTTGGTATCTTCAATTCCCTCTCTATAACTTTTTCTCTTGACAAAAATTTCATGCAAAAATTCAAATAGCCAGCCAATAACAGAATCAAAATAAGTGTTAGTCAACTTATACATGAAATTAATCGACGCAGTATCTGGTCTGTGTGTATCATAAGGCAGGTTATAAATCTTTCTGAAGAACTCCTCATCATCTTCGTAAAACAAGGACAAGTTTTCTTGATTCAATATTATTGAAGGGAATATGAGATACTGAATTAATGACTTCAAATTCGATGACAAGTAAGATTGGAAAATCTTTTCGTCATTTAATGTGAAACTGAAAAATCTAACCAAATAATAAAGTGAATCATCAAATATTAACAACTTCTTGGAATGCCATTGATCAATCAAACTGAAAAAGGTTTCAAAATACTGACCCAAAAACTCTTGTTGATAATAGACTTGGAAATTCTTCAATGATGCGCTATGTTGTTCGACATTAATGTTATACCTGTTGACATCGAATTTATCACCCTGGCCATATTTCAAGAAAATTCTGGTCAAATTCGCCATAGCCCATTTCTGAGATTTCATTCTATAATCCTTTTGATTCCCACAATTGAACTTGTAATTTATTGGGAAACCGAGTTTAGCAATATTTAATTGTATACCAATCCAATTGTCCATATGAATAAATTTATTATTCTCAATGGAGAGTAAATAATCAGGCAAATCATTGAACATGGTGAACTTGAAAATCTTTAGGGCTAAATATAATAAATGGAATTGGCGATTAAGTGAAGGATCCAACATATCGGCAGAAGTGACGTTTCCGAGGATAGTCATTGATAAGTTCAATAATATTGGACTCATGAATTGTGTCAACTTGTTGAGCAACACAATAGAATCATTGACTTGGTCAGCAATGTTGATATTGGAGGTTGTCGAAGTGTTGAAGCCTTGAATGGACCATCTATAATATTTTGATAATTCAAAAGTTATCAATAACGCACTCATTAAATGGCTAGAATTAATGATATTGTCGCTTGCTTTGCTAGTGTTGATCAATTCTTCAACGACCATCAACAATTCGTGCCCAAACATATTATTATCATTTTCAGAAGACTCCAAAAAGTTGGTTATTATAGAAGTTAAGTGAGTAACAATCACCCCACCTTGCTTGTTATTTTGTTCATCCAATTTGGTGATGGACTGGCTCAATACCTGGATCAAGTTGGATTTAACTGATACTTTATCGTTTTCATTGATCGAAATATTGCCCAACACTTTGGTAACTTGCTGATTTCTTTTCAACCAGTATCTAACAATAGAGTTCTTCACAAAAAGTACTGAAGACAATCTGATAAACCCATCAATTTCATCATCCACTGAAAGACTCAACAAGAAATTCAAGAAATTAGGTTGACTGAGGTTATTAAGTAATGATTGTTCCGCCAACTGTCTGGTATTGCTATCATTATCAAGGGTATTTACGAAGCATTGGATCACCTCTTGTTTGTTGAAAGACATTTTGGAGTGTCGCGCTTCCTTTTTTTTTTTTCCCTCAGTAAATGATTTTACCTCACACACTATAGATAATCTCTCACTGTATAAGAGAAAACTGCCTATACAGCCTTATTTTTCCCTAGTATAAAATTTTGCACACCCACCACCAAAAGCACAAACGAAAAATAGCAGGAAAAAAGAATCTCACGTGATTAAATTGTCATCTGGATCCAATGGTTTGGGTCAATAGGAAAAAAAACTTTCTTAACCCCGACTTACTCAAATATTTATATGTGAAAATCCTCCTATGAGATTTCATAGGTTAATTCAAGTATTAACCTCCGCGATAAAGAGTCGAAGAAACATGTCGATTGCTCCTATTAATCCTGACAAAGCTGCTAAAAAAGAAAAGAAGAAAAAAAAGAATGGAGGCGTCAAGATTACACCGGAGTACATAGAAGAACAAAGAAGATTGGCCCAAATCAGAAAGCAACAGAAAGCTTTAGAGAAGCAGCAGAATGGACAGGAGCAGCCAATAGAAGAAGCCAAAAATGCTCAGTTCATTAAAAGACCTATATTATGGTTAGATGACTCTCCATCCGAGAATGTTACATTGAAGATCATGACCTACAACTTATTGGCACAGTCACTCATTAGAAGAAGTCTTTTTCCGACTTCTGGAGAAGCTCTAAAATGGAATAATAGATCTGCTGTCTTATTACAAGAAATTCAATTTTACAACCCAGATATAATGTGTTTACAAGAAGTCGACGCGATTCAGTTCCAAAGTTTCTGGAAGTTAGAATTTGAAAAAATGGGGTACCACCATGAATATTACAGATATGGTAAGAAGAATCATGGGGTTGCCATAATTTACTCGAAGAAATATTTCCAAAAAAGTTCGACAATAAAATATATTAACTACGATGATGTTGAAAGTTATCCTGTGCAAGCTAGAACCAAGACTACTAACGTTGGCTTGGTCATGAAGTTGGACTTTAATGAAGGAGTTAAATGCGGGAGGCAAGGTATGGTTATTGGGACTCATCATTTATTCTGGCATCCACATGGGACATTTGAAAGAACTAGACAAACTTATGCTACCTTGAAGATGTTTTTGGAATTTTTGAATGATCAAAACTTGAAGGCGGAAGATTACTATCATTTTTTCTGTGGTGATTTTAATGCTGAACCATACCATTCGCCTTATTTGTCAATGACCAGAAAGCCTGTTTATTACGACGATGTTGCCAAGAGTGTTATTGAGGAATCAGTGACGCAAATATTCTCTGACGGACCAGATAAAGCCCCAGAAGAGCCTGTTGATGATCCAGATAAACCAAAGTATACTGCTGCCGCCATTGGTGCTCCAAAAGGTGTCCCTACTACTTCCAGTGGAACGGTGAATGCGGAATTGATAAAAAATCTTATTAAAATCCACAATGAATTGCCAATGAGGGCCATATCGTTGTATTCCGTTGGATACCAAGCAGTTCATCCTGAAAATAGCACTTATAGAAATGAGCCTGATTTCAGTAATTGGGCCCATACTTGGAGAGGATTATTAGACTATATTTTTGTTATTTCCCCTTGGGACATCACCCTGACCAAACATGACGTTGATACTGTTCAGGAATTGCAAGTAAATGAAGGTATCAAACTTAAAGGTCTTTTAAGAATGCCTCCGAGAAGCGAAATGCCAGATGAAGGACTTCCAAGAACTGGAGACTATGGAAGTGATCATTTATGTATGGTTGGAGTAGTAGAGCTTGTATAGATCCTAAAACAAAAAAATAGATGCATACATTAAAATAAATGATATATCCACAGTAAAGATAATGAGGTATAAAATTTATAATGTAAATTAAAATATTTAGAAAATATCTGAGAGCCACAAAAAAGAGGTCGTACCCGGATTCGAACCGGGGTTGTTCGGATCAAAACCGAAAGTGATAACCACTACACTATACAACCGTAGACGAATGTTACTCAGATCCAAGCTGTTAAATTACATATTATTTCTTTAATATGCAAGGGCACATAACCATCAAAGATAAATCCGTAGTACTGGTATATTTGATTTTGATTACAATAACATTCTACAAAGGCCTCACATTATTATTTCTCACTAATAATTGAGACAAAGAAATGGAGCATAACTTGAAGTGCTCAGTTGGTGCATTGATTGATAGAATCAGGACAGATGTCTGGACTTGAAAAGTATGTGGTGACACTTGAGACAGACCCATGGTACTGGTTCTTATTTGATTTGATTCAACTGGTTTATTTGTTTTTTATTATTCTCCCCGGAATTCTGATTGTCACTACTTTAAAAATACTTAGTATTAGAGATATAGTACCAAAACCCATAAACAAAGACTCCCATCTCAGCTCATGAAGCTCCCAGTGAGATGATTAATCCTCAAAGAAAAGAGTGTGATTTTATGAGAAAGTTATAGTATTTTACTCTACCTGTTAGAAAGACCGGCACAAAATGCCCGGCTTGCATATTATTAGAACCCCTCGATTGCTTTTTACTTTTCACCACCTACTACTACTACTACTACTACTACTACTACTACTAATACTACTACTACTAATACTACTAATACTACTACTACTACTATTTACCATTATTTTCTAATTCCTTTTATTACATTTTAATGGCCTTGAGAACTATTTTTTAGTTTTGAGAGAAGATCGAACTCTGTTACTGAAGGAGTTGATGGGGACACTGCTCGCAGTAACCTATCGATATTGAAGGTTATAATTGACCCAAAACACATGATAGCCAAATTCACTTCCAGTAATTTAGCCATGAAAGTCCTTGGAGGAGGTGCTCAAAGCCGCATTAGTGAGGGTTTTTGAAAAAATCTCGAAATTGCACAAAATGTTTGCCTTGTATCGTAACAACAACAATGTCAAACTATAATATGCAGCTAAATTCAATAGTGATAATAAGATTCGCTCAATGATTCAGATATAGGAACAAGATACAACAAGATTAGGTTTGAATAACAAATTGAAACATTCTGGAAGATAGAAATGATATTGATGAATTAATAATGATTAAGTTTCAGAGAAACAACAAAAGATATACTGAAAACTTCCAAGTCAAGTTAGAAAACTTGAATATAAATCTATTTTGAATCATTATTTGATGAAGAGTTTCATAATTCGTTCAAAGACACTGATACTCTAAGTAAATTTTACAAATAACATATACTAGAAAATTGCGGAGAACCTGATCTAAATTACCAAATATATCAGCTGGACTATAATTTGTTGAAAGCCATTCATCTTCACATTGTGTCCCTATCCTCCTTGATTTTTTACAGAATAATAACGATCTCAATAATATTAACTGATTCTTATTAACCAAAACTTTTGAACAAGATACCAAACGAATCTCAATATTGATATAATTTAAGTGCCATTTAGTCGAAAAAAAAAAAAAAAAATTCAATCATTTGGGAAATCGAGATCTTGAAACCTTGCGGGTGAAACATGCTGGCCCCAGCTATATACGCAAATAATGCAAGTTCTCTGAATAGCAATAATAATATTTAAAACTCAGTCAATATGAAGCACAAACTTCAAAAAACCAACTTAATAAGTTTCTACGTATCTCCAATTCTGAATAACCAGTCAGTTCATAGTGTTATATTATTGTACATAATGCATTCCTTTTATACAAGGCAAATTCTAAAACCCTTCTTCATCATTCTCGAGCTCAACTCTCTTCTTACCATTCAATTTAGCAGCATTAGCATACTCGGTCAAATTCTTTTGCTTCTTTACTTTTTCAGTCATCTTAGCAATTTCTTCCTCGGCATTCTCAGCATCCTTTTCAGCGTAATCAATATTCAATCTTCTACCCAACAAATGGACACCTCTCAAAGAATCCATTGCATTTTCTGCTTCTTTCAATAAACTGAATTCCACAAACGCAAAACCACGAGCTGATTTGTTGAACTTCTTTGGAACCCTGACAGATTTCAACTGTCCAAAAGAACTAAATAATTCAAACACATCTTTTCTAGTGGCTTCAAATGGCAAGTTCTTAACAATGATCTTGGTTGACTTCTTACCTTTACTGACCTTGTTGGCTGAGGAGGCGCTGTTGGTAACTTCACTTTTACGATGGGACAATTTCAATTGAATTTTGTGATCATCAATAATCTTTCCATCATTTTTCTTAATACAATCAAGAGCCTGATCTTTTGTTTTGAATTCAACGAAACCAAAACCCATACTGAGAGTCTTTCCTGGGGTTTTGGAATCTGGCTTGGTGCTAACTTTAGCAACAATGAACCCAGTGCAAGTTTTGAAAATGTCCAGCAAATCTTGGGAGGTTGTCTTGAAATTCAAATTCTTCACAAACACTGAGGTAGTAATACCAGCAAAAGGCAATTCATTGTCATTTTCATCTTCACTGGCATCATCATTCTTGCCGACCAAATCATCAACTGAGAGCTTAGTTTCCTTGACATTAGATTTTTTCTCAACAGTTTCAACTTTATCTTCAGCACGAACTTCACCACTGAATAAATCTTTTGGACCCTTTTCCAAATACAAGATATTTTTCTTGAATCTTCTATAAGCCAACTTCGTGAATGCTGACCTACCAGCTGGCACATTCTTGAACTCCACAATAGCAATTGCCCCCGTTGGTGGAAACAAAACTCGGTTCAATTCACCGTATTGACTAAATAACTCTGTAATTTCAGTGACAGTGGTGTCATATGGGAAATTCTTTACCAAAATAATTTTATCATCTTTCTCCTTTTTGTTGAATGATGTTAAATTAATGCCTTTGCCTTCAAAATATTTTCTCACATCACCAATAACGTGAGCTTCGGCTAAGGCTTGCTTGACTGCACTACCAGAAGACTCAGGGTCAACCAAATCTCTTTTATCAACCCCAATTTTGCTGGCAACCGCTTCCAAAACCGCAGTTTCGTTTAAAAACAATGAATTCCAACTGAATGTAGACTTTGTTGCTTCAAATTTTCTCTTCAATTCACGCTGTTTCTTTAATGGCAAATTCTTCAAGTCAAATTCATCCAATTTATGCGATTTCTTTATTTGCCCTGGCAAAATATGTAACAATCTACCTTGGAAAATTTGTTTGTCCAAACTGTAATAAGCTTGCACTGCATCTTCTGGATTCTTGAATTGAATATACACAAATCCCTTAGATTTATGAGTTCTAGTATCAATGGCAATGTGTACTTCTTCCAATTCACCATATCCCTGGAACAAATTGGTAAAATCTTCCTCGGAGGCAGTATATAAGATGTTTCTGATAAACAATCTACCAGTTTTTCTTATCTGGTCTTCTGTAGATTCCTGTACAGGTTCCTCATGGGCAATTTGTGGTTGTTCTTTGGTTGGTCTCTTTTCAATTGGGTCATTGTTAATTTCTGCTTCTGATTTATTGTCCTTAATAAGCTTTCGTTTACCATGTAACCAATCAAGATCAGAAATATTTTCATTGGCACCATCATTTGGTTTTTCTTCACTGACCACATCTTCATCATCATCATTTACCAGTTGTTCCTCCTTATTATCAAAATCTTTCAAGCTAATCATTTTTTCGCCTTCTTCTGATTCATCTTGTTTTTTTCTTAGTGTTGGAGTCTTTGCAAATTGTTGATACTCATCATCACTTTCTTGATCCACTGGAATAGGTTCTTGCTGAGGTTCCTGATTTCCGCTTTTTTCAACAGTCCCTATTATACCGTCATCCCAAGAGCTGACTTTTGCACTGCTTTTAGTGGCTTCCAAAAACTCTTTCAATCTTGGATTGTTGGCAATCTCTTGATCAACATCTGCCGTAGCGTTGACTCTGATTCTCTTTGCTCTATAATCTTCTTCCTCCTGTTGCTTTCTTTTCAATCTTTCTTCGTGTTCTTCAAGTCTACGTTGTCTCTCTCTAATCATTTCCTTCATTGGTCTAGGAACTGTCGGATCGGCAAAAGTTTTTGCTAATTGGACTTGGATTTTGGCAGTATGAATAAAGGTATTGTCAAAGTATTTCACAGCATTTTCAGCATCTTCTAGGCTTTTGAACCCCAAGAAGGCGAACCTTCTGGATTCACCATTTCTGCCTTTCATCAATTTGACATCGGTGATATCTGGGTATTTTTTAGCAAAATGCTCTTTAAGATTATCTTCTGTAAAGTATTTTGGCAAGTTTTTGACAATCAAACGAGACCTGACAGAGAAAAAAAAAAGTTAGTAGAAAGTTCTTAGCTCACATTGATAAAATTCAAAAAAGACAATATGAGAAATAACACATACATTATTATAAGATATAAATATACTGTTACTTATGATTTGTCACTATTATAAAGAATAGTTAACTTTTTCACATACAGAAATAATTTTTTTTTTTTTTTCTCTAAAATTTTTTTGAATGTCATCACCGGCTTGCAGCATCTAACCTTACCATGCATTAATCGAATGAATCTCTCTATATGAGACCTTTCACTCGGGCTCCAGTAGAATTGTTGAGGAAGTGATTATATTATCATCAACTATAACATGTAGTTTATTATTGTTTAAATCACCCATAAGTAATCAACTAGAACATTATATGACCAGTGTGGTATAAACTCACAAAATCATCACTTCACTTCTCAAAAAATATGGATTTTATGCAATGTCAATACTGGTAACAACTTCTCTCTCTCAAGGTTGGAATTGAAATGCGTAAATAAACAGACTTCCAATTTACGAGTGTAGCATGTGGTAAAAAAAAACACCTTTCAAAATGAAAACTCTGAAAGGACCTATCCATTATAATAAAAATACACATAAGAAGCAATTATTTTGAAATAAAAAATGATAATAATACATCTAACTGAGGAAAAAAAAAAAAAAAGAGAAATAGAATCCATTTAGCACTCTCAGCTTCTTCCACTTCTTACTCGTCCTCTAGAGGATCCCCTTCCTCTTCCTCTCAGATTACCTCTTCCTCTATGACCATTATTTTTACCCCCACGTCCGCGGCCATTATATTTGTTCGACCCTTTGTGTCTTTCAGTCCTTTTGTCAAAACTGGTTTCATCGGAGCTATTATTTTCATCGCCCCCATCATACGACGTATCATGTCCTTTTTCATCCTCATTTTTGATGGTGATGCCTTCATCATCCCTTTCTTCTAGTACATCTGCATCCACGGCGCGTCCATGATTGTCCCGCTGACCAGCTTCAAATGATTCATCAGGATATCCGGCACTATTAGGATTCATCGATTGAATTCCTTTAATAATATCACTCAATTCGTTGTCTGACTGAGTTTCTTGCTCCAGGGTACTAAGGTTTCTAAAACTAAAGTCAAAGCCTGTGGAAAAGCTTTCCATTTGGAATCTGGAATCTTGTACATTCAAAACAATATAGCCATTATTCAAATCACAAAGATTGAAGTGCCATAAGTTTTGAAATGCCGAATAATAGGCGTCATTTTGCCGTTTGGAAATAACTGGATCATTCGCCAATGATGTTTTATTATATAATGATAGTGGGATAATATTTTTATTTGTAGTTGAAGAAGTGAAGTCTTTTGGGTTGCCGTTCTTGACAGTTAGTGAAGAATTTGGGGCAAGGGTGGATGAGGAAATAGGAATTCGGTCGAAACAATTGAGAGCAATTTCAAACAATTCTGAGATCTCCTGTTTATTTGGATTTTCTTCTTTTTCAGTTATCAATTCGATTGTTGATTTGATATTTTTCCAAATCTTGATGAGCTGTAATTTCGAGTCGATAAATTTGTTTTTGAAAAATTCATAGTTGGGGCATATCGACAACTCGTTATATGAAGAGCTATAAAGAAAATGGAGAGAATTTGAGATGATATAATCAGCCTTTAAAAAAATCCCCAAATGTCCGAGTAATGATTCTTTTGACGGTGATGAATGTGTGATGAATAATTTGACAGAATTTTTTGATGCACTTGGATTGGTGCTAAAATGATCACTCACAGTCTTGATAAACCTGCCAATTTGTAACAAAGTTATCCATAGGTTACCTGGATCTCCTGACGTTGGTACAAAGAAATTATCATTCAACCGATGATCTGATGGAATTTTATTAACTTCTGCTTGAATCGAGTCATCATAAGTGCCGTGGAAAAATAATTTGGAAATGTTTAATGATCCACCAAGGCCAAACAAACATAGATTAAGGTTAAGCTCGCTAATATTGATATCATAAACGTTACTTTCATCGATCAAGTGTAAATTGGGAATTTTGTAGATACCCAATTTAAAGCGATTTATCACACTGGTATCTTCAATCATCCCATAAATTGTGTAAACCGGTACATTAAACTTTAGTTCTCCTTTCAAGAACCTAGGAAGCTCTGATAATATTTCGTGTTGTACATAATCAATAAGTTTCCCTTCACCAGAAAACTCATTTGCAGGACTGACTTTGGAGAGCCTGTTAACTTTTTCTTTGACTTGCTCGCCAACAAGAGGAGAGAAAGCTATTATATGCCTTAGGTAGCTTTCGTGAATCCTTGATACACTTTTTTCGTCAAAGAACCCAAAGTTTCCTGTGTGAATGATAATCGAAGCGTTGTGCTTGGCAGCTAGTACATTTAGTTTGTGCAATTCACCCCTGAGTTCCGCCACACATAGTATTCGGAAGCCTTTATAGATTAAGACCTCTTCATTATCCATCTTGGATCTTTTGTATCGGATCTGGAGGTTGTCGAAGGCGATGAGGAAGGTACATTATCGATTATCGTTTTTCGGCCTTTCTAACGACAACATCGCGCGAGATTCGGGTAACTTAACTTCTGCTAGCGGCCGCCTTATTTATTTTATTTTTTTTATTTTTTTTTATTATGGCTGAGAGGACCGGCAGAATCGGCCGCCCCAATCTTTGCCGCAACAGGAAATAACATTGGAGACAGGGTGTTTACAAGGTACTGGCTATTATCTTCAATAGGGGGGACGTTTAACAAGCGTTATTGTTGTGGGACCCTCGCGCATAGTCCACTGCCACCATTACAGTCAGTCATCATACTTCATACCAGTGCTTCTTCGCCTAGACACCACAGACACTAGCTCTTCACACAGGCGAAACTCGCCATCTTACCAGCTGGGCCCCCAAGTAACCCGGGGCTGTAGCAAGTGGGGGGTGACGGACGGCAGGAAAGCTAAATCATCAAAGGAGAAAAAAAAAAAAAATTGGCGTGTTTCGCAGTGACATCTATATATATTCACACTGTTATTCTATTGTTACCTTTTTCCTTACCAAGATACCTGGCTCCCCCATCGCATGCGCGGATCAGTGGTCTTTCGCTACTTTCTTATTTTTAACTTCTAAATATTCAGCAGACAAACATGCCCGAATCTTCATTCGATGTCGATGTCGAATCTTCTGCTTTGAAGAAACCTCACCATCATGTTCGCCGTCGTTCTTCTTGGAACCGCATGTATATATATTTGCTCACAATTATTTTCTTGCTGCTCACGTTATTTCTTTTAAACAGCTACAACTCTCGTGTCTTTGAGCTTAGTAAAGGGATCAAAGCTTCATCGTCTTCATCAGGACATGCGGTAGATGATAGCATAATGTCCACACCAAACCCTGGAAAAGTAAATAATAATGAGATCAAAGCCACTATACTGAAGGAAGAAGATGATGAGGTTGCCTCAAAAAATAGTAAAGCAGCTGCTGCGGCCGCCGCCAATATTCAATACACCACCGACAAAAATGGCAATGGTGCTAGTAGCAAATTATTGATGTCTGATGACTTGTCAAATTCAAAAACAGTGCCGAAGGCAACCAAAGAAATCAATAGCGAGCAACAGAAGATCAAACAGGAATCAGTGAGTAACAAGGAAAATAGTGTGCACAATAGTGAGGAAGTTCCAGCGGGTCGTAAAAAAAGTGGGTTCGATCCAAGTGCCGAATTCAAAGCTATTGTTGCTCTATCCCCAGTAGTGATTTTTACTTGGGAAACAAACAATCCAATTCCATTAAGTAATCACAAAACTTCTAGCTCATCAGGCTCCGACGACTCATCCTCATATCGCGCCTCAAAAGATTTATTAAAAACTTTGGGTGAACATTATCAAATCACACCCGTACCAACTTACGTTTCTTTGGACCGTCATCCACATTACAAAGAGTTGGCAATATACATAAACAGCCTTTACCATAAGCTCAACTCAAAGGATACTCACTCTATCATTGCTCCGTCTCCAAAAACTGATAGCAAACCAAAATCCAGAGCTGAGTCCTTAATGACTGACAAGGAAAGCATAAATGGAAAAAAATCCCCAGAGCATCAAGAAGAAGAAGCCTCATCATACTATTCCAAGAGAGAACTTGAAAAAAGTAGCTATTCTTTGCCTGAACTAATGAAGGGTGAAAATATTTTGCCTGGAATAGTCATTGCCGGAAAGCCGATTGGCAATTCACGTCAATTAAAGGCTTCGCACGAAAATGGTCAATTACTTTCTATTTTAAAGGATTTTGGTGCAGGAATTGTTAATATTGAGAGAGTGGGATGAGAAATACTTGCAAAACGTCAGAAATACTAACCTCATCTCCAACCTTTACCCCAATATTGTCATCCGCGTACTTACAGATGGGTCTCCTTTTATTCTTTATAGAAGTGAAACTTAAATGTATCGAAGTTATGAGTGAATAATTATACCCTACCCAGGAAAAACAAAAACGTATATTAGAAAAATGAAAAAAAAAAAAAAAATAAAAAGGAAAAATATATTTGTCAATACCCTTTTTCAATAGTGCCACTACATCCATACTATTTATTTAACCATGCCTAATACATTGAGCAAATCCCAAAACATTAGAAATAATTATCTTTGGGATCCCCTGCCTTCTTAATATCTTATAGAATCTTTGGCTTTCAACTTACCGAAGTCTAATTCTGCGAATTTTTCAGAACATTATAGTCTTTCTTTTCTCAAAAGAAGAAACCCGATTGAACAACTCCATATAGGCATTTCTTGCCTTCATTACACATGCTTTTTGATTAATTCAACCGTTGTTTCGTTCATCCTAAAAACGAAACATTTGGTAGTCAATGCTAGAGCGTTCAATGCATTGAGATATTCTCTAACCATCATTCCATGCACCCATATCATTGCACTTTGTTTGTTTATCATGAAACCTCATATGTCCATTTTGTTTTTATGTATTTATCTGATGATTTATTTATGTATGCTTTTCACTTTTTCTCATTTTTTTGTTGACCCTGTTTTATGTATATTTGGTTTTTGTATATCAATGTTTCCACTCTTTTACTAGCTCAATTTCTTCGATTTTTTTTTTTTTTTGATTTTTCCAATTCCAACTTGCTTTTTTGTTCCTCTATCACTCCGTAAAAGTGTACAACTTCAAGAAATTTGAATGATATAGAAAGAATCCTAGGAGTAGAGATGCAGTTGGCATAATCTTCCTGTCCATGTCTTGGACCCATTAAAAAAAAAAAAAACAATCCTAATTGATGTTACGTTAGTATCAAAAAATATAGAAGACATTGCCTTACCATCAGAAATCCTAAACGAAACTTTACTACCAGCAGAAAACGTAAAATTGTTTCTGATATCATAAATATCCATTCCAAATACGGTAATTTTCTTTGAAGTACATAATCTTCCATTTGTGGCGCTACCACATGGAAGATCTATACTTAGAATTTTGGTCTAATAAAGGTAAATTGAATTCCCAAAAAAAAAAAAAAAAAAATGTTTGATCATTACCTGGTTAGGAAAACAATCAATATCCATTGTAAAGTATTCTCTTTTCTTTTTTTTATTTTAATCACTTTTTGAATTATTAGTTTTTTTTTTTTTTTTTTTTTTCCCTTTTGAGCACTACATTGTGTACCAGTTTTATTGAGAACATTACCTTGCGGCTCAATAATAGGCAACGGGAAGCAATTGACAGTGATGAATCTTTTCTTTGGTCATAAGAAAAAGAAATTGATGAAAGAAATTGAAAGAAAATTGAACGAATGAGGTAATTTGTAGTGTAATAACTGGTATTTCTATTTCCTGCAGCAGAGACAAACAGTATTCCAAGCTTCTTGAGGATCAATTTTCATTCCCAATGATTGGGTATTACGCAATATAAAAAAACTTCCTCTACACTTTACACATAATCAATGATAATATGAGAAAAAAGAGTAGAAAAATGTACTGCAAGGAACGCATCTAAAAATTCGTACATACCAAATACAAGCCTGCTCAGATACCGTGGAATGATGGATTTTCCCATATCCAACCGCCGCATGTTGAGAAGTTACCATCATGCAGGATGGGTGGTCGCGTGTATTGTAAGATCACCAAATGGGATAGTGTTGGCAATAATAATCGTTGATAATATACAAGAAATAGTAAATATAATATTATTGTATCAAGAAACTAGTTGAAGAAATATTTAGAATTTTGTATAAATATATATATATATAAAAGGATTTGAAAAACTTTCAGGGTCAGTTATTTTTTGCTTCTAAATCCTTTGCCTAGAGGAGAGAGGCTCATGGAATCCAATTGAGGGCACATTCTGCAATATTCAAAAGGCTCAGCACCAATAAGAAGATAGAAAAAAACGTTAAAGAAAAAAAAAATAAAAATGAAAATAATGATAGCAGAACTTGTTATTGATCGTCAGTACCAAAAAATGCCTTGCATGGCACCACTAAACCTCAATGGCATGTGCGGTGGGGTTTAGTGTCTTTTTTTCATCATGACAACAAGAATGAGAAAGCCGAAAAGAGTGTTCCTTACGATTTTTTGCCCACACTAATGGAAAAAATGTGCATATTGGGTTAAGTACCGACTTCGTTCAATCTTTGCTCAGCTCCTTTATCTTTTCCTGTCGTATAAATAATCACTCATTTCCTGACTTTCATATCCCTGATCTGTGTTTACTTTTTCTTTTTATCATCATCAAACAAACAAACTTGTTAGTCATTCTTTAGCTTTCTTTCATTTGCACACGCTTATCTTTTGAACTTCTTCAAATCGATCCAACCAACAAAATCCTAATTCATTATTATTAATCAAAAAATGCAATTCTCTAAGACCACTGCCATTGCCTCTATTGTTGCCCTTATGAGCGCTCAATCCGTTGCTGCTGACGAGTACAACACCTCTCCAGTCACTGTTTTGACTAACGATGGTACTACCCAAACCATCTGGTGGGTTCCATCTACCAGTGACACTTGGTGGACTCCAGAATGGTGGAGTGACTATACCGCTGCTGGTGGTAAACTTGCTACCCACACCGGCTCTTCCACCTGGACCACTGTCAGTACTTACACTACCACCAGTGATGGTAAGACTTACACTACTTCTACTACATACACCACAACTGGTACTGATTCAACCACCTCTACCTCCAGTACATATCCAGGAACCACCACCACTGGGTCTGTGAGAACCACTAAGATCGATGGTACCAGTACTACTATCACTCCAACTATCGACATTTTCACCACCACCGATAAAAAGGGCTCCGCTACCACCACCACCAGTACTCTCTCTTCTTCCACTAATGGTGCCGCTAAGGTTTTAAACTACAACAGAGACGGGAACTTCTTGCAAACTGTTGCTGTTGCTGGTGGTTTGTTTGGCTTGGGTGTTACTCTCTTGACTTTGTAATGAGTTTATATTCTGTATCACTTTATTCACTATCTTTATCATATTTCATTTCTTCTTGTCCATTGTTTTATTTAATTCTTTCTAGTGATTCTGGTTAATTGCTGGCTCATTCTTCCTATTCTCATCCTTTTTAATTCAATTGTTCCTATTTGCATTTTTTTTCCCACTTTATTCTTTTCTCCATACCATAGCTAATTCCTTTATTGTTTTTCATTAATTTGTCTCATATATCTTCACCTGTCTAGAAATATAGCAGCTTTAATCCTTGATTTATACAGCCTTGTAAGCATTGTTATTATAAGTACAGTCATGTTGGGCTTTTTATTGCTTTGTGCACGTCACACGCCCCTTCGCTTTGCTTACAGCGCCCCGTTTTTTCTTTTCTTTTGAAGAAGGGCTGAAGTTGCCCATCTGTTTTATATATATATATATATATATATTTATATAATGAAATCTTGTGATTTTTTCCTCGCTTCTCAATTTTTTTTTGTTCTTCTACTTCTTCTTTTGCTCAGTCAGACAAGTTGTTGTGCTATCACTCACTTATTTCCTTTTACCTCGGTCCCCACACCAGATCACTTTGTGTCACACATAAATTAAGTGCATACATCATCTTTTTTTTGCTTCGTTCTCTTCATATCCCTTGTGAATAAAGACAGCAAGTGAACTTCTTGAAAAAACAATCACCATGGGAATTTTTGGCAGAAAGAAATCTCACAAGAGAAGTGTTTCCAATAGCTTCCAAGATGCTCGGAAGAGTGTCGTTATCTCCAAAATGGATCAAGATAAATTGAAAGTCAGAACCATTGGTGTCCATGATCCAATCTTGAACGCCATCAATGAGCAACAGCCTTTCCAGGAAGCGACAATGCAAATGGATGCTTCAAAATTGAATTCATTGTCAATGATGGCATCCAAGAAGCCATTCAATGATGCGTTTGGCAACCCAATTGTCAGAGGAGACATGTCCAACCCAACGAGACCTAGGGATGAACGTCCAATGGATACTATTAGATCCTTTGAATATGCCATTTCTGGAGATCCTTTCTACAAAAGTAATTTAGAGACTCCTCTTTATGGCTGGAACGTCAGGCCAACGTACCTGTCGCAACCTGGAAATCTAAGAAGTGGAGACATGATGCCAAACTACCAGACCAATCCTTACGATAATTATGCAAATCAGAATCACTCTACAATTCCAAGAACTTTTGAGCAGCCAGTCTATCAACCAAAGAAGAAGGAGCCAGAGCAAAAGAAAAAGAAGAGAGGTCTTTTTGGCAAAAGTAAGAAAAACAAGGCTTGAATAGAATTAGAGATTTAGTCCCAACTTTAGTTATCATTACATCTGATGGAGACTTGGAAGCCACGCCCAGTTTGCTAATGTCCCTACTGCCACCTATTGTTTATATGTTTCATACTGCTTGATGTTTTTGACTCTTACTTGGCTTGAAAGGCTTTTACGACGATTTATTTCTTGAGAATTTTTTTTTTTTTTGTGTGTATTTTGGTTTTGGTTATGACTTTTACGGATTTTCTTTCTTCATTCAATTTCTTCTTCTGAATTGCCTCAGGTCAATGAAGATGAAGATTGATTTTATTATGATTATATATAATGTTATGTTAAATTGCTTCACTTCGGTGTTAAATTAATTCACTTTAGTAAATAAGGTCCTGAACTGTCAACTCCCTAATAATTGAGGTTTTGGGAGGCACCGCCCCGTCTCTCCATCTGGTACGCATGGACTCGCAGCGTTGTAAATCTCGCTCTCCCCACTAAAACAAGAATATAATGTAGCCAGAAAACAAATTATTAGCAAAAGCCCAGAAGTTGTGGATCAAAATAGCGACAATACAAACTACAAAAACATAGCCTAATAAAACCTTATTTGAAAACATCATGATATCATGACTCCTTCAACAATCAAGTGGAAACAACAATGTGATTCTAACAATCAAAGCATAGCACAAATATTCTTCTATTTAATAGCGTGTACGGGAGGGGAAAAAATCATGGATATCGCGAATATCATTTTATTGTATACTTTGTGTGTATTTACATGTGTGTTCCATGGATCAATTTATTCAACTGCCATTGACTGCTATTTTGACTGACTTGATCCTAAGCCGGAGCTAATTCTTCTAGTAACTCAGCCTAGATCAAACAGCGCCACCAATGGGCAATTGAAATTTTTTCCACAATTGGTATTTCTGACAAAAAATAAATAATAATCTTGGATTCGGTATTTTTTGTACAGAGATGAGATGGGGGACCATACCATATCAAACCATATCATCCATCCCTCCGTGGAATTTGGAATGTTTTTTTGTGTATTATGCTGCTCATTAAGGGGGTGGATGGATGGGTGGGGTGGCTAATGCAAGGTACGGATCTATTATTCAGCAATCGTGCAGTGGAAGATAATGTGGACGGACAGGAAAGAAAGGATACAGAGATTCTTACCACAGAATAATAATTTCTTTGTTTTTTTTTTTTTTTTATTTCTGGTAATACAAGATCATCCTGCCTACCTGTAAAAACACGCAAAAGGTTCAGTAATCAACGAATTCAGATAACAGGCGGGCAAATATGTAAGTGATGAAGAAAACAAAATGTAACGTGTACTCAACGACAAAAAAAAACAATAACAAACAAACTAGCTAATCAGATTCACAAAACAAAAAATTATAAAGATAGAAATAATAATCAAGAAAAAAAAATAAATAAATAAATCAATAAATTAGTGTAGGAAAAATTAAATTATACTCAAGATTATGGCACCAACAGTAGAGAGAAAACAAAAAAAAGGAAGATCACCTCAAAAAAAGCCCATCAATTCATTCTTTTTCTTGTGTGTACCACCAGAAAACATAACAATAACTTTAAAATTCCGAAATTGTTGCAGCTGGATAAGAATTCTTATTTGCCTTTTCCCAGAAATCTAATGAGGCAACCACATCGTATCCATTACTATCAACGTAGGCATATAAAATCTCCTGAGAACTAGCATGTAATAACCTAATACCTTCTCCAGTAATAATTCTCAACAATTCACTGGTGTTGCAATCTCTAATTTCAATAAAGTTGTTGTCGAAAGATAACAAATAAGGATACCAAAGAGCAAATGATTGTGGCAAACCTTCCCAATGAATAATCCAGGTAGGGCGAGATCTCCAACCATTGACATCAACAAAGAAAGAAAATTCGGAATACGACAACAAATAATCGGAATTCAACTTGTAAATCGCAATTGGTTTCAATCCTTCTCTTCTCGTGACAAAATCCAACGAAGTGTCTGCAGGATCCAATAATTGTTCCATTGAGCCTTGCTCAATTGATACAACTTGGAAACCTCTGGTACAACCGACAATACACAACTTGGACTTCAAAAATGAAATAGAAACAATTTCAGAATTAAATGGCATTTCCTTCGACTCGCTCTTAAACTTCTTCTTGGCAATCTTTTTTCTTGGGTCAATTGGCTCAAAAATTTTGATGGAGTGAGAAGAGCCGTTTTTAGCAGCGCACACTAGTCTTTTCCCATTTATGACCCCGACCCTGAAAAATGAGACATGTGTTAACAATTCTTTACCCTTTTTAGAGTTTTCTTTGGCATTAAAAGATTCCAAAACATCCAATGGCCAACAATATAACTTTTTATCACAAATTGCAATCAAAGTTTGGTAGTCATCCAACACCTCAATTTGGGTAACGTTTGGTTTATCAATCACATTGATTGGATTGGAAACCACTCTGGATTGTCCGTTATCAGAAACACACATTCTAATGGTCGAAACATAAATCCCCGAATCAGTACCACAAACCAATCTTCTTCCACCATAAAATGGAATAGCACAATTAATTCTGTTAGTTTGATGATTGAAAAATCTTTCAGTCAATGGGTTTAATGTGAAAATATCATTCAACTTCTTTAATTTAGTTTGCTGTTGTTCCACCGCTTCATACAATGCTCTTTGTGTTTGGAAATTCTGCGAGTATAAAGTCATATCATAACCTCTTCTTCCGATATACACAAATGAAAGTGGATATTTCAAAGTGGAGTTATTGGAAGATAAGTCAATCTTCAAAGTGTTGGATCTTCCACCAATAATACTGGCACTAGAGTTGTTCTTAGAGTCGGTTAAAGGCAATGAAGTGCCAGAGTTGGCATTGTTAACAGCCGTGGAGCTGCCTGCCGTACTCTCAGCAATAAAAGTGCTACTATTTCCAAAAAGCAAACTAGCATTAGTATTGGTACGCGTCAAGGCAAAAGAATGAGAAGTAGTTTCTTTGGCAACAATTTCTCTAAGATTCATTGGTTCTTCAGTCATGCTGACATAAAGCAATTGGACTGGGATTGGTCTTTGGAACACTTTGTGCTGCTCCCTCTTGTTGACTTGCTTTATTTTAACAAACAACAAAGTATTGTCCAACAAATAAACTTGAATGTCGTCATTGTTACGCCTGGATAAGTTTCCATTATACAATATTCTTCTTTGCTCATCAGTCAACTTCAAATCCACAAACTCACCAGGTTTGAAAACCAACTGTTGTTTCAAGATTGCCAATTGATATTTATCACTAGCATAACCTGTTTCCTTATTAATCTTTGCCAACAATTTCTCCAACATTTCAATAGCCTTTTTAATATTCTTTTTATCTGGATTATCGTCTTTGGTTCTTTTCAAAACTTGTCCCAACAATAATGGATATCTTGCCGGTCTTGAAGTTGGCTTGGACAAAAAGGACGACAAATCCAATCTTCTTGATTCCTTCAATCTTTCAGTCTCTGCAACGAACTTGGAAAACGCTGGATTGGTTTGTTTTTGTCTTTCGAATTCATACTTCCCGAAAATCCTATTAGCGGCATACTTAACAAATGGATGGAATCTTGGGATGAAGTTTATAAAAATATCACCGATTTGAGATACCACTGGCTGTTGCTTTTGTCTTGCTGTTAATTCCTCGGCCATTTTGTTGTTGATCATAAGAATTTCATTGATACCACCAAAAACTTTCCGAATGAACGATTCACGTTCTCTTTCAGGAATAATATTCTTGGTTTTAAGTGGGATGATCCAGAAATCTTTAATATATTCTAAATCCTTGACAAAATCCCTTTCAGTATAAATTGTTTCAAAGATAACTTCCTGTCTCTTTTTCTCTCTGTCCTCAACACTTTCCAAGATCTCTTTTGGAACACTGTATGACCACAAAAGTTTTGAAGATTCATCACCATGCACAGAGCTTTTACTTTCAATCCTCTTGAGTCCACCTTGAGGTTTCATATTCAATCTAGCCTGCTGTTCAAATCTCCTTGGACATGCAATGGAATAACACAAATTTTCTCTAGTACAAGTCGGTGAGTAACACTCTGTCAATAATGTGAAAACCCCATTAACCTCAACCGGCGCTTGAGTAACTGAGCTTTTCGCTTGAGGGATTTCAACTGATTCTTCGTAATCTAACCCATTATGACCAACAAGAGTAGCTTGTGAAGCTGAGCTAAAAGAGTCTTGTCTTGATGAGCTTTGCAAGCCTTCCAAAATTTCGTTAAATTGATACACTTCTTGTTTTGAATCTCTTAGCCTGTGTTCATACGTGACGTCATGAAAAAATTTCTGAGCATCAAGAGCACGTCCTAAAAGAAGGGCCAAGCCACGATCATTATTTCTAATAATTAAACAAATGACATTGATCGCTTCTTGTCCAGTGAACGCATCCCTATAGGTCAAGCCATTTTTATCCCGTTCACCCAAGGTAAGGAGTTCTCTAAATTCTTTGGCGACCTTGGACAACATTGCAGGATATATATAAGCTCTTTTTGGCCCGAAAAAGGCCTTGCTGCTAGACACAGAAGTTTGAGATCGAGATGGGGTTCTAGACGACATTGATGATGCCGATCTCGAAGGTCTCATCAATGCATTGATACTTTTTGATTTTGAATTTAAATTTGTTTGACTACCAAATTGATCTGTTGATTGGCCATTAATATTACCACTGGTATTGAAGATATTGTTTTGACTCCCATTATTCCACAAGTCTAGCTTCTGTGGTATAATTCTCCCATTTAAGTTTCTGCTACTCATGGACCCATCATTTTGGCTTCTGAAGCTTGAATAAACACCATTGGTTAAAGATTTTGTTCTAGGTTGCTCCTGATAATTTATACTACCCTGAGACATTGATCTGCCATTATTGTTGCTGATGGGATAGCCACTACTGACTGCACGGCGACCAAAATTGAGGGGCGCAACCACATCATCGCTTTCAAGGGATTGCCGTTGTGTTGATTCTGGTTGCAGCAGCTGCTGTTGCAGTGTCTGCTGTTGATATTGTCGACCAGGAGGTCCTAATTGCAGAGATTGCTGTTGAGGAGAGTAAGGCAATTCATTATAAGAACTACCAGCCACAGGAAAATTTCCAGCAAAAGATGGTGGCAAGCTAGGCACTTGCGCTTGTGGGGCCTGCGAAACTTGTTGATTTGGATAAACTTGTCTGTCATTGCTGGCATATGTTGGCATTTGATTACTAAAAATGTGCTGTTGTTCTTGAGATCTCATATGGGGGCCGCCTAATTCTGGGAATGACCTTTTGCTTTTTATATTTGGATCAAGACTATATCCTTGTCTCTGGTCAGCGGGAAGATTCGTTTGCAAAAGCTGTACAGGAACATTCTCATATTGAACCCCTGGGTTGTACAGATCCAACTTATTTTGATCGTGATACCGGCCATTATTTGGCAAGCGAGGATTCTGTTCACGGGAAGGAGAAGACTCGAACCTGCTACCACCGAATATATCATTGAAGGTCTCCTGCCGCTGTACGTAATTTTGACCAGACATCTGACTAAGAACTTCCTATCACTTTACTCCCAAGATTTTTTTTTTTCCTCTCTCGTGCTTTAGGAGGCTCCTAATAATAAAATTCTAGATGAAGAGATACTGAATAAAGTAACAATGTTGGTTGATCAAGCTTCTTATAACCAGATAAGAATCTTAAGCTTATATTCAGAAACTAACAAGGATGTAATTTCAAAAACAGCAAACCAAACCTGAATCAATCAGTGATTATGTAGAAATTATACCAATCAAAAAGGCGATGAGCAAACGAACATACAAGCTACTATTAGCGGGATCAATCAAATGAATAACAGGACGATTGATTTGCTAACTGGAAAAATGTCTTGCAAAGGAGAGAAAGATGGTCAAGATTTTTTTTTTTTTTTTGCTCAAATTTGGTATAAATAAACAGACTCACAAACCTAGACAACCACAACTATAACCAAGAAAGAGTCAAAAGATATCAGTAAGCAATCACGGCAGTATTGGCTATAAGGAAAGGATCGTTTGAATAGCCAGGTTTCTTGTGAGGCAAAGGGATTGGGGAAAGACGGTGACAACAGATATCCATATGAACAACAGCGCAATGATTTTTTTCTTCACCTTAATTCACTTCCTATATGAAATTGGGGGTGCAATGCAAAACCTCACAAAAACCCATGGGAAAAAGGGGGTGTATTTACCGGCGGACATTCCGACCAACCGGTACGGTGTTGGTTGAGCAGCCCCTGCCTAAGGGTTGCACAGCACAAACAAACAACTGAACAAATATCGTCTACTCAGCTTCTAGGGGGAATTGCCGGTAACACAAACCACAACCATGCCTGTGAGTACCCAATTGCACCATCAGGTCAAGAAAGAAATCTATTGTTACTAACAGCAGCAACTATTAGGCCTACCATTCTAATTTTGTTGGGGAAGACGCGGATGCCAGAAAGATCGGTACGTACTCCTCTCTCCGTTGATGAAAATCAGATACACTTTACTAACTATTCACAGGTAATTTCCCACTTCTTTCTTTCAGAACCAACTACAAGGGCCCTTCCTATCCTACAACTCAAGAATATGATATAATAGATGAAGTGTTGGATTTGTTCCGCCCAAACTCCTTCTTCAAGAACTTTGAGGTCAAAGGTGGTGCCGACAGATCACTTATCTACGGGATCTTATATACTTCGCAAGCCTTGAACGAAATCAACAAAACTACCTCTCAAGCATCAGCGATAAAGGCTCTTAATAACTTGGCATTGGAAGATTTTAGTTTACCAGGTGATCCATCATTTCCACTAAACAATGTATTCACTTCTCCGAAAGACCGCGTGGAATATAACTTATTGAAATCCTATTTGAACCAGTTCAGACAAGAATTGAGTGCTAGACTAATAGCAAAACTATATCAAAATGACATCCATAATCCAGACAAGTTTTGGTTGGCTTTATCAAAGAGAAAGTTTATGAACAAATCTTTATAAGCTGTTTTTCTTTCTTTTCCTTTTTAATTTTTGTTTTATATTTGAAATGACCAAAAAAAAAAATTATTTTTTCTACTTCTATTTTTCTCCAATTAAAGGACTACAAGGGCTTTCATGAATATTTTAATTACTATTGTAATATATTAAATGATGATAAAGGTGTCAACAGTTTATGTTAACAGTTCAAACGCAAATACAATCACGTGATCATGCTTTTCAGTTTTCCTTTTTTTTTTTTACCTCAATTTTTAAAATCAACCGATTTACCACGGCAGTGAAGTTGTTCAAAACATCCTTTTCAAATAACAAATCACAAATAAATTTAAAAATGGCTAGATATCCTTGGTATACAAGAGTTGGTGATGTTCTTCACAGATTAACTGTCGTAACTTTGGCTGGTGGGTCCTTATATATGTTGGGTGGTTGCTTCTATACAATTGTCATTAGAAGCAGAATGAATCAAGAAAAATTGGACCAGTGGATTGAAGAAAAGAAACAACTTGAAGCTGCTAAGGCTGTGACTCCTTCAAGTGAGCACTAATCAGTATGAGTTCCATGCGTTTAAGGCATACCTACCTACTATATCATAAATGTTTGTTTCAAGTACCAGAAAAAGAATGAATCTACACGAACAATGAATATCAACAACTTTTTTGATTTTTATAGAAATTATGTTTGGTAAAGAGGCAGTTTTAATGAATAGAGTCTATGCCAAGAACTGCAAACGAACAAACAAACAAACAAAAAAAAAATGCCATCAATTTATTCCCTTTTTCCACCTGTTAGTATTCATATCTATTATTACTCCATATCCCCATGTTATGCTTTTTCCTCGATGAGGCATTTCCATAGTCGTACAGCCGTTATATTTTCCCACTTCTAATGATTTCTTGTTGAGGAAGATTGTATAATATAATGTTCTCGCTTTATTTGGCGAACTCTATTTATCTGTATATATATATATTCTTTTTTTCAACTTACCGTCCATCTTATGACTCTTTTATTTGATGAGTTCTTCTCATCACACATTTCAGTAGTAGATGAGCTAAGTATTGTTTCCGGTGTCATGATATAGAAAAAAAAAATTGGGAATACATTAATCAACTATTTAAATAGTAAATAATTGTACTTTCTGCGAATTCTTCATTGACAGCCTTACCAAAGAAATTAACATGACCCTTAAAAACATGTTATACACTCCAAAAACGAGCAATGAGCGGTTATAATGATGAATTTTGGTGCAATAATTAGATAAGTTATAAGCAACTAGAATGGCAAAGAAGGATTTAGAAATCGAAAATTTATATCGATAAAAAAAAATAGACCCATGTAGACCCAAGTTAGCTGGTTCTTTATAGAATAAAATTCATTTGAAGTCTCTAATTCAAATAAAGAGCAACCATATGCAAAGAAGAAATTGGTGCAAAATGCTTTGTTAAAACATCGAGCTATAGAAATCTCAAAGAATAGAAATTTAAATTATGGGAGACCGCACTCACAGTTGAAATAGGGGTCTCAGTATTAAGCTCTTTGTCGGAAATTGTAAGTACAGTTTGGGTATAAACTGTTCTGGTGAAAGTATAAAGGGGAGTCTGAATAACAATCAAATCACCAGTAGTTTTGCTACCATCGGTACCAGTAACAGTGTTCTGGGTGGTTGAGGTACCTGTGGTACTGCCAATCCATCATTTAGTAGTAGTGCTATTTCCGTAAGACGACACACTTTCGCATGTCGTCATGTTTTTGCCACTTGGGATGTAAACAATGAAATCCATAAGCAAAGAGTTTAGTTTATTCTACCAAACAAGTTTCATAGGATATAAATAACCAGATATCATATATTGGGTGGTTCGTGACATGCCCGTAACATCATTTTTGGAATCCCAAGTTGCAAACATGGCAAAACTTACACCAACATTGGTTGAATATGATGGATTACAACAAGCAAAAGCTTCACCATCCCCAACGGTCAACATCGCATCGTCATCAACTTCCATGTGGAATTCATAGTTGACCTTCTCCGGAGGATTGAAGTATCCAGTAAGTTCAACAGTAAAATTAGAGGTCGCAATTGGGAAACCGTAGATTTGCCCCTGTATAACATAATACAGACCTGAAGCGTAAGCATGAAGGTTAGTGATTCCATTTTTTTGTTCCGAGATAAGTACCATCTAAATATCCACCTCCCATATATGCAGTGAAACTATAGGATTCTCCATCCTTAAACTTGCGCAGATAATATTTGGCAGTAAAGCCAACGGTTGATGAGCCTTGTACCCTACATGCTGATGGGTATGCTAGCTGGACTATCGACAAAGATACCAAGGTAGTAGTTAACAACAATAAACGGATCCACATTTCTCAATTATTAATTAGAACATGAATTGCTATAACTGAGCAATAAAAAATTCTATAGATACAAAATAAACCGGTTGGAAGAGCATGTTTCTATTTATTTTTTTCCAAATATATATATATCAATTTAAAAAAACAGTGAATCATGTTGAACGAAGATTGCCTCATTTTTTGAAAATTGACACCCCAAACCAGTCCAATAACCATACATGTATATAACAAGAGTTCCAAGCTGTTGTTTCTAGTCTTTTTTCTATGATAGCTTCAAATTCAGATGAATTATCACTATGTCCAGACAATCCGCACATAACTTTTTGCTGTTTTCATCAAATTGGCTATTATTATTGCTAATTTCCTACTTTAGTGCCAAAATGGTACAAGTTTGAATTTTTATTTCTCCGGATGTCCTCACTCCATCTGGAACCATCTTCAACCACCCTCATGCCAGTAATCTATGTAATAATTGCGACAATCCTTTTTTTATTTATTTACATATTTCGGAATATGCATCGTCATGAATCTCCGATCAGATAAAATGCCCAGGGACCAACTTTTGACAATTGTTTCAGTAATACCCTCGAATGCCAATTAAAAACCAAGCTTACCAATGTATTCACCTCCCATACATTGAACCACAAGGCAGAAATTAACATACACCCTCCAAAAAACACCAAAAAAAAAAAAGATGATTGTTAGCGAGAAAGTTGATGCCTGCAGCCTTCACCGGAAAAATACACAGAGTGTTCTATTCTTCTGCCAATCATCCAGGGGCAAGCCCAATGCGATTTGCGGCCGATTTTTATTCCATCACATGAATTTTTAGAAATATGATGAAAATTGTAACTAATGTAAGTTAATTCAAGAACAGCTTTATGTTTCTAAATAGAATGTAAATCGAATACTTTTAGCAGCTCTGGTTGCCGCGAAGGGTGTTTGTTGATCAATAGCGGTTGCAAGTGCTGTTATGAGCGTTTGCCCATGGAGTGAAATGAGAAATTTCAAACCATCTATGTGCACATGGGCTTTCCAAATAGCCAAAGAAAGCTCAATAATCATTATGGGTGTAAGTTAAAGGTTTCAATTAACAATAATTCAAATCATGATGTTTTCTCTGGGGATTCTTATTAACCTTGCTGAACTATAGAATGATGGTGGTACAACTATTAAGCGTTCAGATCTTGTGAAAACAATATCAACCAAGACGTCTGAAGCGTCTTATTTGTTAGCACAACACACCGCGATTTCAAGACTACAGCATTGTAGTCTTACTGGAGCAGTATTGAGTAGACCTATAGTATCTGACTATCATGGGAGGATGTTCAACAAGCAGGCGGTCGTGGAAAAATTATTAGCCAATGCTACAGGGGCCGACGACAACATCTTTGAGTTCAGCTCACTCGGTGATTTTGTCGAGCTACGATTGACTCTGGTATCAGAAACAGTCTCTCAAAACCCAGCTACATCCAACAATCACCGTGGCACCAATAATGACGAATCTAATGGGAAATACATATGCCCGTTAACTGGCGACATTTTAGGTAGTGATTCTGCTAGAAGGAGAAACATAAACTTCCTTTACTTTGCAGAGTGCGGATGCGTATTGAGTGATGAAGTAATTAGACTAGGATTAGTAAAGCTTGAGAAGCAAAAAGATGATGTATTCAATTACGAAATCTTTGATGGCGAAGATGATAATGAGAAACTAGAGAAATTAAGAAAAGAAGCCAGAAATATTATAGATAAGCAATCGAGTAAAGAAGGAGAGTTAGCAAAAGATGAAGTCGGTGGTGCAGATGCAGAGAATGGAAAAGAAAACGATGCTAACGAAGTCAATAAATGCCCAAACTGCAACACCAAAATCTCTTTGTTCAATTTGATTTATATTTGCCCGCCTGAGAATAGTGCTGAATCAGAAAAACAAACGAGGCGGAACAGCTGGTTGAAGAGACTTGGAGTTTCACACAGTTTGAAATTAGTGAAGAAAAAGAAAAAGAAAAAGATTCAGGATAAGAAGCGTATAAGAGATGGTGGTAAAGACATAAACAAAGGAGCAAAGAAAGTGAAAAAATCTTCAAATGCTTGATGAATGAAAGGAACCCTCAATTGAAAAAAACAAAAAACCAAAGATGAGTAGTAGTGGAGAGATGACCGAATTTTCTTTATATTTGAACTTGTTGGTAACATTTTTATTGCTCGTTTGCTTTAACAAAAACTATGAATTATTCGAATGCCTACACTTCTTATTGACATGAAATAAGAACGTTGTGGTTTTTATTCTCATGAGAAATAACTATCACTCAACACCGATCAGAGCTATTGCTTTTTGGTCGCATACTATTTATTTTATTTCATTTACATTGAAATTCAAAGTTTAAAAGGATTTTTGAAATCCTTTGTTTTTATGTGTCGTAATTTTTCCTGGACCCTGATGCTCCTGTCATTCGATATTTTCAAGACTTAGATCTCTGAAATGCGGGGGTTGGGAAGAAATCCACTGCCCAATTGAAAAGACTTTTTTTTTTTTTTTTATGATTGTTAATTTATATATCGTAGTGGAAAAATTTTTCATAGCATTAACTCCCCATTTGCATTACTTGGCTTGTAAATTGTAAACAAATCGAGAAGTATGACCGGTTTCAGCAATTTTTTGGTCCAATGTGTCTGAGAGATAGATCTGCTGCGTTAAGATTTGTGACAAATGGAAACCTTATGTGATCATCAATTAAAAAAAAAAAATTTAAGGAAGAATAATAATAATAATAGTGAAGAAGCGTAAATATTAAAGCGTAAAGTAGTTAACAATAGTAACTGAAACCAACATAATGCAAGTAGCTGTATTAAGCTCCATATGACGGGGAGATCAATGTATAAGAGATTGTAAAAACAAGTTGAACAATACAAGGGCACAATTTCTTCATTTTTCATTTATTTTATACATATACATATATATATGTATGTATTGTAAAAGCCTTAAAGCCGCGGTAGGGGGGTATAATATAATGATAATAAGGTCCGGTGATTGGTATAATATAATTGGGCTGCCCAGGATAGAGTGGGAGACTTTTTGCGAATTGAAAAAATGTTTGAGCGTCGTTCGTAGTCGGTTGAACTTTTTTTTTTTTTTTCAAACATCCCAAATAATAAAAATGAAGTGAAAAGAAGAAATAAAGACCAATGAAATAATTAATATAAACAATAATAGATGAGCCTGTCTAGGAGGGCTGTAAATGTCTGTCTGTTTTGTTCAAAATATGTGAAATCCATGTCCCTGAATACATACATCACAGACAGTGTGGCCGGTATTTGGACAACACATTTTCAGGTACAAATAATCAGCCAAGTCTGGATCAGCCAAATCAAAGTCTTCAGGCAACCCGACTTTCAAGCAATGATCCTGTAAACAACAACAGCAATGGAAACAGACCTCTTTGAGAATGAGCATTTTGGGGGGTATATAGTTGAGATGGACAAAGAAGATGTGTGTGTCAAATAATTGTATGTGAGATGGTACTTATTTTGGGGAATATTTGAAAACCCAAATGACCCAAGCTTGTGAAAATTTTGAAAGTTGGATTCTTTTTGTTACTATTTATACTAAGATCCATAATCAACGTCCAAGTGACAAAAGTCACAGAAACTATAATAATGACGATAGTGGTAATAATGAAAAAAAAAAAAAAAAAATAAAAAAAAAAAAAAAAGCAGTGACAATAATAGTAAAATTAACCTTGCGTTAATTAAATTAAATCCCCTTTTAAGATTTTTGCTGTTTGCACTGATCCAATTATAACAAAGTAAGCAGTTTTTCCTCAATATTTTAGACTTGGGTTGTTTCATATATTTCAACAAAGCGAGTGCCATAAGCTAACTGCGCCAACAATAACATGACTTTTACGTCTTCTTTTTTTTTTTTGAGCACGTAGTTGAAGAGCAGTTAGAAGAACAATGTCCCCAAAGGCAAGTACACGCCACTACAAGATAATAATTGATGGTCGGATCATTATTGATTGCCACAGTTCAAGGATCGGTGGGGATCTCGATTGCTCTTACTATTAACAATGTGGACGACGCACATGTCTTTATTTGCACGCTGTTCCAAGAAGACGCACTGATTCTGATTTTGGCCTTAAAAGATTTATTTTGTTTCAGGGGGCTGGTAAGAGGGTTCACATATTGGATTATTGTGCCTGTTGCGGAGATCGCAAATGAAAAATTTGACACCGAACAGCCAAATCAGAGAACGAGTTTATCCAATCAAACAGGCGTTGTTTGGCGGAGAACCACAAAAAAGGGAAATTGAAAAATAAATTGAGACAAGCTTGGTGGATACAGAATCTCCGTAACTGATACGTCACACGCAGCACCTACGCCTTTGGCTGCTGTTAATCAGATAAATACCTTAGAGTAGACATAGAGAAAAGCAGGAGGGGGGGAATACCAGAAAAAAAAAAAAGAAAAGAAGAAGCTTTACTACGCAAATAATCACGATGATGACGATAATAACAGTCACAGCAGCAAGAATAACAGGAAGTAGCACAAAAACCCTTTGATGATCGGCATCCCATAGAAGCCCCGTAAAGCAGGGATCATTAGCTCATTTTTTACAGCGGTGGATAATTTTTTTTTTTTTTTTGCACTCAATACGCTTTTTTTACAAGCAATAAGACACAGTCAAGGATTCTGATTATTAAAAGCATAGATAACACAAAAACCACTTTTATAGTTAGAGCAGGATAACAATTAAATGCCTGATGCTCACTGGCGCATCCCTAATTAAGGAACAAGGACATCTGCGGAGTCTCCTACTTGGAAAAAAGTCCTCAGAGAAAGTGATCACAGATCTCACAGATCTCTTCCAACATATAAAACCTCCAAGAAAGCCCTGTCAATGTCTTTATCAAAAGCTTGGGACACAATTTTGCAAGCGGCAAAATCAACTGGTCTGAAGCCTTTGCCCTTAATGACCTGTACCAAAGAACCTGGGCTCAATTTTTTATCGTTCACGTTAACACAGTAAACTTCAATACAGTTCACCCCCAATACTAGCAAGTATCCGTTTTGATACCAGGAAGCTCGTCCATAGGTCCCGAACTCCAAGAACTTATCTCGGGATAAACTCCCCCGCGAATTACAAAAAAGTGCCACCCGACTGAAAGCAACCAAGGTTTCTTCAGATGAAAGCTTGAAAATCCCAATAGGTCGCGAAGTACTTAGTTTTCTGGCAGATTCAAGTAATCCCGTGTCCACCAATGTCGAAGACCTGCGATCAACAGCAGCTAAAAGGTTATCGGAGCTAGGGAAGTATTTGATTTCAATTGTGCTTACTTCATCCTCTGGTACCGCACATGTAGCGAAACCTTTCTCAGCAACTGGAAAGAAGACATTATTCTCCAATGAGCTGCAATTCACGTAGCTATTCATCAAAACTCCTTTAATTTTATAATTCTTTTTTGGTAAAACTGTTACCGATCTGTCATTAGAAACCTGGTAAAGTTGGAGCCTGACACAAGAGCTAGTACAAATGAAACAGGCTAAAGATTCATTGGGAGTACTAGCAGTAGTATGTTTAGTATGCAAAATTGATATCCCAACGATATCTCCATACCATTTATTCAAAACTTTAACTGCAGGGACTCCGTTAAGCAGAAATCGTGGTTTGTGTTCCATAACTTCACAGAGATCAGAAAGTTTTACACAAACTAACTCCTTTTTGGAAAGAACAAGCAAAGTCTCTGATAATATCATGACTCCAATATAGACTAATCCGCTAACATTCAAAACTTTTACCCATTTCTTAGTACCCATTTTACACATGCTAACACCACTTTTCTTTCCCACGACATAATACCGCCTGCCTTGGAAAGTTATAGTTAAAGAACAAATAATCGTATCGATCAACAAAGGATTTTCTTTTGTGTGAGATCTTCTCTTCGGAAAAAATTGCAACACATCACTACCATAAATTTGATCATCGTTTTTCCCCATATTTTGATGATCAAAATTTTCATTAATAAAAATCTGCTTTAGCTTGAAGACCTTATGGTCAAACAACAGCTTGGAGAACTTTTCACGATGTTCATTGATAGCATTTATAACTGATCCCTGATAATCATGGAAGAAAAACCTTGTACTATCGCCCACACTTTTCACCTTGATTGTGGAACCACTAGTTTTGCGGCCTCTGAACCCATAGTTGGCAATTTGTGAATCCTCCTTTGCATAAATATAGTATGATGGAATAGGGTTAGCAATAACAGTGTATTTATTCTTTTTCAAGTCACGGATACAAAACAACACTGTGGAATTAAACAAAAGAATGAAAAGGTTTGTGTTTTCAATGGTATGGCTTCTGATTTGTGATTCAAATACCATCGATTTGTCCAACCTGCACGGAATAATGTTGTGGGTTCTAAAATCAAGTTTTTCAATATATTCCTCAGTGTCAATGGTTGCTTTATACTGGTCTAATTGAAGAAGTAGACGTTTGATGGTATCAGAAACTACACGCATTCCCATTAGTGCTTCTGATTGTGGGGTATTGTGTCTATCCAAAAAAATTGTCAATCTGTCAAAGATGTTTTTCAATTCCACCAAATCGAATAATAAGCAATCAAAATACATCGAAAACTTCCCCAGATATTCGCTCTTTTGTTTACCTACCCATTTATAGATTCTGGATTTTGAAATTGCAGAAGTATCCGCGCCAGATAGAGCTTGCAGAGATCGATCTTTTGCAAAATCTAGAAAAATTGCTAATCGACACTTGTGTTTCCAATCTCTCATGTAGAGCTCCTCAGAGTGTTGTAGCCACTGTAAAAGTATTTTCCAAAAATCCTTGGTAATATATCTCCCCTGATTACTCAACACTTTCCGAAGAGGCTCTATAAGATATTTTTGTTTAATCTCGACAATCTTTTGCAATCCTCCAAATGCCAGTTCAAAAAATTCATTTTTACTCATTGGGGATGCTAAATCATCTTTTTCTGCCTTGAACTTCCCACCTACTAATTCAATAAACGCTTTGGCATTGAAGTAATTTCGATTCGCGGTAGTTATTATTTCAAAGATCATAAATTGACATAGATCTTTGTCCTTCAAGGACGAAGCTTCTTGTGGGTTTATATTCCAATAGTTATGCCAACTGCATTTCACTGGATAAGGATTCCGCTCTTTTATATCATTCTCGTGGGCATGTCTCTCACAAAATTGGCAAAACACATCATAACAACTATATGGTACTTTGACTTGCAAATGGTTATAGTGTGTAGAATAACAGGTCGATAATTGAGGTATTACCCCCGAGATGCTGGCCTCATTGTCTATATAGTACTGATCATCGAAGGCCTCCATAAAGCAATCGTTCTGCTTAAATTCATCAATTATCAATGTCACGATATCAAATATCACATCTTCATCCATATAGCCATAATGAAACTTGATGAGTCCTTTCAAACAGTCTCTTATCATGTATTCATCCAATAAGGTAAGTTGCAACTTTTCGGGTAGTTTCGACACCCATTGGAAGACTTTTGAAAGCGACCAAAGTTCGTGACATTCTAAAAATACTTCTTGGCCTAATACCCTAGCGCCTCCAACGGTCGCGATATTATCATTATTATCATTATTATCCTTATTATTTCCATTATTTTCGGTGCTAGTGAAGTTATCAGAGCCCATAAGTTTATTATTCGAAAGTATTGTTTGAAATAAACGATGATCTTTGGTTTGTCGTCTAATACTACCTCTAATTGATAACCGATGATATAGTTTTGCTTGGTATTCCGGATCATCTTCATCCTCGACTTCTTCTTGAAACTCTTCTAAGTCATCACATACAGTAATATTACCATATTCGTCATCCGCAATATCCACTGCTCGTGAATTTTGCGAAATATACTCCGTCAATTGATCTGGATCAAATACTATAGCTGGGGGCATCCATATTTCAGTATTGTTGGTATTTTGACGAAAAGACAATTCCATCAGTAGGCGATTATCATTTCTGAACCTTGTAACATTATTGGATAACATTAATTCTGTAGAATTTGTTGGTGATACACTCATTGCGGTAAAAGCTAGCTTCAAGTAACTACAAACTCCAATGGGGTGAGACCGAATCTTGGATACTTGATAGAAAAAAACAGAAAAAAATCAGACGGGTGAAACATGATCCAATGCTTTGGATCATATACCACAGACACGGATATTATAATATCCCAACTTTACACACAAAAGTGTTTGAATTAGGAAACAGAAACTATAATACAAGCCTATAAACAAAGCTAAGAATGGTACACAATTTAAGAAAAGAAAAAAAATATTAATGTAGCGTCATACGATTTATAGAAGCAACGGCAACAAGGCGCGCCAAATTGGTAGAATTATCTAAGACCAAATCAATGCAAAGTATAATTGATTAGTGACGTCTTTTGTCAACCCATTTACCTTGACTCATCAAATACTTCGCTTGGCTAAGATATAAACCTTCAAACAACCCTTCGCTAGGTCTCTTTGAGTGCATGAAATTACACATGTCCCCACGGTCACATTTCCCCATGAAATGTTGTTTACAAACACTTTGGTTGAAGTTTCTCACCGGACTCAACTCACAATAAACCGGCCGATCATTGTACCATCTAGTATTGAAATTCTGTAGGATCTTATCTGTCAGTGATTCTGTCGCAAATTTTATATAGACATTGCCGTTCAAATGATCATTAGCATTTTCACAAACCACAATATCCTCGACCTGTGCCCCCAAAAGCGAGCATTCTATGAAAAGGTCTTCATAAAACTTATTGAATAAATCATCTATCTGCTCCTTTTTAAGTTTTGATTTCAACGCGTCGTTTAGTTCTGGATTCTGATAAAGATTGGGGCACATAATGGTTTTAGAGGTTCTTGGTTTGATGTGTTTTCTAGAACATTTCTCACCGTGCCGACAAGCACCGATCTTCTCGTAAAATGTACAATTAACTTTGCTTCTATTATGTGACATGTTTATAATATATTTTTTTGTGTATATGGTATTCAAATGATAATAATAGGCGATACAAACAGTGTACTTTGATGTAGTGAAATTGATGGCTTTTTTGTCTAATAAAAAAAAAAAAAAAAATTCGAAAAAATCTGGTGATGGCGGTGCGTTTAGTGTTTTGCCACTCTCAACATGGCGTTTTCTCAATATCAACCCTGAGAAGATTAGAATTTGAAAATGATCTAAAGTGAATGAAAAGAAGTTTCGCTGAGGAATATCTTGAAGGAGTAAAAAAGAAAAAGAAAGAATTTGCAGTAATTGATCAAAAGACCTCGCAGAAATTGATCAAAAGGGCACCATTGAAACTCCGTTGCCCTGTTGGTATAGATAGTTAACATCATCATGGACTTAAAGGGTACTAGCGAGAGTTCCACAGACAAATAAACTTTTTAATTTCTTTCTGCAAATGATCTCTAGCTAAATGGCTTGTATCAAAAGAATACGATCGATATTATCTAATAGTTTCTATTGAAAAAAAGAACTTTGAGAATTACACGAAAGGAAAAGATGAGGAACGAGCGAAAAAATAGAACATAATCTATAGTATATTATATATCATTACCTATAATACAAAGGGATGTCTCCCATAAAGCATGGCTATATGACGGTCGAGAAAAAGAAGAAGCCTATAGAAATTAGGGTTTGGGAAACTCCGCATAGCCGAATGGACTATGTAGATACCTTCCAAATCATAAAATATAATAAAATATTAATAGTAAAGAAACAAGAACGAGAAACGAGCAGAATTAAAGAAAGAACAATCAAAAATAAAACATGGGAAGGAACCCGGGAAAAGAGCCTTGGGGAAAACGCCAGTAACACAAAAATTTATGGGTATTCATTAGTCTTGCTGCTTCGTGGACTTATATGCGACGAAAGAATTTGTTGATAATATAGGAAAATTCTATTCTCTGGCTTTGTCTAACTCTTTCGGGATATGCTCTTGCAACCATGTGATTGACCTTTTAGCAGTTATTCCATCTTTGCCATATTCTCTAGCTTTTTCAAGTACTTCAACAATGGCTTGTAGTGTCCAGTTCATAGCCATTCCTTTCTCCACTGCGTCATAAATTGGTTTCATTCTCCCAAATTTTTTAGATACTGGATGATGTGCACCACCCCGCCATTTAGCACCACGAGTTCTTTCCAAATCCCTAATAGACGGCCCACCTTGTACACCATTGACATACTCGTCAACGATATCTGAAACCTGGTCAGATAATTTTCGTGGAACATATATTGGATCCAAACGGTGTCGCTTTGCAGGAGGTTCTTGGGTTTCTAAACTCGGGGAGTCAGGAGATGAAGGATTCGATACCATTCCAATACTATGTTCGTTTGAGTTATTATTGCTGTTTATCGGGGTATTATGGGAGGTATTATATCCATTACTAGATTCTTGGTCAGTAGAACTTGTCATCCGGTGTCTTGCCCTTCTTCTAACACTATTATGAGCCGCAACTGAGGGTGTCAGAGGTCGAGATGCTGATTGATCAGCACTAACTCTTTGGCCATTTTTGCTGTTAGTTATATTATCTTCATCAAGGCCCGATGTACTGATTCTTGTAGGGTCATCATTGTGATTATTGGCATTAGTATTGGTATTGATTTCACTGCCTATGTCATCATTGTTGTGTTGAAGATGTTCCATTACTGTTGTTGCATCGGGGCCGGTACCTGCCTGTTGGTGCGTTCCTAATGAGTTTCTTGATAGTGTTAAAGCCGCTGCCGCCGCTTGGAATCCTAGCTGTTGTGATTGTGGTTGTTGCTCTTGCTGATGATGATGCTGTAGATGGCCTGGTTGTACATGAACGTTCTGCTGTTGCTGCTGAATATGGTCCTGTTGATCTGGCTGTTGACGCGGGTTATATGCCGCAACAAAATTCATCAACTGGCCATTATTCATATGGAGTGGGTCGGCAGCAGTAGCAGACGAATATCCGCTAGGGATCATACTTGAGGGGATCAAGGTTGACATTTGATACTGATCAAACCCTGTTGATCCACTATTCATACTCCCACTGTTAATATTAGCCTGCTCATTATTAGGATGCGAAGGTTGGTGATGAACCGTATGGCTCGCGGCACTAAGTTGTCGGGAAACTCTAGCACTGGAATTCGTTAACGTTTGTAAAAGCTCTATAAAGACCATCCGTTGAGACTCCAAGCTCGATGTCAATCGCTCATTCAGGGCCCGTAGTTCTATGTAGTTTTTGTGCAAAAGATCATATTTCTTGCGCAAGTCCGATAACGAATGGTTGACTCTGGTAAGCTCTTCATGGAATAATGCATTTCCATTACCGGGGATATTTGTAGAATTAGAATTTTTGGAAGTGGAGTGGCGATGTAATGAGGCTCTAGAAGGATTCGTATTAGCAGTGACAGTGTTGTTGACAATTCTTACGGTTGCAGACGCGGTTGGGGCTGGGGCTGTCGATGCTGCCGTCAAATTCATGCTAGCGTTTGCAGCATTATTATTAGTGATCCCTCGATTACCATTTGAAGGAGGCAAGGCATAGGAAAAATTGGCAAAACTTTGGCTACTATTATCCAAAATGTTTCGAGACATTTCCAAACAGATCTGTCTGGCATATATCTTCTTGTGGAAGGCAACGCTTTTTATTGTTTCTGGGCTACCACATCCATGTGTTTGGCGTGTTTTAATTAATTAATTTTTTTTCTTTTTGGATAGTACGCACTACTTTGGTGATATCCCCGATATCAGCTGTTGGAGGTGTGTGGGTGTTTTGTAAGGGTGGTCCGTCCTGCTATAGCCATCTTCAATGAAAGGGTGTTGGTTGTATAATTCAAATAGATAGATGCCCATAGTTGAAACAAAACACCTACTATCAGGGATCATCTCCCAATTTACTTATGATGAACAAAAGCCCCATGGGTTGCAGCGCGATTTTGCGGACCAAAGAATTGCGTATATATTGCATCACCGATAATCGTAGCATCACCGAAGTTTACAAAATGAATAATTACACAATCCTTTCCCAAAATCTCTCTGTACGAAGTTCAACCGTAGATCCCTACGCGTACTATAAAAATCTGAATGAGAGAGGGAGAGAGAGAGAGAGAGAGAGAGAGACCTCTTTTGGAAAGAGATATAACGGCAAATCAACAGCTTTCTTTCCTTGAGGACGAAACAATCACTAGTTATTGGAAAATATATATATCCAGTAGACACATTTACAGACAAAAAAGCTGGAAATATTTCATTTATTTTGTGTTTATAATTTATTATCAAACACAAACATCTAAGATATTTTTTTTTTTCTCTTTTTGAATATCATATCAAAATAATGCGGCTTCAAAAAAAATGGGTTAAACTGCGTTTTTTTTTGTCTCTCTCAATTGTTCATAAAACATTCCCCTACAAATTTTCCTTCACATTCAAATTTTTATGGTTCTCGGCCTCTTCAATTTCCTCAAGAGTCAAAGGTATGCCAGAACTTCCAACAACTCTTTCAATATCCTCATCAGAAGCCCCATGTATCAAAACGTGGATGTGGCTTATCTGCTTGACACTCTGTAGCGCTGACCAGTTACGGAACCACATTATATTTCCACTTTCCACCCGCATTCTAGAACCTTCATTCAGTGACATGAATGTCTTGGAGATGTATTTGTTAATTACCCTTCTTGTGGCTGGGGAAATATCGCCATCTTTGCTTTGAGGATCTGATGGAATAGGAACTTTTGTCCACACCAATAAATGCGTAACTGCTTTCTCAAAATGGTATGGGAAATCATTCTTTAAAATCTTGATATCGGAAGCAGCGTAAAATAGGGTTTTACTAGCAGAGGAGATTTCTATATCTGTATCGGCGATATTTGGATCATTAATGATAGATAATGGCGCCCATTGAAGCTGCTGGCATACAAGACGTTTGTATAAACTAGTGGTAGAACTGGAGCTCTTGAATGAGTCGCGGAATTCCTTGTATTTCTTTGCTTCTGTAGGCGAACGAGCGAATAGTTCAAGTTTATTATTTCCTTTTATCTTATGTTAGTCAAAGTTCCATGAACCAAAGTGTTGAGTGAATATCTTCAAAAATGATGTCCATCATTCTGAGAATGTTATCACCGGCAGGGGGCGATACTTACCAACAATCCACTTAATTCTTTCCCACGATAAGGGATTCACCAAATATTTAGTTCCATTTACTATTTGGATCTCTGTGTTCTCTTTGCCGGTCATCTTGGATTCAATAATAATTAGATGTATTTAGTTTGATGGTCAATGTTCTGAGGTAGAGAGTGAAAAAACGATAAAATGAAAAATGAAAAGGATGAAGTGTGGAAAGAAAGAATGAGAGCGAAGAGTAAAAAAGAAGTGAGAAGTATCTTATTCACAATTTGTTACCCCCTGAGAAACCAGTCCTCGAATTGTCTATGTTGCTCTTTTGTATGCCAGGGGTACTGTATGGACAAATAAAAAAAAATACACCTCAAAAAACCGATCTATTGTCGTCTAAAACTGTCGTTAATGCAGCTTTGGGGGCCCTCCCACTGCTTAGTGATTCTGTTGTTTTCCCTTTTGGGCTGGAGATCATGGGTCCGGACCGCATATTTTCGGATACTGTTGCAATCAGAGACTCGGAGTTTTGCGATAGATAATGCAATGTCACATAACTTTTGCCACCCATGATTATTTTTTTTTTCTTCTTTTTCTACAATCTTAGTGTTTTTTTTTTTTTTTTGCATACAATATAACAACAATATTAAAGAATTTTAACACATCCTAAACAACAACACAAACAAAAGAAAAAAAAAGGGAAAACAGAAAATAAGGACACCGTAATTAAACTAACCAGTAGAATGGTGAAAATTAAATATTTATGAATATGTTTTCTTATTATAGTAGGCATTAATATTAAACATCTTGAATATTAAACATCTTGACAATCCAAAACATATCTACCAGCGATCTTACCTTGTTCCATCAATTCATAAACCTTAGGCAATTCCCTCAATGGAACAATCTTGATTGGACTCTTGACTTTTCCATCAGCGAAGAACTGAATAGCTTCTCTGGTGTCAGCTCTGTTACCAACATATGAACCTCTGATAGATATACTCTTGACAACGGCATCGAACACAGGAGCCTTTGCTACAGCACCTGCAGGCAACCCAACAAGAACAACAGTACCACAAGCTCTGACGTATTCACAAGATTGGGAAATGGCCTTTTCAGAGACACTAACGTTAATGACACCGTGAGGGCCACCCCTGGTAGCTTTTTGAATATCTTCCACAAGATTCTTCGAAGTACGGAAATCGACAAAGGCATCGGCACCCAATTCCATACAGAATTTACCCTTATCTTCACCGCCATCGATAGCCAAAACTTTGTAACCCATAGCCTTACCGTATTGGATGGCAAGAGAACCCAAACCACCAGCAGCACCGGAGATGGCAACCCACTGACCTGGGCTTAAGCCGGCGGTCTTCAAGGCCTTGTAGACAGTGACACCAGCACATAAGATTGGGGCGACTTCGGCCAAGTCAGTACCCTTTGGGATTTTGGCGGCTTGAACAGCATCGGCAGTGGCATATTGTTGGAAGGAACCGTCGTGAGTGTAACCAGACAAATCGGCTTGAGGACAATTGGATTCGTTACCTTGTTCACAGAATTCACAAGATTGACAAGACCCGTTCAACCACTTGATACCGGCCAAATCACCAATTTGGAAATTTGTAACTGCCGACCCTTTGGCGACGACAATACCGGCACCTTCGTGACCACCAACCAATGGCAATTTGACGGCCAATGGCCAGTCACCTTTCCAGGCGTGCAAATCAGTGTGACAGACCCCAGAATACTTGACATTCACCAAGATTTCGGTAGGTTTAGGGGTTGGAACCGGGATATCTTTGTAAACTAATGGACCATTGTTTGTGTCGAAAACTACAGCTTTTTGGGTGGCTGGGATGGCTAATCTGGAAGCTAATGATGTTGCAAAAGTTCTGTTTGCTTGTAATAGAGCAGATCTAGTAAGAGATGTGGTAAAGAAAGATGAAGTTCTAAGCATTATTCGTTAAAGGAATATTCGGGTAAAAGAAAGAAGATTGTAGTCAGTTGACGGTTTGTTGTTGACGATGTTGATAACGTTTATACTAAAATCGTGTGGGAAAAAATAAGATTAAATGGTAAATCTATTTGAAACAAAAAACAAAGAAAAATGAAATTGAAAAATATGTTTGCATGGATCATTTATATCTAAAATTTGATGATCGCCAGAGCCGGGAGGTAAGTTTTTTCATCAGCAGATTTTTACGCTGAGTGTATGCTAGCAGCAGGTCACCCAGGGAATAAATAACAAAAACATAGTTCTGTGGTAGGGGTCTTTATTTATGTGACCAGGAGTCTATTTTTTTTTTTTTTAAGGAATGGCTTGAAGAACAGCTCATGATCATGTAGCTGTGACAATCACTTTCTACCAAAATTGAATAGTGTCTTATTAATTAGATGTTTTGTACAGCCATGATACTTTTTGTAAATGCATTGATGCGCATATTTGCAAATAAACAAGTTTACACAAATCATATCATGCAGCATTTTTTTTGACAACGCTAAAAGACAATAGCCTTGTCTTGGTGACACTTACACAAACCACACAGGGTGTTACATGTGGGGCTCATCCATTAGACGTAGAACGGGAATTTTTGTTGACAAATGATATCAATTTTCTACCTTGAGTCCAGTAGAGATGGATCTATGGTCGTGTACTCAACGCCGTAGTTTTGAATAATGTTTGCGTGGAGGAACTCAAACGTTTTTGATTGCAAAACGTGACTGACTTCCGGGAGTCCTCCCTTGAATAGATGAAGTTTTCATCTATTGCCGAAACAAATTATTTTTTGAGTAGCTTAAAAGCAAAGATCGATGTTCTGATCGTTGAAGGACATAGACTACATGCTGCTACATCCATCGAAAGTTAAATAAATATACCAGACACCCGGGGATCAATTCACTGGTCATGTGTGCATGAAAGATAATAGTCTCATTCTGTAACGCCTCTATTGAGCATTTATCCACACCTATTGGTATTGCTTGTTGTTAGGGAAAAATAAACAGGGAGGGGGACTTGACATCAACATTATTGACATTTCGGCAGTGTTTGTGAACCGCCCCCCTAACAAAAAGGAGTATCTACGCTATGCCACAATTACCATGTACTTTCGTTTTTTCCCTTCCGGGTGATAGATTAATAGAGCTAATCTCTTCAAGAAGTTGTAGTCAATTCCTACAAGTTGTTGGAAAAGTAGAAATGAGGCGAGCATTGGAGTCTATTACATCATATAATATGAAATATACATTGTGAATGGGCCAAAACTCGGTGAAAATTCTTTTGCTCATTCTATGATCCGAGCTGGTATGATGAACTCCGCTTTTCACAGCAGAAGGAAGACCCCCCACCCGCTGGAGTAAAATTTTCTGGAAATGCCACACACCGATCTCTACTAATTGCCTACGTCATACTGTTCAATTGAAAGCAGTACGCTATGCCATTTCACCGGTGCTCCTCTCTTTGGCGGGCGAATGTAAATATTATGCACGTGACTATTGTTTTTGTTATACATGGTCCACATTTGCCCCACTTTGCTGCAACCAAGCAACTAAATTGCCTGTGAAGAGTGGGGGAGGGGGACAAACGTACACCGCACCCCCCGCCACCAACAAAAGCCGCCGTGTGAGTGAGTGAGCGAGTGAGTGAGTAAAATTCTCATACACCGAATCTAACCAGGAATCACTTGATGACAAGACATCACGACAAAATGGAAAATCACGAAAATACAGTCTACTGACGCTGATGTACTTTCCACTCTGCCGTCATACCATCTTTTTTTTTTTTTTTTCTGTTCTTCCCAGAGAAAATTCTTATTGTGCGTATCCGAATAAATTGCCTACTCACCTGCAGACAACAGCCCAGCACCCCTACTCACCCGCAGACATCATAGAGCCAGCAGGGAACGCCTATCACCCGTGCGTACACTTACTAACTGAATAATTCCTAAATTATCCGAGGGTCGGGTTTTCTACAGCAATCTATCGCCATGCCGGGCATCTTTTGCTGCCAATGTATCTTGGAATCCGGAACTTCTTGCTACTCACTTTTGTGAGAACCATCACTTGACTACCCCACTTGTGTGTTCGAGTTGCAAGCATTGTAAACTATATAAACAACCAACTTTCCGTTTCCTCTCTTCTCGCCTTGACAAATACTTTTCTGTTAATCAATTAAATATCTTATATTGAAATATTTACCACAAACACAAAAATGTCTTTTGAAATTCCAACCTCCCAAAAGGGTGTCGTTTTTGAAACTAACGGCGGTCCATTAGAATACAAGACCATCCCAGTTCCAACTCCAAAGCCAAATGAAATTTTGGTCAATGTCAAGTATTCCGGGGTCTGTCACACTGATTTGCACGCCTGGAAGGGTGACTGGCCATTGGCTGTGAAATTGCCATTGGTTGGTGGTCACGAAGGTGCCGGTGTTGTCGTCGCCAAGGGTTCTGAAGTCAAGAACTTTGAAATCGGTGACTTGGCTGGTATCAAGTGGTTGAACGGTTCTTGTCAATCTTGTGAATTCTGTGCCCGTGGATTTGAGCCAAACTGTCCTCAAGCCGATTTGTCTGGTTACACTCACGACGGTTCCTTCCAACAATATGCCACTGCCGATGCTGTTCAAGCCGCCAAACTTCCAAAGGGTACTGACTTGGCCGAAGTCGCCCCAATCTTATGTGCTGGTGTCACTGTCTACAAGGCCTTGAAGACCGCCGATTTGAACCCAGGTCAGTGGGTTGCCATCTCTGGTGCTGGTGGTGGTTTGGGTTCTCTTGCCGTCCAATACGGTAAGGCTATGGGTTTGAGAGTCATCGGTATTGATGGTGGTGAAGAAAAGGGTAAACTTATCAAGTCCTTGGGTGCTGAAAAGTACGTTGACTTTACTACCTCCAAGGACCTTGTTGGTGACATCCAAAAGGCTACCAACGGTGGTCCACACGGTGCCATTAACGTCAGTGTTTCTGAAAAGGCCATTTCCCAATCTTGTGAATATGTTAGAACCTGTGGTACTGTTGTTCTTGTGGGTTTGCCAGCTGGTGCCGTTGCCCATGCCGAAGTCTTCTCTGCTGTTGTTAAGAGTATCTCCATCAAGGGTTCTTATGTTGGTAACAGAGCTGACACTGATGAAGCCGTTGACTTCTTTGTCAGAGGCTTGGTTAAGAGTCCAATGAAGGTTGTTGGCTTGAGTGAATTGCCACATGTTTTTGAATTGATGGAACAAGGTAAGATCTTGGGTAGATATGTTTTGGATACTTCCAAATAGATGGCCTGGTCTGTGAAAAACTTGTTCATTTTTTTTTTATTTTTGCTGCTGTTTGTTTGTGATGTGCTGATGATGTGTTGATGATGTTTTAAGTTTGACGAAGTAATGAAGTTTTTGTATTTATAAGGAAGTTGTTTATTATTATTTTTTAAAAGAATATCTGTTTCATGTTGTATAGAATTGGATCTTAGTATCCCTAATACATTTGATGCTGCATATATCTATTTAATAGAAGAACTCATTGTAAAATTAAAAGTATCCTGTTTTATTTTGGCACTTCACGGTTGTGGAAGCTGTTTCAGTATAAAACTATTCAAATATTGAAAAAGTAGCAACAAGCATGAAGGCCAACGTGAAGACAAAGCAACTTCCATTTTATTTTTGTTTATCGTTCCAAGATGATGCGTATAAACCTTAGGTGTCGATTATCAACTAATGGACACAGATACATGCATGGCAAATGATGATGGGACAAAAGGGACTTCCTCTAATTTACTGTTTCTTTCGTCATACCGCTGGAAGGCTTTATAAGGACAGACGCTTATTAGGCCTAAAAAGATTAACTTTTTCTAATATATAGATATATATATATAGTCCCAAGAGAATGCCAGAGAGACTACATTTTCTTGACCTTGGGGATCATGACTTAATGTTTTTGAGGCTAGTTGAAGGAATTTTTGGGCGTGATAATAATAATAGTAATAGCTATTAAGAATAATCAATAGACTAAAAGCAAATATGGGTTTCCAGGTTCACGTACATGGAAACCATCCCGGAATTGAGATATTTTAACCCCCCAATAATGCCTGTTTTCAGTGAACAGACACTCTGGAAGAAGAATACACGCAAATACCTCCAGAAAAATATAACACAGCTGGTGAATCTAGCTGCCAGACCTTTAGTGTAGCTGATACATGGTTCTCGGGTCTCTAGCTCAAGATCTTTGTAATTTGCTTGTTTTTGATTAATAGTGCAATAGCGTTATTTGTGCTTGTTAGCCAGGGGTGCTGAGGATGGGTAATGGGGTTCAGCACCCCTTGGAACGACAAGCGATCTGCTCCGTTAATTGAAGCTATCAGATCGAATTATGATCAATTAATCTCAGAATGTAACCGTTAACATGGATCATCACGTTGAAGAAATGGCAGTGAATAATTTTATGGACACAGTTACTCAGTAATTATTCTATTAGTGTGAGCATCATTAGAGTGAGTGTTTCAAGAAAAACAATAGTTATCTTTCTATTATGGTTTCCTTAGTGTAAAGGAAAAAAGAAAAAAAAAAAACACTCTAAGTACTCACGATAATCGTGGTCTTTCTTTGAGTTCACCTACATAATAGAGTTTTCTTTCAAAAAAATTTAAAATTAGAAATTCAAGATCGAGTGAATAATACATTATATCAATAAAAGTAGTAATAACAAAAGATGAAAATAGTAATAGTAATAATAAAAGTAATAATAATAATAATAAAATAATAATAATAATAAAATAATAATAATAAGAGTATAAAAAAGGTGACAACCCCTAATGTACAACAAACACAAGAAACAAATTACACACAAGGCAAAATCAAAATATTTCAAAAACAGAACAGGCTGGAATAGCAAAGATTAATCAAAAAATTATTGGAAAATAGCCAACAAATAAAGCTTGTATTTTATGATCCACTTCAAGTTTAAAATTTCAACTTCCACTAATCTTTTAAAAAAAAAAAAACCTTCAGCACAGATGTTTAGCATGGTCATATTTACTAAAAAATTCCTTATCACATTTGTCACACTTGAATGGCCTCTTTTTGAGATGAATTCTGTCCCTATGCGCTTCCATGTTCTGCTTCGATACAAATCCTTTATCACAGTACTCACAAGAAAATGGACGATTACCCAAATGGGCTCCATTGATATGGTTCGTCAAAAGCTGCTTTGTAGTGCAAGTTTTCCCACAATGTGAACAAGGATATAATTGTACTCCAGTATGAACAAACGCTCGGTGAGTAGTGACCTCTCTCTTTAGGGCGAAAAGCTCATTGCAGTCTGGACAACGATAAGCTCTGGTTGATGTAGCAGGAGTAACTACAGTGGTAGTTGCAATTATTGGGTTGTTACGGCGACGCTTGCGGCTGGCTGAATTGGTAGTATTGATAATATTATTATTGGAAATCAGAGCAGAAGATGCCGAGGATGTCGAGGAAGGCGAGGAACCCATGTCATTATTCACTAACACGCTATGATTAGCAACTTTATGTACCCCATTTGAAATATGAACTGGGGCAACTTGCTGATGATGGTGGTGATGATGGTGGTGATGATGTGGTGGTGGTTGTTGTTGTTGTTGTTGTTGTTTTGGCTGTTGTTGTTGGGTATGTCTGGTTTGACGACGCGTTCTAGCAAGATGCCCGTTATTGTTTATATCGTCAGCACTTTCCTCACTGGTACTTTCGCTTCTTTGATCATCCACAGCGGCACTCATATTCATATTGTTGTCCATGGTAACCATATTATTTCCCAAGTCTTGGTTCAACAAATTCATTACGCTACTTTGTTGTGGTAACACTTGCTGAGGTTCTTGTAATTGTTGTTGTGGGTTAAGATGATGATTGCTTCTCAAACTGCTCAAGTTTGGGATAGACATGGCCTGCAAATCTTCAAACTTGCGGGTTTGTTCCTCGAGTCGTAATTCGTAGCTTCGTCTCATTGTATCTGTGTGTATTAATCAAGTGAATGGCTAAGATCTTCAAAAATTGATTCTCGCTTTTTAAAAAATGAACTATTAGAGCACTAATAGGTATTATAGAGTTATGAAAACCGGCAGGCAGATAATAATTGACTTTGGATACTAGCGTCTTGTAATAAAATTGTTTGTTCCTGACGTCGTGATGATCTATTATAGTATCTTTTGCATATATGATCACAACAGCAACATCCAAATGAAAAAGAAAAGAAGAAATTCACTATTATATTCTTCTTGGTTATCTCTTGCTTGTCTAAACTGACTGATATTAAAAACCTTTGACAAATATTCTGTTGTAACTGCTTCCAATTGCAAGCTTTACTTTTTTTTATTTTTTTTTATTTTTTTGGTACTCTTCAAAACAAACTAAAAATAAAGAATCGTTTCTGAATCAGCTAAAATGGAGATTAGCTTAAGAAGTTGTAAAAATCTGAATAGCTGTGGGATTGACAATTCTATTGGATCAAAGTATCTATGGAACTTGTCAAAGTTCTGGTGGTGGTTTTCAGTATAGTAGTGAAGGGAGAATTTTTTTTTTTTTTTTTTTTTTTTTTTTTTTATTTTTTTTTTTTCGTTTTGGCGGTTTTTTTTTTATCCGGACCTCATCGCCAAAAAAAAGTAACAAATTGGCTTGACACGCACGTGATGGTGATCACGATATTTTCTCTCTCCATTTTTCGACTACTCTACAAATTATTCCTAAACCGTTATATTAATATTAACATTGCTATAAAACCCAAATACCCAAAAAGAAATAGTAAACCACATCAAAGCGCAATCACTTTATTTGTCTCATCCTCTTTCGGCTTAAACAAAATAACGTAATCTTTATCATTGTTTGACCCATCATCTTTGATTGCCTTCTCAACAATAACATCTGCAACAACTGGCCTATGATCACTCATATACTCTCCATTATACTGAGAATGTAACACTCCGGAGCCAGAGAATTTCAAACTGTACCCTTTTTCTCTCTGTTTATCAGGATTTTCACACCAAATATAATCAATAACCTTGGCCCGTTCTCGAATACCCCCATCGAACCCGGTATATGTGACGTCACCATAGTGGCCATATTTATCAGCCTTATGAGTGACTTGTTTGGAGATATCTAATAGATGATGGGACGCTACTTTATACGGCTCATCAGTTGGCTCAGTATTGAAGTCCCCTGCGAGGAAGCTTGGGTCGTCATTTGTCCCCTGCATTTTGGAAATAATCAATTTTGTAGCTTCCCGGCGGGCCACCACTCCTTGATCATCAAAATGGGTACTGTAAACATTTACTTTTATTCCCGATTTCCTATTTTTCAAACGCACCCACCCAACAATTCTCTCCAAGTGGGCATCCCAGCCCTTTGATGGTCGATCAGGGGTCTCACTTAGCCAAAAAGTACTTGATTCCAACAATTCCCACAGTGATGTCTTCCAAAAAATTGGGCTGTACTCACCTCTAGTAATCCCATCTTCACGGCCGATGCCGTAGTAACTCCATTCATCAGCTCCTAATAATTCATGAAGGTCCTTAACTTGATTCTCGAGCACCTCTTGCAAAGCGACAACTAAGTTGTTTGTATCCCCAGCGGCATTGAATTTGATGCTAGAAGCCACGGCATATTTGCGTTCACTCCAAGGACGCTCTCCTTCCCAAAGGTTGTTGTTGTCATAACGAATATTATGTGTATAAAGACGGATAAAAAGGGATAAGCTCTTATCCGATTTCCCCATGGTGGGATCGTTTGCACCACTCAGTGTTTGGGGCGTTGGATAATGTAAAGAAGGAATTCTTGAAGAGATTCCATAAATAGTTTTCAAAACCAGAGAAACAGTCCCAACTGGCATTATATTTAGTTAGTATAGAATTAATGTGCGAGATGTAGCTGGGAAAACACAATCTGGCTCATCATCTCTTCCTTTGTTTTTGGCATATTCCAGGCGATGCGGTTTTTTCTGCACGTGAAAAACAAACCCCCCGCCCTACGCAATATAGCTGATCACATATTTAAAAAACTAAAGGCATTTGTGAATTAGAGGAATAGATAATAATTAAAAAAAAAAAAAGGCAATCGGATTTAATAGGTACGATAGCATACCTTAAGAAGATACACCTTTATATAGGGATCATGCTTTTTGAAGATAGCGCGTTCTACAAGCTATTCGAATCTTTTGATATCATTTCCATCCAAATCATTGTCGAGATCAAAAGTATCATTCTCCACTGGTCCAGACTCATCTTTTAATCTATCAAACTGCTCCATATTTTCTTCGTTTTCGAAATCCTTATTGGTATCATCTCTTTGCTTCAAATTTGCAAAGTAAAAGTTCTCAGAATCACCATTACTGTTGTCTTCACTATTTCTAAAAACCTCAAAATCGCCACTCTTTCCGCCGGGAAGTACGAACTCATTCATCACATTTGGATCCGCAGAAACCCCATCATCTATATCGTTGACAATTCCAAATGTGTCACGATGCAAATTATCTGGATTATGAGAGTTTAGCTTATTAAACTCTTCGATATCCTTCTCTTGCCTGCCAAACATCGTAGACCGCCCCCCATTCTTCTAGGGTTCTCTCATGCTCCTTGATGAGTTCAAACGTATCTTCAATCAACTGTCGGTATTGCTCTTCATCCAAACCTTCAGGCATATTTTCTAAAGAGACCGTGAGTTGCGGACTTAAATTTGGAGGAACCAAGTAGCTGGAACCCCAAGGAATCAAAGTAATTAAAGTAACCACAAACTTGATCAACATGTAGTAATGGAGAAAGGAAACGAAAAAGTTTTATGCCTTATAATATATGGGTATATGTTTATCTCGGCAGGTGTACTGACAACAGATTGCTTCAATAATAAAAGTATGAACTATACAATTCTGCAATAATAGTAATAGGAAGTGATTTCTTGGAGGCGAGCAATGTTATAACACACATTTATATATATATGCACATGTATGTGATGATCTTGATTACCCGGAACGCCTCTTTGTTTCCGTTTTCTCTCTCTAAACATGATTCGCGTATTCGTTACAACGGAAAGAGTTAGAAGAATTAAAACCATTAACTTTATTAATAAAAATAATATGCAATGCAGAGATGGAGATGGAGATATTATATGGAAGCTATAGTGTAAAGGAACAAGAAAAAAATGTTAGATATCAAAAGGTTGATTTAGGAAATTAGTATTGATGAATGTATCAGAAAGGCCATTGAATAAGTAGTGAAGTATTAGTAAAGTAAAAAACCAAACCAAACCAAACTCAATAAAACAGTAACAAATTGCAATGTATAACCTTTGCCGCCAAATTTTGGCAATCAAATATTTTAGCAGGCCCTTCTTTTCTTTCTGAGAGGCTCGTTCACATTGTTGAATTTGTATTCGTACAAGTCCTGATATCTTGAAGGATTAGCATCATGGGTTGCGGGAATTTTACTGTAAAATGACCTTGGAACTGAGGCTGAATGTGTGATTTGAGAACGTTTACCACCTGAATGGAGAGGTTCGCCAGATGGCTGAGCTAATTTGGATGAAAGCAAGTAGGAAGAAGTGGTATTTTTGTTGACCATAGGAGATAATGGCGAGGTTATTATTGGATGGGTTTCTTGTTTCCCTGAAGTCGCAATTTCATCATAAACTTCTTTAGCGTCTCCCGGAATATCATTAAAATACTTCAAATCCTCATCGTTTAAAGTTAAAGATTCATCAGCATGCTCCTCATCATTGATCAAACTAGCTCTGTCGTCACATTTTTGGTGCTCATTTTCACTTCCATCACCCAAGATATCTTGGATTAGTGGGTTGGTATGATATCCTGTTTTTTGGGCTAATTTGTTAATATTTTTATTGTTATAGGAGTTGCAGCACTTGTATGATTGTGTAAATGGATTGATAGGAGCTTGATTGAGTTGAGATCTTGAATTGAAAGTCATTGGTAACATATACATATGTCCCCCAGTCTTTTGATATTGTAATGATTGTTGTGCTTGTAATGCTTGTTGTGTTTTTAAAGCTTGTTGTGCCCGTAAGGCCAAAAAGTATTGATATTGGTATTGATTCATCATAGGAAGGAACATTTGTGGATAACTCATCAACGGATGTGCAACTGCTGCCTTTTTGATGGCTCTACTTTTTGGATACCTTATGGCTCTAGAATTGCTGCCAATCCTGTTAACCACTATTGGTGGTGTATCTTTGTTAAACTCGAAGACTGCTGCCAAGTTGTTGAAAGTTACGTGTTTCTTGGATTCTGACATGTCTGTATTACTGTTATGATGATGATGGTAATAATAATATTATAATGAATGAATAAAATATTAATCGAAAATGGCACAACAATAATCTTTTGTTATTAATCGATAGTAATGGAAATGGATGAAACGAATGGTAAATTAAATATAAAGGATGGAGTACTATTAAACGAGAAAAAGAAACGAGAAAAAGAAAAGATATTAACGAAGGAAATAATTATTTATTTATTGGTTTAGCTAGCTTCAGTATCCATCAATAATTTACCAATATCAAACCAATCCAGGGTGAAGTGCCCTGAATTCACCCTCACATGAAACGAGTCCACTAAAAATGATGAACGGAATAACTTCTGGCTGTATGTCCACATCAAGAGCACTAATTGAAAACCATACATGTTTACCAATGTCTTGGTGTGTCAAATCTGCCTTGAATTTTTCGTTACTTGTCCGTATGGGATTTTACCGTGCATCTTTTTCAAATAAGTATGGGATCATCCCTTTAATTATGGTGCATGATATGCATAAAGATGTACCAATCCTGACAAGAGGATGTTTTAGGTATCAAGAAGGAAGTTGAAGAAACACAGATCTGTTCTAAAAAAAAGATAGGTCAAACAAATGGTAATAATGATTTTACATTTCAAACAAATGGTAACACTGTCTTAAAATTTCAAACGAATGGTAATAGTCTTGAGATTGCAAATCTCTAATGCATGAGAATATTGGGAAAAAACACATTATTATGATTTTCCAACTTTTGAAAGCTTAGCTGTTTGCAGATACGTAGAGAGTTAAATGACAATAGAAAATATCCGATATTGTATCCAAGAGAGCCTTGTATCACCACGACTTGTTGATTATGTTATTGGACTTTTTTCGTTTGTTTGGTAAACAACTTGCATTTGGGAGTTTCTGCAAGTTTTTACAATTTTACTAGTTTCACCACTATCGGTAATTCCGCACAAAGTGTACACCCATAAGATAGCAGTCGTCGCTGAAATGATTTAATTATAAAATCTTGGATTCAAATAGCTTACTTGACCAGTACTCAAACAAATTAATATTAGAAGCACTTTCATAATTATTTAAAGCAGCATCCCTAGGATTCCTCTGAGATATCAAGCATCTTCACATACACCTCATTAAAGTATTATCAGGAGAGATGAAGGTAATCCTACGAGTCACCATTTATTTAGCTATACTCATTGCACCTGTATATTTCCTTTCCCAGAAAAATTATGGCTGAAAGCTAATCTAGAATAGTGTAACAAAACTTATATTTCTTTCTCTCAATTGAACAATATATGTAGAGGAACTTTAACAAACAGAAAATTTGTTTTTCTGGAATGATTCAAAATATGAAAAGTCAATACATATATACACTTCCAAGAAGCTCAAAAGAATAGCACGCTGATATAATTTATGACATTATTGTGACATGTTTTTAATTTTTTGTTTACTATTTGCATCATGATTAATTTGGGTTGTTTTTACAAAAGTAAATTAAGTTTTGATCGCTGAAAATGAGAGGCCTTCATCAAAAGAATATATATTGGATACTATCTTAATAGTGAAGTTGTAAGCCTTGCTCTTATCTTTTTCAAATGTAACTTCATCAACTATGTATGCCTTGATATTGCAACCATCTACCAGGAATTACACGTGATAAAATATGATCCAACCATTCGGATAACAACAAAGTAATCATTTACACAAGTCCTTCGCAGCGACAATAACATTAATGATAAAACTAATTATCACCAAAAACACATTTAAAAACATTCATTATTAATAAATTATGTGGCCTTGTTTATTGGCGGCCTTCATATTTAGTGTACTGTTATCGATATACTCGGTGAACTTATTTAGCAATATCCTCAATAACCCGCCACTATTGTCATTTATTTTGGTTCTTGCTTTATACATCCCATTTTCCAGTATCTTCTTGTTGCCAATTGATTTAATATCTTCTTCTTTGGAGACACCAGGCCTGCACAATTTTTTCTATGTTGAATCTAAGACTTTGATCCTAAATCTTTGGAGATTTAATTATTGGTTAGGGTTTGTTATGACATGGATGGTCTTGCCATTGATTCAATGTTATTTTTCATCGAATAATTTCATATTCAAGAAGAGACTTCATGATTCTATCATTTACAATTTAAAGTTTTACCTGGTGTATGTTCTTGTGGGTATAATTGGGATTGTTTATGTGTATTTCAATATTGGCTTGACCTTCACTTCCATTAAGGCGTTGATAATTATCATGTCACACAGTTATTCGTTGATTTTGGCAATCTGGTTCATGGGTTATGGATTAGTGAACCTTCCTAAGACGATTTTCTGGAATAGCTTCATCATCAGATTGAATGATCGATATTTAGTGAACCATTATTTCTTGAAGCTTTTGAATTTGAAAGATGAATATCATGATTCAAAGACGAACTTCAATCAGATCACTTCTTTGATAAAGAATCTCCATTCGATTATTGACGTGCAAAATAATGAATACCATAAACAATGGATCGAGTACTTATACTCATCGGTTAATAATCTGTTGAAGTATAATAATAATAATAATATCAATGCTAATAGCATGGATCAACATACCATAAGTTTGCAAAGCAATTTAAATAATTATAATAATCGCTTTAATCAGGAAATGGTGCTTGTCAACAATCAATTATCAGACGAATTTTTGATTGGCATAACTAAAAATTTTAAGGACTCCTATTATCAATATCTTATAAATGAATCGTTATATTATGCATTGATTAAAAAAGTGATAAAAATCCAAGACATCAAAAATTCACGAACCACTCACACTTTGACATTCAGGACCCCTAATAAAACCCACCTGAAATTTTCTATCAATCATTTGATAAATAAGGTGTTGTTCAAATCTGCAAGCTCGAAATACTGGTACTATTATTATTTGAACCCATTTAGTTTGAAACTTTATGGACTATTATTATCCTCATTATCCATCCTCATTGCTATGTCTGAGGTGTTCCACAATACAAAACTTTCATTAATTAACATTATAGTTTTCCGTCACGATGCTAATAATAACGAATTGATTACCACAATGTTCATTTTGGTTTTATTGAGCTTCATGAGTTTTGCAGCGTTAATTTCTCTTTCTAAAACAAAGATATTCACGATCTATAAATTAATCCACAAGAACTCCAACCCTTCAAGCTGTGTTTGGTATTCCTCTTATGCGATTAGATTAACCATCCCATTATGCTACAATTTCCTTACATTATTGAATGGACAGATTTTATCCAATAGCGATGATAATGGTGCTCAATCATTGGCGTCAAAATTTCAAAAGTCTCAGTTCGCCTTGTTTTTGGGTAACTCAATTAATCTTATCGGTATTGGTCAGTCTATCAATAACATCTTACCTTATTTTGTGTTGGTGCCAATCATTATTCAATTTTATAAAATCCAGAACTCACATTCTAAGGTAAACAAGAGCATAAATGTCAATGGAACTGTATCACAAAATTCTAGTTTTAATAGGCTTCGGAGGAAAGTTTCTGGAATTATCGAAGACTTTGAGTTTTTGTTGTTTGATGACATGGATGATGATTATGAAGATGATGAAGATTACGACCATGAGCTGAACCGTGCGGCGTATAGTAATACCAATTCTGATGAGGGACAGACATTCGGAAACTATGGCGATGGCTCATCCTCTTCTTCTTCTAGGTTGTTAAACTCTTTACAGGCATCTGGGCCTCAATGTTCCCGAAAGGCACAATTGATAATCTCCAGAGTGGATGTTTTGATAAACTATGAATTGACCAACGCCAGGTCGTTATTAAACACTTATGACGATAACTACAGTATTTTTTATAATTTCTCCCTTAGACACTACTTAAAGCTATTGTTCAAGAGAGCTGAGTCGTTCAGAAATGGAGGCGATGGTGTTACAATAGATGGAGGATTGGGATTATTAGATGGTGATGGGTATGATGATGATGCACACGGAGAGATTGCATTGAGAGGTGATTATGACTTAGAGTTTGAATTTAGCGGGGAAGATGAAGAGGAAGAAATTAGCAACGAATTCAATAACGAATGGAGATAGAAAATGAAAAATAATGAATCCCCATGTGCTACGAATGCTTGTATTTACTATCTTAAGGAAATTATCAGGGAACATTTTTCTGGAGTTGTGTATTTTGTTTTGTATTTATTTAGGTATTGTTATGTTTAGTTTTATTTATGTTTTCTTTTGTCAATATACTCTTGTTTTGTTCTATCCTGCGTTGAATGTGTATACTCGGACTTTTCACCAAATGATTTCGCAACTTACAGCAAAGATAAGAAACTCATAAAAACAAAAACTTTTTAATTAATACAGTACAAAGAAAAGAAGAATTAAAAACAGCAAAATATAAGAAAAAAACACACACAACAAAATTCGTATCCAGAGAAAAAAAAAAAAAAAATTCATAACGTCTAACTAATCACAGTCATTAAATCATCAAAACTCATTCACCAGTATATTTCTTGAGCTCGTCATCATTTTCTGCAAACTCAAGCTTTAAATTGGCATCAAATAATGCCTCCTTTAGTAAAAACAACTTCTTCTTTTCTTTAACTAATTGATTCAAATCTTTTTCTAGTATTTGATTGATTTCTAAATTCCAAAGATAGTGTCTTTTCAACTTGTTATATTGAGCTTCTGGATTGTGATCTACAAATTCATCCAATTCACTATCCTCATTTCCCTCAGCCATCGCGTTTGTTGGTGGCTTATCATTAGTCTCGTCATCCGTGATTTGATCCTCTTCGGACTTCTTGGCTTTTTTCGCAATTTTTTTCTTCATGTCACTACCTTCCTTATTGTTTGCCTTTGCAGTTGTGAAATCATACACCGATTTCAAAAAGTCATTATTGCCAATATTGTTGATGGTCTCTTGTAATTTTTTAGCTTTAGTATTAAAATTATCAATAACCCTCTCTTTGAATTTCAACGAAGATGAATCCAATGAAATCGGTTCATCAATGAGTTTCATCATCTCGTCGTCATTAGGGTTTTCATTATCATTAGAATTTTTATCTTCATTTTCAGAATCTTGATCAATGATATTAATTTCTTTGGCCACCTCTTCTTCCTCGCCTATATCACCACTAAGAATGGAAGATAACTTCATTCTCTGCGGTGGTTCCGCAGGCGATGTGAAAGCAGTCTGGCTGCTGTCAGATTCCTCATTGAGCAAATTTGGAAGTGCCATAGCCTTGGATCGTATTTCAGATTTTTGAGATTTCTGCTCTTTTGCCTCGGTTAATTTCATTTGCTTGTTTAATCTGATTATCTTGTTAAGTTCGCCTTCATTGGCATTCAGACTAGTCTTTTGCCGTTTATATTGCTCGCCCTTTTTCTTGACATCATTTTCGGCATGGTCACCACCATCGAGTTGGTGGTGGTCATCTCCATCTTTGAATAATATGTCGTAAATATAATTAATATCATCAACATGATCAATTAACTCATAATATTTTCTTCGAGAGTGTTTGGCAAATTCAAGGCTCTTTAGATTTTGTACTTCCTCATTATCGGGCATAGTATCCTTTTCATTTCCCAATAAGTCTCTCTTTAGATGAAACCACCAAGGATAGATGTGTTCTTCATTCAAATCTGTATGAGTTGGACAAACATCATGGACTGTTCTGATATGTTTTCCTAGGGCATCACTTCTGGTGAAATTTCTCAAACATTCGGGGATAATGCAATAATATGGTTTTTCCCCAGTGTGCGATCTTAGATGCGACACTAGAGCAAACCTGCTAGGCTGATATATGCCATTCCTGGTGCAATCTTTCCATTCACATTTGTATTTTGATTGTCTTGACTTGATATGAACTATCATTAAATGACGAACCAAAGAATCAAGGTCGTGGAACTGGGTCTCACAGCCATCCCACTGACAAAGGAGTTTGGAGTCGCCATTTAAATCCTGGAGAGGCGCAACAGGGTTACTGCCTTCTTGTTTCATTATTCTGTGGTGCCTGTTGCCTTTCACTGAGAATTATTGTTGTTATTGTTGGTGACCATAGAATTTTGAGAGAAAAATAATAACTCGCACTCCCGTTCAGGGGCAGCGTAACCTGGTTTTCAAATTACATAATCTTTTACATAATCACAAAACACGTGATCAAAAAGGGAAAACCCTCCCCAATTGTGTGAAAAATTTCTAGCCAATGGAAATTCGGGTGATTACACGAAAAATGTAAGATGGGAAAAAATTAAATAATCATCAGGTAGTATCTTTTGAATAGGCCCAGTGCATTCTACAACGTCTACAGAATAATAATATCACAACCATGTCTTTTTTCGGTGAATTCTTAGCCTCTGTTCTCCCAACCGTCTCTTACGCTGATTCTGAAGTATGTCATTGCTGAGGATTATCCTGCCAAATGGGGCAAACTATTTTGAGAGGAAGTCAAGTAGCTTTTACTAACTACATTATAGGAGGAAGAAGAAGAAGAACAACCAGTTGAGGTTGTTGAAGTCGAAGTTGAAGTTGAAGAAGAAGAAGAAGAAGAAGAAGAAGATGAAGAAGATGAAGACGATGAAGATGAAGAAGAAGCTGAAGATCCATTAGACAAATTGAGAGCTGAATGTACCACCACCTCTGAATGTGCCAAATATGTCCACCACTACCAAGAATGTGTTGAAAGAGTCACCAAGGAACAGGAGGAAGAAGGTTATGCTGAAAAGAGTTACAAGGAAGATTGTATTGAAGAATTCTTCCACTTGCAACATTGTATCAACGACTGTGCTGCTCCAAAATTGTTCTACAAGTTGAAATAAGGATGTTTCAGTATTGTAATAGAGTAGTTTCAAAGAGATCAGCTCGCACAAACAGTTTAAATTTCGAAAAGCAAAAAAAACAAAAACAAAAAAAAAATAAAAACATTCCAACCCTTGATCCCCTTTATTCATCAGTTTTCAATATTGTATATACGAACTTTTGTCGTCACCATCTACATCATTCAACAAGCATAAGTGTTGCGAAAATCTCAGTTTCGTCAATATTGCAAGAAAAAACTCCATTCTTTTCTTGAGAGCTCTTCAAAAAATTCATCAACCAATATTCATCATAAAAATCTTATCCTTTTTTTTCTTTTTGTTGAACGATCAGTGTCATTTTTGTGATTTTCAATAGTGAGGAATAACTAGCAGAAGGAAAAAAAGAGCTTGTGTTTGCTGAGTTTAATATTTTCTTTTTCATATTCTCATGTTTGATGTATTCACTTAATCGGATTGTCAGCAAATAGAAGAAAATCTCTATCATCATTATTTTGCTAATGCCTTTCTTTATGACAAGGTTTTTGAACTTAATAAACATATTATTATAAAATTATGGAGTGGAGGGTTTAGTTAGGCTCGTAAATATTGAAATCTGATTGTTCTTGATGTTGCCAGTATGTAATTGATATGAACAAAATTCAATTCAATTATGACTAATCATGACTCGAACGCCTTTGACAACTTAGCATACTAAGGGACAGAGAGTCCTTATCTTTGTAAACTTTATAAAATGAGATATATGGTGTTTGTGAATGTTGCGGGCCATAGGGGTTAGGCAGCACGGGGGCAACTCAAATTTATCCCCCAAAAGTTGAGCTGCACATCTTTAAACATCAATAGCCGTCGAATAAGCCATCCTCCGTACACTACAAAGCATTTAAAAGGATAATGTCAGAGAGATTTAACTCTGCCCAGGCTCCGGGCAATAATAACAGTGGATTTGTTTCTCAGAATACCCAAGAACCAATAATCGAAAATCATGACAACAATATAGAGATAAAAAACGAGGACGACGATGATGTCGTTGAGGTAGAGAATCCCAACATTTTGGGAAATGGTACTTCAGCATCACAAAATAATAATATCAAGGACTTACCAGAACTGCCGCGCTCTCCTGAAAAATATCAAACAGTGGATGATGTTAGCGATGATGAAAAGGATCTTGCTTACATGTACGAAAGAATATTCAACCATCTAAATGAGGATAGGCTACTAAATGTTCTTTCAACAAAACAAATGATAGAAAAAGAAGATGAGGCATCAAAAATTTTACAGGAGGATGATTTTGATGTTGATGATATTGAGGCTGATGAAGATGAGGAAGGTGCTGGGTCTTCACAAAAGGATTCAAAGGCAGCGTTGCGTGCGAAATACAAAACAAAGAACAAGAGCAGCTTCATTACCGATAGCAGCAAAACTAACAAGTTAAATGAGGAAGATATGGAACCAATTCCTACTGATTTATCTCCGATCACTAATAGAGAAAAGCAGGGGCTTTTAATGAAGAGTTTCAATTCAGATCAGGCTGAAAGGTACGAGGCATACAAAAGATCGGCGCTCTCGAAGTCGTTTTTCAAAAAGATATCTACTGCGGTCATTGGTCAAAACTTAACAGGACCATCACAATTTGCTATTAGTGGGTTGGCGAAGTATTTCATGATGGAATTATTGGAAAAATGCAAAGATGTTTATGACAATAATCAAAATGTCGAAGTGGCAGAGAGGATCGTGAGGAAAAGAGAAGCAAAATTTGAAGAATACCAAAAAAGTAAAAAACAGAAAGTGAATAATAGCAATAATAATATTGGTGGCCAGGCTGCCCAGAGTAGTGGTAAGTTGAGCGAAAAGATCAAGGTCCAACAATCTGGTGATTCAATTCCTCCTCCCCTTACCCCATTCCATGTCCGTGAGGCTTTTAGATTATATAAGTTTGAAAATGGTTATCCCACGAATAATATCAGAGATCAAGGTGATGGAAATGGGTTTATGTTTAGATAGTTGTTTGTATTATAATAGTTAGCGCTTCAATTTTTTTTTTCCTTTACTTTTGGGTTTCAAAGATAATTGAATGATTGTGAGAATAACCTGATAATCGCATCTTGAAATGAGACAAATCTCTATCAATTCGTCTATCTATATTCATTAAAGAAGTAATTTTGCCCTAGTGTACGGCAGTTCTTGTTGTAGGTGACAAAGGTAAGCTAAGCGCACTTCACGCATCTCATCAATTTTTTTTTTTTTCTACTTCAATAATGTCATCTATTTATCTACTAGAAACGAATTTTGCAAAAACTTGAGAAGTATCTACAATCTATTCACTGGCCAGCATATATTTCCCATTAGAATGGACTATCAAAACAGAGTTGGTAATAAACAAGGTGGTGGTGGTCTTGCCTCGAGTCAAGAGACAAATGCTGCAAGAAGAGCCAGGGTTCGTGAATTGTTATCTCAAGGAAATAATAATTTTATAGAAACCGACCCATATGTGTTTAGAAACCATTTAGGGTTTCTTGAATGTAAACTTTGTTTGACTACCCATGTGTCGGAATCGTCTTACTTAATCCATGTCCAGGGAAAAAAACATCAAACAAATTTGAAGAAGCGACAGTTCCAAGTTGAAAAGGCAAATCAACAACACCAGAACCAACAGGATATGATAAATGGAATTAGCAACATAGCAAAGAAATCATACATCAAGATCGGGACTCCAGCATATCAGATCAAGAAGATAAGACATCCCGTCACTGAACAATTGGGCCTTTTGGTCAGTTGCCAATTTCTAAGAATTGCAGAGGAGGTCAAACCAATGCATAGATTTATGAGTTATTACGAGCAAAAAATCGATATAATTGAGAAGGAGAATGACGAAGTAGTGAATGATTTCCAATATTTGATTATCAGTGCAGAACCATATCAGAATATTGGGATCAAAATACCCAACAAACCAATTGTTAGATCAGCGGATGATGAAAATGAAGGAGCAGGACTTTGGGATTATTGGGATTCGGATATCAAAACTTACTACTTACAATTCTTTTTCAGAGGCCTCTGAGATTTGTGTATTATAGTTATGAAAAGATTTTTTACGTCAGAAAAATGGAAAATAAATAAATTACTTTTGAGAAATTTATATTGACGTGTATAAAAGTACAAACAATTAAGAGGGAAAGTCTCCTATTTTTTTTGGAAGAACTGAAAGAAATGACAGAATTTTTTTTTTTTTCTCTTGAAATAATGTCTAATGTCTTGAAAAGCTGTGAGTTTTACGACTTCTCACGTTTGAGTGTTTTGAGTTCAACAGAGCCGTCATTGTAATTGCTCGGTAATAAATCATTGTTCTTTTCATACATCCTTTTTTGACTCAAGAAACAGAAATCAAAAAAGAAACCCACCAAGACAAGCCCACATTTGGCGAAATTCTTTTTCACAAAGTCGAAAAAGCTGAAATGCAAACTGTGATCAATTTCTATCCCCATTCTGTTTATCGGTCTTTCGCTTTTCCATTGCAACAAGATCATATAATTATCAAGAATGATTTGGCAAAACGACATCATCCCACCCGCTAGGTCAAGATATATCGCAAGGAAAGGATAACCTTTGACAGACTTGTTCTTGTAATTTAATAGTAATTGAGGAACAAATTTGATGCAATTGATAAAGAGTTTGACCATGGTCAAAATTTTTGTAAGGAACAATAACGGCAATGACTCCGTGATGAACGCCCTGTACAAGCAAGTACCTAAGAATATTAACAATATGATGATTGAGTATTTTGTGCTAATATTGATTTTCCTAAGCACGATAACAATGTATTTGAGATCACCTGTTATGGAAAACCTGTTCGCATCACCAGGATTATGGGCTCTAGTGCTTGGATCATGGTACGATTTCAATTTCAACACACGATAATAAACCACTTGGAAAAATGTGACAGTTATACAAAGTAGGCAATGAAGAGCGTAACCAAAATCAATCATCGATAAGATTGGCTTGGTTTTATATACTTTTTCATAATCGGCAATCACATTTGTGTCAAATAACTGGAGATAAATGGTGATGAAGTAAGAGAAATAACCAATGACATTTAGCAACAATGAGTCAAGAGAGATCGCGTCAGAGGATTTCAATTTATAGTTCATCAACAATGTTGGGTAGAACGCTGAACTCTAGATATATGATTAGTTAGATATTGTGAGCATCGATATCGTCAAATATGGGGCGGCAGTAGCAACAAGGCACTCAAAAACAACATCGGCAAAAACTGGAGGCCAAAGACGCAAAGAAAAAACAACAACATACCCATAAGCATACATATGTGATCCCAAACACATTTGAGAGGAATTTTAGGAACGACATTGTTCCCTACCACGACCAATTCACCCGACAAGCTACGGTTGTTCCAACAACAATACGCACCACCTAAATATAAAACCTTTATAGAAGCCCTGGGCCAGAACCTCACTGAAAAAAAAAAAAAGCAAAATCAACCATTAGGCACGTGTGTATTCTTTTTTTCTTCTACTTTGTCTTTTCTGACGGAAGAAAAGAAAATTGTTTTACAGCGGACGATCCTCTAAAGTAAAACTACTGTCACTTTTATCCAGAAGAAAAAAATGATTTCCAGAACCGCTAGATTGTGCTCTTCTGCACAAAGATTCAATGTTAGAGCCTTCTCCTCAAGTTTGGGTGTTAGAGGCTCCGAGTTGAGAAATGACATTAAGGTTACACAGGGTAAAGATGATGAACAACTCGAAATCAGCGTTAAGCCAATCCCAAGAATCAATGAACCATTAGAAACTAAAAGAGCGAGATTGTTGTATCAGTCCCGTAAGAGAGGTATATTGGAAAGTGACTTGTTGCTTTCCCGATTTGCTGCAAAGTATTTGAAAGGCATGTCTGAGGAAGAATTGTTAGAATATGACAGATTATTAGATTTGCCAGATTGGGATATTTACTACTGGGCAACCAACAACTTTGAAATCACCCCTTTGAAAGATGAATGGAAAGACAGTAAAATTTTGAAAATGTTACAAGAATTCAGTGTTAATAGACAGAAAGAAATTTTGAGAATGCCAGAGTTGAAAGAGTATAAATGATTAGTGAAATAAAACAGAAATAAAAAAAAAATAGAAAAAAAAAAAATTGAAAAGGAAATCAACCAAAATAACCAACACTAAACCAAATGATAAAAGAAAAAAAATTATAGCAAGTCCAAATGCTTGTAGTATATATAAATAGATTGGATAGTTTTGGAAAGCCATACCCTTAAGTTAATACCTCTTTTACCTATGTACATATTAAAGATCAGTGGTTAACCTAATTAAATAATGAATATACAGATGATAGTTTTTTTTTTTGAATTAATGCAATGATTGGACTTCTCGTTCAATACCTCTCAACTTGGATGATAATCTTTTGCCATTGAAATAATCAGGCTTATTCCAAATTGCACTGTAATTGGTCTGATGATCAGTCAAACTTCCCTTGAAGAACTCATCATCAAGGTAGTCTTGCAATTTTACTTTGTTTTCGTCCAAAGTCCCAAGTCTTTTGTTATCATCTGTCAATAAACTATCATGGCTTTTGACTATTTCTCTCAAAACATCAATAGTTTTTTCATTTGGTCTAGTTCCATTTGCCACAAGGTCAACAATTAAAGATTCAATTTTAAGAGGATCCAAGTAATGTTTCCAATTTATTTCCATCAAGAAGTTGAAAACATCAATATTACAGCCAAAACAATATAGTTCATAGCTATCTGCTTCTTTGATGGAGTTGAAGATGGAGTTGATGTCTGAAAGTGCTTGTGAAGGATGAGAGTAGTTGTTGTATAATGCTCTCAAGCCTTCTTCCAAAAGGATTGGTAAAGTGTATTCATTCACTATTGGATGACTTGGTAACGCATCGTTGGAATGTTTAATAGCATCTATTTGATCACTGATGACTTTTTCCATTGCAATTTTCGCACTATCAGGACTGGAAGGAGTTGTAGCATATTGCTTAAGGATGTTATGTTGTATAAACTCAATAAGTTCAAAATCCGTCTGAATTTCTTGGTTCATGTAATCAAGGGTTGGTTCCAATGCCAATCTTAATTGTAGCGATGATTCGCCGTCGATTTCAGTGACTTTTCTGTTGTTTTCAATACCAACCTTTGTTTTGATAACGGAAAGCATGTCATCAATCACGTCACCTTTGTATTTGGCTTCACCAAACATTTTGTCCGAAGATTGCGAGTCTTTGCGGGCCACCGAATCTAACACTTTTCTCAACATGCTTCGTTCTTTTTGAATCAAGTTTGGTTTATTTTCTTGCTCATACTGGTTCAATTCTTCAGGAGAAAAAAATGAGTTCGACAATTTTTCAGATTCAGCCTGGAAGCTCGATCTCCAGTTGTCACCCAAGGTCTCATCCATAGGAGAAAATAGTTTCAGAATGTTTTCATCAGCACGGTAACTGACATCTTTGGAATCGTTGAATACTTGAGAGAGACTATCGTTCTTAAATAACTCATCAAAGGGGGTATCAAAGATAGAATTTGCATTATGGGTTTCTTTGTGGATGTGTTGGGAAGATCCGGATAACTTGGTGAAAAAACGTTGATTTACTAAAGGAAAGCATCTCTTTGAAGACTGAATGTCTTTGCAAGTTTGCAAATATAATCTTTTAGTACAACTTCTCAACATTTTTGCGTTTTTTCAATACTTCTTGTTCAATAATCGGCACCTTAAGGAGCAGTTTAATTTTTTTTTTTTTTTTCAAATTTTTTTTTTTTTTTTTCAAGCATCGAACGATGCGATCGCATGAAGGATAACTAAAAAGAAAAAAGAGAATCACTTTACATCTTTACGAGATAGTTTTCTTGACAATCGCAAATTGATTTATTTTAGCGTAATAGAGAACGGCCCAATAATGCCCTGGTTATGTACAATATGTATAAATAGAAATAGAAGATGGTAAATGATGGTATAGTACAGCAGCAGTGTTTCAATCCTTGGTGTTCCCCGATATTCTAGGGTACAATCTTGAAGCATGATAGTTGATCGATGACACTTTGTCCTTCTCGAATTTCTAGAAAAAAAAAAAGACACACGTTAGTAAGTCGTAGACCACAAAGATATAACACACAAACACAATACATACTCTTTCATTCATACAAGTCTTCAAGTCCTTTTCGAAAGTGAGGCAGGTTGCATTTCCCTCGCCGTTCGACGACCAGCAGTTCAACAAGCTTGACATGATGACAATACACGAGTTGGTCTGCTTCTGCAACACAGGCTTCTTGACCTTCAACTTCGGGAGGTTCTGCAATCTGATTGGCTTGGAACTCATGGCTGGGGATGATGGTAATATAATAATATATTATTATCTTGATCACTCCCAATAATCCTCCAACAAATAAAAGAAAAACCACAAAGGAAGAAAAAAAATCATCGGCATATTACCCTGCCCGGTGCAAAGTGGACAATCTCACCAACATTATTATCTTCGTTATTGCCAAACAGATGACCGATATTTTAAACCAAAGGGTTACTATAAAGCTTCCAGCAAACTAGCTCAGTATATTCACCTTCTTCTGTTGACCCCTCTCTGAATTTCTGCTTGTCTCTTCAGTAAGCCTCTTTGGAAATGACCAGCCGTCCTCAGAAGTCACGGAAGCTCTCTGCCTCATCGACCCCTACAAGCTCTTATGACAAGGGAAAGGACCCAAATCGTAGCATTTCTGGTGACGGTCCTATCATCAGACAGCCTGAAGAAAGCCATGTTGTGGGCCATGCTTCTTCATCTGAGAGCTCTGATGACAGTGATTCAGACGATAGCGACTTGCAGGAAATCACTTATGAGGATATGCTTAAAGAGCAAAAAGATAGTGACGATAATGTTGAAGACAAGAACAATGGGACCAAAACCGTTGACGGTAACCTCTTGCCCTTCGGAATGTCTGACATTCAAGAAGCCCGGACTTTTTTGAAAATCGAGGGCAGCATGATGTTTTTGGATAAATATTTACCAGCAAGGGCCACGGGCGAAGACATTGTCAAACTCACCATGTTATTGGGATATTATCCTCAGGACATTAAAGACTACAACAACGAAAATAACTTGGTGAAGGTGATCAAGAACTTGCAAAAAGCTATGAATAAAGTTTTGAGCATGAGGGCAAGATTGACAGGTTTCAATACCATTGATGAGGCCGCAGAGAAAATCAAATCCAGTAAAAACATTTTGGTGTTGACTGGGGCAGGGATTTCCACCTCCTTGGGAATTCCTGATTTCAGATCTTCCAAAGGTTTTTATTCGATGTTATCTGACATGAATTTATCTGATCCTCAAGAAGTTTTCGATTTGAATACTTTCAGAGAAGATCCGTCGATTTTTTATTCCATCGCTCATATGGTGTTGCCTCCTGAAGACAAATATACTCCACTACATGCATTCATCAAGCTATTACAGGATAAAAATAAGCTACTCCGGAACTATACCCAGAATATCGATAACCTTGAAGGGGTTGCCGGCATATCTCCTGATAAAATTATCCAGTGTCACGGGAGTTTTGCTACCGCAACATGTCGAACTTGCAAATTTAAAGTTCCAGGAAATAAGATATTCCCGGAGATCAGAAACAAAGAATTACCGATTTGTCCAAATTGCAGTGTCAAAAGAAAACGGTTAGCAGATAACGACAAATTAGGATATGATCTATCGTATGGTGTTATGAAACCCGACATCACATTTTTCGGAGAGGACTTGCCCCAAAGATTCCACGAAAGTATAAAACGGGATATTAGGGACTGTGATTTGTTGATCTGCGTGGGAACATCGTTGAAGGTTGCCCCGGTGAGCGAGATCGTGAACAAAGTTCCCGAGAGCGTTCCCCAAATTTTAATTAACAAAGACCCAGTTACCCATTGCGAATTTGATGTGTCGCTACTTGGTTATTGTGACCAAGTAGCCAGCTATCTCTGCAAAAAAATGAATTGGAAACTACCTCATGATGATTTCAATACTATTGCAAATAGTGGCTTGGAATGTGCAGATTATGATAAAGGAAGTGGGATGTATGTCATCACCAATAAAAAGCAAAGAGATGAAGAAGCGGCAAAGGCACAGGAGGAAAAATCTTCTCAAGACTCAGAAGAAAATGACAAATAAATGGAAGCAATTATTATCAAATGGGTTCTCTTTTTTTAATTTTATTTTTTAATTTTATTTTTTGATTTTATTTTTTTCTCTCTATTTTTTTCTTTGACATTGTGGCTGTTGTTATTTGCGTTGTCTTCTGTATTTTTCTGAACATTCTTTTTTTTTTTTTTCTTGTCATATCATGAAATATTGCCATCGCCAACTATAGTTATTGTCTCATAGTGTGGTGTATCACGGTATATCATTAGAACAAATACTTTTTTTTTTCCTTTTTCATTTTAGCTTATATTTTAATCTGTTGCATTGTCCATTCTTTACCAGTTGCTTTTCGTTTTTTTTTTTTTTAAAAAAAATTACTATCATAATGATGATAAGTAATTGCTTTAGTTCTTCATGTCTCTTTTCCATTTTTTTTTGTCAAATTTCACGTTCTGCTAGTATTATCATAGTTATTTGAGAAATAATTTGAGAAATACATAATTTGTGTATATAAATATATATATTCGGCTTCAAATAGCAGGGGAAAGAAAGTTCATTTGAACTATATAATTTAGAAAGAAAGAAATACTATGTCAGGAAGAAAACAAAAATCTATTATTTAGCACGAGAGCTGAAAAATAGTATTACAAATTATTGTGATTTAAATTTAAACTCTTTCAAAATTTTGATCTGACAACTAGATTATTTCTTATAATTTCCCTCATGCACCAAGTCTCCCCTCATAATCCTTCACAGAAAAGAGAAAAAGAAGAGCTTAGATGAATTCAACCATGTGATGGATTTAAGTTGTTTATAGAAAGTGGTATTAAATGTTAAACAAAGATTGTCTTCAAAAAGACATCGAGAGGGAAAAAAAAAATGAATGATATATAGCAAAAAATTGGACAAGACTAAAAAAAATAGTAGATAATAGTAGAATGAATTGTATGGAAATGCAAGAAGGTTATAAAAAGAGGGTTTCAATATACAGAAACAAACTTAATATTCTTCCTCTTCCAAACTGTCGGCACCAACTTCAATATAGTCATTGATAAGAGAGTTGATGGCATCAGCACCTTCACCAAGTTCGGTTTCTTCCATACCTTCACCAACATACCAATGAACAAAAGCTCTCTTAGAAAACATCAAGTCGAACTTCTTTTCAATTCTTTGCCAAGCTTCGGCAATCGCAGTGGTATTAGACAACATACAAACAGCTCTTGGTGGTTGAGCCAATTCAGAGTGTTTTGGAACAGAAGGTGGTTCAAAACAGATACCAACCTTGAAACCAGTTGGACACCAGTCAACTAATTGAACCGTTTTCTTGGATTTAACTTGGGCAATGGCACTTTGAACATCTCTATTAACAACATCACCTCTATATAGCAAACAAGTAGCCATATATTTACCAGTTCTTGGATCACACTTGACCATTTGGTTATCTGGTTCAAAACAAGCATTAGTGATTTCTGAGATAGAATTGGCTTCGTGCAATGACTTGGTCTTGGAGCTGATTGGAGCATAAGAAACCAACGGGAAATGAATTCTTGGGTAAGGCACCAAGTTGGTTTGGAATTCATTTAAGTCAACGTTCAATGAACCATTGAATCTTAAAGAAGCAGTGACAGACGAAATGGTTTGAGCAATCAAGGTATTCAAAGATCTGAAGCTTGGTCTGGCAATATCCAAGTTACGGCGACACATGTCGTAAATGGCTTCATTGTCAACCATAAACGTAACGTCAGAATGTTCCAAAGTAGACAGAGTAGCCATGACGGTATTGTAAGGTTCAACCACAGAGGTGGAAACCTTTGGGCCTGGGTACACGGCAAATTCTAACTTGGCCTTTTTACCGTAATCAACGGACAATTGCTCCAATAATAAAGAACCCAAACCAGAACCAGTACCACCACCCAAGGAATGGTTAAAAATAAAACCTTGTAAACCATCACATTGGTCAGCCATTTTTCTCAATCTGTCTAAAATTGGTTCCAATAATTCTCTCCCGACAGTAAAATGACCTCTGGCAAAATTGTTGGCGGCATCTTCCTTACCACTAATCAATTGATCTGGATGGAAGAAGTCCTTATATTCACCAGTTTTGATTTGATCAATTACATTTGGCTCTAAGTCAACGTACAAAGTTCTTGGAACGTATTTACCGGATCCAGTTTCACTGAAAAAAGTGGAAAACCCAGTTTCACTACCTTTAGGATTCTTCAAACCTTCGGCCAAGTAACCATCTGGGCTGATTCCATGTTCTAAAGAGTATAACTCCCAACAGGCATTACCGATTTGGCAACCAGCTTGACCAACTATATAAATGTTTGTCAGTAAACTGGCTTTTATATCAATAATGAAATACCCGCCATGGTTTAATTTTTTTGAGATTATTATACTTGATCCCTCACTTGTTCATTCTGATGGTGATCTAAACGGCATAACGGTGCACAATAAGATCTGACAAGCTATCCACAGATGATTCATGTTACACGTACCATTAAGACTGATAACTTCTCTCATTTTGTTATTAGGGAATATGCTTATTGTTTAATGAAAAATTCCCAGGCTCTATAGTTCACACTGTGTGACGGCGTTTTGTGAGACCCTTCGTTTTTTTCTCTCTTGTATATTGTGTGTATGTATTTGGTGGTTTTTTTTTTTTGTTTATTTACATTTTAAAGAAGAGCTTGACAAAAAAAAGGGCGAAGAGGCTCGTAACCAGATGATATGCGCATAATTACACGTAAATGCGCATAAGATAGTGCTGACTAAGATTTGTGGCACGTGATGAAACCGCCCCGGATTTTTTTTTCTTTCTTTCTTTTATTTTTCAGCCGATGACCAAATAAAAGTGGTGATAACGCTGCTCAGAACAAAGAGTTCTCACTCATTACTAATCAGCAATGGACACCAGTAATTACAGTAAAAAGAACAAGGAGCTCATCAATAACCCATTGCATGGGATATACATCCCATCGTTCTTCATCTTGTTTGGGACATTGCTTTTTGGATGGGACAAGGTGATCTATGGATTATTATTCATTGGTTTGTTGATGGGGTTCAGATTTTTCCAATACAAGTTGGCAAAGGGAAAAAAAAGAGTGAGTGCCAGTGAATTCAAGCCGTTTGAACTTATTGATCAAACTATTATCACTAAAGATTCTGCAATTTATCGTTTCAAATTGGAAGAAGATGAGGCACTTGATATTCCATTGGGTCACCACCTCGGATGCAGCTTCACCGCCGAAGAATTGAGCCAAGTTACTGATAATGTCAAAGAAGATGATAATGACGTGGTGAAGTATTACACTCCAATCTCTTCAAAGTATGATAAAGGGTTTTTTGATCTTTTGGTCAAATCTTACCCAACCGGTACCGTGTCCAAGAAATTTGCCTCTTTAAGTGTTCATCAAAACGTCAAAATCAAAGGCCCAGTTGGTCGTTTTGACAGTGAAAAGTATTTGACTCCTGATCATTGTGATAAGGATAAGAAGGTTATTTTGATTGCCGGAGGTTCAGGTATCACTCCATTTTTAAGAATTATCATTGAATCACCAATGACCATGAATTTCCAATTGCTTTATTATTCCAAGACCGAGAAGGATGTGTTATTAAGAAATGAACTCGACCAAGTTGCTGAGTTCAAGGACACTTTTGACTTGAAATATTTGTACGGCCTCCTCACCGAGGAAAACCTTACGGAAAACATTGACAGTTCCCTTGATAAATCCTCGTCTGTCTTGATTTGTGGACCACCAGAATTCAAGAAATTGGCTAAAAAAATTGTTGAGGAACTTGGTTTCTCAGAAACTTTCTTATTTTAGTAGTAGAATTTGATTCCCAAGAGTGTTTCTCTTCTTTCTCCTATAGAATTACTTTTCCTTTCAGTTCTTCGATATACCTGTTTATATTTATATACACCTATATTGCTCAATATTGTTCAACCAAGATATAATATAGTTTTCTGTTGGTTTTTATTCCTTATTATTATTGTTATTATCATTCAGCTCAGCTTTATTTCCATTTGTAGTTATAGAGAACCAAACTTTGGTCACGGCGAGAACTTGAGCGATAGGCAGATGAGAAAAAATGAACATCCGTGGCAGTAATTAAAAAACAATCGTACGAGGAAGGTAAATAACATTGGTCTGTCAAATCTTCCATAATTTACATTGTGGAATTTTACCAGGATTTAGACAGTACCGTGGCGGTCCAACCGAGCTGGACATGGGTGGTACTGCCGTGCCAGTGCGCTATATACTTATTATGAAAGAATCCGTAGGCTTTTAACGAAGTAGAGGGACTAAGCGAGAGTAACAACATCGACATTAGTAAACAGCAACCTCACCAACGTTGACCTGCAACACTCAAAATCCCAGCCAAGCAAGCTTATCTTATCACGAAACACAAACGAATTTCCAAGTCCTTGGCAGAGAAGTTATTATGAAATCATCCAATATAACATAGTATTTAAGCCTTATCGGTGCCAATTCATCGGAAATGTTTCCCACCAACCCCCTTGAAAATTTTACATATCGGCGGACTTCCTCTATTTGTGCCAACTAAATAAGTGGTGTTTTTTTATGTTGGAATAATAATAAGTGTCTAATAAGCTAAGCTGTATACGCCATCCGATGTCTATTCACATATTGTGAAGACCGAGATGCCAGACAGGATGGGGGTGACACCCCTAAAAGGTTTTGCGCGAAATATATTTAGAAAGTTGAAATAAATCCCCAGTGGTAGTAGTATCAATAGCAACAATTTATAATAACCCTAATATTCATTATAATATTGCGAAAACCATTGTTCTGAAAATACAGTTTATTGAAAAAATGGCTCTCAGTTTACTTCCAGGATTAGGTATTACATTTCAATCGATCTTTGTTGGTGGGAACCTTGTGACATCGGCGTTGTTCGTTCCAGCTCTCCGCAACACCAACATACCACCTTCAAATCAAATCAAACTTTGGGAGAAAATGTTTATTGGTGGGGCAAAGCTTATGGCGCCTTGTGCTATTTTCAGTGCTGCGTCTTATATATATTTGGGATGTAACGCTTCCAACAGTTTCGAACAAACATCAATGTTTATCAGTGCTGGCTTCTCTTTCTCTGTGATCCTATTCACGACTATTGTGATGCGTTCGAATATCAGATATATTCAGGGCTTAGTGGGTTTATCGGACGAAGATCTTGAATCCAAAGACTACGGCTCAGCAATTAATAAGTGGAATAAGTTGAGTATTTCTCGTTGCTTGCTACTCTCACTTGGATTAGTCAATATGTTGTGGTACCAATATAAAAGTTCTTGACTTGAAACACATACATAAATACATACATAAATACATACATACATACAGTGTGTATCACAATGAATAAGGAGGAAGTATGAATACAACTAAAATTAGTAATGAAAATAGCATATGATGTACCCTATATATGAAATAAGATCTCATCGAGTTTTCTTTCATTGTAAAAGTGAATTTCAGAGATCAAACTTGAAATTCATTCAGCGGTAATTCTTTCAAGTCTTTTTCAACGACTTTCAACTCATCTTATACTGCTGATCATGATAAACTCAATGGGCAGTTTCTTCGTTTGCCAACGTTCCAATATCCATCAATGTGTGGTGTGTGTGGTATGAATTGCTTTTCGAATCGGGAAAGTCCGCGGGTACGTAAATGTTCCAAGGGGTCGGTACGAATTATTTTTTATGACCAATTCCGGCTATTGGTGCGTGAATGAAAAAATGGACACTCTGTGGAGCTACTAGTGTGGGTAGGGGTCTAAATTGCACATATATAACTAGCAGGTATTCGGTGATGCCTACAGGTAGCGGAGTACCCCTGGATCAAATACTCCCAGTTAGAAAGAAAAAGAAATCCTTTATTGCCTCAAAGCTTGGGTGTGATAACTGCAAAAAGCTTTCCCGAAGGAAATGTGATGAGGCACTTCCGGAATGTGCTGGATGTGTAAAGAAAGGGGTGAGTTTCTTATGGCTCATCAAATATTATGCCATATTATTGTTTTTGATAAAAATTATACTAGACTTTTGATTAACTAACGATTGAAAATTTAATGTAGATTCGGTGTTCATATCTCGATGCTCCCCAGGAATTTTTAGATAGGATCTCACGAGCTCATGCGATAATTGCAGATCATAAACTTCAAAGCCAACGAGAGACTGTTCCTGATGCCAATTTTGGTAAATTTAGGATCACAAAAGCAGCACCAAAGCCCATAAAGAAGTCAAAGAAGGTTACTATTAACAAGCCCAATAACAATGTTGCGGATGTAAGTGGACCAAAAAAACCTACAAATGGTGGTAAATCAACGGGGTTCATTAACTTTCAAGTGGTTTCAAAGAAAAAACTTACACCCACAATGCCTGAAATACCAACAGAAGTTCTTATGGAACCGGAAAAAGACAAAGGTGAAAACCCACTTTGTTCTGCAGAAAGTGGCCGGTTCCCATTTACTCTTTACAAGCACACAGTTCATCCAGATCATGAAAAAGCGTATGAAAGATCAGAGAAAATTTTTTTCGAGATTTTCAGCGATTCTGCCGAAATTCATAGGAAAAGATATAAGCTTTTTTTCATCTGCTTGGGGGATCAAATTCGTAATGCTGAACACTCGTTGATTTTATTTTCTTCGTTGATTTGTTTTAGTGGTTGCATGTTCCAAAGACGTGATGCGTTATACCCGAACCAAAAGAGTCCTTACGCGTGTATCACAAATCTCGTGAATAGGAATTACTCTATCACCGCTATTTACATCAATAAGCAATTTAGTATCGTCTCGGAAATCTGTCAGAGACCGGACATCCTGATGGAGGATTTGAAAAGATTATCACCATTAGCCTACACAGTATCCATGAGCGCAATGATTCAATTCGGCTCAGTTTCATTTTATCGAAGTCTTAATTACCGTGTGGGAATGAATTATTTTGTGCATTATCATGAAACCGTTAACACGTTTCGACTATTGACAAGGAAATTTGAAACGAGTATTGGGGATTTATGTGTCGGATTTGCCTTTTTCAAAGCCCTAGCATACGACGATATGAAAGAAATCTTTATTCCATCATACGACACCGCATTTTTGGCCGAATTGTTTGATGATCTCATGCATTTCAAAAAGTTCATTGCTCATGATCCCTACATGATGAGTCAGCTTGACGAATTGGTAAGATTCTATGATCTTTTGATGAATGAGGTCTTCCCCTTGAGAAATCATAAGTACGTCATCAAGTATCCTGCAGATGTCATCACAAAAGCCCAAAACTTTTGGTATAAGATAGTACCAGGGGAAATGTCATTGTTGAACAACAATAGAAATCTTAATATTGTTCAGAAGATATTTTATGTTTATTGGGTCACATTCTGCGTAGCGCTTGATTCATGTATTAATCACGCTGGTTACGTCTGTGGGGTGGGATTTTCTGGATATTCGAAAGTTACCGAGCCATTCCAGCATGCCATTTTCAAAGAACTAGATAATGATAAAAGTGTTACGGGAACTGAATTGCGAGGCCATGTGAATTATCTTGTTAGGATCATTTCCTTTTTTTCAGCCAGATCAAAGATATACCATGAAAATCTTCACTTTAGAAATCCATTTCCAGAGTTTCTAAAAGACGGGTACAATAGATTCCGCTGTAGGGCTTTGCCGTTCATCAAAGAGGAATTCATTTCGAATTTTAAATACAATTACATTAGAAGAGAAAATTTCCCATCAGTGTCCTACAATAGCAATATGTATGCCGGCCAAAATGACCCTGTGTGTCCACCATTATTTGATCACTATCAAATCCAATTCAAAGAAACTAACCATCCATTGAATACGAGAATTTCATCTATTATTCATTGTGAGACTCCTTCCTATGAGTGCCCAATTGCTTTTCAAAACTACAATATTTCAAGAAATGGACTATTATTGGGCGATTATAATCCTTATTCTTCTACCTTCAATAAGGTTGATACAGATAATCCTAAAGACGAACCTTCAGAATATATTTCCGGGTATTTGAATACTTATTTCACGGAACTCTTAAAAGATCGGGGTCTCATTCTCAGTGTGACGGTTCTTGACCAGCCTCCAGTCGGCTCTTTTTTCGAAACCGTTATGAATAACCTCAACTATGGTATCATCCCTAATGAATACGAAAGTAATACTGTCAACGTTGCTGTATTGAAAAATACTGCCCATGACGCAATTGTTTCGGTGAATGATGCAAATATTTATGATATCAATACTGCAATCATGGTCCCATTCACGGGTGCTGACATGGCCAGTTATGATTCCCCAAATATTACCAACTCTAGGTGTGTCGGTCCGCCAACATACATTGATGGTATTTCTGATCACAATTTAAATACAGCCATTCAGCCTAATTGTCCAGCACCCCCAGCACCTCAAGTACCACCGCCACCAGTATCAGTTCCTGGAGGAGTAGTTCAGGCTAATAGCATATCCCACACCGGAGTGACTCATGAATTTCACTATGCCAATCAGAATCAATATGGAATCGCTTTACATAGTACTCCGGGAAATAGAATCAATATTCCTGATGTGAATGTTAATTTGATGTTTAACCCCCGGAATGGCAATGACGATAATAATAATAACAATAATAATAATGGAGCTATACCTAATAATTGGTAAACATTTATAAACGTACATTTAAATAACTTCCAGCTTTATCTATTGTGTTTCTACTGTCTGGCTTCCAAATGTCTTGATATTTATCCGTGCATCATATTGTCTGTCATTTTCACGTTGGATACTAGTCTCTTTTTCTTTTCTCTCAACCCATATATTTATATAGACATTCTCATCAGTTTTAGCCACCTTTAATATTATATTATATGACGAAATATATTCTATTTCATTTCATGTTGTACTGCCTGGCGCTTAATATCCCAAGAAATACACATCCCACAAATTGTCAGCGCCCTAGTTGCCAAAAAGAAATTCACTTCGCAATAAATATATATCACGGGTATATAAACAATATAACAAATGAAATGATAATTGCTACAATGAAGGCAATTATACCCGCTCCAACTGCGGATACCGTAAACACGCTCTCGAGTAATTTACCGATTCTATAGGCTGAAGAAAATTTGGCGTTTGGATACACATTATTATTATTCCTGATCAAATTATCCCAGAAAGTTTCCTTGACCGCCCCCTTTCCCATCAGTGGCTTCTGTTGCTCTGGTGCCTTCGAAGTCCAACCTAAGCTGTATCTTGCTTTTCTGATCTTTTTGGAAACTCTTTCCCCAATGGTTATGGGAAGCGCCACTGCCCCTTCACCAGCCTCGAAAAATAAAGCACATATTTCAAAGAGTCTAGAAGAAGTTGTTGGTAAATTAAAATTACATTGATTTGAAAAATTAACAAGAGGACTAGTTGATATTTCTATCAGCATCAATGACTTACCCATCGAAAAGGAGCACCAAATTTAATGGAGTTTGGCCAAAAGACATTATTTTGGGGCTTTATGACTGTTGATGGAGCAGCACAACTCCCAATCAACCAAAAAAAAAAGAAAGAAAGAAAAGGAAGTACTTTGAAGCTGTTTTATGATATGAAAGGATTGTTTTTTCGTCTTGTAACAAGAAATTGATTACCTTCTCTGGCCAGGATCTTCCAGGATTGTGCTCAGTTGTTGAGAATGTCTATTTTTTTTTTTTTTTTTGCATATATTTATAAATGCAAGCCACAAAGCCAATAGACCCCCATACAGAATTAAATTCTGCTCTTGCGAAATAATACTCATCTTGCAAAAACAAATGCTGATGAATAAATAATAACAGTGAGCTCAACTGGAGGGTCTTTGCTTTTTGGGCAACCCGAAAAATGATCTTGAGCTAATAGTAATTTTATTTTTGGGCATTTGCTTGAGTTGAGACTTTGCGATACTGGTAGCGCTGTTGTTGGTTGCTTTGGGTACTCTTTTCACTATATATCCGAAACGAGGTGATTTTATTGAACTAGATTTTCTCGAGCTCCACAATCTGTCCAACTCATTAATTACGTCTTTTTGTGAATTATCGAACACTTGATCAACAACTTGGTAGTCCAATAACATAGAGTTTTTAGAGACATATAAATTCTCATGTATCTCCTTGACTTTATGGCTGAATTTACTGAATTTTGTCAAGATGTTGTTCAATTTTTTCTGGAAGCATAGGCCCACAAACACCTCACTCACCTTGAGTAATTTCACATCATTGGTATCCATATTTTCCAATAGTTCGCTGGTTTCAATGTACATAATATTTGAGTGCTTTAGAAGTTCAATAATATTGTACAAATTGACGTCTTGTAGCCCAAGCATCAATAAATTTGCACATTTGCCACTTTTACAAGACAAAATTAAATTATGGCAAAAATTGTCATTTGCAGGAGTATTTTCGATGCAATTCAAGTTCAATCCAATCAAGGTTTTAGCATTATTCAATTTAGCGAGCTGATCATAATTGAGTACATCGCTATTCAAGCCACTGAAATTCAATAATAGATACTTCGTTGCCACCAGAAAATATTCCCGCTCATTTCTATCATTGACGAAATACACTTCATTTCCATTAGCACCATTTATCAAAGTATCATCAATAAACTTATTGAGAAGCACGTTGTACCCTATAGTTTCCAATCTATGCTTAATATTGGGAATACACTGTTCTGCAATCACAGTATCCCTAATTCTTGGTCTTTGGTAGCCATCATCAAACAATCTTTGGTTATATTTCAAATGACAATCAAAATCTTTGTTCTTCCCGAAAAAGTTTGCGAATATTTCAAACTTCAGAAAGCTATCTGTTCCATCTTCAAGAATTCTGAGCCATGCATCCAGCCAAAATCCGAACCACTTTGGAATAGCGCTAATATGAGCTGGTTTTAAAAAATCACTATTCAAAACCAATTTTTCTAGTGCTAGCTGTTTCAAAGTTGGTACTTTTTTCAAAGATCTCACATTTCTGGATCGGCAAGAGATTGACAATCGTGGAGCTTGAGGTACGAAGCTGTTTATTCGGTAGCTAAGAGACTGCCAATCATATAGTTCATTTAAGGAAAGATGGTATTGGTTGCTTTCAAGTGCTACCACTAGCTTTCCCGAGTCTGGATAGAAGTTCGATCTCTGGTTCTGATTTGAACTCTGTTGATACTCAGAATCGTCTCTTTCTAGAGTGGACTGTCCTTCTTGTAGAGTTTCAACTGATTGATGCCAGAGCCTCAAGTTCCTTCTCTTGGAATACTTTCCTTTTTTGTATTTCCCAACATTAGTATGCCGTTTTTTGCTGGTGGTTTTCCTTCTCTTATAAGTAGATGAGCCATTGGTCAAATTATTAGTGCGTTTGGTCAGTGTCCGTTTGGTGACACTTCTCAATGCGTTGCGTTTATCTTGTTGATAGGATTTGCCAAATTCATTATTAGATATCACCATTGGATGTTAGAAATTTACATCTCTTTTAAGAGATTGATTAAGTCAGTGTTTAAGCAGCTTCTGACAGTGTGTGTAACTTTTCACGCGTCTTTTTTGGGGGTTTCCACCGTAATTGAAGTTTTGAAGAGTTGTACAACAAATTGGAACACACAAAAGCACTGTGATTGTGATACTGTAGCTTGATTAAAATTAAATATACCTATAAATAGAGAGACCACACCGAGGAGCCTAAACTAAAAAAGAAAAAAAAAAAGAAATCAAAGCACTTCTAATATAATATATCAAAAATTCAGGGTTGAAATAATATCCTATTGGAAAGGGAAAGGAAGAAACAAAAAAAAAAAACTAATTTACAAAAGCAAAAACAAATGATTTTCATTAGAATCTGCTACCACCATACACAAGCTTGAAAATTTCGCTAATTCTTTCATGGGAATACCCTTCAATCAAACACAACTGCAACAAAATTCTTGCCTTTTGAGGATTCAAGTAACCCCCAGCAATTGCACCTTGGAATTTATATTTTCCATTAGGCAAATTACCGACAGGAACGATACCGTTGGCGTTTCTAGTACTGTAAATAACTGGCAAACCCAAAGTGTCAGAAAGTCTCTTCAAGACCATATTACCATGATCGGTCCAAGAACCTGATCCGGTACCGGCCAACACAATACCTTTGACATTAAGATGGTTGACAGCCAATTCTATCAACTCCACATTAAGAGATTGGTAACCGAAAAGAATAAGGACTTCTGGCATTTCGAATGAATGCTCAATTTCCAAGAGTCTTCTTGAACCGGCAAAGAGTCCGGCAATGCGGTGCTTGAATGGCTGAGAAATAAACCAATTGATTTGGTTATCGACAAACATCCCAAGAGTTCCTTGTTCGTCATTCTTGAAAGTATCAAGGGAGTTAGAATTTGATTTGGTAGCATAAATACCGGATATGATACGATCGTTGAGAGAAACAAGTACCCCACGGTTGACCGCACTTTCGTGACTGGCAACAAGTACAGATGTGTAAAGATTCATAAGCCCATCATAAGAGATACTAGTTCTTGGTCTCATACTCCCAGTAAGACAAATAGGTTCCTTAACGTCAAGGGTTAACTCAAGGAAAAACGCGGTTTCTTCAAGAGTATCGGTCCCGTGAGTAACCACAATCCCATGGTATTCCCCGCTCTTCAACGACAGTAAGATTTCGTTTCTGAGTTTCAAAGTGTGTAACGAGGTGATTTCATTGGAACCAACATTATAAATTTGTTGGAAAGCAACGGTTGCAAGGTTGGAAAGCTCAGGGATATTATCGACCAAATCATTGATGGTCAAGTTGACAGAATAACCAGCATTACTGGTACTTGAATCACCTGAAGAAGCGATTGTTCCTCCAGTAGCGAAGATCTTGATGGAAGGAAAGCGCCAATTTTCATTAAGTTGGACTACTGCAGTTTCTTCTTGAGTAACGGCTTCGTAGAAGGTGTTTTTGTAGAAGTGGTTGAAATTAAGAAAATCATTGATGAAGTCAAACTTCACGGCATTAGATAACCCCAAAAGTTGGAGAGTCACCAAAACAAGATTTAAAAAGATCATTCTGGGGTTTATATGGTGGCAAAAACTGGTCAGTGGAGAACAAGTCTTGGTTAATAATGTGTTGATGATTTTAAAAAGCTTGTTAAATTTTACATGATATGAGAATGACGCATTTCTCAATGACAAGTCGCGTGCGCACACACACAATGAAAAAAAAAAAAAAAGAAAAAAAAAAAAAAAAAAAGCCGACGGAAAAAACGGTTTTTTTTTTTTGGCGGGGGAGGGGGAAATTTAGTGTCGATAATTTCCGGCACTGGAGCAAATCTCTTTTGTTTTATGTTCCTTGGCCGCCAAGGGCAACCTCAAATTACCAGAAAAAGGTAAAATGGCAACCTCGAACTTCTTCCAACTAGGTCTTGCATGATTCAAAGGGTGAAGGACCACTTGATATACGACGACAATCAAGTGCTTGGAAACAGCGTATACCATCACTGAATTACCCAATTGTGATCTACGTCCCCTAAAATAACCTCTAGACTTGGATATTTAATTGCCTCATCAAAATTGCTTGCTATAGCTCAGGATTCCCGGAATATCAATCACTCGATTGGAATTGAAATCATTGATGGTTTTTTTTTTGTCCTTCACTCTTCTGCGCGACAACATAGTCATTGAACCAAAAAAAAAATGCTGCTGGAAGATCTTCGTGCGAGTAACCAAGGTGATCAATCATTCCTTCATAAATATTTGATTGATGTCCAAAATTTTCATGCCTTGAAGACTCCTCTTAAAATTATCTACAAAAGAGTCTATCTTCATTGGAATCACTTCATTCTTATGCTGAAATGTACACTGTTTCTCGCTACTATGTTGGATTTCCCATTTACGAGTGTCAATCACCCACTCAATAAATTGGGCAAAAACTGGTAAACGATTACTGGAATTACTCCCCTATTCCAAGACATCCGCATGATTTTTTTCTCTTTCTTTATCAATTGACGTACAGCTTTTATTGATACGAGCAACGCTGCTTGCTTGCCTGCTTGCTTAATCCTTGATAATAACCTTTTAACTTTGGACGGATTTTGCTATCCAAGTACCAATTACAAAGGATACTATAACGGCAAATCATTATTACCTAAGTGGGCACTGACTACTCCTCCCGCGCTTCCTTTCCCCATTGGGCGGCGGTTGATTACTTTCAAGCTCTGCGGCCTGCGAAATTTTGCATTTTTTCTTTTTTGTTTGTTAACAAAATTGGAAGAGCAGAAAACAACAATGTTATGGTGTGAGTTTTTTTTGTTTTTAAAAAAATACCTAATACCGAATCGCTGAGCTCTTGGCGAATCGAGCCTCGTAAACTGAAAACAAAGTGGTGTGTTGCAACTCAACCACAATCAATGCTCTGAATGATCTGCCATGTATAAAAAGTGCGACCTCATAAATATGTGGGTATGGAACGTGGGGATCACGCGACACTGGCCGATGGGTAAATAACTGGTTCTGTTATTGATACCCGTCTTTGCATCCTTGTAGTATTACTAAACAGTATCTCATATCGCAAATAATAGAAGAAGAAAAAAAAAAACCTTTTCAATTGCTGCGAGAAAAGGAGCACTACGACATGGACGCGAATTGCCATATGTCGCAACGAGAATGTTTGATTCACCCAGTATTTCGGCTAACTGTCTGCCTTATCATGCATGGCAGAGGCAGAGAGAGAGAGGGTCTCTGGAGACCTCTGGAGACCTCTGGAGACCTCTGGTCTGTGTGTCCACTCGAATGTTTCCGCTGTCGAATTGATACTACCAACAGCCAATATTAATAAACACGACATTAGAAGACCAGAGAGGCCATCAATCGACCGCGGGGACCCGCATGTTGCTATTATAATATTCACCACCACCAATCCAAACGGTCCCGAAGTTAAAACAATTACAGTTTGGAGCTAAAAGACACCAGGACAATAGTGACTGCAGCCAATCTTCCCTCCCGGGTAACCAACCGGTTACTATACATCCTGTCATGTGCCACCCGAAAAAAAAAAAAAAAAAAGAACATTGACATTTTACCATCATCACACTCATCATCGTCTTCTCCTCCTCGAACCGTTGACACTCTTCGATATCGACTGCAATGTCTACGAGGACCACCACAACCTACTCACACAATGGGTGCAGTCGTTGCAAAAGAATGAAAATAAAGTGTGATGAGAAACGACCTAACTGCGGGGCCTGTGACCGAAAGAAGACAGAATGTGTTTATGAGTTTCCTTTTGTCATTTACAACCCCCATCTGAGCAAGAAGAGGAAAAACAAAAGCGGCAAAGTATCAAAACTGGGATCAGGCGACTCATATAAGATTAACCAAGAAGACCGCAGAATTTTGCAGATTACCTTGCCTAGCGAGTTTAAGTTCATCGCTGAGAAATTCTCCGATGATAGTTCTTCGCCATCTTCCATCACCTCCCCTCCAGCAAATGATTCACAAACTTATTGTGAGAAGAACTTTAGTGAAACTAATAGTTCACCTTTGTCATCACAGCTCACAAAGGCTGCGGCTACCGGCTCCATCGCCGCTAGCTTTAATAGTACCTCTTCTCCTTCTGCTTCCACTCCTACAATGCCTCCCGGCTCTTTCCCCAGTTCTTTTTCATTGGCTAATCAAAAGTATGACCAGCTAAAAAATCACACTGGTAACTTGGAAACATCTTTCAAAGATCATTTCAAGTTGTCAGATATTCCAGTGAAGATGGAGCCCCAGCAGACGTTTGATTGGCAACAAGTGCCTATTGATAGCACTGCTGCGGTTGTTACCACACCTTCAAGTATAGCCGCCACCCCCAATACTAATAGTGACAACACTAACACAGCGATAATTCCCCAATTCATCCCAACAACGAGTATGGCACCAGCTATCCCTCATCAACAAGACTATGCTCCTATAGATTATAAAATGTGGAACAATTTCATGACTGAAACAGATTATATCTTGAATCTTTCCATGCCCCAAGAGACTGTTGACATAAATAGACCACAGCCATTACCACAATTCAAATATGACTTTTACAAAAGTAATACCATGAATTACATGGTTCAATATTTGAACATAGCCCAGCCGATCATCGAGTCCAGACATTTGACGGCGGACGATCCAGAAATCCGTGACCTACTTTGGAATTATTTTATTTCAGGCAAGGCGTTATCCAACCATTTATTCGTAGAGGACGATTTTGCCAACAACCCTTTAATTGATTGGCTTAAAATTTTATCGAGAAACAACATCGAAAGTCATAACACAATTTTTACCTCAATCATCGCCACCAGTGCCAATGGGATCGCTTTACAAACAAATGTTGACTATTGGGCCGTCATTAGAGAGAAGTATATGGACATGACTCTAGCGATGCTTTCTGAAAATATCAATGTCATCAACTCATTTGTCACAACCACTTGCTTGCTATTTACAGTGTTATTGTTATACTCGGAAAAATCGGCGACCGACTCTCCAGTTTGGAGGTTACATTTGAAGGGTGCTCTTGGAATCTTGAGAAAAATAAACAGCATCTGGAATATGGTGGAGGTTCATGCCATTGAAAACAAATCGGAAGAATTAAAAGCAGCTATCAACTTATTCCACTTTTGTGAGTGTTGGTTCTTGAGCGCAGAATCTTTAGCATGGATTTCTTCTTTGAATGGTGGGTCAATGCCATGCTTAGTCCCAAAAGATTTGACGGATGCTCGTCAATTACTATCGAACCACTTGCCGTATGAAAACCAAAATGCATTGGTTCTCGATGGCTTTAATACCGTTAGATTTTATTCACAAAACTTGGTGGAAGTGATGAATGAGATTGTGTTGCATATCATGACATTGAAGATCAACCATGATATCAATATCAGTGACATTCGTGGGCTACTATTGAATACTCCACCAACTGAAGAATCCTTAAAGTTAGGCGAACGTTTGATTTCCAAAATTTCAGATATCTGTACGTATGATGAACATTTCTCAATGAAATTTGAAAATTGCCACGATAAGCTATTGGCAAAAACGATGAAGACTGCTGCTGAGTGCTACGTTATGGGTATCCAGTGCTTTATTTATTCTTCATTCATGGGCTATAACATCTATTGTCCAGAGATCCAAATTTTGATCCAGAAATTCATAAATAAATACGACCAAATGCCTTACGATGGTCCATGTGCCATTTCTGTTCATTGGCCATGCTTTATTTTGGCATGCTGCACTCCAAATGATCCAAATCTAAGACTGAGAATCTTGAAACCTTTATATAATATGATCCATCACTCGATGTTTGGGGCAAGCTTTTCAATTAAAAGAGTGCAGGAGATATGGAATTTTTTTGATAGTGGTGCAAAAGACTCTGATAGAATTGCTAAAATTGATACAATTTGCTTTTAAAAGTATGTTATTTTTTTAAAAAGAACTCATGATTTATTGATGAAGAATCATGGCCGCAGCATTTTCTCTTGATTTTTTTTTTTTTTCGATTTTTTTTTAAACTTACTTGTTTACTTTTTGTGTTTCATTTTTGGGTCGGTGATTTGTTGTTTTCCAGCTGTGTGTTGGTGTGTTATTACTCTTGGGTATAGTCATTTCTGTGTAATTATTTTTTTGTGTTGAGTATATCTGTCTGCCATTGTTGGCCTTTTCTTTGCCGCAGATAAAGGCAATGATTAGCCGTTATTATTATTATTATTATTATTATGATTATTTTGCCTTATCATTATATTGACCAGTGTTTAGTATTTTGTTTTTTCCCTAATGATTACGCTCATTGCCAGAGGGTAGTGAGCGAGTTTTACGAAAATGTTGGTCCTTATCGGACTTTTTGATGATTGTCTTTTTTTTGATTCCTAACGATTCACAATTTCAAGTGTCATAATGTAACTGACAAGCTTTTTATATTCAATTTGATTTTATTTAATAGACATATATAATAATAATTGAGATATTGCCAAGAATACTGGTAATTTCTTATTGATTTGGGTTGGCCACCGGTTAACAGCACCCTGTCATTTTTCGAATTTTTTTTTTTAAGAAAAAAGAAAATTTGTTGTTAAAATCTAATCTGGAGATCTCCGCTAATGAATCACACCGCCAATTATTAGTAGAGAGAGAGAGAGAGAGAGACCAATCATAAAAGATGAACGTTTCAAAAGATTCCAACTATGATCTAGACAAATGTATCGAAATGCTTTATAAAAGACAACTACTACCAGAAGTGACAATACAGGCGCTTTGCAATAAATTGAAAGAACTCTTGATAAGGGAATCGAATGTGGCATATATTAGTACCCCAGTAACGGTGATCGGGGACATTCATGGGCAATTCCACGATTTGATCGAGATTTTCAAGATCGGGGGGTTTGCTCCCGATACCAACTACTTATTTCTCGGGGATTATGTCGATCGAGGAATGTTTTCTGTCGAGACAATCACCCTCTTGATGTGTTTGAAATTACGGTACCCTAACCGAATCAATCTAGTGCGAGGCAATCATGAATCGCGTCAAATCACCCAGAATTACGGTTTTTACACCGAGTGTCAGAGGAAATACGGAGGGTCTACTGAAGTATGGAACTATTTCACCGATATGTTTGATTACTTGATCTTGAGCGTGGTGATCAACAATGAAATTTTCTGCGTCCATGGAGGGTTATCCCCCAACGTTCATCACATTGATCAAATCAAATTAGTCGATCGGTTCAGAGAAATCCCCCATGAGGGTCCGATGGCCGACCTTGTATGGTCTGATCCTGATGATGAAGATAATGATTTCCAATTGAGCCCGCGAGGCGCGGGGTACACTTTCGGGGTCGACGTGGTGAAGAAATTCTTGATCTTGAACAATATGAATAAAATCCTTAGGGCCCACCAACTATGTAACGAAGGGTATCAAATCTATTTCAATGGGTTGGTCACCACAGTTTGGTCGGCCCCCAATTATTGTTACCGTTGTGGAAATAAGGCTAGTATCTTGGAAGTTTACAGCAGTACGGAAAGTTACTTCAATGTTTTTGAAGAGAGTCCAGAAAACCGAAACGAGATAGAAATGATGAACAACTTACAAAACAAAAGTTACGTCGAGTATTTCTTATGATCATGCCGATTCTGTTGGAGGTGAAAAGGGATATTTGATATGGTAGGTTGGTAATTCTCCAAATTATTATCCCAAAAAAATTGCCCGCCACAATTTATACTGGTTACTGGCCCATTCCTGAAGCGAATTAATAAACAAGCATCCTAATAACTAATACTAATAGATGATGAAGGATACCTAATGAGTTAAGTTTTCTTTTTTTTTCTCCTTTTTTTTTTCTTTTATTCTTTTTTTTTTTTTTTTTTTTTTTTTCACATAAGCTTTTCAGTATTGCATGTTATGTCAAAAATCGTTTCTAATTTTAAATTCATTTGCATTTTATTGTTCCTACTTCCTTATAATAAACTTACTGATAGTTCCTTTATGTTGCACCGAATGATGCTTTTACCAACCAGTATAGACATTCATTTATATAATCACTTAAATATTTGTAAAATACTATCTAATTTCACATTCATTTCTTCCCATTCACCAATATCGGTACTTAGTACCGTGATAGCTCCTCCTGCACCAATTCTCCAATCTTTCAAACCTTTGTCGTATGAGAACATCGATCTGATAACCACACTCCAATCAGCTTGGTCATCCATCGACCAATACCCAAAAACCCCACTATAGATGCCTCTTTGACCATAAGAAGATTCAAGATCGTTTTGTAAGAGCTGTACCGAGCGTTTTTTTGGGGCCCCAGTCATGGATCCTGGCGGGAGCGAAGTGGATAAGATTTGAAACCCTCTAGAAACCCGGGAAGCTAAATGATTGGTTGGACTGAGAATGTCACACTCGATCACCGAAACTAATTGATACACGGTTTTGTACTCTTCCATGATCATCAATTTTGGAACCCTGACATTTGTGACCTTGGCCATGGTGGAACAGTCATTATTGTTGTTATCCGAGTCGCAATGACTATACAAGTCATGACGGATTAAATCAACAATCATCAAATTTTCCCCCAACTCTTTAGGGTCATTCAATAATTCTTGGGCTTGGTCTCTGGTCAATCCTTCCCTTTTTCTTAATGTACCTTTGATTGGTCTCAATTGTCCAACTTTAATGAAGTCTTTGTTGACTTCAGTACCACGATCATAGTCATTTTTCCAGCTGAAAAACCGTTCAGGAGATGAGGAAACCAATGTCATATCACCAAATTGAAGGAAACCAGAATGTGGGGCAGGGTTCCGAAGAGTGACAAGCTTGTATAATTCCCAAGGATCAATGCCATGTGGGAAAGAAATCGTGGTTGGAGTACAAAGGCAAAGTTCATAAGAGTCCCCTGCATGAAGGTACTCTTGACATTTGTGGAATAATGACATGTAATTGGTCTGCGAAGGTTTCCTGATGATAATATCTTGAGGATCATGCGATGATTTGAGGATATCAGAAATACTAAGTGGCCAGGCAGTAGATGCCAGTCCTTGTTTAGAGTCGTTAGAAAAAGTGTCAACTGATTCAGAAGTTCGCTTAAGCCAATCTTGATCATTTGACTTTAAAGAGATGATATACAATTCTCCTGTTTGTTCATTATAAATAATTGATCTTTCAACAAAAATCATTTTGATATCGGGAGTTTTTGTTCCAGCCTGCTGTCTCTGTTTCCTGACTAAATCGACATCGATATATTGACCACTTTCATACGATATACTACCAATCAAACCACCAATAAATGGAAGCCTCAACTTATGAGACCCCAAAATGAGTTTGTTTGACATAAAGTTCTGCAAGAAAGTCCATATAGACCCACCATTGAGGGGAAAGTTGTATGGTTTCTCATTATTTCCCGAACTAGTCCACCAATTTAGCCCCACATGAGAGGAGTCATTCAATGACCAAGTGATTTCTAATGACTTTTTGGGCTCGGCAACCCCGATAATTGACCAGCTTTTAGGCTCAGCTGACGAACTCAATAGAAAATAGTCTTCTCTTTGAGTTTGTTGTTTTTTTAGAGAATCAATCAATTCAATGGCCGTATGTCTTTGTTTGTCTTCGTTTGTTACTGGGATGTCGAGTTTTATGAATTGGATAGCATCCTCACTGTATTTGCGTCTAATAATTTCTTCGAAGGCAATGGATTCATCAATGACGGCCTTTGTTCCTGGAAATTCATGATTAATATCCTCATCTTCTCTAAGGGAGGAGTTCACAAATAACTTTTCAAATTCTTTCCCGCTGCCATCAGTTTCGCCTGTAATATTTCTTCCACGGAGTTTGTTCCACTTTTGGGAAAACTTATAAAAGTTTTCAATCAATTTGCCTCCATATTCCGAACAAATTGATTCAGGATGGTACTGCACCCCATAAAATGGTCTAGCTTTGTGTTTGCCTGCCATTAAGACATGCCCGTTACAAAGTTCGGGATCAATGGTGAACGCCAATGGTAAAATATCACAAGATTGGATTTCTGAGGGAAGAACAACATGAAGAGAGTGATATCTGACAGAGTTGAACCCTGTAGGAATGTCCTTTAATAACTCGTCGCTGACAAGCGCTTGAGCATCAATATCCTCAAATATTTCAGAAATTGACGACTCTTCTAAAACAATACTATTCTCACCCTTGGTATCAGCACTCTTTAATTTCACCTGTTTTACAATATTATGTTTTTCGTACTTGAATACTTGGGCAATTTGGCCGTGCTTCACATCTTTCAAACGCTCGACTTCAGCCATTCCTGCCAACCCCATAGCTTGCCAACCGAGGCAAATCCCCAACATTGGGACGTTTTGCAAAGTTTTATCACTGACGACGGCATCTACTATTCCAAGGGTATCGTTACGATCATTAGGGTCGCCAGGACCAGGACCAATTATAATACAATCGTAATTTGAGGCAATGTGGGCGGCGAAAGACTCTTTAAACTGTTGCACCGGGACACAGTCATTGTATATGGTGTGAATATGCGCATCAGGAATTGTTTTCGAGATCAATGCTCGGAGATTATGAGTGAACGAGTCATAAGAATCAATAAGAAGGATTTGGGACATCAATAATATTGGGAACGTTGTGTATGAGTGTGATTAATTAATAGTACAGGGTCCGAACGAGAAAACTACGCTAAAAAAAAAAAGAGGGAAAAAGAAAAAAAAAAAGGAAAAAATATTGAATTGAGGCAATGCAGGTGCCAAATCGAGGGTCGCTTCGTTTTTTTTTTTTTTTTAGTTGGAAAAACCTATTACAGCGCTAACCAAAAGCTGAAACAACTACACCACAACGAGGACAATCATTACATCATGATCGAAGTGGTTTGTAACGACAGACTCGGAAAAAGAATCAAAGTCAAGTGCTTGCCTGAAGACACAGTAGGTGATTTCAAGAAAATATTGTCCTTGCAAATTGGAACCAACGCTGAAAAAATTGTGTTGAAGAAAGGATACAGGATTTTCAAGGATCACATAACATTGGACGATTATGAAATTCATGATGGAACTAATATTGAATTGTACTACTCATAGGTAGAGAATATTCGTAATGTCTTTTTCTTTTCCTTTCTTCTCTTAGTTACAAATGGTTCTGGAGTCAAGCTTTTAATTAACTAAATTGATCTATTTTTATTGGTATAATATAAGTCCGTATGAGGTCTAGAGTATAATATAATGATATAATATAAGGTAACATGGAAGTAGGCAATTTTCCAAGGCAATGGGAGGATATTGCAAGCTTTGACAAGGAAAGGATTAAGGCTCATTTTCTGATAGTTAGATGGAGAAAGGCCATGGTAAGTAACCGAGGTGTCTTTCCTGGCACATTGAATCCACATCGTCACATCACCAGTGTAACGACATAAACCTAGGGTACCTAAGACGAAAATCAAAAATCGCATCCTTCATTAACCGAATCGTCAGCAACAAAGGTGAACTGTTTTGCTTTTCCGGACTTTGTGTCTTTGGAAAAATATAAGAACGTTCTGTTATGCTGTGCACAATAGTAATCGAAGTTCCCCCAAGCTCTGGGATCCTTGGGGTGTTTCCTAATTAAATGGTCCCTGTAATCTTTGAGAGAGTGGAATGCTTTAGAGAGACAACCGTAGCAAACCATTTTAGAAGAATGGTTGTCTAACACATGATTCACGATATAGTCATGATGAAGTGACGAGTATGGGCAATAAGCGCATCTGAGAGAAATAGTCATTGTAATGAGCTCAAATTTTGCACGATGATAAATGAGAAGACTGGTATAATAGTTATTACAGATATGAGGGCAAATTGGTAAAGAAAAAGAAGAAACAAAAATTTTCTTCTTAAATGGTTGCAACAATTTTCCCAAATTTTTCACTGTGTGTATGTGTGCGGTCTTTTTTTTTTTTTTCTATTATTTTTTCTGCGTGTTGTCTCTATTAGGACAGGATGGGTGGCACTTTGGGATGCTTCGTTAAAGCCAAAAAAAAAAATAGAAAGGAAAAAGATGAGGATCTTTTGCATTTTCCTCCAGTTTGAAACCAAAATGAGACAGCAAAAAGATAAAGATTTGAGTAATTAGACTGGGTTAATCTTCAAGAGTGGAGAATTACAGGAATTAATTTTATAAACGACCCCCTCCCCAACAGTTTTCCCCCAGCGCGCGGGGATGGTGGTTCATCCCGTTCCGTTGGATGTCAACAAAGGTAAGACGCTCTTTTTTTTTTGTCTTGTCTTGTTTCACTTGTCTCAGTATAAAAGCCTCTCCAATTTTCTGTGTGTGTTTTGTTCATCTTATAGCTTGTCTTTTTGCCATTTCAAATATACACGGAACATAGAATAGACACACTCAAGGTGCCACTTGTTCCGGTGCTTGAGTTCATTCAAAAATTTTTCTACCAACTAGTAAGGTTATTATTGGTATGACTAAATCATAAAAATGCAGAGCTCACAGCATAATATGGTACAACAGGGATAACTGAGCAAGGATGATCTCTACGGCATTGTTGTGGTGATGTCGTTTGAGTACAATGGATGTCGTTCCAGGGAAAGAAAAATAACCCGTTTGGTCGTCTGTTTTTCACCGTTTTACGTCAAAAAAAAAGAAAGAAAGACGCGCACTAGTGCCGTTTAGTGGTTGTCTGACACCGCATTCGACCAATCCCATACATTTCAAAAAAGAACTATCTCGTGGTCATTATATTCTGTCAACAACCATCCTAATGAAAAACCATTCTTGTAAAGTTCTTCTTGCAACCGAATTTTTCAAGTTGGAAATATGAGCATCGTTTCAACTCATAAATTTCATAAGAGTGATCTTTGACCATTTATATTACCACTTTTGTGGATAGTTCTTTTTTGAATATTGGATCTTTATCATGTCAAAAGCTTGAGAAATTACAAATCAAATTACAGAGCAATAAGAAAAAAAAAAACAGAACTAATCACGTAATTTGCAAATACAATAAATTGTGAGATTTTTGGTGAGCAAACGAATTCCCATCCTCAGGTGAAAACATTTATTGCAATTAATCTTATTATCGTTGACTACAATTGATAACTTTGAATAGGAGAATGCATGAAACATATATAACTCTAACGTGGTATGCCTATAAATTATACTTCATACATATGCATGCATTAAGACAGCCACGGCCTTATAATTCAAACCAAGCCCAAAGCTTTAGCATGATGTAAAACATGTTCACCAGCAAAAGATGCGATAAAATAATAAGAATGGTCGTACCCCTCCACCAAGTTCATATTCAATTTTCCATCATATCTAGTTCCTTTCACTGCCTCGACCAACTTCTCTGGTTGCAATTGGTTAATGTCGCCAGAATAGAAGCCATCCTTAGTACCTTGGTGAATCAAAATATCAGAAGTGTTAATACCTTGATATTTCTTGATCAATTGAGTTGGATCGTATTGGGCCCATTCAGATTCGTCAGCTAAGTATCCACCGAAAGCTTTTTTCCCCCAAGGAACGCTCATTGGTGCACAAATTGGGGCAAAACAAGAAACTGATTGGAATTCAGTATGCGATTCACTATTATTTCTAAGGAAAAATAAAAGCGCTCCCAAACCACCCATAGAGTGGCCCATGATAGATTTCTTGGTAAAGTCAAGCTTTGGATATTGCTTTGCCAATAATGGAATTTCTTTCAAAATATAGCTGTGCATCTGGAAATATTTAGACCATGGTTCTTTTGTGGCATCCAAATAAAACCCAGCACTCTCCCCAAAGTCCCAAGAATCTTTAGATCCAGCGATCGGAAGGTTCTTTGGTGAAGTGTCTGGGAAAACTAGGGCAAGACCGTATTTGTCAGCGTAACCGAAGAGACCTGCCTTTTCACTGGCATTTTGAGGGGTACAAGTAAGACCAGAAAGGTAAATAAGAACTGGAATCTTGACTAAAGACTCTGGCAGATTAAAATACTGAGAAGGAAGGTAAACATTAACATCCATGAAAGAATTGGTAATTAAAGATTGGTGGGAAAGCTTAAGAAGCCTGCCACCAAAAGTATAGATCTCAGATTTAACAGTAAAGGTCATGCTATATTTTTGAATTGAATTGATATGATTATGATATTCTAATCAACACAAGAGGCGATCATCTTACAATCACTACAATAACTGGTTTTTCGTGACAAAAAATGCCAGACTCGGGGCTCCAAACACTTTTGAGTTCCAGCACCGTGGGTTATTACAGGATTACGCCGTACAACAATCACCAACACAGTAATAAATAGAATTGAAGCAAGACCAAGTATAAATATAGAATATATAAACAAAGAAATATATATAATACGCCATAGCTCATGGTTTATTCGCCCTGTTTGCGTTTCTTTGATGTGCGCTCAACAGGGGTTTGTTCTGCATTTGATTCACTAAGTGGCTCATCATTGATTTCCAAATTGTCTACCCCCTCGCGAATTTCCAACACTTGAGAAGCATGTTTCGTTACTTTTATCTTGAATTCTTCCAATGCGCTTAATAAATAGCAGACATTTTTAACTTCCTTAGGATTTAAAACTTGTAGATCAACTTCGCCAGAATGTATATCCTCCATGAAATTCATCTCTGTAACCTTCAAACACTGCGAAACCTCATCAAGCTTTCCTTGAATAAGTCGCTGGTATATTAGATGCTTCAAGGAGTTTTCTAATAGAACAACTTCGTCACTGGGAAGCCCTATAGCATCTAGAAGAATAGAGTAGGATATGCGATTTGAGTACGTTGTAAAATGTTTTTTGATGCATTTGAGTAATGTCAATTCACGAAGCTTGAGGGTTGCAGAGGGCAGAAGTTGCGGCAATGAAGGATGATTATTAACATAGTCATTATATGCGCCGTAAGAGAATACCTCAAGCAACTTCATTTCCTGTCCTGTGAAGTGTTTTGAGGCAGCAGCATTATTCAAGATAGTTCCATAGTTCCAAATAAAGGGTGATGAAAGAAGAGCATCAATTTCACTTTGCATTTTACTAGAGGAATTTTCTGGAGCTAGAGAAGCGGTTGAGGAAGATAATGAGTTATGTATTATTGGTAAAAATGATTATGGATTGATCAATAACATCATTATCTATTGATTATTCCCCAATTTTTTTGCTTGTGTTAAAACAAACATCCACACATCAGACAATCTCTGGGATGTCTGGATGTATTACTCTTTCTTTTTCTTTTTTTTCATTTTTCTTTTTTTTCTGTAGCAGATAAGCGAAGATGGCGCATAAGGACTTCAAAATTACAAAAAAATCTGAATACTCGTGAAAAGGGAAGGCAAATATAATAATAATTATTCTAAAAATGTCCATAAAGAAGGCACTATTGGAAAGTCCTCGTGATACGCGACTTCTATGGCTCTCAGCTTTCCTTCGACTCACTGCTTTTGGAGCTTCTAATATAGTATTGACCGCATATCTTGCAGCACTCGGGGTGTCCGAATCTAGGATTGGGATATTTATGACTACAACCTTAGTAGGTGATGTGGTTCTTTCGTATATCCTCACTTGGTATGCTGATATTATTGGAAGACGCAGGATTATGTTTTTTGGCTCACTTTTCATGGTTTTAGCTGGACTTATGTTTGCTCAAGCTACAAGTTTTTGGTGGTTATTATTTGCAGCAATTATAGGGGTCATTTCCCCTACTGGAGATGAAATTGGTCCATTCAAGCTGATTGAAGAGTCAGCCATCGCTCACTTGACTCCCTTGAGTGATAGAGCCTCGGTGTACGCATGGCATTGGTTGATATCTTGTGCAGGACAGGCTACAGGGACTTTATTTTCAGGGATTTTCATTCAAAAGTTGCAAGATAATGGTTGGCAATTGATTGAAAGTTATAGAGCTGTCTTCTATGTGTATGCAATTTTGGCAGCTGGGAAGTGTATTACCATGTTATTCTTATCAGAAAAAGCTGAAATGAATCACAGCAAACATATCAGTATCAGTGAAACCATGAGTTTGCTAACTGATGATGAAGAACGGGAGCAATCAAAAAGCAAAATCATTAATCTCTCCAAAGAAACTTCTAACGTCCTTAAAAGACTTCTTTGTATCTTTATGATTGATTCTTTTGCTGCAGGGTTCATGCCATCGTCCTGGCTAGTCTACTACTTCTCGGAAACTTTCCTGTTGAATCCAAAGACCCTAGGATCATTATTCTTCAGCACTTCTATTGCCAACTCGCTATCCTCTTTACCTTCATCAATATTTGCCCGTGCTTTAGGACCAGTTAAGGCAACTTTATCAGTGCAAGTACCATCATGTTTGCTCCTAATTTCTATCCCATTTTCATCAAACTTTTACATGGCAGTAGTTGAGTTGGTATTGTTCTACTCTACCACCGCAATGGATGTGGTACCTCGTCAAGTTATTTTGACTAACCTAATAAATCCAAGCGAATTGACCAGAGCTATGGGAATAGTCAATGTGGGAAAAACATTTGCTAGGTGTATTGGACCAAGTGTGATCGGTAAATTGGCTGGCGAGGGCTATCTTTGGACAGGTTTCATAATTAATGGTGGGTTGACTCTCGTGGCTGATTTCATGTTATGGATCATGTTTTATGGTGTTGATGAGAAAATTAAAATGGCTGAAGGATGAGTGGTGTAGGTAGATGTTTCAGCAGGCAGAATGTACATTTACATTAGTATTTGTTACTGGACGTAAGCTTGAATTTTTGCAAATGTCTGGTTTTTGTGGCTTTGACAAAATGTCAGGACATGCCACCTCTGTGGTTAAATACTAGACGCGCACCAATGATGCCTAGTGTGTTTAGGAGCCACGCGTGGTAGGGCATGTTTTTCTAAATGGGAAAGACTAAGGGAAGTGATTTCCTATACCTAAGGATTTACTAATTCTTGCAAGATCTATAAGCATATAGTTCGTGAAAAGGATAACGAGGTTAATAATATCAACTCAACCAAAACCTTCATTCACTGTAATGACAGCTAACTCTTCCGATAATTCCCCCCACAGACCTCCACTAGCGTCCCACAAGGACCACCACAAGACAGCTCTGATGGCAACATCGTTTTGTGCCACCATGGTGTGAATTCTACCACGGTCACATCCCAGAAACATTAGATTAGAAAATGGAAGATTCAACTATCATGATACTTATTGAACAATTTCTATAACATCCATCAGACTCAAAAGCGAATTAGAGAATCTTTTGCAAATACAAGACTTAAATTACTTCATAGAAACAAACGATCTCATTAACGATATTCAACCAGCCAAGAAGAGAATAAGAGTAGAAAAGAACTTTAGCTGGATTCTTGATAAAGTGTTCCGAGATGACTACACAAGACCAAGATGGAGTTTAAAAAGAATTATGAATACTTAATGAATGGTTTTAAACCGCAAGACTCATATCAGTTAGCAAATACTGAATTTATAGAGTTAAAAGTCACTGAAGATACCAATTTTTATAGATTGGAAGAAACAATTGAAGACATAAGAGAATTATTTGAATATGCTGAGAAGCCAATCCCATTGGACACTCAAATAAAAAAAAAAAAAAAAAAAGAAATAAAAATGAAATTTGTGGAAAGTATCTATGAAATGGGAAATAACAAAGACTTGATGGGCAAACTTGATGACGTTACGACAATTGATCATGTAAGCAGGGCAAAAACTTCAAAACGAGAAAACAAAACTTTTAAACTTACCTGAGCTCACAATAATAAAAGATAATGGGTAACAGAAATTATTGGGTTTCCAAATTCTTATTAAGTAATGCGGTCTATTTTTCCACTGTAATATTATATCCCTTGAGGAGATGTTGAGATGTGCATAATGTTGTCCCTTTAGTATGAACTATCCGGGTATCACCGCGGAAAGTGGGCAAGAAAACGCAACTGGTACAAATTAACTAATGCCACTTCTTTTGGAGAGCTACCGCAAAATAAATGTACATAGTCGCGTTTGATATGCTTCAACTAGCAAGAAATTCTTTGCAAAAATCTCAATTTAGTGGCAAGATGGCCAAAGAGGCGAAATATCGACACCCACACATACCTATTCAAGTGTAAACATCAGTACCTCGGAACATCAGTGCAGCAGCACGGGACAGCGCTAAAAAAAATTAAGAGGGGGTCTTGAGCACCTGACCTTTTTTTTTTTCTTTTTTATCTTGAGTTGGCCTCAGCATATCTCTCCCAATTAAAAGGCCAATTAACTCTAATTCGAGATCCCATTCGAGTACAGCACTTACCAGATTCCTTTACAACAACACTACCTCAAGTTAGCAACCTCCCGTATCTCTAGTCACCAAGGCAGCTACATATCCAAACAAGTGAAACCCATATAGTCACGTAATAATTTGTGAACCACCTAGCCCATAATCCATACTATCGTGTTTTCACTTTTGGTCGTGTCTTGTTCAGAATTATTGTGACTACTACAATCCTTGAACCAACAACGGAAGATATAGATAGCAAACCTGAAAGATTGTAGGATCAGTCACAGAGATATCGAGCTCCCAATAATTATCACAATTTCTACTGTGTGTTCTTTTTTTTTTTTTTTTTTCCCTAGTTTGTCTCGGCATTCAGGAATCAATCACCAGTGATCATCAGAACTCACCAATACTTTGTTATACCTGAATATTCTGGAGTTTCCTGCTGTTTATAGAGCATATAGGATACGAAATGTCTGCCCTAAACTCGAAAATATCAGCCACGTCCCTCCAAGGAGGTTTGACGAGTTATCCCACAACCATGGATCCTAAGGCCCAGCATAAATCAAGTGCTGTGACATTGACTGCCACGACACCCAAGCTAGCCAATATCAAGAACTCTAATGATTCAAATCAGTCACTTGATGCTCCAATAAGCTTCAAAAGGGTATCAAATTCAAGTACTTCGGAATATGACTCCATTGATTCATTGCCCAATTCGCCGAAGAACACCCCTGGCGTGTTGCGTCAGAATACCGTCAAGAATAAGAGTTCATTACACAATATGACAAGCATAAGTGATTTACAAGAGAAAGTGGATACATTACTGTTTGGCAAATCAAAAATCGAATATGGAGATCAGAACAAAAATAAAAACCTTGGTGATTTTCCAAGGAGTGAAGAATTGTCATTCCAGAAACTTGATTTGGGAATTGAGGATAATAGTGAATTGGCTCTGCTGATTTCGGCAACAGAAAATTCTTTTAAAAATATTAAGAACGATGCTCTTTCTGTTGCAAGAGTTAGAAGATCTTTCCTTGAAGACAAACCTGACGGATTTGATAATGATTCGATAGATACTGAACACACGATTGGCAGAAAACAAATAACTTCAACAGGTAGCCACAAGCAAGACTCTTCAAAAAACCAATTTTCATCTCGAAATGTCAAGAATACAACAACAGAACAATATCTGGAAATGGTTGAAAAGTCACGTACCGACAACCTGACCTCTACTAGTTCAGCACGCACTAGCGGTACCGACTCTTTCATCAACATCTATAATAATGCCAGCTCAATTAAACTTCCGACCCCATCCATAGATGTCTACCAGAAGTTCGACTCGTTTGATGATGAAGATCAAGTTCCTCCAATGTTGGCGGGAATTTCTGTGCCTGCCTCTGAAAAGCGCTCGAGTTCCACTAGAGTTTCTCTAAGTAAAAGTATCTCTTCTTCATCTATTGCTAAAGATGGTCATTCAAATTCCCCAAGAAATGATGTCAGAGTTTCTACTTCAAGCTCCAAGGGCCTTAGAAGCAGAGATAACTCTTTGAGCTCTCCCATTACCGGCAAAAGCGGTACTACATTTTCACCACAGCTGACCAACAATGGCTTTGGAACTCCGAAATTAATGTCTTCTCGCAAAACTTCCATCAGCAGTAGTACTAATGGCAATTCATCTTCTCAAAATAGGCCAAGTCTCAACAAAAAGAAGAGCACATTAACCAGCGTTTTCTCATCGTTCATAGCAATTGCCAAGACGAAAAGTGGTGATGAGTTTGGAAATGTCATCAACCCTAGCAACAGTGGTCATTCATATAATAAATCGTTCTCTTCATTCGCATCACATGAAGATGAAGACGAAGACCCTTTCAGTACGTCTGGTAATGATTCCATGAGTAATTCGACCATGTCTATTTCTACTCCATTCAATACTCAGCATGTAGCTCATGTTGGGTATGATTCAAAAACAGGACAATATACTGGGCTTCCTGAAGAATGGCAAAAACTTTTACTGGCTTCAGGTATCACCGCAACTGAACAAGAACAGCATCCTCAGGAAATTTGTGACATTGTGGAATTCTACCAGGATCAATTCAATCAAGATCCAGACGATACAATCTTTAATAAATTTGGGAATAGTAAAGCCAAAGATAAAAACAGTGTTACTGCCAGTACCGATAGTGAAAGTTTGAACGAGATCTCCCGAGCTTCTTCGGCAATTACTAATGAACAAGTGCCTGTCAACTCATCGGAGCCTTCTGAAGGCCCTGCTAACAGCAGCTCCGGTCACGATTACACAGGGGGGCATGAAATCATTCATTTGACCCAACTCCAAGCCCAAGGAGATACAAAACAGGGATATGACAGAGTTGCTACTGGCACACAAACAGGAAGTGCTCCAAGTAGCCCAGTTGCTGCCAAATCACCAATCAATGCCGGTACCACCTCTTCGATTAAGATTTCTGGTCCAACCAATGTGGTCAAAACCTCACTTATTCCTAACAAAGGCACCCTCCAAAGTATGGGTACGACAAATCTCAGTTCTGCTACAACACCCTCGACTCAGTCCAATAATATTGGCGAAAAATCTGGAGATAGCAAGCAATATATTCCAAATAGACCGGCTCCAAAGCCTCCTGGAAGTCATTCTTCTGGTATTGCTTCAACTGGAGTAAATGCTTTCTCTAAATCAAAGTTTGGCAGCTCCTTCGCCAAAAAATCTAAGCTTTCAAACTCTTTGATCACGAATAAACCATCTTCCAATCCTCCTCCAAATGCCACTCCTCCCCCAGTTCCATCTAAAGGCCCTGAGCTTCTTAAGGCTACCAACAAGTCGATGCAGAGAATGGCGCAAAACGCTTCTGACTGCTCCCCTAAAGTTTCCAAGCAAGATGTCCAAAATCAACATTTGTTTTATCAGCAACAACAAATGCAACAAAAGATGCGTCAACATGAGAAGAAAATCAAGAGTGCTCATCTCAGTGATGCGGAACGTCGTTTGGAAGAAGCAAAAGAAAGGCTTAGAGTGCTTCAAGAACGTGAGGCTCTTGAAAGAGAACAAGATGAGAGAAGTGCGCAACGTACCAAGTCTGGAACTAGCCAGCATTCTAAAGGTAATCACGCGAACGGTGGCGTTTCTCATGACAGTGCTACTTCTTCTGCTGGTGCTGCTAACACTACTGCAGCTATTAGCAATCCTCAAGCTAGAATAAAGAAAACACACCCAACCAGAGATCCAAAACAAGCTGCGCTTGCTGCCATGCGTAAGCGTGAAGAAAAAAAGAAGCGTAATGCCATCGTATATGCTAAGCTTATCAAAATTTGCTCACAAGGTGATCCAAGAGAGTTCTACCGTAATCTCAACAAGATTGGCCAAGGTGCTAGTGGTGGTGTCTATACTGCTTATGAAAATGGTACCAACAAGAGTGTTGCTATCAAGCAAATGAATCTTGAACAGCAACCGAAAAAGGAGTTAATTGTGAATGAAATCTTAGTCATGAAGGGCTCAAGACATAAGAATATTGTGAATTTCATTGACTCATTCCTCTCAGAAGGTACTCTTTGGGTTATCATGGAATTCATGGAAGGTGGTTCTTTGACGGAAGTTGTTACTCACAGTGTGATGACTGAAGGCCAAATTGGTGCCGTATGTCGTGAAACCCTTGAAGGGTTACAATTCTTGCACGCCAAGGGAGTTATACATCGTGATATCAAATCCGATAACATTTTGCTATCGATGAATGGTGATATAAAATTGACCGATTTTGGATTTTGTGCGCAAATCAATGAAACCAATTTGAAACGTACTACTATGGTGGGTACTCCTTACTGGATGGCTCCGGAAGTTGTTAGCCGCAAAGAATATGGGCCAAAGATTGATATCTGGTCACTTGGTATCATGACTATTGAAATGATTGATGGTGAACCGCCATATTTAAATGAAACTCCATTGAGAGCGTTATATTTGATCACGACTTTGGGAACTCCTGAAGTCAAAGAACCGGAAACATTAAGTCCGGTGTTGAAACATTTCTTGGACTGGTCTTTGGCAGTGACTCCTGATGAGCGTGCCACTGCATTGAATTTATTAGATGATGAATTTATTTTGCAAGCCGATGAGTGTAAAACACTTTCACCATTGGTAAAATATGCAAGATCTAAGAAAAATGAAAAGGATTATTAAATTCTTTCAACCTATCGAGAAATGTATAGAGTTTTAAAATCATGTGCTATAACTTTTAACTATTTTATTTTGTTTTTGCTTTGTTTTTTTTTTCTTTTTTCTTTTTTCTTTTTTTCTTTTTTTTATCTATGCCATTTTCTCTGCTTATGCTCTATTTTATAAACTTATGTCCCTATGTCCATTCAATGATCCATTTTCTTCGATGATAATACCTACTTGGGGTTTTTTTTTTTTTTTTTTTTTCAGCTTCTTTTATATTTTTTTTTCTCATTTTTTATTATTTGTTCGTACTGTACGTTTCTGGATTTCTATGCCCTTATCTTTTCTTATTTTCTATTCATTTTTCATGATGTATATCATATTATGGCTCTATTTATAGTTCTATTGGTTTATTATCTCTTACTTTATTTGGATGTTCAAATTAAATTCAAATACCAATTGTATGTAGTCAAATCCGTTTGTGCTACATGATTGAATATCTTGGTAATATACATTTCAGATCAAGGTTGGGGACAGAGAGATAAAAACGATAATAATAATAATAATTAATAATAATAATATAACAACACATCAGGGGAAAAGAACACAAAAATGAGAAAAATAGGAAAAGTGAAAATTAAATAATTTAAAAGTCAAAACATAACCGCAATTGATGAGTGAGAAAAAAATGAGAAAAACAAAAAATTGGGAAAGCACTTCTTGATAAATACTTTCATTTATTCCTCCTCGTCTTGAAGAACAACACACTTAGTTTGGACAAAGAATAACTTTGCTGCAGTATCCCCTACGTTCTTAAACTCGTAATAGTTACCCATAGGAATTTCAAAAGAGCATCCTGTGGTCGCTGTGAATTCTGTGCCAGAGATTTTAACTTTCAAAACCCCAGAAATAACATAGAATATAAAATATGTATCATCGGTATTCTTACTATCCTTCGACCCTCCAACTGGAAACTGTAACATCCCTGAGGCAGCGAATTCTTGCTCTTCACTGAACAAGATTGCAAGTTTGAAATTATCCTTCTTAGACTTGATTTCTTGACTGTATTCTTCTTTGTCAGTTCCCCAAGCAACAGTACGAGGCACCTTGGCCTTAGAGCCTGGAGTATCAAACACATCAATAGTATTGGAGCCCTTTTTGATCCACTTAGCATCCGGATATTTCTTGAAATCAAGCTCTTTTGGCGCTGCCGGTTGACTACTAGAAATACTGACAGGCTTAGTGGTTTTACGTGAGCGATAGGTCGGGCGCTTCTTAGGTGGTTCTTCTGGAGTGTCAACTGTTACCACATCTTTAATGGTAGGAACATGAGAGTCATGATTGTATTCATAAACAATCTTTTCGTTCTTCCAAAATGCCACCGGTGGCACTCTAATTCTTGAAGACTTTCTAACATCTGATTCCGATGCGCTGATCTTGGCTTTAGATGATGGTGCTGCTGCAGATTTTTTGTTCTTGTTCAAAGCGATGTTCTTAGTGGCCTTAGCAGACTTATTGGATTTGGGAGCGGTAGCTGGTTTGGTAACCTTACTAACAGTTTTCTTTGGTGCAGCTTTTGTCTTCTTAGACTGTGATGATGTTACTGGTTTGGTTTTAGCGGCTCCATTTTTTCTCGATTTTGTTTGGGACATACGGACAAAAGGTACTTCTTCTTCCTCTTCTTCTTCTTCTTCTTCTTTTTCTTCTTCCTCTTCTTCTTCTTCTTCTTCTTCTTCTTCTTCTTCTTCTTCCTCAACTGGTTTGCCATTTACATATTCGTCCTCATCTTCGTCTTCCCCTTCATCGTCTGCTTCTCCTTCTATTGTTGCTGTTTCTTCGAGAGTCTCCAAATCTTGTTCATGTCCATCATCATCATCATCTTGGCTAAGTTCAACATCGTGGTTGGACGAGACGCTGCCTCTTCTGCTTGCAGGCTTACGTAGCTTTGAAATACCATGTAATGCTTTTTTGGGTCTTGATGGATTAGAAACAAGAAGGGGCTTCTTTTTACCAGCACGTTTAGTGACGCCAGATCTTTGCAGAAAAGAGGCTTTAACGGATGATTTTTTGTTTTGAGTCGGTGATTCCACCTCATTTTCAATATCTTCAGACCCGTTTTTACTAAAGAAGTCGTCAAGATCTTCAAGGTTGTTCGCGTCTCTTTTAGTTCCAGTTCTTGCAAAGACGCCGGTTTTCCTGCCCTGCTGGCCCACTTTGTTAAGGTGACTCATTTTAGTCAATTAAATCCTCAATTGGTTTGATGTTCGAAAACAGTTTTTAAATAAGGAAGGAGCTTTTTCGCGTGTTTCATTTTTTTTTTAAAAAACAAAAAATAAACAAAATTAAAATCCTACTCAAAAAGTGTCACGTGCCCAGAGGCAAAAATGAAGTTTCCAATAATTGGGATTGGGGCTTGAAATACCGACAACAATAATAATGAGAGTATGATAATGATAATAATAATAATAATAATAATAAAATGAGTTTAATCCTATTAAGTACAACAACAGCTAAAAAAAAAAAAAGAAAGAGAAAAGAAAAATAAAAAAAGGTAAATAAATAGATCAATTTAATGCTACTTTGGTTTAGCCGCTGACTAGTTCTCGTTTTCTCAATTATTCTTCTTGGTAATGGTAGTCTTTTTTGATTCACTACTGAACAAGAATAAAACTAAAAACACGAGCCAACCACCAATCATTGTCACAATGGCACTCAAGTACACCCAAGAATTAACAATTTGAGAGGACTTGATGTATTCATCGAATGCCAAATTACGCAAGGTGATGATGTTCTCACTAAACAAGAAACTGTATCCAGACTTCTTGTAGTCAACAAGGTATTTGAACATACCGTGCTGATCTGGTAATACGAACTTCGCAGAGTAAAATTTGCTTGATGAAACGTCATCCAGGAACTTTTTAGAAAAGAAAGTAGTGTTTGGTTCAGCAGTACTAAGTTCTGGAGAGTTGAACGATAATACAGGTGAATCATCAGAAACAGGAACCAAGTTCAATCTGTAGTATGGGTCCAACATAGTGAACTCTAATTGAATGTCATCAGCTTGGTATGGAACCCATTCCCCGCCACGATATTCAGAAACACCAAGGTTATAAATAACCTCGTCCTTGACTTTGAAAGTGTCCTTAAGTAATTTTGGATTGAAAGTGTTTTCAGGGGTCTTAAAGAATTCAACGTAATCAATCCTCAACACATTCTTTTCACCGAAAGTCCATTTGAGTAAATCATTGAAGATTTTTTCATTCTTGTAATTTGATTGCTTGTAGGATGCGTCACTCAAGAAATCACTACTGCCAACCCATGAAACTCTTGAGTTGACCAAGTTTTGGAAAGCAACAATAAGATAGTTTTGGTTACCCAAAGCCCAGTAGTTGACATCATTGAGGTACTTTGCATCATCTTCAGTAGATTTCTTATCCAATTTCTTTGGGTTATAGTTGAAAGAAGTCTTTGGGGCAGAGAGGATTGGGATCAACAAGTTATTGTTCGACAATAATGCTGAAGAACCGCTGTACAAAATATCATCGGTTTTCAAAGTTTCACCAATAATAACGTTAGATTCGTCCAACAAATTGCCTTCAATTGGAATCGACAAAACATCGTGGGCTTCATTGCCTTCGACAAAATTAAAATGATCGTGCAATTTGTATTGCTTAGGTGATGGATAAATACCCAATTGGTTCAAGAACACTCTCACTTCATCACTGGCACTCTTGTCACCATCAATGACCATAATATTACCATTGGCATTATTACTGAATTTCAAGAGATCGGCTGAAGTCAATTTTTTGCCTAATCCACGTCCGGTAATAGGGAAGATAATGATATTCTTGTACAAGTTTTCTTCAGAATTGACGTCACTAACGATCTTCAAACTCTTCTCATCCTTAACATTCTTGTAAACTAATGTGGATTTGAAGTATTTCGAATAGTCTTGAAGGAAAAGTGTGTAATCATTCTCAATGTTAATGGATCCGTCGTGCAATACTAAAGTCTCATCAATTGATGACGCCAATACATATACCACCTGGATAAAGACAAGAAGAAAGCAACGGAGTAACTTCATTTTTATCGTTTCTGCTGGGTTTTGTAAGGTTGTAGATTCGAATGAAGGTCACAATTGTGTATGTGGCTTTTTCTTTCCTCACGGTTCATATCAGTTCTTTCAGCAGGTTTAAAACACGTAAATCTCAAATTTTTCAAGTTCTTCAAAAAAGGCTGTTCGCACGTGCCTCGAAACATTTGATTGCGTTACAGTAGGGGGTTACGCATAGCAATTAGAGAAAATGCTAAAGACATTTCTATGGGAAGTTGTGTACTGTCAGGTATATCATATGCTGAGTCCTGCCACAAAATAAACAAAGCGCATATAGCCTTGTTTTATATATATAAATTGTTAACAAATACAACGTAGACAACCATAAATTAATTTCTTTCCCAGTTCATTGAAATATATAACAGCCAAAAAGATACAAGAAAAAAAAAAGGAATTGAACTCTAAGACAAGATTTTCATCGCAAAAAATATTGAGGATGTCATTAGCAAAACAACATGGTGAACCCAAAGCAAAGTAAGAAAATATTTAAAACATTATAGAACAGAGAAAAAAATTTTCTCCCTTCTTGAAAAAATAAAGTTCCAGGAATAAATAGGAGATGAAATGAAAATTAGACAAGAGAAAATTGGACAAAGTCTGCTAACTTCAACAAAATAACTAACAATAACATAGAAAAAGATAAAGCAACAACAACAACCGAGTAATAAAAAAAATCATTAATATCAAATCCTATGCCAGTCATTCTCCGCGCAAAGCCCTAATAACGCTTGGTCTTCTCATCATGTGTTTAGTCCATTTGTAAACTTCGGGGAATTCTTCTTTAATGTTAATACCGATTCTATCAACGACATTATTCCAGGGTACGAAGGACAAATCAGCAACGGTAACATGATCTCCAACAAGCCATACTGGATAGTCAAAAAATTTCGATTGAGACAAAGGAGTCACACCCGAGGAATAGGCAGCGGCATTGTCTGAATCCAATTCCATAATCAAAGATTCTCTTCTTTCGGCCAAAGCCATTTCTATAACTCCGTAAACTCTTCTAACTTCGTCGGTATATCTCTCAACCGCACTAGGAACAAACTGAGAGTGGAAATATCTAAAATGTAAGGCTTGACCGATCATCGGAGCATGACCGGAAGTTTGGAAAAATAACCATGATAATATTTGTGATTTTTCGCCCAAGTTGGGAGAGTATAAAGTGCAAGTATTTCTTCCATTGTAGTTTGTGTCAATGTATTTCTCAACAAGATATAAGATAATCGCACCTGATTCCCAGATCGCTAAGTCATTATTATCATGATCAATAATCGCTGGAACTCTTGCATTAGGATTAATGGAGACAAATTCTGGAGCTCTTTGCTCACCACTATTGAAATCAAGGAAAATAGTTTGATATTTGAAGTTCAATTCAGATAGTATGATGGCAACTTTGAATCCATTTGGGGCGGACCTATGGGAAAATAAAGTGATGCCTGAGCTTGGTTGGTTTTGGAAAAAGTTTGATATACGCGAGCTATTTCCAGCCTCTGCCATAATCCGATTCTGAAATTCAAGGTCAACCATTCCATTATTGTTATTACTATTATTATTATTTAGATTATTATTGTTGATATTATTATTGTTGTTGCCAGTGATATTGGGATTATTGTTACCCATGCTATTTACTCCAGCTATGGGGATAGCTCTACTAGAGTTATTGCTGTTACTTGAAACCTGTGATGAGTTATTGCTGCCATTTCTAGAGATGTGAACGCTTTTCAAGGCATACGATAAGTTGGATATTGGTGGCCGTTCATCCATGATGACTGTTTTATTAATACAAATTTAAATGATTGAATCCCTCGCAAAACTCTAAAAATTACTCTGGTGTAGCTGGTGGAGAATGTATCCCGCTTGTCTTTTGCCGTGGCTTTGCCTTTGCTTGTCTGTTAATCTTCGTGGTGGAGTTTCGGTTGCTTTGTTGGGCATGGATGGCTCGTGTCTTCAAAACACTTTAAAAAGAAAAAAGACTGACCCAAAATTTCCCGTGGAAAATTTTATAGTGCTCGCACGTGCCCAACCCACCAGTGGACAAATAAAAGGAAAAAAATTTTCGTCCTTGTCGGTTTCTTTCTTCTTCTTCTTCTTCTTTCTTTCCTTCTCATGAATATTGTTGAGTTGTGAATAATCATCACATTGTGATTATTGAAGAGTATGTCTGGACTTTGAAAAATTCAATCTGTTTTGTACAATTCTCGCAGCTTATAATGATGACCATATAGCATTAAACCCAGCTCGTTTGAAATTTTTGTATATGATAAGATACCATATCAAATGTACTGATATTGACTGTTGAAGAATTGTGATTTTAGATTGGTGATTTCCCTCTGTTATTCGTGTTGAAGTTACTTACTAACGCAGCTTTAGACTTTGTATACGACTTATAAATATTTTGTAACTTCTCTACAAAGACTTTTTCAGTAAACAATGTGAATTTGAATATTTACAAACATTTTTTCACTCTAATCTTGTAGCCTTATATTATTTATCTAGCTTTACCAGCACCAGCTTTAACTAACATAACATCACCATCTTCGATAACATACAGTTTACCTTCCTTTCTTATTTTACCGCCAGACTTCAATTTGGCCAATGAGAAAGTGTCTGGGGTCTGTTGATCCAAATCGCTGTAGGATATCACATCAGCTGAAATGAATGTACTTTGCAAATCAGTGTGGATAATCCCTGCGGCTTGTGGCGCCATACTATTCTTTCTCACTGGCCATTCTCTGACTTCAAGAGGTCCGCAAGTGAAGAAACTGATTAGATTCAAATTATTTTTCATTTCTTGCAAGATTTGAGGAATTGCTGATTGTAGAGTATCTTCGCCGTTCTTGATCTTGGTCTCCACTGCCGCTGAGAAAATCAAAAGATTATCATCTGGAGAGTTCTCGTCGATCCAATTTTTCACGGGTTGCAAAAATTCATTCTGTTGATTTAGATAATCCTCTTCATTGACATTTAGAAGATACGTGGTTGGTTTGGCAGTCAATAAATTATGTCTGTTTAACCCATCGATATCATCATTAGTCCAAGTCTTCACGCTTGAAATCTTTTTACCTTCAAGAAGAATATCCTCTGCTTTCTTGAGAGCATCCAATTCACTTTTCATTACCCTCAATTCCATTGGGTTCTTATTATACTTGATTTTTTTCTCCAACAGCTCAATTGCAACCCCGACAAAATCAAGATCTTTAAATACTAACTCCTCGCTAACAATTTCCAAATCTCTAACAGGATCAACACTTTCTTCAATATGGGTGATTTCATCGTCTCTGAAACCTCTGACCACTTGGAAAATCCCATCAACTTGTCTGATATCATTTAAAAACTGATTTCCAAGACCCACACCTTTTGAAGCATTCTTTGTAAGCCCCGCTATATCGCAAATTGAAAGTGTTCCCTTTATTTGTTTCTTCGATTGGTAGAGCGATTGTAAGAAATCTAATCTACAGGATGGAATATTAATCAAAAGTTCTTGTGGTTCAATGGTTGCAAATGGATAATTGGCAGCAATTCCTGCTTCTGATTTGGTGACTGCTTGAAAGAACGTTGATTTTCCCACATTGGCAAGTCCCACAATACCTGCCTGTTCAGAGAAAAAACTTGTTAGTCGGTGTACGAAAATCTCATTTAATATGCTCGCCTCACCAAATAAAGACAAAATAGAAAAATACTAACTGATAAATGACTACTAGGTCTACCAAAATACTTTTGAATGATAACCTCCTCTTTTCCTCTCTTCAGGCCCGATTTCTTCTTGGCCTGGAGGTACCTTGTCAGTCCCAATGATCTTTTGAAGATCAACACTGATCTCATAGTGAAAAATGTATTGGTTGGCACCATCATCCTTCAATATTTTATTTTTTTCTTTCCGCCAGGCTCTCTTGATGGTTCGATCACTCCAAAACGATAATTATTTTTTTTTTTTCTTCACCTTTTTTCTTCAACTTTGAATTTTCACCATGCATGATTTCTGGATGTTATCAAAAGTTACTTCTTGTTGCTTTTGGTGAATATAGTCTCTTAACAGAAAAAATATTCAATTTTCATTAGATGCTAATATATAATATGCACAGGTCGTTGAGCTTTCGTCCATACTAACCATTGGAAAATCGCAAACTAATGTGAAAAACTCTTAAATTCTAGTTTCAATGAATTGATTTATCTGTTGTTTATTTATTTATCGTTTTATTAATTTTGGTCGTGTGACGATTATTCACTTTGAGTTTTATACAGCACTCCCATTTTTTTCTCGTCCTCTGATATAATTGTTAGTAGGATAAATTATCTCTTAAAGCATTCTTATTGTCTTTGCTCGTTCTTTCAGTTTAATGGCTACTCATTTCCAAACTCTATAATCCTTTCACTTAACGTCATTTTCTCTTTTGTTGCGTAACTATTTGTCGTCTCCAAATAGTTCTGGAAACTCACTCCGCTCTGCTTCTTGAACAAAAAAAAGGTGGTCTTTTGGGGTTACGAGGATCCGAAAAGTGCAGTTGATTTATGTTGCACACGGTATTACAATATGACCGTCGTTTTATGTTGAATTTTTTATGCGATAAATATTGCTATTGAAAAAAAAAAAAAAAAAAACATTAAAATGACTGAGAATAGAAGATTAAAAAAAAAAAAATTCTTGAGAAAAAGAGTAGAAACTGGAACTAAAAAGCAAATAACCAAAAGAAAACAAAATCATTATTATCTAGTGAAGGGGTGTTGGGAAAAAAATTTAGAGGAAGATCCCATAAGCACTATAAAAACTATAAAAAGAGAGAATTGGTAGAGTAGCAGAGAAAATAAAAATGAGAAAACAAAAAAGAAAATACCAAAACTTTCACATTAGTTAAACTTTAGAAGCTTAATCAAGACAAGCTCCCTCCAAATTGATCTTCTCCAAGTTGTAAAATAACCATTTACATTGATAAGCGTTAACAGTCACTGATCTAGCCTTTAATCTGAGTGGCCTTGTGTCTGTAATAAGGATATTATACTTGAAAACATACAAGTCTTGAATATTAACCTTCTTGTGACCATTATCAAACTCTAAGTAAGACTCGTTGTCGATATTGCCCTGGTACTTCTCTTTCAACATGTAGATATAGTTTTGCCTGACAATTTTTGAGGAGTTCAACACTGATTGCAAAATACTATCATCGATGGCTTTGAATGTAAGATTCTGGTCTGGGATATCACATGGGTCATGCAAGTTCAAAGTTATCTTTCCATCTGGCTTAAGTAATAACAAATGTGTCGCACGGATCTTATTAATAGAGTTGCCATATTTCTTCTTGAAATAAGCTGTATGGTCATTGTAAAGATTCTTGATAGTGATCACACAACGAGTGGCAGAATCTGAAAGAAAAGAATCTTCAGATTTTCTGAGTGATCTTAACTCCTGATAAACAAGCAATGGTAAGGCAATCTTCAACTTCAAATTAACGTTATCATTCAAAGTACAGCTCTTGAAAATTTTGTAAATTTTACCGCAATTTTTCAACCAAGAGTTGGTATCAAAAGTAACATAACTGATAGATGTATCAATATCCATGGTAATATTACCCATAAACTTGACATAAGGTAATGTCAAACCATCCATTTGGGGGGTCGACTGAACAGAGTCAAACGGAGATATTCTTTCACCACTTTGCATCTCCGGACTAATTAGGTGATCTGGCTCATTGGCATCACGCAAAGCTTCGTTACCACTAGGACCATCAACTCCAAGAGCTTTTCTTGCAAGTTCATAGTTCAATAAGCTATCAGTTTCGTCCATTACTGAACCATCAAGATCTGCATCTGGATTGAAACCATTGTTCACCAAATTCATGGAAACATCAACCTTTGAATATTCAGAATTGGCCATCAGTTTATCATCATCATCCATCATATAATTCTTGGCCTGTTTCTCTTCAATAACATGTTCATAGTTATTTTTGGATTTCAAAAACAAATTAATATCGAACTTTGGATCGGTTTCTCTAAAAATGTTTACATCACTTATACTTTCATATAAACCAGTAAATCTAGAATCAGTGGCAAATTCAAAGATCAAGGTATTCTTGTGAATCTCTTCGCTATTGTTGGCAGTTGGATGTGTAATGTCTTCCGGATCATTTTCAGGATTGACATCTAATTTGAACAATCTATCAGTGAGGCGCAAACCAAATTGTGGAAATCTTTCAGAAATATAAATAGCAACTAACAAAATTCTCTTGATTCTTTCCTTCTCAACACTATTAAATAATCTTCTGTCATTCCTTTCTGGGGATGGGGCATTACTGTTGAAAGTGCCATTCTTGTAATCTTGCTCTCTCTTGAATCTTGTTTCCTTCTCATGTAATTCCAAATTAATCTTGTGGTTGGTTCTATCACAATTATCACCTTCACTAAATAAATCTCTAAAGTAATTATTGTTGGTATTGTGGCTTCTTTGAATATTATCTTGGCTGTTCAAATCTGGTTTTAAAATGTACAATAATTCTTCATTTTTATTAATGTAGTCGGATAGGAAATCCTTTCCTTTCCAACCAGCAAACTTTAGGTTCAAATAATTTTTCTTCTCAGAAATTACATCAAACCAGAGTGATCCCCAAAGTTTCCAGACTTCGATCAATGTTTCGTTCTCATTAAAATAATTCAAATAACCCTCATGGCCAAGAGCATACATTTTTTTGATTTGTAAAATCAAGTTTTGTTCAAAAATAAACTCATTTTCATCCGCATCATCCATAATATTGAATCCACATTTCAAGTCATCAAAATCAAAACACTCACGAGCTTCATTCACCCAGAAATTCAAGTAGTTGACAAGGCTGTCCCAAGGGAAAAGCTTCTTGAAAATGGTATTCAAAACAACAGGCTCACAGGCAGGGTTTTTTTCCATGACTTTACCTAATGCTACCAAAAAGTATAACCACACAATTATATGAGGGGTAGAGACCGACTTAAAAGGACAGTTAAGAAACTTCTTGAGCATACGGAAGGACAATTCAAGAGAAGACTTATTAATGAACTGTAATGATTCGTACCATTTAAAAGTTGACATCTCAGTCACAATTGGATATGGATCCTTGAGTAACGAATCAAGGTCAGCAGTGGTTGTTTGGGGTTTACTGCTTACTGGCGGCTCCGCTTGCTGGTTGTCCTTACTATCATTTTCAGGGTTATTTAAAGAAGCAGTACTGGCTTTTCTATTTTTCTTTGTCTCTTTTCTTTCCTGGCGTTCTTTCAAGGCAATTGGCAACTCGAAGAGGATACTGAACAAATTTTTGAAATTTAAAACACCAAACCCAACAAGCTGCCAAATGTTAATACTAGCCAAATTACCTGATTTGTTGAACCAGAAATTTAATAATTTAATTGATGGTTTGTCAATTAACATGGATTTTGTAGTGTTATTAATATTATGTGGACCCAATGCCGAAGACTCTTTCTCAAAGAACGAAACTTTTATAGCCTGATGGTTGTACTGGTTTTGGCTATGTGCCATCCATAATCGGCTTGCATTGTCGCCACCTGTGATTGAGTTTGGATTGGCAAATGGGTCTAATGACATAGGTGATCCTATAGAGCTCATAGGATTAGTAGAGGATATTGGTGTGTTAGCACTTGGAGGAGATAAAGGGTTGGTAGGATTAGAGTAATCATGAAATGACGGGAAATCTTCGCCACTAATGAAGTCAATGCTACCAAAAGTTCTGGAAAAGTTACTAACCAACTTGATCAATTCTGGCGAAGAATTAAAATTGCTAACTAAAAGAACCTTGGAAATGCGGATGTAGAGCAAGACAATAAGCTCCCAGTTAGACAAATTATCAACCGCAGTTACCTTATTTTTGTCTATAAGAATCGTCCCATTTCCACAAGTCAAATGCACAAGAGCAGATTCATAGAGAGAATAAGACGAGATTTTGGACTGCGCAAACATTGAATCAAGTACCATCCTAAGATAATGGCCAGTTGGTACAAAACAATCCTTAACAAAGACAGATTTGCCAAGATTGAAAAGTGCTTCAAGAGAAATGTCATTGCCAGTAGCGCTATTGGTTGGGGAGTTAGATCCATACATTGAAGATTGGTCCATTGTCATATTTAAAAACGCTGAGCTATTGCCATTTTTATCGATTGACGCACTTGGCTGCTGTACGGTTGCTAAATGATAATAAGTCTTTCCGTGGCCATAATTTCCTGATATCGCCTTTAAATACCAGTGTTCTGCAGATGCCTCCCAATCAATGCAAGATGATGGATATAAAGCGATGGACATTCTTGACAAATCGGCAATCTTTTCATACCACCAGTTCTGAAAATCCGCAATAAGTGATACCGTTGAAAGAACCTTGGAATTATCTATACTCTCATCAGTATCGGCCATATTTCCTGAGAAACTTGTCAAATCATTGAAAAGAGTATTCGGGTCAGAATCAACTTCAATAGTTAGGTTATTATTCATTTCAACCAAAGTACTCAATAAACTGAAACAGTGGCTAATAAAATTCACACAAAGTTCGTTTTCCAAATGTATCATATTATTTTTATTTTGCTTGTTTGCACCTCCAACCATACTAAGGTCGTGATAGTTTGGTGGAATTGCCATAACCACAGTGATAAGATTTTTCATGTTCTCAAGTAAATTAATTATTCCATAAATCCAGAGTCGACGGGAAATTTTATAAACTTGAAGTACCTGATACCCACTGAAAATATTGTTGATTGATTTTGGATTGGCATTGGATGAGAGAGCACCTCCGTCTGTGGCCAGACTACCTCCACGAAGCAGGTAAAGTACAAAGTCATAATATGCATCAAGAAGTTCAAGGTTATTAGCGTAGGCCAACACAAGGGTTTTTTGGATTCCCACATGCTTCTGAGTGATCAAGTTCCTATTGTGTTCTAATCTAAGTTGTTGGTTCGCAATAAATGATGGATCATTTGGATTGTTTCCTACCGGCACCTCAACTCCGGGAATCTGTTGACTAGGAGTTTGACCAGCATTGGGCATCATTCCAGTAGCAATTGTGGCATTATTATCACTGCTGCCGTCATTTTCTAATCCAATAACCTGTTTAACTGACTGACCCAAACGGAAGATGGCTTGGTTCAACATGACATTGTACTGTTGGTTACGCTTTTCAAGATCAAGGATATTGGTATAGCAGCTTTGTAACGTTTCGGCTAAGCTCGTGCTACTCGCTCCCCCTGTCAAAGATACTGGGCCAGCAGCTTGATTTATATTACCATTTGATGCTGGCAACGATGGATTTGGCATTGCGTTAGATCCGGCGTTCTGATTGCCAATGATGTTGCCACTACTTGGGTTTAATGGCCCATCATTATCCACAATAAAGCCACTCATAATTTTTTGTTCTTGTTGGTATTGCGCTGCTGAGGAAGACGAAGGACCAATGTTTATTGTACCTCTTTTCTTTGGCATTTTAGGGAGGGTCTGTTGTTGGGTGTTTGATTGTGAATTCTGGCGTTTCTTTTGATCACTTTGGTTGTTTGTCGCGTTGACGAAGTTGGTGCTGTCCACGCCTCTTTTGGGTGCTTTAGGATTGAACATCTAACAACACGCGGTATGAATCTGATCTTAGTCCCAAATTCTTGCGCAGTGTATAGTATTGGATATTAATATAATAAAAGCGCGACGGTCTTTCACTTCTTATTTTTATTCCGATATAAGGTGGTCAACTTGATTTTTTCTGTTTTCCCCAAAAATAATAGGAGCAATCTGGGACCGGGCTTCATAATCTCCCGTTGAAAGAAAGTTGTACCCTGCAAACAACATTAAGTGTCACAAAAAATTCAACAATGAAACTACTGGACATTCTGTCCAGCGCGTAACTTTGTGTCTCTTATTCTTATCAATATACTGTAGTCAGTATTTGCTAAGGTTTATTGCGCTTTTATTTTTCCTTCTTCACTTCTCGCAGTCTTGAGAAGCGGGATCTCGGAAATCAATCCGAAAATTTGATATTCTCCTTACGTCAACAAATAATTACTCCGCTTATTTTCGAAGAGAGTGAAAGAAGATGTTTGGAAGATATTAAAAATTGTAACATTAATTGGAAGGTACGACAATATAACTTAACATGCAATTTGCACAAAAAAAAAAAGAAAAAAAAAAAAAGAAAGCTAAATAGTTTTGAAAAAAATTATGTCAACTCAGCTGAAATCAATAGCAAACTTTCCCCATTTACCATCATCCTTTACCATATAAAATGCCCTATCAAAGGCTTTTTGCCAATAAATATTGATTAAGCCATTCTTGTCATCAGTGTCACTATAAAATGATCCAAATGATTCCAGTAGCTTTGAATCTTGCAGCCATTCTTTGGCCTTCTTTAAATACTTGAAAAACTCCACACTATCATCGGTGAATAAGATGGTTAATATCTGACTGTACTTGTCCAATGAGACGCGTCTTATTATCTTGTTCAGTCCTATGGAGGTGGTTATTTGACCTTTTCTTAAATCCCAAATGTTAATCTTGGAAGCTAAACGTTGTGGAGATTTCAGAGTCGCAACAAGCCAGTAACCATTACTAGCAAAACTCACCCCACTTATACCACCATCTTCTTTTGTAGCAGCAGATTCCTCGTCCAAGGTCTCTTGGAAGGTGGTCAATTTTTGACCAGACTTCATGTCATATATGAGAACTAAGCCGTTGGAAGTACCAATGGAAAGCAAGCTACCATCCATATGCAAATCACCACAGCTATATTCGAAACTTCCACTTCTATCAAGCGTAGACACAAATAATGTGACACCCTTATTACAATCCACAATCGACCAGATTCCATTGCTGTATATCTGAATGAGATAATTATTCAAGGATGGATGGGATAACAATTCTACCACTGACGCACCAGATTCTTGACTTGGTATGGCAATGGTAGCTGTCGGCGAAAGTGATTCCGGCGCATTATTTTGAGAGAGATCAGTGTCGATAACAAGAATAGTGCCGTCGTCAAACCCAACGACAGGTTTGAAAATTGGATCAGAAATAGGCCCTAAGTTTATAAATGCAGTACATTGAAGTTGGCCTTTGTGCAATGCACTAATTTCAAACTTGTGAGTTAAAGAGTTAACACGAAGATTCAACACAAATAAATGAGTTTTGTTGCTAACAAGCATATGCTCATTATTGAAAATAGAAGACGCGGTATGGTCAAGCAAAGGATCGGAGGTTGGAATTGAAAGGTTTTCAAACTCAGTAAATGGAAATAAGTTCTTGAGAGTAAGGTGATGTTTACTGGTGTTGAGTGAGGATTTATGCTCTTTAAGCTGCCTCTGATGAATTGCAGAAAGAAATTTATCTGCCTCTTTAATGGCTTTGAAAGGATCTTCAACAGGAAGAGCTGAGCTTGGCTTTTGATCAACAGAGCTTTCGACTTCAGCATCTACCTTTACCTTTTGTTCAGGTGATATTGTTTCAACTTTATCAATATCCATTTTCACCACTTCCGCTTCAGTTTCTTTCACTTCTGTGTCTGGTTCAATCATGCTAGTGTGGTTGTTTCCGGCAAGCAATACACTCTGTAACTTTCTGTTTATTTCATCTCTCTCCTTGGTCAATCTGGAGATCACCCTGATACTAGCATCATAATGATATACGCTGCTAGCCAAATCATCTTTTAGTGTCTTTATCTTTTTCTTCAACTCAAAGTTTTCAAGGACAATTGCATCCCATTCATTTTGGAAAACAGAAAGAAGGGATGGTATTGATGTAAAATTCTTTGTGGCAGCCATATCTGAAGATTGTGGCTTAACTTCTATAATCTCATCTAATTTAAGAGGATCATTTGTAACAGGGTCCTTACCATATTTCAAGATGTATGATTCAATGATATGCTTATCAAAAATCATATGAGATTTAGGTGATAAAACTGGCTCTTTGGCCAATTCACCGCTAACTAAATAATATATCATTAGTAATAGTTCCTAAAATACATGCAATAAAGTCTGCAGTTTTCATTTTCCCATATTGATACTTACTAGCACACTGCATTTTGGAGTTAATGTTGAAGCCTATTGCTAATTTCCTTTCACTGCCAATGATGGTTATTCGTTTTCTTGGCTGTAAAATATTATTTGTTTAAGGTATCGAGGGAATAAGTCAAAAATCTTAGAAGCAGCTATCTAATATATGTACTCCTATACTTGTCTTTGATCTTTTACACTTGTCCTTCCCGATTCGTCACACAATGCCCTAACCGTCTTAAAAAGAATAGGGGCAATTTTTGCGTTTTTTTTTTTCCTTTTTCTTCTTGATATTGGGTAATTCAGGATGTTTTGTTGCCTTTCATTCAACATCACGAAAAAAGACAAGAAAAAAAAAAAAAATTGGTGCCTATGGGAACTACGGGCTTCTATGCAGTGAAACACGACTACCTTTACCTTTATGATGTCAATTGATTCAAAATGATATTATTAACTACATCGGAAACATTGGGTAGAATATATAATACAATACTGGTGAAAATAAACTAAAAAAAAAAAAAACTATTATAAAGAATGCTGACATTTAAATAATTTGCATTCTCGAATGCAATCTGCCGCCTCTAAAATTTAGCATGGCCCGACTCTTGAAGTTTTGTATCTGTAATCTTCTCCAAGCTTCTTCCATATGATATGATTGTAGAGGTTTCACCAGCTCTCCTGGCCCATCGAAAAGGTACCGATGCTTCAGTTTTCTTCCTTCACTCGTAGATAAACCATCCATTTTCTTTCCGCTATTTGCAGTTTCTTGTTGCTTTACTTGTAAAGCCTCTTCTGTTAAAGAGCAGACCATTTCAAACGTGAGAAAGCCAAGAATATCAATCACATCATCAGAAGGTTTCAGTTCCATAATATAGGAAGTTCCACACCATTCTTTAAATCTTTTACCTTTTCTAAATGTGAAACTGGCTTGACGACATTCAGAGAAATGAACATATTCCTCTCTCGTCATACCTTTGGTCCGATCATCAGCATTCTTAAGTCTCTTGAGGGACATCATCATGGCTTCACGTTCTTCTTCATCGTCTTCGTCTACGTCATCGTTGGTCTCCAATGCCTGTTCGCTGAACAAAAATGCCAATTCCCAAGGAAGTCGAAGTTTGGATTTTTTATATTTTAAAATATTGCTTCCAGAATTTTTAGAGCCATCGCCCATGCCTCCGGCAGCTGCCGCCAGATCTTCCAAGAAGTCATTATTATCAACACTTCCACCACCATCCTGATCCTTAGCATTTTTACGCACATCTTTCCATGATAAGTAAGTACGGAGTCTATTCACTTTAGCCTTATCGTGGCGAATCATAAAGATCATATCTTCTGAAGCAATAGATTTGGAGCCTCTCATAGCCGCAGTTCGTGTTGCCTGAAGAAGAATTTCCACGACTTGGCCACGAACAATGTCCTCGATTAGTGCAGTGGTCTCGAAAGGTGGATCGTGTGTTTCACCAGAAACAAACATCATTTGTTGGATTTCCACATGGTATTTGTACTTGGACGGCAGTATTTGATTACTTGATTGGTCATTATTCATTGTAGATGATTATGTTTATCGTTCAGTCTCATCACCTTGTTGTTTATCAAAGGCATTCTATCTCTCTCGATTCTCTAAAAGTAAGGATTTTTTCTATGTGCACGCAGATTGCCCGGATAACTATTTACGGGATGGCCCCTATTGCTTCAAGTTCTTCACCAAAGCCTTTGTGAATTTTGGGTGTGTGATTTTTCCCTTGCCTATATATTTATTCCTTGGTGGACTTCCTGTAATGGAAAACAGTGTTGGCTTAATAAAAAGATTGGTGTTTTATGTTAGCATAGCATAGCATGGGGTACAACACCCTACTAGTGTGGACTGTTCTGGAATTTTCAAAATAAAATCTCCCCTGCCGCCAATATAATTACTTTGTTATTACTGAGATTTTCCTCAATTAATTGCTCTTCCTCACAAAGAACCCTACTTTTCACTTGATATCGAACATTACTCGAAGCTCCTTGGTTAAAATGGTTGAATGGTTGGTAATTGTTTACGATAAGCCTGAGGCTGATCGTCTTTCCTGTCGTCAGCAACACATTGCTGCGGTTCCAAATCACATTGAGACTGGGAAGATCACCAACGTCGGGGCTATCTACAAAGACGTCGATGAGGCTGGGACTCCCAAAGAGTTTATTGGAAGCACATATAACATAATTGCTGACAGCAGAGAAGAAATTTTGGAGTTTTTGAAGAAGGATATATACTACAAAAATGGTATCTGGGACTTGGACAGCGTTGTGATGCACCCATATGGATGCTTCCACAGAGTCTCCAAAAAATGAAGTGAATATGCTTTTTTTTTATTCCATCAATTAGTGTGGTATTTGTCTTTTGTCTTTTTGTTTGGATAGCTCTTCTGATAGGAAATTCGACGTGGATGTTTTGGTTTTTGACATATTGTTATGATGTAAGCTGCCGAGCTAGCTATATTATGTGCCCCGGTTTTTGGCTAGAAAAAAAAAAAACTTAAAAGAAGATTAAGAATTACGGAAGGATGTGAAGCAAATGATCAGGAAGTTCATGAGCTCCCTGTTTATAAAAGTAGCGAATAAAGAAGATGATCGCTTGTTATCCGGTACGGCAAGTACTTAAAACTAGACTCTTTCCGGTTTCTTTGCGCAACGGACTCATACTGCTGAACCATTATAGTACAGTCCAAACACCTGACTATATCCAAGCAGCTCTCTCGGATGATATTTCAACTGTTCCTCTTTCATTCGATAAATTTTCCAATTATGAGTCGAGTTCTAAAAATTCTCCAATAGTCTTTCTTCATGGCTTATTTGGTTCCAAATCCAACAACAGAACTGTAGCCAAACAACTCTCGTCCCTCCTTACTCGTGATGTCTATTGTCTTGATCTTCGTAACCACGGGGACTCTCCTCATACCAAATACCATGATTATCCATCGATTTCTGCTGATGTGGAAAAATTTCTTAAGGACGAAGGTTTGTTGGATCCACAGCCAATCATTATTGGTCATTCTATGGGTGCTAAAACCGCGATGGCCATCGCCCTCCGCAAACCTAATTGGTTGAAGATGTTGATTGCTGTTGATAATGCCCCAGTTTCTTATCCATATTCCGCAGGCTCTAAGTTTTCCCGCTATGTTCGTTGTCTTCAGGAAATCACTACTCTTGCTGGTCCTCACGCCGTCATTTCCCGTACTGCAGCCGATGATCGATTGAGCAAAATTGAACCTTCTTTACCAGTTCGTCAATTCTTGTTGACCAATATATCCCGGAAAACAAAATCTGAAATCACTGACGAATTTGAGCTAAACAAGAAAAAATACCAAGATGATATCCACCACGTACCTGCTTTCAAGTCCAAGATTCCTCTTGGAACTCTTGGCTCCGCGATTGACAATGGTAACATTGCCGTTTGGCCATATGATTCAAATTACTCTCGCTTTGGCGGTGCGACCTTGTTTGTTAGAGGAACAGAGTCGACGTACGTTGCTGATGATGTGTTAGCGGAAATAGGAAAGTTTTTCCCAAGATTTGAAGTTAAAGATGTCAAGGCAGGCCATTGGTTGATAAGTGAAAATCCAAAGGAGTTTGTCGAAGTGGTTAAGGATTGGATCGAGTTCAAAGAAGAAGCTATAAAGGATGAGTTGGAAGGAAATAACCTTATCATTTGAATGTACTTGCTTTCCTTTGATCATTATCTCGAATCCATATCTGGAAATTAAAATATGCTTAGAGGATTTCTGCCAAATTTTATTAATTACATAGAAGTGCTTAATGAAAAGCCGTCACACTATAGATAATTTGGAATATGTAAAATGTAAAATATGATTAAAACTGTAGAAGCCTTTCATTATTCATAACGATAATAACGCACAGCAGCAGCTGTGGGCACCAGCGTACCTTTTGCCACATCCAAAATTTCAGAGAATGTACAATACGGTATATAAATTTTATAATTTTTCATCAAGATTGTGGAGAAATAGAAGCCACAGAAGATGTAATAATAACTGTGTATAAATAAAAGCAGATTCATGAGATCAGGTGAGGGTAAACATTCAAATTTGATCTGTAAGCTCCAGCTTTCTCAAGCAGTTTGTACTAGACACTGGTTAAAGGATATAGAGCAGGTTGTGAGGAGTCTGTTCCAAGAAGAAAGAAATCTGATAAGTTCAATTATGATTCTATCATCTTATTAATGGAGATTATTTAGCTTTATGCAGCGCTTCTTCAAAGAGGCAAAATCCTATTGATACATGTAATGCTTCCAGTATTTTACAATTTTGATACAACCGATAATCAGTGGGTAAGCTTAGAAAAGGGATTTCAAAAATTTTAAATATGATCTGAAATCAAAAGCTTTTCTGGGACCGGAAAGATAGGAAAAGAGAATATGCCAAAATGGAAAGTTAATGTATGAGAAGGCTAAAAGAAATGAAAAAAAAAATGAAAAAAGAAAAGAGAAGCTGATGCAAAAAATATAACAAGAATATTGCAAGGAATACCTCAAAAGCGAGAGCTTATTTCATATCATGAAGCTTCTGATGATGAAGTTATTGACATCACTATACCACCAAAATTTTGACAGTGCAAGAAAACCTCAGAGACTTTGTAATCAATGGAATCAATGAAATCTAATAAAGAAAAAAAAAGTTAATGAATACCAGAAAATCTTTCCATAATCCTCTGTGAACTCGTTAATACTGATATAGAATTGTTAATTATAGAGGATTCAGGTGTTGAGGAATTTCAATTCAACATGCTCGGCGAAATTTCATGCTTATACCACGACCTAATACAAATATAAAGAAGAAAAAATACTAATAATCACTACTCTCTCTTTTTTCCAACTCAAAAGTATCTTTTATAGTGGATTCCCACCTCTCCCTTCTATTTGCGCTCTTGGTGAAGTCGACATATATGGACCTAGTACCAACATCATAGGTTCCAAGACATCACAGTAAATGTGAGAAAAAAACATGGCATTTTCTTATTATATTTAGTACTTCTGGGATAATTTGTTTTGTTTAACCGAATATATTATCTGTCCATCATCCCGATTGCATAATTGAGCAAATCTCTCATGATATCACTAACAACTTCTTGGCCTAAAATTATAATTGAACACATATGAGCCTGGAGACGGTGGAGGGAACAACTATTTTTCCACTGGATAACTGGCTAGTATATGTTCTCTCGTAAGTTTTAATTTGCTCAGATTAAGTAATTCTTATGTTATTGTAGCAGGCGTTTTGGATTTTTGCCTAGAGGTTCCGAAGAATTTTTCACATTTTATTGCTTTTCTATTAAATTACATCAAATAAGATAATACTATGGTTCTGATTGACTTATACATATGGTCAGCAAAAAAATAATAACAGAGCTAATAGTAGCGGCAGTGAAGTACTAAGTTCGGACCATGAATAACAGCCAAAGCAAGAAAGGCATTGCTACCTAAATGAAAAGATTAACCATTGAGCATTGGCACACTCATAAGCAGTACTTCCATATATAAGATGGGTAATATCAATTCTGCTCCTTTTTTTAGGAGGCTTATATTGGAATTCCTTGAAATAGTTTAATGAAATGAGTGTTTGATTCAAAATTATAAAATGATTTTTTAGGAACATCAGTCGTTTTCGACATGTAAAAGAAAATACAAATAAAAACAAAGAAAAGATCCCACCAAACCTTTATGTCCTTAACAGACATGGATGATTATCCAACCCCTGGAGATCATTCCTTCAATTAAGGGATGAATAAAGTAAACAATCCATTCCCTAGATGGAACACATAGTTGAACTCCAGTCTTTTCTTTCCTGTATTGAAAAAGAGCAGTTCTGCAGAATCAAAGGAACACTGCGAAGGTGAGCTGGAAGCCACATTAAGAATTGGAACCACATGCAAAGAAAGTTTAAATGAATAGGTTAAAATTAAACAAATGATTAATGCAATTACAATAGTAAGTAAAGCGTAATAAAGAAAATGAATATAAAGCTGATTTATGTACCTCACTTAAGAAACCCCTAATCATTTATATAATCATCCTACCCGTTCTCCCTAAAGAAGGCTACAAGACTTCATTGTTTCGCCTCAACGCATATGAAGTGATTCGAAAAAATTCTGGCGGAAGCCAATGTAAAGCAGTTAAAACAACTATTCGTGTTATCTCCAAGCAATGTAATGCTAATCCAAGGCACACTACCCATAAAAGGCACTACTCGCCATTAACATGTGCTGCTTGTGGTTGACCGTTGACATAAATGTAATCCAGATTATAGATAATCAAGAGCATTGTTTACTGAAATATCCTATTTTTCAAAACAAAAGTTGAAGGAGACATAATGGTTAACTTAGATCTACAGGAATCACCTCTCCTGAGTCTTTTTATTTTTGGGGTTTCTTCTTCTCGGAACTTCAAAAAGATAGAAGTTTCTCATGGTCCTCATATGTATAATGAAACATGCACGTACCAACTACAAAAATTGTTAAAGTGCCATATTATTATAGCGAGGATGACAATTTATCACAACCATATCGGTACATGAGTTGAATTGATGTTATATTTCATGAAAGGAAAACACAGATACACACAAATTATTTGCATTTATTTCCGAAGGGTTTGTAATTATATACACGAAATGCTTTTTTCTTTCTTTCTCACAGTTTCTCTATCATGAGCATATATATACCTCACATTTTTTTTTTTGTGAACTATTTAGCTTTTGAGAGGAAAGCATCGTTTGATCTAATGATGGTAACGACCTTATTAGAACTGTAATCAAATCTCTTGTATGAAACTGACTTCTTGGCAGACTTTTCCAAAACAGCAACGGATTCTGGTGCTACTGGCTTGAGGAATCTTCTTCTCACTCTAACAATTTCAGATTTAGTCAACACACCCGTATTTTCAGCATTGGTGATCAATTCAACAATCTTGGATTTATCATCCTTCTTGATTGGCAATTGTTCTGTCAATTTGGTCAATTGGCCAATTAACTCGGTTTTCATAGCTTTCTTTTTTTCTTCTGAGATCTTCTTGACAACATGGTATTTGGCATTGAAGGCAACATGCTCATCAGTTTTTGAAGCCAAGGACTTGTACTGAGAAACCAATTCCTGATATTTAGCTTCATCTATTTCTGTTCTTTTCAATGACAACTTGTAGTCATATAAATCGTTGAAAGTGACGTTCTGTTCAGATTCTGACAAGCTAAATCCATTAATCAAGAATCTTTGAACGTTAAGAAGTCTGCTTGCTACGATATTCAATTGATCTTCTGAGAATTCCCCGATATTCAATGCTTTAAATTCAGTTAATAGTTCTTGTTTCTTGGTTTGTCTTCTAATATCTCTTTGTTCAACTTCCTTGTCGACCTTTTGCTTCAATAGCCAATCTTTTCTAGTCAAATGTTCTTCTTCTTGTTGGGCTGATTTTGAGTCTTTTAGTTCGACATAACCAAATCTTCTTACTCTTGGTTCCCAGTGATTACTAGGCAACGCCAAATCCTTTCTTAAGGCCACCCCGACAAACTTTCTGCTTGGATGGAAAGGATCCAAATAATATCTGACATAACCTGGTTCTTTAGCATATATGGTGTGGTCTCTACCAATACCGGTGTTTTCACCAGGATGTATCTTGGTGCCTCTTTGTCTATAAATGATTTGGCCAGTTCTAACCAAAATACCTTCGTTCTTCTTTGGACCCAATCTACGACCAGCAGAATCTTTCATATTAGTTTTCGAACCAGCGGCCTTCTTGGTGGAGGTACGAATTTGGATCAGAGAAAGAGCGAGTAACGAGGATGAAGGGATATTCGAATTGAATGCATTATTGTTTTGTGCCAAAAGCTTGCCAGCCACAAGGACCTTCTTCGTGAGGGACGAAGCCTTGGATAATGAGAATATGCTTGACATGCTTAATGGTCGGTTTATTGCCTAATATTAATCCTCCCAATTATCGATTTTTATCATTTCTTTCAAAAATTTCTCTGGAAAAAAAAAAAGTCTCCACGAAGGTCTCGTTACCCGGGGTTGTCTCTGTTAGCACTGTGCGGGTAATATGACTTTTTGCTGTTTATGTGCGAAATTCATAAACAACGTTCGGTCCAACATGGCAACAGGAATAATCGAGTACAAGGACACACGACACACATACCGGTAAAATATGAATGGCGAGTGGGACATTGTGATATCTTCATTACAGGACATATGCCAGGCCAACCAATCCAAATCTTTGGACTCGATTACTGATCAAGTGAAAAAACAGGCATCGCGAAGCCAAAATACCGAGGACGAATTACGCAACTTGAGCGAGACCATCAATAATCACAAAGAAAATGTCGACAAAGCTCTCAGGCTTTTGAACCCGGTGCTAGATAATTTAAACCAGCTCATCAAATTAAAACAGGGCTCGGGATCTGGCGGAGCAACTTCAGCTCTGCCTCCAACAACCCATCACGATGCGGCGGCCGACATGGCAGGCAGCGGCAGCATACTGATGGCGGCTGATAGTGGTAAGAACGCACCTTCTGTTAAGAAAAGAAGAGTGGTTGACGCCGTTAAGAAAGGAAAGAGTTACTACAGCAGTCCATACAATCCTTCAGATCCAGTGGTTTTGAGGTCAGAAGTGGCGTTCAGGTTGAAAGGCAGTAGTTTAGGCGAAGAATGGATCCAATGTGAGGTTACAAAGATTTATGACCCAACAAAATTTGACGTTACGGATCCTGAACCTGATGAGAATAATAATCCTGGAAAGACGTATCGGGCCGGGTGGAAAGAGATTCTACTTATTCCTACAGAAAACGATGCCAAGGAATTGATTGCCTACCAATTTGGCACAAAAGTCATTGCAAGATACCCTGAGACCACCACCTTTTATCCAGCTGAAGTGATTGGAACTAAGAGAGATGGAAGATGTAGGCTAAGGTTTGATGGAGAAGAAGAGGTTGGCAAAGAAACCGAAGTTGATAGACGGCTTGTACTTCCATACCCCGACCCTAAATCTCATAATTAAATTGGTTATTTACCTATTTATTGTTATTATACTATATTTGATGAATTAATGAATGCCCCTCTTTTTTTTTTTTAATTTTGATTGGACATTATTTGTGCAAATGAGATGGGGATTTGTAGTAATTCACTTGGTTTAAACAGCGGAGTGTGCTGCGGATTTTTTTTACAGAAAAAAAATAAAATAAAAAATAAAGACACACAGCACACAATAAATATTATTGGGTTACTTGACAGCATATTGGTTCGTAGTTCATCAATGGAAGGCGATCAACAGACAGAAAACCTTGGGGTTTTCTACTATTTTGAGAACTATTTTCTTCATTTTATTGGGTTTACAGCGGTAATTGGGTTGCTACTATTGTTCCATCTTCGCAAGAAATGGTTGCCGAAATATCGCCATTGGAGAGCCTCCAGACACAATCAGTACCTCAGCATGGTGGCTGGACTGTCATTTCAAGATGATGTCGACAGTGGGTTGACCTCCGGCACCTTTGACTTGATGGGCAATATTGATGGCGGAGATTCAAGAAAGGGACTAGATGAAGCTGCCAAAAAAGAGATCATCGCCATAATGAATAAAGACAGCTTGACATTTGACGACGCCAGGACCAAGTATTTCCAAAATAAGATGGCGAGAAATCAAATTGGACCGGATGGAATGCCTTTGGATCCCAGAGCTTTCACTTTTGGTTGATGTTTTTTTATTTTTTTTTTTATTTTGCTTATTTGTGTTGGATGTCTTTGCTTTTCTCATCGAGATGATTGTTCTACTTTTACTTTCTCAGCTTGCTGTACGAATGAATAGAAGATTTGTACGCTGAATGGTTGACCGATTTGTAGAATTAGTGGAGAAACCTAAGAAATATTGTGTCAAAAAAGTTTATCATAGCACGATAGTAGAATTTCCTAAATGAGTAAAAAAAAGTGAAAAAAGAAAAAAAAAAAAATCCATCAGAGAAAAAATAAAAACGAAATAAAAAAAATATTTTTTTTTTTGTTTGGCAATACGAAATTTTTTCTGTTTACAAACAATATCCCTCAGATTAGTCCCTCGATATAGTGATAGGACTGTATCTTTTCAAATGACCCCTAACCATGATCCCGAAGGAACCGGGTCCTCTTCAAATATGCAATCGATGGGTGTCTCCTCGACGGTGAATAATAGCACAATCGGCAATACTAACCGAACCATTGATATTATCAATGATAACCTGCCCGAGTCAGATGTCCAGCTATCATCGCCCAAATTGTTAGCCTCTTCGGTCGATAACAATGTGAATATTAATGGGAGGTTTATTCCATCGTCCTCGACAATTTCCTTACTCTCGTTGGGTGCTGATGAAGGATCAGCCTCTTATCAAGATGATCAACATGACATGGGGCTGGCCGAGTCATCTGGTTTCCAATTAAACTCTAAGAGAAGCCAGCTATCGTTATCCGTCAAATCTTTGAGAAATACCGGTGCTATAAACCAACAAAGACACAAATATTATAATTCTGCCACCAGTGCCTTGACGTCACCAACCACCCCATCATCATCGGCTCCTTCAAAGACCTTGTTCAATAATACCTCGATTCCTAACTCTTCGGTTGATCCAACTCCTAGCAACATTTCAAGATTATCGGCGCAATTGAAGAAAACCAGTTTGAATTCTCCTGTAAACAATCCTATCAACACACGGACCACCAGTCCAAGAATATCGGATAAATTTGGCAGTCTTGATGATTCGCAGTTCCACGCTCCCAACAGCCTTCAAAAGAAAAACTCGTTTATGAACGGAATTATTTCCATCGACGAAACCCCTGACAGCCCTAACCTTGAACCTACATCCTTCTCTAACTCTCCTTCCAAAATTTTTCTTTTCCATAGAAGACAAAGCAATAACGAGAACCTTCCGAAAAACATCAGTCATCTTTCCCTTTCAGCTATGGGTAATGATAAAGCAAACCAGCCTCCACCATTAGTTAACAGAAGACCAAGTTACAAAAATTTATCATTTCAAGATTCAATACTCTTTACACCGGGGTCAGCCTCCAATTTGAGAAATATGAATGGGGATTATGGTACCAAAGCAAAAAACATCTCCATAAATTCAATCCCTAATCGAGGTAATGAATCTCCTGTTTTAAGACCGGTTCAAACCCCAGGAAGTGATATTTGTATGACTCCATTGATGTTGTCTTCTTACAAAGGAAGTAATAATCTTGATTCGAACCTGACCATAAACTACGTGGATAACTCGCTAATTCGGCACCAGGAGGAAGAGCTGGCTATTATTAATGATGAAGATGAGGATGATGAGGGATTCGTATGACATGAACCAGTTTGCTTTTTTTTTATATATAACGCTCGTGATGAAACCTGTGGCACAAGTGAAAATAAAACGAGCTGGCTATAGGATAAATTCTTTTTTCATTTTATTATTTCCATTACCACCTGCATTGACATATTCTTCATGATTTTATGTATTTCATTTTTTTTTTTATTGTTTTTTTATTGTTTCGTTTTCTTTAGCTAAGCATGCATCTTATATCTATTTTGCTGTGTTTATTTGTTGCTAATTGTCTTGGTGTGCTTCAAAAGAAAAAATTATGTTTTTTTTTGACTGGAGTTACTAATTGTCTACGATTTTCTGCTTATATTTATCATCATATTTTTCTCTTTCTTTTCTATGTTATCTTCCCTTAGGCTTTTTATGTTTCCATATACTCTTTTTTTTTACTCATTCTTTTTATTCAAGAGATTATGGTATTACTGGTACAATGTTCCGAAGTAACTAGTTTTACATGTAAGAATTATAATGTTGATGGATGTGCCCCCATTTTGAAATCATTTGCCAAAATAAAAACTGAAGAAGGATATTCAAATACATAATTTTGCTCAAATTCCTCACTTCAAGATATTATTTGGCTTTAGGTGATTTTCGCCCAATGCGAATGGCTCCATCGATACAACAAAGATATTTTAGACCGCCTTCAAGTATTCTATTAGTTACTACGGACAGCAAATAACGAAGCATTCTAGTGAAAAAGCAATAAGCTGAAGCCACATGTATATGCCAAGTACAGAACAACTGCGGAAACGTTCTTTGGCTAAGACGTCGTCGATATACCTGATCGGATGTTCACGAAGTCCTGCTATGCGAATATACACATACCGATGATGCCCTGTACTAATTACTAATAGCACCAAACCCCATCAGTTGCAACATATATCAGCTCAGCTATGATGAAAAAAAAAATTGTGTGAAAGACGATGATGACCTCCGAGAGTAATATAATAATTGACAGTCCAATTTTTTGCTGTTTATCATTACAATCATCGAGAAGAGTAGTACGAGATGATTGGTGCACCAATCAATATTCACAAATGGGTAAAGGAAAATGAACATCTTCTTCAGCCTCCGGTTAACAACTTTTGTCTTCATAGAGGCGGCTTTACCGTGATGATTGTCGGAGGCCCTAACGAGCGAACCGATTTCCATGTCAATCAAACCCCAGAATGGTTCTACATGTACAAAGGCCATATGTGTTTAAGGGTCGTGGAAAATGATCCGGGATATTTGCAATCTAAAATGATTGATATTACCGAAGTTGAAAATCCGGAGATCCCAGTTTTCAGAGACGTCATAATCGAAGAAGGCGATTCCTTCTTATTGCCTGCCAGAGTGCCTCATAATCCAATCAGGTTTTCCAACACCATTGGTATTGTTTTGGAACAAGATAGACCAGACAGCATGGATGATCAAATCAGATGGTATTGCTCAAATTGTAAAAAAGTGATCCACAATAAAGTATTCCATCTTACTGATTTGGGTAAAGATATAAAGAGTGGGATCTTGGAGTTTGACAATGACAAGCAGAAAAGAACTTGCTCTGCTTGCGGTACTTCCAACTATAGTAAGCCACAAAATTAATTAATTATTTCCGCCGTTCATTTTTAATTTGTAAAATATTTTCCGCGTAATCTTTGTAAAAATAAGTGTCAATTAAGCCTCGTGAAAAGATTATAACTTTTTTTTTTTGTATGTTTGGGTTTGTTTCTTTCAACCTCACTTCAGCAGTACGATACGATTCATACGCCACAAGTTACAAGTAAAAACTACGATCAAAATCTACAAATTAAATGTTTGAGATACCAGCCCATGATTTTACAAAACCATCCAACTGCAAGCTTAGAGGTGACATCCAAGATGTACAAAAACCACAAGGGCATTAAGATTCTCAATTCTATCTCACCAAAAACTTGACACCTGCAAACCCGTATAATAATCTAATGATCTGCTGGTAACACGAATGTTTTGGTTGTCCGCACTTTATTAAAATAAAGATAAAGAGAAGAAAAGAAAATCAGAGGAAGCCACAGGATAAAAAAATTTTCAAATTGGCCCTTTTTATAGTTTCCCCCCAGGTTTCCCCCCAGGGCACCCTAACCAAAATTTGGATTGTTTTGGTCAAGGACAAACACGCACTAAAATAGAGGCAGCGATGAGATGATTGATATGTCAGGATAGCAATAGAATAGCGATAAATATTCAAAGTAACAATATGAGTCCAAGCACCTTGAAAATCAAACAAATGGCCCTTGCTAGGTTGATCAAGGAAGAGAAGCTTTACAAGCAAGAATTGGAAGAACAACAAGCGCTTGTCAGCCAGCTAAAGAATGACGCCAACGCTGACAAATATAGCTTGAAGACCCAGATTCAAATCTTAGAAGAGAGTGAAAAAATGATCCCAGCTATTCATCTCAAAGTCAAGGATCACTTGAATGACTTAAAAGCTTTTTTGGAGAAATATGATGGTACTGAACCTACTGAAGAGGCAAAGAAGGCCATTGAAGATGCTGAAAAATTGTTCTAATTGTGCTGATCCACTTTAGATACAATCAATTGGTCATCACTTACCATCTGATTTGTAACTGTATAATTGTCCATTATTCTCGTCACCCGGGATAATATGCCTACATTGGAACTAATTGCGGACGTTGTAACAGCCCATGAAAAGAAAAAAGGAATCGAGAAAAGAGAAAAAAAAACAACACCCCCCAAGCAATGAATATTAATAAGGTGATTGAACTGGAACGCAAGATTATTCATTCATATTTATATATCACAGGTGGTAGATACCTTAATATCGCCGGCCCTACAACCAATCGATTCATAGATAGCTCACATCCATTCAGTCTTTTTTTCTTCTTTTCTTTTCTTTTCACTTATATAGGTACACTCAAACTAAAGAATTTCTCTATAAACTTTCTTTTTGTAATTTAAATCATGAAATGATGCAACCATTTGTAGGTTTTGCTTCCCTGTACCTGGCCGACAGCTTGGCCTCGATAATAGTAATTTCTTTTGTGTTTTATTACACCAATATATTTTTTTGATCTCCCATTAAAATTATTTAATAATTTCTCGTCAGTTATGTGATAATTTGGAAAGAGCCCAGAAATAGGTGGAAGAACAGCAAGAGGAGAGAGAGAGGTGCTTATCAAGCGAGTCTCATATGCATGTTGGGATATTTTTGACGCTGTGTCTACTAAACCCTTTTGAGCCTCTTTAGTAATTCAAACAATATAAATCAAGGATATTTTAAATTGAAATTTCAAATTCGTAATATTCCTTGATATTATTTGATTTATCATTTGGAAAAATAATACTTTTTAACAATTCGTTAACTCACTAATCAATGCTTGGCTTACCTACCACCTTACAATTTGTTTTCCATACCGTTCCTATGTTTGTTGAATTGAAACATACTAAACAAATATTACATCCCCCTAAATAATTCTTTCTCGAATAATAACATTAGCACCATTAAAATCCCTTCTTCTTAACATTATAATCCTGGTGTTAACCTCAGCAACCAAAGCCCTAAATAATAGCCCTTATATCACGAGATATACTCGTGAGAATTTCCACCCTCATGGTATACTCCAATTTTTTTTTTTTTTCACTCCTGCGCTGACAGTCCGATTGACAGAGGAAAAATAAAAATTACAAAATTTTTCAAATCCATCACTCGTCCTAAGAGAGAGAATCAGCAACTAATTAAAGAAGATCAGACAAGATGGCTTTCAACAAAGACTTGAAGAACTCTGCTTACTGTTCCAGATACCAAACTCCTTTCAGAAGAAGAAGAGAAGGTAAGACCGATTACTACCAAAGAAAGAGATTGGTTGCTCAACACAAGGCCAAGTACAACTCTCCAAAGTACAGATTGGTTGTTAGATTCTCCCACAAGGACATCACTGCCCAAATCATCTCTTCCCAAATCACCGGTGATGTTGTTCTCACTGCTGCTTACGCCCACGAATTGCCAAGATACGGTATCAAGTACGGTTTGACTAACTGGTCTGCTGCTTACGCCGTTGGTCTTTTGGTTGCCAGAAGAGCCTTGAAGAAGTTGGGTTTGGACGAAACCTACGAAGGTGTCACTGAAGTTGAAGGTGAATACGAATTGACTGAAGCCGTCGAAGACGGTCCAAAGCCATTCAAGGTCTTCTTGGACATTGGTTTGCAAAGAACCACTACCGGTGGTAAGGTCTTCGGTGTCTTGAAGGGTGCTTCTGACGGTGGTTTGTACGTTCCACACTCCGAAAACAGATTCCCAGGTTGGGACTTTGAAGCCGAAGAATTGGACGCCGACATGTTGAGATCTTACATCTTCGGTAACCACATTTCTGACTACATGACCGAATTGGCCGATGATGATGAAGAAAAATACAGAGAAGTTTTCAAGAACTACATTGCCGACGACATTGACGCTGATGCCATTGAAGACATCTACGCTGAAGCTCACGAAGCTATCAGAGCCGACCCAGAATTCAAGCCAACTGAAAAGAAGTTCACCAAGGAACAATACAAGCAAAACACTCTCAAATACAGAGACCAAAAGCTTACCAGAGAACAACGTGCTGTCAGAGTTGCCGAAAAGATTGCCAGCTTCAAGGCCGCCAACTAAGCAATTTGATTTGTTATTTTGGAAGGTTTTTAAATATGTTGAAAATGTTTTAATGCAACGTTTGTGTTCGACGTTTTTATAAAATAAAGGAGTGGAAATGCCAGGCTCCGTGCTGTAAGTTTTTTCACGAATCACTGTAGGATGTCTACTGCGACAACATCGATTGTTCAATTGGATAAAGAGATTTCAAATGCCAGTCAATGCTCAAACCACTTGATACGTATTGGGTTTTTCATAGAAGTATATATTTTAAAGAAGAACTAAAAAAAGACCTAACAAAGCATATAATTTGATTAAGCCTTTAAAACATTTTTAGAAGAAAACTAAATCCAAGAATTGAATGAAAAAGCCAAGCAGAAAAAAGGAAATAACAACATAACCAATCAAAAATATAAAGAAATAGAAACCAATCAGAGGGTAAAATGTCTAGATGTATTCATGACAAGCATCAAGAGCACCAAATAAAGGGCTTAGACAACAATAATAAAAAGAACACTAAGTGTCAACATGTAACAAAGTAAAACAGAAAAGAAAAAAAAAAACGTTAAGCAAAACAAACTTTTGAAGAATTCAATAATGATTATTCTGTCTTATCAATCACACATCTACCATTTACGTAAACCTTAGTTGTATTTCTATCATCGCCATTGAATAACCACTTGGCAATCAAATCTTCAAACTTAGATTGATCGGCATCAATAAACGTACCATCATCATTGATCCATTTATGTTCCTCATTATTATCAAATTTTGAAAGGCCAACACCATGGAAATCCTGGAAATAGTCATCGGAATTGAGCAACTCCCTTCCAGCAATTTTTAAATGATATCCTCCTCTCTGGATCAAGTAATCTGGCAATTGCCAATCAAAAATATCGATCTGTGAGCCAGTACTCTTTAAATCAACAAGTTGACATTCCCATTTTTTCCCTTTACCAAAGTCCCCAATAGTGGATTCCATATCAAGACATTGCGCTCCACCTTTTGTGGCAAGATAAAGCACATCATTGACGGATAATTTGTCTTCTTCCTTTTTGGTTTTCATGGCTAGGTGACGTGACACCAAGTGAGCTTGTCTAGCCGATGACAAAATCGAAGGTGAAAAACCCCCAGACATATCTGTCCCAAGAGAGACTTTAATTCCAGAGTTAAGTAATTGACGAACTCTTGTTTCCCCCGAGGTAAGCGAACTATTGGATATTGGACAATGGGAAATACCCGATTGGTTTTTATGAAGGATGGATATTTCCAAAGGGGTCAAGTGAACACCATGAGCAAGGACAGTTTTAGCGCCTAACAAATTATAATCTTCATAAACTCCGGTATAACAAGATGCATCTGGGAAGAGTGATGAGACAAGTTTGATTTCATCGATATTTTCTGATACATGGGATTGAACATGTAATTTTTTTTCTTCCCGAAAATCACCCAACCATGCCAAAGTCTTTGCGGTACAAGAAGGGGCAAATCGTGGGGTCAAAGTAGGCAAGATTATGGCGTCGCATTCTTGATCTGTAGTTGCACCAAGTTGCTTGATATGATTGCAAACATCAACGGTATTGGTCTTCATATCCTCGTGTGACTCTGAGTAGAAATCAGGGGAATTATCATCCATACAGACCCTACCAATTAGGGCTCTCTGGCCATTCTTGAAGCAAATGTTGGATAATAACTTCGTAGCCTCCGGATGGATGGTTGCGAAATACGAGGCGGTGGTGGTGCCATTTTGGAGGGTCTGATGGACGACCCTGGAGTAAATCTTGTTAGCCTTGTGTAAATTCTCAAAAGAAGCTTCCAATGGAAAAGTATAGGTGTCGAGCCAATCAAGTAGGGTGGAGTTACCAAAGATACCGGCATTAGGGAATTGGGGAGCATGGATATGAGTATCGACAAACCCAGGAAAAAAGAATTGATAAGGGTTTCCGGAGATGTCGACGATCTTTGTTGATTTCTGATCAAGCTCTGGGTTATACTTTGTGAAAACGTCAGAAATGGAAGAGCAATTAGGGATCAAGTTTATGATAGAGCCGGAGCTTCCTACCACTACCGCACAGTTAGGAAATACCTGTAATTGATTAAGAGCTGGGGTATGGACTATTGTGCCATAATACACGGTGGTCACCAACTTTACTAACGCTTTTGAGTTGATATTGGAGGGATGAAGAGCTTCAGTAACAGAGGGTATTATTCTAGCCATGATAAGATATTGATTGTGTTTGGAAATGGAAGAGAGAAACAGACAGAACAGCAAAATATGGCAGAAAAGTGAAGAAACAACGAATTTGTAGCAGTTTATGTACCAGTTCTGTTATCAGTGAATGGGAGAAAAATACTGCCGCCGGGCTCCCTGCGCAGTGTCCTCGGAAGACTCCTTATTTGGGAAAGTACCGTCATTGCGGATGACAAAAAATCCACACCGATGCCCCGGTTGTTTTTCTCCTTGTGCCGCTGCAACGGTAACTATCACCCACACAATCAATAAGGACAAACTTCACCAATAAGAACAAGTTATATCTATATGCAAAAATAAATATGTCATCTGCATTTGCTTATAATGAATATCTCACCATTTACGCAATATACACAACCCTCCTGAGGATTCAATGGTTGCTATAATCCTCCCTCTTGTGCCCTTTTTACAGAGGTGCGTGTAGTGCCAAACTGAATTTTCCATCAAGATTGTAAGCGCCCGCGCTCTCATCAACTAGAATTAGTCAATTGGGAAGAGCAATTGCAAAGTGCTGACAATAAATTCAATGACTTATGGTCTGCTTCTAAGATGATATGTTTGATGCTAACATTTTCCACCAGATGTTTCTACAATTACAATATTTCTTTCTCAAATTTTCAAAGATCAAAAATTAATCAATAGAGTTGCCATCAAAATATTACATAATGAAAGTGACTTCGTTGTGGTTATTTGAAAAATCAAGAGATTTTTAAAAAACAAAGGAATGCAGGATATAGAATTTCGAAGATAAAAATTATTCAAGGTACTATATGAAGTGGTGTCGAAGAAGAAATAACAAAAAGGTGAATCAAAAGCGATGCTTTAGGAAATCAAAAAAATCATAAGTAGAAAAGAGAATTAAAGATGTTTGGAGAACGCCAAATATAAATTTTAAAATGAAGTTATACAAGGAATTCGTTTTAAATCATGAGAATGTTTTAAATCATGTGAATAAAAAACGACAAAATACTGATAATTGATGCGCTTGCGAGGTGAACTCTAGAACCAGAATCATCATAGGTCATCATAGAAGTAAACAATTGGGAACCTGGAATGCTTGATGTTGAAGGTTTTTGAGCAATTGTTGTACTTTGGAACCCTGATGATATAGTTGTTGGTGTATTGAGTCCAGAACCACTGTTTGACCCTGAGCCTGGACCATTGGCTGAACCCAAACCAGACGAAGAGGATGATGATGATGATGATGCAGAACCATAAGTAGGCACTGATTGAGATGGTGAACCGAGCCCATAATCAGAATCAGAAGCAGAAGCAGACACTGATTGAGATGGTGACCCAGAGCCATACCCAGAACCATTATCATTACCTGTGGCTGAAGTTGGATTTGAACTTGAGCCAGAATCAGGGCTTGGACTTGAACTTGAACCAAGCTCAGAATCAGAACCAAAACCATTGTCATTACCCGCAGTTGAACTTGAACTTGAACTTGAACTTGAACTTGAACTTGAACTTGAACTTGAACTTGAACTTGAACTTGAACTTGAACTTGAACTTGAACTTGAACTTGAACTTGAACTTGAACTTGAACTTGAACTTGAACTTGAACTTGAACTTGAACTCAGACCAAACATATCCTCTGAATCTGAACTATTGCCTGTATTAGAACTAGGGCTACTACCAGCTGATGTTGAAACCAAAACAGAGGCTGATGAAGCTGATTCTTGACCTGAACCTGAGCTTGTGCCAGAACTTGAGCCTGAGCCCACCGTAACTATAATAGACGAAGTCATGAAATTAGAAGATTCCAATGAGCTCAGTTCTCCAGAAGATGTAGAAGATGCAATTGTACCCGATATAGTGCTCAGGGTCGTTTGTTGAGAAACAATATCTGAAGACTCAGGACTTATCGAATTTTGAGAATACAGTGACAATACACCTGAGCTGGTTGAGCTGGATGATGTGCTATTCCCATAATAAAAAGTAGGCAGAGCAGTTGGAATATCGATGATGACGGTTACAGGATATTTGGTTCCAGAGAGGGTCGTGGATGGTGAGACGGTGCGGGTTGTAGTGAAAGTACCGGTCCAAAAGCTAGTGACACTGGTTGTGCTGATAATTTCAGTGATGCTTTCTGAGGAACTAGAACTAGAGATCTTGCTTTCTGGATCAAATTCGCTGACAGTTATGATAGCGCCAGTACCGGTTGGTGCTATTGTAGTGAAGGAAGTGAATGAACCAGACCAATGAGCAGTAATGGTGGTAACTTCATTGGGAACATACTCGATCACAGTAACAGCAGTGCCATTACCAGTTGGTTGGATAGTGGTATAACTCGTTGTGGTTCCGTCATAGTGAGAGGTGACGCTGGCAGTGGAATATGGAATATACTCGACAACACTGGCAGTGATTCCACCATCAGTCGGCTGAATGGTGGTATATGAAGTGGTAGCACCATCGTAATAAGAAGTTAAGCTGGTGATGGTAACTTCATCCGGAACATACTCGATCACAGTAACAGCAGTGCCATTACCAGTTGGTTGGATAGTGGTATAACTCGTGGTGGTTCTGTCATAGTGAGAGGTGACGCTGGCAGTGGCATATGGAATATATTCTGACACAACGATCACAGATTCAGTACCAGTTGGTTTTATTGTGACAAAGGAAGTGACGGAACCAGACCAATACGCAGTGGCAGTGGTAATTTCGTCCGGAACATACTCGATCACAGTAACAGCAGTGCCATTACCAGTTGGTTGGATAGTGACATAACTCGTGGTGGTTCCGTCATAGTGAGAGGTGACGCTGGCAGTGGCATATGGAATATATTCTGACACAACGATCACAGATTCAGTACCAGTTGGTTTTATTGTGACAAAGGAAGTGACGGAACCAGACCAATACGCAGTGGCAGTGGTAATTTCGTCCGGAACATACTCGATCACAGTAACAGCAGTGCCATTACCAGTTGGTTGGATAGTGGCATAACTCGTGGTGGTTCCGTCATAGTGAGAGGTGACGCTGGCAGTGGCATATGGAATATATTCTGACACAACGATCACAGATTCAGTACCAGTTGGTTTTATTGTGACAAAGGAAGTGACGGAACCAGACCAATACGCAGTGGCAGTGGTAATTTCGTCCGGAACATACTCGATCACAGTAACAGCAGTGCCATTACCAGTTGGTTGGATAGTGGCATAACTCGTGGTGGTTCCGTCATAGTGAGAAGTCACGCTGGCTGTGGCATATGGAATATACTCGATCACACTGGCAGTGATTCCACTATCAGTTGGCTGAATAGTGGTATATGAAGTGGTAGCACCATCATAATAAGAAGTCGCACTGGCTGTGGCATATGGAATATACTCGATCACACTCACAGCAGTGCCATTACCAGTTGGTTGAATAGTGGTATAGGACGTGGAGGCATCATCATAATAAGAAGTCGCACTGGCTGTGGCATATGGAATATACTCGATCACACTGGCAGTGATTCCACCATCAGTTGGCTGAATAGTGGTATATGAAGTGGTAGCACCATCATAATAAGAAGTCGCACTGGCAGTGGAATATGGAATATACTCGATCACACTGGCAGTGATTCCACCATCAGTTGGCTGAATAGTGGTATATGAAGTGGTAGCACCATCATAATAAGAAGTGATACTGGCTGTGGCATATGGAATATACTCGATCACACTGGCAGTGATTCCACCATCAGTTGGCTGAATAGTGGTATATGAAGTGGTAGCACCATCATAATAAGAAGTGATACTGGCTGTGGCATATGGAATATACTCGATCACACTGGCAGTGATTCCACCATCAGTTGGCTGAATAGTGGTATATGAAGTGGTAGCACCATCATAATAAGAAGTCGCACTGGCAGTGGAATATGGAATATACTCGATCACACTGGCAGTGATTCCACCATCAGTTGGCTGAATAGTGGTATATGAAGTGGTAGCACCATCATAATAAGAAGTGATACTGGCTGTGGCATATGGAATATACTCGATCACACTGGCAGTGATTCCACCATCAGTTGGCTGAATAGTGGTATATGAAGTGGTAGCACCATCATAATAAGAAGTCGCACTGGCTGTGGCATATGGAATATACTCGATCACACTGGCAGTGATTCCACCATCAGTTGGCTGAATAGTGGTATATGAAGTGGTAGCACCATCATAATAAGAAGTGATACTGGCTGTGGCATATGGAATATACTCAGAGACAACGATGACAGACTCAGTTCCAGTTGGAATGACTGTCGTGTAAGATGTGGTAGAGCCATCATAGTGAGTAGCAAAAGTGGAAGTGGCATACGGAACATACTCAGAAACGGTTACAACAGATCCAGCACCAGTTGGGATGATGGTGTCATATGACGTTGTTGAGCCAGTATAATGAGTGGCGACGGTTGTGGTTTTATAAGGAATATACTCCGAAACAGTAACGACGGTACCACTACCAGTTGGTTTAACAGTAGTAAAAGAAGTGGTTGAGTCACCGTAATAAGTTGTAGCTGTAGTGGTATTATAAGGAATGTACTCGGAAACCGTTAGCACTGAACCAGTACCACTCGGATTGATAGTGGAAAGGGAAGTTGTCAGACCATCATAATTTGTGGCGATCGTAGTGGTAGAAGGATATGGATTGTCAACAATAACCCAATTTGTTGCTCCGGAGGTAGATGTTGTGACGGTCGATGCATAAGTATTGGTCCAATATTGGGTGGTAGTAATAGTACGAGTGGAGACGGAAGGCACATACTCGGTTACAATAACTGGTGCTGATGGGTTAGCACTAGTAGTAGTAAGGTAAGATGTGTAAGAGTTGGTCCATGTAGTTGTAACAGTTGAGGTTGACACGGTGGTTGAAGCTGTTACAGATGAAGCCGAACAGCTACTACCTGTAGAGCTGGTATCAAACTGGTACACAATACCAGAGAATGAATTGACGTAGGCACCAGATGGGTAGGTGACACCAAAATTCAAATTCAAGTTCCCTTGCATGTTGAGGTAAGCAAGTCTAACAGGATAAAAATAGCCCTTTTCCAAATAAATCTGCCTATAACCATTAGGACCGGTATAATAGGTGTAAATGGATACATCATCCAAATTTGCACTAGAAGAAAGGGAGGTACTACCACAACAGTCAAAGGCTGAAGCGGAAGCCGCATAAAATAGAGCAGCATCATCAGAATTCGTCAACAGGAACTTATAGTAACCACTTTCGCTGGCGTAGAAGTAACCAGTGAGCATCAAAGTGAAGTTCGTCACGGTAATGGATTTGCCATATATGGTTCTGGTGAGGGGACCATTGGTTAAACCCAGATATTGAAAATTAACACTGGTAACACCGCTGACGGATCCCAAAGATTTCCCATAAGTGGCATAGCCGCTTTCAAGATAGGTCTTACTGTAAGCAGCTCCCAAAGTATAATTGTAGAATCTTGCCAAAAACCCATTCCCGGTGGCTGAAGAGGTGAAAGCACAACCGCTACTTTCATGGATCGCCCCGTTATTACTAGAATCACCGCTTTGCGCATGGATAACTTGGAAAAAAAATTGTACCACTAGAATACAAAGGTAAAGATCGTATCTCATCTTTGGTACAATGTTGATATATGTTATGATTCAAGTTTTTCGTCGATGGTAGGAATAAAGGGGAAGTTTTGTGGAATGACATATGTACGAGGAGTGGTATTCCATTTTATATACACTTTAGTTTTGTTATTTTCATCTATTTTTATGGTCATAATTATGCATGCATGAAGAATAACCTATTTCCTCTTCTTTTTTCTTTTTTTTTTTTAGCTTCCCATATATCCTGGTTAACTTATTTTCTATGCAATCCTAGAGGTAATTCTGAGAGCTTGTTTGTTTTTGCGCTAGAAAACATCCATTTATGTGCGTATTGTAGACAGAATATGTGTGTACATTATCCTATCTCTGCAAAGTCACTTTGTTGCCAACTTTCCAAAATTATTTGTCATCTGTTGTAAGCTCCAACCGCATTAACAAACCAGTGGGGTCCTCTATTGCCCAATTTTAATTGTCGTTAAGAACTTTCCTGCGTGTGTGCATTCTACCATGCATCGCATGCTGCGCCACATATTGACACATTATGCCATCTTCTGTCACGACAGTTATGCCCACGGAATATTGTGAAATTGTTATCTGCTACAGTCTCTATTTCGAAGAAGAGATATTGCAAATTGGTAAATATATGTCGCATTTTTTTCCTCACCTTCCAAAGCAGACGCGGCTTGTAGAAGATAAATCACCATCTCTATCCATAGAAGCTACTACTATAGCAAGCACTAGTTATCACAATTCTGCTGACATTGCGCTAGCATAAAAGCTGTATTTATAATTATCGGTAGGTAGTGTTAACATTATTCCTGGATTGCAGGTCACTTATCTCTGCGGCTCGCTAATATATGTTACTTACTTGCTTATTCATAGGATGTCAAAATTGGCAGTCCCACGAGCACCGCATGTTAAGGTGTATATCAGTCACAACAGTCCTTGAACTAGGAACAATAGACAGCATAGTAACAACTGGAATATTCAATAGTAAATCATCATGTTTCTAGAATAGACACACAGATCATTTATTAATGTTTCAATCAAAGTGTACACCGGCTTTAACGATACTGAAATTCTCAATCATGCGAAGCACTGAGTACATACGTATTTGGTCATCATGCACAAACTGTTTTTATATTACATCTTCTCTGTACAATCAATTGAAGACAACATATCTGTGGTTTTATGGATAATATTATCGGAGCCTTTTTTTTGAAGTGGTTGTTGAAGTACTTATATAGAAAAGAAGTATTCTATGGTAATATAAACACAGATAGTTGGTTTGTTTTATACAGCTACCAGTTTACTGAAAGTAAATTACGATAATGTGAAAATGAGTGGAAGGATTGTAAATTTCGCAATGGGTTATTATTTACAACTCGGAAGCTCCGGTCTAAGGTGGAGAATTATTAAACTTTTTGGTTGAGTAGCTCAGCCTACACTACGCATTACGGTATGGTAAATTGATCGCTTATTTTTGCTCTATAACCTTCGTGATTATAATCTATCTCTTGTTAATGTTACTATGAATTCAAAACTAGGGTATCGATATGGAGGAATTTAATGAAACTTTTTTGGTAAATGAGGTTCTGGTCATGGCAATATTATTATACCAGCCATACCTTAATTAACACCCATGAGCAAAAAAAGTGTTCAGTTAGCCAAATATATTCCCAAATGTAATGTGCCTTAATTAGTTACGGGTGTTTGCGTTTTCCACACGGGTGTTTGCGTTTTCTGTGTACCAAGCAACCCCGCTACGAATATACACACAAAATAGTTCTTACCATCAGACTTTAGTTATTGTCGGGACCAACCACTATTGCGGTATATCGCATAGATTAACTATTGAATATCTTCTCCCACTTTTTGGTGTAGGTTCTTTGAAAAGGATCTCAATAATGTTACTTCTTTAAAATGATTTTCAGTTTCAAGTTCCCTCTCCACACATGTTCACACTATGAGATTAATAAGTGGGAAGTTTGGAGGTGAATCAAGATATTGTCGTATATTATAATACTAACTACTGTAAAGGCAAAGGAGCTCTAAGCAAGCTGCTTTTAAAAGCATTTTTTAATGGGCCATCAGAGAAAAGAGGCTCACAGGTGAGCTTAAAGAACATCCACAGAGAGAATCAGCAAAGAACGGCATTACTTAAAAAGATTTTATTTTTTGGAAGTCTGATAAAGATAAAAAAGAAAAGGACGAAAAATCCTTCAAGAAAGTAAAGAGCAAGGTTGGAACAATTTCTCATTTTATCAAAAAAGTTTGTAGGGTTAGAATCTACTTTGATATTAAGGATGTGTGTTGAGAAATATGGAAGCAATCTGTAATCTGGCAACTCATTCACCAAAAACTTTCACAGGAAAGCAAAAATTAAAATAATACCTGACCTTGAGCCGGGAGGTCTTGAATAATAGATCGCTGGTTTGAATCTCAAATAAACATGAAATAGAAGTGTTCTGGTCATCATTTAGCTTTTAGGACGAAGGACATGAGTGAGTTAATAAACAGCGTATTATCTTTTTCAATCACCTTGCACTTCTCAGATATCGAATCTGTGGCCGAGTTGGTGAAAGCATAAAGAATTTCAATCTCATGTTTACTCAAATGCCCTTGAATCTCTATCTTTTCTGAAACTCTGAAAATTAACAAGGAAATCTCGGGTGTACTAATAAAATGTCTATAGGATGTCCAGATATTGTATGATAGATGATTGGTGATGAAAAATTGAGCACTAATGAAGAATTTCTTACTGATATTTTCCATTTTGAAAAATTATATTTCGCCAACTCTTTTAAAGTGTTATGTTTATAAGGAAAGTTTAAATTCTACCGGAATAATGTTGCCAATCATCTAATAACAATCAGTTTTCCTGAACCCAAACATATTAGAAGAGAGTTTCCCTATTTACCGCTATAACTATCAACAGGAGGCTGAAAAGCAAAAGGACGGTTAATGAAATAATATTTAGTCTTACTAGGAGAGAGAGAGAGAGAGGGTGTAAAATTTCTCTATGAAATTAAAATATTCAAATATCATTTCCTAGGCGATCTTCCCCACAATTAAGTTAGTGAAGCCATGTCATCTCTATTGTGATCTTAAGAGAAAATTATTCTTGGCAGTTCAGATGCCTCGGGGAATATTAATCTACTTACTGGAAACGACTGCTCTTTTAAGAATATGGAAAAAGATAAATAATGAAGTTAGAGTGATATAAACGACAGTGTTATGGTATGAATGATGCTTTCTCAAAAAAAAAAAATAGTGTCGAGAAGATTTCTGGGGGATTTGGATGGAAAATGAAAATACTGTATCAGCAGGGAATATTCAATGAGATAGATGACTGGGGGGTTTTTTTTTCTAACATGATATACTAATCATCCTAATTATCATCTATGGCTAATCACAAGAAGAGTGTCAATGTTGTCCTGAGAAAGATAAGGTCAACTTCAATGTTTGTTATCGTTGTCCTGGATCGAATATTATTAATATTACTGCTTCCTCATATACATATATATATACAGATTTTGATTTCTCTGGAGTAAACGGTTCGCAAATATTGCCATAAAAAAGCTGGAGAAATTGCAACTTCAGGGGTTTGGCTGGTGGATAGTGGTTGTAGGTGACCACTAAGTATGCTTGTTCATAGTACTTTCTCAATAATAGAAGAAATTACTGTAGGTTATAATAATATATATATATCGCTTAAGTTAGTCGTACAACGGTTATGCTGCTGTTGTCAAGCTAGGGCAAAAAGTGGGCGGTGTTGCCTAAGCCCGCAGAATTCTCCACACACACCGAAAAAATCCCAAAAGAAAATCATTATTGGTATTCTACAGATGATTTAACACCGAACTCCTTTCCATCGTGTGAACTCCTTTACCTCATTCTTCCTTCTCTTTTAAGTTATTGAAGCTGTCTCAATTCTTATGAATATCCTGATAGATTCCAGACAAATGGTCAACGTTTTGTGGATCTCATCGAATAATTAACTCCCTAATCTTGACACTACCTCGACAACAACAACACTCCGCCACCAAAGATACTAAACAATATTAATTATCATTTAAAAAAAATGAGAAGAGTTCTTAATTTATCTCCTCTTGAAAATATAGAATCTAAAAGTGACACGAAATATGTGCTCAAATTCGTCCAGCAACCATTATTTGCCAGAGAAAGTACTAAATCCAAACGATTGTTGCAACCGCATCCCATCATATCATTAAACGTCTTTGTGAAAACTGGAGATGGAACCTATTCTGATGTCACCAGTCATAATTTGTCTCTGTTCTTCTTAAAAGCTTCAGTGATAGAAACCAACAACCCCAACTCGGACGTTGATGATGTCCTCACTCCCTATGGCGTATCGTCTACTGAACGCCCTCAAGTGAGGATAGGTTTAGACGATGACAGCATGCTTGTGGGTAATCTGGTCATTAATGCAGCGTTATACAACATCCCTGATAAGAAGGATTTGAAGATCATCAATAGTAAGTTCAACAAGGTGGATAGCCAATCTTCGGAGCCATCATCGTCGCAAAAAGACTTATTGTCAGAAGAACCAAAGCGAACCAGCGGCCGCAAATCCTTGGTATATCCAAGTTTCGAGCTGTTAAGAAATGATATTGCGAATTCTAGCTCTGGAAACCATTCGAATTCTGGTGAACTCATCGAGCACAATAAAAACAACAATAATGGGGTGATGGTTTTCTTGTTTAATGATTTAGGAATTGTCAAGCGGGGCACATGGAAATTGAAATTAGAATTGTTTAAAGTCGAATCATTCCAACACCACTCCAATCCAAATTCTAACATGCTTGCTCCTCAAATCACAAAGCTCAATGAAATCATATCTGATGAGATCAGTGTCTATGGATCTCGCCAATTTTATAAGAAGGAAAACCAAATTAAGTTTCATCAAGAATTAAAACGAGCAAAACTCAGGTTGTCTAATGATTGTATTTTGAATTACTTGAAAAGAATACGAGTATTGCGAGAAACGGTTGATGATTCTGGGAAAAGTAAGGAAAAATATTTAGATGAGCCTGGTGAAGAACCTTTCAAAAAGCCTCCGGTTGAATATCCATCCAAAAAGCCAAACCGAATGACCACTATTGCTACCACTAGAATAATCAATAATCCTACCGCCAGTGACTATTCACAATATCAACAAAGACAACCTTACCCTTATCCTCACCCACCACCACCACCACCGCCACCACCACCACCTTATGGTAACCCTTCTTACAATTACAATTACCCAAACCCTGCCCATTTTCCACAAGGGACATTTATGACTTTTGATTCTTACAGACCAACAAACTTTCCTATTATTCCCCTGATGCACCATCGACTGCATTTCAACCGCGGAAGTACCAAACTCCCCTCCCTCAATCCAGACGTGCCTCCTTATCATAAACACACCCAACAGCCCGAGAACCCTCCACCAGCCCCAAATAATAGAGCTCCGCCAATTACCAAACTCCCTTCCTTGGAAATAGAGCCGGAACAATCGCAGGGGTTCAAAAAGGAGGAAAAAGAGGACGAAGATCCCAAAAAGAGAAAATTGGAAGACTATGATGATCGAATGAGTATTAAGAGGCTATTATTAGCATAGAAAGTATATAATGAATAAATAATTTTAATGACAAAAATCTTATCGTATTGTTTATTGGAACCTTTTATTGGGTCCAAGACCTTTTATTGGATTCTAGACCTTGTGTTAGGACCTTTTATTGGGTCCGAGACCATTTATCGGGTTCTAGACCATTTTTGGAAGCCCCTTTTTTTTTTTTCCGCTGGTATTTTGGTGGGTGGGCGCATTAAGCGAAGCGACGGTTAAGGGAGAGCCAATAAAAGTGCCCCAACTGGTTGTGTGCCATATCACCCTCTCAAATGTTGTCTACCACTACCTGGCCTATGTTTTGTTACTAAGTGAGCCAAACTATCACAAGTTTCTATTAACTCGTCAATAATCAAAGTTATAAATTCGTTAATTGTGAACTCTTGCTTCGAAATAAATAGAAATCAAGATCAAGACAATCCGCTTCCTGCATCCTGAGTGGAAGCTCCAGCAACGTGTTCGCCGTGAATGATGTAACCATAACTGGTGTTACTATTTATGGTGGCATTGATTTATTGGACAATGGCGCTGTGTTGAGTCAAATCATGTTATCTCTCTTGAAGGCTCAAAAAAAGAAGAAGCTTGAGCTAATGACAATTTGTAGGAACGAATCCGGAACAATAAGCATGATATCGTAGCTCTAGTGATACTCCAATATTTAGGTAGAGGCGCATATTCAGAGAGGGAGATAAGAAAACTTACAGCCATTTTCTTTTATGTATGGTCGTAATCTTACTATAATATATCATATTAGTCTATATACAAGACGGCTATTATTTGACAAAGTTTTCACTCTTTGAAGAATAATACAAGGAGACAAACCCAATCATATTTAGAAATGAGAATAAAATAATAATACAAAGCAGCTTCTTCTAATTTAATAATACAAGATAGTTTCGTTAACAACTAAGATTTACTTTTGTCCATGATTGACCCGATCTTCCCCAAATTATACTTGTAAAATTCATCCCCTTGAGCCTTCCAAAACTGTTTCAATTCATCTATCCCAGGCTGAATTCTTTTGGTATTAGCCCTTTTTGAAATGCTTTTCTCTTCATTAACAATAGTTGCCGTAGGCACTTCGATTCCAATTCTCCGCAATTCTTTTCTATACTTCTTGGAAAAATCAATCAAGATTTCCAATCCTGAGCTTCCACACTCCACAAGCTCATGAATGCACCATTTACTCATCATTCGATCTTCCATAGCCCGCGCACGGTCGGCAATCATCTTCAAGGCAATAACTTTGATTCTTGTAGGGATATAGAGTTTTAAGTCCTTGGTTTCCAGGACCTCCATTCCAAATGGCACCACCATAAAATTATATCCAAAATCCTGGTCAATACCACCGCCGCCACCGCCACTTCTGGCCAATTGCTGAGAGTTGGTTAAGTTGTTCATATAATTACCAACAATTGTCCCTTTTTTATTATTGCTGCTCCTATGATCTAATTCGGTCTTATAGAAGAACGGCACCTCATCTAGGTCATTGATATCTCCATCAAATCCCAAAACCGATCCACGGTACACTTTGGCTGCCATTTCTACACCATACTCTTTGACCACGTACTTGAGATACAACATCGACAAGAAATCTAATTGTTTTTTGTCTTCAAACCTAATCGCACCCGAATAATAGCACTGATAAAGATTTTCAATGAATTCAACAGCGATTGGAAGGTTTAATCGCAAACTTCCATTGGACTTGGAAAGATAAGACTTGTCAACCATCCAATTAAGGTACGATATATAAGCATAAATTGCTCGCAGAGGTTTTTGCGAACTGATTAATTGATAGACTTTATGTTCCTTCAAATTAATACTGCCATGTGTCAGATCACCAGTTTTCAATAATGCTCGCACCAACTCATTAAACTCCAGGGCACTGAACTCAATTCTAGAGTCATTGATACGTCCCAAAACTTTACTTACTGATGCCGCATCGTTTACCCCGAGATAGAACTTTACCAAACTACTGAGCACCGATCTCATTGGAGGGTTGGAGATTTTCGTCATCAATATTTTCATTGCCGCAAAATCCTTAGATTTACTCGCCATGTCAATTAAAGTCGATAGCAATTTTTCATTCTTTAAAAACCAATCACGGTTTTCATGGTCTAAGACTTGATACATCAATTGCTTTCCAATATTTTCAAAATTTCTGTTTTTCCTGAAAATCAAAATCAACGAGCAAAACATGCCCAAGTCTTCCAAGATCCAATTTGGGTTGTACTTGGTTAGGGTTGAATGGATAAGGTACACTCCCGCAGGATTATTCGATTTGATATTCTTCATTATTAAAAGCTTTGAGAGTCGAATAAACGTGTCGATATCCATTCGGCGATATTGTTGTTCCAAATCAGATGCCGTGAGATCATTGGCCCGGTATAAATCGTAAAACCCTCTGTCATCGCTAATTGCATCATTACCATTATTAATGCAATGATCCAAGAATACCAACATTCGATTGCCGATAATTGGGAAGTTCTCATCGTCGCAGGCCATTACTTTTTCATATATTTTAATCGCTTGGTAAGTCGACAATTTGTAGTGATGAGGCTGATATTTTATCAAAAGCTTCATGATGGCATCAATTTGTAATTCATCAAAAAGGGGGTTGACAATCGCTAGGGAATCAATTAAAATGGATATCGTTTGTTTCAAAATCGGGAAGTCTTTTGTCATATTAGAATTACCAGCAAAATCATCATTAAGACACATTGATGTACCCAATAAAAGCTTCTTTTGATCTATTGTAACGTGAACTACGAGGTTCTTCATGAATCCTTTCAATTCCACTGATCTGATAGGGGGCTCTAATGAATGTAATTTATCAAGGAGTGCGGCAATTGCAAGAATTTTAGAACGATCTTTATTATTGCTGCTAGAAAACTTCTGATACATTTCGTTGTGCTCAGTAACTGAATCCACTAAGTGTTCATGGAAATCCTCTCTATTCTTCATCTCAGAAATTTCATCATGGTTTTTAAAATCTGCAGAAATTAGCTTGATGTACGCGACTAAAGATTTATGGTCAATCGTTCCACTGCCAATCAAATTAACCATCATTGTTCTGAATAGGGTCACATCGTTGTTATTAGCTCTAGTGGCGGCATGTTTTAATTCCAGAATCATCAATACTTTGATTGTATCAGACCGGTTTGTTTGGAGGGAGAGGAATCCTATAAGTCCTGTAATATATTCATCGATGTCTCTGGTAGGTGCCTCTATGCTATTGCTGGTCGATTTAGATGGAGCAAATTTTAGGCTTTTTAAATACTCAGTATAACAATCTATTAAAGATTTATCTGAATCGAATAGAAAGCTATGCTTTGTCGTTAGGGACGTGAAAAATTTGGATAATTTCAAACTTAAGTTCCACTGATGTTGTAGGTATTGATAATGCTGTGAATTTTTTTGATTTTCAATAGGAATGAATGATTTGTATAAATGTCGCTGATCCACAAATTCTCGGTATGGGTAATCGTCTTCATGTAGTTTTGGAGTGACCAATACTTGAGAATACTTGAAAAATTCTGACTTGCTAATGTCCACACTTGAAGATTCAAGACTGGTTTCTATTAGAGCTGTCAATTGTCTAAAATAATCATCGACGGTAGGTCTATTTATCGAGCAGGTTGCATTTTCTAGAAGCTTGGGGCGATTATCATCTGCAACCAGGGGGTTTTGGACACCCTGAATCATGGAAGACGAGTTTCCAGAGATTCTTCTTATGAATTGTATTTGTTTTTCCTGTCGCTGCCATTGACTTTGATGTCGCTGTGATGATATTAGATTTGCAGGCCTTGAAAAAGTGCTAAACCCACGGCGCCAGGCTCGCGTTGGTGAGCACCCTGTCATATATCTTATTATCTTCGCAGTGTTATGATATCGTACCATGCTCATATATATATATTATTATTATTATTATTGTTATTGATTTTCTCACAACTTGGTAAAAGCACCGGGCTACTGTTCCATCCTTATTACTGTCGTTAACAATAATTGACGTTTCTTTCAGGCGATGATGCCCTTCTTTCAGTGAACTGAATTTTTTTTCCATTTAAAATTTTCCTAGATCAACTGGCGCGTGATTATTGCAGAAACGTACATTGAGGAGGATCACCAGAATCACTGGAAATATCAAAGAACAAAATCGAAACTATTGTAAAAAATGGTTTTCTGGTAGAAGAACTAAGTGAATCGGTGAATTAAATAAATATTCCAACAAAAAAAAAGCGAAGCGAAATGAAATATAAAATCATGAAGTAGACAAAGCAGAACAAATAAAAAAAAATAATGTAGATCATAAATAGTTAATAATAGAGACTATGTGTCATCTCCCCGGACTTATTTCAGCGATTCTAATACAACTGTTGTATCAGCAGTACTTTCTTTATCGATATTACTGTCATTGATGGAAATATCCTGAGCTGGCGGCTGCTCTATCTGAGAGATATCCACTGGAGTTGCAGCATCTTCTGGTTTGGAATTATCGGAGTCTTCAAATTTTCTCTTTTTTGTTGGTGGTTCTTCCGATAGAGCATCTTCTTTGCTTCTTGAGCCTTGATCTGTTTCTTTTGGCTCCTCCTCTTCATCTGCCTCTTGTGTATCTTCATTGTCGTCATCAGCTTCAATATCTTCATCTTCTTCAACTTCATCGTCTTCTGCATCTTCAGCGTCCTCACCTTCGGCAATTTCATCGGCAGCATAGTCTTCTTCATCCTCTTCCAAATCAGCTTCCTGTTGTTCTGGTGGATATTCTTCGACCTCTTCATTATCCCAAACAATGTTGAATCTTGTGACCCTTGGTTTTTCCGCAAGAATGTTTCTATTGACATGCTCCACTTGCACCTTGTTTGGTGGGTTTTCTCTTAATTCTTCGGTATCATATTCATTATTGACATAATATCCAACCCTAACGAATTCTCTATCACGGTAGGAACACGATAATAGAATGACGGTCACCGACACCAATTCTGAAGCAGGAATCAATTCCGGCGATGGGGGATCGGCTTGGAACAAGAATTTATTAACCCCAACTGGAACAGGCCCCACTAAGATGGAGTCTAATTCTTGATCATGATCCAATGATCTGGAGGAACCAACGTACGTGAGTTTCCATTCAAGATCGTGGGAAAGTGGTTCTAAACATTCAAATGTGATTTCAAACTCGTATGGATCAGTGAATTTGGCAGGGTTGTTGAGGACATTTATTCCCAATAACGAAACAATTGACATGACTTGTTGTGTTTATATGTTAGATTTCTTTTTGTGATTATCTTTTTGTGATATTTTTTGAATTGTCTTCCAGTTGTTGCAATTGATGAGTTTTGAAGGAAATTCTCAATATATGAGAAAAGAGAAACGCGTAAAATTTCGAATTTCAGTTTTTTTCTTCATTTCTTCTTTTTATGGGAATTTTTTTCCCTTTTTCGATTTTTCGTGTAAGTGGGAACTCCAACAACCACTGAAATCACTGTAAGAACAAGAAAATGTGTAATAGTGATAAAATAACGATACAAATTGAATAGAAAATATCGTTCCAACAATAAACAACCGTTAATTCTCTATCAAAGACCACCAAATCGCCCTCCAAATGACATTTTCCACACTATGGTTATGAGACCCCGGATTCTCACCCACCAATTTTTTTTTTCTTCCTGGAAGATGGAAATTGGAAGTATTCAACGTTGTGCTCGCATTCATACAGTGAAACACACACACACACACACACACACACAAATCATGGCTCTTTCTTCGATCTTCGGTGGCAGCAGCGCATCTGCTCCAGTTATCCCTCCATCCACTTCGACTTCCTCCACAACTTCCAATGCCGTCAAGGATAAAATCAAGGAAAAGTTGGAGATCGAATTGGCCCAAGCCAACGCCACTGAATTGGTCAACAACTTAACTGAAAACTGTTTTGAGAAATGTCCAGGTGGTGATGATGCCTGTATTGCCAGCTGCACCCAGAAATACATGGTCTCTTGGAATATTATTTCCCAAGCTTACCTTGGATTAGTCCAAAATGCTAAGCGTTAAGATAATGGAACAAAACAAAACAAAACAAAAAAATAAGGCTAACTGTATTGTGTGCTGAATAATGAAACTTAAAGGAAGACTTTGGCGAATCCATGAATATTGTTAGAAATTCAGGTCTGTTATCCGCAAGTGCTCTTTTGTATATACCTATATATATCGGCCGTTGTATATATTTTTCTGGTGAATCAAATGGAAATTTCTTTCTGTTAGCAGTATGTAGAAAAAATTCAGTATTAAATGAACAGCTACTTCTCTGTCTTATTATATTGTTTCTCCAATTCCTCAAGGGTCATTTTCTTTTTCCTTTGCTTGTAATGCTTGGTGCTTTTCTTATTCTCATCGTTTGTTTTCTTTGTATCTTCTGAAAACTGTTTGCTCTTTGGATCCCTTTCATGGATTATTAGGCTCCGTTTTCTATCTTCGGCTTTTGAAGAAGAAGGCAAAGAAGCTTTTTGTGATCTCTCGACCTTGGTACCTCTCACATTATTGATATCAATTCCCGCTAGCGTCTGGGATAAATCTTCATCAACTTCCAGACCTCCATGGCCCAGTACCAGGGTATTTTTTGTTGATCTCTGTGAATAATTAGAATCTAAAGGTACCTTCCTGTCACTAACTCTTTGAAGATTGCCCTCCTTCTGCCGTTGCTTTCTTTCCATCAACTCTCGCACACTGTACCGCTGTCGAGCTTCTGGTGCAGCGAACCCTGGCCGTATCTTCACCACCTTTCTTCTAGTGTCATCTGCCCGCAAAGTCCCGCCAATGGTATCATTATTATTGCTATCATCACCCCACTCATTATCAAAATACCCTCTATTTGACACCGCCCCTCACCCACCCGTCCATCTATATTAATAATAAGGAAGCGAAGTGTTTCAAATTGGCGTTGCGCAGCCCTGGGGGTGAGTCAAAGCATTTTTCAATTTTTTTTTTTCCATTTCTTCTGCGTCCATAATCAACAACTCGAAAGGCCATCAAATTCAATATAATAACTCCAAACATGGACCCACAAGCTCAATACGACTTGATCACAAAAAACTTGCAAGAAGTTTTGAACCCTCAAATCATCAAGAATGTCCTTGAGGTTGAAAAACGTGCTTTAAAGATCTACTGGGGGACCGCTCCAACCGGGAAGCCTCACTGTGGTTACTTTGTCCCAATGACCAAACTTGCCCATTTCTTGAAAGCCGGTTGTGAAGTCACAGTTCTTTTAGCCGATTTGCATGCTTTCTTGGACAACATGAAGGCTTCTTTGGAAGTAGTGAACTACCGTGCTAAATATTACGAATCCATCATCAAGGCCATTTTGAAATCTATCAACGTTCCAATTGAAAAATTGAAGTTCGTTGTCGGTTCTTCTTACCAATTGTCTGCTCAATACACCATGGATATCTTTAGATTGTCTAATAAGGTTTCCCAGAATGATGCCAAGAGAGCCGGTGCCGATGTGGTCAAACAAGTTGCCAACCCATTGTTATCTGGTTTAATTTACCCATTGATGCAAGCTTTGGATGAAGAATTCTTGGGTGTCGACGTCCAGTTTGGTGGTGTCGATCAAAGAAAGATTTTTGTTTTGGCTGAAGAAAACTTGGAAGCTTTAGGTTACAAAAAGAGAGCTCACTTGATGAACCCAATGGTCCCAGGTTTGGGACAAGGTGGTAAGATGTCCGCCTCCGATCCAAATTCCAAGATCGACTTGTTGGAAGAACCAAAACAAGTGAAGAAGAAGATTAATAGTGCTTTCTGTGAGCCTGGTAATATCACCGATAACGGTTTGCTTTCCTTCATTGAATTTGTGTTGATTCCAATCTACCAATTGAAGCACGACTCAGAAGACGCTTTTACTTTCCCAATCAACAGACCAGAAAAATACGGTGGTGATATCATTTACAATTCCTTGGACGAAATCAAGAAAGATTTTGCTGAAAAGAATTTGGCCCCACCAGATTTGAAATCAGGGGTTGCCGATGCCATCAATGGATTATTGAAGCCAATTAGAGATGAATTGTTGGAAAACAAGGAATTCCTTGAATCTTCCGAAAAGGGTTATCCTGTGGAAAAACCAGCCCAACAAAAGAAGGCCAAGAAGGTCAAGAAGATTGGTACCCGTTACCCAGGAGGTGCTAACGCCAATGAAAAGAAACCAGAAGCTGCTGATGCTGCTGGCGATGCTGTTGAACAAGCTGCTAAGAAATTGGAAGAAACTACTTTGTAGAGATAGAATATTACCTGCATTTCTTTTTTTTTTTTGCCAGTTTTATTTCTTCAAGTTCAGTGTATTTATATTATTTCCCATTTTTTCTTTGTTTCACTTGACCCTAATTTTTTTTCCCAACAATTTTTTAATTTCGTTAATGATCTATTTTTTTTTTTTTTTTTTTGGTTGAATTTGTACGGTTTCCTTCTTGATAAAATCTACATCCAATAATCACTAAAAATCATTGAAAATAATAACAATAACAATAGTAATGTACACAAAAACTATTCACAAAGTCTCCCAACCCCCAACGTCAATACAAGATTCTAACTTTCTCGTCACATAATTGGCAACGTTATGCTGCAACCAAAAATTCCTAATGAATTCCCTGTACTTGGTGATATTCAAATGCAAAGGATGACCTTGTCTTGTATCCTTCAGCAATTCACCATGCTGATCATAATATGGAGCATCATAGAAGGAGCCATTGCCATTGTGTAATAATAATATCGAACCATGTTTCGGTAACAAGAACAACCCACAATCGTTAATACATTCTGTTTCGTAATGCAAATTACACTCACCAACTTTGAAGAAACCAACCACGGATTCTTGAAGTTCCATCACTTTACCGCAAAACAAGCACACTGCCGGATCATAAGTCAAATCATAAGTGATTCTAGGATAAACGTGTTCGGTGTAGAAAAAATCCATTCTTGCTGGTAAATTCACCAACTCCACCCTTGCAGGATAATCAATTTGTAAACTTGGTTTCGTCAACACGTTTAAGAACGAGTATAATTTCATTCGTTCAATAAATCCTTTGAACTTCTCCGCTTCATAAGTGGATTTCAGAACAACCTTATGTAACATCGTCCCGAAATTATCAATATTCAAAAACAAACACAATTTATCTGGCTCATTCATACTATCATCAATAACAATATCGATATCGTTAGAGCAATTAACAAATGCCCAAATTGCACATCGTCTCAAGAATGGAGCAATGGATTTCATCATCATGGTGTAAAATACCTTGCCAAATCTTGTATCATCTGTAAATTCATTCATATTTAAAGCATCAGTATTGTGAACACAATGGGCCAACCTCTTAAAGATTTCTGTCGCATCATTAGCTTGTGTATCAGTAATTGACTCAAGTGGCGGCAAGTCCAAGATAGAAATATCAGCTTCATGGAGCATCATAGATTTATTGGTAAAAAGTTTGGTAACCAACACAAAAGCATTCTTGAAAATTTCCACAAGATAACACATGGTCAACACTGAATTAAATGAAAAATTAAAGCACTTCAATGGAATGATTGAAACCAATAATTCAAATAAATCAACGTTGCCAATATTGAAAATCTCCTTTGACGCCAATAATTTCAATAAACCAATGTAGTGTTCAATTATAGTCATCGGGTCATCGATAACAGATTTGAGATCATTTTCTCTATTAAAACTAGATAAAATAGCTGAAGCATTTGAGCTTAATGCATGCTCGTTATTTGCAGTGGTCATTTCCTCTTTGACATTAAACATGACAAAATACTTTTTATACTCACTCCAAATACGCAAAGTGGTGATATCTCTATGCGACAATTGATAAATAACGAGCCTTTTATACCCTTCATCATAAGAAACACCCCGAAGTGAGATCTCAACCGATTTGATAGTGTGAGCTAATAGTGTACTAATATTTTCTTTGAAGTAAGATAAGGTAATATAGCATAAAGCCTCATGAAGCTTTCTGAATCTTTTGTGAAAATTTTTAAATCTTTCAGATTCACCACTTTCATTGAAGAAAAGTGATTTATATCTTGATTGGATTGTTTCCAAAGATGATTCCTTAAGTTCATCATAAACTAATTGTTGATAGTCCGAACGTAACACTTTCTCAATATTATTCTTAGAGAAATTATCAAATGGTTTATACCACGCATCATTGCTTGGACGTTCAACAAACTTTGACAAAGAAATATTATTTGAGTATGATAACACTGGCACCAATGTATTATTGATTGCTTTACACAATGGACATATAAATTCGCCATTTGTTAAGTCCTCAGGAAGCGTCCTAGTGAAATGGGTGACTCTCTTTTGTGTTGCTGCCAAGTGGTTCTTGAAACAAGATAAATGCATACCATGACCACAACTAGTTGTAATCGGATGGCTCATTACGGAGCATGAATCATTACCAGGGAATCCCGGGCCAATAACACTTTCTTTTTCAACTTTTTTCAAATATTGCTCACATTTTGATAATGAAACCTTTGTTGCGGGAGCTGATTGAAGTTGATGATACCTTGGATGGTGATAGCGAGGATGTTTGTAATCTGGATCAGATATCTCCTCATCTAAATTGACATCTGCGCTAAAAGCTTTATACACCCAATACTTGCTGTCAAATGGAATATTTCTGAACTCAGAAGAATCCGTCACGTACGTCAAAATCCCAAAAATGTCCTCTTTTCCCTCCGCTGGCATTTGACACAAGATACAAGATTCTTCAGGAAATTTCCAGCCCGGACGACCCTCATCATCACTGTTTTCAAATGTGGTATCTTCAGAAATTTCATCACCATCCTTCATATCAACATCATGATTACCATGTCCATGATCTTTGATATCTTCAATGATATTTTGGTTTTTCTCTATAAACTTGGATTGCTGTCTCTTGAAAGCTGCCAAAATTTTAGCCTTCCGTTGTGCCGCCATTTTTTTCTTCCTTTCAAATTCACTTAGAACAACGCTATCCTCATCTGATCTTTGTGTATCTTCCTTTTCCAATTCTTTATCAATTGTACTCAAGATAACGCTTGGATCAAATCCTTCAAAAGATTTTCGGAGATATTCTTCTTTATCACCGTCGCTGACCTTCATATCTTTAAAAATTGCTTTAATCTTACTTTGATGGATCTCAAATTCAGTTTTTTGCACATTCCCACTGTCCCCCGTCTTGTTTTTAACATTATTTTTGAGGGACAAGATCAGGTAAAGTAACCCACTAATACTCTGAGGCTCTTCGGTTGGGACACCTGAGGCCAATTTATCATCCAAATCAGTGAAACACATTTTAGAAAAGCCATCATCATTATCGTTGACAATGCATACATGAATCAAGTGCAAGACGAGATTAATAAGCACTTCAGAACTTTGGATAGATCTTTTCCCATTTTGCAAAATGAAGTTTAGAGTACTTTTCAAAAACTTGAGGAAAAATACAGATTTTGTGAAAGAGTTAAGATTTTGGTAAAATTGCACAGTTTCAATTTTTTTTGGTTCAAAATAGGTATCCTGATACAGCAATTTATCATTGAATTTCTCACCCTGGAATTTTTTCTTCCAATTTTCGAGTTGTCGTTCACGAACTAACTTTTCCGCGTCATCTCTCTTATTAGAAGTATAATGAACATAATATGGGTTTATTTCATTCATATATTCCTCCTTCAACTTATAACGACCATTAGTTGTTGAGCCCGGTGGCAACACATAATCTGCAACCTTATTTAGCATATACTCAAATCTTCTGTCATTAGTGATATGGTCTGGTAGTTCCGAGCATAATTCCGTGTACATCAAAGGTTCAAAGCATAAATAATGAACAATGTCCTTGATTAGCCTTTGCTCATTGATTTCAATATCCGTCAAGTTCAACAAGTGGTCATTAGTTTCAAATAAAATAATAAAGAAATTTAACATTTCTTCGACAATAAACTGTAAAGTTTGAGGGGTGGAATAAATCTCGACATCTTCATAGAGCTCATTTGTCCAAGGAATAAGTCCCCACCTTTCAATTATTGTAGCAGAAACAGTATCATGGTCGGCTTCAGTAACACAAAAACATTGTACCAAGTAGATATCTCTAATGAAGCCATATTCACGTAGTCCCAAGTTTCTATAATTATGGTATTGAGATCTGGCACTGTAACCATTGCGAACCCAAAAACCAACTTTTATTTGTGATAACAAAACAATAGTTCTGAGAGAATAGTCAATAATTATGTTCCATACAATCTTTCTGTTGATTTCACATTGATCATGATATTCTTTCGTATGGGTGAATGAGTTATGGTCTGAAGTACGAATTTCAACCTTTGGAGCCTCCTGAATTATTTGTCTGAGTTCTTCTGGATCACTCATGTCACAAAATTCAACCAGGTAGCTCAAATAGGTAGATAACGGATGTAAGAAACATACAACGTCTCTATCAACTCTGAACTTCAAGACTTGTCTTTTGATACCCATTACCTCAACATCTCCCATTGTGTTGCGAAAACACATATCAACTCTATCTAACATCTTCGAAGCACTTCCATCACTCGTTTCATTATCTTTGTTGTAAGTATCATCATTAAGGTATGATTCATCTAGCAAGAGTATAAACTTTTCAAGGATCCAAAAAATTGATGCTTTAACATATTTTTCTCGATTTTCAAGTTTCAAAGCACATTTAACTACAGATCTGGCAAAATGAGCAATTATACTGACACCATTGAAATATAAAGGGTAATCATTAGTTTCGTATTCAACATGTTCGACAGATTCTCTCTTTGTAATCGGTAAACCATTGAATAAAGTTATCAAATCGCAAACTTGCATGACAAAATCCTTTTGAAAAAAAACATCACAGGTTTCAGATCTTTGCAAGATATAACCTACATCAAAAAAAAGTTGATTCCACCTCCTTACTTTCAATGATGATAACTGTACCGATGGCTTCTTCCTATGGACGAGATCTGATGAGTTTGGATTACTGAATGTAATATGACCAGTTGTTAAAAATCCATAAGTCACAGCTATAAGCTTCTTAACCTCTCCATGTTTACTCAACATTGTGGCATGAGAGGGGCTGGTAAATAATTGCACCGACAAGTTGGACATAAAACTCCAATCAAACTCTCTGTCGAGTACTAAAAATATCTCAGCAATTAAAGGATATACATCAGCATATTGACAAGTCACTAATGATCTGTAAACATGGTTGGATACAACCAAAGAGACATAAATTTCATGAAGTAATACTCTGGCAGATTTCCATAATCTATGATCAAAGATAAGTAGATATTGCAAACGAGAGCCATGGATTGGATCGGTGTTGACACTGGACCGCAGGGGATCATAGTCGCATTCTTCACAAATATCTTTTGGAGCATCCCATACTCTTTCCACTTCAAGAGTTTGGTCATCGGTGCATGATTTCCAATATATGTCTGTTTGATGAGCGAGTTTGCCAACAATTGTAGGATATATAGGAATTTTGTTATCCTGAAGCCTTCCAGGTATAAATTGGCCCAATAAATCATCAGACACTGGCTCCACACCCAGATCCCATTTACTACAAAGAGCTTTACAGAGTAATTTTTGACATACCCTATAATTGCCAGCAACCGGGCCCATATTGATGTCTCTCATCCAATTAATAATTTCACCACACATTTCTTCCCTGAAAAACTCCCTATAACTCTTTATACATGAGCAAAGACCAGTTGCGTCAAGTATTGCCTTCCTCTGAATTAAGAATTCGAGATTATCGGATCCCAATACTATGGCTCTGCCTGTCGTATGGCACTGTTTAGCAACCATTTCTGCAAACTCCGGGACCTTCATAGTCGCTATTCTGATTCTATCAACCGCGTCTGTGTAATGTTTTGATTGGTCATTGTATAAGACGAGAAAATACTTTTCAGAATTTACATCAACGGCTCCATATTTTTCTGAGCTCAACAGAGCAGAGTTCGATTGATCAATTATGGTTGACGTCGAGCAAGTGGTCAAGAGCTGCGGGGCAGATACCGATAAAATGTCGACAAGGTAATCAACAACACAAGCCAAAGTCTGAAACATAGAATCCTTCAACTCCTGGGATATATCATCTTCACTTACTTCGGGCGTTTTGCGATGTTTACAGTCATTGTTGATGACCCATGCTTCTGCATCACCACAATCACACACACCACCAATATCTCTGGTACAAATGGAAATGTAAACTTCGTGACCTATATGCTGATCTTCGACAAAACAGTCTTCACATAATCCACAACTATCATCCAAACCACATGTCAAACAACGGTATACTGACTCATTTTTCCTAAATAATTTGGCACAAGGCACATTTGGATGTGCTGGATGCTGTTTGTGTAACTTATGAAGTATCCAGTCTTCTTTTACCGATGATAACGCCTGAATTTGTGACCATGAGCGAGGAATTGATTCCTGGGGATAGTTACCAAAGAATTGTGGCAAAAATCTTCCAGAGTCTGTGAAGGCAAAGTACAAAGCTCTTCTCAAATGTAGAGTGGCGGTTTTGGAGTACTTATAGTTATATTTTCTGGGTAGCTCGAGTAGAAACTGCCGAAACTGGGCAATGTTGTCAGACGACATCATGAAGGCCCAAAGATATAAACAATAGCCTGGAAAAAGAAATTTTGGGTGCTCTACCGATGGATGGGCTGCCTCCAATTATTATTGATCCAAACTTCTTCGTTACAAGGGAGAGAAAAAACTGTCACGTGCAACATCACGTGTTAATATCTTCCATTTGCACAGAGGCACCGACACTCCGGCCGGTGAGGGCTTTTGCGCGAACAATAGGGTGAAGTGTTGTTATCTTATAGCTTTCTATTGTTTTCTCACTACTGTCAAGTCCATATTTTTAACTGATACAACACTGGGGAATTGTCAGCTATCAAATACGATAGATATCACCTATTTGTCCTGCCGAACTCCGTGCTTTTTTTTTTTTTTTAGAAAAGAATCTTAATCTTGAAGGTTCCTTTTTTTTATTGTTTCTTCTCGCTGTTCAGAAACTTTCCGGTGGATCTATCAATCCATGTGCACACACATCACACATATTTAAATACCCAATTATCTTCAAAGACAGCCCGAAAGTATCTGCTTAGGACAACAATCCGGACTCATTTTTCTGAAATCAATCTCCCTAATGAATATTTTTTCCCGAAATAATAAGGATAAGAGGGCGAGTATCTCAGGACTCTCGTTCAGGAGAAGTTCGAAGCTGTCTCGACGTTCTTCAATAATTGGCACACTGTCTTCTGATGACTCCACTCCTTTTGTCCTCCACCAAGTGAAGAAAACAGATGATGCTCTGAAACGTATGTCCTTTGCCTATCCACCGTCAATGCCATTCTTACCGGCTTCCCCGCCACTAGCGGAAGAACAGGCGCCTACCTGGCAATCATCAAATGTTCTGCAACAATCAAAGAGTCAAAAACTTTCTGATGTTCCAGCTGCCCGCTCAAAAAATAGAAGAAAACCTCCTCCATCATCTCCAAGTGACTACAACAAAGCGGTTTTTGACTCAAATGACTTCCCATTGGTGGATGGAGTTACATCTCTCAGCCGAAAGGACACTATTCAAAGACGAGCCAGTATACGAAATGCTGATAAACAAAATAAATCGCTCCCTATGGTACCTCCAAGAATTGATGAGTTGAATTCCTCTACGAATTTTCAACCTGGTATGACCGGCTATGATATTACTCGCAGTACTTCTAGATCTTCTCGTACTTCTGGATCTGGACCACCCCCTATCCCAAGTTCTAGTCCGTCAATTCATGATGTGGTGAATACTAAAGGTTATGCGCCTTCTGCTTATAGTTATAAAAGCAATTTTAGTAGCAAATCAAGAACTACAGAGAGGAGATCGCAAAGTTTTGCCGGTGGATCAAATCATTATAATGCAGAAAAATGCTATAGTAACGGTGCACTAAGATCCTCCAGCCTCGACATAACTGCTGAACCATCTTTCTTCTATGGATCTGCTTCCAGTCTTTCTTATTCCGATGCCCACCAGGAATTGTCAGACCCTATTGCTGAATACAGAAAACAAGCATTGAAGCAGCTTTCATCTGGTTCTGCCAATGAATTGGTCACTAACCACCAAGATATCCCAAAAAGAAGTGAAAATAGACTTTCTGAAATTCAAAAACCTAATCAACTGTACTCTGAAACGTCGAATCCGAAACTAACTGATGGTTTATCAGTATATAACCCTAATAGCATTCCCCCAAGAAGTGCAGGGAGGGCATCAGCTTATTTACCATTTATTAAGAATGAACATGATGAAATGGAGGAATTGAATTATGCTAACAGGATTAAAAATGGAAATCGGGTGAAGGAAGACGTTAAAAGTCAATCCGAACAATTGCTGTCTTATGGAGTAGGTGAAACTTTTAGGAACTCAAATGCCAGTGGCTACTCAAAACTTTCCTCAGACAAAATTGATGAATTGAACAATATTTATAATGCTGAACCTGAAAATCTTATGGCTGAAATTGGAGTTAGCAATCCATTCTTACCTATTCAAAAATCAAGAATAGACCCAGAAACCACCATAACCTGTGGATCGCCAATGGAAAAGCAAAAAAACGAAACCCTGACTCTAAACAAGATGGCAGGATCATTATATTCCTCAAAATCTTTACCAGTACAGCATGAGGTTGGTCTGCACCTTGAAACCAGTACTCACTCGCTGTTTATTCTTAAAGATGATGTTCTCAACTTTGGAGATGATTTTAATGCATCCGAAATAATTGAGGGGGCACAAGCCATTGATTCTAATAAATTATCAACTGATGGATGCTCTTCCGAATTACAATTTAAAAGACAGTTGACGGTTAAATTGCAAAGAAGCACTACTATGAAATTGCAATCAATGATATCTGAGTTTGAAAAACATGACGGTCATCGTCAAGCTGCAATAGTTGAAAATGAGATTATGAAGATTGAGTCTCACTTCAACAAGGCTAAGAAGGCTAGATATGTTAGAAGACCGCCACCTTCTCAAGACACTGAGTATCTTGAAAATGAAGAGTTAGATGAGGAGCTTAAAAGACTTGCAATTATAGATGAGTATATAAAGAATGCAAAAAACCAGTATTCATCTCTCATGGGCGCAAACTATGAGGCAGCAGATGCTGGTAGCGATATTTCGTTAAATAATCAGTTTGAGATTATAGAAGAAGTAAATGAAAAAAATGACTCAGCAAATAATACTCCAAAGTTGGATTTAAATTCTCCGGAAAAAGCAGAACTGCCAAGTGCTAATCAAACCCCAAAGCTCAATGAAAACTCAGAAGACTGTGGTTTGGGTATTGTGCCTCAGGCAGAACAAGAAGTTTCTGACGATCTAAGAGTTGCAAAAGGAGTGGATACTCAGTTGATCAATAACTTATCAATTGAACCATCTGAAGAGGGCAATTTTTACGACAATAGTGCTAACGCTGATGTCCAATCTATTATTGCTTCCTCTGAAAAAGGGCATGAGTTATATGGTGACAAAAAAAATAATGATAATGAATATATCCAGGATTATTCATCAGAACAAGATTTGCCTATGGTGAAGGATGATATTCCAGCATCGGATACAAGATTCAGCACTGAAAGCGACATTGCATCACCGTCCCGGCCTGAAATTTTAACTGCCATTACAGGAAGTACCAGCTCTGACTCATTTAAGGAGGTCTCCAAAACCAAAAAAAGCAAGACAGTTGATTTTGCTGTGGATGATCTGAATGAAGAACAAGTGAATGTTTCACCTCAAAATGAAACTGAAGGCCTGCTGCTGAATAATCCACCACTTGATGAACTCCAGAGAAGTGGCACAATGAGTTCCTCTAGACTGGCAATTCTTGGCAGAAATTTTTCAGTGAGAACAGCATTCTCTAACTTTTCTGTCATGTCTCCTGCTGAGACGGTTATTGGTAGCGTTGAGGAAGATTATGATGAGGAGCAAGCCAATAACACTGATAACACCATTGATATTTTAAATTTCTCATCTACTTCTTTGAAACCTTTTCATTTCAAAAGTTGTAAGGAAGTTTGGTCACTTTCTGGAATTTACAATTGGATAATTAAGTTTGACAAGTGGTTCCCTGGTCAAGTCGTGAGAAAAAAGGAGTGGGTAAAATCCTTAGAATTGTTGATGAAATATTATTATCCAAAGTTGAACAGTGACTTGTCTGTTGAATTGATTTCGATTGTGCTTACTGAGTTGACTGATAATTTCAATTGTTTGATGGAAACTGCTGACGAGGTAAACTTCGATGGGTTTGCAACTGAAATTGAGGATTACTGCATTGTGACTGTTAAATTAAAAGATGAGATACAGTATGAACCTACCGGTGTTTTGACTGCACTCCTTGGCTGTTACTCCACCAATTATTCGACTCATTTGCAGGATACTATTAGCTCATGTTATTCTATTCACTGTCCTCACGAAAATAAGAAGCTAGTGATTATCCCTGCCCCAGAAGTGGAAGATCCAAATAAATTGAAGAGCAATTGGATGTTGCAATGGGGTGTTGAGCAGGGTGAAATAAACACTATCGACAAGCAAGAATTTGAGATGCAGAATAGAATTTATGATTTGATCCGTAAACAATATGATTTTTTGAATGAAGCAGAATATTTGGTTGATAGAATCGGGAAATCATTCTTAGCAAATCCAGATGCCGTTGTTTATGCGTATCCAGATTCTAAGGAGCACATTCATTATCAAATTTTTGCTACTGTGCAACCATTAATTGACGCCCACAGAAAGTATTTATTTGAACCAATGAAAAAAGTTCTTTTTGAGCAAGGAAAATATATTAGGTCAGGTATTTTTGAGCTCTACAAGGATTGGACCAGAGGCTGTTTTGGCTCATACGTTGAATATATTGATAATTTAGCAGAAACACTTTTGTTTATGGATTTTGAAAAAGATTTCAAGAAAAGTTCAGAATTCTTGGAGTGGTTAGATACTTTCCCTGCTGAACCTATTAGTCCAAAAAAATTCTTGTCTAATTATTTCTTTTATAATTTGGTGTTATATAAGAACTCATTGATTGATATTAAGAAGAAGAGATCAAAAGCTGACCCAGAATATCATCATTTAACTGAAGCCATTGCCATCACCACCATTTTCTGTGATAAGATCAATAAGAGATTAGGTGCCTCCGAAGTTCATACTTTGTTTAAACATTTTAATTGGAAAATTGGTCCAAATAATTTCAATATTGAATTTAGTCCAAATAATATGACGATTGTTGCCAAAGAAAAAGTTCTTAAAAAATCATCTACTTACGTAGGTAGATGGCCTAGTACTCAATATTATTTGATCTTATTTAACAATTGTTTATTCTTGTCAGAAATTGATGTGGAAATGAGAAAATTCAAGATTGTTGAAAAGCCAATGCCAATCGCACTTATTCATTGTGAAATCCCTAACTCATCAGAAATGGAAGAAGAGACCACATTATCAGCTTCTATGGACCCAAATTCAAAAAATGCACAAGATTTGTTAAAATTTATGCATATGGGTCAGAAGACCAGTTGGACAGTAAAGTTTTTGAAAATTAATGCTCTTACATTATGGCTCAACTATATCAAGACGACTAAAGCTGCGCATGCCAAAGAAGTAGCCGATACTTTCCAATTCAATGTGGTAGTTTCTGATATTACAGGTGGATTTTCTAATCAACTGAATGAACCTATGAGTCCAACTCTTGGCCATTCTAATTCCTTGAAGCGAGACCTAACTTCGCAACCAGCAGCTTTACCGATTATTAAGGCTGGCAACAACCAAGTGAAATATGCAATTGCCCCAGCATCTTTTAAGAAAGCTCAATGTGCGCTCATTTTCACAAGCCAAAGCGTGAAGTATTATCTAGTTGGTACATCCAACGGGCTTTTCCTTCGTACAGATTTTGATTCTTGGGTGAAAATTTCTAAACTTGCAAATATCCAGCAACTTGAATATATCGAGTCAGCTAAAATATTTTTAGTATTAGCGGACAAAAAATTCATGAAAGTCAATGAAGAGGACTTGTTAGATGCATTCCGCAATACCACAGCTTCACTTGGCACGGTTAAATTATCAAACCAATCTGTTGAGTTCTTTGGTAGTGGTTACATTAAAGGAAGTTACATGGTCTTCTATATGAAGGTTAAAGTCACCACTTCGGTAACCCCTTATAGATCTTTTAAGGTGCTCTCGTTGGATAAAAAACGTCGTGGATTCAAACCTAATTCCATGTTTGACAAATTCTTCTCGGCTGTTGATTGTTATGATTGTTCCACATTCCAAAACTCTGTTGTTTTGAAAACTGAAAAGGGTTTCCAAATGTTGGACAAAGAGCTCTCGCCAGTGGTGATTCCAAGAAGTTTGAGTATGAACCTTCCTTCCAATTTTCAATCAAAGGAGGCTGAATTTTTCAAAATGATGGAGCACAGAGTTTCAGTTGAGAAGCCGATTGCATCATTTGAGATTCGCAATGGTAAAGAAATTTTACTAGTTTTCAGCACATTTGCCGTGTTTTGTAATGAAAGAGGTTTCTTATCAAAGATCAAATTGTTAGAATTCAATGTCAAATGTTCTGGGGCGTCCTTGATTAATGATGAAACTTTGTTCTTGGTGAGTAAAAATGCCATTGAAGTCTTTGATCTTAAAGATTCTGACTCAATCATGTATCCTAGAGGATTCATCACCGGTAACAATTTTGAGGTACTCAATCACGAAAGTGTCAACAATGGCAGCTTCTTGGTGATGGCTTCTAAAGAATCTGACAACACCAAAATGCTTTTGGAGCTTACAAAGTGTTGAATTCTGAACTATTTCTTATTACGTTTTCATTTAGAATTTTTTTTATTTAGTAGATTTATATTAGAGTGTTATTTTTATTAATTAGTTTTAATATTTTTGTTTATTCATTTTTTTTATCATCACTATTTTTGATATTAAATACCACAGAATCGTGCAATTTTGGAGGACCTGTAGAGATCTCTGCTTGGATTCCAAATTTCTTTTCAAACACAAGCTTATATCATTGAAAACGAGAAATCATTTGAAGGAAAAAAAAAGGATATCTAATCCACATTATTATTTTTATTTTTATTGTTATTATTTTTATTTTTATTATCATAATCATCATCATCAGTATTATCATTATCGTAAGTATTATGAAATACAATTATTATTAATATTGTCGTTTGGCTGTAATAAATTCTCGTTGCGCTAGGTCACCACCCTCAATGCTCTCATCATTGAGCTCTCTTTCAATATCATTATCAGTGTTCTCTTCATATTTTCCTTCATCATGAATGTTGTCATCATTATTATTCTCATCATAATCTTCCTCGTCATCTTCATCAAGAGAATCATTCTCATAATTATCGTTATCAACTTCACCATCATCGTCACCAAATTCGCTTTCAAGATCGTCGACAGTATTATTATACTCATCAAGCTCATCATCAATGAGTTCGTCATTATTGTGAGAATAGTAATCAATCGCAAAAGTATTTTCATCAGCTGTCTCCATTTGCTTACTGATATCGGAAATCTTCAAATTACCAATAAGAAGATCGACATCTTCACCGGTAACAGTATCACCATTTTCATTGAGCAAATCATTAAAGTCTTGTCCTGAATTAGCTGGGTTTTGGGATTGACCACCATTCAAATTCTTATTGTCTGCCTGTGTTTGCTCCAAACCATCTTTAACAGCGCCTTCAATTGCAGCTTCAGATTCAGGATCAGGATCAGATTCCGATTCTGAATCAGTATCAGAAAGATCTGGAATAGGTTCTCTCCAATAAACTGTATCCGTAAAATTTTCATCAGTGAAAACATTTAACCCATCATCTTTCTTATCACCTCTGACAGGAGGGAAAAAATGGTCAACCAATTCATTGATGTGGATATATGATGACTTATAACCAGCCAATTCCAACAACTCCATATGGACGTCACCATCAGGATTAATGGTAAATATTTTAGACGACGGGATATCCACTGATCTATAACTTAAAGCGTCGGTAATTCTATTCCCAAATCCCGCATAGAATGGAGTCTTATTGATGTTGCCATATAATGATCTTAAATCTTGTAGACAAGTAATCTTGAAAACTTCAGGTTTCTTAAGAATCACTTCCCTTCTTAGAGCTGCCATGGTTCTGTCCGGAGACAAAATGACTGGCCCCACTGGTAATTTCACACCTTCCTGATCAATTCCATCAAGGTAAGCTCTAGTAGTGTCTGCTAATCCTACCGATCTAGCAGTCAAATACATAATATTATAGCCATTAGAAGCAATATCTTCAAAAAGTTTAGCGACACCCGGATGGGTCCAGTCTTTACCAATCATGTTGAAAACATGGCCTAAAGCATCAGACTTGGTGATTGTACCATCAATATCAGATATAACTACTGGTACATTGTATTTCCACAAAAAGATTCTTGATGTAATGGTGGATTTCGATTGGTCTACTGTGAACTCTGAATCATTAGCACCATATTTCAAGTTCAAACACTTCAACTGATCTGACGTTAGTCTTAATGTTTTAATATAGTTACCAGTGCTACCACTGATACTAGTAAGAGGGCCATTAAGGTTCAATTCACCATCGGTTAAATCACCAGAAGAAGACAGCGGAGAAATTGAAGGGGGGCTCATTAATGTTTGCTGCTCGAATGACAGGTCCGATTCATTATTTGTTGAATATATTCTCACATTACCATGTTCATCGTATTTTACAACGTCCTTCAAATCGACATCATCACCAAGTTCGTCTTTCAAAATATCCTTCAAAATCTTGTCGTAGCTTTTGATGTCCTGTTCACTGGATTTGTATCCACTGATATCCAAAACCAATTCACCATTTGAGTCTATTTTTGTAGGGATATTCTTCAAAGTTAATTGCTTTGATAGCTTTTGCGCTCTAGTTGGTGATAATGACCGGATGCTGGACATGGTTCTTGATTTTCTCATAAGTGAAGTTGGTAAATTAGCAGATGGACTATCAAGTGACAACGAAGTACCCAGAGATAGCTTATTCAAGTTTTCTGCTGGCCCTCCGAGATCCAAATATTCTGGTAAATCTTCTTCTAGCGTAGCTGGTTCTGATTTAGGAGACGATAAAGGGGATGAGAGAGTAGATGAGGCAGCACTAACCACAGGAGAAGTCATCATATCATCAGGAATCCTGTCTAAAGGCTCTTCAGTCTGGAAAACGAAAAATGCTTCGCCACCATCACCCAACTTCATATGAATATCAGTGAGTTGACCATTTACTTTGAAGTTGACTTTTTTCTGAGATGGCCTAAGTAGCTGGAACTTCCCAAACCGGACATGGAATGGCGAACAGTACAAACTGCCGTGCTCATCCTCAATAACGATAACATCGATGGCGCCACTCAATGTGGCAGGATTGAGAGAGTTCCAGGTCTTTGCAATCGATGTGAGATAGTTCATATCTAGAGACACTGCTTGGTTCGCTAAGGTGGTGGCAAAAGGCAGGGTTTTCTCCTTTTCTTCCTTTTAGCGTAGTGGTTGATCTTTGTTTCTCAGTTTGTCGTTTATCTGTTGCCGGGGCTCATAACACAATAATCCAAGATTGTGCTCTCTCTCTCTCTCTCTCTCTCTCTCTGTTAGTGTGTGTGTGTGTTTGGTGATGCGAGTTTCTGGGTTGGGATAACCTATGTGTCGATATTGGGGGGCTGTCGAGCAGTCAAGGAGAAGGATGATTGCCGTCTGCTTGTTGGGGCCTATTGAGCGACCATCGTTTACCACCAAAAGTTCCCAGGAATCACCGCCGCCTGCACGTTCACGTGCACAATTTGTGCAATAAATTTGCAACGCAATCATCAACCCATCCGCCTCCAATACCATTATCTCCCTAGCTACTCTCACTATGTATTTCAAATCTAGGGGGTCGGGTGGCTCAGAGCCTTTACATCTTAAGGTACAGGTTGTTCAGGTATGCAATTGGCTGCTTTTTTTGCTGTTTGTCTTGCTAATTTTGGCATGCTGCCTTTAGGTCCCAATACATTGATACTAATGATACGAAAATATAGGCTAAAAACTTGGCTCTGACAGCGTCTGGAGTCTCGCGGAATTTGGTATGTCATGTTTAATATATCTTTGTGTTAATATGCTTCTGGTCTTTCCATAAAATGATAAGTGTTCAATATATATATTTGCTAACATTAACTAGTTTGCGTCGTTGTCGCTTAATGATAAAATATATTCAACCGCCAAAGTTAGGACTTCGGGCGATCCATACTTCAATCAGAATATTCACTTCCTGTTGGATCAGGGCTCAACCTCATCAACCCTTACCGTGGTTTGCTGGGATAAAGATCACTGTGGAACTACTTATTTGGGGGAAACAAGAATCAATTTGTTGGATATATTTTCAAATCTGATTGAAGCATTGCCAAAAGATGCTTCGGAAATCAAATTCTTGAAAAATGACCCAAAATTTTTCAAGTTGTACTCCTCTCAACTGCATCAATCGTTTGTCACTGGTACCATTAGTCTCGGGTTTGAGCTTTATGGAAGCAAACCAAAGAAGAAGGGATTGAAATCTATATTGAGCAAGTCTAGAAGTCGTTCTGATGTTAGCTTAAATGGCCTGCTGCTGAATGTTAACTTGTCAGCTGTACGGAAAGGTCAAATCACTGGTCCAACCTTGCCATCAGTTTCAAATGTGCCAACCGCTCCAAAAGAAGAAGTTGTTGTGGTAGTTCCCACTAATAATAATGAAATGATTTCAAAATGGACTGCGTGGACAAATGGTTTGACTTCCAAGGATACAGCAAAGCCTAATGAACAAGGCTTTTACGCTTCTCCATTTGGTGGTGACCCAGTCACTGGAACCAGTGATGGAGAGATAAATAAGACTTTGCAAGCAGACTACGACTATAGTGATGGGAACCGAGTTTCCTATGATTCCATTCACAGTTCTACAGTAAATAATTCGCCATATTTGAACATACCTCAAAAGTCATATAAATTAATGGGCTTGGACAACGAGTCTTGTGTATCAACCCCTTCAGATACATCCAGTGTTTTATCAGATATCTCGGGAGATTACTCAGTCAATGAAGGCAAAACCATTTCTTCCATATCTGATGTAAAAAGGACCTCAAAATTGTCGCCAAAAAGCCCACAAATTTCTGAGTTTGAATTGCTTAGACCTCCTGAACCGAAGAAGAAAAGAAGAGCTAAGACCCCTAAAAAAGGTTCATCCTCCTCTTACCAGCTTCAATCTTTCAGAAATGTAAAGGGTGTATTATTTATGGAAATCATTTCTGCAAAAGATTTACCTAAGTTCAAAAATTTTACCCACACTGGGTTTGACATGGATCCATTTGTTGTTGTCTCTTTCGGTAAAAGAACTTTTAGAACTTCTTGGAGGAAACATACTTTAAACCCTGTTTTCAACGAAAGATTGGCATTTGAAGTATTAAATGATGAAACTAGTTATGATATCCATTTGGGTGTGTTGGATAAAGATGCTTTCAGTTATCATGATAGAGTTGCAGAGATCACCATTCCAATAACTGATATTATTGACATGAGCACCAAATTTCTAAATCCAGAATTCAATGATTCAGGCGATCTGATCCTCAGCGCGGATATAAAAGATAGTAGCTCTGATGATCGATCAATGGCCTCTTCTTTCGATTTGAATAATAGTAAGGCGAAAGTATTGAGGAGTGGTTTGCTTCGTAAAAAAATTAAGCCTCAGAAAGTCTTGTCAACCGAAGAAGAAGGTAAATTCATGAGTTTTACGTTACCCCTCAGTTTTTCAGGAAGCAATGCCGAAAAATATTCTGAGAAATATGATCCTACTTTGAATATTAAATGCCGTTTTGAGCCATACGATGAGTTGAGAAAACAATTCTGGAAACACTTGTTGAAGAACTATGATGTTAATGATGATGATAATTTCACTTATCTTGAATTGAGCGCCTTTTTGGACACTTTGGGATCCACATTGTCCCACAAGACCATTATAAATTTCTTTCAAAAATTTAACAAGGATATCGATAGTGATGCTTTGACTATTGACGAAGTAGTTAGTTGTTTGGAAGAATTGATTAGTGAGAAAAACAAGCTTTATGAACTGACAGTTAACGGATCTTCGGCGAATTCTTCTCCTTTACTATTGGAAGAGTCCAAGGGTGATATTATTAAAATTGATTGTTGTCCAGTTTGTGGTAAAAGCAGATTATCAGAGCGTGAAGATCTTGATATTATCACACATGTGGCCATTTGTGGAAGTAAAGATAAAAGCAGTGTTGAGCGATTGATCAAGTCTTCCTATGTCTCACCTAGTTTTGCAAGCAAAAGATGGTACTCTAAGGTTTTCATTAACCTTGGATATGGTAAGGTTCGGTTTGGAAGCAATAACGCTAATATTTTAGTACAAGATAGATCCACAGGTATAGTAGGGGAAGAAAAAATGAGTGTATATGTTAGGCTTGGTATAAGATTGCTCTATAAAGGGTCAAGTGCAATTCAAAAGAAGAAAGCTAAAAAGTTATTGAAAAAAATGACTTTTAAAAGGGGCAAATATTATGATTCTGAGGCCTCCTTGCGAGATATTGCGCCATTCATAAAGTTCCATCAACTTGATATGACTGAATGTCTATTGCCTATTAACCAGTACAAGACATTCAATGAATTTTTCTACAGAAAATTGGTTAAGGATGCCAGACCGGTTGCGGCCCCCGGTAATAATAATATTATTTCTTCTGCCGCAGACTGTCGTTGCACCGCTTTCAACTCCATCAGTTCAGCCATGAAGATTTGGATCAAAGGTAAAGGATTTACTATCAATAAATTATTCGCTGGTAGACACCCTGACGTGATGAAATTATTTGAACATAATTGCTCCGTTGCAATTTTCAGATTGGCTCCCCAAGATTATCATAGATTTCATTCTCCTGTGGATGGTATTGTTGGGAAACCTGAATTCATAGAGGGAGAATATTACACCGTGAATCCAATGGCTATCCGAAGTCACTTGGATGTTTTTGGTGAAAATTGTCGTTGTATTATTCCTATAGAGACCAAGCTCTTTGGAACAGTAGTGGTGATCCCTGTGGGGGCTATGATGGTAGGTGCTACCATTTTATCAGTAAAAGAAGGAGATGAAATTTCTCGTGGTGATGAGCTTGGGTATTTCAAATTTGGGGGATCAACTTTGTTACTTTTGGTTCAGCAGAATAAAATATTGTTTGATTCCGATTTGACCAATAACTCAATGCAAGGAATTGAAACTTTAGTTAAGGTTGGGATGTCCGTAGGTCATTCAATTGAAGCACAAGAGCTTGAGAGAGAAGTGAGAAACTTTGAGAGTGAGCCAGAGCATGTCAAGCTCCGGATTATTAGAACAATTACAGGAACTAGTAACGGTAGCACTAACTTGGATGACTTGAGATCATTGTCCTGGGAGGCATCTAATTTGAGGATCAATGATAAAGAGTGGGGTGATTTGGAAGAAAATTTTGGGATTTTATAGTTTAAAAACTTCTTTATAGCTATGCTGACATGAGGAATGTTATAAATTGAATATATTTTTGGTAGTTAGGTTGTATCCTAACATTACAAGTTTGTTTGAACAATAAAAATATTGATATTGATGCGTAAACTAATTGATAGCGATACGTTAACTAATTGAAATTGTAAAACCTGATAATTATCTAACTGAATACAAATAGATATTAACTTTTCCTTATAGGGCCTTTTTTAACGATTCAACCCATTCTTTTATTTCAATTTTATTGTTGTCCAATTCAACAGAAACTTTATTGAGATTTTCATTTGCCTCGGTTATTATTTTCTGCCAGTTTTTGAAATCTGAATCGATATTGTCAATAACAACGTTGGCTTTTTTGGATAACGACACCGTCGATTCGTATTCTAAGTACAATGAGTTGAGGGTATTAAATCTCTTGATAAGGGCCGTGACATTATTTTGATTCAACATTTTACTGAAATCCGTTTGTGATTTTTTATGTAATTCGGTATTACCCACAAGAAGGGAGTATAGCTGGTTAATTTTTGCAGTGGAATCAGAATCTTCAGAAGGAGTGGAAAGTTCATCATCTGCTTGCGGTAGCGCCTCGGAGGCGCTCCCATTATGCAAATAGAATGATTGATTGGTGGATAATTTTTTAGTATTCAAAATGATTTCTCTATTGATAGATTCTAAACTTGCCAAAAGAGTTTTTATTGCCTCTTGATTGCCGATGGCTGTTTCATTATCGGTTTCTTCAGAATGTACGGAATTATCAAGATTTACAAGTAATTTGAATTTCCTCTCAAGGTCATTGATAATGGATTCAAGATTTTGAAACCCTTTCATCCCTGTTTCCCAATTATCAGAAGTTGTTTGGCCTGATACTGCAAGGTTTAGGATCTCCAAGTTGCTATCAAATCCAATCAATCTCTCAAGCTTAAAAATTCTATTTTCTAACTCCTTCACTTCTCGTGGTGATACTGTATCTTTTCGTATTGGTAGCTTTGTCGTTTCAAATGGGGTTAATTCTTGTTGTACTTCTAGTAATGTATCTTTTGGTGCTTGTACTTTCACCTGATGATCTTCTTTTAATTCTAATGAGCTTAGGAAGCTTAATAGTCCATCAACTTCTTTGCTGTTGATTTCTTCTACCGGTTGAACATTATGCATCAAATCCTGTTTCTCCGCACACTCCTTTAATATTTTCATTTCCTGTAACTCATGCCTTATTCGTTTCAACTTCATGTCATATGTTTCATCCACATTGAATGTCTCGTAAGAATTCTTGTCATAATTCCCAATACTATCGGAGAAATCAACATTTCCCGAATCACTGACAAAAGTGCGGTCAAATTTGCCCCGCGACGTTTTCAAGATCGATTGTAGTTTTGTGAAGTCAAAATCGCCATCCTGAGACTGAGAGCTCTCTCGATCTTCATCATTCAATATATTACCAGCAGAGACAACCTCGTCTCCGACAATATCGGTGTCTGAAGTCTCGAAGACTTCTTGTTCGGAATAATCCTTTATCTAAGTTAGTCAATCACCCCCCAAAATCGAGCATTCGAATATAGATAAACACCAACTCACTATATCAGGAAAATCCTGTCCTTTAGGATTAAAATCTGTCATTCCTGGTGGAGTGTGTTTCTGGTCTCTCTGTTGTTGGGGTTCCAATGATTATTGAAAGACGTCCTTATTCCAGCAGCGACCAATCTTTGTCATGTGATAAGAGTTTGAAAGCGCGAGGTAAAAAAAAAATGAGAAGCTAAAATTGATCCAACCACGTCTCTTTTGTCATGTAGTAGTTTACGATATCAATTAAACAGCAACACCACTCAAGGATGTACAATCCCAATAATTACAATTCTTACGGCAATCCAAATGCGTCAAATCTCCAGCAACCCAATGCTGGTGGCGACATCAACTTCTATCAATCACAATATCCAACATCCGCGGCCGCCCCTGCTAACATCAGTGGAGGCCCACCATTCTTCGAGAATCTCTCGGGCAATATGGACAATCAATATCTTAGTAACCCATCGTTCACTGCTGGTGGTGATGGTTCGGACTCACAGCTACCTAGAGGTATTTTGGCGGCATTCAGCACCAGTGGGTATCCTGGGGAGCCATCACTTTTAGAAGAGCTTGATATCAACTTCGATCACATTAAAGTCAAAACACTAGCAGTATTGAATCCCTTTGGATCCAAAATCTCAAACTACAATAATGGTCTCCCAGGTCAATCGGCAAATATCTTGAATGATGCTGACTTGGCAGGCCCAATCTTTTTTGCCCTTTTGTACGGGGTGAGTTTGCTCTTGGCTGGTAAAGTCCATTTCGGTTACATTTACGGTTGTGGATTATTTGGCACTTTGTCATTATTTGCATTATTCAAGCTCATGTCCAACAATGATGTGCCAACCTTAAATGCCAACCAACCAAATGTTGCTTCAACAGGTTCTATGCAAGGTGTAGATAGCGGTGCCCCAGATACTAGTAAAACCCAAGACCTAAATTATAGTCGAACAACATCGGTTCTCGGTTACTGTTTGCTACCACTAGTGTTGCTAAGTTTTCTTGGGATAGTCTTCACATTGGATAACTTCTGGGGTTACTTGTTGAGTTTGATTTGTGCGTTATGGTCAACCTACTCTGCCAGTGGATTTTTCGTTCTAGTTTTGAAATTGCAAAATAGCAGATTCTTGGTTGCTTATCCTTTGTTACTTTTCTACAGCATATTTGCATTAATGGCCATCTTTGTTGAGAAGGCTTAATGTATATTATAATAAATGAAATTACTTGGTTCATTCATTTGAAAGTAATGTATGGCAACTACTTGGTATCCCTTTCTTTCACTTTTTGCAAAATTGTTCTAATCATTTCATTACCAATTCTGTTAGCTTCAGCAAACTTTGGTTGGAAGAAAGACTGTGTTTCCTCAAATTCCTTTTGGTATAACTTGTAATCTCCATACCTCACCACAGAACTCCAGGTTCTCGTAGCTAAAGTAAATTCCAAATCATCTCTTCTAAATCGGTAATCGTCAATGGCACAGTCAATAGCAGCATCTAATAAACCATCCTTGATAAACAAATATTCAGTAACACCAAGGAAAATTCTAAACAAAGGAGTGGAACAAATGATATGATTGTAAGGCACCATCTGTAATTGGAACCAACTATCAACAATTGCCAATAGTGACAAATGTGAGTTAGAGTTCTCTGAATTAGGTGGCATATTGGCCAAAGAAAACTGTAAAAGAAGATCGTCATCTAACAACAACTCGTGTTGTGGGTTATCCAAAATGTCTTTGAAAACATAATTTCTTGCACTCATCAACCTTTTTCTAAGCTCATCTTTTTGCCCCTGTACCATCAATGTAAATAATTCAGTAGTGGATTTAGAGTATTGTAACATCTGGTGGTGAGCGAACTTGTTGGTAATTGCTAACCCAGCATAAACATGCCATTTGTTCAGGTATATTCTTAAAGCGATGTTCGTTTTGGCGTTTTCTATACCACCAATCCATCTGGCGGCGGTCCAGGGATAAGTATCAATTTTACCCCAGGCCTTCCCCATACTCAAGAAAGCAGCATGAGTCACAGCTTGTGTATCGGCTGTAATCTTATCATGCTCATGGGCACTCAATTCCACCACTTTTGACTTGAACTCACTTACCACCTCTTCAATAAACTTTTTATTTTCATCCTTGGAAACTCTATGAGGAATCACCACCAAAGGCTGGCCGGTTGGATCGACCTTTGGCCCATGCATTGAATGGAGAGAAATGATATCGACATCAGCAGGCACAAACTCTTCGAATGCCTCAATCTCTGGGACTTTACAGGATGTCTGACCACCAACAATGGCTCCTACTTTTGTAGCAGGTCCATATAATCGCACGATCTTTGCAATATTCTCTGCTTCAACACTGTAGAGCACATAATCGCTTACTCTAGCCACTTCAAACCCATTCTTCACAAGCTTGAACTTTTCGTATTGTAACTTGTGTTTTGTTTCTTCGAATAACTCCTCCCTGTCACACCCTACAACGCTGTAGATTGTTAGTCTTGTCGTTTGATCTGTCAACAGACATGACTCAAGATGAAAAATACAATACAAACATACTTCCAGCCAGCTTCGCTCAATACTCTACCATACATGAGCCCCATGTCACCAAGCCCAATAAGTCCAATGGTTCTCGTCTCTTTAAATCCCATTTCTTGATTATCTATCTATCCTAGAGTATTGTTTGTGATTCTGAAAATTCTCCACAAAACCTGAAATTGAAGGAAGAAATAAAAAATTCCATGAAAAAACTGGTTTGAAGCATTTGAAAAATTACAAAAAAAAAAAAAAAAAAAGAGCGATGAGGTTGACAGCTAAATTAACAGTTCAGAAGGCTGTCAATCGTAAACCCTTCTGCCGTGTCGTGATTTATTATTGTTCTTGTTGTTTGTTTGTTTGTTTGTTTGTTTGTTTGTTTGTTTGTTTGTTTGTTTGTTTGTTTGTTTGTTTGTTTGTTTGTTTGTTTGTTTTATATGGGCTCTCTAATGGACGATAGTGTCCTCTACAGGAACTTGAGCTCCATCAAGATCGGACAAGTTGAACGATACATTATAACTTACAAACCACCAGAAAAGTCTCTATTTTCACATGATGGGACGCTCGCAATAAACTCCTTGGATCAATCGTCTTTGTTTGTTAAAGTAAAAAATTGTGAATCCATCACCAAGAGAGCTGCTTATCTTATGGGCCCTTATATTTTGTACGTGGATGCTAGACCCTATGAATATGAGCATAAATACCCTTGTTACATATCAGCGGATCAACCGAAATTTGATCCGAATCTTCAGGCAAACCAATCATTTGTGGCGGAGCTTTCTCGCCATACTATTAAAGAGAAGTACGTTTGGATTATTGACATTGCTTCACAGATGCTTTTCTCATCCACGACAGCTGTTAATTTTGAAATTGTTGTCGGCAAAACTGTCGAGGCAGTAAATAGTAGTATAAAGAATAATGAAACTGGTATATTTGACTCGAAGAATATTCACGTTTTAAGGATGGATACAAAAGACTTGTGGAGCCTACCTCCTCCAATTCCAAATAAGCCAGTCCACTTAACGTTATTAACCCACGGATTGCACTCAAATGTGGGAGCAGATATGTTATATCTCAAGGAACAAATTGAAAAAGCAGCTGTAATATCGGGAGATAATGTCATTGTCAGAGGATATGATAGAAATGTATGCAAAACAGAACGTGGGATTAAATATTTGGGCATGAAGGTTGCGGAGTATATCATTAATGAAGTTTACGCAGAGAATATTACACACATATCATTTATCGGGCATTCTTTGGGTGGGTTGATCCAAACATTTGCTATTGCTTATATTGAAAGCAATTTTCCTTGGTTCTTTAAAAAAGTAACGCCAGTGAATTTCATTACATTGGCATCACCTTTACTAGGAATCTCACACATTGATAGTCCGGGATACGTCCAAGCAGCTTTGACCTTAGGAGCGGTTGGAAGAACTGGGCAGGAACTTAGCTTATTCCCAACTGAAATAGATGGTAAGAAAGCCTTATTGGAACTCTTGCCAACAGGTATCACTCACAAAGTTTTGAAGAAGTTTAAAAATAGAACTGTTTATGCAAATGCGGTGAATGATGGTATTGTACCTTTGAGGACATCTGCAATCTTGTTCCTCGATTATAGAGGCTTGAGGGAAGTGGCAGAGCTTTTAAGCTCTGGAAAAACATCAGACTCTTTTTTGGACATGGTAAGTAAGTCTCGCCAACTGTCATTATCGTTTATTTCCCCCTTTGCAGGCATAGGAGGACAAACATCAAAAAGAGTTTATAATATCCCTGAGTTTATGAATTCCATGCCCTTTGTGTACTCTAGCAACCCAGTGATCTCAGTGACGAACGAAAGTGTTGATGCCAAGCCAAATAACACCATAATCACTGAGCATAAGGTCTCAGATACTTTGAAACATACGCAGGAACTACAGGAAGTATCCCCTAAAATTAATAATCATGCTGTCACAAATGAAATGTCCAAATCATCATTGCTGGCACCACGCCCTGCAATGCCTGATAGAAAATTATCGGAGCAAGCAATAGGTGAAATCCCAAATCGAAACGATTTATTATCCCAGAAAGCAGAATCAAGTTCTTTTTTCAGTCCTTTACAGAATGCGTTTGCCTCGTGGGTTGCTCCTCAAGGAACTAATGCTAACAATGATCTTAAGAAAAAATTCTTGAATAGTACTGATAACCCCTTACCAAAAGCGTCTATTATTGATAGTGCGAAAAGTATTTTATTGCCGCCATTGCCTCCAAAGCAATTCATTATTGAACCAAATGCTCGAAAAAACCCTTTAATACATGATAAAGTATACGGTGATAATGATATCTGCGAGTTCAAAATGAATAGAAGGAAGGATCAGGAAAAAAAGTTTAAACATAATGGCATTCGAAAACAGGGTAAAGAACCTTCCGACAGTTTAGAAGAGTTAGAAAATATTAATGATGAGAGCAAGGATTTTGCTTTAAATCCTTTTGCTGATAATTTTTCAAATTTTTTTGCAAGTAAATCTAATATTGAAAGACTTGAAGAAAAAATAGCAATGAAGTGGCATGATGGGATGAGCTGGAGGAAGGTGTTAGTCAATATCAATCCTGATGCTCATAATAATATTCTTGTTAGGCGAAGATTTGCTAACGCTTTTGGTTGGTTGGTCATTGATCATCTTGTTGATGAACATTTTGGGGAAAATATTCATGCTGGTGAGTCAATAGCAACTAAAACTGCACTGGACAATGAACTGGATGATCTCAGTTCCTTACTAGAAAAACAGGCTGATGAGGATTTTATCAGTGAACCTTTTAATCATGTTAATTCTAATCCTTTTTCCATCTCACATCTATCTAGTGAAAGTATATTGGATATTAAGGAGACCAGTAGTGAAAGCAAATTAACAATTCCCAAGTCTCTGCATTTAAAAAAATCTCCTAAGGCTTTCAATGAGGCTTTCAGTAATAATAGTGGTGATAGTTCTGCTCAAGAGCTAGATTGCTTACTTGGAAAGGATCTGCTTATCAGAGAGAATGCAAGCTATAACTATACCCCGTATCTCAATCCATATTACCTTGAAAAAAGTCCGGTCACTCAACGATACTCAGAATCTGGGAAACATTCTAGAAAAAATAGTGATATAAATGCTGGTGACTGGATCAATACTAAAAATTATAATGAAGATTCTCTATTTGAAGGGGGTCCAACAGGGTTTTTATCCAACGTCAACGATAAAATTTCCAAAATAATTTAGCAAAATACGGAGTATATAAGCTAGATTAAATGTATTATAGTTCTATTTCATCTTGGGAAAAAAAAAAAAAAAAAAAATCGAAAAGAATCCAATTTGTTGATTAATTTTTACTAATAGATATCAATATTGTACACAATAATCATCAGATTTCGTTTTAATGGTACATGTGGCTCTGTAGGCTTTCAAATCACCAGAATGCTGAATTGATATCATCTGTGAGCATACTGTTCACATGCATTTCAAATAATTCATCAATTGAGCCATTTATTTTCTTTGCCTCAGGAGCCTTAATTCTGTTTTCTTGGATGTTGACAATAATATTTTCAAAAAGATGGAATAATTTTAACTTATTATTATACCTTTGATTAGCATTGTTAGAAGGATTTTCATTAGTCAAAATCTGGTATGATTGATCGAACAAAACCTTGATTTCTGAGTAGGATATTGGAGTTTCTGTTTTTTGCGAAGTTATTGATTTCAAAGAGGATTCTGTTTCATTCTCAGTAGTAGTAGTAGTAGTAGTAGTAGTAGTAGTAGTAGTAGTAGTAGTAGTAGTATCAACAAACAAGTTGTCTTTATTGAATACTAAAAACTTGAGCAAAGAGGTCCAGTAAGTCGCAGAGTTTTTGAAGATTGACGATTCGTAATCTTTGAAAAAGGCTAATTTCTCAGATACAGAAATATTGTCATATGATAGCACGTATTGGAAGAACACATCAAAATTAAGGGGGTTGTTGATTCCAGTGGCCAGCTTATAGTCTAATAAGCTTTGTAAACTTTGATCCATTAATTTTAAAACGTAATCTTTTTGTTGTGATTCATTCCCGGTGGAGCCGGAGCCGGTGCGGGAGGTGTTCAGGGAGTTTAGTAATAAATTTTCACTGTCCAAAAATGGCTTCCAGACCGATGGGGATTTTGAAAACTTTGCTAGGAACTTCATGATCATATCTCTTGAAGTCAAATAATTCCCATCATAATTTTCCGCGTCTATGAGCAAAAGCTTTGTGGATAAAACCGATACCGGGATGTAATTTGAGGCCCTCATGAGAATGTTTTTGGCGTCGGCAAAATGGTCAATGTTGATCAAAAACCAAAAATATCTCACCCAAAATCTATCATATAATGCAGTGGATATTAGACACCTTTCGTGGGTCAATATGATTCTCTGTATTAAGTTATTTTGAATCACGGTTTTGTTAATTTTTTTAGAATTTGATGAAGAGGAAAAAAAAGCCGCATCTGGTGCTAATAGTTTTATTTCTAAATAATTCAAATATGAGTCCCATGCGTCTAGTTCTTGCTTTGGTAACGCTGTGGTATGAAAGTATTGACGCTTCAACTTTGATTCATATTGATAAATTTTGAAAACCTCGTATGCGTTTGAAATGTAGAGATCGGTGAATATCTTCTTCACTTTAACTTTAAGTTCTTTCAATTGAGCAGCACTATCCTCGGCCTTCATTAGGGCTTTCACCTTCTCTTCATTAGCAAGGCCAAGCTTGGCTAAATCAGCTTGAGTCAAGAACGCGCGAATATTTTTAAAATTGATTTCTTCGCTCAAAAAATTGGAGAATTTAGAATAGAAATATGAGTATTGATGCAATGGTAGTTCAATTACCTTTCTTAAAATAAGGAAAATCTCGTATTTCATGTTCTCCTTGGAAACAGCATTATAATTTTCTTCAAAGTCCAAATACAACTCCCAAAATTCGCTCGAATGATAATGACTTCCAATCTTGAGTTCTGCAGACTTAAACAAGTTCTTCATTTCCAGATACTCAAAGTTTGATAGATTTATTCTTAATCTCAAGAATTCGACCCAAATTTTCAACGAGTAAGGCAACATCTTCAAAGCGTTCAAAAATACAATCTCTGCACCTGAAGTATTACCCAAACTTAGTTCCAAATTGGCAAATCGTATCCAATAATTTTCTAGATTCGGAAACCTTTTCAATAAAGACAAATAAACTGATCTCAACAACGACTTCTTAATGGTTGAAGATTTCTTTGTTATACCATCGTTTGATTCTTCTATGGATTTAATGGCATCCATCCATTTTGGCAAACTATCTGGATCTTTTAACAAGTGTAGTAGTTTGTCATCTGAAATATTATAGTCTTCTAGTTCCGACATCATTATTATTATTATTATTGTTATTATTATTAAATACTGATTTATATTATAGTAATTTTCCATCTTTAGAAATTTTTATTCCAATTCTATTTATTTACCTGCGCTTTGCCAGGGCCTCTTAACCAAAAAGGCGCTGGTGTGATAATTAATGATAATTTCAACACTTTAACTTTTAACAAAATTGATACATTAAAATTAAAATTAATCATTATACATAATATACATTGCTAGATTGTTAAATACTTCTCCATTATTTGATGCGCCAAAAGAGAATTTCCATTGACATTGTAAAGCAAATATAGATTATAAGCACTCTCTCTTTTCAAATCATAAACTTCATCCATGTCATCATAATCAGTCAATACTTTTTCATAATATTGCACAGCAATCGAGTTCAAATTAATTTGATGGAAGAATCTTCCAAGATTGAAATCAGCTTCTTGAGCTTCATGTTTCCCTTTGGTCCTTCTGAGATCCCTGTATTCATTAAAATACGTCATAGCTTGAAGAATAAACATGTGTCTATTACCAGATGATCTCTGCATTGCACGATGAGCACAAGCAACTCCTAGCAATAAGCATATCATTGGGTCACGTTTAAACTCATTATACGCTTTAGATAGATAAAACAAACTAGACAAATAACTCCTTCCTGATAGCAAAACTTGAGCATAAACGGTAACCAAATATGGATTTGTCGATGAGATGTCAAAGTTAATGTTTTCCCTTTCAACCAAAGACATGCCATCTATATCTCTTCCAAATCGCATTCCGTCCCACGCCTTGACCTGTCTCAAAAAATATTTTTGATGGTTTAGCGAAATAAAAATTTCCGATGCCTTACGGCCCGACGGCAAACTCAAGCTAAAAAGCTTAAATGAATCCCTTGAGAATCTGTGAGTATTAAGTAAATCACGCAAAGAAGCCATTATACTCTCATAATCCTCAATAATAGCATCAACTGATAATTTGACGAATCTCAAAGTATTATCCCTTCTATAATTTTCTCTGAACGCAGAGACATTTCTAGCGATTTCAATTGATTGTACAGCGTCTTGTTTATCTCCATGCTTTGCTTCCAATAAACTATACTTCATAAAAATATCAAACCATTGGTCAAAAGTCAATCCTCTGTACTCATCATCTGTCAAAGTGAATGAAGGATCAATTTGGTTGTAGCTACTATTGGCTAATTCATGTAACTCCGTTAATCTTTCAAGTCTTCTTCCAATATCCATCTTGAGATTCTTTTTATGAATGTACAATACTTCGGCATCGTGCCTGTGCTTTTCTCTTATGAATAAAGCTTTCACACCACAAAAAATTTCGATCAAATCTGATGCGATTTGCAACCACATTGAAATACCAACGTGATCCCCTTTATTGACAGAATCTTCGAAACTTTTCAATCTTTTGTATTTAACCATGGTGTCTGAAATAATCTTTCTTTTCATGTCTTCCTTTTCACCTTCAGATAATTGTGGTTTTTTGACCCTTTTCCTAGTTGGTTTCCTCTGGAAATTTGCAAATAACGCAGTATTGTCTTCGTCTGTTTCGGGTATAGGAGTAAGATCAAGTTCAGATGACTCCGTGGTGCTGGTGGTAGTGGAGGTAGTAATGGATATGGTGTTTGGTGCGATATTTCGTTGCTTTTTGGATAATAATTTGACTTCTTTGGATAACTTGAGCGACTCATCGAGAAAACCTAAATGGTAAAAAGTTTCCGCCAAAGCCAACTTTATACTTATGTTTAGCGGATCAGCAAGTAAAACGTCCTTATAGATTTCTGCAGCTTGGCTGTATTCTCCGACTTCTTGAAAACATTTACCAATAGAGCACATAATTTCTAGACTACCCAAATCTTCTTTCAATGATAAAGGTATGAAGTACTTCAAGGCTTCTCCAAATTGACCTGCTTCTTCTAAACTCGTAGCAACTTGGGTGTACAAATCTTGGAACTCCTCGATATCATTTTCACTTAATAAGGCCTCAAAATGTATAGAAGCTTCTTTAGGGTTATTGCAACGCAATCTGAATAACCCAAGCTTAATTTTTATATCTATTGGCAACTCATATGGCCTCTGTTGCTTATCTGCGGATATCTTCCTGAATTCAGGATTTTCAAATCTTCTTGCATCAAACTCTGAATCATTTTGTAACTTATCCCAGAAGGTTTCATCATTTCTATTTTGCAACCATCTTGCAGTTTGCTTAATTGTGATCAAACCATTTTGATATTGACCACTTTTATAGTACAACTCAGCCAAAATATTAAGTTCTGACCATTCAAAATCAGGGAAGTTTTTCATTGAAGGCTCTCTGTTATAGTCATCAAGGGCGTAGTAGCCGATGTTCATATTTAAGATCCCAATGTACATTTCGATTGCTTCAGAGACTCTGTTAAGTTCGGAATACAATTTTGCAATCTCTATTACGAGTTGCTGGTTACAAGGATCAAAGGACAAAATCTTCTGGTATCCCAACAATGCTTTGGAAATTTGGTTCTGTTCTTCATATAATCTCGTTCTTTCCCATAAGTACTTATGGTCTTTGGTGTCATGCTTCACGGCCTTTGTATAACAATAGAACGCCTGTCGGTAGTGCCCTAATGATGCACTTATTTCACCGACCATAGCCCAGAATTCACCATCCCAAGGATGTATTTGAGCGGCAATAATCCAATAAACACAACAGTGTGATAGTTTTCCCCTCATCTTGGCTATTTCCCCTAAGGTTTTAAGAGCAGCATAGTTTGCAGCATCCAATGCCAAAACTTCCATATAGAGCTTTTCAGCAACATCAATCTTATCTTCCACAAAAGCCTCGTTTGCTTCACTCAATTTCACTCTTACTTCAGGATTCAAGTTCTTCATTACCTTTTGGTATCCTCCTCTTTTGCGCCTAGCACCACCCTTCTTCTTTTTACCTATACCCGCTGCCTCTTTCAAAGTGTCTCTATACGAGTCTGAATCAATATCTAGGTCTGAATCAGCAGTCTCATCACTATCTTCATAATTTGAGTCCAGGTCCACAGCATCAGAGTAATTTTCTTCGTCCTCTCTCGGTATGGTCATTTCAAGTTTTTTACTGAGACCTTTCACAAAGTCATCTTCCATAATATTGTGATCTTCTTCTTCTTCTTCTTCTTCTTCTTCATCATCATCATCATCATTGTTTGTTGTACGCATATTTCGTTTTTGCCTATTATTATTATTCTGTGCTGCTTCGTACTGATCCAATTCTTCTTCTTCAGAAGATGACATAAGGGCGTTCTCATCGGGAGATTCGAACTCATCGGCATCGAAATCTTCTTCCTCGGCATCAGAATCATTATCAATTACAAGATGGGAGAGCTTCAATGCTCTTCCCACCAAATCTTCTGTTTCGCTTTCACTTCCAGCACTCATCTGGCAACCAAATATCGAGGAATTCTCAGCATCAATAGTTTACAATTTGACTTATGTTTGATCAAAACAAAAAAAAAAATAAAAAAAAGTTGAAGCGGGATGTCTTTGCGCACTCTTTGGGAGATCTAATCCACTTTTAATTTCTGATTACACTGTGGTTATTAAAAATATTGATCATTTCTTTCATCCCTTCGAAGTGAAATGTTCAAATTCAATCATATACCATATTAAACGATATTGCGCTTTTAATCTTAGGCAGTAATCTGAAGAAAATATCGCTTTAAGTGACTTGCGGCAACTTCCTGCATAAGTCACACGCTATTTTTTAGATTTTTTTCAATTGAACACCGTTTCGATTACCAAAGAGATTTGGCATTTTTGCATTGACACTGTCAAAAACCACGAATTTCGATTATTTTATTGGAAAGAAAGGCTGGGACCCAAATATTCTTCTATTTGTTATATTTATACAGAGATAAATCCTAGAAAGATTGATATTTCTTGATAATCATGGATTTAAAGGTGTACATGCCCACGTTCAACATTGAACAATTTGAATCGAGATCAATTCAAGAGTTTCTACAGATATTGGAAGAATCCACTGGCAGACAAAATGCATTCTTCGATGAATCTGTCAATGGTTATGTTGTCTTGAGTAACTCAGATCCATTAACTTCTAAAGAATCTGAGGTCTATATGGACACCTTGAAGAAAGCGTTTATCTCTATTGATCTCTCCGTTCATCCTGCAAAGAATATCACCTCGAGACAATCACAACGGAACAAACAGACAGAGAATTTCCTGATAAGAACTTTCAATTACAGTTTTAAGGACTGCATATTTAATGATTTGGTTACAGTCGCCTCGGAAAATGAAGATGAGGGTGAAGAGGCTGAATCAACATGCCATATTTCGATTTGGAAATTCACTTTACCAATTTCTTACCCCAAAAGAAAGATCAGCAACCCGGAAATTATTATCTCAATATTATTAACATTAAGAAATTACCAAACCATAATCCAAAAAATGAAATTGGCGGAAAAGTACTTGTCAGCTTCGGATGGTTCTGGAGCCAACAACAGTAGTAAACTTATGTTGCATGATAATGCTAGTCTTGACGAGCTCACTTTAAAAGAAGTCTATAAACCTGTTGAAGAGCATAATTTACTACAAGGTTTGGAACCGCAGGTCAAAACAACTGACTTGCAAACTGAAGCTTCACCTATATTACCTACCTCCAAAGTGGGGCATGGTGATCTAGATCATAATAGCGATGAAGGCATTAATAACTTTTCTTTTAAAAATCAAATCACCGCGGAAATAATAAATAACAACCCTAACAAAAGAGCTTCCATGATCTCAAATTTCTCCGTGATTGATTCGATGCCAAAGACCATTAACCTAAATGCCAAGATTTTGTTACCAGTGTATCCAGTGTTAAATATGAGGTTGAAATGTACCAAACCCGCAGGAAGAAATGACATTCTATTGACGACCCTTGAAATTGAATCATCGAAGGAGTTAAACAAGATCAATATGCAGTTAAATTTATTGGAAATTAACATTGAGTTTCCAAATGGGTCGATTAAACCCTTGATACCCCAAGTATTGCAGAAATTCCCAATCACCATCGACTATAATGATAATTTGAACTTCATCTACGAGTTGATCAACAACAACAGTAGTGAAAATCTAAACAAGAAGCCAATAATGGTCAACTTGATATCCCAACCAGTTCCAATAGACGGGCACAAACCTTCTCCTGGTATGGATTCAGATGATTTCACCTCCAGCAAAATTGTTACTCGCTGGAGCACCTTGGTCGACTTCAGCATTGTAGCACCTCCCACAAACACCGCTTTGAAATCACAAAATATGAATGCATCAGGTATCAACGGTGGCAAATCTTCAAAAAACAGAAACTCTATAGTTTCTTCATTATCGTCACCTCAATTGTTTAGTAAAAAAGACAGAGATTTTGACTCATCTTCATCGTTTTCCCTTGGTGTGAATTCTGAAGAAGGAGAAACTGTCGCCAGCACCGATATCCACCAAAAATTGAAAAGCCAAACCAGAACCACTTCCACTTCTCTTACGGTCAACATTCCTAGAACTTCCAAATCATCCGTTCTTAACGGGTTGATCTTGTCATTCCACGGTACTACTAATGTAAAAGTCGGGCAAATATTCAAGTGGAGGATTCAGGCCATTAATAAATCGCATAGAATTTTGAATTTATCACTTTACATACAACCAAAGGACAATAATAACCACTCATTTTTAACTACCAACATGTCGACGACTCCTAATACTGCGAACTCCAGCAGTTTCAACAACGACCATAACAAAATACAATCGAACCAAATCATATACCCTCTTTCAAACCACTCGGATTCTGGAAGCATTAATCTATCTAAAGTGTTTAATCAGACCAAATTGACTCCTAGTGGGATCATTTGTTTGAACAATGATGTGAGAATTGGGCCATTCGATCATTACTCCGTTTTTGAGACTGAGATTAACTTGATTGCTATTGAAAAAGGAATTTTCAGTTTACAAGGGGTTAAGATCATTGATATCACATCGGGTGAAAGTTTTGACTGTGGGAAATTATTAGAAGTGGTTGTATTCGATTAAGGTTTTTTTTTCTATTTGATATTGAATAGCAAAGCATAAACCAAAAAAAGGTTCATTTGCATTTGCTTTCTAAAGATCTCTAGATCTTCCATTCATATATAACTGGATTATTTAAACAAAAACAAAAAAGAAAATACACCAAAGGCATTATTCTCGTGAATTCTTATGAATTGAGATGATTTTGTAGAAACGTATAAAACCATCCCCGATGCGTGCGATGAGCACAGAAAAAAAAAAAAAAAATTAGAAGAAAAAAAAAGAACTTTAAAACCTTCCCAAACACAATAGAACAAAAGTACTTGCTTCTCTCAATACCATTCTGCTATCCTATCATCCATTATCCTCTTCATTTGAAAACATTTTTTACCTCAACAAAACATTCATTCAGCATTAATAGCTCACACTACCATGACCAAGCCAACAACATCCAAGAAATTAAACAACAAAAAAACTGCGGGCAAGAAGAAATTTGCCTCGAATGCCCTGATCTGTAAGTCTACTGGCTCTCTGACTAAAGATAAGAATAAAAAGAGACAGCTCCAGAGCAAGAACTCTAAGTTGATTGCCAACCTCGATAACGATTTGACATCCATCGTCAGGGAAACTCTAGAGGGACAAAAGCAGGATAGTGGGAAAGCATCGTCGCTTAAGGATCTTCAACAATTGAAAGAAAAGGATACTGAAACCATAAGAATTGCAGAAGAGCAGGAAAAGCAAGTGAATAGTGACTTGCTACAACAGTTGCAGAGCATTGATAACATCAAATTGTGAATTTAAACAGAATGTAATTCAACCAAAGAATTTAACATGTGTACTATAGCAGAATTTTAATGAAAATATTTTAATATTATCTGATATTCAAATGTAGACTGGCCTTGATGAAGAACTTCTCGGACTCAATTAAAAAAGGGGCATCTTACAAAAAATGAAAGAAAAAAATCATGATGACCTTGGATATGAAATGTCTATATGAATAAAATATGTAGAATTGGAAAATAAAAGTGAAACAAAGAACAATCTGCCACCTGAACTAGGTTTAAATATGACTTGGTTCTGATGACTGGTTATTTTTATCTTGGCCATTCATGTAATCATTTTCGTCACCACTGTCGATTTCAAAATCCTCAACATTGTGGACCACTTCTTGACTTTCACGGTCTTGGTCTATAAGTAATGATGCATTGTCGGAATCATAATCAAATCTTGGACTGGTTGCACTATATCTAGATTCATCGTCAGATTCTGGGTTGATGATATCAAATTCATAATCTTCAGCTCTTCTACGGTGAGGTCTTCTGCCATTGACCGCCTTAAGATAGAATAAGCAAATACAGAACCCAATGACAATTAATAGGAAGAAATATTCACCATAATGTTTGGTAGTATCATGTCTAAATTTCCCATCCTCATCTTCGTCGTGGGAGTGTTCATTTTCCGGGTTAGAAACATCGGCCTCTGTTCCTTCTGGTTTGGTTTCAGAGTCACTTCCGCTTTCTTCTTCCTTATTTTCGTCTTCTTGTACTTCAGGCTCTTCTTCATCCCCCGGTAGCGGGAATCTTTTAGCTTTGGTGGCATCGATAGTTGGTCCAAATAATTGAAGTCTCCAGCTATTGAGAGTAACATCATTATTTTTATCGTGGTTCATTAATTCAAGGGTCCATTCACCAGCTGGATCTTCTCCCCAATGGGCCACTGACATGAATGTCCAATTCTTGAACCCTTCTGAAGATGTATCTAATTGTCTAGCAATAGCTAATCTCGATTTTCTACCACTTGGAGAAATTAAGTTGGCACTGAACAGACTTCTGGAAGTGGTATCAATATCCACAGTGACGGTCACATGCTCCAACTTTTCAAGGTTAGAATTTTGTGTATCCTTAGCGTCAATACTTATGGTGTCATTGAAAGCAGCATCACCACCGCCAATAACCTTGAGGCTGCTCTTTTTTCTTTGAGAGTAATGCCAAGCTTGAGGTTTGACATTCGTCCAAGTTTTGGCCAATTCTACCATCTTATAAGCATCGATCTTACCAAAACCATATTTATGGGAATATCTCTTCCCAACAGCACAGTCTTGCCACTCACCATCATCTTCATTAATTTCCACCCCACTTAGGATGGTGATATATTGAACATCTCTCCAGGTAAGATCTGGATTGGCTTCAAGAACAAGGGCATAGATACCAGCAGCCAATGGAGCAGCAGCAGATGTACCCCCATGGTGGTCACTACACTGCTCTTTGATATCGGTGGTATGAATATGTTCCCCTGAACCTGAAGAATACGTCACCGTTAACACCGCAGCACACGCCTCGGAATAAGAAGGATGTTTGCCATGCCAATCAATAGCGCCCACGGTAATCGAGTAAATACTATTGGTGTATCCATCGAAATTACAACTATCTCCACGGAACCCACCATTCCCACTAGCAAAAACGTATAAAGAGCCCTTGCCTCCTCTACCATCCAACACGCTTTTGACAATGGATTTCTGTACCAATAATGGTGGAGCTTGCATAGAAGCACCATCGTCTGGTGGACCCCAAGAGCACGAATAAATGTCGTTCAAATCATTACGGTACATCAATGCAGCAGCCTCATCCTCAGCAGTGATTTTCCCACTCAATATTCTGAGTCCAGAAACTTTAGACCCCATGGCGACCCCGACCCCGCAAAACTCGTTTTTTTGGGCGGCGATTTCGCCAGCACATCGCGTACCATGATAATCATCGTCTAACGTTGGCATTGGCAAGTTTTGGTTAGCGTTATAATCCCATGACGCTTCTTTATTGAAGGCATCCCTCAAATCGTCGGAAGTGAAGTCCAAACCATCATCTATGATGGCGACAGTGATATTTTTACCAGTGATCCCGAGATCCCAGACTCCGGTAACGTTCACGTCATCATTTGGGGAGACAGGGTTCACAATATGCCACTGTTTTATAAATTCTGGATCATTAATATTGTATTTTTCCTTGGCGGCAAACACAGGTTCCATTGATGAATCATAGCTCTGTGGTATAGGGGCTCTTTTCTCTAATTTTCTTGGTTCTAACAAATGTAATGCCTTGACACTTAGGTCAGACGCCAATCTCTTATGAATACTGCTGGCCAGTCTCTTCTCAATAGTCAATGCGTCATGATTTGATCCGTGTAGCTGATCATTTATTCCATGAATTGCATTCTCTGGTATCTGGTTAAAAGACTTCAAAGTGGAAAACACGTAATGGTTATCTAACCCTCTAAATTCGTGTTCAAAATTAAAATCTGGAAAGTTGTCAATGAACTGGCGCAATTGGCATTCATTTTGCAACTCCACTGTGAAATAGTCTCTCAAATCGTAATCTCTTTCTGGGATTTTATTATGATGGTCGACGATACTATCTTGAAAACTTTCAGAACTGATAGTTCTCGCGAGGAAAAATAATAGTAAACCAAACAACGAATTTACTCTCATGTTGGAAACTTTTGTAGTGTTATTGTATTATGATAATGAATGATTCTTTGGAATATTTTTTCTGTTCTTTTCTTATTGTTCTAGGAAACAACCAGTTAATCCCAAACTAAAAAAAAAAATGGGGCAGCCAAAAAGAAAAAAAAAAAAAAATGATATCGCCAAGATGTGAATAATACAAAGAGAAACTGAAAATGAAAACAAGAAACAAGAAATCAAGAAACAAGAAAAAGGAGGGAAAAAAGAAGAGCCAGAGTAGTGCGTGAAAGAGATATTATCAGTTATATGATTAGATAAATGTGTCAGGGAGATTTTCTGATCTTTCAGTTTTTTTTCCCTTGTTGTTAATAGTAATTTGTTGATGAGGATCACCCGGCACACTCAAGCTCACTACAAACAGCACACTTTAATCGCAATTTATTAGACGTAAATAATAAACAAAAAAGAAAGAAGAAATAGAAGAAAAAAAAGACCAATTATTGACATTACAGTTACCGTATCATTACTATTGTGCAGCACCGTCTTCTTCCATTCTTTCATCTCCCGACCCATCTTGGGCATCATCATCACCACCTTCTTCTTCAACTGTTACTTGTTCCAAAAACGGTTCAACATCTTCATCTTCATAAATCTTCAAACCATCCTTACCGACAATAGCAATGGTGGTGTTGCTGGTGCTCAATTCACTGTCCTTCAATGTCTGTCTCAAGGCTTCGACACCGTTTTTGATCAATTCTGCATCATTAAGATCGTCAAATGACTCGAAATTCTTTTCCAAGAAGGTCTTTGCCCCTTGTGATCTAGCACCAATGGCGTTAGCTTTGTACTTTAACACGTTACCAGATGGTTGGAACTCAAACAAATGCGATCCGCTCTCGTCGTAACCAATAATAAGCAACCCGACCCCATAAGGTCTGGAACCATAACTCTGGGTATTTTGTTGGGCTTTATCGGCCAACAAGTTCGCAGCCTTTTGTATTGAGATTGGTCTATTGAACAACATCTTTGATTCCATTGCTTTAGTTCTAAGGAAATTGGACAAGACTCTGGCGTCTGGGGCCAACCCGGCCAAAACAATCGCTAAATGATCATCTATCTTGATCACCTTCTTGTGATACGACCCCAAATCCTCAGCGTTTCTCTTCAATGCCACCAACACAGCATTGTTCTTGGAAGTCAACCCGACAGCAGCACTACCCTGTTTAATAGCTTCCAACGCGTATTCTACTTGGAATAAACGACCGGTAGGCGAGAAAGTGACAGCATCACTATCATAGTTATTTCTAAACTTTAGCAATGGTTAGCAAAAAAAGAAAGAAAACAAAAGCAAAAACAAAAGAAAACAATAATAACCAGAATTCCGAAGAGCTCCCAATTACAATACTCACCATCTTGTAACGATTATAAACTCTTAATATCCAGCAACGGATCCTTCCACCACTAAGTGAAATTCCCAGTGGCGGTTTTTTTATGAATGTCCCCTTGCCTAACATTTTTTTTCCACCGCTTGTTGTGTGCCCTGGTATGTGTGCTCCAACGGTGCGGGTACATCTACTACTAAATCACATCCTACAGCTAAATTATCATCAATAATAAAATCAAATTAATTTGAAAAAATAATTTACACCCAGGAAATACTATATCTCTAGATAATCATTATGAACTGCTCAACTTCTTCATTTTCTCGACTCTTTGATGCACCCTCTTCAAACTCAACTTGACATCCCCTTTCTGGAACGCGTCCAAGTTGTAATAGTTTGAAGCTAGCTCAAACAACCATTCCGGTCTTATCGCCGTCACTGTTCTAATATAATTCTTACTTGTCAACACAAATTCGTTGTAAATCACCCATTCACTATCTTGCGCCAATACTGTGCTTGGGTGAATCAATACTTCTTGGTTATCCTTAATTGTCAAATATCCTTTAGCACCAGACTTCTTCTTGGCAACTTGCATAAAGAATCCTGCGGTCAACGCTTTTCTAATGTTATCAAAATAGTTTTTGTCAGATTGGTCATTAGGTGAGACCAAGTCGATATAATTGATGTCCATGATTCTTTTCAATTGCTTTCTCACGTTATCGGCACTTTGCAAAGATCTATATGACAAGTAATTTTCCCTGCACCAAGATCTCATTGGTTGTTCTTTGGAATCGTCCATGCTCTTGTATGCTTGGAAGGCATTTAATAAAGTGATGTGATCGCCATCAGGGTGGGCAAAAGCAGCTTTAGCCTCATCAGCCTGTTTTTTAGCAGCAACTGGTCTAATAAAAGCGTTTGGAACACTCAACATCGAAACAATAGTCAAAATTTCATTCGAGCAATTGAATTTAGGAGAACCAATCAACATCACTGCCAAAGTTGGGTCTAATGGGAAAATGGATGCCAATCTCCCTAATGCGGTCAAATTACCATCGTCATCAAGACATTGGAGATAATTCAATTCTTCAAGAGCCCGCATCATGGTTTCTGGGGCTGGAGGATCCATGAAATCAAAGTGAACCAAGTCATCGACTCCTAATTTCTTCAATTCTAGCACCGTACTCGACAAATTACATCTTAAAATTTCGGGATAACTTTGCTCAATCAATTCTTTCTTGAAAGCTTCTTCAGTGTATAATCTAAAACATTTACCTGGTTTTGTACGACCAGCTCTACCGGCTCTTTGTTGAGCGGAGGCTTTAGAAATTGGAGAAACCAAAAGCGATTCCACTCTAATTCTTGGGTTATACACTTTTTGTTTAGAAAACCCTGGGTCAACAACGTAAACCACCCCGTCAATGGTCAACGAGGTTTCGGCAATGTTAGTGGAAATAATAACTTTTCTACCTGGTCTGCCATTAGGAGTCAATGGCTCTGGAGCTGGCTCAAAAATCTTTTGTTGTTGATTTGGTGGTAATGACCCATATAATGGATAAACTTTCAACGGTCCACAGTTTTGTTCTCTGATCAATTCATCAGCTTCCAATCGAAGTTTGAGACAACTGTCTTCGATTTCTTCTTCACCAGTCAAAAATAAAAGAATATCCCCTTCATCTTCAGTGGCATGGATTTGTAAAACTGTTCTGATAGCAGAATCCAAATAATCACTTTGGTATTCTGGAGTGTAATAAATCTCAACAGGATGAGTTCTACCAGGAACCGCCAATAATGGAGCGTCATTGAAATATTTTTGGAATTTTTCAGCATCCAAGGTAGCAGACATAACAACCACTTTCAAGTCTTTTCTACGGGAAGTGACTTGTTTGATCAACCCCATCAAAATATCGGTAGCTAAAGTACGTTCGTGGGCTTCATCGAGAATAATACATGAATACTTGGACAAATCAGCGTCTTCCATAGCTTCTCTCAACAACATACCATCAGTCATATACTTCAAGATTGTTTTATTAGAGGTACAGTTTTCAAATCTGATACTGTAACCCACTTCATCACCCAATTTGACATCCATTTCATCGGCAACTCTTCTGGCAACAGAAGTAGCCGCCACTCTTCTTGGTTGGGTACAAGCAACTTGCTTGTTGTGTAAATGTGGCATTTCATCATATAAGACAAATTGAGGGATTTGGGTGGTTTTACCAGAACCGGTTTCACCAACAAACACCATGATTTGTGTCAGTTGATAGATCTTCAAAAACTCATCTCTTTGAGCATGCACTGGCAAATCACGACGGACTTTCAAGATCTTGAAATAGTTACTAGAAAAATCTTCCCCCGTGAAAGGATTCTTTTCACCAGATTCCAATCTTTCAGCATCTTCCGCAGTGGTTTCATGAGGTTTCAACCCTTTGAATTCCCCAGCGTCATGATGAACAGTTAATTCATCAACGGGTTCGGCGTGTGGACCTTCTGGAGCCAATTTTTCAACGACTTCTTCAGCCTCTTTTTCAGCCTCACTTTCTTTGGCAACCTTGGCCTTCTTTCTTGGTCTGTCGCTCCCCATTTTGTGTTGATGCTGATGTTTATAGAAGTTTGATGAATATCTTCTCTTCAATTAAAAGAAAATAAAAAAAAAAAAAAATTTTTTATGCACCATCTTTCTTTATTGTGGTGCGCTTAGCCCTGCGATGAGCATCTCTGCTTAGAAAATTGGACAATTGGCCAGATATTATTATTATGGTTCAATAAATCGAGTATTCATTATGATATTATAATCTATTCCATAGGAAACAAACACATCTATACTGTATTACACACATACAAAAAAAAAAAAAAAAAAAAACTGAAAACTAAAATCCATTTTACTTTGTAAATATTTTTTTATCAAATCGTATAACCATCACCGTTATATTATCGGTGCTTAAATTCTTCATTGCATGGTCTACCAAAATCTTTGATTGTTTATTTGGATCGGGTTCTTCTCGGATCAAGTCCACGGCTTCTTGATCTGATAAAACATCCCACAACCCATCACAAGCCAAAATCAAAAATTCATCATGTTCATTAATTTCAATGGCGGTGGTGTAAGGTCTACCGATAATAAGGTTTTTTAAATATGTGTCACCTAATGATCTGGTAATTGCAAGCACCCCGTTCACCCGATTCTTCATTATGAGACCACCCGCCTGGATGATTCTATTTCCTTCATTGACATCACTGCCCTTATGGTCATAAGATAATCGAATAGCATAACCAGATCGGCATAGTACGAGTCTGGAATCACCGACATTGGCGGTGTACAACATCCGCTTATGGTTGGCAGACGGTAAAAAGTCAAACAACTCTTGCATTTCCTTGACGTTTTGATTGATGAACGATTTCCGGTTGATGCCATCACTGGCGTTGCTTTTGGATTCTTTGTCAGGATCAACATCTTCTGGAAGATAGTCCTTGCTTTTATAATTATTTGTCGTGGCAGAGTGCACCTTATCTTGGTATTCGTCATCTAATTCCCAGCGCATTATCGCCACCGCGGCAGTACACCCGCTTGTACCTATATTATTTGTGGATTGTGAAATCAACTTATCAGCTTGTTGGAAACAACTGTCCAAACAATCTCTAACGTCTTTATCATATTCTTCGGTTTCTTGGTCGGTGAATCCCTGTGTACTATCGACAGTGGTTATTGCGTCTTCTTGTGTCATACCGTCTCTTGATTTCCACTTGGCTCTCTGCTGTTGTTTTTGTTCATTACTGAGCAATTCTTTCTCCAACAACAAGTGTAAGTTTTGGCCGCACCATTTGGCACTACTTTTCCCAGCATGACCATCAAACACTGCGAAATAGCCCCAATCCAATCTTTCGACAAAGTTGGCGACATAAGTGTGAACGTCTTCCATAGTTAATCTGTACTTTGAGTTTTTGTTCTCTGAAACCCCTACGGTATATGATAATTTATAACTCATTTGAGCCTCGTCACTATCTTTTTGCTGGTCTAATTTTTTTGATTCTCGTTGTTCTTGAGGATTATCTGTCTGTGGTTGTTGAGATCGGGCAGTTTCCGATGACAGGGTGTCATGTTTCTTGTGGAAGATTTTCCCCAATATATTTTCGCTTTTAGGAGGGGCGCTAAGGTCTTCTGACATTATTTATGGTGCCTAGTGTGTATACTATGAAGGTCTGAAAAAATGAGGTATCGATGATAACAGTGCAAAGTGGGACAGGTATCCTCATCTACGAATCCCCCATAAAAAATAAGAGAAAGAAAAAAGAAAAAATATAAAAAAAATCACGTTTTTTGCTAATAGGACTTCCTTAATAAACACCCAGCAGCCAGTATCTAACATTGTACCTCTGTAAATTGTGCTTTCTGTCTTGAGAGATTCTTTTGCGAGAACTGTGGATGGTTTTTAGTGTAGTGTAGTCCTTTTTATTAAGCATTGATAGAAATTATGCGCGAAACAATATCAATGCCCGATGCCGCCTGTTGATTAATTGTGCAATACTTGTTCTCTTTACCATGCAATATCTTATATAATTATGTAAATAGTTTAAATGAAAATAAATTTGATAGTCTTGGAATCATTCAATTTATTTAATTTGGTTTTACTATGCACGACGATCACATCCGTCATGAAAATAGTAAAAAAAGAAATCTTTTCCTACCGTAGGTTGTTTATGTGTTCTGAAGGTAAGCTATTTCTTGGAATGTTTCTGAGTTTAAAATAAAGTAAATCTCAAATATATTCCTCAATTCTTTGCTCCTTTTCTTCTCCTTTTTTTTTATCTTCTTTCTTCCTTTCAATACTTCAATCTTCCAATAGTGTCAATTTTTCGTTGTAAAATGATGCAATTTGATTGATGAAAAAAAGATCAAATAACAATCTTCCTCAATTGCTTTTGGTGGAAAAAAAAAAAAAAAAGATACTACAGTCACTCTTCCCTTAAATTGCTTGCTTTTTCTAGAGTCAAAGTTTAATTGTAAATTTGTGATAACTTATGGATTTCATATTGTACATGGGTTATTTGATTTACTTTTTGATTGTTTGGCCTGTTGCATAGGGGCGAGTATGTATTATCAGTTGTAAGAACCACTAACCTTTTCGAATTACCACTACTCGAAAGAATGTGATCACATTTAACTCAAGAAAATTGCTCCTGAAGGTTAGATTCGTGTTAAGCTTTTTTTTTTTTTGAGAGGCCTTTATAACCCATATCGCTACAGTTTTCTTCTGAATAACACCATTTCCTCATTGCTCAAGAATTTTTGCTTAGTTATTACACTTTGTCCAAGAGTAATATTCAATGACATAAAACTAATCTTTACTTCTATTTCATCATGACAGGAGTTTGATCAAACAAGTAAGTATCGTGCAATTTCTCACTTCATTAGGTAGGATCAGCCGTTACAAATATTTTCCTAATATTTGGGAGACTACTTAATTGAGAAGGTACTAGGTTAATAACAAACTTTATTCAATGTTTCTAATGTAAAATCAAAAAGAGGATAAGAAATATCTCATGTATTAGACAAATCATATAATTCACTGATTACTCTAAGGATTGTTCTTGTAATCTCTAATTGCAACTAGCAGAAAAGCGTCTCTATAAATGGTAAGGAGCTACGAAAAAGAATGAGAGTGTAATTATTCTCCACGCCATGTTTTCAATCAACACAGATTTACTGAGCTGTAATAGACACGACTATTGGTAATAGTTACCACTACGGTTTTCACAACACAATTCAATCATTTATGATAACCCAAATTATAATTAAAAATTATAGTACTCAAAAAAAGCAAAACACACAATCATTGAGATATCTGATTAAGATGCTCTATATAAGTTTTCATTTTGTCCCAAGATTCGGTGAAAGCTTTGTCACCAATAGTTAGTAACTCATCATCATTTTTTTCACCACCGTCATCGTCCTTCAAGGTTAAATCAGGATCATGGAACATTCCAAGATAAGGAATCCTCAAAAACGATTCTTTGATTAGGGAGTCTCCTAAAATGTTATTTTGGAAAGCATCGGAATACTCAGCTATATAGTCTCCCAAATCTGTTTGATTATTGATGAGCTTAGTCCGCTTAGACATGTCAAGAAACCCATCATTAGGATTCATTTGATAGGTAGGATTATTACGATACTTCAAATAGTGTTTGTGAGGCAGGTCAATCGCAGGTACTTCGACAGCAATATTAGAGTCGTAAAATGAGATAATGTGGGCCAAGCTGTTAAATAAGCTTGGTAACGAGCTTTTAATGATAATTGTTGATAAATTACTGAATTCAAATGTTGATGCAGTGGACAGTGATATCAGCGTTACTCCAAAAGTTTCACAGGTACTGAGAATTGAATGAAGTTTATCAATTTTATTGAAAACATACTGGTTCACGAGAAGGGTCACGGTGTAGTTCTTGGTATTGATCGTGCCAACATTATCGAAGATCTTCTGCTGGGTTTGATTGTAAAGATAATAAGTTAATTCCACAATAGCTGCCGCAACTTTTCCGGCACTCCCAATGATTTCCACTTGATAATAGATGCTATCTGAGTTGATTGAGGAGAATAGTATTTTTGATACGTTTAAATAGTTGCAGAAGTCTTGTAATTCGTCATTATGTTGTTGCTTGACCCGTAGTTTCAACAATTGTAGTTCGGTAGTCCCCACTAGTATTGAAGCAATGCATTCTTTCTCATTATTACCAACAAACTGTTTAGGGAAATTGAAGATTTCATTGATGGTGGATGATGTAATCCTCTGCTGTTCTTCGTGGCTGGTGGATGAGGTTGACGATTCTGGGGCTTCTTTGGGTTGGTTGGTTTTCTGGGCCTTGAATGGCTTAGTGCCATTCAGTGAGTTCTTAGCTCTGGATCTCTTTGGAGGCATGGTTACGATTATACGATATTTATTGGTGTCATACACAGTGCGGTTGGCACTAATTAATCTGATTGTCTAGTTGTAGGAGGTTCCTCATCGCGGGTAATCGCACGCATCCCTCCTCTGGCACACCACAAGGAAAATTTTTTTTTTTTTTTTTCTGTAGGTGAAATTTTTTAAATTTTGCAGTGACAAGGTATCTGTGATATATTATAATTATTATCATTAATACATCAATAACAAAGACAAAAAATGGGTAAAAGTAAGAGTTCCTCTAAAGAGTCCAAGTCCGTGGTCAAGAAGTCCAAGACTGAATCTTCCAGCAAAACCGCCGATGACTCTGTCGATAACTACGAAAAGAGAATGCCTGCAGTTTTGACTTTTGCTAAACCTTTGGCATCCAAGAAATTGAACAAGAAGACCCTCAAGACCATCAAGAAGGCTTCTAAGGCCAAGCACGTCAAGAGAGGGGTCAAGGAAGTTGTCAAGGCTTTGAGAAAGGGCGAAAAAGGGTTGGTGATTATTGCCGGTGACATTTCCCCAGCTGATGTGATTAGTCACTTGCCAGTGTTGTGTGAGGACTCAAGTGTTCCATTCGTTTTCATCCCATCTAAGGAAGATTTGGGAAGCGCTGGTGCCACCAAGAGACCAACCAGTTGTGTGATGATTGTTCCAGGTGGTGGCAAGAAAAGCAAGAATAGTGAGGCTAAGGAAGAATACAAAGAAGGTTACGATGAGATTGTCAAGGAGATTGCCACTTTGGCTTAAACATGTTTCTGACCAGAAATATTTGCATTATTCCCTGCATGACTTTTTTATTGATGTGAACCATTTCCCCTTATCTTCTCCCCCTACCCAAAACAGCTCCCACAATCCACAAATTTTTTCTATATAAAGCCCTGCCATTGTGATGTTTTTGTACCATATATGTTATTATTATTGTCTATCTGTGTTTTTATAAATCAAATGACCACCATATACCGGTCCCTCGTAAGCCTTTATAACAGAATACTCATCGAACGATTGTATAAAATCACCCAATAAACGCTAATGGCGGCGTGCGGGTAGCAGGTGAAAAAAATCAAGCGATGAAAAAAAAGCGTTTTTCGTTATACGAGCGACACGAAAGTAATATATTTCTTATATATATATATATTATTATTATTATTATTGCACTCAGTTCTTTCTTTTTCTAGAAGTACCAGTAATTGTATTTGTTGCTGCTGCTGTCGTGTGCTTGAAGAAGAACAGGTTGAAATAAAGGTAATAACACAAACCATGGCTGATTCAATCATTTTATCGCAGGCGTCGTCCGCCTTTGAAAAACTCCAAGAGTTGTCCAAATTTCAAATTGCTGGGTTGTTATTGGCCATCCCATTTATCTATAACATTGTTAGCCAATTATTATACAAGTTAAGAAAGGACAGAGTCCCATTGGTATGGTACTGGATCCCATGGTTTGGTTCTGCTATCCCATATGGTATGCAACCATACGAGTTCTTTGCCAAGTGTCAGAAACAACATGGGGATATCTTTGCCTTTATGTTGCTTGGGAGAATCATGACCGTTTACCTTGGACCAAAAGGCCACGAATTCGTCTTGAACAGTAAGGCCTCTGCTGTCAGTGCCGAAGAAGCTTATACCCATTTGACCACCCCAGTGTTTGGTAAAGGGGTCATTTATGATTGTTCGAACCAAAGATTGATGGAACAAAAGAAATTCGCTAAAGGGGCATTGACCAGAGAATCTTTCAAATCTTACGTGCCAAAGATTAGAGAAGAAATTTTGGGATACATGAACAGATCATCAAATTTTATGGGACCAGAAAAGAAGGACCACGGGATTGCCGATGTCATGGTCACTCAACCAGAAATCACGATCTTCACTGCTTGTAGAAGTTTGTTGGGTGAACAAATGAGAGAAAGATTCGATGAGAGTTTTGCCCAACTTTATTCTGATTTAGACAAAGGGTTCACTCCAATTAACTTTGTGTTCCCATGGTTGCCATTCTTGTCGATTTATAAGCAAAGAGACAATGCCCAAAGAAAGATTTCTAGTACTTACATGTCATTGATCAATGAAAGACGTGCGAACAACGATATTCAAGACCGTGACTTGATTGACACCTTGATGAAACACTCTACTTACAAGGATGGTGTGAAAATGACCGACCAAGAAATTGCTAACTTGTTGATTGGTGTGTTGATGGGTGGTCAACATACTTCTGCTGCCACCTCCTCTTGGTTTTTGTTGCACTTGGCTGAAAAACCAGAATTGCAAGAAGAATTGTTGCAAGAACAAAAGAAGATCCTTGGTTCAAGAAAAGAAGTCACTTATGATGATTTGGCCAATATGCCATTAACTAACAATGTGATCAAAGAAACTTTGAGAATGCACATGCCATTGCACTCGATCTTTAGAAAAGTCACCCAATCGTTACCAGTTCCAGGCACTTCGTATGTTGTTCCAAGAGGTCACCACGTTTTGGTTTCCCCAGGTTTTGCTATGACCAACGAAGCTTATTTCCCTCATGCCGAAGATTTCAACCCACACCGTTGGGACAATGTTGCCGACAACAACGGTGATGAAAAAACTGTTGATTATGGGTTTGGTGCTGTTTCAAAAGGTGTCAGCTCTCCATATTTGCCATTTGGTGGTGGTAGACACAGATGTATTGGTGAACAATTTGCTTATTGTCAATTGGGTACCATTTTGAGCACTTTTGTCAAGACCATGAAGTGGAGATTAGTCGATGGAGAAACCAAGATTCCACAACCAGATTACCAAAGTATGGTCACTTTGCCAGAACAACCAGCCAAAGTTTACTGGGAGTTGAGAGATAACAGAGATGATTGAATAATATTTGTGTGAATGGATTTTTTTTTTTTTTTTTTTTCAAAAAAAAGAAAAAAAAAAGAATTATATTATTTTCTAATTACATCTTTTACGATTTTGTTCTCTTTTTTTCTTTTTTCTTTTGATACACAAGTTTTAGTTAATTTATTTTGTTTTGTTTATCAGTTCGTATGAAATAATCTTTAGCTATTATTTCCCTATTTGAAATTTTATTAATTGTTTAGAGTAATATATTCGTAATGCTTTTTTTTTGTTTCTTCATCCTAAATTGAATTAGATTTTGAATTATTTTATTCCATTCCCCGGTATCTTGTATCAAATGCCAAGGAATGGACGACATCCATGTCTTTCAAATAAAACAACAAACGAGTTACCAGAAAATATATTGTATTCCATCAACTGGGACCGTAAAATAGTCCATGGTCCCGCAGCATAGTGGTGGACACCGTACGCAGTACGGCCCCAGCATTGGCCACAGGGTACTGCGCACTGGGCCTAAAGCTGCTGGAGAATGTTGAGCTTCCAGAGTATAAAATATTGAGATAATTCCTTCAAAATAATACATTTTTAATACATTTTTTATTCTATTCATTTACTGAAGGACTCTTTGTAATATTAAATTAGAAAATTCCACAAAAATCACCATGAAGATCAACGCTTTAGCCTCGTCTGTCGCCCTTTTGGCGGTTGCTGTTAATGCCAAACACGCTGTCGACACTCCTGAAGCCAACACTGTCACCGAAGTTCCAACTACTGCTTCTTCTATTACTGAAACCACTACTTCCACTTCATCCACTGCCTTATCTGCCTCTACCACCGTGGCTGCCTGTACCGATTACGCCTGTATCCAATCAGAAGCCGTCAATGACGAAACCTCTTCTGGCTACTCCATCACCCATGTGGTTTCCACGAGCTCATACGACTCCACAACATACACCTCTGAAGGATCCTCTACTTCAGCTTCTGATTCTGCTACTGCTGGAGACTCGGTAGCCGCCACTACTAGTGGTGCATCCGGTACCAAATCCACCACTGCAGGTGCCGATCATACTTCTTCTGAAGCCACTGCCATCCATACTATCGCCAGTAACAGCACCACTTTGCACCATTCTGCTACCACATCAGCTGAATCATCAGCTACTTATGGTTCAGTTACTGGGGATCTTACTGCAACTTATGGTACTTCTGGGGCCGTCAACACAACTTCGAAATCCAAATCTTCTGCTGGTGAAGCTGATCACTTACGTGCCACTGGTGGTCTATTTGCTTTGGCCATCTTTGCCATTTCTTTATTCTAAGTTTGGAAAAAAAAAGGCACTCCCACATTTCGGTTCATCATTTTGTATTATTAATTCCATACGTTGATGTGCGGTGGTTTCCTCTTGATGAATAAAATCACCACATCGTGTAATTTTGTTATTTTTTATTGGTTCATTTTATTATTATTAGTTTTTATCAGACTTGTTTTGTTTCACTATTTTTTATCTTTACATATTGCTCATTCCTTTAGACATATTCTTAGTAAATTGGACTCTATTGTACCGTTATTTTACAAAAAAAAAAGAATCATTTTGTAGATTCGCTCATTGGTATTATTATTATTATTATTATTGTACAAGTTTTAGTCCCTTTGGTAAATATATAGGAATAACCAAAAGTAGCATTTATAATATATCTGTAATGAAGACCATCAATCCCTTGAAAATTTAGTCAGCAGAGTATCAAGCCAGCTTTTCAAGCTTGGAAAAATCAACATCGAAACTTGATCCACAACCACATGCACTCTTGGTGTACGGACTATCAATCACTTTAAAAGATGTACCAATCAACTCTTTCACATAATCAACTTTTGACTCTCTAAGGATCAATAAACTGGAATTGTCCAACACCACTTTTGCGCCATCTCTGTTGAAAATAGAAGTTTCATCATCGTTCAAATCATCGACAGTCAAATTTTCAAGTTTCGTCTGGTTAAGGTCCTTTTTGATTACTTTATCTTGGAATAAGTCTATCAATTTCAAATGATATTGAAACCCATGACATCCTCCAGATTCCACTGTCACTTGTACCGCAAGATTGCTATTCTTATCTTCGGCCATGAGTTTTTGAAGTTGATTGCAAGCATTACGGCTGATGGCCACTTTCAAAGGCTTGGAATCATCATTATCAGCAAACTGCTCGTTGAAGATCAGAGTCTTTGCGAATGTGGTTTCGAAATCTTCCACCAACGAGTTATTTTTCTTAGGAATAGTAGTAGTAGTAGTAGTAGTAGTAGTAGTAGTAGTAGTAGTAGTAGTAGTAGCAGCAGTAGTCGAGGGAGACAGTGAACCTGTAGGCTTGATATTGTTGTACACTGGAGATTGCATGTGCAATCTTCGCTGGGCTAAAGCTGGAACCATTCTTGCGAACGGGAATCCATATAGTGATCTAGACGATTTGACAACCCTGAACATTATTAATGTTATTGTTATTGTTATTATCACTGTTTGGTAATTAGCCAATGGCTAAAGATCATTAGTAATGGTAATAATTCTTACCTGGTTTTTTTTTTGAATAAGCGTCTGCACGTGACAAAAAATGAACTGTGATTGAAAACCGTCATCGCACACAATTATCATCACGATGTTGAAGGAAATTGATGCTACATAAAAACCCATAATAACAATGCTCGTCCCTCCCACGAACTTCGGGATCGTCGAGGACGGGGTATATAGAGCCTCGTATCTTGATCTGATCAATTTTTTTTTCCTTGAAACATTACACCTCAAATCAATTCTTTTAGTGGATGCAGAGAAGCCCCCATCTCACTTCTACAAGTTTCTTCATAAAAACAAGATCCAATTGTACCAGATTACCAACCGGAAGCTGAAAATGAAACAGGACAATGACCAAGGGAGCTCCAATCATCATAGCGACAAAAAGAAATATCAATATCGGCGAAATGCCACTTTGCCCGGGCTTCACGAGCCAGACGTTGGTGGTGAGGATGATGGAGACCTTGAACGCAACGTTATCTACATTTACAACGATTCGTCCCTTGTGTCTTCTTCCCCGAGTTTTGACGACTCTTGGATGGTCATGAAACGGAATTTATTATCGAAGATATTCGGAGTGGTGTTGGACAGGTCGAATTACAACTTGATGATTGTCGATTCCATCTGCGTGGTGGCGTCGTTACTAAGGAAAATTGAGAAATGGAACTATTCTAATTTGATTAGCGAGTATAGGTTTTACGCAGGAAAGAATAAGACATTCCAAATTGAAAACTTTTTAGAGATAATTCAGATCGAATTGGTGCCTGCGAAAAAAATCGAGGATAATAATAACAATACTAATAGTGATAAATCCGGAGAACCTTCACCATCATCGGAAGAGCTACGAGATAATAATCAAGGGAAATTAAGACAACCCAGTATGATAAAGCAGAAAAATAGTATTGAATCTAAACGACAAATCACTATCCCAATCAATCAGCAGCAACAAAATTCACAAATTAGTCCGCAACAGAATAGAGGAAGCTTTGCCAGTGTTTGGAGCGGAGGAAGTTATGAGTACTACCAATCTCCAAGAACTAATTATCGAAGTCCAAGAAATATTACCCAATCAACCCAGGATAATAAAGGAGACATGTGTGGTTCTAAAGTCACCCAGTATTCTTTCAAAAGCCAAGATGACTCCTATGACAACTCGTATAAAAGTATGTTACATTCTGCAGGAGATTCGCCGGGATTAGGGTTGAGTCCGCTGATTAACAAAGAGGAAAATGCTTCTTCCTCACCGCAGATCCCTAATAATTTATTGAGATTTATGGAGATCCGAAAGAAGAACAAACAAAACTTTGATGAAGAAGATCAAAAGAATTCGGAAGATGTTGTTTTGCCATTAGAGGATTATGACAAGGCTAATGGCGAGCAGCATAAATCGCTTCTCAGTGCCGAGTTGGCCCATGATAAACATCTCGACGAGACTAACCAAAGTGATAGTATTAATGAGGAAGGATTGGAGCTAGTGGATAATAAAGATAAAGAAGAATACTCAGACTATTTGAAGGATGAGAAATACTTTGACTCGTTCTATAAGCCTTTACTGAGTGAGAAGTTTGATAAGATAAAGAATCACATCAAGTTGAAACTCCCTACGGAAGAAAGACTACCAGGATGGTTCAAACAGCAGCGAGCCCTCTGGGTCGAAGAGTACAAGGAGATCAATGGGATATGAAGGTGGTGGCATTGATAATGAACGTTGGCTTGAAAGTATCTCCGAATGTAGGATGAGATCGTAGTGCGGATAGCGTTGCGCATTGGGTAAAAAATGCTCATCTCCAAAAGAATTTTTGATTTTTAATTAGCGTAAAACCATCGATGGGCCGTTAGGAAGGAGAATATCCTGGGTGTTAGTGAGCTATCTCTTTCGTTTTTTATTATCAACTATTCTTTTGCTCTCTTTTTTTTTTTTTTTGTCTTTTTCATTCTTTCATTCTTCCTTCTTGGCTTTCTGTTCTTTCTAGCCCCGACCAGCTTAAAGCGCGAATCCAAAGATCATCTCACAAACAATGATCTTGGTAGAAGGAGAAAAGTACGCGTGTATACAGTGTATTCGAGGACATCGATCATCAACATGCCAACATACTGGTCGTCCCTTGGTCCAGGTTCGCTCTCGGGGTAGACCATCAAGTATCTCTGGTCACCGAGTCGCAGTGTTTGCCGAGGACTCTAACACTAAATATGAAACCAAACAAAGACGACTGCCGACCCCCGGTAATAAAAACAACAACAACAACAACAACAACAACAACAACAACAACAACATCAATAATAGTAATAACTGTGGCAAAATATCAAAGACCCGTAGTGCATGCGCTTGCTGCCCTACGAAATCGATGGCCACCGATGGGAGAGTCATCGTGGTACGGGCCTCAAAGAGAAGTCTTGTGGATGTGACGGACGGATCAGTGAAGGTCTTGGGACCAATGAAGGAAAGTTCGAACCGGCCAACAATCGCTACATACACATTAAACCCCCAGCTGAATTTCCAAAGCAGTTCAAGGGGTGGAAATCTGGTAAAGGTGAAAAGTTGTTGCCTGAAAAAGAACAATATATCAAAACAAGAGGAGACAGTGAAAGAAATACCAAATAACACGGATAGTTGCAGAGCCACCATTCCCACAAAAAGTTGTTGTGGAAGTGAGCTGCCTAACAAGAAGGGGGGATGTTGTGGAAGTGGTAAACAAGGTCCAGTTAATAATAAGAGCTGTTGCGGGAGTGGTAAAACAGATCCAATCAAGCCGGAAATTGATCCAGAAGCTGATTTCAAGAGTGGTTGCAGAATCATTAAATTTGAGAATTATAATGGGACAAAGGATCAAAATTATAAAGCCGCCGCCACGAAAACTGCAACATCAATATTATCTACAAATATCGTTGACCAGCAGCCTGATATGTTCACCTCCCAAGAGATTCGAGAGTATTTTGCGAATTTCACAGCCCAACCATCGATTCCGTTGGATTTTGGTACTGGTGGTCACACCACTTGCTCTTGTGATGATTCGTGTACTTGTGATCTGTGTATTATTCATGGTAATATCCCTGGTAATATCCCTGGTAATATCCCTGGTAACATCGGGAATTTGGATAGCCGAACTACACAAGGGTATGGGCAAAACTTTTTCACTAATGCCACAGGACATATGAATGGTACAGGGAATTTTAATGGAACAATGAATCTCCCTGACGGTACTATCACCAACTTGAATTACTTTCAATACCCTCTGGTGAGACCTGTGGCAAACCCTGGCCAGCTACTCACCCAACAAGTGCCATCGCTACCTCAAAACAACATCATTAATGACGTTGCTACACCATATATTGCAACAGCACCAGCACCAGCAGCACCAGCACCGATGGGGATGGCTGCTACTGATCTGGGAGATAATAATGTGTTGTACGATCTTATCTTTGCCAACTCTTGCACGATTCCCGGCTCGTGTGGATGTGATGATACCTGTAGCTGTGAAGGGTGTTTGGTACATTCCAAGCCCCAGTATGGTTAGCTACTTCTATATATATATATATATATATATACATGCCTGTAATAGTAGATGATTTATGTTATGCGGTGATTATTGTATGGCGTGCGGTTAATCATTTTCTAGCCACGCATCAAAAAAAAAAAAAATTCCAAAAATTCAACCAAAAAAAAACAGTAAATGGAGAAGATAAATATCCATCACTGAATCAAAGAAAAAAGAAGTACACAGTGTAAAAGAACTGGCCAAAATAATAACAATCCCATTTGATTACGGAATAGAGGTGGAAAAGAAACAAAAATAAACGAAAAAAACAAACAATTCACATATCACGCTCATTTATCGCCAATTATTATTAATTATTATTCATCGCCCCATTTCCCAGTTTCCCAGATGGACACCTCCAACGTATCTTACGCTTCTTCGATCGCTGCTGCCGTGGTGGATCCTGAACGCGAACTCTCTGCTCGTATAACCTCTCTCATTGACCGCATTAAAACCTTACCTGGTGGGGCGATCCTCATTCGGTACATCCAATCTTCATACCAAGATGACCCGATCCGAACCGTGATTGAGATCTTCTTGATGTTGTTTGCTGTCCGTTATTTCTTTTCCAAAAAGACTTCTCCTGACTCCAAGGAAGCAGTGCCTTTATCAGAAAAGGAAATTGATGAATTGTGCAAGCAATGGAAACCAAGACCTCTTGCGGAACCAGTCACTGAGGCCGAACTCTACAAGTTGAAGAAGATCCCAGTATTGGCTGGGGCCGTGGATAAGAAGATCACGATTTCTGGTGAAAACTACTTGGACTACAACAGACAGTTTGCGCCTGAAAAAAGATACGACGTCGAAGGGATTGAGTGTCCTGAACCACCACTTGAAGATGTTTTGAACTTGGCGAGCCTTGATTTCTTGAACTTGTCTCATGACCCGCGTCTTTTGGAAATCGCCGCCAATATCATCAAGAACCATGGGGTCGGCGCCTGTGGGCCTCCGGGGTTCTTTGGGAACCAGGATGTGCACATCAGATTGGAACAACGCTTGGCTGAATGGTACGGTGTGGATTCTGCAATTGTTTACGGACAAGACTACTGTACCCCAATTTCGATTCTCCCAACATTTTTGAAGCGTGGTGATATTGCGATTGTCGACGCTGGCTGTAGTTTGGCCATTCAAAAGGGGCTCCTATTATCTCGTTGTCAAGTGGTTTACTTCGAACATAGAAACTACGAGCACTTGGCCAACACTCTTGAAGAACTCCAGGAAGAACTTCAAGATATTAAACCGCTCAACAGAAGAGTCATTGTCAGTGAAGGGTTATTTGCCAACACCGGTGATTTCGCCGATGTGCCAAAATTGGTGGAAATCAAAAAGAAGTACAAGTTCAGATTATTTTTGGATGAGAGTTTGTCGGTAGGCTCAATTGGACCTCATGGACGTGGGGTTGCCGATTATTATGGAGTGCCTGCGTCTGATATCGATATCTTGACCGGCTCGTTAGCTAACTCTCTTGCCTCTAGTGGTGGATTCTGTGTTGGTGAAAAGCCTATGATATTTTACCAAAGAATTGCTTCAGCAGCCTACTGTTTTAGTGCCTCTTTGGCCCCATACAGTGTCCGGGTGGCCAATGAGGTGATCGACATGTTGGAACAAAACGAGGGTAAAAAAGATTCACCTTTGGGTCTTTTAAACAAGAACTCTGCTTTGCTTCATGGTAAATTTTCTAAAAATAGAAAGATCTCGAAATACCTTGATGTGGTGAGTGAGTCTGGATCACCAGTTGTCATACTTGAGTTTAACAAGGCTATCAAGAACAAACTCGGGTTCTACCAATATTATTACAATGAAAATAACAAGACCGCTCAAGCCCATGAAAAGGGAATGAGACTGTTTGAACAAAGTGGTACTGCTGCTGCCGCTAAGCCATCGAGCAAAAAAGTTTCTGAGTCGAAGAAGAGTTTCGAACGTGTTGATTATTATTCAGATGAGGCTGTCGCTAAAATGAAATCTGAAGCATCCCAAAAGGCGATTGCAGAAAGCAAAAAGAAATCACAGGCGGATATTCACAACCTCGAAGAGTTTTTGATTTCCAAGATCGTCAACAAATTGATGTTGGAAGACAAAATGTTAATTGGCACTTCCCAAAGATTGTTGAAAATGGAAGTGTTCAGAGTTCGCCCAGTGTTCAAGATTTGCTTGTCTTCTGACTTATCAACCAAGGAAATTGACTCGGTAGTGGAAAAGCTTGCCAACCAGGTTGCTGGGGTAGTTGACAATATAAAATGTCTTGAAGATGTTGAAAAATTGAATTCTGTCAAGCCATTATAGAGGTATGCTGTTGAACCATTATAGATATACTGTCTGTTTATTCCTACAAATGTAATGAAATAAATGGGGAGGTCATGATGATGATTTTCTTCTTTATTTTTTTCACTTTCTTCCTTTCTTTCTCCACTTTTTGTGTTTTGGTTTTTGTCTCTGATACTGTTGTTTCTTCTCATATATTTTTTCCCCCATTTATTTCAGCTTTTCCATTAGATTTACTTCATCCATCATGATTGGTTTACTCATAAACTGATGAAACTGCCTATGTTATATATCTACATATATATTCTTGGGGGGAGGTAGTCCATTTTTCCCTTAGCAAATATCCTCACTAATTATTTTTTTGACAAAAAAACTGTCATACATCTTCTTCTTCTTCTTCTTCTTGTTCTTCTTCTTAATTTTCCAATGCCACGTTTAATAATATCTTTTTTGCAAAAATCTCCATCAAAAAAATCTCCATCAGGAGATTTTTTTGGTTTGGTAGCGTGATTTTATTCTCTTATCGAATAATGCGGCAGTTTCGTGGTGGCCCAGCCATCTGCCCCATAAGAGGCTCGAAAGATTAATTAGCATAATTATTATGATAGTAATATATATATAATAAATGGGGATATCCCTATTACAGCTCACGCAGTAGTTGATCTCCTGTTATGGAGTATCGGATTAATCTGCGTGAGAAAAATTTTGGTGCGGTAAAAAAAAATTAGTTGAAAAATACACTGATACGTATTTATTATCAAAAGAAAGGAAAGAAAAAACAGCTGACCATTATTTCCCCAAGACTATATTATCCCATCTAACTTAATTTCATTCTTCATTTTTATCACACTCGTTGTTTCTTTATAGAATCGGTAACCTAGATATTAACGACACAACCATGTCAGCGAGAACTCTCCCATTGATCAGCAAGGCCGAGGTCGAGAAACATAATTCTGAAAAAGACTGTTGGGTGACATTGTTTGACAGAAAAATTTATAACGTCACCTCTTTCCTCAATGAGCATCCAGCCGGTGGGGATATCATCCTCGAATGGGCCGGTAAAGATATCACCAAGATCATGGCCGATGTAATGTCTCACGTTCATTCGGAATCTGCCTACGAGATCTTGGACGATGAATACTTGGTTGGGTACTTGGCGACCCCAGAAGAACAAAAAGAGTTGTTATCTAACCCAAATCATGTTGTTGATGTGAAAATATCCGGTGATGTGTACGACCCAACCACTTTGGACCATTTGCCAACATATGATAAATTATCGATCCAAACAGATTATGGTTCCGATTACAATAAACACAAGTTCTTGGACCTCAATAAACCATTATTGGTGCAAGTGCTCTTTGGGAACTTCACAAAAAAGTTCTATTTGGACCAAGTCCACCGCCCTCGTCATTATGGGAAAGGTTCTGCTCCATTGTTTGGGAATTTCCTCGAACCATTATCGTTGACCGCGTGGTGGGTGGTCCCAACAATATGGTTGCCAGTTAACTTCTACATCTTCTATATTGGTCTCACCGGATTACCGGTTGTCAGTGCTGTGTTGATGTGGATGTTAGGGTTGTTTGTCTGGACCTTACTCGAGTACGGTATGCACCGTTTCTTATTTCATATTGACGAATATTTGCCAGAAAGTCAATTAGCATTCACCGTTCATTTCTTATTACATGGGATCCATCACTACGTGCCAATGGACAAGAACCGGTTAGTGATGCCTCCAACTTTGTTTCTTGCGTTGGCGTACCCAATTTATAAAGCAGTGTTCCTGATCCTCCCATTCTACTACGCTTGTGCCGGTTTTGCTGGGGGTCATTTGGGTTACATCATTTATGACGTGATGCACTACGTGTTGCACCATGCCAGATTGCCTTCATATTTGCAAGAAGTGAAGAAGTATCACTTGGAACACCATTACAAGAACTACGAGTTAGGGTTCGGGGTTTCGAGTAAGTTCTGGGACGTGGTGTTTGGTACGGAATTAAAGATGGACAACACCGTGCAAAAAAGAGCATGATTGGTGTTCAAAAAGGATCATCTTTTACCAGAAATTATTATCATTATCAGTTATTTATCTCATTATCAGTTGATTGTATGATCATCAATATTTATCTCAATACCTTGGGAAATTAGAAGTTAATTGCCGCTCTAAAAATTTTTTTTTGTATTATTATTATCTTAGATGTGCTGCTATCCTTATTACTTACTACCTTATTTATTATCTATTCTTCAAAACATATATCCTTCCTAATTTATCGTTGCTTACAATATGTTCATATATATACATATATATAAAATAATATAATTTTCATTTCTTTTGGATACAGGATTATCGAGTGCCTGTTTTGATTTTAAATAGACCAATAATAACTAAACGTCTATCATATTTATAGCTATAAAAATATCGAATGACACAATACCAATTCAGTCATATCAAGGAACTTAACTTATTATTGGAAAAACATCAAAGCAAAAAATAAAAAAAAAAATAAAAAGAAAAAAAAAGGAATATTGGAATACTCAAATATACAAGATGAAAAAACGACAGAAACCAAATGACAACAAAAAACCTTTCAAAAAATAAATAATAATAAATTCCAGGATAACAAGCAGCAAATAACTAACAACAATAATAATAAAAAAAAAAAGTTCAAAGAGAAAGAAAGAATTTGTAACTAGATCTTCCTTTTTTTTTTCATCTTCTTCTTTTTTTCTTCTTCTTCACTCAGCAATAATATACATTCATTTCTCATTCAAGATTTCCTCCAAAGTGATTTCACTATCTTCCTTTGCTGCCATCTTCCAAAATTTACTCAAATGTCTAGCTCCAGAATCGGTAGCTATCATCAATAGTTTCTTTCCCGGCCCCAATTGTTGGGCCACTTTGACACACCCAACAGCAGCAATCGCCGAGGCACTGCCCCAGAAATACCCATCGTTAACCGTCAAGAATTTCGCCATCATAAGGGCTTGCTTATCAGACACTCTAACAGCTCCATCGATCAATTCCTCTCCTACAAGGAAATTATGGGTCAAACGGTTCAACCCAATCCCTTCAACAACGGTGTCGACCTGGTGACGTCTTCTCGTGCCTTCTTTTTCCACTTTATCATATAACACTCCGAAGTTCACACGATTATAAAATCCACTCCCTTGGGGATCAGCAAGATACACTCCAAGTTGAGGAATACGTTCTCGCAAATATTTGGCGATCCCAGAAATGGTACCACCGGTACCAGCCCCGGCAACAAACGCGTCGAGCTTGCCATTCATTTGCGAGAAAATTTCTGGAGCAGTATGGTTGTAGTGGACTTTCCAATTATTATCGTTTTCAAACTGATTAGCGAACAACCCCATGGCTGGAGTTGAAGGGTCAGAAGTCAATTCAATTGCCCTTTTTTCTGCAAGATTGACAAACTGGTCAGGATCGACAATCAGCGCCGGCTTGACTTTTTCTACTGTGGCTCCCAAACTCTCCAACAATGTGATTTTCTCAGGAGAAGTATCATCTTGAAGCACAATATGTACTCGGTATCCAAGAGCCCGTCCAACGGTGGTGAGGGAAATCCCTGTGGATCCAGAAGTGCCTTCAAAGATCACATCGCCTCTGCCGGGAAGAAGCTTTCCTGATGCTTCAGCCGCTCTGATAAGTTCGTACGCTACCCGATCCTTGGAGGAGCCACCAATATTGGTGAGCTCGAGTTTGGCATAGATATCACATCCCGTGAGCTTGGAAAGTGAGTTTATTCGTACAATAGGAGTATTTCCTATAAGATCTGGTAGCCCGTTGACTTTTGGGGCAGGAGGTTTAGAAGCCGCGTACCTTGGGTCGAAAAAAACCTGTTTGAGCTCGTAAAAGACAAATAGTGTTGTTGCTGTAGCAGCAGCCCCTAGGTAAACGTCTCTCCAGTTAGAAACCATTACGTTTAGATAAGTATTTGTGTTTCGGTGATAGCTATTATTGTAACAAGTAGCGTAATTTTTTATCAATCAAAAAAAAAAAAAAAAAAAAAAAAAAATTTTCCTCCGAATGGTCCCACGGAGATGGTGTGTTTCTTTTGAGTTGGCTCACTATGCTAGTAAAAACACTATAATCTATTGTATGTATTAGAAAGGCTATAAATATAAATCTAAGTTAATGACCTAAAATTTAAAGAAGGGTTTCTCCCAAAGCACATTTGGCAATGGATACCCCGGCTGAAACGGTGTCCAAAACATGAACATCATGAGCAGCTAAGGCTGGATTAACTTCGACAACGTCAAGGGCACACAACAATCCAGTTTCTGCCACTTCTTCAGCAATAAACAACCCTTCTCTAAGAGTCAAGCCACCGCGAACTGGGGTACCGGTAGCAGGAACGTATAAAGGATCGATGGCGTCGACATCATAACTCAAATGGATTGGACAGTCGCGGTTTGGGTTGATCTTATCGAGAGCCATTTCCACCACTTTGGAAATCCCGTACTTGTCAACATGGTACATTGAAAAGGCAGAGATGTTGTGGTCTTTGAGGATTTTCTTCTCTTCAGCATCGACATCACGAAGCCCAATGTAGGCAATCTTGTTGGCGGCAATACAATTTGGTACCCATTTAAGATCTGGAGGACAGGCTTCTGGTTCCATGCCCATCAAGAACAGAACTGGCATACCGTGAATGTTACCAGAATCTGAAGTCGAAGGAGTGTTGATATCGCCGTGGGCATCGATCCACAACACACAAGCATCTGGGTGTTTGTCAAGGGTTCCGGCAATGGTTCCCATTGCAATCGAATGGTCGCCTCCTAAAGTGACAGGAATATCCCCCTTGTGGGCGGCTTCTTTGACAGCAGCGTATATCTTCTTGGTGGCTTGGCCCACCATCTTTGGTCTTTTACATTTACCAGAAACATCTGAAAGATCGGATTTTTGAGCAGCTAAATCGTCGTCTTTAAGTGGATCGGAGATGGTTGTAGACCATCCCAAACTCTTCAAATGTTTTTCAATTCCATGTTCGAGCAAATATTCAGGTCCATCTTCAACCCCTCCTTTACCTTGACCACCAGAAAATGGGGCAAGGACGAGGGAAAGGTTCTTTGTGGCAGCGTATTTGTAGTGTGTAGGAGATGGCATATTGGGGAATCAAATGAGATGATTATTTTTTTATATATATATGGGCTAATATGTATTGGGGGTATGATATATATATCAAGAGTCAAGGTAAGACCTCTGGAAAGAAAATTTTCAGACAAACACAGGTGGGAAGTGCTATATATACCAATCTCGCTAAGTCAGTAACTTAGGGGAAAATGCAAAAGTTCGAGGGCTACCGCTAAGTGAAGGTAAGAACGTAACAGAAAAAATCCGCAAAGATTTGGAGGCCTTTGCATTGGAAGGAAAAAAAAGTGTCCGATAAGCCCGGAAGCACTGCCATATATATAGATAGATAATATTATGTTCCGCTCTCCATCTGCTAAACAATCCTTGGAAATGGCTGGCGGTGGTTATCTGTCTGGCTGGTATATCGTGTATATATGGCGATAAGCCAACTGAAAAATTTGTTGCTTTTTTTTTCTTGTTAATTTTCGCTTAGGCACAGTGTCAAACCGTCACACCCGTGCACGTCTGGCAGACTCGGTCATGGTTAGATAAAGTGGGGCATATATATATAATATATATATGAAGAACACAGCCAGTATCTATTTACTTGAGCAGCCCCCCAATCCCGTCAAAAAGTCTCTGAGAAATTGGGCACAGAAACTTCAGGAAGCAGTTGCACCCCCAAAAATCGTTTGTTTCACCCCTTGTTTCGTCATATTTAGTCACGTGTTTCGGTTATCAGTCCTGATGTAATACATTATGTAATCGGAATAATCGTTCATTGGTTGATGATGATGCTCCCTTATTTTCGGTTTCTTTGATTGATATCATGATAATAAAAGTGTGTGATGTATTTACTAGTTCTGTTCTCATAGAAATAATAATTTCAAGCTAAAGCGCAGCAAATTTGGTTTCATCGGCCCACTTCCTTTGATGGGGAGAAGCAGTGTTATTGAAAAAAGTTGGCATTTGCATTACTGGGGGAGGAAACCCGGAGAAATCAGACGGTTTTAACCGTGTTAATTTGGTTGCCTTAGAAATACCTGAAGAAGAGTCCTCTATCATGTTATGTGGAGCCGCTTGTGGCAAAGGTTTAGATGGGTTAATCGACCCATCACAATTACTTTCAAAGAACCAATCATTGAGCTTTCCACAAATCTCACTGTAGCCGTATCCGCGGCATAGCAATACGTATAATATCTTCACAAATTTCCGTTTTCCTTCGGTATCATCACAAATTTGTTTCACGTAGGGCATTATCGCATAGCAATCAAGATGGCACTCCTTAAGTTTATTCAATGTTTTCTTATCCAAATACCCGCGCTCCACAAGATACTTTTCAATATCGTGTTCAAAGGCTTCGATTTCAAATTTTTCTAATTTGGGCCCATTGACAGGTATCAAATGTGTCTCATGATTGATGTGATTATTATAATTTACCATACTTTTCAATGAGCTACTACCGCTAGCAAGCCCATTTTCCGAAGTATGTGAAGGCTCCACTAGGAAAGAATAAAGAAACGAGCCAACTGAGCTGATGTCACCGTTTTTGAGCTCATTTATGAAATTTTCTTTTGACTGAGAAGCTATGGTGGATATCCCAAAACCGCTGAGAAGCTCAGATGTTGCTATGGGACCGTCAGTTGACAATTTCATCTGAGGTTGAAAATCCGTGATAATATACAACATACTTACCCGTCATGACTATTGTAATTATTTTGATTAAAAGCGCTGCTGTCACCTTAAATATTCACCAATGAGTTTAATTGTGACAGAAAGATGCCATCCACCAACATTTCCAGGTATTTTTTTTTTTTTGGCGGGAGAGTACAAAGGCGGAGATTGTCCAGTCCAATCGACACATAACCAATGATAACACTGATTTTGATACGATCCAGTAAGTTGGATGGTCGGGGCAAAATATCACCAATATTTATATTGATAGGACTACTAATCATTATTATCTATAATGCTTTCCTTATTATTTTAATGACGGTAATAATAATGTTGTGGATTCTACGAAGTGGTTGTCTGTGAATATGCATGTTGTGACGCTTTTAAGGGCTCCACACCCCTCCCAATTTTCCCGATTGAAAAATTTCTGTTACCCTCCTAGAAGAAAAAGTTCCAATCACCAACCGCCAATTTCTAAGAGGAAAAATAATACTGTAATTCTAGGCACAACCATTAACTAACAACAGCATCATCGTGAAGCAACCAAATAATATTATCAAGATGTTCACAATACGCCAATCCTCTTTCCGCGTGGCTCGTCTTTCCGGAGCTCGCTCGTTGTCCAACTCTTCTCGAGTGCTCAGTGGTCACCACCACGCTGAACACCATGATGAACATCACGATGATCACGGCCACCACCATCATGGTCCAGAACTAGCAGAAGAACAACATCTTCTTAATCCATGGACCCGCTACTTGCTTGCTGCTAGTGCCGGTATCTTTGGTATTTACTATTTCAACAAATCTTATGAAGAAAAGATGGGCAAGACAGTATTACAATCCATCATGGGTGCTCAAACTACTGCTGAAGAAACAGAAGTCCAACAAAAAGCTTACTTTGACCGTGTGGCTGCCACCCAGAGCTTGTTCAAGTTGTTCCAATTGAACCAACCGGAAAAAGTTTTCCATGAACTTACCAATGAAAGAGTTATTCCTCGTGGATCTACCAGAAGTCTTGTGCCTGGTACATACATCGATCCAGAAGAAGTGGGTGCTAGAAGGGAACGTACCAAATATTTCAAAGATTTATAATTAAGTTTTGGCATTGTGATTATTTATAATATACGTTTTATTGATAACATTGAAAAATAATAATTTATGGTAATGTATTAAAGGGAATGACATGGAGAAAAAAACATGAAAAAAAAGCTAATGATGAGGCTACAGGAAAAGAACAAAAAACAAATCTTATCATCACCAATCCAATAGAAATGAAGAGACCAAAAATAAAAATAAAAAGAATGGACTTTAATTTAAGGTTCATGTTTATGCGAGACAAATGTATACTGTCGTTTGCAATATCAAAAAAATCTATCATTAACTTATATTCTCCGGCAGATATTCACAAACGCGGATTATCACACATACTTTGTAATTTAAGATACAATATATGATTTTTTTTTTTCGGCTGAAAACTCGGAATACATTGAAGCAAATGAAGAATTAATGGAAGTTGAAGCTTGAAGGCAGGCCCTCAAATATTTACTTCAATTCATAAAGCGACATGCATGTGTAATAGTGGAAAATTGTAGCACTTCATTTTCTCCGCAATATATATACTATGGATTAAAAGTCCTACAAATGCTTAATTTGTCATTGTATATAATAAATTCAAAAAACTCATAAATTAATTAAAGTAATATTAAAAACCTCAAGAAATGAAAAATAATTTTCCAATGTAATCGATACACTAGATCACAATTGTGGTGAAAAGAAATGAAAAAGGTGAAAGAAGTAAAGTGTTATGTTCAGACATGATACCCGATAATTTATTGGATCAATTCAATTTCAGATTCATCAGTGTATTTAACTTGGGCAATACCAACCTTCTTGTCATCTAAATCGTAGCTGACATAAGCAGATCTCAAGAAACCATCACCCAAGATGTAGTAGTTAGATGGGTTTGGAACAAGACCAATGAGACATTGGTTCAAGAATGATTTGGAAGCCTTACCGTTGAAGTGGTACAACAAGTCTTTGAATGGGACAGTGATGATCTTGTCACCGAAAGTGAATTCAACTGGCTCACCCACAGTATTACAAGAGGTAAAGTACATGTCAACAAATGGAACCTTGTGGCCGTACTTCTTGCCGAAAGTAGTGGCAATTTCACCTGGAGCGTAGATCAAGGTGGTACCAGAATCGAGCAAAGCTGGGTAGGTAGTACCATTAGTGAAAGTTTGAGAAGAAGTGGAAACAGTATCCAAGTCAACAAAGAAAGCAACTGGTGAGTCAGTGGCTTGACCCTCATCATCAATATTAACCAAATCCAAATATTTCAAGTCGCCGTCAAACTTAGCCTTGTCAACAGCCCCGAACAAGATGGATCCAGAATCAGCTTCAAGGGAGTTTAAGTACAAAGAGTAAGCATTCTTTTCAATGATACCTTGTGCCTTTAATTGGGCTGGGAAATTTGGATATTCAAAACTAGAACCGTTGATGGCGACTGGGGCTTCATTACCTTCAAAGCCAACCCCCAATAAACCAGTGCCGACAGTTTGGTTAGTCGCGTAACCGAATTGCATGTCCTTAACAGTGGCACCACCAACAGTGACATCTTCAGTAGCCCAGTCACCAAAGGCCTTGGAACCATCACCGTAACCGATCATGAAGCCATTGGAAACTTTCTTGTATGAGCTGGATTTAGAAGCATCATAAGTACCTCCGGTAGATTTGGTGCCAACAGCAGGAACCCACAAGTCGGAAGAGCCAGTGTCGACGTCAACATGGATGGTTTGACCTGGTGATCCAATTTGGATTTCAGCCATATATTTGGAGTATTCATTTTGTAAATTAAGATTGACAGCACTGTAAACTGACTTTCTTTGACCAGTGCTTTGGGCATCTGATGGAAGTCTTTCAACACTGAAATCGATCTTCAAGGATTTAGCATCACGCTTGTCAACAGGAGCAGCGGAGGCAATTGAAGATAAAGATGCAAGAACAGAAAAAAGAATAGTGCTAGATAATTGCATTATTTATATATATATAAGTATATTTTTTCCTTTGGAATATGAATAAATAAAAGTTGATGATGAAAATTAAATTCAAAAAAGTGAAATTGAAACAAGGTGGAGAATCACTTATATTTATATGATTTATGGACATTATAGAGTAAATTATCTCTCTTGTGCCTACCTACTAATCTTTGTTAAATTTAGAACTAAGATACTCCCAATCTTCATGTATTTCCCCAAGTGCCCCATGTTGGATGGGCTCGTGCATATGGGTGGCACCCCGAAAGAATAAAAATAAAAAGAAGATTTATGAAAAGTTGTATCTGTTTTCATGATTTCAAATCAACAAATTTATTGAAACTACTCTCAAACAATATTTTTATATATTTATTTTCTATTAATATTTTTTTTTACCAATATCAACTCTGTTGTAAAGCATTTCTAATGCTCTAAAATGAATGGATTTGCATGCAGGCCAAAAATTGTGCCTTGCCTCAAAATTGCTGAGAATGCCAGAAAAAAAAAAGGTGAAAATGAAGCTTTTCCCACGAATACTTAGACAGACTCATGGAAAGCAAGCACACGGATCCGATCATGTTAAAATTTTTATAGCTTTTTGTTGGTTTTCATAGTTGCATTATTTTTGATTTTGTTTCCCTCTGGTATTTGAGAATATCAGATTGCTTGGAGATAGTTCTTTCCCTATCACACTAACTTTCCACGCGGTCCTTGCTCCGGTGGTAGTTTGCTTGAAAGTGAACCCATGAACTGGAAAAACCATAGGGTCAAAAATTGAAGAGAAAGGTAAAATATAATCGGTCAGGTATACCAGCTAGTGACAATCAAAATGCTCTTATCGATCTAGAATGTTGTTGTGCACCCCCTTGTAAAGATCTATTACGATATTAAGAAGTTTTTACTTTGTACAATACCAGAGTATTCGTTGATCCATGGAATATCTTGGTAATTCCAAACTGTTCTACACCCCCCTTGCGAGGGGGTTGTGTGGTATTGAGATATGTTTTGTGTGTAGAATAAACTTTTCAGCGACCTTGATAAAACTTTGGCAGCACGGACAATCAATTTAGAGTGTTCTGCACCCTTCAAAAAAAGAATTATTACTATTTTGGGAAGCTTTAACGGATGAAACGGTACACATCTATACATCCAAACAATCACTAGTTGAACCTCAAATTTCGCAGTTGAGCGTATAAACCCACTTGGTGGTGAGTTGGGGCGCAGGTAGTCAGTCTATTTTATTGTGAAGGTTGTTGTCAGTACTGAGGTAGTGCGCCACATGGCAGTGGTGATTAATAAAGTGTTCACTTGTGTGCAGAAATCAACTGACACATTATATAATGCGTACATATACCATAATGGTTTTGTGGTTCAACATGTGATAATAGCACAGCCAAAAACGAAATTAGTTATATAAATTATATCTAGAAAAAAAAATTATTAAACGAACGATTAAAAAATTAGCAAATTAATATAATATAAAGGATATTGATCATAAATTTTTTTTTTTTTTTTTTATTTTAATCATGTCTTTCCAAAACTGAAGGGGTCAAATCTCTCATCTCCGGAAATAGCTCTAGAAAAAAATGATCCATCAAATTGTAAACCATCAATTTATTAAACTTTTGGTATTGAAAGCTTTGGATGAAGCGGTAAAACTTGTAGTCCGTTTTTGTCTTGACCAAAGCTTTGAATTTATCTTTTCTATCATTGAAAACATTATTCATATCTTCATCATCCTCAAAAACCAGCTCACTATTGATTGGGGCTTCTCCAACTTCATTGAAGATTAAAAGTTTGAACCAGAACGGCAATTTCTTTTTCATCAACTTAAATAACTCAATCTTCATCTCCTCAATCTCCTCATCATTAGGAATCTTTCGTGGTGGCCCCATCTTATCATCTCCTGGAAAGATCGTATGACGGGCGGTTTTCACTAGTGATGCCAAAAATTCGGCATTCTGGAAAAACTTCTGGAGCACAAGTTTCCCAAACAAGTTATAAATAATTTGATTGATCTTAAGAGCAAATAAATTAGCATTCACAATCGCAGAAATTGACTTTGGCAAAATGCTGTTACCTTTCACTCCAGAAGCTGCTTCTGCGTTTCCACTAGCACTTGATGACGATGATTCAGAACGAGTTTTAATGGTTTCAGTTTTCATCTTTTCAGCATGTCTGATCTCTTCAATGTTGTAGGATAAAAACCATAAAGCAAAATATTTCATAAAAACGTATAATACGGGATTCTCGGTAGAAAAACTGAACAAGTTATTAAGAAATTGAAAAATATAACGATGGGCAATTGGAGGTCTGGTAAGCTTCTGTTTTTGATTGGAGCCTGTACTGGTAGAGTATGCAATAAAATGACTAACTTTCCGGAAAACCGAAACAATTTTCCCCTTGAGGGTCTGCGGAATCTCTCCAATTTCTTCCTTCTTGGTGTGTTTTTGGCCCTCAGCCGACTTGTCCGAGTCCTTATTTAATGATCTGAAAATCCCAAGAAGAATTGAATAAATAATGTCTGGTTCAGATAATTGTTTTGTAAGGATCCTCAAAACGATATTAGCCATGACACTTCTGACAAAATACCGAGCCAAGTCCGAGTCTGACACATCAACCGGCAATAATAAAGCAAGCGCGCCTTTCGATATAATTCCCAAATAGTTTTCTTCTAGTCTGCTAACTTCCTCTAAATCACTCCTAGGCTCCCTCAAAGTTTCATTATAAAAAGAATCATTAAATGTAAAATTTTGGTTAATATCATCGTCAGATGACCGATGGTTTAAACCGTCACCCTTCGAATGATGATATTGCCTAAATCTCATTGAGAGGGCCGGATGGCTGTTTAGTGCATCAAAAGCCTCATTCATAGTCGTTTCCTGGACATATTGTGAGTCCAAGTTATCCAAGCAATAATTATAAAACTGTTGGTGATTGTCCAAAATATATGGTGCGTGGTCAAAAATAAAATCCTCCAACCGAACTTTTCTCACCCTGGTTTCAAGCTCCCTAGTAATATGGGCCATGACGTCTACCACTTCTGATATAAACTCATCATTTTCCGTGATTTTGAAATACCATTCATTGATGAAATTCTTGAATAACAACCCAATAAAGCAGTATAGTTCAATATCAACACTTCCAGAAGAGGTCAACGCAGGCAAGTAATCCTTGATATCTGAAGTTATTGATACTTTTGGTAGAAAAATCTTTCGGATTAAGTGAAGTTTATACTCTTCGGTGTCCTTCACATACATTTTTTTTATTGGATCAACCCCGTTATCGTCAAGATTTAAGTCTTTCCGTCCTCCATGTACATCATTGTCACTGGCACTGTCTTTTCCATTATTGACGAAGCTCATTTTCAGGGCACCCTTGGGCGCCATAACGCTTTTGTTACCTAACTTTTTCACCCTACGTTTGTTGTACTTGGGTATAAGAGGTGACGAAAATGATTTGTTTAGTGAAGGACTGGGGCTGAATCCAGAAGCCGCAGCCCCCGAACTTCCTCTATCATTATCCAATGGAGTAGGATATATTACCGGAGGTTTTCCTAAGCCTATTGAAGACATTTCTCCTTCCTTAGAGCACTTTGCAATAATATCGGTAAAGAGCCACACGATAATCGCAACTCTCGTTTAATGTGCTTACATGTTAGATAACCAGAAAAAAAAAAAAAAAGTTCTCACGTGCAGAACGCGATGAGGTTGAAAAGAACTAATTTCGCGTTGCCTCTTCACCATCTTGATTTCATATCCACAGGCAAATCCTTTTAGAATGGGGGTGATTAAAGTAAGCAAATTTGCCTTTTCACTTGGTTTTTCTTTCTGGATAATACAATCCTTTCGATTTTTATACTAACTTTTCCAGGCATTGGACCAATCTGTGGTCAATAAGATAGCCGCCGGTGAGATCATCATTGCCCCAGCAAATGCTCTCAAGGAAATGTTGGAGAACTCTATTGATGCTGGAAGCACCAATATACAAGTGGTGGCAAAAGATGGTGGGATAAAGGTGCTTCAAATATCTGACAACGGGAGCGGGGTGATGAAAGATGATTTACCGATTCTCTGTCAACGGTTCACCACATCCAAGCTTTCAACTTTTGAAGATTTGGGATCACTCAACACTTATGGGTTTAGAGGTGAGGCATTGGCGAGTATTTCCCATATTGCTCATTTATCCATTTTAACGAAGACCAAAGACTCGCCCTGTGCTTGGGCTTGTCACTACTCTCAGGGGAAACTTGTTCCTGCTAAAGCAGGCGAGTCACCTGGCCCAAAACCAATCGCTGGTAAGAATGGCACACAAATAACCGTGGAAAATTTGTTTTACAACTTTTCTTCTCGTTTGAAATCGTTGAAATCATCTAATGAAGAATTTATAAAGATATTAGAAGTGGTTCAAAAATATGCGATCCATACTGCCAATGTTGGCTTTTCTGTGAAAAAATTGGGAGAGTCACACAACTCATTGACGATCAGAGAATCACAGAATATCAAGGAAAGAATTCGGGCAGTCTATAGCTCTAGTGTTGCGAATAATATAATTCCAATTGAGTCACAGGATATGGCAGAAATTGGTTTAAAAGAAGTGAATGGCCAAATTTCGAATTTGAATTATAATGCTAATAAGAAAAAAGCGCAGGTAGTTTTTTTCATCAATAATCGTTTAGTAGATTGTGATCCTTTGAAGAAATCTTTATTAAACATATACTCGGCATATTTACCTAAGGGTGCAAAACCATTTGTGTATTTAAGTCTAAGTATAAATCCAGCCCAACTCGATGTCAACATTCATCCAACAAAAAAGGAGGTTCGTTTCTTACATGAGGAGGAAATAATTGATTTTGTATGTCAAATTGTTCAATCAGCCTTAAGTAATGTGGACGACTCGAGAACATTTAGAGCGGTACGTTTATTGACTCGCTCGGAAAATCGTGATTATATAGAAAACCAGGAATTATCGCGACCTGCAGCACCACCGCCACCAAAGAAAAGGCAGAAGATATCATTGAATCAAAGTTTATCCCAATCGTTTGCGTTTGGTGCCTCTGCTCCAAAGCCTCATGAAAGTAAGCTTGTACGCGTGGATGGTACTCAAGCGAAGATTACTTCTTTTCTACAACCCACAAAATCCAAATCTACTCAAGAGCAAAATTCGTTACCATCTCAAGACACGTCTATTTTTGAGAATTCTGTGTTTGAGCTCGATGATTCAAGCACCCAGGATGGGTCTTTTATGTTAGCAAGCAAGGAGAACTTTACGTTTGTTGCTAATGAAAGGGTAAAAGTAACACTAGATAGTGTTGGCTTACTACGTTCTACTGTTGAAAAGTCTGTCAATCGTGAACTAACAAAAGTTTTTTCTGACTTTGTATTTGTTGGCATTGTTCAATACTCTTCAAGAATGCTTACTTTTCAATCAGGAATTAGTTTATTTTTAGTGGATTATGGTAAGTTGTTTTATCATCTCTTTTATCAAATTGGTGTTTCTGATTTTGCCAACTTTGGGAAAATATTTTTGAAAACTGGAGTGCTGATCAGAGAATGTGTCCTTTTTGTTGATAAGAAAACAAGGCCAGATAATGTTGATGAAGCGAAATCTAATGAACTCATTAACGAGCGTATTGGCCTGCTTGTCGGGATGAAAGATATGTTGGAAGAATATTTCAGTATTGTTTTAGATGTCAGTGACCCCATGAATCCAAATTTGCTGTCAGTCCCGCTACTCGTCAAAAACCATCTTCCATCGATGGCTAAATTGGCAATCTTCATTTACAAAGTGGTAATGAAAATTGACTTCGATGATGAAACGGCTTGCCTTGACGGAGTTCTCAAAGAAATTGCGTTATTTTATGTACCTGATAGTGTTCCGGGATACGACGATGTAAAGAACGGCGAGGAGTCTGAAGATATGATAAAATATATCAAGACTGTGGAATTTTTATTGAATGTGGTTAAGAAACGATTTTTGGCCACAGATGATTTGGTGGACTCCTTGGTTGAAATTGCGAACTTACCATCTTTGTATAAATGTTTTGAAAGATGCTGATCTATAATATAGAATACTTTATGGGTATTTATTTGTATGGATAGTATATTGCGTAAAAGTCATGTTGAATTTTATCTGTAGCATATTTTTTCTATGTCGATTTTGATATCAGCACCCGCGCGCGGCGGGGGCGGAAAAGTAGAACAGGCGATCATTCGCATTAAATCACCGTGACATTCAAACAGTAGATTGTCGCATTGTATATTTTCTACACCCAAAAGATGGTTAACCTACCTGATATAATTTCAATTGAGCTACCAGATGGTCAAAAGTATGACCAGCCTACTGGGCTTTTCATCAATAATGAATTTATCCCATCTATCAAGAAAACCACCTGGACTTCGATTAATCCAGCAACCGAAGAAGAAAACGCTACCGTGTATTGTGCTACAGAAGAAGATGTCGATAATGCCATTGGGGTAGCTCGAGGTGCATTCAAATCCACCTGGAAGAAGTTTCCTGCTGGCGAAAGATCCAAGCTCATCCTCAAGCTCGCAGACCTCATCGATGCTAACAAACTTCTCCTTGCGGGAATTGAGGCGTATGATTCGGGGAAACCAAAAATGACCAACTGCTTGTACGACATTGAAGATGTCGCCAATGTGTTCCGATACTATGGTGGCTGGGCCGACAAAATCCAAGGGAAAACCATTCCTATTGATGGTAAGCATCTATCGTATACCATTCATGAACCGCATGGGGTGGTGGGGCAAATTATTCCTTGGAATTACCCATTGGATATGTTAGCTTGGAAAATCGCCCCGGCCATTGCCGCGGGGAATACCGTGGTATTGAAGACTTCTGAATTGACACCATTGTCAGCATTATATTTTGGGAAACTTATTGTCGAAGCAGGAATCCCTCCAGGGGTGGTGAATATTTTAACCGGTACTGGGTCGGTGGTGGGGAAATATTTAGCAGGGCATCCAGGGATCGATAAAGTGGCGTTTACTGGGTCAACGAAAGTTGGTAAATTGGTGCAAAGTCTTGCTTCTACAAACTTAAATTCTGTGTCGATGGAAACTGGAGGCAAGTCTCCGGCAATTGTCTTTGACGATGCCAATATTGATAAGACGCTTTATTGGACCGCGATGGGGATTTTTTATAATTCGGGCCAGGTGTGTTCTGCCACTTCACGGATTCTTGTTCAAGATACCATATATGACGAATTTGTTGAGCGTTTCCGTGAATTCTCTGAGAAATCTTATAGATGTGGCGATCCATTTAGTGATGCTGGTGTTCCAGAAGATGATGTTACAATAATTGGACCGCAAATTTCTGGTTCCCAAAAGACAGTGATTCTTGAGTACATAGAGTCGGGTCAGTTGCAAGGAGCCAGGCTAATTCTTGGGGGTTGCGAACAACCTGTTGACTTGAAGAAAGGATACTATGTTCAACCTACGATTTTTGCTGATGTGACCCCGGAAATGAAGATTTTCAAAGAGGAAATTTTCGGGCCAGTGGTGACGATCACCAAGTTTTCTACAACTGAAGAGGCAATTGAATTAGCCAATCGCACAGAATACGGGCTCGGGGGGTCTATCTTCACTAAAGATCTCGCAAAAGCTCACCTTGTGTCAAGTGATCTAGAAATTGGTACAATTTGGGTCAATTCGAGTAATGAATCATCACCACAAGTGCCTTTTGGTGGAGTCAAAATGAGTGGGTTTGGCAGGGAACTAGGAGAATATTCTCTCCAATTGTACACCCAGGTGAAGAGCATCACCATCAATTTTGAGTGATGATGAGTTCAGTGTACCGGATTGAATAAATATATAGGTATGGGCGGCAAGTGCTCTCTTGTTATTATGCTATGTAGCTGAAGTAACATGTTCTACCAAAGTATTTGTTAGTCAACATAACATATAGATACCATCTGTGTACCGTCGCGATGGAGTTTGTTACCCATCGCGGTGGTATGCGACCAGTGGAACAAGATTTGTGCCCGCAATGCGGCTGTAAGCGAAGAAACGCACGTTGCTGAATTTTTTCATATCCATGTATTTTTGATGATGGGTTAATGGTTGCTATTGTTTTTCATTTTAATTTTCTTTTCCTCTTTTTGCCTCCAGCCACTCTCTCTCTATTTCTCTCTCTTGATATCCACAGGAACTTCAATGCCTCAATTTTTGCCATGCCAGTATCTCTGATATCTTCCAGCCAGCAGCAGCAGCAGCACAACGACGACGATGCAAACCACCAAGAAGCATTTACCAATAATGGGGCGGGCTCACTTTCGCCTAGCTCCACTCTGAGTAGTGATCACTTTGAAGATCCTGCTCCTTATGTTGTTTCACCTGAAGGTGAACGATCCGGTGTAACGAGAGGAAGAAGGGGCTCGCTTATGAGCATCTTTTCCCAAGAAATGTCCAACAAAGATCTTCATGATGAGAAGGATGAATTGTCTGGGTACCATGGTTCAGATATCATGGGTGCGATTCAACTAACGCGTACTCTTGGTGGGGACCAGTTTCAAGATGATGAAGAAGCAGTCCTCTTAAAGCTTGAGCTGGTTGCTAGCCATCTTTCCCAAACTCTAAACCTCCATGACAATAAAGACAATCAAGGTAAAGAAGAAGAACAGGAGAGCAAGCAGCAAGCGATTGAAAAGTTGCCGGAGCTTACTAAAAAAGAAACCATCATGGATACCATTAAAAGAAACTTTTGGGACCCTGACTTTCGTGAGGAGCGGGTCAAGCAGTTTTACAGGCTTGGTTTGTTGTTGATTCTTATCACTATATTATTCATGGGGGTGGTGTCCATTTATACAGGTTCATACTACAGCAGAAATAAAAGATATAACAACTTGAAATTTTATATTGTGAATGAAGATGCTACTGAGGGCCAACTTCCGGGGCTAATTGGTGCTGCTACCCAAGCAGTGGGTAGCTCATTGAAACAACAGGGTTATGGGAACTGGGAGGTATACAACATGACTCAGTTCATGCAGGAAGCCCAGAAGAAAAATAAGACAGTTCAAGAAGAAATCGTATGGAAACTCTACCATGAAAAGTGCTGGGGTATTGCTCATGTTGGGCCAAATGCCACTCTTGGACTTTATCAAGCAATCTTGACTGGAAATACTTCCTATAATCTCAGTCAATCGGGAGTGACTTTGTACTATGAAACAGCAAGGGATTACATGGCAGTGACCCTCTATATACGAACCCTTCTAGCTGGTTTTGAAAAAGGGTTTTATACCGCGATTCCAAAGGCATTATATAACCCATTGGTTAGTCAAATATTTACTACTTCACAACTTTCGGCAATTACCAATAATACTGCTTCGATTGACCTTCTTATGAACCCTCCTCCCGTCACTTTGTATGATACAGTTCCCGTCACCTCCACTATGATTTTGCCAGCTCTTCAATTGGGAATGGTCTATATTCTTATCTTTGCGTTCTTTTCGTTCTTGGTGTCGTTAAAAATCCACATTTTTGTCTCTAGAAAGGTTAAAGGTGTGCATTTCCTCTTGTACAGATTCATCAACACTCAAATAACTTATCTTATCTTGGGGCTTGCTTACAGTTCTTTGAATGCGATGTTTGGGGTGCCGTACGACGCGGCGTTTGGTAAATCGGGGTTCTTGGTGCTTTGGTTCATCACTTATCTTGCCATCAACGCTGTGGGGACCACCAATGAATTGATGGCGTTGTATTGTTTCACGTTTTTCCCACCAATGGTTGGTCCTTGGGTGCTTTTGTGGACCGTGATAAACATCAGTCCAACGTTCTCCATCATTGAATTGTGTCCTACTTTCTACCGTTACGGGTACGCGGTGCCGATCCATAATCTCTACGAGGTTTTAAAAGTCATCTTTTGTGATCGTTGGAAAGGCCATATGGGGAGAAATATCGGGGTTTTGGTAATTTGGGCGGTGATTGGGAATCTTCTTTTGCCGATTGTTCAAACCTTGGTGGCGAGAAAGATGAAGAAGAAGGCACAGGCGGCTGCTGCCAAAGAACAAGAAGAAAAAAGAGGTGAAACTGATAGTGACGTTAAGGAAAAAGCTAACTTGAAAAAGGGGGAGGAGGTTGCTGATAGCGAATCACAAAATGACAGTGGGTCAACCAGAGATCAATCAAGTGATGAGGTGACGAGATTAAGCCGCAACGAATGAATGGTAGATGCAACTAGGTCACAATGAACATTTTGATGGTATTTTGAATTATAGACAGTGGCATTGTTATTTACATTTTTTTTTATTTCATTTTTCCTTATGTTTTTTCATTCTATTTTTGACATTTTGTTTGGTTTTCTGTTATACAGTTTGTTTTATCTATTATAATATTGGACTAGGGTTTTAGATTATAATTGGATTATATCCTTTGGAATCATCTTCAGCAAGCTGGAGTTTATTTTTTCTTCTCCATTATAAATTTAATTAGATTACACAATTTGCATATTTAGCAAAATAATAACAATAATAATATTAATATTAATAATAATAATAGCATTTCGAATGCCTAATTAATAGGAAACAATTGTTTTCTATTAATCAAAGTAAAAATATATCCAGTTACCAGGTGAAAGAAAAATAACAACAGAAAGTCTAGAAAAAATAAGCTGAGGAGAAGAAATAACAACAAAAGAATTGTAAAAAATATATAATGAAATAATAAAAATAAAAATAAAGAGCTAAAGAATGCAAAAACAAGTTAAAATGGGTTAAAATGGGTATTCTATACGTATACGGTTATAATACAGGTACTTAAAAAATATAATAAAGTTTAAAAAAAAGAAGCGATTTTAGACATCACATTGTTAAAGACTGAGCCATGTTTTTTAACAGTTTCTGAGTTGCCCGTCTTTGGATTGGATGACTTTGATTGACGATTGAGACTAATCACACTGAAGTTCTTTGATCTGAAAGCTTTGAGACTTCTTTTGCTTTGACTTGCCGATTTTATACCGTAGAAATTATTGATTGATTTTTTGGTTCCCTTTAGCTCTCCCTCAGTAGTTGGTTCACCGGAATTTTTTCTCAAACCGTTAACCTCCGAATCCAACAATGGGTTTTGCATAAGATTCACAGGAGCATCAGGAATGTCGTTACTATTTCTTGGTAATGTCACATTACTTCTTGAGGTAAAAATTGAGCCCGGGAAAATCTTTTTGTAATGGGAGTGTGATTTGATAGTCGATACAAAACTGACTCGGCTTGATTGAATCGATGGGGCTCGAGAGCTCCGAGTTCTTGATGATTGAAGATTTGAGTGCCATTCGCTATCATCTAAAACTAAATTTTCCTTGTTTTTTGACCTTTTATTGGATAATCTTCTGAAGATTGAAGTTTCCGACACTTGCTCTTCATTGACCAACTCAGACGACTGTAAGCGACCACTCAAATAAGAGCTATCGGAATAATATTTTGGGCTCTTTGTTGGGCTTCTTGGATGATTTCTGGTAGAGGATTTTCTTTTTACTCTTGTTTCTTCAAGCATTTGATATTCCTTTTTATATCTATCACTATAAAAAATCTTTGATCGATTTTCTGCAGTCTGTATAGCTTTTTTAACCACGGTATGGGTTATTGGTTTATTGAAAAATTCGGCAGCATCGTCTCTTGAACAAATATTGTCTTTGCCATTGGTGACAACTAACATTTCACTTTCAATCGTCACATCATCTTCATCGTCATTTTCTTCTTCGCCATCACGGTTGGTTGAATCTCCTTCTTCATACGAAATCTCTGGATGTTCATACGTGGTGATTTCTTCATTAAATCTCACGGTATTATTGGCTTTGCTAACTTTTGACACATCGGGGGCTTCGATCATCGAATGCCTCTTTGGGTCATTTAAATGGGATTTAACCAGGGAAGATGCAATGATCATCGATGCATGTCCCCTAGGTTTAGGATTACCTAGATCACCACCCTCTTCAATATTAAATAAATAAGAAAATTCGTCCAATTTTTGCTCAACGCTTGGCTCTCTCAAAATTCTATTGGCAATCACTTTAGATTCAGTGGTGTCATCCAGCTGAGGGTTTTTTGATCTGTCAATATTTTCTGAAAGTGAACTATCCGCCATTTCATGAGTATCAAAAAGTGAATCTGAAAGAATAGAGTTTGAAGATTTGTGTAGACGTTTGTAGACAGTCTCATTGTCATTCATGTTTTCAGAAGTCACATCAAACAAAGGTCTCTCGGATACCATACTCCCGGCAATACTTGCACCACTAGAAAAATTCCCGGCCCTTGGCATATCAAAAAGGGGTCTTTCTGAATGAATACTTCCAGCATTAGAGCCGGATCTTGGTATTTGGTAAAATGGTTGGCCACTTCCAAGGCTATTAAAAGATGTGTCGACTGAAGACTTTATTTTGGATTTCCCGTAAATTGGGTCATTGGTAAAAGCGGTGGAAACAGAGTGTTTGGTCTTTTTTGATCTTGTACCACCAATTATACTAGAAAAGCTAGTATCATTAGAATTCTTTTCAGAGGTTGGAGATTTGGCAAACAGAGAACTGGCGATTGGTTGTGTGTCATCTTCAGTAATGACGGTCTCAGGAACTGACAAGCTGGCTGGAATATGGGCGGTATTAAAGTTTGGATTCTCTTTATTATCAGATCCTTTAAATAATTTACTGTTTTTTGATTTCTGATTTTGCTGGGTTTTAAAGGCAAACAGCTTGATAGGGGTATTGGTATTCTTGAAATTTTCCGATTGGTTTGACGAACGGTTAAGCAGATCATTCTTAGTCCCTGTGGCCAAAATTGGTTTGAAATTTCTTTTAAACAACTGTTCACCATTAGGAGTACTGTTTTCAAACATGGATATCTTATTCAACACGCTGCTTGGTTTCTTGGTCAGCTTCCTGGACTTTGGTGATGCAGGAGGATTTTGATTTGGTGGTGGACCTGAAGGTTTCTTAGATTTTTTTGGAGATATTAGTATGGTGGAGGAGGCTGCGGATTTTGATATGAGGACAGTTTTAGGGTCTGTGGATATTTCGTTTTGAGGCTTTTTTAAGGGATCCTTAGATAAGAGATGCGTTGTGAATCTGTTGGTTGCAACCAAATCTGTGGAAGAAACCGAGGAGTTTGGATTCTTGTAGAATGCATTGGGTGTTGCAGTCGTTATTTCTGTGCTCATTGCCATTTTTATAAGGTGATACGTTGTTAGATATATAAATATATAATTTGTGAGGGGTGTCTTATTATTGGTTTGTGGTTTGTAAGGTGTTTTTGTGAGTACCGGAGTTTCTGGAGGTACGAAATTTAGGCAAGATTGGGGAAAAAGCTGAGAGAAACAAGTGAGTTAAGGATTTATTAGTGAGTGTAAGGCAACGACTGAGGTTGTTTACTTGCTTTTGTGTTTTATGATTGTTAGATGTTTAGTTTATACAGAGATTTGTCAAAAAGAAAAAAAAAAAAAAAAAAAATTTTCTCTGTTTTTGTTTACACAACACAGAAATCGCCGATCGTCGATCACCGATCGATCTAAATTAGATGGACGTTGTCTTAACTGATAGCATTTATAAAAGAATAAAGAGAAAAAAAAAAATAGGAGAAAACACTGGGCTAGCCAGGATATAATTGTGTTATTGCGTACCTCCACTTTTCGTACCTTGTTTAGAGTAGTCGAAAGTTATCTCAAAATTAAAACAACATGAAGTGACATCTAGCACTGAAACCAGAATTGACTTGAACTTCCACATTGTAAATAGAATAGTATACGTGTTTATGGGAAGCAGTAAGAATTATGGATGTCTTTTGAAAGGGCAAGTCTAGGAGTGCATTCTAACCCTGATATTATTCGTCACTGGCACGACGACACCAGAAACATAGAAGTTGAGACCGTGTCAAATCACTATTATACTGGATTTCGTTTTATTATTTCTCTCTCTTTTATCTTTTTCCTTTTTTTTCTTTTTTTGTATTTTGTATTTTGTATTTTGCATTCTGGAATTATCTTTTTGGAATCTCACCTCCACACAGCACCTTCAATAACTTTTAAAGTCCTCATGAATTCCCTACTGTTTATCATCTACCGCTTAGATTCCAAGGTTCACATCATCTGACTGATCAAAGAAACTAGTAAATACCACCACTGTAGCGTATATCAAGGCACCTCCTACTTCTGTCATCACCATTGCGGTGTACGTTAGATAGTGGCAATGCAATAGAACAATTGGCAAGGCAAGCCCGGAAACTGTTAAGAAACTTGACACAAACCTCCCCAAGTCCTGAACCTGGTTGGAAGACTCGTTCATGAGATCATCATAAAATCCATTGGACAGGAATCCTTGGGTGGCCACTACTGGCAAGTACCCAACCGCGAATATTAGCCCAACAAAGAGAACAATCCAGTTGCCAAAGATCGCCCCGGCAAGCACAATGAACAAGAACCCCACGGCAAGGACCGACGAGAGACCAATGATCTTGGATAACGGGGATATGGTGCTCATTGTTGGGAATTATCGTTTGTGGTGTGTCAATAATGTGTCTTTGATGTATCGGTATTATTATCATCATTATAGCAGGCTGATTGTCTGCGTTTTTCTGAGGAGATGGTGGAGGGTAACCAAAGGACCTCACTTTTTTGGTATTGGCGAATTTTCACCGCTAATGGCATACCCCAATATGTTTATATATATATATATATTGTCAGATAATATATATTTAGCAATAATGTTGAAACTATTGCGGAATAGTCGAGTGCCGAGGACCCATCTTCCGCGCTGCTCACGGCTATGGTATATTTCACGACCATATTCAACGCCCACTGCTTCTGCCGACACCAGCATAGCAGACCCTCGAACGTTCCAACTTCATCCACTGTTGATCAAAAGAGCCCGTTTGTTATCCGAGGAATTGACAGCATTACAAGAAAAGATCTCTGGTGGGTCATCTTTCAGTGTCAGTGATCAAAAACGGTTTTCTGAACTCTCAATCATCACCGACACTTACACGAAATACCAGGACCATTTAACCAACTTCCAAGAACTCCAAGAGCTCTTCCATGACGAACAAGAACCCGAGTTGAAAAATGAGGCAGAAAAAGAACTCCGAGAGCTTCAACCAGAACTCACTGCCGTGGCTAGCGATTTGAAGGCCAAGCTCCTTCCCCCACACCCGTTTGATTCCATGGCCTGTATTCTTGAACTTCGACCAGGGGTCGGAGGTGACGAAGCGGCGATTTTCTCCAAAGATATGCTCGAGATGTATTCTCAGTTCGCCCATGTTAAGAAATGGCCATACCATATCATGAGTCAAGTAAGGACAGAAAATAACGGGATCACCAGTGCAACTATATCGATCGATGAACCGGGTTCCTACAAGTTAATGAAGTTCGAAAGAGGGATCCACAGAGTGCAGAGAATTCCTGAAACTGAAACCAAAGGCCGGACCCATACTTCCACTGCCGCGGTAGTGGTGTTGCCGAAGATCTCTGAGGATAATGAGAACCCTGATGCCGATCAGCGAGAATTCAAACCGGAAGAAATCCGGGTGGATGTCATGAGATCCCGAGGAAAAGGTGGACAGCATGTCAATACCACTGATTCTGCGGTGCGTATTACCCATTTCCCATCGGGGATTGTCGTGGCAATGCAAGATGAACGGTCACAGCATAGAAATAAGGCCAAAGCGTTTGCGATCTTGAGAGCAAGATTGGCAGAAAGAGAAAGAGCGGAGAAAGTGGAAAACGAAAGAAAAATGAGAACTTCCCAAGTATCCAGTACCGACAGATCAGACAAAATCAGAACTTACAACTTTACTCAGAATAGAATCACCGACCACCGTTGTGGGTTTTCGTTACATGACGTTGGTGGGTGTATGAATGGTACAAGATTGGAGGAAATTATTTTGGCAGTGGAAAAGAATTATAATGAAGAAAGATCGAAAGAGTTGTTAGAAATTGAGGAGAATCTGGACAAGAAATAGGTTTTTCAATCTGTATATAATGTATAAAATATAATAGATCAACTTTTCAGTGTGTATATTCCATCCGCTGTGGTGGTATATTTCATGTACTAAAAACAAAAAAAAAAAAAAAATTTTTTTTCTAAAGGTCTTCGCTTTGTTTAACTAAATTTCTCCTTTACTTGATTATTTTTAAATCCATAAGATATATAGTATCATAATAAATGGCAAAGCAGACTCCTACACAGAGAGTCGATGCCTATATCAAGAAGCAAGAAAGGCGGGAGGAGGCCTTGGACTTGATCAACAAAATCGCTGCGCTACAGAACCAAGTGCCTAATATCAGTACTAAGAACGAGCCAAAGAAAAAAGAGAGTGAAGAAGGGGATTCTAAAAGCAAAAAGAAGAAAAATAAAAAAAAGAAGAAGAAGGCTACCAATGAAGAAAATGTTGGTGATGGTGGTGATGATGATACTGCTGATCTGAAGGGAAATGAAGCCTTAATTCCTGAAAAAAAATCGACATTTATTGATAATAGAGGAAGTATCAAAGGTTTTGCAAATATCCCGAAAGTCAACAAGAAAAAGAGATCTTATACTTGGAGAGAAAAGCTAGCTGAAGAAGAGCGAAAGAGAAGAAAGGTTGAAGAGGATGAATATTTTGATTCAACTGATGATGAAGGTTCAGATGAAATTGAGGAAGATGAAGACAATGAAGAAGCTGAAGACAATGAAGATTTCAATGGTTTCAGTGATGCTGATAATAATGGCTCTGGAACAGATGAAGGGGAAAGTGACAATAGCGAAGGAGATGATGAAGATGATGAAGATGATGAAGATGATGAAGAAGATGAGCTTACTGAAAGACAACGTCTCAAGACTCTTAATGAAAAGGCTTCCAGTTTTATGAATTGGGTGGAACAACAAACCGAAAAGCTGGCACCAACCCCAATATTAAACATTGACTATCAACCACTCGAAAGATCTGAAGATAAAGAAGTTCTTAGTGATGAAGAGCAGGTGAAAATCTATGAAGTATCAAATGATGACGTAAAGCCAGCATTCTACGTTAATGTTGAAAGAGACTCGGAAATTCAAGAAACTCGTGAAGAGTTGCCAGTGTTCAAAAAGGAACATGACATAATGGAAGCCATCAAGCATAATGACACGGTGATCATTTGTGGGGAAACTGGTTCAGGTAAAACCACCCAGTTGCCGCAATTTTTATTCGAGTCGGGGTTTGGTGATGAAAGATCAGAACATCCAGGAATGATTGGGATCACTCAACCTAGAAGAGTTGCGGCGATGTCCATGGCCGACAGAGTGTCCAATGAATTGGGGAACCACGGGCATAAAGTTTCTTACCAAATTCGTTTTGATTCCAACGTCAAACCCGACACCAAAGTGAAGTTCATGACCGATGGGGTTTTACTTCGTGAGATGATGTCTGATTTCCTTTTGACCAAATATAGTGCGCTTGTTATTGACGAAGCCCATGAAAGAAACATCAACACTGACATTTTGATTGGGATGTTGAGCCGGGTGGTCAAGCTTCGAGCTAAAAGAAATGAAGAGAATCCTAAGAAATATAAAAAATTGAAGTTGATTATCATGTCTGCCACTTTAAGGGTTTCGGATTTTGCAGAAAATCAGAAATTATTTGCGGTTCCTCCGCCGATTCTTAAAGTTGAAGCAAGAATGTACCCGGTGGCGGTTCATTTCAACAAGAAAACCCCGTACGATTATGTGAATGAGGCGTTCCGGAAAACTTGTAAAATTCATCAGAAATTACCTAGAGGAGGGATTTTGATTTTCATGACCAGTCAACAAGAAATCATGGAGTTGGTGAAGAAGTTAAGACAAAGATTCCCAATGCCAAATAAACGTCATAAGAAACAATTGAAAAATGAAGCAGAAGAAGCAGAAGAAACAGAAGAAGTAAATGTCGAAATAAAGGTTAGTTCCAAAGAGGTTGAGGTGGAAGATGAAGAAATTGAATTCAACGTTAATGAACAAGATAAAGATGATTTTGATGAAGGCGATGACGAAGATGATGAGGAAGAAGAAGGGTTTGACGAAGAGCTTGAAGAAGGACAGACTTCCGAAGATCCATTATACGTCTTGCCATTATACTCGTTGCTTCCAACTAAAGAACAAATGAAAGTGTTTGAAGCTCCTCCAGGAAACGCCAGAATTTGTATTGTGGCAACAAACATTGCTGAAACATCAATTACCATCCCAAACACCAAGTATGTTGTGGATTGCGGACGGTCTAAACAGAAAGTATTGAGCAAAACTTCGGTGCAAAGTTATGAAGTTTCGTGGATTAGTCAGGCGTCAGCCGAACAAAGATCGGGTAGAGCTGGTAGAACCGGGCCTGGGCATACTTATAGATTATACTCGTCGGCGATATTCGATGGGTTTGACCGATTCTCTGTCCCGGAAATTTTGAGAATGCCGATTGAAAGTGTGGTGTTACAAATGAAGAGTATTGGGATCGACAATATTTCTAATTTTCCATTCCCAACGGCGATTAATCCACAGGCGTTGATTAAAGCCGAGAAATTATTACAGTATTTGGGAGCGCTTGATGAAAAGAAGGTGATCAGCCAAGTTGGCCGTCAAATGAGTTTGTTCCCATTGAGTCCAAGGTTCGCGAAGATGTTGCTTACAGGTAACCAGTTTGATTGTTTGTCATATATCATCACTATTGTGTGTGCGTTATCTGTTGGGGATCCATTCTTATCAGAAGTTGACTTGGGAATTGATCACAATTTGTTGAATGGCAATAATGAAGAAGGTGAAGATGAAGATGAACAATTGAATGCCGCTGAGTATAATAAGAAAATGGCGAGAAAGGAAAAAATGAGAGAAACTTTGGAGAAGTATAGAAAAGCCCATGCGAAATTTTCAGGATTAAGCGAGACTAGTGATGCCCTTAAAGTGTTGTGTGCGGTTTCTGCTGCGGATTATTTTAAAGATTCTGCTAAGAAGGAAAAATTCCTTAGAGAAAACTTTCTCAGATCGAAGATTGTTGAAGAAATTACCAAGTTGAGAAAACAGTTGCTTTACATTGTGAAGGTTAATACCGTTGAAGAAAGTATTGGGGTGAATATTGATTATTCAAAAGAGTTGAAATTGCGACCACCAAATAAAAACCAAATCTTTGCCATCAAGCAGATCATCACCACAGGGTTCATTGATCATATCGCCATCCGTGCCGACGTGATCAATCCGGATGTTCGTATCACCAAGAAATCGACGAGTGGTTCTATTCCTTACAGTACGTTGTTTCTGGCAGTTGATAGTTTTGACAATGGTCAAGAAGACATTGATCCGCATGTTTACATCCACGGGAAGTCGGTGCTTAACAATATCGGAAGCAAGCCGCCACAATATTTGGTGTACCAATCGCTTGATCTCAATGCCACAAGGACCAAGGTCAGAATGCACCCGTTGACGGATATCGAGGGCAAGGCGTTAACGAACATTGCTAAAGGAACCCCGTTGTTGAGCTACTCCAAGCCGTTGGGACCACCGTACGGTCCAGAAATGGTAAGCGCCACCAAACAGAAAGCTTACGTGATTCCTCGGTTTGGCGGGCTCGGAAGTGCTGTCAGCTGGGACCTACCTCCGGTGCGGGTGGTCCAGCACAGAGTGCGAGGCCAGTGGGTGACCAAGTAGCAGTACTAGTATTAGTAGTAATAAAAGAGTATGTGTATAAGTAATTGTTTATGTGAAGATGCTCTTGCCGTTTTTGGAAGTTTGCGTGGGTGCAGTAGGCACAGCAAGACACGTCTACTTGCATAGAGACGCGAGGGTGTCCCCGAACCTTGTTTCAAGGCAGCGATCCCTTTTGAGGGAACAAAAATTGCAAAAAAAACATTGCAAAAACGCGAAAAAAAAATTGGAAAAAACGCCAACCTCCTGCATTTTGCCTTGCCACCCCCTCCCTCACTCACTGCGCATTGGAGAGATATCCGTCCAGGGTCACCACCAAATAGGACAAGGAAAAAAAAAAAAAAAAAAAAAATGTTAGACATGCCTTATATATATTTATTTTTTTTTATACAAGCTATTTGTATAATATCGTGATATATCCAGCATTATAAACTACTGTTACTGTCATAAAATACCCACTACCAAATACAACTCAATCATAAAGCATCTTCACCTATGACTTCCTCTGGTAGCGGAAAAAACTGCGTCCCTAGATTACCCATCAGACCCGTTAAAATGGATATCGATCATCTAACAAATGATACCATCACCAACAAACCCTCAACATCGCCATCATCACCAACAAAAAGAACAAAATTATCAACAACAACAGCAACAACAACAACAACAACAGCAAATTCATCTTCATCTTCTTCAACTTCGCCAAATATCACCTCTCCAATATTTTCTCAACCCCATCAACGCTCGTTCCATACCGCTGGCCCAATATCCACGCCATCTACTTGTTCGTCCGTGATGACTATCTCAGCAGCAACCACTTTCGAACCACCACTGACTCCTCCTTCTAAAAGATCCTCCCTCCATTTGAGACCTTCCACTTCATCAACATTCTTCTCGCCAGAAAAACGCCCAATAACATTGTCCCCAGAAAAGAAATACTTTTCACCACAGCTGTACCCCCACCAACAACAATATCACTTGCCTAATTCCCCAGCGGTTAAGAGAACGTCTACAGGACTACACAAGCTCAACTACCCTCTGACTCCCGATAGAAGAAGTTTGGCTCTTGCCAACAGTCAGTTTGAATTAGCCAGTCCTGGTCAAGCAACCTCGTCTCCCATGTACACCACCGACGAAATTCTCAAGTCGTCAGAAAAATTACAGGAGATTTCCTCCAACCTAAAGACGCGATTGCTGTACGCGTTCTTGAAAGTTCAGAATGGGTGGCAAGACAAATCCCTTGATCAATTAGAAAACAATCAAGCTGATGACCATTTGGAAAATCCCGATAGTGACCGTCCCCATAAGAAAAGAACCACCGCCCTAGTGAGAAACAAGCATAAATCCTTGCCCACGTCATTTTTCCAACAAGGAAATTTCTTGAACCAGTTAACAGAAACTCCTGCTTCTCCTTCGTCTAAAAATCATTCCTCTTCATTAATGGAACCGTTCAATACCACTCCAAAGTCCAATAGAAATCTGTCTTATAATAATTCGAGAATTATGCTAAAATCCAGCAGTAATTCTGGCGGTCCTTGTTATAATTTCGAAGAAGAAGATAACATCCTTTCTGCCAATGATGCGTTTCTTGCCGCGATTTCTCGTTCGTCGCCTCAATCGCAAACCATCGTCAAGCCTCGTCTCCATGTTGTCTCGTCGTCGCGTTCTTTGATGACTGATGGCTTATTATCCAACTCCACCCCTTCTCCATCAAGACCATTGGCGGCTGATGATAAACACAAGGAACAAGAAGCGATTCAGCTGTTGCTCCTGTTATCGTCCCCAATATCAAATAACAAAACTACACTTTCTGCCCCTAGCTCATCCAAGAAACAACCGCCGTGGGACAATGATCCTCTGAAAGATCATCAGTACAAAATTTCACCAACTCCGAAAAAGCACGCAACAACCATTCCAAGATTTAGGGATGGAAACGAAACTGCGTCTCCTGAATCATCACGTCGAGGATCAAGCTCGACCGAAGAAGAAGAAGGCACTGATCCTGAAAATGTCGAGATGACTGAGGTTAAGAAAGAGGTTACCTGCGACCTCCGAGCCTCGCCATCTGAAGATTCTGCTTCAATTTCTCAAATCAAAGGTAATGGCGAGCCTACTTCCACAACTGCTTAGACATCGAGCGATGAGTATAAAAGAATAAGGCGAAACAAAAAAAAAAAAAAAAAAGAAGGTTTTCAAAGAGAGAGTGGGTTACAATCTTACCTTTGATTTACGCTTGTCGTTTAGCTGTTTCATTTCATTGATTTTGATTGTTTATTTTTTTCACTATTATTATTATTATTATTATTACGAAGTGACGATTTTCATTCTATTTTTCATTATTTCTGTTTTGTTTTTTTTTTTTGTATCCACCAGAATTACTGCCATCTTTCAGGATCTTATTGATTTTATATTCCTATCTGTCTTTCATCTCTATTAAAGGTTATTCATTGTTCTCTTTTTTGAATTATTTAAGTCTTTTGTTTGCTTGATTTTTGGCTTACGGAACTTGTTTATTGCTTGCTTGTCCCTTTTATTTTCTTTTTCTTCCAACTCTCTTATTATATTGGTCTTGGTTTTATTTTATTCATTATTATTTATTTATTTATTTCTTTCTTTCTTTCTTTCTTTCTTTCTTTCTTTCTTTCTTTCTTTCTTTCTTTCTTTCTATCTATCTATCTATCTATCTATCTATCTATCTATCTATCTTTTTTTTTTCTTTCCTTTTCAATATTCCAATTGGAATTATTTTAATGGGTTGGTTAAATGGTATGATTATTTTTTCTATTCGGGGCAAATATACTTTTTTTTTTTTTTTTTTTCCATCTAAACAATAAGGTTTGCATTTGCATTTACAGTTTTTGGCACAATTGTATCTGGTTTTGTAATAATTGATAAGCTTAGATTAGTATTTCAGGATAATTTACTACAACTATTGGCAAGGAAAATTGGAGGAGAGGGAAACTGGATAGGTCGGTTTCTATTATCAATAAGAGAAAGAAAGTTTGTGTACGTGCCTCAAGGTTGTTAAAAACAGCAAGCCAGAATTATTATTTTCACTCTGATTTTTTTTTTTGCTATTTATTTCTTTGACTCTTCCTAGTTGATTGATTGGATTGGTTACTTGACCCAATGAGAACTGAGTAACTAAGGGAATGGAGCCTATTAGAATAATGAAATGAAATTTAGTACCAGGATCCTTATAAATTGAATAATTCTGAATATACAAAAAGAAAAAAGAAAAACACACCCAAGGGGATCTTCAATTATCCCATTCCTGCGAGAGTTGTTCCATTGAAAAAAAAAAAAAAAAAAAAAAAAAGAATACCTTGATCCTGAGCAAAAATTGCGAGGATCGCTGTATTATTATTATTATTATTATTATTATTATTATTATTATTATCATTATTATTATTATTATTATTATTATTATTATCATTATTATTATTATTATTATTATTATTATTATTATTATTATTATCGCATATCTTGAGGATCGAAAATCGTATTTATTGCTCATATTTTGAACAGCAGTGGGTGGGAAATTCAAAAGATAAGGGGAAAGGAACACCACAAGATTGATATCATATCATATCTTGTGAGAGAAACGAAACGATATTCATCATTTTGAAGTACGTTACTCTATAGATCCTATTCTGGAACTTTTTCTTTCTTGATGATAATAATAATAATGATAATAATGATAATGATAATTACTCCCACATCGATCATAGGGGGAGGGGGATGAACCGAACCGCCCACAATTAATTAGTGAAACACCAATATAAAGATATAATAAAATATGATGAAATAATAATCGCCTCCAAAGGGGGGAGGCTGTTCTGATGAATTAATTTAAAGAAAAAAATAAAAAAAACAAAAAAAAAAAAATCAGCTCCCTAGAAAGCCACAATAAAATGGAGTGTTGTCAAGTACACTCCAATTTTAACTTACACCAATGGTAGTAGCAGCCTGTTCAGAATCCGTATATTCTGTACAATCGTTGCCATGGATGTTCTTGATGATAATAATATCACTCATCCAAGGTGCCACCGGATATCACATGGCAAAGACTGGCCGGAAATACTGTCTTCACACAAGGACGACGACGAAGAAGCAAGCAATGAATAGGTAATAAAAAATCAGTAGTAGTACGTAATTACAAAAAAAAAAAAAAAAAAATGCGTTTCACGTTTCTGTAAGTTGGTAGAAATCCTGTGGTACGCGAATGAGAAAGTAGTAGATTATATTATAGTATTGTCCATGTAAGACACCATCTCACAAAAGTGGGTCCACTAAATAACAATAGTTCTGTATCTCTTACACACACACACGGAGTTGTCAGGTCCCTGGTTGTTGATCAATTTCTGTTATTTATTTTGGGGAAAAGAGCATCCATCCATCGTTCAGAACTGCCTTCTACAAACACCACCACCCACCCATGCTGAATAAGAGAGCTACAAATGAAAAAAAAAAAAAACAGCAACACGATCGAACCACCACCAAGAATTATTTTACTGTTTGTGTGTTGTGTGTTTTTGTGTGGTCTGTTTTCTATTCGTAACGCATCTCTGTTGTTCTTGCAGCAACGTTACAGTTTCAACTTGATGGTGGAGAAAAGGATAAAACACCAAGCAAGGTATCAAATACGAGATGGAGAACCGTAAAGGAATGAGATTATCTCTTTTGTGTGTATTTGCATCATATATTATGTATATATAGTTATATATTAAAAACAAAACAAAAAAACTGCCCTCTTAAAAAAAAAAAGAGGATTTTGAAAACGAAACCCCTGAATGGTATGGTATATCACAGGCTTCTTGAGGATTCTTCTGCTCATGACAAGCGAATGATAGATAATTTGGATGAGATGGGAACTACATTAGTGCGATCTGGATGAAACTTCCCTATAGCAAGCAACGCAACACAACACAACACAACACAACACAACACAACACAACGATCGTCGTTGTTGTCGTCGTTTGTTCTTCGGAGCGCCGCCTCCCGTTTGACAAGTGTCTCTCCTCCTCCTCATTAGTGTCGGATCATCGTGATCGTGTCTCAAACACCGACCGACCGATTGTTTGTTTGTCGTAGAAAATAATCATTTTGTTATGGGAAAAAACTCCCGCGAGATTCAGTTTATGCATGCAACCTAAATCGCTCCCTCCCCTCCCCCCACCGGCATACGTCACTCGCACCGACGGCCCGTCAAAACCAGTCGCTTTTTGAGTGTACAGCGGTCGGTGGGTGGCTAATTTATTTATTAGATCGTCCGATCTGGATCTGAAAATGAAACAGAAACATTCCAAGACAAAAAAAAAAAAAGAAAAAAAAAACACCTAACCGCAAATTGAAAAGTTGTCAGGACATCGAACTGAGACACCTGGCTATGACATTTATTAGCTGTTGCTGGGAGTGTCCAATGGGTGTTTTTGTTGGCCCATCGTTTGTTTGTTTGCTTTTTGTTTTTGTTTTTTTCCACAGATCGTTGCCAGGCATGGCTTTTCAATAATCATGTTTTGTGGAAGAGATTGAATTTATTTAAAACATCTGACAATTTTTTTTTTTTTTTTTAATGGTGTGACAATTTTAGCAAAATTGGCTGCAGTAGTGGCTAGTGTGCAAACTCGATCAATTCTCATGAAAGAAAGATCTTACTTACACATGTACACTAAAGCAGACAGATACTATCACAATTTGGTCAAAGAAAAAAATTATATACTAGTGATTTTATGAAATTTGCTTATGATAAGGTGTCTTAGAACTTAGAAATATTAAAAAACCTACACTGTTTAAAATGCCGCCATTACTTACTATTATCCCAAGTTGAAAATCATAAAGTGTATATATTAAAAAACATAAAACTAAAACCAACTGCAAAACCTCAAAAACCAATAACGTAAAGCAAAACAGAACAAAACGAAACGAAACGAAACAAAGCAAAAAAAAGACAAAGAAAAACAATTCCTAAAAACAAAAATTAACAGTAGACCAATATCACCACAAAAGGTTAGCTCATAAGAAGTTTTAATGTTGGGTCATTAATTCTAAAACAAAATTTAAACCCCCTCAACAATAACGTAAAAATATAAACAAGTAATATGGCAGACTTGACAACCTCGGTGATATTATATGGCTAGGTCTATGCCGATAAAACATAAATCAACATAACAGTATTCCATCGTTCTAGAAAACAAAAAAAAAAAAAAAAAAATAGGTGGATTGAACCACCAATTATAGAAATGAATTCAAAAATAGTTGATACCAAAATAAAATAAAATAAAATAAAATAAAATAAGAAAGAAAGAAAGAAAGAAAGAAAAAAAAAAAATTTTTTAAAATGTCTAATAACCAGTATTGTAAACGATGGATGGCCCTAAAAGTTGTCATGGTAAAGATCTTCCATTATAAAATCCATTCCAAACTGGACATCTTGCTGATGGTTATCAACAGCAATGGGGTCCTCGCCGTCTAATGCTTCTTTACCCAGGATATTATTCATAATGGTTTTTGGATTGATAGAGACTTTGGCTTGTTGTTGTTGTTGTTGTTGTTGTTCTTCCTCCATCCCAGAATCATCAATGGTCCCGAACGCAGATTTTTCAACAAGACTTTCACAGTTCTCAAGCATGGCAAACGGATCTTTAAGGCATGGCTCTTCATAAGATGGAAATTTGGAGATTATCAGCCGGCTATTATTGGGAACGTAGTTTTCCGGCATGGTCGAAGTGGTTTTGAACTGATCGTTAGAAGGAAAAGAGTGTGATCTAAAGAAATTGAGCCCACCAATAAAGTTCATGGATTTGGATAAAGAAGAAACATTGTGCCAGCCATATTGTTGTTGTTGTTGTTGTTGTTGTTGTTGTTGTTGTTGGGTTGGCTCCAATATTTCACCGAATGACGAATACGAATGGATGTATTTTGAACTGGAAGAGGAAGGGGGACCGGCTGGAAGATGGTTGTTTCCCTTAGCTAAAAAAAAAAAAGGTTCGGAATTCTTGGACGATGATGATGTATTCGTCTTGTGATAGCCAGCATCATCGGAACCTGGGGCGGTGTAGCTGTTGCGGCGGTAATAGTAATCGTTGTTGTTGGAAAAAGTTGACCCGTTTCGGCTGGTGGTGGAAGACTCGGTACTATACGAGCTCAATCTTTTTCTAAGGTCATCGTGAGCCGATGAATCTAACACCCCACACCCCGCGAAGGAGGAGTCGATATTTTTATGGGAGTTACTGGCGGTGCTCGAACGTTTCTGTTTGATATTTTTCTTTGATATGGACGAAACTGGAGTGGCGGTGATGATCATTGAACACTGCGGGCCTTCTTCCATGATATCAAGCTTACCAAATGTCGAAATGTCATTGTTGAGTGCCATAGACTCGATCGACGCATTGCTTGATTTTTTCGTCAACACCAATCCGTTCATTGACTTGGAGGAATCCTTTATCATGATTGGCTGGAGTTCGTCATTTTTGTGGCTGATGATTGAAGCTCGATCGAATTTTGTCGACGTTGGCGACACTGGCAAGTCGTTGTTGTTTAATAATTGGAAAACTGGATCATTGATGTCGTTGACATTATTGTTGTTGTAAATGTTGAAAGACTCGTTCGAGGTGTATTTCCAACTGAGTTCGGGTTTTGGCTTTGGGGCATAAAGAAGCTTATTTCTTGACCCACTTCTCAAACGATGGTGGTTGTTGGTCTTCTTCTTTGATTTAGGGCTATTGGAGATCATAATTATGTTTGAACAGTTGTTGCTATTTGATGGTGGTGGCACTATTTGCTAAAAGGATGTTGAATCCATAGAAAGCAAAATATATGGTAAGGGGAGAAATTTTTCAGATTGATCCAAAAATGGAAAATCAGACTCTGGAAAGAAAAATGAAAAAAAAAAATAAAATATCAATAATAATAATAATAATAATAATAATAATAATAATAATAATAATAATAATAATAAAAATAATGATAAATGAAAATTGTGATTAATAATCGCCTTGCGGTGAATTCATGCACTTGCAAACACGGATGATTATTGTAGAGGATGGATGTTTGATGGCACAGTTCAGTTCAGCGGACAATAATAAGATGTGCTTATGTTGAGAAGTGTGGGGGGGAGAGAGGAGAGGAGAGACCTAAAAGTGTGGATTAATGGGTTGATAAATTTTAAATTTTATTTTGTTTGACCTCAAAACCGGTTTGAGATGAGGGGAATTGTAGTAAACTTAAGAGAATAATGGGGGGAGAGGAAAGAGAGACAAAAAGATGATGAGGCAATCTGGCCTGATGTGAAGATCCGAGAAGATGCCTTCCAGATCTGCTATGATTGGGTCTGCAGCAGAGTCGGTGCTAAACAAATTTGCTGGTTGCTGTTGTAAGGAAGGGAAGTGATATTTATATGATAATGTTGTTTTGTGTGTGTGTGTGTGTGTTATACAGGTGTGCAATTTGTTGTGTATCTGAAAAAAAAAAAAAAGGGGATTGTTTATTATATAACGCTAATAACACACACCAATGTGATGATCGGTCGACAGATACTTTATTGACTTATGTTTTATTATTTTAGTGAGTGTGAGGTGCTTTACCTGACAATCATGCTGTCGCATGCCGGGCAACGCACATTTCGCTGAGATCTCCCGCAACTGTCGGCATGCCCTCTCTGCCCACTGCCGTTTCTGGCAGCCAGTCCCCGGCGATCGTTGGGCGGATCTGCAGCGTGCATTTGGTGCTGCATGTGACTTGACCAGGGACACAAAGCGTGCATTTGGCGCCAATCTGTCAAACATCTCGACTCTCCCGCGTGCTCTCCCACAACAACAATTGTATTATTGGTGGGTGGTCTGTTACTCCATCGGCTCGTCTTCATTTGTTTGTTTTGAATAACCAGCTATCCAATTGTCTATCATCTAATTGTTATTGTTATTGCTATTGCTATTGTTATTGGTTGTTTGGCATTCCAATACATCGACAACTGCCCCAAGTGGCTCCACCACCCATCGCACTTCATATTATATTCATATACCTCCAATCCACCGTGAGTAGCCGTTTCAAATCCTCAAAAAATTACACCAAAACTTCCCCTACCTACCCACCGCGTACACGGATATATCGTGAAGAACAGAAAAAAAAAAAAAATTTCAAATGGCCACAGATGTATGATTATGATTGATTGCCTACACGTAGCTTAGCATTTATTTATTTTTCTTCTCATGTTGTTTCAAGTCAGTACACTCCATGTTTTTTTTGGATAATCATAAATAACTCGTAAAATCCTGGCGATGACAGTCCGTTCAAAACAAAAGAAACAAAAACATTGCTTTTTTTATCATGAGTATATACAATTTGTGATACCCTGAAGACTATTTTCCGACGTGGAAAAAAAAAAAAAAAAAAAAAAAAAAAAAAAAAAAAAAAAAAAACCGATACAAAACTTTAATGGTAGAGAGAGATAATTGCTCCCTCCTCCTCCTCCCTGGTTATGTGTTATCTCTACTAGTGTCATCTTTGTTTGTTTGAAGATCCTCTCTGTCACACAATCAATCAAATTGGTTAATTAATCATGCAAAATACCGCCTATAAGGTTTGTGGCGTGATGAAAATAACATTGTAATAACAATCAATAGATCTGGCACATGTGGTTAACGATCTGGCTGTATATGCAAGTTAGTGGTCCCAGGGCTTTTCCAGGTAAAACAATAGAGTAGAGTACGACATCGTTCCGTTCCTCAAGAAAAAAAATATCGTACTAGTTTGTCAACGCTGCTGTTACAAGACATTCGCGAGTGTTGGTTGGGTATTGGTTGGTTGGTTCACACAATATTATCTGTGATGATAATCAATCTATTGTTTTAATTTCTACAAGTTACTACTGGCAACACAATTGAGAAATCAGTTGAACCCCCCCCCCACCCCCTAATGTCTGGCATGGATCCATAAATATATCTGTATAGACTGTTTGGTGGTAGAGCATTATTGCCACTACATATTAAATCAGACACCAATCATCCACACATGCACTAACCTTCAATGACCTTATGCTTATAAACGTTGTGCTTATAGAAGTCAACCATTAGTCAAAGGGTTACTGGTGCAATATATACCGCAGTAGTTACACCTCCTTATAAGCCAGGTTTTTCATTGGTAAAAAAAAAAAAAAAAAAAAAATTAATAAGAACATTGGCAAATAATACTTGTAGAACAACCAAACAAAACTTGGGTTAGATTATCGAGTGCATCACTGGAAAAGCATGTCAAATCAAATCAAATTGTATATTAACGAGTCACTGAGGTTCTATATAACATGCAAGCCGGGAACTTCATGCTGGTCTTTCTAATAGGTAAGTAAAATACTATAACTTTCTCACAACCTCACACTCCTTGCTTTAAGAATTAATCCTATATGTATACCAGCGGGACGGGTCACAGAAATGAGATCTGGCTGGTCCCAAATATTTCTTGATTAGAATGTGCGCCTCGCTAGCACAATCGGTAGTGCATTCGACTCTTAGCAATAAGCGTCATCGAAAGGTTGCGGGTTCGAGCCCCGCGTGGGGCTTTTCTTTCTTTTTTGTTTTTACTTCCTCTTCATATACACTCACTGGTGCATCAAAAGGTATAGGATTTGCCCTTTCAAAAATTTTTGCTAAAAACAATTATGATATTGTTGCTGTTGCAAGAGATTCAAAAAAATTAGAAGAGTTGAAGTCAAAGCTCTCCGTGGATGGTTGTTCTGTTCACACTATCGAAGCTGATTTAAGTAAATTTGATGACATTGAAAAAATTAAGCAAGTAGTGGAACTGGAAAAATGGGATATCGAAACTTTGGTGTTAAATGCGGGTCAAGGTATTGGTGGTGACTTTGTTACGCAAACTAAGCTAGATAAAGAATTGCAACTTATTAGTCTCAATGCTAATTCAATGGTTCATATGTCGAAAATATTCTTGCCAAAATTGATTGCGAGGGGTCACGGAAAGATCATGATGGTATCTTCTGTTTCTGGTACTACACCAATTCCATACGAAGCTGTGTATGGTGCCACAAAAGCTTTTGTAAATTCTTTTTTTTGGGCAATCAGAAATGAAGTTAAAGGTTACAATATTGATATGACTTTATTGTTACCTGGTGCAACTGAAACAAACTTTTTTGTAAATGCTGGACTTGCTGAAACTGTCATTGGTTCTGGAAAGAAAGATAATGTTGATGAAGTTGCTCAAAGAGCTTGGTTTGCTTTGCAAAGTGGTCATGAATATGTTTATGGGAGTGATCTTGCGGAATATGAAGGTGATGTTTTGAATCGTAATCAAAGTGAGCTGCACAAAGCTCAAAGACACAGATATTTATCAGCTCCAAAAAGATGCTAGTTACATGGCTGTTAAAGAGCTAGTATCATGAGGCTAAGGGACTGAGCTTATATATTTTACATAACAAAATATATAGTAATTTGGTCGTCGTATAAGAGATTTTGTCAGTTTCTTCTCGTTTAAAATACTGAAGCATTGTTGTTTATGTAATGATTTGATCACGTTGAGGGAATAGTTTTAGAAAGGAACATGGTGATTACTGTCCATTAAAAGAAATCATCCATTCTTAGGTACCAGACGTGCCTGCAACCCTTGCAATATCAATACGGTAACTTCAGAGTTCTAAAAGAAATCTTTGCAGCGGCTGCTTGAGGCGCTTTTTTATTTGACTTTTCGGTTTCCAAAATTCAATTGAAAAAGTTAATAAAGGACTGGAGCAAGCCATTTGTTATCTGCTAGAACCAAGTGGATTCCCGGGGTTGGGCAATCTTCTCATATCTGTTGGATGTTGAAGGATTTGGTGGGATCTTTTGTTGTATATGTTATATATTATAGTAAATTGAATTGCTACTCAATAAAAACAGCAATGGAGTTTCCCTTCATTAACTTAGCCTTTTCTCATTTTTTTCTTATACCAGATAAATGGCATTATTATTATAAGAAATATCATCCACCAAGGTGAATTTTTGCAGCATAGACTGAGTTTTAGTGTTCATTAAACTATAGTTCAATATTGTCTATGATTCGAGAATAATGATAATGGGAAGAATAATGATAATACCAATGATTCCAACAATATTGATGATATTATAATATAAATTATGGCACCTACAAAAAGATCCAAAGAACCCCCTGTATATTTGACGGCACAATGTTCAAATGATGTCATATGGTACAACAAAAAGGGGACACCAATACAATCCCCCAAATTATGGCGTGATACGACCAAAGGCGATAACACCAATAATCATGCCATGATAAATACCTAATAAAGACAATAAAAGATAATAAAGGATAAGAGATAATTAAAACATGGGATATCAAACGTTCAATCAACATTTTCAAATACTTTTCTCTCTCCATTTCCAAAAAAAAAAAAAAACATAAATCATAAAAGAATTTCCAAGCTGATCAATAACAATGAAAAACTGCGAATAATCTCCTTATTCAATAATTTACCTAATAGTATGAATCATGTATATGTTCAGGTACTAAGAATCCCATATGTCGGTTATCTCTTCTTTGTACTTCTCAGCATATCCGCCCTAGTAAACCCTTTGCTGATTGAGAATCATCATGCTCCAGATTATACGACGAGTAATACTCTTGATAAATCGCTTGTAACTGGTCGTTGGATAATCCGTAATCTTCAGGATGGAAATTGTCCAACACTTCAATCAGAGAAGGATGAAGATTATTTTTGCCAGGTTTTTTATATTTCTCCAGAGCGGAAAAGTCAAAGTCTTTCAAGATGATGATTTCCGCATCACACTTCACTTTGCGGACTCGGCACAGGTCGCACGATGGACCAGTCCGTTGACGTCGTTTTTTTTTGTTTTTTTTTTTTAAAGTCCCTATATTTAACTACTAAGAGCTATATAGGTCATCGCACTTTTTATGTACGGTTATTATGATCAATTATGCGCAGCTATGGCGACTTATTTGGTGTCCGTTTTCTCCCAATATTTTTGGTAACCCGGGAGTTTGGGTTGGAAAATGCAATGTTTTTGACTTGTAGCAACCTGTCACTATTTTTTTTTTAGCCAGGGAGGAGGAAATCTTCGAAAGACACCAGCGACGCAACCTTACCGGTAGTGTGTGATTTTTACTCACTAAAACCCCCTTGTATCTTACCTTCAGAGTGGTGTTTTTTTTTTTTTTAAAGACAAAATTCAATGAATGAATGAATTGTATATTAACGAGTCACAAAGGTTCTAAATAACATGCAAGCCGGGGATTTCATGCCGGTCTTTCTAATTGGTTATGAGCACTGTCTCGTTATCTATAACTAATAGCTCAAACCAAACTAAATCAAAAAACAAGAAGCGCCATGGCGCAGTGGAAGCGCATTGGGCTCATAACCCAAATGTCCTAGGATCGAAACCTAGTGGTGCTAGTATTTTTTGACATTTGTTTCAAGTGTCTTCAGCCTTTTTTTTTTTTTTCTTTTTTTTTTTTTAATTCAGCTTGCTTTCTTTCTTTCCAGTATGAAATCGATGTCTTTGGATGTCACTATTTTAGTGACATTCATGAAAATAATATTGTAATATATCCTGAGAAATAGCATGTATTCAGTTCTTTTAACCTTCGAAGATTAAGCTGGAAGATATTATCCTGTTGGAAAATTAACAGGTACCCTGGATTCCTTCAACATCAAGAAGTAGTTCTAAATCCCTGTATCTTATTTTATTTATTTTCGGGGCAGGGGGTATGTTAAAGCTCTCGATGGAATCAATAATGCCATTTATTGTATGGTGTCTGAACAAAGAGATTCTACAACAGAGATCAGTACATGCAAGATAGAAAAGGTTTTATGTGATGCAATTTTCTCCAAAGGTGAAGCTCCATTGAATCTAAGAAATGGTCCCCAGTATTATCGAATTTAGCTCTATCAGTTTGAATTGTATCAATGTGTGGTCGCCCCCACTGAATCACATTGTTAACATCATTAGAACGAGACAAAAAAAAAATGACTGTCTGGCCATGAGAACAGCTCTCAGTAAAAGTTAAATTCGAAGGTAAAACTGTAAATTATAAATTTAAATACCAGATGATGCTTCATATTTGTTGTTGTTAATGTTTATACTTATAAGTATGGTGGCTGCATTTTTTTTTTTTGTTGTTGATCGAAAGTATCATGCTGAAAAGGAAAACAAAACTTTTCTTTTGATATAAATGTAGCAACTTATTACTTAAGCAGGAATTTCCTTTTGCGCGAGAGCAAACTTACAAAACCATTGATCGACCATATAAACCCCAATTTCGTATCTCTTGTTATTTGACCTCTTTCTAGTTTTCCAGCTCCTACTTTTTTTTTTTTTTCACGGATTGAGAGTTAGGGATACGTTTTAATAACATTATATTATTTTTACAATTTAAGAATTCGAGATTTTCTTCATAATTGAATTTTTTCTTTTTGTTTAATTAAGACATGTCAAAGAGTGCAATCGGAATTGGTATGTGTATTGTAGTAAAATAATTACCACACAATAATTACTACACAACATTATAGATTTCTTGAATGATTTACTAACAAAATAAAATTAATCAGACCTTGGTACAACGTATTCCTGTGTTGCCAAGTTCAGCAATGAAAGAGTGGAGATCATTGCTAACGGTAAGTACTAGCTAGATAATTGCAACATGCAACCCTAAATTTGATGCATACTAACATAATTTACAGACCAAGGTAATAGAACCACCGCAAGTTTTGTAGCCTTCAACGATACTGAACGTCTTATTGGTGATGCTGCTAAAAACCAAGCGGTTATTAATCCTCACAACACGGTGTTTGATGCCAAGCGATTGATTGGTAGAAAATTTGACGATCCAGAAGTCCAGGAAGATATCAAGCATTATCCTTTCAAAGTGATCAATGAAGGGGGTAAGCCCAAGATCCAAGTTGAGTATAAGGGAGAGACTAAAAAATTCACCCCTGAAGAGATATCAAGCATGATTTTAGGCAAGATGAAAGAGACTGCCGAAACATTTTTGGGAGAGCAAGTGAAGGATGCAGTTGTTACGGTGCCAGCATACTTCAATGACTCTCAGAGACAGGCCACCAAGGATGCAGGGTTAATTGCCGGATTGAATGTGTTGCGTATTATCAATGAGCCAACCGCGGCAGCTATTGCTTATGGATTGGACAAAAAGGATGATGGCAAAGGTGAGCACGATGTGTTGATCTTTGATTTGGGAGGTGGGACATTTGATGTCTCGTTGTTATCTATTGATAATGGGATATTTGAGGTGCGTGCTACTGCCGGGGATACACATTTAGGAGGCGAGGATTTCGATAGTAGATTGGTTAACCACTTTATCCAAGAGTTTAAGCGTAAGAACAAAAAGGATATTAGTGGGAACCAACGGGCCTTGAGAAGATTGAGAACCGCATGCGAAAGAGCGAAGCGGACCTTGTCATCCTCTACACAAACTTCAATTGAAATTGACTCATTGTTTGAAGGTATTGACTTTTATACTTCGATTACCAGAGCAAGATTCGAAGAATTATGTGGTGAACTATTCAGATCCACTTTGGATCCGGTGGAAAAAGTTCTAAAGGATGCAAAGATTGGGAAATCAGACGTTGAAGAAATTGTTCTTGTTGGTGGGTCCACCAGAATTCCTAAAGTTCAAAAATTGGTTTCTGATTTTTTCAATGGAAAAGAACCAAATAAGTCAATTAACCCAGATGAAGCAGTTGCTTATGGTGCTGCTGTCCAAGCTGCAATTATGACTGGTCATACTTCTACAAAAACCCAAGACTTGTTGTTATTAGACGTTGCTCCATTATCTCTTGGTATAGAAACTGCTGGCGGGGTCATGACAAAATTGATCCCACGAAATTCTACTATCCCAACAAAGAAGTCTGAAACTTTCTCCACTTATGCCGACAATCAACCCGGTGTGTTGATCCAGGTTTTCGAAGGTGAGAGAGCTAAGACTAGAGACAACAATTTGTTGGGGAAGTTTGAACTTTCAGGAATTCCTCCAGCGCCAAGAGGTATTCCTCAAATTGATGTAACCTTTGACATTGATGCCAATGGTATTCTAAACGTTTCTGCGGTCGAGAAAGGCACTGGAAAAACCAACAAAATTACCATTACAAATGATAAGGGCAGATTATCTAAAGATGATATCGAAAGAATGGTGTCTGAAGCAGAGAAATTTAAAGAAGAGGATGACAGGGAAACAGAAAGAATTACAAGTAAGAATGGATTTGAAAGCTACGCTTATTCACTCAAGAACAGCATTGCCGAGCAAGGCTTTAAGGATAAAGTTGCAAGTGAGGATGTTGAAAAATTAGAAAAAGAAGCGAATGAGGCCATCAAATGGTTAGACGAATCTCAATCGGCATCGACTGATGAATATAAGTCCAGACAAAAAGAATTGGAAGAAGTTGCCAATCCGATTATGAAGAAGTTCTATGAAACTGGTGCCGGAGGCGCTCATCCTCCGCCTCCGCCTCCTGGCAGTGGAAGCTCCGGTGCAGGTACTGCTGGCCCAACTGTTGAAGAAGTTGATTAGGCCACAAAATATTTGAGTTTATGTCCTGTTTTTTTTTTTTTTTTTTCTATCTGTTTCGTTGTTCAAAAAATAAGTATATAGTCGTCACGTATATAAAAACCAACCAAAATCGCTATGTCCATGTGTAATGTTCCAGTATAATTGAATTTACAAAGTCTACAAAAAAAAACATTCAAAAAGGCATGTAACACTAAGACTAACGTACTCAAATGGAGAATTGAAAAAAAAAAAAAGGAAAAAAGAAATGAATAAAATACGTCAAATTATCAAAAAACAAGCAATGGAAGTCAAGTAGAGCACTAAATATCCAGATTCAAGCTAGTTTTCACGTTAATACCTTTAGATATTTCTCGTTACTATAATCATCATATTCACAACACAAAGCAAGATGCTGTTAGGTAATCCAAATGGTTCGAGAATTTCATCATTTGCCAACTTTACCGTACTTTGCCTTTCCAATATCCAAAGGAATATAATGGTACTTGATCATATGCTGTATTTGTTTCTTCATACTGAAACTGAATAATGCAATGAAATACATTAAAAGAATTGGCCAGAATACTGGCAAGTTAAATATTTCAAAGAAACTGCCAAACAAGGAAACGGTGGTGGCCACCATAGCTCTATGCCAGAATTTGAACTCAGGTAATCTTCTAATAAAAGGTCTAAATTCATCATCAACAGCCCCAGAGTCACCACCTCTTTTTTCTTCTTCAGTCAAACCTTCTTCAATTGATTCATTGTTGAGCTCTTGTTGTAAAGTAACATCAAACTTTGGTTGGAGAAACTGAATAAATAAAGAAAGTAAATATATGGAAAGCGTGTAACAAATAATGTACCAGCCTTGGGCAACTAATATTCTAACCAAGAATAAAAATAACATGATCCCGAAACCGGCCCATCTATAAGTAACGAAAGGCGTTACTTTATCCAAGTTAACTTGATATAATGTTTTTGCCTTGTCAATGTATGCCGTAAATTGGTTGACGGCTGGACTTGGATCATCGAAGGATGGCATGGCAATATGATCTGTTTTGAAAATAAAGAAGCTTTTTTATTCTTCACCGAAAAGGTTCCGTTCACACTGGATTGAATAATTGACAATAAATAAATGAAAACAAATAGCTTTCCTAATATATATAATTTCGAAAACACAATTCACTCTTCATTTCACGGTAATGTTTTGTCCATTTGTTCTCAATTTTTAACAATATACACGTGACAAATATACACGTGACAAAATTCAGCTATCATCAAAAATTGGTAAAACAAAAGAGAGAACTCGCATTGTGATAGAGAGACGAATTTCAAATATTTCTCGTTATTATTTATTTTTTGTATTAAAGATGAGTGGGTATGTATGCTATAAAATCAAATGTTTTATTTATCACCCAAGACTCCATTTTTATTCAGGATCAGGAGACTTGTTGATCACAAGGAAGCACATGAACTTTTGGGAATCCTGACAGTTAAGCCATGCTAGGAACTATTACTAACAATTCATTCTCAGTTGGACCGTGATTTTCAATTTGGTCTTGGTCATAGTATTATCAGTGGTTGCTTGGTTTTTTGCACCAAAACAGGATAGAACGTGCGTATTATTGCTACCGAGGCTGATAAGGCTAGCCAGAGATACATTCATGGGAACTACCAGTGGTAACAAAGCTAATGCTTAAAGGTCCCTCGAATAGAATTTTCTTAATGTTTGAACTATCAATTTTTTTTTTTTTGTCACTCAGTACTAACAATTAATCTTTTAGTGTCTGGCGTAGTAGTATAATATTGTTCCTTGCCATGGCCTACTTGATGTGGGCTATCACATACTTGTGTCAGTTACATCCTTTGGTCGTTCCTCGTCGCTCGGATTTGCGTCCTGAATATGCTGAGTAGGCTTTTTCTATTAGGAACTGGGTGGTGGCTATCTAGAAGATTTTTTTCCGGAAAAGGATAAGGGTTTATTTGTCCGTTACAGTTTTTACGTGTTGAACTTTATGTTTGATGCTTTATTATGTGCTACCCTTTTTTTCTGCTGCAAGAAGCAGAGGATTATGAAGCAGACTAACCTAATCAAGAGTGGTAGGAGAAGTAATGTTTGTGCTTCTAGGGTGGTGATCCCCAATTGTGTTTCTATACATCCAACTTTTTTTTCTCTTTTTTTTTTTTTTTTCCTTCTTACTTATATTTTTAATTCTATAAAAAAAAATCAAAGCTATAGTTGATTTCCTGCTATACCATGTTACGTAATTGAAGACCAGAGATGGCTCAGTACCCACTTTATTCCTCGTATAAATAATCAACCAGCTATGTCCACTGTAGAAACGAAAAAAGATGAGATAATTGCACACGTGATCATATTTCTGAGGATTTACGCCGCTCTACAACTTCTCAAAGAGATATCGCCACTATGTTTTATTTCTAAAGCCCTGATTTCTCACATTAACTTGGAGGATTAGATTTATAATACTGTACTAATAAAATGAGTTGGTTTGGATCAAGTGCAATAGACATCGATCTCATGATCAAGGAAACCTGTTCGGAGGCTATTCCTGACGGAGAAATTGATTTGATTAAAGGATTTGAGATTATTGATCTACTCAAGATTAAGAAAGTTAAAGCCAAGGAATTTTTAAGGGCTTGGGAGAATAGAATTATCAACAACAGAAATCCGAATAGCCAAATTAAGTTACTAAACCTTGTTGATTTATGTATTAAGAACGCGGGTATTAATTTCTCATTGGAAATATTTGCTGGAGGGTCAACCAGTGGTTCAGAAAATGATTTTGCATCATCTTATGGGACTATTCATAACCAATTTTTAAATAAGTTGCTATTTATTCTTCATAACTCAAAAACTAGCGATTTGGTTAAAGACAAAGTTTTGGAATTGATTGAAGTTTGGCACGCGTTGTTTTCACAAAATTCGAACTTGAACCACAATATTAAGTCGATATACAAAACTTTGAGAGACGAAAATTTCAAATTCCCAGAGATCAGTGAAAAAATCATTCTCAATGAAAAATTTCTAGAATCCAAAGTCCCTCCAGCTTGGGTGGATTCTGACTCCTGTATGATTGGATTTGAGCCATTTACAATGTTGAATAGAAAACATCATTGTAGAAATTGTGGTGGGGTGTTTTGCCATGATCACTCTTCAAATACCACTGAAATTCCAATGATTGGATTGAATGAACCTGTCAGAGTTTGCGACTCATGCTACCAACAATTAACATCCAAGCCAACATCCAAGACCCACAGTAAACACCATCATAAGCACCGTTCATCCAGAAATACCTTTATAGAAGACGAAGAAGATGAAATGTTAAAGAAGGCTTTAGCTTTGAGTTTACAAGAATCACAGGCTCCAAATCAGCCAAAGTATTCAGGGGAACAGAATGTGAGTGCCTCCGGTAAGACCGTTGATGACGAAGATGAAAATGTGGAAGAGAATTACCTGGACGAGGATATGAAGGCGGCTATAGCTGCTAGTTTGAGGGATATGGAGGAGCAGAAGCAACCACATAGGATAGATAACAAGTTGTACGCGGATTCTAATCGCCAAGAGCCTCCACAGCCATACCAACAGCCATCAATTTATGAGCCAATTTTGAATCGTGAATTAGAATCGAGAGTTTCTTCAAAGGAAGAGGAGTCAATTTCCTTGTTTTCACAATTGATGGGAAATCTTAAACAAAAGCAAATGATTGATAGTAATGACAACCAAGTGTTACAAAATGAGGAACTCCAATCATTGTATACTGAGATCATCAAGTTGAAAACAAAATTGGGTAGAAATATCAATGAAGACTTGGGAAAATATGATCAATTTATTGATTTGCAGGCGAAGATGAATACGATTGTGAGACTTTACGACGGTTTGTTAGAAAAAAGATTGAAGCTTAGAGGCTATAGTAGAGAATCGTACTCCGTTCCAAGTTATCCTGAACAATATCCTTCAAATATTCCTGCGTTATCAAATAACTATACTGGAATGGTACAGCAACCAATCTACACGGGGAGTCCTGCAATCGTTGAAACAGGTGCTACACAAGAGATACCAAATAACTATACTGGAATGGTGCAGCAACCAATGTATACGGGAACTCAACCAATTTTTGAAAGAGGTTCTATACCACAAATATCAAACCAGATTACCCCACAACCAACGCAAACACATACGCCATTCGTCCACAATCCTTATATGGAATATCAAACCCCATCACCAGCACAATATGCTGTCCCATCAGAACCTTCTTATCCACCTGAACCACAAACAGAAATGATCCAAGAAGCACCAGTGGATGTCGCTCAAGCTCAAGAAACTGCTGAGCCATCCCAACCTATCGAAGTTCCTCAATATCCTTCCTATCCACCTGAAGTACAACAAGAAATGACTCAAGAGGCGCCGTTGGATGCATCTCAAACTCAAGAAACTGTTGAGGCATCGCAACCTGTTGAGCTTCCACAATATCCTACAAATCCACCAGAAATTCAAAACCTAGCGCAATATCCCTCCCAGTCAGCTCAACCAGTTCAACCAGCTCAGTCAGTTCAACCAACTCAACCAGTTCAGCCAGTCCAACAAGCCCAACTTACGAAGGTACCTACGCCTTCTGAGCAACATAGAGCTTTGGATTACAATAATTATTCAAATATGTTTCCAAGTGCACCAACAGACAATATTGAGCCACCTCAATCACAATTACAACAAAATACAGCTCCAAGGGAAGAGGCATTATTGATTGAATTATAGGATTTTTTTTTGTGCTCTTTGTCTTTTCGTTTTTTTTTCAGCCATAAATAAATTTTTTCTTAGTTATTTTTGTCTTGTTTTATTTACCTTCTATTTCCTCCTATATAATTTAGTGTTAATCCGAGGTTTTAATTAAGGGATCTGTCTTTTTTCTTTCTTTGTGATTCAAGTGCTTTCTGGCTTTCTGTTCTCACCCTTTTTTTTTTTATCACACAGTCCATCCAGAGCTGTTATACAAATGCTACAAGAATCATATATTGAAAAAGATTACAAAAAAATTGCTCTTTCTATAGAAACCACCTGTCTGTTATTCAGTGTATTAAACGTAAAGAATTGTCTCAGTTTCCCCGTATGTAGGTTATCATCACTGCAAAAAAAAAGAAAAGATCTCTGAAAATTTTCCGCAATTTTTTCTATATATAACCTGCGCGCCCCTGACTTGCATATGATGATGATCTGTAATATATCCATTTTTTTTTTTTTTGTATTTTTTTACAATTTTTTTTTCACCTTTTCTTTCTTTTTTTTAGTAACTATAAGCATTCTTTAAACATCTTCTTACCAAACTTTCCACTCGTTCAAAATCGAGGTTATCTCGCTTCAGTCATTCAAAGTAACAGATCCAAGTCCACATAGCCCATCTATCTATTGCACTTTCAAGATCAACCAAAGACACCAGTCAATAACAAATACTCTGCCGTGAAAACATAACTTCAAAAACAGTACACTCTTTAACATATCCATACCTAAAAATATCAATATTTGATCTTATTTCTCTTACTAGCCAATACAAGTTATAATGAAGCTTTCGTCATCCCTAATAATATCGTCGATAATATCGTCTGCTCTGTTATTGATACAACCAGCACTCGCTGCTGATTGGAGCTATCTTGGTTGTTATTCTAAATCATCTTTTTCGGGAGATGCAACCGACGATAGTGAGCTATCAGTAAGCTCTTGTGAGAGTCAGTGCAGTAATTATAAATATGCCGCGTTACTCAACTCCACTGGCTGTGTTTGTTCAAATAGTGATCCCTCTGGTGATTCTTCCAGTGACAGTATGTGTGGTTCTACCTGTTCTAGTCTTTCGAATAGTACCTGTAGTGGCTCTGATAGTTATTATTCTGTTTACATTAATAGTGATGCGACTAGCAGCTCCAGTTTAAGTTCAAGTTCTAGTTCGAGATCAGCTTCCATTTCTTCAGCTTCCAGCCAATCATCGTTGCCGTCACTGTTGTCACTGACCTCATTGCTTTCTTCATTATCACCATCGTCATCATCCACTTCATTAACAACATTGTCATCATCCACTTCATCTTCTTCATTACCATCATTCACTTCATCTTCTAAATCGTCGCATGCTACTCCGACCACGATCAGTGCTAGCCTTAAAGTCACTTCTTCGTATGTCTCGTTTTCAGCTACAACATTTCAAACAACATCATTGTCTCTTAGTGTAAATAGCGATGGAAAAACTTTAACATCGAAAGTGCTCATCAAAACCACACAAAGTTATAGTGATGTGTATGTCACTTACACTGCAAGTGTGACCGACGGAAGCTTGTCAGTAACATCAAAGTCAAAAACCGGTTCTCTTTCTGGAGGACCAATAGCAGGAATTGTTGTAGGTTCTGTTTCTGCAGTTGCAATCTTCATTTTTATTCTATTTTGGATTTGGAAAGCACGTAAAGGTGCTAATGATGTTGAAAATCCAGAGGTGGCAGCCGCAGTGGTTGCAAATAAATACTCTGAAAAAATGGGGAGATTTGGGATCAATAGATTTAGCAATCTATCACGTTACGATGGTGATGATGACGATGACGATTTCATTATGGCTCCAGCTATGGGCTCAACAGGTGAGGATAACAAGTATGATTCTTTGAATACCAAATCAAGCTCTCAACCTAGAAGCTCATTAGCAACCGCAAATAATAATACATTGCAAAATGATAATGATGGGAACGGAAACCAAGAAATAAAAGAGGATGAGGATGATGATGGAATACCATCGGATTCAGGAGATCAACAGAGGTTGTTAAATCAAAGATTAGTTATCATGAATCCTGATAATTAGAATAGCAAGAATTTCTAGGATAAGTGCGTATGCCAATTCTTAGTTTTTGATGAACTAATTTTGTCTTCATCGAATTATTCTGTATTTTATTAATCTACAGAAAACAATTCTAGGCACACATAGTAAAATTGCCATTATTATGTGTTATTTCTTAAATTCCGGTTCCTTTAAAAATCATATTATATTACCCAGAAAGTGAGTTTCTAAAAACTTTTTGGATCATGTTGACTGACTCTATCATTCGCTTCAGGTTGCTATGATTGCATGTGTTACGATAGATTTTAGATTTCAACCTACATAAGGCGTTTATCCTTTGATCTGTACTTGATGCTCAATATTATAGATAGCCTTTCTCATGAATACCGCAGAATTCTATTTTGTAATTAACATATGCTGGGTTTTCCATGCTATCCATATATATTAAAATCCTTGTAAGATAGGGGTTGCATCAGTGATAGATCTAGACCTGGGACTTTTAGGTAACTACTGATTACTGGACTCAATTCTGCTTTCTAACACAAAACCAAGAAAGAAAAAATAATTGCCCATATATTTTTGTTATTCTTTTTTCTCTACAGAATGCTTTAGAACTGCTTTGATTCATTATTCACGGTGATGCTTTTACCTCTTATAATACCACTTTTTCTTTTTTTAAGGTATAAGAATAGTGCATGCGAATGAAGAATAATATTAAACTTATTATTACTATGATTTTCATTAAAGACTTTGAAGGTTTGCATGATAATAATGGACTGTCGCTTTGAGCTTGATGAATATACTACGATCAATTCTATACATTTTGACTTAGAGATTTTCTGTAGATCTTGATACCAATAAACAAACAACCAAAAATCTTTTGTTTAGGAAAATGGTTTCTAAAAATTAGTTTGATTCCCAAAAATTTACCATATTTACTTAACCATCTAATAGCGTAGTTCAAGGAAGTCGCATTAACCCTTGGTCATGGATTCCTAGCCACTGTGATCCACTGTTTTTTTATCCAGTTCCGCCCTCAATTATTGGGTACCGCTCGTCTTTTCACAAGTTCTGTACTGCCCTCGTTTCCTATTGCGGTAATGTATAAACAAATACCACAAGCTTATCCAAGGGATAAGGGCCTCATTTCTGTTTGCTGCTTTATGTTACCATGGATTTCAGTGTTCGGTTAGCCCTTTATTGTGGGTGCTTGCCGATGGTACTTTACGCACCGGCGGTAGCGCAGCACTCGGCTGCAGCTCTGGTTATTGCATTTCGGCATGCATATATAAACTTTCGGGGTTCCCCATTTTTCCAGCGGATGTTTCTACAATAACTCTACCATAGAATTCATTTTTCAGGAATCCATTCACAATAATAATAGTTTGCAAAGGTACTCCATAGTCTTTCGAAATGTCCTCCATTCAGCAGCTCAGCTTTTACCAAAACACCCCAAGAGATATCGAAGCTAATTCTCGAAGTTATGATCAATTGAACGAGTACACTCCAAAGAGATTACCTGCTCTTGGTGACGAACCAAGATACACCACTCCAGCTATGATTCCTAATTATACTTATGTGGATACCACCAAAGCTTCTCCTTACAGTTCTGACTCTGAATCGCCAGTCAAAAGATCCATGTCTGCTGTCCCAGTTACCCCAGTTTCTGTTAAGTTACCATCGTTCAAATCTTTGATGCTCTCGATAAATGGGAAAGAAAATCAGCCTACTTTATCCTTTGAAACCCCATTCATGAACTCTTTGAGCTTGGAAAACTCAAACTTTAAAGCTTTGCAAAATGTTAGTGCTAGTGCTCATTCATCGCCATCAATTAGAGATAATGAAAGCTCAACCTTCTTGGGAATTTATAACTATGCAAAGGTTCAATTTGAAGATCCATACGGCAATGACAATGCTGCTAGTCCTTCGAACTTTATGAGAGGGGAGTCTCAATCTCAACAACAATCTCCATTACAATTACAACAAGAAAGATTTGGTTCATTCACCCTTCCTCAGCCACAGTTCACTTTCCAAGCACAATCCATGAGCCAGCCTTTGAATGGTTTGCAACAATTGGCCCAAGTGGTTAGCAGAAATAGTGAACTCATCCAAGTAAAACCTGCTCCTTCTATTCCATCCATGAATACCAACTCTTCCAGTAGCTCTACAGAAAAAAGATTCAAGTGCAAGATTTGTTCAAGAGGATTCAATACTGCTGGTAATCTTTCCAGACACAAGAAGGTGCATACTGGCGAAAAGAAGTACAAATGTCAGTACCCAGGTTGTGAATCCAAATTTGCTAGAAGTGATAGTTGTATGCAACATTACAGAACCCATGCTAATGAAAATGGTTACACTTCAAGAAGATTCAAGAGATTGAGAACTGAAACTGGTGATGATGATGATGAAGAACAAGAAGGAGAAGGAGAAGAGCGTGAACACAAGAGAATGAATGTCAGCACCTTGATGTCTTAAATTCACTAGTTCCTTTTGGATATTTCTTTATGTTATTGGCTTCTTTTTTTTTGTTCACTAGACTTTCATTTTAATCTTTGGGCTTGGGATCTTTCAATTTTCTTTCCAATGCTGTGCGTTGTTTAGATATAACTTACCGTTTTCAATTCGTTCACTATTTTAGATCATTACTACACTCCTTATATTTTTCAATTTTTTTTTGTCATATCATTGTTTTCAAGCTGGCTCTCAAAACACTGCTATTTTGACCCTCTCAATAAATTTTTGTTGTTGTTTTTCTCTTTAGACCTCCCGAATCAGTAAGTACACCAAGACTTTGGAATTTAAGGTTTGCCTCAACCTACATGAGAACAGCACCAGTAAATCCTGGAGACCGGATCAGGGGTCTAACCCACGAAAAATTCTATTAATAATTCAGGGTATTACCAGTGAAAATAACCGAAGATGGAAGCAGCCAGAAACCTTGCTAGAGAGTCCTTTACCTGCGTTCCAAAAGAAAGGGCATCAATGCTTAAAAGATTATGTCCTCCGAAGCGTGCGATCATCCATCTCAATCAAGAGTGCGGAAAATATAAAATTTGAATCTATTTTATCAAAAAAAAACAACAACAAAAAGACATTAACAAACATAATATGTTCTCTATATTATATTTTAAGGATATTTTGCCTCCGGTCAGATAAATTGAGTTGTCGATAAGAGATATTAGGGTTATCGCCGTGCTTAGATGATGCTTATAGTGACTTACTCGTCTTTCCTTCATGTTTTCAAAGGCATAGGAAAAGTATGAAAAGAAAAAAAATAGTATAATGGCCCTATTCTCAAATACATTATTTAAGATTTGAACGGTTTTCCTCTTTCCCACTTTCTATTGGTCCTTTTCTTTACTTTTTCTAGCTCATACTTTTTATCAATGCATTATTGATATCCCGGAAAAAAAAAAAGCCATGAAAATTTGGCAATCAAAAAATTATGAGTAATATCAAATAACAACATAATAAAATTTAAAGTGCAAACAACACACAAATAATCTCTGTGGGCTCAATAGAATATATTTTATAATCCCAAAGTTTAAAAGACAACATGAGCTCCGGTGTTATAAGGGTGGCTTTTCTAGGGCCAGAAGGTAGTTTCTGTCACCAAGCAGCACTACAGCAATTCTCCAAAATTTCAAATTCTCACAAGATCCAATATTGTCCACAAACCTCTATTGCAAATTGTTTTAGTAGCATTGATTCGAAAAATGTTAATTATTCTGTGATTCCTTTTGAGAATTCCACCAACGGCTTAGTGGCTTTCACTTATGATTTACTAAGAAACCATTTTTTCAAAACCTCCCTCAATGTGAAAAGTTCAAATAACAATAGGAATTCTCCAAATTTTGAGGTCATCGGTGAACAATATGTGTCAATTCATCATAATTTGCTCAGCACAGCCAGTTCTTTAGGATCGATCACGAAGATATATTCTCACCCACAAGTTTGGTCTCAGTGCTCAAATTTCTTTGGCAGCGGGAAGTTGAGCCCCACGGTTGTGAAAGTCGATAGCAGCTCAACCTCTAGAGCAGCACAGCTAGTGACTGAGGATATCAAGAATGGAATTACTACCACCGCTGCAATTTGTAGCGTAACTGCGAGTGAAATATATGGATTGAAACCAATTCTAACGAACATCGAAGATGATAATAATAATACTACAAGGTTTTTGGTATTGGCTGACAAAGACGAAAAATCTTATCTCAATGAAATAATCAAAGAAACAGAAAAAAATGATCTTGAAAAAAATCCTCTGAAACCTTACGTCACTCTCGTTGGAATTACCGTTCATAATGAAAATACAGGCGTTTTGTGTGATGTTCTTTCATACTTCAAACAATATAACATCAATCTTTCAACAATTAATACACGCCCTTCTCAATTGGTGAAATGGCAATATATCTTCTTCATTGAATTTTGGGGGAATCCGAGAGATGAGCATGTGGTAAAATGCTTAGATTCAATTAAAAAAATTTCTGAAGATTTGAAAATCTTGGGTTCATTTGCAAGAGATGATATGTACTATGACAATAAGGTTGATGTTAACGACACTATGCTTTGAAAGATATTTAATTTTTTAAAAAAATGCAAAATTTCTCAAGGGACAATTACAAGACTTGTAAAAGACCGCCTACATTTCTGGGATGCCATGAATGAGCACAAAAAAGCCTATGAATTAAATAAACAAACAACACCAAAATTAAAGGCACAGAAATAAAAAAAAAAAATAAATAAAATAAATATAGACTGATAGCAATACAGTATAGAAATTTATACTTTTCTAGTTATGAACCACAACGAAAAGAAAAAAAAAAATGAGTATACCAGGCACCATAAGTGATACAACTTATAGACCAAGTATTCAAATATAAGCACAGCTGGTAGTTTCAGTGCTGTTATATATCAAAGCATCTTTGATTGTAAGCTGACATATTTTGATCTTCTACTTTCTTCCTCCAAATATTATTCCCTTTGTTTCATGAATGTTGACCTAGAGCCATAGCACATAAAGCAAAGCAATGCCCCAATCCCCTCATTTACCATATTTCTGGAATACCCATTCCCTATTATCCAAAGGACACACATTACGAGTCTTCAACCATCTAGAAATACAATGCATATGGAAAGCATGATTACAAGACCCCCATACTGTGATACATTCCTCATTGGATGAGCTCATATTGTTTGGTTGACATTCTATACAAGGCTCCATTAAGTGGTTTCTGCAAATGGCACAATTTTCAACAACGATATCCCAAGACCAGAACGCCACGGCCGTCCACTTTCTAACTTCGAAACGAGGTTTCTTTGGCTTTTTTGTAGCGTTGGATGGTGCTTTTTTTTCGACTGTCGTTGTTTCTTCCTCTTCTTTTTGCTCTTCTACCGGAGGAACTACAAATAAAACAAGTTAATAACACTGGATTTCTCGGTTATGGCTGGTCTAGAAACAACCTATGAGGTATGAAATCATCAAATTAGGAAGTTTAGTCCGCTTTTGAATTCGTATTACTACTTACCATCTATATCCATAGTCTCAGACATGTTGAATTCTAGGTTGACACAGGATGTAATTACTATGGATAATAAAAAAATTCAATCAACGGGGAATTTTAATATATGATGTTCAAGATGACCCGAAGCTATCATTAATAATACGAAAAGTGAATTTTTGAAAGGTCCACAAAAATGCAAGCTCATTACCCGGATGTATGTTTACGCAACCCCACTGCCGTTTTTGACCCTTTCACAACGAAAAAAACCGGAACTATTATTTTATACACTAGCAGTCAATTTTGAAAAACTCCACTCATTATTTTGATTCGTGGTCGAATATTAATGCATGTTTGGCTACAGATATAGTAAACAGCTTCAAAGGGAATGCATTTGAAATGGCATAGCCTATTATATTGCTGAAACTCTTGATTTAAACAACCGCCAGCCCCGAAAAGCTTTAAAGTGTATTTAATCACCGTAAAATTTAAGTGTGTCGAACGTTCATGAGGATGGTATAAGTTGAGTTGCAAATTACAGAGCATACTAGAGGTTGTGGCTGTCAAGTTGATCATGTGATTTTTATTTTCATACTAGCACGTCACAACAGCATTTTATTGCAGGCATTGAGATACTTTTGTAATACTATTGTTAGAGCCTTGGAGCAATAAAGCATTGTAAGATATCTGTATTTATACAGGAACATTTTGAACGTGACATGATGTAAGGTCGTTTGCTAACATCATGAAATCACTACCATAATAATGGCAAAAAAAGCACAGAGAAAGAAGAAGAAGAGACATCACAGAGAATCTTCGGCAAGCGTCAATTTACATGTCGGGATAGGAGAAAAAAAAATACGGAGAACGAATGGACCACGGCTGCTCATGTTGAGAATTGAATGCAGTTTTCTCTTTGGTCCACACATCAAGGGGTGCAGCACCCGTGATACCCGCCTAATTTTTTTGATACGTGTGAAAACAGTTGAAATCAAAGACGAAAAAAAAAGCAGTGGAGATTCAAATATAGACACTAGCAATAACACGTTTTTGTTACTGAACAACTCATCAGCGATTGACTCAGCTATCTCAATCAGCCGGAGAAATCATGGTGAAGTTATTGAACATAGATCGCACCGCAACTTTTGCGATCTCCAATCACAACTTGCCCTACTTGGCAACCGCCAATGTTGCTGGAGCTATTGATGTTGATTTTTCAGACTCATCCAAATTGGAAATATGGTCTGCATTCAACAACAAGAATAAGACAACTCCTATAAACTCTGTGGAAATTGACTCTAAATTATACGACTTGACATGGTCTGCTGACAACAAATTGCTCGTTGGGGGTTTGGAAAACGGATCAGTGCAATTCTGGGATGGCGAATCTTTAATCAATAAACAGAATAATGACAAAGCTGTGTTGCACACCGCCACAAACCATAGCTCTGCCGTGAAAAGTTTGGCATTTAACCGTACCAAGAACAATATTCTTTTATCTGGATCTTCAAACTCAGAAATTTTCATATGGGATACCAACAAATTAACAGCAGACCCAATGACCCCAACTGGTGAATCATACACGTCAAAAAATGGTAACCCAAATGCGGGCTCTGCTGTTAAGAAAGGAACTATCGAGGAAATAAGTTCTTTATCATGGAATCATGTTGTTTCGCACATTTTTGCCTCATCTTCCACCAATGGGATCACTTCTATCTGGGACTTGAAATCAAAAAGAAAGGTATTAAATTTATCTTACACAGCCAACACCAATGCTGGTAACATTAGAGCAAATTTGTCCAGTGTTGCATGGCACCCAACTCAATCTACTAAATTAATCACTTCTTCAGATTTGGATAGTTTACCTGTCGTTCTCCAATGGGATTTGAGATTCGCAAAATCTCCTGAATGTATTTACGCTGGTCCAAAAGAGTTCAACTCAAACCCGCAATTCCATGAAGGTCATTCAAAGGGTATTTTATCCATTGATTGGTTGTCTCAAGACAGCGGATTCTTATTGACTTCTGGTAAAGATTCCAACACTTTCTTATGGGATACTAAGACTGGTGAGAAATTAGCATCTTATCCATCACATCCAAAGACCTCAACCATTAATGCAATTGGTTATAACTCTTCCTCTGATTGGATTTTCAAGACAAGATTTGCTGGCAAGAACCCAGAATATTTTGCCAGTGCTACTTTCGATGGCAAAGTTACGCTCCAAACCTTGCAAGATACTAGCAGCAATCAACCAGAAGAAGACTCTAGCGCTGATGTCAAGTCTAAGCAAGCCACTCAGGCCAATAAAGAGACCAGTGAAACCGATTTCTGGAATCAAATATCTACAGAAGACAGCTTAGCTGCTGACGATGAAGTTAAAGAAGAAGCTAAACCAGAAATTTTCATCAAGAAGGCACCAAAATGGTTAGCTAGACCAGTTTCTGTTTCTTTTGCTTTTGGTGGTAAATTGGTGTGTGTTAAAACCGTGATAAACGAAGATAAAACCGAATCTTCAGTTGTAGAGATTACTTCTGTCAAATTTGATAATACTGAAGGTGCTGCCAATCTTGAGAAATTATCAAGCATCTTATCTGACGATGAATCAAAGGCAAAAGAAATCATCAAAGAAAGATCATCTGGTGAAGAATCTTTTGACTGGAAATTATTGGATGAATTAAAATCTTTAAGCGGAGATAAGAAGAAGTTATTGGCCAAGTACGTTTCAAGCCAACTGCAAACTGTTGATAAAAAGGACGACGACAAGGAATCTGACAATTCATCTGCCAATGATATTAAATCTGATAATGATGATGACAGCTTTTTCAATAATTTGGCTGAAGAATCAAAGGAAGTCTTAACTACAAAGGTGTTCAAGCCAACGGGCTCGTTTGAACTTTTTAGCAAATCTGATGATGAAACTGTGACTGAGTTGAAAAAGTTAATTTTGGCTGGTAAATTCAGTGAATCAATTGAATTATCGTTAGAACATGAAAAGATTGTTGAAGCATTAATAATTGCCTTAAGTTCTGGTGACGAAAAATTGAAGCAAAAAGTTTTGGGCTACTACTTTGAAAACAATATCGAAAAAAAGAAAGACAGCTTAGCCAGATTATTGTATTCCACTTCTAATTTCTTTCCACAAGTTTCGGGCGCAGGTTCTGAAACCAGTGAAGATTCTATTAATGACTTGATCTCCAATGGTTCTGTTGATAACTGGCAGGAAATTGCACTTGGTATTTCCACTTACATCAAAGATGAAGCCAAATTTAATTCTAAAATAACTGAGTTGGGTACTAGAGTATATGAATCTGGCTCAAGAGATAATGCTATCTTATTGTATTTTGTTGGTGGCTCATTAGATAAGATTAGTGAAATCTGGTTAAAGGAGCTTGAAGACAAGGAAAAGGACATTGTTAATACTAAGGTAGACTCTGAAGATGCTAAGAAGAAGTCTTTATTGGATATTTACTACAAATTATTGGATGATTTGATTATCAAGGTTTTGATTTTTAAGAAGTCATTAGGCATTGCCGGTGAATTTCCAAATTCTGACAAATATTCAAAATTGGTCAAGGTTTTCCTTGATTACATCAAGAATATTGGTGACAATCATGGTGATTTTACTGTAATGGAAAAATTGTTGAATATCTTGCCAAATGATTTAAGTGATGTTGAACTTGGAAAAGCGAGAATATGCAGGGCCACCGCCAAACCAACTCCAGTTGCCACCGCCACGGCCAGCGCTACCAGAACTATCAGAGGAGGTAATAAATATGCTTCACCAGTTGTAAACAAATATGGTTCACCAGCAGCTAGCAAATATGGACCAACAGCCACAGCTGCTTCTAATCCATATGGTTCACCAGCTCTTAGCAAATTGCCAACGGTTCCTCCTGTGCAAACTGCTGCCGCTACTGCTCCACCTCCAATCAATGGTATTGGTGTGAAGAGCAATAACTTAGGAGCCGCCAAAAAGTCTACTCGCTCTAAATACATTGCTCCACAACCAGTGCTGACAGGTAACGCCTTTGGTTTGCCACCTTCCCAGCAACCTTTCCAGCCTGCGAATCCAGCATTTGGCGCCCCTAACAACTTGTATACTCCGGCTCAACCAACCAATAGCAATTATGCACCAGGTATAATAAACTCTAATGCCCCACAGTTTGGTCAGGCCCCTCCTCTTAACGCTCCTCCTCGTGGTTCAACTTCCCAAAATCCATCTACGGACAAGAAGGATGGGCATGAAGGTTGGAATGATTTGCCAGATACTTTTGCTAATGTTACTAGTAAGTTCAAGAAGAAGGCTGCCCCAGTTAATGTGGCTCAACCATTTAGTGCTACTCCACCACCACAAAGTCCAGCCATTGGTAACCAACCTCCATTTTCTAGAACTTCATCTTTCTCAGTCTCCGGTCCACCACCAATGAAAAAGAACTTTAGCTCTCCAAAAGTATCCACCGCTAATTTGAGCTCACCACAACCGGCTGTGAATGGTAAGTATGCCCCACAAGTTCTGAGCGTTAGTATTCCACCAACAGGTGGTCAACAGCCTAATAATGGTATGATGTCTCCTCAACCTGTTAATCCATACGCTCCACCTCCACCATCACAATTTACAGGTCTCGGTGCTGCCTCTCCATTTGGCACTCCGCCTGCGCAGGCTAACAGAGCTCTAAGTGGTGCTCCATCATTTGGTGCTCCACCAATGGGAGGTAGAAATGCCAATCCATATGGCGTTCCTCCACAAACTAATACACACAGCGCTCCTCCGCCTATGATGAATGCTGTACCACCAACTGCTGCTCAATCTCTTGCCCAGCAATCCGCTGTTCCACCGCCACCAAAGTCGGTTACAACTGCCCCAGTGCCAGCCGCGCCGGCCAAGCCAAAATATCCTACTGGTGACAGATCTCATATTCCACCAGAAGCCCAGCCAATATTTCAAATTTTGAATGATGAACTTTCTGCTGTTAAACCAAAGATCCCTGCCAAATATACTAAGAAGATTGTTGATACCGAAAAGCGTTTGAACATTTTGTTTGAACACTTAAACAACGGAGAATTATTAAGTACTGGTACTATTGACTTATTGAAGCAATTGGCAACTAGTTTGAGTGGCAAGGATTATGCTGGCGCCCACGGTGCTCATTTGGAAATTGGCACTAACTTTGGTGCCGAATCCGGACAATGGCTAGTTGGTGTTAAGCGTTTGATTGATATGGTTGAGGCTACGGACAGTATGTGAAAAATAGAGAGACTTGTTGAATATTGAGTTTTGCATGCTCATTTTTTTTTTCTATTTAAAAGATCTTTTTTATTATTATTATTATTAACCTACCTTTTTATTTTTATTATATATGTGTTATTATCATATTATTTATCATTAGAATGAAGTTGTGTTTTGCTTCAACATATAATTGATAAATAAAACGGTGGCTTGCTTATACATTCGTGATACGTGCGTACCAATGCGTCGAACTTTCTGGCAGGTTATGCGGGTGACCCGGCTATGACTTAAAAGACGAAAAATTTTCTGGGTGAATTTATTTGCCATTGATATTTCCCCATTTTCTCTTCACAAACTGAACTCCTGGTTCACGAAGTACATCACTCTACTAAACTTACTTGTAATTAGTTTCAATTCATAATGTTCTCAAGAGCAGTCAAGCAACAAAGCAAGTTCTTGCAACACACCTCCAAGAGATTCAACTCTGAAAAGGTCAAGGGTACCGTCATTGGTATCGATTTGGGTACCACCAACTCAGCTGTCGCTGTTATGGAAGGTAAGGTTCCAAAGATCATTGAAAACGCTGAAGGTTCCAGAACTACTCCATCTGTCGTTGCTTTCACCAAGGATGGTGAAAGATTAGTTGGTATTCCAGCTAAGCGTCAAGCTGTTGTTAACCCAGAAAACACCTTGTTTGCTACCAAGCGTCTTATTGGTAGAAGATTCGAAGATGCCGAAGTCCAAAAAGATATCAACCAAGTTCCATACAAGATTGTCAAGCACTCTAACGGTGACGCTTGGTTGGAAGCTAGAGGTGAAAAGTACTCCCCAGCCCAAATTGGTGGTTTCGTTTTGAACAAGATGAAGGAAACCGCTGACGCCTACTTGGGTAAGTCTGCCAACAACGCCGTTGTTACCGTCCCAGCTTACTTTAATGATGCTCAAAGACAAGCCACTAAGGATGCTGGTCAAATTGTTGGTTTGAATGTTTTGAGAGTTGTTAACGAACCAACTGCTGCTGCTTTGGCTTACGGTTTGGAAAAGTCCGACGCTAAGGTTGTCGCTGTCTTCGATTTGGGTGGTGGTACTTTCGATATCTCCATCTTGGACATTGACAATGGTGTCTTTGAAGTTAAGTCCACTAACGGTGACACTCACTTGGGTGGTGAAGATTTCGACATTTCTTTGGTTAGATTTATTGTTGAACAATTCAAGAAGGAAAGTGGTATCAACTTGGAAAAAGACAGAATGGCTATCCAAAGAATCAGAGAAGCTTCTGAAAAGGCCAAGATTGAATTGTCTTCTACCAAGCAAACCGAAGTTAACTTGCCATTTATTACTGCCGACGCTTCTGGTCCAAAGCACATCAACTTGAAGATCACCAGATCTCAATTCGAAGGTTTGGTTGACGGTTTGATCAAGAAGACCGTTTCTCCATGTAACAAGGCTCTTAAGGATGCTGGTCTTTCCACCTCTGACGTTAACGAAGTTATTTTGGTTGGTGGTATGTCCAGAATGCCAAAGGTTATGGAAACTGTTAAGTCCATCTTCAACAAGGAACCATCTAAGGCCGTTAACCCAGATGAAGCTGTCGCCATTGGTGCTGCTATTCAAGGTGCTGTCTTGGCCGGTGAAGTTACTGATGTCTTGTTGTTGGATGTTACCCCATTGTCCCTCGGTATTGAAACCTTGGGTGGTGTCTTCACTAGATTAATTCCAAGAAACACTACTATCCCAACCAAGAAGTCTCAAGTCTTCTCTACTGCTGCTGAAGGTCAAACTTCTGTTGAAATCAGAGTTTTCCAAGGTGAAAGAGAATTGGTCAGAGACAACAAATTGATTGGTAACTTTACCTTGAGCGGTATCCCACCAGCTCCAAAGGGTGTTCCACAAATTGAAGTTACCTTCGACATTGATGCCGATGGTATCATCAACGTTTCTGCTAGAGATAAGGCTTCTAACAAGGATGCTTCTATTACTGTTGCCGGTTCTTCCGGTTTGTCTGATGCCGAAATTGAAAAGATGGTTAACGATGCTGAAAAGTTCAAGGAACAAGATAAGGCCAGAAAGGAAGCTATTGAAATCGCTAACAGTGCTGACCAAAGAGCTAACGACACCGAAAAGTCATTGAACGAATTCAAGGACAAATTGGACATGGAATCTCCAGAAGTTAAGTCCCTTAAGGAAAAGATCTCTGCTATCAGAGAAAACGTTGCCAAGGCTCAAAGCGGTGAAGAAGTTGATTCCCAAGAATTGAAAACCAAGACTGAAGAATTGACCAAGGAATCTATGGAAGTTTTCAAGAAATTGTACGAAGACCAAGCCAAGAACAACAGTGAAGAACAAAAGAACTAAGGACTTGGGTTTTAATGCGTTATGATGGTTAATTCCAATTTTGTATTTAAAGTTTATTGTTATATTTTCTCCTAATGGCTTGATTGTCAAGAAATTTTTGTTATATAAAGCTCTGTAAATATGTATTTTGTGTTATTTTTTATTTTTTCTGTAGAATTTCGTGAGGTAAGGCAAAGCAATTATGGGTTTCAAAGCATGATATATGAATTATGAGATATTGGTCTATAATTTTCTGTACTCTATTTATATGGGGTCCCATAAAAGTTGGTGGCAATAAATAAACATAGAATACTATTTATTACTGCGTTAAAGAATTCAAATGAGCAACATTTAAGGGAATTTTTCATATTTCAAAACCAAAAGAAAGAATCCACATAAGACTCTTATCTAGAAATCGAACCTTGATTAAGCATATAGCCCATCTTCGTGATTTATAAATTAGGTAATAATGCTACTCCCTACATTCTGAAGAGATCCTTTTAAGATTTTCATTATGTTACCCGGTCTATTTTCTTCAAGGAATTTTATGGGGGCCCCACAAACCAGTGACCATACCTTAGTCCTTATCCAGCATTGGTATTGATCGTTTGCCATATTTCCAGCAATAAATTACAGTATCCTTACAATGGTAGCGAAGAAGGATAACATCAATGTGCAGAAAGAAATTTCACAAGGTAGCCATATCCAAGAGAGAAATATTGAACAAGATGAGCAAGAAAATGGTAATGAGCCCGATGATGATGATGAACCCGACGAGTGGGATAAAAGAATTATCAAAACCGGCTGTGCAAAAGAAAATTTCGATTTGCAGATATGTTACGCTGATAAACGAGACTGGAGACAATGTACCAAAGAGGTGAGTATACTTATGATTTGATCCTTTTTTTTTTGTCTTCACCTAAAGTTGTGAAGTAAATTCTGCCTAATATTTTTGTTGTAATTGCATAAAAGGGCAGTATAATTTTTCTTGAAAAAGGAGATATTAAGCACCATTTTTACTTTTGGAGGCAATAGTTACTGACAGGGCCAACCTAAATATAGATGGAGGTATTCCGCAATTGCTGGAAACAGCACAATAACGATGAAAGAACGCATACAAAGGACTACTAAAACCATGCGGCAAATTCACTAAGACATTGGTAGCACAATACCAACGAGCTTTATCTATGGACATTCCCTTTAGGTATCCTGTAAATATCCTATATAGCAATAAATCCAAGTGTGCCGTTGTTGACTCCCTACATTCCCATGGATTGTCGAGGCCTTTTTGGCGGTATGCACCCTCGGCTGCACTTTTTTCACGTGGCCATTGGTAACATTTTCACCCTCGGTATCCTTAAGTGATGGGTCCCCGGAATTTAGGCAAACATTCCTGCTAAATTTAAGGATCCTTGGAAATAGGAATAATCCGTATTATCAACCTTCGTGAAAACACCTTATATATAATAGATCAGGATCCCTCAGTGGCTTATAGTGATCCTTGGATAATCATCCTCTATTTTCAGCTTCTTTTTTTTTTTCTCACAGGCTGAAACTAATATTCAATATTCCATATTTCAACCATGCCTGACACCATGATTGCCGATGATCTCGAAAGAGGTTTGCATTCAAGATCATCATCTAGTAGTTCGTTAACTAATGAGCTCGAATATATCAACCAATTTGCCTACAATAATGCCCGTGGGTCATTAAATCCAAAAACGCGCTCTAGAGCCAACTCTTCAGAAAACCCATTCGCCGATGATCCAGAAAATGGCTTTTTGGAAGACGAACCAAAATATGAAAACTATCCAAAGCCAATAACCAAAAGAAGCATATACACTATCACTGGACTTGTATTAGTGGTATGGCTTACAGCCCTTCTTACTTACTCAAGGCTCCCAAGGCACCTGAGTCCAGAGAGCGCGTATAAAGGTTATGACACTGCCACTGCCTTCGGAATCAATAATAATAACACAGCCATAGCAACAAAAACAACAACAACAACATCATCATCATCATCATCATCATCATCATCATCATCATCATCATCATCGAATGATGTTGTCGCTTCTTTTTCTGGTCTTCAAACACTTGACTTATCCGCTTACCGCAGTGGGAAGTTTTTTGTATTTGATAATAATTACCATTTCATTGATCCACCTTCCAGTCACAAGTCTTCGGATGATGAAGGCCTTTATTACGGTTTAACTAAAGAAAATTTTGTCGCTAAAAAAATCAGCGATTCTGAATTTTCTAAAACTATTGTCCCAAGAAAATTCACCTATGAGTCAACTTCTTACCGTGTCTTTTCCATTTATCCAACTTTTGACTTGAAAACAGTTATTGTTACCACTAACGAAGAAGTCCAATGGAGACATTCAAGATTCAGTCATTTTTTCATTTACGATGTTGCTTCACAAAACTTCCAGCCATTGTACACAATTAATGATAGTGGTAAAGAAGTTATCCCAAAGATTAGTTTTGCACAATGGTCACCTAACTACAACTACATTTCTTTTGTTTACCAAAACAACATTTATCTTAAAACTATGGCTACTGGAAAAATTACCCAAGTTACTAATGATGGTGGTGAAAACATTTTCAATGGCAAACCAGATTGGGTTTATGAAGAGGAAGTCACTGCCTCTGATCGTTTACTTTGGTGGTCACCAAATGAAAAGAACTTTGTTTTTGTCAAGACTAATGATACCAATGTTCCAGTCTATGAAATCGACTATTACACCAAGAATGTTGATTCGAAATATCCAACTCATAAACCAATTAAGTACCCAAAGCCAGGCTACTCTAACCCGATTCTTGATGTGTTCAATTATAACATTGAAAACGATGAAAAACATCTTCTTGATCACAGTGATAACGATGGACAAGCTCTTGGTAAAGATTATATCGTATACGACGTTTTTTGGCTTAATGACAATGACTTTATTTGCAAACAGTCTGACAGAGAATCCAACATTTTACATTACCGCTTGTACGATCACAAATCTGGATCGTCTAAAGTTGTCAGAAAAGTTGATGCTGTTAAAGAATTTGGCGGCTGGATTGACAAGACTCATGTTGTGGTAATTCCGGCTAATCCTAATACTGGTCGTGATACCGATGGCTATGTTGATATTATTGTTGACAAGAACGGTTTCTCTCATCTCGCATATTTCAAATCTTCCTCTTCTTCTCCTTCTATTGTGCTCTCACAAGGTGATTTTGATGACAAGACTTCTCATTTGGCATTTGACTATGATAAAAATATCTTGTATTTTACATCAACAAAACAATCTTCAATGTCTTCTCACCTATATTCTGTGCTCCTTGATTCCAGTGCAGAACTTACTGCTTTGACTAACGACGAAGAGCTCGGTTACTATGAAGCCTCATTTTCTCCTAATTCCAAATATCTTAGTTTAAATTACAAGGGACCCCGTATGCCAACCCAAAAGATTGTGGACCTCCATGCTGAAAACTCCCAATATTTCACTGATATTAAATCTATCACTGATACTTCTAGTGCGGACAAAGCCCATACTGAATATGCAGTTCCATCAAAACAATACCTTGAAATTGAAGTTGATGTAGTCAACAAAGTCTCTGTGAATGTTCTTGAAACTAAGCCACAAAACTTTGATCCTAAAAAGAAATATCCACTTCTTGTTAACTACTATGGTGGTCCAGGCTCTCAACGTGTGGAAGCCAAATATGGTGTTGGATTCTCCGAAGTGGTTTCGTCGTCCCTTGACGCTATTGTTTTACTCATTGATCCAAGAGGTACCGATTCCAAGGGATGGAACTTCAAGAAATGGGCTCGTAATGCTATTGGTGAATGGGAAGCTCCAGATATTATCGCTGCTACCAAAAAGTATATTGCTGAAAATGACTACGTTGATGCTGATCGTACAGTTGGTTGGGGTTGGTCTTACTCTGGTTTTGTCACATTGAAACTTCTTGAAATGGACACTGAACAGGTATTCAAGTACGGTGCTGCTGTTGCTCCTGTTACCGATTGGCGACTTTATGACTCTATTTATACCGAACGTTATATTAACACTCCAGAACACGATCATGAAGGCTACAAGTTTGCTACTGTTGGTTCTAGTGATGACTTCAAATTTGAAAACTTCAAGCAAAAGAAGAGATTCTTGATCATGCATGGTACTGGTGATGATAACGTTCATATCCAAAACACCTATGCACTTTTGGATAAGTTGAATTTGGCTGGCGTTGAGAACTTTGATATGAAAATTTTCCCTGATAGTGATCACAGTATTTACTATCATAATGCTAACACAATTATTTATGACAAGTTGTTCAACTGGTTCAATGATGCCTTCAATGGCTCTTTGGATAAGTTGAGTGGTTGAAATTTCGCTCACACGTTTCCTTTCTTTTCTTTCTTTCTTTTTCTCTCTTTCTTCCTCTTCTACTTGAGTCTCTTTCATTATCCCAGTATTTTTGTACGGGTAAAAAAGCAAAGAAACTCTGTTTTTTTTTAATTAGTTTATAGATTGAATGCTTTTATAATATTTTTTGTTTCATTGAACTTATTATCGTAAATTATCATTAGTGCCCCTCTCACTCAATTTAAAAGTGCTGTCATTTATTTTTAGTGATTGTGTTCTTGTTTAGTCTGAGTTACCACCATTGAGAACATGAGATTATGATCATGATTTGAGCAAAAAATTAAAACTCAAAAAAATTGATTTCGCCCAGGATCGAACTGGGGACGTTCTGCGTGTTAAGCAGATGCCATAACCAACTAGACCACGAAACCAACTTGAAATCTTAATGTCTTGAAATAATTATTACGGTATGTGATTACGTAACTCATTACGTAAGCATTCTATTGATTTTTATTATTTTTATCTTTATTATCCCCCCAGAATTCTGATGGTCACTACATTGAAAATACTTAGTATTTGAGATATAGTGCCAAAACCCCTCAACAAAGACCTCCATCTCAGTTCATGAAGCTCCTAGTGATGGGTAATTCACTAGTGACTTCATCTCATATTTTCACATTGCACCTTTTTTCCTTAATAATCTTGATTGTTGAGTTTTTTACCGGTGATGTGATTAATTCTTAAAGCAAGGAGTGTGAGGTTGTGAGAAAGTTATAGTATTTTACTTATCTATTAGAAAGACCGGCATGAAATGCCCGGCTTGCATGTTATTTAGAACCTCTGCGAGCCGTGATTATACAATTCATTCAACGAAGGTCATTTGAACATTTCCGGTGGTTGGTATGAATAAAAAATGAAATTGCTGTATAATTACAGTACATAAACTAGAAAAAATTCTGGGAAACTTTAAAAGAATAATTACCTTTATTTAAAACACAATAATTGATTTTACAAACCAGACCACCAGTAGTTTTCTGCAATTTCAATTGAACCCGAAAGCGGAACATTATTGGAACTATTTCCAACTAGAACTCGATAGTTTCCTTTTTCAATAAACCATTTGGCTTTATGATTGTCCCAAATAGACAAAGCAGTTTTCAAATCAGTGGTCAAAGTAATCTTTTTACTTTCTCCTTTTCTGATAAACTCTTTCGTGAAGTCCTTCAATTCTTTAATGGGTCTTCTAATAGAGGATCCTGTGACAGCAGATATATAGACTTGGATCACCTCACTACCATCCAAGGAACCTGTATTTTCAACCAACAAAGCAATATTAAGCTGATTAGCTTCCCAGTCTGACTCAACTTTTAGAGAACTAAATTCAAAAGTAGTGTAGGATAGCCCATAACCATATGGAAATGAGACTTCTTTATTCAATTTTTCATAATATTTGTATCCAACAAAAATATCTTCACCATAAACGGAATCGCCAAAGTCAGATGTAAAATTCAAATAAGCCGGGTTGTCTTCGAATTTTTTTGGAATTGTTAATGATAATTTACCACTCGGATTTACATCTCCAAATAATATGTCAGCCAAGGAGTTACCCAATTCAATACCGTTATACCAAGATTGAACAAAACCATTAACATTATCAATCCAAGGAGTCTCCATTGGCGTTCCACTTTGATTAACAACAACAATATTTGGATTAACCTTGGCAAGGGCAAAAATCAAATCATTTGTTCTTCCAGGGTATTTCAAATCTTTTCTGTCAAAACCTTCAGATTCCCATTCCTTTGATAACCCAACAATAACAACAACCTTATCAACCTTCTTCGCAATTTCAACAGTTTTCTTTATTTCCTCCTCTTCATCAGTTCTGATAGTAGCGCCAAAGTTGAGACCTCCACCTGGTGCATTTTCATTAATAGCACTAGGATACGTTGAAGTGATAGCACTCCCATATTCCACTCTAAATTTGTATTTTTTTCCTGTGGACAAACTAATTGAGCCTCTTTCTTCCACAGTTCCATAACCAAAAAAATGTTCACCACGGGTTTGTTTTGTTTTGTTGTCAACGACTAATTTGCCATCAATAAACAATTGACCAGTGCCATTAACAACTAAACCAAAATCATAAATACCATCTTTCTCGGGGATAAATTCGGCTTCAATAACAGCGTAAAACTTGGCCTTCGTAGTCTCGATAAAATCAAAAAAACTGATAAACGACTCATCAAAATCATCTTGATGGAAAAAATTTTCATTGGTCAATTTGGCATCAGCCAAGTCATAATAATATTTAATTCTGTAACCTTTAGCTCCAATTGCACTATTTTCCAAAACTGTACCTAATTCTGGCAATAGATTATGTGAGGAAGCGCCAAGGCTATACAATGGTTTTTTTCCGTATCGCTTGGCAATTCCATCATAGGCATTGATAACGTAGTATGGGTTTAGACAGGCTGAACCTCCACCACTAAAGCTCAAAACTTTGGCATTTGGTCCCACAACCGCAATTTTGTCTTTGGTGCTCAATGGTAGAACGTTAGCATCATTCTTTAGTAGGACTGTACCCTCATTAGCCAACCTTCTTAAAAATTCAGAAGTTTCCTTTGTATTGTTACTAGCATCCTCAATAGCGTTTTCAGGAATGTCAGACGCTCTGGTTCTGTAAACCAACTTAATAACGTTTCTAACTCTATCATCCAAATCTTTCAAAGAGATTTCTTTGGTAATAACACCGTCAATAATCTGTTTTTTATCCCTAACTAGTGGCTTTCCTGGCATTTCTAAGTCTACACCATACTTTATAGATTCCTGCAAGTTATATGTGCCAAACCAATCACTAGTGACTGTACCTTGATAATTCCATTCATTTCTGAGAATATCAATCAATAAATGAGAGCTTTGAGATACGTGAACACCGTTGACTCGGTTGTAAGAAGACATCAAAGCAAATGGATTTGAGGTTTTCAAAGCTATTTGAAAAGGCTTCAAGTAGACTTCACGTAAAGCTCTTTCACTAACAATTGCATTAACGGTTCTTCTTTCGTGCTCAAAATCATTGCATACAAAGTGCTTGATGGTAGCAATGACTTTCTCCGACTGAATACCTTTAATTATTTCGCTAGCTATGATACCAGATGCTGTCGGATCTTCATTAAAGCTTTCGAATCCTCTTCCACCATTTGGGCCTCTTTGAATGTTAACAGTGGGGCCTAAAATTACATGGGCACCCTTATGTTTTGCTTCAATGGCCATGAGCTTACCAGACTCATTGAGAATCTCCTTATTGAAGGTCGCTCCCAAAGAGGTCCCATTGGGAAAACAGGCACTGGGGACACTATTATAGAATTTTGTGCCTCTGATACCATTTGGACCATCTGACAATCTTATTGAAGGAATATCAATATTTCTTTCAGTATCATGAACGGGAAAAGTATGCCAAAAATCAACACCAGCAATTAGGCTGGCCTTCTCATCTAAAGTTAACTTATCAACCACCCTATCAATGTCTTCGATTTGGGCTGGCGAAAGTTCTAAGCCTGGATAAAAAGGTTTCATCTGCAAACTCTTGTGCTATGTAATGATATATTGAAATATCGATATCGATACCAAAAGCAAGAATTATGTTCATCGTGGCGAATTTAAATATCAGTGAAATTATACGAAAAAACATTGCATTTGCAATAGATATGCATACATTGCAACAGACAGGTGTGACTTGTGCTCGAGATCTCTTAGTTTGTGGAATAACGTGTGAAATTATTACACCAATTGAGATTGGAGCTAGCTGATGTTTGTTCGAAACACTTAATGCTCGATTATTGACTGCACCTGGAATTTTTGAAAAAAAAAAAAAAATAGTATTACGGTAAGCCACAATTGTGATTGTGGTGTACATTTTTATTTTCTGCTTCCACACACTAAACCACAGAATTAGGTTTCCATTATAGTATTAATGGTTTTTTTTTGGAATACAAAAGTATAGCAGGCTAGGATGCGTTGTGGGTCTGAAGCATCTGCTATTACTCCGGAAAATTTACTGATAAGCGTTCCCACAAAACTGTGTGAGCTCGTCACCAAGATTTTTCAAAGACCTGACTTTGAGATCATGTATATAATGATAGTAGAAAACCACCAATAGTAGCCTCTTTTCCCTAATATGAAGAAAATGCTGGTAATTAATAATAATATTTATTTTTCTTTACTATTTTTTGGAAAACTTCTCAAGATATTTAGTCCTTGAAAATGCCATTCCAAAGCTGTTTCACAAGAATTTACAGGGCAACCTTTTTTCAAGCCATTGTCATTGGATTTTTATCTTTCACTCAGCCTGGTATATGGAGTGCTATTGCCGGTTTGGGTGGCGGAGGGTTGGAAAATGTAACCACTGCCAATACTGCTAGCTCAATTTTATTCGGGATCATGTTTTTCTTTTCCCCAATATTTGGTTTCTTGGCCAACAGATGGGGCATCAGACCGATCCTTAACATTGGTACAGTGGGGTATGTTTTCTGGTCCGCGGGCCTTTATAAGAACTCTAAAGATGGTTCTGAAGCTCTTATTATTGCTGGTGCTGTCCTATGTGGTATTTCTGCCTCCGCCTTTTGGACAGGAGAAGCCACTGTCGCAATTTTATATCCAGAGCAAAACCAAAGAGGTTTGTTTATTGGTACTTGGCAAATATTAAACAAAGTTGGTGGCTTGATTGCTGGTGCTATTTCGGTTGCTTTAAATATAAAAGATGGAGAAAAAGGCGCAGTCAGTTTGAATACTTATGTTGTTCTATTGGCGATACAATGTTTGGGGTTTCCCGCATCTTTTCTCTTGTCTCCACCTGAAAAAGTAATAAGAAGTGATGGTTCTAAACTTTTGTCCAACTTGCGTAACAAAACTATCAAAGATGAGATGAAAACATTCTTCAGAGTTTTGAGAAGGAAAGAAGTAATTGGACTTGCTCCGTTATTCATTGCAGTTGTTTGGTTCAATACATGGCAATCTAATTACATGACAAATCACTTCAGTGTTAGAGCCAGATCATTAAGCTCATTACTAACTGCTTTGATCTGCGGGGCCACCGATGTTGTTGCCGGCCAGTTGCTTGATCTAAAATTCATCCGCAGATCTCTTAAAGTTAAAGTATCATGGGTTTTTGGTGTTTTGATGATGAGTGGTTTTTTCATCTATTCGTTGGTACTTCAGAAACAATTTGATATAAATCCAGAGTCTGGTATCGATTGGCACGGAAATTCCCGTTTTGCAAGAGCTTTTATTCCATTCCAAGTTTTCAAAATCAGTGGTGAATTCATTTTTAACTGGTGTTACTGGGTTATTGGTGCCTACCAATTCTCTTCAGAAGAAATTCCACATGTTTCTGGAATCATTAGATCGTTGGAATCTTTTGGTCAGTGTATAGCATTTGTTATCGCTGTTGTGGATACAAATGACATGACCAGCTTGATAGTTTCTGTCATTATCTTTTATGTTGCCGTTATTCCTGCGTCATTTGTTGTTTCGCAAGTGACTGACGAAGCAATTGAAGGTATAACAGTAGCTAGCCATGAGGACGAAAACTCAGAAGAAGGTATTGAAAAGCATTCTGAACATATTATCATTGAGAATGTAGCATAAGCTATCCTACTGCAACTCCAACTCTTTTTTAACCTAAAATTTCTATTTCTAATGTATTTACCAATCAGTTTTAACACTAAATTATAGCTAAAATTCATAATTCAGTTGTTCTTTTATTTTTTTCCAATTATCTATGTAGATAATTGTCGAATATCAGAGAGCTCACCAAAGCGGAAGTATGATCTTCCATTAAAGCAGAATTGATAGAGGCAAACAAGTTAGATCTGGAGTTATCTTAGGAAATTATAAAGTAATAGTAATAAGCAATTACAATTTAGATTGGGACCGGATGGCTTGTGAGTCGTTTATTACAGCTTAGGATTAATTGATATTAGAGTTTGTTTTCTTTGGAAATGGAAGAGGTTTATTCTCCCATATGCACATGAAGGCATCTATATATGGTGTCTGTTGCAATGTATGCATATCTATTGCCAATGCAATGTTTTTTCGTATAATTTCACTGATATTTAAATTCGCCACGATGAACATATTTCATGCATACATAATACTGTACTATCGTACATAGTACGATTATAGTCACCCTTCATCTTATTTTGTTGTCCTTATTTTTATCTTTGACAATTATTAACCCCTTTATTATGTTAACTCATAATAATCACTTAATTATTCACCCATTTTATTTATATTAAATAATCATATACCGTACTGTGTTTATACCTGCAGAAGTCAATGTCATAGCAAGTTGTTATGTCCCGAACCATTCGTTGAGTTGTGAGTTCATCAAATAGCTATAAACTAATTACTGGTACCACCATGGCGGCACCTATTCATTGACGAATGAATAAGGAAGCAATTACATCATTATTGATGAATGATGGATGGTGATAACTTCATTACCCGATTATTCAGTTGTCTGAATTCAGAGCATTGTATTGTTAATACACTATTGTTATAACAATACTTGGGCCCTAAAATTTTGTGTGCTCCTATCGCTAAACACAGATCTTGCTAAACACAATTCTCGGAGGCACTCCAGTTAGGACATGTTGAATGTAGCACAAGTTCTACTAGTCGAGTACATCAGAAGTGTTCTGTAATTTTCAACATAAATGGAAACTTTTATATTACAGTTTAAATAGTGGAAAATATTTTGGCTTATATAGAACTAATTGTCCTTATACTACTGTCCCTATTTACAGTCTTTACAATGAAGTATGTAATATTAACTTGATTTTATTTTAAAATAATATATAGAGAATGAGGGGTTCAGTACATCTTTAAATAGATAATGACTAAGATAAGGAATAAGGTAGTGAATAAGATAAGAAGTAGTTGATTAGGTAATGAATGAACAATACTGGTGGTATATGTTACAAAGTAAATAGTATATCAACATAAACAGGGTCAGAAGTATTTTTTTTTCATTTGTTTATTCTTTTAAAACTTCGTCGACTTGCCAAAGGTTTACAAATATTTTCAATCAATGAAAAATATAATTGAGTCTCCAAAACAATAATAAGTTGTATAACTCAAATGTTTACCGACAGAATGAATCACAAATTGCCGCTCACCAATCTAATTCTCAAACTTATATATCATGGTAGGTAAGAGTGATAATAGACAAAACACATTAGCAGACTTTACAAAGAACCCTAAGATTAGAATTCAGGGAAAAAAATTGGTCAAATAAGAGACCTGGGGGTATTGAGTAATATCTGATCAAGAAAAAATAGGAAATCAAAGATGTTTGGTGCCATCAGAGATACAATCATAGTTCTGGTCTATTTGATTTTTTGACTAACTTTGGGTTTTTTGATTTATCTGATTTTACTTATTCTTCCCAGAATTCTGATGGTCACTACTCTGAAAATACTTAGTATTTGAAATATAGTACCAAAACCTGTTAACAAAGACCACCATCTCAATTCATGAAGCTCCTAGTGATAGGTAATTCATTGTGCCTTTTTTCCTTAATAATCTTGTTTATTGAATTTTTTGACCAGGGATGTGATTAATCCTTAAAACAAAGAGTGTGATTTTGTGAAAAAGTTACAGTATTTTATTTTTCCTATTAGAAAGACCTGCACAAAGTGCCGGGCTTGCATGTTATATAGATCCTCTGTGAATCGTTAATTAGACAATTTATTCATTCGTAAGCCAGCATACTCAATCATCAATTCAATCTATCTAGCCTTTTAATGATTATATGAGTGCATTTGCCAAAAGGAGGTATCATTGTGATAAATCTGTGAGTCTGATTGTTACTTTTGAATAAATGTGGAAGTGTAAGTTCATATTAGAGAAGAATATCAACATGATACAAAAGTAAAAAAATAGAAACCTTGACAAAACCGCCTTTTTGTTTTCTCATTGTATTGTCCACAGATTCTCTTATGAAAATTTTTGCATAAATCAATCCAACTAGTACCATCCATATTCACTGTTGGCCTCTCCGATATTTTACCAGGAATTATCGCTGGGCTAAGGAATTCTATATGAATTGCCACTAGATATTGTCGGTTTAAGGCGTAGGAAAACCATAAGTATTGGTGTCAACCTGCTTCTGGCAGCTCGAGTTCCAATAGTAATAGGCTGCACTAAAAAAGACATATATATTCAATATACTACATATTATAAGAAAATAAATTCTTTTCAGATTCTTATTTTAGCTGTGTAACTTTGTTTCCGATCATTTCCTGCAAAGCGTTGGGATGCAAGCGGTGAATAATAACCAACTATGGTATCAGCCACCATATTCTTCTGCCACATGGAAAAACCACAATTAAGAAACTACCCCAATAAGGAGAGACCAAAGAAGTGACATGACTTGACAGGTTCCTATTTAAACCTTTTAAAGTGTCTTCATTAATGAAAATGATCTCTTCTTTCTTCTTGGCAGCGTGACTAGCTAGCTAATTAACCTTTAACAATCCAACAACAATGAAATTGCAAACTGCCTCCATTACCTTAACTACCTATACATTATTGGCTTCCAGAGTTACATATGGGTTTCCAGTGGATAGCTCCCAAACGGTGCTTATAAAAAGATTTGATCAAGATTATAATAGTACTTCAATAATTGAAAAATTCAAGGACAGATTATCTTCATTTTGGAAAGATCACTCAGATCTTGGCGTGAGTGCGATTGCTGGGGCCGCCTTGGCACAGGCAGCAGGATACAGTAACAGTAGTAGCCTTTCTATCCCTGGCGTGGTGCCTACTGGAACAAATGACGATATTATTGCTACCACTTCTTTTGATGCTTCGGACAGCACCGATACCACTATTGCTAATGATTATGATAGTACTGATGACGATGATAGTAATAGTGATGGCTATAAAATTACTGCAACAACCAGCGAAGCCATAACCGGAAGTGATTCTACTGATCAAGCGTACCTCAGTTCATCATGATCCACTACGTTGCCAATATATGGTGCCTAGGCATCTGCACGAAGTTACTATTATAGATTTTGTTATTTTGTTATTCCCCACCTCCCCCCTCACTCTTTTAGCTTACGGCTTGCTATATCTTTTTATATGTGTACTCTCTTTTTTTACAATTAATATCAACTTACTAGAATTTTTTTTGGAAAGCAAGTATGATCGTATTTGTAGGTCATCAATATTTAAACAGATCTCTTGATGCCGAGTTTAAAGTTCAGTGAATATTACACAAGTAGTTGAAAGTAATAAAATGAACATCTCTATATTCAAAAAACTCTGATAGTAAAGTCAATGACAATAAGTATATACAGATTAGAAAAAAAAGAAGGTCATAAGTGAATAATAATATTAAAAAAAAAACAAAAAAAAAACAACTAAACCATACCGATATATAATCAAAAACCTAATCTAACCAACCCATTTTCTAGCGTTTCTGAATAACTTGATCCATGGACCATAGTTTTGCCATTCAGCACGCTTGTCACCTGGGTACCAACTGTTAGCTTCTAATCTGCAAACTCTCTCTGGGTGAGGCATCATAGCCAAAACTCTACCATTGTCATTGGCAATACCAGTGACACCATTTGGAGAACCGTTTGGATTGAAAGGATACTTTTCCGCTGGTTTACCGTAATTGTCGACAAATCTCACAGCAACACCGTTAGAAGCTTCCAAGGCTTCCAATTTATCAGAAGAGCTGAAAGAAGCATAACCTTCACCATGGGCAACGGCAATTGGAATCCTGGAACCTTCCATATCTTGTAAGAAAATAGACTTGTTGTCTTTTTGGATTTCAACCATTGCGACACGAGCTTCATATTGTTCAGAAAAGTTACGTTCAAAGCTTGGCCAGTTTTCAGTACCTGGAATAAGTTCATGAACACGAGACAAGAATTGACAACCGTTACAAGCACCAAAGGCAAAAGTATCGTTACGTTCTTGGAAGAATCTTTCAAATTCTTTTCTGCTTTCTTCATGGTACAAGATAGATCTTGCCCAACCGTTGGCGGCACCCAAGACGTCACCATAAGAGAAACCACCACAAGCAGCAATACCAACGAAATCATCAAGGGTGACCTTACCAGTAATGATATCGGACATATGAACATCAACAGCTGTGAAACCAGAGTCTTGGAAACACCAAGCCATTTCAAATTGACCGTTAACACCTTGTTCTCTAAGAATTGCAACCTTAGGTTTGGCTGACAAAGACACTGGAATACATTCAGCGACAGAGTAAGTCAAATCGTAAGTAATACCTGGATCAGCATCATCAGCAATAGTTTCAAACTCTTCCTTAGAAGTAGCTGGATTGTCTCTAAGAGCTTGCATGTGATAAGAGGTTTCAGACCACACTTGTTGTAATTGGCTTCTTGGAGCATCAACCACAGAAGATCCATTGAAAGAGATCTTGATTTGTTGTTTATCAGCAAAAACTGGGGCACCGACAACAGAAATGTATTCTTTACTAACCCCGTTGGTTTCAAAGACTTTGACAAATTCTTCATAATCAGATTCCTTAACTTGGAAAACGGCACCGAGTTCTTCGTTCAACAAAGCTTCAAAAGCAGTTTCTTTTCCGCTATTGATTTCAATGTCCAAACCAGCACGGCCAGCAAATGCCATTTCCAATAAAGTGACCACCAAACCACCATCAGATCTGTCGTGGTAAGCCAAGACAATGTCTTTTTGATGGAGAGCAATAACAGCTTCCAAGAAGCTCTTAAGGACGCTATGGGAGTAAACAGTTGGAGCAGAATTGCCGAGCTTGTTGTAAACTTGCAAGAAAGCAGAACCACCCAAAGATTTCTTTTCTTGAGTGGCAGATAAATCAACAAGGACCAACTTGGTTCCTTCCTTGTTTTGTAATTGTGGAGTCCAAGTCTTACCAGTGTCAGCAACTGGAGCAAAAGAGGTGATGACCAAACTTAATGGACCAATCACTTCCTTAGATTCACCAGTCTTTTGATCCTTCCAATTCATCTTCATAGACAAGGAGTCCTTACCAACAGGAATGCTAATTCCCAAGTCAGGACATAATTCGATACCAATGGCACGGACAGCCTCGTAAAGTTTGGAGCCTTCACCAGTGTAGTTGGCGGCAGACATCCAGTTAGCAGAAACCTTGATTTTTTCAAGGGCTTCAACATCGGAAGCAGCAAGGTTGAGCAAAGATTCGGCGACACACATCTTGGCAGAGGCAGAAGCAGAAATCAAACCAAGACTTGGACGTTCACCCATAGCCATGGCTTCACCAGCGACGATAGAAGTATCACCAAGAGAAACACCGGTGACACCGACGTCAGCGACTGGAACTTGCCATGGACCAACAAATTGATCACGGTCAATCAAACCACCAACAGTACGGTCACCAATAGTGATAAGGAAACTCTTGGAACCGACGGCTGGTAAACGCAAAACACGTTCTAAAGCATCAGAGAATTTAAGACTCAATAATTCAGAGACATCTTCAGACAACTTCAAAGGTTGGGTAGTAGTGTTCTTAACGAGCTTTGGAGCATTACCGAACAAAATACTCATATCCAAATCAATAATGTTGTTACCAAACAAGTCATCTTCAACAACAAGCTTTTCTTCAGCAGTGGCATGACCAATGACAGCAAATGGACATCTTTCACGGTTACAAATTTCCTCAAAAAGAGACAAACTTGATGGGTTGATAGCCAAGACATAACGTTCTTGAGATTCATTACACCAGATTTCGAGGGGACTCATACCTGGGTCCAAGGTCAACACTTTACGCAATTGGAAAATAGCACCCAAATCATTATCATGAACCAATTCTGGCAAAGCGTTGGATAAACCACCGGCACCAACATCATGAATAGACAAAATTGGGTTAGACTTGTCCAAAGAAACGCAAGCATTGATTACTTCTTGAGCACGACGTTCCATTTCTGGGTTACCACGTTGGACAGAAGCAAAATCTAAGTCAACATTCTTATCAGAAGAGTGGACGGAAGACGCAGCACCACCACCGAGACCAATAAGCATACCCTGACCACCAAGGACAATAATCAAATCGTTTGGCTTGATGGAGTTATCCTTAAGCGACAAAGAAGGGCGGATAGAACCAAGACCACCAGCAAGCATAATTGGCTTATGGAAACCTCTAATTTCTGGCTTGTCTTCAGAATTGGTGACTTCAGTGGTCAAAGTTCTGAAATAACCAGTAATACAAGGACGACCAAATTCGTTGTTGAAAGCAGCAGAACCGATTGGAGCATCCAACATGATACTTAATGGAGAAGCAATATGGCCAGGCTTACCCAAATCAGTGAATTTTTCTTCCCAAGGTTGAACATGGCCTGGGATTTCAAGGTTAGAAACAGTGAACCCGGAAAGACCAGCCTTTGGCTTAGAACCTTTACCAGTAGCACCTTCATCACGAATTTCACCACCGGAACCGGTAGCGGCACCTGGGAAAGGAGAAATGGCAGTAGGATGGTTGTGGGTTTCAACCTTGATCAATGTATGGACTTTTTCTTTGACCAAGCCCCAATTCTTGGTTTTGATATCTGGGGCATAATGATAACCTTCCTGACCTTCAAAGATGGCGGAGTTATCAGAATAAGCAGAAATGGTGTTGTTAGCATTCAACTGGTGTGTATTCTTGATCATCTTGAAAAGTGACAAATCCTTTTCGTCGTTATCAATGATCCAAGTAGCATTGAAAATCTTATGACGACAATGTTCAGAATTGATTTGAGCAAACATGAAGAGTTCAACATCAGTTGGGTCACGCTTGAGTTTGTTAACGAAGGCATCGACAAGGTATGAGATTTCTTCGGTATCAAAGGCAAGACCCAAAGTTTCGTTAGCCTTGGACAAGGTAGCCACTGGGTCCTCGGCACCAACAAGTTGAACAGAAGTCAAAGGTTTTGGAGAGTTGTCAAGGAAGATATCATTGTGTTTTGGCAAACTGTTCAAATAAAGGGAATCAGTCATACGATCAAACACAGAGCTCAACAAGGCATAATTGTCGCTAGCCACCAATTTGTCATCGAGGGAGACATTGGAGTGCAAGAGCAAGGATAAACCACGTTCGATACGGTCAATAGAGCCATCGTAACCTGAAACATGGGCAATGTTGGTGGCCTTAGAGGACCAAGGAGAAATGGTACCTTGACGAGGAAGAATAGTCACCAAGTATGCATAAGCGGCATCACCTTTCAAAGAGTCAATTGGACGATTGACTGGCAAAAGCTTAGCTTCAACATCACCGGAAATTGAAACCACTTTGAGGAGGTTCTTGATAACGGCAGATGATTCATCGTGAGCGTCATTATAACTGAGCATTTGTCTAAGACGTTCCAGCTTTGAGTCATCAAGTTTCTCGCCGCCATTCTTAAGCCCAACATAATGGACAAAAGTGGAGTAAACAGCGGTGATGGCCGAGGAACCAATCTTTTCGTTGATATCAGAGATCAATTCTTTGACACGGAACCCAGAAAGGGCGTTGTTTCCTGGCAAGATGAGCAAGTTATCAGCCATGATTCAAATGGAGAAATTTTTTCTTTTTCTCGTCCGAAGGAAGTGTGTAGAACAAGCGGTCGCTAGGAACAAAACTAGAGAAGTTACAAGAACGGTCTCGAGAGTGTAAAGGGCAGACGACAGGCAGCAGCAAGAAGTAGCAATGGCTTAATGGCCAGGTGGACAACGATGGGTGACAGAGGAAGCACTGTTGTTGTAGAGAAGAGAAGAAGAACAAAAAAGAACGCTGATCGATGACCCGGAAAGTTTTTCTTGATTTTTTTTTTTTTTTTTCACTCTTTTATCCGCACGCGGAAGATTGAACATTTACGAGGTGACAATATCTAGATATGACTAACAGATGGATAGATAGATAATTAATTAGTTAATAGCATGAGGTATTTAGATATAGTATAAAAGAACGCGAAATATGAACAGAAAGAAAAAAACACTCAAAAATTCTGAAGAATACTCGACGCGTCGGCATGATCGTAAACTTCGTAATTGTGATGTGAACGTCTTTTCCCACGACGACCACGATTCACAGCAGGAGAATGGGAAGCAGTGGGCCAGACTGTTTTGTTTTGATTGTAGAAAAGTCTGTTTCTATGGGATGATGCCAATGGTATGATTTCCGCGATTCTTTTGTAGATCAAGATCCAATTATGGAAGACATGAGGAGGGATGTTTGGCTGAGATAAGGCTAGAGTTATGAGATTCAAGAACTGGTAGATAACCGCTCTGGAATAAGGAGAACGTTCTACTCGAAGACACCAAATAAAGAAATACATGATGTAGGCGTAGAAAGACCCTCTTAATGCTCCCTGGATAAACACCACAAGAAATAACACGAGTTCGATGTAGGCCACTGTCATCATCATGGGATGTTGTGCGTATTCTATCAATGGGGCAGTCGCCAAAACAAAAGGGTTTTTTGGGGCCCAAAGATTCCGATTGGCGTAGATGGCAAGGTTCAACGTCGAAAAGATCGCAAATGGTAGGAGCTTGAAAAGCTGCGGCGGGGTTATAAGCCAGAGCAAAGCCATCAACAATAAATGGAAGTTTTCAGATTTGATGGCTTCGGTAATAGGAATGGCACTGGTGACAAATGAGTTGCTTAAGAAATGCATCCGGTATATTGATATGGTGTAGGTACTGATGATTCCTAGCACCCCCACATAATAGAACACCATGGCCAATGGGGGGACTTTAAGGATAGTGATGAAGTATACCAATGTCGATACTATTGTCTGGACGTGGGTGGCGACCCACGATCTTTTCAACAACAAATCCAACATAGGAAGACTCGCCAAAAAGCTCTGAAGGCCTGGGGGAAGTGGAGGGACACCCTGGAATTCCATTGTGATCAGAAGGTGGTGAGTTCTAGCAAAAAGAGAGAGTTTTTTTTAGTTGACACTAATAGATGTACATAGATCCCATGTATAGGGAGCCCGATAGATCTCTATATTATATATATATATATATACACTAGTGTATAATTATAATAAGGGCATACCAACAAAAATAAATAAAAAAAAAAGGGTTTAGACGAGGATCCCACTAGACGGAACGGTGATTGTCAAAGTGGAACATAAATAAACAGTAAAACAGCACAACAAAATGTTTAGCAGAATACACAAAAAACCAACGAAATATGAGTAAGCAGAAACTCCTTTAGTTAATATCACCAATAAATATTCACCAAAGATGATGATAACCCACCGCTATAATACCCCAAAAAACGCACGTGCCTGAATGGCGGCTGGAAGAAAAAAAAAATCTCTTTGATTTCGTCACTTTTCGTCACAATAGCATTATCATCTTTGGAAGATAATAATTATTATAATAAAGTAGTAGCAAAATGTTGAAGTGTTTAGGACGTACAACTTGTCGTGCTCGTATCACTGACGTGTTGGCCGCCAACCAGCTAGTGGTGGTGACTCCTACTCGTAATGCCCTCGCCCTTAACAAAATTCGTCTGATCCAATCGGTGGCTTCTGAGGCAGTCTTGGCCAAATATAAAGAGAAACTTTTGAAGAAGGCTCAGGATTTGGGAGCTACGGATATCAATGAACTTAAAGAAAAGCTCAAAGATGAAATTGAGACCAAAAAACAGGAGTTGAACCAAGTGGATGTCCTCAAGGAATTGGAAGCTTTAACCAACGAATCTGCAGGATCATCATCGTCATCCAGCAACCCAAACGTCATCAAGATCAATAAGCCTTTGTCTCCAACCGATGGCAAAAAGAAAGATGCCCCGCCATTCAAAACCCTTTCTTCTTACATTGACGTTGAGAAAATCTCAAATCTTGAAACAGATCAAATTGGGTTGATTTGGCGAGCAAGATTTCAAAACAACCCAAAAGCAGTCTGTGCTCCAGTAGACACCGCCACCTTCCAAAAGCTTTATGCTAATGCTAGAAAAAACCCAAACTTCATAATTCCATTGAAAAAGGAAAACGCTGGTCATGAATTACATTTTGTGCAATGGAATTTCTCTGGACCGGATACCGTCCATGTTATTTTCACTAGTCTTGCGGAATACAAGCTTCACGGAGAATTTTCCACGCCTCATACCACATTGACTTTCCATAGAGAATTAGAAAAGGAAAAAGCGATTGTATTGATGAACGGGCTCGTGGAAGGTGAAGGTGTGACTTTAAGTGAAACTCAATTGTTGATTCTTAATTTGCAAAACTTCTATGGGGGTTTGCAAAAGGATGCTAATAAATTGAGATTATTGGAGGCGTTTAATAAAGGGACTAGTGAATTTTCATTGGAAGAATTGATCAAAGAAAGTCAAGATGTTGAATAGGTATTTTGATACATTTACTTGGATACAATAATATATATCGAAGTGTAACAACGGTAAATAATAAGACACTTTATGCACTGACTGGTCTTAATTTTGACCAAATATATCACCTTGTTAAATAGCAATTAATAAAATGGTTCAAAATCCTGGCGTTGACATGAAAATAACAGTTTTTCTCACAAGGGAACTTATGAGAACGGTGTAAATTTTAATCAACTCGTGAAAGATGGCGTGGAACCACTACATAAAATCTCGTTTGTTGGGGACCTTTTCTTACACTTTTTAGCCAACCTTTCCTATATTGATGATCCTGGGATGAAGGCCAAGTTCACATCAGGGATAATTAAGGTCGATGATGGTTAATTAAATAGGTAATTACGCTGCATAGAAGAAAATCAAATCAATTGCTTTATCTCATCGTTTAAACCTCGATGATGGTGGATATAATCAAACTATAACAAATTAAAAAAAAAAATATAACTAAACAAAGATTAAAAAACGAATTAATGGATATATATATATATATATATATGTGTGTGTGTGTGTGTATGTATGTATCAATACATGTAGGTAAACTCAGGATTTGAGTCACCTTTCAATACCCTCTGCTTATCGCTCAACATGTTCCACTTCTGTCTGTATTCTGCCGTTTGCTTTTTTTGGTTTTGTTTGTAGCAATACCCAACATAAATAAGACAAATGATACAAGCAAAGGTGGTTAAAGAAGTACTGGCAGCGTAACCAATCTTGTAACGTTCGGTGTTACCATCATCACTGACAAACGCCCAGAATGACAACATACCACCGAGCGACCCCATAGAGATTTCCAAAGAGATCCCGATGGATTTACGAAGATGGCCACCCAAGTTCATCGATGACCAACAAATCACGGTAGGAATGGCGGCATAGTTAGCGATGATCAACAAAGACCCGGTGGTATATTTGGTCACCGAATGGGTCATTTCATCTAAATGGTGGAAAAGTGCCCCGAAACAGGCCAAAGTGATGAAACAGTTGAATATGAAAAATGGGAAACGAATCTTGACACGATCAGATAAGAAAGCAGTGAAAAGAGTCCAAACGAACGAACAAATCCACACATAGCAAGTACGACGACCCCCTTCAAGCCCGGTGTAACCCAACAAGTAAATAGACGTTGGCCATAAAAGATTGAGGAAGTACGCATTAAAAGTTACCACAAAACACATGATGGCAGGCAAAAAGATCAATGGATCGGCGATGGTGGACAATACGTCCCTGGCGGTAAAATTGAGGTTGTATCCTGATTTCCCCGCAAAGACTTCCAATTTCTTGATCAAGAAAACGGTTTCGTTATCACTGAAGAATCTGGCACCTTCAGGGAAATCTGGGAAGGTGAAGAAAAGGATTAATGAGGAAAACAAGGTGATCGCCCCTTCGATGATCAACACCCATCTCCACAGTGAAAGACCGTTATGACCATCGAGGTGGAGCTCGGCTCCAACATTGATAAGAGTACCGACCATCCCCCCAAGGGAACACATAGAATAAATGATTGAGAATCTGATCTGGGATTCTTCACGTTGGTAGTAATGGGATAAGATGTAATAGATGGAAGTTTCGGTAGCTGATTGGAATAACCCATGAAGAAACTGACAGGCAATGAATGCAGGGTAGTGTTTAGTGTAAGCTGAGCCTATACTGATACACCCATAAACTGTCACGGTAAGAAAGATCCAGAAATGTGGACGGATGTATTTGAGAACGACGTTACTGAACGATTGAAAAACCAAATAAGGAACAAAGAATGCAGCCCAAGAATAACCAATCTTCATATAGTCGATTCCAAATTCTTGTGGGAAACCATCCATGAAACAGAATGATATATAAGATTTGTTGAGAAATGACACGAAGAATAAAAGACAGAATGGGGGAATCAAGAACAAATCGATTTTGTGGACAAGCTTACGGTTGTTGATGCCGTAACTTTGGGCCAATTCCTCGATTCGAAGATTTTTCAGTTCTTCACTGAGATATTGTGTTTCTTGACCATCGTCGAGGCCGAGGGCATCATCAGGGAAAGTTTTGGCAATCGCTGAGTTGATTTGTTCCTCACTCACACTCTGCGAGGTTTGTTCCTTGAGATATAGGTCGCTCATTTATTGGAGGTGATTAAATGAATTAATATTTTTAAAAGAGGGATAGGGTCTTGGGTGAATTTTATGACGAGTAAATGACGTCTAATTTCCACACCAATATTAGGGAGAAGGGTATGCGGAAGGATTTTGAAATGCCCTGAGAAAACTCAAAATGTCGAAAAGCAGGAGAAAACCTATTCATTTAAATAAAGACAAAAAAAGTATCAAACCAAGACACACAATTCGCCGACAAGCAGACGCATTGTGGATTGGAAGCTATTGTTCCTTGAACAAAAAGCGAGCATGGCATTCGTGATTTTTGTCCAATAATGTATGCCTCCAGCATCCTGCATTGAAGATCTTTCTTTGCACGACGGCAGCCAGCAGAAGCTCCTAAACCCCAACGTACAATAGAAATAGGAGAATAATACGCCAGGGTAGGGAATTAACCTCGGATTTTTAGAGATAAAAGAAAACTTTTCTTTGAGGCGGGTGTGTGGTATCTGAGACAACCATACATTCCTGCTTTACATACGACCATTTGCACAAGTTCTGGTAGGCATATATATATATTTATATAAATATCAATAACAAATAAAGTTCCCTGGAAAATTTATGAATTCACAATAGAAGCAACTTTAATTGAACCAAGAAAGGCCCAGACTCCCCTGGAATGAAAGGATAGCATGGCAAAAATATATATTTATATGAAATAATAGAAGTGGTTATGTGCAGAAACCAGGATCAACAACACGGCAACAACTTTTGTAACAATAGGGTTCCTACACAGAAATCTCTGTTTATGTGTTGTAACAGCAAAGAAAACCAAGCAATATCATATCAGCATAATTAGGTGGGAATCTTTTGATGATATAATGCCCAGGGTATATCTATGTACGGTGGTACCTTGCAATAATAAAAACTTGGATAGTAAATAATAACAAAAATCTTTCACAACAATTATTTTTCTCCGTTTGTACTTCATACATACATCACACTAGTGCACTCTTCTGCTGCAGCAAATTTATACAACTTCGGTGCTGGGTGTCAACCGTTGAACAGAACGAACTTCTTGGGTAAATCAACTGTTATTCATATATATATATATAAGTATGTACGTAATAAATAATATGTATATGTGATATCTAATATAGGTATATTAGTATAACAGCTTTCCTGTTGGTGGCTGCCCGTTTGCATGGCCAATCTTTCAAGCAACATGCGGGATAGATCCCTCCACAGCTTCTGGCTACTTTGAAACGTCACGCATTATTTTCCTAGAAAGAAAGTTGTAGCTACTATAATAAGGATTGTTGTTGTTGATCAAGTGGCATCAGCCAGTGTTATATTTCTCACTATAACATCCAAATCTTTCAATAGCTTGTGCGACGCAGACTTCTTGCCAGCATTCTATTATATCCGTTGTGCATAGGCGTACTAATTTGCCCTGTCGATCACCCATAAGTGTGTATCTATAATTGAATAAAATCCTTGTATTACTTCAAAAGGAAAGAAACAAATTAAGGAACAAAAGATCATTACACCATCTAATAATAACCAAATGCAATACAAGAAAAATAAATCAAATATAGCTATTAAAAATTTTTAGATCGAAGAAACAATAAGCAGAATAGTGAGAGAAAATCATAATAATGGAACAAATTGGGAATAAATATTAGTTATGGTTAATGGGGGAAAAAACAAGATTATCCTTCTTTAGAATTGAAAACTCAAACAAAAATAATAAATAGAAAGAAAAGAACAGAGATTTTTTTTCTTCTTTCTTTCTCTTTCATAGAAATGGTATTGGAATTGGTATTAGTGGGAGCTCCTTTATGCTTCTTTATATATATTTTTTTTTACCAAAAGTATAGGTTCTTCAAGAGTGGCTTTACACCTTTCTCTTTTTAGGAATGTCCTTTCTTCCCATTGGTGATGGACTGTACCCAGTGGCATTGGTCAAGTCAACTTGGACATATTCATTGACTTTCGCAGCCACCCCACCTCTGGCACGGCGGACCACCTTGGATTTCTTGGTGTCACGTTTACGGTAGACCTCAATGTAAAAGGCAATAAACAACACCAAATAACTACTCAAAATACAACACCCCCAAGCAGCAGCGTACATCGAACCAGCACAGTTGGCACAATGTGGCAAGACATCGGCAAAAAAATCATTGGCAACCTTTTGGTAGGTGGCGAAATAAACAAATGACAAATCAAGAATGAATTGAATGATTTGGAAACGAGTGACCCATTCTTTCCACCACACACGAATGCCAATCGAAGACAAGAAATAGTACCAGTACATCACACAGTGAACCGCAAGATTCAATCCAATGACGATCCAAGAGATAGGAGTCTTACCAACAAGTTGTGTGTAACAGAGCAAAGCGGTGGCCCCATGATGGTAGGTGTGCAAAAAGGTCAACTTCTTTTGTTTAAGTACCAACAACACGGTATCCAAAAATTCAACAAATTTAGTGAGGTAATTAAGATAATAAAGGGTCACCATTGGTTGAGTCCATGATCCCATGTCACAGATGGCATAATAAAGACCATGACGGACAATGATTGGGAACAATTGTTCGATCATGAGCACTAACAAGGTGAAACTGATCACTGTAAGAATGATGTTGTGGACTTGAGAAATCAACTTCAATTTCAAAGGAGCCCATTTATTCTTCTTCCAAACGTAATCACCACCAAAGATAACGGTATAATAGAGGGCAATGATTGAAAGCACCGGAGGTAAGTGAGAAAGTGGGGATTTCTGGTATTCGAATTCGAATTCTTTAGGAACAAAGGCGTTACCAGTGGCCTTGGACACCACTTCATTAAAAAGTTCCCATAAGTTAATACCAAATGGATGGTCAATAGTTGGAGGGAAAAATAAGTCCCCAATAGGCTTTTCTAAGAAATTTGACATTTTCCTTATATATTGGATTAATAAATATTGGCTCAAAAAAAAAAGAGGTCAGTATTTACTAATAGCAGGACAGTTCAACAGTGGTTTTTTTGCAACACGTAAATAAAAACAAAGGAAAAATTTTTTTTTTTTTTTTTCCCTCCACGTTTTTTCGTCCCTGCAATTTTTCTCGCCCTAAGAATTTTTATGGAACCTAATATGTGCAAGGATGGAATGGGTTATTAAAACTGTTGGAAAACTGTGCTTTGACTAAATATTTCATGTGAGAAGAGTATACAATATACGGAAGAAAAATTTAAACAAATTAGTAATATAAATATAGTACAATATATATCAAACTTGTGAGTCAGATCAAGTCTTCTTTAGTGAAGGAAAGCAGTGCCAAGATGTTGGACAAATCGTGTTCTTCCTTTGAATCATTATCATCGTCTTCTTGTTCGAAATCTTTTTCCCTTTCTTGTGAATCATCTTTATATGGGAATACCAGGGCCCTGCTGAAATTCGGGGCATAAGTGTCCTCATAACAGCTGGTATCATCATACTCATGATACTCCAGAATATCATTATCTCGTAGCACCGAGTGTTGTTCGTAGAAATCACCACCGTCATTCCCGTCTTTTGTTTTATCTTTAAGATCACATAATGCCTGACGAAATTCGCTTCTGAATGACCTTTGACATACCGATTTGTCTTGGTTTTCTCGATCGCTTTCTGGTTCACCATCTTGTTGTTGAGTATCATCATCATCATCATCATCATCATCATCATCATCATCATCATCATCATCATCATCATCATCATCATCAGAAACCACAATTGCAAGTTCTGCACATGTCCCAAGTATCATTTGGTCCCCTAATATATTTTGATATGACTCATCGGCATTCAGTAGATCGTCTTCTAAGATGTTTTGATATGATTCATCGAGATTTTCTGGTTCCTGATTCGTTTCATTCCCCAATTCAATAGCAATCAACCGATCATTCAAATTATTTTTCCTTTTTTTGGTCTCTTCAAATTGGTCTCTTTTTTTCTTGCGGATCCCTTCTGTTATGAGAGACGGAGTCAATGGCGTACTCGGGGCTCGTTTGAAAGGTTTGTACCTATCACTAATACTTGGACTTTGATCAGCTATTCTCCTTTTAAAATCTGATGATGATAGGAGTCTTATGGGTGACAACAAATTAGGGCCTGTGGTCAGCGAGGCTGAGAAATCATTGTGCAATTGGTCGTTTTGAGTCTCAGAAGACATAATAATAATAATAATAATAATAGTGGTAATAATAATAGTGTCAATCAATATATTGGGATCGGATCTAAATAGCAAATGCAGTTCTTATTATTGTGTCTGATTGTTTTTGTTTTTTGAAGTTCACGTGAATTTGACACCCAAAATCTGTACACAAACATTGGCACGCTTCGCAAGATACAACTGAGAATTGAAGGTAGGAGGATATATGTGACGAGACAGCTAAAATTAATATTTGAGATTATAGCTAAAAGCAAGCAAGCAAACAAAAAAGAATAACAATAATAATTAGCACCATCCAGATGTATCCGCCGTGCAGGGATGCAGAAGCTGATAAACCTATATGTCCCACCACATAGCTCATGTTCTTAGTGTTACTTTCTCTCCTCAAAGGTATTACTATATTGATTTGCAATCCAATCTCAAACTGAAATGGCCTTCATAGCTATCTAACGCGGATATTCTCAAATATACATAAATAATAGAGTCCTTTAGGATCCCTATACTGGTTTTTGATATGGGTAAGTAGGTCATTATCTGGTTTATGATGGCTTTGGCAGCCGAGTTCCGGGCATCTTCTCCTTCACCAGAATTAATGGTCTGCGAATAATCAATAAACTTGGAGTGAGAGAAAGGGAGCTTTTCAACCTCACCCTCCCAAATTCTTGTCTTTGCATGCTCTGTGACAACATTATATCTGGGTACATTTTAATACTGGCATCATCTATTCCTAATCTTATTTGTAAGGTTGTTCCCATAAAACCTTCATCCGAAATACAATTTAAAACTATAGAACATGGAGCAATCACCCCTTTTAATTACTTGCTCATGGTACTTGTCTTCATCATCTCTCAAAGTTGAGCTCTTAGGACTTACAGTTTTACCTTGTGTGTATTTACCAGAGAAGTCTTAAGAGGTTGAAAAATATCTACATGCTTGAAAAGGTGATTTCCCAATTATACTATTTATAATCTGTTTTATCACATCCTGAAATATCGATGATATCGTTTATTGTGGGGATATAATTGGATCCACAGAAATCTTCCTCGTCCCATCTTTATCCACAGGAACACAATCCAGTTCCTCGCCTATCGTGATATCCACTTGCTCGCTCAACGTTATGGTATTGTGTTATTTCTCAAGGTAAACTAAGCATATTTGCGGACAGAAATATTCTTGTGATTTTGTCTTTGGGGTTCAAAATGTGTCAAAATATGCGATGGGCAACTCAGGGCTGCATAGTAACGCCGAGCGGGTATCTGTGTCTTGATCTTCCGTTTAGGCTGTACTGTATGTAATACGACTCTAAATACCTCTTGGTTGTTGTTGTTGTTGTTGTTGTTTTTACTAGAAGAGTAATGTGTGCTGAATCTTATTGTGGATACAAGCTCAGATTGAGGATCGCATGGTTGTTGACTCTGTATATTCCAACATGGGCTTATTCGACATTGGATTAATCTCGTGTTGAGTCTTCGTTTTCAAGTTAACTCTTCCAGGATATCATACTCTTATCTAAAAATTTTTAGATTTGAGGAATGAAAATTTAATCATTGAGAATTGTTTTCCTTCTAATGAATGCACCCAAGGTCGTCTAGCTGTGACATCTGTTGGAGAATTCAGCTATTAACACAATGTTCAGCATGGTCATATTTTAACTCACCAGTATATCCCAAGTATTCTTGATGATATCGAGCTTTTTCAAAGTTTATATAACTTAAGAAATATCTTTTAACTGAACTTCGAAAGCAGTAACTGCAAATATTTAGTTTTTATGAATATATATAGTTATATTATCAATCATCCAATCTTCCAAATATCAACCAATTTTGTACAGGCAGAATTTTAATGAGCAGTAAAAATTGTTTAACTGTATTGAATGCAACTATATATACTTGTTTAAAGAAGTATGAAATAACACAAAAATATGCAAAATGATATACGAAAATGGATATCAAGAGTGAAATGAGAATGACAAAAAACAGATTATAAAAGAAATGCAAATAGAATTATGGAATGGAATGCTAGTGAAAGAGAGTAAAATATTTAACGATTTAAATCTAGGTTTAAATTGAAGATAACAAAGCCACAGAGATAAATCCAAACATCAATCCTTGTGCAATCAAATTTGCTTGGGAGATGACATTTTGGAGACCTCTAGCACCGCCTGTAAGTACTGCATATGAGCTGGTTTCAGTCTCATAAGACAGAGATTCAGACATGGTGTATAATGTGGTTTGAGCGTTAAATGTGGATGATGGAGTTGAAGTTATTGTATAGGATGATGTTGAGTCAGAAGTGGTGGCCTCATTGTTTGAGGTAATCAAAGTTGATGAAGTTGACAAAGTGGATGAGGTAGAAGAAGTAGAAGAAGTAGAAGAGGTTGAGGTAGAAGAGGCTGAAGAACTTGAAGAACTTGAAGAGGTTGAAGAACTTGAAGAGATTGAAGAACTTGAAGAGGTTGAAGAACTTGAAGAGGTTGAAGAACTTGAAGAGGTTGAAGAACTTGAAGAGGTTGAAGAACTTGAAGAGGTTGAAGAACTTGAAGAGGTTGAAGAACTTGAAGAGGTTGATGAAGTTGATGTGGAAGATGATGAAGCTGAATTGAAATGGGAATCGTCAATTTGACTTGGGGTATAACTCAGTAAAGTTTTGACCTCGCTGATCAAGTTTGGTCTCAAACTAATATTATATGATTGATTTGGACAATCTTCATACTCAGCAGTATGGATGGTGTAGAACTCATCAGAATCTAAGGATTTGCAAGCCACAAAAGTTGGAGATCCACCTAACCTTAAGCTACTGTATTCAACGGAGAATGGGCCAGCAGCACCGGACAGGACATTGGAAATCTGGAGTTTTTTCGAATCTTCATCAATAACAATCAAATTACCACTAGAACTTTGGCCACTGCCGTCACTGATTTCGTCCAAATAACCGTTTTTCCAAATTGATCCTTCAAAGGCAAAACTTCCGTTAATACTGGCAAAACCCAGCTCTGTGGAAATAATAATCAAATCGTTGGTATCTGGAGATACACAAACGCTGGCATATTGGACGTCTGTTGATTGCTGAGAGGCAATGGAAAATAGATAAAAATTGTCTGAATTAGCACTTTCACCAATCACCGAATGGATCAACAACAATAACAAAACCAGGACAAGTGGGGCACTAGAGAGCATAGTTAAAGGGTATCAATCAATTGAGAAAATAAATAGGTATCAAAAGAGATATTCTTCTAGTTTGAATATTATAATTGTGAATATGTGGATAGAACCTGATTGTTTTATCTATACAATTATGAAGAGAAAAGCTGGAACATTTTTACTGCAATGATCCGTTAATATATATAATAAGTGATATGATATCGCTTTTCCGTCTAATAAGACATACTTTCTAGATATGTTTCACCTCCTTCGGTGGAGAATTAAAGGGATAAGTTTTTGGATCTTGTTTTCATGCTGAAATGCTGTGGCGGCGCACCAACTAGTGCAGTAGCAGCACCAATTAAGGTTAAACGGAGAGCATTTTCATTTGACAGCCGTAGCATGTGTCGCTCACAAAAAGAATTGAGCTAGGTGATATAGTAAGAGCTGTCATTATATATCGATCATAACTGCTATACTTGAACGATCAGGTAGGTAGATGTTAGAAATATTTTGTTATTCAAAGAGAACTTGTATCAACAAGTTAGAGAATAAATGAAAAAAAAATATTGTTGTTACTGCCTCCCCAGAAATTAAGTTTCCGGAAAAGGCATATTTCCAACTAACTTCAGGCCCACCGAGTTATTGTTAATTTCATATTTGTCGAGCTTATTCTAATTTTAGATCTATAATAAATAACTTAACTCCCTCAGTAATTTTAATTGGAAAAAAGGCCCGTCAAAAAAAAAAAAGGGCTTCGTTCCAGTTTATGCATGCTTTTTTTTCAAGTAGACGGATAGCACACCTGCATCGCTTTCGATCGACAGACAGAAAAAAAAAGTACAATGACGAAGGCCTTTACAAGAATTATACTGGGGTCGAATATTATGTGTTTAGGAAGCCAGGGTTGTATGTACATACAGAATCAACAGCAAATGTTATATTTTTGTATACATCAAGGAAAAAGATAACAGGGTTTGGTTTTTATGGTAAAGACTGGATCTCTATACAGAAATATATTATGAGAAATAAGTTCAATTCTGTTTCCCTTTCTCTTTTGTAAATGAAATGACCTCTTCGTGTGACAAAAATCCTCAACTAATTTGTCTCACTTCTTAAATGTCCTTTCTCAGCTAAGAATAAATTAGTGGATAATTGACATTTGCTCGATTATTATACGGGCAGGAAATTCTTATAATACTTGCTGCGTCACGAAAAAAAAAAAAAGCCCCTCTAATTGCTACAGCTAATAAAAATTAATAATGATTTTTAATAATATTTCAAAAATTAAATCAAACAACAGTCCATATAATAATTATACGATAGCAGCAAAAAAAAAAATAAAGAAAAAAATAAAAAAAATGAAGAGATCTTTAATCTCCTCTTATTCTTTCTCTCCGTATTACCATATGAATCAACAAACCACTCTTCAAATTATTGTATGCGTAAAATTCTTTTAAAATTCTTTCATTTGTGATAATAAGTAATTATTGAATCCTGTAATATCATCTAAATAAATATGATGCCCACAACCTTCAAAAATTTTCACCTTGGCCTTTAATTTGTTGTTCTCGGTTAAAAACTTAGTGGCAATCAATCCCCCTCTCAGATCCATCCAATCATTATCCCCATATAACCACTCAGTCTCACAAGAAACTTGCTTTAATCTCGTCTTATTCTTTACCAATGGATATCTTGGTACTCCTCCAGCGCTCAACACATAATTTAGAAAATATTCACCAGAACCTCTGGCATTGAAAATACCATAAGAATACCTGTGCAACAAAGCATGTTCACGATGAGTCAAGTTGGCAAACCTTCGCGATGTCCAACCAGAAACAAAGAATGAGCCAAGCGGTCCTGAATATCGAACAAGAGCAAATGGTGAAACATTCTTGTTCCACAAATAATTGAACCACCCCGGAATTCTTTTGGAATCAAAAGTAGCAGGCTTAATCATGCCAGCAGGACTGACCAAGACTAATTTTCTGAATGTTTTAGGATACTTGATATTATAGCATACCGATAAATATGCACCCATCGAATGTGCAATCACCAAGTTATTTTCATAATGATTCAATTGTCTTTGGATTCTCCAATTTTCAAGAGAATCAACAAACCAATCTTCAAAAGTCTGCAATGAATTGTTGGTTTTATAATTGATTTTTGGTCTAGAAGATGAACCATAGCCCAAAAGATCTATAGCATGAATACACCATTTGGACGACCCCTTTGTTATTTCTTGATTTATAAATTCCGCCATTTTCTCAAGGTTCTTAATATAAAACCCTAAACCAGCGCCATATCCATGGATCAAAATCAAATGCTTCACCAGCTTATCTTGTGGGTCAATATTCTTTGGAGAAATACATACTTCATTGATATAATTATCAGCATCACGCATTGTCCCATCAGTCATGACATCTTTAATTTTTATTACTCTTCCCTCTTTATCCAAATGGATTGGGACTTTCAACACCGACATATTCAAATTTTCCAAATTTTCCATATCCAATAGAGTCAACAAATCATCTTGAATATTTAATAACTGATTTCTTTTCTTATAATCTTGGAATGACTCCATTATTGGCAAAGGAAATTTCACTGAAAAGAATTTTGATAACGGAATCCCAGATGGACTAGTTGAAGCTTTATATTGATGTTTTTGGGTTAGCGATGGTTTTTTGCCAAATTTGCTCGATGCTGTCTCTAAAAGATTGTTGATGATTGCCAAAGGCCCAGAATAGTTGTTTAGTTTGTTCTCCTGGTTACTGCTATTGTTCCATGCTGGCGCTGGGCGAATACTAACCAAAGATGAAGTTGAAAATGATCTAATCAGAAACTTGAGAGATGATATATGACGCCCTCCATTCATAGCTACTGCACACACTCACAGAATCGTAAAATGAAATAAAAATAAAGGAAAAAAAAAAAAAAAAAAAAGAAAGAAGGATATTTACACAGAAACGAAAACGAAAATGATCTAGTTTGTAGAGAATCACAAATACATAATATTGTGTTTAAAACGTTCGACCCAATTTCCCGAAGGAAAAAAAAAAATGACCGGATATGCCCCCAATTATTTTGTTTACTACCGGCACGTGTGCAATCAGGAGTGTTTGCCATTCCCATGGATTTTTAAAGAATCAGATATTCTTTCAGTTGCAACCGCACCATGATTAGACGGAAAAGACCGCCCCAAAACAATAATGTCAAGCACTGCAAGTGAGCAAGTGATCTTGATTGAGGAGATTAAGAATCTCGAGATGCTACCCTTGTTGATTGATATCCTACAACAAGTAAATAAAGGAGAGTTAAGTGTCAAAGATTTGAATAATTCTGCCGGAAAAATTAGAATCAGATTGACCAAGTTCAAAGAACTTTTAGCAAAACTAGATGGAATAAACCAGACTCCAAATCAAAGAAAGTTACTCATAGATCAATTAAGCTACCAAATATCTAAAAAGAAAGAGATTCTTCAAAATTTTTGCGAAGTAGTCAGCGGGAAATTGGGTTGTATAAATGGTGAAGTACGAGACAAAGACAAAGGCAACGACGGAAATCAAAATGAAGATAATCAGATACAAACACCATTAGATACAAAGAAAGCTATAGGAAACAAATCTGTAACCAATATTGCTGATTATATTTGCAAGGATTTGGGAATAGCGAAGGATGATTTACAGATTTTAGTCGAAGCGAATATCCAAACATCAGAAGAAGAAGAGGCTACCTTTAAGAGTCTTACAGAACTTAAAAAACAAAAACAACTGGAAAAAAATCACAATAATAACGAAAAGGCAAATAATTCTCCCAATAACAGTATTAACCCGGATAATAATAATGATGATGGTGGTGGGGCTGATGATGATTTGATGATGGAGGTTGACAATCCTATGGAAAACAATATGGATCCAGATTACATGTTTATGAATGACGATCTTAACATTGATGATCCGGGATTCAACATGGACAGACTAGATAAAGGCGGTGCTAGCACTGCTGCGAATGCTAATAGTACAGAAAGTGCTAGTAGCAGTGATGAAAAGCTAAAGCAAAATCCCCCAAACAAAGAAAAGACGGATATTGATATGTCAAACAACGATTCACTTAAACCTGAAAATGGTAGAAATGATACAAAAAAAGCCACAAATGGTACTTCCATAGATTTCAATGATTTCAGCTTGAGCGACTTACCAGAAGGAAATAACAATAATGAAAATGTGTTTGGAAATTTTGATGATTTTGGATTTGATATGGATTTCTAACAGCCCTTTCTACAAAAAAATAGATGAAAAATTGAAAGAAGACTTTGGCAATAAACATTTTTGTAGAAAACGATTCTATCGATGAATGATTGGAAAATCCACATATAAACTATAGTGATAGTATATGTCTTACGCCCGGGTAAGCGATACTCCAATTTATTTTTTTTATTTTTTTTTTTTTCCTGCTCCTTTTCAGTTGTGAGAATGTACCAAAACAAATGTACAGATAGGTTTAGCTAGGTTACAATATATTTTTTTTTTGTTAGACTATTTCATTATTGGCCTTAGTACAGTGCAATGGCAGGTGTTGAGCCAGTTGACAATGAGACCGTTGGGTTCCAGCAAAGTCATATTTTGAAATTGCTTTTCCCTCAAACTAGCTTAGATGAGGCGGTATCTCATCAAGCATCCAGCTTATTTGACATCAACAACTTTAACCAATTATTTGTTGCTAGCAAAGGAGAACACATTATTATTGATAAAGTGTCAAGATTACATCAATTGATAGAGTACTCAAATTCAGGTTCTGATGATGATGGAGATGAAGATGAATCCGTCACTGAACTTCTGCCAAAACATATGATTACTTTAAATGCGAACCTCAAGTTTGTAAAACTATTAACCAATAAACTTATTATCGCTGCCGAAGACCTTGTGATAATAAAAACAATCAAAGATCCTAATGACTTGAATGATATTACAGACTTGAGTCTGAATATGCTGATGGTTAAAATCGATGATGCAGAAGAAATCGTTGACTTGAAGATTCAAGAAAGCGAAGACTACGCAATTATTGTTGGGTCCAATCACACCTTATTCTCGATAGACTTAAATTCAGAATCGCCAGAAGCTACTTTATTGAAATTTAAACACAAGGTACTATCGGTAGAGTTTTCCACGATATCTTCAGATGTTATTTATATCGGGTTTGATGATTTTGATAAATCACATATTGTCAAATATAATTTCAAAACTAGAAAAGCGATTCAAAAAATTGAAAAAGATATCGATATTCCTGGCTCATTGGAACCAATATCATTACTCGAATTGAATGAATATGAATTGCTTGTATCGTATGATTTGAGTGGTAAAGCTAAAGACGGTGATCGATTCCAGGATATGGCATTAAGTAGTCCAAGATATACTTCTTATGTCATCAACTTTAAAGATGTGAGCAATGTCACTACTTCTCAAGTGGACGAAGAGTTATGCTTCAATTTGGATGATGCTGAACGCGACTTCATGAACTACTCAGTGCGTCTTCGCGATTGGGAAATTTGTGGCAAGAAGGATGATTTATTTTTAATCACTACCAGTGTTGCTTCCTATATTTCAATCTTTAAACACGACCAGATTGTCGTTCCAAAAGACGATGCTCTCAAGGCCTCCATGCCAATGGATCCTGTTGAATTTGATGACTTGCTGGTTTGTGGGCTAGCTTTAGATCTTGTGAGCTCCAACACACCAATCACAATTCCTAATGTTGAGGACCCAGTTTTGGGTAAAACTATGAGTTTGTGGTTGTTTGCCACTAATGGGATGTTGGCTAAATATGACTTCTTCGATGTTGATGCGATCAAATCAGGCAAACAGTTTACGAATATTGACTATCAATTGAAACTATTGAAGGACCTGAGAATGATACAGGAATCTGGTTCCAGAATTGATGCTCCAGTAGTCAGCTCTGCGCTCACTAAGGGCTCTTTGTTGTCTCCTGCTGATGAAAAGAATGTAGCACCAAGTGCTTTCGGAAGCGCTAACACAGGCGGTCTATTTGGCAAATCCACCGACAATGGAATCGCTAATAATAGTGGCAGTTTATTTGGCAAATCCACCGACAATGGAATCGCTAATAATAGTGGCAGTTTATTTGGCAAATCCGCCGACAATGGAATCGCTAATAATAGTGGCAGTTTATTTGGCAATAATAGTGGCGGTCTATTTGTCAAATCCACCGACAATGGAATCGCTAATAATAGTGGGAGTTTATTTGGCAATAATACTGGAGGCTTATTTGGCAAATCCACCGACAATGGAATTTCTAATGATGGTGGGAGTTTATTTGGCAATAATACTGGAGGCTTATTTGGCAAATCCACCGACAATGGAATTTCTAATGATGGTGGCAGTTTATTTGGCGGTAATACTTTTGGTAAATCCGATGTACTTTTGCTTGGTAATAAGGTTGAAAACCCTTTTGGTTCTAAATCCAATAATACATCATCCATTTTCACCGATGCGGCTTTCAAAAGTGGCAAAAACGGTTCAAATGCTTTAGGGTTTGGAGCAGCAGGCTTTGGCTCAAAAGCAAACGATCACAATCAATCCTCTGGTTTTGGAAAAGCAGGTTTCAGCTTCGGAAATGCAACTGAAGATAAAAATAAAAAAGTTGAATCCTTAGGGTTTGGAACAGCAGGCTTTGGCTCAAAAGCAAACGATCAAAATCAATCCTCTGGTTTTGGAAAAGCAGGTTTCAGCTTCGGAAATGCGGCTTTGATCGACCCAAGTAAACCTACCGCCCCACGCTTCTTTCCTGGTAAATTCAATACCAATAAAGAACTGAGCCATGGTACCAGGATTGAAGACAAGGTTCTTAGTGTTCCTTCTGCAGAATCAGCTCCTATTGATCAACCTACTTTGCCAAGTAATGAAAGTGGTGAAGAGAAACCAAAAATTGAATTATCAGAGGTTCAAAGTGAAAATTTAAAACCAAAGACAAATCCTGTCACTGAGGACAACGAGAATAAAGTGGACGCAGAAACAGTATTGTCCAACTCTGAGGGTGAATCTGAACCTGATAATATTGTAAAAGACGAGGACGCTGCTAATTTAATTGAAAACATCACAATCAATAACGAGACATCACTGAACCATGAAGATACTAAAGTCATCAGTACGGGTACTTCAGAAAGAGACATGAATAATGCTGACACTAAACTGGCTGAAGAACCTAACAATGATACTACAAAGGTCATTAGTGATACCCGGGAAGCCTTGCAAATCACAGACTCTGGTAACTCTAAAACGAAAAAGACTGAGAAGCCTAAGAAAGGTCTTCTCAGTAGTGCATATGCCGATACCGACAATGAGGAAGAGGAAGAAGGAGAAGAGGAAAAGGAGAAAGAAGAAGAGAGCGAAAAGAACGAAGAGGAAAAGAAAGAGAATGAAGGGAAAGAGAATCAGGACCTTGTGGAGGTGGAAAAAGAGTTTGAGAAAGTTGACCTTGGGAATACAGATAAAATGGTTGGATTTGACGAAGACAAAGGAAAAAATAGAGTCGATAAAGAGATTGTCGTGCAGAAAAATTATGTTGTTGCCTCTGTTGAAACGATGAAACCAGAGGTGGTTGATAAAGAGGTTGATTGCACCAAAAAGTTTGTTGAAACTTTCATCGATGCACCTGTAAAGGACTACAAAAATTCCAATATCTTATCTTTTGAATCGGATGAGGAATACTTGAACCAATTCAAGATTTCCAAGAGTGCACCAACCCAGTACGAATTGGACAAGATTAAATATCCAGATTCGATGAACAAGAAGTCAGAAATTAATCGCCAATTACATAAACTCTATTATGATTCTGTTGCTGAGTATCAAATCATTTTGAAAAACGAAGAATCCCTCAATGACTTTGTTAAAGACCATTTAATGATCAAACATGATGCAAAAAGTCGTTTCACAAGCTTGAAAAATATTTACACCTGGAGATTATCGGAAGTTCCAATCATAACTGATATGATTGACACCAAACATGCTCGCGAAGCTGGCGACTTATATAATAAGATGGATGGTTTGCATCAACAAGTCAAGAATTTCAAATCTGGAGCATTCAATGAGTTCCGATGCAAATACGATAAGTTTGTGAAAGAATATGAAATTGTTGAAGTCAACACCAAATTGTTGAACCCAAAGAACAATAATGAGGTCGGAGAAAATAAAAGACCAAATATTATTGAAAAAAGAACATTGCCATTGGAGTTTTCATTGATTCAACAAAGAGTCAAAACTAAGTTTAACAAGATCATCAAACTTTTCAGCGAACTTGAAAGCAAAATTCTCATACTCAAATCGAAGTACGAAACTTTATTCAACAAGAATTTATCGCCAAAAGCCAAAGTTGCAATGTTCCTTAAATTCCAAACCATTATCCACAAGATTGAGAGCTCGATCAAGCAGCAGATGCAAGAAGTGGCAGTATTATTGAAGGACGTAGGAACCATCAAACTTTATCAAGAACAAGATATGGGACCTCAAGATGCAGCATCGGCATCGACTTCTTCTTTATCCTTAGCTAGCGGAGGAAGTAGCAAAAGCCGCGCGATGGCAGTGGGAAATGCTATCAGTGAATATGATGAAAACCAAAAATCTATGTCCCAAAAACTCAACATGAATAACTTGAATAGTGCAATGTCGAAGAAAGAAGAACTTTTCAGTTCTTTTAACCAATGCTCCCCTGAAAGCTTTACTGTGAGCTACCAATTATGATTAGAAGGCGAATTCTTGTGGCCGATTTTCTTAGCTATAGTTGATTTCCCTATTGTTTTTGATGTTTTTAACGCTTTATTATTACCTTTGTACAGCCTTAATGGACTATTGTGCTGCGTAAGTAATTACGTAATTTTTCTGGTCATGCACACCTCTGTTGATGGCAGGGAACAAGGGCTTCTACACAAAAAAAAAAGGGCCAGCCGATCTTTTTTTTTCTTTTAAGCGACATTCCTTTACCGTTGCGGAGATGCAGAAGAAAGAGAAGAAAAGAAAGGAAGGGAAAAAAAAAAAGAGTTGCACTGAGATATAGCCATCAATTTATTATTGTTCTTTCTTCTGTGTTCTTTACAAAGTTGGGGTTTTTTTTTCTGTGGCTTATTATTTAATATTATTATTATATTTTTCTCCTTTACTGGCAGTGTTCCTAGATTCCGTTTTGCCTTTTTTTTTTTTCTGTCATGTCTTCTGTTTCACGTAAATTGGCCATCGTTGGTGCTAGAGCTGTTGGGAAATCTTCTTTGACTCTCCGGTTCACGGAAAGTCGTTTCGATGACAGCTATTACCCAACCATAGAGAACCAATACATGAAAAGCTTCAAAGTCAATGGCAAGGTCTATGATGTGGACATATCTGATACTGCTGGCCAGGATGAGTACTCTATCGTGAATCAACGTCAGTTGATAGGGATCCATGGGTTTTTGTTGGTGTACTCCATTGCGTCCAGATCATCTTTTGAAGTCTTATCAACAATCAGAGACAAGATCCTCAATATTTTAAGCTTTGGCGAAGATACAAAGGTGCCTTTTGTTGTGGTAGCAAATAAAACAGATTTGGGGTCAGGGGTTCGTCAGGTGTCCAAAGAAGAAGGGTTAGCGTTGGCCAGAGAATTCAACTGTCCATTTATCGAGGTTAGTGCAAAGGATAACACCAATGTCGACAGAGCTTTTGAAATCTTGTTACAGCATATTGAGGAATTAACTAATCCCCAAGAAAAAAAAGAAGCTGGTTGCGTTATTGTTTGAACAACGATGGTGATGATAACAGCGCAGTCTTTTCTTTCAACCTCGGCTTTTGGACACCATGACTTCCGACCAGCTATGAAATCAAGTTTCAAATCCCATATTCAATATTCTTTTGCTTACAGTGCAGAATCCAACTTCATATTACCAATTATACTACAATGATGACCTTCAAATGTACTATTACTTATTATGCGATTTGAGCCTTTGTTCACCTCAACACTCTCTTGGCTATTATTTTTGCGATAGCTATATTCTGCCCTTTGCTTCGGCTCTTGTTCAACAATCTTGAGATTCTTCTATTACTTTTTTTGTCAAATTTGCATTGGTGACTCGAAACAATCAAACATATGCTTGATTGCTAGTTAAAACCTGATTCACTAATATTTGTGGTTTATGTTTTTATACTTTATATTATAGATTAGGATTAGCCTTTCTTTTATTATTCCTACTATTATTTTTTCTTTCTTTCCCTTCTTTTACACCCTTACTAATTTCTCTTTCTTTCCATTCTTTCTTTTAAGAAAAGAAAAAAAAAAAATTAAAAGAAAAAGAAAATACTCATTATATTATGTGAGTATCATCCATATATTCCCTCTTTGAAATACTAACTAGGGATGTTATATTTGTCAGCGATAATATGCTGTTAATCCTTATACTACTGGTTTTTGAAATGTTTTATTATTTTTCTTTTCTCTTTATTGTTATTATTAAAGATATCATTTCTCTTCTTGATTGGATTGACTTGTTATGTAAGTTATTCAACATTGTTACATTGGTTTAACAGGTCGATATTGCCACCCAGTATTGGCGAAGAAGAAAGGAGGTTGTAAAGAGAGTAGACTCTCTCTGCTAGCGCAATGATTCATAATATTGAGGACAGTATCCCTGATTGTTACAAAACTTCAAAATTTGATATGAACGCAAAAGAATATATCGCTACCTTACTCTGATTTGTCAACGATCGAGCCGTTTTTCGCCTCTACCGGCCCTTCCATCTTTTACCTTATATTTTCGTTTTTGATTTACAAAACTATCAACTATTAAAAAAAAAAAGGTAATTCAATATATTAAACTGAAAGGATTAAAAAAAAAAAAAAAAAAAAAGAAAGAAGAAGATAAAGAAGTTGAAACATTATTATTTATAAAAAAGAAAAAGTCGACATTTGTTCGACCAATAATAAGAAATGAAGATGATAGGCAAGATGAAGATTAGACGGAAACAAACAAATTCCAAACACCTTTCAAGTAGCCAACAATTTCGTCACCACCCAATTTACTTTCACCATACAATCTATCAACGAAACTGATTGGAACTTCGCCAATGGTCAAACCCAAACTTCTGGCTCTGACAACCATTTCCATTTGGAAGACATAACCCTTTGATTTGGTGATGGCAATAATCTTTTCTAAGGCTGGCTTCTTGTACAATCTGAAACTACCAGTCAAATCACTAACTCTTGGGTTCAAAACGGTAGAAGCCAAAAAGTTGGCACCTCTACTCACTAATTTTCTCTTCAAATCCCAACCGTAAACACCACCATTACCAGCGTATCTGGTACCAGTAACAATGTCAAAATTGCCTTCTTTTTGCTTCTTGATGAATTCAGGAATGGACTCAGGGTGGTGAGAGAAATCAGCATCCATGATAATCACAAAGTTACCACTAACGAAATTCAAGGCGTGGACATAAGCAGTACCCAAACCCAACTTACCGGCTCTTGGCTTCAATAAGATATGTTCTTCACCGTATAACTTGATCAATTGCTTAGCAACTTCTTGGGTTCCATCTGGAGAGGCATCATCGACAATAATAACTTCCCAATCTAACTTATTTTCTTGAAAAGTCTTAGCCAACAAATAAGTGATGATTGGAAGATTCTTTCTTTCGTTGTAGGTAGGCAAAATCACAGAATATTTATCCCCAGCCATCTTTTATCGATAAATTATAGTACAGGATTGTTTATTTATTTATTTTTTATTCACCAATCTTGAAATGTAAACATCGAGTTGTTTTTCACTGTGCTATACACATTGTTTGAAAATGACAACGTACCCTTCGGCAGGGCAACCAACATGCCAACAGAGAAAGCAGAATTCAGACAATCAATACAACAACTGCTGGATCCACCCAACACAGAACTACTAAAGCTAAACAGACAAAAGCCAATCACTAGTGGGGTGGTGATTAGCGAAACTGAGATATTTAGAGATTGTTTTTTTGTCAAAAAAATCCCATTGCCGGTATCTTGATTCGTTTTTTTTTTTTTGGTTTTTCTAGTTGATAACATATTATGTCCTACGACCCAGACGACGATTTTGATAATAATCCGTTTGCACAACCGCAACATGATGTTCTAAACGGTGACGGTTTCAAATCAGATGAAAGCCAGTATCATAGTCCATATAATAATATATATAGCAACAATCCAATAGTGAATGGTTTTGGCAGTGACATTGCCACCAATAACGTTGATGCCGTTGGGGGTTCTGGAGGATTGATAACTGCTGATAAAGAAAACCAAGAATTGCCAAAGATCCCAGACCAGGAAAACACAACAACGGCGCAATCCTCGGAAGAACAAGGAAAACCAAATTTTGAGCCTGATTTGACTTTGCTACCTGAACGTCGTTCCAAGAAAAATTATCACATAACCATCAAAGTTGTTGGGATAGAAAGAGTAGCCAAAAAAGATCCAATCATTAAATTTAACGCTTTGACAAATTTGCCAAACTTCAGGGGTACTACTTTCAAAGATATCAGAAGATCTTATGGGGAGTTGGAAAAGTTTTTCCAATACTTAAATGGTGCAAATCCTGAATGTTTTGTTCCATCATTGCCTGCGGCACAAACCAGTTATGGAGCTGGCTCCGAGGAAGATGAGGAAGCTTTGGAAAGACAGGTACAAGACTGGTTCAATAGAGTTACTGATAACCCGATCTTAATACGCAATGAAGAGTTCGTGTTTTTCATTGAAAATGACTTTGGTTATAGCCCAATAAACAAGGGTAAGGTTCCTGCGACGGGATTGAAAAGAAAAACATTAAAACAGTTTCAACCGCCATATGATGAGGTGACAGAATTAGTGGAATTCAGACCATACATAAAATCCGTTTATTTAATAACTCAGGAAATTATTAAAACATTTGACAAAACAACAAGATTAAGAAAGAATTATGGATTGCATGTTGCAGAATTGGGTCATAAAATCACAGAGTTGTCTAAAATGGAAACTTTGCACCCAGGAATGGTGAACTTGTGGCAAAAATTCGGTAAAAGTATGATTGTTTATGGAGACATTGAAGCCGTCAAATCGGTTTATGAGCTGGCATTATTTGGTGATGAGATTACCAGAATTAGCAGTGACTCGTATATTATCAAGGAACAATTGACCAATAGACATCTTTTGATGCGAGAATTGATCAATGCAGAACAAATCACTAAGAGTAAGCACGCTCAGGCGTTAAAGGTGAAAACCAAAAGGTACGAAGATCCGATCAAAATTGATCAAATCATTCGGGAGTTGGAAGAAAGTAAAAAGGTGGAAGACGTGCTAAGAGCGAAAGTTGATAGAGTTTCATCTAATATGTTGATTGAGAAGCAACAAGTCGTTAAGCATCAAGATCAGCAGTTCAAGTCTATTCTTCGGAATTACACAAGAAAAATCATCGACCATGAACGGAAATTATTGAGCAACTTCGAAAAAATTAGACTTGATGTGAGATCAGTGGATGAAAATGGTGGATTGAGTAGACTAGGAAGAGAGAACTACCCAAAAATGGCAAGTAATGTGAGAAATAGTCAACGTTTTGATGGCGATGATTGGAGTGGAGATAGAAAACATAAGAGAAATCACAGTAGTATTAGTAAAGACGATGCTACCAAAGAGGTAACAGGAAAAGTGGGAGTTGCAGTCTCAAAGAAATCTATTGAGCAAGTGGAAGAGACTTTTGATGCGAGAAGTGCAGCCACTTTATTAGGAACTCTGGCATTTTAGATTACAGAGGGAGAGGGGAGGTTTTTAATTCATTTTTTTTTCGGAGATCCTAAACATGATTTTGTTCATATCTTGTTACATGCTTTTTCAATCTACATAGTGTAACCTTTAATAATTGTGGGTCTAGTTTAGTTTTTATAATTGTTAAATGTATCCCAAAGCGGATCGTACGTTTATACAGGCGTCAATGTAAGTAAAATTTGTGTGTAGTTAAAGAGAAGGTAAATATTAGGAAGAATAGCTGACATAATTCAATTATACTACAATACAAGTGTAAATTATTTTATTCCTGTAAAGCATCTGTTTTCTTTATTTCCTTTCTTAATGCTTTTGCTCCCGTTATAATATACTTTTACATTTCAAATCACCTCAACGACCTCTGGTATTTTTTGTTATTCAAGTTTTTAATGAAGAAAAGTTCTAGATAGATAAGCTTAGATGTTCTGAAGTTTAATTTGCAATCACCTAGAAGGCAATGGTTGCGCCACAAGTTTGAATTTCTCTTTTCCTCTTTTTTTTTTACTCCTCATTTTGCACAAGATATCATCTTTTACTAATATCTTCCTTTTTTATGAATTTGAAATAGCCCACTACCCTCGCAATGAGCCAATGACCGGATTGTGGTACTGTTGATAATGATAGGAAGACTAAGGTTCCTAATGCCAATATCATTGATATTTCAGAAGGTGATAAAACAGAGAAGATTATGAAAGGAACATCACATTTCGAAAATCCAGACTTTGGGTCGCTATTTTGAGATATTTTCCAACCTCTTCTGACCTCTCTGATAACTATATATAAGGTGAAACTGTCAGTTCTGAGATATCAAGCAATCGATTCTGCTCCTATATTGGGAAAAATATCGAATTTATTGGTGCCACTAGAATGGATGATAGAGTGCTTGAGGAAATTTTTGTAAAAATGGTGAAGTCTGTCAAAAAAAAAAAAAGGAATCCTTTAGGTTGTTGGAAAAATTCAATCTCAAATATCATTATTTGCAAGCGCATTATGCTTCCAGGAAAATAGACTATAGAAATTCGAAAGATGGCGAAACCAGGTACCATAAGCAATTAATTGAAAGGGCAATTGCTCCGTGTCCTGTAATTTTAAATTGTATTTTGAATAAGGTTGTACTAAGGTTGCTCATTATTTGGAGCTGCTGGATTCTGATGAAATAGAAAGAGAAAGAACAAAATTAAATGACAATCAGAATTCAATTTCAAAATCTATCTTAAGCGAAACCATGATATATATTGCCAATGAGGAACTCCACAAAAATCAACGCGATATAATTAAAAGGGAACATAATTTATATGATGCTTCAATCATATTACTGAGGAATTCTACTAGGCCCCCTTTTGATAAACCAGCAGTAGAAGACTTCCGGAAATATTTGATAAAGAATTACTACGAAATAGTGCAAAAAATGTATAGAGTGTGTTATGGTGCACTGAAATCTGTTGATACTTTCGAAACCTTCACTATAAAAATTGCCTAAGGTGGGATTTCGGAAAATGGTGTCGACAGAGGAATACAAGCTGACTTCATCATAAACTCCCATGCTCTTCCACTGAAGGTCAAAGAGCTCAAGGAACAGAATAGAGAATGATCACCCATTTCATTAATGATTTCATGTCATGAGACTGAAAAATGCCATTATGATGTAAACATGTCAAACGTCTTTATAAGAGATTATACTGGCTCAAGAGATCAGTACTAGAAAAAGGGAAATGGACACACAGTGATTGATACCTATATTTTTTTTTTTTATTATTTAATTTTTTATTTTTAATATATAGTTTACGAAGGGGTTTTAGGAGGCAATAAATTCTTTTGCATTTGCATAAGGAATGAATAATCGGACTTGATTAACACTGCAACTCTGGTTACAAATAGTTAATGTAATGATTTCTTCGATAATTTTGCTTCCATTCATTTCAATTTGCGCTATTTGAATTGAAGATAAATAATGTTTCATTACTAACGACTGTTGATAGGAGCATTAAGTCGGTGATTCTGATTAGTCAATTATTGTTGATTCTTTACTATCACAGAGGATTTCAACTGGTTCTACGTGTGTTTCAATTTTTCTACTGTGCTATAGTCCCAGTATTTGCTGTCATCGGCTTTGTGTCAGTCGAAGAATACCACTTGGAAACAAGATACCTTTTTCATTCTCTCATTTTTTTTTTCCATTGGTTTGAACAATTATATGATTACTATTCAACATACACCCTCATGTCGGAGATTAGATATCGCCAGCCACGCACCCACGTGCATATCGGGCCAGAAAACAAAACATTAAACACCCACACACCTGATATAAATACCCCAGGGCTCACTGGCAGCAGGGGGGGGGGGGTCAGCGCTTAAAACCAAATAAAACAGAGAGTTACCCGCACCGAATACCCATGGTGTGAAAATTTTTATTTTATCTTTTTTCAATTTTTAATTTAATTTTCTCCCTTGATCCTCTCCTTTCTCAAAGCTGTTTTTGCAGAAGTACTCAACCTACTACATCAAGAATAATTAGCAAAAATGGGTACGTATATTTCTGTTGCGATCTTCTAATTGCTCATCTTTCTGTCAGTTACACTTTTCTTACTACAGGAACTGATGATGCCTTTGTAATGCCTAAAAGAAAATAAAAAATGGGGGGTTTCAAAGCAACTAAAAATTTTTCTTTTTTTTTTTCTTCCTGGCATTATGGAATAGATTTGCATTTAAAATATAATAAGAACATAGAAAGAATGACCACTAACAATCATATTAGTTGCCTTTACCATTGAAGAAATCCGTTCCCTTATGGACGTTGTTACCAACGTTCGTAACATGTCTGTGATTGCTCACGTCGATCACGGTAAATCCACTTTGACCGATTCTTTGGTCCAAAAAGCTGGTATTATTTCTGCTGCCAAGGCCGGTGAAGCTCGTTTCACTGATACCAGAAAGGATGAACAAGAAAGAGGTATTACTATTAAGTCTACCGCTATCTCTTTGTATGCTGAAATGGGTGAAGAAGATGTTAAGGAAATTAAGCAAAAGACCGAAGGTAACAAGTTCTTGATTAACTTGATTGACTCCCCAGGTCACGTTGATTTCTCTTCTGAAGTCACTGCTGCTTTGCGTGTTACCGATGGTGCTTTGGTTGTCGTTGACTGTGTTGAAGGTGTCTGTGTCCAAACCGAAACCGTCTTGAGACAATCTTTGGGTGAAAGAATTAAGCCAGTTGTCATCATTAACAAGGTTGACAGAGCTTTGTTGGAATTGCAAGTTACCAAGGAAGATTTGTACCAATCTTTTGCCAGAACTGTTGAATCCGTTAACGTTATCATTGCCACCTACACTGACAAGGCTGTCGGTGACCTTCAAGTCTACCCAGACCAAGGTACCGTTGCTTTCGGTTCCGGTTTGCACGGTTGGGCTTTCACTGTCAGACAATTCGCCACCAGATACGCCAAGAAGTTCGGTGTTGACAGAGAAAAGATGATGAAGAGATTGTGGGGTGACTCTTTCTTCAACCCAAAGACCAAGAAGTGGGCTAAGAAGGAAAAGGATGAAAAGGGAAAGCAATTGGAAAGAGCTTTCAACATGTTCGTTTTGGACCCAATCTTCAGATTGTTTACTGCCATCATGAACTACAAGAAGGAAGAAATCCCAGCTTTGTTGGAAAAGTTGGACATTGTCTTGAAGGGTGCTGAAAAAGAATTGGAAGGTAAGGCTTTGTTGAAGACTGTTATGAGAAAATTCTTGCCAGCTGCCGATGCTTTGTTGGAAATGATTGTCATTCACTTGCCATCTCCAGTCACTGCTCAAAACTACAGAGCTGAACTTTTGTACGAAGGTCCAGCTGACGATGAATCTTGTATTGCCATCAAGAACTGTGACCCTAAGGCTGACTTGATGTTGTACGTCTCCAAGATGGTCCCAACCTCCGATAAGGGTAGATTCTACGCCTTCGGTCGTGTCTTCGCCGGTACCGTTAGATCTGGTTTGAAGGTCAGAATCCAAGGTCCAAACTACGTTCCAGGTAAGAAGGACGATTTGTTCATCAAGGCTATCCAAAGAACCGTTTTGATGATGGGTAGATTCGTCGAACAAATCGATGACTGTCCAGCCGGTAACATTGTTGGTTTGGTTGGTATCGATCAATTCTTGTTGAAATCCGGTACTTTGACCACCAACGAAAACGCTCACAACTTGAAGGTCATGAAGTTCTCTGTCTCCCCAGTTGTTGAAGTCGCTGTTGAAGTTAAGAACGCTAACGACTTGCCAAAATTGGTTGAAGGTTTGAAACGTTTGTCTAAGTCTGACCCTTGTGTCGTTACCTCTATCTCTCCATCTGGTGAACATATTGTCGCTTGTACTGGTGAATTGCACTTGGAAATTTGTTTGAGTGACTTGCAAAACGACCACGCCGGTGTTCCATTGAAGATCTCTCCACCAGTTGTCTCTTACAGAGAAACTGTTCGTGAAAAGTCTTCTATGACTGCCTTGGCTAAGTCTCCAAACAAGCATAACAGAATTTACTTGGAAGCCAGCCCAATTGACGAAGAATTGGCTCTTGCCATTGAAAGTGGTAAGGTTAACCCAAGAGACGATTTCAAGGCCAGAGCTAGAATCATGGCTGATGAATACGGTTGGGAAGTTACTGACGCCAGAAAGATCTGGTGTTTCGGTCCAGATGGTACTGGTTCTAACTTGGTTGTTGACCAAACTAAGGCCGTTCAATACTTGAGTGAAATCAAGGACTCTGTTGTTGCCGGTTGGCAATGGGTCACCAAGGAAGGTCCTCTCTTTGGTGAAAACATGAGATCCATCAGAGCTAACATTATGGATGTTACTTTGCACGCTGATGCTATCCACAGAGGTGCTGGTCAAATCATGCCAACCATGAGAAGAGCTGCTTACGCTTCTATCTTGTTGGCTGAACCAAGAATCCAAGAACCAGTCTTCTTGGTCGAAATCCAATGTCCAGAAAACGCCGTTGGTGGTATTTACTCTGTCTTGGCAAGAAAGAGAGGTCAAGTTATCTCTGAAGAACAAAGACCAGGTACCCCAATGTTCAACGTCCAAGCCTACTTGCCAGTCAATGAATCTTTCGGTTTCACCACTGATTTGAGACAAGCTACCGGTGGTCAAGCTTTCCCACAAATGGTGTTCCACCACTGGTCCATCATTGATGACGATCCAAGTGATGCTTCTACCAAGTCTGGTACTATTGTCCTCGAAGGTAGAAAGAGACGTGGTATGAAGGAAGTTGTTCCAGGTTACGAAGAATATTACGATAAATTATAAGCAAGTTTTTCTCATTTTTAATATCTGTGAAATTCTTTATTTATTGATTTTCTGCTAATGTTTGTACAAAGCTTTCATTCTCAGTGAAAGTAATTTTTATCTCCCTTTAATTTATATAACTGATTGAATGTTTATTTTATCAAAAGTGTGTTGTAGTTTAGTTTTCTGTTCATATGTCTTACAAGGTTCACTGACGTTATTATCAAAATCGCCCCGGGTAATACTTGGGAAGTACGTGTCACCAAAAAAAAACAAGAAGATCAAAATGTTGAAAAAAAACTGTAAACAGTGGCCGAGTGTTTTGAGAAAGTGTAAAGTGTTGTTGCAGCAGGAATAAAACGTTGACAATATGGTGGCTTTAACACAAGGATCAATTCCTGAGTATGTTTATTGTGCAATATCTTTTTTGGATACCAAAGATATATCAAAAAATGAAAAATAATAAATGAGGTGAAATGCAAAGGAGGCATTGAAAAGTGTCCATAGGCATAATTAATTACAGAGGTGATTTACTAACATTTCTATTAAAAAAAGAGTAAAGGAAACCGAACCAAGAGCCTGTCTTAGGGAGCGGACTGAACGGATCAGGAATTTCACCGATTTGGGGCCTCCTGATCTTGTGAATTTATTGAAATATAACTCGAATCAAAAGCAACAAACCATCAGCACATTTCTTTATTACACCGGGGTGGATACCACAAGTTCTTCATCGATTGCTGCTCATTTGAATTTGTTGGCAAATGTTATCAGCAGCACTTCGCAAATTTGGTTTGGTAAACCAAAACATTGGAAGGTTCAACAAGCCACTTATGCGGTATACAATGTGTTTTCCAAAGTTGACACTAGAGTTACTGTCCATATTCCAGGGAAAGTGGAAACTATGATAATCGATTCGAAAGGTGAACCGATTCAAGAAACTGACAGATTATGGCTCGAGACTTTTGTATCGGCCACCATCAGATCGTTGTTGAGCTGTTCCACTGAGGAAGAAGAAATCAATCCAGTGGTGGAATGCAGAAATTTGAACCCATTCCCAACAATTGAATTGGCGAGACAATTTTTAGATGCCTATGAAGTTTTATTTTTCGAAGGTCCAAAACTAGGCTGTGATATTGATGTGCAAATTCCAACTCTTGTCTCCAATTATTTCACCGATTGTTTTATGAAGACTTTAGAATTAACTAATGAATATGATTATGGGCTCGGAATACTAGAAAGATTAAAGGAAAAAGATACTTGCGTATTATCATTGATTGCCAATGTGTATTTTATGAAAGATCAAGAAGTCAAGGCCATTAATATGTTGTACAACTCGATACAATTACGTCCAAGAGACGCCAATTTATTGATGTTACAAACCGAATACTGTATCAAAAAGGAAATGTATGATTTTGCATTAACCTGTGCCACACACGCTGTTAAAGCGTCGCCATCAGAATATAAGCCATGGTCTCTACTTGTTAAGGTGTACACCATCATTGGGGATTTTGAGAATGCTTTGTTGACATTGAACTCTTGTCCAATGATACCTCATCGTGATAAGTTCCACTTAAGAAGAGTCGTTGGCGCTTCTCCAGAATCAATGCATTTGCCATTACCTATTGATGCTACTTTGGACGAAGTTAGTGCCTTGAACGCCCAAGACGTGGCTGCTGAACACCAATCTGTGGATCCAAATTTGTTGAGTTTACCTGCTGCTAATTTGAAGTCAACATTTGCTAAAGCATATGAATTATTAACAGAAATCGTTCATAGAACCGGTTGGGAGCAATTATTAAAGTATAGAGCTAAAGTGTTTGTCATGGAGGAAGAATATAGAAAGGATAAAAGCAAGTCGAGTAGCAAGAATGCCAGTACCGAAAACCAAGCGACTCCGAATCCTGAAGCCGTGAAATCTCCAGAAGTTCCCGACACACATTCAGATAACAATGAAGAAACGTCCATTTTGCAAGCATTCAAGAAAAAGAGATTATGTGAAAGATGGCTTGATAATTTGTTTATGTTGTTGTACGAAGATTTAAGAGCCTTCAAAATGTGGCAGGCCGAATTCATTCATTTCCAATCACAAAGATTGGTATATAAAAAGAACACCCTCGAATGGGAATTACTAGGATCAATTGCTTACAGATTGCACAACTATAAAGAAGCTTCTGGCGCGTTTTCAAATGCTTTGAGTGGCAGATTCAGTGTCAAATCTACAAAGAAACTCCTTACCTATTATCAGGACGAGAAGAAAAGTTTAATCAAACAGTCATTGCAAACGAGCAATGGAAATAGTAATGGTCCAAACGGGGTCGTTAGTAACGATAGCACTCCAAAACTCAATGGTGGGTCAAAGAAACCATTGTCATCCCATCAAATACAAAAAAGAATCCAAACTTTGGACGCGAAGATTTTGGATGCTATTGTAAAATTGGCAGTATGGAACCACAGATGGTACCGTGAATTCGACATTTTGACAATCCAAGCTCTCAAAGATTTGATAGAAGAGGACGGGTTAATTAAGGTTAGATCACAGGTTCAGGCGTTGTATGTCACCGATAAGAATGGGGTAGGGTCTTTATTGGAAGATTATTTCAGCTTTTTGAAATCTATTCATAGCTATGGTGTTGCTGAGAAGGACGATAACTGAGTTCTGATTATACATAGATATATTAGTATTATTATTGTTATTATTATTTTCGTTATTAATTTATGCCTAGATTCCAGGCGTTATAAAAAAATATGTTGTATTTTATGTTCTCCCTTAAAAAAAAAACAATTTTAAGACACGGCACTAATTACTAAAGAAACTATGTCATTTGAAGACACTGGTGTCATGTTTAAGTTGAACAAATAAAAATCTACTGTAATGTCTATAATTAAAATTGAGGTTCCTCATCCAGGTGGGACACTTCTATTAGATCATCCAAAGACTATATCGTCCCTGCTCTTTACAATGTTACACTCCATACAATGATTTTAACACCTTAAGCCAAAAAATAATAATATACAATTTCATTTACATCTACTCAATTAAAACATGATCTTGTCCTTCTGAAGTTTTCTGTTTTTTGGACGTAGTAGTTTCATGCTCATCTATCTCATCAAGTTTATGTTTCTTTGATGCCTCCTCTGCCTCTTCTTCTTCATCAATAATAATTGGAGCATCATCACTAATAGCTTGCAAAACATCATCATCTTCCTTTTCGTCTTCCTGTTCTTCTGTCGCTTCCTTCTCTGGTGCGTCAGGCAACTCCATATTCGGGACTTCAATTTTGCCAGAATCCATGGCTTCAATGTATAGCTCAACCGTTGCCTTTTCATCATTTTCATCATTCACAAGTAGCACTTCCCCAGCTTGGAAGCCTATGTCAGCAAGCTTCTTGTCTTTATTATCATCGAAATCAACATCATAGATCAATCGATCTTTACCTAGAATAAGGGCAATTTCATCATGTCCATATTTAAACCCTTTTACAAGAGCGTCCACCACGTCACCAAGCACAATCTCTGGGTGTGATAGATTAATTTTGAGAACACCTCGTGGAATAGAACATGATTTGCACTTACGATTGGATTCCACAACGCTGGAAGTGCTAACGAATCTAGTGGCGTCCTGGAAAGTATAAACCATCTTGGCGCCTTCACGAGGATTAGGAGTAAACATTTGAAGGGATGCGAGGGCAGAAAACCCGGAAATGATAGAATTGGTGGTGGCGATGGCAGGAATAATGTTCCCGGCAATTTGTTTGATATCAAACTTGGATTTGAGGGGAATATGGAACATATGTGAACGGATGTTTGTGGCAGCGACAACAAAATCTAGAGTGACTTCATCATCTTTGTCGAACTCAAGATCGGTTTCGCCATCGGCAAGACGCTGCTGAAGTTCCTTAATCGAACGCATAAGAAGGAAAATATATTTTTCGATTGGCCAAACATCTTGTCCACGAGCCACATCACTGTCAGTGATTGCCTCGATTTTGTCTTTAACGGATGAATCCCATGCGAGAGGGATTGGTCTCTTCCTTGTTTTCCATAATTCCTCGAGGGCCAAAAGTTTGTTAATATCCTTGATGAAGATCTTATCAATAACGCTCTCAAAGAAATCATCCTTGGTAGCTAAATTCTTGAGTTCTTTCAATTCATTTTGTTCACTGACCATGTTTTTGATTTCGTCTTGGTTATCCGTACCAAAATCCGTTGGAGAGGTTTCTTCATCTTCGCCAAATAATTGACCAAACAAGTAATTCTTAGCCCAAGTGACACAATGTACAGGCTGAGAAGGAGTGGAACGGATTGTACAAACCGGATAGGTCTTTGGGGTCTCTTTTACAGTACATTCATAACATTCAGTCTGGTAAGGAAAAATTGGAGTCACTTGACCGTTAAACCCAGTGGTACCACTTTCAATCGAAGGTTTCTTAAGAAAAAGGCACATCTTGTTCACGTAACTTCTGGCAGCGATGTTATCCAAGGCATTGAAAATGAAGTTGAACTGATCAAACCAAGAAAGTGGGAATTGTTTAGTATCCATGATGTTTGCCATATACGATACAAGTTTTGAATTATGGAAATTAAAAGTTTCTACCGCAGCAACAGCAGTACTGGCCTTTGGCTTTTTGATGTCCTTGTGACGGAAAAGAAATTGACGGTTCAAGTTACTGAGATCAATGGTATCCAAATCGACCACATGAATTTCTCCATATCCCATAAGCACAAGGTCTTTAAGAAGTTCACATCCAATACCCCCAGCCCCGACAAGAAGCACTTTAGCGGCGCGAACTTTGGTCAAAACATCCTTACCAAGAACAGCTTGAAGCTGAGAATCTTTCCCCATTATCTAAAATTATCTGTTTTTCAATTTTTATATCCTCTATCCACCCGTGGTTGGCGACGCGTTAGCAACAACATTTTTTTTTCCCTTAAAAAAATTACAAAAAAGTTATGAGCCTTGGCGCAAGACAGCTTTATATGCCAACAGCACTCCTTATCTCCCGGTTTTCTTCTTTTTCTTCTTATCTTTTGAGCTCATCATTGACCCCAAAATAGGTTTGAAAACATTATTTATCATTTACCATTAATGCTTGAAATTATTGACATATCGTTAGCAACTTCGGGTCCTGAACTTGTTTCAGCTGCTGCTGATCAAGGTTTTTTATTCATCAAAGGCCATGGATATACTCCTTCTGAGGTTGAGGAGCTCTTCAGATTATCAGAAGAATGTTTTAATTTGCCACATGATACGAAAATGAAATATTCTTTACTGGACACCGAAAATGTGGGGTATACCAGCATTTATGCTGAAACTCTTGATACAAAAAACGATGATGTGGGTTCTGCTAAAGGAGACCCTAAAGAGACATTCAACTTTGGTCAGTTAGATTTTTTAACCGGGATCCCAAATCAAAGACTCCCCGATATTATTGGGAAAGACAAGTCGAATCTTAATATCCTTGCGTATCACATAAAGAAGATGTATGATATTTCCCAAAAAATCCTTGAACTCTTAGCAATCGGGTTGCAGCTAGAGGATCCACATTGGCTCAAAGAGAGATTCAAGCAGGATATGGTAAGTGGACTGGCACTTCGACTCCTCAAATACCCAACTCCAGATGAGTTGGATCCCACTACTGAAGTTAGAGCTGGGGCACATACCGATTACGGAGCGTTGACCTTATTATTTCAACGACAACCAGGGCTAGAAATCTTCCAAAAAAATCAATGGGTAAAGGTGCCTTCCCTTGAATCTTCTAATCCGGAAGAAGCTTCCCCAATGGTTGTTAACATCGGTGATCAACTTTCTTATTGGACCAACAAATACTTGGCCTCCACCATGCATAGAGTAAGATTTCCTGAAGATGCTGAATCTCAAACCAATGCGAGATACTCGATAGTGTTTTTCTGTCATCCGGCAGACAATACGGTTCTTGAACCGTTACAAAGCCCACTAATCAGTGCAGAAAAGCTGGAAGAAAAAAGATTGACAGCCAAACAGCATCTTCGACGGAAGTTGGCTGCGGCCTACCACTGGGACGGCACCTCGTGATGTTTTTTTTTTTGACAGGCGATGAGATTGCGGGGGGGTTTTTTAATTGCTTTTTGTGTACTTTTTGTTGTTTTCTCTTCTTCTTCTTCTATTAGTTGTCTTGATACTCTATAGAAATCAGATAGAAATACCATGACATGTGGATATTACACTAACAGTTTTGGCTCGGTATGTCTGCTTCCTTCTTACCCCACGCAACCAATCTAAGACATAGAGTTCTAACATGACAATGAAAAATGTAGACTACCTACAGGTGCAATAACTCAATGGGTACCGGTGGAATTGTTGGTTTAGTAGTGGGTATTGCGGCGTTTGTGGTATTTTTTGCAATCTTCTTCATCCTCACAAAAAGAATGCTTGCTCGCCGCCGTCAAAAGAAGCATCCACCACCACAACAGGTGTATCAACAGCCGATGGCCCAGCAGTCTTATTATCCTCCTCCAGGTCAGCCACCTCAAGATTATTATTATCAGGAGAACAGTGAAAACTATCAACACAACCCACCGTATCCACCAGCTTATCAACGATGAATAAATTATATCTTCTCTTCAAAATTGTTTTTTTTTATTTATTTCTGTCTTGATGCACTGTTTTAGCCTTTCTACTTTCTGGTAATTTTTTCCCTTTTTTTTATATACAGTTGAAATATATTCAATTCCTTAATTATCACGCGATATGTGGTCAATTGTCATGATCTTTTAATGCCTTCTTTCTCTCCCTCTGCTTCTGCTTCTGCTTCTGCGTGGTGGCAGTGGTGTATTAAGTGCCCTGGTCAAACGTAGTGCCAGAAAATCTCGTACTGTGAATAATTCCCCAAACTTTTGGGTAGAATGGTCAAACAGTCACTCATATTCAATAAAAAGGACGATATATTTCAAAGAAGAAGAAAAATTTGATGGAATACCACGATAATAGAGTGATAGTTTCATGTGGGATTCACAAGTCACAAGGATGGGCGCGTTTTCAGCTTGATCTCCCCACTGTATTGTTCAAGCTAGGTCTTGCAATCACCACTCATGCCAACGATGAAGGTTTATTTAAAAAACAAGGGAACCAATCGAAGTTACGCGAGCTTTCAACGCTTTTTGATAACCCTCCATATGGAAAGAATCTTGTCATCACTGACTCACTGTTTGACGTATCGGAATATTGTTCGCTTTTCATCCACAAGATGTTTGAATTACCTCGACCTTTGATTCCTTTTGAATTAACCAAACAGCTTTGTGACGTGGCTTTGGCAAATAGCGAAATCATGCAGAAATTTGGATCTTTGGATATTTCTTTTTCTTTCACTAATGAATCCCCTGTTCCGGAAGATTTGTCCTTTCCGACGTCAATATCATCGGAAATTGGATTACCATTTACAATTACTGCGGCTCGCAGAGTAGCACTTGAACTTCAGTTTGGAATCTCCATGCAATTAGCAGAACTCATGTTTTATACCCTCAATACCAAACTTGCCACATTACCAAGAGAGCAGCGAGATACCCTAGTCTGGGCTCTTAATATTTTTGCATACCTTGTTAGATCGTGTGAAGATCAAGAGAGAGCTCATGAAGAATTACAATATTTGGCAACAGTGTTCAGAGCATCCATTCTTGATGACGGAAATAATGTTGAGATAGGAAGACGAGCTGAAGTTGTCTTTACAATGTTGCTATATGGGGTCGGTATTATTGTTCCAGAAATCTTCCCACAAGTTAGTAAATCAGTTACACTAAAGAACACACCCATAATACTACCAAATACATCGCGAAAAGATAAACCAACAGCAATAAACATTAATGATTATAATTTATCAACCCCTACTACTGGAAATAATGAGCCAACAGTTCAAATTGTCGAACAGAGGAATCCGCTAATAGAGGTCTCCAATGCCTCCCCAATACAGAAAAGTTATCCGCCAGATTCTGAGGTCCCCCCAGCCTCACCGTCTCCTTATACAACTGTTCCCAGTACACCTGTGCGAGGAGGAAGATCTAAAGAATCACTGATATTACAGACCAGTACTAACAGTGCACGAACCCAGCGGTCTATGGAACCAGAAGATTTAATGATGCATGATGAACTATTACCAGAAGAGTTTGAAGAACTACAAGAAATTCTTGAGGAATTAAAACTTAACCCAAATGGCAGAGTACCGTTCAAATGTGGCAAACCGTTGTTACAGCATTTGGCATTGCCGCCAGCGAAATCGGCAGTATTGGTAAGAAAAGGTAGAATAATCTTGGATAATCGTTGATCATGGTGGTATTAATACATCAGGTTAAAAAATGAAAATTCGTGATTAATTACATTTTTCCCTATTGTGATATCGTTCAGAAGCTAAGCCAAGCCTGGAAAAAAGACTGTGAACACCAACCATAATAGAAAGCTGTTAGCTATAGTTAATAATTAGCTGGAACCTGATAAACCGAGGATGTAATTTCATGGTATAGCTATGATGTAGGCTCCAGTAGCATTGTATTGGTATTATATTGCGCGATACGAATTAGCGAATTTTGACATCTGCAAAGAAACACATGTCAATTATATTGCTTATATATTTTCATATTTTGCATGGTGAAATGAAAAGAGAAGAAAAGAAAAAAAGTCTTGTATATTGTACACTAGTCTTTATTTGAATCAACCCCATTAAATCATTGTAATCATTCTTTACAAAAGAGAGGCTGTTGTTGTTTTTGTTGTGTGTGTTTTATCTTGAAGCAAGATCCACAGTTTTGGAACTTTTTTTTTTTTTTTTAGCTCATCGCATCCCTTGTGGTGGGGGGGTGTGTTATCACTTTATTCTCTAAAAGCTGATTTTTTGATTATTATAAATTCTGATCGTCTTTCTCAAATTGATTATCGCTGATTTATAATTATTAATATCAGAATACCTTGATAACTTATTAGTATCGTATATCAACTGACAATAAATCTGTTTCATTTCCATTATATGTGGGATCCTCTAGTGTACAAACTTGCAAACATACATACCTGTCAAACCTCGATTAACAAATAAACACCAACATTGAGCTCAAAATGCCAAAGAAACCCATATATTCATCAGAACAGAAAACTGAATTTGCTACATGGTCAGCAAATGCTGAAAAAGATGTTTACCTTCATGATACTAGTCTTGATGAGTCCAACATATTTTCCTATCCAGAAGACCCTGGAAATGATGATAATTTTAAGGATCCATTTGAATTGAGTAACCCACTGGGCGAAGGCTCATGGATAAATTTCGAAGAGCATTCTGGCTCAATATTAAAAGATGAAAATGGATCAGTCATTGAAAGCAATTATAAACTGTCAAGTCTTGAAGGCGACAAAGTTCTTGCAAGTTCATTAACCACCATCCTTGCCATGAAGGAGGAATCTACATTAGAACAATCGGGATCATCTATTGAACCTTCAATTGCTCCCATGGTTCCTTCAAAGTTATCTTGTGTCGTTGCTGCCACCACTACCTCGTCAGGATCCATCCACGAGGATGCTAATGAATCGAAACACGAACTAAAAATCACAGTTTCTCCACAATTACTTCTCTTGTTGGTGGGTTGCTCCTTCTCATTGGGATACCTCATAGGGTTACAAGGTTATAAATTCCTCAAGGATCAAAGGATTAGGTATAAAGCTTTCCAATAACACACTAACTATAACTAGCAGCAAATAGGGCAATGCAAAAGGTCTGGGTTATCAGGGAAAACTTTTCCTATCTAATTTTCTTTATTTTTTTTTTTTTTTGTTCAACTTCTTCTCGTTTTCTCAATTTTAACCTTCTATTGTTTGATAATGTTTTTGTTATTTTTGTATTTTCCTGACTAAGTCTCCCTTTTTTTAATTGTTTATAATCTTGTCATTACAATAAATGAATAATAATATAATCTATTAAAAATAAGAACATACCAAAAGAAGCTAAAAAAATATAAACCAAAGCACCAACAAAAGAATATCACAACCAGCTTGTTCATTCATAGTCTGTCATGGAATATTCTTTCCAATCCTTTTCTGAAAATTGCGGCATTGTAATCAAGAACCGCAAGAGTGGCAGAATCATCTGCGCCGATACCATCGTCTCTAATGAACGCAATTAAACAGAGATCTTTTAAAACTTCATGCAAATAAAGCTTGATTCCTGAACTCAATTTTGAGACACATCTTAATCTTTTTTGCTTTGGGGTTGACTCACCATCGGTGATAGCCCCTTCAGTTATACTACCTTCTAGACTTGATGAATCATCATCATGATTTCCCCCAAGCAACGAATCTAAATCAATACTCAAGTCAATAAGTTCAGCACAAACTTCATATATCTTGGAATCAAGGGGCGAAGAATCGGTGACAAAGTACAATTTGGATTTCAAATCACAAATGAATGCCTTTTCGATGGCGGAATGCTGGACAAAATTGTCCAATAAGTGCTCAAGGCTCGGTAATTCAGGAATTAATCGAGAGATGATCTTGGATAATACTTCATAGATACTTTGATCATAGATAGAAGTTTGGTAAAAATCAATACCTGCGAATGATTCAAGACCCCCATCATATAACATTTCACTGGTCCGGTCCTTAATATCTCTTACAGTATCATCTCTAAATTCTTCTGAAAGCCCATCAATTTTATGAACCAAGACCTCCACTCTAATGTTCGGATTTTCCATATATGCTTTCTCAACCACTCTAATCAAATTCCGTACTGCCCCATAATACTCATCTTGCGCATCAATCACATAAATAATCGCCCCGGTTTGTCTAAACATTTGAGAATTATCATATTCCGGGTCCACATAATCAATTTGTCCCGGAAGTTCCATAAGGTTGATATTTATGAGTGAGGCAACGTTCAAAACTTCAGGTTTGGCGGTACTTTCGATATACACAGACTCCCAAGGTTTCATTTTGTGGAAGACCGCTTCAAGAATTGATGATTTCCCGCTACGACGACGCCCCATGAGAATCACAGTAGCAGCGTCATTATTGTGGTTACTCCCACTGCTGTTATATTGCAAGCTTTCATCTTCATCCGAATAACTCATCCTGATTTGTCTAGCAGAGATCTAATACGATGTGCAAAAATTAGTGTGTCATCGTCGTTCACATTGCAGCCATTACCCAAAATGATTGTAATCAGCCAGCGAAAAACTCTGGTTTCCTTATCACGTGATTTCATGGTATTTGTATCACAACATGAGAGCTTTTTTTCTTTTTTTGCATCAGCATTCACCATGTGGTAATGGAGAATACCTTAAAGGAATATATATATATACTAAATATCCATTTTCTGAGGACGGCATGTGGTTAAGAAGTTGTTTTGAAGGACACTCTCTTTTGTGCGCATATGATCATACATTGGGTGACCTATCTTTTGCATATGATGGTACATGTGGTGAGCAAATGAATTCTAATGAGAAGTAACTCTTTCGTTGCTAATGTAAATCGTGAAGAGATGAATAGGTTATTTGAATCTTGTAGTACTTGTGATACCATTAGGATGCAGCATCTGTGTGGTAAATTGTTCTCTATAACTAACCAAAACACTCAGAAGAGCCAGAAACATTGTACTGATAACATGCTATAATTCTATGCTATAATTCTATTTTCCCCAGCTTTGTTGTAGTCCGTAATACTCGTGAAAGAGCTGTCTCATGCTATTATTGATATGATCATTCAAGGATCCAGGCTCAGGTTTCCTCCATATTTGCAGAACTATGCGCACCACAGGACGCGAAATTTTTCAACGAAAATATTAGCGAGAAGATGATTTACTATTGGGTTTTGTATTAAGGAAAGGGAGTAATCCATCATGAATGAGAATTTCTATGGTGTATTAGAAACAAGAAACATCGATAGAGTTCAGGTTGGAGATCTTGAGTACCAAACATGGTATGGGAACTCTCTATACTTTGGTAATGATTGCAAAACTTTGGGGTACAAATACCTGCACCTTGATAGTCGGTTAAAGAAAGTGGTGAAGAAACAACCCAGCGATATTTGGCTAGACAAATTGTATGTTTGTGGGCACTGTTTTAAATACACTGATGAATCAGAATCAATGGAAGAACACCGCCAGTGTTGCAAATATGCCACAAAACAACCAGGAAGAGTCAAGTACAAAGACTCTCAGTACACTATAAGAAAAGTGAAAGGTTCCAGACATGAATTGTTCACTCAATGCTTATGCCTATTTGCCAAACTATTCCTTGATAGCAAATCTATCTTCTTCTCCGTGGAAAATTTTGATTTCTATGTGGTGTATGGTGAAGTAGATGGCCGTCCAACTCCAATGGGGTATTTCTCCAAAGAGATACTACAGTGTTTTGATGAGAACAACCTAGGATGTATCTGTGTTTTCCCCCCTTATCAAAATAGAAAGTTAGGTACTTTGCTAATTTCATTTTCTTATGAACTTTCAAGGTACCAAGGAATCATATCTGGCCCAGAACATCCGCTATCAACGTTTGGTAAAGTCAGTTATATTAATTTTTGGAGCAAGTATCTTGCCCACGAGTTTCTATATGGACGCTTCAGATATATTGAAAATATAACCATTGACGAAATAGCAAGATACACTGGGTTTAGACAAGAGGATGTGGTGACAGCTCTTGAAAGTATGCATGCGCTTCGGAAAGTGCCGTTACAAGATAGTCCCGGGGACAGCAATAAATTCCTGCTACTTGTGCTGAAGACAGCGATGGAACAATGGGTCACTGGGAAAAATGTTAATTTGGAACTGCTACGAATATTTGACGACCACGCGGTGATATTTGAATGAGCCGTCAAAGAATCAATCATATGTCTCCTGAGGCATCTTACTGCGTGCATGGTGTGCTCGTGCGTGCTCATCACCTCCGATGACCTTATCGATCTCTTTTTTTTTTTTTTTGTTGTTTGTGATGATCCTTTTGTGTTTCTCCTTTTTAAAACACAACCCATAAGACAAAAAAATAAGTTTCTTAGTGACATCAATTCTTCTGTTACATTGTCTCATTTCAACTCCAATTTCATACTCTTATTGTGCCGCTGCTTTGCTCACGATAAAGATATTTTTAGTTGGACTTTAACGGTTACGCCCGGTGCTTACAATTGCTATCATTGCCACCAATCAACGATCAAAGCTTTTACCATAAATTTGTATGTTAATGGCTTATAATTACTACAGATTTAAAACATATTTAATACTAATAGAACTTTGACCCTAGTTATTTTCAAACAATGGCTTCCACCCAGAATCCAGACAGCAAGGACTCAGCTTCCCCTTTTCCCGACATTCGCTCCCCAAATCCTGATCACGGCTTCCTAGTTATTGACGCAGGTGAATCTTTAGACACCAACACCTGGTCGCTTATTCTCACCGATGATGAGGCTCGCTCTACCAGCTCTTCTGAATCTGGTAGCATTGAGGATGTTGATGCCGATAACATTTTTTCTGATTATTCGGACGATGAGTTCGCGGAAAGAAATACTGCCAGTCAAAATGAGGTTAAAGAACAGGATCATCGCTGCTCTACCAAGCTGACTTCCATTGGTGAAGGTATTGCAAAGTGTTTCCAATTACCAAAAATTAGTTTGAAATCTAGAACCGAAAGGGTCTCTTCTAAATTATCAGGGTTCAAATTGGACTCCTGGTCAAAGAAACTAGCAGCAACTTTGCTTGTAATTATGTTCAACGTGGGAATGTATTATCAATTCTTTAATAATGCTAGGCTATCACAAGACGGGGTTTCCTTGCTTGGTTATAAAGAAAATATTTTGTCTCCACAGGAATTGTATACTACAGTTTTGGTGAAAACTACTGCAACAAAGACAGAGATTGTTCAGTTGCCAGCTGAGACTATAACAATAGAACATTTTGGATTCCAAGTTCCAGATTATGTTAAAAGTTATTATTCCAATGAAGGACAAAATGTTGTTAAACATCTTAAATCTTTTTATGACAAAACTTTGAAGGATCACAAGTTAGTATCAGAAGTTAATGTTATTTATTCTGGCATTAAGAATGAAGCTTCTAAATTTGGTAATTCTAAGGTTGGCGAATTTATCAATCATAATGTTATCCGTCATTTCTCTGCAGAGAATAGCGAAAAAGCTTTTAGATTAGGGCAGAAAGGTTATAAATCAATGTGCCGAATAATTGGGGAAGTGGGCAACGAGATTGAAGGGGCGTATGTGGAAAACAGTCCTATTGTGATCAAGTTCTTCAATGAAGTTAAGGAGCAATCTGCAAAAACTGGCGTCGTCGTTGGCAGAACCTTGCAGGAGAATTATTTGCTGACTAAATCAAAAATGATGACCTTCAACTACTCAAAGGCATTTGATGAATCCTTTGCAAGTTTGTCTAACCAAGTATCGGAAAATGTTGATTCTGCGAAACAATTGTCAAATAACTTTTATCAAAGTGATTCAGTGCAAAATGCTATTGAATCAGGTAATGAGCTCGCAATGAGTTTTAAGAATTTGATAGCCAGAACTTCCAAATCATCAGCTAAATCTCTCAAGTATGGATATGATAATTTGTTAGTGAAGTCAAATTTTGACACTATCAAGGACAATACCAATGTATTATCTGAATTGACAAAGAAAGTCACTGATCGGTCGAAGTCCAAAGTGAAGCATGCCTCAAAGGTGTCATACGAAATATGGAAAAATCTTTTTCTTGTCGAGTGAATGGACTCGATTGTTTTTCTTGTTTTTATTTATGATATAACTTGTGATTTACATGTGCTTTATTTGCTTAAAGTATTCAAATTGTTTTTCTGAATTTTTTTTTCTGTACAAGAATGGTGCGCATTGCCTCTTCTTGTTTTTCTTTTTTTCTTTTCTCTATTCCTCTTCCCCTTTATTATTATTATTATTATTATTATTATTTGGTGTTCCTTTTTTCCTTTATCTCCATTATTTTTCTTCTGGTTATCTTTGAGTTAGCTTTGATTCTGGTATTTGGTTTTTCATTTTTTCTGTTGTATAATGGGGGTAATTTTTTTTTTTTTTTTTTATTTTTCTCCCCATCCTCCTCTCTTCTTATTTATATTTATTGTGCCTGGTTAGTTCGGTATGTTTCTTCGTATATATTGGGATTTTTATATTTTATTACGAGTAACTTTGGAGACAAGCCTGTTCTTGACTTTTTAAGTGTTTGCATTCGGAATTAACTTTTTTTTTTTGTCTATATCTACCTATCTCATTTCTATTCAAAATTGTTGATCCCTTTCTTTTATTAGTACGTAGTTTTCCTTTTCTCTTTTTTTTTTTATTTTTTTTTATTTAATTTCATTTTGTTTTATTTTATTTGATGGAATCAAATTAATAGATATACAGTTCTACTATGTACAAAAGAAAGAGTTCATGGATCAATACTTCCTATTTTATGCGGCTTAATCTTTTTTATCGACGGCAGCAGCTGGTTTATCTAGATCCTTTGGCAATCCCAAAGATTCCCAATCGGATTTATCCATTAACTGATTGTCCATACGACATGACAAATAACTTTTTGCTAATAAACGACAATTTGGGGCGTTATTTCCTTTGACGAGCTTTAAGCATTTGAGGTATTCTTGCATTTGGGTGGAGCACTCACCAAAATGATCCAACGGGAATGATCCACGCTCAGGGGGAGTAGGATTCCATCTTTTCAACGAACCTAAGAAGAGAAAGAGTTAGTAAATATATATATTTCCTGAATCGAGTCTGAATATTGAGAGCCATGATGACTTACCTGGATTAGCAGACATCCTTATGAGAACAGCTTTTTTTTTTTTTTTCTATTTTTTTGTATTTATTTGTGGTAAACCAAATACAGAAATTCCGAAAAAGAGGCTCTCCAGGATGGTGATTAATAGATTATATGTCTAATATTATCCCGGGTCGTACGTCAAGAAGGTGATGATTATTTTTCTCATTTTGTGGATTTCTCCGATGCCTTGATGCGAAGTGCGTTTAGTACATTACGCTGTATCATGCAATGTTAAGTAGTATCGTGCTACTATCATGTGGAAAGAAGCGGTGCTACGTCCGCCGTCGTATTTGTTAGCGGCAGAATGACAACAAAACAATCACTAATTATTTATTATTATGAGGGACGTTAACTGTCTTTTTACAGCCTAAGCATTAAGTCTTGGTCCTAACGCAACTTCTTGGTTTGAAGATATTTTTTTTGAGTGCTTTTGAGTGTTCTAACCGGGTGCGTGGCCTGCTATTGGCTGTTTCTAGCTATCTGCCCATTCACATTTGTTGGCATTTTCCTAATTTATAGCACCACGTATTTTTAGTCCCACATAAAACGTTGTAGTAAAAGTATGATGACGATGAAGAGCTACCCACAAGGCAAGTACCCATTGAGACATACATTGATTTCTCTCTCTCTCTCTCTCTCTCTCTCTCTCTCTCAAAAAAAAAATGTGATACCCACGGGGGATGCTTCAATAAATGACATCAATAATAGAGTTAGTACCCGGTGTATCTTGATCTATTGTTCTCGAGTAACCCGTGTGTCTTCATCCCCTATCTTCGTATCCAATATGGACGTTATTACTTTTGTTGGCTTTCCTCACTTGCGTAAAATAATATTTGTACCAAATTGGAGGCTAAATTATTAGTTGCAAAAAACTAGGGTGTTTGCACACCGAACCAAAGCACTTACTTAGTTACTCTTTTTCCAGCACTTTTCTTCTTTTTTCTTTTTTTTTTTTTTTGTTGTGTCGAGGGAGCTGCACTAGAAACTGGAATACACACTCAATAATATATTTCTACATATCTATTTAATTTCCCTTGAGCACAATCATTATTCCCATGAGGATGGATACTTTTGGCTGCACGAACATCGGAGACTCTGGCTGACTGATGGCAATTAAGGTTTGCAGCAGCTCTTCAATCCGATACAAAAACCCCAAACCTTATTGCCCCGTCACCAGCTCACTGGATGGACACACAAATCATAATAACCACCCCAGTGATTGATATGTTGTGTAACATGTCCGACCAAGGCGGGGGGTTGTTCTACTGGTACCTTATCCTGTATTTTTCTAGCATGCGGTATCAGCCATATCTATTATTCGCCAATTACTGGCAAAAACATCCTGGTGGTTATTCTTCCTGCCTGAAACCCACTAATTTTCGGCAAACAAACAGAAATTCAACACCATCATCCCATGAAAATAGACACAATAAGGATAAAACACCAAACAATTTTAATGAACATAAATTACTGCTAATATTCAAAGCTTTCTTTCCTATTTGATAATCCGCAGCGCAAAAATGCAGTCTAAGTCAAGCTACTGTTTCAGTAGCTGTAGCCCTAGTTGTTTGGCGTTGCAGATCCAACAGTAGGCTGCATCCTACACATACACCCTAAAATATATCTACATATATATATATATCTAGACGCGTAGAATGATAATCATTTCCTCAGTCTTTTTTTTTTTTTAAGGTTGCTGTTAGATCATCATCATCATCACCATCAACATCATCCAAGATGTACAATAACCATTCGACTTACCGAAACACCATGATCTTCGAAGACTTGGAAAACCACTCCGAGATTGAGAAAGAAACTAAGAATAATACCCTTGAATTTCAAGTCTCGCAAATATCGGACCAACACAATGAATTTATTCTTAGTTTTGAATCAAAGAACCTTAAAGTTGATGCCCTTGCTCAAGAACTCGAGATTGATCAATCTCGTTTGATGCGCAAGGTCGATCTCTGTGTATTATTACCAATCTTCATCTTGTTTTATGTTGCTAACCTCAACCGTGCAAACTTCGGGTTGTTGGAACTCGAAGGGATCACTACCACTCTAAAGATTTCCCAATTACAATATTACGGTGCAGTTGCTGTGTTCTTTGCTCCATACGTGGTGTTCCAGTCATTTTCGAACTTGGTATTGAAATCAATCAGACCCCACTTCTGGATGAGTACTTCGGTTTTAATTTATGGATGTGTTGTTCTCGGTACCGCCTTTGTCAGAGACTATCCTTCTTTGCTTGCCTGTCAATTCCTTCATGGTCTTTTCCAATCTGGTTGTGATTCGGCAGTGTTTTACATTCTTTCAAACTACTACGAAAGAAGTGAATCCCAAAAAAGAGTGTCATTTATCTATTCTGCCGCAGCTCTTGGTGTCTTGACCAACAATCTTATGGGTAGTCGTCTCAGAGTCGATAAAGTGGGGTCCTCCATCCCATTCTGGAGTTGGATTTTGATTATCGATGCCGCCATCACCATCGGTAGCGCCTTCATCTTGTTCTTCATCTTGCCTGATTTCCCTGAAGGTAATAGATTCTTGGAAGATAATGAAACCCTTTTCATTGTCAAGAAGTTGGAAATCCACTGTGGTAAGTCCGGTTACAACATCAAATACAGTTTCAAAAATGTTATTGACCAACTTAAGGACCCAATGATCTTGCTACCAGTCTTCATCAGTACCTTCTTTGGGGCCATCACTTACGGGTTCAACTTTATGGAACCTTTGGCTTTCGGGTTATATTTTGGTCCACAAGCTTTAGTTAGAGGTACTTGGCCATGGCTCTGCGGGTTCTTCGTGGTGTGCGTCTTTGGATACTTCTCTGATCTTATGCGTTGCCGTTATCCACTCTACTTTTTAAGTGTCTTATTTGCAGTTTATGGGCTTGCGGTCGCACGTTTCGACAGATCCCTTAACCCAAATGATACTTTAAGATACAGTAGTGTTTTCTTTTCAGTCATGGGTGCCCACGCTGCTTTCCCAATGTTCATCGGTTGGGCCACTTTTAACTTGAATGGGCACTTGAGAAAGAGTATCATCACTTCCTTGATGATCTGTTCTTACGACTTGGGAGGAATCTACAGTACCTTCATCATTTACAACAATGATGTTTTGTATACCCAAGCGGAAACTGCCGCTTTCGCTTTCTCTCTTGCTGCTTTCTTCTTCTCTTTATGTTACCTCTATTTGGTCCATCGTGAAAACGCAAAGAAGAGAACCCCTGAGTACAAGGTCAAGTATGAACAGCTTTCCAAAAAGGAAAAGATCCTTGCTGGTGATAGAGATCCAAGCTTTGATTATATTAGCTAAGCGATACCTCGTTTTTTTTTCTTTTCTTTTCTTTTCTTTTCTTCGGTTTTTTTTCTTTGTTTTTCTATCATTCTCTTTTCCCCAGTATTATAGATGTATGTTGAGGGGTGATGTTTTACCAAAACATGCAAAACGTCCATGACTATTTTTTTTCTTATTTCTATATTTCTATCTTTTATAATGTTGACTTCGCTCGTTTATTCTTTTTTTTTTTCCTCTCTTTACAATATCATGTTGATCTCGGTTGGTGCGTTTATTTTCAGGATGTCTATTTGGTCTGTGTGCTGGTTGATGTTTGGTTTTTTTCATGTTTGCTTTCTGGGATAATGAATTCTAATTGATATTCTATATTAATCAAAATTTTGTAATAGTTACTTCAATTAAAACTTTACTTGTAATATGTGACGTTTAACGAATACTAGATTAGAAGAGATACAAGATTACAAACCTGTTTGTAATAAAGCTAGCTATTCCTCCTCATTTTTGGGATGTGGGCTTTGAATTGTCATTGAAAAACTTACGTGCAAACAATGACTGACTTCCCAAGCTTCTTTCTATACAATGATCAAAAATTACCGTAAACTCTTTTGCCAATTCCCAACGTGTATGCCTCGTTAAGAACATTTTCAATAGCCTCACTAACCCTATAACATTTTTCTTGTTAGCTATGGATGGCAACACTTGTGCTTGTAATAACGTTGCTCTATGAAATGCGGTTGCATCCGGTGCTGGAAAGCTATGGATCACAGTTGAAGTTTTAGTGTTCAACTCATGCCTTATTCTTCTCAAGTAGTCATAACCATTTTCAATCGACTGAATCAAGCTAACATCTGTATCCTTTCTTGTATACTCAATATTATTTAAAATATTTGATTCCGGGCCTTCAACTGTAAAGCAATATGCCCAAATCGTTAAAGTAGACATATACATCACAAATGATCTTTCAATAATAGCGTCACTCGAAGTTTCATAGTAATAATTCTTTTCTCCATTATCATCAGTACCATATGGTGACAAAAGCATTTCAAATAAATAAAGAAAAGCATGAATTACCGCCAATCTCCCAGTTGGGCTATTGGCACAGCTCTTCATTCTATTGGAAACGGTTTCAAAATCTGATTTTGCAGGTCGAACACTCATTCTCCACGGAGCCCCAGAATACACTAACAAGTCATAGTGATTGATTCTCGTTATAATCTGCGCCATATGATATGCAGGATACTTGCAATGTAAATCGTTCTCCATAAAGTAATACTGTTCGGGATCGCTATCATAAGTAGCAGCATTGTCACTGGAGACTGAACTATACAATACCGATGATTTAGTATCACAGCAACCATTCATCGCATCATGAGCGAAATGATCCAAAATGAAACTCAAATATTCTTTCCAGGATCCCAATTGATCCTCTCCAAGATCTAATACCGATGATTGTAAGTCGCGTTGCTGAAATTGAAAAATAATTGAGAGTAAACCTGACATTAGAATACGTTTACCAAACACTCCGGTTTCGATTCTTTGATTCTTCAATAAGCCCCTTAATTCCTGTAAAAACAATCTTGGCTTCAAATCGACTGAAGCAAGTTTGAAATTAGCTCCAGTAGATTCCCACAAATCATCATCACATGGCATTTCAATCTGAATCTGATGAACCTCCAACATCCTCGCATGCCCGAAAACAGCCGAGTGAGTGGAATCAATGTAAAATGCCATCAATAAAGTTCTTTTCAAAGATTCAAATTCAATCCATTTTTCCCAAATGAGTTTCTGTTTTTCTTCGTAGGTTTTTGAGGCAAATTCTTCATCCACCGCTCTTGGGTTGTACTTACCACCCAATGTAGGAGTTCTTCTCAATAGTTGAATAGTTGCTCCATGATGAATAAAAGTCCGTTCATGCAATGCTCTACTGGTGAAAAATTTCTCATAATATTCTAAGATTAATAGTGCTTGAACCACCCAAGTCTTGACGGGCAATGTAATGAAATCGCCCGATTCAAATAACCTCCATCGAAGTGGGACACAAATAGCATCTGCCAAATTTTTGGCCTCTCTTACATATTTTATTCCTTTGTCTCTTGTACATGCTAGCAACCCTGCACCAGTCACTACCATCGAGAGTACCAATAAACCTGGCGCTTCACTGGCAACAAAAGATGGTCGATGCAAAAATGGGAACTGAGAATGGAAAATTTGCCAATATACCTGTAAGCACTTTTGAAACGCAGTGATATTAACATCAGGATTTCCAGCTAAAGAAGGGATTATACCCAATAGCTTGGTCATGGTTTCGGTAGTTATCGCATAATCTTGGCTGGCATTTGTATCAGTGATATGTTGTGATATCATTTTAAAGAGATCATTCATATAAGTATCGGGTGAAAGTCCAAAAAGATATTCATTTTCAATCCCATAACTGATGTTTTGATCACCGTAAAGACGATTATTGTCGCCGGTGAAATCGACAAGACTGTCCACTAAATTGGAGTCAATCCAAGAGTTTACGCTCGTAGATGACACAGGATTGTTATTATAGTGACTTTTGGCCACATTATCATCGATATTCTGGTTTATATCTGGGGTAGCAGTAGCACCATCTTTGAAGCCATTATAGTCTTCATTGATCCTTGCGGAATTAGCTATAAGCGGAGCCAGGTCTACCAGTGATATAATATTCATAATTGACATGCTTGGATGGAGGATATTAACGTTGGATGGATTGTTATTTTCATTGTCATTTTGATTTTGGGGTTTAATCATCATGTTGGGCCGTTCAGGAGAATATAGATTATCTCTTTGATTATTCACAACCGGTGGAGTTGGTGTATTATTTCCTTCGGTATGACCGATAATGACAGGCACATGAGGTGGTGGTGCTACTGCTGATTGCACAATAGACAGGTTGCTCTCATAATTATTTACTGATTTGGTGTTTTTAGAATTCAAATCGCCAAAAGAAAGAGTACCCATGCCTTGGAATGCCGAATTTCTCTTTGATTTCATTTCCAATTGTTGCAATTGTTTTTCTTTCTCAAGTTTGACCTCATGGCGTCTTAAATGTCGATCCCTCAAATCTACCCGTACAAACGTCTTGGGGCAATTGAGCCACGAACACTTATAAATCACCAGGGGATTATGATTGAGTTTGTGTCGCAATAAATGCTCGGCTCGAGAAAAGGATTTCCCACAACCCTGGCAATCACAAGTGAAGGTCCCAGTGGATCTCTTCTTTCGCTTCTTGGGAGCTGAACTGGTTTCTTGTTGTTGTTGTTGTTGTTGTTGTTGTTGTTGTTGTTCGCTCGAGGGCTTGGTTTGATCAGAATCCAGCAATGAAGCACTACGTTTCGCAGCTAAATTAGGAGTTTGATTAATCATTTCGAAAGCTTATCAAACAAATAGGGGCAAAATGACGCTTATCAAATAAATCACATTTAAAAGTTTGGAGGACCTTGGAATTTCAAAATCATACAAAAAGCCATGGGATCAAAATGATGGGTTCAGTTTATTTATACTAATAATACTTGCTTCCAGCAACTACCAATATGAACAAGAGGCAGTATCAGTGTTCATGGATGTATATTCTTTGATAAAGCATGAACTAAAATCTTTGAAATTAACAATCACGAAAAAAAAAAGTAAAGAAAAAAAAAAAAACTCCAATAAATTCAAATTCTTATCGTGATCTTCAACTGATCATCAATACTTTACCAATAAACAGAGCAGAGAATACAAATATTAAAAGAATTCAAGCAAAAGAGAAAGGAAGAACAAATATCTTGAGCAACATTTATTTCTTTGTGTATAACGACGACAGGAGCAATAATGTATGGGCCACGGGCTCCTTAACCACATAAAGTTGACATTTTCAATTTCATTTTTATTTTTTTCTACTCCTTTGAAATCAACTTTATCATTGCCATAGCGAAGAATACCGTAGCCTGAGGAAATGGCGGGGTTGTCTGATTATCTCAACAAAAACTATGGATCCAAAAAGAAGTCCAAACTGAAGAAACAGAGCCTGAAACCTGCAACTACGGTGGTGGTTGACAAACAGGGCCAAAATCCAGGACATGCTGATGATGCTGTACCGCAGCCTACGTTAAAGGAACAGAAAAAAAGTGAACAAATAAAAGGCTGGAAAGTTGTTGGACAATCCTCGGAGGAACAAACAACTGTTAGGAAAGATCTGGGTTTAAAGCATGGTTTACAGTTTCTTGACAATAAAGGATCAAATGACGAACAACACTCCGAAGTTGATGAGGACTCAATCATCCCAAACAATCAAGAAACAATTTACAGAAATAGTAAAGGTCAAAAGATCGACATAGCTGAGAAACTCCAACAAGATTCAGCAGCAAAAACAGACGAAGAGGCAAGAAAACGCAAATTAAATGAAGCGAGGAATCGGAGTGAGTCTCAGGTATTGAAAAAACAAAGATACGATGAGGATTTAAAGAAAATTAAGGATGTCAAAACAGCAGTATACGCCAATGACGAATCTTTGAATCAAGAGAGGAAATCACAAATGTTTGAAGATGATCCCCTATTATATATTTCCAATACATTGAACGGTGAGGCCCCAAAAAGTGCTGTTCCTAGCTCGAAATCAGGAAGAAAATTATTTGATAAAGGTCCCCCTCCAGTAAACCGATTCAATATCACCCCTGGTTACAGGTGGGATGGTGTTGATCGATCCAATGGGTTTGAATTGAAGTGGTTTAACAGGCAGTATGAGGTGAGAGAGAAAGCATCTTTGAGAAGTGCGTTGCAAGATTCATATGAATGATTCTGTAATCATATATAATAAGATTTCTGTAGTATATATAATTGTAAATGTTATCTTTTTTTTGTTTTGTTTTTCTATACCATAATGTGTAATATAAATAAAAGTCATTCAATCATTTTTCTCATTAATTAACAATAGAAAGTTTTTCGATTAAAAATAAGGAAAAAAAATAATATAAAATATAAATAAAATGAACAAAAAAAAATAATGAAAAAGAACTAAATATGAAATATAAAATAAGTATCATAATGATAATGAGACACACAGTAACATTTATACAAAAACTATTGAAAAATTTAGAAGATACCAATTAAATAAAATACGCAATATTCACTAATTCATACAAGAAAAATTTTAGGGGGGGGAGAAAAAAAAGGTAAGACCAAGATAGTAAATATAAAAGATTAAAATAACAGCCAGTTGAATTTTTTTTAAAAGAAAATAAAGAAATAGTCATTCCGCAAAAACAAAAGAACAATATTTCATTGTTATTTATTTTTGCCAGATTACTCTTGCTGTTGCGTTCTTTGCAAAGGTTTACCATTTTGGGATCCACCTCTATTGCCGCCTCTTCCTCTTCCTCTTCCTCTCATTCCACCTCTTCCGCGGTTGTTGTTTCTGTTACTTTGACGACCATTCTTGTTGCCAGTGGAGTTTGGCTTGTTAAGGGATTGGTTGTCTGGTAGGGCTTGAGAGGTTTGATATTTGGCGTCAGGCCCCTTCAACAAAGTCTTAAGTTCACTAGACGCTTCTCTATCAGCCATAACAGGAGGATTCTGGAAGAATTGTGGTGGTGGTGGCGGGAAGGCACCTGGAGGAGGAACATTCATGAAACCTGGGCCTGGTACAAAACCACCTGGAGACTGGAAAAAGTTTTGTGGAGCACTAGATTGATTGAACACTGGTGGTGGCAAAGATGTTGGTGCTGGAGCAGAGCCATTCTTAAGAATACCACTCATAATGGCACCATAAACCTCCTTGGCAGCTTTATCATTATCAATATTTCTAGTTGATGGGGCTGCCACTGGAGCTGGCGCAGCAGTAGTGGTGGATTCAGTTGGAGCTTGTTCATTATTATTTTCAGATTCAGTATCATTACCCTGGTTAGCTTCAGATTTCTTGAGCAAAGACAACAATTCGCGTTTGCTAGCGGCCTTTTCTTTAGTTTCTCTTTCTATTTGTTCCTTCTCTTCCTTGGATAATTCTTTTTCCTTCTTTTCAGAAACCTTTGGTTTGGACACTGGTTTTGGACCGCTTCTTTCACTTTGCTTATACTTAGATCTTTCCAATGAGCTCTTACTATGGTAGATAAACTGCTTGTGAGTCAAGTTCAACAAATGAGACGAATCAACAACCAACCCTCTAGTGGATCTCAATCTTCCATTCAACGAGTTACCATTAATCAATGGATAATCAAAGACAATGTTCAAAGTGACCTTTTCGTCCGAAACATTGATACCAACAACAGTACCCTTAGCGAAAAGAGGAACCTTGGTACCATCCAAGACATTAGAAACTCTGTCACCGAGGTTAAAGTATTGTTTCTTCAATAATTGCTGGGAGTTTTGATTGTCTAAAATCGCTTCAAGTGGAACACCTTTCAAATTTCTGGTGATTTCATTGTGAGGTCTGCTAATATATTGAATGGTGAATTGTTCAATTTCAGAAATATTAGACCGGTTCAATGATTCACTGCCCAAGCTGGTGGTATTGAATCTTGCCTTCTTGGAGTCTAAGAAAGTAGACACCTTACCAAGAGTTTCGTCCAATTTTAATGGGTCAGGAATCTTTGGATATAAATCTTGAATGTGGAGCAAGTTACGAGATTTGTGGTTCTTGGAGCAGTTAGCCAAGTTTCTAAAGAATGTTGGGAACAAGTCTTTATACTCCCTAATTAATTCAATAGCAAAAGAACTATACAACCACCCTCTTTCATTTCTCTTAGTGTAACCCAAGACTTTCAATTTCTTACCTTCGAACTTCAAATCCAAACCAATGTTAACTCTTCTGCCCTTGACATTTTCAATCAAGAAGCTAGAGGTAATCTTGGACAAGAAGATAGGATGAATACCCAACTTGGAAGCAGTTTCATTGCTATTGAAGAAATGAACAGAATGCCTTTCTTGGTAAGCCTTGTTGGCACCGAAATTTGGTTCCTCATTCTTTGTAACCTTGGAGACTTGCAAAATCAATTCGGTGTTAGATTTGTAACCAACAACAGTGGCTTCATTACCATAAGCAATGTCACCCAAAAATGTAACCTTTGAATCAACTGGGAATTCTTTATCAATTGGTTTGGCTTCTCTTTCTTTAAATCTCTTGTCTGGGTTGACAACACTGTCAACAACCAATTGGAATGGATACTCTTCTCTCTTTTTGGCAAATGTCTTAACATAGGCTCCCTTTTTGTTACGGATTAACCCATTAGTCGACACGGTTGTGAAAACCAAGTTTACTTTACCGATTTTCAACCCCTTAGAGATGTGATAGCTTTGAATCATACTCTTAGCACGATCGCCAAAAGAAGTGGCGTCACTTGGGCCCAAAGGCTGTTGACTAACACGGCCATTGGAATCCAATTCATAAGAAAGTAAACCATCACTAATAGAAATCACCTTAGCTTCTTTCAAATATGGCCATGAAACATAAACAATTTGGTTTAAGTATTTTTTGGCAATATCTTCAATAGTTAACTCTTCTAATAATTCTTCATGTGGATTCTGAAGGTTCAAGATCATGGATTCTGACCGAGATGGTTGATTGAAAATGACCAAATAATCAATGGCTAAACCAGAAGTGAATGGCAAAGTCTTCAAACTAGGGAAGTTAGCTAAAGAACTAACACCAATCTTTGCCCCTCTGCATAAATGGTTGAACGGCTTGGAATCCATGTTTTCACTGTAGTAATCATCATCGTCCCTAGATTTTTTAACCTCACCATCAATGAGCGGCAATTCATAAGGCAATTCGATACAATTATCATGTTCAAGATCTTTGAAGGAGTGTGGTAAAGAAGATTTGTAAAACTTATCGACTTGGGGATTGTATCTGTAGATCAAATCGAAACCATAAGAGTTTCTAGCTTTTTCTTCAGCAGTTAACTTAGAATCATAAGGTTTCATGGCTTCAAGCAATCGGGTTTCATCAACAAATGAAAGTTTGAAGACATATTCCCATTCAGCAGTCTTACCATTCTTATCAATTTCGACTTCGGATGGATAGAAATCAATAATTGGAGAATTTGGCTCCAACATCAATGGACGGTAAACCTTTGGCAACAAGGTGTTTGATCTTGCTGGCAAAACCCCCATTAATTGTTGGAATGGTTTGAATGGAACGTCCTTAGGGAATTCAACTTTAAATGCGTCGCTGATGCCCACAGCAATATCAGAAATTCTTGGAGAAAAGTAATACTGATAGTACCAAGACCATGATGGACAACCTTTATAATAATAGTATAAAACCCATTGAAGACCTTCCAAATAATTGTGAGCCAATTTACCAAATTTCTCACTATCATTCAAGGTGAAACCAAATTTGGCTTGATAGTATTGATTTTTCCAAGCGACGAAATTTTCATCCTCCAAAAAGTTAGACAAGTTACTAAATTGAGAGTCATGGTGCATAGAATCTTCAAACTCTTTATTAAGCTTTTCAATTTCCGCGAGGGTCACATTACTAAACCTGCTTGCGTATTTTTCAATAATATGATTGTAGCTTGAAATTCTTTCTTGATATTCTTCATCAGTCTCATTTGGTTCGATACCACTGATATCCAATTTCAAACTTATTTTCCCAAGCTCTTGATCTTGAACCACAATCAAATCAAAATCATGGGCAATTTGTTTCAAGAAATCAAATTGTAATGAGCCATTATCAGGAACCAAGAGATTCGAAATGTCCAAGATTGGGATATCATCTTCACTGATAATATCAGGATCAATCCTGGATGCATCACTGGAGTATATATTAATCAACCAAGGTTCAGTAAAAGCAAAGATTTTGGAAAAAGCATTGTCTAAAGACTCATCAATTTGATGGAATTCTTCTAATTTTTTGTCAACCACATTGATGACATCCTCATCATCATTTTCAACTTCATCTTCCAAATTGGAAAATGCGTTAGATGGACCTTTATCCTTACTCAAGATTTCATTTCTCTTCCTCTCAGCAGCCTTTGAGCTTTTTTTGGTTTGCTCTTCGAATCTTTTTCTCTTCAACTCCATCAACTTCTTTTTATTCTCATTATCTAAAGACAAGTTATCCAATTTTTTGTTGAACCACTCAATATCAACGTTACCGTTTTCATAGTTTTCATATTCAAATAGTGATAAATAATCTAACCAAATTTTCAATCTTCCGAAATCTATTGTACCACAATCATTCAAGTACCCATCAGAATTAATCAAGAATTTTTTGAAAGTTTTCAATAAAAGAGGGAACGCACCCTTGTTTATATGCAAATCAGGTAAATGTGGAAGGAAATCATTACCAAGAACATACATGATTAAGATGAAATCGTCCAAAATCCTTTCAAAACTATAATTGAATTTCAAAATGTTTTGTAAATCACTAAATTCCAATTCCAAATATTCACGGACTAAGGATAAATGTAACAAATAGAAACGCTCATTTTCTAAACTTTCAACAGTGGATCCCCCTTTATTCTTATCCTTCCGTTGAGGACCGAATGTCACTTCTTCTCTCAATAAAGAAAAGTGAGGCTCGTGGGTGACTAAACCAAGCATAATTAAATCAGCATCTAAACCATAGATACAGTGTCTCAAATTTGGATCGTAATCTGACTGGCTCTTCATGGTTCTGATATATTTCATAATCTTATGCTCACCTTCACCAGGTACTTCATGACCACTAAATATAACATCAATATTCTGCCAATTTGCGTCTGTACTAACCTTTTTGTGAATGAAGAACTTAATATGTTTTGATACCTTTGCCATGAATTCAGTACCTGGGGTAATGGAATTGGAATCAAACATCTGTGAAGGATCCTTCTTCTTGTCAATACCAGAGTCAATCCCTTTAAGATCATCTTCTTCTTGTTGACGCTTGCGTTCCTTCTCGGCTTCCAAAGCAGTTCTGAATCTTCTTGATCTTTGTTGATTCATCTTGGCTCTTGGAGCCACACCATCGATGGCCATATAAAATACCTTCTTTGGCTTTATTGTGTTGAATAAATGATCAATATAAGCAAAAATCGCGGTGTACATCTCATCGTCAGAAATACTTTCTGTCAAGTCATCGTGCTTCTGACCGGTTGCACGAGTACAATTATGTAAAATGGAATTCATATCCAAATAGAGGTTATCAAATTCAGGAATCTGATCCTCGTCGATTAATTTCGATATCAATGGCCATCTTTCAGAGATGAATCTAAAAAATTTTGGAACACCCATTCTGAATTATTATTCTATTAGCGAAATCCAATTACTCTCACCACTAACCAATATTTATGGGAACCTATAGATATATATATATACTCAGATTGCTTGTATATATTTCGTATTCTATTAACCACTGGATCCTGAAATAGCTAATGGTTGTTGATAGCCTTAGTCTTTTCGGTGGTTAATTTTCTTGCTTTTTTTTTTTATTTATTATTTATCGAAGGTTACTCGTTGTTGATATTTTCGATAAAATTTCCACTCTTCTTCCTTTAATTTGTTTCGCGGTATCCGTATTGATTTTCGATTAAGATGTTGATCAGTACGTGACAGATGGGTTTTGCAATCCCACTTGTTTGTTGTTGACCAAGTTCGAAGAAGTATCGCACTTACCCGCATTCACCTAATTTACATCCGGGTAATGTTACCTCATTTCTGGTGCCAACTCGCTTTTGACGTGCATCACATCAACCAACACCCACAAGCTATTGTGAGATATCTGTATTTGTCGCTTTATATATATCCCCTTCTCTCTTAATTTCTGATAGTTTTGGTACCTTAGAAAGCTTCATGGCCCGCCTAGGCTATTTGCCCCTATGAATAACGACAAGCGCCGTCACAACATGAACGCCAACTGGATTACCAAATCGGTGACAAAATTGACCTGTTTGATTAAGAATAACAAGGCCAAGTGGCTCAATTCAAATGCTTTCAAGTAGTAAATAGTTGCTATCGTGAAGATATTAATTCCGATGCTGATACCTTTGTATGATTTTTTTTAAGCTGTGCTTGTTGCCACTAACCTTCATATCGCTTCCATGAGAATGATTATCAAAAACTCGTAAATTTCGAGATATTTGAAACAGGAAAGACTCACTTATTAAAAGATAAGAGCTATTTGATATCTGTTGAGAGATTTTTCAAAGCTTTAGATGAAATTATTGATGCTGAAGATCAGGATAATGATGGTATTAAGGCAGTATTGTTTCCAGTAGCAATGTTCTTGTTCCTACTTACAGAAGCAAAGACCTTCAATTACATTGATATTTTAATTGTCAGTATTGGAAATTCTTTTTTACTTCCACTTTTTAGAATAACTATTGACAGTTCAAGAACTTTATTCCTAGTAAAGGCTTGTCAATTGATGGGAAGTTTGCTGAACCTTTGTTGGGTCTTGGCTTTAGCGCCGAAGTATACAATTGGAAGGTATGTGTCATTGTTAGCTTTTCTATTTCGTTGATACTAAGGCATATTAAACTAACGCTTTTTGTCAAATAAGATTTTTCAACTATTGTCCTGCATTGTGAAAGTTGATAGAGGCACTCGAGTAGTCTTACTAAGTTTATTCAGGTCAACATACTATGAAAGGCTAGGCCATAAAATTATAGATGGTAAGGATTTTTCTGAAGTTATCTACATCATTATTTTAGTTTCAGTTATGTTTCCTGCGAGGAAATTCTCCACTGGAAAGCCCTTCATCTCTAAATTATGGCCACCTTCGAAGATTAGACTTTGTTATTACCAGAATTTCCCTTATGATGCTTCTCAAGGATCTTGTAGCATTATTGAATATCTTCTGGAAATTAGCAAGCCCTCCATTTTTGCAAAATTTAACAATTTGTACGAACTCAAGTACATACACACTGACTTTGTTAAATTTGATAATTCTGGAAAAATGAAGTTGTTTTGTACTATTTATTTTGATCAACTATTGTTTTGGATTTTTGCAGATGATAATGCAGTTGTTAATGATGGTTATTTTAGTCCGATCCAGATTGATTTGGATTCTGTTTACAATATCAATTATATTGATGAGCAGGCTTTAGAAATTGAGGGAACTTTTGGCCATTTATTGACTGTTTCCAATTTATCGATATTCTTTGACGAGAATATCATAAAGAAAGGTGCGAAATTTTCTGTTTCATTGGAACCTTGTGCGAATTCTTCACTTATTGAATTATTATCTGATATTAGATATTATGAGAGCTACCTGAAGGAGATGCCAACCAACGAGTCGAAAGTTTTCACAGCTATTTCTCCGATTATCTTGGATAAGTTTGCCAATTGCACTGAAGAGTATGAAGGTAGCTCCTCTAAGCACAGTAAAAGATCTAGCGAATCATCTTTCTCCATTCATCTCATCGAAAACGATACTTCTACTCTGAATACAATGAATAAGACCACCATCACTGATGCTACTTCTGTTGCTGCTCCAATTGATAAGGCAGTTCAGGAATCAATGACGCCTGTAACTGGTATTTTGCATTCTAAGTCTGTTCATAAAAGCAATTTTTTACTGCAAAAGAAAGTCTCTGAAATTCCAATTATTCAAATTCCTGCCTCTCCTGAACCATCTGTTACTTCCTCTATTTCCAAAGAGAGTAGAGCCAAAATCAAACTTTCTAATGGAAAGAAGCGCCGGTCTACTCTTTTCAGCAAGGTCATGAAGAAAGACCGCGGTAAAATAGCTGAAAGGAAGAAAAATACCGCAGAGGATTTTTGGGAGTTAAGCTCTGATGATTCTCAAGTGGATATTGCTATTGTTGATCCAAAAAGTGACGGTAGTACGATACAGAAATCTAAACCCAAGGTAATCGAAATTGCACATTCTTCACCAGTACCTCCAATTATTAAGAAGCCTAATCTCATAACAAAAAAACTAAAAAGTATCGATGAAGAAAACAAAAGTGAAAATACTGTTGAAAGATTTGGCGACGAAACCGAAACAACGGTAATTTCATACATTACTAATTCCCCAATCATTGCAGCTAAGACACGACGCTATGCGAAAAGCAAAGTGTCTAAGTACATTGTTGCTAAACCTCAAAGATCCCAAGGGAAAAGAAAAGTAATTGAACAAGAAAGTTCTAGCCCGATCATTTCTCAGCGATTGGCGAAAGCAGTTCCAGCAGCTCATGAGGCAATTGTACCAAAATTGGGATTATCGAAAAGATTGAGCCCAATGAGAAGACATAAGTCATTTTATATTTCTAATGTGGAAAGTAGTCATCAGGATGTTCATAAATCTAAACCCAATGCTGTCTCATCCCAAAACAATAAGCTTGAGCTTAGGAGTGGTGAACTAAGCATGGTTATGGACGACGACGATACTGATGAGTCTTTTCGGGAATTAGCAATTGATTATTCTATTAAGGACCCTCCTGCTCAACCTGATGGAGATCTTTTAACAACCGCTGCTACTGCTGAAGCTGTAGGATCGAGGTATGTTGCTTCTTCTCAAAGCGCGGCTTCTCAAGCTGCATCGATTTTTCATAATGAATTCACCACTTTGGACCCGAACAAAATTCAACATCAGATCTTTCAAGGATTAAATTTGCTTTCCAAATCCCTTGTTGGGAAGATGCGGTTAATTCATGGTGCGATTCAAACAGAGGCTGATAAGATTTCAGATGAAATGACGAAAAAATTGGAACAGGTGGACAAAGAGAATGAAATCAAGTTGCAAAACTTTCATAAATTTGTCAAATTGTTGTCAGAAAAGGCTGCAAGTAGCGAACAAGAGATCATGGCATTTATTAACAATTCAGGAAAGTGATGATTATTTTATTTATATATAGCTTACGTAGTGCTGCAATGAATGATGATATTAATATTAATCAAAGTAATAGTTTATTAGGATAAAAAAAGAATTAAAACAAAAAACAAAAAACAAACAAAAAAAAAAAAGGGCAGCAAATTGCTTCTTTAAATGAAGAAAATGGGATAACGATTAATAAAATAAAATAAAATAAAATAAAAAAGAAATTAACTGGCATTCAATTCTTCTTCGTCTTCAACTTCCCTCTTCTTCAAAATCAACGGATAACCAGTGACTCTTTCATAAATGTCCTTGACATCATCGGTGGTAGTTTCGAAATGGGAACTAGCATCGTAGGATTTGGAAATGAAGACATTGTCAGCTTTACCATCGGCCTTCGGTTCGTACAAATCAGAAACGCTAATGAATTGTTCTTCGACTTCGCCAATCAAATCAAAGGCTGGCTTCAATTCAACATGAGGGTTATCGGTTTCGATAATGGTGGAAGCGATAGCCAAGTAGTAAGGCTTGGCAGCGACGTTGTGGGTGTAAGAAACGGTGGCAATGTAAATATCGTTTTTACGGCCCACTTGGTTTTGTGGAATGATAATTTGTAAAGAGTCACAGTCGGCAGCTTGGGCGATTGGATGTTTCAAAATACAGATTGCTCTAATGACTCTTTGGCCGGTCTTTTGGACTTTTTCTGGGAAATAAGTTGGGTCACCAATGACGATTGGGGCTTTAGCAGTACCTTCCTTAGTTTTAACCCCGGCGAATTTACCAGCATCATCGTACAAGATTTCATCGACTGGAGTGTCCAACATATAAGTACCCCCGTAAATGGCCGACAATCTAGCAAACCCTTGTGGCAATTCCCCTAAACCGTACAATGGGTAAATGTAAGGGGATTTCCCGTATCTGGCGACGGATTGGACGTAAAGAAGGATTCTATCATAAGTTTCTCTGGCTGGTTTTTCCAAGTACTCGTCGTTGGAGTACAAAGCCATGGCGTGGCCAATGAAATCCTTGGTGCCGGATTCCAAGCCAAACTTATAGTAAACTTCACTCATGGTATTAGCATCCAAGTCCAACCCACTGTGGGTGGAAACGTCTTCTTCTTTGTAGTTGGCGATGAATTCCAAGAATCTCTTCATTCTTCTTTTTTCGAAAATCCCCATCAAAGAAGATCTGACGGCTTCGTATTCGTTGGATGGGACCTTGGCGATTTTCCCGCTACGATAAACGTACGACGCGGCAATTTGCTTGAATTCAATGTAACGGGTGACCTTGGTGTGGACCAAAATGTTGGCCAATTCACCATTGGCCATCAAGAACTTTGGAATCAAGTCAACACACCAGTCACGGTCGCGGCCCAATTGGTGTTCAGGAACCTCTTCTCTGAATTTCTTGAACAATTGTGATAAGTTCAACGAGGCCGATTCACCCCCGTAAAAATCTTGACGGTCGATATGGAGGACTTTCTTTCCGTCGACGGATAAAAGACCAGAGAGAACACATTCGGTCAAACCAGTTCCTAAACAATTGAGGGTTAGTTTATGTTTAATTGTGGATGATATTGTAAAAAAAAAAAAAAAAAAAAGAAAAAGAACAGAAACAAAAGTAACTTACCAAGAACAATAACATCATAAGATTCATCCATGGTGTATATGAGAAGTGAGAAGTTTTAAGAAAGTAATGAAGCAACTGGACAAATTAGCTCTAACAAAAGAAAAAAGAAGGAAAGAAGGAAAAAAAAAAGGACAAATCGCAACAATGTTGATAAAGGATGAAATATGATTGTGTGTCACTTTGTAAGAAAAATAAAAAAATACCGATGCCATCACCACCACCACCACATCATCGTGGGGTACCCTCTCCAAAATGACTAGGCGCGCGACACGTACCTTCTCAATGGCCACCGCAATGGTCACGAAATGGAATAATAATATCAGTTGGAATAATGTCAATTGGCAAGTAATGTGGCGGGAATATCCTGTTTGATGGTTTATTAGTATATAGAAGGGATTCTGGTCTTCTCAGGCTCAATGAGCGATACTGCTCCTCTCTGCATAAGGTTTGGCCGCATTCAATCCCCCCACCTATTATAGAGAGTGCAGCCCCATAAAGTCTTCTTTCTTGCACTCACTATTACCATTTCCAGTAGATAAACGACCGTTACCAAGCATCTCTGGCTACATCAACAACTATTCCCCCAGGTTGGCTCTACTACCAACAGAGGAAAAAAAAAAAAAAAGTATCACGTGGGGTACACTCTCACGGGTGTTTTAGGGTGGTTTTTTTTTGCCTCTTTCCCCCAGCAAAGAAGTCATTGATGAGGGTGCCAATGATCATCATGATATAAAACGATAATAATCAAATATATATATTTATAAAAGTGCCAAATGTTAGACCCTCCCAAGATATTCGATACCTTGGGGAGGCACCCCAACTTCATGGAACCCAAGAAACGTATCAATGACACCGCAGGAACCGAAAATTTCCAACACTCTGTGGCGTTGGAGCACATTGCAAAGTTGACCAACCAGATCTTATTTTTGACCTCTTTGACAGAGTGTCCTGAAGGTCTATTGGATCCCCAAATGCTGACAAGAACAAAAGAAGACGCGATGATGGCCCCAGCTGCAAAATCTCTGCCTGCGCCCCAATTACATCATGATAACCGTCCGCTCGCCCCAAAGTTTCCCGATGACCACGGCAGTGGTAGCACCACCACCACCACCCTGCTTGATGAACTTTTGCAAAGAATTGACGACAATGGAGTGACAATGATGGTGAAATTGTTACAATTCCTCAACGAACTAATAGATGAGACCCCGCCACTTCCTGGGCCGCGGAGATACGGTAATCCTGCGTGTCGTGAATGGCATACTAAAGTTGAATCACGGTTAAGTGGCAAATTGCATGAGTTAATCATTGATTCACAACTATACACTGGCCCCAATAAAGAGAACTACATCATGGAAATACAATACTACATTCAAAATGCCTTTGGGTCGAAAATTCGCCTCGATTACGGAACTGGACATGAGTTAAGTTATTTGGCGTTCATTGGGTGCTTGTGGATGAGCGATGTGCTATGTCATATGGACGGAGTTAAATTTTTGATTATATTCAGTAAATACTACGATTTGGTTCGCCGGTTAATTGTTTCTTATACTTTAGAGCCTGCGGGATCGCACGGGGTATGGGGACTCGATGATCATTTCCACTTTTCTTATTTGATTGGGGTTTCGCAAATGGTTGATATGAGCGAATTTGTCGATATTAATTCAATAACCCCTTCCCAGCTAGAACAGCATAAATTGAAGAAACAACGTATGCAAGCGGTTATCATTCCCTCTCCTGATTCAGTAATGGACAGGCGGATGGTTGACCATTTCAAGCTTAAGAACCTTTATTTCAATTCGGTGGCATTCATTAACAAAGTCAAAAACGGCCCATTTTGGGAAACTTCCCCAATATTATACGATATTTCCGGGGTGAAATCCTGGAAAAAGATCTTGATCGGCTTACAAAAGATGTACAGGGTCGAAGTGTTGGGGAAATTCCCGGTGGTGCAACACTTTTGGTTCGGAGGGGTTTTTTTCCCTTGGTTGGACGTCAATACAAATGAAGAGTTGGAAATCAATGATACCCTTGTCGATAAGGAAACTAGCGTCCCGAAAGAATCGAGCAATTCCCAGGAGGAAACCTCTTCAAGAAGCGATCGAGTATCAGATAAGCACAAACTTCAAATGATGAATCAAACCCCTGGGGATTTCAATCCAGTAACTATGGCGCCAACCAGTGGTTCTAATGCTTCAACAATGAATGCTACTACTACCGCTCCTTGGTTGGCCACTCATAGAGGCATGGTTAACCAAAATGTCCATCCTTCTGTTCGTCTTGGTAGAGTTCCTGGAAGAGATACCAGTCTGTTTATACTTCCGCAGACTATCAAACGTCAACAGCCAAAGAGATGAAGTGGTATTTCCGATCATTATGGAGACTATAAGTGATGAAGTTTAGCGTTATGCGATGATTTTTATGAAACTGATGAACCAAAAAAGAAAAAAAAGATGATGATTTTGTTTTCATTCTTTTATTAACTATTTAATTCTATCCATTGCCTCTGGAAGTCACAGATCAATTTTTATACTCTTTTAAATAAACAATAAAACATGCACTTTTATCATGGATTGGAAAAAAAGACAACAATGACTAATACAAAAAAAAAAAAACTAAAAATGACAATAACATGAAGAAAATCGAAAAGCCTGGAGATATTCATTAAATATAATAAAGATAATAAAAAAAAGTCATGACATATGAAAGTTCCATTTTTAAATTCCCAAGAAATATTTCATTCTTTCATAAACAAAGAAGGAGCAGGCAACCATTGGAATCACCTTAATGTATCCAATACTTAACCCAACGTAAAACCCTTTGAGGCCTCGTTCGCCGTGAATGATTTTGGCCATTTGAACCATCGAATAATATTTACCATCATTGGTAACCGCACCAACCTGTAATCTTCTACGGATCACTTCGAATGGATACGATGCGGTCTGCGATACTAGCCCTGCCACCCCACCTGCTATAAGTTGGGCCCATGCTTTCAAAGGCGGTCTATGGTCGTGAGATTCCTTCTGCATTGTGTTATTTGTAGAACAATTGGAATAGTCGACCGTGAACTTCGATAAGATCTTTGATCGGAAAATGTCATGGACAAAATCGTGGGTCCAAAAAGATACCCCGGCATAAGGGATCATTCCGATGATAGTTGGGGAAAACCCTCTATAGAAATTTGTGGTCCCCAAAAGCTTGTGGTATAATTTGGACGATGATATTGTTGCTATTTTGGAAGATTGATATTTGGTAGGCTCGTTGATAATCGAGGCAAAAGTGTTTAGTAACCTGCCATTCATTATTCTTTTTTGGGGGTGTTGGTCGCGATACTTTGTGTCGAATGCCATTCTGACCCTAAGTAAATCCAAGGGGTAGGTACAAAACACCGATATGATCCCGCTGATGGACCCTGCTAGTAATCTTCTACCATTGGTCTCGTAAACGTCGCTGGGGATCAACAAGTTTCTGATCTGCTCGTAGGCAACAAACTTGATCGCGGCATAAGGGAAGATACGAATAAGCGTGACCGAATGGCCTTGGAAAAACCCCACAAACCCATCGTTGTGGAAGATCTTTTTGGCAGCCTTGGAGAGCCCAAAGTACGACGATGAGAATTCTTTAAACTCGGGGTTGGATGTCTGGAACAAGATCTTGATCCGGTCAAGAGGGGCGATCAATGATTTGGCACTGCACCCGGCGATGCCTCCAGCAAGGGCTGTCAACGTCACGTAGTGGAGCGACGTCTTATCAACATTGTGTCGGATGGCAGTTGAGTTCTTGGTCGAGGCTGCTATTATTGTGGGCTTGGTGGCGGTCACTGCCGGATGTTCTATATTATAGGAGGTGAGTTTTGGCAGCTGTTGTGGGCTAGAAGATGGTAGCGAAGCGTCGTCATTAAGGTCTGTAGATATCGACGGCGACATGGTGGTGTGTGGTTGAATATATGATTGTTTTTGTTTTCCTTCTTTATTTATTTATATGTGTAGCAAGAACCGGTTTATGAGATGGGGGCCATGAGGAATTGTCGTTCTGTTATGGTGGTGGATCAGAAAATGAACCAATAGATAAACAACAAATGAATGTAAAGGAAAGGAAAGGAAAGGAAAGAAGAAGGACAAAGAGCAGCAATACAAGAGATAAAGAAGATGATAGGATTGTTTTAGGTTCAGACGGGCATATACCTGGCAAGCAATTGGAAGTCTTTTGGAAGTTGACTGGTTCTAACAGGGCAGGGCCTCTGGTGGGGAGAGAAGGGAGTTAAAGGGCAAATGGCAGCGGCGCATTTATTAATCATCTGAAAATATTTTTTTTTTTAGTGTGGTCGGAGTGCGGCTAGAGAAGATTGCCCATATAACCTCTTTATCTTCAACTGTTTCATTAGGAAAATTGTCGTTTTTTTATTTATTAAATATTTACATTTTACAATTCAATTCACTCTACAAAATTTGGACACTTAAATAAATCACAAATGATAAGCCAATAAATTAAATAATCCTCAAATAACAAGAAACTAAACCGTAACATTCTAAAATTCAACGGAATTGCGAATAATATTCCTCTTCCTTGAACCGTTTTTCCACCAAATCAAGCACCTCTTTGCTGTAGACATCTTCAACACGCTTTCCACCATTCAACACCTCTTGCTCATGGTATTTTTGTTCTTCTTTTGTCATCAACACCACATTCTGGGTCGATAATTCTCTGTCAGGAAGCCATCTGGATAAAGTCAATCTGGTGGAGTAGCCAGAAATTGGCGATTTCCCTCTAAACACTTCTTCAATGATGTATTCGACATCCCTCATTGAAATTGGTACCACCTGGCCCTTGCCAAGTCTTGTTTGTTGACCAGCTAACGTCATCAACACTGAATCATAAACCTTCATCCGGTTCTTACCTTCAATCACTTCAATAGGATACCCAGCCACTGACGCCAACAAATGCGAGACAATTGTCAAACCAAACATCCCAGGCATTGGTCCCAAAACCGGTAAGATTCTCACTCTAAAGTTTTGTAACGCACTCAATTCATCAATTTTCCCCTTCTCATACTCATCATCTGGTAATGGAAGTAAGTTGGCCTTACGAGGATCAGGTTTTTCTGCAGAAAACGCTACGGTGATCCCGGTGGCAATCCCTCTTTTCTTCAATCTTCTTCTAACAGATTTCATAAGCGCATCTTCTTCGGTCACTCTGATATCCCCAATATTCATCCTGGTAGGGTCGCTTTTACACGCCGCTCCTCCACTAGAAATCACCGGGACTTCGTTATCGTGACAATATGCTAATAAATCAACCTTGGTATCAATATTGTCAATACAATCAATGACATAGTCTGGTCTTGCCCCGTCTTCTAGTAGTAATCTCTGGGCATTATCCATGGTCCATAACTCATTTACCGCCTCGATCTCCACCCATGGGGCAATTTCCAACAAATGGTTCTTTAAAGTGTCGACTTTCGAAATACCCACATCTCGAAGATTGGCCACCGCATGACGGTTCAATGATGATAACGTCACTTGATCAAAATCAATCACCTTAATTTTCCCCACTCCAGAACGTACAAGCATCGTGGTGACCCAAGAACCTACACCACCAGCCCCCACCACCACCACATACAAGTCTCGTATCTTGGCCATCCCTTCATCTCCTAAGAATGCGTAGTTTCTCGCGAGTTGTTCCTGAATAAGATCCTCGTCGTAATCCTTGATGGTTTCATTGATTCTTTTCAATGATCTCTTCGAGTCTGTGAATTGTTCTTTGGTGTTTCTGGCTTGGTATTGATGGTATAATTCAAAGCATACTGAAGTTAATGCCGCAGTGGCAATGGCAGTGATACCTATAGTTCTAAGATTATTATCAGACATTTCTAATTATTTTGACCACACGATAAAACTCAAGATTGGATCATTATTGACGAGCAAAAAAAAAAAAGAATTCCCAATTAAAAAAAAAAAAAAATTTGCATCAACTTTTTTTTTTTTTCATGCATGCAATTTCCCCAACATCGATAGATTGTGGTGATCTTCTGTATTATTATTACAATTACTATTTAAAAAAAAAAAAAGGATGGTACTATCTAAAAGTATTAGCTAACCTAAAGAGTGCACCGCTTTCAAAATCAAAAATAGAGTTCTTATTTTCTCCACCAAGCATCAAAGGTTGAATGTACAAGGAAGGACGAAGAACTCCTAGAGCAGCTATTAAATGTGCGTTTCTGCCAATTGATGGCATTATTAGCTCAGGATTCTTGAAATATTTCGATTCATCATCACCATATACCTCCTTAAAGATCCCACGAAGTCCTACTTTCTCACTATTAGTCAAGTTTTGAAATTGAAGTGCATCAATAACTCCAAGTACTGAAAAAACACCCTTAACTGGAGTTTCTACCAAGTTCAATTGTTGCAAAGTTTTCAATCTTCTAAGACTTTTGAAATCGGTGACTTCATTAAAGTTCAAGATCAATTTAATAATCTTTACTAATAGTTGTTGACGAACGACGTTCCTATTGCACTACAAACTGCACATCATACTATGTCTAAATCTGAGACAATTATCTTTACCGCTAGGCAGAGCTCTTGACATTATAGATCCAGTATCACCATTGCTCAATATATTCAATTGTTATCCTACATTATTATTTATTTGACCACGCGATAACTTGGGAAGGATCATTGGCAAAAAAAAACTGCACTTTTGCATGAAATTGACCCCGACATGGTTAATTTGGTTCTCTTACAGCAAAGTTGAGCTCAAAATCGATGTATTTATTAAAATTATTGCATAAATTATTAGTTAGCTGATATAATCTATCTCAAGAAAACCTTCCTCCTTCTCTTTTCAACCAAGCATCAAAGTTTGAATATACAAAGAAGGACGACGAGCTTTTAGAGCAGAAACTAGATGCCTGTCCCTCTCGATTAACGGCATTATTAACTCGGGATTGTTAAAATAATCACATTTTGCAGTACCATATTTTGCTTTGAACAACCCGCGAAGTCCCAATCTTAGAGTAGTCAAATTTTGAAGTGCATCAATAACCCCGAGCATAGAAGAAACACCCATAACCGGGGTTTCTGCCAAGTCCAACTCTTGCAAATTTTTCAATCTCTTGAGACTTTCAAAATCGGTGACTTCATTAAAGTGCAAGTTAAATTTGACGATTTTTGGCCAAAGCAAATCACCAATCTGTGGAAGTTTATTTTTACCGATTTCAATATACTTGAGATTTTTCATCTTATTGATTGGTTCAAGGGAGGTTATTTTATTTAAAAAGAAATCAATGAATTCTAAATTTTCCAAGTGCTTGAGCTGAAAGCTCCCAAATCTCAACAGTGTCAAGCCATTACTTTTCATATTAAGGCTTTTTAAAGAAACTAAGTTTTGAAAATTCTTTAAGTTCGAAATTTTGTTGTCTTCCAAGTCCAATGAAATAAGATTAGCTTGCTGCTTGAAATCTGAAATGATCTCATCTATTTCATTCTTTTTTAGATTGAGCAGTTTAAGACTCTTGAGACTTTCCAAATTTTCAACTTTAGTAATGTTGTTTTCTGCCAAATTCAATTCCTCCAAATTTTCTAACCCATCAAGTTGTTCCATTTTGGTAATTTGGTTATGATCCAACGCAAAGTATTTCAACTTCTTATGACAATTCACATTTTCGATTTTAGATATTTCATTCCAACCCAAATCAAGGCGCTCAAGGTACATGAAATCATTCAATACTGGAACGCTCTTGAACCCATAATGCTTCAAAGTAAGGGATCTCATGAATTTCATTTCAGCCCAATAAGGACTCGACAAAGTTCCACACACCAAAATCTCTGTCAAATCGACATCTATTTTGTCTTTGACCTTAATTTTTGGGGCAATCCTCAGAATTATCTCATCTTTTGGTTTAATGAGCTTCATAATCTCATCTTCAATAACCAACGGAGTGATGGAAAAACTTTGTAACAAAGGGAAATTGGAAATGGTCAAATTTTCGATTTCAAAATCTTCCTCTCTGTAGATAAGCACTGTTTCCAATTTTGGGGAGTTCCAATCTTCGCCATTAAATCTTCTCATACTATTTTCAGAACAAAAAGTTTGTAGATTAGGCAACTGGTACTTGACAGGCTGAAAGTAATTTGGCGCTTTTGCACCACTGATGTTTAAATTTTGAAGATTAGGCAATTCAAATGATTTGCTAATGTCGTCAAACCAAGATAAATCAACTTCAAGCGTCTTAAGATTCTTGGTTTCAAGCTTCCCAATCAAAGGACATGCAACTTTCAAATACACCAACTTTGTCATGGAGCTGGAGAACGCCGAGATAGTATGGATCTCTTTCTTGGAATAATTACCACTTTTTATTTCTAGCTTCCGGTAGTGCTCGAACTCATTTTTTTGGAAATTGGTATCTTGACCTCTCGTCAAGTTGTTGATGGTTAAGCATATTGGATGTTTACCGATTTGGTCGAGACTGGCTTCATCTTGCTCGTTGGATTCACTGTTGGGAACGATCTTCAAATGGTACAACGCCACCTGTTTGGCACATTTAACTAACAATTTGTCATTAGTGGCTCTAATGATCTCAAAAAGGGTTCTCTTGTCGACTATCTCAAAGATCTTGATCACCAATTCTGGAGGAAAGTTCTTCATGGTGGATGGTTTGTTTAATGGAAGGCAAAAGACAAAAGAACAAGAAAGAACAAACAAACTGAAAAAAATTAAAAAGTAAAAAATAAAAAGTAAAAAGAAAAGGAAGCGAAACAAGCGCTGGTATTTAGATAAATGGGAAGCTCGCATGTCCCAGCTGGACGGGTCCTTAAAGTGACATCTGCATTGGTGATCTTGCTAACGCTGTAAGGATAAGTGTACACTTACCCTTCACTTAAATGGACCATTCAGGAGGAGTTTGTCACAAATTGTCACTACCAAACACATTATTGCCTTAATTTAGTGTCTCCTGAGTCGTAAAATATCATGAACCATAAAATATCCCAAATCTTGAGATCTACCGTGTCTGCTCCTTAGGATTGAGTGAAATACTTTTAGGTTGCAAGTAACTTCTACTGTATACAGAGCCCTTCAGGATATTAGCATCCAATAAGTAAATCAAGCACAATAAATATATTATATCAAAAGCAAATCATTGCAAAAACAAAGGAAAGAGAAATGCACCACCAAAGGAAACAGAAAAACAATGGATCAATTCAATTCTATATTTGTAACTATAACCATTGTCAATTATATAATCTTTTTGAAAAATCCACTGCTAAATAATAAGGAGGAAAATAATGATATTATAGATCTAATAGGACATTTCAAAACTCACACCGAAACAATCCCTTGATCTTGTGGTCTTCCAATACCACCTTCCACAGCATGAACAACTGGGTTGTTCTGGGTCTTCTTCGAGCTTGCAAAGAAAACATCTGGAGGAGTGATGGTTCCCAATGCTCTAATGGCCCGGGTGCTCAAAAACTCAAGTCCCAATTCAAAACTCGCATTAACCCAGCCAAACCCTTCGGTCGCCACCCCTTTGAAGTCTGCCCCTTGGTTACCGTATTCGGCATCGACTCTATGTGGGTCGGTAGGCTTAGTAACATCGTATTTCTCCACCACAATACCATTGTAGTCGACAAAAGATTTAGTCATGATATATAACCAACGATACACAAGACGACGGGCGACATCACCAAACCCATACTTGGCGAGCCCAACCCACGCCAAAATTTGTTGAGGAGCCCAGCCATAAGGATAATCCCATTGACGATTTGGTCTATCCAACGAGATAACTCCCCGTGACTTTTCAGTCCCTGCGACAAGTCCTCCCAATTCTTCAAACTTTGACAAAGATTTCTTCACAAGACAATCGGCCTGATATTCGGTGGCTGCACCACTCCAAAGCGGCCAGAACGCGGTTGCTGATTCGTACTTGGTTTGCTTGTGGGTTTTGATGTTATAATCGTAGAAAAGGGCGTGTTCTTCATTCCACAAATATTTGCTCATGGCATCTTTTCTTCTAGCGGCCCTGCTCAACCATACCGCACTGGTTTCCCCTTCCCCAAGCTCATTGATGATATGATCGTCAAACTTATCCCGGATAGTCTCTGCAATATCAACTTCATACTTGTATAATAAAGAATTCAAATCAACGGTACACAAGCTGGCAGCACAGCCATCCAAACGATAACTGGTGTCATGACCAGACTCACGAACCGCACGATCATTAGTGAAATACTCGTCCAATTCAGGCTCTGAAATCTTTTGGTCATTGTAAAGTTTTTGGAATTCTGTAAGACTGACTCCGCGCTTTTCAGCATATGGACTTAATAAAGCATCGAAATGGGTCGATTCGGTTTCTGGAGGAATACCTAACCCATCAGGATGGTAGCATGAAAGACCGGTGGTCACATCGATTCTAGGTTCACAAGTCCACACCGTCTTGTATTCTTTAATTGCTGCTACCATGGCCCGTTCCAAAAACTCTTTGGCAGCACCAGGGTTATCACCATTTTCAAGCAACTTGTTGTAAACTTTTATAGCCATGTCGGTCAAAAATGGGGGTTGCGATCTACACAAATAGTACGATCTATTAGCGTTTAAAATTTTCCCGTAGTGGTTAATTTGAAAAATGAAATGTTCAACCATCCCTTGGGCTAAATCCACACGATTATCAATCAAACATCCAAGAGATATCATATAAGAATCCCAACCGTATAACTCGTTGAAACGACCCCCTGGCACCACGTAAGGAAGCCCTCTGAGAGTAGTCTTCGGTTTTTTGGAAGCATTCTTGTGCTTTTCGTTCACATCAATAAATTTCGAATTGAACAACATGCTAGCATTATTGGAATCATCGTCGTCGACCACAGGAACTTCTTCCATTGCCAAGGCCAACAACCCTGGCTTATCATTGATAGATTTTACGTATTCTGGAGTGATGACATGAGGTAAAATTTCAATCTTCAACTTCTGACCCTTTTTTTGGGCATCTTTCTCAACTTTCCGGAAGAATTCAATTTGATCGGGGCAATTTGGAGGCACATACACTCTAGTATATTCCGCAGGAATTTTTGTGTCGTGCGCCATCTCCATAATGTTATCCTCGCTAACACGACGGGTCAAATTATTCCAAAACTGGGTGGAAATCAATCTTTTCAACCGTCTAACGGGATTCTCGTTCAATCTTGCTTCGTCCAAAATCATCTGGTTGCGTCCCATTCTCTTAGCAATTGTCAACTCTTGTAACAAATTAGAAAGCATATAAGTGCCCCTAATGGCGTACTGGTTGTACCCGTTGGAGTTGGCGGTACCTAGCTTCAATACTTTAGGTCCAGTATCTTCAATAGTGATCTGGTGGTTTTGATCAGTGTCCTCGTTCTTCAACAACGTTTCAAGAGTCCCATCAATGTCGCTAATAAGGAAACGGCGTGACCCATAGGCCATATCATCCTCACTGGACCGGCGTTTTATTGGATAGTCGCTTTTGTGAAACTCACGATGACTAGAGTCTTTTTCCATGATTGAGTCATCGGCAGAGAAATTCCAGGCTGGAGTGATACGAGGCAAGGTACCACTAAAAGTTCTGCCTCGGATGACTTTCGAGTTTCTGAATTGCTTCGACGGATCGGTTTTTGCCCCATAATACACCTCTGGCGTGGAAAACGGGTCCATATCGTCGCTTCCCATGGATAAGTTGCGTGAATGCTTTGCTGTCATGGCAATATTGTACTATATTGGGTGGTGAGAGTAACGATTGCTATGATGGTGGAGGAGGAAGAGGAACTGGTGATGATGTGTTTTTTTTATGGCTTTTTTTTTTTTCCTCACAATGTCCGACCGACACACTAAAAAAAAAATGAACTAACAAAAACGTTGGTGGAGTTAACCGTATATTTGCGGGGAGGGCTTTTTTGTTTTATATTGTTGAAGCATGGTTACTAAATAATATATTTAGTTATACCAATATATAATACAAATGCTTCTCATTCTCGCCGTCATCTAGATAATCCCAGTGAACTGCCATAACCCCAGATTATTATATTTGACAGCACCGAGAAGTGTGGGGGTGGACAGCCGTAACGGTGGAGGAGCAGCACGACAACACTACTACCTCATAATATAATACAAGAAAAAAAAAAACAAATAAAATAAGACTATTAGTACCTATGAAATGAAGAAAAATGAAAAAAAAAATTCACCATATCTCACACATAACATTGTAAAAGGTGACAGCTCCCCACCACCCAACTGCCACTATCCCAATCTTACGATCCACCACCCAGCAATTGAGTGGAACCGCAATCATATAAAATATCAAAACCACAAACAACCCTCCGCCAGAGATGACCAAACTACGGCTCACCTCAAACACCATTTCAGTTTCTCCTTGCTGTGCCATCACTATTATACCATTGGCTCCGATTCCAATCAAGATGTAAAGTAAAGGACCCCCAAAGCACGCTCCTAGACCAGTCATTACTAGCCCCAAATTGGCAAATGCAATGTTTGAAACAATGTCCCCTATAGAGTTCCCGAGAGCAAAAAGTGTGAGCCCCAATAGCGAAGGGGAGATGGAAAATAATCCCCCTATCCGTGACAAGATTCGAATAACGAGCGCTGACACTTGAGAAATCCAGATGATTGAGCTGAAGAATCCAAGGAACGATGTCAAACCACAATAAAATTTTGAAGAAATCAATGAAGGTCCTCTAATATCAACCCGCTTCACATCATTATTATTCATAAGTCCATCTTCCAAATCCCTCTCAGTTTGACATTGTTCCTTCATATCACCATGATTGACCCACAATGAAAAACAAATAACATTAATCAAAGAAACAAACAGCATTCCCAATACTTCATACTTTCCAAAGTTTGATCCCCACACTCCTGTCCCTATCAACCAAGGGGTGACTCCAAGCTGGATTCTAAGAACCTTCCGATGAACCAGCGCATAATTAGGGGTGATCTGATTCTCGGGATTATAGCATGGAACCGTAGCTGCCAATATAAAGAATGGAATGATATTAATGTAGAAAAGATAACCTGTCAAAAATTTCTGGAACAACCAAAGTTCTTCGTAAGTTGGGTCTGATTTTTGGAGAACACGAACGAATGGCAATAAAAATTCCATAACTGTCGTTGGAAATTCATCATTTTCTTCCTCTTCTTTTTCTTCTTCCTCATCATCATCTTCTTCTTCGTCTTCTTCCCTCCTTTCATCAGTATATGGCGATATAACATTTATTTCTGGAGTTGTAAATCCTTTGCTTGAAGCTTTTGACATTTCATTAACACTAGTATATTTATTTGATTCGCCATTGCCGTCATCAAAATTTTCCAACAAAAAACTTCTCCTCTGTTCTCCATCTCTTGCACTTTTATGATTAGGTTTTATGCTTTCTTCTTCCTGTTCGTCATTGAAATCAACAAGTGAACAGCGAGGACTTGGGCTGCGACGAGAAAAACTTTCACTACTATGGCTGAACATTCCATAACTTATTGGCAGTAAACCATCAAGATCAGAATTAGAATCTCTAAAACGGTGGTCTGGTATGTTGGTACCCAAATTTGGGGATAACGCAAGGATGTCAATATAGGATAGTCTCAAATTTCTCGGCAATTGCTGTAGTTTGTGATCCCTGGATAAAAGTCTGGCCTCTATTAGCAACCTATTCCTTGCATAATTAGAATCAGTTAGTGGTGAGAGCGATGTTGACATGTTATCGTTCCTGCTAGCGGCATAAGACGATACAGATGTATTGACTCGTAGATGTTTTGGTCGAATGTTGGTAGCCGAACTAATTTTCGTGATAGAAGGGCGCGGAAGGAATAGGGGTTGTGGGTCAATAAAGCTTTGGGATTTTTGTCCTAGCGGAGGTCTATTTGATTCAATAGCTTTATACGATTCATTCGACAGATCCGATATCAACTGAGTATGAATTGTTGGTTGGTCTGATATTTGTTCTTGCATAACATTAGTATCCAACTCTGGTAATTCAATATTATGAATAACATCTTTCATTTCATTATTATTCTCAGAAACTCTATAGTGGGGAGAAATACTAATTAATTCATCCCCACAATTTACAATCCTTATGTCAGTGGGAATATCAGTGGGAATATCGGGGAAAGTTTCACCCACCTCAACTAAAGGGTTATTATCGGCAGTCCAAATTTGATAAGCTAGATATATGGTGTAGCCTAATACCATAGAAATGCATTCATTAATTGTCAATTTACCGTCCAGAATAAACCAAATGGCAGCTCCGACAAACACACTAAAGAGCATGAGATCCAAAATAAATTCCTTTTTTCTCATATTGTTCCAGGTCTGTTTCTGTTTTCCAAGGTGATCCTTTTGTAAAATACTTGAATCTGTGGCACCCAAATTATCTACGACTCCATTTAAAATACCATCTCCTTCTTCCTCTTGGAATATCTTTTGTTGGGCTTCTTCTTCTTCTCTTTCTTCCTGCTCGTAGACCTGGTCATCCACAATAGAAAATGGTTGAATTATCCCCATCAACCCAACTACCACACTAACGCAAAGAAACGCCAGGCCTAACAATTCTCCTAAAGCCAAAGTGGTTAAACCACCATGGAACGAAAGATATGTACTAAGTAGATCTGGAGCAGAATTCCCAAGCGCAAGCAAGGTCATCCCAGCAACTTTATCTGAGACTTTCGCAATCCGTGCCAAATACGCAAGATTGGGGCACAAAAAGTCCAGAGATGTGATACCAAGAGTGATAAATAGGAATCCAAGGGCGATTAAATGCAATATGAGCTCGAAGTATCGAGAATAAGTTGTGGAACTGGTGGCGATGGCAGGACCCTCATCGATACTGTACGATCCAGAAATCAGGTACATGTAGCAATAGCCTAGGAGAATGATCATTGGTGGAGCAATAACGGCAAGCAAGAAGCTTGGTGTACAGCTAGAAACATTACGATTTCCACGAGAAACTGGCATTCTTTTTCTTTGTTGTGGTTGTGTTTTCCCGTTTTGTCAGTTCTGTTGCAGTTTTGTGATTACCGGTTGAAATTGTGACAGGAAAAAATGATGGTGCATTGAATAAAATTCTGCGACAATTGAATATGGCTCTCATTGCGGTGACAACTTGAAATAACCAATTGTCTATTAACGTTTTACCTAAGCAGTCGCAGTATTACCAGAGTAAATATTATATATATATCCATAACCCTTAGAATTTTTATCTAGGAAGTCGCTCCTCTCATTAGCGGCTGATTCGGAAATGTATATATTGTCTACCATACTTTCAAAACCAAGGATTGAAGATTTCATCAAATACATTGATATTACTTATATCTCATATTACAAAAAAAAAATGAAACTTCTATTGATTTCGGTGTGGTATATATGTATATATTTGATGAAAATGATGGTGAAAATCCAATGAACTGATCATTAAAGTAAAAACAGTTGAGCATTGCTTCAATCAACAACCGTTCTTAAATAACTATGCTCAAAAAAAAACGAACATTCAAATAACAATCTAGTTAAGAATATGAATAAATGAAACACTCTATGCAAAATGACTTTGAAACCATGATTGTGAATATTATCATCATTTTCAAAAGAACAAGAACAAAAAAGAGCTTCAAAAGTAGAACCATAAAACTTCAAAATGAAATAAAAAAAACCACAAAAAAAAACAAAAAAAAAACTCAATATTTCTATTTAATCCTCCTTCTTTTTCCCCTTAATGGTTTCTTCATCTATCTGCAAACCGGTCTTTTGACCCTTCATCATGTTTTGGATAGTCTTGATGGCAATTTTGGCCATCAAGCTGAACCAGTAAACATTAAGAATATCCAACACAAAGTTTCCTGTCAAAATAACTGCGGCAAACAAGTAAGGGAATCTTGGGTCGGTGTGAGTAAGCCAGAAATCCCAGGCTAATTGGAAAATCCAGTACCATCCCCAGCAAATCCGCACGACAAAGAACAAGATGATCAAGATTATATTGTTAATGAGGACAAACTTCTCGCTAAACACTCCTGGGAGTTTCAAGTCGAACCAACGGATGTTCAAGAATGGGGTAGAGATTTCAAACAAGAGGAACACTGGGGCGTAAAACAAAATGAATGGATTGTAGGCAATGAACGACACAAAGAATGAGATCACCCCGTGGACCGCAAACCCAATCCCAAACTTCCGGATGAAATAAAAGGCGTTGATCGCATCCCAAAGGAAGTACCCACTGGCGGCGGAGGCAATGAGACCACCGTAAGGAGTGTAGCCAAAGATCCTATCTTGCTTGAGAACTGGGTCATTGAACATTGGGGTGATGAGAACAAGTATTATAAGGCACTGTATCATTGACACCACATGGACGTGGAAGTACGTCTTATCCTTAGATTTCAAGGCGTCCCATTTTTTGGCAGAGACCAACAATGGGGATATTATATGAGAAGCAAAGAATATCCCGGTGTAGAACAAATAAAAGAAGATGAGTTCGTGAATATGGGTCTGAAGAGTGCCAAACTTGACGTAAGGCGCCACATATTGGTCGACAAGAGGAAAGCGAATGATATCAAGCAAAGGGTCTTCGTAGGGCATGATTTAGTATATGTATGCAGTGGGAGAAAGGATGTGTTGTTACTCAGGGTTTTGCACAATAATGTTTTTTTTTATCTTAAAAAGGTATTTTTGGGGTTGCCAATTGGGATGCTGGTCAAAAGAGGGTATGTATGTTTGCCTGATATATAAATATATATGATATATATAATATACAACACGATCTAATTTGAAGAAAAAGGGAAACTTGTTTCTTTTGGCGTATGATTTTTTTTAATTTTTTTACTTGCACCAACCACCGGAAATTGCCCATTCCCACCACCAAAAATGGTTCATGCCGACCCCTCGGAAATCTTCTTGCCACCGAATTTTAATTATCATACCATCACACGTCGCACTTTGATCGTTCATACCAACCAGAAATAAATTGATATTGAATATAGGATATATATTACCTAGTCTTCCAACCAGGGGAATTAAAATTTTTGATGCTGCTCCTGTATTCAGCTACAGTATCTCAGCCTTACTTACTATTTATATATAAAAGAGGCTCATAACCAGAGCCGAATTCCGACTTTTAATGTAGCTTATGCGCTTCAGTTTTCTTTGGTATTTCATATAACCTCTTTTGATTTTGGAATTTTCTTTGTTTCCAAAAAGTCGCGATTGTAAATTTTGTATACAATTACCAGTATCCCTTGAGACAAATCCACAGGACCCTTTCAGAACCACCACCAGAGTTTTTTTTTGTTTTTTTTTTTTTGAGTATCGTCCTTGACTTTGTAAGTCAATTGTTCTTTCTTACTTAAGTTTGATCTTTTGCATAGCGATCGAAAGTCATTGCTATCTTTAAGTCCATGTTAATAATTCAAAGATGGCTTCATCGTAAAAATACAGTTTCAGTTGAAATCGAGTTTATCTTTATACTCCTTTACCGACTGGAGTTATTATTGCCTCAATTCCTATTAATATAATTCTTTTTAAAGTCCATGTAGAAATACGTTTGAGGCTAAATTCCCAAAGCAGTAACAAATATGTAGATTGCTGTTGATTTGCCTCTCATGTTTGTTAAGGCTTCCTTGAGATTTTGTAACAGAATCCCTTATCAATTGTTCTAAAAATTCTTCATGCGAAGATACTTATGACCTATGGCTCACAAATACCGTCTAATCGACTATCAAGCATTTTGTTCCAATTTCTTTTCCACCAGCAGTTTGCAAAGGTGTAACTTCCAACTCATCATCTTGCATGAAAATTTCATCGTCTGCATCCATGTTTCTGTCAAATCAATATCTACCTTGTACCACAGAAATACTTTTGCATTATCTTAACAGTCGCGTAGTGGCACTTCAGATACAATTGAACTAAGGTGCGAATCCATCTTATGGCTGTATACCGTACATTCGTTCCAGCTATAGCTGCAGTAAGGGAACTATTAGAAGGTGCGAATCGATTAATCCTGTTGCGATAGTACGACGGCGAAGACAATTTGCTGATGGGAATAAAAAATGTGAAAAAGCGCCTTAAAGCGGGAATTCCTAAGTTACAGCAGATTAGCGGAAGTTTAACTGTTTTGGTCAGTAAGGATAGTACTCAGCCTTATTTATCAACTCTGTTGAAGAACAGTGCTTGAAAAACTTTGTGAATAGACATAGATATTTGTCAAGAATAACCTGCCATCTTTTGGAGGGAAGGACAAAAATGCAATCTAAAATCTCAATTTGATTGTCACTCTTCTTAGACAGCGTGGCTTATAAAAAAAAAGTGTTATTGATGGCGCAGATAACATTTTGTGTTGCCGATACGATCGTAAATCCAACGGCTCTTGGCGGCACTTCCTACTTCGCAAAGAACTAAAGTCCAGTGACGCCATAATGAAAAATTCTCTTTTTATAGTTTACACTAAAATTATGAGCATAATGTGTGTGTATATATATATGCGTCATTCCATATCTTGTAATCTTTTCTTTCTCTTTTATAATTTGAAAATATCATAAACAAGTAGATTTACGATGTCCTCTGGTTCTTCAAACATATCTTCTTACGGTGCTAATCTAAATTGTGGGAGTTTCAAAACCTACGTTTCGATCCAGAATACAAGTCAACCAATTCCTATTGAAACTCTTAACTTAGCTTACAAATGTGGGGTGTATTATTCCGCTAGCCAAACTGATGATGCCCAAAGCTTGGATATCCCAACCAACCTACTTGCCAACTCTAGCCAGTTCACCGTGCCATCGCCAGTGATCGCCAATTCATCGTACTTTGGGTATCAGTGTAATGCCAATTCTTCCTCGAACTACTCCTACTACTCTTCTCTTGAATCAGGAGCCAACAATAATCCATTCCCATATGTCGATATTTATGAATGTGGCCAAAATTTTTTCGCGGACTACCCAGGCAAGCATAACACCGAAGAAAGCAGTGGGGTTTCATTAAAACAGGAAAACTCTTTGATCTTGTCATTTGTTTCATTATTGGTGTTATCCAGTCTTTTCATTTGAATCTGGATTGTTTTATTTTTTTGTTTTTTTTACATTGTTCATTCGGTTTTAAGTTGATGTTTATGGATTGCTAATAGATTAATTTGAGAAATAGATACACATGATGTTTTTGAATCAGTACTGTAAATATCACTTCATGTATTCCATGCTACTGGTAGCGAACAGCTGTTATAAATATGCACTCAGGGCATATTTATGGAATTGCCACAGGTGAAATAATAGTCTACACTGTAATAGTACTATAGAGTATAGATTATCAACACGACTAAAAAATTGCAACTAAGAGAAGTTAACTAGTAGTATGACTCGACACTCAACAGACTTTGACCGCCAAATCTAATTACTCGATCATCTTCCTGAAGTTTTACTACTAAACCAGCAATTCTCACATACTCTGAGGTGAAACCATCGATATTTTTCCCATAGTGAAAAAAAAATGTGAATAACGAAGAAATGATTCAAATGGTAAAGGAAAAATAAATCATATTAAAAACTTACATCATCCGACAAAGTTTCTAGTGTCCAAGTAATAAGCACAACCTCAGATTTTTTCTCACTGGGGGAATCAACCAATTTATGTATATGAAATAAATTAATTATCATTTTAGGTATTAAACATACTCAAGCTAGTACAATTCAGTTAGTAAATATATATGGTCTAAAAACAAATGAGACAAACTGCCCACCCATAGACAGCATCCAATGTTAGAGCTCAACTTCTATTAATTATTGCAAACACATACTGATTCTTCTTCTGACATTTCAAGGAAAATTAATGTAGGTATACAATTAGCTATTTATTTATCAATGATAACTGAAAGTAAAAAACAGGGATCTTTGCTGGCTACTTTTAATAATTAAAAAAAAAAAAAAAAAAAAAGAAAATGGCTTGCTTGATCTATTTTAATTAATAAAATAAGAGTTTTGCTATAGTGTCTACAATTTTCCATGGGTGATTTTCTTGCTCATGGATAACCAAGTGCCTGATCACTATTGTTCCCTGTAGGTACATAACAGAAAGTTCTGCAGGCCTAAGAAGCGTACATTGAAAAATCCTTCAGGCCTAATCGCAAATATCACGATTGCATTGCAAATATTTTTGGCAGTAATTAATAAGCACTAGTTGGTAATTACAAAAAATATGGACTTCCGAAAATTCTTTATTTAACGGAATTGATGCCATATTATAATTAAGGTGACTATATAGACGTCAGTAGGGCAACACTTTCTCATGCTGATAATCATCGTCCAACTGTACTTGGAAATCAGTGGGCGATATCATCATGATCATCAAGGAAGATATTCTCGTGTAGCTTCTTCAATTGTAGGTATTGTTGGTTCTAGGTTTGTAATTGGTCTATATATCCCATGAGATATAGATTTAGGAACTGGGGTGCATTAGTAATAGTAATCAAATATGATTTGATGATAATTTCGTGAATATACCAGCAGTACTCTCCACCAAAATAAAAATGAATAGAAACTAGTATCCTGAAGATTCTCCTTCCAGAAGAAAAGATTTTTTTAGAAACCCTGGAACGAATGATTATTTTTCTAGTGATCCGCATCTGGGATGCTCTACAATAAAAAATAATGCACCATAGAATGTTTGCCTCAATAAATTAGATATAAGAGTGATGTAATAATTACAGATGCGCCAATCTAATATTTTTATTGTGAAGATTGTAAATTTGTTTACAAAGTCTATATACTAATGGCATCTCCATCAATTCCGTAAAGCTAAGACCTTCTAAAGATTTGCAAGGTATTATTTTCTGGAAGAAATTAATTTTTCTAAACTAAATATTGCATAATACGTACGTGCCATGTATAATTATTATTATTGCTCTTGTTGTTGGCCACCAGCATTCGTTAAACCAATACATGGGGTTATCATTGCCAGACCAATCCCACCGAAACCATTGTAATTGTGATCTATTTGATATTACTTTACCCTCATTATTTTCATTTTGTTAGGGGTTGTGATACTAACAACTGATATTTACAAGTTGTAATCCACCATAAGCTGGTGTAAACAACTGTAGTGCATGTTCTCTAGTTACAGGTTTTCATGTTGCATCAATTTGTTGTACTTGACACCCTACAATTGATCTTGAAAGACGCTATAGCATAAAGACTTTGTTTTTAAAATAAAATGGACTAGCTATTGCCACATGTTATTATTTAATTTAGGTAATATCTCACTCAGTAATTTTTTCTATATATTCACTAACCGATGCGGTACGTAAGTATAATAATTTCCTTGTTGCAGTGTCCTATTTACTTTACCTCTTTTTTTTTTATCTTATTGTTGCTAAAATGAAATTTACTGTATTCACAAAGAGTTTTATTCGGATATTGCAAAACAGAATGAATAAAATGTAGTGCTATCATATATGTATGATCAGTATACTGGATGATAGAAAAAGGCAAAGTCACGAGACCTGTCAAGGTGGCTACAGGGCCGCCCGCCCCACATATATTGGTTGGGCATCATCTCTCCCACATACAAATAACAAGCAATAGTCAACTATAACAACCGCATAATATATTTATATTGTATATATGCCATGGCGGTCCCCGTGAGAACTTACCAGCCGGAATTATCCCAAGCAATCAACAGAGGGTTGGAGGAGCCCCGGGTTGCACAATCAGCAGACGAATCATCATACTTCACACACAACAACCCTCCTCCGTACCTTGGTAGTGTTGAAAAGTCGGTCCAGGATTTCTTGAATATTCATGGTCGCTGTAATCTTGTATTAATCACATCTGGAGGAACCACTGTGCCGCTTGAGAACAACACAGTTCGTTTCATTGATAACTTCTCTGCCGGGACTCGAGGCGCGATATCCGCAGAGCAGTTTCTTGACCGTGGGTATAAAGTGATCTTCTTGTATCGTGAACTCAGTTTCATGCCATTTCTCCGGCATTTCACTACGGACCCTAACCATGAGAATTTCTTGGATTATGTTGATAACCGCCATCTAGGGATCAAGAAGGAATACACTGAGAAGCTCCGCAAGATCCTTGAGCAATATGATTACCACAAGCAGCATCACAATATTTTGACAGTTCCATTCACCACTGTCAATCAGTATCTCTACACATTGAAGCTGATTTGTGAAACTTTGGCAGGGCACTACGAAGAAGACACTTCAAAGGTGGCGATTTATCTTGCGGCGGCGGTAAGTGATTTCTACATCCCAGAATCAAAGCTTCCAGACCACAAGATACAGTCAGGAGGAGGAGGAAGAGGAGGAGGAGAAGGAGAACAAGAGTCGCAAACTCTGGGACATATCATCTCCACCGCGAACAGCGGTCTAACGATCTCATTGTCCCCGGTACCAAAGTTTTTGGCACGAATCGTTGATTCTTGGTGTGGGGGCGCCATGGTGATCTCATTCAAATTGGAGACTGATGATAATCTCTTGTACAGCAAATGCACAGGGTCGTTGAGCAAGTATGGCCAAAGCTTGGTGATTGGGAATCTTCTTCAAACAAGGAAGCGTGAAGTGATGTTTGTGGATAAGGACGAGGACGGCGAGTACCGGCACGTGTGGCACCGGTTGGAAGACCATAACCGGGGAGGCACCAAGACGGTGGGGACGATCGAGGAGGCATTCATTCCGTTGGTGGCAGAGTTGCATCGTCGGTGGGCCAGGAAGTGAGGAGCACCGCTGCGGATGGGCAATTCTGTGTTTCCGCGTTTTTTTTTTTTTGTTACTTTTTTCGTGTTCCACCAAGAAGATTGATCTTCTCGGGGGTCATTCTGAAGGTTTGCTCACTGTTACTTTTTTTTTTCTTATTTTCTTTTAATTTGTCTATTGCTTTCTTGTGGGGCACTTCATTTCTTTGGATCTTTTGTGTATACCCTTATCACCTATAGTTGTTATCATCTGTCCGTCATCTGACATCGCAAATTTCCCAAGAAGAAAAAGAAACGAGGAAAAAAGTCTGGGCATCTCAAGGACATCATTCTTCGATCAACAGAAAAAAAAAACAATATTTTAATCTCTTTTTCCATAGTGAATCAAGTAATAAAGAAAAAAACGAAAAAAAAAAATCAAGTTCCTATGTTTTGGCGATGATACTAATGTACCATGACCCTCTTGCCGACTATAAGTTGCCTTTGATCTCGGATATCCTCCCACTCTTCATCAATACTTCTCCGGAGTCTCCGGCACCACCGGCTTGGGCAGTCCATCTTCACGAAGTGGTGTACTGCTTGATGTTGTGCCATCTCATCTATTCAATCACCGGAAACTTTCTCCAGCGCAAATTTGGCACCGCGGTTTCTCACAAGAAATCCAGAAAGGATCCTGCAGTCTCCAGGGGAGTGGTGCCCATCTCTAGGCTCCAAATATCGAACGTCAAGATTCAAGCAGTATCAGTTATCATGTGCACGATATTGATAGTCATCGCGTTGCCACTATATTATGATCCACTTCTCAACCAGGTAATCTCTCCTAATCGTCATAATCGCTATCCTACCGATGGTAGCGATACCAATGTTGATGGGAACAAATACACCCCTTTCTCCGGGTTTGCCTGTGCTTTGTCCTTGGGGTACCATATGTATTTGATGATTTGTATCCATTGCCAGCTTTCATTCTTACATAGCTTCTTCTTTGTCTATCAGTTGGCCTATGTTGCTGGTCATGTTGCTTTGATGAACCCTTTTGGTCACCAGTACTTGTGGAGGATCCTCTTCATGGACTTCACCTCGGTGTTCCTCCATATTCGATGGTTTGCATTGATCTTCCCTGATGCTTTGCCTCGTGCAATGAGGGTCATCAATGACGGTTTTGTAGTGGTAACTTTGGTGTGCTGCAAACTTATGGGCCATTTGTGGCTTGTCATCAACGTTATCCAAGATATGTCAGACCTCCACCTTTACCAATGGCCCCCAATACTCTTACTGATATCCATGACGGTTTGCGCGTTCTTGGATTTATACTGGCTCGGAATATTAGTACGAGTCATGAGCTTTGAATATTGTCCCATAATGTGCCTGTTCTTCAGTGATGAGAAGACCTCTGCCGATGCCAACTGTATCACCATCAATGTTGTCGATACTAGCATCACCACTGCCACCAATCCAAGCAGAATCAGCCCTTGCACCACCCAATATTTCTCGAACTTGCAACCTGATAGCGTATTTAGCAGTAGCTTGTATGCCGATGACAATCCTAGTGATGCCGAAAGTTATAATGGATCCATTAGTGATGGCCAATAACAATGTGTAAAATATATGTAGAATAATATTTATTACAGGTAGCTTTTATTTTCTTTTTTGTCTTTAATCATTTTTATTTTTTGCTTTGTTTTAAATCACGACTAAATGGCCCTTTCTGAGAGAAAAAAAATTGTAAGCTAGTAGTTTACTCATTGACCTTCCTAATTGGGAATGTCCCGCGTGTATGGAAAATTGGTTGTGTGCCCTCCAAGTGCGACAAGACGATTCGTTAGATCAATGCGACGATGATCTAACGACTTTGTCAAGGTATACACGATCCAACTTTTCATCGATATTTTATATCCCATTAATTTATGATTCTATGAACCAATTATACATACATATACATATATATATATATAAAAGTGTACCCATAAATGATGAATGTCAAAGAAAGGTGAGCAGATGGAAATTTCAAGTATCCATTATGACAAGAAGAAGAAGAAGAAGAAGAAGTTTAAAAAAAAAAAAAAAAAACGTAAACTGATGTAAATTCATGTCTGCAGTGACAAATATATCAATCATTCAGATCCTAATAGTGATTCATCAAATGCATTATTTTGAATCAAAATATTCTTCAAATTCTCAATCATTTCATCCTCACTCAACGTGGCGTCGTCTTCATTACCAAAGCTGAAAATGGTATAAAGACCATATAAGGCAGTAATGACACACAAGAACATCGCGAAGTAACCTTTAGCGGTGAATCCTGGTGGCAAAAATGACGGCTGAACGTTTTCATTATCCAAATTACCATAATCCTTGGTGTTTCCTGCGGCATTCCCTTGATATCCCATCCCCACCGCATCACATACCTCCTTGAAGTTATCACTCAAGTACTGGGTCTCTCTTAAAGTCTCTGGGTCTTCAATTAAGGTGATGGCCAACCCCTGTTCCAAGTGCCAGTCAACATGACAATGGAAAAACCACACCCCAGGGTTATTGGCTTTAAACCGTAGAACCATATACCCATTGCCCGCCACTTGCACGGTATCACGAAGCAAAGGATAGTCTGGGAACGACTCGTGGTCGTTTTCATCATAATCGGTAGGATCTTCAAACTCTGGGGATTTTTGGATCACTTGGAAAATGTGCCCGTGTAAATGGAATGGATGCTTCCCATCATCGTGGTTATTAACAACAATCTCAACAATCTCATCTTTTTGAAGCACAAAACTATGGGTGTTACTCCCATAAATCTCCTTATTAAAAATTTGGTCTTTAGGAGCAGAAAGCACCGTGGCAAGGGTTGGGACTTTTGGTGGCACATAAGTAATGTTATTGAATAATGCATAGTTAACCCCATTGGCCAAGTTGAGCATTTCCACATCAAGAACAATTTGATAATCATAATCTGGCAAAAGTGGGTATTTCCCAATAGGAACAAGGGTGAAATCATCGACCGGCTCGTTTCCCTCAACTGTATAGTCAAAATCAAAAGATTCTGGCAAATCGGCATCTTTATTGTACACCATCCAGTTTGTTCCAGTCAATTCTAACTCTGCAGGAACAATATCCAACATCGATTCGTCGAGTGCTTGCATAAAGCAAAAATTCTTATTAGGGTTCACTTCTTTGGTCTTTATCAACACCCCGTACCGTTGTGCTGCCGTCAAATACAAGCTCTTGGTGGTGGTTGGCTCGACATAAACCCCATCAACTTCCACCACCGTCATTTCATGATCTTCAATATACAAGTACTGTGACACGAACCCTGAAACACTGGCAATTCTCAAAAAATACGTAGTATTAGGCTTGACTTCCCAAGTAACGTTTCTAGAGTCGTTGAACAACGCATTCTGTGGCACCGGCTCGGCACCGGTAGGATTATACTTATTCAAAAACTGTTTCATCAAATCCTTATGCGAGTCATGATACCAGTCAGAAATCGTCAACATCACTTCCTCATCATATTCAAACGGCATTGGTTCTGAATCATGAATGATAAGTGCCCCTCTAAGACCATCCAAATACTGGTTCCCGGTATGTGAATGGTACCAATAGGTTCCTGATTGTGAGTCCACGGTAAAGTTGTATAAATACGTTTGTCCTGGAGCAATTGGACATTGGGTCACAAATTCTGGACCGTCCATGGCGTTCGCACCATTTTGGAAAAGACCATGGAAATGTAATGAGGTATTGGAGTCTTTAAGACCATTGGTCAAGTAAAGTAGGACGGTATCACCTTTTGTGATTTCGATGGTCGGCAATGGCCAAGTATTGTTAAAACCAATCACAGTTTTCTCTTTAACCCCATCTGGGTTGGCTTTCAATGCTGTGACTTCGTAATAGAAAGTATGGGTGGTGGCAGCCGCAGTAGCAACAACACCATACATCACCATCACAAGAGTCCCAAAGTTTGCAAGACGCATTGTGCGGGTTTGAGAGGAGAGCACTCTTGTTGTTTTTTGATAAGATCCGCAATCAAGGGATCTAAAATCTTTACAATAATTTATAAATATGTGTTATTGTTATCAAAAAGATAACGGAAGGATTTTTTTTTTTGTATGTATATTTTTTTTTCTCATCCCAGAAGGTTTTTTTTATCGACACCCCAGGGATTGTTATTACAGTGTGGAGGTGCGTCTAGAGTGCTTTTATTAATATTAAAACATCTAACACCACTTAGTTAATAGATTCTCCCAGAAACATTGGTTTTGAATGGGCTGTTGCAGTCCTCAATGGCATCAAATGGCGAAATCTGAGAGCTCAAAGAGTCCACAATATTAATGGGTCCCCCAAATATCGAGCCACTTCCTGATTTCCTGAGAAATGGGGAAACTTGACAAAGCTCGCTATTTCCAGAAGTGCCACCGAACATCAAACCTTTTGATAGCAATGTGTAACTTCTTCCTTGAGTTTTCCCACTACTAAAGATTTCATTTCTCATTCCGGGATTATTTTTTCCCTCTTTCTCTTGTTCCTCCTCCCCCTCTTCTCCTTCTTCTTCTTCTTCTTCTTCTTCCTCATCATCGCCCCCGACAACAAATCTTCCATCAATGGTGGAATGAGGAATATATAGGTTTTCGATTTCGATGTCTGTCTTTTTATAAGTTTCTGGAAAAATCATGATCATTATTACAGAACTAATGATGCAAATGACTCCAAAAATCATGAACGTTGCCCATTTAAAATATTGCAAAAATAATGGTCCAACAAACGTTAACAAAGTACTAACAAACCATGAAGTGGAAATGCAAATTGCAGATCCTTTAGGTTTTGCCCTTCTAGGAAAAATCTCTTCAGTATATATCCACGAAGCACATGCAACTGTAGAAGCGAATATTGCAACAAATAAGTAGCATAGGGCTAAAACTACCGAGCCTGGAGCTCCTTGAATTTCCCACTGGATTGAAGTATTTCCGTTCATTGGTGTAATTTTGTGACCAAACCATCCCATCACACTTGAAATGCTAACCAAGCATAATCCAAGAGTAGAAATTCCAAAAACAATTACATCTTTTCTTCTCAATTTACTCAAAAGTACCATGGGGAAAATCGTAAAGATAATATTAATGACATATTGTAATGATGTGGCGACGATTTTCCTATTTCCTTGAAGACCAATCATTTCACAGATGTACACCAAGAAGTACATCAACACATTGATGGCTGTCAACTGAACCATCACTTGAACAAATAATCCTGTTAAAGTATGATTTAGCAATGGGGCTTTGAATAGTTCACTAAAGTCACAATTCTTGCCATCTTTGAAGGCTGCCTGATAAGCATCGATAGCTTTTTCAACATCACCACCAATTTCATTAGTGTCTTCATTGGAATGCATGCCTTCTCTGGTAATTGGCTCTCTGTGTTGAAGATTATTCAATATATTGTGAGCCTCTTTCCATCTTTTTCGAGTGATTAGCCATTTTGGAGATTCTGGTAACCATCCAGCACAAAATAGAACCAATAAACCCGGAATTGCCTCGATTGCCCAAGCCACTCGGAATGATATTGTTCCTCCTAATTTTAAACATGCAAATCCCAATAAGAACATAACACAGATTCCCCAAGTCAAGCACCACTGAACTGCTGATAATATTGCTTCTTTTTTATGAGCTGGGATGACGTCGGAAACATAAACTGGTAAATGAGCAGCAAATATTCCAACGGAAACTCCTTTAAATGCCCTACCGACACAAATCATTAACACATTAACAACTGTAACGGAAACTAAGGATCCAACCACCCAAAACATCGAAGAAAGGCGGAAAATCTTCACTGATCCTATCCTCTCTGTCAACAAACCGGCAAGAATGCATCCAACTAAAGGTATTAGTAACAAATATAATAGACTCAAAAATAAAGACTTGAAAACCTTGAGTTTTATACACGACGAAAATATACTAACAAAAAGCTCCAGCAGGGTTGGAAGCTACCACCATTCCTTGAATGAAGCTATTGGGATGTTCAAAATATCCAATGAACGGTTCATAACTCAAGAATACCGCAATGGAAGATGTATCAAGTCCCATCATAACCCCTGCTGAACAGAGTAATACTGTGATAGTTGGTAAACTGAATGTGCGAAAATTGGAACTTTCCGCCATTGTCCACACACCAGTGATAAAATATGTTTAATGGCTTCTTTTCTTTTCCTCGTCAAAGTTTCCAAAGTTAGTGATATTATTTGTTTAATCTTTAGAGTCAGAAAATTAATATTGAATTTTCTGTTGTTTTTGTGAAATCATACGAAATCAATCATTTTTGGGCTAGTGATAATTAGGGTATATGCGTCTTTGTGGCACAGAAACGCAAACACAGGTGTGGATAAATTTTGAAAAGGAATACCGCCTGGAATAATTAAAATTCACCATTACCTTTTTATCTTGGTAGATTGACAGAAGCAGAAAGTGATCTAATCACTGATCTTCTGGTTTATTATAATCATGTTTAATAGTACTTATTCTTTCATAATTGGCGGGTCAGTATCTTAGAAGATCAGATATCGATATTTTAGCTATATAATGAGAAATTACTAGGAATAAGAATTCCATTTCAAAGAACAATGTATATGAAAAGATTAAGAGTGAGGACACTTTAATGGGGTGGGAGAACAACATAGAGAAAAACTATCATCTAATTGAGCCAACTTGTATGGCAGAACATTCATCTGCACGAAATTATCGCCGCTTTGTAAAAGACGAAACAACGTCCAAAAAGAAACCGAACCCGAAAAAAAACAAGCTATGTTACAACCATGAAGATCTCAATAAAATAACCCAGAGCTCACAATACTAAAAAAAATAATCGCATTAAGTGAGTATGTATTTATCCATTGCATGGTCTTCATCGGGGTTAGTATCACGCACGCTTTTGGACACAAATGAGGGAAAAACAAACATTTCAAACTCAAATACAATAAGATGAGTAGAAATACGTAGAATAATATTATTTATATAGTGAAATAGCTAAAATTCGGCATTTTTTTCCAAATAAAACCTACCCTGACTATGACAAAACACCTGCTTTTAACAAAGCCCTTATGGCCAAGTTGGTAAGGCGCTACACTAGTAATGTAGCGATCCTCAGTTCGACTCTGAGTGAGGGCACCTTCTTTTTTGGACTCAACATCTTTTTTGGACTCAACACCTTTTTTGGACTCAACACCTTTTTTCTGTATCTCCAGAGAGCACTTATTAATATTGTATAGGGCTTATAATTTACAACAGGGAGATTAAACCTTGAAGCTTTGTTATATTAATCCTTCTTTTTTTTTTTAAGAATCTTTTACACTGGCCATTGATTTTTCGCGGAAAACGGTGTCTTGTAATCCATGATAGCTTGACCAATGGACGGTCAATGCCTGCTCAATAAAAAATGTCTATAGACCTTTAAATTAGTTGTTTTTCCCCAGCATTTACTATTTCCATAACGAGGGCCAAAGCTTACCGAATTACACTATAATCTGTGCAAACCCCCCGAATCTTCCACCCTACTGTACAAATCGGGTTAATTGAAAACAAAAACATTCTTTCTACATGCATGTCTGTGCATAGAGGGATCCAGCAGTTTGAATCATTAGAGAGTATATATATATATACATTGATATATCATTGGAAATTTCTCCAGTGCCCATATAAATTTAGTTTTTTCCATTCAGACCAGCACCGTATTTTGCCTTCCTTAACCACCATATTTTTATTTACATTTCTATTTTTATTTCTTTGAATCATGTTAGGATTATACACTCCAAATGGTGACATTGGGTCAATGCCAATGAGAAAGAACCTCATGGCTGATGCCAACCTACTCAAAAAGAGAGTCGGTGAAATACAATTTCCTAAATACTCCAACAAAATCTCCAAGCATAAAAAGGGACAAGAGCCCACTGTCAAAGTCATCAATACCGTCTTTGATATCCCTCCTCCAAACGTCAATGAAGAGAATTATGAGATAAGTTTCAACACTAAGCTATACTCAAGCAATTCTAACGGGTCCCTTGACTTTGAGAAAATTCCAAAGAGAGATGTTTACAGATTAAAAAATCCTTTAAAAGATAGTTTTGTCAAGACTGAGCAATCTGTCACCAATCCTCAACTGATTTCCGTTAATAATATGAAAGATCCAGCCCTTCAAATGATTCAAAAACACAAAGAAGGAAGAAAACCATTGAAATTCAATAAAATGTATCTCAACCCGGAAACAATGGAGATCTCCACTCTCTCCAACGTCTCAGAAGATTCGTTCAACCAGTCTTTCAATGATGCCCTCAAAAAACGACTTGCTAATGAATTCTTCACCCCAATAAAACCAATTGGTGGACAATCCAAAAAATTGAAAAAACCAAAGATTTTCAAATCCGATGGGCAAACTGTGACAGCCGAATCGGTGATGAGAATGGTGGACCCTTCGTTTTTGGTGTGCAGTGATGTTGATGATTCGTCTATGATTTCTCTCAACAATAACTCTATTATCGGTGGTGGTGCCGCTGGTTTGAAATTGACCAACTTGTTGGACGATTTGAATAAAGTTGATCCAATTGATAAAGCCTTGTCTATGAGTAATAAGACAAAGGCCTCCCGCGCAGGTGCCGTTCGCTCAGGATTGAATAAAGGGTATACTTTTGACGATTTCAAGTGCGAAAACTTGTTTGAAAACAAGGAAAATGACAAGAACATTTGGTAATTGGGTAATTTTTTTTTTCTATTCTATTGCATATTTTAGTTTACGATTTTGTTTTACTTCATCTCATATTAATAACTGTTTACGCTTCAAATATTTCATAAATATCCTTCATTTCTTCATCAATGCATTCATTTTTCATATATCAAAAATCTATCTCTTCTGCGTAACTGATGTAACATCAAATAAACTTGAGAAAATGATAACCATAAAATAGAAATATTTTCTTCGAAATGGCGATTGCACAGAGTAATATCCAACCATTACATTATAATATACAACAAACTCACATCTATCACAACTGACTAATTACAAGCTTCTCCAAAAAAACAAACATCAACTGGGACGTATCAAGGTACCTGTACCTAACCATAAAACACCTAATCAACAACTTGTTATATTTTCTTTCTTTTCTTTCATTACTTCTCTTTCATCATCCAGTTTTCGAAATAATTAAGCCCGCTATCCGCTTTCTTGGATTTAAAGACGACTACCCATGACGGAAAAACCTGGTTTGCTCTTTCTCTCTTGTCTTTCCTGGGTCTTAGTTTTTGATTCTTCGACTAATTCCAATTTGACCAATTCCTTGACTTTGGCAATCATACCGGCAGCTGCAGGCGAGACTTTTTGGTATGCCACAGAACCTCTCTTCTTAAGACCTAAAGTACGCAAGGTTTCTTTGTAAACTAATGGCAAAGCAGCAGCAGATCTGTGCATCGTTATACGATAAAACATTTTGTTGAATATATATTGTTGGAGATTATGGTATTTGATGTTCCTTTGTTCGCTGTGTTACTTGAAGTATTTTTTTTTTCCAAAGATTTTTTTAATCCTTTCTTTCATCAAACGTATGTTACCCGGACTCGTTATCATTCTTAGCAAATAAGCAGGTAATTAATTTATTCACCTAATTATTACAAAAAGGAATGATTTAAATAATCCAAAAGTATCTATTAAGCCAAAACAACAGCAATTATATATATAAATATATATATATATATATATTTCATATATAAAGTGACTTTTCCTTTGTCCAAAAACCAGAAATTTCAAAATTTATTCTTCACAATTTACTCTTTAATTCATTGCTCAAAACTTCCTTTAACTCATCAGCGGCCTCAGTTAAGTAGTAATGCATTTTTTCAGGGTCTAAACCCGCAGGGTTATTGGTTTTGCAAGTTATGGTAATGTTTAACCATTCCCTATTTATCATATATGGTAACCCTAATCCAATTTCATGAACTTCCGACCAACCGTACCCATTGAAGTATTCAGAACTCAATTGTGAAGTTGATAAGTACCAAGTGGATGAGTAAGAGGTCATAGGATCGCTTAAAAATTCTGAAGATTCCCCATTCTTCAAAGATTTCTTGAGCCCGTAAATGTGACGGTCCACTGCCAAACCGCTGGACGCGAGCTTGATATAATCGTTTTGTTGGGCAATTGCCGCGCGGTAGGTCTTAATCTTTTCCTCAATAGTAGCCTTTGGGTTGTTGAAAGTTTTAACAAAATCAAGAAGCTCACTGGAAACGGTACGGTTGGTTTCAGTACGACCTAGTTTGTACTTTCTGGTGGTGGCAGACTCATACGTTGGCTTTAAAGTACCAGTGTATTTGTAGTACGCCAATTGCATAAGTATTTGAACAAAAGCATCAGGGGAGGTATTGAATTTCTTAATCAAGGTTTTACCGTATCCCTGGTAACGCCAAACCTTGAGTAAATGACCATCCACTGCTGTTGCGCGGAATTTTTGTTCTGCAGATTTGATAATACTAGCAACGTCTTTGGAGATGTCAAATTTCAATTCTTTAGGTTCAGACTCGATCAATTCCACATTAGTAGGAATGAAGTTATCAAACAACTCATTGTTTTTGAACCTAGCCATTTCTTTACAGACGTAGTTATTCAAAGTCAAGTTTGGAGTACCGTCCATTCTTGAATGCTCCCCCAAAAATCCCGAGGCACCATTAGCAGCAACAAAGAATTGCAAAGGCTTATCGAAATACCTGTTTTCACCATCACCATGCCAGCAGTTTCTTGATCTTTCTTCAAAAGAAATTGGAGAGACATTATCTAAACACAACACAAAAGAGGATCTGAAAATGTCTTCGAAAGAATTGGCATTGATAATGGAGAAATTGTAAAGCTTGCTAAAGGCTTGATACCAAGAGTCTCTATCTAATGTGGTCAAAGCACCAACCGCTGGTTGCCTGAAAGAACCGTCTTTCGCATTGGCATCCTCAGAAATTTTCATTAGCCCCTGATGAATTTGATAATGATCCAATCTTTTGCCATTTGCATCTTGATGATACAATTTGTAGAAACGATTGTTCTTGATCACAACAATAAATTGGTTTTGCAATTCAGTTTGAGAAAAGCTAATCGTATCATCGACAGCTTCACCAGGAATTCTGCTATTGTTGAACATCATTGTAAAGCCATTCATGCAATATGGAGTACCTTTTATCACTTCTGGCGGGAAATTTTCTGTGGCAATAAGCTCCTTGAAATCTAACACCTTATCGACCAATATGGTTGCCTTCTTTAATTGGGACTTTTCCAATGTTTTTGGTAACAAATTGGAGGCATGGCTGAAAAAGTAACTGACATATGGGACTACTGGATCACGATATGCCAAATACGCATCGTTATCCCACCATTCACTAATCCAATTATCGGTTTTTGAAGCTCGATCCTTCAAACGACCTTGTAGAACTTCCCCTAGTCCTCCTGGAGAAATAAACTCTTCAAGTTTTGTCTTGATGATTTGATACTGTTCTTGGTTCTTCACAAAGGGTTTGATTGATTGCAAATACGTTTTGGCGGTATCCTTGAGCTCTGGGACCGGCAAGGTTGGTAATTCTTTGGAAAATTTAAGCATGTCACCCTTGAGACTGGAGCTGTAATGTAGATTTTTCCGTTTAACGGAAACTGGAATTGGCATTTTCAAATAAGTGGCTGGTATGGCTTTGGATCGCAATGGAAGCAAGCAGTTCTGCAAAACTAGACTTCTAGATGACATTAATTAAGCTAAATTATTATGACTGGTTATCTCAGACAAGAAGCCACCATAGAATAAATAAATAAACAAACAAACAACTATATTGCTAGTATTTATTGGTGTTTTCTGGTTAATGTCATGTTTTTTTATAGATCATGTCATCCGTGAAAATGCGGAGCAATGGGGCTGATGATGAGGATGAGAGGATCGGCATGTCAACCCGTGCTTGGAGTGCGGGCAGTACATTTGTGGGGGATGGTGTCAAGGTGACAAATTAGAACCTTCAGTCGAGTTGGATGGCCCATATCAAGCAAGATTCGGTATCCGAGAGGTCTGAAATCGCTGTCATCATATAGATATCATCGGTATGAGATATCAATGTTCTGAGTAACTAAATAATGTTGGTTTTGTGAAGTTTATGGTAGGTTGTTAATAGAGTATACCATTGCACAGGTATTTATTACTTGAGCACATTATACCAAATGAACGGTATTTATCACCTGACTATTGTATACCAAAAGAACGGTATTTATCACTTTTATAAATACCGCCGTGGTGGAATAAACAGGCTTCTTTGCATAAATGCCATTAAAATGGTATACGCAGTGTGAAGCATAAATACCATCACATTGGTATAAATAGAAAGAACCGTGTAAATGGTATACTTTGAAATACCACCATAATGGTATATACAGATTGAACAACAAATACCACATTGGTGGTATATGCCCCCAATTATTGGTCTAAATTCGCATTTATTGTACACTACGGCAGAGAGAGAATAGATCATTCTTCTCCAACATTATGGCCGAAATAACAATACTGAGGAAGAATGATTTAGGAGTACAGATCTACTTAAATGTTGGCAAATTTGATATCAATCTGCATGAAAATGAATTCATTTATTAGTTTATTATTAATTTGAACAATTCAAGCATCACAAAGGCCTTATTGAGAGACAAAAAAAAGTGAAACACAATAAACTATTCACAATATCGCTACAAATGATAAGATATTTAGTAATTGTAAAATAAATCTTCTCGTCCAGCGAGAACGTTTTTCAATTACTGGAAACTGGTCAAATCAACCTCTTTCAATTCTTCAACTTTTGTGTTGAGCTGCTTGACACTATCGTCGACCTCTTTCAATCCTTCAACCTTACTGTTAAGCTCTTTAACACTATCGTCAACATCTCTCACTCTAATCTTTAAGATTCTCACCTCGTATTTCAATTTGGCGACATTCAGTTCCACCTCTTTAACTTTGCTATCGAGAATCTTCCTGAATTGACAAATGTTTTTGATATTTTTGTTCAAATATTCAAGCTTGAGGAAAAGCGAACTTTGGCTGCTATTCAAATAGGAAATAAGTTGGCTAAACGCAGTATTTTCTGCAATCAGTCGGAAGACTTGAACTAGTATAGGGCTATTCATCGACACCAATGATATCCCTGATGAGGATTTTGTTGAATATTCTTTTGAGAAAATTTCTGTCGTTTCCTGATGATCGCCCACAGTTGGGGGCTGCTGGACATCTATACATTCGTTGTTCACATTTTTCAAAGTAGACAAATAATGAATCTTTGTGTCCAATATTTCCTTAGTAATTGATTCAACCGGAATTTCAAAAGGATTATCCCATTTTAACACCTCCCGCTCTACTCCATTGAAACTATGACTTCTAGGTCTCAGCGATTCTCCATGGTGCTTTCCGGCAATCATATTTTCCACTACCTCGTAATCATACTCTAAAGTTGGCAAATTAAAATCTTCCACTACTTGCGGTAATGACATTCTTCGTTGAAGTTTGTTGTACACTTCCGAGTAGAATCCACACTTGGCCTCTTCTTCATCACCTATCAATTCACTGTTAGCTTCATCTTCTCTCAATGAGCCGGTCACAGTAATAATATCATTATTTTTCAAAATTTTCCTACCGTGTGGGTCTTGAGCTAATCTTAACTTTTCGTCATTATAAGGTGTTGTAAATGATAAAAAGTCACTACTAAATGGGGTTTGAGGCGTAACTGGATCCGGGCTAATAGGATAGTCCTCTGGTGAGCCATCATGGTCTCCCAAAAATTCATCTTCATCACTGGTCAAAATTTTGAGTGGAATAGATTTTGAGCGATTATGCAAGTTCTTGAATTTCCCAACACTACTTCTCAAAGGATTGTTCGAAATAGAGGGAGACTGAAGTATATCAGGCGCTTTAGAGGAGCGAGGAGTGGAGGCTTGGTGGTGATGGAAGTGATGATGATGATGATGATGATGATGATGATGGTCATGTGTGTGATGACTGGAAGCGGAATGCATTCCATCAGATGGGGAATTCAGTGCCACTGCAGTATTGATTCTCAAGCTTGAGCCATTGTTGACCGAAGACTTGTTATCATTTGTTGCTTTAGAATTTTGACTAAGCCCTACCCCTTTAATAGCCGCTTTCGAGACTTGATTCAAACTGTCGTTGATTTTCTGTTTTCTCAGATTGGCGACATTTTTAATGGCATTCATATAATTTGCTGCGGATCCCAACATTGAAGGAGAGCTGATTTCTGGAGAGCTGACATTCATCGGATTAAATGCAGTATCTGATTGCCTGAATATGTCCTGTTGTTTTGAAAATTGTGAGTCTGGACTTAGAAGCTCATTGTTACTAGTGACAGGTAATCCATTGGTTTTCCTAAAGATCGCCGATGCTGAGTTAGGACTAGTGTGGATATTTTTGGGAGCACTATCAGTCAGATAGTTAGGTTCCCCGCCAATAGTGTGATGGTTGGATGTGCCATTTTTATCATTATTATACTCCGGTGATCGTAGCTCTTCCGTGGTGGCGATTTCGGTTCCTAAATGATCAAAAAATTTGGTTTCCGGTCTATCAACATACTTTCTTTGCGCATAATAAATATCCAATAACACATTAGTCAATCTATGAGGTCTTCCTTTCCCTAAGAACAAATATTCCATTCGTTTTCCGTGCACGTTGAGTTTCAATTCATCAATGTTCACTGTTTCAATACTCACATCACCAACCCTATTACTTTTTCGGGAAATGTCATTGACGGTCTTATTGACAGCTTTCTTGAACCTGAGTATACTGTCATAATTCAACTTTTCATCAGTAATATTAATAAGCTTGGTGAACGTCGCCTCATCTAGTAACCAACTTTTCTCTATATCTTTGTTTTTCTGAAAATGATAGATCGCCATCTTGAAGCTCATAACATCAAACGGATCTTTAGTATTATCCGATGTGATCAAATTCAATCTTAATTTACATGATATCAATACACTTAGGATGGCAGCGACGGTTTTGGGTGTCAACAGTCCATCCTGAGGAAGTGAGCTAAAAAACTTCTTGCCAATGTTCAGGCACCATTTCAGAATTGCTGCCAGGGTCTTATTGCACAAAATACCATCGCAGTATGTCGGATTAATAGAATCAAAATAGTATAAGGCAATTTGTACCATCATCACCAATTCTTTTACCCCATACATCACCGGAACCCGCTCATGAACCTTATACATCGAAATGAATTTATCTTCCGATGCTTTTGGAGGACAGGAAAACAAAAGGGCTGATCTACCACCGCATCCCAATCGTTTTAAGTTGAAATTGGCTTCGAATTGATAATAATTCGCCGGGAATGGGATTTTTGTGTGTTGGTGCCTTTGAACAGCGTCATTATATATCGGATCAATATGAAGAATATTCAAGTTATTATCAGAATAGAAACTGGACAAATTGGTGACGAATAAATATCCCTCATCCTTGAACTCTTTCAACCTGGCATGCTGAAACTTGACCAATTCATTTAGGTATTTTCTGAACTTGATTGGCCAACGATTCTGGTTCCTAACAATCGTCAACTTTATTGCCCGCAATGAGTGACTGGTGTTACCAGTAAAAGTGGTGAGGATACTACCAACCTTACGCTCTAAAATCCATTGTTCCACAAGATAGATCTCGTACCCTCGTACTTCTATCTGTGAGTAAGTCGCAAGGCCCTGATCAACTAACACATCAAAGTCTCGTTTAAGAGACTCCATTGCACGGAAGTCAGGGAAAATGTAGGTCCTATAAAGCGGGATGCTATCATCCATTTGGAAGAGTGATACCTGAAAAGCACTGTAGATTGATATAATATATATAATATAGATATAGTACGCTGCTGATAACAGTTATCCTGCAGTTATTCTCATCATCATCATCATCATCATCATCATCATCATCCCACCCACGTGAGCAGCGAGCACCGGGTGACACCTTGCCACACGGGCAGCCAAAAAAAAAAAAAATTCTTTTTGAAAACCAGAAAAAAATTTTCACTGATCTTGTATTAGTTTCCCTCCTACCCCTTTATACAGTTATCATATAAATCATCATCCATCATGTCTGAAGGTATTACTGAAGTTGACACCAACTTAATCGAAACCAACTACGACAATGTCGTCTATTCTTTCGAAGAATTGAACTTGAAGCCAGAAATCTTGAGAGGTAAGTGAACAACAACCAACCACAAGGAGAGGGTTTTTTTTTTTAGATTTGTTTTAATTTTGCTTGATTTCGATTCATCCTCATTTTTGTCTGGGTTCTTTTCTTTAAAATGGTAATTTTCACAAAATAATTGTATTGAAAAGGGAAATCATATAATATTTAAGAAGACCGGAGTAATATCAAAAGCAATCGCCACTTTGTTTGCTTAGAAACTCTCCTTTTTTTTTTGAGCCACGGTTACACATGAGTATGTTTACTAACATAATCAATCCAGGTATTTTCGGTAATGGTTTTGAAACCCCATCTTCTATTCAACAACGTGCCATCATGCCAATCATTGAAGCTCGTGATGTCTTGGCCCAAGCTCAATCTGGTACCGGTAAGACCGCCACCTTCGCCATCTCTGCTTTGCAAAGAATTGACGCCGAAGAAAAGGCCACCCAAGCTTTGATCTTGGCCCCAACCAGAGAATTGGCTTTGCAAATTCAAAAGGTTGTCATGGTTCTCGGTTTGCACTTGAACGTTACCGTCCATGCTTCTATTGGTGGTACCCCAACCAGAAACGATATCGAAGCTTTCAAGAGCGGTGTCCAAATTGTCGTTGGTACCCCAGGTAGAGTTTACGATATGATCCACAGACGTTTCTTCAGAACCGACAAGGTCAAGATGTTCATTTTGGATGAAGCCGATGAAATGTTGTCCTCTGGTTTCAAGGAACAAATCTACAACATCTTCACTTTGTTGCCAGAAACTACACAAGTTGTCCTTTTGTCCGCCACCATGCCTGCTGACGTTTTGGAAGTTACCACTAAGTTCATGAGAAACCCAGTTAGAATCTTGGTCAAGAAGGATGAATTGACCTTGGAAGGTATTAAACAATTCTACATCAATGTTGAACAAGAACAATACAAGTTTGACTGTTTGTGTGACTTGTACGATTCTATCTCTGTCACCCAAACCGTTATCTTCTGTAACACCAGAAGAAAGGTTGAATACTTGACCGAAGAATTGAGAAACAAGGACTTCACCGTCTCTGCTATCCACGCTGACTTGTCCCAAACTGAAAGAGACACCATCATGAAGGAATTCAGAACTGGTTCTTCCAGAATTTTGATCTCCACCGATTTGTTGGCCAGAGGTATTGATGTCCAACAAGTTTCTTTGGTTATCAACTACGACTTGCCATCCAACAAGGAAAACTACATCCACAGAATCGGTAGAGGTGGTCGTTTCGGTAGAAAGGGTATCGCTATCAACTTCGTTACTGACAACGATGTTGGTGCTATGAGAGAAATCGAAAAGTTCTACTCTACCCAAATCGTTGAAATGCCTGCTAGTATTGAATCTCTTTTCTAAATGCCATAATGAAAGCACAAAGAAATGCCTTTTTTATGAATGAAAAAAATAAAATAAAAAAAAAAAGCGTTGTCATTCTTCACTGAATTTTCTTTTTTTTTCTTTGAAGATCAACCTTTGTATTGTATGATTTCTTCAATTATTATTAATGATTAAGTCAATTTCTGATGTGCACCAATATAACTGCAATTGTGTTTTGATGTTGCTATCACCCCTTTTGTTAATTTTTTTTAATGAGGAAGATTGTTGTATATGATATATATACGATCTTTCCCCTTTATCTGTTTTTCTTTTTCTGATGTGTTAGTTTTTTTGTCTTTTTGTTGAAAGACAAAAGAGCGAAAGCAAAACATACATTTGTATTATGGTTTATTAGTTGTTTTGGGAGTATCTTTTTTATACGCCATCTTATCTTTAAAACTTTTCAAAAAAAGGAGTAAAATTTTCTATAAAAATTGTTGATCAATGTAGGTAAATGATATGTTAATCAGTGTTAGTGAGTCGTTGGAACGTTCTACGAAGGCTAATCTAATTAACAAAAAAATACACGGTTGTGACATTTCAACTATGGACAAATAAAGATATAAATGATCAAATTAGAGGATTCCCTTAAAAGCTTACTTTGGAATGTTTTGGATTCTCATGATAAGCACGAACGGTGTCATCCAACATTCCCGAGAAGTTGGTGTTGGTATCAAAAGACGATCTACTGGTGTTACTCATGATACCGGCGGCTCTGGCTCTGTTGATGGCTCTGGTCAATTTCTTGTGGGTTTTGGCAGTCAAACCAATGTTGACGTCTCTATGGTAGATTCTTCCAGTTTCAGAAACGTAGTTGGCCAAGAGTGGACCAAAAGTGTATATGCTCATTGGGTTTAGGTTGATTCTTTTGAAGGCGTCTTTGGCGTGTTTGGCATTCAACCCCACGACTTCACCGGAGGAGTACTGGTCGTTGGCACCTCTGTTCTGCTGACGCTTCCGTTGCACCAACTTGTATTTGGCAAAAGTGAAATCAAAAGGATCGTACACTTGGGTGTCCTGGAGTCTGACCTGTATGTTTGGGTTGATGGTGATTTCTTCTTCATTTTCAGCACGGGTTTTTTCTGCCTGAAGGACGTTATGCAATTGATTGAGACTTTGTGAACTAGATTGAGCACCCTTAGCACCCCATTTGGAGACTAAAAAATGGTTAGTGATACATTAAAAGGAAGAAAACAATGAACAAACCCATGAAAGAAATCAAACAATATTGACACTTCCATTTTTTTTTTTTTGTCAGATCTTTATTTCACCAATACCAGTAAAGGGGCACATACATTTAGGGGCTTCTTCATTAAGCAACCTCACAGAGGTCGAGAATAATCTTGAACTTTGTTGCAAGGATCTACCAGTAAACATCCTTCTTCTGTTATCGTGGTTACACCGTGATACTCGTTTTGAGTCCGCCATTATTGGTGAAATTTTTTTTGATGTTTGGCGAAAAAAAAAAAAAAAAAAAGGGTTACGGACACTGCGCCAAAAAAAGTCTCTCATCAACATGGGTGGAAAACACAATAACTTAAGGATTTGCTCTATATTATATTATTTATATTCTATATTTCATATTGTATCCATATGTCTCAATGATATGCATAGAATGCTCCAAAGAAGTCCCCAGTCTTTACACCAGATTTGCTAATGATTACATTAAATTAACGTATTGCAACAATTGTAATGCGGTATGCGACAAGTACGTGGAATTCGATCTAGTGATTCTTTTCCTCGATATTCTTCTATTGAAACCTCAAGCATATAAGCATTTGGTTTTCAACACCCTCTTGAACCATGGCAACGACGGCGGAGCCACCATCGCGTCCTCCCCCACCGAGACAGAAGAACCAAAAACCATCTCGTTTCCCTCGTTGATTCCTCAACCTGATCATCAGCACGAACACACCATCAACATCATTGACTTACTACCTCTGGTTCTCAAACAGCCGTTGATCCGGCTCCGTGATTGGGTGAAAAGTTCATCCCAGCTTGTACGGCTTGCAATATCAATCATTCTTTTTGAGGTGTATCTCAATTGGGCCTACGAGGAACTAGAACCAAATAGCACATTGTTATTCAGTGAAATTCTTGGGAGACAAACAATTGTCCAGTACTTTATATTTTTCACCCAGTGCATTGCTGAATTTGTATTTGCTCATTTGATGGTCCAGGTTTCCATTTTTTTGTTATATCGAAAATCAATCCGTACCGCGAATCCTCCAATATTATATTCCAAAGAAGCGATCTCAACCACCACGTTAATTGCTGGTGGAACAAAACTATACCCTATTTTGATGCTTATATGGCCCTATGATTCACAACTATCAACTAGTTTGATCAACCATTACTTCACCAACCTCACCCTCATTGAGGCCCTTAGGATAACTATTGGAGTGAAGCTTCATGAGAGTGTAATCATCACAATATTGGCAGCACTTTTCAAGAAAGTTTGCTCGACCCTTTTCCTAATATTTTTGTGCAAGTATATAATTATCAGAAACGATTTAGCAGCGGTGTCGGCTTGGCAACTTGGGCAAGACGAAGTCGACCATTTTGTCACAAGCTGTTATTCTAATTACCTATCAATTCGCCAAGTGGTAGCAGAGTTGTTTTGAATTAACCTATTTTTTTTTTTCTTCTTTTTGCTTCTCTATTTGTATTATGCTTTCCCATTAATAAATGCTTTCATTTGATATTTTTGAACGGTTTCTCCCACCATATCCAATGAAAAAAAAAAAAAAAAAAAAAACCAAAAAGAAAACACAATGTGTGTCTACACACCTTTAAATATTACAATTTTGGAATGTCAAACTGATTATCATCCTCTAAAACTCTCACAAATAATGGCAAATGATATTATATGAGTTCAGCTTGCCATTGCACCCACTGTGGTGGAGCACACACGTGAGCGATGGAGATGAAAAAAAAAAAAAAAAAAAAAAAATTTATTAAAAAAAATTTTCTGGGTGATTTTAGAGAGAGTATTAGCAGAGCTTACTTATATCTTTCAACTGGTCACATTATTGCCGATTGTGGTTAGTATAAAGCTGATATATCATCATTGGTTATTTCCAACTAGGATCTTTTCCAATTTTTTTTCTTTTAATATCTGCTAGCCCCGTTTTATTTCCAAGACATCATGGCTCCATCGTTATCTGACCTCTACCAAATCTTGAGGCTTCCAAGGATCTCTAATGTCGATATTGAAAACCGTTGTGTGATTGGCAGATCATCTTCTGATAATGGCTTCTTACACCTTGCGATCTCTGCCTCGGACATTTCCACGTATGTGCTCACCCCTTCGCCTAAACTTGTGTGGTCTTATTCATTGTCACCATCGATTATTGTTAAGCAGTTGACGGTGCTCGAATCCAATAACAAGGTATATTTTGCTGCTAGTTTGTACAATAGTGACACCAAGAAACATGCTCTAAAGATAGTGGTAAATGATTCTTTGTTGGCGCCAAAGGCAAGTGATGACCAAAGTCAAAGTGCCGATCAAGAAGTGAAGGTCGTTGATGTAGAATTCTCGCAAGAAATCAAAAGCATAAGTTTCAGCAAGAACGAAAAGCTCATCTACTTGTTGATGGCCTCGGGAGAAATCAGTTCCTATACATTCAATATCAATGATGCCGAATCATCTTTTATTCAGCCCGTATCACAATGCAAAGTCTCCAATAATAATAAATCGACCATGTGTTATCATAAATATATTAGTAACATTGATGGTTCGGGGTCAAACAGCGCTGCGGTGAACAATAATGATGGTTTTTTCCTCACGGTAAACCAGAGGCAAAACAAAAACTTGAGCTCTACCATTATTATGCTACATAATGGGGAAATGTCCGAGCTCACCAATAACTCCTCTATCAGTACTGGTAATGCCAAAAATGAAGAATTTGCATTCACATATAACTCGGGGATCCTTTATGTGATAGCGATCAAGGCCAAGACTCTTGATCTTTATGCGATTGCCTCAGGGTCGCTCATCAAACAGTTGTCATTGAAGCCACTTTTTGATCTTATATCTACTAAGCAGCAGATTACAGAATTCACAAGAAAGAACACCGGAATGGTTTCTCCATCAGATAATAGAGTGTTGATTAATTTACACCATACGATTTTCCTCATAAACACAAAATTCGAGACAGTTCTCAGTGATTATCAGTTGTCAGCTGATAAGCCAGAAGATGATATTGCTGGTTGCTTGTTGTTGGATATTGGGGAAGTTAAAGGTACCTCATCCAAGAGCTACGCCACATCGTTAAACTTGTTAATGTTACATAATAATGATAAGAATTACACTTTCCACAATTTGGCGGTTGATGTGGGTAATAATAGTTTGGTAGAATCTTTGGGTAAAGGTATTGAGGTATACTGTGAAAAATCCGGAGTTTCCCCAACCCAAGAAAAATCTAAAGTTGATAACTTGGTAGTGGAATATCTCATCACTGAAAAAAATCTTTGTCAGAAAAAACAGGAATTTGGCGTGAAGAATAAACCAGAATCGGAGAAAGTTCAAGCATTCATAGATTCTTTGACTGGGCTTTCAAAAAGCCATAAATCTATGGAATTCGACTTAGAGTTTATCAATTTCGTCAAACATAAATCTTACAAACTTGACAAGATCAAAGACATCTACTCCCAAATATCAGATCTTGCTTCTTCTGGTGAAGTTTTCACCGATGTGAGGCATGAAAATGACGCGATTTATGGGTTTGTTTTGAAAGAAACCAGTGCCAACAAGGACTACCGGTTATCCAATAAAATGTTCCAAATAATTCTTGATTTAATTTTCTCGACAACAAACAAAGATGGCGAATTTACTTATAAATTGAAGAACAAGAAGTTTGTGCCAAAGTTGGGGTTGATTTATTTGATTAACAGTAACTTATTCCCATTATCATATTCCTGCAATGGTTTATTGAAAAAATTCAAGTCCGAACCGATCATTTTGAACACCATCATCTCGAACTACGATTTGCAAATATCCGTGGAAGATATATTACTCCTTTTATGTGATATTAGTCAGGATGCTAACACTAATGTTGCCGCATTAAATTCTAACAAGTGGTTGGAAACTGACGATGTTGAAGATGTGGAAATGGAAGTTGATGAGAAACCAGAAAGTACTGTGGCAAACAAGGAGCTAGAATTACTTTTCAAGAAATTGATCAGAATGCTCTTGAACACCAAAGCAGAAACTCAAATTGTTAAAACTGTTAAGACTCTTTTGAACTCATCTGCTAAGGAACACGAGCTTTTCAATGAAAACTTTGAGAAATTGATTTATAATATTGTTAATTTGAATTATGGTATTAAATTGCTCAACTTGGTGATTGACGGTATTGGGATTTTGAATTTCAAGTTCAACAATGATGCCGACAAGATGACGGAATTGATCAAGTACGCTGGTTTCAAGATCAGAGAAGTAATGAAGTTTGAACCTATTGAGGAAGTTTTGGATGAGATTATTTTGGCCTGTGACGCTAAGCTTGAACGTTCTCGTCACGCTGACTTGAAGTCCAAGATGAAGAACAAGAAGAAGAATAGCAAGAAGGTTGACAATAGGCCTATTGTTTCTACTAACAACGTTACTTCTAACTCCGTTGTTGATGGACCAAAGATTGTGTCGGTCAAGAACAACAAGGTTGACGAGAAATTGAATGCTATTGTGGGCTTTGAAGGAGGGTTCAGCCAAGACGAGAAGTATGGTGATAAGATTCCACCATATTCTATTGAAAGATTAATAAATTTGTAATTTTAGTGGCATTTCAAATAAAAAATTATTATATTTTACTATTTTTAGTTGTAGTATGATGCTAGGACAAGTAGTATAGTATAATACTAATGATAATAATGTATATATTCTGCGTGCGGAAAGTAATGGTTTTTAGTTCTGAGCCCTTGAGGAGAGCACACGCAAAAAAAAAACCACCGGCAGAAGAAAATTTTGAAATTTCGAAATGAATGAAAGAAAACTGGAGGGTTTGAATCAATAATTGATAATAACATAAATAATGATAAAGACATTATTTGGGAGCAAAGTTTGCTCGGCCATTTCCAGTCGAGGTGCCCAAAACTCTGTGCGTACATTCAGTACTGCCATGACCAATAGCCAAAAAAAGAATGATGCTTTACAAGACCAACACCTTTCGTCGTTAAAACAGTATTATTCAGATGACTTGATAGATTCAATAAAGTTGGCGGAATCACACATTGATTCAGCTCACTGGCAGAACCGTAAACCATCGACTAAGTTTTCCCCACCATACTTGGATAATTTCAAAGAGATTGACCCATACTGGGATCATTCATCGCAACCCCAAGCAGATTTCACCAAGCCTTTGCAACCATTGGAAGGGAAAGATATTCCAAAAGGTGCTATTGTCAAGGATGATACTGTCAAAGACGAGGCTTCTCTCAATTTATCCAAATTGACTGGTCTCTCAGAAGAGTACTTGCGTAAATTGACACATAAAGTGCTTGTGCAGAAGACCGTTAGAAACAAGACCAAGAAAGGTAATATCAATAGTTTGTATGCTTTGGTCATTGTTGGTGATAAGAATGGTATGATCGGGGTCGGTGAAGGTAAGGACAAAGTGAGTGGTCTGGGAGCTGTCAACAAAGCTATCTGGAATGCCAAAAAGAATTTGAGATATATCCCAAGATTGGAAGATAGAACTATTCTCGGTGACATTGACTTCAGATACCATGGGGTCAAGTTATTTTTAAGATCTGCTCCTCCAGGTTTTGGTTTGAGAGTCAACCACTTCATTTTTGAAATTTGTGAATTGGCCGGTATCAAGGATTTGTCTGCCAAGGTTTACAAGGCCAGAAACGGTATGAACATCACAAAGGGTACTATCGAAGCTTTGTCAAGGGGAAGATCCTTGCAAGACGTGGCTTTGGCCAGAGGTAAGAAGATTGTTGACTTGAGAAAGGCTTATTACTCTCCATAATTGTTACCTTGTTATTCTCCGGAATAGACGTTCAAGCATGTTTTATTTTGTTTTGCTATCTTCTGTTTTGTGTTGTTTCTTTTGCAAATACTAGACATAATCTGTATATATATATATATGAAACCCTGTGGAACTTTACTGTATGTCAGAAATACTACTATAACTTGATGTAAGAGTGAGAGAAGTTGTCACATGACAGGCCAATTTTTTTTAACAGAATGTTTGAGTTTTGTGCGCATTCACTTATGGTGAGGCCTCAGTCAAATTAATTAATTAATTAATTGTTTGGTTGCTTGAGATTATAGACATCGTGTTTGCTGTTGTTTTTCTCCTTCTATTATTATTCATTTTGCTGGTTTTCCTTTTTATCATTTCCTGTTGAATCGTTGATCTGCTGATATAAGTGGATCCCAACTACAACAGTAACTAACCTAATAGATTCATATCTCCACAAAATACCTTGATATCAAAAAATACAAAGAAAAAATAAAAACAACAACACAAGAACCCAATAACAAAGCCAATAATACTAAAAATGGTTGTCGATACTACATACTACAAGACATTGGAAGTGGAAGTCGATGCCAGTGCCCAACAAATCAAAAAGGCCTATCGTAAACTTTCATTGAAGTACCATCCGGATAAAAACCCTGCTCCAGAGGCAAAAGAGAAGTTCCAGGACATAACAGCAGCTTACCAGGTGCTTTCTGATGAGCAACTAAGAGCAAAATACGATAAATATGGTAAAGAATCCGCAGTGCCAGAACAAGGGTTTGAAGATCCGTCTGAATATTTTGCAATGATCTTTGGTGGGGAAGCATTCAAAGATTATATTGGGGAATTGACGTTGTTGAGGGATTTGGCAAAGACCACCGAATTGTCCCAAGAAGCTGAAGAGACCGCTACTGAGACCACTGGGAAGGAAGAATCTAGTAATAATAGTTCTGCCACAAATAATAATGAACCATCTAACTACTCCCAGCCACCGACCATGGCAAGATTAACTCTTGAAGATAAAGTAATACCAGAAACTGGAAATCATCAGCAGACTCACTCTCCTCAGCATGTTTCTAACGATATCTCAATTGCTGAACAACAAAAAAAAGAAGAAGAAGAAAGAAAGAGAAAAATTGCCGAGAAGCAGAAAGAAGAGTTGAAGAAATATGAAGAAGAGGCCAGATTGAAAAAAGAAGAAACAAGAAAAGAGTTGGTGAATACCTTGATTTTGAAATTGTCAATTTGGACCGAAAGTCCTATGGATAGAAATTGTGCCATGGCGTTTGAAGAAAAATACAAGGCCGAAGCAGAGTTACTCAAGATGGAATCTTTTGGTTTGGATATACTTCACACTGTTGGGGACGTCTATATTTCTAAAGGTACTATCTTCATTAAAAGTCAGAAATTTTTGGGAATGGGCGGGTTCTTCTCATCAGTTAAAGAAAAGGCAGGTGTGGTAAGTGATACTTTCAAGACCATTTCTTCAGCTTTGGATGCACAATCAACAATGGAAGAGTTCACAAAAATGCAAGAAAAGGAAGAAGGGATCCCCGAACCAACCCCTGAGGAAATTGCAGAAATGGAAAAATTGCTTATAGGTAAAGTGTTAGCCGCTGCTTGGCATGGATCGAAATTTGAAATTCAAGGTACCGTCAGAAGTGTTTGTGATTCTATACTATACGATAAGCAAGCACCGTTATCCAAGAGAATGGAAAGGGCTCAAGCTTTAGTCATATTGGGGAAAGTTTTCAAAAAGACCACTAGAACTGCTGCTGAAAATGAAGAAGCCAGAGTTTTCGAGGAATTGGTGGCGGAGGCCCAAAAACACAAGGGTAGAAAACAGACCAAGAAAGCCAAAAAGGAAGAAAAGGATAAAGTTGCTGGAGGGGCTGCTGCTGATGCATTTGCTTCAGTTGCAGAAGACCATGATAATTTGAATGGGAGATCAGGAATTTGACATATCTTTGGATCATCAATTTTTTTTTTTCTTCATCCCTCCTGTCTGTTTTATTTTTTTAACTTTTTTTTTTTCACACACCATTAATAATGACCATTAGGGTCCCCTATATCTATAGCTTCTTTGTTATTCGTTTCTTTATTTATATATCGTTTTTCCACTTTTCGCATTTCAGTCTTTGTCGCGCTTTCACAAATCTACAAAGTCAATAAATAGCACACTTCCTTTGTGTAGTTATAATTATATATATCTAACGATTTTCTTACATTCTGAACTGATCATAGATATTGAATAATATAATCATATATAGAGCAGTTAACGGCTAAAGAATAGTATGATTATTACTAGTGCTGTGTAACATATACCGCCAGTATTGTTCATTTATTCGCTAAGCATCTCGTAGTCTTATTATCTCCTGATCCTCATCTCATCAAACTATTCTTTTAGCTTTATTGCCCCTCTATTCTTATTATCTATTTGAAGTCTTACTGAATCATATATCACTCACACGTATGTTATCCTAAGAAATTCAAGTTAAATATCATATGCTGATATTACTGTAATGACTATTCGTATTTATCATGATACCGATAGAGTTCTTTTTCATTAGCAGTTTAATCGAATGGATTAATACGACCTATAAGGATCATAAAGAGTCATCATTGTTAAGGCCTTTCATTTTCATCATATCTGCCGGAGAGTGCTTATTTTCGTGCATGCTCTGTTTATATTATACACTACTACATACCACGATAATAATAATCAATAATATTTCTGCATTCGATTTCTCTCTATCATCTAACCATATTACAATATCCAATAGAATCGGTGATGTGTGTGTCCAATCAATAGTGATGGTTATGGAGATCCCATATACTTGGCACAATGATTAAACACATCTTATAACAGGGAACGAAAAAAAGTTATATGAAAAAAAAAAAAAAAAAAACTGCTGCTGCTGCTATTCATATCGTATATATACCCATCAATACTTATTATATACCATAATGATTATATCCAACCATGCTATCAAATACTACGATCCCTTCATCAATTCTACTGCTCCCGCTGGAACTCGTCCTCGTGATATTCAACTATGTGAATGATTATTCCCAACTTTTGAAACTTCGTGCAGCATTCCAACATCACAAGAACCTCTCGGGACTTGTTGAATGCATTGACTCGATTGTCTTTGCGAAAATCGTGGTTTCTTCGGCTGATGACCATCGACATAATTTGCATAGTTTTGTTAGATGTGATCTGTTTAATTTGTCTACCAGTAATGATGACACCCAACCCTCCATGATGTGGGTGCATACCACAAAAGAACGAAATCTATCAAAGATTATTACCACGAATCAAACTTGTCATCCTTTGTTAATTGACTTTAGTGACCCCGTGGAATTATCACCTTTCAAACCTTACATCAGAGAAATAGCCATCAACCCCACCCCAGTGCTTGAAAATCAGGGCTGGGAAGAAGATTCTCATGATCGACAACAACAGCAACATGGCGGCATGAAATTTGTGGAGTTTATCAACAGTTTGCCTAGCTTGATGTCATTGAAAATAAATCAGACACTATCCATGAATATCAATGTTCCAATACGGCATTTAGATATTGGCAATCTTGGAAATTTAGATTATTTAAATCTATCGCAACTAAGGACATTGAAATCTCAGGTACGCCAATCGCTAGATCCTTATGACTTACCATTGCTAACTGATGTCACTTATACTTTACAAAATCTCAACGTCAATGGTTTCCATTGGTCCAGCTCGGGCCAGCTTGAACGGTTGAATATCCAGTGTATGATCGGTCAAGTAATCATCAACAATTTCACTAACCGATACTTGCCGTGCCTAAAGAAGATTTCCATTACCAGCAAGATGTTTGCCCAAAGACGACCGAAATTGTACCTTGTTGATCCTTGGGATCTCTCTACATTGACCCATTTGACAATATCTCAAGCTGTATTAGACCCTGCATCACCAATATCAAAGATACTTAATGGTACATCCAATTTACAAGAGTTGAAATTGGATAATGTCGATCTTAAATCAATAAACTACTTGAATCTTTCAGAATTTACTAAATTGAAGAAACTTTGCTTATCTTCTAATCCACTACCAAATTTCGAAGGAATTGAGTTGGCGGGTCTGGATCTTGAATATTTGGAAATTAAGCATTGCAAAGTCACCGAGATCCCGAAATTTCATCATGATGGTGGCCATCCTCCCCTTACTTCACAATTTCCAAAATTACATACTGTGAATTTTTCAGATTCGCAAATCTCCAAGATCAGAAACCTTCAAACGTTAACCAATTTAAAATCGTTGAACTTATCATTGGGGAATATTTCTGAGGTAGAGAACTTGGAATCCTTGATAAACCTCGAAGAATTGATCGTTTCCACAAACCAAATCTCAAAGATTGATAATATTAGATTGCCGAAACTTAAAGTGTTAAATTTGGCTAATAATTTCATTAGTAGAATTGAGAACTTAGACCAGGCCCCAATGCTTCAACAATTAGATCTCCTGAATAATAGGATTTCTCGGATCGAAAATTTGGACTTTGGTTTATCCAATCTTGAGGTTTTATCATTGAATAAAAACAAATTGATTAAAGATATAGGACGCTTGCAACATTTGAAAAAATTGAAAAAATTGGGATTGGCAAGATTGGGAGTAGTTACGGGATCTGACGCGATCAATAAAATCACCAAAGATAATACCGAGGTAGAGGTAGAACTTTGGGGAACAATTTTTGAAGACAGGCTTGAATATGGAAGGGGAAAGGTCAAGAGATTGAAAAGATAAGAAGTAGGGGGTTTAAAACAAATTCCCTTTCTGTGTATTATGAATTCTTTACAATTAGTTCTTATATTGTGGAAGATTTTTTTTTTTTTTTTTTCGAGCCTAAAATATGGCTTATCATAAATTTCTTTAAACTCTGTAATATTTGACACTTCAGCCTAATCATAGAACCTCTCTCTATTACTATTATTCCATATTGGGTAAATATCGTCAACCAAATCATCCTAGATTTAATTGAGTAATTCTTGCGGAGTTTTCAAATGTGTTTGGACGAATCTTTCTTCGAAGAGTAAACATACGCTGGTGATATACAAACGGAACCTGGACTACTACTTTCATGGATAGATAAATCGGTAATGGTTTGCTTATCAGTGCAAGTAGATACTACTAACTTCAATAAGTACCGTATGGCAGGCACCATAAGATTTCCTAATCGAGCGAATTTTACAATAAAGGATGGCTAAAATCCTATAATAACTCAGATTAGTAAATTATATAGTTGAGTAGTGAAGCAGAACAATGAATATTGACTTGACGGAGCCGAAAGAATCTTATCATAGTAAATGAGCTCGGCTAATGATTCCAATGATCCTGTCATTGCTGATGCACTGAACAATTCAACTACTCTGTCTGATTGGGCTTCTACTGCTACTGCTAATCAACAAGCGGGTGACACTCACTAACTAGCTCAGCTAGTGACTCCCATCATCACTTTTCAGTGACACCAAGAAAAGTGAAAACGGAAATGCATCCCATCATGCAATAGTTAGTTAGAACTTAACTTGGGCTTTAAATTTACTGTGAGAAACACCCAGGCCCACTGCACAAAAGTCACAGGAGTGAGCGTCTAGAGACCAGAATTCCATGCAAGTATCATACACACTTTTTTGAACGTCAGCTTTTTTTTTTTCTTGACAAAATCGACAGTTCTGGAGCTGGAAAATATTCTTATTCGGTAATAAATGATTACTAAGGGGTGGCTCACACTCTCAAAGATTGAGTGGTCAAAGTTATACCTGGATCGGATGATATGTATGATAAGAAGATGTTTCTACTGGCAAAACATGCCTGGATACCGTAATGAATGACAGTATGAAGAGGTGGTATATAATAACACCCCTAGAATTGCGGAATTTTTCTATTGGTCGGTCACCAAGGGAAAAAGTAACAAAAGACCCGTATTTATCTAACTAGCATTAGTGTGTGATAGACAGTTCCCACTATCATTCATTATTAGTATATGATGGATAGCTTATTATGCAAAATAAATAAATTGCCGATTTTGTAAAATAAAATTTACTATCAAAATATCAAATTCTTTAAAACAACTCTATTTTGGTAAAAGACAAAAAATAAATATAGAATAAACAAGGGATAATACTTATAATAATAATAATAATAATAGTAACAAACAGAAGTGAAATTGTAACAAGAATCTAAAGACGCTGCAAACAAAATTCTAAAGTAATTTCTTTTCTTTTTCTTTTTTTTTCTTCTAAATTGATAACGCAATAATAATAAAAACAAGTGATAGTTAAAACAGGATCATCAAAAAAAAGAAAAAATCAAAAGTAGGAAAAGATTGGATAGTGTTCACGACTTAGAAAAAAGCAACAGACGGAGGTGAAAAAGAAAATGAGAGCTAAACAAACAAATAAAATAAAATAGGAAAAAAAAAAAAAAAGAAAACGGGAAAGAAAAATAGATGATGAAATAAGAAAATAGTGTAATGAAGTTGAAGTATCAGCTTATAAGGAGAGGAAAAAGCTGGATAAAAGGTATTTTGAGTGAGGTTCTTATTGATCCTTGATCAGAAGAAAGCCCCACAAAGTAAAATTGAAGAAAAGATTTTGTCAGTTTTGGTTTTATTCACTTGAAGCAAAACAAACCCACCAACGACGCGAAACAAAGAAATAATGACAAAAGGAATGTGAGAAATAGTTGGGATATTAGCTTTAGTTTGGACGAGAACTAATAAATGCACAGGATATATAATATATTTTATCATATCCATCCTTCTTCCAATGGATTGGTCATTTGAGGAATGATGGTGGCAACATCTTCTTCGTCTTCTCTTCCTTCTCTTCCAAGCATATCCCATTCGTCTTCGTCACTGTTGTAATATTCATCGTCACTTCCTTCTTCTTCACTACTTTCATCAAACCCGTAAACTTCTTCCGTTACCACTCCTGGAGCAACATTGAATTCACTATCACCACTATTTGTTAGATATGATCTGAACGAAGCATAACTCATTCTTCTATCTAATGAGTGGTTTGCAGGCAAGTATGCTGGGTTAACAAGAACTTTCTTTTCTTCTTCCGCCATGGCCGCTTTTTCAGCAGTGGCGATCGATTCAGCGTCTTCTTCCGCCAATGGTAAGATGATATTACCATGTTGTTCGGTACTGAAAGGTAAGGCACCTTTACGTTGTTTATAGATTCTGAAACCCACCAACAACACACTAATGTAGACAGCGGCAGAAATACCCGAGGTGGTACCAACGACTCCCAATTTCTTGTTAGCGGTGGCGGCAGAATCTTGAACAGAGTCGAAAGATCCATAAGATGAAGATGGTAACCCTTCACTTGAGCCGGAGACTTGGACAACTGAAGTATCCAGAGCAGTGGCCGCCGAAGAAGTCGAAGTCGAGGTTTCAAGCCCCACTAATGGAATATTCACATCGATCAATTGGGCCAAGGAGTTTTCGGTGGCATCAGGATTATAATAAAAGCTGGATGATGGAGTTTGCAAAGATTGGTTCAAAGCCGAGATCCAGTCTTTTGGGAAATAAACTTCGGCAATTGTCACGATATAGTTCAAAGAAGGAGATTGGAATGGCACCAATTGTTTGACACTGACTTTAGAAGTATCACTGAATTGATAAGATAAAGTGGATGGCAAGTATTGGAACACTTGAGCCGAGGCTAAAGAGTGAGCAACGACAAAAGGATAGTTCAAGCCTGCTTTGAAACCAATGGTGATAATGGTGTAGTTTTCAGAAACTTCCATTTGAGTAGCTGGGGCAATGGCATTTGGCAATTGAGGAGTACTAGAAGTTGCACTAGCAGAAGTAGCAGAAGTGGTATCAGATTCAATTGATGATGGAACCCAATTGGAACTAGAAGACGAGGTGCCAATAGTAGTAGTTTGAGATGATTTAGAGGCCAATGCACTAGAAAGGGCAACGGTGGTGGCCACAAAAGTACCAGAAGATGGTGAGAAAATCACCACCGATTGTTGGCTGGAACTGGTAGAGCTTGGAGCAACAGTAATGGCGCTGGAGGATGAACTGAAAGATGCGGTATCAGTAGTCAAAGTAGCGGCACTGTTAACAGAAGTGGAGCCAAGAATGGTAGTACTGGAGAGTTCAGAAGTTGACACTCCGATGGCAGAAGAGACAGTAGGAGCGCTGGAACTTTCACTAATAGTATTAGAGATAACGCTGGATAAAGTGCTCATTGAGGCACTAGAGGTAGTGACGGCAGCACTTGAGGCTTCAGTTGACAAAATAGAAGCAGTATCGATTGAGCTAACAGTACTACTCAACCCGGTTGCTGCACTAGAAGAGACAATACTTGATGAAGAAAGTTCACTAGAGGCTACACTAGCAGTAGATGTAATGGCGATAGATGAATCAGTGGTGGTAGGCAAAGAGCTTGTGGATGCCAATGATGAAGCTGTTTCGCTGCTAAGAATTGTCACTGATGAAGAAGCGGTGAGAGCAGAAGAAGAGCTAGCGACTTCCGAAGTGGACGCAGTTACAGAGGAGGAAACATCTGAAGAGGTGGCAATCACGGAAGTGGATGCAGTCTCTGAGGAAGTTGGAATCACTGAAGAGGTAGCAGTTTCAGAAGAACTTGAAATTACTGATGAACTGGCGATTGCAGAGGACGACGCAGTTAAGTCAGAAGAGGTTGCAATCACAGATGAAGAAGTAATTTCAGAAGAGGTAGCCACAGATGAAGTGGAAGCGATTTCAGAAGAGGTAGCCACAGATGAAGTGGAAGCGATTTCAGATGAAGTAGCCACAGATGAAGTAGAAGCGATTTCAGATGAAGTAGCCACAGATGAAGTGGAAGCGATTTCAGATGAAGTAGCCACAGATGAAGTGGAAGCGATTTCAGAAGAGGTAGCCACAGATGAAGTGGAAGCGATTTCAGAAGAGGTAGCCACAGAGGAAGTGGAAGCGATTTCAGAAGAGGTAGCCACAGATGAAGTGGAAGCGATTTCAGAAGAGGTAGCCACAGAGGAAGAAGTAGTAGCGGCTACAGAAGAAGTAGAGGCAACTTCAGAAGAGGAAGTGGCAGCTGCGGCTGAAGTGGAGGTAACAACATCAGAAGAGGTAGCAGCTGCGATTGAAGAGGAAGAAGCAACATCAGAAGAGGTAGCGGCCACAGTAGAGGAAGAAGTAACTTCAGAAGAGGTAGCGGCAACAGATGATGAAGTAGCTTCAGAAGAGGTAGCAGCCACGGTAGAGGAGGTAGTAACATCAGAAGAGGTAGCAGCAACAGATGATGAAGTAGTAGCCTCAGAAGATGAAGATGTGGCGGTACTTGGATAAGAAGTGGTGGCTTCCACTGTTGTGGTTGTTGAAGGGGTACTGGAAGTGGTTTCTGAAGCAGATGTTGTGGTGGTGGTATCAGAAGAAGTTGAACTGGAATCAGAAAGAGTTGAAGTGGTAGTGCCATCGACTACCAAAGTTTCAGAGCCAGAAGTTGTTGTGTATTCTGAGGTTGATTCTTGAGATGTGGTTGAAGAGGCCAGAACATAGAGAGTGGTAGCCACGGCATCTCCGAGGTTACTGGATTGTTGCACTGAAGAAGTAGTAGAGATGACTGTATCGTTGGCAGCAGCACCTTGTTCAACAGAATCTCTCTTTTTCACTGCCTTTGCAATAAGACGGTTAAAGTACGCGTTTTCTTCATTGCCTTCATTCTGGAGATCTAGGTTATTGCCAAATAGGTTTTGAAGATTCAACGCAGAAGCCAAAGATATACAGGCCAACAATGCGGTAGATCTGACAAGGACCATTATAAAAGAAGACCAAATAAGAGAATGTGTAAAACAGATATCACTGATGGAGGTTCAGGAGACGGCCTTCTTTATTTATTTTTGTTTTATTTTTTTAGTTGGAGAGTGATTATATGTTTGAGAACTCCCAGGCAAAAGAAAAAGAAAAGGGGGGAGAGGATGAAACAAACAAAAAAAAAACAACAGGTAAGATGAGGTTGTGTAGGGGTGATCTTGTGTTGTTGATAATATTGTTTTTGGAAGGGTATAATGGATCAATGTCCTTTGTTTGCCAGAAATAACAGTTGTTGATGGGGTATTATAGATATAGGGTAGCGAAGGTGGATGGTTGTAAGATTAATCGCGACGTGGGAGGCCTCAAATTTTTTCCTCTTGTTCTTTTTTCCCAGATCGCCGGATTGGGGGGGTGGGACCAGCCCCGGTGGTGTGTGGGTTGTCTCTCGCCCCGCGGTGTCAGGGTGGTGCGTCAGAAATTGTGCGTTGAGACACGTACTGTTGCAGTAGACTGCGCGGGAATGCGTTTGACACACCGGCAGGGCGCACAGCAGGGATTGTTAGCAATTGGCGTTTTCATTTATGTTTTCGTTTTCATTTTTATTTTTATTGTTATAATTGTTGTTGTGGGCCATCACTGGTCGTCGTCACCATTACCACACACACGGGGTGTAGTCCCCCCCCTACAGTGGAGATATTTGTTGCCATTCTCAGTAATACGCTTTGCACTGCACTATTCCCAAACCAGTAGCGGTTACAAGGAGATATAGATATCGATTGGTGTCAAGTTGTGCTAAAGTCCAGAAGGTATACACAAATCGATGTGGTGCTTTGACAATATATTCTGTGTCCCATCTGTATATAGATTGCTCCTGCCATTTGATCCATCATCTTCTATTTTTATGCGCAAACTACAAGATCTTTGTTTTATATGTGCACATCCATCTATTGGGCGACCTGCATATATAGGTGATTAGTATTATTGGTCATATAAAATGATTTTCACGATAGTGCAATTTAGAATCTGCAATTTAAAATGGAATTTTTTTTTTTTTTTTTTTGAGACGCCTGGATCAATACATGTACGTGTTGATTAATATAGATATATATATATATATATATATATGTATATTTATAATATATTAATATAGCGTATTCGTAATTGTAAACTGTGGGTTTCATATATCCCTCAAGTTTCAGTGTAGTATAGGTGGCCAATGCCTTTTTTTTTCTTCCTATAGAGTACGTTAATTGGCATTGCAAGAAATCTCCTTATAGTTACAAATTATTAGAAGTGTTCAGTCCATTTCAGAGTTTTTTTCGAACCAGAAAAATTTACTCTGTAAATTAAGAAGAAAGAAAAGAAAAAAAAACTCTCTTTGCAAACCATAACTAGATAGGAAAAACAATTTCTCATGAGGATTTTTTTTTTTAGACTATTCATCCTGCAGTAAGTAGCCTCGACGTATGCTATTTCTAACCAAGATCTACCTTGAGCTAATGTAAATTATTTGACTCTTTTTTCTTCTTCTCCTATTTCTTTTTTTTTTTGGTTGTATGACTCCAGGGTAAAACCCTTCAATTCACTTCTAAACTTATCAACGAGTCAACGCCATACATTAACAATACTCGTCTGTAATCTTTTCCTTCAACTTCGTAACTCAATTATGGCTCTATTGTTCAATATATTGTTTTTCACTCGCTTCTTGCTTGATAAAAAAAAAAAACAAAGGATACTAGTATATCCTCTTAGCTTGGTGTGTGGCATTTATAAACCTAAATAGGAAGGTGGTGTCAAACCTTGGATTGGGTCCTTAATGACCAAAAGCAACCCAAGAAATTAATCAAATGATAAAATATTCATTATGAAATGATATTCATGGTAATAATTCCCATCATCATAGCACAATTTGTAAAGATTTTGTGACTAACTATCGACTATGACATAAGAAAGTAAAAACTCAACTACATACGAACGTACCCTCAAACACTCTGCAGAATATTGCGAATGGCAAAAAAGGTGATTGATAACCAACACCGCTTTTCAAAAAAGCTCTTGCTTCAAGTTTAAATAAGTAAATTTGAAGATTCTGATTGCAGTTAGTTCTTAAAATATACTCCCAATCACTTTTGTGAGAATTTATCAAAATGTTTGAGAGAAAAAAAAAAAAAAGGAGTGTTTTGGATTTTTGGATTCCATGATAACTATAATAAATATGTTACTGTCAAACGATAATGCTCTCTGATCATCTCGCTATTCTATTTATTTATTCTATTTATTTTTCCTCTTGAATTAATATTTTTCTATTATCTCTTTATGTCACCCTTACTGATCATTAAGTCTAGCTGATACGTATTCTAAATCCAATGTACTGTGCTCTACTTTTTAATAATGATACATTAAAATCTCTCCCTCCTTTTCATTGACTATACTGTCTTCAAATATAAGAATTCGACCAGACCTTCTTCATATATATAAATCTCTGCAATTCTAATTAGACCGAATTTCTCTGGTTACCTCCTCTCTTGCAAAAATGGGTCAAATTCCTTCGGTTTCCTCCTCTCCTCTTATAGATGGACTGGATTATTTTTTATTTCCTCTTTCCCCTTATAAACATTAAGCCCCTCAAACGAGAATTACCTATGTTCAACTAAATTAAATGTCCATCCAATCTGATATGGGTCACCCCCAAAGAAAATCTGACTCAAGAGCCCCTAATCCATTGATTGAATTATGAGTCCAAATTTATATTACATACTCATCATTGGGAGATCCTAAATATCAAAGAATATCATACACCTATCATTTCGTAGTCAAGGAATACAAATTTTCTCTCTGGTAATAATACTATTTGATTACCACCCACCTTCCTCTTCTTCAAATCAAAAAAAAAAAAAAAATCAACAATATTACTTATTATATAATCTGTTACACAATGCAAACCCTTTTTCGCATTACTACTAGAGCCAGACACTACAACACAATAGATTTTTTTTGTTTTGTTTTTCAAAATAAATGTTCAGAATTGATCAAATGATTAACTAAAAGAAAAACTGAATCTATAAAACATAACTAGAGTACACGTACATAATTAGAAGAGCAAGGGCAAGAGGGGAGGGCTTTTAAATAAAAATAAACAAAAAAACAAACTCAACTCAACTCAAATCACTGATTCTTGCCAACAACCCAGCGATTTGCAAGTACGAAGAAACCCCTTCTAAAACTCTCATGTGAGTGATCCCGATTTCTTTCATCATCTCCAATCTTTTCTCTTCATTAATTTCCACTAACCCTTTGATGACTCTAAAACTAGTGGTGACAATATCAATTGGCGAGTACCCTTTCTTCCACAATTTATCTAACTGGGCGATACTTTCTTCAATTGATCCATTGTTGGCCGCCACAAGCATTGATCTAATAACCAATGGATGTGGCTGATCAACCACTTTGAAAACATTCTGCTCGTTCACGAATCCAAACCCCGATACCGTACTTTGCAAATTATTGATCGCCTGTCGCATGTCCCCTTCGGCGGTGAATATCAACGCTTGTAATCCATCGTTCGAGTATTCGACTTTCTCCATCGCCGTGACTTCCAATAATCGATGTAATATCTCGGCATCGGCAAGCCTCAGGTACCGCAATATCGCACACCGAGACTGGATCGGTTCGATGATCTTACTGCTCTGGTTACACGCGAACGCAAATCTGGTGGTGTTGGAATATATTTCCATGGTCCGTCTCAACGCTTGCTGGGCCCCCGGGGTCATGGAGTCAGCTTCATCGAGAATAATAATCTTGTGGCGTCCTGGTGGCAATTGTACTTTCTTTTGGGCAAATTGTTTGATCTTATTACGCACCACATCGATCCCTCGATCGTCACTGGCATTAAGCTCCAATACTGCTTCGGAATAACTGGTCCCAAGAAGCTCGTGGGCAAGACAGTGAATGGAGGTGGTTTTCCCAATCCCTGGAAGACCCAGAATGATCACATGGGGCATATTCCCATCTTTGGCAATGACTTTAAGACGGGAGATGGTATCGGGATTACCCACCACGTCTTTCAACACTTTAGGACGGTATTTCTCAACCCAAGGAAGTTCCAAAATTAATGGGGGCATGATTATTGTGTTTATATGTTTTGAATGGAAATTGAAAAAAAAAAAAAAGTTTGCTTTCTTTTAAGAGTGGTTATCAGGGAAAGATCAAACTGTGGTGAATTGAAAGGTCTCATCAAATTTGATATCATTTTGGGGTGATTTTTTTTCCCCCAATTTTTTTTTTTTTTTTTCGCGTCGCGGATGTTCCAAAACGACGGGATCTTTCAAGCACTCAGAAAAATCACTTACTTCTGGGCGGTGGGAAAAAAGAGACAGGGAGATAGATGAGATGAGATGAGGCTTCTCTCCCCATAATATAGACTTGCATAATATGCTGGAACCCTTAACAAATGGTAGTGCCACAGATTTGCAATTCCTGGCAACACCCCTTCAATGGAAAGCCATCGAATTCCCCCCAGCATCGAACACCATCACCGCAATCCTCGCCGGCCCAGGGTGCGGGAAAACCAGAACTTTGATCTTACGGTGCTTACACATGATGTCGATTGGGATCCAACCCCATGAAATATTGGTGTTGAGTATGACCAATAGTGCGGCCCGGCATTTGAAATCAGAATTACGCAAAGTATTATCACGAGAAACGTTGCAGCAGACAGATACTGAAGTGGTTGGCGCCGTTGAATCGTTGCCACCTTCAGAAATAGAATACATTATTTCCAATATGAACATTCTTACATTCGATTCGTTTGCCGGACAAATCATTGCTGCGGATCGTGGGTCACCCATGAAAATCCTCGATCCTTCCTATTACGATGATATTATGTATTTGACCTCGTCGTCCAGACAAACTGGGAGGAACCATACTGCTTCGGTACGTTCGCGAATTGATAAATGGCCGCTTGATGCTCGAGACCACGTTATTGAAACCGCGTTGAATAAGTTACGAGATACCGAAGGGCTCGCGACGTTTGCCTGGATCCGGTACCGGACGCTTCAGTTACTAAGCACCAAATTTAGCCTGGTGGTGGGGGTCGGCAGATATCGAGTGCTTATGATCGATGAGTTTCAGGATTTGTACGGTGATTTATTACGTATGGTGGAATTAGTGGCGGTGGAAGATCGTGGGTTGCATTTGACTGTGGTGGGGGACGCCGATCAGAGTATTTATGGGTTTTTAGGATCGATCGACACTGATAAGAAGTTAAAACAGGTGGAGCAAAAATCGGGGAGACAATTGCAACAAATTGTGTTGAACGAATCTTTCCGAAGCACCGGAGAAATCATAAAGTTTTCCAACCAGTTGACATCGACGAAACTTGTGAATTATCATCAGGATGGCAATGATGATCTACCAGTGTCTCATGAGTCTTTCTCGCTGGCTTTGGAAAGGGCCGATTTTGTCGCCCGAGAAATTAAAAGATTGTTGCGCCAGTCGATTATTACCTCTCTTAGTAACGTGCTTGTGCTCACTAGAACCAACCGTCCTACATCATTAATGGAATCTTTCAATTTCTACGGTATCAAGTTCCATAAACGACAATCATCGGTGCCGGGATGGATGTCCGGATCCATTAGTCTCATTCATTATCTCCAAGTGTTAGCAAATCCCCAAGAATTTGAATTCTCCATGATTTGCGTGATGATGCTGATCCTGGGAATGTCGCGTCCTTCAATGGACGTTGTCCAACGGAAGTTTGAGGCCTGGCAAAAAACTAAACCAGGAAAAGCGGCGAGTACCCTTTGGGAGTACTTGATAGATCCTAGTACCAAACACAGTAGTAAAAAAGTGATCCGGTTCATTGAAACCACGAATCATTGGCGGGATAGGATCCAAGGTGGTGGGAAAGATGGAGCAAAGTTGAACAACCCTCAAGATCTATTCAATGCGTTATTACAATATATTGCAGATTTGGATAGTGCAAGGAGAATAATTAGTACTAATCTTTTGGTTTCAGGGACGGCGCGTGATGAATTAGAAAAATTTTATCTTGGGTTGAAAGATGCTTCGGTGGTTCGTGAAGCCAAACTCCAAGAGATGCTGCAAAACCAATCCAATGAAATGAATAATGTCTTAGGAGAAGAGGCAAGTGTCATGAGAGATGAACCCGAGGTTCCCGATTTGATCGATTGGTTTGTTGAAGGGTATAATGAAAGATTATACAAAGATCTGTCTCAAAGACTCGGTAAAGAAGGGGTTCCCGATGATGCGGTCCAAGTGTCAACGATCCATGCGGCGAAAGGATTGCAAAGTCCGGTGGTGTTTGTTCTTGCCGATACTACTTATGCATCATTGGCTTCCAAACAGAAACACGAGCTCTCATTGCAGGAACCTTCATCGCCGAGATCCATGTACCAACGAGGCTCAAAGATTAAGCGGCACTGGGATGAAGAAGAAGTAAGGGTTCATTACGTGGCGACCACGCGAGCCCAGAAGAAATTATATTTTTGCGAATTACACGATCAGTTTGTGAGAATTGGCGGGTCGTCTCAGTATATTGAAAATCCATTAGAGATGAAGAACCGAAGCACCCCAGGGTTTCCTAATAAAATTGCTAGTGGTGATCAATTACAAAATGCTAGGAAGAGAATGTATAGTAGTTGGCACAGACCAATGGGAAGATATAATTTTGGGGGATCAATGAGATTTGTTGGCAGGGTTTTGCGAGTGGTGCTTAAATAGTTTTTTGAATGGCTATTTAAGTTGGCAATTTCTATACTACCAAGGTGATTGATTGCGGTTTGCAATTTGTGAAGTATCGCAAAAATGGGACGATGTTTTTCAATGTAGATGTAATATAAATGAGCCTAAATGGTTTGATAAAATGCTATAAATATTCCCCCCGCTCCCACAAGGGACAGGAATAAACTATTTGTTTATTATAATAGAAGTGAAAAAAAAAAAAGGTAGAATACTGAATAAATAGAATAGAGTAGAATAGAATTAGAAATTGAGAAAGTAGTAAAAAGGAAAGAAAGGACGTCATTTTTATAAAACAGTCTTAGAGCATAATATAGCTGGGTCAATAATAACACTAAAGCACAAAATAAATGAGATAATGGCAACAACAACAACAATAGGATTAAAACATTAAAATGCTTTGTGTCTATTTAAGCCAAATCATGTTGAGACTAATTTACCCGCCTAATCTTCAACGCATTTGCCCCGGGCAACCCTTCAGGTATCCACCATCCAGATTTTTTTTTTTTTTTTTTTTTTAATTCAATGTATGCAGATATCTGTAGAATGAATTGTTACATTCCCAAGATATACATATATATATTTTAGGTAGATATGCCAGAGGAACTTCGTGGCAAGGCCCCATATAATCCGTATGATCCCACCGAAGCCCGTCCGCTCGGAGGGTACCCCAGTGAATTTGCGATTCCTGGGACGAAATCGAACTCTGGGATCATTGCCCCAGCCTCGGAATTCCAAAGGGTGAAGAACGCCATGAACCGCCTTGGATACCATCCACGTCCTCGCAGCAGTGTTTATCCTGGACAATATAAACTTCTACGACGGATAGATGATCAACGGGCCCGGTTTTGGCGAGGCGCTAAGTACGTCACCGCGGGGATTGTGGGGATCGGGTCAATATACATTGTGTTCTTCCATAGATGGAACGATGGGTACGATAGTATGTTTAGCAAGACTTATCGATTCCAATTACATATGAAGTGGTTAATTAAAGGAACGTTGACCAAGCAAGAGTTTGAGGATTTGCATCCAAAGCAGCGAGGGTACGCGGGAGCGGTGGGGCATGGAGGAACCCAGTTTAATAAGTCAAATGAAGGTGAACATGAAACGAATTTCGCATTACAGAGACCGACTAATGATCAACAAGTGGCGGCCGAAAAGCAAATGCAAGAAAGGGAAGAGAATTATTGGAAGGCGATTGATATGGCAGAAAAGATCTTGAAAGAAAAAGAGCCAGGACAGGAGAAGGTACAGAGTCTTGATACGTCTTCTTCGGAGAGTGATAAAGGGAAGAAGAAATGGTGGTGGTAGATGGCGAACTGTTTTTTTTTTTTTTTTGTATTGTAAATATATAATATATACCTTTGTCTATAATTTGTTACTTTTTCTGTAGTTTTCTCAACACGGCAATTTCATCATCATCTATTTTATGTTTTTTAGTTTCAAGGATATCAGAACCCATGGCAACTGATTGTTTATAGCTTTGATTTCTTAAACGGCCCAGGATCATCACTTTGGAAGGGTTTTCATTGATGATCTGTGCCACGCGATGCGGAGCAATATTGATGATTTTGCACATTATTTGAAGATCCAATTTTGTTTTCACTTGCACTGAACGCTCTGCCCCACTACTGATGAGGATTCCTTGGGATCTTGAGGCCCTAACAAGGTTTTTACACACCGATAAGAAGTTTTTCCTGGTGTCGGGTTGTAATACTGGGGCGTACACGATTTCGAAATATTTCCCCTTTGCTGCCCCGCTGTGGACCGCCTTGTTTCTGAGCCAATACTTTAAGTTTTCCTTGTAATTGAACGATATTATATCGAAGTCGAAGTTGGTGATGGCCACCAGTAACGCCCGGTCATTTAAAGGTTTGATGGCGATGAGATCGAAATGATCGGAGAAGAGCTTGAGTCCCGGGAAGTCTGCAGGGTCGTGGAGGGTCAAGGTGATTCTGGTGTATATTTTCAAGTTGAATTGGTGTTCAAAAAGCGATAGATCAATGGGGTTGGGCGATTTTTTCGCAAAGTCTTTCTTGGTGAGCTTTAGCGACGGGTCGAGTTGAAAGTTGAGGGCGATGTGAGTGTATTGGAGGTGCTGGAGCATTGCCAATATAGATTTTAAGGCGGCGATTTCCAGGGCCAGAGGAGCGGCGTAGGTTGTCAGGGGCCAAGGGATGTTGAGATCAAAGAGCATTTTGATACTTATTGATTAATGTCTAATAAGAAGTTGCAGTATTGCTGATTGATGTTAAATGGTGAGTTCATTTCCCCATTGAAATTTTTTTTTTTTTTTTTGATGAGAAATTGCTATGCGCAGGACAGAAGCGCTCAGTTGAAGCAACATCAGATTTCTAATGAAGAATATCACGGTTTTATATGGCAGGTATGTATATATATATGTATAATGGTGAATAATTATCAGAAGGAATAGCTACCAAAAATTTATTAAAACCGATAAAATATGTGGGGTTATATAATACAAGTAAATTCATTAACCACGGTGGAAGTTCAAGCAACTGCAATAGGTAGGATATTGACTGCTGCACTTGTCTGGCTCTTAATGACTGATATACACAAGCATACACGATAAGAGGATCATGTCGATTGGGTGATTGTTTGTACATAAATTATTGCCTGGACCGTCGACTGGAAAAAAAAAAAATTACTACAAGATCCAAATTACAATACACAACAATAGCACTTGATGTAAATCTACATCATCTCTGTAACGACGCAGAAGACGCTTTCCGACCAGAGCAGAGCCCCTTGTTGCTTGCTCAGATCGACAGGCTTGCAAGCTCACAGTTGAAGGAAGGAACGACCTTTTCTACACCTTCTCTCTACCTTACTTGATACAGATGTGCAATGGCAATAGAGCTGTCTAAGGCATATGTCAGCTATGCCCGTAGATATTATATATATATATATATATATATATATATACATGCCTGTAGATCTCTTAAGGGAATAATAATAATAATATAATATATATATAATCATGGCAAATCACCTCCTTCCCCCATATAAGTCAACGATAGGCGCCCGATAGCCTACCCCCCCACCATCCCCAAACGCCGTCTCATTTATTGGCCGACAGGCGGTGGTGGACCCTCCGCCATGGTGTGTCCTGTCAAGAGGCCCACTCCACAAAAAACTCCTCGATCCGGTACCATCAAAACCCATCGAAACCAAAAGATGCTCCAATCTGATTGAACCCCACAAAAAAAAGAAAAGAAAAAGAGGGTGGATCCCCACGTTCCGAGATCCTCCCATCACTCCGAGTAAATTACTTGGTATTCATGACCCCTGTAAACAAACCAAAAACCAAAAACCATTATAAAAAGCAGCAGTCATTCCAACCTTCCACAGTGTGCCCGATATGTAATGGATCAATCTCCTTTATACTCATCACAAACACATAACCAAAAAAAAAACAAAAAAACAAACGAATATGCCAATCACTAACGCAGCCACCAATAGCATTTATGATGCCGTCGCCGCCGTGTCCAACATCTCTTTAGACACCATGTCAGTCGAGGAACGCGACTATTTCAAGTCCGAGCATGGGATCGAGTTTCTCAATAGTACATCGAACCAGGGTATCTGTTTCGGTAACTGGCTCAGCCACCCTCAGAATGTCGTGAAGGCCGCCAAGTTGGTCAGTGAATCAGTTTCTGTGCCAAAGTCGGTGTCAGCCCCTGATTTCGACGAGTTTGTTTCAAAAGTCATTGTCCAAGCGATTGCCGTCACTGGTTCATTACAATCCAAAGGAATCAAAAACTGCGTGCTTTCCCAGATCAACCCTGATTTGGCCAATGACACCGAAGCCATTGTCAAATATGCCACCGCAATTATCAACGCCTATGCCGTTGTAGGGGTCGATAAATCAAAAGTCATTATCAAATTACCAATCACCTGGGAATCGATGCAAGCTGCTAAACAACTTACCGCTTCGGGCATCCAATGCCTTGGTACTGTATGCCATACCCTTGAACAAGCGGTGCTTGCTGCCGAAGCCGGTTGTGTGGCTATTTCTCCATACGTCGACGATTTAGGCGTCAACATTGATCCATCATCTTATGTTGTCAAGCCATTAGAAGAAAACTATGGGTACCAAATGACCAAGCAAGTCCACATGTACTACCGTGCCTATGGTATCAAGACCATCAACTGTATTGCCGCCACCATCGGGCTTGATGTGATCCTTGCCCTCAGCGGGGTCGATGAAATGACGATTCCTGTTGTGGCATTGTACAAGATGATCAACACTTCTGTTCCTGAAGGGGTTGTTACCCCAGGGTTGAAAAAGACTTATACCAAGGAAGAAGCTGGCCCTGAATTGAGTTTCATCAATGGTGGTGCTGATGCGTACAACAAGGCGTTTGAAAGTAATAAAATTGGGGTTGAAAGATATCATCTTGCCATCAATACTTTCAGCTCGTTCCAAAAGAAGGCGGAGGTGTTGGTCAAGAACTGTTTGGTCGAATATGGCATAGTTAAGGCTTGATTACTTCGAACAAAGGAGGGCAACATATGAATTATTTAAGATCTATAAAATTATAAACTAAATTATCATTTTTCGTGTTTGATTAAATCACTCTCCATCTCTGATAGATATAAAAATATTGTCATTTGCTATTTTTTTTTTTAATACGGCTAGCTGTTGGCGGCCATTCATGTAGAGTTGAGTTGAGTTGAGTTGAGTTGAATGTTGTAGTCTGAGATGCGACGCATCAAAAAACCCGGCATTGGCTCAGGATACCATACATACATACCCAGTTGACACGAAATTATCATTTTTAATCTCAATTTATTGCTAATATTGTATCTTCTATGATGCTTCCCGAAGTTTATACATCTTTGAACATGATTTCTACTTGTCATGTCCAATCTCTATGAGCAAATTATCATAATATTGTATGCTATACTCCTGATGAATTTTTAAATTAATTTTCACCATATAAAAAATAATCTTCTCAGTTGATTAAAGTGACTAGTTTGGAAGTGACAACCATGTTGGATGATTTCCGAGACGGAAGCGTGATATTCCAGTCAGGCCATACCCACCCACCCATCGTGCTGGATGTTGTTGTTGTTGTTGTTGTTGTTTGATTTGCTCTGCTTTGCGCGCGCCGGAAAAATCAGTCATGTCGCGTGGTGTTTTTGGGGTAAGGTTGACGCGTATATTTTTTCCTCCTCCCAAATATTATACCGAATATATATATATTTATATATAACTAGCCAGTTCATTGTGGGTGCTGGATATGGGCCAGTACTACTTATGTGGTGCTTCCTTAATGGGCAGACAGACAGATAGACAGACAGACAGACAGACAGACAGATATAGTAGCGATCTGGAAGAAGGAGGAAAAAAGAAGAAGAAAAAAAAAAAAAGTGACATCAAAAGTGCGAAAGTGGTGTTGTGCGTGTGGGTGCAGCAGATTGCATAGGGCAAATAGCAGTTTTGGTAGTGGCTGATACTCTTTTGTTTCGTTGTTTATTATTAACAGTGGATGATTCTCACCCACACACACGGTTGGCGATCAACGGACTATCTCGACTCAACTTGTGTGTTTGTGTGTGTGTGTGTGTGTGTGTGTCTCAGCTTTTGGCGTAAGTGGAATAGTAAGTGACACTCTGCAATGTATATATATAAATACATATATGATGATTAACAATCCATGGACACCGTATATTTGTTGGATAATAGCATTACTGGGAATAACTAGTATCTACGGGAGATGTAGGCGGAGATCAATCATTAAAAGAATCTCAATTATGGTAAATCACAACAATTACAGCCTTACCTCCTGTATTGAGTGAAAAAAAAAAAATAATAATCAGCAGTTTCCATAATTCTGGGTCAACTTTCCAATTAGGACAACAGGAAGATAGAACTTTAATTGGAAAACTGATGATAATAAAAGATTGGTCAATTGGGTGGTATATATTTTTTTTCTTCATATATGGCTACAGTGTATGTAACTACAGTACACTCCAGCTACAATATATTGTCTATCTATCTATCTATCTATCTATCTATACTAATAATATATATAACTACCACAACAATCACATCCCAGAATATCGCCAACTTGCCGCAATGAAAAAAACGTTCCCACCGCCGATCAACAAAGATGAAAATTTTCTGAGACAAAGCAAAAATCCCCGCCACCAAAAACAATGCAAAAAAAGCTTTTCCGAGGGCACAATGCCAGCACCACTCACCCTCGGCAGCCCCCCAGCCCAGGCGTGTTGCTGCACCTGAAACTAGCAATCCGACCAACCTTCCCCCAAGTTTTTTTTTTTTTTTTCCTTGTCTTCTCCCTTGTCTTTTACATATATATATATATATATTTATAACTCCTCCTCAATTCCCCCAAACACCTCCCACCCCAATTGCTATTCCTAAGTCATTCTTAACATTCAACAATGGCTAACAGTACCCAGCAAACGGGGTCTTCAACCTCGGCGTTCGTGTCGACATTGATTCCTAACCTCATCATCTTTGCTGTCTTTGTCTCCCTCTTTATTGCGCTTAAAAACAAGCAAACAAGAGTTTACACTCCTCGTACCACCGTCCCTACCGTTCCTAAAGAATGTCAACCTGACCCTTCTCCAAGCGGTGCTTTCGCATGGGTCAACCACTTGCTCAACAAGTCCCAATCGTGGATGATCCAACAAGCAGGGATTGATGGCTATTTTTTCCTCCGTTTCCTCTTCTTCTTTGCTACCGTGTGCTTCTTTGGCGCTTGCTTGATTTTGCCAATTCTTTTGCCAGTCAACGCCACCAATGGTAAACCAGACTCTAAAGGGTTCGATATCATCTCATTTTCCAACGTTGAAAACAAAAACCGTTTCTACGCTCACGTTTTCTGTTCTTGGATCTTCTTTGGGTTGATTGTTTATGGTATCTACCGTGAATTGTACTACTACATTTCTTTTAGACACGCTTATCAAACCAGTCCTTACATTGACTCTTTGACTTCTACCAGAACTTTGTTGCTCACTTCTCTTCCAAAAGACCTTGACGACAATGAAACCGAAATCAAGGCTTTATTCCCAGCCGCCACCAGCGTCACGTTTGCCAGAGATTACAAGGATTTGACCAAAGATGTTAAAGAAAGAACCAAATTGTCCAACAAGTACGAAGCCGCCCTTAACAAGGTGATCAACAAATCCGTTGGTATCAACATGAAGTTGATCAAGAAAAACAAGGAGTTGCCAGAAAAGACTAACGAAGTCGAATCTTACATCCCAGAAAAGAAACAACCACACCACAAGTTGAAGCCATTCATTGGGGAAAAAGTCAACACCATCGAATACGCCGCCGAAAAATTGCCGGAACTCAATGAAAAAATTAAGACCCAACAAGATGAATACCTCCACGCTAAGTCCATTGGCTCAGTTTTCTTGGAATTCCCAAGTCAATTAGAATTACAACGCGCTTTGCAAGCTGTTGAATATTACAAGCCTTTCAGAAAGAGTGGTACCCAAGCCGTCAGCAATGCTACTCCTGATGACATTATCTGGGATAACTTGGGTAACTCGTATTACGTCCGTTTGGGTAAGAAAGCTATTGCCGTTACCGTTCTTACTCTTATGATCATCTTCTGGGCCATTCCTGTTGCCGTGGTTGGTTGTATTTCTAACATCAATTACCTTACTGAAAAAGTCCATTTCTTGCGTTTCATTAACAACATGCCTCATGTTCTTATGGGTATCATCACCGGTCTTTTGCCAGTCGTTGCTTTGGCTATCCTTATGTCCCTTATCCCACCATTCATCAAGGCTATGGGTAAGGTTTCTGGTCTCGTTACTTACCAACAAATCGATTTGTGGTGTCAAGATTGGTACTATGCTTTCCAAGTTATTCAAGTGTTTTTGGTCACCACCTGTGCTTCTGCCGCCACTTCTGTCGTCCCAGCAATCATTAACGACCCAAGTTCTGCCATGTTTTTGCTTGCCCAAAACTTGCCAAAGGCCTCTAACTTTTACATTTGTTTTATCCTTCTTCAAGGGTTGGCCATTCCAAGTGGTGCGCTCTTGCAAATTGTCACCTTGATTTTGTCCAAGATCCTTGGTAGAGTCCTCGATAACACCCCACGTAAGAAGTGGAGCCGTTTCAACAGTTTGTCTCAACCTTCTTTGGGGGTCCTTTACCCAGTGTATTCTTTGATTGGGGTTATTACTGTTTGTTATGCCATTATCTCTCCAATCATTATTGCTTTTGCTGTGGTGGCCTTTGCTCTCGTTTATTTCGCTTACCTTTACAACTTGGTCTACGTCATGGGTCACGCTATGGACTCTCGTGGCCGTAACTTCCCAAAAGCCATGTTCCAAATCTTTGTCGCCCTTTACTTGGCAGAAATTTGTCTTGTTGGGTTGTTCGTCATGGCTAAAGCTTGGGGTCCAATGGCTCTTGAAATTGTCATGCTTGTTGCTACCATGGCTGCTCATTTGTACCTTAAATGGAGATTCATTCCTCTTTACGATGTCGTTCCAATCAGTGCGGTTTATGACGCTGCTGGTAGTGAAAACTACCACTACCCAATTGACGACCAAGGTAAGAAAGAAATTGCCGCCACTGGTAAGTCATTCTGGGATGGTACTACCAGTCCTGCTGATGCTGAAACCGTGGCCTCTTCTGGTAAAGCTGATGCTAGTGTCCACAAGCCTCAACCAACCTTTGTTGGTGGTGAAGACAATGGTGAATCTGGGCATTCTGTCTCGATGGCTGCGTTGTCTCATTTCTTTAAACCAGCTGAAAACTTGAACTTCCAAAAAACCAGATCTCACATGCCAGCTTTCCTCAATGAAACCGTTGAATATACTCCAGAACAAGTGGTTCCTTACTTGCACCCATCGGTTGTTTCTGAAGAACCAAATTTCTGGATTGGTAGAGATGAATTGGGGTTGAGTGCCACTTTGATTGGTAAGAGTAATGGTTTGCTTGTCAGTGATGAAAACACCGAGTTCAATGAAAAGGGTAAACCAGAATACACTGGTCCTCCACCAGGATACGAAGAAGCTGTTAAGGCTTAAAGACAATGATGTTTTATTAGAGAGTTTCCCAAATGTTTTCCTTTTACTTCTTTCATATTAATTTTTAATGTTTTTTGATGTTTTTTGATGTTTTTTTTTTTTTTTTTTTTTTTCAATCGTTTAGTATAACACTCTATGAAGAATTTTTTGAAAGGTGGTTGTGAATTTTCATACTTTTTATATATAATTTTGGAATTTTTCCTTTTCTACTTGTCCTGATTTTGCCTGATTTTGCCTTAATATTAATGTTCAAATATTACAAAGTGGTTTTGATGTAAATAAAATAAAATGTCAAATAGATAAGAAATGTGTGTTTTTTTTTCGTTTTTTTTTTTTTTCTTTGTTTCTTTGGGAAGTCAAGTAAGTTCTTCGGAAAAAGGTATAAAATAATACGAATGAAAAACAAACAAAACAAAAACGTCAAATTTTGCGAAATCTTGTGAGAAATGGGAAATGTGTGAGGAATTGTTGGTTATTCTTTCCTTGTCTTTTCTTCTTTTGATGTTTGAAATAATCTTTTGATGGTTGAGATAATCCACTAATTCTATTCTAATCTATTCTATTCTATTTTTTTTTTTTTTGTTTTTTACGCTTCATTTATATTACCATAATTATTTAAATTTATTGGTTGTTGTGAATTCGTTGGTATATATTATTTAGATAGATTCATTTATTACCATACCATTACATTACATTTGTGCGTTCGTTGCTATCTATCTATCTATCTATACCTTCATTCATTCATTCATTCATTCATTCTTTTATTGTCATTTATCACCCACACCACTGCAAGATGAGATGGTGTTTTCCCACTGTGGTGATGTCCACGATGGTGATGTTGACAATGACAATGGAGGAAGAAGGGGAGCCCATTGATGATGTGATGATGGTGAAGGATGGGGCACCAAAGAGTGTTTCATGGAGGATCGAGGGAGTGCAAACCCTTGGACCACCACAGGATAAAGATAAAGATAAGCAGAGACAATCGGTTAGGAAAGATATATATCGTGAGGAAGTGGGGGGACAATTCTTTGGAAAACAGGTATATTATAATGATGATGATGAGCGAGTAGAACCCTTCTGGAAAGAGGCACAGGCATATCATGATAATGATGGAGGACAGATATTTCATGATCTTGATAATGTGTCACCAGAAGAAGAAGAAGAAGAAGAAGAAGAAGAAGAAAATGTGTTTTCTACTAGTACTTCATCACTTATGGATTTAATTTTCGGAGATCTCGTCAATGGTCCTAATGAACGAAACCATATTACAAAGATGATGGCGGATAACAAGGTGAAAGTGGCAGAGAAGGGGATTTTCCAAGTTTTACAAGATGAAAAAGATGAAAATAGAAATCACAATAATCAAAAGTATTATAACCCCCACGCCATTAAAACCAAAGCAATGCGTCGCTTCATTACCCAACAAGCGGTAACTCATCGGATGTCCCAATCAAACCTCAAATTGCCAAATAAGGACGATACCACCGACCTTGCCACCGGGATGGCCTGGTTCGGAGGACTCAATACTTTTGCCAATACTATTCCTAGAGAATGTTTCAACGATGCTAATGTTGACACTTATCAATTTGACGTGGCGATCGTGGGGGCCGGGTTCGATACTGCGACATCGTATAAACCAGGAGCAAGGTTTGGTCCAAGAGCCATTAGGTTGGCGAGTTCTCGATTGGGCGGGGGTGTTTTACCAGTGCGGGGATATTTGAATCGTTATTTTGGAGGAGGAGGAGATAACAATAACAATAATAATGATGATGATGATGATGATCTCTTCATGCCGATGTTGGACGTTTATCGGTATTTGAACATTATTGATTGCGGAGATGTGCCGATGACCCCGTTTGATAATCGAATTGCTTTGGATCAATTGTATAGGGGACAACGATTGGTTCATAAGTATTCGGTGCCGAAAAATGATACTGGTGTCATTACCTCAAATATTGGTTCTTCAAATACCACTACTAGCCGACCAAAGGTCATTACCCTTGGAGGAGATCATACCATTAGTTTGATGACGATCAAGGCGGCATATGAGGTATGGGGCCCAGTGACGGTGATCCATTTCGATAGCCATCTTGATAGTTGGGACCCTCTGGTGATTGGGGGAGGGTATTCGGATTACATGGCGATCAACCACGGGACGTTCCTTCATTTTGCGGCAGAAAAGGGGTATATCAACAATAATTCGATCCATGTGGGGATCAGAGCACCATTGATTGATAGTGATCATGATCTTGACCATGATAGAGATTGTGGGTTCGAAGTGGTGTACGCTAGAGAAATCGACCACGTAGGGATCAAAGGGATTATCGATCGGGTGAAGCAGCGATTATACAATAAAGGCGATGAAAATGAAAATGATAACCTGAACAAATTCGACGATACTCCAATATTTATTAGCTTTGACATCGATGTGTTAGACCCGGTGTACGCACCAGGAACCGGGACTGAAGAGCCAGGGGGATGGACGATTAGGGAAGTGTTGAATATTGTCGATGGGTTAGAAGGGATCAATTTGATCGGGGCGGATTTGGTCGAGGTGGCCCCGGCTTATGATACCAGGGCAGAGACTACCGGGTTGAATGCTGCCCAGATTGTTGATTCGTTTTTGGGGTTGATTGCTGCTTACAAGTGGAGGAGGAGGAGTGGATGATGGTTATTTTTGGGGGATTATCTTTATACTAGTGGACTTTCTATGTAATGAATAATAGTGGACTTTAAATATAATGCATAATATAGATAATATAGGTAATTTAGATAATATAGATAATGTAGGTAATATAGATAATATAGATAATATAGATAATATAGATAATATAGATAATATAGATAATATAGATAATATAGATAATATAGATGATAATAGATAATAATAATTGTGATAATGTCATCATGGGGTTCGTAACCGCAGTGCAAATAAAAAAAAAAAAATCCAAAATCCAAAATTCCGTAAAATCGTTTTCCTTCCTTCGCCTGGAAGAAGAAGAAGAAGAAGAAAGAACAACAACCATCAGTGAAAATGCCGATATTACTGAAAAGGTGTATGTGTGGCCAAAATAATTTTATTGTAAATCTGACCCCACTTTACTAACATTCGTAACCCCTTTCCACAGACTGTGATATTTATGATGACAATTGTGATAGCTCGGTCCTGGCATGGTTATGGGGTCGGTGGATCTTATTTGTCATCGTGCTAGTGTTTCTCTTTTTACTCTTTGGGATGACCAGGATTAGAAGGATCAATAAAAGACGAGGCAATTTCGGTCAACAACCCATTAGAGGTACTGCGTGGATGACCCCACCGTCGTACTTCCAATCACAACGGCAATACAACCAGCCGGTGATGAACACCTCCGGACCGTCTGACGCCACCTACGTGCCTCCATACTCGGAAAACGCCCAGCCAACGGATGCTGGCTACTTTGATGACCAAGGGATGTTCCATAAGAACCGTCAGTTCGCATCCGATGGCCGGGAAATTGTCGAGGACGATGGAGTTTTACCAAAACCCGATGGGGCGTATCATCACGCTACAAACTTTGAACAAGATTTCCCAGCGTTCTTTGGCAGTAATAACCGGGCCAATACTACGGAACTTGAGAATTTAAGACCTCCTGGACCACCACCACCTGCGGAAGTGGGTACTAGTAGTAGTACCATGGAACGGCCACCACAGAGTCATTCCAAGAACGGTTGAATATCATTGAATATATTTGCCATTTTTCATTATCATTATCATTATTATTATTATTATTATTATTATTATTATTATTATTATTATTATTATTATTGTTTGTGTCATTTCATTTTGTTACTAATTGTTTTTTTCGATTGTTTATTTATTGGTTTGTATCATTCATCTCTTTTCGGTTGTTTGTGTTTGTCTTTCTGTTTTAATAATTTAATTTGTTGCTGTTTATTCCTTGGGGTTGTTTTTATTTTCAACCTTGGGATTTGACATTGATGTATTGTCATTTAACATTTGATAATATAGATAGAATAAAACGTGTTAGTTTTTGTGTTTGTTGGAATGTGAACTTGTAATAATAATAAATATCTACTGAGTTACACTCTCTTGTTCATCTACTCAATCTACAAAAAATCATTGTCCATCATCCACAATAATTGTTCTATTTGATATCATATTTCTCCTTGATCAAATCCATCACTTGCTTGATGTACGCCGTTGATTCTTCTAGGGAAATGAGTCCACTGGCACTGACATAGCTGGGACACTGGAATCTTGTCGATAGGAGTTTCGATAATCTGATGGTGAAATCCAAAGTATCCTCGTTCGAACTGTTGAGGGTGGTGGTGTAAACTTGGTGGTTTTTCTTGAACTGAAATGGGGTTGGTTGGTTAGTGAAAAAGGGGGAAAGAACAAAAAAAAAGGAAAAAAAAGAATAAAATTAGAATACTCACGTCATATACAGAATAAACGTAGGCCCCAAGTGGGGTATTACCTCCAGTCTTGCTAAGAAACACGGTGATGGGGACTTTATTTCTTGCCAGTGGTGATGGTGGTGTCGAAGGATAAGTGATCGACACTTTTATTGGGTCGCCAAAGAACTGGGGCAGGATTTCTTGGTGAAATGTGGTGGTAGACATAACAAATATAATGTGGTAGCAATAATAATAATAATATATATATATATAATAATAATGATAATAATAATAATAATATATTTCACTACCTTGATGATTTCGGGAAATTTCACCTTTTTTTTTTTTTTTACGGCTGGGGAAAAAACCAAAAAACCAAAACGCAAAATCCAAATCCACCGTTAACTAAAATATAATAAACACAACAACAACAACAATAATCATAATAATAATAATAATAATAATAATAATAATAATAATAATAATAATAATAATAATGAATGTGTTAAATAAACCATCGGCTAAACCAGTGGTGATTATCGTGGCCGCCTTGGTGCCCTCGTTGGGTATTGGGAATAAAGGAACCATGCCGTGGAGACTCAGGCGAGAAATGAAGTATTTCCGTGAAGTCACCAGTGGTAATAATGATGGTTCTTCCAACACCAACGCGGTGATCATGGGGCGCAAGACTTGGGAAAGCATTCCTGAGAAGTTCCGGCCATTGCCAGGAAGAAGAAACATGGTATTATCCAGAAGCTACCCCGATGGCGATGTGCAGCACACCAAAAATCCTCACCACCACCAGGCAACAACAACAACAGCAACAACAACAACGTTGTTCAACAGCGTCGAATCGGCGATCGCCTATTGTGACCAGAGTGTGGATATCAATACGATTTACATCATTGGGGGAGCGGAGATATACAACCAGGCAGTCAATAACCAGAGAGTCCGCCAGATATTGTTAACGGAGATCAACAGTGATCAGCCAGTGGAGATGGACACCTTCTTGGAATTCAAGTTAGATAATCATGAATGGATCAAGCAGAACCGTCAAAGATTACGCGAGGTGGTGGGACACCACGTAGAATTGCCCCAGGAGGAGATATTGGAGAACGGGTTCAGGTATAACTTTACGTTATGGGAGAGGAAATGACAATAAATAAATAAATAAATAACTAACCAATTGAATAACTAATTGAATTGAATGATAATAAATGATGATGATTCCATTTGATGTAATAATTTGTAGGAACCCATGTTTTTTCATGTCACCGGTCGCCCGGCAGAAGCATTTTATCTTATCTTATCATATCATATCTTCTTCTTTCTTCTTTATTGTTCTTTCTTTCTTCTTCTTATTAGTATTCTTCTTCTTCTTCTTCTTCTTCTTCTTCTTCCACCATCAGTATTATAATAATGCCCCTCAAAACTTTCGGTGCCTCAGAATTCAACTCCTCCACCCCAATCAAGGTCGAACCACTCACCATCAAAGGGTTTGCAAAGTTTGGATCAATCGTGTCGCCAGACGAGGAAATCGCCACCTCCGCAACAAATACCAACGCCACCGCCACCGCCAACGCCAACTATGGCACCGCCATAAAACTTAGAAAAGTCTCGCAGGTCGCCAACCATTTCTCCCAATCGTCAAGTCCTCAATCGCAACTGACCAACCTCAACATCTTCCGATGCTTCCCTCCAATCCACGCCATGTCCAACATCACCAACCACAGTTTCCAATACACCGGGAAAGTGTTGGAACGTCATAGATATTCGAGCCAAACATTCACTCCTATGGGGAGAGCAAGAAATAAGGTGGGGTACATCGTGGTGTGTTGCTTGAGTGATGACGACGATCCTAATAAGTTGCCGGATCCTCAGACCATCGAAGCATTCTATTGTATGGCGAACCAGGCAGTGACTTACGGGCCAGGAACCTGGCATGCCCCAATGATCGCGGTACTGGAGGGGTTTGGCAGTGAGGTGCTGGTGAAACCTCACGATTTCCTTGATTTCCAAGTGTTGATCAGTGAAAATGACGTCGATGACGACGATTGTCAGGAATGTTACTTTGAGCCGGGGTTTGTATTGTCGATGGAGGGGAGTGAAATAATAAAAGATTGAGATATAATATATATATATATATATAATAGATATAACATAATAGATATAACATAATAGATGATGCCAATTATGGGCAATAATCACCTGACCAAAAAGCATTAGAAACCATAATTGATCTCCTTTTTGGTGCTTCACCACCACGCTGTAACTCTCTCTCTCTCTCTCTCTCTCTCTCTCCATCAAACCAAATAATGATCACACGATGGAACAAGTCACCCTCCAAAAGCTCGTGGAAATGAGCGTGTACGCCGACCAGGTCCACCACTCGGTGTCCCAGTTGTTGCACACCGCGGTCGACCGCACCGTCCTCAAAGAATGGAAAGAGTACTACAAATTGTCCGACAAGAACCACGCTGCTGACACCATGGTGCCATTGTTGGACACTGCCCAGATCAAATTGGCGTCGCGATTGAAACGTATTGCTGTTGAAGAACCTGATAACATTCTCAACCAGATTGCCCAATTCAACCTCGCAAACAACGATTTCAACGCGAAATTCAACAAGAATGTCAAACACGGAAACGGTTTCAGCAAACCCCAATTGTTGGCCATCACTTCCCCCAGATTACTGATCCTGGCATTCTTCCATCCCAGTATTGTTGAGAAAATCACCAATTCCACTGGCCAATTCGACAAACCAACGTTGGAGAAATTCTACCGGTACCAAGAAGAACATAAGAAACTCAATATTTTGGGGTACCAATTCATCAATTTCATCACCATCCTCATCATCCAGGAAAAGTATCCCAAACTATCCCAAAAACTCACCATCGAAAAGCAAAGCCAGGTATTCAACTCTCAATATTTCAACCAGCTTGCCTTGGATTACAATCTCCATATCAAATCGTCGCAACTTTTCGATCTCATCAAATTGAACCAAGTGGAAAAATTCCCTGTCGCTTCATCATCATCTTCTTCTTCGTCATTCATCACTGGGGAATTGTTTGATAACCTTGAACGAAACGAACTATATACCGATACTTTCTACGCGTACATTGGGGCCCTATTATCGGAAAATTATGCAAATTCCGCCAGTATCAAGATTTGGTTATCGATATTATTCTCCATAAAGGTTGGAGATGGCATCACCACCACTATTCCCACGATACCTTCAACATTTCCGGAAATCAGAGAAACCCGGACACATACTAATAATAACCCCAGTTTCAAAAAGCGCGTCGAATACTATAAATCCCAACTCCTATTGAAAGGTCTAAAAACCACCATGGCATTGAAAACCACCACCCGTCCATTCAAAGTCGTGTGCTTAATTGGCGAGGATGTCATGACCACGGATTTCGGCAACACCATTGCCGAAGCAGAAAATAATTGTCTTCATAGTTTATTTGATAATCCTCAAAAAGTCGATGGATTAGTGAAGAATTATCATTTACGGAAATATTCAGGTGGTGATGAAAAAGATGATGATGATGATGATGATGATGATATATTGGTGAATGAAAATAATAAACGAAAGAAAACCCGTCCTTCAAATAATCTTGATAGTGATTCTAGTTCTGGATCATCAAAAAATGGCGATGATATGGACATTAGGATGTACAATACCTCCATCACCCCAACCGTCACTGAGTCGCATTTATCCCTGGAAGGAGGACAAACTGCTTCCACTGGAGTGTCATTGGGAGATGTTTATGGATTTGCCACAATGCGTGGTGCTTCACCATATTATGGGTACGATGCTCCAGGAATACTATCATCGACAATACCCTCAGGAGTCCACCAAGGAATGCCCCAGCAGTTCTTTGGTAATACCGTTCCTCCTGCAAATTATCTCCATAATCCTCAAAATAATCCAAATTATCTCCACAATCCCCAAAATAATCCGTACAACCAGTTCCATCATCAACAACAACAACCGGTCCCGCCTTCCAAACCAGATCCCCACGATACACCAATCGATCATTCTGCGAAAAATACTTTGTACGCATTAGTGGGACAACAAAGATTGGTGCCAGAATACAAATTCACCACTTTAAGTCAGAAGAAAACCGTGGCCAAAGTGTTTGTTGATGGGGTATTTTTAGGTCAAGGGATTGATAATAATAAAAAATTGGCGAGTCAACGAGCGGCGATGATGGCGTTGGAAAACGTTAGTGTTTTGAGTGCTCTTGGAATTGATAATAATAATAATAAGAAGAAGAAGAAGTGAGAAACATCAAATATTATCTCATCTCTCATCTGGGGGTGTTTGTTGTGATTTAGAAAGAATAAATGAATGAATTGTGAGGGTATGGTATCTATTTGAAGATAATATTTATATTACTATCTTCTATTTTTTGGGGGGTGGATATATGAATAAATGGGGACATATCCATTTGAAGATAATTTTGTTTTTCCCAGCCCTAAAGCAGCTTCTTATGAATTATCAGATTTTTTTGGGGCGGTTTATATTATTATCTTACTTGGTCGAAATTGGCGCCACTTATGGACTGATGAATAAAAGTCGGTATCTATTGGATAATATTGACAAGGTTGTCTTGATGTATATATTATATATGATTATAGTTATTATTTTTTGTAGATGATTAATTCCAATGATTAATTCCAATGATTAATTCGATACTTGATTATTTAAGAAAAAGTAATACTAATTGTACATTTTGTATTTTGAATGTTTTATATTCTGAGGTATTTTAGTTGCCAATTTTTTGGATCTCATGAAGTCATCTTCAATTTCAAGATTGATGCCAAATTTTCATGCCAATCTTCATCTCATTTTTTCAATTTCCCCTTCCAATTTCGAATCATTGTTACCATATTCTTTTTTTTTTTTTTTTTTTTTTTTCAATGAGATATTTACAGTATCCAATCCATTTCATATTCATTTTCATTTCATTTCCAATTTAAGCAAATCATCCACTTCTTGTCCTGTCATCTTTTTAATTTCCCCGTTATTATTCGACAGTCTACCCCCATCGTTCATATAACTTAGGGTCTCGGTTTCTTTAGAATAAACTTTTTGATCATTGATCATGAAATTTTCATTATAGAACCCGGGGTTCAATGGCCACACGTATTGGAACACCACGTTCTGAATCAATGAGAACACATTTGAACTGATCCAATATAATGTCAAGATCGCTGGAGCCTGTGAAGCAATCCCCATGAGAAACACTACCGATAATCGAGAAATATCCAACATCGAATCGTACACCGTCCGACGATTGGAAAACGTATCTTTGACAAACCTGCCACTGCTGCCACTGCCACTGCCATTTTTACCCATGGGATTAAACTTCGCCACGAGTTCCATATTCGTCAATGATACCACCCCCAACATCACCGGTAAGATCCCGTATGGATCGGCGTGCGATAAATCAGAAAACCATAATATCCCCCCATCGAGCAACGACGGATCGATTTTCAGGACCTCGGATCCCGAGGAAATCAAGAAACTGTTCCACCCACAAAGATTCCTGATCGTTAAAGATACCATGATCCAAAGAGGAATTTGTAATACCGGAAGACAGAAATTCTTCCATACTTGGCAACGATTCTCACGGTACAATTTCTTTTGACGTTTACGTTTCTCCTTGGCGGCAAGAAGCACCACTTGTTCGTACGATAGCGATGCGAATGGATCAGTAGTAGATACCACCATGTCGTTTGGATTCTTGGTTGTTGTTGCTGTTGCTGTTGCTGTTGTTGATGATGATGATGATGATGATGATGATGATGATGATGATGAGACTTTATTGCGTTTCAATACTTTACGCATCAAGTTGAATTTGAGGATCGGGTACATCGAATCAAGAATCGGCCGAAGCAGTCTTTGTTTCAATATTCTTTTGCGGTTGAGAACCGCTAATGGTAGAGTGATGGTGGATCTGAATGCAAACGTCACCATTGGCACAAGCACCCACCATGGAACCCCCAGCGATGAATGAAGGGTGATGAATGAGTCGGTCAACGTTTGGATCGTCGCAGTGAAGTCGGAAAGTTTCCGTGTTTGCAATCTGATGGGGGATATTGGAGATCGAGGGGATCGCTGGCTAACACCACGAATCCATGTTCTCGATAGTAGCGATTGCATATTGGATAGATATTATCATATAAACGGAATTGACAGTTCTATCGTATGTTTTACAATCACCAAAATTTTTCAGCGCATTAAAAAATAAGAAAAGAAGGGTCACATGAATTATCAATCAATCATATCAGTCAGTTAGTCAGTTAGTTAGTTAGTTAGTTAGTTAGTTAGTTAGTTAGTGCAAAGGGTTTACAATCTCTCTGCAAATAAATCATTTATTTATTTATTAAAATATAATAATAATACAATTTGAATTATTCATTTTTTAGCATAATTCAACGATACGTCAACGTCGCCGATTTTAAACGTCGTCCCCAACTTTTCCTTCACCACCATCGAATCGGCCTCACTTTCATACTCCACAAAACTGACATTACGTACTTTGACCAATCTGATCTCCACAAACCCAGCAAACTTGCCAAATATCTCCACGAGGCTGTCTTCCGTAATATCTGATGGCAAATTCTGGAGTAACAAGTTTTTGTTTGGGGGTAATGCTGATAAATCCACTTTGGTCTTCTTGGACGGTGGTAGTTCTTGCGAATCCCCGGAATTGGCTCGTTTATTATTGGCATTATCCAGGTTTCCTTGTTGTTTCTGTTTCTTCCGCTCAAGTTCTTTCTCTTCTTCTTTTTCTTTTTCTTCCTTGATTGCTTTCTCTCGTTGTTGCTTCTTGAGTTTCCGATCGTTTATCAATTCTTCGGCGGTGGTTGGTGGGAATTTACATTGCAACGCCATGTCGGAATCGGTTTTTGCAAGCAGGATCTCGGGCTTCTTATCGAATATCAAGAAACCATCATCATCATCATCATCATTATCCAACAATTTCTGGAACTCTTGTAAACATTTCTGGCACTCCAGTGGGGATTTGAACGCCACGAACGCCTGGCCTTTCAGTTTGAGGTTTTTGCGGGCGGTGATCGACACCACCTCGCCCCAGTTATTTTTGGCAAACACCGACCGTAGTTTTTTCGTGAGAGTAGTAATCCCTACTTTCTCATTGAGATTGCGGATATAAAGACTGTGGCGGTTAGTATTTGTGATGCCAAAGGATTGCACATGAGTGTGTGTGTGTGTGTGTTTTCAAGCAGTACTCACGTTGATACTCCGGAAAGGGGCTGGTCTGTCACGCTCATCTAAAAGGAGTGGGTATATATATATGTGATTTGATAGTATATATATAGAAGATACGATAACTAGTGATAATAATAATAATAATAATAATATAAGATAAAGAAGAAGATAAAAAGAAGAAATTTTGGAATCAAAAAGATGCGGTTTTGAGCCGATGGTGCGTTATCGCCAGCCAACATGAGCAGCTTCTTCCTGGCCGATTATTGTGTGGGCAGTGTGTTATAATATATATAATAAGCTACAAAAGATAACCGGACTCACTATGGGTTTGTCATTTCAGGAAGATGGATGTGCAGAACAGACACTACTGGTGGCTGGGAAACTGAACGAGAAAATGCCCATTTTCTAACCAAGGTTCTTTTCATAGGAGTGAGTCACTTGATCATCGTGCAATTATTGTTTTAAAATAAGGACTCAATATCACCGGATTGCAAAACCAATTGCAGGCGGCGACGGTGATGATGATTGTCCAACAGAGAGTATACGGTGGTGGTGGTGGTGGTGGTCTCTTCTCCGGGTAACAATAAATCTCTGTTGGCCGCCGCGGGGAGTTTTTTCTGTGTGGGTTTTTTTTTTGCCAAATGGGAGGAGACCCACTCTGGGTTGATTGATTGATTGATTGATTGATTTATATATTTATATATTTATTTGTTCGCCTGTCTATCTATATTAACCACATTCAATGTCCCTTAGACAAGAAAGAGCGTGCATGTTGTGTGGGGTCATCAGAACCCAACAGCAGTTTCTCAGAGAAGGCTGTCCCAACTGCGAGGCCGAGCTAAGTTTTGCAGGCGAGGACACCACCAACGTTATCGAATGTACTTCACCATCTTTCGAAGGGATCGTTGCCCTTGGGGAAGCCGAGCAGAGTTGGGTGGCCAAATGGTTGAGAATTGATAATTTCCAACCAGGGTTGTACGCCGTCAAGGTCAGTGGGAAGTTGCCACCCGACGTGGTGAATGATTTGGAAGCCAAGGGAATCCATTATCGTCCAAGAGATGGCAGTGTGACCGATTGAGATTTGTCATGATATTTGGTATTGTGAGGTATTTGTTGTCATGATATTTTGGCCCTTGGTATGAGATATTTATTTATTTATTGTCATTGGTGTGTGTGTGTACGCTCATTGGATATCAGATGTTGATTAGACATTATCATCATCATCATCATCATCATCATCATCATCATCATCATCATCATCATCATCATCATCATCATCATCATCATCATCATCATCATCATCATCATCTTTTTTCGTTATTATTTTCCATTGAAGGAAGGACCCTCGCTGGTTGATTATTTTGGAACAACGGTTTGGTTGGTTCTGTGTACTATAGTTGTAAATTAACATTCAAAAAAAAAGCAAGAAAGAAATCAAGAAAGTCTATAAAATTATTATAATGAAAAATGTTTTGTTGTTATTTGAAGATTGAATCATAATGCAAGTAAGTTTTTTTTTTTTTCATATCTTGTTCTGAGGGGTTGCAAGAATCCCCCAATTGTTGGTGTATGAAATGGTTATTTTATCTCCATTTAAAACCAGCTAAATGTAATGTGATTACCAAAAACTACAAACCGTATATATATCTTCATAGAAAGACAAAACACCAATTTTATTTTTATTCACAAAACAAACAAACAAACGTTGTTAACAAAAAAAGAAAAGTATAACCAATCTAAATTCTGTCTATCTATCTATCTATCTATCTATGTACAGCCGTCCCGTCCCATCTTCATTCATTCATTCTAAAACACACACACACACACACACCACATTTAATCTAATTTCTTACTACCAAAAGTTTCTTTAGTCTTTGCAAATAAAACCCCAACCGCATGTTCCACCGGCTTATCAAACAAATAAGGAAGCACTGGCACCACCGCCAACCCAACCGCCACCGGTCCAAAAGTCCGCATTCTCGCCATCTTGGGGAAATTCCGAGCATTGAAAACGTATTTCGCACTATACTTCACCGATGAATGGATCGTGAACGCCGGCAACCCCATACTGGCCACCGATTGGAAGATCCCTCGTTCTAATGCCACTTCTTTCCAGTCTGGTAAACTGGGGTCAGCCCGCAGTTGGGCCACCAACGACTCCTTGGCCGGGATATTGTTCGACCACGGGTACATTCCTGGAGAGTACCGGCCTTCTTTCCTCATTTTCGCCTTCCATCCCTCGTACCCCACGTCTCCCAAGATATACGCCCACGAAATCCCGTAGCCAAACGACACCAAGTACGGATGGGCCACTGGCCGGAACGACTCGCCAATATCAGAAGTATAGGCAATATACCGATGTGATGCCATCAAGATGGTCCGCAACCGGTTGGTGTAAGCAGCATATCTGAGGGAGGTATCGGTGGTATCGGTGCCTTCACGATGTGAGATATCCTCGATAGAAGAGGAGGATGAGTCTTGAGGATTGGTCATTGTAGTAGGAACAGGTTTATTATCAATAATAGTTGAAGAGAGATAAAGAAGAAGAAGCAGAGATAAAGAGAAACAGAAAAAGGGAAACAGAAACAGAAACCCAGGATCTATTTATATATATACATACAACAAACAGACAGGACCCGGGTTTCAGGTGGCAAAAGCCAATAGCAATCAATTGTAGAGGACAAAAAAAAAAAAAAAGTGTCAGTGACGGACCACGGACGACGGAATTAAGGGGTGCTGTGCTGTGCTGTGCTGTGCTGTGCTGTGCGTGCGTGCGTATGTCACTTTTTTTTTTGCTGTTTTTTGACATGTCTGTGTCACCCAATGATCAATAAATAAATAAATAAATAAATAAATAAATAAATAAATAAATGAATATATTTGAGGATAAAGAAAGTAAGATCACAGACATCCATTTAATAGTAGTAGTAACATAACCTTGGGGCACTGCTGAACCCTCCTACAGTGAGGAAAACACCCTTTACAATGTTGAAACACAGATAATTAACAACTCAAAGGAAGCAGTCAAATAAAAGAATATAAAAAAAAAAATATTCGGCAGCAAAACCACCAAACCCATGTCGAAAAGAAATGAAATGAAATGAAATGAAGAAAGTAACTGAAGCGAAATGGAACAAAAAAAAGATAAGTGCAAAACGTAAAAATAAACTTAATCAAAGAAAAAAAAGTTAAGCCTTAATGTAATGACTATTCAAAATATCGATTTCTTTACAAAGAATATGCCAATCTACCTCTCTTAAAACCCTCATCTTTCTCAAAGGCAACGCCTTTTTCTTCCTTGACCCTCCATCTTCGGCAATACCTCCTTCAATGTTATTTTCCCGCAATTTGTGTTTCTTGTTATAATCCTCGATCTTCGAATTGATGTACTTGATCTTGATGTTCTCCTTGATCGTCAAAATCTCTTCTAATTCCGCCAAATTGTAAAAAATCTTCAAGTTCGGTTGGATAATCAAATTCAATCGACGTACTCGAACGTATAAATAGGCCCTTGGCAAAGAAATCTTGAGGAAATTCATCACTTCCGCAATACATAAAGACGCCGATCTCGATACCCCAACTTTACAATTGACCAACACTTTATTTCTCCCAGTCTTCTTCAATTGCTCATCATTATGCTGCTGCTGCTGCTCTTCTTCATCCAACTTTTGGTTTTCTTCTCTCAACCGTCTAATCACTCTCAACAAATACAAGAAATACGGCTCGAATGAATCGATCCCATTGTCTTGCACATTAGGCAAATAAATCAATTTCTTGACGAACGGTAACGGGTTGTCAATTTCAATAATATCATTCTTGTTGAATTTCGCCTTCAACACCGGATCGAGCCCCTCGTAATTGAATTTATTATCAAATTCTACCAAATTGAGCCACGTCGGCTTCTCACCAATCGTAATGATATAATTGATCTCGAGTAATTCCAAAATCGTTTTCGAACTAAGATGATTGATGCCCCCAAGATACAAGTATGGCAAAATCCTCGATGGTAAATTATTATCGTTTTCCGGAGAAAACCAGGTATCTTCTTTTGCTTTGAGCGGCAACCCGTGTTTCTCGTCCTCAATTGGGTACAATTCATCATTGATGACGCTATTATTTTTCAACGCCTTCAATTTCGGATTCGTTTGATAAATCTTCAAAAATTCAAACGGATTCAAATTGTACTGCGCCAAATACCCCGCTTCGTACCAATGTTTCACCTGCTTGTAATCAATCGATCCGATGGTTCGGTGGGTGTTTTGCAATCCTCCCAATTTCAATCCTTCTTGATCAGGGTTCCGTGGAGAATAAAACAACAAAAACCCTTGCAAAAAATTCATGATTTCGTAATCAATCTTGAACCAATATAAATACTTCTCGTACACCAAATAATACTTCAATATCGCATTGTTCAAATTGTTGAACGTATAACTGATCTCAAGCATCAAACTCAAAAGCGATAAATGAGTGAACCCATCGTAGCAATAAATCAAAATCTTATGACCTTTAGTGATGCTCAAGTAATGCAATAATTTCAAGAAATTGATAATGCTCAACATATGACTATTGGTGATCGACGACAACGCGTACGAACCTGATGATGGGAATTCCAAATATATCAAATCGGTTTCCTTCGATAACAATTTTTCCGATTTCTGAAACACCGAATCGATCAATTCGACTTTTGGGAACTCCACCCCTTCTTTACAATTGATCAACACTTTATAATCGTTATTGGCATTCTGGGCATTATTGTTGTCAATTTTCTGGTCGAGCGCCAACAACGTCCCACGGATCTTATAAGTCAATTCCGGGTTCTGCTTGGTATCAAAACTGCCGAGTTGCTTCATTAATGCTTGCTTTTTTTCTTTAAGTTTATTATTAGAAATCACATTATTGTAATCAATGATATTCCCCACGTAAATGTTTTGATAAATCTCTGACCCGCTGGTAATCAACCAGTTCTCAAACTTCTCGTGCAACAAATAGTTTTTATTCCAATTAGTCAAATTGTTCTTCAACACCGACGAGGAATAAGGCACCAAAAACGGGTTATTGACGCTCAAATATTTCGCCAAATCACTCCTGGTATGGAAATTGTTCTTCTGCTTGAATCTCAATAGATTAGTATCCACCGATTCAAACTTGGAATTGAACGCCACCCGCTTGCCATTATATTTCGATTCGTATCGCTCATCAAGATTGTTATTCTGGCTCATGATCGGAGATTTCAAATTTAACTCTTTGGTATCGGTGGATTCTAACCCAAGAATCACATTTTCATTTTCATTATAATGAACAATATCAAACTCGCTCAATTTCTTCGCGTCATAATTCAACACAAAACAATGGGCCTCGTTGAAAAACTTGTCTTTGGAGTTCAATTTCGCCAACTTAAGTTCTTCGTTAAGGTATATTTTTTTTTGCAACAACCCAAAAATCTTGGCAAATTTCATGCACTCTTCAAAATCGTTGTTATTATTATAAACAATGACGTGAGAAATCTTGAATAATAACAATATTTGGAAATTGTAGTTTCTCAAATTGATTTTCTTGTTGTATAGATTATGAGCCAACGTCGACTTCCCTTCGCCAGTTTCGGAACTCTTGATACGGTTCATTCGTTTAAGAGAGTTCAATGGCTTTGGGTACCCTGTGAATTTCCGATTATTTATGGAAAGCTCTTCATCTTTGAGCTTCACGTAAGAATGCCCAAAGTAGGTGTCTTCAAATTCATGAACGCTAGACGATGGTGATAATCCGTGTTCAGTAACACCATTCTTTTTCACCTCAGAGTTCGAGTCGTCCCTTGCACCAGAGGCTTTCCCTTGAGAAGTATCGTTGTTATTACTGCCACCAATTTCGTCTGCTGACCCTTCTTCAATATTGAATCTCACTTTTAAATCCCGTTTCTTGGATTTATCTTCGTCGTCCATCTTATTTTTGCTCTTCTTTTTACTGATCGGGGTGGTGGTTTCATCGTAATCCAAAATTTCCCAAGGACTCACTGACCCCTTAATGTAGTATTTATTCTTGATGTATTCCACCATCTGATTGAACATATCATCGTCATCATCGCCATCGGAATTATTTTCATTCAAAGCTCCTTTAGGATCTTTACTGTCATCATATTCATAGAAGTCTTTGGTGTTAATAATAAGAAGATACTTATCAGAGTTAGGTAATGGGACAAGTTTGCTAAGATCTGAGTTCGAAGTATCTGGCGTAGTAGTACCAAAACCGTTGATGCTATCAGAGTTGGTGGTATGGTTATTATTGTTATTATTATTATTATCACTATTATTTTTATTATTATTATGGCTGGTCCTGTTGCTGCCTTGAAACTTCAAATCCTGTTTATGCATATCGGAATCATTAAGGGCAATGGTGTTCGCTAAATCATTTCTAAAGAAAGTGAATTGATTATTATTCAACTCCAAGTTATGCAAATACGGGAAGAGATCCGACACTTCAGGCAAGGTGTAATCATAATTCCAATATTTCAGAATTTTAATGAAATCATCAGTTTCCAATCTGAAGATATCCTTGGAATACTTCTTGTCATTAATATTGATTTTCTTATTAGGATCAAAACCTGTAGACGACAACAAATTATTATGCGATGCTCCAACATTGGAGCCAATGCTTGTTGAACTCTTGGATTTTCTATAACTGAGTTTTCTCACCAAACTGCTGGCGGTATTGTTGTTATTATTATTATTATTATTATTATTATTAGACGTAGAATTATTTGTGGCAGTGGCTGAAGAAGAGCTGTTACTATCACCTTTCAAAAACTTCAATCCATTTTTCTTCAAGAAAGAAGTGGATCTCTTTAGTGAATTACTCGATTTAGGCAGTTTCATAATTCCATTGGTGATTATTTGATCCGCTGAATCATTGGTAGACAAGTATAATTCACTAGAGCTTTTCGAGACCTGCATCGGTTTGTTGGTGGGTGGGTATTCGACTCCGTCATTTTCAAGGATCTGGAAAGTTTCCACAATCTCACAATGTGGGATAATAAATTTACCCAAGAACACCGAAAAATTGGTAGGTAATTTGCTATTGTGGTAGTCCTTTGGGTTGACTCCTGGACCAAATTTTTTCATAGATTTGCTTCTTTGAGGAGGTGCCGCATCAACCGGCTTATTTTCATTCTTGGGTTTCTTATCACTCAATGATCTTTTCAAAAAAAACTTGGACTTTTCCTTTACTTTGCCATTCGAGTCGGTTTTCGGTTTCGTCTTTTTCGGTTTAGTAGTAGTCGTCGTCGTCGTTTCGGTCTGTGCTTTTTCATTTTCGCTTAGCAGTTCGACTTCTGGTAATTGTCCTGCTTTTCGGGCCTCGCGGTAGCTTTCATCCATGTCCTGCATGCCTTTTTCACTATCGCTATCATGATACACCGATAAATTGATGAAATTTTTCGCAAAGTTCATGGCACTTAATCTTTTGGATGAGTTTGTAGATGAAGTACTTGACAACCTTTTGTTCTTGTCAGTGTATCCGGTATGGGCCACAGGGGATTCTGGACGGTCTATAGATGTGCCTTGGCCATCGACGCGAGCAATTTCAGGTGCTTTAATATCAATGGAGAGACTCTTTATTTTATCATTCTTTTCATTTGTTTGGGTGATAGCTTCATCATTTTCATGTTTATTCTTCTTTTCTTCTTCTTCTTCTTCTTCTTCTTCTTTTTCTTCTTCTTTATTGTCTTTCAAAGGTTCTTCATTTTTGATCTTGTCCACGGCTGTGACATTATCAATGGCAGAGCCATTTTTGAGGTTATTGGAAGTTCCAACTTGTTTAATATCGATCACCGAGTTTGTCTTTGGGGAGGAGGTAGAAGCAGCGGCAATAGAACCATTTTGTTCCTCTAAAGTTTCCCCTGTTACTGGAGCTTTTCCTAACTCAGTCTCATTTGGTTCTTGAGAAATAACTTGCGCCAATTGGCTCTTATTTTGTTTTGCTGCGTTGCTGTCGTCGTCTGTGGCATTCGCCAAGTCTCTTTGGAGATTCTTGATGGTTTGTGAATTGATCGAGGATTTTGGGGTATAAAAATCGCCTTCTTGTATAGAATCTCTGTCATCATCACTTGATTTTGGAATTGCAGTTTTCTCATCGATGACAATTTCCGGAATGGTTTTATCCACAATTACTGGAGAACTAGAGGTCATAGTTTCAAGAAAAGAAGCTGGACGATTACTTGGAGAAGGTAAATTACTTCTATCAACATTGACACCGACGGTGGCTCCCCTTAAGGATGCTATATTTGTAAGGGAATTAGCATTCGCCCTCAAGCTTGATGCGTTATTATTGTTCACCAATGAGCTGTTTTGACTGTTGAGAAGGCTAGAATTGACCGATGGTGTTTGATTAGGCGTTGGGATGGGGGTCTGGTTATACGCTGGTAGTGGGAACATTTCGGGATGTGAGTCAGCTATCGGGGCATCTTTTCTGGTGGTTTTGATATTAATTCCATTCTGAGATGGGAAATTCGAACAAAGTGAGGATGATGAGGTATTGGATTGTTCAGGAACCAAAGTTCGATTGACGTTATCAAGGTTCGACGAGTACTTTGAGTCGTCATCAATGTTGTAATCCAGGTATTTGTTATCGACTGACATCTTTTTTAGTTTGGACGTGAGATTGCTGATGTGCAGCTGGGTAGGAGACGTCATTGTCACAACAACCTCGAGGTCCTAGAGGGTTGATGGTTGGTGGTTGATGATAATAACGAGATGGAATAAGGGGGAAAATGTGTGTATCTTTGACAAACTAATAATGATAATAATGATGGTAATAATGCAGCAATGAGAGGAAGAGGGTATTGGTGATCACTAATAACAATAATACTGTTATTGATGGTATGAATTGGTTTGCGTGTTGAGGCCCAGGTCAATTATCCACTGGTCTTCTTCTATTGTTGTGTGTATCCTGTCCATCCAGTAGGAGTGGCATTACTGGGTTAAGTGACAAAACTCCCGATAAGTTCAGCCATTTTTTTTGCATCGGGTTGAAAAACCCCTCTGTGCGCGTAGCAGATTGAGATACTTCCCGTGGTAATGGAGCACCCGCCCTCTGTGGGAGGAGATATGCCACACCGTTTAATTTAGTGATTGATTGATTGATTGATTGATTAATTTATTAATTGCCGCCACCTCAACCACAATTTCCCGTAGGTGGTAGTGGTGGAGGAGGACGGTTCTATTGAATCCAGAACAGCTTGTTCACCGCTCGCCCAACAATACTGATATTGTGGAGAACCGCTAGTTACTTGCCGTATGATCCTCGCCTAGGTGGCACATGATGTTATGAAAACGTGGTGGTTTGGTGATGGTGGTGGTGGTGAGACGTGAGCTGGGTGGGTTATTATCATCATTCATTTTCGCCGTTTTCTCAACAACTTGAGAAAAAAAAAAAAAAAAAAAAAAATTATACAGGAATACCAGGGTCAATAATAAATAAACAGATATATATATGAAAAAACACTTATAACACGGAAAATACATAATAATAATAATAATAATAATAATAATAATAATAATGTCTGCCGGTATCAGAAAGACGTTCTCGGAGTTTTTCAACGAATCCCCGTTGATCTCCAGAACCAATTCCGTCGAGTTTGACACCGATTACTACCCACAACGTTTCCCGGTTAAAGGACTATCGTATTCTTCGCTAAATGATTCCTTGCTCATTATACTCGTTGGATTGCCTGCCTGTGGCAAAAGCACCATCGCTAAATACTTGATCAAACATCTCCAGGCCCATAATTATCCGTACTCGAAAATATACAACGCTGGTAACGTCCGAAGGAACCACTTAAGTCCGATCGCTTCCCTCGACAACAGAAACCCCCCAAACCCAACCCCCACCAGTTCTTTCTTTAAGAAAGATGGTGAACAATTAAGAGACGAGTTCGCGTTTATCGCGTTTGAAAAATGTCTACTGGACTTGTTCAACCACCAAATCAACGTGGCGGTATTCGATGCTACGAACTCGACCGCTCAAAGAAGAAGCAGGTTGAACTTCATCATCAACCTCTACCTACGCAAAATAAATTCCCTCGTCTCGTCGTCACCCTGCAATTTAAAAGTATTGTTATTGGATATCAAATGTACAAACCCAAAATATTGGAAATTCAACATGGAATTGAAAGTGTCGTTTAGCCCAGACTACACCAACTCTTCTTCTTCCAATTTTGCCAACCACAACGCAAAATTGAAGGATTTTGTGCAACGAACTGAATATTATATTGAAAACTATGAACCAGTCACCTCCACTGAATTGGACCAATACGGCTGGGATTATATAACCATTGACAACTGCGGCGAATATGTCAACCATAGAAGTTACGATGTGAAAAATCATTATAAATTGAATGCGGCCGAAGCTTCAGGAAAGTACAATAATTCTCATAAGAATGATATGGTTTCCGAGAAGCTCGTGTCCAGATTAGAACTTGAGCAAAAACTCCTACTGATTAATAGTTCGGTTCGTGATGAAAAAGACATCCCCAAACAACTACCATGCAGCAGCGATGAAAAAGACGACAGTGAGAAAGAAAACGATGACACCTTATCATTCAGTGCTCCTGAAATAAGCAAAAACGGCCTAGTTATGACACCTTCATCTTCGTTATCATCAACCTCCACATATATGGAGCCTAATAATAATAATAATAATGGTCCGAATCAAGCCATGAAGACGGTTTATGAATTTACAGAAAATTATCTCAAATCTCAAGGCACCAGTTATATCGCCAAGGCCAAGAACTTTTGTAGCGACAAAACTCAGATCATTTTGACAAATGGTATACTGGCCGGTGCCTACGGTGACCAGTCAAATGAGGCAATAGGTGTTGAGGAAATGGACGAGAAGATTTTTTCGATAATATTCAGTAACCCGAATCATAAAAAGAAAATCTTCCAGTCTGTTTGCTGAGATCCAATCATCATATTTTCATTAACATTGTGCTGGTTATGATGGTATTTATATGTTGTTGTATTTTCGAACCTCTAATGACCTGGTTCATTTTTATTATTTTATTTTAATTTATTTTATTTCCCTCTTTTTTTGGTCTTATATTTATTCCATTATAGGTCTGTCTAGCTAGACCTTAACTTGGTGATGATGATGATGATTATTACTATTATTATTATCTCTTCATTATTCTTATCAACTTACTCTAGGTCAATCCTAAATCACGTTGTTTCTGTTCTCCTTCTAATAATAGATAACTTCATTGCAATTATAAAATAATCCAGGCAACCTTACAAATGACATTAATAAGATTCGACCTCGAAGTGAGCCTGCTTCAGGAGGAAAATATCATGCATGGTTAATAATAATAAAAACGCGCATCCACAAAAGAGAGATCATCCACTTTATTACTTAGATACAATAATATCTATCACCAAAATCCCCAAGCCCAGTGACAATGTGTTTACTCTCATTCAAACCTCTATCAACGGCACCAGTGACGATTTTGATATCTGGGAACTTTTTATGGTAATTACTGATCCCTTCTGGGTTACTGATCAAATTGAGGAAAAAGATTCTTTCTGGCTTCACCCCTCTGGAAAGTAAGACTTCTGTAGCCATAATTGCTGACCCACCAGTGGCCAACATTGGGTCCAAAAGGAAAACATAACGAGAAGCAATATCTTCTGGCAATTTCTCGTAATACAATTTAGGTAATGCGGTTTCCTCATCTCTTTGAATCAAAATCTTTCCCAATCTCACACTACGGCAACAATCCCTGAGACCTTGTTCCATCGATTCACCAGCACGGATAATACTGACACCACAGATCTTACCCAAGAACTTGACCCCTTCAAACACTTCACCGGTCGGAGTAGAAACGGTTTTTGGTTCGACTGGAAGCTGATTAAGCCCTTCTTCAACGAGTAAACGGATGATACGATCGGAGTAGAAGACAAAGTCAGATCTTTGGGTCTCCTTATTTCTGATGATTGTGTAAAGAGATAAGAGCTGGTTAGTTTGTGGCAACAAGATGACGTTCTTTGGGGATTCAGCAGACATTTTCGGGGATGAGTATGAAATTGGTGTTCTAATGGCAACAAAATGTAATAATTTGCGATAGATGATTTGACTCAAAGAAATGGAATTAAATTTAAAAAAAAATTCCCAATGGGCATCGCCATAGAAGATTTTTTTTTTACTGCCAGCTGCTGCAGTTATGTGCTCCGTTTGCAGCTGCTGGCCGGCTGTAACACAATGTCCTTATCGGGAAACAATCCAACATGGCTAGCTATATATTCCCATATAAGAGATGTTGGGTGATTTTAATGATATTATGGAATGGATCATGTGTGTAAATTATCGAGATTCGCCAGGAATATTTATCGTGTTTTCTCAAAAGTATGTGGTGATGGATTTGTTTTCGTACTGTGAGTTTTTGAATTGAAATCACGAATTGAGATGATCTATTGATGAATGTTCAGAATGGAAAAAATGTTTTGACTTGGATTATTTATTTTTCTTTTTATTCTTTTGTTTGATAGAATTGATATTATATCAATATCAATATATAATATCTAATTATGATATCCTGAAAGTTGAAGGTCAATTTTCTTGATGTTCAAAACCTTTCTACTATTCATAACATCACTTTGAGAATGCATTGGTGAATTTCTGTGAAATAGTTACGAAAGATCGAATAAATCTTAGCTAGGAAGCTTTTCTGACGTCCTACTAATATCTTATCAAATAGATATTTGTAATATCATTCTAATTGGATGGTAGAATACAATACATATCACTGTCATGCAATGGAAGAACAGATTTCCAATAGAAAGGTTTTTATTCCTGGACAAAAAAATATCTCAATATTGATTTGATCAATAATAATAACTGCGGATTTATCATTCGTATAATAGAGAAATTTATCACATTTGATAAAGCTGAAAGCGATATCCCTACAAGTAATATCGTTTATATTCCTGTTGATTCAAATAGAGATTGTTTTTTAAGAAGGCGGAAATAGTTAGGAAAATTATGAAAACTATTATGCAGAGAATACCTTCATGTCTATAATCATTTATTTGGAATTTGGAAACAGATACTCTTCATTTGAACCGGTTGTGAATTTTGGAGCCATATCCAGCAAAAACAAAAGTAATAATTATTTCCCTTTTCCAACTTAAGCGTACTTCCCTCATATGCAAAAAAAAAAGAGATTACAGGATAGAATAAGTATCGCTAAAGGCCATCTTATTTGTCAACATTTATTTGAAAGAATACATCACAAATTTAAATAATAATACACAACCAGTCCAGTTAAAGAAAAAGTACCTTCTCTTGTTTGTTTGTTTTTCTGTTTTTTTGTTGTTTTTTTTCTGTTTTTTTTGAACTTTTTTTTTTTATTTAATCATACACAAGACAAAAAGCTAAGAAGTAATCCGAAATTCAGCTTATTCATCTTCTTTAAGTTCTTCATTAACAAATGGATTATCAATGATCTCACTTCCATCTACCGGAGAAATTGTCAATAACAATGGGCCTCTAACCACCACTTGGCCGAGCTTTCTGGTTTGATCTTTCAAAAGCACAGTATCGTCTTCTGGGTCTCTCAAAGTTTCCTCAACGTCATCAAGCACCAAGTTCATCAATTGATCGTACCCTTTCAATGTACCAATTACCTGTCTTCCACCAATGAATTTCACTCTTATTTGCTGGTCCTTATACTTGGCAAGATCCAAAATGGCTTCTCTTTTTGGACCATCAGACTTTCTAGCATTACCAGCATCAGCATTATCCCTTCTGTTATTATATCTTCTTTTATTATTATTGTTGTAGTTATTGTTGTAGTTATTGTTATTGTTGTTGTTGTTGTTGTTGTAATTGTTATAACTCTTGTTATACCTCTAAAGTTTTTTCTTGTTAGTACTGATGTTCTGAAATGGCTAGCCAAGGTACTGAAAGCTACCAAAGACTTTTTTTTTTTTTTTTTAAAAAAAAAGGAAGTAGCGTACTCTATTACTATTGTTGTTATTGTTATTGTTATTGTACTCCATTTTTGCCAGTCTAAAATAAAATGATATCCAGTTGATTCCAATCCCGCCTTCCATCACCAGCAGGTTCTTTCATTTTCTTTTAAACTGACGAATATCTTTTGGGCGATTAACACCCAAACATCAGAAACACCCAAAAACACATACCCATTGAGCATAATATCCCACAATAAATGATGATTTTTTATATAAAAGAAGTGCAATTGAGGAATCAAACCTCTCAGCAAGAATTATAGGAAATCTGTTATTATATTAAATAGACAGAAGAAACAACAACATAATAAATACAGACAACAAACAACAATGTCCTCAGATATAAGTGTGTTTGTCACCTCTTCCTTGACATCTTCCGAAAGAAGAATTTCGCCAAACTGGACCCTATCACATTTCAAAGTCAAACTTGAGCAGATCACAGGAATCCCCCCAGCAAATCAGAAATTATTAGTCTATGGATCATCCAATTCGCCTGATTATCAACTATTGAAGTCCATTGGTAGCGAATCCCTGGCCACATTATCACAGTTTGATTTTCTCAAGCCATTTGTCAGAATTCATGTCGACGATACCAATCCTAATCCTGAGCTTGAAGAGCTTGCCAAATCTAGCCAACAGGAGATGGAAAACATTTCTGGCGCTGATATTCTTAATAGTGGAAAGTATATTGGGACCGGATACGAAGATAAACAGGACACAGTTTTGAAATGGAAGGAAAAAAACCAATTGGGGAGATTCAATCCTGAATATAAAGAGAAACAACAGCAAGAATTGGAGAATAACATCCAATGTTCCTCGAAGATTGCCGTCGGTGCCAGATGTCGTATCAAGCCAGACTCTTCCATTACTGTCGAGAGAAGAGGGACGGTTAGATATGTGGGGAAGATTCCTGAAATCACCTCTACTGGAGCAGAATTCCCTTGGGTGGGTATTGAATTAGATGAACCATTGGGGAAAAATGACGGGAGTATAAAGGGAAAGAAATATTTCAGCTGTAATGCAAAATATGGATCTTTTGCCAAACCTACCAACGTTGAGATCGGGGACTTCCCATCGCTAATGGATGAATTAATGGATTCCGATGATGACATCAATGAGGAATTGTAAAATCAAAAAGTTAATGAGTAAGGATTTGCTAGGGTATATTTTTACTATTAATAGATAGATGATCAAAATTTGGCTTACGTATTTATTACTTTTGGCTATGTGATTCTTCATTTACTGCTTATTTTTGCGGAGGTATTTGTTGATCTCAAGGCCCAGGAATCCAATAAATGATATCCGAAGACACCAATAAGCTTCACGCTTTTTCTGCTCAAAAGATTATTATTTGGAAATTCTTTTCAGTTGTTACTTAATCTTTTGAAGCCATTTTATGATCTACCAATGCTACAAATTAATTAGAAATAATGTTTCTGTTGTAAGTCTTTTTTATGTATATATATAATAATTAATAGTTCTGCTATAAGAGAGGAAACCACATTGGAGACTACTAGATATATTCTTCGGGCTCACAAATAATTTATTGAACTATTCGTATAATATAATAAACACCCGTCATGTTGGTACATTATAGTCTGACATGCATAAAAGCGGCCACAAACACAAATCCTTTTCAATAATAAACAGATGATAGAGAATGAGGGAGAAACAAAAAAATAGGAGAGAAAGAAAGAGAAGCAAAGAAAAAGCCTAAGTGAGAGAAATTTACGCCGAGTGGTCATTAGGTTTGTAATTCTGAAATATGCTTTAGTTTAATCTTCTTGGAATCAGGGAAGAAGAGGGAACTGAAAATATTTGAAATGATTCTCACTCAAGTAACAATCACGATTTTTCTAATATGCGTTATACTATTTTCAGATTCTGTTTTATCTGTCTACGAGGTCATGGATGTTAATATTTCAACGTCATCATTGCCGTCGTTTTACGATAATTCAAATTACACTCCTAGCATGCCACATTATCGAATCAAGGCCGTGGCAAATGATCCCAACAGTGAATTACTTTTGATGACTTCAAAATTGTCATTACAGTATGCCAATTTATTTCTTAGCCTCACCCGAATGATTAAAAGATGTTCACCATTGACAGTTACGTTTACCCCATTACGGGCTACTTCATGCTATTTTAGGGTGGGGAGTGTTACCATAAGAAGTGTGACTACAGGGTACTTGACCTATTTGTATATGATGAAAGTCAGCGAGGTGACCAATGTCAGTCCCATGGCACTCATTGCTCCCGGTAAAGAGATGGTTATCAATAATTTCCTCAATAGTCCATTCCAGATCACCAATTTCTCAGAGCAGATAAGTGAGCATGGTATAAAGTGGAGGGTCCAAAGCCAGCCGCGAGAGATGGCCAGCCGGTTTTTTCACTTCTACATTGATATGAGCTTGGATCAATTGAGGAAGCGAGTAGTGTTGACGTCAACGATGGTTCCGGCGAGCACGGGATTTGCCAAAGTGGTTTGTGGGAGCACCCGTGGCAATGGCAATTGCAGTGTCTCTTCGTCGATGGAGCTCACCATTGGCGGGACAGTCCTAGCAAAGACCAAACGAAAGTATGGACGAACGAACGAATGAATGAATGAGTGAATGAATGAATAACCATCCATGATGGAAAGTGCCCGTCCAACCAGCGTGCGTGAAAAACTACCGCGCCGGCCGAGGGGGAGCACCCCGGAGGCACGTGTGATCGAGGGGCCGGGCCCAATAAATGCGCTGTGATTGGTGGAGATTTGACGACGCCCCATTACCCGTCCCACAGAACGAACCGCTTGGGTGTGTTTGGTGCGATTGATCAACGAAATAGATTTTGGTTTTTTTCAACCCATAAAAATTCTTACTTCTTCTCTCCCTTTACCACAAAGACTCTTCTTCTTTTGCTGGAAAGAAAAGAATAGATAACATTGCAAGATGGTTCTTCCTTCCTTATTCGCATCTACTTCTAGAGTTGCTTTCAAGGCTGCTCAAAAAAACCACGCCAACTTCGTGAGAACTTTGGCCACCGCTGTCTCTTCTGGTAAGGTCACCTCTGTTATTGGTGCCGTTGTCGATGTCAAATTCGAACAAGGTAGTTTGCCAGCTATTTTGAACGCTTTGGAACTTGAAAACAATGGTCAAAAATTGATCTTGGAAGTTGCTCAACATTTGGGTGAAAACACCGTCAGAACTATTGCTATGGATGGTACTGAAGGTTTGGTCAGAGGTCAAGCTGTCGTTGACACTGGTGCCCCAATCTCTGTCCCAGTCGGTAGAGAATGTTTGGGTAGAATTATCAACGTTGTTGGTGAACCAATTGATGAAAGAGGTCCAATCAACACCAAGAGCAGAAACCCAATTCACGCTGACCCACCAGCTTTTGTTGAACAATCCACTGAAGCCGAAGTTCTTGAAACCGGTATCAAGGTTGTCGACTTGTTGGCCCCATACGCCAGAGGTGGTAAGATTGGTTTGTTCGGTGGTGCCGGTGTCGGTAAGACTGTGTTCATCCAAGAATTGATTAACAACATTGCCAAGGCCCATGGTGGTTTCTCTGTTTTCACTGGTGTCGGTGAAAGAACCAGAGAAGGTAACGATTTGTACCGTGAAATGAGAGAAACCGGTGTCATCAACTTGGAAGGTGAATCCAAGGTCGCCTTGGTCTTCGGTCAAATGAACGAACCACCAGGAGCTAGAGCTAGAGTTGCTTTGACTGGTTTGACCATTGCCGAATACTTCAGAGATGAAGAAGGTCAAGATGTCTTGTTGTTCGTCGACAACATTTTCAGATTCACCCAAGCTGGTTCTGAAGTGTCTGCTTTGTTGGGTCGTATTCCATCCGCCGTCGGTTATCAACCAACTTTGGCCACCGATATGGGTCTTTTGCAAGAACGTATTACCACCACCAAGAAGGGTTCCGTCACCTCTGTCCAAGCCGTTTACGTGCCAGCCGATGATTTGACTGATCCTGCTCCAGCCACCACTTTTGCTCACTTGGATGCCACCACTGTGTTGTCCAGAGGTATCTCTGAATTGGGTATCTACCCAGCCGTCGATCCATTGGATTCCAAGTCCAGATTGTTGGATGTTGCCGTTGTTGGTCAAGAACATTACGATGTTGCCACTGGTGTCCAACAAACCTTGCAAGCTTACAAGTCTTTGCAAGATATCATTGCCATTTTGGGTATGGATGAATTGTCCGAAGCCGACAAGTTGACCGTCGAAAGAGCCAGAAAGATCCAAAGATTCTTGTCTCAACCATTCGCCGTCGCTGAAGTTTTCACTGGTATCCCAGGTAGATTGGTCAGATTGGAAGAAACCATCAAGTCTTTCAAGGACGTTTTGGAAGGTAAATACGATCACTTGCCAGAAAACGCTTTCTACATGGTTGGTGGTATTGAAGATGTTCTTGCCAAGGCTGAAAAATTGGCTGCCGAAGCTAACTAGAAAAGGAAATAGTTATTAATTTTGTTTAAAGAAATTCAAAACATGTCTGATATCTGAAGTGATTATATATTCATATTTATATTACGCAATTACGTAACGTCAAAAAAATACAAAAAACTAGTTTTATGTTGATAATATTTTAATTGTGTGGTTTTTGGCGTAAATCGTCCATGAAGAAAAAAAAAAACCCCCCCTCCCTCTAAAAAAAAACGAAAAAACTAACCGGTGTAGGTTACCCCATCATACAACATTCATGCTTCAACGAAATCTTTTGATGGAAATCGGTGGGTGCCACTGAGATTCTTCGTGCACCGTTTTTACTCTCCCGCCCCCCTCGTCCTCAGGAATATATCACAAACAGAAGACACAAAGTGTTGATAAAAATAACAATAATGTCTGTTTCCAATAAAGATCTTGCTTCCTTGATCATTGACTTTGTTCAAGGCGCCGTTAACTCCAAGGCGGTGGCCGAAGACTACCTTGAATCAATGGACGTGGTCATCTCTTGTCTTTCTGATGCTTTTGAAATTGATGCCGATGAAGCCAGTGGCGTTGTCTCTTCCAAATTCCAAGGGAAAAACTTGCAACAATTAGTGCAATCCGCATTATCTTCTGGTGCCTCGTCATCATCATCATCATCATCATCTAAAGAAGACTCTTCCGTGCCGGTGAATATTTCTGCTGACGAAACTGAAAGAAAGGCCAAGGCCGAAGCTCTCAAGGCCGAAGGTAATAAGGTCATGGCTGCCCAAGACTTTGAAGCGGCGATTGCCAAATATACTCAAGCCATTGAAGTTTTGGACACCAACGCGGTTTATTATTCTAACAGAGCCGCTGCGTACTCTTCTGTCGGCAAGCACAATTTGGCGATCAAGGACGCCAACAAGGCCATTGAATTGGACCCACAATACGCCAGAGCCTATTCTAGATTGGGGCTTGCAAACTACGCTTTAGGCGATGTCAAGGCGGCGTTACAAGCTTACGAAAAAGGGCTTGAAATCGAGGGTGATAAGCCATCTCCTGGGATGAAGAAAGGGTTTGAAACCGCTAAAAAGAGAGTTATCGAAGAAGAAGCTGCCGCTGCCGGTTCCGGTTCCGTCGATAATGCTTCTGCCACGAGATCTCAACCTTCTGGAGGTATGCCAGATTTGGGAGGATTGGCCTCGATGTTGGGAGGTGGTGCTGGTGGTGGAATGCCAGATTTAGGGGGATTGATGAGCAACCCACAAGTGATGCAAGCTGCTCAACAAATGATGCAAAACCCTGATGCCATGGCCAACCTTATGAACAACCCAATGTTGCAACAAATGGCTTCAAGCTTTGGTCTTGGGGGTGGTGCCGGGGCTCGTTCTGGTGCTTCTGAAGAATCTGGCGCCAGTGGTTCTGGTGGTCAACCAAGTATGGATGATTTGATGAACAACCCAATGTTGAGAAATTTGGCTGATAGCTTCATGAACAACAGAAACTCCGGGAACGGGGGTAACTAGCTGGATCGTGTGTAAGAAGCGAGAAGGTTTAATAATATAATCGCACCAGTGCAGTATATTGTACTTGATAAATATAAAAGGAATGATATTAATCCCCAATCTTTGTAGGTGTTGGTGATGGTGGTGGCACAAGGGCAGGAGGGGCGGAAAAGAGGGCGTTTTACCCGCCTTAAGCAGTGGTTACTTTTCGCCCGCACGAAAAATTGGACGGTAAAAAAAAGCTGAAAGATTGAAACTTGTTATCTCTGCCTGATCTGTCCTGTATCATCTATCACCAACAACAATACTCTAACAATAACTCCTTGAATTAAAAAATGGCCGACGGTTTCGAAAAAGCTCTTGAAGTCCCAGTTGACTTTGTCAAGGACGGTTCCGCCTTTGTTCGTAAATGTACCAAGCCATCTCAAAAAGGTGAGTTCTACAAAACGCTGACATTTTCTCTCTTTTTTTTTTTTTTTTCATTCTTTTTCATTCTATTCTTGTTGTTCCTTGGGGGGTTAAATAGATTGGGAGATACTTTCAATTGGAATATTATGATAATGAATGTGGTTACCAAATCGATATTATAGTTTGTTGAATACGACGTGGTTGAAATTTGGGGCCGATATGGCTAGAAAGTATTGTTTAACATTATTGTTCAACATCAAAGAAGAATAAATTGGGAAATACAAAATGTGAGATTGGTTCACTAGGAGAATCTGAATTGTCATTATTAGTTATAATACTCTAACTTGTTAGCCATCATGGCCAGTTGTGCTACCTCTAACCTCGTTATTAATGATATCTATAGACTCTACTACTCATCTGCAACCCGAACATGAACATGAAAGGAAAAAAAAATAAAAATATTCTCATATAATGATTGAAGCACTCTTTATACTAACATTTCCTATAGAATACGTTCAAATCATCAAGGCTGTTGGTGCTGGTTTCATTGCCATGGGTGTCATTGGTTACGGTATTAAGTTGGTTCACATCCCAATCCGTTACTTGATTGTGTAATCCAACCTGCTCAAAAGCAAATCATCATTCTGTTCGCCGTGTGTCTATTGATACTTTAATTTTATGTTATTTTTTTTTTAGTGTTTTGGTTTATTACACCTGTGCTTTAGTTCGCTTGCCTGAGTCATCGAAATGTATTCTTTTTTTTTTTTTTTATTTATTTTATTTCCCCATTACTTCTTATTATTGTGTACCATTTCTTCACGGTCACTTCAATGCTTATGACCAACATTTTTTCAAATGAATATGAAAAACCGGGGAATCATTTTCTGGCAGTTTCTCGTAGATGGATGGATAACTTGAGTAAGTACTTTTTTTTTTCTTGAAAATTAAGTCTCTTTCATATACAATGCTCCTTCTTTTTTTCTCCCCCATTTTTCGCTTTGTGCAAGTTCTAATATTTGTTAATTCAATTGTCCTTATTACTTATAGTATTCAAGTACAAAACAAACACTAAATCAAAATCAAAATATTGAGCTTCTGCATCAACTTCCCCTCCACAGTGTCCTTTTAATAAGCCAATTTCATTTACTGACACCGTGAAAAAGTTCGATTCCCCCTAATCTTATTATAGCAATAACCTTAACTGAACTTAATGGTTGAAAAATAACTTTCAATAATTTATATAAAAAGTCCACGATGAGGATCTTCGGACGATGGAAATTCACGGGGTGCCACACCCAGTGATAAGAAAATCAATCAATCGATCAGCAAGGAAAACAACTGCCAGCTTTTGCCTCTTTTGTTCAAGATATCACATTGCAACAAGGCCATTAGGAGCATGAAGGAAGGAAAGAAAGAAAGAATATAATTATAGTAATAATTAACTGAAGAGATAACCAACTAATAAAAATAATGTCTAGCGCTAATCTGATCTTTTTCCGATGTCAAACTTGTCACCTACCATTGATCGTTAATGACTCTCTTCTCAATCTTAGCACTGCGCAACAGCGACTTTTAACTAGCGAGAAATCCATCAACAAGAAGTCTAAAGATGCTAAGCAACAACTACCGAAGCCAGAAATGAGGCTTGCAGACACCAATACTGACCGAATGAAAATGTATAACGAAGCAATGCAACAATGCGAGGGGTTCCCAGAAGTGCTACAGTACAACATTCCTTTGGGAGATGACCAAGAAGAAGATTACGATGATGATGGAGAACTGATGGAGACTAGAGGACCGATGATGTCGCCCAAGCAATTACATGCCATCGAAGATAAACTTTTGGATCAACTTAGTGAGTTGCAAATAAATATCGATGACATGGACGATGAGAAGTTGCTAGAAGTCATTAGTAATTTGAAACGCAGTAATGTCGATAACCAAAAAACAAAAACTTATGATGAAGATGATGATCCCACGGTAGCATTAATGAATAATATTAATATGAATATGAATTATGATGATTTCCAAGATTCAGGCGCCACGATTTCCAATAGAATCAATATGTTGAGCAAAATGTTTGGGATTCTCTCATTCAAGTATGATATCGACTATCCGGTATGTGTGGAGTGCTCAGATACTTTGTCAGGTCAACTTAAACAACAATACGACGAAGCAATAAAGGAGAAAAACGCCTATTTGCAGTTTCTCAACAAGTTGAACAAGCAAACGTCGCCCAATCTTGGCAAACTTGATTCATCGTTGATGGAACTAAGGAAATTAGATGAAAAGTATATTGATTCTCTAAAAGAAATTGAAGAATTAGAAAAAGAGGAAGCAGAACTAAAAGCGGAGATCGAAGAGATTGATAAAGAAATCGCCAATGTCAATATCAAGGAATCAGATTTACTCTGCCGGAAGAATTTGTACGAGCTTGAATTGCTCGAGCTTAATGATTTGAATAACCAAATGTCGAATAGTTTACTGGAAAAAAAAGAAATTTACGAGAAGCTAAAGAAATCCAATGTTTACAATGACGTGTTCAACATCTCGTATGATGGCGCGTTTGGGACGATTAATGATCTAAGGCTTGGGAATTTGAAGAACACCAAAGTTTCCTGGGCAGAAATCAATTCTGCTCTAGGACAGATCGTGTTGTTATTGTCAATAATCATCAAGAAATTGAATTTGAATATCCAAGGATATAAGCTTGTGCCTATGGGATCGTATTCTAAGATTGAGAAGTATGAACCAATGGCGTACCAAACGTCGTCGGCTGGAGTCAACCAGACCTCCAGTACAGGAGATGGACAATATAAAAAGACGATTCTTGAATGCTTCTCTTCAGGGTCTTCGACGTTTGAACGACTATTCACCCACAATTCGTTAGATCAAGCAATGATTGGATTGTTGAACATTATTAAACAAATGGAGGATGAGCTTAAGGAGAAGTACGATAAAGCCATAGAATTGCCATATCCGATTAATATCATCAACAATAAAATTGGCGGTCTTAACATCAAACTCAATAGAAAGATCACCGATGATGAATGGACCATGGCATGTAAATTCTTGGTTACTAACGTGAAGTATATTTTAGCGTTCTCTAGCACTAAAATCAATAACCGGAAATAAGTTTATAGTTTATACAATTTTGTTGCTTACGATTTGTTATTTGGTATGTCGTGAGGAAATTTTTTAATTTTTAGACGATTATAATAATATTAATGACAGCGATTGATCTGAATAAAAAAAAAATTACATCATTTTGGGTCAAAACCCAAAGGGCTCGATCAACACTTGCATGCAGCTTTTAACCCCGACAATTTTTTTTTTCACGGTATAAAAAGGCCCCCTACTCCCCCACAAAAGTGGTTATCCACCTTGCTAACTCTGAACTTTCCTTCCAAATTCATTTGAATAATTATAATTGAATTTACCCAAAAAATTTCTTCTGTCGTTACCCTTAACAATGGCACCCAAATGCCTTTGGTCGGTTTGGGGCTCTGGAAAATCCCAACTGACATCACTGCCCAGGTGGTTTACGATGCCATCAAGATTGGTTACAGATTGTTCGATGGTGCTACCGAATATGGCAATGAAAAACAAGTTGGCCAAGGGGTCAAGAAGGCCATTGCCGATGGACTAGTTAAGAGAGAAGAATTGACAATTGTTTCCAAATTGTGGAACAACTTCCACCACCCAGATAACGTCAAGAAAGCCTTTGCCAGATCCTTATCCGATTTAGACTTGGAATACATTGATATTTACTACATTCATTTCCCAATTGCTTTCAAATTTGTTCCATTTGAAGAAAGATACCCAACAGGATTATACTGTGGGGACGGCGATAACTTCCACTATGAAGACGTACCAATCATTGAAACCTGGAGAGCCCTTGAGAAAATTGCTGATGAAGGGAAAATCAAAACTTTGGGGATCTCCAACTTTACCGGTTCATTGATCCAAGACTTGCTCCGTGGGGCTAGAATCAAGCCAAGTCTTTTACAAATCGAACATCACGCTTATCTCCAACAACCAAGATTGATTGAGTACGTTCAATCCGCAGGGATCAATGTCGTGGCTTATTCCACTTTTGGTCCTGCTAGTTTCATTGAATTGAACCATCCAAAGGTTAAGGAGGTCGGAGCGTTATTTGAAAATGCTACCGTTGTTGAAGTTGCCAAGAAACATAATGTCACCCCTGCCCAAGTGTTGTTGAGATGGACCACCCAAAGAGGCATTGCCGTGATTCCAAAGTCTTCCAAACCAGAAAGATTGGAAACCAACTTGAAACACGAACACTTTGACTTGTCCGAGGAAGAACTCAAACAAATTGCTGCCTTGGATATTAGTTACAGATTCAACGACCCATGGAACTGGGACAAGATTCCTACCTTTGTTTAATTATCCAATCATTGACAGATAAGTTATCCAACCAGGAGCCCTATTTTAATTAAGAACACATGAATACATATAGATTGATTGTTATTCATTTATTGTAGAACAAAAGGGCATTTTTGCAAAAATACACCACTTCGTGAAGTGCTTCATGCAATAGAATGCAAGCATCATCACATATTACGTAGTGCTTTCTACAACCATCAAGCATCGAAGATTACTCCATATACATCTATCAGGATGCATCTTCAAGTTATTGTAGGAAATCCGTAACAGTAATGATGGCTGTTGATTAGCGATCAGACGGGAAGGAGGGTTGCGTTCAAGAAACGCGTTGATTCTGTCTCCCCTTGATGTTTGTCTACGGTTATTGACATTTTCTATCGTCTTTATTTCTAAGGTTTTTTAAATTATTTTAATTCTTTACTTTCTTTTTTCACTCGAATTGAAACCCAAATCTCGCTGGCTATTGTCTACTAGGTACTGGAAAGCAAGGTCCAATATTAGCACCAGGAAATCTAAATAGTGAGAAGATGAGTTTCAGAGAGGTTTCTGAACCCAATAATGGGTCAATATCTTCAATAGCTATTCTTTTTGAAGAATTAAGAATTGTTGAAATTATGTTGGGATCAATTTTAGGGCAAAAAGTTGATTGGCAATACCCCTATTCAATGAAATATTTTTTTAGAACTTCAAAGCAGATCCGATGGATTGAGCTTTTGGGGAATAGTAATCTGTTGTATGAAAATTTCTAACTCTGATGATTGGAAATACCCGTAATACCTAAGATTTCTCACAAAATATATCCAAATCCATCAAGGTTGGTCTCTCTAAACCTTTGGTGCCCTTGATTCTCGTCTTTGATAGAGCTACAGAAACTAACTGGAAAGTACACTTGTTCCTTGAAAGAGATTGAGGAATTAGGGAAGTAGAAGATCAATAACGAGTTCTCTAATGTCAATATCAAAGAATTCAATTGACTCTGTCGGAAGAAGTTGCACGGGATTAATGTTTTGAATAGCCATATGTTTGAACAGTCAGTTTACTGGAAAAGAAAGAGCCATGAAACTTCTACTGGCGACTGATGTATGTGAAGTGTATTTCGGTATTCTCTAGATAGCCAGTAATAATAAGCAATAGTCCACCCACAAAAAACCCCCCCTGTGATAGCTGATCATCATTGATGAGACAATCTCGCGACGATTTGCCAAAGGGCTCCCGGCCACACTTTGTGGGGTTGCGTGCTGCATAACCCCGACAAAATTGCATCACTATAAAAAGGCCACTGCTTCTCCCCACCAGGGTTTGCCCCCAATTGGTAAACTTCTTTCTACTTCTTTTTCTCCTTCTTCCCCATTCACTTTAATAGTCCTAACCATAATATATAAATTTCTCAATCATGTCTTCTGTCGTTACCCTTAACAATGGCACCCAAATGCCTTTGGTCGGTTTGGGTGTCTGGAAAATCCCACAAGACATCACTGCCCAAGCAGTGTACGATGCCATCAAGATCGGTTACAGATTGTTCGATGGTGCTGAAGATTATGGCAATGAAAAACAAGTTGGCCAAGGGGTCAAGAAGGCCATTGCCGATGGGTTAGTTAAGAGAGAAGAATTGACAATTGTTTCCAAATTGTGGAACAACTTCCACCACCCAGATAATGTCAAGAAAGCCCTTGCTAGAACCTTATCCGATTTAGACTTGGAATATATCGATGTTTTCTACATTCATTTCCCAATTGCTTTCAAATTCGTCCCATTTGAAGAAAAATACCCACCAGGATTCTACTGTGGGGACGGCGATAACTTCCACTACGAAGACGTGCCAATCATTGAAACCTGGAGAGCTCTTGAGAAACTTGTCGATGAAGGGAAAATCAAAACTTTGGGGATCTCCAACTTCACCGGTCCATTGATTCAAGACTTGCTCCGTGGGGCTAGAATCAAGCCAAGTCTTTTACAAATCGAACATCACGCTTATCTCCAACAACCAAGATTGATTGAGTACGTTCAATCCGCAGGGATCAATGTCGTGGCTTATTCCACTTTTGGTCCTGCTAGTTTCATTGAATTGAACCATCCAAAGGTTAAGGAGGTCGGAGCGTTATTTGAAAATGCTACCGTTGTTGAAGTTGCCAAGAAACATAATGTCACCCCTGCCCAAGTGTTGTTGAGATGGACCACCCAAAGAGGCATTGCCGTGATTCCAAAGTCTTCCAAACCAGAAAGATTGGAAGCCAACTTGAAACATGAACACTTTGACTTGTCTGAGGAAGAACTTAAACAAATTGCTTCCTTGGATATTGGATTCAGATTCAACGACCCATGGACCTGGAACAAGATTCCTACTTTTATTTGATTATCTAGTTATTAGTAGACATATTTTCCATCCTAGAATCTTACATTTGTCATATATCAATACATATTATATATTGATTATCAATCATTTATTGTAGAAGAAAAGGACATTTCGAGATGTTTTATGCAATAAAATGCAAGTGTCATGGAATATTACGTAATGCTGTCGAACAACCCTTTGGCCTTTGGGACATGCTGGGTCCTGCCAATTCCTTCATCATTGTCGTCTTCGTTATCATCCACCACCAATAACTTTCGCTTGTTCTTCTGTAGTTCTTTTTCTCTAACATCAGCATTGTTATTCCATGTTACCGTGGCCTCAAACTCCTCTTCCTTGTCAAGAGCATTGATATTGCCACCATCAAACATCGATGTCAATGCAGATACCGAAGATTTCCCCATTAATCTATCAGGTCGCTTCTTTGGGTTAATGTAGGAGCTCTGCAATGGCGATGATAGTTGCTGATCAACGAACAAATGGTTTTCTTTGCGTTCAAGAAGCGCGTTAATTCTGTCCTTATTGACATCGTGTACTTGATCAGGAGGCAGCGGTACAACAAACATCGGTCTCGTTGGAATATTCGGTTCATCATCCACGATGGGTTCATTATTGGCCAACATCGTAGGCCCCCTAGTGGTTTTCCGTCTCTTTGGATTCGTGGCGCCTCTAATGATCTTGGGGGCTTGTAATTGTTGTTTTTCATTATTTCTAACCGCATTCATCGCTTCTGTTGATTGGTCGATGGTTATTGTTCCATCGACATCCGTCAATTCTGTCAATTTTAATCTCACTAATCCCCTTTTAAGGCTCGATTCAAATATAACGGGAGAGCCATTTCTCGCAAAGAATATCTCAAACGTGTTATTTTCGCCATTATTTTCATCCAGAGCCCCTGGGGGATGGTGATGATGATCATCATCGAAATTTTGCACCGAACGACCATTATTATTACCGCTCACCACCACCATCGATGACAAATTAATAAAAGTTCGCAATTCTTTCAACCGGAAAGTAACTTTGATTTCTTCAACTTCGTCATTCAGCAGCTGATCGTGCTCAGTATCCCCTTTATATAAGAAAGAGTCAATTATGTCATCCAATGCTAATGATACATGTAACGACATTGGCTGGCGAATATACACCTTATCCTTCTTCACCGGCTTCAAGAACGCAATGAAGAAAAGTCGATTTGGAGGCCTCTTGATATTGATCTGGAAATCCTCAATGGTGGCGGGGGTCACTTCGAAAAACTTCTTAATGATGACATTGTCCAAGATTAGATAGTTTAACGGATCATTGGCCTCGTAAGAGGATTCTTCCATTGCCACTGCCAATTTATCACGGGGTTGCAAATGACTGGGTATGCTAAAATCGTCGTCGTCATCGTTAAAGAAATACTCACTCCACAAGCGGCTAAGTCTCCGTTTATACAGTTTCCCCATATCGTTTTGGTCTAAATAACACGGCTGGAATCCAGGACTGAAATGTTTCTTCACTTTTCTTTTGGAAGTCTTTTGGATCAATAATCGAAATCGTTGAGTCATGGGGCACCCACGCCGGAGATTGATGGAGAAACTGTACTCATCGTCATCTGGTGTCCGGAAAATCACCGATAAGAATCGAGCTTGGATCACAAAACTATACGTCGAAGTTTCTGGAGTATCTTCTTTATCTTCTTCTATATCGTCATTGACAAGTTCCGTTGGTTGGTAGGTTCGGGGTTGCTGCTGATTTTTCTTTGCTTGTTCTTTTCTATGGAATGTGAACCCTTCCTGGTACACTTCCTCGGGGTTATCGAACTTCAACGAGTATTTATCGAAAAACCCGCTGACAAAAGATACGTCAAGGCTAGAGGTTTTTGCGGTATTGAGGGCAGAAATGCTGATGAATTTACTGGTGATCACAAACTTTAGAGTATCGGCCACTGTGGAGAGCGAGGTGATGGCTTTGCACCATATCTGCCGCGATTCGGAGTCTTTGATGGTTGCTTTGAATGACATAAGATATATATATATATATATATATATTTATATATAATATTGAATCTTCAAATCATAAAATAATAATATTTAATATATGATGGTAATGATGGAGGGGACCACTAGTAGGACATTTTGTGGTAGAATATTCATGATGTCAGTTTGATGAATTCTTTATTTTTGTTTTTCTTCATCTCATTGTGTCTTTTTTTTTTTTTTTTGTCACGCAAAACAATAACTTTACGATGATTCAAACGTTTATCATAGATTTGGAGAGAGTATTATATATATTCAATAGTGATTGAATGTGGATAATAGGATTTAATATTTGATAATTGAGTAACAATGCTTACGCGTAGAATCTCTGTGGTGGGGAAAATGAAATCAAATTGTATTCCAAGATTGCACCAACAAGTGAGAAATCATCATTACAGATTTGATAAATAGTGAAAAGTAAAGCAAAAGAATTCGTGATAATCATATAAAATACAAGCCGAAAAGAAAAACAAGAGAAAATTTGAAAAAAAAAAAAGTCCTTAAAAACACTTTTTTTTAGCATCTTCTACATATCTATATAAACACAATACTTAGGTGACCAGGTCGTGTGCCAATGAAGGCATAATTTTGACAATCCATATTCATTACAGAGCCAAGAGCATTTTAATAACTAGAAAAATACTATCAACGTTCAGCTCTCGAAACAAAATACCGCCAATGCACGATTCGACGAACTGTCATGCCCTATCACATAGAAGAGAGGTTAACCACTAACCATAGTAAATATAATTTCTTAGAAGATTTGATAAATGATGGGAATGGTAATAGACATTTCTGAAGCTCTAGATAAACTTCATGAAGATTGACTCGCAAGCAATTCAATAAAAATGAAAACTAATTAACAGTGAAAGCCAAAGCGACCACAAAACCAATTCAATTTTTTATCATTTTTTTAGTTATCATAATCACAGTAATTTTTAATTGATATTTTTAAAGCAAATAGTAAATCAAAACAAACCAAGATAAACCAAAAAAATAAAACAAGGATAAATAAAGTTGCAAAAACGTTCACCCAATATCATTTATTGCTCGGGATAATTTTCATTCTGACCGCCTTAACTTGGGTATAATTATCCAATGCCTCTTTCCCGGAATCTTTATCAAACCCACTTTGTTTCATTCCCCCAAATGGGGTGTTGTATTGTAGAGAATTATAAGTATTAACCCAAATGGTTCCTGATTTCAATCTATTGCTAACATCAATCGCCTTGTTGATATCGTTGGTATGTAAACCCGCAGCCAACCCATATTCCGAATTGTTAGCCATTTCAACAACTTCATCAACCGTGCTGAATTTTGTGACCGTTACCACCGGTCCAAATATCTCTTCTTTGACAATTCTCATCTCTTCATCAACATCAGAGAAAATCGTTGGCTTAATGAAATAACCTTTGCCTTCAATTCTTTCACCCCCAGTGACAAGGGTGGCCCCTTCCGCTTGCCCAAGTTTGACATAATCCAAGATCTTATCGACTTGCATTTGGGAAGTTTGGGCCCCTTGGAAAACGGTTTCATCAAATGGATCACCCACTTTCACAGCAGCCGCGTCTTTTTTAAACTCCTCAAGAACTTCATCATACACGCCTTCTTGAACATAAACTCGAGACCCTGCACAACAAACTTCTCCTGAATTATAAAAGATCCCAAAACTGATATTCTTCACCGCTTTTTTAATGTCTGCATCATCAAATACAATGTTTGGCGATTTCCCTCCAAGTTCTAGGGTGACTTTTTTAAGATTGGATTCGGCAGCGTTGCGCATGATAATTCTTCCGGTGGCGGTGGAGCCAGTGAAGTCGACTTTCCTGATTTTTGGGTGTAAAGTGATAGCGGCCCCGGCAGTTGGCCCAAATCCAGAAATCACGTTCAATACTCCTGGAGGGAACCCGACATCTTTGGCAAGTTGTGCGATATAAAGCGCAGATAATGGGGTTGATTCAGCGGTTTTAATCACCACAGTGTTACCAGTAGCTAGAGCCGGGGCGATTTTCCAAGCCATCATAAGTGCCGGGAAGTTCCAAGGAATAATTTGTCCACAAACTCCTAAAGGTTCACGTTTGGTATAGGTGAAATATGAACTTCCGGTATCGATGACAGTGCCATAAATCTTGTCACACCATCCTGCAGTAGAACGGATGTAATCTGCCACTAGCTGGATATCTGAACGTGATAGTTTGATGGTCTTACCATTATCCATGGTTTCTATGGATGCTAAAGTCTCCATATTGTCTTCGATGGCATCTGCTAACTTGGAAAGAAGTTTCGTGCGCTTTATTGGGTCACAAGTGGCCCAATCGGTATTTTCAAATGCTTCTTCTGCAGCGTTGACGGCTATATCGATATCTTCTGCAAACCCTTCATAAACTTCGGTGATCACTTCTTCGGTAGATGGATCGATTACCGGGAAAGTTTTGCCAGAGATTGAAGGGACAAATTCCCCATTGATGAAAAGTCCTGTTGGTTGGACATATTCGATGCCATTTGGCATAGTAATTTCAACAGATAGCGGATGAGACATGAATAATAATAATAACTATAATGATAATAACGGATAAAAAATACTATCGGGATGTTGTTTTAACAATTGCAATAGCGATGGACGTCAAAAAGATGATCAGAATTGAATTCTGGGGAACAAATGGTCATCTCTGGGTGCACGGATGTCAATTCTTAGTAAACCCAGACACCCAACAACCAACCAGACAAAGAAGCTGCCGTCAAACCTGGGTTATCACTTTGTATCCAGCGAAGCACTCTACTATCTCCATTATTCTTTGAACCAGGAAAGCTTTGGCAGTTACTGCTCCAACGGTGCTTTGCTGACGGTTTTAGTGAGGGTACTTGTGTTGTCACGTGCAAAAGCTTCTGTGCCCTGGCGTGGGTGTTAGCACTTTGAGTGGGAGCAGTGTCAAGTGGATTATTACCATTATCGGTACTACCACTCCATCACCATCATCGTTATCTCTTGTGTGTTTGTTTTAATGCTTCCGCACACATGTCCAATCCCACCGCGCTGCCGCCAATCCTCCAGTTCAAGCTTGTTAATCCTCTAGTAAACTCGATCTTCTCCATCAATGACCCATCAAAGTCCGCTTTAAAAGATATATACATACAGCTTCAGCTGAACCCATTCTCCTATGCCTTCATAATTCCAGATACTTACACTCTACTCAACTACTACGACAATACCTCTGGGATTGCCTACCGTGATTTATGTACCCGACAAGACTTTGTCAAAGATCATATCCTTGATCTTCGAAGCCATAACTTGACGATCTCTAGGAATTCCAACGTCGCGGCACTTTTAAACACCAGAAAGCCCAAGCATTTCACTAATGCCAATGGCAAGGATCTTTTGCTTAAAAAGGACACAATAATTATCAATGATGAGTATTTCAATGGCCAACCAAGCTCCGGTGAGGCAATGGACCTGTTGATCAAATTCAAAGTGTCGAAAATCGAGCTTTTTTTAAACTTCAACCAATTTTTCCCTAAAAACCATGAGTTTTTGTTAATCCATATTAATAGACCATTAACTGGTACTCCTATATCAGAAGTTCGGTTCAAAAGAATGCAAATCCTTCCGACATTGCAGCCGATCTCTGTGGGAAGTGCGACTCATACCAGAAACTCGTCCCTCAATCTTGATATTAACCAGTCAGGCACATCATGGCACCCAGAATTTGATAACCCATCATTTACTCTGGAAGTACAGCTAGTGGCCCCAAAAACTTCGTTCACGCAGTTAACTGGAAGATTTTCGGTAATAAATCAAGAGCTTGCCGCAGATTTTCTCCATCTTTTCAAAAATTTTGTCATTGATACCATCACCGACCCAGGAGAAATCCTCACATTATACAAAGAAACAATAAATCAACTGGCTCTTATTTTCAAATCACTCAGTGAAGAAATAATATCAGGAATTATCACCTATGACCCATCCATTGACTTGAATCGCTGTATTTACGACTATGTGGAACTTAGCTTGTACGACCGTATATGGAATCAGCTACGAGTTGTTTTGGCAACCCCACAAGACAAAGAAACTCAATATTTAACTAATGAAACTTATGAGCTGCTAAAATGTCTCTCAATAACTCAGGTGGGGATATTTGAAAATTTCGATACAAAAAGAGAAAAATTACAACCACAATTATTAATTTTTTTATCCAAGATCGCCAGTTCTGTGAAAATCTTTTCCAAAATTAGTCTCACAAACACTTATTTTGATAAACTCAAAATCCTTGTCCAAACAATTACCGAACTAACGAAGCAGACCACCATAAATGGCGTACGATCAGTTGACGTGAGTGCCGATATACTTGTTGCGTTACTCATATTGGTGGTGGTGGAATCAAGAGTTGAGGACATACATGTTCATTTAGAATATATCAAAAACTTCAGCTATTACAGTTATGCCCGAAGACTAGACTTGACAACCGGTTTTGTCGGATACTGTATCTCAACAATCGATGGGGTGTTGTATCATTTACAAAATAAAGAAAACATTTCCCAACTTATTTCCCACTCCATGAAAAATCAAGAGCTTTGGGAGATTCTTTATCTGACTTCTGCGTCTGCGGCTCCACAACTTATAGACTTTATTGATGCCAATACTGATTTCGATAATGATGTACACTTGCCCATTGAGCATTCATTGCGTGCAATAACCAAGAATGGTGAATCGGTCCTTCTGATTGCCCTTCTGCTGGAAAGTTCCGCCATAGCTTATGATCTTTTCCGAACTTTGCTCACATATAATGAGAATTTGTATCCTCTAGAAGATCTTCTATTTGATTATAACACCAGTCATTCCACGCTTTTCCTTGAATGCCTTCTACAATCGCGTCTTCAATGTGCAGACCTTTTATTGGATATTTTGCTTTCCTCGTGTACTGTTAGTGAGCTAATCAATTATATCAACCATCAAGACGCAGTGTACCATCGAGTTGCCGGCCACCATATTCATCGGTATCCTCAGTTACTTGATAAGGTTGGATTGTATATTGATTGGCGGGTCAGGGATATATCCTTTAATACCCCATTGGTGGCTCTTTGTCGAAACTATGATATCCAAGATTATCCTAGCCTCGTCACTCGTACATTTGAGATTGTCAAAAAATGGTACGCCGTGCAAAAAATGGAGTTTGATCCATTAGATCACATTGATGCGAAGGGAAACACCTTATTACATATATTGAGAGACGGGTGTCTCCAACCTATTCTTAGCGAACCATATGTGGATGTCAACAAATTTAATGATCGTGGTCATTGTCCGTTGGTAGTTTATGTCAGATACGGTCGGGTGAATAATATCAAAGCGATTCTTGAAGATGAACGCTTGAATTGGGGGAAAATTGACGGGAAAACTTTCTTAACAGTGTTAGATTATGTGAAAATGAATTCATCTGTCGCTTCAACCCCAAATTTGGATCAAAATAATGAGGCCATCATTAGTTCAAGTAATGTGGAAAAACTAGTAGATGGTCAATTCATCAAACACTTCTTCCCACAAATTAATGGTAGGAAGTTTGGAATATTAAGGGCAAAATTAGACTCAAATCAGTGGTGCTTTGTGATGAAGGGAAGTATTGTCGAGAGAATGGTTGAAGAAGATATTATTGAGCCTTCAAACAACATTAAACCGGTTCCTGTGACGCCAACGCCTAATGAAAGGGCATTTAAAGCGAAAAATTTGACGGTCAATACCACAATTATTAAACCAAAGCAAGAAACTGTCACCGCCAGATATAAAGCACATCACTACACAAATTATCATTCAGTTAATGACTTTCGAAGCCTCATTCATTTATTACATATAGAATACCCAATGAGTTATCTTCCAATAGTTTATCTTATGGACTCGGTATTTGCCCGTCTCAATCTAACCACCTTCACATTCTTCAATTTTAATAAACTCAAAATCAATGAAATGATGCTCAAGCTCAATATTTTCCTTGTGGGGCTTGAATTGAGCAGAGATTTTTATAACCACGAACTAATCTGGGAGTTCCTCATCCTCCCAACTTCAATAGGGTCCTCTGCCTCATCATCAGCATCCACGGGCGTCGCCAATATTGCCAACTTTAACGGGGCTCCAAAGGCCCAACTTGAGGCTCGGAGTAGAATGAAAATCGAAGCCACCAAGGAGAAACTTTCTTATGGTGCTAAATCTGGTAATCTTCCTTCAACTCCTGCCACCCCAATAATTGAGGAGCTGCCAATTCTGCATAGTCCAAATATCCCGGATGAATTCACCGATTCCGGGCTTGAGAATTTGAAGGAGTTGTTTGCGCTTGATATATCTAGAAACTATGCCATGCAGGAAGTGGAAGATATTTTGAATTTCTTGAAATATTCTAGTGATGAGCTCGAAATTTTCCACAGAGGTATAAAGAAAGTCCTACAATTGGTGGTGGTGGCAAGTCACAAATTTGTTGATCTTGAAACAGGGCTTGACAGCTTTGCTAAATTTTCTGATGATAATCCAACATTTAAGAGTTTCCCTGGGTATTATAAAAAGCAAATGGAGTCTATTCAAGAACGTATCAAGGCGCTTAGCCAGGATAACTCCAAGAAGGTTGCTAATGTTAGTGTTGGATCCCAGCCATTTGCCTCGATATCGGCAATGTTTCAGAAGATAATTGTGGAGTCCAATACTACTGCTACCTCACCCCATATCAAGTTTGCATTTTATCTTCAGTTTCTTGAGAATTGCGTGGCCAGAATGATTCGGAATATCAATAGTGTTATAAATAAGAAAATTCTCAAATGGTTGAAACTTGCCGGCGAGTTGAATAGCTTGAAGACCGAGCTTCGTCGCATTAGACCCCAGGATTTTCTCAACGACGATGTTTCTGTTCTTGGTGAGGAGACCATTGAGAATCCATTCATTATAATGGCTCCTCAGCCGATGCCAGTATCTATAAATGGTGGTGCCACCTCCGGTCACAGTAGAAATTTTTCCACTTCTTCAATGGCCACTCTTACTGAAGAGGATCAAGTCAAAAATGATGAATCACTATCGGACTCAACCACTGTCAAAGACAATGATCAATTACAATCTCTGCTGCTTGATGCACCACCTTTGATAAATGTTCTTAGTCCAGATGATATTACAAACACCCCGGAGGCGGCGAAAAAAGAGCAGCAGTCAGATTTGAGCACGCCATTGAGAAGTATTGATTCTCAAACCGTGTCGCCGCTTCGATCGCCATTTGCTTCAGACTCCTCCACAGTATCCTCGAGCGGCAATGGTTCAATTTTTGGTACCCGCCCTGGAAGTGCCGCTGCTTCTCCTGTGGTAAAGAAGAAACGGTCGTTTTTGTCAAATATATTGGAATCACGGAAAACCAACCACGAATTAAAAGTAATGAAACAATACAAAGTGGTGCGGTTGAAATTGATGGGGTTAAGTGATGATGTGAGGTATAGCCATGAGTCTTTGGCAATGGAGGTTTCGCATTTTATGGAGTTCAAGGAGATTTTTATGAGGTATGCGGTGAAAGTGTTTGTGAAAGAGGAATTGAGAAAATTGAAATTTGAAAAATGTTGTATTGATAATGGATTGATTCTGGCAAAACTGGAAAAATTTTGATACCCTTGGAACAGTAACAAATCTGCTGTTTGTTTTTAAGTGAAAAATTACAAATCATAACAAACGAACAGTACATTATGTGTAAGGCCTTACATACTTGTATAATAACGAGAAAAACGCAATATAAAAAGTGAAAATATTTTCACGCTTTTATTTCTTTTTGGAAACCCTTGTAGATCTGAGTAAAATATAGAAGATGACGCCCAAACTGTGCTTCGTTCTTTCTAATATCATAAGAACTTTCCTTTGCGTGTGGCACCCCACATCGATTTATTAGCATTAAACTTCTAGACACAACGATCACTTTATATCAGTATCACTTTTGCTTATTACCCAAATAAATATCAAGGCTTTTGCAACATGCCTTTGTTTGTGTGACGAGCTTTCGCTTATTTTTTGTTTTTTTTTTGTGACTATTGTCTCATGTGGTTTTACAAGAAACAAAATTTCAACAAATAACTTACTTGAGGATGCAGTTTCTAGTCAGAGTTTGTTCAAGTTCTTCCAATTGTGGTAATAAATCACTTTAACCTCGCACATCTGTAATGGTGAAAAAGTCATTTCCTATAAATGATGGAGTAAAAAAAACTCTTACAGTTTCTTCTGTACAAATGCCAAATTTGACATTGTTTATAATAAATTCAAAATAGTCATAAATTAATTAAACCAATACTAAAAACCTAAAGAAATGAAGGACAATTTTTCTAATGTAATCAATACACTAGATCATAATTGTGGTGAAAAGAAATGAAAAAAAAAAAAATATTCAAAGAAATAAAGCAAATGTTCAGAAGAGATACTCAATGATTTATTGAATCAATTCAATATCAGAATCATCAGTGTATTTAACTTGAGCAATACCAACCTTTTTGTCATCCAAATCGTAGCTGACATAAGCAGATCTCAAGAAACCGTCACCCAAGATGTAGTAATTAGATGGGTTTGGAACAAGGCCAATGAGACATTGGTTCAAGAAAGGTCTGGAAGCCTTACCATTGAAGTGGTACAACAAATCCTTGAATGGAACGGTGATGGTCTTGTCACCGAAAGTGAACTCGACTGGCTCACCCTTAGTACTACAAGAAGTGAAGTACATGTCAACGTAAGGAATCTTGTGACCGTATTTTTTACCGAAAGTGGTGGCGATTTCGCCTGGAGCGTAGATCAAGGTGGTACCGGAATCGAGTAAAGCTGGATAGGTGGTGCCGTTAGTGAAAGTTTCAGAAGAAGTAGCAACGGTGTCCAAGTCAACAAAGAAAGCGACTGGGGAATCGGTTGTTTCACCTTCATCGTCGATGTTGACCAAGTCCAAATATTTCAAATCACCGTCGAATTTAGCCTTATCGACAGCCCCGAATAAGATGGATCCAGAATCCGCTTGAAGGGAGTTCAAGTACAAAGAGTAAGCATTCTTTTCAATGATCCCTTGAGCTTTTAATTGAGCTGGGAAATTTGCATATTCGAAACTAGAACCGTTGATGGCGACTGGGGCTTCATTACCTTCGAACCCAACCCCCAACAAACCGGTGCCGACAGTTTGGTTAGTGGCGTAACCGAATTGCATGTCCTTGACAGTGGCACCACAAACAGTGACATCTTCAGTTGCCCAGTCGCCGAAGGCTTTGGATCCATCACCGTAACCGATCATGAAGCCATTAGAAACTTTCTTGTATGAAGTGGATTTGGAAGCATCATAAGTACCTCCGGTAGATTTGGTGCCAACAGCAGGAACCCACAAGTCGGAAGAGCCAGTATCGACATCAACATGGATGGTTTGACCTGGAGTACCCATTTGGATCTCGGCAATGTATTTCGAATATTCATTTTGTAAATTAAGATTCACCGCACTGTAAACTGACTTTCTTTGACCAGTGCTTTGGGCATCTGATGGAAGTCTTTGAACATTAAAATCGATTTTCAAGGATTTAGCATCACGCTTGTCAACAGGAGCAGCGGAGGCAATTGAAGATAAAGATGTAAGAACAGATAAGAGGATGGTGCTGGATAATTGCATTATTTATGTATTTCTTTTTTTTGGAGAATGGAATGTGAATAAATAAAAGTTGATGATGAAAAAGAAAATTAAATTATAAGCCGATATCAAAACATGGTCGGGAATCTCCTATATTTATATAATTTATGGATACTTTAGAGTAGAGCACTTCTGATGTGCGCTCTTACTAAATTATTTTTTTAAATTTAGAACTAATGCCATTCATGCTTTCCCTCTAGTGCCTCATGTTGGCAGGATTCATGCATGCACCGCACCTCAAAGAGATGAAAAAAAAATTATAATAAAGTGAATTTTGATGAAAATCTGCATCTATTTATCATGAGATTTAAGAAGGAGCCTAGTGAAATCAATTCCAAGAAGTATTTTGGATATTTTTTTTGCCAATAATATGTTTTTTTTTTTCCAATACTGACTCTATCTTGAATGGATTTGCATGCGCAAGGCAAAAAAAGTTCTGCCCCTGCCTATTCTTATTCAAGAATGCCGAAAAAAAAAACAATAGTTGGAAATGTAACTTTTCTTACGAATTTCTAGGCAGTCAAACACACGGATCAGATAATAAAATTATATTGGAAGCATCCTCTAAACCATGAGGATGGAACGAGATATGTATAGCATAGCTAGGAAGTAATATCACTAATCAAAAAATTGCAGACAAAATATCTGGAAATAAACAAAAAAAAAATGAATTTAAAATAGGCAAGAAAACAATATAAACACACAACAATATTTATCTGAATAAGAATTTTTTATATAATATAGTGAAAAGACTTATTCTTCTGGGGAATCACGAAATAATGTTCTTGCAATGCTGGAATTTCCAAATATTCCTAACTTTTTGCCTATAATGCATTGGATTTTTATTGCCTTGGAAAAGAAACATTTCTGCAGGAGTGAGGAGGGAAGTACCTTTGATTGTCACCATTTCTGAATCATCGTCATCCTCTTCTACTTGATCATCTCCTTCCTGGTTGTCCTTGACAATTTGAGATCCGGTTTGTGTTTCAATGAACATTCCCTCTTTGGGAGATGGTTGTAATTGGAAGAAGTTTTTCGCCATCATTTGATTGGAAAATTTATATTTTTCATATCGGTTGCCTTTTAACTTCTTGGAAGTTTCGAAGATTGGTGGTAAGTTATGAATAGAGTGCGTTTTTTTAGGGCTCGGGTACTTTATGGAGATGCCAATTGGTATGTTAAACATATTCCTAATACCAGCCGCGATCATTATGAATTCTTTTTTTTTTTTTTGTTCTACAAATACTACAACCTTGCTCTCTTATTTAGAACTTCGTGCCATTTTCTTCCCCATTTATATGCGTTCAATCAGTTCAGAATATTTGACATGTCAAGTTTTACGAAATTTTAAGGATCAAAGCGCACACTAAAATTATTCATATTTTTTTTTTTCATGCCGTACTGGATAAAGTTACTTCTCATCAACGTTTTTCTTTATCTGATTTTTATGGGTTATTCTTCTTCCCAGATGTATGCCATTAGTTTAAATTTTCTTACATCAGAAATTATGACTTATAATTTTCGAAATATCATCAAATTTAAGGCGGTCGGTATTAGCTGCAAATACATGAATTTAAAACCATTTGATCTTCAGCTTCAAGCACAACTAAATACATATCACAATAATAAAACCAGCATATCAACCATTAACAGAAAAAAGAAAACAGATACGAGTAAACAAACTTTTGGTCAGAAAACAGTCCGCAGTAATGCAGAAGCGATCCCCTTATTGAGGAATTTTCAACGACAATTTACCAGCAGTAGCACGACTTTCCAACAACTTTGCAGCCTCAGGATATTCTTCCAATGGGAAAGTCTTGAAAATATTGAACTCCAATTGACCAGAAATATAAAATTCGTACAATTGATCCATATAGTGCTTGAATTCTCCTGGTTCACTAAAGTTATGATACAATGTTGGTCTGCAGATAGAGACATTCCTTGGCAAAGTATTGATTTCAAATGCTGGGATTTTACCAGTGGCATTACCATAACTGACAAACTTACCATTGGTACGCAAGCACTTCAAAGTGATTTGGAAAGTGTCTTTACCAATAGAATCAAAGGCACCATGGACACCTTTACCTCCGGTGATTTTCAACACTTGTTCAACAATATCGGTGGCTTTGGAATTGATGGTATATTCGGCCCCCAATTTTTGAACAAGAGCCAATTTCTCATCTGTGGATGCCAAGGCAATGGCATGAGCTCCTTTCAATTTACACAATTGACACAAGATCTGGCCAACCCCACCAGCAGCAGCGTAAATTAGAACGTAATCGCCCTTCCGGATAGGATAGGCGAGTTCGGAGAAAGTAATGGCTGTCAACCCTTGGACCAAGATACTGCCCATGACTTGCAATGCTTCATCATTGATATCCTTTGGTAATTTGTAGATGTTACCGGTGGCCTTGATCTTTTGGTATTGTGAGAAAGTTCCGCTGGAAATGTACGTCACTTTATCGCCAACTTTGAAGTTACCAACCTTGGCACCAATGGCAACCACCTCTCCTGAAGCTTCACGACCAAGAACATATGGCTTTTGAGATGGGTAAATACCAGTGCGGAAGTATGATTCAATGTAATTGACCCCGGCGTAGTGGTTTTTAATAAGGATTTCGTCATCAGCGTAGGCTGGCACTGGGAAATCGGCGTATTTTAACACCTCTGGGCCGCCAATCTCTTCAAATAATATAACTTTTTGGGTTTTTGGGATAGACATGGTTTATGAAAGTAGCAATTCAATTGATAGGGTCAAAGAAAGAGAGGAGAAGAAGAAGATAAGATATATGTATATGTGGAATCCTCCGCAATTGAAATAGATTTAGAAAAGTTGCAGCTGACTAATTGCTCTCCTCTTAAGGTTGCCCCATGTGATAAGTGCCTTACGCGGTCTACCATCACCTCTATGCGCATGGGGCTTCACTATGTCATTACGTTAATCATAAAATAAAGCAAAGTCCTTTCCATAATCATGATAAATATATAAATAATAATAATAAAAAAAGAAAAAAAAAATCCCATAATATATGCCTGTATCAGGCTCACTCATAAATACGCTAATGTATGTCAACGTTATTGTGTTAATTGTTTTTCTGGTTATTGGTGTTGTCATTATTGTAATTGTTATTATTGTAATTGTTATTATTATTGAGTCCGCTCTCGTGTTTGGTACCATTATTATTATTATTATTATTATTATTATTATTATTATTATTACCGTTATAATTGAATTGAAATAATGATGCATGATCACCATAATTATCATGAAACCCAAAGTCATTCATCACTGAGGAAACATCCTTCAACATCACGTTCAAATCATTATCCCACATCGCATCTATGTTCAATTCCTTGTCAATGATGTTTGTACTATTATTGAGAAGATTCCAAGAATTGCTGGTAGTTGTTCCTGGAGAGTTGATATTGCTTCTTGCTTGAACTGGGGTTGTACTATTAGTGTTCCCGAAATTTCCCAAGACTGTAGAACCATTTTCATAGTTATTATAATTAAATGTTTCAGGGTTTGGGTGTTGTGGCTGTAAATTTGACATCTGAGGTTGGACATTCGGTGACATCCGTGGGTGCTCACTTTTAATATTAGGAATTTGGTAAAGTTGGGAATTCATAGAGTTCATATCCGAGTTTGTAACAATATTGTCAAGCATTATTCCCGTACCCATAGGACTGCTATTTCCATTGTGAATATTCTTAGAAATCTGAGGTTTAATGGCCTTCTTTGGCTTCTTTGGTTTCCTATTCGTTTCTCCCGAGATTTTTCTTGCCCTTTTCTCTTGTTGATCGTGGTGTATTATTGAATTTATCGAATTAGGTTGGACTCGGAAGGATGATGGTGGGGGCGAGATGAATCTCTTCTGATTTATATCTGCAGGCGACGAATTGCTCGATCCTTCATTATGATGAATTGGCGTCGGATCCAAAGGAATGGTTTTAATAATTTTTCTAACGGAATTCTCTGGTCTCAAGGTGACTTCTTCCAACGTATGATGAGATATCTTGGACCCATTACTTTGGTTCTCATTGCCATGATGTTGGCCACTAGTATTGGTAGAATCATTCAATATGGTCGCCTCATCAGAAGGAGTGGACCCAATGTCTTTAATTTTCTCATCTAATGATGAAGAATTATCAGAATCGGGATAGTCACTGTCAAATTCCTCGTCATTGAGCTTCCTATCAGCTGGCGATGGTCTCCTGGAAGTGATGGCGGTCCCATCATTACTTAAAGTGGTTTTATGATCATAATCCTTGATGTCATCAACCCCTTCCACATCGGAGTTGATATCCTCGTCATCCTCTTTTTTGATCATAAATCTCATCATCCCACTCTTCTCACGCAAAATTAATAAACAATCGAAAAATACACTCGCTGCCATTCGACTGGTGATACTAACTTGAAATTTCAATGATTTTTTAAGATACAACGTATCGAACAATTGCCATAGACTCTGCATGATCCCTGAAAATCTGAAGGCGATGTCGTGTTTCATAACTGAACTTCTTAGAGTCAAATAAATTGCTAATTGATACATATTTTTACCCTTTTGGAAGTCAATGATCTGCTTCAATGGGGAAAAAGAAATCTTGGTTATCATGAAGGCCGCTTGCCAAATAGAGATGACGTAGACCCCTGGCAAATACTTCATAAATCTTTTGTCAGCATTCTGCGATAATTGGCAATGATTAATCACTGCCACACAAGCATCAAACAATTTAATCAACCCGAATTTCAGGGAAAGTGATAATCGATCATCATCAGCATCTTCTCCTGGTATACCGTTTTTTTTCCTTTTAGTTGTTTCATCGTCTTCATCGCTGCTATTATCATAAAAATCATGACGGTCGTTTCTGTCATCTTTCAAATCGAAAAAATAATAAGTGTACAAATGAACCCGGGCATTCAAAAATGCTAATTTTCTATAATTGTCCATTGAATCATAGTCAAATCTCATTTCCATTTTATCCAATCTTTGGCTTAAGATATTAATCAAAGGTATTCTTTCATTAGAGCTAAACCGACTACGGTGAACTGTTCCACTCAAAGTATTGACAATTTGGCATTCATAATCTGTGACTTCCATCAATTGTTTGACTTCCAACGGGATATTCAATTCATTATTCAATTCAATGAAACTCAACAAATTCCTATCGAAACTGGTGAATGCAGGATACCCAAAAGCTGTCGATATTGTTTGCGACACAATGTTACAACAAGTCCAGGTTCGTATCTGTTCTGTCAATAACATTAATTGTCTGGTATCATCCGTCTTTGCCGCGTTACTGAAATCCATGGCGTGTCCTGGACTATGCAAGCCGATTCTGATTGCTTGAAATAAAGCTATACCAATGGTATTCCAAGAAGAGTCAGCACTAAGAGATGACGCCAATGGAGGCCATATTGTAGAAATCAAAAATGCTTGCACTGAAAACACCGAAGATGCATTGAAAACCGGTTCATCAAACTCTGATGGCGAATATCTGGTGATGGGACTAATGGTTAAGTCCTCTAACAATTTTCTGACCAACGGAGATAACTCCACGAGTAATGATCTAGATGAGGGATCAGAGTTCCTTCGTAGAGAGGTTAACATGATCACCCAGAATAATGCAGGACAAAGGCGGTACAATTTTTCTGGGCCCTTCATTATATCAATCACTGGAAAAATAGGGTGGTAGTTCGTTGCAAATTCTGTGTATAATTGTTCGATTTGTTCTGATGAAAAAGTGATATTTTGCAAAGTCTTTGGCTCACATTTCAAAATTTCTCTCGATAATTGAACTTTCGGCATGTAACTAGATGTGCTCAATGTTGTCTTTTGAAGAAGGTCTTTTGTAGGTTGGTCTGGATTTAGTGGGGAGTTCGTGATTGTACTAGGGGTTTTCTGGTCTGAATTAGCAGAATATATCGTCTTATTTTGCTCAAACTCCTCTTCATTATTCAAAGCATTGGCGGTCTTTACCAAGCTATTCAATTTTTCAAGCAATTGGGCGTTCAACACCGGAGCGTTTGAATCATCACTTTTCAAAGGTTGTAATAATCCGTTTAAAGAGCTCCTTAGATCGTTGAATGATTGTTCTAATTGGGCATTTCTTGCTCTTTTGTAAGTTCTTTTATAGTCTGCCTTCAAGGTGCAAACCAACCCCCTTGTGGCGCATCGCGTACATGGCATAGGGGCGTTTTCTTGAGCATTGCATTTGGATTTCTGTTGACGACACTCCACACAAGCTATTCTTTTCACCCTTCCCTTTAGTTTCTGGTTAATGTGGCCATTATTAGGATATGATGGGTTATTATTATTCTGATTTGGATCTTGATTGGGTACAGGCCCCGGCCTCATGTGCGGAACCATTGTATTGTTTGGCAGGATGATGATCTTTTGAACTTCAATGGAGAATTATGGTTCAAGATGATTTAAGTAGTGTTGATGATATGTATTTCTTATTAGTTACTGTTACTACTAATATTCTAGAAAAGAGCCAACCTCCCTAAGATAGTTATTATTATTATTATTTATTGTTATCTGATTAATAAAAAATAAAAAATTATCTGAAAAAATTTTTTTTTTTTTTTTTTGCGTTTCTTTTTGAGGAGAACAGAAAATTTACAGATCTTTGTCACTTTGGTAGCATCGCCATGTCGAACATAGATAGCCACGACAAAAGGAAAATATTACAGGCATTATTTTCGTTTAATAAATAAATAAACAAATAAATAAATAAGCAAATAAATAAATGGACAAAAAATGGAAAAGATTTTTTCTTTTCAATAGCAATCAGTGTATGGGGGCACCCACGAATTGGTTCAGGTGCCAATTACGTGGGCCAACGTCAAAAAATCAATAAACAAATGGCAATCTATCAGGAAAAGGGCAATAATCAAAGTGGAGATTAAGGGTCAGGCTATCCCAAAGGGTAAAGCCCAATATGAGAAGAAGAAGTGGAAAAAACGAGGAAGGGTGGGGTGGAAAAAAAGGGTATAGCAATAAAAAAAAAAAAAAAGCATGAGTCTAACACCAGATTCTATACCATCTGTACCAGAAAGGCTTTTGGGCAATAGCCTGTTGCTCTTCAGCAACATTCTGCATCAATAAATCAATGTCTTTGTATCTTCTTCCAGTGTCCAAATCAATGTCTTCAAGTTTAATCAATGGTCTGCTGAAAAAGGTCTTGGAAGAGATTCTATAGGTTACCCATACCAAGATCATCAATGGGATACTCAAACAATTTTGGAAGAAATCGGAAGCTCTTTCTGACTTGCTGATGGCATAGGAGCCACCCACTTGAAGTGGGAAGGCAGAAATATAGATTTCACCCACAATCAATAAGAAGCACAATATGCACCCGATTATTGACCCATAAATCCCCAACATGGCCTTGAAACTCAATTCTTTGTTGACTGAACGGTTTTGCTTCTTCATTGCTAATCTAAATCTAACGTGGGAGAAACAGATCGAACCCCAGGTAAAGAAAGAACTAATGGAACATAAAGAGAAGAGCCAATCAAACACGGTATCTTGGTCATGGTATGCCACCAAGAACCCGAGTAATCCAAAAATAAAGGAAAGTAAAATACCCACAAGTGGTCTACCTTCTTTGTCAATATAAGCGCAGAATTCTGGCATTTGACCCGCAGCTCCCAAAGATTGAATAACTCTTGAGGATGCGTACACACATGAGTTAGCAACAGATAAAACGGCAACCAAAATCACGGCATTCATAAAGTTGGACACTCTAGTACCAAAACTCCCGGTGTTACTCAAGGCAATGACAAATGGTGAAGCAGTGATATCTTCAGAACTGTTACCCCCGAGCAATCTGCTGTCGGTGTAAGGAACCAAACAACCAATGACAACGATGGTGGAAATATAGAACAATGCAATTCTCCAGAAGACTTGTTTAGTGGCTCTGGAAATAGCGTTGACACTGTGAGATTCGGCAGCGGTCAAAATAACCAATTCAGTACCACCAAAGGAGAAGGCAGCGGAAATGAAGGTACCACAAATGGATTTGAATACTGGTGTACCAAAACTACCAGGGTCATGCCAATATTTGGCCCCAATGTATCCATGGCTATCAGGTCCCCCACCACAAATCAAGACAATCCCGATAATTAAGAAAATGATGATGGCGATCACTTTGATGATGGACAAGATAAATTCAGACTCACCATAAGCACGAACACCGAATAAATTCAAAACCACCACGGTAAGGAAAAAGATTAACACCCAAACGGCTGGGTTCACACTGCTATTCCAATATTGAATCACTAAACTACAACCAATCAATTCTGAAGGCAAAGAAATGAGCCATGACAAACAGTAGTTTGAAGAAACAGTAAACCCGATAGCTGGGTCGACAAAACGAGAGACGTGAGTAGCAAAAGACCCGGAAACTGGATAACTAACAGATAATTCGGCAGCGGCTTGCATCACACAGAAGATGGCAAACCCAACAATAGAGAACCCAATCAAGGTTGCCCCAGGACCAGAAGCCAAACTATAGCCTAACCCAATGAAAAGCCCAGAACCCAAAGTACCACCAATGGCCATCATTTGAAGATGACGCTTTTGCAATGTTTGCTTATATGGTTGGTTGGATAAGATATAGTTTTTGCGCTGCTCGCTGCTTAAAGTGTTTAAGTGATCTTCATCTAAAACCGCTCTTTGTCTCTTGAAGGAATCTTTGAATTTCTTGAAGCCTGATTTATTGTCGACATTCTCCACAGAATGGGAGTTGCTTGAAGAATAAGCACCGACTTTCAAATCTTGGTCTTTGAATTCTTCCCCAGACATAGTTGTTGTTGTGTCAATAGAAAGATAAGTGAAGAGGTGGCAGAAAGGTGTGTTATCTTTGAAAATTACGAGAAAACCATAGATAGATAGATATATTTATATATATATACAGGGGGGGAAAAAAAAGAGAAAAAAAAGAAAGAGAAAAAAAATAGGTGGATTTGTATTTAAGGTTCAAATGCAGGTGCGGCTACGGTGCTTTCTACCAATGTTGTCCATGCACCGCACACCACACAATTTTTCGTGTTGGCTGGACGGTGTGACCATAGTAGTTGTGGCCACACAAATGAATGTGAGACTGGCAGACGTGGTGTCTATCGTTCGTACGATATAAGACATAGCAGTGTGAAGATCTTGCCTATCTTCCAATGAAGAAAAAACAGCAGAAAAAAAAGCAAGAAGAATAGAAAAGAAAGAGAGGGTGCACGCAACGGTGCATTAGGCCGCCTATCAAAAACAACAGATTGTATATATACATATATACACAATAGTATATATACTCTGGGTTGCTGGATGTCTCCAACAAGATTGATTGCCCTCCCAATTTCTTTCGCCCTGAGGGGGTTGGCTACTGGCGGATGTGTTCAGATATGATTTTACGGGACGTTCGTTGGCGAATATATTTTAAATATAATTTCGCACGTGAGATTCAGTAATTGGCTGCCAGCATCAAAGGGACCTTTTATTCTTTCTGTCCTCTGTTTTTGGAAACCAGCATATGGGACATTGTCCAAGACATGATCACTCTTGGTAGGCCATTTTGTTTCTTTTTTTTCTCTAATTAACGATATTTGTGAGTACATTCGATCAGCACAGAAGGTGCCACCGTTCTTTTTTTTTTTCGTGTGTGCTTGTGCCCTGGCTGGTTATGAAGGCTGTCTTTTTTTTCATTTATTTTTTTTTTATTTGGAAAAAAAGCGCTATGCCCAAAGACAGTAATCAGAAGACAAAGCCATATATCAATCTATACCACTGAAGGTCCTCAAGGCAAGACTTGCTGTTGCCAGCAAACTCATTAAAATGCATCAGCAAAAGCATGGAAGAATCAGCAAATCAAATTCGCTGGTGATTGGTTTGCAGAGACGCCCCAAAACTGACCATCGATATCAAGATCATCGAAAAAACGACCGCGGTTGGAAAGATCATCGAAAAAAATCAGATTGGAACCACACACCCGGTAATGGTTTTGAAGATGGTCCCAGAAGGCGCGTAGGGTCCTTCAATAGCAAAGACAGATCGCGGAGTAACGCTGGTAGAAGATATTCTGATAATAATGGAAACAATCCAAGAGATGATAGGGATCATCATCATCATCATCATCATCATCATCATCACAGAGATAATAGTGAACAAAGTGAACTGTACAATAAAAGTGGTCATTTCAGAAGCTATCAAAATAGAGACAGACATACCCATAATAACCATACCGCAAAGCAGGACGGTTATAAAAATGATCGAGATACGCGTTATAGAAAAGATTATGGCCAAAGTTATAGCGATCATGAAGAAAAGAATAACCGTGACGTAAATGGCTTTTACAAGGAAAATAATCAGGATGAAGCTAATGGTCATTATGAAGAAACCAATACAAATAGCGTTAATAGTTATTACAAGGAAACTAATAGAAATCATGTTAATGGTTATCATCAAGGAGGCCAACATAGGAATGACTACGGGAAGTCCACACACACAGCGAGAAATGATAGAAGCGGCATGGATTCAAACAAAGATCAAAAAACACATTCACCAACAGCTTATAAAAATCATGCTGGTCATGATTATAATATTCGTAATTGCAACAACAAAAGCACAACACCTAAGCTTTCCGAATCAGCATACGAAAAAACAAATGCTGACGATGAATATCACTTGCCTTTGGATGACATTCCTTCGAATGATTGGATATTCAATCAAGAGCATATCCGTGACATGACACCCTCGAGGATCTCCCCAAATAAATACGTTGACTATGAACAGGAAATTACCGTGCGTACTAAGTGTGTTCAAAGGATTGTGGAAATTGCGTTGACTTTGAATTTGAATAAACAGGCAGTCATTTTTGGTGGTACATACATTCATCGTTATTTTATGTTTAACCACATCCAAGATTATGATTATAAACTCGTCGCTGGCGCTGCAATATGCATAGCAGTAAAAGCTGCCGAAAATTTGAAGAAACTTGAAACCATCGTGAGACTTATTGCTCGAATGATTAATCCGGAAATTGAAGGCAATGAGGAACTGTTACGGGAAGTGCGTGACTCAATTATCCTTTTAGAAAACAAGTTACTCATTGATTTGAAATTCGACACAGATATGGAATTACCATTTACTCATTTCGACCAATGGGAATTATCTGAGCTTTTTGGCGCAGATTACAAGAGGAAATTGTCATGGTTTCCAAAGATTACCATGTATACGCCGGCGGTTATATTATATTCCTCTAAAGAAATTGCTGCCGCTTCGTTCTTCTTAACTTGTCTTCATGAACAGAAAAAGTTCCCGGGACTGCTCATTGAGAAATTCGACGTTGATATGGAAAGAATTGGTCACTTGGCTACTTATGTGCACCAAGTGTTCAGTGTCGTTATACTGAAATCTATAATACCACCGAAAACCGAAATCTCCGAGGGGAAATCAACACCAATACTAAGTTTGGTCGATCAAAATTTTGCAAGTATTGATAGCTTAATAGAATTTTGATCCTGTATAATAATATTAATGAATGTATGGATAATTTATATTTTTGCAAAAGAAACCATGCTTACTAGTGTAGCTCGTAAGCTCCATGACAACCGAAACCGATCTTTATATTGTTTGTTTTTTTTAACAAGACAGAATTACTATATAGAAAAAAAAAAAAAAAAGAGAAAGACAAAAGTAATACTGTAGAGAGAAAAATGGAACCTTCTTCGTTATCATTTTTTTTTCTCGCACATTTATTATTTTGGGATCAATAAATTCGATAAAAAAAAAAAAAAAAAAGAATGAAGTGAATTAAACTAGAAGATACAAAACAATTGATTGAAAATAAAAGAAAAAAATAAAGTCGACATTGGCAGGGTTCGAACCTGCGCGGGCAGAGCCCAAAAGATCACCAGTATAATCCGAAGATCACACATTTCAAGTCTTTCACCTTAACCACTCGGTCACAATGCCCGATATGGAAGGAGTTATTTTCCGTTCTTTATGTCAAACCATTACTATGTATAAAAAATCGGGGCTTCAAACCATGTCAACACATTATTGGTCAAAATGAAGAACCCTCCTACTACACCATTTTACAAAAGAAGCCCAATTTTCCACATTTCCCAGTTAAAAAAGAAGAGTTCTGCGACTGACTTAGTGAATGACTATTTGAAGAAGCATCCATCAATTGAATAAGGGGGGATATGTAGCATAGGTCATGCTCAAGGTATTATTATACTTTTGTTAATGCACTTCTAGGATGCATTACTTCATTAATAATCCTTCGTAGAAAATTCTAGCATTTCAAAGAACTCCCTTTTACGCTTCTTGAACATACAAGGATATTTTATTACCTACTATTATCTTTTAGAACCATTGGATCGTTTTTCCATTTTATCATTCTTATTTTAGCAAACACGCATAAACCTTTACACAGTTTTATATTTACTTTAACAATTCATTTTTATTTAATTCAATACAACCATTAGTAGATCGAATTACAATATTTAAGCTTTTCAATCCGTCGATTAACATGGGACAAAGCTTATATTACGAGAATGAAGAAAAATGCATGTAATCACAGTGCAAAATAATTTCAGCCATGAAAAGCGAAACATAAATAAAGATATGGGGATGATTAGGCATATAAGTTTAATAGAAAAGTCTCAAAAATAATATTATGGCAATATTAATCAGAAAAAATCACTTAAGCTTGAAAAAAAGAGAATGGAAAAAATGTATACCAACACGACGGTACAATGAAACAGAACATTAGAACTATGATATGAGTTGACATCATTCAACATTGGAGGGTTGGCCGAGCGGTCTAAGGCGATCGACTCAAGAACAGTTTGTTCTTCATCTGCCTGGCAGTTGAGTAATCGATTATCGTAAGATGCGCGAGTTCGAATCTCGCATCCTTCATTATTTTTAATTTCTTTGTTCAATTTTTCGAAATTATTCGGACCTCATTTGTCTTCTTATTTTTTTTTTTTTTTCGATCTTAGTTACTTACATTCATCTCATTAGAATTCTCTAGATAATAAAGTGTATTAGCTTGTAAATGTGTATTAAGGATTACTCTTAATAATCAGGTATCAGAAGAGGGATCTTGAAGGAACAAAAATTCTAACTTTGCAGGGAGGTGCTGCAATATGTAATAATGTAATATTAAACCTCCCTGATATATATCATTCATATTTTAAAGTATCATCCATTTGAAAAGTAGGGATGCAACTTTGCAGTCATTAATATTCAACCACTATAATGCTTCATACAAATTAAGATTTCTCCAACGCCAATTCAAATTTTTTCCAATCTGTTCTATTTCCATCAAGCCGGAAAAAGGTGAAGATTAAAGACTCTTATAAACTCCTCTGCACTTATTTCATATTTTTACCCTCTTATACATACCATTTATGAATGCTGAACTATAGAACGTAATGGATTTCCAAAGACTCAGACCTTCTAGTGCTGCTGAAAAAGCTCCCAATTTTGGAATCCAATGACCAATACTAATATAAAACTGTAGCATTGAGTAAAATTATCAGTTATTCGACTTGTAAGTTTCGCACCGCATACCTTTTAAAGACCATCAAGACGTTCCCACCCCTTCCAATATGATCAAATGAGGAATTTTAAAGGGGTTGGTATCCGACAGCACGGAAACCGAGTCATGGGGAAGCTCTTTGGCCATATAGAAGCTCAAAGTTCAAACTCATTCACTATATCTTCCATTTCCATGTCCTCATCATCAATATCATCATTGGCTTCTGCCATGGTAGAGTCTTTTCTTCCCCCTGTACTTGTATTCCTATTATCCAAATCGTCATCATCATCATCATCATCATAAGCGTTGTCATCACCAGGGTCTTCAGCATCATCATAATTTTCCACACCTTCTTCATTTTCCAAGGATTTCTGAAATTTGGCTAAATTACCCATCACTCGGCTAATAAATGGTCTAAACTCGTTGATCTCCATCAAACTCAAATCATTGAACCCCAAATTGATTTCGTTCAAATTATTCAACCCCTTCCGTAGTTTCACCAATCTGATTTCTTTGAGGTCCTGTATAAGCTTCAATAACACGTCTTCATTATCGATTAAATCCTGTACAAAGTGTTTAAGAAAGATTTTGGAAACCTCGAGCCAATTGTTAGGCAATTGTGTAAACGCAGTCTGGTTCGTCACTTCTTCTTGATATTTATTGGCCAAGTAATTTTCGTTTAGCCACTCAGGAGGCGGTACCGTGATTTTATTCTGTTTTCGAAGGATTATTGCCAACCATATTGGGATTTTATAAGTGCTCATCACTCGGAACTTTGGAAGTTCTGTACTGATCAATGAAAGTTTGTCATTCATGGAAACATTTGAGATTACCTCTATAAGTTCATTTTCCGCAAGATATACTATCTCTGCAGATGTGAAAGTCTCCTGAAGCTCTTTTGGAAATGTCATTCTTTTCTGATTATTTAAATAAGAAGGATATATCTCCACCAACACTGTCTTTATTTTGGTATATATCTATCTGAAATAGAGAGAGAAAAAAAAAAAGGTCCCTGCAAATTTCATCACGTGAAAAAGGTGATGAAGTTTATTACAAAAGTCTGCCAATTCTAACAAAGTGTCTATAAGTCTATTTATATTCTAAAAGGTGCCAAATTTCTTTTGGACTGGCTATTGGTTATAAAGCCCATCTACAGACTCAGTCATTGATGTGATATTTTGTTCTTTTGTCAGCACGGTGTATAAGATCATTGCTTCGAGTACAACTTCCCCAAGTGCTGCAAGATTGGCCAACATTGCAATACCAATTTGGAATCGAAGCTCAGCATTCTTGCTCCCGTAAGTGAAGGTTTTCAATAATAATATCTTCAGGATCATCAAATACATTACCATCGCTAGGATACCGACAGAGATAAATAGAACCACTGCAGCAACAGTAACTCCAACAAACCTGTTGTTGGGCTTCGGATCCAAATAGGTCTTGGTGATTAATCTACTTGTCAAAATCAAGACGAAACAAGCGATCATGATGATCAATGGGAGCTCTTGAATATGGGTGCAATTAGCAGCATAAAACTTAACGTTATTGATATTATAATTGATTATTAAGCACATGAATGTTATTGTCATGTACCCCCTGACATAAACCCAGGGAACAAACACTCTTGATAATAGTCTGATGTTGGAGCGCCATTTGCTATGATTTGACAGTTCACAAAAAGTAATATCTATCGAAGCATTGTCACTCAGATCTCCTCCATGAGTACTGGCTGGATACCTGCTCAAGAATTCATGGAACATGGTGTGGCATTTTTTTAACTTGAGGAAAAGGTAACAAAGCACAACAAAACTGAAGGTATAAATTATCAATGCCATAGATTGACCAATTTCTGACAATATGGCTGCGTTAGAAGAATTGAGGTTGAAGAAAATTGAAACATAATCGAATATCAAGAAGACAAACTGCATGAACATTAAAATAACAATTGCAACATAGTTGTTGAAGTTGCTGGCATCAATATCAAGGCTCACGATTAAGATTGGTAGCAAGAACATATTCAAACAGCAAAGAACTATAAACCATTGGTAGTTTAGTTGGAATTTGGCATATATGCCAATATGGATCACATTGAAAACAAAGATAAAACCCAAGGAAAAGCAGACTAATCTATTTTTGTACCACTTAATATAAGTGGTTAATTGCTTGAGATCAATTTGGTCGTATAGTTCGGTAGAATTTTTTATACTTCCAATGCAATGAAAGATATAAATTGCTGACGCAAAATATATAGGAGATATTGCAAAAGAGCCAATGGCACAAGCAGTTTGGTTACTGGAAACCATCATTCTTGACAACGACTGAATCATGAGAAAACAGTTGAATATCAACATAAAAATTTTAGCAAGTGGTAAAAATTGAAACTTCTCTCTTAGCATGTCATTTGCAAGAAAGGAAAAACTTTGCTGAAAAACAACAAAGACCAACCCCAAAATAGACAAATAAAAAAAGGCTTCATTGTGTTTGTTGAACACTAGGTTGACTAATAGTATTGGAGGAGAACAAGAAGTATTTAGAAATTCTGCAGCCTTTTCTAAATATATTTTTTGAGCGCTTTTGAAGATTTCAAGGGTTGTTGAATGTTGGAACATATTCTTCCCATTTAGTTTCGATATCTTGGTGCTATTTAACCAGAAGTAATATAGTAACCATTCGGACAAGAGAGATATACCCAAAGTGCACAAAATCACATAATATATTAAAACCGGCTTGACATATAGCATTGATTCAAGAGTATCTTCTCTCGATTTTTGGACTGATGCTGATAGGACCTCATTTGGAGAAATTGTCAACAGACTTAACTCACCAACCATATTTTGAATCTTTCCTTCCATAAACATGCGGTTTGCTTGGTTCCCAAAATATAATAATTCCATAAAGTTTAATATTGTATTAATTATCAATACACATAAACCAAAGAAGTGACTATTGGTCGTTATTGGTATGAGCGATACAATAATCAAGAAAGCATGTTCGTAACATAAGCTGGCCGTGGTGAATATCAATTCCTCTTTGGTGAAAATTTTGATGAAACTCAATCCATATTTTAAATTGTAAGTATTGAGATATATGACTAAAATAAAGGCAAGTAAATTGAAAATGATGGATTTGCATAAATATATGATAAATATCGGGGTGCTGCGAATATTTTGGAAAAAATTAGCTACCAGCAAACTTTGAAGCCAATCTTTCTCTTGAGTTGTCATAGTATCTGATATGGTAAAATCTGAAAAAGATGACATCGGTGTGGTTTTTCCGCCTAATTCAATACTAGTGTTGCTGCAATCTTGTATTTTCTCCAAATTTATCTCACTCATGGTGTCCTCCACATCATGGACTATTATCCTATCTCCATTATAAATTTTATCACTTGCTGTTCGTGCAATGCTTTTAAATGACTCAATTTTTTGAGAAATATCTGTAGGTTTTTGTGAAATGTGTGGGAATTTTGGTAATGGTGGGGCATCTGGCGACGATTGGAAGAGTGATTGTTGCTGCTGCTGCCTCGAGCTGGCTTGGTTATAAAGCGAACTTCTTTGGCTATTTTGTACTTGACTGATAAAAGACATAGTATTAGGGTTTCTTTTGCTTTTATGCTTTGAAGTAAGACAATTTGTGCTCCTTGAATTGGCAGCATCAGTCCTGGTGGTGTAAATGGATGATGCTGGCCGAGGCATTGCACCTCCAGGACGAAGCTTTGTTGAAGCTGGGCCCTTCTGACCACTCATATTGAAAAATTTGAAGATATTGTGTCTATTGGGCTTAAGGCAAAAAAAAAGAAAAAAATAAAAATAAATATTCCTTCTTCTCCTTGTAAGTGATACCTAAAAGTATTTATATTAGGATCCATGCATGCCAAAACTCCAGATTTCAGTATGCGTGCGCGTAACTGATGGTCCCTTGAAAAAACGACGGCAACAAAGAAAAAATTTTTGGTACTGATGGATGGATTCATTGAACAAAGATCACTGAAGTAAGGCATTTCTTTTGATACCTGCAGTGTTTTTGGTTGTTAGTTTGGTTTAAAAAAATTAGGATTTTGAGCTTTCCAAGGGTTTCATATCTTTTAAGGTTTCGTTTTTGTTTAGTATTCCGGGGGAATTTTTGAGTATACCAATTTTCTTGAAGTTGCGTTAGTGGATCATGGAAAGACAATTATTAGCAAGATCAAGATTCTTCAATAGTTCTGTGGATCTAGATGAACTACTACAAGCCCGGTACTCGAGATCTGGATCTCAGAAAAGTTATATGGTGCTTAAGCCAACAGGATCGGGGTTTGAAGAATCTGAAAAATCGCTACTACACGGTCTTGAATCCCAAGAAAATGTTGATAACGACGGTGGCAAATCAAAGAGGCTTAAAAACATCCCTAGCAATAAGGTTGGGAGACTAGATCCAAACGTTGATTGGGAAAAAAGGGTGAATAAATATAACAAGACAAAGGCTAAAAAATTAAAAAAGATTGCAAAGACTGAGAAAAAGCAGAGTAAACATATTGACTCAAAACGTATACCCAAAGACGTAATAAGAAGATTTGACTCGATAAATGACAAAAAGAATAAGAAGACCACAAGATTGGTATTCCGCAGTTACGTTAAGGACACTATTTCAAACCAGCGAAAAGCTATTTCCAAACTAAACAACTGTCATGAGCAGCTTACTAGTAACCAAGAAATCAAGGAAGCTATGGATAAATGGATCAAGGTGTTTGGTATCCCGCAATATGACGACTATACATCGCTCAACGAACTTTGGACCGGTTACATTCAAGACTTGCTTTTTCCGAACCCAAAAGCACCTTTAGCTGCACAACAAATACTTCCAAAACTTTCATCGGCAGAACTCATAGGGGCCATAGTTAGAGTGACGGACTCCAAAGAAGTTGGATTGAAGAATCTCCTTGGGATCGTGTTGTATGAATACAAAAATTTTTTTGTGATTTTGGTGCCCAATGGATTGAAGGTGGGGGATAATGTTTCTATTGGCCAACAAAACGAATTATTGACGAAATATCAAACCGGTGAGTTTATTTCAGAGGATGGGAAAACCTCTCTATTTACAAATAAGGAGCTAGTGGGTGGGATCAAAATGATTGAGAAAAAGACATGTATTTTTAAGATCATTGTTCCATTTAAGGATAAAGTGGTGTCCAAAAATGAAAGCGTGTCGAGCAATGAGGGCGATAGTGAGTTGAAAATGTCAAAGGATTATAATTTGCTCGAGTTCTTGATTATCGGGCCTAGGTTTAACTTCAAATCGGTGGATAGATCTAATAAGAAATTGAAGGGGAGAAATGCTGATGATCTTGTCGATCTCTTGGGTGCAAAAAATTAAGCGATAAAAGAATTTATGAATGTACCATGATATGCTTTGAATTTGGGAAAATGGATACTGAAACTAAATACCTGCTACTTGACACTTAAACGCAACCATCAGATTCACTATTTCTGTGAAATGGCTTGTAACAGCATAAGTTCTAATAAATATCAAATGCTATAGAATTCATAAAAAAAAACTCTACTTTGTAAAAGAGGGAAGAAGAGAAACAATAAATGAGAAACCAGAAGAAAAATTAACGATATCACCAAGGAAATGAAAGAGTTTTCGTAAGAAAGGGTTATGCAAAGCTCAAGAAATCACCAGTTTTCTTAATTAATTTTTAGATGCAATGTTTGGTTGTTTTTTTTTTTTTTTTTTCTTTTCTCGGAGCTTATAACGATGACAAGGATGCAATGTTCACCATTTATCATTTGTTTCTATCTTCCAGTGAAAACCCATATCTATTAGATTGTATATATGTCCTATCGCAACCACGAATGTAATAAAAAAAATAAAAATGAACAGCAAACTAAGGATGAACGGCATTTGCGTAAAACAATCAAAATTCCCAGTAGAGCTACCCCAGATTTCAGTTTTTCTTCATCTTCTTAACGTTTTTACACCACTCCTTGATATCAGACTTCAAGTCCTTACTTCCTTCAGGGGTAATATCTTTCTTGTATACCAAAATGAAAATATCTTTCAACAATTCAGTAGGAGAGGGACGCTGCGATTCTTCTTTAATAAGGCACTCGTCCACAAAGTTGGAAAACCTTTCAGAGAATGGGTAATATGGTTTGCTTTTTCTCATTGATATTTCATTGGATTCGCTATTAGCAGCTAAGGCACTTGAACATGAATTTCCATTCATATCTTGTTGAGATGGGTACAACCGACGTTCAGGAATAGATTTTGGATCGATGTTATTGGCTGCGAAATATTTTTCATTGAAGTCACGCAAGCTTGGAGGTGGTTCATTAACAATACGTTGTAATAAATCAAGGATACCAGCTGGGGCAATGTTTTCATTATCACCAAAAGGGAAAAAACCAGTGGCCAACTCGACCAACATCAATCCTAAAGACCAAATATCTCCCTTGATTGTGTATTTAGCTCCGAGAATTCTCTCTGGTGACATGTAAGTGGATGTCCCAACAAAAGTGTCGGCGACAGAACCAATTAATTCACGAGACACCCCGAAATCACAAAGTTTCAAAGTACCCTTAGAATTGAGTAGGACGTTTGAAGGTTTGATATCTCTGTGAATAATCTTATGCTGTGTATAAAGATACTTGAGACCATTGAGAACAGAATAGGCCACATGATTGATGAAGAATTCTGGAAATGGTCCACTGATCTTTAATACCTTATCGAGAGACCCAATATCCATATATTCCATGCATATGATGACATTTCCTTCCTGAAGAAACGAGCCATAGAATTCAATGATATATTTTGATTTACACTCATTCATGATCTTGAGTTCTCGGGCGATCTGCCGCTTGACATCTTGGTTATTTTCGATGTGGATAGTCTTCTTGGCCATGGTCTTTTTTGACGGTGTGTGAATAACTTTAAGAACAGAACCTGAGTTACCTGCACCCAAATCCTCGAGCCTGAGCAAATCACTTTCCTTGAAATCGTTCAAACAGAAGCCATCATTACCAGCAAGGCTGCCATCGGGAGTTATTGAAGAAGTGGTTATCTTCGTGGTTATTATTTGTGGTTTGGTGGCGCCAGTGTATTCGGAGTCCTGCTTCAAATCAAGTTTATTCATAGCCGCTTCCAAAGTAGTTGATGTAACTGTATCTATTGGGGTACTAGAAGTGGTGACTTGTTGGATAGATTTTCTCTTGTGATTGGAAATTGGAATTGCTAGAGATAGACCATCTTTCGAAGGGCCGCTATTGTCATTACCCCCTAAACTCAATCCTCTGAGATTCTTTCTTTTAAGGGTCTTTACCAGTAGATGTCCTGTTTGCGACACATTATTATGATTATTTATGGTAGAGCTATCAGTTGAAAGGTTGAGGGTGGGTAAGTTTTTTCTTCCAGGGTTATTTCTAAGAGACTTTGTCTGGAAGCTCATTATTATATGGATGATGAAGGCCAACAAAAAATAATGTCAGAGAAGAATTGAAGGTAAAGATAACGCAATTAGAGGCTGTAAGTGGGAAATGAATGGATACCCAAAAGTTCTAAAACGAAACAACGTCCTCGAGGAATTATGGAAGGCTATAAGAAGTTGCAAATAGACAATAATTTCTGCACCGCTGTTCTTCATTTCACCCAAAAATAGATCCCAATTTTTGTCGGTAGCGGTGTTACCCTGCGGAGACATTCTAGTAACATACGGCCAGGATTGGGGTTTCTGGCGATTTCTCGGTGGAATGTTCAGGGATCATCTGGGATAATCATCACGAGAATCCCAGTCCTGTTTATTCATATCACTGCGATAACTTTGATAATCACAGAAGCGTCCCGTATTGACTTCTTCACTTTAACAAAGACCCATGACATTGGTCCCTTGGTATATCGGGTGTAGCACCCCTGATGACTCTTCTTCTTTTATATAAATTCACTGCGAGATATTTCAGCTCGAACAGCACCATAAGAAGGACCAGTAGACTAGTAGCCATGAAATCCTGTATCAAGCACTTCATCCGTTACAATTCCACTTCTTCAAAGTGGACTAGATTCGTGCCTACCACTGGTACCTATCCTGAGGGCTTCAAGGTTGCCTCGATTCATTGTGGGATAAAAAAGAATAATAGCCAAGATTTGGCTTTGCTTGTTTCTGAAAAACCAGCAAATGCTGCTGCCGTCTTCACTACTAATCAGTTTCAAGCTGCTCCTGTTCATATCTCTAGAAAGAACTTGCAAGTTAGTGAGGGAAAGATCCAAGCAGTGATCATCAATTCCGGATGTGCTAATGCCATCACTGGAGAACAGGGTCTTAAGGACGCCCAAACAATGACAGACGAGGTCGATTCTATCCTCGGCAACAATAAAGCCAGCACTCTTGTAATGTCAACTGGGGTGATTGGTCAATTGCTCCCAATTGACAAGATCACTGCCGGTATCAAAAAGATCTTTGGTGAGCTAGATGCTTCTCATGACTCCTGGTTACGTTATGCCAAAGGTATCATGACCACTGATACTTTCCCTAAACTTGTTTCAAGAAAATTCACCATTGGTGGCAAGTCTTATTCTGTGGCAGGTGTTTCCAAAGGTGCTGGGATGATTTCTCCAAACATGGCTACCTTATTGGGGGCAATTGTCACTGATGCTCCAGTTTCTTCTAGTGCTCTCAAATCAATTCTTCAATATTCTGTCAACAGATCATACAATTGTGTTTCTGTCGATGGTGATATGTCAACTAACGACACCATTGCTGCGCTTGCCAATGGTGAAGGTGCTCCAATTACTGAAGAGTCTCCAGAATTCGAAGTTATCAAACAAGAATTTTCTGAGGTGGCCAAAGACCTTGCCAAACTTTTGGTGAGAGATGGTGAAGGTGCAACAAAGTTTGTAACCTTGAATGTTAACAACTGTACATCTTATGAAATGGCGCACAAGATTGCTGCAACTATCTCGAACTCTCCTTTGGTGAAAACTGCTTTATTTGGTAAAGACGCTAACTGGGGTAGAATCTTGGCTGCCATTGGCTACACTGACTTTGGCGCGCCAACCAAGCTCGATCTAACCAAGATTTCTCTTTCATTTGTTCCAACTGACGGTTCAGAAACTTTAAAGTTACTCGTTAATGGTGAACCTCAACTAGTCAATGAAGAAAGAGCTTCAGAAATCTTGGAAGCCGAGGACTTGGAAATTGTGGTAGACATTGGATTGGGTAACGAAAGCTGTCAATATTGGACTTGTGACTTGTCTCATGACTACGTCACTATCAACGGTGATTACAGATCTTAAACTCCTGTTTTGTACAAACAATTAATATAGTAAACAAATGTGCTTAGTTTCAATATCTTGTAGTTTTCAATATTCATGTTAATTATATAATCATGCTGTGAGAGAGATAGAGAGAGCGGTCTTTTTTGTGGTTCCTTTAGTACTTTTTGTGCACTCATCATCATCATAAAACAGCCAAAGATCCGAAACGATGTACAAATCAAATCGATCTCATGGATAAATCATATCTTCATATTCTGAGAGATTTGAAATGGTATGTGCAATATAATCTACATTTATAACATTCCTGGTTGAAATTTCTATCCTCCCCATTGAGATACTAACAAACTCGCGTTAGCACGGTGTTAAACGCCAAAAGTATGATGCTGAGTTGAGAAAACGAAAGTTGGCAAAGGATGTAGCAAAAATTGAAAATTACAGAGGCTTGACAAATCAGTTTTTCATAAAGGTAAGTATTTATTGATTCTGTTTCAGTTTTCAAGGTTTATATTTAATGGCAAAGTCTCAAACCAACCTTACTAATACTATGCTAGCGCGATTCCAACGACCATAGCCTTGAAACTTTCAAACTCACTTCCACCATACTCAATATCAATCCTGAATTTTATACAGTATGGAACTATCGTCGTGAAATACTTTTGGGGACTCTCATTCCAAATAGCCAATCTGTGAACGATCTCTTTGACACTGAATTGAATTTCACAATGGCACAACTTAAAAAAGTTCCCAAATGTTATTGGGTCTGGACCCATCGTCAGTGGTGTTTAGAAACCAATCCTTATTCCAATTTTACCAAGGAGATTTTTATCGTAAACAAGCTTCTTGAGCTTGATTCTCGTAATTTTCATGGTTGGCATTATAGACGGTATGTGATTGGGCTACTAGAAAAACAGACTGGTAAATCACAATCATTGAAGGAGTTCCAATATACCACAAAGCTAATCAACAAAAATTTTTCAAATTATTCAGCGTTGCACAACAGAACCAAGCTTATTGAAAAGATTTTCCTGGAAAAAACTACCATCGAAGCTGATAACGAAGAAGACCAAAAAAATTTGGAATTGTTCCGGACAAAGAAGCATTTCTTGGAGAAAGAAATTAATTATTTCAAAAACGCCATTTATACCGATCCTGACGATCAATCAGTCTGGCTTTATTTGAATTGGCTACTCACCTCCGATTTTTTCAGTCTGGGTATTGATGCTAAAGAATTTGTGGACCTTCTTGTTTTACAAATTAATGAGATCGATGAGCTTAACGAACTTGAAAAAGAAGATAATAATGGAATTGACAATAAATGGTGCTTGAAAGTGAAATCCTCCATTGAATTAGCATTGGTGAACAAATTCAGTATAGAGAAAATGGTAAATAATGAAGGTCAAGAAATTACTTTGAAAGAAGATATTCTTAAAGCAATTGAGTTATTGAAAATTGCCGACCCAAAAAGAATCAACAGGTACATTGAGATTCAAAAGAATATTGGTTTATAGAATATGCTGCATAAATTTGAAAATTTTATTATCAACTTTTTCTTGTTCTTGAGTTGTAAAATCCTTGTATATCCAATTTTTATGATTTTTTATCCACAAAATTAGGAAGTGAGAAACTCTATCAGTGCAACTAAGCATGGTCCCAACAATTACGAATCAATCAAGTGACTTTGAAGTTTCTCGAATAAGGATTATTGGCGAAGAATAGAAAAAAATAGAAGATATAATATTAAGTCGCAGACGCTTTAATGAACTTTATCAATTAAAAAAAATTAATATATTGTATTTAGCATATTCCATAATTAGTTAACAATAAATGTAACTTAGTTGAGGTAAGAACAAAAAAATGGTCCCTGGCGGGATCGAACCGCCGATCTTGGCGTAACAATGCTTTGCAAGCTGTTATTAGCACCACGCCTTAACCAACTGGGCCAAGGGACCTCGTTGAAATCTTCCCTGTAATAAGAGAGGCAGCTCTTTTCTTTTCATAAAGTTACCCGGCCTCAAATTCATTTATTTATGTTTTGCAACATTTTCAATCATTATTTCACCATTATATCTTTTTTTTCCCAAAGATGTTATTAATAATTATTTATATAGACCTTATAGTTGTAGCAATATTTCTGAATTTTATTTTTATTGTTTATTTTTACCATTTATTGGCCCTAATTACGTTCATTCTTTGTAGCGATACTCTGGAAAGCCAAATGACTTTGTTATTTCTGAATAAAACTATAAATTTCTTGTTCAAATAATCCCCATCTTTTTTACAGGTCTTGAAAGATACCAATATTGCTGTATGTTCTCACGCTATTTATCAATGATTGCATAGTATCTGTATTATTGATAATATCTTATTCGATATCCTAAAAGGTTAAGCATGCCCATTTTTTCAAGATGTCCTTAGTATTTTCAGTGGAAACTACATATTTCATTAATGTAGATATTATACAATTCATGGTTATAAATTGCTACTAGAAAAATCATATCATATTCTAAAATGGCAAGACTTAATAATTTGATGCTTGTTTTTCAGTTACTGGTATGTTTTGACAGTGATGAGGTATTCACCTTAGATACTTATTCCTATTTGAAACATTGATATCAATTTCTGGGATATTCTTTAGATGTTGGGTTCAGCTTTGTGGGTTTTAAGTACGCATGAGGAATCATACGCTTTAATGTACCATTCATTACAGAATATGAGGAATAACGGTGACTTAGACATAATTAGTACCAAGTAGAGCAAATGTTCCTGCTATCCAGAATAAATTCAAGGGATTGCTTTAAGAAGAAAGGAGGAAATAAATACACACATCCCTCACTTCTTGTATGATGCGATATGCACAATCTTCAACTAAGGCATAAAATAAATATGATTACACTTGCTACTCACTCTAACGATTTTCTAAAAACTAATCTGATCTATCTTATAATCACCAGTAACTTGGACACATTGAACAAAAATGGTGGGATGTTTTACAGAGTTAATATTTGCATCTTTTTACAGTTATATCTCCTCTTAAAAAAGTAAACAAACAAATCTCATTGCATTGGTAAGCTATAGAAAAATAAATAAATAAAGATAATTCAATATTCAAACTTATCCCCTCTATGAATGAAATCCTGCTCTTCGAGACTGGTCAAATAATCATTCCAATTATCATCGCCCTTCTTCAAGCATTGGAAATCACCAACCAAAACCAACCCATATCTCGCTCTGGTTAACGCCACATTCATTCTTCTCTGATCTCTGACAAACCCAACAGTGCCTTGCTCATTGGACCTAACACAAGAGAAAACAATAAAATCCTTTTCTCTACCTTGGAAAGCGTCAATTGAAGCAATCATCATACCCGAAACTTTGTTCACAGTGATATTTTTGCCATCAGAGAAAATATCGTCTTTATCCACTTCTTGTTCAATTTCCTCATTATGGGGATTCAACAATTCATCTCCTTGGATCCATTCAGACAATACATCTCTTTGGGCCCTGTACGGAGTAATCACACCAATCTCGTCCTTTGGAACGTTCTTTTCAAGCACAAGAGTTCTCAACACTTCAAGCACTCTCATGGCTTCCCCAGTGTTTTGATAAGAATAACCAGCAGATTTTTGGAAACGTTGAATACCTCTTTGCTTCTGGTGGTTTCTCACAGTGCTTTCTGGAGCCTTACCTTCCGTGTCCCAGAGCAAAAGTGGTTTTGCAATTCCTTCCTTGGTACGGGCCTCCACAGTAAGACCATCACTAAGCAAATCATTATAGAATCTTTTTCTTGGGAAAGCAGAAATGTATGGGTGCATACGGTATTGAACATTCAACATATGGGCGTCTCTGTAAGTTCCATTCTTAATGACTCTTTCAAATAATGAAAGCTCAAGATTACTAACCTTAGAAAAAGAACTCAATTGGTTTTGATCACCAACAAAAACAAATTTCTTTACTCCAGGCATCGATAATGGAATGAGAGTGGTTGGCTCCGAAGATTGTGTAGCTTCATCCATAATAATAACTGGCATTTTGGCAACGCTCTTAAGTTGGGCACAGCCAGCCACCACAGTGGTAGTGAAAATCACCTTGGAGTTAGCAACAAGTTTCTCAGAAGCTCTAGCTTGACTGGAAACAAGTTTCTTGAATTGGTTTTGTGAAACATGCAGACCATATCCAGTTCTTAAAGCCTTTTTCACAGCTTTCATGTCATCAGAGATAATTTGGTCAGTTTTATAATGAAGGGTAATTTTACCCAACAAATGGTCCTCCGGATATTCCTTCTCTTTCTCAGCAGAAACAATACGCAACAAAGAATTTCCATACTTGTCGAGTAATTTCTCGGCAATATTATCAATCGCAATATTGGAAGCAGCCACCACAAGGATCGGGAAAGTATGGTAGTTTTCAAGAAGCTGAAGGATGATTTCCACAATAGTAGAGGTTTTACCCGTACCTGGAGGACCTTGTAAAACTGTGATGGAATTATTTAAAGTCGATTGAATGGCTTTCTTTTGAGAATCATTGAACTCTTTAGTGTAGTTAACATGGTTGGCAAATTTGATTTGCTTTATTGGTGTCTTCCCTAAGACCATTTTTATGAATTCAGGATTATTTAAATTGGACATTGCAAACATAATTCTCGTGGCGGTGGCACTACATGGCAAGATATTTAAGTTGGAAAAATCTTTCAAATAGGTTGGCAAAGGTTCATTACTCCATGGGTAAAGTTTAATATTCAATATGATAATCTTCTCATTATAATTCTTAGATTTCTTGACCGTATTCCCATCAACATAACCATACCAAAGCTTATCAAGCCCATCGTTCAAAATAAAGCCTTGATTCATACTAAAAGGAGACTTTCTAACCGCCTGCATCTTCTTACTAAGTCTGGTATCCATTTCTTCTTTATAACTGAAAACAGGAGAGTAGCCACGATTTGGGTCTTTTGTCCACCACTCAATATAAAACTTCTCAATCGGATTGTTTTCGTATAATTCTTCCAAATAAAGGGAGTAACACATTTCTCGGAAATATTCATCCATAGAATCATAGCTGAGATTGGTGGATTTTTTAGAAACATAGTCAACGAGCGCTTCAAGATTTGTAGAAATAGATTCTGGGTTAATGATTGTGTCATCTTTACTAAAGTCTTTCCTACTATTCTTTTTTGGCTTGTCTTTACTTTTGTCATTTGATTTGGTGGTTTTTGAATCGTTCCCATTTTTTTGCTTCCCAGTCTTTACACTCTTTTTACCAAACTTCCCAGATTGATCTTTTTCTGATTTTTCGATCGCTTTATCATTAGATTTAGCATTCTTTGGCTTATCATTTTTTGGTTTAGAGCTCTTTGATTTGTCAATTAAAAGCTTATCATCTTTTGGATCAGTATCTTTTGGTTTACCATCCTTTACGCCTTGTTTAGATTGTTTTGCTTGCTTATCAGCCTTAGATTTTGATTCCTTCTTTTCAGAATCACTTTTCACACTTTTTCCAGTTTTCTGACCATCACCATTTCCAGCTTCGGACTTTTCTGTCTCAGTATTGGCAGCAAGTTTCTTTGGTTTCTTGTTTGGTTTACTGTTTTTAGGTTTCGGGTCATTCTTGACACTGTTTTTGGCGCCTTTCAGTTTTCCGCTGCTTGACTTCAGGTTAGAATTTGGAGCGCTTGAATCACCTGTATTGATGATGATATTATCAGGAATTTTCAGGGAAACGATCCTATTCTCTTTAATGATTTCCATTGGATTACTATCATTGGTCTTCCTACCAGTATCATTACTATTTCTAGCACCACCGTCATTTCTGAAACTTGCTCTTGAGCCACCCCTAGAATTGTCCTTAGCACCACCTCTTCCCCTTCCGCGCCCCCTTCCCCTCCCTCTCCCTCTTCCCCTTCCTCTGCCACCACCTCTTCTCCCTCCTCTACCACCAGCCCCTCTTCCAACCTTTCTACGTCTTCCACGACCTTTGAAAGAGCCCTTCTTCACATTTTTTTCTCTGGGTATTCCTAAAAATTCGTATAAAAACCCTTCATCTTCTTCACTGATGAATTTTAATCCCGAAATATCATCGTAGCCACTTTTACAAGCGTTACAGACAATGTAATCATTTGCTAATGGGTATTCCTTGTTGTTCAGGATCACAAAGTTTAAATTTTCGTCACTGCCACAATCAAAACACTCCATATCACGGACTTTGACATACTGGGGATATTTCTTAAGGATAGAGCCGTTGGCCATGGTATGTTGAATGACAGGCTTATCTTGTTCCTTGCTGAAACACAGCTCACAAAACATCGACATATCCGATCCCCCATACCTCACAATTATGAGCTGATGAATATTGGTATCATGACACTGTTCACAATCAAGGGTTTCCAGCCTATACAATAGAGACTTGTGACGGGTTTGGGAGATATGCTTCAGCATTTCTGCCTCATTGAGAACGACTTGACATGTTTGACAAGTAAATTCTGGCATATTTGATGAGAAAAATTCCTAATATTGAATTGTGTCTATTTTGAATGGAAGAAACAATACAAATTATGACAGAAAACAACGCTGCTCAGAATAATTAAACAAGAGAAGTCAAAATAAGACACATCGAAGCTGCCAATGCTTCCTATTTTTTTTTCAACAAAATCAAATCATCATGATCGGGGATCAAAACCCATGATGTGATGTTATGCATTGATATGTAAAAATGATGTGACCATACCAGAGGCATGTCAATTTTTTACAATATACAATATATTATACAACGACAAAGATCGAAAAATTACAATAAATCCCGTTAGCTCAGTATCTAAATACATCCTAGGTGCACTTAGAAACCACATGGGATAGGGGTGACGGGTTCTTCCATCTTTCTCAGACTAAAAAAAGTCTGCTTTTTCTCACTCAAAGTTACTTTGTTTTAAGTTGTGGATGAAGCTCTCACCCAGGGACCTGATTCTTACTAGAAGCTACTTTGTTTTCACTGAAAGTTAGGTGGTTATCACCGATTGACGCGTCTTAAAATTTTAACCGGCATGCTTTTGTTTCAAAGGTTATAAATCTCTTATCCAAAAGATGTCAAGAATAATTTGGAATACCAGAAATTCACTCTGCTAGTAAGAGATTCATTCCAGTGGGATGGTCCAAGACAGCGAAGAGCTCGGTTCAAAACCTGGGTTATCTGTGTGAAGACTGTACAATAAGAATGCACTTCATCTTAAAAGCCCAAGAAGTGATGAAAACAGAAAGGACGTGCAACACGTATTTGACATGAGAAAAAAAAGGGTCAATTATATACAACATATACAACAAGAAAGTGCTCACACGCGGATTTTAAATATGTTTAAACTCCGACCACAGCAGTGGAAAATCTCCGTGGCAGGGTGACCTCCCCTACCACCTCCAAAAAACTGTGCACACCAACAATAGGAAGCATGCTTCCGGAAGTGCAGAAAAAGGGAATTCTTTCTTTTACTTGGAAAGTTAAGCTCCATTTTTTGGTTAAACAATCTGTCGCACAGGGAACAGCCTTACTTTTGCCTTTTAGGGAGTATCGAATGCCGGTAATTTGGAGTTTGACATAAAGAATCACCCCATAACTGGAACCTTCAATAATATTTCTATCATAATCTGCTAGTTAACCATGTCAAAAGATCAATCCGGTGCCGATTCCATTTCCTCCTCAGTGCGTGATGTTGGCCAAAATCAACCAAAGCCATTAGAACCCAGATTGTCCCAGGAAGATGAAGAACAAGCCAAGAATGCCAATACTCTTAAAAGGGAGCGACTTGCCAAGACTTTGAGCTCTACCTCCATTTCGCAGATCGTGCCAAAGGATGAACGTAGGGGCCTTCTATCAAGCATGTGTTTAATACCCGAGTATCAAGATGCTCGTAACTATCCTGACAGAATGAAAAAATCATTGGTATTGATCATCGCGACCGCTGCGGTTATTGGTCCCATGGGGACTTCCATCATTTTCCCCGTCATTGATGATCTTACTGATGTGCTTCACACCAACACCAAAATCGTCAATGTATCTGTGGGTATTTATCTTTTATCCATGGGGATCTTCCCAATTTGGTGGTCCTCCATTAGTGAACGTATTGGTCGTCGAACGGTATACATTATCTCTTTCTCGTTCCTTTTCTGCTTTTGCATTGGTGCGGCATTGACCCCCAACATCGAAGCATTCATTGTATTTCGAATGCTCATGGGAGCCTCGTCTTCTAGTGTGCAGAGCATCGGCTCTGGTGGTATCAATGATTTATACAGAAGCCAAGAATTGGGGAAGGCCATGAGTTTGTTTTATTTGGGTACTTTGGTGGCACCTTTCATCAGTCCAATTATTGGTGGTGCTATCGGTAGTAAATGGGGATTTCGTGGAACTTGTTGGTTCATGGTAATATTTGCCGGGTGCTTGTGGTTTCTTATAGTATTATGTTTACCAGAAACTCTTAGAAGACAAGAAAGTGCCGAAGCAATTGCCAAGTACCTTAGTCAGCTTAATGAAGATACCAAAAGATTTAATCAAGAGCAACAAGGTCAAGTGGATGATGAACGCAAAATCCAAAACTCTACTCCTATTAGTGATATAAATCATAATAATAATATAGATAATATTAATAAAGATGGGGATAATAATAATAATGAGAAAGATCCCGATGAAACTAGTTCTGAAGATACACCCCAATTCTTTGATGCAGATGACGTGAGAAGTATTGCTACAAACCTTTCCCGGAATAATATAGATGAAATCAGAGAAGCGATTTCCAGAGTTTCTTCTCATCCAGCAGTAGCAGCTGAAGGTTTGCCCCTATCAAGAATCAATACAGTGGATAGAGTGCAGGCTGCACAGCTTGAAAGAACGAATTTGGAAAAAGTAGTAACTGAGCTCTCAAAATTGAAATCTAACAGCTCTGTTCAGCCCTCAGGCTGGCCACATTATCGCCATATCCTCTATATTTATCTAATTAAGCCCACAAAATCTGTGGTGTTTTTACGCTACCCACCGGTGCTTCTCATGCTTATTTACTCGGCTATTTCATTTATGTGCCTTTACTTTGTCAACATTAGTATCACATACCAATATTCTAGAGCACCATACAACTTCTCCACCATAATTGTCGGGCTTTGTTATATTCCGAACTCTACAAGCTACATTCTCACTTCACTTTTCAGTGGAAGATGGATCGACAAGCTTTTACAAAACTTTGAAAAAAAACATGGGTTTTTGTCTCCAGAGGCTAGAATATCCTGGAATTGTTATATTGCTGCCATCATTCTCCCACTATCGTTGCTCATATCGGGTTGGTGTTGGGATAAGAAGACGTTTTGGATCATTCCTATGGTGGGTACTTTTATTTGGGGTGCCGGCAGTTTGTTAGTGATTAATACTACGGTGACTTATGTCGTGGATTCTTTACCAGGAAGAGGGGCCACAGGTGTGGCATTGAACAATTTATTAAGACAGCTTTTGGCGACTCTTGCATGTTTTGTTCAGGAACCATTAACTGTGGCACTAGGTCCTGGTGTATTATACTCGATCCTTGCGGGGATTTTGTTTGTGTCTGGCAGTACGTTATTAATTGTCAAGCGTTATAGCTCTCAATGGAGGGAGAATTACGATTTGCAAAAGTTGTACGATATCGTTGATTCATAGTTTGTTTTTCATATTCACAATATAAAGAAATATTACAATACTTAACTTTTCAAAGTAGAACTAAATTGAACATTATACACAGGGTTACCTCGTTAATCCTTGAGCAAATAAATTAACACATGGGTTTGAAAAGGACCGAACAAAAAAGATGATAAAAGCAATACAATTATGAAAAGCAGTCAGCACGCTGGTTCACCTCAAATATTTATACTGCAAAAATTGATCAAAATAAATTCTTGCTAATGAGCAAGTCCTCAGATGCCTTAATATACTTAGAGGCATATTCTGGAGTGAATCCCTTTGATGGATAAAGTGACTCACCATTTTTGTTAAAAATTCCACCATTAAGCCCTTCTAACTCCTTAGCAATTAACAATGGAGAAATACCCAGTGCATATTGTTCAGGGGTATGAGTGAACCATCCAATTAAACCTTCCATGATTTTGGATGTCCAAGAGCCTTCACCAAAAAGATTATTCCTAATGTTTGTCTTCACTAGACCAGGGTTTAATCCGTAGAAATGAACATTCTTGTACTTTGAAACACTGTCGTAGACTAAGGCTTCGTTACCAGCAACAGTATTCATGTGAGTCTTCATGGAACCATAACTCTTTTCAGAATTGAGGTCATCAATGTTCCCCAATTGGTTGCTACCTGGGTAGGCCATGATGAAGACTCTTGGAATGAATCCATAAAAATTCTCCTTTGAGTGCATTCTTGGAACAAGCTCAGGAACCATGACCATGCGATTCAAGAAACTTACTGCCATATCACGTTCCAAGCCTTCACTGGTCTCTTGTCTCTTTGAGGCAGCAAAGATCCCCGTTGTGAATACAAGAATATGTGTTGAGGAAACATCCAATTCTCGAGCAACCTTTCGAGATTCATTAATAGAGCTCAAATCAGCCCTAACAAACTTGATATTTTTTTGTTTTTCGTCTCTAAAAGTTTGGCCGACAACCGTAACATTTGCCCCAGCATCAGCAAAAGATCTGCTAATGGCTCTACCTAGACCGCCAGTACCTCCTACCACGGTGATGTTAAGATCGCCGAGGTTGGCTAATTTCTTCGGGATCCAGGAAAAAGTTTTATCAATTCTCATTATTATTAATCATTTGACAATAATCGAAATTTGGTTTTTCTGGTGTTTTTTCAGGAAATCTGTTATTTATATAGGTTGCTGGCAGATTACTAATGACCTGCAGCAAACTTTGACGGGAAGATAGAGCTACTCCCCGTACCCACCCTTTAACGCCACTTTCAACTATTTACAATCTGTCAAGCTCAGAATCTTCTATTTTTACATGCTATTTAATAACAGACTGCTTGCCATCGACTATTCTTGATGTGATTGATGTGTGTGTGTATGTGCCCTTCCGTAACAAAGTGACGGATCAATATCAGCCAGGGTAACTTTTATTTCACGTTCTCTCAGAAAAACAGCCATCATCAAACAATTTGTGCTGCTGTGGTGTTACGCTCTTGTTGTCAAAAGGAAGCATCTCACGCACAATGAGTTTCTTCAAGAAGCACTCGAAATCACACAATCCTCCGCTGAATGGAGCAACTTCTGCTCCTCCTCCTCCGCCGCCGCCTCCACCACCTCCAAGTGGAGCAGCAGCTCCACCACCACCACCACCACCGCCTCCACCTGCAATGGGTGGTGCGCTATCAGGATCATCATCGAAAAAGGCTTCATCGAAGCCATCAGGAGGCGGAGGTGCTCTTCCTTTCTTAGAGCAGATCAATGCTAGAAGAAGAGAAGATTTCGTGGTTGAGAAAGTCGATAAAAACTTTAGTGCTGCCGGATCCACAGGTTCGCAGGCTGGATCTTCATCTCTGTCAGCTCCTAAAGTACCAATGTCAGCTCCTAAAGTTCCCAGTGCCCCACCATTGCATAAGTTCGCTCCCAAATCACCTGGAAACTTTGCTCCCCCAGTACCAATGCCAGGAATGATGATGCCAGCAGCTCCGAAACTTCCAAACGCTGCTCCTCCTCCGATGCATTCAGCCCCACCTCTTCCTACAATGGGAGCTCCTCCAGCACCACCATTACCTACACTGAATGCTCCTCCACCAGCACCACCTCTTCCTACACTGAGTGCTCCTCCAGCACCACCATTACCTACAATAGGAGCTCCTCCACCAGCACCACCATTGCCTACACTGGGAGCTCCTCCACCAGCACCACCGCTACCTGTGATGGGTGGACCCCCACCACCAGCACCACCGCTACCTATGATGGGTGGACCCCCACCACCAGCACCACCATTGCCAGCTTCAGGGGGTCCTGCAAATTCTCTGGCACCACCACCACCGCCACCTCCGGCAGGATTATTTGGTGCCCCAATGAAATCTGCTAACTCAAACAAACCTTCAAATGCTCCTTCACCAGCTTCAGGAGGAGCTCTACCATTCCTTGAACAGATCAATGCTAGAAGAAGAAACGATTTTGTGGTTGGTGGATTCGAAAATAACTCTAGTGCAGCTAGACCGGAACCCGTCAAAGCTGAACCACGGAAAACTAATGCGTCACGCCCCCAACCGGCTTCACCAGCTGCCGGAGGAGGTCTTCCATTCCTTGAACAGATCAATGCCAGAAGAAGAAATGATTTTGTGGTTGATAAGGTCGACAATACCTTTAGTGCTGCTGACACCGTCGGATCAGAAACCATCAAGGCCGAACCCATCAAAGCTGAACCACCGAAACAGAGTGCACCATCTCCCAAACCACCTCTTGATGCTCAATTTCCATTTTTGGCAGATATTGCTAACCGAAGAAACAATCTCGGGAAATCTAAGAAACCAATCTCAGCGTCGCCCGCTTTATCAGGTGCTCCAGCAATTCCAGTTGCACATTCTCCTCAATTACCAAAAGTTAATGCAGCATCCCCTCCAGCACCTAATCTTCCAGGAGGATTTGGGTCTATTCCAAAGACTAGACCAACAAAGACAACAGGACCACATTCACCTGCAGTAGCCCCGCCACCGATTCCATCATTCAGCGCCCCTCCATTACCAAACACATCAAGCCCATCAATTCCACAAGCAAAGGCCCCACAATTACCTAAAAACACTAGTTCTCACAATGCACCTTCTTTACCAACGGTTTCTAGTCCTCCAATCCCATCCTTCAGTGCTCCTCCATTACCTAATGTTTCATCTCCACCAATTCCAGTGAATAAGGCTCCAGAGCTACCTAAAATGGCTAGCCCATCTATTCCAGCGTTTAGCGCTCCCCCACTTCCTAAGGCTGCCAGCCCATCAATTCCAGCGGCCCCAAGTTTTTCGATCCCAACTAATTCATTACCAGTCCCACAATTGAGAAATAACAATAGCAGTGGTAGCGATATTTCTCCATCTTCTTCATTTTCTAACCTTTCCGATAGTGGTTATGAAACACCAGAGAAACATGCACCACCACCACCGCCGGTGGCTCAAGCACCATCGACCACCGTTCCAGCTGCCAATAAAAAGTTTGGACGTATCTCGGCATTTGGACGTTCAAATGAACATTCATCACTTTTCGCTTCGGATTCTAGTACCGATGGAAATGGATCAGGCAAGTTTATGGATTCATCGATTTATACTATTGGACAAACGAATGGGAATTTCAACCAAACCGAAAAAATCACTATCAATGATTCTAGATTCAAGTTTGCGAATTCCAGAGATATTCCTAAACCTCGGAAATTCAGTAATAAGGAGAAGTTATATCCTAGCGGGAGGGGTACTTCTGTGCCTTTAAATTTGAGTTGGTATACGTAAACACAAAATAAATAAATTCAATAATATGGCAAAAAATGAAGTCTCTGAACATTTTAGCAATTAATAAATAATGATGATGGAACCTTAAGAATGTTTCTTGTGCTGTAAGATGCTTGATTGGTTTCCTATACGAATGAATCATCTAATGAATGAAATTATATTATAATGTAATATGAAATAACGTAATATGAAATCGTAAGAATTGATAATATGAAATAGTAATAACTAACATAAAATAGTAACGACCAACATAAAACACCAACTAAAATGAAGTGATAATAATCAATATGAAATCGTAAATAATAATATGAATGTCTTTTGTGAATATATATATATATATATTTTTAGTAAAAAACCGTAATTAATATCAAATGTCTTTTGTGTGAATATATTTTTTTTCAGTGAAAAATCGCATTAATTCCATAATACGATTTCAGAAATCATTTTATCTCCCACTTCAAAAAAGAAAGAAAGCAAGAAAAAAGGTCAAACAAATAATACCAATAAGAACAATCCGAAGTAACAACCAGTACCACCAGTAGAAGTGAATAGACCAAAAACAGAATGCTGGATATCTCAACTAACACGAACATCAAAAAAAAAAAAAAATCAAAATAATAACCCAGGAGAATTAAAAGAAAAAGCGTTGAAAAAAAAACACCGGAAAGAAAATGAACATACCAAAAAAAAAAAGAAACAAGAAACAAGAAAAGATTTAATGATAGTCTAATCAACATCATCTTCTTCTTTCCAAGGTAACAACATTCTTCCTTCTGTATGGTTCCCCAATAACAATTTCATTATTGGCTGTTCTTCCAAGCTTTGAAGGTGCAAATACTGGTCACCCATACCGTTCAGGATCCCATGGACTTTCATTAACGATTTCAATTTCTCATAATCGGATTCCAGAAGAGATATTTCTTCATCCTCTTCATAGTCATTGGAGTTCAAGTCACCATGATCATAGATATCAGAAGAGGTTAAAATATTGATGGAAAGATCATTAGAGTAACTTGGAGAACCTCCATTTTCATCATCCATGATACTACTGCTTTCTTCCAAAATCACATCATCCAAAATATTTTCCTTCTTGTGGATCTCACCATCATCATCGGGAATCGCCAATTCGAAACCATCATTGTCAATAGTCTGGCTAATAATATTCTCTCCATGGTAAATCACGGAGTCATCCACTGGGACTGCTGATGATTCGAAAGAAATTTCACTTTTAAGACTCATCATATCTTCCGTGGTACCTTCCTCCTTTTCTTGAATTGGTTCATGTAGGTCATTGCCAAAAACTTCTTTGTTCAAGAAAATTCGTCTATTGAATTTACTAGTTTGCAAATTCTTCAAATCAATCAGGGCATTCAAGCTCACATTTCCCACATCTTCGTCGACATTATACATCTTTGCACTGCTTATAGATCCAGCATCAGAACCATGATTATTAGGCATAATTTCCAAATCTTCAAGATCAGAATTTTTGCGCGAGTGCTTGGAGATCTTCAATGGTTTCAAGTTGAGAACAATACTTTCATCAGCTTCTTGATTGCATTCATCCACAACACCATCAGAAGCAGTGTCATGTCTCATCACTCCAATGATAGTGTTTCTCTTCTTTTTATCATCCCTTAAAGAGTAATTAGAATCAATGTTATTGGAAATGATTCTGCTGATCCGGTTGTTTTTCTTGAAGTACCGGAAATTCGAAGTTTTGGATCGTGTGAGTGGTTGATTATGGGAATAGCTACTACTATGCTCACTATTTATCGACTCCGTAGCGCTCATTGAGGAAGCCCGTAACATGTTTTTCTTCATCAAAACCTTCTTATTCTTGGTGATCAAATTATTGATGTCCTTAATGGAGCTGCGATTCCAGAGTTTGGTTAAAAGATTATCAGATCCTTCTTGAGAACTTTTATGTTTGGCGTCATTATCACTTTGATCATTTTTAGACGAATTGATAAAGTCCTTGATGGCAGCGTTTCTTTCGCACACATCAGTTAATGGATCCGATGGTTGCTGCAATTCAATTTGATGGTTGAATTTAGACAATTCAGATTGCAAATTATCATTATCAATGATCAATTGGTTGATAAAGAAGAATAATTGTTGATTTTCTTGTTTCGCGCTATTCAACTCGAATTTGACATCGGTCAAGACATTATTTTGGGATTTATACTGCTTCTCAAGGTTTTTGAATTCAGTACTGATGTTGCTGTATTCGGTAGAGTTGAATGAGCTGATTTCTTTATCAAGAGTATTTGACATTTCTTTATTTTCCTCGGATTTATGGTTCAATTTGACCTCACTGGAATAACTTCCATGATTTGATTCAGCTTCCAAATGGAAAGAAAAGTTTGATTGGATATCATTGTGATTATTGTTGTTGAATATTTGGTGGAAAGAAATATTTTCATTAAGATCTGTAAATTGTTTTGTCGCCTCTTCCAATTCTGCTTTTAAAGACTCAATGGTTTCCAAATAACTCTCTTTCTCTTGAGTTAACTTTTCTAATTCGATCATCAAATTATCCTTGAACAGTAACTCGATTGAACTTTTGTTGGTAAGTGAATTGATTTGCATATGTAAACAATCGATCTGTGCTCTAATGGCGTTATTTTCTTCTAACAAGCCATCGATATCGTTGGTAAGGTTATTTTGACTATGAACTGATTCAGGTCTAGTAATTTCGATGCCATTTCTTGCAAGCAATTTTTGCAATGCACTGATTTTTGATTCGTAAGATTGTTTTTCTTCGAGCCAAATCTTGTAATCATTTTCAAAAAATGTCAATTCATCATTGATGTTTTTCTTGTAGTTGTTCAACAATTCTTGGGTGGTTTTGATTTGTTTCTGTTGACTGAGGATGATTTTCTCTTTTGATAGCAAATTAACTTCCAATAATTCCCGTTCATTATTCAATTGAGATGATTTCACAAGCTCTTGGCGGTACAATTTTTCTAATTTTGCGATATCTGCTTCAAGAGAGACTTCCAAGTTTTGTGGAGTTTTCACCACGAGCAGTTGACGGTAATTTGATCCGTCATTTTCATCTTGATTCGACGACGACGATGAGGAAGCGATGGTTTTCGAAGATGATTTTTTAACTCTGAACGTCTTAAATCGCATGGTGTTTGTGTCTATTTCTTGTAAAGGGTTTGGGCTGGCGATACTACAATTACCGATAGTGATGGTATCTGTTGTTGATTCGGTGTCATTTTGCATTTTATGGCAAAGGAGTGAGGAGGGGCAGTATTTATGGTAATTGGTGGTTGTTCCATGGAACGACGATGCCTAAGGGCATAAACATGATTTTGTTTTTGTTTTTGTTTACCAAAAAGGACTCGGAGGAAGGGGGCTGCATAACCGATGATGTGATTGATCTCTTAGTTAATCGATTTTACAGTAGAAAAGGAAGAAAGAGATGGCGATGGTGAGGGAGATAGAAGTTAATGAAGCACGACGGAGGAGTGTACAATAATAGAACTAGAAATAGCTAGGTGCTCTCTATCCTTTATGATCTGTAGTGCAATCCCGCGGTGTTCGGTAGCAGGAACTCCCCCACCGATCCAATGATATAAATCTCGGATGTGTACGTACCACTATAATGATCTTTTGGCGAGAATTCTCAATTTTCTTTTACACAGAGTTATAAAAAATGTATACTTATGGTGAATCTAAAAATGACGTGATAGCTGATTAAGTTGATAAGAGAATATTCTAATGGAATATATGGGGAAACACTCAATCACAAAAAAAAAGTGAGAGAGAAAAAAGTGGCCGAATTAACATATAACCGACCCAGGTCTTCCGTCGGCCTATGCAGAAGTAGACCCTATCTTCTAATGCTTGAAACGCTCGAGCATATAAGAGGATCAAGTATATAATAGGATGTTAGAAAGATAAATTGCCTTGTAGGGAGCTTCAATTTTATTTACCCCAATTGTAATTCACCAGCGATACGAACATACCTGGGACACCAAAAGTGCTTCACGAAATTTACATTCAGCAAGGGGTTCTTTAAGCAAAAGAATATTTTTTTTTTTTTTCGAATATATATTCTTTCAATTGTGACTGGCAATTATTGGAGCTATCATCATCATACTCTCCAACTAATATCAAAGATAAACAGACACACACGCAAGCACAATAACAAGGAATATGGTACCACCTCCACGGTTGCCAGGATGACAAGTTAGGGGCACGTCGCGACCCTTTTAGGACGCTTGCGCACATTGTGGTTGGCTGGTTGTTTGTTTGTTTGGGGATCCACCCTAATTAGGAGAGTTCAAATTTTTCAAAATATATTCTTCATCATCTACTCCCGATTGCCTAACAACTGACTCTCCCAATAACTGTGATTCGACAAACAAATAAATCCAATACTCAACACAAAATGCAATTCAAACAATTGGCCCTCGCTTCCCTTGTCTCCTCTTTGGCTGCTGCTGACTACACCATCACCGCTCCAGACACCACTTTTACCATTTCCCAACCAACCAGTTTGACCTATACTTCTGGGGAGTACGTCATCATCGACACTTTCTACGGTTCTGGTTCCGTCCTCTACGACGAAAGTGCCCCAACCTCTTCATCTTCTTCCTCCTCATCTGCTTCTTCTTCTTCTTCTTCTAGCGTCGAAAGCTCTTCCTCCGAGGCCACCACTGTCACCAAGACCGAACACACCACCGCCAAGACCACTGAAAAGACTACCGAAAAGACCACTGAAGTCAAGACCACCTCTACTTTCTCTAGCTCTAAAAGCAATACCAACACCACCACCACCGCTTCCTCGAGCTCTGGTTCTTTTGCTGCTACCATCATTGAACACGCTAGTGACTCTATCTCCACTTACACCACTTCCGTCACCACCGTCACTGCTTCTGGTTTGGCCACCATTGTTGTCACCAACGGTACCAACAACTCTCAAATTACCGCTGGCTCCACCAAGACCGAATCAGGTGCTGCTTCCGCTTTGAAGGTTTCCGGTTTCCTCGCCGCTATTGTCTTACCAGCTCTTGCTATGATCTAAGTGGAGATGAATTAATGAATAATCAAGCCAATATGACGAAATCTATAATGAGGACTTTGTTATTTGGGTGTTGACTTATATATTTTTTTTTTTACAGAAAAATTAAAAATAATAAAAAAAAAAAAAGGAAGAATCACTTACCTTCTTCTTCCCAGTGCTTATAGATTGTCTTGAATTTTCAATATTCCTGCATTGACTTGCACATGTCTCATTTTTACCCATTCTTCCATCTACTGTTTAATGCTTCCCTAATATTCTCTTTTTGTCAATACCCGTTGTCTGAGCTTTTGTTCTTCCATAAAACTAATATCTAATACAATAGACTTTCTTAGAACCTTTGTGATTTTGTGAATTACTTCTCTTTCTGCTGGGACTTTGTAATCTTTTTTTTTTTTTTTTTTTTTCAAAATATCAAGAAATAACCAAAGAGAAATGTGTATATTTATAATTTATGATTTTTCCAGGTCATCGCCCCCATATTCTATTTGTCTTGTTAATTCGTGGGGATTGAATGTGCCTGTTTCTATTTATTGTTTGTGCAAATGACAAGAAAGAAAAGACAACGAAAAAAGGAGAATAAAGAAATAAAGAAATGAACTATGAGTGAATTATGAATGAATATAGTGAAATACCAGTTGTGAGAGTGTTTTTTTTTTTTTTACCACTTCCTATTTAATGGTATGCTTCTTTGAATATTATTTTGTGATGCTTAATGCGTTTCCCTATGTTTCATTTTTCTAACAATGCCATCAATTGCAAACATTTCACTTGAAATAATGATCCATACTTTCTCCATTGATGAAAGCTCATCACTGAGAGAATAGCAAAATAAACAGAGAAGGTTTTCAGCTTTATAATTATAATGACTTCTTCCCAATTCGCAGCGCGACGAAAAACTAGGAGTTCATAATGATAATGATATGGGATTATGATACATTTCTTTTGCTGATATACATCAGAGAACACATAGGACAATCAGCTGTTCTTTCTAATGACATGGCTTTTATGGGGGGAGATTTTCTATTGATGTGACTCTTGACCTTTTTTTTTCAAATTTTTTTCAAAATCCGCAAATACACTCATGCTAACACTTTCCCATCTTTTGGTTTCTTGATTCATCGGCTTCCCTTTGACTTCCTCGGGTAAATTCTCTGGAGCTAGCCATTTCACCGGAGGATCGTATTTTGCTGGCCATACTCCTCCTTGTTGCTTCAATTTCTCTGCCGCCAATTTCCGCTGGTGGTTGTAGTTCTTCATATCATCATTATACAACTCCCATACACAATTGATGCATCCACTCATACAACAATTATCAGGCTCAGTCGGTGGAGAAGGGATTGGGACGCCTGCAATATGGAAAGGTTTGGAAGTGGTTTCGACATTAGAGTACCGACTCGATGATTTAACGGCTTTTTCTCCGGCAAGACGCCCACCAAAGATGTTCATGATATTGTTTGAAGGGGTATCTGAGGCATTACCTTCAAAAACAAACCCCGAAGTGGCGGATTTGACTGGTGGTTTGGTGGTAGCATTATCACTACTACTGATATTGTTATTAGGAGATGGAGGAGTGGAATTGGAGCTGGGGCTTTGTTGTTTTATGGATCTGGAACGTGATGCTAGATCGTAAAATTTATATATGGATTGCGTTGCCGCTGTTGCTTTTGTGTGGATACTATGTTTCACTAGCATTGCTTGTGGGTGGATAGATATGATCCATACTAAGCTACTAGTAGCAATAAGAAAAAAAATTGGGTTCCAAACTGAGTTATTGAGGGGGGATCTTTGTGAATAGGCACATGACTGTTCACATGACCATGAAAAAAAAGTTATTAGAGGAGAAAAAAGAAATTCAAAACATAACAATAGAGAAATATAGGGGGACCGATTATAAAATTGACAATAATTTTGAGGGGAAGAGGTTTAACGAGATAATTATGGAGATCTTTTATCGCTATATTTATCAGTGCGACAACTGTGTATCTATGTGGGAATGCTAAAGATATTAATTGATTGACAGAATATAATAATAACGCCGATCAATTAAGTTTCTTATCGCAGAGACAAAGCTACCAGCTGCGAAAATTACTCGATCCGGATATCTTCCATGGTCAAATCTCTGGAAAAGCCCGGAATTCCTATCTTGATCATAGATTGTTGTTTGAGTGCTGAGTGTTATCACAGTTATTAGTAAAAAAAAAACCAATGTTCACATTGATATGGTACTATCAAATATTACAGTGATACTTTCCACCTTTGTGAAAGAACAAATTTGATTATCACCTAGGGGAAATGGGCCTCCAATAACATATATTTCCACATATCATAACAAAACTCCCACTACATCATAAAGCTGGTTTTCTGGTACACCCCCTGAATATCCCGACGGGGGGTTGACTTATGCTAGTGCAAGCTTGTGTATGCCACAATCAACAGAGGTATCACCTTGTAGCCGTACGGACGTTTTTGGCCTTATCAAAAAATGTTATTTTTTTTCGTGCGTTACTTTTTCTGCATGAAAAAGCAAAATAGCAGAAAAAAAATTTTTTTTATGCATTGAGACGTGCATACGGGGATATCATCAGTAGAACCAACCAAAGGAAGGCCAGTATAAATATATTCGCATTTCTCTTGGTGGCTGGGAATGCTTTGACGATAAACCCCTTTCTTAAGTTTTTCTGGTCTCGTCATCAACCATTGATCCTTCCATAAACTCTTCCACCCCTCACACATACATTTCTAATAATGTCCAGTGTCGATATTGAAAAACAAGAAAAATTGGATCCAACCGTTTCCAACACTTCGGTCCAGAATGTCAAGGCTGACGATCCTTCTGCCCCATTCTACTTGAAGGTTGTCAAGGCCTTGTTTTCTCAAGCCGAAACCAAAGGTATTGAACGTGTCACTGAAGAAGAACGTACTGATCCTTCTATCTGGACTGCTGCCTCCATGTGGCTTTCCGCTAACATGGTTATCGCCACATACTCTTTGGGTGCTCTTGGTCCAACCATTTTTGGTCTTACTTTCTACCAATCGATGGTTACCATTATCTTCTTCGTTATTTTGGGTGCTTTGCCTGTGTCTTTATTCTCCGTCTTTGGCTCCAAGTTTGGTTTGCGTCAAATGGTTTTGTCTCGTTTCTTGATTGGTAACATCACCACCAGAGTTTTTGCTCTTATCAACATGGTTGCTTGTGTTGGTTGGGGTGCTGTTAACATTGTTGCTTCTGTCAAGCTTCTTAACGTTATCAATAATGGGGCTCTTCCTCCATGGGCTGGGTGTCTTGTTCTTGTGTTTGCCACTATCTTTGTTTCCTTCTTTGGTTACAGAGTCATTCACTACTACGAAATGGTGGCTTGGATTCCAAACTTTATCATCTTTTTTATCATTATTGCTCGTTTCACCATGTCTGGTATGTTTACCGGTGACGCTGAATACTTGGAAATTGCCTCCAAGTCCAGATTCCCTGGTGGTGAAACCGTTGTCGGTAATGTTCTTTCCTTTGGTTGTTCAATCTTTGGTTTCGCCACTGGTTGGACCACTTATGCTGCCGATTATACCGTCTACATGCCAAAGAACACTTCTTCCGTCAAGATGTTTTTCGGGGTCCTCGCTGGTCTTTGTTTCCCATTGTTCTTTGCCATGATTCTTGGTGCTGCCTGTGGTACTGCCGTTTTGAAGAACCCTGACTGGGCTGAACTTTACGACGCCAAGGACATTGGTGGTCTTGTTTACAGTATTCTCGTCATTGACAATCTTCACGAATTTGGTTCTTTCTGTTGTGTTGTTCTTGCCCTTTCCACCGTTGCTAACAATGTTCCAAACATGTACTCCATTGCCCTTTCTGCCCAAACTTTGTGGAGTCCATTGGCCAAGGTTCCTCGTGTTGTGTGGACCATTTGTGGTAACTTTGCCACTTTGGCCATCTGTATCCCATGTTACTACAAGTTTGACAGTTTCATGACCACTTTTATGGGTTTGATTTCTTACTACCTTGCCATTTACATGGCCATGGCTTTCGCTGAACACTTTGTCTTCAGAAAAGGTTTCTCTGGCTACAATTACTTGGACTACGACAATCCAGCCAAGTACCCAGTGGGTCTTGCTGGTATGTTTGGGTTCTGTTGTGGTGTTGCCGGTGTCGTTGTCGGTATGAACATTCTGTGGTACCAAGGCCCAATTGGTAGAAACATTGGTGCTTACGGTGGTGACGTTGGTTTCGAATTAGGTTTCGCCTTCGCTCTTGTTGGTTACCTTGCCACTAGACCTTTTGAACTTAAGTACATTGGTAGATGAGTGGATTATGCAAATATAAAAACTTGTTTATTTCTCATTTAATCAAATTCTTTCTGTTCTGGTTAATGTTTTTTTTTTTCTTTTTTTTATCATATCCAATAGTTGCTTGTTTTTTTTTTCCTTCTGAATTATTAGATACTGTTTTAATTTCCCCAATAGATTATGATCTTGCGGCTTTCATTTTTCTTCGTTAATATTCTCTTTGAGAAACCATCATAATATAGATTTTAGAAACCCTATTTAATTTACTCATGTATCTGTCATTTGTTTGGTGCCGTGGCTAAGATTGGTGCTAAAAAATCACTAATAATCTGTGAGTGTTCTTCTCTAACTGCCTTATCTGGAAAGTAAAAATAGGATTATCTTTATCACCATAAAAATGGAGAGTAATTTTTAAAAAAAGAAATCCAAAAAAGGAAAGAAATCGAAAGAGAGAGGCAGGAAAAAAAAAAAAGAAACAAAGTTTTAAATGTTCGAAGCAGAATATCCCTATTCATAATTAAGAGATTTTCATTTTAAAAGAAATGGGCTGTCTACAGATCTCATCTTTTCTTTTTGAATCGAGAGCTGTGAAGAGAATATTATATTCTTAAAGCTCCTTCAAATCGTGATGTTTCCCTTACAATAATAATAATAATAATAATAATAAGAAGAAGAAGAAGAAGAAGAAGAAGATTATTCTCCAAGAAGGCGAATATAGCGAAATCGTTTGAGATTCCCCATGCTTCTCCATGTATTGTTGGAAGAGTTGCCGAAATTTTTAGCTTTTCAGTTTGCATGATCACATGTTCCGCAAATTCCCGAGGGATTCTCATCCCATTCCATTGCCAGGCACGAAGGTTTTTGTTTTTGTTTTATTTTTGCTTTTGTTTTATTTTTGCTTTTGTTTTTTTCGGCGCTGTGCCCTCAGCATGTCAAAAGCTGTAACTCCCTCTATTGTTTAATTACTTTTAAAGTTATGGGGTTTTGTCTAAGTGAAGATACCTGCCACAAACAATCATCCAACCATTCATTGGCCAAAAGAGAGGCAGAAAAAGAAAAAGAAAAAAAAAAAGAAAGAAAGAGGGAACCGCATGATGCATATATATGTGAGCATGGTGTGACAAAACGCAGGTGTCATGAGCCATTGGCAATATGAGGAACGAGGGAGCTTTCAGGACACACCACTTTGGCGGTACGGTATTGACCAATTGACGAATGGGAAATGACGAGACGCGCGACTCATTGCGACTCACGTCTTGGGTGGGTGTGGACTTCGCACGATTATGGGTTGTAGCAATGGTAAGATCTATCTGGTCAGTGGTAAGCAGCGGCGGATAGAGTCTAAGAATATCGGATTTGAGATAATTCTGGATTAATACAAACAACAGCATAATAAAGTTAATAGCGTAGTAAAATATAATAATCGAATAATGAGTTGTCTCTCTAAAAATAGTAGAGAGATAATAAAAGTGGAATGAGTACAATAAAATAAATAGAAAGTAAGAGAATGGGTATTACACCAAAGGTCATGATAGAGGCGATATCCGTGGGCTCAGGGCAAGTAGTAGATACAATAGATAGAAAAACCGAGGTTGACATTATAAAAATGCTTATGCAGAAGTTCCCAAATTATCGATCACAAAAGACATCAAATTTATTCATTTCTATGAGAAACTAAAAGGCTCCTCAAAACAAGAAAGTTGTTCTATTTAACTGAAGTTGATGATTTGATTGAACCAGCGGCAAAAAGAGTCAAAGATGGAGCTGAGTTCAATATGGATACTTGAACTGATAAGTTTCAGCAAGCAGATAAGTAAGATGCTTCTTTGCCAATTTTTTTTTTTTTTTGCACATGTAAATGTAGATATAATATACAGTATGGGTAGTAGTTTCTATTTCTAAAGTATAATGAATTGTGTATGGAATTCGTGGTACCATATTCTTATTGAAATGCTTTCCACGAATTATTCTATCCTATTCTAGTAATTTGCAAAGCTATGGACAAATAATTACCCCCTAAAAATGACAAAAAGAATATGAAAAATGGAAAAGAAAATAAAATCTAATTTTCTTTGATAGGCGCTCCCATTAGAACTTCTTGTTGATAATCAAGTTCTTCAACATGTCCCTACCGGTAAAGTATGCAGTGTACCCAAAGTTGTACAAATCAAGGGTACTCGAGAACAGATCGGCGAACCCAAATGGCAACATAGTTGGGATCCAACCTTGAGCCAATTCCAAAGCATAACTTTCAGAAGGCATTGCGTATTGCTTGATGGTACCTTTTCTCAACCAGTGTTGATCACCTGGGAGGTACACTTCTTTTTCCAACCCGTTGGCAAATGACGCGTACTGTTCCCCTTGCAAGATGGTGAAATAGTCATCGGAGAAATGGATTCCACTATGACCTTCAGTACCAGTGGCAGTACCAAAGAAGATCAAGTACTCGGAGATCGAAGCGTGGAGAATGAACATGGTCCCCATGGCCCCGCCGGCGTTGTTGAACACCCATTCGTCATGATTTAACTCATTGATGTATTGTGAACCGTACACGGCAGCAAGTTCGTTACGTACGTCTTGGAAGAGTTCAAAAGTGGTGGTGTTGAGGCCAGCGTGTTTAGCGAGGACCTGTTGACAGATCAGTTGGACCTCAGCATGGTCAAATATGAAGTTTGAAGGGAGCCAGGTGGTGAACAAGAAGTTGGCGATGTAGAAAAGAACGAGTGGGACGACACCCAAGTAGAAGAGGAGCTTCATTGTGTATTGATATTGGGCCAAAGTCAACAGAAAGAAAGAGTTAAAATGAAGATTCAAAGTGATTTTTCTTTTTCATTTTTTTTTTTATTTTTTTTTATTTCTTCCGCACACACATGTTTGAGTTTATATAATGAAATTTCCTCGTTTATTTGTATACGACTGCACGAGGGGCGGAAAAACAAAAACACGGAAAACGCCTGGAATTTCTGTTATGATTTATTATTATCTCCGAAGAATTGTCAAGTTGCCAGTTATTACCAGAAATTAATAATATCCTAATGTGTAATAGATGCAATTGTGAAAGATTATTGCTGGGGGGGGGGAGTTTAATTTCCTACGGGGACTCCAAAAATATACAACAAAATCAATGGATAAAAATACAATAAAGAGATTTGACAAAACTATGAATGGCAAAGAGACGAAAATGAAGTGAAGTCAAAATAATAATGATAATAGTGATAATGAAAAAAGTATTGGCTTGACAATAGATTATTATCCCGTTGCAAATTGGGCAAACAAGATAATGACAATAAGATAATGAAGAATCATGGTGGTTTTGACGCATTTCTTGATTACAATGCCATGTTCCAAATTATAATGCTGGCACATTAACATGATCAAAAACTAGCTCCTGGCCATCAAGAATTGCTATTAGCCTTTCCTTTCCTTTTTTTTTTTTTTTTTTGGAATTACTCAATATCAACAGAGTTCTTCTTGAGGAAAGTCTTGGCTTCGGCAATTTGTTCGACCAATTCCTTGTACTTGTCTTCTTTGTCCTTGAAAGTGATCACGTCGTAACCTAAGGTACCGAGAGAGTAAGCACCAAATGAAATAAGAGCCCACCAAGGCAACTAAAAGAAAAATTGAATTAGTATATTATTCAAAATAATTAAACAGAACACGCAATTGATTGAAGATGACAAGCGTGAAATATACTGGCTCCTTTATTCAAGTAAATATTCAACATTATAAATATTGGAACATTTCTACCAATACGTTCCTCTAACATTCAATTTTTTTTTTTTTTCTCCTGTGAATGATTCCTGATTATCATCTTCATAAATTCAGACTATTCTTTTGATATTGGAAAATCGTCTAGTGGTCAAGTAACACTTACCAATGGGATTATTTGAGAGAAGATTGGTTCTGGAGTTGGGATGGTTCCAGTCAACAAAGCAGTGTAAATGGTGAATAACACAAAGAAGGTCAAGGCAGCATTAGTGGCACGGGTCATTTTTGTAAAGATCAATTATTGGGTGAACACTTGGAATATAAAAGTATTAAACTGGCAAACCTTTCCAAATGACAGATTTTGTTTTTGTTTATTGTTTTTTTTTTCATCATTTTGACAAGTTTTTTGTACGGCTGCGTAAGTGATTATGTAAGAATCGCGCGGACATTGGTGAGTGCATTATGTAATCGATGAGTACACTACACTGCCTACTGGGCAATCTAGCCAGAACCATTTGACATACCAGAAGGAATATTAATTGAGTATATAAATAACGCTGACAGTCAGTGAAGGAAAGTTTACAGAAATTGAAAACACGCTAGATATTTCATTATTAAACCCTGTTGATTAAAAAACAGCATTCCAAAAAAGTAAATTAAATTAAATTAAATTAAATTAAATTAAATTAAATTAAATTAAATTAAACTAAACTAAACTAAACCCAAAAACCCATAACTAAGAAATCATAAAAACAGTAAGTGATAATCTCGCAATACAAGCAGCAAAGCCTTCTAGTTTTGACCCCGCAGATGCCAAATGAACCAATATAGCTGCTGGAAAAGTCTATACCCCCCTCCAAAAAAAAAAAAAAAAAGAAAAAACAACAAAAAATATAGGCAGGCAAGCCCACTCAAATGAGGCGAGCTATCAGTAATCAAGGAAATCATTGTATACATCATTTATTCTCCCAGTGGTGGTGGCGCCACCGGTGCTCAGGGAAAGTGCGATTGCTGCTGCTGCTGCTGTTTCTTCTTCTTTTTCTTTTTCTTCTTCTGGAGCAACCCCATCTCTAGTGCTTTTGATATTTCCAATCTTTATTATTTCAATGACAATAGCTGCGAACTCATCATCGTCGATGTAATTATTGTTGATGGCACTGGTGCTAACTATGGATAGTGGGTCTGCATTTGTGGTAAATGAAGTGACAATAGACCTGCGTTTCGGCAATACACAGTATGGGTCGAATAATATTGTGCCAATGAATAGTATTGAGGATATAATAGTGACCAAGAGGATATTTTCTCTGATCATATGGTAATGTCGATGCTGTCTTTGTCGTTGTTGACTTTCCAAGTCAAACTTCTCTGATGCGTTTGACATTGTGCTAGCGGTAACAATACTCTCAAGATGAATGAGGATCGAAGACAAGGTGATGCCCTAGGACAACTATTTATACACCTCAGTATTGAGGAGACCACATGGAAGGAGATACAAGACGGTATTTATACACATGGTGTGGACAAACAATGTATTTATATACATGGTGTGGACAAACAATCGTGCAATTTATGTGGTTCCCAAACTTTTCGTTGGTTCCCAAAAGGGTCACAAAACGTTTTTTTCCAGAGGAATGTTTCCGAGGCCGGGTGGGAGCACCTAATTAATATTATTATTATTATTACGAGTATTTCCTCTTTTTTTTCCTTTTCTTTTTCTTTTTTTTTTCCTGTATCCCTTTTATTATATATGTATTATATCCATTTTATATCTATTTTACGCCTATGTTACATCTACTAGATAACTGTTCAAGTGCTCTTCATTCTTTTAATTTCGGTGTTGTATAATAATACACCAAATAAAAATTACAGTCTGATAAAATACCCGTAGAACAAAAAATGCTCGACACCTGCAATACAGTAACATTACTTTCTTTAATAAAAAGCTTCCTTAAGAACCTGGTAATATAAAGTTTGAATTGCTTAGTTCATTACAACATATCCAATCCCATGTAATGCTACTACTCGCTGCTCCAGCAGGAAAAAACCACCCCAATTGGCGATTGCCAAGATCGCCAATAAACGGCTCGGGGTCTCTTCTAACTTATTAATTGGCAAAACTTAGTAATAGAGTTCAGGTCAGTCGTTAAAGATGCCCCAGCAAAGCAAAACACCTTTTAATGTAGCTTCTTCCTGTCTGTTGCATTATTTTCTCAGAAGAAACTCAGAAAACAAAAAAAAAAGTTAAGAAAAAGCCCGCCAAAAACCACGCCCAGGAGCTATTACGGTCCAATAGAACCAGTAATACAGGACTAACCTAGCCTTTTCTCTGTTTTGATTTCTGATTCTTTGATCTATATTGACTTACCCCCGAATTATTAAAGAATTTCTCTCGTGCTCGGGTGTGGGGTGTGTGGTGTGTGTCTGTGTGTCCGTGTGTATAATACTATAGAAACTTAATATACTACTGTGAATAAATGACCTTCACACTCGATTGGAACACACAAACTAAATACAAATAAACAACCAAGCCAAAGTATACGGATCAACCAAGGAAGATGAGCATTCATGGGAGAACAGACAGAACATATCGGTACGTCCTACAATAATTGCTACGCACACCGTTGCTGGATAAAGGCACAGAAAATAAATAACTTTTAGAAGACAAAATTGTTGCTAGACATATAAAGAGGGACAAGAATAAATGAATATATGTATATATATATATATATAAATTATGTAACTAAGACAATGATTATAAAGACAATATTATTACTGGCATAGCTATTATATCCCGATGCTCGAAATCTTTCAAAAGCACCGTGTTTCAGAACAGTTCAAATAAAATTATCAACCAAATCCTGCCCACTCCACAGAGAAATTCACAACCTCCTTATCTCCATTACCATCAAACAATGCATTGATAAATCCATCAATTTCCTCCGTTGCACTATTGCTGCTGCTCTCAGCATCCTTTATCTTCTCTTTTGGCTTTATCCCACTGACAACCCATAATTTTTTCACTCCCACTGCCAATCTCCCACCATTTACAAATCGCATCAAATCTATTTCTTCATCCCAGTTGAAAAAATTCACAATGTGGTGCGAGTGGTATCGTAATGGATCCCCAGGATACACAACAAACTTTGAGCCGAATTTCAACCCCGGCAATACGTAGTATTGAGAAGTTTCTGCTCGTGAATGGATCGATTGAATGAACCTCACACTACTGATGAGTCGATCGCAACGATGGCGCAACTTTTCTAAATCAACTCCGGCAGTTCCCACCGCAACCGCGTTGTCAATAGTATCGTAGATCAAATTATCAATTTCAAGGTGGGAAACATCAACCACGCCATTATACTTGTTAATTAAATGATTCTTGATATACCCAAACAACATGCGTCGCTGGAAACCATCCGAATGTTGAATAATCTCCACGAGCCAATCATAATTTGACAATCCACGCGAACTGTCTTCAGTTTTGTAGAAGATCAAATTGATATTAGAAGAGTCTACCTCAATTTCCTTTTGTGATTCTTCTGCCAATAAATCATGGTTTGAGATACCTTCTTCTTTTCCAATATCACTTTGCAAACCTTCGGTTTTTTGCTTATTTCGCTGCTGCTTTTTCTTGGTCTTTTGCAAGAAAAAGTGCCGTTTTTCAAAAATTTCTCGCTGCTTCTGCTTGATATCCTTCTTGTGACCCTCCCATAATTTATTCAAATACTTCTCCGTATCCTCGTCAGTCCAAGTCTCAAAAAACTGATGTGTCACTTGCTTTTCATGGATCAAGTAAGCACGCCCCATCGCCACAAGATATAATACCTCTTCGATTGATAATTGAAGGGGAACACTTAGAAAAATCGATTGTTGTGGGGCCACTGGTAAAGTACCTGACAATACCCCGAGGACATGATACTCTTCACGCAAGATCTTAATATCTGGCAAATCAAATACAAGGGCACGGTTCCCCACTATGGTAATTGGGATCTTCCTCTTCACCATTGAGCCCTTTAAATATTTCCTCTCTACTTCTTTTGCTATCTATACTATATATAAATTATAAAAAAACAATTACATGTTAAGACTTTCCTTAGCGCACAGAGAATTTTTTTTCTTTGGTTGGCGGCCCCGGTGCTCATCTCACAACAACAAAAATCTTTGTATCTTTCTGATTATCACCGATCTTTATATTTGATCTTACTCCCATTAGCAATTGAACAGGATGGGACCATCGTTGAAGATCTCATTTGCTTCTCGCGTGAGAGGCCTTGATTCCCATGCTCAGGAACTTCTCATTGGAATATACGAACGGAACCCCCAATTCAATTCGCATCTCCTTATTGAAGAGTACGTTGCTGACGAGTCCAATGCCAGTGCCATTGGTGAGAGATTCACAGACTATGCCAGAATAATTGAAGATGCTACCGTTTTAAAATATGCCTTCATGGAAGTTTTTAAGAAACTAGACGGTAAAAGAAAACCCAAATCGGCAAAGAAGAAAAAAAGATCCAAGAAACATGTAGCCAACTATATCAGTTATCCTACAAGCACCGGATCTAATAATGTCTCATTTTCTGATGCCATCTCCTCAGCAAATGATATTGACACTTATACCATTTCCCAGATCTTTAAAAATGGATCGGTGGCGGAAAAATTAGCAGCATCATTAAATAAAGTGAAATCGACTAATGGAGACTTTCCCCAAACGATTGTCGAGGAACTCCAAGATATTTTGACCCTTGAGACTTTACTCGTATCATATTTGATTTATTGCCACTATCAAAAAATTGCCGATGCCCTTCTTACCGCAAACTTTGAGATAATCTCTCATTTATCCTACTATCAAGACTTACAGGACGATCAATGGTATTTCCGCAAACTTTATCATATGCTCAGAATTTTGCCCGAGGTGGCCAGTGTTTTTGCCTTTGGAGTTTGGAGTGAAGCTAAAGGTATCGTGTCTCAAGACCGATCTGGATCATATATCACCACCGCCAACGCCACAAAATTGGCCCGTATCACCGCAGAATCTTTTTGGGGTAATGTTAACACTGTCAGCAAGTTACCTTACAATGTTTTGGCTACTGGTTTGAGAGGCTATCAAGGAGTTGGAATCTCTGCTTTTGGAAAATCCAAAATAGATACTCGTAGTAGAAACCCTGTCTCGATAATTCTACAACCTTTCAAATTGGTGCTCCATGTGGTAAAGAACTATGCCGACTGGTTTTATAGTTTATTCGAATATCCTGTTGCCCTCATTGATGGATACTTCAATACCAAGGTCACAAAGCTTGAAGAGTTGAAGTATCAAAACATTGAAAAATTGGGAGCTTTGATCAAAGAATTCCCAGAAGATTACAATACCAAGACCGAATCATCTGCCGTGAATCAGAAATCAATTCTCAAGCTTCAGTACATTCTTGCCAATGATGATCTTGAGAAAATCTCCAATTATGAAATCGCAGCTAAAAGTAGCGGCTCTTTGGATTTTGGAGTGCTTTCTCATGCCATTCCTACTTTCCGCACCAATTTCTCCAAAAGAATCAATGCCCTTGCAGCTCCTCAATCAATTGCTTCTCATTGGCCGCTTATTGGGTTTGCCTTACTTTATGGGCCATCTTCTGCCATCCAAATTTTCCAATCGCGTTATGACATTGCTAATTGGATTCGTGAGAATTTGTTGCAAACTATTATGAAGTTTTACGAAAACTGGGTCGCAGCTCCAGTCCTCAACATCATTGCCACCGTCCGCCATGATGATTCATCGCAGATTTCTATCACCGGCAAAAAATCATTGACCAGTGATATCGAATCGCTTGAGCGGATGATTGTTGGGTACCTTTCTAAAACCAACGGAGGGATTTCTACCGAACAAATGGCAATCATCAAGCAGAATGTCCACGATGGTGACTTGACCCCATTTATGGTGGACTACGAGCAACAAATCGCTAGTCCAATCCGTAGTCTTGTGGCCGGGGACCTTTTACAATCTTTGCTCATTCAGGTGCAGAAAGTCAAGGTGGATGGAGATCTTGTGATCAGCGGCATTGATAAGCTTCTCAAGAGCCAAGAACTTGTGTTTGAGTGTATTGCGGTGCTTCCTGCAGGACTCGTATTGATTTGGTTCCTTGGCACTTGTAGAGAAGTGGCCAAAAGGGGTTGGAGAGGAATTTGGTCGCCAAATAAAGGGAAATACCGGGAAGCTCTGAGACAGAATTTGAATCAATTGGAAAGACTTTTGATTTTGGATACCCAGGAGGAGAAAGGGACTGAAGATTATTATTCCATTGGGGAAATGGCGATTGAAGTGTTGTTGTTGCAGTATAATTTGGATAAGATCATTCCAAGAAACGTGAAGAAATACGTGGATGTCGACATTGGTGATTTGAGTAGCAGAGAATTCGATAGTAAATTGAAGATTATGGTGGTGGAGAAAATGTGGAGAAACTACAACCGTTATTTGGAGTAAATTACATAATTTATGTTTGGAGTAAAATAATACATATACATTAGAGATTTTCATTTCTTATGAGTCGTATCAGATTTTTCAAGAAAGTGAAAGCGAACGGTAGATACATAAAAAACTTTCAGCATAGATCTTCATAGTGATACTATATAATCTTATAAGATAGGTGGATCTTCATTGTTATATTATAAAACCATAGATGAAACACTTCAGTATCCCAAAGTTGCAAAAAAAAAAAAAAAAAAAAAATGAATAAAAGGTATCCCAAAAGCTCAAGAAAAAAAAAAAAATCACAAAGAACTGTAAAATTAAAATAAGATATGATTAAAATAACATGTATGTACGTACTGAAAATAAAAAGAGAACAAAAAAAAAAATCAATTAACAAAAACGACAAGATATTCAAGATATTGGATTTCTAGTAAATATATAGTTGGTAAATACAACAGCTACGCAGCATCACAGCACAAAAAAAAAACAACCATGATACGAATTGGAGTAATCGCCAGAATGATTGAAACCAAACTAGAAGATGGAATTGATAAGATCAGAACCAATGGTTGCCCCAGCACCGAAAATGGCTGCATTACCCAACTTCTTACCGAATTTCTTTGCCACACCATCGCCTTGTGGCTGTTGTTGTTGTTGTTGTTGTTGTGGTTCTTGGACTTGTTGGGGTTGAGGTTGCGGATAATAGTTTGTAGAAGCAGGAGGGAAAGGAGATGGACTGTATTGTTGTTGTGGTGGTGGCTGATATTGCGGTTGATATTGTGGTTGATACTGTGGCTGATTGTATTGGTATTTTTCATCAGCACCGCGGTGTTTCTCATCTGGAGCAGATGAAGGTTTGCAATAGTTCGATGGGAACATCCCGGTACGTCCATTAGATATTCCTTTGCTCCAGTTTGGATTTGGTTTTTCAATCACCTTGATACGGTCCCCGGCACGAAGCGGGAGGTCTTCTGGTTGTTGGGCAGCGTAATCATAAAGCGCTTCAACCCATTCTTCAGGACCAGCAGACGAAGCGTAGCTTGGAGGAGCAGGAGAAGGAGCGTTCGAAGTAGGAGCCGAAGCTCTACTGGTCGCAGCTTCAGTGATGGCACTGGCGGTGGAGCCTTGGAGAGTGGCGGCTGGGGTGCCTTCTTGATATTTTGCTGGCAAAGATTTCACCACACTATCATAAAACGATTGAGTGATCACGTCGGAATCAAGAAGAAACTCGAGTTCGGTTTTCACGGTCGTGAGGGAACGGTTGATGAGTGCCTTGGACATCTTTGGTTTGGTATTATTACGGTCTATTGATCCTATAAATTACTCTCTGTTAGCTTTGACAATTGGATGAAGACACTACACTACCTGGTGGCGGATCATTTGCGCCCTTTTGCTACAGCGAGAGGCATCGGATGCCCCATTAAGGACGGGTAATATACATTGCCCACAATACTATGAGCCCTTTCACACGCACACGTGCTTGATTTTTAAACTTCTTCTGCCCCAATCCGGGTGTTCTAGCGATCTAGAAATAGTATTCAGCTCCTTATTAAGATGTGGTGTATGTAGTGGCTCTTGGTAATAATAGGAATATGGATACTGTATATTTTATTTTTTTTAAAAAAAAAAAATTCCACATCTTATTATTTGAATTTTTATGCATGTGGGGCCATCATGCAGGTATCTCCCATTTGAATCTTGGCATCTCCCCGGCCATGTTATTTGCTAAGGTAACATGAAATAATCAGGTCTTCATTACCATCAAATAACTTAGTGAAATCTTTTTTGAGCTCTCTATTGTAAATTTCAATTTTGATTCAAGAGGACATGAAGGGAGTAGAAAATAGACGCTGTTCCCAGTTCAGTGTACTCACATGCCATAATATTTCATTATGCGATATGCCATTTCTTAAGCATCCTCCTAGGATCGTAACATATATAATATACTATGTATTGGTGGTTCACTTCTTCATTGATTTCTAAGAAGAATAGCTTTGTTGATCATGGAAAGTTTTCAACACACCTCCAATAGTAAGCAAAAATAACAAATTTCGAAATATCTAGATCAGATAAAAAAAGCCAGTAGAAGCTTCTATCTCTACAAAATAATACGGCCCATTCTCACCAAAACAAAATGGGAAAATTGTAATTTGAAAAGCATATTAGAGATATATGTATTTTCTATTTAAGTAATTCTATAAAAGCAAACAAAAAAAAAAAATTATTTTGCACAAAAATCGCAATTGAGTTTCATAAAAGATGATAGTTTGAATCTAAAGAGATAGATAGGGTAAATAGTTCCTTTCAGGCGGCAGTAGCAGTGGCAGTGGCAGTAACACTATCAGTAGCAGTGGCAGTGGCAGAGGCAGAACTGATTAACAGACCGAGAGAATTGTAGATGTCACCTTCGCTGTCGGTATAGGTACCATCACCAACAGGACACAAGTTCTCAGCTGATGGAACGCATGTGCTCGATGAGGCTGCGGCAGAAGCAGAGGTAGAGACATCAGCGGAATCAGAACCGCTGCTTACAAATTGGCCTCCCAAAGCGGCAATGGCACCAGCAGCAACAGCAAGCTCACCAGCATTCTTAACGCCACTCATTGCTTTAGATTTAATCGATTTAGAAGTTGTTGTAGCAGCTTTCTCGGCCAGATCAACCTTAGTTGGCGTGTCAGCAGACGATCCACTGTTGCTTGTTTTTTTGTTAGAAGAGGAGTCGCTGTTGGTTGTTTCGTCACTAACAGGTTTTTGTATACCTCCATTGGAGGAGCCACTATTTGTTTTTTCACCAGAAGTTGTTGTAGCAGCTTTCTCAGCCAGATCAACCTTAGTTGGTGTGTCAGCAGACGATCCACTGTTGCTTGTTTTTTTGTTAGAAGAGGAGTCGCTGTTGGTTGTTTCGTCACTAACAGGTTTTTGTATACCTCCATTGGAAGTGCCACTGCTTGTTTTGTCGTCATTGGATTTTGATTCAGCACTATTGGACGAGCCACTTTTATTTTTTTCTTCACCAGAACTGAAAGTTTTATCTTCTGCAGTTGTTTTCTTGTGAGTCTGTAAGACTTCTTCTGATTTTCCTGCACCTGCACCTACACTTGCTCTTTTGGCGAGAGCACCTTGGTTAGCGGCTTCTCGGTCTTCCAAAGAGCCAAGAGGATAAGATTGAGCAAGCATAGTAAGGATAGTGATTTGCAAGATCTTGGATAAAAGCATTTTTGATGTTTGTTCTGAAGAATAAGGATAAAAATATGTTTGTTGTTGTTGTTGTTGTTGATGATGATGATGATTATAATATAATTTGAAATATTCAAGTAATTGGTGCCATATTGGCATTATTTATATATTTCATTATCACAATCATCAGCAACTTCCCTATTTTTTTTTTTGGAAATGGCACTTCTGTTTCCCCTTTTCCAACGAACCCTTTTATGGTATTGTGGATGCAGTAGTTTCATTTTTATTTTTTTGCAACTGAAGTGAAGTTTCAAGTGCAGTATGACCTGCAGATGGGAGATTCCTTTGACGTCTTGACCATATCGGACAAAACACTGGCCTGAATTTTGCAGATTTTTTTGTTTTTTGTTTATTAGCAAAGATGAAAAAGATTTTATATAACTATGTATATTTTTATTAATAAATTGAACTTTGAATTGAAGAAAAAAAAAATATGAAATAGTACTATCCACGATGCAGGATGTTTTTTTTTTTCTTCGATAATTGCTGTTTTCAATTTGGCTAGTCTTTTTTGAAGCTTTTGCTATGGCAACGAGTCATATGGATAATGTTTCCGTTGTGTGGGCCTCGCAGAAAAGTCCTTGGATTTAGTTACGATAAGAAGGTGTTTCATACTGTAAAATAATGTATTGGAAATACTCTTATAACCGATAGAACCTTCCATAGTAGATGGCACTATTTAGAAATAAACCATTCTATATTAACCAGAAATCTATAAAAATAAACCCTTCCATAGTAACTAGAACTATATAAAAATAAACCACTTCATTTATCCAGCTATAAATTTCTTCCTAACGCTACATTTTTGAACTAAAGTAATTTTCTCGAACAAATTGGGCTCAGAATTAGACCCTAGGTTACTGGACAAATAATCTTTGGAACACTCTCCAAAATAGTATGTAATGACCAAATTTCTATTCTTACCAAACATGGTATCAAATTTTTTGTTAGCAAGTGATTGCAGTTTTCAATTATGTCTGAAAATTTCTCATTTTATTGAATTGAACATTATTCAAGATGTCCAAAGACTGTAATTTGGTTAAATATTCCAACTGTGCAAACTCGCTGCGGAGAGGCATCCATAGTGTGAGATTTTTCAAATTATTCAAACTATAAAAACTAAAAGTTCCTTCTTTAAATTTCACATTAAACAATTCAAAAGGGAGTTTTTTTACGGTATCCATGTCACTCTAATACTGATAGAAAATCAACGAGAGAAATATAAAGAATCATTAAATTTTTAAGATGAGCTGATTAATTTATAGTTCTAGGAACGAAAATCTCATTAATGCGGTGCCTCCATTTCCTTACCTTTCGAGTAGACGCTTTCCCCAAAAAGTCGAAACCATTTTAGTGAGTGCAAGTAGTATGACCAATTGGATCTGTAAGCTCAATGAAATAATCTCATGTAGGCTATTTTTCTAGAAAACTTTAAGCTTGGGGAGTCTTGAAATTCTAAATCAATGACATACTTACCTTCTGGTAACCTTCTGGTAAGTATGTCATTGATTTTCATAACGCCAACCAGGCATACCATAATAATTGGTTTCCTAAGACAAGGCCAACCAAAACTTTCAAATTTATCGGAACTTCAGTATTTTTATTTTTTTCTTGATTTTTTTGATTTCTATGTAAAGAAAGCTTATTATAGTGTTATTATAGTGATAGTTAAAAAAAATAAATGATAATAAAGATAGATATATAGAGTCATCCATGTCATCAGAAAGAGAATCATTATCCACCATCACTATTTTTACGTCAAGTTGAGACAACAGTATCATATTTTCTTCTTCTTAAAGAATAAGATTAAATACAGTGGCAGGCTGTCCAATCGCTTTTCATTTTTTCGGTTATTGAAATAAGTCACTGAGAGATTAAAGTGCATATGCAAAGAAATTGTGTACTTAACCTTGCGTTGTGAGAGTTAAGAGAGCATCTATCTCACCTTGGAAAACCAGAATCGAATTAATTAAAAGACATTCTAGTACGAACCTCAGTTAGAATATCCTTCTGAAATAATATCAATTTCCCGTAGACCATATTAGTTCTCGAATGATATTTTAATTCTAAAAATTTGCAATCCGTAAACCATTCAATCAAAGCCGTTATCCAATGCCCTCTTTAAAAGATAAAAACCTGTAGTTTCCTGAAATATAAAGTTTCAAAATTCATGAAATATATTGTTGAAGCCCAACTATCGATAATAGATCATCCTGACTAGGCTAATGATCACTCACAAGATTATAGAAGTCGAAGAGTAACTCAGAACGACGACATATAATATTTGGGTTATACCCCAAATCAACGGAATCCAAGTATTCATTGTCAAAGAACCCGTTCGGTACGTTGCTGCCAATAGCAACCCAACAACTGATCCAGAGACTACCGCTTGCACTTCTCCCCACGCAACGTAGAACACAACGATGAATAACCCTGTAAACACGCTACGTTGACAAACCGCAGCAAGCACCCCGGAGGCCAAATAAACTGCTCCAAAGACTATCATGGTCCACCATAGAGTGAACTTCCATATATCTTGGAAGTAGAAAAGATATTCGGATGCCACGTCGTCCGTCAGAAAAGACATGGTGAGAGAGGGAAACTTTGGGGCAGTATATCCTACTGCAATATTCGCAGTAGTAATATATGGTTTCATTTTTTAACTGATTTGTTTCTTTGCGTGGAATATATCTCGTTACTTGATCTTATTCCCATTCATCTTGTAAATAAAACTTACTGTTTTGTTTTTGTTTGCACACGTGACAAAGGAGCAATACCTAAATCATAATATACTTTGAATATCGGTAGATAACATAATATTTTCAATTCCTAAAAAATCTGTAGTATTCAATAAATATATTACCGCTAGTACAACCAAAACCTTCTCCAACTTGATATCACTAGTGCTTTTCTTCAAGCTCAAATTATTAGAGAAGCCTTAAGAAAGCCATGTATAGATAGGCTCCGTAATTCCCAAAGGCTGTTTCACACACACTTCAAGGCCGTGCTTACTGAAATGGGAACTACTTTTCTCTAAAGCGGTTGTTGTGTATATAATATGATCATTGATACCATTAGTATCGAAAAGTAACAAAGAAACAAACTTGTTTCTCGGCATTGATCTTATTGTCAACAACACTGTCATTTCTATCAACTGGTCAAGTTATATTCAATATATTTTAGTTGCTGAATTCGGTGATTCCAAGATTAACCCAGCCAACAATCCATTTATTATTTATGTTTCTATCAAACTAGCTGATCTAAGACAGATACCAAAGAATATGTCCATTACAAGGCATTAGTCGGCCAAGTCCAATGGGTTATCAATACTACTCGTTTTGATTATTTTTTTTTTACGCCAGCCATGATTTAGCCTATAAATCCAATTCTAACTCCTATATACGACTTTTAGTGATGGTTCTCTCAATCTTGACATGTCAACTATGGGATCTGTGATCGTTGCTTTTAATACAATTATTGAATAACATGGCAGTACAATGAAAGTGACCCATGCGTCAACATATGATGGAGTTGGCAATGGAAAATTGAAATAGATGCGATTTGACCTCACTACTCTTTCATTAGTGTTTACCATATGAGCAAGCAATTTGTAACTGATTTTCACTAGTCACGGTGGATACAATAGCTTTGGTAATTTTGCTCATAAATGATACAAGTTTTCAAGTTTAATGCATGAAGTTAATAAGTGGTGTATCACCCGTCAAGTGTCAGGACTCTTTCATCATCCAGTTTCTGTTGCCGTGGAAATTAGTACTGGATGGAAAATTATGAATGAATTGGAGCTCCACCGATACTTTGAGAGTTGAAATGGATTTCGATTGAGCCCATTGTCTGCTACAGCATACTACATTCTGGAGTAGAGGAATGAGAAGGAAGGGCTTTAGCAGGAAACTAAGCAAATAATAATAACAAGAAAAAGCCTTCTTTCTCCAATAATAGTAACCTGAAAAACTGAAAAATATATTAGAAAAATAAATAGATAAAATAAGTCAGTAAGTTTAATAAAATCATTAATTAATTATCTCAAGATGTATAGTGAAATTACAAGCCTCATAAAGTTTTATTAATTGATTTCCTCATTTTCCTCATTTTCCTCCTTGACAATACCAGTTTCTTTTAACAATGCGTCAATCTCTGAAGGTTTCCATATCTTGGTGACGATCTTACCATTCTTCTTGCTCACGGTGGCAAGTTCAATCTTTCCTTTAGTCAATGTTGTACTGTCCATAGTCTTACTTAACACCTTCAACACCAATTCTTTGGCTTCCTTCAAACTAATATCTTCCTTGTAGTCTTGCTTCAATAATGTCTGGGCCGCAGAGTTATTAGCACCGACACTGGTGGCTTTCCAACCACTATAGTTACCTGATGGGTTAGAAGTGTATAACTGGAAGCCGTAACGGTCGTCGTAGCCAGCGTAAATAAATGACACACCAAAAGGTCTCAACCCACCATATTGGGTATAACCTTGCTTGATGTCACAAAGACGATGAACTAACACTTCAATCGGCACTGGTTCATTGTAACGGGCAAGATATTGTTGGGCGTACACTCTAGCGGTATTCACCAAGATCCCCGCATCAGAATTGAGCCCAGCCACTGCGGTGACACATTGATCATTGAGGACATACATCTTTTCAGAAGAGTCTTTCTCAAGCAATTTTGAAGTAACTTTTTTCTCGGCAGCAAGAACGATACCTTCATTGGAAAGTACACCGATCGAAGTACCGGCATGACTTATGGCTTCAAGAGCATATTCAACCTGTAATGTTAGTATGAAAACAAATTTCACAATATGTTTAGGTATCCATTGCGCCATATTCCATATCTTTTTGCCACTTTTATGGCCAATGTTGGTGAGTTCGCCACCTTGATCCGCGATATCTGCAATTGCCATCAGCTATTCAGCGGAAAAATAAATCAATGAAAAAACAACAAATGAACGATAAAAAAAAAAAGAAGAAGAACGTACCTGATAAAGTCTCCCTTCCGGAGAGAAAATTGTCGTTCTACTATCGTATCTTCTTGAACCCATGGTGAATTAAATTATGTGTTTTGGTGAACATCTATTTTACCTTACATCTGGATTTGTTAACCTTTCAATATTTCAGCTTTTTCCCAGCTGCAACATTTACCCGGTCTAATTATTATTGCCTCCCGTCCCCCACATTGAACACATACAAAAGTATTATCATCAATATTTATGTATAATATTGTTCATTAAAATCATTATATAAATTAGAATTAATAAAATTACCTTATGAGTAGTGTATATAAAATGTTAGCAAATAGAAAAGCAATCGTAAAAATATAAAAAATGTCATAAGCTTCATTGATATCCTTTCATCAACCCAAAACATTATTCGTTAGAAATCAAAATAAGTATCAATCTACTCTCGCCCACTGATTTCCAAATACCCCAATATGACTAAACCACGCCATTTCATCTACATATTCACCATCCTCACCAGAAACTTTTATCAAAATTGCATTGATAATATTGATATAATGGTCGTAAAATACTTCATCGGATGTATCATCATCATCATTATAACCATCATCTTTAGATGAATTAATTGGATTCGATATTGATGTAGCCAAATCACTGTTGTTCTGTGCATCAAATAAAGAGTTATCACTTATTGTTGAAATACTAGTAACGCGGCTCGTTGGTTGGTTTCTAACCTCTTGCCTCTTCGAATCATTACTTGTCTTAATATTGGAGATTGGCGATTTATTGGAACCACTGTTTTTCTGTTTAACTAATTCGTTTCCTTGTTTATCCTTCTTCACGGACTTAGAATCATTTCCTTTTGGCTGAGACTTCTCTTCAACTCCTCTGCTAGTAAAGTACAATCCTCTTGCCACTTCCAATTTTCCAATCCAGGGAAGCAATAGACCTTGTATGACAACTTGATATTCGGAGCACGCCAAATCAATAATCTTCTTAGCGTGCAAAGACTTAAGCATTGAGCAGATCCAATGGACTGATTTGGTGGCAAGCTTATAACGCTCCGATATATCAGCAAAGGACGTATTATCGCTATCCAAATTACTTGATCCTTCTGTTAAGCTATTTGCTCCATTCACAGAGTTATGTAAATTAGCAATCTCAGATAAACTCACCGAAGCCATACTGAAGAACTCATGTAGAAGAAAAGAGCGCTCTAGTCCAGAAAGAAAAACCTGGTTATTCCCGTTACGAGAAAATCTGAATGGAGATGTAGAGTGGTTATTTGATAATGATGAAAATGTAGCTGCCTCAGGCTTCTCTGTGATGTAATTTGGCTGGTCTATACCTCCAATAACTAATCTGTGTACATAATCTACCAATCCATAACTCGCTTCACAATGGGCTACCACCCAAATAGTCTTTTGTCTCCATCCGTTACACATCAATAGTTCATCCAATATTGACAAAGTAGCATTCGAGTTGTACCTTAACATTGAATTGAGTAATCCTTTGGTAGAGCTTAAAAACTCATAAATCAAAGAAATCTTTGGAAACAGGGAAGTACACGCTTCCGTTACGGAATTCTGTTGAAAGCTATTGTTGTTACCAGAAGCAACACTACCTAATGAGCCTGAAATTGTGGTATCAGTATCCATATCACTGGTTATGGTTGTATCGGTATTTTCAGATTGTGGAGGAGTGTCACTAGAATTAGAAGGAACGTAAGTTGACTTCCCATTGAAAATTCTATTGTCTTGGCGCATTTTCGCTTCTATTTGCTGTTCATAATACCATGTTACAACGGCAGAGACGGACCTAGTTACTTTTCTCTGCAATGAGATATTCACTTGATCTTTGGACATATCGATCATTGCGCTTTTCAAATCTTCCCATGAGATGAAAATATCATAATCAAATTCATCATCACTGAAGTCCTCATCACTATCATCACTATCTTCATCGGTATCATCACCATCTGATAAATCTGATTGACTATGGCTGGTGATTTCAGACTTGGAAATTTGTTGCAAATCTCGCTCAGTATTGAAGAAAATATTATCACCTATTGGCATGTCATTGAATATTTTAGAGGCATCAGGGAAACTATTACTTTTGACAGGGATAAATTTTTTGGCGCCAGTTACAACTCCTTTAACATCAACTTCATCAGATCCTTCTGTTGTTTCTGCAGGAGTACTCTTATTATTTTCGCCATTTGTATTATTATTAGATTCATATTCTCCGCTTTCTCCGTTGTGGAAATGATCATCGTCTTCCTCCTTCTCATCTTCACTTTGATCGTCATAAACACAATAACACCTTGCAGTATACTCCTTCTTTACGTAAATACTTTTCTGAGCAGAATTTTCAGCATAATCATTATAATCACTCCCATCATCCGCCATTTTCCCTGTATCGCTCTCCTTCATCTTATTATTAGTGACATTACCCTCATTATCGTAATCGGAATATTCTTCTGCTGTATCCTCCTTTAGAGCAATCATCTGTTTTTGTTCAGCTTCCTCTTCCTCCCCATCCTCATCCTCCTCATCTTCTTCCTCGTTATCATCTTCTTCCTCGTTATCATCTTCATCATCGTCAGAAAATTCATACTCAAACATATAAAGGACATCATCGTCCAAACTATCCAGAGTTTCTGTGTCCAAAAACATTTCCCCAATTCGATTCAAGTCATATCCCAAGACTACCAATGCTGACACATATTTTCTGATATCTTCCGTTAATGCTCCTTGACCAGCTTTACGCCCAAATGGCATCATGAAATTGTTTAAAGATTCGTGTGATATATCATGTACTCTTTTATCAATTTCATCATTCAATATTGTGGCAAGCACAGATCGAACTGCCGCCGCGCCTTTCACACAACACCTTAAGGGCCAAGGAGTCCCAAGACCATAAACCTCCTCATCAAGCCGATCAATTAAACAACCGAGAGAAATTGCCTTTGTAAGAACTTTCCAGGTCTTGAGAAAAAAAATCATAAAAGGATTATAATGTAATGGGGTTTCTTGATTTTCCATTTCATTGGCTGTTGATGAGAGCTTTGGCGTAGGGTAATTTTGGTAGATCTTATACATTGAATAAGTTGATACTGCAAGTACACTCCATAGTAATTCCACATTCATTGGCTCCAAGTTCCAAGGCATCCAATCGTAAAAACCTTTTTCATACATTTGGCACCCATTAAATAGGGCACGGTTATAGGAATTGAATGCTGATTCTCCATCGATATCAGCACGAGAATACACATCATCAAATAAATCTGTGAATGATCCTGAATCATTAAATTTCAAAGATGAATTACTGTCCTTTTTTTCCAAGTTATCTTTTTTCACTTGGTCAATCACCAGTTGCAAGAAAATCTTCTTGCAACATTCAACCACCAAGCCACCATCATCTCCCAATATTGCACTTCTCTTCAACCATGTAGCTTCGCATTCAGCATCGGATTTATTGCCGTTGCCTAGCTGAAGTAAGTCAAGAATGGCTTCGGCAATCCTTGCAAGCTTGAAAGCAGTGTCAAATTGTGGGGTCAAAGAGCTGTATTCATATATTTGAAGAACTAGTAAATTGCATGTTAGATCAAGACTAAGATTGAAATGGTCATTATTCGCGGGTTTCGTCAATTTGTCACATAATACACAGGCGGTTGTGAAGGCGTGGGAAAGACCGTCGTCGGCATCTAACTTCATCAATTTGGCAAGAATCTTGTGCTTCTCAAGCTGGGTATCCACTATATCAAAATCAACATGAGATAGTCTCGACGAAAGGATCTCATCCCAATCAATGGGAGTTCCTCCGTCGAAATCAACATCTGAATCATCATCGTCATCATCACTCTCAAGGTTTTTTTCTGATGTTGGATTAAGATTGTGACTTGATGTTGGAGATGACGATGGACGATTTTTGCGCTGGAACGCCTTTTGAATAATATCGTTCAAGTATTCTGTATTATCATCGATCGTCATCATTAATATTCTCAGCTAGGACTCATCGGGGTTACTATATTCCGGTTATATATTGATATTATCATTAAGAAATCCCAAAACATCAACCGCTCACTTTGGATATTTTTTTCTGGTTTGTCGGTTCAAATACAGGGTGCATGCTACCAACCATAATCACCCCCTTTTATAATTCCAACCACTATGAATCGTCGTTAATTAGGATAATGTCTTGCTATACTTATTGATGGAAGGATTATATTATTCCTGTTGTTATCATAAATATGTAGATCCAATGGTTTGTTTCTATTAAATTGAAATGTTGGCAATGGTATGGAATTGAATCACTGGTGGTGAGCTGGTGGGTTCGTCTGGTACTTCTGGGATATGATCCCCGTGTAATGATTACCCAGTTATTTCTTACTATATTCTATCAAGAATTCAACAAGATAGATGACCATTAATACATAAAAAGAGCTGAGTCTTCATCAAATATCAATGAAGTTACATGAAAAAAAAAAAGATGCTTTGTATCTACACTAACTACAAATGAACCTGCTATTCACCCATTCTTAAAACCACCACTCAAAAAAAAAACAATCCATTCCAAACAAAAAAGAGAACTTTGGCCACCCACTGACCACCTACTAAGCGTTGGATGTTGAAAGAATCAACAATGTAGAATTGCGTGCGCGTAGTCGCAAATTTTTAGTGGCAAAAAAAAGCCAAAGAAATGTAGGAGAAAAAAAAATGCAGAGGCAGCAAAGATATAAGGTGGAAGCGTTTCTGACATATCTTGTGAATCTGGACGGGTTAACCATTCTGTAATCAAACAATGAACAGAATCTCTAATATTATTTCAAAACTTGCCCTTCCTGTGGGTATTGCCACCACTGCAGCCGCCTATTCGATGTATGATGTCAATGGTGGTGAACGTGTGATTATTTTCTCCAGGCTTCAAGGTATCAAGCGTCAAGTTGTTGGCGAAGGTACACATTTCCTCATCCCATGGCTCGAAAAGCCAATCAAATTCAATATCCGTACTAGACCTAGAAGTATCAGCACAAACACCGGGTCCAAGGATTTGCAAATGGTTAGCTTGACCTTGCGTATTCTCCACCGCCCAGATGTTGAAAAGATCCCATCCATTTATCAATCTTTAGGGCTTGATTACGATGAAAGAGTCTTGCCATCTATCAGTAACGAAGTTCTTAAGTCTATTGTCGCCCAATTCGATGCTGCCGAATTGATTACTCAAAGAGAAGTTGTTTCCGCTCGTATTCGTCAAGAACTCAGTGAAAGAGCCCAAGAATTCCATATCAGATTGGAAGATGTCAGTATCACCCATATGACTTTTGGTAATGATTTCACCAAGGCCGTTGAACAAAAGCAAATTGCCCAACAAGATGCTGAAAGAGCCAAGTTCTTGGTTGAAAAAGCTGAACAAGAACGTCAAGCTGCCGTCATCAGAGCCGAAGGTGAAGCTGAAGCTGCTGATTTCATCTCTAAAGCTTTGCAAAAGGCTGGTGATGGTTTGTTGTTGATTAGAAGAATTGAAGCCAGTAAAGAAATTGCTGAAACATTGGCCAGCAGCCCAAATATTACATACTTGCCAAATGGTGCCAAAGAAGCTCAAGGTACCAACAACTCTTTGTTGTTGAACTTAGGTAGATAAGTAAGTCCTCCCTTATGATGTCATTTAAGATTATTCTTCGACATTCTTGAACTTTTTTCCAGCTAATGATCTATCAAACATTAATTTTGCTAGTCACTAAGCGTCTTTGAATGTTATTCATTTGTAAATAGTTGAGACTAATGTAACGACGGTTTAAATTTTTTCCAATTCTTCAAAGAGTTTGTTGTGTAAATATTTACATGTTTATCAATATTATAATATATAAAATGTAAAAATATTTATATGTTTAGAAAATGTGCACTCATTAGAAATTTAGTTCATAAAACGGTAAAAATAATAGGAATTGAATAAAATCAAGAAATAATAAAACAAATGAGAAAATTAAATAACATGCAATAACAAAAAAAAAAAAAAAAGTAATTTAGAGGAAATTGATTAAAAAAATCACTGCAAAGAATTAATAAACCATTCTGTCTAGGCTCTTGGAGGCTTTTCCCTTAACAAGATTCTTTCTATAATTTATATTGAGAGCGTTTTTTCTTGTCCCTTTTGTCTTCTTCAATCTTTTAAAATTGTTTTGAGCAACGGTACATGCAATCTTCTTCACAAAAAGTTCCACCACTTTACCTTTGAATGCAAAACTATTCCACAATGATCTCTTCACAACAGCATAAAGTCGCTGTTGGACTTCGATTGGTTTTTTGTTCCAAGTTTCCTTTGTTGGCTTCCCACCATTAAGATAAATCAACTGAGTAGTGACTCTAGAAACTCTTTCACCATTAATCAAAATATCCAATCTATTGGCGATCTCCTCGATGATCAATTCAATGGATGCCACTACTGTTTGGTCCAACCCAAGAATGTTGGCAAGCTTTTCCCTTGATATGTTATCGTAGACGTAAAGCTTACCACATTTTTTGGTACCCTTAAAATATCGGTGCTGATCGAAGAAGGCATTTCTTTCTTCAGAAACCGTTTTCCCATTGGTACCCATGGTTTGAGTGTACTGTAATTTGGAAAACAAATTATCACACTTCAAAGCAAATTCAAGAGCAACCACCATTCCGTAGTAATCATCTGAGTTGATACCATATTGGTGTTCCCTATAGAGCAAATCGTATTCTGAAAAGAAGGTTGCGAGAAATTGATCTGGGAATTGTCCTAAACATATTTCTTTGAAGTGTTCTGGTTCAGATTTGGAATAGAACTCAATACTTCTGGGAGAGCCTGGGACCACGTCAGGGACTGGGTGTTGCTGATGATACTCTCTGGCAATGTTTGCAATGAAATTCTCTTGAACGCTAACAGCATTACGGATTTTTTCTAATTCATTATCAGAAGTACTGCGGCGACTTCTTGAGTTGCCGTTACTATCATCGCTACAGGCTCTAGAATGCTTCTTTGATGGTGAGCCTGACTGATTTTGGATATTCATTTCTACTTGTGCTGATGTTGAGCAAGGGTCTTCCTGGGTATCAAAGATATCAATCATTGGTACGTCTTCATTATTGACGAGTCCTGAGGAAATGGCGCTCGAAGCTAAATCTTCTTGGACTTCCGGTGGTAACTGGGCCAAAGCATTCTCGAAACTCTCAAATAAATTATTTTGGTTGTCGCATCCAAAAGGCAAGGAGGTTTGCCTATCATTCGAGGATCCAGAGCTCTCATTTCCTTCAAGCAAGTTTTCTGAATGAGAACCAAGTAAAGATACTAGAAGCTCATCTGGAGATGAGCTGTCTTGAGATAAACCAGTAATATTTGAGGCTGGAAATTTTTCAAAAAATGATGGGTCCTCATCAGAGATCCCAAAAAGATCATGAAGTGATTTTTTTACTGCCAAATCCATTTCTTGGTCTTCGTCTTGCAATTTCACAGCTTCAGGAATAGCTTTCAAAGATTCACCTTGAGGAAGTAATGTCAAAGTGTCACCCTTAGAAGGAGCTTCCAATGATCTTTCTGGATTAGAATATGCGAGTATATCAGCTACAAAATCATCAGTTGAATATTGAAAATAATCCAATTTTTCTGTTGAACCCCAATCTCTTGCGAGCATCGTTTCGGAGGATGATTCTTCTTCAGAGGAGCAAGAGGCATCAAAGTTGAACATATTGTTAGAGGTGGAATATTTTTTATTAAAGATGATGTTTAGTTTATCCAAAGGTGTTAAAGAGAGTCGAGAGATCTTGCAAAAGAAATGAAAGTGGTAAAAAATCTATTCTTTTATATTGTTTTTGAATACTATCATATTCTTTTTTTTTGCTCTAAGATCTAAATATTGCTCTCAAAGCAAAATAGCAAGGTGATTTATTCCAATTTCCCAAAATATTCCGAGAGCAATTAAGAAATTGTATTCCTGACCTTTAGATAATTAACCAGGATTTCCTTCAAAAAGAAATCCAGCGGAGAAGCTGAAAAGCTTTGTAAGAGAAGTAGATTAAGAAAAATGCTTTCATTCATACGTGGAGGGCTAAGTTAGATTTGTCTAATGTCGCAAAAATTTGGCCTATACTATCAAATATCAAGGTTGATTCACTTATAATTATCCATTATTTGAATATATTTCCCACATAATAAAAAACAAAGCCGTCGGGGATCTCATCGATGAGCAAATCTGATGCTCATGCATGTTGGGGGACGCCCGCAACTCATCATGCAGGTAGCACATGCAAAAATGATTGGAAAGTGACACAAAAAGAGACTTCTAGCAGATCAGGGTGAAGGATTATAGCCAGATTCGTACAATATCGAGCAATATAAGCAAGAACCTCTGACCAATATAAGTAAACAATATTCATTTTAGAAAGTTCTGAAATTAGGACAAGCAATAGGAAAGTTGACAGCTGCGTTTCTCTTAACTCCCCATTTTGTCAATTAGTATTTGCAAGACTAATGTCAGTGGAAAAGACTCAATAGCCACAGACAGAACAAACCCACATATAAATTACTGCTTGATTTATTTTTTAAATTCTCGATACTTGTTACTGACCTGATATATACAAGTCCTGCTAAATCTTTCTTCCTTTCGGCCCACTGATTTGACATAAGTCTTCAAGAAGCGTGAGTCTGATGCCACTTACTATCGACCCCGAAAATATAAATATCACAAACTAGCTTCGCAAACAATAACTAAAAATTTCTTCCTCCTAAAAGAAATAAAAATAAAAAAAATTACAATAATAAAGCATACACCATAACATTGGGGAGAAAAATTGAAAAAAAAAAATAATCTATATTGCACATAAAAATTCGTTATTCATTAAGGTTCGTCACACACTTCTTCATTGAGATTATGATGGTTTTAGTTATTTCCCAACACCAGGTATACTTCATACAAAGTAGAAATTCTTTCTTTGGTGGGTAAAGCTTGGTACAACGTGGTTTCTCTCACAGATTCAGGTACATTGAGGACTTTTTCCACATTCGCAAGAGCACATCGGGCCTCATCAATTGTTAGTTTTGATAGTTTCCCCACTACTTGTTCTTGGAAAAGTTGTAATATTTTGGACATGCGACCCGAGTCTTTGGATATTTCGTTGATACTCACACGCAAAATTTTAGAGTTTATCAAGAAATTATTTACAAGCTTCCGCCGCTCACCAACAGGCTTCTTCTTGAGAGTGGAAAACTCAACATAAAGTCTTTCACGGTCCTTGTCGGTGAATGAGACATCAGAGAAACCTGGCGATGATCTATGTCGTCTCTTGAAATCAATGTAAAGTTTGTTCGCTTTGAAGTTTCTTGTTAAGAAGTCAAGATACTGAACAACCAGATTCTCCAGTACCTCAGGAGATCTCAAGAAGTCCAATGATTCCTGGGTTTTCTCATCATTGCCAACCACGGTATTAGTATCTGTGATACCAGCTTTATTATTGGTAGCAGACAAGGTGATGGTGCACCACTTATTAAAGATCTCTTTCCTTTGAGAGTCTAATTCAATGTTCAAAAACCTGGGGTCGCTGAAAATTTTTTGAGATTCTGATTCCCATGCATTGTAGGGGTTCAATTGGAATTCCTGTAACAATTCAATGAAATTTTGAATCTTTGAGGGATCGAGACTCTTACTGTCATCTTCGATTTCATCATCACTGATATCATCAAGCTCATCCAAATTGATACCGTTTTCTACATCACTATCACTCTCAGATTCTGACCCAGTTTCATACTCACTGGAGGACTCGTCTTGTGCCTCTAGATCTATTGTTGCTGGTTCAGCTTCATCATCAGACTTTTCATTATCATCGTCGCTATCATCACTATCATCGTCGCTATCATCACTATCATCAGAACTTGCATACCCCGAGAGCAAGCCAATTCCTTTTTGAGTTTCCGATTTCTCTTCCTTTTCTGAATTGACAGCGGGTTGGGGGGTTGCTGCCACTTTATCCCTGTTTTCATTATGAGCATTAGTTACTTCCTCTGATTTCTGTGCAAGAATTTGCTCTGCATCTTCTTTCTTTGACACATCCTTCTTTTTCTCTTGTATTCCAGTTTGCAGTTTATCGAATACCTTCAAACCTCGGGCCTTGGCAATCAATACAAGGATCTCTTTTCTGTCCAATTGATGGACTAATCTTCCCACATCATCATTGGGATAATTCCAAACAGACTGGTTTGTCACTTTATTGTGATAGAACCGGTGACCGGTAGAGGTTATAACCAAGCTCCAATCAGAACCTTCCAAATCCACTTTGAATTTTGGAAGCATCTTTCAATGCACATCATCGGCTCCAGGAGTGATGAATAAGCTGAAGCTGAAGAAGAGAAAAAAAATAAAAAAATAAAGCTTTTCGATATTGTCATGTGACCAAAATACATACTGTTATTGCCGACTTCGCGCGATTATGGCTTGTAGTAGGGTAAGATCTATCTGGTCAGTGGTAAGCAGCGGCGGATAGAGTCTAAGAATATCGGATTTAAGATAATTCTGGAATAATACAAACAATAACTTAATAAAGTTAACAGCGTAGTAAAATATAATGATTGAATAATGTTCTCTGTTGTCTTTCAAAAAGTAGTAGAGAGTTATTAAAAGTAGAATACGTAAAAAGTAAGAAAATATGTGTTAGAAGTAATGGTGTTATGGCTACTAACACTCAAGTGTGCGGTTAGCAAAAAGTGTTCAGGTACGACTAGTGCAACACGAGATTATCACGCGTATAGCACCCCCTCCCAAGAAAATGGCTCACCGAATCGGGAAGACCGGCGGTCTGCAAGAAACAAAGGAAAAGAGCCTCCCGTCACATCCGGAAACGCTAAATTTTTTTTTTTCCTTATATATTATTAATAAGGATGCTTTTTTTTTTCTTTACAGAGTAATAACTTGTTTTTCTTTATTCCTCGCTGTATTGTACAGATTTATTTGTTTCCAAATAAATCAGATTGTTTACCAATTGTTGACACAAAAAGCGTTCTCAAGTGACAGGCTTTGTCTTGTTATTGTCTACTGTTTTGCTTTTTCTTTGCAGGTTTGCTGGTTTGCTCTTTCTTGTAACAAATTAGATACGCAGAGAATATATAAAATTCCTAAGAAAGATCCCATTTTTCTTTCTTTAATATTATTATCATAATCACAATATAATCCAATTATTTGAGTATTTTCCATAATGTCATCTCTTGCTGCTGCTCCCGCTATTGTTCTTAATGCTGGTTTTAACTCCACCACTAAGGCAAGCAATGTCAAAAGACAACAATTCCTTCAAATCCCATTCAACATTTTAGAGTTTCCATTGGGTTTCTTGTCGTTGTTTAGTTATCTCACTCTTTTGTTCTCATTCCCTCCTTCATCCAAAACCACCCTTTTCTTATCTTCTAACCTTCCATCTAATAACACTTCTAATATTGGGATCAACAGCTTTGTCTCCAATGTGGATACTGCCAATATGGGCAAAGTGATGAGTGAATTTGTAACAACACAAGCCAGCTCAGCGGTTTCATTCTCCTTCGCATACTCGCCAAAGGTGTTGATGTTTATATTTTTCGCCATGTTTTTTGGGTTCTTCTGGAGTGTGCACCAATCCGCCATTAGTCAACACCGTTATTTGATTCCAAAACTATAAGCAACCTACTAAAAAATTGATTATATTTTTATCACTATTATCCATTACATTTTTCTCAATTATGTGCTTTTGCTTTTCTCTTTACGGAGACCATAGGAAATCAGTACCTTTTTTTGGGGTGATGTGATTTCCAGTATTTCTATGATTCTTTGCAATTGAAGATTTCCAATTCTATTGACAAGAAAAATAACAAGGGTAGGTTAGACCCAAATTTTTTTCAAGTCAAATCTTCTTTTGCGCTTGTGATCTCTTTTTTTGCCAATCCTATTTTCCTTTCATCTGCTCCTGATGAGGTTTCTTATGCCTTTATGATTTTACACTTTACTATTCATTTATTCTACACCTTTACACTGGTTTTTTGGAAGGTTTTCTTTCTACCGTTTTTCTTCTTCTTTCTAATCGACCTTTTTTTGGTCTTAATATCATCATTCACATTAAGTTTTCTCCTTTATTCTAAAGATTTTTTTTTTCTTTTTATTTGATCTGTTGGTTGTTGGTTATCAACCAATAGTCATACTATTGCACCTTCGCTGGAACTTTTCCTTTTATATTTCTTTTGATTTCCCGTTACTATAATTTGCTAATTCCTATTTCATCATTAATTACCTATGTTCATCCCATGCTCTTAATGTGAGTAACTCATTAATCTATAGATTATAGATCATATATGATGATAAATAGCCATTTTAGTTGCCCCTATGTATACATGAAAATCACGCATAACGGATTAAGACCCTACACATCACGGCGTTACTAACTATTTGTTAGTCTCCTTTTCACAAGTATTACTACCTTTACCATTATTAGTTGAAACACCTCACATTCGTCATCAAGAGGGTGCTTGACTCAAAAATCATTAAATAAAAATCATGAAATAAAAATCATGAGACAATGATTAATATACCGGAGTTAAGAAAAATTACCAAACGTCGGTATTCTAATTCCGGCACCACACCCCGTATTAATTTGCGAATACGAAAAAGATTGAATAGAGCTCTAATTGGATAGTTAACCAATTAATTGATTCCATATGGGTAGAATAGTAATCAAAATAGACCAATTAGCAGAGGTTCTTGGAAAAAAAAAAAAAAAAAGGAAGCAGTGGAAGATGTTGTCGTAGTTAGTGTAATCTAATTCTTCAAGAATAAGTAACGAAAATATCAATCAAATAAATCTTAACCATCTCAAGAAAGTGAAATCATTATCGTGGCATTCATAGATAGATTTCAGATGCTTCTCACTGGTTATTTATTGAACATGCTGATCCTTAAATCAATTCATGTTGAAAAAAATGCTCAATGCAGCCAAACTTCGCAAAACAATACAAACTCCCCGCAGCAAGAAGTGTAGCAAATCTTCTGCAGAGACCATTAAAAATATATTTATAAAAAAGACTTTTTGCTTGTCAGCACTGACAGCCAATTAGTTCTACTAGCCAGCATTGGAGCGATCTCTTAGACCTGCATGAATATGCACAGGGAATCGAATCCCTCATATTTTTTATTTTTTTCTTTTATTTTTTTACCTCAACGTGTGTTTTTGAGCAAAAAAAAAAAAAAAAAAAAAAAAACTGAGAGACACGAAGAGACAGGTTCCTCTATTTTTACCAGTAGATGAAACTTACTTCTTAAGGCTCTGCAAATCTTGAAAAAGCCTTACAGGAAATAGAGATATTAGTATCCACCAGCATAATTATCATCTCTGAACCGATCAGTCCGGGAGTGATTAAACTGCTGTCATGATGAATACAGAAAAATCAAATCATTGAACATTTCCTTATATGTTTGTAAACTATTTTTTGTTCCCAGCATGCTGAAGCACAGTAAAAATACCCAGAAAGTTTCTTCAAAGTCTTCTTTAGTTTACCATCTGTAGTGGAGGTTAAATGTTTCTTGTCATAATCCGAGGTAATGCCTTTTACATGAGAATTGGTCTTGTAGTTATTGTATTGGTCGAAGCTATGTTTTCGGGTATATAAATGTTGTAGTTTGGTGTGGCATAGTGTTGATTTTTCGAGCCTAACGCGGCAATAACAGCGTGCAATATGAAATAATATCTACATGTAGATCTCAATCACGTTAACATCTTTCATACTTGTTGGAAGCTATAACAAGGCAGGGCCCTTCAAATAGATGAATAACCGAAATAAAAATGTGAGTATATCATGTTGACAGTATTGAATAAAAAAATACTAATTACTAGTTAATATGTATATACCAATGAAACGGTACTTTTTTATTGACACAGTATTCGCTGTTCATACGATTATTCTTTAGCAAATAATATTAGTCTACTCTCATTGAAACCAAGATTACTGAGAGATAATAATTATAAGGATATGCCATTAGTTAGGATTCCATTATTTGCTTGGCACGCAATTAGGTCTAGACTGACGCACGGAGCTCTCACATGCTATAGTGTATTTGAAGATTTCACTTATCCATTGCCAAGATCTCCCACTTGTGCGTCCTTGTGAGGCTTGACAATGTATTGAACCATAATAAAATATTTTTTCAGGAGAGCTCATGGAAATAATGATTTTGAAACTGACCAATATCTGCCAATAAAAGATGAAAACATCGAAGGGTCGCTCCATCGACGGGTAAGCAAACCTGATATCAACAGACAATTCACATTTCTACACAATATGCGCAGTAGTATACCTGATTGGTAAATCTGTGACAACCTCGCCTAACAATCTAATTGCCTTCCCCCGATTCTTCTACCTGATTAATAATGGCGCAATAGAAATATGACTCCTAACAATTCTGGTGGGATTTCGCCTAATTCAAGTTTTACAATAACCGTTTTTTGTTGAGCCGATGATGGTTGGTTGTCGATGATGACAAATCAGCACTACTGGCATGTATTGACTCTATCTTGCAAAATTGCCTTTATTGAAAAATTTCGGGAGTTATTTCAGTATAGGTTTAAGAAACTTCTATTTTGTTTTTTGGACCTAGATCGGTGTCCTATAATCTAACTGTGAATGGCGATGTGAAAAATGTTACATAAGACCGAGGAACTAACAGCCATTCATAGAAATTGTTTTCAGTATAATGATACCACTGAAGACTGGAGCTGGTAAATAGGGAAAAAGCACCTGTATTTGGAAGAATTTCAAGCTTAGTGTCAGGACTAGGAAATGATATCAAACATGAAGTGACTGGATTTTCTAAATTTGGAGAGCTTATGGCTAGTCAATTGCATGTTTGGATTAATTGAATTGAATAACCTATTATACCTTGAGTTACACAATGCGATAATTGATTAACGGACCATTGAATCATTGCCTAACCTGGAGAATTTGATTTTAGAATGAAATGACTTAAATGAAATTTAAAAACTTGGAGAGTTTGGAAAATTTAAAAACTTTGAAAATACCTGAAAGCACTGCTATAACCAAGTCTAATACACAATTTAATCAAACTAACAAGTTTCGGTTAAATCTGGGACACAGAATTAATAAAGCTGTCTTACACATCATTCCTAGAATGATGTTACTGGTCCATATGATGAGAAATTAATAGGAAATTCATATTGTTCAATATAGACGGAAATGCGGAGTTTCTGGTGATCCACTATGGTGAAACCAGATCCTAGTCTCATTTGCCTGGTCACACTGGAATTTTGAGCATAAGCTCAAATACTATTATTGATGACAACAATCATTTTTAAAGCATAAATGGAAACATAGATCTCTCTACGACAGAATATAGTAGCAACGATGAGATTTCATACCCTTTTTCTCGTGTGTGGGTGTGGGTGAGTCGAATTTCCGCAAAGTGATGGCTGAATAAATCAATAAATACCGCCGCATGCTGTATCTGTGCCCGATAATTGATACCATCATAATGGTGTATACATAATTGCCAATAATTACCACATCAATGGTATGTGTCACTAGTACACATTTAATTACCTATGTGCATGGGATTCATTAGGGAATAATATTAACGTATTCTTATTAGCGCAAGGATTATAAGATGATTCCAAAGACTTCTTGTCGGCAAAGCTTCCTTTCAGTGGCACTTTTATGGATAGGGATAAGAACGGGTTAACTTGCTGTTTTTCATGGAGAAAAGTTTATATCTGAGTGGATCATCGTCGGGTAAGTCATAACTAACAAAGCATTTTCAGAATTTACAACAATAACCGATCAAAACGGTTTTCATCTCGTCAGTCCATGAATGCCAAATGATGGTAAGCCTAAGACCACCTAATTATATTACTCTTCTCACTTTTATGTTGATATCTAATAAATAATGGAAAAATTACGCAAATTTCCGCCAGAGTTGCTAAGGCATATCTTCAAATATTGCCAGAAGTGTTGGTTGGTGCAACTACGAAATTTGGTCGTTGATGACCATCAGTCAACTCTATCGGAATGTATTGACTCCATTTTGTTTGACAGGATTGCCATTATTGATCACTTTCGTGAATTATCACAGTATAAATTCAAAAATCTCCCTTTCTATGTTTTAGACCCTCGATTGGTTCCTGATAGTTTGAATTTGGACAGCTGTGATGAGGATATTATTTCGTGGGGGGATATAATAGCCCTTGATAGGAATCTGATTCAAGATATATATGCGGTGGATAATGCTCTGAAATACGTGAGGGAATTTTATTTCTTTCAAGAACCTGGTGATATTTATAGTTCTGCTGAGGTAAAATGTTGTGTTGACTTCATTAATTCCGCCAGAGGATTAGAGCTCATTCACACTACAAGTGCGATCCCTGGTATTGTGGCACCAGTTAAAATAATGGAGATTCCTCCGAATGCTGCTGAAAAAATGCTACCAAATGTCCTCAGCTCCTTGGAATCCTTATCATTTCTTGAACCTACAGACAAAAATAAAAGGGACAGTGACTCTTGTAACTTGAAGTATCATTTTCCTCGATTGAAAAAGCTCCAGTTAGTGGATTTTGTGCGAGATTTTGATGGGTCTAAATGGAAACTTTCAAATTTGGAAGAATTGGAAGTTTGGTTCCTGGATGAGGGACTGGTTTCTAACATGGACTCGCTTTATTTCCCCAATTTAGAGAAATTAGAAATAGGCCGTTGCATTTCCAAATCAATTCAAATTAATAGCTTATTACGCCTTGTGATTAGGGAAGCAGGAATTTGTGAAGAAATCTTTGAATCATTGCCGAACTTGAAAACTTTGATATTAGAAGGAAACGAGTTAACTGAGATCCCAAATTTGGAGTGTTTGAAAAATTTGGAGGTATTGGAAATCTCTGACAATCCTGGAATCACCAAAGTTAATAGTTTGCATAGTTTACCGAAACTAATCAGTCTAGATTTAAGCCGCAACAGCATTCAATATATCAACCTAGATTCCTCCAAGTTTCCTAAATTGGAAACATTATATATTCTGCACAACAAGCTTACGTGCATGAATGAATTTAATAATATCCCCTCTCTTATCAAGCTTTATGCTAACAACAACCGCATCAATGATATTGTGAGCTTGAATTATCCCAAACTTAGGCACTTGAACGTTTCTCATAATTCTATCTGGGCTTTGAGAGATATTAAGAATGTTCCGTCTCTTGTTGAGCTTGATGTGAGTTACAATTACATCGAAGATATTTCATATTTACATCTTCCTAGCATGAAAGTGTTAATATTGCGAAGTAACTGTGTGTGCGATGTGAGCTCTTTGAGAAGTTTGCATACTCTCGAACATCTAGATTTGTCTTCAAATCTCTTCAAATCTTTTCACCAATTGGAAGCTATTGGGTATCTATCAAAATTGAAACATTTAGAGCTTGGTTCAACGTCCATTTCTGAAATGGAAACTTTAAATGTATGCTACCTTCCGGCTCTGGCAAAAATAGAAATCTACAATGCTAGTTTGAGAAGCAAATTTGACATCTTATTTCGCAATAACAAGGGGCTAATTATTTCTTGTCACCTTGGAACAGGATCAAAGGATCAATTGTTCAGTAATCTCACGAAGGATTATTGTTGAGACTTTTTTTTTATACTTATTTTCAAGTTGAGCATCTTACTAAAAATGGAAAGAAAAAAAAAATCATTTTTATAGTATGAATAGCTAATAGAAGTGAGGTATAGTAATAGACTATAAACAATACGAAAAGGGCATTCCATATTTCTCTCAAGAATTTAATGTCGTTAAAGATAACAAAGAAGACTTTAAAAAACATTACCACTGATAAATGTAAATTTTTGGTGTACCTGCCTCATAATTCATTGTAATTGTCAGATTCACCAGCATAAGAGTTATAGGGGTCGCTTTATTGGCTTGCAGAACTTTTTTCACTAGACCAGTTGTTATCTGTCTATTTACCTCTGTTACGCGGTGTGGATGTGTGATTATTAGGTAGTCAAAATGTTCCGTCCATGGAAACTGGAAGCTTTTAGCTATATAGCCCAACAGGATTTCTATATATGTAATTGTCTCAATTCTTCCAAAAATTTGTAACAAAAAAAATGCAAAAATAAGGGTCCAATGGTAAGAAATTATCAATAATGATGGCGAATTTTTCCAGAAACAGGCTGCATACCTGAAGAAATCAAAGAATAATCGGAATCTCGTTAAACTTGATGCGAGGAACAACTGCAACCTAATAGTGATGAAAAGCGTGATTCAATCTGTTTATATACTCCAGTAGCTTTTATAGGGCGTGTGCTTCTTTAAGTTTCCAGCGATAAGAAGTTTTTGTTTTGTATTGGAGCCGCCCGTTGTCCAGGGCAACGCCAGACTGTTGTACTGCACCGGAAGTACCAGTAGAAGGATCAGACTGATTATCCATTACAAGCAACAGAGGTTGAGGTCGGCAAGTAGTTGTATAATGAGATGTTTTAACTTCATTAAATCGTTAAATCCTACTACAGATTAAATTAGGCAAGTTTTAGAACATTTTGCGGGGCAACTCAATATTGAAGTTGTAAAATAAAGCAAATTAGGTATTTTATTTTTAAATTATCATTAAAGCTTCATATAATCAACAAATTAGTAATTTATGCAGGTTTAATTACTCTATATATTTTTAAAAAGTGTATAATGGGGATACTGAGCGAATTACCATTTGAATTGATTACCACGACCCTCGAATATTGTGAAAAATGTTGGTTAGTGCAATTGAGGAATTAGATTCAATAATCTTCCCTTCTACGTGACAAACCCTGCTCTGTTCACGGGCAATTGGAATCCATCGCTTTATTGTTTGGAGAATATATCAGATCAAGAGATAACATCTAATTATTGGGAGCTCATCCAAGATACCAAAGACATGAAACTTGCCCAGAGATTTGTTAAGGAAATTTATTTCTCAGACAAATTTCAAAATGATACAATTGCCAATCTTACTGAGGTCAGAAGTTTGGTTATTTATTGCCATCTTGGAAGAGACACCAAGTCCCTGTTTTTCAATATTGGGAAACACTTTTGTTGGTACAATTACGTAACTTGATGGTAGATGATCATCGAATCTTGCTTTATTTTATCATTCAATTCTGAATATCTAATTAACTTCTCACATTATTTGATCCCAGATTATTGATATATTGATCTTTACTCTCTTCTATTGGAGCACTGTCACGATTCACTGATGACGATCATGCATTCTTCTGCCATGTATAGGATTTAGTAGTATTTAACAAATTGCAAAGATGACACAGCAACCTCTGATGATTTTGTAAATTTTAAATTTTTGTTAGCAATGCTTTTCAATCAATGGATAGAATAAATAAGCTAGGGGATGGTGCTTTTATAATCATAGTAAAATCTTTTACAATTGGTGAAACAATTATTTATCTTCTAAGTTTTTTTTTGAGCGGCTAGTTCACAAATACGATTAGCGCAAAATGGTAGTGTTAAACGAATTACCTTTTGAGTTGATTAATGCTATCTTTAAGTTTTGCGATAAGCTTTGGTTAGTCCGGTTGCGGAATTTGGTTGTGGATGATAATTTATCGCTACTAGTAGAGTGTATTGATTCTGCGTTGTTTGAAAGAGTCATCATCACTTCATGCTTTAAAGGAACTAAAATCGATTTCAAGAGCTTCCCATTCTGCCTAGCGAACCCAATCATTAGCACTCAGTCCTGGTTTCCACCTTCCTATATTCAGGAAATTATGTTAGATCAAGAAGTGACCATTTGTAGTGCTGAGCTCCTCGGAAATGGCAACGCAATGGAGATCGTCCAAAAATACGCGAAAGAAATTTACTACTTAAGAGGCTGTTTTGATTTCCCATTTGAGGGTGAGCAAAGCTTCATTGATTTTATCAATTCTGCCAAAAAATTAAAACACCTTGGAAATTCAAAGGTGCTAACTGGGATCACCACCCAATTAACACAAATGGAGATTCCCCCAAATTTTGCCTATGAAATGCTCCCTGACACCTTTAAAAAGTTGGAATCATTAGCAATAACTGGATTCTCAATTGATACTGAATTAGGTGAGTATTTGAACCACTCAAGCCATGATCTTTCCAAATTGAAGAAGTTGAAATTGATAAACTGCATTAGCTTTTTTAATGGGTCTGAGTGGAATCTTTGCAATTTGCAAGAATTGAGAATTTCACGCAAAGAAGCGGATTCAATTTTGATTTCAAACATGAAATCTTCTTGTTTTCCGTTACTAAGAACATTAGCGTTAGGAAATTGTTTTTTGGCAAATGAGATTGGAATCACTGATTTATCAAGTCTTGTACTTTTCGATATGGATATTTCCAAAAATCCTGTCTCCTTTAACTCAGTTAGAAATTTAAATGAATTGTCATTGAGAAATGTTGAATTGATTGAAATTCCAATATTGTCGCACTTGCAAAAATTAAAATCTTTGGAGATCACCAAAAATAAGGAGCTTGTTGAAGTGAATAACAATTTTCTTGATCTATTAAACCTCACCAGTATCAATTTATCCAATAATAATATTCACAGTAGCCTTGTTGATTTTTCCATCTTTACCAAGTTGAAAGAATTGAATCTTTCGGAAAACAAACTTACCTCCTTAGATTATGTGGATGATATTCCATGTTTAATTAGGCTCAATGTCCGTCACAACGAGATTACAGGTCTTGGCAGGTTACTATACCCCTATCTTAGAGAGTTAGATATTTCTTGGAATCAACTCAAGTCTTTGAAAGAACTCAATAATCTTCCTTCTCTTGTTGATCTTAAATTCAATTCTAATAAAATCACTGATATTCCAAACTTCACGTTTCCTAATCTCAGAGCATTACGAGTGGGGAAAAACCCCTTGAGAGATTTGGAATCTTTGACCAATTTGACGAATCTTAAAATATTGCATTTGGGTAATATTGTGATTGAATCTTTCCAAAACTTGAATTTCATTAAGGATTTGGGGAATTTGAGGGGCTTATATCTCTTCTTAAATGGAATCAAAGAAATTGAATCGTTTCAGATTCGTGGCTTGCGAGCTTCTTTCAAAATCGAAATGTACAATCTTAAACTAAAAGAAAGTTTTGATCTGTTATTTGGTGATAATGAGAAGTTGACAATATATTGCCGTCTTGGAGCAGGGAGCAAATTTTGCCTTTTCAGCGGTCTCTTGATTGAGCCTCATAATGAAATGTATTATTGGAAATACAAATGATGCAGTTGATAACGAAATTCATCTCAGTGCTTGATTATGTGAAGCTAGGAACTGTACTGATTGGATGTTTTGTGTTGATGCAGTTAGGTTTAGTTCAACTATTCGTCTTTTTTAGGTTATATAATGATTATTTATTCCGTATAAGAGAAGAGGTATTCTTTTATTTATATAGTCAGAAGATGGAAATAGTATCCATTCTATTTCTTTTCTGTTTTGGCCCCATCCACTTGCTGTAATTAGATATCTAACTGTAGCAATACGTTCATTATAATTTCCTCCCAGTACCTCCCCAGTATGTGGTCTATATATATATATATATAATAAATATAGTATGTAAACCAGAATCGGTACACTTGACGTGTTTCTGCCTATCAATCTAGAAGATGCAACCAGCCTTGTACAAAATGATAATAATGATAAACAATTAAGTACATGCATATTGCTATGAGGTGAAATGATAAACATGCAAAAAATAAGCGAGCTTTTTGTAAACAGAAATGATTTCAAAAAAATAATTTCCAAAGTAGCAACCAATTCGCAAAATGAAGAAAAAATTATGTGTATATATATCGATAAAAATAAGTACCGACAGAGAATTGAAGAGAATGATTAATATCAAATAACGGGACGAAAAAGAAAAGAGAGAAGAAAAAAAGAACACAGAGAGATGTAGGAGAAAGAAAGTAGCCAGCACTTTTTAGAAATTTCTTCCAATTCTGATTTAGATGGGAAAATGGAATAAACGTGAAAAATTAACAAAGATTCTCTTGATGGGAACGTCAAGTAGAATGCACACACAGAACAAAAAAGAGCAATGATAACCTGAAAACCTGACCCCAGAAACCAGAATAAAAAAGAATAATTGGAAAATTTTCAAATGAAATAGAGAAGCAAGAAAAAAAATGCATAAATAATAGTGACACAATATAGTTACAACAAATCACAACAACTTTTCGAATCGTGGAGGAACATAAGCTTTCATAGCTGGACGAACTGGAGATCTAGTATAGCTTTGAATGCTTGTGATCTTGTATGGATTCAATGAATTGTGATCGAATTGATGGGTTTTGTAAGTGGTTGGTGGTGGTGATGGCAAGCCATTACCATTTGCGCCACGCAGGATAGCAGAACCTAAAGCAGAGAAAGGTGGTAATGTTGGGACAAGGGTAGGCAAGCTAGAAGCCCTAGGTTGATGAATGCAATGGGACCTAGTTGCAAGAGGAGATGTAGCAGTAGATGAGGTGGTACTAGAAGAAAAATAAGATTTATCTCCCAAGAAACATAATTCAAGACGGACATTCCCACCACGACTGAAAACCTGTTCGAGGTCTCTGTCAGTATTGATAATTCTTCCACCACTTGATTGGTCTCTCAAGGCTAAGACTTCACTAGCCCCAATAGAGAAAGCTTTCCGGGAGTTGTGTACCACTTCAAGAACCGTTGGCATTGCGGCGGTGCGGGAATCAAAAGTGAGGTCGATAGTCTTATCACGGAATCTAATTTCCACACTTTGAGGGGTAGCATTACCATTTTGGACACTTGAGACGGGAGGATAGTGATGAGATAATTTGATCACTGGAAAATCTTGAAGGATGGTTTCATGTAAAACGCACGCAAGAGGTTCCAACATTGGGCCTGGAGAAAAATCAAAAGCACATGCACCAATGAGATAATATAAAGTGGAAGTGGCCGCATCATCATTCAAGGTTGATATATCAGGAGTGGCGTAATCCAAGCTTCTTAAGACTTTGCCAATAATTTCCGGGCTACAAAGTTTGAGACGAATGTATTCGATTGAGCTAGAATTGGTGGCGGTTGGTCCCGGGAAAATGTGACACAATAACAACGCCACGGCACTTGGAATAAGTGATTTTCCCAAATGATATACACTAGAATTACTAGCGACGATCCAATCAGCGGCAGCAACGGCATCTGAACAGGTTTTGCTTTTCTTGATCATATCGAGCAATGCACGACGGCTGGAAGTTGCGTAAGCATGGATCAGGCGTGCCAAGTCTGGGGAACAATAGCCACGCATGCTGTCACCAACATCATCAACGTCGTGATTGTTGGTGGTGGTGGTAATGTTGTTGCTGGTTGGACTATCAGGCCCAGCAGCAGTGAGGGGCGGTGGATTATCTGGGAAAACTGGTTCATCAAGAGACAGTTTAACAAACGACCCAATAGCGATCCTTGACATGTCGTGCAGTGACAATTTTTGCTTTTTTGAGTAATTTGTGACAAATGATTCGACCATAGAGTCTTGGGAAAGTCGGTCCACGTTCATGATGTCATTTAGGAATTTATCTGGGCGACCAGTGGTAGTGATATTCTCGGTTGGGGCGGTACCATTGCTGATGGTGGTATATTTTGAGGCAACGGACGTGTCAGACGCATCAGATTCATCACCGGCGTTGACAGCGTCATCGTGGCCGTTATCATGATCACGACGTCTTTTATTACTGTTGCCGCTGCTAGGGTTACCGACATAGGACTTGATGACGATTGTTGCAGGTTCGCCAGTGTCATCATCGTCATCAGGATGTTTTTTCTTCGATGATCTCTTTCTGTTTCTTCTGATACTCTGAATTGCCGCCCGAACCAACTTATCAACGTCTTCTAAATGATGTTTGGCGATGCCGAACTCGATTTGCAAGCTTTCTGCCACGCTTTTAACTTGATGGTCCTGGTCGCTGGCCTTTTTGGTAAAGAGCTTGTTGTCCTCAATGAGTTTCAATCGGCGGGCCGAGAACTGCTTCCATCGGGCTTCATCGTGGAATTCGAGTTTCTGGCGGATCTTCGTGGTGACACCTGAGGACATGGTTTAATAAATTATTATTATTAAATTGATAATATAATACAATACTGATCCTGGTAGCAAGAAAGAAAGAAAGAAGGAAAGAACAAATTGCGGATATAAAAGCCTGAGTCAAAAAGTTGAGTCGCCGCCAAAAACAAGAAAAAAAAATATGGTGATTTGGTCACGTGACACGGCAAGTTCCAACGCCGTGGGAAAATCGCCGCGGACTAAACCTCCATAGTGCTTGCAAAAACCGTTGTCGGTGATACATTTTTATCGTTGGCTTTTGTCATATTAAATTAGCCTCTATTGTTTGGCAGCATTGTTGTTCCGTCGGATTGTGACTTTTAACTTTTTGGTTTGTGACTTTTGTGCGTGTGAGAGTATTACACCTCTTCTGGAAATGTTGAACCAAGCCATCCAAAGTGGGTTTGTCATTGGTATCTTATCAGTGGTGTCTGCTGCCTCTTGGGAACCTCTCCGGCCAATGCTTGATTATGGAAAGACCTTGAAGATTTCTAGTAAAAACCCTCTTCTAGATATCTACGTCCCCAAACAATGGTTTATCCACTTTTATCTCTTGTCCCTGGCCCTCTCAGGACTCAACTACTGTATACTACAATATCTGACTCGCGTTGATCCGGCATATATCTCAATGTTAGACTGGTGGTGTCGTGCGAATCCTCTTGATGGGGCCGCATGCTACGCTGCGATCATCGCGATGTCGATCCATTCATTACGAAGAACCGTTGAATGCACGCTGGTATCCAAGTTTTCCGACCATTCCAAGATCCACGTATCCCATTATCTCGTGGGGATCTTTTTTTATGCCGGTGTTAATTTAACGGTTACCACATCATTGATTGTTCATTGTATTGATCAACGTCCGCTATTCAACGACCCCAAACTATTTTTCTGCAACCCCATCAATGTTTTGTTGATGGCAATTTTTTTGGTGGTTCAGTATCGCCAATTTTGTCATCACAAGATTCTTTCCAAGACAATAAAGTATAACCATCCTCAAGGTGGACTTTTTTGTTTAGTGTCGAGCCCCCATTATTTCGACGAAATATTGATTTATTTAATCATAAATCTCTTAGTATTCGTCAATAGTGGAGTCAACATCACCTTTGTATTGGTTGAGATATGGATCATTGTCAATCTATCGACGTCAGCAATCAATACCCATAACTTCTACAGACAACAGAAATCTAAACATCCAAAAAGCTACGTGGCACCATATGCCATTATCCCATATGTATTATAAGCATTGTTAATAGATATTGTATAACATTTTGAACTTTGTCCCTTTGTAGACAAATTAAAGATTCTTTCCAAAGAAATTCATAAACCCCCCAAATCCGGTGGCCGTGGCTGCTGTTTCTTCTTTAATAGTCATCTTCTTTTCGGGTGGTGGTGGAGGCGGAGGAGTCGAGGCTTCTGTTTTCACTTCTTTACCAATTGTTGTAGTAGAAGGTTCATAGACGGTGGCTACCTTCGTTTTAGTAGCCTCATTCATCTCTTGTTTTTTATTTTCAATGACACTGATAAATACTTTCTGTTCCTTCGCCATCTTATTGACAAAATTAGAATATGCAGAGTCATACAGTCTTAATCCTTTGAAGAAATCCTTGAGTTTTACCAATGAATCGATTTTTGCAATGATATCTTTATTCGCCAGATCTACCGCCTCCAAGGCCTTGCGACTGGTGGCACCATTTACCACCAGCTTATTAACCGCAAGTTGTTCCACGAGGATATCCTCCAAGATTTCAAGCGAGTTGCGAAACACGTCGGGAGTGACCACAAGCGTAGAATCTTCTTCTGATTTTGTTAAACCATCTTCCCCGCTGGTCGGGGCTAACGCGTCTCCTGTTTTATCGCCATCTTTCTCCTCGGATTCTGAATTTAACGATATCGTGGCGATGAACTTTGCAGTTTCGAATAATTTGAAAACTTGATTCAATCGAGATTGCACCGTTCTCAACGATACAAGTGTATTCACTGGGAGATCCAGATCTTCTGCCCCCTTTTTAACCGTTCTATAGGCCTTAACCACATCCTCTGATTCCTGTTTTAAGTCATGAACTAGATTTAATACACTGTCAACGTAATACTGGAGTCGCGTTACTTGATCTTCATGATCAGCATCGTCATCATCTTCATCCTCGCCATTATTTTCTTCCTGATCTTCTACCTTACCATTATCATAAACCCCCATTATTTTAGCTTCTGAGCTTCCCAATACACTTCCAGCACGTACAAGACTATTTATTGAGCTATTCAATCCTAGTTGTAATTCATTGGCCGATAGCTGGAGGTTCTGGAGTACACCAGTCAAATTCTTCAGGAACATCGCCAACCCACTATTATTATTGAGATTCGCGGCATTGGGAGAGGTATTTGTGAATATGGCATCAATAAAATCCACAGCAGAGAAATGTTCTTCATCAAAGAAAGTCAATGGATCTTCCATCATTAAAGGACTGTTTTTTTAAATAATATAATAATTATAAATGATTTGATTCCAGAGTTTTTCGGATTTTTGAATGCTTGTTTTACACGTATAAGTGGGGTGTGGGACCCTTTAAAAGGGCATCCCCCGCAAGAATTTACACCACCAATACCAAATGAAATTAGGATATCATCAATAATAAATTAAATAATTCAGTTTAACCAATAAAAAACATCCCGCCTTCTACCATATAATCTGAGCGAATGAAACTTTACATTTCGGGGCATAGTTGGTTAAGCGGCCCCGGTGCTGTTGTTCTAGGGTTCGTTTTATTCCTGCCCCAAAACGGCTGAGTTTTTCATCGTTAATTTTGCTAAACAAATTTCATCTTCCTTCCAACCAAGAAGAGAATTTTATAACAGAAAGGAAGACGTGAAAAATGAGTTCTGGAGTCGCCGTTGCTATTCCTAGAGGGGACTTTCTTAGCGGTGAGTCTTTTCTCGTTTGTTTGTTTTTTTGATTTGTATTTCCTTGTTTATCACCCACGCTAACCTGTAATAGAAAGAGATTACAACCATGTCAGTGACAATGAGTATAAAAAATACCGTGAACTTGCCAAACAAGCCCAAAGACGTCGTGCTGAACTCTCTGCCGAGTCTCAAAATGCCTATAAGCAAGGTGATAAAGAATTAGCCCATGAGCTTTCTCTCAAGGCCAAGGCAGAACTTGCCAAAGCTGACCAATATAACGATAAAGCGGCAGAATACGTGTTTGTTGCCAATAATGATGATAGTTCTCAAGTTGAAATCGATCTCCACGGTCTCTTTGTCAAAGAAGCTGAAGAAATTCTTAAAAAACGTATCAATGCTGACCTTTCTAGAGGTGCTTCTGAATTGCATGTTATCGTTGGTAAGGGACTTCACTCAAAAGACGGTGTGGCTAAAATCAAACCATCCGTCCAGAAATTGTGTGATGAAGCAGGATTGAACTGCCATGTTGATCCAAAGAATACAGGGGTGATGATCATCAAATACTCCCATTCAAATGCCATTCCTCACTGGCCTTCAGCATCCCAACCTCAAACCCAACAACCAGGGTATCAACAACAACCTCATTATGGTGGCCAACAACAACAACAACAACAACAACAACAACAACAAGGTACCGGGAACACTCTTATCGATTCTTTGTTACAACTTGTTTGTTTTTGTATCAAGAACTACAGCAAATAAAACCTTTTCGTTATTTTCTTTATATCGTTTTATTTTTGTTCTCCTGATGCTATTTTCTTTGTATCGCTCCCTTTTTATTTCTTCTTGTCATATTACCTTCCGTATATTTTTAGTATTTCTTGGACAGTGACAATTGTGTTTTTAAGTACAATTGCGTTTTAAATTGTTTCTCGTTATTTTTTACATAGTTATTTTTATGGTTCATAGATTTTTTCGCTAAGGACGATGTTTTATAATTTGGATTAGTGGCACTTGGTTATCAGCAACCAAAAATTTTTGGGGATTAGTCTGTAAAGGCAAATAAGCTGCCATTTTGGTTGCAGGTCCAAAGTTAACATCTCTTTGAAGCTCTTAATAATGATGATTGAAAGGATCTACATGGTGGAAGTAGATGTATTGCCGTGAACAACCAAAAAGGTTCCATTTACATCAATACACTTCGCTGGTTCCGATACTCCAGGTTTGTTTAGATGTCAAAAAAGGGTCTTCCCTGACATATTCCCTGAGGGATATTCTTCGGTGTTTAATAATTTTCATCGTTATCAATAAGAATATTTCAGTTTAGTTATCAAGGATCCTCTCAGCACATCTGAAAAATATGCCAAAATCAATATAAAATAATAAAAAATTATTACGGTAATGAAAATATTTTACTGCCAATTATTATTTGTTTTACGATCATCTAATTTACGATTGCAGATCGTTGTTATACCAGTGAGTCACCAATTGACAATAATCCCTGAAATATTATATACAATAGCAAATAAGAAGTAGCAAAATAAGCGAATAATAACCATAATAACCAATAATTATTATGGTATCTTTGAAATAGTGAAATATGGTGGAATCCACAGAGTAGAAAGCCAAATACGATCTAATTATACCGTCGATCCTCCTGGTCCACCGGTCACGCTACCACTAGGATCGCATAATTGTTGACACCTCAACTTGTTTTTCTTCTTAAAATCGCTTGAAAATCTCTTCTTCTTCTTCTTCTTCTTCTTCTTCTTCTTCTTATAAATTTTCTCTCCCTCAGTCTACAACAACTTATTCATCAAACATGGCCCCATTAACTTGGTTCATTACTGGAGGTTCCGCTGGTCTCGGCTTGGCACTTGCTAAAGCCGCTCTTTCCAAAGGTGATAAAGTCATCGTCACTTCACGTTCTGCTAACAAATTATCTGCCATTGCTGCCGAAGGTGCCATTCCGGTTGCCCTTGACATTAACGGATCTGCTGAAGCCATTGACGCTGTGATTCTCGACGTCATTGAAAAATACGGCCAGATCGATGTCCTCGTCAATAATGCCGGATACGGTGAGATGGGAACCTTTGAAGAGATTGAATTATCCGCCATCGAACAGCAATTCCAAACCAACTTCTACGGGCCAGTTAAGGTGATGAAGGCCTTTTTGCCTCATATGCGTTCCAAGAGATCTGGGCTCGTTTTGAACATTGGTAGTGTTTCCGCTGCTTTACCATCGCCATCCATGGGGATTTATGGGGCTAGTAAAGCCGCTTTGAGAAGAGTCAGTCTTTCCATCGATGCCGAAGTTAAACAATTCGGGGTCAGAGTACTTGTGGTGGAACCAGGCGCTTTCAGAACTCTGATCACTGACGATTACTACTCTAGTGCCTTCAAACTTCCGGCCAAATATAAGGATTACGACGCCCTTCGAGTCGAAGCCGAAAAATTGGTCGCTCATTTGGCCAACGCTAAGGGGAATCCGGCGGTGTTTGGGGAAATCTTAACCAATCTTGCCCATCATGAAAAAGAGTTTAAAGAGGAATTACCATCGATTCTTAGTTTGGGTATTAACTGCTACAGCATCAAACAGCATATCCTCAACAATCAGTTGAAAGAATTGGAAACATTCAAAGAAGTTTCAATCTCCACTGATACTTTGTGATGGAATTGTTTTTTCTTAGTTGATTATTATTATAAACACTGATTGTGCCTATTGAATGTTTAATCTATTCACTGGGTTTGATTTAGTAATTACGTTAAACAGATTTTGAACTTTCCTCGATGCTTTTTTTTTCGTTTATTTGTTTGATTTTTAAGGTTATTTGTTTTTGTCTTCTCTTGGTAGAAGCACTACGTTTTTCCATTTTTTGGTTTGACAGTAATGATATGTAAATAAGCAAGCTTTTTGACACTTCTATTTACAGTGAGTGAGTCTAATTATGAAATTTATCCGAGATGATATGAATGAGTGTAATTGTTTTGAATTTATCCGAGATGATAAGATTCATGAAGGTGGTCCATTCTAGGCCACTCTTTTCATTACTTCACTTCCAAGTGGATTGATGACATGAATTAATGACTTTTTTCTCTGTTAAAGACAATTGTTCCAAACATAACCTGGGTTTATTTTTTACGGCTCCTCGGGGCGAAATATTGTTGCCGGATCCATGTTGGTTCCAAAGAATCGTCAGCCTCAAAAAAAAAAAAAAAAAAAACAGTAGCCGCAATGTGAAAATAGATGTATTCAGTGTCTCTCATTGGTAAGCTGGAAAGGTGATGTGTGTAGGAATTAATGGTTTCTATGGGCTGGAACCTCTACTTTGAATTTGTTTGGCTTTCGTGAAAGAGAACGGCATTTGAATAAAATAACATTCCAAAAAGAAAAGGATGTAATGGTGCCGGATGGTACTACTTGGGTATTTGTGTTTTGCACACTTGTAATATTAACTTGATTTTTTATTATAATCATGTATAAGGAATAGGCTGTTCAGAAGCTCTTTAAATAGCTAATGAATATAGAACAGTATTTATAAGATAAGGAATAAGATAGCGGATAAGATATGAAATAAGATAGGGAATGAGATCGTGAATAAGATGAGAGATCATGATATAAATAGAGAAGATCTAACAAGAAGTAATTTATTAGGTAATGAATGAACAATACTGATGGCATATGTTACAACACTATAGATATATATTTGTATCGAAGACCAGTATAATTGAATTGAAATCATGTATTCGCCATAAATCTAGCGTAAGATTAGATATTTATTACATTATATTAGTGGTATAAAAAAAGATAATTATGACATACAGTTTTATGAAAAACCATTTCGTGGTTTAAAATGAGGTCTCGTCAAGAGTTTACTGAACAAGTGAGATTTTGAGCCTTCTCCAAGACGGCAAGAAATGATCAACTCTTCGTTATCTCCAAAAACCATATCAACTTGTCTTTTTAGGAAATCGTTATATTTTTGAATTTTAAGTGCTGGAAATAAATTCCGCATTCCAAATGTTTCAAAATTTTCAATTTGGGTTGAGAAGAGGTTTAAATATTTCAAGTATTTTAAGCTCCTTATGAAACTTAATTGGTCAAAAGAATTAAAAAAGGGCTTATATAAATCCAAGACCTCTAAATCAGGTAAGTAGATCAAAGGACTGAAATCTCTAAGAGGATTACATCCTATACTTAATCTTCGGAGATTTGGATGATTCAATTTTGAAATATCTGAAATTTGATTATATGTGACATCAATTGAAATAAGAGAAGGAATACTATGGATCTCATCGAAGGATTCAAGGAAGTTATGAGAAAGATCCAATACTCTAAGGCTAGGATAATTTGACCCTGTGATTTCTGAAATTTGGTTTCGGCCTAGATTGAGCTTGATTAGAGATGTAATACCATATATTTTCTAAGGAAGTTAGTCGGTTTCCAGAAATATCCAACTCCCTCAACTCAGTAAATTCAGAGAGATCCATAAGGACTGAATTAATCCTGTTGCACGATAAGTTGAGGTTTGTAAGTTTGGATAATTTTTGCAAATTATCAATTTTTTTAAGTTTAAAATTTCCAATGACCTCCAAAGACTTTAAATTTATCAAGCATTCCAATTCTTTCGGAATTTCCAATAATGTATCATTTAGTAATGACAAATCTTGCAAATCTTCAATTAAATGGAAAGCAAAGGGATTTTCATCAATTTTTATACTGCAACGTTCGAAGTATAATAATTTCTTTCTTTCAATTTAAATAACACATTTTCCTAATTGCAATTTCTGTAATTTTGGAAAATAAAATGAGTTTATCTTTGAAACTGCTCCTCGAGCTGTGAGAAAAATTATTAACTCTCGCAAATTGCGGAGATTCCACTTAGAACCGTCAAAGTCGAACACACAATCGATCAATTTCAACTTTTTTAAATTTGAAGGATCATGATTGAAAAATATTTCATGTACGAAAATCTTTCGCTGATGATTGGAAACTCAACTGAAGTAGTGATCAGTGTCATTTTTCTTGCAGAGTTAAGAAAATAGGTAAAACTTTGATAATGAGTTGAAAAAAATATGGAGCTGGCATCTTGGAAAACAAGCTTCATCTCATATTTCCGGGCAATCTCGATCGCATTACTATCTTTAGAGTGTTCCAGGCCATCAAATATGACATCCCCATCTCTTGTATATTCTGGGGTAAAAAAAGAAGAAATCTTCTCAAAATTATCATCCATATTAGGGCACGCCACATAGAATGGAAGACTTCTTAACCTAGATTTCATTCCTTTAGAGTACTGGGTGATGATTATTCTCTCAAATAATACAGAATCAACACAGTCTCATAAAGGTGATGGATCATCATCGATGACCAAATTGTGCAACCGTACCAACCAACGTTTTTCACAATATCTGAGAACAAAGGAGATCAATTCAAGAGGTAATCTATCTAATACGTTCATTATCTCATATGGAAAAATATAGATCAAAAATATCTGCGTGGCAAATATCTACATGGCAAATTTTCTCTATTTTATTTGTCATTTAACTATATGGTTTTATAATTGCTTATCTTGGAACTTCTTACCCGTCAGCCAAAGTACTCTTTATTCAAACATTTTGAACCTTGCTCAATTTCCGTTAAATGAGCCCGCCTAAATTCAATATTTTGTACGTGTAATTTAACGGTTAAAGCAACATAGGTGACAGAGAGTTGCCATGCATCTAAAATATCAAATGAGCAGGCAGGTCACAGCTGTATCCTACCTCACATCTATCACTATTCTACATAAACTATGTTTTATTATATAATAAATGAAGCACAAAGAGAAAGTGACGTAAAATATGGTAGTATAAACTGCAATAATATGAATAGGTAATAAGTAACTTTTCTTGAAAAAAGTGCAGAAGGCGAATAATTAAGGATAATGATTAAGTCTATCTGAAATCATGTTAAAATATAAGCGAATATGGGAGATGTGGAACAGAAAGTAGGGAAACTAAAGAAAGATAGAGATTATATAACATTAATATTGCAACATATACCACCAGTATTGCTCATTCGTTACCTAATAAATTACTTCTTATTACTTATCTTATTTCATACCTTAGCACCTATCTTATTCCTTATCATATAAATGATATTCTATATTCATTAGCTATTTAAAGAGGTTCTAAACAGCCTATTCCTTGTACATTATTTTAATAAAAAATCAAGTTAATATCACAAATATCATCATATTTCATATTTACAATTCATTACGATCCTTATAAAGCTGTCCAATATGTAAGCGCAACATGGATGGGAGAAAGTAAGGGGACAGAAGTACCCTGTTGACTTTATCATTTGTCGAAGTAATTTATCAAATAACGCAACTTAAATTGTATAATATTTCAATTTTTTACTGAAAAATAGTATGAGGTGATGATTGATCTCTTACGATCAATCTACTTCATGTTAGATTCCGAAGGGCATTTTATTACTGGTACTATTTTAGTCATCTAGGTTTAAGGGGTTTCTATTTATTATAGAAGAAAGAAATCACTATTCAATGAAGTGGAAATCCATCATTAGAAAAGTCAAAGTGAAAAAATAAATAACTAGCCAGCAAAAATTTGCCTAAATATTGTGATTATGGAAAATAATCAAAAAAAAAAGCCAAGTTTATGTGACTTTTGAAGGCATAACCGAGAATGGTGTTCTCAGTAATACAAATGAACTATTTTATCAATATTGATTGATATGTTCTGAATCTGGAATTATTGGATTAAAATTAAGTACTTATAGGCACATTGATGTTATATTTATGAGTGCTAAATACCCTGATTATCCAGCAAATAGCTCTTTTTTATTGATGATTTGGTGATTGAGCTCAGAAGCATTATAGGCGAGGAGCTCTTTCTTGAAACTAAAAACAGCCCGTTAGCCGTAGTATACATGAAGACGTATGCATCTGCTGGCATCAAAGACACCATTTGGAAGAAGATTAAAAGCAAGTTTAAAGTGGCTTACGCTTCGGATGTCTTAGATTATGAAGTTCTTCATCATTATAACTGTGTCTGGCTCAACCCTGAAATCAGGCCTGAAGGTGTGGGCCTGCTAACCCATCTGTCAAAGATTAAGAAGAAAATAATCAATGAAAAAATCAGAGAGAGATCTTTAGGTTTGATGACCTTGATGAAATTATACGGAAAATCAGTTATTGGTCGCAGACTTATTCATCTTAGACTTAATAAGAGCTTCTCTCCAGAGGAGCTTACTAAAAACTACTCAATATACTTTTGGTGCAACGCCCGCAATTTTGGGCTTGATGAGTATTACTGGCGGCAAAGAATTATCTAATCCTTACGACTATTAAAATACATAAATGACAACAACAAAGTGAAAATTACAAAAAAAAAAAAAAAACATAAAATTGTACCCAAAGCATTGAATAATTATCCGAACTTAAGCAATAGTTATTGCTGCTATTGTTGTTGTCTGACAGTTGGCAATGGTGAGACTCGAATTTGGGAAAATCCAGAAGCTTCTTGCAGCTCGGTTATAATATTTCAGAACTACTTTATCATATATTCATTTTATAATATTTTTTTAATTAATAGATATTGGATTATTCAAAAGCACAGGTATTGTGATTACAGTTGTTTTTTTTTTAAAAAAAAGGACATTAATAGAGAGTTGCTGCTTTTGAGCAAATATAATACAGCCTTCAACATTCTAATAGCAAAACGATACACAAACCTATACCAGAAAACAAAGCAAAAAGAGACAAATGAAAAAAAAAAGATACTAAGACTTTTTCAATACACTATCCAACTTTCCAAACTTCCACCCCACTGATAACAAACTTCTCACCCATTCCACTCAATGGTTCATTTCCAAAAGTCATGGTCTTATAACTAACACCATTAATTAACCCACCATCCATCCAAAGGCCATAATGGCCTCCACTAACCCCCATCGATAAGAAATCCCTACCACAGTGGATAATGAAGTCATTGAGGCCCGTATATAAGAAAGCTTTGAACTGGAGATGGGTGACTGAATTATTTTCCCCTTTATTGTTAAGTGGGTGGTCCAAAAGTGGTTTGTGCATTTCCCCTTCTTTTAAACCTTCAAGCTTATTTCCATTCATCAGTTTAACCATCTCTTTGGACTTTCCTTTTTCCACTTCTTCGCCTGAATTAGTATCATTATATGACAATCTTCTTTTCACTGTATTAGTTCCCTTCTCATGGTTTATTTCAAAAACATTAGTTTTAACACATCGCCACAAAAAACATTCCCCATTACCGTAGAATCTTTCATGGGCTTCCAGGGGCCGAAAGTGCTCATTACTGTATGCCCCAAAAATATTACCTTCCCTGTCCCTCACAATAATAACGTAACCAGTCTTCTTTTGGTGGTTAGATGTATATGTTCGATGTATCGTTGAATAGTTGTAGGTCTGATTTAATGACCGGATATCGACATTCCTCGAGCCGGGGTCATGGAAAGTCGGCAGCACACGAGTATACAAAGTATTCAAAGAAGCCCCATGTTGCTCAAGTGAGTATAAAAGGTTCCATTCTGAGTAAAGCTGAAGCCTGGCACCGATCAAATTACGGATCTCTTCGGCAAGTTCAGGAGTAAGGAGGCGATGATGAGTGGTAGTTTTGTAGCCCAGCAATTTGATCGGAGCTAAAGGAGGAAGCCCATCATCTGGAGGTAAAATCTGACCCATTGAATGGTCGACGTGTGATGATACTGGATGATTGCTGTTATTAGTGTTTTGATTGCTGTTGTTGCTGATACTGCTTCCGTCAGCGGAATCTACACTGTTCATCTCACGATTTTTAGAGTCACTAGCACCACCAAAAGACGATTCCTTGAAATGTTTTAAATGTTGGCTAAATGAAGCCTTAAAAGAATATGGCGGAGGTGAAGATTCCTTGTGGCTTGCCATCAATTGGGTATTTCTTTGGAGCAATTACTATATTAAGCTATGAGGGCTTGAGGTAAAATGAGAAAAGCAAATTGCACCAAAGGTCTCAAACAATCAAATTCTCCAAACGATCAAATCTCCAAACAATCAAATTATCCAAACAATAGCTCCTTGTAATTAGCAAGTGTTCTTTAACGGCGCCGCTTTGCTGTTGCTCTGGTACCGATGAATATTTTGGGCACAGCAATCTATAGTATTTTAAAAAAGAGCAGAAGGAAAGAACACACGCACACAGAGAGAACAGAAAATGGCAAACACAACACAGAATTGTGGTCAGTAAAATTGTTAATAACCAGTAATGGACCGGTCAAAAGACTTAAAAGAATATCGGTTGTAATTGCAGATGGCATTGTTTGACATTTTTTGTTTTTTCTGTTTGTGACACAAAAAAAGAGAACATGCAGTTGTGTTCCTCTGGATTGGTATATCATACCATAAGAAACTCTTCTCGATATTATGAGACTTTAATATCATATAATATTTTTTCATGGCATTACACTACTACTTGAAACATTTTTTTTTTGCTTACTTGTGGTGACCAGATAGAAGTGTTATATATAATTAAATAAACATAGATAGACGATGATAACGAATGATAGTACAAAAACACAATGATATAATGCTAAAAACAAAAACAAAAATATATGCAAAACGAGCAAAATAAAGCAGCTAACAGAAAGTGAATGACGATGGAAACCAAATAAAAAATAAATAAAGCTAAACAAAAATAGTTGGTAGATGATAGAAAGCAGATGATAGACAGACAGATAATAGATAATAATTGATATATGCTAAATGATTCAATGCAGTTGATAAATAATAAGTGGTATAATGTAGATGATGAATGCTAAATGATATAAGAAGATTGATAAACGTTAATTATCCTATCTATTCTCTGGATGTAGGCCTATCAAAAACCAAATTTCTTGCAAACAATATTCCAAAATACACTCGCAACACTTCTCCCGTTTTCATTCTCTCTGCTGCTTGGCTGATGGGATTCATTGGAAATCATCTTGAACTTCTCTCTAGTCCCTTCTTCCTCACTGACAAAAACAATTTGTCCATTGCCCAATCTCTGGTAACTTTTCCTCACCACCACTTCGTTTTTATTTTTTTCGTTGTCCGCATTTTGCTCTTTGGTATTACATCTCTTGCCAGCCGATTGCGCCCAGTAATAGTTGATGGTATTCCAAATTGCCTTAGAAATGGAATGTATTGGCGATGCAGCAGCAATTGGGGGTTCATGGAAGTTGTTTTTTGGTTTTTTGTAGGCCTCCTCTTCTACTGGGGGTTCTGAATCTTCTTCCTCTGCATCTGCTTTCCATGAATTGATAGACTGGAACGATGTGTCACGCATGGATGGCCTAATAGTAGGGGCCTCACTTGGGAATGGATTGAAACCGGATGAAAGATTTCGAAGACCTGCTGATCTTTTTGCCCCACGTTTATTGACTTGCAACCCTCCATAAGATTTCTTTGCAGAATTTCCATTATTCTTATTGTTATTGGTTTTATGACTTTTTGACGATGGTTTAGGCTCAATTTCCCTTTGGTTAACTTCCTTTGAGGCAGTCTTCATGCCTCTGATGGTCTTTTTAAAGTTCAAATCCCATTCAACAGGATTAGCCTCATTATTCTCCATCAACCGCTCATTGAACTCTTTGAACTTTTTAAACTTCAACACGGTTTCTCTTTTCTTATGTTGCATGAACTCTTTAATTTTTTCTTCCTTTGATGGTGGTAATGGTTGGAATAGAATATCCACAGGGTTGATTTCCACCCCGTCCACTTCATAAATGGTTTTTCTGTGTTCCTTGGTTTCCTCGACCTCGATGACGGGGACTTGTTTCTTGGGAACAAAATTTTTCAGCATATTTAATGCCTGTTTAGGAGTAATTTCTGGTATCAAGTCAACATCTTTATGGGTAATGAAGTTGGAAGGAATCCTGTTGGTCACTATATTGATCATAGATCCCAGGGATTTATCGATATAATATGAGTTCCCCGAAGTGCAGATATTCATGATGGAGATATATAATACTATTGATATTTAGACACTTTTAAAAATTGTCGCTCCTTAGTTTAAATCTCAAACTCTTTTATCCATGAAAGTCCTTCTTAATCATTGATGAGGAAGGGAAGAAGAGAAGAAAGAATAAAAAAAAAAAGGGAAAAAAAAGTCTTCAGATTACTAAATCTGGTAAATGGTAGTAGCGTCTCTTAAATATACACTGCTAGGGGTTCTACAAAGGCTGGATGTGTGCGTGTGAAGGGATTACCGCTAGGTTTCGATGGCTGGTTCGATGTTCACAGAAGACCACTGCGTGAGTTCAGGAGTTGTTGCCCGATAACCTCAAATACTATGTGCTAACACATAACACCGAGCATGGCATTAGTTTTCTTATTGTCTCAGAGATAATATAAGTATAATCCCTTATATCTTGCTTCTGGTGTAATAAATAGTGTAATAATTGGGAATTTTTCATGCTTCTTCGTCCCGTCAAACAGCGCGGCTGCCGCATCGCGCATAAAGTGGAAGCATCGACAATCAACGGAAAATCAAATAATCGGGGACAATTAGGAGATTGAGGAGGATAAGCTGGATATGTTCTGTGAATAATTCATAGTTAATATTGTGATAATCCTACTGTCTCTCATTGTAATTGTGTCCGAAATAGTGTCTTTTCTTTGGTGTGTATCATCACCATAAGAAGAATCGTTGGTACCCGCTGCGTTGGTGCTTGGAGTCTATGATTTTTGCCTGGTCCGTCTAATGACAGGGAACATAAGAGAAAATATACAGATTTTTTTGGCAAATCTTCCTCTTATTCAGATCGGCTATTTTTTTATTGTTCTTTTTAATGCTTACATAACGGTCTATTTGCTAATAGTAATGAAGAAAGAAATCTCCGTGGAGACGTTTATTGTGTGTTTTTATGCGGGTAACCACGGTAACTTATTGAGGGGCGATGAGATTGATGATATTCCTCACCCAGGTTGACACAATGTAATGGCAATTAAAGGGAGAATTTTACCAACAGGCATACCATTAATATTCAACTGAAGCCCTTTAAGATGTCTACCTCCCAGGATCCCGATACAGTGCAAAATACAGCAAACTTCGATGAAACATTTTCTAATAAGCCGTCATCGAGGACTATTCATAATGCGGAATCAGCCCCACAAGCTAAAGATGTGATCCATGATATAGAAACCACAAAGGATAGTAAGGGTTCGAGTAATTTCCTGGTGAAAAAAAATTCATTACCATCAAATGACCTTCCCATCAAAGTATTACCCGTGGAATTATCATCAAAGACCCCTGAAAATAATATAGCCACCAAAGAAATTGACAATAATGGCAACTTCGGGAATGTACCTGAAGACTCCAAACCAGTGGTTGCAATACCTCCTGGTACGCAAACTGATAATCCCATCAAAGAAGAAAAGGGAAAACCAACATCACAGCCAGCTATTGCTAGTCCAAAGCTTGATGGGCGGGAGGATGAATATAACCACCAGAAAAGTAAACAACTAACATTTAAATCAAAGAGAATCTCATGGTACAATCCACTTCATGGCCAGATGATGGATTCAAGGATCTTGATTCAGAATGTCAATGGTCCCTGTGCATTAATTGCAGTGGTGAACACCTTAGTGTTAAACTATCAATTGGATCATAATTACCAAAGTGGATTAACAGAGAAACATTCCAAAACTCCTGAAGATAGTCGATGTGAAGAATTGATTAGATTAATTGAGAGCAGGGAAGAAATTAATGATACAGATATCGTTGGTGTATTAGGTGATATGTTATTGTCGGCCAATGCTGCCGCTTCTATCGGATCCAGTAGCGAGCCCATTGATGATGGGACATTTACTGCAGTTTTGAATTTGTTACCACATTTGCATGAAGGATTGAACATCAATCCTAATTTCTTAACTGGTGGGATCGATAACTCTCAGCAAGATGTGCAATTCAATATTCATGAACTTGATGAATCTTTCACAAAAGAGATATCTTTGTCGGTCGTCTCGGATGCTGAAGGTAAAAAATCCATTAATGTTAATGATTCAAAATCATCTCCCTTGAACCCTGAAGTTGCACTTTTCAAAGCTTTTGGTATTGATATTTTCCATAGTTGGATGATTGATCCAATTACTAATGTTGAAGAATACAAGATCATCAACTACTTGCAGAATTTCGATAATTGCCAAAACTTTCTAATCTTTGCTGAAGATTTGATATCTCACAGTAAAGATTCACCAGACCCTCCTGACGAGGGTCTATTATCTAATGGTTGCCCTGATGTTTCATCTTCTCATTTAACTCCTGCTAAAAAGTTGATCTTGCAATCATACGCTGACCAAATTCGATCATGGCTCAATTCTCACCCAACGCAACTTACCCCATCCGGTCTCTCTCATCTAGTATCCGCTGCTCCTGGTTCGCGCTTTTCAATATTCTTCCGTAACGACCATTTTAGTACCTTGCTCAAACGAGCAGTTGTGGATGAAACCGGACAGCCCGGAGCAGAGTTGTATTGTCTTGTCACTGATGAGGGGCTACGGGGTTATAGAGATGTCGTTTGGCAAGAAGTGCCTACTGGTGGTAATACGTTCACGGCAGCATTTCTAGGAAAGCGGGAGAAACAAGCGGTAGAGGAAAATGGGGTAATGCAAGATCTTGCTAACTACGGTATACTTAGTTTAGAATTAGGAGAAGAAAGGTTTTACGATGGGAATTTCATCCCTGTTGACCTTTCGCAGGAGTACGAAAGGCAAACAAGACATAATACTCGAAACAATACTGCAGTTCAAAGAGCCACTTCTGGGTCAGATTTTATCATGGTTGGAGGGGAAATTACTAGTGCTCTAAATGTTTCTGAAGACCATGCTCCAGTACTGCAGAATGCTGGGAACACTATCACCGATGCGGATTATCTTGCCTCATCGTATTTCGATGGTCAAGCCCTAGACTCTCTGGCAGATTACCGCTTGGCGCAAAGCTTACAAGCACAAGAAGATGCTTACATTGCTAGTCGTATTCAACGGAAATACCAGGTCAAAAATCAGAAACTCAAGAATACTGGGACAAAGAGAGTTTCGAATTCTACAGGAGCAGTAAGTCCTGCTGGCAAATCTGGAGTCCATAAGAAGAAACTGGGGAAATCTAGTGGCCCGAAGCTGATTGATAGCAAAAGTAAGAAAGAAGGATGTGTGATTATGTGAGTCTCTCAAATATGCCTCTTGAAAAAAAAAAAAAGGACAGATATGGTTTGAATTATTGTTTTTTTTTTTTTGATGGGTTTAATTTTTTTCTTTTCCTTGTAAGTTAGGGTCTTTATATTGTTGGCAATATTTATCATTATTTGCAGGTTGTGCCTTAGTTGTTGTTTTTTTCTTTTTTTTTTTTGTCATCATCATCCAGATCATCATCTAGATGTAATTACTCCTGATCTATTGTCTCTCTTTATCATTTGAAGTTCTAGATAGATTTGATTATTTATGTCATGTATTTATCTGTTTCTCATTTTTGGTGCTGAACTCTCTTGCCATTGTAATGTGTGATGAAATTTTGCCCATCGCCCAATCTCCCACAGGGTTGGTATACTTATACAAAAGAAAAAAAAAAAATTTTTTTAAGAATTTTTTTGAAATATTTCCTTAAACAATATAAAGTATTTAACACTTTTGCTTTTGTTATCATTATCACGCTTGACCAATAAAAGTACCTTATAGATTAAATATGGCTCCATCAGTTGCTAAAAAGGGAATAAAGAGATCCAGCAGTGAAATCTCTAAAGGATACAAGAAGAAAGCTGCCGAACCAGAAGAAGATATTCAAGAAGAAGTTTCTAGTAGCGAAGATGAATTAGATGATAAAATGTCTGAAGATGAATCCGAAGAAGATGAGTTGGACGATGCCGACTCCGAATCTGAAGATGAATTAGATGATAAAGATGAGGATGATGATGAAGAAGGAGGTAGTGAAAAAGAAGGAGGTGATCAAAAGAGGCAAAAGACCGATGGGGATGAAAACAGTAAGACTTCAAAAGAGCAACACGCAGAACAAAAGAAACTTCTCAAGGAAAGAAAACTCAAGCGTAATGCTGGTGTGGAAATCGCCCAAATCAAAGCTATTTGGGAAAAGTTGAGAGTCAAGACCCCACCAATTCCAAAGAAGATCAGAGACAAGTTGTGTCTGGAAATTTGGACCCTTTCAAAAAGTTGTATCAAGGATTTGGTGTTGAAGCACGACGCTTCCAGAGTTGTTCAAACATTGGTAAAATATTCGGATAAAACTGTCAGACATGAAGTGGTTCTTGAATTGAAAGATCACTACTTTGATTTGGCAAGATCTTCTTATGGTAAATACTTATTGATCAAGCTTTTACATTATGGTACCAAGGAATCCAGAGAAATTATTATTGATGAACTCCATGGTAAACTTAGGAAGTTACTCAGACACAGAGAAGGTGCTTATGTCGTTGAAGATTTGTTTGTGTTGTATTCCACCAGTAAGCAAAGACAGCAAATGATTAGAGAATTCTGGGGTGCCAGATATGCCCTTTTCAAGGACTCTGTGAAGGATGGCCAAACCATTTTGGACGTTGTCAAAGATAATGAAGAAAGTAGAAGTTTGATCGCTAGTAATTTGAATCAAACTATCACCGCCGCCGTGGAAAAAGGTTCAACAGGGTTCCAGCTTTTGCATGCCGTTATGAAGGAATACATCCAAGTGGCCAGTGATAAAGATATGAATGAATTTGTGGAATTGTTGGCGGATCAAGTTGCTGAATTAGTTCACACTCCTGATGGTTGTGAAGTCGCGTGTGTCGTGATTGCTAAAGCCTCTGCCAAACAAAGAAAAGCCATTATTAAGAGCTTGAAACCTCATGCTAAGGCCATGATCACCAACGAACACGGTAACTTGGTGTTATTGACATTATTCTTGACCGTTGATGATACTAAATTGGTCCACAAATCATTTGGTTCTGCGGAATTCGATGCTGAACAAATGGCAGAATTATCAGTTGATAAGTTTGCTAGACGTCCATTTTTGTACTTGTTGTGTGGATTGGATGGTAAATACTTTAACCCACATGTCATGAAATCTTTGAACCGTTACACTGAGATGAGTTCCGCCACTTCTAAGAAACCTCAAGAATCTAGAAAACTGGAGTTGTTGAGCAAATTCGCCCCACTCTTCTACGAAGCCATCGCTAAGTACAACGGGAAGGTGTTTAGCGAAAATATTGGATTACAATTTGTCAATGAGGTGATGATCCATGCTCCAAAAGAGGAATCTTTGGAAGAATCTAGAACTCAGGCCATTAATTCCATCATTAGCGCACTTCAAGGGGAAATTTCCCAAGATGACCATCTCATCAATAAGCCATTCGCTTCTAGACTCCTTAAGTCTTTGATTCAAGGGGGTCAATGGAACTTCAAGCAACAAGTGATTGAAAAAGACAATGACTCGCAAATTGGTGTCCCATTTGCTCATTTGTTGATTAATGAAGTGGTGAAGAGTGAAGACTTATCCAAATGGATCGAATCCAAGAATGGTTCATTTATTGTTGCTGGGTTATATGAAGCATTAAAGAAAGAAGATGATAAAGAAAGCAAAGAGTTTGTGAAATCTGTTGGCAAGTTCAAAAAGATTTTGAAGAAATTGGGTGATGAAAATAAAGGTGGAAAGTTATTGTTAAAGTTGATTGAAGCTTGAAAAAAATAAAAATAGAGCCATTTTCTTCAGTTTTATGTCATTTTATTTTTCTCTTTTTTAATTCTTTTGGATGTTCTTGTTTCATAAAGTTTGATTTTCACATTTCTGTTGTCTCACCCTCTTTCTTTATATATATGTAATATTTTTGTCTCCATTTTTGCATTATAATGTATTTTTCTTATTTGTATACTGACTAAATCTTTATTTCCAAAGCCTTTTTCTTTCTTTTCTGGTTGGGGTTGTAACGGTTATCTTGCGAGTTTTGGGGGTGTCATTGGATGTGTGTTTCCCAATGTTCTCAACATTTGGCTACCCACAGGCATTCTAGCTCCCAACAGTAAAGGGAAACAAAAACCAAAGATTAGTCATGACCATGTCATTTCTGATAATAAACTAAATAATAGTAGCAGGATTTAATGAACTTTATTTTTCTATTGAGGATACTTTTCAGGTCTAGTGGTTTTTCTTTTCTCTCTAGTTACGTTCGATGGTATTATTGGTTTTTCCCTTTCGCTTGTTTTCGCCTTTTTTCTTTCCATACTTCGAACCTTCCTAAGTTCACGCTTTCTTTTTTGTTTCAATCTTAATGATTGTCTTCTGTTCAGGTTTTTGGATATTTTGCCTGGCATATTAAGATCCTTATTTGATGAGTCATTAATATTATTTTTCAAGCTAACATTATCATACTTCTTAGATTTATTATTGGTGTCATTTTCCAGCTCACCATCAACACCTTTTTTGGAACCATTAATAGAATCTTTTTCCAGTTTCAGATCAACCTTTTTTTTCAGGTCAGGATCATTATCCTTTGTCAATTTGACATCAATTATTTTCTCCCTTTTATTCAAGCTACCTTTGATGGTCTTTTTCAACCTAGTATTATTATCCTTTTTCTGATTTCTATCAATGACCTCTTTTAGAATCCCTTCAATAACTTTTTTCGAGTTATCATCAATACTCTTTTTGGGTTTAACATTACGAATTTTTCGCGCTTGCTTAACAAACCCGTCAGCCCGTGGTCTACCTTGGTTTCCAACGGTTCTCTTCTTAGAAAGAGATTTCTTATCATTAGCGCCAGCATTGTTACCATATATTATCAACTGGTTTTCTTTTCCTTTTGGCGGCTTCTCCACTGGGCTCTCATTGATTTCCCATGGGTGAGGTTTGGAAGGGTCCAAGAGGTCAGAAATCTTCACACGGTACGTCTTAGTGTATGCTTGTGCTGATATAGGTCCACTATTATGATCAAAATTGCAACAAATAAAAGCTCTTGGAATTATCATCGGAAATTCAAATGATTTACCAATCCATTCTTCCGGTATGTTTTGGATTGAATTTATAGGAGTCGGCGGCGGTGGCGGTGGGGAAAGATGAGGTTTGATTTGCAGGGGTGATGCAAAATAAAGATCATCATATGGTCTTGGATAAAGAAGTATCTTATTTAGATCCATTTTTATTTTTGTCTAATATATTTAATCGATCGGGGAAACAAAGAAGAGAAAGGCGAGATCTCTATTTTTTTTTTATCATTATTTTTCCCTTGTTCTTTATATAGGCGTTACAAAATTTTGAATTGTGCAATACATAACAAAGCGGTTAATATTTCAAAGATATAAAATGATATCTTCAGTGTTCCTGTTTATTATATACTAACCGAAAGTTGCTTCCATTCAAGTAGAGTATATTACAGTTTCACACTTTCAAAACTTGTGCTCAGTTCAATCTTTAAACAAGCTAAGACAAAATAAACAACATATCTTTTGGACATATAAAAGGTTTCTGCTAATGAAGAATTTAAGTAACTTTTTCAATTTTTAATTACTGTATTTTAAATATATCAGGCTCCTGATAACAGTGAATACTATGGTTCTAATATCATTATAAACTGTACATAACCCTTTTCCAACACACTTTTTATGCTGAAATAGACAGCCTAGTTACTCAGTTGCAAAACAAAGAGACGGAAAACCTCTCAAATACCCAAAATAGTGACTTCAATATCAACACCTTTTTGAGAAATGTTAAAAAAATGGAAAAATAATACGCTGGAAATTCACCGCGCCGGCCGCAGCGGAAAAAGAAATATGTATACTGTTTTTCCAAAAATACCACGCTTATAAATTGACAGTGTGGCCGAGTGGTCAAGGCGCCTGCATTAGGAAATTGAACAAGTAATTGTGCTTTTTTAATCAAGCAGGTATCTACGGATGCGCGGGTTCAAACCCCGTCACTGTCAATAATTTTTTTTGGACTTTTTATGAATCTTTCTGCTCTACAACTTACATATTCTGTTTGAAAATGTTTAAATCTATTTCAAAATTTTCCATTTATTTAGCAGACGGTTTCTGTTGTCAATTTTCTTGACTCGATCAATAGCTATTTTAAAGGTGCCTCCCATGCTTCAAATTCATTTTTATGAATTCTAATGTCACACAATTTAGCCCTTTAAAAAGTCTCTCTTTTAGAAGACCAAAAAAAGGACTATGATTAACATTTCATCAACTTGTCTACAATGCGTTTATATATAAATATGTAAATAGTAGCTTCATGGGGCCACTTATTGAAACATTATGTCCGGGTAATCAATCGTTTTTCCTGTAAAGAAAAAAAAAGCACAACATTTCAGACGTTTTTTCTCATTAATAAGGAGCAATTAACTTTTAGTGATACCACTATTATAATTATTAAATATTGTTACTATTATTTCTGTTACTATTATTGTTATTCGCATTACTATTATTACGATTTTTTGAGAAAATAAATCTTGTATATTCCGACTCATTTACCATATAACAAGTACACACATTGTCAATAATTAAAAGATGTCGATGAGTAATTCTCTGGTGCTATATATTGGAGGTCTCCCATATAATTGGAGTCAGGATAATTTGGGAAGTATCCTCAAAGGCTCGGGTAGAGTTGTCGATATCCGATTGAAATTGGACCCTCAGGGTAAGAACAAGGGGTTTTGCTTTGTGGAATACTTCACCGCAGAAGAAGCTAGAAGAGCCATGGAGCTATTATCTGAAGTTAGGTACGGCGGGAGAAAGAAATTACGGATTGAATTGTCAAAAGAAGGCCTAAGATATAACAGCAATGCTCAGTCTCAGAGACCTTTGTTGGAATTGTCTAGAGAGTTTTTGCCTTCTGATGTTCAACTACCTCTGCTGATGACCATGGATGATGATAATAGTAACAATAGTAGTAATAATAATTCAAGAGGCCGTAATCCCAATAATAACACCAACCAATCCATTGAATTAATGCCAGAATACCTTTTACAAGCTGCTGCGAATTTGCCTCCGTTGAATAAGCTGTGTTTAAATGCTGACTCTAAAGTATCTCAAAATCTTGAACCAATTCCTCCAAGTCAAATCATTCAAATCATTGCCACTTTAAAGAATTTCTTGATCAATAACGACAGAGCAAGTGTCAACAGTGTGTTGGGTTTCAGTCCTAAATTGACAATTGCTGTTGCTCAAGCACTTTTGTTGATGGGTTTTGTCGATAATGAAGTGATCACTTTGGCAGCGACTTCGAACCCCAGCAATAACTCAAATGATCAAAACTTTCAACAGACAAAAAATGCCATGCCACCTCCTCCACAACAGCAACAGTTTCAACAGCCTCCACAACAGTATGGTAATAATAATAATAACAATGGACTCCAACAATACAATAACAATAACCAAAGGAACTTTCAAAATCCTCCTCAAATGAATAATTATCAAAATAACAACCCAACTAATAATAATAATTTGCTGCAAACTTCAAATCAAAACCAATCTCCACCAATTCCCCCACAATGGAACTCTTTACCCCAATCGGCAATCCGTAAATTGCTATTATTGGATAGGGCACAGGCAGATATGATTGCCCAAGTTTTATCTTTGCCTCCTGTTCAAATATCAAACTTACCAGCGGATCAAAAGGCAGCGATTGATCAAATTAGATCACAATATTTATGGTAGCTGTAAAGTATATATGTTTATTAGATTTTAATTTCTTTTAGTGTCTTGGATGTTACCATTTGTCCATTCTAAATTTCCTGTCTTACACTTATGAGTAGCCTTTCGTAATAACTTTTAGCGTCGTATTCGTTCATTTCATCAAGAATTATGTGTTTACAAATACACTAAACACCTTATTCCAGACATTGGAGTCAACAGACTCTAGTCTATCTAAAATTCAGGGCCCAAGTATTGTCAGAACAGTAGTGTATTAAAATACGATGCTCCTGAATTCACTCAACTGAATAATCGGGTAATGAAATTATCACAATTCATTATTCGTCAATAAATAGGTACCTCCATGGCGGGTCCAGACACACGATATTTAATAAACTCAATTATTCTGGTGAGTCAATGTAATACGATTTCACGAATCTAGCTAAATTAAAACAATATTGTATAAAAGAAAAGATCCCACCAAATTGTTCAATATCCAAAAGAATACTTAATGTATAACATAATGATATTCGTATCATTAAGAACAGTTGTAGAATGCAACATATAAAATTTCAATGTCATGCAGTTTGAACAGTTTGATTATTTTCAAATAAACTCTTCAAGATGTCCCTGTTGATTTGGCTACTAAATATCTCTGTCTTTTGTTTTGACGGCTCAACACTCAAATCAAATCAAATTGTATATTAACGAGTCACAGAGGTTCTAAATAACATGCAAACCGGGCATTTCATCACTGTCCGGCCGGATCGGAAAGCATTCGGAAATCCCTACTGATGCAAAAAAAATCCCTTTCAATCGCTGTAATGGCATCTGTCGGAAGCGTATCCATTCTGAGCCCTTGTTTCGCAAGGTGTTTATCAGCTTGAGTATGCCTGGTTCGATCCTCGTGGTGGACGTTTTCATGGCCTGAGTAATCGGCCTTTGTAATTGTCTGCAAAGAAGTTTTCTTACCGTTGGAGGGAAGCAATTCAGCACAACGAGTTACCCATGAGTGAGGCTTTCCAGAGAGCATCTTGTTGGACACTTTGTCAAGCGTTCTGGTAACGCGACCTATATTTTTGTTTCTTTTTGCTAGTTATTACAAGATGAATAAATATTCCAAGTGCTGTCATATTGGTCAAATTTAATGTTCAAGAAGTGAATTACAAAGTAATAATTAAATAAATACCAACAAATAATGATAAAGTAATAATGAAAAAAAAAGGGAAATAAAAAAACGGTCCAACAGTAACGAAACAATCAACAATAAAATAATGAAGGGAAGATAAAAATATAACAATAAAAATAATAATTGAAAATTAATAATTGAAAATTAATAATGACAAATAAAAGAGGTAAACGAACAATAATAAAAACAACCATCTATTGCTTCCATTTCTTCAATCTTGAAAATGACGGGAAACTTTTCTTTAATTTCTCTCTAATCATCCCTTCTTCTGACTCCTCTTTGACTCCTCTTAATCTTCCTCCTCCTGTTTTACTTTTATTGGCGTTATCCACTAAAAGCGCAGCATCAGCACTCCTATACGGTACCAACGTATTTTTAAAACTACTTTTTTCACTAGAATCGTTGGATCTGAACGGACTTAAACTCAATCTGGCATCAAGACTTCTCATTGGTGATAAGTTAACTCCAGGGAAATCAGTTGGCGCTGGAGATACCGACCGTTTGTTAGACCTCGTTGGGGATAACAATGACAACCTATCAGCACTATCTGGATTCTTGTATGATGATGGAGCAGGGCTTTTTGGTCGACTGTGTCGGAGCAACGAAGGGCTACGAGACCCCAATCGATCGGATCTCGCCTTTGAGGAAGATCTCGAGGTGGATGAGGACCGAAGCGTTTGTCTCTCTACAGAAACTGGGGTGGATTTGAGTAAATTGGAATAATAATCGGGGGCAATTGATTGAGAAGCAGAAGAAGGAGTGCCAGTCGACTCTGTCGGGGATGATAATGAGGTTGATGGATATGATGAGGCAATACTTCTTGATGCTGAGGATCTTGAGGATTCGTCAGTAGAGGTGGAAAACCGATGATGTTCTATCGCATTATTGGTGAACACGATAACTGGCAAACTCAATTTATTGATGCAGTAACTGGTGACGGGACTGCCACCCCCGGAGAGCAATGATAAGAATTTTGATTTCCTAGATTTTCTCGCAGAGTGGTCCAATTCTGAGTCCTCATGATGGGAAAAAATCACAATATTTGGAGTATATTCAATAATAGTGCTTTCGATGGTCAACAACACATTGGGATCGAATACCAAATTCATCGATAAGTTGAATTGTTTACTCTCCTCTCCAATGGTTTGAAACTGCGACAACACTTTGGACTTCACAAGTGGAATCACCTCGGTATCGAAAAGGTGTTTATATTTTGTAACTTCTGTTTCCGTGACATAGTATCCTTGATCACGGAATGCGATATCATGACGTTGGATAATTGATAAGACGTGTACTAAATCATGATCTCTAGTAAGAGACTTCAACGCGTAGGCCAACATTTGTAAGCCTAGTTCGTCGATTGGTGGTCCATCATGGTCATCATCATATTGCTGATGATGGTGAGGGCGATGAAGACGATGATGGACAGGGGTACGAATTTTCAACAACACAAGAATGGTATTGGAGCTCGCCAATCTCAAAAAACCAGGGGTCTTGAAATCGTAATTGAGGAATGGTTTGTTGAAAGAAGGGGACATGTAGTAAGGGTTGGACATTCGATGGTAGGAATCGATGTCTCGCTGACGGCTATTGTTGATGAAATTCCTGTACTTTTCGGTGACAGGGGCGATTCCTGCTGTTTCAAAAGAAAGGGCTTGGATCACTCTATCGTTTGAATGCAAAGATTTTTTGCGAGATGACGAGGATGGTCGTTCATTATCATCTTTGAGTATCGAGTGGAGGGGCACCACTGGGGCAGCACTGAGGACTTTAGCCATTAATTTTTTTTATTATTTTTCTTCTTCTCTCTGGAAATTCAATTTGGAAATTGGCGAGAAATATATCTATATTTTATATTTTATATATAAAGATATCCCAAATCCAAGAAGAAATAGAGGAGGGATGTTATATTGTTTTATACTACTCGAAAACATGGGCGATTTTTACTTTTTTTGGTAATTTTTCAAGCAGAACTCGCGCAACCGAATGAGAGGAGATGAGATGATATGGCCAGAGCGTGGGATGACCAATAAGTGGTGTGGGGAGACCACAAGAGACACAGAGGTATTATCAAATGAAATGTGTTTATTTGTGGATATTATCATATATAATATGGGATATATTTATAATAATAATAACAATAATTATAATAATAATGTCCAGTGTTTGGTGCTTCTCCTCGGATGGACCCGCACTGATGGCTCCTGTTTGCGGAATTTTTCATTGCAATTTGTACAGACTTCAATCGATGATGATCTTTAATATTTTCGCCTTTTTGCAGTATAACATATATAACCGATAGGATGTTTATGGTACCACGTCTTAGAAGCACTCTAGGGTGTCTTAACCCAAGATCTCTCATGAGATACTCGACAATCAATAACAGCTATTTTCCTGGGATCCCATCTAACTTGTTGGAGTTAAGAGTGGGGTATATCATGAACTGTCAAAACCATCCTGAAGCCGATAGCTTATACGTTTCCAAGGTTATTGTTGACCCCGAAGAGTATAAAAAATACAAACTTATGGTGGATGGGCCGGCAGAAGATAAAGCTCCGGAGGAGATCAAGTCCTTGACGATCTGTTCTGGGTTGAGAAATTTGGTGCCCCGTACTGTTTTACAAGATTCGTTTGTGGTGATTGTGAATAATTTGAAGCCTTCTAAAATGAGAGGCATAAAATCAGAAGGAATGGTATTGGCAGCAGAAAAGATCTTGGCCAAGGAGGATCCTTCAACTGAGACCCCTCCTTCAAGAATCATTGAATTAGTCAGACCACCACACAATTCAGAACCTAATGATTTGCTACAATTCAAAAGCTCCAAGTTCTCAAGTAATGATATTCCTGCTAATGAGCTCCTGGCATACAAGGAACTTTCCAATATGAGATTCTCCCGGATCAGGAACTCCCGCAAATTGATCAATTGCGTGGAAGGCTTAACTATTGATGGAAACTTGAATATCACTTGGTCTGGTGTCAATGAGAATGGTGAAGACTTAGAAAAATGCGTACTTGTGAATCCAAGTTTAGTGGCAAAGAGTGAAGGGAAACAATCAGGAGAGGTAACAGTGGAGAATGAAAAATTGGTCGGGGCAGTGGTGAGATAAAAAGCAAAAACATATTAATTTTAATCATGTTATATTCTAGAACACTATTTAGGTCAATTTCTAAGTCATTCAAAAAAAAGAAGGGAATTTTTTTTTCTTGTTGATTATTCTGTGGTATAACCATTTCTTTCACAGATGAAAATTAACCAATTATTAGTTATTTATTGCCAATATCTTTGGAAATTTCGCCACAATTTGTGGTAATAATACTATTCTGTATGCCATAGGATTATCAGAACCAACTCACCACCATTATGGGATGCTTATTCTTTTGCAGTTTCTTTTTTAATAGTATCTGCACCATGCATGGAGTACTCATTATTTATATCATCTTAGAGTACAACTTCAAATATCAAATCCATAATAAAAATTGTATAAATAATTAAATATCCTTTACATATCTTCAATTGATCATTAGTTGAAACATAAAAGCATCAAAGTAAACAATTCTATTCTATTCTATACTGTACACCAAAAGTGAGGAAAAAAAAATAAAAAAATGAAAAAAGCAAAAACAACATTAGAAATCATCAAATAATCATATCAAATATTTCTATATACAAGTGTAAGAAGAAAGAAAAATAAGTAAAAAATAAAGGAAATAAACAAAAATTTATAAGTATATACGGTTCAGTGGCTCCTTCTATTAAATACAAAGTGGATGGTTTACTAAAAGTCGATAGACTTAGATAAACAAGAGGCACCTAAAATCGATGATAGTATATCATCACATCATTCCAATTAACATCATCATAGCAAAACAAGAGAAAAAAAAAGTTTGATGAAACACTCTGGCGAAATAATTCCGAGTGAGAAAAAAATGACAAACTATGCAAAGCGAACAAAAAAAAAAGAGGGAAAAAACGCTTTATGCAAAAAATGGATCAACAGAAAAACACATGAGCCTTGTATTTAAAAAAGATGGGAAATATAACAATAAAATAGAATTTTATAAGTGGTAGGGGGGCATCTTTGTAAAAAATGAAGGATAAAACAAAACAGCAAAAGTAATAATAATAAAAGAAAAGAAGTAACCTGAATATTAGTTTGCCAAAAGATACTAATAATGATAATATAATATGCAGCCAGTGACGATACGATGAATCATGAAAAGTGTAATGATCAACAAAAAAAAAAAAATAGCAAGTGAAAAATGGATGGAAGAAAGCGACGGTGTGTTGATACTTATTATGTAAAAACTTCTCCAACGATATTATTAAAATAAGAACAGAATAAAATGATCAGTATCACAATGACAAAATAGATAGTCCTTCTTCTTTCATGGAACAACCTCACTTTCTTTCCATTGATCAAAATTGACACGCTCATAAATCAATCTTTTGGAGTTTCCATAACTATCTTTGTAGAAATCAACTTTATTAATCAAAAATACCACCACAGCACACTGGTCTTTCCCAGCTTCGATACTTTTACCATCCACTCCTCTGGAGATTCTATCAAGTAACTTTCTTTTTTCTTCGGTGATCAAAGTTTTCGGTTTTGGGGATTTGAAATTTGATTTGCTTCGAGATGACAACAAATCCCAAGCCCGCTGATACTCTTGTTGCCAATCCTTATGGGTTGGAGGGTATATGATTTCTGGCAGTTCTAAGAGCAATTCATTGAGTGAATTATATGGTTGTGATTCGAGTCTCTGTTGGATTTTCTCGAGCGATGAAGGGGAGAAAAGCGGATAATTTAGCGGTTCATCAATCATCCCCGCGGTTTCTGTAGTCAGCGGGGTTCGTGAAGGAACTTTGTTTATTATTGTATAATCGGCAGGGGCTTTAAATACTGAGATTGTTGATCCCAGCTTATGCAATACTGGTTGGCCAATGCGCACCACTTCGTCGTCGTCGTCGTCGTCTTCTTCGTAATCTGTACGGTTATTTCTCTTATTATGTTTCTTTATATCCTTTTCTTCATCTTCATCCGATAATTGTTCCACATCATTATCTTCATCTTCCTCGTATGGTTTATTGGCGATATCTGGCAAGATAACGTTAGGAAACACCCCACTTGATGGGTTGATCAACTTGGCACTGCCACTGAAACGGAACTGTTTGTTTGATTTATTCAAATAAAATACTGCTTCGACGTTGTTATTGTGTAATAATTCATCAAATTTCGATGATCGGTTATCAGTGGTGAATATTATCGAGTTGGTGGATTCATCATCGAATAAGAATCCTCGGTACACACAAGTTCTGACTCTTGGGATCAATCTTTTGGAGTCGATGGTAGCAAATGAAAAGGTAACGAAGGATTTGTTTTCTGTGGCCAACCCGTTCTTGAATGCCGGGATCCAAGGGGCAATACACTGCATTGTGTGATGGGGATATTTGTTGGTGTTTTCCTTCAATTGTTGATTATTGTTGATGATGTTTGATCAAGAACTTTGCAACTGCTTGTTTTGTTTTTGTTTTTATTCCACTAAAATCGCCAGAGTGAAAAATTTGGAATGAATTGACACAAAAAACGATGGAAAAATCACCAGAAACTTGATAATATTATATATTAATAATCACAACCCTCTAGTAATTGCTATGTTCCCGATGAGTTTGGACAAATATATATATTTTTTTTTTTTGAAGAAAATTTTTTTTTCCCCACGCACTTACTTTTTTTAGGGATTTTCTATGTGCGATCCGTTATGGTTCATACTATATTCCCTTATTATCGTTATTATCGTATGATTACCATTCTTCTTATTATTATACAATATATATTTAATAAACACACTTCATAAGTTATCCTACAAACACTCAGAGACATTTTGTTTATTATCATCCATCATTAAATAAAGACTCTTCCCAATTAACGAGTCTTCCGTTTTTTAGCTCTGTCCCAAGCACTGCTCTTCTTTCGAGAATTCCCTGAAAATCCCTTATCATTATTGTTACCAAATATACTCCAATCTTCTCCAAAGAAGTTGTTTTCTTTGGCATTTCTTTTCTCTTTTCCTGTCTTCTTAGTCATCGTGCTTGGTAATCTTGTGAAATTCTCTTCTTCGTACCGCTCAATCTCGTCTTCCTTAGCCTGTTCTCTATTAGTCTTGATTCCTCCACGACCATGGTCGACAATATTACTACCAATTGACCGGGCAACCATTGGAGCATCGCCATGTTCGGCAATATACTCTTCCATCGATTGTAATTTCCGTCTTCTGTTCTCATTCTTACCATCATTAGATTGACGATGATCAGCGTTGGCAACTGGTGGGGCCACAGCACTGATCTTTGGTGGTCGATACTTCTCTCCCTCGGCTGTTGAATCTGATTTGACATTCTTCTTTTTGTTTTTGGAATCTAGTTTGCTTACCAATGCCATAGCATTTGGTTTGAAATTAAGATCAGCATCACTATCTTCATCGTCTTCATCTTCATTCTCGTCATTACTATTTTCTTTTTCTTCCTTGCTAAGCTTTTCAGAATTCGCACCCTTTTTATCCTCATCTTTGGCTCTATTATATGCTCTCACCATCTTATCCAATTGGTAACTGATTTTGTTTTCCAACCCTTTGACCCCCCTTTCTAATACCACTCTTTGTACCACGGTATTCTCAATACTCTTTTCTTTAGCTTTATTGATGGCATCATCATCAACCCCCTTCAATTCCTCAACTTTCAGCAACATCAACAATCCAAGACTGTTAACATATGACAACAATGCATCGTTCTTGAGTGACAATAGCGAGACTCCTGTGGCGTTATTACTATTGTTATTTGCCTGGATAAAAGATGGTAATTCATTATTTGATTGCAACTCTTTGGTGATCTTTCTGATCGATTCCTCAGTGGTTTCTGCGCTTGCTCTGATGGTTTTCAATAGACTAGTAATTGACTCTGAGGAGGCCATTATGCAATATGAACAGGATTGTTTCCCCCCAATAAAAGATATACAGCAATGAGCACTCAATAATAGTAAGATAAATTAAAAGTGAAAAAAAAATATAAAGAGAAAAAATTCTTTCTCGGTTACCCTCTGGGCATCGCAGACTGAGAAAATTTTTTTTTTTTTTTTTTTTTTTCTCTAATTAAAAGTTTCTCAGTTTAATCTTTCCATCATTATTATTGTGTTAGTTGTACCTTATCATTAATATATAATGCCTCAAAACGAATATATTGAACAACACATTAAACAGCACGGTCGTCGTCTCGATCACGAAGAGAAGAAGCGGAAGAAGGAGGCTCGTGAAGGTCATAGAATCGCCAAAGATGCCCAGAGATTGACCGGTTGGAGAGGTAAACAATTTGCGGCCAAGCGTCGTATTGAAAAGATCGAAATGAAGAAGAAGATCAGAGCCCATGAAGAAAGCAAGGTTAAGGGTCCATCTAAACCTAAGATTGACGAAGGTGAAGCGTTACCAGCTTATTTGTTGGATCGTCAAGAACAAAACACCGCCAAAGCGATTTCTTCATCGATTAAGCAGAAACGTTTGGAAAAAGCCGATAAGTTCTCGGTGCCATTACCTAAGGTGAGAGGTATCAGTGAAGAAGAAATGTTCAAAGTGGTGAAGACCGGTAAAAAGACTAAGAAGAAGGCATGGAAGAGAATGATCACCAAACACACATTTGTCGGGGAAAATTTCACAAGAAAACCAGCCAAGATGGAAAGAATTATACGACCAAGTGCTCTCAGACAAAAGAAAGCCAATGTCACTCATCCAGAATTGAAGGTCACTGTGTTTTTGCCAATTTTGGGGGTAAAGAAGAATCCACAATCGCCAATGTACACACAATTAGGGGTTTTAACTAAGGGGACAATCATTGAAGTGAATGTCAGTGAATTGGGGTTGGTGACACCAGGGGGTAAAGTTGTCTGGGGTAAATATGCGCAAATCACTAATGAACCAGATAGAGATGGGTGTGTGAATGCGGTGTTGTTGGTGTAGACGTGATTATTTTGTTTTTGAATTCGTTATCGATTGTTTTATATATCTATTTTTTTTGGCATTTATGTTTGTTTTGAATATATTGGTATTAATTGCATGAAAAGTTGCAGTGGTTGTAGTGAACGATGATGAGTTGGGTCAAGAATAAGATAATGGAATAAACATCTCCATGCACGTGACAATTTTCAAAAAATTTTCTCCAAAACAAAAAAAAATTTGGCGTTTTGATCAAACACCAAAGAAGGTTCTTGTTGAACCGTTGGAAGATTGTCGTTGTTTAATTGAGGCATCTGTTATTTACATCGCTTATTCACTTGTTGTCTTTCCCTGTTATCGTGGCTCTTCCTTTTTAACCGAAAACTGACACAAAAAATTTGACACAACAAGCTTAAGGACATTGATATATACTGTCTTTCCCCCAACTGTGTAGCGCAATTTATAGAAAAAGAAAGGATCTACTAACTCATATTGTTATTTTCATTATTTCTACTCTTTCTATTATCATTATTATTATAAATCCTTTGCAATGGACGCTAAACAAATAAAGACCGCGATTTCAAATCTTGAAAAATCGCAGGACGACGACGCCTCTTTGTTGGAGATTTTGAAGACTTTGGACCAGGGAATCAAGGCAACCGAGGCTCTACTTAGAGTAGGTATATATTATTTTTATTATTTATACGTTAGTGTATTTCCGTGTATGTCGAATCTTAAGAGAAGAACTAAAAAAGTGTCAAATGAGATCAGATATTCACCGAAATATTAAAAACGTATTAGCAAGAACACATTACTAACATTTCACCTTATAGGAAACAAAAGTTGGTATCGTTGTTAATAAATACCGTGGGTCATCGAATAATGAGATTTCCAGTTTAGTGAAATCTATGGTGAAGAAATGGAAAGAAGATATCAAAAAGAGCAAATTGAAGTCCGATGGCAAGACCCCTAATTCAACCGCTTCACAAAAAAATGGAACAACAACAACAACAACATCGTCATCATCATCATCATCTACAACAAAATCTACAACCACTACAAAGTCCGCCAGTACTGCTGGTACGGCAGAAAAATCACTAAAACCAGCAAGGGTTTACGAAGGTAAAAGAAGTTGCAAAATAGATGGGGTCGATTACCGTATCTACGAGGAACTGATAAGAAACTCCATGTTAGACGCCCTTTACACTGGTTTGGCCAAAGAAAACAAAACTAATGGTCCAAATGAGATCTTTGGTGTCGCTAAAGAAATTGAAACTGAAGTGTTTGGCATGAGTAACCATATGACTAACGATTTCTACCGATCTAAATTAAGAACTTTAGTAGCCAACATTAGATCTTCCAACAACCCTGAATTGAGAGCCAAACTTTTAAGTAGACGTCTTGCGGCCAATAAGTTTGTCAAGATGTCTCCGGAAGAAATGGCCAATGAAAACTTAAGAAAGGAAAGAGAACAAATTGAAAAGGAAAACTTGTTTAAGGCGAAGAGTGCCGTAGAAAAGAAGGCCGTCACCGATAGATTCCAGTGTGGTAAATGTAAGCAAAGAAAGGTTAGTTATTATCAAATGCAAACCAGATCTGCCGATGAACCTTTGACAACATTTTGTGAGTGTGTGAACTGTGGTAATCATTGGTCTTTCTCTTGATCAATTAGAGCTTGATCTATATATCGTTGTTGGTTGATGGTATATACTTGTTGATAATGTCTTGATAATTTTTTATTTTCTTATAGAACGGAATAGAAATGGTTGGCATGATGATCCTTTGGATACTAATAGTGATTATAACTAGATCAGGAAATATACCTTTCACAATAAAAAATACGCATCTTACATCGATACCCCTTGTTTTTCTTCTTCGTCTTCTTCTTTATCTTCTCCCTAGTTTATTTTTCTGATACCATTAGTGAATAAAGAACGTGTACCTTTAGTCAATTATATGTTTATTTTTTTTCTTCAAGAACACCAAAGTCTCATCTAATATACTTTCCGATTTTTATTTTCGCATATTTGTTATCAACATAGCTATTTTTAGCAATTTTTGTTTCTCCAAAATGTAACATTTCCCCTAACTACACTTAACATTACACATGATGGTAACATGAGGTCAAACGGAAAGCAGCAAGACCCTGGCATAAAAGATAATCCAATTGACCGTATGAAACTTGTGAACTGAAAATGATCTGGTCACTAGGAGTGGCATTTATGAGAGTTATTTCGATTTTCAGAAACATACGGTCAATATTCAACCAGTTCAGAGTAGATCTGGTAATGATGCATCTTAAAGTGTTTACTCGTAAGTTGATTGCATACTAAATTTTCTGCATCGAAATATATAGCCTAAATAAAGATGACATGAAAGCAACCGCTAAATGTGAAGCACCCAGATAAAACGGATTTCCAATCATGGAAGGTATTCTTGAAAAATTTCTGTTTCCATTGTCGTCTCATCTTTTATTTTATTTTTTTATTTTTTGTTTGTTTTTGCTTCCACTCTGTCTTCATCATACGTAACCTTCTCTTATACCTCGCATTAGCCCACGATAACAAGATAAATCCTAAGATTAATCACTATCAAATAATTCATCACTATCTGCCAATTCATCACCATCAGCCAAAAGCTTATCAAATAAGCTAAACTTTTTTCCCCGACCGAGATTGCAAATAATCTCTAAAGAATCATTACCATCGAACAACATATCGAAATTCTTGGCCAATCCACTATTATAGTAATTTTCAATCTTCACTGAAGGTGGCAAGCCGTAAAAATTGAAATATTCAAGGTCTTGAATATAGGTGTTCAAAAGAAACAAGTTTTTTAGCCCCTTCAAACTGCTGATTGATCTCAAATCTTCGAAACTGCTCGCTCCAGTCCAATTTAAATCTAAAGATTCGAGAGCCGGGAACTCACTTAACAGGCTGAAATCACTCACAGGGTTCCGCACCTTGCTTAATTCCTTTAGATTAGGATGGCTTAAATTTGAAATACTTGAAATGTGGTTATTCCCAAGGTTAAGGATTTGAAGAGATGGGAAATTTTCAAGGGTTTTCAGTCCTGATGGAGTTATGGGAAATATCTAAGATCTTGAGATTGGGAAATTTTGAACTGGGAAGATTTTTACGGATATTGAAATTGGTACTTTCTAAAGCGTCCCATGAAGAAATATAGTTTTCCGCTAGATTTAATTTTGTTAATTCAGGAAGCCGGGAAAAATCCACTGTGATAAATCAATACTGGTGAGTGGAAGCAAATACTGCAAATTCTCAAACATTCTAATATGGTAATTATTCATGAACTTCAAACACTTTAATTTAGGTAAATATTCTAAGCTTGGGATTTCTGATAGTTCACTATTTTGAAATTTCACATTGTCAACTGTTAACTCTTTCAGATTACCCAATAAATTGAACCCAAATGTTTTTCTAGCGATTCTCACTTTAGAAAGTGCAAGGCTTGATAGTTTTTCTATGTCCATTTCTTGAATTCCACAATTTCCTAATGTTAATTTTTTAAGTTTTGGAAAATATAATGACTTCACGTTCAAAACTTTGGAAAACTTTTCTTTATTCGTGTTATGGTAATCCACATGAGCAGCCTCTGTATCACGATCAATTTCAATTTCACTGCCACTATCATTATGAGTGGTATTATAATAACAATAGTTAGAAGACAAAATGATTTTCAATTCTTGCAAATTTGCCGAGTTCTGACAAGACCCATCAAAATAGTTTATACAATCTACTAATTCCAACTTCTTCAACTTGGAAAGATCATACTTTGAATATTCAAACACACTCTTTAGATAAGTAATTAGGCGCATTACATATAAATTGCGATGAATTCTTATCATGTTGCTCAGATTTTCTTACCCGTCAATAAGGAGCTATTGCTTATGACCATATTTACCTTACGAAAGCGCCATCATCTCATATTGTACGAATACTGATAATAATTTCGAATTCTGAAAAAGCCCTCTGATTAATATCCTCGTCAATCTATAATGTTTGGGAGCCTTGTGTCAGTCTACCAGTAGTACAGACCTTCTAACATGGAACGATGGCCGAGGGCTCATAACCAAAAATAAATCCACTACCTTTGTAACTTACAACGATCAATAGTTACTACTGTCATGGATATAGAAGAATCAAGACTCACAACCAAATTCCTGTTTATATTTATTATTATTATTACATTAATATCTATAAACCGGTATTTAGTTATCCGTCTACTACAATCATGAATCCTGAAACCATTCCAACCTCCAACGAAGCTATCACCGAGTCAGCTCCAATTGCAACTCACCACGAAGCCAAAAAAAAAAAACTCTGGATTCGTCACTATCAAGGAGTTGCGCGAACTTAAAGATATGTTCTCCAGTATGTTGATCATGATGAAATCCTCCGTCAACGCCGCCAGCGACCATCCTGTAAACGAACCAGTGCAACGCCTTAAAATATTAAAATTATCATAATAGCTCATGCAGGAAATGTTAACATGCATGACCTCGAATTACAATAGTATGCATTTATGTTGGAGATTGGTGTAGCACGAATTTCCAACTCCCGCAAGTTTGGAAGTTTCCATTTAGAGCCATCAAAGTTCTCCAGCGAATCTATTAATTTCAACTTCTTTAGACGAGAAAGGCGAACAACGGGCAAAAATCGCCAGATTGGTCATTAAATAGTGCTAAGCTTTCCAAGGAGCCAATAGAGTTTGCAAGCATTTCCTCGTTGTCACCAGTGCGAATTTCCATCTCTTTGAATTTTTTGGTAATTCAAACATTTTATATACTTTAAATTTTTGGCACAATTAACAAATTCAACCCATTGTTCTCTAAAAGAGTTACAGAGAGACTGTAAAAAATAAATTTTCCTGGTATTTTTCTGGCAAGCTCCATTGCTTGGTGATCACGCATGAACTCATTGTCATAAAATAATACATCACTAGTTATTATACTAGAAATAGCAGCAATATGTTGAAAAACATATGATCCTATGTCAGTCCTATTTATTCTTGGGATTGTAACATAGAGTGGAAGGTTTTCCACTCTGTACTTAGGTCCATCAAAGTATTTACCAGTAGATCGGTCAATGATGATGATCCTATTAAACGAAAAAGAGTCAATACATTCTAATAATCGTGATTCGTGAAAAACAGCAACGATATTTCGTAATTCTACCAACCAAGTCTTTTTTACAATTTTTTAAGACGAGCGGCGACAATTTCAACGGTAATTTGACTAGTATTTCCATTATTTGTTGGATACTCACTACTCAAATAACAAAAAACCTAGAAACCTCTGGAATTTTTTCTATTTTTTTTTTTTTGGAAAAAATTATTTGGGAATATATATGGCAATACTATATTTCTTATTATTGATTACCTTTTTTGGGATATTTTCAAATGTAATTGAAGATGCTCCTTTTGATGAAGTCATTATGAATGATGAAACAGTCAGAAAACCATGAATCTGTCCAAGAATACTAAGATCAAGAATGTATTATAAAAGCTAATGCCAAATTCCAAAATACTTTAACCAAATTTAATAGAGTATCTAGATGGGCTGGGCTTTTAGAAACCAATAATTTTGTGCATCAAGAAGTCCCTTGAACGTACAATTCGCGACAAAAAAAGAGCACTTGGAATCTATAGGAATTTCTATAAAGGCAGGGAGGGAACTCTGGCTCGCGATCTTCAACTCACAAAAAGAAAATGATGAGCTTAGTTAAGGACTCATTGGAATTTTTTGACAAATACTTCTTCATTTTCAATGGCCAAGTTTGTCTCAATCACGGTATCGTTCCAAAATTTTTAGAAATTGCAAATGATTATTTCAGTGAGACCAGAACTGAGGTTGTACAAACCATTATGGAAAATTTAAATGTTACCATTGGTGATAAGACATATAGAACAACAGCAACAGTTAACAGAAACAACAGAAATTTTCTTGAGTTTGAGTTGAATAATTCAGAGAATAAACTCCAATACTTTGTACTAATAACCAAACAAGAGGAAATTTTCAAAGAAAAGGACTATCGATACAGCTCTCTACATGGATACTTGGAAACTAAATTGGGGGATAAGTTACCGGTGATCGATGTAGCCGAGGGCTGTCTTATCAAAAATGAAGATGAGAAAAGCAATAAGGATAAAGCATTTCGAAAAGAGGAACAAAAAAGCGGCATAAAACCAAGAGTAAAAAGAAGCATTGAAAGATAATTAGATTAGAAACAATATTTACAAACAACATCATCTTATTAGGACCATAATAACTAGGAATATTTATTGTATTGACTTGGTATTATGACAGAAGAGCAGAAATAAGAAAAGAGATAAGATCAGAATAAAATCCGGGTAATAGCGAAAAGTGGAAATCCAGGAACGATGATGAGGAGAATGAGAGTAGAAAAACACCACACAATGATTAAAACCCCCTACCATCCATTATAACATTGAATTATCCACATCAACTTTTTTGGAAATTGGAAAAACTGATCAATTTTGATTGATTGATACAATCTTTTGGTTTACACTCTAATCAATTTTTTTTTTTTTTTCCCTTTCCTTTTTTTTTCTTTTCTGGAAGTTGCTGCAGATATTAGTTGTCGAAAGAACAAGCCTTCTTCAACAAGAAGAAATAAGATTAACAATGCCAAACGAAAGAGAAAGATCGGTGTCTCCTACCGCCCCAATCCCAAGAGATGAAAACTCCCCTGATTTGTCGAAATTGAGTCCACAAGAGCTCCGGATCTACAAATTGTACGGGAAATTGCCTTCGAAAAACGATATCTTGAGCAAGAAACTTAAGGACAGAAAATACTTTGATTCTGGTGACTATGCCATGAATAAGGTCAGATCTCAACAGCAGCAACAGCAACAGCAGCTGGAAGGACAGCAACAGCATCATCAAGGAGGCACCCAACAATATCAGAATTCACCACCCTCTTCATCATCTTCATCCAATGCCGTGCCTGGCGCATCAGTTCATGGTGGCGGTAGACAGAGAAGTGGTAGTATACAGCATCATCACCATATTGGAAGCTTGTCGTCTTCGCCAACCAAGGTTCCGGATGACGATTTCATCACGAGCTCTGTCGACAGCAATAATTATTTGCCATTACCTAACGTGGAAAAGATTATGAACTTACAAAAGAAGAAGAGTATCACTAGAAATGGGTCAATTATATCCACTACCAATAAGGAAATTACTGGAATTAGTTTGAAGTCGAATTTAGAAACTGAAGTTGATTCAGATGATATTAATTGATACTTTTAGTTTTTCCTCCATTTTTCCATTTTTTTTCTTCACTTGTTATACTTTCTTTTCCATTATAATTACCTTTATTAAGTTTTTTTTTTCTTTTTTTTTCTTAATGTTAATCTTTTTTTTTTCTCCCTCTCTAAGGTTTCTTTTGTATGTCTAGTCTTGATTTATTGATTTTGACCATCATTTGGTCTATCCAAGATGATGATACTATACCATTAATTGCATATGTTGATCAATACACTGAGCTGATCAGTAAGAACAGGGTAAAAGGAGGGGGGGGAGCTCATCTAATACAGGAATTATTTGTGCGAATATTTTGTATGTGGAATCAAGAACTTGACAAGTTCCATTTCATCATTGATGGATGTATGTGGCCAGTGTCCGAATTGATCTTATTCTATCTAGATCATTGCTATTAAAATACCTCACCTCCACCGCAATAGCTGCTAATCTATGCCAATTCTTTAATATCACAACCAACTGTAAAATTCACCCACAAGATGCATGTTGGTGGTTTCTCCAGTAGGGCAACACCTCGTATAAAAAAAAAATAAACCATCGTATCATGCGCCAACAGAATATTCACACCGAATTGATTATTATTTCGTCATAATTCTTCAATTGTCTTCGCTTGAGTACTGCTTGCTCATTCTATTTATTCAATAATCATAAAAATAATAATTATGTCCCAGAAATCAGAAGCCGAAGCCTCAGATAATACCAATCTCACTGCGCCATCATTGAACGCCATCTATGATTCCAGCTTGCTAGACGAAAACGACGCCACCAACGATGTTTATAATGGTTTTGATCAAGATGTCGCCAAAATGAGCTCGCGCACACACGTCCAAATATCCTCATCTAGACCATTGCGTGAAAAGCTTAAGAATAAAAACCTTTGGATGCTGCTGTTTGGCAAAATCTGCGTCCTTGGACTTTCGGGGATCGCTTTTGTCAACATCAGTGAAAACATTCACGATAATCACTTATTGACTTCGAATGCTGCTTCCCGTCCATTTGCCTTGAGCTGTAAGGTTGCTACCGAGGTCTTTGACTCCCCCGAAATCCCAACAACTTACATTGCCTTTGCCTGGGGGGTTGTATTGGGGACTGCTCAACCTGTATTGGACTTGATCTTCCCAGACTGCTTCACTACAAAATTATTCCACTTGAACAGTGAGAAGTCATCATCTTCATCAATTGTTGATTTCTCAAGTATTGTCCGGGCCACCATCGTGCTCTTGGGGATTTCCTTCGGGTTGAGGAATGTTGATTGGGAAAGCACGTTACAAGCGTCAATTGCTTTTAGCTCTTTGAACATCTGTGTGTGGTTATTGTTGGACAGTACGATTTCAGGGTTCATTGGGTGTAGCAGTTTGGCAGTTTTGGCCACTGCATCGGTGGTGGTATTTGACGACAGTAACAATGTGAATGACTGGAAGCAAGTAATGGATTTCCAAGGGCTTCTTGCTGGCGATCAAGAGTTTCTTGCGTTGAACATGTTTACTGCCAGTTTCTTTTTCTGTCTGTTGATTATTTATGGGAAGATTGGCAGATTTCTTTTCAGGGAATGAGCTATCATGATAATGTTTTGTAATATTGTTTTTTATTGTTATTTCTACCATGCTAATGTCGCTTAATGCCCTTTATTATATAGTTTACTAAATAAAATCAACAGTTTTATGTCGAATAGTTACATCGACGACATTCATGTAAATATGTGCATGATGATGTACACGCCATACGGTATATATGCAAGTGCTTCGCAGCAGCAGAGAATATTGCACCGGGTAATAGACGCTTATTTTGTGCCAACGATCATTGGCTTAACAAATTAGAAAGGATGCAAAAAATTAGTGAATTGCAACAAAAAAACACCCATCACCAACCATCTCCATCGTTAAAGATAACAGTCATTCAATAATGTCCGGGGGTCCAGTTCCAGTGTACAAGAAATATACTACCGGTTCCAAAGGGATCTGGGAAATACTAAGACAATGGTTGACTTTGGTAAGTAGATGATTTTGTATCGATAAAGCAGCCCAAGTTTTTCAAGAGATTTACTAACATATAACCTCTGCTAGGTGCCAAACCGTTCTTCTGGTAACCCAATAGTCCCACTCTACCGTGCCGTGCCACCAGGTTCTCAACCAAAGGCCCCACTTTATACTGATCCATTCACCATTCCAACCGGGGATATCAAAGCCAACCCATTCTACAAGCGTGACCACCGTCGTAACTATCCTCAGATATCTTCTTTTGACCAAACAAAGATCTCTGGTCTCTTGACCCTTGGATCAGTTTCCAACCCTCGTATTTCCATCGGTAACAAGGGCCAAGAAGAATTATTGCCATTCAAGGCCTCCAATGACGAAACCTTGTTGAGCAAGACCTTGCCTACGGTTTCCCGTAAAGTCATCCAAGAAGAGATCCTTGGGGCTCAAAATAGTGCCATTGTTGCCCCAAGTTTGACTAGAAAGAGAACCTGGGTCATCGTTCCTGAAGCCAAGAACGGTATCTACGGTCCAGAATTCCCATGTCGTCTTTTCAATACCGTTCCAGTTCAAAACGCTTGAGTTATTGTCTTTCTTGAGATCGTTTTGAAGCGAATTGTGGCGAGAATTTGAAACGTTGTATCATTATGCGAAAGAGGTGAAAGCACTCGCTCAGATAAAACAAAGTTGCTTTTATATTGTGGTTGGTTATGGAATAACCTTCCACATGTTCATCCTCAGAATTATAATACTACTATAGTATTTTCTTATTTTTTTTTTGTTATGGATCTTTACTCATAGTATCTTTTCATTCGAAGGTCCTTTAATATTATCACATATAATCGTCATTATTTTTTTAGTATATCCTGTTACTCATTTGTTGGCATTTCTGTAGTTGGGTTTCTGTAGTTGACAATGTGTCTTTCAAGAGACAAGGGATGTATTACCTAGAAATATTTATTAACAATTATTCAAGGAAATAATTATTGTAGCACTACTTACTTAAGGCATGGAAGAAGATGAATGATCTGGTTCTCATAGAGGGTGAAGGCAACACTTATTATCTTTCAATACCAATTGTCCTTCGTAGAAAAAAAAACACATACACTGTATACCAGAAACTCCATACATATTACCTAGTACAATTTCCAAATTCACTGTCTCATTATCTTGTTAGTACCTGCCAGAAAATGGGCATATATATAAACAACTGCTAAATGCACGCTGAAGCACTAACACTTTTCACAACTTTTTGGTGAGGGAAAATCATCCCATCTCCATGATGATGAGCGACAATACTAAATGCTACCAATCAGAAGTATATCTAAGTTAATACGGTGCTTCAGTAACACTGCAGGCGTGTCTATTAAGCGCAACAAATTACCTCCTCGTCCCAAGGTGAGCGAGGACGAGATCGAAGAGGTGTTTATCAAAGGAGGGTATGTCTTAGATTGTTGAAGTTTTGTATTTGCACCAACCATGAAGACTAACATTTATATTTTTAGAGGAAATGGTGGGCAGAAAGTAAGTATCGTTGGAAGTTATGTCAATTAGAAGAGCTAAAGTTTAAAACTAACAGCAATTTTTTCAAGATTAATAAAACAAACAGTAAAGTCCAGTTAACACATATTCCAACAGGCCTTGTTGTTTCATCACAGGCTACCCGTTCACGAGAGCAGAACAGGAAACATGCAAGGGAGCAGCTTGCTTATAAACTCCAAGAACTTCTTGATCCAGAGAATTCTAGGGCCAAAGCCCTTCGTGAACTACGGATCCAGAAGAAGCATTCTAAAGTCAAGAAAACTAAAAAGAAATATAAGTTGTTGGACGAAGAGAAACAGAAGCAAAAAGAATTGGAGAAGAATGAAGAACAGGAGGAGATGATTTTCAAGTTTGAATAGGTTGTTGTCTATGATAATGAATAATGAAATAATAGTTATGATAATTATGATGATTATGTTATCACTTGTAAATTACCGTCTGAATGGTATATATGGTATTTTTCAATAGTGAAAATTCTCGGAACGGTATCTGTAGAATTATACAATTCATATCTATTCATATCTATTCATATCCACGAAAACCATGAATACAGTTAGAAAAGTTAAAACAAGAGCACCTAGATCACGGGACGAAATAATATCCAAACAACTCGCATGGCTACTTCGTCATGGAGCACAAAAGGAAGGTCTCTCCATCGATTCTCAAGGATACGTCCCCGTCCCTGAAGTGTTGGCCCACAATAAACTCAAATCCAACAAGACGACTTTTGAAGACCTCCAGCGGATTGTCGGCAATGACAAAAAACAACGGTACACTCTCAAGTCTGATGACGATTCCGATCCCAAAAAATCGCGAATTTGCGCTAACCAGGGCCATTCTCTTCAACAAATAGAAGTGGAGCTCACAAAGCTTGATGATTCATTCACTGATGCCATCATTCACGGGACCTCAATATCTGCTTGGAAATTGATCAATGAGTCTGGTGCACTCTCTAGAATGACCCGTAATCACATTCATTTTGCTGTTGATGTTCCTGCAAATAACAATAGCAAGGTCATCAGTGGGATGAGAAACTCTTCCAACGTTTTCATCTATATTGATAAAGAGAAAGCCGAAAAGCAGGGAATCGAGTTCTACAGAAGTATTAATCAGGCGATATTGAGCAGTGGGAATTCTGAAGGGAAGATCCCGGTTGAGTGTTTCGCTAAAGTGGTGGACCGCCAGGGAAACTACTTGCGATAAAGTTACTAACATATATTATACCATACATTTTATATATTCGTGCCATAAATTTCAGATGTTGTGCTCATGTGTTACACTGCAAGACGTATAGCAAAGGGATGTTAAGAATCTGCGCGCCGCTCATTGACAACACATGAGAATATATCTGTAATATAAGCTTGGTCTCGTGTTAATCGACGGATTGAGAGTCTTATATTATAATTTGATCTACTAATGGTTATATCAAATGAAATAAAATGAATTGTTAAAGTAAGTATAAATACTGTGTAAAGATTTAAGCGTCTCCATTAAAATAAGAATAATAAAATGGAAAAACGAGAAAGATCGCTCTATTTAAGATGGTTCGATCTTCTACTAGAACTATTGGACTGTTCTAGAAGATAATAGAAGATAATAGAAGATAATAGAAGATAATAGAAGATAATAGAAGATAATATAAAGTAGTAGAAAGTAATAGAATGTCCTAGCATGTTCAAGAAACCTTAAAAGGGAATTCTTCGAAATACTAGAATGTTCTACGAAAGATTATTAATGAAATAATGTATCCAAGAAGTGCATTAAAAGCAGTAATATGATACCTTGAGCATAACCTATGCTAAAATGTCTGGCTAATATATTAAAGGAACTATTCTCCTATATCATCCAGTAACATACACTGTAACATTTGATGGCTTGTCCAAGTCTCTATAATATGGGTTATAAATGCATAATCCATGGCAAGTGAGGATACCGCATCCTGGTTCGGAAATTTTGAAAATTGATCAAAGGTATTAAAAGTCAATCAATGATGCTACTAATCACCATTTAAAGCAGTTAAAATGTGGGGTTTTCAAAGAATCTTACAAATGAAAACGATTTCACAGTTATCATGCATGTTGCTTTTATGCATGATAGTTTAGCTAAAAAGAGTCCTTTAAAAAAATATATTTGAAGTCAGAGCCAATATATAATGATAATCATCATATACTCCATCAAATTTTATCATTATTCATTCTTAATTAGTGATGGAAATCCTAGGCGAGTTACAAATAGAACTGCTTCCAAATGTATTCAAGAATATTGAAAAAGTGGAACTACGGAACTTGATTGCGGATGAACATCTGCCACAGTTATTATATTATATTGTTTCCGCATTATTTCAAAGAATTTTCGTTCTTGGGGGTACTATTGATACTTTTCCCACTGAATGGAAGCTCCCAAATTTGGAACTGTTGATAATTTATGACAGCTCAAGAATAGTGATTGTGACTGCTTCCAGCATTAACTCATTAAATTTCCCGAAAATAGAAAGATTTGAAATATCGGAAGAAATTGTTCTGGATTTTTTGAGTCACATGGATTCAGAGAATTGAATATTTCTGGAAAAAAAAACTCACTTTAGAAAGGAGATTTTAGAAAATTGCGTGTGATTAACAACTTGAAGAATCAACTGTAGCTGGATGGCGTAGCCACTTCATCACAGCCGATTCAAATGTTTTATTTTTTATTGAAATCACCAATTTAGCAGCAATCTTATGGGCGATACCAATTGATTTTATCTACAGCAGCAATCCTTTCCTTCTCTTCTTCATGTAAACTTTGAACTTTTAATCACCATGATTTTTGATAATTCGTTCTGAGTCAGTTGGTGTTAGGACTCACCATACCACCAGTACGGCTGGCTACCATTTTGTATCAGAATAGGTCTATTTAAAGCTTAATTCGTAGATGTTTATAGTTTACACTAATAAGACATCGAGATCTATATATCCACGATCCTAACAGTTGGTGATGAGTCTTATCTGTATATAAATATGTATTGATCTGCATACATACGTTAATATCAAGAGGATATTATAGGTTGATATTATGACAGAATGAAAAATGAAAGCGTATTAATGAAACCGAAGAGGTTATAGAGACGAGAAAGAGACAATTATATATATATATATATATATATATATATATGTACATATATTGCGAAAACCCCAACCCCAAAAACTGTGGACCCGTATAATGTATATCCCTCCGAGACTACAATTCCTCAAGACCGACATGCAAATAGATGTCAGTGATGAGTAATACCGGATCTGGTGTTTAGTTTACTGGCTTCCTAATATGGAGGCTATTACAATCTACTAGTATGGTATCACCGTTTCGAAATGAGTCACCTATTAAGAGTATGTAAATCATGAAAGGCAAGAAGTGTCCAGATCCCTGTAATACTGCGTATTTTCCAGTAATGATAATCTTGTCTACAGAACGAAGTCTCGTCAAAATTGCAAGTTTGATATAATCATAATCATCTCTAAACCCTCTCTCATCCTATTTTTTTGTAATTTCTTGTTGGTGCAATCAGTCAACCGGTCCGGCGCACCCTTCACAATACGGGGTTGGTTCCCCGGAGATACACGGCAACCGGCGCTTTTACCGATAATGCTTCTCAAATTTTTGTGATTTTTTGGAGTCATTCGCTCTTCAACATAAAAGGTTTCACAAAAAAAAAAAAAAATGAGAAAAAAAGAAAAAGATGATCCGCTAAGTAGTGTGACAGTATAATAAGCAATGACCAGTATAGAATCACCAAGGCCATCGTTTCTTCAACTGATGAAGGGTTTCCCATTTGGGCAGGTCCTCATCATGTGTTTAGCGCGGGTGTCTGAACCTATTTCTTTCAGTTCGCTTTTCCCCTACGTTTATTTCTTGACCAGAGATTTTCATATCGCCAGGACCGAGGCAGAAATTTCCATTTATGCTGGGTATTTGGGGGCTGCGTTCTCCTTAGCCCAAGTATTGTCGGCAATCCAGTGGTCGAAGTTCTCTCAGGTACATGGCCGAAAAATTGCAATTATGTGTGGTTTATCTGGTTCGATGTTGTCTATGTTATTATTAGGTTTTGCTAAAAGATACGAAGTAGCATTGTTAGCGAGATTTCTTATGGGACTCTTGAATGGCAATATTGCCATCCTAAGAAGTAGCATTTTAGAAATTCCAGAGATTGCGAATAACAGAGATTTCCAACCGCTTGCCATAAGCACCTTCCCGCTTCTTTGGCAAATCGGTTGCATCGTCGGGCCTCTTCTATCTGGTAATTTAGTTCATCCGAAGGAAGATGATGATTATTATAAGAAAAATGACCCCCAAATGTTTTTGCCAACCATGTTCTCCAGCACGGAAATCGGACAAATAGCAGCAACAAAATCCAAAGATTTCTTGACCAGAATGTTTCCCTTTTTAGAAAAGCTCAATGAGAGGTATCCTTATGCTTTGGCTAATATTGTGGTCTCTTATTTTCTATTCAATAGTATTATTGTGGTGTATTTTTTCATGGAGGAAACTCATTATTCTAAGAAGTATGAATATGACAGCGGCTTGGCGGCAGGTGATAAATTTTTGAAATTTTTGGGCCTTCGTAAAGAAAATTCCAGTATCAGACCTTGGGAATTAAAAAATGATAATGCTACCAGACCTCTTATCGAAGAGGAAATAAGGACTCATGTTGATGAGGATCCACTCGAGTACGACGATAACGATGAAGAAGGGGACGAAGTGGTTAATTTTCTCAATTCTTCAAGTCCAGACTCATTATCGGAACATTCAAGTTTGACATGTAACCGGAAAACTGCATTATCTAATGAATGCCCTGTATCTTATGGGGGTACAGATAATTATGACAATAATTCTCGTACTTTGAATATTTCCACAACCATTAGAAGAACCCGTTCCTTTAAGTCACTGAGAAAGCCACTGATGAGGGAAATTGGCCCATTCAATAGGAGACAGTCTGTTAGCTTGGCTCGTACTGTCTCTTGCTCAAGTGATATCAGACGACTTGAGCAAGATGACGATACCAAGATTCCTTGGAGAGCTCTTAGAAATCCACGATGCTACGCCCCAATCTTAGCAAATCTCTTATTAAGTATGCATAATATCTGTTATGAGGAATTTGTACCGCTTTTCTGGTCTAATGATGTTGGTTATGATAAGAACGGAAATTTTGATTCTCAATTTCCATTCAGAATAAGTGGCGGTTTAGGCCTCAACACTGAGGAAGTCGGGAAGATTTTATCATTGACTGGGTTCTGTGGAATGTTTGTTATTCTAATTATTTATCCTTATGTCGATCGCCATTTTGAATCGACCAAGTCTTTTACTTGTTTACATTTAGCATTGATTCCAGTGTATATCGTTTTGCCTTATTGTGTTTTTACATTGCCAGATAGAACACATCACTATGAGCCAAAAGAATCGAGGGATTTATTTAATACAAATTTGTTTTTGTACCTGATTAGTTTCTGCAAGGTTTTCGCTACATCGATGATGTTCCCATTAGTCCAATTTCTCACCCATATCGGCGCCCCTCCGAAACATCGGGCCATTATTAATTCCTTGGCAATCACTGCCAGTGCGTTCTCAAGATGTATTTTTCCGATTCTTGCAGGATTTTTGATGACGTTTTCAATGAGCCACAGCATTGCCTGGTTATTCTTTTGGGTTGTGGGATTAGGTGCCACTTTAGGACTTTTCCAAAGTTTACAATTGGTAGAAGAGGCCAAAGATGAACCTGAACCGGAAACTGTTTGAAAGGGGGAACTAGAATCCCATGAAAACGTATAACTTCTCTCTTTTCTTTTCTTTTTCAGTACGCTTCCCGGTGTTCTTGGCCAGATTAGATTTTGTTATGGTATACCATGATGGTATCTAAGCTATGCCTCCAAGCAATCCTACGTATGGTACCAATGCTGGATTTCCCTGATTTTTATGGGTTGCTAGTCGTAGACTAGTACTAGTAACATATTATTAGAAGCTTCAAATAGTCAGGAAGGAAGAATTTACTATAAACGATTGCTAAAACCTGTAATTACTTTGATGAGTAAATTATATAGAACATAAAACAAATAGCATTAACTTGACCGACCCAAAAGAATCCTATAATTGTAATGAGCTAGAATACCAATCCCAGTGGCTCGGTAATTGCTGGTGGCTTGAACAATCCGACTAACCAGTCTGATACTGCTTCCGCTGCGAATCCCAGCAGATTTAGCTGTTATTATGTTGCATCATGCATAAAATAGTTGATTAAGAAAACTCTCAAAAAAATATATTCAAAGACAGAACCATTATAACCATAATTATCATCATACTGTGAATCAAAAAACAAAAAAAAAAAATTATTTTCTGCTGATTGAGAGACATATGTCTAATAAGCAATGCGTGCCCCAGGTGAGTTGCCAATAGAATTGTTTCCAAATGTGTTCAAGAATATCGAAAAGCCCCGATTAGTGGAGCTACCAAACTTGATTGTTGACGATAGTCGTTCACTATTATTGTACTATATTAATTTTCTATTGTTTCAAAGGATTTTCTTTTTCTGAAAATATTATTTGAAGAGTGTTAAACTGGTTTGGTTACAGGATGGTCGCTGGCGGCGTTGAGGATTTCATCATGGTCAAAATACTGTAGATCACATCTTTGAGTTGGTTGAAATACTTGATAGTGACGAATTCAGGGTTGTCGTTGGATTCGTGGTGAGTCGCAATTAGAGTTGACTCGGTGATAGATTTGTTGGAGGCGGAAATAGTTTCAGGATTCATGATTGGGATAGACGGAGAACTAAATGTCAGTTTTTAGATATAATAATAATGATGATAATAAGTATAAAGTAAATGTAAACGTTTAATAATTTATAAACAGGAATTTTGTTGTGAGTCTTGATAATGCTATACACACGATAGAAGTAACTATTGATCGTTAAAAACTACAAAAGTAGTGGAAGTATTTGTGATTATGAGCCCGTGACCATCGAGCCATGTTATGAGGTCTCTACTACGGGCAGACTGACAAAGAGCATCGAATTGAAGCTTCTTGAATTCTATTTAGGAGCTCCTAAGGTGAAGAATAATTTCTGCAAAAGTGGCCACGAACATCCCCAGGAAGTTGTTTGCTTGGTTTCACAAAAACTTTTGGAGAAATTAAAATCAAAACTATCGATGATGACTCTGAATGGCATCTCTCCAATTTAGAACTGCTGAGAATTTGTGACAGCTCAAGAACAGTGACGGCTTTCAACATTAAAACTTTAAATTTCCCAAAACAGAAAGATTGTCATAAAGAAAGTGTCAAATTAGAACAACGAAAGATTTGAAATATCGGAAGGAAAACGCAAATGACGATGGGATACATCAATTTGATTATTTAATCCAATTATCAAAACTCGCATGTCTATATTTATCTAAAAATAAGATCGAAAGTCGTAATGACTGGGTGAAAAATAACAACATCAAATAATTAAGGTCCTTTCACAGAATCACTGCTTTTTTCAATAAGTTCAAAATTTTTTTATTTCTCCACAAATGCACAACTAAACCTAAAGATACTTTAAAGAATCAATTATTTAGCAAGCTCACAAAAGTGCTTTGAAGCCATTTCCTTACGGCCGATTCGAATGCTTTATTATATTGAAACCACTCACTTAGCGGCAATCTTATAGCCAATGTTCACCATGGCTGAGATGTGGTTCATTTAATCATACCTTCCATACGTACAAGAGAATATCTTTATAGCAACATTTAGTAGTAAACTTGTAGAAAAGATTTGATCTCGTGTAAGAGAAGTTGCGATGCAATCCACGTAAGAGTTTCACAACCCCCAAAGATAAGAGATTGATGACCAGAAAAACGACAGCCAGTACTCTGGGTGTTTGATAATAATAATGAAAAAATGATTCACACCAATATTTCATAGATACCATAGTAATAATATTGATTATAATTAATATATCACCCAAGCAAAGATTACCCGCCATCGTAAATTCGGCCGAAGAGGATGAGCTCATCGCCTCGGGCCAAAGAAACCGTATTTTTCAAAACATTTCACCAAGTTCCCTGCTCATCATCAAAACAACTGTGCTAACTAATATTTATATGCAATATGATGGGAGAAAAGAAGAGAAAATACCGCAAAAGACAGTCGTTATCGTGCTCTAACTGCCGGGAGAGAAAGGTTAAGTGTGATCGGAACCACCCGTGCTCAGCTTGTACCAGAAAAGGCTGTCAAACCTCCTGCACATTTGACTCTTTGGCGGCCTCGTTGCCACCATTCAATAGATCAAATGAGATTTTGGCCAATGAAAATTACCAGACAATTCACAACGATGATTCCAGTCCCAAAAGTTCTGCCAGTGGCGTCAGTATGTACAGCAAATCCACGAACAGAACGTCATTATACGAACCTACCGGATCTGATCCCCAAATATTATCCGAAGTTTCGTCAGCGTATTTTGGTAATAATCCTTATGCCTCAGATGAAGAAGTGATAAATTTCTACGATGGTTTGCCATGCTACCCTAATTCACATGGGAATGAACCCGTAAACTATGGTCCGTTATCATGGGCATATCTTGAGATCAAGGATGTTGCGTTGAATTTGTTATCGGAGTATCTGAACTTGCACTACAAATCTGGGCCAGGAGGCTGTCCTAAAGCCGGCTACATGAACGAAAATGGCATTTGGCAAAGGCCAGGGATGAATGAAGATCTGAAGGTTTCCGAAAAGCCTAAAGTCTTCGATGTATTTGAACGACCAGACATGACAGAAAAGACCCTTGGAGAAGAGTTAAGGGATTACTTTTCCAATCAGAAATTGATGGTGCTTGCCACTGACGTCTTTTTCCATACTTCCCTCCCAGTGACTGAAGTGATACATGAGAAGGTATTTAGGGGAGCAATTAAGCGAGTGTTTGGTGAACTTGAGATGCAGGAAAAACCGACACGACGTCTAAATATCAGCGATCGCACTGATCTATCTTATGTGGGCACACTTTTGATTATCGTACGGTTTGCATTTTTATTACTGTCTCCCAACTGTAAGTTTAAGAGAGAGAGGGAGCCCTGGAATGATCCCATTGCAGAGTATATTTTGACCCATCCTGTGAACTTGGATGGAATTGCTTTGGCTCAAAAATGTTTTCAAAAATTGACTTGTTTCTCTGACCCGTCGCTCGAAATGCTTCAGTTTGCGATGTTTATCCAATTTTATCAGCAATTTGCCCCAGAGTTTGGGGAGTGTATATATGGTGGGAAGTTTAAAATCGGGACGGGGATGGCATTCCAAATGGCATATTCTCTTTCTTTGAACCGCGATCCTGACAATTGTTTATTCTCAATACCAGAGGAGGAAAAAAACGTTCGTCGAAAATTATGGTACACTTTATTGTGTTGCAATTTGATTCAATCTTATTTATATGGTCACCCACTCCATTATGATTCACTTTTTTATGATACAAAAGCACCACAGAATAGTGATAAGGTGCACTGCGCTTCATTTTATGTCAGACTTGATTGGTTATTCACACCATTGAGATCAGTACTTCATCTGATTTTGGATATATCGGGCAATACTAAAATGTCAGAACTTACCCGCGAACTTAGCGATTTTGAAATAGTGCTCGATAAATCTTTTGGCAGTTTGCAAGATAATATTGATACCCATTCAACAGAATCATGTGATTCTACCGGGTCTATCAAGTTTTGGATGTCGCTTCGGATTTTCTTGTTGAGTGTTTACAATCATTTTAAATTGCATTATGAAGCTAAGAAAAACACTGAGCTTCTGTTCTTTTATACAAGAAAAATCTTCCATATCGGCATTGTTGAGTTTTTGCCATACCTTTACCTTTTTTCTAGTGAAAAGAAAGTACTCGGTACTTTTTCAGAGTTCCTAGTTACTCCATTCCTTCTCCAACTTTGTCACGGGGTTTCGATCAGTATTTTCTCACTTCAAGTTCGTCTCAAGTTTGCAATCTTCAACTTGGGAAGCCGCGGGAAGGTGTTGAGTAAATCAGAAGTGGAGATTGTCCAAGCCCTTGAGGAACTCTCGTCCAACATTGAAAAGTGTGTGCGGGTGATTTTGAAATGTATGGGGAATCTTTGCATGAAGTATTATTATGCGTATGTGATAAGAAAAAGGGTTAAAGAGTATTTTCATGTGTGCAATGGCAAAGAATTTTTTGAAATATACAGTCCTGGTGCAATCCAGCTCCGCAATCCTCCTTTTAATATATATCAGTTGCGGGAATTGAATACCATTGTGAAAACTGGACTTTCCAATGTCCATAAATTTTATTGTCAAGTGGAAGAAGAGCTAGGGGCTTTAAATGCCAAAAATTCCCAGCAGCCGGCATCAAGATCACATTACAATGATGTGAAAAATAATGACAATGGCCCGACATCATTTACCTCTTCAAGATCAATGACCCCCAAATCTTCGATGTTGCCAGGAATCGAGCTCTGTCCGGTTTTGAATCATAAAATATGTAATGAACTTCAGGGTCCTGAATTATCGATGGACAATCAATATGGTTGCAACAAACAAGCAGTGCAAGTTTTGGGACCAGAACAAATCAATGTGGGAGGAGTCCAGCAGCAGCAGCAGCAACAACGCCCAGCACAACCTGTTGGTACAGATTTGATGGTCTCGAATAATTTTGATTTGAATTTGGATAGTTTGCACGCGTTGCTTTATGATACTAACGATTTGGATGCCAATAATGCGTATATCGATGACCTCTGGAAGAAGCTGTCACTTTCGAGCCAAGAATTGGATTTGTTTAGTATTATTACGTGAACTTAAGTTTTATGATGGTGTATATATTGTAACTATGGCGGATGATTGTATTTATAGTTTATATTGTATTTATGGTTTACCTTGTACTTACTGTTTAATTTTAATGGGTCATATTTGTTGTCGTCTTAGAGTGCACTATGGGAGCTACTAGGTATCAATATATTGTATATTACTCTGTATAATTGGTGTATTGTTTTATCAAGCCACCACTTAGTAGGTATATTTTCTTAATTCTCAATTCTTGTTGGTTCTCTGTATTGCTTGTCTATCAATTTATAGTAAGAAAATATATAAAAATTAATTTTCCAATATTATTACTCATTGTTGAACAGAGGTCAATATTACTCTTTTCTTTCCCTTTTTCATAGTGGAAAGTTGTTGCACCGGCGAAACTTCAATACTTTTTTTATCACTTTGTACTCTTTCCGAATACTCCATTTTCCCACACATTTTCTTAAATCCTTTTTGTAAATTTTTATTATTCTGAGCGTATTGGTACCGGCAGCTCTTAGCTAACAAATAATCAAGATTCTTGAAAGATTCCCTGGCAGATTCTGACAGATCGTACTCTTCGCTAGTGATGAGATCTTTCAAATACTTGAGGCGTTTGTTGGTCAAGATGATCATATCGTCAGTGAAATTGTTGATTTTTATCCCCAGAGTGGCAAATTCGCTGATTTTGAGTTTTAAAACTGTGATTCCTTGGGGATATTTGTTGTTGTTTAAAGTGGCCTGGTAGTCTTTGTCAATCGGAGGTTCATTGACGCCTGTACTCTTCTGAGGATATTTATTAGTTGAATGATCACCATTCACAATCACAGTTCCTAGATCATTGAAAACATCATTGGCATTCAAATTTGCAATATCTTGATATTCATTCTGCCTTGGCTGGAAAGTTTCCTGGCCACTTGAAAGTCCTTTGATATGGATGATTCCGACAATATTAGATAACCTAAACTCTTGTCGCACTGCCAACTCACTCCAAAACTGTCCCGTAGATACTTTTTTGATACGATTTTCTGTCACTAGATGTTCAAGAAATCGTCCCTTAGGATCATCAGGGAAAAGTGGGATCTGGAACACTGCTAACTGTGATTTGTCTCCTTGATCATCGTAAATCCCTCCAAGACCCCATACTTTCTTCCCCGGAGTATTGTATTTGTGAATGAACCGATCAATGGCCATTTTATCTTCTCCGGGAATCGTCAAGGTACTGTGGATCAATTTGGAAAATACAGTATTATCAACCACCAACTTATTAAGAAGATAAAGCCACCAACTAAGCAAATCACGATCCGAAAGTACGTGCTTGTTGAGGTTACGGTAAGAGTAGGGGAATAAGTACTGTTTCTCAGCCCTGGTGAATAATGAGATTTCTACCACCACGGGTTTCCCAATCAAGTGGGTATTACTGGCTAAGGAACACACTGTGATGTCTTTTTCTGGTAGATCGTACAGTTTAGTGTGGTGATCATAATGAGCCGCAAGGTCTCTTAACCGTTTGCGCACTGTTGGTTGAGGATCCAGGTCATCAATGAGGCTAGGATCAAGAAAATGATCAGTATAATGAGTGACATTAATTCCTATCAAGTGTCGCAATACTTCTTGGGACACCAAGGTGAACTTTATCTTGGTGGTATTTAACCCAGTGGAGTCCACTTTGGAAATGTATAAGAGCTTGGTTATGGGCTGAGGGTTATCAAAATTATTGGCTTGGTTTAGGATAATGTACACATACACTTCCATCCCAAATATCATGACATTATCCTGGACAAGGTTGATCCAATGGAGGGATTTGATGGTCAAAGTATTCTTTGACGCGTTGTCTTTCAAGATATTGGGAGCTTTTCTGGGGAATGACTGAAGATGGAGCACTTTGAAAGTCTCATCTTTGGGGAGCACCGAGGAGAGTCTTTCATTCAATGAGGGCATTGTATTATAATATATCTATAGCCTGGTGGGATTTCTATGGATGAAATTGAGTGTTTCAATTAGCATGGTGATTTTCAATAAAGAGTATAAATTAATTATCCCAAAATTTCCACCCACCCGCGTCCGGAATTGGGGATTGGAAGACACAACACAATTAATAGATATTTTGGTTATATGGCGATAGTAGGAAATACCTAAAATATAAATCATTGAACCAAACAATTCTCTGTTCTATTTATTTCTTTCTGGCAGGTTTTTGGAGGGAAATAAATCGCTTGCTGAGATCCGAGGGTCTTCCAATTCCGGTGGAGGGGCGGTAGCGCTTTGGAATTTTGGCAGAGAAATTTCTGGCGCGATGAGCAGCGACAACATCAGTATCAGAAACAACAAATCAAAGGCAATGAGTGGGAAACAAGTAGGTAATAAGTAGTATTTAGTGGTTTTGTCTCTTATTATTCAATTACTAACCTTAATGGTGTTCAGATAACCCTGTATATCATCGATTTGGCCCCTTCCATGGGCCATCAGATGCCCTCGACACAAGAATTCCCAGGAATGACGGGTCTCGAAGTGGCATTGGAGTCGGTTCAGAACCAGTTCATCAGCAAATTACTCAAAGGTAGGAAGACTGACTATGTCCAGGCCTACTGCTCATGTTTTGACCCAGCGTCCAACGACACCATTGACGAAGTGGAAGAACTTGATGGTTCTTCACCACTTCAAGGAACCGCGAAAATCGTTGAATTAAGATCACCGCCCAAATCCAGCGACTTGCGTCGATTAGCAAAACTTCGTGCGGAGCTGGTAAGTGATCATAAAGTCAAAGGTCGATTATGGATCGGAATCTTGAAGAGTTTGAATGATATCCAGCAATTTGTGGGTAAGAAGAAGTTCCCGGGGAAAAGTGTGGTGGTATTCACCGACTTGAATGATTTCAGAGATGCCACAATGTTTGATTTGTCCATTGAAATGTTTGCTAAATTCCAAGCGAGTATTGCTGATACATTGGAGAAAAAGCAAATCTTCCTTCATGTCTGCGATGTCGGCCATGAAGATTCCGAAACCAGACAAACCCTTATCGAAGGCTGGCAATCATTTGCCGAGGAGTCTCCGGAATTTGTCAAGTTTTATTCTCCAAAACAGCTTTTCCAATCCCTCTCGACTCCTGTGCCGAAGACGGTGCTGCCGATCCGCACGTTTGCTGGGCAGCTAAGGTTCTTCAATGACCCAATCGCTGTGCTCCAACGGTCGCGAGGTGAAGGAAAAGAAGACGATGATGATGGTGATGAGAATTTATCCTCCGATTCCACCGAGATGGCATTGGAAGTGGAAGGGTTCCCGTGTATTAAGAACGACAGCCCCATTGCAAAAGCCAAATTAGCAAAAACGGTACTAGACGAGGATAATATCTCATCTGACCAATTCTCTAAGTATAAAATTAAACGCTTCACGGAATACTTTCTTTTTGAAAAACGAGGAGCCGAAGATATCGCGAAAATCAAGGCGGAGAAAAAGCGGCGAAAACAATTAGAAAAACTGGACAGTCAACCGGAACCTATCGAAGTGGATGACGAGTATGATCTTGATTTATATGAGAAAAAAGCTGTTGATGCTAATGATTTGCAAAACTCTTATAGGTACATGACGAGTTTTGTTCCAGTTTCCTCAAGGTTGGAAAAAATCAGGCAATATCAAACCGCACCGGGACTTGATTTTATGGGGATTGTCGATGTTAAATCGTTGCCCCGGTGGTACCTTACCACGGAATCAGTGTTCCTTTTCCCTAAAGCAGGCTCCACTTTAAGAAATCGGGTTGGATTCGCAACTGTTGTCAAGTCATTAATGACTTTGGGCTCAGTGATCATTGCCAGGTTTGTGAAAAAGATGGACCAGCCAGTACAAATTGTGGCTTTAATCCCTGTTGTTATTGATGATGATCAGAACCTCAAACGTCAAGCCGATGATGAATTGAAAGATTATGTGGAAAGCAAAAAATACGGGTTTGTGTCCAGTAGGTTACCAACCAAAGAAGATGAGCGAGGCTCGTCTTTTCCCCCATTGGACTTTTTGAAAACCAAGACTGGCGAAGAAATCAAAGAACATGATAAGTTGTTACCAACCAAAGAAATGAAGGATTTGATGTGTGATTATATTGAGGCAATGGATCTTGATAACCCAAAGGATATTAAAGGGTTCAATGATGTCAACTTCTCTTTTAAACCGGCAGATGCTCGCCGCCAGCAGGTTAGAGATGCTCCAATGACGGTTGATGAAAAGCTCGTGCAACCGAGACCAGCATTACATGTTAGTAATCTTGTGGTGAGCCACATCATCAAACAGGCTGCTAAAGAAGGAATAAGTACCGCGGAGTATATGAAAGCTCATCAAGATGATTACTTTGATCGAAAGAAGTTAAGTGCCACGGAACAGCGATTTTTGGATGTTGTGTTTCAAAATACTGGAGAAAGCAAAAATTATGGGGATACTCCGACTTGGGAGAAACTTGTGAAGTTGTTTGGTGTAAAGTATGTTGGAAAGCCGGTTGTCGAGAATCTGGATGATGAAATTGAAGAGATCGATGAGGATGAATATAATGATTTTAAAGAGAATTTCAATGAAGATGAGAGTTTGGAGTCTTTATTAGGAATTTCATGATATATGAGGTGTATATCTATATAATCATTAATATAGCTATAATTTCCGTCAATATTTATCTACTTAATCTGTCAATTTTAACAGTTATTTATCAAGGCATTCAATGTGATGTTGAGAAATTGCTAACCGCCCTCATATAAAAAGGAATTTTTTTTTTTTTTTTTTCTCTGAAATTTGATCTGAAAGATAAGAATAATAAAAGAGAAGTAAAAAATAATAACTATTTACTCGTCAAAAAATGACAATGGAACAGGCAGTGGAGCTTAAGAACCAGGGGAATTCTGCCCTTAAGAACAATAACTTCGACAAGGCCATTGGACTATATACCCAAGCGATCGAGCTTGATCCAACCCAAGCGGTGTTCTACTCCAATAGGGCCCAGGCGTACATCAAGACCGAAGCGTTTGGATTGGCAGTAGAAGATGGTACTAAATCTATTGAAGCCGATCCTAATTATACCAAGGGGTACTATAGAAGAGCAGTAGCCAATGCTGCGATCCTCAAGTACAAAGAAGCTATCAAGGATTTGAAAGTGGTGCTTGTGAAAGCCCCAGGAGACAAAGTCGCTAAACAATACCACAACGAATTTGTGAAGATTTTGAAGCAAAAAAAGTTCGAAGATGCCATTAGAGGAGAGGATACTCCTAGTGCGATGAGTCAAGTGGATTTCAACAATCCTATTGTGGGGAAGAATCCGTTCAAGCAGAATCAATTGGATATCACGGTGACAGGAACCGACGGCAAGACCAACGAGCAGCATATTGAAGTTAATGGGATAACTAAGGACTTCATCGATGAGATGATTGATATTTTCAAGCGTGGAGAGAAGTTGCCAAAAAAGTATGCTTATGCGTTGATTATCGCTTGTAATAATTTGTTGAAGCAAGAACCATCGATGGTGAACATCTCATTACCAAACATGAAGAAGAACGGCAAGAACGAAGTAGTGTTGGAAGGGGTGGACACGTTGACGGTATGTGGGGACACTCATGGGCAATTCTATGATTTGCTCAATATCTTTGAAACTTATGGTTGGGTAAATGACCGCCACGCTTACTTGTTCAATGGGGATTTTGTTGATAGAGGCAGTTGGTCGACAGAAGTTGCGTTCTTATTGTACGCTTTGAAACTCCGTTATCCACACCGACTCTTTCTTAATAGAGGAAACCACGAAACTAATGATATGAACAAGGTGTACGGGTTCGAAGGGGAATGTAAGGCTAAATACAGTGAGACGTTGTACTTGATGTTCAGTGAGAGTTTCGGTTCTTTGCCGTTGGCAACATTAATTGGGAACGATTACCTTGTGATGCACGGCGGGCTCTTCTCTGACGATAATATCACTTTGGACGATATCAGAAAGATTAACCGGTTCAAGGCTACCCAGCCTCCAAAAGAAGGGATCGAAATGGAGTTGCTATGGACCGATCCTCAGCCAATGCCAGGACGTACGCCAAATCGTAGAGGTATTGGTATTCAGTTTGGTCCAGATGTTACTGAGAAGTTCTGTGTCAGTAATGACTTATCAGGGATTATCAGATCTCATGAGGTGAGAATGGAAGGTTACGAAAAGGAACATAATGATAAATTGATCACCGTATTTAGTGCTCCTAACTACTGTGATAGTCAGGGAAATAAGGGGGCGATCATCAACTTTACCGTGAAGAATAATGGTGAGTTCAATTTGGATTGCGAGCAATTCGAAGCAGTGCCACATCCTGACATCAAACCAATGGCCTATACTACAAATTTCGGCTTGTAGATGGCCATATATACGTACATGTATATATATATTGAAATAAAATAGTTAATATCTAATTCATTATGAGAAGTATACAAAATTAATACCATCGTACATTATATAATACAGGGTGAAATCATCAATTAATAAAATCAAAGAATCGAAGAATTTTCTGAAAAAAAAAAAGCAGTGAGGATTGGCGAGTTTTTGATTCGAATTATCAGTATTGTTGAGCTAACTAAGATGTTTCCAAGACGTATTAATTATTTAACCTCCTTCTTCAATTTTCCTCAATTTCCGTACCCGTGTTGTAGCAAGATATTTTTTTTTTCTCTTGCCAATTTGTTTCACTGGGAGTTCCATACCAAATTCTGTTCAGTCTCTATGCTGTCAATTTGCTTCTTTGTTTCTAACAAAGTGGTGATGGCATCAGTCAATATATCAAATCTTTCAACAATTTTCTTACTAATCATCGCCGGTCTGTTTGGAATTCCCAACTCATTCAACGTCGAATTGACCTTTGTTTGTACAGATGGCTTATACGAGGCAATCTTTGATGAGCGTAAATGAACTCCTGGTTGGAGTCTTTCAGCATGATATGAAAGACCATAGGCTGCTTCTTCTTGAGCAGTAAGTTTTTTCGACAAGAGTTGGGCCACTGGGTTTTCCGGCTGTGGTGTCGTTTGTTGAGGAGAAATAATTTCTGGTTGTTGTTGTGATTGCTGTGGTTGTTGCTGTTGCTGTTTCTTGTTTAATTTCTTGGAATCTGTAGCCATTCCGGCAGAGCTGGTGACAGCAGTGTCTTGTTCTTGTTTGCGCTTCTTCGATTTATCAGTAAACATCAACGAGTTATATAGTTGGGCAAGCCCTTGTGAATTAGAGTACTGGCTGATATTTGCCGTACTGGCAGGAGAATCCAATAAATGTAGAAGTGCCGCCCTTTCTGCCAACATCTTTTGGGCCGCTTGTTCGAACCTTCTAGCTTCGATCACCAACAGCTCTTCTTCAGCGATTTCTGCAGGGCTTCTTCCCAAAAGTCGTTCAAGATACTTCTTTCTATCGATTTCTTTGGATTTATCAAAATTCAACGCGTCGATAAGTTTGGTTTTATTTTCATCGAGGATCCCGGCCTCTTTGAGGATCTTGTTTTCATCAATGAGAATTTTCTGGCATACTGAATAAAACCTCTGCTTTAGATCTTCCAAAGATCTTGCCGGGCCCTGATAATTATAACGATCATTGATGATGATCCATCGCAAATCGTATAATTTGCACATCTTGAATAAATACTTTGTCTCTTCACACGTCCAGTCATTTTCCTCGTCATTTTCTTTGATTAGTCGCTCGTAAGTCACATCGTCAGGGTCTGGTAACTTCAACTTCTGATTATACTGTTCAAATTGGTACTTTTCTGGGGATGGACCGATTCCTTTCATCCAATGTGATAATTGCAATCCATCGTCTCGAGAATTGTTTTTAAACTTCACCCATCTCCAAGCAGCTGCTTTACTATTGGTATCGAGCCGTTTCCTGAACTTGGATGTTGGTTTTAAGTGTAACGCTGGAGTGTTTTCCCCTAGTAACTGATATAACTCTCTGTTGATTCCCAGAAGTTGTTTCTTTGGTTCAATCTTCTTCTTCTTCTTTGGCGGTTCACTTCTCTGGACATTGAAAACGTCTAATATATCATGTGATGACATTCTTCTCTAATTAATGTCATTCAATATCAATTGTTGGTCATCGATGGCGACTTATCAATGGAAATTAAGTCAATCAATTATTTTTGTTTTTTTTTTTTGTTTTTTTTTTTGCCTGTGGTTTCCGGTACGGAAAGGGAGGGAGAGTTCATAGAATCACCTCCCCGGAATAGGGACCCAAAAGCTTTTTTCTGCCGCCGCCGTCAAATTCAGCCAATTTTCTTCTTCCCTCGACACCAATAAGATCAAAGCGATAAGAACCGATTATCCAACAATGAATCAGTCTGCTGCTCGTAAGGGCTCGGTATGTCTTATTTACTAATCAATTCCAAATTTTTCCTTCTTCTCTTTGGGTACCTGTCCCCACTAACATCCCCAGATGAACACCATCGAGTCTAGTGTCACCAGACTCTTAGTGGCAACAAAACATCTCTTAGAAAGTCTTACCCAATGGGCTAAAGGAGCGGCCACGGAGTCTGAAGTGTCTGATGCATATGTCCAACTAGGTGGAGACTTCAAAGTGGCATGTCGTGCTTTTTCTAACACTGGTGTCGATGTCGCTGATCTAGGAGACGTGCCTCATCTGCTTAGAGTGGTGCTTGAAGAAGCACTTTGTGAACCACCATCCCAACAGAGCTTGGATCGATACTTACCAACAATCCGACAGATCATTGTCAATCTTCTTCGTAATTTGAAAAAGAAACAGAATGCTGTCCGGGAAATGAACAGCCAGATCATCAATCATAATACCCAAAGAGCCTCGTCTGCTCCGGTAAGAAAAAGTCTCATGCAACAACAGCAACAATCTAAACCTCTACCCCAAGTGGACCACCATAACCACACTCATCACCAAAGTGCAACTCCTGCGAGGGCCTCTACTTTGGGAAGCAACGCATCAGCACAACTGAAGCAACGTCTTGATCTGTACCGTGCCCTCCGAGAAGGATCAGCATCAGTCAATGAAGAATCTGATCAACCAGCAGTGCTTCCTGCGGCCCTTCCTAGTATCAATGTCGAGGTATCTGATGGGTTCCAAAGTGGTGAAGAATCTGATGCGTTAAAGCAATTGCAAAATGGTGATTCATTGAAAAGAAGAGCATCAAGAAGATTCTCTGCTTACCAATACGCCAAGCTTACGAAACAAACAGAAATGCCCCTTCCAAAAGACTCAACCCAACCTCCACAGACCACCGCTCTTACTGTTGAGAATAATAATAATAATGAAGAGGTAGATGATAATCCGGAAAACCTCACCGCTCAGCAACCACAGCAATCACAGCAACCAAGAATGAGCGTCCATGAATCATCAACATCCAATGGAACTACCGTATACTTGAAGATCAATAATCGCACCAAAAAAGTGGACGTGCAATTGCCAGTTACGTTTAGCTCCCTTCGACTTTTATTCATTGAGAAATTTGCGTATTCTCCAGGTAGTGATAGCTTCCCAGAAATTTATATTCAAGAATCAATCACTGACGTACCCTACGAACTAGAAGAACATTTATTACCCGACGTCAAAGGAGGATCGATTTTATCGTTGAATGCCCAAGAACATAGCATTGAGATCATTAAGGATTTAGAAACTAAAGTGTCAACCTTGCAAACCCAGCTTTCAAAAATACAAGACAACATCAAGGAAACCATACGAGAAACCATTCTTTCAATTCCTCCACCAGCACCGGCACCAGCTCTAATTGATAACAAAACAAAAGGAAGAGGATTCAGTAAATCTCTCGACGATTTGGATATTTCTGATATCAGAAGAGAATTGATGGTAATCAAACAGATCAGTTCTGGTAATAAGCAAGATTTTGCTTCGAGCATCAAGTCTTTATTAGAAAAAGTCCAAGAATTTAAAAGTTCCGGGTTCGAGGCCCCAAGATCGGCGAATCGCAATTATATGGAAAAATGTCATTCTAAACTTTCTGAGGATTCTGATGAATTGTTGACAAAAGTCGATGATTTACAAGACGTTATCGAGGCATTACGGAAAGACGTTGCACAAAGGGGGGCCAAGCCATCAGAAGATCAATTGGTTGGAGTCAAGAAAGATATTGATTCCGCGCAGAATTCCATCGATGTGATGCACGAATACATTGTCAAGGAAAAACCTAATTGGAAAGCAATTTGGGAAAAAGAATTGGATGTGGTGTGTGAAGAACAACAATTTTTCAAGTTGCAAGAAGATTTGGTGGATGATTTACGTGAAGATTTGGAAAAAGCGTTCGAGACATTCACCCTTGTGGAGCATGTTTCTAAAGAACATCAAAAGAATAAAGGTGGGAGGATTCGCCAACCTAATTTGCCATTAGTCGAACCAGGTACTAGTCTTGTAACGGTGCGTGGGGCCATGCTTTCTGAAGTTTCGGCGTTGAAACCAAATCATGAAAAAAGAGTGAACGCCATTGAAAAAGCGGAGAAAGTCCGGGAAAAGGAGAAACAAACCAGGTTGAAAAACGAATTTGAAGAAGAATTGGGAGGATTTGTGGAGGGGAAGAAGTTGAAGAAATCAGGAGGAATTGAAGAGACTGAAAGATTGAGAAAAAAGAAGGATGAGGAGAATCTAAAAGCATCGTTTGCAGTTTTTTAAGATTGTATAGTGTTCATTTTTTTTTAGTTTTAGTTTATTTTTTTCCCTTCTGAACTGCATATTTGAATTTACAAATTGGGTGAGCTTTGACTTGCATATAGATTTACATTTTTAGAAATTGGATAAGTTTGTTTTTTTTTTGTATTTTGTTATTATTTTTATTATTTTTATTTTTATTATTATTATTATTGTTATTACTATTATTATTATTATTATTATTATTATTATTATTATTATTATTATTATTATTGAATAGATGAAACATTTGAGTGACAATCATTGTGAATTGTATTGTATTGATATAAAAAGAAACGTGCGATTTCAATTCAAAAAATCTAATATGGAAAATAAAATGAAAAAAGTAAAATAAAAACACCTAAAACTACATACATAAAAGGAATTAAAGACAAAGATAAATCAAAAAGAACTAAGTAATCTTATTGGTCTTCTTCCATTTCTTGAACTTCTTTTTCAAATCCCCAGCACTGTTCTGGTTAATATTCAACTTCTTATCCCACTTCATCGCCTCATAATCATCACCATATTTCTCATACAATTCCTTCAACCAATCTTGTTCTCTAGTCGATTGGTATCTTTCGGTGGTTATTAGTTCTCTATTAGCATAAGCCTCCAATTCTTCCACCACTTTGGTCTTAGGTTTCACTGGGGCATATTCATCCTCGCTATCGCTTTCAATGTCAACTCTCTTGGTCCCGTGAATCACCTTTATTATCTTCCCGGCACCATCTTTAATGATTCTTGCTTCGCCATGTGGGATTTCCGAAGCATCAATATCACCTTTACTATTGCTACTTTCTGCGGCTTGCGGTTTTTCTCCTTCCTCTTCATCATCATCCTTATCTTCTTCTTCTTCTTCTTCTTCTTCTTCTTCTTCTTTGTCGTCATCCTTTGTGAAATCCTTCTCTACACCACCAGCAGGGGTCTCCAACTTCACGGCAAGTCCTAAACGTTTGTAATTCTGGGCAAGAGTGGCATCATAATCCCAATTGGCAGCAATGATCGGATTGCCTCTAACATTAATCTTTCTGTGCTTGTCCTTAACTCGTCTCGTGGCCTTTCTCACCGACGAGCGATTCATCTTTCTCTTTCTAACGGACACCATGATAACAATAGATATTCTCTGCCAGGTGTGTAAAAAATAGAAGATAGAAATATCAAAAACTGATAATTTTCATCTCATCGAAAAGAAAAAAAAAAATTTACTGCAAAACCAGGGGGTGCTTTCATTACCTAACAATTTTCTGGTGCTGACAGAAGTATACACCCCTATTCTGGGTGCCCCCAAAAAAAAAAAAAAAAAAAAATTTTCCACCAAAAACAAACAGAAAATACTCCACAGATCATTGGAAGCAAAAAATATATATTACATCTTGTTTTTTGCCATCAATCGTATCAGGACTCAATTCTGGAAAGATAACAATAAGATAACAACAGGGAGTGAAGGTCAATTAGTAGCAGCAGAAGCAGAAGCGAAGAAATAAAAAAGCCGTGGAGATATATCATCAATAAATCAATCAAAGAATAATGAGTGCCAAAGAAGAATCACCAAAGGTAGAACAAGTGCCAGCCACTACTGCCACTACTGAAGAAAATGCTGACAGTCAACCACAACAACAGGAAAAAGAAAAGTCAGTAGGAGACAACGAAACCGTGGCTGCCCAACCGGAACCAACCAAATTATCAAGGGAAGAACAACTAGAACAACAAAAGGAAATTGATTCCCGTAGTATTTATGCCGGTAACGTTGATTATAGTGCCACTCCAGAGGAATTGGAGAAATTCTTCAATACTGCAGGGGTTATCAATCGTATCACCATCTTATATGACAAGTTCACCGGGTTCGCCAAAGGGTTTGCCTACGTGGAATTCGCTAAAATTGAATCGGTGAGTGAGGCATTGAAGTTGAACGAGGCCGAATTCAAAGGCAGAAAGTTGAATGTCACCCAAAAGAGAACCAATGTCCCAGGTTACACCAGAAGAGGTGGTTTCAGAGGAGGGTATAGAGGTAGAAGCAATTACATGGGTGGCAGAGGTAATTACAGAGGAAGAGGTAATTACAGAGGAAGAGGTAATTACAGAGGCAGAGGTAATTACAGAGGCCCAAGATCCACCAGAAACGAAAACGGTGATGAAGGAGAAAAGGCTTCTCCTGATGCCCCAGCCGCCGCTCCTGCTTCTGCTCCTGCTCCAGAATCCCAAGCCTAATTTTGTGAATAGTTCGTAGAGTCATTAATTTGATCATCTATGTTATACCAGAAATTTTTTTAGTGTTAGTATTTGAATAAAAAAGAAGAAAAAAAAATTGATAATTGGCTCCTGTTAATGGTAATTCCCAATGGTTTGTTCTATTTTTTTAATTTTTTTTTCTTGTCCTATTTATTTTTAATGAGTTATATACACAGCTTTGTTTTGTTTTAATTTACATGTACTTATTCTCTTTTTATAGCCTCCATACTCCAAAATTTGTAAGCCATTTTCATCTATTTATCTGGTTTCCAAACAACCTTCTTCCCATTATCTTCCATCGCAGCAAAAAACTCTTCCCTCAACCTCCCAATTTGGTCATATTGTCGGACAATTGTCGTATAGTCCGAGTCAAATTGCGACCATTGAAGTATTCCTTTGTCCTGCATGAACTTCTTATAATGACGTTGAGCTGTCTCAGTATCAAGCTTCGTAATGGTATAATTGACTTTCCAATCAATATCTCTTGATTTAGGATAAGCAAACCTCTCGGTCTGTAATTCACCATCATGGTAATGATCAAACGATACTTTAAAACCTTGAGCCTTGTACGATGTTATATTGTTCATTTTTTGGAAATCAGCCTTTCTCATATTTTGTTTCGCCTTGTAGAAATCAGGATGGAGCTTCAATTTCACCTGTAAATTGCGATCATTCTCAATATTATCCAAGTCGATATCCTCCAACTTCGAGGCGTTCTGCAATTTCTTGGCAAGCGCCAATTCTTGCTGTAGCATATCCTGGTTCTGAATCTTGTTGACTTGTTCATGGTTGAGGGGGGTGAATAATACGTATAATTTGCTCCTTCCTTTTTCGGTCTTGGCTTTAAGAATCATCCTAAAGCATTCTGCTTCGCCGTTTTGTACTAAGTAGTCATTGACAATAGTATCAATAATATCTTCCAATACTTTGAAACTGACCTTGAATTCGGTTTCCGAGACAAATGAGCTCATACTGGTTTGGAAGCCATCAAGATGCATATCAAGAACGTCTGCGATGTCAGACTCCTCCTCAGCATTAGGATCATGGTGGTACAATTCGTCAATATCTGTCAACGGGATGTATTCAAAACCAAATATTTTCTCAATATTATGGTAACAAACAAAGATTCCATCCATATTACCGATTCTCGCCTGGAACGAGTACTTCAACATCGCCGACCGGATCAAGTCGTACTTTTCTTTTTCATAGCTCTCAAACCCTCCTAGTCTTTTGATGATCTGGTACCCACTTCGGTTTTTTTGGGTGTTTTGAATATGGTCGATGTCCACTCTGATAGAACACACCGCTCGGGTCTTCAAATCAAACGTCCCCGTATTAGGTAGCCGTGGATCGTAACAGTCCAATTGCGATCTCACCAAAAACTTCCCCATTTTGGCATAATGATAAGTGTCTCCTGCAACTTCCTCTTGGCCTTTGGTCTTATTATTTTTACCAAGAACATAATTACGCTTGAAATCTCTTTCTTTGGTTATCAATAAAGTCTCCATCAAGTTCCCCAAAATCGAGAGAATCATGTCATCGTCTGTAGATTTATCAGCATCAATAGAATACACCACGCTCTGTAGTCCTGGTCTAGACTTCCTAACTTTTAATACCACCACCGCCGCAGTCTTTGCCCCTGGAGAGAATGACATCTTCTTTCCCGGTAAATCACTATAACTCAAACTCAAGTCCTTAAATTTCGGTTGCTTATTATTAGATAGCGCGAAATGGAGCTGCGACAATAACCCCGTCATTGATGAGGTTGAGCTGTAGTATTTTACCTTTTCCCTGACACTCTCTGGGTCATTTTTGTTATTTCTCCGCTTGTTGACATCTGACGCCATTTCCAATAACACAGGGTCCCGTCCTGATGGGATGAACGCTTTAACTTTGTTGAAATCAAACTTATCGACGCTCACCACGTTCTCCAAAAAAGGTGGGAAGCTATACACTCTGGTCCGTTTATCCTGTAATTGGTGGTACACGTTGGGTTGGAATAACACTTTGGAGAGATTATGGGCGAGCGGCGGTACTGGCAACTGGGGGAAATTTGGTTTGATGGGTTCGTACACCAAAGTTTTGGTGTCGATTTCTTTTTCAAGTATTATCTCTGGCACGGGTTCTTCTTCTACTAAAAAATTTTTCCCTTCTAGTACATTATTTTCTCCTCCTAGTATATGATCTTCTCCTTCAAGACCATTTTCTTCCTCAGGTATTAGTCCTTCATCCTCACTCGCCAAGTGAATAGGCGGCTTTATTGAGGATGTAGTGGTCGAATAAAGCCTGCGGCTTCGAAAAACTCTTTGGAGTAGCCCTTGCTGCCTAATACACATCAAACAAAAGGCTTTTTGGTGAATTAACCGGTGTTTTTGACATCGATTTATGCAAGAAGAACAAGAAGAAAAAAAAATTCAAAGTCGGGCGATGAGCGATGAGGGCTACCCGACATATGCACTATCGGAAATATATCTATGTGATATTATTGATAATATATTGGGGATAGATAAAGATATATACCATATCTTACAGCATTATAATATTTAGCAATATATTACCCCTTTTGTAGCATTTCTCCAAATCAAAAAATCAAGAAAAAAAAAAATCAAATATCCAGAAAGGCCTGAAACAACTCTCTCAATTTGTTTCCGTAACTTTCTCAGCGAACTAGCATAACTTTTTCAATCAACTAAATAAAAAAAACCAATAACAATAAGACCCAGACAAAAATAAGCTCTATAAAACCAAATGATTTCAAAAATAAAATAAATAAATAATGCAAACTGTTCTATGAGAACGAACTACCATTTCTAAGCACCCCAACAAAGACTCCTTTACTTCAAACACATTCGTTCTATCCCTTCTGAAGCAGATGTCATAGAGCTCACCGTTAGAATTGGTCTAGAAGGAACAATAGAAATATTTTGGGAATATGAGCTACTATTACCACTGCTCAGATAACCATCTTCATCATCGGATTCCACCATTCTCCGCTTAAGATTGGCGACCCACTCGTCAGATATTTTGGGGGACTTTAAATTCGAAGATGGTTTTTTGGTGTTGATTTTGGAATTCCAGCGTTCGTTGATTTTCATCACCAACCGTGACTGTCGCATTACTTCCTCAGTGAGATCCACGAGATATTTCTTGTTGTCAGGGACCTTTGATTTGGCCAAATGGTTCCTTGATAACGATGATGATGATGGCATTGTCTTCGATGATGATAGTATTTTTGATGACTCTTTCAAATTGAAAGTGGTGTTGGCCTCATGTTTAATTTCATTTTCTAATGGGGTAATTTCGTTTTGTAAGTCATTTGCAATTCTCCTCATGGCATTCAATTGGGGTTGTATATTATTTTTCTGTTTTGTCTGTTTCTTCTTCTTCTTGTTCCTCTTGTTCTTGTTCTTGTTTTTGTTCTTGTTCTTGTTCTTGTTCATCCTCTGCTTCTCATCGTTCTCTCGCTGTTTGGTGTTCTCTGTTCCCTCCATCCTGGCAACTGGCACCCGTCCCCCATCGGCCACAATATTATGGACACTGGCTGATCCCATGGTTCCCAAAGAGTGTTCTATTGCACATTGTTCCCCCATCAGAAAGACGTTAGAACACGGCGATGTGCTTCCTCCTTCTTTCCTTCCTTCCTTCCTTCCTTCCTTCATTCCTTCCATCCTTCCTATTTGCTGCCAAAAGTTTTGAATCATTTTTTTTTTGTTTTGTTTTTGTTTTGTCACGTGATTTCCGGTCCGGCTCCTCCGCCTCCTTTTTGCGGGAAAGAAATTCGCCAACGAATAAATCAACAACAGAGAATCACCAAATAACAATAGTAATCGACGAGGAATGCTGCCAGAGAGCTCCAGGGATACCATGGTGAAAGAAGAAAGTATGTCATTTGATAGCAGCCAAGGGATAACCCATGGCAATGTCCCTGATCCTTCTCCGGAAAGTGAAACTGTGGACACGAATCCAGAAGACCCAGAAGTGCCAACTAGTGATCCAGCAGAAATTACAAATGAACAGACAGAAGAGCCTGTTGAAGAGATAGAAAAGCCTGTGGAAGAATCAAAAGTGCTTGCTAAAGATCCAGAAGTACAACAATCAACAACACCCAGAACATCAACGACGTCCGAGGATCTCGAGGATCCCTCTGCCAACCAGGCGATCTCACAACACCCAGAAAAAACCACCGCTGATAGCTCTTCTGCTGTGACTATCAATGTGTTGAAAAAATTGATTGAAACCATCAACTTGAAGCCTTATAAATTGAATGCTGATCAAAAAGAAATCGCCAAAGATTGTCAATCGATTCTTGATCAGGGCAAGATCCCATCAATAAAGCTAATCCGACTATTGGAAACCTCAGAAAACAATCTCCAATTGAAAGTAGCACTTGTTGACGCTGTGTCCAAGATCTTCATCTTTGAGAATTCTAGCTCCTCGTTCAATCAAATCAATTACAAGAATTGTACCAAATTCTCAGATCTCTGTATTGACACCATCGCCAAAATCTTCAAAGATGAAACCGACGATGCCATCGAGTTGCAAATAGTGAAAACCGTGGTGAATATTATATTGAACGATAATGTCGAAGTCCATACCGCGAAATTATTAGAAGGAATCAGATTGATTTATAATATTTTTATCTTGACCGTCAATGAAAACACAAAATTAATTGCCGAGGCCACTTTAACTCAAATCATTGATCACTATTTCCAAATGATTGAAAACGGGATCTCTGCCAGCAGTAGCACGGCCACTTTGAACAATAGTGCTAAGTTGAATAGCAGTAGCACCACCAGTCTCAATAATAATGTCAGTCCTTCGAATATTGTTTTGGAGAATCTTGAGAACTTGAATGAGGCTGATGAAAAGAAGTTTGGTGATATAGAAAATAGAGTATTGAGCGAAACCACTGATGAATCGGATAAACATTCCTTACTTGTTAAAGATTGTTTCTTGATCTTCAGAGCCATGTCGAAATTATCAGTGAAATCCATCGATGAAAACTTTTTGGATGCTAGATCTACCGCCGTTAGATCTAAATTACTCTCATTAAAAATCATTTATTCAATCTTGAAAAATCACATAAATTGTTTCCTTAACAAGACCATCACCATCTCTTCCAACATCAGTAATGAGAAAATCCCATTCATCGATTCCATACGAAACTATCTTTTATTAGCCTTAACGAAAAATGCGGTGTACCAATTGAACGAAATATATTCAGTATGTTTGGACATCTTCTACATCATGATCACCAACTTGAGAGCTGAATTCATCAACGAAATCCCGGTGTTATTTTCAGAAATTTTCATCTCCATCGTTGAAATGTCAGTGTCCAGTGATTTCCAAAAAAATTACTTCCTCTCAGTCGTAGCAAAATTGGCCAATGATCCAAGATTATTAATCGAATTTTATTTGAACTTTGATTGTTCAGAAAACCAGCCTAATATCATTGAATCATTGATAAATTTCTTGATAAAGACAGAAAACAATAACTTACGGAATTATGGTCTCACCAAAAGAAATGACCAGATGGCCTCTGGTGAAGTTAATAATGGCAAACAGGATGCTACTGGTTATGATCCTACCGCTCTCAATTGTATTGTCAGTATCTTGCGAAGCTTGTACAGTTGGACAAATAAAGGGTTGACAGTAACCAACGATGATGGGAAATCATTCAACGGGGTGCACAAAAGATCTTCCAGTGTCATCAGCAGCAGCAGAGAACCATCTTCCCCAACTACCTCGGTAATGTCATCAACGCCAATTCTTAGAGAAATTTCCACCACCGAGGTCGACAACCCGACGGAATTCGAATCAGCAAAAAAGCGGAAAACATTATTATTAGAATATTGCAAATCTTTCAATTATAAACCAAAAAAAGGCATTCAAAAATTGATTGAAAGTAACTTTATCAAATCATCTGATCCAAGGGATGTTGCCAAGTTCTTGTTGACGAACAACAATATTTTGGATAAAGAAGTGATGGGGGAATATTTGGGAGAAGGTGACGAGTACAATATCAATGTCATGCATGCATTTGTTGATGAGTTTAGTTTTGAAGGATTGAAGTTTGTTGATGCCATGAGATTGTTTTTGCAAAGTTTCAGATTACCGGGAGAATCCCAGAAAATTGATAGGTTCATGTTAAAATTTGCCGAAACTTACTACAAAAGTCACCCAAATAGTGTGTTTGCCCAAGCCGATACATTGTACGTGTTGTCTTACTCAGTGATCATGTTGAATACTGATCAGCACAACAATCAAGTTAAATCAAGAATGACCATTGAGGATTTCATCAAGAATAACTCAGGGATCGATGATGGCAAAGACCTTCCGAGACAATTGTTGATTGACATTTATAATGATATTGCCAATAACGAGATCATTTTAGAATCCGAGCAACATCATGCATTAATTTCCGGAAGTAAAACCCCACAAATTCCTTCATCAACCGGATTGCCAAACTTATTCTCCAGTGGCAAAGATATCAACATGGAATATTACATTCAAGCAGCCAAGGAAATTTCCTCAAAGACCGAGAAAGTTATCAAATCAAATACCCAAGGAACTTTACAAAAAAGAACAAAATTTTTTAGTGCCAATCATGTCGAGCACGTCAAATCGATTTTTGATACTTTGTGGATGTCCTTCTTGGCGGCCCTCACCCCAAGTTTCAAAGAATTTGATAATAAAACTATTAGCACATTATGTTTGGAAGGGATTAAATTATCAATCAAGATTGCCTGTATTTTTAACTTGGCGGACGCCAGAACCTCGTTTATTAATGCTTTACTCCAATTTACTAATCTTACTAATATTGAAGAAATCAAAAGAAAGAACCTTGATGCTATCAATGTGTTGTTAAATATCTGTGTTAGCGATGGTAACCATTTAAACTCTTCGTGGACCGATGTTTTGATGTGCATTTCTCAATTGGAAAGATTACAGTTAATTGCTCAAGGGGTTGATGCGTCCAATATTCCTGATGTTTTGAACGCCAAAGTTGAAAAGACTCTCAATAATGATGGTCGTACGTCTCATGAAAGCATCAGATCTTTCAACACCAAATTTTTCAGCAGAAGATTAGCCAATCCTTCAGAATTAGCACAGCAGCATCATGCCAATCAGAAACTTCATCCGGAAATCGCATCATTGATTGCTTCTACTGAACTAACCGTGAAAATCGACAAAATTTTCGCCAGTACCGAGAAATTGGACATTGATGCTATCACATTTTTTATCGAAGCATTAATCGAAGTGGCTTTGGATGAGGTGGAATCATCTGGCAATAGTAGCCATCCAAGAATTTTTTCATTGCAAAAAATGGTAGATATTTGTTACTACAACATGGGAAGAATCAGGGTCGAGTGGTCAAGATTATGGTCCATCATGGGCGAATCCTTCAATAAGATTGGGTGTAATTTCAATATGAACATTGTGATCTTTGCCCTTGATTCGTTAAGACAGCTCTCGATGAGATTTTTCGAGATTGAAGAATTGGCGTATTTCAAATTTCAAAAAGATTTCCTCAAACCGTTTGCATTTGTCCTATCGCATAACGAAGCAGTGGAGTGCAAAATGATGGTGCTTGATTGTATTGATAACATGATTTTAGCAAAATCCGATAAAATCAAGTCTGGATGGGTAACGATATTTGAATCTTTTTCCAAGGCGGCTGCCAGTAATAACGACCAAGTGATCACCAGAACTTATAAGATGTTGAGCAAAATCAACAAGAATTACTTTGAAGCACTATATCGTCAAGATGCTTTCACTGGATTAGTTGATGCCTACACTGCGTTGGCGTGTAATGAATATAACCAAAGGGTAAGTTTGCACGTGATTTCTGATATGAGGAACTTGATTAAAAAAGTTCAGAATTATGACGGTAGTGAACATCCAGAAGTTAATAAAGAAGGTGTTTCGAAGACAACCACCAACACTAAAACTATCAAATTTTTGCCAGTATTGACTGGCTTCAATAAAGTTATTTTGCAGAATTCTGATTTAGAGAGCCGCTCAATTTCATTAGATCATTTGTTTGACTCGTTGGTGGAATACGGTGAGAATTTTGACGAAAGCAGTTGGAGTGAGATCTGTCATGAGTTGTTATTCCCGATCTTTGGAGTGTTGAGCAACCATTGGAGTCAGTTGAATAGCCATGATGATTTATCAGTGTGGTTATCCACTACTTTAATACAGGCATTGAAAAACATGGTGGCGATCTTCACCCATTTTGATACGTTATTGCCAATGTTGGATGGATATCTTAAGTTGCTTTGTTCTTGTATCTTGCAGGAAAATGATACCATCTCGAGAATTGGCAGGAATTGTCTTCAAAGCTTGATTTTGGAAAACTGTAAAAAATTCAGGACTACTGATTGGAACAAAGTCACCGATACTTTGAATGAATTGTTTGATGCCACTACTGCTGTGGAATTGTTTTTGGCAGATCCTTTACGAGTCGAAGAGAAAAGCCATGCCCATATTGAAGGAGAGTTTAGTAAAGCCAGTGAATTTAATGCCGAAACTTTGGCAAACGGGTTTGCTGTCAATAAGAATGATGAAGATAAACATGTCAGTGATAAACAAGATGATGAAGAAGATCAAGAAGAGTATAATCAGTCCACTGATACGGTGATTATCCATAATAATGCTGCCACTCTATCGACTACTCAGACTCCTGTCACTACTACCGATGGCCTTGATATGACATCGCCCCAATCCAATAATTATGAATTCCGTCCAGCCAAATCGTCTTCCGAAGAACATAAGAAACGGGTGAAAGAGAAAAGTATTATTGTCGTGAAATGTGTTTTGCAATTATTAATGATTGAAACATTGTCCGAAGTGTTTGAAGACGAAACTTTCTACGAGATGATCCCAATGGAGAATTTGCTCTCGTTAATTGGGGCTTTAGAAAAATCCTATAATTTCTCTCACGAATTCAATGAAGATTACAACTTACGGGTGAGATTGTGGAACTCTGGAGTGATTGAAAGATTACCAAACTTGCTCAAACAAGAATCTTCATCGTCGGGAGTATATATCAATATTGTTTTCCGGTTGTTAGTCAATGGTAAAAAAGCCACAGAAAAGCAAAGAGAGGCGCTTTTAGCAAAATTGATTCCATTATGTGTAAAGATCATCGAGGATTATATCTCACTAGATGAGACCACCAAGCAAAGAAACATCAATACCTGGAGACCGGTGGTGGTGGAAATCATGCAAGGTTACTACGAGTTGGAGGAAGACGATTTCATCAAACATTGTCCAATCATGTACGATTTGATCTTGAGTATTTTGGATAAACAACTTCCTCAGGAGTTGAGATCTTCCATTAAAAGCTTTTTGACCCGGGTTGGGGAAGTTTACGTTAGAATTTAAATTTCCAAAGGTTATTTTAGAATTTAATGGCAGCTAAAAAGTGTGTGACTTTGGCTATCATTTCTCTTTGCGTTTTTTGTGATTTATTTATTTATTTATTTATTTATTTATTTATTTATTTATTTATTTATTTATTTATTTATTTATTTATTTATTTATTTATTTATTTATTTATTTATTTATTTATTTATTTATTTATTTATTTATTTATTTATTTATTTATTTATTTATTTATTTATTTATTTATTTATTTATTTATTTATTTATTTATTTATTTATTTATTTATTTATTTATTTATTTATTTATTTATTTATTTATTCGTTTTAATAGACCCATCAAAACTTGTATGTTAAATATTCAATAAGTCTCTTTCTAGCAGGCAAAGCATTCTTGTATATTAAGCATAGAATTAGCTCTCGATTAATAGATTTGGTGGGAGTGTGTGGTTGTCGGTGCTCCGCACCTACGGATTTATTGTCACTTTCACTCATGTTCGATTGGCAAATTGTACAATTTAAGTCTTAAATTATTGAGAAGACTTCTTTGGGGTAAGGGAGAGTAACCAGGTATTATTTGTGGTGTATACACTATTGTTCTAACAATACTTGGGCCCTGAATGTTAGATAGTGTGTTTAGTGTCTTTAGCAAGAATAGCGTTAGTAACCAGAGCAGAGCTCGTAACGCAACAGAATCCAATCCAATCAGACGAAGAAAAATAATATCTATTTTTTTTATCACTATTTTTAATAAAATCTTTAATTTTTTATTAACTCAATACATTTTAACTTTTGAATTATATTTTATATTTTAAATCTTATTATCTTTTAGAATATTTTTTTTGAATTTCTACAGTAACTGTCTATTTTTCATAAGGTTAAATCAGATAGCGCGGTAGTATATCTTACTATTATTCAAAGGTTAATTTGTTCCGGATAAAAAGACACAATAGTGTGCTATCTGAAAGTAACCCGCACATACAATAATTTATAAAAGAAAAAACAAAAAAAAATTATTTACTTATTACATATATTAGAAAGACAGACTTATTTTTACTTATTTTACACTACTATCTTTTACTATTAAATCTATACAAAGGTCTATTAAAAATACAATTTACAATCAACACGTTTGTATAATTTATAAGCGCTTCTCGGAGCTTACCCTACTCAAAAGATAGTTGTCCGGATTACATAGCTCAATAGACTGTGTACTAGTCGTACTTGTACACTTTTTGCTAAAACCACCCTAGAGTGTTATTAGCCATAACACCATTACTTCAAACCCATATTTTCTTACATTCTATTTATTTTACTTAGTCTACTTTTACTATCACACTGCTACTTTTAAAGAAAAAAGACATTATTCAATTATTATATTTTACTACGTTGTTAACTTTAGTAATATATTATTTGTATTAATTCAGAATTATCTTAAATCCGATATTTTTAGACTCTATCCACCGCTACCACCGACCGGATAGATCTTACCCTACTACAAGCCATAATCACGTGAAGTCGGCAATAACAGGTGGTAGGTAGTCAGGAGACTCATGTTTAAATGGGCTGGAGTCAGCAGACTCCAATGTCTGGAATATAACGGGTGGACACTTCCACTTATCATGGAAGGAGTAGGATTGTATTACTTAAGGACTTAGTATCCTTCTATCTACAGCTGAGATAGATTACTTTGAGAAGTAGGCTTAATTTAACTAAGAAAGAACCAATACACATTTAACCAATCCCAAAACATCTTATATTGCCGTAATGTCTGAGAATACTGTCGGAGTGTACCACTATGGTGGTTCTATAGACTATCGATCATAGCTCATTGACGAATGATGCTTGACCGTAGTTAACTAACTCTGTACATTGCACCAATACAATGCCAGTGGGTCGCAACCACTGAGCAATGTATATGGATATTGCTATGTTTAGATTCTTCTAAATCTAGATATAAAAGGGATTTTATTTGTCATGAAAGGAAGAATTAATTACTTAGAGGATAGAAGGAGGCTAGCTCAATCTCATCCGAAATCTATCTACTAGAAGTAGACTAGCAAATAAATAAGCTAATCACCGACCCAAACTAATAACCAACTTTGTAATGGATCTTTCATCTAATCCTTCCGCCTCAGCATCTAACAATTTTCTACAACAGGATAGTTCTGGTACAACCAGCACAAGCAGAGATCAACATCGGTCATCGTCAAATAAAATGAGATAACGCCAATACTGTTACAAGTTACAAGTTACAATGTACTGTTATAGTGGCATTAAATAGTTATTATCCCAAATGGAGTATAAAATGTTTTTTCATCAAAAAGAAAAAAAGCACCGAACCTGGGACTCGAACCCAGAATCTCCTGATTAGAAGTCAGACGCCCTAACCAATTAGGCTAGCCCGGCTATTTTTTTGTTTGTTATATTACGATGCGACTAGACTAGATGTAGTTAGTCACGGGTTAAAAAAAAAAAAAAAAAAATTTTTCCCAACATGTCAAGTCCTGATAGTTATAAGAAACAAAGTATTAATTACTCAACTGATCCTACAAATGATCCCCCAAAGTCCTTTACTAGAGATTCATCCCCCTCCGTGGCTGATAATGTCGATATGTCTTCTCAAGGCGACCATCAAGGTCGTGACAACAAGAACGCTGAAATTCATGAAAACAGCGTCGAAAAACCACCGGAAAATGACGAAGATGAATCTTTTGACGATGAAAGTTCCAATTATGGAATCGATTATTCTTCAAATGATTCAAGGGATGAGGAAAACGCGGTAGAAAACCCAAATCTGCCCGCCGCAACCCAAATTTATTCTTCGATTGCTAATCAAATCGATCCTGCATTATTAGGTAATCAATCACCTAAGCACGCAACGGCCCCTCAACATGGAGAAGTTGAGGATGCGAACTTGGAACAAAAAAACACCAAAAAAAATGAAAAATCCTCCATAAACTCCGAAAAAAACGTAGAAAACTCCACTGAAAACCAATCTGAAAAAAACAAAAAACCCAAAAAACCCAAAACGCCTTTATTAGTTCCACCTCCGCCCGTTCCTTCGCCTCCGTTGTCGCTTCTACTCTTGCCCCAGAAGAAATGGAAAATTCTTCTACGACCACGGTCAACCCCTTTAATGGGAGGAAAGAAATCGACAGGGAAAATGACCCTCTTTTCCGAAAATTCGCTAACGCGTTTTACTGGCCTTTCCTCATCAAGGACCTCAAGTTCTACTACAGGGAAGTGTTGGAGCACTTCATTGAATGCTACAACAATAATGATCATATTTATCAATCTACACTGTATAAAATCCGTCCAGATGATCCAGACAGAATGATGGAATATCATAATACTTTGTTCATTGTTGAGTACTTTAGCCAACAATCTAGAACAAAGATTGACATGGAAATGAAACGTCTTGCAGGTCTTACCACCAATGAAAAATTACAGCTCTTCAGACAAATTTACAAATTGAACCAAGGTAATTTGCATTTCAAAATCCCAAAACCATTGATGCAAGGAAGCTCCGCAGAAATCCAATTGGCTCTCATTAAATTCGCTTTGATGGACCTAGCTAATCAACAACAACAGCTCCTTGAATCTGGGAACATCGAGGAAACTGAACGTCATCAAAGAACAAAATTGGAGTATGATTTAAGACATTCCCAGGAAGTCATTTATATCAACTCTGATGAAAATGAAATTGTCATTCCTGGAAGTTTTTTCCCTGATTTCCCTCTGCCAGACGACAAATTCAAAAAAAGAAAAATATCATTCATCAATCATATCAATGAGTTTTTACAAATAAGCACTGAAACCACAACTTATAAACCCAAAATTGTGATTGACGAATATGTTGAACGTCATTTTATTGAAATCGAAGTCCAAACTAGTAACAGAGATGCTTTAAACGACATATTGGAGTCCCACTTCCAACAACATAAGATCCCATACGATGCCTTTAATTTTGTTGATTTGCAAGCTTGCATAACATCTGACCCCTTCCAAAGAAATAGATTCTATGGTATGATAAACTTGGAAAAAGATACAGAACTACCAATTATCTCATCCAAGATTTTGAAAATCAAACTCTTGACCCATTGTTTCCACTGTACTAGCTGTGGTTCCAGGAAGCATACCAAGTTCTCTTGTCCTGAGCGGAACTGTATCATCTGTAAAAAACCAGGCCACATTGGACCAGAATGCCCAATTAAACGTCATTCTAAGAAAACCAAGATCACCCCACAAAAAGAATCCCTGAATCAAAATGTTGCACATGAAGCAAATAGCTCCTTCAAAGTTGTTACTGGAAAGAAGAGAACCATTTTGAACAGAGACTCAAAACTACAACCAAACAGAAAGGACCGTTCCCAAAGACAAGTTCCAGATAAGCAGGTTGGGCAAAACCCATTCAATGTCTTAGCTGGAGATACTTCGGAATTGGATATTACGGAACCCGGCGTGGAAGCTGAAGGGAACAACACCAACCAGCCATCTCAAAAGACTGAGAAACCCCAAAAATCATCCACAAATACATCCCCATCATTTACCAGTTCCAATCCTACCCAACCAAGACATTCATCCCCAAAACCATTATCCCCAGTCTCATCCCCTTCAACCACAAAATCCAACACCATCTATTCTCAACATGACACCTCCCCAATTCTCGTGCCAAAAACTCCAGCCAAGGAACCCTCCTCCACTCCTAACAAGAGTTCTCATAACCTGAGTTCTAAGACCCGGAGGACATCTCAAAATACAACTGTTCACCAGAGCAACCAAGACCTGGAACGGCTGACTAAGGGAAACCTGAAAGCCGACAAACATGATGGAGAACCGGTAAATTTACTGGCTTTCCTCGATGAACACTATTCAAGCAATGACGATGATGACTCAGATTATGAACCAGATGATCACCAGAGTGATCACATTGAAATTGACTCCCTGGATAATCCGAATGATGATGATGATAATGACGATGATGAGCTGATATCAGATATCAGCATAAATGAATCCAATTAATCATGACTACCCATAAGAAATCCTTCAATCTAATATCTCAAAATATTCAGAGATATCATTTCACCTCCCAACATCACCTCTCCAAATACAACAAACAGCACATCCTTTTCTTTCAAGAACTTCCGAAAGACTGTGAGGCTTTGATCCGAAACTTCCATCAACATTCCTTTCATGTAAATAATTCCCCTTACCCCCGAGCGGCTATACTATTGAGAAATATCCCCTCCATGGGCACGGTAATACTAAAAAATTTCATTTCCGATAAACTTGAGTCACATCTAACCGGATACCTTACTGATCTAGTAATATCTTGGAATGATGGCAAAACTCTATTATTATTGATAAACCTATACAACCCAACTGGACAACAAAAAGCCCAATTGACTATTCATTCCCAGTTGCACCAGCTACTCGGTGAGTTGTTGGGCCATTTGGCTATCAAATACCCAAACTCACACATCGAAATAGTGGTTGGAGGAGATTTCAACAATATCTTAGAAATTCCAAAATCAAAAAAAAATAAAAAAATTCTGAAACATCTAAAAAAACTAAACGATTTCATTGAATGCTTCAATCTCAAAGACGCTTTCTACCTCCTGCTGTCCAAAGGTCTCCCTTCCACTAACCGAGCCTCAAACGGTAAAAATCGTCGCTTAGATCGATTTTATATTTCTGAGGGTTTGTTGGAGAATACTGCTCTTAGCCAGACAAATACCCTTGGTACTATTTCCACACATGACGAAATTAGCATCAAATTTGCCCTCTCCTTTAATTTAGTGCAACTAGGACCAAAGCGTTTCAAATTGCACAACCAACTAATACCATTTATTGCTAACTCCAAGAAGTTATCACAATTGCCATCCATATCCCATTTGATTGCAGAGATCCGACTGTTAGCACCACTAACAAAAACGGCATTGAACTCTCTCCAACGCAGTGACCCATCTATTTTACCTGACCCTTATGAAAGATTGAACTCTGTTTTTAAACAGAACCCAAACACAAATCCAATTGATGCTTTTGTCATTGCTGGAGATAGGAAACTCACCGATATTCAAGATTTATTGGCCCATGCCACGTCCTATTACAAGGACATTTTTTCGGCTAAAGACTACCATGATCCGAATGCCATTCGCCAATACCTCCTAACGACGATCTCTTCCAGGAAACTAATGGCCCACGAAGCTATACAGTTAGATAACCCAATTATCGAACTGGAGATCAAGGACGCAATATGGCAGGCAAACTCAAAGAGTGAGCCTGGTCCTGATGGAATCCCTTATACATTCTATAAGGAAGCCTGGGAAAACATTAAGCATATCCTCCTCCAAGAATTCAACACTATCCTTTCCGCTGGGTCAATCCCTATTGACTATAGTCTGGTTTTGATTACATTAATCCTCAAACCCAGGAAAAATAAAGAGTTTTTACCCAATTATAGGCCAATCTCATTAATTAACACTAATATGCGCATCCTCGCTATAGTGTTAAACAACCGATTACTCAAATTCATCCCTCAGCTTGTGGGTTCCGAACAAACTGGTTTCGTCCCAGGACGTACGTCCTTCGAGCAAATTGCTGCTTTCAAAGAAGTCTTCCACTCAATGAGACCAGACTCCAACCTTTTTCAATTGCTGCGCACCTCCAAAATCCTTGTGGCTGACTTTCAAAAGGCTTTTGATAGTATCTCGCATGCATACCTAGACCACCTCTTCCAAATTCTAAACCTTGGTACAAATTTTCGCCGATTACTAATAAACATCTTGAAATCAGCAACTGCTTCCATAATGATCAACAACTTTCATGGTCCGCTATTTAAGTTAGCCTCGGGCACCTTACAGGGCAATCCAATAAGCCCCAGTATCTTTCTCTTGGCCATACAACCTTTATTAGAAAATATTCAAACAAAAAATCATGGCATAAAATTAGAAGTCCAGAATGAATTGACCATTTCCATGCAACCACTGGGTAAAGACTTTGCCATCCAGAATCCCATGAACCCCGATATCCTGATAAAGGTCACAGCATTTGCTGATGATGTCACCATATTTGTAAAAGATGACACTGAATTATTCACCACCCTCCAATACATCAAGGACTTTGAAAAATATTCAGGCAGTACCCTTAGCACCGATAAATCCAAGCTATACCATACAGCCGAATATCATCGCACCTTTGGACCCTTGACAAAACTACCCTATGAACAGGTCCCTGTCTTTACCTCCACTCCCTCAATAGTGTACTTGGGTATTCCACTAAACACACCACTACATCAAGATCAGGTATTGAAAAACATCAAATACAAATATTATCTCACACAAATGCACCATCTCAGCTTAGCGGAAAAGGTATTGGGGTACAATACTTACATTATCCCTAAACTCTTATATCGTGCAATGCATCAGCCCCTTTCTAACTCTACCACCACTAAGATTGAGGAATCATTTCAACACCTTTGTCGCAGGATTGGCAGCCTATCCCTTTCCACCCTCAAAACTTCCACCCAGATGGGAGGATATGGAATGCTCGATCTCAAAAACCACTTCCTATATCGGTACGCACACGTCATATACCAACTACTAACATCCCTGGAAAAATATTTATATCACCAAATCTTGAGATATAAAATCCAATACGCCATTAACACCCAAATCCAAGTGGAATCTCTACTTGATCAATACCAAAAATCTCAACTCCATCCAGAATCTCACTTTCAAAGAATTGGAAGTATGATTGACAGAAACTCCATCCAAACACATATATGGTACTTTCCGTTACTTGGCTACCAACTCTCATATCCTGGCAGCTCCACCAAGAAAATTACCCTTTCTGACATTGTCAAAAGCAACATTTTCTCACTAGAAGAGAAAAAATACCTCAAATCATGGTCGATTTTATTTGATCTAGAGAACCAGGGAAAAACAAGGTATCACAGATGCAGAAGATTGAAGATTGAAGATTGAAGATATCCAGGACAATTTAGCAAAACCAGTACCAGAGAAATACAAGGCCCACCATCAAAAAATGTTCACTTTTGATTTTAAGAACGGCAGCAAACAGGAACAACTCAAACGAGACGTCTCCAAAGCATCAACAACATTGACCAAAATCACATACCCCCTGGAGCCACAACAAAGAAAATTTTGGAAACAGATTAACCAGATCAAAAGGTGGGTACCGGGTTCAATGGAGAACCTCCACCTCATGATGTTGGGGCTCACATTGTTCAAATCAACAAATTCCCGTTGCCATGTTTGTAATTTTCCTCCAGAAAATTGGAACACCAACCCCAGGGATCCTGACCATATCAAGGAAGCCTACATCACCCATTACTACATAAATTGCACAGTATCAAGAAACTTATGGAAAATATTAAAAATGGGAATATCTCAAACATGGGATAACATCATATTGCATCAACATCAGAAACAAACTATGATAAAATTGGATCGCTTCGCTTATTACATTGAAAAATATAATAGGGTACGAAGGTCAAATAATGCAGATTGGACAAATCAATCAATGAAAACATTATTATATCTTATTACAGCGGTCTACTAAAAAATTAAAATAACCATAAAACAAAATAAAAATAAAAATAAAAATAATATTAAAAATAAAAATAAAAATAGTCAATATCTTAAAGGGGGTTTTTAGTGAGTAGAAATCTCACACTGTTGAATATTAATTTAAAAAAATTGAAATTCTTCGTCTTTTGAAGATTTTCCTCCTCAAAACCAAGAACAAGTTTATATAATTATATACTTATGAGATTTAATATAAATCGAAATTATTGGAAAAAAAAAAAAAGGAAAAAAAAACCTAAAAATTATCATGAGAACCACTAGAAATAGTAATAAAGCTACTCCAAACTACTCCACCGACCCTACTAATGATCCCCCAATCATTGAAACCCCGGTTTCTTTGGGCTCTTCATTGGATGTTGGCGCAACATCTGAAACCCCGATCCCGATAGCAAACATAAACAAACAAGCTAAAGATCAAGATTCCGATGAAGAAATTACTGATGCAGCCGACAATACTATTAATAGTACTGTTGAAACCTTTTTAACTGCTTCAGAAGATCCTGAAGCGGACCAAAACATGGATTCCAACGCCATTTCTACCCCAACTACCTCTCCAGCAATTAATGTTTCTTCAGTTGATTGCGATCGCAATTCTCATGCAGCATGTGACACTGACATTGACATGCATAATCCTGTTGTTCCAACCCACGCCGTTATTTCTACTGATTTTATTAATGAAAACTCCGAAAACCAAAAAAAAATCGAAAATTCTCAAAACCCAAAAAAAAATTCTGTTTCTGTTCCTTCTGTTTCTGTTCCTTCTGTTTCTGTTCCTTCTGTTTCTGTTCCTTCTGTTTCTGTTCCTTCTGTTTCTGTTCCTTCTGTTTCTGTTCCCTCTGTTTCATCTTCTACTACGGCCTCCAATCCGGTGGCTCCAGCTGTCAATGTGACAAGACCAATCCAAACCTATGCTCAAGCCACCGCTGGAGACAAGCGCACACCTCGAGCCACTACAAACACCAATGATCCATCCTTCCAAAACGTGTTGATGAAATTTGAAAGAACTTTCAAATGGGCAAGTCACATCAAAATCCTTGACTTTAAGCACCGCGACGTATTGGAATATGCCATAAGCGAGAAACGCAAATCAGGAAAATTGTTCTCCACCTCCAATCCTGCTATTATTAAATCCAAAGAAAAACGCGAGGAACTCGTCAAGATCATGGAAATTGAAGATTTCTTCCAAAATTACACCAGTTTTAATATGACAAACGAATTCAACAGATTGAGAAACTCTAGAATCAGCTTGGAGAACTACTTGGAATTTATCATGAGCCAACATATATACTAACGGTTATGAGCTTATGGTTATGAGCACGTGTATCATTGCCTATAACCAATAGCTCAAACCATACTACAACAATTCCCCCCGTCAAGATCTTCTATTCAAACTTTGAAAGGAACGACCCAACAACGGTTTTCTACAGATAGGAATACTAGAAGAACCATAGAAGTCCTTAATGGACTCATAGAGGTTCTTCTGTAAACCCAGTGGAACACTATCCACAAAAACATCAACCGGGACCGTAAAGCAATGACCAGGACGAGCCATCCGAAAGGTAACATCAAAAGACCTAGTGTCAGGATCATATCCTAAAATACCATTAACCTCAGAAGCTCTAGCTTTAAATTCATTAACAGTCCGGGGAAGATCAATAAAAGCAGCTTCAGGCACCGAATAAGGACGTAAAAACCTCGCATTAATCACCCTTGATTTAAGGTTTAATATCGGTAAATCAATTTCAAAACTATTCTTGTTAATAACCTTGACTACTTTAAAAGGACCAAAATACACATCAGTCACTTTTTTGTATCGAGTACTATTCGTGTACGCTTCGCGATGCACAAGCACGTACTGACCAACTGTATAATCATCAAAGCTTGCTCCTGCATTGGCACTTATATTCATCCGGTGCTGATACAGGGATAATTGTTCTGAAACGGCCCAATGAATTGCCCTCAATCTCTTCCCCCACTCACTAATCAGGTGATGAGCAATATCAACAACTTGAGGTTCAGACAATTGAAGCAACGGTTGGCGACCAAAAACCGCTTGGAAAGGCGAAATACCGGTAGCCGAGTGAATAGATGAATTGATAGCAGTCTGAGCCACAGCCAAATAACTCAACCAATCACCTTTATTTTCAGAAACAAAAGTACGAAGTAGCTGTACTACCTTCTTGTTAGCGGCTTCTGCCACACCATTTCCACGAGGGTTGTTAGCAGCCGTGAGATGATACTTAAATCCCATAATCTTCGAAATATCCTTGGCAATGCTATTAGCCCAACGAATATCACGATCAGAACGAATAAAACACGGAATACCATAATACGCAAATACATTATGGAACAACACCTTAGCAACACCCATTGTATCAATCTGTTTGTTGCATCCAATAAAAATAGAAAATTTCGAAAAATCATCAACAACGGTAAGGATAGCATCACATCCTCCACATTCCGGCAATCCAGTAATCATATCAATCAGAATTCTTTGGAAAGTGAATCCTGGAGGATCAACAGCCATAATAGGATGAGAATGGTGTTGGCGTATTTTTGTTCTCAAACAAGTATCACATCCACCAACTACTGCAGTGACAATCTTCATAAGATTTCGCACATAAAACTTAGAAGATAGCCCGAGGTATAATTGAGTTATCCCGGCATGCATTCTGCCATGCTCATACTCAATTAACCTACGGGCCCGCAGCGCCCCAACGACCCGGCGCCACGGAGATTGATTGGTACGTCCAAACAATTTACCATCAATCAATTTAAAATTCTTCAAAATACCCTGACTCACATCGAGTCTATCACCATTAACATCTTCTTCATCAATTCTCGTTTCTGCGACATCGCTGGCATTATCACTTGCTTTATTATCCTTGTCCTCAATTAACCTTAAACTGTTACTAATCTCCGCAAAATACTCATCCGATTCAATCGAAGCCTTGATTTCTGCTTCAGTTAAATTAACTGCAGGGATTACCGATTCCAAAGCCCCCACATAACGAGAGAGGTAATCAGCTAACTCATTTGTTGTACCCTTGACATATTCTAACACAATATCAAACTCAGCGAGTTTAGTAATCCATCTTTTAACCCTGTCATTTTCAGCTTCCTTATTTCCTTTAAGCAACACAGACAAGGATTGGTGATCAGTCTTTACCACAATTCTATGACCAAATATCAAATGGGCCGTCTTGTCTAATAAGTAGACAACGGCTAAAAGTTCTTTATCTCTAATTGGATAATTCTTTTCGTGGATTGAAAGGCTCCGCAGGTAATAACCAACAATTTGCAGCTCATCGGACCCAGGGATCAACTGTTTCAATACCCCCCCAATTGCAATTCCTGAAGCATCAGACTCAATTACAAATACAGTAGCGGGATCAGTCGAAAGTGGAACACTTAGTACCTTGGTTTCCAACAAGGCTTGCTTCAAAGAAGCGAACCTTTTGGAAACTGTCTCCATATCCCATTCGAGATTTTTGGAGACAAATTGGTAAAGTTCAACCACTAAGTCCGAATAGCTGGCAACGAAATGACGGAAATAATTAGTGAATCCAAGAGTTTTCTGCAACTCCTTGGCATTCACAGGGGTCTTCAATTTCCGAATTACTTCCCTAGTATCATCAGGGATTTCAACTCCATCCGGACCAATTTCCCAACCAAGAAAGCGAACCTTAGAGCTCATAAAACTGCATTTCAGCCTTTTCAAAAACAACTTGTTCTCCCGACACACATCAAAAAACTGCTTGAGCAAACCCAAATGCTCTTCCCTGTTTGGCGACGCCAAGAGAACATCATCAACATAATTACGGGCAGTTGAAAGGTGTGCTATTTTCTTGGCTAAGTATGATTGTAGGTGTGAAGGGGCTGATGTGAGTCCAAAGGGTAATCTCAAGTACTCGTACTTGAGCCCTTCAAACTCAAAAGCCGTGAATCTACTAGAATTCTCATCGAGGGTAAGTTGATGAAAGCCTTCCGTTAAATCCACGGTTGAGAACACCTTATTGGCCAGAAAGATCTGGATCAATTCATCGTAACTGGGAAGGTTCTGATTAAACCTTTTCAATAAAAGGTTGATTTGACGAAAATCAATAACCAAACGAATCTCCCCAGTCTTCTTCTTGACAACTAGAAAAGGTGAAGAATAAGGCGAGTTAGAGGGTTGAATAAGTTTAGAATCAACCATACGCCTAATATGATTTCTAACCTCATGCAAAAGAGCAATCTTAACCTTCGGAATATACGGGGTCGTTGGAACTTCTTCCGACATCGGTTCAAGCCTGATATTATCTGCCCCCCGAGACTCAACAACTTGATTAATCCCAAGCTTCTCCGCAAAAATATCCGCATAATCAAACAACAATTTCTCTAATCTAGGATCGTCTATCTCAACAGGATCCAGGCTAAGAGCAGCCATAGCACTAATACTTTCAATGGATTTCTCATCCAAATCGTCCACCCCCACATCTCCCACAGTAAGATTAGCAAAATCAATAAGATGGGCATATTCTCTAATGAATGGAAGCCCCACAATAACAGTAGGTGAAACAATCGGGTGCACATAACAACGGATCTTCACAACAGTATGGTTAAATGTAACAGGGATAATCACATACCTATCTACCGCATCATACTGATTAGTTGCAGTCTTGATTGTTCTTGGGCTAATCCTAGTAAGATCGGCACTATCATAACCGAGCTTAGGCAAAATCGACGGATTCACAAAACTGTAACTCGCCCCAGAGTCAATAAGAGCTTTGGTAACAAACCCAGCAGGTCCCATAGTAACAGGAACCTTGAAAGCAACAACATCCTCATATGGAACTGCATGGTCCTCCTCTTGGACGCAATCCATAAGGTGAGCCAAACGAGCACCAGACCCACCACCACCACGGCGAGGGCAGTCCATGCTCTGATGTCCGTGTCCTTTACACTGGAAACAATTTCCAAGAATAAGCAACAGCCTCACCTCCTCCTGGGTGAGATTAAATTTCTTGCAGAGGGCGGCAATCTTACCACTAGACTTGCGAGGATATGAGTTTCCCCGAGAACTTGGTACTGATTGCAAAGCATCCAATTCCATTGGCATCGGACCACCTCTATCCATAGGCGAAAACGTAGACGGCATAGGGATAGTCAGAGTATGGATGGTTCTTTCAGTAAGATCATTAATACTAAGTGCATGAGAAATCACATCATCTAATTTCTCATAAATGCGTCCTGCATCTGCAATGTGCTTCTGCAAACGCGGGTCCAAGGAATCGATAAAACGATTAATTTTTGAACGTTCTGACCAATCTGGAATGTACACAACATTCGCTTGAAACTCAGCAACGTGGGACAGAAGCGCTTTTCCTTTTTGCGCAATTGTCCACAATGTTCTTTCCAAAATGTCAACCATATCAACTCTAGAAAAGTGCGCAAGCACTTGAGCCTTAAAGGCTCTATAAGAGATATCTGACGGCAAGGAGTCAGAAAAAGAAGAAAAACTTCTAAAAGTATCTTGAGCCACGTTTCTGTTGTAGTTTTGTAACCCTAGTTACAGTAGTCATTACCAATAACAAATACTATCAAACTATCCTTGTTATTATTCTTATTCTTCTTAACTAACTAACTATTTAAATAACAAAATATAAACTCAAACTATGGGGAGAGGCCCCATATTTATAATAAGACCAATATATATGATTTGTAATCATACATCCATCTAGAACATTCTAGATGATTAATCATATGCACAATGACTAATTATTAGGCTGAGTCATAATCACATGCAGATTATATATTGCTCAGCCATGGTAAATAAACCGTCTTATCCGAGACTCGAACTCGGGATCTATTCAACACATTGATACCCGTGTTAACCGTTGAGCCATCTGTACAAAACCCAATATATGACTTTGGATTGTCAACTCAACACCCTCTCTCAATTCAAAGTCACCATACCACAAAGCTTTCTTAGCTCTATGAATTGAGGAGCAGCAAGACCTTTAGTGAACATGTCAGCAACCATGATTCCAGTATTAAGGTATTGCAAATCAATTGTCCCAGATCCAATGTGATCCCTGATGAAATGAGTCCTGATATCAATATGTTTGGTACGGTGATGGAAAGCTGGATGTTTGGCCATTTCAATACACCCCTGGTTATCATCATAAATCTTCACTGCACCAGTGTTAAGGCCAAACTCCTCAAA